CTATAATTACATAACCATCCACATTGACTAAGTGGATCGATGGTGTGGTATCTTTTTGATGAAAGGCATGGATGGTATATAATACCCTACCTTATGAGATGATAACATATCAAAGCCTATATCCTGGATGACGGAACTAGGCGCGTAACTGCGATCATTCGTCGGGAAACACGAGTGTAACGGGATTGGAAATGTTCGGCCTTACAATGTTAGGTATTCTGGGTAAATTAACCTAGAAAAAGGACAGCAATTCTTGTGAACGAAAACGATGGAGTTTGACTACAATAAAACGACGAAAAGAAGTGAGCAAAGAAAAGGTTATATGCTTGTGGCATAAAAAATAGCTGCTTTATTTATTCATATTACAAGCGGTTGACTACTCATACTAGGGAAGATAGTAAGGTGATATAAGATAGATTTTCAGTTCGTGTTTCCTCTCTCATCTTTTTGTCAGTGAATACAGCCCACATGGGATCACTATGGTGGTTAATTTCCCGGCATAACTCCAAATAACGTTCTCCAAATCTGGGTATATAGCAGAGATGAGAGAGATAAACGTTCGTTCTCACCATCTCCTATTCCCTAGGAAGACGAATATGCTCCCGTGCAGTTATATATTCTTTACCGGGAAGGGTATATGTCTGCCTATAGCAAGGCAGAATGAAGCAAATGAACGTTGCTGAATGGCGTGGATATCATTGCCTGGGATATTTCGCAGCCGCATGTTGATGAGAAGGGGCAGGTACAGATGAGTGGCCACTGTAGTGTTCGTAAGTAAAAATAAATGTGAAGACAGAGAAAACCTGAAATCTTTCGAGACTCTGATTTATTGAGACAAGAGAAGGGAAAAAAGGCCCAGATCAATTCTTTATTCTATGTCTGCTTATACAGTTTATGATGAATCGTCATTTGAATTGATCGTATTATAAAAAATCGTTTATCCTGTAGATATTGCCGCTGAATGTACTGTAGATGAATGGCAAGAGGATACGGTTGTGCTCTTGATTTTTGGTTGACAAGGAGACGGTGAATTTGTGAATATGGATCGCATGATTATTTTATGGCTTGACTGTTTTATGTCAAAGGTCGGTTCCTGAATAAAAATGGTCATGAGATTCATCTTCATTGACTAGGATTTGAGTGTGGTAGAACTCGGTGTATTTGAACTGCGAACGCTCTGAGGATATTGACCTAGTATGAGATTTATCCGTTGAAATGTATATAATGCGATGAAAGAGGAATGGACGTATGTGGAATACATCATTTTATTACACCAAGCACACAGCCACAAAGAAGGTGAGGTGATGGCGGCATCGACGGTAATAGAACGCATAACGTACGCCTTTCCAGATGACTGCTAGGACTTGTCGTCTCCATTGAAGTTATGACTTGCCTGCGAGTAAAATACACAATAGGTTTCTTCCATTAAGTCTGCAATGCCTCAATTGTTTTTCCATGAAAGCTGAGACCAGGTGTGTCCCAGTCATGTTTGGCCCTGAGGATACTGATGGCATCAATGAAGGTATCAAGACCGAGATACTTGCCGGGACTAGGCATGACGATGTAAGCAATTATTTCAATCGAAAATTGTGCTGAAAAAAGGGATATCAACAACTGTGAAGATTTTTGAACAAGGGCGTCTAATATACTAAAGCGTCCCAGCCGCCAACACATCTTATTTCTCTCCCGATTATGATTCAGTGATCCAAAATAGAATGCTTTGGGTCGTGCCAAGTCGTCCGATCGGCCCAAATGGGCTTACTAAATTAGTACCTAATTAAGTTAATTGATAGAAGCTTTAGTGACGAAAGGCATAATGAAATGTAAGTGGGCAGTGTGTTTTTTTCAGATGGGTCAGTGTTTTTTTCAAGTGGCCAGTGGGTTTTCTCAAGTGGTGAGCGGGCTTTTTTCAAGTGGCCAGTGTGTTTTTTTCAGGTGGGCCAGTGGAATTTTTCAAGTGGCCAATGGATTTTCTCAAGTGGTGAGCGGGTTTTTCAAGTGCCTCTTTTTGATTTTCCTGGCAGCCATGTTTGGTTTTTCGCCTGCCGATGTTTAATTTTCCATCCGTTTTTTATTGGCCGGATGTGCCGTTCTCCATTAACCGGTTCATCTATTCCTCACCACCCGCTACTTATCTTCACCACGTGAAACTTGCCACTTGTCACTTTCATGAGCACTCACCACTTGAAGAGCACCCTGAAAAATCTCCCTCATCTGAAAAAACACACTCGCCCACCTGCACAAAATACCACTCATTTACCATGCGTCAAAAGAATGAGTAGCCACAGACTCTAAAATTTATTATTTTCTTTCCATTTCTTCGATTTGCGACCTCCTGTTTATCGCTAAGCATTTCTGAAAATGTGAAACGTGCATAGGTGAATTCGCTAATAGAGAATACCAAAATGCCTATATCGTAAGCAGGTGAAAGTCGTAACCGCAACTGCCGGAGAAATGGTCACGGTTGTCCATCACCATATGCAACCGCACCGTCCCAATCAGAGACCGAATTAGGGAAACCAGGCGGAATTATCCAACCTTCTGTCCATGCGCCAATAAGAAGAAAGACAAAAAAAATAGATCGATGTAACACGGTTCAAAGCGTATGAATGTAATCGCTGCACTCTTCGTGCCTTCAATAACCACTAATTTGGGCGCCAGTAGCACCATGTCGAAGCAGCTCGCACAAGAGCATTTTTACGCGACGCAAAACCATGACCCTTAGTTGTACTCACCACGGTTGCTGGTTGTAACCCCACCACATAAATTGTCACTATCCTCCTAACGTAGGATAAAGAAAAGTGAGCGCTGGTGATGGTTATGGAGCATGGTCACTGTAACCTAGTTTTCAGGGTTTTACTATTTGCACATTGAGTTCGCACATAATGGAACCGTTATTTGGAAACAACATGTTATGTATACGTTTCACATGCAGTGCACCAAGCTGTCTGAAAGGAAGAACGCGTGCATGTCCAAGCAAGGAATTATGCTGCATCTTCGGTCCTATAACTAGCCAAAGAGAATCTTTCTGTATTTGCCGGTTCCACTCATGCATATTCGACGCAGATAGTATAGTACGATTGGCTCTATCATCTACCATGTCTAAGATCATATGTATTATAGATTTCGTTACGAATGCCGAAATTCTTGGAAAATCTACGTGCCTTCTGCTTGAAACTGCAGGAAGTACGATCAAAGTGCGTTCAAGCATCGGTATAGAAACTGCATATTCATGACTGCATTTTTTTTGTTACATGTACAGAGTCAGAATTCGGTCACTATGGCTCCAAAATAGCGGAAGTCGATTTTACCATCCACATGTGCCGTTGTTATATTTCCTTTGCCATTGAGCTGCTGAAGCTGCTAAAGTTTTTGAAATGTGAATCAGAGAAAGAACATTGAAAGATAGCGAGTTTCCACGGCCCTGCGATAAGGTTACGGCCGGAATCGCGTAAACCAATGAAAAGACGATGATCAAACACGCACCATGTTACCCCAGTAAGTTTGTGATATATTACTCGACAGCATCTCGAATATACGATCATGGTTATTGCTAATTCTTTTATTGACTTTAAAAATTAATTAATTTCCTCGTAGCAGTTTTTTGGCTGTAGAAGTCAGAAATACAAACGAATGTGAATGACAGTTCAGGCACCTCGTTTTCGTACAAATCTAAAATACAAATGAATGAAGTAATGAATATACGTTGCATACAAATGATGAAACAACATCTCATTTGGCTATATTGGTAGCATATGGTATCATTGATGATGGCTTGTTCCTCCTACGAGAAAAAATCAATTTATCATATTTCTTTGCTGAAAGGAATCAAGGTGTCCACAGTTGATCCTTTCAGCGCCAGCCCCACATTTTTTATAATGAATCAACCAAGATGTTCACAGCTGATCATTTCAAAACTAAATGTATCACATTTTTTATGGTAAATTCAATAAGGAGTCCAAGGCTGATAAACGAAACTAGAATGATGCGATTATGATGGATGCAGTGAGTGCATCCTCCAGTGGAACACTGTGAGAAAATTAGTTCGATGAGACCGATTTTCCCACATTCGTAAACCTAGCAATTTTATCATTTGATGTGACTATCGTTTATTCGAGTGCCTCAATATAAATACATTTACGCCTCCAGACAACTGTTTTCGACTTTATTTATCATTTCTTTGCGTCCTGATTCTCCAATATCTAACCTGGATTCGTCAACTTGTACATTAACCACCAAGGCCAAGGTTTCGCTTCGCTCCATTGTTTTTTCCCTCGCCACGACCCTCTAGAAATGGTGTCTTCATCGTCGTATCACCTTTCAGTCGATGCATATACAAGGCCTTTCGGACTCCATTGCCGCCAGAACGAAGACGCCGCACCAGCAAGTTTCTTACTGCCAAGAGTTACTCGGATACGCTGGGACATCACGGAACGCAATTCCTCAGCGAACTAGAGGTCTACGATATTGTCAGCCCGCTGCTCCGAGATACGAGCATCACAGCTAGTATCCTTGCCGAGTGCTGGCCCAAGATGGTCGCTGGCGGACGAGCAAAAGAAAACAGTTCTCGGTAAAAAAACACGGGCGTCTGTATTTATCCGCTATAATCAGTAATAATTGCAATTTGCTGAATAAAGTATCCAAACTTTTAATTTGAAAATTTCGTGCAGACTTTCAACTGCTGGACATGCAATTTTTCCACACCATAAAGTATTGGGTCTGCGTTAATTTGATACCTCAATTGTTTTCAGTTATTTTCAGTGCTTTTACCTTATGGGTGATAAACGCCCATCTGGAAATGACAATAAAGTTGAATATTTGCATTTGTACCGTCCAAAGATGACCTGCTGATGCCTCTAAATGGATAATGGAGATAATTCGTCACAAATTCGTACGGGCCATTTCGCTGCATCGACAAGGTGGGGGGAGATGAATAGCATGCCAGGCGGAGTGCCAATAAAATTGGGAAGCTCCAAACAAAAGAAAAAAAAAATCGTAGCCTGCACCGTCATAAGCTGTTATTTCATTTCATCATTGATTATGGGCCAACTTGACAGGTGATGATCTCTTCTTGGCTGTATTGTTGTTGTGGAGACCACAATCGACAAATACTTTTTTCGTTTTTATGTGCAGAGACACTAATCATGTCTTATTGCGTAGGCAACTCGAACAGTTACGACGGGGCGAGATCATTAGCGAAGGCGAAGTCAAAGAGCTGTGTTGGAAAGCGAGAGAAATCCTTGTTGAGGAAGGAAACGTATTACGAGTGGATGCACCAGTTACGGTAAGATGACGACGAATATATTTTTTTGAGCAAGGTGTGTAACTCCTTGCTTGGCATCCAATTAGATTTGCGGCGACATTCACGGTATGGAATGAACGGGCTTTGCCTTTTTTTTAATCGTGGGGTATCAAACTAACGGCGGCAAGTATAAAGGACAGTTCTATGATCTGAAAGAGTTGTTCAAAAAGGGCGGCGAGTGTCCCGATACCAATTACTTGTTCATGGGTATTGTATCTTTTCAGGATGAGAACGAAATGTCGCAACATCGCCATGGGCACTAATACTGCTGCATCCAGGCGACTTTGTCGATCGTGGTTACTACTCTGTGGAAACTTTTCTGTTATTATTGGCGCTGAAAGTCCGGTATCCCGATCGTATTGCTCTGATTCGAGGCAACCATGAAAGTCGACAGATCACCCAAGTCTACGGTTTTTACGAAGAATGTCTGCGCAAATACGGAACTGCAAGTGTGTGGCGCTGGTGCTGCGAAGTGTTCGACTTTTTGAGCCTCAGCGCCATCATTGATGATAAAATCTTTTGTGTCCATGGTGGATTGTCGCCCAGTATAAATACACTTGATCAGGTATATATATCGCGGGGACGTCGATTGGTAGAGGCATTTTAGCGAAACTGGTTGACTCATGTCATTTCTTTGGGGGCAGATCCGACTCATTGATCGAAAGCAAGAAGTACCTCATGACGGCGCCATGTGTGACTTATTATGGTCAGATCCAGAAGGTGAGATGGGAAAATGGAATGGACACCTGATATGGGTTCCTGTAAGCTAACACGCATCTAGATATTGAACGATGGGGTTACAGTCCGCGTGGCGCGGGGTACTTGTTCGGTGCCGAAGTGGTCCAAAGCGTAAGTACTCCAAACATATCTTTATGAATGTTCAAAGATAACAGAGGAAAAGAATAAGCGGTAAAACAGTGATACTCATCCGTGCATATGTAGTTTTTACATACCAATGGGTTGGATTTGATTGCACGTGCTCATCAATTAGTCATGGAAGGATATAAACTCATGTTCAACGATACCATTGTTACAGTTTGGTCAGCACCAAATTATTGCTACAGGTACGTCTTGCCGTGATGCTCGTGATTATACTGCCATTGCTCATTGAAATTTTGGGTCGTGGCATATAGATGTGGAAATATTGCAGCAATATTAAGGTTGGACGACAATTTGGAGAAAGAATTTTTATTATTCGAAGCAGCGCCACAGGTATGGCATCGTCTTGTACCGAGATGGAGTATGGCATGTGGATGGGCTAACTTGTGTATCTTGGTTTTTTTTGGTGTTTACAGCAAGATTACCGTGGTCTGCCTGTAAAAAAGACATTGCCAGATTACTTTCTTTAACTCTTGTAATTATTTCTTTTGATTTTTTTGTTTTCTCTTCTTTCACGATTCTCGCAAAAACACACATATATACATTCTCTCTTTACTATTTTCTCTCTACACTTTCGTTTCTCCATATCTTCGTTTATTTTTCCCCTCCTTGACGATAAATTTACAATGAAAAACAAAAAAAGAAAGAGGATTCCTCACAAACAATGGTATGCACATGAAAAAGAATATGAAAAAAAAAGTGATCGATACACATTTAGTGTGTGGAAGGCTCCCACGTGCCTTGTTCGATGAGCGCTTCATCTTTTCGTCGTTGCTGATCGAGAGCAATGTACCGAGTAGCAATACCTTTGTCGGTTTCGGTAAAGGCATGGATCTTGTCGGTTTCTTTAATACAGGACGTTTCAAAATGCCAATCTTCGCCCTCCGCGTAATGCGTAAAAATAAGATACCGATCGGCCCAGCGGTGTTTGTCACGTAGCAAACCGCCGTTCCACCACCATGGTTTCCCTTGCGCATCAAGATGAAGTTGATTACCACACACATTATTCTTGTCACCCGCATCACCCAATCCGCCGATAACCGCGCCGTATGACTTGACAAACGCATAAGGTGTCTGCATCATCTCATAACCGATCCAGAATGTCTATGGTCATGTTGACAAATGGTCAGCGACTATGTTTTCCCCTAAACAACTTTTTCTTTGTTCCCTGACAACCGACCTCTTTATCGCCGTGCATCTTCTTGTAAGTCACCTCGTCACGCTCGTGCTTGTCATTCATCTTGCAGGTCGCCAGTAAGCCTAGCAATGACTTTTTCTTGTTGACTACCACCACCCCTGATTCTTGCTCGTGAGCCGATCGTAACTGCCACCAACGGGTCTTTTCTACTAGAGAACTTTTGGTGGGTAAGAAGGACTGCAACCATCGTTTGCCGACATCCCAGTTCGCGAATAAGGTACGATCGTAAAAGAAAAGGGTTCCCGTCGCCTTGTAACCTTCATCGTCGAACAACGTCTCTGGCTTTTGGAAGAAAAACGCATCGGCATCCATCATGATCACTTCTGAAAAACTGCTCGCTAATATGGCATAAGGTTTAACGGCCCAACCGCCGAACTGTGTATAGAAATCATTGATGTAATCCACCGCTTTGACGATTTTCAAATTGTCGAATTCGGTTTCCAGATATCTTCGTCGTCCCTCACTCAAGTCATCATCTCGAATATAGAAAACTTCAATTGGCAGTTCGGACTTGAGCACTTCGCGAATACCTCGAATGGTCGTTGCGGCATGCTGGAATTGGTGGTTGCCGACACATAGAACAATGCCTCGGCCAGCGGTGCCGTTATTCGCGTGAAACATGTTGGGCCAGTGCGGACGGATCCATGGATAAACGATGTGTTCCAACTTTTCGTAAAGGGCCCATGCTTTGCTATATTTTGGATCATGCGCCACGTCAATTTTTCCTTCGGCTAGGATGGGATCAAAGTACTGGTATAATCCCTTGAACACACGTTGCTGGTATGTTAATATGGAAAAATCGGGGACTTCCGCTGTAAGTAATAACTTGAATTCCATCGATTGACCAAACGATGTTCCCAATGACTGAGTATCAGCATCTAGATGGGGGGATATGAAGATCATCAGCCATTTTTCTTCTACCGACATTTTCTACCGAGAATCAGAGCCAACTGTTTGTACCTGTCCAGGGAGCAATGGGGGTTGGAATTGCAATATCATGCGTTTTGGCAAGCTTAGCAATACCCTCGGTTGCAGCCTCAATCACTATCATACAAATGAAATTTATGTTTTAGAATGAATAAAGATTATCCAAAATACTGTTGCCTGGGATCAACGTTTCACTTACGAGGTTCAACGACGGTCTGTCGCTCGATTGCTGAGCGATTTTTTCCCATGGTATTGGGATTTTTGTTGCTGTTATCATCGACCAATGTCAAAGGATTCCTCAAATAATCATCGTAACGAAACGAAATAAAGCTAAAGGATACTAAAAGTAGTACCAAAAGGGGTATAAAACGGATGCAGTGCGACTTGGTACGAGCATGCATGAGATAGAAATCCGCAACACAATGAAAAAGTAATATAAAAGAGAAAGAGAAAGCCTGGATAAGAATAGACGTTGGTCAATTATTCGTCTAAAGGATTTGTACCACCTTGCGGCTTGCGGCTTTGGAAAAGAAAAGAGAAAAAAAATTTGCCCTCGTTCCACTTTATAATTTATTTGCCGAATAAAAGTTCTGTTTTTCACCATGGAGGACGTGAGTTTTCCTTTCTTTATCACCGAGCAAGACAAAACTATAGACCATAATAAAATGGGAGCAAACTAAATATGAAAAAGGGTGACCGGATCGGTCATATCCCGAAGTCCTTTTGCTGAAACAATTATGTCCAAGATCAATCGTCTAAACCGCCCGTCAAATGTCCGTGCATCCAAGCTAAATCCGACCACAAACGTGAGTGGATTTGGACGCGGCGTTCCAACATTAAACCCGATAGATATCAATGCGAACAACAACGTCTTCAAGTAAATGAAATTCACAATATATTTATTTGTTGTATAAAATCATCTCTCATGATCTTTTCCAAAGTCAAAAAACAAGAAAGCCATGGCATACGCATAAGGGAGACATGCATGAAGAAAAGGTGAAAGACCGGTTAGCGTGGTTGAGCGCCGACTTACCGTGCAAGTATAACTTTAAAAAATCATTCTGTATCCCCGGTATAGCCGTTCAGTTGAACGTCCGAACAAACCTATCAGCATACTCAGCACCACTTCTTCTTTACACATGATTCTGAAGTATCATCTTGGTGATCTTATAAATAAGTTGTCTTCCAAACCTTGTCACAGTCAGCATCGACAAATCCGGCCTAATCGCATTTCCATCTCCGCCATCTCCATATTCATCAAATCAAGGGGTAAAGTGATCATGATCTTCAACTTGAGAATCAAATATTCGAGATAGAACGCAGGACATATTGCAAAAACACACTAGCTATTGTTCGCAAACGCCTTTAGCTCTTTGATAGACTTGTTTGAAGCTCATGGTACGAGAACCGAGAAGAGAAAAAAAAAAAGATGAACTTAGCAATTATTGAACACGGTGATGAGAAATCTTCGTATGTGTGTCCCTAAAAGGAAAAGCGGAATTCAGATCCTCAGGACACCTCTTGAAGTTGAATCATTTAAATTCGACATGACGAGCGATCAATTTGTTGGCTATGTCGGCTTGCAGCCGTTGGTACTCAATAAGAAAGACACTTATCTTCAAAGTTACACTTTTGCTCCTCGTCCGTTAGACGAAGATGAAGTAGAAATATCTGTTTCAGCTTGTGGCATGTAGGTGAATGCACTTTTGATTTTGTTGGGTTGCATATTTAATACCTCCATCAATATAGCTGTGGTTCAGATATTCATCAGCTGACCAATGTACGTTTTGACCCAAAAAAACTCAAGCCATCATAATACACAAAACTAATGGCATTTATCAGGGTTGGAAACGAGCTGTGTATCCACTGATTCCAGGTCACGAATTCATTGGCAAAATCACTGCGGTTGGGTCGGCCGTAAAAACGCACAAAGTCGGCGACCGTGTCGGTGTGAGTCCCGTTTGTCGTAGTTGCGGTAGCTGTAGGGAATGTCAGGACGAATTCGGTCAACTGTGCCCTGACAAGGTGACAACGTACAACGGCAAGTACAAGGGCTATTCTACCTTTGGGGTACGATCCATCTCACATACGCGCTGTTCAGCGAGAATACTCCTTGGCTCACAAACAAGAAAAAACGACATCTAGGGTTATGCAGACCGAGTCCGCGTGCAAGAGAGCTGGGCTATCAAAATCCCGGAAAATATCGGCGATGAGGAGGGTGCTCCGCTGTAAGTCATAATTAAAACACAGAAGGGTCCATTAAAACACACATCATGCTAACAGATAGCCCTTTCTGCCGTAGGTTATGCGCTGGTATTACTACGTAAGTAATAGCATCGTCGCTTTGTTCATGAGTTGTTTGTGAACGTACTGTTGATAAATGCTCTCTCCGTATAAAGATACCTGCCTTTCAAGCATTATCAAATTGGAAAGGATGCCACTGTAGGCATTGTAGGTATTGGAGGCTTGGGCCACTTGGCGGTAAGTGCTTGCAACAAAACTATGGATACTCCGACTTCCAGATGTTAATCAAGCCAATAGATTCAATGGGCGAAAGCGAAGCAATGCAGACGCATCGTTGCAATTTCTTCATCGTCGTCAAAGGCTCAGGAAACTGCTCAGTTGGGCGCTACAGATTTCGTCGTATTGAAAGAAGGAATTCCAGCCGAGTTGAATCAAAGCATTGATTATCTGTTTGTGTGCGGCAGTGGCAAGTCGACCGACTGGGGTGCCTTGCTTGGTCTGATCAGGACACGCGGTAAAATGATTTTGCTTGATGTGCCGGAGCAACCTGTTGCACTCCCTCCGGCCGCGTTTCTCTATCGCCATATCAGCATTGTAGGTAGTTTTGTCGGCAGCAATGGCGATTTACAGGAAATGCTCGATTTTGCCAGTCAAACCGGTGTGCGTCCTTGGATCCAGAAAGTGGGCAATTCCTTAAACGAGGTGAACCGTGGAGTGGAAATGCTAATGACCGGTCAAGCCCACTATCGTATTGTTATCTGCGGCGAAGGAAGACAATAAGGATCATATTTACAGAAGAAAGTCAGACAAGAAGGACGGCTAGAGTCCAACTGTTATTTATTTTTTTCAGAGACATATAGGGAGAAGAGGATGATGTTATTAGAGAGAATAAATTTTTTTCTCATCAGTGAAGAGAATGGAATAAGACGTTTGGTGTGGAAAGCTCATAGTTTTGCATGATTTGTGACGCCCATTCAAAGATTCATATTTCCTGAAAACTTGAAATTTCCTGCAAGGCTCTTTTATCTTTTTGATCTTTGTTTCTCTTTTTTTATTCAACCATCAAGCATCCATGCTTCACAAAGGCACCTACAGCGACGAAGAAATTCGACAACTCATCTCTCTGCTTCATGAACATGTCAACCATTGGTCCTCTGATGGAACCGCCAGCGTCGTGGAAGTGTATATTCGACCGAGAATGCGGCGAACTCGACGATCCCTTTTGCAAGTCATCAGCAAACTTTTAAAAATCTATCGATCACTCAAGACCGGCAAAGACAAACAAGCCTGGCAATACTACGACTCTTTCCATATGCTTATGAACTGCTTCCATGCCAATGAAAGTTCAGATACTGACGCGACACAAACTGCAGAATGTCGTCAAAACATTGCCTCCAACCCGACTATCATCACCGACGATAAGGAATTTAGTAGACTGGAAATTGATCGCGTGCTTCAATTCTTGAACGAAGATAGACTATCTGATACGCTAGCCTTCCCAACTTATACTCAGCGAGGGGTTATTTACTCTATCATGGCTCGATATGAACGAGAAGAACAATTGAAGGAACAAGGCCACCCTATCTCCTGGAAATGGTATGGTACGATTGAAACCTACTTGAAGCAACGGCAAAATCGCTCCCGATCATCGCCGCAGACATCCTTCTCAACCACAAGCCCTCAATCCTCCACCACGCGGCTTCTCGATGAAGAAGTATCTTGCGAATCAAATCCACGTAAAAGTAAATGTTATGTCACGGAAAATCACCCTACACACAAGCCTATTCATCCCTTTTTCTTATAGACACTACGAATTACCATCTCCTCCGGCACAATAGCAAGATCATGAAGAAACAAATGACCAAGCATAGCCGAAAATCCTTCAAGAAAGCGTATAACGACAAGGAGCGGGAGCGGCTGGACCATGTGATGAGATTATCAAAGGTTGATTCCTTATTGGAAACTCTCGATACGATTCGACAGGATCTTTTGGCCGAGCAACAGAAACTGATGAACGAGCATCAGCAAGAACTCGAGTATTTCAATGCGGAAGCGGCCCGATTCCAACATTGGGTACGCGAACAGAACGAATGAATGGCAAGTTCAATTTTTGCTTCTATTTCGCTTCTTTTTTTCTTGCTTTTTTGGCTAAAAATGACTAAGTACACCGAGACACAATAATTTAATGATGATGGGCATCCACAGACTTGACATTGTAACCGATCAAGTTTCTACGACCAATGATCTCGCCAATTAAGAAGAAAGTGTAAATTTCAGCTGCGACAACACCACCCTGAGCGATATCCCTCCAGGTAAGGTTCTTGAGAGCGGCCACGTTCATGTTCTTTTGGATGATTTGACGAGCCTGAGTAAATTGCTCACCGCTAGGGAAAGCCATGCCTTCCTTGACATACACTTGTTTTGCGATTTCACCAGCAACCTTGGCATTATACACAATGGGACGTTGCAAAGCTACCAAAGGACCCAACAACGCATCAGCTTATTCCTTTTTCTCGAGCCCTCGTAAAAATAAAAATTCTCTTACCAGTAACCTTGGACAAGGTAGACTGAAGCGCACCAATGAACTTGCTAGCAGACATTTTTGTTGGACAGGGACAGAGGAAGCAGCCCCAAATTGTTTGGTAAACATGCCGAAATCTGGATCGCGGGGTTTTATATTTAGGTTGCTTGCGTCATCATTTTCTTAGCAAGTTGTAAAAAAGACATTGCGATTGAAACCTCAAGACTTCCTATATGAAAATAATAGGCACTTCAATTGTAAACTTCAAACGATGTATTTAAGGCTCGGTATTAATATTACAGATTAAACAGCTGATACTTGAAATATTATTAGCGACTTGGGGACGCCCGCAGAGTTCATCAGGACTACACTATTCAACGATATCTCTAATTACGGGTACAGTTCACCTAGAGATAATCTTGCACAATAAAAGTATTGTTCAAAAGGTGGATCATTCGGTAACCACCCATCCAAAAAAAGAAGTAACATGAAACGCGAATGAAAATTTGTCATGCCATGATATTATGAAAAAAAAAAAAAAATGTTTCTAAATTCTTACAAGGTCTTTGTATGGATGCTTACAAACAAATGAAGTATTATACTCGAGCTTTGAAGATCCTTAATTTCTTATCTTCACCACCACTGAGAATTCTTTCACCATCCCAATCGACGCTGAGCATCTTGTCCTTCTTTGATGCATCCTCCGCATCGATTGTGTACAGCGAACCTTTGCTTCGGATATCCCAGACACGAATTGACGAATCGTAAGAACCAGAACACAAAGCATATTCCGAATTAGGAGCCCATGAGACTGACGACACCCACGCGGAATGACCCCTCAGAGCAAGTTTTACATTTGTGCCATCTACAGCAAATTTTATACGATAAGAGTCCAACCCTTTGCTTTTTGCAAATGGATGTCGCGCCTGACAAACACATACCTTCCGAACGAGGATCCCATAGACGGATGATATTATCAGCGTGACCTGTCGCCAATAATCGAGCTTTGGCCGAATAATCCACGTCGAGCACCACTTTCTCGCAATTCTATGGGTAATATGCGGAACAGTTTAATACCATAATACGCTCGGTTTCGCACTCATTAGTAGATTCTGTACCTTGGTAACCAGGTTGACTTGCTGTTCTACATCCCAAGAACGGATCGAATGATCCCACCCACCAGTATATACAATATTCGAATCAGTTGTATCAAATGCCACAGCATTGACACCGCCAACGTGACCCGTTAAAGTGAGTGCCGCGGTCTAATTAAAAAAAAATACACTGTTAGAATTGCGTTGACCATGTGTTTGTCACGAATATACACGCAGTACCTTGATTTTACGACCATCCTTGGGTTCCGTCTTCTTTCTCTTTTTCGATCCGCCCTCTGCATTCTCACGCTCATCATCCACAGGCACTTCAGTCTTCCAAACTTTGATGGTTGCATCAGCAGAAGCACTGGCGATCTACACAGCAGAAAAATCATTGAGTCACCCGATCTAAGCAAAGGTAGTCAATGGTTCCTTACAAATTTGTTTTTGGTATCTACAGCGATCGCTTCAACGGGTGCTTTGTGGCCTTTGCATTCGTATAATACTTGATGATGATCATTGTCAAAAGAATACTACATTTACCAAATTCGTTAGTTCTGACATTGAGCAAGCAAGAAACTTGGCATAAATTTTTTTGATACACACCTCCCAGGCAAGTACACTGTGATCTAAGGAGCCCGAATACACTTTGACGTTATGATCTATGTAACCGAAAATGCTGGGTCAATACGGAAAGGTGCAGAAAGCAAAGTAAACCTCTTCAAAATTACCATTCACGGCACCAAATGCTACGCTCTTGACAGAATCAGTGTGTCCGGATAATGTAGCAATACATTGACCTGAAGTGTTCCACAGTCGCACCATGTTATCGTACGATCCAGTAAGGAACAAGCTAATTATTCAACAAACAGATAATAAGTTCCATGTTATTTCAATCTACCGATTCTGATGCCGTACCCTTTGGAACCTTGAACTGAGCTGATCCAATCGTCATGTTGAAATGCCGAAAGTGGTGTAGGAGGAAGCATCGATTCGACATACTCGATGGTGATTACATTTTCCTAGAGTAAGCCGATCAGCTAACGATTCCGGGCTGTGGATTCAAATGATCGATCGCTTACCGTTGACAGGCGCTTGTTCGTCAAATATTCGGCAATGCTGGTACGCAAAATTTCACCGTCAATCAAAAAGTCGAAAGGGACAGGTTTTTCTGCAAGCGAATAAAATAATATGAGCTACGAGTAATGAGAAACCATCTCGATACCATGATCGCTTACCGTGACCGAGCAGGTTGTTAATGATCTCAGAAAGACCATATCGTTTAAAGTTGGAAGGGACCAAGATTGGCGCATCGTTTACTGCATACTTGACTTGTTGCGTGGTAAAACGCACTTGGACTTGTTCCTGTTCACTGGACATGATGTAGGTTCAAAATGGACGACACACAACGCAATAGCGGGAATCATCCACTGGGTCAAAAAATAATTAGTCTCGACGTGATCCGGTGGCTTATCCCTGGAGCGAAACTGTGACCGTTTTGTATTGCCTCTCTCTATGGAACGAGTTCTTAAAATGTGCAAGTCGCTTCCTCTGGGCTGTGTCATGCCCATGTTTGGGCCTTTTAAAAAGCTACTATGAACAATTTGAACGATTGATATTAAATAAATGTACTGATAAAGGTCATGACTGTCTGATAGCTATTGACCAAATTGAGAAAAGGAAAACTACTTGCGATTTTCTTCCCCTTCCCGTAGATGTTTACGAGTGCAAAAAATGAGCTACAGGCTATGTACAATTTCAATGCCAAGGTTTATTATCCACCATAGATGATATTCCGGCTGCATCAAAAGCACCTGCAAGTTTTTCCAAAGAACTTTATGCAAAAATATCCAAATGACTCGTCTCATTGGCGAACACGCAGAAAAAGACGGTCACATGCTTCATTGGGCAACCGTGCTCAGAAATCGCAGCAGTGCAGTGCTGTTTCCGCCGTATTACCCAGCTAGCCCACTAATGGAATACCCATTGGATACGGATTCTTTCGACAACACCATTGAAAAAGCGAGGGAAACACTGCGAAAAATTAGGGAACACAGATATGAGCAGTATCTGAGAGAGGCCGATGCCTACCGAGAACAAATCGAGAAACAACGCGAAGACAATGTGCATGTACTGGAAGATAATGTCAAGGGTAAAAGCAAAGCCTTTTTCTTGTGCTCATTCACCACTTGTCTTACTGAATTGTATTATACAGCGCTAGAAGCTCGTTTAAAAGCCCTGAAAGCTGCTTGTTTTGAGCTTGACCAACACAACGATACCTGTCAACACACCATTGCCGAACTACAACAGAACGAGGAACAACTGATCGCGGAAAATGGAACCATAGAAAAAGAGAACAAAGAACTAGAGGAACAGATTCAGCGACTCAAAAAAGAAGCCGAAGCTGGTGACCAGTTGCCAAATGAAGGTTTATCCGATGCTGTCTCGTAAGCTGATTTTTGGTTTTTATGTGACCTTGTTGTCGAGAAATACTGAAACGCGGGATCGAACAGATTACAGTTGGCCATTTATCACAGCTTGGGCATACGAATGGTACAAAATGATCAAGCCATCTTCAATAAGGCTGTTATAAGTAAATATACTTTCTGGTAAAGAATGGTTTTCAAAATGCATCACTAACCATAATCATATAGCATCGCCAGATCAAGGACGAGTACGAACGGTATCCCTGGAAGGTCTTTCGTCTTACTACGCCGCAAAATATCTGTGGAATGCCATCACACCACCACCATCATCACGTAAATAATATCATTTATATCCTTGCATGTTACCTTCAATACTTGATATTTATACTTTTACACTGCATATAAAAAAATATCATTAAGATTTTGATAAAAATAAGCTCTATAACTCTAAAAATGATGCTTGAAAATCTAAAAACATATATGAACATAGGGTAGGTTATCTTTTGATCTCTCATTTCGCTTGAATTTTTTGGGGAACTTTCTTTTGTTTTTAAGGATTTGACGGTAGGGTAATGATGTGGCATGCGAAAGGACGGGCAGGTGTATATGGCGTTTTTAAACGATGATGGGGACAGGACGATGCTTTGCTTTTGCCATCGATGAATTCAGTGGCGTTGTTGGAGGCGCGGGATCTTTTTCGTCGACGGGGTCGTTGTGGAATAAATTTACCAAGTTACTCATCCAAGATGTTTGCCTTGCGGGTTTTTGACTTGGATTCGTTGGTTCAGCCGACGTGCGGGCAAAGGAGGGAATCCAGGAAGCATCAGGAGTCTTGGATAAAGCTTCCGTCTCCTCGGTGATGGTTTGCATTTTCATTGATTGGTCAATACGGCGAACGTAATCCGCCTGCAAGTCGTTCAGTGTAAGTCGCAAATCAGCTACCTCCCGGAGAATCATCTGGATCGTTTTTAGCAGGGCAGTAAACACGGTTATTGCTTGCTCTTCTTTACAGCTTGGTATGGTGACACCGAGGCTGTCCGAAGTGCCCGATAACAAATCGAACCGTTGCTTGCATTCTTCAATATCGATCAATATGTTTTGAATGATGGAATTGCTCATATCGCTTAGTTCCGACATGTCAAACGCCCGGTGTAAACGACGATTCAGCTTTCGAGGATCCGTGGCGCATAGACGTTCAAAGAGTTGATGAGCTATCAACTGAAGCGCACTGTAAGATGATTGAACATGACTCTGCCACTGCGACTCTTCTCCGGTAATTGTTTCAGGCGACAGGGATGTATCTTCTTGCAATAATAACGAGATGGACGGTTTATCAAAAGACAGAACAGACGATGACGATGGCGAAGGGTATCCTGATATGTGTGGAATACAAGAAATGTTTTTAAGTAACGAAGTGGTTTCATTGATGGCGAAGCCGTTTACCATGTTCTCGTTTGGGATCTCGTGTTTCTGGCAATGGCGCTGGCGGAGCGTTTGAATCCTTATTTGTATCAGCGCAAGTTTCGTACACGGAAGAAATCTGATGTGAGATTGCATGATTTAGCGGATCATTACGGCAAAACAATGTGAGGGTGCTTACCTGGAGAAGGCCTTGGCGTAACTGCTCATTATAGCATTTCATTTGGGAAAGAACTCCGTTTTGCACGACAAACATGGCTAATTCGTGATGTTCCCGAGTTAAAACCTCATTGGCGGCCCGAGCATCTTCTAAAAAGATGTCATTTTTTTTTAAATCAATGGAAATCCCTAAGAGGAGTAAGAAGAGACGCGCTTACCATACTTTTCTTGCAATCGCTTGTGTTTATTTTGCCACATCAGCTCGTTTCTTCGCGTCATTGTTATTTCTTGTTTCAAATCATCCATCTAAATGTTTGAAGGGGCAAACCAGTTGCGATGGTTGACACAAGTTTGAGAGCGGGTTCATGAATGAGCACAAACGGTCTTAAACAAGAATATACCTGGTTACGCAATTCATTTTCAATGTTATTTTTTAAGCTTAGCATCTGTTCACAAAGTTTGAGTCTGGAAATTTCTTGTGTATAATTTTCGAGTTTTGCCATCATTTCTTTCGAATGTTCTCTCGAATATTTCACTTCCAACTGAAGCAACTGGATCATCTATAGTCATGCCAACGTTTTAAAAACATTCATCATGAGCTTTCTTGTAGTTTGATGGATCTAACCTCTTGTGCATTTTGTGCATTCCATGCAAGTTTCTCATTTTCTCGTCGTAGTGCGTCCCGTTCGTTGATTGCCTGCTGCAGCGTGTTCTCTTCTTCCTACGATGATTTCAAGAAAAAGAAAAGGTAAAATTACTTTGGGTGTCATTGTTTCGAAATTGAAGTGATTCATACAGCAATGGATATGCGTGGGGAAACTGCGTATTTGCCGCAGCGGGATTCATGGTCCTTTTTCTCAAGTAATAATGCTTGTCCCAGTTCTGGAAACAATGGATTGTGTCAATAAGTCTGTTAATGAGTTTTAGACCAATGCATTTTCCCGGTACAATCCCGGGCGAAGCTACCCACCTGCAGCCAATTGAGCATCATGCTCCATCCTTCTGTACGCTTCGTTGAATAAGCGCAGTCGATCGCATTCGATATTATGGCAGCAACATTCGAAAGTAGTTTTGTCCCAGTCATTCAGATTGCGTACATTGATGGACATCATATTTTCCATCGGGAAAATAACCGTTTAAAAGTTGGGATGCTTTTAAATGGAAAGGATGGGCAAAATTGACTTTGGCGGATTCGACACTGCCTCTATTTAAAATACGGAAAAAAAATCTGTAACTGTATCACACCCGGTTCTTCCTATTTTCTGTGAGTTGAAACGTCAAAAAGTTCCTCGTACTCGTTATTTTCTTTCTTTTTTCTCCGATCATCCAAATCCCTCAAACCTTTTGAGCAGTAATACCCTCTTCATGTATTTACATAGTAATGATACACATACAATTCTTCAGAGTGATGCTTATTACTGAAGTAAAATACAAAAGCCGGAGCGTTGCTTCCGAATATTGCCTGGTGCATATCAAGACATTGATTTCTTCATGCATTAACTGAGAATAAGGATACTGCTCTCCTCGATCGTGCATTGATCATTTATGTTGTTGATTATTCTTACTGTTTCTACCAAGACTGTTATAATTTTCATTGATAAATTAGACTTTTTGGAACTCGAAGCACAGCGTGATCATGGGAGCGCTATTTTCCTTGCATCACAAGAATTTTCATGTGGGGGGACAGTGAAATTTTCTGGGTTCGGAATGCCTTTTTATGTTGGTCGCATAATCAAGGCAGCGGTTGATCATCAATCTGGGAGTTTATTTATTGAAACTCAGTCACGCGCAACATTGGGAAAAATGGAGGCCACTCACAATGGGTGAAGTGAATTTCCAAAACAAGACACGGTGACGTTTTTCTCTTTTCTTTCTTTCCATAACTTTTCTTTTTTTTTATCTTGTCTTTAATAGGCTCAAGTCACTTTTACACTTGCTCATAATGTCGATCAATAACAGCAGAATGCGTATCGGCCAATACCATATTATCAAAACCATTGGCACAGGCTCATTCGGCAAAGTCAAACGTAGGCCATTCATAAACCACGTTGCAAAAAACGTCGCTCAATAACGTAAAACTCATTCTTCCACTTTTTCAATTGCATACAGTTGCCGTTCACGCAATTACAGGACAAAAAGTCGCTCTCAAAATTATCAACCGAAAGAAGATCGCTAGCTTGGATATGGGCGGCAGAGTCAAACGTGAAATTCAATACCTAAAGCTGTTACGACATCCCCATATTATCAAGCTGTAAGTGAATGAGGCGCCATCGAACACATGCACCATTCTGACAGTTGAATGACCATCGATAGATATGAAGTTATTACCACTCCAACAGATATAATCATGGTTATTGAATATGCAGGCAAAGAACTGTTCAACTATATTGTGGAGAAAGGAAAGGTACATTAACGACCCGACCGTTCAGTCATGATCTGTTGATGCTTATCTCCGCTTATCAATTATTCTCCAAAGATGGCAGAAGACGATGCTCGACGATTTTTTCAACAAATCATATGCGCTGTCGAATACTGTCACCGTCATAAAATCGTTCACAGGTAAATTAACCTCCCCGTTCTTGGGTGTCTTCCAACATTACATCTAATACTTTGGCTTATGTAGAGATCTAAAACCAGAAAAGTGCGTTTCTTCGAAGATTATTTTACCATTTATCAAATTGCTGACTTTTTTCTTCTTTGGTGCAGTCTGCTGCTAGATAGCAATAACAACGTAAAAATCGCCGACTTTGGTTTATCGAATATCATGACGGATGGTGACTTTCTGAAAACAAGTTGTGGCAGTCCAAACTATGCAGCTGTAAGTGGAAAAATGCAAACACAGTGATAATATGTCTAATTCATAAATTGATCTGAGGGCAGCCTGAAGTGATTTCTGGAAAGTAAGCATTGACGAAAGAAGAAGCAAATCGACGTTTTGTCATACTGATCGTTTTTCATGGCCAGATTATATGCAGGACCCGAAGTCGACGTTTGGAGTTGCGGTGTTATCCTCTATGTCATGCTGTGCGGCCGTTTGCCCTTTGACGACGAATATATTCCGACACTGTTCAAAAAAATCAATGGTACGTTGTGGAAGCAAGTTTGTGGTTAGGCAATCCTAACCAGTGTACAACCACAGGTGGCATCTATACCATGCCGTCCTTTTTAAGCCCTGAAACAAAATATCTTTTAACCTCCATGCTTGTCGTCGATCCTATGAAACGCATCAGTATACAAGAAATAAGGTATGTAGTATTCGGAGGTGCTTCTCTTTCGTATTTCCTTGGCGACATTTTAACCTTGGAGAGGACAGACAAAATCCATGGTTCAACACAAATTTGCCGGCATACCTTCGCCCATTACCAAATACAGAAGCAGACAGTTGCCTACCTATTGATGATGATATTATTGACGAGTTAAGCAAGGTTAGTGAAAGATGAGCATACATGGCTCTTTTTTTGTGTGATAATCTGTCTTACCCCAAATTCAAAGAAAATGAACTATCCTAGCGAAGTCATCCACAGAGCTCTACAAGAACCTGAGAATAATCAATTTAAAGTTGCCTATCAATTGGTCATTGATCATAAGAGACTATTAAGGGATTGTAAGTAGGGTGAAAACGAAAACGCAAGTAAGAAATTGCCTCATTTAACCACACCGTGTCATAGCTGAAAACAACGATATCCAAAGCTTTTTTGCGACATCGCCACCGCCTTGGAATTCCACTTTTGAGGTAAGATGGGTTATTTACCAAAGGGATACTGGGGTTGGCTGATTTTTTTGGCCTATAGGATCGAGTGCAATCAATCCATCAAGAGCCAACAGATGATTCGCACAATGATATTGCATCCTCCATTAATGTTCTCAGCTCTAGTTTACCAAACTCCGATATTCATGTACCAGGTACGCATATGCCACATGCTGATATAGTGGTTGTGATCATCTTCAACTGATGCGACCCACTGTTGATAGCAGGCCGTGAACGATCATCTTCCCGAGCGTCCGCATCGAATGCTCAACCGATAGCCCCTATGTCAAGCACACCACCACCGGGAGCCATGGTTCCACCTGCGTCTCTGAACCGCGGCAACTCTACCAGTAGCCGATCGGGTCATCCACGACATCTTTCTACGACCTCGGCAACTCAGAAACGACCATCGAAATCACGCACAAAATGGCACTTTGGTATTCGAAGCAAATGTCCGGCATGGGAAGTGATGCTGGAAATCTACCGATCATTACAAAACGTTGGCATGGTAAGATTTATATACAGGAAAATGTCCTAATTTGCGCAAAGCATTAATTCCGGCTGTTAATGTATTGTAGGAGTGGAGAAATATTGACATGTACCATTTAAGGTGCCGTTACCGCTATGAAAGACTAAACCTTGTCGTGAAGTTCGACCTTCAACTGTACAAACTCGATAACAACAGCTACCTGGTGGATTTCAAGAGCGTTGAATCATCCAAATCAGGAACTGGCGCAGGCAATCTTGGACATCCTCCGTTTTCTTCGCTGGAAGAAAGTATGAAACGCAATCTTCAGTCTCTGGAACAGTTGCAGTTTTCTGATCAGAAGGACGGTACAATTCGTCTGGGAGACTGGATAGTGGATGAAAAGAACACAATAGAACATACTCCGAGCGTGTACCCGTTTCTCGATGTTTGCAGCAAGTTGATTACTGACATTGTGTAATGATATTGTATAGTTGATTCCTTCCTTTCTGCCTTACTCTTTTTTTTTTTTTTTAATTGCAATCTGTATCCTTCCCCGCTTTCTGAATACAAATCATTACGAACAGATATCGTGCTGTATTGTACCAAAGTAGAAGGCTTTTATCTGTTATGACGTTGAACCTGAGTGGATTCTTTGTTCATTTTTCTTCATTGAATAGATATAAGAAGAACAACGGAAAGGCTGCGAATGGTGAACGGATTAAAGGCGGATAAGCGAAGAGTTTGCTAAAATGTCACAGATGGTTGTAGATAAGCAGGTTTTGGCGGGAGGCATAAACGAAGAAATGGGATTTTAAAAGACCAGACAATGATGCTGGATGCAGAGGGCTCGAAAAAGCAGGCTAAAGCTGGTCAATTTTGACTTTGGCAGCAGTCAATGATTACCGATCACTGACTTTCAGTAAGCAGTTCATCGCATCATTGCTCCATGCGACTACTCAGGTTACTCACTTGGGTCTTGTCATGAACTCGGAAAGAACCTCGAGGCATTCAGTGGTTTGAATTGCACCTGCTCTTTCAAGTTTATTGTCCGGTGATTGACTGCTTGCCACTGCAAGTATACGGCTGATGATTTCTTAGTAATCCGTTGCGGTTAAAGAGATATTATAACGCGGCTCTGGTCCATCAAGAAGCGCATTGAATATTTGCGATACGATCTTTATAGCGCCAGAATAATAGATGGATTATTTAATGTGGCTTCCTTGTTTGCGAACTCTTGCTGTGATATGTAGTCGTAGCCCTTTTTTCTTCCTTGTCCATTGTCTCAAGTGCAACCATGCCGCCAATTTATTAGGTTTACCTTGCAATGGTTTCGCTACCGCTTTTCTTTTCCACTGCTAGTTAGCTTTTTGGTATTATGTCAAGCCCATATTTGCCTACATGTAATGTTTGGCGAACGTCGAACTACCGCAATGACACAAGGTTTTCATCATATGACCGATATTTTTCTTGTTAGGAACGCCTTCTGTATGTTGTTCTGACAAATTTCTTGTACGCTCGAAACAGTCTTTCCAACCTAATTGCACCGCTCTGCTTCCTCTTTTGACCTTCCATCCCTTACCTCCAATATAAGCCATCATCTTCTTAGTAAAGTACCAATCAAAGCATCTCATCGTGGCTCATGTAGTCGCGTAACTGACTTACTCTATTGTTCTTAAAAAAAGAGAAAAGAATACGCAGTAAACTTCTCTTTTTAGGTGAATGACGATGACCATATTATTTTTCTTTGCTGTTCCTTTATTTTCAACGTTGATTCATGCCATCAGAAACGGCCCCGGCTATGCATGCACCTTTTCCCTTTCTTTACACTTGAACTACAGTATCTGATTTACACACATTTTCGGTTGCACCTATTGAATTTTTTTTTTTGAAAAAAATAAAAATAAGAAAACACGCGCTCCTATTGGACCAGAATTATTTCAGCTCCGCCGTCCAAAAATTTCAAAAATTGATTCCTGCCAGATTCGAACTGGCGACCGTCTGTGTGTTAGACAGACGTGATAACCAACTACACCAAGGAATCTTGTTTTTATAGTTGTGTTGTAACATTTATTCGTGCAAAAAACAAAAGGCCAGTCACATAACAGTCACACATTGTTTTTTAGGGCAGCTTAATTTTTCTATATCGTCGTTTGGTCTGATGGTGCGTTTGGTGAATAGCGTTGTAAGGTTTTTTTTCGGGGCTGGTTGGTAAGGCGATTGTAATGTTGCAGTAAGTAGATAAGTTTCAGGTTGTTGTCTTTGAGCACCTGCTATATGAGGAAACGATATGTATCAGATCGTAAAGTTCGTCTGGTAAAGTAATTGGCATGTCATTCACTGCTTTATTTCGGATCGAAATATTTATATCAATAAAGATACTCTATTTTCTAGCTATGGTTTTGGTGGATCGGTCAATGGAAATGATGGTTCGGTTATTGGAGAAGAGTATATCCGCTAATGGAAAACGGTACTTCGGTTAATGGAAAAACGGAACGTCGGCAGGTGATAAACCAAACATTGCTGCAGGAAATCAAAAGAGGATCTGAGAAAAAATCAGGGCAGCAGAATGAAATCGGCGATCACAGCCACGAAGGAGAATTTTCGTTAACAATGTCCTATATGGATCATCAAACCATGTCCTTGAGCTTATCCTTTATTCAGAGATGGTCGATATTCAACCATTGACTCAATTATATTTTCCTAAGCATTTTTTTTGCGTGTGTTTCTTATTTTTTTTTATTCTTTTTATGTTACCGAAGTCCTTTTTACCTTCAGAAAAGTTACACCTAAGGAATATCAATCTGAAAAGACCCTGTAACAATATAATTTTCAAACCGTCGATGTCCTGATATAAAAGATGATTGTGCTTTTCTGAAGATAAAAGGGACTTCGGTAACATGAAAAGAATAAAAAAAAAATAAGAAACACACGCAAAAAAAATGCTTAGGAAAATATAATTGAGTCAATGGTTGAATATCGACCATCTCTGAATAAAGGATAAGCTCAAGGACATGGTTTGATGATCCACATAGGACGTTATTAAGCATACTCGGTATATCACGAAGCATATATCATCTTAGGAAAAAAAATATTTGGAAAGTACTCCAAAAATATTCGAATATTTGGATACTCAAATTTGTAAAAAATCAGGGATTTTCCGATTATTTTTCGAGTATCAAATTAAATACTTATGAATATTTTTAGAGTATTTTCCGAACCTATGTTATATTAGGTGTAATGGGAGCAAGTTTAGATTAAAAAGCAAACGTTGTAAAACAGGAAAAAACGAGAAAGCAGACAGGATCACGATCGGAACAGGAACAGGACAAGAAATGGATTTTCACAAGATCAATTTGATACAAATCTATTAATATAGATGATGGGTGTTTGTATGCTAAGTGGATAAGAGAGCGCATGGTATTAGACGAGCTCTGGAGAAGATATTGAAATAGTTCGGCGACGGTTACAGTATGTGGTTGTTGAAGTCTTTTTGTCGGTTTGCCATAGAATGATCTTGCGATGATGATAATTTCACTTCTCAATTTTTTTTAGGACCAAAAGATTAACTGATTTACGCGATTACATCGACAGATGGTAAAGCCGACACAGCACCACGACCTTCAGTTATGCATCCTCCAGAGCGTTGTCCTGCGATCACCAACAAGTTTGACTTATCTGCCTTTGTTTAAAAAGTCATATAAAAAGATCTGAAAGAAGAGACAATGATGAATGACTATCAAAAACATGTGTGAACTTCTTGTGATTGTTGTATTACTGAAAAGAGAATAAAGTCTAGCCTGGGACCGCATAAGATAATTTTTACATTTGGAATCCGACACGACACTGACATAACAATAAAAAATTTCAATTTTTCTTGCAACTAGGTTATTTTTGGTACAGGATAGATGAATTATAAGGCTGCGCGATAGATGGTGGTGACGGGAAGATATTGGAGGATTGTAACGACGGATGAACGGATGGTGGAGATGATGATGGGTTAGAATTCGTTGCTGAAGATTCGCTCAATGAATTGAAAGGCGCGTCAGTTATTCCGGATAACCAAGATGTCGAAATGGATGGAAGTGTAGGCGCACTCGTGGATGAAGTCGTTATAATGCCATTACTCGTTGGCAACGGAAGTGAAAGATCGTGCGCAGAGACCAAAGGTAACGAGGAAGTCGACGCTGGAGATGACGGTAATGACGACGAGAATGACGGGAAACCTTCTTGCGCCGGTATCGATGAGTGCGCAGGGGGATTGGTACTGGATTGTGTTGGAGAGGAATAAGACATGTGCGTACTGAGAGATGATGATGACGAGGACTCCAATGGCTGAGGTGAGTAGGATGGCAAAACGGTACTGCGAATCGTCGATGAATGATCTGGTATTGAGGAAGGACATGGGGGAGGAAGTATGGAAGCGCTGGGTGACATTTTCGTTGCTTTATCAGTGATCGAATTGCTTATCGAGGGAGATATGATAGGTATTGAATTGTGATGTGCCGCCGTAGATGAATCTGGCATTGACTGTCCGAAAGATCCCGCTAGTTCTGGCACCTGTCCTGCGTTCAGTAAAACACCATGGTTTGCCTCCTCTTCATCGTCACTGGTCAAGTCAATCACTTCAGAAACTGCTCGCCTTGACACTGGATTTTCGATTACTGGGGTCCATGGCGAATCTGCAGTTTTCTGTCGTTGTGCATCAGTTCCATCACTGTGTTGTGTGCTATCGTTTCGTATGCTTTCATCTGCATGCGTTGAATTGCTGTCTTCGTCAGTGCCATCATCCTCCAAAATAGTGACAGAAGCATCGTTCGGTGCCTGGAAATCGTAACCATCCTCGTGATCATTCTCGCGTTTAACCCCTACCACTTTCGGAGGCAGCTCTTTCAGATCTTCATCAAGCAACCTTAATTGACCGTCAGGTTCAATCCGTACGCGTTCAACATCGTTTGGCATTTTGGCCAATATGTCTGCAAAATATCCATCCACGACCAAATCCTGAAACGATTCCAGTTTACGCGAGCATACGGGGCATGACCAAGTTGGCGTCTGTTCGTTCATACTCAAAAAGTTGGTGGCGTCGAAACACTGTATATGATGGCAAGCCGAAGGACGACAGGGTGTCACGATACGTGTAAAGCCAAGCTAAGGAAGAAACCCAATCGTCAGACAAGGCACCTCAATGAGAGCATCGAATATACGAAATAAGAATGATGTCACTTACTGGGCACTTTGTGGAAATCGTCTCGGAATCAAGAACAATGTCATCATCTGCATTTTGCGCTTCCACTAATTATTTAAAAAAAATGAAGAGTTGTTAGCAAACGCCTGGGATGGCCAGCGGCACATTTTTTCTTCTTTGTCTTGGATTTTTTTCATTTTCCATATACTAACACTTTGCCAAAACATTCTCTTTTGATAGCCACTGTTTTTCCTTCAGAAGATTGATGAGAGAGGCAATGGGATGTCGCTTGACAAGTTGAACTGTAGCAACAAAATTCTATACTTTACCATTAGTCCAAGTCCCGCTTTGAATTAAACATGTGTGCTTACTCTTGCCGTATTAGCATATGTCAGTTCCAGTTGATTGGCTCGATCGATATAAATCATATTTGTCACATCCAGAGGATTTACTGTCCCAGGACGATTTTTCAACCCTCGATATGCCTAAAGCACAGAAAAGTCAAGAAGGAGAAAACGTTAGAAAAATGAACCTGGTTTGTTCTGTTTCAACCGTGCAAGACTTACCGAAGAAGGAATAATATGCCCATTTACTTTGATCTCGCATAGGCCAGGAAATTCAATGACATGCTTAGTATTGAGATTCGCACCCTGGAAATTGGAAGCATGCTCGGAACAAAAAAACCGGATTTGATAAAGGGGACGATTATCGTCGGCAGGTGCTTCGTTCAAAAGTGATCGCTGAGCATTATTAAAACTGAAAACGAACGACGCCGAGTTTCGAGAATTCACCGCTTCTAAAATTCAAGCAAGATCAATTCCATGATTCTTTTTTTTTTTTGGCATTCAGTTCTTTGATTCAAAATAACTCACTTGGACAATATTTTGGGCCGGCTATCTTCTCCTTGATTTCATAAAACGGACTGTCCTTGTACTGGATGGCTGTGGACGGGGGTGATTGCAGCAAAGTGGATTTTGGTAATAAGGAACTGGGATCGGTCCGAGCCTCGTCATTTGCATGCATGTTCGTTAATGCTTCGTGCGGTAAATCAATCATGCGGTAAAATCGATGATTTTGATAGCAAACATGATGGACCCTAAAGAACATATTAAAAATTTGAATGCTTGTAATTTATCTAGAGAAGCTTCTGGCAAATAGATAACTTACAATAACCCAGCATGCTTATTCAGAGATGGAAGAACGGTCTGGATCTCACGTTCCTTGTGCTGTAAGTTGAGTTTTTCGAAGAATTCCAATACTCGATCAATAAGGGCGTGCTTCACTCCGGTTATAGTTAGACGGTATCCTTGAGCATTTATTTCACGAATGAGCTCTTTCAGATCCACCACCCGAAGTCGGGTCAGTAAAGGTTCTATCACCGTTAGATGCTGTAGATGAACGGTTAGTTTCGAGCGTCAAGACCGGATTTATATTATGTAAAATTCATCACAAAACTACTCACCGAGTTCGTATCCATTCCTTCCAAATTGTTCAGTGCTATTTAGAATGACTTGAAGCTGGAACCGATCTAACGAATGATCATCAAGTCAGCGATCTAAAATCTCAAGAATTGCGTTGGCTCGAGAAGTAACAACCCCGTCTATACGGTCGATGGAATATTGGGGTCCGGCTGCATACTCGAAAATGATGGGCATCGATCGCTTTTACCTTGTCGTGATTATCAATAGGCTGAATTAAAGCCTCTACTTGAGAAGAAAGACGGTTTGGGACAGAGAAACTGTTGCAACAATACTCAAAGGACCGGTGCATCAAAGATGCCAGAGGGCACTATGTGACTGCCAAGTGACCTTTTAACCAATGAAAGCATCTGCTGCATTTTTACGTACGAACCGTTTGAAGGACGAACATCACCTGACTTTACTGTTCCTATCTATCATGTTGCGTGTCGTCCAGATAATCCAGCGGGTTCAGAGGCTTTTCTTATCCACATAACATACATTTGATTTCAATTGGTGTTTGTTATTTGTTGCAAGCTGAACCCCCCCCCCCCCAAAAAAAAATCTTTGGTGGAATAGCTTTTGTAATCATATCACGTTCTGAACAGCTCGCTGAAACATATACCAATACACTTGAGACGGTTTTTCTTGATGGTTACACTACTGCTGCTTTCGAAAGGAGTTGTATGAACGACATAACAAGCTTTTGCGGGAGATTGGCATTATGCTCCCGCCAGAGCAGCAGCGCAACATTCGATGATGTGTTGGTCAATTCTCAGAGTCAGATCCCTAGACATTGATTGTTTGGATATTAGCAACTGTTCTGAAACGCATGCTGTTTGCTGCTTACTCTATTATATTTTCGACGAATCGCTTTTATACTGTATCTGATGGTGTCTGAATATATGCTGTCCTTACGAGGACTATGATAAGATTAAACAATTTTCTCGTGTTTCTAAGCTTTGGCTCAAACTAAGATACAAATGCTGTACCACCGATCTACAAAAGTCAAATTTTCTTTTCCCGTTTACTGCTTTGCATTGCTAGCGGCAACACTAATCATAATCAGCTACATAGCATTGCAGTACGATGGTTTATTTTCAAGATTAAATATTTACACCTGTTGACAGTCCTGATGGCCTTGGATAGGACACTGGACTTTGTAGTATTGATTATTTCTTTAGAAAGAGACACAGCATCATTGAGAAAATCGTAACCTTAAGACAGTGTCTAGTGTAACATTGACACAATTAAGAGGACATAGTACTCGTTGTGAAGATGATACGTTCGAAAGTGCAGCTTGTTGGCTCATAAGACGTGAATGACAATACATAAAGCGCCGTGTCATGTTGGTGGCATTCTAACTTGGTCCCCACGGCACCACTAAGGCGTCTGAGAATAATAAGTGAAGGAACGAATGATAAAAGCTCCGCATCTCTTGCTTCAAGTGCATATTAGTATGCTAACATTTCTTTTTACTAAATGTCTGTACTGCTCTCACCCCTTTCAGTTTCATTATCATACGTATTCCTATCATCCAGTCGACCCTTTGTAATCGCGTACATAACCATTGACGCCATCACAAAAAAATACGCAAGTTTTATCACAAATAGACCCCACTCAGTGCATTGCTACTATCGCGCTTGATGATGATTTGTTATTTAGTTTATGATGAACTTTGGTAAAAGAAAGTATCCGTCAGGTTTGTCTACTGGGTCGGTCATTTTCTAAACGAATGACGACGGAAAATAAGCATTGTATCGGAGTTGATGAGGCAGTGGATACATGGGAATCTTTTTTTTTTCTTTTATCTCCTTTGATACACACACAACGACGGTCTCGAAATTAATGAGCAATAATACCAACGATAACGATATGGCGGAACGCATTGCGGAAGCAAGGCGAGAAGCCGAGTCACTCAAAGAAAAAATAAAGCAGAAAAAAGAATCCTTGGCTGATACTACCCGTAATGTATACTCCTTTGCTAAAATGGGGCATTCATTGATGCGCGATGGGTTATACTGAGACACATGCATCTTTATATAGTGGCAAGAGCGGCAGCACAAGTAGAGAACTTACCTCGTCTTACAATGAAGGTGCGACGAACATTGAAAGGCCATTTGGCGAAAATTTACGCCATGCAATGGGCCAAGGATAAACGACATTTAGTGTCTGCTTCACAAGACGGCAAATTACTAGTATGGGATGCGTATTCGACGAACAAAATATATGCAATTCCACTTCGTTCGTCATGGGTGATGACTTGCGCATACTCGCCTTCTGGAAATTTCGTCGCTTCGGGAGGCCTTGATAACATTTGTTCAGTATATAACCTTCGTACCCGAGACGGACCGATCCGCCCCGCTCGTGAACTGACAGGTCATACCGGTTACCTGAGCTGCTGCCGATTCTTAACGGACAGTCAGATATTAACATCAAGCGGTGATACCACTTGCTGTTTGTGGGACATTGATGCTGGTGTAAAAACGGCCGAATTTACAGATCATACAGGCGATGTAATGAGGTAAGAACGAAAAAACAACCGCCACTCTTTAGAAACGGCCAACGATCCGTTTATCCAATTTCTCTTCAACTAACGCATTAAAAAAAAGCTTATCCATTTCTGTGAATCCGAATCTATTTGTATCCGGTGCATGCGATGCAACAGCGAAAATATGGGATATTCGAAACCAAAAATGCGTTCAATCATTTACAGGACACGAGTCAGATATCAATGCCGTACAATTCTTCCCCGACGGTAATGCCATTGGTACAGGTTCAGACGATGCCAGCTGTCGATTGTTCGATCTACGTGCAGATCGCGAATTGAACATTTTCACACATGAACAAATTTTCTGTGGTATTACGTCGATTGCATTTTCATTATCTGGGCGTTTACTCTTTGGCGGATACGATGATTACCATTGCCATGTATGGGATACATTACGCGGCGATCGTGTGGGTGTTCTCAGTGGTCACGACAACCGTGTGAGTTGTCTTGGCGTAGCGAGCGACGGCATGGCATTATGTACAGGAAGTTGGGATAATCTGCTCAAGGTAAAAGGGAGAGGCACTTTGCGCTTTTGGCATTTGAATTTTGACCAAGATTTCTTTCGATGTTTTTCTTTTTATAGATCTGGGCATAAACCTATCCTTCGTTTTTTTTACTAGTATTTTCTTGAAGCAGACGTACCTAAAATAATCTAATTGCTTTTGACAGGTATATAGAAGCTATCCTCAGCCCGTTGTAATAATCTCTATTCCATATTCACCGTAAAAATGAAAATAGAATTCCACCTGATGGTAATTTTATTTGTTGATCACAGCATGATAATCGCAGTAGGCTGTGAATGCGCTCACATTGAGATTTTTCCGATATCATCTGCAAATATGACTCTCTATGCATCAATCAAAAGAGTAACTTGAACATTTGGTTGCAAAACTGGAGATGATTGAAGGGAAGCAACCCATCATAATGCCAATGAGTGAATATTAAGGCTCATTCGCCAATTCTTCCACAGCTCTTTAAAAATATGAGCCGAGAAGCGGATCTGATATTTACCTATGTTTGTCAAACTCACTTGGGGAAGATGCGCATAGTCTTTCACAATTACCGTTTTTATCTCGTTTTTGATGAGTAGTAGCGGAAGATTATATATGTTAGTTTTCCTCGTTGATGATATTGCTTCCTACTTGTTCGCTTTGGTTAGTTTGCCCTTACTTTTTCGTATCAAACAGCATATTCACTTTTCTAGCCGGATATTGCAAAGCCACATCATCTGTTGTGGGGGCTGGCCAAATGGGAGACTATTTTGCACTCTCCACAAAAACGTGAGTCAAAAAAAGGGTTAGTTGGCACCAAATTTAGGCAAAGACGAGAGAGAGAATGAGCCACTTTCTTTGCTAACTATAAAAAGTATCGTGTTTCGTTGTATGCAGCTTCTCAAAAAAATAAAATAAACAGTAGACCACTACTGTTTTGTTTATTTCCATTACGGTAATCGGCACCATACTCGTGAACCCCCCAATCAGCTGCAAATCTCCACTGACAGATAAGTTATGTTGTGCGGTGTTCTAGGAAACGGTGAGAATTTTGAAACATTTCTGGTTAGCCTGGATTGTGTACGCTGCGAAATATTAGGTTACGGTTTGCTAAAAATACGCGGATCACCGTTTCCAAGGTTTCCATCAGGTAACGCCCATATCTATTGAAGAAACATTCTATCATGTGTCTTACAGTAGTTGATGCATTCAGAAAGACAACAGCCGTTTATTTGAAGCACCGTACCTTGTGTTGGGCTGCGAAGATCGCATGTAGCCCCAATTTTAAGTTTTTGCTGTCCCGATGATACATATGCTTTTACGTTTTTTGCTGGGAATCGTTCAGTAGCAGCAAACTCAATGAGTTGGCCGGTTGGTAAAAAGGCATTTTAGAAATATACTGCACATGAAGACTAACTTTTCAAGACGCATAAATAATTCTCCTTTGGCGACAAAATTTTCATGGCTTCAGTACCGTCTACCCTCATCAAACGACGTGGCCAGAGTTTAGTTACTATTTTGAAATTATGCAATCATGCAGACATTCAGAAGTCTTTGTACGACTAACTGCTTCTGTACTATGTCAACAAAAGTATTATTGTTTTAGCGCAAGGCCCATGTTCAGATGGATATATGATCAAATTTTCATCTTTGATCGATGTTTTCACCATGAAGCGCAGTAAACATATTTAGTATGTGATCTACGGTTCCACAGACTCCAATTGATTTCCTTTGTTTCTATTTGCGGTGAAGCAGGTGACTATCTCGAAAAACCATTCGTCAGTTTTAGTATATTGTGTTTGTATCCGCCTAATCCGGTAAAGGAAAGCTGCATCAGGTGAACCATATCCATCGCATCATTAATCCCTTACTGATGAATCTGATGGCCAAAGGATACTTTGACATGCACGGTTAATTATAACTGTGTGAAAAATAAATATAACCCTGACAACCTACATCTTGTATATGCTCCATTGGCTTTATGCTCCTGTTTATTTTACTGCTTCTCTTTTGAGGTTGCCAAGTGTGAAATGTTTGGCAAGGTTATATGTCTTCTGTTTTTATTTTATCTTCTTTTTAGGTTCTTAGTTCCCGCGAAATTCCTGCATCGAGCTTCATGCAAGTTCATTTCATGAAGTTCGGACAAGTCTTTCATTACGGCAAAAGCAAAGGCAGATGTTCAATAAATGGTATGAATGATTCTAAATGAGCCACTAAAATCAATTATGATTTATTACTTTTTTTTTTAATCCTGAAAATAAATATATTGATGACGACCCATTTCTTTTAATTCAACATCCTTGTCTTCTAGGTTGCGTTTCATGTCCTGACGATTTGATTGTTTTAAATGAAAGAAATTAATGCGATGCGTCATGGCAACATAATGTTATCTTCTTTGATGTTCTCTGTCACATGGAGACTATCTAATTTTATTACTATTTAGAACCGATCCGGTCTTCTTTTGGATATGCTCCAGTTTCTAAAAACTGTTGTAATAGCATGCATATGTATTTTTCTGTCAAGTGGGTTTTTCTGTCGGTGCAATAGAAGAGCGGTTCAGTTGCATCCCTCAACAAATGCTTTTCAGACACTACAGAGAACGACAAGCGACAGCAAAAAAATTCCAGATGACCCATTTAAACAAGAAGTCGAACAATAAAAAGCATAGAGTAGAAAAGCATTGATGCAATGCACAATTATTGTTTTTTCTTCCCTTGCAAGTGTGGGGGATCATAATGTGAATCAATAGGTCAACCCCCTTTTTTTTAAGCTACGTGCCACAGTATTCCTTTTCATCACGTAACCAATTCGTATTTCCATATGGAATCAAGTAAACTAAAAAGCAAAAATGATCACAATAACAAATGACGAAAGAAGACAAGCTTAGCTAACATGAGAATTTTTACGGAAAAAGGGAGTACATCGTTCGAATGGTCATTAACAGAGGGAAAAAAAATAGTCAGTCAAGTAATGACAAGAAGAAAGAATGTTATTATTTTTTTTTTCTGGTACAAAATATACCTTAAAAGGTTACAGTACGAGGGCTAATGTATTATGTAGGAGGGAAGAGGTTTTCATTTCTTTTTTTTATATTTTTTTTCCTCTTTTTGTAAAAATAGATGTAGCATGAATGGCACAATCATAATAATAACAATGGAAGAAAAAATCATCAGGTTGTCCGCGGTAAATTTGTACGCCAGTTCTTGAAGATCTAATGATGTGATAATTGTCGTCCTACCATAGCTTGTCAAACATGATATGCTCGAGTAGGTTAGCGCATATAAATAGATTTGATCATTTATGGCAATTCTTCCAAAAGCAGCTCCGCTTTTGCGGCTTCCTTATTTTCTTTGAACTTTTTGTTGGCTTGTGCGCGGACGATAAGTCTCAAACATGTGTAGCTTGCCCAGCCTTTCTATTACGATGCATGCACACTTTTTTCGTTTTCATCACTCTGTCTTCTGAATTAGCATTATCCTGCTTTTAATAGAAAATCTTCTTTTTTCAAGCGGCTATTTTTATCTGATTTACTGGTCACTTGTCTGATTTCAAAAAAAAAAGTAATACACAGTGATCAGGCATTTATTGACAGAATAAAAAAAGGTAATAAGGAGGAAAACCTCCATTTCTCTCTCACTATCTGGTAATCTCCGATTCAACCCCTTCGTTTGCTTAACAAAGACGCGCGCTGCCTAAACCAGGAAAAAAAAATCCAAAAAAAAAGAAACGAGTACCTGACCCTTTCCGAAAGCTAGTTTTTTTTTTTTTTTTTTTTTTTTGGTAACTTTTTTTTTTTTTTCTTGACCTGTTTTGATCTCCCGCGAATTGCTTTTTTTTTTTTTTTTTTTTTTTTCCTCTTTGAATATTTAAATAGCAAGTTTTGTTCTTAACCTGTGTTTTGCATCCCTTTGCCTTTCTTATCTTCTAATCGTTCAGTGCGATTACTTTTTCCTTCATTCTCCTTTTTTCTTTCCTGCTTCCCTTTTCTCTACACACTGACTTTAGAATGAAATACTCGCTCACTCTCGTGGCGTTCTCTTTATTGGTCGCTTGTTCAAATGCCGCCCAAGTGACTTTCAAGGTCATTGCTCCCGGTGCCACTCAGGCCCAGGTGTCCGTGAACGGTCAAACCATCGATTTGACTGCTAAGGAACCTGATGTCCCATACTTCACCGGTACCGCAGAAGTAGGCGATCAAGCCAAATACAAGGTAAATCACGTCCCATTCTCATCTTCCTATGTTATGTAGCCTTCTTCCTTCTCCTTTTCCTCCCTTTCAGTCTTTTTTTTTTCTATCTTTAAAAAAAAACCTTGTTTCCCCTTTTACTACCCATGGAATCAAAGAAAAAGAAAAAAAAAATGATAATCATTGAATTTTATTTATTTTCTCATGGTTGATTTGTTTATGTGTACTCACCACCTCCTTATTACTTTTTTTTTATATTACTCTAGTACGTTGTTGGTGGCACTGCTGAAGCATTTGAACGTACCCTCGAAAAGGGCCGTACCAGCACTCGCAACGATTTCTTTGACCGTCCCGTCACCTACGCTAATATCCCTCAATTACCCAACCCCATCAAGGATAACGTAAGATGCCCTTGCATGCTCTTCTCAGATGGATTGTCAGTTAACATGGAAACTAATTTCTGGCCAATTTCTTTTGTGTAGCCATGGACCCGTGGTGATGGTCCACAACCTCTTTTCGACAGCAACTATATTCCCACTGTCTTCGTCAATGGTGACGCCGCTCAGATTGATAACCTCGTCAAGAATGTTCCTGGCGATTTGCTCAACGTCAAACTTACCTTCATTGGTCCCGAAGAAGTTAATACCTTCAATGTAAGCCATCAATATCATCTCTTAACAAAACATTGATTGATTCCAGCCAATCAATTCATCGATCAAACTCGAAAAAAAAAACTCCCATACTAACTGTTTACTTTTTTTTTTTTTTTTTTTTTTTTCGTAACAGGGTGTTTCCTTTGGTATTCATGGTGCAGGCAAGAAGAAGAACAATGCCAAACAATCATGGAAGTGGATTCTTCCCGACGGCCAATTCTTCGCTAACCGCAACTACTTCAAAATCCGTCACATGGAAGAAGATCCTACCCAGCTTCGTGAAAAGCTCTATGCTGATATCCTCCAAGCTTTGAATACCTATGGCAACCGAGCCAACATGATCCGTTTCTTCATCAATGGTCAAGCTTACGGTACCTTCAACTTGCTCGATGACGTCCCAGAATACTCTTACATCCGTGCCATGTTCTACGGTGGCAACCCTCCTGAAAAGATGGGTCCTCTTTATGACGGTGCTTCCGGTGCCGATTTCGCTTACCATCCCAATGTTGATGGTTACAGCTCTTTCGAAGCCAACAAGCTCAGCCCTGCTGATTATAGCGCTCTTGATCCTCTGTGCAAGGCCTTCAATGAGACTAATGTCCAGGATGATGCTGCTTTGGCCAACTGGGGCAAGACCTTCGATATTGACCAATACCTTCGTTTCATGGTCATGGAATACTTGACCGGCCACTGGGACGGTTACTGGATGGCCCAGACCAACGACGGTGCCTATCAAGATCCGAAAGATGGCAAGTGGTATTACCTTGGTCAAGATTACGACGCTACTTTCGGTGTCAACATTGCCGAACCCGAAGGCAGAGAATTCGTCAAGGTCTCCTACACTCAATTCCCTCAGCGTTACCCTGGTGCTGTCTTGATCAACCGCTTGCTCGAAAACGCAAAGACCAAGGCTACTTTCGAAACTTATCTCAAGGATACCGTCCAGGTCCTTTTCAACAACGTCACATTGACCAACCGTGTGCTCGCTTACCACGACTTCATTTTGCCTGACCTCAAGTGGGATCGCAGCATCACCCAGCGATCGCCTGGTATCAACTTTGGCTGGACCTTTGACCAGGTCACCCAGAACTTGTGGCAAGGCGTTTCCGCTCCCAATGCCAATGGTGGCGGTGCTGACTGGGGTTTGATCGAATGGATCGCTGCCAAGTCGCAAGCCGTCGCTGCTGAATTCAAGATCACCATCACTGACAAGGTCGTCGGTCCTGCCAACCCTACCAACAACAGCACTCAGCCCAACCAATCCAAGCCTGCCGATAATGGTGCAAAGCCTGCAGGTCCAGCTTCCAATGCCGCCGCAGAGGCCCAGGGACAACACAAAGGTGCTGCTAACAATGTCGCACCTCAACTTGCTTCCATTGTCGTGCTTGCTGCTGCAGCTGCTGCGTTGTTGTAAAACCATATCCCGTCTTTTCTTTTCCCTTTTTTTTTCTTATAATTCTACATCAAGCAATCATGTCCTTTAATCTTTTTTCTTTTTTTTGACTCGTCTTCGTTTTTAGCTCTTCAAACGTTTCATTTCAGCTTAGTATACATCTACTATCTCAAATCATTTGTATTGCTTGCAGAGCCATCTTTTGTCTAGAGATAATCTACACACGCCGCTTACTCGTTTTTTTTTCTATCTTGTATTATCAACTATATTATTTTTCCAATTAGTCAAACGATATTCCGTCTTCTAGAGTATTGTTTCACCATGGATGGATTCCTCTTTTTTTGGTATGTGCAGTGTACATTGTCAAATGCACAGATTGGGAAAGTCATCTTGCGGTGTTCTCCCCTCAAAGAAGAAGGATCGCCTAAAAATAGATCCAGATGATTGCTGGGCGTTCCCGGGTAAAGCGGAAGTTTCACACACAACTTTATGCGGCGATCGCTTCTCCACTGACGATCCACAAAATTTTGTTTCTGAAGTGCACATGTGAAACATTCAATAATTGCTCAAAATGATTTTGAGCCACCCATGGGTTCGTATCATATCGATAATTTTGGATGTCCTTCATAGACCAACAAAAATTTTTCTATTTTTCTCTTTTCGATGTTCAAACAAAAAAAAAATATGACGATCAAGATTATAATTGACTTTCTTTCCAAATAGAGAAACCTACTTTCTCCTTGACAGAGAATGGGGTCTAGAATGGATGCTGTCGTTGCTGCTGCTGCTGTTGCTTCACTTGCTGTGCAGAAGGGGGAGGGGGAATGAGTGGTACGAATCCTGTATTGCTATTGGATGCATTTGCGGCAGGCCGTGGACGCGATCGTTTGCCCTGAAAGTTTTATGCTTAGTGGTTACATTCCCTGTTTCTCCCTTCCTCCCACGATAAGAATTCCTGTTATGCATATAAAATATCTACCCCAACGTTGCCAATCGTAATATTGATCGTCTGTCCTTCTTTTAGACTGTAATCTTGCTTTGGTGCATCACTACCGTGAACAGCACGGTTTTCGGCCGCTTCTTCCGCACGAAGTTGTCTATAGAAGCAAGGAAAAACCAAAACCAAAAAGCATCAACGCAGGGCCATTATTTGGAATCCATATCTCAGAATTTCCTACAGTCCCCCTTACTTTGCAAAGTCTTGTAATGCAACATTGAAATCAAACGCATCGCTTCGTTCCTGGAATCCCATCCCGATAAAAGCATGCCGTCCTTTTTTCCGATCCCATCGTAAACCCCGTGTTAATAATATTCATCTTTACGCAGCGATCTGCCCTTTGTTTGCATTTTTTCTTCTTTCCTTCCGTTTTACCTTCATGTTCAATTTTCAGAACAAAATAACGGCTTGAATCTAAAACGCCTTCCACGGAATTTCCTTGGATCTCATAGGGGCATACAGCAAACAGTTCACCTACCAATATCTATTGTCTAGTTTGGGCTCGTTCAATCCCATTCTGAATGTGTCAGTGTACCTGTCTCACCGTCCTCTAGTCGGATGGAACAAGATTTGCCTTTACTTATGACACGCAATCGTCCTTTCCACAAAAAGGAGCTTCCCAGATCATCCCATTCCGCTGCCCTGTGTTCGACTTAGCCACATCAAAGGAAACACTAATCCGGCCATCGTTGATCAGGCTCATCCAAGTTACCTGTAACCTCTTGCTGCTGTTCTAGGTGGAATTCGATAAACTAATACCGGTCTTTTAGCACCCTCCATCACAAAAACGAAGCCCAAATGACCCTCAGACATTCCAAGGTCATTCCTCCGTTTCCCATTTTCAAAAAGCTTTACCAAAACATTCTCGGACAACCAACAGCACGCTTTCGTAATCAGTTTCCATGTATGTAATGATTGCTATGTATTATATATTTCAGAAAAGAAAAAACAGTATGGTGCATTGGAATTATTTTCAAATCTGTGAAAATCGAACATCGTCACACAAAGATGACGTTGCTCAGTTATTCTTGGCATTGAGATAATGATTATAGGATCGTTGGATCTTGGAGGATTGGTATCGTGTTAGTCGAATCGATCGTCGGACGTCCTCGGTAATCGGTCCATGATAACCTCCTTTTCGTAGTAAAGAATCAATAGCTTCCGTCTTTGTCCACCCTTGCTCAGGCATGACTTCCGGTAAATACGTGGCCGTCCGTTTTTTCTCACCCATCGGGAATTCAATCCAGATGCCATGCGTACCGATCTCCCAGTCCAGGTAATCTTTACCGTCCTCAAAATTGGTAAGCAGTGATACGCTACATGTGAGACGAGGTACTTCTCGTAACGTAATAGGTTTGAAGCGTCTATCTTGAATTGCACTATAATAGCGGAGAAAATAAATATGATGAGATAATGACTCTCGTTATGAACGGTGCATGCGGGAAAAAAAAAAAAGACGTACCTTGCCAAAGCATACTCTTTCAAGCCCGGTCTTAAAGCCATCGCATTGAAATTCCCAATGCAGCCTCGTAAATGAAGTTCGCCATGCGTTTCAATATTCCATGTCACAAATAAGGGACTGATAAAAAGAGAAAATATCAGTACCTGCACACTTCACCTTCAAGCCATGACATTTTAAAGCTACTTACTATGCATCGTTTTTAAACTTTGGTTCGGGAAGTTTGCCACCTTCCAGATATGAAGTGAGGACATCAAAGCAATAATAGCAGTGTTCTTCTGTAGCCGCCATCAGGATTTAATGGATAAAGTAGTTCTGGGGAAAAACAACGAAACGGATGAAGAAGGCTGCGCTTTTATATCGGCTTTTTCGTGGTTTAAACTTTGGGAAAACTCATGCAATCATGGTCGTGTGACTGCTCAAAGCACACCACTAAAATTGGTCCAAGGATCGATAGAAAACAGGTACGACAAAGACGAGGTACGAAACTTGACAAGTCATTATCATGACAAGGCACAGGTATGAACAAATAACAAGACAAATCAAATCATTCTTAAAGGGACAAAGTCGTAGGAGTGAAATAAAAAGAAGGTACAATTTCTGTAAATATGCGCCATTGGGGTCGGATTTTCAAGTCACGTTATTCAAACCTCATTATCATTCCTTTTTCGCTTTTTGATCGAACCACACCTATTTCTGATATTTTACCATGGAGGATATGTACCAATATACTGCTGCGGCAGTCAATAGCAACAATCCGTCACATACAAATGAAGTTAATGAGGAAGACGATCCATTATTGAAAGCGTTTACCAGCTTTGGCTGGTCCAACAAGTTCAATAGTTTAGTAGACACCGTCAAAAAGCAGGCAAGATATTCAACAATGCGTGAATTGTTCATATGTAGCTTTTGGCCAATTACTCACCATGGATATAATACAACAGGGTGAAGCATTTGCGGATGTAGCCAAAAAGGATTTGCAAGAATTTGCCCAAGTGCTTCGTGATGATTCTACCCACGTCGTTGAGCAGCTTACACCTCGATCGCCTGGCATCAATTCAGAAACAGACGGAGCTGACCCATCGGCAGAAGGCGCAGGCTTCAGCGGATTTTCAGCCATTCGTGATAATCTCAACAAGATTAATACGCTCAACTTGACCGCCTTACGCGAGGGATTAAGCCAGACGCTTAATCAGCGATTACCAACTCAACTGACATCGGTGAAATTACCTGATAATATCAATCTGGAACAGCTGAAGGAGGAAATGAGTCAAGGCACACGTTTTGCAGAACAGTATATGCAGAAATTCGGCGAGGAAGTGGTTCAAGTGCTCAAAAAGACAGTGACTGTCCTGGAGCCTGAAGACGAGCACGATCAGATTAATCGCAGCATGGAGGAATCTCAAGATGATGCTCAACGACCGAAAATTTTGTAAGTATCCTGTATCATATGGTCATGGATCAAAAAGCAAACAGGTCGATGGACGGAAGAATGCCGGGTTATGTCCAATGCTAATTTTGACTGATAGCGCTACTCGAAAGGAAGCCTTATTGGCCAAAATGAGATCTGATCCGCAGACATACCTCGAAGACCCTGCCAAAGTACTGGAAGGCACTGAGCAGGAAGAAAAAGATAAAAAGATTTTGGACACCTTCAATGCGACCTTTAATGTGCAGGAATATACCGACGAAATTGCTCGTCTCCTGGATGACCATCCAGATCTTCGAAACATTATGGACAAATTAGGTAATGTTGCATGCAGGACGTGGTGGATATTATTCGCAGTTTTCATTAAATAGCGCACCCACAATAGTTCCGCTGGAGGTCAACTATGCAACCTTTTGGAAACGATACTTTTATCATGCGTGGAAAATCGATCAAGAAGAGCAAAAACGGCAAGTTATTGTTAAAGGTATATATGACGGTAATTCTATTTCATTTCCAAGTTTGCTTTTATTAAGTACTGTACGAAGGTGCAGAGAACGAGGAAGATGAAAATGATTTCAAGTGGGATTCGGATGAGGAAGAAACTGAAGAGAAGCCCGTCCAGCCAGCCAAAGAGAAGTCCGATGCAAAGGGATCAGACACTGATTATAGTAATATCTCGGAACCAGCTTCAACAGAAGCCAGTCTTGTTTCTCCACCTCTCAAATCACAGGCCGATGGAGAAGACTGGGTCAAAACAGATCCGAAAAAGCAGGAAACCAAAGAAACAGATGAAGACAGTGACAGCGATTGGGAATAAAGAAGTGAGAATGAATTTAAGCAACTCAGCTGCATGCTGTTTTGAAATAAGTTTTGCCTTTCAAAACCACATAATATCAGTCCATGTTTCAGTCAACACAATTGTTGCTGTGCTGTGTTATCCAATGGAATGCAAGCTCGATGGCACCATCGTTCGCTTCAATGAATGGGTTATCTTAAGACCTTTCAAGGCATATATATAGGTATGCATTGTTTTATGATGTTCCATGTGCTTTATTCTTTTTTTTTTTTTTTTTTTTTGGTCATGTTAATTTTACAATCCTTTCTTCATTGCGTATCGGAGCAACACTTGGCCCCAGCTATCGAGTAAAACGCACACGAGCTTTTGCATCTTGCACGTCCGCTTTTTTCTTCAAAGGTCTTGCACATCTGGTAGGGAGGCGTGTACAAATGTAACGAGACGGCACCGTGTTCCGTACTTGGATTTGTCACTCGATGAAGACCGATTTTATCTATTCAAACGTAAAATGGCAATGAGGCATTTTCGCTGCCACACAGTTTCAGTGGTGATTCATTTACCATGGATATAGGCGACCTGATTCGGTTTATAGGTGGAGTCTTTCGTGACATGAAGTGGCGATTGATTGGCGTCGTCGAGTGGTTGCTCAGTCATGCTTGTGATGTCGTATTCGCTTGTGTCTTGCACCACATTCTTGGGATATTCATACTTTATCTCACGAATATCACCATCTAATACTTTCATCACGCAGTGAGAACCGGCATGGTCATGGATAGGGCTAAACAGTTTGCAAAGGGCAGGCCCAACAACAGTGAGGATCAATGCAGATACAGTAAGGTCAAAATATCGGTTACCTCTGTTTGCCTTTGCTCCACGCCAAAACCATGAGGTTGAACTAGGTTGCAATGAAGATCAGCGAAAATGGTAGGTCGTGGGAAAAAATATACATTTATTCGTATTCACCTTGCCGTTGCCATCATCAACGAGGTTTCGAGTGTATGATCTCGAGTGATCAAAGTGAGTATACTTGTTCCAATCAGCCGTATTTGAATTGTATTTCTCCATGAGGCGAACAATGTCATTAGGATCGATGTGATCTGAATCTAGACCACCATCTGGGCCAAGCACAGCATGAATTTCACGGATAAGATCCTGCAAAGTGAAGGCGGAATCATCCGAACCGGTATCGTTTACAGTATCATGCGTAAGAGGAGGAGTCATTGCTTAATTAAAGTTAGAGGGAGAGTCAAGAACAACAGAACCAAGAAAGACGCTTCTTCCTTGTCGAATTTATAGGCTCCTCCTTCGTACGTGATTGGTCTTTTTCTTTGTGAGCAACTTCATTCACTGTGTCATGGGTGAAACATGCAGCATCGGATTCTTATTGGCGCTTTTGGCGCAAGGCGAAATTTAATCAGAAAAAAGAGAAATTTTTCAATGTGGAACGAACACTTGGCAATATTGGAATGTTTCAAGAACACACCAGACCAAAATGCTCTAACAGAGTGAACGTTAGTGAACTTCAACCGGAATTGTCTATAATCGTCAATACAAAAGGAAATTAAAGGTTTTTTTTTTTTTTTTACTTTTTTATTTTTTGTTTGCGGGGACCTCATTTATGCAGAAGCCCTTTTTTCTTTCTTTTTGGAAAAACTTTTCGGTGCGTCATTATACCAATGTTTGAATAAGAGTATGTGCTCTCTAATTATATGCAAATCCCAAATGCCATGCGAGTGACAACAAAAGGACGAGGAAAAGTGGCAACGCATAGTTTTGTGATCTGATTGGATTAACTTTCGTCTGACAGCTGTTGCTATCCAAGTGTCACAGTTGGGTGTCATTTCTTCAACCGTGGGTAAATTATTTTTATGGAACGGATACAACAAGGGTGAATTACATTAACGTAGTCTGCTGATTTTGAGAGACTCGTTCGAGGTTTTTTGAGAAGCCAAGTTTGAATCAGCAACGGCACTGATGTAGACCGCTGATGGGCGAAGTGATATTCCAGACAAGGTCCCAATGTATCTATTGTCAGTTAAATAAATTTAGCCCGCTTTTTATCTGATTCTTTCTCTTATTAGCTTTTATTGATACTTGCCAGATCTTCTACGTCTTGCTTTATTTTCCAACCCCTCACAGTGCCTGTTATCATGTCGGATCAGGAATATTTTAATCCAATTGGCCGATGTAACGCTGCTTATTCTTTGTTATTCACGAAATGATGCGTTGCCTCGCTTATTTGTATTGCCAAATCAACCAACGGCCGGTTGTGTCTCGACAAATGAATAGGTACTGAACTACGCGTGTTCTTCTCTATAAAAGCGTATCGTAAGCTTCATTTGTTTGTTAAATTTTTTTTTTTGACTTCCCATCCCGATGGTAATGTATAGCATAGCTGTATTTTGCGTTTGTAATGATCACACCGTTTTTTTTTTGTATGCCTTGACTCTATTATGTCAGTTAAAAGCGTGTTTGTGCTGCGGGAAGGAGATTCAAAATTTTCCATTGATGTGGCGTGCAGAAGAATTGAACCGATCGAACGTGATGCTGACTCTACAGCTATTTTTATGTCAACTTTTCGGAAAGTCCGGAATTTAGCGTGCCTGGGATGGAAGAAAATATATGCAAGTAATATCAGGAGGTTTATCTGTCCGATACACGGCCTAAAAGATGACCTCGTTAAAATGACATTAAGTGTTACAATTGATCTCATATACGATATACAATACGAGCAACATCCGCTTTGATCCAAAGTCGTTTCAGCTTAGCGCATAGATGTTTTATCCGAGATCGACGTAAAATAAATGATCCATCCAGAGAGTATGATCTGCGTTTTAAATCATCCGGATTCTGAAAGGAATGACACGGATCCTACCGGATTACAGTAGCTTACGTACAGAAAATGGTCAAATATGGTAGGTCTAGCTGGTGAAATTAGGAAACTTCGCCTTGAACAGGTTACATAGCATGAGAAAGGTCAGTGCACTCATTTTATTTTCAAATCGTTGTTGGCTCGAGACATTGAGACGGAATTTCACCAGGGATAAACCAAAACTCCGTTAAATAAGGATTATCAATGACGACATGGGTTAGACTTTATCCTGAATCGACATCATCATATATGGTACATATCAATCCCGCTTTTCATGATCTTTAGTATTTAAGGCTAATTTCTTAATTTTTCAATGAACTGGATAGATTCCATCAAATCAAAGATTACAAGGGGTGCCGTTCATCAACCTGGCTATCACATGATTGCTTGTAACTTTGTCTCACATACAACACATGGGCGGCGTTGCAAAAAGTAAACGTAAAAAAAGCCGGAGAGTGAAAATTTATGGTTCATTTGCAAAAAGTTGCGATAAATAGATATTTTTGTTTTGCGTTTTAGACCATTACTTTTCATTTTCATCCCTACTTTTTACTTTACGTGGTTCCATCTAATATGTCTCAGTGCTCTGTTTTTGTCGGCCCTGAAGCGGCGCAAGGGGAGGGCCGTATCAGACGATCCGTTCTTGCCAAAGATGATGTTGTCGATACGCCTGCTCAAGGTGTTCATACCCTCTATGACGTGCTACAGTATAGTGTCCGTCATCGCCCCGAAAATAACGCCATGGCGTCGCGTCGCGTCGAAAAAATCATTGAAGAAGAGAAAGAAGTTGTTAAGATCGTCGAGGGTGTCCAACACAAGGAAATGAAAAAGTGGAAATACTTCCAACTTTCGCCTTATAGTTACATGACGTATCGTGAAGTGTCCGACGTCGCACATCGCATCGGTTGTGGTTTGTCCCACCTTGGTATTGCAGCTAAATCTAAGATCGAAATCTTCGCACCGACAAGGTAAATTTTTATATAGAAAAATCTGGGTAGTTTTTCATTTGGCACTGACACATGATCTATCCGTTTGTAGCATTGATTGGATGTTGATGGCCCATGGAGCCTTCACTCAGAATATGACCATTGTCACTGCATATGATACGCTCGGTGCGGAGGGACTGTTGCACTCGATCAACGAAAGTGAAGTGAAGGCCGTGTTTACACATGCTGATCTCCTCAAGACTGTAACCTCCATTCTTCCGAATGTCGAAACGAACCCGATTCATGTCATCTACAGTGGCGAAGCCGATGAAGCAACTCTTCAAAAAGTGCGCGAAATTATTGGCGACAACATTTATTCCCTGGACCAGTTGAAAGAGCTGGGTCAAAGTAATCCCAAACCTGTTGTCAAGCCTAGCCGTGATGATATGTGTTGTATCATGTATACCTCGGGAAGTACCGGAAATCCTAAAGGCGTAGTGTTGAACCATTCCAATCTTGTGGCAGCCAGTAAGTAAATGCGAAGAGGAAAAGAGAAAGTGCTACAAAATGTGAGTAAAATGACTGATTGGTGTTTTTCCTACAGTTGCTGGTGTCGATACACTTCTTGGCCATCACATTAGCAGCGAAGATTCCATCATGGCGTACCTTCCACTGGCACATGTGCTTGAATTCCTAGTCGAAAATCTGTGCCTCTTCTGGGGTGTCGCTCTTGGTTTTGGTAACCCACGAACATTGACGGATGCTTCGGTTCGTAACTGTCAAGGCGATATCAAGGAATTCCGACCAACTCTGCTGACCGGTGTGCCTGCTGTGTGGGAATCTATTCGCAAAGGCGTGTTGAATAACGTGAGCAAGACCGGGGGTGCTGCTGAAGCCATTTTCCATCGTGCCGTAGCTACCAAGGCTTGGTTGATGGATCGCGGTCTTCCTACAGGATGGTTAGACGCCGCAGTATTTAACAAGGTGAAGGAACAAGTGGGCGGTCGTCTACGTTTTGGTCTTTCCGGCGGTGCTCCTTTAGCTCATGAAACACAACAGTTTCTGTCCGTGACCCTCGCCCCTATCCTCGGTGGTTATGGTATGACAGAGTCGGTCGGCATGTGTGCGATCATGACCCCCGAGTTTTATAAGATTGGCGCGGTCGGAAGTATCGTTCCCTGTTGCGAGGTGAAGCTTGTGGATGTGCCGGACGCAGGTTACTTATCAACCAATACACCAAAGCCTCAAGGCGAAATCTGGGTGCGCGGACCTTCCATCACCACCGGCTACTGGAAACGAGACGATATCACAAAGGAGACCATCACTGAAGACAACTGGTTGCGTACGGGTGATGTGGGTGAATGGAATGAAGACGGTTCGTTGTCGGTGATTGACCGTATCAAGAATCTCGTGAAACTGAGCAACGGTGAATACATTGCGCTCGAAAAACTGGAATCTGTTTACAAGACCGCTTTGGGTGTGGGCAATATTTGTGTGTACGGTGATTCGTTGCGTCCTAAGCCCGTGGCTTTGGTATGTCCCGTGGAACCTAAACTGCGACAGATGGTGGAAGAAGCCGGTATTGACGCACACGGTTCGCTCGAAGATGTATGCAAGGACGAACGCGTGCGAAAATTGGTGTTGCAGCAGCTTTTGGACCAAGGCAAAAAGAGTGGTTTGAAACCTGCCGAGTTATTGGTGAATGTTTATCTTTGTGCTGATGAATGGACAACCGATAATGTAAGCCCAATCACATTGAAGCAGTTTGACATCGGATGACCATTGTTTATTGACGGAAACTGCAAACTCTAAATTAGGGCATGCTTACAGCTGCGCAGAAATTGAAGCGTCAGCAGATCAACAAGACGTACAAATTCGCATTAGACGAGATGTAAGTGGACAATTCATGTTATACAATATATGCAGCTTCGTCGGTATACTCTTGCTAATTCATGATGCTAGGAATGCCGCTCAAAAGAATTAAACGCGCTTTTGGATGTCGGCTCTTTATATCCCTTCCACTATTTCATTTTTTTCCTCTTTTTTTTTCATTCCATGCAACCTCATTATAATAAAAACGTCCCATACCGAAACCAAGTGCTGTTGCCAGCTGTTAAATTGCGATTTGGAATAATATGATGCTATGTTATTATTTAACACGATACTGCATGGGAAAACTCGAGTTGATCATTGTTCCATTGTGGTCCGTGCGTTTGCATTTGGATTCAATCTTATTATTGCTGACTGGGGATTGAGAAGGCCGTAGTATTCTGTCAACAACCAGCGTCAGATGATCCTCATATGCACAATAGCCAAAAAAGCCAGGCAAAAGGATAAGTTAAGCTTAATGGCCAAAATGAAGCATGGAATACAGGGAAATTGGAAAGACAGGATAAGATGCGCCATTGACACTAAGATTTGAACGGGAAATTGTGCCCCAACCAAAATGCGACCACGATGGTGGATTTCTTTTGATCCCCTTGGTTTGCTTCGTTTAGAACCCCAACGTTTCCCCTCCATCTGCAGGAGTAGCGAGATAACTATACCTGAAAATCTGCAGTAAAATCTACAGATAAAAGCCTATTTTGACATTCGCGTGCTAAATAATGATATACCAATTTTATGGCCATTGTTTTCTTTCTCCACGTTTTCTCTTTCTTCTCACTTTCTTTGTAATGGCCAAGCACTCATTCTGGTTTCGGTGTTTTAATTGCGGCTGCACTGCTGCAGTCTCATCCAAATGAAAACTGTTTCAATAGAAAGCATGCATCTATTTTCGTTCCAAATGAAGCTAATATTGCCAAAGGGGAAAAATCCATAGTATGGTAATTTCCAGCGTTCCTTTATGTCAGCATTGTGACGTTATGGAGACAGCTCACGACAGCCACACGGGATGCTTGAATCGAAGCAAAGGAAAACCAGCCGATGAGTAACAGAGAAAAGGGAAAAAAAAACCCATCAGAATAGATCCAAGTGTTTTCATGACGCTAGTATTCCTTTTTTTTTTTTTTTTTTTTTTTTTTTTTTGGTTGGGGAAAGAAAATAGAAGACTGAGAGGTCAACTAACGAATAAGGGGCGAGGATTGCTGCTGGTTGGTTCCATGAATGCACGACAGGGCAAGGGGGATTTCTTTAGAGAAGCGTCTTTATCCTCATTCCTGTTCTTTTCTTATTGTTACTTTTTTTTATCTATTTTTTTTTTATTTATATCTTTTTTTGATTGTTATAAATATTATACATTATATTCAAGTAAGCAGAAACAAGAACAATATCCATAATGTAACCATGACAAACTTTTCATATAAAGCGAATTATCTCCCATAGCAGATTTTGCCAATAAAAAAAAAAAGATTCAGCAACACTGACTGTGCTAAGCCATACAACTGTATCACCTATGACGAAGGTTGACGACTGTGCCATGGACCCATTGATGAAATCGCATCAGCATTGGATGGATTTACCAATGTTGGCTGCTGACGGACGGACTTCCAAGCCGTTTTTGGTCACCTCCATTCCCACCCCCAAACCCACTGATTTTCACTGTTCCAATCATAACGATGCCTCTCATGGGATGGAAGACAAAGATCCCTTACAATGCCGTGTTCTTGCTGCTGAAAGTGAAGGTGTGGATGCACAGGAGAAACATGCCATAGAAAAAGACGAACTTATTCAACGAGCTACTACAAGGTTGCGCCGCCGTTTACTTGAAGAAGGCGTAGGCGATGTTATGCAAGAAATCACCCGACTGCAGAACGAACTTGAATTTCTACGCATGGATATGACGGTCACCATGGATAAAATTACGGAGATGGAGCATCAAAGCACCAAGATGGATATCACGAAGCAAAATCGCCAGTTGGATGTCCTTGAGCGACGTTTCCAGGCTCACAAACATCAGCTGGATCGACTCACCGGCTCCACCCCAATGGAAAAGAATAGTGCGCATGAGACCATGCAGTCACAGGAATCCTCGTTGTTATCGCTTTCAGCTATTTCCATGTCCCGTCTGTCATCGCTGTCGTTGGTGTCGTCCCTTTTCAGCCGATCAGGTCACAGCAGCACTGGCACAAGCGTGAGCAGCTTCAACGACGATCAGGACCCCAGCTCGGCCGATGATGTCAGTGTGCGTTCCTCATGCTGCAATATTGACGCTACGAACGATCCCGAGGAACAGCAACGACGATCAAGACGTCGCACGCGTGTTAAGCATCATCGTCAGCGCTACCAGCGCCGCTTGCAATCACAAGATACCGCGTTCATCGAGGAGTTGGCTTGGCAGAATGTTCATGAGAAATGCAACCAGTACGAAAATATCAGACAATTTCAACCAGAATCCTTGCTTTACAGACCTTCAGAATGCAATGCCCATTTTTATGGCAACTATCAGACGAAATTTGGTGAAAATGACCTGGATGAAGACACCTATTCCCTTCCCTCTGGCATGATGTCGCCTTTACCCACGAGGATACCGCAGAATTTTATGGATCCAGGCCGGCAGAATGCTTACAACAGTGATTCCTATGGACGCTACTCCCATGATTCTGCAGCTTCCAGTGAAGCATCCTTCCATGTATCTCTCGCATCGGTCGCTTCTACGCTTTCGCTGCCTCAACGATTGACAGATAACCTCTTGTACGACCGTCGTTTATTGCACCGTCATCCTTTATCTCCTTTTTCGCCACCGTTGATGCCGTCGGATGACTATTTCCACCACGACGTGCCGCTGCCGACTGGACAACGTAACTTTTTGTATACCGAGGATCACAAGACACAGACTACGGACGAACCCGCTTCTCCAAATGATGTCCCCGCTTGTACCATGATAGTGCCGGAACGTAATGTTCTCGATGATGCCCTAAGCTATTTGAATGGTTTAGACGAGAATGATTCAGACGATGGTTTGCGCGAGGATCTTTACATGCTTCTACGTCATCCAGATTTGTCCCAACAACCATGGCCAGAAGCGCAAATGTATCTGCAACAACAGGAGCCTTCCATAGGCACACGCTCCGGGCTCCCACATTGGCTATGGAACTTGGCTTCTTCGGCGGTTCACACAGGTTGGCGATGGTGCCGATTTCTGAGTGTATTGATATTGGCTGTTATTATCAGTGTTGTCCAAGGCCCTGAAGACGTGGGAATGTCCCTTTGAACCCTTATTATGATACCTTTCTTTCCTTTCTATCCGCGAAACCCAGCTTTTTGTTTTGCTGATGATCTCTCTCTCTCTCTTTTTATGATGTTTCCTTCTTTAATCCGTGTACAAAATGCCCTATCGATCAGCCTCTATGACTAAGGTATCTGGTTTACTACAAGTATGATTATAATTATTTTTACTTTTATTTCCCTTGTTTCTCTATGTATCATGTTTCTCTTTTTTTTTATATATATATTCGTGTATGTATAAGTTTTTGCCTTCCCCTTTTCTTTGCTGCTTAGCTTTTTGTTCACGTTTTTGTTTCTTTTTTTTTTTTTTTTTATCTCTTAGGCTTGCCAACCACAACAGCCATATTTTTCCCCCTTACAGCACCATCTTTCGTTTACCCGCTTTATACATTGTATTTTCCATACACACTTATTTTTGACCGCCACATTCATATAAAAAATATCTATGCTCGCCACCTATTGGCCTCTGTTTTCTCCAATGACAATAATCGTTGTTCTTCCTTTTATGTTATTTTGAATGGATCAATCAACACTCATCTGCAGACGGCATAAAAACCGCGAGATAAAGAACGATAAAATCAGCAGGAACAAAAGATAACACAAAAAGATGTCAAACTAGGGGAATATAGGCAAACATTAAGCTTGGACGACGCGGGCATTGTGATGAGGAGCAGCTTGAACGTTGGTGATAGACTCGAGCATTTTCTCAATAGCCTTTTCCTTGTTCTCTGCCACTGCTGCCTGAATTTCGGCGATCTTTGCGTCAGTTTCGGTATCCACCTTGCTGTGGCTCTGGTCGGTCTCTCCCAAGTGCTGCAAAATCCCAAATAAATGATAAGTTATGTGAACGAACTTGGCAGGAACTGGAGTGAATGACTAACCTGTGACACGAAATTCTGGTACTCCTGGTTTTTCTGAGCCTTGAAGTCGTCGATTTCTTTGGCAGCCTCGGAGCGGGCATCCTTCAAGCGCTGCACTCGGTCTAAAAAAAGAGACGCCGCCAAGTTAGAGCTCCAACCACTCATCTTGAAAGTGAAATAGCACATGAAGCTTACATTGTTTGGCTTTTTGCACAATTTTGGCAGCCTCACGTTCGGCTTCCAAAAGCGTATTGATTCCTTGCGAGCTCGAAGCAGCCTTTCAACACAAACCAAAATTAGTATGTTGATTGCTTGATACTCACAGTTAACAGCATAAATACCATGTGTAATTGTGTTGAATGTGAGGTGAAAGAGGTGAAGTGGAAACCGAGATGGTCTTGAAACGCCGAAGTTAAGCTGGTTGTCGTCGTCACCACCCGTGCCTGTTTCCAGCTCCGCATTTCGCCCGGTTCTCATGAGTAAGATTACAGTCATCCTGATACACTTCAAATCCATATATTTGCATGGCATACATCATATTATTTCTTATGGATGATTTCGAATCATCTTTGGAACATGCTAAATAACTGATCCAGCGTGGAAAAATAGACTGATGAGATTAAATGCTGTTGTAGTCAATCGCACAACGTCAGTAACTCACTCATTGCATGCAAAATGTGGAACTTCTACTCAAATATTTACATAATGGTACGACAATTTGCCGTCGCGTCAGTTGTCTCCTTGAATGTAAGAAACTGTAAATTAGAGGGTATGCGTAATAGATTGTATGCCACACGCCATTTGCTCTTGGCCTAGTTTTCATCAACAGCGCAAAATTCCGTTTTTTGGTCACTATGGACATTTCTGTATCAAAGAACGAAACGATTATGGTATCTTCTTCTGCCATTTTATGGGGCTTGAAAATTAATCAGAGCGCTTATATGAGGGAACAGAAAGATTTTTTTTTTTTTAAAAAAAGTGATCAAATAGAAATAGTGAGGCATCGTCGCAGGGGAATGCGGAGTTGCACGGCTGGACCGTCGGGGTTCAAAACAAACGGGCGTTATTTTGTTCAACAGAGTCGGCCACTGTAGAATCTTTCTCTTTATTGTCTCCATCAGCGAAGCATGGTACGTGATTGAAGCCATCCAGACATGCATCCATAGCGTAATCCACTTCATCCATCGTTACTTGATACTAATCCATGATTTCTACTTCTTTTTTATCAATTTTGCGCCGCTTTGTTCTTTTGCATCTTTTCTAGTCGCACAGGTAATAAAATCGTCGCCATTTCCCCCCCTCTAGCCAATGATCCCAACATGAAGAAAGCATTCGAACGAATCGTAACTGATTAAATTGTTATTAATTGACGTATAGAAAGTACGAAGCTCCCCGTCACGGTCATTTGGGTTTCTCTCCCCGTAAGAGAACCAGATCTCACCGTGGTCGCTGCAAGGCCTTCCCCAAGGATGATCCCAAGAAGGCTGTTCACTTGACCGCTTTCATGGGTTACAAGGCCGGTATGACCCACATTGTCCGCGATTTGGAGCGTCCTGGTTCCAAGATGCACAAGAAGGAGATCGTCGAAGCTGTTACCGTTCTCGAAGTTCCCCCCATGGTCGTTATTGGTGTCGTTGGTTACGTCGAGACTCCCCGTGGTCTTCGCACTCTTACCACCGTCTGGGCCGAGCACTTGTCTGAGGAGGCTAAGCGTCGCTTCTACAAGAACTGGTACCGTTCCAAGAAGAAGGCTTTCACCAAGTACGCCCAGAAGTACGCTGAAGGTGCCAAGGATGTCACTCGTGAACTCGAGCGCATCAAGAAGTACTGCTCTGTCGTCCGTGTCATTGCCCACACCCAGATCGGCAAGGCTAGACTCGGTCAGCGCAAGGCCCACCTTATGGAAATCCAGCTCAATGGTGGTAACATTGCTCAGAAGGTTGACTGGGCCCGCGAACACTTTGAAAAGGAAGTTACCGTTGGCTCCGTTTTCGAACAGGATGAGATGATCGATATCATCGGTACTACCAAGGGTCACGGTTTCGAAGGTGTCACCCACCGTTGGGGTACCAAGAAGCTTCCCCGCAAGACCCATCGTGGTCTCCGTAAGGTTGCCTGTATTGGTGCCTGGCATCCTTCCCGTGTCATGTACTCGGTTCCCCGTGCTGGTCAGCGCGGTTACCACCGTCGTACTGAAATCAACAAGAAGATTTACCGCATTGCTAACGGTGCTGACAAGAAGTCTGGTGCTACCGAATACGATATCACCGACAAGAACATCACTCCCATGGGTGGTTTCCCCCACTACGGTATTGTCAACGAAGACTTTGTCATGATCAAGGGTTGCTGTGCTGGTGCCAAGAAGAGAGTCTTGACTCTTCGCAAGTCTTTGATGGTCCACACCAAGCGTTCCGCTTTGGAAAAGGTCAGCCTCAAGTTCATCGATACTTCTTCCAAGTTCGGTCACGGTCGTTTCCAGACTGCTGCCGAGAAGCACCAGTTCATGGGTACCCTCAAGAAGGATCTCTAAATGTGTGTCTTTCTGCAATCGCTTGCTGAAGAATAAATGTGAAAAACTTGCCTTTGGCTTGTTTTTGTTCATCTCTTAATTTAGATTTTTTTTTCTGTTTTGTGGTATATGTGTCTACATGTAGGGTGCTTTTGGATGTGCATTTGTGTATGCTTCTAGCGCTGCACTGCGATTGGGTTTTTTTTTTTTTTTTTTTTTTTTTGTCTTTGACCGATTCGATTGTCCATTTTCCCCTGTCACCCGGGTTGTTGTCTGATCACTGTCTGGCCAATGACAGTCGATATACGATGATGCTTCTTTTTTTAGTTGTGGATGTTGGCTTTTATTGGCTATGTTCAATGCATGAACGTTGGTTCTTGGCTTTTATTGAGTTTGATTATCTTTCTCAGTGGGCGGATTGAATCTCCGACGATCTAGGTGAACCGTGTGAGGCTTGATGTCATGTCATGAATGAAACCAGAAATGGGCGGCTCACCTTTGTCTGTCTTTGATTCTTATCCTTTTGTTTTCGCCTTATCTTTGCTCTTTACTCTTTTGTTGCCATTTCTTATTTATGGCGAATATAAGTCCATTATCTGCTGCAAACGTAGGTTTGGACTCTCAGGACGACTGCCCTGGTTCCGTCTTATCCAGTTCTCCGCCTACGCCCGGTCCTAGAGACGAAACACCGTCCTTCCATGCTTTTCTAGATCGTCACGCTTGGTCGCGCAAACCACTCCATTCGCCACCGTCAACCAATCAAGTGAATCTGCCATCGGCTATCGATGTCGGTGGTATTCCTCTTCCTACGAGTTTTAGCCGTCGTCGTGATTCGCTCTCCTTTCCAGTCGCCGACACTTCCGATGCTTGGCCATCTTCAGACACCCCTCGCTGCATGCAACAACCAAGCACACCGGTGCCAACATCCAAGGTGTTGGCAAGTCCTTGGCAGCCGTTACCTTGGTTTACCTCGAATATATGGAGCGACACCACCACAGCAACCACGCCGTCGTCGAATCATCCTGCAGCACCATTACGGCGTGTTTCCGAACATGTGTATTCCGAATTACCCATTGAAGCGCCCTGGGATCAGGCAAAGCAAGACCCTCGTTCCATCGCACATAACCCTCCGCCTATCAAAAAGGGGACTCGTACTGCTTGTCCGGGACCCATTGCGCACTACAGCGTTCCTTTGAATCGAAGAGGATCGGTACTGGTGGGCGAAACTTGGCTAACGCCATCGCATCAGGACTTGAATATGGGAGCCGATGTCAATCGTCGCAGTGGATTGTTTGATTCTATCTGGTCTTCATCGTCGTCCACTGCAACTCAGAAAAATATCGACGACTGGAAACACCGACGTTACTCTTCGCATATGACGGATTACTGGCTGTCCACGGTTGTGGAAGATTTGGAAGGCCTAAGGTAAAATACAGAAATAGACTCCTATGGTGGGAAAATCTATCAGTCGACTCACTTGGATCATTTTGTGATAGATGCGATGAAATTCGGCGTCATTCCGTTGCCGGCGTGCCTTTGGGTGCCGGTCGTCCTAAATCAGGAACCACCGATAGCCATCATAAACAACAGCGACAGCAGCAACAGATATTGCATCAGGACCTGTTAAACCATATTGACGACTATTTTGCGACCCCTAGAAATACAGCACCCTCCTCGAATGCAACAGACATCAAAAATACCGAATCGCAGCAACAACAGCATCTTGGCAAGGGGGTGCCACTCCATCAGTTTTTGGACACAACACGCTTATTCTGTGTCCAATTCAAGGTGGGACGTACGGAACTGGTTCATGTGGACGAAAAGGACGAAAATACCGTGCGGCCAAAAATAGGGGACTTGGTGATCGTGGAAGGTGACCGTGGTCAAGATCTAGGCACCGTCATCAAGGACGATTTGACCGTGGCCGATCTTGTCAAAAAGCAATCCGAATCCGAGAACAACGCTATGTCTGACCTCATCACTTACCAAACCACATTGAAAGATCTTCATGTCAAACGTCTGTACCGACTTGCCACTGCTTGCGAACGAGCCATGCTGGATGACAAGCTTCGTGACGAGCAAGCGGCCTTGCTGGATTGCCAGGCGCGTGTACGACAAAAGAATTTACCTATGGATGTGGTTGATGCTGAATACCAATGGTAAGGACAAATTTTTCTGACAATTTCTACCATATACCAGTCTTAACGCGTGTTCGTCTCTTTTTTCTTCTTATTTAGGGATCGTCGTAAACTGACCTTCTACTTTGTGGCCAATGAACGAATTGATTTCCGCGAACTCGTCCGCGAGTTATTCAAGCTTTACAAAACACGGATTTGGATGTGTGCCACCACCAAATCCTGTGAACAAATGAACCTCTCTTGAAGAATTGATTATAGACATATTTGCTTATTCCCCCAAAACTTTGCCTTTTTTCTTTCCAGCGGTTTTCGCAGCTCTTTTTTTTTTTCACTTGTTCGTTTTTATCATATGTGCTCTTTTTTTTTACTCTTTCTTTCATTTCACACAGCATTGTAAACCTAGCTATATCAACATCTTTGGTACCCTTTCCCTTTCCCCCTCTCCCCTTTTATATCACCATAGGCATCGTATCGGATGCGTTCAAAGACAAAAAATAGTCAGTGATTTGCTTACATATGAAATATATCCTTCCTTGTTCCCCCTTCTTTCTTACTTATCACTCAAATATAAAATATTGTGTCCATTTGGTAGGACCCTTGAGAAATGGGTTGACATAACATAGGTAATAGGATCCGAGCTTTTTATAAGTTTATCTTGGTTATCGTTTGTGCAATGATGCAGTGAGGCGAACGTTAAAATAAAGTCAAGCGCTGATGTTGTAGCTAACGTCCGACGAGAAGGAACGAGCCGTCTATCTGCCGGTAGACTCAGAGATAATCTTTTTTTGCCACCTGTTTGTTTGAAGATACATTGATTGTTCTCGTGTGCATGAGCTTGAAAGCGGGATAAGTGGCTTTGCAGCCAATATTTACGGCAACCCATCTTCATTGTTGTCTCGTGCATGGGCTATTGTTCGCTTGTTTTAGACATTCATCGGGTCCCTTTATTGGGCGATATTATTGCTCACATCAGGTTATTCAAAACATTCGCTTTCTATAACTTGTCTCTTTTCTATCTGTCAATTCTCAAAAAAAAAAGATATTTTCCATAGACTCTTTATATTTACAATTTTTTTTATTTTTGCTCCCTTCCTTTGTTTCCTTAGTCCAAGACCGTGGGGCCTAACTTTTTCATCTATACATAATGCTTAAATCCATGGTCTCTGCACTGCTGCAATCGCTTACCATGATCATCTTTTTATTATCGGCTATTCCATTAATCGTCCATTTTCGGCTGCGCAACTGGCCCGCTTTCTACATCTCTCTGTGGTTAACTGTATATAACTTGATCCAGTTCGCCAATATCACACTGAGCCAACACATCTTCGATGACTCAAAGCAGGATAATATTTATCAATTTTGCACAATCTATGCGGGAACCACCACAGCACTCCAATTAGCTATTTCATTTGGCAGTTTTCGACTATTGCAGCAACTGTGCTCTCTTGTAACGCCAGCAGAACGATGGACGCTTCGGAAACGTTTGCTCGGGGTGTTGTCGTCCTCACGAAAGGCGAGCGACAGCGATGCAGATCATACAACACACCGTTCAGTCTCCAGCACGATCATCTACTCAGCTTCTCACACATCGAGCCATTCCTCATTTGGTTCTTGGTACAGATCGAGAATTGCCGTCTATCACAGCCGAATCACCGATTTCTTTTGGGGAATCGCACTACCGATAGCCCTTATTGTAATATGGAAAACATCCTCTGCTACCTTGCCAAAAAACCAAGACGCATTCCAATACGTCTATCTTTCCGGTGTGGGATGTGCCATGGTCATGGTCGACAGCTTACTCTCGGTTTTAATATTGTGTATTACGCCTGCTGTCATGTCGGCATGCAGCCTCTATTATACTGGTAAGTAAGTGCTATTTCTTGTATCTTGTCTAACAAGTGAACCAACAAAATGCCTTTTTTTTCGCATATCGTAGTTTATATCATCGTACGACTGGCGTCCAGTCGCCGTGCTCTGAACGCCCTGTTAGCCGAAAGAACATCCATCAGCCAGTCCACCTTTCAACGACTGGTCGGATTTTGTGCGTTTTATGATATCATTGCCATGGTTTATACTATTTACAGCATGGTCTATTTTTTCACAAATACTGCACCGACCATCCCGATGCCAGAAGACGAATTGATCATGCTCAACAAACTCGCATTGTGGTCGAAACCCTTGATATCACCTACTATTCTACTTTTGGCTGTCCTGTCACTGGCGTGGATATTATTCTTTGGTAAAGTATTGCATTTTAAGGATCAACAAAGGAAGATGTGGAATGCTAACCGTGATCTAGGAACGAATACGGAAGCCATCAATATGTATCGTCAAATCTACGGGTCAACGAAACGCGTTTTTTTGCGTTTTTCCACACAATCGACCCCCCCTCGTTCGGTCCTTTTGAAAGGCCAGATATGTGAATCGTTATCATCCTGTAACTTGCGACAACCATGCTCAACATCCGTGGATTCAGTATCGCAAATAACTCTGGTGTATGCGAATGCCCCTCCTGCAGCAAGCCATGAATTCATCAATATGAGGAATATTCCCCACAGCATACATGCGTACGATATACTTTTTCCACCGTCTGCACATCTACAAAGGAGAAACACTTATCTTTAATGCAGCTTCATGTTGCCAGTCATCCTCATTTTTTTCCTCCAACTTACTGTATTTCTCATGTTTCTACACCAAAAACACATATACACACACTCTGCCCCATGCTCATTTGCCACTCGATTTTTTCCTCCTGCATGTCTGCAGCTTGCTCCAGAATAAACAACATGTCAGCTGCTCATCTCTATACCCTCGTTCCAGGTTCACATCTAAAATGCTCAAAAAGAAAGAAAAAATATTATCCAATCATCAGATGCCCGTAGCAGTTCGTGCGCTCATGAGTCTCCGTCGCAGATCATTCGGTCTGCGAGCATGTAGGAAATGGAAAGACTGTTCGCAGTGACGAACAGCACTTTGCATTTTGAATTCACTTTTTCTTTTTCTTTTTGCCAAAGAACCTAAAAAGAAAAGCGGTTTAAACTATGGATACATTGTCAAGTTATGCAGTTCTGTAATATGATCAATAGAGTGTGCAGTAACACGCATCTGTGTTTTGATCCTAAAAGACTGACGAATGGGTTCACCCACAGGATAGGCGAAAAAGATATCGCCAGCACAGAACGGTTTTCTGCCTTTCCAAACACCATTCATCTATCTTTATTCTGACATTAACAAGGTTGCACAGTTGCCCACAGTGACATGTCGTTGTCTGGTGTCGCATAGGAAACAAAGCAAGCGCGCCATCGCATAAACATACCGTTCTCAGTGCATTTAATTGAATTTTCGTATGTTTAGCAGAAATGCAGGTCTTTTTGCCTCAATGGTCGGGCTAGAAGGTTTGAACCCAACGTATGATTTTTTAAGCATTCCAATGCACCCTGCCAATAACTGCTTGTTTCAATGTCTGACATTTCACCCTTGACTTACTATGACCCGATTTAGCCCTCTCGCTTCCTTCGTGCCTGAATTTTTTCTTTTTCACCACAAATGCTTTTCATCAAGGCTCCTCCGCCCTGAAGTTATATGCAACAACAACAACAGCTACAACAACGACAACATCCAGCACACAACAGATGAAAACTCGTTCTAACCAATAGTCTATTTACAAAGTATAACAAAGAGTTACATGAGCGTCCTTTTCTTCTATGTCTTGTCTGGTCGTGCCACAGAGGTTTCCAGCTTGTCACCAAGTTTGACAAATGTGTGACGGAGAACGCGAGAATCCACAAGCAATTTTTTACCAAGATCTTGCACAATCAGGGGATTGGCATCGAAATGCATAACCCAATATCTACAAAACGATGGCTCCCCGTTAATACCATGCCATTCACATGATCTAAAAGGTCCCACGACCGAAGAAAAAAATTCGGGTACGTACTGTCCCTCTGTAAAATACTGTTGATGACGCTTGATACGATGCGGTAATCGAAGGTCGCCCCAGTTGTCGAAACCACGTACAACTCCCCCTCGTTGGAGTACTTGGGTTGCCGAGGTTTTAATGAGATCTTTCAGATTACTCTAGAAGCACGATAAAACAGACATTGAGCATGAAGCATTTTACGAACACAAGGTAAATCATATACCTCGACAAGATGAGCTCGAGCGATGCAAACCAGCTCGTAGAAAGGCATTGTGTCTGCAACGGTTGGGTTAAAACGGATATGTAGGCGGTGTTATTTTTTTGTTATTTGTTTGCCTGTTGATGACCCCCTTAAACACGGTCACGCCGTCTGTGTGACTTGCCTTCCCAAAACCAGAAATTCAATTTTATCCCTTTTGAGATCGGAAAAAACCTCACGCCCACGCAAAAAGCCTGTCCCAATCGCCTGCATAAAAAAAAAGTTGATAAATGCGGATCATGCACATCAAAAATTTTCTTCTTGTTGAACCCTTTTCCACATTTCTTTTACTTCATCTTTTTTAATTCATTATGTTATCATTTCACCTCCTCCTTTGCATCGTACCAGTTATCGTGCTCGCAGCACCGTTTTCCGACATGGATCAGAATGTCGTATCTGTCAGTAAGAGGTCCTTGTTGAACGCTTTTCGGTCTATATACGCGCATCCATTAAGTTTCTCAGGTATGTAAGCCATGCATGCCTCATATTCAACAGCAATGCTCATCTGTGCCCTACTAGAGCACCAGGGAAATACCAAGTTTGCTAAGCTGGATGCACCGCAGCCTTCCTCGCCATCCATCTGGTTAGATATGGGCAAGGACGGTGATACTGTTGTCATCACGCCTGGTCAATACCGTTGGGCCATTCGAAAATGCTCTACCCGTCATGTGAAACAAGCATTGAGACCGAGTAACTGCATGCGCCTGTCTGTTGACATTGTAACCATCACGCCGGCCGATGGATTAACCGTAGAAGGCCCGTCTGCACGATCTCATAATTCTTTAAAAGATGCAACGCAGACCGAGCTGCGACTGTTGGCATGGCGCTGTGAGCAACACGGAGCCGATGGCGACTTGAAACCCTGGGCCGATATTGAAATTGTACAAAAGATGATCTCAGCGGACAACAAGGATCTGATGGAAGGACAAGCAACAACCGTGATGGGAGCTAATATAGATATGAAAGACGGTGCAACGGTGGAGCGGTCAAGAAAGACCATGTTTGAACAGATCGTTACAAACGACATTGTATTTTAGAAATATGGATATAACCCGATTTCTTTCATCTTTTGTACATATAAACCATTTACCCAACTTGCTGTCAGCAATCGTCCCCGCTAACCCATAACTCAACCGTGATTGCTCATCTTCTTTTCAACTCCAGAGGGTCCGATTTGCGAAACCTTAGAGCTACCGCAAGATGTCTGAAGATTTATCTTCTCGTAGATTTATAGCTTCCTGAATCTTTGCGAAGACCACGATCGTTATCTTCTTATTTATTAGAGAATCTGACTCTTTTTGTCTTTTTCTCACTTCATTCGAAGAACGGAATATCAAATTACACTACAACTGAAAAACAACCAGGCAATGAAAATGTTAAAAATTACCGCTTATCATCTCCGCACGAAAAGGAGACGGTCTCAAGCCAAAATGGAAAAAAAAGTGGTAAAAATCAATGACCATCCATTTGTAGTTCGTCAACAAAATGAACACCAGAACATGGATCAGCGAAACTACGAGCCATACATAATAAAAGAAGAAGAAATCAACCTGTGTACTTTCATAGAAAAAGCTCTTTTGAAGGCGACAATGGGTGTTGCAAACAGTGCTGCAGTCGAAAATTTTGCCCCTTTTTTATTCACAAATTTTTCGCTTGCTGCTATTGGTTGTCTTGCTAGACCTCTTATCTGAATTGGTAATCCATCAACATGAGATTCTTTGGGTCTATGCCGTTTGTACAATATATGATGGTTGCGCTTGTTCAGGTTCCCTGAATAGCATCTTGCTTGTATCTAACTGTGCTTGGTTTGGTGAACAGTAGGAATGAGTCTCAAGTACCTCGATCCTTGGCGCTGTGGTTTTTCTTAAATTTTCCAACTTATCAATATGATCATCGATCATAGTGATGTTTTACGAGGCGAAGGCTCACTGAATTCATTTATGTGATCATCAAAATAGAACACTACTTGAAAGGAAACGGGCAACAACTCTGCCATGATATCAATTTTATATCACTATTCTGTAATAGTTGACAGAAGTTCTGCTGTCGAACAAGCATGACTTTACACAATACAATAAATGTGTCAGTTTGAATTTATGCCCTTTGATCGGTTGAGACCGAACCGTATCGGTCTATTATATGCAAGCAGATAGGATCCTTTTTAAGGTGACTGATCGTATATTGGGAAACTCTGTATAATATCATATTTTATGAACTTTAGGACTGTTGCGATATATGCGCTGGATTCAAACGAATGGCAGAGATGTGAAGTAGTGTTCAATAGTGGAGTTCTTTCGTTCATGATGCCGTCTGTTTCATGCCTTTGTCTCACTGCTTGGCATGTCAGGATCATCTGTCTATGCAATACGAAAACATATAAACACCTATCACTGGATGTGAATAAAAAGATGTATGTGGTATAACGGTGACCGTCATTATATCAATAGACAATTATACGTATAACAAGCCGTACACCCGCTGTGCAATGGATGCCACCTGCTACTGGATGCCGCACTCTTACATTGAGCGACATTCGTCAGACAAAAAGCCTAACGCAATACGGCATAACCTGGGCGAGACTCTTGATGGAACTTTGGTATATTAATGTCAATACTCTGGCATACCATGAAACACTTTTAATGAACAAAGCAGCACTTATTGACCCCCTCCGTTCTGTCCCGCCCAAGGTTATGATAGATCTACAAAGATGTGTGGGAATGTTGGGTATTTAAAAAAAATGAGTTAGTAAGCTCTTTGGTTGATTCAAATTTCGTTGAGATATTTTACCTTTGATGTTTGATGCAGCAGATACCGAGGGCTTCCCGACCGAAATAAAGAAAGGATACAAATATAAAAAAAAAAGTAAATACAATAGGTGCGTCTGTAAAAACCCCCTAAAAACCCTGTGGGAAAAAAAAGGAGGAAAAGACTGCAAGAAGACTATTCACTAAAATACAAAATACATACTACAACTACAAAATAAAATGGTCGGGAAGAAATATCGAAGGCGATACCACGGGCAGCAATCCATATGAGAGGAACCTGGGGAGGACGCGTCAGCGTTTCCCGATGAGAAAGAGAGCCACACGACCGAAGATGTCCTTTGACGACAAAAACCGGATTGGCCACAATCTGGTGCCCGAACAAAGTAGAAAGGTTTTGGAGGGATGGATGGCTTGAATGGCTTGCCAGGCAAAAGAAAACCGGAGAGAAAACCAAAAGCTAAAGACAGAATAGAGAAAAAGGACAGGTAAATTTTTTCTTGTCGAAAAACGGATAGTCGTATCACACAAAAGGTACCTTTTTTCATAATAATCGAATCGACCGGATCAGATACATGCCATAGTCTGGATGATGGATGATGGATGCAATGATAGTGAGGGATTTCCAGGCAAACAGAAGAGATGCAAAACTAAAGAAGAAGAAAAAATTCGGACAAAAATATGTGATTTTCCATGGATGAAACAATAGTCACCTCACTGATGCATGAATGATGAGCTACACAGATCGAAGCATATCTGCTCCATGTATCATTCGATTACTGAAGAGAATGAAAGGGCATATACAGTATAACTGACAGATAACCCAAATTAAATGATGCTACAAAACACCAGATCGTCGTATCGTCAATCACCTTTCTTCAAAAAAGAGCTCCACTCACATTTTATGTGAACGGCGACGATGCTCTGTTTAACCACAACTGGCGCAAACGGCATTTGCTGCTGATTGTTTCGCCTATTATTCGTGGAAGTGTTTCGTGGAGAGAAATTTGGGCAACCATGACTTGTAGAGCGCTGATAATCGTTGTCGTTGCAAGATGGGGACCGAGGCATGGTTGAAAGATGAACCTTGGTTGCGACGACGGTACAAAGGGTAACCCCTGTGATCTTCGACGGTAGCTTCGTTGAAGGAGCGCGGGTAACGCTTCTTACAGGAGCCGTTTTCCATGCACGGAGACCTCGGATGCATGGTTCCACACGGACCGTGCATCATACATCTGCTGACGGTGTCGTAGAGATCAGGAAATCTCTGTCTGTCCGGAAGTTCACCTGACACAATGCGATCATAATCGTCCAGTGTTCTCAGCTTGTCGTCCAGATGTAATACCAAAAGCAGATGGAGGTGCGGTAATCCTCGTTTTTGAAATTCCACAGTATGGACATGTTACCCTACCCAAAACATGCTTCTTGGTCAAATCTTCCATGAGAGCTTTACGCTTCATGTTAAAAACTCGAGCGCAAAGGTCGGGCCGATCAACAGCTGTCTGGAGTGGAGCCAACTCGTCCTGAATTTCCATCCACTGAGGATTGCAAGTGAAAGTAATAAAGAGATCCGGCTGCCCGCATCGACGTACGATATTCATCGCATCATGGTAAAGTTGGCGCATGTGTCTCGGGCTGCCAATAAAGGTGGATGGGAGAATGACCCTTTGCCCGACGTTTTGGAGGTCATTGTCGCCGAGTTCTACCGCATCTACGATACCTCGGTACAGTTCCGTGCGCAGGTTTGCCTGGTTTAGCCGCAAATACGTGAGTCGGTTCTGTTCCATTTTTGCATACATATCCACTATATATTGCTGGAACAATCGGCCGTACAGGTGCAAATCGTGGCTGTTATCGCGCATCATCAGACGGTAGCTATACCATTGCATGACGGTAATGCTTCGACCGCTTGGCGAGCGTGAGTGGATGTTCCACCCGAGATCACCATGCGGGAACATGAGGACATAGTGGAGCGCGTCGTAGTACTGGTGCATTTCACTGATGCGTTGAAGCCCATAGCTTCTCGATCGGAGCACAATATCGCGGCTACTGTTTGGTGTGATGTACTGTCTACCAGGATCACTCCAACTTCGCTAGCTGTGGGTGCATTGTAACGACGAACATCAGGCGTGTTTTCCGCACTTATGAGTAGCCTCACATCTACGGCTTCCTCAGATTCACGCAAGACCTGGGCCATCGACTGCAGCAACGGCACGAACGGGTTGACTTCGGTAAGCAGATCTTGTAGAATGAGAAGGGTGGCATTTTGCAGATAGGGTGCCACAGCATGCCGGTGTCTAAGTTGTGTGTTGGAATCATAAATGTACATTTGGGCAAACGCAGGGGTATGACTCTCGGTTGGTGGTAGTAGACCACCGATCTGGTGGTAAATGCCACCTTGGATACGGTAGCAGTAGGCTCCGTTGCGATTGTTGGCCACGGATTCATCTATTTGGGCGCCTACCGAAGTAAAGCTCAAATTCATATTATAGGCGCGGATCTGCTCACGGAAATCTCGCCCTTCTTCATTGTCGCTACGAAGGAGACGGGCAATGATTGGAGGTGTAGGCTCCAAAGGTGGAAGCACAGCGGAACCTTGGCCACAGCAGAGTTGGAACTGCGGATTGGAGTTCGATTCAGATGAGCTTTCTTTGGCCCACATGTGTGCCTGACAGAAATTGCAGACAACATTCATGCGTCCCAAGGTATGTCTACAGGGGAGCTCGTTATCATCAGCGGATACAGGTAATCTACGAATGCGTTCCGCAGTATCATTGTCGTTTGCTTCCCTCATAGCCAGTCTCCTCGGATTCAATGGGCAAGCTGAATGGCTATTTCGCTGATGTCCCACTTGCTGGCACGTAGAGCAACGAACTTCTACCGATCCTTGGGCCGTAGCAACACTGGGTTGTTGGGCGCGTCTGGGATTGTTGGGACAGTTTCTCGAGGTCGAGCGAGCATGTCCTGGACGACTGCAAGAAGCGCAAAAAACGTTTGAGAATGACATAGGGTGTTTTTTTATTGAAAAAACTGAAAGGATGAGCAAAATAAAAGGGCTACGGAATAGATCAATCTAGCCGTGTAATGCGTTTTGCTCAATTGCTAAATCGAATTGATGTATCACGGTCTAATCATTCAAAAAAGGGAAAGGTCCAACTCAACCACCGCAGTAAATCATGTGATTCATTTCGTTTCAACCAATCATAAATATTTGTTTTTCAGTAATTACCCAATCAAAACCGACATGTAGCAAAAAGCTAATGTGACTGCCTTGTGACTGAAAATTAGCGCGCATAACTCCCAAACATTTTAATAAGGTTGAGACTAGTAGCGCCTGTTGATCTTAAAGATCACAAAGTTATGCTCTTTCGGTCTGTAGTTTGTTGATAATCTGAGGCTAGTGGGAATAGTAGCTGATTAAAGATGCGTTTGGAATGGGATGCTCCATTTGCAATATTCAGAACTCCGCACTCGAATTTGTGTATCCAAAGGTCTCGCTTGATGGTACTCTAATCTTTTGTCAATAAGCGGTTGATCTTTCGGTAAGATTTAGTTGATGTGCGCATAAATCTTTGCGTATTCAATGGACAGCAGAGTAGTACAGTCTCTTTTTCTTTTTTCCCGGGGGTCTTGCCCCCCCCCCTGACCTACCGCCACATAGCGATCATTTTCTTCATCCACGACAGAGGAACAACAATATGTACACAAAGTTAGGAACAGAAATAGTCAGACATCGATATAATATTAAATGGAGATACAAAAATAGATAATAGAAAAAATCGTACTTGGGGAAACATAGCATAAGGATAAAATCAAAAGGAACATAAGGACAAAAAAGCATACAGTAAAACATAAAGGTGAAGAATAACTTGAAAAATCATAGCAAAGGATGAAAACAAAGGAGCATAAGACAAAAAACATACAGTGAAATATAAAGGAATTATAAAAACAACAACATAAGGGTAAAGACGCCACCAGGACCATCAACAAAGAACAATCGGGCTGATTCGTTGCTTCCATGCGTGACACTCTGAAGAATTGCGTGGTATACGGCATGTTGATAACGGTTTAGGTACTCGTGTGTTTGGGGAACATTGGCAGCGTCGGCGATGAGATTGAATTGTTCTCTTACCAGTCTGGGCTGACGGCGAAGTGTGCTTCTGCCAATTTCTTGGCGATCTGGAAGAACAAAGCGATCGTAACTCAGGAGTGAACTCGATTGGCGGTTCAGATGCTCTTCAATGTCCAGCAAAGCGCGATCGTACACGATTTGGGGCGGCTCAATTTTGATGATCATTGTCTTGATTTTGATTGCTCCAAAAATGGAAATAGTCTTCTGCCAAATGCTGGCGGAACTGCATCCAAAGCGCAAACGGGTCAGGAGCCTGACATTTTCTGTCATTGCCGGCATGATACATTGCTGCTGCAGCACGATCGTGGTCCTTGTAAACATACTTGTACAGGTATTTGACGCTTTCCAGAGAAGTACAGATTTCGACGTTAATGTGAGCGTTATATCTTGCACAGAGGTATCGATTGTGGGGAACAATCCATCTATGTCCAACTGGACATGGTTCTTGACCACAAAATCACCATTGTTGCGACGACGGTATAACGGGTAACCACTGTGATCTTCGATAGTAGCTTCATTGAAGGAGCGCGGGTAACGCTTTTTACATGAGCCGTTTTCCATGCAGGGAGACCTCGGATGCGTTGTTCCACAAGGACCGTGCATCATACATCTGCTGACGGTGTCGTACAGGAAATCTCTCTCTGTCCGGAAGTTCGGCACACACGATACGATCATAGTCATCAAGTGTTCTCGGCTTATCCTCCGGAGTAACACCAAAAGCAAATGAAGATGCAGTAAGCCTCGCTTCTAAAACTCCGCCGTGTGTACATGGGTAACGACTCTTCCCAAACATGGTTCTTCTTTAGATCTTCCATCAGAGCTTTACGCTTCATGTTAAAAATTCGAGGACAAAGGTCGGGCTGATCAACAGCTGTCTGTCAACCAATCATATATTTTTTTTTTTCAAAAATTACCCAATCAAAGCCGACAAATGTAGCAAAAAGCTAATGTGACTGCCTTGTGACTGAAAATTAGCGCGCATAACTCCCAAACATTTTAATAAGGTTGAGATAAATGTGATCCAACAGTTGCCTACCGGTTGGTAGCTTATAGCTGTGTCCAGTTATCACAAGAATAATTAGTTCTGCATTCAGAGTGGACGCAACGAAAATCAAAATCAAGGTCAAGGAACAAGAAGAACCAGAAGAAGACAAAGGGGAAGGCAAAAATAAGACAAAGACGCTCATAATTTTCTCCTCACCCACAATCAATTCCACGTCTTGCTGGTTCTGTTGTTTATCCTGATTATAATGCTTTTACTGGTGCTGATGATGGTGTCGGTGACGCTGGTGCTTGTGTTGAAGCCGATGCTGCGAAGCTGACGCTGCTTGTGTGGTGCTGATGATGTCGGTGCTGAGACTGATGCTGATTATAGTACTGGTGCAAATGCTGACCGTGCTAGTCCCGGCGATTGGCGCTTTGTTAACACTAATACGGTACTGCCAGTGTTGATACTGGTATCGCTGATCCGTGAAAGAAGATCTTTTTTATTGCGAGGAAATAAAAACGTACTTGATGAAAGCTTATTTTTGAACGTATATAAAAAACATTATTGTCGTCGACACAAGTTTCAAGATGAGAGTTGCGAGCGTCATCGTCATGAAACGTTCGGTTTTCCTTTTTCACCCAGTTCTTGCTCAAGTCAACTGGGTGTCTATTCTGTGCAATTAAATTGAATGCAATTTCACCCAAAGAAGTTGTGAAGCTCATTTTCCCTTGAGTCGTTATTTGTTCAGAGAGAATTTACTTTCGATCTTTTTTTCCTCAAAATTCAAAGAGTGATTCGCCAGTGCTTAGACATAATGTCGTGACGTTGGCAACTTCTTCCAAACTGTATTCAATTACAAGGCCCCAGTCTCTTACTTCTTGCGAAAACTCGGATACACCTCGATCTGTCCATCACGTAAAATAACTGACCACATGCTTTAAAAAAAAAAACAGGACAAGTTTTTTTTGGCACATTCTGGTTATCCTGTCCATATATTCTAAGCACCATGATGGGTTCTTTACGTATATTAAATAAGCTGTGCTCGTCGGGCGCAAAACGGTGCGCTCATCAATTACTAGCTAAGTGCTCGGGATGTCGCGCCTTGGCCAAATTGGAAGTATTGAACCGCGACGAATAAAGCACAAAATTGCAACTCGTGGAAAAATGGGTCTACAAAGATGCTTCCCATATCTTTAGATTCATCGAAATCAAACGATTTTGGATCCCTTCGTTAGCTGCAGATCACCAACTTGGCCCAGTTCGCATTGCTTGCAGTTGGTTAGAAAAAATTTGAAGGGCATGAATGAAGACAAATGCCGGCTGTCGAGAAGAAAAATCATGTTTGTTTGGCAAACGTTCGTTTACAGCGCGATAACGACCATCAACAGCATCAATCAATCGTATAAAGGAACACCAACTAGGGCGAAGGGGATTCGGCAAAATATGAAGAAAGGAGAATGAATATTCTTGATTTGCAGCGTAAAAAGCACTGATATTGACGTCAACTCGATTCCAGTGGGACAAAACACGTTTTCTACGTCCCCGCCAAAAAAATTTCAAGGAGACTGGTTCGATTTCTTGCAAAATAGGATAAAATTCGCTGCACTTCAAAGGTGAAACACTATTGCTATGCGCAAAATATGAAACGTCTCCATGGCCCATCGCTCCAAAGCAACCTCGCAAGGCCATGCCATAATACAACAATTGGTAGGTAACTGAGTGCGGATCGGGTGATATGGGAAGAAGATTAATGAAAAATTAGTGAGCTTTCTCATTTTTCTGTAAGACGGTGCTCATTCGGCGTTTCAATGTAATTTTTGCATTTCGGGGATTCCGGAAATTTTTGTTTGCCAGCCGCTTCACACTCCAAAAAAAGCAAGTGCCTCACCTTCCCACAGACGCTCGTTCGTTGCCTTGGCGTTTCCAGCCATATTCCACAAAGCGGGCTGTAAAAAAAACGCACTGAGACTTTTTGAGTTTTTTTTTTTTTTTTGGAGAATCGAAAAAAAAACCCTACTAACCTTCTCGGATAATCCTCTTCCTTGAAGCCATTTAATTTTATTTCCTTTCAGCAGCTTATCTTGAAACTTGCGCTTGTTTTTTTTGTAATTAAACCCTATTTTATGGAATCCACGTATAAAGAAAGGTGTGTTTATAGTGTTTTCATACAACAGTACCGTTGCCATGGTCAACTGATGATATAAACTGAAACGTAGATTGCGCTATTTCGAGCTTACTTTGAGTGACCAGAGCGAGGCAGAACATCATGGTCATTGGACTCCCATCATAGACACAAAATCATTCCGAGAAGCTTGCTTTTATGGTGAGTGGAACTGGCTGCTGTATGTCACCATTTTGAAATTCGCCACCCTTTTGTAACATTTTAAAACTTCAGGTATTCCTGATGAACTGGGCCTTCGTGCGACAGCTTGGAAAGTGCTCTTGGGTTATTTACCACCTGACAAACGCATGTGGCATACCATTCTTTTGAAACAGAGATTAAATTATTATGTGAGGCATTCTTTTTCTTTTCTTTTATGGAGATTCAGCTTCTATGGAGAACAGAATATTAACGATCGTCATGCATTGCAGAATTGGGTCAAAGATCTATTAGAAGAACCAGGAGATGAGTTACCGACGAGCGATCACGTAGGATTATTTCATGGACGAGATCGGAATTATGATGATGCTAAAACAATGCAATATTTTTCTCTTGTTGTTGCTTCATGTGGGAACGAATCGCTTTTTTTTCCGCTTTTTTGATATAGCCGTTGAATGCCGAACCGGGGTCGAAATGGGCCACTTACTTCCAGGATAACACGATACTAGAACAGATAGACAAAGATGTGCGACGCACTCTTCCGGACATTGCATTTTTCCAACTACATGTTCCCAACAATCCTCTTAATCCTCTGTCGCCACCGCCTTGGGCAGAGACGGAAGAGACCACAGTTGAAGTTGAAGCGATACCCGAGTCGCCGTTGGAAAAACCGCAGAATCCTCGTAGGTTTTCATTTGGTCGAATGACCCGTCCACGTTCATCTTCCAGTGCATCTCGAAAATCAAACAAAGCAGCCACTACTACCTCCACCAACAACAATACCCGATCACGATCCAATTCCAAAAGTTCGGTGCGATCCTTTTCATCTGGTGTGCTGGAAACCGATCGAATATCATCCCCTCGCAATATCGTGCGTAAACTTTCATCGGCTTTCATCAAATCATCTCCCAATCCTACGAAAAAGCGATTACTGGATACATATGAACACGATTCGCCCATTTGTCCCTATATATTTAGTCGACGTTCCTTGTTTCGTCGCATCGCCCACTTGAATCATGAATCTAATCGACAGTCAGCCGTCGACGAACGAACCGTCACCCCTGGTTCCGCCATGTATGTGCAAGATTATCACTGGGAAGCCATTGAACGCATTCTTTTCATCTATGCCAAGTTGAATCCTGGTGTGGGTTATGTGCAAGGAATGAATGAACTGTTGGCTCCCATATATTACGTTTTTGCCAAAGATCCTCACATGGAAACGCAAGCTCACGCTGAAGCCGATGCTTTTTTTGTTTTTACAACACTCATGTCGGATGTGCGTGACCATTTCGTTCGGTCCCTGGATCATGATGCAAGTACCGGTATCAATGCTTCCATGCTCCGTATGAGTCAGCGACTAGCATGGTACGATCGATCGTTGTGGCGCGAGTTGCAACGAAAAGACATCAAAGAACAGTTCTATGCCTTTCGGTGGATCACCGTTCTCTGTTCGCAAGAGTGGGATTTGCCAGATGTGATTCGCTTGTGGGACTCGCTGTTGGCGGACCGAGGTATGCAAGAGAACTCGGAAGACATGCGTTTTGAATTTCTCTTGGATTTCTCCGTGGCCATGGTTACGTACGTATTTTGAATGAGGATGAACAAAAGTGAATTGTTGTTGAATGTTAGAGATTGACTATTTTTTATATTTGCAGTTGCGTTCGACAAGCGCTTTTGAATGGCGATTTTGCGGAAAATGTGCGATTGTTGCAGAATTATCCCATTGATGACATCCAAGTAGTGCTGAACACCGCGTATGCGATCCGCGATATGCGCTTAAAGACGATTGCTTCCGGACAAATTGTTCCGGGTGTGAATGATCAACGATGCAGTGGTGTCTTCAACAGTGACTGGAGCGATACTTCGTCCATGTCTTCCGTTGGTTCCAACAATCGCCTGCAGCGTTTGCGCGATTCTACCGAACATGCTCGCGCCAGTTTTGACTCTTTCCGACGCGAATCCAAAGAATCGATGGATGAACTATTCAAGAAAGGGTTAGCCATTGCACGTCATCCTGATCGGACCGATGCCTTGAAGCGCGCTAGCATGGGTGACATCCCCAAAGGGTTTTCGCAGAGGCTGGGATTCCTGACGACTAAAATGAGACGATCCGGATCCTATAATGGGGCTTCCACCCATCAACGGCAAAACAGTCAAAATAGCCAATCATCTCAATCACAGGAAACCAAAAGTTGGCTGCTGGCCAGTCAACCGAATAACGCCCAAGGCTGGACCCCGGCTATTCACCGCAACATGTCCATTTCGTCAAAACACTCTCAAGATTCGACTTCTACTTCCCGATCCAGTTTACTAGGCCGTTTTTCCAACATGATGATTTCCAATACCGCTGTCTCACCTTTCCAACGGCATCAGGATACCCCGGCGGAACCCCCGCTTCGAGAAGAAGACGATGAAAAACGAATCTTTGCCAAAGCACAATCTGCACATGATGAAGCTCTGAATCGGAACTCGCAGACCTATCGGGGCTATGTTTGAGATGATCTCCTTTTGCAGATGAATACAAGGTGAAGGGTCGTTACCACGGGCCTATGAAATGCTTGAAGCATGAGTCTTGTGACAGGATCTTTGGCCTTGGCTTCCCAAGAGATGCGGTGCCCTTTGATCAACCCATGTTCATGTCTATTCCATCTTTGTTCATCTTATAAATAGTGCCTTTTTTGTTCAAATACTCTCTTTTTTTTTGTTTATTAGTTTTTTAAAATAATTATAGTAATAATCTATAAAAATGGAAGAACGTTTATACCATGGTCAACTACAAGGACGCCGATATCTTGCTTGGTAAACATCATGGCATCGTATTTACGGAACTTGACATGATTGAGGCTAAGAAAGAAGCCGTTCAGGAAGCTTAAACTTCCGTCATCAAGTAGCTGCCATGCCCATTTCGAACAAAGAGAGGATAACGCTATTGTTTGCAATAACGGACATTTTGATATCGAAATCGCTGTTGCCTTGTCAACTTGACATCTACAGGCCACCCTTCTTGCGTTGTCATGTCCCAACTCTTTCACTAACCAGATATTGGCTCAGATTGCTTTAGGGACGCAGCCTGATCAATGGTTCTGTTGGCGTCCACGTGTTGCCCAAAAAGTTGGATGAAAAATCCACTTGCGCCCAATGAGCAAGCCTGGGGTCGCGCTTTTCTACGCTTTCTGCTGTTCGATTTAATTACTTGTCCCCTCCAGTACTTATGTTAAATAAATGCATTGCAACCCTTATTGCATTGCCATTCTGGAGGTAGTCTTCCTCGGGTGTTTCCCCTATTCATTGTAATATAGTGTTATTACTTCAAAATTTTATCCTTTTCCCTTTTCTGTTCAACAAGCCATGGATCAATAAAAAAATCACACAGCCTTTCGCGGCAAGCAGAGGTGCTTCAAGGCAACAATGGGTCACCCGTATTGTATCTTTATTATGGTATGTTTGATCTGGAATGATCTAATTTTTATTGCTTGCCTACTTTGTATTGAAGGAATGTGGAAAGTCTAACGATTGATTTGTATTCGAATGATTGTTGTGCTTGCTGTTGTTCATCAAGGAGCTGAATTGGTTGCATCTGTTTTGCTTTCATTTGGATGAGTGTGCGTTTCGCGTGAACGGGAACGGGAACGCGAATGTGAACGACGATGACGTTTGCTTTTACGGTCGCGACTACGGTGACCACGGTGGTGACGAGAGCGAGCAGATCGATCATCCTCTTGGTCCCGCCTTCTATCCCGGCCACGCTCTCGGCCACGCTCTTTGCTACGTTCGCGACTACGATCGCGGCTACGATCGCGATTTCGACGGCTGGAGCTTTTACGGCTGCCATGCTTGGATGGTGATTCTGACCGATCCCGATGATCTCGCCGACTGCGATGGGAACGATGATCGCGTCGATCGTGATGGTCTCTGTCAGATCGCTTCTTTGATCCCTGATCATCACTGCGACGATGATGGCGTCTTTGATCTTGTTCACGGTCTTCTTTAGGCTCATTTTCTTCACGCGACTTTTGCACTTGATCGTCGACGTCGACCTCTTCTACCGGATGTGGCAAAGTATCTTTTTGCATGCTCGTATTTGGAACGTTTAGTGGTACTTCTTTCTGTTCTTTTTCTTTTTCTCTTTCGGTGATCGTTTTCTTTCTCGTTTCTTTTTCTGGCGAGGTAGCATCTTTCTTTCTGTCAGACCGGTCTTCGTCTCTTCGACTGGAACGATTTCTCTTTTCTAATGATCGACTAGTTCCGTGATCGGATAGACTATCACGGCGATCTCGTCTTCGACGGTCTGAGCGTCCATGTCGATGTGAAGACCGCTTGTCTCGTGTCGTGTTGCGGCGTGATGGTGATCGTGACCGTGATCGTCTAGAAGAATGGAAAGATGAGCGGGAACGAGACCGAATAGGTGAGCGAGAGCGAGGACCGTGACGAGAACGTGAACGAGAGCGAAGGGGGGAAGGGGAACGAGAACGAGAGCGTGATCGAGATTCATATTTCCTTTTCTTTTTTCGATGGCGGGAAGATTTGGACCGACTGTCATCATTGCTGTCACTTTCAGCACCACTTTTGGAATGACTTGATCGTTTCTTCTTTTCCTTGAGACTATCCTCTTGTAATTCTTGGGTTGGCACATCCAATATTTCCCAACTGTCTCTTCTTTCTTTTTTCGGCTTGCTGGTATTTTTGAGAGCACATAAAAGTGCTTTGGCGTTTTCATGATTTGGATCCAAACGCAACACGCGCTCGAGATGTTCGGTGGCTTCTGCCGCTCGGCTTTGCCGCAGCAGTCTAATCAATTTGCCATCAGCAACCTCGTACATATCTACACTCAACAACGCAACTGTATTACCGCTTTCCTCTTCCCTCTTCGTATCTTCTCTCCTTTTCCATCTTTTGTCCCAAACCTCCCCCTCCCCCCCCAAAAAAAAAGTAAAACCAAGATGAACGTACCCTTCCGCTACTCGATACCACCCTTCCGCATATTTCGGATCCATATCAAGGGCGCGTTTGTAATACTCCATGGCCTCTTTGATCTTATTGTGTTCCATATGCTTGACACCATCAGCAACCCTAGAAAACGGATAACGGGAAGATATCCCGACCACATTAGTATCCCATATTGAACGAGTCATTCGTTGCCTTTCTTCTCGAGAAAATACGCACGCATCCTTGGCATAATTTCGGTTTTGCACGTCTCGTAATTCTAAATAGTTTTCCAAGGGTTGTCGATTCTCTTCAGCATTCACGCCTCGATCTTGCAAAGCGACATTCAATGTGGCTTCGCTTATTAAGCTCGGCTGAGTGGCCGTTCTGGAATGTACGTTGAAAAGGCTGGCGAGCCGTAACCACTGATGAGGGTAATTTAACATGGCTTCGTCGTTGATATTAGCGTGCCATGCTGTCTGCGACGCTAAGCTTAGAGAACTCGGTCGCTCAAAAGCAAATGGTTCTATTTGTTCCGGGGGGTTATCTTGATTCTCTACTGGTCTTCTTTCTGACCGTGACGGTTGAGGCTTCGTTTTGGCGTCTTGTCGTGCTTTTCGCTCTCGTTTACGTCGTTCCAAATCGGCTATGGCTTCTTTATGTAATCGGTATAATACCTTTTGAAATTCATCCTGCTGCGCAAATGCCTCTAGTTTGTTTTCAAACTGGGCATTACTCTCGGCTGCTGCGAGAAATACATTCTCTTTCGAAGGTGCGTCGTCATCTTGGCTGGCGGATCGAACTTTTCGATAGAAATAATGACGTGAAGGCGATTCGGTGGATGCGTTGTCTTGATTTAGTTTGCTTTTAATAGTCCAAGTACGATACTTTGCTTCGTCTTCCACCTGCGCTTCCATGGCTAATGGATGTCGTACGGAAGGATACCAAGATAGATGGTTCCAGGTGACTGCAATTTTTTTATTCTGCGTAATTTTCAAGAAAAAATAAAAATATCGTGAAATCCTGTGGATTCATTCCCAATCTTTGACGTGCGTTTGTAGACACAAACAAGCAGTGGCAGCACTACCATGTAAGTTGATCGTGTATGCTGATCGTGTATGCTAATATTTCAATGCGATATTACTCTCAAAGTAAAGACTATTGTTGTCATACAGCTTATGAAGAACGGTGGATCAATTTTTCGAACGGTGCTTTATTTGCCATGGTTGCCAGTTGTACTCTTTTCGCCAATGCATAATCTAAGATCCTGTAGCCGATGATATAATGACTCTGTGTATTTTTACGAATTAGTCTACCAGTTAATGCTTCTTTGCATCTCAAATATTGCGATACGTTTATCCATCCACGATATATCTTTACTCCTTGACATGTATTTACAAGTTATCACTTATCACAACATGGCCCATGCTGGTGACTGGAGCGCTTACACACTTTCAGGGAACATAATGGGCAGCTTTTGTTCGCAGTGCAATGTTTCATGATCCCGCGGAGTGCTTGTGGATGGCTGATTCAACAACATGTCACCCTGACTCCCGGTACAACCACATCTTTGTATCACACCGTAACCTGGCTTACCAGTCCCTTCATATCCTTAATTTCTTCATGTATAGCGAGCAACCGCTGTAGTAGAATCGATTTGCCAAGAAAATAGTCAAGTTTCTGTATATTTTGTAGCCTGTATTTAATTTTTGTTCTGTTCCATGGTGTATCAAATTGTCTAGTGATGGGCATCGTGGGACTCCTACAATGATAACAATGGTAATAAGTTAGATTTCTATAGTTTTTTTGTTATCATTATTATAAGGGCTTACCGTGAACATGGGTGGAGGTGTGTTGCGTTCCCATTTGGTACCTTCGGGACCGAGAGCCACTAGAGAAAAGATTACGGTGAGTTTTCCTTGAGGCATTGAAAGCAGAAAGGTAGCAAAGATTTTTACATTTGTAGGGATCGGGATGTGCCCAGGCTTCAAGTTCTTGTTCGGTCTTTTTAATGAGAGCTTGGAGCTCCTTGGTGCTGGTGACATGCTTATTGCGTTCGAATTGAGCTCGAATGTCTAACGCCTTCTGGCGCCAAACATCACGTTGAATGTACCAGTCCAACGAAAGCTTCAATGAGCGCTTGTAGAGAGATTGTACATGCAAACGATGAGCGTTCTTGAATGTCGTAGAGGCGGCAGCAGAGGACATGGTGGTTATGTATGTGTATCTTCCACTTCCTACGGTGAGCGCGAATTTTTTATTATTTGGTGAAGGCCGGGTCCTAAAAAAACTTGGGCGGCTGAATATTGCGTCATCAGCTCGAAATCCATTTTTGGAGATCGGTTCCTGAAATGGCCAACTGCTCCAAAATCACCGCACAGACAACTGCCATCCATGGTTGCAAATAGACCTTTGATCATTTCTTTTCAACTACGAAGTATCTGACCATTTCGCTCAGTAGCACCAAATAAGCTTTCTGACAGACGATGAATCCACACAGCAAGGCTCTATCACCGAGATTCCAAAGAGTGCAAATGGCCACCGGTGTCAAAAGCTCAGCTGGTTTTTAGATTATGCTTTTGGGAGCCAGAGAAATAAGTATCCTTCCGATGGACCTGTGTCGGACGATGTCCAACCTGCTAGAACACTCTTCAGTGATACATGGATAATAAGGCAACGTTAAGAAATCAAAAACTTCAATAATGCATCACTGTTTTTCGTCTGCAAGCAGATGATAGAGACCAACATAAGATAAACAGTTGATTTAATCAATGGTATGGGGGATATCGGGACGGTGGAGAGTGATGCCATCATAGCAGTCGATTGCAAGTGAGGATGAAGTGGCTGAAAAGACGGATAATGGAAAAGATAAATAGGCTTTTCCGTTAGTGACCATAAAATTCGTCGCTTTGTGTGTCCAAATAAAGGGTGCCGTCATCTGAAAATGAATCGTCGCTAGGTTCGGTTGGAGGAGATGGTGGTATGGCCTGCATAGCCGGAGGTATTGTGTCCTCAGCATCTACCATGATGTCTTCCGCTTCATCCATCGCCAGGCGATGGTATGCGTGGGCTGAATCGTGTCCACTGTCTATTTCTGATTGCGAATGAATCATATCGGTTCTGTCGCTTTCATACGCGAGAATGCGAAGATCAGTCGACACTTCGACAGAATGAGCACACTCTTCTGCGTACTTTTCTTCTTGGCTGTTGAGATCGCTGAGTAGGTCTCGGATGGATCCTTTCTCACTGTGCCATGCGCCGGGTGTGGCCGTAGGAGCAAGTGTGGGATAATACTCGGAGGTTGCTAAATGCATGCAAGTTTGCACATAAAAAAAAAAAAAAAAATACGCAAACTCTGGGTGCAAACGGCAAAAAACCAAATACGCCATGCAGAAGAAGAACACCGTGACTGGTTTTTTAAGGTAGAGTTCAAGCGTCCGCGCGTCCATTTCAACCCCGCTCCCGTAAATGACAACTCGCGCTGGAAAGCCATCTTGATTGACACGCATCATGAGCGCCGCGAACATGGATGCGGATGAAGAAGTATACGAAGTCCAAGCGCTGTTAAATCATCGTATGTCCAAGTTGAAGCCGGTATAAGTGCACAGTGCAAAAGAGAGATTAGCTGCGAACGAAAGCATGTTGAGTTTTTTCCCTTTTTTGATCTACAGGGTATCGTGGAATATCTCATCAAGTGGGAAAATTATGACGAATCGTGGAATACCTGGGAGAGAGAATACAACATGTATGCACTTGAATTAACAGTAACACCGAAAAATGGTATATGTTGATAGCGCGTGAGGCTCATGTTATGTTGACTTTAGCTTTTCAGAGGACTTGATCGATAAGTATTGGAAGAAGCAGCGAGAGACACGATCCGATTTCATTGCGCGTCATACCCCTGGAACATCAAACGACGATAAAGGTTCAGATCGGTCTAAACGGAAAGACGCAAAAAAAAAGAAAAGCAATCGACGAGAAAAGGCAACGCAGAGCGAAAACGCCAAGGCACAGACTGAAGAAAAAAAAGCAAAACGTATACCACAGGAAAAAGCGTCTCGTGGTGATACAAAGAGGAAGACAAGAAGCCAAGTACGGACCAACGATGATGTTACTCAGGCCATTCAGGTCAAAGTGAAAGACGATCGTACACAGGCCTCAACACCCGAGTATCAGATCGAACTTCCGATGGACACACCACCGCTGAATCTGTCATGGAAAGACGCCAAATCCGTGAATCATGTTTATGCAGACGCAGACGGCGTTTTATTCGCCAAAGTGGCATGGTAAGTGGTGCACCTTATCATCAAGATGTGAAAACAGCGTAACACAAGAACAACGGCAGGTCGAACGGAACAAGTACGTTTATTCCCACCAAGATCCTCCGCCACTACTGCCCTGTTCTTGTAAGTAAACGCTCCCCATCTCACTTCTTTTCCTTCCTTCTCATTTGTGACATACCGTCCCGTTGAACGTTGAACAAGAGATGGCTAACTATTATTCACAGCTTTTGCGCTTTTATGAAAATCTGTTAAGTTTTTCCACTGACTAGAAACTCGCCATTACTTTACAGCCCATCATTCCATCCACCCGGCTCCGACACATTATCTATAGCCATTATTTTACAACCCATCATTCCATCCACCCGGCTCCGACACGTTATCTAGCGCCGTTATCAAACCCGCCAACCCATTCTCCACGGTTAAACCATTCCACAATAACAGGTTCTTATTGTCCTTATACTTTACGCTTTTTTATTGTTATTATTATTATTATGACAAGCCATTCATACGCCTGTGAAAGGAAAAAGGGAAGAATGAGTGGCGACGTTATTTTTCGCTGTCTATTTTTTTCAACTTACATTTTGTATGCGGACATAACACTGGCAACGAATGCTTCTAAATGAAAAATGTCTTTTCTTCCCACTCGCAATCGATGCTCCTATACATTATCAAATGCCTATTTAACCCACATACCTCACATGAAAAAAAGAAAGTGATGACTTACGTGAAAAGCTGCTTTTTCAATGATGATCTTTTTGAAATCGTTATCGACTGCGTCCGCCAACTCAAAAGCCAAATTCTAACATTGCATGAGCACAAAATGAAGCTTTTGAATTGTCTTGGATATATTATGACATTTTTACCTTGATGATGAGGCTAGATTGAATGCAATGGGAGATAAGATCGTACAAATGTGTTCGGACGGCAAGTAATCTAAAATTTATATAGTCAATCATAGGAAGAGACACCTTTTTACCAATTGTTATCGGTCCATACCTCGCAGGCGATTGTTCCTCCAAAATCATTTTTGCAATCTTGTTGATCGCTACTTCCCAATCCAATTTTTCCGGTCGCTGAACATCGGCCAGATCTGGACTATGGGTGGCAAAAGTGTTTAGGCTCAGGGTCGACCAAGGAAAAATGGGTGACTTACTGTCGTACGGCTGTGCTTTCGAGAGACAACAGGGCGGCTCGTAAGTTGCACTGCGTGTCTTGAGCGATATTCTGAGCGAGAGTTTTGTTGAGCGGGAAGCCTTCCTTTTTCGCGACCAGTTGTAAAGCTTCGGTGACCTACACAGTGTACAGTTTGAGTCGTCTGTTAGTGCGCGATCGGGGCTGGTTCAGACCGTTCATTCAACGTACCTCTTCAATATCAGGACGAGCTACCCGCACGAGTAAACAACGGGATCGAACAGGGGCAATAATTTTACTCAAGCTGTTACAGCACAGAATTAAACGCATATTGGATGTATATTTTTCCATGGTACGACGCAGTGCTGCCTGGGCTTCTCGTGTGAGTTCGTCGGCCTGATCGATGACCACCACTAACGAGTGTGTGAGGCGACAAAAATTGGTAAACTTTAATAACGAAAGCCACACTTACCTTTGAATGGATGCCTTGCGTTGGCGTCAATTTGCTGTGTTTGTGCTATGCCTTTGATTACGTCCTGTACAATCACACGATCGTACATGCCGAGATCACTGAATGAGTATAAAGGAAATAAAACGATGTGTGAGTTCATTTGATTCAACCATTTGAGCCATAGTTTTCCTTTTTCTTTTTGATCTTTACCTAGGATTTAATTCAACGTGGAAATTGCTGGAGACGACGGTAAAGATCATTTTACGATTGGAGCTTGTGATGAATTGACGTTGATCGATTTTGAGCTGTCAAGGACGGTGAGAGGGATAATTCACAAATGACAAGTCGTGATTCTTTCTGGTCTTACTTTCTCAACGGCAGGTCCATATATTTCTCTAAGCACGGCGGCAAGGCGTGTTTTCTTTCCGGCACCAGAAGGTCCGTAGAACAGCATGTGTGGAAAGTTTTCACTAGCAGCCTGTTGCCCGTTTTTCCAGTCAGTTCACAGACACGCACATGCAAGTACACTGTCAATATACTTGCCAGTCGCTTCAAATGCAAAGACAGATCGTCATGATATGTCAATTGATCCAGTGTAGTTGGTTTATATTTGTCAGCCCACAAACTCATAATGATTTACAAGGTAAAAAGACTCGGAATGGGAGCACGCATACGCGAAAACATTAGGCGCGCAACGCGTGTGGTCATTTTCCAACTCCGTCAGTGACCAGCTTTCTTTGGTCCCCACCGTTCTCGCTGATACCGGTAGTAACGGCGAATTCGTTTCCGGTTATATTGAGCAACACTAAAAAAGACTTTAGTTTGGCATAGGATGAACCTTTTTAAAAAATAACAGTCGTAAATCAACAATTTTAATAAGAAGGCAGCAAAGAATAAATAAAAAAAGGGGGGAGTAGAGAAGAAAGAAAAAGAAATATATGCAGTAAATTGAATGGGCTTTTTTTGTGAGTGGGAACCTTGATAATTCGGGCGATATTTTAAAGTAAAGTCACCTTTGATATCAGCGTTACCATTGGGCTTCATGTCGCTGCTAAAATCCATAAGGTGGGCCAAACGATGAATTCTATGGGTATGGTCCAGCACTAATCGGTAGTTCGTTTTCGCATTGAATGGTGTTTCCTTGACTAGAAACAAAAAGAAAAAATGGTGAGTAACATGCATTGTCAATGTATTGTTTATCAGCCAAAAGTTGCAGGGCACTTACAAGTTGAGGGTCGGAACCTTGTGATGCATAAAAAATACCGTCAAATTTCTGTTGCGCCTGAGAACCATCGTCCACGTTGCAGTTGTGCACCACCGCGTGGTTCGCCAATAGGAAGAGGGCCCGGTCTTTGGCGGGGATCGAGGCGTCCGTCGAATCGAGAGTAATGCCCACGTATGGGTCGTTGCTTCGACCACAGCGCACAGCGTTAATCTGCTGTAGTTCCTCCAAGGTGAGCTGTTTGGCTATCAGGTCACGGAAGTAGGGATCCGTCTTTTTGTTATACGTGTGGCCGTTGACGTAGCTCGCCAAAGTGTCCTTGTCCATCTTGAGAACCTTTTTGATGTCGTCCTGGGTTTGCCCATACAGCTCAAATACGCGCACCATCATGGCCACCAGCTCGCGGTCAAAACACCTGGACAATCGCTTCCTTGGCTTCGGTATTTACTTGGACAACTGGTTCGGCGATTACTTCAGTGGTTGGTTCGGCCTTTATTTCGGCCTTGATTTCAGAGGTGATATCAGCAATAAGCAAACTTCTGCGACGCGCAGTCGGGGAGCGGTTCTTCCACATGCCCCTCAACACTACCGGCGTCGCGGGCATCACATGAGAGTAGTCGCTTTCAGAACTCGTGCTCAAACTGGGTGACGGCATCGCCATTGATTAGGGGCGTCTTTGCGATGTCAACATCAAAGGTGGGGGGCGCGGACGCACAAATGGTCCTGTAGAACTCGAGGCGCCTCCAGTCGATGGACCCGCTTCCGATGACTCGACAGAACTCGCCATTGCCTTGCGCTGTACAACGAGATCATCAGTAACAAAACTCACTGCCCCCCGGACATCACAAGAAATCTACCTTTTGGCGATCAATGTATATTTCTTGTAATACGCGCGATAAAGACTCGCGTTCCACCTTGAACCGGTACTCCACAGGGAGACGACGAACCACCGCAGGGGCTGGGCGATACTTGTATGGAATGGAAAGGAGGCTCAACACGTTAGTCAGTGCACTGCAAGGCATAAGGGTGATTCGGAAGCAGAATCTCATATTCATGCCGTATTTGTTTACATGGGCTTCCGTGTGTCCTATGGAAAATTTGATGCTCGACGAACGGGCCAGGGCAATCACTCCAGTCGCGAGGTCCTGGTAAATGGATATAATGATGACTTGTATGTATAAGCGCTGGGCTTCTTTCATGTCGTTGTTGCGGGTTGCGCATTCCATTTCGTCTTCATCTGCTTCAATGGGTCCTTCGCCTTCCACTCGAACGACATGCCTATCCGAGTCGATCAACCCAGCCAGGATATTTTCGCGAACCGAAATCGGCTCGGTCTCGAACCATGTTTCTAATTTTTTTGAGCCTTTGGCTCCCATGCCAAGGGCTTTGATCAACTCGCGGAACCTGTTTGGCCGCCGGATATACACTCTTCCGCCAAGTGTGCCGACTTGACTCGGTGTTTGCCTGGCACCAGCAGCAGTAACTCCTAATTTTCCGCAAACGTCTTGGATCCGTTGTATTTCGTCGACATCGTTTATGTTCACTGCAATATCAGTACTTCCGGTCGTTCCGTCCCCGAGCCAGAGGCCGAACAACCAAGCAACATCGTTGATTTCGCTGACAGGCAACCCCACTCGCTTGAGGAGCCGCTCGAATCGTCTGTTCTGGATAAGGACGGGGCCAGCCAGCTGGAAGTACTTTGTCGAATTAATCCATCGACATACGGATAATGCCGGACTTCCAGCTCCCATGTCATGGGTTGCGATCCATCGTCGCGTGAAATTCATCCGCAGCAGGTTTCGCTGCTGCATCCGAGCCGTACGTAGAAAAGAAGAACGCCTTCTTCACCCAACCCAACATGGGTATCTTTTCTCCATCGGCTCCCTTTCCAGCGCCCATTGCGATATACTTTACCTGATAAAAGCACCGGTCGTACCGTCTACCCGTCCCACGCTCCACTCCGGGCTTCTTGTCGAATGTAACTTTTTTTAGACGTTGGTGCGTGACCAAATGAAGCAGATGGTGTGAGTTACAAATATACGTGATGAGTCCCAGTCGTTCGATCGGTCGGTTCTTCAGGTTTTGGCGCGATTCCCGTACTTCAAACATTAGATCTTCTCCTCGTTGAACAGCCGTCACAGTACGTGACTTGGAGTTACCAAGGAAAGCGCCCAGCTTCTCCACCAAAATGTTGTTACTTGGGATAGTTCGTCTATCGCAAAGGCACGGCCCGAAAGGTTGCTTTGTTTGTTGACAGAGAGAGTTTGATTTCTTTAAATTTCCAGACTGAGTTAGCGTGTTGTACTTGACTTCTGCTCTTCCGTAACTGGTCACTTATTTGACAACGTACCATAAACTTCGCTTAAACCAAAAGAGGTGTACATTTATTGTTCGGAATGATGATCAAATTTATACTGGTAAAAAATTCAATTGCCGCCAATGATTCAATCAACACGCATAAGCGTGTGACCCGTCGCCATTTTCCAATTCTGTCATTGACCACTTTTATTTGATTCCCACCCTTGATGTATTTACGCAGACGTTCTTGTTCAACTTTGAGCCATAAATGGATGAGAAGGTTCAAATTCTCGCGACACACAGTATAACAGGTCATTGACATCACGGCGAATTCGTTTACGATTATAATGAGCGACACTAGAAAAAGAGTTTACCATGGGATAGATGGACCTTGTTTAAAATAACAGTCGCAAATCAACCTTTTTTAATAATCAGGCAGCAAATAATAAAGAGAAAAAGGGGGAACAGAGATGAAAGAAAAAAGAAACTTTTTGGAAACATATACAGTAAATTTAAATGAGCTTTTTTTTTTTGGTGAGTGGGAACCTTGAGGATTCGGGTGATTACTTTTTACGCAAAGACATCTTCGATATCAGCGTCACCACTGGGCTCCATGTCGCTGCTAAAGTTCATAAAGTGAGCTGAACGATGTGATTCGTGATAGAATTCTTTGGGAACGTCCAGCACCAATCGGTAGTTCATGTTCGCATTGAATTGTGCACCCATGACTAGAACAAAGAAAAATAAAAAGGGAAGTTAGCATGCGTTATCAATGAATTGTTTGTTTGTTCAGCTCAAGTCGCAAGGACACTTACAGTTATAGTTCCAAATTTCAGAGGGGACCATGAAGAAACCGAGGAATCGATCGGATAAAAGGATTTGCACCTTTTCGGCATGGGTGGGGAGGTAACCTTGAGGATTGTTGCCAGTGTCCATGTTGTTCTTACCCCATTCGAAACCACCGGGGGTGAGTTTGTATGCGGTAAGGGAGCATGAACCGGGAGTAAATGAACAAGTCATGGTAATGGTCTTTTCGCCATCCCACGATTTGTTGTTGGCCAATAATTTGGCATGCGTGGTAACATCTTGAGGAGACATGTTCATCAATTCCTGAGGTTGCGTGTGCAACCAACCAAGGGGTTCCAGATCGGCCAAGTATTCGTGTTCAGGCAAGTGACTCGGCAAATGCACGGTTTGGTGAGTACCCCACTGAGGAGGAATCACCACACATCGGATTTCCTTGACATTCGGTGCATCTGGAGGACTGACACCATACATCAAACCGGCCACCTGGGTACGCAGATCGGCAATGGTGATGAATCGCTTCAACACATTCTTTGGTAATACGTAGGTATACGTGTTCTCCTTGATATCGTCCGAGTTGACGTAGATGTGATTCGTACGCAGATGCAAGTTGGTGGCTGAAATGGCTCGAATGCGCCATTCGGTCTTTGAAGAGAACGTGGCTGTTTCGTAGTTACTGGTAGTGGTCACAATCATTTCATCACCGTGAATGTTGCGTGTCTTTGTGGTTACGGCCGTCAACTGCGATTGCTCCTTGGTCTGCTTCTCAATCTCGGCAATCTGCTGTCGCTGCAGCGAGGGAGCCTGGATCTCCATACCAAGAATGATATCACGGATTTCCGATTGGGTCAACGACGCCACGTTCACGTTGTTCTTCTTGCCGTAATCTGCCAAGATAAGATCCTTCAGCTGCACTTCCACCTTGGCCCATTCTTCGTCGGACAATGTCGGCCAAATGTGATGTGCCTCCGTGATCGTATTTCTGTCCGGTCGCAGAATCATCTTGGTCTTGTCATTATTTACATGCAATGCACGCAAAATCAACACCAAACGCGAAAACGCCGTGTACGAGGAGAAGCTGCGCAGCCAGTCGTCATACAAGTTGAACAAGACCTGTTACAACAAAAACACAGAAGTTAGCTCACCGACAGCGCAATGATCCAAAGAAAATATGTCATGAAGCTTACCATCTGGGGTTCAGTGGCCTTGAGAATAAGATCACCAAACTTTTCGATTTTGAGACACGCTTGGAAGGGAAGCTGAAGTTCACTGCCCTTGATGACAATATTGGGGAAATCCAAACAATGGACCTCAAGAGGATCCAACATACCCTTACGGGTCACAATAATCTGTTTCGGCTGTTCTTCCACGGGAAGTGATCGAATCAACGCCGCCACTTCTTCGGCCGTCTTCCACTTGGCAAGCTGACCAAGACGCTTCTGACCAGCCCACACCGATGTATGAATAATCTTCAGGAACAGTTGACCCGTTCGCGGATTGAAAATAAAGATCGCACCGTTGATCGGTTTGGTCGTCAAATTGCCTTCGAATGTCTTGTGGATGGTCACACGGTACACGTTGGTATCATCCACAAACCAGATAATCTGGTTACTGAACAACTCGCCATAATTCGTGGATGACAAGTAGGGTTCCGTCGGTTCCGAACTGTATAACTGCAACGCCTTGCGAATACGTTCACGCAACACGTACAATGCAGGGTTTGCCTTCATAATCTTGGCCATCATCTGCTGCACCAATGGCTTCATACCAGGAATCCAGTTACCGTACGCCGAATACAAGTTATACGCCAAATCGATACCAATCATCAGACCCGTCGGCGAAGGATAAATACTCATATTGTCCGTCGTGTAATCCAAGAATTTGGCACGTGTGTATCGCTCAATATCGTGCGAATCAAAGTCACCCCATCGCAGTTGGATATCTAGCCAGTACTTGGTCGTCGTAGGACCGTCCATCACATCCTTGGGATCGTTCAACAGCGAAGGGCGCGACACTGGCCATTTATAGGCCGCAAACAACAGAATGTCACTGGCGGAGGAGTTCATCTGAAAAGATAAAAAACCAAAAGTGAAGAGTGAGTACGGAGTATGAATTGAAACAATTGCCTAAATAAGGAAATAAAATTTCACCTTGTACGACTTGCGGGGATGAATGGTCTCCTTCTGCACCGTCTCAATCTGAAGCGCTTCCAATTCTCTATCAAATACTTGACAGCAATCCATTGTAATCGCCTCGTGCAGCTTTTGCCACAAATGGGCGCGGAAGATTTGAATCAACGAAATCTTGAGCGTCGGAATCTTGCCGTGCATGAAAATACCCGTCAAATCCAGTTGCACCTGGAAACCAACATAAACGTTGGATCTCTACAAATCGTTAAAGAAGTATGTTAGATCATCGTTTGAACATATAGAAAGCAGTTATAAATTGAAACTCCGATGCTAACATTCACAGTGGGGGACCACCATAGTGTGAATCGTCTGTTTGGAATCTGATTGAGACCGGAACGTTGAGCGTTGGTGAGTTTCTTGTACTTCATGGATTCTTCGAAACCGGAAGCCTTTTCCCAGAAAAGACCTAACCAAGAGGTGAAATAGGTGGCTTTGAAAAGGGTGTGTTCCAAGATGCCTTCGACGCCACCGAGGGCCTGGATCATATCGGTACGGTAATTGTTGAGATTCCAGAGTTTACCGTCGTGGCGCGAATGGGTCCAGTAGAATGGATTGTTCTTGAGGATTTGGTACTGCTTGAAATCGGTACGTACACGCCAGCCCTTGTCATAGGCGAGAGTATGGCGATCTTTCTGGAACAAGGTGTTAATACGGGGAATACCTCTATCCCAAGAATCTTCGAGATCTTCCAAAGTAAGACGACGATTTTGGGCATTGGCTTCCTGACGCTTGAGGGCATATTCTGCCCAGACACGCTGGGAGTCAACGAATTCCGATTCCCAGGATTGGATGTAGCGGTAAAGATTGGGAATGAGTTGGTCTTCATCGTGGGACATACCCGATCGGAAATGGGTGATGCCGGTTTCTGTTTGTTGAGACCATCGCAGGTCGGACTGCGGGATGAGGATGTGACCCATGGAAAGCATACCGAGACCACCGAGTTCTTTGGGACAGTTATGACCGATGAGGAAATCGCCGTGACAGAACAAAGGAGACTGTCCATCGGCAACTTGGAAACCGTAGTACTTGTCAACGCATTCAGGTTCAGCTTGAACTTGGAAGCGTCTGAAATGCGGCTCAGAGCGGGCCGACTGAGCAATTTGGTTCTTTGAAAGCACGCAAGGGACAAAATGGATATCACCACTGAAACGCACAGAACCGCGCAGATCGGTGTCACCGGGAACTTGTTGTTGGGTAGTGGTAGTGTAAAGACCAAGGGAACGTCCGATATCGTAGGCAAGGCGCAAGATTGATTTGTGGTGGGTAATCGATTGCGACAGCATATAGCCGGTTTCACTTGCAGAACCATTAGTGTCCAAAAGACCAGCCAAGAGAGAACGACGGACATCCGCAGATTCTTGCACAAAGAGTTCTCGAGCTTCATCAGAGACGCACTTGTCTTGCAACAATCCAAGCTTGGACAAGATGAAGAACAGAGGGTTGTCGGAAGATGACTCGCAATTCAGGACGTTGGTCAGACCCATCTTTTTGCCAATGGCTTCGACTCGCTCCTCCAGTCCAGATTGATCTTTGGCGCCGTTGCCGAGCCACACACCAATGATATAAGCGCATTCAGCGGAGGTGAGTCCAGCATAAGGACGATTGGTTGATTGATGCGCCTCCTTGACAAGTTTTTCCAGGCCACCATGGGTAGCAGCAATGGGCCACTGTTCGATAGGACCAGAGTAACGCATTTCACAGTCGATAGGTTGACGTCCAGTAACCTTCATATGTTCCGCGTAACGAATGAAATCTTTCACCCTGACGGTCCATTCAGAAGCGTGCTGTGCCTCTTCTACTTCATAGGGTCGCTCCATCTGGAGTTCTTCGTCATATTTCACTTGGTAACATTGGCCAGCCGAAGGCAAGCGCACCACAAGGTAATGGTTTTCGTTACAGAGGAAGCCTGGTTCAAACAAAATGTCTTCCTCCTCTCCAGATGGCTTGACACGGTACAATGGAGCAGTTCCCGAAACAGTGGAAGCCACTGTTCTTGCCTGACCATCGCTGCCTAGAACAAGATCGCCAGCTTTAATGTCTTCAATCAACCGGGTGGAACCGTCCGCCAGACGCACAGGCATTCCTGCGCCATAGCAGTAAAACACAACCGGAGGAAATCTTGAAGGCATCTTTGAGTTGAGACCAATCTTGATACGTGTTTGAATCTTGTTTTCACATTTCACAAGGAGATCGAGGAGCTCACGGGTGTGGACGACGGCTTCACGGTAGTAAGTCATAAGACCGATGAGGGCCGTGTTGTATTTGTTTGCAATCTTGCTAAAGGTGGTACTGCCGGAAGACATGAGGATCTGACGGATGCGGTTGTGGAAGCGATCCATGGATTCCTGATCTACGCGAAGGTAGGCTTGGGCGGTACGCTCCTTGGTTTGTTCGTTGATGAGATTCCACACGCCGTCCTTGAGAGTGAATTCTTCGTTGAGGGTACGAATCTTGGGGAGAATGCGTACTTCAAAGCCGGACATGGCGAAGAGAAGATTTGGGTTATCTTTGGAGTAAACACTGACGAAGCTGTCTTCCCATTCAATCGTAGTAAGGGAACGGGGAAGACGATTTTTGATATCCCAAAAGACGGCGCGACCAAGATTGACGTCGTGCTTCATGAGACGCATGCGGCAATCACGGGGCCAGCATTTCTTGTTGTTGTAGCCGACAATGTTTTCAAAGTTGGGATCGGGATGCTCGGTGAGGTAACGTTGAATGAGATCACGGGCTTCATCGGCGGTGAAGCGGAAGAAGATGTGGATCTTGTCAATGTAGCGTGAGTAGAGACGAATGGGATGACGTGTCTCCGTGGCAACATCGCGATACTGCAAAAAGTCGTTGGGAAGTTGAGGAGGGCCGGCCATTTCACTGGCGCGATGAAGACCGAGGACGAGAAGATCGAGAACAAGGCCATAGTACTGGAAGATGAAGGACGCGAATTGCAGACCACGAATGAGACCGTAAGCGTTGACGTGATTCATGTCCTTGTAGTTGAGAACGACGTTATTTTTGGCGGTAGCGTAATCGGCAAGATTGTGATCGAGGATGAGACGCAAAAGACGACCGAGCAAGGTGAGATCGATCTTTTCGTAGACGCGGCTAAAGTTGGTTTCCATCATGACGTTGCATTGGCCTTCGGAAGTATCCCAGACATCGACGAGGTTGTTAATTCCCTGACACCATTTATAGACGAGTAATGGCGGGGGTTCCGAATCGGAAGGTTTGATCCACGCAGGGAAGAGATGACGTTTATCGGCTTCGTACCAGAGATACTGGTCAAGGTAAGCGTCGGTGATCTTTTCAAGGGGTTCAATATCGTAGACAGGAACGAGATGGGAGTAGAGATCCATGAATTCGATGCCGACTTCCTTGAACGCACGCTGAGTGAGCAAGAGACGTTTGATACGGGACAGGGCTTCATGAGGGTTATCGTAGGCTTGTTCGATAAGACCGAGTTCTTCACGCTGGCTCTGATTGAGACGACCTTGGACACTGTAAGCTTCACGCAAACGTTCCAAGGCAAGGATGAGCAACTTGGTGTCATGTTTGTAAGAAAGAGGGGGGAAGGGAATAGGCGAGAATTTACGCGATTCCAACCAGTGAACGGTGGATGTGTAAATGGCGACAGCCTCTTCAGGGGTGATGTAAGGACCATCCTTCATGTAATTATGCTGACGTTCTTGTTCGGCTTTGAGCCATAAACGGGTGAGACGACCCAAATTCTTGCGACACACGGTTTTATCGACGGTAGCACCACGACGAATACGTTCACGGTTATAATGAGCAACGCTTGTCCACCAATCGGCCTTGGCCTTGATGTAACGCAGAATCATATTCTCAATGGGCGTGGGCAATCCAGGCACCTTCCAAGGAATATTAGCCTTCCATGCTACAGAGTTTCGAGAAAAAAAATTGAGATGTTAATCATAAATGTCAGTGATTGAGCGGTCAATCATTGGGGCGTACCTCTCCATGCTTCTGACAAATGTTGCAGAATGGTTCTTGATTTATTGCCCTTGATACCCTCCGGCATGGCGTCGGTAATATCGTGAAGCACAGCTGCACGAAGTTCAAGATCGTAATGCGAATCAACACGCTGTTTTGTCACTGTCTTGGCAATGCCCTTGGAATGACTATATATTCATAAAATCATGAGTACACCATGACATGGAAGTTCGAATAGATCAGCCCAATCGATTACTTACCGTCCTTCGAATTGACGAGCCAACAGATTTCCAAGCCATCGCTCAAGCAAGGGAACAATACCACGCATAAAGAAAAGCCACACTCTCCATCCAGGCGCCCAGAAACCAACACCTGGACCCTTGCCAACAGGACCCGTATTGAAACGATAGTCTAAACAGTTTGAGGGGAGAAAAAAAAGTTTAGTTCACATACTCATAACTACCGAGTCCATTGTTCCGCCTCATCCATCCTCCATGAGTTTCGAGAAATTCATGATCCGAGACGCGGCTGAGGAGCATTAAAATACTTACAGATAAGATGCTTGAGATCTTTGGTCATACGAATTTGACGCATGAGACGATATTTGTAGCGGTACATGCCGGTAAGCTGACCAACGTGAGCAAAGATATATTGGAGACCATCGGCCAGTTGGAAGGCGTCGACGTTGCCAAGACGATATTGAACGTGGGAGTCAACGACGAGTTTGGTGAGACGGAGGATTTCTCGACATAAGTGGAAAGCGTTACCGAAACGGGATTTCTTACGTTCTTTGGTTGTCAGTGTTTTGACGGGTTTGAGATTAAAGTTATAATCCAAGTGGAGGTAGTTAAGATTCTTTCGGTGAATCAGCAGGTTAAGCATATTGTAACCTTGACGACACACTTGCAAACCAGCTTCAACCCAATCGAGCTGAGTGGTTTGGAAAAACTTGGTGGACTTGAGACTGCGGAAAAGATACTTCTTATTCAGGGCCTTTGGAGGACGATGCTTCAACGCGTTCAACACGTAGCATTTCAACAGTTTTTGGTAAGACACGCGGACCTTGACAGGTTGATTAGGAGGACAGTGTTCGAGATACCAGCCCTTGACGAGAGGAATATCTTGAGCACGACGTGTGTAACCAGAACGCTTGTCATAAGGATGAGGCGCCCAGTAAAGAGCAATGGCATTCGCCGTGTTATCATTGTACAGCTCCTTGTCGTCGAGGAAAGGTTTCACTGTGGTAGGAAGCGTAAAGCTTTGATCTTCTTCATCATCCCCAAAGATGGAATCTTCATGCTGTGTGCCAGCCGCCTCGACGGTGCGCGACGAAATAGGATTGATGATGGGATCGAAATAGAACGCAGGCAAGTCGGGATCTTCAGACCGGACAAATACCACAGTAGGATGATGATACCATGAAACGCGCACACTGCGAGGGAGCGAATTGTACAAAAAGGGGAAGGCGATCTTGTACTCGGTACGAACAGGTTGGCGAATGATGATCTTGTTAATATCGTTAAACTCGTTCCAGTCTTCGTCGCTGGTGTCCAGATCACGATACAAGGGTTCGAACTTGGGACCACCGGGAATGGCCATGCTTAACGCCTTGGCTGTGAAGAAGGAATGCAAATCAAAGAGGTAAAAGTAGTTTTGATCGTTCAAGTCGGTCAACAGCTGATGTGCCAAACGGTAAAGATTGGCCATGATGGGAAGATCCAGGCGCCATTTACGATAAGAAGAACCATTAATGTGTTTGGTGTCTAAAAGAGGTTTGGGATCGTAAAACCAGTCAACGACAGCGGCATCTTCTTCCTCATCCAGTTCCATCTGGATGGCTTCAAGTGGTTCCACATCCATGACGTTGTCACCATAATCCAATGGAGGTTCTTCATCATCGAAAGGAGGGAATCGCATACGCTTAAAATGACGTCGATCACGCTTTTCACGACGCATCATAATCCACATGGTACCCCATTGGGCAATATAGACCGGTTCCACCACCCAAGGAATTTCGTTGACAAAGGTAATCGCACCGGTGATATGATAGAGAACTTCGACTTCACGGACTTGTTCCCACGGCATGGGCATATTTTCAAGAAGCTTCAAAACGGCGTGAGGGACGTATTTCAGAGCTCCCAGATAAATACGCTTGTCGTGTCTGAATTTTTTGGCTGACATGTCACCGTGATCTTTCACGATTTTACGCAAATGCTCAGGGGGCATTTCAGCTTTTTCATGTTCGATGAAACCTAGCGACATGGGCAATATTTAGACATGGGCTGTCATGGGGAATTGAAATTTTGCAAGAGTCAATTAGCATGGTAGATTACGTACCGAATTTACGTTTTTCACCGTAGCGTTTGTTTTGTAACTGCTGCCATTTCCTTGATTTCTCAAGTAGCTTTTGTTCGTGTGTTTTTTCTGGTTGCTGAGGTTGATTTGGTAGCTGCTGATAGTAACCGGCTTCGTAGGCATACTGATCATACTGCTGTTGCGACTGTTCAGAATAAGCAGAAGGCGTGCCTCCAACGGAAACAGGAAATCCTTGATCGTGGCTGGCCATAATGCTAGCTCGATTATCGTCCTATCTTTTGACTGACAACAAGAAATGCTATATCAAAAGTAGAATGTACTCTTGGTGAGGTGAAATAGCACAGGTGAAAGACAGAGATGGAACAATGTCGGGTTGAATTCGTCAGAGAAAGTCGGTAAAAGAAAAAAAAAAAGAAAAAAAAAAAGTGAACAGACGTAATTGCCCACTTGTCGCAGCAGCAACAGTCCCCGAAAAAAGTGTGCGCTTCAAAACAACTCAGAAACTAACAGTGACTGCTTTCTTTCATCCGCCAATCAAGTAGACCTTCGCATTGCCCTGTTCGGTATTTCAACTCTGAGAGGGTGCCCCCAAGTGCTGGAAGTCCCGAACTGACAAGCGCTTGATAAAAAATATGTAGTTGGACAGGAGAGGAATAGAGGATTATATGTGAGTGTATGTGTACGTATTAGACAGATATTCTAAAACAACTTTTATGTCACCACAATTCTTGAAAACTTGGTCATTGAACGATGTCCGCTGCAAGAAAATTCGCAGCTTTTTTGCTTGTGAAGATGAAAAATAAGGGCAAGTCTTTTGGTATAGACATGAATGGCTTTTGAAATAATTGGTACATATGGAATATTATCAAAAAGGTTTCTTGTAATCCGTCAAGGCGTGTTTCGACACAAGTAATGCACAGTGGACAATATATACCGGTATGCGCGGCAAAGGGAAAGCAGATGGGCAGTGAAAGAAAAGCATCATCGATAAGGAGTAAAGTGAGTGACATTACCAAAATTGAAAAATGTAATTCGAAAAAGTAGGTGCAATGCTTAGTTCCGACTTCATCGAAGGATACCGCGAAATGCATGTGATCTTATTACTTATCCGACGGAATAAAAAGTTCCATCATGTTCACATTGCTTCTCTTCAAAAGTTTCAGAGTGAATCGTCTTGTAAAAATAGCGGGAGTAGAAACTAATATCAAAGGGTCTTGAAAATGCCAAGCAATTCGTTACCATGAAAACTGCTTCTGCACGATTCATTATAAGCTGATATTGGGCAAGGCTGATCAACAAAACCGGGGTTAACAAGGATAGGATGGATCAAAAAACTTGCATTCATCTGACCACATTTGATAATGTTTATCGTATTGCACTTTTTCATACTTTGTGATATTGGATTGGAGATGCAAGATGTTCCTCTTCTGGAAAGATTAGCCTCGGCTGTGTTCCTGTTTGCGTGGTTGACGGGTGTCAGCTGTTCGAATTCTCGAAAATATACGGGTCATACGGAATTCTTTGGTCTTTTTTTTTATTATTATTCTCTGTGCTCACAAGATTCTTTGTTTCATCATTGATATCATTGTGGTCAGGAAATGTCAATAGCTTTTTTCGTTTATTTACTGCATGGCCAGTAGAAGTGAATGGGGAGAAAAAAAATTGGCCCATGACCCATCATCGCGTCATCAAGTCGATATGAAATGGTTGGTAAATGCAAGGGATTCCCAGCATGCATTGAATGTTGGCAGTCGTGTTGCTCATTGTTCCAAAGTGGCAAGCATACATTTGTTTGTTCATTTGTTTGTTTGTTTGACAGCAGCCATGCCAATTTTGGCAATGGATATGCCTGATTTGGCAGACCATCTTTTCCATCCGGCGCTTAATCCGGTCATCCACCAGCCTTCAGATTTGCATCCGAACTCCCTTTTTTTCATTTCTCTGCGTGCATTACAGTTTGTTCAGAGCGGTGTATTACAGCGCAATTCAGAAAACCGGCCCATTGGTACAAAAAAAAGGGGTAAAATAAACCAGAATGGAGCTTCGGTAATCTTCATTTTGAATATGGTGGGTAAATACATTGGTGAGGATGATATAAAATATATGGTATGGGAATTAGGCTTGGATATCTGTAGGCTTGTTAGCAAACAATTGCTCCACGAGATCGGCAGCAGAGGTATCATCAATTGGCTTCCAAGATATCGCGCTTTGTCGACAATATTTTGCCTAGGAAATAAAGTGGCAATTATCAAGCAGCCGCATAAGAACACACGTCTTCTTCTCCTTGTCTGCAATTCACTGGCTTTTTTCCCTCGTTCCAATCCGCCTCACCCCCCAAATCCCAGAACCTTTTCTTTTTCCTTTTTGTAATCCATTCAATCCCTTGGAAAGTTGCTTACAAGTGACATGACAGAATTGGATTTTCGAATGGAAGAGCAAGTTGTTAAAGCTGTAGAAAGAGGAATGGTTATGAAATGAAAAAAAAGGAGGCAACATGCTGCTCAATCATATAAATTATTTACCAGTAGAACGCTGATCATCGATGGCACATGTGCGTAATTTTCGTTCTGTGACGATAGTGGGTATATCTTTGAATGTTTGCTTTTTCATCAGCGGAGGTCTAAATGATGGGGCAAATTTGTGTCACTCATTCTCTCAAATATGCCTTGTTTTGTTCACTTACACCTGGAACTGGATGCCGACATCGGACTTTTGATTCATCCGAATGGTCAACTGAAAGGGAAAAAAAAATAGCATGCATGTAGGACGAACAAGAAGGGAAAAAAAATAAAGCGGGCTGGGTCAGAGAAATGAAGCATGTGAAACGAGGCAAAATTTGGCGTTTTACCTTGATGGTAGAGTTGAATTTGGAATCATGAAGCAAATAACGATCTGAAGTGACTCCTTTCTCAGCGTAGGCGGATAAATTCACGGTGAGGTTCCCGATGGACGTCGTTTCCTTGCCACCGCCGAGTTCTTGGTATACTTCGAGTTTTAGTTCGCAAGCCCCGAGAAGTCGTTGTTTGCTTATGATGAGGTGAGTCATGGTGCTGATGGGGTGATTCCAGTAGACACAGTGATCTTTGATGGGTGATCTAAAACATTTGGGTTTTTTTAAAGGCGGGGTGTTGGTGGGTTGAAATAAAGCTAGGTTGTTTTTAAATTTCACCTTGCGGTTGAACCACTAGGATGAGAGGCATATTTAATTTTCCATTGAACATAATATAGTCCACTGACGAGTGGTACGTTGATGAGATCATGGATGATGAGGGCGACTTCAAAGTCCACTTTTCGGTTTTTGGAGATGAAGAAGTGGGTGAGCGGAGCCATGGTTAGTGGACCTTTTGAAAGAGAAGAGGAAGAGAGGAAGAAGATGATATCTTAGTAATAAATAAATAAAAAGAGAGGAGTGGGTGGAATTGAGTGTCAACGTAGTGCGGGGAAAACGCTGACTGTAATAAACTGTAATCCATAATAGAGAACAATGTGACGTTCTTATGTTCCTGTGGGTTGGGAACTGGGAATTGGGGGAGGTTTTTGAGTGGAGTGGAGTGGAGTGACGAAAATGGGGAGAGCGGGGATTGGAGATGAAAAAAAAAGGTGCGAGACAAAAGAGAGATGATATATAACCAACCCGAAAAAAGTTGATGGGTGTGATTCTTTTCTCTTTGCTGCCACTGTTTGCTGCTTTGAAAAAAAAAAAAAAAAAAAAAAACCAACAACATCAACAAAAAACAAAAAAAGAACCGATCAAAAAATCATACTTTCTTCCTTTCCTCTTGTTGACACTCTTTTTGTGTAAAAAAAAAAAAAAGAAAAATATTTCCTTGGTTTCTTCTTCTCCTTTGTCCTCTTCGTCTTTTTTTTTCCTTCTTTTCGTCCCTTTTGTTGCGTTTCGCACCTATTTTGGTTCTTTCCTGTCGACTTGTTCAATGATTACTGTGGCGCCAACCACCGTCATGGCGTCTCCTATGTCAACCATACCCTCCGTCACCAGTTCGCCGTCGCCCAGTGTACCGTCGCTCCGACGATGTACAGACAGATTATTCTTATCCCATCTTCTTCACTACCTGGCCCTTGTCTACGAATACGTCAGTTCCTTTTTCAATACACCCACCAAACTCATTCAACCTCCACCCGCTTCATCGTCACTATCTTCATCTACTCTCAAATCAACTTCACCTGTCACTACTCCGTTGTCCTCCATCCAAACGTCCAAAGACTGTTCCATACACAACAAAACAACCCCAGCAACCAATACCAAATCCTCCCTTTCACTACAGTATTACAAAGGCAAAACCCTTATTTTGGACTTGGACGAAACACTGGTCCACTCCGTTCGTCTAGGCTCCCCCGACGCCGCTCGATCCGTCAGCGCTTCCATCAAACGCAAAAAAATTGAAGTTCAAAACGATAAACAAAGTATCCTCTACGAAGTCTACAAACGCCCTCATGTGGATTTTTTCTTGAAAACGGTTGGTTGATTTGAAATTGGGTTTCCCTGAATGCTTTCAATTTTTAATGAAGGTCATGGGACAAACAACAACAAAAAGCAAGATTCTCACTGGTGATTGGATGATTGTCTTTTTTTAGATCAGTCAGTGGTATAAAGTGGTCATCTTCACGGCGTCCATGGCAGAATATGCAGATCCAGTGATTGACTGGCTGGACCAGGATCAAACCGTTGTTTCCCAGCGTTATTTTAGACAGGTATTTTTTTTAGGTTTTTTTTTTTTTGGGTTCACCAAAATTTGGGGTCTAAATGCCAATCACAGTCCTGCGTCGTTCGTAATGGAAATTTTGTCAAGGACATCTCTTTGGCCGAATCGGACTTGGCCAAAGTATGTCTCGTTGACAACAGCCCTGCGGCTTTTGAAATGTTTCAAGGTAAAGGGGGAGAAAAGAGAACCACACGTTTTGATCTGACAACGATGCTAACGGATGGAATGGTAGATAATGGTATACCATTACCAGGCTGGATATCCAACCCCAAAGATGAATGTCTTTTGGATCTTTTACCGTTATTAGATGCTTTACGTTTTACAGCAGATGTTCGGAGTATTTTAAGACTACGATCCATGGCTTAAATGATTGCCTTGCTAGATAAAACTTCCCTCCCACTGTCACTTTCTTTATTCCTTCTCAGTTTAGGTAAATTCTGTTGGATGCGGCAGCTTTATGCCGCAGAGGTTTGCAGCATGATTTGTATATAGGTTAATTTGTATTCCTCAAAACTTGGCCCAATATTTGATTTTACCCACGCCTCGGTTTTTCTTCATACTCCACTAGTATTTGTATGTAAAAGCAAAGTTTGTTAATTTGCCATCATTCTCGTTTTTGACATAAACCTCATTAGAACGGAACTGTATCTGACCTGATATTGTTGATCAAATAAATAATAATGATCTGATTGTCATGACTTAACTTGAAATAATGATCGTGTGATGGTTTTTTGGTGGAAGTATGGGACGGGTATTGTCGCCATGCATACGATGAAAATGCTAAATGGACGTTTGTTTTATTACACTCATCGAAATTTTGGAACATCATGCATGCTCTAGAAATATATATGTAAAAGTCGTTGCAGTTCGCCATGGGCAACTCAAACGATTGGGGAATCTATTAGAATTGATCGGATCAGGTTTCCAGTTGTACAAAGTGCATTGACTGTAAAATGAGGGCAAATAAATCTTCCTCTGATCTTTTTTTTTTTTTCGTACATTACCCCACCTTTTTATTTTTATTTACCGAATCCACTGTTGTTCCCATGTCATTCAAAAACTGATCATTTGGCTGCGGTGCTCACTTTTCGTCAAATACTGTTTGGTCACAACAAGACAATGGACCCAAGGTGAAGCGTCAAGCAGCAAGGTTCGAAGAATAACTTGATTTCCGGATCAGTTTATCGCAGTTCAGACACGCCATGTACGTACGCTCTCGGCATGAAATTCCTGGGTTTTTTTATGGCCATCACCACAGCTTATATGAACCATCAGCAAACATTCTTTTGTTTGGCGCCCTATCTTTTGTTTATCGTACCTTGTAATCCATGCGGACGACTCGGTATTACAAATAGCAACAACAAACGTTTCTCCAGCAGCGACACAGCGCAACGTTTAGATTGATCGAAAAATTGATAAATAGATCATTCAGGCTGATGTTGTGCCCTCTAATGGTTTGAAACATACCATTATAAATGTCCTATACGAAAATTATCATGCAGAATGCAATCACAGCTTACCTCGTTTGTTTGTCCTGTAAATATACCCTTTTTTATATCTCGCATAATGTGACCATCATTGAAATTATGAGTCAGTATCTCCAATAAGCACTTACAGTTTTTCTTACTTTCGAGCGCCAAGGTCATTGTCTCTTGGACAGATTGTTCCGAAAATGAATACCTCGAAATGGTTTCGTATTTGTGCGTTGCAGCGAGTGAACTGGGAATCATCATATACGTTGGTCTGAATAATCGACGGCCTCATTCTTCCCCATTTTGTGGGTTATTTTCCTCTAGAACAGCGATGGTTTCAACAAGGCTATCCATGATGCCATCCATGGTTCATACATTCAACGGGATTACCTGCATATGACCTAACCCAAAGCGTTATAAGAGCATAAAACATAAAAGGACAATAGCATATGAAATCGAACAGTAGAAAAACAAGAATATGAGAAGCAACAAGTGAAGAAGCAGGATAGCCCTGCGGTAGTTTGCTGAACGATTGCTAGTCAGTATGATCCAACAAATACGATATCGTCATTACGCACGGAGCCCAACATTGAATATAATGCTTCTATCGAAACATTCTTTGTGCAAAGGGATACTGTAGCGATGACGTTTACGATCATGTGTCGTCATTTGAAATAAAAGATATCAAACTGCACTGTCGGTTGCAATAGCAATTTTGGAGGGAACTTTACATGGCATCATACTCAGTGTCAATGGGGGGGCTCTATTGGTGCTTCTATAATCATTTCTTCTTACTTTTTACAATAAAAAAGAAAAAAACAGTAACAGCAAAAAAGATTACTCATTTCTCTTTGCTGATCTGTTAAAATGATAAACACAAACCGAAAAAAAAACCTTATTATGTGGACAAGCGTTCGTAAAAAGCTATCAAGGACAAAAGCAAATAGATTACATGGTACTGCATGTGTTCCGGGATGCATTTCACCAGGCCTAAAAAGTAAGTGTGTCACAAGGTGATGCGATCTGACAAGCCGTCTTCACGGAGCCAAGCGCCATTCATGCCGAAGTTTGAAAGACCGCTGTTGCCAACCCAGGCACCATGCCTTGCTGCACTTTCGGACAATCCTACATGATAAAATAAATAAATAAAAAGTGACAGCATCGAGATAGCATGTGAAAGCTTTGCAAAGCTTTGACAAGACAAGAGGAAAATCATCTGTCTCATCAAGGTTTGACTGTTATGCCAATCCTACTCGCCTTAGAATAGTATCTTTGTATCATGTGTCAGAAACGCAGAATCAGCATTTTATTGCGACACACCCACGTTTATGAAAGCAAGCATTTTCATGCAACAAATTTTTGTTTATATAACCCTTAAAATGGGTACGAAAGACTATTCTCTACAGCATGCTTTGCAGATTCATTCACCGTCACATTGTTTAAATCGACTTGTGGAAATTCAAATGATGCAGAAGGAAGAAAAAAAAAATTAGAATTCATCCCTTCTTTTACTTTTTCTTCCGTTTTGATCTGTTCTTATCTTTTGTCAGTCCCTCGATCTCGACTTTTTTTCAATGCCTTTTCATTGCCTTCACTTACTGTCTGTCGTTTGTCCTGCTACCTGTGAATTATGCGGTCACTGGATGCCCCAGCATAGCGTAAGTTGACTCACCATGTCGTACCATTCCGCTTTTTTGATTTAATCTCATTTGTTTTGTTTTTTTTTGTTTTTTTGGCTATTTTGACAGGGCAATTGTCCTCGCAATGGAGTTCATCCTTCTCAGTGGTCAATGGACGCAATCACCGATAATCAAACATGCCGCGATAACGATCTTTCCAGAGACACTGCCCATACCAGTTGCACAAACCATTATCCTGACGTGGCTTATCACCAAAGCGAATAACTAACCGCCTCTTTCATCAAAACATCCATCGAAAAAGCTTTAACCTACTATGCACACCATCCATTCAATCATTCTGGAATTCCCTCTGTGCCTAAAAACAATACAAATTCAAAAGACTTGCTGAATCCCCACAAAAAAAGAACGGCGCTTCTTTCATTTTGCTTTACATTTCTATGTTCATATTTCTTCCCGACTTCTGTTGATCAGTAGCCCTTGTTGTGTGCAAGCATAATGAATCTACTGGTGTTCATTCGTTTTTTACTCTCCACCAATGTACCTTTCTTCCTCTTACAGCAATGGTTCAACCATTGTGTTAATACTCAGCATTTTTCTTTTTACCCATCGCTAATCCAACCACAAGAAAGACCCATCAAGTATCATCGAAAACGAAAAGAATGAAGCCCATCCATGTTCATTACTATGCAATTCAAGCCACGTGAATAAAATGGTGAATTCATGCCCAAATAAAATGTTATCTGTTTCTTCCCCCTTTCTTTTCTTTTAGTTTAATTTTCTTTTGTTTCTCTTTAGTGGATATAATCTACTCCCCGTATTCCCTATCCTTTCCGTCCCTTACCTTGCCTTGTAATCTGTGCCAATTCAGCAAAGATACAAAATAAGAAATAAAAATAAGTGAATATCTCCTGATCTTTTTTTCATCCAATAGTATTCATTGGCAATCCCTCAAATTCTCCTTTTTTGATGGCCAAAAAAAATTTTGAGTTTGACAGCAATGCACCCTTTATTTCCGAAAAATTTCTCCCCGCATAATGACATCAAAATCACTTAATGCCACTCTCGCCTGATACCGAGTCAGCTCATCCGGATCCGTCTCTTCAATATATCGCAACGTGCGATACGTTCGTCTCAAGTTTTCAACAGGATACTCGTACAATGTCTGGGACGCAAACCCACGAAACAATGATAAAAGTAAAACGGTTGCAGCTGTTTTAAGATTAAAAAAAACAGGAATGTGAGAATCTCCATTCATCTCACTGACTCTTTTTTTCCCATTTTTCTTTTTTTTTTCTTACCTCTTCGAACCTCGGCAGCCTTTTCTAGTTCCAGAATGTTCAACACCCAGTCTGTCAATTCCCATAGCTGCCCCGTCAGTGCCCTCGGGCAAGTTTGACATGCCATGCTCAAAATAGACAAGGCTGACACACGTAAATGCGTGTCCACTTGACGCTGTACCAGTACCGTTTCAAGCGGTTTTACAAGGGTATGTACTAAAGTAAAGTGAGCGCCATACTCTTTGGGTGTGTCTTTGGTATTTCCGATCATAACTTACCATATTTGCTTAATGCGTCGCCACATCGCTGGACGGTTTGAAGCAATGCTTCGCCCACCCGAAGTCGGTTATCCAAAGGTTGCTGGTCATCGCAGTAAATTTCTCCCAACTTGCGAATAATTGCATTGCCGTGGATATCGGTTAAAGCGGATAACCCCTTGATAGCATTCAAGTAGATAAAACTGGTGAAGCATGTGATATTAGCACACGCACGTCTAAAGTGCTCTCATCTTTGTTTACCTGTCTTCGTCTTGCACCAGCCGCACAAACATATCCAGCACACTGTCTAGTCCTGTGCCTGTTGATACCAGCGGATCTTTTGCTAGCACCATTTCTTTCAGCATCCCAATCCCGTGCGCTCGTACTGGTAATAATTCATCCTGCAACGCTTTCATGGCCTCGCGATACTTGGTCTTGGAAGCTTCCATCTGCGAATCTTGCTTTCCTTTGCCCTGTTTTGCGAATTTCTGTGCCGATAAATGGGAAGTAATGGCCAGCATCACTTCATGCACCGCTTCCTTGATGATATCCATCGAGCGTGCCTCTAATTCTTTCAACGGTCCCAGAGCACTTTCCAAAAGCTGCATTGCTTGCAGACTCAGTTCGTCATTTTCTGTCACAAGTACCGCTGCTTAGACACTTTTGAAAGCACACATGGAAACATAGTAGAAAATCATTACCATGGATGACGGCTCGAAGCAGGTTGATAGCAAGTAATAACGATTCCACATCTTCTTCCACGGACACAGTATCATCATGTAAATCTTCGATCATCTCCCTGTCTTCCTCTGATACAATATTTGCTATATCGGGAAATCTGCTATTGTTTGGCCGTTTTTCCGTCGTTTTTTGCAGACGTTCCACATATTCAGTAATGATATTGTTGCCAAAGGCCAGGATTTGGGTAGGTTTTTTCAGAATCGTAGGCCCCAATGAGTCCAACATGCCCATGATTAATTGTAGTGTCAATAACATGCTGAATAATTCAAATAAGTTTCGTTATTGCTTGACTGACCATCTCTTTTCGAAATAAATTATTTTGGGACTTACATTTTGGGATCAATGTTCTGCGCGCCCATTTTTATAGACGAGTATTCATTGAGGAGAAACACAAAGAAATCACCGCACAAATCGGGATTGTTGATGGTTTGGACGAATTCTACCAAGATGTCCGTGTCGATAGGCAATTGGTTGCCTCCCAACATCTGTGGCTTCCTTCGTAACCGTAACTCGATACCGCCCGACGGTCCTGCCGCAAAGTAAGCGACGCGTGTGCCATACAAGTCTCGAGGGTCAAGCAGAAGCCGTTTCAGGTCATTGATAGCTTCTTTGCTGCCAGCCAGCCGGAAATAAATCGTCAACAAATCCAACCCCGTTTCTCGCATTCCTGATTTGGATTTCACGGCTGATTCATATAAATGATACAGAGCTGGCACCATTTTCTCCAAGAACAACCGAATGATCTCCGGAGACGGTTCTCCAACCATCACTCGATGCAGCAGTTGCAGCATGAGCATGATATCTTCCTCAATCATCACCGTGCGATCCAATAATGAATCTCCATCTGCCGAGCTATCGAACGTCTCCGTGTTCCAATACCGTAAAAATGGTCCCGTGATCTTGTCGACAATATAAGCCTGCGTCAAATCCGGATACTTGAGAGCCATTCTTCCAATAATAAAAGTCACCACTTGGCTCGTCGATGAGTTTTGCTGTCCTCGTTTTACATTCTTTTGCAACAATGTCAATAACTGAGGTGTAATTATTGCGTAATAATGCTATAGAAACATCGGTTAGATGGGTCTGTAGACTGCTGATGCACGGAAATCAGCCTTACTTCCACGGACGGCATTTGCTGCGGCACAGATAAAATAAGTTGAGACACTTTCTCCAACTGATCCAACTGAACTATGTAAAAAAATCAAATGCAAAATGAGCCATATATCATTCTGGCATATTACGTTTGAGCAAATTACCTTGTTCAGCATCACCAAGTGTGAATTCAAGCACAATGGCCACGCCATTCGGTTTCAAAAGAATGCGGGAGAGAAAGCGGCCGCAGATACTACGAAGCCAGCCAGGTACAGGATGCAACGGGGAGGTACCCAAGAGTAGCATCAATGACTCCATCGCACGATAAGCGTCTGATCTACAGCATCCTTACTTAGTATTCATTTCGGGGCCCGCAAAGCGCTCTTTTGGATAGCGTCACGATACGCCATCCTGAAGACCGTTCTTTTTTGTTTTACCTATCAAAGAGCCACATAAACATTCGCGCACACCGATCACGGTCTTTGTAGGAAACCGTCCTTTCCTTCTTTTCTTGGGTAAAGATCGCCGCGGGATTGCTCGGTATAGGTGCACTGGTGGTCTGTGAGGAGCCTGGTTGCGGTTTCGGTGTAGGCGCGTAAGCGAGTTGAAGAAGCGCTGCGTACAGATCGGGAAGATGACGGATCATAATAATGGAGGCTACAGTTGTATACCCTGACGCGGTTTCCTGCTGATTTGTCACCAAGATATCCATCAATTTGGTTGTTAAATCAAGCAAAGTAGGCTGATCCGCAGCATTTTTTGTCGATTTCGATGCACCATTCTCATTGTCAATTCCATCACGCGCAAGCAGTTCTTGGGGCAAGGTCAATAATAGTTAACAGAAGATCAAAGCATTATCTTACCGTGGTTGGTATATCCGGATTTCACGCGTTTGGATAATGGCACGCCTACTCCCGGCAAGAAGCAAGGATATAACCCCCATGATATCACGATTTGTAGCAAAGTATGAATCAGTCGCAAATCTCTCACACCAATGATATCTCGGTTGTCCTCCTTTCTTTTCCCTGCTGAATGCACAGTCAGAAAAAACTAAAAATAAGAATGGCGCGCTTATCAGACAAAAAAGAATGGGTTATCACCTTCAAGCGCAGAGACTGCCAATAACGCTTTCTGTATGTTTCCCAGTAAATTTAAGCATTCGCTGACAAAGGCAATAGTAGGACGCTCAAAACTTTTCGTTTCTTCCGCATCGCCTTTCTCCAATTGTAGCTTATTCAAGCGCTCTGCTAACTGATCGTCAATGGAGACGTCTATACATGAGTGAGTTATGACGCCTTTTTGCGGTAGCCCTTTTGCAGACAGACCCTGAGAGCTCACGCCTTCTGATACTAAGATCGAAGCTTGGCTTAGCAGTTTATTTAAAGCTTCCCTTTCCTTGTCCCATTCCGATGTCATTGCCGTCGAATCGCTAGATCGATCGAAAGAAACGATAATGCTGCGCAAGTTGCCAGACAACCGTCACGCAGTTTTATTCTCGAATTCCGGCGAATTTTTCGTGTCCTGAAACGCTCGCCGCATTTCACGATTTTCTTCATCAAATTGCACACTAACTTTACTCTTGCAAATTGAAAATAGAAGCAAAACTGACAGTAGGAAGCTTCTATGATGGTAATAGTTGAACCATTTGCAGATCAAGAATTCCATCTTCATTTGAATCACTATATGTGTAGAGGTATTCAACGCTGAAAATGAGGATTTCACAGTGGTACGGGTCATTCACCATTCTTTCACTTCGGGATCTCGTTTCCTCACATAATATATCCTTGTCAGTTTACATATCCATATTGATAATGCATCTCTTTTGTCTGAAATTGCGGCTTAATGCACGCTCGCTTTCAACTACGCAGCTTGCTATTTACCAGTGACATATGAAAGAGACACACTCAACTTGCCTCATGGCTAGTTGGATTACTATCTTGAAAATCAACCATTTTCTCTATGCGCTCCACTGAACATCGACATGAAAGCTTAACAATACAGCGTATTACTGCCAGAAAAGCCCAAATTGGTGGAATCATATTTTTTAATTGGTCCGTTATGGAGCTAGCATTCCCAATGAACTTCATAATTCCAGTAAATGATAAGTGTCGTCAAGGGCAATCAAAATCAATAAAGGCTACTTTTTCAAGAAGAAAAAGACTTGTAGTTGTCGTTAAAATAAATGAGATTAATTATTTGTTTATTTTTAATAGTACAATAGATATATTCCATGACGTGATTAAAGAATTAGATTAACAAGATTCTCTATATCTTGCACTTTCTACTAGATGTATAGCTGTGTATGTAAATTCATCCAATATTAATAAATCTATACTGCCCATAACTCTATGAAATGAATCAATTTGCACTACGGTTAAGTAGTATTTTTTAATTTCATATAATATATCTGAATTATTATTTTTAATAGATATATCATATTTCTCTGGAAGCATACATAACGTCTTTGTTAGCATGAATCCCATGGAAGTTGCTGCGTTCTTACATGCTTTATTAGCTGACTATTGATAGAACGTACGGTATTTCACTAAATTCGGCAAGAAAAAAATTGAACCATCTGATATGAATCACAGGAATAACCTCTTCAAGCTTCTCGTGCGCCCTTATCTTTATTTTCTCTATTAACTTTCTTTAGGCCTTCGCGGCCCTAGCGCGAGTAAAAGTCCTCAACGGACGTGTATTCATCATCCTTAGTAAAGAGAAGCTTTTAATCGCTTCTGCGGCCCTACACTTCCTGCGCGCAATTTTACCTTATTTTTTACCCAAGTGGTTTTTTCTCAGTAGTACTGATTCCAGGGTGATAGATAGTCTCCAATGGACGTTTGTTTCATTCACCTTTAAATAAAAAGAAAATCTTTTAACTGAAATTTTAATCGCTTCTTCATGAACAGAGGAAGTATTAAAAATCAAAATAAAAAATCCACGGAACATAACTAGGTTACAATTATTATAAAAGGTTCTTGGCGAGAATTCACACCAAAAGGATACTTGTAAAGAAAACAAAAAAAATAAAAATAAAAAAAAAGTGTGGTTCCAAAAATATAAAAAGTTATGCGGCCTATGTGGATTGAACACATGACCTTTAGATCTTCAGTCTAACGCTCTCCCAACTGAGCTAAGGCCGCTTATATTATGAAACACCGATATTTAATACACGTTCCATAAAGTGTGACTGCTTATAACTGCTTCTACGGTTGAGGTGGAGTATGAGATAGCATAGTTTGATCGCATAACGATACTTTTTTTTTGATGTGAAATTGACGTTTAGCGAAGGTAACTTTAATTGGAGGCCTTTCGATAGTCTGTTAAACTTTCTTGAGCTATAAAGTAGCTGCAGTTCTGCTGAATCACGGACTTTCAGTCACTCTTGCCGGGCGAAAAGGCGTTGGATGCAGATGCAGATGACTCTGTTATAATACGCCGAGATTTTGGGTGTAATGACGCTGTATAATGGAGCATATCTAACGCAAAAGTACACGTTCTTAATCTCGGGGTTTGGGGATAACCTTGACTTGCTGACGGATTTGGAAGAACAGATTTGCCGGAAATTTGCCGTTGTGATTGGATAATAGGGAATGGTCACATTTGGATACGGTTGCCAAGAGGGAGCGGTTTCGAGACACAGCGGCAAACTGATAATTTTTTTCATTGTATTTGTTCAATTGGCGTGATGGCTAAAGCTTCGGCTTCGAAATCTCGGACATGTTGTGGGTTTATTCCCATGAAGACAGGTAAACAGAACTGCTACTGAATCGTTCCAACTGTAACTGACCGGACCATTATATACTAGGCGTCACCATTCTCACCATCTTTGGTATTGTAAGTTATTTCTTTCGGTTCATATCGAGAGTCCGTTTAACTCTGTTTAACGCTTGTTATCTGCATAGCTCAACAAACTCTCCGGATTTTACGGTCTTATTTCCTTTGATTTTGAGGACAAAATTGCTCTTAGTGTATATATCTACTCTTTATTTGCACTCATTGTCTTTGGTGTCGGCTTTTACGGTATCCAAAACGTAAGGTTTCATTACTGTCTTCTAGACAAACCGAAACAATGATAGAATGCGAGATTAATTAAATTTATTAGGATAATCTGCAAATCGTTCGATGGTACACCGCTTTCTATTGGGTTGACTGTGTAGTCAGTACTGCAACGACCATCCTCTTTGCTGTGAAGTGGTACGTGTTGACAGACCACAGCTTACCAGAATTGGCAGACGACCCCGTGAAATTGAAAGAACATGACGACGTTTTCCGTATGGAAAGTACCGTCAGTATCTTGATTTTGGTTATACTACGTCTTGTTCATGTAAGTGTTCAAATGGCCTGCAACTGCAACGAGAATATGAAATGAAATTGACAATGAGATGCCCGTTTAGGTCTATTTTGCTGTTATCGTAACAACATACTATATGTCGATGGGCAAGGCACAATATACAAAGCTGGCAGCTGCTGTGGACGAGGAACTAAGTTACGCAGAACATGCCAACGCACAACATCTCCGGCAATCTGAGAAGTTGATGAATCATCGAGAATAGATCCATTTATTTTCTGTTATTTTCCCTTTTCCTCTTCCTCCCATTCCCCGCACTGCAACGTACAGTTCATTATGTATTTTTAACCTCTGACTGCTTCCATTTGTTTTCATTCTAATCGCTTATTACTCTATCAATCAAATCACTTTTTTTTTTTTTTTTTTTTTTTTTTTTTTTTTTTTTCAACTGATCCATAGTATGATGACGGTCAATGCTTAGGTATAAATATAACAGTGTAAACCCTACGAGAAGACATCAGTAAATAAGTTAAAAAGCTCAAGTGCTCATGGCTCTTGCTTTCGTGGGAATGTATAAAAGAGTATTGTCAACAACCAAAATGGGCTGCGGTAATGTGTCAGATGACATTATTCCATTTCTTTTTTGTTCGTTTGCAGAATAATCGTATGACAAAATTATGAATCTAAGCAGGCCAATATTCTATTATTATAGCAATATTTCACTGCTATATTGTATGCCATCGATTAAAGAAATCGAATGCAACTAGAAAGTTTTCGATGTGTAAATGTGGCTTTGTGGGCGCGACGTAATATCATATTCCTTCCGATGCAATCACGCCTGACGATGGCGTGCGCAAAAAAAAAAAAAAAAATCCAAAGGGAAAAAAAAGTGGAGGTTTCACAACCCAAACTGTTTCTTTCATGCACGCTTCTCGTCGACCACTGTTTTCAACTCCATGCCATTCCACCTCCCAAAATTACGATATCCACTTGGATCAGCAACTGCATCAAATTACAATCCGAGATGAACACCATCTCAAAGATCGTCTTTCGGAATTACCGATGGAACTCAAGATACGGATTTTCGTGCTGGCACAGAATCCGCAATTGGTGAAGTCGGCATCCACATTTTGGAAACTATCTCGAGCGTCCATGGTACGGGCACGGTACCTTGTTCAACGGTTTGGTAAAACTGCGGCATTAGGTGAACGAAGTATGAGTTATCGCATTGTTTCGTTACAAGTGATTGCGGATATACTGAAATTACGCTGCAATCCCCGAGCCGATGGCGACTGGTTATTTTGGAAAGCGTGTGAAAACCACCACGAGCAGCTTGCCAAGATGCTTCTTGACGCCATGCAACCATCAAAAGAGACACTTCACCATCTCCTCAATGTGGCTGCTATGAAAGGTGCCAATAATATCATTGACTTACTCGTTCATCAGTATGGAGCGGATATTCATCACAACGGGGACGACTTGGTGCTGATGCTTGCCTGTGCTGAAAACCAGGTGGATGTTGTGCGCCATTTAGCCAGGCATTACAACTGCGATCTTCACAGCAACAGAGAACGTCATTTACGTCGGGCTTGTTTGCACGGTTACACGGATTTGGTTGATTTATTGATCCCTGGTGCTGACATTCATGCGTATAACGATGCTGCTTTACAAAATGCCGCCCACAAGGGTCATGCTGCAATTGTTGCACGATTAATTGACGTTGGCGCCAATGCTGCGGCAAACGATAACGCTCCCATTCAGTATGCAGTAGTCCATGGCAACACCTCCCTTGTAGCCTGTTTAATCGCTGCCGGAGCTGATCCACGATGTCACCAGGACAAACCATTGCGGATCGCGAGTCGACATGATGTGGTGGGAGTGATTGCTTTACTATTGAGACATGGTGCGGATCCGAATACTGGTAAAGGAGTTCCTCTGCGTGAGGCTATCCGGGCTGGCCATGTGGCCGTTGTCAACGTTTTGCTTCAATTCGGTGCAGATCGTCATGCCTACGGAGCGCTAAAAGGTCTTGCCGATGCCATTGTGAAGAATGATCTGGACATGGTTCGATTTTTGACCAAAGCAGGTGCACGTTTGGATCACAATTGGATAGCGCAGACGATGAGATCAGCCAAACGCAAGATATCTAAACCAATGCAACAACTGGTGGCTGATTGGCATGATTCTCGGTCCAACAACGCAGCAGATCATTGAAATCATTGTTTATCACTTCCACATGTAAATAGTTTTTTTTTCTGCTGTATCTAGCAGATACATAGTCTATACTTTTATTTTTATTTTTATATCATAGTTGAATGAAACACCAAAAGCAACATGTGCTGTACATAGTACCCATGATATGCGGTATGTCTTTTTCAATGCTTCTCGTTGATTAATAACAACCTGCAAGTTTTTCCAAGAAAGAACTAAAGGATCGTTTGAGCAAAGGTAGGAGGCATGTGTTCTTTTTGATTTTTTTTATATATATTATGAATTAGCATCGGGGAAGTAATGTTTTACAAGGACTTCTATGAAGCACCGAGGATTATAAGCGCAATTACAAATGGAAAAACTTTTTTAAGAAAGATAAAGGGAAAAAATAACAAGGTAGTTACTACAGGGCTGGATTGTATATAAAATGCAATTGAATAAACATAATGATGCCTTCCAATAATCAGCAACTACACTGCCTGCTTGGACACTGTGTGAGATGGGAGGTTAAACATATCACGTTCAGGAGAAACCGATGACCGAATGATGGGTTTTTTGTTAAAGAGACTAAAAGCTTGCAGCGCTTCATATTCGTCATCGGTAACGGCAATTCCTTCTATCGACCTTCGTTTACTATCTTTGGCAGGTTTGTCATCATCATGATCGGTCTTGGATAGCAGCGGCGACCGAATTTCATGTCCGTGCTCGCGCTTCTCAAAGTCTGGACAATGTCGCGCAGCACTATCCAACTCCTGGATCGGAGTTGCCAAATCGACTACCGAGAGTCGCCGCATTTTCGATGGTGTCATTGGAGGAGAATAGGAAGTAGCTGGTTCTGAAGCAGGCACAAAAGGTCGTGAGATTTTACTATAGTGGGCATCATTGTACTCGTCATGGAAATTCATGCCGTATTGATAGTTGGGCATGGGATATCGAGGCGAGGTCCCGGGAGGAAAGTAAGAAGGTGGGTGTCGCACGACTCCTGCAGGCGGTGGAGGAGTGATAGGATAGTACACTGGTGCTGGAGCCCAAGAAGATGCTGGATGAAACTGCATTGCCTCATGCATCATATACGGACCAGAACGAGGCATAGCATGGTACTCGTCTTCTGGTAATGGCGATGCGGGAAGTGACATGGGAGGATACTGAGCGTAGGGCATGCCATAGCTGGATGGCGTCATGACGGAACGGGCGGGATCGGGGTGAAATGACGGTCCATGAGAGGCGAGATCGGTGATCATGGAAGAAGGCGGGAAGTTTTGCTGGTGCGAAGAGACAGGATAAGGTGGTGACATGGAGGATTTGGAAGAGGACGAGGATGAGGACGAGGGACAGCTTTCATTCGTTTTCGATTTTGTAGGCGATCTTGTTGGAGACATGGACTTCTTCTTTGAGCGATTGTGCGTATGGGTATGTTGCATCATATTATCGAAACGACTAAATAACCGATCGCAACCAGGAACGATACATTTATAAGGTTTCTGTAAACAATAGCCACATTAACAAACAATTCACGTCAAAAAAAAAACAAAAAAAGGTCTCTTTTGAGCTCTCCAGTTCTTCTTGCCATATAGATGGACTGAGGAAGAATAGATGACAAGAGAACCGACCGAGACTTCGAAAACGTTGATAGATATACGTACTTCACCCGTATGTTTGCGAGCGTGTCGAGCAAGATGTTCACTTCGTGTAAACACCATGTGACAATCACCGAATCCGGTGCAACGGAAGAGTTTAGGCATGCCACGACGACCCTCAGTAGTTCGTTTTTTCTGAGGCATGGCTTAAGGTACAAAAGCGGAAAGAAAGGGGAAGTACAAGCAAGTAAAAAAAAAAAAAAAAAACAATGGAAAATTGAAGTAGAAAAAAAAAATCCCCCCAAAAAAAAGAAAAACCCAGGGAGAAACTTGGACCACTTTTTTTTTATTTTCCACCCCTGAAACATAGTTATGCAATAAGCCAGTCTGAGTCTGTCCGTCAACCGTGCCTTGAATGTTTCAGTCACAATCTCCTGATCATCGCTTTTTCATTCCCATTTTCACACCGTCTGAAGCAAATGGATGGCCCCTGAAAACCTAAACACCACACAGATCATGTATTCAGTAAATAGAGTTTGACAACATCAGTCGTACATAAAATTCTTACCTAGCATGATCACTATAGTGCTGCGAAGTAATACAGATAACATCGTTTCCTATTGATCGGATCTGAGATCCAAACCGTGCCTGTGCCAACCAAAATATCATTTCAGGTCCCGATCAACATTATCTCAGGCACCACTTGCGTTGCGTCTTTTTTTATTACTCAGCTTACCAGAGTTGGCAAGTTCTTGATACATTCGATTTCATCGTTTTCGAAATTCCATCGATATACCCGTCCCCTCTCTGTTCACCGTAACGGTTCATTTGTAAGCGATTCATCAGCCATGATCTAAAAATCACAAAAAAAAAACCGAATTTCCTCCAATGACGCGTTACCTTTGTCACCCATCGGTTCGCCAATCCACAGACCGACCCCGCCGCTGTCCCTCTCAAAGAAGGCCATCGAAGCTCCCAGGTGGCCTGCAATCTCGTTGCCATTCAATTGCCTCAGCATTCCCTTTTCCAGAGATATTTCGCCGCTCATGTATTGAATATTCAACAATGCCTCTCGACCGTAAATTCGCACTACGCCGCCTTGCCATCGCCGTTGCATCCTTGAATTCCAAGTGGTCTAAACCATGACCAAAAATAAGCATTGGATCATCCCAACGTCAATCACTGGATACACACCTCCGAAGGGCTCGAAATAGCAATGTACTGTTGACTGGTCCCTGATTTACCGGTGATAATGACTCTACGTCCAAATTAAGGTTCAGTTTTCGAAAAGCAAAAGGAAAAAAAAACGTAATTCAAACTCAGCAAGACAAACCTTCCAAACTGCTGAAATTCGTTCACACCTGACATGGTCCAGCGCCATTGCGGCCGAATAGAGGCAAATAGTTCAAAGCAGTAAACCCGTCCAGCACGTTGTAAATCATGCACTCGAGAATCGGGAGCACCTACAAGCAAGATACCGCGCCGCCTTTCGCCTGATGGCTCATCGTGATAATCGATAAATTCAAAAGCGCTGCCGAAATGCTCAAAACCCATTACGTTGGGGCTCGCTAGTATCCAATCAGGCCGCGTGAGAATAGCAGGTTTCTGTACCTGAAATTCGGAACGACCAAGGAAAATATACAGAGCACCCGCCTAATATTTTTAGGCCGCCGAAAAATCAATAAACAAAGAGGCAATTGCGGTTCCATTTTGCATAGGGAGTATCATACCTGTACTTCATTCATGACAGAGCAGTAAGGACATCCAACGATCAAGTCCTTGTGGCCATCGCCATCGATATCCACACCAGCAAGTTGAGCTCCGAAGCCTTCCATCCGGTTGACCATCGATGGAAGCTGGATTCGAATATCCGGTACCTCAGACAACCCATGACCAGCATTGGCTCTTCCAAAGAAAACATCCACATGACCAGAAAGATCATTTGAAAAAGGGGAGGCCACAGCCAAATCGTCAATGCCATCGCAATTGAGGTCCACTGTCGCCATTGACCATCCAAATCGGCCCTTGCCGCTGTGACCGGTCAATATTACTTGAGATTCATCCCGAATATCCGTGATATTGATATGCTGTTCCTGAATTAATCTGGAAAGTCGGGTTTTCGTTCCATTTAGAATAAACACGACGCCATTCATGAGACTTTCTTCCACGCTTGTCGCTCCCGGTTGGCGCAGGTCATGGTACGGTGCGGAAATGGCTAAATCAAGTTCACCATCCGCATCAAAATCACCCGTAGCCGTCGCATGTCCAACCGCCGCCGACAAAATAGGTAATGACAATGTGATGGGTGGCAGAAAGGTGCTGCTATCGCCTAACCCTACATGCTTGCTCAACCACTGGCATTGTCCCGGAAATCGCTGAAGGGTTGCTCCATTGGACGATGTGACAAATGGATCAAATATTTCGTCTTGGGCTTGATATTCCAGCTTTGTGGCCACCGGAGAAGAGCCATGGAAGCGGACTACATCTGGCAGCTCTTCCTTACCTCCCATCTCCGCATCTTGGACATTTTCCATCTCGTTTTGTCCCGTCTTCATAGACAGCGTCAAAATTCCAGTGTTCTCTTCATATAATTCATGGATCTCTGGACAGGTATTATCGATGCATACATTCGGTATCAGATGATTGGGTTCCTTGATGGAAGTGCTGTGGTCGTCAAAGTAAGAAGCACAGAGGGTTGGAACGGATCCGCCTTCAAAGAGGTGAATCATGTCTTGATAGCATTCAGTAATGCTGGCTGTCATGTCTTGTAATCCTAGCATCCTTTCTGAGTCAGTAGATGTTCTTCTTTAGGTTGAATCACTAGTACCTCCTTTGTGGTAATCGTTTAATTCTTCTATGAGAAATGGGCTCTTGGAACCGTAATAGCCAAACAAATGCTGTCCTAGTTTGAGGTCCATTTTGAAGGCGGCAAAAGCGATAGACATGCAATATCTGAGATGGCCTTCCGAGGGTATCATTGACGGTGAATCTTTGTATAAGCGGGTATAAATTTGCACCAGATCGCGGATCGGTATTTTCCATGTTTCGTTGAGGTATGCTAGCTTGGTTGAGTGCCGTAACGCGAATTCAGCCCCTGTATCGGCGGCAGTATGAGCACTGGCCGTGTTGTCGTGGAAATCCATATGGGCCATCGCTTCTATGAAATAATTAGATAGTCCGCCCAAGCTGTGCCACTTGACGTCAGCCATGTCATGAGACATGATGGCAAATACGAAAGCAACGAGGCCCTGCAAAAGCCCGAATCAAATCGTTCATACATGATTTTTATAATGAGTACAACAATCTATACGCTATGTGCTGCTACCATCCTCGAATTACCTTTATTGACGGATCATCCCAGGATTGAGGATATGTATCTTTTATATACTCAATGGCCGTTCGAATAAAAGGTGCCCAATGTGCTGATAGAAGAAGGTCGTGTTACCAAATGGATGCAGTATATATTAAGCAGTATGCATTACCATCTTCTGATTGTTGATGATATCCCAGGCATTGATAACCCCTAATCAATTGGATGAGTGTCCATGCACGTGCTTTTTTGGTTCGTACTCTGTAACGTACCAGTCCGGAAAGAAGGAACCCGCTTGGAGATAGTTTTTTGACTCAAGCAATATGTTTTTATACTTGTTCTGGATAGGATCCCGAGGTTTAAATAAATGCAGAGATCGGAAAGTCAATTCATTATGGACCGATCTAAGCTTGGAAAATCCAGGTTAGATTCGGCATGGTTGCCTGTTGGCAAATAGCCCAACGTACACTCCGCAAGCTTTTGCTGTGAAAAGCGATCCAAGCATGGCCACTAATGTGACTAAGGAATGACAACGACGTCTCATAATGGGGTTTTGATTGTTGATTCACGGAATCAGTGACAATGGAAATTGAAATGGAAATGGAATATTTCAGCCGTTAAGACAGTAATCTCCACTGGCAAAAAAGAATCTTGCTTATCTGTTGGGAGGAAATTGAGTGATTCATGCTCGAAAAATTGTACTTGACCTAAAAAGGTTAGACGACCGCCGGAATGGCTGGTATACTCCGCCCATTGCATTGTCAACTTGCATATCGCTCAGATGATCCAAGGTATCTTGCACATCTAAATTATATCACAACTGGTGATTTAATAATCTAAACTTGGGAATTGAGGTTGAGCATCTGATAGTCAGGCTATATTACGTGAAGTCAATTTTGGCGCCACCTTGTTGCAAACAACCTAATGTGCCAAATAAAACAAAATTTAAGGAGGCATTCCGGATCCGGTAAGGTCTGGGTAGGCTTTGTAGTAAAGTATAAACTATTTTTTTGTATGGTGTTACTTCGTTTGACAATGGGCGAAGCTTTTCATTCTTTGGGTTACCCTCCAATTTCGAATTTTGCTAATTTGCCATGCATATCCTTTAGATGTATATCACAAATACATATGCATGCTTAATCATAAGTTATAACAAGTAACTTATACTGCCTTTCGGCACTTGGAACACGCATGGAGGATTAATATACGTGCTCTATTCGAGCAGACAGCAACTAGATCTACGCTTCAAAATTAAGCTTTTTGGGAACCAATGTTCACTGACCAATTAAGATGAGCGGTCGAATGGTATCTGAACATGGAAGTGGCAGACATCTCTCGGAAGCACTACTTGTCGTCACCCAGCCACCTACTTGGGCATTGATTTCCCATCTGCGCTTAGCTTTTTGCTAACATTTCTCGTTGCAGCCACATTTTTTTCAATTCTACACCAATAACCAATTATATTATCGATAGCCGAATCCCTTCCTTCGTTAGAGTTGATTTTTAAATTAAAGTCCTAGCACAAGAAAGTAGTCTCTCCTTCTTTAACATCTTCATCGTACAGTTTGAAAGCTTCGGTGCTGGCAGGAGTGAGTTTACTTGTGTTGTCTCCAATGGTAACATCGCCGACTATTGAATTGCCACTTTCCATCATGTATATCAACAGTATCCTCGTGTACAAGATCCGCACTTGATTTCGGTATATTGGCGCTGCCTGGACTGTGTAAATTTGATTTCAGGTCAGCAGAATCTACGCATGGATCAGTACGGCTAATGTCGTCTTAAAACGACTTGTGTACTGAGTCCATTCTTGTCCAAGCTATTTTTTTCGCATACACACACACACACACACACACACACACACACAGAGAGAGAGAGAGAGAGAGAGAGAGAGAGAGAGAGAGAGAGAGAGAGAGAGAGAGAGAGAGAGAGAGAACAAAGAATCCAAAGAGGTAAAAAAGACTCAGTGGAAGAAGTTTCAGCAAGAAAGGTAGAGAGCGGACCGATTCGCAGATACAAGAATATAGACATAACGACACATATAGGGTTCACGTAAAGAGTGGAACACCACATTGATGCCGAGTCACCAACATTGTACCCCATTCTTTACATGAACTCCATATGTGCCCTCTTCTTATTTTCATGAATTTTGATATTAATTTAATGACGATCGGTAAGTCCTGCTTTCAGATCGCCCAGTTGCCACCTACAATGCAGGAACTGAGACTGTGAAATTCCTTGGAGCAGGGGTTGGTTTTTTTTTTTTTTTTTTTTTGGTTTTGTTTCGGGTGCTATCGGTCAGCCTGTTCACACATTGTTGACCGTATCCATGAACGGTTTGGCTTCTCCGTGTTATCAGATCATTCGGATTTCTGTTTGTTTTAATAAAGGAGTACCAAACTTGCGCTGCGGATTATAAATCCTGATGTTTATGTTGACCATTCGATAATCTAGGCGGGCAGATAGAATAGGGAATGATTTCATTTATACTAAGATGGATAATGAATAGCGATGAAAAGCGCTATCACAGGCTAAAAGCCGCTATTACTGTGGCAATGGTGGCGAAAGACGTATGGCTTGACAGTCGGTTTGTAATGGTTTGTGAAGATCGTCCTGTCTAGCTGCATAAACTAAAAATTTTAGCTCACTAACTTTCTGTAGCCAATTATCATCTCCAATTAGAAGATCGACAGGCTTTTTGTCTAAGATGGCTCTTTTTATTTAGGTTGTCCATAGCTTGTTCTCTTTACGAAATAGCCTTTGACGGCAAATAAGTATGATATAGTCATTTCAAGTGGCAGCAAAAGAAAACAGACAACATGAGCATAGTAAACAATTACCAACCGCTTTCCATCGTGCTCCGATAAGAAGACGGGAAATGCTTGAAAACAGACGATGGCAGTATAAAAAGCTGTAAATAGAACCTCAGATTTGTTTGAAATAGGAGAACATTCAGCCAATATTGTCAACCACTAAACGTAAAGTATTTTCACAAGGATTTGACAGATAAATATATCCTAAAGCCTTAAAATTTTACAATAGCACGGCGAAAATATTACATCAGCAAGTAATAGAAGCTTTTATATGCGGTGAAGCTCTAAGAAAGGGGGAAAATTTTCAGATAATGAATTATCATCTCATAGAAAAATAACGCTCCTTGTTGTATAGGCTGTAATCAAAGTACAAGAGGGATAAATCCTTTTGAGAATAGGTACTTCATTCACATTATCAATTTGCACTATTATATATGATCTGAAGAAATCGTCTGTTTCACAGTTTATTCTTTCATTAGCAACGGTCGATGGTGTTGTCCATTCTTGGATTGAACACATGTCTCGTATTACAGAAAAGATATTGCCTTCAGACTAGAATTGCAATCCCGATCTTCTGATATGGAACAGATTCCAAAGAATAGGTGAATACGCCAGATGAAAAGGTTGTGCTATACCACACTCACTCTTAGTCCTCAGGCCTAAAATCACTGATATTTCACCGAAACGGAATAAAAAATGCAATTGTGGCAATTTGTCATAAATCTCTATTCAGCTGAGCCAGGGAGTAGATGACCATAACTATCTCCTTTCATGTGTATCGTCCATGGAAAAGGAGAAGTTTAGGTTGTATAATCCCTGGAGTTGCTTAAATTTAGGGGATCAATAAATTACGTAAACTCCGAAGAAAGAAAGAAAAGAGTATAAAGGTATTCAACCTAGCTAATTCATGGTTCTTTCTCCTGAGTACTCCGCTTTCACACCCATTCTGTCGTAATCAATGATGTGGGCAAATGCATGTGCTTTGCTATCACTTATAGCTGTGGCATTGGCCGCTTCAACGCGGCAAGACTTATCAAGGGCGTGTTCAGCATCGAATTCACGATCTAGCGCTATCAAAGCCGCCTTCCAGCATGCCTATAATGGTTACAGACGTTATGCTTGGGGCAGTGATGAACTGCTGCCAGTCACTAATGGGTCTTCCAACTCCAGGTAAGTTCCCCTCATACTAACCAGCAAAAAATCATCAATCTAACTGGTGTGCATTTTCATGAGCTTAGAAACGGTTGGGGAGGTAAGCGAATGCGTAAAGCTGAATAATGGAGATCCGTATCTCTGATCAATTATCACTTGCCTCATGGGTCTCTAGCTACTATTGTTGATGCTCTAGATACTATGCTTATAATGGGACTTGAAGATGAATACGCCGAAGCCTTGAAGTATGTCGAAAAGATCGATTTCACCACATCAGCCTGGGAATCCAAGGGATTTGAGACGAATATTCGTTATTTGGGCGGTTTGCTGTCAGCAAATGACCTTCGTGCAAACGATGTGCTGGTGAAAAAAGCAGTCGAACTTATTGAAAATGCTTTACTGCCTCTCTTTGATTCGCCGTCAAAAGCACCTTACACCTACATGGACCTGAATCGGTACAACGTTTGATCACTGTTTCTGTCAGGCTTTTTTACTTACATCCTATTGTTATAGAAAGCGTGCAAAGCGAACCTCGTCCATTAACCTAGCGGAATTCGGAACATACAATCTAGAATTTACGCGGTTGTCCCAGATCACAGGCAATGCGACCTATGCTAAATATGCCAATGATTTGGTCGATCGCGCCATTTCGGAGCCGACCGTGTTGCCCGGTTTATTTCCAACCAGCTGGACCACTGATACCTTCAAGCCCATCAATTCCAGTAAGTCGTTCTCTAGATGAACACTTGAAAGAGGTGCCTAACGGAACCGTGAAAACAGGTTACATTACTATCGCTGGCGGAGGAGACAGCTTCTACGAGTATTTAATCAAGAACTATATTCTTCTGGGAGGCTCGGACCCGAAATTGCTGTCAACATGGAAACAATCGGTTGAAAGTATCGAAAAGTACCTACTGACGTCCACTGCAGAGAATCCTCGCATTAAATTTGTGGGAATGATTGATGGTCAGGGCCAGCCTGTTTACGTATCTCAAGAATTAGTGAGTACCAGTGATGGATGTATCATTTTTATGATCTCTCGTTCTGATACCTAGGAATTTAAAGATATGCTTTTGGCCAGGCAATATCTTGCTAGGAATTAGCCAAATGTCGGGCAACACAGATCGTTATCGGCAATTTGCGGATACATTCATGGCGTCTTGCCATGAAACATGGGCATCCACTACTACTGGAATCGCTCCAGAGAGCTGGCAATGGAATCCATTGCCTAATACAACTGATACCAAGGTACACATATATTTCGTTATTTTCATTGGCTTGTTTGACACCATCTGACTGCGTTTTTGAAGAAGACAAGGAAGAATGCGAAAGCATCCAAGAGAGCCTTCACCGCAAGCGATGCGATTTACGACTTGAGACCTGGTACGATTTGAGCTTGTAGCCGTAACTTTTTTTTTTATCTATATCTGATGACCAACGCTTAGAAACCCTGGAGAGCCTATTTTATTATTACCGGGTAACAGGCAGTAGAACCTATCAGGTAATTTGTTGTCATGCTCTCAATGGGCTATCCAGCTTGGCTTACACAAAATTGCAGGATACGGCTTGGGAATATTTCCAAGCTATCAATAAATACACGCGTACCCCTTCAGGGTTTACACGTATCACAGATGTGGATAGCGAGAATCCACAGCAGGACAATTTTCAAGAGAGGTAAGCAACAAGACCAAAAAATTGGTCATCTGCAGAGATGTAGTTCATATTGCTAATCAATGACGGCACCACAGCTTTTTCCTTGCAGAGACCCTGAAATATCTCTATCTCATTTTCGTTGACAAGGATTGCATATCGTTAAACGACTATGTTTTCAACACTGAAGCACATCCCTTCAAGCTCAATACACCGATCAACGTCCAATGATAAATGTCGAGGCATAATTTCAATGGATACACATTATACCACCACTTTTAGTCATATTTTTATTGGCACAGCTGAAAAACTGTCCAATAACTACATTGTTAAAAAATCGTTCTTATATCCGCTGTGTTTATCATTTTACCCCAAAGGATTGCAAAAAGTCAACATGAGCTGTTGCTTTCTGAGCGTGCTTCCTTTGGGCCAATTTTATTTGTGTTTGATTGGTTCATGCTGTTGATGTCGAACTCTCATTGTCATTGGTTCGATTTCCTTGCGATCCCGCACGGCAGCAATAACGCCCAGTGGCTTTTCCTCTTCCCCCGCCCGCATGCACTACAACGTCTTTCGACCCCCTTCCTTTCTGTGTTCATGCCAAAGAGACAGAATCTGAAGAATAAACTAAAAGTATACACTGTACAGAAAAATGAGTCACTAAGATCTAGTCATGATTCGGATGCTCAAGCGAGAACCGCGGACAATGTGGACAGTGTGAGCACCAAACTCGCCAAATTGCGCTCCGAGCAAGCCCGTGCAGCATGGAATCGACAACGACAGCAACGACCTATACCCAGCAATATGGCTGAACAATCTTTGAATTTGGGTCCGTCCTGGTTAATGCCAGCCATCTCGCCTAGTACAGTCGAAGCATCAACTTCGCACCGTTCGGCAGCAGGACCACCACCACCTCGTTCTTGGATCACGAGAAAGAGCAATCAAATCAGGACCATCCACCGGAAAGTATCGAATCCGACGGAAGGAGTGCCCTCACTTTGCTGGTTATGCTCTGTCGCTATAGCAAGGCGTCTAGCTGAGGATTACCGATTGCACGCGGATCGATATGACAAGGCTTTTGCATCGCTTTCCATCCGAGTCAAGCAGTCCCTACTTCGAGCATTGGCTACATCAACGGGTATCAATGACCGCCTGCTCAAATTGTTTCAAGATGAAGAATACGATGATCTGTGCTTAGAAAGTAGTTCGATCTCATTTTCAAAGCTGCTACGGACGTATTGGCGGGTGAAGCCGCTTCAAGCGAAGCCTCCACCGGAATTGGCGGTGAAGGAGGACTGGGAGGATGAAGAAGAGGAAGAGGTTAACCAAGAGCAGAGCTGGCCCGAAGGAGAAGGTTACATCTTTGATCCAGACGATAACAAAAAAGAAGACACCGAAATGTCATATGCGATGCAACAAGTTTTGGAGTGTGCTGTCCCCGGCATTGCACGTGGCCGACCGTATCTCCTGTCCATGCCTATGGCGTCTACGTTGGTTTCTCTGAATCTATCCTTTATTCGTCCCGTGCTGCCATCCATAGATCTGGCATATTTGATCGTCACCACATTACCCCACCTTGCAAGTTTATCTACCGCTGCTTGTTTCACGGCTACGGAAGGACCACGTGCGCTGTTTATTTTATCGCACGGATTGCGGCGACTGGAGTATTGGGATATTGGGTATCATGAATGGATGCAATTGGAATTGCTGTGTGGGCCAGATATCGGTGCGTCAATCAACTGGAAAAAGGACCTGCTCTATCTGAAGGTTCTCGGTTTACAATCGTCGGGACGGAACGATGACTTGTCACTGATTGGTCGACGGTTTTCACGTTGGTTCAATAATGAAATAGCGTCTTTGCGAAAATACCCTCTCCGGATTTTATGGCCATAGTTGTAAAAATATATAATTTGGATAGAAAGTCTCAATAAAGCAGACAGAAACAATCACTTGATGGCACGTTCACAGTATATGCAATAATGATGACACAAGTGACCAGAGACTACAATGTCTGTCACAAACAAGGTCACCTCTCAACGGGTGCTGATCCGTCATTACCTCAGCACAATTAGTACTGGCGGAAACACGGACAGGATGTTACACAAGGTTCTGGATTATGAACCCAACCCTGCCCGCCATTTTAGAAAGCGTCTCTGACTCTAAAAGTCTACAATTGTGTACCACGGTAAAGGATGGCACCCAGTACCAGCGTGCGAAAATATGGCGCCGTTAAGTCGGGCAAAACACCGTGGGATGACAACCGATTAAGTTTAGCCTGTATCACTTTTTGTGCTACGGTACTTCATTTCATAGACATCGTTGCTCATGTGGGAGAAAAAGCCAAGCTTGTCCCTGCATCACCATTTCCGATACATGGCAATATGAAAAAACCCGAATTTAACCAATCATACCAAGGAAAACATTGATGGTTGATTCACCAAAAGTACATTTTCCTTGATAGTGCAAGAGGAAGTGAGCTGCAAGATACAGTAATGGAGTTGCAAAAAGAAAGCTGTGGCCGATTAATTGCTGTTCCCATTTTTGAGGGAATACAACTTTCTTAAAATTCCGTAGAAAATCCTCGAAAGATACGACAGGGTTAATAAACTTCCGCTGCGCAAACAAACAGGCGTGACAACAGGAAGTTTCAGATTATGGTACGACAAATGCAATAAATAATATTCCAAGCAAGCCGATCAGATCAACACTAACCGAGATTTAACAATGTCCATATACACTTATAGTTGAAATTCCCTTTAACAGAACAAGGACTAGACAGCATTTTTCACGCTAACGAAGCAACCGGGGATGTGCAACGTTGCTAGGTGCAGTTTTCTCCTGGCACCGGTTGCCTCGAGTAAACGATCTTCAGTTTCATTCGCTGAAATTAATTCGACACAGATGAAGGAAAAATAATGGGCCGAGGATATACTTCTTTTTTTGTCTTAATTTTTAAACCAATCAAAATCATTCGAGAGATAATAGCCTTGATTGAGTTTGAACGGAGATGAAAACATTTTAAAAGATCAAGTGAGAAAAAACCTCGAAGAAGAAACAGAATCGGTTTTCATGTGGCCACAACCCGACCACTTCCCCCTTTTGGAAGGAAGTGGTTGGTCCGCGTAACAAGCGTGGGATTCTGGGGAACATTACAGCAACGGCGGTTGTTCCAAGTGGGAAAATTACACCAGAAAAAGGAGATTACTATGATACATGAGATTTCTCGGCATGACGACAAGATGAACATTTCATTCAAAATGGGAAAAATATAACCAAAAAGGTGAATATCTTGAAACCTAGTTATCCTTAACAATTGGCTGCTGCCCACCTTGACCGGTGTAATCTATTTGGCGGGTGGATGCGGAAAGCTGACTTTTTTTGGTTATAATTCGTTTGTCTTTTTTTCTTTTTGCGAATCAAATCGCGCTGGTAAACTGCAGGGATCATATGGTGGTTCAACCCTATCTTATTCCCATATCAGGCAGTTATCATAGGTTTCTTATTCACGACTCGTCAATGGCCTCTGATGCAAATCTTGGTCGCTCACATTATTCGTTCGCTTAGTTTCAAAAAAAAAAAAACATTTTTTTTTTTTTTGTATCGTAATCATTGGAACCCGAGAGAGATAGAGCCGTAATATATAAAAGAGAGGAATTGTATCCGATCAACGGATTTTCCTGCTTTTCGCTTACCCTCCTCCCCCTTCCTTCCCCCCATTCAAAAAATGGAAGAAAAAAAGGACCAGACGGTCGTCACCGAGTCATCACAACCACCTCCCGCCTATGAAAACGTTGAAGTCCCTGACGAAAATGTTTACACCGCACCTACCGAAGAAGATTGGGAAACGCTTCCTGAAGTGGCAGACACCCTCCCTAAAGCTGCCTACCTCGTCATTTTAATCGAATTTTGTGAACGTTTTACCTACTATGGCCTCAGTGGTCCTTTCCAAAATTATATCCAACATCCTGATCCCGGTCACTGTAAGTTTTTTTTTCCCGGTTTTTCAAACTCTTTTTATTTTTCCAGCAGACACAAAAAATGACGACAAATGATCTAATCAATTCATAATTTAGATCCTGCTCAACAGCCCGGTGCTATGGGCCGCGGTCAGCAAACAGCTACTGCTTTGACTACCTTCTTCCAGTTCTGGTGTTACATCACTCCTGTCATCGGTGCTATCATTGCCGATCAATACCTCGGAAAATACCGCACTATTGTCCTTTTCGCCAGTATTTATATGCTGGGTTTGGTCATTTTGACCGCCACCGCAAGTCCCGCCGGTATTGCTGGCGGCGCCGCATTCCCTGGTTTCATTGTTGCCATCATCATTATTGGTCTTGGTACCGGTGGTATCAAATCTAATGTCGCCCCTCTTGTCGCCGAACAATACCGCAGCCGTGCTCCTTATGTCCGCACAGAGAAGAACGGTAAACGTGTCATTGTTTCTCCTCAAGCCACCTACCAAAAGATTTTCAGTATGTTCTACTGGGGTATCAATATTGGTTCGCTTTCCGCCATTGCCACCACTGAATTGGAAAAGAACGTCGGTTTCTGGCCCGCCTATTTACTGCCTACTTGTATGTTCGTCCCGTGTATGGCCGTGGTTCTGCTCGGTCGCCGTCACTACGTGCAGAATCCTCCTCGTGGTTCCGTTTTTGTTGAAGCTGGTAGATTGTTCTTCTTCAGCTGGAAGATCAAGGGCGGTATGGAGGCCTGCAAGCCCTCCAACATTGAACGTGAACATCCCGAATTACTGAGCAAGGTCACCTGGGACGATATCTTTGTTGACGAACTCAAGCGTACTCTCAAGGCGTGTACCGTGTTCTGCTGGTACCCTATTTACTGGATCTGTTACTCTCAGATCACCAACAATTTGATCTCCCAAGCTGCTACTATGATGACTGGCAATGTCCCCAACGATATTATGCAAAATATCGATCCTTTGGCATTGATCATCTTGATTCCTATCATGGATCGTATTGTCTATCCTCTGTTGCGTCGTTATGGTTTCCGCATGCGTCCTATTCTTCGTATCTCTCTTGGTTTTGTCTTTGCCTCTGCTGCCATGGCTTATACCGCTGGTATCCAGTCCAGAATTTACAAAACTCCTCCATACTACGACCATCCCAATGGCAGAGAAAACTGGATCTCGGCCGCTTACCAGATTCCCTCTTATGTATTTGTGGCCATGTCCGAAATTTTCGCTTCCATTACTGGTAACGAATACGCTTACAAGAAGGCTCCTCAGACCATGAAATCCATCGTTATGGCCCTCTTCCTGTTAACCAACTGTGTTGCTTCGCTTATCGGTTTCGCCTTGGTTTCCGTTGCCAAAGATCCCAAACTCGAATGGATGTTTACCGGTCTGGCCGGTGCTGCTATCGTTGCCGCTATTCTTTTCTATATCATTTTCCACAAGAACGACGATGTCGACGTTGCCGAAGATGCTATTATTCGTGATGATAAGCAAATGGAAGAATATCAGAAGCACGATCAAGCAGTCGTGGATTATGAAGCCGAAAAGGGTCCCGCTTAAATAAGCATCCCACTTTTTGTGATGATATTATTTATTTGTTATTTTGCTTTTTTGTTCCCTTGTACTTTTCTCAATATTCTTTCCTTCCCTTTTTTCTCCCGCTATTCCATAATATCCCGTTTACCTATCGTAAACATTATCGTTTGTAGTAATATATTTTTTCCCGCTGCAGCTGGGCTGCGTTGCGTTTGACGCGCTCTTGGCTTTTTCACATACATATCGCTTCAAAAATACAATCATCTTTATCTATTCAAACTTATTTACATGGTCATTCTGTTGTTGCATTACCATTTGAATCGTTTCAGAATTGCCGCTTATGAACGTATTTATCAGATTTTTAGACAATGGGGGAGTTGTTATCATCATTTTTTTCGTCTTGATCTCGGTCTGCCTTTGTCTTCTTCTTTCTGTTTATTGCAGAAAAAAAAAAGAGATGAACAGGTATGCAGAATGTCGCCAAAAACTAGAAAACAGAATAAAATGAACGGTGATAATATCATCCATATTTTTTGATGTTATCTAGTTTTTCTACAATGACTTCATAGGTGAGGATGGTCATGGCGGAGGAGGGTACCGTGCGTATTAAATTGGTGGACATGCCCTTATAGAACCCTCGAATGCCCTCTTCTACAGTAATGACTTTTATGGCATGGATAATACCGTGGTATTTGAATGGTTTTCTGGTTTGATTTTGTAATCGGGTACGAATGACCTGAGGATAGACAATTTTGAGTACCTGCATCAATGCATACGGTTACACATGCACTTACTTCATGGGGATATGTGGCTGTGCTGGCAGCCATTTTTGACAAAGAGGAGGCTAATAAAATAACGAGTGTACCTGATGGTACATTGGCTTGCGTATCTATGGATCCAAACAGAAACAAACAGTCAAACGATCATCAGCCATGGATTCGAATGGAGTTTTCCAGCACTTGGATACTTACGAAACCAGGTTTTTAATTTTTCGTAGAGTGGAAATTGTACAGCAACGTGGCTTACGCCGATCAGAGAAGGTCCGAGACCTTTGTAGAACCCTCGGATGCCTTCCTCTTTGGCAATAGTGGCAAATGCATGAAGGGTGTTGTTGTACCGATACGCTGTTCGTTCGCTCTGTGTCTAAATCCCACCATTGACGTGAGTTATCCCTCCATCATTGGTTCCCTTTGTTTCTTTCCTTACCATGAATCGAGTTTTAATCACCCATAGGGGATTAGTAAGCGAGGTGGATGCAGCTCCGGCTGTCATGGCAGATGCGATGTGAAGTGTCCAATCGCGCCCTGGTTGACCTAATTCAATGTCGATGCAAGTTGAATCGATAAATTACCGGTTCTTCACGTGTGTTTCATGCTCTGTTCCCCCCTGTGACTCTTACCCAACTGACCCGTCCATCGTCCTTTGCAATAATCATAAACCGTAAAATAAATAGCCCAGGTCGGTAAATACCCCACAAGCATCGGTCCCAACCCACGGTATAACCCACGAATCCCTTCTTCTTTCCAGATCCTCGATAATGTGCCTTAATTCGATTGAAAATGAAACCAATAATTCGTTAGCGATCTGTGTGGCAGCGAATGATCCGATGTTTTTTCCACTGAATTGCGGGGATGTAACGTACCTACGGTCCCTCTATATACAATCATTCCCGGCTCTAATTTCCCCTGATTTTGTAAGCGTGTTTTGACGACATCTAACGGACATGTTACGATAGAAGACACTATGCCGGCGCCTGCACCGGCAATCGAATGTTTCAAATTTTCATGAGTTCGACTATCGTTTCGACCAACGTGGGAAAAAAAAGAAAACGAAGAGCGATTTAAGTACAATCCTCCATGACGTTTATGGCAAAAACTCTAAATCAATCGAAATGACTCTTACGCGAAGTCTTTCCACCAATTGGCGGCGTAGTTCATCGGAAAGCAAATGCTGTGAAAAGGAACAAGATCAAGAAGCGGATCCCGATGAGAAGGGGCAAGTTACGAAGAATGAGCACAGACAAGAAGCAACGAGAAGAAAGCACAATCTCAGATTTCTTCCAGCCGGTTGATCTCGAAAGAAAGGCAACCAATTATGTAATAAAATAGCAGTGGTAAGAAAAGAGAAAGGTGGGGTATTACTGCTGCGGAAGAGGCGGCGTCAGGACAGGCAAATTCAAAATGATTTAAGACCGTTTGAAAAAAAAAAAAAAAAAAGTTAGATCGCGATTTCTCGTGACGTTGTTCCCGTCGATTTGACCTGCGGCTGTTGAATTTTGAAAGGACGCAATTTCAGTTTCCTTTTGGCACCTAAGCTGGCTTACTTGATTGCAATGATCAAATGCGAGTGTAGGTCAGTTCAACATTGAAACTAATTGTATGAAAGTGGAGAGCGCATATCTGACATGGATGCAGAAAAAAAAGATAAACAAAAAGGTGCCTGTCTCATGTTTCTCGGTCAATCAAATTGGCGGATTATTAAAATCACAGCGGAAACCAATGGAATTTCGCCGTTAATGTTCACTCAGCTGACATATAAACACACAGCAATTACAAGGATAACTGAGTATTTTCTTACAATATACGGTGGACTGCTGCCTATCATCGACCTACACACAGCACATCTACCACCCGATAACAAAATAGCGAGAAATACCTCTATTATAGTGACCTGACCCAGCCTTATTCCCTCAACCATCCTGTGACACAATCAAAAACACATTTAGCTGCTTATCTACAATTCTAACGATAGGTATAACTTTCTCAAAGAATCAATGTAGTACGCAGGAATAGCCACACTGTGGTCGGATCACTTAACCTTGTACTTACAAACCCTTTTCATTGAAGACTCTGCTTTGATGCGATAGCAACAGCAGATAATAGGGTTGATTGGAGGCCGCAAAAGTGCACAGATAGACGAACATGGCATATCTTTGCCTTTATATCAAAGGTCAAGCGGTATCCGTTCTTCAAACGCTTATATACATGACATAGAATGGAATCCAATTGCAAAGGCCTGCTCATTTATTGAAATGGCCTTTGGTTAGCTGTCGTGAGCTAACAATTATGAGAAATGTCATGGAAACCATTCATATGCTTCTATTCTTCCGGATCGAGAAGTTTATCTGATGATTTCATCCGATGAAAGGACAAGAAGCGATAAACTCGTTGCGACTGAAGCTATTGAAGCTTGTGCATCCGCATTTTCCTCCTGTGGATTGTGAAACTTAAATTAAGTATGCCGCTATGCACGTAAATGGGGATTATTTGGTACAAGAATGCTCATGTAATTGTCAAATAAGATTGATGCCCAGTCTACTATGTTTCTGTCAGTGTTGCGTAAGTATCTATTACACATACTTTGTCCCCCATACAGTAGAGATGTCTTGCTATAGTGCGACGATGCTTGGTCTGCCTCTTTGTCATCACTTATTGTGCTGCAATATCATACCATTCTTGCAATTATCGACAGCTTTGTGCGTCCGCAATTTCGGGTAAGGATGCGGTTTCTCTACATCGCTTTTAATCTGGTGCAAGGACACTTCACAAGGTGATTTTCGCCGTTCTATGCCTAAAAATTTATACTTCTTCTCTTTGCGGCTCCAATTTTTCGACCTTTGGTTTCCATCAAAAATTTCCTTTTCTGACACAAAAATAGGTACATTTTTTTAGATACGCAAATTTTTTTCCTTGCAATAAACACAAGGTTGTTCAGAAACCATGTCTCAAGAGCAGTTGTCCAAGAGCGTTGCTGATTTGAGCATTGAAGAGCAAGGTGCTCCCCCTGCGAAAACCGCTGCGCAGAATGTCACCCCCTGGGAAGTCGAGGGTGCTGTTGTTGACGGTGTAGCTCAAGCCATTGACTACGACAAGCTTGTTGATCAATTCGGTACTACGCCCATCACCACTGAATTGCTTCAACGTTTCGAACAACTCACTGGCAGAGCACCCCACGTTCTCTTGAGAAGAGGCACTTTCTTTTCTCACAGGTAATCGACATTTTGTGCATATCGTGCATTCGGTTCCTTGCCGCTAATTGCTTTCTTGTTTTTTCGTATGCAGAGAGTTCTCCAGAATTCTGGATCGCTACGAACAAAAGAAGCCCTTCTTCTTATACACTGGTCGTGGACCTTCAAGTGCTTCCATGCACTTGGGTCACATGATCCCTTTCATCTTTTGTCAGTAAGTGAAAATCTATAGTGAGGAAACCAACGGGAAGAAACATGTGTCTAAATGGGGTTAACATAGATGGCTTCAGGACGTCTTTGATGTTCCGATTGTCATTCAATTGACAGACGATGAAAAGTTCTTGTTCAAACCTAATCTTACCGTTGAAATGTGCAATCAGTTTGCTTATGAAAATGCCAAAGATATCATCGCTTGCGGCTTCAAACCTGAAAAGACCTTTATTTTCTCCAACTTGAACTACGTCGGGTAAGAAAAGATAAGCATGATGACTGGCTGTGCCACGATACTCATCTTGTCAACGTGTGAATATAGTGGTGCTTTCTATCATAATGTTGTCCGTATTTCCCGCTGCATTACTTCCAATCAGTCCAAGGCAACTTTCGGTTTCAACGACAGGTAGGAAAAATCAACGAAATGGAGAGAGTCTTCTTAGATAATGTGTTAGTAACTGTGATATAGTGATAATGTCGGTAAACTCCATTTCGTGTCTATTCAAGCGGCTCCTTCCTTCTCCAATTCGTTCCCTCAAATTTTCGGAACCAAGAAGGATATTCCATGCTTGATTCCTTGCGCTATTGATCAGGATCCCTATTTCCGTTTAACGCGTGATGTGGCCAAGCGATTGAAATACCCCAAGCCGAGTTTGATTCATGCCAAGTTTTTCCCAGCATTGCAAGGATCGCAAACAAAGATGAGCGCCTCCGTCGATAGTTCTGCCATCTTCATGTCTGACACCCCTAATCAGATCAAGAACAAGGTATGACTGACAGCATAACTGGGAATGGCCGCAGATAAAACTGATATTTTTTGGATGCCATCATAGATCAACCGATACGCTTTCTCTGGTGGAGGAGCTACCGTGGAGGAGCATAGAGCCAACGGTGGTAATCCCGATGTGGACGTTGCTTACCAATACCTCAGTTTCTTCCTTGATGATGATGAAGAATTGAAGAAAATTCACGACGTAAGTGGCTAAAAAAAAGCAGGATAAAAAGGGAACGAAAGAAAAGAGTCAAAGGACTCATAGATGGATTTATGCAGGCATACAAATCCGGTGAGATGATGACGGGTGAACTGAAGAAGCGCTGTATCGAAGTTCTTCAGAAGGTGGTGGGTGATTTCCAGAAGAAAAAGGCCGAAGTCACAAAGGAAACCATTGATTACTTCATGGATCCTAATAGAAAAATTGATCCTTAAAAAAGAAAGTTGTAGTATAAAGGAATGCATTGTAAAAGTTAATACAAATTGGGGACTGCATGCTTCAAGTATGTGGGCTCACTTGAAAATGCAAGTATTGGTTGTTATACGGCAGCAGAGACTATGAGTGTATTTTATTGACTGATCAGGGACACATTGGAGTTGGGACATTTCAGTGGCGGTCATTTGGGAAGGCATCAAATTGTGACGATTCTGTCCAAACGCCGTCTTTGAGCTTCTTTGCCTCCTCATTTTTTCGAGCACCGCGTACCACTAGAGATTATGCTCAGTGGAATGAACGACTTTGAAAACGAGCCTGTGTTTGACTACAGGACAATCAATGAACGATTTCAACAGCGATTACTGGAGGCACAGAAAACAGCCAACGAAAAAGAGATAGAAGCCGATCTGGTATGTATGACCTTGCCAGGATCACGGACACGTTACTGTGTATTAATCAACATCATACAGAATCTTGCCGGATCGCCCGATCTACCTGATGCTGTAGATCCATTGGAAACCGAACGCCAAATACTCGAAGCCCAGGTAGCACGCGCGGAGAAAGATGTAGAGGAATTGAAAAAACAGGTGGCAGATCGTAAAGCACGTCGACTTCGCGAAGCAGCGCTACTCAAGATGACACCTGAAGAACGTGCTCGAGTCGTTGAAGAACAGGAAAAAGCGGCTGAGGAAGGTATGCCGATTGACGATGATGTTGACGATATGGATGTGGTGTTGTAAGTGGAATCTGATGTGCAACCGGACGCTGTTTCAAGCTTTTGAAGATACTTATTCTCTGTTTATGTTTGGGTCTAGCGAGTACCTGTTGCATATTGGCGAAACACCGTTACCGAGAAACGCAGCTAATATGTCGCGAACTGACTTGATGTCGTCTCATGCTGAATTTCGTACAAGAGCCATGCAAGACCCCGAGGTAAATGATCGTATCAATGCCAGGAGGGAGACAAAAATGAAAGTAGCTGCTCACTCGTTCTGATAAACTAGGTTGAAAAACAAGGTGAATTTGCCCACCTTCGATTTACCGAAGCCAAAAATCGTCTAACCCCCAATCCTAACGGACAAGGTAACTGTGAACCAGGAACCGTTCCTTGGGTTATTAGCTAAGCAATACTTCTAACAGGGGAGATACGTTCGTGTGAACTTATCGGGGAGACTTATCAACAATCTTTCAAGATTTGTTTTGATGTTTACGAGCCTAATTTTGTGGTCGATAACCTTGTGTTCGATCTCAGCATCGAGATGCAACTGGATTGCGGATCAATATTGCAAGAGCAAGTTATTGGAAAATCCGGACACTTTGCGATAACTTTCTTTAACGAGGGATGGTTTTTTTTTTTTTTTTTTTTTTTTTTTTTTTTTTTTTTTTTTACAGGATTGTGGACGAAAGTGATTTGTTGGCATTCTTCCGATTATTAGTGCACTATGCTCGTTTGGATGATGAGCGCAAAAAGGTTTTCAATCAGCTAAAAGAAAAGCTTGCCGACACACGGATAACTCTGCTGCCAATGGCAGAAGATCGATTAAAGTTTCAGAGCAATCGGTAAATGCTTGTCGTCATTCACTGCACCCGTTATGGATTTGATATCAACTATCCACATTTTACAGAAATGATGAACCGGAATTATACCTCTTGTGGAAAACTAAAGTCATTGAATCTGAACATGCTGATTTGGACGCCAATATTTGCGAACGTGTACTACCTGATATACGGATGGAAGCAGATACCTCTGAGAAATGTAAGCGAACAGATAAAAAGAAACCCATAGATTTTGCGTCTTACAGGTTGCTTCTTAGGGTCTTTGGTCGATGAAAAAGGAGTCATGGATCATCTTCCCACGCATTTCACGCAAACCATGAAGCTCAAGGGAGTGTTTTTAGCCACCCTTATTATGGTAGACGCTGTTTTTGACATGGGTTTAGCCTAGAATATGACATTGAATCGATTCAAACATGTAAATAACCTCTCACAGCATCTTGTACTAATCAAACTCATCTTCATTTTTATTTGTCTTACACATCGACCTTTCTGAGGACTTTGAATTTTTTTTTTTTTCGAAGCTGACACGGCGATGCCAAAGGCAGTATAAACGATTACGAAGAAAAAAAAAACTGACACGGCGACGCCAAAGACAGTATAATGGGTGATTGAGAAGAAAAAAAAGCTGACACGGCGACACGTCGGATGATCCTGCAATAATGTAGTGCCCGACTCATAAACATATGCTGGTATAAATAGGGCACTTCTGGGTTGATGAAATGGGGAAAGCTAGAACTTTTTCTTCCCAACAATTACTCTTGAACTTTTTTTTTCCATGACAAAACAAGCGAACGAATTCGTGACCGAGTGCAAGTCATCCTTGGCACGAGGGGTAGCAGTGGCTAGCGATCTTCTAGTTGACCGAGCGGTGGGCTGTTACGTCTATATGACGGATGGGCAAGCGTATCTGGATCTTGCTTCGGGTATTGGCGTTACGAGCACCGGCCATTGTCATCCTACCGTAGTGAAGGCGGTTCAAGAGCAGGCCGCCAAAATTTCGCACGCCCAAGTAAACATGTTTTATCATCAACCCATGTTACAGCTGGTGCAGAGACTCCGGTCCAAGGTGCCGCCGTCCCTGGATACTTTCTTCTTCTGGAATTCCGGATCCGAGGCTGTTGAAGCCGCGGTCAAGTTAGCTCGGCAAGCAACCAACAAACAGAATATCATTGTTTTCTCCGGAGGCCACCATGGTCGCACTATTGGAGCGATGGCCTTGACAAGCTCCAAAAGTATCTTTAGCGCTGGGTTTGGTCCTTTGATGTCAGGTGTCCACACGGTAGATTTTCCCTATGAGTTTCGTTGTCCAGCCAAGGATCATGCGCCATGTCACACAGGCCAGCATTGTGTGGATGAAACGTTGCGCCAACTGGAGCTTCTGCTTCAGCAAAGAACAGCTCCCGAAGAAACAGCAGCTATTTTGCTCGAACCTGTTCTTGGCGAAGGTGGCTATGTACCAGCTCCTCCAGGTAGGGATTTTGTCCCTTTTTCCGCAAATTCTGCACGTGTTGTCTGCAAAAACAACAGTTCTCAAGCGCCCTTTTTTTAACACTCTAGGCTTTTTCCAAGCTCTACGTACATTTTGCGACCGTCATAACATCCTGATGATTGTGGATGAAGTGCAAACTGGATTTGGACGTACTGGAAAAATGTTTGCCATTGAGCATTGGCCTGGAGTAGAACCAGATATCCTTGTTATGGCCAAGGGGATCGCAAGTGGCTATCCTTTGTCCGCTATTGTGTCGAGAAAGGCCCTGATGGATCAGCAACCTCCTGGATCGATGGGTGGCACTTATGCAGGCAATGCTGTTGCCTGTGCTGCTGCATTGGCCACGCTCGATGTTTTTGAAGAAGAGCGTCTGTTGGAAAATGTGAATCAAAGGTAACGTGAGCCTTTATGCACTGTTTTCATATCAAAATTCATTCGTCCGCTATATGGCAATAGATCCGAGCAAATGTTCAAGGAATTGCGGGAGAAAATCCCACCTTTGCTTCCCGAATCCATCCAACTTGACATCCGTGGATTGGGTCTTATGATTGGTCTTGAATTTCGCAACGCTCCTACCGGTTTTGCGACCAGAATCACCAAAGAAGCCCGCGAACAACACCACATGATCATTATCACTGCATCTGTCTATGAGACGCTGCGAATGATCCCTCCATTAATCATCAGCGAATCAGAAGTGACAGATGCCATTAACCGCTTAGCCGAAAGTATTCGAGCAGCCGTTCAGGCTATGGTATGATGATTATAATACCGTTGAAGGCATGCCATTTTATCACCGTCATGCTTGTAGGTGATAAACAAACCGAAAAAAAAAAGATATCTACTTTCTGTACCTATTTTTTATCTTTTTATACATATAAAATCGAAACAATGGTGGTCACTTTTTGCTACTGGTCTACTATTTTCTAAAGCATATAAACAGAATCTAAAGGCGTCTAGCCTTCTTGGGTCGGCATCCGCCGAAAGGCATGGGTGTTGCGTCTGTGACACGTTTGACATTCCAGTGGTGGCCTGATACCAAAGCCTTGAATGCGGCATCGCGACCGGGACCGAATCCTTTCAAAACCATATGCAAAGTATTTACTTGCAAGTTTTTGGCATGCATCTTCTCCAACAGTTGCAATGCGGCTTGATGGGCGGCTTCGTAACCACTGCGAGCTGCCTTTTTGAAACCGACCGATCCACCGGAAGTTGTAACCAAAGGTGCACCGTTGGGACGGGTCAAAGTAATGATGGTATTGTTCAATGTCGCATTGATGTGAATTTGATGTGGAACCTGACCCAAGCCCGTTAATGAGGAGCTCAACATGAGCATATCGAATTTGCTGCCTCCCGCTGCACCATCGTTTGCTTGTGATTGACGTTGCTTTTGTACAGATTCATTCAACACATTGGAAACGCTATCCGTTGATTGCTCCGATGACGCTGTGGTGCTGTTGCCCAAAACACTCAGAATGCCGTCGAGGGGTGTGCCGGTTGCAGTTTCTTTTTCTGCATTGGGTGTTACAGGTGATTGCTCGCCATTGGTTCCACTGCTATTCCATCGAGCCTGTACGAGAGGGCGCTGTGTCTGTGTCCAAATACGTCCGGTAAGATATTTGCAGGTGGCAGGCAACATGACAGGGACACTACACTAATGGGTAATAAAAAAAAAAGAAGAGGTCCAAAATGATTGGAAAAAGCCACTGATCACCCCCTCCCCTTCCTCTCTCTCAAACTTTGTTTTGTTCGCCCAGATATTTCAGGGTCCGATCGATCCAACCTCAGCCCTGATTTTCCACCGCATTTTTTTGGGTGGGTTACAATCCCGTGTCTGTTGAAGTGAACCTTTGCTCTCTATTTTATTTTGATACCTCTTTTTTTTCATTTATATATTTTTATCTTGCGTCAAGTTCACCTTTCTTTCACTCTTATAGCTTCTTTTTCTTTTTGACACTTTCTGCGTTTATTTTTCTGTATGTCCACAAAACGTTCCGGCTCAAGAATAGCGTCGTCCACGTCGCAACGGACGGAGAATTTAGATAGCTCCACTGTGGGCAGCAGACAACGTCAGTCTAAACGAGACGAAGTAAACTATACAGACATTTATTTAATCGTCTTTCAGACATAAAAACTGACACCAAAATATTACCTGTCTTTTAGGCTATCCGTAAAAAGCTGGAACAGGAGCTTTCAAAGAAACGCTCGGGTACTTCTTCTACACGTAGCCTTCGGCATACTCGCAAGATTGCCGGAACGGTTTCTGCTCTCCGACCAGCACAAGCACTTACTGTGAAAGAAAATATGCTTGTTATTGAGTCTGCTCAACTGATGGCAGCCAAACGTGCCGATTGTGTATTGGTAGTCGATGACGACGATCACCTGAGTGGCATTTTCACGGTATGGACAAGCACCTTTTTGCTTTTTGGGCATCTTCTCCGCGCGACATACGGAGATTCAAATTTTCTCACCTCATGCTTTTTTTTTTGTGTAGGCAAAAGATCTCGCTTACCGCGTAGTGGCTGAGGATTTGGATGCAAGGTAACCATAGTTATTTCCCATTCTTCTTCCCTTTTTTATACCTCATGAGTTCCCCTGATATATGGATGACGGGTGACTAGGTCAACCACGGTTGCGCAGATTATGACGAAAGGGCCGATGTGTGTGACGGCAGATACATCAGCTACCGATGCCCTGAACCTCATGGTGTCCCGAGGATTCCGTCATTTGGTAGGTTATCTTGATGCAGGCCGTCCCCATGGGTTTTTGTGCGAATCATTAATCCGTATCTAAACATAGCCTGTATGTAACGAAGAAGGAGATATTTTTGGTCTGTTAGATATTACCAAATGCTTGTACGAGGCGCTTGATAAGATGGAACGTGCTTACGGCTCCTCGCGTAAGCTGTACGATGCATTGGAAGGTGTGGAGCGAGAATGGTCAGCAAGCCCTGTTCAACTGGTGCAATATATGGAGCTTCTTCGTGATCGCATGTCGTGCCCCGATCTCAATACAGTATTGGATGGTACGCCACCTGCCGAAGTGTCGGTCAAGGCCAATGTTCGCGATATTGCAGTGATGATGAAAGAGAATCACACCACGGCCGTTTTGGTAACCAAACATCATAAAATTGCCGGCATCTTTACTAGGTAAATGACCCTTGGATGTGCCTGATTCGGCGTAGTTACATGGTGATTTCTAACCCAGGTCACAGCAAAGATGTTGTACTGCGTGTCATTGCTGCGGGACTGAATCCTGAAAACTGCTCAGTGGTACGTGTCATGACACCTAATCCGGATACTGCAACGCCGCAAACCACTATCATGGAAGCGTTGCGACGCATGAATGGTACGTCCAGAAATGATCCTCTTTCTGCTGTTGATTTTAATTCTTTCATATAGATGGGCACTATCTTAATTTGCCAGTTTTGGATGATGGCACATTAGTGGGCATAGTGGATGTGTTGAAGTTAACCTATGCTACACTGGAGCAAATCAATAGCATACAAGGCAACGACGGCGAAGGTAGTTCTCTTTGTTTTTCGTAGAGGAAAAGAGGCTAAATATGGAAGTAACCTGTAAATGTAACTAGGTCCAATGTGGTCGCGTTTCTGGGATAGTTTTGCAGGTGCTGATCATGCAGAAAGCGAGTCTCAAGTCTCGGACTCATACCCTTCACATCATCCGTCTACATTGATGGCTCATTCGGCAATGCATGCGATTTCGCCGGAACCCTCGACTTCTTTATCCCAGCTGCAAGGATTTTCCGAAATTTTACCCAACGAGTCGGCCAGTATGGTGGCCAACAACGAAGATACCCACTCCAGCCTTTCATCCCCACATGTGCATCATCATGCCGATGAAGGCATGTTCGCATTCAAATTCACGACCGCAAGCGGCAAGACCCATCGATTTACCTCCGCTTGCAATAGCTATGCCCAATTATTCGAAGCCGTGGAGCAAAAAGTCATGCCAGAACACCTGGCTCACGGTGGTCATGCCGACGATGCGAATGACGCAGCAGCTTGGCTGAGCATTTCGTACTTGGATGATGAGGAGGACAAAGTGCTGATGTCTTCCGATAACGATGTGATGGATGCTGTACGTTTGGCGCAAAAACAAAATCAGAATCGGGTGAAACTATTTGTGCATGATGCCGCCATTGAAGTCCAAAAGCCTATCGTTACTATTACACCTGCCGCAGAATCCGCACCGATTCCCGTAAAGCAACTTGAAAGTCTGACGGACAGTGAAGAAGAAACGAAACCACGTTCGAAAACCAAAAGCCATCAAGGAACACGTCAACATCACAGCGTCGAAGACAAGCAACGTCCATTTTCCCAAGACCTATTGTTGCCTGCAGCAATTGCTTTTCTGGGAGTCGTGGTCTTGGGTGTATTTGCAGTATCCCGACTTAGTCCCACCCGTAATTAAATACCACCGTGATTGGTACTAAAAATACATTGTGCCTATTCTATCTATTCTTGGTACTTGCCAATACACAATGTCCTATTATGCGAGTCCGTCAACAGGATAAAGGGCCGACGGGCCGATGGGCCCATATCTAAGCTATGGGTGATTGGTGGCGATGCATCCATATGAGGAAATCCTACATGTTCGCATCTTCTGTAATATATCCTGATTTCAAACGTTTATTATCTTCATCTTTAACCTGGATCATCCACTACCTCCTCAACATCAAGCATATTCAGCATGACATTTTGAGACCCCATCAGTTCATTTGATTTTGACTTTTTGAGTTCCCACGACGAGTAATCCCACAGAGTTTCAACCAGACAATCAAGGGGACGCGCATCGTTAAAATGAGCAATGAGAATGCTGCCTGCTGAGCAGCACTTGGATTATATCTATCTCCAAAGATAGAAGATAGTTTTTGAGTGCCATCATATTATAAAAATGCACGTTCATTGGTCCCTTACTGAACTCTTATGCGCACAAACTTATTCATTACAATTTTCATTAAAGGCATAGAAACAGGTGACGGAAACATTGGTAAACGAAGCACGGCAACAAACCATTCGCTGTCAAAAGCTGCCTCGGTAACAATTGATGGTTACGACGGTTGAAGTAGTAACTAGTATTACATACCGAATAAGGCGGTCTAGATACCGCTATCATATGCTGGGAGACCGATTTTGACAGTGCACTGAATTTTATAGCCAGGATTGAACCAGCTTCTTCTAGACAAAGAGAAAAACCCTTAGAAAATGGATTTGGACATTTTAAGTGTTAAATAAATCTAAGAACAGAGGTTCCCTATGACAACTGAGAATGAACGAATGTCGATAGGTTCCACAGTCTAAGATGGTACTAGTCCACAATAAATGTGTACTTTTTGCTTTGAAGGCGGCTGTTCACAGCTATTATAGTTATTGCATCATGTAAGGTTCATACGGGCAAACAATATCCCGCTATTCTTTTTTGGAGGCAATTTTTTGTCGAGAAACATGGAGAAATATACGTTGGAAAAATTTTCTTCTGAATCATGCATGTGTTGGGACGAAAAAAAATTTGGCAGCGGTCGTTTATCTTGGCGTGCGCATTTGATTCTCCGCCATCAACAGCCCTTGTCCCAGCGAAGCTTATTCCCTGGACATTCGGCAGGCATCGAGTGCATGCCGTTGATTTAATCAAAGCTATCTATAACAATACAAGCTCACATATATTCTCTGAATAATAGGCAATTAATGCATGGAAGACGATCGTTTGCCACAGGCTTTATCATGACATCACTAAAACATAAGTTCTCCCAAAAGCTCCCTTTTTTTTGCCTTATTTGCTATCCCCGACTCCTCTGAACTCCCATCACCCTTTTTTTTTTCCTTTCTTTCTTTTCTTTCCGAATTTCTTTTATCGGTTTTCCGTTAACATTTGCATTTTTTATTCTTTGTTTGCAAATGGTGATCAAAAAATTATTTGTCAAAGTTCAGGATAAGCTACATAATGAAAAGGGTCGACATGACGATGAAACCTCGGCGACAAAGTCTCCTTTATCCAAACGACAATCCAAGACACTTCCTAAAGCAAGGCCTGAACCCGCAGCCAAGCATCCTTCGCAGGGGTCAGGCGCACGGTCCATCCATCAGGTTTCCTCCAACACCTTGCAACAACCGACTCCTCATCGATATGCCGAGAAGAAATCCCACTCGTCTATTTTGGATTCCAAGCACGAGCCGGAATTGAATAGTCGTCAAACTAATCCATTTCTTACCGAAACTACGGAAACTACAACCAATGTAACCAACGATGTTCGTGTCCCGGACGTGGTTACCTTGTTAAGGACTCCACAACCATCCAGCCTCCATGAACCATCCTTTGAAAAAGACGATTACGCACAGTATGAACCTATGCTGGGTTCATTTTTACAGCAGAGACCCGCTTCATCGCCTTTGAATACGTCTCAAAGCCATCATGATATCTTCAAGACGATGAGCAGCGATAATGAGAAGCGCCGCCATTCGTATGGCTCATCGTTCGACAGAGCAAGTGATCATCACCGTGGACCGAGCTCCGCGTCAATCGTACAGGCAGATGCATATCCGCGCCAATCAAACGCCACCTCAAGTGAGTCTCGTCCGTCAAAAGGTGAATCTGGTAAGCACTGAGATCATCCACACATTGTATCTTGCCTCATTCTTATCTATAATCTCTTTCTGTGTCTGTGTGTGTATGTTTCCCACTAGCATCCTCCATCGAAGTTTTGTCTTCAGTCACACTGTCACCTTCAGATACCCGAAAATCATCCTTCATTGACCCGGCATTACAGAAGGGACATGATGAAATCGTGAATTCACCAGGTCCGACGATCATCAACACTAACATTCCTCTGGTGGCACAAACCATTTCGGAAACTGCGGATGAGGACGATGGTAATAATGCGCCAGAGCGACGCCCAGACCAGTCCGAAAGAGTCTTAAGTCAGGATTCATTCATCACTGCTTCCACGGCGGATACGACTAACAAAAAGGATGACACGATGGATAGTTCGTCGTCACCCGTGAATCGTGAAATGAAGCGCCTTTATCTGGAGAATGGGGAATTGCAACGCCGTATCAAAGCGCTTGAAGAACAAGTTCGTGTTCTGGAAGACACTTCGACAGCCACGGCCAACACGTTGATCAAGGAGAACGAACGTTTGGCGGAAAAGGTAGCGACACTTGAAGCCGAAAAACTGGAAATGAAATCTCGGATGACGGAAGAAAAACAAATATTGGAACAACAAATCTCCTTCCTGAAGAAGTCACAACAAGAATCGGTAGAACAACACTCGCTTCCATCGCCTAGAACATCATCCTCGCTAACATCTTCGGCATCTTCGCCCTCTTCGGAAACTGTCGTGACTGACCTTCAGGACGAACTGTTGCGTACTCATACTCGTGCACAGTTGGGACTTATTGAATATCTAGAAGGAGAAGACGACATTGGAGCCGCCATGGCACGATTCAAGAACCAGTTGGAAATGGACGCGGAAGGAAAGGTGAAATGTGCGGGAAAGCGGGATACCCTATTTGATAATTCCATGTATTCATCGAGCACGTCTTTATCCGATGCAATCACGGATGACCCTCCGCCAATGAGATCCGATAATTCGGTTTCTGTTCATTACCAATTTTAAATTGCCATTTCCGCGTCCTTCTTACTAGAATTTCGATTGAACCTTTTTTTTTCTTGTCTACACCATACGAGAAACTGGAAATCACGTACTGGAAATTGATTTTCTGTTACCCTTGCTCTTGTTTGAACTTACATTATCACTCATCATCAATATATCACAATGCCCAATAACCTCACTTTTAATGGACCATTGTAACCACCAAGAACAAGCCAAGGAGCATGACTCCATGCTTTATTGCATTTGTCTGCTGTTAGCTATTCAACTTTCTGGTAGCATTTTTGACTAGCTCACTTTTAGATCGAAAATCTACACAACTCCTTCAATCCATAGATAGGGATATGAAGTTATGAAGTTCAGATTCAAAAGCATGGAACCAGTTTCGTCTTCAATTAATGGCATTTTCGTGAGACAATGGCACGAACTTTTTTGGCAATAAAAGCGAACTTTCAGTAGTAATTTGTTACTTCTTTCTGACTACCTCAGCAACGGTGTGACCTTCAAAGTTGATATAGAAACCTGGATTTAGTTTGGCATACCCCATGATATTGTCGGGATCCTTCTGATAGATGGACACCAAGGGCTCGCGGAAAAAAAAAAAACGAATCAAGGCTGGAATCATCCATCATGCTGATTTTTTCGGATGATGAAGAGACTTTGCAAGTCTAAATTTGGAAAACTGATGCATTGTATTTCTGGCAAGGTTCATCATTTGTGACATTTTATTTCTGTTTAACATGCATGGTTAGTTAGATTTGTAAAACTGCCTGGCGTAATCAGATAAGCAATGATGCCAACTTTATCGGCTCATTCCTCAAAAATGATTACACTGAAGATAACGAAATTATTCAAACGTAATGATGATACATCATACAGCTAGAAATATGCGTATCGTTTTGTGTGTCCTTGCTGATTTGGATAGGAATAACATGAGACTTTGAAGTCAGTTTCCAGGTTGGTTCCTCACTGATTTCTAGTATCGTAAGAAATCAGAATCAGAATATTTTGTCCGTTGAGGCGGAAGGAGTAAAAGAGGAGGTTAGCGAGTCTCAAACAAAGCGGCAATGACCCACTTTTTGTTGGCTATTGCGTGACCCGCGTTCGGTGCTCCGTTGTCTTGGCCGGAACGTTCCGATGATGATCAAAATGTTCCAAATTGAGACATTTTCATGAAAACATTCACGCCTTCCATCGAAAAAATTTCTTGTGAGAGGTGAGTTGTTCCTTTTTCGACGATGAAAATCGTGCGAAGATTGACCACGTTTGGCGTGAATGAAAGGAGGATATCAACCTTAAAAGTTTTCTTGGCTGTGCTCGATGTTGGGATGGTTTGAATTGCTCTACGATAACTACTCAGTTGGTGGTTCGGCTCGATTCATTATCAGAATGAAATTGAGATATCATGACTCGTTTACTATCAAGCATTGCCTATCTTGTTTACATGCGCAGGGAGTTTACATTGCAGTGTGAATTGTAATAACATACCGTTGAACAGGCATGAGGAACTACTTTATAGCTAAGGGCGATATCACCTTAACTTTCTTGTATAAGAGAAGAATTGTATCTGTTGTTGTGAATGAACTGCAAAAGACGCGGATCCGAAAAGAGATGCCTGTAAAATTTGTGACTGATTCATTTCAAAAAAATTGAGCGGAAATTTTTGTCATTGGCACGTGCAACACAAAACGAACAGGGTTTGCCATCATCATGTGTTAAATAATGTCCACGTTGATCTTCCTCGGCCCGTAGTTTGTCGACAGCTTTTCAATAAGGCAGTAAATAGTAAAATATCTATTTTCATATGGGAATTCAGACAACTACATCGCACAAAACTGACATTTTCTCGATATGACACGATCACCGTAACTAGTGTAAAATGAAATAAGACAGGTGAAGCTGCTCATTTCAGCTCATCCGAGAAATCGGAAAGTAAATTAAATATGGTTTTACTTGACTTTATTCGCTTGTTCACCCCCTTTTTCTTTGGCTTTTTCCCCCAATCTTGCAATTCATCTCGTTATCTCCCCCATACCGCCTACCTAAATTGGCACAAATTGATGGCTTCGATAAGGGATTTTGCAGCACCGATCATCTTAAAAACAAACACAAATTTTCGGCTTGCCTTAAATCAGCTATTCCAGACTTCTTTATAAGCCGTTTTTTCTTTTCCATCGCATTCGCTGCAACAACCATCGCATTATTCATCTCTTTCTCCAGCACTTGTCTCTTTCAATATGCAGCCATCGACGTTAGAATCCTTAGTTTTATCGCATCAAGACGGTACTTTTTGCGCCGTGTGTGGTTCACGCTACCATATGACCAGTATGAATCCGTTTCACCGTTTTCTTTTTTCCTCATGTCATTGAAACTCATGAATCTAACCTATTTCATGGTTGAATCGTAGAACATTGTCCTGTTCATCCCTAGAAGTATCCCGGAGGGATCCCATCATATATCATCATTATCGGCATTACTATTCTACATAACAACAGCATCATTATCATGCGCATATCAGTTTCATAGAGTTCAACTGCGCCATCCTCGTTACTCGACATGGATTTCATTTCTCTCGGCTAGATGATCATTTTTTTTTTTTTTTTTTACATATGTCATTCTCCCTTCTCTCATTCTTCATGATTCATTCTGTCATTTTCCAGTAGTGGCTTTTTTTTTATTCTTGGTTACCCAATGTCTCATTTGTGTCCTTTTTTCATTTTCTCATTTCTTCTTGAAGTCTATGGTTACACATATTTTTTATGGTTGATCCATGGTTTTGTTTGTCGACTCCTCGGCATGACACCATCATTGTTCCCCTTTGCATGACTCATTTCGTCTCCATAGCTGTGTATGAATTGTAAATTTTTTTCTTTTATTTCCCAAACTTTATTCTTATGATAATTTTCATTTTTGCCACAACAGAATAAAAAACAAAAAAGAAAACCGACAATCTAATAAAAGAACATGGTATATCTCTTGATAGTAGCTTGATTTTCCCCTTCTGACTTTTGCTATTTTATAATGATACGACTTTATCTAGAAAAATAAGAAAGTAAAGCTTGTAAATATGTATATAACATGACGTTCGCGTGAGTGGTCGACCTCCACCTACGAATGACCTGCATTCAAACGCTATTTTTCTATTTTTTAGGAAATGAGGAAGCGGTGTAGCAACTCATTGCCGCAGCGGAGAAGGAAAGGGTTGCAAGGACGGAGTTCGTTTCATCCATTTTTTTGGGCTATTAAGAGTTCCTGAATTTTCTGTTGCATGGCCTTTTTCTGGTGACATTTGATCACGTTCACCCATTCGGAATGACGGCACCGGAATGCAACATCCAATTTTGTGCTGCGCTTTTCCAAGTCAGATATCAACAGTCTGAAAAATGGATGTGATATGGTCATTTGTAACGCAAAAGTTGCTGCGACTGAAAATAGACTAAGGATCATCCTTGTATACTTCCTTGGCGTCGCTGCTCAATAGTTTAGAGTTGATTTCGAGACGTTCCGTAGATCGTCTCCGTTTCTATGGTGCTTTTTTTTGAAAGACAGTCATTTCAAATGCGGTCATGATTTATTACTTTGTGATGAAAAATTCGTTGAACAATATCATGAAGTAACACTATGTAGCCAAGTTAGACAGGCTACAGCTGATAAATTATGCTAGGGCAACAGTTCCCTATTGAAGACAAAAAGATAAAGCAGCACTATAACAACTATTTGCCCAAGGAGAATGGCAAATCCAATGGGTGGCGTGTGCATGTGAACGTGAGCACAAAGCACTAATGATAACCACTGCCGAAACCGAGACATTCTGCTACAGTGACGAATTCAAGTTGTTTCTCTTTGCCATAATTCACAATCCATGGAATCAGTTCGTCAATGGTCTGGTCGAAAACCTAAGTTCAAAAACGTTGGAACAACAATGAATTGAACCTCTTCTGTGTCCATAAAAACAAGTTCTTTGATACATACTTCATGTTGCAATGTAATATAGCTTCCTGAGGCTTGGCCCACACCAGCTTCATATTCTCCTTTTTCTGCGCCAAGATCGTGTGTCACCCAATCCTGAGAGTCTACATTCCACATGACAACGCTGCAAAAGCGTTGTCCCATAAGCATCAATATCACATTACTAGTAAATTGCTCGATAACGGGACTTACTGATACCCCAGGTCACCAAGCACCTCTAATGCATGGTCATCATAGCTTCCTGCTGGCGGACGCATAACTGTCCACAAAAACAAATAGGGTGAATATTTCAATACCAGTGGTTAATCGCTACATGCTTACATGCAGGTCTATTAGAATAGAAAGAGAATTAGTAGACGCCATTCAACGAGATCTAATGGTTGAAACGTACCTCTTGCCAATGGCTTCTTCAATAACAGATGACAAGGTCTCCATTTGATAATGGATATCTTCTGTAGAAAGACCGCCGAGCTCTCTGTGCTCATATGTATGGCTACCGATCTGGTGCCCCAAGTCATCCAAATGTTTAAGAACTTCCATATAACTTTTGACTCCTTCCGAAGTGTCGACGCTACTGGCTTTGACATCTCTAGAATGAAATTTCATGAGTCCATTCGATCGATAGCTTGATTTCACAAAACAAAGACATACACCCAATTATTGCCATTGATGAAGAATGTCGCCTTGACCCCTTGATCGCTGAGCATGTTGCCTAGTTCCCATGTACGATAAAACGGCCCATCATCCAAAGTCAGCGCAATTTTGCCTGGCTCGGTACATTCATGGTACACCGTGGCCGCCGAACGACGAACGAATGGTGCGGTGAACACCGATGGTACCAATGACAGTGTGATAACACTTAAAATCCAGCTAACCATTGAGGGTACGTCAAATAATGAATAACAGGAGAAAGGGAGAATCCTGTTATGGCACGGACATATTTATACTCGTAGTGATCATCTTTGGCAACGCGAACCGCCGAAAGAAATAAAAGTGCGTAGCAGCAAAAACAAAATATTTGTCCTGATCTTATACTTTTGGTATCCCCTTCTTTTAACATTTAAGCTACATTAATGGTGCTACTGATGCGGTTTGATGAACGGTGCAGCTAGATTTCCATGGTTTTCCGTCTTGAAGGATAACTTGTTTGTCTCAATGCGATTCCCATTATTCCACATGATTAAATTTTCAAATATCGATACTGGAAATGAAAAATACCTCATTGCTAACAATACATCTAAACTCACGCACCCATCTAGCCGAAAATACCGAACGCTAGCTGGTGATGCAGATCAAAGTGCATGAGATCGCGTCGCCCCTTGTTGTTATTTGCAGGAGTCACTTCTTCTATTGCTTTCCGAGTGACAACACGCATTCACTATCTGAGTCCTTTTAAAGGGCCTAAAGCTTAATGACTTGGGACTATTGTGCCATTGGGACCACTTTATATCATGGCAATACATTTTTATCCGTGTCTCCAAGCACTTTGTCGCCAAATTCGATGCATGGTAACCAAGAGAACGGGTGTGCCGACAGAATAGCTATATTAATCGCTTGGGGATCAATTATCGTATAATTGTTATTTTTTTTTTGCGCTTTTGTTTTTTATGAGGAATTGCGTACACAATTGGTAATTATGTTTATTTTAAAGAGAACTCATCATGGTACTCAGCTTTGTGCTATAATGAGTGCTTAATTGCAGACGGATATGTTTTTTGCATCTTGCACAAGAGTTTTTATATGAAGTCCAAAGGCTACAATACATGGTATCAAAAGACTCGAGTACCCAAAGTCATGAAATGGAGATAATTCATGCATTCCCCCTTGCCCTTAATTCCCCATATCTCTGTAAACACGACCAATCAAGGCATGCTTCATACATCAAGACGATCCATTCACACTTTCGACGACTGGACTTCGCGACACTTGAAAATCCCATTTTGGGCGCGTCAATTGTTTGATTCATGAGATGCAAGCTGAGAGGTCAGTGTATACTGTATATTTCGCAAGAAATTTAATTTGTAAACTTAGTTGAAGCTCGGTTATAAATGACCATAACTTGTAGGAATGAAAATGTTTATGCTTACTTTATACTATTTGGCCCGCGTTCGGTTGGTTATGATGAGACATCACTCAAAAAATCCTCTCAACAAATGCATATCGATACTCTCGAATGAAGTGATGGCTTCATTTCTTACGGATTATGCAACAACACTGATTTCGATCAGGATGTCTACACGTGGAGCAAAAAAAAAGAAAAAAAAACTGATATAGATAGTTTGAAAAGCGTAAATTCGGCTTCCTTTGTCAAGTGCGCCACCATGAATGATTATATTGACAGCAAATCAAAGCTCTAACATTATCTGTTGCTTCATAAACATCCATTTAATCTATTATGATGCAGTATCGCGTTTTTGCGGAGCGATGTCTCTCTTGAAACTGTTGAATTTTTGATTGATGGAATAAGCTGTCACGAAATTCAAAAGTTGCCGTAAAGGCGTGCGTGATCCTCTGTACCTTGTTTCCCTCAAACCGATTTTTTCTCTTCCATACCGGATGCGTATTCATCTATTTGATACAGAGACAAACTTGCAGGCTCCGTTCGTCGCGGTGAAACGCATCAACATTCATGATTACTCCGATTATGCCGAATTACGTTCATTCATCCATCATCACTGTGTAGAACGAGGAGAACCGCTGGTGATTGAAAATCTACACAGGCTTCCTAGTTGGAATCCGCACTTGTCTGATATCGATCGGCTTTGCGAGTTTTACGGCACCGAAGGTAATCCCTTCTCATTTCGGTCATCACATAGTTGCCAAGCTTTTAATCATCTACTGCAGAGCTCCAACTATATGATATGAAGACCAAAGGAAATACCACCATGACCATTCCCGATCTTCTAAAAGAAAGCTATAATAGTACTAAAGAAGAAGCCGCATCGCCCGTCGTAAAGTCGATTGTTGTTAACCCGCCTGTTGTTGAACCGCCTGTTGCTGAACCGTCTGTCGTTGAACCGTCTGTCGTTGAATCGCCTGTCGTCAAGAAAAAGCGAGGACGACCGCCGAGAATCGCGTCAGCTTCTGTTTCGCAAGAGCCTCTTAAGACCACTGTCAAAGGACGATCACGAAAAAACGCGCCAGCTCCTGTTCCGCAAGAGCCACCGCAGACGACTGTCCAAGGCAAGAAGCGCGGACGAACACGAAAAAACGCGCCAGCTCCTGTTCCGCAAGAGCCACTCCAGACGGCTGTCGAAGAAAAGAATCTACCCAAAGCAGAAGCGCGAAGAATTTACGCGAAAGATTTAACTTGTCCACCTGAATTCGAGACATATTTGAAGAAGATTGTGCCGGACTATCTGTTACCGCTGGGGACCCATGATCTTTTTGGATGTATGCCTCCAAATCTGAGAGCCGAAAATCTGATGTGTTATTTGGGAGGCAGCTATACCGGCACGGCATTACATCGTGATATTTGCGGTACCTTTGGTCACAACATCATGCTACACACCGCTCCTGATGCATACTCTGAATGGCTCCTTATTGAACACCGTTACCGCGACGCGTTAGCCAATGTAACACATCCTCCGCGATCGCGAGTTTCCGGCCAAAAGAGTTTCTTCCTTGACAGTGACAGAGCCTGGTGTTCTCGACATATGTTGAAGAAAGCTGGCATCAAAACACACGTCATCATCCAAAAGCTTGGTGACATGGTGCTCATTCCCAGTTTATGCTACCATCAAGTACGCAATGTCGGTTTCTCGGCAAAAATCGCATGGAATAGGGCAACACCCCATACCTTAATGGCAGCACTTGATGAACATTTACCCATTTATCGCAGGTATGTCGATCATTGACTGTGTTCATCCACTTGAGAGGCATGGTATCGTAACATACTTGCAAATGTTTTGCTAGCATTGTCCGCCCTGAAGTTTATCGTTGCAAAGCCATGGTGTGTTATGCTCTTCGGAAATGGCTGGCGCTTTTGAAAAAGTATGAGAAGGATACAGATGCACCTCCTACAGATACTGCTGTGCTTGCTATCATGCCATCCAACGATCCTGAAGAGACGAGTCCGAGTCTGATGGATTTACCAATGCTTCAAGGGGGCAAAGCACTGTTTCTGGAAGAATGTCGGATTTTGTTGCATTTGCTGGCCAAAAATCTTATCCAACCAGAGACGATAGAAACTATCGAATTTGAAGAAGTCAGCAACGATATCCGAAACGAAGCATGCAACGCTGGCCTTTATACGAGGACGTGTGATTTTTGCCGAAGCGATATCTTTTTCCGCTATTACCACTGCTCTGACTGCTCTGACTATGATCTCTGTATGAATTGTTATATTCGCGGACGCAGTTGCAAACACGTGGACAAAATGACCATGCAGCAAAGTCGTACGAACTTGAACGAGTATATTCAGCTTTATCGTAAATTCATTGAATGCGTCAACAATATATTTGAAAAGAAATGTCTCTTTAAAGAGAACCTGTCCGTGGTGTAAGTAGACGACAGAGCCCCTCCAAAAAAATTAATGCTAATCAATATTCCATCTACTAGTGCACAACAATACTCATTGGCTACCTCATGCCGACGGTTGGAACTGTATCGAGCAAAAAACAAAGTAAGTATCCATTATAGCCGTGGCAATTACGCAGGTTTCTGATGAAAATTTAGTGTTTCGCCAATCATCTCGTCTGCGGTCACTGTCACTTGGTGACGACTTTAGCTGAACTGTACCAAGAGCATTCCTATGATATACAATCTATTTTTGGTCGACGTCTCTGTTGGAAATTAGTGGATTCCTCGAACAAAAATGCGGTGTACACCTGTGAATCATGTACCAAAAATTGTTCAAGCTGCTCTCCTCTAGTGAAATCTCCCTGCGACGATATACTGTTGAACTATTATCTTCCACCGTATCTGGATAACCGAAACTGGGGCGCTCCTGTCGATGAAGGCCTTTTTAAAGTAAGAAAGAAAAAGGCAAATATTGTCGTCAAACGATTCCGTAACCGTTCTTCGTTGAATAGTCATACTATTGGCCTGATCAAATCGTTGGGGTAAGTAAACGCTTGGATTTTTACTTTGTTTTTCTTTTGATTTGGAGATGCAAATGATATTAACGGGACATTATGTTCAGAACGATGACGAGGAGCCTCTTTATCCTAGTAAGGATTTCAAGCTTTTTAAAGAAGATATTCAGAGTATCGTGCTGGGCAACATGCTTCAACATGGCGTTCCGGAACTATGGCAAACAATCAACGACGAAACAGCTTCAGCCGAAGCCATCCAATTGCTCGAGGATGCATCTCAACAATGGGGAGAAAAGATTTGGAGTCGATTGAGAAGAACGCGGAGACCATTGTTTCCCGTAGTGATAGGGGCTACGGGGCGAGAATCATGGTACAAGAGCATCATCAAGTTTGTTAAGGTCAAAGAAATTGAAATGGTTTTCCCGATCAAGCCGGCACCAGAGGTTACAGAAATGAAGGAAAACATCCATCAAGTGGAGCCGACTGTGGATGCGAACGAACAAAAGGCAGACGAACTAGCGCAAGAGAAGCAGCCATTGAAACGTGATTATGACTTGATGAAGTTAATGGATGCTGATGGGGCTGTGGAAGGTCCACGTAAAAAAATGATGCTGTGATTTTATTGATCACGGTTTGTGTATTTTCTTGTAATTTAAACTGGTCTACATTCATTGTATAAACTATGTTCATGATCGTCAAGTTACCAGAATAAGCAAGCTGTTTTGGTAACACATAACCTAAAGAAGCGGATGAATAAAAAACATACGCATGTGTTTATAGGATTTTTTTTTCTTCTATTTGAAATTTTCTTATTGCTTTGACTCTCCTATCATGGTGTTTTGGTGGTTATATCAGCCTGAAGAACGCGTAGAAGCATTTCATGCCAAGCACTCGTTCACACGAAAGTTTTGCGGTTGCATGTCCCTGCGAGGTGGCTGTGCCATTGCTTGCGGTATATGGATGGTAGGCTACAAGGGCTCTGTTGGATGCTGCTACACCCAATAACAGTTGATTTTGGTTTTTTGAAGGGAGTAAATTTATATGCCTGTATATTAGCTTTCCAAAGTCGAAGTCGTAAGCATGCAAATAGCCAATGGAGATCACACAGCCCAAGTATTCTTACTGACGATAAGTATGAATGATTTAGCTTTCTTTTCACACCTGGATCACAAAACGCTGATGGTGCAGGGAGGAGTATGCTTGCTTTTCGCCTTGATCGCTTTTTATACCCTATTCGCCCTGTTTTCGGTAGGTTTGATTAAAATGTTGATAAAGACGATGGTTGATATGAACTATTGCTCGCTTAGGATTCACTACGATCATTACACCATGCGCATCGAGCTATGTGGTTTACAGTATGTGTATTCATTATCGATTTCTTCGTTACGATCGTGATATTTGGCATGCAAGAACAGCAATACTATGACTGGTGTGCGAGCAAGTCTCGAAACATTGTGGACGAACACGTATCCGCGCAGACGGTCAACGGCACACAATTACAGTTCAGTTTCACCCCCAGTCAAGGAAGTCGGGATTTCTACAACTGCAACAAGCTCTGGCAGGACGAAATGAAGTTTGCTATTGCGATATTTATCGTAATTTCCATCTGCTATGTAATGTTTTGCATGACCTCTCATTATTAGCCCCGTGCCCTGAGTAACTGATCTTTGTCCGTACGCAGATATATTGGGCTATCTGCCTATGGTCCTATTCGCAGAAACTATTTCGAATCGCACGAGGGCCCAGCAATTTCCTTCCACCAGGTCCGGTAGCGCCCATGATCCCTGGTATGATGAATCTACGCCCAGGAACGCAAGAAGAGGCACTAGAAGAAAAGACGGCCCCTTCAAGATCAACCGAAAAGAGCCTAGCGCAAATAACGAAATCACTGATCGAACGATGGACAAGCAAACGATGAGCGCGTGGACGCATCCAAAAAGCAGAAACCAATTTTTATCATTATAATACAGATGAAGCCAAAACAAACAGTGGTATGAAAGGGATTGCATGTCGAGGTGTCTATGTTTGTGTCTATACCCACTATGCGTACGATAAAAGTTGTATCTACGTACGCGTGTGGTTTGGGAGCGAGTCGATAGTTTTGAAATTATTGAGTCATCAGAGGGCGCCTGTCGACAAGATCGTTTTAAAGCATATTGGAAAACTCGCTTTCCGTTGTGGAGGGAGTGGCGGAACCTGTTGCTGATGGACTGCCAGCATTCTGTTCCATCTTTTGACTGAGCAACTTCTGAACAGCAAAGTATTTTGCGACGCAGCGGTCAATGCAAACCATTTCACCCTTATTAAGTTCAGGTTCATGGTAGTTGGTTGGAATACACTTGACTTGGCATCGGTCCAAGATTCTAAGGCATGTTTGAGCAAAGCTTTTCTATAACCGGATTTCGTGGGTGTCTCAAATTATACATACTTGTTATATAGTTGCATAAAAGAATCCACTTCCTGTTCGGCTTGAACCAGGTTCTCGGGATTGACATAAGTCTGCGAATAACTTCCCCACATGCTCATGATGGATTATTTAAGACTTTAAAATAGAAGAACTGGTAAAATCACACAATCGAAATCGAAGTTTTTTCTGAGTCTGAGATTGTAAGTCACAAATCTCTATCAAATGCCATGGATTACGCCCACAAACGATTGCCAGCACATTTTGCACATTATGGCAAGCGAGAGCAAGTTCTTTTTGTTTATATGTAACGCTCTATGTGAGTAATAACAACGTTCGTTTGATAGAACTCCAAAAATGGTATGAATTCCGTTAATTTTATGTTATTATCTTCTTCGTTTCTGCTTGAGGAAGAAAAAACCCAATATATACAATCTGCATAACAATGATAACTATAAGAAAAAAAAAGGATAAATAATTTTTCAGCAACATTAAAGAATAGCGGAAAAAACGCCCGCGTTTTTTCCATGGGATGAATTTGGGCGGGAGAAAGGCAGGCGTTCCAAGCAAAACAAGGTGAGATTCCAAAATTTTTGGCAACCAGATCATGCAATATAGGGTATGTTGTCATCATCGAGTAACTGGCTGAAATGGTGCATAATCTCTTCTTCGCCAACGATGTCTGATCCATTTCCAAGGTTACTCGAATCGTTTCTATGCTCTATCGCGTTTTTATGTTCTATCACGTGGTCTGACCCCTTGGATGGACTTTTCTCTGGCTGTGATTTAGCATCGCCACTACTGCTTCGTCGTCTTTTTCTTGTTGAAGTCGATGATTCTGAAACGGACGATGGCTCGGACCGCATGCGTTCGTAACACGGATGCTGCTGTACTAAGTTTGCGTAGTATTGCTGCAAGATAGGCCCAGTACTCGCAAGATGCCAATCGATCAAAGTGAGGAACTCTAGCTCCAATGCGTTCAGCTCTTGTGTGGAAATACCTCCCACTTTCGCGTAATGTGTATTGGTACAGTAAGAGTCACACAGCGCCTTCGAGGATACGGTAACGGCTGTAATTAGGAATCGATGGGCCGTTAAAGAAGATATTGTAAACTGAGGATGAAGCTCGCATACACGATCGATATAAATAAGCAGAATGAGGAGACAGGACTTTTCGACTGAAGTATATTTGACAATACGACGCAAGTAGTCACTGAGTGATATATTGGGCGGCGTCCTGGAATGGAAGCGGGTTAGATTGCTGGGCGTTAGGGGAATAAGGTCGTTGTGGGTTATCAATCGACCGAGCATATCCGCTGTCCTCACAAAATGGTGGTTAGTATTTGCCCATTGACACATACATTCAACTAACAGGTGTCCAACCACTTTACCAATCATATGCGTCAAGTAGTTGATGTCGACCGCGTAATAATACTCGGGTACAAGAATCACATTCATGGTCGGCACCGCCGTCTGTGTTGATTGCGCCATGACATAAAGCGGGATGGCGACGCAGTGTGTCTGGAATGAAAAATGACGACGGTGAGTCACTCACTTCCTTGTTTTCTTTTAGATTGGTAAGACACGGGTATGTGGGCAACCAAACGAGGTAAAATTCCCCAAAAACAAAAAAAAAAAAAGAAAAAGATAGAAACGCACAAGTGAAGGCTGGCGTTTCCACAGTTGGAGCTTGACTCTGCAGGAAGCCGCCGAAGCCACTCGGTCTCCGCGCCTCTCAAATTGAAATTTGATGATGATGTCATTGGTGATTTGATTTTTTTTTCGTTTTATCTTTTTCCATGGAATTATCATTTTACGCAGCAACATCAAAGACGATGGCCAGGAAATAGGTCGAGTCAAGTCGAGGGTACACATTTACGCGTACGGAAAGATACATAAGTTGAATCACTACAGCTATCCTGTAATATGTATTAACCATGGTCGGATGTTATATGAGGCATTTCCTAAACGGGATGAAGCTTTTGTGTGAATACAAGATATTCAAAGCGAGCGCGCGATAACCGTTTCAAAGGAACAACTTGAAAGCTTCCAAGCGTCCCTCACGGCTACGTGCTCCTATTTATCAACCGTAATTTTCGGAATTCAGTAAAGCAACGTGCGGCAAAAAAAAATTGATACCATAGCAATCTCATCAGGAATCACCCGAACCCCTGAAAAGGTGTTTCACAGCATTTCCGTTTAGCAACTATGCCCAAAAGAAGGCTATAAGCTTTGGTGCTTATCCAGAAAGAGAACGAACGACAAGTGGCAACGATATTTGCGGCCTTTATCTCGTTCAATCAGCATAATAGCGAACGACCTGAATATCGTTCGGGTTACGACCTTTTGGCTTATCATTTTGTAATTCAGGCTTCCTAATACAAAACTATCAGCCTATAGTCCAAGGACTTTCCAGGACAGAAGCAAATTCTGCTCATCGTGATAAATCATTGGAGGTGTTGACCCAATGTCATACTATCTAATGCCGCTATTTCGCTTGTTCCAGTAGAATAATAAATAATAATCCTAGTAGCGGCCCGTTACCGTAATCCCATTCGTCAATTAAAACCATCCTTCGTGATTTGTGCGTTTGTTCTCTTGCCACTTAATTTCTCCAGTTGCATAGATCGACGCCACAAATAAATACCGTGTAAGCAGTGATATCGAAAACAAAGCGTGAATAATCAGAGTGATTCAGATTGTTGTATCTTTATACTTTGGTGCACCATGCTAAGTTAGCTGCGATTTCAGAATGGAAAATGTGGGAGACGGAAAATGGGAAAGAGAGAGAGGACGGGTCAATAACTCAGCAGCGTCCTTTTAGATATGCAAAGGGAGACGCAGAACGCTATCTAAAAATGCAGAATTTGTCTTTTTGAGTTTTCTCATTTCTACAGCAACTGTTACTCCAGCTATACATTACCTCTGTAGCGTGCGGTATATAAGAAGCAAGTGATTGTATCCAGTTCCTTGACTGTTTGATTAGCGAAATGACGGGATACTGCCGAAACGAGTTCTTCTTTGTCGGTTGGCGATTTGATTGTGAGATTATGTACACGACAGTACTTGCGTAAAGTAGGAATATCCATAGTATCGAAATCAATCTAATGTCTTGTTAATTGGATACCTAACAAAAAGTTTGGTCGGGTATCATATCATTCCTTACAGTTTGAAATTCTTTGCCAACGTTCCCTTCAGCTCTTCGCCGCTTTTCTCTATCTCTATCCATTTGCGTATTATGTGTTGCACTAGTTGTTGACATTGTCTTTAATTTGGACCCCATTGTGTTTTGACGAAAAAGAAAGTTGTTGTGGAATGAAGGCGCCGGCAGAACAGGAAAAATGCAATCCAAACAATGATCCTCGTTCGCCCAATGGTCAACGTAACACGTGATGTTTGCGATTTCAATTGGCTGTCGCTGCCAAACTGAGCAATGCCTTTGGGCGTTGTCATGCTTGGGGGACGGGGGAGGGTTTTTCCTCTGTTCGGCAATGGCACTTTCCGAAACTTCGAGAAAACGAAAACGTGCATCAGAAGACGATACTTTGCCATCGCCGAGTTGCCCGATCTGTTTGCAGATTTACGTCAATCGTACCTTTTTAAGACCTTGTTACCATTCGTTTTGTTTTTCGTGCATCCGTCACTGGATCAATATTTTACCAAGCTGTCCGTTATGCAAACAAGTCATTGAATGTCTCATTTATAATATCGATGACGACAAGAACACCTTTCAAGAATATCAACTGTCTACCAAAGCAGACGATGAAAAGCATGACCCACCTTTGCAATTACCTTCGTTGACGGCGGAGGAAAGGCAACGAATACGTCGGGCAAAGATTTATCGTACACCTATTCCTGCGATATCATATCCAAAGCCGCTGCCAAGGCTGAAAGAAGTCAAATACATTACCCCAGAACATATCCCCAGGGTAAATATTGTCGTTAAGAAGCTTCCCAATGATGGACAGGTAACCCAGTCATCATCGTCACATGATAGATCGAGCCATTTTTGCGAAAAGAACTTCCAGCCTTGATGGGAGATTACCACGATTCATTTATAGAAACTCACGTGAAGCACATATTGCTAATGCCACATGAAAAGCACCGGCAAAAATCCACCGCTGCGGAACCAGTAACAGAAGACTTTGACATGCTAAAACAACTAGCTGAGTGGATCAACGACGAATCAGATACACTGACGGTAGCTCGACGGTTTGTCGTGGAACTGATGGCCTTTCTGAGAAGTGGGCTGAATTACCGAACGTTCATCTCCAATACCGAATATGCTGAACAGACAGACGAAGCGGAAGCGTCAACGGAACGGGAGAATGTACCCGTACGCATGTAAATAAGATTTTCATTGTTTTCATGATTATTATTTGTTTATTCATTTTTTTGGGGGTTTTGTCTTTTCTTTTTTCTGAAGAGATGAAACTTGATGTGAGATGGTTTGCTTTTGATTGTTTGCATTTATATTAAAAGATGCTTTTTGCCAATGGTTCTCATGTAGAAATAGCCAGTAGTTCATCATAAGTCGGCAAGGATTCGTTGCTGGATTCGGGAAATGAAGAGGTGAGAAAGCGGGAAACGGGACGCGAAGAAGGTCTGGTACCATTTTGGAATGGCAAAGCCAGCAGATGACTTGTATTACTGTGACAAGTGAAGCTGCTGGCCATACTGTACAAACTGTTTCTGATGGCAGACGATCGTCTTTCACATGTTTCTTCAGGTGAATCTTCAATCAAAGTGATGCGGCGGAGTGCGAGATTCATGCTATGGCTTCCCAATCCATCTGGTTGACTCAGCAATGCCATCATGAGCGCTGGTTCGTAAGGCATCGATTGCCATGTTTCTTCGTATGCTGGTAGACCCGCGAGCTTCATGGCACAAATCGTCACTGGAAGTACGGCGCGTAGTTCAGATAAATGGCCGTCCGTATTTTCGATGGATAAAACGAACTTGAGTTTATGACGAATCCGGACCACATCTGTTTGTACATCACAATGAACTTCGTCAGGCAGTCGAGGAACGGGTACCTGCAGGATAGTAGACCAGGGCACACCACGTCGACATGTGTGGTTTAAATTGTCATCGCGTACGTAACGCAGGATGCGGTTGTGGGACCTTGTTTTTCCGCCAAACAGTCCGTGTGCCGCTCGGCAGGTCATATACTCTTTAAAGGTACAGGCGACGAACCGGATTTTCAGATTGTTTACGCAAGGTGTCATTCGAATCGTCAGAGGGATATCTTCTCCGCGTGTGTAAATTTTGGTGGGCATCATGATTTCATAGTCGATTTTACCCACCCACTGATTCTGCAGAGAAACCGGTTCCATAAAGTCAGGTGTAAGGGGCAGCATCTGACGTGACAGATGCAATGTACGTTTTGATACATAATCGGGAAGAAACGTTGGTCGTTGCACAACCGCTTTGAGCTGATAATCCACAAGGTACAGATTGGCAACCTGGGTTGATTCCGGCAAATTACCCGGTAGGGGTAATTCGAATTCAAAGGGATGGCTTCCGGCGCCAAGACGATACATTTGTGCTTGCATCGGTAGAAACCACCAGTGGTGGTGCATGATAATTTTTTCTTCCTTCACCATCCGTTCGTGTCCTTTTCCAACCGCTAGAAAAATATATTATCCTTATGAGTAATTTATTTTTGATAATATGTGTGGCAAAAGAAGAAAGTTTTTTGGCGATCTCGTAAATTTTTTTTGTTTTGTAAAGGTGAGAAACCCAACCCCCACCCCCTCCCCACCAGAAAACGGATCAAAAAAGTAGTAAACGTACGTTCGTTCCAGCTAATGCTCATCTTTCCTGTGAAGCGCATCATCATGGATTTCACCCTGGTAGGCTTTTTAAGCGTAAGATTGAGTACACCCCGAAGAACGCAGCCGGCTGATTCATGTGGAGATCCATGCATAATCAAGTGCTCATTTTCGAGGTGAATGTGCAATTTATTAGTACGACGACTGCGACCCATGGCTTATATGGATATAAGAAGAGAAAATAAGGAACCAAAAGAAAAAGGAAAAGCGAAGATCAAAAGGATATAAGAGGAAGGAAGGATTTAAAAAAATTGAAGAATGAATCTCAGAGGTAACAAACAAAGCAAGAAAAAAAAATCAAAAAGGAAGGGTTGCCAGATTGTTGGAAAAAACTCTATTTACTTCATGCTCACTATGCCAACGACAGCCGGTTGCACCCAGCATGGTGACACAGATTTACTTAATGCAGTTAAGCGTCATCTAAAACAGTGGTCCACTTCTCTTTTGTCGACTGCCCTTCCCTTATTTTGACTTGTCCGCAGTGAATATACTGCATAACTGAACACATCTTTTTCATGCATCTCGTACAGCTAATGCGGTTGACATGTGTGTCGCATTAGAAATGTAAACATGTTGGTGATACAAAAGGACAACACCCCAAGGGAATGAAACATCAGGCAGATAAAAAAAAAATTAATCTTATCTCGGTTGTTGAAAATAATGAAATAATGGAAAAGTAATAAGATCTTTAGGCTGAAAATCCGAGTACGGGTACCTCATGCCAAATAATCGACGTGAGAAAAAACCTGGATAGGCCTGCACTATTTGCTTTTCAAGAGCAGAAAAAAAAAAGACCGCATCATTCTGAGAGTCAGCTGTTCCTATGTGATGTACAGCGGGACAAAATCTCTGCTTCTGGATTTGCTGTGGTCATTACCTGTTTAGGTAAACCCCATTGACTAAAAAATTGACCGTTTGATTCATAAAAGGCTATTGTGGTCACCTGCTGTGATGACAACAACAACATTGGCGAATGAAAAAAGAAAAATATTCGGGCATCCCTGGGCAAAAAGAACAACCGACCTTTCATTGCCAACATTTGGTACGACTGAAAATGATTTGTCACTCGATTCCTCCCTTTCTGTTGATCTTCATTCAAACAGGAAATCCGCACCATCCACAAAACCAATCCCAAACTATTCCCGCTTACCCTGCGCGGGAATCAAGCAACGTGCTCGAAACTTTAATTGCTTAGGCACACAAAACACACACACAAAGCCGAGACTCCGCCCCGTTCTGCTAAAAAAAAAAAAAAAAAAAAAATGATGGCGCGCTTTTTTTATCGGTAATCAGCACCGTAAATTATTGTTTTTCTTTTTATGAAATCGATTAATATATAAGTTATAGCATCCATGTGGGGTTTATCACCGCAGCCATTCATCCTGAAGCACCATTTCGATCGTTGGACGCTTTTTTAGGTCACGACTGAGCATTGACGATAATAATTTCATTGGCCCTGCATAATGGGTTGGTTACGCAAAAAGTTACATCGAGTGATTCTTTTTTCTTCTGTCCTTTTTAGTCAACTCTTACCTGAATACGGCATGCTTGATATCTTCAGGTCATGCTCTAGAATTTCGTCCACAGAATAAAAAGGTGTTTCGCGGAATATTAACGTATACAGCAGAATTCCTAAACTCCAGACATCTTGTGGTGGGCCTTCGTACTTATTGCCTTTGAGAATCTCAGGTGCTGAATACTCTAGCGTTCCCGCGTAGGTGTCAAAAGTGCGGCCTGGCCGGAAATAAGCTGCGCACCCAAAATCAATCAGATGAACAGTGCCATCTTCGTCCAGTAGAATATTCTCATCCTTAATATCTCGGTGCACAATATTGTGATTATGTAAATGATGTACTGCGTCAGCCACCTGTCGAAAAATGGCTTTCACTTCTCGCTCAGAGATATGCTCGTTCATCTCGATATAATCGAATAAATCCATCCCTTCGCCGTGCATTTCCATGATCATGAAATAATAGTCCTCATCCTCAAGATATTTCACTACAAGACCCCAATTTTGTGAATCAGTCAATTTCCTGATCACATACAGGAATTTCCCTTCACGCCCATACTTACATAATCGGCAACAATTCACATGAGGATGTCTTTGCAGCGTTAACATAATGTGAATCTCCAAAGGAATAGATCCACGTTGGCGATCCCTATAACATTTTCGTAATAACATTTAATATCGAACCATTATCATGATACACAAGATGTGCAAAGGATTATCGTATGATGGAACGCGCACGCGATGCAAAGGGGACACAAAGAAAAAAAAACTCACCTGATCCAAGAATCAATAATGATCCTTGATTTGGCAATATACTTTATGACGCATTTCTTCTGACCTTGGTTTTCTTTTAGATAGGCCAATTTAGCTGTCCCGTAAGCGCCTTCACCAAGTGTCCCCACAATCACATAATCTTCCAAAGGATCTCTTGATTTGCTCGGTGTAATCTCTTCCGTTTTCATTTGCGGTAATGCAGAATCGCTGTTGAATCGAGTTTCTGGCAACAGCGCATTTGTGGAACTTCCGTAGGAAGTAATACCATACGGCCGCAACATGGGTCGTCTTTTCGGCCCACCTAGACTCATCTCATCCTCTGGCGGAGCGCTCGATGACGGTGTAGGAATACTACGATGTTCGAGCTTTGTCTCAGACAAAGCATCCGTTTCAGGCGATCGATGGGGAAGAGGATCTTGAGTAGCAGTATAATCACCACGATTTTTGTTCTTGGAACTTCGAGAACTCGCATACAGCCGATCGTAGGTCACCCATATACTCAGCAACGATTCACCGTCGCTTTCGATTCGCCGTAATTGAAGCTGTACCGTAAAAACTGTCCTGTCTCTGTGGACAGCCTGAATAGAGCATAAGCCATGCGAATATTCTCCAGATCGTAGTTGATTGGATGCACGCGAAAGAACGCGACGGCACGTGTGGTTATTGATTATATCCTCCGCAATGAAAGCTGGGGTTCCTTTCAGCTCCTGTATTAATGTCGGCATTTGGGGAAGAAGCTGGCTGATATTCATCTTTTCAATCATCTCCTCCGGCTGATAGCCAAATAGGTATTTCGCCGGTACGGGACTGGTGCTCTGAATCGTGCCGTCCAAATGAACCGTAACCACTCCTGCAATCGTTGGTAGCGAGATGATCTTCAGGATATACGTCTGGTTCATTTGTTGCTGCGAGTGAATCATTACGGGGAAACAGCCACCCCATTTGGATTGGCTTCCATAGAAACGATACCGATCGATGATCTCGAAATCCATATTCTCCATTTCCATGTCCATATCGCCAGCGGATAACCCTGGAATAAGCACGCGGATGGATTGTCCGACCAGATCCTTTTTTGTATATCCGTACAGCTCTCTGATTAATCCAGATATGGCAATGATGGTGCCCTATTCATACCATACTATATAAATGCAATGCTTCGTCATCTATGAGCAAAACGACTTACCTTGGCATCCACATACGCGGATAAAGAACTTTCGTATATTTCTTCAAAGACCCATATGCATACAGGACCATCCGCCCCGGACTCTTTCACTTTTAACCATAAAGACGCTGCTGATCGTGTGCCGTTGGCCTTAATGATAGGTACCTAAATACAGATACAATTCCACGTATCAATACTGGTATCGGCAGTATCACCTTTCGGCGACCTCATTTCCATTTACCACAGAACCACATATAAGTACAAGTCCTTGTGTTGATTTCCAAGCACGTGTTGCTGTGATGTTGGCATCCCTGCTCCTGCTTAATGTATCGCGTATAGATTGCCGCACAGGCGGTTCGATCATTTCCAGGATAGATTTGCCGACATATGATTTTTCAATGCCAAAACAGAGCGATGCAATGTCGTTGAAAAGTAAAATATTGCCTGTCGCATTGGTAGTAAAGATGGCTTGATTTTGGGGTAAGAATCGGGTGGGAGCATGAACAGATCGATGTAATCGGGATAACTCTGAAACTGGTATCGAAGCAGGTTTTGTCTCGTCAATGGGTGGTAAAGTAATATTGCGGGAGAGCTCTGTTGCAAGGCTGCCTTGGCGGGCTGCAAGATATCCATCCGCTTCGTTAGCTTCTTGCTGATCCCAAGCCGTTGTCGGAGAGGCAGGTGTGGATTCCGCAGGGTAAGAGGAACGGTGCTGAGAATATTCGCTGGTATGTATTGCAGTAATGAAATCATGCAATGGTGTTCTGCCTTGACCTTGATCATTCACAACATCGGGAATCTCTTGTGTTTGCCAAGCGTCTTTCCACCGACGCATGTCCAACGCGCTTGGTTGCGAATAACGACGACCTTTATCACGATCCGTCAGCCGATACTTTATGCGGTGCACACAATCCATTCCTCGAGCCATTGACTGCCGATTGCTTTTGGCGGCTCTCATCATGCGTGACATTGGGGTGAAGCTATAGCTGTAAAGCGATTCTGTGGAGAACCGAGTGATGGTATCACCTTCAGGTGCCGTGGTTACCGGTTTGGCCGTTTCATCTTGACTGTTCCCTCGGAAACGTGTCAATCCTTTTGGAGGTAGTTCGCTTTCTCCATCCTCGTCCGACGTGTCTGTAGAACTAGCCACACTTTTGAATCCATATATGAGTTTTTCTGCAACTTTCTTTTTTGCCCTCGTACTTGTGCTCACCTTGTCACTTTATTATCCCGGTCACTGAACTTTTTACCGGGAGAACAATCTGAGAGATATCCATATAAGTTCATATGTCTCTGTTAAAACCATTACTGCATTTAATACCCAATGTTGTTCGTTCAGCAGATTCCATTAATTCCAATGCCAATGGTGGTTGCCAGTACTTTGTAAAGACAAGCAAGGGAATTTCGTTCAAAAAAAAAAAAAAAAAAAAAAAAAAAAAAAGGTGCGCACGGTTCCCCCCCCCCCCAACTCACAGTTGTCACGGCGAAACAACCGTCACTTATCTGAAAAACTTCTACAGACCTCACCATGACCTAGACGAGCATCTTTCGGTATATTATTATCCGACAGGTCCCACCGCACCATGCGCCTTTCGCACACAGTTCATCGTTGAGATCGCCATTGTGCGTCATTGACAACATTTGTCCGTCGTTTTTGTGGCGTTATGCGCAGGAAGAAAGCTCGTCGTCGGTAAATTTTCTGAATTTTTAAACCTCCATCAATGCGGCTCTTCAATCTTTCGAAAAAAAAGCCAGAATCGAACATTTGTTGAAACTGGTTACGCAGAAAAAAAAAGAAAAAAAAACTGGAAGGCCGCAAAAGTTAGAGGAGCACTATCAAGTATCATGAGCCGATTAGAACGTATTTCAAGCAGGAAATAAACTACGATTCATCATTCGTAAGTTCTTGTAGACTACTTTCCCAAAATAGCTTTGTGGTAGCCACGCACAGCTGTGAAGCTATGGAGTTTTTCACACTTGCAACGGACTCGCCATCAGGTTAATCCTTGGATTATTTCAATATGTCCATGAGGGCAAAATCAGGCCAACAATGTCAGCCGAAAGAACAAGAATAGTGTAACATATTCGGCTTATCGTGTAAGCTATGAAATCGTTATGCTACGAGATGGCAACGTATATAGTCATATATCAGATTGGAACAAATGTACGGCACAAAAAAAAATAGACCAAAGATCAATGAGCAGCACCACACATGTTCTTTTAGCAAAATATCTAACTTCTACCGAAATGCTTTGACAGCCCACCGAAATCAAAAGGAACGATTCAACAGCACAGTATGCTCCGTCTTATTTTTATCTTCCCGTATCAACACGAGCCTCATTGCAACCTTTTATAGAATGACGCCACTTTACACCATATATGGACATCAATGGTATGTCTAGCACTTTGCATCCGTACTAAAATGGCACGTTTGGTACTCGAGGAAGCTGGATGTGCAAATAGGAATAACAGGTACTGCCGTGATACCTGGTTCGATTACTATGCTAAGGTTGAATGCTGCAAATGCGGTTGTTAAAGGGTAGCTTGCTGCTGTAGAGATGCTGAGCGCTAATATACAATTTTATGTTTTTGAGACCTTAAGATCGGGAAAAGGCTGCTGTTTTATTGTGCGCCATCTATCGATATTTATACTATGACGGTTATTCGTCTTACAGACATTTCAGAAAGTAAAGTCGCTGGTTGAATTTTATGTCGTGCAAAAAAATTGTGTGTCCAAGAATAATGTCAACTGCTCCAGCAATAAAGTCGTGTTCACGTGTCATGAACCTCCTTTATTTTTACTTGTCGCTTAGTAATTATCCTCTTGGCATTATTATTTTTATAAAAAGAGGAGCTTTTTGAAGTGGGTTTTTTCTGGTTTCTTTTCTGATTTACATTTTTACGGACATTCAGAATGAATATGCAATTTCTTTATGAAGATGGACAAGGGCATGCTGTTGATAGAAATGGAATTGAGCCCATGGATCTTGTTGATGAGGAGCTATTTGCTATCGAAACCATAAGTTCTCGTACTTCTAATGAACAAACCTCCTGAGAGATCTCATAATCCTGTAATGCATACCGTTGCAGATGAGAGGAGCAGTGTGGATGTTTATATGAAGCAATGCAACTGTCATGACCATTCCCGCGCACACGTTGTCTTGGCGATAATGCATGACCATGTGCATTATTGGTCCAAGCACACTCCTTCACTGTTGCCATGCTGGTCCATGCGCTTACCCCTATACTTGCTCTTGTGTCCTCCTCTATCGATCTATGTGTTACCTCATGTTATGCTCTGCATTTCATTTATTTATTTTATTATCGTTGTCTCTTCTGTTTCGCATCTTTTAGTATAAATACCCGATCTCTTTTATGAAATAAACCTCAGTCAAGAATTGTGTGTGTTGTGTGTATTCTCTCATACTATCTTGTTTTCCATCTTGTCTTGTCCTTGTCTTGGTTCTTTTCCTGTTTCTATTCTTGTTCCGATTTCGACTTGTTTCTTGTTCCTGTTTTACTGTATTCCTTTTCTTGTCTTGTCTTGTCCTTGTCTTGCGAAAGCACTTAACACCACCCTCTTGTCCAGCTTGCACTGATCCTCCCGTAATCAGTGCATAACATTGTTAAATGAACTTCACAAAAAATCGAACGAGACTTTCAATTTACACTTCGCTTCTGAAAAAGAAGGAAGTGACAAATCGATCGATATTTCATCGTCCAAACATCATAGCACCACGGGAGAAACACCAAAAGAAAAGGAAAAGACCAACGAATTCAGGAAACCACAGAAATTAACCAGAACAAGGGAAATCCGAAAAAAGAAGTCTACTGAGACTTATACAACTTTGGTTTTCACAAAAAAATGTGAAGTGTGGTGGGAGAGTGGTAACCAAATTGATGTAAGAGTAACCAAAGAAAGAATATTCAGAATAGATAAGATTAGCTTCAGAACTTCCATGGTTCTTCCTCCGAATACTAACTTCTTGTTACTGTAAATCCGAATAGGGTGATAGCCGACTGTAAAAACTATCAGACTATTCCAAAGAGACTTCCAAAAATGTAGGCGCTAGTCCAAAGTGTATCTTCGAAAAGATGTATTCCCAGAATAAGAGATCAAAAGACAAAAGCTTAAGGATATCGATACAGAAATTTCTAAAAGACATTTAAATACTTTCACCGTACTATAGTTTCTTAACTAAGGGATTACATAATATGTAAGAACAATAGAAATAATCATGGTTTGAGTCGTCGTCAGAATGCGTAATGATCATAAGATAATTTCAGATCGTTAAACGAACTTCACGAAAAATCGAACGGGACTTCCAATTCACACTCCGCTTCTGAAAAAGAAGGAACCGACAAATCGATTGATATTTCATCGCCCAAACATCATAGCACCACGGGAGAAACACCAAAAGAAAGGGAAAAGACCAACGAATTCAGACAACCACAGAAATAAACCAGAACAAGGAAATCCGAAAAAGGCAATCGGCCAAGGCTTGTACAACTTTTGTTTCACAAAAATGATACGTGGGGTAGGTCGTCTATCGTAAGGCAGGTAAATGGGGTAGGCAGGGCGCGTAAAGTTGCCTTGTTGTTGATAGAGGATAAGGATGTCTTCTTCGATTCAAAGCTTAATTGCTGTGGTGTACTTGACTTCCGCTTAGATAATTTCATCTCTAAATTATCTCTCCCGTAGCTGGTCACTTCCTTGACAGAGCACAATAAAGCTTTCTTAAAACCGAAAAAGGTCTGTCTTTATTCTTAGAGAAATGAGGATGAATTTATACTACTTCTTTAATTTTAAACTACCGCTTCTGTCATTTCCAAATTCGGTGGCCTTCTATCATCGATTCTGATTGGCTCATTCAAAGTCACGTGAAATTCAGTGACTTTGAACTCCACCACCACAACTACGTATCAAAAACAGCTTCTCGGATAGTATAGTGGTGAGTATCCCCGCCTGTCACGCGGGAGACCGGGGTTCAATTCCCCGTCCGAGAGACTTTTTTTGTTAAAATTTTTTTGGAATTTTCTGGTTTTTTTTTGTCCCTCTGAAAGTTTTGTCTTGAGTAATATTTGATATATTATGGATACATACACATCGACTTTCTTTTTTTTTTATCAGTCCACGTCTATTTATTTGGGTAATTTTTGCAGTGTATCAGATTTAATAGGTACGACCAAAGTAAAAATAAAAAAGATTTTCATTTATTAGAAGGCTGAATGAACCCTGCCTAATGGAAACGACCGGCGTGATGTGAATATTTGTCAAAGCAATGCCGGGATCAGCCTCATTTATTACCAACCTAAACGATTTAGGCAGTTACAAATTAGGCGTGCCTCCACATTGAAATGTACTTTCTGACTTTTATGGGTGAAAGGCAGGGAGACATTGTTGGTTACGCTGTTTAACGTATGGTAGATTCAAGGACGAAGAAGGGTGTTTTGATTGGTTTCTATAGAAGCCTTTCCATCTTGGGTATCTCTACCGTCGATAAGGTATTCGTTTTTTCTTTTCACAGATAACTGATCCAACAACCTCGTTAACAGTATCTTCTCGTGGATCATGCGCAAGTGGCTAACTGGTTTATGGTCCCGCAAAGAGACGACAAACTCCTGTAATGTCCATGCTGAGACGATGTATAACTGACTGCCATCGAATCCGAAATACTTCAAGCTTCGGTAGAATGTATGTTCTACCTACAATCAAACATATAAGTTTGCGTTTGACTTACAAGCAATTAACGCATGGAAATCCACAGATGATAAAATCTTACTTCTCTCGTGAGCTCGATGACACTTTTCCACCATAGTTTGGTTTCATCCGTTGAATCGATGGAAAGTTTACGTATTTTTGATTGAATTGCCTGGTAACCCGTGTTAGGAATGTCTCCATTGATATGAGTTTGTGTTTCATTGGATTTTACCAGATCGGCTTTGTTTCTGATGAAAAATACCGGAATGCGGTATTTAAGAGCCCGGCGAGCTAATTTTACATCTACAGCCATCAGACGATCAGTTGATACGATAATTAATGCATCAAAGATTCCAAGACTGCAGGCTTCGAAGTATTGATTCGCTGGCTGATTCTGAGTGCCCGCACCGGGAAAATCCCAAATCATCAACGTCGGCAAAAGCGGGTGATGGTAACCCTTTGGCTCGGTAGTCGTCTCCGTTTCACCGACGGCCGCTGCTCTCACATGACGATCTTTGTATCCGAGCAACCCATTTACTAACGAAGACTGATAAGAATCTGACGGGTAAAACCGCCATTCATTATTATTGGTGTCGTCATGTTATGCGTCACAGTTGGCTAATCACCTTCCCAGTGCCTGCACATCCAATTACCGCCACGTTGTAATAGGAAGCGTCGATACCTAGTCTGTCTTTGGCTTGCTTCTGGTATGCTTCATTCACAACGATTTTCGGTGGTGGCGGGTTATAAAACAGAGTTTCCATTGAATCCCAGAATACATAAAACGGCGCCAACGGAGAGGCCATGAGTCCGAATAAAGTGCCAATAACTCCATCGATCAACGTGGAGCCCGTCAATAGTTCCTCTTCTAATGCTGTCCCAAACTCATAGGCTCCAATGACTGGCAGAGCCACAATCACAAACGGAGACAAGAGCACTGTAGCTCCGAAAAGACCAACAGCCTGTGCACCCTTCTTTGCACAGTCTATCATGCAATAGTCTTCTGCTGTATGCGATTGACCTGAACCCATACGTGCAATTTTGTGTGAAAGAGAGGGTTGTGAAGACAAAGAGGAACAAGGGATGCGATATGCGAGCGAGAACCACAGAAACCTTAAAATAACTCAGTACAACTGGCCATGTGATACGATGCTGGCACGGATCGGCGGACTTTTTATAGCTAAAACCTCCAGCCCGTATTTTTTTGTCTGTTCGTGAACCACCTCTTCTGCATAATCCAATTCGTAGCATTTAGACAATAAACCAGTACTGCCATTCCTCCTCATTATGCGACATGACGAAAATCAGAATCAGCTGGCATTCCTCGGAACGGTAGAAGAATCTACAGCCTCGGGACCGATAAAGAGGTAATAATTTACCTCTATGTACCACGGGTAGTTGTCCTCATCTCAGCGTGCCATGCATGTAGCATATCCAGTGATGAAGTCGACATATCGGGGGCCAATGCGTCAGACTCGCTGATTTCTGGTCACATTGCTGCCGTGTTTATTGTGAAATTCGATGTTCAGCGGGGTAACATGATCGAGTGGCAGTATCCACAAGGTGAGAAATTCGGGGTGCCATGTACGACTTTGGGAAGAATAGCTTGCCAGTAATAGCTAACGGGCGGCTGTTACAGATATTGATCTAGACGGTATCGAATATCAAGCTTTATGCAGTGGGTTGCACCACATCGACTCCGATATTATGTAAGTTTCGGCATTTCGATGTTTTTTCTTTAATTACTCTCAGTATGCTCATGCGCGTTGATAGCTACTTCTCAAAAGAGCCATATGTCGGTGTCAGTGTCTTCAGACAAATACCAAGCGAGACTGAGAGAGGAGCGATGATGAAATCCATGGGTGCAATTTTGAAGCCTTCTTCTGCAACAGGCATGGCTAATTTGGTTTCGACGCATATCGAATTTTTGACCCTTCAACTACAGTAAGCGATATGCTACATGTGATTGTGAAACTAGTAATTGATTCGCTGTTACAGGAACCTGATGGCGAAAGAAGTCGAAGACAAAGTCGTCTACGATCGGCTCATTCAATATCACAAAACATACTCGCCACCCGACAATTTATCTACCGAATCATCCAATGACAAGCATAGCGCCAGAAATCAAATACGGTCCTTTCCACGAGCTGAATCCTTGAGCGTTTTCATGTCTCAATCTGTTAATAGAGGGTTTGATGATTTGTCAACGAATTCCGGTCCTGTCACCAGTCCTGCCGGCTCATCTTGCTGTTTTCCGTCCTTTGTACATCAATTCGGTCCAGACGTTTTCGTGTTGTGGAAGGCCATGCTGTTGCGTAAGCGGGTTTTATTCTCGGTCCAACCCCCTATGGAGGCGGCATGTCACTATGGTAAGATATTGTATTGCAATACGAAGAAAAATTATGCTAAGTGAATGAAATTCTATAGTATATAATACTTCTGTGTTAAGTGGCGATGCCGATAAATCCTCAGCAGAAAGCTTCTTTGGTGGCAAGGAAGATTTCAGCGTACATCCGCTCTTCTCCGTCGGAGTACATGATATTCCTCAATTAGAAAACGCGAGAAATGGCTATGTTGCATGTATATTTTTTTTCCGCGTTTGTGGGGATTCGATGGGTTCACTTACACACGAACGATCATATTTGTTTTCCAATAGGTACATCTGACGCGATTTTTCAAAGTAAAACAAACCTGTATGATGTCTTCATTCAACTGGAGCCGATATGTAACTCCACGCAGGGAAAACTGCGAAAGAACCAACAACCTCTGATTACCAAACAACGACAACCTTCCCCTCATCCGCCAACAAATCGACCGACCATTCAATCTTTCTCCTCTGCGATTTCCTCAAGTGCGAATGCGGCCGATATCATACGATTCCGCCTAATGCAACATGTGTTACATAGTCAAAGCGAAAAGACAGGATACGCACAAATGGGTGGGAGCGAATTAACCTTTGATGCTGTAAGACAGCAACGTGGTATCAAAATAGCATTACAACTGTTGATGCTCGAGGCTTACTACCGATGGTACGGCGAAAATATATGGGTGGAACGACCTATGAGGGATGCGGCGGAACGTTCTGATAACTACCATCAGCATGACAACCGCAAGCAACCGTATTCTTGGCAACGGTTATTTGCTGGTGGCTCTGGAAAAACAAAATATCAACGTGGTACACTGCTAGGCAACGTGGCGAGTACAGACGATGAGCAACAAGACTTGCTTTCCGTGAGTGACATGTCATTATTGATAGCAGATGAACAAGATGCCGTGGAAATCAACAACAGCGATGTTTTTGGGATGACCGCAGCGCAATCGTCCGAGAACCATAATCAGAAATTTGCAACCGAGCAATTTGAAGAATCTCGCGAAACATCGCAGCAGGCTGTGGACATGGAAATGAGTTCTAAATATACGGCAGAGCTTCTCACAAGGTAGGTCTACAACTGTGTAGATCGATATATAATCATTTTCGCGTCGTTCATTAATATGCTGATGAACCTTTAGATTTTTCCAGAGGTTATCATCACGATTACTGTCGCTACTGCATGATATATTGCAGGCAAACGAGGAGGAGTCGATCGACATGATCATAATATACCCTCGTGACATGGTTCAACTAGGGTTAGACCCTTCTGCTGATGCCCAATTCATACAAGAGGTATCACAACTGTATTTCTCAAAACAAGTGTGTGTAGCAGGATGCTTAGGAGCAAAACCATGTTATTACTGCACAAAGGACAAGATCCAGTCATGTCTTGACACTTGTCAAAGTATTTGCTCCAGTCAGCAGAATAGTCCTATACGCTTATAAATAAAAATAATCACATCTCACATAGTAAAAGAACACAAAATATTTTGGAGGACCAGATACGGTATATTTATATAATGATGTCCAGCAAGAGTATGTACAAGTATGTCCGGTAATATGAATGTCTAACGCAACAATGCTCGGCATTGCCATAAGGCGACTGCAACATCTACCGTGTCTATGGATTTTGGGATCCCGATGGCAAAGGTTGAATCGGTGCATAACTGAGGGTATTCGCGTTTGATGTCGTGGCAAATTTCATCGATTTCTTCTGCACTCCATAGTCGGCGCATGTCGTAGCAAGGAATATGACGAAATATTTGAGTATCTGACATTGATTCAGGAACAGGAGCAGACTCGGTTCCTAAAGTCTTGCACTGAATCTCATGACCCAAGTCAATAAAGGGACTTTCAGGAGTCGAAGTCAGAAGAAGAAGACACTGGAATCCATTCACAGCAACGTGAAACTGTTGCTCTGTGCTTTCCATGCATTGCCAGCGTGTGGGAGCCGATGCGGATCCTGGTACGGGATGTAACAGACGTAACTGATGAGACGGCACCTGACGAAGTAGCTTTAGCGCATGAGTCAATGTTAACCTCGACACATGATCTGTCATATCGACTCGATAATAAACTGATTTTTGGAAGGCTGCCAGGAATCCTATACAACTCGACTAAATTGAAACGATCGCTTTTGCGGTTCAACGACAGCGGCGACCCACCTTGCCGTGTTCGAAACATCTCCAGTGCTTTCGTATGTAGTTTTACATAAACACCTTTGCCTTTTGACCGATGTTTGTCATACATGCTAGTATATACCCAAGGCATCAATGTCTTTGGATGCAAACCCAGTTGGAAACGAGCAAGCAGTTCTTTTGTAATATGCAAAATTTAGGAACAGCAAGGTAATGATAGATAAGCAGAATACGTACTAGCAGGAAACATCCTTAAATGAAACTGGCATCTTCGGAGAGGAGAAGCAAGTATATTGGCTATATATGAGGTTATTAAAGCAACAGAATGCATGGTGAACCGATTAATCTACCATAAGGGCTTGCTGCCATCCGCGCTTCTAGTGTGTTCAACTGATTACGGTTGTATGCTGCACGTTTCTTTTTGCCAAGTTTGCCATACGGTTTGGAGGATTTGAGTTGCCACTCTTTGATGAGGTGCGAAATTGAAGAAGAAGGTCGCGTAGACATTGGTTAAAAAGACAAATAATATAGCTCTCCAACTGGCAATGACCACATAAAATACTCTGGCAAGCCACTCATATCTCCGACCAGTCCGATAGAAATCAATTCAGTAGAAAGGTGACTTTAAAAAAGCCAATATGAACGATGGATACCTAATCAACCTCAAGTCTATGTAATCTGATTGTGTAAAATCATGTTGATAAATATAGTCGGAAGTGTGATTATTGATCTGGACACAGAGGCAGAGGTTATCCGAGTGTAACACGAGACCAAAAAAGCACAAGTGCCTAGATTACCGCGAGGACAAAAGACTGTAGCAATTCAGTTTATGAAATAGACAATAATCCAACCACATCCACAAAGATCATTGCTGCTCATAGTTAGAATGTCTTCCCATTTTTTCTTTGTTTTCATTTTATTTGTATTGTACAATCACGTGGTCCCCATCTTCACGGTGGTTTATTCATTGCCTTGCTTTATATCCATGCGAGATTCAAATAATAAAGCATTAGTTGAACTAGTGTTCCATGGAGACAGACACCTTGGCAGAGGGCATGCAGTTATTTATACCACCCGTCTTACTATAGCTCATGCTAAGGACCGTTCTCGCTTGCTTCTTTTTCTCCTTGGCTGATGTACGGGCTTTCAAACGACGTTCCTGACGTGACATGCGCTTCTCTTGTTGTCCGTTCTCGGCTGAATATTCTTTCTGAGCGATAGGGAACGGAGCAGAATTAGCGGCGGGAATGGTTTGAGTAGCAGCAGTAGAAGGCACAGAGAGATTTAAAGGAGAAGTTGGAGTGACTGAAGGGGCTGCTGTCGGATTTCTTTCCTTGGGGGACAATGTTGAAAGCGTTCGTTGGGACGTTGGAGCAGCTCCGTTGGCCGATGATTTCATATGAGGAACAGAAACCTCAATCCAACCTTCATCCTCTTCGTGCTGATTCAAATCATGTATTTCTTGGTATTCCTGCGGTGACAGCCATGTAGAAAACCAGTGCAAAAGCATATGAACGCTACAAAAGAAAAGATAGGGTTTCCCTTGCTACAGGTGACAGAATTGAGTTGGACTTCCTGCTTGTTCAGTGAGAAATATTGATGACACTGGTTCAGTAAACTAAAGGTTTAAAAGAGGATTTTCAGAGAAGAACTTGGTGGCAGTATGATGTTGGTAGTGGAAAGAGGGTGAAACGGTAACAATAGGGACAAAGCCCGAAGCGAAGAACAAGCAAGTGCATCAAAACGTGGAGAAAAAATTTATATTCTATCCTTCTCATACAAATTGTCCTACCGGGAAGTAATGTGACATAGAGCATGATACCTGAGGAAACGGTGCCCTTTATGAAAGATACCCGTTACAGAGGCTTTACATCACTTGACTTCCGAGTTCACATACATGAGCCGGTCTCCATACCCCTTTTTAGCACTGCTGGAGTCCCACTTATTCCCCAATTTGAGACCCTTCCGATAAAAGCCCTTTCCTCTTTGCATTCGAGTCATGATCACATGAGTCATTGTTCCACGTGGACACACCACAGACAGCACAAGCATTTTCTTTATTTTCAGGAACTTCACAATAACCTGAGCATGCTATAAAAAGCAGTGTGATTGGCAAAAGGTCTGCATATTGCGTCAACACACCAATAAATGCTTTACATTCAACAAACAATTTAAGACGTCTTTACGTAATACATCATAGACTTTAATAAAATATGTTGATGCAATCGATCGTTCTATGCAGCTTTTTATTAGCTCATAAAATATGTATTGACTTTTTTGAGAGTAGCTCTAGAAGGAGATGCCTAACAAATTTATGAGCAACGGAAATTTTGGTATTGCCAACGCTACCGTCATCGTCTTTTTTTTTTTTTTTTTTTTTTTTTTTTTTTTTTTTTGCTTACTTTATGTCGACTGCTGATAATTTTCAATAGTTGCTGCTGTATCCGTTTCTTATCCACTATGTCAAGTGCTCAGTTTTTTTTCTCCTGCCTAGTCTCGCTTTCTTTGTATTTGCTTTTTACCATAACCTGCACCTTCGGGTTTGAAGTTTTCTATAAACATTGACGGCGTGAGTAACATGCGCTAACCGTAAGTAGGATGCATTTAGTCTCACCTTCAGCATCATAATATTTCACAAGAATCGCTAAAGCAATGCCTATTGACGTGTCTTGGCCTAAATCCTGACGTCACATATCTTCTCCTTGTTATTCACGCGGATCCATCGTTTTTACCTTTGTTACAGTAGATAAGGATTTGTTTTTTTTCTTTTAGAAATGGTGCAGCGAATGTTAATGCGGGAGAAATACTTTCAAAAAAGGCGTACTGCCCTTTTTTGCCTTCGGGAATCGGCAAGTATAGGTACTTGTTCTGGTATTTTTCTTGCTTATTCTCACTGTATTCGGTTGGGCCACAGTTGATCACCGCATCAAACTGTTCCCAGCAAAATGGCGGTTTCCCACAAAAACGATTACCAACCGTAATTCCTGTGTTGCCAATACAGTTGTAGTCGATATCCACGTCATCCGCCTCAGTGGCAGTTTCATGATTTTGCAACCTTAATTCATCTTGCACTATACGCTTGACCTTTTCTTCGCATTCCACTGGACTATGAGCATGCAATAGTTCGTCGTAGTATTTCCAGAACATTTGACGAGTTAGGCCCTATCAAAGTGTGTTAAGTAAAACGGTAGCTATAGTGAAAAAAAAACGAACGTAGTGATACAAACGAGACACCATGACTCTTGATCATCGGCTGACCCTTGGACATAAAGATAGCCTTGGCGTGCTTGACAGCCCGTTTCTACAGCCTGAGAAGCACTCAAACAGATAACAGGCCAAAATTCGGCATCCTCAAACTGCGGAAAGTCGTCAAGAAATAAGGAGGAGTGGGGCGTAAACCACATTGGTCGCAAAGGTTTCTTCAAAGCGCGAGACAACGGTTCCATGGCAATACCGGAATCCTACACAGCAAAATTTCAGCATTCGCGAATAGACACACGATGGTCTCTGGATACATACAAGCAAACGCTGCGCAAACATATCAATTTTCTCCTCTATTTGAGCGTGTTCGGATTTTGACACCACTGTTGGAGGTGAGTGAAAACGGGTATCCCAAGTCATACTGTTCGCTTGATCGTCTAGCTCGACCGATTTTCGGTATCGATCTATTGCCCGATTAATCGTACAACACCAAATAGGAATTGTTTTGGAGAGCGCATCTGGCAGTCGCTTGCCACGTCGTGTTGAATCAACTATGATACATCTGTTCACCGTTAAATTTTTTTCTTGTACGGTAAGGTTTCCGATCAGGTGTTACCCTTCGTGCTTAGCGATGACATCGATCAAATGAAGATTGTTTCTACGAAGATTGAAATCCCATTGGCCTGTGTGGCCATCCGTTGATTTGAAGTACACGGAATACACGGATCGCTATTAATGGTAAGGCGCCTTCAGAAAGCTGTGTTTCATTGAATTCGAGTCAAGAGTCGTTTTACATTAGTAGGTCTGATGTACCAGGCACCGCACCGTTCGTTGGCTGTCAGTTATAGTTCTTTTAGCTGAATTCAGCTACTCTCGCAATGGAAAAGATAATGTACCTGCGAGGGCATACTTTGGGAAGAGGTCAGAAAGTTCTTGCACGAATGCCGAGTCTTCTTCTATGGACTTGAGCCTATTGTAACTGAAAGCAAGATAAGACTTTTTTTTTGTTAAAATTTTTAATATCAATTCCACAGGAGCGTACATATTCTTGGCATCTTTTCGTATTTGATTTGCTTCCGAGTGAAACTCTTGACCATAGAATATGTCGTGTTTTGGCATTGGAGATGGAAAAAAAAAGGGAAGGATGGCGATGACTGCGGAAAATTGGAGAGATGAAAAAGAAAAAAAAAGTTTCCGTTGCCCTGGACATTATCTGGCGCAGACAGGACCTGCATCTGTTCACAATCGTTGAACAATTCATATTAATATTTTCACGTAGTCAACATGATCTTTATTTAGTAACTACTTCTATCTGATGTATAAAATAATAAGCAACTTTACCAATGTCATATTCACCATCCAAGGGGAGGGCGCGGTTCAATCCCCGAAGATCTTACCTGTGGCCAAAAAATCTTGAGCAATTTCTTTTAATGCTTGAAAATCTTCCAGAAATGGCAACTACAAAGAAACGACCACTGAATGAGATCAGCAGTGAGGAGCGAACGAACAACCATGACCACATTGGCATGCACCCACGAAATCTCTATAAAGACAATGCACCGGATTTTCGTAGCCTCGCGAAACTGTTTCCTTCATTTCAACCATTGTATGTTGAGTAATCCAATCATGCACGACACTTACAACCATATTCACTGTCTGTCAAAGTCTCATTATAGATAGACATGGAACTGCACATATCGACTTTCATAATGCTGAAGCTGTGAGGTGTTGCAATGATATGACGTAAATCCATTTTCGACACGGATATCCTGACACCGTCTTTGGTTTAGGCAACTGACGTTATGCTTGTTAAAACGTGATTTCGGCTTGGAAATTGACTTTCCGTTGGATACTTTATGTCCTCCCGTGCCAAATCGGTACAGTAAATGCAAGATTACATAGCATGAACATTAATTAATCGGGCCAATGATAGGCTGAATTATATTCTATGGTTGGAGGATATTTTGGCAGAAACGACACAGGCAGATGCAGAAACTGTTATAAGCGGTATTGATATGTAAGTGTAGTTTTTCAACCTTTGTTACTTCTATTCGGTTTTCTAAATTGAGCCTAGTGGTGTAGGAGCCTCTTGCATCTATCCGCTATTAGGATGTGCAAACAATAAGAATTGGCGATTTGTTGGTACAGGTATGGGAAAAGATGCTTTATGACTGACCAACTTTCTGACCTTTCCAAATGAACATTTACAGAAATTGATAAACGTTCCCTTGAGTATGCGAAAAAGAACGTCTGGCGTAACAAATTAAGCGATAGAATACGTTTGATACATAATATGGATGCGACCAAAATCTTCAATTTTCTGGAATCCGATGATTCAAGGTACGAACGACATCAGTACAAGAAAACCGTAGCAAGTTTTCACATAGTATATTATAGGTATGCGTTCAGTATGTGCAATCCTCCATTTTATGAGTCAAAGGAGGAGATTGAAGAAGCCTACCTCAGCAAAGATTTGGCACCTTCAGCAGTAAGGAGAAATCAAAACAATAGTTGGTGCACTTGTTGTTAAGAGATTGCTTTTTTGTAGGTATGCATGGGAACAGAAAATGAGATGATTACAGAAGGAGGCGAATATGGATTTCTCAAGCGTATGATCCAGGAAAGTCTGATATATAAGGAAAGAATAAGGTAAGAAGAAGCAGATGCAAAATGGAGCAGTTACAATGGAGCTAATACATGTATTTGACACGAATACTAGATGGTACACAAGTTTAATAGGGCAGAAAAAGTCTATTAAGCCGCTGGTTCGATTACTGAAATATGAAAAGGTAACATCTGAATTGACCTAGGATTGCAAGACAGAATATACTAACCCGACGCTGTAAGATTAATAACTACGTGGTCACCGAATTTTCCCAAGGACGAACAAAACGTTGGGCTATAGCTTGGTCGTTTTTTCCGGCTCGTGCGGTAAGGGAATTTTTTTTCTTCACAAATAGTTGTACTGTGTTTTAAGACGAAAAATTGCATCGGTGTAGGTTACAGTCAAAAGCCTAGAATTTTATCGACCAAAGTGCCGCTTCGTACTGATTATTCCAAAGTCGATGGATTTTGCAGACTCGCAGCTTGATGCCATTTTCCAGGATCTCAACGTGACGACCAATGTATCCAGAAGCAATGCATCCATATCGTTACGCGGCGAGCCACTGCACAACACATGGTCCCGGGCAGCTCGACGACAGAAGAAACGACAGCGGGTGGAAGAGAAAATAGAAGATGTGGCTGATGCCAACAGTGACCCACTATTCGGTTTTGATGTTCGTCTACAGCCTACAGAATCTGTCAATGAGTGTGAAGTTATGATATCATGGCTAAATGGCGAAGATCGCAATGTTTTTGAAAGTTTCTGGAACCATGTCAAGAAGCGCTTGCAGGAAGCATGCGGCATCAAAACAGGCAGCGCATTTGCGGCGTAGAAGGATATATATTTATTGTAATTTGAAGCAGTTGCTCTGAAATGAATCACCAATCCAGCGTGCCACTTGCTTCATAACGGCCACCTTTTTATCGGTTGGATTAGCGTACCGCAACTCATACAATGTACACATATTCATTAAAGCAGTTTCGCAAGTGCCGGCTGACGTGGGGTTATCCGTAGTAAGTGTCTCCAGAATTGCGATCGCCTACCACGAACACATTTGTCAGTTGGAACGCGCAGTGACATCAGGAGACGTATGGTTGGATATACCTTATTTAAGTTGCCCATATAAACTTCACATACAGCGAGATTATGCATGACCTATGGTTGAAAACAAAAATTAATATATTTCACCAAATGAATCATAGTGGTTCATGTAACATACTAGTAGATTCTCCTTATTAGTTTGGTAGATTTCCAGAAGAATATCTCGTGCCTGCTTCCAGTCAGCTTTAGCAATGCATAGCAACGCTCTAAAAGTTCATAATCGATTATGTATTTTGACGATCCAAACGCAGGTTCAAGTTCTTTACCTATTGATTTGAATGCATTCAGTCACAGAGGGAGCGTCATTTCCCTGATACTGCGATTCTAAACGAGTATACAGATTCTGTGCCGAGGAAATATCACCCAACTGTCATTGAACAGTAAAAGGGGATGAGTTGAGTAGACAGAGGGAGAGACTACGATGTTCCAATTTTACCTGAAGATACAATCTTGCTAATCCTGACAAGATGTCGATATCTTGTTCGCCATTTTCTGCTGTCGCATATTTATCAAGAATCATTTCCATTGTGGAAGCAGCGCCCGTATAATCATTCATTTCCATAAATCGTGTACTTAACACCAAGTACATCTGGACCTCGCGACGTTGCCAAATATTTACTTGAGAAGCATCCGTCTTTTGCATCTGGGAGGCAAAGATGGGTTGGCCTCTATCTACGCGTCAAGAAATGTATCCGTTGTGCTTACCTTTTTACAGTGCACAGCTAGCATAGTAATCCTTTCTAATGTGAGCAACGGATGCTTCATCAATGCCGGTAAGCAAGCCCACAATACTCGTAACTCAAAAGGAACCATACAACCATGCTTGTTAGGGTACAGATCGGCATGATACTGATAAGTCAATTCAGGTCGTTTAAGATCTCCGAGTTTATCAAGTTCAGCCGATGCCAGCTGGTATAATCCCAGTTTCGTCAAAGCAAGCAGACGCAAATACCAAAGCTAAAACGCGATAAGAGTAAATTTTGAGAACCTCCAAACTTTGTTCAAAATTCTGTTTCCAGCTATACCTGCAAGATCTCCTCCAATTGCTCTGGATCGTGCTGAACAATTTTTTGACGAGCATAACGAGCTACCGAACGCCACATATTATTCATCTAATAGGATCGTCAATTGCCACGCCACCCATAGTCATAAAAATAATTGATTTCGTACGACTAGTCCCACGAGCATTTCTGAATTTTTTGCCTTGTCCTGATCCAAGGAGGCTGGACTGTCACGCTGTGGCAGATCCTCTGCAGGAATGTAACGCTCAAGCATTTCCGAAAAAGCATCGCTCTATAATAAGAGACAATGAGCCACTATACTAAGCTGGGACGTGTATCGGCACTGCTTACTACTGGAATGTCATAGAATGCGGTATGGTTGGTAAGACTTTCACCAATGATTTTACGGTTCTTTGAAGTTGAAAGTTCGCGTTTATGGCCGGGAATGGAATTGAGGGAGGATGTGGATAGATCTCGCGTTCTGGTAGAAGATGATGACGATGATTGATGGTTAAGTGTTGGTCTTCCGGGCATAGATCGTCGCCGTTGAGGCACACCGGAAAAAGAATCGGTGGATTCAGAATCGTGCACGCCTAGAGCGTGAGTGACGGTCTGAAGAATATTTTGCGACATGGTCGGTGAACGGCTGTGTTCAGGAGTGGCAGGAACAGAATCTAACCCATCGGTGTCGTCCAATAAGCGAGTATCGAGAGGAGTGGGATGAGACAGCAGTTCTTCGCCTGGTACAGGCACATTATCTGCTTTCAACGGAGAATCCATGGGGAAATGCCTGCATCGAGCGAAATTTTGAGCCGACCTGCGCATAAGAAATTACACCCATCCAATAGAAATCGAGTATCTCCGTCTGACAACGCCATGCGATTTGATACCTTGTAACTGTTTTTGAGTAGTTTTTCTATTTATTCTTTGAAGCAACACTCATAGCTGATGATGGGTTCTTGACTTTTTATTCCGTTGGATAGTACGTTCAATGATCGTATGGTGTTATGTTACAGTTCACGGGGCATTTTGACTGCCTGAGAATAGGCGTTTTTTTTGGTGCATGGAATTTGACTGCTTTCTTTCCAAATTGGCCACGATGATCCCAACTGACAGTTACGATTTTTCTCTAAAGCCAATGGCGACCATTCATGCTATCGATAAACATTCTGTCCATAAGATCTGCTCTGGACAGGTCATTCTTGATCTTGCTACCGCAGTGAAGGAATTTATAGAAAATAGCTTGGATGCAGGCGCAACTTGTGTAGGTACGTTTCTGTCGTAATACCACGTTGTTCCTCTACTGTGTCTTAACAGGCACCGGTAGATGTAAAGTTCAAAGACTATGGTCTCGAAAGTGTTGAGGTTCTTGACAATGGCAGTGGCATCGATCCTAGTAATTACGAATTCCTGGGTAGGCTAGTAAGCGCTTAGCGTTGTTCGATAAGCCTGCTGACGCTCTCTTTATTTAGCCCTAAAACATTATACTTCAAAACTCGAGAACTTTGAAGATCTGGAAAAGGTGGCAACTTTTGGCTTTCGTGGAGAAGCATTAAGCTCTCTATGTGCGCTTTCTGATTTGGTGATCACTACAGCGACCAAGGAACAAGCGCCAAAAGGTGTTCGTTTAATATATGATTCTGATGGCCAGCTGGTCTCTACAACACCTGTAGCTCGATCTGTAAGTAAATAATTTTGTTGGGCATCTTGTTTGCTCGCGATCCACTAACGCTTTTAACACGGTAGGTAGGAACCTCTGTACAGATTACAAAAATGTTTCATTCATTGCCCGTGCGACAGCGCGAATTCAAACGCACCATCCGACGGGAATATGGGAAAGCACTTTCCATGATTCAAGCTTACGGCATTATTTCTCGAAATACACGGATAACCGCAACGAACCAAGTAGCCAAAGGGTATTCATCGACACCGACCTTTCCATTTATGTTCATGCAACTCATTAAAGATTATATTATGCAGATCCCCTGTTCGCGCGCTATCAACTAACGGCAATGATAATTTGAAAGACAACATCGCGAATATTTTTGGCTCCAAGTTTTCAACCCAAGTGATTCCATTTTCCCTTTGCCTTGAAGACGTGCTGGGACGCAATGATGATCAGACCATGTATGTAAAACTTCATATTGACCCATAGAGTAAATCTGACTGACTGATCATCAATCATCATAGACCACGGATCGAGGGATATATATCCAAGCCGCAATGGGGATTAGGTCGAAGTGCGGCAGATCGGCAGTACTTTTATATCAATGGCCGACCGTGTTCTCTACCAAAGGTCGGTTTTATGCACCGTCCGTAATGCATGGTTACTGACTCGCCCATGGACAGATTGCAAAAGCCTTCAATGAGCTTTACCGTAATTTTATATCCAACCAATACCCATTCATTGTGGCTGATTTACATCTTCAACCTGGTAAGTGAGTAAGGTATTACTGAAGCAAAAGTGTAAACTTATAATGTCGGTTGGCTCAAGATATGTACGATGTCAACGTCAGCCCCGATAAGAGGACCATTTTCCTGCACAGCGATCAACTCATCGCACAACATATTATTGTAAGGATCGCGACTTGAACTCACTAAAGTATCAAAAAGTTCTGAAATGACCTTTTTGCAGGAGGCTCTTACTGAGCAGTTGGAGCCATATCGATCGACATACGAAGTGAATCCTTTTGAGAAGCTCAAGAAGAGAAGTCTGTCGGCCGACCTAGTGAATCATGCTCAAGTCGATGATCTACACGCAAGCCATGACTTACCGCCAGCATTGCAACAAAGAGATTCACCACAAAATGCGACTTGTGATCGCTCTACATCAATACCTCGGTCTCCGTCGCTTCCGTCAAGTATCCAGCATCTGGAATCACTAGCGTTCGCACCCGCAATCCGTCGTTATACCTCGACCACCTCCTCTAATTCGTCACCCAGCAGAGGCAAACGTCACAGCAACACTTTATTGAATTACGTAACTAAGCGTCCCAAGGCCAGTGAAGATGACGAAATACAGTATTCAGCCCCTGCTTTATATTCCGAAAATGCTGTATCTGAACTTTCGCTGACTGCTTTGGCCCTGAGATCAAACGAATCAAACGAAACTACGTTGAACACATCAGCATTGATGGCACAATCACAACAAGTAGAAACTGAAGCGCAGCAAGGAGAAGATATGGATGTTGACTCTGAGGTTACGGGACTGGAAAAAGACACTGAAATGGAAAATGCAGAAGATACAACCGAAATACCAACGCCCAATCATGCCGATTTAACAAGCGAGATACCAATGCGAGATACCTTGGATAATGAAACGTACTTTGAAGAAGCTCCGTTGACGTTATCTTTCCGAAATTTGTGGAATTCCACGGGCGAACACGCTACAGCTCATGTTAATTATCGATCCGTGAACCTATCTTCAGAGCGATATCGTCCGATCTTTTGCGATGCGAATGATGCTGAAGACGCATTTGGCGACAACGGGGTGGAAGAAGCAAACATTACGAACACAGTGGATCTGGAAAAAGCTTATGACGCTCTGCGTCGCGTGATTGACAAGTCAGATTTCAAAAATATGCAGATCCTGGGACAATTCAACCTGGGGTTCATCATCACACTACTGAATGGAAAGGATCTTTTTATAATTGATCAGCATGCATCGGACGAAAAGTACAACTTTGAAACTCTACAGTCGACTACGCAAATCAAGGGACAGCGCTTAATAAGGTATAATTTGCATTAAGGTTCGATGTTCTACTTGGCGCGTCGCATATTGAACCAGTATTATTAGACCACAGCGACTCGAACTGACAGCTTCCGAAGAACTGGTGGTGATTGAAAATGCGAATATTCTTCGAGCCAACGGTTTCGAAATTGAAATCAATGAGGATAATGAATCAAGCAAACGTGTACAAGTACTATCCCAGCCGACGAGCAAAAACACCATGTTTGATAAAAGGGGTAATTGGGTTGCATTGTGCAAATAGTTAACTGATATTGACATACCTTTTGACTTTGTAGATTTCGGGGAGCTAATATGCTTATTGAGCGAACACCCCGGGCAAATGGTACGTTGCAGTCGCGTTCGAGCCATGTTTGCATCCCGAGCGTGTCGCAAGTCGGTCATGATTGGCGACCCTTTGAATAAACGTCAAATGATTCAGGTAAGCTCCACTCTTCAAGTCTATCACGGAGAGAGATGCTTACCATATTTGGTTGGCGGGGTAGATCGTACGTCACATGAGCGAAATAGACCAGCCATGGGTAAGAGTCTTACATACCATATAAGCTGCTTGCATGATAACTCAGGGCGATTGTGTATAGAACTGTCCGCACGGCCGTCCCACCATGCGACATCTCTTCACTCTGCGTTCCATCGATATATTACATAATTCTTCTCGAAAATTTACCTACCGTGGATCCATATTCTCGTCAAAATCATAGTCACTGTCATCCATGCATTTCATCATTCCCGTCATTTGCTTTCTTGACATCGGTCTATGTCAAAAAATACTGTACACACAGACCGTTCATTCATAGGTATAATCATAAACTCTTCCGCAAAAGTCTTTAGAACAATTATGCTCTTGTTTTTTTCATACTACTCTATCCTGGCTTCCTTTGAACGTGTTCTCTTGTCTTTTTACCGTGACAGAGATGTCAGTGTCAGAAAGATAATAAACAAGTTCTCCATCTTCTCGTGAAAAACACTTTATTCTTTAGTAAGTATTAAGCATCGGTCCCATCCTTGTTTATCCTTCAGGATATCCACAACTTTCCAGTCAGCCCAGATTGCTTTGACGCGATCCATCATGCCTTTTCCGCATTCCAAGATGACACGACTTCCGGGACGTGCCACGAGGGGTATTACTTTGCTGAGAATCATATACCATTCATAGCCTTCGTCATTTGCAAATAGCGCTTCGGAGGGCTCATACTTTAGCACGCTCATTTGATTCTGCTGCTTCGTGGAAATATAGTCCACATCGAGGTAAGGTGGGTTGCATACGATGATATCGTACAACATATTCTCGTCAACATCAGAACCCAGTTGAGCCATATCTTGTTTAATAAACTGGGCCCGGTTATCGATGCCTAGCATTTTTGCATTGGTCTCGGCCAGGTTGAGTGCACCGGAGCTCACATCAATACCGACACCGGTAGCGTTAGGTGTGTTGGAGAGAATAGCCAAAAGAAGGTTGCCGCAGCCGGTTCCAATATCCAAGATTCGGCAGCCCTTTTCGGCAGATCTATCCTTGAGAGCCATTAATGCTGCATCTACCAGAGTTTCTGTGCTTGGGCGCGGGATCAAGCATTCTTCAGAGACTTTGAAATTGAGTCGATAAAATTCCTGACAAATGCTGGTTTAGACGCATGGAAAACCGGCCAAAACTAATGATTTATAGCATCAAGCGTGACTTTACCTTTTCACCGAGAATGTAAGCCAACGGCTTTTTGGTATTACCGGTCTCGATTTCGTCAAGACCTTCGGTGCCGTTCACTTTAATGCCTGCTTTTCGCATCGCTGCTACGGCTTGATCCACCTTCCGTTGCCAAAATTTCTGTTCCCGCTTACGTATCAGCTCGAATTTTTCAGGCTCCTGGCCCTCCAAACATAAAAGTTCCCCTGTCACTGGATGTGTGAATTCGATCCGTATCAAACTTGCACAAAGGCCTTTGTCACGGTTGGACTTTAGATATTTTGTATACGTGGAAGATCCCACAATGGGATGTGAGGTATGATGGAAAAAAAGGCTACGGAGTCCCACGCTGGAAAGTGGCGTTCGCAAGTGGAGATCCAGTGTCGTAAGATAATCCGCATCGTTGGAACGTGTGACAGAAACGATATCGAGCGACTTTAGCATTAATTTGGCGTTTCGTCTCGTATTGACGTATTCCGGTGGGAGTTCTTCTTCGCTGTCGCCGTTATGGTCGGCAGAGATTACGGATGAAGGTGTCTCGATATCCGGCAACAGAGATAACAAATTGCGTGGTACATTGCCATGGCATATGACTCGCATTAACATGCTGATCGCGCCAGCATTGTAGACATTCAGCAGCTTTTTTCGAATCTCCTCCGTTTTAGCAACGATCAACTGAAAAGACAACGACGATTAGGACGTGGTATATTCGCTGGACCAAAGTCAAGGTAGCATACCAAACCTGACGCCGCCTTTTGCAGAGTATAGACACACCAAATCTTTTGCCTTATTCCTTCGTCTGTAAGGCTTCCAACCGTATATTGTAATGCTTTCTCGAACAAGCCAAAATTCTATGGAGATTGTCTCTGTCAGATACAGATCATTCGTACGCACAGTTCTGCATGTGGAAACATCGCTCACCTGACCAGCTGATTTCCATACTACGGCTATATCTTGATCCTCATATATCACATTCACGGGTATGGATTTCATACGTTCTTGTTCCTCCTTTTGTTTATCATATCGAATTTCAACAACATCGCCCTCCTTCAAAATCCGAGTTTCTTCCACTGGCTCGTCGTTGACAGAGATTTCTCGCCGTTCAAAAGATCGATGAAGGTTTTCTTTGGACCGAACGAGGTTACGGTAATGCTCCAATATCCATTTTCTTATCCTAATGTTATTTGCCGAAGACGGTACAGTGATTTTCAGATAATTAATGTGAGAGGGGACAGACATTGGAATGAAACGATCCAAGCAAAAACTCCAACCAGCAAATTTTTTTTTCCTATTTCTCTATTTCTTTTCAATCCCCGCATAAAATTGGTTGAGACTATTCGCTGTAGAAATAGATCTTTTTGATATTGTAAATGATGGCAAAATGAGAAGGGGGTATGAATAAGGTGAAAGAATGCTCAATAAAATGAGGATACAATAATAATATCGGGATAAAATAAAAAGGGCACAAAGCTTAGTTATCAAGTAGAGGTTGGCGCTGATCCTCGTGATCAACATGGTAATCTTCATCGGTATCCTTGCGCTGAGGCCGGCAACAGCACACCAGATACTTGAGCAGTTTCCAAGCGCTGATAAACAAGCTTTTGATATCTCGGAAAATGCTGGCGCGACCATTAACAATGCGCTCGGGACGAAGTCTATGTTGACGATCGATCATAACACGAATGCAAGCTGCTACAGCACTTAGTACCCCAAGAGCGGTGCTGGCAGAGATCAAGAACATGATGATTTGCTGGTAACGTACAGCATTCATTACTGGAGCACCTCCCAAGATTTGACCCGTCATCATACCGGGAATGCTATCCAGCATGCATTGATAAGTATATCCACTTTGAATATTAAGTCTAACACTTACCTAATAAGGCCAATAACGGACATCTGATTAATCGTGGGCAACATGGCTAAGCGTACAGCTTCCACGGCGACCGATTGACCAGCTTCCCAGCGACTTGCACCAAACGCCAAATAAGTTTCGATGTGTTCTTTGTGTGAACCGACACTCGACAAGCAACTACTCAAAGCGACGGCCATGCCACTCATCACGTTTCCAACCAGCATGCCCATTACAGGGATAAACGTTTCGGGTAACCAAAAAGGCGATTGTGCCATTGCCCACTTTGAACCAATGACACCGATCAACAGCGTCGAGCAGCCAGTTGAAAGCAGAACGGAAAGAAACTAAGAAACTGTATGAATGATAATGTTCCTTCGCGATAGGATGGTCAGATTTACCATTCCGGGATATGACTGTTTCGCTTTGTTGTATACGGTTTCGTAAGATCCCAAAATAATAAGAACGACTATATATACCAATCAGTCCTGCGCAAAATAATAAGGCCTAAAACACTGTAATTCTTACATGACATCAAAAATACAAGTCCTGGCTGTCTTGCTCTAAAGACGTCCTCCAAAATATAACCCTATCAATGATACGTGTAAGCTCTTCGCGCATTTTTTTTTCTTCTCTCGCCAAGGATTATACCATAATGGTTAATTGTACTAGGCAGCGTATGGCTGCGATGAATAACGACTTTTCAAGCTTTAACCCAAGCAATAGCGAAATAACGCCTTTTCAGGAGAATGTAAGTTTGAGCATGTGAGTTGTTGGTGAAGAGATATATCATACCGTTTATGAGAATAAATCCTGAAGCGGCGGCAATATTGACCCACGATAACTCAGGAACTTGTCCTCCCGGTTTCTGTTCGCTTATCGTCGTCGTCCCATTGGCGATTAAGTTTGATATATGAAGGAGATAAGAGGTGGGCATCATGTGAACAGAAGATCCTATAAAATAGAACTACTATTCCCGCTTGAAATTAAGAAGGTCGCTGCCGCTGAAACCCAAAAAATAAATAAAAAAGAAAACACACTGTGACATCATTTTTTTTAGTGGCATTGATATCCTTAGATCCGTAACTGGGGTCATCGGTGTCACCGGCCCGCTTCTCTAGAAGGAGCTTTATCCCCTCCTTATTGTTAAAGCCGTATCCAGCTGCATCATGGTAGACATAGTCTGACCGTTCAACATAACGCAAAAGCTCCGATGTTTGGTTTCTGATCCATCCCCCGCCCACCCTATTTCCTTATACGTGTAAACACGCTTGAAAAAGGATACACGACCTTCCGTCTTTATAGAAAGCCATATCACACGGAAGTCTGCTTCACTTTTATATGAGTTGTTCAACCCGGGAAAAAACAAGAATTGGAAAATTCTCACATGATTAAATCAAATCATGATGATCGTCTTTCCTTTTTTTTAAGACTTAATCAACTGGTTGTCATTGGTGATAAAACAGCTGAAAAAATAAATATCTTTTACGTTTTAACCATCAAGATACACGTTGTATTCAGTGTGCGAGTAAGAGACGTTCTATTAACTTCATGCACAATACTTCAGTAAAGAATAAAGAAGTAACCGTTGCTCCATTTATCCGGCTATTGGCCCTTTTATTCTTACTACATGCCCGCAGGTAAATTAGCCTATGGCTACTATTTGGTGTTAAAATGCATGTCAACTCGGTTCTCTGTGTGAACTCTTGGCAATTTGAAACTTTTAGTTTTTGAGCGATCTATTGGCAAGTATAAATGCTAAAGCGATTGTCCTGGGCTTAATTATACCACTACACACAATATGAAGGCTTCTAATTCGCTGAACTCAAGTTATCGTGAGGAACACTATGTACAATCCAAATATCAACTATGTTGTGAGATTTGTGGATTCTGCTTTCCAAATCAAAGCGTTCACAATGATAGGGTACTGAACGTAAGACAAGTTATCAACCGATGAGATGCGTTGTTGTTTGAAACGTTGGAAAAGGCCGGTGTATGTATCTTATGAAAATCAAGAACTTCTATTGTGTGTTGCAACAAAAAAGGGGGAAATAATAGGAAAGCATAAAGAACGATTTTTTCGTTTCTAATCTTCTAGACATGAATGATATTACGCTGAGAAAAAGAGAAAACTGGGCAAGATTATTTGTTTGGTAAATAACCCAGCACCAATTTGTTCTCAAGCGGTTGTTTTTGATATTTCGTTTTGCATAAAGAGTATGTGTTATCTTACTCTTCCATAGGCATCTCATCTTCGTCTTCGATATATTCTTCGTCGTAATCTTCATCAATGGTGGCTTCTTGATACTGCTGATATTCGGACACGAGATCGTTCATATTGGACTCAGCCTCGGTGAATTCCATCTCATCCATACCCTCGCCAGTATACCAATGCAAGAAAGCTTTGCGTCTGAACATGGCTGTGAATTGTTCATTGACACGCTTGAAGAGATCCTGAATAGCAGTGCTGTTGCCAATGAAAGTACCGGACATCTTCAATCCGACAGGAGGGATATCGCAGAGAGACGACTTGACACTGTTGGGAATCCATTCAACAAAGTAGGACGAGTTCTTTTGCTGAACAGCCAACATTTGGTTTTCGACTTCCTTTGTGGACAAGCGACCACGGAAGATGGTGGCAACAGTCAAGTAACGACCGTGACGGGGATCGGATGCAGCCATCATGTTGCGGGCATCGAACATTTGCGCAGTAAGTTCAGGAACGCTCAAATTGCGATATTGTTGCGAAGCAAAAGCAGTCAAAGGTGCAACACCGACCATGAAGAAATGAAGACGAGGGAAGGGAACTATAGATAGACAGTGCGGATGAGAAGATTGTTCAATTCCAACTTTTTTTCTGTTTTTTGCAACGGAAAAAAGAAAGGGACACTTACCCATGTTAACGCAAACCTTTCGCAAATCAGAGTTCAATTGACCGGGGAAACGCAAGCTGGTGGAGACACCGGACATCACGGCGGAAACAAGCTGGTTAAGATCACCATAGTCGGGGTTGGTGAGCTTCAAAGTACGGAAACAAATATCGTACAATGCTTCGTTATCGATACAGAAGGTAGCATCACAATTCTCTACCAACTGGTGGACGGACAAAACAGCATTGTAAGGTTCCACAACTGTGTCCGAAACTTTGGGAGATGGTACAACGGAATATGTGCTGAGGATTCTGTCGGGATATTCTTCGCGAATTTTCGAGAGCAGCAAAGATCCCAAGCCGGAACCAGTGCCACCACCAAGCGAATGGGCAAGCTGGAAACCTTGAAGACAGTCGGTGTTCTCGGCTTCCTTGCGGACCACATCCATGATGGTCTCAACTAATTCGGCACCCTCAGTATAATAACCCTTGGCCCACGAGTTACCGGCACCGGATTGGGCGTTGATAAAGTTATCAGGACGGAAGATCTTGCCGTAGGTGCTACCACGGATAGCATCCATCGTGGCAGGTTCGAGATCGACAAGCACGGCTCTAATGGAGAGCAGCAAGGAACACGGCAACAGAAAATGGACGGAGTTTAGTTCCAGTTTCAGACGCGTACAATTTTTACGTTTCTACATACCTCGGTACATATTTGCCTTGATAGCCCTCATTGTAGAAGACGTTGATACGTTCCAATTGCAAATTGTTATCACCGCAGTAGTTACCGTTGGGGTCGATGCCGTGCTCTTGACTGATAGTTTCCCAGAATTTTTGACCAATCTATACAGTGAGATATTTCCAGCATCAATTAATACTGAAATTTCCCGGACGCCCATGTGTTGTATAAAGATAATCGTGAAGAATCTCTACCTGGTTACCACATTGACCTATAATAATTGAGTTGATAGAACGTAAGATAACTTAAGGACGCGATGGGGATCAGAAAACCAAATGTGATTTACCAGCTTGAACGTGAATGATCTCTCTCATTATTGTAGATTAGTAGAAAGCTATCGATACACAAGAAGGAACAATGGTCAATGGTCTTCTGGAATCAGTATACGAGTATTTCATATGCTTACAGGAAGATATATTATAAGGTATTGAGAGGGGGAAAAGCAAAATGAATTAACCAAACAACAACAAAAGAAAAAAAAAAGAGTTGCAAAAAAATTCGGGAATATGCAGGTCCACGTCACGATATAAATTCCGCATGAGGCAAATTGCTCGCGACACGATTCCTGTAAGGTGTCACCAACATGCACCACGTGTGCTGATAATCCGTGAACGAATAGAATAATTCAACTTTTTCCAGAAGGTGCAACTTACACGCGCTGCTATATTTATATCAAAGAGAAGTAACGTTGGTTGCAAACTAAGCCAACCCCGTGCTCTTCTTTGATTATCGATGCTAAATTTCCATATAGACCTGTTTCGCAATTTCATACCAAAAGCAGCATACTTAGTTGGTGGGATTAGTACTAGTAGTATAAGTGTCGTATCTTTATTTTTAAAATCATTTGCCTCGGTTCTGTTTTTGAGTCCATTCTTCTTGTAGATTGCTTTGTATACGAATTTATAAATTTTATATTTGTAACATCATCAGACGGCCCAAATGGAGTCGAACGCTTGAGTGTAATAAAGGCCACAGAGCGAAAGAAAACAGAGGATTTAACAAAATCTCCTGAAATTGGCATACTATTTTAATAAGGTCGATAATGGTGTTGATTTCTCGCGCTTTGAGATGCATGCAACGCTCCTCCGCCGCCACCGCCACTGACAGATCCTGAACCGCCACGGCCAGACGATCCGTAGTCCGATGATCGATCTCTCGTATCGCGAGAATACCGTCTTTCTTCGTTTCGTGGACGGTCATGATGTCCGCCGATTTTAACCTCATAGTCATTTTCTGCGTCGTCATAGCCACCGTCTTGGTGGCCGCCATCGTTGTTGTAACCTCCTTGCATACCGCCACCATATCCGTAGTTGCCGCCGTTGTTACCTCCGCGACCGCCATAGTAGCCCATATTGTAGCCTCCACGGTTGGCATAATATGCCGCAGCCATATTGTAGTTGCCATATCCGCCATACATGCCACCATACATATTGCCAAAACCGTAACCCCGACCACCACCACCCATCGGCCCGCCAAACGATGCTGCGCCGGCATATCGACTATTTGGCATATATCCTCGTCCGGCAGAACCAGGAGAAAATGCAGGATTGAAAGAATTTTGTGCACGAGCTTGTCGTGATTTCGGCATGGCTCTTTTCACTTCGATCTGATACGCAAAGGCATTAATCAAACGCGTTTTTTGATCCTTGCTTATGTACCCTGTCAGAACACGGGTGCTCCTTACCTGTTTGTCTTTGATAGCAAGGTTGGGATGGCGCAGTGCTTCCTCTACACCGTTACTGCTGTCGAAAGTAATAAATCCAAATCCACGGGGTCTACCGGTTTCTCGATCAGTCATGAGATTGGCATCGATGACTCTGCCGAACTGTGAAAAGAATTCGCGGAATTCTACTTCATCAACATCGGGCGAAATGCCGCCAACGAAGATCTTCTCTGTCTTATCCTGCTCTTCTCGTGGAATCGCGCGTTTAGGGTCAATCTGTAAAGCAGCAGCAAAATTAGCACTGTGCCAGTGAACTTTTCCCTCGTTTTGTTCCTTACTCTTTTACCGTCAAGGTAATGATCCTGATTTACGATATCGTCAATGACATTTGGATCGGCCATGGTCAAAAATGCAAAACCTCGAGAACGACCAGTAACGACATCGCGCATAACCACACAATCGGTCACCTCTCCAAACTGTGCAAAATACTGTTTCAATGAATCTATGATATATCAATAATGTTAATGATGGATTTTTTGAATGTCACTATCTCACGCTGGGCCAAAGCAAAGTTGTCTTGATCATCTCTGTCCTACCCAACCATAAACAGCATGCAAAATTAACTGAACAAATGCTTACCATCCGTTGTTTCCCAGTTAAGTCCTCCAATGAACATTTTGCTTTATAAGATAAAGATTGTTCGTATGCCATATGTGAAATAGATAGAATATAGAAATATAAAGAGATATAAAAAGAGAACAATAGATTAATTTCTTTGAGCACTACATTTGAGAAAATACCTAGCGCACTAAACCTGCTTCGCTACTACTGTCGATAGTCTAATAGCTACAGCTGGCCAATGTCTGATTCCTATCCTCATCCACCTCCCCCCCAAAAATCCCTTCTTCCTGACTTGTACACCTGTACACCTTTCTTCTTCACATCCATACCATCCATCGCATGATATGCCTCTTTTTGGTCTATTTGCCTCCCAGAGGATCGAGTGCAGGCATGCTAACTATGTACCATGTACAGCAAAGCGCTGACCCTATACGTGTGACCATATACTACTCACATCGGTTCCTCCATAACGCAGCTCCCCCTCCCCCCAAATGAATACCAATATCTTGATGTATGCTTACCCTTCGTCTTGATTCGCCGCGCTGGCAACGGGGTGGTTAGCGCTTCCACTGCTACCTCCCATATCATCTTGATTTCCTTGCATCATTGGTTGTTGTTGTGGTTGGCGCATTTGTCGCTGGAACATCTGCTGCATTTGGTATGGATTCATCATTTGCTGGAGGTTACGCTGATATGCTGCATACTGATATGGATTGGCTTGAAAACCGCGCCAATTATTCATCATCATTTGCTGCTGTGAATATCGCATATCCTTTTGATCTTCCTTTTCCTCTGAGCCTTCATTATGTTGACCATTTTGATCTTGATCGTCGTATTCAGGTTGATCTCTGTATTGACCGGTGGGAGAAGACGACGGTTCATAACCTTCGGTTCCAGCGTTCGCGCCATCGTCCTGACTCGTAGTTCCGTTATAATCGCCTCCATAAATATCTACGTTGGAATAAGAATCTTCCTTCGCTCCGTTGTACACGTTATAAAGTTCGTCATCGAAATCGTCAGCCATTGTTTGATTATCACTTGAAAGGAAACAGCCGGTCCTCAATTTTTATCAATGGTTCCAGGAAAAAAAAATTGAATTTTTTCCCGTGATGACGCACTGTCGGAATTCCAAAAGAAATATTTTTCACCACGGAACAAATGTGTGGGTTGCCGGAGCAAAGGCAATTCCGTTTATCCATGACTTTGCCCAAGAGAGACGAAGTCGTATTATTCGACGGCGCATCCTTCGGTACACCGGAAATCGTACTTCTTACTCCAGAATGCTTTGCAACTATCAATGATCGTTATTATATAAGGCTATAGGGAATCCCATACTAGTTGAAGCAGCGGTAGAGGGCAGAAGAGACAAGGAAAAAATTGGGTGTGCTCCTTTTTCCATTCAAAATTGGAATAAGATGATAGGCTTTCTCCAACAGAAGCCATTCACTGCCAAATATACGGACTGTAGCATGTAAAGCTACAATATCTGGTTTTTTGTAATATGTAATCGCTTTGTTCAAAGCAGGCAAGAGGTACGGTTTGTCGCTTTTTTGGTCCGAATGGATTCCTGTGATTTCAGGTGGTGTCGAAATAGCAGGTTCGCAGCTATTCATCTAATCTCAAGCTTTCCACTTGGGAAACTTTAGTTAGTTAATGATATATGGGGCAAATAAAAAAGAGAAAAATGTGTTGATGTGTTTCATGATGTTTTCTACAATGGTTACGGAAGAAATAATGTAACTACGATGACCGTATTAAAAAAAAAAAAAGAGGGATCAAAGCAGACGATGGAAAAAGTACAGAGTTTGTTATTCGTCAATTACTTTAGGTATGCGTACACTCCATAATCCAAGTACGTAGTTTAACCGAATCAGAAAGAGGTCTCTGGCCATCAGAATAGAGTCTTTCATCAGGTTGACTTTACTGCCATCAATTTCATGCCAGTTGACTTGAACCTCCGTGATGGGTATATGTTGCGATTGTGCGATCATGAGGCATTCAATATCGAAAATCCATCGTTCTACGTGCATATTAGGGAATATAATTTGAGCGGTTTTGCGTGTGAACAACTTGAAGCCACATTGTGTATCTTCAATGCCGCGAATTCCCAACACGTAAACCAGCGTATGGAAACCGCGCATCAGCAGATTTCGTATGAATGAGCGCTAATACCAAGAAAAAAAAGCATATTTAGCATAGTGGACATCAATCCCAAAATCCAGCCACATTACCTTGACTACGGCCTCCGTCGTCACCAAATGCGATCGTGATCCAACCGCCACTCCATGACCATCGTCAGTTATCAGCGTAAGCGCATGCTCGACCTTGTCATAGTCTGAGAAACGTGTGGCTCCATCCGCATCAACCATCAAGCACAATTTTCCCCGAGCAGCCAACATACCCTGTACTCTGGCAGTTAACATCTGAATCCCAACACCATTTGAAGCAAACTGTCCTAGTGTACCTGGGTAACCGCACCGCCTTTGCCTCTATTCTTTTCCAAGCTGATAATTCGTAGATCGCACTGCTTCCATTCTTTAGAAAAGTCCAATGCCGTTTCTACTGTATTATCTCTGCTGCCATCGTCCACAATAATGATTTCATAGCTAAAATTAGGATCATCCCTTTGCTTTTGTTCGAGAAATACTACGGTTTCTTTCAGCATAGTCGGTAATCGCTGGCTCTCATCAAAAGCTGGCACAATGCAGGAAAGCTGAACGCTGGGTTTATCAAATAATGTCGGTAGGCGTTTTCGTTCGTGAGAATGCGCGTCTCGATAATATTTTTCGTTATCGGTTGGTGGTCGTGGCTTTGGAGACAACATTAGCAGAAAGCCGAGTACCTTGAGAAACGCATTAGCTGACACAAAACTTTGGCAAGCGTTTTGAGGCCCATACCATGGATATAGTCGTTAGTAATATCGATATAGCAAGATGTAAGTACGACATGTTGAGACGATCGATCAGTAGCATGGACAGAAGACCGATGAACTGATAAGCCCAATTTTGTGCCTGGGATAAAAGCAGCAACCAATGATAACGCCACACACGACGTGGTTTCTGGGGCACATCCAATGGGACTTGACTGAATTAGGAATGCCGAATTACAAGCCAGCCTGTTTGCAACTCCCTGCAAGTTACCATTCACAATAATACGGTATGGGCTAATGTAAATCACCACGGTTGAAATACAGAAAAGTCGTCTGCGTCCCACTTAAAAAAAGGGTTTAATCATTTTCTTCAGATCCCTCTCTAACTTGCTGTATATGGTGATTAGCAAATACGGCGAACGGGGACAGGTCAAAGGTTAATGTCGCTGTCATGGCGCGCAGACTGACCACCTGAGGAAGCAAACCACACGTTAAACAATAAATAAAAACAATGTCCTATATTATATATCTGTTGTTTTGGTGTCCGTCAGTTCTTTAACAATGAATGGTATTATTAGTAGCTACTGGTTTTTGGCAGGAATTCTGCGCCCTCTTCTTCTGCCAACCACTAGCTCTGTATATTCCATCGGATTCCCACACGCAAAGCATAACACACATTGTTCATTTTTCAAGTCATCGATTCTCAGGATTATTATTTATTTGTATGTATATTATCAACAGATGCGTTAATGTTCTTTGTGAATAATCTTCTCATCGTACTGTCGATAGAGACCGTTGGTCTTGAGTACCTCCACAGCATTAGTGTAAATATCTTCGACCGCTGATTCCTCCTCCAATTGCTCGTTGATGAACCATTGTAGCAGGTAATCGCTCGTCCAATCCTCTTCCTTGCGAGCCATTGACATCAATCGATGGATGCGACGACTGTTTTCCTGTTCATTTTCAAAGGCACATTTCCTATTTCGACATTCACACGTTATTCCTCGATACCCGTATTCCAATATGTTTCTTTTGGAACTTACCAAGCTTCTGCAGGACTAGCAAAGTCAAAGGTTGCTTTGGGGTTTACATCCCGGATAAGAGCTCCCTTGGCACGGCGCTTGATGATGTGGTCGAAAATACGCAAAGCGTGGTCGCGTTCTTCAGCAGAGTGTGTGCGGCACCATGTGGCGCTACCAGGAAGTTCTTGATCATGGAACCAGAGTGAAAGGGATAAATACAAGTTGGAAGCGTTCAACTCTTGGTTAGCTTGCTCGATCAAGCCATCGAGCATGGTATCGGAGATATGCATAGCAGTGGGCATTTTTTTTGTACTAAAATAAGCTGTAGAGCGAAACAGTTGACGAGTCAAAAGAGGTTTGTTGTTGGAAGCAATGTAGGAAAGTTGTCTTGCAAACATAATGAAGATGGATGGCGTATTTTTATATATGCAAGAGAAATTCTGCCGCCTTTTTGTCTTCTCGGAAATAACAGTCCGTCAACGGAACAAATGATACAACCATGATGTAACGGTCTGAGCTTCATCTCTCGATGGAGCGGAAAATGTTTCATAACATCGCATTTTCGTGGTGATCGCGCTTACACAAAAATCACCTTATTATAGGATTCACAGATGTGATCTTTGTTTGCTTTCGTTAATTTGGGCTTCTTATTATTACCGCTCAAAATTCTCATAGGCTTGTAGTTCTGAATGCATGACCTGGATATTCATGATTTAAGGCGGATCTCTATCAATATAAAATGCTGTGGATCATCTAATTTCAGACTTTGGACTGCACGCTTTATTTCGCTGTGATTGAGAGACGCTCGCCATACTGATAGAATTACCATGGAAACAAGGAGGATAACACCCACATTTATTGCCTCCTAAAAAAAGAAAATGGCGCTTGAAGCATATTCCACAAACTGGATCCCCAAGTTGTTTGCTGGGACTCATGTTCTTGTGGATGTTCTTTTCCTTGCTGAGCGTTGCGTGGCTCGTCATAGCTATCAATTCCAAATTCTTGCTCTGCATCTTCAAACACTTCAATTTCTCGCTCTTGCTGTTCCTGACCGTTATCAACCTCAACTTCTATTCGACTGGCTGTCCTTTTAGTTACTGCTGCCGATGAACTGTCAATGTACTCCTGGGGATTCGCAATATTTTTGGAGACTGCGGAAGCCCGTTTGTCGGTTGCTTTTGTTACCGTATCGGTCTCCGATACAGTGTTGATGTTCTGTTTCTGTTTCGATGGTTTTGGTCGTTCTTGCTTCGCAGATTCAAGAATTGATATCAACAATGGATCGTGCTCGATCGTTGTTTGCGTAACTAGGTGAGCTGTTGTGGTTGTTGCTTCTGACGAATGTTCCACCTCTGCTTCGGAATCGGATCGTTGTGCCGATTTCACCGCAAATGACGTTGTTGTCTTGCGAGAGGAGCTGTTTTGCCTAAAAATCCAATAGTGCCCCATGTGTTAAAATGCTAACGTCTCGTTAAATAACATTGACTCGTTTACATGGTGTCTGGTTCTGACGCTAATAATTGCGCATTCGCCATTTCGTCCGCTATTTTACGTTCAATTTGTGCGCTGCGACCAGAGCATTGCACCTATTTCCAATCAGCGACATCAATATTGTGTATCGAAATTCAAATAACAGAAACATACAAGGGTCGTAGCTGCCTCGCGCTCCTTGATATTTTCCTTCAGCATATCACACAAATGACTGTAATGGTATAGACCATCTTCTCCCATGAGGACAACTACAATACGGTTGAATAACAAGGGAAAAAGTAGCAAAAAATCGAATCATACCATTGGGCAAGTCACGACAACCGGTGAATATCCTCAACGACGTTTGCTTATCGGTTGCTTGCAAGGCATACAATGCTCCCTAAAAAAAATTCGCATTTGTAAATTTTCTGACTGGATCGACTGGATAGAATATATTTCATACCATAATTTGCGCGTAATCAAAGTCTTCGATGGGTCGGCTTATGCTGAATGTTCGCACACAATTTCGCTCATCGTTCTCGCCGTAGTACAAAGTAAAAGCAGCTCTCCTCGCCGGTTGGATAGCCGCGCCAATCCAAACATTGCAACTATAGGGAATCGGTGGGACGTACTTCATGACAACCGAAACCTTAGCAAATGGGTAACCACGAAGTTACAAGACGAACAACTTACTCTTCTCCTTCCAGTTCTTTTAATCTTTTTCGCTATATAAACAATATAAATACAATTGTTGATCTGTAACACCAGATGACTTACGTTTCTCTCCTGCCTTGTTATCATCTTTTGCCTTGCGTTTTATAGTCTTATTTGCAGGAAATTGGGCATCAGATACATCATTACTATTAATTGTCGGTAGGTCATTAAGATCGAACTGAATAAACGTCGGCATGCGTTGATGCCTAGGACTAGGAGGCATTATTGCGAATTGGGTTACAGTGCAGCTGCAAGAGGAAACACACGATGCTCTCAGTTCTGTGACCGCCAATGAAATGAAAAGTTTACTCTGAGAATTTTCCTCCTAAACAAAACGTTTCCAGTGTTCCGTCCGTCATGCCCTTTGCTGGATTAAGTCGTAAACCTCTCGCAACAGTCTATCGTAGACAATTGCAGAGTTACCGTTATTTCGCCTCGTCCTCTTCTGGAAACGAAATCAGCGGAAATAGTCCGTTGCTATGGATAGGTATGTTCAACTAAAAGAGCGAGCGTAAAGTACCCATCATACTCAATGCAGCGAAATGAAGGATGCATTGCTCTCGGAGGTGCCGTAAGCTATTATCTGAAAGCTCAAAAGGCGAAGAAGGAAGCGGAACATCAGCGTGAAGGATTGGCAGATGTTGATGAGACGGCTGACGCGAAGACATCGGTACAGGACGCGGAGACAGCAAAATAAAGACCATATATGGACTAGAAGTTCGAACCTCGCGTTCTGAAACTCGTACAAAGTTGAACGGGACACTGCGTTCGGTTATCCTTGCCGATAATGCTCAACATATATCTTGGAGGCATTCTCGTTTGCCCCACATAGAACGTGCATGAATAAATTAGAACAAAACCAGCATCTGCACACATTTTTCATTCTTCAATTACCGGTTTTCCCCGGTAGTTTTTGTTTATCACATTGTATTTCCTTCAAGATCTCAGGACCAGCAATAGTCTGTGTTCTCTTAACGAAACGTTTTCAAGCATGATAACGTCATAAGCGTAACCTTCCCTTTCTGTACCCCATGCTGTCACCGATAGTTAGAAGATCCAAAGTATAAATATCCACGTAGACCAAAAGAATAAAGATGATTTTATCCTCCCATATTTTATTGTTCACTATTGATCTAGTCTACTTCTCTTGTCAGTTACGCCGGTTCTTCTTTTGCGCCGATTAGATTTGCTATACCAAAGTTTAGCAAATACGGAAGACAGCGCATTGGCTCGTCCGCAGATCGATGTCTGGAGGAACTTTCGAGAAGGTATGAAGGACCAATTGATGAACGAGGCATACCAAAGGTATTGCCTGGAAGTGGAAGAAATATAGGCCGAATCTGTTCAGCATTAAAGTGGTCCGGAATACTTCTGATTTGTCATGTTTCGGAATAAATCCAGAAGATTTGCAGGAAGTCTGCGAGAACCTTCCTGAAGATGGTGGACATAAAAAAATGTGTCTTTGTAGTAAATATAAATATGACATCTTATGGTAGAAATAAAAACAACAATCAACTACAGATTTAAACTGAACTTTAAAGGAGTACTCAAATCTGACATTCTGGCCATTGGAATTCCAGCACAGAATATTGACGACGACACTTGTCGTCGTCGATACTGAGCTGGATCACCAATGGTTTAGATGACAAACGGATTGATAAGTGCAATAGGATTGAGGCGGGGAAAAGCTACGAAACATTTCATCAAACTGACATCTGGATCAAAAAACAAATAGGACGAAAAAACGAGGCTACCAGGGGTCGAACCTGGAATCTCCTGATTCGTAGTCAGGCGCCTTATCCATTTGGCCATAGCCCCTTCGGTTTTTGTGGAACCGAAGGGGTAATGTTATTCCTACTGGCGTGACTGCTGGTTCGGACCGGGACATCGAGGCAATCTCGTATTTATTTGGGATACCGACCGCAGTGTTCAAGGGTTTAGCACGCATTTGACGGTGCGGGATATTCTGTGGGGTTCAGGTTCTATCGCCTCACAATAAAGAAACACGCATGTCGCCTCAACGTATAGTGTTTCTTATTTCGCTCATATATCCTTAGCCACACTCAGCGAAACAATAATCCTTCTGGAGCCATCCAGCGCAAAAAGCTAATCACCAAAGCGTAGGAAAGACAGAGATTCTTGACTATCATTAAATCTACTATTCTACTTCATATTGCCAGTCAAAATAAATGCAAACGCAAAAGTAGCGTGCCTCAAAACCAATAAGTCCGCTTTTTTGTTCTACTTGCTATTATCATTCTTATCACTTAAAATTGTCTTCATCATCGGTCCTACTTTTACTGATAATCAAATGGTTACACTTAATGAGAAATCGGAACGGCTGGTCTCTCCTATTTTGCTGTAAAAGCAAGAAAAGTCTCCTTAGCATAACTGATATTGCTGTCTTTGGATAGTTCTACTCGCCATATGAATGATAAAGGTGATCCTTTGTACTATAATGCTCCAACTAGACGAGAGTCTCACAGTAAGCTGTCTAGAATTTTGCACATTTCACGTCTGGATAGCTTTATGAATTCCGCTATTAACTCAGCTTAAATAACCTCGTCTCCATCGCATAGTGGTTAAACAACACGCTTAAGCTTTTAGTATGCTCTCGGCAAATAATCGTTGCTGTTTTTAAATAATGAATCACCAAAATGAAAATAACAAAGAAATAAAATTTCGCTGTCTGTTGAAGGAGGGCACCATCATCGGCACTTTAAAAAACAGTTCTTTTGCTTTGCAATCATTTTTTTTCGTTCCTTTCACTAAACCGACATCCGTTTTTTATCAGTCTATTGATACCAAACTAAATCTATCCGTCACAACTTTCTACAGCATTACAGTGTCCCTGCCATGGCTGAGATCAAAAGCTCAAATTACTCGAATGAACCAAGCAGCATTAAGCGCATTCACAATGACAGGAAGCATGCTACCTCCACTTTATACTGGTATCCAATACTTAGACGACAAAACGCTACGGTTGGCGAAGAGGATATTGAAATATCTGATAAACTCCACAAACCCTCAGCAACAGCGGTAAAAACTCTGATAGGGGATATGATGCTGCGGATTTTGAAGACTCATCCTTTTTTTAATCCCAGCCTAGCAATGTGGATCGATGTTGCAGGATTTGTTATGGATCCGAAGAGAATGACACCACTCAAAAGTTCATCATGCCATGCAACTGCAAAGGGACAGTGTACGATGACATGTTGCTCATACAAAAGAGGTTTTGGTCGGTAATTCACTGATATGACTACCTTTGGTCATTATTAGTCGCTTCGTTCATCGGCAGTGTCATGCCGATTGGGTTCACTCAAATACCAGCACAGAATCGCTTGAATGCAATATGTGTCGCTTCAAATACCACAGTATGCATATCCAGCAAATGGAGAATCATTGGAACCGGCAAAAAAACGATAATATTTCCGATTACATCAGTCACATTTCAGGTACAGTAAACAAACAACGTGGTTCTATAGAAGTGTTAACAGCATACAGCATAGCAGTAAATCGACAGAATATGCGGACACTTCTAGTATTCGCATTTTCGGCAATTGTGATTGTGATCTACGATGCCGTCCATTGTAGCGAGATTCGAAAAATTTCTGAATCGAGATTCGGACGAGAATCCGCAGATATGGTTCCCTTTGATAACTTGCGATTGCCTGTAAGGATCAGCGGAATAGCTTACAATTCTACTACGAAGAGAAGGTGATGACCTGCTTATGTCACATAGGTTTTGGAAAGATCTTGCTGGCAAGCAAGTATAAGTGGAAGAATATATTCTATTCTTAGGTTTTCTGTGGGGATCACCAATTTTTGGTACCTAGGTGCTATGCTTATTTTGATCGTCATTCTGTGCAAGAAAATGGAAAACGGGAGAATATCGGCAACTGGAACGCATTCATAGTCATTGTGATGGAACTGAATAAATAACATGTTGGGTATCCGAATTTTATTGATGTGCATGCTTATAAAATATGTGCGTTTGCGTGTGCGTGTTTGTGATGCCAAGAGAATGAGATTATGTGGGCTTCCTATTTTCGCTTGTTGCTGATGGTATGTCTGGATGATGGTTTTGTGGTCTTGCTGGATTCGGGACCTGTAGACCCTTGAACATTGGTAGCGGCTTTATCTCCATTACCTGTCGCTCGATGAACGCTATCCTGGTTGTATCCAGATTGCTTCGGTCGACGTGATTCCGCGTTTTTTGGACAACCGTCCCCGGCTAATAAATGATCACGCCAGCCTGCATCCGTTGGAGGAGAGATAGGAGTTTGACATAAAGGGCAGTTGGCATCATCAGCTTCCGGTGCTATTAAAGATTTTTCGACTATTAGTACGAAAGGCTTCTCATTCATGAAGTCTAATAAAGCGTCAGCATACCGGTACAACTTTTCTTCAGCGCATGTTGAAGCCACTGTTCCAAGAGAATAGGCCGCTTGCAGTTGGAGCATTGCTTCATCAAATGCTTTTGATCGCAGTCGCTTAGCAAATGGTCGTTGAGTGTTGACACTTCGAGAATCTAATATATAAAATGACGTTTAGCTATCGATTACCAAGCATTTAAAGCTATTGTACTAACAATTTTGCACATAGGACAATTTGTCAACATCGGACATGTGTTGTAATAATGAGAAATCAATGTATCCTCGTTAAAGTTCGGATCGACTTGATCACAAAAGATACAGATGCTATAATGATGGCATTAGTATCTTTGTCCATCCTGGAGGACAACGGCGAAAAAAAAAGAAGCATACTTGTCGGTAGAAATAGTAGGTTCCTTCTTATCTTCTGCGGTCGGTTTGATAGCAACAGCTTTAGGCGCTGCTGCGCCGGCACTAGAAATAGTACCTCGGGCAGACACAGGACGGCTCGATCCAGTCTATTCAATTGTGAGATTGATGATCTGCTTCTCTTTCAATTATTTTCACTCACTCTCTTCGTCCCTGTGGCTGTTGAGGTCTTTGATGCTATGAATTCATTTGTTATTGAGACTTGCCTCTAGATATACGCGTCTGTCCGTTGTTACCTGCTGGTTTGGAAGAGCGAGCAGGTTTATCAGATGATTTCGTCTTCTTCTGGGAACTATCTGCTGTTTTTTTGGCCGCGGTTGCAGCCGACAATTTCGTCGCTTTTCTATTAGGATTGACGTTGGATTTGGCAGCAATGGCTCGAATTTCAGCCATCGTGAGGGCAGCATTTGGTTGTGCTTGGGTATTATTGCTTTCATCCTCCAGTGTTAAGCAACGGTAAAGCGATGTGAATGTGTCTTCCTGCGAATCAACCAATGGTTGGACCAACTGCATATCAAAGGGTTAAACGCTTCAGTTGCCTCGACCAGTGGCAACAACTCTTTCAACATACCTTGAGAAGTCCATCCCTCGCGGATTGATCAATGCATTGATAAACCTCCGCCGATCCAGTTTGTTGCACAACGTTATCCAACATTTTCAAGGCACCCTCTTGCACGTCGTTATGCGAATGTGCAGCATAAGCTGTCGCAAAGTCTACAATGAGCTGCAGCGGAATCACAACTTTAGCAACGGTGCTTGTGCCTGTGTTTGTGATCAGTATTCCTAGCTTGCTGATTGCCATTTCAACGAGCTCTATGCGTGCTTTGGCATCCTTGTGATTGTGTATCAGTCGCTCAGGCGTTCCGATGAACAGTGGTATAACAGAATTGGGTGGGTAACAGTAAGTACGCGCCAGAGTAATCACAAGGTCCGTGGCAGCTTTTCGAATACGAGGATTTGTGTCAGTCGTTCGTTTCAAGAGTCCGGCAAAAGCACGTTCGACCATAGGCATAATAGATCCAACATCGATAGATGCTGCCATGCAAAACCCTATAAAAGAAAAATTAGGGTTGAATCTTAAAATACCTGAACCAGTGTTACTTACGGTTAAGCTGACGCCAGATAGCAATAGCCATATTAACGATAGTTTCTCTGGAATCCATAATAACTTCTTGGATCATCAGGAGAGAACCATTTACAAAAACACTGCATTTTCTAGCACTTTTATCCGATGTCCAGGAATCTCCATCTATCATTGTAATGTCTTCATTGCTGACTCGATCCATTATATCATCGATTTGTTCCATCTTGTTTTCCATCGCTAAATGATTGGCAGCTTGAATGCAATTTTCGATATGGTCAAGTCCCCGTTCTCTGTACTTTGCCTTGACACTTAGAATACAAGCGACGCAATTTTCGCCGAACACCATAATTGAGCTGGAATAGATTTCACGCTCCTCATCCAGGATCATTTCAGGTTCGTCGTTGTCAGCTTCAGGGCAGCTAAGACCTGCTAGCTGCGCGTTTTCACTTGAAGCCAAGGCATCAACATTCGACACTTGATGAGTGGCTGATATATACTCGCTATGTTCGTCTTCCTGCAAGGCGATTCCGTCGTCATACACTGGTTTTATATCCGCTTGATAAGAAGTCAAGTACGGTGGCATCAGCATAGCAGCGAGATCCGTGCTAACAGTTACTGCAGGGGACACATCTGGGTATTCTTTGGTCTCTGTCAGTTGATCAGCGCCCGGAGCGACCTGAAAATCTAGCTTGTCGGCTGCCAAGAAATTTTCGTCTGTTGCTTCAGGATATGAATAATCGCCCATAGGATGCGGATGGTTAATAGGGAATGAATCATGCGGGGAAGACGGTTTGTAAACTGGTTGACGTTCATCGAATGGTACTGGTAAAGCGGGATCGTTTACTGTTTGGTGTTCCTACGTAATATTTATGATAAGTATTTGAGAAATGCTGAGAGGTCAGAAATACTCACTGCAGGCTGTTCTTCGTAGAGACCGGGAGTGGTACTTGCCACCAAATCACCATGGCTAGTCATACGTATGCCAGATCGCTTCAGCATGTTTTCTGCAGATTGCTTTATTTTTTCAATGTCGGCCTAGATATTAATTGTAAGTCGTAATTAGACGTTCTCCATTATCCAACTCTAATTCTTACTTTGATTTTTTCTGCTTCATCGTAATCTTTGTTTTCTGCAGCTTGACGCTTCCCCATTTCCAGATCCTTGAGTACACTGATATACTGCCCGAACTTCTCACTTAGGTATTTATACACTTTTGCCTCTTGGTATGCTTCCGCTTAACGAGAGAGGACATGAGATTTACTAAAGCCTGACGCACATATATAATTTAAAGCGCTCACCTTCCACAGCCTTATCCTCGGCATGCAACAGGGCTGATAACCATTGTTGGAGCTCTGTCTCAATGATCCCCGTAGCTGCTGGACTCAACATTACACTAGGACTACTTGATATACTTGTCCTACGTGTTGAAGAACTAAGCATGCTGACACCGTCTAGAAGATGTTGAGGATATTTGAGATTCTGACAGGTAGTGAGACTCCTACTCTTCGGCAAATGCAATGGATTGATATTTTTTACCTGCAATATGTCTTTTGCAGTGCCATGGATCATTTCTTGGTGAGATTGACCAAAGACAGTGATGGCAAGCAGCCCGACCTAGAATTATAAAAGATGAATCACGAAATATTCCAGTGAATAACTCTGTTCTGATCCATTGCTCTTTTTTTTTATGTATTCCCGTAAGGTTTATTGCTTGCATTCTCTGTGTTTCTAAAGCGATTCTCATCTCTTTTTTTTCCCATTCCCATTCATGTCAAGACTATAGAAAACGGCGGTGCTCGGCTAAAAAAAAAAAATAGGGAAAACACCAAAAGAGAAAAACAAGTTACCTGATTATAAGTGTTTAAACGATTTCGGTAACAACTTCGTATGACAAGGCGTATATACTCTCCGTCGGCGTTGACTTTTATGGATTTCAGTTCTCGAGCCCGAAATTTTGCTCGAACATTATTGTCAAAGCAAACATAACTACGGGTCTCCATAAGAATTCATCATATGAAAACAACATGCATAAAGTGCATACCCTAGTCTCGTGAACTCGATAAGCATGTTGTCGTCGCCGTCTTCGTTGCTGTTGATTTCGCTATTAAGATCGTCGTACTTCAGGCATCCTACGTACACATCCACTTTGGACGCTATTTTGTAGTGGTGTGAAAGGATGTGGATTTTGTTTATACGTGCAGGACCGTTGAGTAAGTGAAGAATAAGGTCTTGCGGATAATTAGGACATCTACAGAGCATCAAAATATTTAGGATATTTTAATTAAAGATAACTCAGTCAAGAGCCCTACTTGGGCGTTTGCCAGCCTTTCATAGTAGGGCTAGCGGAAGTGCCTGTAACATCGTTGTATTCGGCAATAGTTTGTTCGTGCAGGACAGTGCGATTATCAATGCTGGAGTTTACCAGATGATCAGGAGCATGTTCGTTATCCCATGAGGAGCAATGGGCTACCTCGAATGGAAGATGCTCAGCGATCATGACTTTGGTTTAAAGGAAAGGAGATCAGAAGAAAAAAATGGAGATAATTTAAAGCAATTGCAAAGGCGAAAAGAAAGAATAAAAAAAAAGGGGGGGGGGCCAAACGGGCAGATGTCGGTTAACTTTGCATGGTCGAGTCCAATCCTCGTGCTGCATGACCGCATTTTCGATGAAGGAATATGAATCAGACAGCGGAGTGGCGCTCACCGGTTAAAGTGCGTGCCACACAAAAAAGCCTAAAAAAAAATAAGAAAAACTTCGGCAGGCTGCCATTAGTTTTCTGGAGAAAAGAGAAACTCACTCTGTGGTGTACCGCCAATGTATCCAAGCCGTCTACACAGAAAACCTTGTCTGCTGTCCGATTTATTGGATTTCCGATCTTTAAAAAAGCCATACGACGTCGATTATGAATCGAAAAATAGGATACTGTCTGTAAGGGAAATATATCGTTCATCAACGGAAGCTTGATGAACTCAAATATTCTTATGTTGTTGGCAGTAAAATACAGCGGTTGGCACATCATAGACCAGAGATGTTGTCACTGGAGTTGTTCATTTTAAATTATTATAGAACTCCTTTTCATTCTAGAGCAAGAGATGAAATGTATACTTGCGACTAGGGATGTACTCCACAATCTAATGGTTTTTATAGATTCTTGATAGCGATAAATCACAACCCAGCGCATCCTGGATTTCGGATGCACATAAAGGGGAAAGCAGCACGTGGCGTGCTGTTACCAAAAGGCGTTAAAGCATAATGGACCAAAACGCGGAAACGGCATTCTTTTACATTGCCAAGTCAGTCATTTTTCATTTAAACCTCTTATGAAACGCCGTTGACATTGCTGAGGCACCGATCTCCTTGTTTTACTGCCAAAAAAGAATCGATTGGGATTTATTTCTTAGGCACATTGCAATTAATGGGGAAAAAAAAATAAACATTCGTTTGATCATCGGTTACATAACTTGTGCAACCCTATTTAATGGAATGATGAGTTCCATGGCATCCTATATGGATCGTGCAACGATGCAAAATGATTCTACACGAATTTTTTTTTCAACCAATTTTCGCGTAGATTATATCCTATCTCCTTTCTCCTTTTCTTTTTTTTGGCATCTTTACTCTAATTTTTTTACCGTTATAAACTTTTTCTCAGCAGTGATGGTTGACACTACATTTCCTGACTCTGCTGGTATTAAGCGATCGCGAAAACCAAAGCCCTTGTTTAACATATTTCGAAAAAATAAGCAACAGAACGTGCCTTTGCATATAGATCCTCTTGGTTCCGGTGTCACGATACCACTCGAGTCTACACTTGTTGCCTCAGCACCTTCTGCCCATCATGCTTCTCGAATAATGCCACCTCTAGAAATTCATACGAAAATAGAGAATGGATCGAATTCACAACCTACTAAAGTACGCCGAAGACATCGTTCAAAATCCGTCGATCCTTCCATTTGCAAAGAAATACCGAATCCTAACAGCCTCACGGCAAGAGAAGAATCATTCAACAAGCTGTGTGGTCGCGCACCTACTACATCACTATCAGCAGAGGACTCCATTCTGCTTTCCCCAGTTCGTGCATTTCATCGTCCACCTGTACCCCCAATCCCTTCCCAGTATCATCATCACAACTCACCGGATGGTTCTTCCCCAGTTTTTCCCGAATCAAACGGTAGTATAGGCAATTCTTATCAAGGAATTCGAAATTTGCGCAAATTCTCTTCCGCGCACGATCTACGAAAAGCCGCAAAATTAGAACAAGAGAATATACATGCTACTGCAAGGCATATGCCTATGCCTATGCCAAAAACGGATCTGTCTCGGTCACGCTCCGTCAACGTACCAAAGCACATTCACCCATCACGATCGCAGACTCGTTCACCTGCACCTCCTGTACCTCATCATCGAATGGAATATTCACCCGTATCACAGTCTGCAAACGTAAAAGGCCGTTCCCGCTCAAAATCGTTTGGTGTATCGCGCGACGCAACCTCCTTTCGCCACAACGTCAGCCCCCCACTACCTACACAGAATATATATCCGCACAACAATATTGATGACGACGACGTACCTTTAGCGGCAGCAGTCATGATACCTTCGGACATACAGATGACGTCCCCCAAACGCACCCCTCTCCATCTGGTGCAGCCTTCTTCTTTATTAATTGACGAACAAGAAGAAGATGATAAGGATTTAGTACCAATAGCTATGCTAAAAACGGCTGATCCAAGCAAACAGATACAGACCGCGGTGGACGAATATCTGACTGCAGCAGATAAATATAAAGAGAAAGTCAAAGAACGCTTGCATCTCACCTCTGAAAATGGAACAGAGAATAACATTGACGACGATGACATACCAATATCATCGCTTCCTTTTATCCGGCAAATGACTGGCTTTGACTGCGAAGAGACATGTCTGAAACAATAATCACTTGGTCGATACAATTGCGTCTCACAAGCATTAGGCAATGAATTCCTGTTAATCATGCTTTATTTAATTTGATCCTAGCAATAAAAGCTATGATCAGTGATCCATTCAGAACAATTACACTGCATATATAGATTCTTTGCATGTTTATCAATAAATATTAAACCGATTGTTGGAAAAAAAAAATATATCTGTTAAAGCATGCTCAACATGTGTGGTTACATGGACGAAAGGAGCACTTCCATGCCAGATTCTTCACCCAAGCCAAAAAAAGTACGGCCTGGAGACACACAAAGACCTGAACCTGCATTTTAGGATGCCCCTTGCTAAGGACAGATTCTAAAAAAAAAAAATCTAATCGCATACTTTGATACGAAATCAACGGACCGAAACTCATGGGCACTTCAAAGACAGAAAATCATCTCCGGACCGGATATCCGAACCACCGTCACAGTCCGAGGAAGTTTTTACCTATCGTAGTGTAGTTTTTTTTCGCCGAAAAAGCAGGAGCTTCCTTGGCTCAGTCGGTAGAGCGTCAGTCTCATAATCTGAAGGTCGCCAGTTCGATCCTGGCAGGGAGCATCTTTTTACCCATTGAGCAATGGGTACTTTTTTTTTGAAAATGAATGCAAATGGCATTCCCTCTTTCTGATTTATTTTTGTCAGTTACGCCGGTTCTTCTTTTGCGCCGATTAGATTTGCTATACCAAAGTTTAGCAAATACGGAAGACAGCGCATTGGCTCGTCCGCAGATCGATGTCTGGAGGAACCTTCGAGAAGGTATGAAGGACCAATGGATGAACGAGGCATACCAAAGGTATTGCCTGGAAAACGGAAGAAATATAGACCGAATCCGTTTAGCATTAAAGTGGTCCGCAATACTTCTTGATTGGTTATGTTTCGGAATAATAGAAAACCGTGCAGGAAGTTGACGAGAACCTTCCTGAAGATTGTAGACATAAAAATGATCTTGATAGAAAATATAAATATGACCATGTTATGGTAGAAATAAAGAATGAACAAAAAACTACAGATCTAAACTGAACTCTAAAGGAGTACTCAAATCTGACATTTTATTGGAAAAAAAAAAAGTAAAGTAGTGTCGTATCCTTTTCTGGTATTTCCTAAAACGTTCACGGCAACACCTACGTTTTTGGTAATGGCGCTTTGATCACCTTCAAGCAAGCGTTTCCTTTATCGAACAGCTCGACCCAAAGGCTGAGCATTCAGAACCAAAATACCCTGCCAAGCCTTATTACGATATTATTAAGATTAACCCAAAAACATATAAATATCCCCTCGATCAAAACGAATAAAGAGCATCAATTATCTATCCTCCAATTCTAGTTTATTTCTTCATCTATCGTCCGTGGAACCAGTATCCGGAATAGATTCAGCAAACCCCGAAAACGACAGTAGGATAATTTTTTTATTAGGGGTTGTATCAATACATGTCCGTTGCAGACTATTGCTCGCCCTATATCAAGAAAAGTTCTAGAAAAAAAAACCACGTGGGAAAATAAAGGTATAGAGGCGTGCCGGAAGCTTGGAGTAGCTAGAAGATAGAAAAAAGAAGAAAGGCCGAGTTAGTCATAGCCGTCTGACGAGATGAGCCAAAAGGTAGAAAGTCTGTGCCAGAAGGTGGAGAAGTGTCATCATCACTTCGGTTGATGATTATATCGACAGAAGAGGGAGAGGGCGAGTCAGTTATGTTACCAGAAGTAATGGAGGCGGTAAAGTGGTTTGCTAGGCAATTTGATAATCCACCGCATTGGGAGTTAAATTCAGAGAGAGTGAGATAAGTCCGGACGAAAAAGTAAGCAAAAGAGCAGATGTTGGTGACTATGGTGGTAGAAATAAGAAGTAGGGCAATGAATGGTTGGAAATAGTTTGATACGGTTTTTTTACTTACAGTCCAGGACAGGAAAGTGAAGTCCAAAACGTGGAGTAAGCTCCCAACTTTCTTTTATGAATAAGCAAATGAACATCGTCTCTTAGTGATTATTGAGCGGTTATTCTACGAAGGTGTCGAGAAACAACGGAAAAAAAGTTAAAAGAAAAATTTAGGAAGCGAAGAGTTATGACGGAAAAGAGAATAACGTACACTATACTTGAAAGACACGGAAACTGATAATAACGGTCATCTCTTGAATGGATGTCCCGAGACAAAATCTGCATGCCAATAGCAGCCAAAGAAATTGGGTTAATCTATTATTTGGATGTCTGCTTACGATGTGCTTCAAAAAGAAACAATAAGACGATAAAGGGCCCATACTAATACGATTGATGACAGGAAAGACGGTAACGATGAAGTGATTTCTTGATACGAATGCGCTGCGGTTATGACTGACGCTGAAGAGTAGGGGGTTAGGCCGAGACGTAAAACGGAGGTAGAATGGATGATGTCGACTAGTACGCGGAAACCATCAGATGCATAGTCGTAGCTTTACACGGAAGACATTTGCGAGATTAGCAAACAGGGCGACTTCATCATGGAAAGATATGAGGAAAGAGTCGGATCGAGAGCTACGCGGAGGCGGAAGAGCTAGAGAATTGATAGAGTTGAATACTTTATTGTTAACTTTCGTAAATTCGGATGAAAATCTGAGCAAAGTTTTGCACTGTAACGGGTAATATCCTGCATCTATTATGGTGCGAATGGTATGTCAAACGCGGAATGAGAGTTGCGAAAAATACACAAGACATGTAGGTCAAATGAAATGAAGATTGACTGACAGGGAGAAGAATTAATCGAATCGTGGATGCTTCGCAATGGAACTGCTGATAACCATCAAATAGCATAGCTAGGTGAAGACTAAGACGAGAAAATAAGTATCCAAGCCTTTCAGCGAATCATTCCATCGTCTCCATGGAGTTGCAGATAAGAATGACATAATTTCGAGTTGTCATGCTTGCTACTTATTTCGAGAGCTTGTCATATTTGAACATCAGCGAAAAATTTGTGAACTATTTAGAGACAAGCTTATGATCCTTTATTGATTTTCAATAGCGGAAAGGAAACGGCAGCGCCATGACGAGTTTTAACGTAACAGGAAAGCACTGTACGTACAGGATTGTAGTAGTAGTGCCTACTTATTGGTCCTTTTTGGACTCTTCAGTGTTAGCCTGTGGTTTCTGTGCATTCATTCGGTTAATAAGGGATTTATAGACGAGACCGGATGACATAATAACAGCACTCCAAGCTTGAGCTTCGACCGGCTTCAATCCCGGTATGCCAATCCATTCGCTCAATTCAGGTGTAGTAGAAATAACGTAGAACACAGCCGTCAGAAAAGACGCCTTCATGTCGATAGAAGCTGTATGAAGCAGTCGCGGCGTGGAGAATGACCATTCTTGGTGTGTGAGTCGAAAAGCATCTACACGCAATGTGAATATATGATGTATCATAAGATTGGTTCTCAGACATTTTACCGATCCACAAGCCTCCACCAGAGCCAGCGAGAGTACCACAGATGATCTTAGCTACCCATTTGTCTTCCCCAAGTGCAGGATTTGCTGAGACGCCGTCAACGCCGATACGGGTTACTGCAAAGTTTCGAAGAATACCGTCTGATAAACAAACGACTTGTTCAACTACTGGGATAGAAAACAGGAATTGAAGGATGTTGTAAAAGTAGGGGTTTGAGAACATGAGCCAGTACGTTGTACTGGTTCATTTCAGTATATCAGTGATTTGATGCTTTGCCTTTTTCCAAATATCACAGGGCGACTCACCCGTATATGCCCCAGAAGCGGTTACTTTTTAGAATGCCTAACGGTTCCCCCCGTAGAATAGCGACTGTAGAGCCACCTCCTGCGCACATAACAATGGTAGCTAGTAAACCTTGACCCCAGCCAATGTGAGCATGATTTCCCCGTAACATGGACCGATACGCATAGTTGATCAGAATCGCGTGAAGCACTTCCAGTACTGGCACTGACACGTCCAGTATCGGGATATCAATTGTTAGGTTGGCGAGGCCAAATACAATAGCACCAAGTTGATCAGTCAGACTCATTAGTGAAGCGATCAGCTGGAAAGTACAGTAGAATTGTAAAGCGAATTCGACGATGAGAAAATTCAGGGACGAGACCAATCACCTGTTGGTGCGCCGTCACACAGTGTGAACTTCTGGTACATCATCTGCTCTGGTAGTCAGTAACGAAATAAAAAGTTATCAAGTGTTCAGCATCAACAGCAAAAATGCACATAATACAATTCATATGAGCTTCAATTAATAAAGTCGTGAACTTCGAAGTAAAAAATGAATAATCATCGCTTCAGAAACTGATTTCCAAATTGGGAAAGAGCATTTTTCGTTCATGTCAAAAATAAAAAAAAAAATGACTTCGATTTTCCCCAATTGCACTGAAAAGCAACTAAATCGCGAAGATCCGATCGCGTAAACAAAAACACATGGCCGATCGGAATACGCAAGCTGAGCAGCTGCCGTCGAAGCGCTCACAAGGACGATTAGACAGAAAAGGTATACTATACTGGGGCTTCAAGTCTACACGGACTAACAAAAGGGTATCATATTGTACAGCCAAATTCCGAGAATCAAAAAAGCGACGAGTAAACGGCATCGCTATCGATAAAGCGCCCAATACCCTTGGTAATGAATTAAACGTATCGAGTTCGACAGCGCAAGCTAATATGTTTGCGATATAGGTATCGACGCTGCTAAGCTAGAAGGACCTATTAACGCCGTATCGTTCGCCGCTGCACGAATTCATGAGATCGACGCACTTCAGTCCAGTATAAAAAAAGCCAGGTAGGTAATGACTGACTCAGTAACAGATTCTTCAGTTATCGTGAACGTTATTTGCTAGCTTCGAGGCCAACACCATAGCTTTCCCACCCATGCACCGAACCATGCGTCGACGTGCTGCAAGTCATATACTTCATGGGTTCCCTGCGCGTATGAGAGCGGTGAAAGCCAATAAATCGGCCAATGTAATTCCCGATCGAAGCATTGATGTGCACTGTTATTTATTAACATGAACTAAAATTTTTAGAAAGGAAAAACACGGACATTTTCATGGAGATCTAGCACCTTTACTAAAGAGTGCTTAAAAGGGCACCGTAAGTATGGCTCGTCATTATTTTCTCGGGAAGTCTTCCCTTCATACACTCTATAGATAATCAACGATGGCTGGAAACTTATATGTGGCACATAAAACGGATGAAGATGGACAACAAATGGGGATATCGATTGGTAAGAGTCCTTTTCTTGCTGCAGCGTAAGCCAGGTTTCCAACGCCCTGCGTATATAGGCTACTCATCCAATGCTGAAATCATACCGAGTCATGTATCGTGCATTCACTCGCTTCTCCATGGTTCACGACGCATCTTATTATGGGTGTATTGAAATGACAGGAGAGATGGACGCTATCAGCAGCGTTCTGGATACAATCACCGATCCGTTCTTGCCCTCAGTAGGCAGTGCTAGGTACGTATTCAGCCAATGCTTGATCAGTGAGGAGCCAAATTGATGAACAGTATTGTGCAAAAAACAGATTCAAAGAGGGACTGCGCTCTGGGCAGACCTGGATTTATCAGTGTCAGTCGTATCCTCGAAATCTCATTGCCCCTATTTCATATCTGTGGCGACCCACTACGACAGCCAATGCAAGTAGGGCATTATGGATTTGGGTGCACCCGTCTGCGTATAATGCCGTTTTTTCGTGCATTGAAAGTTGTATTAAATCGAAGGACAGATCTACAGGTAGCGATAATCATAATGACATGTGTTTTTGGATCTAACGGTTCTATTTGGCAGATATTAGGATAACAGATCTTCGTAGTGAGCTGGTCCGGTTTGAGTTAACGGGCCCTCGGTCAACCGAACTTCTGCAAACTATTCTGATCACAGCTGATAATCATGAGATCGAAACTAATTCAAACGCTCATCAAGTTTGGAAAGATATGAAATACCTCAAAAATGCATGCTCACTGTCTTCAGGCGTTGTCCTTGGTTTGAATGTCGAAGACCCTCGTTTAAGGTATTTTTTGAGCATAGAGAAATGGTGGTTCCTCAAAACTCATCCTGGCTGTTATAATTCCCGTAGGTTCCCACAAAAGATACCACCACTGCCAGCAACGGTTCCTCCTGATGTCACGGCACGGTTGGAGGCAGTAATACAACGATGGCCACATGATGTTGCGAATTCAGATATTTGGGAAAGCAATGTACGAAAACACATATACGATTCAAAGAACTCGGATTATTCTCTGATAAAACGAAGAGAACAGGTAAAAAAAAAAAAAGGAAATACTACTGTGTGGTTTCTTAATTAATATTCCCAATTAGAATCTATTACCTGGAACGAATCTTGAATTTACATCGGACGACAATCGTATCCCTGTTTTGCTCATCCAACGAAATAACCCTATCATTGATAATACCGGGAACAACCAGTTATCCCACCCCAATATGCCCGTGATCCCAGGCTGGACAGTCATTCTACCTCGAGGATGGGGTAGCGCCTTCTGGAGATCGCTAATATTCGCTGGTGCAAAAGTCGCTGGAGTAAATGACGTTCGTAACACTCACTGGGAATCCGGCTTTGGTTCTTTCCCGTACGATTTTCCTGGTACACGCGCGTTTGTAAAAGAGAGAAGCCGATCAAAAACTGCTGCTGAAGCCATTTGGATGAGAAAGCCGGTAACCAAGCGTGTTAATTATGCAAAGTTCAAAATTGATCATCCATTCGAGTGCGCCTTTGAAACTCTCATTAACACTGGGTCTTCCACCACAAGCAATCAGTTGCCGTGTGCTATTTTGCTGCAAGGAAAGAAACTTATTACTTGCATCAAAGCGGCCGAAGATACCACAACTGTTGAAAAGCAATTACAAGACTTAATGGGGGCCATGACGGCTAAGCGAAAAATCGCCCCACCAGCACCGTTTACTTTGAACGACGTTTTACTCAAGATCAGGATTACATACATCCAACGCGGTCGACCGCATACCAACGCATTGATATATTTACTGGACGACAAAGAAGAGTATCAGCAGTATGTTCGTTCATTTGGTTCCGCGGCCAAGGCTATAGAATCAAATGAATCGGCGGTAAGTATAAGCTGTGTTCTTCACGTGCATGATTCACTCATCAGGACGGGCTATGACAATGTAGGATGAAAACCATACCTCACAGCAATTTTCTCAATCTCCAAGACATATTGGTTATGTAACCAACGGTGGATTCTCACTAATGAACGGATGTGGTTTCGGCGTGGGTGCTTGTAGTGCTCATGGATTCCGAGCCTTGCTAGATGTCAGCCAAAGGTAATGTCAAACAAAAGGAACAATGTGTACCGTGATTTAACGTTCTGTGACCAAACCAGATCCGTGAATCACATTGTTCTTGTTCGAAATCCAAGCAGTCGGAGATACTACCCTGCCAAGTTAGAGCTCATGTGCTAGAGTTTTTCATAGATAAAGTATCTTTCAGGTCCATATAGACATAGTAAATTTGAGCCATCTGTAACTGCGAAACAAAGCCTATGTATTTCTAGACAGCTACTGTCGCTTTCATCCATCAATTTCCAAAACTTTTTAGCACCTCTGTTTTCTGTCTTTATATCCCTAGTAATTACATTTCAATTATCGTGAGAGAATCAGCTTCAACATACCTTGCGCAATAGTAATGATAGATTCTAACGCAAAAAGAGTCGACCAAGCTTTGCATCGAATATTGCACACTGAGTATCTTTAACCTCTTTTGCCCTACGCTTTCTGCGCGCAATTTTACCCTTGTTTGTCCCAAGTGGTTATTTTTCAGTAGTGCCATGTCTCATAGGTCACAGCGCGAGCGATAGTCCGCAATGGACATGTGTGTTCATTTACCCTTTTAACAAAAAAAAAAAACTTTTACTTTAACTTAACCTCTTTTGCTGACTCGACACAGACTATACATAAGAATAATAAAACGAGCCATCCATCGGCCTTTTGGCATTCAGTCATTCTCCAAAAAAAAAAGCGAAAACTATTCAATCAAGCCAACTTATTACCAAATATGTAAGTGGCGTCATGAACGTTTGTCGGACCTGTTAGCGGTCCTCTAAACGGTTTGTCTTAATGACTCACGGTTCGTAAATATCAACAACAAAGCTCAGTATGAGTAATAGTCGATATATCATGAATAGATAGCATTGTCATAATAGAATATAAAAAGAAACCCCAAAACATTGAATAAACATCATCATTCGTTTTATTGTCAATCCTCGTCTATTTACTTTGGTGATCGTGCAGTTTATCAGATCCAGTAATACGACACGTTTTAGGAAATAAAAAATGAATTGACGGTTCAAAAAACGTCGCTCCCGGGTGGGCTTGAACCACCAACCTCCTGATTAACAGTCAGACGCGCTAGCCAATTGCGCCACAGGAGCTTTTTTTTTTCGAAAACTTCCGGAAAATATCGACAATATATACGCAAAAACCAGTCACATGGCGGAGGTCAAAGATTTTGGCGCAATTCAATTTCTCGACGATTAAATGTGGCGGTTGATATCGAAATTCGAGCTGACTCATGGAGGCATGTATTCGTAACGGTACTTTGAAGCGTCGATTATGCGGGCAGCGGCTTGGCTTATTTTTGGTCTATAATGGATAATGCTCAAGATGATATGGTGACATAGAATGTTACTTCTGTTCTTGAAGCACAATGCCAGTGGAAAAAAATAAAAGACTGGCAGTCAGTTAAAAAATGAGCGGGGGCCAGCCAGTCACCTGTGTGGGTCTTCCTGCATTCAAATATCTCCACGCTAATTACAGATGTGCTTTAATGATTTTGCAAGACATCGAGTAGAGGCGTTAATAAAGTATTTGTTCTCCGTGACATGGTCTAGGCGATGGGGTGATTGGAAAGGTGCAAGCAATAAGACGAGTCCGACTAGAAACAGCCCAATACATTTAAAAATACAAACCATATCACTCTATTGAACCATGCTAAGCAGGCCTTCATTTATTTATTTATACGAGCTTCTTGGCAACAAAGAAATTCTTGAAATGTCGCATCTGCCATGCACATACTGCACCAAGAACGACGATCTGAGCAATTGTCCACCACACCACACGCGAATTAGTCAACTCGGATTGATCGCGGAACTCAGCTTCACGCTCCTATGAAGAAAAAGTCAACATGATGGGCTCACATTTTTCGTTGGATTGAAGTTGTGACTTACTCTCTGAGAGCTTTGTTCACGGCGAATATCCTGCACACGTTCGTTCAACTCATGCACTCGTTGAGCCAAATCTATCAATGTCTGAATGTCAGAAAACGCAAGTTTCAGTATGACATCAATAGCAATTATACCAGAAAGAGTCTCCGAATGATCGTGCATAACGGCTGGATCATCAAAATCCATATCAAAGGTCACTCGCTATTTCCAGATGTTTAGTTCAATCGGCAGTAATGCTTTATCTGTCCGGAATCTCACCGTTTTTGTCGAGTCGAACCACGAAGAGCTCGAAGCCGCCAAACAGATGGAATGATCGCCTGACTCTGCTGATGTAAACTTGAATTCACCCTCTGAAGTACCTGACTGTTCGAATACTCGGAGACCTTGCGTTAAATCCTATTTTAACAATACATCACGTAAGACGCTCGATTTCTCTCTGCACCACAAGCTGGAGATGGTACCTCGACTGTAACGTAAATTTTCAAATCGGAATTGACGATCCATTGCTTATGCGCATCGGAAAATTGCTCGGCTTTGTAAGTTCCTATGAAGCAGAGCTAACGATGAGAATACAGGTACATCATCCATAGAATAGCTGCGACCGTTTACCAATAACCATCGTTTCCTTTGGTAATTCTTCCAAAAAGCACTTTTTTTCAGTTCCATCAAGGTAGAAATACAGAGCATGTGCCACCTGAGAACAGATGAGAAGAATTCCCAGAAGCCACAGTGACAAATTTTTGCCGTTGAGAAGAGCCATGATAAAACACGTAGTGAACCGCGTTTGAACGAGTTAAAGGAAAGTCTACGAGGTTTTGTGAAGACGTCCAATGGCGATGAACCACAGGTCGCTATATTTTGAACACCGATCACGTGTTTTCAAGGGCAGTCATTATCGGTCAGTTCAGGCTGATTGCACTTTGACCATCGTAGACCGAACTTTCTCGAGCAAACAGAAGCACCATGACGTTCGATTTCGATAAACACATAAATTATTTCCTATCCAATCTACGGATGCTGCCCAGCGCTTATACCGAGACCGAGACAAATAGGTACTTTACTGTTGTTCTAGGCTGAACAAGTGCTTCCAACAAAAAGCTGACGAAAGGCACGCAGAATGACGCTGGCATTTTTTTGTCTTGCTGGACTCGAGCTGCTTGGTGCGACTGATAAAGTCATTTCCGACCAGAACAAACATGATTGGATTGACTGGATTTATGCTCAACAAATACTTCCAACGAAAGATAACGAAAACGGTACTTGATCATCATTCTATATTCCGCACGATCGCCCTCCGCTCAAACATCCTTAGAGCTGAACAAAACTCACTGCGGATTCCGAGGGTCATCTTGGTCAGGCCGATCATTTCAACCGCATGCAGTATGTGTCGTCCAGTAATATACCAGCAAGGAAAGAGACTGCCAGCAATTAAAGAAGCCTATCTTTTTAGAGTCACTGCGAATATCAACCCTATGATTCTGCTCATATCGCCAATACCTATACAGCACTCATGAATCTTCTTATTCTCGGTGATGACCTATCACGAGTAAATCGAAAAGCGGTCCTGACAACGATTCGTAATTTACAGCAAGCGGATGGAAGGTAAGAGATATTATTTAGAAACACAATATTAAAAAATATACACTTTTCATGCATAAATTTTAAGTAATGTTGCTTTTAGTATCAGCCCAACAGATGGTAGTTTGGAGCGCGATGTTCGATTCATTTATTGTGCGAGTGCTATCAGCTATATGCTCAATGACTGGAGTGCAATAGACGTGGAAAGCACCATCGAATATATCAAGCGATTGCAGGTACTATCTATACAAGTGTCCTGTTTCGCAGACAACCATAACATCTTGTCTTTATCTATTTAGTCATATGAATATGCAATCGGACAGTCTCCTGGAGAGGAATCACATGGTATGCGAGAAACACCTTTGGTCAGTCTCCGAAGAAAAATTAATTCATGCTTGCGTACCCAATTCGAAACATAGGTGGCTCGACCTTTTGTGGTGTTGGAGCATTGACATTGATGAATCACCAGCAGGACGGATTGTTGAATAAGGAGAAGCTTATCAAATGGTGTGTTTCGAGACAAAGCAGTGGTTTCGAAGGTCGACCGAACAAGAAAGCAGATACCTGTTACTGTTTTTGGATAGGCGCTACATTAAAGGTAATCTTTTTATAACGGATACGCGAACGTTTAAGTATTGAGAAAAAAGCGCCAAGATGGTAGACTCCTTTGATTTAATTAATCATGAAAACTGTCGGGCTTTCCTCACCACAACACAAACCAAATATGGTGGATTTGGTAAAGATGCTGATGCATTCCCTGGTAAGTCATATACTACCTTCCCTTGGTCTGTTAGCTTACAGTATTTTTCACGGTAGATGTATTACACTCTTACATGGGTATTGCGGCTCTATCATTACTCGGTGAGGCTGGGATTCAGCCAATAGACCCCGCACTCAATGCTCCGCTATCAGCTGTAGAACGACTGAAATCCAACTGCGCGTTCTGGAAAACCAATCAATGATAATGGAAAGACGCGCCTTCAAATATATCCTAGGGAGAATATGTCCATCTTAACATCATGCTCCGAGTAGACATTTGGTTTGCGGGCATCGGGGTCCATTTCTTATGACATACGTAAGTCCAAAAATCAGCTTGCATTGAGTGATCTATTCGGTGGTTCAATAAAACATTTTCGCTTTGATTGTGTCACTTACCTTTTGGTCATTCACTTTACCATGAAGAATAAATATCACAGCACACAATTCGAGCATAACAATAACAACGATCAGAAAGAGTGTTCGTGCGCTGAATTTATCTCCCGCCTGATGCACTATTCAGCTTTATACTTTCTAGGCTCACGTCTCAATCTCACCGGCGTAAGCTTCAGAAAGAGAACGCTCTTCCTTAGGGTATTGATCGCGAAGCGTCTTGTTTGCACCAACCGTTTCGCTTTATAGGATCTGCCTGTAGAGCCGCCATCGTTGTGAGCTATCTCCTGAACAGATTTGCCAGAAAACTACTTGATCATGATGATCTCTTCGCCCGCTGCTTCCGGTAGCATAATTGGCCAACATTGCCTGACCTTTTGCCTGATATGGACGACCTCACTGGTTTTTCTTCTCCTACCCCTGGCACCGATTCTCTACCCTGGCTCATCCCGCCAAAAGAACCTCACCCATACAGTACCCTTTTTTAACCTTCGTTTTTCCTCCGAGGTTTTTGTTCATCGGGTTCATTCCCCCAGGACTCCAGAACGAGCAATAGACCGCAACGGACGCGTGTCCATACACATGAAACAACATGACAACTTCTACTCTACTTTAATAATGATTCTCATGAATCAAAAATAATTAACATCATCTATCTTCCCGTAGTTTATCATTTTCTATCAAACTAGTATTGCTTTCTTGCATTGGATTCCGAGATCAGGTTTGACAACGACCAAATGTCGAATCCTTTTGATGTTTTAGGCGTTCACGGCGCCATTTTCATATTTGGTAATGACGCCGTAACACTTCTTCAAGCAAACGTCTTCTTCACTGAACAATTCGGCAATATCTTGAGCCTTTAGCCCAAAATACCCTTCTCGGAAAATCATCACAGAATAGCCACTTAAATAAAAATAATCAAATGCCAATCCTCTTTACTTCCTATATTTATTGTCCGCGCGATTCTACCTTTGATTTTTCCAATTGCACAAGCTATAAAATCCAGGGGAGCAGTAACTCACAGCCAGTCTGTGTTCACTCTCCCCTATAAAGAAATTTTTTATTTTGCTTTATTGCTCATGGAACCTGTATCCGGTGTCGTACTTCACTCGGATCTGATATACCGGCAAGATCACCAGAGTGGGAAACAAGAGGATTAGGGATAGGAAAGATAACGCTTTATTTTTGTCAATTATAAGGAGATATTTATATGTGCTTATTCGGTCTATGTTCTTCAAGAGGATAATGGCTGAGCGGCTAAAACTTTGATAAAAGGATGGTTGTACTTAGCAAGATGCTAAGCTGATTACCATTTTCGGACGTTATCCGCTTCAGCCACGACACCGGAATAGATCCAATAAAACAAAAAAATTGCCGCCGTGAACATTTTAGGACATCCCAAATAAAAAAAAAAAAACGAGTTGGTAAACATTGCCAAAAAGTCGCTCCCGGGTGGGCTTGAACCACCAACCTCCTGATTAACAGTCAGACGCGCTAGCCAATTGCGCCACAGGAGCTCCGCTGGAGATGAAAATGGACAGACATTGATAATTGATTGATAGGTCTAAAATCAACCAATCAAATCGCAGGCAGTTTCGGTTTCCGTTGCTTCGGTATCACGGGGTGACGAGGTCTCTTCCTTTGGTTCTGGCGCATTAAACACTTAAATTAAACAATTCTAGCTTTAGAATTATTGGAAATGCTATAGCAGACACTGAAAATTATGTAATTGCCTTTCCCAGAATGTTCGCTTCCTCAGCTTGTAATGTTTTGCCAGCGAATAATGCTGGTCAAAGAAATTATTTCCAGTGAGTCTCAAAGATTGCTTCCAATGATTATTTTTGTTGCCAACGCAACTCTTTTAGTGCGTTGAAAAGATGATCTTCTTTATATGAAAGGAGCCAAAGGATTATGAGTGTTATGCTTTGTTTCTGGTTTGATATTTTGCTGTATTTTGACGACGTCAAATGCTGATTTTTACGAGTTTATATATAAAGACAACCATATATTGCTCGTGTAATAAAACCAATCTACCCAAGATCTACAAAATACAAGATCGCTTGAGTGAACTAAATAGTTTTAGGGCTTGACCCATAAAATAAAATTTATGGGCGTCTCGGCGCCGTTATAACAGCGGAAAATTCCGTTTAGCTTCGCTTGGCGGTGTCGCTTTCAAAAGTAAGTTGAATACGAGAGCGGTAGGATTCAGAATGAGGACCTTTCAGTCTTTCAACTTTTCCATCTTAATATATAATCGTTTAAGTAATTAAATTAATAGCATTTCTAATACGCGGTAATTGTCAATAAAACGTCAATAGATAAAAATATAAATTTATGTGCGATGTTGTTGTAGTCGTGTTGGTGACCAGAGACTGCGGCGAATACATATTTTTCAATTTCCATTTCCACTGAAATCTCTACTTTTCGCAAATTCAAGCTTTGGGACAAAGTGATTGTTTTCATTATCATAGCCATCAATCCAATTATCTCGCTCGTTTCCGTGGAAGACAAGGGACCCGCCTACGACACCTGTAACTTCATATTGAGGACTAGTCCAGCCAGGAAAGCATTGCACGACCTAGATACACATATCGTTTTGTTTTAACAGCATACCCGAAAGTCAGTGTACGGTTGCGTAATATTTTTCACACCGAAAACACTTACTTCAAAAACCACAGGATCAAACGGTTGTTCTGAAGCACAGCAATCCAGCGTTTGCCAAGAGCAACATTCTTTTTCACCTGCGCTGATATTTTTTCTGAAGCGTCTAATAATGACCAGGGGTTAAATAATACCGCAATTTTTTCGTTTTTATCGAAAATCGAAAATACTTGGTGATAGATGCGGCAGTGTTGCCCTTTTGACGGATCTGCACAACGGCTCCATCCGTGTGCTTATTATAGATACAATAGGCTTGGATCAATTGCATCCAGCTGAGGAGAGTAAAAACACAGAGCTTCATTTGATGAGTTAAGTCTGCTTTGAACACTGTTCGGTGCTAATTTTAATTTTCTGACTAGATATTAAAAAGGTTTTGCTATGGCTTTTGTTCGCTATAAAAGGCAAACTGCAAATCGATATCACCGACGCATCAGTGCTTCACATTTCATTATGTTGAAAAAAGAGAAGGACGTTTTCTAATATATTACAGTAACGATATGGCAATGCTATGATGTTATATTATTCTTTCGCTTTTCCGCGTTATTTTATATCTTTTGTACAATCTATGATGAAGGTGACAACCGATAACGAGGCTTCTGTCTCTTATCCGTCGATCCTTTGGGTTTCTTCTTGTTGTTATTATGATGCGATGATGATTTTTGACGCAACGGTCGTGTCCGCTGCGACTTTTCCTTTGGCACATTCTTTTTTTCGATCTGCGGTGTTGAAGATGAAATGGGACTAATTGGATGAACTCCTACACGAACAATATCGGCCATTGTCCTTTTCGGGATTTCGGCATCTTCAATTATCCTTCCATGCATCGCGGACGATCGTTCAGGTGTTCCCACTGCGTTGCTACTTTTGGCCGTAGACCATCGACGTCGACGTTGAGCTGCCCCGTCCCAGTGTTGCGAAGGCGCCGGTTGCGTCGATATTGAAGGCCAATCGACCAACGCGCTGGATCGGCGACGAGGAGTCCGAGAGGAAGCCACTGATGATTTATCATGGCGATAATTTGCGCCGGAAGCATGGGACGAAGAAGGCATAGCGCCATTCACGCTTAGGCTACTATGGCGCCTCCGTCGTTCCTGAAAGCTGGGCCGTCGATTATAACGGGCAAAAATACCGTCCATGGTCCGTTCTTTCATATTTTTCTTACGATGAGGTTGCAATAAAAAGAACATTGGTGACGGCACAAGGGAGGGATGACTTCCGTGGCGCATATTTCGCATTTGAGTGATGGTATGAAGCGTTTGTGGTGAACTGTATCGGGGTTGAAAATGAGAATGCATGCGTTCTGAAGAATATGGATGTAGTGCAGATGATGATGGAGGTTGAGGTTGGTCCGGTAAATCCAGATGTGCATTGATGTCTAGCAACGGGATAGTTTCTGGATGTGGATAAATGCCTTCGACCATACTATTACGTCGATCATGATGATGAAAATCGTGCAAGTGCGGATGAATCGATGATAAGTAAGTGGGTGCTAACGGATGATGAAGTGTATGAAGTTCGGTAAACGACATTCGTCTGTTATCAATGATAGGAACAGGTGTTGATGTATCAAATGATAGGAATTCGTAAGGTTCGCATAGGACGTTCAATGGTTCAGAAGCAAGCATCATATCCATCGCTCGTCGAAATTCCAGCCGTAATCCTGTCACCGAGGTTATATCTGCTGAATTACCTAAATTACGTGATACGTTGAAAGGCTCTTCCACACAGAAACTGAGATTTCGCCCGGTGTTCCAGCCTTTTTCCTGTTTCGATAGGTAGCACCCATGTCTCACAGAAACCACTTGCTCGTCGTAATCAAATTCAATGGCGAACCGACGGAAGAACGCGAACAATAAGCCTCCCAGACTCTCATGGTTTGCTTTTCCAAAACCTTGGAGTTTTCCAATATGTCGATAAAATGGATGCTCGTTTGGAGGATCGTCAGCGATATTGAGCTGATGCAATACAGGAAGAATAGGCGGTTGCCGCATTTGGAGGAAGTTGATGAGCATGCATGTCCACGTGTATGTCGATAATGTGCCGCCGTTAGCTAAGGACGAAAAAAAAAATATAAATTAAGATTATATTTCCAATTAATTATATCGAAGAGCTGAATAGTTTGTCATGTCGCCAAACAATGTGTACCTGCATCGTTCAGTATACGTTGCTTCGTCCATTGCTTGATGATCATAGCCAAAGGTCGAACACGCGGATCGATGGCCACATATGCCTTGATCATATCGGTATTCTGCAACGCCAGGGTATTATTTACGTTGATATCGCAGGCCAGCTGTCTGTTGATCATCCCGTTAATTTCTTTGTTCTCTCATGTGACAGCGCATATTGTATCGTTTTCTTTTTTTTCTCCAATACATACGATTCCGGATCAAATAAGCGTACAATGGGCACCTTGGCGCGAGGAACGCACACAACATGCTGCATACCATCTATAATTTCCAAAAAAAAAAAAAAAAAAAAAATTAAGACCAAAATCTCAAGAGGCGCACTCTCGATCCAATGGAGACTTACGATGTCGAAATAATCTTGCAAGAGTACGGATATTACGAAGTCCATTCCACTGCGTCGTAATACATAAATCAACATCGGATTGACTTGTACCAAGATCATTCACAGAGGATCTGAGCAAAGTGTGGCTCGATGGTTAGTAATCTGTTACTTATGTCATTATTTTCGATCATTTTCGCATCCTACCCAAATAAATGGACTTTGATACCTCGGCCCGGCCATTCCATATTCAGCAATCGATCGATTTTATATACAAGCCCCATACGCCGATCGTAGCTTTCCCTTGACGGCAACAGTTCCTATAACGGTATTAGATAGCATTAAAGCTACGGGAGCGTGCGACATATTGCGGGGAAAGGTATGGTTACCTCGAACAGCATGAGCATTTCAGCACTGATATTACTCTCATAGATTGGATCAAGCGTTAAGGGTACATCGTCTAAATGAAGGTTTTCCAGCACATCGACGATGGAGCTGACAGCTGTGTTGTCCTGAGTCGCCGGGTCATTGCATTCCTCGTCGTTCATCGATCGGGATAGTGCTTCTTTGACGGCGGGTTCGTTGTTGGGCGGTGAACCAGCAGAAACGGAAGCGTTGCCAGTCTTTCCAAAAGACGGATGAAGCTCACATTCCTGAGTTGTATTGGACTGTTCCAAAATGGATGCTGGCATCCTTGAAAGGAAAAACGGTAGGAAGTTGATCGCGTGTTGCTTGTGCTTCGAGACATTATCTTCAATTTTCTGATCAAAGAAATCCAGTCACGCTCTTCGCACTGATTGACAACTTTGAAGCACAGATCATCATCACATAAGTTCCTGAGTGGATCAAAATTACGCTTTTTTTCAATAAAGGAGTAGATAATGTACTTGTATGATGCCATATAAATCAGTTCTCGCCAGTGCAAATTTAAGGAATATGCATTTCTGACATGACATATATGGACATAGTTAGCTCGATGCAAGGTGGATGAGGCAAGAAGCGTCAAACCATTGAACCCCGCCCCAGCCTTTGCGGCGTGTTGTCCAATGCATTCGTATTGAGATCGAACTAATGATCCAAAGAAATTATAAACAAACGGAAAAAAATATGCCATTCTTCATTGTGGAAAAGGAAAAATCGGTCTTTCTTTGGTACATATTGTGGTGCTCGATTCAAGCTAGTTAGCATGGTATCCTGTTCATTTCATGTATAATCTTTGGTAAAAAGGACAGATATCATAAAAATGACAAGTATCATACGAAGAGCATATTTCATAGACAGATTTAAGGTCATAATCAAGGAAGCATTCCGGAAGACTGATCCTACAATTTTTTCAATGACAGTTCGGTGTAAGATGTCGTCTGTATTATCAAAAGGATGGATTTGTATAAGATTGAGACAACGTACAAACGGGAAGGAAGCGAAAAAAAAGAGAAATGATAAGGTGATAAAAAGTAAGCACATTGTAAACAAGTTTCATTATTAGCGGGAAAAAAACTAATTCATGACTTGAAGAGGATAGAAAGAAAACAATAAGGGTCAAATGATCAAAGCTAGGATGGAGCAACAAGTGAAATGTCACTGCCACGTAATGCTGGATAGTTTAATGGTACATAAAAAATATGTTATGTCATCATTGTAAATTGGTCGCCTCTGTTCTCTTCACAATATCTACATCAAACCAAAAGATAAATAAGTTATGACATGAAAACTATAGTTTGATGCTTGCTACTGCTCACCAAAATATTTGTGATTCATGGCTTCCTGAGCCGTCAGACGTTCCTGATGGTCATATCGCAATAAATGATCCAAAAAGTCTATAGCTTCATCGGAGACAAATTGAACATTATCTTTGTTGATAAACTTGCTCCATGGTTTACGAGGGTAGCTAAGGAGGAAAACAGAGACGGTTGGAATGGACAATCCTAGGGCACTTCAGCGTTCAAGTCATCGGTTCTTACCTTCCTAAAATATCGTGGTACTGCTGATCCAGTTCGATATCATATTTATTGAGGTATGCGAACAACTCATCTGTGCCAAGCACTCTGGCAATTTTCACAAGTTGATCATAGTTGTCATGGCCATGGAAGAATGGTTCCTTGCGGAAGATCTAGAAAATAAAAACATCAGTCCCTGTCAGTTTTTTTTGACACAGTAATCGCCAGGCATATAACGAAAAGGTAAAAATGAACAAACATAGCTTACCATACTCGCGAACATGCAGCCATAACTCCATAAATCCAAACTGTAATCGTATTCTTGAAAGTCGACCAAAAGTTCAGGTCCCTTAAAATATCTTGATGCGACGCGAACGTTATACTCTGTGCCAGGATGATAAAATTCTGCTAAACCCCAATCAATCAGTCGCAGCTAAAAGAAGATGCTTTTTTTATCAGTTCTGATATGCAAATAATGGTAATTCAATCAATTATTTTTTACCTGGCGTTTTTCATGATCGATCATCACGTTATGAGGCTTCACATCACGATGCATGATACCCTTTGAATGACAGTAGTCTAATGCCTACTCAGAAACAATTATTATTAGCCATTGCTTTGAAAGCCTTCAACTAAGCTCAGTTTATTGAATCCTACCTTCAAAAGTTCCAGCATATAGTATCGAATATCATAATCGGTTAATCTTGGATATAGGATTTTGAAATCCGTATTGTTCACATATTCAAAAATGAGAGCCGGCGTCTTTGACTGTGGCATGAAAAATGGGTTCAACAAGGTGCACTGAATGGTGTTCCATGGGTAATCATCATGCATACCTGAGGATCTCTCACAACATCAAGAAGACCGACAACGTTGGTACCGCCTGCCAAGTTTTGCAAGATTTTGATTTCTCTCTTGATCTTCTTCTTCTTTACAGGTTTCAAGACTTTGATAACACAGCGTTCGTTGTTGGTAATGTTGATACCCTCAAAGACTTCAGAATATTTTCCACGACCGACTTTTCGAATAATTTCATAATTTTCTTGAAGACTACCAAGGGACGATCAGCATGTTTTGTGGGGAACCGTGCAACTCGTGTTACAGATTCTTGTCTGACGCTTACCCCCACTGTACTTGATGAGTGTCGTAATCCCAGTAACTACTCGGCATTCGACTATTGGCATCCGCATAGCAGCGAGCAACACTTTGATATGGCATTTTACTCGAGGCCATGACAAAGATATACCCAAAAAAGTCGAGCTGTTTTCTGTCTTCGATAAAAGGCGGAACCGACTTCCCCCAATCCCTCCCAGCCATTGGGTTTTTCCAATTTGCAACAAGTGACTACTTTTCCACCATCGCCGACCCAAAAATCTCCGCCAACCGATGCTGTCCCCTTTCAACGTTTCACAGCAATCATCCGCATGAACTTCACTCAGTGTATAGAGTCGACGACCAACTTCCAAAGATCATTTCAATCTGCAGCATCCTTTATGCACAACCATCACAAACCAATGTTCATAATATAGCTATTTCTATGCCACTATTCCGGTGGTTCCCTGGGGAGAAGATGGCTTCTTTCTTGTGTACTATCATGCCAACAGAAACCAACAGTGGTGCCTTATGCATACCACAGTGGATATATTTTCGCATGTTTGCTTACATTACATAATTCATAGTATATTTCGCAGCATAGGTGTTGATAACCAACTACGCCTTAATGAATAAGAAACAAAAAAAAAGAGGGAGCTTCAGTGGATTACAGTATGCTTGTGTCGAATAGCTTAATGGCAGGTTTTAATAGGTTCATTGATAATGCTAATCGGTATCAAAAGTGCAGGTGGTGCCATAAGTCTTGCCTCGGATAACAGCTAAATAAGCAAGATCAGATGTCAGCTTTCCATATGTAACTGATGCCAGGAAAAATTATCATGCACAAACCTTCGACTCTAAGTTCTACTTCGCCAAAATACATCTTTATAGATAAATCCACCTTTTCACCTTCCATCACCCCTGTCAGTGCAGGCATAGGGATTGTGAAATGAGCGACTTTTCGTACACCAGGACTTGTTGTGTAGCGGGGTTGTTCTTCGGTATCTGCAGCGTACAGTGTACAGGTGGTATGGTGGGGATAGTAAGCGAAAAAGTCCTTGGATACGCAATTGTCGGTTTCTAAGAAACAAGTCAGGATTTCCCTCACATAAATCATCGAAATATAGAAAAAAAAAGGCTGGCTTACCGAGCGGTTGCCCGCGTTGGACATATACCGAGAATCGGTTGTCACATCGTACACTGCCGTCGGCGCGAACGATCTTGTAACTGGGAGGATCGATGCCCTCTTCAAAGGTGGTGGTTGTATCGATACCATACCAATAACGTGGAATACGTGTTGTCACGACGCGCGGATTCAGACCGAAATAAACTGCGCCTCTCACAACCGCTAATTCACATCTGGGAGGCACAGCCACAAGACCCACTCGTGGTCCAAATTCTTGCTGAACACGCTCAAACAGGTAATTCGACGAACCAAAACCACCCACAAGGAAAATGGCTTGTAAAGAACCGGCCTTGAACAGTTGATCCTCGATTAGAGCCAGTACTTCGCGGATCACCGGTTCAAACACTTCTTGTTTCAGTTCCGCGGCGGTGATACAAAGCATGCCGTCTTCCAGTCCAATCGCAGGATTGTTCAGTGTGTCCAAGTTCATCGATGCCGGTAATGAAATAAACTGATCTTCCACACCATCAAACTGAGGCTTAATCAGATCGACAAATGTGTCCATCATCGTCTCGAATGCAGAAGCAGGAATCGATGACAAATATTCCTTGAACTTCTTCTTTAGCAATTTACGCATACGACGATCCAAAAATACAGAACCACACGATTGACCGTGGCCCTTTGTTGATTCTCGCAGTTTTCGTCCCATTCGTTCATCAATCTCAAAAACAATCAAATCCACAGTTCCACCTGAGCCAAAAAAAAGCTGTCAGTCAAACCAATCACTAGTTCCTAAATTTTACACGTTTATGGGATTCATCGGAGAGTGGTTACGTTACCTCCTGCATCACAGATCATGAATTTATCGCCATGACGAAGATCAAATTGATCACACTTTTTCTCGCAATACAAAGCAGCAGCTTCCGGTTCAGAAATAAGCATCAATCGATCACGGTGATCATCTTCCGCGATAAGACCAGCCTTAATCGCAGCATCGCGCATCGTGTTTTTGGCTCGGTCGGACCACATGGCGGGAACCGTTAAACACTAAACATCGATCAGTGTCAAATACCACAGGACGATGCGGCAGTTGTATATTGCACTTACATAACGGAATTGGTGTTGACCATAGTTACGAGCGAAGCCTTTCTTTAACTCATTCACCACATGTTCGTGAAATGCGTGAAGATAATCAGCAATAGCATCCACAATGGTAAGTCCATTGGGCAATGGTGGAAGTTCTTTCGCGATGTTCTCATCCAGATAAAGCTTATACTGCTTCAATAGGACCGAATTACGAGCAGTCGGTCGTTGCATTTCCAGTCGTGCCGCGTTACCCCATTGTGTCATTTGACTGGAGTTGCCTTGATAAAAATTCAACGTTGGCGTCTTTTTTCATCAACAACAACGGTTGTTAGCTACGCTGGGTATTTCTCTCCCTTCCTAATTTCTCCTCTTTTTTTTTATAGCTATTCCCTATCACTTGCGCACTGTTTGTCCCTTTCTCATCTTTAACCCATGTGGATGAATAAACGACGAGCCGACATGCTCACCTTTGGGTACACATTATTATTCTGCTTGGGCCTGCAAAAGGTACAAAGAAGCAACAGTGAGAATGACAAGCAGCTACGGAGAAAAAAAGACGATGTATTCTTACCATCTCACAATATCGACGACCTCATCGTTCTGGATAAAAGCATAAGAGCAGCCCGAGAACGTCGTACCTACAATCCGAGGGTTGAGTGCTCGAGTCTATAAAGATATCCCAGCCGGATAACGGCAATGACAGCAGTCCTACCAAAGTCGATACCAATGACCACAGGGTAATCGTTAGGATTAAAAGGTCTCGCTGCTGCCATAGAAACTTGTATTCCAAAGGGGGAAAGAGCGGTGAGAGAAGCCAAAAATAAAACGCTCACGGTTGAGTTTTTTCTTTTTTTTTTTTTTCTTTTTTCCTTATCCCTCGCAGTTCCCGCTTTTTCGAAGGATTTCAAACTACGCTCGAGCATCGGGTTCACGTCAAGTCCCAGAATGGAAAGAGGATTTTCTTTTTTATTCTTCGCAGCATTATGTTTCCCGATAAGAGATATTAAGTTGATGGATTGCTTGGCACAAAATTGGCCAACTGATACTGGCGTAACCTCTTAAGCGCTGTTCCAATTGAAGCATTTCGTACATAAACTTAAGATTCGGTTGAATGATCACGTTCAAGCGACGTGCCCGAACGTACAAATATGCTTGAATCAAGCTCATATGTAGGTAGTGCATCACATAACAAATAGTAATAGCCGCACTTCGACTGACTCCAACGCGACAGTGGATCAGGCACCGTGTGTTATTCGTCCGAGCATCATCTAAATTAACAAATAAAGACGAGTGAGTGGTTATATAAGAAAAAGTCACACATGAAGTGCTTTATCAGGCACCCGCATCCCCTGTCCCGCACATACCAACAAACATCATCGCTTCCTCCATACGTCCACGGATCGAGTCGATACCGTCGTCGTACAGATTGTCTAACAGCAAGAGCTTGAATTCATCGGAAGACAAGTTGGCATTTTCGCCCACGCTTACGACGTGGGTAATATGTAGTGCCTTTAGGATCCCGGAATTTGTTGCGTGGTTGAGATTTCCAAGATACAGGAAAGGTAAGATTTTCGATGGCAAGGATCCTTCAAAACGAGGGGAGAAAAACCACGGGAACCGAGCAAGGTCATCGTCGCTAGGCGGCAATGGCATCAACGAGGACAACAGTTGTGCTGGCATACTCTCGTCAATATCATTGCTGTTAAATTGCGTGTAACAGCAGTCAAGTAAGGGTACAGGTCGTCCTTCCACCGGTTTCGCAATGTCAGATTCGCCATCCAATGTGGTGGAATGAAAGGATCGGATGTGATATCGTTTCTCAGGTATTGTTGATGAACCGTTTTGAATATCAGGTTCGTTATCCAGCTCCTCGTCACCGTCTTCGATATCATCGTCCTCATCATCCAAATCGGTTTTTACATTATCTCTGATGCGCACATCCAGACGTTGCACAAGCTGATTGTCCGTGTAAGTAGATTTGCATTGGTTGTGACATTGGAGGTCCGTTGGGTTCAACTCCGTTCGTTTCCGCTTATGTTCGGAGGTTGTCTGAATGGACCGTAGCCGTTGTTCAATACGCCTTAGAACCATCACATCCACCGCATAAACAAAAAAGCTGCGTTTCTCTTGTAACATTAGATATGCTTCGGGAAGTCGAACCTTGTGTTTATACATAATCCATGAAAGAGCAAGTAAACTGGTATCCGTGTAACCGTCGGAACAGTGAATCAGCATATTGCGTCCTCGTGTCGCCTGATCGTCCATAAAAGCGAGTAAATGCATCAAACACGCATAAAATTCATCAAACGAAGTTGTTTCTGTAGGAACCCCCGTACTAAGAACATCCAAATGAATAATCTCGTCCGGTAACTCGTTTGGATCCAACTCGTCTAAATTCTCTCGGGCCAACGTCAGAATAGAAGGTAGCGGCATGTCGGCAAGATCGTGGGCTTCAATGCATATTGAAAATCGATGCGGATTGTCACATAAGTTGTTCCAATCAGCGTCCGATTCAATCATCTCGTCCGCACCTCGAGCAGAAACAGGAACATCTTGTGTATTGCCAAGCTACCGCTCGATCAGTTACGCTGGTCCGATAGACGATTAGAAGCATACTTACCCATATATGGGGTGTGACTTCGGTGGCAGCAGTCATGATTCGCATTTCTTCTCGCTCTTGCGCAAGGAAATTGAGACAGTGAATAGGCAGACCGTCGCTGCTGTATTGAACCAGCGAGGGAAACTGTCGTTCAAACGTATCAAAACCATCTACGCCAATATGTCATGAGTCGGCTGTACCATTGGACGAAGTGTTTAAGCAATTGCCCACAATACCTTTAATCACCAGTGTCCGATATGTCAAGGTATTGCAATTCTTGATGGCCCTCGAGCCAGCCGTTTGTTTGATGTGGTCCAACTCCTTCATTCGTTCCGCTCGTAAGCTCGCTTGCGCTTGACTGATTTGTTTTGCGACTTGTTCCGCTTCTGCACCGTAGACCACAATATCACTAATTGTGGCATATCTGGCTACCTGAATTTTGAAATTGCGAAGGTTGATACCCTGTTCCACTTCGTGTTGGAAGAAAGCTGTGCGTGTGATGTCGAGAATCTCGCTCGGAAGGACGGATTGCACAAGGCGGCGGTGATGGGGATACGCTTCGTCAGCGTGGACAAGTAATAAGCCACGATGCAGAGGGACCAGGCTACGGCGAATACGAAAAAAGAGATTTTGTTGGTAGGATCGTCCATCAACTCCATGCAACCAAGGAAACAGAATGTCGTTTGGCAACGGGCAGGTTGCATAAATGTCTTGAATGTCGTTATATTGTTCAGCCGAGATACTGAAAACGAGAGGATCCGTGGCTAAGGATTGTTGTAAGTACTTTTCAGGTATATCAAAAATGGCTTGTGTTTTCGGTTCGGTTTCAATGGCATGCTCCTCTTCCAGGGAAGGGGCTACTGCTTTGTCACTGTCATCGTCCTGTATAATGCCTGGTATCACAGACTCGTCGGTGGATTCCATGGGAACAAGCGGAGTAGGCAATATTTCGATTCTCGAAGCATTTGTCGACGCATTCACTTCCATGGCAAATGAGCAACTCAAAATCAATGAAATCTTTCCAATGACAAAAATCCGGGTTTTCTTTTTTCGCCACTGTAAAGAAGTACCTGGAAAGTTTTTCGCTTTCCTTTTTTGATTTCCGACGTCTCCCGTTTCACATGTTTCTCACCCGTATCAGAAAAGGAAACTTGTTGGAAACGGAGACCCTCGAATCAGGGTCTTGATATGTCATCCATTTTTTTTTTATTTTTTTTTTTGCGATCTGATCCGCCTCCATTGATGGTCATCTTTTGGTCTGTCATACATAAAGCAGTAATCCAAATTCCACTCCTTTATGTAAAAATTTGGCCCATCTGAAGGGTCGCCTGAAAATTTTCAGTCACACACCGTGTTCCAGCCTTTGTTCATTCCACACCAGGCACCAGTATGGGCTCGCACTCCCACTCGCATTCTAAGCACAAGTCCAAGAAGCGAAGACATTCAGACGATTCACACAAGGAAAGACACAGCCGAAAGAGAAAACATAGCCGGTCTCCTTCTGTCGAACACCCTTCTAAACGATCTCATCCGCACCATAAAGCGAGTGAAGAAAAAAATGCCAACGACGACGCTATTGCTCAATTAAGAAAGCTGGCTCAAGCGCAGAAAACGAAAGAACAGCCGAAAGAAAAAAAAGTAATCAGTACTCCTGAGACTAGTCACCATGGTCGTCGACAAGTCATGGTTCCCATGACCAAAGAATCTTACGAGAAAGAACGATCGATTATTCGCCGCGAACTCGATCCTGATACAGGTCGAATGCGGTAAGTAGCATTCAACTGAGGTGTCTGTTTGCTTGTACGAAGTTACTGATCTCGTCCATCGCGCCATTAGTTTGGTGAGGGCGACAGGCGAAATCCTGGAAAGTGTGGTGACTCGGGATCAGCATCGTGCCATCAACAAAACCGCGACTTTGAGTGATGGTATCAACTTCCAAGCTCGTCTCTCTCAACAAATGCATCACATATCGTAAAATGAACGACACTGCAACTCAGCTTACGTTGTCTCGTGAAATACTGCAATTGCCGCACCGTAAAGAGTATGCTGAAGTATCTATCGCAAACCATATATTTGCTTGTCCTTGATGGGAACGAGAGGAACATCTTCTCGACCATACTCAACACTTGCCATTTTCCATTGATATCCTCTATATGAAGTGTATTATTTCTCTGAATGAAAGGTTCGATAAAAACAAACAGAGGCAAACAGTAAGCAGCTTGTCTTCCCAGTCAATTAATTTACTGGCAAGTTACTTGCTTAAAAGTGAATCAGATTGGTGGGAATATTGTTGGTTTTGGAAAGAAGCATATGCGATTTATGCATTGCATAATGTGTTGCAAGATAATAATGTACAGTATATGGGGTCAAGAGATTATACCTTGATCTCCTTACAATAGACACTGTTTTTTTTTCTTCTTGCTTATACTGGTATTGTTGATGCACCAGGTCTATTCTTGAGTTTTGCAATAGCACATCCTTTAGCGAGGCGCGGAATCTTGCTGCAGTAGGTCGCCTGGTATGAAGCTCCAGACGGTCCCCACCATAGCAATTATTGCAGTAATAACGATCAATCCAATGTTCAAGGTCCGTTGAAAGGCTGATATGCTTGACCAAAACATTTTAAGGTAACACAGTAATGGAATAATGATGCATGTTACAGTTCCCAAGGCGGAGCCAAAGAAGGACTACAAGAATTGGAAGAAAATCAACACATGCAGTTTGTCAGTCAGTTCTCCCACGATAGTCTTACAAGAATTCGGTCAAAGTCAGGGAAAAGGATTGCAATTGCCACTGCCGCTATACTTGTAAGCACATATATGATGTAACGGAGCACTCCCAGCAAAGGAAACTTGCGTAAAAACCGAGCTTGTGCCAGACCTCTTGCCTCCATTTCATAAGTGATCTGCAAGCACAATGCATACCTGCGCATTACCGCACGTCAGTAATGAAAGATTATCCGGCAGCCACACTTTGTCATCCACATTACTTGCTCACTACAGTCAACACAATGGTCCACACCACAAGTTTGTTCAGCTAAGAATCGATTCACAAAAGGTTAGCGAGTGATCTTCAGTATCAAGCGCTAAAACTAAGAATTTACCACGATGCTGTAATCCGACTGGCGCTGTATTCGATCAATTTAGGTTACTCCAAAAAAAAGAAAAATTCATTGTGTGCAAACAGCATCCCACTTACCAAGATATTTTGGGTGATTTCTTTCTCCGTGTTGTCGCCAAACATAAGGTACATCGTTGATCCCCTGTTCCTACAGTTACACAAAGCTAATGCATAGTTTTGACATACACTTGCTTGCTTACATGAACCCGTGGAGGATAGTTGTAAGTGTGAACGAAGCCAGCAGCACCCGAGAATACAAATGGGGCGTCTTCATCTTCTTGTAGATACTAAGTATGGTTTGGTTTAGCATTATTTGGAAGCTTGTCAAAGGGCGGGCATGATATATACCTAGGGAAAACAATGTGACCAGCGAACACATAACACATAATACCTAAACCATAAGGCAGAAGTTTCCAATTGGTAGGCCACAATGATGTCTGCATTGGTTCGAGAAGCGATCCCGGTGCATGCCTTTTTGTCAGCCCATCTATGCATGAGACAATAATCAGTCCCAGCGAGCTGATTGCACCGATGCAGCTGGTATATCCTAAGTATCGCATTGGTAACATTGAGATACAAGTGACAATCGGCATGGAAACTAGTTTAATATGGATGATATCGAATTCTGGAAACAGTTCGTGGACGTTGTCAGCACAAATGAGTGCATTTGCTACACCGTTGCCGAAAGCCTCAAAGATGAATATGATGCCCATAACAATCCGGCCTTTTTTTCCCCATAGAACTGTACACAGATGCACTATATGTTTTCTTAAATCAGCGCTAGTCATAGTTGCGAAATAGGTCCGCAAGTCGATTTTACCGTAGCTCGTAATATCTTCATTGAAGCACTGCACTAAGCGGTTTCCGGTATAATTGCTGAGAATGGCCCACAAGAGAAAAAACGACCACCCAATAAGCCATCCGGATACCCGAAAAGCGTATGGGATGGATAACAACCCCAATCCGAGAAGAATGTTCATCGTATTGGTACAGCTTTGCCAAATCCGAAGTTTTCTCTCTGGGACAGCAATATCTTTGTGCTCTTCATGTGTTACTTTGGGAAGCGTCTTTACAGATGGGGATATCGTGACCGAGCTGGTGGTAATAGGATCAGTTGGGGTTTGCCCTAAGTACCCTATGTTTCTTCTGTGCCATAAATTTTTTCTCCTACCTGTCAAGGACATTACAGCAATCATTTTCGTGCACGGTCATGTCAGATTGCATGAAAATAGAATCTTGCTGAGACAGACAAGTAGCGCTTGTAAGAAAAATAAAAATAAAAACAAAAGAAAAAGAATGAAAATGGCGAAATTGGCAGATGTATCGGTCTCGGGCGAAAATAAAGGCTAGTGCTGTCTTATGGGGAGCCATTTCCTTTTGTTTATTTCTCTTAACATGTTTAAAAGATGCAAATGGCTTCATACAGAAATGGAATGAGCTGATAGATGCGCGAACTTTATTTGGGTTTGCTTTTCTGTGTGGATGTACCATACAGGATGGATCGGAAAAGTTTGCATTATAATCGAATCAGCGATTCCTCATCTGTTTTATTTTCCGAGCGAGTTCCTTCTTCTGTTGACGACAATGATCGGGAAGGTAACGACGATCGAGGTACAGTCGACGTACCGGAACGAATTTCTTGCAGTTCAACCTCAATATTTTCCTCATTCATGGATCTGACAGGTTGATTATCCGAATTAGAAATATCCAAAAGGCTACATTGAACGTAAATCAGGTGAGTAAGATTTCGTTAGATCGTTTTCCGTCCCCACTCCTCGCTCTTTGGCCATTCTCTTTTGCTGTAGATCTTTGATCTTTTTGTTTACTTACGTATCAACGGTTTTAGCAACCTGGCCATCACTGGCTTGGAGAATCATAAAACAAACATCGGGATCAACGTTGGGGAACATAGCAATAACGGTTTTGAGTTTGTCATCAAATGCTCTTTGCATTTCTTCCCGTCGGCGTTCGGAAACATGCATATGCGTTGCCTGTGGTGGCAATTGGGCTGTCGCAAGAGTTTGTTGTGATGCATATGGCATGTTGCCCGGATAAACATGCTGCCATCCTCCTGGATATCGTCCCTGCGAATGACCATGTAGTTGCTGCTGTTGCTGCTCATAATATAGCCGCGCCCGTTCTCTATACATTCTTGCTTCTTCATCATCCGGAACCGGTGTTGCTTCACGTTGTTGTTCAGGTGGACTTGTGCTTAACGGAGTATTCTCCCCTAATCCTTGTAGGATCTTGCCAACGAAATCTAATGGTTTTTGCATCGTCTTTTGCGCGAAATTACTTCCTTTTTCAAGTAGCGCCGCCGCCTTGACAGGATCGATGAGCAAAGGTGTTTGCACCTGTGGTGACTGTGAAGGGTGGACTACATTATCATAGCTGATTTGGCGTTTATCGTGCGTGATGGATGGTCGTTCCTGCTCCAATTCATTCATTGTTCGTTCAATGTTCCTGTGCGTATTTAAAGAGACATGAATTAGTCAATGATAAACCCTGTACATGATTGTGTGAGTTCGACGATCCATACGCATCAAATTCTTCTTTGGTAATAGATAATGAGTTGGCCTCCATAGTTTCAATGAATGTAACAGCACCTAGCTATTTTCTGGTTTAATACATCATTTGCTCTGTCTAACCATTGTGACGATCTCATAAATACCAGATTTGTCAAGTAATACCCTGCTTCCGATTGGAGTTGCTCGGGATTTCTGAACCGCGAAATGTATCTTTTTTTTCCATGTGAGTTCGCAGAAAGTAAGAGACATCATTCCAATGAGTTACTTACTGTATATTAGAGACCAGTCGAGGAGGGTTGGCGCGGATGACAACGTAGATAAGGACAGGTAAGAATTTATCAGCGCCTGCATCACCTTCCACATGCTTAATCAGACCTGTTCGTTCGAAAAGAAAACGATTAATACCTCTGCGTCCAGGCGGTATCAATTTCTCAGGTTGTTTACGTACCAAAGATGACTTTACAGCAATTTAGGACACAGATCAACTTGTCTCTTGGCGCTTTGTAATTGTTAATTTTCAAAAGTTCTAAAGATATAAGAGCATGTTAAGCGCAACTCTTTTCTCAGATCATTTCCAAGAGTACTTTACCAGATTCTGCAAATGTCATAAAAGACGCATTATGACTGGTCACGGGTATATCAAGATGTTCTTCTCGGATCCATCGGAAAATGCTAATTTTTTGGTGTAAAATCTCGTCGCGCTCTTTATCATCGGTCGTGCTCGGTGAAAAGGTACTGAATTCATGAAAGTTAACATCGTCGGCCCTGAATTCCAAGAGGCATCATCCTGGAAGCGATCACTTACGCGTGGTATAATCGATTCATGACTAACTTTTCCATTCCCTCTTTAGCATTCTCGAATTCCTGATCGCTGACATCGCGCCACACTTCGCATTCACGCATTTTGACGTAAATAAACTAGAAAATAGGTGTATGTTTAATCAACCGTAATCGAGACCCTTTTTAAAGTGATTATTTCCTGCTTACATCGAGAAAATCTTGAATGATTTTGATCTGTTCTTTCACACTCCATGGCCTTCGATCGAAAGCTTGCAAAAAGCTATTGAAGACGATCAATAAACCTGAGCATTAAGCGACGAGATCAGTAAGGCGTGGTGATCAGCAGAAACCCACCTTTTAAAATAACGAGTGATAGGCATGGCGCTTCGTCGTTTCATTTGTTCTAAAAACTTGTTGAAATCAAAGGGTATCTCCTGACGCTGAGGTGGTGCTGTCACATGGACCGTCTTTTGCAAGTCGGATATCGATGGTTTTTTAGGTTCATGACCGCTGGGCTTTCGTTCTATTGATGTATCGGTCTCGACTGCTGGTTTGGAAGAGGCTAGTGGCAGGCGCCCGGGTTTAGTCTCCATTTCTCGCATCGATGATCCTCATTGTGGGTGAGCTTACCTGAATCAGGTTTAATATTGAGTTCCTCTTGCTGGCTATCAAACTGTTTGAAAATCTTTTGAAATTGGGAGTCATTGCGAGCCACTGTATGCAAGCGTGGATCGCGTTCCTTTGATTTCGCTTCTTGTTGTTGTTCCGAGTCATTCTTCACATCGCTATTGCAACAATGCAGTTTTAGCTGAATTGCGGCATGGAAAAGTCGGCGAGGCATAAGAGCTTCGAAATACATACGGTGTATCATCTGGTAGATCCGATAAAAGTTGGTCAATGTCGTGTTGTTGCTGTTGCTGCTGGCGGAGTGCTTCCTTTTCATCGACAAAGTCATCGTCTTCCACGACGTTGGAACGAAGCTCGGCTTTTTCGTTGAACTCGTCAGCCAGAGCATCTGTATCCGACATGGCTGGCTTGCTACTATCGTGAGGTGCCTGATCTTTATTTGGTTTCATAACAATGGGCTGACACCAAGTGGAAAAATAGAAGAAAGAAAAGAAAAATTACCAGCCAATTTACAAAAAAAAAAGGACTTAACTCCGTTAAAAAGCGCTCTGACCGCGTTGAGACAAACGTCATGGGGAATCGGATACGTTGATTGAAAGATAAAAATAAGGCTTCTTAAATTCTATGTAAGTGTAACTCGGGCCCAACTTTTGATTCATGTGTAAAGTGAAGGTACAATGACAAACATCCACAGGTTATTCTTATGATGTGATATCAGACCTCTTTTATTCCCAAATGAATGAAATGGGGGAGTTCGACACGGAGCTGAATTTCCTCGTGAAGAACCCCGACCCATTATTTTCCCGGCACGCTCAGGGGCTCTGCGTAACGGCGATTAACCTTGCTGGCATTCATTGAGCTTTACAGGACAAGTCATAAGCATCAAACTATAGGAAAAAAATTATAGAGGATGTATCGTATGTACTACTATACAGCAAGATGATTAATATCTGAAATATCAGGAACTTTTCTAATAATAGAAATTACATTTTTTTTCTCAAGGCTAAACCAATGCTGAATTTTACCGGAACTTGCCTCCGCACAAACACAAATTACGTCGGCTAAGACATTTTAAAAAGGCTCATCAAGCAAGCTCAAGCTGACTATACGCCATAGTTTATTTAATGGTGGTGCAGTCGATTGATTAAAGACTGCTTTGTAATATAGATAAATTATATTTGTTACAACGGTGCGTTGGGCTGTAGAATGGTTTTCCAAGTGAAATTGGCCAATTTGTTTCGCAATTCATACAATGATTTGGTTTCAGATGATCATTTTGCCGTCAACTTTTCATCCATAAATCACCATAATGCATGCAACAAAAAACAACACGATAATGAGAAAAAAACAGACTAATAGCTTTGTAGTTTGATTTATCTAAATCCGTACATCATATAAGCAGATAAGGAAATTATCATTGAGTGGTTCATTGCTAAAAGCTGGAATCAAGAAAAATGAAAAAAGGTCGAGTCAACTGAGACTTATAATAGCATTGGAGCAATTGTAAATTAACAGTGTTTATTTTTATCAATCACTTTCGGCTGTCTTGTAAACGTTGCGACCTGTTGATGTCGCGGACGGGGTTATGCCGAGATTTGGCCATCGCAGTTGGGTGAAAATAAATAGATTTCTTTGGAATATGCATGACTGAGTGATTTTTTTTCTTGTAAGATGACCTATGCGCACGGGGAGAGAGATGTGTAAAATCTCGCGCAATACATATGATTTGATCAGAAGGATAGTAAAAAATTCGATCAGTGTTATCCTGATCCATGATATTGTGCTTTGACATTTGTAACATGTCAGATTCCAAATTTTGGCCGTCGAAGCTCCGGAACTTATGAGTGATTTATATGATTCCACGGTAAATTCGGTATAAGGTGTGCATTATGCAGTACGAGTCAAGTTTATTCTGTACTGTTTTATATCCAGAAATCAAATTGTTCTGCGTCCGGATAGTGAATCTTATCACATGCTAAGATGATACAGGCATGGGAACTCAATTCACTGCAGCGAACATAAAAATGCATTGTCACTGAATACCCAGAGCCGATCATGCATGTGTATAAAAAGAGCTCATAACTCGTTTATTTTTTTAAACCTTTCCTCGGCTTTCCTTTTTCTTTCTTTTTCCGCTTGGATGGTTATTTTCATTCGACAACTGAAAGCATTTCTATATGCCGAGGAACGCGATAATAATCGAACGCAGAAAAAGGCTCTCCAAGTAAAAATCAGCAAAGAACCTCCCGCTATCCAGTACTTTGAGAGGAATCAAGATGAGTTCACATTCGAGCTGATATTTGATCCTTTCGTCTGCCACGACGATGAAGCAGACCATCCAGACCTATTACTTCTCAGTTCAAGAACGTTGGAACCGCACCCAGCCTATACCCCTGGATTCGCTCAGTTTAAGAAGTTCTTATGGCCATCGCGCGTTCTCGCTACATCTGTGGCGTCGGTTTCCATCAAATCTTCTAGTGTTTTAAAATCCTCACCCCAAAAGTTAGTAAAACATAATATCTGTGCTGCTGTATAATCATGTTATTCTCTATTCATTACTTTATCTTTCATTCGATTCGTTGTATTTTTTTTTTACGCTCATGGCTGCAAACTATTTGTGCTCTTTCTTATGCTTTTGCCTTTTTTCCTTTCTTTTCCCATGCTTCTACAAAAATATCAAAAGGGAGTTCACACGATCTCCGCCTTCCCTTTGTTTATGCTCATCGTGTAACCAATAGCATGATGCATAAAATGTATGATCGTCTGCCTCGTCTCGAGTTTTAGCCTTCTCAAGTCAAATTTTGGAGCAGCATTATTGTGCCAAACCCATGTCGCTGTTTTTCATGGTTGATCTTTGGCCTTTTCTGCAACGACCCAAGACTGTGCTGTGACGGGTTTTCTTTTGCAGGGCAGCTCCGGTGCTGAAGGATTAAACTGACCATCAAAAATAAAAACCGTGGGCTCATTTTGCTTCACGGTGCATCAGAGAAAGAGACCCATGTTGACTCAAGTACGACTACTGAGTAGAACCTTATGCAAGTACAACGGTAGACTCTTGCTGTAGTTTGTAATGTTAACCCCTTCCTATATTATCGCCATCAGTGCGTCAAGGTAAATCGTGTAACGCGATAGCCTGGCGTCAGTCCATGACCGGTATGGCCGGTGTCGCCATTCGTCGCTCCATCAGTGTGTCTTCTGTTTCTGATCTTGTACCTGACACGCACAAACGGTCATTCGGACAACCAACCGTGCATACGCATCCTTATCTGATGAAAAATGGAGAAGGTCCGCTGCAAACTCAATGGACGAAATAGACCAGGATCCCCTAAAAGGGCTTATTTTTTTTTCCATATCTGTAGTGACCCCGGGACTACCTTCGAGCGAGTTTGAACAAAGACGATCAACCTTGATGAAATCACTTCCCAAAGGCAGTGTGGTGGTGTCACTGGGATACGGTACTCGCTATATGACCAACAACATCTTTTACCCCTTCCATCAAAATACCGATTTTTGGTACCTTTGTGGGTTTAATGAACCAGATGCTGCCATGATCTTGCGTAAGTAATCACTAATATATTTCACCATGCAATTTAATTAACGGATATGGTCTTTCGAACCCAAAAAAGAGAAAGACGATTCACCGCGTGGGTATAAACAAATCATGTTTGTGCCACCCAAGAATGCAGACGCAGAATTATGGGACGGTCCTCGCACCGGCGTACAAGGTGTCAAAGAATTCTTTAATGCTGACGAGGTAATACAAGAGTAGATGATGATCGATTGGACATTTTGCAATGCGTGTCTGACATCCTGTGCCTTTAGGCCTATGATAATTCCCGGTTTCCGGTCTTTTTGCGGGAAGCATTGAAAGCGGAGAATGTATTTATTGATCCACCGAAAAACATGCCTACCTTGTTGGAGGACAAGCAGATCATTAGCCTGATTGAAACTGGTATGCATCCATCCAAGGAAACTTCGGCTTGGTCAAAGATCCACAGTATGACGGGATTCCTTCACGGTGTGTAAGCGGATAGCCCAACATGACTGCCAAAGGATATAGGGGGGCTACAATCGATGAAAGACCAGTAAACTGAGGAAAATTTGTCGTAGGCAAGAAGATGAGCGCCATCAAGCCACTCAGTACGCTTATTCAGGAATTACGTGTGGTGAAAAGCGACGCAGAAATTGATATTATGAAAAGATCCGGACATATCAGTGCCAAGGCTTTTATCGAGGTAACGAAAAAGAAGAGTATGGATCCCTTTTTTTCGCCGTCGTATACTCATGCCCGAGGCTGTGATTAGGCCATGAAATGGACACAACCTGGTTATACAGAAGCTCAACTTTGGGCTAAACTGGATTATGAATGCCGTATGCGAGGATCATCTATTCTTGCCTATGTACCTGTTGTTGCGGGGGGTCCCAACGCTTTGTCCATGCATTATGTTAGAAATGACATGAAGCTCAGGTAAGCATTGGAAAAGGGTGCCAAATCGGCTGGAAAAAAAACAAGATCTACTCACAAGTTCCTATTGTAGAGATGGCGATCTCGTTCTTGTCGATTGTGGTGGCGAGTACAATTATTATGCTAGCGATATCACTCGAACATGGCCCGTGAACGGCAAGTTTACTGAACCACAGCGGGAGCTGTATCAAGCCGTTTTAAATGTCAACAGAGCCTGCATCGAGGTGAGCTGGGCTCATCGCCATTAATGTAATCAGTTTTGTTGACCTTATTTTTTTTGCTCTCCCACTAGTTGTGTACAGTAAAACAAAATATTTCTCTTCATGGCATTCATGCAGCCTCTGTCAAGTTGATGAAGCAGGAACTTCAAAAAATAGGATTTTCTACCACTGCATGGGTAAGTCTTGCGAAGCACAAGGACGATACCACAACGAATGGATTCTAATCTTTCCGATTTCCCTTCCAACGACGGCATAGGATTTGGAACGAGTGCTTTATCCTCATCACGTGGGTCATTACCTCGGTTTGGATGTTCATGATGTTCACAGCTTGAGCCGTTCACGTAAATTGCGGAAAAATATGGTAATCACCATCGAACCCGGAATCTATGTGCCATTCGACGACCGGTTCCCTCGCAAATACCAAGGCATCGGGATTCGTATCGAAGACAACGTCGTCATCGGAGATACCACGCCTTATGTTCTTACAGCCACTGCTCCCAAAGAAATTGTGGATATTGAATATTGCTGTGCGAATAACTAGGTGCGGGTTTACGTGATATTACATTCGGTTTTATTCGCTGTCAAAAGATTTTTTTTTAATTTCTAAGATTTAACCCTAGAATGCATTCATCGATACATTAATAGAGCTCTCTATTGAAGAAAAAAAAATGTATGTGTTCATTTGTAGATAAACTTACCTCGAAGGAGTTGGATTTATGTTTGGGAATAAATTGGAAGTCTTCAGGAGCAGGGCCCAAAAGAAGCTCACTAAAATAACAGATCGTGAGCAACGCCACACTGACTCAGTCAATTTGAATATTTCTTTGTTCTTACCTTAACTTGACCCAATCAGAGGCACGAGGACTGGCCATCAATGTCTCCAAATCGTCACGACCAAAATATGGAGGAGCTCGCTCATTGATATGTTGAGGCACCACTTCCAAAAGTCCCGCAGGGATGTATCTAACAATAGCGTTCGTTAACTAGGTTTTCCCTTGGCAACATTGATTCCATAGCTTTGGACTATCAGTTCCATACCTGTATAAGAAGGATTGCCATTCGCACAGGAAACGTCGAGTGGCGTTAATACCTTGACTGTCGGTACCCCAATGCTCCAAACCATAATCACAAAAGCGTTTCAACATATCAAAACGCTCGCGAGAGGAGATATCCCAGTGTCGCTGATTCTTGATCTCATCAAAAATCCAGGGTTTGATCAGGGCACCGCGGCCAATCATGACAGTATCCACGCCGGTTTCTTTTTTGTGCTTGTTGTAGTCTTCAAAACTAAGTACATCACCATTGCCACACAAAGGCATGTTGTTGGTCAACTTTTTCAATTCACCAATGTAATCCCAATTGGCCAACTTGGTGTAGCGCTGCATACGTGAACGACCGTGAATGGTTCCCAAGGCCATGCCCCAGTCTTCCAATTTTCCAATCAGCTTATGGGCCGTCGGCTGATCTTGCTTGATGCCCGTTCTAAACTTGGCCGTGACAGGAACATCCAACACGCGCTTCATGCCTCGCAAAATTTTGGACATACGACCACGAGCATCCATCAACGCAGAACCTCCGCCCTACCATATGCGTATGAGTGGACCGCAGCCAGTAGCACCTTGATGCGCATCACACACTTACCTGGTTGAATACGAGATCGATGGGACAACCCATATTCAGATCGACAAAGTCGACGTCCACTTCCTGATTGATGATTTCGCAGGCTTTCACGGCATGTTCTACTTTACTAGCGCAGATCTGTGATACGAGCGTCGTTTTAGCCCCACCTCTTGCATTCTCAACAGTGCCAATGGGTTACCTGAATACCAAAAATATCCTCAGAAGCGTGGCGCTTGGTCAACGCCCACTCGGATTGCTGACCCTGTTTCCAGACAAAGATTGGATAAGGAGATCCACAACCTTAACGCTTCAGTGATAAAACCTTACCTTGAGCAAGTTTTGACACATGGCCATTTCACCGCAAGTAATATCGACACCAAACTCTTTACAGATTCTTCGGAAAGGCAAGTTACCCACCGTAGTCAGTGGAGCAAGGTAGGTCTTGTTGCGGAAATCGATAATCTTCTTGTAGCCGGTATCGATAGGACCCACCGACTTCTCTTTGGGCTCGACATTCATGTTTACATCCGGCAAGTCATGGTCAATGGGCAATTCCGGTTTCTCTTCATTAACAGTCGTTGCTTCCTTTGCTGGGGCTTCCACCACTGTTTCTGTTACCACTTGTTTGCTGACCACCGTTTGGTCATTGTCGGTGACTTTTGTCGTTTCTGTCGTTTCAGTGGTGACAATATGCTCAGTTTTTTCTTTCTTGGCAGAGGCATCTTGGCTGTTTTCCGGCCCCTTTTCCTCTTCCGCTTCAAGAGCATCGAGTTTTCTCTTACGATTCTCGGCCTTCATATCCTCTTCAGCTTGCTTTTCCGCTTCAACTTCCTTCATATACACTTCACTCTTGGGAAATTTGAACTATTCGATCCCAAATTTGCTCAGTATCCCATCCAACCGATACTGTATGACTGACTCGCTCTTACCTGGAAATTCTGCAGTGCCTGTTGAGTTTCCGAAGAGATACCGTTCGTAGTATAAACGGGGTTCTTCTTCACAAGCTACCCATTCCAAACTGTTTAAGTTTCTCTCCTTTTGTCATCATTCCACTATGAAAGAGCAAAACGTACTTCTTCATTCACGATAAGCTTGCCATTTTCGTCCAAATGGGCCTTCAAGAAACGGCATTTAAAGCCGTGACGGCACCTGTCAAAATGTACCGGTGAGCATTCTCGACTGCGATTGACATGCGTGCGAATTATATGACGTACTTTCCAAAGAGATCAAACTGCACGCAGCGATCGCCAAGATCCTCAGGCTTACTAGCCATATAAGCTTCCAAATCGTGCGAGAAACGGCAACTATATGCAAGTGATTAGGGAACCTTCCTCGACTGCACTGGATCGTTAGATCCAAACGCACCTTTCGCCGAAAGGGCATGCTTCCTCGCGCGCAGTGTATTGACAGATCTATCAAGGTCATTTAATGCGAGAAGAAGAGGTGGGAATGGACGAGATCGTATCAGGAAATAACCTACTCTGAGATTGTCTTCGATACGTTTTTTACCGCGCTGACCCTTGTTGGCTCCCCTTACACGCTTGCCTTTTTTATCCTACCACTGTAGTGAGTACCCCAAATTTTTCTTTCCTTCAAACTGCAAGCTTACTTTATCGTTAAACTTTTTTCCTTCTTGGGCTTCGTCACCAAAGACTTCAGTAACTGCTGCCGCTTCGCCACTCTGATCATCCTCGAACCATTTCTCCTTACGGAACCTATGAATGAAAAAATGAGCAAAAGCGTCATATACTCGCATTTCGTCTTCAACGCACTCGTCTTTAATGGGCGCTTGGCCTGGCTTTCGTTCAAAGGTCGGCATGATTGAATGACAACTATTGACTCTGAATGCTCGGGCGAGGAAATATTTTTTTTTTTTTTTTTAGATCTGGTTTCCTGCGGGACTGTGACTTCCTTTGACCCAAAACCGGATTTGCAGGAACATAATGCACATTGGATAAAATGGCTCATTCGTTCAAACATTCTGTTTGTTAGCGATTGACATAAGTAGAAAATGGTTCGAAAGAAATCCTGTCGATCCATCAAACAGTGTGCTATTTGATAAAGGAGGGGGTTGCTGCAACAGCACAAACGGGGTGCGAAACACCCGAATCCCGACGCATAATGTGTGTCAAACAATAGAACTGTTTATAATGAAATATTCAATATGTCATTTGCATTATATCGGCTCATAAAAGTGAAGGCCCATAAATGGACAGTACTGGACTTTGATGCACACAACGAGTTGGAATGAAAATTTCGAGTATTTAAATGAAATAACCTTTGGATGATTGCCAGCTGCATCATTTGCAGAAAACCCTAGCTTTGAATCACCAGTAATCCTATTGCTTTCAACATTCTTTGCAGTATATTATAACACTTTTTAGACAAAGATACTGCTTACCCTGTGGTTGAGTTGTCTGCGCTTGTCAGACGTACAAAAGGATCGGAAAAATTTGTTACTCATTCTTGGTCAAAATAAAGCGACCATCATTGTGCTGGAAAGTGAAACCTTCAGAACGTATGTGCTCTCCTCATTTCAATATGTTCGAGCATTTTCGTATGCATAAAAATTTGATTTCATGATAATCTTATGCAATGCTAGTCTCATCCAAGGAATGCTGTCATTAAGCTGCAGTTCTCGTCAAAATCACGAATGTATTTGGCACTTACAGCGCTTACGCAAACAGAGAGATCACCTCTCCGTTGACGATAGAGGATGGAACTATTTCCATATGAATTATTTCTATTTGTGGTTTACAGAATGCAAACAAGATCTTCATGAATACACGACCTTGTTTCATGAAAGGAGACATCGATTCGGTGAATCATAAGCCAGTATAACTCAATCGAATGAGGCTATACGTAAACTCTCTATGCACGCATTGCAGTTACTGTAAGCTGGTAATCAAGTAAAGATTCACATACAAATAAAAAGATAAGCTTCAGCATACCTCAAGTGCGCCCATCACCTGTCAAAAAGAACTGGAGTGATGGGATGCCACGGTTGTCTATGGAAGAATACTATTTCGGGTATTTCAAATGAATCTAGGAAAGTTTTTTTTTCTTCCGTTGTGTATAATAAGTTTCCTAAAGCAAATGAGGATTATATTGAATCGGTTCTTTCCTTTGTCTTCAGGATGCAACTACGTAATGCCATCATTGCCATCGTCGCTGCATTGATGCCTTCTTTTGAGGCATACGAATTTGATGTGGATTGGGTCGCACAACATCTTGCTGCCCGGTCGCCATATCCCACCAAACATATTGCTAGCAAGGATATACTTCCTGAAGGATACACACTGGAACAAATGCAACTCATTGTACGTCACGGCACACGGTATCCTGAAAAGGACGATGTCGAGGAAATTGAAGCTGCGCTACAATTACTACGAACAAGTAGTAACCGAACCGCCGTGGGTTGGGTGGACGACTACGTGAATCCGTTCGATATGGAGCACGAAGGGCTGCTGGACAGTAAAGGCGTCGAGGAACAATACCTGCATGGACGTCGAATTGCTGAGAGCTATCCTACCTTTATCAGTCAAATTGCGGACGACCGGTTTACTGGCGTGTCAGTTTTTTCCTCCTACACCCAGCGCACCGCCGAATCTGGCGGAGCACTATGTCGTGGGATCTTTGACACGTATTCTAGCGCGAATACAGCGGACGACGAGTCATCGTTGAAGATGGTGATCACTAGTAAAAGCAATGATACCATGCTCGCTTTCCATGAACATTGTCCCCGATGGAAAAATGAGGTGCAGAACAACCCTTCGTCAAATATCCAAGTGAGCCGGTGGAAAACAAAAGCATTGGCGCCTATAGCCGAACGATTATCCGAGGATCTTGGCGTTTCTGTGGGCACAAAAGCGGTGAAAAACATCCATAATGGCTGTGCTTATGAAGTCGCTCAGCGAAATAACGCGAGTACATTTTGTACACTGTTCAGTCCTGAGGAGCTTTTAAAGCTGGAGTATCGTAATGATCTAAAGTACTATTACAAATATTCGTATGGCTTTGAGGAACTCAACGGACGCATGGCTTGCAATCTCGCAAAAAAATTGATGCAGGATATGGATGACGCAGTCCAGAGGAAGCCAAACCACGAGCGTCTAACCATCAAAGTCGGCCATTCAGAGACGATCATCCCTTTGCAAACTTTCTTTGGCCTGTTCCGGGACGACGAGCGATTGGAAGCGGACTCAAGTCCTGAAGTCATTGACCAGCGGCAGTTCAGGACATCTCAGTTTGGATCGTTTGCTAGTAATTTGGCGTTTCAAGTACTGAGTCAACAAAATACGGACGAAAAATACATTCGAGTATTAGTATCTGAAACCCCTGTCGTCGTACCTGGATGTGACACTGAACTTTGTCCCTACAGTCAGTTCCGCCAGTCTATCGAACCGAATCTACAATGTGATTTTGATACACTTTGCGAAGTCACCTCATAGAACAATAAAAAAGTAGGCATACAGTAATAGTAAGACTCAAGTTAGAGCTCTTCGCTGTCGGATACAGTCGTTTTATTGCTTTACCGAATTCGGGGGGGGGGAAGATCAATCTTTTACGGCAACCGAACCTATAATATTTGCCATTCCAAAACTGTTTTATAGTAAAGACGAATGTCTGTACGGTACCGCATATAAGATTATCTGCCAGCAAAATATAGTTAACTTCAGCACTATTGCAGGATTTGCAATCAAACGCGTGAGCATGATAGATACGTAACGGCAGTACTGAAGGATAAGGAATTCAATAATATTGATAGGTAGACCCGGAATGCAGGCGCATCGTAATACCTAACCAAGAAACTGAGGGTGTGATTCACCGAGATGGTTTTAGGAGAAATGGTAAAGACAGCATTCATGGTTGTACCAAAGCGAGCAAGCGGATTTTTGCATTATCCGGACCCTTTTTCATGTGGCGCAGTCAAAGCAGACTCGGAGTTAAATAATTTGAGAGTGGCCAGAAAGGAAGTGGGTTTCACTTTTCAACCCAATCGGCAATTGACCATGGCCACTGCTGCTGCTCAGATTCCTGTCTGTGCCTCTGTCGAGTGCCAGAACGAAGCTCGTTTGCAATGTCCTACATGTGTAAAGCAACGCATCACTGAAGGATCTTATTTTTGTTCTCAGGATTGCTTCAAAAAGAGCTGGGTAAGGGATACAAGGCACACTATGACTGTTCTGCACAGACATTAACAGCTCTTTCTAGGGCATGCACAAGTCGCAACACACCCAAAGCAAGGGTAGGTTTATACATTTCATGGATAGCTTCCAAATAGCTAAATGAAGCCAATTATTTATCTTTTTTTTCTTGCAGCATTGTATGATCCTTTCCCAACGTTCAACTACAAGGGTCCACTTCGTGCTTGTTATCCTTTGTCGCCTCGTCGAGCTATTCCAGAGTCGATTCAGAAGCCTGATTATGCTGAAACTGGTAAGTTCAGCTTGTAATCGAATCATGAATGATCGACTCATTCCAGAAATGGTCATCTAGGCATTCCAAAGTCGGAATTTATGCAAAGAGGAGGCGCTATCCGAGTTTTGAACGAGAACGAGATCAAACACATGAGAGAAGCTTGCAGAGTAAGCCCTAACTCAAAAAACATATCCATAAAGCTTGAAGTTCACTAGTTCATGCTCCACAGATCACTCGAGAAGTTTTGGAGATCGCTGCCAAAGCCGTGCGAGTCGGTATCACGACCGATGAAATCGGTAAGTTCGCTGTCTTTATTCTTAGACCCTTTCATGATGAGCATGTCATTTAACGCTTTGAGAAAGATCGTATCGTTCACGAAGCCACAATTGAAAGAGGCGCTTATCCTTCGCCTTTGAACTACAACTACTTCCCCAAGTCTTGCTGCACGTAAGTTTCCGTAATTCGGCGCAGTGTTCTATTTAAAGTTATCTGATCTGTTTTTTACGTCGACACATAGATCTCTTAACGAAGTGATCTGTCACGGTATTCCCGATCAGCGTCCTTTGGAGGATGGTGACATCATCAACATTGATATCAGCTGTTTCAAGAATGGCTTCCACGGCGATGCGAACGGTACCTATCTTGTCGGTAACGTCGATGACCGTGGTCGAGAACTCGTGCAGGTTACCCGGGAGTGCTTGGAAAAAGCAATTGCTGCAGGTAAAACTCTTGTCATTGACGTTAACTGCTCATAATAACAATTGACTTAATGTGATGGCGTTTCCTTTCTTTTACATCAGTTAAACCCGGTGTCCGATACCGTGATTTTGGTAAAATTATCGAAGATCATGCCACTAAGCATGGATTTTCGGTGGTTCGTGCCTTCTGTGGTCACGGCATTAATGAATTATTCCACACCACTCCCAACGTTCCTCATTATGCCAGTAAGTTTTGGTGAAAAGCGGGGCTTCTCAAACGATGTTTGGTCTGATTGTGTATGATAGACAACAAAGCGATCGGTATTATTAAACCAGGTCACTGCTTCACAATCGAGCCTATGATTTGCGAAGGCGTGTGGCAAGATCATTTGTGGTAAGTTGAGGCTAGTTATAATTTGTCCGTACGCACACGGCAATCTAAAATACTACGATACTCTAGGCCTGACGGCTGGACGGCCACGACCAGGGACGGCAAGCGATCTGCTCAATTTGAGCATACCTTACTTGTTACTGAAACCGGTGTAGAAATTTTGACCTAGAAACAAGATTCCAATAAACCCTGATCAACTGTATAAATTGATTGTACCATCGATAATGCGAATCTATTCAATGATACATTGAGACACGTAGTATTATAACTAAACGGTTTAACGGATCTAGGCTACATATATGAAGCGAATTGTAATATAACAATTGGGGTTGTTTGATCTGCCAGTGCTGGAAAGCTTTGGGAAAAAAAGCCGGAGATGAAAATAAAAAAAGTGTCGTCACCCCGTCTCCACGCAACGTCACCTGGGGCAGTCGGAGTCTTTGGCTTCAAAACAAAATTGAGCAATGTTGGGACGGGTGAGAGAGTACACAACCGCTTCATTTTATTTAATCTTTTCATAATGGCATCAGCAAGCTGGGAGTATCCCGAGCACAAGCAGTTCGAACGGTATGTCAACTTGGCGTTATACAACGCCTTTTATGATTATGACTTATCCACTAATTTCTCATTGTCACAGTGTCCCCACCTTGGACCAAGTGGATCCTAACGATCGCAAAGGTACGCCCTTCCGAACCGAGGTTCTTTTTATCGTATTCTCCTATACTCACTTTTGCTTCGTTTATTCTCCTTTTAATTAGCCGTTTACGCTGCACGCAACCAAAAGATTCGAGATGACTGGGTCAAGGTCATGGAAGCTCGTATCATCAAGGAAAAGCTCGATGAATGTTACCGAACTGAAGGCGTCAACCACTGTAAATAACACGACCAAACTTGATATACGAACTCCAGCAAACATACTGACGAATATGTTTTTTTTTTTTTTTTTTTTTTTTTTTTTTTTGGTTATTGACGATCCATAGACGAAAGCTGCCGTCATTTGGCTGATTTGTACTTAAGAGCACTCAAAGACAACAAGGTCGAGGGTTTCCGCAAACAGTCGAACAACGCATAAATAAGTAAGTGTTGTATTCTTATTTAAAGCACACTAACTGGATCGTTTGTAACCATTAACTTTTGTTTTGATTAGCCATTTGAAAATTTATAAAACGAAGGACATAGATGGCAGATATCAATAAAGAGTAAACTCGACATCTTGGCTGGTTTATTCATGACGCGACAAAAGGATAAGGGGAAACAAGGCAGAAGAAATGAAGAGATAAAATGACATGATGATAAGAGAGGAAAATCAAACGGATGAGGGAGGAGTCGATTTATTGGCTGAAGAGGGAAAGCGGGAAAATACACGCCATCTATGATGATGCCTACGTGTATCATGCGCTTTCCACCAGTCGATAATGTTCGAGTGAGCAAACCTTCTTGCCGGTCTTTTTCGTTACGTATTTTTTGAGATTGTTGCATGCTTCCACTTCACAACGGGCCTCACCCTTCACTTGGGGTTTTCTATACAAGAAGAAGGATATTATTAGTTGGCCAAGGAAAGGTAACAGCAATTAGGACCATCAGTTTGACTTACGGTTGGTTTCCAAACACTTCTTGAATCGTATGTGACATTGGGATGGAAAGGGAACTGCCTTCTTTGTTGTTCACATAATGGAGTCGAGTTCGATCTTCTTGCTGTTTGGTGCCCGCTGCTTGACCTTCTTTATCTTCACCGTCATCTTTGATCACGCGTTTGCTTTTACTGGCTTGCTTTTTCAAAAGACGATTGATTGTGTCTTCCTGTAAATCCCAAATGGCGAATAAACTACCTGCTGTTATCAAAGAACCAGACCATGTACAAAACCCACCTTATCCTTTTCTGCTCGTTGGATACTTTGATTTTTACGTCGTCTAGCTACTTCTGATCGTCGCAACGCTTCTTCTTCCTCTGTAAGGAGCTTCTTTTTACCGGATTCTGTGACAGCAGATAAAACGACAATAAGTAATTCTATACTTTTCGATCGTTGCTTATGTGTTGATGACTTTACCCATAGGTAGCTCTAGGTAATCTTCCACTGTTTCGTTATTCAATTTGGCTCGTTGACGTTTCGTGAGCGGTCGGTTCTGCACTACTTCGTCCATATTTTCATCGTCGCTGTCAAACATCGCTGCTGTTCAAGTATTAGTTTAACTACGCCTTTACAAGTTCCAACAAATCCTGCACCTACTGCGCTTCCTGGATTTGTTTTTGCGAGATTTGCTAGCTTGCTTTTGAAGAAACACTGGTTCCTCCTCGTCTTCTTCGTCTTCCTCCTCTTCCTCGTCCTCATCCTCTTCGTCTGCCTCTTCTTCTTGTTCTTGTTCTTCCTCGTCGTCTAGTTCGGAATCCATCATGGTCGATCCGTCGTCAAGTTGACCGTAGCTCATTTCTTCGGCTTCTTGATCTTCAACGTCGTCTACAGGTTCTTGATCGTCATCGACGGGTTCTTCATCACTGATACCGAGGTCGTCATCGTCCAATTCATCCAATTCATCGCTTTCAGGATCGCTTAAAATGTCGTCTTCCTCAGAGAGAGGCGAAGGTGAACGAGGCTTGGTTGTTCGTCGACGAGTGGGTCTCATGAGTGGTATTTTTAAGTGGTACACAAAGTTGAACAGGTATGCAATGGCAATTTCGCGCACTTGACTTCAAAGGCGTGACTCGTCATTTTTCCTTGGTCGAAAAGGCTGAGTGAGAAAATTGACCCGATCAGCTTTTTTCTTCGGGCGAAAACATCATATGTCCATCCATGAAAGCTTTGTCGACCGTGGGAGTATACATTATGCTGTTTTAAAGAAGTCTTCCTTCTAACAAGTTCTCATGTACAACAGTGGCGGATAGAGCTACGTTTTTTTACTTTTTATTTTTATTATTTTTGATAAAAGGTGGAGGGCAACGGCAGATGGATCCACGTGATAGCAGCAATGCCAAAAGATAACAGTGACACGCATGGTGCACGAAGATTTTTCAGCGTGATAAACAAATGCAGGCAGAAAAACGCTTCAGGAACCGTGACGCGGCCAATTTCCGTCATTGTAAGGAAACGATGATGTATCATCTGTGTCATATAATAACCAACTGGCACCCTATCAACGTATCGTTGAATGGTTATGATCCAAAATACGCTGGAAAAAAAATAGTGATGTTTTTCGCCTACCATTGATTTGAAACCTGGGAGGAGGGTGGGCATGCTTCGCCAATTTGTTTCGCGACAAAATAGCAAGCCTAAGTTGTTTACGTAAAGAGAGTGGTTGGTGGTACTCTCATCACCAGGTTTTACTTCGCCATAACCGAGCGATTGCCCAAAAATATGTTGGATAAAGGTAGATACAATAGCGTCTTGACGAATGTCACCAGTCAGCCCGTCCTCCTTGTTTGCCCACCGCAATACGACCTTCTTCATGGTATCAGGAATCATGGATGACAACAGCGTCATACTGTCTGGTTTACGGATCTACCTCCCCCAACTTGTCCTTGTCGGTGATGGGATCAAGCGGCAACTTGGCCAACCTACACAAACACAAGAATTCCATATTAGTACTCATGCACGCTCTTGCTTTGCCAATCCAGGTTATTTACAAATCAGAAATGCCTTCGACGACATTGGACTTGGAAGAATCCATGCTGGCCGCCAGCGTCAAAAGATGGAGCTTGGCAGCTTTTGGAGACATGCACTCCTCGTCGATGGCTGTCACTGTGTTCACCGTTGTCACGAAAATCATCGTTCGTGAAATTCGGGGCATCTTCGGGAACGTTGTTAAGCAATGCTTCCGTTTGATGTTTCACCAAGTTCTTCAGCAGTTTCTCCCCAAAAACACCCAATTTGCACATCTGACAATGCAAGAATTTCTTGAATGCTTGATTCCAGTGGCAGAGGTTCGGGAGAAGGTCAGCTCTTTGCTGGTATTCGCGGAACAGAGCAGCGATGTCTTTGCCATCAACCATCGATTTCTCTTGTTCGGTGCTGTTCACTGATTGACTATCGGTCTCCTGATTCAAATCAACTGGGCTCCTCGTTTCTATGGGTCCCAAGCTTGTAGAAGCTCGTTCTTACTGTGTTGCAGCGGATTGGCTCTGAGGCTCAAGGGCATTCGATGACTCTGATACCAGCATCCTGTTGACGGCTTCCGAGCAATTCGATTCGGCAGTTGCCAGAGCATATTTTCGGTTACGTTCTTTCTTGCTTCGACTATAGACAGAGGTCCGTTCCAATCCTTCTTTTTACTGTTGCGTAGAGATGCCTTCGCCAGGCGCGCGCATTACATGCCAGCGGTAGATCAAGCCCAGCAGGAGGCTCCAAAGACAGCACGGGCATTTGCTTCACCACCGTGTCAATCATGATAGCCTGCGGGTAAATGACGGGTCCGGCCTTGAGCCAACGTAGTCACTTCTCCACAGGATACATCGAAAGGATACATCGAAAAAAGTATCTGAAATCATCCGCGCTAACGGAACGCCATTGCCAATCACCGAAAATTTGGCAACAATGGTGTAAAGTAAGGGCCTTTTTGCCACTGACATTCAAAACCGTGTTATGGGTGACGTCCATGTACGCTGTACCGAGTTCATTAATCGATTTGAATAAATAAGTAATCAAACTATGATTCAACTAACCTCAATCTGCCATGTGCTAACAAAGCCAATATGGACCACCCACCATTGACAGCGTCATACTTGAAAAAATGGCCGGTGTTTTCGCCATCAACATAAGCTATTATTACAGCTTCACGTAGACGCGCAGTCTCCTTCAAAGACCTCTGGATGGCATTGTACACATGCATGTGCTCGATGGAAAAAGTTGGCGGGATGAGAGCCCTTATCGTACCCGGTGTGATTTGTATTCGGGGAGGTTGGCGGTTTTATCTTGCGTGTCTTCATGTGCGCAAGATCTCTTTTCGACAAAGCGGCATGCTGGCGCAATAATGCAGTGGTCTCCGCTGTACTCTTTTTTGTTTTCTTGACTAAATGTCGTCGACGGCGCGTAATTTTGGAAGGAAAATGGGGGAGGGGGGAAAGGGAAAGAGAAGCAAAAAGAAACCGGACTTGTAACTGACCATGTTTTGATTGCATGAAACGCATAAGCCGACCCGCGAATTCTTTTTAGCTAAATCCTTTGTGGCCCAACTGCCATATGTGCACAATGCCGATTCTCAAGCTATCAATGATATTGATACTGCTGCTATTCGTCCCGCCCAAGAGTTTGCCGCAGACAATTCTGTCGTAATCACCCCCCGCAAAAAGACATTCCAAGCTTCCCTCAAGGTACAAAGAGGCTCAATGAATTATTTTCATTGTTTCTAATCGTACCTTTGTTGAATCTTTTTCTCCCCTTTTTCTTTCACAGGCTGGACTTGTGGCTACTAAATAGATGGATCGATCGCAGTTGTCATGAATGTATAAATAGTGTTACGAGAAACATAAGATTGCAAAGTGTTGCGTTAAACTTGTTGCCACTTCAGTTACAATAGCAGATGGGTTCTCACCAATATAGTTTAAAAGCCACTTATGCCCATCCCCAAGAATACGACGCTGACCCAATTTTTTATTGGTTAACATAGTGCTGTAGTAAGCAAAAAAGTAAAAAGAAACAATGTATTGAACACGGTTTTTTTTGCACGACATCAAATGCATCATCGGCGACTTTACTTTCAGAAAATGACGGTATAAAGAAGGCACAAATAAAAACTAACTTTAGGAAACGTAACACAAGCAACACTGTATCGGATACAGAGTCCCGAACATGGTAATGACAGAAATGGTGAATTTTTCTTTTCTTTGGTTTCATACAAAAAATACGGCTATATATTTTTTATTACAAGGATGAATGGATGACGGTAGCGGGTATTGAGAATATTTAAATTTGTATTTAGAATTGGTAACCAGTCTGCTGGCTGTAGAGCTTTTCGGCTTCTTCCTTGGCGTGGCTAAAGAAAAAAAGTAGTGGAATGAGCGACCGCAATGAAATGAAACGCGTGATTGCGACAGATGAGTATTAGATAACTTACTGCTTGGCCTTCTCTCTGTCGAACCAGTCCATGCCCTTGGTTTCAATCAAACGATCGACGGCAGCACCGGAGACAGCAGCAAGGAGTTCCTTGGCAGTGCTATGGTCAACTTCTTCACCGTTTTCCTCCTTCTTCTTGTTGATAAGGTGCATGGCTTCATAAGCAGCAGCACCGGCCAACAACTGGTGGGTCCATGAGGACTTGTGTTCTTCAGTGGGGACTTCAACGGCGTTGATGGTGTTGTAGGCTTCTTCGTGGAAAGACATGGTAGAAAGGATAAAAAAATGGATGTACTGATGAGAAATCGTCAAGTCAAAATGGGGTCTTTTTATATCTTTCCCCCCTGGGTCCCTTTCGCTTGTATCTCCATTCTCGTTTGATCGTTCCGTTCTCGGAATCTAGTTTTTGTTTCCCAGCCAACGATCTTCCAGACAACGCTTGGCGGGCCCAGCATTGGCGGTGCAAGTTAAGCTACTTTATTTATCAGCCACATGCATTTTTTGCAACGAACCATCATCCGATTTTGCCTTTTTGAGAGCCGTCTCCGTTGCTGACACGCTTTATTTTAGTCCCGTCCTACACTGTGTCTGTGGTGAACCACTCCACGCCTTTGGCGGAAAAGGAATAGGAACAAACTTTCAGTGACTGGCTTCGTCTCTTAAACTGTATCCCTTCTTGTCATCCATTGGTTAAATCGATAATGAAGTAATTAAACATTGACACGTCATGTACGTTGTACAGTAGCTTGGAAGAAAATCATTTTGTAAAAAATAAAAAAAGTTCATGACCGTGTTCTTTTGATTTCCCGAAAATGAAGCCTGCTCATCGTCCAATAATTATTTTGGCGCTACAGCATGGGAAAGAAAAGAACAAAAAGAAGTCTCGCTGCAGCGGGCATGTATTTGTTTATCATGTTTCGGTTGTTGTTTGCGCATAACAAGGCAGTACCTACGAGACAACGCGTTGCTCGGGTGATCAAACTGATAGTTGGCGCGCCAGTTGTCATCGCAAAAATTATTTTTGAACGCCGAAAGCTTGCATTTGAACCGCTGTGAGCTTTTGCCTGAAAGAGGCAGTATACACAGGGTATCGCGTCCAGGACCCGGGTAAGACGAGTGGGAAATGAACACAGTACTATGACTGTTTCAAAAACAAATCCGTTCGTTAATAGATCGCATGATCGCGTAGTCGGTAGGTACCGTTCCTGAACCAAAATGTCACTATGCAACCCGCAAGCTTATTTTTTTGAGATTCATGTGCGTTTCGATAAATAGGTCTAACTCGATATGATTCTTGCGATTTAACGAGAAGGTCCCATTCCTTTTTTCCGCTCCTACGCCCTCTTGACCTTTCTTTTCTTTCTTTACTGTCTTCTCTGTTCTTTTCTACAGTACGAAACGAAGTGAAGAGAAAAGGTGGGATGTATTGAAAATGGAAGTCCGGGCTGAGTAGCGCGGTCTTTTTTTACGACATAAAAAGAGAATTGATACATTTATGGAATTAATGAGTGGTTTCTATTTTTTCTTAAATAGACCCTTTTGCAACCATTTTGGCACGCCGCCTTGCTTATTACCGGCAGACGATGACAGTATGTGGCCTGAAGAAGTAGAGGAAGCAGAAGCAGCAGTCTTGGTAGGTGAGGAATCGGAGGATAAGGTCGGTGATGGAAGCTCCTGCTGCATGTCTAGATATTGTTGCAACAAGATGGGAGACTCTGGAGTGACACGCGGGTAAAAAAAGAACCAAGGCGCACAGTGTGAATAAAAAAAAAGGAGTGGGAAAATCAACAAACTATTCTCTTTGCAAAAGTGTGTACTAGAGTTTTGTGGATTTTTTGTTTACCTTGCTGTCCGGAAGGCAGTTTTTCAAGCCATACGAACATGACATTGGAGGCAGGTGAAAGGTTTGCTTTGAATAAAGAGATGTCGGGGTCCACGAGCTTGGTGCGTGGCGGAAGACATAGCAAAAATGGTCGTTGAGGTGTTTGAAGTGTAGATCTCACAAAGTCATACAAAGCTGCCACTAAAATCGAGGGGGCGGAATGAAATGAACGAATTATTTTTCATGCTCTTGTTCTCATAGGTTCTGCCTAAGAATAGAATACTTGCCTGGTTCCTTAGACAAAAATGTCGCCTGCAATATTCTTCGGTCAGGGAAGCGAATACGCATGGTAGTTTTGGGGTATTTTTTCATACGTTCTTGCTCTTCAGCATTACGCATCTTTTGTGTTTTCAAGGGACTAGACCACATTTCGCATTCAGCATTCGTCATTCGATAAAAGAACAGCCGTGGAAACCCGCCATCGCCATGTTATGGAATTTCCACTTTACCTATTCTCCAGCTTTTGACGTTGTTCCATTTGAGATTGATACAATTTTTTCAGCTCACTGCTGTCGAGCTTGTAAAACGACTCTGGCATTTCCACTAAATTCGCGCATGCAAGCGCTTTTTTTTTTAGTCATCTGTATGTCACGGCTAAATAATAAAATACAAACGGTACCTGGAGCAGCCGCGTTGGCTGGTAATTCAAAGACCTTAATTTGTCTGTCAACAGCATCCGCAGTGGACGCGATGGATGGAGGGTTAGAGGACGATTCACTGGCCATACTGTAAACGCAGAGAGTGAACACAGGACCAGACCAGCTTACGGCATCCCCACTTTGCGGGGTCCGTAAGAGGCTTAGGCACAGCAACGGAGTCTAAAAATGGGCAAGTTCTCTTTCAGCCGCCATTTCCGTACAGCCCGAGAACCTTTTTACGTGGCCAAATCGCAGACCATGAAAGGACATTAAAAACCAAAAATATTTATAGCTATAGCTTTGTTGTAAAAGTAAAAAAATAAAGGGAAAGATGATGATCAAACGCTTACAGCAAGAAGTGCACTTGGATTCAAAAACTTTATTTCACAAAGACACATGGAGAGTGTCAATCATAACAAACCAGAGAAATGAAAGGTTCCTCAAGTAACAAAGAAGACAAAGCTGTCATTGAACAGATATAGATGATCCAAGCACATATAATAAAATACTTTATCCATGTAAAAGTTCTGCTCCGGCACAGGTCGTTCAAACGACAACTTTCACACCCAAACATCAACATTACCAAAGGCGGATATTTTCTTTGGCATAACATAGACAAACCATTCGAGAACAAGCTCACCATCTTTTGTTGACTATATCATACCGCAAATCATAATCTTTTTGCATCTACAGGATGCGCTTCTTGGCGTCGGAGCTGTGTCACATGGATATTGTAAGCTCACCATTACCATGCTTTAGCCGCAATCCGATTACATCGTTATGACCCTCTTTGTGTAGACAGAATAAACACTGTTCTATTCTGCTGCGAGTTGGTGTACCGACCACATTAGGCAGGCTTAAAATGAGGTTTTTTTTGGTCAAGCGCTGCGACTACTTCGAATGTCATACTGTATAAAGAGGTATAAAGAGGTATAAAGACAGTCTGTGAATTAAAATATCAGGAAACAATGGAAAACTTTGCGTTAAGAGATTTTTTTTTTTTTTTTTAGCAAACAAGAGCTGCATCGCGCTGCTTTAATTATGGAATGTGAGGCGTGCGTGTTTTATGCGCTGATGGATTGTTTTGGACTATCAGATTTGGCAAAAGGAAATGGTTTCGAACCGCTGCCTATTTCTATTTCTATTTCTAAGTGGTTCCCTCTTCTAGCAAGCAAACATGGTCGTTGTTGAAAAAGGCAAATGATTATGCTGCATGTATGAAACAAGTCTCGGTTACCCTGACTGTGACATCCATTTGTAGCTGTTATTGATCAGCTCATCTATTAACGTTGATGCATAAATTTCTCGATAACCTGAAACAGTCTTGAACAGTGAGACTACAAACATCAGGTTTGTACAACTTACCGGCACGGAACCTCATTCACACTTGATTTGATGGATTCAAGTGATTCAAGAAGTAGGGTATCTAGACTGTTCCGTATCACATCCATCGGCTTTGCTTGCTATACTATTGCTCTTCTTCTTTGCTCCCTTTTTCCAGGCCAGCATCATCACAGCAGTAGAAAAGTTGCAGTCGCGTGAAAAATGTTGCCATATGAATCATTGGTATAGCGAGCATGGATCAGACAGGCTTTGACATTTTAATATCAAGTCATGAATGGCAGATAAAAACAAACAGTGTCCAAAAATTTTTTCATTTGCTACAAGAGAATAAAATGAGCAAAGAGAGCAGGAAACCATGACCTTGTATACTTTATTCATGACCTTTGCTTTGAGAGCATTTTCTTACAACATGCGGAGACCTTATCATCCAACACCTCACGAGGGTGAAAAGCAACGTAAGCTTAAGAAAAAAGAAAGAAAGGAACAATACCTCATCAACAAAATATTTTCAAAGGTCTAGCTTCTCGAGAGATAGTATCAGAACACACACCGTTACGTCCGCACTCGGTATCGCATCAGCAATCGAGTCTACTCTGGTCCATTTTGACATGTGCCTTTCTCTTTTTATCCGTGTTTTTCATCGGACGGTTCGTCGTTTTCTGGAGCATGTTGCAACGAAGTAAGTTAAACAACAACATCATCAGGACGCCCGGATTGCACTGACTCATTATTTATAAATTTGCTGCAACGAAACAGACATGCCAATCGAAGAAGCCAGTGAATTAATTAAAGCGATCCCTTCAAGCAACTCTATCCGCGGTTACCTTCATACTTATGCATCAGTACCTCATTTGGGTGGATCTGATAACGATTTCCTTCAAGCGCAGTGGACAAGAGATAAATTTATTGAATATGGTATCGAGAATGCAGTGATTGAAACGTATTATCCTGTGCTCAACGAGCCCTTGGTCCGTCGGCTCGCTATCGTCAGTGGTTCCGACGAGTTACTATACGAAGCTTCACTCAAAGAAAAACCTTTACCGGGCGAAGATGAAAGAGACGATGCTGTTCCCACATTTCATGGTAAAGTTATTTCTTTTTCTCATTCTTGGTAGCCCGATTGGATACGGTGATGTCTCAACTTTTTTTTTTTTTTTCACATGACAACTTTCTATGTTGATTATTCCAGCATATTCTGGAAGCGGCAATGTCACCGCCCCGGTTGTATACGTTAATTACGGTCAGAAAAGTGATTTTGAATTTCTGCTGTCTCAAGGCATCCCCGTCCAAGGCACCATTGCTCTGATGCGAGCTGGCGTGGTTTCCCATGGATTAAAAGTCCGTCTTGCGGAGACATACCAGTGTGTCGGCGCTCTGATCTACACCGATCCACTTGATGATGGTCCGATTAATAAGTTCAAGGACGACGATCTACCTGATGCGTCATATCCCAAAGGCCCATGGTACGTACATATCCTACGCAAAGATGCATGTGTTTCTTATGATTTACATTTCTTTTTTATATTTTTCAGGCGATCCGCTTCTTCGGTTGAAAGAAGTACGGTGCAGTTCACTCCGTTCTTGATGGGCGATGTCACCACACCTGGATATGGTGCCATTTCACAAAACACGACTCGTCGTTCGGTGAACGAATCGTCTCCAGTGGTGCCCACAATTCCTTCTCTTCCTATCTCGTGGCAAGACGCGTATCCGCTGCTCAAGGCTACGGAATCACTGGGTGTTCAACCAGAGCAAGGCTGGGCAGGCGGTCTTGACAATGTCAGTTATTTCAGCGGTCCAAGCGAAGCTTTGATTAATTTGGTGAACATCAACAACTATCAAATCAAACCGATCTGGAATGTGATTGGCCGCATTGAGGGTATTGAAGAGCCTGACCAGGTTGTCATCCTAGGTAAGAAGTTGAAGCCAAGACTTGCACGAAACGTTATCTGATTCAACGCTGACTCATATTTCTGATTTGATTCAAAAAAAGGCAATCATCGTGACGCTTGGGGATACGGAGCCACCCACTCATCATCGGGATCGGCGGTTATGGTAAATGAAAAAGCACATGCTTCATCTTGGCAACTCCAAGAATAGAATTGAAGATCATTGTTACTCATGATGTTATTGTTTTCCTTTCTTTTTATGTGATGTGATGCCCAGATGGAATTAGTCCGCACGCTCGGAGTTTTATCCAAGCGCGGATGGCATCCACGACGCACCATTGTGATTGCTTCTTGGGATGCCAAGGAATATGGCTCGGTCGGTGCAACGGAATGGGCAGAGAATCATCAATCTTGGCTTGACGAACAAGCGATCGCCTATCTAAATGTGGATATGGCTGTCAGCGGATCTCACTTTTCGGCCCAAGCGTCCCCGTTGTTGCACCGTTTGCTCTACGAAGTGACACGTTCGGTTATTGATCCTCGAACCAGCCAATCTGTGTATGACTCTTGGCAGAAACGGTGTCCCGCGGTGGATGGATCGGCGTTCCCCGTCATTGATCTTTTGCATGATCCCTCGGACACGGTTCCCTTTTTTTATCATCTTGGTGTGCCAAGCATGTCATTGCATTTCAAAGGCAGTTACGGTGTACGCGGAAGCAATTACGACAAGTAAGTTTAATTTTTTTTTTTTTGCAGACTTTTTTACATACCGGGGAAATATGTATATGGCATGAAGATGAGACAAAGCAAAAAAGGAGTAAAAAAGAGTCATTTTGTCACAAAGCGTGAAAGAAGGATGTAGGTGTGGTTTGTGGTGACGCCATTTTTCTATTTTTTTCTAGTATCTATTGGATGGAAACTTTTGGCGATCCGACATTTGAGTATCACCAGACGATGGTGAGACTTTGGGGACTGGTGGCATTGCATCTTGCAAACGATATTGTCTTACCGATGTATCCGCTGGACTACGCCAATGCTTTGACGAGATACGTGGATTCAATTAGCGACCAGGAGCAAGGCTATCTATCGTTTCCCTCGTTAACTTCTTCCATTCATGCACTGCGTCGCACTTGCGTCCGATTGGACAAGAAAATGATGTCGTGGAAAAAAGATGTCCATATAAAGAAACATCATGGACAAAAGTTGATGAAACAAATCCTTCGAACAAATGGACATATTGCCCAGTTGGAGAGAATCTTCCTGGATCCGGTGGGTTTACCTCAACGCCAGTGGTACAAGCATGTTTTGTACGCTCCTGATGTGTGGACCGGTACGACGGCGAAAATTTTACCGCTGATCACAGAAACTCTGGAAGAAGACGGGAGCCCAAATCTCATCCGAGAAGCGGAACAGAGAACCGCCAGCTTGATTATTGAAGCACGAGAATTATTGCGGGGAAGATTTGATGACACAATGGATGATGATTTCGACATGGATGAATAACAAGCCAAAAAATTAACCATCGTGATCACGAATGTACCTTTTTTGGGTTCTTCTTGGAAAAGAAAAGAACAAATAAATAAAACCAGAAACTTCCACAGTTCTTAAAAAGAAGTACTTTCTTTCATTTCTATGATTGGTGAAAATAAAGGGTGACAAATTATTTTTAGTAGTGCGATGACCTATCGTTATTTTCCCCATATTTGCCGGTATTCCTGGAGAAGAGCAAAAAAAAAAAAAAAACCGAGTCGTCTTCTCACACAATGCAACCGATGGCGGTGATTTAAACAGGCCAATCATTGGTTAGCAATGCCAAAGGTACCTCATCATTATTTTTTTTTTTAATGGGGTGCATCAATGTTCATTTTTTTTTTTCTTCTTTTTGTTTCCTGATCTCTATTCAGACTTGTTATGATTAAATACACCTACGACGAGCACGGATTTGCATTTTACTATTTCATTCTCTCGACTCTCTTACTCTGCTTGGTGCCTGCTACAATCATCGCGCTTTCCGATGCGTGGAAGAACAAACAACGTATGTATAATGTCATCATCCAATGTGTATCGTCGCTGTTTTACGTAAACATTCACATATCTCTCTCTTTCTTTTTTGTAATAGAGCCGCCCATTGAACATCACAGCTGCGCATGCCGACTGTGTCAGCAGTTTCGAAGCAACCACGACGATTATAATTCTGCGATTAAGAAAGTCCTTCATCCAAAGTAAGCTTTATATATATATATTTTTTTTTGTTTTTTTTACACCATGTCGCAACAATGTCGATATTATTTTACCTTGATATTACTGCACCGATTTGCTATGATTTGGCTTTCCACTTCATCGCCTTCCCCCTTTTTTTTCTTGTACCATGTGCGTTTTTGGAAACGCTTTTGTTGCAAACAGCTAATCGCGGGCATGCCACTGCCCATATAGAAAAATCTTTTTGGTGATGGGCTGGATCGTGGTAGGTTTACTCTTACATCAGGTGTCACATGCGGATGCTTCTCATGGCATTTGGAACCCTTACGAGATTCTCGGTATTCACGAGGTAAGCCATTGAAACGAGCATTGGAGTGGTTGCACGGCCAAAATGAAGTTTGACCCAATGGCTGAATACAAAATCCAAATCATAGGACACGCCCATGGTCGATATCAAGCATTTGTACAAAAAGTTGAGCTTAACATATCATCCCGATAAAGCACAGCCTGGATCGGCGGAAGAGCACAAGAAACGTTTCATGGATATCACGGCTGCTTATAAAGTGTATGGACATTCCCAAGCTGAACAAGTGTTACGATCAGCTGTCATACTCAAATTCGGTTTTGTTTTTTCTGAATTCTAATAGTTTAACAGATCATCATACACGAAAAAATTATGAAACTTATGGCCATCCTGATGGACCGCGCCCGTTCTCTATGGGAATTGCGCTGCCAAAAATCCTCGTGGAAGGAAGCAATCGCACGATTGTTCTCGGTTTATATGGCTTGGTATTTGGACTTGGCCTACCTCTTTGCATTGTAAGTCTTTTCACATTGGGATTAGCCAACAAAGTTTATTTTAACTAAATATGGTAATTGTTCCTTTCGATTTCCGCTTCTTCGTTAGATACGTTGGTGGTTCCAATCACGTCGTTTGACCAAAGATAAGATTCTTCATGTGACCATGTCCATGTTTGTGAAAGAACTGAAGGAGGATATGGATCTCAAAGGTAACACAAAACAACCTATTTCTTCTCCAGTCGATGCTCATTTTGCCTTCACGGGGAATACGATCGTCGTTGTATGATACAGCTATTCTTGAGATCATTTTTGCAGCCAAGGAATTTGAAGAAACGGTCCATATTGAATCGCAGCACGAACTTGAAATATTGGAAATGATCGACACGCAAATCGCGGAGCAATTGGATCATCGATCTGCGGAGAAGTATTCCAAAGACACTGAGGTAAGACAAAATCGTAGCATTAGCAACCTTCGCCAAGCCCATCTATTAACTGAGCTCCAAATATTGCCAAAGAATGAATCACCATCCCATCGAAAAGCACGCACACTACTTTATGCTTATTTGCTTCGACTGGATTTCAATCAACTGGAAGCCTCGGACTATCGAACCATCAGAAAAGGTAATGTGAACCATCCAGGTCAAGAATGGTTGATAGAAAACTTGAAATAAAGCCAACGACAACTTTGTGGGTCAAATGTACTGATGGATCGGTTTATAATTGGATAAACAAAAACAAAAAAGATCAACGTGAAGTGGTGAAAAAAACCATTCATTTACTGCGAGGACTATCCGAGATTGCCAAAACCAAGCAATGGCTTAAAATCATGGTCCACCTGATGGAAATGAAACAGTATCTGATCCAGGCCATCTATCCCGGTGAACCACCCATTTTACAACTGCCCCATATTACGGCACATATGCTATCACGTTATCAGCTTATTCGGAACGAGCACATCACCACAATCCAGCAGTTTTTAGGTTTGTCCGAATCGGATCGTCAACTGTTCTTGGAACCACTGACAGAACATGAGCGTGAGGATGCCATGCATGTTGCAGAAACCATCCCCAAGTTATGTGTGAGCAAGGCCGCCTTTAAAGGTATCATCTCATCTAACCACGTTGGAAATATGGTTTTCTATTGTTCAATATTGTCTTTGCTAATCGAATGATAAACTGTATGTAGTATCTGGAGAAGACGTTATTGCCGCTGGATCAATCATTCACCTGATTCTTCAACTCAGGAAGGGTCAATTCGTAGGTATTGACCCTGTAGCCAAGGCAGTGGTAGAAGAAAAGGCAGTTGAACCGAGTGAGGAAAACAGTGATGAGGAAGAAATGCTGGATATTATTGAAGTATCAAAGAAGATCCCCACTTCAAAACTTCCTTACGGTCATTCCCCCTATTGCCCAATCGTAAGTGAAATAGAGATACAATTCCATTGTGATAATGAGTGGTCCCATCTCACGTATGACGGTAGGACAAGAAACCCAAATGGTGGGTATTCCTTGGCGATCCAAAAGTGGATCGCATGTTGGTTCATCCTCGTATCTTGACGGATATTTCAGACGTGGAAAAGATCAGTATCCCTTTCGCTGGTCCTCCTCATCCAGGCACTTATACTTTTTCATTTTTCTTAAAATCGGATACCTATTGCGGTATGGACATCATTCAAGACATTAAGCTGACAGTACGTGATCCGAATGAAACAGAAGATGATAAAAATGAAAAGCTCTCCGAACGTCGTCCTTCAGTGACCGAAAGAAAACCAGCATCTCTTGAAGATTTAGGATAAAATAGATTCACCCACGTTCATTTACTGTTAACCGTAATAAAAAAATTCATTATACCATCAGGGCTGTCTCAGTGAGACTGTCTATCTTATGTACAAAATGGAATGAATGGGTTATCAGTAGTCTACCTTTTTTTTGAAAATCTATAATCTCAAGAAAAAAGAACGCAGTTACTTCTTCTTATTGCCCGTCACTACATATCAGATACAAGTTAGAAAAGGTCATTCTTTCTTATCCATATGACGGAATGATGAATGAGAACTTACCATTGAACTATTGGAAAAATATACGAGCGAGATAAAGAACGAATGAAAATCAGAGCTCAATAACTGCGTTTGTGGCAACCTAAGAGAAAAAAAAAAATACTTGCCTTGAAATGCATGATATCGCCGTCTTCCACGGTATAGTCTTTTCCTTTTTGCATGTATTTTCCAGCAGCTCGAACAGCCGCTTCTGTACCCAGTTGTCGCAGATCACCCATTTTCATCACTTCAGCCGAGATGAACCCACGCTCAAAATCGGAACTAGGAAAGCAAACAAAAGAGTGAGCATGTCAATACCGAAACTCTTTTGAATTGAAAAAGTTACTGTATAACACCAGCGGCTTGCGGTGCTTTGGTGGTTTCCTATAGAAATATCAGTTTCGCATCCTCTATGCGTTTAATGCCATGATTAAAAATTTGTAATTACCCGCACTGTCCACGCGCGCACTTCTTGTTCACCGCAGGTAAAGTAATGGATCAAATGCAAGCCTTTGTATCCTCCCAAAATCACGCGGGGAAGTTGCGATGCTACACCTGTTTGTGCCAGATAATCTGCACCTTCCTCGGCAGCCTATACAAAGCCAAAAAAAAAAAAGATAAATATAAACTGGGTGAGCCTCTCTCTGATCCAACGTCTGCTGTATCGCTATGATGCAATAGTCCCTCTCGTCCTTTTCTTCCATTTCCCTTCTTCTACCCGTGCGTGCCGTCGTACATACCTTGGCTTCAAAGGCAACGGAAAGGGGGATGATGAGATCGTTGGGGTTATGGTTTTCCACCCATTGCTGGATTTCAGATAGCCTTTACAAGCGCGATGAGTATTCAGGTATAAGCATCATTGGTATGCAATATAATATACCATGGACCGTTACTGCCACTAACGTAAGCGTCTTCGCTAATATTACAAAGATAGACCATGGGTTTAGCGGTCAGTAAATGTAATGAATTGATAACGTGAGCTTCCGGAGCAGTCCACTCGAGATTGCGCACATCCTTTCCTTGGGCAAGGTGCTCAGCAGCCTTTTCCACTACGGCCTAGAGAACACAGATAGTTTGAATATTTGCGAAATGTGAATCATGCATTAAAAAAAATTACCAATTCTTCCTTCTTTGACATGACTCCCTGCGCCTGTTTAGCATTGGGAAATTTGGCAGCGCGACCCAAATCAGTAATATAGCGTTCCAAAGTTTCCTCGTCTTTGAGACGAAGTTCATCGTGAATAATTTCCAAATCTCGGATAGGATCGACAGTATCTTCGACGTGGGTGACATCGTCATTCTCAAAAGCGCGCACAAGATGGTAGATGCCATCGACCGAAGCAACATTGGATAAAAACGCATTGCCCAAACCAGCACCTTGAGCTGCGCCTCGAACAAGGCCAGCAATATCCAGGATTGTCAACTACAAGATGGAAAATCAGATCGCTCGAGCCGAAGAAAATAAAAAAGGTACCCGAGACGGCTCGACATATTCTCAAACCCTAATACGTACATGGGCAGGAGTCACTTTTTTGGGTCGATAAAGGTCGCAAAGCCAGGTGAAACGATCGTCAGGCACCTCCACTCGGGCTTCAGAAGGATCTATAAATGAAGATCAAAGCATCAATGAAGCGGGGATCTGCCAATGAAAGTCGACCGATGCTTCGTCTTACCAATGGTGCAAAATGGGTAATTCTCGGCAGGAACGCTACTGCTCGTCATGACATTGAAGAGTGATGATTTTCCAATGTTTGGCATTCCTACCACGCCCATTTTTAAATTGTTGGAGGGTCGCCCGAGAATAACGTTTTCAAGAACATCGTCTTTTTTCGCCGCTTTTTTGGCTTTCTTCGCTTGCAGTGAAGCTGAAACGGAGAAGCAAGCTTTGGAGGACCGATGCAACAAAGCAATGCTTGGTCGAACCACGGTTGTCGACGTAAACCACATTGCTGTACCTTTTTTTGCCCTGGACGATCAAATGATCGATACCGAAAATCTTTTTTTGGTCGTCTATCCATGGCAAACTACTTCGGAGATCCAATCCATCCCAAATTCAATTGGTCACGTGGAGTCCCAGCGCAGGCTTTGCATACGATATAAAAAACGATTCACGATAATCCCCTTATTGACAATGAAGCATTTCTTTGCTTTTGCTTATAGAGTTCTTGAAATAAAGAGTGAGATCGCAGAAACATATGATTCTGTAGGATTCGATGGTGCGAATGTTTGAATATGCTGTGAACCTACTATGCAGGTCTCATATTATGATTCTGAAAAACCTAATCAACCGTGTCTATCATCAATTAAACGAATAGACTTGGATTGGATGGGAAGTCTTCATCAGAGCTTCCCGCCGTCCAGAAAGTCGTTTGAGTACTACAAACGACCTTGCCGATTTTTCCTCAGTTGCTTGCATCCAATGAACGAAATAAACAGTAGCTCCATCCACTGTAATGTTTTCTATTGTGCAAGCCAAAGACGGATCTGTTTCTATGTACGCATCAATCCGTTTATATGAAAGTATAACATCTTGCAGAAAAAATCATCATTGCCAAGCTCAGATAGAGTAATGACAAAAAAAAGGCGTCATACAAGATACAATTACTCTGTTTGCAATTTCCTTTGATAGTGATGATGTTCAAACCTCTTATGAAGCTGCGATAGGATACGAGTGAAATATTGGTTGGAGCAGTAAAAAAATGCACTCGCAACAGGGTATCATAGGATTACTCTTATCATTGGCTGATGCAGTCTGAAAAGCTGTATTTGATAGTGTCATAAATATGAAAGTGACACCGACGATGGTGGGTTGTGGCCACAAGGATACAAGGCACAAAAAGATGGGAAGAGAAGTCTATTTTTGGAAATTGTGCTGCGAAAAGAGAATACGAAGACTGATTGGGGGAGGAGAAGGGAAACAAAAGATGAAATAAAATGTCTACATGCGACCCGCGTGTATGGTAAACCTTTTTGATGGTTACACAGCGCACGATCCTAACCACAAAACAGTGAGAGTGACAAAGTTTAGGGAACTGACCTGCCGCATACCGTTTCCTTCTTTTTTTTTTACAATACACACAATTTTCCCTTTGCACTTGGGGCTAAGCTCATCGCAAAAGAAGCTCCTTTGCCGTTCTAAAAAGCTTACTCCAACGTCAATAACTCTTTTCCTTTTTCTTTTTTTTTTTTTTTGCTTACTATCCACTTTGGGTCTCTTAGCAAGCCTATTTTTTTCTTGTGAGTTTCCAACGACAGCAAAGAGCAAACTATTTCTTTCACCTTTTATACTAAACGGCAAAAGAAGGAGATAAACCGACCGACAAACTATGTCCTCTGTATCTTATTATCAACCGCCATTGGAGAGACATGCCACTCGAAGCCCATCAACTCTGATGCCGCACTTATTACTTCCGGATTACCCCAATAAAGTGCAACCCCGCTCTTCAGCTGCCAGACACAAGCACCTTCTCCCATCGTCCACAAAGACCCCTTCTGACAGCAACAGTCCCTCTTTAGAAGATACCACACTGGACAATGTCGATGCCGAAGCAAGTTCTATATTAATAGCACTGGCAAATCAGAACTCATCTTCTTCTCCCACCAAGGAGTCTCCATCGGCCAAGGTAAACACTTGTTCAAGGAATAAGTTATTCACACCGCAGGAAACAAACATATTCATCATTAACCATCCGATCCATACTAGCCAACGAACAATGATACCAACAACGCGATATCTGCTAAACATACCATGAATGATGACGAGAACGACCTTGGCCAAGAGAGCATTATCAATGCCAAGTCAATGTCTATTCATAGCTTGTTGGGCAACGGTAACTAGGTTCCCTTTTCATTTTATTTGGTTTTCATTGGTTCCTGTCATTGTGGTTTTGATTTGCCAACCTCTCACGCTCCCTTCTTTTTTTTTTTTCGTCGTTCGGTGTTTTGTTATTTTTGGAGTAGGCAACACTTCTTCGTCTCCGTCTGAGTTGACATCTGTAAGTCTGCTGATCTCTCTTGCTTTATCCAGAAATAGAAATAGATCGTTTGATCAGTGGGAGTTGAGGGACGATCGGATGGAGAACCCCATCGGAGCAAGGATCCGATGCCCTTATAATTTTCTTTATACGTTCCGGAAAATGGGATTTACCAGAAAAAAAAAGAGAAAAACAATGAGAGAAAGGGAGGAGGCAAATATAATGCATCAAGCAGGAATGGTTCATTTATCATATCAACAGGGAAAAGAGGGACTTGGGCATGGAAACGGGACGGTTGCCGGGGAAAGCCAATCAAATAGGCCATTTTTAACTCTTTTTCTTTCATGAATGATTATCTATTATACTTACCGGGATGCTCTTCTTTTTTAGCAACGACAAAGCGCCAAGGATGGAACAGCAGGTAAGACAAAAAAGGTATTTTGTAACCAGACCATGGTCGGTGGATTCACGGGTCAAACAAAAGGTAGATCGCGCATACCATCGTTCAACGGATCGTCTGGGAATGAGCTTCAATGGAAACATGCGGTACGACCGGATCCCATCATGTTGTTAGCTGCTGCCGCAGCAGCGATCGACGACGAGGATAATAAGATGTATCGATCACGGAAATACGAACGTCGAGAAATTCTATTGACCCCACGGTATCATGAACGACGATTTGATGGTAGGGCAATAGATAAAAGGAGATCCGCAAGAAAAAAGGGACAGATAAATGATGAAAAAGCAATCTTAGATCGTCCCAGCGACAACGGACGACCGTCCTTTTACAGACGGCGATCTTCCAGTCGTTCCCACCATCAGAGTAGCTCTGACATGGATACTTCTGAAGCGAAAAGACGCCATCGATATACATCCAAAATAGACGCCAACGCAGTACACCGACGTCCACCATATCATACGCGGAATTCCACAGACAGCTACCATGACGAACCGCAAGAAAGTGAGCCAACATCAACACAGCCTTCCATGGTAAACCGCTGTTGTCAACTTGCAACGATCAAGAACAGTGCACTGGAAGCCAGTTGAGCTGACCCGTTTTTATTTATACAGACTCAGCGTGCAAGTCCGAGTTCAAGCGAAGCCAATACCTTTTCGTGGCAATACCTCTCTATGGTAAGCAATCTTGATGAAAACGTTGTCATACGAAGAAAAAAGAAAAAACTCCTTGTCTGATGCCAAATATAGAAACAAAATCCTAAAATCAAGCGCAATGCAATGCATGCGTACATCACCTACATGATTTATACAGATATGGCCCAGGAACGCTCAGTAAGTACCGTCACTGTTGTCTTGTTAAAATTTTTGTATTTTCAATACGAAACCCGTCGTTGCAATGCATGAGATGGCTCACTTTTTTTTTTTTCTTTGCCATTTTTTTTTATCATGTGTGTTGCTAGCGAGTTGAAGCGGCGATAGCAACTAATGGAACAACGATGCACGACTATCGTGCAGAACCCGCCACTATCATGGGCTATGCATCCGAAACAAAAGAGAACGATCCACCTCCTTATGGCGTGCGTCGATCATTCGAAGATGAAACACGAAAGGCATATGCATCCATGGATCAGTCTCCATCGGTGGCAGCGGCGGCGATACGAACAGAGCCGAACCATTCAATGATCGAAACCACACCCTACAGCAATCATCACGGAGGTTTGGCAATGGCGCATCCAGGAGATGGTCTTCATCATCGCCCTGGTGTTACTGAAACCTCGTGGTACGCTAATACAATGTCTGCAGCTTCGTACCGGTTGCCACCGTCTCCAAATCAACGTTACGATGGTATCCCACCCACGGTTGGCTATCCAACCAGTGCTCCGTCGTCGAGTTCGATCATGGGACGACCATTAACAGCGTTTCTCTGGGATGAACCGGGTTCAGCCCCATCTGCAGCCCATCCGGAAAGAAGGCATGAAAGTGTAACTTTACCGCCTTTAACTCGTCCGTTTTCTTCCATGCCTGTCAATGCTGACTTTGATCGATCTCACATGCTTTAGTTGGCTCTGTACAATCTCATGTAACATTTTTCTCTCCTTTGTTTTTTTTTCCTTTGTACTGTTTGAATCTGTGTCATTTTTTCTTCTTTCACCATGTATCCTGCACTGTTATGAGGACGTGACGGATATGACCGCTTTTACCGGTTTTTTTTTCCTTCTTTTTTCTGCTCTTTATACAAATGCTATATCTAACATATACATACCTATCTATTCTCCATCACTATTTGTTTGTTTCATTTTTTCATGTTACCACGAAAAAAGAAAACGTTTCTTTAGGCAGAACGGGAAAGTAATGTGCACAGCATGTAGACCAATAAAATGGGAAAGAGGCATAGGTGGACTGTATCCAGTGAGAGCATAATAAGTTGGTGATGCTACGATCTGTAGTTGAAAGTGGCAACCGATATTCCCATGTGTAACGTTGCTGGATCATGATTTGACGAAGCGGAACGATCCCGTCAATAATGTCTTTATAAAGTTTGGGACACTGAGTACAGCCCTCTTATTTATCCAATGAACCCAATCCCCGCGCTTAATAACACAGAAATTTCATTGTCGTGACAAAGAATTTAAGCAATACATCGTTGCAGCCCGTCTCATTTATCACAAGGGAACCCCATCGTTGCGTGGACGACCATGGAGCCTATCGCGGTAAAGAGACCACCCGTGGCCGATGAGTTATCCCGCTTCCAAAAACAATGTACTACATATCTTAACGTCAAACGCTTATACGTACGATGTATTATAAACTCATCAAAAGGTACACAAAAAAAGTGTACACTTCCCATAGCAGTAAGAAAAAAAAAAGTAAAAAAAGTAAGAGACCTATAATCTTGTCCCATTCACCTCTCTTCGCATTCCCCTTTCCCTTTGTAACCTCCTTCCCCTTTTTTGTTTCTTTCTTTCCATTGCCCATTTTTTAGCCTTTTTTATTTTTTTCTTTTTCTGTCGTTTTGTTCTTAAACAAGCTTGACGCTTTATCTGTCTGTTGTTTTTGTAACTTTTTGTTTTTTACTTTTTGTGTTTGGTTTGATATATCCTCTTCTTTTTTTGTTTCTGCTTTTTGGTTCTCTACTTGCTATTAATTGTGAGGGACTCTTCAGAAAGTCATCTCGTCCTTGCATAGCGGTGCTTGCGTGATGTTCTCTACTGCTCATTCACCCGAATCGCTCCTCAATGATTCGTACAGCGTGGACGGCACCATGACCGGGTCATCCCGTTCTCATTCTTCGTCTTCACCTTCTACCATATCTACTCCACAGTCACCTAGAAAACCAGATATCTTGCCCCGCAAGCCCGCCACCGCCACCACCACTGTTATTCAATCCAGACCGCGCTCAAAAATGGGTTCCCCCTGTACCGCCAAAAAGGTAAAACCACTTTCGAATCCTCTCCATATGGTATCTTTTTGCTATCATCGATCATCATTTCACTGACGATCCACCTGCCTTGATTTTTTTTTTTTTTTTTTTTTGTTGTATTGACTTCCTCTCCTTTTTTCGCTTGCTCTTTGTTTCACTTGTTTATCTCATCTGTGGTTTATTGGATTCTGTATCTTTGTTGTGGGAAAATTTTTATTCGTCATTCACATTGAATGTCGTTGTTGGATTGGATTTTCCGTTTTTCTCCATTTCTTGATGAATGAACGCTTCCAACTGCCTTATTGTCACTTCTTTTTTTCTCTTCTTTTCCTTCTCTCACCATTTTCCTTTTTTTTTTTTTACTGCGTGTACGATGTTATTATTTTGCATCAAAAAGGCACCATGGCGAGCACCTGGCAACTGGCAGATACCCGACATTATCAAAGAAAGTCATGAAAAATTGAAGCGTCACCAAGATACCCAAGCGAACAAATTGCAACAGAGCAACGGCCATGCGAACAATACAAATATGAAGAATAAGGCCACAGTAGAGAATATACAGTCGCCACAAAAGGTAAGACTTTTTCTCTTCCACAAGAATCACCGGACGGGTGGCTGTACATGCGTACATACGCATACATAACCAGGGCTTTTCAACTTGGAATGGACTGCCCAATATCTCATCATTTTATATATTTCTTTTAGCGTCCATGGATACCAATGGTGAAACCACTCGACATTCTCCCATTACTTCCCCCGATTACTCGGACCCCCAAAAAGCCGCACGCAGAGTTTGACAGCAAAATGCGAAAAGTGTTACCACGATCAAAAATTCTGGATATCAATCCTCGCGACTATTATGTTGGTCTCAGCAAAGTTGGCAGTGGGTAGGTAAATCGTTCAACGGACAGTGAGGCAGTTGTGATGTAAGGATCCATCTAAGCTTTTTAGCTATTGGATTCCTTCAAAAAACCCCACTCGCATCTGCGATACTCTTGTCCTATGTGCTCAAAGAGGATAATACGACCCAGAAGAAAACTGATCCAAGATTGATCGTTTTTGTTCGATAGTGCCAATGGAGCCGTTGTCAGAGCGACCAAACGATCCAACAACAAAATGCAAGTGGCTATTAAGCGTTGTTATATAGAAGATCAAGATACCCCGCACCATGCATACATTCTCCGCGAACTGCGCATCATGGGTTGTTTATCCCATCCTAACCTCTGCCAGCTAAAAGAAGCCAGTTTATGGGGAGATCATCTTTGGATGATTATGGAACTCATGGCATGCTCTGTTTTCGGTTTGTTATTCAACACCACCGTCGGTCTCTCTGAAGCCATGGCTATCCGAGTGACCAAAGAGGTAAGGGACATATTTCCCGCCTTTCCTGACATATTCACATCAACGACTCAATTGGAAAATCTTTGACCCCCCCCCCTTAGTGTCTCGAAGGTCTCGTGTATCTCCACTCCAAGAATTACATGCATCGTGATATCAAGTGCGAAAATATCTTGCTCGGTCGCAACGGTCAAGTGAAATTGGGTAGTGCATCCAACATCTTGTTTTTGCCATTAAAATCTCATCTAACTGATCGACATGCCTTGCAGCTGATTTTGGTTTGGCCACACCTTTGAATCGAGTCAACTCGGCGCGTTTAGGCACTGCCAAGGTAAGACGTCTCCTTGGCATTTACATTTCGTTCAGGTCAACGAACCCTGTCTATTTTTTTTTTACCATTGCCACAGGGAGCATTATCTAACTGTTTCATTTTTTTGGTTTTGTTCTCAATAGTGGATGGCACCTGAAGTGGTGGCTGAAAACCCGTACAAGGAAAACGTGGATGTGTGGTCTATGGCTATTACGTTGATCGAAATGATGGATCGCGTGCCGCCTTTATATTACTTGGAAGGCAACCGTGAAATCTACGGCGAAATTCTGTATGGCAATGCGCCTACATTCAATTTCACATCACCTTCTTCGGCCGTATCGGAGCTCCTAGCAAGCATGCTGGATCCTGAGCCGGAGCGACGTCCAGGAGCTCGTTGCGTCTTGACCAAAATCAAGCAGCAGATCTCGCTGGGCAACCTGAAATGCGCGAAGCAAGCCGAATTGGGGGCTTTAGTACGAGAAGTCTTCCCCGAGTCCGTTTAAAAAAAAAGGACGCTATACCATTGAAAGAACTTGTTCAAATGCGCTTCATTTTTTTCTCTCTTCTACTTTTTATTTCTCTCTTGCCTCTCTTATTACCTATTTTCATACATCACATTCAAGTCATTCACTTCACACACGCCTTTTTTTCTTTTCTACAATTTCAAAAAGTTCTTTTCTTTTTTTTTCTTTTTGGTTGCCTCATCAAGGAGTATTCTTCTATCTCTTTGCTACGGACGGATCTTTTGGACCCATCTTTCTCTTTTTCTTTTTTCTTATAATCTTATTGAATGTTTTATTGCTCTATTTTTCAATACCTTCAATCTTAAAATCAGGTGAAGGCGCATTTCTTCGGCTCACTGTTTTTATATTGTTCCCTCTCTTATTTTTTCTTTTTTGTAAATATTCTAGTCTTATATTCGTATCGAGTTAAAGCAGTCCAAGCGATTTCTTGTAGCAATTTTATCAATGGTGGTGATTTCTCTTTTTATCGTTTTGTTGCATAGAATTGTGCCATGATCGGCAAAAGCAAGGGGGAGATTTCCAAATCATCGTATCACCGAAATCTATGATAGAAAGGATATACCCCTCCACGGGCCCGTTGTGGTATCGTAAGGCACGTACGGGTTCTTGATTTTTCCACTCCGTCTGGTTCAAATTTCATGATTGATGAAGAAAAAAAAAAGTGATAATGACAACTATTTTACAATAGAATTTCATCATCTTGCGCTGATCAGCTTTTACTCTTTTTCCGTCTACATGAGCTTAAGGCTGTTCTGGCCTCACGAGGGAATGAGAAATTCCCAAGACAAAGCGATAAAAACGCAGCATGTATATGATTATGTCAATGCGTGGCTGTACAGAGTACCCTTCGTTTATTATATTTGTTTTTATTTACTCTTCATCGGATTCTTCAGCAAGAGTCATGGCAATACGATCCAAATCACGCTGGCCATCCTGAGTGATTCTGCGGCCACTATTTTTCGAGGAAACAAACATAGACATGTTGGTATTTCTCTCAGCTTTGTGATAATTAATGAAGTCACTTACCCCTTCTTGTCCTTTTCCAAGACACCGATCTTTTCCAAAGACTGGAGAACCTTGCGGTTGACGGAGCCGGAGGCATCAACGTGGTGGGAGGGGCGGGAACCGCGGTTCACACGACCACCATGGACTTTGTTCAAAGCACCAACACCGACGCTCTTGCGGATGTAGATGTGACGGGCAACGGAAGCTAATCCATTTCATGTCAGTAAAAAGAACTTGATCCCAATGTTTGGAGTCAAGGTGAAAAACTTACCGGCACGGACAAAATACCAGTCGGGATCATAGGGAGCCAATTCCTTGAAGGTACCGGTCTTGACAAGATCAGCCCACTTGGGAACATCGAGCTTACCAGTGCGCTTCAAGTAAGCAGCATAGGCTTTGATGAAGGCTGTAAAAATAAAACGATGATGTGATAAGTACAATGCACCATATAAAAAAAAACGACCAAAAAAAAAATCCAGGCCAGCCATGCCAAGCCACCCAGACTTGAACCAAGAAAGGTCTTCGATATTCCCGTCTCGTCCTCTTCCGTGTCAGTGCTTGTTGCTATACTATCTTTGTCGTTCGGTTGTTGTTTGCTTTTAACGCTGACATGAAAACATCACGACGATATGGGGAGCGGATAAGACGAGACGGATTCGCAACATGAAAGAACATGGAATGGGATGATAGTGTTGGGGGGACTGGTGCAACGGCTTGGAAACAGCAAGCACTGGATTTCGGGTATAGTTCCCATATCTTTTTTTACGGGCAAGAAGAAAGAAAAGAAACGAGTGTATTGCGTACCGTGGGCGTTAACGTCCTTAACAGTGATACCAGCCATCGTGTTGAAATGCGAGAGCAAAGAGAGAGAAAGAGAGACCTACACACCCAACCAATTCACAATAATAAAATTTTTTCTGATCCCGACAATTTTTCCACGTCACCCCGAGAAAAAAAAAATTGTATTGCAAAGTGTGCAGTAACTGTCTGAGTTTCGTTTTCCTCGTATCGTAGCACCACCACTTTTTTTTCCCCCTTTCTTTCTCCAAAAACATGATAGACACTGGTTTGCCCTGATGTTCATTTATTCACTCGCATGCCTTTTGTTATTACTTTTATACTCTCCCAACGAAACGACTGCGCAAACCTCGGTCACCATTCAACTTAAAGATGGTGAACTTCAAAAGTCATCTGTAGCAGCCGGTGATACACGCCATTACTACTTTTCATCGGTCAACGGGCAAGCCCTCTTTCCCCGCGATATCGACGATGACAGTCCACTCTTACTGAAACGTGATATTCCCAATATATTCCTTACTGTTACCACGTGCTCCCAGCCGACGGCGCCTTCCGGTCACCGCGAAGCCATACCCTCCCTTGATCTTTTTCTATCCACTTCAGCCGATGATACCCTTCCCGGACGTGGCACCGGTAAACTGATCGAAGGTATTCGACCAGGTTATACTGCATGGACAAGTCAGTCCACCGTAAACGATGTATGGATCGGCGTATCTGCACCATCCATAGGGAGCGTTTGGTCCGGTAACTGGACTTTTGAGATTGCCGTTTCTACGCAACGTAAGTATACCACTTGTCTGGATATGATACCATCTGATCCCTGTTAACTCCCTCTGTCATATTAGACTGGATGCATCCTCTCTTTTTAAGCAATGATCCTGATCAGGCGGATGTACCATCCATTACATTGGAAGACACGGATCAAACACATGCGCTGTTTCTTACCAATCCCTACACAAGTCAGACTCCCAATGTTTCTATACTTGTGGCCTCCCACGTCCCACCCGAATTGTCTTACTCATTATGTGCTGTACGGTCTTACCAGTTGCCGCAATACAGCACCAATATCACCACCACTCACCGAGGTCCATCAGGCGCTCCACGACAACAGATCATGGTTTCGAATTTGACGGAAAATGAATCTTATACCGCTTATCTATTGCACACAACGAATCAATTGACTGGTTTGACGCCGCCCGTCAATGTTCAAATGAAATCAGGTACTGTGAAAATACAGCTGAATTGAATGAAAGGATGAGCTAAAGTCTAAAACCGGATCATGCACATGACAGATCCCAATTGTCGGCTGGTTTATGACCTGGAATTTTGCGACCAGGTGGCTTACAGTGTGCCAGTGAACCCTCAAGCGCAAAATATCGATATATGGAATGTCACACTGAGCTACGATAATCAGGCACGCGCTTTGTTCAAACCCTTTGATACCGCTTTATCGCAATTCAACTGTGATACCACTCAATATTCTCTGGTTCGAAACTGCACGGATTGTTACAGAGACTACAAGCGATGGATTTGTTCAGTGACGATTCCTCGATGTACCTCTTCCAATCCGTCGGGATACAGTCAGATCAACAGTGATACAAAACCAGCTCCAGCTGTCAGACCGATCGGAGCCAACCAGTCACGGAATCCGTGGATCGATGAAGCCATGTCCCCCGGCGCTTGGACCGAGTTGCTGCCATGTATTGATCTTTGCTACTATGTAGTGCAAAGCTGTCCGCCTTTTCTCAAGTTCTATTGTCCGGAAGGGGATTTGGTGGCACTTCAATACGGCTATTGGCAAACGGGGCTCGTTGACCAAAACGGAACCATGACAAACTATGGTCTGGATCGACCTACGTGTAACCGTTTAGGTGCGAATGCTACGCAGCTGGTGATTAGCCAAGCGAACACCATAGGAAATCACATATCGTTCAAAGGGTTACTGACTGTAGGGACCCTTCTGTGGATTGTTCTCGCCTAAGAGATGACGTATTTGGCTGGGATTTAATTCGGCTTGGCGATCCGGGCGGCGTCTTATATTTTCTTGTCAATTTTTCTTCACCCTGTCTTTTTCTGGCTTGTTCTTGAATTGATACCTACCCCATTTGCATAATGTCAAAAAATAATAATGACCCGAATTACTCTGAGGAGCTTGAAGACAGTTCTCGCAGCATTCTACTCGGAATTGCATCCCAGCTCACCAAGGGAATGGATTTGGTAGTGTCACCAATACGTCAAATGGGCAAAGCGAAAATAAAAAAAGAAAAGAGGGAACATGACAGAACCTCTAATGCTGTAAACAATATTTTACATAGCATCGAGTCACTCTACCGACCTTTGTTCTAGAGCCACGGAGCATGTTGGAGCGTATTACCGACTTTATGTCACACCCGGATTTATTGTTGCAGTAAATTTTAAAATGATTTTGCCTTTTGCCGGGCGGTTATCTAATATTGAAAGCTAGCGCGGGCGACATTGATGATCCTCTTGAACGATTCATCGCGGTGCTTCGGTATTATTTATCTGGCTGGCATGTCAAGCCCAAGGTATTTTCCATACATCATTTGAATCAGATTACAAAATTGGGGACGCCATTGACACATTTTTCCTCTTGCGGGAGGTAAATTTATGCAGGGTGTAAAGAAACCTTATAATCCTATCCTTTCCGAATTCTTTCGATGTCATTACACATATCCTGACGGCACCGTTGCTTATTACATCGCTGAACAGGTGTCGCATCACCCTCCCATTTCATCCTACTTTTATACCTGCCCTGAACATCACGTCATCGTCAAAGGCGACATTAAACCGAAATCACGCTTTCTAGGCAACAGTGTGGCAACATTGATGCAGGGTTCCTCTCACATCATCTTGACCAATAGACATAACGAGCGCTATGATATTGCCATGCCAAACATGTACGGTCGAGGTATCTTGTAAGTCATACATTCGCCATGGCTATCAGCTGCTTTGCAAGTTCGGTCTCATGCTAAAGACATGAAAATACCATAGATTTGGTACAATGACCATTGAATTGGGCGATAGTTCAAAGGTGACATGCATCACAAGTGATCTGTCATGCGACTTGGAATTCAAGACCAAGGTACTTTCCGTACTAGCCCAGTCGTTATTCTCTTCGTCTTTTTACTGACAGCGATCTCATGCATGTTCTCTATTTCAATGACAGGGGTTCTTTTCTGGGCAATGGAATTCAGTGGTTGGAAAAATCAAGAAGGAATCCACACAAGAAGTCTTGTGCGAAATCACAGGTCAATGGTCCAATGAACTAGACATCAAGTATTTAAAGGTAAATGCAAAATGTGAGATTTTCCGTTTCCATTAGCCAACCCAATGGATATTAGACTGGTAACAAAGAGCGATTTTTCGATGTGAAAACGGCATCCACGTTCCCAAAGGATGTGGCTCCTGAAGATCAACAAGAACCAAACGAATCGCGACAGTAAGCGAACTGCACATGCTGTGTAGGTGGTTCAGACTCCCGAGATATTCATCGTCATCACTTGCGTAGTTTGTGGTCCAAGCTCACAGCTGCTATTAAAGCGCGTGACATGGATACCGCCACTGACGAAAAAACGACCATTGAAGATGCACAGCGACGTGATGCCAAAGAACGTGAAGAAAAGAACATCACATGGTCACCACGATTTTTCCAGGAAACAAACGGAGAATATCACTTTAAAGGATTACCAGAGTAAGTGGTATTACTTTCTAAGTTATCATTTGCATTGTGACTTATCTTTCTCTCTTTAGGCTTGATTACGACGATCCACAGAAAACCAAGCAATTACTGGAAAAAATCATCTTTTCCAAAGATTGACATTGAAACAGTTGATAAAAATGTATATTTCGCGAAATGCAAGTTACTTGGCTTTGGTTATTTGATGCTCGATTAAATCGTAGAAAAAAAAATAGACAATGGACTGATCCTTTATTATGTGACTCTATCCGAAAGCAACATGTTTCCAAGACAATAATATCCTTGTCAACGAGGCTGTTCGCCAAGTCGAGGTTGTGATAAATGAAAAAAAAAGCAGGCGCATCATTAAAATTCCTGCTGACAATTCAGAGTGGGCCGATTGGGAGTACAAATGAAAATTGCGCTAAAAATTTCAGATCAGTCAAAAGTCCACCAAGAATGGTTTTGCCGGAAAACTCAATTCCAGGGCGAAGCTTGTATGACCGAGTGTTATTTATTTTGGTATGCCGACATCTTACCGAATACGTTTCTCTCTAAAGGCCATTGACAAACGTCATTACAGCATTGATTCAATCTACATTGTTCTACATAGCTAAGGTTGGTGGTGTGGGTATCTAGAATATCCTTCAGGAAGGGAATAAATGATTTTACATCTATCCGTCGGCGTACATCCTTGTAGTACTGCTCAATCATTTCCCGCTCCCTGCCTGGAATGTATTTCGACAGCAGTTCAATAGGATACTCCTGGGTCAGCAGTGCTTGTATTTCCGTTTCGTTCAGTTTCAAGTTGTATTGGTCGAGTATACTGGTAAGAAACGATCGATCGTATTCTTGACATATTGCATTTCTACACTCAAAGTTGTAGATACGTCTGCCGACAGCTGTCATGGGCCACTTGAACCAATCTTCATTATACCATCTTGAAGCAATCGAAATCAGAACCGCGTCTTTTTTCATGAATAGACCTGCTCCTAGACCATTGCCGAACGGTGCAATTAACACATCAACATCTTTCACCAACTCGGCGGTACTTCGCATGTTGCAGCCAGCATCAAAGTCGATCGTCTCTATCGATACGTTCATCGCACTCAATGCGTCGATCACTTCCGGGATATTCGTTATATGTCGGGTCCTGCCACGATTTAGAATTGCGATGCGAGGTGTGTCGGGCTGATGCTTGTATGTAATCACTGACGAGAGGCATTGACTTGGTTCCGTAATGGGTTGATCTACAACGTACGAACTAAACGATTCGTAATGCGACGAGGGAATTTGGCCGTCACAGTACCATAATGCACATCGATTGCCCGATCCTACGACGGCTTTCCGGAAGCATAAAGGCTTGTACGTAGGTAACACTTGCTTTTCGGTTAAACGATCCTTCCTCTGGAGCACCATATCCGGTCCGCTCGGGAGAATCATCTCGAGTTTGGTATGTTTACCCTTCCAAGTCGCAACACGAAGTGTCCAGGCCGAGGATGACGCATTTTTCTCTCTCATCGTGCTGTAGAGTGGCATCAATCCATTGTATATGAAATGCGAGAAATGATACGGGCTGTATAAACCGTAGACAAAGACATCTTCATCGATGTACTTGGCACCGACGCCCCGTTTCATGGCCTTCGGCTTGAACCATAGGTCTTCTCCTTCACCTGTATTGAGGAGATTGATGCGCGGAGGATCTTGGCTGGTGATAACGAATGGGCCGTGATATCGATCAATGCAAAAGTTGGTAAACTCGCACATCCCCAATCCTTCGCAGGTCCATGTCGAAGTTTGGATCGGTTCGCCATAAAAGTTCCGCCATAAGAAGAGCATGACCCACATAATCGCGGAGCACAGAAAGATGTACCGTGCATACCTTCTCAATGGCTGTAATGAGAGGAATCGAATCATGGTGTCTGCGGCGATCCCGCTCAAATGAGAGTGCAGCTGCTGGTCGATCTTCTATCGAAAACCGGAAAGACGGGACCAAATTTTATGGAGTGACTGCTTTATGATGATCTGTGATGCACAGAACTTGGATTTGCTTTACTCAAAGACACATTAGCTTGCAAAGTCTTTATTCAATATCATGTTTTTGGTTTCTGAAAATGTCCATTGTATTTTCTCGATAAAATATAGTGTCTTTTGGCATATTCAACTCTAAATGCCGCTTTGGCCACTGATCGTGGATCATCCACACAACCTCCGCCCAAACATGCATAGACTAATTTCGTGATCGCAGCTACTGCTTGTTTATAACATGGTTTACAACGGCAAAAAGAATTGGAAGGAATCGAATGGTGGATATCTCCTTTTGCCATATAATGGAACGTTTATCCGCTGATGGTGAGTTTTCAGTGTATATGGTGTTCGCGGCAGCGAATTATTGATATGCCAATTTCGACGATCTGATTCGCCTATATCCACGATCCGTCGCAGACAATTCCTCATCTTGCTGGATTTCCTTCGCAGATAGGATTAAAAGTCCTCATAACTACTGGTGATAGTCCGTATCATTCCTCCCTTGGCCTTTTCGATTCATACAATGGTTCAGTTGTGGTTGGCCTAAACCACGATGAGGGCTTTCCGCAGAAAGAGTCATGATCGATGGCCTGAGATTTCACAAAGCACGTAGTCCCGGGGGAAGAAGGCGAATATATCCAAATTTTTAACGTCGCAAACTATTTTTGGAAGAAACATGTCATTTTGATGGGACTTTTTCTCTCTCCTTGGTCTTTTTCTCTATTTCAGCCGTTGCCCCATTTTCCCTAGTCGTCTAACTTTTTCATTTCGCGTCTCGCTTTGGGATTCTTTCGCGAAACCATTCCGTCAAGGACACTTTTGTCTTCTAACTTAATGGATTACTGATGTATAAAGTTCATTCAAGACCATAAGCAACTGCAGTTATATTTTGCTTCAGCATCGTCAAACTATTGATGGGTGGGCACCATATTTTTGCAGAGAAAACCCATCCTGCAACGACATGGTCAAGGGCGCAGCACGCCGCGAGTGGGAAATTTTACGTCATCGCGCATTTCGTACTCCGACAGACTTTGGTTCTGTGAGGGCAATTTTTGAACGGGTCTTTCACTTGAAGAAACGCTTCAGTCTACTTCCCGAAAACTTGACAGTTTGTCTCCTTCTCACAGATCGATCATTGAAGATTCGAACTTGTAGACAATTCGTCAATGCAGCGGGACGCCCATAAAAAAGGATTTACATTATAAGTATACTCAATTTTACAAAGGAATATATGCAGACAAGGCTGACACGCTTCCTTTTCCCGATTTTTTTACAAGTCATGAACGATTCGTACTTGAAGTAGTTCCGGCGCAACGCCTCATAAAGGTACCTTAATCTCGATACGATCGTTTAATAACAACGGACCATGTAACTGAATTCTCCTCATTAGGGTTCGGCTGAGCTGACCATTCAGCCCCTTCATAATAAACTGACAGGCATTCGGATCAACAGCCGTCAATGCCGTAAGACATCATTAGTTTCGCACCTACATATCGTTCAAACACCTTACGCAGACGTTTTTCTTGACTTTAGAAATCGTACAGACCTTTGTGAACAGTACACCCGTCGAACACACCTATTCCGATGCCGTAGCCGACTTAACGCTTGGATCCAACACAACCATCGCCCATCATCAAGTGTACAAAAGCAAATACTTGAATGCACTAAGAGAAGCGGACGAAGGAGAATTGTTGATCAGACTGCCAGAAGACAGCATTAAACAGGTACGAATGGTGCCTGACAAGATCCGCGTAACCTGGTCATTTACCCGTCATTGTTCTGATGCTAGATGTCCGAATCCGAAGCCCAACTCATAAGCAACGATGTCTATATGCACAGCAGTGCCGGTATGACGATTTATTTTTTCAGACATATTTTCGCGCCGGTGATACTAAGTGAAATATATTAGAAATGGGCGAGGACGGGACACCGCAGGACAAGAGTCTGTCTACACCGACTGTCGATGCTGGACCATCTTATGCACCCATTGTAGTGAGAGTCGATTTTATTCTGGAGAATCCTCGCATGGGAGTTGTGTTTGTTGAACCGGACGAGGAAGTAGCACCCTATGTAAGTGTTGAAACCGGATGAGTTGCATAAATGAAGTAAACTGACCGATTTTTTTCTCCAGCGCGCTCCTCACGTATATACCGTAAACCAACCATTACCGGGATCAACACGTGCCTGGCTTCCTTGCATTGATCGAGTGTCGGAAAGATGTACATGGGATATGGAATTCATTGTTCCTCGTAAAATGGGATCGACAGCGGTGACAGATTATGATGCCGAGAGTTCGCTTGATGAAGAGGATGCCACCGTGGTTGTATGCAGTGGTGAAGTTGTTGAACAGGTAAATAACACGGAATGGAAAACAATGGGAGATAGGATCACAGCAACTGAACTTTGTTCCAATTTTTTTGTCATATCTATCAAGGTCATTTATCCGTCTGATATATCCAAGAAAATTGTTCATTACAGCTTAGCGGTCCCCACTGCGGCGCCATTCATCGGCTTCGCTATCGGACCTTTTGAAATGATTAAACTATCACCATCTCAACTTCAAGAGGAAGTACTGACGGGCGCCGATCTCGACGAAAACCAGCAGCAAAGTTTGATGGCGGAAATCAACATGATGTCCAACATTTACGCTTTTGCGCTACCGGGATTAGATGAGGAATTAAGCGTGAGCTGCAGCTTTCTGATGCATGTAAGTGAATTGTCCCAACCGATATTTGTACCGAGTCACGAATACTTATTGCGTCAAAACAAAAGGCCATGCATTTCTATGCTCAGGAATATGGCTCATACCCATTCTCCGACTATAAGCTGGTATTTGTGGAAGATGCTTGGAGCGAAATTACGTCCAGTGCCTCGCTGGCTATTTGCAGGTAAGATTTTTGAGATGGATACGAGGCATTGCCAAGGCGGCCGGGGAAATTCACACTGACGATTATATGTCGATTAGCTCTCGTCTCCTTCATTCGGCCGATATCATTGATCAGATCTATCATACCCGTCGCATGCTGAGTTTAGGCTTGGCAAGACAATGGTTCGGTATCCATATTGTACCTAAATCTTGGCCGGATACCTGGTTGGTGTGCGGATTGTCCAACTTGATGGGGTCCTTGTTTATCAAGCGGCACTTGGGCAATAACGAATACCGATTACGCATGAAGCGAGTAAGTGGCATTGGGATCAGCAGTAAAAATGTATTCATGGTAGGGCGACCAAGTTGCTGATATCATTGTTTTCGTATAGGATATGGAATTATGTTGTTCACTTGATGTCAATCGGCCGCCCCTTTACAATCCAGCGCTTCCGATACCTTTAGATCCTGAAGATTTGGATTTCTTGGAACTGAAAGCTCCTCTGGTGCTGCATATGCTTGATAAACGTATGTGCAAAGGCGGCGGAACCCTTGGTCTTTCACGCGTTATTCCCAAAATCCTCGTGTCCGCCATGAGTGGTGAACTTCCCCAAAATGCCATTAGCACACATTACTTTATGAAGCTGTGTCGGAAAGTGAGCGGATTTGATACCAAGAGCTTCGCCGATCAATGGGTGTACAAGAGCGGATGCCCCAAGTTTACATTCTCGTTTCACTTTAACCGAAAAAAAATGGTGGTCGAGATTTTTATGCGACAGGAAAACTCCAATGCGGTTATCGGCAACGAAAGTCCAGTGAGTTTACTATTGGAAGGCAGCAGCAGTCAGGATCTCGTGACTCCCATGTTCACGGGCAATTTGACGGTGCGTATCCATGAAGCCGACGGTACTCCGTACGAGCATATTTTGGATATTCAATCGACCAAACATAAATTTGAAGTGCAATTCAATACCAAATACAAGCGTATCCGTCGAAACACGAAACGGTTCTTGGCAAAGCAAGCTGCGGCGGCAGCGGCGGTGGCCGAGGAGGAATTGGAAAATGAAGACGGTGAAACAGGCACCACCATGCTTGGCATTATTCCCAGTTTAGGCTTGGGAATGCCGATCTTTGAAGATCCTACTCAACGTCAAGATTGGCGGATCGTCGAATGGGGTCAAGACGAGGAAGATACAAGTGGTGCTGCCAGTGCCATGTTCGACTGGATTCGTCTCGATGCCGAATTTGAATGGCTGTGTACCATGGATTTTCAGCAACCCGATTACATGTGGGCAGCGCAACTTACCAAAGATCGTGATGTGGTGGCACAACATGAGGTGGGTGAAGGACAGTGAGAATGGAGTCATTCAACAAAACTGACCCTCATTTATCCTTACGATTTAGGCTATTGAAGCACTGAAGCACATGCCCTCGTTTCCGACGTCTACTAGTTTACTACGAGCTCTCATGGATCCTAAATGTTTCTACAAAATCCGTATGGAGGCTGCTTATGCGCTGGCATCGGTAAGTACGAAACGATGCGTATTGTCCCACCATTTAGAAGGGCATAGGCTGATAATGGCTACTTTTGTTTCTGGTTTGCTAGTGTGCCACACCGTCTCTGGATTGGGTTGGATTGTTGCAACTGAACAAAATGTTCCAAAAACGCTATTGTTTCCCTGTCGGTTCATCCCATATGGAAGTGGACGATGATATTCCTATGGAGCTGGCGATCCCAAAACCCAACAACTTTTCCAATCTGCCGGAATACTTTCTACAGAAGGCTGTTGTCATTGCGTTTTCCCAAGTCCGTGATCAGCATGGCTTAACGCCGCTAAAGATTCGCCAATTCCTGTTGGACCTCCTGAAATACAATGACAATATCGGAAATGAGGTGAGTCGCAAAACAATAAGGAACGGTAAAAGTTCAAATGGGTTGCTCATACCCTATTCCGTCATTCTTCTAGTTTTCGGACAGCTATTATATCGCCACACTCATCTCTGCTCTCGGAGATTCTTTAATTCCTGCTTCCGACGCCGAAAATGCATTGCAGTACGATGACTTTGAAGGGGAAAATGTACTGATGGCTGCCAAATCAGAAATCGAACGTTTTCGCACACTGGACTATGTGATTCCGACCTACCATAATATCGTGACCATTACATGTCTCAAGGTAAGCTGCGAAATGTGGGTCACGCAAGTTTATTGGTTCTGACATGTCACAGACAATGGCCAAACTGATGCTCAATGGACTGATGGAAGTAAACTTGGTGATGTTTTTGCAATATACCCGGTAAGATGGTTCTTGGTTTGATGTGCCTAATCGTTCCTGTTGCTCATTTTTCAATTTTTTTTAAAGCTATGGCAATTATATTCAAGTTCGCCTCACCGCCTTTGATTGTCTCTTTGTGTTGAAAGGGTTGACGGAAAGCACATTGACGCAATACTTTTTAAGCGTGATAAGAGATGATCCTTGCGTCTATGTGTCACATTACGTCGCTCGCGCCATGCTGGCATGGCTAGGCTTAGCATTGAAGGACAAGGTGGACTCATCGCAAAACCGATTCATTGAAGAATTTGCCGAAGAAGAAGGACGCGTCGTCATTGATGATGATCGGCAATCGTTCAAGAAAACCGCACAACAAGAATTCCAAGCCAATGTGGAAAATCTCAGAAAACGATTCGAACACAATTATCAGTTACAGCAAACCATATGGGAAATGTTAAAGTGAGTGGACGATGGGTCATCAATTACACGCAGCCGATAATCTCATACTCCATGCTTGTGCTTTTTTTCTTCTTCTTCGCCGTTTCCAGTTCTCCCGAAAGCTCGCATCTGGACCATTGTACACGCAAATATCTGCTTCAGTTCTGTGAATACATGTACAAGCCAATCGACGTGGGATTGAAAGTCACCATTCGAGTGCCTTCCTTACAGGTATGAGACAGGTTTTCTTTTATGTCCATTAGAGGTTGGATTATTGGCTAAACTAAGGAATGCTGATGCTTTATTAGACCACGGATTCGCCAGATGATATATCAGAACCTCAAACCCCCACCCCGCCGATCATTCGTCTTCACAAACCCAAAACGGTCTCACGAAAAGAAGGCGAAAGTAAGTATACCTCTATCCTTCTCTGGTTTTACTTGAGAACATGAAATGGACGTCAAGTATGCTGATGATGCGCGTCGTTTTTTTCTCTCTCCTGCTTCTCGCCTAAAAGAAACTACGAAACCCAAAAAGGCATCGACAACGATTCACATCAAAACCGAAGCTGCTGCCGAGAGTACTGTTCCTGCAAGTGGACCATCGGCTACACCTAGTATTCCGAAAACACCGCCTTCTACTGTCGTTTCCACTACTACGACCGCGACCGCCCCCACCCCGGCTCCTGCTACAACGGTGGCCATGGAAGCGCCCGTGGCCTCAAAAGCTCAAGTGAAACCCACCCCTACACCCAAGTTGGTGATCAAAAAGGGCGAAGGTATGCCCTCGGACGAGGCTAAAAAGGCTCGCCGTATTCTCAACAAACTTATCAAACACCGATCTGCCATTCCTTTCTTGCAACCTGTGGATGAAAACCTCGATGGCGCTCCCGATTACTTCAAGATCATCAAGTATGTATAGTTTTTCATGATTTTTCCCATGAGATATAGGCATTCAGGCTCATTATTCAATTTTTAACTGTTAAAACTACCAGGCGACCAATGGATCTTGGCACCATCAAGGTATGTTCTCGGAATGACCGAATTGGGTAAGTGTTTGAATAATAGGAATGCTAAATGGACGCTCTAGAGCAAAATGGAGAATCGACGCTACACTTCATTCCGGCAATTTGAGGATGATCTTCGGTTAATGTTCAGCAATTGTTTTGCGTACAATGGACCTGGTACCTTTGTTTATAACGAGTGCCAGACACTGGAGGCTGTCTTGGAGAAAGAACTGGCGAATATTCGCGGTAAAGAGCCCGAGGAAACACAAAATATGACGATCGTTGAAAGTCCCGCCCCATCGCCCCGGTTGAGCCATGCACCCGCCATTGTGCCACCTAAACCGCCGAAACCTTCAGCAGAGCCGTCTAGGCCCGCTGCACCCACGGAGAAGGCGACAGTACCCGCCTCGAAGTCGGCGATTCCTGCAACTGCTTCAGCTCAAGCTTCAACATCATCCCCTGTTCCCGTTTCAGCTACCCCAACTACGCCAGCTACATCAGCGGCGACAGCGACTCCTGTATCTTCGGCAAGCCCGTCCATGCCGCCTAAGAAACCCGAGCGTGAAGAAACCGACAGGGAAAAAGTTCACACAATTCTGCGAAAAACCATGGAAAATCAGCATGCCTTTGAATTTTTGCGACCTGTGGATCCTATCAAACAAGGTATTCCTCACTATCTGAACATTATCAAGAAACCGATGGATTTGGGTACAGTCAAGGCGAAGTACAAAACGGGGCAATACAAAAAAGCGCAGCAATTTGATGAAGATGTGCGGTTGATGTTCAGAAACTGTTATACCTTTAATCCTCCCAACACGTACGTATACAATGAAGCGAAAGCACTCGAAGAAGTCTACAACAAGTACTGGCAAATGTACTATGGTGCTCCTACAGCGGCCGCTTCAGAAAAGAAGTCGGAATCCCCCGCTGTTATTGCCAAACCTCCCAAGCCCGCCACTGCCAAGCCAGCCACTACCCAGCCAGCACCTACCAAGCCAGCACCTACCAAGCCCGCCGCTCCCAAGCCAGCAGCACCTACAAATACTACTGAGCAAGCACCTTCCTCTGTCGCCCAAGAAGCGCCTAAACCAAAAGCTGCTCCTGCTCCTAAACCTTCGGCGCCCAAGCCTGCTGCTAAACCTTCGGTGCCCAAGCCTGCTGCACCCGCAGATCCTCGTATGGACAGCAATAATCACAAACGTTGTGACCGTATTCTGAAGAAGCTGTGGCAGCATCAAGCTTCGCAACCATTTTATGAACCTGTATGTGATTCCAACCAAAATCTTGCAACAACATCATAGGGAGGGGCTTCAGTCAATTAACGCTTATTGTATAGGTCGATGCGGAAGCTTTGGGAATTCCTCAGTATCATGAGATTATCAAGGTAAGCATCGCTATAGGTACATCATGGCATCGCTCATGCATGTATGCTCATACCTGGTTTGAATATTTAAGCGACCCATGGATCTGTCTGCTGTGCGTAAAAGTTTGGAGGAGAATCGATTTGCAACCATCTGGGACTTTGAAACCGATGTACGACAAATCTTTTGGAATTGTTACCGGTTCAATGATGCTGCTTCTTGGGTAGCGCAACAGGGCCGTGCTTTGGAGTCCTTCTTCAATCAAATTTGGTCAGCAGAATTTGCGGATCCGAATGCGCTGAAAGGAGATGAGAAACGGTTGGCGCAAAAGATTGTTAACAAGCTCATGGCTCATGAAGCAGCTGGATTTTTCAACGAGCCTGTGGATACCGATCTTATTGCAGACTATGGCAAGATCATCAAGTCACCCATGGATTTACGTACGATCTCTGAAAAGTTGGAATCCGGGAAATACACCAGCTTGACTCAAGTGGATGCCGATATCCGTCTGGTGTTCAGCAACTGTTTCATTTACAATGCCCCCGTCACCTTTGCTTACGAACAAGGGAAGCGACTCGAAAAATATTATCATAATGCGGGCCGTGAGTTACGTAACAAAGTCAAGGAAATGAATGGGACAGCTCGCCGAATGTCCAACTCGCCTTCTCCAGCGGCGATGGCCATGCCTTCCAAACCTGTGGCGGGATCCAGCTCGGCCAAGACACCCAAAACCGCCATGGGACCTAGCGCTGAAAGTGCGAAAAAACCCAAAGCAAACAAAACGCCGTCTGTCCCGGTTTCAAGCACCAACAAGACGCCGTCAGAAACGCCATCGCAAGGTCTTCATCCGGCTTTGGAAGCCAAACTGGTATCCTTTGTCAATAAGCTTATGAACAACAAAGCCGCACTGGGTTTCTTGGAACCGGTAAGGAGAAAAAGAAATGTGAGGAAAGGATCGTCTCTGATGAAATGAAATTCTATAGGTGGATCCTATTGCGCTTAATATCCCTCATTACTCTTTGATTATCAAGCAACCCATGGATCTTGGGACATTGTAAGTGTTGAGAATGACAAAGACTTGCAATGTCCAGGTTTTAACAGTGGAATATTTAAATAGAATGAAAAAACTGAAGAGTGGCGCTTACAAGTCAGTGCGCGATTTTGAGACGGACACTCGACTGATTTTCACCAATTGCTACACGTTTAACGGGTTTGATCATCCAATCTCGCACAGTGCCAAAACACTGGAGACGATCTTCAACAAAGAAATTCCGAATTTACGGCGAAAGGAAGAACAGTTAAATGCAGAGGCAACTGCGTCTCCCTCACCGTCTCCTGCTCCCGCCAATGGCACAAAAACATCGAAACCGGCCCCTGCCAAACCAAGGGAAAAATCAGCTTCAGCCTCCCCGAATCCTGTGAAAAACGAACTACGAAAATACAAATCCGTGCTGGATAAACTTCAGTCCCATCCGTCTTATTATGCGTTTGGTGCGCCAGTGGACCCGGTTCTTTTACAAATCCCTATGTATTTTGATATCATCAAGGTAAGTTTTTTTTCGATACGAAAACAATGTGCGAAAAATATGCATGTTGACATCTTTTGAAATTAAGAACCCAATGGATTTTGGAACGATCCGCAAGAAAATGGAAGATTCTGAATACCGAAGTACTGAAGCACTCCTTAAAGACGTGGAGCAGGTCTTTGTGAATTGTTACTTGTTCAACTTGTCCGATGATATCGTGTATCAGATGGGCAAAGAACTTGAAGCGCGATTCAACAAACTATGTGCCGCCAAAGGATTAAAAGGAGTTCACGTGAGCATGGATCCACCACCTGCCATTAAACGTGAAGCGGATATTGATATGGAAGAGGTAAGCAAAAAGATCGTCCGGCTCACGAATGTCAATGCGTACTAATACTTGAATTGATCCAAAAAATAGGAGGCCATGTTGCTGAAAAAACAAAGACTGTGAAAGCGACATTTGAAAAATCATTAATATTCCTTTATCTTTCGCTTTTCTCCCAAAAACTGTAAATAGATATTTTGTACAAAATAATGAGAGTAAAAGATATCAGGTGTCATCATTTGGATGCTAAAAAAACCACATCAATCCATGTTGTCTTGCGAGTGACTGTAATATTTAATCATTGAAGGATGATAGAAATCGAAAAAAAAAGGAAACATAGAGACGAGGTAGTTTAATCATGCTGATTTTTCGGCACTGATGTACAACACTAACAAAATACTCCATTGGTTAGTTCTCTCGTGAAGAGTGCGTTATGCGTGCACGTCACTTGGTTGTCGACCTACCGTTGTTGCCTCGAATGAAGGTATCGCCATATCTGTTTTTCAGTTTTCCATCAACGTACTCTTCGGTACCTTCCAAAGCAATATTCATGTAGCCATCCAAGCAAGCAAGAACGCCTACGATAGAATCAAAAATAATGCCATTTCCCTGTTAGCTGCCATTGTAGGTTCCATTACAAACTTTATAAGGACTTTATACCTTTATAATCAATGCCAGAGTTCAATTTTACAATAACACGGTGACCAATGGCCGAGTTCAAAAAGTCGGTAGGTGATCGTGCGTGCTTTCCCTCCATGTGTGTGTGCGTTGTTTCCCGATCCCAAAAAAAGGTTGCAACCAGCGTCCTCACGGTTGCGCTTGGTCGGTCTGTGACTTTACGGCGGGTGTACAATCACGTGTGGAAAACTTCATTGGGTATAAATATGCTCGGACTGCCTTGCAACTTCCGGTTCGGACAAGTTGCAACACAAGTCACCGTTCCGTAGATTTTTTGGAAAGGTTTCTTCCCCAGCTCAGATTTCACCTGAAATGTGTAAATTTTTTTTTTTCCTCACTTCTTCTTGTTGATCTTTCTTTCAATCGGGGACATCAAAGCAACTGGTTGATCTTTGTTTAACCGTTTACATCCATTATATACCATATCAAAGCATTTCTACGTTTCATTCTTATTTCCTAGCATACCATATCAACGGTTTAATCTATCATGAGCTCCACTCGCGCTACCCGCAGCACCACGGCTTCCACCAACGCTTCTAGCCCAACCGCCACCAACAGTGCTTCCAATGCTACGTCATCGACGCCTCGTAACACCTCACCGGCCACATCGAGTGCGGCCTCTTCTCCCTCGACTCCCAAATCTACCGCATCCAAGAAGAAGAGTTCTACCAAGACTCTCAGCAGCAGTGCAAAACGGTGAGCAGTAAAAGCCATGGATGACATGATAAGTGTCCACTTATCTGACTAATGGTGCTTTTATTTTGAATAGTATTTCCAAGGAATTAGCTGAGATCTCCCTTGATCCTCCTTCCAACTGCAGGCAAGTGTCACTGGTTAAGGTGGACCGGCGATGGAGAGTGACTGTTCCTTTATTAACATGATCACTTGCTTTTTCTAGTGCTGGACCCAAGGGCGATAACCTGTATGAATGGGTCTCTACTATTGCAGGACCGGCCGGTTCGCCGTATGCAGGTGGCATCTTTTTCTTGGATGTGCACTTTCCACAGGAGTATCCCTTCAAGCCACCAAAGGTACGATAGTTTTCAATTGTTGAAAGGAGAGGGGGGGGGGGAAAGAAAAAAAAAAAGATTGTCACAAAAAGCAAAGCAGCGGAGCAATGCATTAACTTTTTTTTTATTTCCCCTTTTTAGGTAGTTTTCAGAACACGCATTTATCACTGCAATATCAATAGCCAGGGCGCCATTTGTCTCGATATTTTGAAGGACAATTGGTCTCCGGCCTTGACCATCTCCAAAGTTCTACTTTCTATTTGCTCTCTGTTGACGGATGCCAATCCTCGTAAGTGGAAAATTTGCATGCCCTTGCAGTGCATACATTTATTCCTGGGTTAAAACGTCTACCATGTATTGACATTGATTTTGGGATAGATGATCCTCTTGTGGGCAGCATTGCTCAGGAATATCTCAATGATCGTGAAGAACATGATCGCGTGGCACGAGAATGGACGAAACGGTAAGCATCAGTTTCTGAATTTTTTTTTTTCAAGGTTTCAGTGATGCGTTTTTTGATTGGGGGTTTTTTTTTGGTCCTTTTGTTTTTTTATGCAATGGTATTTACGTTTTGACCTTTTTATAATGTAGATATGCATGTTAATTTGATGATGAATCGCCTCTGTTATTCATCTTTACCTTCTTTCTCCTTGCTGTTTTTGAATATCATTTGTGTAAAGTCTCCATAGAAACATCATTTGCTCCCATGCTCAACAGATGGTAGTGGCCTTTATGTTCATCCTTCGAATAAAAAAGCTTTTCATTGTATCATAAAAGGAAAAGTAGATTTTTTTTTTATTCGGGTTTATCACGGCACCCATCATAGATAAGCCAAAAGATTATGAAAATTTTATCGGTCGATTTTTTCCCGCTTAATCAGTGCGTGGATCATTTTTCCGTGCCAACATAAAAAAAAATCGTTGTAAATTTTTGGGATATCGATGGCTCCTTGAAGAATTTCTTATGGCTTAAACATATACCACACAATGGAAGTCGAATGGATAATTTGGAGTTCGACATGGGTATCGAATCCACCAATGAAGGAATGTGGGATGAATCTGAGTTTGAGTATAGCAGGGGTGAACACTGAGAAACGGCCATATCATTGCCATCATACGAGCAGAGTTTTAAAAAAAAAAAACTTGGACTCGGCCGGACTTTTGATGCTGATCCTCTCAGATGATGCAATGAGCGAATTCTCAAAAAAAAGCATAAAAGGGATTCATGTGTGGGCGAGCCTTTTGTCTTGTTTTTCTTTTTCTTTTTCTTCTTTGTAAACCTTTTTCCTTTACACTTGTACTATATTAAAAAAAATGGGTGTTCTCGATATTGTTCCCGCTGGTGTTGTCACTGGCCAAAACTTGAAGAAGCTTTTCGAATACGGTAAGATCAATTAACTCGAAATTGCGAAAGAAACAACATGGTTATTCATACGTCTTTCCTATAGCTCGTGAGCACAAGTTCGCTATCCCTGCTATCAACTGTACTTCTACCAGGTAGGCTAAACTCTTTCTTGAGTTTTCATATCATTGTTGGTGTGACAATGTGGGCAATGCTATGCGAGCGGAATCATGGCCACGCGGAACACGTCATAAAATGCGGGATGGCTTTTGGGTTCAACTTTGCATTAAGCTTTTCGGTGAGAGAAGCGATTGGGAAAACTCGGGAAACACGCGGGATGTGACAGATGCAAAGTTAACGCGGTTGACCCGGAGCCATCAACCCGCGTGGGTTTGGAAAAGTGTTTATCTTGGCTTCTATCTATCGTCAATGGTTGGCTGTGGTTTCTCTGGATTTGAATTTGAATGTCACACCATCATGGATTCAATCTTGGAAAGATTCCAAACTGATCATACTTATCATGATTTTTTTTCTTCTCTTAGCACTGTCAACGCTGCTCTTGAAGCTGCTCGCGATATCAAGTCCCCCATCATCATCCAGTTCTCCAATGGTGGTGCTGCCTACGTCGCTGGTAAGGGTTTGAGCAACAAGAACCAGGAAGCCTCCGTTCTCGGTGCCGTTGCTGGTGCTCAAGTAAGTTTATCAAACTGGGTCTTATCTCTTTATCTCGTGGCATAATCCACTGACTGTTGATTATGTAAAACTTTTTTTATAGTATGTTCGCGCTGTTGCCAAGGCTTATGGTATTCCCGTGGTTGTGCACTCTGATCATTGCGCCAAGAAGCTCCTTCCTTGGTTCGATGGCATGCTTGCCGCTGATGAGGCTTACTTCAAGGCTCACGGTGAACCTCTTTTCTCTTCTCACATGCTGGATTTGTCCGAAGAACCCAAGGAGGAGAACATCGCTACCTGTGTCCAGTACCTCAAGCGTATGGCTCCCATCAACTGCTGGCTCGAAATGGAAATCGGTATCACCGGTGGTGAGGAAGATGGCGTGAACAACGAAGATGTTGACAACGCTTCTCTTTACACACAACCCGAAGACATCTGGGAGATCTACGAAGCTTTCTCCAAGGTCTCTGATCTCTTCTCCATTGCCGCCGCCTTTGGTAACGTCCACGGTGTGTATGCTCCCGGCAACGTCAAGCTTCACCCCGAACTTTTGGGTAAGCATCAAGCCTACGTCGCCGAGAAGCTCAACTCTTCCAACCCCAAGCCTGTCTTCTTCGTCTTCCACGGTGGATCCGGTTCTACCAAGGAAGAAATCAAGACCGGTGTCGATAACGGTGTTGTCAAGATGAACGTCGACACTGACACCCAATGGGCCTACTGGATCGGTCTTCGTGACTTTTACAAGAAGAACGAAGCCTACCTCCAGACCCAGGTCGGTAACCCCGAAGGTCCTGGTAAGCCCAACAAGAAGTTCTACGATCCTCGTGTCTTCATCCGTGCTGCTGAAAGCACTATGATCAAGCGAGTCCAGGAGGCGTAAGTGTTTTTTATTTTATTTTTCTTTTTGGGTCATATATGAGTACAAAAGATATTGATGTGTTCTCTTTCTGTTCTTCTTTTTCTAGTTGCGAGGATCTTCACAACGTCAACACTTTGTAAATACGTTAGTTCTTCTATTCTAAAGTAGTTCTCATCCACAAATTTCTTATTTCATTAAATTCAATTCATTACGGTTATTGGAAAAACGTGCAGTCTTTTGTACCAGAACAACATCTTCAAATCGAAAAATACAATTTTTTCACATGAACTGATACATGGAAATTTTGGGAATTCCGCATTTCCATCATATATCTGTAAAATAGAGCCTTTTACGAATATAAGATGTTAGGCATCCGATCCCCATGGGCTTCAGATGTTTTTAATCGTGCGGGTGGCTTCTGATTTATGTTTCCACGTGCAAAAACATCGAGACTTAGACAACCTTTCAGATCAGATGATAAAGATGTCATATCATTCCCAAATATATAGTTCTTGTCATGAGTGCGATCAAGAATGGCTTAGCTGTATTTTCTTTTGCTGCGATTCTGTGATGAACATCATTGGGGGGGGGAACAATGATAAATGATTCCCTTGCTGTAGTGTTTCGATGATCTGGTTTCGATTTCATCAGTAGGTCAAGTTTGTAGTCACTGTTAGTCATGGCAACATATGTTTAGTTAAATACTCATGTTTCATTGTCATGAGAATAATATTAACAATTCGATTAGACAATGAATCATGGTGGAAACCAATGATCTAATGGAAAAATATATAGAAATGGAGGATCCGGAAAAAAAGGAGCATGGCATGGATGGACTCATCAACCTGAAGAATTGTATCGCCGACTTAAAAAAAGTTGGCCAATGTAAAAGTCTTCTCGGACACAGGGACAGATCAAATATAAAGAGAAAGAAAAACGAAACATTGAATATTTGGAAAGAAAAAAGCTGCAAACTAGCATCTAGGATCGACTGCTGTTACCATCTACGGTTAACGAAAGGGCTATTTTCTTCCACGTGAGAATACCATTTCCGGTAATCGACAACGAATTTTTTTTCTTCAAGTCGCAAACGTATTTGGAGCGAGTGGTATATTTTATTGGACCCTTTCTCCCTTTTTCCACCCCTGTTGATAAAGAAGAAGCCTATCGACAGGCTAAAAAAAAATTACCTACACAAGAGTCAGAAAAATATGACTCCTCCTGTTGCACAGGTGTCTCGTCCCCCTTTGCCGCCACCTTTACCATTATCATTGGCGCAATCCACTGCCCTGCTTTCGCATCCACCTCCATCTCCCACTACTCATAATTTACCCTCACGACGTCATTCCTTGCCTGATCTAACGAAACTGAAGGAAGAATGGTACTGCAAAGAAGCCTTGCAAGTCAATACACTCCCTCCTGGAAAGTTACAGGTAAATACCCGTTTTTGGCCCAACCGTTCGTATCACGGGGGCACTGACCTTCCCCGACTAGATTGATTTGCTGAATTTTCAATCCGATGTCAAAGTGAAACGACCACAAATGCGGCTTAGAATGGGCTCTCAGCATTACTACTCGTCGCGGAGCAAAGATGCCACTGGCAACTGGAATGAAGGATTCATATTCACCATATCCTATCACAACCAATTATTTGATACCATCGAAGTAAGTTATCGGTTGCATTCCATTTTTTTTTTTCGGTGATGGGATGAAAATTAAGAATTTTTCTTATTTGGGGAATGATTGTGTATGTTCTAATGCATATTTATTATGGTTACGGCATGAAGCTTGATTTGTACGATAAGCGAAAAGGATGGCATAACAAGACACGGCATGTCGGCAAAGCGAAACTCAAAATTTCCTCCATCAAAGGCCGTGATGATGTATTTCTCACGTAAGTAGAACTTGTTGATTTTATATGAGAGCGGTTGTGGAACACCTTTTGATACGGGCGTGGGTTGTTCATTATTAGGTTTCTCCCCATGTACGAGTACCATGTTCGACGCTACCTTCCTGCACATATCCAATTACCGCATAATTTCCTAAAGTCACACATGCCTACCGTTCCGAATTTTAGCTCAATTCAACGCTCACTCCAGTCTCGAATATCTGACCAGAAAAATGTCACCAGCCAAGACGCTGATGATGATGATACTGAGACGCTAGTTATACCCGACTTACAGTACCATCAACATCCCAGCCACCGCAAGCATTCCATGACTCCCTTGATAGGATCCATCCAGATCCGTGTTCGTTACATTTACCAGATACCACCGGACGGCCTCACCGAAGATTTGAAACCCATTTACATGCCTTACAATGGGACCAAAGAGTTTGATACCTGTAGTCTTGCCAGCAGTCAACATAATCCCAGCTCCTACTCTGTCCACAGTCGATACAGCGGAAAAAGCCTTTACAGCACCGGTAGTAGCAATGTTTCCAATTCGACCATCTGCTCGGATGGACTTCAGTCTAGTCTGGCCGATTTCCATGACGCCGTCGAACCCAAACTGGTTTACGTCGATGATCTCAAACGCGTGTCTCCCACGGCAGCTGACCGACAAAACCCACCGTTGAGACGAGATTCATCCATCGATCTCATTTTTGAACAGAAACTGCACCACGAAATGGCCCGCCCCACGGATCCTTCCTCTGCCAAACGATCGGCTTCCTATGCCAGAGAACAGTTTGGTTTCTCACAATGTGACGTCGATAGCCGCAACAAGAATACCCGAAAAACCAACAGTGGTACCTCCACTCCCGATAATGCAAGTATTCGAAGTCATAACTTTGGCGACAAGAACTTTGCGTTTCGGTGGATCAATGAAACCTTTGATGAAGTTGCCCTGTCCCATCCCAGTTTGGACCGTATGATCGGTCTGGTGGTCAGTCCTCAGACACGAACATTACTACGTGCTGTGGTCAAGATGTTCAACGCTTTTGTAAGTGACAGCGTTGGAGTGCCGTACCATGTCGTTACTCATCTTTCTTTTCTTCGTTTCAGGGACAAGGCTTCAAGATTACTGGCATGCAATTATTATCATCCTTATCACTGTTGCAGACATTTTATTCAGATATACCACGGTAAGGAGACAATAGAATGGAGATATGTAAGTTCGCTTGACCTTGTTACTGATGACCGTGATTTAGACCTCCACCTGCCGAAAGAGTCAGCGATCTTCGGTTTTTGGATGAAGGGTATTATTTCCTGGGACACGCCATTATCGCTTATGTAAGTATCCGCTAAAGAGCGTTTTTTATTATTCTTTTCACGCACAGATGATTGAATGGTTTTCTTTCAATCTAGGGTTGGCGCGGCATCTCGTATCTAGGCGACTATGCCAAATATTTGAAAGGTGAAGTGTGATACAAAAAAAAAAAAAAAATGAAAGTAGACAGTCGAATCCACGTGCTGATTTCAAATTATGTTTTGCTCTTACAGATGTAATGAAGACGCGATCCAACAAAGAAGCCATCGTTCGTTTTTTAAAGATCCCACCGGAAGATCTGTTGGGTTACGAATATGGCTTACGAAAAGGCGCTGTATTTCAACCTAGCTATTTCGTTTCTCTGGACCGAGGTCATGAAGCTGTCGTTTTGGGCATTCGTGGCACCTGGGTAAGGGATAAAAAATATCGTGGCGTTAAAATGGCAAGTACTCACTCGACTCCTTATTTATTTATTTTTCGCTCCCGTAGAGCCTATATGATTGCATTACGGATCTGGTGTGCGAATACCGGCCATGGAAAGGTGGTCTTGTTCATTCAGGACTCTTGGCTTCGGCTCAATGGTTCTTTACCCGCATTATTCCTCAGATTTTTCATTACATCCATGAGCAATCGAAATCGTCCGACCGGCCTATTTCGTCATTTATCATTACCGGTCACTCTCTGGGTGCAGGCGCGGCGGCGATCCTCACCATGATGATCGTGGATCATCTCGATGAACTACGCCAACTGTCAGGCAACCCGAATTTTCGAATCCATTGCTATAGTTATGCTCCTGTGGCGGCGGTTTCTTTGGATTTAGCGGAGAAACACAAAGAGTACATTACCAGTTTTGTATGCCACGATGACCTCGTGGCTCGCTTATCTTACGGAACCGCCAGCTGTGCCAAGGAACTCATTATGGACGCTCTTATTGCTGTCGATGGCATGGGTGGCACCAGCAAGTTGAACGCTGACGAAATAGCGAAAAAAGCTTGCTTCGACATCATCAAAAAGCGACGTGAGGAAATCTTCCACTCGACCGAACCCAAATATCCTCTTCTCTATATTCCCGGAAGCGTCTACCAGTTTCGACGATCCAATAAGCCCGTTTCCACCGTACCATCCTCACTACGACCTCGATCGTCCTCCGCCTCTTCTTCCAAATCGACCCCCGCCAAACCATCTAAACTCACCTCTAGCCAATCCGAACCTGCTCTATTCCTAAAAGACGACGACCAACCCGGCGAAGTGAGCTTTACCTTACACAAAAGCTCGCCGCTCATTTCTGAAGAAGTCCTGGTGTCGAAAACATGTCTTGAAGATCATATGCTCGTCACCTATTTGAATGCGTTTCAAATGGTGCGACGTGAATGCATGCTTCATTCCAATCCAGAGTCGTCTGAAAAAAAGTCGGAACAGGACAACCTCCAAGCGCCTCTCAAGAGTAGCATGGAGGCCTCTGCATCTAATTTGCATGCCACGAATTCCCAGCAAAATCATGTTTTATAGGATAAAGCTATTATCATTTGATGAAGAAAAAAAACACTTCTCAATCAATCTTTTATAAATCTTCTCATTTTGCATCTGAAATTTTTCCCTCACTGATTTCGCCGATCATCTGATGGCGCTAAACATAACAAGATTGGGTCGTCTGATACGATACTGCTTGTTTATATTAAAACCTTGCTTAATCTGTTGTGGCTACAGAATTTGCCAGTTTTTGTTCTCTTTATTCTATGATTCCCAGGATCCTAGTCTCATCGTACTGGCTCTTGTTACTTTTGTTTCATTTTGTTCGTCCATGGAGGGTGGAAGGAATAGATGCCACCTCTGCTTTGCTGGAGGCTGCACCTTTGCATCTCAACATATCCAAGTTTGTCAATAACCAAGGATTCGGCGGCGGGGGCGACTTTGATGGTTTGGGCAATCATTTTGTCTGCGATACGCCTTTGCCCATGCTTGTGGGTGAAATTCCTTTTATGCCTACCGTCAATGAAGGGCTCAAAGATAATATTATGGCGCGGGGACAAGTCATGACGCTGCCTCACGAACGGCTGGGGGCACTTTATCTGCTCGCCAGCGTCAATCATGGTCCTGTAAAGACAAAATTCGTCATCATGTATGAAGATGGGACACATTCAACGACGACCGTGGTGCTTCCAGACTGGCAAACGGGCCACTTTACGCAAATCGTGCAACATGATGTGACGACGTGTCAAGTGAGTACAGGAGCAAGTGCCGGTCTCTTCTCTGTACCGATTTATGTGGATCCTACCAAAGTCGTATCGCATCTGACCTTCCCCTATACTGAGCTGTTGGGCTGGTTTCGTCCCGCTTTACACGTGTTTGCTCTGACAGCTTACAAGGCCGAGCCATCTTTACGTATCATCTCTGCGCGAAGCACCTCTCGTTGGGTATCCGAGCAGGTCCCCAATGGCTCCAATCGGCAGTATCAGATCATGACGGTGCGTGTGCATAACACGAGCCCGTATTGGGTGGAAAATTTACGTATCCAAATGGACGGCCCGCTTATCCAAACCAAACAATTTGGGAATATCGGCCAGCTTGCACCGGGCCACATCCAGACCGTTGATGTGGCTATTCACACGATTCGTCGTACCACCGGAAATGTGGGCGTCACCATCACATTAAGAAACGCCAACGATCAATTGGTGGCAGCTTCGGTTCGTACGACACTCAAGATAGGTTTACCTGACTATACGGAAGATGAAAGGTCAGTGACAGCAAAAATTTTGCTGATACGACTAATGCCTCACATTCCACCTATCACCGTTGTAGGGCGCTACGATTCCATGAGGCACCTACTTGGATGCAGCAAGCCAAATTTGGAATATTTATCCATTGGGGTGTGTATGCGGTGCCTTCATGGGCCCCTGTTGGTCAAGCGTACGCCGAGTGGTACTGGTGGCAAATGAATATGGGAAAGGCTACACGCGAGTACCATGAAAACGCATTCGGCACCAAATTTGAGTATGACGATTTTCTTCAACTGTGGAAACCGACCGAATTCGATGCGAACCGTTTGCTGGAACTCATTGATGTTTCGCGCGCAAGATATTATGTGTTCACCACCAAACATCACGACGGTATTGCATTGTGGGACACCAAAGTCACAAGTCGGTCTACGGTCCAGCTGGCACCTCACCGTGATTTTGTCAAAGAACTGGACACGGTATCGAAAACTGCTTTTCCACATTTGAAACGTGGTTTATATTGTTGGTGATTAAATAGCATCACTTCATACTATGGCGTATCGGTAATGATTTCATCTTGTTCTCTTTCCTTGTTAGATTCTCTCCCAGAGTGGTATCATCCAAGCTATTTTGACCCGTCTTTAGGTTGGCGTGGACCGCCACGGAATGCATATACCGGAGAACGAGTGCCGTACACTGGCAGCCGACCGATTTCTGACTATGTAAATGAACTCCAGGTACCGCAGATTCTGGAATTGATTGACACTTTTCAACCAGATATTCTTTGGTATGTCAACCACCAGTGCAGCGTATATTTCGTGAGAACACATGGCTGACTTGTAGATCTTGCTGCTCTAGGTGCGATATTGGCGGTATCAACAATTCGACGGCGTGGCAAGGGAAATTTTTTGATGATGGGCAACAAAGAGATCAGCAAGTCAGTCTAAATGATCGGTGTGGTAACCACATATCTGATTTCAGTACCATTGAATATCGTGCTGTAAATATTCCTCCTCCAAGGTTCTGGGAAGCGACGCGTGGTATTGACCCGTATTCGTTTGGGTAAATATTGGCAACCAAATGGTATTTAGATGCTTGATTAGCAGCTGATGATCGATTAGTTACAATCATGCAACGCGACCGGACCAGTACGCGTCAACGACGTCGCTTATTGTTGAACTGGTGAATGTGGTGACAAAGGGCGGTAATTTCCTGCTCAATATTGGACCGGATGCATCAGGAAAAGTACCAGATGTGATGGCGAATTGTTTGCGAGAGATAGGACAATGGCTGGATAAAGTGAATCCGGCGATCTTTAATAGCGAACCCTACTGGGTGACCACTGAAGACACTCTGGAACCGGGCCAACCTTTACGCTTCAGCCAACGACGCGATGGTAGGGCGTTCTACGTTTTTAGTCTGCAACGGCCTATTCATCGAATGGTCGTCAAGACCGTCATCCCCCTTCGACAGCAATCAGTGATACGAATGATGGGGTCCGCCATCGAATTGCGTTGGGAAGTACATAATAATGGTCGCTTAATTATTGTCATCCCATCTGGCATAACCAATACGTTGGAACATGTCTGGGTATTTGAAGTATTGCTCTGAAAAAATTGAATGCTTTTGCATACACAGTATAGCTTTTTTTTTAATATGCATCACCCAAAATATGTTGACTAAACTGTTATTTTTTTTTTCAATCCTGTTTATTCTCCCTTGGTTGGTGGCGGTGTGATATCTGGCTGCGGTGCGAGATCCGCCTGCGGTCGATCAGTAAAGGTATCATTATAAGCCTTTTTCGCATGACTGACAAACGCATTGAGATCGTCGCCATTCTTGAGGCTGTCAAAGCACCGCTGGAGGAAAGCGGTCTGTGTACCATCCTGCCATGATCGAACATATTGTCGTGCCATTGTATACCCTCCATTGATAGTCGCTTTTCCTACTGTTTCCGCTACATCCACGCTGTCAATATGTGTGTAATCCATACATCTATAATGTAAATCACCAAAACGCTGATAATACCTTTTTTGCCTGCCTGATAAAGACCTTCCCCAACATCCAGCTCATAGTCTTGCGATCTATAGCTGCTTGATTAACATGGTACGGGCTTTATCGATTTGATCAACCCAAATACCTACTCTTTCCTGAAACTACCACTGGCCGCTTCGGAGACTATATTCATCAGTGAGATCGTGAAACGAAGAATATGAAACGACCAATGATGGGTCAGAGAGATGCGATTACCATTTGTTTTCGGCTCAAAGGAGGAAGATTCTCGGCCGGCTACGAGCGAATAACCTCGTAGAGAATTGTACCAACGATTACTCGCTGCGGCATCCGCCTCATTCTCGAGTTTTCGGCGAAAGCAGAGTTTGGAACAGTCGGCTACATCCTCGGCCGCTTGAATGTTTTTCTTTTGTTTGCACCACTTTACACAGTTCTCCTCCCATTTCGCAATCACAGCGAGTTCGGCATTGGTAGGTGACTCGATGTTCGTCATTGTAGCAGTGAACGGACCACCTGTGTGAATTGCTTCGGTGCGCAATATTTCTTGATTGATCCGGAATCACATGACAATCAAATGGATCAACCAATAACAAACAAAATCATGAATGCACTGCCTAGTCGAATCATTGAATCGGGGCATTTCTTTTTGGTCTCTTATTGAGGCAATGAAGTCGTGATAGTAAAATTCCCAAAAAGCTTTAGTCATGTAATGCATCTCATCCCGAGCGAAAAGAATAGTCAATTTATAGTTGGACTATTACTATTTTTTTTTTTTTTGAACAGATATGAAGATAAGAAACCATTATACAAACGGGTTAATATTTATCAACTCAAAACAAGCGTCAAGAAATAGATACATCACAAAAAAGGTACACACCATTTCGCTTGTCGCAACATTACATATACTTGCTTGTGTGATAATCGTCCATCCAAAGAACAGTACTGGAATTCTTCAGTCAGGCAACAGTGGCCTTCGATTCCTTTGATTTATTTACTTTATCCCCTTTTTCCGTCGAAGCTGACGAACTCTACGATTTGATATGTATCGCTCACACATATATCTGCTGCTTACTGAGACACTGACACTGATCTACCTACCACAATTCACAACCGCTTCATATACTTTACATGCTTTATACGCTTTTATAACATTTTCTTCATGCGTCGGTATTACAAGTCCAGGTCTACATTTGGAATGTCAAAAGTTGCATGTTTTTCAGTAATAAAACAAAGTGGAGTTTGTTCATTGTGATCTTAGTCGCCGACCTTGGTTGAAAAAATAAAATAAAAATAAATAAATAACGAAATTGGTTGCCAAGTGAAAAGTTTGCCTTCGCGGTTAAAGTTTTTGAGTTGCGGGATTCTTCTTGAGTTTCATTTTCCGCAATCTTTAACTCTAAAAGCAAACCACTTTACACAAAACCAACTCACCGAATCAAATGTCACATAAAAATGAAGGCCAGTTTTCGGTTGGACGTTCTGGATATTTTTGGAGCTCCATATACGCACCATCGACAGATTTTGAAGTTAGTATGATGACAATGACTTTTCAAAATAATTTACCTGTCAACATAAATGTGCATCCGTTATTAGCTTGAGATACCAAAGTGCTATACGTGTTATGACGCCTGCCAACAATGAAAGGGAAAATAATGAGGCAAAAAAATGACGGACCGATGGGTGTCACTGGTATTACGATGTCTGGGAGTGCATGATGCACCGAATAGGTTCTGATGGTGTGATAAATATGTTTCGTTACAGTTATAGATAAAAAAAAAAGTTCCAAGGGTGTTATAAAACACTTTTTTTTTCTCTGTATATGTGCGTGGTCTTGTGCTCCATCGGGATCTGAAGGTCCTTTCAAATTTGGATAAGGATTTTTTTGGTGGGGCATGCGACCTTTGAAAACGCAAACTAGCTATAATTTTTTTTTTCATTTCCCATGAATAGAGTTGGGCAAATTATATATCACAGCCAACGACCGACCTTTTTTACTCACTGTCATTCCGTAAAACAGTACATATCATTATGTGTATAAACGGTTCTTTTGTCAGTGGCCAGCGTATGTGATTCCGGCATCTTCAGAAATGCTACTGAACTGTCATGAGACTTGAGAAAAAAAAAACTAGGTGCTGCAGGTGAATGCTGCTATGTTACACGAAGAAAGTCAAGACATCAATCTGTTGCCACCACGGAACGGGGTCTCCGAATCGAGTCTCCATTGTGTCACCCAAAAGAAAAATGATACGGGAACTCCATGGTCACCGGAATTACTTTGGCAACTATCGCAAAACGGAATGAAACAACGACAATCTGTCATGCCATGGAATCCATTTCGAATACGATGCAAAGAAAGAGCGACCATTTATATTGACGGGCATTCTGTAGCATGTCCAAGTTTTGAAAGCCATTGCAGCGGAACACAACAGGAAAAAAAAAACCGAAATGCATGCTGCTTCTGGGTTTACAGCCGTCCCAAGCCTTTGGCTGTTGTTTAATGAAAGAGAATAACACAAGCACACATACACACACACACCAAAAAAAAAAAAAAAAAAGAAAACCCGATGAACAGGATTGGATAAAAAAAAGGGAGAGAAAACTATCTTCCGTTTGTTGCTTCATATACGTTGGTTTTGCTGCAGCTATCTCGGTTACCATTTATGAAAGATCACCCTTTCTTTTTTTTTTTTTTGGGTCGTGCTTTTCCTTGTTTTTCTTTATTTTTCTGTCTCCCCTTTCATTTGTGTGCGTTTCTTCTGTTCCTTTTCTTTTCTAATTTCCCTTGCTTTTTTGACGCCTCACGGCAAATCCCGTTTTCTCTATTTATTAAAATCTACAGACGAGAAACGTCTTGTTTTTTTTTGGCATTTATTTTATTATTTCTTCTAAAAAGTATTTAGACACAGTTGACACGGTAAGCATCATTTTTTTGTTGCTGCCCATTCTCGGGTGGTCATGCTTAGGCCATACCAAATGCAGCATGTCCGTGACAATGAAACTAATGCAATGAGTTGTCGCGCCATGGTCACCATGACACTTACAGAAAGAGTCACTCTGGAAACACCAACCAATATAAAGAGAAAAAAAAAGAAGGCGAAACCGAGATACCGTCGAGACAACTGATATCTTATCTTCTCCTTTTTGGCTTGCTAACGAGAGAATCCTCCTTGTGTGTCTGATTATTACGGATATTTGAAAATGACGGATATGTATGTAATGAAAGCAGTGGTGAAATTGCCTAAAAGTCGGCAAACCATGGTAACGAGTTACAACACCATGTCGGCTGATACTGCATACTACGTTGGTGATTGCTTGGTGTCTGACAAACTGTACCTGGAAGTGGCATCGGCAATCTCCGAAAGTGACATTTTGGATCTGGTGCGAAGTTGTGACCCTGCAGAGTAAGCGTACCACAAGACGAATGGTGGTTGATAAAAATAACCCCGGTTACTGATTCATTCATTCTTTTTTTTTTATTTGTCTCTTCTATTTCATTCCACGTTCTTTCTAGGGTTCAGTTGGATCATGCCGATCCGTCGACTGGCTATATCCGGTTCCCCAGCAAGGAGAAAGGTGAGAGATAGCGCAAAAAATAGAAAAATTGGAGAAGAGGGGACTGAACCCTGATTAACCCTTATTGATCTTTTTTTATTGTTTTTTTTTCTACTTTCCCTTTTGACCTGGCTGTTGCCTTTTTATGACATTTTCCCTATTCTATCGATTTTTTCCATTCGTCATAGCTGATCGGGCCTACACCTTATTCAACGGAGCTTATTTCAGGAACGGTGTACGTTTGCAACTCAGAATCTATCCCTCAGGTCGTCAAGAACCCGAAGCCACTTCAGGTATCCTTCAAGTCCAAAATTTACCATTACACACGACCAATCAATCCCTATATGACCTTTTCCGACCGTACGGTCCCATGAACTTGTGCAAGATTATTGTCGAACAAGGGTCAACCTTCAAGGGCACTGCGCTCATTCAATATTTTCGCGAAGAGGACGCCGACGCCGCAGAAGCAGCTTTGGTAAGAGAACAACAAAAAAAAGGATGATTTTTTTTTTCTATTCAGGCGTCTGTTGAGGGACTGCGGAGATCGTGTTGTTGAATGGAGAGCTGATGCTCCTTATGCCCATCTATAGAATAGTAAGAATGTGCACGGAAACATCATGTGAGTTGCTTTGATTACCGAGACTTTTTTTTCGATTGATCTGTTCCTTTCCTCCACGTTACATCCTTTTTACTTTTTCTCTCTCTCTGATTTCACTCCTTGATCTGTCAACTTATACATGATGCTTGGTGATAGTACCGTATTCCCGTTTGTATCAAGAAAATTACGATCACCACCCACCGCCCCCGACCGCAAAAGTCGCTACTCAGTGGACAGTCCTGGCATGGTATGTACAAAATGCTTAGGCATCATCTACAGTCGCATTAAGCATTCTTTATCACGTTTCAAGGTTCCTTCAACGGATGGTCATCACAGCGGTGGTTCTTCAAGAAGCGAACCGAGCCGAGTGGATTATACCAATTTATACATCAAGAACCTGGATTTGAATGTCAAGAGTTCGGATCTGTTCAATCGCTTCCGAGAATTTGGTCGCATCATCTCTGCTCGAGTAATGAAGAACGCGCAAACAAAGCAGTCCAAAGGATTTGGATTTGTCAGTTTCAGTAAAGCTGAAGAAGCTTACCGGGCTCTACAGAAAATGAACAATCAGTACATCATGTCAAAACCAGTGATGGTGGCCTTCCATGAACCCAAGAAACCACGCAAGGAACAGACCCCTCCTATAGGGAATACCAATTACTTCATGACGAACCCCACTCCTTCAAGACCCGTGTCGGTGTCGCCGCCGTTACCTGGTGGCCATTTTGATACCTATCGTCCACCCAATGGAAATACCAATCGACCGCATTCTCACATGCCTTCCAATGGCATACCGCATCAATCTGCTCCTTCTGCACCGATGAACCATATCAACCACCCACCACATCACCAATCCGTCTATCCTGCACCTCCTTCTTCACATGCTCAGCCGCATCATCCTCACCCACACCAACATCTGCACCAACACCAACACCAACACCAGCATCCACATCCACATCCACATCCGCATCCTCATCCGCACCAAAACCATCATCAGCCTCCTAGTGTCATTCCACAGCAACAACCTCCTGCAGAGTATATACCACCACAGCCTTACCCGACGCCGCCTCAACCGGATCGTCCTTACTCTTATCATCCTTCATTACCTAATAACTCCAGGCCAGGTTATTTTGACTACCATTTTTCGTCCCCGCCTATGGACAAGGTAAGCCTTTTTTTCTTTTGGCGTTAAAACGACATCATCTTGAAGAGAATGATGATCTCGCTTTACAAATGGATTTAAGATGATGACCATGTTTTAGATAAATTATAGCAAACCAGGAAATCATCACGTCGCACCTCGAAGAGATATCTCTGGACTCGCTGGTACCTACGGGCCAATACAGCCTACGACACCATCACTGATAGATCTAGCTTCTGGTGCCTTCATCGACACGCCTCCAAATGGCACGGTAGCAACTCCCGACTACAAACAGAGTCAGGCACGTCCGACGTTTAGGCGCCGCGGATCGTTCGAATCTGTTTCCAGCGTTTTAACGGAAACAAGCAGTAACGTGCAACGACAACGTATGAGGAACGCAGTATTAAAGTCTGGCGAAACCGAGCATGTGAATGACATTGTCGATATGTTGCTGACATTGAAACGAAAAGAACGCTCACTGTGTCTATTCAATCCCGATTTCTTGAGAACAAAGATCCAGTTGGCGAAGAGTGCTTTGGAACTTTTCCAAGATGACATGGACGGTGCTTTGGACACGCCACCCGGCAGTGGTGGAAGCGAAGATAAGAAGAAACTAATGCCCCTTATGTTGATACCGCCTCCACGAGGCTCACGCGCGATTCCCATTGTGGTGCCACCCAAAGAAAAGGATAAGGCCTTGTGCGAAGAGATCGACAACTTTTTGGCATCATTGGAAGGCTTAGCAACCCACGAAAAGAAACAACGGCTAGGCGATCGCCTTTTCCCCCTTGTCAAGGTAAAGTGCCACGCGTAAAAAAATAAAAAAACATATCCTCGCGATGTTTTATCATGTTGATACAATGATTGCTCATTCGATTTAATGCAATGTAGGCCACCGGGGTTCGATACGCACCAAAAATTACGATTCGTCTCCTGGATACCGTGCCATTGAACGAGCTCGCTCATTCCATGTATAACAAAGAGAGTTTAAAAGCTAAAGTAGATGCGGTGGTGGCGTCACTTCAGACGTAAACCTGATGGTAATAAAAAAAAAGAAACAATGAAATTGCAAAAAGTTTTTCTCGAGGTGACCATGAATAGTGAGTAGCGATCCTCAGACAGAATGGGTCTATTTTGCAAAATGTGCTCAGACAAAAGTGAAGATGAGATGAACACTACAACACTATTGTGACAGCGATGCTATCGTTGATTTATATATATATATATATATATACAAGTGGGGTGAAAAAGAAAAAAAAAGTTGGATATATGAGATGAGAAGAAATATAGCTAAGATCGAGTTTCTCCACCAATGCCGCCAAAGGCAAAATAAGCCTCCTGCAAGCCAGGCACGACTTGATCAAACTGTTCCAGGACGCATTCAGGTTCGCCTTCGGGATGAATAAAGTCCATGCACGCTTGTCCATTGTCGGAGATGTAGAATTGCGGCATGAGCCATGTGTTGGCGCGACTCATGGTGTATCGTTTGATGAGCTGCCAAGGCTGTTCCACAGGTTTGCCTTGAATGTCTTGCATAAAGTTATTTTTATCCGTGATTTTTAGCAAATTCGCGTGAACAAAGAGGAGTTGGTCGTCATTGTTACTGTCCACGTAATACTGCAGCATTGAATGGCCGCAAAATCGACCATTGACCATGCTACCGCCCATGCCGAGGAAAGGAGTCACCATATGATAAGGAGCTCCCAGAGCCTAAAGAGAAAAAAAAAAAAAAGCAGATGGGGTCAATCATCTCACATGACGCAGATCGCCCTTTTTTGTTTCGTAAACATACCTTCCACGCATATTTAAAGGTATCTTTATCACCGTTAAGGAACTGAAAGTAGATTTCATGGTGTTGCTGCATGAACCAGGCCAACTGTAGTGGGAGCCAAGCACGACGCTTATCAATGACCATCTGACCAGACTATCATGATGACCAAAAGCAGAAAAATTAAGACAATTTACTCTATTAGGAAGAATGCTAGGATTCTCATACCTCTTGCTCCCATTCATCTTGACAGGGAATATTGAGGATATCAAAGATCTTGTTTTCACCATGCGTTTTCCTACAGAGACAAAGCCATCCCAAAAACGCATCAGTTGACATCATGTTTTGCTTCTTAGGTCTCTTGAATACGACGACTTACCAAAAATCCGGCCAAAACAAGGCACCAGTTGCTTCATAATTGGCTGTACGAAATAGGAAGGATGGATCTTGGGTGGGGATATTATCTGAATCCAGATAGATGATTTCCTGAAATCCGGAGTTGATAATGGCAGCCGCTTTAATCTGAAACCTAGAGGGCCATTGTGAGAAACATTTAGAAAAAGGGAAAATCAGCAGAGGCACACAAAACCCGTCCCGGAGGATGGTGGGGAAGAACAGCGGAAGCACAGGGCAAGAACTCCGAGTGATAAGACTCGAGCACTTACTGTTTTTCAGCGTTTCGCCTTTGTATAACGGGCCGAATTAATTGTGGATCGCCCAGGTCGCGTGTAACAGCACCTGCTTTGTACAGATCTCGAACCATATCTTTGGAAGGCTGTTCATCGTTGAGATGCCATACTTCGGCGGGCAGCGAGCATGAAAGACTTCTCAAAAGCCGAACCGTCGTCAAGGCCCGTACAAAGGTGTCCCTGTTGCCAGCAACCAAGACAATCCCACGCCCTTTCATTGGAATCTCCGAAATTGGCCGGCTTGCTTCCTTTTCCACAAACGATTGCCAATCCTTTCGATAAGCCGCCACCGTCTCGTTACTGAGATGCTGCCAGAAACCGATGTGGGCCCGTGTGTGGTTTGGATCGGTATTGCGTTCGACCGAGTGAGTTTTGCAAGCATCTGGTTTGGGTTCCAATGATACTGTGGCCTCGACTTTATCTGTGTGACTGAAATGCTGTCGCCCTTTGACTATCATGCCGTCTCGACTGGTGGTGATAAAAGTGAAGAATAAAAGAAGCCCGAAAATAATCAGGACCAGCAGATTCACTCGGGATCTTGCTGTGCTGCCCATGCAGGATAAGTACTGAAGGAAAAATAGATATGATATACAAGATGATAAGAAGGAAAAAAAATGAACAACAGATAATGCCAAGAATTCCACCCGCTGAATAAGTCTGAAAAAAAAAAGTTGTAGTGAAAAAGATAAAAAGAAAAGAATAAAAAAAAATGGGATCGCCCAATTTGTGACTTTGGATCGTCATTGGTGGTGACACAATAGTGTGGACACTGAAATTCAGACCGTCTCCAGTTTCGTGATGAAACCCAGTTAGAGAGACCGTTTTCATTCATCGGAAACTGGAGCCGAGGATTGCGCCATATTTGTAACAGTTGACAGCGGAATTTTGCTGTTTGTTATTATGACACTACTGAATGAACAAAGCCATCAAAGAGTGAGAATTGCATTGCGTCGCATAGATGATGTCTTTTGTGAAACCTTCAGCTGCTGAGCAACAAAATTTGCCATTTTTGTCCTGGTTACATTTTTCCATTCATTGCAGCTCCTTTACAAGTCTGGTTGGCTGATTTTTAGCCGCACTATGGATGGATTTACTTCTTTGTCTCAAAGGTCAAAAATCATATCCATGACTTCGACTGTTAATCTAACTGCCAGAGTTTCCAGCTTGATACCTGATACAATAAAGAGTTATTATTGTTACTGTACGTACTGTATAAACAGCAAGCATAATTACAGTCCTATCTTGGTTACGTGACAACGCAAAGGCACCTTCATGGGCGTATGTGTTTAGAGGGAACTTTTTGGGGCCGATTGGATAAACTGCATCATCTTTGACCAAGCATCCAGACTTTCCCCAGTTTTCGAACGTAATGCTTGGCGTCCTAAAGAATTCTTCTGTGTCCTCGTGAAAAGCCATTTTATAAAACAAGGTGCTACTTGTACTTGGATGAATCCATATCCTTGTATCAATTTGTCTACTACATTGAACAATATTACCTCGAACATGCTTCGCTTCCCCTGAGTGCAACCCCTCCATGTGCCTTTTTTAAAAAACATTAACCGCTTCAAATGTCTCGCTTGCGAATTTGGCCATTGTTTTTGTCTTTATGATAAATGGTCGAAAATTTATCTGAATCGTTGTCACAAACCCAATTTCATTTTATTTTGCCGATGGTCATGACTACTATTTCTTGTGCCATCACAATCCATCAGCCATCCGTCCAATAGGGAAAATGGAACCTGATTGTCACCAGAATTCAATCGGTGTCCGTTCGAGAAGGGACATCAGTCAATGATGGATTTTTCCACTTGTTCAATTCACATGTCAGTAAAAAAATGAATACACGTTACGCGACGGATACCGATTGATCAATTTATTTCCAAAATATGAAAGGAAAAATTAACAAGACTCTATACCAGCAGCATGGGTTATTCAAAAAAAAAAAAAAAAAAAAAACTCCTCAAGGAAATCCAACCATGGGTATTGTGTATGTGATGAATTTCCCCCAGAAAATATTCCATGATACTCTCAGTCTCTCTCTCACCCTTGTCAGCTGGTTTGTGGTGGAAAAAGAGAAAGGTTAAAAGTCAAGGCAGAGAAACTCTGAAAAATATACAGCCAAAGAAAAAAAAGAGTAATGAAGCATGTTGAAATAGTGGATGCAGAAGAGGGCGGGGGCGCGCTTTACGTAGCTGCAAGGATGAAGCAGACGATGCAGTAGGGTCATAAGAAATCGCAAGTATGAATGAGTTACAGACTATCGATTCTCTGGAAGGAACGACCTCCTTTAGGTCGCTGATGCAATTTGGGATTATTTTTGGCCAATATATCTGTGGCAATGGATAAGTAAAAAACAACTTCACAGTCGTAGGGGATATTAGGAGAAAAACTTGCCTCTATCCAATTTGGCGTAGTCAATTTCACAATCATGACGATCGGGGTACCGATGTGAATCGCAAAAGATGTACTCGCATCGGCATTTGTTCGCCGCTTGTTTGGCAAGTGGAATCTATCCATACATTGCACACCCCGTCAATACGTCTATGCAGTTCATTTTATTCCATGGTTTCCGCACCAACCTTAACGCGGCATTTGAAACATCGGCCCTTGTTTGTCTGTGCGGGTTTACTATTAGAGGGGAATCCGTCCGTCCCAGTCGATGTCGACGCCGGTGAAGATGCTACCGTGTGTGGTAACGGGGAAGAAACAGGGGATGGCGATCGAGGGTGTTTGCGAGGCAAGATATTATGGGTCGGACTGTGAGAAGGTGCTTGTGATTCATCGTGCGGAGTCGACGTCGTCTTGGAATTTCGGATTATCGGTGCCGTTGCTTCCACATTTTTATCTTGTTCTGTCGATAAGGGTTTACTCGCAGATGAAGGCGATGTGGACGATGTAGTCGTGGATGAAGTTGACCGATGATCTGAATTTACCGAGTGATGCATTTTTTCGGTCAGGAAATGGGAACCAATTACTCTGTCTCGACGTCATTTCGCTGTCGCTTACCTTCCTTGCCCTTGTTTGCCAACTTGTAGCATTGAGAACACATGTTATTATACATGGCATTGCCATAGAATCCACAACCGGCAATGCAAAGCAACGGCACTGTTTTATTATTGTTCTCCATGACCAGAAATGGAAAAGTAAAAAGGAGCACTAAGAAAAAAAAAACCAAGAAGAAGAAAAAGAGAAAAAAGAAAGCAAGTGGAAAAAAGGCGACCCATCCAAAACCCAACACAAAAAAAGCTACGATATCTCCCAAAAAGGCAATCATTTTATCCAATCAAACTACGCCGTAGTCCAACCATCCCATCGTCTTTCCACGCTGCCTCCCGCCCAATGCCTGATGGAAAAATCACTCTTGCTCAAATATCAGTATTCTGCGAAGATAGAAAATCAAGACCCAAATGGTGTGCTATGTTGTGGCACTATGCACTCTGCTTATTCGGGAAGAACCGTCAATTCGAACTTCTTTGACAAATCGAGAAAACAAATCGTCACTTGTTCAATATGTGGGTGTTTATTTGCATTTTACCGACTAATTGTTTGGTAATTGAATCTTCCGCATTTTTACTTTAACATAGTATTACGAAAAAAAAAGAGGTAATGGGACAAGAAAATATTTGTCTTTGCGGTAGGCACGATACCACAGGGATGATGGGGTAAGAAAGCTTGAAAGGGAATCATGTTGGCGGGCTTTATAATACATTTTTGAGTTGATGAATTTCCCGCTTATTGTCGGTTTGCCTAACATTGACCAAAAATCAGTCTGCAATGGCCTGAAGAAATCATCTATTGCAAATAGCTTACTTGGTAGAGTCCAGTGTAATATCCGCAATAATACCATGACATCATCAAATGGGAAAGAGCATCCTCTGGATTCAAGTATGAAATCGTTAGTTCGAGTACTTTATCTAAGGCCTTACCAAGAAGATCCCCGAAGGCGTTGCTAAACTGACCTGAGGTTACTGCGTTGGTCTGTGGATAGTACGAAGCAGACTCCTGTGGGTGATTATATTGAGTAGAACCGGAAGTGCCTGCTGTAGCTGATTGGGCTGGAGGAATGGGTGAAAGAGAATGAGAAGAAGAAGGAGACAGATTGAGCGGAGTCTCCGCAGCAACAGGATGCCGCGGATAATGAAATGATTGATCGCCAAAATAGGCTGTATCATCATAACATGTTGCATAGGAAGTACCTGTTTCTTGGAGAAATTCAACTGATGGCTCAGCTGCTGCAGTTTCTTCATCGTCTTCCCATGCCTCTGGATCATCCGCAACCGTGGCCACCTTTTCATCCGCATCCTCTTCCCCCTGTTCCTCATTTTCTTCATCGTCATTATTATGATCATAGTCAGCCCGCGAAGGAGAAGCATTACCCTCGGGATCCATTGGGTTGGCTGTTACGTCGGCGAGAGTTGGCGTGGCAATAGAATCATTATCGACTTTGGGTTTCTTCTCTCTGTGTTTTGACTACCATAAAATCAGAAATGACGGGAGACATAACCCATCTTTACCACAGAGGTTCTTACCTCGGATTCTGTGATATTTTCGGCTTCGGCTTCAGCTTCGGTTTCGGCTTCAGTAATTTCACTTTTTCTACGGTAAAAGCAACTTAGATCATACTGTAATGCCATCATCAACGGTGTTATTGTTACCTCTTCCTTATGACAGCTGCAGTCAGATTGGATTGCGCGTTTGGATCGCCAGTTTTTCGACATTGCTGCACGATGTTAGTCAAGGGTACAAGCGCACAATAATAGAAACCACAGTTACCTCGTAGTCATTGACAGCCTCCTCCCAGAATTGCGCAAGGTAAACACCGTGGAGAAGGTTCCAATCGTTGTCCTAAGTAAAAAGGTTGAAAACTATTCGTGATGCTAATCTGAGGTTGCGTCATTCCATTGGGCGGCACCACGAACCTGTAACGGGAAGCTAGCATCACTTTCAGTGAGGGAAGTCGCGCCGTTGGTTTGAGAAACGTTAAATGAAGACATCACCACTTATTCAATCAGGAATGGCGAATACCAGAAAAGGGACAACAAAAAAAAAGGCATAGAGAGGTGCTTTTGTCTATCTCGTATTTCAGACCCAGCTTTCCCACTTGTTGTAAGGGTCACGTGTCCTTTTCCGCTATTGAGGCAAAAAAGCTTAATGAACTATACAACCTGAATGAGACTTTATTGCTCCAACTGTAACCGTAGTCGATGTATTTCAGAGCGTAATTCTTCCAGACTGGCTTTCAATGTTTTGGCATCATCATACTTTCGGTTTTGTTTGGCCTCCTGTATGAATCCTTCCACTAATTTGTATTGTTCCACATACGCTTGGTACTGCGCGTGCAATTCTTCAATGTTTGGATTTTCCGTCGGTGTTCGTCCTGTGACTGAACGACGCTTCTTCTTTTCGGGTTTTAATATTCGGGGTAACATCTGAAGCGGAAGCATGTTGCGTTGCAGATACATGTTGGCCGCTGTCGATATATTGGTTTGCAACCGTTTCATGGAAGCCGATGACACTGGCAATGTTCGAATACTTTTGGCCAATGTGTCGTACAGAGCAAAACTGTCAAGTAACGACTTCCGGATTTGAGAAGCAGATCGGTAGGTTTCATGCGTCTGATTCACTATTTTCTCTTGCCTTGTAGAAAAGGAAATACACGTAAGTCAAGGGAGAACAAGAAATCGTCAACTGAACTGGTAGCTTACTCGAGCATCACTATCATATCGTGGAATCTAGGCAATTGTCGTTCTATATTATTACGGGCAATCGATAATTGATGATATAGGTGGAAAATGGGTAAAGTACGCGTGGACTCTTCATGCTTGAGTTTGCGACTAACGCAGCGAGGTAAGGGTACATTTTGAATCATTAGCGGCCAACCATCCATCTCACTTACTGAAAAACGGCACGGTAGCAATCACGGCACGCTCGTGTATCGCCCACAGGGTCTTCATCAAACGAGTCTAGTTCAATCATGAGGTTTCGCTGTCGCAGTTGTCTGTGACGAACCAATTTCATTCTTACCAGAAGCCATGTTTAGAAATAAGGGTATCATTCGTGAACATCGAATATTGCCGCATACAACGCGACCACAAAGACGACAGTGATGTTTACGATTGGTCAATGTAAATTGATTTCTGCAACCGAAAAAAAAATAAAAGAAAAAATTAATAAAACACCAAGGATAAAAAGACCGCACTTTTTTGCGTATCACGATTTGGATGAACCTTACAAACAGAGTGGACATTGCACAACGGATCGGTCATCCTCCCACTTTGTTACAGTTTGTTCGCCATCTAGTGTTCCACACAGGGTCAGTTATCAAGCGGGTCGTGTCATACACATTCTTTCCGGGGCCTCCCATATCGTCCTACTATTTCTCTAACTACCTCATGCTTACCTCGGTACTTAAGTTTCATACTGAGGATACTGCTCCCACTGGAAATGGCGCTTGCTTTGGAAGATCGCACCCCACTGCCTACACTGTCTCTGGAAGACACTGAATCGGCCCGTTCCAGGGTAATACTACTTAACGATGGACTGGCATTTGCAAGACGACTTGTGGATCGACCGGTCTTTGATATTCCCATGTCCGCATTGTAGTGAATATGAGCTAACTGTAAATTGAAATCCAGGCAACGTTAAATATGCCTATCTTATCACCATTTTTTTCTTGCACGACTCATCGTTCACCTTTTCCAACCGTTTTTCTAACCGATTACGTTCCAAGTACACGCGTTCCATCGCCTTTGCGCGACGACTCAGGAATAACGCCGACGCATTTCGCATCGCACCCAGATGTTCCACATAACCTTCTCTGCCGACAAAACATCCTGCACACACTTTTGCCCACGTTCCATGCGCTGGGTCGTGACGGGCTTGGCGATTGAGTTTGATTTCGTATTGCGTGTGAGCGTCGCAGAATAATCGGCCACATCTAGTACCAAATAGCATAAGCATACGCAACATCCTACATACCACTTGCCCCGTTTTCCTGTTCCGCTTACTGTCTGCAATGCTGCCTTCCTGACCCTCCTTTGCCGAGTATTTTGGTGCAACCGTTTAAACTGCAGACATCGTTCCCGGTTTCCGATTGCCAGTGTTCGCGTGTAATAAAATCGCCTTGGCCACCGTCTGAGGCAAAAAACGCGGGGCTGTTATTACCGAGATTCAAATTCTGGAAACTGCTCATCAAGGCAGGATCAATTAACTGTTTCAATGATCGTTCAACAGGACCATTGGAAGGGGATTGTCCCGGTCGCGGACTCGATGATAACGTTGTCTGCACTTTTTTTTGAGCATTCTTCAACCAGGACAACAATGCACCTTTGGTATCTTCTTCATTGTGAGCCACATCCAAGTGCTAGCCAATAGATAATTGTTCATGTGAATAACGGCATGGACGCGGGCCCAACTTTCTCAACTGTAACATATAAAAAAAAAGTACCCTACCTGGTTCAGCAGCTGAAGGGAGGAACAGGGACTGTCACATATAGGACAAACTATGCCATTGACAGGAACATAGTCCTCATAGTTATAAGCAGGCAAAGGACGGCCTGTGGTCATGATGATCCATACAATGGAGAGGGCTTCTTTTTTCTTTTTTCCTTTTTTCTTTTTCCCTTAGCCAAAAAGTTTCGGATTACATGCAATTCCCGAGCGGGGTTTGGAACCGGAATGATCAGTCACTGAACAGGAAGTGGCCATTTTTGCGTGCATGACCCCAACCAAACGCACGCCATGCCCACGCACAAAACTTTAAACTTGTTTTTCAGCGTATAGCAGCTGCCTATATAAAAAAGACATCGTTATTTGTCAAAGTATTTGCTCCAGAAAACACCGGAGACTGGAAGTTGCCGTTATCTGTAGTCAATGGCGATACGCTGGATTCTCAATTTTGGCTGAGATCAAAAAAGAAAAGCGTAAAGTTCCTGGTCGTGTCACGCAGCGGGCTATATGAGGGTATTTATTGTTACAGACACGAATCAGCCAAAAAGAAAAAAAAAAGAGTGTGAGTTTTGTGTTCCCTCTTGAATCCTTGGGTGGGCGAAACAAACTGTTGTTCGAATCCAATGAAAAGATATCTCAGAGGGAAGGTGCACGTTCCAGCGGATCATTGAATTTCCTTTCTAGGTTTTGAAGCGAGCAAGTGGAGGTTGCAACATGAATGGTCGAGCATAGCAACCATATGATGATAGAACAACCCCACTAAAAAAAACCATTATAAGCATCCAATATTAAAACAAACCTTATTCATCTTTTTATTTTTTTTCTTTCTGTAATTTTTTTTTTTTTTTGGACGATCGCTTTATTCCTTACACTTTCGTTGTTTTCATGAGCGACGCCAATGAGCAGCCCTCTTTTTGGCGGATCCAGGACAGCCAAGGTCGTTATCATTGCGACTGGCGGTTAACTACGGTGAATTGTGTGGAAGAGAACGCTTTGCGTTGGATGTACAGTGTCAACGCGGCCGTCTCGGGTGTCGCCACCATCATCGGTAAGGCGCTTATCCATCGCATCGAACGAGACGAAAAAAAAATCATCTCACACCCAATTTCCTTTCATGATAAGCTGCGGCCTTGCTTTATTGGCGATTATACCATAGAAATCAGAAAATCTTTGATTTCCAGACAGGATTCTTGCGTCCCAAACCGATCGAATCCATGGCTTTATTTGGCGTCATCTTTAATTTACGTACGTATCTTCTTTTCCGTATTCTTCTTTTTTTGATTTTTCATTTAAAGTTTTTTTTTTCATGATTTTTTGATAATCCGACTATTGACCCGGTTTCGTAGTCCAAACCATTCATGCCATCATCATGGTTACAGATGTAGCACCAACACCCATCTTTCGTTCAAGTGAGTTTGAATTGCACGTGTTGCCGTCGTCTCTCTTTCCCATTGAATCCAGATAGCTTCTCACTACTCCGCCACGCTCGATCAATTACGGTTGGCTTATAAGGCTATTTTTCATTTCCCTGTAGTATTTTTTGAATTACCATGGCAATTTGGTTTTTGCGCGCTGGCATGCTATTTATTTGGTGTGGCTCATACCTTATCAGATGCAAGTAACCCCGCCCGTCGCTATCGTTCATGTCCACCTTTTTTTTTACTAAGCTATTGCCCTTTCCCATCATCTTACAGAGCAGCAAATTCATTTACAGTGCCTGGATACGATCGCCAATTATTGTCGATACCATCTGTCTTCTCGTTATTACCTTGCCTTTTGTCACTAACAACATATGCTCCGTAGCCGCCGGCGTCTTCGCCGCACGAGGCAATAACGAATTAGCCGAACGATTCACCAATGCTCTGTATGCATTATGGACCCTTTACACGGTCTTCCTAGGCATTTTAATTCTGTACGCAGGACTGCGTTTACTACACCTACTGAACCATAATTTATTGATGCAATCAAATCGCCAACTGAATATCGGCAAAATCAAGACAGGTGCTCTCAAAGTCAGGATCATCATGGCCGCAGGATGCCTGTGTCTGTGGATTTTCGCCATCATCCTGTTACTGTATGCATGCATACGTCTTACCATTTCTCAGAATTACGCATTCAATATGATCATTGCTGTCATATGGAGATTTGACGGCACCTTTGCCACCCTTGTCGTTGAATTTGCCGTCATCCTAAAGTACGTATGAAACAGCATTACAGTTGCATACAAATTTATTCAGGGTTTAAACCCACCTTCAATAGTCCTCGTATGACCGCCAGTCTTGCCCACCTTTCCTTTGGGTCCGAACCATCCAATACTACTGTATTATCGGATTCACGGCAATTCACTCTTGATGACGACAACGCGCGCTCCAAGGAAAGATTCTCGGGGTCACGGAATCCAGGCGATGTCAAAGATACTTGGATACCCGTTTATGCAATGGGTACTGAGGAATATAAACGCAACATGTTGGCGCAAATCACGCGCCCTGAGCCATCCTTCAGTAAGGTGGAGGAAGATCGATTGCAATACGATGCTATGACAAACCAACTCCGCACCTCTCCGCCACATTATCTGAGCTACGAAGATCGCCGCGCCGAAACCAATGAATCCGTCGAGTCATCGCTTTTCGCCGACTCCACCATATCCGCATCTCACTTACTAACCTCCTCTGCGTCATCACGACCAATCATTTAATATATATCCAGAAGCATAACACCTAGCAAAAAAGTCACTTTTTTACTGATTATATTCCACTATTATAATATTCCTTTATCACTATTCCCTGTTTTTACTTTGAAAATTATCTCAAGACACAATTAATGCATCCTGTGTATGATCAAAATATAGTAAAGTAAATGGTGTCCTGAAAAGGCGTAAACAAAAGGTGGCGCAGGCTGACGTCTCTATGAATTTTTAGCCAAACGTTTCGATCTCGTCAAAAAAAAAAAAAATTCGTGGATAAACATTAAAAAGAAGAAAACACTACAGACGAACCTTTGAAAAGAAAAAGAATCACCCGATCTCGGATAGCAATAGAAAAAAGGGAAACTCTCATTCACGTAAGTGACGAAATAGTAAATCCTTCGATGAAAGTAAATTGAAATGACAACGCTGTTATGAATACCGATAATACCGATTCTGGCCAATCAAGTTTATTTACCCTTTTTGGCACCACCTCGCAACAATCGTCGCCTCACCCCTATCGAAATCTTGTGGCGAAAAATGAAGGCCCATGTCGGCCACTTATTACGGTGAAGTAGTTTTTTTCCTTTTGAGTCAAATACTGTAATAGGTACAGTACATATCCTATTTGCAAGTAGTACACGAACGACTTTTACATGCAATTAAAAATTTATACACATGGTTAAAAACCAGCTACTTTCAATATTGGCACAAACATATACGTACAATGAGACTGAGACCCTGGTTTCGTGGAGTAAAACGTAAGCATCCATCGTCACAGCAATATTGAAGAAACGGTTTCAAAAACTAAACTGATACACAGGAACAGCGCAAGATAGGGAAACTTTCCAGCATACAGTAAAATAAAAGAGAATGAGCAAAGTCTGACGCATGTCGCAATTAGGAGTCAACCACAGGCTTTATTGAAAGTCATAGAGTGACTGTAGTGGCATTTTGTTGCTCATGGCATGACATGGCGCAGTTCCTCTTTGCATCGCTTACGCGAAAGATTTTTTTTTTTTTTGTAGGCGCGCAATGTGCGTCGAGTTTTTATTCGTAACCACGTCCTAAGGAGAGGTGGAGGGAATGAGACGAAGAAGAAATCAACTTAAGAGGGCAGGTAGCTGTGATTCAGCGATTCGTCGTGAGATCAATTTGTGGATGCGGTTGATTACCTCTTCAGGATTGAATACAGTGTGATAGAAGATAAAGGCCCAGTGAGCCGACCAAATCCCGTGAAGGATGGCTTCAATGATTACAACACTCTTACAGTTGGGAGGATCGCGAGGGAAATCGAGCTGATAGAGTGCCTTAAGGATCTGCGTTTCGTTGACTGGGAGGAGCAGTAGATCGGGCCATACACTCTCCCACACCACTCGTTTAGGGGGGCATTGGTATAGGAAGTGAACGGGGGTGTCAGTCGAAATAGTGCAGAGAGGGCACTGGTCCGTGAGGTGAACGGTCGGAAGTAGTCGGTGAAGGAACGTGCGACTAGGTAATTTCGAATGCAGGATTCGGTACCACAAGTTGCGGGTGACTGAGGTTAAAGGAATAGACCAGAAGCGGGCCCATAGAAGGGCTTACGCGAAAGAAGTGTGAGGCTTTGAATTTCGCGAGTTTTGTTGCGCGAATCGAGCCAATGAGGTGCATTCGCAGTCAAAACAGGGTCACAATCGAAGATCCCCGAACAATTTTTGAAAAAGATATAAAAAGAGGGCGTTTTTCTTTTTCTTTTTTTCTTTTGTGCGCCAGTTCGGAATCAGGGGCTGCTAGGCTGGTGGTCACTGGTAATGATGAACGCTCCGGTTTTTGGTAAAGCATTCGGGGTATGGCGAAAAATCCGAAAACCATCCTCTAATGATAGGATTGGCCATCCTCTGAAGAAGATTGTTTTCGTTCCCGTCGGCTCTTCCCTTTGGGCGCCTGACTAGTCATCAGCGCGGTCATTGTGGAAGGTATGTCGGTGGGTTTGCTTTTTAATCGCAACAAAGGTAAATGAAAAATAAAAAAGGCTTTTGCCTTTATTATTATTCTTTTCCCAACCCTTTGTGGGTTGAATAATAAAATAAAAAAGTGAGCTTAATGTCCGTGTGGACGAACTATGCCACTTCATATAAAAGAAAATAAATGAAAAAGCTTTGCTTAGAAGAGATACAGCAGGATAGACCTCTTTGTTATATTTGTACATGATTCTTTTGAGCGCCAGCCCAAACACTACCTCAAACCCATATTCCTATTCAGTAGCTGTTGGTCCCACCTTCCATTCGCTGTATAGCCGTTTGTAAACCTGATGCTTTATGCTTACAACGCAAGCATTGCGCCCAAAATTATGTCAGCGCGATGAGGACGATCATCAAAAGCTGTTTTCAAGGCGTCGGCGACACTTCTATTGATTGATGCCGCTGACGCCGTTTCTCATGCTCGTCCTGTTTGTGGATCCACTGTTTTGAGGAAAGAATGGCCTTCTCAGTGTGACGTTAACCGAGCTTATAGTTGCGACAGGCAGAACACATGAATAAAGAGGCCGGTTTTTGGACAAGAGGAGTTACTGGACATCTTTACTGAATAGAGTAATCGTTCGATACAGGCGTTCTGAAGATTGCCATTCTCATGAGAGGCGCGTTTTGCAATCGTTACCAAGCCAAAAGGAAGCAAGAGGAATTCCGGATTATTGACCGGACGACGGCCTTCTCTTGAGAAGCCTGACTGATGACAATTTGCAATTTCAAGTCGGACTGACTGACGGAGAACCGCAGATTTCGATCCGATGGCTTACTCAATAGGGCGTACCATTCTTTTTGTATTACATTGTCACTTTTTTTTATTGGATGCAAGTAAACTTTGTTTCTTTCAAGCGGAATGAAAACTTGCTAAAAAATTGGGAAATCGGATAACAGAAAAGAAAGTAGAGGAATAGAGCCCAGGAATGGAACAAGAAGACGCGTCAGGTGAGGGAAAATGGAGGCAAAAGCAACAGAAATCAACAAAATGGATAGGAAAAGGAAAGCGTGAAAGAGAGGCACAAATAGACAAAGGCAGAAAGAGGGAGAGAGATAGAGAGAGACAGAAAGAGAGAGAGGGAGAGAAAGTTACGAAAGAAGCAATAACGAAAGGGTTTAAATGAACAAGCAAGGATATAACAGAGTACAAGTAAGGAAGATGGATCAAATGGTTAGTTCAAAGGGACCCCGATGTGTGTTTTCCTATTCCTGTTTTTTCTTTTTTCTCCTCTAGTGTCTTATCGTTGCTCTTGTTGATTGCCAGACTCTTGGAGGGCCGTCACCACTCTCTTGGCGAGACTAAAGATGTCACCATCCATATCGTCCGATCCGTCTTCTCGTTCATCTTCCTTTGCCTTTGACTTGTACCCATCCGAAGCGTTGGCGATACGCGTCACGGCATCGACAATGTCTTGCGACTGCGAAATTAACGATACCAATCTTTGATCTTGAAACCACGTAAACAAAATGCCAAAAATGTCAGTGGCCTGTATCACCTCGGTTCAATAAGAATTTCTGAATCTTACCATTGCCTTCTAAAAATTGTTCAATGGTCCAGATACCGATGTGTTGAAATGCGATATCTTGAGCTTCATCTAAGAACTGGGTCAAGAAACCGTGGAGGCCACCAGCAGGGGAATCCCAAATTTTTATAAATGGTCCGTAATTTTTGACTACCATGGATTCATCCCATCATGTCAGAAAACGTGAACTACTTTTTGGACGTGTTTTTTTTTCTTAAGCATACCTTTTGAGCTTAAATTACCAATGGCCGCGGCTGAATTACCCTGGACTTCCATGTTCTGACTGGACGTCAGCGGAATCAGTACTTCTAGTACATCCATGCCCACCAGACGTTGCTTTAATTCATCACTTAAAGCCAGCACCGCTATTGCTGCCGTCATCTCGGTTTGCACACTCGCAGGCACTTGGTTGATCAGCGACTTGATCCGTTCCACCGCCCCGGCTTCCACAATTGCTCGCTTATTTCGTTCGGAGCTTGCGGCCAGGTTTCGTAACGTCGAGATGGCATGGCATTGAATTTCTTCGTTGTCGTCATAAGAGAGCAGATCAATCAAGGGACCCACGAACCCTTCATCAATAATGGGCGATTCATTAGCAGGATGGATGGATATATTACGAATGCATGCGACGGAGGAAAGGATGAGAGGATGGAATGCGGATTTAAGAAGATGTAACAGCGGCGGAAGACCTTTGCAACGCACAATTTCAAGTTGATATTTTTCTACAGAAAATCATTGTCCCGTCAGCATCAGCATCAGAATTGCCAAAAACAAGCGTACCGTCCGATGCAAGGTTGCGTAATGCAAGCGCGGCTTGACATTGGACCTTCAAACTCTTGGTGTCCATAAGAGCGATCAGGTATTGCACCAGTCTTGAATCGGTCCGTGCGAGCTTTCTCCGATTACCGCCTAAAAATCAAAAATGATTTTTGCATGAATACGACCTGTTCAGCACTTTTCAAACAGAATCGGAGCTCTTACTATCGACGGCAATATTGCTGAGCGCTGTAGTACAGTAGTACTGTACATCAGCATCGGGGGAACTGAGGAGGCTGATGAGCACAGGAATCGCTCCGGCGTTGACCAATTGTTGCCGATTTTCCTCTAACGGTTCAAATGATGGATGAGTCTTTTTTCTTTCCCGCTAACATTGATTTATTCGAAATGTACGTACGTGTATGTGTCATGTTCAAGAGAGCACCTGTGGCGTTGCGTTGTACTCGCTGATCTTTGGAACGGGCTAAATCCACCAATAGACGTAGAGCATCCGATTTGGCAATTTTGGCCTTGTTCTCGTCTAAACAATCACCGCGCGCGTTAGGGAAAAAATGTCCTTGTTCTTCCTCGTTTGAGTGAATTAGATAATGAGCACTGCTTTCATACCGTGAGTAGCAAGATTGGTAATGCATCCAACCGCGTTACATTGGACTTCTACGTTCGGGCTTCCCATTTGACGAATCAACTGGTCCAGACCGCCAAGTTTCACAATTAGTAACTTGTTTTCAGCTACGAATAGGAGAGTTAGAAAAAGCCAAAATGCCTAAAGAATCAAGCGCTGCTTACTGTTGACGGCCAAATTGCCCAACGCTGCACTGGCTGCTCGTTGTACTTCGATATCGTGTGACTGTAACAGGAAAAGGATCGGGTCCAGCGTGTCTCGGCCGACTTGACGAACATCTGGTAGACTGAATGGTGAGTTTTTGACTTGCAAGCAATGCGGGTAATGTTCCTACGCACCTTTTTCGGTGATTTCTGCAAATGCCAAGGCGGCCGATCGCTGCAGATCGACGTTATCAGAGTAAGCTAATGTGGAAAGGGCTCGCAAGGGTTCGCCGTCAAAAAAGTTTGTATGGTTCCGGTCTGGAGGTCGAGTGCAGAAATAGACAAAAAGAAAAAAAGAAAAAACCAATGCGGATCATTAGCGCATGTCGACAAGATGGCGTAGAATCGGCACTTACTCTCAAGAAATTGAAGTAATTCGGCAATAGCTTCGCGTTCATTTTCCTGTAAAAGTGGCTCGTACAGTCCAGTACGATTGCGTTCTAAAAAGATGGGGATTTTCTTCAATACGAAACGCGCTGTGAACATGGTCCATCATCCACCTACTTCCGAAGCAATCTTGACAACAGCTGGAAATATTTCCCATTGAAAAAACCAAATATGACAAGATTGCGCAATTAGACTGGAAAAAAAAAGAAGAGAAACGACTTGATAGGATAAAGGAGACAAAGAAGGTCTGAGAGATAGAAAACTCCAGCCATAAATCAGGCGTGACGTCGTTGCCACGTGCTCAAATTTTCCTTTTCGCATTTGAAAGCCATGCTTCTTGAGTTTCTCTGTTTCGGTAGGGCATCTATCTCTTAAAGCTTACATATATATTATGTACTCTAGATGGTATACCAATCAGCTACCAGCTCTTGAGCTCTTCTAAATCGTATAATAAAATACTCCGTAGACAAGTTAACCCTCCCTCGTTTTGTTCATTTATTACACGCTTCATAGTTGATTGTGTGGCGCACCGTCCCCAAAATCTTTCGAGAATACAAAGCATACAAAAATAGTAGGGGACGGATAGTTTCCACTTCTATAAGAAAATATAGCTTGGCGACCACAATAACAAAATACACAAGCCGATAGTTCTCTTTAAGGATTTTGGCCACAATGAAGCTTTCGCATATTTCTATTTTAGTCTAGAACTTCGTTTAGAAAAAGTCATAAAAACGCGACACATAGTTGAAGTCATCACAATTGATAATCAAATGAACAATGGCATATGGACTTTCACCAAGCAACAGCAGATCACTGTATTACTAACGTCAACAATTCTGACATGATACATGTTCTTCAATGTTATCATGCATATCTCACATAAAATAGAAATCTTTTTAGGCCAAAACCAGAATGAAATGAGAGGTGAATTGTCTTTTTTTTATTTATTGTAACATGAATAGTTCATAACAAATAATGATGAATGGTATTGATTGATCCCTCAGTCAGTGTGAATACATAAACTCACATGGTGTGTTTTCAAGTAAAGTTTTTGAAAAAAGCTGTCATCATTGGGATCGACCATCATACATTATCAAAGGAACATCACATACAAAAGCAAACCTGAACAACAGCATAAAAACGGCACTAACCAATCGTGTTTTTTATTAACAACTATTGGGGCCATTGAACTTTCTTTTTCGACAATGTATCTACTATTCCTAATGCAAGGAAAAAGATATGGAACACCAGCGCCGAAGCGTCGTTGAGACCGCAGACCGGATTTAAGCAACCATAGCAGAAGCAGTGGCAGATTCACTATAAAAAGGAAAATCATGGGTCAAGGTAGACAATTACCGAGCAAAAACGTAGCGTTTTTACCCTTGACATAATGTCCAATATAGCAAAGATTCAAAAGTGTCCTTTCCCCTCTCCCAGCCCACCTCACTTTTTTTTCACATCCCCGCGCTTTTCTCCCCGAAGCCAAACGCTCATCGCGTTAGCCAATCAATCAATCAAAAAGGATACTATTTCCAGTTGGGAGGCAACTGGCCGGAGGTCTTGTAGTAACGAGCAAGACGGTGGATACGAGATTCGATCAAAATCAAGCGGTACTTGGAATCCTTGTCCTTGCGGTTGCGCTCCAAGTGCTTACGGATGGAGACAGCCTTCTTGATCAAGTGGTACAAATCCTCGGGGACCTCGGGAGCGAGACCGTTGGACTTGAGGATACGGAGGATCTTGTTACCAGTGACGCTGCGAACCTGGGGGATACCGTGGGAGTCACGGAGAATGACACCAATCTGAGCAGGGGACATACCCTTCTTGGCACTCTTGCAGATGATATCGACAACCTCTTCGGTGGTGGTCTTGACCCACGAAGGGGGAGTGCGGCGGTAGGGGAGGGCACTACCAGAGATACCCTTACCAGGAGTGTGCTATAGTAACATTGGTTTATAGAAAGTCAATAAAAAGCCCATAATGGCGTGTGCCAACAAAAACAGCCGAAGCAAAAACGACACATACCATGCGACCCATGTTTGCTAATTGAGAAAGTTGAAGGGAAAAAGAGAGAGAACAGCACGTTGTTTGCTTGCCCCAAAATTTTTATTGCACCGCGAAAAAAAATTTTCTACTGTGGCCGCTCCAACGAGTCACACAACGGATGTCGAAATTGGACAAGCCACCTTCACAGGCTCAGATCCAACACCACATTGTTGGCATACACCAACAATAACAGCACCTAAATGATATAAATGGATTACATAAAAAGGTTTAGTATGTTTGATTGGTTTTTGGTGGTGGTAAATAAAAAAGGTATTCCAGATCGAAAGCATTGTACACTTTTGATGTGAACGAAGCTCCTCTTTTCGAAGAACAGTCCTCGAGAAAAAAAAAAAAAAAAAAAAAAAAAGAGTGCCCCGCAACTGAGGGACAGATCATTTCAACGCCGCTGAGTTCTTTTTCCTTCCCTTTTTCCTTGTTGGTTCAACGATGGCGGATTCACAACCTATTATTACTTACTGCATCGAATACGCAGAGACGCAACTGTCCAAATGTGCCGACTGTCAAAAGGTGATTCCTCGAAACTCGCTTCGTGTCGGCCAAGTGTTTCGTAAGAACAAATCAGAAAAGAAGCGCAATGCAAAGCACACATGGTGGCATTTCAAGTGCTGGGAAGGTACATACTTTTATCATTGAGCGACCTGAATGGACATTATTGATAATCGTCTCTTGATTAGTGCCTGAACTGGTGACAAAGATACCAATTGAATATTTCAGAGGCTATCCCTCCATCCAAGAAAAAGTAAGGTCTTTTTCTGCAGCCAATTGATCGCTTATGCTGACGAAAAATACTTGGGTCATAGGATCAAAAACGTGTGCAAAGAGTGATCAAGGCCGGTAAAGGAACGTCATGGATGAAGCTGACTGCAAAGAACAAGGAAGCGGAAAAGGCAGCGGAACAAGCCGAGGAAGGAGCTGAGCCAGCGGATCAGAATGAGCAAAAGAAGAAGAAGAAATCCAAGGCTAAGGATGAAGAGATCAAAGATGTGGATATGACGGACGCGTTAACGGGTGTACAGACATCCAAGAAACCCGAAACCGAACAGAAGGAAACTGCGAAAAAGGAGAAAGCGCCTGCGAAATCCCCAAAGTCAAAGGTGGTAAAAGCAACCAGCGAGAAGAAGGAATTGAAACCCAAAACAAACGAGAAGAACAAAGTAACCAAAAAGACGTCCAAAGTCCAAAAGGAAACCGCCCCCGTCAAGAACATCACATTACCTCAAGCCGATCAACTGGAACTTCAAAACATTGCGTCTGAAATTCAAGCAAGTTTGAAGAATGAGGCCAAGAACAAGAAGAAGAAATCGGCATAAACCATGTTTTTTTTTATCTATTCATTTATTATACAGATCTTGTCGTTTTGTAAACCAAATCATTGATTCCATCTAACAGTTAACATCATGTCCTCTCAATCTATTTCTTGCGGCGCACCGTAATAAATCCATCTTCATCCACTTCATCCTCCTCTGGTTGTGCACGTTCAGAGGATCCAGTATCCACGTCCATGCCATCCTGTAAAAAGTAAATAGTGTCAACACTTTTCACATCATCAAACGACACTGTCGCCCAAATTTTAATGTACCTCTTCATGGTCATCCTCCTCGCCATCCGTGTCTTCAGAATCGCTGCCATCCTGCTGCTGCACACAGCTGGCTGCCACTTGACTGCGGGATTGACATTTTTCTCTCAGTCGTTCGACTTCGGTAAAGTTACCGTGAATACATTGATTATAAATCTCAACCAAATGTTTAGCCACCTAGATACATCGCCATTAGTATATACAATAGAATAAACTGCTTCTATACAAAAATCATACCAAATAGGCCGAGTCGTCCTCCAAAATTGTCAGAAATTCGTCCGTCATGATTTGCGAAAGAATGTCTTCAATATCAACGATATCAAGCTTTTTGCCGTCTGTTATTCAAAAAGCATGTTATTTTACAACGACTCCCATTCTCGTATAGGTACTCTATATCGAAAGATCAAACACTTACTCTTGCCAAAGTAGTCTACAATGACATCGATCATCCAATCTCGTTTCTCGGCGGAATCAACACCACCCCAATCCTGCTCGACAGCAAGCCTTAATGCAGTCCATGACTCGATAATGTATTTAACACCTTCTTCAAAGGCGGCTTTGTTGGCTTGCGGATTGCTAGCTGTACTCGCTGCTGCTGTTGCCATGATCTACTTTGTATAATGGAATATAGTGCAGTTGAAATGTCGAGACCACTTTTTATTTGGCGGTGGTCAAAAGCGAGCTGAAGGATGCTGATTGGTGGACACTAAGCCATCAAGCAATCTCCCCCTCCCCCGCGCCCCAGCTCTTTTTGATTTTCGCGACAAAAACATAGTTCTTTTTCTATCAATGGAAAATAAAATCCTGTAAAATGTCAAAGCTCACATAAGACGTTTTACTAGCAAGTTATACCACGAAAATTTGGTTACAAGAGGTTCTCATAACAGCTATTGAAAGGCTGATACATTATCATATGTTACTGAATTCTTAATCAGACGCCAAAACTACTTTTTTATATTTAGTGGCTAACGTATGATTTTAAGCGGTGTGATATTTAGTGTTTGCATCAAAGAACATTGAAGGGAAGAAGGTAACCTTTTTTCGATCTATGATATACGTCTGATCAAAACTTTTCGTTGATCGTTTAATATCCGTGCCCAAGCGCTTTTCATAGATGTTGCTTGAATAGAAATTAGAGATATAAGGTTTTCTTTTGACATACAATAAGACCTATGTAACAATCCACCTGAGAGGTAAATGCTTGATTTTCTGCTCATATTAAAAAATCGATCTGATGCAAAATGGCCAAACCCAGAAAGAGAGAAATAGCCTGTGACAGGTGAAGTGTGTGTGTGTGACTTGAACTGACGGTTCCCGACGATCGCGCGGATTACGCGTTCAAGCTGCGCAAAATTTCTCGCGACCGATTTTTCGTACGCGCCGCTTTCTCTACATTTCACCCTCATTCACCTTTTTTCCACCTTGTAAATAATGGACAAACCTACACCTCGCATCAACTCACAACTTCGTGAAAACTACGTCGGACAAACCGTCCGAGTAGTTGGCAAAGTATTATCAGTAAGTTCATATGCGCCCGACTAAACCCCACTAGCACAGTTCAGGTAATGACCCACGTTCTTCTTCCCATCACAGTTCTCTGGCGACACCGCCGTCTTGGAAGCAACTGACGGTGGTCAAATTCTCGTCAAAGTCAACGGCGTAAGTACACTTGTTCAATGCATGTGACTGACGATAATTACTCATCTTTGACTAATTCCGTTTACAGCAAAGCCAATGGGGATCGGATTATATGGAAGTCATTGGACGAGTAGAATCTGACTTTAGCTTGATGGAATTCAAATCGGCCAACATGGGAAATTCACTTGGTAAGTTCCACTTTCCGGAAAACGACATAATTGATATTGATACAGTTTGATGTAGATATGAAGTTGGCGGATAAAGTAGTGCAATACGGACAAAAGTGCCCTGAACTGTTTGATTTAAAGGCGTAGTTTGTGGATTTATGCCGGGAGACAACTGAATTTGATCGGAAGGGAGATTGCCAAAAACAGTAAATAAGAGGGTTGGATCAACCAAATAAACTCAAGTTCCATTTCATCGTTCTTTTCACTTGCCCCCCCAACGAACGCACTATTTCCTGTCCTTTCTTTTCCCTGTCTTTCTAACTTTTTTTTTTTCTCTTGCAGTTGATTTTTTGTTTTTTTTTTACTAGCTTTCTTCTCGTATTGGTCTTTTTGATTTAGTATTAGGGGGATTGTATCTTTGTTGAGTAGTATGAGTTCTTGTGCTTCCAGCTCTTCCGGTGTCGATCATTCGTCAAGGTAATAATCAACGATCTGATTCTGCTGCGCATGTATCTTTGTTGTACTCATGCTGACGATGTATCAAGTCAAGTTACCAATCCAACCATTACGCTGTCTCCTCCGCCTACAGTCTACCAAAAAGGGTCTCGTCGAAAGCGCAGTTTTCGAGCATTATTTACAAAAGACGATGGATCGGTCGTCTCTTCTATTCTGAGCAAGCTGACTCACTCTCGACCCTCTTTGCCTTCATCCGAGACGCCCACCGTAGATGTAGCAGCGGTGGCAGGTTCTTTAGCAGCAGTTTTGGCGGTCAGTCAGGAACCCATCATCACCGACGTCGCCTCTTCCCAACAACTTCATCCTGACACTGCGTACAATGTATCGGCCATTTCGTCTCAATCAAGTGTTTGCTCAGCTTCACCAACCGCTAGCAGTGGCCGATCGGGTGTTTTCCAAGAGATGAAGCGAGCCGTATCACAGTATCAACATGGCCAACGACGCCTTAATGATAACGATCGACCTCGTATTCGAAGCCTCCATCGTGCTCCCTTGGAAGATTCTATCACGGATCGTGCTCAACCGTCTTTGCTTCACGAAAAATATAAAGGCCATCGCAAAGGCAAAGTCATCGGTCACGGAGCCACCGCAGTGATTCGATTAACCGAACTTCCTGCTCGGCCTGCATTGTTAACAGCTGATCTAACCACAGAACACCGCCCAAAAACAGTGATCGCCGTCAAAGCATTCCGCAAACGGGATCATGACGAGTCCGAGAGGCAATACCGCAAGCGGTTGACCAACGAGTTCTGTATCAGCAAAACCCTGCGTCACGATCACGTTGTGGAAATGTTTGATCTCATGAAAGATAGTAAAGGACGGTGGTGTATTGCTATGGAATATGTAATGTATTGTTGCTTTTTTCTGTGCTGACTATTCATGATGGGTATTTTGACTGACTAGATGCCTGCTTTTTTTTTTTGAATCACTAAATACCTAGTGTTCCGGAGGAGACGTTTTCTCAATCCTGCAAAAATTTGATCTGAATGATGGGGAGATTGATTGCCTTTTCAAGCAATTGCTGCTGGGTCTTCATCATATGCATCGATGCGGCGTCGCTCATCGTGATATTAAACCGGAGAACCTGGTGATGACGGCAACCGGCGTTTTGAAAATCACGGATTTCGGAGTGGCTGATGTGGTGCAATCGTGCTTTGATGACACTGAGCGAGAATCGTACGGACGATGCGGTTCGGAGCCTTACTGGTCACCCGAACTGTTTGCGGAAAATCAAGGCTACGATGGTCGAGCTTTGGATATATGGAGTGCCGCTGTCACTTGGCATTGCTTATTGTACCGTCAGATTCCATTTGTGAAGGCCTCCATGGAAGATCCAAAATATGTCAATTTTCTCGACGAACGACCGGCTCGCACATGGCTGCCTCTCAGCAAATGCACGGATCAAGAAAAAGACTGCTTATATCAGATGTTTGAACCCGATCCTCAACTGCGCTGGACGAGCAGTCAATGTCTTTACTCAGAGTATGTAGAAAATATCCAAATCTGCCGGCATGGCCTTACACCGGACGGAGCATCCCACAGACATCATATTGCAGCAGTCTAGACTGAGCAGCGCTAGTATTCTTTTTGTTTTTCCCATTTTTATTTGTACAAGCACACTGATATAGTCCGTAAACAATGGGGACAATAATAGAACAGATCATCGTCCTCTTTAATATCAATCGTGTGATAAAGTAATAGAACAGAACAGCAGTATAATCAATGTTCACCTAGGCAACGCAGACACTGCCCTGGATTAAAGCCAACATGACGACCCACCCAACATGAAGACCCACCAAAAACAAGCTATGCGATGTCCTTTCACTAGACCATATAAAAAGGGTTACAGTATCAAGAACATGGTTTAGGTTGGGAGCGTTGGATGTTTTTGGTTTTGATTCTTACCTCCAAAAATCCAGAACAGCCATTATGGTTACAGGATACAGAATTGCCGGCGAAGGTGCGTAAGGATAGCATGGATACATGCATGTGCCGATCTAAAAACAAACATTCATGCAGAATCGGTATGATGATTTCAGTGATTTTCCCCGCCTCCAAACTGCTTTCCTCTCATCACCCCCGAAAACTCTTTCCCCTGCTGCCCAATACCCTGATTTGATTTTTTTTCTTCCAAATCCAATCTTACCTTCAATACAGCTGTTACGGTCTTTAATGCTTTTAACAGCTGTGGATCGGCGGTGGTATACCACCAACGTCTCTCCCTTGAAGTGGCGGCGGGATGAGGGGCCAACAGCAAAGGCACCTCTTCTTCCGCTGTGTCCATTTTCTCGCTTGTCACATTGACGGACTCCGGTGATGCAACCAAAGGCTTTTCTTGTTCCTCCCCTGCGGCTGTTTTTGACGCTCGTTTCCTTCGTTTGCGAACCTCGTTTTTGGTCTTGGCATCTTTACTGGAGCCCTCACCTTTGCGTCGTTTCGATGATGTTCTGCTGTCATTGCTTTCACTGCTTCTATCCGTATCCGAGTTGGTGTCCATGGCGTCGTCTGATTTTGACATCTCGGTATCTACGGTATCGCTGAAATCGCCAATAGGTTTCAATTTGCTGCTAGTGGCTGCAAAATTTGATTCTGCAGACGGTGTATCGTTATCCCTCATTGGCGATTGTAAGGAGCCTCGCGATGGCCCATTACCGTTGTACAACACAAAGGGTGAACTGCTGCGGGGTGACCCTTTGCTAAACCATTTTGGCGACATGGGGTTGTAGTTATCCAGAGCCGGTTGCATGTGTCGTATCTTTGACAAAATTTCGGCACAAGAAGGTCGCTTATTGGGATCGAGTGACAGCAGCATTCGAATCAATATCTTGAGCTCTTGTGGTATATCCGAGGAAATTTTCTGCCTTTGCATGGATTCAAGTATGGAGGGATCCAATTCTTTTTCTCGACCATTGTAAATGTCAAATCTCGACTTTGGAAACTTCACCCTTTTTTTTACAGTTCCATTATCAGTCGTTCAGATTGAACATATCAACAGATGAATCACACTTACTCTCGAAAAGCCAGGATTTCCTCTCGTAAGATGTCCACATCATCAATATGTTCGTATGGCAAGCGCGAATAACATAAATAGTACAACACCATGCCCAGCGACCACATATCGGCTTTCGCCGAATATTCCGATTTGTTTCGTCCTTCAGGGTTCAGCATGACGTGCTCCGGGGCCATGAATTCAAGCGTTCCGGTCGCACCTGTGCGATCGCTGTCCATGGTCTCTTCAAGATCCTCGCATTCACCAAAATCTGAAATCAGCACGTGCGGCGCGCCATAACGTCCTCGAGGATGATTTTCCCATTTTAACAATAAATTCGGCGGCTTCAGGTCGCGATGCACGATATTTTGCTCATGCAGATGACCCAACCCTTCCACGATATCGAGGAAGAGAGACCAAATTTCCGGTAAGCTCAATAATCTTTTTTGGGTATGGATCGGCAGCTGTGCTTGGGTTTCCCGCTCGTAATCCTCTTGCTCTTGAAGTTGACGCTTGATACGTTCTCTTTTCCGTTGTTTGGCTGTCTTGGGCTCTTCCTTCGCTTGGGGGTTCGCCTCGGAGCTCACCTCGGGTTCGAGGTACTCTTCGAGATTCCCACCATTGGCACATTCCTAATATTAAAAATCAGCAAAAGCTGAGGCAAGCACAGAGTTTCTGCTTACCATTAAAATAAATAAGCATGGTACCTCGGGACCTGTGAATTGGGTTAATATTATGGGATCAAAAAGACAGATCAAGACCAATACGATTACCAAAAGGTGTGAGTCGATCATTCTCAAGCCAAGAATGCTTGTAGCTCACAATATTTGGATGCCGCAGTCGTTCGAGTAAATGCACCTCGCGTAACATCTTGACCAGCCAAGGATGATTATTTCCTGTGAGAACACTGGATGAGATATCGGTTCGTATAATGATCGGTTATTTTAATCTTTACCAATGGCCACTTTTTTTACAGCATAGACACCCAATTTGACACCGTCAAGCTCATGCTAAAAAATAAAAGGGGACTCGCAATCAATCCATAGCCCCAGATGTCCAATGAAATCATTGCGGCATCCACGTACCTCACATAAATACACACTTCCACGGAAACCACGACCTAACTTTTTCTTTTCCACAAAGAAGCGTCTGTAGTAACCCTGATTGAAAGCTTCCGCCTTGAGATGCATGGTAGCTGCAGTTGAAGGCGCCGGGCGACTAGATTCACCTCTGGTTGGCGGCAGCGGCGAATCGTGTTCCGTCTCAGTTTCCGATTCCTTGGGTGTCTCTTCAGCTGGAGTACTGCGGCGCTAAATTAGACACATATTTTCCATGGATATCTTTTTCGTCCCGATTTACCTTGATGGTAGTGATGCTAATAAACGAAAGTAATTTCGATCCATAAAGGTAGGCTCATTGATCTTTTTTTTCAGCCGAGTGAGTGCGGTGCTATTCATAACAACGTCTTGAAATACCTACATTATCTGTGGTTGAGGGCGACGTAAAGGGTCGATGGCATAAAGGGCATTCGTCCGTTTGCATCTGAGAGAGTCATCATACAACGGGTTGGACTTAAACGAATCTATGCATGCATCCTAAAGAAAAACTCACACTTACCGGCAGAGGCGGACTACCGTTCGCCGACAGGCGTCGATGAAAGGATCCCGGCGAAGCCTGCTGAACGGTCACCATCTTGTTTTCAGCGTTGTAGAGCACTATTTGACCGCTCACATCGTTGCGACTAAAAAACGATATATGAGAGATGGAAATGCGGGCCACGTCGCATTATTCTACTTACGAAATCACGGTCCACTCGCGGTAAGGCACCAGCTCAAAGCTACGCCCCGAGGAAGTGGTATCTTCAATAGCCAAATAGGAGGTTGGCGCCGGTCTTGCATCGTGTTCGCCGGCGGATTGCGACCGATGTCTTGTCATTCCCGGCAATCGTGCGGGGGTTTCGTCGGGGGAACGAAGAAAACCACGTATATAAGGTCGGTCAACGACGAAATGCTTGGGACTGGAAGGCGATGGGATATAGTCGGACGGTGAATAGGGTAATGGTAAAGGCACTCGGGTAATGAAATGGCTGTCTTGGGTTGGATCGGCATTATTCAGCATAAGGGCCATGGCATGACTGACTTCCGGGTCACTCGCACGTCGATAGCCAGTGGTCGAATGCTTGGATGGTTTTTTCTTTGTCGAGCGGCTTTTCTTCACGCCAGAATGACCATAGCTCATGTCGGGGAATGGTCGAAAACGAAACAAAAATCAGCGACTCTTGATACTGCATGCTTTTTTGCATGATTACATTTTTGCAGCACCCAATCCATATTAAAACTCCGCAATGGCCTGGGGGCCTCGAATCCCCTCTTCATTCAGCATTCTGTCTTTTCCTTTTGTCAGTTGGATATAACTTGTATAAACAGACATCCAAATTCACAAACACTACGCGCTTATTTACACATAGATTTTAGAAAATATGAACACTTTATAAAGTGGCGGGAAATGGTGACTATGTCAGAACACTAACGGTATGAGCCTAGGAAGAAAGAGTAGAAAAATGTTGCGATGTCGCACTGTTTCCCAACAGTTTTGGGGGTTAAAGTTGATCGTCGTCCATATCAAGCTTCGAGATCCCATATATCAAGAGTAAACAGGGGCCTAATTATTTGGTGACTATTTTACAATGGCAATGACGATTTTGGGGCACGTAGCACAAGCTTGCATATGATAATTTGGCATAACTAGGGTTGTGACCTTAGTCATTGGTAGTTCAGCATGGCCACTTGCAATCCTGTCTTTTCTGAAACAGATTCGCTGGAAATCACCGGTCAAAAGCTTCTTCAACTGGGTGAAGGAGAGGTCCAGTTGACAAAGCACTATGTACCTGGGATAGCTCTCATTGTGCTTCACCACCCCAAACGCCACAATGCTCTGTCGGGTAGGATGATGGCGCAATTGAACGACATTGTAAAACAACTGGAGCAAGATCAGGGGGATCTGGTGGCTGTTATTATGACGGGCAGTGCAGGCAAATCATTTTGTGCAGGTTTAGGTAAGTTGGCACAATGGATAGGAAACGGTGGATTGGATGTCAGCTTACAGTGCGAAAATTCCCCCAGATCTGAACTTTGCTCGCGAATATCTTCAAGATTTAGCAGCAGCGAAAGCTATGAATAAATTTATGCATAGTGTGCTTTCTCGATTTGCACGTCTTCCACTGATTACCGTGGCCTCGGTGGCCGGTCCTGCTTTAGGTGGCGGCACCGAGCTTCTTACTGCATTTGACTTTATTTGCATGCACTCTCAAAGTTACATCCGGTTTGTTCAAACGCGCATGGGGGTCACTTCGCCTTGGGGTGGAGCCCGTCGGCTGATGAAGCAGATTGGTCGGAAAGAAGCGTTGCGAGTCATGGCCAGTGCTCCGGTGCTGTATGCTCAGGAAGCAAAAGAGATTGGCTTGATTGACGTTATTATCCCAGTGGAACTCTCCAGCAACCGTTATGAAACTTGCCTTGCCGCTTGTGTGGAATTCTTAAAACCATTTGTCACGGATGACCACGGTGCGAGAGTGGCTCCTGATGCGGTGCGCGGCATGAAGCGGCTATTGACTGCCGCAGATTCGGAAGAACAGATAGAGCAGGACATGCTGATCTTTTCCCAAAGCAACCAATCTAAACTCTGAATCAGCAATCCTGTTGCCCCATGGATGATGGTAAAAAAGTAGCTAATCTTTGTATTTTTGTTTTCATGCCATTTGTATGAAATTTCACTTTGAAAATGCCAAAAAAAAAAAGTGGTTTAAGATACCGACGGGTTGCCAAATAAAGAATTCTGGCATTAAGCTTTTTTTTTTTCTTGCTGCCCCTGTTTTCTTGACACGCTTGGATTGATACGAACTTGTTGCTAATGGAGGACGCGCTTTTGGCTCAATTGCAGAATGCCCACCTTCATGACGACGATGATCTTCGTCACGAGTCAGAAACGGGCTCTGAAGCATCAGACAATGACCAAGATGAAGACATTTACAAAGACGATGTACCGATCGATGCTCATTGTCAAACATAACACGTTGACTTATAAAACCGTTTTATATAGGATAATGATAGTATACCCTTCAATGCACAGCATGGTGGTCGACAGACAGGGCCCAAAGGAGTTATTGCGGATCAAAAATACCACGAACAACTGCAAAGAGATGCCCAGCTGCGTTCGCAAGCTCGACATAATGCTCGCATATTAGCCAAGGCACCGACGACAACGACATATCGTGAAGACGAAGCGGCTAAAGATGAACTGGTTTTGGAAGCGAAAGCAGAAGAGAGTGACGGTGATCTGGAGGATGAGGCGGCTTTGCAGCGGTTTCGCCAACAAAGGTTAGCGGAACTCCGGAATATGAATAATCACGCCGTACGACAGCAGCATCGAGTGTTTGGAACGGTCCAAGACATTACGGCCGAAGAATATGCGTCAGTGATTGACAAGGAATGGAAAACGGTTCCAATTATAATTCATTTGTATGATGAGGTAACATGGCCCAACCTTTTTGCCAACGCTTAAAAACATTCGGGTTAGTCTTGATACTAAATAAGGGAGCGCATTTTCATGCCCTCCCCCTTTTTTTCTTTCCAATCCTTTTTATTTAGTCCATTCGTGAATGTAGAACATTGGATGACTATTTCGTGGGACTCGCTTATAAATACGCATTGGCCAAATTTGTACGGGTCTCGGCAACCGACCTGGAATTCGACCTGGTAGGATCACCGGCCATTCTGGCTTACCGTGGCGGGATTTTGGTCGCGAACCTGGTGCGTTTGATTGATGAAGTTGGGCCACAGTTCATTGTCGATGCAGTGGAAGATGTTCTGTTACGGTACGTCATACCATGCAAGATCTTATGTCATCGGACTTTTCTGGTTGCCCCCCCCCCCTTTATTTTAATCTTTTATGTTTAATCTAATCGATCTATAGGAGTGGGGCCTTGTCAGAGGACGATCTGTATGATTTACCTGTTCGTACCAGATCGGACACTGAAGACGACGAAGAGGATGGATGATGATTTGAATTCCAGCATCAACCGACCATCCGACTCTCGATGGATCATACGGATGGACATGTTCGATTCATTTTTTTAGGATTCTTCAATAAATATTATGTACCTAATTGACAAAAATGGCACCGTTGGGAAACGTGAAAAGATGTGGGTCCTTGCCATTAAGAAAAGCGTATGTCGTCATGGCCAGGCCCAAGCATGAGAAACGTCTAAGCTTTGGGACGAATACTAACCATTTTCGGTAAGTGTCGGGGCATGATTATCAGCTGTATCGGTCTTTGGATTTGTGACCGCGGTTCCTTGTCTTATCTCTTTTTTGTGCCAACAATTTTTTTTTTTAAATCACCCACAAATTTTGGCAGTTGGCCCGGAACCCTTACTTTTCTGCATATAAATAAAAACAAAAATCACATTGTGGTAAAAAATGTCTCTCTATAAATACGCTCAAACTCAAGTGCAACGCCTTCAAACCATCTCTTCACATCTTACCCCTTCTTTCTCCACAAGTACGAAATCTACCATGGTCTCAGCATCCACTCAACCCTCATCAGCACGTCCCATCATATCTTTCATTGGCGGTGGTAACATGGCCGAAGCTATTCTCGGAGGATTGCAAGCCAGTGGTCATCCTGGTTCTCGTCTGAGGTATTCCGAGCCGTTGGACGAACGTCGCAAGTATATGCAAACAAAGTATCCCGAACTGGTGGGCAGTGCAGACAATGAAGCCGTCGTGGAGGGAGCCGATGTTGTCATCCTAGCTGTCAAACCTCAAGTGCTGCGTAATGTGATCAGCAGTCTTGCTCCTTCCTTCCTCAAGAATCCGTCCATGTTGCTAATCTCCATTGCTGCCGGGATCTCGACCAAAGATATGCTGCGATGGCTCAACACAGATCAAGCCGTTTCGATTGTGCGATGTATGCCCAACACACCGGCTCTTGTGGGAGAAGGTGCCGTAGGATTGTATGCAACTCAAGCCGTCAGTCAGGAACAGCGAAGTACCACCGAAGCCATTATGCGTGCGGTGGCCAAACAGGTATCGTGGGTGGAGTCGGAAGCATCCATTGACACTGTCACGGGTATCAGTGGCAGCGGCCCTGCTTACTTCTTCTTGATTATGGAGGCAATGCGTAAGTATCAATTAAGATGGGATTGAATGCAAAAACAAAATGAAAATGGGAATTTCATGACTCACCATGACTCTCTTTTTTTTTTGGCGGGATTATCCGAAATAGAAAACGCTGGTGTTGCAGCTGGTCTGACGCCGGAGGATGCCAAAGCATTGACGCTTCAGACATGCTTGGGTGCGGCTCGTATGGCTCAAACATCTGAAGATGATCTCGCCACTCTCCGTCGTAAAGTGACTTCGCCCAAAGGTACCACAGAAGCGGCCATCAAATCGCTCGAAAGTAACGGCATTCGCAAAACTATGGAAGAAGCGGTTTTTGCCGCTGAGAATCGTGCCCGTGAATTGGCCGAAGAGTTGGGCCAAAACTAGACACATCGATTGTCTTGTTTTTCTTGTCTTCTCATATTTCTGTATCCTCTCTTTCTCCCCTTATTCTTCGCCATCTCATTTTACTTCATGATTTGTATATTTTTTATTTGCTTCTTATACTCCGAAAATATAATAATTCACGCATATCTTCGCAACAAGTAATAAGGGGGGAATCTGATGAGGTTGATGAACACAAACTTTTTACCTTAAAAAATTCTGTGTCTTTATTTGGTTACTGGCCAAACATTAAAAAAAAAAAAACCTGAAAAATGCTTTTGGCATGATCAACGTCAGAAATCACACAAGATCTTATCTCCATCCCTATTCTGCCAAATTTAGAAGGACCATTCTACTGGTTCCTGGGACGCCAGAGGGTACCTGTCACCAACATCTAAGAATGGAATTTCCCGCGATAGCCCATTGGTTGCACAAGGGACGGATGTTGACACGGAGCTTAATCGTTGTAGAAACAACTGCTTGCTACTTTTCTCCATCAAAAGTAAAAAGGGATATCAACGATAGTCAGTGTGAACCAATAGGAATAACCCGGTGCTTCTGAGCATCAATTTTCTTATCAAATATTGAAGCAGAGAAGGCAAAGAACAAATAAGGATGCAGATATTCCTAAATCTCAACCAATAACCAACCTTCATTTTCACGAAAGGGCGCATGAAATCCACACAATGAATCAAGACGACACGGTCACTACAGGTTCGGTTAGAAAGGGAAAAACGCATGTGAATAGAAAGTCAATGATATCGATAGCTAAACAATGGTCAGAATAACTTCATCATAGAAAATGATGAGGTTTTTCATCTCTGCGAAAATATAAAGGGATATGCTTATTCCAATGAATCATTGGGGCAATAAAAGCATTTGTTTCCCAAGATTTCAATTCCATTTAGAAAACCAAAAAAAAAAAAAAAGGTGTGAAAAGAAGAAAGAGAGGTAATTTTTTACAGAACATGCTGTGCAATACAGATGAGATTGAATGCTTGGATAAATATCGCCATAAACGCGAAAGTAGAAACAGATCGTGTTGCTCTAATCCACGATTATGCGGCAACACCGGTTTCCAACGATTGTAATAGTGCAGAAGACATCACAGAATAAATTTTTGAACCACCGTCGATGCATTGTTCAATAGCCTAACGAACATCATAATATCCTTCAGCACACGGACACAACAAATAAAGCTTTCCATCCCGCCCTACTTACCTGACTCGTAATGGCACTGTCCGATTGTCCCGTTTGTAAAATGTGAGTGACTTCATTCAGCGAAGGCATGTAGGATAACACAATCGAACCATCCTTTTGCTGCTCTTCTTTATCCGTAGCGTCCATCAAGATTTGATTTTTCATGTAAATCTACAAAACTCTGTTCAGCCTCTCTTTATCCTTTTCCCGATTGGATGGTATTTCCTATCGTTTCTGTTGAGAAAGCGAAATACGTACCGCTGAGCAGGCAGTGACTTGATCCAACATTTCAATACCAGCGTCGGCTAACGCCACACTTGAAGCAATAATGGCAGCTGCAATACACGAACTCGTACCGTCATTCTCGAGAACATTGATGTAGATATCAATAGCCGATTTGGGCAACAGTTCCAAGCGAACCGCAGGTGCAAGTGCTTGCTCAAGGATATGCGAATACTCCTTCTCTTGTGTGTCCTATGAATGCAAGTTGAGTGAGCTTCGCTCTGGATCCCTATTCCGATAGATCCCGATGCTGCTTACGCGAATGTGCCCGCGACGTTTTGTGCAAGAGAATGTGGAAAATCGGAATTCGCAGTTTAACGTGCCGTTACGAGAAAATGCGGCTTTTTTCAATTGACGAGGACCGTATCTAGTATGGTTCATCGGGACATTCCAATGTTGGTCAAAAGGCTAGTCAGAAACAAGTGAACATTTAAAGCTTACACTGCGCACACCACTTTGGTGTTCCCAACTTCAATGTATGCTGAACCGTTGGACTGCGTTACGAGTCCTGTTTTCAAAACTGCGAATGGAAAAGAAAAGCAGGGTAAGTTTTCTTATTAATCCAATGTCCCGTTATTATTTTCTGTCTTACATAACGGTCGGATGGCGTCCATGCTGCGCTGATCATGGCGTTTGTTGTTACTGTCAAGTAGAGGTGCAGTTTCTTGTGCCTTTAATAATGGGGCCACACTGACTTCAGGTCCAGTCACACGTTTACGATCCATATTGACACGGGGTATTATACGAGTTGAAAGAGTTCACTGGGCAAAATCGACACGGCTTTCTTTTTGCGCCACACAAAATTTCCAAAGAAGCAGTCATGGCCATCAATGGCTGCATTGATCGCTTCGACTCTCTTGTCTTTTTTTATCTCTCCCTCTCTCTCAAATTTCACTCCTCAGCAATAGCTCAATATTAAAATTACAATCATATGCTATCTTCTTTCTTTAATTCAAAGCAAAGAAGGATAAGCGTACAACGCGGCTTAGCGCCTGACAATTTATCTACGCCGTCAAGGGGAGCTGCACTGTTAATGGCACGTTAAACGGATTTGGAGCTCTCCCATGTATTATATTACTCAAAAGCAATGATGTTTTGATTTCTAATCTGTCAGCCTCACTGTATCATTTCTTCTACATATATCACTTTGTTGGGAAGACATGCTACGTGCATCTGACTTGTTGGTCACGGTAATACTTTATCAAAAATAATCAAAGGCGGCGTGTCGCATGTATGTAAATACGTTAAAGAGTATTTCAGCCTCTTGTAAATGTTTGCAAGTGTTGTCCCGTAAGCATCTGTGAAGTCTTATTTCTCATTATGTATTCAAATACTCTTTGAGATTTTTGCATCTCAGCAATTCAAAATGATTCCGAGGCCGAGGCAGTGCCCCAGATGCCGTGCGCTTATAAGCCACCGTTCAGTGATTTCATGACTGCGACAAATGAAATGGGCGGGATTGCAAATTCTCGTGTAAATTTTTTTTTTTTCGCACATAAAAAGGGTGGCTGCACGCCGAAATGTTTTTTCTTTATCATAGTGGTATCTGCCTTAGATCCTTTGTCAGGGAATTGGACCTTTGGGTCCCCTTCCCACTGAGCCTTTGTTTAGCTGTTCGTTGATAAAGAATGAGTCATACAGATACTAGAATACATGTACCTCCATTTCGATTCCATGAATTCAACGCCGATACTTTCAGTATCGATACTCAAACGTTGTATTCGGAATGTCATATGGAGACAATTCTTTCCTTTTTTACAATCAAAACAAATATCAAATGAAAAAACATAAACGAGAGTTTAGGTATAGCAGATGGAATTGTGGGCCGCATATTGTGCTTTTTTTTTGGATACAGTATGTGCTGCTATGGTAACGGGTGGAGGGTGGCGGGGGTGAAACCACAGAAAGATGGATATGTACAAATACACATACAAATACAAGCAGGGCAACTTATAAGGGCAACTTATACCAGGTCGTAAAATAAATCATTCAACTTTCCTCGTGGTATACACTCGTCACTTCTGAAATGATCCACGTTGGTGGTATGACTCGCGTGACCGTGATGTTGGTCAGGGGAGATGCTAGGACAGGACACTGGAGCGTCCGACTGGATATACACAGCGTCTTCCAGCAGATATACTTTCCCTACGAGATCAATCACCGAGGGAGGAGCACCGGACGTCGCCGTACAGATGAGTGCACCGATCGGTTTAGACCGCCTCGTCTCACAACAGGTAGGCACCAAAGGCTTGTAGCATAGTTTATCTTCAATTTGCCATTGCACATCCCAGTTGCCGGACCCAGTGGTGGGGTCCAAGTGCCGGATCCCCGCAAATTGTTCAAAACTCCATGAAGCTGGCGAGTGAAGATCAAACACGCGGCAAGTACTTGTTTTAACGGGACGGCCACACCATTTCGCGGTTAAATCCTTGATATACTGAAGAGGAGAATTGGTTTGGGTAATGTCGGAAGCGCATTGAGCATTTATACACAGAGTAGAATCGCAATATATACACAGTATCTTCACAGATTGGTCTTTCTGGATGGTTGTCGGCGGCACGCTGGTGGTTGAAGAGGATGGCGGAAGGGGCATACTTTCGGGAATAGCGAATGATGAAGCAATTAATGCGTCCATTGCCGGATCGTCATACACGTCGTCAGGGAACTCGCTCCGAGGACTCGCGTCTGGAGCTTGCAAGGAAGTCGCCAGCTGCAAATCGGATAGTTCGCATGCTTCGTTCCGTATAGCATCGTCAATCAGGGTATCATTCAACATGTACGTGGTGTCATCCTCCGAATCATGCTGGCTAGATACTATACCAGGTCGACCGGAAGACATTGACTGAGAACTTTGAGACGGTCGGGACGGTGGAGAGTGCCTTGGCTCACTTGTTTGGGAAGACCTATGAACTTGACTCGGCTGAGTAGGATGATGGCATTCATGACATATCGGTGGCTGCGAAACCGTCGAATTGCGCAAATTGAAACTGGCACGAGACTCGATCGAACTTTGCGTTTCTGCCGGGCTTTGGCGTTGGATGGCGGTATAAGGAAGGCAAGATTCTTGAGAGCTGGCCGATGTGTCTTTGGCAGATTGATGCGACTGGACCAACGTCTGAGACCCGGTATTCCGCTGTGACTCAATCTGTCTTTGAGACGCTTCGGATTGTATCATCGCACATTCATTGGTGATCGGGGTAAAGTGACGAGAGAGAACGGCCTGATTGAATTGAGAGACAGCTCCTTGAGACATGATGGGTCCTTGAACAAGGCTTGGGGATGTCGTTTTTCTGAGAGCGTCGGTTGCATCTTCCATCTTCACAGCTACAGAGCCAGGGCTGTGAAATTCGAGACTCTGTCGCGACCCGTCGAAATGGTGGATTTCAGGATCGCCGCGATCATCGATTGGAGAAGAGCCTGCAGCTAGTCCCTGTCCAGCAGCAAGAGTACCTGTGAATCCGTTTTCCATCATCGGTTTCATGTCCGCGTCCATATCTGTGTGCATCTCTGCCGCCATATCAGTGTTTAGATCTGCATCGCTGAGCATTCCATCATGCTCTTCTTTTTTTTCCTCTTCCTCCTCGACGGCGAGCCCTTGATCGATCATGATACGACGACGAACAAACGACTGGAGTTCTTTCATGGCTGAACCAAAATCGCCAGGATTTTGAACGCACAATTCACGCACCCATTTGGATAACCCTCGGCGGTTCCTCAAGCCGGCATACTCGTTATTATGGAATCGCTCCTCCAAAAGTATAATAACGCCCCAGTCGTTCCGGTGTCGTATACATCTTCCAATGGCCTGGTTGATAGCTACGGAAACGATGAGTCACTCTAGCTTCTTTTTTCCGCAATTCCATCTGATACACATACCACGATAAGCCTGAATGTCATACCTAAAAAGAACGATAAGAAATCTCATACAACGTAGAAGGAAATAGACACACAATCTACCATTCACTTCCAGTTAATGGTCGATCTTCCGGAGGTTTCATTGGAAACAAATCTACGTCTTCCTTCCTCCTCATGTCGTTGTACTCTTTTTTCAATTTGATCTGGATATCCTTTCTGCAAACGATAGCAATGATAAATGAATCATCTTTAGCTCAGCTCGCCCGGATCGCTGACTCACATGTTCGGATACGGTATGCCGAGAGCCACGACGGCGCGACAGTTATTGTTGCTAAAATCGATGCCTTCACTTGCTTTTCCTCGATATACCTAACAGATTTGATTCCATATTCAATGCACACTGCTTAAACTCGGTAAACCAATTGTACATACTGCCAGAAATAAAGCTCCGTCTTTGCCACTACCAAACATGCCCTCTTGTGCTTTCTGGATGTGTCCATAAAACTTTTTCAAAGTTTTGTCAAAAGCGTTCCTGGCTCCCTGATGAGGCTCTAAAAGAGAAAAGCATTATAAGCCTTCACTGTGCCGAGATTCAACTCTCGGTTCCGAAATTACCTAACATAACATGCTTTTGCTGATCCAACTGTTGATAGAGACCCGTCGTCTGTCGAGAGTACAACAAGGTCAGAAGAGAGCTTGGCTAAACATACTGCTTTTTATGTACCTTCCACCGCTTCACGAGTGTGTCAATGGCTCTGTATGAGGGAAAGAAGCACAGCACGCCATAGGGGACCGCACGCACCACATTTAACAGAGCTACAGTAGGTTAGATGGTATGCCTTTAGATTGCGAAGGGCCCAAGTCCACCCTACCTTCACCGACATCATCTTGGTAAGCAAAGCTTTCAACATTGTTAAAGGTACCAGATAATATCACTTGTCCGGGGCTATCAATACGTTATGAATTAAGTTCACATAGACCGACCTCTATGCCTTACCCTCTGGGAAGTGTCCGGACCCAGACTTGGGACGAGTCAATGACATGCTTGGCTTCAACTCGTATTGGACTATCATGTATGAGCAACTATGGTAGCAAAAACAAAGCAAACTCACGAGACAAGTGTACTTACAAGTCGGTTTCAAGCTCTCGAGCAAAGGTATCCATCTAAAAAAAAAAAAAAAAAAAAAAAAAAAAAATTGAATGATTCCAATCCAGTTATTCCTGAGGACCAGCACACTTACTGGTGATAAAGTACCACTGGTTAGAATCACGGAATGGACCTTTTCGCTAATGTCACGAAAAATAATACCGGGATTCAGGCACCTTCATGAACAGAGACAAACAAATAAAATAGTTAATTTGATAAGGCGAGAATGCCCACTGTTGTCGTTTTTTGTATTACCAGAATGCGAGTTTATGAACCCATGCGTCTAAAAGCAGAGTAGAGCTATTAGTGTCACCCGTCCCTCAAATGGTCGACAACGGAATATTTACCAGCTTCGTTTTGAGGTTTTGTCGTGCGATTTTTCCTTTTGATAAGCACCATGCGGTAGTCTTTGGCATGAGCATGCTCTTTATCAAAAATATAACCGAGGACCATGAAAAGACCGGACAACAGTCGTAACCCGTAGTCGCTCACACATTCGCGCACAGTGTACTTTTGATTTTGGCTGGAAAACGGTTCATCGTCTTCATATACCATGTCTAGATCCGTGCCTCGACTTTCGTTTTTCTTCCGTATTTCATCTGCGTGGCGTCGAACCGCTTGATGGGCAAACACCAGCGTGGTATGGAAAATACTCTGCGTGATACCCACCGAGCTCAGTTTGGGTACCAGCTGATGACCATCCCATCTAATGAAAAATCCGAATTCACTAGCTTATTCCCTTTCGCGCTGGGCTTGTTCCACTTACAGTGCAACGTCTCGGTCGAATTCTTTGATATTGTGGACGTTTTCCGGACTTTGCATCCAATCAAGCAACGAATCTACCAACTAGAATCATCCATGATGAGCGTTATTCCCAGACGTGTTTCGATGCTCGGTTGACTTACGAAGAGAATTTGGCCGTGGCTATCGGCAGAAAGTTCTCGTTTGGAAATCTGATTTAGTTCAAGCTGCAATATTTTAAGCTCCATTTCATTGATCTCGAACGAGCCAGCAGAACGTGCCGCATCCTCAATGTTATGGGCTAACAACAACGGGGCAAAAACTATACTCAATACTCCGAATTCTGGTTCAAACTTGGACTATTGTTTACCTTCATCAATAATGACAATGTTATTCTCCAGATCGATATCCAATGCACTGCGAATATCTATGTGAATACGTCATTCTTAGTACGGCCTATAATGCTTGAAAACGAGAATCAATTAAAGGCATACTAGGATCGATTATGTAGTTGTAGGGACAGAAAACCAGCTCGGCATGTTCATACAGAGTGCGTGCTGAATAATACGGACATCCTAAACAACCACAAAAGCATCAATTGATTGTTCTACCAATTTTTTGTTTTCTGAAGCGTTTACCTCGAGTCTTTTTTCCCAGCGTAACCAAATCTTCAATATCCCAGATGGGATTCACACCGCGAGATATTTGAAGATCACCTAAAAGCTGAGCCACGCGTCGACCGTAGATACACTCTCGAGCTTCGAGTAGATTAAAGCTATTGCGTAACAGATTATTAAGAACCACTGATCCCAATTCTTACGGTATCACAGAGGTATCATTACCAGTCCTCTGACTTGTTGGATGATTTGGACACTTTTGGATGAACTGGATGGAGACCATATCTGCGTCAGTAAAAATTCAGGTCCATAACGGATCAAGGTAAAAAGCTTACTGCAGAGTTGCTCACGACTTCCAAGCACCGTCATCCCTAAAAGTGGAGATTAGTAAAAAAGGAAAAGGCCGTACATCAGGTTCAAGCGTACGAGGTCTGTAAGTCGTGTTTCCTTTCAATTCACCAACCAGTTGGGCAAGTTGTTTATGGCTAAAGTGAATAATTAGTAGATCTACTCATTGGCCATTTTTGTTTCCACGGTAAGCTTACGTTCGACTGCAGACGAAAATCTTGGGTATTCGATATGAGGTGGATTTGGAAGGATCCTTTGTTTGAAAAGCAGATGCCGCAGTAGGGGATAGCATGTCGTGATCTATGGAAGGTGATAAGCGCCCACTCGGATTCACTTTCTTTTTTCGGATATAGCGTGGTTGCTGGAAATCATCATCATCATCCATCACTGCTTTCCGTTTGCCCGTCGATGTTTCCTTCTCTTCCTTCATTGCCTTTGTTCCCTCCACTTCCGCACATTGGTATTTGAAAGAATCAAGATTGATGGTTTTCTTATAATCTGCTGACGGTTGGTTTGCCGTTCTTTCCTCGGAATCAGTTCGCTGCTGAAACGCATATGCAGGAGAAAAGGTGGGCCTGTTTCCGATGGCGCGGTGGAGATGTTCATTGACCGCATACTGGTATCGCATGGACTCGGTATAGGCTTTCTGCTGCTCGAGAAGCTCGGCTGCCACCCGTTTCTTTTCGTTTTCTCTCCAGGCTAGCAAATGGATCAATAAGCGGTCAATTGATCCGTGGCACGGACATACCTAGAGTTGCACAAAGAAGCGCTAATGATTTTCCGGATCCTGAAAATGTCAAATACAATGAGATGACAGATAAACAAACAAGGTGTATAAAAATCACTCACCTGTAGGGCTTTCTAACAGTGCATTTTCTGACCGCTGTAGAGCACGAACAATCTAAGGTATAACCAGAGGGATTAGCGCAAGTATAAAATCAAGCTCTATTTCGGATCGCAGACATACCCCAAGCATCATGCGTACTTGCGAAGGATCTACGTTTACATGAGTATTTTCAAATCATCACTGAGGGTCCACGAATTTCACATACAAGCTTCAAATGGAAAGTCGATCTCTACGCCGTTCATGGGGTATCGTTTCCTTGACGAAATCAAGGCAGGGTCCACATTGGACGAGGAGGATGAGGTGTCATTGGATGTTTGTGCAAAGTTCAAGAAAGGATGCGCAAGCGTTTTTTCACGCTTCGATTCTTCGTTGCCTGAAGTGAATGTAGACGGCAGCTTTCGGGATCGTGTCATTGCATAAGAAGTCCTGGACTGGGTTCGAAGCCATTTCCGAAGCTTCAAGGCGCAGTTAACATTGACAGCAGTCACCCACTCGCGCGAGCTGGTGTTTTCTTAGCCGTCGCGGACCAGGTTGGCCATATTTTATTGCCAACGTCTACTTGACTGTTTGAGCTTAAAGCTTGAGGCTCCAGTTTACATAAGGAATTTGAATAATCTCAAGCTTTAAAAGAAAGATCAGTTCTGCCCTGCCAGCACTGTATACCCGTTCGTGACGCGTCCGGCACTTTGTGCCTGAAACCGCAGCAAGAACGAGAAGCAACGCCACAGACATTTGTTCGTAGCCTATATTTAGGTTCACACAGAATAGCAAAAACTTACACAGCAATCCTATTAATGAATCTTTTGTTTATTATGGGATGGTGGAAAAATAATCAAATATATCGCTATTTGCCTGAACCAAGTACAGGTTTTTGTTTCGCCAGACAAGAGCTTTTAAACTGGCATCATATGAATGTTTGAACGATACCATCCAGTGTTGATTGAGATGATCAATATTATAAGGTTCTGGGACACGTATGGTATAAAGCAACAGGATGATTATGCTATGCCTATTTTCTTTTTGTGGCGAAATATGCTGGCAAGCAGGCTGTAAGTGTCTTACAGGATAAATACCGTACACCTGCTTGTCATGAAAAAGGAATCCTTTCTCCCAGATTCTGCAGAGGACAGTTACATGGCAAACTAGCGCATCTTGAAATCATGCTAAATAAAAGTAGCAGGTGGGCGCTTCCAATCAGCATATCCTGAGCTGTGACTCAATTAGGAAATTCATGTCTTATTTCGCGGTCTGACCTGGCAATTGTTCACCACGCTTTCTTCATGATCTATTCTTTGTACATTATCAACAAGGCTGGTGGTTTAGTATATCAGAAAGACTTTGCCGACCAATTAGAGAAACTCTCCAGCAATGAATACCTAGTTCTTGCAGGCACATTTCACGGGTAAACCATCTCTCGTTTTGCTGTTGTGTGTGGGCACGACAATGGGTTTTCTCATCACTGTTCTATAGTGTGCACGCCATCACTTCAAAGATTTCTCCTGTCCACAACTCTTCAGGTATTGAAATGTTGGAAGCCGATAAATTTAGACTTTATTGCTTTCAGACACTGACAGGTAAGTACAAGGGGTGAGGAGGTTTTCTGTGCCTGTGTAAATTCACACTGAAAATTTAGGCACCAAGTTTTTACTCATAACTTCACCACAACAACTTAACGTGGACCCTTACATGAAACGTATCTACGACCTTTACAGTGACTTTGTCATGAAGAATCCCTTTCATACCCTCGAAATGCCCATTCGATCCGAACAATTCGACCAGACATTACTCAAATTCATTAAAGGAATCAATGGGTCATAACTCCAATAAAAAAAAGGAATCCCAACCAACCACCGCGAACCTCGACGTTGGTGCTTAGCGTTTGCGCTACAAATAAGAACACCCTCATTTATCCCATGCAAAAAGTTTATCCTGCCTTGAAGAAGATACAGCTGACAACTGCCAACTGAAACAGAGGGTTCATTCGAGTTGAGAAATATTTATATTTTTGGATTGATTGGTTGAAAATGAAAATGAAGAGAAAAGAAAAAGGCCATACAGCGTATTCTACTATGAGACAAGCGAGTTAACATCAGGATACCGAGTGCACGAATTAAAGTGATAATATCCTACCATGTTACAAGTCTAGATAGTATGAGGGTTGGAGTGGAAAGGCGACCAAATACCGCGAACACTTTCGGTGGTGGAGATGACAGGTTTCTTTGCCAAGTTCTTCATCTTTTCCCCGCTAGAATCGCGCAAAAGACTCACTTTCTTTGAGATTTCGTTGGGTTGCATATTTCGAGCGCAAATCACTTTATCGCGACCATTCACTATGGAGCAACGAATGGTAGATTAGTTGACCGTACTAAGCCGAGGCAAGTGGTGAAGAATACATACGATAATAGCCACGAATGACGGGGTGATGTCCGGGTCTGGGTTGAACGACAATTTCGATTTGAGGATGTTCTCGTGCAAAGTTGGCCAGATCCTTTTTAATGTATTGACTGCAAGAGATCCTTTTGGGTTAATACCAACTATTTATAAAACCCCCTTTCGGTTATATTACTTACATCATGCCCTTGTTGCTCGCCCAGTGTTCACAATAGTTGAACACCATTTTGCGACATTGAAGAATAAATGCACCTGTGCCATTGCTTGGCTTGGGCACCAGTTTTTGGGCTAGCGCAGACATTGTTTGTATTCAAAGATGATTTAGGGCCATCCTTGTTTTTCCGCCCTCTTGGACAAACTGTCCAACCTTGTGACGTGTTTGTGACTTGTTTCACCGAAGCTTGGGATTCTCTGCAATTCCTTTTTTTTTTTTTTTTTTTTTTTTTTTTTTTTGGTTGGAACGATCGAAGAATCCCGTCCTAGAATAACTGGATCCCATCATGTAAGAAGAAGCGGAAGAAGACGGCGTCATTGAATGCGAATGACTGATCATGATTTTACAGGTCACGATTGATTGTGAAAAATTTACCCAAAGATCTTACAGAGGAAAAGTTCCGTGAGCATTTCGCCAAGAAAGGCGAAGTAACCGATGCCAAGCTGATGCGTACTCAGTAAGTGTGACATGCATATACTGTTGGCAGAATCTCGGGTAGCTGAGTCTTTTTTTCCAGATATGGCAGTTCGCGTCGCTTTGGCTTTATTGGTTATCGTACTGAAAAGGCCGCTTATGCTGCCATGAAGCATTTCAACGATACTTATATTAACATGTCCAAGATCACAGTGGAAAAGGCCATTCCTGTAAGTGATTTAGACACATTTGGAAAGAGTGAGGTCTTAAACATGGTATTTTAGTATGGATCGGAAGCTTTGCCTCGACCATGGAGTCGATATACGGAAGGATCTTCAGCGAACGAACGCATGACGGGTGCAACGTCCAATAAAGGGGAGCAGTTTGCTGTGGAAGAGACGGACGCTTTTAGGGAACGACAGAACAAGAAGGACGAATTTATCAACTCACTTCGTCCTGAAGACAAGGATTCAAAGTTGAAAGAGTACCTGCAAGTGATGACTTCCCGAACAAAGAGCAAAACCTGGGCCAACGACGATGTGAATGCGAACGAGACGTCTGTCAAGGCGAAAGTAAAGACGGCGGCTGTGGCCAATCGAAAGACCGGTGGTGCTGGTCAATTGTTAACGAAAACCCACGTGACGTTTGAGGATTCAGACGATGAGTTGTATGAAGATTTACCCGCCCAAAAACCAAAAGATACCACCGATAATGATGGGGACTCGGAAGAGGAAGAGGAGGCGGAAGTTGAAGATGAAGAAATGGCAGAAGCTGGTACGGAAGAAGATGAAGAAATCGGAGCGGTGACGGATATGGAGACGAACAATGGATTGGACCAAGAACCGTCCGAGGAAAATGCAGAAAACAAGGATACCCCGATCCCTGAGAAGAAAGAAGAAGTGATTTCGGATCCAAAAATGCTAATTGAGGATACGGGGCGTCTCTTTGTGCGTAATTTATCATATGCTTGCACTGAGAAGGACTTGAAAACACTTTTCTCCAAATATGGACCGTTATCCGAGGTAGGACAAACACTTCAACGGTTGGACTGCAATGTGCAACAATCGACTGATATCAGCCCACTTGTTATAGGTTCACATGCCGATCGCAAAGGATACTAAACGGTCCAAAGGTTACGCCTACATACTGTTTCTCATGCCTGAACATGCGGTGAAAGCATTTGAAGACTTGGATATGAAGACCTTCCAAGGAAGATTATTACACATCATTCCCGCCAAAGAAAAACCGCAACCGCGTGAAGACGAACTTCTCGGTCCCAATGGCACCAAACTGAGTTCTGTCAAGAAGGAAAAAGAGAAGAAGCGAAAAGATTTGGCCGCCAGTGACTTTAATTGGAATTCTCTGTATATGAGTGTAAGTATTTGGCTGATTTTCCCTGTTATAGTTATCGTGTCTCATGCGAAATGGGCTGTGTGTCTGTGTGTGATTGTGGTGTTTTATCTGTATCATGGATCTGATCATCTATTCTGTTTTTGAATAGAGCGATGCCATTGCTGCGTCGATTGCTGACCGTTTGGGAGTGGAAAAGTCCGATGTGCTGAATGCTGATGCCAATAATATGGCCGTACGATTGGCGTTGGCTGAAACCCAGATTGTGACGGAAACAAAAGAATTTTTTGAAAAGAATGGCATTATTCTGGAGAATTTTGGCAAGAAAGAGCGCAGCGATACTGTGATCTTGGTGAAGAACATTCCTTTTGGTACCAGCGAAGATGAACTTCGTCAACTGTTTGGTAAATTCGGTGAATTGGGTCGAGTAAGTATAATGACAGATAAAGTCGTGGGAATTTGTCGTCTTAATGATGTTACTTTTTCCAGGTTCTTATTCCTCCTGCTCGCACCATGGCGGTGGTAGAGTTCCTAGAGCCTACCGAAGGTCGTACCGCTTTCAAGGCATTGGCCTATCGACGATTCAAAGATACATTGATCTACCTCGAGAAAGCGCCCACTGGCGTTTTCCGCGATAAATTTGATCGTGATCTGCTCAAGAAGAAAGAAACAGAAGAAACACCCAAGATCCGTAGCGGTGTGGATCTTATTGACACGGCCAAAGAAGACGAAGATTTGTCGGACGTTTCCACCTTGTTTGTCAAGAATCTCAATTTCGCTAGCACACCCGAAGATTTACGCCGAGTGTTTGCGTCTCTGGAAGGCTATAGATCATCGCGTATCAATGTCAAGCCCGATCCCAAGCACCCAGGCAAGACGTTGAGCATGGGCTTTGGTTTCGTCGAATTCAGTACCAAGGACAATGCCGAAAAGGCACTCAAAGCGATGCAAGGGTACATGTTGGACGGACATGCCTTGGAACTCAAATTCTCTCATCACAAATCAGATACCGGTAAAGCCGGAGCCCAGAAAGCGGAAGGTACCAAATTGGTGGTGCGCAACGTTCCTTTCGAAGCAACCTCCAAAGATCTGCGCGAACTATTCGGTACTTATGGTCAGTTGAAATCGCTTCGATTGCCCAAAAAATTCAATGGCGGTCATCGTGGTTTTGCTTTCCTTGATTTCATGACCAAGCAAGAAGCCAAGAACGTGTTTGACAATATGGCCAGTATCCATTTGTACGGTCGACATTTGGTACTGGAGTGGGCCAAGGAGGAAGATGATATCGAGTCCCTGAGACAAAAGACAGGCAAAAACTACGCCAAGGAGGAAAACTTTGGTGGTCGACTGACCAAGCGCAGCAAGGTGGACTTGGATGATGAGGGCAACGACGACATGTTAGAGTAGTGGAGCTTTTTTTTTTCTTTCCTTTTTCTATAATTTTCATTCTACCCTTTTTACTATTGCATCTGTTTTATTTTAGCATTTCTCTATAGAAGCAAACACCGGCATTTCTTTTTTTGGTTTTCACCTTCAAATCGAGTGATGAACTGCCTTTGAAAATTGTGATGGAACCGGACAGTGGGAATTTGTATGATGATAACTCCGTTTCTCCACGTGTCTTTTGAGGCTACCATGTTTTTCATGGGGGCCGTGGAAGTTTTTTTCCGATGTCGGAAATAACGCGTTTAGCTAGGCCATTAACCGCGGTGGTGCCAGGTTTTTGGATAAGTATCGTCTGTGATTGAATTAAGGTGGTGCAATGGACGCACGGGTCAAAAAAATTGGAAAAAAAATGTTAAAATTGAGAGCACGATCTTCCAAACAAAGAGGGAATTCCTATCATCTACTGATTGTCGTCTATTTGTTCTTCCTGATTTTTATTTTTGTGCTTCCTTTTGTCTGAGCGCTTTTTTTTGCCTTTCTTTATCTGCCTTGCCTTTCTTTGAGAGCCTTTCGGCGCTCACTAGAATTCCTTCTGTCAATATGCGCTCCAATACCAAGTTGATACTGACCCTTATCAACCGTATCGCTCGCCAGGTACCGTGACTCAAACCCGCCACGGTCGCCTCATGTCGAATTGGTCATGGCTGACCATCCTTTTTCGTAGCTTCCTAATCACAGTGGACGATCTTTGGAGAATCTCGAGCAAGATCCTATTGTGCAACAAACGGGTATCTCTCAACTAGACATCAACCAAAAAAAAAATAAGGGTCTTAAAAATAATATACTGATCTAAACAAACCATGCAATTTTTAGTGGCGGCTATTATTGAACTTTCTACTTACAAATTATCGACCATTGCAAATGCTCTCGGGACTGTTCTAGAAGACACAGCCAAAGTACGTACCTGATTATTTTTTCAAGGATCAGTGATTTGACCCACTCAGATATCAATTATCATCGGCAGCCCACTCATCCCAACGGTCCTGGTATCCCCTCTGTGCGCGTGGATACACTGCAATCACAGTTATTTATTTTGCGTCTGTTGGCGGCATGCATGCAGCATCACTGGAAAGTCTATCACGAAAAATCCATCAGTCCTCACTTTCATGAATCGCATCCAATTGATCCCCAATTCTCCACGCTGCCGAACGAGATGTATTCGTTGAACGATGCCATGTCACAAACAAGCGATATAGTCGTGCCTGCTTTGGACGAAGCGCTCGTTTCCTTTGTGTTGGTCTTGATGGTCCAATTGCTTCATCAGAGTCACGCTATCAGCCATGGCGATCAACGTTATGGATTTGCGTCTTCTACTGGCAGCAATGGATCGCTTGAAAGGACTCCTACGATAGCTACGCGTTTTCCCGACCCATATGCCAAAGAATTGGCCACGGAGATCTACAGAACAACGGGTAGAATATTGTACTACGTGAGTGCGAGCAACTGGAACACCTATTATGGCAGAATCAAAGAGGCAGTACAATTTCTTGGTACAACCAATGACATGGGGGATATTACTATACCCGAATTGCGATTGCTCGAATGCAGCTGTCTGACACGTCAACGACTTCACACCGTATTGTCAGGTATGAAAAAATGACACGCCGTCTCCTCCCTTGTTTGATCCACGGCTGTCAATCCCATTCTATGATTTTTTGTCTGCCACAGCTAATAATGATTTTGGTTTCTCCACAGAATTAAGCCCTCATTTTCTGCATATGAAGTTTGGGGCAAAGCTGCAATTTTCACACATGATACGCAAAGCGATCTGGAAATGGATCGAATGTTATCCGAGTGAATTTGCTGAAGTGTGCAATAGCGAAAAACGACTCCTGGGAGGATCAGAACTGTTGTTTGACATGTGTAGCTCCGCCGCAGACAATACAAAAAATAAGACCATTTTGTGGCCATTACAAACTATATTGCTTGTGTTATCACCCGATTTATTATTGCAAGCATTTTTGGACAAACCGTCGGCGCCAAATAATCGCAGGGTAAGCTGCACTGTAGATCCCTTTTTTTATTTTTTATTTTTGGTGATGCCTGATTGGTACCAATGAAATGACAGGCGCTAACATTGGTCATGCCTCAGACCGCCTTTTTAGGAACTTTGAGAACATCGTTACGCAGTTCTAGAGCCCCAGAAATTGCGGCTGTTTGTTATGTCGATCTATGTAAAGCGGCCACTTACGTTCCTCCCACGGAAGATTCAGTGCTACGACATATCGCTGCAGATATTGCTGATGATCTGCGCGACAAGCTTTGGACCGTGATGCGCCCCACACTTGTGGATCCATTGCCGAATTCAGGATACCCCATCGATCAGCCCACACTTTTGACCGATTACCTCGTGGCCATGTTACGACTAAATCCTAGCAACACATTGCAAGCATGTTTATCGATCTGTTATGATCGAAAAGCGGCCATGATGGACAAACAAGCGCTTATTAAAGCGTGTCTTGTACTTGCTCAAGACGATCAGCGTTTGCCGTGGAATCCTTCGTTCAATTCAATGTACGCATCGCTTTCTCCCGGGATCCGTAGCTTATTCGCCGACACGGTGACGCTGGAAATAGGAAACGATGTCAATGGGTTGACATCAACACCAATCAACGGCTCGGAAACCCACGGTCGAGCGGAGTTAATGCACGATATATTGCGCCTGTTCCGAACCAACCCTAATCTGGCCTTGTCGGTAATACATTTTTTCTGGACCCTATACTTGGTATCACACAAACTAACCGAGCATGGAATAGAATCATGAGACTAATTCTGTCGAGGAAAACATCAAATGCATGAAATACATTACTAAGCTTCTTCAGCATGGCGATAAACGGATTAGTTTGGCCGCAGGCGAGTGTCTTGTGAAACTCCATGGTTCATGCTATATTGAGCATTGGGGCACCGCCCAATCCTTGATGACCAATTTCTGGAGAATTTCTTCTTCCGTCGTCTACGCGATTGCGCGACAGATCCTCGAGTACAGCCAAAATGAAGATCGTCTCAAATCCCGACTTCTCTTACTCATCAAAGTCTTTACCGCACGCGGTGACTTTATGAAAAAGGGCCATCAGGTAACCCCTTATTTTACCCTTCCCCCTCCCCGCTTTCTTTTTTTTTCTCTTGTTTTCCATGGCTAGATGCTTTTTTAGAAACCAAGACTAACTGCATTTTTTTTTGTCGAAAAAGAATACTGCAGCGGAAGGCGCCGATGTGAAGGAACGATTACAGGCGTGTGTCGCACTTGAAGTGGCTCTGCTGGTGTCACTGTGTTCGTCCGACGTGGATATTTGTACTGCGTCTTTGCGCTGTATCAATTATCTCTGTGCCGAAACGCGTCTGGCCGATGAAGAAGGCGATCCTCAGCTAAGACAGATCACCCTGATCAGTAACATATCCATCTATGAAGACCTGTCCTCCGACAATCCCATGGTGTTCCTGGGACGAAAAGCACAGCAAAAACGGATCTGGAAACATTTGCGAATGATTGTTCACAGCACACCCGGCAATTTAGCGGCCTGGGAGGAAGCATGGAATCGGTGGAGCGCGCTCACACCGTTACTGTCTCGATCCAATAAAAAAGCCATTGAGGAATGGGTGGAAAAAAATGGCAACAAGGCGACACGTCAACGCAATCGTGCTCCACCACCGATCGCCATTATCGCAAATAAAGCCACCACCGATATCAATGACGAACAATCTATTGCGTGGCACAATTATACCGGTTTTTTGGCAGCCTTGGGCGGTTGCTGTATCGATACTGAAGAAGAAGGCGATACGAAACGGAACAAACGATCGAGTCGCGTGCTGCCGGCCAGCCAGCCTTTACTCATGGTCGACCAATATCTCAGAGAAATGGTGGAACTGCTCACATCGGACAACATCTTTGTTCGTGAATCCGTCAAAGATACCTTGGGTGGCGACTTGTCACCTAGATTATATCCTATTTTATTCAAGCACCTGGAAAACGGCATGATGCATTGCTTCGATTCCGTTGGCGAAGCGCTTCCTACTCCTCAAAACAGTCTTTTCGTTGAACAAGCAGTACTTGTTCTCAAGTTAATATTGATCCGAATGAACGATACCACAGATTGCCTCCTAAATGTGGATTACGGCTCACTGATCCAGCTCTACGCCAACTATCTCAACAAACTTTCCAATGATTATACCTCCTTAAGCATCAAGATACGAATGTGTCGTCTTATCCATGCAGCAATGACCAAACGTGACCAAATTGTCATCTCCAACGAAATCCGACTTCGCAACAAACTATTAGGAATTGTGGCTGAATGGACCAGTGATTTTAAGCTGGTACGTGTACGATTCGTGTGTTTGAACAATAGAGAGCCCTTTTATTCACATAGGTCTCTCTAGAAACCCGGAAAGAACGCTACGGTTCAAGATGAGCAGCTTCACCAAGACCTCGATTTACTGTGCTTGAAGGCCATGGTGGGTCTGTTGTATCAATTACCGCTCCAGCCCCCAGATTCCGTTCGACAAGCCGATATTCAACAAGCCAAGGGTCGATTGTTTTACAAATATTTCAGCTACCTTTCGAATTTGTTAAATCGCTGCCGTATGACAGAGGTAAAACGCCTTTGGAAAGAAATGCCGCAAATAATTAGGATCGACAAATAATGATGGATATGTCTTCACAGAGTGACACAGCAAGCAACTATTCTCTCCCACGAACACCTAGTACGGAAGCATCCATTACGTCAAAGGTAAGCCATCTTCTTTTACCATGGCTACAAGTGACTCATCATCCGAAACCATTTGTAGGAAACTTATCAAGATTGGACATCGATGAAAGAGCTGACTATTCTTGCCATGTCGAACCTTCTCAGCGCCAACGTAGAGACGGGCTTGAAGTATTCCTTTGCCATGGGTTATCACGAAGATCCACAGACCCGCACCGCTTTTATTCAAGTGCTTACCAATATTCTCAACCAAGGCACCGAGTTTGAAACCCTGGCCGAGAATGTCACCTCCGATCGTTATGAAAAGCTAGTCGATGTAGGCATGAATTTCATTTTTTTGACATGTGAAACGGTATGGATTACTTACCTGTTGTTTTCTGTTATGTGCATAAGATGCTGGTGGATTCGGATTTGGAAATTGCCATGTCTTTATGTGATGTGTGTCCTTCGAGCGAGATAGCCGCCATTGCCGAGGTGCTTCTTCTCGCCTTTGAATCACGTAACAAAGCCATGCAGTTGCTCAAAGCGCTGATTGAACGTGAAGTGAGCTCCACCGGTAAGTAATTTTCTTTTTAATTTTTTGCTGGCTTGGCGTACTGACTATCCCAATGCATCCTAAAAATGGTTACATTAGAATACGAACCTACCTTGTTTCGAAGTACCACCATTGCAACGCGCGTGCTGTCCATTTTCGCCAAGACCACTTGTAATAGCTATATCCGTACGACCTTGCTTCCTGCTATGGAGAAAATCAACCAACTGGACGACGAAATGTTAACGTGGCAACTGGATCCACAAAAACTGACTTACGAAGATGATGTACTGCGGAATAAGGATAACGTGATTCGCGCCACGGAGATTCTCCTCGATGCCATTTGCTCGTCGGCATCGGAAGCACCAAGGTGAGCATCGCCCTCTGTGACACCTAATAATCCTAAGCTGACGCATGGTTGTTTATTAAAAAGAGAGTTCCGTGAAGAGTTGTCCCTGATTTCCGATGCTGTCTCGATTCGATATCCGGAAGCCAAGTACATTGCCGTGGGCAGTTTTGTGTTCTTGCGGCTCTTCAGCCCTGCCATTCTGACGCCGGAAAACATTGGATTCCCGAAAAAAGCCTTACCGCGAAGCAACGATGTGCGTCGACTTTTACTACAAGCCACGCGTGTCATGCAGAATCTCGCCAACAATGTGTTGTTTGGTGCAAAGGAGACCCATATGATCATCCTCAACGATTTCCTTACCGAGAATCTGTACAAAATCACTAACTTCCTGCGAGAAATATCCACCTGTCCACCGGCGGGCCAGGGACAGATCACCAAAGCCACGGTAGAAATGGATCAAAATGCCTACGTGCGTCTACACTGTTTTCTGGCCGAAAATTTGGAACGAATGTCTCGCGATCTCAGCACGCGCAAACTGAAAAGCTCGAGAGATACTCAATCGTTGTTGGAATGGAAGAAAACGCTTGATCGTCTGTCGAATCTCCTGGGACAGCTTGGAAGACCGTCCGATATTCCCCTGACTGATCTCTCCTCATCACGTCACACCGCGGTTAGTCACGGCAATCAAAATTATCGAGAGTTTATGCATCGCAACAGCCATCGAGACCTGTCGCAGATTAGGGCCCAGAATATCTTTTTTGAAGGCGGCGTCTCACGCGGCGGAAGACCGGTGTTTTATCTAATCTCGCGCCACATTCACGCAGACAGTATGGATTTTGAATTGTTGGTCTACTATATGATCCGCGTAAGTCGTCACCGATGCTGCCTTGCACACAGTACAAAGAAAACTAAAATGTTATTTCTGGCTAGGTTATGGAGCCGTCTTTGGACAGTCCGTTTGAGCTGCTGTTCGATTTGACATTGTTCACCACCGACTGCGCCATTCCAGCTCACTGGTTTACCTTGTTTTTCCAGCTGATTCTCAGTGAAATGAACGATCATCTGACCCATCTTCACCTCTTCAACTCCAATTCGTACCTTCTTCGCTTCTTTGGTGCATTGCCGCAGGCCATTGCCAACAAATTTGTGAAACGCACCTTATTCTCGGGATCGTTGCAAGAACTGTACGAGCGGATTGCTCCTTCCGAAGTGTCCTTGCCAAAGTCTACATGTAAGAATGATAAGAAAGATGAAAACTAGTTGACGCGTTCACGGTATTTATTCGCTGCTTCGATACAGTTGATATTGAGCGAGAACAGAGCATTGTTTTTTCACCGGTGATGAAGCGTGTTCAGCTGAAATCGTCTGTTCCGGTCGTCGTAAAAATCGGCAATGAACATGTGCAAGTGATTACTGTAAGTTATGGATCCATCGCCTTAGTGTTTTTATTCAAAGGATGCTCACTCTTATACCATTCAGGTGCGAAAACAAGAGCTTAGCTACAACTTTAGTGCCGTCATGAAGGATATCTATCGGATTGAAGACATCGAAGATATTATTTCCATGTCATCTCCGAAGCATGATAATGGTGCCGGAGGCGAGTTGATGATTCGTTGTGAACATGGTAAAGCATCGGTTATTCTCAGTAGCTCCAAACGAGACGCCATGGTGAACGTAAGTGAACTGGATTATAATAGCATTAAAGATAACCGGCGGCCTAACAGACAAGTCATATTCAGCTACTTCGATACAATAAGCAGCGTTGCGATTCTCTGAAACCCAATGCGATTCATGAGCAATCCATCCGTCCTGGCGATGTGCCCGGTCGACTGCTCAATATGGCCCTTTTGAATATCAGTAGCCGAGATCCTAGTTTGCGACTGGCCGCTTATAATTTGCTTTACTCTTTAAGCTTGGCCTTTCATTTCGATGTAGAGGGCCAGTTACTGACGGTGAAAGGTACATAGAATGGATGGTAAAAACTAAACCGTTCAAATGACGGGATACTAAACACTTCTCTTCTTCAGATTTATGTATACCATTCAACAGCATGGATTTCGTCGTCGGCATCAGCGAGAGTCTAGCCGCCACGGAAATCCCCTTGACGCTTGAATTCCTCCATGAGTGCTTGATTGGCATTTCCAAATCCAGCGAGTCGATGCAATTGCTATGTTTGCATTATATGGCACCCTGGCTGCGTAATCTTGGCATCTTTACCCAGACCCCTTATGAGCGGAATAAGCATATGGCCAAAATCAAAGAAATGCTGCGAATGTTCATGGACCTGACAGTCAACCATCCAAAGGTAAGAATTCATGACCATGTTGCTTTGTAATGATCGAAGAGATTGACAAGATGTGGTTAGATGTATCGAAATATTCAGGAGAAAATCTGGAAAAAGCTGGGTCGCATTGAAACAATGACCGATCTGCTTTTAGACGCTCTCATCGATTACTCCATCGAATCCGGTATTGGCACGGCTCATGCGGAAGTCATGGCGGACACCGTGGTCACTATATCCGGTGTTTACGTTCGTGGCAAACTAATCAATCGCATGCGCAAAGTAAGTTGTGTAAAAAACGACTTCTCTTCACTTCACTTCGAAACGAACTTACCATTAATTTAATCAATGGTTACGTAGGTTCTGCGACAGACATCGATATCTCCATGCATCAATATGAGCGACCACTCCACGTGGCCCCAGATTGCAATCTTGCTAAGATTCTTACTCATGGTCTCGTTCAACAACATTGGCTCGATCAAACTCTATCTGCCGGAATTATTTCATATTATTATTCTGCTCATTTCCACTGGTCCAACCTTTACGCGTTCTTCGGTGCATGAATTGACTGTAAATGTCATTCACACGCTGTGCACGCAGATGCCTCTGTCGCAGGACAACATGAAGAAATTGCAGTTGGTCTTGCACGAACTCTGTGGTAGCAAATGCAGGATTGCGTTTGGTCTCACCAAGCATCATGCCAGTGCGTTCACGATCAACAACGAAACATTGGCTGACAGTGCCAACTCGGTGAATCTAAATTCCATTCAGTACGTGACTTCCCTGCTCCTTGAAGCCATGGAGTATGGCGCATCCACACGAGGTAGGCTAGAAACAAGCACAAAAACGTCACAACAGCCATCAATAATAGCTGAACGACAAAATGATAGACATCGCCAACACTTGGAAAGCGCGGTGGATGGGGTTGGTAGCCAGCACGGCATTTCATTTTAACCCTGCGGTTCAGCCACGAACATTTGTCGTCTTGGGTTGCTTGGCTCGCGAAGAGACCGATGATGACTTGGTGTATCAAATCCTGACGGCTTTGCGAGGAGCTTTGGCCGTATTTGACGAAAATGACGCCACGCTCATCAACAGTATCATGATGTGTCTAAGCAATGTCATCAACAGCCTTCCCATGGATTCCATGTACCTGAAATCGTTATTCTGGCTCGCCATTGGGCTTGTGCAAATGGACCATGCAGCGATCTTTGCCGATGCGGTAAAATTTTTGCAAGCGGTTCTGCGAGCCCTGGATTCCCGTAAAATGTTTATTCACGCCTCAGTGGTGGATGTGTTGATGTCGACGCGTGTTCCTTTTGCTGACATTGCTTTGGAACTCGACGCGGCGTGCGGCGTGAGTTTTGAGAGCCACTTTTCATTTGCAGTGGCTGGTATCCTTTTGAAGGGGCTGAATACGTGCGAACCTCGAGACATTGTATTGCAGTGTCTTACGACTTTTCTGGAAATCGATTTGCAACGCACAAGCACTCCGGGACTGGTGGATGCGCAAACGCTAGGCTATGTAGCCGGTTTACTACCTGCCGCGGCGAAAGAAGGCAATTTACGGAAATTGCTTCGACTGGCCGGGTTATCAGACATTGATCTGGATCAAATGGAATTCAGCATCCCCTATGTTCCGCTGTTTGACGTATTCTACATCCCCGACAACATCACAGCCCTTTTACTGGTGTCACTGCTCGTCATGATGCTCGGTTCCATGGACAGTGAAGCGGAACGCGTCTTTTTATACAGCTTTTTGGCCGAAGCCGCTTCCTCCATTCCAGAGGTTTTCTCATTGGTGTAAGTTGAAGAAGAAGAAAAGTTTGGTGATAACTGTCGGTGACACTCATTCTTTTTTTTTCTTCTTTTGTCTAGGTATGAACCATTACTTTCGAAAGTGAATCAAGTCGTCAGTAGCAGTCAGAACGGTATTGTCATTGAAGCGGTGAAAAATATCATGATGATCGCATGCTACGAACCGGCATTTGATTTGCGACAGAGCCGCCATGGTCAAGCCGCGTACCTGGAAGAACTCGGGTTCGCTTCCTTTAGCGATCCTTCTTTTGGCATGTCCAATTCCTCCAAGAGCAGCAATGCACCATTAGTTATTAAATTACTAGAACGTATTCTTGAATAGACTAGAATCATTATAATAGTTTCTTATCTCATGCCATTATTCTCATTTTTTCATTTCTACTAGCATAGATTACTCATCATTTTTTTTTCATGCCTGTGATATCCGACGAATTTCACAGAATAAAATCATATCATGCCTTTGATGGATAGGTGGCAGAATTATTTGGTAAAACCAACAAAAAATAGATCGGTTCTTCCACGAGCAAAGCGAAAGATACTGTAAAAGATGGAAAATCAAAAGACAGAACGTGTGTTTAAGTAGATGGTATGTATCAGGTTATGGGGCAGGATTATTTCCTCTTGGCATCCTCTGCTGAGAATTTAAACGGCCCGCAGTAGGATTGGGATTGGAGTGTTGAGGTTGCGATTCACAGGAAATAGGTTTATCGGAAATAGCAAGGCTGGGGTCCCATTGATCGTCTTCTGTATCACTGACAATGGTAGAAGAAGCTTCACACAGCCGTCGATCCTCAGCCTCCTTTAACCGTCGTTGTCGCTCCCGTAATCGTTTGTAATAGCCATTTTTCTGTCGAGCTTTCATCAAGCCATTGCAAAAGATGTCATATTGGCAGAACAAGCAGATCCAGTCTTCAGGAAGCGCACTTCGTATCATGGATAGATCGGATGCCCAGAGATCCGTTGACAGCAACGATGGTGCTTCCTGTTCCTTTTTTCGCTGCCCCTTTTTACTCTTCTTTTTACTCGTGGATGAAGCGCTCATCTGAGATCCAGAAGCAGAGACGGACGTCTTGATATGTTGAGGATCCAATTCTTTTTCGCCTTGTTTGATACCTGGTTTGCCCTTTTTTCGTCTGGACGACTTTTTCTTCTTTGCACCTGTTTCCGTGGATCGAACCGCTTTCGATATTTCTGGTGATTGTGCAGGTGCATCAGCTATGATGGGGGAAGATGGCGCCTTGCTCTCGTTTCTCGTTGCATTGTGACCAAATTCGGTCGCCGTCGAACCACATGCATCATTCAAAGCGGACAACTGGTCCCAATTGGGTTGGATGGCAGGATCTAACGAAAACTCAAAATTGTGGTCCGGAAACGTCGCCTGAAGATTGGTTCTGAAACTGGTCCCCGGTCGATCATTTTCTGTCACTCTACACCATCGTTCGCGCTGCCGAGGCGTCGCAATCGGTAGTTCCTCTCGGTTTCTTTCATAGACTCGAGAGCATTTCAACTTTTTTGCGCTTTCCCTCGATCCCGCCTCATTTGGATGCGCAGATGAAAATGGATGCGATGCATCATGATCCATTGAAAATAATGATACTGATGGCTGCGATTCGTTGGAAGAAGGAATGTGAGCCTCACTGTCCTGCATCCAGGGTCCGTCATCAGCCGCCGTAGGATTGTCAGTCTGCGAAGCGGTTGCGGCAGGAAAATCCCACACCGAAAGATTAGAGTCAGTATTATCGGTTGGCGAGTTTTCTGAAGATACTTGATTGTCCAGGAATTCTTTAGATGATGTATCTGCGCTTTCGTCGGAACCTGCTGCTGCTTTCATGCCGGCGGTGGCGGTCTTTCGTTTCGAACGTTTCGTCGGAAGAGGCAGGATTTTGCGGTATTGCAATTGGATATATTTCGAATCGGGGAATACGCGTATAGGCAAATTGGGATCGTTGAAAGGTGGCGTTGCATCTTGGTCCACTCGGGAAGACGGCAAAGTGGTAGAGGCCAACGTTGAAGTGTCATTTGCGGAAGTGTGGTATACGTGGTTCCCCTCACTCGATGACGCCAGCTTGGCTGGAGGAGGAGGCATGCCCGCTACGGATGGCTGTTTGATACCGAGTGGAGCGGCATTTCTTATACCGTTAAAAAACTCTACAGAGGTTGGTGGAGGAAAAGAGAATTGAGAACGATGAAAAGCGATGAGTTGGCTGGTGGGCGTGTCTGTGGGCACAGGATGAGACTCCTTTGCCGATGCCGCCAGAGCCACTGGACTATCCGACGATGAGAGTGAGGTCGAAGCGGATGACAAGCTGGTGTCGTTGAATGTAAAGTTGAAAAGACTTGATAGCTGTTTTTCGTTATTTGAATCGACACGAGTCTCTCGTGGTTGCTCAGACACTTTGTGTGTCTTCATCAAGGAAATCAGTCCCTCCAAATCGGCACTGCCCGATGCTTGGCTATTCGACTCGGCAGAACTCAGACAGGGCGCTATGGAACAAAAAAACAATGTGTAAACATAGCTGGTGTAAATTGGGAAACACAGTTGAACTAAAAACGACATAATACCGGGATGTAAGGGTGCATGAGAGACGGAGATGGGCATGCTGGAAGGTGATGGACTGGTGCCGTGAGTGGTATTGGTTGGTGGAACAGTGCTGGCGCTGAAACCGAGGCTGGCGGGACGAATGAGGTTCAAAGGATGAGGAAAGGAATGCTCCTTGTTGTTATTGTTGTTGTTAAAATTGACGAGATGGCAGCCATTCCAGGGACGTTTGGAATGGGTATTTGTACTCATGCCTTGACCTCCAGGAAGGATTGCACGGGTAAGCCAGCCATCACATACATAGGAAGCACCTGACACACACACAAACACATACCAGAGACATCGTTATTATTGGGAAATACGGTTGGGTGGTCTTTATCTCTTGGTTTGATAAACGGGGCCATAATTTGTTACAACGGACACAGTGCTGACTCACTTGCATTCATTCTGTAAGCGGAAAAGGGGACTGCTCGGAACAATCACACCAAAAATGGTCATCCATCCTTTTCTCTCGCTTGCCTTTTCCAGTGCCTCAGTGTGAATCCGGGGAAAAACCCCTTTGGCCCGCCTCACACCTTTGTTTTTGCCTCTGGTGTACCGTTGCTGTCATACTTGATCAAACCTCATTGAACTACTATTTTATCGCCGTACGCCATAGTAAAACATGAACCATCATTATATGAATATCGCGTGCTCTTCCCTCTGATTCACTGCAAAATCCAAATACTTTGAACTTCCTCCGCGGGCGTCCCACTCCCCTCCCCTGGTCCGCTTTGATATCGTAATTGATGTGAAGGTTACGCTTTATTCACATGCACAAGGAATCGCCTTAGCACGCACCACAGTAGGTTTTTGTTATGTATAGAAGGATATTAGCTCAGCAGAAGTACGTTATTTACTTTGCCACACCGTCGCAAAACGTGGCCAATTCGACGTCCTTGGCTGAAAGTCCCTGACAGTCATGAGTCGACAACGTTACTTCCACTCGGTTATATACCTATCCAACATTAATGCCCTGATTGACATAGCCATATGATCATGTATATCCCAACTTACATTGAACCATTCCGGATGATGATCCATTTTGTCTGCTTTTAAGGCGACTCGGGACATGAAACCAAAGGCTTCATTGAAATCCTGGAACTGATACTTTTTGATGATAGCGTCGCGGTTGGTGACCATGGACCAGCCGGATGACAGCAAAGGCGCGAGGGATTCTTTTCTCTGTTCTTTGGTAAGGGTAGACATGAACAGTTTTCGGAAACAAGGATGAGGTTGGACACGAAGAGACAAAGAGAGAAATGGAGGCATGATGGCAGGGTTTTTATAAGGTTAAAGTTTCGCAATTGAAGGTGTGGGAAATTCTGTTCTCAAAATCCAATCACCGACATTTCGTAGTGACGTGGTTTTTCCGATTCAACTTTCTGGTTGAACAAGTTGATTTTGGAAAGTCATCCTCTACTCAACTTTACTCGTTAGATCATGGTATGACATTCAACCATCACAAACCATCAGCTATTATCAACGACTGACAATCTTGTGCTATTATTAGGATCGATTCAACATTAACAGTCAAATTGAACATTGTAAGCCTTGTCGTCCAAATGCCATACAATCTAGTCTTTCCGTTTCTTAACCCAATTATATCATTCGTTTAGTGCAATCCAAATATGTTGGTACTGGTCATGCCGATACCATCAAACAGTAAGTTTCGAGCGAAATATGATTATTTTATTTAACAATGAACTGACGGTGTTAACTGCAAATTCTAGTGAATGGATGACGAATCAACAAAGGGACAGCTACGCTTCTTACATTGGTCACAACTCTTTAATTTCATACTTTTCCGTGGCTGAAAACGAATGCAAAGCAAGAGTCAAACACAATATCTTGGAGGTACAGTATTATTTTAGTTGATCATTGTTGTTGTGTTGGGTTGATTCAACGTTTTCTCATTGATGAATCATGGTTATAGAAAATGTTGCAACCTTGCGGACCGCCACCTGTACGCGACGAACAATAGCTTTCCGATTTCGTTGGTATTCCTTGTAATCTATTCCTTGTAATCCGTTTATGCTCCTCTTTGTTTTTCATTATCTTGTTTCTTCATTTTTCATCTTTGGAAATAAGCTCAATATTGGGTTTAGTGCCTTTCTTCTTTCCTTCATTTTGCGTGTGAGGTATGACGATCTCGGGTTCTTCATCGTCATCGCTGTCAGAATCATTGTCGTCTCGCTTTTCTTCATAAACGCCCAATCCGAGATTCTAAAGGCACACAAGTTAGACATGTTCCAACTTGTTTTTCCTGTATGATCCACTCACCATTTCAATATATTGATCTTCTTCATTCACATTTTCAATGTCTAAATTGCTTGGATCAGTGTTTTCCAGTTCCTTATTGGCCGACTCCAGCTGCGGCAAAAATGCCTGTATCCGAGACAATACTGTGGTTTTTTTTTTTTTTTCATCCTTCGTTAAATACTGACGATGACATATCATGATGGTTCACACTTACAGTCGCTTGGTGCCTCTACTTTGTATGTTTTTCGCTCATTAGGTGGTGGTGGTGTTGGCAAGCTATCGGTGTCCATGGGTTCATTGTGCGTCTCTTGAGATTTCTTCTCCGCGAGCAATTTCGCTAATCACAAGTTTTTTGATCAGTCCCGGATCTTTGAGTTAGATTATGAGGTTGCCTTACCAATGGTCTTTTGTCGGCCTGGTATATTCAGTAATTCAGAGGAGTGAGTTCGTTTCTGGTCCATTGGGGCTCTTTTGTATAAGAAAGATCGTGAAGGGTAGACAAAACGTGGCTTTTTGAAGGCCAGAAAATGCAAGTGCATTTCAAGCAACGAAAATTTTCGCGGTCACTCCCACTTTCGGCTGCCTTTTCGTTTCGTCAAACCGCACTGCTTTGGGGGAAGGGAAAAAAAAAAAAAAGGGTTACTGATCTTAATACATTACGGACGTGCCAACTCTTTTATAATACAACATTATGGTGAAAGAACTGGATCCTAGCTTAAACGAAAGCGAATTTCTTTTGGAAGCCTTGCGTAAAGGTCACCGAGTCGACGGTCGTGCTGTTTACGACATGCGATTGATTGAACTGACATTTGGTTCGGATTACGGCCATGTCGAAATCCAACTGGGAAGAACAAGGTACGGATCAGTAATTGAAAAATGAATGCTTCTTGATTTTTTCGGATGGATTTATAAACTTTGGGTTTAGAGTGGCAGCACGAGTCACTGCTGAGGTGGTTCGACCGCGTCCCGACAAACCTACCGAAGGCATGTTGCTATTCAACACCGAAATATCACCCATGGCGTCTGCTTTATTTGACGCTGGCAGGTAAGCGATGGCTAAAAGGAACAACTCATTTCTAATAATGGAGCGATGACTAAAAACAAAAAAAAAACTCTTGAATAGCCGATCGGAAGAAGAAGTTCTTATTAGTCGTATCATTGAGAAAGCCATGCGTCGAAGCCGGGCCATTGATACGGAAGGTCTGTGTATTGTTGCCGGAGAAAAGGTAGGTTTATATTGTTCAAGGGATCATTGGTGGGACTGTTTCATTAAAAAAAATGCATCATTACAGGTCTGGAGCATTCGTGTGGATCTGCATTTCATGGATCACGATGGAAACCTGATCGACTGTGCATGCATAGCGGCTATTACCGCGCTGTTACACTTTAGACGACCGGATGTCACAGTTGTCGGTGAAGAAGTAACCATTGTAAGTGATTATTCAATGGGAAAGGATTGGTTGATTTTTCAATGCAAAATCGCTAATACTGAATATTTTTTTTTGCAGCATCCAGTCGATCAACGCAACCCGGTGCCGTTAAGTGTACATCATATACCTATCTGTGTCACATTTGGATTTTATGCGAACGGGTAATGATTTCTACATTGATGTTGGATACGTTGTTCCCCTTGTATTTGGCTAATAATATGGTTAGCGAGTTAATGGTGGTAGATCCCACCTATTTAGAAGAGCAAGTACAAGAAGGCAGCATGACTATTACAATGAATATACACAAGGAAATTTGCACGCTTTCAAAAGCGGGCGGTATTCCCTTGGAGATGGACCAAGTACTCCGATGTTCACAAGTGGCGCTTGTCAAGGTAACCGACGTCACCGAACAAATTCAAAAAGCCTTGGCCGATGATAAAGTAGCAAGGTAAGAAAAAAACCGATTCTATGAAATTTTATTGCCGTGATTCATTTTACATTTTCATTCATCCTGGACATTTTTGGTTTTTTTGTAGACAAGCGAGTCGAAAGTGAAAAAAAAAGGATCGAAATAGAAAAAAAGAGAAAAAAGCAGTCCCCTCACTCAGTGAGAAATAAAAGTCAATCGATGAAAGAGGAAAAATCCAGTCTCCGTTACAGTTTTCCCACGCATCTTTTTAAAGATAGCTCATTTTTGTTCTGCTTATCTTGTTTTTTCCTCTTCTTCTCTTAAACTATCCTTCTCGACTATTTATTCGCTTTTCGCTTTGCTCGTATGTCTCTATCCAATGATAACTTTATTGGCCTCACTAATTCGATGTCTGTTGATATATAGACGTATGCATAGAAAAGCCGCCTTGTCCTTACTTAGGACCGCCCAACGTTGTGTATCCGCCAAACCTCATCCCGTTTTTCTCACGGTAAGTCGCCTCAGTGTCCGATCGTGTCTCTCTCCGTATACTTACTGTCGGCAACCCAACTCTCACCAGGCAACGCGACCACTGACGTATGGAACATATCATGTTACAGCGCGAGGTCGCCCATGGAACCGTGAGCCCGACGTTTCCATGACACGTTCCCGAGGTTTTCATAGCTCTCGTCGTCATCAAACTGTCAAACCGTTTCTGCTGGCAGATATAGGAGAAGGCATCACCGAGTGTGAGGTCATTCAATGGTATGAATACGAATTTTCTGCGATTTGTTATGCAGAAACTAATGCCTGGTTTTCCCCAGGTTTGTGGAACCCGGGTCCACGGTCGCAGAATTCGACAAGATCTGTGAAGTTCAATCCGATAAAGCTTCGGTGGAGATCACTTCACGTTATTCTGGAAAAATCACCAAATTGCATCATCCAGTGAATGGTATGGCCAGAGTAGGCGAGCCCTTGGTTGACATTGACACCGAAGATGGAGACATGAATATGCCATCGGTGGATGATGCAAAGAGCCAGGCATCGTCTGTTTCGACCCCGAGCACTCCCACCACTCCTTCCAACAGCCGCACGTCAGGGTTCGCCATGCCGTCCGCTCAAAGGTTACTACAGATAAGAGGACTGGATGTCTCGCTTGTCAAGGGAACAGGTAAAGGAGGAAGGATCCTCAAGAGCGATGTTTTGGCGCATTTAGCTCAATCACCTGAACCACGTAAGTCCCGCAGGATGAAGAAGGCGAATGAGTGTGTGGATGGTTGATTGATTGGATTGTCTATATGTAGAAGCAAAACCACAAGAAACAGCAGCGCCGTCATCTGCAAGCTCGTCTGGTACGAGTGACGACTCGTCTACCCCTTTGACAATGATGCAAAAGGCCATGATCAAGTCAATGACGAAATCGCTGTCTATTCCCCATCTTGGTTACAAAGATGAAATTGAATTGGATGCTACCACCCAATACCGTGCGGCGCTCAATGATTACATCACGTCTCGTCCCAATGAATTTGCGTTCAAGAAGATGTCGTATTTGCCCATCTTCATCAAATGTCTTTCCATCGCCATGTCGCATTATCCTATCATCAATGCCACGATCCAGGGCAATGTGGAGGATGTCAACTCGGTTCGGATTGCCTACCGTCATGCGCACAATATTGGCGTCGCTATGGATACCCCCCAAGGTCTGGTTGTACCAAATATCAAGAATGTGCAGGACAAGACCATTTTTGAAGTGGCTGCAGAGCTCCATCGGTTGATGGAACTGGGTAAAAAGGGCGCCATCCCACTGGCAGATCTCAAGGAGGGAACCATTACTTTGAGTAATATTGGCGCGATCTCGGGTCTGTATGCCAACCCGGTGGTTGTTTCCTCAGAATTGGCCATTGTCGCACTCGGCAAGACACGTATATTACCACGCTACGATTCCATGGGCAATGTCGTGTCGCGACAGATTCTCCCCATCAGTTGGTCCGCTGATCATCGTGTCATTGACGGTGCTACCATTGCCCGTTTCGGAAACACTTGGAAGAGCCTCATAGAAAACCCGGCTATCCTTGCCAGTGAACTACGATAGATAGGATAGGCGTACCTTGTATAATTTCCACTAGATATAATATACTTCCGACTACAGTGCTATGAGAACAGATAGTACGCTTCATTAGAAATGCGACAGTAGAATTGGTATCCTCCCCAATTGTACTCTGTCGTAACACGTATGATGGCTCTGCTGCTTATTTAAAGATACCGGAAGACAGTTAATTTTTCCCCATATGTTTATTTTTCTTTCTATCATAGCAGAAAAGGCTTTGCTCAGCATTTCAGGCTTTTTTCTTCTTTTTGGTTGCATTTATACAATCGATACCCAGATTGATCTTGACGATACTTGTTTATTACATTTGCCCGCATTCTAAACATGGATTAGCCATCGAGGCTACGTTCAAGTTCGTTATGCACAATCTTACCTGTGATCTTGACAGACAACTTTGGACGGTTGTTGGGACCGGTCGACACATTTTCTGTAACAAAGAGTAGAAATTAGTACCTTTGCCATCGACCAGGGAAATCCATTGATCCACATACCAATTTTACGCAAGGTCAACAATCCGTCCACTAAACGACCAAAGACTACGTGTTTTCCATCCAAGAACTCACAGTTATCGCATGTAATGAAAAACTAGCAGCGAATTAGGTTCAGTCGCGGAAAAAAAACGATCACTCTATTGATATACACACCTGACATCCATTGGTGTTGGGTCCAGAATTTGCCTATATACAACAAATGAATAAACATACCAATAATCAATAAATACAAACACCAATGCGTACCATCGATAATAAACCGGCGCCAGTATGCTTCATCTCAAAGTTTTCGTCCTCGAATTTGTCACCGTAAATGCTCATAGACCCTGTGCCGTCACCCTGAAGACTCGCAGTGAGCGATCAAATTTGGCCACTCGTCATAAAAGAAATCCTACCTTGATGAAATCACCGCCTTGAACCATGAAATCTTTGATAACTCTGAAAAAGGGATTACGTTAATTACAGTGACCAATTATGCCACGTCGACATGACTACCGTACCTGTGGAACACACAATTTTTGTAGCCTTGAGGCACACCATTGCGTCTACATCATACGTTCAGGTAAGTCTCATCATATCAGCTATTAGAATCAAATGAACGGGAACCTACTTGTATTCTCCTGTGCATAATTGTCTGAAGCAAGAACAACAATGTGAGTATTGAATTGCATGTCAATGCCAGTTTTCAACAAATTGTTACCTGAAATTCTCGGCTGTTTTGGGAACAATATCTGAGAACAGTTCCATCTTCATTCGGCCGACGGGGACATCGCCAATGGAGATATCGAAAAAAACTACAGGTCGCTCTTGAGCCATGATCGATTAAGGGCCAAATGGAATATAGTCTATTCTCCCTTTCGATGAGCCGTCAATTGGCTGACCCGGATTTCAGCATTTTCTGGTTGTGACTGTTGTTATGCACCTGGAGTTTTCCCCCACCCCAAGGTTGAACACTCGCTTCTTGTCTGTTCCAAAGTACATATTACAGTGACCGCTATATTCTCCATCTAGTACTTTATTCACACAGCAAACTTGCATGTATGAAGGTAGCTTGTTTCTCTATTTCTCCAGAAAATAGCGTTTTCTCACCGTTTACCATTCGCTTCGAGTTAAATTGTCTCCTCAAAATCGTTCAAATTTTTTAGTTTCTTTCAAAATTGCTTTAAACCTTACCATCAAAACATGGGTCACTGGATGAGAATGTGATCGTCAGTTCAAGGTATTGTTTATCAGATGCTCCATTTGCACAACCCAACGGACTGAATAGGCAAATCCAGAGACACTGTAGATCGTTGCTGAGTTTGCAAGCACATGGAAGATATCGCCGCAACCAATCATTTTGTTCACAAGCGAATCAAAAAAGGACGGTTTTTTTGCCGACGGGCCCACCAGGACGAAAAATCGCTTTCTTCCTTCTTTTTTCCTATCAATTTCAATGGAATAAAGGCTGAGACAGAAAAAAAAAGCGAGAAAGATGGAATGGCTCTCCAAATGTATCAATGATTTTTATTCATCGCCTTGTTCAAACAATGCACCTGCAACAGCACTGCCACCTATTGTGACGGAACCTTTGCCATCGGTAATTCCCGTCAGTTGCGTTGGATGTACCAAACCTTGTATATCCCATCCTCTAGTCCCTTCCCATCTCAACATTGACCAATCTCGCCCCTTGAACAACACCGTACCACCCTATGCTGTTCATCTCATTATATTGACTGGTAAAACGGATTGGGCCGCCCACATTGAAGACGAAGGATTAGCGGCAGCGTTGATCAAGGCCATCGATGAACGGAAACGCCAGGGCACAGATCAACGATCGGAAAGGAACCGATACTTTGCACTTGGATCGATGAAAAAGGACGTCAAGCAACGAATTGTGGTGACGAATGCGTCTTTGCCATCGCAGTATTCGACCAAACGCGGTGCTTCCGATGTGCTTCTCATGCCGGATAACGTCGTGATCAGCAACGTGACCGCTCGTCAAGCGCATGCGCTACTTGACTTTGTTTTTGGGAAACCTAGCCATCTGTTTGAAACCTTTCCTATGGAAACTCATACCTTGATATTGATCTGTGGACACGGTAACAAGGATCGGCGTTGTGGCACCATTGGGCCAATGTTGCAACGAGCGCTCCAGCAAGCGTTGCACGAAGCTAACGACCACCAAGCGCAGGTCGCTTTGGTGAGTCACTTGGGAGGTACGTGCATCCGAGCTACGCTTTTTATTGTCGCTTCTGTCCCAATCCCGGTTCACATGTTGTACTTTTAGGTCATGCATTTGCTGGCAATGTGGTGGTGTACACGTATCAGGGGCAGCGAGCAATTTGGTATGGTCGAGTCACCCCTTGCCACTGCAAAGAGATTGTTCAGCAAACGATTCAAAACGATTACGTTCTACAGGACTTGGTGCGTGGCATCTTTGAGGTGGATGGGATTAAGGAAAAGACCTCATGTCGGTCCTCACAGTTGGATTGGTGAATCTCGAGTCGAAAAGGGCGGGCAAATCAGGCGTCACATGAGCCACGCCAAATTTATGGGTCTTTGCTCAGCCAAACCCAAAAGAAGGCTGTTAGCAACTTTCCATTCGCTCTTTTTACTTTCTTCTCATCTTTCCCATTTACTCTCTTTCGGCATTTCCTCTCATCTCTTTCATATCCCCTTGTACCATAATATTATATACCTCCACCTTGATCAATTTATTTCTGTAGTTACATTTTCAAGTAAAAAGATCATCTCTTCAAACTGGCTCGACAACAAAGAGAATCATACGGACCCGGAGGGGTCTTTGTCATTCCTCGCTTAAAATCACTCTCCGGCGTCAAACGATGTATCGAATGCAATGAACAGTTCAAACTATTTCGGCAAAAGTACCATTGCCGTAACTGCGGTAACATGAGACAATAAATGCGATTCCCATTTCGAGAATCAGCCCCACTAAACCGAGAGAGCGTTTTCAATGTAGGCGATGTCGTATGCTCCAACTGTTCAGATCACCGGCGAGTGCTTTTAAAGTTTGGCTATGAAAAGTAAGCGCCCTTTTTGTTTGCTTTACGATGACTATTGAGGGAATTGATGTAAATATTGTATTGTTGATCCGTGTTGATAAAGCCCTGTGCGGTGTTGTGATACATGCGATATGCTTATTTACATGCAGCAAATGAATTCAGAGGAGCTGTCATCCAAGTCACTCAAACAACTCAAATTCTACATCCAAGCGTATAATCTCGCCGCCAAACATGCTATTGAAAAAGATGATCTCGTCCGCATTATTCTCAATACTCGTCCTATTTCCAATGAGAGCGAAGTTTATTATCGAGCCAACAAATCGCGACTCGCCGATAAACGACCCGTATCGAATAACAATGACATGAAACCGTCTGACGACCAAGAATTCTCGTTTTCCAATATATTCCAAGATATTTTTGGTGGCGGTCAGTCTCCGTCACCTCAGCCCACTTCCATACCTGGGCAATCCATGTTTCAAGACCTCTTTGGTCAACCTTCGCCATCCGCAGCAAATACACCCAGGACAACCCCGTCACGATCACAACCACGGCCTCCCAACCCATCGCCACAGCAACCACCCTCTTGGCAGCAAACGTATTCCCATTCGCATACACGGCCTCCTCCGCCCACAGCCCAATATCGTTCCAATTCCCGGCCAACCTATCAATCAGCTCCACGACAACCACAACAGCCAAGATACCCGCAAACAGCTCGTCCACCTACTACTCCTTCTACGCCTGCTAATAATGCTTCGGTACCACCGTCCGGTCCGGCCCATAGACCTCCACCTCCACGTGCGGCGGCCGAAAACAATACGATTTCATTGGATGATCTGATCAGGAGCAAGATTGATCCTTCGTCTTTATCCGTTCGAACCCTGAAAGCCATCTTGCGTGCGAACTTTGTTGAGCAGTCACACGTATTGGAAAAATCCGAACTGGTCACAAGAGTACAACGATTAGCAAATGAAAGAAAAGAGGAATTGAAGGCTTCAGACAGCTCGGTCAACGAAGACAGTCAATGTAGAATATGTATGGATGCACAACAAAATTGTGTGTTTCTCGATTGCGGGCATATGGTCACTTGCATGAGTTGCGGCAAAAAGGTAAATCGATCCCCTCCACCGCCAAACGGATATCCCAAACAGCAAAGAGAAAAAGAGAACCGTTACTGATGAAACCTGTTACTGTTAATTTAGTTGATAGAGACCAAAAATGAATGCCCGATTTGCCGAGAACCCATCCTCAAGCTGATCCATGTTTTCCGATCCTAGACCTGATCGCGTTTTTCCACTACATCCACGACCCTGGCTTATGTTCGCGCCTATTATCACGACTCATCTGTTCATTGGTTGTATTCTCTTCCGAAATAGGATATAGAAAATGAGGAAAGAAAGCACCAATAAACAATTTGTGATGCAAAGAATGTTGCAAAAACTTGGGTGTTGGAGCCACGTCGAACAAACCAAATGGTTTTAACCACAAAAGGCGATATCTAACTCTTTTGTATTTCTCGAACAAAATAGGGAAAATTCTCTCTTTGGCTGCAAAGCGCTGCAAGATATTCATGGATCTTGTGGTTAGCTGATGACCGAGTTGTTGTTTTCTCCATTGATGCGGGCAAACCGACCAGCCCTACTGAGCGAAAAAAGATGCTCTCAACTCGTTTATGTCTGAGTTGATGCAGAGCGGCGAACGAACCTTCTAAGGACCATTTTTTCTCGATTTGGACGATGGATTTCCAAAAACGGTGATTTAGAGGATATATGGAAATGTTCCCGGTGCCAGTGCGCCTGACAGCGGTTCTCACCGTTATTACCGAATTAAGAAAAATGTCGACCGAGAGCCAAAAACAATCCACTATCATACGCTGGCGGGCATATGACATGGAAATAAATAAAAACTGCATCGTTACATGAACACAAAAGGTTAAAGGACGGACGGATAGATTTCCTGGGATTCGACAACAACACGAAACATATAAATAGGCAAGATGGCGCCATTGGATTGGCGTTATACTAGGTGATTTTCCTGTAATTTACGCTATTTTCTTCCGCTTCATATGGCGCCAGATATTACGGAAAAACCGATTAATGAGAGTATTGTCAAGCCCGCCTCGCTGAGCGATCAGGCTGGCGATAAAATGGCTTACATGGAGAAATCCGACAGCTACTATGATACTGAACATGCACAGACCCATGCAGAAGACGAAGAAGATTCGCCCATTGAAGAAGTCCGTTCTGTGGTACCAAAGTAAGCATTTACGACAGAACGTACAGAGATGCCAAGCTGTTTAACAAAATTGTCCTCTTTTTTTCCTTTGACTTGTTCTTCAGCACCGATGATCCTACATTGCCCGTCTGGACCTTCCGCATGTGGACCCTTGGTTTGGCGTTCTCTTGCTTGTTGAGTTTTGTCAATCAATTCTTCTGGTACCGTCAGAACGCCATGTCACTCTCGCCTCTGGTGGTTCAGTTGATTTCGTTTCCGCTCGGTAAACTCTTGGAGGCCATTATTCCGCGTTCCCGGTTCTTCAACCCGGGTCCATTCAACATGAAAGAGCACGTTCTTATTACGGCCATGGCCAACTGCAGTTACAGTACAGCTTACGCCATTGATATCATTACGATCCAGAAGCTCTGGTACGGACAAGATATTGGCTGGGGCGGAGGTTTGCTCCTCATTTGGACCACCCAATTCATTGGTTACGGTATGGCCGGTGTACTTCGACCCTATCTTGTGTATCCTTCGTCCATGGTGTGGCCTTCCAATCTGGCCAACATTTCCCTTTTCCGAACCTTCCATGTCACAGAAAGGTAAGCCAACCCGTTGTAAAAAAAAAAAAAAAAAAAAAAAAAAAAAAAAAACTGTTTTCTGCTCTGGTCGAATTTCCCTTCTAACTTGCTATTACTATAGTAACTGGACTGGCCCTACGCGTTTCAAATGGTTTGCCTGCTGCTTTTTGGCCATGTTTGTTTACTATTGGCTCCCTGGTTACTTCTTCCAGGTGCTTACCTTCTTTTCCTGGGCATGCTGGATTAAACCCGACAACCGTACGCTTGCTCAACTCACCAGTGGCTACCAGGGTTTGGGAATGCTGGCCGTTTCCTTTGACTGGTCTACCATTGTTTCGTACTTGTCCTCGCCTTTGGTTGTCCCCTGGTGGGCTATTGCCAATATTATGGTCGGGTTTGTCACCGTTGCTTGGATTATTGCCCCTGCTCTGTACTACAGCAATGTATGGAATGCTCAACGCTTCCCCATCATCACTTCGGCCTTGTTCACCAAAGACGGTGAGCTCTGGGATAACAGTGTCGTGCTTGACGAGCATAACCGTTTGAATGAAACGGCTTATGCAGAATACGGTCCTTTGTACATGACCAGCTTCTTCTCTTTCACTTATGGCATTATGTTTGCCGGTCTTACGGCTGTCCTCACCCACACCATCTTGTACCATGGCAAAGACATCATCCAACAGTTCAAGCGATCCCGCGACCACGATGATGATATCCACATGAAGCTCATGCGTGTTTACAAGGAAGTCCCCGGCTACTGGTATCATGCTACTTTTATTGTTGCTTTCGGTATTTCGTTTGCGGTATGCTACAAGTGGCCTATGGATCTTCCCTGGTGGGGTCTTATCTTGGCTATTGCTATTCCTATTGTGTTTGTGTTGCCAATCGGCATCATTCAAGCTGTTACCAACCAACAACCCGGTTTGAACGTAATTACTGAATTGATCATTGGTTACGCTTTGCCTGGTCACCCCATCGCCAATGTCACCTTCAAGACTTATGGATACATTTCGATGGCTCAATGTCTTACCTTTGTAAGCGATTTGAAGCTCGGTCACTATACAAAGATTCCACCGCGTGCCATGTTTGCGGTGCAAATGGTCGGTACATTCTTGGCGGGTATTATCAATTTGGCCACCGCACGCTGGTTGATGGGCACTATCCCCAACATCTGTACTGCTGATGCGTATCCATTCACTTGTCCATCCGCCAAAACCTTTTACTCGGCTTCCATTATCTGGGGTACCATTGGCCCCGAAAGAATGTTCGGTCCTAGTTCGCCCTACAACGGTTTGATGTACTTCTTCTTGGTGGGATTGCTGCTGCCTATTCCATTCTGGTTCCTTGCCAAAAAATTCCCCAATAGCTGGCTCAAATACGTCCACATCCCTCTTATTTTCAATGCTACAGCAATGATGCCTCCAGCTGTGCCTCTCAACTTCTCCATGTGGTGTGCCGCCGGTTTCGTCTTTATGTTCTGGTTACGAAAGTATCGTCACAGTTGGTGGATCAAGTACAACTACGTTACTTCAGCTGCCTTTGATTCGGGTTGTGCCATTGCTGCCATTATTATCTTTGGCGTTGTTACCGGCTCGGGTTACACACCACAATGGTGGGGCAACGGCGGCTACGGATTGAATGCTCAGTTCGACAATTGCCCTATGGCCTTGTACAACGGCTCCGATGCCTGCGTCTTATGCTAGTCTATGCTGCCTTACTACATAATTTACTCTTCTTTTTCCTTACTTGCTGTCAACTTTCTTAATAAACTAACCTCTAATCAGTACACACTATTTGCACTTATTGACTGTGGAATTATACCCATGAGAAAAATTATTAACGGAAGTTTAACGAAAGTTTGGAAAAAAACGGCTTTTTCTATACCCAAACTTTTGCTAAACTTCCGTTAAACTTTCGTTAAACTTTTATTCCATAGGTGAACAGTTTGAGATGACTCCATATTTTTCGATCTTATCAGTTGCTCCTTATTCTGTTGCGGTTCCTATTCAAGAAGATTGAGCATTTCGGCAATGGAGTAATTTGGATATTGAGACGTTTCTTCGTTTCAATATATCGGCTTCGTGCCTCCTGTTGTACTCCTTGTTTCCTTTATGGGAGACAGCCAACAATCATGTTTCTTCAGAATTTCAAATTGATGGCTCCAATGTACAAAGATACGTTTTGATCGAAACTACGTTTTGTAGCTATGTCCATGTCAGGCATACTCAAACTAGGCATGCTGTATGGTTATTGACTCTATCTAATCGGCAATACACACACTGTATAGGCAGTGGATGGAACGATTCTAACTGTAGCGTTACCAGTTCTTGTTCTCCTGATAATTACGGCGGTTTATTCTAGTTTGTTACGTGCACTTCGAATGCCATGCCTCATTTGTTGTATCAATAAAATGCAAATAAGCTTTCATACACATGGGTCCTTCCATTTAAATTGTTGGAACTCTGTTCCTACTTTTGGAACTGAATGTCAATCTGCTGCATGAGGCATTATTCCATGTCCTCCGCAACAGTCACCAGGGCTGCTTTTATTCAAACCGCCGAACAAACTGAAAAAGGATCCGTGTTTTTTCGTTTTCATCCTTTCCTTTTTTTTTCTCAGTTTTACCTTCTACTTTATACACTTTGCAATAGAGATTGTTGGGATATTATTATGCGTACTTTTTATACCCCCGCTTTGTTAGCTTTGACGGGTGTGGTGGCTGGTCAATTGGAGGCTGCCAGTGGTGAATTCAATATTACTTCGCCTTTGATGAATGGCGTTTACGTCGCTGGCCAGATATTACCTGTAACATATTATTTAACCCGAGATTCTTCCAGTAAGGAGATGTAAACAGTTATAGTGTGCTGGAAATGATCTTTTTTAACGTATCGAAACGTGTAGAGTTACATCTTAATATTTACTTGCAGCCTGTGGGTATCAATTACACCACTGCTGTCATTGCTCAGGATGCTGATGTATCCGAGAACCCTTCGGCTGTTGTCACCGTCAACCATGAAACGGTATGGCAACATTCCTATAATTATGAAATCCCTCCCACGGCACCCGCAGGCACATATCAGGTAAAGTGCTTCAAACTGTTGCTGGGAAGGAGGTATACTAAACATACATCGATAAAACAAAAAAGGTGATTTTCGAATCTGTGCGTACCCATGCGAACACCTCTATTCCCATCACCATCCGACCTTTCGTATCGAGCGCTTCTCCTATGCCATCATCCACTGCCGTCTCCTTGGCTACTAGCAGCAGTTCCACTTCATCCACCCCAGCCAAGTCTTCCAGTAGCATAGCACGGTTGTCAAACGATATTGCCGTGACAACCATTGCAGTAATGGCAGGCACATGGTTAACATGGATCCTTTGATTTATTTAGTTGTTCTGTTGCATTTTTACTGATAATATAACCCTAATATCTAAATACACTATCGAAGAAATTTCGTCCATTGCAAAAATACCTGGCATGCCACGGAGGGAAAAAGAAGATTGGCACAAAAGGGTCAAGGGGGTGGGGAGATCCGGAGCTATCGTCCGTGAGGGAGAACACTGTTTTTAGATTTTTGTGCATTCAAATTCTGCGCGGTCTTGCTGCATGTGCGGACTACATCTATTTAAGCAGTACCCAAATGGTTAACGCATGAATATTTGCTTACGGTGAATAATAATACGCCTTGTGCCTGTGGCGCCGAATTTTGTGATTGCTTTCTCGATAACAATACATTGCTTCATCCAAAGGATATCGATTCGAAGAAATGGGTTTTAGTTGCAATAATATTGGTGAGATTATTTTTATGGAACGAAAGCATAATTGAGAGGTTTTTTGTTATGAATCACTACTAAAATAAACCGTGTCGGGCACTATGGATAAAAGTTTAACGAAAGTTTGGGTTTAAAAAAAGCTGCTTTTTTTTCATAGTGTTTATCCTCAGCGATAATCATGGCTTGACAGATAAACTTGATTTGTGATGGGTGAATGTTATGAGCGAGTAGGGGCGCCTGTTTCATTCGATGAATACGTAACTGCCGCCTTTGGTTTTACCTGACACAGTGAAAAGTCCATCATACTTGGGATCAACCTTGGATATTTGTTGCTGCCTACGGGAAATCTTGGATGATGCGATGCTTGCCTCCAAATTTGTCTTTGTTTGCTTCATGCAATGAATTTATGCGGTCACAGATAGCGGGTAGCACCAGTTCTTCCATCTGTGCGATGCGGTCTGTGGCATTCACGTTGCGACGGATAGTGTGGTATGAAGGCTTTTGGTCACCGGAGAACTCGTTTGGCCGACGGGCGAACATCAGGGCAAAGGCTGGCTGTTGTTGAGACGGGCGTGCTTCAAGTTGATAGCTAATTGCGCGCTTGATGTGCTATTGATTTTACCTGAGATAAATATCTAGTCCCGCTGGCTTTTATTGGGGTTGATCAATTAAAGAACTTCTCGCTTTACTTTTTTACGAGGTGTCAAAGACATGTAAAGATACGAAATAGAGTGGAAGAAAAAGTAGATAAAGCAATCCATGCATTTACCCAAAAACAAAATGTGACACCTGCTTAGGACCATCAAGCTCGAAGCAGCTAAGGAAAAGCGACTATTACAAATTTCACGCCGTAAACCACCCGTCCGCCTCAGCACCTTGCAATCGCTTGGGAATGGGAGGAATTTGCTTAAATAAACGTTTTTACAATAGGATGAAAGAAAAATGAAAAATGAAAAGAACGGGTTGAACGGCTTTATTTAAACTGCATGGTATAATTGGATTTCTTTATACGATCAATCTTTATTGTCAGGGGCAGACAACTTTAGGTACTTTTCTCTGTGTGCTATTTCAGATGATAAGCTAAAAGATTACTTATTTCCAATTTCTTCAGAAGTCAACCAAGTCGAGGGATCACGGACGTGACCGACTTCCTCCTAACACGCTTGACAATGCCTTGTTTCATCATGTGGATCCATTTTTCAGGTACTCTAGTTGCCCGAGGATGATATGGAATAACGAGCCGATGATCGATGTCAGAGTGTTCTAACCCACTTCATAACTCCGTTGACGTTGTTGTATAGATGGGTAGAAACATGAGTATGGTGAGTCTTGTTTTTTATTTTTATTCTCAAAAGAAATGATCTCTATAATATGGTGCCAAAGAATAATAATAATCGGGATCGCGATTTAAATATACAAATGATATATCACTATTCTAGTGTCTCTTAACTGCTTGAACCGAGGCAATTTTTATGTAGTGGCATGTAAGTCCTATCTATACTACAGACGTTATGAGATTGAACAATACTAGGTTCCGAATCTTGGCAAGGCGGTATAGGTGTTGCATAATTTGGTCACCGTACCGCTCAATATTGGTGATTCGTCGTTGACCGGAAGTAAGAAAATGAATCCACCCCATAGAGGATCCAAACTGTCGGTGTTTTCGATTCCCGCGAAGGCACCGATGGACCTTTTCGATAAGAGAAGGCACTCCTTGGCAAAGTGCGTCGATAGAGATAGTCGGCAATATGGCCTTTCTGGGTGTGGTTGCAATTGGGAATGCACGGATCGGGCAGGTATCGACGCATACCGTGACCAGAAGTGGGCGCGCACGATATTGACGGTAAACGCCAAGGCGGTTTATGCTGCCAAGATCCATGGAGTCTCCAGACAGTCAAGTAATACAGGTGGCGAATTCAAAAAATCGGCGGACCGAGGAACGTACAAGCCGCCAGAGTCAAGGCCAGCGTTGATGGTGACGTGGGACCCAGGGACCACGTCTAGTAATGTTGTTGTACAGCATCAGCGGTCCATTGCTCTTGCAAAATCAGTCTGGTGATTGGGTCCGTTCCGAGTTGATATGTTTCTGGAAGCTCGAAATGCGAGAGATCGGCAGGAATATTCATAGTAAAAAAAGTCAGGTAAAAGACGGGAAGATGATATGATAAGTAAAGAAAAAAGGGCAATACTTGATCGTTTTTGGGCTCCCAACGCCGTATTTCATTGTTAAAACAAATAATGCGGACGCTAAAGGAAGAAGAGAATTTCTTCTTTCGGGGGGCTGCATCGAATTGAAAGAACGAATCGGATTTTAAGCTCCTACAATGACCGTTGGACAAGGAGTACATCAGTATAATTCATGATTTCATATTCATGTATCTTGGGAAAAAGATCATCTTACCTAACTTCCATGGCCAAATGTTTGGCAATAATTGTGAAGAGAAGACTTGCCTGAAATCGTACACAAAATACCAAAGCGTGAGAAAATGGCAACCATGATATGAACATAGTTATTTCCGGAGGTGCAGGTAACTTTCATTGTAGGCAGAACGATAGCCCCTTGGATTCCTGTTTGGCTGACGTCAGTTTTTGAGAGGAGTGATAGCCATGCTTGTTTATGTTGAAACGCTGACAGTATGTGTAGTGTCTTTACTATTTGCTTCTGAACGAAAGGCCGGCCGAGTAAGTGCGCTTTGTGGACAGAAGAGCTAGAAGCTCGTTTTCAGGAGGTAGGCAAGAAAAGGTGTGACGTCGAGGATAACCCTTTTTTTGTCTAGGTTATCATCGCTGTCACACTTTTTTGGCCAGGTTATCATCGCTGTCACACTTTCTCCGCCCAGGTTATCATCGCTGTCACACTTTCTTCGCCCAGGTTATCATCGCTGTCACACTTTTTTGGCCAGGTTATCATCGCTGTCACACTTTTTTGGCCAAGTTATCATCGCTGTCACACTTTTTTGCCTTAGGTTATCATCGCTGTCACACTTTCTTCGCCCAGGTTATCATCGCTGTCACACTTTTTTGGCCAGGTTATCATCGCTGTCACACTTTTTTGCCCTAGGTTATCATCGCTGTCACACTTTTTTGCCCTAGGTTATCATCGCTGTCACACTTTTTTGCCCTAGGTTATCATCGCTGTCACACTTTTTTGGCCAGGTTATCATCGCTGTCACACTTTCTTCGCCCAGGTTATCATCGCTGTCACACTTTTTTGGCCAGGTTATCATCGCTGTCACACTTTCTCCGCCCAGGTTATCATCGCTGTCACACTTTTTTGCCTTAGGTTATCATCGCTGTCACACTTTCTTCGCCCAGGTTATCATCGCTGTCACACTTTTTTGGCCAGGTTATCATCGCTGTCACACTTTTTTGGCCAGGTTATCATCGCTGTCACACTTTCTTCGCCCAGGTTATCATCGCTGTCACACTTTTTTGGCCAGGTTATCATCGCTGTCACACTTTTTTGGCCAGGTTATCATCGCTGTCACACTTTTTTGCCTTAGGTTATCATCGCTGTCACACTTTCTTCGCCCAGGTTATCATCGCTGTCACACTTTTTTGCCCTAGGTTATCATCGCTGTCACACCTTTTTTGCCTTTTTTTTAAAATGAGACTGCTAAATTGCGGGCTGGGTTTTTTTCATGCATTGTTTACTGCTCCTTCCATTTATCGTGGCTGAGTATGCAGGTTTGAGTTTAAGGAGACTATGTGCGCGCTGTCTTGTTGTTATTTTGTTGCAAGACTCTATCAACTGCAACATCTGAGTAGATCTTCTTCAGTGATGTCAAAGTTCGATGGAATTCTTGAACACTTGATGTTAGCGATCATACTGTCATGACCATTCCCGCGCACACGTTGTCTTGGCGATAATGCATGACCATGTGCATTATTGGTCCAAGCACACTCCTTCACTGTTGCCATGCTGGTCCATGCGCTTACTTCTATACTTGCTCTTGTGTTCTTCTCTATCGTTGTCCTTCCTCCTTTTATTGATCTATGCGTTACCTCATGTTATGCTCTGCATTTCATTTATTTATTTTATTTTATTGTCGTTGTCTATTCTGTTTCGCATCTTTTAGTATAAATACCCGATCTCTTTTATGAAATAAACCTCAGTCAAGAATTGTGTGTATTCTCTCGTACTATCTTGTTCTCCATCTTGTCTTGTCCTTGTCTTGGTTCTTTTCCTGTTTCTATTCTTGTTCCGATTTCGTTCTTGTTTCTTGTTCCTGTTTTTATTCCTTTTCTTGTCTTGTCTTGTCCTTGTCTTGCGAAAGCACTTCACACCACCCTCTTGTCCAGCTTGCACTGATCCTCCCGTAATCAGTGCATAACACATACTCATGCTATCCAAGTTTGCCCTTTCTCATTGTCCCGCTACTTCTTTGAATGGAAATTAGTGACGGACCTGGTATCGTTTATGGCTGCGTGGCTTCGGATTCAGAAGTGACATTCTGCGGCTGATACATCCGGATGTCACCATAGTGAAGTTTATCTTAAAAGGCATATAATTTTGAATAGATTAAAATGGAGTGCTCCAGTTTCTTTTTCTTTTAACTTACCAGCTCTATGTAATAATGAGTGTTTCGTCAATCCTCTTGATCAGATGCATATTGTAGTATTTTAGCCGTAACTCATGACGAATAAGACTGAGTGCGATACACTTTATGACCCAATTATCTTCCATCACATCGTTCCGATTCTTAATAATGAAGCGATTATAGATCCAAATCTGCCACTAAACTAGCTACTCGACCCATTTAGGTACTAAACAATCCCAATCCCGAATCTACGATCAATGACAGAACCTCACTTGTCAATGTACAAATTGAAGATCAACGTCAATGTCAGTAGCTTATAACTAATAAGCCCACACTCCGATCATCTATCTCAGATACACGAATCAATGATATAAAAACTAGAGTAGACTTTAACTTGTAAAGTCGGAAGGATTTTTTTATCTTTATCAAATATACAAAGAGCCTCAACGTATTTCACTTGTCTTGTTGTATTTATTATTCATTCTGCAACCCTAAACACCATACATATGCTTACAGGCACCAATTTATGTTGTTCATGATCCATGCAGCTGCAGCTGCGATCGATTCTTCATAATGAGTCTCATTGGAACATAACTGCACTGAATATACTGCGGCGCGATCATTATCATCGACCTCTAAAATAGTAACCATATCGTACATCACAAGAGGACTAATCGCTTCAGCGGCAATTTCTCTGGCGCGCACCATTCGTTGTGCCTCCCCCCCCCTGCCTATGTTGAGCACTGTGCGCGAATGTTGCTCCTGAAATCCTCATGGACGTCCTTAACAAGAATGTATACCAGGCGGTCAAGGTATCTGTTGCGCTTTTTTTGCAGGCAGGTCATTTTCAGCTGATTGTGCCAGCTGGGGATCACAGACATAGCAGGTAACTGTGAGGCGACATTCGCAATTTATCTTCTTGCTTGGTTTTTGAGGGTTCCTAGGCCTTCAAGATTGCCCGCCTGCCGTTCGATCGTCGCGTACAGTTTTTTTGCCACTGCGATGACAGACGTAAAGAATTTTCAAGCGACCGCATCGATTTTTTATAGGCTTATGCTGGCCAATTTCTTCATCGTTTACGGTAAGTGTCTGATTGATTGTATATCCAGGTGACGGCAAAGTTCGCCAGGACATTTCTTAAATATATTCTTATATACAGTAACCTCCAATGTGGATACAGGAGGAAAGGGAATGTACGGTTGAACGATGATATCAGGCATAATAAATGTAGTGTTTTGAAGCGATGTGAAACGATCAAGTCAGGCTCATGAAAACTTTGGATATTTGCTGATTTTCAACATTTTCCTTTTCATGGTCCGCCTAAGGGGTTGTGACATAAGGGCGTGCAAAACTAAGATTTCGAATTCCTACGGTAACTTTCTTTTTACGTCTTTCTTATATTGCCATTCTTTTTTTTTTTTGTATCATAATTTGCGCCATTAATTTGTAATTTTCCAAATCCCTACGGTGAATTTTGGAATAAACAGTATTTGTCGGCTTCAAAAAAGGAGGGGCGGGGTCTCTCTTTAGCATTCTGTTAATTTTCGATTGTTGTCTTCCCCATTTCTTACATGTCACAGCCAACTCTCGTATTCATCGTTAATCGTTGCTTCATGAGCAATGACTGCCATACAAATTTCAACTCATCACAGAATCTGCGGCGCCACCTTAGTCAGGTCCACGAGTTCGATTTTCCTAACCGCATCAAAAGGCCACGGTTGCACAACAGCGAATTGTACATGTACCTTAGCGAACCCTCTGCTCCCTCGAATCAGACTGTTTCAATTCAAAGTATTTGCCCTGTTTGCGACAATCATTTTGAAGAAGTGGCTGCTCTGAAAGCGCATTTCGTGACCACCCACCAGGAGCATCTCCCCAGTCAGCAGCATGAGCACGATCAAAGCCGCAGCAGCACCCCTTCAGAAGCATCCGTGGTCAGCAGTCAATCCATACCGGCTTCAGACACGATGGGCCAAAAACGACACTCTGATGAGGCTCTTTGCCTAGACGGTGTGACTCTCGACCAGCCATTGGGCGAGCATTTGATCATTAACGGCTTTGATGTGTCGGTAGCATTTCACAACATGAAGATGACGATGAAAGCGAACAAGTGGAAGCTGTCGTTAGAAGATAATCTGCTTTTGGCGCTATCAGCCACATCAGTGCTACTCCTTGACGGGTGCAAATACCCAGATGAGGTGAAACCGTTCTTTGCTTACGAACAATGGCGCATGACGGACGAGCATATCCAGCAAGTATACGGCATTAAACGTCAACCCATTCCTCTCAGGACAACCACGGAACTCAGTAGCACCCTTGATCAGTTACTCAATAAGGTGATTAGCCGGGATGAGGCTGAGATCATCTTGAAATCTATGCCATTATCAACCATGGAGAAGAAGATCGCCAAAACGATCGCCAACCTAGTGTCGAAGTTACCCCTTGTTGCCATTGAAGAAAATGTAAACGAGATGGAGCTTTGTTCCCGCTTTATTGATCCATTCTTGGCCGGTCTGTTTGATGATCCGGATAATGATATCTACTTGCGGTGGCTAGATGAAATTACCTTGGAAGCCAAAGCAAAAGATTCTTCAAGCACACGTCCGGATATGAGTGTCACCAAATCTTGCGGTGTCAGATGGGCAACTACTTTGGCCTATGGTGAAGCTAAACCTGCGATACAAGGTGATGATCACTATGTTGTTTGCAGAGACTTGATCAAGGTAGCCCGTTTTTGCAAGGATGCTCTCGACAGCCAGCAATTTGATGGGATTCTCGCTGTACAAATCATTGGACGATCTGTTGTGTTTTATCTTCTGACGTTACCTGCGACAAGCCTCTATACGATGATTCCACTGGCAACAATCAAAGTCCCAAACAGCCTCAACGAGTTACCTGGTTTGATATATAAAGTACCCGATATTCTCAAGGTTTTGGACTGCTTTGACCGGGTCTGTGTTCGAGCGGCACAACCGGAGACCGTCAAGAAGCGCTTTGCTCCAACATTGTCCATGGCGAAGATCGAACAACTTTTTTCTCTTTCTAAAAGCCGTAAGAGGTTATGTAACATCCAACTTCACCACAATTGATTAGTAAACAACAATAATGGATTGCATCACTTGCTGTCGTTGGTGTTGGTGTTGTTATCGGATCTCTTGTTCTTATATAGCTGAATTGCATTAGCTTTACGGAGTGTTGAATTTTGCAACCCCGATTTGATTAATAGAGTACCATCATTAGCGAATGAAAAAATGAACCGCTTTTTGGACATCATGAGTCGACCCACTTACAATCATTTGCCGACCAATCTCAAGAATCGATACGTTATTGCTCGCCACGGATTTTCTTTGGCGAACAATGCCGGTCTGATTTGCTCCGATCCTGCCATTGCTATTCCGGAAGCAGAAGGACCCCTGGGCACCGGTTGGGGTTTGCACGATCGTGGCAAGGAACAGGTCAAGGCGGTAAGCAAGCAATGACAAACCTTCAATGGGAATCCAGCTTTTATTAAAGTTCCTTGTTTGTTAACTGTGTCATGTCCTATGTTTTGCAGTCGGCATCGCTTTTGGTCAAACACTTGACTTCCAAAGGGTCACCATTGACCGATGAATCAATCGTTATTTTCTGCTCGCCGTTTTTGCGCACACGTCAAACAGCCGAGATTTTCCGGTCGACTTTGAATGAAACTCTGTCACTGAATATTGCGCCCGCCACTCCCAACCTGTCACTCAGAGAACGTTTCTATGGCGACTATGACATGAAGAGCGACGAAAATTACAAAACCTGTTGGGCCGACGATGCTACGGGACCTGATCATGGAGAACACAGCTCCTCAGGCGTTGAATCTCCCAGCAGCGTGTGTGATCGCACCACGCAGTTTATTCTCGATGAGATTGAAAATAAGGTGCAAGGAAAAGTGGTTTTGCTGGTGGCTCATGGCGATGTATGCCAAATCATGCAAACCGCTTTCTTATCCATGGAAGCCTACCGTCATCGTGAAGTGGAGCATGTGGAAACGGCAAGCTGGAGAGAGATGGAAGCATAGAAATTATAATTATTGTTGATAGATCAATTTACAAGAATAGAAAGAAAAAAGGCTCATCCATTGTTTTGGCATATTTTTTTTTCTTTTCATTAAGTGCTCGATTACGTTATATAAGTGACAGATGAATATGTGATTTGCTCCGGCTTGGGAAACCGTTACAAGATTACCGACATATCTGGTCATATGGCAAAGTGCCGCTCATCAAGAACTCGATGTCCTTTTCTGGGCCGGGCAAGTTGTTCCATATAAGAAGCTCTTTGCCAGTGGCGGTCAAACGTTCAATAGAGTCGCACGCTTGTGAATGAAACATCCAGAAATGACCATTGTTGCTCGATTTGAGACACTGATGGCATGGCGATACGACATGATATCCAATGATATTACCACTATGCAGTGATTATCACACGAAAAATGAGAAAGACACGGCAGGAAACTGAAATAGTGTCGTTGTATAGTTACCACAGTGTACAAGAAACATCGCGAATGCGACAATGACAAGTTCGTGTCAGATAGTCCTTGTCAAGTAGATATACGCTAAATTTTCAGTCAGTTATGGGTTTTCGAAATGACAATGTGCAATTGGCAACGTGCACCATATTAAAAGAAAAAAAGAAGCACCTACGATGGTGATGGAGTGTCGGTGCTGAAAAGCTGCACGGAAGCGTCGGCCAGTAAGATTGCTTTCATTCCACGTGAGCATACAATGGTGTGACAATGCTTGCATGTTAGTTTATAGACTGGTTTGACAGGCATGAGCATATCGCTGTAGGCTCCGGGTTCTCCGCGATGTCGGCGATAGTTGGTCATGGACAATACCGGGATTTGAGTGGAGTTTGTGGACGTTGGATGCCGAGGTGAAGGAAACATTGATTCTTGTGGTTGTCTTCGTTGAGGGATGTTCACTGTTGGAGGTGACATGGGTTGGGCGAGGATACATGTAAATGATGATAAAGGGAAACTCGAGTTATATACCAATTTTTTTATTTTACTTTTTCGCTGTATAATTCCGAGAAATAAAAACAATTGGGAGCGCGTAGGTGTTGAATGCTCGGAAACATTTATGTTTTTCCGGACCTTCCGCCCCGATCAATCCATCGTAGACAGAACAATAGGTAGGGAAGCTTTTGTATGCGCGGAAAATAAAAGAGATAAATTATTTAATGATCAAATCATGTACATTGGAAAAAGAAAAAGTGAATGAGTAACAGGAGGAGGATAGCAATGGTAAGGAATAAAAGGAGATGGCGGGAAAAGGGTGGATGAGAAATCGGAAAGGATGGAAATTGATGGCTTCTATGGCTCGGCCACTTCTTTTGTCATTGGCAATTTGGCGTGTGAATCGACAAGGGTAGACGCTGAAGCAAAAGTAAGAATGGAGCCTGGAGTGGTTGGTATATGTGGCAGTTTTTCTACGACGTCCAAAGTCTTTGTATGGCCACTAGGTGGATGTGTTATCGACTGCATCTCGGCAATCTCACTCCGGGCAGTATAGGTTGAGTAGAGAGATGATCTGTTCAATTCTTGATGTTCTTCTTCTATCACATGCTTCACGTTGATCGGAAAGTCCAATCCCGTTCCAACCATACGTCGCGGACAAAACCAGAACAGTACGTGTGGACCGAGCACGGTTCGAACATTATTCATGATGCCTCGATGATATGGATATTTTACCTGAAGCCAGAAAAATTCGCATCAGATCGTTGATTGATTATTTTTTTTTTAAAATCTTGATCTTACTTTTTGAATGGTTCCTTGATTTTTTAGCGTCAGAGTTCGACCTTTTTCCCAGCTTTCAATGGTGGTGGTGTTGGTGCCAACGCAATAAACATGATATCCACCCAATATACCAACGGCTACCAGGACAACAGTGCACAGCACCAAGTTGATGGATAAAAATGCGGCCTCTTGCGTAGATGGTCGAACATGAAACTGCGAAAATAAAAACAAATAGGGATTCTTGAATGAGATGCTTCGTTCCTCTTATTACTTATTTTAAAGTGGAAACGAACAAAAATAACCCTTACATCATGCATCTCCCCCACGATACGTGCCAATCGACACGCCAGGAGAACGAATAAATAAATCGATGTGACGTTGACGTAAAACAGTAATCGCAAGAAATGGCAGTAATTGGCGAAACCAATGCAGTTGTTCACCCACGGGCAATGATGGTCCATTTTGAGTACACACCGTTGACATATCCGACAATGATGGGCTCGAGGCGGTTTATAGTTGTTGCAGGTTTTGCAGAAGCGTGGTCTGTGAGTTGACTGTTTCACTTCCAGTACATGATGGTCTGGGATCTGTTCGTAACTGTAGTGATTAAAACATTTTCTGCTTTCTCTGTCTGTCTGTCCTCGACGACTGTGTCAGCTTTGAAGAGGTGCTTACCCAATTCGACGGTACGGATCCCGGATCGGTAAGGCAGGTTAAAGCGTAGTTGATGTATATCATGATGATAAAAACGTTGAACGGAGCGAGGATGAGGAAGGTGTGTAACGTCGGACCACCCAAGTAATTCCACAAGACGAAGATTTGTGAAGTGTATGCCATGAATATGATCATCAGTGTTACAGCGGTCACCGTGAGTGGACCACGCCACTCTTGCCAACTCATGATAAAAACAATAACAAATAGAGAACACAGGGAAAAAAAAGCGAGGTGTCCGTGTGGGGTATTTTTAACGGGAGGGATGGCACAATTGAAATAGGACTTAAATAAACGATATAAATAGGGGGTGGGATGAGGAACTGGGGTAAACGAGGGAAAATCGGATATTGTTATAAGAAAATCCGGAAAGATGACATGAAAAAAATCCAGAGAACGTCTTATATCAAGAACACACAGGCATATCAATCGCACGGTTGCAAATGTGGATGGAGACGATGATCAACACCAAGATTCGGACACGCTTCGGTGGATGACAAGGCGATTGTTACGGATACTTGTAAGTGTAATAGTCAAACGCCCGTTGATCGAAAAAAGTAATATAAAAAAGGTAAAAATAAGCAGGATGGTCGTTGGAAAAAGGTATTCACTTTGTTGTCGTAGTTAGACAACAGATAAAGAAGTTTTCGTTGCCGTGCCGCCAAAGAAAAAAAAAAGCAAAATGGGAAAAAAAATGTCTTTGTGTAGCACTGTTACTTTTCCTTATTGATGGCGAAAGCTCGTGTCAACATCCATAAACTGAACTGTTTCCAATTTACTCGGCTCATTGTTCTTTTTCATGGGGCGATTTCAGAAATGAATTACTAGATTGCCATTGTCCCTCTCCCAAGATAATGAACCTTTCACATCTTCGTATAACCATGGCATCATCGTCGGAGTCATGGCGTGTATGTGTGCTCTGTCTATCGTTGCACAGCCAGTGAATCACTTTTTAGCCGTTCCATACAGACCGACAGACCGATTTCAGAAGGCTATCCATTACTCTTTCTATCTATATATCATGCTTTCGCCATAAAAAGTATGAAAGACGTCTTCTGGGTTTGATCCGCCTGAATGTTCGCGCTTTTTGATATGCTGTACAAGGCAAGGGAAATGCTAGAAAAAGAGAGCAATACATGGTTTTGTATTGTATCCACAGTGTACAAAACAGCGTTCTACATCTCTATGGCCATTCCAAACGGTTTATACAAACAATATCGCTTTGCTTTTGTGATTACGCTGTTCTCATGTGCCATGGGCGTGTGTAACCCTTTTTTTTGCTTAAACTTGATAATCAAGCGATAGAGCCGTACTGTGCATTGAATGCTCATACGATTAAAAAATATAGATGTTGTTGTTTTCTCCATTTAGAATAAAATGATAATTGGTTTGTTCATGTGTATATACGATGGTAGGATTTGAGCTGGTATCTCTGCTGTATCCCGATCTGAAAGGTGCAGTATGGCTTGGCTTTTCTAAAAGTCGAGAATAATACTCATGAGTAATAAAGTGCACTGAAGCTCAGACACACACCTTGTCATGATAGGGACGCTAGCCATTTGAACCATTTCGACGAAGCAAGGTTTTGATATTTTGCAATTTTTATAAACCTTCATTATCACAAAATAGGATGGTTTATGTTTCTTAATTATGTAAATAGGATGGGCTATGCACAATGAAAATAGCAGCGGGGATGTCCATTCTAGATGGAGGGAGAGGACAGTTGCTCGGCAATTTCGATGATGAGTCGATTTTCGGGGATTGTCTCCAATTCGTGTGCCGTCAAGTTACTGCCTTTGGTGATGGCATCCACCGCCAATGACACTTGTTCCTGTTCCGATAAGCGTTCCATCCACTCCATGTATTCTCGCGGCGATAGGTCATATACCGAATATGGCAACGCCAATCGAGGTGTCGACGATTGCGATCGCACAACCAAATGATGGATCAGCACCAATTTTGAAAGCCCCGCCGTATGATGAGCAGCTGTCAACTGCACGGAATCCAGGAATAACAGAGGTCTGCGTACAATATTCCATGAGCCTGGGATAACGCCAATCTTGTACTGCCTTGTACTTACCTCAGCACACGCAGGGCTTTATACTCATCCCCAATTTCTTCAATCCTCACACCATAATCACTCAAGAACGAGCTAGTGATAAACTCAATCTCGGCCATATCTCCTGCCAGCTTCAGTTTGCCAGCTTCGCTCAGAGGCGATATCAAGCTTGCTTGGAAAACAAAAACATGTAGCATGTATTTCCCGATTTGACGCACCCTACAGGAGCATTTTTACATTTTTTGCTGATCTATAATCATAACCTTACAACTACTTACCATGATTTTGGTTCTGTACCGCAAGACAACCGAGAAAGGATCTGGCTGTGATGGTAACGGATGTGTTTGGCAAGTTCTTTGACATAGGCACTTGCCGAATCGTCTTCCATTGGATTGAAGTTGCGGTTCGCTTGTCCCGAAAAGTCTTCTTGATGCATTCGTATCAGTACCCGTAATATATCCAATTTGATACCATCCACCAAGTTTTGACCGATGGAAAGCATGACCCGCCGACATTCCTGAAATGGAAATTAGAGACACATATACTGCTATCACTGTGTTGCCACGCACCTCAGATCCTTTGATGATGATGTCCACCATCTTCTCTGGGTATTCCTCTAGCACTTTCCATATGGACTGATGCATGTAGTATGTAATATTGATGAGCTCAATTTTCCTGCTCAGGCTCATGAAAATGGTATTGTTCTGCGTAGCTGTATAAACAGACTGATCCGTATTCGGTATCTAGACAACGAATTTAGCACCAAGGGCATGCCTGTCAAATTCGTGCAACTGTAAACTCTTACCAATGCTTCGCACTTGGCGCAAAACATGTTCAGCGTTTTGACCACATTTCTTGCCACGGCTTGAGCTAAATGGGGCTCGAAAGCCGCAGTTTCCAATTCGCTTGATAGGATAAATCGCGGTAAGAACGCTTATACCTTCATATCATCCTCTTTACTGCTAACGACTTACTGTTCGATGACCCGTGTAATAGTCAATATACTTTGACGCCCGGGAGCCGTTCTCGACAATCCTCCGTGAGCAGGGAACGTTGCATTGATCGTATCATGCATTCTTGTCAATGATCTAGCCAAAAATCCGCTTTCAAATATGTTGAAGCTGCGTAGCATAATGACGTATTCAGGGCTAAATTATCAAAAAGGAAAACGTTACTATCACATGAGCATTTGCAAATCGGATGGCAAAGAAAGGTGTCTCTACCTCTGGGCATAATCGTGCAATGAGGTGCCATTATGGATTGCGACTCTGGAGAAGAATTCGTGAAGCAACTGGAGCAATTTGGGGTATCCGCCGACAAAGGTGTTTTGCAAAAAGGTCGAGACTGTGGTAGCCATGGCTCAGTCAACGGATCAAGAGTAGTTGACTAAAAAATTGCTAAATTACCTTTGGTGGCCTCTTTAAGTTCTCGCTCAAAAGTGGCCGATAATACGCGCCAAAAATGGCTGACAAGACTGGTCGCGTCGAACATCTAGTAGAAAGGGGTATACAATTGAGTTAAATAGCACACATTAACTCTGTAAGAGAGCGTATTTACTTTGGCCACTTCCTCCAAAAAGGTCACTTGACTGAGCGAGTCCTTCTTTATCTCGAGCACTTTTTCCAAATCGTAGATCTGTAATCGCACTGGTCAGCTTCCATGTTATTTGACCCAAGGGATACATTGACAAAAAATTTTACCTTGATACAACTGTCACTCATGGACTGCATCAATGTCTCCATACGACCCCATATCGCTTGCGCTAATGCTTGCTGATTACCGAAGCTGGGTTCGTTATTCGTCCGTCGCACATTAGGATGATTGCCTACATCAAGCTAAGCATTAGACCGAATTATATGCATCGATGGATAAGACGCCGGACCTTTCATTTCTTTTTGCAACGAATGCATATCAACGACATGTTTGATATTTCGAGCGAGGTCGTCGAGCATTCCGTTGGTCAACTCCTGCACTCGAGTGCTCATTTGCCGCATGTTATGAAATATTTGCAGACCAGCTGCCATCTTTGCCTGCGACTGTGTATTAACTCCATCTTTGAGTAATCGATCCGCTTCGCTTTCAACTCGTTGCCGAGCGGTTTCTATGAATGCGAGTTCTTTCGTCACGATATGGATGCCTTCAAAATCGGATTCATTGACAATGGTCTCTAGAATCGTTTTACACAGACGATGAGCTCCTGCACTTTTGCTAGGTAAGCCTTTCATTTACCGAGTTCGTGTACGGTTAATGCCGCTGCCGAGAGGTCGCGTCCAGCCATACTATCAGGCTCTATAGATGTGTTCTCCGTCGATGGCAGTTGCCCTTCCAGTCTTCGTTTCAGCAGTAGAAAGCGATGGAGCCGCCTCAGCAATTCGCACGTTTGTTGCAGATTTTCGAGCTGTGTCGTATAGCTTTGAAGTTGATGATACGGATCCTTAATTTTTGAGACCAATCTAATAATACATGACCATTTAGCTATGATGATCATTTACCCCAGTAAACGGTTCCATGTCAATACTCACTTTCGCAGAGACAGCTTTAATTCCTGGATGTTGGCTTTGACGGTCGCCAATACTGTCTCCAGATTTTTGATCCCAGTTACTTGTCCCAGCAAGTCTTCGTAGTTGTCCGTGACCTGATCGACGTTTGCGTCAGCTGATAATGCCTCTTTTCAGCTACTTCTTTCTATGCTGAGCTGTATCTACCTGTTCCTGAATTTGCTTATTCAGGCTATCGATACTGAATGATAGTTTTGCGAGGGCCGTGCCGATATCGCTGCCGTCGCCAGTACCTGACTGATTCACGATGGTGTTCGCATAACTGTTTGCGTCGAATTCATCGGACAAAAAGGTGTCATAATCTAAGCATCCCATTTATTTAATACCATGTAAAATGAAGCAGGGAATAATGTTGCGAACCTATATAATTGTCTGCTTCCCGCAAGAAAAACGTGGTATTGCCGGCCATGATGCTGCTAGTGTTGAAGCATGCTTTGTCCAGAAAAGCGTTCGGGCTGCCATTTAGAGTCACGGCCGCTGTGACGGATGAAAAATTCAAACCGCGTTTCTTTCATCCTCATCGGATCACGAATTCAAACTGTGAGGCCTGCTTCTTCCAAATAACTAGGATAACGAGTGAAAAAAGATACAGAGGATCTTTTTTCCGAGCATTTTATAAATACTATTAAATGGAGATGTGTAATATGAAGAATAACTATATGAATCTAATGCAAATTGATGAATTCACACCCAGGCAGCAAAAACAGCAAGTCGCTGACGCTGACAAGCACGGATATCTGGACATGGTGAATCTGAGCCATAACGTGCAGTTCACCATCATGTCCAGAATCAAGGACACTGTAAAATAATCCCATAGTCCAGGTAATCGCTATGATCGCGCAGAGGCACTTGTAACGCTCGATGCGTAGCGATGAGGATCCATCTTGTAAACTGCAAGCTGACCCTAAACATCAACATGAGATACGTATCAAGGATATATCGAACGAGTAACTTTTTTGGTACCTTTTGAGTTTGCTTTGTCACATCTTTGGTGTGTACGAGTGCTGTCAAGCATTCTGTAACTTTATACTGCGGTAATTTCACCTTGTTTACAATCGTCTTGAGATGTCTTTTTTTTTGACGAAATATCAGTATCACCATTGTTTGATAACACCGTCTGTAGTACTTACAATCCATCAGGTTCCGACCGCAGTAATTTTAGAATCTTGTTAAGATTTTGTGTACGTTCCTAACATCCACATTCATTAATTGATCCCCTTGGCAACAGCTGACAATATGGGTAAATTACCGTGGATTCTCGAAAATCTAGAGGAAGCCGATCGATGATTTTACTAATATTGATCTGCCAGAAAAAAATCAGTTTCAGCATGCGTGGATCGCTCGCAGAATCCTTACCTTGGATACAAATACTCGTGTTTTCTTTCCTGGCTTTCCATTATCCACATCAGCATTGCTTTCTTTAATGGTTCTTTTTCTTGGCATCGCGTGTGTGGCGTGTCCGGTATCGGACGTTCGTGGTCTGTCTCGATTCGATGATGCGTTTTCCACTAGAAGCAAGTTTGAACAATGAGAGAAAAGTACGAATCTGACAGCAGCATCGAGATGGAACGCTTACTGGTAGATGGACGTGCCCGTGTGTCGGTCCTGTTTGCAAAAGATGATTTCACTGGCGCCTAGGCACACGGTAACATGAACAAATGGTGCGACCACCCAAGGTATCAGTCACCTACCTGTGGCCAATCAACCGTTGTGCTGTTGGCTGTCATGCCAAATAGAAAGGCACCAAAAGCGCTATTGAATCTGTTCAAGGAATCATTGATGTCTTTGAGGCGTTCAAAATGGCCGTGCATCGTTGAGAAGGACTGGCTCACGGCTGACAACGAATTCGAGAGCACTTCAAACCGTGTCACATCGGTAGTGTCGCGCTGAGAGTACCGATCCGCTGGCGTTGCATTGCCGTATTGAAAACGTCGTGAATCACGCCGATGAGGGGTACTGAAAGGTTGCATCAAAAGTAGGGTTGGAGCTACAGGAAAATCGAAAGGGTCTTTTTTTTTAACGCGAGTTTTTGGGTAGGTGACTGTGAAATCATGCTGCATGGATTCAATTTCGCTGAGGACCATCTTTGCCATAACTATTGTTCCTGGCTCATATCAAGTTTAACTCATCACCATTATGTTTCCATACAAACTGTTGGGCAAATATTTAGCTTGCTGTTATCTTACAAGTGCATGACATTTTTAGTTTATTCAAGATCTACATTCCGATGGCAGGAAGCAAATCCCTATACACACACTAGTGGACCTGTGAAATATCCGCATATCATCAGTGATTATTCCCGTGAATAACCCGATGGGGATAACAGTACAAAAAAAAATACTGTCAGCGCCGAAACGTAGGATTCGAAAAAGCTTTCGACAAAAGCCTTTCCTCGATATAGGATCGACAAGAAAGGAATGCGAGTGAATAATGGTACGATACGCTTCATTCGTTTTAGCCAGACCGTTTGGATGACGAAGGTTCGTTTGGACTTTGCGATGCTTCAGTGTTGGTGCTGGGACGACCGAGGATCTTGACCACCGGTGGTTTGGCTCGACCATTTTCCGATCGGTTTTTACTACCGCTGGTTTGTTGTGAGGCAGCTCCTTCTTTGTTTTTGGAAGACCGTTTTCGACCTTCTTTTTTCGATCGGCTGCTGCTGGAGCCTGTCTTTTCTGATTTAGTGCCTGAAGCCTTTTTTTCTGTCGTTGGTTGCTCGGGGGTCCCTGCGGGACCTTTCTTTTCCTCTTTCTTCTTTTTCCGTTCCCTGCGATTTGACTTTTTATTCGTTTCCGAGGGCGAAGCATTGGGCGCGTTGGAGGCGGCAGAATTTCTGCCTGAAGATGTTGACTGAGCTCCTTTCGATTTGAGGACCTTCTTCGCCGCACTTTTGGCCGCCTGGGCTTTCGCTTTCGCTGCTGCTTGGGCTGCCTTTTGCGCTCGTAAATGTTCAAGCAGTGGCGTCGTCGTTGGCTTATTCGCACGCTCGGCTGCTAATGCTTGAGCTAATTTCACATAGTTGGGTAGCGGTGTGAGATTCGAATTGCCCAAGAAATAACCACCATTCTCCTCTGCTTACCAGACACCATGGCCAACTTGTTCTCTAAGCGTTCGATCTGCGATCCACCTTCGCTCACATCGGCGGCCACCTCGGCTGGTTTGGCTTTTTCGGCTTCCAAAGCCTCCAGGAAATTCAAATAATCGCTATCTGTTCGCAGTGGAAAATTTGAGCATACGGAGCCGCAGGATTTAGCATGCATGTGTCGCCACTCACCGTTATCAATGGTGCCTTGCCTAGTATCCGGTGCCTTGTGTTCCTTGGGGAGCTTCTGGAAGGGAGCAAATTCCACGACCGCCCTGCTTTCGTTTCCTTGTAACCAGTAATCAATAAAGGCTCGGCTTATGACAAATTTTCCCTTGAAAAAAAATGGTTTGCTATCATACCTGTATTGTCGAGAAATATATGCCCGTCAAATCCGCGATGGAATTCAATAACAGCTTCCATGGACTTCATGTGGAAGTATGCTCGAGAATACACATGTTGCTTCGCTTTGCTAAACATTGGCGGATTTAGGATTCTTAACGAAAACTCGATTGAATGGACGGCTGTTGTGGATAATTACCTTTTGCTGATTTTGCCAGGAACATAATATTTGTAATCGACAACGTCATCGCCGGTCCAAGCCTTGACGGCATTCATAAATGTCTCCTCTGGCAAGTTGGGGGGCAGTCTTCGAACGACGACCTTTGTTTTGAGCACGTTTTTGCGATTGGCACGTTTCGCCTTTTTCCTTTGGCGATCTCTCTTTTTCTTCTTGGCGGCTTTTTCCGCGCCTGACTTGTCCAATTTCTGTTTGTCTGTTCCACTTGACTTTTTATCCTTGGTAGCAGGAGCTGGAGCTTCAGCCGATGCGGCAGGCACTGGAGTGACTTCGGAAGACATGGCGCTGTCAAGGACGTTAATACTGCGTCGCCAATTTTTTTTTTTATTCAAAGGGAACTTGAACTTTTTCATCACGTGCGATCGAATTTTGTGACAGGGCTTCGACTCACAATGCAATTTTCAAAAAGACATCCTCATTACAAATACCAGAGTTTCATTTCAGGCAAGTGTCACCACCTTTCCGTCTCACTGTATATTTATAAGTGAGAAGAAAATTATTACTCATCATTAAGTTAAAGTCAAGAAAAATCAACCATCTAGTTTATATATAATTGTAAGCGTCATTGAAGGAATCCAAGAAACCACTTTAATATGAGATGAGACTTTTCTTTTGGAATACTATCGATGTGTGCTCTTTGTAGTAGTAATCGTTGACAACCCGGTCAACAATTTTGTGACCATGTATCAATCGCTTGGTGAGCTTTTATCAGTTTACACTGGGACATTTCATAAGATCAAATATATTTTTCTTTGTTCTAGTTACTTTTTAGAGACCTAGCCACTGTGTGGCATATAAGCATTAGAAAACTTATACTCCGTCGACTTAATATTTTTTAGCATATGATCAACTCATTCACAGCACATCAGCAAGATTTGCAAAAATGCAATATTGACCCAAACTCCGCTGCCATACTATGACTGGATGCTTGTTTTTTCTCCGCATTTTGTATATTTTATAAAACACCAATATCTCCACACTTCCGTATCCTACAGACGTTGTTTCTGCGCTGCAACTAGCCTCTATTACTTTACTATTATTATATAAAGAATTTGAGCAAGTTAAATATGTAACTTTCAAAGGAAATGACCTTTTTTGATGGTCCATATATGTCATGATGATGCAATGGTGTGTATATGGTCCCGTGATGTAATGGTTAGCATATGAGACTCTGAATCTCATTATCCGAGTTCAAATCTCGGCGGGACCTTTTTATTACCCGGTGGTACTGGGAAATTTTTAGCCAATCAGCATCGAGTTTGGACTTTTTTTTTGCCCTCTTTTTTCTCTTTTTTTGTGACGAAACAAAGTGGTTATTGTAAGTTTTCTGCCATTTTACGGCAATCGATGGCTTTGAGTTGGTTTTTGTTTCGATGAAGGGTAAAAATGGGACACATCGATTCATTATCGCACTAGAAACAGGTCTCTTATTTTATATTTTATTTTATTACTTGATTCCAGATTTGTAACCGCGATATGTATATGCATGCAAGCAGAGTCTCTGCTTTATATGATCGGTCGACATTGGCGAAGTCTATACCGATAATTGTGAGTCTACAATAGCTTTTGCAAGACACATAACAAGTAGTGGGTGGAAGCGGGCCTTCATCATAATTTGGCCTCACGTCCAGCTGCGTTCATGGCACGATACGTTTGAAATGTCATCTAAGATTTTTATAGGAAGAGATTACATCGACGAAACAATAGCCATACGGAAATATGACCGAAAGCGCGTACCGCTTAAGCAAGTTTGCATTGATCACAGGATCCAACCCAAAGAATTGAAGTGTTTCAGTTCCGAGAAAAGGAATGCTGTACAAAAGAAGAACCTCATATTACAGAAGAGCCCTTGGAAACAAGCCATCAAAAAACGCATTGTAAAATGGACATACTGACGTTCGGCGAGCACAATCTGTACGCATAACACTACAGAATTAAATTACGCCAATTGAACTAAGAACGCTTGGAGCAACTTGTCTGTGATCGATGGTCTGAGGGGAGTTCATGCAATGCAAGTCCTGTTGTTATGGCCAGCAAAATCAGTCAAGCCCTATAAAATTGTCGTAGAGACCAAGTCAAATCGACGGTATCCTCATCTTGTAGTTTTTTTTTTCTTACGGCTTCTTCTGATCCCCGAAATTAGGTAGACAGATCATAACATGAGCTACTGTATCTGATCGTGTAGACACGACCCCTCAACAAAAAGAGCGAGCCATTCGGTAATCAATACCTTTTTGTTCGTTTCCCGCATCTGTCCCTCCATGAAAGTAATATCGCTTATCACCGCTGGATCGAGGACAATCGGTCTCCAAGCGCTAAAGAATTTCCAAACCTCACTTGTCTTCACGTATCAAAATATTAGCCTCTTTAAAAATTCTGTAAGTTATAATATTTATTGTGTTATCTGCCTTTATGCTTAAAAAAACATATCCAACCTAGCCTGTTTCGCTTCGCATTGTGTTTGCAATTTCCGGCGAACATTTTCAAGCTGTCCTCCCAGGATTCTTCATCGAGGTTGTCCATTACAACTTGCAGGTGGCGAAGTACCTCGCGCGGAGACATCTTGGAGGTTGTGGAATATCGATTTCGGGCTCAGACTTTTCATCATGGGTTGTTTGGACTGGGTTGGTCTTAGGGAGGCGGTTCTCCTTCTTCAGAAAAATTGATATCGAGAGAAATAGTGGCTGCATCGAATCCGTACATCTCTGAAATGTTCGGCCTCAAGGCTTCAACCTCAGGCAAGTTTTCTACAGGTTCCACCCTCGTAGCTGGCCCCAAGATAACCTTGAAGGCATTGCTAATGGTCTCTTGTCTGACCTGGCCCCAAGAAAGCTTCGACCATCGCATTGCCGTCAAAATGTCAATACGAAAGAGGTTGCTATCATTGGCCACGTTTTCAGAGTTATTTTCTTGCCAAGATTTGGCGGTGAATTCTTTCGTACTGCAAATTCCTAATAATTGGAGTAAACAATATAAGTATTTAATTGACAACAGAATCCCAATAGAAACAGCACTTACTTGAAGTGCACTTTGAAATTTTGAATAATTCCAGCATCAAGAGGCTGAAAGCTTTGCTGTGGTATTGGGAGGCAAGTACGGGAGCTCAATGTTGGTAGGAGTGTAGTCACACGTGCGTCCTGCGAAATTATCTCAAATCAGGATCACCTTTCGATCAAAACCTTGGATTGATTTATCAAAGCAGCGAAGGTAAACTTTGAAGATATCCTCGTCATCCAAGCAGTTGCATTATGAAAGTAAAAGGAAAAGCCAAAGGCAGCCAGATGCTATTTCATGCAAATACGGTGAGCGATGTACATTGAAGTTCACACTAATTTGTACTGTACCTTTTTCTTAAAACAAGCAGGTTGGCTTTTCCAATAACAATGACTCCCGTTTGTCGCTCCCATCAGCATTCGCAGATTGTCATTCTTGCGAGATGTGCGTTTGTCATGCTGGAATGTTTAGCCTTCTTCAGGAGTTGATCTTGCTGAGCTGATGTTAACTTGATGTATGATTTGAACTTTGACATGTAGAATATGGTTTCTGGTTTTTTTTTTTTTTTTTTTTTTTTTTTTTTTTTTTTTTTTGATCGGTTCCCTGCCAGGTTACCGACATTGGTAATTGGGCACTTGCCGTATGTAGTGTAACAACAGAACGCAGACTCCAGTAAAATAATAAGCTGTTTGGAGTTCTTTGTCGTCGCGCATCAACTGAAATGTTTGGTAATGAATCATGATTTCACTTAGATCGTATACGATAACATTCATGTAGTGTGCGTGTGCAAAGGATTTGCCGAAACATGTCGCAAACTCTTTTGTGTGGCTGAACAAATGGTTATGCAGTTGCCATAATTGCAATGTTTACCTTTGTGTGGAACAATGGCCGAAAAATTGCTGCGTGGCTTTTGCCTATTACCCTTTTTTTTTTTTTGGAAAAAAAAAGAAACGTGGTATTCGCGATAGTATGTAATCCCTTGGGATCATTTTAGTACATTTCATCAAGTTTCATCCACGCGTTTTGAAACGTTCAATCAAGCGAGGTAAGCGAACAAAACGACATTACCGAGAATGATTTTTTTTTATTTCATGCAAAAAGAAAGAACTTTACAATGTCAGTTAAAGATATGCCACGGTGAAACAGAAATAAACTCAAATGAACACGGCGGCTTTTTTCTTGGGTCATCCTCTTTTTGCCATGTTGGGTAATGATGCTGGAAATGGTGTTATCTCCAGGATCGGGCGATTTTTCGTGACTGATTCAAGTTTGGAACAAAAAGTTCCCAGGTTACTTTGATGAAGCGTGAGAAGCATCGCTAGCTCACTGGTTAGGTTGGGAGCTCGTTAATGCTAACTTTTATGGGTATCGCGATAAAGCCGTGTTCTTCCCCTATATTTCTTTTTTTCCTTTTCCATGATTGTCGATTGACATCATTTTTGCTTTAAAAGGGTATCTTTTTTCACATTCAGCGGTTATTTGAGCGAATAGATAGACAAAAACGACACTTATGCCCACGAAAACGCGCCAAGTTGGCGCTATGTAATTGAATTATAGTTTTGTTCATAATGGGCATGTACGAATAAAGGTAACATGCATAGTGATCATGTAAGATAGAGACCATAGATGATCCGCATGGATATCGTTCTTATTTTCCCATATTTGGGTACAGACAAAAAGACTCATCCTATATGTTTCATTTGCTGGATCCATGGGAATAAAAAAAATCCTTGGAGAAATAGCAAGGGTGAAACAAATTGGTAAGACAGATGCGAAAGGGAAAAAAGAAAAGGCAAACCAAGGTAACCAAGACGAGGTCCAGTCTACCCCATGAATGCATGCATACCCGCCAGCAGTGGGGATGCATATCGGGTCATATTCTATTTTTAGGAAAATGTTTGAAGTTCTGCCATCATCCTTATCAAGGTCGTTCAGTTTTCTCACGACAAATTCCCTCATTTCACACGATTCTATGGATGAATGGGTCGATGATGGTGAGAGGACAATCAAATACACATTGTGTACCCGGTCGGTTGATCCTCCGAACTAGGCTGCGTAAAATAAAAACACAGCAGTCTCCGCTCGTAATGATACGAATGCATGGCGACTGCAGAAGTCTATTTATCTCCTTATGTCATATTTATTTGCACCATCAGCGTGATCGATAAGGGTCATTTATCCAGATTAGAGAGAATACCCTAGAGTATGACAAAGACTATATGCAACAAAGCAGTAAGATGGGGGTGGGAAAACCTAATCTCATTGTTCAGATAGGATGGTCGAACCAAAAATTGACGTGCGGATTCTGAAATAAGCACCTATTGTGTGAAGGGCTCATATGACTCAAGAAATGCTCATCCAACCAAACTTGGCATTAGGTCCAAATCATCCAAATGAAACCAATGAGCTATCGCTTTTGTAAAATGCACCAAAAAAAAAAGGGCAAACCTTCACTATATAAATTAGAGCGACTTTTTCGCATGGTCAGATTACAAGTTAAAAAAAAAAAAAAAAAGAGAAACCGAAAAACCCTTTAACAACTTTTTTCTTTCCTGAATTCTCTCTTTTTCATTTTTTTTTTCTCCGCGTCGCATCAATAACCCTTCCACATCCCTCTTCAAAACCAAATTTTCACTCAATATGTCCGTGGAAGAGAAAAAACATTCAAGTGAATACAGCGGGTCTATCGTCCAAGATGCTTATAGTGGTTTGTGTCTATATCACTTCGCAGTGGCGCAAACGATGACCAACAGAAACTGATTCTGTTTGTTTATTTCATAAAAATAAATAGATAGCAATTTCGAATACGGTGGAGACGGAGACATCAACCGCGAACACGCCGGAAGCGCATTTCTTGCATTTGCCAATGTTGTCTGTGTCATTGCTGGCACGGGTACTTTGGGCTTACCAGCCGCTCTGAGTCAAGGTGGCTGGATTGGTCTCCTCATTCTGTTTCTGGCGTGGACCATGTCAACTGTACGTGCTAAAGATTTGAATACAGTCCATGACCCAATTTTTTTACTTATTTCCATAACATATTCTATAGTATACCGGTATCATTTTGGTACGATGTCTGTACGTACCTAAACAACGTCTCCACACCTACAAAGATATCGCCACCACAGCATTCGGTGTGATTGGCGGTTGGGTCACATTCTTCTTCAACGCTTGGATTCTTCTTGGTGCGCCCATTCTATACATGGTGCTTTCCGGCCAGAATCTCAGTCAACTTTGCAGAGGCACAGTTGGAGACATTGGCGATACAGCATGGATTATCATTTCTTGCGCCATTGTCGCCGTCCCGTTTGTCATTGTCAAATCGATGAAAGAAGTCGCCTTCATGAGCGCTTTCGGCGCCTTGGCCACGCTTGTCGTCGTCCTCATCGTTCTTGTGGTGGCATGTATCGACGAAAAGAACCAAGTCGATGTTACGCATTATCCTGTTATTTGGGATCAATTCCCTGTTGCTCTGTCCACGATTTCATTTTCTTTTGGTGGCAACGTCGTTTATCCCCATGTGGAAGCATCCATGAAAAAACCCAAGCAATGGCCCAAGGTCGTGGCTGCCGGTCTGAGCGTTTGTGCTCTCATGTATTTCCTCAGTGCTGTCCCAGGTTACTACATCTACGGCACCGATGTCAAGTCCCCTGTGTATAACTCTATCCCTGATGGTGTTCCCAAAATCATTTGCTTGGTCTTAATGACAGTCCACGTAATTACTGCGGCGCCCATTCTTGTCACATCGTTTGCGCTGGACGTTGAAGAAATGCTGAATATCACCGTCGACCGTTTCGGCCGTATCTGGGAATTCGTATTGCGCGCTATGTTGCGACTAACCGTCATGGTCGTCATCGGTGTCGTCGCTTGCAAAGCACCATACTTTGGCGATCTTATGTCGTTAATTGGTGCCTTTGCTAACTGCGCACTGATTTTTATTTTCCCGGTCATCTTTTACTTCCGTTTGACAGGTTTCAGAAACAAACCCTTTTACGAAATCGCTTGGTGCGGACTTATCGTTCTTCTCGGTCTTGTTGGTCTCATTTTTGGTACCATCGACGCCATCAAGCTCCTCATCAAAGATTTCAATTCTTAAATTTTTCTTTTTCTTCTTTTTTTATTTATCCCTCATTTGTTCATTTGTTATCCTCTGGCTTCTTTTTTTTTTGAAGTCCCTTCCTCCCCTGCATCTGTATTCCTGTTTATCTGTTGGTTGAACCAAACATTCACGTAGATGTGTATATATGTATTATTTTTTATTTTTCATTCCCTTTTTATATTTGGACATACCCATCGATTTTTTCCTTATTTTGAATTAAAGAGAAAAAGGAAACACACTTATTGTAGCCATTCGATACAACTGGTCCATACCAATTTTTTATGTGATTAATATTGCCTATTCCATTATACAATCTCGTCTGTTTCAAACCATTCTACAGTTTAGCGAGACCGAATGTCCTAATATCAACTTACAATTGTGAAAAGGCAAGAAGAGTTTTAGATGGTGAACAACGCTTTCTTTTTGAACTTTATAAACATTCTATCTACATCATCCCAACTTGGGATGTTCCACGCAAACCCTTCTCTATCAGTTATATAAAAGCGAGAAACAAGTAAAAAAAATAAAAAAAAATAAAGAAGAAGGATAAATGAACGAAGCAATGAAAATGGGAAAGAAGAAAAAAATGAGGATGAATAAACAAGGAGTTGAGTGGATGTGAGCAGGGAATGGATGCAGACTCTATCATTGATATGGCATGAAAAATAATGATGAAAGATAATAATCAAAAAGAAAGTAATAAAATAATGTCATTTAGAACCAACTGGTCTTTGTCTGATATTGCAGAGGCACGTCTCTGGAATAAGCAGATCGACCACCACCACCGCCGCCGCCGCTCAAGGGTGGATAGTTGGAGTAAGGTGGGAAACCTCCCATGTCATAGAAACCACCGCCACCGCCGCCAGGACCATTACGAGAGCTGCCGCTGTAGTCTCGTCGGAAATCGCGGCCACCAAAGTTGCCACGACCGCGACCTCCGCGGCCTCGGCCACCATAGGATCGTGATTCACGAGCAATGGATTCCAAAAAGCTTGGAATTTCTTGATTGGCCTCTTTCAAAATATCGACAAGATCATTCACGATGTTCTTGTTACCACGGTTGAAGAAGGCAGTGGCCAGACCAGTGTTACCAGCACGACCAGTACGGCCAATACGATGGACGTAATCGTCAATATCGGTGGGTAGATCGTAAGAGATGACGTGCGATACGTTGGCAATATCGAGACCACGCGCCGCCACGGCTGTGGCTACCATGATTGGCGTACGACCTGTACGGAAAGAATCCAAAGCACGCTCACGCTCACGTTGAGTGCGATCACCGTGAATGGAGGTGGCAGGGAAATTCGAGTTCAGCAAGTAATCGCAAAGGGCATCGGCCATACGTTTCGTTTCCACGAAGATCAAAGTCAAACCGGAGACGTCCGTCGAATGAAGAATATCCAGCAACACCGACCGTTTGTCTTCGTCTTCAACATATTCCACCTTTTGCGTGATGTTTTCCGAAGTCGAGCCTACACGACCCACCGACAAGAAAATGTAATCCTTCAAGAAATCGCGGGCCAAATACTGAATGTCACGGGGAAAAGTCGCCGAGAACATGAGAGTGACACGATCTTGCACAGGCGTCATATCTTCTTGTTCGACAATGCGTCTAATCTGGGGTTCGAAACCCATATCCAACATGCGATCCGCTTCATCCAAGACCAAGAATCGGATGTGAGCCAGCGAAATACGAGCGCGTTCAATCAAATCCACCAAGCGACCTGGTGTAGCCACGAGAAGGTCGCAGCCACGCTCAATTTGGCGGAGCTGACCTCCGATGTCCGCACCTCCATAGACTACCGCGGGACGAACCCAGCTACGGTAAGCAAACTTCTTGGCTTCTTCATAAATTTGTGACACCAATTCACGAGTGGGGGCCAAAATCAGAACCGCTGGGTAGGCTTTTCGAGAGCGGTATCCGTGAGAGGGAGTTTCAGGCCCGCTGGCCAAGGGGCCTTTGCTGAAGAGCTCCGACAAGACGGGGAACAAGAACCCACCTGTCTTACCAGAACCTAGAGGGAGTTTCAATCTCAGCCATCGCACTTTACCCTTTATGAAAATCAATTCCACACTTTACCTGTTTGAGCGCACGCCATGAGATCTCTACCGGCACCGACAATAGGGATAGAGTACTTTTGCACAGGAGTAGGCGTAGTGTATCTTGCCAATTCGATGTTGCTCAAAAGGTGAGGATCCAAAGGAGGATGGGTGAACTATGTTGACCATCTCTATTGGTTAGCTCTGGTTTAGATCCATGCTACCGGGACTCCATCTCAAATGGGGAGTTTCAGGGGTAAGAAAATCAAAAAAAATTTACCGTGGTTACAGCCTCTGGACAGTTATCACCACTAGCCTCCACAGGGATATCATCGTACTTTTCAAAGTTGATGCCGGTCTGTTGGGTTACAGAATCATCCACTGTCCCAAACAATTCCCGTTCAGTACGAGGATTGCGGTTGCCGACGTGGTGGACGCCGTCTCTCCAGTAACCCTGACTATCATCTCGACGGACATAACCGATATCGTCACGACGGTTGTTACGGTATCCTCCATAGGAACCACGTTCGAAAAAGTTGTTGTTGCGAGGACCGCCCCAACTATTGCCTCGGCTGAAATCCGAACGGGACGACGACCAGCTGTATGGTTTTTTGTTTCTCGAAAATCAGTCTTTTGCTTGCTTCTTTTTTTTGTGCACTTCTAAATCAAGATAACTTACCCGTCACCTCGGTTACGTTCATTGTTCCAGGCAGCCCAACCTTCGTTGGCACCTCTGCCACGACCGCCGTCTTGGAAACCACCACGACCACTACCACCTCGAAGGTGAGGAGGGACATAGGCAGACCGTCCTGAATTGTTTGAGGGACCGTTGTACTTGTTGCCACCAACGCTCATAGCAGCTAAAGAAAGAGGTGGAATAATAAGCAAATATTATTTCGTCCTATGGCTGTAATATCAAAGTCCTACCAAACTGCTGATCTAAGCTTTGCGAGTTATAACCATGGTTCATCATTCAGATTGCAAGATCCCAATGAGTAAAAGTAAAAAAGAATACAGTGCAAGGCACAAGGTTGCAAAAACTTTTTTTTAAAGCGCTTTCAGCAGTTAGATGACGAAATAGTATGACGAATGATAGTCCAGTTCCCAAAAAAAAAAAAAAAAACCAATCTAAATGATCTATTATGACGGACTACCACAGGTATTTCAGGTTGACCCCTATATCTCGATTCTCAAAGGTACTATTGCCTAAAGCTCGACGCCAATGAATTGCATGCGCCATATTATCAGCCAGTAGATACATTTTGCCTTCCAGCCCTTCGTCTTCGTCAAGTCGTACAGGTTGAACCATCACAGCACTAGTGCGATCGAATTGCAAAACTACGCCTTTTTGCCGATCAATGCACACTGTTTCCTCATCCTCGCATGACGGTTTGTGTACATCTTTCAAATACCCCAAGGGAAGAATATCCACCGGTCCTTTATCCTGTATAAGGGAAAATTTAGTACAATGAGGGAGTTTACGATTTGGCTGGATTTTCGTTGTTGGGCAATAGGGCCGACGCTAGTCTTACCTTGTACGAAAAATCACGCAGTACAAGCTGACTGTCTTTCAGCGTCACCCAATATCGTTTCCAAGTCTAAAGCACCAATTCATGAGCTTATCTCACAGAATATAATGTAATCAAGGCGGGAAACCACTTACAGGAAAAGCGAGTCCTCGGACATAAAAGGTAAGATAGTCGCCTGCTTTGCAATGGGCCAGAGCGGCCTTTAAATCTTCAGCCCGAATGTCTGCGTCCAATTCTGAGGACAAAGATTGATACGAGAAACCTGGCCGCTGCGCAGATATCTTTGAAAATAGCTTTCCAGCCGAGGTTTGCTCTTCTTGCACTTGCAAATCAATGACGAGTTCCAGCTCAAGTCCTTTGATTTGTATGTTTTTAGGCTTTGTTAATTGATACCGTCGTGTGCCTTGGTTACAAGATTCAAGGCCGTGGTCACCAGCCGAAGTAAGTCGCAAAAAGCCAACCACAGGCATGGGTTCCAAAGGTTGTTGTACGATGCCCATACGTGACAGCCATGCGTGGGCAGGTCTCGCTGCTACAATAAATGTCATGGTGAAAGGACCTTTGACCGACCTAGAGGAATAAAGCCATGTTCAGTGGGTTTAGCCATCGTAGTGCACCATTTTTTTTTGTTGTGGTTCTACTATGTACCATGACATCGAAATGTCATCTCGCAAATCAATGCTCGTACGTTTGTTGGATCCCTTCAAAGAACCTTTTTCTGATAACTGAGTGATATCATTCAATTGCAAATGCAACTCATAAAGGTAGTCTATGCAAACGCATGGATGTCACATTATCTGAACCTTGTTTTATTTATTTATGTGACAAGCCTTACCTCGTGAGGAACCCTTATTGATGACTTGTTTCACTACAGTGTTCCATCATCAGCAAACAACGATATTAATGTTTATATAACGCTTCATCACGCACGAACCTTGACAGTGGATTGTTTTTTTCTTGAGTACTTTAGTAGGAGCGTAAGTTCGTTTAACAATCGTGACCGGTGACACGGTATGCAAGTTATTCATATGAGACCTGAGAAACGATAAGAAAAAATTATTCCAATATTAACTATGGTCATCTATCCCTACCGTAAGAATCCAAAGTGATCCGTGTCTGTACCGTAGAACCGCTCTTCAGCAGAAGCAGGATGGCGATCCACTCGACGCGAACCTTGCATGGTTTCTGCATTCACTGTAGGCGTCACCTCCATACCTGCATGGTAATGGTTATCATCGTGCCGTGTTGTCTCTTCATAGTATATCATATCATTGTGATCTGCACTCCCACCCCTTTGAGTTTGGGGTAACCCCTGAGACATTTTTCGTCCCAAGGAATAAACTTGGTTTGATGAAAGAAATTGATCGATAGGCTTGCCCAGCCATGTGGCGGCTCTTCGTAACTGGGTTTTAGGTTGCGATGCAGAATTATCTTCTGATACTGATTCTGGCAAAGGTGGGAGAGCGCGGTTCATGATCTCTGCATATGGCAGCTTGGGAAACTGATGTTCCGACGGGGTGGCAAAAGATGTAGCGGCTACATGGTTTTCTTGCGACGTCAAGGTTGATAGTTCATCATCGTAGTTATTCCATTCCTCATAGGACGGTGAAAAATCATGTATTTCATGGTGATGGTCTGTTGTCACGGCGGTCAGGTCCATTGATTCCATGGTTGGCATTGTTGTCACATCATCCGTATCTGGAAAATCAGGGGAACCGTAACCATCCTGACCATAGCGGGCTGCTTCATCTCTTTTCGGCGCATATGATGTATAGTGAAGATCGGCTCCTTGATTCATCAATTGGTTCATCGCACGGTCCTTGGGCGATTCATATTTCTGATGATCGGCTGTAGCAAGGGAAGGAATATAGGGACCCACACGCTTCAAGGAGGGCTGAGTTCGCCATCTTGGTAGAGACTCTCTTCGCGTGGCTTGCATAGGATGATTAAAAGACGTGTAATTGGACTGCAACGGCATAGTGCAGAATAAAGAAGCAATGTATTAAGGAACAGGCATGTACACGCATAAAAAAATGGTTCCTCATACATGTCGCAAGTAGGACTGGGTCAAAGCTTACAAATAGAATTGAAAAAAAAAATCGAGATTACAACATTCCTATTGCATATTTTAATGGAACCAAAAATCAAATAGACCAAGCAGATCGATAATAATAAGATTTTGTTGTGGGACTTATTGCCTGCTATGTTTCTCGAGGCGTTGAATGGCGGTGTTTAATTATGTGCTTATAAGAAAGAGACACTATGCATGGAAAAAGTCTAAGATTACACTAGTTAGAGACGCGATTATGCGTGGGATCACATTCGATTTCAATGTTCTTGATATATGCAGCAATTTCCGGAGCCTTATCCCACTAGATTGATAACAAAGTCCAAGATTAATCTTTTTTTTTAAAATAAAATAAAAATAAAACGCGCTTTGGATCAGATATCTTACGTTGATAGGTCCAGCTGCCCATTCAGCTGTGCCGGGTTGAAAGCTACCGTCCCAGAGTCCGACCTGAATACGCCTTTGACCATGAAGATATGGAACAAAGAGACCGAAACAAAGAGACACACATGATATAATTTAGTAAAAACATTTGCGTATGGATTATACAATGATACATACATGGGATGAGTAGGGTATTTGCATTCGCCCTTGGAACAAGTTTCTGTTTGCTTTTTCACACGGACGGTTTTGCCATTGATAGACCATTCGATTTTGGAGGGTGACCTACAATCCAAAAAAAATAATAATCGTGATTTAGAATGCGCTCACGTGAATCAACGGTAAAAAACGTGCTTACCAGGTCACAGTATAAGTAAGGAAGTTTTCGGTAATGTCCTTTGGTACTTTATGGATGTCACCGTTAACACCATACACGATATCATCGCCGTAAAAATAGTTGGTTCTAGACAAAAAATATTACGTACAAAGATGCGTAAAGGTGATGTTAGTGAAAAAAAGTCGCATCTCGTTGATACTTGGTTATACTTACTGAACATGATTGGGATCACCTAATCAATATAAAGGAAATTAGAAAAAATAAATTTTAAGGGGAAATACATCCGATAAACTAGCTTGCGGTACCTCCTAGCATTTCATAATCGATTTCATCACCATTGTCGCCAATAAGAATAATAGCCGTGATCGCTCCACCGACGGGTGCGCTCTTCACCGTGGCCGAGAATTTGCCAAACTGCATGTAGTCGGTCGAATTAAACGTTGCGCCGCTTCCAGCATACTTGTTGTAAGGCACTATTTTCACAGAATGGAGAGTTAAGTTATTGAGTGAACTTATAGTCTCGTCGAGTCAAAAAACATCAACGAAAAAATTGAGGTCAACTTACAGCCTTCGGAATCCTTCAAGCGCACGTATTCCTCCGGAGGAGCCAGCACCAACTTGAGACCCTCTGAGGTGACTTTCCAGTTCTTCCTGGTGGGATCGATCTCTTTCCAACCAGAGGTGCCTTGAGTGAAATCGGTGCGGATGTTAGTGCATGCTGTTTTTTCGGCTCTAGCCATCAAGGATTTTGGCGGAGCATGCGTGACAGGCATAGATACGTCATGACCATAGGGTGCAGTATAAGGCCTCTTATTCACCGGTGAGGCGTCCAAACATTGGATTGCTACGAATAACGCGATAACCAAAAGGGAGCGTACCATAGGAGACAAGCGAAAGAAGAGCAGCTGATGCGGTTGCAGGATGAAAAAGTAATGTCATTATATAGCCAAAAAACCCATTTTCCCTGTCCAGGAGGATCGAAAACACGAATTCTGTTTTGTTCATAGAATTTAAAAATAACTTGGATGCAACGAATTTCTTTATCGTGTTAAAAGTAAATGAGTTTTGTATTCCGCGCCGGTATTGAATGGCTCAAAAGCAGTAAATATCTGTGCACATCTCACTGTCGATCCATCCATAAAATGGAGACGAGGGTGCGGTAATAAACCATCTCAATTCACATCCCACAGTGTGGATAGTGATTTTGGGTTGTGTGGTAGTTGGTTTTTTTTTCGTCGCTTTGAATGCTCCCTTTGTTCTTCCTTGCACCTCCTCTCCTCATCTAGACCCCGCTCTGGACCACTATTTTCCACTCCCTTCCCCTTAGTCTCCCTTATATTTGCATGCTGGTCGGTTCCGCAAATAAGATCATCGAATCATTTACTGGTTTCTGGGGTCGCTTCTTTCATTGGCACATCGTTTTTTGCATTTCGGCAAATCCCTTTTTTCCGATCCCATGTTTAATACGCGCGTTGATATCTTTTTTGGCACAATACGTGACGCAGTCGAATAGTTTATTATTGTAGTGTTTCCTTTTTCGTTTTTGGTTCGTCTAATAGCGTTTCTTACTCGTCGGTCTTGTTATCAGAGAAATAGCTGCCGGCAAAAGGAATCTTGGACAGAATATCCTTCTTCACAAGAGGAATGTCGGAACCCAAGAGAGCGAGGGCACAACCGGTGGCGACACCCCAGGTGGCGAGGTTAGGAGCACTACCGGATATACAGTTAACGAGAATGCACAATGCGAGAGTGACCAAATGTACACTACTTACACTCGAATGAGTTTTTCGGGAGTGACGAAAGCAAAGTGGGGACTGGAGACGATTCTAGCGACAGGCATGATAGTGTGAAATGGGATGGAATTAATACAAGAGGCCAGCCCCCCCAGACAGTGATTTTTTTTTCAGTAAAAAAACACAGGCATCGGAGTTTGAGTTGAACACTTGTGACGTACAGTGAATTTTTTAAAATGTCTTACAAAGATGATGGGAAGGGATTGTGAAATAAAAAAGGATGTAGAATATATACAAATATACAGGCGAAAAGATCGTTTAATCTGTCTCATTACCGATCCGAAGCATGACAGAAAGCCATCGTTCGTCGTTGACCCAGTCAATATTGCTCTCGAGAATGAGACCCTTGGAGTGATAAAAGATTTCCGTGAGCTTTGTATTTGAGAATCAGAGTAAAACAAAGGAACTTACAATCAGCACGTTGCGTGCAATTTCAAATCTGTTTTGCATTTCTCGAATTCTATTATTGTGCCGTTGTATAAGTGACGAGTGAAGGGAGTTGACTAGCATTTTATGATTTACCTTTCCGTTAAAGCTTCTGGGTTTTCAGCCGCGAGATCATCATGCATGTCTACTATGATTTCTGATTGCGAAACATTTTGCTCTTCGATTGATGCCATTAATTGTCGGTTCGCTCGATGGCACTCTGAAATACAACCAAAATATGAAATAGATTAATCTTTCTGATCGTTTTCTCCTGGTTCCTGATGACACCATACCGATAATTTGACGTTGGGTATTCACTAGGTTCGCTTTTACCTCGCGTAAGCTTTCAAAGGTTTGCATAAAACGTACAAGCAGCTCGTCTCTTTCCTCAATTTGTTTTTCAACCAGTCCACTAGAATACGATGGAAAATAAGTAACTTAAGGGCTGGCATCGATCGGTCCATCAGCTACTTACGCTTGCTTTAGGGTATCCGGAGCGCTATCCGGTGGATAGAGCGCAGACAGTACTTGATGCGAACCATCAAGACTTCGCGTCAAAGCGTCTTTGCCAAGATTGAACTGTGTAATAACATCCAGCTGTGTCCGCAGCGTGTTCAATCGTTCTTTGTATCGCTCTAGATTTTCAGTGACTTCATCTAGCGTTAAGCGACGGACATCGTGCTCCAAGGATTTCGCTTCAGCGACGTTCTCATATCTTTGTAGTTGTCGTTTGAGCCAGTCAATTTCGCGCTCAGAATCTAGTACAAGCTGTTCCTTTTCTGATAAAATATTCGGCATGCTGACCAGCAGACAAAAGGTAGAACACCAGTGTCACACGAGATCGCGTCTGTGTTGAAGCTTTGAGTGGCTTGGCCCATGCATACCACTTTTTTTTCTGCGCGATCATCACTTCTTGTGCACAGTGAGATCATAAAATAGTGTAGAAAAAGTCATCTTTTTGTGTAAATCTTGGCTCTCTATCCGTCATCTGGACGAAATACGATTCGTGCGCTTGCGAGCATTGCCAAGAACTGATATAACAAAGAATACGCCTCTGATTGGCTCTCGTAAAAATAAAACCCTCGTTTGCCCCGCTTTGGAAATCCCTTTTCTTTTCACTGCCTCCATTCAAGCTCCGGCGACAGTTGCCCCTTGATACATGAGACATCTTTTTGGCAAAGAGCACAAGTCGCTTAAGCTTCAGAAAAGGCTTCAAAAGGAGGAAGAGATTCTATGGAAGCAAGAGCAGGCACTTCGAAAGGAACAAGAAGATAGAGATGCTGAATTGGCCCGACAATTGCAAGCAGAATTGGACTCGGACGGTTCGACGCCGCAGTTGCCTTTGGCACCTACGCCCTTTGACCCGGTGCCACCGTCCTCTTCGCCTGTCAATAACCCAGAGAGTCCTCCACCATTGCCAGTAAAACCGGCTGCATATAATTCAGGTAAGTGTTCTTAAGGTCGCTTTCCAAACACGTCTCTGACCAGACTTTAACCTTTTGTTCACAGTGCACGGCTCCACAAGTGCATGGTCTTCACCAGTTGGCGCGATATCTCATCAACAGTCTTCATCGTCATTACCGTCATTTGCAAACTCTGGCACCAGTGAAAACAGCCAAGCGAATTACAGGCCCTCGACGTTGAATAGCGATGTGCCTTCCTTACCGCCGCGTCCATTGCCATCGTATTCTTCGACGAGCAATCTATCGAATCAATCGACTCACAATTACAGTCAGCCATCACCTTCTCTGCCACCCGTAATGTCACCGTCGCCAATATATGCGCACCATTCACACCATTCTTTGCCAAAGACTTCTTATCCTATGGCCTCGGCGCCTGTTACATCGTCTTCCTCAGCATCTTCGTTATCAACAACACCACACCCTCAAGCACTACCGTCTCGTCCCATGTCCCGAGACAATTTTGTTCCTGTAATACCGGTGGCACCTACTACTCCTGCGCCGTATACTCAACCATCGGTACCATCCTATTTTCCGATGCCAGAACCCCAGATCGTGCATAAACGACACCAATCCTCATCTTCCGCATTTATACCCTCCGTAACGCAGCCACCCGTGGTGCCTAGTAGCAAAACTGCAAATACCATGCCACATCGACACAAGTCCCATCACTCTGTCCCTACAGCCGCCGCCATCGCCGCCGAATCTCCAGTTTTTACGGGTCCAATGCAGAAACCCGACGAGGTTTTTCCCACTCCCTCCAATCATACCACCATTTATACCAAATCTTTGACTGATCTCGATACGGAGGAGTCAAAAGAAAATAGGTTTTGGGAAACATCTCCTCAGGTGATAACGCTATCCAAGAGTCCAAAACTGAGCCTATCGGAACAATCACGATTGTATGAGCCTATCACGGAAGATGACAATGGTGATCCATTCGCGGATAGCTTTGAAATCGAGGAAGAGAAGCAAGATAAGACGGCAGTTGAAATTCACAACCATTCTGATATCAGTACAAGTTCCCAGGCATCCTTGAAAGACATGCAAGCCCGTCTACAAGCGCTACTAAAAAGTGATAATGCAAGTACGGACAATGTTTCTACCAATGACGAGAAGACTTTGGAAGAAGGAAGCGACCGACAGCATCGTCCAAACGGCTTGATTATCGGCCATCAGCGCTCACGTTCTGCGGTATCTCTATCGCAAACGCCTCAGCCCTCATCGCAGTCGATACCCCCAGCTTACGCAGCATCCGAGTGCGATTCTGTCGATGCTATACCGCAAGTATTTCCAACAAATATACTTCGTGCGGGTGCACCTACACCGGTCGTCACCGAGGCATCTACCACTGTTGAGCCGCATGCGCCAGTGACTTTTTCAGAAGGTAAAAATCCTACAATATGAGGTTAATATATTGTACAGGCTGTAACTAGGCTTCATATTTTTTAGTGTCCTCCAAGGACTATGGTTATTACAAGATTGCACCTAGCTCGACCAGCACCGTACCCGCCAATCTCAACAAGTCGTTGCCGCAGGTTCCTACAAGTAAGTGCTGACTTCAAAATATTTGACGCGTACCGGTTTGGCTGATAGTTGGTGTGGTAACATAGCGGATCCAAATGATCGCCATATCACTGTGCCTAGCATTGATCCTGAACATCGTGTATGGATTCGAGTGCATCCCACCGACACTGGAAAATCGCTTGCTCAGCGTATTCACATTGTGGCGACTTTCAAGACCCGGAAAATCACCAAGATCAAAACAGCTACTGGTCGTGAAGTGCCTATTAACGATACACCGGTATTTAGCGATTGGAATGAAATTACGCAGTTGCAAGATGGTGCACCATGGCAGGTCGAATGGGGCCCTATTGAAAATCAGCTGTTAGACGCAATAGAAAACGGTATGTCATTTTCGCTAATGCTTTTCGCCATCCCTTGAATTGCATCAAATCTGACTTGCACTTTTGTTTTGATTCAGGCAAAGAAATGATGCGAAACTTGAAAGCTAGTTTACGATCACAGTAATGCACCTACTGATATGTCTACATGCATCCATATATAATATGTATAAATATTTTTGATGCTATTATATCGATACTCTTAGAAAAAAAAAACGAAAGGGAATGGGGAAGAAAACACACACATTGAAAAAGAACAGATGAATGAATGCTAAACGAAAATCAGGATATCAGAAAAAGACAGGATTGGGAAATGGGAAGAAAAAAAAAGAAGGGCAAGGTTGGGAGACAGGAAGGTAACGAGTGAAAAGACAGAATGGAGTGATTAATGCAAACGAATTGAGGACACATTGATGATTCACTGGGATTTTCTTCAGTGAAGAAAAGAAAAAGAAACACCATGACGACGGTTTTTTTTTTTACCATCCGTTTTCGGCGTTTTTAAGCTTGAGATATTCGTAAATCTTATTACCAGTTTGCTCTTCGCGGATTTGTACCATATAGACCATGCTTGTGCGTTCCTGTTCATTGACCAACAGGAATGAAATACGCTTTGGATTGATACGCTCCACGTTACGACTCTGTACGGATGCGCTGACCAGTTTCTTGGTAGCTTTGCCGCTTTTCTCTACGTCGATATGGATATGCATCTTTTTGCTCGGCAACTGTTGCGATATCTTCATCGTGACGCTGCCAAAGCTACTCCAATTGGAATGTTCGTTTTGCACAAACAGTTTACATTTGCATTGCATCACGAGCTTCAGTGTCTGAGGAATAGGCGCCAGTTCTTCGGTGGAGATATTCTCGTCGAGCAACGAAGCTTTCCGCACAGAAGAGGGAGGCGAAATACTTTCATGACGTGTCACACGCAATGATTCTTGGTACATTCGATTTAGAAGCAGGGTCAATCGCTCGGCTTCGGAGGCTTCAGTGAAATGGACAAGGTACATTTCTTTGCGCGGACCGAGGAATACACTCAATGTCACATCGGTTTCGGATGGGCGGCGAATCAAGGTCGAAGGAAGAATCCAAGCGTTTAAATACAACTGAGCCGTACTCTGTAGACGAATGGCGACGCACGATCGATTCGTAAAGGTCTGTCGTACTTCAAGCAAGCATTCACCGTCCACAGCATACCATGACTCGTCTTTCCAATGAAATACTTCACAACCGTGACTATACAGCACCTGTCGTATACCGTTTGGATTCCCGTTCATCATATTAGGCTATACAAATAAAAAAAAGCAAATACCATTTCAGGTTAGTTCCGTCGCTTGCCATGTTGCTATTTTTGCAGGATACTTACGCTTCGAGGAGGCGATCCGGCATCTTCCTGACCAGGTGCGGTTAGTCTTGGTGTGCCAGATACAAGAGCAGGTCGCGGCACTGATTGCTGACCAAGGTAGGTAGGCACGGCCGGCGTCGACAAAGCTGCCGCTGGTGAATGATAGGGACTCAACGATGAGGATGATGTGGTGCCGCTCGAGAGGGATGGACGCATTAATGGTGTGGGTGGCGCAGATCGTTGCAAGGAATCATCACGGCTTAGTGTATGCGACTTTGACGAAGTGCTTGCTCGAAGCGAAGAAGCCGATCGTGCAGCAACAGGTTGGTTGTAAGGTGGTGGACGAGGACTTCCAGGACGTTGTTGCGGTATCATCATCGAAGTAGGACGCAGTTGTGAACCAGCGGGATTCAAGGACATGGATCGTGTAGGCGCATAACCAGGGGCTGACGAGATCTGCATGGAAGGCCGTTGGGGATAAGGTCCTGAAGGTCCACGTACCATAGGCGAAGGAGATCGACCATTATGTGCAGGAGGGCGCATTTGCTGGTGCTGAGGCGGTGGAGGAGGATACTGCTGCCCGGGAGGAGGCATGGTCGCACTTCGAATCGAGGATGTTCGAGGCAAAGGCTTGTTGGTCATTGGAAATGCGGCCGACTCGGGACTCAGACGAGGGGTGACGGGCCGTGAGCCCATATCATGGGCCTGTCGTTCACGGACGGCGCTATTGGGCGTGGGCGAACGGCTGGCGGGCGGTGTCATGGGATCACGCAACGACAGGTCTGCTACCCGCTTATCCTTTGAACGATCAGTGGACGACGATGTTGACGACGACAAGGAAGCCGTCTCCGTTTTCAGTGCAGCAGGGTCACTCTCCCCGACAGCGATGGAGGCAATTAGAATTTCCAAGGATGATCGCTTATTACTGTCCTGCTTGGCATTCATCTGAGACGTCGATGTGGTAGAGGTTGAAGCTGAAGCTGAGCCCGATGCCAACGTGGATGTCGAAGCAGAAGCAGAAGTAGAGCTGTTGCTGTTGGTGTTTGGTACCCCTGGGAAATCGGATACACTAAACGAAGATCGCATGAAATCTTTTACTGGGACAATGGGTGGCAATTCCGGTAATAGCTTTTCTCCAGTCGGTTCGGCAGCGGAAGGTGCCTTTGGCAATGACTTGGAAGCGGCGTTTGGGCCTGACATGCCGGAAAGATCTTTTGGCGGAACAACGGGTAAAAAGGAAGCCCGCGACTCGAACATATCATCGTCGGATTCATCGGACGAGCTTTCCAGCGGTGAAATTTCTCCCGAGTTTTCACCATAAAACGAAAACACGTCTTCACGGCGGATCATGGACCGTTTTTTCTTGGTCTTTGCAATTTCAAGAGGAGGACGCTGAACTCCATTCTGTAAGGCTGGGGCGTTTCCACTGTCAGGAGCATGCATTTGCACGACCACCTGTAAAGGCTTGGGAGACAACATGGCTGCATTGGCGGCGGTCGATTCCAGACCAAGCCACATATTGCGTACTTCCCTTGCGTCTGCGCGCAGTGTCAATTGGGATTTGCCATGGATCGTCAATTGCACAAAATATTCGCCTACGATTTCCCGATTGAGTAAGATGGATTGAACGGCGACATCCCGAAGGGCAAAGGCGGGATAGATCAGCAAATACGTTTCATTGGTCGTTTCCTTGCAGATGAGAAGCTGCTCCGAGGTCAAAGTGGCGCGAACACGTACTGGTCGACCGATTTCGTTCTCGGGAAGAAGCATGAAATGATTGTGCACAATGAGTCGGGCATCCGTATTGATCAGTTGCGGCGAGTAGGACTAAGGAGAAGTTCAATATGGGTGATTATTCATTCATGTTTTATACATACGAACCATTGGCGCTCCGGTAGCAAAGTCAACGACTTGGGAACAATTCATCTGCGACACAAATGTCTTTAAATTGATGCCTCGTCTCATCGCTGGAGTATCTTGATTCGACAAATGAAAATCGGTCTTGATCTGAGGTAAAGTGAGCGTGGTAGATTGAGAACTTTCAATGCTCGTCGATGAATTAACAAAGGATGATGAGAGCGATGAGAGCGGACTCGTTTCCTGAATTAAGGACATGATGGCGTCTATTCTGTTACTGGCAGCTGATACCAATGCATGGTCAGATCCGCCAACTTCAGTGCTGTCCAATAAATTCTAAAGCAGAGTAGTTGTTTTTATCCTTTGAGTAAGCAACTTAATTTTCCCTTTTTTTTTCTTAAGCTTTAAAATACGTACATTATAAAGTACTTTATAGTACTGCATTCGTTTTAAAGGGGCATTAAAGAGATATTCAAGCGTAATATCACAGGATTTGACAGTCGACAGATTCTAAAAATTCGAATGTTAGCCCCCGATGATGTCGTCCATGAGCTTTTTTTTTCTTTTTTTCTTGGCACCATTATAAGTATGGTACATGACCATCTTCCTAAGTGCAAGTTCAAAGTAATACGAAAGTTGGATAGTTACATGAAGTAATTGTTGGATAGATGCAAGAGAGGCGATATCCTGTCGTTGATTAAGATGGGTAATGTAACTTCTAGAGAAATTGCCATAAGGAAGTTCTATAGTCTTGGACTGGAGAGTGCGATTTGCAGGCATGTTAGCTTTGTGATTTGCACATTAACAGGGGTGGAGGGGTTGACTACGTTACCCATTGCATCAATACATCTCCGAGATCCCGCATTGTATGAGGATTAGCAGCAATATGATCGAGTTTCTAAGCGAGCCGGTTTGCCAAAAAAGAAACATGCCAACGTCAGACATTGGTACACAAGACGGGAAAGACAGAAATATTCATAAATACCGCGCAGAATTGCGTATTTGCCACAAAGATATCGTTTGCATAGGTTAGCAATTCGGTGAAATCGGGAGCAGTAGCTGTCGCTTCTTCTTTCCAAAGAGGAGAAATTTGCTACAAACAATTGTTTACAGTCGCCGATCAGTATTTTTTTTTTTTTTTTTCACACATGTAGAGATGTTTTTTTTTATCCATGGCAGCTACAAAATCGACGAGATGCGGCCAACAATAGAGAAAGTAGTCATTTTTTACGCAAAATAATACATACAGTGGCAATGGTTTCCAGTTTCTCAATGTAATCTTTTTCGCTTTGGATGAGTTCGGATAATGCGGTTGATTTTTTGTTGCTATCGAGGGAGAAGGACGACAAAGGTGGAGATGTTGAAGCAGGATTCATGAAAGCATCCAATGGAGCAGCGTGAACCGTGGACGCAGACAGCATGATGAAATGGCGATGTTATTATGTTACAATGTGTCGAATGGAATGAAGGTTGATGATTATGATTCAGTCAGACAGTTAAATCTATCAATACGAATAGAAGTATAAAAAGAGAGGATAAAATAATAAAAAAATGAGAGAAAATAAAAGATAGGAAAGAAAGGGGCAGTAAAATAGTGTCTATGACAACGGACGTAACTAAGGATTATAATAAAAAAAAAGAATGGAGAGGAAAAAGGAGTGTCTAGTGCTCCAGATGTGTTATGGACACATATACCATTGAAGATACGCGATGCATTCTGCCGAACTCTTTGGATTCTGTATCACCTATTTCCGGGCATCACGCTATTCTCGTGCAGTATCATCGCAACCGCCCTGATCAGCTTTTTCGTTTTCACCCCCGATCCGAGCTCATGCGGAGTCGAGACCTTTCTGGTTTTTTGTTTCTCACTTTTTTTTTATGCCTTGCCTTTAAACGCGGTGAAAACCGACAACTTGCCAAAACTGGATTCAGGCACGATGCGATTTCCAACCATGGGGAGAGACGAGGGCGATTTTTATGGTTAGACACAACTGTCCATTTTCTCAGCAGAAGAAATCGGTCTGTGGAGAGTTTTCCGTGACGTGTTGCTGGGCAACAAAAGTTATATTGATTCGCAACCGATTTTATCATCTTACGCCGTATTGTTTTGCGTAACAGGAGCGTTGCTCCGCCTCGGCTGGTGCCACATACAAAATAAAAAGTCCATCCCAAAAAACTCCCCCATCCTCTTCACGACTTTCTATTTCTACATTTAGTCAAATACACGGTCCTCAAGCCAATACCAGCTCACAGTAGATTTTTCTTAACGCTTTATTTTACGTGCAAAAAGCTTGCTATCCAGGAGTCTTGCAAGGGGAATTACCGGTTGGTGTGTCTCTCGATCGTCTGCAAAAGAAAAGAAGCAAAAAAAAAAAAAACTTTACTAGAGTTTGCATTCCGATCCCATTCATCTAGCTTACAGGAGCAAAAAATTGGTATCCAGTCTATGTAATTGTCGAGGAAAAGATGGGATCACGACAGCGTAATGCTTGAGAGCGATTCATCAAGGGTTAGAATGGTTACCAGCTATCGAGAAGTGAGAAGTTAGAACCAAGGGCTGTTGGGTCTCCTGGAATCTATTTCCGGACAATTAAATCCCGGGCCCGTATGAAAGGTCGAACCGTATTTGGTGTGTTCCAATGTTGACGTGCAACTTCAGTCCAACAATATTCTCGGTCCATGTTATGTCCATGTGTGCGATGTTCTTTATTGTTACTTGTTTACAATGTTAGCAACTTCAAAGGTTTTTTTTTGTATCACGCACAATATGAGCATACCGAGCTGTTTGTTTCATCGACAGAAAAATCCAAAAATGCGTGTATTTTGAGTAACAGTCTCTCTACTCAGCAAAAACCCCACATGTTGTGCTTCTTTGTATCATGAATGAATTACTTCGTGTCTAAAAATAGACGCGCAGGCGATAGACAGTGATGCTAAGTTGCTTCCATTCATATTCCTTCCTCCTAATCAAAACATGAAGGGAAAATCGGATTTGACTCTTCCACAGTGATTTCTTGAATCGGATTGGCGCTCTAATGCTTTGGCAACTCCTGTCTCTGCAGAGCGGTTAGGCTCCATAGTTTTCTGTGGAAGAGAGTTTTTGAGAGGTTGAAATGATGAAATCAAGGCAGAGGGAAAAGATTATGTTGAAGAACGAATTATTGTGGTAAACTACACAGAATGGATGATCATTCAATCCTCCAATCACATCCAGCATTCGGAAAGGGACACTTATGTTTCAAGAGTAACTTTTGACCGCCCAGCTTCCTTTTTTTCTTCAATTACAACTCACAGATAAACTTGATTGACTTTACATATACGATTTGGAAACATCTCCTCAACTTTCTCGACATTATAGAGTGTATAATCTAAAAGTCGAGCTGCCCTATATGAGCAATGACCCCCAAAACATCATGGCTAAAACTTCATTTGCAATGAATTAACAAATATTCAAAATTTATTCGCAAGTGACATTGCATCAGCGGAAAAAGAGTGATATAAGATTGGCTCAACTCGTCTGAAAGTAACATATTGTGCATGGCAACGGGTACCGTACAGAAGGGTTAGCTCATGCATCCGCACAGGTACATCGAAATGTCAGCGCCGTACATTATTCGTCTGTCTTCTTTCTCATATTTTATGTAATAGGTCATAAATCAAAGGAGACGCTGAAACTTTTTCATAACCGAAAGTGACAATAGTCCATCATTGCGTGTCTGTAACTTGGCAAGCGCTACGAAAGAAACCATGTCTTCGAACATCCTACCTATCAATCTTTTTGAATTATGTATACCGTGTTATTTCCACAATAAATTCCTTTTACATCCTGAGAGAAGAGTTCCTGAATCGCTAAACTTAGAATTATACAGTGGCATTTTTTTGTAGCATACAGCTATCATCATCAGTGCAAAAGGCATGATAAAAAGAAAGAGAGGCGAACCACATACGTTAAAAGGTACATAATTTCATACTCTGGCCAGTTTTCACTTATATTTACATGGTTCTATACGCACGGTATTGAAGGAAAATATGCATCAAAAAAGTGAGTCATTAAGAATTTGTTATGTGTATGCCACGCTAAAAAAAAGTAACGGCTCACTTTTTTTTTCTTAATGACAAAGCTTCCAAGCGCATATATTGGATGCATGAACAGACAAAAACGATATCCAGGCGTTACAACGTGGCGTTATCGTAACGAATGGCAACCACTGCCGAATTTCGCCAATCCGTCGTCAACGATAGATAGGTCATTGTTCGTCCATAGTTGGTATAAAGCCGCTCATTGAACAAAACCTCCCGATACTCCTGATTCAATGACAAAGTTGCATGCAGCATTGCCCAGTCGAAAGAGAATGGTCATGAAAACAGTATGCGGGATTATGGATGAATAGCAAATAGTTGAAAAGATGCAAGTGGATACTGCTTGTAATCTATCTTTAAAACAGACAGATGCATGGTTCAGTGGCACAGAAATTTGAATGAATGACAATCTGACAGATAAAAGAATGAATTTATTATGCAGTCTTTTGTTACCACGAGGCTTTCCTCAAGTAATTGAATGTTTGCCATTTTAAGAAGGAAAATGCAAGAATGAAAATGGGGTAAAAATAGACAAGTTTGCTGATTTTGTCTTTCTTTGGACATTTCCCGTGGAGATTGAGTGATGTACGAAAATGGTTCATTTCCAGGCAACGCCGATGATGCGGGAAATCATGTTAGAGTATAGCCTTTTTCAGTGGAGGTTTTGATTACGCGCCTAAGCAGGCTGCATCAGCCATGATGTTTTCACTATGGGGTTGGGCGGGTGAAATAAAGGGGGGGGGGAATGTCGACCAGCGTTGTTTCAAGCAGGGGCAAGATACATCAATAAAGTCATTGCAAAGCGGCGATACACCATATCTGGAATGGATGGTCTGTGATCGCACTTCTGATCCCTTCGACTTTTGAAGGAAAATGGACAAGAAAGAACGGACCCTCACGCTACCAAAACTTAAAAAACGGCAATTGATTCGTTGGGTGATCGTCATTTACCAAGGCATTTAAATGACAGGATAACCCATCCCTTGAGATTACGTCGTCAATAAAAAGGCTCGATCGAAATCCGTTTCCCCGGGTCTTTATCACAACAAAAACACTTTAACAATGTCAACGTGCTCTATCTTCAACGTCAAAAATAACCAATGCAAAATTCCTCGACCAATGAATTGCTTCTTGGCCTATCGTCTGGACAAGCAAGTCGAAATCGCCGCTCGCTGCCCCGGAGCTAATCATCGTGACATCTCGAAAATCATTGCCAAGTGGTGGAGGGAAGCTTCCGAAGAAGAAAAGGCGCCTTACCGAGAGCGTGCACGTCTTGCTAAAATCGAGCATGCCAAGTTGTAAGTTATTTACAAAAAATCTCTTTTGAACCCACAACATGGTTATTAAACCCAGAGTATAGATACCCCAATTACAAATATCGCCCAGTCAAGAAGTTGGGACGCAAGACCAGAAAATATTTGAAGCGACCCGCTAACAAGTTCACTTCGCGTTCAGAGGAAAACAATCGTATGATGGAACTGTTCTACCATGATCCCGCTACGGCTTTACGTCAACCGAACAAGCGATCCCGCAATACTACGAATGCCCAGTCAGATACCAAGAAAAGTCAAATGCCACTAAAGAAGCAACCGCAACGAGAACATACTACCGCCAAACAAAGCTCGGGAATCACTTGGTCGGCTGCCCCGAGCATGACAATAACGACCCAGGCCAGGACTTCGCAGAGTCCGAGTGTCGTGGCTTCGCAAGCTCCTTGCGTGATGAATGAAGTTGCAGACACCAAAACCGTGTACTTTGGTCAAAATGTGTCGTGTCAGCAGATGACCATCAATCCTCAGCATCTCTTTCAGCCCTCCGGTAGTAAGAGCTGTATGTCGTACGTGCAAAATGTGTTTGCACCGCCTAGCCCGGTCCAGAAGACCAAAGACATCCACTTTGGTGCATCCATGCCTTACACTCTGGTGCAATCGTCCCCTCCAATGGTGTTTGACCCCAATAGTCCGGTGTCTACCTGCGCATCTTATTCTCCTGACTGCAGCTACGCATCGAATGAAACCTTCAAATTGGAGAGCATACCGACAACTACGTATCAAAGCATGCCATCTCATTACGCCACCGAAAAATTCGTTGCGAACTCGTGCAACGCCGTTGAGCCTTGGATGCCTCTGCCCTCAGCTCCTGTGTGGCATCAGGCACCGGCATTCGTTGATCCGAGTATGTTATCGTTCTACTCTTTTGCATCGCCCGCCTCAAGCTTATGTTATGATAATCTCTCAAACTCTGTGCCACTTTTACCCTACTGAGCATGCCAACTTATCTGTACATTTCATCTTTCGTCCTTTTCTTTTCTTTTTATTCTATTGTTATTGATTTTCATTCGATTGCTTCCCTGTGACCTTTTCACTCCACTAGTTTTAGCCGGCTAATATTCTTTATGCATCATTGACTTTTTTTTTTTGTTTCCTTCCCCCTTATTGATTTGCCCTTTTTTTTTGATTATTTGACTCATCTCATCATCACATTAACCTATGTCCTTGCCACCCCGTGTAAGATCACTATTGCCCTTATTATACACTATACAGCATTAAGCATTCTTATAGACGCAATTATTTTTAGGCCCAAGCATCATTAAAGTAGACTTTTCACATAGACATTTGCAAAGTTTTTAATTTTGATATGAAAAGAATGAAAATCATACACCAAGATCGCCGCACATCGTTTCTATATAAATCTAGACCAACAAAGAAATTTAGTTTATCGCATAAGCTTCCTTGCCATGATCCTAAAAAAAAAAGGAAAAATGTCAGGTGAATCCGCGTTTAATTTCTCCAAAAAAGCTCTATTGGAACTTACGCTGATCACACAAATATGGTCGAGATCACGGAAATATTCATTATAATCCAACGCATAACCGACAACAAAGGCATCAGGGATAGCAAAGCCAACATAATCGGGAACATAGCCGTTGCTTCGGGTGGTCTTCTTGATCAACAAGCTGGTCACCTTCAACGATTTGGGCTTATATTCATCCAACTTCTGCAATAATTTCACCATGGTAGCACCTGTATCAATGATATCCTCGACGATCAACACATTCTACCGAAAGGGAATAGGTGAGCAAGTCTCGCAGTCGATGGATTATTCCTGCTTATTGCCATACCTTGCCCTCTAATTCGCGGCATTCTTCCTCCGTCATGGAGATGGTCACACCATCCGACTTGTCATTTTTGTACGACTTGACACGAATGAATTCAAGGCTCAAAGGAATAGTTTTGCCACCTTTAGTGGTAAGTTTTTTGATGCAATTCACCAGATCAGCGAAATACTGATGGCCACCCTTCAAGATACAGCACACAACTGCCATCCAAAAACCGTCAGTTTCCACGATCCGTTATGATCGTCAATGCATAATTACCAAGTGGACCGGTTGTTTCGTCGACAATCATACGAGCCAACTTGTGGACACGATCCTGAAGCCACCGAGCAACACGTCAGTTTCGAGAAGCAAAAGAAACAAGAGCGTCAGTGACAGGGACGAGGAACATACCATAATGACACCATGGGGAATAAGAATACTTGAAAGGTCCTTTTCATAATGTTGAGGAATGACGAAATGGTCTAAATGGTAGTGATTTTTTTCGACATTGACGTCGATCCACTTGGAAGAGTCCATAGGCATGGTGTACTTTGGCGGTGAAGATGAACACAAAATTTTCAGAGCAAAAAACTCCTGAAATTTCGCTGCCAAAGTGACTTGCAATTCTCTTTTTTTTTTTTTAACAGTCGACAGTCATGCTGAGAAAATCGGTCCACAAAAATACAAAAATTCCTGCGAACTCGTTTATCTTTTTGTCGCTAGCACTCGTACAGACATTATTAGTGTTGCCAATAGTATATTACGTTGATTAAAAAGATATAACAGATTCATTGTCATCTTTAGTGTTCTCTGGTATTACGGATTAAAAAAATGTCTAACGAGATAAAGAGGAAAGAGAACAAAGAAATACTGCAGCTGCATGGTTTATGCAGTGCATAGTAGGGCCCTAAACCAGTCCATAGAATGGAATACCACCGTTACAGTTTAATCAGGTTACATAACATAATCCGGTGTAAAACATATTCTGCGACTATTGTTGTCCATGTTTTGATAAAATAGTCATTCGATTTATTTGGGAGGCGGCAGTAAAAAAGTGATTTTGGATGCAAAAATACGAGAATTGTCAGTGCTTCTTTGATGAGGTAAAAAGATCTAATCATTCCAATATACCACCCGATCATGTGTGTCTTTTATCATTTTTCAGGCTGTTCCGCTCCCTTGAGTAGAGGTGTGGGCACCCTCTTGAACTGATTCTGCATTCTTCATTGACCTATGTTCTATCATTTTTTCCAAGGCTGAACATGGTTTATCATAAACACACCCTTTCAAGTATATTGAGTCATATTCGCATTTTCAAATGGGCGCTACTCCTACAGGTCCACCATTACCTTGCCTTTGCGTCTTTGCGTCTTTTCTTCTATCTACATTATTTAGCCTGGCTTTTCGCCAACTTTTGGGCACGTTGTCCTGAGCATTTTGGGACCCTTTTGCTGCAATATGATATACCCCTAAATAGGAAAAAAAACACTTTAATCTTCAAGAACTGAAAGCGGCTCAGAGAGCTCGAACCACTTCGGAATCCGAAGCGGAGGCACTACGTATGGTGAGAGACACGACGTAAAAATGGACTTCCCCAATGAGTGACTGGACAATTTTTTCCAAATCAAGTTCGCCATTTTTCATTCACCAGTTTCGCGCTCGGTCTTTGAAAGTATAAGTTACCGTGCCATGGCCGACCAAGAAACAGAAGAAGCACGAAGAGCCAAAGTACTGGCCGCGAGAAAGAAGGTATACTTATAACCAAGGCTGACCATCCTATTCGCTCTGATCCTTGAGTAACGTGAACATTCCATTATCTAGCTCAAGAAATTTCAGAGCAAAAAGCAAGAAGGGTTGCATGAAGGCGACGACAGCAAAGCTAAAAAACCAGACGCACAGACGCCTGTAGAAGCACCTGTTTCAGAGGAGACAAATAATACATCAGAAGAGTCAGTGGTTTTGAATTACACAGTGAATACGCTTGCATTCCCGCTAATGCTTGCTTTAGGAAAAACGACGCAATCATTCACAACGTATCTCAGCCAGGTCCGCAAGAATCAGTGATTCAGACCGACTCCCAGTCAGACCAGCTTGCAGCTTTGCAACAAGAAAATGTGTCGCTTCAGAAGCAGCTACACGATATGCAAACAGCTCACGAGGAGACTGAACGTCAGTTGCAGGCGCTGCAGTCTACTCAAGATGCACACGACGACCACCAGCAGACCCTGAAAACGACGCAACAGCAACTGGAGACCGTGTCGAACGAACTCGATCAATACAAACAGCAATATGAAACGGTCATGCAACAACTGACCGAAAAAGACGTCACGTTGACTGAACAATCGAAGCAAGCCGAAGACAAGATAAAAGAGTTGGAAAAGTTGGTCCAGAGCTCGGGCGATCAGGAGTCTAGGGCAAAATTGCTGGAAGATACCTTGGCTGATAAAGAGCAACACTTGGGCGAGCTTACGAAAGCCATCGAAGAGGAGAAAGCAAAATACCAACAAGCCAACGAGCGCATTCGTGAACTGGAAAACCAAGTACAAACGCATTTAGAACGCTTTAATGGCTTAACTGAGGATCACCAAAGGGCACAAGAAGAAGAGAAAGCCAAACACGCTGAACTAGAGGAACGGATTCGTGCTGCCGAAGACGAGAAAGAGTCCTTCCGAGTTACGCGAGACGAATTATCATCCAAGATCGCCAATGCACAGGAAGCGGAAGAAAAAATGATGGCACAATTGGATGACCTTGAAAAGGTCAAAGAAGAGCTCCTCAAATCGCTTGAAGAACTTAAAGCGGAGAACGCCTCCCTAAAAACAGAGCAATCCGCCGAAGCAGATACATTACAACAACGTTTGCAAGCAGCCGACGATCAAAATCAATCGTTGATGGATCAAATCGAAAAGCTAACAAACGCACTAAAGGACGAGAAAGAGAACAACAAAACAAGCAGCGGTACTGTCAATGAGCTTACCACTACCCTGGAGGAAATGAAGCAAGGAAATGCTTCGCTTCAAAGGACGATCACCGAGGCAGAGGAGAAGCTGGCATCGACTGTGGAGGAAAAGCAGCGCATCCTTGAGCAGACGCAGGAACTGTCAGACAAACTTGAAGCAGCCAACCTCGCAGTCGACAAGTTGACCAAGGAGAGTCATACTGCAGCTGAGGACAAGGCCTCGTTGGAAAAGAGAGCAAAGGAGCTCTCGTCTTCCTTACAGGACATGCAAACGGAAAATACGGCTCTGAATGATCAAGTAAAGGACTTAACAGCCAAACTGAATACGGGCGATATGAATCAGCAGTCTCTCACGGAACAGATCAATGAGCTGGCCTCGGCGTTAAACGAAGCGAAAAATGGAAAAGAAGCCTTGGAAAAGAAGATGCAAGAGGTCTCCAAAAACTTGGAATCAGAGCAGGAGGATAAAAATTTGATCAAGACCAAGATGGATGAATTGGCTGCGGCATTAAAGACCGCCCAAAGCAATCACGATTCAGCAGTTACACAACTGGAACAGTTGCAACAGTCCCTGGAAGCTGCGGATTCAGAAAAGACAGAGCTAGCAGAAAAGGTCAACGAACTTACAACAGCGTTGCAACAAACTGAGAACGAGAAAAAGTCCGTCACCGAACAAATGAAGGAGCTACAAGCAGCAATCGAGACTATGGAAGCCAATAAGCGGTCCGCAGAGGAGAAATTGACGCAACTAACAGACGAGCTTGCAAAGGCAAAGGAAGAAAAAGCGGCCATCGATCAACAGGTTGCAGAACTCTCGAACAGTTTAAAGACAACAGTGACGGATAATGAAACCTTGAACAACCGAATCGAAGAGCTTTCCGAGTCATTAAATGCAGCTCAATCCGATCAGGCGTCCACATCCGAAAAAATTGAACAACTTACGAAGGCATTGAAGACTGAACAGACTGATAATCAAACATTACGCGATAACGTCAACGAGTTGAAGGAATTGCTGGCCAAGGCGGAGCAAGAAAATCAAACGATAACGGGTCAGATTGAAGAACTGACAAAGTCGTTGGCTTCTGGTGAATCGAATAATCAGTCTTTGAATGAAAAAGTGCAACAACTGACATCCACGTTGCAGCAAGTCGAAGCGGAAAAAGTATCGGTGACAAACAAGATCGAAGAACTGACGCAGGCCTTGAACACCGGCAATACCCATAACGAGACCCTCACCGAACAAGTAGAAAACTTGACGGCTCAATTAACGAAAGCGCAAAACGATCACCAAGTTGTGACGCAGCAGTTGGAAGAAATGACAACAGCGTTGGAAGCAGGTCACAACGACAAAGAGGCTCTGTTACGACAGACAGAGGAGCTTAATGCTGCATTGAAAGATTCGCAGGAAGAGCGTACACGCATGACGAATCAAGTAGAGCAATTAAGGGAAGCCGTCAAAACCGGTCAAACGGAGAGTGAAGAAATCACACGCCAAGTGAAGGACCTATCGGCAGCGCTAGAGGAAAAGAAGACTGAGAATGAAAACTTTATCAGCAAGATGGAGGCGCTTGAACAGCAGCTCGAAAGTGTGCAAAACGAGAAAGGATCGTTGAGCAACCAAATCGGAGAGATGCAGGCATCATTAACAACCTCCACCGAAGAAAACGCATCGCTTGCAAAGCAGTTGCAGGATCTTTCCGACACCTTGAGCCGTACCCAATCTGAACATGAAGCTGCTGTGAAGGCTGCAGAAGAAGTTCAGCTGTCATTAGAAGCAGCTGAAAAAGACAAGGAAACTCTGTCCACCAAAATCGATCATCTCACAACCACGCTGGAAACTACAAAGGATTCGTTCGCTCAAATAGAAAAGGAATTGCAGCAGACTGTCGCAACAAAGGATCGTTACGCACAAGATGTGGAGGCTCAACTTCAGCAAGCGAAAGACCAATTCAACGATGAGAAAAAGCAGCTCGATGAAAAGTATACAGCACTTTTAGCGTCAAAGGAGATGCTGGAACAGCAATTCATGGATAATCAACCGTTGGCCGAAAAAGCCAGCAGTTTGGAAAAGGAAAAGACGGAATTGCAGATCAGCATTGATAACCTGAAAGCGGATCTCGCTCGATTACACACGCTTGAAGCAGATAAGCAGCAGCTGGAAGAGAAACTACGCAAGACCGAATCCAATGCTCAAACGATGTTTGACGAATTGACTGAGCTGCAATCGAAAATCGAGGAGACAGAAATTTTGCTTGAAGAGGAACGAAAAACGAGGGATGAGGCTTCACAGAAAGTGACTTTGGTAGAGCAAGAATTGGAAAAAATCAAGGCGGATCTCGAGTCGTCGTTGGCAAATGAGTCTTCCCAGTCCGAATTACTGTCCGGAAGAGATGCTCGTATCACCGAACTGGAATCCAATATTGAAGTGGCCAATCAGAAAATGGAGGAGAACTTGCAAATCCAACAGCAATTGCGCGAGGAAATGAGTGGCCTAGAGGAGCATGCCGCCAAACTGACGACTGTGGAGGAACAGGTGATGCAACTGCAAACCCAACTCGAGGAAAAGGATCGTCAGTTCTCTTTGATCAACAATGAAAAAGAACGCTTGGCGGCTGCTCTCAATGAAGCCACGCAAAACCATTCGACGGAGCAGACAACGAGCAAACAGGCGTACGATATATTGCAAGCTGAGTTGGCTACGACCAAAGATCAGCTCACGTCCGCAGAATCTCGAACCAAGGAGCTGGAGAAAGAAATCCAGTCGCAACAAGAAGTAATACAACAGTTGAAGGATGTCCCTGCCACGGATAAAGACACGGAATCATCATCGGAAAATAACCAGCAGGAACTGGTCACGACCAATCAACAGTTAACGCAGCAACTGGCAGAGACCAAAAAGCAATTGCAGATGCATGAACAAAAGTCCGAATACCTGAGAAAACAAATGACATCGTTCAAGAAGCAAGTCGCCAAACTCCAAAAGGTTGAAGCGCAGTTGCAACAAGCGACAGAAAAAGCACGCAAAGCGGAGCAGGAAAAAGAAGAACTCAAAGCGAAGCTTGCGGTGGAGCAAAACGTTCCTGATACAAGTGAGGCACAGCACACACAAGCAACGACAAGTTCCGAATCCGAGTCTGATGCTGATGATGTATCGAAGAAGCTGCAATCGCTTGAACAAGAAGTAAAGAGACTTCGAGCACAGGAAGCCGAAAATATCGAATTAAAGCATCGGTTGGAACGGCAATTCGAAGCCTTTAATACGATCCGTGGAGAACTGACGACGGTACGGGATCGACAACTGGATTCGGAGATGAAACTGGAACGGGAAAAGAAGGAGTTGATGAGTGAAAAAAGCGGATTAGAGAGGACAGTCCTTCGATTACGTACGGAATACGAGCAGCACTTGGAGCGGATATGGAGTCAGTATGAAGAACTCCGAGAGGAACATGAAGAAAACTTGACGGCTGGTCGTACCGCACTGGATGCGGCTCAAGTGAAACTGATGATGAATGGTTACAGCCCGGTAAGCGAAACTGGTTTTGAGTGGGTAAACAGCGATAATGAAGAAGAAAATGATCAGGACGATCATGAGCACGAAGAAAGTCAAGAAGAGTATACGGTAAACAAGCAACCTGTTCTCGGACCGTTACCACCGATCCCCAAGCCAGCGTTTTTTGAATTCATGGAAGTCCCACGCTGTAGTGGATGTCAAAGTGAAGTGATTGACATTTAAAATGAAATAAAACTTTTGTGCCCTACTCTATGTTGCTGCACTCGGTCTGTCAGTCGATCACATCGCATTCGTCCATCAAATTGTGACATGAATCATTTAAGAATGGACCAGGATATCAGTGTACATCAAACAAACATGCCGTTGGCCAATATATGGGAAAGTACTGGTATTTTATTTTAGATACAATGCTAAAGAACGGGACAGCCATTCTGTGATTGTGAAGACAAGCTTATTTCGAAAAAGAGAGAGAGGCTGTCACCACATAAAAGGGAGAATGAGGAATTTACAATATTTAAATACTTAAATTATAACAGATGTAAGAGATGGGATGATTGGTTTTTCAGTTCTGGATTAGCAAGTTGTCAGGTCCGTCCCAGAAGCTAATCATAGCGGCTACAGTCAAAACGATGGAAAACCGGCACCATCGCATTACTGCGCCAAAGAGTTTACGAATCATGCAACGGATACTGTCGATGAAGGTATTTGGTTGCTGCATCATGCATTCTACAGGCAAGTGAATGTTCGGATATAGTCCTTCAGAAGGGAACGAGGTGTCAAAAAAGTCACAGGCATAGATATCGTCACTTGTACTTGGTTTTTGAGAATCACAACCAATCTCCCCTTGAAAGTCTTCATTTTCGATGCGATTAATGAACGATAACGCTTCCTCCAACAGATGTGGATCAATGCCCGTGGTTTTCGATATCAAGTTATCGAGGGATAAATCGTTGGGCACGTTGTAGAATGCTGCAAGAGATTGTTCTGTAAATTCTGAAATATCACGCAATGGCCGAAATGCGGCTAAATTCGCGAATGACCGTTTCTTGGACAACCGTGGCGTCGCCAAAGGGGTGGTAGTTGTGTTGCGCTTGTGCCATTCGTTTTCTAGTTCGCTTAACAAACTGTGTCGGAATACAAAGTTTGTTTCGCTACCATGGCAACTCGGTGCCGGCGTGGTGTTTGTGGAGGAAATATTGACACCGCGATCTCTTAATTTCTGTAAAATGGTACGGTGTTCCTCCAAACTTTCATTCAGCTCGGCGATGTGACGAAATTGGCGATCATACGCGGCTTGCAAGTTTTCAAAATCAGCTTGTGTAAATTGGCATTGCTCAAATTGTTCCTTCAAAAGACGTAAATCCTTCAACGTGGTGGCCAGTTTATCTTCGACCTCGTGTTTCGATCGCTGTGCTGCGGCTTTTTCAACTTCAAGTTGGTCAATTTTGGCGTAAAGGTCTTCGATAACACATAGTTCATCTTCTGCAGATAGACGAGCCGATGGAATGTGTAAGGATTTGTCACGTTGCTGCCTTGCGTTGATCTCTTCTAACTCCTGAATTCTCGCAGATGCAATTTCCAGGTGACTCTGTAGGGTGAATATCTCCGTTTCTAGTTTTCGTGCTTCCTTTTCATCCGTTTTGGTCATGGATTGCTGCTCCTCCAGCGTTGCTTCCAACTTTCTTGTCAGCTCCGCGTTTTTCTGTTCAAGTACTTCAATCATTGCCTCGCGAGTCCCACGCGACGGGATAAACCGCATCGTGTTTTGTCCGTCGCCAAATTCCTCTTCTCCATCGCTTCCGTCGATTCCAGAATCATGACTTTGTACTTCAAACGATGTCGCTGGTGTCACTGACGGTGGCCAATGATTGGCTTGTGATCGAGTTTGCTGGAGAAGTTCCTCGTAGCTTGTCTTGAGTTTGATGTTATTTTCTAGCAGCGACTTTCCAATTTCGGCGGCCAGTATTAAATCTGAGTTTTTTTGGTGAGTTAAAAATTTTCACATGAATTTTATCAACTTAATGGGTAAATCGTCACCTTTCTCCTTATCTTTCAACACATTGAAAGCATTTTTCAGCAATGGAATCAATTCGTTTGTAGACTTTTCGGCCATCCATGAGACAGACGACATGATAGATGAACTTGAAAATGACGGAGAAGGCGGCCCTGGAAGCGGCAAGCAGGGCATCATTCTTGTTCGATCGGATCCTCCACAAGGGGTCATGTTCATGTCGAGATGCGTTGCAGCCAAATGAGACAACATGGAACAAAAAGTTGAATCTGTTTAAAATAATAATAAGCTCAAAAAGTTCGATACGGATAAATCAGTCCAAGAATAAAAGAGGGAGATCAAAAATGAACGCTGGTGAAAAGCAAAGTAGATGTTGCGTATATCGGAGGAGGAGGAGGAGGAGAAGGAGCAGGAGCAGGGTAAAGGATAAAGGATAGTGAATGAAGATGTGATGTTAACTTGATAAAAAAATCATGAGAGATAAAGTGTTACGAGGGAATAAATTTACGTCATTGCCATGAAGAACATTTCCCAACGCAACTCACGTTAAGGAGAATCGACAGGACCCGCGCAGGTACGTTATTCCCCCATGCCACCATTTGCTCCCATTATTGTTACCTTCACATGCAAATAATATATGGGCCTGGCCTTATCGTAGGCTCAAAAGGATTCCCTTTGTCAGGGTACCTTCTTTTTTCCTCTCATTTGCGCAGCAAAAAAATAATAATAATTGGAGCATGATCTTCTCATTTCTCTCCTTTTCTGTCCGATTCAGCCAATAATTTAATTATGACCATCTGCTCCGTACGGCTGTAGCACCGGCACTATCTATTTTATTTTAATTCCGATGATTCAGCCATTCTCGCATCATATCTGCTTGGATCTCCTCAATCCACAGTGCCACGAACTCAAACTTTATTCTGTTCACCTGTTCATCAAATGCCACTGCAATGTATCGACACCAAACTCTCGGATCGTATCATTTTTTTTTCTTGTACATGTGTTTACATTCATGCTTTCATATGGACGTATCGCAGCAACACCTGTTTTTAGCATTGCATTGCACACTCTTGGCATCTATTACCTACTTGTCTCTGATATTTGGGAAGCAGAAAAGGTATGAGGTAGGGTGTACGATAAAAAGTCTGCGGCAAGTAACTGAAATGTGCTTTGATCTTATTATGGGAAATGTCTTGTTCTTGGCTTTCACCAGAGCTTTACAGAGATTCTGAAAATTTTGTTACATAGGGCCAAGTTGCTCTCAGACTTTTAAAGGAACCATCTTCATTACAGTCGCAATTTGTACCTTGCATTTGAACACAAATGGTTTTTTTGCTCGTAGTTTGTGCCAAGAGTCTCTTATACGTAACAGCTTCCACGTGAAAGTGTCGATCCTAAGATCGGGTTCCCAACTGATTTTGAATGTATTCAGTTAAGTAATATAATATTTGGATCCGTTTGTGGAGTATTATTGCGACTATAGAATATCAAAAGAATTGGGGACTTGTGTGGCGCTGATGACGCTAAAAACCACTGCGCGGCTGACTATGGGTTGCCTCCTTTCCATGCCGCCATACAGTAACTCTGAGTCTGATTGGCCCACATTTCCATCACACTGCATGATCTTTCGAAAACAGTAATTACTGGACAATAACTGCTTGACTTAAATGTCAGCACCAATTCCCAAGTATGCCGCAGCAGCATTAAAGAGTTGATACAGCAGTATCAAAAGAAAAAGAATGAACAGCATCGTTATGAATTCACTAAATATAAATAATATATAAACCATAAACTAGATAAAAAATACAAGCAACTCATCATAAAACATATTCACTAACGGCAATTCAAAAACCAGCATATTAATGACAATGCTCATCTGAAAATGTGCAAGCGACTTACCCTTTGCGTTGTCTATCGTTTGGGAAATCGTCCTCCAAAGGTTGCACGGGATCAGCAAATGGATCATCAGAGTCAACAGAGTCTTGACGGTCGGAAACACTGAGTGACGAGAATTGCTGCAATGGACTGTCCTGTGTTTGTCTAAATTGACTTGACGAAAGAGGAGGAGGAGGAGGCGGCGATCGCATATGCTGGGTTGGAGACATTGGAGACGGCAAAGAGGTCGGGGCCACCGGCGAAGTCGGCATATTGACTGGTACTTCTCCGACAGACATCACATCGTACATGTCCAGAGCGCGTAGCAATTCTTCGTTGGTAGCAAGCAAGGTACCGATCCATTCTTCATCTTCCACCAGACGTGCATAGCGCACAATTTTTCTCTTTGACTCTTCACATTTTTGACGCAGATCCTGAACGCGAGCATCGTGTTGCAAATCAATCTCCCAGCGATCTTCTCGGGTGTTGATCAGTTTAAGCGCATTCACAAGATTATTGGTATTCTGGTTGGCAAGCGCCACTTCATTGATAATCTTGGGTTTGGCAGTTTCGAAATTGAATACACGCTGACCACTACCGCTGCTGCTCGCGTTGGTAGCATTGCTTTGACTACGAGGTTTGTTCTTGACTTTGGTCTCGATTGGTTTGACCGGCTTGGCCGGAGGCGGCATGGATCGTCGGCGTTCTTCTTTGGTGGGTGACTTTGGTCTCGAACGCACTGGCGGTGGAGGAACAGGCTCAGATCGTGTAGGTGTGCTTGCTTGAGAAGACTGAGGTGATTGCGGAACCTTACTTGCTGTCGACCGTTTGGTGGACTGAGAGTGATAAAATCAATACTTCCGTCAAATTTCACATACACCTCATCGGTTCACTTACATAACCAAGCTTGCTCATCCCCATCTCATAAATGTCACCCAGTATATGCATTCCAGGTTCACCTTTATACTTTTGAGACCAAGCACCTAACAACCCAACCAGTGTTTTTCGAACTTCGATGGCTTCCATCTATGGACAATTCATGCAGCTCAGTATTTTTTGGTTCATGAAGTGTCAAAGCCGATGCCTTACCGGAGAAGTGACCATCAACTCGAATCGTTCTTTCATTTTTTCATTAGACATGAGTTGCCCTTTTAACAAAAAAAAAAAAGGCACCAAGGTATTAATAAAATATGCGCAAAAGCCTGGATATCCTAATATCACTTACGATGAAAGCGCTGATTGCTGTTTTCCATTAGAAGCTTCAACACCTCTAGCACTCGCAATTTCTGCTGGGTTGTTCCATGCTTTAACCGTTTACGAATAGCTTCGATGGCTTCTCGAGATCCGCTTTCTTGCATGAAAATGGATTCGGTTAATTGCTGAAATTGATACCACTCGATCTCTTCATAATTGGAAAGTCGCTCTTCGAAAATGAAAGGTGAATACACTCTTTGTCACTTTGCAAAAAAAAAAGATACAAGGTTTATATTACCGATATAGAGAGTGACCGAAGTCTTTGGAACTTCCTCGGTGAAGATGCCCATAGGAAGAGGATTAGAAGATGACAATGAAGGTGAAAAGAAAGAAAAAAGAGTCCAGAGAAAAAGAGTGCAGGGTTTGCAAATTCGTCCTCCGGCTTCGAGATGATGTCAATGACATTGGCTGCCATCCAATTTTTTTTTTTTTTTTTTTTTCATCGATTGAGGCTTTTAATGCAACAACATACCTGTACTTTTCTTTTCGAAGAAAAACGATAAGATTGGCAGAATCAAAGCACTATGCATACGTTGTTGTCATGCATATGCAAAGTCGCCAGCATAGGAGAGCAGCTCTTTCATCGTTTCTTTCGTAAGAATTACCGGATTTGGAACATCAAGGCCGAAGCCATCTTTTCAAACCCGAAACGACTAAATCAAAAGAATTGGATATAAAAAAGATGTGTCGCTTGTTTGCATAGGCCAAGGTTTTCGCTCAGAGATAGCTGTAATTTTTTTCATTGGCATAAAGGGATGTTGTAATGTAAAATGCCTCTTTTTTTTTTTAATACCCGCAAACCCATGTATGAGTCCAGAGCAGCCCTGCCTTTTGCAAATTCAATGAACGATTATTCAACTGTACAGGCACCTTAAGCCTAAAGGTAAAGATCCATTGATATGAGTATCTACGAAAAGAACATAGACATACGAGAAGCGGTCATCGAATGACGAATGACAGAGTATGCTTAAAGTTGAGGAGAGGCAAGAGTCAGGGAAGCTGATCAAAAGATTTGGCTCGGTAAGAAGACAGCTGAACTTGAAAAATAAGAACACAAAAGATTTCTTCTTGGAAGAAATGATAGAAGAACTAGTGGGCAATTTGATAAGTTAGTCTGAAGATTGCAGAATTAGTTCAAGAAGGTGCTCGCACCTCTACTTTAGGGAGCGGAACAACCCTGTGCTTGCCAATCAAGCGATTGATTATAAACAAAACGTGGACAACACTGATGGCAGAAAACAAGTTTACACCGTTAACTAAGCGCCGGTGTGCGCTTTATATAGAGTTGACTGTGTCAAACTCACATGGTTTATTCTTCTGATAACAGCGCAAAGGCTCCTCCTGTCTGTATTTCATACTCGTTATCTTCAGTTCCACTGCTCTCATCTTCAGTTCCTGTTGCGTTCTCTTCCTCATAAGCGTCAGCTTCCTTCACACGTAATTGCTCATATTTTGTAGATGTAAAGAATCCTTCAGGCTTGAAGGATAAGAGAATACGACCATCATTGGCGAGACGTAGTATTACGTTGGCAGCTGCCAAAAATCGAAATGAGCCTCATCTTCCTACATCAGATCACTCCCACTTACCGCGATACACATCCGGTCTTGCAGCACGGGCTGTGTGGAAACCGCGTTGTTCAGCAAAAGCTAAAAGTGACCAACAGAAATTGAGTAAATAAATCTACCATCATGTAGAAAGTGGGTGGCTCTTTACCTTCACAAATAGCCCAAGCCGACCATTGGTAATCTTTTGCTTCTTCCAGGTCGGGAGGTGATAAAGACAAGATCTTTTCTAAAGGGATACGCTCGGCAAGATATTGCACGACACTATACGGCTCCTGAACTTGTGCGACAGGGTACATTCCAGAAAGAATCTGTCGACGAACATCAGCTTAACACGAAGTCCCCAGGGCCCCGTTGTCTTGGTGATAAACTTTACCTGAAGAGCACGAGGAAGAACGGATGGAAAAACGAGCCCCGGAGAATCACAAAGTCGAACGTTATCCGACAAATAAATCGTTTGAAAATGTTTTGTGTGGCCTTTGAACACAAAATGTATTAGTTAACGAACCGTTGATCTGATAGATAATAAAAAAATCAACTTCCATACCTGGCGTACGACTGGCACTCACAACGGTCTTTCTCATAATACTGTTAATGAGACTACTCTTTCCCACATTGGGGTGACCTAAACGAGGACGCGTCAAATCCAGCGCAGAACAAAAAAACACTGCAAGACTTTACCTACGAGCCCCAAAGTAAGGTACTTGTTATGTGGTTGAACTTCGCGACTGTGAATATCCAATATCTGCGAAAATTCATCATCTGTGTGCCATTTTAGCATTCAGTAGCAGTAAGCCAAGTAATCAGTCCGTACCCAAACCGAGTGTGCTGCCAGTATCGCTGTCATCATCATTATCGTCTGATTCTGTATCCTTGTTGGCGTACTCGTCGTCGTCCTCGTCATCATCGTTATAGCGATTGATAAGACTGGTCCAATCAACGTGGAGACCTTCTTTTGGTCGCTCGATCCGCTGACAGACCGACAAAATGTTGCGTACCCCTTCTGCGTGAAAATACCGTTTTCTCGGACGCTTGACTCGATTTTTCAGTGCATCTGCAGGGACCATTGTTAAGATATACGGATATAGAAACTTTGCACCCGACTTACATGTAGTGGTATCGTCAATAAGTTTGGGATCCCGAGGGTAACAGCTGAAGCACGCGATTTGAAGTTCAGGGAAATGTTCTTCGAAATATTTACGCCAAGAAAATACAGTGAACTCGGAAACCAGGTCAACCTAAATCATGGCAGTAACTCAGTGATTCCGGGACGACCTCAAAAACAACGCAAGAATCCAGCCTCACCTTGTTAAACACGCCTACTATTGGTCGACCCAATGTTTTGGTCACATAGTGATACAACGCTTGCGGAAAATGAAGAAGAGGTTGCCGAATATCCATTATAACCAAGATGATATCACTGATTTCCAGTACTCGCCATCTAATTTCATTCACGGAAAAAAAAAGGCTCGTTACTCGTGATGGAAGCAGGTATTGGCATGTAACTCCTTACAGCTGGCGCCAAACTTCTAGATTATGTTCAAACCAACTCAGGGGAGTATCTTTCTGGTTGCCGTAGCGTTCGTATACGCCTTTCATCCAGGATTGAAACTCGGTTTCTTCCTGCGTCTCTACTTCTTCTTTCGACATTTCATAGTCCCACTTTGGTCTCTTTGGAAAGTCAATTACTGGTCCAATACTATCAATCGATATCTCCAAGGCATTCTATGCATAACAGAAAAGCAGGTTAATCAAGGATATTATGCAAAATAACCGTTGATGGCACACATACTTGTGGAAGTCGATGAAACGGTTTCATACTCCGCAAGCGAGCTTCGTTGATTTGCTGTGGCGAGAGCTTTTCGAACATGGAGACCAACCTACGCAATTCGAGGCGAAAACAACGTCAGCACTAAGAACATTACACAAATGCGCTTAAAGGCAATACTATACCTATTGGATTTGTCAGGCGATTGCTGTAATGGAACACTTGTGGCAACAAAGTTCTCATTGACAGCTGGAACGAAATGTTGAGATAAAGCAGGTGGAGGTTGAGCGTCGTGATCGTCTTCCCATTCGTTGGAACGGCGTGCTTTTTGAGCTTTGCGAGCATTTTTAGCTTGCAGTTGCAGCTTCTTTTGTTTGCCACTAAATGGCTTTTTGCGATGTGAGTTCGGCATAAGAAGAAACCGAGGAAAACCGGCGAAGCGGTCGATAATTTCTAAATTGTGACACGGACACAGAAAAATCGCATAAGCGCGCAAACAATAAGAAGATTCAGCATATCAAACACAGCTCCAGAGTGAGGTGTGGTCTCCAGCCATATTCAATAAAAAATGAGAAGGATAAAATCTGGCATCTCTCGAGAACCGGAAAACGTCGTGCATCACCAAAAGCTGCTTCGATAAATGTAAGGCTCAAAACAGATGAATGCCCAGCAGCAGCTGTGGTGGATTTCAGCTCTGATATGTAAGCCGATGACAATTTTTATTCGATAGATGAGGAAAATATAGAGGATTTGAAATTGTTGCAAGAGGAGAAAGAGGAAGAGGAAGAGAAAAAGAGGTGAAGAAACAATATCAAGGGAGCCGACCGCCAGATTTTTGATATCTCTTTTTGCAGTTGTCAAGAAATTGTCATTATTTCGAGATAGTGGATCGGGTTGATGTGGCAAATGAATATTTTCTGACCAGTTTATCGGTGAGCAACGAAAGATCATGACCCGTTTGCAAATGATTTTTCTCTTTCAAACTCGGTTTGGAGTAATATTCAGCGACCAATGAAAATTGATCAGCAAGCTCCTTTACTGCAAGCGATGCTGCATGGAGGCTCGTGCAGCTCATGTGTGATAGGCGGATCCATGCAACGCTGTATGTCTTATTGACGCTGTGATGTAAGACTCTGTATGTAGTACCTTGTTTCAGAAGTCTAATGCATGCTTTTGTTACCGCATTGTTTCATGAGGGATCATCATTTTTCTGGTTATATTACAAATGCAAGCCAGTCAATAATGAGTAATAAACAAAAAATAGTCAGTAACGAATGAGATGATGAAAGGAACAAGGGATTCGACCGCGAAAAAAAAAATGGAAAGGATCGACGTGTATGGATAAACAAAGACAAATGCTCTAAAAATGACAAGATAATGTAGTGAGGAAAAAAGAGGGAGGAGAAAGGGGAAAATTGTAATGGTAGAAGGGAGGACGAAATCCAGCGTCCGATATCATCCATTCACTAGTTTGGTTTTGAGACGGCATTGGTAGAAGCCAGTTGGGATTCGGGATGATGTGTCGGTGTGTGGGGCCCAGTTGTGGACACGGAACAGTCCGAAATATACTCGTCATCGGGAATGGCTGTTAATGCATCTACAGGGAGGGAGGCTTTACCGACGGCGTCTGGATCAAGCCCGATACCATCGAGGATGACAGGTAAGGCACCCATGCTGTGGAATAAATGGCAATATAAAATAGAACAACGTGTTACTTTTGTGTTACTTTTGTATTGCATCAAATTTTTTGTCATCATGGGACTCGGAAAAGGAAAAGAATGCACAACACGTACCGAGAATAAAACATCTGTAACCTTAAACGAATATTCTCTGCATAAAGATCGTCAATGGGCCGATCCGAGTAAAGGCCGAGCTGGATATTCCGAATGAAAACAAAGAATTCGCAAACCGCCACAAGTCGATCTCGACAGTATTGATCAATGGGGGACCAATCGTCCATGTCGTCCAATTTAAATCGATAAATTAAAGGATGGTGTTCTGAATTCGCCGGTCGACCGCAAGCTGAACATCCGGAAGTGGGTTTCGTGTTATTGGAAAACCGTTCCCACAAGGGTCGTTGCGCTGCTGAGGAAGGGTTAGGTGGATGGGTGGTAGGAGGAAGCGGTTCGGACACTTGTTCTATAAAGCAAGGCTGACGAGACAGGTAATCCATCATTTTCTTCACCGACAACCGAGAATGAGGTCCGAAACGTAAGCACGGTTCAATATCCTCGATTTGGCAATGTTTCATATAAGCAAATTGGTATAATTTCTTCAGCGGGGTAGTGCGCGAGGATTGAACAAATTGGCGAAACGCTTCGAGTTGGAGTTCATCAATGGTGGTTGATTTCCATTGTTTCGGTTGAGATGGAAGAGGAGGCATGGAGGCGACTCGTTGTCCTCCAGCCAAAGTGTGCTGATCTTTGAGAGACTGTGGTTTGCGGTAAAGGAGCGTCTGATTGGCGCTGGCTCGTTTGATGCCGTGGAGTTCTTGAAAATCTCTGCGAGCGCGTAACCGCGGATCGGAGGTGGAAGGATCTTCGTGATCGGATTCGGATTGCTGAATCATCTCTTGCATTCTCTGACGTAATTCCCTTAGTTGACTTTGCTCGGCCACGAGATGCTCGCGCGTCTGTTGCAGTTGATTTTCGAGCTGCCACTTTTCTCTTTTCTCGGTAGCCACCATGCCGTTTGCTTCCTCGAACAAGCGACAACTGAGTTCTTCCAATTCGTGCTCGACCAAATCTTTTTCGTGCTGAACGTCAGCTACACGATCGATTTCAGCAACGTATTTCTGATTCAGTGTGTGCATGTCCAACTGAAGGCGTTCGAAGGCCTCATTTTTCTCGCGAAGGGCTGTTTCGAGACGAGCGATCTCTTGTGCTTGGGCTGCCACTTTTTGTTCGAGTTGAATGGTGTGTTGTTGATCGGGTTCAAACAATGTACGTTGGCACAATTTGCAAGAAGTAGATTGGGTTGAAGGGATGACTTGCCGACATGGACATGAGTGATCGTTGGTAGTATGTGGCGTGGCAGCAGTGGGCGAAACGGAAGTAACGACAGTGGTTGTTGATGGAGAAGTAGTTGTAGTATCCATAATAGAGAAAGTAAAGATCTATGCAGAGTATAAAAAGCAAGCGAGCCGGTGAAAACAGAGAAAGAAAGGGAAGAGGAGGGTGGGGATGGGGGAAGAAAGAAGACGGAAAGGGGAGATGAAAGAATGGGCGTTTGAGCAAAGTGAAATAAGGAGCGAGTAGAAAAAAAAGAGATGAAAAAAGGGAAATATAAGGTCAAGAAAAGAGAGACAAAAAGCGAATGAGAAATGATGGAAAGCGACCAAAAGAGAGAAAGAAGAGAAAAGAGAGAGAAAGAATAAGGTCGAATGGAGATAAAAACGATGAATGAAATAAGGGGGTTCGAAAAACCACACGAATGGAGAAAAAAAAAAAAAAAACTACTATTTTTATCTCTGTGGTGGTACATCAAATTCTTTTTATTTTTTCCTTCTTATTATATATCTTTAGCTGTTGTGTTATGCTAACCATACAAAACTTTTCTGACACTCTTCTGCATCACCCACACCCACAGAACATTCAAGAAGCCGTCAATCGCACGATCGCCGATTCAGCTTTTCGGTAATCACCTCTTTCTCCCTCTTTCTCTCTCTCACGCGCCAATATATCACTCACTTGCTTGAAAAACAGTAAAGATCTCGGCAGCTCGTTGTCCTTTTGGAAAGCTGTGCAGATCGTTCTTCCACAATGGAAGATGGATTCTACCAAACAAGAATGTCTCATTGGGTTGCTCAAACTTATTCGTAACGCAGTGGCTCACGAACCGACCAACCAACAGCTCGCCGTGTAAATGACCAGATCACCACGCATAAAGAGATTCCATTGCACTCATTGTTTAACCCATTTTTTAGCGATCATGGAGCATTGTCGGAAATCGATAACATAATGTATACCCATGCTGACGGTCAACGTATGTATCCAATGACTCGACATCCTTCACCTTTTTGATCACGATCTAATGCACCCCCAATCCCACGTGTAGACGCGACACTGTTGCAGATCAGTTTGCAAGCCGTGTGCAATATCCTTACGGGGAACGATGCGATCATTGAAACAAAATGGACTGAGTGGATGCATCAATCGCAATACGAATCGTGGTGGAAGTGAGTGCTTGCTATTTTGAAAAAGAATATCGAAATTGATTGGATTGTCCGCTGCTTTACTTTTATGCTTTCCAGTCATGTGTTGACACTGAACAGTGATGCCGTGGTATTGACTGCGTTTATCTTGATCCTGAACTGTATCCGCGGAAATGCAGGACGTGGGTAATTATTTTTGCACACAAAATGTCGTTGATCGCCAATGCATATCTTATAAATTTTTATTGTCTAGACGTGTATTGGTTCAGTGTACCAACGGGCACGCGCTGTTGACAGCCATGCTTGATGATATGGAACGCTTGCACGTTAGTGAAGGACAACACTTTGAAATAGGGTAAATTGAAATCCTGCGCTGTGGGAAATCATCAACAAAAGTGGCTGCTTTGGTTTTTTTGTTCTCTTTTACTAAAGGGCTCGGATCAGATATGCTATCGTTAGTCAACTGATCGCAGAAGGTCATTTCCTGACTCTCTTTAACGCTATGCAGACCAACGAGTAAGTACCTTTTTTTTTTCTCTTATTGCTTTTCCTTCTCGGTCACTTGACGGAATGATGACTTAAGAATAATCATTGTCCATCGAAAAAAGAGAAATCAACAGTCGTCAGACGATCCTGCTTAAATTGTTGGATTCCAAACTTCACATGCACAAAGGAACCTTCCCTGAATTCATCGGTCATGAAGAAGCCGCCTTGTTTAGCCACGTTTTTGGAAACTTGGCAAAGACGGCCATGGCGATTATGAAACAGGTCAAAGAGAGCCACGCAGACAAAAAGTCGGATCTGGACATGGATCGTGTCGGTACCATCTACACGAGTCTAGTGTTGGTTCTTCAAATCCTGAATCACTTGATAACGTGGGAGGACGAACAACCGCGGTTACAGTTCACCGACGTCCTGGTTGGGGATGATGCGCTGACCGTTGCTACTGGTACAAAAAGAACCTTTTTTCCTTTTTGGATTTGTTGACGATGTGTCATTGCGGAAAAGAAAATTGTAACACGAAACAATAGATCTTCTGAGGCATTGCGAGGGCATAAACCTGCCGTCTTCACAGGATGCCAAGGACTCTCAAATCGGATTTGATTATTTAAAACGGGAGAGTGTACGATTACTTGGCTCCTTGTGTTATGGCAATCGAGCTATGCAAGACAAGGTAATTAAGGAGTTCAGGATACCAGAAAAGAATACAAAGAAAAGCAAAAAAAAAGTCCAACAGGGTACAATGGTGTCAGTGCTGAAAAGAACAAGGATTGTGACTCTTTTGTGTTGGTCTTTTTCTAGTTGCGCCAAATCGGTGGAATTCCCCTTATTCTCAGTCAATGCAAGATTGATGATAGTAATCCTTGTAAGTACTGTTCTTGATGTTCTTTTTTCTTTTCACAACTGGGGAATCATCTGACTTGTTTTCGGCAGATGTTCGAGAGTATGCGGTTGTAGCGCTACGTCATTTATTAGAAGGCAATCTCGAAAACCAAAAATTGATTGAGGAGCTCAAACCAATGGAAGCGGTGCAGACCCCAGAATTGGATGAAATGGGATTGAAAGCGACGTTGGTGGACGGCAAAGTCCAGCTTTCGAAAAAGCACTAGTATAAAATAGAAAAAGAAAAAAAATTGAATGGGGTGCATGTTCGCCGGAACCCCAAATTTCGTTCTTTTCTATATAAAGCCAACGGGGAGCGGAGACGAGAGAACTTCTCTGCAACTTTAAAAAAAAAATAAAGACTAGAGCTCTTTCTCTTTTCTCAATTTTTTTTCTTTAATCTACTTTTTTTGTCTTTCGCGCTCTGTCCATTATCTTTCTTTCCTCGCTCTTACTTTTTCATACTTGATAATGCCGCCGAGTTACGAACCTCCTTACATGGTGCCTGCGGCCAATGCCGAGAAGAAACCCGGCGAAACAGTTGCGATGCGTCATTTCAAGTTCGTCGACAAACTCGTTGACCATCCCGAAAATGTGTATACGCTTTGGGAAATGTACCTTTACGGCAACAAGATCGGCGGCAGTAAGTGCATTTTTCATTCCATCGTCTTTGTTTGGTCTTGGTTTGGGTTTTCAGGGAGCCTCGAGTTCAAGGAGCAAATCGGAAATGGAAAATAGTGCCTGGGAAAAAAATAAATAATAGGGAAAATCGAAAAAGGCCAGGGATCAGTGATCGGACAGAGGAAGGCATGGACGTGTGGGAGTCTTCAGGAGCCTTGGTTTATTTTGGTCTATTTTATTTCTGTTGGGTCTTGCTTACCACTTGAAGTGAAGTGGGGGTGGGGGGGGGGTTATTGCGGAGACCCGATCTGAAACTCCCTTGTTAATCAAGGCCGTGATCGATGGATGAACTTCCTGAGAAGAAGGGGTTGGGGGGGAGGGAAGGGAACGGGAGGGGGGAATTTCTATCTTCGGTTTTGTGGAAACGGCATGACGATATTCGGGCATAACAGACAGAAAGCTGACGATGATTTATCATTTTATTCTTTAGACAAACCTTTCTTGGGTGTTCGTCGCAAGGAGAATGGCGTAGCAAAGGAATATGTTTGGGAAAGCCATGCTGAAGTACGCAAACACATTGAAAATTACGGCAAAGGTCTCGTTAAGCTCGGTTTGACTCGCCAAAAAGCTCTCGGTATCTACGCTGTAAATCGTCCCGAATGGGTAAGTGGTAGCATTGAAACAATGGAGATCGGCTCACTCACGGCATGCACTGGTTTACAGACCATGACGGAAATTGCTTGCTATCGACAAGCTTTGATGATCGTTGCGTTGTATGACACGTTGGGCGCTGAAGCAATTGAGTACATTGTGAACCAGACGGAAATGGAATTCATTGTGGCCAGTGCTGACAAACTGAAAAACATCACTCGACTTAAAGCTCAACTGCCTACCATTGGTACAGTGATTATCATGGACGACACCATTGATTCGGCCGATAAACAGCAAGCCGAGCAGGAAGGATTGCGTGTCTATACCTTTAAAGAAGTCGAAAAGATGGGCGAAGCCATCACCGAAGAAACACCTCTTCCCAAACCTGAAGATATCGCCACCATCTGTTATACCAGGTAAAGTGTGTTCTAGAGGTTTTTTTTGTTCTTTTTTTTTTTTCGTATCTTGTACCATGTTGTATAAGGTTTGTGCGTGTGTTCTGATCTTTCCAAATCAGTGGCACCACTGGTGTTCCCAAGGGTGCTGTGCTGACGCAAGCCAACTGTGTGGCTTCTGTTTATGCTGCTGCCGCGGTGGGTGATAAGGGCACTTTTGCTGCCGTCGATCACACCGATGTCTACATTTCCTACCTTCCTTTGGCTCACGTTTTTGAACGAGTGGCTCAGTTCCTTCACGTTTACCGTGGTGCGGCCATTGGTTACTATCAGGTAAAAAATTACATCGAATTGGGGGATGAAAGAGCGATAATAGTGGTTCTTGGAAAACTAAGAAAAATACCTCTATTTTTTGTACAGGGTGACACCTTGAAATTACTTGATGACATTGCAGAATTGCGTCCTACCGTATTCTGCTCCGTGCCACGTCTCTTTAACCGTATTTACGACAAGGTGCTCTCGGGTGTGAAGGCCAAAGGCGGTATCAGCAGCTATCTTTTCTTCACCGCTTTCAATGCCAAGAAGGCTCAATTGGATAAGACCGTGAATCATTGGCTTTGGGATCGTGTCGTCTTTGGTCAGGTAAAGTTTGCAATCATCATCTCTGTTTTAGCATCGTACAAAGTTCGTCATTGGCTGATCTTGAAAAATTTTAGATTCGACAAAAGCTGGGCGGTCGTCTTCGTTTCATTCTGAGTGGCTCCGCGCCTGTGTCACCCGATGTGATGGACTTTATGAGAATCTGCTTTTCTGCAAGGGTGTACGAAGGTTATGGACAGACAGAAAATTTCTGTGGTGGTTGTTTGGTAAGCTTCATTTTCATCATCAGCAAAAAGTGGGAATGAGGGCGGTCTTTCTTGTATTTCGGCGATATGGTGGCAATATGGACAAGAAATTTAATGCATGGTGCCTGCTTTAGACCATCACTGATGACAACACTTCTGGCATTGTTGGTATTCCTTTCCCATGTTCCGAGATCAAGTTGGTCGATGTACCTGACATGGAATATCTGTCTACCGATAAACCTAATCCTCGCGGTGAAATTTGCATTCGCGGTAACTCGGTGATGCGCGAGTATTATCAAGTGCCTGATAAGACGGCTGAGACCATTGACGCCGATGGCTGGCTCCATACGGGCGATATTGGCATGTTCGATTCCGCCAACCGTGTCAAGATCATTGATCGTCTCAAGAACATCTTTAAGCTGTCTCAGGGAGAGTACATTGCGCCTGAAAAGATCGAAGGCGTGTATCAGAAACACGAATTGGTGGCTCAAGCATTCGTGTATGGTGATTCTATGCAAGCATCTTTGGTGGGTGTCATTGTCCCAGATAAGGACCATTTCTCGGCGTGGGCCAAGAAGCATGCCGGCGGTGAAGATATCTACACATCCACCAATGTGAAGAAGGAACTGTTAAAGACGTTGAACGACTTTGGCAAGCAGTCGGATTTGAAGGGCTTCGAATTAATCCGAAGCGTGCATTTGACAGCCGACGAATTCACCATCGACAATGATCTTCTCACCCCTACCTTCAAGTTGAAACGTGAAGTCGCCAAGAAAGTGTACGAGAAGCAGATCAGTGAAATGTACGCTGCTTTGTCCAACGGCCGAGCATTCAACTAAGCAAAGAAAGAGCATATCTTTCATCATCTTTCTCTTTTTCCGCCAGTTCCATCATTCCACCCTCTAGCTAATTTGTTTCTTACTTTTTTATTGCTGGGAGAATCTTGTTCAGTATGATCAACTTTTTTTGATTCTATCGTTCTTTATTCTGGTTCTTTCATTCCTATTTTCTCCTTCAACAATCCACAAGCAATATCTTTTTCTTTTTTTTTTCTTACCGTTTCTATGGTGACCTATAATATAAAGACTGGTTCTAATGAATCGAGGATGTGCCATGTCGATTTATTTACATTTTATTCTTGGACAAGAATTCTTGGTATAATGGCTCGGGTATTTTGTTCTTCCTTCGGAGGGCCTCTATCAATTCATTTCGCGCTGACAATAAATGATCCGATTGGGGACTGTCTGGGTGCCAAGCAATGAGCGCTGGCAGAAACGTGGTCCTGAACCATTTGACACGGAAGATGGAACCTTCCCATATCGGGTTAGGAATACTTCCGGTCCTTTCAAAAGTGCTGATGTAGTTGGTGATGTCCTCCGACCCTGACACAGAAGCAAATCGTCGGTCAGAGGCTACAGGGACCACAATGGACGGAGGATCATGGTTCGGATGCGCAGCCATCTTTTAAAGCGGGATACGACGGTAAAAAGTCAGTACAATGATGAATCCATGCCTCTTCTCCTCGCTTACCCCAAGTTTTATCAGCTGTTCCTTGGCTGATCGTATATACGGAGCTGCCGATAATGTTGGATGATCGGTCAGGGCCCTTACATGGATCTGTACAGGAGATCCCATTTTTAGTCTGTCATACTCCGCAGCCGAGTGATATTGATGAGAAACGTACCTGCAACACGGCCGGCAATTCATTGGGTACCATGGTGCCCAAGACATCCAGGAACAACTGGCCCAAGCGTTTCGATGTCAGCAAGGTAGTTTGCGAATGGACAAATGTTTTGATGAACCACTGAGTATAAGTAAACTGGATCATGGGGCCCAGATGATAAAGTAATATTTGCATGCACTCCAACACCTTTTGAATGGTTTCTTTCCTTGCATCGGTGAAAGCTTGGCTGAGAATACGGTGAACATCCTCAATAATTTGCACGGCACGAACCGCCATTTCTTCATCGCCTGATGATTTGCATCCAGCACTAAAGACGGCCAATAATAAAATGGTGTGCCTGTGCCCACTTTCTTTGATCGAGCCTTCTGTGCCCTGTGCTGGTGATTGGTTGATCATTTCGTCCATAAAAGTCGGCCATTGCGTTTGAGCATTAAACTCGCCAAAACAGTTTGCAAAAATAGCAAGAATCGATATGCGAGAGACAAAGATGGGGTCGGTAGCCGCACATACAACTGCCTTGGGCTCTGCAACGGACTCTACCGACATGCCTTGCGACAGGAGCAGCAACTGATGTAGATCTTGCAAGATGATCTGGCGGCGAGTTTGATCACCCAATGTATTTAACGAAGGGTGAGCACATAATAACTGTAAATACAGCTCGTACAATGATAAAGTCGACATTTGGATGCTGGAAAAAAAAAAGCCAGACGGTCATCATCAACTTTGTAAAAACGCAACAGAATGACAGGAAAAAGTATACCTCCAATTGACAAAGAGAGCACGATCTTTCTCCAAAAGGGCGTCCAGCAACTCTTTAGCTTGGCTGTTTCCAACATCGGCTAAAAGTACCATGGAACCTATGTACTCTGAAATAAATTGCAGGATTTAAGCAGACAATCGATAACTAATGACAGCACGTCGGTTACCTTGGAATATTTGGCAACCGTGTAGTGTGTCCATGGATAGCACCTGATGCAGTTGTTGAAGGAGAAACTGTGCAGGAGAGTCTAGTATGACGAGATCGAGGTTCAAAGCCGAACCCACGAGGGTGGCAAGTTTGCAGTAAAGAAGCAGCCATTCTGGAGTAGTTGGGTCATTGGCAAAATAGCCAACGATGGTATGGACAAATTCGCGCGCTGAAAAAGCAACTTGACGCCTCAGCCTGCATATCGATTGCGCTAACCGTTTTAATGTATCGTCCTGAAAACTGTTGTTTAAAAAATCCGATTCAGTTTTTTTCATATGCGGGTAATGCTTACCGAGTCATCCCGTCGAACTACGACATCACAAAAGGCATGGGCGATCTCTCTGGTTGTAGACTGATTGCGATGGCGAATGTCAGCCGTAGACGCGTTAGCGAATGTTGGATCAGAGGGGCACGATTCTCTTGATCGTGCTAGGTAATCGGTCTGTGATTGTCCTGAAGAAGCAGAGGGACGGCCAAGGTATCGGACTCGTACAGGCGCAATGATTGTGCCACGCTTATCGCGCATACAGAAACCAGAATGACGAGCGTCCACTCTATCCTTTTCTTTTTTGTGATTTTCACTCACCCCCGAACGCTTTTTTTTTTTTTTTTTTTTTTTTTTGGTTTCCCGTTGATTTTAAGCTCCTCTTCCGAAGAATCAAGTGATATTGGTTTGCACAACCCAGGGGAAACCTTTTTTCTTGGTTTTGAGTTTCCCATTTTGCTTTATTGTTGTGTTTCAGCTAAGCTATTGCACGCGACTCGAGAAAGAAAGAGGAAAGATGGAGGTAAAAGATGTTATACAAGCTGAATAATCAGGAAGAGAGATGTCACTCAAGCGGTAGGCTTGATATTTTCCACACCAGAGGCAGGCGGCTGTTGGTTCAATGAGGCACCCAGTTTTTCACTCTAGATATAAATAATGAAAAAATTGGTTGGTTATTGCAAGATAATCCTTCTCATAGTTGACAAATGGACTTGCCTGAATCTTCTTGGCTTCGTAGTGCACGGCAGCAATCTGTGCGAGGGTCTGATTGGCAATTTCGTGGACTTTCTGACCGGTGGGGGTTTGAAGAGCCGCTTGTGCTTTGGTTTGAGCGGTTTGGGCCGCGTTTTGCACTTTTTCTTGAATCTTGTACTTGTTATCGAAATTCAAGGCCTTATCCCAGATACGGTACTTGTCATCAAACGACTTCACTAAGCATGTTGCTTTTAGAACGGACTCGTGCTCTTCACATCAGCCAACTTCTACCCTTTCTTCTTTTCAAATCTTACCATTCGTTTGCAGGGTCGTTAGGTACCCGGTGAGACGCGATGAAAGATTATACTTGTGATCATATTCCAACCCTTTGGCGACAATATTGTCCTGGAGAATGTATCCACTCGCCAAGATTTCAGCAGCAATACGCGACTTGGGTTTGGTCTCCTGTCGCTCGTGCTGTTCTGTTTCCTCCTTCTTCTCGCCTTCTTCGGCTGGACTCATTTCAAAGTAAGGGTTCACCGTAATATGGCTGTCGTCAATCAATGCTGTTACATCCCTGGGTGAGTCTTTCTTGAAAAAAAAAAAAGAAAATGTAGAACCATGTCACTCGAGATAACCAACCATTGCTTAAGAGAACGGCTGTTTTGGCCGCGTTGTCACGCTCAAAGTTAATCAGGGCAGCTTGTTGCACACCGTCATCATCTCTATGTGGAGTATATTTATTTAAAGTTCAGTCCATTTGTTTTTTTCCATTTATATTTCCAAGGTCGACGAGACGAGACGCGAAACATTGATATAGAGCTTTTTCACTGCCCGCTCCACACCTGTTGTTTGACCACTTACTTTGTGAGTTCAAATTCCTTGATCTGTCCACAGAATAAAAAGAATTCTTTCACTAATAAAAGAATGCAACTAAAGGTCAGTAGGAGCAAAACTGTACAAACGTTGACGACACCGGTTGTTACGGTTGAGCCTTTTACCTGCTTTTTCCGATGATTCAGGAGAGATGTTTCTCACCACCACGTAATTCGGAGAAGGAGTCTCGGGGATCTAAAGACAAAGTAACCATGTCAATGACAGATGGTTGACTTGGGCGATAAGAAACACCGTACCTTGATGTGAGTCCAGGTAGGCATAGCGATAAATTGGAAAAAAAAAGAAGGAACAAGAGGGACGGAAATAGCTGGGAAAAATGCTCAAACGGTTAAATACGGGACACTGGACTGGCTTGAAGATTTGACACCAAACAAGCCATGTGAAATAGCCGTCCGTGCTTCATCAGCATGTGATGCATAGCCAGCTGATACCACTAATTATTTTTTCTCTAACCTTTTTCACGCGTTTTCTTTTGTTGTCACTGCCCTGATTAAACTCGCTTCCGTATCATGATACGTCTCAACTTAAGGCTCAGCGATCCGTTCAATGCCGCTCGTGTTTCAAAAATCTTTCAAAGATGATAAACACGCCAACTTTATCATCTACAGTATCTACAGTGAAAAACTTTTTTCATCAGTCTCTTGTACCGTAATCATGCTACGCCTGAACCATTATTCAGTGATTTGGTTCAAGGTGCTAATAAATCGCATGGAAGAACAAAAACCAAGTTTTGATTACCGTCTCCGTCATTCATGATATCGTATATTCCTCAATTTTCTTCAAAAGGCGCAAAAGAAAACAAATAAAGAGGCTCCAATCCTTGCAAGATAAATAACAATTACGAATTTTATCGGATCACAGGCGTGATCGTGCGATGACAAATAAAAAAAAAAGGTTGATCAAGCCTTTTTCAGACCGAGTCATCCGACAGCCATATCCATCAGTCTTGTTTTTCTTTTTTATCTGCGTAGTTATATTTGACTGAATAGATATACACTTTATTCCAGAAGTCACCGTAGGAATTTGAAAATCACCGAAAATCGCCAATTATGAAAAAAAAACAAAAAAACAAAAAAGAATAGCAATACAAAAAAAAAGGACGTAAAAGAGCATGACATCAAAATGGTGAAGAGTTCACTTCGGTTGAAACATAGAGAAAGAGAATGTTTATTGAAGCATCATATCTACTTTCTGCGATAACTTACCAATTAAATGTATTTCGGGTGCGAGTGGCGATAACCGCTCTGGATCAATTTATACGACGCCGGGTTCTTGGCTGCTGTAGTTCTTCTCTTGGACGCCTTGAAGATCCACCTCGGTGAAACCTCTCCGGTACAGTGCCATGAGTTCGAAGCCTGCGTAAAATATGAATCATGTTCAACCAAGCTGCTGCGTCGCGGTTCCAAAAACGAAATTCAAATCCTTGGCTTTGCATGATCCTCATACAAGTTTGATTGGTACATCTGAACCGAAATGAAAAGATTATTAGTACTTTGTTTAAGATTTTTTTTTCTGGTATGAAATGCGTAACCCTACCTTAGAAGACCATGGCAAAGAACCAAAGGATTTTGTTGTCGGCGGTAAGATCGTGGATTTCGAACTTGTTTGAATGACTTCAGGCTTTCCGTACGGCAGGTCGGGCAACACTTGCTGGTCTTGAACTCGTCAATAAGCAGGACGCGGAATCCATGCTTTGTCAATAGTCTCCTGAAACCAAGACCACGGATTGGCTCATGGTACAGGGTGTTCGGAGCTGACCAGTTTCCTATCACGAATACCGCGTCTTCACCAAAGGTATCGGTCAAATCTCGGATGAGCTGCTGACTTGCCTTTTCCTTGTTGATATATTTGGAGAGTCGAAGTTTCCGGAACAACAAATTCTCGGTGTCGTGGTTTGTGATGGTGTCTCTGTAGAAGTCACTCAGGATCTCGGATTGGTCGGATCGGTCTCCGAGGTACGCGACATGTTCGTCGATGGAGATATTGCGGCTCGAGTGTTGGGATAGGACCTGTTCGGCTTCAAGAAGTTCAGGAACTTGGGCTTTGAGATCTTGCAAGATTAGACGGTTACTTTTTGGTCTTCCACATCTTGTCTTGATGCTGTGACGTATACCGGAACTTGATGGGCTCGGTCGGGGTAGAGTCTTCGTGTACACAAAACAATATCTCTTCTTCCTGGATCCACCACGACACATCGACCCGACATGGCTTGGAGCTCGTGAACGGTCAGGTCTGTAACGTACTTGCTGACTTCTTTCACTGTGGTGAACCTTGTCATGTACCTTCCTTGTCAGTCGAACCTCTTTTTCAGAACCCCTACACCGTCGGTTTGGATGGTACCACGGAATTGAAGCTCGCCATCCTCCTGGTTTTTGAAGACTGGGGCATCCAAATCGACCACCTGGCGCCAATAAGAGGGCTTGTCAGCCCCATTCACCCGGTTTTTCTTCATGATGTTTTGGCATAGGATCTTGCTGTCAATCTGGACATAGCAGGGTGACCATGAGCGCCAGAGAGGGATGCAATTGAAGGAACGTTGCCCAAGTAGGGAGAAAAGTCGATCCAGTTGATAGAAAGCTTCGAAATGGTTATTCGGACGGATCTTGACATCGTAATAGATGTTGCCTTCACCAAGCCAATAGTCTCTATCGTAAGCGTCCAATACAGGCCGGAGAGCGTGGTAAGCATTCATGTAGATAAGAAGATTCTGAGGGATGGTCTTTCTATTCACCGATTGGCTCTTGATCGCCTCTTTGAATCTTCTCGCGGGGACGGTGATGGCTTCATTGATCAGTTGACGGATTCGATCTTCTTCCAAACCTGTGCAACCAGTACGCGTCGCATCTCTGCTTTCCGTTGGCAAACATCCAGCAAGATATTGACGGCACGGCGAAGGTGTTGTCCAAATCTCATCTGCACGTTGTTCATATAGGCAACGTAGATTTTGGCCCCTTCGTATGGAGCAGTTTGTTGAGCGAACTTGAAGTTAGGTCGTTCGTACCCGGTGATCTCGAGGTATTCGTCCAAATGGCGATCAGTCTGAGCTCGGAACAGACCATTCTTCGACCGACCTCTTTTCGCTTGTATTCTCATGAGAGCCAGACCTCCGCAAAAAAAAGTCTATGTTGAGGTACTCTCGGATATCTTCTCTTGGTAGCAGTCGGAGGAAGATGAACTTGGAGAAAGAGTAGAATGAAGGATCTCCACAAAATTATGAAGAGCGTCAAGTTACTGTTCATTCCAACCAAGACCGGAGATGGAGCATTTGATAGCCAAGATGCGGTCACCAGGAGCAAGAGAGCCAGTCGTCGTCATCGACATACCATATGAAGTGGCTGGCAGCTCTTCGTCCATTGAGCTGATTTGATCGATAAAAAAAAAGTACTGAAAATCATGTTTAGGATCAAATCACAGCTCTAACGCGGGGAAGGAGACTTATGGCCTTGATGAAGTGGTTTCTTTTTTAGAAAGGGAAAAAAATGGAGAAGGATATCTTTGAGATGTAAAAAAAGGGAAGTGGTGCTTGGAAAAGTAGTTCATAGATGGGTTTCGAATGATATTTTTCAAACCCTTTATATAGAGGATGACCGGATCTTATGGATTGCATGGCGATATTGATTACTCTTACTGTAGTTGACGTTACTCCAGTGGTGCCAAATACTGTGCAGTGAGCCCCTTATTTTTGTTTCCGATCCCTGATTTTTTCTGGTTTCCCAACACCTTATTTTCCTTATTACCTTTTTCTCTGGATCGAAAACAATCCGTTTCTAGTGTGTATCTTTTACAGAAAAAACAACCATTGGTGTCCACCACATTGCACAGTTGAGTGATCGGCAATCGAAAATGCTTTTTGAAGCATTCGGTCCATCATTATAGCCAGCCGAGTGCTTTTTAAGCCTCGGTTTTTTATCCCACCAACCTCGGTATATCCGCTTTAGGAAGAAAAAGAAAGCCCACTGTATGCAATGATCCACGCTTGACAATAGTCACTATCCTGAGGTGATAAATGTTCGAATTGATATTACTTCAATGATCACAAACAAATGGATGATTCTAGAGCCAATGTATCTAAAATAGAGCCTCCTTTAGACACATATCTACCTCTTTACTGGTTTGAGAATAGACTAAAGCCGAATTAAACATGACGGCAGAGACAGAAAAACGCTGACAGGAACAGGTGTCTTGATGGAATATTCCTCAGTTTTCATAAAAAAAAGCAAGGCTTGAAAATTTAACAAAGAATATGAGCCCAAGGCGAGAACTGGAACAAAGAAACAATGCCTCGTTAATAGCAATGCCGCCACTATCACCGCCTTCAGCATTTATTATAGGATGGGATCGTGTACGCGTAGAGCAATATGATCGTAAATATCACCACGAAAAAAAAATAAAAAAAAATTGATCATTTCAGGCTTTGTTCCGGGGGAAAGTCGAGAGGCATCACTTGGTTTCCACCGCGTATTCAGACACCTGAATTTGTTTTGCCCAGAATCACATCGGATCTCACTTCGTCAGGTTTACGGCATTTCTCTTCGGAAAAAGAATCTTTTTAAAGCTTAAGCAGCATGGATATCGTACCACGGGCTGTGTCAAGTTCTGAGTCTCCTTTACACGCTAAAGAATGCACCAAACAACAACGAATGCAAACTGACGACCAGACAAAAACTGGGTGATAACTGTCACAAAGCATAAGAGTCAGCAGTTGTTGTTGGATGAAAAAATGGGTTGTGATTTTTGATTCCAGTATGCCTGCTAGGTCCCGCCTCTTAGTTTAGAAAAAAGGCAATCAAATTCTGCAGATGTCAAGATCCAGATTCGGCCGCAGAATGAAGGAACTTGGGTTCGCGTCTTACTTCTCAGCCAGGAAGCCTGCTCTCGCTGACAAGCAAAAGGCAAACGCCTGAAAATGTTTCAGAGAAAAGGTCGCCTGGACCTTGGAGCAGCATATACTCGAAACCCAGAAGTACGGTAAAGGTTCCGTCATGGTTTGGGGATGCTTTTGGGAAGGCAGACTCGGTCCTTTAGTCACTCTCACTTGCAATGTCAATCAAGACAAGTATATTGACTGCCTGACCAACAAATTTCTTCCCTGGTATCAGGAAAGAACTGGAAAGGAACTTATATTCCAAGAAAACGGCGCTCCGTGTCATACTGGTGGTTATGCCGCCTGGCAGCACAGAGCCCAGATCTCAACCCAATCGAGCATCTTTGGGCTTATATTGCGTATAAGCCTCGCAGCAAACGTGACGAACTGACAAGCGTGGCTCACATCGAAGCCTTCGTCCACAAAACCTGGTGGGGGATCTCACCTCTTCTTCTGGAAAATTTTAGTTTCCAGTCTGCCCCACAGGTGCCGCGCTGTCATAGAGAAGAACGGCAGCCAAACGCTTTATTAAATACTATTTTTATATTTTTACATCTATGACTTGTCGAATATTTCGTCTATGAATTTTGGAGTTGTTCTGAGGACCTTTTATCATGGAAGACTGTCCATCAAACACATCATTGCATTTTCCTTTTCTTTTTGGAAATAGAAATTTTCAAATTCCTACGGTGACTTTTGAAATAAACAGTATATTACAGGTCATTGTTCTTTTAATTTACCACCTCCGAGAAATCATTAGTCTTCGATTTGATTTTCAGAGTGAAGTTCTACGTTTGTCTTTTCTAGCACACCGTAAACACGACTGGGTGTTTCGGTAATGTCGGGTTTAAAGTTCTCCGTATAAGAGAACGAATGTCTCGCTTTGCGAATAGGAGTGTGCTTGAGGAACTAGAATAAGCCAAGTTAGTATCCATTTCTTTTTTTGATTCATCCAGTTTAGAGAAAAAAACACATACAGCTCCTGTCGCGCCCAAGTGACCTTCATGCCGTAAAAATAGAGCCTTCATTTCTCCTTTGGACCAAAAGTTGATGGCATATGACAACGTGTTCATCGTAATAGGATGACCTAGACGATATTGTGTTCATTCATCTCGCGTGCCGCAAGAATGCAAACGAATAAATCCTTTACCTCGAATGAAACAACCGCCGAAATAGATACGCTTCAGACCATGTTCCTGCGCATTCAGATAGGCAATCTGGCCAATATTATTGCTCACCATGAACAATAGACTCTTGGCTATATCCGCCGATTGAAAGCTGTCTTGCGACTGTTTTACTCCTTTCTTAAACACTTTGCCGAAACTTGACGCAATTCGGGACGCTTTCAACCCAAGCTTTGTATAATCGGTGCCGTAAATGTCGCCCACCAACAAATCCACATTTCGGTTATCACCGTCGACCGACATTTCCAGCATTTCTAGAAGCAAGCAACACGCTTAATACATGGTTTCATCAATTGTAACTGTTAGTAAATAAATTACCATCGAATGATTGTGCGTGGGTCAGCAAGGACATCAATCCCCACAGTGTACCACCACCAAGCTACCGACAAAAGGTAAGGCCGCATGCATCATGAACCAATCCATGCTATCGACTTACCGAAGTACCACTGATACGAGAAAACTCGTCGGGTCCCGTCACTTTGAGAATGCTGGGATACATTATTAAGTTGGCTTGTATGGGATCATTTTTGTACCGCAAAGCCTACCTAACACCGGAACCGATATTGACCAGCTTTTGGAAATGAAACGATATGTCAAATTAGGAGCTACCTTTAATTAGCCATATACGAATTGCTTACCATGTATGGGTATATATCTTTTGTTTTTTCTTCAAACCGCATGGCATCGCCTTCCTGCTCGGAATACGTAAATGCCTCATAAGGAATCTCCGTAATAAAGAAATTCAAACCTATATCGCAGCAGCAGGATCCCGTGAGTATACCACATGGAGCAACAATAGACAAAAAGTATTCTTTAGATTTCCTTCCCACGTACCCGTAATCAGACATTCCATTTCGTCTTCCTTTTGAACAATAACGTTGGGCAGTCGCTCGGCAAGCTTTGCCTGATACATGTAAGCGCCACCACCCGTAGCCTTCAGCACAGGCTGTAGTCCCGGTTTAAGCAATTTGCGGGAATCCTTCATCAGCTCGGCCACGAAATCTAAGCATTCATCGATCTTCTCGGTTTCAAACTTTTTGAAATGAAGACGCCCGCCTTTTCGGTCAGCGGATGAAGTAAAGTATACGATTTTCGCCAGCGATCCGCCAATCTACCCATTGCAAAAAGCAGAAGCATTAAGAGCCATTGGGTCGAAACGAAACTAGACCAGCAAAATAGAACACAAACTTACATCGACTGCAATTTGCGACACATGTTCATTCTGATTAGGTAAGACTATATCTCTCGTTTCATGAGCTCCAAGAAGAGCTTCGGAAACGGAAGCGCCAGCGACATTCATAACGATGGGTATTTATAAACGGAGCTGATCTTACAAAGACTTCAAGTGGAGAGGAAAATGAAATGGAATGGTTTGGCTGTTTTATCAAAAAAGACAACGAAAAGCGAATTTGCCTAATAAAGCAAGTGGAATTTGGGAACGCTTTGTCACTCTGACAGGTGGCCAAGAATTTCCGAAAGTTCAGAGTAATTTTTTTTTTCTTTTTGCTTTATTGAACAGTTTTCAGACACCGCTTGGGTACGATCGCAGACTTGCCAGCTCTTCTTCCACCTGGGCCAGCTCTTGACGGAGTGTGTGTATCAGTTTATCCTTTTCTGCCATGGATTTCTCAAAGTCATTGTCCAATACACCTCGTTCTTCATATTCTTCTAATATTGCACGTTGCTGGCCAATGAGCTCCTCTTGTTCGTCACGTTGTTTTTCCAAGAGTTTCTTCTTGGCCACCAGTGCCTCCAACGCTTTATGCGAACCGTCGGTTTGCTGATCGTTTAAACGTTTCCTTCGTTCTTCAATCTCGGTGCGCTTTTTATCTAGTTGTGCTTGTAGTGATCTCTGTTTACTGTCTTCTTGATCAAGTTCATCGCGATAGGTCTGAATTTCGTTGGATAACAGTTCGAGTTCGTTTTCCAGTTCTGCTTTTGTATAGTGCTGCGGTGTATCTTTTTCTTCGTGTGTCGATGATTCACGATCCATAATTGTATAGCAAGTAATGGGGGGTATTGAAAAAAGTGGAAAGATGAAATGGTGATTCAACTTCGCTCTAGGTCCGAAGGTCGCGAAACTTTGCCGCGACGTGACTGTGACTCATTTTATATTATGAACCCTGCGCGGACCGCATGAACCGGTCAAGAAGCACTGATTAGTTATACACTTCCTCAAGGATTCTTTATTTTACAGTATGAATATGCTTATTACAAAATTGGAATGGAAATAAAAAAAACGGTAGGTAATAGAGGGTAAGCCAAAGAGTTCGATTCTGTACCATGTCTTTTCGGCATGCTTCAGGCTGTCGGAAAAGATGGCTGATAAAGGAGAGCTGGGTATGTTTTTACTGGGTGGTAGATACTGAATGATTTTTCTTTACCATCCAAAGCCTTGGGCCTGTTGTTCTTGCGTTTGTTGGTCCTCTGTTTGCCAAATATGAGTTGAACCGCATCCAACAAAGCAAACGCCGGGAATAAACAACCAAAAACTTACCTTTGAAGGCAGCCAAGCCAATAAGAATGCCGGCCACAAAAAATATCAAGCTGATAAAAAACCACAGCACACCCCATACACGACTGGACATGCATGACCCACATAGTTTAGCAAATTTTGATGCGTCGGATTCGTATGCTTTCCGAAAAACGAGATCGTCAAGAATATCCCATAAACAATATAAACATGACATGACGCTGGTAATCCAGGAAGTTGCCGATTAGCCTACAATGGGCCAAACAAGGGCGGTTTTCTACATATCATTTCACTTACCCAACAAAAAGTACGAAATAGCGAAGACCAGCACCGTGAGCGAGCCACCAAAGGAATACCATGACACCAATGAACAAAAGACCAATGCCACGCGTTAACCAATTTTTGGCCCACCACAATGTGAACAATAAGCATACACCGAGGAAAATGGAAGCAATCTTTGATGCCAAGATATTGAACCCACACATCACCAGAATGGCACCAATAGCCGACGACCCCAAATATCCAGCCGGCAATGTACACATAGCAATACCTCCACGCTGCGGAAAACCGAATGAATGAGTATCTCCACCGGTAGGATCTCGTCGATCATTGTTCAAAACACTTACCATTCTTGTGACGCCGCCTTCATCTGGATCGATTTCTATGGATTCAATTTTCGCGCAAGTACAACATCCAACAATAGCATGTGAAAATTCGTGTAGACCGACAGTTAATAACTATGCAAGGACATAATGTGTCATTTAGGAAATTGCCCATGTCTGAAGTCAAGCAGTATTTCATTTGATATGGAAAGGAATCCATTGTTTCATTTTTTTTCTTACCTTGAACGGGGAAAGAATAATCTTGGCTATGGGCATATTCCAGAGAATCATGATCGCGGCAATGTAAACCCCGATAATGATGAGAATGATGCGTTGATCTTCGGTAGGTGTCAATCGGTTGACCGCTTCATTTTGCACTGCTTGCCGTGCTACGAGGTAGTGACTGTAGCTGGTTTGGTCAATGGGCGCCATGTCGACAAGATGGAAAACAAAGAACGGGAAGCGCTCGTTTTTCGGCTTTCCCCTGGTTTAAAAATAGGTGCGAGCCAAGCATTTTTACAAATCCGGATAGTCCCAAAATAATGATCGACGAAACGTCCCAAAAAAAAAATTGTTCAGCTAGATCACATCTCACTACCTGGTACACGTCCACACCGCCTTAATACAGTTAAGCTTATTTATTCAAATAGGAACAGCTTAAATTATCTTTCATTTCTTCATATTCTCTTGTGCCTGAGTTATAGGAACCAGCCCAATGCATTGGCCATTCCTCTCCTTCTCATGGTTGAAGGGCCCGAGGATGAAGATAGTCAACGGCTTACTATCGTATTTGCCGATACCTCATTTGATTTTAAATTAAGCTCAAAAAGGTCTTGATTCGGTTCATGCCCACCAGAATCACCTGGTTTTGCCTGAAAACTGGAACAGGTAACCATGATTTTCTGAACGACCACGTACTTTACAGTCATCCAAAGAACCAGTGGTCCCCATTAGCAATACTTGGGTGCATTATCTTATGGAGCAGGATAGATTGGATATGCTTGTGATCTGGAGCAAAGGGTCGGTGTTTTCTTTGGATGGGATCGGGTCGAAATGAGCTCTTTTCGAACGCCAAACATTCAATGATCCAGTTGACCGGTCTATTATCTCTAATTTATTGCCAAACTAAAAACGCAGCGGGTGTACGGCTTGTTAAAGCCAAAAAAGGGGAAAATGAGAATGTCAGAATAACACTTTTCCATTCAATATTAATGAGCCAAACATGTCAACAGTTCTAAAAAGAAAAAGAAAAGTGGTTTTTGTGTCCACGAAATGTATTCAGACACTCTTGAACGAGAATCCAATGCAAACAATGCAAGGCGGATCCTCAAGTTTTGGCAAGTTGTCCAGCAAGGCGTGGTTGGCACTGTATAGGGTTAGCCCGAGATTGATGTTGGTTATAAGTTGTTCTTCTTTATAACCGAACAGTTGGCAACGAAAAATATATGAGAAAAGGCTTTTCTTCTTTTTCGTGGTTTTTTTTTTTTTTTTTTTTTTTTTTTTTTGGCCTTTAACCCCAAGTCGTATTACTGTGCAAAGCTTTGATGTTAGAAAAAAAATGAGACTCTTTTCTCCACACGATGTCTTCCTTTTTTCATTTGAGATGAATTGAGTTTCAACCCGTTGGTCACCAATCTATTTTTGGATTCCCGACAATTGAGCAGTCCTCGCGTCAAAAGCTGGTGTGTTTTTTCTGATTTCCGGGTCTGACTTTGTGGAAACCGTTCTCAAGAAGTACCGATTAAAACACCATGAGCAAGCGATCGTTTATTATCGAGCATATGGAAGACGGCATGCACGATTGGTGTGTGCTGGAATACAAGCACATGTTGCAGAACATTGGTCCCGATCACCTTTGGTTTTCCGGACTGTCCGATGCATGCTTGAATGAGAATATGCCTGAAGAATTGAAGCAAGCCCATTGTCACCAAGAAGACGTGCTTCACTTGCCCGGCGTCGATCCTAGCGAGATTTGTCTGCTCGATCCGGCTGGTGAGTCTGATTTGGCGCCTGAGGACGGCGATAAATTCAAGTACTTTTTGTTCGGTGGTATTTTGGGTGACGATCCACCACAAGGTAAAAACAGACCACGGCCGCACTCTTTTCATGTCTGCTTACCGAATTCATGTGTCTAGACCGTACAAAGGAGTTGCGCAAACTTGGATTTGCCGGTCGTCGTTTGGGCCCTGTGCAAATGACCACCGATACCGCCGTCAATGTGACCAAACGCGTGGTGGAAGACCGAAGTAAGACCACGAAAAAAGATAGAAAGGAGGAAATATGATTACAGATAGCTGACGGATACGTGCTTTTTCCTTTTGCTGTGTGATAGTTCCTTTGAATGAGGTGCCTTATATCGATCATCCGGAAATTTTCTTTTCGCGACACGAGTCTGTGACCATGCCCTTCCGATACATTGCTGAGACCAAGCAAGTGACAGCCAAAGATGGTACTACCAAAACCATCAAAAAGCCATTGATGCCCCCCGGTATGCTCGAGCTTTTGAAAAAGGATAATGAAAGTACGTTTGAATTTTGATCGAATCCGCCTTGATTGTGTCCACCTGTCATTCTGCATAAAAACCCATCCAGACGGGATCCTATCCTATTTCCGTTGTAGTCTCTAAATAGTTTTCTTCTAACAAAACACTCATCTTTTTCATACATTCAATAATATTTCTCTTTTTTGGCGATGAGAACAAAGAATAAAGGTGCTCATCTGTCAATGCGTGGACTTGAATTGGGGCGCAGCTGTCACTGCGATTTTTTTCTTGCCTTCCGCAAAAAGCAACTCGAGGTGGGGCGGACTGACGGTTTTTTTTTTTACACCATGCAGTGCCTACGAAATTGTGGCCATCGTCTCAAACTATCGACTTCTTTACGATCCTTTCGCTCCATTTGGACAGGGGTGACCTGGCAAGGTCCCGCGATTCAGGAATGTGTAAAAACCTGTCTTGAAAGCGGCCATGTCCAACCTCGACCTGTAGCCGCCGTAGCACTCGTTTCGAAATCATTTACCCCGCAAGAATATGCCCATTTGATCCAACAGGTGCAAAATCAACTGGCGCCTGAATTGTTCCTGGGCTGTGTCGTCGATCGTGTAGCTCGTGTAGAGCACGGAGTGTCGTTGTGGATGGCTTACGATGAGGACGTGCAAGGGTTCTTTATTCAAGACGGCCCTGAACGTCACAAGGTACGCAACATATCCGTTGGCCGCTGGGGACGTGTCGAAGATTACCCAAGTGTGCAGCATCAGCGAACCAAGTTTGGCCAAGCCGGCTGGGACGCCTTTGACAGCGTCAGCCAACCGGCCCAACAATATCTACTGCCAGAGTCATTGACCGCCAAACAAACGTAAACTATCATTTTTATTTATTCCATTGAATTCCCTGAATAATTATCAGTAATGCAAAATCAACCTATAGATCGCCCTCTTTTATCTTTGTCGCCTCCGACAATGAACCGGATGAGTTATTGCAATCATTCGATCATCATTATCCAACTACACCAAAGGTAAGTTGTTGAACGTATGCTCGAATCTCTTCCAGTCTTCTTTTTCTTATTTCCTTATTTTCTGGGATAGATCGGTATCATCGGCGCCTCCACACCGTTCTTGACGGGCCAACCATACACTTTATTTTACCAAGGGAAAGCCATGGGTGCAGGCATTGTGGGTTTGGCGTCATATAGAAAGGACAATCCCAGTCTAACGGTGATCCACCACGGCCTGGAAAAAATGGGCGAGCCATTGAAAATTACTCGGTAATGGCAAAAAATTATCAATGATGGGCAAGATGGGGAATATTAACCCGGGGATGAGTTAGCTGTCGAGGCAATGTCATTCTCGATCTTGATCAGGCAGGCGCTACGGGGTTATTGCTCGACTTGCTTCACAGCGGTCCGAGCGGGAAACCCAAGAAGGATGAAGAGTTTTACCTGGGAGTGTATCCCGCAGGAGATACTCAGTTAGATGATGCAAAGGTACGTTTCTTGCAACACCTGATTGAGCAAACAAAACTTGTGAAGTTGCTCAATGGGCTGTTCTCAGCTAAGTGTCAACCGTGTCACGAGTGGTGATCCCTCCAGAGGTAATATGTCCGTCGACACCACGGCCGATTTTGAAGTCGGTCAAACCGTCCAGGTAGGTTCCGCCATGTCATGTCAACATGTCCCATATTTTTGACATCCTTGTTCATGTGATCACCTAGTTTATGCGAAAAGTTCCTTGTGATCCTCAAAGCGTATTGGAAGCTACAGGTAGAATAACAACATGGCAAACACTTTTTTTAGGTCCATCTCACTCGGCTTAATAGAAGGAAAAGTGGTGGTCGGTGTGGTGGATAAGGATGCCACCATTGATGCACTGCCTATCAAGAAATCCAGCGAGCACCAGATGATTGCCAATGTATTTGGTGCAACAAGTGAAAATGGAGCTATTGTAGGTCGCCCTTCCCTGCCAACCCAGATCTTGGATGTCCCCTATTCTCAGATCTCATTCAAGGCATAATTGGCTTTTTTTTTCATTTTCGAACATTTATATCTTTCATCCAAATTGGGGTTTAATAATATCATAGAATCACAGGGAATAGCAAAAAAACACAAATTTACACTGTAAAGTTCATTACTAAATCACGTACATTCAGCTTGACGGTGCGTGTTGAAGTCCATTCACAACGCACTTGGTAAATGGATTGACTCGGCTCCATGGTAGCTGTCACGAATCAATCAAATATAAATGTTAGAAAGAAAAAACGGATGGCCAATGTTCCAAGGGTGAGACTTACCATCCTCTTTATTCGGCAGCGCAAAAGAGAATATCTTGTACGGTTTATGGGATCCTTGCAAAGTGCCATCGCGTTGGTCATGACGTTGGCCACCGAACCCGTGGGACAGACTGCTGGTCAACATGCCGAATATACTCTGGTTGGCATACCATACGCGAACGGTTTGATCCAAAAGTGAACAAGTGGCAATGAATTTAGCGTCCGGAGAAAAGGCTAATACAGTAACTGGCCCCGTATGACCCTGGATTCAAAATAATAGGCGTCAGGCAACGGTGAAGATGCAGTTGCTAGGTAATTCCATGGGTTTAACTTACTTCGAGCACAGTGGATCGTGTCGCGGTCCGCACATCGTAGATAATCGACGCACCCTCTAATGTTCCTACCGATAATTTTTGTGCAGTGGTGCTAAAATCTACAAAAGGGTAACTGATGACCGAACACATTGAGAAAGACCGTCCGTGCAGCGAACGAGAAGGGATGTCTGTACTTACACCTTGACAAGGTCATGTAGAATGGCTGTAGCTGCAGGTAAGACTTGTTCACGCATGTGTGGAATATTGGGATCCAGCGTTTTAACCACGGCCTCAACCACCCGATGAACATTGTAATACAGTAATATGGGTTTCTAAAGGAAATTCGGGTTTTAGTGTCCCCTCTTGTTTCGATAGACATGTTGATGATCCTATCTGACCTTTCGAATAAACTGTCCAATGATCTGAAGACAGCGAATACGATCATCGATCTTTTTGCAATGCATGGTATCGAACGTCAAAGTTCCAATCACAAGGGGCATATTTGTTACCGCGATCTCAAAGATGGCGCCTTTCGCTCCGCGACTGACAAGGGACATGGTAGGTTTTTTATCGGAAGCATACTGAAACAGGGTACGGAGCACTTCCGAGGCATTGATATAGGATTCCCAAGTTGAAAATCCCTGACTCAAAAGTTCCATCGATGACAACATTCGTGCCATGGATGCAGACGACACAGTAGCTTGATCCGTATTTCCTTGTTCAAATTCCACATCCGACAATAGAATCGTCAAACTCAAAGCAGTCGATTTGCGAACCCTTGAATTTCAGCGTCAGTCTTTATTCACAGATAAGCATAGACCAGCAATATCATGTTTTTACCTTGAAGATAGCATTTGAGGTTGGTCGCATCCCATGATGCCTAGTATGACGGAAGCACGAGCCATCATCTGCGATCCATCACTTTCAGGAGCATCTGAAGTGGGCACTAGATCAAGAACTCTTTCGTAAGATATTGCATAACTTGGGGTAAAAAAAGAAAGACAGATCAACTTACAAAAGGCTTCCCAATAATTGACAAGAGAAACAATGTCTTCTTTTGACAACCCTGTGACCGCACTGGAAAAGAGACAGCGGGCTATATAATATATAAGCAAAGAGTCAACCACTGAAAAACAAGCGAGTATAGATACCCGAAGGATGACATCATGTGATTCAATTCGCACTTACCTGAGGGATCTTGCCAGTATTTACTAAGTAACGATAATGAGGGGAAGCAGTAATCTTTGCCAATAACGGCCGAAAGCGCAATAGCATAACTTGAAATCAAATCCGAGCTACAACCATCTTGTCCTGCAATAACACCACATCACCAGGGTCCCTGTTAACAGCTGATCCGGCCGCAACGATTCAGATGATCTTACCTGCCATGGATATGATGGCTTTACCCAACAAGGCAATAGTCAACAATCGTGAGGCGGTCATGGAAATCGATACTTTCCAGGCCTCTTTCTCGTCTTTCATCGGGGCCAAAATCGATAGATTGCCGTTGGTGCTTTATACCGAGAATAAGAAAAAGGGAATTCGGTCAAAACTCTGCAAAAAAAAGGTCTTTACCCTCTTACCCTTTAATACCGTAGGAAAGATGAGCATCCGTAATGACGGATGGTGAAACCGTTTTTCGACAAATGTCTTCAAAGGCTTCACTTACGTGCCAAGACATGACGCTGGAAATAATGGAGGACACCAATTCCAGTTTTCTGTCGTGGGCCGGTATTTCTGTATCCTGTCGTGAGTCGATAGGGTCATCTTTATCTGGACGGAATGTGAGCATATCAGGAACCACGGCATCGATGGAGGTGGTCGACGCCGAGGTCTCAAGCGCCGGCGCTAGTAATCCAGCTGGGCCCCTGGATTTGATAACCAAATCATTGGCTAAACGTCGAATGTTGAATGTGAAAACGTGCGCCAAATTGGTCGTCACATGGGACGTTTGATGATGGGACAGAATAGGTTTGATCGATGCTATGTGTTTCAGTGTCCAAGGTTTATGCGAAGAACTCGTAGTTTGCAAGCGATTCGTAGGCCAGCGATCGTCATTCAGAACATCGTGCGCCGTGGTGCCGGTCAACACACGATCAAGGTGCCCTGATTGAAGCTGTGAACCCACACATTCACCACCAATGATAAAACAGATGAATGGGTGCACTTTTATTTGAAGTGCGTTTTGTAACAACATACCTGCCATACAAACACCGTGCCATCGCTAAAGCCAAGCAACAAATAACTTTCTTCCACACGCCATTGAATTGCTGACAGCCCATACGGATGGCCTGGAAACATGTACAAACTAGCCAACCTTCGTAAATCATTTGTTGGATGTCGACACAGAAGTTTTTTTCTGATTTTTACCAGTGCATGGAATCAATTGAAATGAGCGCGGTAGAATTGTCTTTGGCGACCGACACCACGCACCCTCGAATGTGGATGTCAATTTTTTCCGCCGGTTCGATAAACATCTCGACAGGCATTGCGTGAACCGTGTTGGATGCCACGTATTTTCCATCACTAGACAACCTGCTTTAGCCGTCTATTCTTGCAGGCACCTCCACGCCCTTACCAGCCACTTACATTAAATTCCAAATCTTCACGGCTCCGTCACGTCCACCTGATAACAGGTACTGCGATGCCGATGGACTATATTCAGGAGCAAGCATGCATGTCACTTCACCATCATGTGCCTTTTCGAACACTCGAACATCGTCTCGATCCGCTAAATGACTTGAAATATCATTCAGGTGCAATAAAGCTAAAGCAAACGGAACCACGCAAATGGTGCCGTTTTCTATTTCCCCAAGAGGCGGTAATCGCCAGTTTAGATATGCTAAATGCATTGTTTTTTCTTTTGAATTTTACATACCGTAGCCGATAGCCAGGTGATTGCTGCTCACTGGGGCTGTGGCTGTGATGTGACCGAAATTGGGATCTTGTTGATCTTTCAGTGGCCAGCTGTCGGCGAATGATCTATCTTGCTCACGTATCCATCGTCAGCGGGGTCGTGGAAAAAAAATGAGAAATTCATCGATCAGGTCCACACCAACCTAGGGACAAATTTTTCGCGGGTGACGGGGAGGTGGTGTTGATGTCGGTGGATATATCGGATGCGGTAATTTGGATCCCGTAAGTTGACCTTTCAATATCATTAGCGACCGACAGCAAAGCAATCATGCCGTCTGACGTGTCTTCGTAAACGGCCGTGAAGCGGGATTCCGGCATACCACACGCTTATTCCAAGAATTTTTATATAAGTCATCGTGCCACAGCAGAAAAACGATCTTCATGGCTCACCATTCTCATCCATGGAATAAGATTGCACAAGCGTTTCACTACAGCCATCTCTTGAGCTTTCAGCAGATTCAAAAAGAAAAGGAAAAAAAGCGAGCGGTGCTTACGTGTAATACAATTGTTGTTCGTTGGATGCCATGGATCCAGTTTTCACGCCTTGGGGTGGATGCAGAACATAGTCATATATGTCACCATTCTATACTTGATCACGTCAATGTTTCTTCTGACAAAATGTAAATTGTACTGGGCTTCACCTGTGTCCATATCATCAGTCGATTTGTCTCACAAAATACACCGCCAGTCCAGCTGGTGCCAGATTTGGCCGGAAGGGTGATGTGGGGAATAAACTCGTTATTGTTGTGTAAAGCAAAAATCTGTCGGATAAATGGAAAGAATGAGCTTTTTACATCATCGCAGAGAAGGGAAAAAATCCAGTGTTTCATGAACCTTACCACCACTTTTTCATCGGTTAATGCCATACAAATTCCGGGTGTGGAATCACTGCTGATTAGATCAAAGTGGGCATTAAAGGTGGAAACGGTTTGATCGGAAGAGAGAGGTTGGTGAAGGATCGACTTGTCTTTGTAAATAATTTGCTTTGATACATCGAAATTCCAAGTATCCAAGCGCCCGTCCATGGTCATGGTGACCAGTTTCGGTTGCTGCCCCTGTTGCTGCGCGCCGGTGGATGACAATATACGTTCAGGGCAAAAATCCGTACATACCACCCAGTTGGCGTGTCCTCCCCATACGCTCACCACCTTTTACAGATGATCGTGATCAGTAAAACCATGCCAAAACTCGTTTTCCAGCTGATGTAGTGCCGGTTTACCTCGAGGGTGGTTGCATTGAGGATGAATATATCGTTGGACTGTCCACAGCAAAAGATGTGACGACTGGAAAACTGGTGACGACCGTCAGATAATGATGTTATTCGCGCTTTCATCAAGCTTTACCTGTTTAAACACTTTTAAATAGCGAGGCACCCCCATAAATCCACTGTTATTCACCGCTTGACAGCGGCCGTCTACAACACTCCAGCGTGCGATCTCGCTTCCAAAGAAATAAGGCAGGGTTCAGCGCGACCATTTCAATCTCGGATTGAAACTTTGGTATAAAGTGAAAAACGTTACCCGTCTTCTGCTGCACTGATAAGCACGTCGTCGTTTGAAAGCGAATTTGTGTGGTTCTTTATCACGCATAGTGCCACCACCGGAGCTTTATGCCCAACAAGAAGGAATTTATGCTAAAGCATGCCATTGCGTCTCGGTGTGAAAATGGGCTGCAAGTCAAAAAAAATAGAGGTCAGAGGAAACCGAAAAAAAGATACCTGTAATGTGGGTGGATCGAGGGACATTTGATAGACCCAGATATGGCCGTCCTTTTGACCTGCATACACATGAGGGGGATTGCAGGCGAGGCTTGTGGTGTTTGGGTTGGTGAAGTTGTGCCAGATGACGAACGGCAGAGAAATGGAGGAAGCCATCAATTGAAAAGAAGGAAAAGGTCTTTTCCAATCGAGTTTGTCAATATCACTGATATGCTACGACTATTGAAGAAAGCGGTGAACGAGTGAACAAAAAGCGTGACAGTCACTGCATGAAAGTTTCTCGTTTCTATTTCTTCACCACATGTCCGAGCTGAAACGCTGTACCACCTCCGATCCACGGTTCAAAATTTTTTTAAAAAAAAATGAAATTTGGATAGACAGGGCACATCATGCCATTCTTCTCTGTACTTATTTCCGATACTTTCCGACCGATATACTCACTTCCATGGATCCATCTGTGTTCTACGCATTCTGCAGTTCTCTCAAAAAAGATAATACACTTCAGATAAACAGACATTGTCGCAGCTAAAAGATAAAAAAGTCAAACAGGTATCATTGCCAAGCAGACCATATATTTAAAGCATAAACAATTTTATAAAAGGTAATGCTATCGACCTATTTATTGTAGAGTTTATTTTGGACAAATACGTAGGCATCTGCCGAGGAGATGACTGTCTAGTATTGAGAACTTGTCAAGCATCAGAGTGATGCTGCAAATTTTGTTAGTTATCCACACGGGGAGAGACTGGACATTCTTGAAGCAACTCTGAAACGTGTAAATCGAGCACCTCGGCTGCAGAGTCTACCAAATATGAAGCGGTATGCTGCTTCGGCCAGTCCATAGCGTCCTTTTCTGTCGCAGTACAGGTCGGGTTTTGGTTCAGGAAATCGTCATACAGTTCAGCAATCATATCGCTGTACTCGTCCACCACAGCTTGACGTTTGACGGTGCCTTTGTCTGACATAGGGATCTGTCGCCCGAGGGGGGGGGGGGCAAGATCTTTATCATTTGCGGATGAATTATGCTATGACTTACTTTATCTGCGTGGACCTCGACTTGCTGTTCGAACAAATTGATGAACGCGTTGTAATCAGTATTCTGAAAAAAAGGAGCCGTAAAAGTCATGTCTCTAAGCAGTGGAAAAAGTCGAAGAAGGACCATGCGAAATGGAAATGGCCCTTTTTATCATAGCCGGAGGAACGTCGGACAACAGTTTCAAAAATGTGAGCCAACTTTCATAACGTAGCCTAGGTTCCCGGAAATTCTGATGCTACACCCTTTGTTGCCAGCGTTGTACCGGGTACACAACTCGTGCCCTCAGAATTAAACAGAGACGGTGAAATGGCATCTGCAGGAGAAGAACTTGCCACCGTGGAGCTGACCGGCTCGTGACATGTTTCATCTTTTAGTCATGGTCCAAGGCATCCTCAAAGATAACTTCTCATTATACTTCTTTCAGGCTCACGTACGATCCACAAGAAGCAGCGTCTCGGTTGTCAAAAAAGACCACAGGAAAAGCAGTAACACGGACGTCTCACTCGGGCTAATGTCATATATCCTGCATTCCATCTTCCGCAGCACACCATTCATGTTTTAAAGAATGTAGTTTAATCATTATTTGACGAATTGTAAAACCACATTGATGACTCCGGGCATCTGATGAAGCATATTCAAGTCACGGATTCATCAGCGTTATACGCATCATACATTTCTCTCAAAGGTATTCATTTTAGAACAACAGACATCGTCATAGCGAACAGATAAATCGCTGTGAAGGTCATGTAATAAATCACAAATTATTATATATTAAGGTTACGCTTAAGGATTGTAGAATTCAACCTTGGATCAATAGCCTAGGCATTAGGCAAGGAGACAACTGTTTAATACAGATATCTCGTCAGATACCAGGCTGGCGCTGCAGGTTTTGTCAGTTTCCACATAGGGAGATACTGGGCGTTATTGAGACAACTCTGACACGGTTAGATCGAGCATCTCGGCTGCCGAGTCTACCAAGTATGAAGCGATGCGCTGTTTCGGCCAGTCCATACCGTTCTTTTCTGCCGCAGTACAGTTCGAATTTTGGTTTAGGAAATCGTCGTACAGTTCAGCAATAATATCACTGTACTCGTCTACCACGGCTTGACGTTTGATGGTGCCTTTGTCCGACAAAGGGATCTGTCCGCCGGGCGGCAAGATCTTTATCATTTGCGGATGAATGATGCTGTGACTTGGTGCCTCCTTGTTTGCCCGGTTCACAGCTCGTCGAACTGCGCAAATAGTTAATATAGCTTTATCACTGAGCATTCTGTTTACAAAACAAGCAGTTAATCAATGGCTACCTCTCTGCATGACTTCGTCTGTCAAGGAATTGCTCAAATACTCTGGTCGCAGCTCTACTAAAACACAGGTGCATGGGCGACGCTCACCAATGACCGCGCACTGTTTGATGACTCGCTCACCGGTGATGACATTCTCCATTGGAACCGGGTTAGTTTTCTCACCGTTTTGCCTGCGCGTATAAGTTTAGCAACCAACACACTCTCCTTTTCTTCCCATTTGGTATTACTTACATGACAAATACATCATTTTTGCGTCCAACGTAAATGTAATCACCAGAATTGGGTGTCACTTCTCGGAAAATGTCATTGGTATTATAGCCTCCATCCTCGCGGTTGGCTACCCCTGTCGCAAGGAAGGGAGCATTTGCTGGGATTACCAGATGCTTCACTGTAGGATCGTCGGTGTCACAAGGCTCGAATTGGTAATAAGGCGCATAGATTGGTGTCCCGCGCAAGACGTTCCACTGCTTGTTGCTTGGATCGAAATCGGAGCAAAGTACGACACTGATCTCTAGTTCACAGATGTTTGAGCGTTCCTCTTTCTATTCCTCCCATTTACACTGTCATTCATTCGTACCAGTAGTTCCGTAACAATTTTTTATGTTGATATGATGTTGGGTAAGCTCTTCGCCGAAAGAGGACTTTAAAGGACCCCCACCGCAAAAGACCAACTTTAGACGCTGCATCAACTCAAAATCTTGATGCTCTGTCATATAGAACAAGAGTTTTTCAAGGACCAAGGGATTTGTACCCATCATGGTAGGGTTGGTTTCGGTAATCGCCAAGCGCACTTCATCGACGGAGGCTGGCACTGTTGCCACCAATACGGTGCTAGCGCCCACCAACATTCCCATAAAAGACGATATAAAGCCAGATAGGTGGAAGAGAGCACTCGCACAGAGCACAGTATCACGGTCATCGTAGGTTAATGTGGGAGCGGATTCTTGGATACGATAACGAAGGTACTGGAGCAGAAGAATCAGGTAGCGGTTGCTGAGTTGAATGGGCTTTGGGTAAGAAGTGGAGCCGGAGCTTAACGACGGCAGGAGAAACAAAGAAAATAAATACGCAACACACCATCCTTTTTTTTTTTTTTTGAAAAAAAAAAAGACTCGCTGAGCAATTCACCTACCTGTGGAAAATTATGGCAATCTTTTCAATATCATCGAAAGTATAGTGTTTGTTTAGCAAGGTGTCTGCTTTTGGGTGAAGCGGCTCTTGCAACATTTTTTCCAAATCGAAAGGCGGAAGGATGATGACTTCACAATGCTCGGTTTGACTTGCTGCTCCTGTAGCCACATGACGGTATTTTTCGGTGGCCATGACGACTTGAGCATGGGTTTTATGCAAAAGACCCACCACATCGGCCTCCAAGTTTCGTGGCGAAAGAGACAAAAAGGTCACCCGCAATTTCAGAATCGCAACAAGACTGATCAGGTAAAAGATGTTGTGGTCGGCAATGAATCCAACCACGTCGGCCTTGTGTAGATACGGATGCCATTGACACGCCAAATTGGTTGCCAAATGGTCGACTTGTCGGTAGGTTAACGAAAGAAAAGTGGATGAACCGTTTCGCACAGCAAGGTAGCGTGCAAATACTGTATTTGCGTGGATCTCGACTTGCTGCTCGAACAAATTGACAAACGCGTAATAATCAGTATACTGAAAGTAAGGAGCCGTAAAAGTCATGTTGAAAAGATTCGAGACAATGCGAAGAGGAAATCATGGCGTATTTATTATGGATTGAGAAACGGCAGACAAAACAGTTTCGCCAATGCAAGCCAGTGTGTGTGGCGCAATCCGCATTACCGAAAATTTTGATGCTCCATTGTTATTGGCTGCTTTTATCATGTATGCATACACATCTCATGTTACTTGCATTAAGCGCAGTGGACAGCTGTAAAAATACCACAAAAAAAATACGCGTGACATGTAACTCTCAATCTGGCTACAGCATATCTCATGCCTTCATCTTGTGCAGCAAGCGACTCATGTTAATAAAGGCAGTTTAATCATTCTTTGACGAGTTGTAAAGCGACTTGATAATTCCATTCTCTGGCTATTTTATGATTACATAATCACGTCATGGATCCATCAACATGATATGCATTATGCAATCCTTTTAAAAGGTATACATTAAAATCAGACACCGCCGCGATGACGGCGTCAAAGACACAGGTCAGACAGGGATCATCGCCAAGCAAATCATGTTATAAATCATAAATTATTTTATAAGAAAAGGTAATACTGTCGTGTTAGGGGTTGTAGAATCCAACCTCGAACCAATAGCCTAGGTATTTACCTAGGAGCTGACTGTCAAGTACAGGTGCCTTGTCCAGCACCGGGGTCATGTTACAGGTTTTGTCGGTTTTCCACACAGGGAGAGACCGGAAATTCTTAAAGTACGCTTGGTAAAAACTCAGCAAGCGATAAGCAGGATTGCCGTCGTTTTGAGCCAAAGCTCGAAGCCAGTCTTCAGGACTGACCAAGTCAAACGTCATTCCATTCTGTCGCATGGCGGTCAAGAGGTCGTTCCATACAAAACGGCGGGGGTTCACAATGTGAAAGATGGAATTCTCCACTTTGACCGATTGATTTGCAGTGTTGATCATGATATCTGCAATCGCTGAAGCGGCATGGTCCAAGAGAATCCAATCAATGGTGAGTACCAGGTCGGGCATTTTGTGCATCTCCTGGCCACCGCCGACAATCAATAGGGGGTAAAACTCGTTAATGTTCCAAACCCCGTTTTGACTGTCACCACAGGCTTGACCCAAACGTTCAATGATACAGGGGAAATTCTTGTTTTCGCAAAGATAGTTGAGCAATTTTTCCACAATGTATTTTGACTGCGCATATCCTATTGGCATGGCTACGCAAGCATTGTCTGGCAAAGGCATTTCTTCAACGTCACCACCTATGCACGCGCTGGCCGAAACGCTCGAAATAAAATGGACGTGCATCGGATTGACAGAACGGAATGCAAACCGGAGAAGATTGTACATGCCACGGATACACACCTTGTCGTAGTGAGCAACGGGATGATGAAAGTCCAATAACCAAGCGCAGTGCTGCACCATGGTTACTTCCTTTTTGAGCCGATCGTACGTCTCTTTGTCAAGACCCAAGTACACGTCATCCAGCTTCATGGGCAGGACATGGAGTTTGGAAGATTCGAGCAACGACCGATCCAGCGACCGATCGGCAAATGTTTGACGAAGTCGATCCAAAAGAACCACGGTATCATTGGAGCCTCGGATCATCGCATACACTCTCTTCACAGTCGGTCGTTGCAGCAAATCCTGCAATAAAAAGGCGCCCAAAGACCCGGTGGTCCCCGTCAGCAAGATGACCTGATCCTCATTCTCGGCGTAGCAGGTAGCCGCTACTCCGAAATCGGTTTCGGCGCGCTTGATATAGGATGCCAATAGTTCCTCCGTCAAGCGGTACTGTTCCTCTACAATTGCTTCATAAGTCGTCTGTGTTTGAGACATCAGTATCTTTTTCATGGATTGCACGGTAGGATATTGAAAAACGAAACTGTGGGAGACGTGGTTGAAATGCAGGGCAATACGGTTACGCAGCTGAATCGATAACAAGGAATCCATGCCATAATCGAATAGCGATTTATTCACGTCGGTCAACTCTGAAGCTGGTAAACCAAGCACCTCGGCTGCCGAGTCTAGCAAAAAGGAAGCGATCTGCTCCTCCGGCCAACGCATGCCATCCTTTTCTTCCGCGGAACACGTCGAATTTTGATTCAAGAAATTGTCGTACAGTTCAGCAATCATATCACCGTACTCGTCCACCACGCTTTTACGTTTGACGGTGCCTTTGTCCGACAAAGGGATCTGTCGCCCGGGTGGCAAGATCTTTATCATTTGTGGAAGAATGGTGCTATGACTTGGTGCATTCTTGTTGGCCCGCTTCACCGCTCGTTGAACTGCGCAAAACAAAATGAATGTATTACTATCAGTTAGCCATTCTTTTTCGAAGAATGAGCAGTTGACCATGCTACCTTTCTGCATGACGTTGTCCGGAACGGAATTGCTGGCATACTCGGGTTGCAGCTCTATCAAAATGCAGGTGCATGGGCGCCGTTCGCCAATGACCGCACACTGTTTGATGACTGGATCACTAGCAACGATACTCTCCATCGGAATGGGACTGGTTTTCTCGCCATTTTCCCTGCACAGATGGGTTCAGCAGCCAAGAAATTTTCCCGTTTTTCCCCCATCCATTTGCTCTTACATGACAAGTACATCATCTTTGCGTCCCATGTGGATGTAGTAACCCGAATTGAGTGTCACTTCTCGGAAAATGTCGTTGGTATCATAACCTCCATCTTCACGGTTCGCCACTCCTGTCGCAAGAAAAGGAGCGTTGGGTAGGATGACCAGATGCTTCAATGTAGGGTCGTTGGTATCAAGAGGTTCAAAGTCGTAATAAGCTGCATTAATCGAGGTTCCGCGGAGAACATTCCATTGCTTGTTGCTTGGATCGAAATCAGAGCTAAACAAGCCATTGATCTCTAATCCACACTATCTGAGCTTTTTTTCTCCTCTTTGCCGAGTTTAAATGTCACTGATCATTACCTGTAGTTCCATAACAATCTTTGATGTTGATCTGATGCTGGATAAACGCGTCACCAGAAGAAGACTTCATAGGAGCTCCACCAAAAATGACCAACTTTAACCGCTGCATAAATTCAAAATCTTGGTTTTCGGTCATGTAGGACAAGATTTGTTCGAGGACAATGGGCGTTGTCGACATCATGGTTGGGTTTGTCTGACTAATAGCCGAACGCAAGTCGTCGACAGAGGCGGGAAGCTTTTCTACAAACACGGCGCTGGCGCCCATTGTGATTGCAGAAAAGCAGCAGAAGAAGCTAAAGACGTGGAAGAGAGGGCCGGCACAGAGCATGATATCGCGGTCGTCATAGGTTAATGTAGGAGCCGATTCTTGAAAACGATGAGGAAAATACTGAATCAAAAGTATCAGGTAGCGGTTGCTGAGTAAAATAGGCTTTGGAAAAGAGGTGGAACCGGAGCTTAACAACGACAAGGAGAGAGATATTGAATACACCCAACACACCAACATTCTTTTATTTTCATTGATCTCTCTAACGGCACCTACCTGTGGAGAATCATGGCAATCTTTTCGATATCATCGGAAGTATAACATTTGTTCAGCATGGTGTCCGCTTTTGGGTGAAGCGGCTCTTGCAACATTTTGTCCAGATCGATAGGCGGAAGAATGATGGCTTCACAATGTTCTGTTCCACTTGCAGCTCCGGTAGCCACATGACGATATTTTTCGGTGGCCATGACGACTTGAGCGTGGGTTTTATGCAGGAGATCCAACATGCCTGCTTCTGAGTTTCGTGGCGAAAGAGCCAAAAAGGTCACCCGCAATTTCAAAATAGCAAGAAGGCCGATCAGGTAAAAGATGTTGTGGTCGGCAATAAATCCAACCACGTCGGCCTTGTGTAGATACGGATGCCATTGACACGCCAAATTGGTTGCCAAGTCGTCCACTTGCCGGTAGGTTAACGAAAGAAAAGTGGATGATCCATTTCGCACAGCATGATAGCGTGCAAACACTTTATTTGCGTGAACCTTGACTTGCTGTTCGAACAAATTGACAAACGCAAAATAATCGGTATACTGAAAGAAAGGAGCCGCAAAAGTCATGTCTCTGAACAGTGTAAAAAATTTCGAGGCGGTGTGCATAACAAAAATTATGGCGATATTTATAGTTTATGGAGGGCCAATTTTTCGTCGCGCAAACAACTCCTGTGGCGCATTTGACCGTACCAGAAGCTCGGAGTCGCCACGGCCGTTGTAAAATAGTCACGTTTTCATGCTCCTTGAATCCGTATGCCTTCAACCTTCGTGCATGCCTGATGAAACATTACTGCAAGTAAAAAAACCTTTTTTTTTTGTCAGCCTTGAGCTTATCGACTCGTGACGTGCTACATCCGTTGGTCGCAGGTTGGACTAACCAACTTCAACACATGAACCGAGGAAAAAAATTTCGAAAATGCCGAATCCTTTATCAGCACATGGATGATTCACCTTGGCAAGGGCCGTGTGCCCCCCCCCCCCCCTGGGGCACGACATGGTATGCTGGGACGACCGACAGCATGAATGCACCAGATAGTTATTGCGTGCATCGACAATTCGTGTTGAAAATGCCAGCCTACAATATATCTTGCTGCAACCGCTAATACAACGATAAAACGTGAAAGACAGATATACTTTAAAAAATCGCACTAGACAGTGTTTCTTTCCGGAGCTAGAGTGAATAAAATAATATGCAGACAGTAAAAAGATCCCTCAAATCGAAAATGGACGGATTTCCGAGGAACCCTGTAGGCTTAACGCAAAAAATATAAACCAACGGAGCATCATCGACCATGTCGCTACAGGAACCAAAATAACACCAAGTTGCAAAAAGCGAGAGCGAGAGCAAAAGTTCCAGTCAATACGAACATAAAAAAAATCAAAAGATGGAGTCACCTACTCTTCAAGAACAGAGATACAATACGTTAAATACGGCACACCGTGGATGCCAATGAAAGAGAAACTCTGCACATACAGTCATATATCTTAGCGCCACGAAGCCCACCCTGGGATCTGAAATTACAATATCTTTCCAATAAATGGACATCGTTCATAGATTATCCGCATCCTGAAGTCATTGGGAAAGCCCAAGACCCATCGAACAAACCGTAGTTAGTAAGCCTTTTTTAGATGTCTAAACCTGTGCGGTTTGTAAGAATGCTTTCTTATGCTTTGACAGTCGATTCATTGCTTCCATATTGGCCTTGTCGTAAAAACTTCCTTATCTAGTTTTTAAAAAAGTTGGAAAGGCACAGCAGGCTTATGTTGCAGATCGAATAGACGACAACAAAAAGATGGTCATCGACATTACATCCAGTTGAAGGTGAGTTGAATGATTTGCATCCAGAACATTATGCCCAAAGAGCATCATCCATCACGATCAAAGGATTGGCATATGCTTTTGGCGGGCAGAAGGATCACCAGCCAAATTTGAAGATCGGTTGTGTTTGTGAACAAAAAAAACCTGGTCTGTCTGTGGTTTTGTGTCACCTTTGATTACAGGTTGGGTTGACACGTGATAACAATAAATCATGACCCCAGGTTCTTTTTGCAACAGAGTACTTCCATGACCCTATGGATTACCACCGACAACGGTTACAGGAGCTTAATCGTCTCTATACCACCCATAAAGATACCGTGGACAATCTTCAAGCCGCCGTGCGAAGGGAGATTCCACTGCTGATTCACGAGTTTCAGCCGTCGCTGGATCAAACAGCAGCGCTGGAGGAATATGTGAACGATCCTTGTAACTTATCGCTCATTTTGATCATTACTCAGTGTCACTTTTTCTTCTAACCTCAAGAGACCGACGTAGTGAATTTGTTCCGATTTCTTCGCAAAAGCGAGTTTTCGCTTCCTCACGCTTTATCGTTCTTGTTGGATACGTTGAAATGGCGGCTTCGAGACAAAGTGGATGAAGTGACCATGGAGACGGTGCGGTGCAACTTTTTGCAAAAGCCGCTGTGTTTCTTTCATAAAAGGGATCATTGCGGACGACCGGTGCTGGTGGTGCAGCTGAGATATCTAGAGTGTCCGGAAAAGGCAGAATCCATGATCGACTATCTGACACCGATGGTCATTTATGTATTGGAAACCATCCGAAAATTAACGCGTGATATTAGCCTGACACGAATGACCGACCACACATCGGATCCGATTATTCCGGAGATGATGGTCATGGTCGATTTCAAGCAAGCCCCATCGCTGCCTCTGGTGAGTGGTTGGTGGCGTTTTTTTTCCCAAGTCAATACAGTATGATTGACCAGGCCTTTTTTTTTTTTTTTTTTTTGGTATGGGGTGTAACGCGGATGTAGAATCCAGGTTTATTGCAGGGACTGATTCAATTGCTGAGACGGTATCCCGGTGTGATTGGGATGGTGTGCCTGATCAACTTTGGCTGGATGTATCAGGGCATCTGGCAAATGTGCAAACTGGTGCTTTCCGAAGATGCCAAAAATAAGGTTCACTTTCCCAAACAGAGACATCTCATCGATCTGGTTCCCGTCCAAGATTTGCTGGCAGGTTAGAATCCTGATCTCATTGATTCACGCATCATTGTGAAAAAAAAAAGCGATCAATTCACATTTTCTCCAGATCTAGGTGGGCAGGATGATCTCATATGGAGTCTTGAGAAGGATCATATTTACAACCAATACCATTGTCCTTCCGTGACCTTGCCTTCGCCCGTCCTATCCCCTTTGTTGCGCAGTCGTCGAAGCTCCAGCTCGTCTGTGCACTCCGTTTATTATGATGCTTCCGATCCTCTCACTCCTCCGCCGCATCGGTCCTCCCCTTCCTTGAGCGCTTACGCCACTCCCGCAGGCGGTTTGACCCCCACTGTAAGTCACAGCGATCTCACCAAGTTAGCCAAAGCGTACTCGCACATCTCTCTCCATTCCAAACTTCCCACCATTCCTTTGCGAACCGGTTTTCGAGTCCTGGGTCACTGGTTGATGCAGCAGCAAGACCGCGGGCAAATGTCGTCAAGTGCATTGATGGAAAAACTTGGACAATTACAAACAGTTCAATCTCAGGGCGGCGGCGACGAGCCTTCAGCGATCAAACTGCCGCGCCACATGCCAAAGGGCTGGCTACACTGGTTTCCTCTCAGTCTATCCAAGCTTCAATGGATAATTCAATGTCTAATGATACGCACCATCAAAAGGCTGGTGCGATACCGCAATACCCTATACTGGATTGCTGCGTGTGTATTATTACGCAATGGCATCCAAGAATTTGTACAAAATATGGTGATGCTGACGATGGAGGTGTTAACCGATCAACCTACGGCACTGAATGCAGTGGGTTTTCGAGGTTTGCTTGGGTTAACGATGGGTCAAATGACCCTGTAAATTTTTTTTAACCAGAAAAAAAATGATGAATGTTAAGATGAACTTTTCTTTTTCAATATATATGATATGCTTGTATCGTAAGATAAGATAGATTGACGCTTTGCTGTATGGGTTTATTCTTTATTCTCTATGGATTACGGAGACGGAGACGGGGATGAGGATTTATTTCTCTTCTTTGTTTCTTTTTTGGTGTTGCCTTGAGGAATCTTTTTTCTTTTTCCTTGTTATTACAGCTGAACTCGACAAGCGGTTTTGGGGTGTGCATGTGACATTAGCTTGGTGATGATAAATTTATTTGGCATGAGTGGTGGTTTGTTCGGCTCTGGAGATCAATATATCTCTATCCGGTAAGCAGCCCAGGAGCACGGCTGGATACAGGGTGATGGGATCTTGAAAGTGCGAGTCGCGAAGAGTAATGGAAAGGCAGTTGTGATCAAATTGTAGGGCTTGAGACGCTGTTGGATCCTCTTCTTCCTTGTCAATGTCGTCAATCGCTTCTTTAAAATTATTCAACAGCAGCTGGTCGTGATGCCGATAAATGAATTCCAGTTTCTTCTGATTCCCGCGATCAAACGGAATCCAGGCATTGTCAAACTGACTATTCTCAAAGTACCAAATCGCCATGAGCCAACCAGAGTCAGTGATAGAAAAGGACAAGTTTCTTTCTTGTAGCAGGACAGAATAAAAATGGAACGAGTTGGAAGAAAAATGTGGGAAGGAGAAAAAGAAGAAAAGAGGTATCCAAAGAGAGAAGGAAGAAAAAAGAAAAAAGTTGTATTGTGAAAGAGAAGAAAGAGCCACCATGAAAAGGAATTCATGCCCAATATAAAAGATCACACCATGTGATACACATCATTGATGTGCTTGACAGGCAAGAAGGAGCCCTTTTCCACATGCGAGGAATAGGATGACATCAATCACTTTATCCATATTTCTTGATGCGTCCTTTTTCGGGTAAGGCGGTGCTTCTTTTTTTGGTTTTTGGCCGTGGTCTTTTTTTTTTTTTTCTCTTTCAATAGTCAACTCGACCTGTCGCTTTATTCTGGAGCAAATTCTGAGTAACGTGGGGACCTCATATTGAATGGTACCTGAAATGATGCGCGTTCTCATGCGAAATGGGGTGTTGTCATTATACTCTTTTGTAGTCATGTCGACCACCTGATTACCATAGACGGCGAAATAGTGTCTTCCAATTAGGGAAGATACCGTGATCGACACGTTCTTTGTAAAGAAAGCAACATCATCACCTTTCTACATGAATCCGAAAAAAAAAAGAAAAAAGATGAAGAATTTTTGATACCGGTATACTTTTCGGCTTTAACGAACCTGCATTCTTTAAAAGATCAAATCAATGATAACTCAAAGGGGGTTCAAAATAAGGGGACCACAGGAACGGAGAGGATAAAAAAGCTTATTCCATGTTTATCGTGTCAAAAACTCTCAAATCACTCAACTTTAAAAAAAAATCCAGTGCACCGTATCGTCAATATAAACGGTGAACAAAATGTCCTCTTTTTTTCTTGTTACTTTGGTTTTACAGTAAAAAAACACATCATGATGAACTGATCGATTTGTACGATATAGAAATGTCAGGGACGGGTGCGGTTTCGATGGGTCCAATCGTTCTTGTGGATGTGTGCCTGGGTACCTGGCTATCTGTGTATCTTATTATGAGAAGCGAGTAAATGATTCGTTCTACGGTTGTCATGGTTTGGTTCCCTCCAATTTCCTTTTCTACTTTGTACATCAAAATGGGTTTCTCTCGTGAGTCTTCATGGCCAATCATGTGAAAGGTAGGATGGATGAATAATGCGAACCGACCCTTTTTTTTATGATTCTGTACTTTCTTGTCCTACCCTGCGTAACCATCACGGATCATCCCATGCTTACACTGACTTCCGATACTCCCGAACCATGAGAAAAGATTTGGTTCATGGCACCTTTTTACATGGCCCGACCCAGAAAAGATGCTAATTCCTACGCTGTTATGACGAAATGATCAATATAGAATGATGAAACGCATGAAAAGAGAAAAAGAAAAGGGCACCGTCTTGAGATGTTATGCAATGCATGTGGCTAAAGTGAGTCGAGTGATGTATTTCATGACCACTTGATTTCATTAATACCATGAATAGTTTGGATCCAACTCTCTCACCAAACTGGAAATTTTTTCATCGAAACCAATCAATGGTCCAGCGAGTCCAAAAGCTGAATAAATGCACAATCTCCAATCGAAGAAAAAAAAAAGCCAAGCAAGACCATCACACCACCGACCACCACATTCTTAGTTGACCCCCTTTTTAGTATGGACTTGCCGAAACTGCAGGAAGTCAATGCAAAATGTCATCAATATGGCCTGACCGTGCTTTTTTTGCTTATAGAATCGAGTGGAAATTAAGATTTTGAATTGATCCAGTGGAGGACCATGATGCAACTCTTTTTTTCTTCCCCTCTTTTTTTTGAACAAGAAATTTGTACATGTATTTGCAATGGCATGCTTTTGCAAAGCGAAAAAGAATAAAAAAAGTAAAAAATGGATTTAAATGGTACTAGCGAACTGGGCTTGAACACTTCGTTGAATACGAAGCATTTCTTTAAAGGTGTCCTCGTTGCCATGCTGGACTTCGAATTGCTTCCATGTTTGCCAAAAGTCGGGATGAACCTGGATTACAATCACATGCATCTTTTTGAGTACTCTTTACACAATCCATCGTTCGTTGATCTTGCACTTACCCTTGGATCAAAGAATTGCGATGCATAACCATAAATAGCGCGAGCACGGTCGATTTCGCCCAATTTTCGCTCCAATTCTGCATATTTTATACACATGATTCGCACATCCTTATCCGGAAGCGACTCCACCGCATCCTCGTAGATTTCACGAGCCGCCATCACACCAAACGAGGCAGTCGCCTTGGCAATATAGAATTGGAACATCTAACAAAATACACGCATAAGCATTATGCTCCACCGCCATTTTTCTCTTCCAAAGTAATGATGTAAAATTTTTTTTTACCTCCATACGATCCTCGTCAGACACGGCTTTGGTGGCTCGGTTATAGATTCTCATAGCATGTCGAGCTAAACCGTAGTCTTCTTCTAATTTGCCGTACATAAGATACAGTGGTTTAGCATACTTTGGTGGACATTTATCCAACGCTTGCTCGAACAGATCTCTGGCACGCTCCAATTTTGAACCCCCCTACAAGATATCACAAAAAAGACATTAGTCAATAGATGAAAACAAAGGAAGGGAAGAAAGACGCAGCAGTAAACACCAAACTTACGTAGCGTTTGAGGAAACGTTCGAGGTAAATGTTCCATAATTCAAAGGCAATGGGCCATCCGAACAATTCAATACCACGTTCGTATACCTTGAAGGATTCTTCAAAGTATTGGTGTTCGTGAAGAAAAGTGGCATAGTTGACAATGATTTGAGGATTGGCGATACGGAGATCCATGACTTTATCATACACGGCTTTGGCGCTTTCGATGGTCCCCACACTTTCTTCCAAATCAATGTAGAAACTCCACAAACGAAGACTTTTGAACACACGCTGCTGCACGGGTATAGATTCGTCGTGAAAGTTGATCTGTTTCGGGTTCACGCCGGGAACACGAGGTGTCGCTGTAGCGCGACCCATCACGTCCAAAGCGCGATCAAAGTCATCATGGCGCGTTTCCATTTCTGCATATTCACACCACACATCGGCGAGATCGTTGACCGACTTGTAATTCACCTTGACTGCCTTTTCGAAAATCGCACGAGCCGAATCGAGATCCTCGCCATCTTCGTAAAACTTGGCAAAGTGTACCCATAATTCGTGGAATTTGCCGTGAGCTTTTTTCGGATTGACGGTTTGCACAGCTTGTGTGTATGTTTCGACGACCTTTTCCTTGTTATTCTTCCATAGCGCCACCCGTTTCTCCCACTCCAGCACGTTGTTTGGATTCTGTCGCAACAAGACATCGTTGACCAAAAACGGACGGCGATCCATCAGTCGTTCGAAACGCAACAGACGTAAATCCAGTTCCAAATCCTCGTCTTCATCCTTTTCTCCCGCAGCTTCCCGTTCCGCCGCTAATTCCATCTTGGTTGTAATCATTTCTTCTTCAAACTCGGCATAAGCATCAAAGATGGCGGTAAAGTCGCGTACCGTTAGCACCGTCGTAATGCCTTCTTCAAATATATCGCGTGCCTATATGATTTTTTTGGAGGGGAAGAGAGAGAGAGAGGGGCAGGGATGTTTAATAGAGTATTTCTCGGTGGTTCCCAGCTAATTTTCTTTTGACAGCTCACCTTTTCTAATTGTCCCATTTTGATCCAGTACATTGATAATCGACAGTAGAGCATACCGACTTGATCGGTAAATCGTTTGATACCACTGCGAATGATAGGTTCCACTTTCACGGTTGTAATGTGTTCGCAATGTTCGACGATTAATTCACACAGTTCTTGCCACAATTGATAGTGGGATTTTCCTCGAACGGATTGAAATTTCGTATCGTTGACCACGCCTACCATCGTTTTGGCGGCTTCGTCGTAGCGTTCTAGTTTCATTAAATGATCTACAAACGTTTCCACGTGCGACGGTTCCAGCTAAAATGTCCACAAAAATTGTCAGTCCGTCGTCTTGATTCATTGCCTTGGGTGGTCATGAGAGAGGCTTTACCTTGAGGTAGCGACGAAGAACACGGATCGCCGTCTCGCCTCCTGCTGCTTGTGCAAATTCGAGATACAATTCCCAGATGCGTTGATGCTGCGTTACAGGCAAAGCACGCAATGCTCGGTCAAACGTTCGTCGAGTTTGTGTGAGAGCCGGTTGCGTCGTTAGAAACGAAAGATAATCGAGCCAAATGCGTGGCATCTATAAAAAAGAAACAAGCATCACGTCAAATGGATGAGTCAAAGGCACAATTGAAGAGCTGTTGGCAAGCTAATGGAAACCAAAGGGTTTTACCTTGTTGAGTAGAACCAGCGCACGATCGTAACAGTGGTTGACGGCTTCATACTGTGTCTTGAATCGGACAGGATTGACGCCTTTTAGTTTATCGCGTCGTACGTCCAGATATGCTTTCCACAGTTTATACGAGCCCGGAAGCACTTTGAGTGCACGTTCAAAAACGAGACACATTTCTGAAAACGGGCCATTGCGTTTATGATCGGTATACCGTAACCAGCTACGCAACGAATAAGGATTACGAAGAAGTTCCTCTTCGTAAGGTATGTCGTGCTCATTCTACAAGTCAAGAACAACATATGTTATTTCGCTCGTTCCTTAGTAACCCACAGTCCCATTCAATAAACCGAAGCAAGTATCCTTACAATCATAAATGCGTCATGTTGACTCTCCATCGTGCTATTCACTCTAATGAAAGGAAAGTTTCTTGCCAAAAAAGAAATGAGAAAAATTCGAGCTAGCCCTCGAGGTGGGAGGCGAAAAACCAGTCACAACCATTGCCCGACCCACTCGTTGCGCTGCGGACCCAACTGCTTATGTTATTTGTCTCCATTATTTCCAACAAAAATAAAAAGAAAAGAGAGAGAGAGAGAGGGGATATATAGGAATAAGAAGAAAGTATGATTATTGCAAAAAGTTATTCATAAAAAGAAAAAAAGTACATATTATTACAGGATGAAGGCGTATTCATCTTTGTTTCGTTAGGTTTTTTGTTTTTCTTTTTTGTAAGTTGTTATTGTAAGTTTTCATTGCAATTTAGTGACCCATCTGTCGGTCCACCACCATCAAACTGCCAACGAACGTCAAGTTCTAAAATAACAATAAACGTTGAGTATTAGGTAATTCTTGATCCATTTGTTTTACATGTATGACTTACCATCTTGGGTCGGACTTCAACGATATCTTCGGGCACCAAGAAAATGGTGGCGCCCAACTTACGTGCGATGGAAATCGCCAGTCGGGCGTTGTTGAAAGCTTCTTCTTCCGTAGTGCCTCGAGTGACAAGGCTGTAATCCACAATACCGGGCTTCATACCGTTCAAAACATCGATAAAGAACAGACCAGTACGAAGGTTGGGATCCTTGAAGGAGCTCATACGGCTCGATTTACCACCACGTTGCACGGTATCATTCGCCCATCGGACCATGTCTTGATCGGTGACAGGTCGACCTCCCTTGGTTAACGACTGCAACGTATGTACAATGTTCTCACGCATCATTTGCCAAACCAAACCAAGAGTCAACGTTCTTGTTCCGTCCACGATATCGGCTCCCTGGATACCGACCAAGGAAAATCGTCGTTCTTGACCCAGTCTCACAGCGTAATTGCAGTTCTCAATGGCTTTGAACCTTGAGATCGGTTCTTTACGGCTCACCATACGCCAATTCACCAATCCAGGAACCACCTTGTCAAATGCCTGCAACAGAACCACACCGTCCTTCAAATCCTCAAACAAGTTGTATACACCCTTGTCCACATTAAGACTGTTCAACCACAAAATGAACACTAAAAGGAAAATGGCATTAGTCAACCTGCCATGGTGAAAAAGTTGGGGGAACTTATTATAGTCAAAACTTACTTCGTGCTTCACGTTCACCTTCGGCATCAAAAGGTTCAATTTCAGGTGCTTCTTCTTCGGTCAAGGGGTCAAGGCCAGGATGCGTGTTGAAGAGATGGGCGACAAATGCCAAATTCAGCTTGGGGTTACCGGCAACGAGGGCTGATGGGGTCAAGTATTTGCGGCAACCAATTCTCTCAGCATTATCCAGCACCATTTCGGCTCGGCGTAATAAATCACGCTCTTGAAGAGCAGCCTTGGAACACTCTTCGGGTTTCAACTGGTGCAAGAGAATGGTATAGTTCTCACCATCCATCACATCCTTGCTGAAATTGTGAACTCTAAATAACAATTTTGATGGGTCAACTGCCTCCAACAAAGATAATGTACGAGCCTTTCTCAAACCGCCTTACCTTCGTTCCCAACCAGCGGCTTTGAGATGATAGTTGAACCAGCGCAACAAGATCTGATCCGGAGGCAACTTGAGGAACTCTTCCAAAGTTTCGTCTTCCTCCAACAGACGGTACAATTCGGGGTGGAGCTTGATATCAATCTTACTCAGCAAACCACGTTTGATGATTTGCCAGATAAGACCCAAGATCAAATGTTCACGAGCTTCAATGATATCTGTGGAACCAATGTTGACAACCGAACAGCCAATAGCCTTGGCAGAATTGATGACAATGTTGTTGTTCTCCACCATTTGGAAGTTGTTGATCTTCTTGCCCGCGTTCAATACACGTTCATCAATTGTATCGGGAACAGCATCGTTGATCAGTTTACATAAGATAAGACCATCTGAACCAATCGTCAGTATCCATAGAGACCAAGTATTTACTGCGGATCTTACCTCGGCATTCATCAAACAACTGCATGGTATTGGTGGGAATGGGAAGACGATGGCCCACATGACGATCGCCGGCCAAAACGCCATTGATATGACGTGTGAATTCGGTACGTTCATCTTCATTGATGGTATGTGTTACATTGGCATTGGTACCGTGAACCTTGATCTTGTTTTGATGAACGTCAAAGGCGCCTCTGTTACGACCTTCCTTTAGCTTGGCCGCAAGCTATGCCATGGATCAAAAAAAAAGAGATGATGAGTACGTTGGATTTGTTTAAAACACCGCCTCATGCATTTCCGTGACCCGAATAAATGGCGTCGGTTTTCGTTTATACATTTCTCCCGCTGCGCTCGTTTTTGGATTCATTACTTCCGCCCCTCTCCTCCTCCACCCCAACCGCTCTCCGCCCTCCGCCCCTTGCCACATATGAAATAAAGGCGTGCACAGACCTTTTTTTCATTATTATTTTCTCCCCCCCCTTCTATCCCTTACATCCCCTACGCTTTCCATCCCACCAACCAAACCAAACAATAAAAAAAAAGACAGGATTGGAACATGCTTTACCTCGACAAATTCTTCCACGTCAATTTTGCCGGTGGCACTGGTACTGACTTGTTTCAGAGTCGCACGCACTTCGTCATAATTATCACTGTAACCAGTATCCTTGCACGCTTGCTGAATTTCACGCTGGTCAAGGTAGCCATCGCCATCCAAATCACAGTTACTGTGTAAAGAAAATAGAAAGGCAAGAAAATGAGGTGATGAGCAAGCTGTGATTTCACTTTTTCTCAAAGTTGTCGCGACAACAACAAAAGAGAACCAAACTTACTTGAACTGGTCAATGAGCGAGTTAATATCGTTCACTTGTAAGGCAGGGTACTTCTTCTGAAGTGTGAATGCGTTGATAATGGGCATTGGGAATGAAAGGATGACTTGCTTTTTTTTTGGCTGTGTTCAAAATAGGCAATAAAAAGAGTAAGAGCAAAGAGGTGAAAAGCGAATGATGTATTTTTTTCTCTTTCTTTTTTTTTCGACTGTGTTCAACCACCCGTGTTTTTCCTTTTTTTTTTTCTGGGTTTTCTTTGCCAAGGCAAAAAACGGTATCAGCCAATGACGTATGTTGGTGTTACTCAAAATTGCCTTTTTAAGCTGCATAAAAAAATGACTCGGCGAAACTATCGATAGAAAAAAAAAAGCCATCACAGAACAATAAAGGGAATTATCATCGATGTCTGTCTTGTCTTTATTACCCATCAATACGATATCATTATGAGTGGCAATCCATTTGATGACCCATGGAGGCAAGCTCCCGATGGCCCGGCCTTTGGTAACGCCTATGAAAGCAACGATCGTCAGCAACAACCGTGGAATGGCTACGCCATGCCCGCTCCGCCACCGTCGCACAGCCAAGAAGGCCATGCGTGGCGCGAATCCAATAAAACGCAAGCTGAGCATCCTCGTCCACTTGCCAATCAGGATGCTTATCAATATACGGGCACCCGCTACGGTAACCAAGATTTCGCCGCCACCAGCAACGCTTTCTCTACCCAACACCAGGATACAGCCCCGACCCATACGCAACCCACGTCGCAGCCTGTCGACACAGCCAGCGTTCATACGGACACGAGAAGAACCGGCAGACCATCTCGCCTGCGGTTGCTTCTGCGCACCATTCTTTTTGTGGCCAGTGTGGGCCATTTAGGCTTCGCAGCCGGTGCATCACCCGTAAGTTCAACTCGGCACGGACGAGTAATAACATTTCTGGGCATTGACATATTATTATCACTGCGGATCCCATTAGTACTCCAATCAACCGGTGCCTTTTGACAATCGATCGTGCTTCTACTATCTATTTGCAGTGGTATGCAACCATGACATCATGAAAATCTGTGATTTTTTTTTCTTTTTTGGTTTACCTAACCATGGCTAACCTGGATACGGATAGGCCGTCCTTTCCATCCTATGGACAGGGTTCCACATCATTCACTTTTTCCTGCGATGGGTGACCCACTCGCAAAAGATCCGACGGCCGATTTTATTCGGAATCGATGCCTTGTTTGTGCTGCTGTGGGGCATTGGCATCATTATTGAGATTTCCAGATATCACTGTGCGCCAGGCGATCATAATCATTGGTGCGATTTTTACAACGTCAGCATTTTTTGGGGCTTCCTTTGCTTTGTAGGTTACATTGTAGCCCTTGTGTGGGGCATATTCGGTGCATGCCGTGGAAAACGACGATAAAAGAAAAATGCCAAAAGCGTCAAATCACACTATTTGCAGTTTGTTGATGTCACAAGAATGCCCCAGTTTACATACATCAAGTCAGACTATTTCTTTCTGTAACTTTTTTTTTTTCTGATTCGTAATTTTTTTGTTTCCAAGTCTATTTGAAGTGCTCTGTATTTATTGTGGGCCTTTTTTTTTACACGAATGGACGGTTTTGTGCAAACGGCTTTGCAGCTTTACAGCACCACCAATAAAGCGCTGTTATTCATACTCCACGTTGTGTTCATTGTCGGATGCATTCATAAATGGCTACCACAGCAACATCGACAAACACGCAGTCTCAAATTGCCCGTGTCACCAGAAACGGTGTGGAAGATCATTTTGGACATTGATCGATACCCCTCATGGCGGTCGCACGTCATTAGCATACAGCCTCAGCATTCTGCCAATGCCAAAACGCTCTGTTTCATTGAGCAGATTGCGCATACAAAGCAACAACTCGCTTATAAGCGACGTAGCAAGACCGAGAGTCCGATTCCCTGGAAAAACACGCGAGCACGATCCGTCGCCATGACTCGTATCAGCAACGAGTGCCTTGTCCGCATCGACCGCGGCACGCGTGTCAAAAGTGCCAAAGATGGAACCCCGCTCAAGGCCAAGCTTTCCACCCTCCAACGCACGTGGGAAATCGCCATTCGTCCCGACGGTTACCACACCATCTTTACCCTCACCGAAACCGTCCATACACAAGGCATGTTAGCCAGATGGCTAGGCCCTGTCCTCGGTTTCCATCGCGCTTCACAACGATTTCTCGTTGATCTCGTTCGAGAACTGGATCGTTCAGTCATCCTGTCCACCCAAATCAAAACATCACCTGCACCCCAGCACCCTCTCAAACATTGATGTTCCTAGCCGAAACCACGAATGACCCAAGTTCTCATTTTAATTCCCTATATCCCCATTCTTTATAACCTCTGACACCTGATCATGCGTAGCACCAAAAATGCAATCCGCAAATGGATCCTAATATCTCTCCATTTTTTATCTATAAACCAATTTTGATGCCAGCCAGTAAAAAAGTCATTGTCATGTTACTGAACCATATGTCAATGCCTAGAAAAAAAGAAAAAGATAGGATCGAGGGGAATATGATAAATGATGAAAAAAGAATCGGAGAGTATGGCGAGAGACCGACTTGCTATAGTGCGGTATCCATGACAGTATCCGCTTCTTGTTCCAGTGGTGCAGGGTCGGTTTCTTCGGACGATTCGGCAATATCTTGCAGGTTGGTCACGAGGGTATGTTGTGCAGAGTCGGAGGAAATATCACACAGCGAAATAGCTTTGACGAGGTCGTTGGTAGCATTGGAGAAGGCAGCCCGAGCTTTGATACGATGGACGCTTATTGGAATACGAGACGGTCGCACAGTAGAAACGGTGTTATGACGCTTTCTGATCGGTCGTCGCCAGAAGCGCAACGACGGAGACCCCACCGATCGGCTGTTGAAAGGACCCAGTTTGCTTGCTGAATGACTGGGATGCCTGGAGTGGCGTAACAGTTTGTCCCATTGCCGGGCATGGGTCATGGATCTTTCTCGATCATTCACGGACGAACCGGCGTGATGGTGCGTAGTTGATGCTAAGCCGAGCATCAAATGCAAGGAGGAGTCGGAAAAGCGAGTGGATGGTGGCTGCTGATCATGTTGGGTAGAATTGAAATTGATGCTACTGTCACTCTTGTACAGATTCCTCACAGGCCAGCCTGAACTCATGGAAAACGTAGGAATCACATTATCATTGGACGGTAAGGACGGACCCATCTCCATGATCACATTGAAAAAAAAAAGGAAAAAGTCAAGCGTCCCCACTGGTAGACCAAGTGGGAAAAAAAATGCAAAACTACGAATCATGACAATGACACTCCGCTTGTCGATTGCCACGGCTCCCCCATTGTTCGATGAAACCATGTATTTTGAATCTCTCTTTTTAAAAATTGAGATCGGTTATCAGCAAAACACTATAATGCCATGGTGATGGTTGGCTGCCATGGATAGATCAGGCAATCTAGATCATTTTGCAAAGTGGGTCTACGGTATACTGAAACAATGGTGTGTATATGTGAGTGCATACGTGAGAGTGTGAGTGGGTGATGAGGCTATCGAGGTATCATTCTCTGAGATCTTGCCAGCCGTCCAGTAGATAATTCATAGGGATGATGATTTATGGGGCGAAAATGCGCTGAGGGTGTCGCCCTTGTAGGAAACTGAAAAACAATGCTGTATCGAGACCGCTTGAAATTCATTATTGTGCTGTGAGCATGTTGAAGTGATGTAGCTCGATAAACCATATCATTTCGGCCGCCATGCATAGTAAAAGAGGATAGTTGGTGCAATTTGAAGTAGTGGCCGCTTACACTATGTGTGGCGTTGCTGGTGGTTGTCCATCAATCATTGCTGCTCAAAGTGAAGCGAGCAAACAAAGGCGATGTGAATTGATTGACTACTTTCTCGGATCCTTTAAATATAGATGAGAAAGAAAAATTATTTTCACACACGACATAGGGATACAAATATGATACGAATGAGCTCCAAAAGTATATTTTCTGGCCAGATCGTGATATTTATTCAAGGTCGATTTTTGCTTTACAACCTCGCAAATGCATTTTCTTGTTCTTCTTTTTGGTCGTAATGAAAATTGTTTCTGATGGAAGGACTTTACACCGGATCCAGTTGTAAACGTGGCTTCCGCAGCATGATAGGATTCTAGCGATCTGCTTTTTGTTTACCACGTCCACCAAATCAGACTTTTTTTTTGCTAATCGTTCAAGCACGAAAAAAAAAAAAGAGGAGATGGTAGTGACGGTGAACACTATGCCATATGAGGTATAGCTGATCCGCGTTTGATGAGAGACAGACTCGCGGACCAACAAAATTTCGTTTTCGGTCCTTTTGGTCCAACCCAAGCATGGTCGGATTCAATGCTTTTTTCCGCAATGACTGCGTCTATTTGAACTCCGTCTCAGGCACTAAAACTGGTGCCGTTGTCACTCTAAAATCCCTCCTTTTTTTTCACTAATTTCTGCTTTATAGAATATAGAAAAAATAGGTAGGTCGAGTTTCAATAACTAGATTCCTATAGTATGAGGCAACATGTTAGAAAAAAAATTGTCGATTTGCCTGTTCTTGTTATCATTTGAAATCGATTCCAGTCACTCACATTGATTGTCTTTAGATATATATCACCATGGCACCCAAGAAGAACGTGAAAGAGGAAAAGCTTCTGCTCGGACGTCCCTCCAATAATCTAAAGATTGGTGTGGTGGGTCTTCCCAATGTAGGCAAGTCCACATTTTTCAATGCACTGACAAACGCCTCGGCCGCCGCCGAAAACTATCCCTTCTGTACCATCGGTAAGCAGAGCATACTGAATCCGCCAAAAAAAAAGGGCCACTCATCTCGTTCATCCGTTGATTTTTTATAGATCCGGAGGAATCACGAGTGTCGGTACCAGATCCTCGCTTCGATTGGTTATGTCAACATTACAAGCCGGCCAAAGAAATTCCTGCCTTTGTACGTATTCTACAGATGGTTTATCGTAAAAAAAAAAAAAAGACAGAGGTCGTTAGAAGCTGACGTAGTTTGACGTTGGGTTTTGATAGTTGACGGTAATTGATATTGCTGGTCTGGTTAAAGGCGCTGCATCGGGTGCGGGACTTGGCAATGCATTCTTATCGCACATCAAGGCGGTGGATGCGATTTTTCATGTGGTGCGTGCGTTTGGTGAAGCAGACGTGATTCATGTGGAAGGTGACCTGGATCCGGTGCGTGACATGGAAATCATCCACGAGGAACTGCGATTAAAGGATGAGGAATTCCTTTCGAAGCAAGTCACCGAATTGGGTAACGTGGTGCGTCGACTGGGACACGGTGGAAATGCGGCCGACAAGGCCAAGAAGGAAGAATTTGCCGTAGTCAGCAAAGTATATGACTGGGTCAAAGAAGGCAAGGAAGTCCGTCATGGTATGTGGTCCAACAAGGAAATTGAAGTGATCAATACACTCCATTTGATTACGGCCAAACCGGTGATTTATTTGGCCAATGTGAGTGAGAAGGATTATCTGCGCAAAAAAAACAAGTGGTTGCCCAAGATCAAGGCGTGGATTGACGAGCATTCACCGGGCGATTTAATGATTCCTTACTCGGGTGTATTTGAGCACCGTCTCACCTTGATGGAGCCCGAGGAAAAGGCCAATACCTTGAAAGAATTGCAAGTAGCATCCGTCTTGTCCAAAATCATTGTGGCAGGTTACAACGCGTTGCAATTGATCTATTTCTTTACTGGAGGACCCGATGAGGTCCGTGCATGGACGATCCGCCGCAGCACCAAAGCACCTCAAGCCGCCGGCGTCATTCACTCGGATTTCGAACGTGGATTCATCATGGCCGAAGTCATGCGATACAACGATCTTCATGAACTCGGTAGCGAAAATGCAGTCAAGGGTGCAGGCAAGTACATGCAAAAGGGCAAAGATTATGTTGTCGAAGACGGAGACATCATCTACTTCAAGTTCAATGTCACTGCCTCGGCCAAGAAAAAGTAGATTCCCTCCTGTAAACAAAACCTATCCATCATGGCCGTTTCTCTTTGTACATTAACAATTGAGAAGAAAACCAAAAAGAAAAAAAAATCCTACTGTCTATACCCTCATAAAAGCGAGGTCCCTTGTTGAAAAATATAATAAAATAAAATACAATAGATAAATTTACAAACGAGCAAAAAAATGTGAGTTGCCATCAATGTTAGGATGACCTTTTTGTAGGATCATGAATACAAATGGAGTATGTAAAGGATATGCTAGTAGCAAGAGCGATGCGGCGATGAATGAGGATCCTAATTGGAAGAAGGGAGGACGAAAAAAGATACATGGGGAAAATAAGCGGTGATTCTAAGAGATGGGAGGGATGTTTTCTGTGTCCATGGGTGATGGTGGTTCGGCGCCGGCCTGGGCCCAGCGTCCATCTCTGGTGACCACGACGTTATCTGTACCTGCTGAAGCCAACTGCATCATCCATTCGGGTATGGGGGGTTGAAGCACGCCTTCCAAAATCAAACGCCGCATGCCTTCCAAAACGTTGGTGCCCTTAATATTGATGGTCATTTGCATTTCGTCCTCTTCTTCGGCCACGCTGGTATGGCCTTCTTCCGTCTGTGACAGCATGGCCGTCAGTGATTCGTTTTCCAGAGGTACGGTCAGCTCGATTTGCAGTGATTCTAAATTCGGCATCGGATTCCAACCAAAGCTTTCGGCGACCTGGGTATACCGATTTTTCACCAAGTCTTTATCTGTAGGAACAATACGTTTCTTCTCTTCCCGAGTGCTCACGTAGGCTTCGGCTCCTTTGAGTGGTTTGGACGGTTTGGCCCGGTAATCCAGCGGGTTGCTGTCCACTTGATCCAACCTGAATTTACTGAAAACGCCCAGAGAAGTCTGGTTCAAAACAATTTCGGATAACGTATCCACCCGTTTACTGCTTAGATTTTGCTCCTGCGCTGATTCGGCGGCAAATGTATGCAAAACACCCTAAGTGACCAATGGTTGAGTGATCTAAAGCCGTTCGCTCCTCCCATTGCGCACACACACACACACACGCACTCATGATACGGTACCTGAATGACATACTCCTTTCGGTCGCTTGAGGCGATGCTAGAAAACAAAATGTAGGGCGTATTACACAGATGCACCAGATAAGCGAGGCACGAAGAACGAGGAGCAGTGTGGGCTTCCATACTGTCGGTCATACATACACGGACCCAGTGGGTGTCTGTGTCATTCTGTTTCCAAACCAGCACATGCTATCATTTTTTGTTTGTCCATTAGAACTGTATATCAAATCTGTACATTTTCCACGATACGTACACAACTGAAGAAAGGATTCAAATACTGTTGTAAACGATCCCGCAACACCGAGGCATCAATCCCCAGTTCAGCACGGTGTTGGTTGTTCCCTGAAAATCAAAAAAAAGGTAAACACGCGGTAAAAGAAAGATGCTCATAGTTGACGAGGTCACGGTACCTTGTTTCAGTTCCCATACTTTCCATGATTTGTAAACGGGTTGATGCATGACATCTGTAGAAAAAGAAGTGTGCTTTAAGTGAATGATCAAAACCAAGCTCGACCTTGATTGGCAAAGTAACTTACGCGTTAGATCAAGTTGCGCAATCTGTAGGGCATATAGTCCTGACGGCTAATGTCAAGAGAAAATAGAAATCAGCTGTGTGAAAAATTACATTACGCTTGACTAGTGAGCATACATAATCGGTGAATATTTGCTGCACAAGCTTTGGTTTGGTGGCCGTCTCTAATGCGGCATAATCGTCCCAAGTGCCGGAAGAAGGTCGTAATTCCGGATCGTTGAACCACTGTTTAGCAACTGCCAATATCTGCGGTTTGTTCAGTTTGCGAAGTAGCGTATCAACGCGAGTGCCGTACTGGATCAGCTGACGATCTTCTTGAGTGAGCACCATGATGATCGGACAAAGTCAAGGCTGGTTCACTGTTTACGGCAGAAGAGCACGGTGAGCTGACTGGGTTTTAAATTTTGCTTGTCAAGCAAAAACGATCCCCGATTTTTTTCATGTTCTCGTACTTAAAAGACAACGGATCCAAAGAAAAAGACTTATTTTATCACGATGATGATCAGTGTTGGGGAACACACGTGTCGAATGGATTAAAAAAGGTGAATAAAAACACCTTTTGATGAATTCAAAAGGCTTTATTTGACCTTTTTATCTTGATTATGATTGTTGATGAGAGGAGTTGGATTAAGAAGGAAAAGGGTAACAAGGGAGAATTAAAGAGTTCTTTTCTGGTATGTGAAAAAAAAAGAAAAAGGAAAAGTCATTATTGAGGATCTTCTAGGTGAATGGCACGAGTGGCAACTTGGATTTCTTCCAGTTGGTTGACTTTTTCCGCGCTTTCCGCGTTTTCCGCTTTCTCCTCATCCTGCTTCTTCACCTCATCCATGATTTTGTTCAGTGATTGCTGTGACAAGGATCGAGAATGACGTTTAAACTTGGTCACCGCTTTCATCTAGGAGACACGTTTGCCGTGGTTACTTATAGGAACCCACAATAGTATGGACTGGATATTAAGACTACTTACAATCGTAAAGATACTACCAATGTTCTTGATAGCATTGTTAATTTCTTCTTCTGTAACTTCAGTGACCACCATTTCGCAGTTCTCTTCTTCACTGATCAGTGGTTCTTGACCATCCTTCGTCACCCAGGGATGTGTCTATTGATAAAATTTTAAGCCAACGGAATCCGCGGTCCGGTTCCTCGATCAACTTACGCGTAGTTCGGACATGACGATACGTTGTTCTGGATCTTTTTCTAATAATCGATGAAGGAGATCCACCAGTTGAGGATCAAGATTTTCATCGCAAGTCACTCTAAAAGATGAATAAGCATCTGATGGGTATCATCTCTGTGTACAAAGAGTTTCCAGCCACTCACGGGTCATTTTTGATCATATTATATAATTCAATAATGCTGCCGCTTCGAAAGGGCAATCGACCGTGGACAAGACAATACAGCGTGATGCCCAAGGACCATATATCGGCTGCTTTGCCGGAAATCTCGCCGTGATGCGCTACGCACAATTCCGGAGCCATGAACGCAGGACTTCCCGCGGACCCCTTGAGTTTATCGTTGCCTTTGACAAACATCTCGGACACGCCAAAATCCACAATCTTCAACACATCGTCGTCTGATAACAGCAAGTTGTCGGGTTTGATGTCACGGTGAACAATATCGTTGTTATGCACTAATCAAGAGCATAGCATATGAGCCGTTTGGTTCCGTGTGTCTCCCTTGTTTTGTTCCTGTAATATTTACAATACTCGATGCCAAGGATCATTTCGCGGAAAAATCGTCGTGCGTCGTCGTTACTGTAAGGCGTGGCGTTGTGATCGAGCTCAATGGACATTAGCACGCCTTTGTGGGCCATCTCAAACACTATGGTTGCCACGATGAGGATCTTGAACTCATCCCACCCCATAAAATCACCGAGGGCCCAATTGAACAAAACAATGCCGGCGTTCCCCTCTTACCCATATAGATCGAATCACCATTGGGATCATCCAATACTTCATACAACTTGACCACGTGCGGATGGTTCAGCTTTTTCAAGATGGCGACCTCTCCGCGCACAAGGTCCAACGGGTTTTCTGACTGATTAGGATTCCTGAGCGGACCTCCTCTACCCACACCCAATCCGAATCCTCCTCTGACACCTCCACGACGGGCTCCACGACGAAGCATGTTGGATTGTTCTTTTCGACGTAGACGCGATTTGCTGAATTCCTTGATGGCCTAAATGGATCCGGTCGGTTGGCCATTCCTTCCATCATGCCGAATTCTTATTTTCCCATTTGCACTTACATATTCAGTGTTGCTATTCACGCCAATACCAAGGTGCACCGTGCCAAAAGCGCCACGGCCGATTTCTTTCTTGAGCAGGTAATCGTTGATTTTGCGGAATCCTTCTTTGGTTTCTGACGTAGTGGCACCCAACGTCTCAATGACGACGGAAGGCGGGCGTGGTTTCCGTCGGACGGTGGATGAACTAGGGGAAGCCGAAGGCGACGATGAAATGGAAGGCGTCGATTCTGTCATATCACTGTCCTTGAAGAATAAGAAAAATAGGAAAAAGTAAAAGAAGCTTGCAATTGCATGCTGCACTTACTTTTTTACCAAATTAAAAAAAAAAAAAAAAAAAAAAAAAAAAAGAGCCGGACTTTGTTAGCCATCATGGTTAAGCCACATCGAGTCTTGGCATTGACCTCTTTCTCCTTTGATCCGAGCCGTTTTCCCGGTCATTATGACTCTTAAAGTCTTGTAAAAAAGGAGGAGGATGACAGACACTTTATTCGGAATTGTATGCTTGATGGATGAAACTGACCAAATAAGAAGGAAGGGAAGTAAAAGAGGCAAATGAGGGGGAATCAGACTGGATAAAGAAGGGACAAGAGAAGTCATAAAACAGGAAGATTAAGGAAGAATAATTGAAAAAAAAGGATGGTTGGTTGGATCTTTGATTTGAGAATCTAATTATCTTCGCACATCGGCATAGCCCACAACCGGTGACGATGGATTGAAACGTGTGATGTCCGTTTCCAATGCGGGATGATAACACACCGAAACATCGCAAGGTCGATCGATGGTGGTGGGCGCGTTTAATAATTTATTGGTGAATTCGTGAACAGCTTCGGTGAACGCGCCATCGGTGATATGATTATGCAGTGCGAGATTCTTGGCCCATGTACTGATCGTCTGCGAACTGAACGTTTCACCTTCTCGCAACTTGAGCGATGTCGTCTTGACGGCTTTGATCCAGAATGCATTCAAGTTTGTATACAATTCTTGTCGTGCCAAGTTTTTATCTGATAAAGAGGGTGGGGGAAGAGCAACCAATGTCAGTTGTCAAATGATGTATCATGCTGTGAGGAAGTTTCACTTACCTTGGTTATCCCATGTAGGCAATCGATGCGCCACCGAGGCGGCTAAATCAAGGAATGAAAAGCAGGTGGTCGGGAATACGGCGGCTGAAGTAAAATGGTTTGCATATTGTGTGACGGTATCCTATGATCCAAAAGATAAATAAAAAAAATAATACATTAGGAATTTTAGTATAGCCAGCGGGTTGACGTAACATCGAAACCCGTTTTTTTTTTTTTTTTCGTTCTCCTTACAATGAGTTCCATTAATGGTTCTCGGACTCGGGAAAACGTGTAGTCATCTCGTCCAGGACCATGGCGGTTGTAGGGAAAACTGTCTGCAAGACGTTCTTCCATGTCGTTGATGACGGTCATGGCCGAAGGAATGGTAGGAGCGGGAATATAAGTCATGATATCGTCACGCACTTCGGGATGGGCATTTAGTACGGAATGTATGATATTCACAAGCTTGGTTTTGTCGAGAGTAGCTGTAAAAAAAGAGAAAGTCAACAAATATATGAGTTTATGGGCGGATACAATAGTGTGTATGTTTTTTGTGTTTGTTACGTTACCTAACATGGCTGCGGTGGTGGATCGTTTCTTTGCTTCCGACTTGTGTCGTTTGATATCGTTGATTCGAAGACGATGCTGATGTTTTTCAACAAATAATCTCGCAACACTTCCAGCTGGTTGCGCATCGGCCATTTCTTCATCTTCTGAAAAACGCCGTTTTCGACCTACACATCAGACACATTAGTAACGGGGTACTTTTTAATAAAATTCCCTAGCATAGGTACCTAATGAGGTGTCTTTTTGGAGATTGTTATAAATAGTGGTCATGGATGGAAGGAATGCTCACTTGCGGAAATTGGGGGGAAAAAAGAAGGAAGGATATCAGGTCAAGAGAAAAAGAATGGGAAAGCGAATTTGGTCGTCTCAAGCCACTCCGAACCTGTAAGTCGTTCAAGTCGGGGACAACGATTCGTCAGCGACAGAAAAAGTCACGCTGACTGGTCCTGAGGAGCTGCATTTGAAATTTACATCCAATGAATTTGTCTGCATTTCAAGCACCTCTGGAATATGATAGGTTCTTTGCACCAATAAATCACGTTGATCCTTTCGGGTCTATCGGTCCCTCTCTATAACCACTAGAGTCAATGTCAGTCATATCATCATTATTCGATAACGATGCGCGATGTACAGCCGCGCACCCGTTTCATGCATAATTTTTCATTGAGAAATAAACATTTCTTTTTCTGGTTTGAGCCCCCCCACCCTATTGCTCCATTTTTCTATCTATTCTATAGAATGGAGATCACCCATGCTGTTTCATTATGGCGTCTAAGCAATGATTCATTTTTTATTTAAAGACGTCAAATGAGGCGGCAAAGACTACAAGGTAAAAATCATATGCGCATGGTAATCTCCTGAAAAGCTGCTTTCTTCTTCATTGTTGTGGGGTTTTATAATGGATTTACAATACTGGGTTTAGTGAAGGAGACCAACTTGCAGCCAAGGGCGGTTATTTTTTCTTTTTTTTTTCGCTTTTTCCAAACTTGACTGTCTTTTTTTGCGCATCTTGCTTTGCAAAATATTAGGGATAGGTGCGTTCTAGTATCATACATGTGCATGATGAAAGAAACCTTGGTGGCTCCCAGTTCGGTGTTAATAGAGTAAGACAAATGAGTTAAAAACTTACATGAATAATTTAATAAAACATTGGGAATTCATATTACATGTGAGATTGGTTTCATTTTTTCATAGCTTCCAAAAGTACGCGATTGATTTGAACCTGTTTGAACGTTGATGCACTCTTGTAATAGCATATCCCCGGATCCTCAAGTCGAGTAGAACTCCAAATTGGATGATCACATTTTTGTTGATCCACAGCTAGTGTGTCACCAACATTGAAATGAAAAAGTATTGTAACTTGATGTTGCTCTCAAAATTCTTTCTTATTGTCAGCCTTTTTCACAGGATATGGCTAGTGTCACTTTCAGATGATTTGGTAATGTAGGGGAAAAAAATCAAAAAAGCCTGTGATCATTGGCGACCGGCGACCCCAAAAGTCGATTTTCTGTTGAAGGTCCATATTGGGCAAGGAGTCGTTGTTTATTCCGAGAGAATGCGGTTCTCACTGTTGGGTGGGGAATATTCCCATGGAGGTGGAGAAATCCAAATAGTACTTTCCTTTTAGGTACGATTGGCCGCCCCTGTCAATCAAGTCCAAATTTTTTTGTTGTTTTCAACATTGTACTTGTTCAGGCACATGATGTTTTTTTTTTGGATCGTTTGTAACCCATGTGAACTTTTTACGGATTCATTTCTCATCGTCGTAGTGTTGATAGTAATCCATCGATAGCCACATCTTATCAGAAACAATTGAACTCGCCATGGCAAAGAACGAGAACAGACCCGAAAGGAACTTTCGGAGTTATTCTCACGCTTCATAAGGCGGATGACAAGGCGGAAAATCAATTACTCATTTGGTCGCGAACATCCCGATACAAAAGCGCCAAGTCCCCTTTTAAAGCAAAGCGTCTTTTTTGTTTTTCTGACTTTATTATTTGAACATCCTAGTCTCCAAGAAAAAACGCCTAACGTATGATTTAATTTCAATTGATGTAGTTGTTTTCCTAAGCATTGGAAATCACGTCATTCATATTCATTGAGTTTTACAGAAAAGATCATATCGCGGGAATCAAAAGATCAGTAAGATAGGTAAATTTACCATAGTGATAGTAATAACTCCATTGTTTCATAAAAATAAAAAAGGAACGTCAGGTCAGGTCAGGTCAGGTCAATGATATGGATCGTAATCGGTAATCAGTAGAAAAAAAAAAAAAAAAAAAAAAAAAAAAAGCCCGGAAAATCCGCCGCCATAATAAACAATGATCGATGAGAGAAATCGGGGAAAATGGGGAACAGCGCGGTAAAAAAATTATTTTCAGCAGGCAAGGCCATAGTAGAACTATCACTGAGTTTCTTTGTTTGTTATCACTGTATCAGCTGCGGTGGGTGATGATGATGACACGCTGAGTTCATATGCACAGAAAATAAAAGAAAAGGGGGGAAAAAACGGAAGATGGCGGGTCAATCGACCAAGCTCAGATTGTGGAGAAGGAAAAAAAAATTTCGGTTCTCAACTCGTCCTTTTTTTTTTTTTTACCTCTCTGCCTAATCATGTCATCAGAATAAAAAAAGGTAATCGGACAAGTTCGGCCAAATCATTTCCACGTGCGTGACTATCTGAAACCTATTGAGCCCACCCTGAATGACGATAATGAAATATAGCGAATCAAGAAGGATTGCGGAGCGGTGATTCGTACTTGGTTTTTGTGCTTATCAAAGCAATAAATTTGGGGGGGGTAGGGGAAGACAAGCGGGGAAGTAAAAAAACAACGTCGTAGTTCAATAACCACGGGAAAACCTGGACACGGTCAAATAAGCATAACGACTGATTTGGTTCCGGAGATTAAAGGCCGCTTTGGAATGAAAAAAAAACAGCGGCCAACCCAGCACCAACAACCTGGACAGACTATCCACGCTCGGGAAAATCCAGAGAAAATAAAGAAAAAAATTTCTCCACAGTGCAAAGGATTTTGGAGGGGGAGGTCATGCCCAAATACGGTAACCCTTAAGAATCCCACTTGTCATTCCACTGCCAGCTTTTCACACGCACAAACGCTTCACAACTTATTTTCAATAGATAACGACGATTTTATCATATTTGGAAAGAGACGTTTCTTTTTTCATATAATTTGGATAATATGTACAAAAAGGCATATATTTAAAAAATAAAGATGAAAGAGTGAGAGGGATGGCTATTTGTTGGTTGATTCTACTATACAAGGATGCAAAAGAAAAAAAAATGTAAAGAATTAATAAGGAACAAGTGAGTGAATACATGGTTTTGTAAAATGGTTTGGGAGGAAAGGGAGGAGGGGAGAGAAAGGATTTTTAGAAGGGAAGAATTGAATGAATGGAAGGTAACGCCATAGACTGTTGTTGTTTGGTATTATCATGAAGAGGTTGTAGCGCGATGGGAGGCAGCACACGTGCTTGTGGTGGACGGTCTAAAAGATCGAGCAGACTTGGAACCGCACCAGAAGGCCGGGCAAACACGGGATCGAATTGTTTGCATTCAAGAGGAGGAAGTTTGTTTACCATCATCATTTTGGGCGACCCCATGGCGGTAACGATGCGGGGAGAAAGCGTGGGGGAAGTTTCGGGAGTGAACAGGAATTCGGATTCGGTGTCTGATAAATGGTGTTCAAAGCTACATGCGGACAAGGTCGGCGAAGGTGGAACGGATCTTGTCACGGGCGTGCGTTTGCACACTTTGAGTTGTTGCTTGCGTTCTCGCTTTCGGCTGGGTGAAGTATGAATACGAACATGACGTGTCAGTTCATCAGACCGGGAGAACCGTTTCTCGCATCCCGGGTGGGTACATTGATGCGGCTTTTCACCCGTGTGAGTACGAATGTGACGAGTTTGATGTTCCAAGCGATAAAATGATTTGGGACACATGGGACATTTGTAAGGTCGAGGAACGTTGGCCTTATCGACAGCTGCAATAGCCCGCTTTTGTTGTTGATGTGGTTGCGGTGACGGCACGGTCAGGCCCGAAGGCGATGATGATGATAGGTTAAGTAAGTTGGAAGCAGCTTGAAAAGAAGCCATCACACGTTTTAGAGATAAAAAGGGGGGAATAGATGGGTGTTTAGAAACAGAGCAAAAAGCAAGAGGTAAAAGTCAGAATATCTGAAGTAGATAAAACGTTTCCAAAATTTCGTCAAAGTCAGGGCTTTATATAATGCGAAGTTGACTTTTTTTTTTTTCTTCGTTTATGGAAAGTGGGGTTGTCGGATGTGATGTGTTGAGATAGGAAGAATAAAAAAAAAATTGGGGGGACCTGTCGGTTGAGATTGGAGTGTCAAAATCGGCCACCGAGCATGGATCGCGCTTACAATGGCCAAAATAAATCAATAAAATAAAAAAATAAAAAAAAAGTTTTCCTTCTCCTCCTCCACCCCCGAAAGATGATGGCTTGATAACCACAAAAGGAAGTCGTGTAAAGTTCAGGCCTTGCTTAATGTTCACACGCCTGGTGGCTCCCCACAAAAGAGAAAAAAAAATGATGCAAGCGGAGATTTGTGCTATCGCCTTGACAATCCAACTTCAGCTGGACCCCCCTTATCGGTGCATATCAACCGAGTGTTTTTCTTTTTTCCCCTTTTCCTTCCTTCCCCTCAAACCCCCCAAAACCCACTATCCCCAGCTCCCCCCATTTCTTTGTAAACACTATCTTCGTTTTGTGATGTCCATGTGCGGGGAAAACTTTCTCTCGTCTCGATCAAATCCTACTTTAGGTAATCCCACTTATTTGTCATTTCATATTTTTTTTGAGCTCTTTATTGGGCCCTTGTCGAGTTACTTTCAATGCTTTTGTTGTCTATAATTCTTGTCCCGCATTTCCATTATATCACGCAATATCCAAACATCATACCATCATGGAAAAAATTACGCTTTCCCGCCCACATTTCATCGAACCATTCTAATCAATCGATCAGGATGTCTAGTTTTTTTTTTGTTTTCTTTTTTCTTTTTTCTCTTTACTCACTTTCAACTATCATCGTTCCTTTTACCATGTGAAAATTCTGAAATCCACCTCCAAATGTCCGTGCTTTGTAGTCCCTAATTACACACAAAATTAAAAACCCAGCAACACATGTGAAAGCATTATTTCCTTTATTTCGAAAGGGAACATTTTAAACAAAAAAAGACTCATAATTTCTACCCGCCAACAGAATTTCAAATTCCGGTTATCAGAACTATCCGGAACTCTCCAATCCTCCCGTATTGGGCTTTTTTTTTTTCGATGTCCTTTGCTCATGCACACATGCACATGTGAGATCCAGACACAGTCACACTTCCGGCATCACACATTCACACACAGGCATTGTCCCCTTTCCGTGACCACACTGAGCAGTTTCCTCATTCCACGTATTCATGACGCATCCTGTTTTGCAATTCTCGCCATTCTCATCCGCGGTGGATGCTGCCTTCTGGCAAGCGCTGGCTCAAAGAAAACTTGAAGTGCTCAAACTTTCCAATGCCGTCCAGACTGTGCATAGTTATTATCAGACGGGACAAACTATCGGTGATACCAAAGGTCAGCTCATTCCTATGCCGACTCGTCTGTGTGTGCCAGCTCATGGTCTGGAGGTGGAAACCCGAAACAAGTAAAAAAAATAAAAAGGCCTCAAAAAAAGCGCCGCTTGGGTCTCTATCCTATAATCAATAGTAACAGTGTATAATTCTTTTTTACAAAGACCGCTAGGATCACTCTCGGTCACTGGCACACTCTACAATGCCAATACTTTTGAAGAGTTTCAAACCATGGACAAAAATACATTTTTTCAGGACAAAGCCAATAAGGTAAGCCAGTTCCTTCTGAGCTGTAACAAAGCCTAGGTAATCAAGGAATGTGAATGGCTGACGAACCAAGCGGAACTTTGGTTCACTATAGATTTGGGATGCGATTAGGCACAGTGATCATGTGGAAGAGGCGCTTGGTCAGTTTGCCTTGATAACGTTTGCCGATCTGAAAAAGTACAAATTCTACTATTGGTTTGCATTTCCAGCGTTGATGCCTCAACCGGAACCATGGATCATGAAACAACCTATGCAACCCATTAACACCATATTTACGCAAGATCAGGTACTGATCTATGGCCGAAATGAGACATTTGGGAAATGACATTGAAACTTTTTTTTTGCTTATTTCTGGTGGTGGATTTTTCACATTCAGCTACTAAATCTCGGTCGAAAATACGCTTCTTTCCGAGAAAATCATGACGGCCGCTATTTTTTGGTTCGCCGACGAAATAGCAACGTTTGCCTAGCACCCCTGAAAGAATGGGATGATTTTTTCAACAAACAAGACGAGGTCAGTACGACATTGCAAACAATGATCATGAAATCGATAACATTTGTGAAAAAAGAAATCATAAACCTCATGGACTTGCACTCCCCCCCCCCGGAAGAAAAAAAAAATGAAAAAAGTCACCGGGAAAAATCAAGACCGATCGCAAATGATCTAATGGCTGATTTTTTTTCATTATTTTTAGATTATAGTGGGGTTTGCTGATCCTTCGAATGTGGACGTGCCAGGCTGGCCATTACGAAATTTGCTTGCATTAGTGCATACACGCTGGGGCCTTGGTGAGATCAAAGTCTTGTGTTACCGTGAAACGCCAGGCAAGCCGGACACGGTTGATTTATCGCGTATCCTTGTGGCCGAATTGCCCATCGCGTCACACTATACTCAACATGGTTAGTCATTTTGACGTAAATCCAACCTCATGGTGGCCTTGGGATTTTCATAATATCTTTTTTTTTTTCGGCACTAGACAATGGCGTCAAAGCCGTAGGCTGGGAGAGAAATCCCAAAGGAAAATTGGGGCCACGCATGGCTGATCTAGGCCCATTGATGGATCCTATACGGTAATTGTTTAAATCCTTCATTTGGCAACCAAACAAATACCAAAAAATGAATTCTCCCCCCTCCCTCCCCCACAAGAAAGGAAAAAAATCAATGACGCGTTCTCTTTATCCTCTCTAGCCTGGCAGATACCGCAGTGGATCTTAATCTCAAGTTGATGCGATGGCGGCTGATGCCGGATTTGGATTTGGACAAGATTAAAAACAACAAATGTTTGCTTCTTGGCGCTGGTACTTTAGGATGTTACGTAGCACGATGTTTGCTCGTAAGTTTCTATGCTTTTTGTTCCTGCATCGCCGGCCATGGTCGGCATGACCAGTATTGGAAGGCAGATAAGGAAAAAAAAAGATGATGCTAAAAAAACAAGCATTCAATGATAGGGCTGGGGTATACGTCACATCACCTTTGTCGATAATGGTCTGGTCTCCTTCTCCAATCCGGTTCGACAACCTCTCTATACCTATGAAGATTGTCTCAACGGAGGCATGGTCAAAGCCAAAGCCGCCGCAGAGAATTTAAAACGTGTTCAACCTTCCCTGGTAAAATTTAGTGACTTTAGTCGTTATCCCACTCTGGGCCATTTTCGCGTCAACTAATATGAAAATGTTGTCAATTATCTCTCACAGAATACCGTGGGCTATAATCTGTCCATCCCCATGCCAGGTCACACAGTATCATCCGATGAACAACTTATTCAAGATATTGAAACCTTAACCGGCTTGATCGAGAGCCACGATACCGTGTTTTTATTGACCGACAGCCGTGAAAGCCGATGGTTTCCGACCATGCTCGCAGCCAAATTCAACAAAATGGTCATTAACGCGGCTCTGGGTTTCGATACTTACCTCGTTATGCGCCATGGATCACGGGCTTCCCAGAGTTCCCTTGGATGTTATTTCTGCAACGACATTGTTGCACCCACCGATGTTAGTTGAAGCCGATTGGCCCCCCTGCCCACCCGAGAAACTCACTTTTGGTAATAGTCTTTAACTGATCGTACCCTCGATCAACAATGCACCGTAACAAGACCAGGCTTGGCGGCCATTGCCGGAGCGCTAGCTACAGAGCTGATGGTCTCACTTTTGCAACATTCGGATGGGTAAAAAGAAACGCGCCCCTGTTTATAAACTCTGTAGCTCGTATCGCTGAATTTTTTTTAATTAGAATCAATGCAGCCGCTGATACAGCCAGTCAATCTGATGGAGGGTCCATTCTTGGTCTAGTTCCTCATCAGATACGCGGATTTCTAGGTCAATTTAGTAATCTCCTGATTGTTGGTCAAGCCTATGAACGCTGTACGGCGTGCTCGGACAAGGTAGATTGGGGATGGCAACGATCAAATATCTTGTGTAAATCAATAAGTTGACTCACAAAGAAATTTGAATTAAGGTTACCGATGCCTACACCAGTAATCCATTAGAGTTTATGAAACGTGTCCTGGATAATCCACTCTATTTGGAAGAGCTGACCGGCCTGTTACAGCTCAAGGCGGAAAGTGAAGCGTTACTGCTGGAAGATAATTGGGCAGAATCCGGGGATGAAGATTACTAGCCATTTTTGTCACATGATCACGTATTCGTCACGGATCAAGCCGGTTTGCCCAGCCCTGGAAAATAAATAAAAATAAATAAAAAAACCCGCAGATAAGAGTGGCAAAAAGTTAAACAGCCATGGTGGGATCGGAAAATGAAAGGTCAGAAACTCTCAAAATGGAAATAGTCAAGTTTCACGACCAAATCCATCCCCGCATCGGAAAAACACGTTACGGGGTTTCGCTGGCGATCTTGTCTCCATTTTTTCTTCCTCTCCCCCCAGAATTTTTCAACCCCTGAAAAGCTATTTTCTTTGAAATGGTAACACCAGCAACGCGGATACTTAATTTTACAAAGCGGTTCTCCGCCCCGGTGACGGATAGCTACAATTGTGTCTTAAAAAGCTACTTTGGTCCCAAATGGGGAATTGTACTCCCCTCAAGCGGTATTCCTGACATGTTTTTCTCCATGGTTTTGTATGTTTTTTCTTTTAAGAGCAAAAAGATAATGAAAAACACTATTCTTCCCAAATCTCCCACTTGATGCCATTGAACCTATCAATTTCCATCGATTTCCTTTCCTCCCTGCGGGAAGCGGCTTTAAGTACTGTACAAACATTTACCAGTTGTTTATTTTCCATATCAAGAGTATATTTGACAAAAAAAAAATCCCCACTTCCCCGCCACTGGCTTGAAAAAAAAAATCACCTCATTTATCTTCCAAAAAAAGCAACTAAGGCTAATGAACCAAACAGGAATGATCGCTCAAAGCAAAAAATCATGGACCTATTACTGTGTAGCTTGATGCACAAACGTGTTGCCTTTTTTTTTCCGGCAAGATATGCTTACCGATCCTGCTAATCGATACCCAATGATATGGCAACACAGAGCAAAAATTTTTCATTGTTTTTGATTCGTTCCCCCCACAAGCAAAGTGAGTCCGCATACATTTACCAAAAAAAAAAGAAAAGATATGATATGTTAATTACTGCGTGCGAGTTTACTGATTTCCATGAAGGTTTACATATCGAATCGTAAGATAATTTTTTAGGCTTAGTCATGGAGATACTAAAGTGTGAGAAAAATGCTGATGTCAAATATAAACTGTATGAAAGCAAGGAAACGGCGGAATTTAGAAAGCATCCTGCACACCATCGATGGGACGAACGTGTGTTTAGGACCCACGATGACTGGTTTGAAGCAAATACCTCATCTTCTTTATTTTATTCTCTAGAGAAAGACAATGGTATAAGAGAACATTCGAACACCTACTACAGCATATGCACTGAACCATTTACCAAGAACCGGGTTTTTTCTTCAAGAACAAACTTTGTTTTAGTCTTTCAGAGTTTGAATCTGTTAATGAAAAAAAGCTCAGCGAACAATTCACACACTCTTCCCTGTAGGCTTTTTTTTTTAATACGGCAAGTCGACTATGAGATGAAAGGGTTTTGTAGCAACTTCTAGTATTATCGCTTGTACAATATGTAAAACTGGTCTCCCACAGTAAAAATTTCTGATTCATCTGATATTTAGAAACAATGGCCCGCTGCATCGAACGCGAATCTACTGTACCATATACGTTCTACTTTCCTAAAGTGCTGACCTATTTTGAGGGTCCGTAGTAAGAAATACTGCCAAGAACGATTTATTAAATCATTGGACATCTTGTCATTAGAAATATATGATGATGAAAAAAGGTATTTATTGACGTTCACAATGTCAGTATTTCGTCAAGTCCTGCCATTAGTGGCAAAACTATTTTAGAACGCATAATTCTGTGGAGTTGTACAAAGAGTTTCTTTTTTTTTGCAGATGGATAGCAAAAAAGCCTCTTATTGGCCCAGGAGATCGCTATCAACGTATCTTCAAAAAACGCTGGATTTGCCTCCACCAGCATCATACGATGCATGAATTTGAAATAGTTTGCCACATACGACAGGGTATCTCTGCTGCCACTCTCACTGTCTAAAAAATACCTAATGTTTATTCTATATCACCGTCTATGGTTGGGGATACATGACTCTTCATGGAAGTGTAGAGATCTCACAGTAAGACATTTTGGAAATTATATGTGAAACCGTGTTCGGGACGAAGGAGAGAGAAGCCTATTTTCTTCCAGCGATAATATGCAAAAACGGGACAGTGACAGACACTCTATTTCTTCCATGCGTTCCGTAATTACATCGCGAGTTTTTTTGTTCTTTCGCTTCTATCCGGTCCCTGTCCTCCACCCCCAAATCCAGTTTTAGAAGGTGGAACAAAAACATGGTTCTATCTCCATGCATCTATCTGTCAGTGCCACCCCCACAAACAAGTAACGCACATGGAAAAAAAAAAAAAAACTCAAGTTGCATTTTAATTATTCATCTTGGACGTTTGTGTTGCAACGATAAAAAACGGATACCGTTTTGCTTGTTCTGGAAATGACTAAAAGTTGATCTACTTTGCGATAAAGAAATTATAGTAGATTTAACTTCTAGGATAGACGATGATAAAAAAATTTTCATTGTTGGGTTTCTCTTTTTTTCTTCTCTAAAATAACATGTACAGAAATGAAAAATGCTAAATGATGGGGTAGTGAGTTTCTTTTAGTGATTTCTTTTTTTACTTGCGACCTTTCTTCTTTTGTGCTTTTCGTTTCATGGCACGCATTTCTTTCTTCATTCTAGGATCGACCATCTTATAACGACCCTTGACACCGCTGGGTCGGCCCTTGACACCACGATTAGCGCCCTTGGCCACCACCAGTTGAACTTCCTTCTTGGGTTTCGCCTTGGCGGATCTCGCCAGCAGCTTATTAATGGAATTGACTTTTTCCTTTTCGGACATATCCGGGTTATCGGCAATATCAGTGGCTTTCTTCTGCGCCTTCTGCATACGTTTCATAGCCTATCACAGACACCAGATGGTCATCACGTAAGTACCACAAAAAATTATGCATACCGTCGCACACACAAACACACAAAAAAAAAGACCCCTATTTTTACCTTGTACTTCTTTCTTGCTTTGGCTTCCGCGATCTTCTTGATAGGTCGTGCATCCAATGCCTTTAATTTCTCTCTCAACGCCTGAACCGCTTCCTTGGTCACCGGAAGATTCGGTTTGTTGTGTTTCTTTTCGTCATCAAGGAACCATACAGGCAAGCCGTCCTTATCTCGGAACGCTTCGCGCGTGAAACCTTCATCAATCAAATCCGTCTTGGTCTTTTCCTTGTTCACCAACTGTCGTGCAAGCGTCACCATCTCGGGCGTGATAAGACCCGTTTCCTGAGCCTTCTTCATCGCCTTTGAGTTCTCGTCTTCATCGCCTTCCCACATTTCATCATCCGAAGGAATCACATCTTCCGAAGGTATAATTTCAAAGTCGCTATCTTCTTCTTCTTCTTCTTCCAAATCATCTTCAGCCTTACGCTTGCGAGAATCAGTCTTCACGTCCTCGTCTTCTGATGCTTCTTCTTCTTCCTCTTCGTCTTCCTCTTCGTCCTCTTCGAGGTCAATTCCCTTGAACACATCCTGATCAAAGAACATCGAAGCTGCTTTGGTAAGACCGGAGCTGGTGCGTTGCGATAACTCGGCTTTGCGACCAAGATCCGTCAGTAAAGAGTTGCCCGATTTCTTCTTGGAACCCAGAATGGAGCGCACAGGCATCTCGTCATCATCGGAAATATCAGAGTCTTCTTCCATATCTTCATCCTCCGAAGCTTCATCCGAATCGCTGTCCGAATCGCTGTCAGAGTCACTTTCACCATCCATTTTCTTGCTCTTTTTGTCATCGAATCCACTCCATTCATCTTCTTCATCACGCGCTTGCTTGGCTCGGAACTTGGCATTCTTTTCAGCCTTTCTCGCTACATAACGGTCGTAATCCGCATCCAACTGATCTTCCAATTCTTGGTCATAATCACTGTCTTGGTCCATGCCTTCGTGCAATTCGGCATCCATCTCAGCAATGCGGCCTTTCATCAAATTCTTTGAGACATGGATATCATCATCATGTTCCTCATCAGCCAGTTCATCGGCCATGGACATGTCACCCTCTTGCAATGCTTTCAGGGACTGTAGACAAAGAAAAACAAATACATTAGCGTCCCGCCGCTCCTTTTTTTCCCTTTTTTATGAAGGACCATGTAACTTACCGCGTCTTGGTTAATCTTTTTGATATTGAACAAAGCCTCGCCGTCGGCGCCGGCTTGATCGAGACCAATGTCACTGGGAACGGTCATGTTCAATTGCATGCGTTGAATCAGTTTCATCTTCTTCTCGTTCGCTTTGCGCTTCTCACGCTTTCGCTTGGCGGCTTCTTCTTTTGTCAAATTCTCCAATTCCGCCTGTAATTTTTCATCTTCGTCCAGCGGTTCTTCCTCCACCACCACTGTCTCCTTCTTTTCCTCTTTGTCCATTTTGTACTCTTCGCGGACCCGAGTTCGCCATTTCAGCAAGGCTTTGAAATCGCTCTTGCCCAGCACCTTCAAATCCTCGCAATTGACTTTGATATCTTCGTTGGTGTAGTCCTTTCGTAATAACCTATTATCATCAGAAATTGGTTAGTCATGATTTGCACGAGAAAAAAAAAAAGAGTTAAAACATACTCTTTTGCTTCATCAGAATCAAAGACGAGTTGATTGTAGGATCCAAGCAAGGCAATGGGATCTTGGGCTTTGATGAATTCCATAACATCGTTCTTTTTGTGCAAGGTATAATTGCCATCTTCGTAACCTTCTCTCTGACGCTTCTTCTTTTCGGGTTTGAAGATATCCAACAATTTGGCCGAGGCATCTGCATCGACTTCCGAAAATACGGTTTTCGCATCCAATAATCGAGGATCGATCTTTTTGGGAGCAATGAAATCGCGACACACAACGAAAATTTCGGCAGACACGTTACGCGAGGAAGGAGGTTTGGTGGCTTCGACTTTGCGGAAAAGCTGCTGGAATACCCACAGCAATTTGTTGTAATCCTTGGATCTAAAGACCTTGGTAACAAAGGTACCTGAGAAAAAACAAAAAAAAGAGTACCGTCAGCTCCACGCAACCCAACTACATTTTCGTTTCCCTTGTGCGTTCACTTACCGCCTTTTTGCAAGAATTCGGTGGCAAGCTTCAACGATACCAATACAAGTTCGGACTGAGAGTAAGCATCCTGAGCCCATGCTGTACCAACATTGGGAGCACCATCGTGAAGCACACTAGAATAAATCATCCCGGTTATTACGCCTGCCCAATTTCTTCATTTTCTGATACATACACATCGGCTTTCCAAGTTTTCATTTCTTGACGCAAGTTCTGTCGACAACGATCGGTGGTAATATCATCTTGGAATGTAATGACATTGGGAATAGGTTTGATGGCAGCAAGATCGACACCTACACAAACGCAATCATTGGATTAAATTATCTCGCTCGTTCGACCGATTGTCGTTCAACGTTTCAACAAATCGTACCAATGACCAAGCTGGATTGCGGCATATATTTTGTAGCGACTTGTAACCTAATCAAAGACAACAAAAACAAAGTTAATTTGACTTTGCTTTCTCGATGCCAGTCGCATGTTTCTTTGACACTTACCAACCACCGGGGGCAGCACAAAGATCGATAAGTACTCGAGATTTCTCGAGGAAATTGTACTTTTTGTTCAGTTGGATCAACTTGAAAGCGGAACGGGCACGATAACCCTGCTCCTTGGCCAAGTGATAGTACTTGTCCAAACGTCCTAAACGTTCACTTGTAAGTCCATCGTACTCTTCTCATCCACCGATCTATTTCGACCTACCCTTTGACGACTTTTTATCTCTGCCTTTGCCCATGATCTAAAAATCGAATCGCTGGAACCTGTCGGGGAAAAGAGAGGAAAAAAAAAACTCTTTTTTTTGATATTTCGAAGGGGCGAAAGGCTTTTTCACAAAAATTCGAGTCACAATTTCCTAATTTAGCAACTCGTGTTTTTTTGTGGGTGGCAGACGAACTCATGCCAGAAAATGGAAACAATTGTCGCATTTCTTGGACTGATTTCGTTATGCCCAAAAAAACATTGGCATCGTATAGTCAGTCACCACTCGGTTTTGGAATGCTCAGTTTTTTAGAATATATCCGATTGAAGATTCACCTTTTGGGCTTTTGATAATTGTAGGCTGATTTTCGCAGTTATCACTCTTGAGCAGGAGTAAGCTAATCATTCAAAAAGGCGGTCATGCGTAAAATGATACGAGGCTGGAGAAAGTTAATCCCCTCACATAGCTAATCTGCCGCTTGTTGCATGACAAGCTTAAGAGAAATGGTTTCTTGGTTTCCGATATCCAATCTTCGCTTTAAAAATAAATGGTTTTACAATCAAGTTGCTGTGTTGGTTCATTTCAAATGTACCAAATGCTCATCGCGAGAGTCCCATCATCCACAAAAGGTGCAGCCTGAACATCGCTCATTTGGCCTCACCATCCTTAAAAACACCACCACCGCAGTGTTGGAAAGCTTGGTGGACCGTGTCCCTTCCTCAGCAATAACTCCCTCCCCTCTACTTCCTCTTTTTTTTATGGTTTAGCAAAATCACGCCTTAAGGAGAATAAAACACCTATACTTGTTCCGTTGATCTAATGCCGCCAATACTTTCTCATTACTCGCCGCATTTGCCGGTCCACGATTCTGTTGCTTTTGACGCCAAGAGCAGCCTCCCTCAGTGAAACAACAAGCAATAACCCACTAGACGTTAACTGAGCCAAGTGGATGTGGGATACCAGGTTAACGAATAAGCTGCGCCAGACAAACCATATGAATAAGGAGGACGGGTTTTGGGCAAGAGGAGTTAATTGGATGTCTTTATTCAATTGAGGAATCATGTACAAATAAAAAACAAAGGTCTACCCTGTTGTACATACATTTCCTAAGCAAACCATTTTTCATTTTTTCTTATATGAAGTGGCGTGTGATCGTCCACAGGACGTTAAGCCCACTTTTTATTTTTATTATTCAACCCACAAAGGGTTGGGAAAAGAATAATAAAGGCAAAAGCCTTCTTTATTTTTCATTTACCTTTGTTGCGATTAAAAAGCAAACCCACCGACATACCTTCCACAATGACCGCGCTGATGACTAGTCAGGCGCCCAAAGGGAAGAGCCGACGGGAACGAAAACAATCTTCTTCAGAGGATGGCCAATCCTATCATTAGAAGATGGTTTTCGGATTTTTCGCCATACCCCGGATGCTTTACCAAAAACCGGAGCGTTCATCATTACCAGTAACCACCAGCCTAGCAGCCCCTGATTCCGAACTGGCGCACAAAAGAAAAAAAGAGATGAGAAGAAACGCCCCCTTTTTATATCTTTTTCAAAAATCGTTCGAGGACCTTCGATTGTGACCTTGCTTTATGACCGTGAATGCACCTCATTGGCTCGATTCCCGCAACAAAACTCGCGAAATTCAGCGCCTCACTCTTCTTTCGCGTAAGCCATGCAAAGAGGGACTGCCCCATGTCATTCATGCTGCCATCAGCACCAATTGTACACTACAGTCACACTATAACCTGAACTATAGCCTATGATTGAACGCTGGTGCAACATGCCTCAAACTTTACGCACTCTCTTTTATCTTGTTGTATGCTAGAAAGTTTCCCTACCTTGGTCTACTCCTTTGTATCAATTTTGTTTCGTCTGAAACCGTAGATTCAATATTGCTATGATAATAAATGCTCAGGTATCACTCCACGAAACCAGGCTGCTATTCCCATGGTGCCGTGTTGCAATGGCAATGGAACACAGAGACCGCAATGACAAAGACATGTGAGCAAATTAACAGAATGTACTTGAGTACGTCAAAAGGTGCTCTTATGGATATGTACAATAGAAACACGCATCAGCGCAGTAACAGCACCTGTAGTTTGATTTCTTACATTCGCAAGAGGCTGTATTTCGCATAAATTAATTGACCTGCAGGACCACTGTTATCTCCTCTTGAAAAATTGAGTTCTCCTTCTCCGCTTCTTTGCACAGTGACAAGGTGGGCTGTTTTGTGTTCGATAAAAGATGCTGTCGTTTGTGCATTTGGTTCGATTGAATATTGGCAAAGCATAAAGGCACCGTTCGATTTTGCACTCACTTTCTGGAATCTTCCATTGGCATTTTTATTATACGTTGTATGCTACATCAAACTCGATTTTGCCATCACTTTTTGTGCTTCCCCGGGATGATTCCAAAACCGAGCGGCGTCCAGTCGCCACTCAATTTAGGAATGCTCGAGTAAGAAAATATTCTCGATTTAAGAATTAGTTTTCGTGGCTCCCGGGGTGATTCTTAAATCGAGTGGTGACTGTAATCGGATACCTTTTTGCACACACACTTGCACACATTTTCCTCTTTCTCTCCATACAAAGGTGGGCACGGTAATGCGTTTGTTGGAAACTACCAACATCTATGATTAGCGATAAGAATCGACTTTTTGGGGCACTTTGTGGGGTCTGTTTATGTCTTTTCCTTTATGGGCGGTTTGGAGCAGTTGTCTTCCATAAGCTTTGTAACGAGCAACTCTTCAACGGTTGATGTCTTTTTCTTAAAATTCATGTGGGATCCCAGAAACACAATTGTCCCTGCAACTGGTGTAAATGGATTATTTAACCAATGATACTAAACAAAAGTAGTTCAAAGATGACTCGTGAGCACCAGTTTGCATGATTGGCACTTTGCTGTATCAAGGCTGTTTGGATTGAGTAAATCTTGACAGAATTCTACAATGAGAGACTAGATATATGGTAGATACATGGTTTTTGTTTTATTTTTGCCAAAGAAAATTTTTACATGCAATTTTTAAATATTATACAAAGAGTGGATGAAAACTATACATTTACAAGGAGATCGTTTTTTTTTTTCAGTTTAATCCATTTCTTCCACCTGCATGTCATCTTCGTCCATTTCCTCTACTTCATAATCACTTTCGGTTTCGTGATTGCGGAGCACTTCGGCGGTACCATGCTTGCCAATATCCACGTGAGCCACTTCGCCGTTACGGACGCCGCCATCGATAATCATTCGGGCCAATGGGTTCAATAAACGTTGCTGGATCAGACGGTTCAATGGTCGTGCACCAAAGATGGGTTCATAACCTTGCTGGCCCAACCACTGTTTCGCCGCCTCGGAGACTTGAAGTTTGATCTTGCGGTCGTGGAGTCGTTGTTGAACTTCATGCAATCGGACATCGACAATATCGGTAATGTTGTTTTGCGTCAGACGGTTGAAGATGACCAATTCATCGATACGGTTGGTAAATTCCGGACTAAAGTGTTGACGTACAATTTGCAGGATTTGTTCCTTCAACATCACCATATCCATTTCTTGGGTAGTCTGTTCGGCCAAAAGATGAGCGCCCAAATTCGAGGTCATGACAATGATGGTATTGCGGAAATCGATCTTGCGGCCCTTGGAATCGTGGATAAAACCTTCATCGAGCACTTGCAACAGAACGTTGGCCACATCCTTGTGCGCTTTTTCCAGTTCGTCCAACAAGACAACGGCGTAGGGCTTGCGACGGATGGCTTCGAATAAACCGCCTTCTTCGTGGCCCACGTAACCAGGAGGAGCACCAATAAGTTTCGCCACACTGTGCTGTTCCATCAGTTCGCTCATGTCGATACGGATAAGAGCACGTTCGTCGTTGAAAAGGAATTCCGCCAACGTTTTGCAAAGGAGGGTCTTGCCGACACCGGTGGGACCGAGGAACATGAAACTGGCCAATGGTTTGTTCGGGTTCTGCAGACCGGCCTTGGACAAGCGAATGGCATCGCAAACCGCACGAATGGCCGAGTTTTGACCGACCACCTTCTTAGAGATTTCTTGTTCCATGTGAAGCAGCTTCTCACGTTCACTCTTGGCCAGGTTCTGCACGGGGATCCCGGTCCAGCGGGAAACGACTTCCATGATTTGCTCGGGACGCACCACTTCACTCAGCAACTGCGACTGGTTGGGATCGGCGGAAGCGGCGGCTTCCGACATCTTGCGTTGCTTTTCGGCCGTCACTTGCGCAATACGTTGTTCGACATCGGGGATCGCATAGTATTCGATATCCGCAGCAGTGGCGAGATCGTATCGGTTCTTGGCTTCGATGGCTTTGCGTTTTAGTTCATCCAGCTTCTGCTTCAGTTCACGGAGTTCGTCCAAACGACCTTTGTCCATGTCGTATTTCAATTTCAACGGTTTCAACTCTTCCTGCAGTCGGGCCATTTCCTCGCGCACCTGGTTTAGACGTTCCTGCGACTCCTTGTTGCTCTTTTCCTTGCTCAAGGCCATGGCTTCAATCTCCAGCTGAAAGTTCTTGCGTTCCAGGATATCAATTTCTTCAGGTTTCGAATCGAGCTGAACTCGCGTGTTGGCGGCGGCTTCATCAATCAAGTCGATTGCTTTATCGGGTAAGAAACGAGTGGTGATGTAACGATCAGATAACTGGGCTGCCGAAACCAAGGCAGCGTCGGTAATTTTGACGCCGTGATACGTTTCGTAGCGTTCCTTTAAACCACGCAAAATAGAAATGGTTGCTGGCACCGAAGGTTCGCCGACATCAACCTTTTGGAAACGTCGTTCAAAGGCCGGGTCTTTTTCAATCTGGCGGTATTCCGTCAAGGTGGTGGCGCCAATGCATCGAAGTTCGCCACGAGCCAACATGGGTTTCAGCAAGTTGGCGGCATCCATGGAACCTTCACCTTTACCGGCCCCGAGCACCGTATGGATTTCGTCGATAAACAGAATAATACCGTCTTGGGACTCTTTGACTTCCTTGAGCACGGCCTTCAATCGTTCTTCGAATTCACCGCGATATTTGGCACCGGCGATCAATGCGCCCATATCCAGTGAGAACAGTTTACACTGAAGCGTTTGGGGGACATCGCGTTCCACGATACGGCGAGCCAACCCTTCCACAATGGCAGTCTTGCCCACACCGGGTTCACCAATGAGGACGGGGTTGTTCTTTGTACGTCGAGCCAACACCCGAATGACACGTCGAATTTCGTCATCGCGACCAATGACGGGATCGAGTTTACCGGTTTCGGCCATTTGGGTCAGATCAATGGCATACTTGGAAAGCGCCTCGTAAACTTCTTCGGCATTCTTGCTGTCCACGCGTCGATTACCTCGCACTTGGGAAACCGCACTTTCGAGCGCCTTCTTGGTAATCCCGGCGTCTTTCATGGGTTGGTAGGAATTCGTATCGTCTGTAAGAGCCAAGATGACGTGGTCGATGGAAATAAAGGAATCTTTTTGGTTCTTCATATGGGTTTCGGCATTGCGCAACAACTTGGCCGCTTGAGGACTGATGGAAACTTGAGTAGGCGGTGGATCTTGAGCTGGTAAATGGACCATTTGCTTCTTGTAACCACGCTCCACCGTCGCTGGTTCGCATCCGGCTTTTTCAATGATGGATTTGAACAGTGATTGACCGTCGGTTTCGTCAAACAGCGCGCACGCAATATGAGCTGGCATAATCTGGCTGTGTCCAAACTCGCGCGCTAAACTTTCGGCTATTCCGAGAGCCTTTTCGACTTTATCTGTAAATTGCATTCCAGACATGATGGTGAATAGTTGTGTTTAGATAATTATTATGATATGTGATAAATGTATGATATGATGAAAGAAACAAAAGAAAAAAGAAGACACCGCTCGCATGAAATATTTATAACATGTGGCAGCCCGTTCATTGCTCGATAGTGCCAGAAATTGCCAGAATTGAATACATGTCCAATGAAATTCACAAGAAAACTTCCGCTTTTGTTCGACATCACCCGTAAATTAAGTCTCCGCCATCCGTAGGGCAAGGGTTGAGCTGATCAAAATGTTGATATGCACTTTTGCCGTCGGGATGAAATTGATGGACAAAAGAAAGCCCTGAACTTTTTTTTTGGGGTATTTTCTTTCAATTTTGGCATTAGTTACAAAAATAAAACTGAATAATTACAATCGGTTATCATTAATCGATATAGCTAGTATGTTGTCTCAAGACACAAGGTTAAGCAGCAGCAAAATAAGGATGTTTCTAGAAGAAAAGAAGAAGAATCGATCGTTAGCGGGAAAAAAAAAGGCAGGCCACATCGGGTATACCGGAAGAAAATAGATTTTACCAGTAAGTTGGTCAAATTGCCACGTTTGGAAGGTTCGGTATGTAGCAAGGTTTCAATCACTTGTCGTGTGTGGAAATTCGGTACCATTTGGTCAAAATTGGGTATCTCTAGCTGACGCTGGCTGTTCCATCGCAATCCGTTCTTCAACGTGGGCGTGGATGACGAAGGATGGGATATAAAATGCAAAATGGTTTCATCTCGTATGGAACTCGAGAACAAGAGTCGTTTGGTTTCCAGTTCCTGACCGAAAAAAAAAAAAGTTTAACCATCGGGCATAAAGAGGGACGGCTGATTTTAGATCTCAGTATGGTTTGACTTACAAAAATGACGCAGCCAAGTGCCCACAAGTCGACACTGGCGGTGGCCACCACACCATTGGCTCCTTCACGACCGTAGGTGGTAGCTCTGGCCACTTCGGGAGGACAGTATCTCGGTGTAATCACACCTACGCATTCTTGACCGATGATACGACAAGCTTCGAAATCAATCAATTTCCATCTTTTCTCCTTGTCTCGCATAATGTTGCTGGGCTTCAAATCACAGAATGCAATGTCTATGTCCGAAAAAAAAAATAACAAGGTTCAATATGCGGTCATACTTTGTTAATGGGTTGCATGAGGTTGCATGATTTTTTTACCATTTTCATGACACCAGGCCAAGCATTCGACAATTTCGCGTGCCACCTGACGCACGTTTAATGGTTCATCGCGGAGACAGGTACTTAGCGTTGATTCCAACCGTTCCAGTACTGTAGCATAAGTCACACCGTCGTCCTCATTGACGGTGTGGGATCGAGTCAATACGGAACTGGAACCACTGTCGTTACTTGCCGCGCTGCCGCCACTAATGGTGAGCACTTGGAGCAATTCCACAACATATTGAGATTTCAGTTTTGTCAATGTGCGGCACTCTCGTTCCCAAGCTTCGCGTCTCTGAAACGCCTTGATAACCGTCTCTTTCCATGTGCCTTTGTCGTGCATGCGTACAAACAGAATGGTATTGGCCGGTCCCTCAATCGCTGGAATGGACTTTTCCAGTTTAAAGTGCTGGGGAAGGACGTGGGCCCAGGTGCTATTAGACGTGGGAGCGGCGGGAGCCACTTGATCAATGAGTTCTTGCCAACTCGTTTCCTCGGTTCGCTCATGATCGTGATCCACTCCGAGATTGGCAATCAGGTCCAGGGGACTCACCGATCCATAGATTCCCGGAGAAAACGACGGTAATGGAGGATGAGAAGGAGAAGGAGAAGGAGGAGATGCCTCGTTGTCCATGTCCGTATAGTGTTCATCGGTGACGAGATGGGCTGTAGGTGCACTGCTGAGGGCCGAGGATGGATAGTGAGGCTGAGTGAGCGTCGTAGAGTGTTTGCCACTTTTATTCCAAGTGGCCTCGGTGGCTGTCGTAGCAATACTGAAACGGCGTGCACCGGGTTTGATGTAGCGAAGAGGCGAGATGGAGCCTCCAACCGAGACCGAGTCAGGAAGAGTGGATGTATCGTCGGCATCGCTTGGTTTAGCCGATGAGCCGGAAGGAGCGACGGCATGCACCACTCTTACACGGTTGCGATTGGGTTCATGCATCACACTGCTTCCATTGGTTTTCACGCTTCGTAACACTTCCATACTGCTACTGAGAGGCGCACCCGACGTCGACGACAGACTGAGACTCAATGGATACGCCCGAGGCGGCACAACACAATGATCAATGAAATCGCGGATAGGCCGCGAGAACTCATTCGGTTTTTGCTGTGTAATTTCATTGGGTGGCTGGCCTTCGCCTCGTATCGCATGGATCAGTGGAGTGGAAGGAGCTTGCGTCGTTGGTAACGATCCCATGGAACTGCGTGTGCCTGAACTTGACATGCCGTATTCGTCGAGCATCAGTGACGGAGGAGGGATCATTTCTTCCAATGTGCCTGTCACAACTTTGTGGGTGTCACCAATTTCCGACGGTCGCGACAATCGACTGTTACTCGTCCAGGCACGCGAAACGCGTTTGGAATTCGGGCCGGACATCCATGTGAGATCGGATCCAGATCGGGTGTGGAATGATCGTAGTCCGTTGTTGTTGTCTCGTTGATTTCTACTTTCCTCGTCCTCCGTGTGCCGATGATCGTCGGTCCAGAGATCGTGTTTGGACATGGCTCGATCGGTGGTACTTAATGTCTCACGTATGTCCTCCCTCTTGGAGGCTCTGGACTTGCGTCGTCGTAGGCAACAAAACGCAATAATGGCGGCAATCACCAGGGCGGCTACCCCACCAACGACACTTCCGATAATGATGGGCGTCGTATCCGTTTTCGATTGGTTGCCATGGGTATTTGTCGATGAAGGTACAGGCGAGGACGTCGACGAAGGTTTGATTGACAAAGGATAACCGGTGGGTGGTACATGGGACCACGTCCAATGCTGAGTGTCAAGAACGTACATATTGCTGTCATTCGTGGCTCGCGCTCCCCATCCACCGAAAATGTAAACCTTTTTGGTTTTCGGATCCATGACCGCACTGTGTCCTACGTTAAAAGAAAAAAGGCATCAGCTTACATTGAAAAACGGATATGGATGATGATGCTGCTCACCCATGCGCTGATTGGGACTGGAAGTGATGTTGTTGGCGGAGATGCGTTCCCAGGTGAGTTTGGGGTACTGTGCTGCGGACAAGGTCCAGATGTCGGAATCGTAAGGCTGTGTGGTGCCACCTCCGTAGATGATCATTCGATCGTCCAGACAGTTGGCCGTATGCAATCGACGGGCGCCAGGGATGGCTCCACTGACCGATGTTGGTACCACCTGAAGATTCCATGTTTTGGTTCCTAGATCGAATACATAAACCGTCTAAAAAAAAAGAACCGTGAGCAAACATGTCATTCTGACTGGCAGACCAATTTTTTTTCTGACATTTTTTTACCTGAGTTACATCATTGGGAGATCCTGTCGGGGTGCCTCCAAAAGATATCAGGCAATTGCAGGATTTTATATAGCACATGGCATGATCAGTAACGCCCACGCCGTTGGCTCCTGGCGACCATCCAAAGGAATTGGTATCCATTAACGATAAAGCATTCAAGATGGCGCTTGTGATGGGGTATCCATATTGATCGACGGAACTCCCGCCGTAAGAATATAAGGTATTGTTCACCAAGGCCAGCGTGTATCCAATGGCACGGGCGGGTGGTAAAAGACCTGTACAATAAAATCTCAATTCAGCCAAATAAAAACTACTAAAATTGGGTGCATGGGAAACAAAGAGAATAAGCAGCTCTAAATAAAGAAAAAAATTAAAAATAATCTCAGAAGGAACAGCTTACTCGAGGTGGGAAATGTCCAACTCCAACTGTTGGTATCCAATTTTTGCAGCATGCCCTCATATCCGGCATGCGTAGTATTAGCGACGATGACCAACATTTGACCGGGACTGGACAGTTCCGAGGCTTTGCAGAATATCTGAGGATGCATTTCGTTGCCTACTTCGGCTTGAACGGAGGCCGTCGGATTATACCAAGCACCGGTGCGCGAGTCCCATACCCACAAACTATTGGACCCACGCAGTTTGACAGTGTCTCCGTAGTTGGCGGTAGGATCTTCCACTCCGCCATATATCACTACATAAGGTTCGATATAGGCTGATACAAAAAGACGGTACGTCAGGCTTCTCGATCATGTTGCTTTTGGCATTGCTGAGCTTGAGTCATCACCCAAGAAAAAAAAAAAAGGAAAAAGAAGGTTGGCTTACCAGCGGCGTGGCCTGCTCGCCATGGCACGGTGGTGACTGGCGATCCTAACCGAGGATCGGGAATATGGTCGACAGCTTGATTCGGTACAGTGAGAGCCAAGATCGCCAATGCTAAGCACCAAGGTGGAAGCATAACACGAAAATACAGACGTAATAAGTAAGACAGGAATCCATAAATGTAAGAAATTTGAGGACAACATGAAGGGGTGGAAAAAAAAAAATAGAATGGCCATGGCGGAGTTGGTCTTGTTCGTGTTCGATCAAAAAAATTGTACCAGCATGAAATTTTTTTTGGTTTCTTTTTTACATGTCAAAGAAACCTTCAAAATGCCAATCGGGAATTCGCATGGTGAACGGGCCACATTTCCATGGTTTGGGATATTCAAACATTCACTGGTATAATTTTTGTCCTTCCGCTTAAAGGACAGTGGCAAACATTCCGCATTTAGGGCCGTATCCAAAAACAGTTGAAATTTCTAGAACTCAGCCCTCTCGGTAACACCAGATGAGTCGGTCGTCAATCCAACAAGAAGGACAATGACCGCCTACCAGGCCATTAGGTAATCGGCTTTGTTCAATAATATCATGGTGTACTTGTCATCTATCATCTATCATCACAAGAAAAATATAAAGATATTTCCAAGCTGTAAGCAAGGGTTACATTGTAAAAAAAAATGGTAGCCATGGTTTTATTATTTTAAGGTGAAATGCATTAGACGTTTTCTTTTTTTTTTTTTTTAAGCGCAAGCCTTGTAACAAGCTTCCAATTCTTCAACATCTTCCTTGGAACCGAGCCAAATGCCGGATCGGTCATGGATATGTTCAGGAATAATATCCAATGCATTCTGGGTACCCGTGGAAGCTTTACCGCCCGCTTGTTCGATCAAATAAGCCATGGGGAACACTTCATACAGAATTCTAAGCTTTCCTTTCTTGGATTTGGAATCAGCCGGATAACCGAAAATGCCACCTTTTTTTTTGTAGAATAAAGATAGAATGAGGATATTTTGTATCACACAAGTATGGCTTTTTGGTTCCACTTACCATACAACAAAGTTCGGTGAATATCGGATACCATGGAACCGACGTAACGAGCGCTGTACTTTTGCTTGACCTGGTCAACATACTTTTTGCTGGCTTCATTAAAGTACTTGTAGTTTCCTTCGTTGACGGAATAGATCTTTCCGCGGGGCGGCATGACAATCTAGAAAAATTGATGGACATGATGAACATTTAGTATATACTCCGCCTGGGCACACGCTCCGCTGACGGGATTTGCATCGCCGACTATAAAATGCTTACGTTTGGGTGGGTCATGATGAACTCGCCAATGGCGGGATCCAAAGTAAATCCATTGACGCCATTACCGACAGACTAGAAAAAAAAATAACAGCTTACCAATTAATTACACATGTTTCATCATGGATTACCCAACCGTGCCATAAACTCCCATACTCCCAATTTCCTGCAAAAAACCAACTTTTTTTTTCTGCACATATACCAAAACCATCACATGCATGATCGGGTATGTGCTCCGAGTCCTTCCCTCCTTGGCGAATTCATATCACCCGTGTCTCTCTCTCTCTCTCTCTCTCCCACTCTGTATGGGTGTGTGTGTCTCCAGCATATCCGATAAAACTTACCAAAATCATTTCACAGTAGGAACCGTACATACAGTAACCAGCTGCAATCAAGTGTCGACCACTGCGAATCAAATCCTTCATGGACGGGTTTTCGGTATCCTCCACTTTGAAAATACCAAAAATGGTACCGATTGAAACACCACAATCAATGTTGGAGGAACCATCAAGAGGATCGAATGTCACAATGTATTTGCCGCGTTGACCATGATCCTGGATAACCATGGCCTTTTCATCTTCTTCGGACACGAGAATGCACGCTTTACCAGAAGCGATCAAAGCGTTGCGGAAGATATCGTTGGCAAGGACATCCAACTTTTTCACATCTTCACCCTGAACATTGGCCGCACCCGTCAATCCCAACCTGAAGAAATAGCATCTCCCTTTAGTACCTAGTCGAGTTTTTGGCTGTACTCTTTTCAAAAAAACCCTTACAAATTGATCAAACCGGCCTGCTTGACTTTGGAGGCGACGAATTTACAGCCAAACTGGATGGCTGTGAGCAATAAAGTGAGATCACCCGTCGCTTCGGGAGCATGCTAATCGATAATAAAGAGGGATGAGTTGGTACAACTTCTTTTTGGGATGGTGACACGACACGACTGTCGATGAACAGTGAAGGATATCTTACCTGTTGTTGTGCGATAACCCATCGGGTCAAGGTCATCAAGTCTTCACCGTGACCGACTTGAACAGATTCAAATTCGTTGGACATTATTGTATTATGGTTATGGGAGTTGAATAAAAATGGAAGTAAAAGGAAGAAAGGGTTGAAAGAAGAAAGAAATAAGTAATTTTATGTGAGAGGGTTTTTTTTTTCTTGTTCCGTTACCCCACGTTTGTGCATTTTATATAACATATGCGACAGTGGGACTGCGTGTTGATTCATTGTCGGAACGCGTAGGGTCAGATTTTCGTCATTTCTAACTCCGCACTAGAGCCATCGGCCTACGGTTTGTTGTCCTTCATCATTGGTGAGAAAATAGCTTACCGGTGCTTTTCACTCAGCTTGCACCATTCTATGCTTCGCTACATGACGTTTAGCCTAAAAATTACATAACATAGCTTGAAATTAAAAAAAAAAAGCTAAAAGTTGCAAGCTTTTTATAATTGTCAGTGACATCACGTTGAAAACATTATTGTCTTTACACATTTCACATGGGTTATTGCTATGCCAATAAGTGAACTTTTGGTCGAAACAAATAATTGGTGGAAAAAAATAGGATTCTCACACTGGGGCCATCAGAAAACCAGGGGAATTGAATCCGAACACATCCGATTGTCCACCAATCACCGAATGGCAATCAGGTGGCAAAAGCTGAGATCCAAGTTGAGCCAAATGGCAAAAAAAAAAGTCGCAAAGTGATGATGGTTTCCATGGTATCATGCCACAGCGAAGCGAAACAAGAGCGAGTCCTATCACACGCTATAAATAAATAAATACAAAAGTAAGATGATGAAAAAAAATATGCATATGGCGTTCGTACATTGTATACCTTTATGGCCAAGCACATTGACGGGAATGTGTATCTGCGTCGATTTGTCTAGGTTGTTTTCCTATATGGTGTCAGTTACCAGTGGCCTGCTCAAAAAAAAAAGCAGCACGGTAGTTGCGTAGTAATAGATTTGATACAAATATTATTTGTGTTTATGCTTGTCACTGCATGATTCATTTTTCATGAAATGAAAAAGAAAGAAGGTTTTCAATGTAGTTTGCATTTCATCTACAGGATCTGTACCGCACCTTTTTTTTTCTTCTTCTTTTCGGAGACACGGCTTGGCTTTGGTGTCCCTGTTTTGCCGCCTTGTAGGGAGGTCATAAACACGAAAAAGAACCCCCCCCCCATCTCCCTCGCGATCCAGTTATAGTTTTCCTCTTTTTTTTTTCGCCATGTTTACTGTATCTTGACAGTGCTCATCTGTGATCAAGGGGAATGCTGCAGACAAAATATAAAGCATCTGTATTACTCGCTTTCTTTTGTAGCCACTCTTCTCTTCTTCAAGAATCACACCGCCAAAAAAAAAATTATCCATCCTCATTCCCGATCTCTTTTTTATTCTTTCTCTATTATCCCCTTGAGCCATGTTATTCGATAACACTTATATCCCTTCACCCGAACTTTCAGCTATCGACTCGGACACGGGTAAGCACCATACCATCGCCACCCGATCACCCATCATTTTAATTGGATTCTGTTGTTTTGCGCAGACGAAATGCCCAACGTTCCTGAACAAGATATGCCGGCGGACCACGTTATTTTTGTTATCCATGTGAGTTGTCAGCGATTCTCTGTCATTCATCGTTTCCGTTGACTAACCTTTTTGAATGGAATATCAGGGCATTGGACAAGTACGAGAAACGGGTTTAAAGAAGAAAGACAACATTTTTACTAAACGATGACATGTATTTTTTTCATTCTCTCTTTTTCTTCTCGTTGTAGCAAACTGAAAAATATGGCTATTTTTATGAACATCGTAAGTGAACAAGTCCCTGCTGTGAATCTTAAAAGTGTTTTTGCATGATGGAAAATGAAAGTTTAAACGCCCAATTTTTTTTCTGTGATGGAATCTAGTCAACAGCCTTCGAGAAACGGCACGACAAGTACTTCAAGCAAAAGTGCCCAACCGCGATATGCGGATCGAGTTGATTCCCATCGAATGGCATAAACACGTGCACGAACAAGCCGATCCGGTGTTGGAGACCATCACGCTGAAATCCATGCCCACCGTTCGTCTAATCAATAACGAGTACCTGGCCGACGTGCTTTTTTACTTTTCCAGAGATCGAGGTCAAAGCATCATCGATCATTGTACGCATCTATTCAATTCGTCGTATCATAATTTCATGAAGAAGCATCCTTATTTCAAAGGCACCATCTCCATCTTGGGCTATTCGTAAGTCTGAACTTTTTTCCACGAAACTTTTGTGCTACAGCCGTAAGAGATGTATCTGACTGCATGAATTTTTTCACGTTACATTCCTTGCATGTGCATCTAGACTGGGTGGTATCATTACCTGGGATATTTTATCGCATCAACGGCAACCCACGAACGAGGTGGAAAAGGACGAATTGGCCAAGCTCAATATCCACTTTCCTCCTTTGGAGTTCAAACCGGACTACTTCTTTGCCATTGGCAGCCCTCTGGGGGGATTCCTGTCGGTGCGCAACCAGCACCCTAATACCTACCATCCGGAGGAAGACATCGTTTTTGAAAACATCTATCACCCCTTTGACCCTCTTGTAAGTACAAGCACCATCATTGACAACAATGAAATGGGGCTCGATTGGGAATCGACTTTTTTTTTTATGTTTTCTTGATATCCTTGCATGCTTTGTATGGAGTATGTTATGGACCCGGTTATTGAGGTTTTTTTTTCACCCCCATGACGGTTGCCCTATTTCAATGCCAGTTTCATTGTTAGACTAAAAATGTGTTGACATTGGTTGTTACTAGGCTTATCGGTTTGAACCGCTCCTGAACCTGTATTACAAGGATCAGCCTGCAGTTGTCATTGACCGGTCTGTGCCCCTAGGTCCTGGATTCATGTCATCTTTGACCGGCAACCTTCTATCTTCATTTTTCTCCTGGACGTCGTCATCCCTTGGATCGGAGAACAGCCTGCAGGAGTCCAACGACCATGGGTCTTTCAAGGAGCACACTGCATCATCTTTACCAACCGCGAGCACAACGCTGTCAGCAGGGGACAACGGAGATACCGGGGCTTTGAATAGTGGTGGTGGCGGCGGTGGTGGTCTATTTACAGCCATTAGCTCCTTTGTGTCGTCTTATTTCACCATCTCCCCTACAGAAGACGATGACGATGACGACGACGACCAGGAAGCGTTAAGCCGAGACAGTGACCACGATTCCATCATTGACCCATTATCCGATCCCAAGGACACCACTGACGAGCTTCCCAGAAAGTTTTCGCTGGAAAGCTGTGTCAGCGATACTGGAAGTAGTAACAGTAGCACGAGTGGCGAAGAGGACATCCCCGAAGAATTACCTCTGCGATGGAGTCGGCGTCGTTCGAGAACCTTGGGACCACTGGACGATATTCACTTTGAGCCGCCCCACAAGGAAATCCATCACGGTCATCATCATTGGATCGAAGTGCTGGGAATTGACGGGTTTGAATTAGCCTCGTCGGAGCGTGCCTCGATCAATTTCCAGCGACCTCCTGCAAAGAACGACCTTTGGGCGGATCTGAGCCAAGAGTTGACCCATCCCCCAGTGGCCGAACCGGTATTCGAATCGACCGTTCCTGATGATCCCCACGAGGAATTGAACAAGTTACCTGGCGGCCGTCGCATCGATTACATTTTACAGCCCGAATCGCTCATGGGCATGATTGCCAACGAATACTGGAACGGGATCCGAGCTCACTTTAGCTATTGGACCAACAAGGATTTACTGTGGCACATTATGACTCGACTAGAACAAGATTTATAGTTCTTTTTTCTTCTTTTCAGTTTGACAGGTCTCCCCAAGGTTGGGTCATCCAATTGTGTATTATTTTATTTTTTTTTCCCATCGTATACAAGTAACAGCACAAAAAAGAGAATACAAATCAATTTCCCAGGGGGAAAACTGAGCAATTTCAACAGTACCAGACTGAGGAATTGGAAGAATTGATACAAGTGGAGGGCATGGGGGAAGGGCTCACGATATCATCGATCATGAACGATGGCATATCACAATAAAAGGGAGTTAAACTTGACGTAGCAGCCGAAGAGGTGGAATGCGACGAAGTGGATGATGAAGAAGGTTGCAATGTGGGCATGGCGGTGGCCTGCGAAGTGGAGGTCGACGACGACGGCATGGGTTGCTGAATGTCGACCATGGGCCCCATCATGTTATTTTGCAGAGGGGTGGATGCTGCTGGCGAAGTCTCCATACTGTAGTGATTGGATTGGTTGTTGTGTGTCCAGGGATCGAGCATGGTCCAGTCACCCATGGAAGTCGATGCTTCGGTAGTATCAAAAGGCGTCGACGCATTGGAAGTGTCCATAGGCAGCCGATTGTAAAGCACTGAATTGCATTGCCAATCATATGCATGAGAACTAGGCGACGGGTTGTTATTCACTGGCATTAGTTGCAACGGCGGCGGCGGTGGTGGTGGTGGTTGGCCCGAGTGAGTCGATTGCTGATGTTGCTGGGACGAAGGGTGATAGGGACCGGGACCATGAGAGGAAGAGGAAGACGAGGAAGACGTGATCGCTGCAGTGGTCAAGGGAGACGGTGGATGCAAATACAAAGACAGACTAGGAGAGTACCTAACAGAAACTGATGACGATATCTTTCGATGTTTCAAATAAGGCTGATGTCCATCGTTTTTTGGAAAAGCAGAAGTGGAAGTCGAGTTTTCTGTCCGTGGTTTAGGAAGGGACATTCCAGCGGAAGTGGATGAAGAAGACGCCGAAGATGAACAGGTAGACGAGGAAGCCGCGGCTCTTTTCCCCCGAGCGATGCGCTGTTCTCCTCGCAAACGCAGTTGAGCAAGGATGGCTCTTGATTCTTGCACTTCTTGTTCTATCTTGACCATTTGTTTGGTAAGATCAGCTGCCACAGTTGGGGTCGATATTTGTGGAGAAGACATGCTAAATGCCGCAGTGGAGGAGGAGGAAGAGGATGTAGATGAATCGACTTGGCCACCGTGAAGGGTCACGGACTCGGAAGCGGAAGCGGAAGCGGAAGGGTTGGCCGACTCTATTAATGCACGTTGCGAAACTAAATCATTTTCTATGCGTCGAATGCGTGCTTCCAACTGCGACAAGTTATCAATAAAAGGATCGACATTGGTTGGCTGCGTATTACGAGACCGACGAGAACTGGGATAAGCGCACAAGACTCCCGTTGATAAACATCGGGTGCAATTGGGATGAAGACCATCACACCGGACCTATAATATATATGTATTCATCATGGTATCGACATGAAAAACAAAAACGAAAGTAAAGGTCATATTCCATGACAAACAAAAAAGAGAAGGTGTTCTGTTTATAAGTCCAAAGTGCATCTTTGTTTTTCTTGTTCTCGGATGGTTTGACATGTGCGACTGTTTTCTTTTTATACCTATTTTTTTTATTATTATTACCTTTTTGTGATGACAGCGAAAGCAGGCGATGGGGGCTCTTGGACGTTTGGTGGAAGAATGCATTCTTGTCATGGTCGAACGTTCGTCTGATTTCTTGGTGTGGGCCGAACCATGGGCTTGTTTGCCTGCAGTCATCACGGTCAAGGTTGGAAAAAGGGGCCCAAGTAAAAAAAATATAGAAGATGTAAAAAAAAAGGAAAGGAATGTGGATCGGGAAAAGACGAAAATCGAAAACCTTGCAGGTTTGTTTATAAATATAAAATATTAATGTCGCATTTTAACCTTGTGAGCTGAGGGAAGCGGATGATTCATGCGTTCAAACTTTTGATCTTGATGAAATCCATTTGCATTGATTAGAATATTAATTCAAAAAAGAAACCATCATTCAAGTAGCATCCTATATCCAATACGTCTCCTCCGTCCATGTTGCAATTTATCAACTGATTGCCTTATTTGCAACGTAAAACCCTATACCTTTTTTCGCCAAAAAAGAAAAAAAAAGAAATCTCAAAGATGGTTGTAAAGCATAATAATAAGAAAGGGTCAGCCAAAGAAAAACAAATAATCGAGACTATTTTACAGATCATGCTTAATGGTTCAAACTGCAATGATATCCTATTGCATGTCAGCTGCTCTTTTTTCTTTATTGTTTCTATCCATTCAACCATGATTCGAACGATATATATACAATGTCGTCAAACAGTAAGAGCAAATTGTTTATGTAATATGGGTAGTACTGTAGAGACTTTTTTCTTGCTTTTTTTTTCTTTTTTACAAATGGACAATGGGGAACGATCTAGGCAGAAGGATGACATGGATGGGGTTTGGGATGACCGTTGGCTCCAGGACGCCAAAATACCTATCACTATTCCACCATCACACGCTCAAGATGCACTATATTTTTTGATCTGCATAAAACTCATGCAAAAAAAAGGACACCTTCTCACGATGATGAGTTTTCCCATGTTCTTTTTCCTTGCAGCTAGAAAGGATGGGGGAACATCGCAGGAATAAAAATTACATTACTGCCTATATTCAGCTGTCAACTTTGAAGCCACGGTGCCGTTGTACATCCAAGAATAGAATTGACCTCATTGTTCTCTCAAGTGAGAACTAGGAAGTTAATTGTTCGAAAAAACCGCAATGGTGCCTTAGATGATTTTGGGTGGATGAAATTGCTCTATTGTGAAGAAGCATTGGAAGGATACGACGGTTTAACAAAAAGGGGACAGACGATATATTGAAGATGGCCAATAATAAGTAACATAGGGGGGAAAACATTGAAGAGAGAGGGAAAAAAAGAGAGAGATAAGATATGAATATTAGTGAGATTCAGCGATCAGGAAACGGGACAAGGCTTGATGATAAGGGATGAAATACAATAATAAGGACGATGACCACCTATAAAATCAGTATTCTCTTCCCAAGTTGCATGGTAAAGGTTGTTTTTTTCTGAGTTTTTTCTGTCTTTTTTTTTTAAGCAGCTCTGTTTAGACGCTTTAACATGCACATCCGCCAGCTCCGCGACCATTGGCGCCACCTTCACGCAAGAGATCAATTCGGGGATTGGTTTGACCAGCGCCCGATCGAGCACCAGGACGACTATACATGATATATTCCAAGGGAATGCTTTTGGCTGAAATTTTTTGTGAACAAAGAAAAAAATGTGAGCCATTGTGTAACCGAAGCAACTTGTTTCTTTCCTTTTTTTTCTACCTATTTCTGTGAATACTTGATCCACGTTGAGGGCGGTTCGAGCGCTCGTTTCAAAAAATAAAAGGCCGGCCTCTGAAGCATAAGCGGATGCTTCCTCGGTCGAAACTTGACGGGTCACACTCGCTGTATCATCGCCATCTTCTGCCTCTTCTTCGCCTTCCACCAAATCAATCTTGTTTCCCACTAGAGCAATCACGATGTGAGGATTGGCTTGGCGTTGCAGTTCCTTGACCCAGCTTTTGGCCTTTTCCAAAGTCGACTAATTTGCAAAATGACAGTGTGAGCTCCATGCATCTAATGATACATCGTGTTCCCTTTTTTTGCTTACGCTCTTGGTCACATCGTACACCACCACTGCGGCCTGGGCATTGCGATAATACATGGGCGCCAAGGAATGGAATCGTTCTTGGCCCGCTGTGTCCCAAATTTCGTATTTGATGGTGCGATCCTCCACCGTGCATTTTTGAGTCAGAAAGGCCGCTATAAAAAGGGCAAAGATTGTCATGTTAAAAAGAGTCGGTGGTCAGATACTCTCGTGAGCAGAAAGAAAAAAAAAAGGCAGCTCGGATGCACCTACCTCCAATGGTGGGTTCTCTGTTCTCCACATAATCACGATTCACAAACCGAATGACCAAACTGGATTTGCCTACTGCCGCTTCACCTGAAATAGAGTATCGGTCAATATAACGCTTTCCACATCATCTTTCTTCTTCAGGCTTTTCTTCCCAGATTTGTTATTTTACCTAGTAAAACCAATTTGACATTGACGGGCTTGGTATTTGATGCAGTGGACAGAGATTGAGCAGGATTATTATTTCCCGTCGCTGACAAATTGCTGTCGACAGCCGGACTGTATGGTGCTGAACTTTGTGGTGAATTGCTGGCCGACATTCGCTTTTTTACAATGTGGTGTTGTCTGAACTGGGAAAAGAGAAAAGACAAAAGAACCAAGGATTTTTGAGTGTCGGAAGTCCAAATCCACGTCACTCGGGTTTCGGTTTGGCTCGGACTTATGATATCATTGAAACTTTTATTTTGGGCGTTCGCGCATGACCCGCCCGAGCCCTTTCGTTTTCCTTTTTCCTTCTTCTTCTCTCGAGCTAAAAAAAAAAGCACCAAGTGAGAAAACAAAACACTACACTTGATAGTCCAATATGCCTCTTATTACTGCTGAAATGAACATGGCGCATGCCTTGAAAGAAGGCGATATCATTCCTCAAGGTATGTATACAAAATTGAAAAAAAAGACCTTGAATTCGTCTCTATGCCAAATGCTTAAAGCGTGTATGTAGTCCTGGACGATGTATTTACTCCTGCCACCATGTTGGAAATCAAGTACCCCAATAACAAAGAAGTGCTTCTTGGCAACACACTCACTGTAGAAGAGACAAGCGAAGCCCCGGTTGTCAACTTTGCTCCTCCGGATGCGGATGCCGAATACACCCTCTTATTGGTAAAGCACGCTAATTTATAAGAGTCAATACTACAATACTGAACAAATACATCATCCTAGGTGGACCCTGATGCTCCGTCAAAACAAGACCCCAAGATGGCACCCTGGAGACATTGGGTCATAGTGAATATACCAGGTAAAGCTCCCTTTCCTTCTATATTGACGATGCGGCTATTGGGAAACAACAAGATGACTAAAACGCGAGAATTTCGCAGGATCCCAGACCACCAATGTTCAAGCCTCAGCTAGTCAACATTCTGAGTACTTTGGACCCGCACCACCACCTGGCACTGGTCCTCATCGTTACATTTTCTTGTTATATAAGCAAGCCAACAAAAACAACTCCTTCCAAGCCATGTCCGCCGAACCTCAAGCTCGCGGAAAGTTCGACTTTAAGCAATTCGCCAAAGATAATAATCTCGAACTCATCGCCGTCAATTACTTTCTCTGTTCCAAAGAGTAACTTGTCAATGCAAAATAAATAAATAAAAACAAAAAGCACTCCCACTGTCGTTTTACACCATGCTAAATATTCTCCTGCAATGCATAAATACGATGGCCAAAATAAAAATGGGAGTCATTGCTTGCCAAACTTTGAGCATCACCATCTGCCAGCTAGTTTCTCCAAGATTGAAAAGGCGTGAGAATGTAATACGATAGTTATCATATCCATAGCGACTGACAAGAGCCCTATAAGCGTGTACAAAGTCCACTGTGAGCCAACAAGCAATAAGCAAATGTGACCCTATATTATGCCACTAAGCTTAACATCTAAAATGGTTGACAAACATCCAAAAATCAGTTTCCTTGTTACAAGGGTTCTTAGTTGTTGTACATACGACTTGTCGCCGCAGATATAAAAAAAAAAAATTGACCAGTGACATTGATTTTAGATTAGCTGTGACATTAGTTGTTGGAGCAGTCATCAGCAAATACGGGGTTTAAATTGTAGGTGACGTTGACCGGACAAAGGAAAATTAGGTTTTTTTCTCTGTCTGGTGCATCAAACTGTTGCTTTATCGTCGGTTAAGCATCTTCCCATCGTACCCTTTTGTCTGTGTAAGTATAAATGGGGAGGTTTCGTCTTGGGAAAGAATGTACATTCTCTCTTCTTGGTTTCTTTTTCTTCTTTTCGCATTATTAATTCCTTCTTTTCGATTGCCAATTTACCGATTTTGCTTCTCTTTTTTTTTTTGTTTGATGGTTCGTTCAATTCTTCCAGTAGATCTAGTTTCGTTCGGATCCGTTTGTTCCCAGCCATCTTTTTTTCCTTGATCGATTATTCTTCTGTGTAAGTTGATACGCTCACACTTGGATGGCCCGCTTTTTGTCCACTGCTTCACCTTTTTTTTTTGGCCTTTTTTATTTTGTTTTGTCGCTGTGGACCTTTGTGCGATGCTGCTCGATTACGTGCTCGTTTTCTACTTTCGGCTCATTCTCTAACTGTCAACGTTCTTCTTTTTATTTTCTGTTTCTCTTCCACCTCTGTTTTGTCGCGCTTTCGTTCCAAATTTGTGTGTGAATGTGATTGGGTGTGCCATTTCCACTCTCTCGCTTTGCCTTGCATCGTTTCTTTTTCAAAACCTTTTGCGGTGCGCGCAATGATTTCTCTTTTCCAAGTTAGTCCTTTTTGCGATTTCTTTTCATGCTTTTCTTTATTTTCTTTTTTTCTTTTTTGCTTTATCGGCAATCTTTTGGGTTGTGGATTTCCTTGAAAAAATACTGGAGAAAAAAGGAGAGAAAAAAAAAAAAAAGAGGAGGGATGTGAGGAAGGAAAGAAGAGGTCTTTAGGGGTTCAACTTTTTCTTTTTACTCGTTGAATGACCAGTGACTGACATGTATCGGTTTTTATTTAATCCAGCATCAATGATGATCACCGCAGACCTCTCTTATCATGAAACGTGCAAGCGACTATGTCGGTAGCAATGGCAACGATATCAACAAAAAGCCAAGATTCACTCAACAGTCTTACGGGTAAAGCATTCTCATCCATGATTTCCCGGGGGTGACAGCAGCCAAAAGTCTACTTTTGATCGCCATACTTATTTTCTTTTTCTTTTTAACAGTGACAGCTATGGTCAGTATGGTACGATGAATCCCACAACTGCTGCGATGATGATGGCGCCGCAATATGCGACTTCAGCTCCCTTTTCTGGTCAAGCCAATGCCGGTACCTCAGCATTTCCTGGAATGACCCCATTTGGCGCCGTCAATGGGTCAGTATACAATGCCGGTATGGCCAATTACAACGGAGCTCAATATGCTTCCATGACCCCCACCGCTGGCATGACCGGCGTTTATCCGCCGACGGCATTTGGCGCCTCGCCTTTCCTTGGAGCGGGTGCAGGCATGCCAGGCACATCCGCGGGCAACGAGCTCAGTCGAACCATTTACCTCGGCAATGTAACCAGTGACATCAGTGCTACGGAGATCCTGAATCAAGTCAAGACTGGCCCGGTGGAATCCATCCGAATTCTTCCCGAAAAAAGTTGTGCTTTTCTGGCCTTTGTCGATACAGGCTCGGCACAAGCGTTTTATCAAGAACATCTTAGCAGGAAGATGACGGTGAATGGGACAGATCTGAAAGTCGGATGGGGTAAATACAATCCGCTTCCCAGCGCAATACAATTGGCCGTCCAGGCGGGAGCGTCACGCAATGTGTATCTGGGTCATCTCGACGACAACATCACCGAGACACAACTGCAGGAAAATCTTTCCCGATTCGGCCAAATTGATCAAGTCAAACTCATCCGTGAGAAGCGAATTGCCTTTGTCCACTTTCTCAGTATCGCCTCGGCCATGAAATGCGTTACTACGCTTCCCACCGAATCCGCCTGGGCCGGTAAACGGGTGAATTACGGCAAGGACCGATGTGCCTACATTCCCAAAGCAGGTGGTACCGATCCTTCCGGCTCTTACGGTATGGGATTCCAATCTCCTTTCCAGGGCGCGTTTACCTTTGATGCATACAGTGGTAGCGGCAGCAATGTGAATCCGGCTTCCGCGATGGTGTCATCGGCTTATGGTATGCAAGCAGGTAACATGATGGCTACCACGCCCATGTTGCGCACACTTTATCTGGGCAACGTGTCGCCTGACGCGACGTGTGAGGACTTGTGCAACGTGATTCGAGGCGGGTTGCTGTTTCAGATCCGATACCTTCAAGACAAGCATATTGCCTTTGTTACATTTATGGATCCCAGTGCGGCTGTCAATGTATATAATCAAGCCAACTGCAACGGTTTGGTGGTGAAGAATCGACGATTAAAGGTGGGCTGGGGAAAACCTTCCTTGATACCGGCCAATGTATGGGTTTCCGTTCAAAGTGGGGCGTCTCGCAACATCTATATTGGCGGCGTGGAAGATTCCATGACGGAAGAAAAACTACGTGAAGAATTTTCGCAATTTGGCGAGATCGAGCTCGTCAATATGCTCAAGGAGAAGAACTGTGCCTTTGTCAATTTTACCAATATCCTCAATGCCATGAAAGCCTTGACCGCCATCAAATCGAATCCGGCCTATGCAAAATACAAACTTAACTACGGCAAAGATCGATGTGCGAATCCGCCTCGACGACCTCCGAACGGTCAGCAATCCCATCAACATCAACATCAGCAACCACAACAACCACAACAGCAACAACCAACACAAGCTGATTCGAGCTCGACCGATGGTTATGTAACACTCGATGATCTTCACGAAACAGACGACCATTAAAATTGCACCTCATCGTGTGCCCCGATCATCCTCGTCCTCATCAGTTCACTGAATTAAATTATGGGACTGTAATTGAATTATAAGGATTCCCATGATCCTCATAATCCTGATTGCTATGTTGCTTGTTATCCCCCGTTTGACGAGTAAATATTCAATAATGGGTGGAATAAAATGACACTGGAGAAAACAACCGGATCTAATTCCTATCTCATTCCTTGTTTTTCTTATTATTATCTTTGCATGACATCCATGATCATGTTTAAGGTCTTTTTCAAGACATACACAATTTAGCCAACCATTCGGTTCAGTTGAAGAAACTGTAAAAGATCATAGCAAAAGACAGTGAAAAGGTACAGGTTGTAAAGATTACACCATTCACCTTAGTACGGGGACCAATGATAGAAAAAAGAAAGACGTAAATGGCAGCATATGTATGAGCTATTATAAAATATCAATGATTGCAAAACGTTATCAGCGATAAGCGCCCTGTAAGGTATCATGTGAAACTAACAGTTTTTCATATCGAAACTCGATGAAGACTTATCTCTACAGGCGCGTTCCCAATGACCTTTAAAAAATATCCTGACAATACTCGCGGTATTTTCTGACACCTCAGTTAAGAGGTGGTGATGCCAACTATCACGATAACGTTTACATTGACACCCTTTGTGTATTGCACCGTCTCCTAATTTCAATGGATGTGGTACCACGTAAAATCAAAGGTAAGCTTGTAATTAATCACAAAATTTGGCATGTTTTATCACTGGCACTCTACCCAGGCACGCTATTATATGCTTCCGAGACCGCATCGAAAGAGTAAAAATCGACTTGTCAACTGGTCGGAAGCTTTTCAGGTCGATTTCATATGATATTGCAAATAACGACGATAATCTTTTAATCAAGCGATCTTGAGGAACAAGGGGGACACAACATGTAATGTGCTGCAGAATTTTCGACGAGACACATGCATTTTCCAGGAACCCCAAGTCCACGATCATAAATTTCAAAATCGAACGGATCAATACAGAGTATCGTCTCAATGCCATTAGAGTAAAAGGGTAAATGTCGCGAATCGAAATCATGTGAAATATGAAATTTCCATTCTGTAAAAATACGAGATGACCCGAATTAGGCGAAATTATTATCGTTTATCGACATTTATGAAAAAAAAAAAAAAGAGTTGCAAGGAGGAATCACGGTATATACCGTCTTAAATTAGAGTGATGTGGCCAGAATATACAAACTACAAGAAGTAATATGTCACTTTCTTCATTCATCTTGTGCCAGATGCGTTATCACACAGGAACGACTTCTTTTTCTCTTCTGATGCCTGATTTTACAACAAGTTGTAAAATCATATACTTGGAGAGCCAACAGGTCACTGATGCCATTGTTGGTACAAAAATGAGATGCTGCAAGATAACAAGTGCTTATCAACTCAACAAAATGAAAATCTAGCCTTGCAGAAAAAAGCTTTTTTTAACGGATTTCTGTGGCTTAAATCAGATGGTAACCAAAGCAAATAAAAAAGATGACAGGCCTAGTGGCCCTATTCTTTTCATCTGATCATCAAAACAACGCAACGCAAGCAAAGTAAAAGCAAAGCAAAAACATAACAAAGAAAGACAGAGTGGATCGTCATGTTAACACAAAAGACATACCGTTCCTCTACGGTCTAATGGCTTAAACTGGTTTTGTTAACGCGACAAAGATGCAGATCTGGTAAGAAAAACGGCGCTTAAGGTGGGTGCATGAAAGATGAAGCTAATCCCAATGAGGATGGTTGGACGATATGGACATGGAAGAGATGCAGATCTGAAATCAAATGATACAGATAAGCAAAAAGTCAACAGAGATTGACGTTGAAAATAAACAATCATATGCAAACGGGATTTATCACACCTGGCGATATCTAAAAGGGGGAACCGCGTTATCAAGAAAAAGCGGGTTTGTGCGGAGGCTTGTGTTATCAATAGCCAATCATTCTCCTTATCTCTCGGAACCGCCCCATGGTATGAATTGATAAACGATAGGATTTAAAAAGAGAGACTTTTTATTTTTTATTTTTCCTTATTTCGTGTTTTTGTTTCTTTCATACTCCTTGTCTTTTTGCATTTTTTCCTCCTCTTTTTTTTCTTTCTTTTTGAATTACTTTTTCTTTCTTTTTTGATTTTGTTGATTGGGGAAAATTTTTTGAATTGAGTCACGGCAATTAGTTTATCCTTCTGACACGATGACGGTCAAGTCGCCTTACTACAATAAACCCTCGACTTCCACGAGCGTTGATTCATGTCACAAATGCCCGTTAATAAACGTCAGTTGCCAACCAGTCAATTCCGCCTTGCCGGTTGCAAACGATATGAATTTACAACTCTCTCCTCAAGTCCAACGTCCCAACGCTGGCTTCGAATCCATGCAAATTATCACGCCTTCTAACGACAGCTCCATGATTGTTGAACCGTGCAGCTCCAGTGCTGCGACCTCGGATATTAGAAGTGGATCGTGTATTTCCTGTTCGAACTGTGGTATTCAAACCACCCCTCTCTGGCGACGATCTCCTCAAGGTCAAACCATCTGCAATGCCTGCGGCTTATATTTGAAAGCCCGCAATACTACCCGACCTCGTTTTCTCAAGTGCCGAAGCACCAAGCGACGTACTACCCCACCCAAATTGCTTGCACCTGCACTTCCCTACCCTCCTACCACTGCATCAATAATTCGTCCTCCTTCATCATCATCCTCTCCAAGCATACCAACCACTCACGCGTCTTATACCCCAACAACGGTGATCGCCGCAGTACCTGAATCGTCGTCGACGGCCCCCACCCCAACCATCCCACGTTCCCAAAGTTCCCCCGACCGACATCGTACGACAATCCCAACGGAAACGAATACATCAGCCGCGGCCTCGAACTTGTCGGCCACCTCAACCATTCCAACGGACCCAGCGCCGTCGGTTACCACCACCAACCCTACCACCAATGACACGTTACGTTCATCTGCATTGCGATGTTTTAATTGTCACACCCACACCACCCCTTTATGGAGACGGGACGAACAGGGCCACGTAATCTGTAATGCATGTGGTTTGTATTTCAAATTACACGGTATCCATCGTCCAGTGAGCATGAAACGTTCGACCATTCAACGACGAAAACGGGTCACGACCTCGTGGATCAGTGTACGTCGATCCGACTTGTCTCTGTCGTCGTCTTCGTCGTCGTTGTGTCCGCGGCATGAATCTATTTCTGGACACAAACCTTTACTAGAAAAACGAGACGCTCCCCAGCTCCACATGACGACAATGTTACCAAGACTTTGCGATAATGGTGATGCGAAACCCGCCACGACGACGACAGAGCCCACCATCACCACCAGCGGTTCAGACGGTAGTACTAATGACGAAACCGACAAGCAATCCGAGGTTCCATCGCCGACGCCATCGCCATCGAATACTGCGACATCCAACACTGCGATACCGAACACTGGTCCAACCAAGGCGAGCATTGCTTGCCTACTCAACCCCGCTCACCATGACGAGACCCCGGTTTCGAGAGAACCATTGAATCATGTTCCACTTTCGGATTCATCTTCAGCCAAAGCGGCTGCGGCTGCATTTGCCGCCATGTCCGCCATTTTAAATCCCTCAGTCAATCGTCAACATACGCATCAAATGCTGGCAGCTCATCGCCATGAGTTGCAGCGGGAGGTATCTAATCTTACCCATTTATTGAGTCATACTACGGCCATGCTTCAGAATTTGGATGATGTGATGGAAACCATCCATCCTTCCGTGGAACCTGGCGTAGCCAATGCATTAGCGTCCCTTTTACAGCTCTCTAGCACGCGATTTAGTTCAGAAACTCATGTCTCCGTGTAATATTTTTTTTTTGGCGTTAAATTTTTTTTTTTCTTGGTCTTCGGGTTCGGACTGAACTCAATGTCTAAAATTACATCACGCCCTTTTGCCTTCCGCGGAAGCCCAATTTGCTTGTGGGAAATTTTCAGAAATTGTGGGGAAATAAGAGCCGCCCGCCAATCAGCATAGGGACTTGTAAACGCGGGGAATGCGGGGGTTGAATATCATGTGGAACTCTCTGTGGAGCCATTAGGTCCGGTAAATCCCGGTTCGTCATGGGGCGGATGCGTAGGACTTTTATGCATTGCTCGTTTGCTATTTGGCGCATGTTGCCCAATAAGAAAGTGAAAAAAAAACGATTGATCATCAGGCACCACCGATGGCCTGGAATTGGAATGAGAAAAAGAAAAAGGATAGGGTGTCTGTGTACAGTTGGTATCACCTTAACGATGCAAATGACTCACGGTAGGCAAAAGAAACTTAAAAACGGGGCTTAGGTAACTCCACACAGCGGGGTCGAGAACCGTGGTGCAATAAATCATTTGTCAGGCCAATGATTTTAGCTTGCCAAAAATATTAAGCGCAAAGACCCCCACCCACACCCCGCATCGCGTCGTATTCACTCTGTCACTTTTTTTTTTCCCTTTCCCAATATATTCTCTTGCCTTCTTTCAGTTTTTTTTTGTTTCCTTTTTCTTTTCATCTTTGTCGTCTTCTTTATCATCTTTTTCTTTACTTTTTCAATGCATCATTAGCATCTTCTTCTTCTTCTTCTTTTTCTTATTGAACATTACCAGAACCTCATCCATCAAATTACCCACCCCCTTTTTTCCTTTTTTTTTTTTTTTTACTACACAACCACTCATACACATCTTTTTCATTCATATATACACATTCTCATTGTTTTAAAATTACTATGGATTTCGATTCAAATTTCCCCCTTTCTCCTTGTCCTACCGCCAGCGTTTCTAGTCACAGTAGCAGCTGGGATCCACTTCCGCCACTTTACAGTGGCCGCGATAGTGTGAGCAGTGTGTGTGATTTTGACGAATTGCAGGAATCCAGTTCCATTGAAGGTAATATTTTTCAGTTCCATTTGCATCTTCCATTACGGAAGGCAAATTTTAATTGTATTTTATTTTTTTTTATTTCTGTTTTGAAATATGTATTATGTGTTATATGTGGAAAAACTATATACTCAAAAAATTTTACTTGTTTCCTTATAAAATTAGATTATCATTTTTCCATGAGTCCACGACAGGATCTGGCCATTGCTATTCCTATGGAGGACATTGATGCGTTGGAAAATCGCATGAACCTGTTGGATAATGACGATCAAAAATCGTTTTCACAGTTTATTCACATGTTTGATCAAGACAAGTCTGCCGACCCTTCATCCACGTATCATCCGTATGATGGCCAACAGAACAACCAAGTCGCAACAAACGATGATCGGCTGATGACGCTCAAGGTAAGATCAAATTAAAATTTTTTTCACGTCCCCATGTTCCTCATAACAAAAAGACTAACCTGATCATTGTAAATTAGACGGAAACCGACCATGACAATACCATGTCCATTTTGCAATCGTTTGAGTCAGTGCAACAAGACCGCCGCGATTCTGTCTCGGTCGAAGACATGGACCGTAAGCGCCGTTCATCGTCTGAAGCCAGCCGTTCGCCTTCGCCGGAAAGAAAGCGCATCAAGTCCAAGGAATTGCTGACGGAAGATGAGAAAAGAGCCAACCACATCGCCTCGGAACAGAAACGTCGCAACACCATCCGTACCGGATTCAAGGATCTCACCGATATCGTGCCCACGCTCAAGAACGTGAACAATTCCAAGAGCACCATCCTGTTCAAGGCCGTCGACTACATTCGCCAGCTTGAAAAGCGCAATAAAGGGCTCCAAGACCGTTTGGCCAAGCTTCAGTCGCGTATGGAGGCCAAAGGACGTATGGAAGCTTTCCGACGCCAATCCATGGTCATGGGTCAGGACAGCTCACCCAAGCACGGTTTATTATCTCATCAAGCCATGACCGCTCTGTTGGCTCACAAAGACCAGCAGAGACAATTGGAAATGCTTCAAAAACAGTTGCACATCCAGCAAGAACTGTTGAAAAAGCACAACATTACTGCGCCCTCATCGGTTCCTTCCTTTTCCATTCCAAATACGCAACCGGAAGTGGCCGATCAACCCCCCTCGTCTCTCTTTTCTCGTTTTCAGCAACAACAGCAACAACAACACAAGCAGCAGCAGCAGCATGTCACGGCTGCTCATCCATCCTACAACTCCATCTCTATCTCTTATCATAAGGAACCTTCTGCATCAGCATATGTAAATATCAACGGCATCAACTCTTATCATCATCAAAATGCACCAGCTCTAGTGGTGCCTGCCACCGAGGAAGACGAAACCCACTATGCCTCTGATTGGCCACGCCGGAATTCATTCATTAGTATTAATGTTCCTAGTCTCAATATCCCGGCCGATGAGGAATACAGCAAGGACATGGCTTTCCGGGAACGACTCTTAAGTTGCGGTAGATTAACTCATTTACAAACATCGTTGTAAAAAAAAAAGAAACATTTCTGTCTTCTCAACCATCTTTTTTTCTCATGCCCCCTTCCTCTTATTATTGTCCGTTATTTTCTCTGTTTATGATATGCCAACTCCTAAAGATTGCACCACACGCCATATTAGGTCATGTTGTATTCCATTACTCTTAACCAAATGCGGTTTGGTGTCGCATTTCGAAAAAAAAGTTTTTTCTTTTGTTTTTCTACAATCTCTCTCTCTCTTCTGTGTTTTCCCCCATTTAGCCTGATACCTACCATTTTTTTTCTCCACACTTTTTTGATACTCCGATAAATTTATGACGTTCCACTTATTCTCTTTTCTGATTGGATCAAATTTTGAGCCATTTTTCCTCCGCGAAGGGACAGGTCCTTGCTGTGGGGAGACGATTTTTTTTTGTTGAATTTTTTTTTTTTCAAAGGCTTGGCAATCAGAAGGCTTGTAAAGCGTCTTGCTTTTCCTCTGTACGGCCACATTCTAACTCAGCTTGAGTTGGGTCCACTCACTATCTAGTGCACGCATAAAAAAAATAAGCAAGCCAGGAACGTTGGCCTATTGAAGGGTTGGGAAGTGTCATGGCTCGTGTTCATCTGTTTTCCATATCGCCCCGTAACAAGCAAACAGGCGACTATGCCCATCAACTTGCACAGCAAAATAGGCCGCCACCACCCAAAACCGAAAATCTCACGGTCGACGAAACCCACTCTCTGGATATCACAGCGGTACCTTCACCTAGTTCGGCCGCTATTTCTCCGCATCATTCCCCTCGAATACAATCCACAGATGCGCTCTTGCGCAGTCGGCAAGAAGATGCCACCAACAATAATACCGCGGCTCTCACCGCCGCCTTGTTACAAAATACCCCAAGTAACGCTGACCTGGTGGGCGCCATGGCAGCGGTCTTGGTAAGCAAACCAAGTAAGTAGGCCGTGTGACACTATCTTTGTTGCTCTTTTGGATGGTGGGAAAAGAAAGTAAGAGGCCACATTATCAGAGAAAAAAAGAAAGGAAAATTGCAAAGACCAAAAGAAATAGACAAAAAAAGAAAAAGAATTTTGCCAACCACCAAGGCAACGATGACTGGTTCACATCGTCTTTTTTTTTTTTTTGGCAAGGGAAAAATTAGACAGCAGCAAGAACAACCGTAAACTGAAAACCAAAGATATTCTAGGCACATTACAGAATCTGCGAGATCGTGCTGAACAAGCCTCGGTGACCGAGACCAAGGGCAAACAACAAGAGCAGAGCACCGATTTGATGGAACAAGCCGCGGCCGCAACCGCTCTCCAGTTATTGGGTTTGGCCCAGACTCAAGCCAAACGTGCAATACCCACTGAGACCACCAGCGAAGAATATAATCATATAGGTAAATCACCCATGTTTCTCTATGATAATCAAGGCTAACGTGACTGGAAAATGCTCACGGCGTCTTTTGTTTTGTTCAGCCGAAGCAACGGAAGCGTTGGAATCGCACGATGACATCAATTACAAGCGTGGTAGTTGGACTCGGGAAGAGGACGAGCTTTTACTGATAGGTATCAAGCGGCACGGATACGGTCGGTGGAAAGAGATCGCCAGTACCATCCCTGGACGAAAAGGCAAACAAATCAAACAACGCTGGGATAATACTTTGGCCGCAAAATACGTGGATCGCGAATGGCTTCAAAACAAAATGAAAGCCGATGAAGAACACCAGGCCACCGAAGATCCTCATCGACCATCCACCTCCCCACTGCGATCGCTTTCCCCGCCGACGACGGATGTAAAGCCGGCGGTGGCATCGTCCTCAACGGCGTCGACGTCGGCAGCACCACCATCATCATCATCACAAGAACCCGAGGATAAATCGTTGAAATTATTGGAGCCGAGTGATTTTTATGAGGTTATCCAAAGACTGGCCGAGAAAGCTAGGGATGCGAATCAGGAAACGTTGGAAGCGTTGGTGTCTCAGGCCCTACTGAACGGGGTGGCATCGACCGCCGCAGCCGCAGTCAACGCGACATCGACATCGTCATCTACATCCCCAACGGCCTCCTCTTCCCCTTCATCTACTGCTGCCGCTACTTCGGCGGCTCCCGCGTTACCTCGACCTCCAGCACCGACGTTCAATTTTGCAGATGCAGCAGCTTTGGCATTTTACGCTCAACAATTGCAGCAACAAAGCAACCAAGATAATACCAATTTCCTTCTTACCAATCCCTTCCAGAATGATCAAAATGGTCTTAACACATCCAGTACGGTTCAATCCTCCGATAAACGACTTCATAAGCGGAAACGATCCGATCCGGCTTTAGCCGAAACCCAATCGGCCGCCATGTCCATCTATGCATCCTCTGCTCCCATCACGACGACCGTTGACAACGAAACTCACACGGTATATCCATGCCTCTTCCCAAATTGTGGCAAAACGTTTGCCCGACTCTACAATCTCAAAAGTCATTCCCGAACCCACACGGACGATCGTCCTTTCTCTTGTCACATCTGCCACGCTGCATTCAGCCGAAATCACGATCTGAAACGTCACGTTAAAATCCATGGCGGTGAAAAACCGTACCACTGTGCGGGATGTGATAAAACATTTTCAAGGTAAGGCATAGGACATGGAAAAAAAACGAACGTGTATGGAATCAAGAGGCTGAGTGTTCTGTAGGTTGGATGCTTTAAAACGACATAAAAGCAATCAGCGTAGTAAACCGGCATGTATGGGCGCTTGATTTATATCATTCAGTACAGTGAGTTTTTTTTTCCGTCCAAAGAAGAAATGCGTGTTTCCCAGCGCTACTTGTGATTTTTTGTGGTTGATATGGTGTGTTTTCTCCTATTCTTTGAAAACATGGAAACAAAGAAAAAATAATCACGATAAAACAATGACAAGTATACAATAAACATTAATGAGCAAACAAGGCAGCCAGGCAAGAGGGAAAAGAAAACTGGAGCGAAAGACAATAGCTAGGTAATAATAGGAAAAAAAAAAAGACAAAAACAGAGAGCAAGTGATGGTGGGGGTGATGTGAAGAAAATAGAGTGAGGATCTTTGTGTGTGCGAAAGAGAGAAAGAGAGAGGAAGGGGAAGATTATGGGGCGTGCAAACGGTGTGAGGGGATAAAGACGAAAATGAGGGTGGTGACAAAAGCGATAAACAGACCTGCAAGCAACCACAGAATCCCTCGTCTCTTGTGAATTCGCTGAACAGTCTTGTCCTGGACCTGAACGAAAATAAGAAAACTCACTTCGCTAGAAAAAGGAAAAACATGAATAATGTCGCCATGTGAGTTCAAGCCCAAACAAATCCAACCAATTTCTGATTTTACCTTTTCGTCGTGAAAGCGAGCCACCATGCAAATTCGGTAATACTCGTTATCAACGTGGACCAGCCAATCAGAAAAGGCAGTAATCCCCACCATCGCGTCGCCATGGTACCTGAGGCGGTGAAAATCAAGCCTAGTTCAAGAGCAAAGCCCAGCACCAGCATGAGCAAGGCAATGATCATCAACAGCTTGGCCGTCGTGGAGACAATGTTGGTGTAAAGAATGCGATCCACAAATTGAGGATAATAAAAAACGTTGAGGATTTCAAAGACATGGGATCGAGCCGAATCGAAGACGATGGGTTCCGGGCGTTGATGCTTTTCGATCAGATCGTCGAGCGCGGCTCGGTGATCGTTGGGTAGATGGATGGGCTGCGCGGCGTCGAGAGCACTGCAAAAAGTCCGATAGATGCGCGTAGCATTCTGGACGAGATCATGCCGACTGAGCGATTTTCCCGGGGTACGTGAAGCGTAAGTGAGTTCCATGTGACGAGGCGTCAGTGGTGGCTGCATCATTAAGCTGTCCGTGTCGGGAGTCTCAAAGTACATGGTATGTTGCGTAGGACTGCGCGGTAATTCCTCGGTTTTTTCCACACTGGCCAGAAACTGGGACAGTCGTTCGCTGCCGGACGTGGTTTGTCGACGTTGCAGTGCATTTTGAAAGGCTTGCCACAGTTTTTCGTGGGTTTCGACTTCCATTAAGAAATTGAGATTTTGTTGCGCTCCTCGATGTCTCAGGAACGTGGCAAAATTCGACTGAGTCAAAGGACTCAAGGTGTTGAGACGTATCATCTGATCCAGGGTCGGTAATCCGTTCACCCGCAGATTGTAGTCCTTGATCTCCTGCCACGCTTCCATAGGCGCCACGGCAAAGGGATCTTGGTAACCGTAGGTTTTGTGATGAAGTCGGCGATAAGTGGGGGTGCGATTGGGAGGTTCCAAATCCGGTTGGCTCAGGTACGGGTTGTTGGAGTGACGGTGGGACGATGAACGATGCAGATCATGCAATGGGATCGGGTGATTTTTCTCTTGCATCTGCAAGTCAAGATCGCTCCTCAGAGCTGATTCGAGCCCATGGGAATGAAGACGACTGTTGGCTTGGCGGATACTCCACTGACGTTTTGGGGAGTCTCCGGGGCTGTCGTCGAGAATTTTGGCGTAAGCCGACAAGGTACTCTGTTGCTGGAGCAACGACGACGGCCTCGTTGCGTTGTCTTGGTTGAAGTTCATAAAGGAAAGGGAAGGGAAAGGAAGGCGTGCTTTCCACTCGAATTGTGTAACAAGAAATAAAAAAAGGAGAACCGTCTATACTTGTGTACAACCCAAAACGAGGAGATCTCACTCCGAATCATCAACGAGCATTCTCTTCACTTTTTTTAGTGTTTTTTCGTCTTTTTTTTTTTTTTTTTTTGGTCGAATTGATTGTTGATGCGAATTTAGACACGGTAGCCCTTTCGGCTCTCTTTTACTTACAATCAGATTTTTTTAAGGTATCTGATTCCGTATAGGGACAATAGAGTCTGTGAGAAAACGGGGTGGGGAGGCGAGATAGAGGGAGGCCCTGAAGCTTTTTTTCAACAACAACCAGAACTCGAGTTGTTGGTGCCATGGTTCACCATCCGATCTAACTGAATTGGTCATCGAGATGGTAACATTTTTCATGATGAACCAAACTGTCGGTGGTACTCTATTTGATTCCATCTTGCTCAAATTGAATGCATCTTTTTGTACTATATTTATCTCACTTTCATTTCCGTCATTATTTATTGATACAGAAAAATCAGGGGCCACGATCTGCATCTCCATTGACATTGGAGTAACACTCTCATTGTCTAGAATAAAGGATCTTCAATATAAACTCGATTCGAGCTACTGTAAAAACACAAAGAATGGTCAACAGAAGATTCACATTCAAGAAACCTACAATGGATTCTTCTTTTTTGTATATCATGTAAGCAAGGCCTATAAAGAGTTTTTTCTAGCTGTTTTTGGATACTGTAATTCACAAAGCTTACATGAGAGCAAGTTCCTCAATACCACATACCTACTACTACATATTCATAACAGAGCATTGATTACTCGCGAACAATAAGACGATCTGAGAAAAGAAATTTTTTTTATACCTGAAAAATCGATCAATTAGTACAACTCACACATCCTCTGAAGAAAGATCACCCTACTGCTCCACCGTAAGACTAAGAAGATATCTTTGCTTTCCCCCTGATCCTTTTGATGCAGATTTAAAGTGTCAGCGCGGACCGAAAGGATACTAAATTTGTAAGCAAGGCGTCGCCAAAAAAATTGGATACATGCACAGGCCTGCGAATTTCCGATCCCACGAATTAAAAAAAAATGCCGTCCTAGTCTGAATATGAGCGATAGCTACTGAGACTATCCAACGTCAAAGGCTTAGCCGAGTCAGTTATACATTGGTGATGAGTCACACCAAACGAATGGCTCTATATTATCGTTTTTGTTACTGGGCAAAGATGCCGATGCCGCACAGGTAGACAGACCCTATGCTTTTGGACTATCTGAATTTGGATACCCTGTGGCAAGAACCACCAATTTAAAGCGGTCACTGTATGTCTTTTTTTACCGAGTGGGCGCCTATCTGACTAAAATAAATTTATGGAAGACGGTTAAGTAAATAGGAAAGGAGTAAAAGCGTTCATAGGCTATCAAGAGGAAAACGGTCGATTTCGGCGCCTGCTTCCAACACCATAACCGGTAAAATTGGGTTACCAAAGACTGGAATCAAGCATGCACTTCTTTCAAGCCAATGCTTTCTCAAGCTAAACGACACGACAAACTCATAATGTTACCCTTTCTGTTGTCCAAATTCGCTGCAAATGATTGCCTTTACCGTCGACAGCACAACGTTGTCTTGCCATAGACGTTGTTCGATAAGTCGTCATCCACAGCGTAGCTGACACACCGTCAATACAGCACGATAGAAAGTTGAATGCTTGCAATTTCCACATGATCAAGGGAGAGAAACTGTCGAGAACATATTTCTGCTATGATCAATAGCTATAAAGACGAGATTGACCTGCCCAAAGGGTGTTTGGGCGTGAAGCAGTTTTTTCAGCCACAGATGCAGCGGGAAGACGGGAACCTGCTGAAGTCTTTTCCATTTATAGAAAAAATAGATGGAACAAGCATGGCCAAAATGTCCAACTTGACTGCTGAGAGTTCATTGCAGACTCCCAGATCTCAAATAATCCACCAACCTTCATGAGGGAAGAATTTGTCATGGTTGGTGGTCCGGTAACTATTCAGTATTCACACAGTGGCTAAATTAACAGGGGTGTGCCGTAAGAGTTGATTGTCACGATAAAGAAATCAAGTCTCACATAGAAGATCTTCATCAAGCCCGACGTGTGAGCTTGATGCTCATTGAACAGCATCCCCAGTTGCTGAGGGTTCTTCCCAAAACTTGGTTCTCCGATTGAGCGCCGCCAAACTGGTCGCATAAAGATTCTGAAGCTGCGAAACTCATCTGGCGCGAGAAGGAACATTCATTTACTTTATTGCATTTCAAATGTGATTACCTCGAGAGGTTGTCAAACGGGTACCTGAATTTCCGCCAATGGATCGCTTCAAAATAGTGTCTAGAATGGGTTGTTTTGAACCTGATACCGATTAAAATAGTCTGGGATTCCCAAAAGCACGCTTCCGCATACCGTGTTGTATGGCAGAGGGTACCTGTCTTTTTCGTAGTTGTCATTATTAATCCAATAGTCAAATACAGGCTATACGAGTAAGCCTGGGGAAAGAGGGATGGAAAATAGGCAACTGGCCTCAATTGGAGCAGAAAAAAAGTCGTCCCACGTAAATAGTCACCTGCACCGGTGAACCAGACGGAGCATAGACTGCAGTAACCTAGTCAAAAATTTTACTGTGCTGTTTAAGTAGTTTACCTTAATAGAATGACTAGTCTACTTTCTCAACAGCTTTTCAAAAAGGGACATTCGGAGGGAGACAATGGGCACCCGTCATTGGAAGATAAAGAATACTCCAAAGATACATAGGAAGTCAGTTCTTCTTTCACTGGGTAGGGTAACTGCGCGACTTGGAAAGTGAAAGCCAGTCTGTCCGAATGCGCACGAAGGCTATTTTTGTTCAACCTGCGAATTGCCAAGTATGGGCAAGAGTGTACATTCGGAGCCGCGGTGGCGGCGTCGGATGACTGGCTGACGATTCCGTGCTTTTTGCTGCGACTCATCTCAGGGAACTCGATGGAATTTCTCTGCACTCCGGCCCTCGATTTTCATTTTTTTTTTCACACTTGTTCTTTCTTTCTGAGATAACTAGTTTTTCCTTTATAATTGTTTACACTTCATCAAGATGACAACAGAAACCAAATCCCCGGTAGAGAACACCGTTGAAACTCCAATGGTTGAGGCTCCCGTTCAGAGTGAGCTTGAATTCAAGGTAAAGGAAAACGCGTGTGGGATGGCGTGGAAAAAAGCATCTGGTCATTGACAAGCATAAATGTGCTCAATTCCAGGTATTCGTCGGCAATCTGTCATTCAAGACAGAGAAAGACAAATTGGTCGAGTTTTTCAAGACGGCAGGCACTGTGTAAGTACATTTTGTCCACATTCATGGGCACTGGAGCTCCTGCTCGAGATGGAGGGTTTTCTAACCTGGTGATATGGTCGGGGAATGTCATAGTGAGGATGTGATTATTATCAAGCGTTTCCGCCGATCGCGCGGTTTCGGATTCGTTTCCATGTCTTCCATGGAAGAAGTCGAAAACGCAGCCAAGACTCTCGATAAAAAGGAATTGGACGGTCGTCCAATCAATGTGGAAGTCGCTCGTCCGAGAAGTCCTTCGTCTCGCGATAGAAGCAAGAACACCAAGAAGCCCAGACGCCAGAAAAAGGTAAATAGTCATATGAGAAAGCATACAGTACCGGGAATAATGTCCGTAACAACCCACGTTTCGATGACAGAGAAGATCGCGTAAAGCGAGAGCCGCAGAGACGTCCTCTGACAAGACCGAATCTGTCCCTGAGACCAAGCCAGAGGCCGAGACCAAGGAACAATCTGCATCTTCTGCTACTGAACAAGAGGCAGCCCCTGCACCGAGTACTTCTATTCCTGCTGGTAAAGTGAAGACTGGTAAAAAAGCGACACGGGCGGCAAGGCTTCCTCCGAGACCGTTGACTGAAGTTTCAAAGACGGCGATTTATGTGCCTAACTTGCCATTCTCCGTCAAGGATGATGCCTTGGCTGAACTTTTCAAGGACTACAAGATCAAGTCGGCTACCATTCCCAAACTTAAAAAGTACGTATGAGCTCATCGGGGGGTTGGGACGTAACCGTAGGCGTTCTTAGCGTATTCGGAGTTGAGGTGTTGATTTTTTATTTCTCTCTTTCTTTTTTTAGTGGCCGTTCCAAGGGCTATGGTATTGTGGATATGGAATCGGAAGAGGAACAGAAACGGGTGCTGGAGAATTTTGGTGAGGTCATGGTGAAGAACCGCAAAGTGACGGTCAAGGTGGCCATGTTCCCCGGTGAGGAGACTGCAACCGAAGTCGAAGCGACGGCTGCAAAGGACAATGACCCCGACGTCAAATCTGACACCGATAATGGGAAGGAGAAGGAGACAAAACCACAAGAAAAATCCTTGGAAAAGGAAAAGACGGTCGACGCAAAGAAAGATGAGACCAAGGAGAAGAACACAGTGCAGGATAAGAAGAGCAAAGACCAAGAGCCTGCAAAGGAGACCAAGCCAGCTACAGCGAATGCGACCAAAAGTAGTGAAAAGAAAGAGTCAGCAACCAAAGCAGACGCACCCGCAGATAAACCCGCAGATAAACCCGCCAAGTCAGAGCCCAAATCAGAAGACAAATCAAAGAAAGACCTGAAAGAAACTCCCATCGTGCAGGCCGTGAAATCCTAAATCATTCCTAAAGGACAACTTGCTCTTTTTCTATTCAAACAAACTCTGTTTTTTTAAAAAACGAAAAAAAAACCTGATATCCTTACGCGACATGCTTTGAATTACTTTCTTCTTCTTTTTGAAAAAAAAAGAACCAAAACCCCCTTCCAGATGAATCAATAAAAAACGACCTTTCACAATTTTTACTAGTCAATTGAGAAAAAAAAAACATAACATATGAGTTATATTTCAAGATTCGCTATCTTCGTTTTGTAGGGGGAAATGAGAGAATAAGGTGTGAAGGAAAAAGTGACCTGGGAAATTACGTATTCAATGACTTTTCTTTGTGGTAATGTTACAGCATTAGTTTTTGACAAAAAATCGTCGCTTTAGATTCATCAACATTTTGCGTCGTCGTTTCGGTCGAACGTCTTTTCTAGTATGGGTATCGCTACCGACGTCTAATTTATAGAATTGGGCCAGTTTTTCTTGAATGGCCGTGAGGTAGTCCGGGGCGTCATCGTTGAACAGGGCGGTTTGTTGATCAATCGAAGCCCAGTCGATATTCCAAGTCATCACGTTGCCTCCCGTAGGTTCCAATGAAGGAGGATGAAATGGACGCAATGTTCGCATGTAATCAGCTAGGACTGTTTCTGTATCTAGAAAAAAAAAATATTTTTGCCATGTCAATATAAATTGCCACAGTTTTCCGAGTCATGGTAATCCATATTTACTGTTGGGTTCCTGGGATTTCCAAAAGTGATCGTGATCGTCCGAGGTTAAGCCTAGTAACGGCCGATGCAATGAAAAAAAGGCACTGTGGGCTAGTTGACTAATGGGGACATTGACGACGGGCATGAATGAAAAGTCGCCAGAGTGTCTTGCCTTGTCTTCTGAGCGAGTCGATGGGATAAGGTTGTTGGACTTTTTATTATTTCCTCTATAGGATGAGAACAGGTACTTCGACAATGCCACCGCCCGTAATGCGACCGATTGCGACCAGCGGCTCGTTCCACCTGTCCGAACGACGAACATGGGGTGTCGCAAGTGGGGTAAAAAAGAAGAGAAACTGCGGATTTTTCTTTTTCGGTCATTGTTCCTTGATGAGCACTGGGCTCACTGACTTTTTTTTTTGCTTGTTCACGTGACTCGCACCAACAGCAACATGGAAATTTTCTTGCATTCTTTTTTTTTATGTGTTGACCAAAAGAAAGTTTGAGCTATCTAAAAACTGCATGGAAGCAGGGGAGGGGAAAAAAAAGCAATAATGAATACATGGCTGCTGTATCGCCGAAAAGCTGCATATGTGGTCCTGGCACAACGGAAAACAGCAAAACCATGCAGCAGTGGTTTATGCCTATCTAACTCTTTCGATCTATCGATCTGTAAGGTGAAAAAATGTTCAATTGAAGATAATCCACTTAAGCGTATAGCCGCCATCCAGGTTTTAAAGTAAAAATTATGTTATTGCTCACAAAGAAGAGCAAGAAACACTTTATAATGTAAGAGATTCAAGCAGAGAAAGAACCTGTAAAAACGTGTGCAGATAATGACATTGTCTGCTTTTGAAACACCATTTATCGGAGCAATGATTATATACGGGGTTTGATAAATTGAGACGAGGCAGCAATCATGCTCCAAATATTCTTTCTATTAAAAGTCAGATCAAAAATTTTAGCCAGGACAAAAGAGCCAATCATATTCCTTTTCGGTTGCCAAAGAAACAGCATCCCATTTTTTATTTTTTATTTTTTATTTTTTATTTTTTATTTTTCGTTTTTGTCTGTTCGCTTCAAAATGCCAACGATAAGCAGGAATCAAGCCATTTGCATGCTTTATGGCGAAAAATATACCGAAGAGAACGCTGCTAGGCTTTTCAAGAAAATCGATGGTACAGATCTCGAAATTTGTTATCTTCATGATCCTACGGAACCAATCTTAAAGTCAAAGATGATCATCAACTCCAACTCCAACTTCAAATACCGTCTCTATCCTGCTTTTTTTGACAACACAATGAAATTCTAATGATTCCGACTATCCTTTTGGTTATTTATTCATATTACTTGCAAGGTTGGCGTTTTGAATAAAAAATGCATGAAATTTTACGGGTAAACTTTGCTTCTTTGAAATGAGGCAATTCGGCAGTTGAATGCTTGCAGCAATTCATCGTCCTTCACCAATTCTTTGCAATCATAGACAAGTATCTCGTGGGTGTGCGGCAACTTATCGACAATGATTTTTTTGACTTGGGGATGGGATCTATTTGACTTGAATTTTTAGTTATTCTGCTTCTTCCTTTCCTTTTTTTTTATTACCGCAGAAATTCCCTTAGATCGTGGGTATTAGTTGTTAGGCCAGCGTGGTCCAAGGCGACAATGCAAATCTTCGATTTGCTGGCAATGAATTCCAGCATATCTAAGGTGGACATATTAGACATTGAACATAATTGAATGGACGTTTTACCTTGGGTATTGCCAAGATCATCATCATCTTCGACTGTTTGCTTGCGTTTTGTAAGATCTCTACTGCAAAACGGATCGTTCGCTTTGCTGTGCGTCGAGCCAAAGACCACGTCCACCATTGACCTTTGCTTTAAATTATCGCACATTTGTTGCAACAGTTTGATTCGTTTGGCTTCCTTGTCATTGGTCAATGATTTTCGGACATAGCCGACGATCGTGTGACCATCCTTCTTTAGGCTGTGTAGAAGGGCTTGGTGTTTAGGGAGATGCTCTGCAATGCCTTTGGCTGTGTTGTCTGTAATATATACCAAGAGATTAGATTATCATTGTAAAAAAAAAAATATTTTCAATGACCCTTACTGATGAGATTATTTTTTAACACGAAAAGGGTTCTCACATTCATCCTGTCTCCTGTGTTCGTCAGCTTTCGTTTTGCGGGTGCCTTCAAAAAATTCAATTTTTTATGGGTACACCACACAGTAAATGCTTGGAGAGTTTTTGTATCGAAGAACGCCGTGTATTGCCAAATGCTGGCAAAAATTTGCCTCATCGATACTTGTTGACGTTCATACATGTTTTCGTTGCCTGGGTCAGATGCAAGGTACACCAAGTTGAGAAAATGAACGATCTGTGATTGACATGCTTAAATAAAAGTTAGACTACACTGGTAATAATATGTTTCATTGCCATAACTTACTGAATGAGATCTCCACAACAGTTGATGTTTCATTGCTTGTTTCACATTCTGGATACTTGTTATATCGAAAAGGGTATTGGTTGACTTTTTTCTCCCAAATCAAGATAGGTTCGCTGGGATCATGAAGGTGACAGATTTCGAGCTCTGTACCCTCAATCTTCTTGAACAGCCTAGCTGCATTTTCTTCGGTGTATTTTTCTCCATAGAACATGCAGATTGCTTGATTTCTGCTTATGGTTGTCATTGGGAAGAGGACGATAAAAATGGATGCTGTTTCTTTGGCAGCCGAAAAGGAATATGATTGTCTCTGTTGTCCTGGCTTTTGTCTTGGCTTTTTGTAAATTCTGTTTGGGATCGGGGATTCAATTACAAGTTACGTGCAATATAGCCTCACTAAAGCCAAACAACAAGGGCCGCAGTTCTTTTTTGTGGAAAGAGAAACTAATCTATTTTATTAATCATTTTGAGGATATTTATATAGTCTATTTGTTCGTTGTGCTAGTGTGATCGGTGTTGGGCAAAAGTAATTATTAGCGGTTGTTGTTTGAATTGTTGGGTGGTTTGGCTGAGGCATACATGTCCCCTCCTTTAGCAGAAGTTCTCGTATACCAAGGCTTCAAATGGACCACGTTGGCGGTAGTAATTGTCAAGTGCTTTTCAGAAATTTGGCGTTCATTAACATATTGGATTAGACTTCGCGGTTATTTTTCTTGATTATCGTCCATGATCCCGACCAGCGTTCTTTGGGGGAAGTCAGTTTTTCCAGGTTCCTGTGGGCCACCAGGTCGTCAGGCATGTATAAGGTTTTTTACGGCGGGACCTTTGTCATAGAATTTTTTCTTCCGTTCTTGCGCGTTCTTGATGTGGTCTAAGGCTTGTCCATGTACGAGTGGGTGGGGGGAATGTCATCCATGTTCGGATTCGCACGTTTTCGGGTCCGAAACGAAGCTTTCGATCGAGCTAAGTCGAGCGCGTTTACAATACATTAACTCGAATGGCGAAAAGTTGGGGGACGATTGCCGTGCAGTGTTGTATGCGAATGTTACAAAGGGAAGGAATGTATCCAATTTTGTGGCTTTCTTGTCCGCGTAGGCAGTCAGTCCAGTCTTTAGGGTACGGTTAAAGCGTTCAACTAGGCCATCGGTCTGAGGGTATTCCACGGAAGTCAGGCTGCGAGGTATACCCAGTCGTCGGCATACAATGTCCATTGCGTCCGCAATGAGGTTTGCACCGTTATCCGTGATCAAGCGATGTGGTACTCCATACTTGAGTGCGGCCTCGAATAATAAGACTTGGACGACGTGGTTGCTGTCAAAACTCGGTGCCGTAATTGCCCTATTTCGTAAGGTGTTCTTATTACGAGTATGTATGAGTTGACTTTGCTGCTCTGGGGTAAAATGGCTATATCGGCGGCCCATATTCCCCCTCCCCCCCGCGAAATGAGGGAGGATCGGCTTCATTAGGGCTGCTCGTCGTCGAATCGTGCTGATTTTATACCTTGGCATTGTTCACATGTCTTGATCCATTCGTTCACGTCGAATACCATCGTCTCCACCACGCAATTTGTCGTTCCTTTTCTAAGGTTTCGTTGCGCCGAAATGTCCTGAGGTCGGGCCGTTATGTGCAGTGTAGAGGACTGTTCGAACCATTTGGCGGGGCAACACTGGTACTGTGGGTTCCTCGTGATCTTCTTCCCTTGCAGAGAATTCCATTTTTACAAACGAAGGGTTTCTTGACGTCGTCTCGTAGGAGGTTTATTTTCGTTGTCGTGTCGCTGTAGTTCCTTAAACTGATCAATCGTAGTGTCGTTTTGCTTCTTGATCGTTCTGCATTATGCGGCTAAGAGCGTCGACATTAGCGTGTCCGTTGCGGTGGATTATTGTAAACTGAAAACCTTGAATTCCGAGGATCCATTGTGCTATTCTTCCGCGTGGCATTTTCGTCGATAGGATGCTTTTCAAAGCGGCGTGGTCGGTATAGATCGTGAAATTGGCGCCGTAAAGGTATGGATAAAATAGTTGAGGGCCCATACTATCGCTAGGCATTCTTGCTCGGTCGTGCTGTAATTGCGTTCAGTGGTGGTGAGTGTTCGGCTGGTGAATGCCAGTGGTTGAGCGTCTTGGATCAACGCAGCGCCTAACACATGGAGACTGACGTCTGTGGGTAAAGCGTAGGGTCGAGACGGATCCAGGTAGGCTAAAGTGGGGAGGTTCAATAATAGTTGCTTAAGTGTTTTGAATGTTCGTCAGCGAGTCGATTCCATTCGAACTTCTGGTCTTTTCGTAGTAATAGATAAAGCGGGCCAGCAGGGCTTGACAGGTTTTTGGTGAAACGATGATAGAATGCACAAAAGCCCAGAAATCTTGCAAGTTCGTTGGGATCGGCCATTCGGCGATCGCTTTCACTTTAGTCGGGTCCGCTCGTATTCCGTTGTTACTAACTAGTTATCCCAAGTAGCGGACCTCTTGCTGGAAAACTGGCAGCTTTTTTGGAGAGATCTTGAGGTTATAGTTGGCCAATTGGGATAAGACTTGCTCTAAATCGGTGATATGTTGTGGAAATGCGGTGCTGTAAATAATGAGATTATATAGGTAGGCCATGACTCGGGGCATGGTTTGGAGGATTTTCTTCATTAACCATTGGAAGGTAGCTGGACCATTCACTACTCCAAAGATCATCACCATGAACTCGTATACCGCGGCAGCGATGAAGGCCGTCCTGCACCGGTCTTGGTCGTCCATATGGATTTGCCAGTAGCCCGATTTGAGATCGATCGCTGAAAAATATTGGCTGCCGTTTAGCTGGTCTAATAGTTCGTTGATCCGGGGACGGGAAACTTGTCTTTTCTAGTCACCGTGTTGAGGCGCGGCAATCCAAGCATAATCGTAGGCTTCCGTCGGGTTTCTTGATTAACACTACTGGAGAACAACAGGAACTGGTACTTGGCTAGATCATTTTTTTTTTTAGCATTTGCGCTACTTCTTTTTTGATCGCGTCGTCTTCAATCGGAGCTCGTCAGTAGTCTCTGGATACAAGGATAATTTCTCTTTCTTGTCGGTGGCATGTCGTACATTATGTTATGCACTGATTTCGGAAGGATCAGTGCAGCTGGGCAAGAGGGTAGTGTTAAGTGCTTTCGCAGGACAGGAACAAGACAAGAAAAGAGTAAGAATAAGAAAGGAACAAGGATAAAATCGGAACAAGAATAGAAACAGGAACAAGGACAAGGACAAGGTGGAGAACAAGATAGTACGAGAGAATACACAATTCATGACTGAGGTTTATTTCATAAAAGAGACCGGATATCTATACTAAAGGGTATGAAACAAGACAAACAACGACAATAAATAAATAAACGAGATGCAGAGCATAACATGAGGTGACGCATGGATAACAAAAGGAGGAGGGACAATAGTAGGGAAGAATACAGGAGCAAGTATAGGGGTAAGCGCATGGACCAGCATGGCAACAGTGAGGAGCGCTTGAGCCAATATACACGTGGTCGTGCATTGTTGCCAAGACAATGCGTGCTCGGGAATGGTCATGCCACACAACGAGAACATCGGACGATTGTAGTATTCGACATGGCGTGAGTTGAAGCAATAACAATCTTTTTTTGCTGCAAAGTGTAGTGACAATTCAGAAAGATCGCACGGTTTGCACCCTCATAATCGGTGGAACAGAAGAAATTATCTTTTATTCCCACAACAGCACTATGTGAGTGACCGAAATTTGAAAAAAGGCCTGATCGAACTGCTTCGCACACACAAAATAAAATAAAGCTGAACTGGCACAGCCTTTGACTGACCCGAATGACCCGTCCCGAGCCGAACTGCTGGTCGACTCGGTATGGGCCGTGACGCGGGTCATTTTTAACGGTTTGGGCGGTTCAGGCTCTGACCCGACCCGACCTGACTCGAGAAGCAACCCTGGCCCAGGACAAAAGCCAGGACAAAATAAGCCAGGACAAAATAAGCCAGGACAAAAGCCAGGACAAAATAAGCCCGGACACAAAAGCTAGGACAAAAGCTAGGACAAAAGCCAGGACAAAAGCCAGGACAAAATAAGCCCGGACACAAAAGCCCGGACAAAAGCCAGGACAAAAGCCAGGACAAAATAAGCCCGGACACAAAAGCTAGGACAAAAGCTAGGACAAAAGCCAGGACAAAAGCCAGGACAAAATAAGCCCGGACAAAAGCCAGGACAAAAGCCAGGACAAAAGCCAGGACAAAATGAGCCCGGACACAAAAGCCCGGACAAAAGCCAGGACAAAAGCCAGGACAAAAGCCAGGACAAAATAAGCCAGGACAAAAGCCAGGACAAAAGCCAGGACAAAAGCCAGGACAAAAGCCAGGACAAAATAAGCCCGGACACAAAAGCCCGGACAAAAGCCAGGACAAAAGCCAGGACAAAAGCCAGGACAAAAGCCAGGACAAAATAAGCCCGGACACAAAAGCCGGACAAAAGCCAGGACAAAAGCCAGGACAAAAGCCAGGACAAAATGAGCCCGGACACAAAAGCCCGGACAAACGCCAGGACAAAAGCCAGGACAAAAGCCAGGACAAAAGCCAGGACAAAATAAGCCCGGACACAAAAGCCCGGACAAAAGCCAGGACAAAAGCCAGGACAAAATAAGCCCGGACACAAAAGCCGGACAAAAGCCAGGACAAAAGCCAGGACAAAAGCCAGGACAAAAGCCAGGACAAAAGCCAGGACAAAATAAGCCCGGACAAAAGCCAGGACAAAAGCCAGGACAAAAGCCAGGACAAAATGAGCCCGGACACAAAAGCCCGGACAAAAGCCAGGACAAAAGCCAGGACAAAAGCCGGACAAAAGCCAGGACAAAAGCCAGGACAAAAGCCAGGACAAAAGCCAGGACAAAAGCCAGGACAAAATAAGCCCGGACAAAATAAGCCCGGACACAAAAGCCAGGACAAAAGCCAGGACAAAATAAGCCCGGACACAAAAGCCCGGACAAAAGCCAGGACAAAAGCCAGGACAAAAGCCAGGACAAAAGCCAGGACAAAAGCCAGGACAAAATAAGCCCGGACAAAATCTTTGTATATTGAGAAAGATCAGAATTTTTTTTTCTTTACAAATTAAAGTCTACTCTAGTTTTTATATCGTTGATTTAGTGTATCTCCTTGGCTTTTGTCCTGGCTTTTGTCCTGGCTTTTGTCCTGGCTTTTGTCCGGCTTTTGTCCGGCTTTTGTGTCCGGGCTTATTTTGTCCTGGCTTTTGTCCTGGCTTTTGTCCTGGCTTTTGTCCTGGCTTTTGTCCGGGCTTTTGTCCGGGCTTTTGTGTCCGGGCTTATTTTGTCCTGGCTTTTGTCCTGGCTTTTGTCCTGGCTTTTGTCCTGGCTTTTGTCCTGGCTTTTGTCCGGCTTTTGTGTCCGGGCTTATTTTGTCCTGGCTTTTGTCCTGGCTTTTGTCCGGGCTTTTGTGTCCTGGCTTTTGTCCTGGCTTTTGTCCTGGCTTTTGTCCTGGCTTTTGTCCGGGCTTTTGTGTCCGGGCTCATTTTGTCCTGGCTTTTGTCCTGGCTTTTGTCCTGGCTTTTGTCCGGGCTTTTGTCCGGCTTTTGTCCGGCTTTTGTCCTGGCTTTTGTCCTGGCTTTTGTCCGGGCTTTTGTGTCCGGGCTCATTTTGTCCTGGCTTTTGTCCTGGCTTTTGTCCTGGCTTTTGTCCGGGCTTTTGTCCGGCTTTTGTCCGGCTTTTGTCCGGGCTTTTGTCCGGCTTTTGTGTCCTGGCTTTTGTCCGGGCTTTTGTCCGGCTTATTTTGTCCTGGCTTTTGTCCGGGCTTATTTTGTCCTGTCCACAATGCTGCCTCGTCTCTTTATCGAACCTGTCCCAATCTCATTCTCTCCGTTGGTCATTTCAGGGTTAATCTCGCATTCTTAGCGGTGTTGGGTTAAATGTCGAAACAGACAACCTACGTAATGATCCAAAACGAATGTGCGATTAGTGGAAAACGGTAAGTGGCAATCAGACAACAACAACAACAAAAAAAAAAAAAAAAAAAAAAAAAAACCAAACCAAGAAACAAAACTTTCGAATTACTTTTTCTTCACACTGTTGCAGGCTCATGTAATCCTCTGGGATAAAGTGTCTTCCTACAAAAACCTATAACGCTTAACCTTACTCTTTGCCACTGCCCAGAATTGTTCAATTGGGTTAAGCTTTGAGAGTAAATAGGAATGGCCTTTCATATGTGGGTTTTTATGAAACTAATGTAGTGGCCTGCAACGGTCCCTAAGCTTATGTATCCATCAGCCCTTTTTGGAGGCGTTGGGGGGTTCACACCAACTGTGATCAAGCCTGCTGCAGAGATAGCACCCAATTTAGACGTTGTGTTTACCCTTGTAGTAGGCCGGGTAACAATAGCACGAGTACCTTTTGTGGACCATGCTCTTGATCGTTTCATTTTTATGTCAAAAGCACGCTCATCAAGAAGCATGCAATTCGTTAAAGATTCATGTCTGTATTTTCCCATTTGCAAACCCAACCGTATCGTTCCTCAATCTTCACTGGGCTATTTCTTTCGACAGAATGAAAATCAGCCTCCTTCAACGAAAGGTTGCACTCACGTCTCATAAGTTATGAACGGATCTGCGTGATGCTTTAAGATCTGAAGTCTCTTTAATAAATGCTCCGTCACTTCAACAACAGTAGCAGAGGGATTAGCATCAATGCAAGTTGGTACAGCTGTTTTATATGCTCTTCAGTTAAGGTACACCTACGATCTACTTTTTTTTACAGTTCTCAAAAATACTGTCAGGGCAAAGCATTATACCGGGTGACCCCACCTATAAGCTGTTCGAACATGAATGCCCCAACTGGTTAGCTACAGCTGCTGCACTCATACAGTTTACAATCTTCAGATCGAAAAAACCTTATCCTGGACCGTGTAACGCCACATATTCTCGGCTTACAATATGGATAGGTGAGAAAATTACCAATCTAACAATCTGTGGCATTTCATGTCTGAGTGGACTCTCGTATCCATGGCATTCTGTATGTATTCAAATGATTTCAAGAGAAATTTCGATAATATTGACATTGGAATTGCTTGCTCAGTCTTGGTTTGTTATATTCAGCCTAAGTAATGAAGTCCAGGAATTCAAAAAAAAAAAAAAAAAAAAAAACCATCAGTGTCTCAAGGTATTTTTGATGTTTTTGTTTGACAGAATTGACCTGCATTGGATTGATATGATTAAAACCGGATCATTGTGTCTTGAAGACCCTGTAGATTCGCTTTATTGAAAATCCAGGATGACAATCACGATAAGAATATTACAGTATGTCACTTACTTGAGGTTCGGGTAAACTTAAAAATCGCTGTATATCATTTCAACAGGTAGGTTTCAAATAGGGTGATGCAAGAAAAGAAGACATCAATGACGCAGCAGATGAGCTCCACTCTCTCAGGAAAAAATATCAAGATAGTTTATTTTGATAATAATTTTGATTATATCCGCAAAAGTGCTTTGGTACGATATTGATACTTTAACAGCATTAGCAATCGATACAGATTGCGTATATATAGCAAGGCGCAATGGTTTTGTAATGTTATATAAGCACAGAGGGTGGATTTGGGAACAGCAGACTAGTAGATCGCTGGATATTTTGAACTGCGGTTTTCCTTCCCAATTGAAGTCCGATAGGGTCCACAGTTTTGGGAAACTGAAACTAGACTTGATGAACGATCTGCAAAAAAAAGGAGTGTATCAATGGTGTTCCGTAATAGCAGCATTACAAGTAAGCTGTTGTATATTTGGCGGAGGAAATTCCCAATTGTATATTGTGGAATAAAAAAAGAGACAGGTTGATGCAGCGGCAAACCCCGTGGATCCACGCGGCCTTGCCGCACCGCAGCTGTCATTGATGCCGGTTTTTTTTTTCTTTTTTCATTTCGAAGTACGGGAGACGGACGATTTGTCAGTGATTTGAATGTCGACTGTCATCGCCGATTAAAATGGGATCCAAAACCGGAACCAAATTGAGCAGTGCTTGCTGGCTTTGAATGGTTTGTAAAAAACAGTTACACAACTCGCTTATTCCAACACAGTCGGATATAGGTTAGTAAGCCCAAATTCAGTTGATGGGCTTCCACCCTATCGTAACCAATCTATCCTGAATGTCTTATATTTCTACATGCCAGGCTGCTGTATCTCTTAATCTTCCAAGGCAAAATAATGGCTTGACATTTTCGGATTTGGGCAATCGCCGTTGTCCGGTCAATATACGGTTGTCCACAGCGCCATGTCGACATGGATACGTCAGCAATAAAGCTTAGTTGGTAAATTTTATTGTGTGGTGTTTGACGGTTGATGCAAAAATGATCCAAATAGATAGAAATTCATGCCTTTTTGCTCACCATGAAGGAGTAACAAGCAATCCCAGATGGATCCAGTCGAAATTTCATTGCCAATCCCCAAAAGAAGGAAAAACCAACGAAATAGAACAATATATTCTGCTTTGCATGATAGAATAACATCATTGCAGAATTTTGATTGGGTGTGCACGTACGATTGCTTCATAGTGAAGACATCATTCTTATTAGCGATCGACTTGTAGTTAACGGCTAATCCTTCATGCCATCTGATGGGTAGTTTTGTGACACAACACGATTTAGATGGCAAGAAACAAAAAGATATCAAAATAATACCGACTGGAGCTTTTCTCTTTCGGAATCCAATAATAGGGTATCATGGTTCACTGTGCTGATCGACTCAATTACCGAGGACACAAATTACCCAATTTAATTTACGCCAACCTTGACCCAAAAGCCATGCAGGGTAGAGACGACAATGGACAAAAAGGAGGATGATTGCATAAAAGAATAAAAAAAAAGGTCGAGTACCGACAAAGTGATGGAACGAAAAAATAAAAATGTCATTCAAGAACATCAGCATGATTATGGGAAGAAACACGATCTATCTTTGTGTAGGAATACTTTGTCCAGTTTAGATGAACAGAATCCTCCATTTAGCAATGCCGATCGTCGGTCATCCCAGGGGTCAGGTGAACCTCATTGTCCCAAAACTGATGAGAACGCAAGTGGTTTTCCATGTGGTGAAAGAAGGTTTTGTGCAATGTTTTCGGATGTAGCCATCACCAAGTCAAGAAAATGTTGCCGCGTCCATGTATTGAGGACACATACTTTTTTTGTTGTTTTTTCTCTCGCTATCATGCAATGTGTGTAGAAACGTTATAGGCGTCATCGACATCATTATTTGCATAAAATTTAGCAGCTTTCGGTTTTTTCCTATTAAGTGTGAGAACTTCAATGAAATGAACCATATGTTTTTTGGATCCATTGAACCAACAGCCATAGTAGATGATGTCGTTTTTGAAAAAAAAAGGACACTAACGATTCTCAGGGAACTGTTTTTAAACACACTAGATCTGAACACAATTTATGCTTTATTTACGTTGTTTTGATTCAGAGATTCTCAACTCTAAATCTTTTTCACTATCTCTTTTTATATTCTGACGCACTTTTGCAGAATGCATTATGAGGGGTTATGCAATCTTTAAACACCGTCGGTACGCATGGTTGCTTTATTATGAAAAATAAAAATAAAAAAAATAGTGGATGTTGAGGGATCCTGGAAACGGTCCATAGTTTGACCGTTCGCAGATTTACTTGGTAACCAAAACGGGCAAGTCCGAACCGTTGAAGTGAAACAACCGTTGAAATCGGAGTTTGCGATGGCGAAGAAAGGAAAGTGGACTGCCCAATCTGGTCGTCGAGGCGGATTGTGTTCGTCCAAGGGGAGCTTTAAAAGAACACGACAAATACGGAAGAATCGGAACGTGAATCTCGTCCGTCTATAGAATGGATTGCAGTGTACAACGCTGGGTAATAAAAACCATTAAAAGAAATTCAAAAAGACTTGTTGGAAAAAAAAAGAAGAAAGAGACATCACAGAAAAAAGGCGCTCTTGGATGTGAGCTATGGATGGGAATGTTTCAAAAATAAGCTCCAGCCACTTGTAGAAGATCTTCATGTGTTTAAACAAAAAGTACGGAAACGTTGACAAATGAGAGCTTGAAAACGTCCCAATCTGTCCAATCGCAGGAATTTCGAGGCGGACTTTTGACACAACGACCAATATTGTATCGTGACAAATCCGTCAAGGCATAAAGCCGATGATGGGATGCAAAGGGCGTGTTCCAACTGGGGTGAAGCGGTTGTTGTAAAAATTCTGGGTTTTGGAGACACTTGATGGAAATCTAGTAGTGAAAATAAAATATCACGATACTTCGACGGTTCATCCATGTTGGGTGTTGGAATCCACTATCAAAAAGCAGCGTTTTTTTGTTCTTGCTGAATTCCAATTCAGCTGCCCCATCACTGTTCGTGTCGCTTTCAAGGCTTTGTCGGTCGGGTAACGTAATACAAGCAATTAACATTTTTGACTTGTATCTATGGTGGCGATTTAAACTTGGCGGTGGTTGTTTGTTTCGAGTGTTGAGAAGTTGGACTTGTTTGGAAAAATAGAATGGAACATGGGTCCTCCTTCTTGAAGATGAACGAGAGGTCCATTTCGAAAGAAAAAAAAAACCGTTACTGTGATCATTGTGAAACAATTCCCGTCATTTTTTCGATCGAAAGGTTTTTGGGAATTAGCTTTCACTCGGGACAGAAAATCGCCCTTTCATTTTTAACGGTCCGACACGGTTTGTGTAACAATGTGCAACACAAGAAAAGTGGAATGGAGGAATATAAAAGTTGCAAGCATTTTTGAGACTTTTTGCAAGGCCTCTTCTAAATCCACTTTCCGTTTGGCATCTCTTTTGGTTGCTCATACCCTTGCATTTTTTTTCCTTTCATTTTTCATTCATCTCCCCATCTCTTTTATTTACTTGCTTTTTCTCATCGATCACTTCAGATCCACAGTTTTCTTTCATAATGCCTGTCCCAATCGAACTTAGCAACTCCCTACGCCGTATGAGCACCATCACCGTGCCAAAGCAAGATATCAACTTTGAGTAAGTTTCCCCGCCTACCACCATCAAATCAGGGAAAAAACCCATCCCTATACACCCAATGCAATCCACATCCATGCAATGCACATCACCCAGTCTACGCAAGTTTTTATTTCATGGATGGCTGATCTGGATTGTTCCAATTTTTTTTTTTTTTTTTTTTTTTTTTGGCAGTTCTTATGATTTTCAACTGTGTCTTCCTCAGACGGATATCAAAGATACTTTTGAATCGCGCGAATTGGAAGCTGCTTTCTGCCGGGACTTTGCCTGCTGTGGTTTGGTGTTGAACGATCTTCACGATCTGTTGCAGCACTACGAAGAATGCCACGTCCGCTTGGAGGACGATGATGCTAGTCTGTATGATGATTCCGAATCCGGTTACTGGTCCCCGCCTTCTCTTTCTTATTCGTGCTCGTCTTCGGCCGCTTCGTCTGTGGATGGTTCCGCTCCCAGCAGTCCCGTCTTGAGCACCGAGTCGGTGACGCCCGACATTCATCTTATCAAGAAGAAGGCCGCCGCTTACTTGTCTGATCTGTACAACTCAAATCCTTCTTCCCCTGTTTCCTTGGCTTCTTCCTCATTGTCTAGCCCTTGCTCGTCGGCCCCGGTGTCTCCTCTGTCGCTTGATGACGATGTTTTGCATCCCATTGATATTGTGGATGACGAGGCCACATTGCCCAAGAAATCTGTCGGAAAGAAGCGCTCGTACACTCAAATGTCCAACACTACCGCATTGGATCTTCTTACCCAGTCCGCTGCCAAAAAATTGGCGCTGGCCAGTCATTCCCTGGGGGATTTGAACACCCCGATTTTGACAGATGAAGATTTTCTGGCCCAAGCCGGGGCCCTGTTGGCATCCACTCATGCCAATGCCAATGCTGATAAGCCATACAAATGTCCTGTTCCCGGTTGCGACAAGGCTTACAAGAACCCCAACGGGTTGAAATATCACAATCAGCACGGTCACTGCAACTTGGTCAATGACGAATACGAAAACATGGCTTCCAAGCCCTACCAGTGCACGATTGGCGATTGCGGCAAGCGATACAAGAACTTGAACGGTTTAAAGTACCACATTGAACACTCGCACATGGCTGCTTTGAACCATACCTTGGCCACTTTTGGTCATTCCATCTTCAATACACCTTCGGCCGTTCCTACTCCCGAAGCCTCCCCCGTCTTATCTGCCGCCTCTCTTCCATCTCTTTTCTAAAAAAGAAAAACTGACACTTGTATATTCATTTTGCATTTTCTTTTCTCTCTCTCTCTCTCGTTTGTCTCTCTCTCCCGCCCTTCCTGTCATCCTCTCTTTGCATCTCTTAGCATCCCTTCTCTTTTTTTCATCTTTTTCATCTTGCTGTAAATATTTTAGCCATCCCTTCTTATCATTCACATAATCTTTCAACTCTGGTCATTTATGGACCGCTGCTGAATTTTTTTGATGGATGATCGGGAATACTTTATGTTCGTTTGCGGATTGTCAATCGATTATCCGAAAAAAAGTTAATGACTAGTCTTTTATTTTATTTTTTTTGTTTTCCCTAAAATTTGTTTAGCCTTCCATTATTATTAAAATATCGAATTGTTTGAAAAAAAAAAAAAAAAAGAAGAGGAGAGCCCTCACTGTTTTATTCACTGATGTTGTCCAATGCGTATTGTTTTTCCAAGTGTAGGAAGCTGCATGAAAAGGAAAATATGGGACAAGGCGAAAAAAACAAAAGCGTGGATAAGACGGTTGTATATGGTAAAGTATGAAAATTGAGTTTAGCCACTGCATGACAGGGTGACCCGGGCAACGTTGCACTGGACCTAACAATATTGATAAATAGCGTAACTGTGCTGGTTTCTGCTTGGCAAAAAGAGAAATACAAAAACGAAGCTCAGCTGCTTTAACTGGCAGAACTACTTTCTCCAATTGTTACGCTAAAGGCATTGGGCTTTTTAGCTCTTCAACTTTGCCGAACCATACAAATGACTACGATATCATTAGTATTTTGTAAAAATAGCCTGGGGTTTATCCCGATAATTATTGATTGGTTTTTTTTCACAGACGAATCAAAAAAGTCCCAGAGACTCCTTTTTATTTTTTTGGTTTCCCAACCCGGTGTAACCTAGTCAACCGAAAAAACCCTTCATTCCCCGCTCATTCGAACAATGAACTTACTTTCACTGCCACGTATCCGCCATGTGGTGACACAGTACCAGGTCGCATAACTGCTTCATGTAACGAACAGAACATCTATCGCTCGTGCCGCAACTCCCCTTGGCGCAAAAGCCCAACATGCAAGGAACGACAATCGAAAGTTATTGTTTTTTTTTCAATCCCCATAAAATGTGAATGATCCCCGGAGGATGAAAACGGAACGAAAAACTGAAGTGAAATTATCAAACCGGGATTGAGCATGGCGTGGTGTGGTGTGATGTGGTGTGGTGAGGGGTTATAAATGTTGCGCAAATGACAGAAATAAATGTCTTTTTGAGTGACATCTTCCTGTTCTATCAAAGCTCTTGTTGTTCAGTCTTCCCATCTTGGGGTGTGTGGAGCCTATCAAAAAAACGTGTCACTGAACTTGGTCACACTACGGTATCGCTTTTGAACAGCTTGCTGAAGATGGACTTGTTTCTCTTACCCCAGAATGGGGTCCTGTGTTCAAAAATGCCGCATGACGACAGATGCACAAAAAAGTAAAGAATACCTATTTAGGTATTTCTTTTTTGTTTGTTTTACTTATCTTTGTTTGAATGGTTATTTTGTTGGCGTGCAATGGAAATATCAGATGTCGTACTTTTCGGAAAGGCGACTTTTTTGGAGTCATTTGCGATTTTTAAACTGGCGGTGTGCGACATTTAATTTTTTTTTTTGTTCGGAAACGAGGGTCTTTTGCTGCATCTTAACTTTTTTTGACGGCTAGGAGTTCTTTTTCTTTTCCCTTTTTTTTTCAATTTTATCTCCTTTGTAGCCCTAGATATATCACCATCAGAGGATATACACAATAGTGTTTTATAAATGCTGTGACCGGATGGGTTCTCCGGTTCAGGAGTTTAATTGCATTCAATTTCGGACTGACCTGAGACATCACCTTGGAATGAGATCTGTTATCGACCAATGCTTCTATTTCGGACCTATTGAGTCCAATTGACGATAGGATAGAATGTCTGACATGGGGAAAGGAAAAAAAAGCAAGTATATTCGATGCAAAGGGCAAGATGGAAAGACTTCCCCGTTAATCATTTTTTCCTTGAAATGAAAAAAGAACAAGCCATGGTGAAATCTATAATCACACTACGGTATCCTTTCGTTGTGTGTTTTCAAGGAATGGAATTTTATATTTTACTACTGTTGTAATCAATTGCAAGGGACCACTTGCTGCAACGATAGGAGGTAGCCCTCAATAAGTCGCAGATAAGCACGCTTGTCACACTTGGCTCGCTCGATAGGTATGTTATGCAAAAAGTTGCATGAGATGACGCTTGACGACCAAGGCGACGGCTGTCACTTTTTTTTTCACGCACGTTCAATGACAGTGCACTAGTTATCTTGACTCACAATGAATTCAAACATCAACCGAAAACTCAATTATCGTTTTCTGTCGCGCATGAAATGCCCTAAAAAGTGATATTTCGTTTTTCGCAAAAAAGACACCAATAGTATTATTTAATTTTTGTTCGTGTCGTATGTCATTCCCTTGAATCGGGTCTAACAGCAAGATGCATAACCGATGAACATCACCCGGACGGGTTTTTCATCCACTCCTTTGTAGAGTAATTGATATTGATATTGATATTGTGATTATTGTTATTGTTGTAATTACATTTGGTTTGAATCCCTTTTTTTTTTTTGGCTTTTCAATTCCTTTCTCTTTATCTCACTCTTTTCTGCTTTTTCTTTTTTTCAAACAATTTTGCTGCGTAGCAACATCTGCATCATACAAGTGTGCTTGTGAGGCTAAGCAGACGCACCGTGAGCATGATCCATTCATCCCTTTCAATGATGCATTTTGCATTATCTACCTTTTACATCCTTTTGGTTTTGACTTGTGTAACGCAGGCCGATGTACATTTGTCCAAACGCGAACTTCCATATGATATCGCCAACTTCAAATCCTTTGGTAAGTGGTTAATGTCACACGTCCCTTGCCTCCTCAATTTCCGCTGTTGCATTACCCATTCATTGGTTACGAAATGATAGACCACAGAACCACCACTGCCACTACCAAACCTTTGGATCATCCTAGCCATCTACCGTCGCTTCCAGCCATGTTAATAAAGGATGATCACCGAATAATGATCACGGATCCGCATCGTATCGCCACAGCTGTGATGATCCGAACCGCCAATATTCCCAGCTCCAGTTCGGCTGTACCATCTTCCAGTTCCATGCTTTCGCACGCCAGTGCCAATTCTTCCTCCGTGGTACACGCCACCAGTACCACCGTTGTCGTGGCCACCAATGTAAGCCATCCTCCCGCCAATGGAAGCGCGCCCGTTTTAAACAACGGTAAAGAGCACCCCACTGCCATAAAGTCAGGCCCTTCGTCGGGAGCTATTGCCGGTATCATTGCCGGTTTGTGTATCGCCATTGCAGGTCTCGCAGCGTTTATTATCATGCGACGCAAAAAAGCCGCGGCGCGTTGTCATAACAGTAGGATCCGTCGGCAATCGGATCCTTTCACTATGGGCTTTGGTAGCCATGAACCGGCGCCTTATCGTAACACGGTGGTGTATCCTGAAATGTCCTATGCCACGACGCATAACAGTTATAACCCGTTTGAGTCACCGCGGGATGCAGATGAGCGATCAGTTCCATCCGGGTCTTTGGGTGTCGGTATTGTTGTGTCAACCTACACTCCTACGTTGCATGATGAAATCAGTATACAGCGGGGCGACCGAGTCGAGTTACTGGCTGAATACGATGACGGCTGGTGTCAAGGCATCAATTTAACGCGTGGGAATGCCAAAGGTGTATTTCCGAAACATTGCGTGAATTTTGCATCAACGTAATCTTCGAAGAATCGTCACTTCATCCAAAGCAAGAATCCCACTATTCATGCATAGTTTCACAGTTTATTTTTGATCCATTGCTCTCCCTGTATATCTTTACTGATCCCAATTTATTTAGTATGATAAAAAACCATATAAACTCATGTTTCTCTGATATAATCGTCAATTTTTTTTCCCTCACGAATAATAATGAGTCAACGAGTCTATATCGTACCCATCAAGTAACTTGTCAAAATAGTTTTCATTTTTGAAAAGCTTGGCAACATTATAAGCATTGTTCGACATGTAGGCTATCTGTTCCGAGTTGTCAGCGGAGAAACGCTCATGTCTTCACGGCTTGAGACGAAGATTCTCCCAAATGCAGAAGGTGAGAAAAAAAAAGCAAGCGAGTGTAAACCACATCACATCACGTCACATGGATCACCTTTTTTGATCAAACTATGCGGGTCCTATCAAAACCTGCTTCAACCTGTCAAGATCGCTGGAATGAGAAGTTTGGCTTGAAACCGAAGCTTTACAAAGAATCGTTCGAAATTTCCTCTTCTTTCCCCAATTTTTCGCAACATTTATTTGGGAGTTCATCGTGGAGAAACGGGTGTCCGTGACTAAGTGGCCACGTAGACATATTGGGCAAATTGGGGGCGGCCTGTGGACTTTTTTTTTTTTTGTTCGGCTTTGGGGCTTTTCGGACGAATGACGTTTTCAGAATGTCAGTCATAGACCAGTTGGCAGAGTTGGGACGGAGAATGTGGCCCAAATCTCATAGATGGAAATATTCTTATCCGAAACATGCCACTCACTGAGCGTCCCATCACTGGGACGGTTCTCCATTATCGCCATAAAGATCTTCAAAAGAGTACCTCAATAGTACCTAGGGAAAAATTGGCTGCATGATATCACCGCGTCGTAGAAAGTTTCCACTCCTTTTGTTATAAATAAGTGGCTCCAAGAGCAACTGTTTCCTCTGTTTTTTCTCATTACTCTTCTTATCAGAAACCACCAGTAAAGAAACAAAATGGCTTGCCCTTGTACCACCAAAGACAACAACTGCACGTAAGTTGACCAGCGTCAATTTTTTGACACAGCCCCCAGCCTCTGGTGTATCAGTTGACTAATTCTCATTGAAATATATCTGCAATAGCTGCACTCAGGCTGCCCAATGCAAGTGTGGAGATGACTGCACTTGCCCCCAGTGCAAGGCTCATAACAAGCACAGCGACAGATGCGCCTGCAAGGGATCCGGCAAAGGTAAGTTTATCTCTGATGATTTATATATCACAGCCACAGACGGCACTGACCATGATGGTTTTTTTTTTTCACAGGCTGCGACTGCGGCAATAGCTGCAAGTGCTAAACAGCTTGACGAAAGTCTCACCATTCTCGTTCTTATGTGATATATTGTCCACAAAAATTGTAAAAAATCACTTGTTTCCTTAAATTCTCAGGAATAAAAAAAATACTGCTGATATGCGTTATGTAACATTCATTGTGTCACCATTTTTAACAAGTCTCTTCCAAAAGAAAATGCCCCAGTTTTTGACATGTGTCGGATGGGAGGGCAACAACGCAACATAGGGTGCTTGTCGGAAAAACAACCCGAGACCACTGAACATGATAGCTGTGAGGAAAAATTCGTTGAATACTGATAATAGCTCACATGAAGCGCGTTTCTCATATTTTATGCCGGCAATGGTTTCGGCAAAAATTTTAATATGCCTGCGGCGCTTTTCAGTATACTGAGACTGTGGCTGGGATAGCTTTAATGAGGAATCTGTAACAACCAACAGATATGTTACAGTTGACCTTTTTTACTCGCTGTGTGACGGAATTGCTCTATTTACGGCAAAAAGGTGTCCTTGGTTCTTTTTGTCTGTCTGCTCACAAGTTACAGGCAAGCGTAGCGCATCTATCGACCTAGTGTTGATATCACTTTTTAGGTGATAAAGAACAAAATAGCAAGTAGTCGTGTACAGTATGATAGATACCATTAGCTGAAAGATGAGCATTATGTGCTTAGTTCAAGTAACACGGTTGAAAAAAGTTGCTTTTACCAAATGTTTTATAGTTAAGCCATAGACTTCCCAAAGAAGAATTGCATGTTTTCAAAAGATCTCCATGACTTTAGTTTGGCAAACACTTGGTGCATTCCAAAATTCACCCCAATGCACTCCAAAATCAATTAGCGTGACGTCCCGCTAATGAAAAAAATTTGAATGCTGACGCGTCCACTGAGATCTTTTTTCTTTTTGATTTCCACCAACTTGCCCAAACGTCTCTAATATTACTGCCGCGGTCGAAGCTTTCAACGATCTTGTGCAAGTTTGTCCTACGGCAAGTACCATTCAACTGCCGATGTTTCCGACGCTGTTGCCGAATGCGAACGGAGGTTCAACATCGTACTCAGTGTCATAACGATTTCAGCGACCGTGTAACCTGGGTTCACCTGCAAGCATTACGGTGGATGTAGAATCCGTAAGGGTGATGTCGTTGATGAAGCCGTCGAGGACGAAGAAGCTTCAGGTTCGCACGGTAAAATCAAGCCAGAAAGTTGGCCCCGGATGCTCCAGTTCAGGCACTCGAAGTTGACTGAAGTGGAGTAAATCTTGGAGTGACCAAGTGTTGTCTATCAGTAAGGATCATTTAAAAAATAATTTCTTAAAATCATAACTGAATCTCTTGTTATATTAGAGACAACACGACCAAAGGGATTGCAAATTCCCTGCCGAAGCATCAAGCGCTTGTCCACAGCTTGAAAAACGATGGACACACAATCGTCGGCTATGTCCGGAAATCGTTAACCAATGACCATAAAGGAAACCAAATCAAACTGCTGCAAGCAATGTGCGACAATTTTAAGGAAAGGTCGATGGTGGACGTGGTCTTTGGCTCCACTTACAGCAAAGCAAAACGATCCGTTTTGCAATAGAGACCACAAAAAACGCAAGAAAACCGTCGAAGATGATGATGATCTTGGCAATACACAGGGTAAAACGTCCATTCAACCAATCTTCAGTGTTTAGTTAATTAAGATGTTCACTTCCTTAGATATGCTGGAGCTCATCGCCAATAAATCGAAGATCTCCAAGGCGGCCTTGGATCACGCTGGTTTAACCACGAACATCCATGATCTAAGAGAATTTCTGTGGCCATATAATAATAATAATAATAATAATAATAATAATAATAATAATAAAAGGTTATTATCAATAAGTTGCCCTTCACCCACGAGACACTTGTGTATGATTGCGATGACTTGGTGAAGGATGATGAGGTGTTGCAGGCATTCGATTGCCGAATCCCATCATTCCAAAAAAGCAAAGGATATCCGTGAAATTTTATGCATTTTTTATTCGAAACGACATCCATGCAAAATAAAAAAAAACCAAAAACAATAGTAAATCATTAGAATTTTACTGTGTTGTCAAAGTGAAAAGCAGGATAGAGACGGGATTTGGAGTTTGACTTGATGATCAACTTCGACTGTTTTCCGTAGGATCATGAGAATAACAAATCTTGAGAACTGTACCATCGATTTTCTTGAAAAGCCTAGCATCATTGTCTTTGGTATATTTTTCGCCATAAAGCATGCAAATGGCTTGATTCCTGCTTATAGTTGTCATTTTGAAGCAAACAGGACAAAAATCGAAAGAGTTCCCACAAAACGTCGAAAGAACTCGCATCCTCTGCTTGCACTAACACCACCTTATGAGGCAAAGCGGGCCTTTCTTCATACTTGAACGATGGGCATGAGGCTCGTCGTAATGGTTGAATGAACGGACAAGCCTCCGCAGGCGCGAAATTGGAGGAAAGAAATGTTACGCGCGGCAAATGATGATGAGCACCAGCAACATTACGATTCTCGAAAGGATTTGGAGTGAAACTTTGAAGTGCACCAAGTATTAGCGTTTATTTTTCTCTAATTCAATTGAGGGATGCTTTTCTATTCACTTGAAGTAACTAGTATAATAGAATGATTTCATGGCAGAGGAAAACCGGGAGGGCAAGTTTTCTGAAACCGCAGCAGAAGGCCTATTTTTCAAAGCCAACCAGCAAACCCTTTTTGTCACGATCGGGTTGATCAGAACCGTTCTGCCTTATGGTACCATCGAATAAACTTCCACCATGTTTACGTGAATCGAAATGTATTATTCATGTGGATCTTGGTGAGTAGCGCATGGCTTGATTTGGGTCTGTTTTCATGCTCTCCATCTAAACTATTGCAACAGATTGCTTTTATGCCCAAGTTGGTAAAAGTCATCGCGCTTTTTCTATTCTAAGCAAAAGACTGACTGTAGAAGCAGAACATGTGCGCTTAGGTATACCCCTCGATCAACCCTTGGCTGTTCAACAATGGTGGAGTGTCATTGCAGGTAAGTTCGCACGTTGATTCTCATTCTCCCTGGTATAACTTAAACATCAAGCTCTTCACAATAGTCAACTATGCCGCACGAGCCAAGGGAGTAGCTAAGCAGATGCCCTCCCCAGAGGCAAAGAAACTGTGCCCAGGTAAACACTAAACTTTCTTATTGCGAGACAACAATTCCAGGGAAAACGGGATGACTTTAATCAATCAATGGTTCGCAGATATCCAACTCGTTCATACAGCAACATATACGGAGAATGATACGGAACCTCAGTATCATGTCGATCCGAATCGGTCCACTCATAAAGTGTCATTGGAACCCTATCGAGCCGCATCGAAAAAGATTATGAAAATTTTCGGACGATATTGCACCATTATCCAACGGATTGGTCTGGATGAAGCTTTCATGGACGTTACATCAATCGTCAATCAGCGTATCATTGATTGTTACATCGATAAAGACCCAGACTTGTTGGAAAAAATAGACGACGATGAATGCGATATACCGATCGATTGGGATACTTTGGGTGTTACTATTCCCTCAGAGGAGGAGGAAGCGCAAGCCAAAAACGGGGAACAAGATGGTTCACAGCGACCATGGGCTCCCACGACGTGGTGTGATCTTCAGTTGGCCATTGGCGCCGAAATTGCAGCAGAAATCCGCAAAACAGTGTTTGATGAGCTCCATTACACTTGCTCCGCAGGTAAGCCAAAACGACCAAATGTTTTTCGGGTCCAGTGAGGATTTTACTAAATATGCTGTCATCATCAAGGTATTTCCCATTATAAAGTCGTGGCCAAGCTGTGTTCCAGTCGAAACAAACCCAACAAACAGGTAACAGCGTTGCGCTATTTGGAGAGGAGCTCTTGGGATCACTGACTTTTTGAATCTATCAGACCATCCTTCGAAAAAACGCTTTAGTATCGTACATGAAAGATGTGCCGTTCAATAAGATTAGAAATCTGGGCGGCAAGTTGGGGACCGAAGTGGGAGAAGAATTGAACATTCAAAAAGCAAGCGATTTATGGCAAGTATTGTGACCAAGGTCCCTTAGTCTGATGCAAAGGCTTTTTTTTTGTTAATTGCTTTCTACAGGCCATATGCTTTGAAAGAGCTTCAAGACCGATTTGGCAAATCTACCGGATTATGGCTTTATAATATCTCGCGAGGAATCGATAATGAAGAAGGTAATGAAATACCCATCACCGATTAGGCGGGACAAGGCATTGATATCTTGGTTAGTGCAAATTACTACATCACCAAAGTCACTGATGGCGGCTAAAGCCATGCATCCGCCTCTAAAATCTGGTAGAGAAATGGAACGATGGTTCAAAATTTTAAGTACGGAGCTGTATGCCAGAATCATGATCAACTTTGAGGAATATGGTACATGGCCAAAGAGTATTGTGGTAAGTAGATGATGGCCGAAAAACAGAGCAGGTCAACGTCTCACAGAGCAACAGGTCCACTATCATCATGCTGCCCAGCCGGACTGGAGAACCAAATCTTTACCCATGCTACCCAAATCATGCATAAAGTCGCCACGTAAGCTCACGTTTGCAAAAAGTACATATACAGACAGGCAATCATCGAGTAACTTGTGAATGCCCTTGTTTACAGATCGATTAGCCGAGCTTGTTATCAATGCCACTAACAAGCTGACAATGTATCCGTGCAGAGGACTGTCATTGCAGGCGTCTGGGTTATCGCTGAATGAAGCAGCAACGACAAATCAGAATATTTCGCGGTACTTTGTGGCAGAACCCGCAAAGAAACCGTCGTTGAGTCCACCAAAAAATGATTTATCGGCCGAGGACACTGTTGATATGCTAGCAGGTAGTTTATCGGATGATGCACCATTCACCGAGGATGACGAAATGTTGTTGAAGAAAGTCGAGGAGAACCATGCTTCCAGAACAAAGAGTGAGCCTGCAAGGATTATGTCCCAGGACATGGGGCAAAATCAATCGCCTACACAGGAACAAGCGTGGACGTGCGATAAATGTTTCAAGCGACTGCAACATCATGAAATTGAAGAACACACCGATTATCACTTTGCTATGGAGCTGCAAGAACAAGAACGAGGTCCCGCGGTGGCAGAGAATTCTCGGAAACGCGAGTTAACCCTGCATGATCAACCACCATCACTGTCGCCATCCTCCTCGTCCTCCTCCTCATCGAAGCGATCAAACCACGCCAAGGATGCTCGTGACAACAAAAAACGTCAAGTGCACCTTTTCTTCCAACCACGACCCTAGCAAGTGGAGAAAAAGAAAAAAAGATGAATGATTATAACAGCACGAAAACAAACGAGCAATCACCATATTCTTTTATTCCTTATTTAAGTCAAACGTCATTATTGTAAAAGTTCATCCTACTATTTATTAAACTCAGAATGTTAATGTTTGTATTACGAGGGTATAGATGCGATGTATCGAAATAAGGGGGGAGGGGAGTTGGGATTAAATCATCAATATAGAAATGAGCGACCGGCAAAAAACCCCCTTAATAAGTGGCCAAGTTGTGTGCGTCAGATACACTATACTCTATTCATGAAAAAGCCCTTAAAAACCATCATCGCTGGTTTGTTTCGCATGGGCTTTTGCGCCGACTGTTTTAGGTGGTGATAGGGGAGGCTTGACATCGATGGTCTCCCGTAGTGCTGCGGAATTCGTCAGTGCCTCATTACTGATGGAATCCAATTTTTCGTGTCGTCCATGAGCCTTTTTCTTTGAAGGATTGGTGGTGACCTGATAAAAAAAATGTGGGTGAGTGTCGTGCTATGCGAATTGGCAAAAAAAAAGCCGAGCAGTAATTGACATCTTACCCAGTGAATGACAATCACATTGATCATGACATCGATATTACATGTTGTTAAACAGATGGCACCCCGCGTTTGACCACCCATGACAGTAAGGGCAAAGATGTTTGCAAACGAGACCAGAAGCGATACAATGGAGGCAATGAATGTTTTTCGAGTCACATCGCGCACACGCGAGTATTTCAGTGCGTTGCCAACACTTTTCGTTGTACGCATCAACGGCTTGATAAATAGAATGGTCATATACGCATTGAAAAACTAGAATAGAAAAACAAGTTAATAATCCATCCGCCAACTAGACGCTGTGTACTCATTGGTTGAGCTGAATGAATCCATACAAGGTCATAAATCTAAAATCAAATATGAATGTAAGCAGGTTTAAGACATGGCAGTAGGAATCTCCTTTTTTTTCTTTTTTAATGCAATGGGGCTTACCAATAGCGGGATGCTGGCGTAAATATGTAACCCGATATAGCATATACCGTCGTCGGCAATGAGAGCAATATGGTAAATAAACTTCGAGAACATTGCTAAAGTTAGCAATCAAAATGTGGATGGTCATGTCGATGACATGAGCTTACCATAAGAGTGAATATGATAACATATGGCGTCAACAAGAGAATGTGAAAGCGATACGATTTGCTTTGCCAACGATCGCAACGTGCTGAAGATACCACCCAAACACGTTCTACCAGCCACAAGTACACGACAATCTTTGTAGATGTATAGAAAAGATCACATGCAATCTCGGACAACAAGCAGGCAAGTGCATTGCCTGTACATACAACACCATATGAGTTTTTTTTTCTTTTGAACTTGGTCGTTCGGTTAACACGATGGGCTGTTTTAATTACCATTATGCGTATGCATCAATATGAAGGACATGGTAGTAAATGCCCATGAGAGAACAAAAAGGATAAAGATCAGCCAGCGAGAGTAGGAAAGTTGTTTCAGCGGCATTTGTAAAAACTTTATGCCAAACAGAGTGGACATGACGCTCACGGATAACAGAGCAATGATCTGAGCGAGAAGTTCCACCGAATCAGGCTGTGAAATGTACATTGAGATGTCATTCGGTGGCATTGAATCGAAAAAGAAAAGCAAAATGGCCGCTTTTTGTTAGTTTGAAAACCCAGACTATGCATATATTTATACAATGGGGTTAGCGGTGAACCAAGGTTCATGATCCACCGAAAGGTAATAGACATCACACAACGGAGACTTTTCAGCGCCTCAACCTTAAAAAAAAAGAAGAAGAATTGCTTAGATTGACTCCTAGATTGACTTGGACGCACGTACACCGTCTCCCCTTTTGACAGCAAGAGAAATAGGGGAGGAAAATCAGAAGCTAGTCTATCTGAAGATTTAGACTACTTCAAAGACCCCATCCCTTTAGAAAATTCATTCACTCCTTTTTCATTCAAGAATTCGTTTGCATCAGTGTTCTATATTGATATTGCTTCGGCCTAATGCAGAAACCCACAACTAGATCTACATACCGCCGTCTTTCCCTTGCACTTTACGATTGTTACAGACCCTTTTGCATCGGTCTGCACCTCCTGCGAAAAAGGAAAAGGAACTCCGTCCCATGATTGAAAACGACAGCTCTAGAGATAAAAAAAAAGGAAGGAGTTATTGAATGTGGACTTTTAGACCTATGGCGCCGCATCTTACTACGGTATCGTTGATTAAAAGCGTTCAATGCAAAGCATATCAGCGGTTATTTTTGCCTTTTTTTTTTTTTTTTTTTTTTTTTTTTTGCAAGCTTGAGTAACAAACGTTGGAGATAACTCATACCGTAGCAACGAAACGACCTGCTTTGAATTGATAACGGTGGTTACTCTAAGGCACGTCGCAAAATCCATGATGAAGAGGAACGGTGTCAAAGCCCCGAGTGAGACTTTAAACTTTTGCAAGTCCATTATCATCCACCTCTTGATTTTATTTCTTTTGCACTTTGCTTTTGAGATGAGCTTTTGCCATGTCTTTTGACGGTATGTTCATAAGTTTAGCATAATTACCAGAGATGCATTGCTTGAAGATGCCTTTTATGCGCAATACTGTAGGTGCTGTTAAAGAGCCTGAAAGTCTCCTTTACGTGTATTAAAGTGCACGCACTTGTGTTGACAAAAGCAATTATCCTGGGAAGATGGATATGTATCGAGATCTGGTCCAAGCGCCCGTTGCTGACTTTAGCAGATCATGCTTCGTATGTCAGCATGCATTGTAATAACTGCAGCGCTTTTCGGCTCACAGAGGCCATCCCTGATCATCGCACAACTGTTGCACGCGATAAAAAAAAAGTCTGGATCCAAGGTTTGGCAAGATCGTACGAGATTCTGTTTTAGGGACGACGAGTAAACGGAAAATCATATGACCACAATGGTAGGACAAGCATTTATTCAAAGGTACAACACATCGTTTTTGCCATATGAGATCAAACTGTCATTACATGAAGGGCACGATCATTGGGTGCTGAAACCAGTACAATGCGCAAATGACTGCACATTCACAAAAGAATTGCAGAGTGGAGGTTTTGTCAATAAAAAAGGTCCCCTACACTAGGGTCTCCTCAATTGCAATAATGCTGATTCAAGCGTGCGAGCCAAAATTACAGCATGAAATTCCCGACAGCAACCCAAGATCAACGCATAGGCAGCGATCTAACAAAACATAAAGGCAAGTACTAAGTGAAGCAAAATGTATGATGTGACGGGAGTAAGTAAGTGGGCACTACGGATGGATCGCTTGATGAGCCATTTTTTTGTTTTGTTTATTTGGTAATTTCACAATTTCATATAAAATTTCGAAACAAGGTTTTGGCATTCTTTTTCATTAACACTGGCTTTTTTTTTTCCTTTCTTTGATCTATCGATTGGGTTGAAAAAGGAAAATTGACGCATGTGCATCAGAATTTAAAAACCCTCCTTTTTCCTACCAACACACCTCTTGTTTTTACGAATGAATCGTCGAGACCCACAACGATTGATTTGTCCACATCATCCTCTTGACGATCCTTTACCCTCGCCCGTCTCGTTCTCTTCACCGCCGCTCCTTCCCGTCACCCGCGTTCAAACGTCACGGTCCACTCCTTTGCCGAGAAAGAAGAACAAACGTTACAAAGACGTGTATCAGCACAGTGACAGTATCCTTCCTCATGTTTACGAATCGCATCCTACCTCGCCCATTCACCTTCCTTGCCAAACCAACGACGCTCACCCCATTCCTTTCTTAAAAACCCTGCCGATCAGAAACAAGCGGTGCAATGCCACCTCGCCACAACGAACCACACGCGTGGATATTCTTCAGGAACCACGACTTCACCAGACATTTCAATACATTGGCCATCCTCACGGTCGCATCAAATCCCATCGCGTTGGATTCGCAGAATACGGTGCTCTCGACGACGGTCATCCTGCAATTGTAATCGGCGGGCACGGCTGCAGTCGACTTGTAGGCGTCATGTTTGAAGAAGTAGCTCAACGCTATGGCATCCGCATGATTTGGCCGGAACGTCCAGGGTAACCACAGTCTTGGTGCTAAATGACGCCATGGAAAATATACTAATAATTAGTATTTGTTATTCTTCGTTAGGTATGGATTAAGCGAAGAGTGCAATCCACAGGATCTGAGTGCACTGGAATGGGCAGGTAAAAAAAAAAAAAAGGTGGAACTTGAGAGTGAGAATTCAAAGTGCGTTTCAACTAAACCGCGTTTTCTTTGATAGATGTTGTCATACAGTTGGCGGATCATTTACGCATCCGCCGATTCAGTCTTATTGCTCAATCCGTAGGGACCGTTTTCGCGCTCGCTATTGCCCTGAAGTGTCCCTCACGGGTGCTTGGACCTATTTATTTGATATCGCCGTGGGTATCGACCCAAGCAGCCAATACATTCAAATGGACTCGACGATTACCGGCTTCACTCGTTACACGCACCATTTCTTTGGCCATGGATGTCATGTGGATGTTCAATAAAGGCATGTCGAAAGAGAGCTTGCCATCACGACAAAACCCCAACCGTATCTCCGACGAAGACTCCGTTTCGGATTCGTCGACGAGAACCAGTGATACCAGTCGCGGCAGCAAAAAGAGCCCTCTTGGATCACCGGACTCCAGTATCCACAGCACACTGACCGCATTTGAGGAAGACGAACTTTTAGCGTCATTGGAAGACGACAATCTAGAATTATCGACGGACTTTCCTCCGCATCGCCCTTTGAGACATGTCGTGCGACCGAAACATGTATCGCTGTATTTGGCCATGAATCGATTACGCATGTCCGAACCGTACAGTCAAGGCCAATTAGGCGACGTCCTTGTGGCGTTGGAAAAGTATCATTCTTTCGGTTTCAGCTACTCGGAAATTACGACTTCGGTTTCTGCGGTTTGGGGTGAAAAGGATGGATTAATACCGCAAAAAGCCATTGATATCCTTGCCAATAGTCTACGAGATGTGCGTCTGAAGATCCTGGATGGTGAGAGCCATGATTTGGTATGGAAAGAAGGGGTTATGGAATGGACCATGCGAGGTATCGCCGAACGGTGGCGAGGCAAAGTACACAAAGGCGAACGCCCGGTCGTTCACCACTGATGTCTACACGGAACCCATCGCTTCACATCGTTTTCATTCTTTATTTTCTTCTGTTACACTCATTATCATTTTTTTCCTATTACTATTATTATTACTTATTATCATTTCTTATTTTCTTTTACGGTTTATTCATTCATTACAGTATTCTCCTTATAATCTCACTTTTTGTACGTTTAACTCGCAAGATACCGCCACATTGTGCCAATTTTCTAGCATATGTTTTAAAAATCCCTTTTTTTTTCTTCAATACATTCGTTTTATTATTACCCTGTCGTCTGGTCTGTTATAAAGTTGGTGGCATGTTATGTAGCTGATCAGTTTAATACAAGGTCAAAAAGGGAATGAAAAATACGATGTAATGATGGCCCATTTTAATTACAACCGAGATCTTCAGATATGCAAAAGCATCATAGAAACGGATCATTCAACATGCAGGTACAGTTGCAACTGCACTCTAACAGAATAGTAAGCAGCAAAAAAAAAGAGAAAAGCAAACTTAGCTCAACCTACTATATCCGCTCAACATGTAATTTGTCTTGCAAGCAAATACCGTGCTGTAACCTCGGATACGCTTTAGAAACATGTTTCTGCAGTGAATATGATACATGGCACTGAAGATTAAGCGAAATGTAGAATATACTAATCAATTGATAATATTTGGATGAGAGGGAAAACTCGTCATATTAAATCTGTCACGAAATCCGTTTCGTTGCATAACAGATGTGTGGACAGTTTCCACCGAAAAAGATGGAAAGCGGAAAATTGAGCGGCGCTAGAATTATGACGCGCAAAAAACCCTTTTTGCTTCCCATTTCCAGTCACTTTGTTCAACCCGATCAGGCGTGTTTTCTGTTGCCTAGCAAAAGTTCTGCTTTCAGGAACTCGGCAATGAGTACTTTTGACGGTCAGATAAGAGAATATCCCTGTATTAGCATTGACCGGTTTACGCGCCGTAATGGAATCAAGTACTATTTCCTTAGTCATGTTCACTCAGGTACACCTACATTGCTTTGCCCTCACTTGTATATAGCGTGCATTCTGACAGTCTTTTGCGATCAAAAAAGATCACACGCAAGGATTAGAGCAGTCTTCAATTCTCGAGAATATTTACTGTTCGGAAATAACTGCCACTTTACTGCCACGTATTCGACGACGCAACAAGCAATATGGTCATCTCGAGGGACGACTTGTTCCCATTCCGATCGCCCAGGAGACCATTATCGACACGACCGATTATGGCAAAATCACCGTCACCTTATTGCCCGCTAACCACTGTCCCGGGGCTGTTCTGTAAGTGATAACGGTTTTGACTGAAACCAACAAGTTTTTCTTGTCAAGAAAAAAAATCTCACTAAAATGACGAACAGAATACTTATTGAAGGTTGCAATGGCACAGTTTTGTACACCGGTAAACATATTGTTTCGACTGATTGTTTTTGTCAAATAGAAGAGTAGTTGTATTGAACCTTGATTGAACATTTCTATAGGCGATATGCGGGCCGAGAAAGATTTTGTAGACGAGTCACTGCAGCTACTTGGAGATAAGATCATTGACCATGTCTACATGGATACGTCCTGTTGCAACGACAAATTTCGTCATTTTCCGACAAAGGTATAAAGTGCATAATTTTTTTCCTTGTTCTTATCCGGGTGTGTAACCATGGATTGGACGCGCCAATGATTTGGATGATAGGACGCATCGGTGCAGTTACTCCTTCAAACCATCAAGCAATACCACTGCACATTTCACATTTATCTTGATTGCTGGACATTCGGATATGAAGAAATATGGTTTGCCATTGCTCAGGTGTTCAATACAAAAGTAAGCATAGTCTTCTTACAATGGTAGTCACTGGGAAGGTCATGATATTTACGTTTTTTTCGTTTCTGGAAAATAGATCCACGTCAGTCGGCAATTTTACGATATGTACTGCAGAGCTGACAGTACCTTTGACCGGATCTTAACGACCGATCCGCAGACTCGCTTCCATTCTTGCAACTGGGCATCCACTTGTTCCATGCACAGTGCGAAGACTCTAGCGATTCATCCTGTACCGTTGTCATGCGATTATACCATCGATATGAGTACCCCGGAGGCACCCTCGCTCTTGGCGTCCAAATTGTATGACCCATCAACCATAGCCCATCGCCTGGTAAGCAAATTCATGCCTGCGTACCATTACATGTTTGTCTAACAAGTCGGCAAAAAAAAAAATAAAATAAAAAAAATAGGCGTTGCCGTTCTCAACGCATTCCTCCATGAGCGAAATTGCAGGATTTATTCGATTTATCCGTCCCAGACGATTTACAGCTACAGTTGCTCACGGAAAATGGACAACCGTGGCTGAAATGAAAGCGTTGCTGCGAGCGGAAGGTTGCTTTAATGATGGAACAAGCTCGTTGTCTTCATTAGACGATGTTTTCTTTGACCACCGGCAGGATACCACCACCGTATTTTCCATATCGGATTCGGACAGTGATGAGCCCAGATCGCCGCAGCAATGGACAGAAAGCGACCCTGATGTGGTGGTGTCCGATGCCACCGGATCTCAAATGTCAATCCAGCATGACAGCAGCCTACCCAGTACGTTGTCATGGCACGATAACGAAGACGATCCGCAGATCCTCTCCTCGAAACGGTCGGCGCAAAAACAGGATATAATATCTTTGACGGATTTCATGAACAGACTCCACAACGAGACAGCACTGGCAGATGATGAAATGGACGATTTGTTTGAAAGTGATGCCAGTGACGATGAGCTGCAAGCATGTAGTATGTTACCTTGTGCACCATCATCCTACACCTTGGTGGGTGATTCACAGGACATTTGCATGGTGACCGAGGAGCCGCATGCGATGCAACAAAGCGATTTGTTGTCAAAGGGCCATACTATCGATGATGCCATCTGCCTCGACGAGTGAGTCACGTAACCTACCGGAATATCCTGAAGGGTTTGCTCGATTTTTCGTCCGATGCCATGGGTTCATGATGGCGCACAAAAAGGGATTTTGGGCACTGGACCCCCATGTGAAATTATCCTCTCTGCTTTGATTCAACAAACGTAGCCAGCAATGCTTCGATTGATTCTACTTTTCACAGTCTTTTGCCTGTGGTGGGTTCCCGGATATGGACAACTTCGCAAGCATCATCAACAGATCCAGCCGCCGTTGGAAGAAGTCGACGTGATTCGGGCCATGCAGGGAAAGCCAAACGAGGCTCATCGATCCCAAGAGGCGAGCACAAATATGCCCGAAGCGACGTATGCAAGCTCGCCTGCTTCCACTTGTGGCGAAGCTTCTTTATCTTGCGTTGTTTTTGATCCAAAGCATTCTCGTATACCAATCCGATGCGGTGTCATTCGAAAAGCGCCCGTATGTGAACGACAAGACGACCAAGGAAAACGCCATTGTGATGTGTTTTGTGACGCGGACGGGTAAGTGCGTGTGTTACAGTGGAACAGGCAGCCGATATTGATAATGAGCTCCTGTATGTTTGTTAGAGGAGCACGGGTTTGTGAATTTGCATTTCCGAAATGCTGTGCGGTTGGAAAGAATGGCTGTCGAACCTCCAAACCTCGTGAAAGTATCTAGAATTTGTCGTGTGACGTTGGATCCATAAAAAACGACTTGCATTTTCTTTTTTGTGCTTCGACTCGATATCTTTTTTTTTATACTTGCTTTCTTTTGCCATGGAACAAGAGCTTATTGAGTTGCTTCTTGTTGCGAAAAAGGCGTTATCTACGGGACAGTCTATCTGCGCACAGGCGAATACTCTATGTCAGGCATCGGAACGCCATGTTGAGATGATTGAAAAGACATGGCCCAAAATCCTCTTTGTGAATAATCATATCATTATACAACTGAGCTCATTAGAACGCATTCGCGAGTATCTTTCACTGAAAACAGAAGAAGTACAAGCATGCATAAAGGTACATTTTCCAAACCTTTGGGGACGACCGTGTAGGTGGCTATTGTTTTTGATGTCGGCTTCTGACGGGGTGGGTTTCACTTTATGCACACCGAATAAAAAAATCGTATAGGACCGTGAAGCTACTTTGGCGACGGTCTCCATGGAATTAGAACGGATATTTGATATGCTTCGTAACTCAAAGATCGATGAGGCTATCTTGCGAGTAAACGAAGAAAGGGAAAGAAAAAGTCAAACCATGACCGATACAAACGTCGCCAGAGGGGATAAACCAGTAACCTTGTTTCATTACATTGACGATCAAGCTGTGCTTGAATTACAGCGGCAAGCCGACGACGAAATCGGAGAAGTAGAGGTATGGTACTTTGCAAAGAAAAAGAAAGAAAAAAGGGTGTGATCCATGTCTGAGGCTTTTTGAAATTATCAGAGTTTATGTGCATCGTTGGTTTCAATTACCAAGGCATTATCCAACACCATTGCCGAGTTGGCGGCCTTGCAAGAATCATCTCTTTCCATTTCTCTGGAAGAATCCGTATCGGATTTTGCAAACGAAAAGCTACAAATTCAGGAAACAGAGATCACCAAAATGGCAGATATCCTGACCAGTCTGACAAATCATTATGATCAACTCGGCGAGGCCACGAGGTATGTTTACACATCATATGCGCGCGGAAATGCAACATCTTACTTATCGATTTATCGATGGCGGTAAATACTTGATTGATTACCATTGGTCTTTTCTCTTAGGTTATGTCAGTCAGATCCGGAAGCCTGCCATCAATTGGATATCACCGGTACACACATATATACGCAACAAAAGATTTAACATCAGTGTGACGATGCCTTATGTGGTATATTTTATAGTTTTACGGGATGATCACGACCATATACCCGACATTCTCGATGATTTGCACGAATCCATGGAAATCGTCGATTCCGTGAGGTAGTTCAAGGATGGATTGGGAAACCTACTACGGATAAAGAAGAAAGAGTTAATTGTTTGTCACGATAGCGAAGAGATTCGCGTGCGGATGCAACTGTACTCGACCATTCAGGATGAGCTCATCAAAGTTTTGGATCAGCTGGAACAGTTCGGGTCAGCTGGTGGCCAAGCTGATATGATTTGCGAGCGAATGATGACAGCAGAGGTAATTGGACACTTTTTTGATGGGCGTGTTGTATACTCCAGTAAACACTGCTAGTAGGCCGATATGAAAGAACGCGATTACAATCTCGAGAATTACTTCAAACAGTTGTCCTCACTAGCAGAGTGGTAATGAAATCTATGCCTTGTTATCGACCAACCCATGTCTGACCGATCAATACGACGATAGGTATCGCTTATATGCGGCCTCGTATGGTCACTTGATCCTCGAGATTGAACGGCGACGCAAAGTCTCTGAAAAACAAGAGAAAATGCGCAGGGAAATTCTAAAGCTCTTTGAAGACACCTATGAAGGTCGACCTATTAAGGACAGAAACTCATGAGATCATGGATCTTAATCCATTTTTCCTTTCTTTATCTTTAGATGAATTGCAAGAGCGCCACCGATGGTTTCGTGAACATGGAGAATATTTGCCACAGGATCTATGTCCTTTTATTTACGTATGTTCGTCAAATAATTACTCGTGTGTTTTGTGTAGGCAAAACTGACAGAAGAATTTTCTTTTCTAGGATCCTCCTTCCAACTTTACTATAGCCATAGAACAAGAAGCAGGCCAGCTACCCAGACTATCGCAAGCAACAGTAGACAAGGTACGTGTCGAGAAACTGTCATATCATGGGCTACATCAGTGGTGACCCTCATAATTTACTTAGATCACCGCTGAGATGCAACGAAATGATATGTGAACACGTTATTTTTTATGCTGGCAAGTTGACGCATCTTCCCAAATCTGCGTTGCCTCTCATCCTATCCCGCCTTGTCCTATCGAGTGACGCTCCAAATACTTTTTAAGTTAGAAAAAAGAGAAAATTGTCAATCTATGAAAACAATATTAGAAAGCATTATCAGAGCATAGATCGATCGACATGTTTGGTCTCCTATGTCCGACAAAATCACATAAAAGAATTGGCAGGCAGGAGTTGACATCCTGAAAACAAGTTTGATTAATATACAGTACTGGAACGATTTGGTCCAATGCCATTGTCATGTAGGAATAGAGATATTTACTGGTCACATTGATGAATAAACGTCGCCCCATATTAGACCAAAAAAAAAACAAAAAAAAAAAAAAGATGGCAGAAAAATGCTCATGTCATGCGAAAGAATGATGATAATAAATTGAGGACCCACCCCCGGCCCTTTTGTTTGTATCGTATATTCTGCCATGTATCTCGAAGCACGATGCTTACGATGGTTATATATTGGAATTTTTGAATGTAGGATACAAACTTAATACGCAGCCTAATCTGGAATGAACTTGGACCTGGAAAGGTTGGTTAGGCGCATTTTCACCATCTATCACCGTGTATGCCTTTTTCCCTGCTGGAGCCTTTGGAGTGAATCGGAATGCCTTGACTTTATAATATTCCACCTGAACAGTGGGACGTAGAATTAGTAACTTGGTCGTCTGCTGTCACTATAACTCCGTTTAGGCTTACCAGCGGAGAATCAATATGCTGGCCGTGTTCGATTTTCTTAAAGATCTCCATTTGCTTTGCAATCGAGGGATGACCTCGCACAAACAAAGCGTCAATCAGACCGTCATTGGGAAGTGCGCATGGATGGGTCAACATATCTCTCGCCACACTGGGCACTTTGCTCGTTAAAAAGAAAACGAGATCGTCATTGATCACGGTCCAGTCTTCCGGAACCGGTTCCGAGAGAGGCGGAATAGTGTCGACTACCGGTCCATCGAGCTCATTCAGCGGGGGGCGGACGGGATGGACCAAAGCGTCTCTGTATTTACTCTTGATTCTTTCCTTGTTGGACTCCTCGATTTGAAGAGCAACTTCCACAGGATAGCTTTGACGTGCAAAGATCTGCTGCATCAACCCAATAATGTTTCGTGTATCACCCATCCAGCTACATGCATACAAAACTGTCACTCCAGCTGTCTCAGGGCTTGACGAAAAATTGAAATGAAAAGGAGATTGCGAACTCACCGTAGATGTTCCGTGGCTAAATCTGCGTAAGCGGTGATACCGTGGTTCTGAGATAAAAATGAAAAGTAACGATGGTCGGCATATGTTACGGAGCATAAATCCAGGGCCAGATTTTGTCCTAAAAATCCCGAAAAATTCAGTACAAAGAAAATGTCCACGTCTATCATTCCTCTAGTGTACCTTTAATGACTTGTAATGCCGAATAGACGGGATCGTATCCGCGCACATAGTCGAGAAGACAAATGCTAAGTGAATTGCTGGTTCCTCCCGGGATAAGTCCCAGCGGTACGTTCTTGATGGCTTGTCTCGCATCCGGTCGTTGAAGAAAACCATTGATCACCTCATGAATGATCCCATCGCCACTAACCGTGACAATTGCATCATAGCGATTAATATCAAGGTCTTTTGCAATTTGAAGAGCATGTCCTTGATGTTCGGTATCTGAAAAGCAAAGAGGTCATTCACTGCTCACAGCTCCTTTTTTTTTCGTTGCTACGGTGACCTACACTGGATATCCATTTCACAGTTGGCTGCCTCAAACACCGGTTTTACGCCAAATTCAAATATATCCTTTGCTTTTCCCTGACCTCCTGCCGGATTAACAATAACCTTTAGGCGCTTTTCCGGCTTCATGTCTACCATCATACAAAAACAGGTCAGTAAGTTTGGAGGATTTTTCTTTTCATCCGAATAGTAGATTTTACCTTTATATACATCGTGCATCAAGTCCTTGCAAAATTGCTTTGCTTCCTCTTCGTTGTTGTCGCTGAGAGAATACATAAATTTGTACAGTTCCAGCAGCGAGTCTTCCTTGTCGTGTTGCATGGGTATCAAGGCGTGAATCTCCACCATCTTTAATCTTTCATTGTAGCAAACACGTAATATATTCGTATTCTGAATAGGTAACAGTAACGGGTCGGCCCTTTTGGGAGGCGGTAAGGGTATACAAAAGCATGTGTACGAAGGTTTGCCTAACATTTCCTGTTGGCGCTCCGCTGGTTCCCGTCGATCAACTGGTGTGCCAATACGTACCTCTTTTAGCGGCATTAAAATCGCCTTCGATGCGGAGTCCATCGCCATCGTAGGTCAATTCCACGGGATGGTGAACTTTGGTCAATTGCAACTTTCGAATCATGGAGAGGAAACCGTGTGTCGATGTATCGGACGTGGATCCGAGGTTGGAAACTCCGAACACCACATGCAGCTGGGCAGGCATGAGGAAGCAGTCACTTACGCTTGTCTTCAAAAACGGATTTGCCAAGCAGCCGCCAAGACGACGCATGAAATCATTGATAAGTACCGCTATCTGTGCGGTATGATCCAATTCCTCACCCACATTTTCTTTGCTAAATACCTAGGAAATACGGGAAATCCAGGTTCAAGCCGAGAATGCAAGCACACTAGGGAAGCAAGTAGCACAGGGTGGGCAATTTCCCAAGTCATAACATTTATGAAACGATTTCCATGGTAAAAGGCAATCCTCGACTCTATGCGATTACAGTCAACCAACCTAAAATTGCTGTCATTTGTATAGCCCACTCGAATGATGATTATGAAAAAAATGAGATGAATGGGGAATTGTATTTATTTTCTCCCCTGCACATCCAGAAAAAAAAGTGAGAGAGAAAAAGATAAAAAAATATAACTATAGGGCATACGTTTTACATGGCCATACTGGCTTGCAGAGCTTTGAGTTCGGCTTCCTCGTCGTCTTCGGTAACGGTTGTTTTGCGACCTAGGATAGATGAACCGTAAGATGGGGAATGAAAAAAAAAATCTCTAGGTTTGGAGTTTCTCGTCTTACCAGGTTCATGCGACGGTACGTTGGGTGTGTATACTGAGGGTGCGGGTGTCTCCAACATCTTTGCATCCAATTCCTCCTGCTCCAACTCTTCAAGTTCATTAAGAAGATCGTCCTAAACATCGAGAACAAAATATCGTCAGTTGATGCCGATCGATCATGCGGATAACGAAACGCTACCTCATCTAACTCTTCGCCCATGCCAATAGGCCGAGAAATAGCCTCTGAAATCTCGTTCGCAACGTCCATCTGGTCTCGGATATCGTCCATGGTTGCATCCACCTTATTAATATCCCTAAAAGAGCGCAAAAGAAAAGAAAGCTTTTTTTCAGTATAACTCGCCCTCAACCATGGTTTTTGGGATTTCTCATGCCACGGTCAATGATTGACAAAAACCAAAAAGTAATACTTACATGGATCCATGAATGTTCTTCATTGCTTCGGCACCAGCACGCATGGCTCCCATTGTTTCTAAGTTGACATTGGCATTCTCTATTGCCATCATTTGGGTTTCGATCGTCATTCGAGCTCCGTTAATCTTTTCGATATTCACTTCAATTGCCTTCTTTCGTTTTAATGCCATCAGTGCCACTGGAATTTGTAAAGAGTAGGTGAGTAAACCATACGGGGCAATACATAACAAGTCCGTTGTACTTACCTCGACGGTTCTTTGTTGCGTTTGTTTTTGCGATCTTTAACTCGTTCTCGGCTTTGGCTTCCATGAAAGTCTGCCGTTTTTCCAACATATCGAGCGTTTCTCGTAATTTGTAAATTGCATCTTTGGCTGACGTTTTTGACTTGGCTTTGCCAAAAAATAAATTCATGGTCGAAATGGGGGAGAAGGAAACCAAAAAAAAAAAAAAAGAAGAGCAACCGGAAGCGGAAGGCAAAGGAACAAAGTTGCTTTGGGTCAGAAACGGGGTCGAAGAAAGATTTCCTTGTATTACGTCATGAGACCGACCACACAAAGAAAGAAAAAAGTTTGTTCTGTTTTAGGAAAACTGGTCGGATGCTGAACATGATACTTTTTTAGGAAAGCCAGGCGCAAGCTTAGGAATTTTTTTTGATCTATAGAAATCGCAAAGCTCATTTGATAACAAAACTCAAATAGCCAGAAATCCTGTCTACTTGTGAAAAAAAGCTACTTAATCAAAATTCATGCAACGGGAGCCGAGGATCAGAAGGGAGCAGCAAGCAGTAAAAAAAAAAAAGCGTTAATGGCAAGCGTGAAACAAGGAGACAGAATCAGACAGTGGTCCTTCCTTTTTAATTAAAAGGTCAATTTGAATTCCCTCACCAAATAGCGCAACGTCCTCTGTCCTTGATATCCCATCAATGATAAAAGAGGAACTAGGCATGTAATTATGAATTAGCCCTAGTAACTTGTCCAGAAGGCAATTTGGAGGAATGTCTTGCTTTGTTCTCAAAGAATTTCCTACGAAATAACCTAATGTTGAATTTTTTCCAAACCGGTTAGTGCTGTCAAATTAATGACTTTTTTTTCAGTTATCATATGGTGTTACTTCAAATAGCCTTGCCATTAGTAAAACTTTTGAACAGCTTTCTTTCATCAGTTATCAACCTCAGATGAGCGAGTGGAACACATGTTATAATGGTACCAAAAACAATGCCGAAATAAAAAAAAATTGGAATCTAAGCTGTATTCCACTCATTTGACTATGATACTGCTTTACGCCGATTGACTACATCCATACAATAATTTTCAACATTAAGTCAACGACCTTCTCCATCGATATTCCTTCAACGAAAGTGAACACGAAGACGAGCCACGTTTGGCAGCGTATATGCAGATCGGGCCATTGGTTGACGTAGAAACCATATCATACCACACCGTCTCGTGCTAAACATTGAATCTGAGAAGAAAACACGTCATATCAACACGCAATCCACTGTCATCAGGTAAAGTGCTGTACTGAATGCCACATGGAAGAATTCATTCATGCCAACGGTTCTCACAAGCTTGATCAGATGTGTTGCATAAATGTTATCTCGCTGATCATGCCTCATTTCACGAAGACTATGCCGCGTCGATGAGCCGATTAGAAAATGTTTTTAAAGAAGTCCTTTTAGGACCAACGATAACTTCCCAACTTCAACATGAAATTCCTTATACTGGTAACCTTTGTATCGTTTGCTGCCTCTACTGTCATGGGTGTATCTATTGCCAAAGCAATTAACACCGAAGTATCCAACAATGCCGAATGCAGCATCAATAACTTGTTGAATTGCAAGACCACCGCTGAACTTGCCAAATAGCAAAAGGACATGACACTGAATATCAAGCTGCCGATTTACATACTTTAGCTACTGCTATGCGTATCCCAGAAGCCACAGTCCTTAAATTGGATCTATGTGATTCTGATTTATTATGTATACCGTTGCTTTGTGACGAATGTGATTAATGAATGCAACGAACTGTCGTGAGACTCTTGGACGGTTTTTTTTTCCAAACGTCTACGTTAGAGACATTTTTTGATCCACTTCTCTCTCCACTTTGCAATAAAGGATTATTGGTGACTTACGCAAGAGCACCTCACGTTGTTCAAATAAGAGATCAATCATCGCAAAAAGGGCATCTTTGACAGAATTCACCGCTTACAAAAGTATTTACAAGTACATTTATTCGCAAAGAATAATCCATAAGACGGAGCGGCCGAATGCCCACTTGTTAGTAACCTATTTTGTACCCAGCTTTTTTGTGAAGACAATCCGGCAACAAAATGTCGACACCGGGACGATGGATGATCTTGTGCGGATAGTTCGCAAATGGTGTCGAGCTAGTTGACCATCATTGAATTTACAATGGGCCGAGTGTGCAAGTAGCAGAGAGCCTCGTGGTCGGTCTAGAGGGTGAAGCGGCTGCCGCAAAAGATACTTGCTGGCAAGATCTTGGTGCTACCATTTATCGCATTATAGAAAGACATGGAATGAGATGGAGCTTTGCTCTAGTGTCGTGGATCCGTTTCTGACAGGACTTTTCGATGACCCTGATAATGGTGTCTATCTGCGATGGATTGACGAGACCACCTTGACGGCTAAAAAGGCCGATATTTCCTCGAGGCCCCGTCCCGATAGGTGCATCACCAAGTCCGGTGGTGTCAAATGGACCAGTAGCCTGGCTTATGGTGAGGCAAAGCCGACAATCCAAGGAGATAACAATTGACTCGTCTGCAAAGATCCAATAAAGGTAGCTACCTTTTGCAAAGAAGCACTTGATGAGCAACTTTTCAAAGGCATATTGGCGATCCAGGTCATTGGAAGAGCTGTGATGTTCTATGTACATGCTTTACCGGGTCAAAGCCTATATACTCTGATCTCTCTCGCGCGCGTCAGAATTCCGGACAGCCTCGAAACTCTGCCCAGTATGGTCACTGAGGTACCCGCTATCCTCAAGGTCTTGGACGTCTTTGACAGACTTTGTGTTCCTGCGAGTCAATCGGAGGTCATCGCTTGACGACGTGGAGTAACCCTCCGAAGGTGAAGATCCTGCAACCCTTCTCTGGTTCCAAGTACTGCAAACGTCAGTGCAACCTTCATCCTCAGCATAACTGATAAAGATGCACAATCCTTCCAGCCATCCCGTTAACTGCTGCTTATATCGGCCAACCTGCCATACTTTATCATTTCTCATCTTCCTTTTGTACTATTCCTCTGTCAATAAAAATTTTTGCCATCCAACACTATACACTTGGGCATTGCGAATAAGAGAATGTAGTTGCATTCTTGAAGTCCATCGATGAATGACAAAAACAAATGTGGTGATTCAGTCGAAGAACATCAAAAAGCAAATGAATATTTGGTAAATTTATGCAACTTTGGAAGATCTTCATTTGATGGCAGAAATTGCTGCAAGTCACAGACAGTTCGAATCGCGACGTGCACTGCTAATTCCGGTATTTCTTGAAAAATGCGTCGTTCCATCGCGCTGGATCTGATCTGTCAATAGGTCTTTCGAAATCGTTTCACCATGTCGCAAATCAACGAAAATATAGCAGAAACGCCCGTGAACAAATCGGCATCGTCAACCTACTTCATCATGACAGACGGTATCAACGACATCCCATGCCCTGAAACCTTGCTGCAGATTGCTGAAACCAATCAAGTGCAAACACCTTGGCAAGAACTGAAAGAAACATTAAAAGACACTATTTTAAAGGTAAAGCTGGCATAACTTTGGACAATTTGCATTTATCACGGAAACTTATCTTTGGATTTTGATTTACTGTAGCAATGCGCTGTGATCGAAGCCCAAGTCACCGATACCGAGATTATCAGCAGCATTGATACAGTCAAAACCAGTATCATTCACACCATTGATCATCATTCAGGGTAAAAAATAGCCTGATAACAATCGATTTAACCAATGACTTGATCATAACTAATATTTATACTGAAATACAGACCTCCTTTTACCATACAACGAGTGTGTGAACTGGTGACTCGACCTACACAGCATTATAAAGTTTTTCAAAAGTATCTTTATGCCATTGAAAAGGTATTACCTCACGAAACAGAGTCATTGCCTATATAACTGATCAAAGATTTTTAGGTGCTCCTTGTTCAATCAAACTGGGAACTATTTAGTGAGACAGACGAAGCACGTTTTGCACTCGACAACAGCGATAACTATGGTTTTGGTGATCAAAATTTTGCCGGCGGTCAAGATCTAGAGCCTATTCCATTCGAGAGTGACGATTCCGAGCCAAAGGATGATGAGGATGATGAAAACGAGAATATCAGTGATAAGGAGGATGAACATGATACGAAGGAAACGAGCCTGGAAGCGGAGCAGACTGAAGTGGATCAGGTTATGGACGATGGCGATGCAGAACAGAAATCACCCGAACAAACCTCCACTGATGATAACGAAGCGAAAGATGATACATCTGTGTCCAAAGACGAAGCGGGGAAGGATGATACGAAAACCAATACAGATGATGCAACGGAAAGTGCCGAAACACCAACAGACAAGGATGAACAAAAAGGCACAGAAGCAGCATCTTCAAATACACCGCATCATACTACAATAGAAGGAGAGCATAATATAGAACCATCAAACAAAATGGATGTAGATGAATCTTGATACATACACACATCGATTTGAATTGATCAGCTTAGTTAAAATAGGGCAATTATGCATAACCGCACGGGAGAAAAAAAAAGTTTTGTATTTATTTAAAAACGGTATTGGCATGTAATACGGGTAGTGTGCGTGATATTGGGATAAGGATTAAACCCATTTGCCGTGACAGAGTTGGTATTTCCCATGAATACATCAGCCTTTCTGTTTCCGGCAGAATCCGATCGAAAATACGACATGTACCTTCAAGACGTACCCATAAAAGCACAATAGTATTATTGAGGTAAAGTGCTGATGAAAAACTGAAATTCTTCAGCATGGAACGGTGGGTGTTGGTATAATGGCGGAACTCTGTTGTTGCTGGTTCGGTGATGTTCAAAGCGGCATGGCGGATATTGGGACGACTTCAGTTCGCAGGAGAAATCCTTAAAACTGATTTAAAGTGTTTACGATTAATCGACGCCTTTTCTTTTCGTCCGTGAGCTGTCAAACGTATTCATTGCCCCCAGGCTTGCAGTGAAAGGAGTCAGCGACGTTCCAATCAAAGTTTCCTTAAGCTTGCCCAGGTACCGCACCATGTCCTGGTGGACGCGGTCTTCTGTGATATCTTCCGCTGTGACCGAATAACCACACGTTGGACAACGATCTTCCGTCTGGAGTTTTTCCTCTAAACAATCACTAGGGAGAATGGTTACTCACTTGTATGGGTCAGCCATGGTTACTCTTTACGTACAGGCAGAAAAGATGTCCACAAGGATTTATCCGACGTGGAGCTTGCAATGGACTGTCGCTGATGAGGATTGTTAGTAAACCGCTTACTGAGCAGGTATATGCAAATGCAGCAATTGTAATTACCATATTGCACAAGTGAGCAATTTCTCAAGTCGTAAAACAGACAATGGGAACGACATGAAGGGGATTTTAGTGAATGTCGACCATTGGGAAGGGCTTTTGCCAATGTCGGTATCTTAAAACTTTTTTTATTTTTTTATTCCTCAAATCCTTGAGACCAATATGAGTTTATGCGCAAATGTGTGCTCGTGTTCATTATACTTAAAAAAAAAGTTCAGTGATAAAGGTTATATATCGATTGTATATTTACTGACTTCCACCAAAATAATTGCAAGGAGGGCGTAGCAATGCTGCAGAGCCAATTCCACCCATGGTCAATTCAGTAACAATAACGTCCATTTGGCGATACAGATGTTCCAAAGAGGACGTTGCACGCTTGTGTTGCCATTCTAATCATAGAAACGCGGGATGAATCATTTTCCTAGATATAATATCATAATGCTCTGGAGCCTCTTACCGTGTATCGCTGAATTCAGCTCGTCTGCCAGTTTTTCTACGTGAATCGGATCCAGCAATCCAGCCACATCCTGGTGCGATGTATCCGCATAAGCCAGAATGGAAAATGTCGCCTATATACTCTTTCTATCAGGACCAGTTTGCTGTCGACACCCTTACAATAACGTCCTTACCGTCAGACCGTCTCTGAATTCAGGGTAGAATTTGGCTAGATGGAAATAACTGGAATGTAATTTTTGACCATAGCTCATGGCGTCTCGCAGGTACGAATTGTTATCCGGATCATCGGTATCCATATCGTCCGATGTCGCTGCACCCCGTATATCAATCTCCATACCAAGACTTAATGATCGTCTCCGTTTTTTTGCACCGGTATCATCGTGGGCATCTATTGATTTGCGTTTGTCTCCCACCGCCAAATCAGAGTATTGATTTTCTAGTTCCGTGACAGTATGGGCCAATTTCTGATGTGCTTTTTGCACCAACCGAATAAAGTGTCGACATTTCAGCCGAAATAGTAAACGAGTGTGGCGGTTGAAAACTTCGGGATAGTGCTCTTTACTGAGGCTGATCGCACGTTCGATATCACCATGTAGAACTTCGCGCATGATTTCTAATAGTTGCCCAGTAAGAAATCAAATCGTACCACCTGTTATATACAAACGCATATTTTCCTGATTGCGTACCTATTCGTAGATCCATCTCATTTGCGTTGATGTCAATGGTATCTTGGTGATCATGGTCGGCGGATGAGGTAATGGACGTTTTTAAAGCTTCGAAACTCTTTCGATAACCATGATGGGCGAGGTATTCGAGGACAAGGTTCTGCATCAGCGTATTATGCCTTCGTGTTTTCGCCACTTTCGGCTCTTTGGATGTGGAGGGAGAGGGAAAATCGACATTGGAAATCGTTTGGAGCACCGCCGCTTCACTGGCTTTCATATAGGACGCAATGTCAAATTTGAAGGGCTTCTGCCCAAAGTTGGTATAAACTTTCTCGCCCGGCGTCTTGAAACCAATAAAAGGATAATATGAATGTTGCATCAAGTTGCTGAAAGCGTGACCCAGATGAACACCGTTTTTCGTATAGAATGCCGTCATGTTGCGATAATCGATGCCGCAGCCGATTATGTCGCCCGTGCCGAATCGCGGTCCATAAGGCTTACTGGTTCCAGGGCCGGAAAACAGATGCCCGTCATCACCATGATAACCCCAAGAAAAATCTTCCCAACCTAAATTGCGACAATGAGCATCGCTACCCTATGTGTATTAGTGTAGAGAGACGTCTTACCTGGTAATCGGTCAAGACTGCTCGAGGCTAAGCAAAAACCAATGCCAATGTGACCGTCGGTCCCTTTTGACACCACTTCCACCTCGTAGTAGTAGACTCCACATTGAGCTCGCATGGGAAAGTTGGCTCGGACAGCTGAAATATCCAAATCCTCTTCCAGAATACCTACCAAAACAATTCAGCTGGCAGTCCTATGCTTGTATGCAATATAATGACCTTTGTACGCAAGCAGTAAACCTTCTTCACTGATGTCCACCAAGCTTCCTTTATCATTAGTACTCCAGGCTGTCGGTAAACGCAGATCTTGCATGATAAGATTCATGGCGGTAATGTCGGTCATGGCCTTGGATCGGTTGAGCAGAGAAATCCGTTGACTATCTTTAGTTCCTGCCAATGGCGCAAGATTCACACGCGGCAGAATCTTGCGGTAACTCGCGTATTGTTCCTGTACAAGTAAGGCATACATTGACCCTTCCAAATATGAAGGATACGTAGGCATGCCGTGTTTGTAGCGATCACAGAAAGCATCGATGTCTTCTGCTGCTGTGCGTGGTTTATCAAAGCGAGCGAGCCGATGCCGTATCCCTGCAAGGCTAGGAGCGATTCTTGGTGTTGATGCTTCACTGGATCGTAAGTTGAGGTCAAAATGCGAAGAGGGAGTGGTCATGGAAAGGACAGTGACGAGTGGTGCTACGACAAAAGACGCATCGAAGTGGAGAACAAAAAGAATTCGAGTTGGCTCGCTGGCAATCCATCCCGCGATGAGCGGTGAATGAAATCACCGTGACCTGAACAGGCATGAATCATGAAGAATAGTAATATGGACAAATTCGACTCTTAATATCCCTGCCACCTTTTATTCCCTTATTATTGGAGTGAGAAAATATGTAAACAGATGTTATAAGATTGCGTGTCCTCTCTTCAGGATGATCATGAATCATGGATAACTTTTTTTATATCAAACCTACATCCTGAGGCGTGCCATTCTTGGCTGTAACATCCTGCCCACGTTTTGCAGTTGTCCATCATTTGACTGGATACAGCAATAGTCCAGTGATGGGACATCGACGATTTTTTGTTTCCTGTCCATGGCTTAAGCCTGAGCCTTCGTCAGCTGTTTCCTTTCATCGGCGACTTTCGATCGTTTACCATGTTCATATCTATTGCATCCATTACCAGAAAACTCATAAAAATGGGATGTTTCATTTTTCTATTGCAAAAGGTATTGATTTATTTATTCACATTCATTAAATTTCTAAAAGAAAAAATGACAGTTCTATATAAGAGATGGTTTAACCGCGCAGAGTTCCCATGACAAGAGCCAACAAAGCCATGCGGACATAGAGACCATAACGCATCTGTCGGAAGTAAGCAGCACGGTGATCAAAGTCAACTTCGGGTTCAATTTCACCAACACGAGGCAAGGGGTGCATGACGATCATGTGAGACTTGGCCTTGCTGAGCATATCGTTGTTGACAGTGATGAAGTTCTTGTAACGGTCGTATTCTTCAGTAGAGGCAAATGCTTCCTTCTGGACGGTAGCCACGTAGAGGACATCCGACACACCGATCACTTCGTCAATAGAGGAGTACATCGTTTGCTTGACACCAGCACGTTCAACTTCTTCAATAATGTCCTTGGGCATCTGGAGATCATCAGGAGCGACATAGTTGAGCTTCACTTGGTAGTAAGCGAGGATCTTCACCAAACTGTGGATGGTACGAGCGTTCTTGAGATCGCCGACCAACGTAATAGTAAGACCATTCACGGTACCAAATTCTTCACGGATAGTGAACACGTCCAAGAAGGCTTGAGTAGGATGTTCACCAATACCATCACCAGCGTTGATAATAGGCACCTTGGAGTACTTGGCGGCAATTTGAGCACTGCCAGGCTGAGGATGACGGAGAATGATAGCATCGGCGTAGCAACCCAAAGTGCGGACAGTGTCGGCAAGAGATTCACCCTTTTGCACGGAAGAAGAGCTGGCACTCACAGAGACAACCTTACCACCCAAACGGCACATGGCAGCTTCGAACGAGCACGAAGTACGGGTCGAGGGTTCAAAGAACATGCTGCTCATCACACGGCCTTGCATCAAGTTGATCGTACCGTACAATTCCACGAGGTTGCGCATTTCCTGGGCAACGCTGAACAACAGATGAAGATCGTCACGGTCAAACTGCTTGGAGCTCAAAATGTGCTTGCGGTAGAAAGGCGAATGGCTGACAACACGAGCGAGCGAGGAAGAGATCTCATACTCGGGAGTACGGTAAGTCATCAATTGTTGATCTTGAGCACCAACCAACTTCACGGAATCAGCGGCGGTCAAACGAGGCGATTGGGCTTCAGTGGCACGTTCGGGAACGTTCAAAGCGGCTTGATCGGCCTTCTTGGCTTGTTCCTTGACGATGGCCTGGACACCCTGGGCTTGGATGGACACATCGCGTCCCATGTTACCATCCACCATGCTGGTACCATCCATGAACACGGTCTTCTCGTTCATCACCACACGGTGAACGGCACCACACACCTTGCGGCCAGCCAAAGGAGACCAGTTGGCAGCATCCTCGGGCCAGACATGCTGACGATCAATTTCAACTTCGATGTAGGTATCGGCCTGAGGAGCCAAACCAAAGATGCGACGAGGGTTCTCGTAGAAACGGTCCGAGATGTCCTTGAGCTGGAGACGACCTTGAGCGACAGCGTCCAACAACAAAGTCAAAGCTTCAGCAATACCGGAAGTAGCAGTAGCGGGCTTGCCAAGTTCAGCGGCCAATTGACGAGGAACAGAGCCTGTAGCGAAACAGTCAATGACATCCAAGTTCTTCCAGAGAGCTTCTTGTTCGCGCTGGGTGGGCAAAAGCTTGGTGTTGTTGAACTGTTCCGAGGTGAAGAAGAGCGAGTACACGGAGACATCGCAAGTAACCTTCAAGCCCTTGGCCTTGCTCATTTCGATCAAAGCCAAATCGTCAAGACCGATCACATTGGTAACGTGGATGATACGGTTGTGGAGCGAAGCCAACAACAAGATGGAGGCAAGATCGGTACCCTTGGCATCGGTCACGACCAACTGGTCACTGGGCCACGACGAGAAGACCTTGTCATAAACGGAAAGTTTGCCGCTACCGATTTCGTCGGTGCTCACATAAGCAGCAGCCGCATCAGGTGCCACAGCATCAAGAGACGAGGCATTGTCGGCCGTAGCAATGACGTTCAACAAGTAATCGGTATGGGCAGCCTTGCGAGCTTCAGTACCGCCGTTCTTCAACGAAGTAGCACTCTTGATATCGTGAGCAATGGCAGAGATGGTGGTGAAACCGGCATTCAAAGAAGCCTTGGAAACAGAGGTGAACTCGGCCGAGTTGACCATGTGGGTGTTGACATTGATCAAACCACGGAAAGTAGCAATGGTGTTGCTGGTCTTGTAATCGACGCTGAGAATATCATCATCCTTCATACGAGCAAGAGCTTCGACGAACAACTTGGCGCACTTGACGTTGGTCAGCAAGGGGATGGAGTAATCAATGGCCATACGACGCGAACGGTAACCCTTGGACATGTAAGAGGCGGGACGACGGAAACGGTTACGCGAGGGCAAGTTAATGTACATGTCAATCAGGTTGTTCGACAAGTGCTGTTGCAACGAGTATTCCGCCTTCATCTTGTCATCAACGTCACCATCCAAGGTTTCCAAATGCTTGACGGGGATGTTGTGTTCCTGGATGAAATCGGCAGTACCGGTGGTGGCAAAGATGTTGTAACCCAATTCGTGCAATTTCTGGACGGAAGGAAGCATTTCTTGCTTCTCCTTGTAAGAACCAATGGACAACAAGATGTTCTTCTTGGGCAACTGGAAACCGGTGGCCAACAAAGCCTTGAGGTAAGCAGAATACTTGTCCTTGCCGAAACAGGCAACTTCACCAGTGGAAGCCATCTCGACGCCCAAAATAGGATCAGCACCGGACAAACGGCTGAAAGAGAACTGAGGCACCTTCACACCGACGTAATCCTTGGGGATCTCGATCTTGGGGTAGGGCTTCACAGGAAGACCCAACATGGCGTGAGTAGCCATCTCGATCAAATCGACACCCATCACCTTGGAAACGAAGGGGAACGAACGAGCAGCACGGACATTGCACTCAATGACCTTAATTTCGTTGTTCTTGGCAATGAACTGGATGTTGTAGGGACCAGTAATGTTGAGAGCGCGACCGATCTTGGCAGTAGCTTCCTCGATCTTCTTGACAGTTTCGGGATCAAGGTCCTGAGGAGGCAACACGAGGGTAGCATCACCAGAGTGGACACCGGCATTTTCAACGTGCTCAGAGACAACGTGCATGATCATCTTGCCGTCCAAAGCCACAGCATCCATTTCGATTTCCTTGGCCTCTTCAATATACTTGGAGATAACGACGGGGTAGTCGCGCGAGACAGCCGCAGCTTCGCGGAGGTAAGAAGCAAGATCGTCCTTGGAAGACACAACGTTCATAGCAGCACCGGAAAGAACGTACGAAGGACGGACCAACACAGGGTAGCCAACCTTGTCACAGAAGATTTCGGCTTCCTCGTAGCTGGTAAGTTCCTTCCATTGAGGCTGGTCGACACCGAGCTGATCACACATGCGCGAGAACTTGTAACGGTTTTCAGCGTTATCAATCATCTCGGGAGAAGTACCGAGCACCTTGACGTTTTGACGGTAAAGGGGAAGAGCAATGTTGTTGGGAGTCTGACCACCCATGGACATCATGACACCAGAGGAGTGTTCAATCTCGTAGATATCGAGCACACGTTCCAAGTTGATGTTTTCAAAGTAGAGACGATCGGCTTCATCGTAATCGGTGGAAACAGTTTCGGGATTGTAGTTGACCATGACAGTCTTGATACCCCTTTCACGCAAAGTGCGGATGGCACGAACAGCACACCAATCGAACTCGACCGAAGAACCGATACGGTACACACCTGAACCCAAAACCATGATACCCTTATCCTCAAAGCTGATGTCATGCTCGACGGCATTGTAGGTCATGTACAAGTAGTTGGTAAAAGCAGGGAACTCGGCAGCAACTATGCGATGGAAACAATTAAGAGTTTAGAGAAATGACTTTTTTTTTGTCACTGAAGACGAAAAAGATACTTTACCTGTATCAATCTGCTTGACATAGGGAGTGACACCGTATTCCTGACGGAGACGGCGCACAGCCAATTCGTTGCTGTTGATTTGAGTGGCGATCTGACGATCGGAGAAACCGAGCTGCTTGGCAGAGCGGATCAAGTTGCCGGGAATGCTAGCCTTGGTGAAACCAGAAAGACGCTTTTCCAAGTTCACAATACGTTGCAACTTGTTCAAGAACCACTTGTCAATCTTGGTCATTTCCCAGATACGGTCAACAGTGTAGCCCTTGTGCATGGCATTGGCAATAGCGAACAAACGTTGGTCCGAGGGCACGGTAAGTTCGTGGTCAATGTTGGCCTCATCGACAATATCAGTCTACAAAATGTGTTGATCAGTTGCTGCAAGCTTCAAAATATATCAAAGATCCAAAATTACCTCACTGAAACCAGGGAAGTGATAATCGATGGCACGAATAGCCTTTTGAATAGTTTCTTCAAAGGTGCGACCAATGGCCATGACTTCACCGACGGACTTCATGGAAGAGCTGAGGGTGGTGCTAACGCGGTTGAACTTCTTAAGATCCCAACGAGGAATCTTGACAACGACGTAATCGAGCGAGGGTTCGAAACAGGCGCAAGTGAGCTTGGTGACACTGTTCTTGATCTCATTCAATGGAATACCCAAACCAAGTTTGGCAGCGACAAAGGCAAGGGGATAACCGGTGGCTTTGGAAGCCAAAGCGGACGAACGAGAAAGACGAGCGTTGACTTCAATAATGCAGTATTCCTTGGAGAAGGGGTTCAAAGCGTACTGAATGTTACATTCACCGACGACACCCAAGTGACGAATGACGTTCACAGCGGTGGTACGGAGCATGTTGTAGTCGTCATCGGACAAGGTCTGGGAAGGAGCGACGACAATGGAATCACCAGTATGGATACCCAAAGGATCAAAGTTTTCCATGTTACACACGGTGATACAGTTGTCTTGACAATCACGCACAACTTCGTACTCGATTTCCTTCCATCCCTTCATCGACTTTTCAATCAACACCTGAGGCGAGGTAGCAAAGGCCTTGTTACAAAGGGCAATGAGTTCCTGTTCGTTATCAGCAAAACCGGAACCAAGACCACCCAAAGCGTACGCAGCACGGCAAATAACGGGATAACCAATTTCCTTGGCAGCAGCCAAAGCTTCTTCGTGGGTAACAGCGGAGGCGGATTGAGCACACTTTTCGTTAATTTCGTACAAGGCTTGAGCAAAGAGGTCGCGATCTTCAGTGGTGATAACGGTATCGATAGGGGTACCCAACACCTTCACACCCAAAGATTCGAATTCATCCTTCAACTTGATACCAACGTTCAAAGCGGTTTGACCACCAAAAGTGACATAAATACCGTCGGGTTTCTCGAACTGGATGACCTTGCGAACGAAATCAGGAGTCACAGGCAAGAAATAGACCTTGTCAGCGAGACCCTTGGAAGTCTGAATGGTAGCAATATTGGGATTGATCAAAATGGTGTAAATGCCTTCTTCCTTCAAGGCCTTAATAGCCTGAGAACCAGAGTAATCGAATTCACCGGCCTGGCCAATGGACAAACCTCCGGAACCGAGGACCAACACTTTGTTCACATGGACTCTAGGGTTCTTTTTGATGTTTTCGGCCTTGATGCCACCGGGCATAACAATGGGAACCATCTTGTTCTGGTCAACGCATTCCTTGACAGTGTTGATGAAGACATCGAACAAAAATTCGGTATCACGAGGACCAGGGGTCGATTCAGGATGGAACTGGACAGAGAAAATGGGCAAGCTCTTGTGAATGATACCTTCGTTGGAACCATCGTTGGCGTTGACAAAGAGTTCCTGGAAATCCTCGGGAAGAGAAGTAGCATCAACAGCATAACCGTGGTTCTGCGAAGTGATGTAGCAGCGACCAGAGATCATGTTGGTACAAGGAATGTTCTGACCACGGTTACCATACTTCATCTTCATGGTCTTTGCACCAGCAGCAAGAGCCAACAACTGATGACCAAGACAGATACCGAAGATGGGCTTGTTAGCAGACTTGAGAACAGTGCGCAAGCGGTTGAAAGTGGTTTCGACCATGGTAGGGTCACCGGGACCGTTGGAAATGAAGAGACCATCGTAAGAATCGGCGGGCTCAGCAGCAAAGTCATAATCCCAAGGGACGACCTTGAGTTCAACGCCGCGGAAGACAAAGCAGCGGATTTGGTTATACTTCATACCGACATCGACGGCCATGATACGTAAAGTGCGGCCGGAAGCGGTCTTGACGGCTTTGCTGGGATCAGGATAGTAGACCTTGGGTTCCTTAGTAGAAACCTCAGCGACCAAATTGCGAGCATTAGGATCAACCCATTCAACATCCTGATAATCCTTCATCCAGCGTTCGGTAGCGTTGTCGCTGTCTTGGGGCTTGGAAGTCAATCCCAAAGCGGAAGCGGCAGCGTCAATAGCCGAGACCGTGACCTTGGGGAACAGAATCTTGGCTAACAGAACACCCTGTTCACGAATCTTCTTTGTCAAGGCACGGGTATCAATACCGTACAATGCAGGAACACCTTGTTCCTTTAACCAGTCAGAGAGCGAGGATTCGGCCAAGTAGTGGGAGAAATCATGAGCATAGTTGCCAACAATCAAACCGGCAACGTGGATTTGAGACGATTCAAAGTACTTGGGGATACCCTCCAAAAGGGCATCCATTTCGGTACGGGAAGGCACACCATAGTTACCAATCAGTGGGAAGGTCAAGACGAGGATCTGACCGCGGTAGGAAGGATCCGTCAGAGATTCGGGATAACCGACCATACCTAAAAAGGCAAGTAAGCATTAGTATCTATCTGGACACTTTTTTTTCTCTCCGCCTTGTACCACCACCCAAAAGCCACCAGATGGTGGATTTAGATGACACAGATCACAGACAGAAAAAAAAAATATTAAACCCGAATTTCACAAAATAATATACCTGTCTGGAAAACACATTCACCAGAGATACTCTTTGCTTCCGAACCAAAAGAAAATCCTTGGAAACTTGTGCCATCCTGTAAAACCAGGGTTCCTGTTGTGACATCGGTGACATCTGCGGAAGCAGTGACAGGGCGATGGGGAGCCGAAGGGGAACGGGGAGATGCGTTGAGCGGAGTGGCGCTTACAGCCGGGGCGGGGATAGGGTTAGCGTAGCCAGAACCAGATTGAGATGCCATTATTTTGTAAACTTGAGAGATCGATGAAATAGAAGATGTTTGGAATTGATATTATACAGATGTATGAAGAAATTTGCGTTGGATGACTGTTGTTTTAAACCAGTTATTAGCCTTATGAGACACGATAAATCATTTCACATCATCATTATCCTCATAATTCAAAGTATTTACTTTTTTTGTTCTGTAACGCACTACCGCAACAAGGTTTACACGTGTAGAGTATGGGTGCACAAAAATGAAAAAGAGAGAAGGGTTAATATAAAAAGGGCGGATTTATTGGGGAAGGATTATCTTTGGATCGTCAGCCGAAGAAGCTGAGAAGTTGCATGGATCTGAAAGTATTCTATTTAAATAGTTTTTTTCTCCAGGAAAAGTTTTTCTCGCTCCGGTTCAAAAAATAAAAAAAACATTTGCCCTGAACCCCATCATCGCACAGACAACCCAACGTTTTTTATGACACAAGGTAACCAATTTTTCCAGATCCTGTTACAAATCATCATATAAAATAATACTTCTTGCAATTGATGACGTGTATTGATATAATCAATGGATTGTTTTGGTTCAGTTCTTTGGCAAATTTTAAATGAATGGTGGGTTTTTTTTTTCGTGGTGAGTTGGTGTTACACAACTTAATCTTTCGAGTCATAGTTGATACCTCCATAAAATTCAATTCCCGCTAACAAATGAAATTCTTGCCTGTTTTTCATTTATCGTTATCTCTGTGGATACATGTTTGAATCACCGTTCATCTTTCAGCTTTTAGTTTATATTTGCCAAGCTCAGTAATGAAGATGAATGGTCAGCGTGGAGAACAACTGTTACTGCTTAGATTATTAATTTAGGTCCTGTTTTTATATGGTTTATTTCCAAGCTAAAAAGACGTTGGCAGGACCTAAAACTTTCGGTTGAACCTTATTTCGGCGACCCAAACGTCCATTGTGAGTCATCGCCCAAAATTTCAGGAAGGAAAAAAAACAGCTTCCACCCATTGTTGTCGCTTCTTTATCCGCAATCCATAAGAAAAAGAAACCTCCCCATTCTTATTTTTTTTTAATTTTTTACGGTTACCTCATACCACAAACAATCATGGATAACATTATCAAGTTTTTCCATTATCGATTCACACTTTCTATCTAATCTCTAATAAGCGTACCTCAAGGTTTAAATACATGATATGAATTCTTCGATGAGCATAAAACCCAACAGTAGCAACTTGCAAACGACGCAAAAATTCCCGGGGATTCTTTGAAACTCAGATTCCTCGGAGTCGCTTTCTTTATCTCTTCTCTTTGAGTCTCGCACCATCTTTCGTATTGCGGATAAGGAATGTTATCATGAACCGTCCGTATGCTTCGCTGAGAACAGTGAAGAGAGGATATCACCACTGATAAAGCGATTCACTCCGCTCTGGAATTTGACAATAGCTTGCAGGGTGACTGAGAAACCAATAGGATAGATACCCGTTGGGACGGCGATTAGATACAAGTACCAATAGATAGAAGGAGCACGGTTAATCGCCATTTCTACCGCGGGTATATTGTAGATACCTTGATGCATGCCACCTTAACGAATTTCTTTGAATGCACTTTTGTCATTTCCGGTAGTGGGAGCAGGTTGCGAGCCATCCGGATAAGTATCTTAATCTATGCTGGAATTCTTGGATGATGAAGTGGATGCATTCACCAAGGACGACAGCCCTACTTTTATGTCTCAAGGGTAACGAAGCGAACGTATTTCGCTCTTCTTCAAAGCAAACAACAGTTTAGATTCAATGTATTTATTTTCACATTGCCGGGCTCCATGCCGCACAATAAAAATCCTTGATTGACTGCTGAACCCAAACAACAACGTACTTCATCGACACGCCCTTGTTCCTTGTTCCTCCTGCTAGAGCCAACGAAACAAACATGCACTCTCCATGCTCCTCTATCATGACGCGTATTCAGTCATTATCCAATGCATTGTTGTTATTTATTATTAATGTACCTTGATAAACGTTCTCAGACGCATACAGTACGACGACGACGGTCAGCCGCTGATATGTAGTGAATCAAAATAATACGAAACTCGGCAAGGGAATGGGGTTGCAATGGCGGTGAATGGCTACAAACACGTATAATCTCACAGGTCGTTCCATGTTATAACTGCAGTTGTATCAGATCAACATCGGGACCACGTAAAACCGTGCGTTCGTAAGTGCCCATGGGTGTTTCAAGCTGATCAAAGCGGAAGCGATTGTTTTCACTATCGGTTCCTCGAAAAATGCCTTGGACCACCGTTTTTCCGTCCATGACAACGGTAGCCTTGGGAGCCGTTTGGGACATGGCAAGCCAAAATTGCAAGTAACGGCTTCGCAATGGATCTGTAGAATTGTCAGACATGAGGCTTTGATTGCAAAAAGAAACACAACGGCAATATTTGTTGGAAATTGAAAAATTTTATTTGGACGATCCCCCGAATTGGATCGACTAGACACATGAAAATGGAAACTGAAAAATGCAACAAGGTAAAACATGCAAGGGTTAGCGAAGAGGGCAGGTTGTAGCGTGCAATCACATAATGAATGGGGGCGTATCGTGGGAAAGGGTCAACGTCGATGAAAGTCAAGCTGTAACCGAGAGTCTTATATGCTGACAATCTTCATATCTTACTCGCTTGATTTTAAATCATATTTATGCATACACCACAGGGAACATAAGAGGTATCATATCTCACAGAGCTCAAGAGAGTGAACTTAGGCGGTGCCACCTGCGGGAGCCGGAAGCTTAGAAATTCAAAAGGGACCTCAAGGAGTAAAATGAGCGACTTTCATGGACTTGATATGACAATTTATTCAACCTAAAAGCGACAAAACGACAAGTCAAATGACAAACATGGAGAAGCAACAGGCCCGATATGACATGTTAGATGGATAAACATTGGAAACTGTGTCAAGATTTTAGATGCAACAGAACTTATTCCTAACCATCAACTGGCCCTTGTGCCCCGGCAAAACCAACCCCACAATACCATTTATCGCAGTCAACGTGAAGAGCACGGGCCGGAACTGTTGACGGTTGGTGCTTTATAAAAATCATTTTATACGAATTTTGTTTTTTCAGCGTCAAGGGTCTTGGGCTTACGGCTGTTTCCAAAAAAAAAAAAAAAAAAAAAAAAAAAAAAAAAAGGTCGATCTCGGAGAAAGCCTTTCTAGATGAGCGGTTTTTGAGAAGAAGAACAAACTTTGGCAGACACGTTGTGTGTCGATTTTATAGGCTTTCATGTTATGACACTACCATTGCGCCTTCCACATTTTCGTGAGCTCAGCTGAGAAGTTTCATCATCAGCAACAAAGTTGCGCAGTAAAGGAATTACAGCAAATACAAAACTGCTGTACTCAATGATGGCAATAAAGATTATAGAGAAAGCGCTCCACGAGCAGAAATCAACACGTCAACGTGAGAGTTATATAGACTAGACCTCGATGATCAACCCCCTAAACATGTCTTGCCAAGAGAATCCCTTTACATCATTCGAACTATTACTGAGCTGACGCCCACTGTAATGTTATTGCTTTTCGGTGGACTTTTTGTGTCACATATGGTTTAAAAGTGGTGACAGTGTGTAATAATAGATCATGTAGCTTGCCATTGCAAACCTCAAGTGCCCCCAAAAGTTGCTCACAACTTGATAGGATACAATATGACTTACACGCACCGATAGCAAATGCCTAAGCTTGCATGAAAGCGAGTCTAGACAATTACCAATCTTCTACTGGTTGATGGGGATACTGCAGGAGGTCGAACCACAGCAAATTTCAGGTTCGATCTGAAGGGAACCAGTGACGGAGTTTATTAGTTGAATTTGTCGTTTCGAATGAAACATTTGTGAAAATACTCGCCAATCATATTATCTCTTTGGCGTCATTTGAGCAACCGCTCCCACACAGCCACTGCAATACAGCCTGTGTGTTGCCATACTATCATGGAACGGGAAAAGCGTTTGAAATACTTTATTTCTTCATGTTACAATTCTTTTACAAGAGTATATTAACATAAAAGACAGAAATCCTCATATAGTCAACTTTCAAGGATATTATCCTCGAGTATATATATATATATATATTTAGTGCTAAAAAAATTTAGAGTAACATGAAATATTATGAAAAAAATTGACCCATATCCGTGCAAAGGATCTGCAGCGATATCTTTTTTTGTGTGTCTCCTGACAACCGAACTCCGACAACGGAAAACGAAGGACAAAAAAAAAAGATCGACCGAGGCAAACAGGTCAATCCCCGCTTACTCTCTTTTTATTACTTGAAGAATCTCGCTTTTACTTGCTTCTTCGGATCCATGCTTAATTCATCGATGCAAGGACACCACTGTATTCTTATTGCAGTGGTGTTGACATTGCTGTTTACAGCGAGTTATTTCCAGTTTTATACCGCGCAAGTGGTATCCGGACGTGCTATCGAAGTGGAATCCAATGTCCCTGCTCCTGGGAATGAAGAAATGGTTTTTGACTTGCCGTTACCTGCCGTCCTTCCGGAAGTAACCGAGTCACAAAAAGCGGCGTTGTATCCTCCAACCGTCAATGCTTGTGATCAGGTCGACATTGAATGGCTGTAAGTTGGAAAGCCAGGCTGGTCTCAGGAAGCATAGATTATGCTTACAAATTTTTCTAAATTTTTTTTATTTATCTTTGTATTTTTGACACATTTAGAGCATCTGACCGAGTGTATTGGGACGGCTGGACTACGAAATCTATGTTTATCAGCGCAAATGGATCATTCACAACAAAGGATGTTCATATCACCGAAGATACATCCGTCTGTGTGGTAGTCTTGGTAAGGCATTTTTTGTTATCATCTTTCGGCTTTGACGGAATACTGAACCGTGCTTTTATCAGCTCGGTCCTATTCCAGCTAAATCGTCGATACGACCTGAGAAGCATTATGGACCTGCCGACAGTATTCTGATGACAGCCGCGGGTAATAAAACCCGAATTGCAGTCAATTTACAGCAGCATGCCAAACAGACCAATGCTTATTACGCCTCTGTCTATTTTGCCAATGCCGATCAATATCGACTTGAGGCTTTCACCGAACACCGCTCTTATTTCTGGGAAACTCCGATATACCATGCCTACCGGCCATTTCCATTTGTTTCCCAGAATCGGCTCATTGTCAGAAAAGCACCGAAAGGCAGTCCGGTAGCCTGCGATCTGGCTCACTTGGAGCAAGTGCAAGGAAGCTGGGTGCTCTCGAAAACCGGGAGATACGATTTTAAAACGGACCAGTGTCAAATGGCGGAGATGGATCCTCAGCTTTTGCAAGCCAAATCCATCCATGTATGGGGTGACAGTAATATACAAAGGTACGTTAAATGGGCATCATGTTTATTCGCTTTCGATTAACAGATTTTCTTTGCGAATAGAAATTTGAAAGCATTGAGTCTTGGCGATGCTTGGTGCAATTATGGAGAAAGTCGATGCCTGTGTCACGACGATGATGATAGTGAGAGCTTGACAAGATACCCTTGGTCTGTGGATCCCAGTACGCCTTTGAAATTGAATAACACCTTGCACGGAAACATCGATATTCACTACCAATCCATTGGCCCTATCACTCTGCGAGATGTTCGTTCGGAAGTGAGACGTCAAGCCGACAAGCTTCCTGCTGCTGATCTCGTCATTATCAGCATCGGCAATGGCGACATTCCACTTTCGCGTCTGACCTCAAGACAATTCGCGCAAGCCTCCTTTGATCTCTTGAACTACATGCTTGACCAAATTTACCCGTATCAAACGATCGTTCTTCGAACACCCCAGTTCTTTGGTCACGGCACGCTCTTCTCTACTTCTTGGAACGCTGCCCGCAGTTCAGCATTTGCGACTGTCATTCGTGATTTTGTCGCGTCATGGAAAGGCTCAAGAAATATTGTACTGTGGGATACTCAGAAACTTGGTGTCGAACCAAATCACTGTACTTCGCTTGGTACTGTTCACAGCAGGCGCAACGTTGTGGATGTGGAAAACAAGCTTCTACTGAACCTACTTTACAATACCAAGTTGACCTTGTCATCCTCATAATTATCTTTATATCTGTTCTTTTCCCATTTTTTAGTAAATAGATTTCAATAGTATCATTTATGTATAAACAATTTTATGAATTAAAAAGCATACAGCAACCACCACTTTTACGCAAAAGAGGAAGAAAACGTGCAGATATCCATTGTATGAAATTTTTTAAAAAAAAAGGTCGTGCATGGCTTGAAAATGCGTCAGGAACTCATGTCCAGATGCGTTTCATAAGTCACTTTTGGTGCTCGGCATGAGACCCTTTATGCATCCATAAAGGCTGTAACTATGTGATTATGATTTTTACAGGCCGTACCTACCTTGAAGAGCACACGCGATGTTGCATCACACTGGTTAACGGTACCCCAAAACGATGGCTTATCTAATTGACATTGTTACTTTAATGCCGCGCTAAATTTGAAGAAAGCAAAGTATCTGATGGTCATTATTATATTGGCAATACCATGATAAAAGACGGATGAAAGGCGGTACACTTATTTTTATTCTACCTGCACTGTATACGAATCAAGCGGAAGGGAAAAAAAGAGAGCGCCAATTATCATGCGGTGCAAGTGGTCAAAGCAGGGGGCTGGTGCTGTTATACCCAAAAAAATAATCCGTAAGCGTCTGTTTTGATTTGGTTTCTTCTCACGATCCATGGTAACATAGCGTTCTTGTTCTTCTATCATGGGTTCGATAGGGTTAAAAACAGAATCTGGAGAAAGAAAAAATGTTTTGAGATTCATCGCACGACGAGTGTCACGTGCAAAGTGGGGTGCAAAATGCTGTACCTTGAAGTGGACCCAAAGCTTTTACGCACTTGTGCATTGTTCATTTGCAATAGTATGATTGCCTTCATTCTTGTCATTAACAAACGTTGTCAAACTCGGTTTTCAAGATACTATGACAATACAGGCGACGCAATAAAGGACCGAACGGCATTTGAGTTAAATGTAGCGAGACAATGTCTGGTCAGAAATGCCAAACAGGTAAGATCTTCTTATTATAGTATCCATTGCGACGTTCGTTTTTCTTTGGAACAAGATTTTTTTTAACTGATGTCAAAAAATTGAACAATATCAAGTGTCTTTTTCTATCGTTTCAGAAACTAAACATCGGTGAGTGGGCTGCCAGATACGGAAATTCAATGTTGAAGGTCAGCACATCGCTCAATCATCTTATGGCTCGTTAGTCTACCGTGTCTATGCTTCGCTTTATTTCATTTTAGGCTTTGATAAAGATGAGGTACAGTTACATCGATTTCGGATTTTTGGGCACGATAGGAAAGGCTGATCTTCGTCGCAGAATGAATTTGCTATGCTTGAGCTGATCCAACGCTGTGTTGGTAAGATAACAATGTTCTCGTCGACTCTATTTTTCTCACCGTCAAAATGACCTCATATTTTATGTCCTGTTTTACTGCTTTTGCTTTTGGTAGAATCGTTGGATATATATTTTGAGAAAGTGGTAAGCTACACGAAGGAACATGAGGGGAGAAAAAAGGAAATTTCAAGGTTGCACGACCCTCTATCTGATCACTTTTGATGATCGATATAGACGGAACTCGATCTGATGTTCAACTTGGAAAAAGTACACATAATCTTAGATGACACTATCCTCAAAGGCATTGTTTTGGAGACCAATCAGGATCGAATATTGGCTCCCATTGACACACTTACCAAATCTTCCAATTGAAATCCAACATCAGTAATTACTTGGTTCAACCTACAAAATGTAACCGAATCTAGTTCGGCACACTTGATCTCTGTTCATTTTTGGATTTGTGCGCTCGGCGGCACATGAGACTCTGTTAGAAATGGAGGAAAAGGTTTCGATTAGCGTTCCATATACGGTCGTGCACCTCCCTTCGTAATTGATCGTTCCGTTGTCTCCATTTTCGTTTTTACTTCCTTTTTTCTTTTTCCTTTAACTACATTTTGTTATCAACCCTATTTTCTTTTTTTTTTTACATCTCTTTAACTTTATCTATTTTTTCTATTGTTAAAGAAATCATTATTTATTTTTAAAAAGGCTTAATGGATCAAAAGATTAATCGCCTCGAAAGCGGCGAGTTTTCGACGGAGAAGACGGAAATCGACAAAGATTCCAATACCCTTGAAACGCATGTAGAGTTGCAGCACCTTCAGGGCGGCACTAAACGTGGTTTAGATGCAAGACATATTCAGATGATCTCGTTGGGAGGTGCCATTGGGTATGTAACGAACAACTGTAATAGAGGGCGGCTCATTCATCCATACAAACATATCCATTTTACAGTACCGGTCTTTTCCTCAACATGGGAGGCAATATCGCCACGGTAAATATAAAAAGCGAACCACCGTCCTCTTGTCGACTTCCTGTAGATTGATGAAAAATGATTATTGTAGGCTGGCCCTGCTGGTGCTTTGATTGCCTATGTGGTTGGTACGTAGGACAACGGGCTGATATCGGGTACAAATTTTCATCTTAATATGTTGTCGTAGTTGGTATCATGGTATATTGTATCATGACTTGTCTGGGAGAAATGGCTACTTTTATGCCTGGTAAGCTTTCAATGTTTGTCCTTCAACTGACAACTATTTTCCCATTCTCATTATCATTATTACAGTGACGGGTTCTTTCAACCACTATGCTACTCGATTTGTGGATCCAGCATTAGGTTTTGCGTTGGGCTGGAATTACTGGTAAGTGGAACTGGTGTGCCGTTTATCCTTGTGCACGGAATTCACAAATTCGCTTTCTTAGGTTTTCTGTAAGTTTAACATTGACAGTGAACTTCTAAATGATAGTTAGCTGATAATAATGTGGGCTTCTCTTTATTCGTGGACCGATTACTGAATTTTTCAGTGGGTATGTAATTGATTTAATGCTATGCGTATGAGAAAAAAAGTACGATCCTGATTGAAAAAAAAAATGAATAGGCTGTTACTATTTCTACTGGTAATTCTTTTTGTTTTTTCTCTGCAGTAACAGAGAGTAAGTTTGTCTTATTCCAATGAATCTCTACGCATTTTATAGAACTAGCTGCTGCTGCTACGATTATTGCTTGGTGGAAACCTGTCATGCCTGATGCAGCATGGTCCACTATTTTCCTTGTCATGATTCTTACCATTAATATGGCCAGTGTAAGGTTGGTAAAGACTCATTAATATTTTTAGCATCCTTTCTCAGCCTAATGTTTCGTTGGAATTTAGACTTTATGGTGAAATCGAATACTGGTTTGCCATGATCAAAATCATCATTGTTATCGTTTTTATTATCATTGGTAACGTATTGTTCGCAGTGCGCTTTTAGCCTACGGGAAAATGCCTAATGTGGGACTCTCGATATTTAGCTATCCTCGTGACCTCTGGTGCCGTGGGTCACAAAGTGATTGGATTTGCGTACGTGTCTTCATTTTGCGTTACCAACCTTTTCCGTTAATTTTCTCATTGTGGTTGATTACTAGTTATTGGAAAGACCCTGGCGCCTTTGTCGATGGCGCAGTTGGCACCGTGAGTGTGCTTTTATCAGCTGGTTTTTCTTTCCAGGGAACCGAAGTTGGTAAGAAAAAACACAACCCTTCTTTTTTACTTGATTATCCCGACTTTGTGCTATTAGCATGTTGTTTCTTCCCGGCCAAAGCGGTTGTTCGTACAACCTCAAATTGTTTCTCACAAATGACATGATCTTCTTTCTATAGTGGGTATCACGGCCGGCGAAGCCAAAAATCCTACCAAAACTGTACCGCGCGCTATTCGCAACACGTTTTGGCGTATTCTCATTTTCTATGTGGTCACCATTTTTTTGATCGGTTTATGCCTTCCAAGCAACGACCCTCAGCTGGAGAACTCTGACGACGACCCTGCTACGGCGGCTTTCACGTTGATTTTCAAGTTGGCGGGTATTGACGCCGGTGCTCATGTGATCAACGCTATTATCCTTACCAGTGTGTTGTCGGCGGCCAACTCTTCCTTGTACACCACCGCTCGTACCTTGCTTGGCCTTTCACGCGATGGTAACGGTCCTGCTTTTCTTGGCAAAGTCAACCGCTTTGGATCCCCTTACTGGGCAGTTCTGTTCTCGTCCATTACTGGGTTTGCCGTTGTTTTTGTTTCCATTTACAGTGCATCGGCGGCATTTGAATGGTTCATGAGCATTACTGCTGTATCCGGTTTCATCAGCTGGGCCGGTATTGCTTTTGTTCATATCCGTTTCCGAAGAGCTTACAATTATCAAGGACGCAATCTTGACGACTTGCCTTTCAAGGCTATTCTTTACCCATATTCAGGCATTTTCGCTTGTGGGCTCTGTATTCTCATCATTCTCGGCCAAGGCTACGTTTCGTTCACGCCAAAGTTTGATGCCATCACATTCTGCAAAAGTTATATCGGAATCATTCCTGCCATTGTATGTTATATAGTGTACAAGGTCCTTCGAAGAACCAGGGTCGTGCCACTTGGTGAAGTGGATTTTGAAACGGGCCGTGTCACACGTCTCGACATCGAGAAAGACGAGGAAGAAGACATTGATGTTGCTTGGTGGAGACGTATTTTACGATGGATTGTGTAACTGAGAAATTCTCATCTACATTTCTCAAAAATCAACTCGTGCTATAAAATTACTCTTTCTTATTGTTGTTATTCGTATATCGTACCATGATTGTTTCCAGAAAGGCACAGATTAATTAAAGTCGCTTTGTGTCCTGCAATACACAAAAAAAGTTTTCTATATTTGCCTATGAATGCTGATTTAAAAAGGGACCTGTAAATTCATTGAATGTAGCCATGGACAGTATCTGAATATCCGTATGTTTCCATGCAGATGAGTGGTTTTGTATTTCATGATTTTTTTTGGGGGGAGCATAAATTATCGCATTATTTGCATCTCATATCTGGGCACTGCCTTTATTTGCCTCGCCCTCGCCTGTGCCAGGTAAAAAAATGCTTCATCAATGTGGAGATGGAAATTTTTTTGGGAACTGTAATTGGGAAAGCAGCCTCCTTGAACCGTTAGAATTACACCAAATATGGCGCATGATACGGTTCAAAAATTCTTGCAAGCCTGGCATGAAATCGCAACACTATCACTGCCGTATGGAGTGACCACCTCCACTATCTGGTTGGTGGGACGTATAATAATAGATGGGTTCGTTTTTTTTCCAGCTTCACATTGTTGTTGTTTCACCGGGAGATGTTGGTTTTATACAAGTCTTTATTAATGCACATTGTGGTGCGAGAATGAACTATATCCATTTCTGGCTTGCGTTGCATTGGCAAGAACATAATCTTTCAAAAATTTAAACTTTCGATTTATCAGTTGTCATACTTTATCATTGGATGCCACAACGATGATATACAAGAATGACGCTGTTGCGTTTTCGATCAGGTGGCACGTGGGAAGTTTGAAAATCCGCATTTGGCATCGGTTTCATTCATGTGGGCAGTGGTTGGTAAAAAATCGTCCAATGATTTATCAGCATTCTTATTTTCACATGAGAATCCCAGGATTGGTGCAACGTGCAACCGGCCGTCCTGGTGCTTTTTGCATTTTCACCTGTTTTGCCTTTCCTTGTTCGTAATATTTTTTTTTCTTTCTCTATCTTCTTTTTTTTCTTTACCTTCTTATTAATGCTGGTTCCATCAGCTAATACTGTCTTTATTGTACGCCATGGAGAAAGATTAGGTGCGAATCATTGTGATGGGACGGAAGAAAAATAAGTTCCGCTGCCACTGACAGTGTAGAAAATTACCCCACTTTTAGATCATGTGCAAGAACTATGGCAACCAGATCCGGCCCATGGTATCTGGGATCCGCCACTTTCTCCTCATGTAATAACTTTCACAATAAATATTTTACATTTTATGGGGCGCTTACACGACGCACTTGCATAGGGTCATGAACAAGCAAGGAGAACGGGTCGTCACTTGATTGACATGATGCATGAACGTGGACTGGATCCCGACGATGCCACCATCGTCATTTACACTTCCCCTTTTCAGCGATGTATTGACACCAGCATTGGTCTTGTCCACGGTATGGAGGCTGCCAAACCGCCGATATTACGGCTCGATCTAGGACTGGGGGAATGGATGTGCGAGCGGTTTTTTGATCAGGTGTGTCCTGCACAGCAACTTCTTGCACGTCAGCAGCAAGAATTGGCAAGGCAACAAGCGCTGACGTATGCTGCTGCAGCCAACCCAAATATGTATATTTCCCAGTCACTGCTTCCTTCCATGCATATCGATTATGGTTTCACGGCGACTGTCACCGATTTTGAATACCCCGAATACTATACTGACATGTTGCAACGATTCAATCGTGCACGGCTTGCATGTCTAGGAAATGTGGCAAAAGGATTACCAAAGAGCCACTCTCACGATCCATCGAAAACCGTCATCATCATGGTGACCCATGCTGTCGGTGTCAATGCATTACTTGACAGCTTTAGAAATCGAGTGACACGACCAGTGGAGACCAGCTACTGCAGCGTTTCGTGCATTGAATGGCATAATCCGATGCATTGTTTGGACGGGTCATCCAGTGATCAAAGCGATGATAACATGATGGATGATGACGACGAAGAAAATTTATACGCCGAACTAGCACCCGCATCTAATAATTTTCAGCACAAGAGCCGCTGGAAGATTACCTTGAGTGCTTCGGGAACCCATCTGCAACCCACCACTTGAGATGACGGACTCATATTTCTTTCAAAACGATTAGTCCTACTGTATGCCCTCTTTTTATGGTTATTCCTGAACATCCATTTTTTCTACTTTAGTATATCCCCCCATCACACTCATCCATCCATTATTACCTGTTTTTATCCGTTCCCTTAGCATTACTTGTCATCAAACAAGAACGTAAAAAAGTAAAAAAGAAAATCGCTTTGGAATCGCCTTGGGCTAAATTCACTCCCTAACTCTATATTAGGTTTTTCTTGAACAACGTTTTGTTCACTCTTTTTGTTGCTCCTGGTATCCCTTTTTACGTATTCATATGGTAAAAATCCGGCGATTGCTGTGGCAATCAGAAAATCTGCTTCTTTTTTCTGTAGTTGGGTTCTTTATGCGCATCGCTTCAATGATTTCTGATACTGACTCCTGAAAAAAAAATCCTGATGCTGTTGTGATACAAAAAGATAGGGTTGCAGGAAAATTAAATTTAATGGAACTGGGTCATCAGAACCGAGTGCACTATGGACCGAGATAAACAAAGAAACAGGGTCCATTCGTGTGCGCATACTGTTTCAATCGGCGTCATTTTTGGGCGCACATGTGGGTTGAATTCCCATCCGAGATAACCAAAGCAAAAAGGGAAGCAGTTTAGCATGGGAAGAATGAATTGCAAATAGAATACATGAAAAGAATTTTATTTCTTGCTACATTAAAATAAGAAGATTTGGGGGGAGAGCCTGATTTCTTGCTGCATTCAAGCAGCTAAGACAGGAAATCTGTTTCTAGATTCATTACAAGTTGTGATGCATCGGTCTTTTGTGAATCGAAGCTTCCTAGCGTGAAGGTTGACGATGCAATAAAACCAAAACAAGTGAAGAGGAAGTACGGCGACAGCAATCATCCAGAGGGTATCTACGCGACGGTAACGTCGAAGCATGAATATCATGCATATGTGTAAAACTAGTCGTAGCAAGAAAAAGGACGCTGCGAATAAAAGATCGGAACGCCATTTTTTCTTGAGAGATCCAATAGCGAGAATCAAGGTGGGTAATTCCAGGATAGATGCCATTGCGAAAAAAGATGAAATCCTTCGATGGAGGAACCATAGCAATATAACGATGTAAGCGGTATGGTGGACCCAGCCGGTGAGAATGGTGATGCGTCGGCGGTAAAAGACGGAACCGAGCGACAGATCCAGAACGAGATACACGATAAAGAAGCATACCAAGGCGGTTTGAGCCACTGAGTCATGGTCAAACAACAAAAGGTCCCATCCTGATCTCCAAAAGTAATAAAAGTTTGGCAGGCCCATCAAGGTGCACACCAAACTGCTTGCCAATGTGAGAAGCCAGCTGACTTGTTTCTCGGATTCCGCCATTCCACTTTTAACGACCAAGGCAAAATACGCGGTTAAGAGGAGAAAACTCGCAGCAAATGACATAGGTACATAAGGTTGAGCAAAAATGGATGCAACCGCAACGGTTACAGGATGTGAATAAACGAGCATGAGTGCGCAGATAGCCTATGTATTAAAAAAGAACGAAAAGCAAATTGCAGAATAAGAATCCATGCTTTTTCTTTGATTCGCTTTTTTATGTCGAGAACTTTTTTTTTAAAATTTGAATATGGCCACATTGCATCGAAGTTTAGAAAGAAAGAGATTCGAATGTTATCCTTAAAGATGATTGGATCCACTGTGAGAAGACTTCATGCATTCTCCTGTACGAACGTCGTTTTATTGTTGACTTTCTGCTTTTGATCCAATAGTGACATTGGATTTGATCACGGTCAAAAACGGCAAAAAATATTTCTTTTTCCGATGCCGCCTTTTTTTCACCGTCCCTGAATACAGTCCCAAAAAAAATTTTCCTCGTAAAATTATAAAAGCGCCCCCAGTGGCTGAAAGCTGGTGTGTGTTTATCTTTTATACGACTTTTTTCTTCGGTTCTTTGTATCTTTCAAGGTAATTATACATACTCTAGTCGAGTAAAATGGAGTGGGACCAGAGTGGACCGAACATGGATGATGACAAAACGTCCAAAAGCAACTGAATTACAATTGTGTTGCCTCAAAGACATAATGTTAAGTTTCAAGCCTTGTCTGACAATTCAAAACTAGCCATATTATGATGGCTTATGGGGGATGGGATATGGGAAGGAGAAAGAGGAAGGGTTTACCAATGGGCGCTATGACTGTTGGAACACGTCAATTAACGGTTTCTCTTTCTTCCAGATACAAAAAAAAAAATGAACCCGAGCTAAAGACCGTGATCCCAAACAGTAAGTATGACAAAAAGCTTCAAACTGGCTTTTTTCTTTCTCAAACTTTGAGGATGATAATTTCCGACGGGCGGACGGACTCGTGCCTGTACAGCACACTTATAGAATGTCGATTGTCGTTTTTCTGAAATTCGTTTGAGAAACAGAAAGCTGGGAGAAGCCCATATAGAATTTGAAATGTTTTTTATGAGCTTTTTTACTCATGCTGTGCTTTTCTTTAGGGTACGTGCTGTGATTCTTAGAATGATGGATTATTTTTCCCCTCTATTGGAATAAAAAAAAATTTACTGCCTTATTTTCCTTTTTCTCTTTGATGGCGCAATGTCCAAGCGTGTTGTTTGATTGGTGAAAATTTCAGTTATGAAACCCTTTAATTTGAGCGTCGACTTGATCAGAATAATACCCAGTTGCTTTCTCCTTTCCATTTCTTTTAACTTGACATGGGTGATATTTTTCTCTTCACATCGGAATCGGTTGGCGAAGGTCATCCTGGTAGGCTATTCCTTTCCGAGGACTTTGAATGAGTAGACTCATAAAAACCTTGGGGTGGCGTTTCTGCAGACAAAATCTGCGATCAAATATCAGATGCTATTCTTGATGCATGTTTGGCTCAAGATCCGCTTTCCAAAGTCGCCTGTGAAACAGCAACGAAAACAGGCATGGTAATGGTGTTTGGAGAGATTACCAGCAAAGCAACCTTGGACTATCAGAAAATCATACGTAATACAATCAAAGAAATCGGATACGACGATACGGGAAAAGGGTTCGACTACAAAACTTGCAATGTGCTGGTGGCCATCGAGCAACAATCTCCGGATATAGCCCAAGGTCTTGTCCAGAAATCGTTCAACATTGAGGATATCGGTGCGGGTGACCAAGGTATCATGTTCGGCTATGCCACGGATGAAACGCCGGAAATGATGCCCTTGACCATTATCCTCGCTCACAAATTAAACCGCCGCATGGCGGATCTGCGCCGCAATAACACATTGCCATGGCTTCGTCCGGATTCGAAAACACAGGTGACCATTGAATATCGGAACGATCACGGAGCCATGATCCCCCTTCGTGTTGATACCATTGTCATCTCGGTACAGCATTCCGAGGAGATTGAAACGATGGATTTGCGGCACGCATTGATGGAATATGTGATCAAGCCGGTGGTCCCCGCCCATTTACTGAAAAACACAGTTTATCACTTGCAACCCTCTGGTAAATTTATCATTGGCGGTCCTCAAGGGGATGCCGGCTTAACAGGAAGAAAAATCATCGTGGACACTTATGGTGGTTGGGGTGCGCATGGCGGCGGAGCGTTTTCCGGGAAAGATTGGTCCAAGGTCGATCGTTCGGCGGCCTATACTGCTCGCTGGATTGCCAAGTCTCTGATTGCGGCAAAATTATGCAGACGTGTGATGGTTCAGCTCTCTTACGCCATTGGTATAGCGGAACCGCTTTCCGTTTTCGTGGAATCTTACGGCACGGCATCAAAAGCTGACGCCGAACTAGTTCAAATTATTCTTCAGAACTTTGACTTGCGACCCGGCGTAATTGTAAAGGATCTGGACCTTTTCAAACCTATATATCAGCAAACAGCCGTCTATGGTCACTTTGGTCGATCAGAATTCTCATGGGAAATCCCAAAACCTTTAAAGTTCTAATTTGTGAGCTTTGTGGATGTCTAATCATGTGATAGCAGACGTTGATTCCCCCTTATCATGTTTCTTTTTTCTTTCCACCGTTGTATACATTAATCTACTAAACATTTTTTCCACTCTGAACACTTACTGCTGCAAAGCTAGATCTTGCAGGGAACGAAGACCGTTTGGAGCGTTATTGACGCACAAGTCGTTGCCATATGTGTTTCACCTGCGTAAGCCTACAGGATTGCTGCATCGCCATTTGCTCTGAACGCCAACAAGTATCTTTTCACAGCTCTCTTTCCTGTGGTCTTTTTTAGAACTAGAAGCTTTGAGAAACAAAAATTCATTAATGTAAAATTAGTGATCCAGCTGTATACATGCAATATTTCAAATGGAAATGGTACTTATTTAAAACTCTAAATATGTGTTGTGGAAGAACAAAATAATGACAAACTCTTTTTAATCTAACGATAGTTGAGGCGTTTGATGATGAGGAGCAGCTGAGGAGGTAAGGGTATGAGGATGAACATGACGCCGATAACGAGCGATCATTTCGGATATAAGAGCAATTGTGTCGTTGCCTAGTTGATAATAATGAGCGCTTTTGGCTGGGTTAAACATGCTGGTATGAGCTTTCACTTCGGAAGCTGCATTGGATGGACATGGGATAAATAAGTGCGCGGTGTCAAAAGGAGGCAGAGCAATAAATGTGCGCGGTGAGGTTACGGCGCCGTCCGGATTGGGTAGCTATCATTTATTCCATTAGTCTTGATTGATAAACCCATGCGGCGACGACAATATATTGTGTACCTGGACATAAAAGCATCGAAAAAGGATATCCGGAAGCTCCATTAATTCACGCACTCTGATAATAGGCGACCCGTATAAGCACTTTGAATATGTAAACCATTCCTGTATACCATTGTTTACCTTTGCGAGCATCGGTTCATATCTGTCAAGGCACTGACAAATTCAAGCTCATTGTACATGTCTGTGACGCTCGCAGCAATTTTGTCTCTGGTCATATAAGCCGCAGCGCCTACAGCTGCTACACCAACAACACCTGCCAGGAGCCCCCAACCTCCCATCGACTTTTTTTTCGTTGTGGTGCTGACCTGCGTCACGGTACGACTGCTGCTGCTGGAAACTTGTGTCGATGAATTCTGCAAAAATCGACCCACTTGTTCCACACTAGACATGGCTGTCGTAGACACAAAATCGTGATTCACCGAATAGAAAGGGGTATCAAATGCAAGCAAGCCAATGATTTTGGCCGATCCCAAAGGTGTATCCAGCCTTGAATGAAGTTGAAGAATCGTCTCGGCCGCTACAATCAAAAGCAATGGAAAAGAAAAAAAAAAGGCCCGCTTATGAGATAAAACGACGATTTTGACGACGGCATCAAGTAATTCGTTTGATGGCTTACCGACAATGCCACCCATGGAGTGACCAATCAGCACCACCATGACATGTCCTTTACTCTGCAGGCGCTTCATATCCTTGTGCTGACTCTGAACAAGATCGCATAACCATGCGCTCAGATTTCGCACTGCTAAAGTGAGATCACTATTCCAATATTTGATAGAACCGCGACACTTTCGTTACTACGTAACATAGGCTAATTGAAAATGCGTTTACAGTACCCTGCTGTCTTATAACTCGGATAAACAATACTATCCACATCGACATCCGACGAATTGCTCAAAATGGTTCTTAATCGATTAGGAAAATCCTAGTAAAGCATGATATGAATTTTTCTGATTCTCGAGAAAAGGAACTAAATTGAGTATGGAATGTTCAAAAGTACATGAAAACTGGTATCTGAGCCTCGGTAACCGTGAATAAAGACCAAAAGTAGACGATCTTTATGATCCAAGGAATTCGTTTGACTCATGCTGGGAAACCAGTGATCGGAAAAAGAGCAATTTTTCCTTATCAGCAAGTGGATGGCCTGAACATCTGATTCTGTCACCGCCTTTTCTGCTTTGGAATTGGATGGGCTCACACGCTGGCTTCGAATTTCCGATCAACGATGCATCGTCCGGTAAAGCCCTCTTTGATTGCTCATTTTAGGCAAATGGAGATGACATTGCAGGGTTCTCCGCCCCAAAACGGCACGTGATAGACAATTTTAAATAGTATGGCTTTGTTGGTTCAACTGGTTTTCTTTCACTTCTGTGGCAAACCATTTTGTTTTCAATGTCAGATCCTTTTCGTTATTACATCGCTCCCCCTATTGACTGGTCGGACGACCAGCTGGACACCTTTAGAGCCATCATGGATACATTTATCGCCTCACTGACACCCGAAGAGGAGGAAAACTTGGCGAAGAACCTGAGCAATACTGGGTTGCACAACCGCCAAGACATTCGTGAGTTTGCCCAGCTATCTTGCACGTCGCTTGAAACGCTGGATTCCATCAAAGCCTTCGTTAACCGAGCGGTGGCCCCCGAGAAGCGTCAGGAGCTCGGTATGCTTCTGTCTCTCTTGTCCACTCGCGCAGGCACGTTTGCTCTCACCGGCCACTTTACAGAATTTAAGCTTTTGTCCCGTCAGGAACGAGAAAAGGTTTTCCTCAATTGGAAAGATTCATTCTTGCCGCAGTTACGACTGATCTACAAAACCTTTTTTGCCATTACCTGTCATCCATCGTATGGAGCCAAATCCAGTGTACTACACAGGGGCATGGGATATCCTGGTCTGGATGTAGCACGTTCGCACCCCGATTATAAGCCGTTTAAGGAACATGAACGTTTACGGATGATGTCTCTCGAGGACTTGCAACCTGACCTGGAATTTGATGCCATTGTGATCGGAAGTGGTGCAGGCGGAGGTAAAAAGGACCATCGCCAAACAAAGGCACAAATTTCAGCCCAGGATTCACTAAGCATTTTGGGGGGGTTCTTTAACCAGGAGTAACAGCGGCTGAACTTGCCAAAGCCGGTAAATCTGTCTTGGTGATCGACAAGGGTACATACTATCATGCTTCCGAACTTGAACTTCATGAAGCTTCTGCATTTGCCAACTTGTACGAACACGGCGGCTTCTTTTCAAGTGGCGAAGGCTCCATCAATATATTGGCCGGAAGCACCTTTGGCGGTGGCACTACTGTTAATTGGTCGGCATCTCTGAAGGTAAATCATCACATATGGTCTTGTTGCCTTTTTTTCCATTTCCATAGCATCTGATTTAAATCTGTCTCTTGAAAGTTACAACATTTTGTACGCGAAGAATGGGCTAAGCAAGGGCTGAGTCACTTCCTTTCACCCAAGGTATATATCGCCTAATACCGACCTTGTTCATCAATTGCTGAACTAAGCGCCGACTTTCATGAATTGTTAGTTTGCCAAAGACCTGGATCGAGTCTTTGAACGTATTGGCGCTAGCACCGATGGGATCAAACATAATGGTCCTAATCAGATTCTCGTTGACGGTTGCAAGTAATATAGCCTATCAAGCAATGGCAGATTTTAATATGATCGCTAACAGTTGTTTATTGTCACAACTTAGACAACTTGGATTCCCGGTAGCCGATTTGCATCAAAATACGGATGGTCAGGCGCATGCTTGCAACTGGTGCTTTGCTGGTTGTAAAGACGGTATCAAGAATGGTACCGTGAACTCTTGGCTTCGTGACGCGAATGACCATGGTGCTAGATTCCTCGATCGCACCAAAGTTCTTCGGGTGGTAACTGAAAAAGGCGTGGCGGTCGGTGTGGAAGCCGTTGTCCAGTACAGTCATCATGTCACTATCCGTGCCAAGCAGGTTGTGGTAGCTGGTGGTTCCTTGCAATCACCAGGGATACTGTTGCGTAGCGGGTTAACCAACAAAAACATTGGCCGTCATCTTCGTTTACATCCTTGCAGTATCACTTTTGGTTTTTTTGATCGCAACATTGATATGTTTGAAGGATCCATCATGACTGCGGTAAGTATCATGCTTTGGATGGAGAGCGTTCCCAACCCATTGCCCCATTCTGATAAAATTTTCCCAAATTAGGTGAGCAATGTTGCCGAAAATGTGGATCATGAAGGCTACGGTGCCAAGCTGGAGGTTCCTTGTCTGCATCCTGGCAGCTTTGCAACGGTACTGCCATGGCGTGGTGCCGCGCATCATAAAGAGCTTATGATGCGGTACCGCCAATGCGCTCCAATTTTGATCTTGGCTCGCGATAAGGATTCTACAGGAGCTGTCCGCTATGACGAACATAATAACTTGATCGTTGATTTTGCTCTATCCACCCATGACCGTCAATCCATTTTGGCCGGTATTGACCGTTCATTATTGGTTCTCGTAGCTGCCGGTGCCCGAGAATTGCACACTGGCCAATTTGGCGTAGAGCCTTTCAAATTCGAACCTGACGAAGAGTCTCGTGTGGACAATCCTAGATTCATGCAGTGGCGTCAAAAGGTTCTCAAATATGGTCTTCCTCAGGACGGTGCCGGCGTATTCTGTGCTCATCAAATGGGTACATGGTAAGTGATGTGGACTGCCACGATGGCACTGCTTTCATGATCTCACGCTATGGAACCCTTGTAGTCGTATGGGTATATCACCCAAGGTATCGGTCACAAAGCCCACCGGAGAAACGTGGGAAGTCAAGAATTTGTACGTATCCGATGCGTCATTATTCCCATCAGCCAGTGGCGTCAATCCAATGGTCACAACTGAAGCATTGGCTCTTCACGTTGCTGACACCATCCTAAAGACATCGGATACTTCAACTGCCGCAAAACTATAAGCTGTCCCGCTTTGTCGTATCTGCATAACTAACCCCAGTTATGAAATTTACAGATTTCATGGGTAAACTTTGGTCTTTTATCTTTTCTTGATAACCTTATTTATATTTATGACCATAGTTATTAAGACATAGAGCTGATAAAGGGATTAATATGTATCAGTTTAACTAACACATGCTTTATTCAAGTCGTTGGGGACAAAAGACAGGCTCCTAACCATTGAATGTTGTGAAGGCGAAAAGAATATTACTATTGGGTCTGGGGTTTCAGAAGTTGAAAGTAGGTTTGAAGTGGTGCCTACTGTCTGTTTGTGTGTCCCTCATACTGTCATTGGCTTTTAATCCCAATATCTGTCTGCTTTCATAATGATGGAGTAGCTCCTGCCTTGGTTTCAATGTTCGTGTCGCGGGTCGGCATGCGCGCATATTGGATGTCAGCCAATCAAATCTTCCTATTTTTGGAAGTGTTTGTCGACTTTCTGCATTCCTGCATTACTTTTTTTTTCCTGGTTGTAATTCTCCTGAACTAAAGTCTGGTACCCGCCACAAGTAATAATAAAATGCACTGGGTGTAAGCCTTTACAGCTACCAGTCGAGCGTCACTGCAATGTTAAACCCATGTTCTCTGTGACTGGTGCTGTGATGAAGGAGCGCGTTAAAAAAGTCCCGAACAAGCGCCGCTTTAGTCATTCAACTCTTTTTTCCCATTAACATTTCTCATCATGTCTGCCAAGTTGCCAGAGGCTGACGCAGCCCAGTATCCTCCCGAGCTTGAATTAACGCAAGTATTAACCCATATGTGCCGATATTGGCGAAACCCCATTCCCTGCTAACTATTTTGCAATCATTACTGTAGTTTACTGCAAGTAGTTCATCGTCATGGTAAGCCATGGGTTTCAGTGTTTAAAACAGTTGAACGACCTAAATAACGCGAAATGAAAAAAGGTGAACGTACTCCCGTCCGCGCACGCCTTACTAACATCATACCTGCCGTTTGGCAACAATGCGAGGCCAATATGCATATGATGTTTGCCATACTGGACTTTAACAAGGAGCACGGATTCCGTCATGCGCCGCTTAGACGACTAGTGGAAGTCGCAACAGACCAATCCACAGAGACCATTGGACCCGGAGCTTGGTAAATGGGATGAAAGGATACGTGCAGTAAGGGTAAGAGATACTAATGGAACGATCCCTTGGGAAAAATAGTCATTACGGTCAGTTGACCAACATGGGAAGACAAAGTATGGCTGCCTTGGGTCATCGTCTAAGAGAAATTTATGTGAACAGGTACTTTGTGGGACAAAACGCAGGTTGGATTCTTGATCATGACATCTAAAGATATGTTTTAGGCTAAAGTTCTTGCCTGATATATACGACGACAAGACCGTGTTTGTTAGAAGCACCGATTATCCGCGTACTCAGGACTCGGTCCAACAGCTTTTGGCGTCCGGTCTCTATCCTGCTGAAAAGCGCAATGCTGATTTCGTAATGACAATCCGATCACGGTAAGCTTGCTAATGATTGCCCGTTGGGCGGCGATGAATATATCATCTTATGAACGACGGATGAAATTAGTGACTCGAGAACCGATAACATGTTTCCAAATCCGAATTGCTACCGACTCCGCCAATTGTCCAAAGACTTTACTCGCGTAGTAGCCGATATGAGCAGGGATAAATTTGCATCATTGTCGCAACGATTGAAAGCATATGTGGATGATGTGTCTTTCGACAGTCACCCGTCGGCGAACGGTCTTTTGGGTCAGTTTTTTGTACAACCACAGAAAAGGCATGGATTGCTGGATGAAAAGAAGCTGACCGGAGCTGCAATACTGTAGATACATTAATTTCAGCAAAAACGCACGGATACGAGTTGCCGAAAGAGATTGACGATCAATTGCTTCGTGATTTGGAGGATCTGGTGGTCAATGAATGGTTCTATGGCGCTATGCAATCCAACGAAGTGCGACGCTTGGGTCTGGGACGATTAGCAGGCGAAATCAAGGATCGAATGGTCCGTCGTGCCAACGGTACTGACAAACAAATTGGTGAAGACAATTACAAGCTCGCGATTTATTCTGGTCACGACACGTAAGTCCAAACGGTCAAATCGTGTGGAAACTAAGTGAAAATAACTGACATCCAATTATATAGTACGATCGCTCCACTCTTAATTATTTTAGGCGGTTTCGATAAGCGGTGAGTAATCTTTTTTCCCAAAAAAAAAAGAAAGGAAACTGATGGTGAGAATATCCATAGATGGCCACCTTTCGGAAGTTCGATTATTTTTGAACTATTCAAGCAAAAAGGACAGAAAGAAGCCAAGGATCCCGAACATTTTGTCAGAGTTCGATTCAACAACCAAGTGCTGCAACTGCCTGGATGCGCGCAACAAGGCAATCACCATGAGAACGGTGATAAAACTTTATGCACCTTGAAAGCGTTCCAAGAGATCGTGAAAGAGCAGATACCTGAGCATTGGGAAAAGGAATGCCAGATTTAGATGCTACACATAATAACTAACGCGATGACAGTGCCGTTTATGATTGGTCTGCTCTGTCCACCACAAGGTTAGACGAATGTAGTTGTTTTTTGGTTGTGCCACAAAATGCATGGTGGGAGACAACTCAAAAGGAGCGCTTGTTCAAAAATAAATTGTTGTCGGAGATTGAAATGTCCGTTCACCTGCTTCACTTGTAAAGATTCATCTTTTTGCTTCTCTCCTCTCGGGTGCACTTTGTCACACGGTCCATCTTTCTTGTCTTATTTTGTACTATTCATTCTTGGTCCTTTTACTTCCGTGTTTGCTATCTGAATAGTAGTACCTTTTTTGCTCGAATTTTTTTATTGTGTATGCTGTAATGGAATCGTTTCAAGATCACCTGTCGTCGTCCAGTTTGAGTCATCCCGATCAGGCTGCCTGGTTTCCGACGGACCAGCCCATGTCTGCTCCACACGATCCACCTCTGCAGGAACCTGTTCCTTTCGAAGGTAATTCATGACAGTTGGACCAAGACATAATTTGTTTGGACCGTCTTAATGACACCGTGACCATGGCTAGATTTCCAATTTAGTTTTGGTTTGGACCCTGATTTTGCCATACCCGTGCCTTTCGACCTGTTTCCTGCCGACAATGGTTCAAGAGCCCCGGAACCCAATGTTGACACGAGCTTCAGACTGTTTTCACCGCCAGACAATCTTCCTGCAGCAACACCTGTCGTGCCTTCTCACTCTGATATCTTGGACGAAAACGACCAAAAGGCGTTTTCCGAATTCCTGGATGCTCTGTACATGGATCAGGATCTGCAGCAATCCTCGACCATGATGGAGCCTTTACCCAGCCACTTCTCCAGTTTATACGATTCACACCCGATGCCGCGGCATGTCGCTCCAGAAAATGACCAGACGCCTGTACCTTCTTCCTACCCTACGTCGTCCTCGATGATGATAGACGATGAATACCGTCGCACGTCCATACTCCAGTCACTTGATCAACAAAAACGTTTCCAACAACGGCTTCAACTTCTAGCATCCATGTCTCCGAGAAAATCCTCATTTGGATCTGAAACTCATCATCATAAAGAATCCGTCCCTCACGCACCCATACCTCAGCCTTCCTACGCTTCCATGCCTCCTCCTCCTCCTCCTACTTATCCAACATCGAATTCTGGCTATCATCAGCCGCCAAGGGAGCTCATCCATACCCAGCCGGCTCTACCATGGCAAGAGAAAAAACTCAAAGACCCCATCCCAACGACCGTTGATACTGAAGAGAACAAAAAACCTGGGAAACGACCGATCACTGACGGCAACGTGGGCAATGCTTACAGCAGCAAGCGAAATAAACCGCATAAAGAGCTATTAACAGAAGAGGAGAAACGAACAAACCATATTGCGTCGGAGCAGAAGCGAAGAAGTACCATTCGATCAGGGTTCAAGGATCTGTCTGAAATTGTCCCTACATTGAAAAATATGAACAATTCCAAGAGCATGGTGCTATTCAAAGCCGTGGATTACATCAAGTACCTGGAGAAAAGAAACAAAAACCTGCGAGACAAGATTGGGGCCCTCGAGATTCGCGTGCAAGTAGAAGGGCGAATGCCTACCGGTGGGGGTCATCGTGGCTATCGTGACGACTTGCATTCAAAAATGGCACCGTCGATTGACAAAAAGGATATGGAATATCATCCATTCAATAACACCGACCATTCAAATGCAGGCCATGCCGCGGCCGTCGCCTTAAAAGCGCACAAAGCACAGCAAAAACAATTACTGGCGTTCCAAGAACATTTGCAACAGCAACAGCAAAAGGTGATGATCCGACAGTACGATCCACGAGGGCCGGTCCAGCACCGACCATCAACTTACTTTCCTGAGAGCAGCGAGCGATGGTTTGATGGAGATCCCATGTTTAGAAGATCGTCGGGTTACGCGCATTCAGATATCAAAGTAGATGATGCGTCGGAAGAACCGCTAAAAGCTACTGTTTCCGCATAGTAGTCCACTATAACCCATGCATACACTTCCTGTATTCCCTTTTGTACTTTTTTTTTTCTTTTACCCGCGCGACAAGTCATCTTATGTTTCTCTCTCTTCTTTTTAACCAGTGTCAACATATTATTGGGATCTTTCGAGTGTCCTCTCTTTTTACGCAAACTGTCCATATATACATCTACTCTTTTCTTTCTTTTTCTCTGTCGTCTTTTTCTTTTATTTTTGTCAATAAAATAACCAGAAAATGTCTTCTTTCCATTTTAACTGACAGGGGACACATTGGAGAAAAATAGCCGAAAGGAACATCTCCCTATTGTGTCCACGAATGGAAAGACCACATTCCATAATCGATGTTCCATTTAATCTAGCTGTTGGCTTCCCGCCATCCTTTTTCCTTTCATTGCTTATAACATAAAACCTAGATAGAATTCGGTGCTTTTTTTTATCTCGCTCTTTTTTCATTTATGCGATTTTGCTATTGTTTAATCTTTCTACCACTGGCTCATGTAGCCGTGTCAACGGATATACCCTCATGTAATACGATGGCCCAATATGAACAAGCTGCGCGCATGTGCAGTATCGAAGAGAATACTGCCAATTTCAGCTCTTGTTCCTGCAGCGCGTTACCTGTCTGTTTACAAATCGACGACGACACGAAGACGAAGACCCCATGTCCCCGAGACATGTATACCAGATGTCTTGCCACATGTGGCGCATCCATCTCCTTGGTGACCTGTAGCAGCAAAATTGTCACCATGTGTCTAGGTCCTCCCACTTTGTTTGATGGAGCTAGAACGAACCGGTAATTGATAGTAAAGAAAAAGCATTCCCATACCCGCCCCAGCGATGACCATAGATCATGAGATAAATACATCTTCCATTAAAACAACGAGCCCTTCTCTATCAACCCTCCTGATGATTTCTTTTAACATGTTTTCTTCCTTTATTTGGATAATATTTTCTATTTCTTCTCTTCTTCGAGCTGCTTTGCGGGTGTATCATCACGTCCGGGACCTATGATTGTTGAAGGAAACATAAGTAATCCACGTACTACTTCTTGTTTTCACGCATTTTTTGACCCCACGGTGAATAGCTTACCAACTTGCTCCCAAGGAGAAAGACTGCCTTCAAAGTTTCTGAATGCTTGGGCCAGTTCGACGGGTTCTGCGACGACGCGCTTCTTCTCTTCGTCATAACGGACCTCGACATAACCAGTGAGAGGGAAGTCCTTACGCAGGGGATGGCCTTCGAAACCGTAATCGGTCAAGATACGACGAAGGTCGGGGTGACCGACAAAGAAGATACCAAACATATCGTATACTTCACGTTCTTGCCAGTTGGCACCGCTGAACAATGGGACAGCAGAAGGAACGGGCGAGGTTTCAGAGGCATATGTCTTGACGCGAATACGAGCATTGTAACGGAAACTCAACAAGTTGTAGACAACCTCAAATCGATTTTGGCGAGAAGGGAAATCGACACCGGTCATGTCCTGGAGCGATTTGAATTGACAGTTTGTGTGATCGCGAATAAAGGTCAAGACAGGTTCGATGGCGGAAGGAGCAACATAAATGGTGAGTTCATCCTTGTATACACTGAATTGCTGAATATATTTAGGCAACATGGATGTCAAGAATTTGCCGTATTCATGGAGACTATCGTTGCCCGACTTGTAGTTGGGATCAGCAGACACCGAAGTGGCTAGCACCATGGAAAAATAATTAGAATCCAACTGACAGTATGGCATAATTACGTGTATATAATGTACCTTGGCTTCTTGCTGAGGTAATGGCAAATGTGCGAGTGGCATTCAAGCGCAAGCTGGGCTTGACTACGAATCAGAAAGAGAGAACAAAAGTTTTAGTATGATTTCACGATTGACGTGGTGTAAGAGATAAGCATCGGAACATACCAGCAGCCAAGACGGGCTGTGGGCGTGCAGCGCGCAACAAGGCGGTCCCTAAAACTCTGGAAGCCATGAGGATGAAAGCGTAAGAAAATGTAAGGACGGTAATGGAATGTTCAAGGCGAGCTCGTCCCCAATTTTTTATTGTTTGCTCTTCCTCACTGGTGGCTGCCGGGGCAGATCTAAATAGCGGCAATTAAAATTACTTTGTGACGTAACATCCGCGGCTCGCAACCCGCGCCGCCGGCCCCGCGCGCTCGTCATGAAGCATCATAGTTCTCCTCTCCTTTTCAGTAAAGGGAAAATTAGAGCTGTCATTTCTTATACTGCTTCCCATCATTTGCGTCTTTATTTGTCAGAAACAATGATCGGAAACAGTATGAAACAATGGCCAGTTAATAAACCGTTGATGAACAGCTTTTTGAGTTTTTGTTGCGCTTGCCCACGAGTAGAGCCTTGCACTGGTGCATTGTATAGGTTAATACGCCATTGTTCCACTACTGTTCGGTTGCCCAGAAAGCACCAAGGTCTTCTCTCGTTCCAAAAGAGCACCTTCTGGGGCTGATAGGGAGCAAGACAGCATACGCTCATATTCCTCGTTTGCGTCAATGCCATACACCTGGAGCTCTTCTTCGAATCGGTTTTCAGATGACGGCGCAACCGAAGCACTTGGAGTCAAGCTGATTGTCCTGATTATTAGCAACCACGGCAACCGTTGCTGCATTTCCTGATTTAGGGACTTTGGATACCATGTCTGTTGACTAAGCTTGTCTCAGCGAACGTATGAGATATTCGAGCTGTTGGTAAAGCTCGATGACTTGTTCAGGTCTGAAATACACTGCCTCTCTGATGATGCTAAGGCAAGTGGCGACTTGCGTGGTGTCCATGCGTTATTTCCTGTTTTGGAAATCGACGCAACGTAAAAAGACCAACAGTCACTCGGCAGAATGGCTTGAGCAACGAGCAAGAACGAATATTGTGCCATCGTCATGCTTGTTGTTCAATTGACGCAACTGGTAGATATAGCCATGCTTGTTGATGCAACTGGAACAGCAATAAGAATAAGCCGGATGCTATGATTATGGCCGAAAAAAAATCCTGAAGACAAAATTGAGTGAGGCGACTGATTAACCAATTGGGCCAAAAAATGGTGATTTGTTTAATGTCTTAGTCTTTTTGTTCCTGTTTCGCCACAACTGAAAAGATCAAATCATGCCGCCTTTGAAATTAAAGCGTGGGTCGTTTTTGCAATCCGCGTGATCCGTGAAATATGCGTATACGCCACTTCTCCGGATGAAGTTCCGACAAAACATGGAATTCAACGACACTTTACTGTAAGCTTTCTGCAAGCCAATCGAAGTTGAAAAATATCATAGCGTTCGGTCGGATTGGGTGACGATATAACAAAATGAAGAGGAACATGACTTTTGCGTATCAAAGAAATGTGACTCCGCAATTTCATGCTCCGTCCAACAGGTGCCCGATTGTTGCAAATTTACGACCCGTTTTCTGAAATTAGCTGTCTTCGTTTTGTGAAGGGCTCTTTTCCATGCCTTACCTTGTCCCGAAATTACTCTACACCTTCTTATTCGCATGTCAAGGTTCGGCTCCCGTGTATCTTGCCCTGTTTTATTCCTCGCAGTTGGGGCTCAAAGGAGACCAGATCGGCTTACTGGTGGCAATAGGTAATAAAAAGTCGTTGGCGGTCTGTGCTCTCTTCTGGTTTGTGGCTCACCAACCTTTTTTTTCTTCGTGATTAGCTCCCTTTATTTCCGCCATCGCTTGTCCGCTATGGGCAGCCATTGCTGACAAAACCAAAACGCACCGCTACATTATGTGTATCATTCACACATTAGCGACACTGGCTATTGTTAGTGTTATGGGCATATCCGTCGTTGTCCAACATATCGATAACGAGACCGATCGTAGTAAGCTAACCATCGCACTGGTCACCGTTACGTCGGTCTGCTTTGCTTTCTTTGGTGTCCCGGTCGCACCCTTGGTAGACGGCGGCGTCATGAAGATCCTCGGGCGTAATAAGGACCAGTATGGCAAGTGTTCCATGCTCGAATTTCGGGATATCGGATTGCATAAACAGCTTTGTTTTCTGACTCGGAGGGAAAATTCTAGGACGTCAGCGTATGTTTGGTTCCATTTCGTTTGGTGTAGCTTCTTCGTTAGTAGGCTTCATCACCGATTGGGCCAACGACATGAATGCGATTTTTTACGTTTATGCTGTATCAGCTGTCTGCTTTATCACGGTCGCAGGAAGTTCGCAATTTAAACCGGAACGAATGGTGGAGCGATTACGACTTAGCAAACCGCTATCCACCTCTCAACCTCTATCCACGATTCCCACTACATCGCTTGATCAAACATCATACCCGCAACCCTCTATGGATGATCATAATATAGCTCCGCTCAAACGCAAAATTAAGCAATTTCACATGGAATACGATGACGATTTTGTCGAAGAAGAGTCGTCCCAGATCCGCGAAAACGAAGTGCAACGACTGATCCAGTTTGCTACAGAATCAAGCATTATCGAAGCTGTCAACCTTGCCAATCCGCCGGCTTATCGTCGTCGGTCGTCCTCTGCGCAAGACGTAAACGATCACACCCGCAGCACGCCCATGCCGAGCACGTTACTCGAGTTATTGAAACAGCCCAAAGTGCTTTTATTTTTTACCACTATGATGCTCATGGGAGCGTCACTGAATATGGTGATCAGCTTTTTGTTCATCTTTTTGAAACAAGATTTGGGTGCCAGTTCCTCTTTGGTTGGCTTGACAGGTTTAGTGGGCTCGGTGACCGAGTTGCTTTTCTTCTTTTATTCTCGAGATGTAAGTGGCTTCCATTTTACAATACCTTTTTCTGGGTTATTTTTTATGTCGGATCATTGACCTTGGTGTATATTAGCTTATTCGCCACTTTGGAATCAAAAGTCTCATCATCCTCGGCCATGTACTGACGATTGTTCGCATATTCTGTTATACTATTCTGCCCAAAGGTCCTAATGGCGCCAGTATAGCTCTCGGATTACATTTATTAAATGGTATTTTGGCGGCTTCGTAATACATGCACCGATAATGTCGTACTAACTCTCTACTTCAGGTATCGCATTCTCGGCGTTATGGGGTGCAGGGGTTGTACAAGCCGATGAATTGGCACCTCCGTCATTGCAAGCGACATCGCAAGGTATGACAGACAACATTTAGCTTTCAAAGAGGAAAAAAGATTAGGGTTTTTGTAATACTTAAATGACGATTTTGTGTAGGTGTCCTTGCTGCGATGTATGCCGGTATTGGTTCTGGCTTGGGCAGTTTGGTAGGAGGGATTATTTACGAACGCTTTGGTGCCAACAACATGTTTTACGCGGCCATCACGCTTACATCATTGAGTCTGGAACTTTATCTGGAGACAAATACTCGATGTGGCATCAGTGATATGGTTCGATGGTTCTATCGCATGGGAATTCGTATTCACAAATGGATTCAGCATGCCCGTGGCATTGGCCGGGCCGTACCTCGATGGAGTGGAGGAACGCGACAGACTGGACCCATCCGATTACAAGGCGATGATTGAAAAACGGGCACGCAAACAAAATAGACAAAGTTTTATAGCTTTTTTTGTATATGTTGAAGGTTTATATAGTTTACATCATTACGGTTTGAGAAAGTACACATATCCCGCATCATCGTAGGATACAATCACATTGGAGAAAGGGTGACCGGTCATACCAATCACCTCTGCATCGCATAGTTTCATCTGGCCCATCAACTGTCCTGTGGTTGTGCGGAAACAGTATAGAGTGGAATCTTCTCCCATACCATAAATATATTCACCTTGCGGTGAAGTCGCCGCTGCAACAAAGTCCGATCCCGACTTTTTCTGGTGTGAAAATGTCTTGACAATTTGACCGCGCATTGTCATGATATACAGTGTGTTTGTTTTGTTGCACACCACTACTTGATCAATGTTTTTGGGGAGAGGCAGGATGGATTGAACCGTTTGACTTGTTAGAGTGGCAGTTGTATTCAGTTTGGTTGCATCAGCGTTGGGTTGGGGTGTGACGGTGTGAAGACATGTGGTTGTTTTAGCATCCCAAATCTGTCAAAAATATCTTTTAGTTATAATAACGAATGAACCCCATCAAGTTGAGCGTTCTTTTCATGTTACCTTGACTGTACCGTCACTACTGGCACTTAATATCCGGGAATTATCGTTGGAATAGAGAACGCTGTTCACAAAAGAAGAGTGGCCGCGGAATTCCTTAAGAATCTTTCCGGATTTCAACCCATGAACCTTTACAGTCTGATCATATCCACCACTTAGGACATGGGTGCCATCCTTATTGAAGCATATTGATGTGACACCCTGACTGTGAGCCGGTGATATCCTCCGTTGGCAGACGCCCGTTTGAACCTTCCATATCTGTAATCCCATAAGCCGATGGTCAGTCCCAAGCTCTCCGTCATTGATTTGCTAATTTCCAGCTCTTACCGCAATTTTGCCATCAATAGACCCTGACGCCAACCAGTCGCTGTTTTTACTGAAAGCTAAGCACAGCACCGATTTATCCATGGCCATCAATTGATCCTTCAGTAAGAGATTAGATTATCCATTACCAACACTGTCTATTCAGCCCGAGCAAAAATATTCTTTAAATATTAAATGTACCTCTGCTTGATACCGTAGATCTTTCCGTAATTTGCCAGTCATGTAATTCCACAGTTCAATAAATCCATCCACGGATCCAGTAGCCAAGTACTGCCCGTTGGGTGAGAACACAGCACATTCTGCATATGTTTTCTTGCCGGGAAACTATAGCCTCATTGCTTAACTCTCTTGTGCTTTTTTTTTCACTGACCAATTGAGGTATCCAATCCCTACCTTAATATTAACATATGGCTTGGAGACGAAAGCGTCTTCTTCTGTTTTCTGTACAGGAGCCACCCCTCGAAAGAGATCGTACACAGAATTAGGCTGCAGTAATCCCTGATGTTGCTGCCACTTTAAGCATTGCCCGAGAAGCCCCAGTAGCCGAGAAGAAGGCACTGTCGTAATTTCTTCCATGAGCGCTACAGAAATTAAGGCGAGATATAAGATGATTGTTTAATCATTCACTCATTTCCGATGTTGACATACTATCTGCAAGATCTTCGCGACGTTTTTGTTTCGTTATACCGCTAGGGTACACGGCTGTCGGATCAAACTGCGGTCGTGATAATAAATGATCAATGTGTAGATATCGTTCGACACTGCGCTGTTTGAGTAGCTGCATCGGTTCGCTCTTGTAAAGCAACGCCTTGGCTGTATCCATTTCTCCAAGCTCGGCCATTTCCACAATGATCTATGGTTGAATGCCGAAGCTATGCATGAGATCTCGGCTTGTGGTACCACGTCAACTACGAAATTCTTGTACCTGTTCGTAAAGGGCGATCAGTTTGTCGGGTGATATTTTGAAGCTGGCCAACTGCTTCAATACGGTGTCCCATCGTCCTTGAAGAATATCTTGTCGAAAAGCTTCTTTGCTTTCAACGGCATTCAAAGATACGGGCGATTCATTGTGCAGAGCTGTCAGCGTGCGTTGAAGATTGTTCTCCCTCAAAAACTGGATAATTAATCGAACCACACTAGAAATAGTATAAATTAAACAGTTTAAATATCCACGAAAAAGTAAACGAAGAACAGTTCCAACGTACTCGTCTGTGGGTATATTGTTGGCCATGGGCTACTTGAATCGTGTATGATCAAATAAAGGGCCCCAGCTGGGTCTTGCGGAGTGCCGTAATTTGGTTTGCCAAGAAAGACGCGTCACGAAGGGACCACATAAAGCCGGCTTTTTTCACTGGCAACTTTTTTTTGTGCTGGCCTTGTGCTTTCACTCACACAATGCTAATCAAGAAACAAGACGACGATGAGATTCCCATTCATATGATATCCTCCGTCTCAGCAGGAACTGCTTTAGCAGAAGAAGCGCTTGCTAAAAAGCGCAAACTTCGGGGACCAAGGCAGAAAAGACGCACAGGTACCGCCATTGTCGACCTTGGCATGACTGTCGATAACCACAAGCACACCACGGAGAACGATAAAGACGACACATTCATTGCACAAGGCAGCGAACTCGCTACACATCGTTTAATCACGCACGCCAGCGTGGGCATGGACGACGATCAAGACGACGATGAGCACAACAAAGAAAATCAGACGCAAGGTCGGCACATGTTCAGTTTCGCAACCGGCAGAAAAAAGTCGGCTTCGACAATGATGAAGAAAGCCATGGGAGATACCATCGAAAGTGATCAGTCTGGACCGGCATCGAAACGAAACGCCATCCGTTTAACCTCCACTGCAGCCAAACGATCACAGCAAACACAAACGCCCGCAGCTGCAGTCGACAAACGGCGGCGAAAGGAACGTCAAGCTGAACTTTTACGTGGGGATCAAGACAACGAAGAGAAAGACGAAGAAGAGGACGAAGAGGCCTCCGACCACGAAGCCGCGGACGAAACTGCGCAAGATGAAAGGGTCGGCTACGAACGGTACTTTCAAAACTTGCATAGCAAATCCAAAACGTCCAACAACACTCTTTCCAAGCTGGCGGTACTGGAGCCTCAGGAATTCAGAGACATTTTGGAAGCGGCACCAGAGAAACACGCAAACGAAATTACAGCTCTTCACAATTTTCATCAGCAGAATTTTTCACAGTGGTATTTTGAACTTCATTCCGATTTCAACCTCTTGTTCTACGGTTACGGTTCGAAGCGCAATCTTCTCAACGAATTCGCCCGTAACGTGCTGACTGACGGTCCCATCATTGTCGTGAATGGATTTTTCCCTACCATCACCATGAAAGATATCTTGAACAAGATCACGGCTGGCGTCATGGGTGTGAGTGCTCCAGGACAGTTGCAGGAACATGTTTCCATGATTTGCAACTACTTCAAAAGCGAGCAACGATCTTATGACCGTTTGTATCTCATTGTTCACAACGTCGATGGCGGTAATCTCCGAAATGAAAAAGCCCAATCGGCGCTCTCCATGCTGGCTTGCGCATCCAATATCCACCTTATCGCTTCTGTCGATCACATTAATGCAGGCTTACTTTGGGACAACGTGAAAGCGAGTCGATTCAATTGGATCTGGCACGATGTTACCACCTACGAAAACTATCTCGTGGAAACCAGCTTTGAGAACTCTCTGTTGATGCGCACCGGCGATGTGGGTGGTGCTCGTGGTATTGAATACGTTTTAGCTTCCCTGACAAGTAACGCTCGTGGTGTATTCAAAGTGTTGGCGGAACAACAACTGGTCGAGATGGAGGTAGCCAATATGGATGGACGCGGTACAGAGGCTGTGGGACTTTCGTACCATCGCTACTATCAGCTATGCCGTGAAGGATTCTACACTTCGAGCGACTTGGCGCTACGATCTCAACTGACGGAATTTCGAGATCATCAAATCATCCACTCTAAGCAATCACAAGATGGTACAGAAATCTTTTATATTCCTCTGGACAAAACCAGCTTGTGCAATATCATTGAACGCATGGCATAATCATTCTGTATATATAAACTTTTTTCCATCTGCTACTTTTTCTGTAATCCCATTATGGTTGCCTTTTTACTTTTTTCAAAAATAAAACTTACTGTTATTTATCTGTTTTGCGCATAATAATAATTGATATTCATTCTTCGCACTCTTGCAACATTCATTTGTAAACAAAAAATCATCAAAAGAATTTAGCACAGGTATCCTTCTTGTTTTTTATTCAGCCGATGGAGCTCATGCCCAGCCATTAGCTGCAGCGATCAGATCAGCTTCCTTTTGATATGTATTCAAAGCGGTTTCTACCATTTTCACGGCAGCTACCAACGCCATCGCCTCTCCCTGCTGCTGTGTGAAATTCACTCTCATGACTTGTCGCTGGTTGTTGTCTGTGTAGGGTGCTCGAACTACCTCCAGTTTGAATTTCAGTAGTGCATGATCTAAAGTATCCACTGATCAGTTATTTTCCACCTCAGACACCATGGTTCCCCATCAGCCACTTACCCATGCCTGGTAGGGTCATCTGTCCTTTGCGCTTCAGATATCCATTCGCATCATATTGCTCAACAATATGGCCCTGCATGCACTTATAATATTGGCCAAAAATACAAAAAGATATCAGTAATGGGAACTTAACTCACATAAATGGCATAAAAACTCACCTCTTCCAGCACCTGAGCAATCTTTCCCACGGCTTCGCGTTCGTCTTTGGCATAACAGTCGATGGAGCATACTTTTGGTTGCTTGAAATGGAATAACCCGGGAAGCCAAGAGTTTAAATGCGAATTATCCACGGCCCGTTCTTCTCCCGAATTCGATGCTGTTGAATAATAATATTGTCGTTCGTTGGTGGCTAACGATCCTCCAAACATACGCAGAGCACGGGATTCTTTTGATAATACTGTAAATTCGCGACGTGCTTGTGGCGACGGTGTCTGCGCCCATTGACTGACAGCAGATACGGGGTTTCGATCAAAGTCAAGGTTAGGGCTCGGGATAGGCATGGACAACCGGTGAAGCGCTTGTCTTGATTTGATGGTCGGATCAACTCGATTATGATGGTACCGCTGCCATAATTGGGTAAATCTACTAAATCGGTTACGTTCCGTATGTCCAGACAATCGAAGATCAGGAGAACACAGCCCCGCTAGGTACCGGTTATGCTCTGTCCGTGGGTGAGAATAATGCATGTCGGTAGAATTGTGAACGTGAAAGTGATGTGGCAATGACGCACGCGGAGATAGAAGAGAGGCTATAGGACGTTGATTGGGCGGTTGAGTGCAAGCATGCTGCTGTAAGGTACGTCGAAAATGGTCACTGATATGGGGCGTATGAATGCATGAAAGCGGATGACCAGCCGTGCAGACCGGTCTTTGTAAGGCTGTGGTGGGATAAACGCGATAGCTTTCGGTAAAACGCAACAATGGTTAGTTACGGGTTGATAAACTCTTGTACGTAAGCAAAACATATATACCCTCTGTGATCTCGGTCTATGGGTGGCTGGGAAGAACCGTAAGCACATTGCACTTGGTTTATCCACCAATGATCAACACCTGCTTGAACAGTCAGATCATGATGTCCTAGATCGGCACGAATGACTCGTGGCTTGGGCGGTAAAGGAGGTGGTGGGATGGCAGATAGACCATCCATAGGATCGTCGGTTTCCGTCGAAGCGTTCTGATCTCGTTGATGACAATCGCGCAAGTTGGCTTGGGACGAACATTGAATTTCAGACACTTGTTGCATGACGCGCGGAGTTTTCCGTTCTTTCTCAGCCAAATGAAGCATCATGCCATCGATGCTCGGTAAAGAATCTTTACCAGAAGCAACGCCACAAATAGTTGCTGGACGCCGCCGTTTTGCAGGCGAAGTAAGAGATCGAATTTCATCGTCTCTTTCTGTTTGCCAGTAATTGTTGGCATGTCGTTGCAAGAGCACATAAGTCACCTTGTGCATATTGTGCCTAATTGTCCCGTTTAGATTAGATGGTTGGATTAACTCCTCGCTTCTGTTTAGCAAACGCTTACTCTTCATTTAGCAAAGAATCAATGATGGCTTCGGATGTCCATTCTGTCCACAGAACTTTCAATGTATCCAGTAGACGATCATCAATGTCATTGACGGACGCTACAGGTCGACCTATTTCTTCCGCTGTGGGTGGACTGGGTAACAGTGATACATCCGGAAGAGGATCACTTGTAAACCAAGGATGCTCTTGTACATCTTTCATCTGTCCTTCACTTTCATTAATTTCAGGTAGGACTGGATCCAGCCGTTCCTCTCTTTCCCTTGCATTACCGTCAATCTTTTTGCCGGATCGACCACCAGAATCCTCTCGATAAGATCACGTGCTTGACTCGAGACTGTAGACGGCATTTTATATTTTCCTGCTTTCACCTTGTTCAACAGTTCGCGGATATCTTCGTCGTCAAAAGGAAGGTGGCCGCAAAGGAGAGCATAAAGAATGATGCCGCACGACCAAATATCAGAAGCTGCGCCGTTGTAAGGAATACCCTAGATCAAATGCTTGTTACGATTTTTTTTTCTTTGCTCGGTCACTTTCCCGCAGACATGTTGAGATACGCTATTGCAGCACTTACAGTGACGATTTCGGGGCTTGCATAATGGGGAGACCCGCAACTTGTCGCCAGCAATGACCCAACCGGTTGTAAAGAAGCCATACCGAAATCGGCAATCTTGATATTATTCTTCTCATCCAGGAGAAGATTCTCAGGCTTGAGATCTCTGTGACTATAGTCAATGACATGGCGGTGAGAGAAGAACAACAACAACAGAATGGCTAGGTTTTTATGTGGATCGCCTATTTACCATATTCGGTGTCGGTGGCAGAAATCCAGGCCAAAAATGATCTGTTGAAAATGACGACGGGCTTCTGATTCGGACAGCTTTCCCCTCGACACCAAATGCTGAAATAATTCTCCGCCCTGAACGTATTCCAGAATCAAGTATCTACATGGTGCCGTCCAGAGTTTCGAGACTGGTTAATGAGGTCCTCATGTTACAGACAATCCAACTTACAAATTCGACGATGAAGCGAGATCGATAACGTCCAGGAGTCGCATAATATAAGGGTGATCAATGAGCTTCATGATGGCAATTTCGCGCTTCACAGCTCGCTCCACCGACGTGTTGGAAGCCAAATAGGTCCTTGGGATAATTTTGACTGCCACTTTTTCGCCAGATACTTTATGGATACCGAGCTTGACGCTCCCTGACGAGCCCTTGCCGAGGGTTCTACCCAGCCAGTAATTACCGATTTCTTTCCGTCGACGACCAGGGGATGTGGGATGGGGTGGCCGCGATGATTTTCCAATGATACGCCGCTGAGGAGAAGGGGATCCAATATCTGTGATATTTAAAGTGGGCATGTAAAAAAACAGTCGATAGCAGTAATAAAAAGGGCGGAAATGGCGTGGGCAGTTTTCGATCTTGGGAAAGGAGTCGGATAATTTACACCAAAAATATTCAAATGATAGCCTCTGTTAAGTGCACATAAAAGGGGCGAGGAATGTGAATAGTAGCTGCTCATCACAATTTCTAAAGAAGCAACAGACCACTAAAACATTATCAATTGATTTTTGTTTTATATCTTTGGTCTGCTTTACATGTTCCTATCCTTTTATCGATGACTGGATCCCTATGCTTTGTATCCAGGAATATCACTGTACTCTGTTTCTTACACATCGTCTCTGAGTAAAGCATAGTTTCTGCCCTGAAAAAAACCATGGGCCTTGAGAAAATGCCGTTTATGTTTGCAATTACGGCTGCGATGGGTGACTATGTGCGATGCGGAACACACCCATGACAATATCCCGTGGGTTCTTGGTACAGCACTTGTGGTTTGGTTGGAAGCACATAATATTTTGTCAAGCCTAATAGTTCATAGCTGTATGGGAAATGAGAATAAACGATTACATATAAAGCAATGATTTCGATGTATAAAGGCTCAACATCACCGGCCGAATCAAGGTCCTGCAACTACCAAGTGTATAGCAATGGCCACGGTTAGATTCAATCGTTTTTGATCTTCTTCTTCTTCTACATAAAATACCATCACGATAGATAGGAACAAGCAGCTTCAGTGAGGTCATTGGTGGTGGGACGGTCTGTGCCGCTTTTCCTCTGGCTCTGTTTTCTCAGACATGTCAAGGTTCACTTTGTCTTGGCCACCATCTATAGAGAGTGTTAGCAGCGCCCTGACATCCAGTAAAGCAATCACGTACCTAACGCTTTTCCGACGATTTGAAGCTTTCTTTTCACCATTGGCCACTGAAAGCCATCTAATATGCCCCCGTCAATGTTGCGCTTTTGATAGTACAGAAATATTTTTGAGAATTCAACTTACCAATGCTTTCCATGGCTAAAAGATACTTGATGTCTACTGGACCAACACGTCCGATTCTCTAAGACGGAAAGGTAACAAATGGTCAAGACGGCATAAGCTGAGGACGACTTGAGGGTTCAAATTACATGAGCGCGATCCTCCGCCTGAAGGAGTTGGGACGGGTTCCAGAAAAGTTCGCCAAATACGACTGCAAGAAATGACAAAGTGATTAAATATATGAGTTGGCGGTCGCCCATGATATATTTACCAACATCGGCAGCACTAAGCGTGAGACCCACATTGGCGGCCGCAATACTCAGGATGGCTACTCGCACTTTGACATCGCTCTGAAAATCTTCACACAACGATCGGCGAACTTGCTGGTTTGTTTGCCCATCAATTCTCATCCAACCAATCTATGACAACAATGAATTTAATTGCAAACCCCATCCAAAAAAAGGCACCGTCTCTTTACCTTTGCATGTTGCTGGGTTATAAAGTTCTCAATACCATCCATGACTTCCAAATGGTAAGCAAATACGATTATCTTGCTCGTCGTGCTCTCCAGCAAATGACCGATATATTCATTCATGGAGGGTAGCTTGGCCTTACCAGACTCCACGTACTACCACATTGGGCTTTTAGTATGAGCCGCCGTCGCATGAAGCATAGTTTGAGCTCACTGCGTACCAATCTAGTTAAAAGCAGCTCCCGCTGCTTCTTCAGGAATGCTGTTCTGTTGAATGCATCGGACAAACGGATTTGATTGTCGAGATTATCAATTTCGTTTTTGATGCACTTGACTTCTTTTGCTTTGCCAGGAACCAAGGTCATATAGATAGCCTGCCGCGTTTTTTTTGGTAGCTCCAAATCAACATCTCTCTTGAGGCGTCGTACCATGATCGTCTTTTCTAATAGAAAATTCAATTCTTCGAGCTTGGTCGATCCTAATAAAACGCTTGAGATGCCGTTTTTGCTATTTAACAATAATCAAACATACCTGAATAATCCCACCCAAACGCTTGGTATGTTCCTGCACAATACCGCAAGCCATATTGATGAAAACTGGTGAAAAGATCGGGACGCAAGGCTTCTAGTTGCGGATATAGTTCCACAGGTCTTGAAAATGCAGGCGTGCCAGAGAGCAAAATAACGTGCTTTGCTTGGTGGAAAATCGGTCGCAAAGCAATGGTCCGTTTTGCCTAATGGGATTCTGAATTGACATGATACTATTTCGAATACAGAGAATATTTACAGCACGGTTCTTGATATAGTGACTCTCGTCGGCAATGATGAACTTGAATTTTCTAGCAGTGATCTCTTCGGCGTTTCTGCTCACCAAATCGTAACTGATGATACAGAATTTCATCGTTTTCCTGCCTGAGAAGCGGGATACACCGGTTTGAAAGTCGTTATCGGACGAATTAGCTACATGTACTACTCAGTGAACGACCGCTTTTCAATTATAAGAATATTATCAATGTCATCACCTTCACTGGTGCTTATTGGGAGGGTCGCTGCTGTTTTGAGATCACTTCCTTTGAAAATAACAGGGCATTCTTCATCTTGGAGATCCAGCCACTGTTGTATCTCGGCCTTCCATGTCAGTCTCAGCGACGAGGGAACAATTACTAAAACGGGCCATGTCTCTTGATAAACATAAGCGATCGCTAAAGCTTGAATCGTCTTGCCGAGTCCCATTTCGTCTGCCAGGAGAAAGCGTGCATGACGCCGAATTCCTTTCTGCACGCCTATTCTCTGAAAGTTCTTCAACTGTTGCCACAATTCAGTATTTTGTAAGCGGTTCATTCGCACATCTGCATCATGAATATTGACAGCAGCCTGCAAATCAGGCACATCCAAAAGAGTTTCAATCATATTTGGGAGCTTTTTCACCACGATACCATGACTATTGGATGCGGCGTGGAATACGTCCAGGGCTTTTTTGTAGTGTTGTAACGTCGCTGGTATAGTCCATTTTCCTGTTTGTGGATCCCACGTAGCGTCTTCAATGCTACGGATGGTGGGTAGAAATGTTTCGTTATACGCCATCTTGATACCTATTCGGGTCGTGGAATGCACATCAAATTCAATCATTGCATTGGAAGGCGATGAAGTCCGATCTCGTGGTACAGGAACGTTGGATCTCTTTGCATGAAACAGCGATCCTTTGTGCGACGACCAACTTTGACATGTGGATGGCCCTGCAGCCGGCTCTGGCCTTGCTGTGCTAGTGGATGTTTGCGCTGGATCATCGTCCCATTTAAAGTATTTGCACTGGGAACGGAAACACTTTTGCAGAATACATCATGTCAGTCACTGATATGCCTGATGAAATTGAAAGATTGTTCCACATACCTTCCAGAACCAACGTCCTTGCGTGGGACCGGCTTTTTTGACCTGTAAATGAATGCAATCTTTATTGCAATAACACTTTTTCGCACCGATCATTAAAAACCGAAAATGCCGAAAGGAAAACACGGGGGGATGGCCAAATTAATCAATTTCAATTTTATCGCAGAGATGGGAAGTCACAAAAGGTGATACTTTGTTGTTAATAGAGATTCGACTGAGCAGGCGTCTACCGTATCTCGATGTTTCTCTTTTTTGTTATTGCTGGAATAAAAAATATTACCTTCAGTCATAGAACGAATTCTCAGCATATTCATTTACAAGTTAATCATAGGAAATGGACCAAGAAGGTCGACATAAGTTAAATCGTATTCTGACTGAATAAATCTCTTCTACATAACAAGCCGTACACCCGCTGTGCAATGGATGCCACCTGCTACTGGATGCCGCACTCTTACATTGAGCGACATTCGTCAGACAAAAAGCCTAACGCAATACGGCATAACCTGGGCGAGACTCTTGATGGAACTTTGGTATATTAATGTCAATACTCTGGCATACCATGAAACACTTTTAATGAACAAAGCAGCACTTATTGACCCCCTCCGTTCTGTCCCGCCCAAGGTTATGATAGATCTACAAAGACGTGTGGGAATGTTGGGTATTAAAAAATGAGTTAGTAAGCTCTTTGACTGATTCAAATGTCGTCAAGATATTTTACCTTTGATGTTTGATGCAGCAGATACCGAGGGCTTCCCGACCGAAATAAAGAAAAGATACAAATATAAAAAAAAAGTAAATACAATAGGTGCGTCTGTAAAAACCCCCTAAAAACCCTGTGGGAAAAAAAGGAGGAAAAGACTGCAAGAAGACTATTCACTAAAATACAAAATACATACTACAACTACAAAATAAAATGGTCGGGAAGAAATATCGAAGGCGATACCACGGGCAGCAATCCATATGAGAGGAACCTGGGGAGGACGCGTCAGCGTTTCCCGATGAAAAAGAGAGTCACACCACCGACGATGCCTTTGACGACAAAAACCGGTTTGGCCACATTTGAGCGCGAACAAAGTAGAAAGATTTGGAGGGATGGATGACTTGCCAAGCGAAAAGAAAACCGGAGAGAAAACCAAAAGCTAAAGACAGAATAGAGAAAAAGGACAGGTAAATTTTTTCTTGTCGAAAAACGGATAGTCGTATCACACAAAAGGTACCTTTTCATAATAATCGAATCGACCGGATCAGATACACGCCATAGTCTGGATGATGGATGATGGATGCAATGATAGTGAGGGATTTCCAGGCAAACAGAAGAGATGCAAAACTATAGAAGAAGAAAAAATTCGGACAAAAATATGTGATTTCCCATGGATGAAACAATAGTCACCTCACTGATGCATGAATGATGAGCTACACAGATCGAAGCATATCTGCTCCATGTATCATTCGATTACTGAAGAGAATGAAAGGGCATATACAGTATAACTGACAGATAACCCAAATTAAATGATGATACGACTGGCGTTCTTCTGTAGCATCATTTAATTTGGGTTATCTGTCAGTTATACTGTATATGTCCTTTCATTCTCTTTCATTTTCAATGAATCGAATAATACATAAGCAGACGTGCTTCGATCTATGAATTCATGCATCAGAAGGGTGACTATTGTTTCATCCATGGGAAATCATATATTTTGGTCTTCTCTCTCTTTCTGTTTACCTGGAAAACTCTAGGTATCATTGTATCAAGATCCCATCCGCATCCATCATCCAGACCATTCTTATCCCGTGTATCTAACTTGGTTAAATCGACTACCATCCTCAAAAAGGTAAGCGTCGAGTGGTCTACCATCGATTTTGCTCCGGCAAAATAGACTTACTTCTCTTATTTTCCATCTCTTCTTTTACCTTCCGGATTTCTCCATTTTCTTTTCGCCTGACAAGTTTTGGATACTACAACTTGACTTTCTCTCGCCATCCATCCATCCATCTGGCGAAACCGGATGCCATCGTCGGTGGTGTGACAATCTTTTTCATCGGAAAACGCTTACGCGTCCTCTTCATGTTCCTCTTCTTTGGATTGCTTCTCATGATATCGTATTCGAGGTGTCTTCCCAATTATTGTATTTTCTATTTTATATTTCATGTACATATTCTTTTCGCAGTCTTTTCCTCTTTTTTTCCCACAGGGTTTTTTAGGAGGTTTTTACTGACGCGACCATTGTTTTTTTTTTATATCATCATGTACTTTTTTTATTTTTCTTTCTTTTTATTCGGGAAACTCTCGATATCTGGAATCCAGCTCGAAATTACCGTCACTTCTGGCACTCAATATTTTTTGCCTGCTCAAGCTGACACCACCGATCCATCGCTTAACTGTCCCTGGAAGCAATTTATTTTCTGCATCGAAGAAGAAGCTTACCTGGCGGTCCGTATTCATCGTTTTTTTTTCCGGTACACCATTTGGTTCAAAGGCAAGTCCAATTTCTTTTCCTTTGCTATGAAAATTTGAATCAATCAAAGAGCTTACTAACTCATTTTTTTAAATACCCAACATACCCACACATCTTTCTAGATCTATCATAGCCTGGGCGGGATGGAACTGAGGGGGGGGGGGGGGGACCAGTGCTGCCCTGCGCGTGTTCAGAAACAAATCACGTTGCAACGTATGCCATAAAATTGTCATTAATATACCGAAGTTCCGTCAAGAGTTCTCGCCCAGGTTATGCCGTGTATGCGTTAGGCTTTTTGTCTGACGAAAGTCGCTCAATGTAAGAGGGCGGCCTCCGGTGGCAGGCGGCATCCATTGCACAGCGGGTACGGCTTGTTAAGAGCCAATATATTATGGATTAAATTTATCGATCATATAATACTTGTTTCCTTGGTGAATTATTGATTGAAAGCAGGAGAACTTGTTTGATCTTTCAAATGAACACCTCAAGATCGCACACGCCCGCGCGCGTGAGGCCATTCTGGTGACGTAGGTAATGATTCAATGTCCGAAAGTGGAAAGTGAAAAAAAAGTGGAAGCTGCGAAAAAGTTACTATGGTTTTTCATTCATATTATGGCCAGTGAGGACGAGCATTCGAACGGTTCGGGCAATCGCGAATTCGGGGATCTTTTTGGATCTGAAGATGAAGCTTCAGATATTGACGATGGTCGTTCACCATCTGCACACGGATCGGAACCGGAGGACGAGAGCAGATCGTCTCTGCGTCGACGTGCTTCCAGTGTAGACAGCGAAACAAAGGAAGGAAGAAAAAGTGATATCGATAATCTCTTTGGCAGCGATGACGAACAAGAGGATGAAGAACCAGTACATCGTCCTTCAAAGCGAGCAAGGAGGTAAATATGCAACAGATAATCATTTAATCTACCGTCGACCTGATAATGGAATGCATGCTACTCAGTTATTCGGAGGAGGAATCTCCTCGGGAAATGCGACAGGAGGAAGAAGAACATTACGGTGAAGACGATTACGAAAGGGAGAAATTCGAAAAACGACGTGTGGAACTTCCGTTGGATATGCCTGCCCTGCCACTACCTACCAGCATAGACGATAAAGTAAGGGTTGCTGCGTGGCAGTATATGACTGTGTCGCTCAGTATCATTCTTTCAGTATTATCTTGCCAAGTTACCCAGCTATCTCAATGTCGAGATCAAACCATTCAAACCTGAAGAACTGGAGATCGAGACCGATCCCGAACTGACTGATGCGCAACGACAGGAATATATTCGACAACAGGTCGAAAGCACGATGCGTTGGCGAAAGCGAATCACTGAAGACGGAAAAGAGGCAAGTGCTGTCGTTCTTAACAGCTATTGATGAAATAGCAAAAAAAAAAAAAAAAAAAAAAAAAAAAAAAAAAAAAAAAAACTCACGAGTGTATAGATTGTGCAATCCAACTCTCATATAGTGGAATGGGAAGACGGTACACGCTCTTTGATGATTGGCGACGAGTGCTTCGATATCAATGAGAAACCAATGACCGAAAACGAGCATGTCTTTTTGTTAGCGCAACAACCGCAATCGGGAGTACTGGAGAGCCATCTTGAATTCACAGATTACATGACCCTGCGTCCCAGTGATCTCAAGAGCGAAACGCATCGACATTTGACGGCACAGATCGCTGACAAACATGTGAAGAAGATCAAAACCAAAATGTTCTTTACGGAAAAGGATCCTGAGAAACTCAAACAGGAACTCGAGATGCAAGAGAACGAACGGTTGCGTGCTCAGCGAAAGTTGGAAGCGCAGCGAAATAAGACACAGGGACGCTACGGCGGAGATTTCCGAAGCAGTCGATACGATTATGGAGATTACGATGCTGCACCCACATACGCTTCCCGAAAACAGGATCAATATGAGGATGACTTTGTGGTCGACGATGATGAGTACGATGAAGAAGAAGAGCGTTCCAGAGAAGAACGACTGGCCCAAGCGAAGCGTAAGGGCATGGATAAATATAAAAGCAGTAATCGTTACAGTGACGAAGAGGAAGAGGAAGAAGATTACGAGGATGAAGAAGAAGAAGAAGAAGAACCCGAAGAAGACGAACAGGAAGAGGAAGAGGATGAAGAACGGATTACTGTGAGAAGACATAAACGCAGGCATTTGATGAGCGATGAAGACGAAGATTGATCAATTATTTTCCTGCATCTCTTTCTTTTTTTGTTTTGGATTCATCACCCGTTAATAACAGACTCTATTGTAAATATTTGCGTCAGGAAAAAAGCATATCGATTGTTTAAATAATGTTTATGCCATCATGAGCCTTTCGAAATTTCATCACTGCCGGACTCCGCAGTCCGATCATGCCTCAACCACGTCAGTTTATCCAGCATCAACAAGTCATTACCAATTGCAAACAAATGACAGTCGAAAAAATGTAGAATTTATTGCAGGAATAGTCGATCACCCATTGTATAATCTTGATGAAAGGCACTGAATGAAATTTATGCTTGTTGTGGCTAAAAAAAATAGATAAAAAATCAGTATCACAGAAGCTTTGAAGCACGTAAGGCGAAATCGTTCAGAACGTACCTTCACTGGCTGCTGATGCTTTTAACCAGTTTGTCATCTTATTTATGACTTTCTACTATATTTTCAGTAATGCTCGAGTGGAGTTTATAACCAACTTATACCGCGACATCAACTGGCGCCCATAACACAAGATGTCGTGTAATATCACGTGACTCGGCGAAAATTTGGTGCCGGAATGTCGTGCCAGAGTGTCGTGTCCGTAGGAAATCCGTGACAAACGTCGTTGATTGAGACTTATTTCCGCGTCAACCACGACTTATTCTGCGCGTTTCCTTTTTTCTAACTTGAGCTCGTCTGCTGCAGATTCTGTCAATTACACCCCATCTTCACCATTGCCCGCTGAAAATGTCAACGGTCTCCAAACCTCTCTGGTCGATGATATCCTCCATTAATGTCGGTTCTTTTCTTCATTGTTCGCCATTGGTTACTTGCAACTATTCAAGTTCGTCTCGATTTCATTGAATGCCTGTGTTATCCTTGATTTCTGCGGTTCTCGTGGTGTATCGTGTTTTGATATTTCCGCCTCTCTTCTACCGTTTGTTCCTGATTTTTTCCGCCACATGCCTTGGGATCATATTGACGGTATTTTGGATCAATGGGTTGGTCGCTGTGCACTTCGCCTCCTGTCCTGGAAATTCTTCTGGAAAGCTGAGCTTCAAGCACCGACTGACAAACGTGAGCGATGTTATCCTCACTGGCATCGTGCTGCTGGCCTCGACAAATTTATTTGGCGGGATCACCTCCAACCTGCTGATGTTCGCACCTTCCAGCCACCTACTGAGTCTTCAGGTTTTAAGTACCTCTACGTTCCCCGTTCTCATCGCCTGGCTCGTCAGGAAACAAGAACCCGCCTTAGCTGTCTAGGTATTGACCCTTAAAGCATCTTGGACATCGGTTTCCCTCCTCGTGCTGTCAGTTGGAATTCTTGTCCACGACCAATATTACGACGTCGCCATGGCCCAGTTTGTCAAGGCCGAAATCAAACCCCTCGAAAACTTCGACCCTCTGGATATCAGTATCCTGGCCGATCCTGAATCAAAGCCACGTCCACCGAAAATCAGAAAGCCTTCGTGTTTGATCTTTATCGCACGCGCTGTGAAAAAGCCGTAACTCATTTCCCGTGTCATCTTGCTTCCCCTGTTGCCCGCTCCTTTGTCGAGGCAAATATCCTTGAAGAAGCTGATCTTCCCAAACTTCTTGGACAACGTGCTACTGCCCGTCTCCGCTGTGCTGTGCGTTAGCGAACGTCAGGCTTGGCGTGCCTTTTGCGATAAGCTGGCCCGTGGGGATTTCTCGCGTGCAACTGCGACCATAAAACGCATCCGAAATCGCCGCAACCAACAGGTGCGCTTTACCCACCCGTATGGTCCTGCCCTTGGCGCTCAAGTCCTCCGCGACTATATGGCCAATGTTTACTCTGGTCAGCGTCTGCCAATCATTTTGGAATGTTGACTTGCAATCCATGGCTGATCATCGAGATCGCACCTACCGGCGGTGGCGTCGTGCCATGGCATCGGCAAAGCTGTCTGGTGGGATGAACACCAACAAGCTGCCCAGCGATTCCGAACTGCTGTCCGCCGCGCGAAAAGGCAAGCATGGCGTGCTTTTTGTGATGCTTTGGCTCGTGGGGATTTTTCCCAAGCGATGTCAAAGATCAAGTCCATTCGAAACCGTCGCCGTCAACAAGCCCAATTCACGCACCTTGATGGTCCAGCCGCTGGTGCATAGCCACGGGTGATCACCTGGCCTCAGTCTATTCTGGTTCGGGTTCACCCTTGTCTCGCCCACATCTTCCCTTCCTTTCGATATTTCATCAGCAACCCCACACGTTCCTTTCTTTACTACCGATACCGTTGCCAAGACTCTGGATCGACTCCCTCGGCGAAAAGCTCCCGGTTCGGATCATCTCCGTTCAGAGATGCTTATGTTCATCCAGTCTGTGTTTTCCCCCCTCCCTTGTTGTTTAACCTCTGTGTCCAATGGGTATACGTTCGCTCTATGGGTTGCCTACTGGCAACAAATGATTAGCTCAAAGTGATTAGCCATCCGAGCCACCCAGAAGTCAAGCAACAATCCCCCCAAATTGAGCAGTGGATTAAGCAGACAGAGAAGCTAATCTGAATCATCGAATATTTTCTTTCGAAGCCTACGAGCTGAATAAATTTAAATAATCATATCAGCCGTGCGATAATGCTCATTACACTTTTACATTTTTATTCCGAAGAAAGAGGACAAATTAGAGTACTCTACGCTTGCTAATCCAATCCGCACTGGCCACAGTGTCTTTTATCCCTAGGAAGCGAAAGCGAATGAGGAGTGTTGTGAAAAAAAGTCCGGCTTCATTTTTCATAATGGATATCCCTTTGCAGCTTGGCATCTATACATTTCTAAATATATTACGATAGAAAAAATGTGCAAACCCACAAACTACTACCTATAAAGGCCCTATCGAGAACAGAAGTCGAGACTTGAGACAAACATCATTAAAAAGCACCTTCAGAAAAAATGGCCCTCACGAATTTACGTGAACGCAAATGCCACCATTTGAGCAACAGCAACCTTGATATGGAAGGTGATTATATCAACAGCCAATGAAATCGTCCAAACGTGATCAAACGGCCGCAAAAGCGCAGTCACGAATTCTGGTGCCATATAGCAAATTTTGATTTTTTCCAAAAAAAGCTCGCTTAGCTCAGTCGAAAATGTATATGTTTATTGAGGGGTATGGCCTTAATGATTATGAAATCGATATCGGCTACCCTATGGGACAGTTAAGAAATAAAACGAAAAAAACATCTATAGATCACAAAAAGATGGAAGAAAAAAAGTAGGGTGAGAGAGTAGAGGAACACAGGCTACTAAGCTACCTTTCACTACATGGTCCCCTCCGCAACGTGCTTAGATGGTGTCGCAGTGGGAGGAAGATGCCAGAGGCAGTTCCAGGCGCGATTCGCGAGAGGCAGTAGGAGGCGAGAGGTCTATCCAGACTTGGCCGGGGGTAGGATCACTTGTGTAATCTCCGTCAGGGTTACAGAGCTGGTCAAAGTGCCAGAGGATGGTGCAAAGGTCTGACCAATAAGTTGGTGCCGAGGCGGAACGGGAAAGAGGCAGTTGATTCAAAACGTAATCAATGCGAACGCCAGGAAAATTTGGAACACAGGATGGAAGGGAGAACCAAAGTTGGGAAGGGACAACAGGGCACTCCATGAGATGGGAACGGGTGGTAGTACTGAAGCCACAGCGACAAGGACGAGGTTTCCCCGGTAGCCAGCCCATACGCCATCGCACTAAGCGGCTACGATCAGCTCGCGAAGCAGGGACGTAGAGTATTGGATCCACTATCAGGGTAGGGCGGCAGGCTCGAATTAGAACTCTTTGGGTACTGGTCAGGAAAGCAGTGAAGTGACGTTGCCGATAATTGCGTAGCCAAGTGGTAAGGCGTGAGGAAGACATCTGTTCAGCAGGATGATCGACCACAATTGGACGTTCTTGGAGGCGTGACAGCAGTGACAAACGCACAGACGAAGAAACAAGAGGCATGAGGCAATCATCGGGCAGGTAGCTCATCCGCAGGCAGAATTTCAGGACCAAGGTATCAGCGCGGAATGACATGCTCGGGAGGTTGCAGATGTGAACCAGCACTTGAGTAGAAGCACTCTTATGGCCGCCCACTATCATGCGAAGGCATCGATCTTGGACACGGGCGAGCTCTTTATGGTCTTTTTGGAGTAAGTGTGCGATTGAGAGACCATATTCCAGTTTGGGTCGGATGAAAGTTGCGTAGATTCGTGCAGAAAATAAAAGTGGGAAACCATTGCGATTTAGGCCCATAGCGTTAAGCTGGGACATTGCCAAGAAAGTGCTGCGTGCTCGATGTCGGATCAGAGCAGCAGTGGCCAGACCTTTGGAGTGGAACGGAATGCCAAGATAGATAAATTCATCCACTGCAGGGAGCGAATCACCATACAGGGAGAGAGGGACAAAGCTACGAGACGTGGGAACAGGCGCATTTAGGATGGCACATTTAGGAGGACTCCATTTATAGCCCAGGACATGAGAGTGGGTTTCAGCAAGGGTGAGCATGTGTTGTACCTCGCGGGCTGATCCAACCAAAGCAATGTCGTCCGCGTACAACAGGCAGTTGATGGGAGTCGACGAGGCAATGGGGTCACTGTCAGATGGGATGGGTCCAAACGGTAAGCCATTGGGCGCAAAAGCATCGTAGCGAGGTGGTCTCGATGGTGATGTGGAGGGCACCGCTGTGGTAGAATTTGAGGCAGCAGATCGCAAAAGAGCAGGCAGCGTATTGATATATAAAGAGTAAAGAAACGGGCTGAGCACAGACCCTTGTAGCACACCAGTAGACGGAGTAAAAGGAGTGGAGGCTTGGTTTTGCAAGAGAACTGTGACGGAAACATCATCGAACATGTGCGCTAGTAGCGAGACAAGTACAAGAGGCGTGGAAGAGGCAAGTAAAGTCTGCCAGACAACCCGGCGGTCAACAGTATCGTAAGCGGCCTTAATGTCCAAAAAAGCAACGACAGGGTAGTGGTTGTGGCGATCGCGGTAGGCCCGCATCAAGTCGTGTAGACAGAGGGCTTGATCCAGAGCACTACGTTGATGGCGAAATCCCCCTTGGGCAACGTCTAGAGGTGGGGCGGTGGTTTCCAATGTAGGTAAGAGAATCATCTCGAAAAGTTTGCGTACAATCGAGGTCAGTGAAATCGGGCGGAAGTTGGCAGGATCGTGAGGGGCACCTTTCTTGTGGATAGGAACTACCTGGGCATGACGCCACACTGTGGGAGTATAAGACCATTGGGTGCAGATGGTAAACAGGTGGGTCAGCAAAGGGGCAAGAGAGTCTGCGATCGGTATCAACATTTCGGCACGAAAATCATCTGGACCTGGGGCTTTTCGGCGTGGAAGTCGTTTCAAAGTGGCAATGATATTCTCTCTGGTAAACGCATGCGAAAGGGATGTAGATGCGAGATCGAAAGGGAGAGACTGGCTGGGTGCAGGTGGCAGTGGTGGTCGGGTGCGTGGCAAATGTTGACCAGAGTAAACAGTCGCCATATGGTCGCGGAGCACTTGGGCACCAATAGCTGGGCCATCAGGATGAGTAAAGCGTACCTGTTGGTTGCGGCGATTGCGGATGCTTTTGATGGTTGCAGTTGCACGCGAGAAATCCCCACGGGCCAAGTGATCGCAAAAGGCGCGCCAAGCCTGACGCTTAGCGTATCGTACAGCACAACGGAAACGGGCAGCAGCGTGTTGGAGGCGATCCCACCATGGGACTTTGTCCAGACCAATGGCTCGATGCCAGCGACGGTAGCAACGTTCTCTTTCATCTGCGAGGGCTTGGAGCTCTGTATTCCAAAATGATTTCCATGAAGGAGGCCGGGGTGCACGACGACAGACCGATTTGTCCAGCGCAGTGTAGATATGATCGTTGAGATCGGAGTTCAGTTGGTCGATCGGTGGTCGAGTGGAAGGCGGGTTTTGAGAAAGATCCTGGAGTTGTGTAAGAAGACGGTCTGACAGGGAGTGAAAAGTGTCAACATATAAGCGATGCACGTCCGTTTCTTGTAATCGCGATAGATTCCAGAGGCGACGGCTTGAAGAAGAAGAAGGAGACGTGTGAACAAGAGTAGTGGGGTCAGAGTAGGCAAAGGATAAGGCCAACAGTTTGTGGTCGGAGCCAAGGTGGAGTTCAGAATAGATTTTTAGCGAGGGAGTGGAAAGTTGAGGCACATTGGTAAGAAAATAGTCGACGATGCTGCTATGGAGCTGTTCATTCCGGTAGTTGAGAAAAGTGGGAATACCATATGCTAAAGAGATGTTGAGAATCTGGAGATTACGTTCTTCTACCCAGTCTTGTAGTAGTGATCCGCGGGTATTGGAGCGATGATCACCTGTGAGAGCGCCCAGGCGAGCATTGAGATCACCACAAATGATGGTATCATTGGTCAGTGGGATTGCGTTCAAAGCGGCAAGGACTTCATCAGGCGTGAGGGAGGGCGGCAGATAAATACAAACAACCCGGAGTGAAGGGCCGATCTGGAGCCCAAGGGCATGAGGTGACGTTATTGGGAATTGAACAATGTGGAAAGGAAAGCTGGGGGAAACAAGAGCAGAAATACCATGAGAACCACGGAAATTACCCGCAACAGGGCTACCATACAAATGGTACTGAGACCAAGAAGTACGGAGTCGAGCTGGGGAAAGTAACCAGGTTTCAGTGATGAAAAGGAGAGAAAAGGACTGGCAGTGTTGGAGGATATCATCGACCAAGGAGGCTTGGAGGCCATTGGCATTCCATAGGCCGATGCGGAAGTGAGGGGTGGGAGTGGGTGGGGTTGGGGGTGGGGGCGATCGAGAATGAGTGGCAAGAGAGGTTGACAAGGAAGGAGTGAAGGGGTGATTGGGATCAATCATCTTTAAAGTGTGCCGCTACGGGCTTGGGCGCGTTCACTTTTAGCATCGACCATATCGGTATCAGGATCAGAAGACTTTTCTTCGGCAGGGGAAACGGGAGCACCTCGGCAGGAACTCAGAATGCGAGAAACATCTGCCTCATTAAAGATAGCATCATCTAGAAAGGAGCGGGCAATGGGCGAGGCAAGGTGGTAAGGAAGGCGGGCCACGGCTTTTTCGCATCGACTATGGTGAAGGGTCTCGGCAAACAGGTGTTGTTCCTCAAGTGGCAAACTTTTGATTTCGGGATCAGCAAGGTGGACAGGATCAAGAGGGTCAAAATCAAGGAAGGGCTTAATGGTATGCTTTTCAAGTGTGGCAAGAACGGAGGGACGGTACTGGTTGTGGATAAGAAGTCCAACAACAGAGCGAGCAGGGAAAGTTATGTCTAGAATTCTATAGGGGTCGATTCCAAGGCGGCGAAGACGAGAACGGGCTTCTTGGCGGGTGAGTCTGCGGGAACGAGGGATGTAGAGGTACTGGAAGCCACCAGGGCCTTCAGCTTCCTTGAAAGTACGGACTGAAGCAGCCAAGCTTCGGACAGTGCGCTTAATACGCGGAGGGCGGATTTTTTTGGACACAGTGGCCCAGGTGGATTCATCAGAACCCAAAGGTGTAGGAGTGGTTGGAGTGGGACATGTTGCAGCCTCAGTGGTAAGGGGGGAAATGGGGACAGTAGGCTTAGGAGCGCTGGCAGTAGCAGCAGCAAGTTGGGCTTTCAACTGAGCATTCTCATCACGCAGTTGCTGGTTTTCTTCAAGTAGGCGACGGATCTGGTCAAGTTCCGTACGATGCGTAGTGACTTGCGCAGCCAGGTAAGTAATTTGGGCCTGCATGGCCGCAAATTGTTCAGGTGGAGTGGTGGTGGACATCGAGTTGGGATGCGACGTCGGCGGGCGAAATTCAGAATTGGAGTCCGGTTCGGACACAAAAGGTGGTGCGGGGATCGAAGCGGTTACCGGAAAACGAGATTCGGCGATGGAACTGGCTGAAATCAACGTTGTGTTTCTTTGATACACTTTTTCTTGAACTGGAGATATCTCAAAGAAGAACGATGGAAACGATTTCAAACTTCAGGGATAGGTCGATAGTGGATCGATGCACGATGTGGCAACGGATGGATGATGGATGGAGGGATTTAGGTGAGGGTGGAACAGGTGTAATTCCGGCTAAAAGTTTTCCCGCTATAAAAACGAGAAAAAAGTGATGAAGAGCGGAAAAAGGGTGCTCCGCTCGCTTAGCTCAGTTGGTTAGAGCGTGGTGCTAATAACGCCAAGGTCACAGGTTCGACCCCTGTAGTGAGCAACTTTTTTGGACCATTTTATGATTTTTGTGTTTTTCTTTTTTTTTTTATTATTTTGGTATAACTGTTATGATGTTGTTGAGATCTTTATCACTGCAGAATACAGCAGAAATTACGATGACTTTTTTCTAAGTTAATTGACTACATGCGCTTGAAGATTAGTTGCCATCGAAAGCGATAATTTTGTGGTGTAAATTTCCTTAAATGACTCCATTTCCGGGTTTTTTTTTTTTTTTTTTTTTTTTTTTTTTCCTTGGTATAGTGTCTGTAAAAGATTTAATTGAGAATGCGCCATCGGATAAACAGCGAGTATCTTGATTTGCAGAAACCCACGCAGTAAAGTATCTTTGGCAGCATCGTTAACCAACATTGCTGGATGGGAAGGGGAATAAAGCGAAGAATTATAGTCAACGGAAAATAGGAATATAACAGGACTGGAGCGGTCGGCCTTGAAATTGTTAGATGTTTCTGGAGGTATTAAACGCAGGTAGAGAATGACAGTTCCTAGAGATAAGATCAACTGGGACAAGAACCATAAACAAGAACAGGATACAACGGGAAGATAACTGATTGGTTTATTTCTACTAGTCAAGATTCACTGGATATTTATGCTAAGGTTAGTTACTCGACGAATGCAGGTTTAAGATATACTAAAAATAAGAAAATGGATTAAAGAAATAAAATCTTTGAAAAAATTAGCGATTTTGTAAATCACATGATCTACACTAAGTTATCAAGACCTGTTAAACCTTTTTTTCATCTTTCAACCATGCCTCGCTGCCCACTTTCACGATAATAGGCGAAACAATCAGCAGCAAGATGCCGTTTGCGCCAGTTGTGGTCAAACAGAGCATCGTCGCCGTTCACATAAAATGTGAGTGGAGCTCTTTTTTGAAGAAAGGTGATTGACGATACGACGATCTGGTGTTTTGTAGCATCATTTAATTTGGGTTATCTGTCAGTTATACTGTATATGCCCTTTCATTCTCTTCAGTAATCGAATGATACATGGAGCAGATATGCTTCGATCTGTGTAGCTCATCATTCATGCATCAGTGAGGGGACTATTGTTTCATCCATGGAAAATCACATATTTTTGTCCGAATTTTTTCTTCTTCTTTAGTTTTGCATCTCTTCTGTTTGCCTGGAAATCCCTCACTATCATTGCATCCATCATCCATCATCCAGACTATGGCGTGTATCTGATCCGGTCGATTCGATTATTATGAAAAAAGGTACCTTTTGTGTGATACGACTATCCGTTTTTCGACAAGAAAAAATTTACCTGTCCTTTTTTCTCTACCCCTTCTTTAGCTTTTGGTTTTCTCTCCGGTTCTCTTTTCGCTTGGCAAGTCATCCATCCCTCCAAATCTTTCTACTTTGTTCGCGCTCAAATGTGGCCAAACCGGTTTTTGTCGTCAAAGGCATCGTCGGTCGTGTGGCTCTCTTTCTCATCGGGAAACGCTGACGCGTCCTCCCCAGGTTCCTCTCATATGGATTGCTGCCCGTGGTATCGCCTTCGATATTTCTTCCCGACCATTTTATTTTGTAGTTGTAGTATGTATTTTGTATTTTAGTGAATAGTCTTCTTGCAGTCTTTTCCTCCTTTTTTTTCCCACAGGGTTTTTAGGGTGTTTTTACAGACGCACCTATTGTATTTACTTTTTTTTTTATATTTGTATCCTTTCTTTATTTCGGTCGGGAAGCCCTCGGTATCTGCTGCATCAAACATCAAAGGTAAAATATCTCAACGAAATTTGAATCAACCAAAGAGCTTACTAACTCATTTTTTTTAAATACCCAACATTCCCACACATCTTTGTAGATCTATCATAACCTTGGGCGGGACAGAACGGAGGGGGTCAATAAGTGCTGCTTTGTTCATTAAAAGTGTTTCATGGTATGCCAGAGTATTGACATTAATATACCAAAGTTCCATCAAGAGTCTCGCCCAGGTTATGCCGTATTGCGTTAGGCTTTTTGTCTGACGAATGTCGCTCAAGGCAAGAGTGCGGCATCCAGTAGCAGGTGGCATCCATTGCACAGCGGGTGTACGGCTTGTTAAAGAAATAAAATGAATAGAAAATAGTAATACATTGAATCACTGGAGTTTGGGAGTGCACAGACACAGGAGCGAGAGAATTAGGGCAAGGTTCATGGCAAGTAATAAGTGTTTATAAAACCATGAGGAGGGCAAGTCAACAATGATGATGATACAACCCAGGCCCTTAAGAAATGGACAATGGTGAAGATTAAAAGATTCTCAGGAATGCTTATAGCACTAATATACAGCGAAAAGAAACTAGCAAACAAGAGAAAACGCGCCATTGGGACAATGTGTGCATATCTCACCTCTAACCCATATCACGTCGACAACCTATCTAATAATCAGTTTCAAGGCTATAACCTGCTACAACATATAGGCATAAATTTTGCCTGTCAAACAAAAGACAAAAAACTATAAAAACCAAGCCATCTGTAATAAGAAATGAATTATCAACGGAACTTGCCATACAAATTAGCCAAAGGCATGAATCTTTTTGCATCGAAAGCTGTCGGAGTACCAAATTTCCCCATTCATTGAAAGCCACTGAAATAACGTCAAAGGAAAAGGGCAAGGCACAGCATTGGACTAACACTTGGAAGGAACATCATGTGGCATGAAGTTAGAGCCAATGAGAAAAGGGTAAGTATGCTTACATATTATATATTTAGGAATAGTAAGTCAGAGAAGAACTTATATCACGTCTTTTAGATCAAAGAGTTAATGGTGGACCATAAAAAGCGAGCCGAACGTCGACGAGCTTACTATGATTCACAGGTACTTTTTTTTTTTCGATTGCACTCACGCAAGTGTTTTCTCATATTGAATCTGCTTTTTTTTTCTTCGCTAGTTGGGAGATCCCTTGCAACTGCTTCGAGTTACGGGGTCAGCACTCAAACTTCATCCTGATGCTGAGCAGTTTTATTACCACGAAAATACAGACAATCTGTAAGTTTATATGCGACTCACCTCACGATAATTATGGTTGGTAACGACTTGTCTCGCTTTTAAAAGTATGCCCTGGCAAGGCAATTCCGCCATAAAGATCGATCGGCAAGTTTATATGTATTCGCGACCACGTAGAACAGTGCATAACCAGCCATATACAGATTCGACGGTCGTTCGTTGTTGGATTTCATTACCGAACCTTCTACAGCCAACGGCATGAACCAATTGCCCGACGACGAAAGCGAACTTCTCAACGATCTGAACTTTGAGCGTTATCAGGACTTGGTCGAAGCTGAACGGTTGCAGAGTATGTACGCGATACACGTCCAACAGGCTGTCAGGTGTATATTTACCACATTACTGTTAATCACTTAGTTTTGGAATCCGAGCGCCTAAGCCAGGTTGAAGAGGAATGGACAAAGCTGTTGGACCGTCATAAAGCGCTCTTGGCGATGATAAATCCAAGGTATGGTTAAACGTTTGGCAATAAATGAGATGCAGGGATTTGCTAAAGCTACTCTAGGAAAGACGATGCAAACTCTCGGGGATTTGCATACGACTATGGGACCACCATTGTGAACGATGACGCACCGCAGGACGAAGAATCGGAATTGCTTAAAGATATCCTTTTTTTTTTTCAGTGCGCTGTGACGTGCGGTTATTGGGTTTTCAGCTTTTTCGATTTTTCCTTAACCGATATGTTCACAGACGGATATTCTACGATATGTCGATGATTTAACAGACAAAGACAAGGAGATTTTGAATGACATGTCAAGGAAGTATGGAATACGGAATTACGCACGTTTGCTACGAGTAGCCAAAAGGGACCGAGATGAACAGTTGCGAGAATTGAAAAAACGACAAGAGGTAGTATTTTAGAAGAACATTCGTCTCTTTGCCTTGCTGATATATACCGTGAAACAGCATCCAGATGCCAAATCGGGTGATCATTCGGGCCGTCGTGGCAGGGATTCAAGGCGGAGGCGGTCAATGACTGAGACAAGGCGAAGATCAGGGTAAAGGAAGGAGAAGGAGGTAACGTTTCGTTGACGTACTAAACAAATCTATTACAGACGCGATAGTCCCACCTATGAGCCATATGGAGACGCTTCGGATAGCGACTCATCAGCCGATGAAAAACGATCTGATTTTGTCATTGAATTTGGGACGGAAAACGCTACTTCAGGCTGGACTCCAGTAGATACAGAGGGCGAAAAAAATATGGATCCGACGATGAACATGATCGAACGAAGCACTGTCGAAAAAGGTGCGGCCAAAGAAAACAAGGACGATAGAAGGTAGAGTAACAATAGCCGTAAAAGCTACGCTGCATTATCTTTAGTAATTCTAACCTGTTACAGACGACGGGAAACACAATCGACCAATGCTGGACCCAGTAGCAGCATGGCACCCACCAACACCGAAAAAGAAAAAAAGTTGACGCCGATGGAAAAGCTCAAATTAAGGATGAGAGCGGGGCTAGAAAAGCAAAGTATGATCATAGACGTTGGGTGAAAAAGGATTACATGATTAACGTCACCATAGTCAAACTGGATGAACGAGATCGGTGGAAAAAGGAACGGGAAAAGGAGATGGATCAACTGCAAGACTTTGTGCGCGATAAAAATATTCCGTTTACCTCAACCTATGGAAGTCGTCCACCGCCACCACCTCGTAAATCCAGTCCGACCAAATCATCCTCAACTGAGGCACATAATCAATCCAGCAAAGAACCGCAAGACAGACGTTCCAGTTATCGGTCAACGTCCAGATCCAGATCCAGATCCAGATCAAGGTCGCGTTCTCCCTTGGAGCGCAAACGAAAACGATACCGGTCACCTAGTACTTCGAGATCCAGGTCGAGATCTAGATCCAGATCAAGATCACCTAGCCGACGTAATAAATCGTATCGGTCGACACATTCTCGTCGTTCAAGAAGCCCGAGAAAACGACATCAACGGACTAGTAGACCATCGGATGAGCGTGAAGAAGAACGTTACTCTTCTTCACAAAGACGACGTTCTACGGAAAGACGATCGCGTCGTTCACGGTCAAGAAGTCCGTCTCGAAGGAAGCATCGATCGCACAGAAGCAGATCACATTCCAGGTCCAGAATACGGAAGTGATGATAGAAAAAGAAAATTAAATTTACAATAATGATTTGCATCTACTATTTTTACTTTGGTCGCTATTTCATTTGATGAGTGTTGTATTGAGAGTGGTATGGAGGATGATTGGCAGAGTTATATGAGTTGCCAGCGTTACATGAGTTGGCGGAGTTATATGAGTTGGTAGAGTTGCATGTGTTGCCAGAGTTACGAGAGTTGCCAGAGTTACGATATAATTTTCAAACTTGACATTGTTATTGGTCTTGTGTTCCTTTTTTTTTTTTTTCTCACTTCATTTGCTCTAGATTGCTTGGACTTTTGGGAAAAAAAATTGAAGATTATTTTATTTAATGATTTACATGTAGGAAGGTTTGATATTATAAAAAATGCTATAAGGTATGATATCTGGGGGGCTACATACGAGTTGGGTTAAAAAATGGAACAGAGTGTGAAATAAAATGACCGCAATGGACGCAAAAGAGGTTTAGGCTTTGTGCTCGTATTCATATTCCTTCTCGTTGTAATTAGGAGGGTTCTGTTTTTCTTCGGCTTGGTCAACACCAATGGCGTCATCTTCCACATCGGTTTTATCATTCTTGCCGTGAATGATGTAGAATAAAGGAGCACACACGCCCATAGCACAGGCAATACCCGCATACATGTACGTAAGCTTCGGATCGACAGCGACAGAAACGAGAGCAAAGCCGAGAATGGAACCAACACAGTTAGTGAACAGGAACAAGGCCATGACTAAGGATTTCATGCTAATAGGGGCCTTCTTGTAGGCGTATTCAAGACCCGTGATGGAAGCAAAGACTTCAGAGACACCGACGAGAATGTAAGCAGGAACAATGAGACCAGCGGAGACATAGTTTTTGTTGCCGGTCGGGAAGTTGTAGTACGGTGGGGAGTTGTACACCACGGCCTGGATAGCGGCACAGTAAGCCATGGCAAGAGCGGCGAAAATGAAACCCATGGTGATACGAAGCATGGGACGCATGGGAATACCGCAGCGGCGTAAGAAAGGATAGAGGACACGATCCATCAAGGGAATGACGATAATCAATGTCAGCGGGTTGATGTTTTGCATGATATCGTTGGGAACCTTGCCGGTTTGCATGGTAGCTGTCATGGAAACGAGGTTGTTGGTCATTTGAGAGTAACAAAGCCAGTAGATAGGGAACCAGCAAAACACGGCACAAGCACGAAGAGTACGACGCAATTCATCGACAAAGACATCATTCCAAGTGAATTTCTCGGCCAGTTTAGGATTCACATCACGCATCACGGAAGGTTTAGCACCTTCAAGACCATACTTGACAGCAATCTTGAGAATGCGTGCGACTTCAACAAAGATACTACCGCGAGGAGGATGCTGCACGTAGTAGTTTTTACCAAGGAGGACCACGAGAATACCGGGAATGAACATAAGCAGAGGCAACATGTAAGCGGACCAGAAGCCAACATATTTTTCCAACGAAGTGGTAGCGATGGCAGAAAGTGAGCCGACATTGATACCCCAATAAAACATGTTGAAGAGTTTCTGATAAGTGGCTTGAGGAGTGACAATCACACGTTCGGTCGAACCATTACGACGGGTGATGACGCGAATAAACGGTGTCTTTGATTGATATTGCTCGGCAACCAAGGGTGATACGTTGGATTTGATACCACCTGTTCCTACACCAATGATAATGATAGAAACGATAAAGCCAGGGAAAGCGGCCCCATTTTGGATAGCTGCGGGAATGGATGTCAAGGTCAAAGCAATCAGGCCGACAAAATAGATACCAGCGAAGACAAGAATGGTCTTGTATTTTCCCCAGTACTGATCAGCAATCATGGCTCCCGGGATCTGAAGATGAAACGGATATTAGAATTCCCATTATGGTGTAAATATGGACACAAGTAGGGTCTTACCGGGGTTATATAACACCAAAATTGGAAGAATGTGGTGAGCGCGGTAGCCACCTGCTGACCCTTATTCAGCGCACCGGGCGTTTCAGCAGGGTCTTTTTGAATCAAAATGGTGAGTACAACGGAAAATGTCAAACTCAGGTCGTCACTAGATGATTCTCGACAAAACATGAGATACCACCAACAACACTTACAACTAGGAGGGTGTGGATGTTGAATATAATTTTGGAAAGGACCAGTCAAACCGTAGTAGGTAAAACGTTCACACAGTTCCAAGAGGATGACCAAGTATGCAGAGCGTGGGATCGCATCGGCTACTTCTCGGCAAACCTTCCAATCTTCTTCAGTAGGTTTGATATGATCATCCTCTACTTGTGGCTGAACCGAAGTATGGGAGATAATTGATCCCTCAGCGTTGGGTTTCTCTTTCAAGTCATGTTCGATATTTTCTTTAATGCTTCCCTCTGCCATGTTGTAAATATTACAACGGTAAGAAAAGATTTAATATGTAAAAAGATGCAGAAGAAAAAAGGAAGATAATAAAGAGTTAAACTGTGTCTATGATGACCTCTTTTATTCTTTCGTGCGATTACAAGTTTTTTTTTTCTTGTTTTCTCTCTCCGCGAGCTTGCATCTTTTCTCTTGATACGATTTGTGTTTGCGTTACAGTAACTCAATCTGGATCCGGGTTGCACCAAAACCAGATAATGTTATTCTTGATATTCTTGATCTGAACAGTTCAGTGCAATCCATAAATGGTACATTTTGTCGTTTTTATCTTGTTGGAATAACGAGAACACTTCCTTCTGTGATCAAATAACGCATAGATATAGGATGAATTTAAAAAAGAGTTCACACGCTTTTCCATTTCTTTTAGACAGCTTGCAACGTTTGATAGAATTGACTGACTCTCGGGTGGGCCATGACCTTGGATGGTTCGAAATTTAGAATTTGCAGAGATTCCAGTGTGGTTGCGCGTGACAGAGCAACATAAGCTTGTCCCTTTTCAAAGACTCGACCCAAATCGACTCGTACACGATCAAGCGTTTGTCCTTGACTCTTGTGAATTGACATGGCCCATGCGAGCATTAGAGGGAGCTGTGTCCGTGTTGCGATTTGTTTACCGCCTAATAATTTAAATGCAGAGACAAAATGAATAACGATTTTTTCTTTCAACATATGATTTTTTTTTTCTTTTTCTGTCGAATGCGAAAAATAAAATGAAAATAATGGGTTACCTGGAAGTTCGACGGACCATGTGTCGCTTTCAATGACTATTTCTCGATCGTCAGAAAATCGCACGATGGGACAATTGCGGGCAATAATAGAATCAATGTCAATATCTTCGGGTTTGCCCATACGATTTGGTGGTAGTCGTTTTCGCAAAGCAGCTTTCTGTGTAAATCCAACTTCACCAGCGAAACCGACTACGATGCCCAGAGACCCGTTGACCAAAGTGGCATCCATATTCTTTAACAACATGACCTGAGCATTTTTTTTGAGACGAATTAATGCAGGAGCAATACAACTCTCTATTTTTGACCGATCGCCCCAATCAATGGCGTGGAACTCGTAATCACGGCCTTCGAGAGCTTGCAAACGCATGTTGTTTGATTGTTCCACTTGAGTACGTAACGGATACCTAATTGATGTGACCTACCGTGTCAAAATTTTTTCTCATTTTCTCACATTCCCTTTTTCCGGATGGGGTTTTTTTTCCTTTTGAAATTTATCTGCACTTACAGTTCAGTGGGTTCAATGGATGTCTTGTTCATCGGTTCTCGTGAAAGCGATTTGAAAATGTCGATGGCCTTATTGGAAAGACGGCCGAGTCGCATCTCATTGAGGATTTCAATAAAGGCTTTTTTTTTGTCATGGAAAACATAATAAGGAATTTTGACCTGGTAGTGCGATCATCACATGTTACACAGTGTACTTACTTTCATCTTTTTGTCGGAACACATGTTTAAGCAACACTGTCTTTGTTACCACTTTTGACCAACACTGTGCTTCAAAAGCAAATCGAGAACTTCCATGTGGATTCACCGGCGGTAACTGGAAAAAGTCACCTGTTAAAATGACCTAAATCGAAGTTAATATGATCAAGTTGTTTAACCAAAATTTCCATTTTTTTCGTCACTTACCTGTATCCCTCCAAAAGGTAGTACACTTTGTTTCATTGAACGAGCAATCGCTTCAAGTTTATCAAATAACTCCGCATCCATCATCGAGACTGACAAATAAACTGACGTTGAGGTCCACCATTCCTCCCATCCGGTATTTTGGCTCACATAACCTTTTGTTCAACTTACTTTCGTCAACGATCAACACACGTGTCTTTCGCCATCGTTCAGCCACTTTGGACTTTGACGTAATCCTTTCGATGAGCGTTTCCACAGGTTCCTTTCCCAGTCCAATGCCGGCGAAACTGAAAATCACAAAAAAAAAGCACGATTTAGGATTATCATGATATGCAGAATCATAAAAAGATCCCATTTTCACGTGAGTCCTTTTTATTACCTGTGTAAAGTGGAGCCATTGATATTGCAGGCTGCAATACCTGTGGATGCAGTCACCGCCACGCCTTCGCCGTAAATGTTGGTTAATCGATCAATGATGGCTATACAAGTAATGAGATCATGAATGGCCTGTGCTACTTGTCTTTCTGTTTTTTACAAGCACAAAACAATTTACCTCTTAGAAGAACCGATTTGCCGGTACCAGCAGAGCCAGTAAAGAACAAATTGGTCCGTTCGTGAATCACCATGTTCAGAATCCGCTCCTGCTCGGCGGAGAGTTCAGGGCGATATTCCTGGTCCGGTTTCACAAAGGAAGGGGCCTTTTTCGTGACTCGCTTGACACTTGCTTTGCTCTTTATCGCACCCATGGTACCACTGGAACCCTGCGAAAATGAGAACGATCCACTGAATAAAGAGGATGACGATGGTGAATCTTTAAAGGGTTTTGATACATTGGATATCCAATGTTTCGGCTGTGAACTAAGCACAGTATAATCAGGGGCTCTGTTTCTCGCTTTGAACGTATTGGTCTCGGTGATAAATGTCGCTGGAAGCACTCGCTGACGCTTCTGCATGTAATCGGTATCTTGATATGGCAGGTAGTTTGACTGGTAAGAAGGTGGTGTCGGTGTGTCTGGAGGAGGTTGCCAACTTGATTGTCGTTTCACGGCTGGTTTCGGGTTCACCGGAATGCGAGAATATGACGTTGCAGAGGGAGCTGGCAGTTCTTGGGTCTCTTGACTGGAGAATCGGGGTTTCGTCTTGTACGATGGATTGAACGTCTGGAATTTGTATTTTGATTCATATCGCAGTTCGACCGTATTTCCTTGACTTGAGCTAAACGAACAGCGAGATCCCTCGTTCTTGATTTTGTTTTCACAGTTGGCCAACTTGGGTCGTTGTTGTTGCTGTGTTTGCGATTGGTTCCTTTTCGGTAGAAACAACGATTCTCCAATCCGATTCTCGTCAATCACAATTGTGTTTGCACTTTCGTCGTCCAATGCAGTAAGATCGATCACATCCCGTTTCCCAGTGTTTGGTAGCTTATTAGGGGACGACAAGGTGGAATGGGAACGTGGGGATGCGTTGCTGAGCGACAGGTTTCCATCCTCATTCGCTTGACGTGCATTAACAGGCGCGAAAAAATTGAATAGCGTTACTGATTTAGGCTTTGTAACAGTTGATCTTTTTTGTGACATTGACGTAATAGAGAAATGTGAGAAACAAAGCAAGGAAATGCAAAATGGAAAATGACAATGGGTATGTGCAGCGTTCTAAAGCAAAGAAACGCGTAAAAGGACGACAAAGAAATATAAAAAAGGGAACAATCTCGAAATCAAAAAAAACCAAAAAAAAATTAAAAAAATACAGTATGGAGTCGCGTCGACGGAGTCGAAAAGAAAACCTGCCTAATTGAGCAAAGCCTTTTCCAAATCGGCTTCTGTGGCATCCACATCAAGATGAGCTTGTTTATCGTTATTAATATGCGTAGGTGCATGCGGAATAAAGGCCGGCTTTTGGGTATCGGAAAGTGATGGCGATTTGATAGAACCCGTCTCAGTATTATTAGTCGTCGCCTTGCGGACACTGCTGTTCAGGGATATCATGGTGGAAGGGACAATCTCAACGACTTCTTCTTCTTCTTCGTCGCTTTCTTCAGCGCTTGCATTCGTTTCATCATCATCATCTTCTTCTTCTTCATTATCTTCGGAGTCACTGACGTGCACGGACAGCTGGATTGGGCTTTTGTCGCGGGCGTACTTCTTTTGCATCGCTTCGATGACGGCATCATCGACCGGCTGCGCCTGATCTTCAGCAGGAACACGGTGTCCGTTTTTCCTGGCCAAATCACAGAGATAATCGTACACGACCCATGGAAAACTGAAAAAACCGCCTTCAAAACTGTAATCCCGGCGTCGTTCGTTGGGATGGTACGTCACATAATACCACGCGGCCGCCTTGGCATCCACGTCCGCCTGTAGTTCCGCACCGACACTTCCATTCTTCAACGAAAATTCGCGTTGGAATTCGTGCCTGTATGAGTTGCGCATGCTTGTAACAGCGGTCATGGTTGTTTTCTGCAGTTCGTGAAGACTCTTGCGGTTTCCTTTTTTTGACCATTTGATAATGTAACCCGAAACGATTTCTGCTTCGGTACTGACACCATATTGATTCATCAAGGCGAGTAAATCACGGTTGTAGCAGTATCGCCAATGTCTGGCGTCCGCAATATAACGTTCCATACCCGGAGCACGTAAGCGAACATCATAGTCGGACTCGTTGGTCAGTTTACTCTTGTAGTCCTTGTAGTCGGCTTTATCAATGGATCGATAGATACGACCCAGAACCTTTTTTGATTCATACATTTGCTTGTCTTTCTTTTGCATGAAATCAGGAAACGCTCGCACTCGAAGATCGTCATCCAATCTTGCCGGTTTGCCCGTCTTTGGAAAATCTGTATCCACACAGTCAAACCTTTTTGTTTTTTGAACTTCAACATCTCAATCCCATTTTTTACTCACCGACAGCAAGCGAATGAAGCTGCGCCAAGCGTAGACAAGCACCGTCGAGGGCACCTCGGGATGATCGGTCTGCCGTGGCTAAATGGGCATTGGCAATTTGCCCCAGGTTGTCGTTGTTGATGTAATTCACAAAAAATTTCTGTATATGGGATATCTTGACCTCGTCAACTTCTAAAGGTTCTTCAGCTTGGTAGTCCATGGGTTCGTAGTTTTTGATCGTGGGCATCAGGTCGGGATCCCAAAACACGCTAACTCAAAGAAAAACACGACAAAATTAGACACATCCAAAGGAAGCATCAACGAAATGTTATACTCACGTATAATCATCGCCGTCAAGATCGCCACCGGAGCACATACTTGGTATATCACGGTAACCCTGGGCCGAAAACACTATCACGTCACAGAGATCACGAAGTTTATGTGAATCTACAGCCCTCACGACGCGGATATCGCCTGGATGGAAGCAGGGATTTCGAAAAAGAACGCATTCTCCAGTAATCACTTTGCGTCGGCCGCCCGCTATTTCGGAAACCTGACAAAACACTTCGCCTTCCTGAAGACTTCCAGTTTCATCCATGACGCCCAGTAAAAAGGCACCTTTCGGAACGTGGATTTTCGCCTTTTTTTTCAGATCTTTCAGGAGATTCACTCGAAACATGTTGACCAAATTGATAAGATGCGGATCCTTCTTCTCCAGGAACCCGGCCTCCATCATTTTTACCATGGATCGGGCCGTGTCAAATTCGTCAAGGTTCGCGTTGAGCACTTGAATAGCCTCGGCGCGATTCTCCAGCATCTTATTCAGCGATCCGATCATGTTGTCCATCTTGTTAATAAACACTTCATCCTTCACGCCCAACGTGGATAGCAACGTAATCGCTTGTCTATTGAGATAGGCCGGAATCAGCGTCGAAAATCGAATCACCTCAAGCCACGTGTGGTTGGAATTAAATTTTCTTTGACTGGGCCGCAGCTGCACTTTTCGACCGTTCAGATAGTTGGATACTGTCAGCACCCCCTTTGCACCGCCCAAACGAAACTGAAAGGCGCTGGGAACCGTTTTAAGTTCCATTTTGATGGCTACTTCGCGCGCCACGGCGGGGGAGATCTTGCCAACTCCGTCTGAGAATGTATAACCATTGTGGACTACATCATCAATGAATTCTACTTCCTCTGGTTCCAGACGCGTAATAGGGCGGGTCGACGAAAAACACTAGATCAAAAATAAATGGCATATTAACCCATATAACCAATTTCAAGGTACATCACGAATAATGATCAAAATATTACTTGGCCCATTCGCACCGCATGTTTCGCCACAATTTTTACGTGCGAGAACACGCCCATCCATTGACGAATCATCGGTGGAGTGAGATCCCTGCTGGGAGCAAAGAACCAACAGCCATGTTCGCGCAGCTGGGAGCTGGACATGGCGAGGAAATCATATCGGCGAGAACCAATCTGGATGCCATTTTGCAGCACTTTGTAAATACGATTGTAGATGACTTCGTTGTTCAGTCCACCGTGAGATGCCGAGACACGACTTCCTCCTTCATCCACAAACTGCACACGTGCAAAACGCTCGGAATGATCTCGAAAATGTCGGATAACGCGGTTGGTGGTTTCCAGTGTAGGTGGTAAAATTTGGATCGATGACGGGGTGACCACAAACTTTCGCATCATTGCACAGTAGCCAGGAATTCTCTTTTGATGAAGCACCTTCATACCCATTTTCTCCCAGATTTCATGAAAGGCCAAGGTCGGATGCCACACACGTTTCTTTTGAGTTGCAATCAGATCGAGAATACCACAGCTCACAGCAGGATCCAATTTCACAATCATGTCATAAAAGTCGTCATCCAGGTTGTATTCGTTGAAATAATTGGCAAGGATCAGACTTTCAAGATTCCACAGGACTTCAAAGGGTAAAAGTTTGGCACGTTCAATGTGTGTTTTGGGTCTTGGCAGTGAGGATGCAAGGATAACCTTGAACGTTTTCTGTTGTAAGCGTGCATCGCGAGGTACCAGGTTATATTCGGCTGCTTCATCCAATAACCGTTCCAGCGTGTCTTGGTATCGAGGGGAGGTGCTGAAAAGAATGCGGTAAACAAGCCAGGAGCCTAAATTGACCGTATCTTCTCGAGCAATGGGCATGATTGGCTTGCGCTTGCTGGCGGGATCCGGTGATTGACTGGTCGCTCCGCCCTCTTTAGCTTTCAAAGGTATATCGATCACGCGCTCCCACTGACTGTTGTTGGAGACGCTGTACTTGCTTACTGTCAAGCTTTTCTTTTGTCGCCAAGCACGAGAGGCATTTCGCAAACAGACAGTAAAATAGGTCGCTCCATCGTCACGTTCGAGCTTTGGATCGCCAAGAAGATCCTTGAACTTGAACTCCAAACGGTATCGGGTATCCAAGTGATTAAAGAAAATTTGAATCTGTCGCATGTCGTAGTTGATCACGATAGCCGCATCGTCTGTGGCGGACCATTCTTCAATGAATATTTTAGGTTCGAGGAGCGACCCCATTGAGAATTGTCGGACGAGAATCTGGCTTCGTTTTCCGGGAGGAGTGTTTCGCCAGGTGATATTTTGAAGAGCCTTTTCACTCACAAACTCCAGCTTCACCGGGCGACCATCAATGCTAAGTTGACTTGGAACGAGCGACGGATTCAATATCGCTTTACTGAGACAGTACATGTCGAAAGTATTAGGGTGGCGAGGCCAATTTTGCGTTTTTGTTGTTTGTTCACTTACGCAAACAGCACAAAGGCTGTGCCATCTGGCTGGTCATTGTCATCCATGTTGATTTCTACTTTTTCGACCGTGCCAAATTTGGCAAAAACATCAAAGATGGTAGGAGCAACGGTTTTTCGATGGAGATTACTGATGCGAATGCAACGTTCTTCATTGCCTCGAGAATGGTGCCTTGCAGGAGTATGTGACGAATTGCGCGGTCGACCGCTTTTAGGATGGTTGGAAGAAGAACGTCTTACGGGTAAAGCGGCAGGCGTAGACCGGGTCGTGAATTCCATCTTGCGGCAAGCCGATCAACAGGGTATGTGGGTGAAAAAGAGTGTGGTGTCAAAAGAGCTTTTTGGCAGTTCCGCCACGAAAATGGGAATTTTGGAAAATTATTCGGCTCCCGTGTTTCTGCAATTTCAGATTCTGAAAGCCATATGAACAATACCATTGCATGATACGGGACAAATTATTATTGATGTTTACCATCCTGTTCTCGTGTCATTTCTTCTTTTCAATTGATGTGCTTCAGATACAATTGCTTCTTCATAGATACAGTCACTCGGATTCATACAATTCAGGATCACTCTAACATCTAGGCATGCACATATACAAATTCTGACTCTCTGTTAGCTGTAATAGAATCAATCCCTTGGCTATTGAAAAAGTGACGTGTGGTGGTTTCTCCCTGATAGGGATGACACTGATATGCAAATTTACATAGTATAAGCACATAAAAGTACTATCTGGCTTATTTCGAGAGATTCGAGATATGGTTTCGAGTATCTCTGCGACTAGGTGGCTTCTTTCCAAGGATACCTCGACAATTTTCGCTTCCACATCGGCACTCTTGCTGCGTTTCCACATCCTTGAAGACCGAGAAATTATAATCGTAGAATAATTCAGTATTAGCCGGAATGTCCTTGGAGGCAAACACTCCCACATGAAGCTCGCCTTTGAGTGCCCTGTAAATAACCAAAAAGAATCCAATTTTTCAGTGCCTCATCATTCATGTGGACTAAGCATTTCATGTAAACTGACCATTTTTCGATGTGACAATTGGGATCGCAACTGTGATTAATAAAGCGAGCATCGGTTCCTTTCTCACAAGCATCCACGACTTCGCCCTGTCGATAATCCAAGAAGTAGAAATTCTTTTGGTTTTTGTAAGCGTTTCGCATACGTTCTTCGCACAGCTTATGTGAGATGATTTCTCCCCGATATTCAATAATGAGGTCACCTCGTTTGATGTCGACTAATGTCCGCAAACCCCAACCTCTTTCCCGAGTCTAGATCCCCGTGTTAGAACCTGACAGAAAAATAATGAATGACTAACAGCCAGGGGGACACTTTACCAAAAAGACATCGAGATTTTTGCATCCTTCCTTCTTCTGAAACCGCCGATTGGAACATTGATCACCACAAGGGCAGGTATTCGGTTCGCATTCATAAAATAACATTCTGAGGGAGGGGGGGGGGGCGCGCATGATTAGTTTTTAATTGTGCCCTTTTGCTTTACTTTTTTTTTCATGCACGATGCCCGCTTTTATACCTGTTTAAGCAATCTTCACCGCAACCAAGTCCGCCATCGGCGGGAGGGATACACTGGCATACGATTTTGTTTTCCTTTCGGTTCGGTTTCCGTTCCACAAAGATATCTAACGATCATAGTTGTTAAGAAGAACTCAACTGTCGAATCAGAAATTTCGCATGCATACTTGATCGGATACGCGTATAGTGAGGCTTGTCAATTTTGGTGCAATGGGTGCCGAATTTGCCAATCAGACCTTGATTGAATTCCTGCATAATGTCGGCGGGTAGAGAGAAATCATGATAGGAATTTAAGATCACGTCACCGTGATGAAGAGGTAGTGGAAAATTGAAAATTGAAATGTCGTGCGACTTTTTCTCCCGCTTGCTAAGCGGCTTTTCTTTGGCATTTTGTTTGTGGATTGGTGCATAAAGACCGGCCTCCAGGAATCGTTTTTGTCGTCGCAGAGAGGTTGCAGGTTCCTTTCCAGATTTTACCGATCCCACTGTGGTCTTTTCTGCAGTCATCATTTTCACAGGTGCCGGCCTGACTGTTACGGGTCGAGAAGGGGTTGTAGATTTTGGTTTCAACGTCTGTGCCTGGACAAATGCCATCACAGTATCGCTAGTCAAAGTGTTTCGTTTTTCAAACTTTGTCCAACGCAAACCACAAGCATTGCACAGACTGAACAATCGCACGGTTACTAAATCGTTCTCTGATTCTCAATAGACCCTCCGTATATACCTGTGTGGACCGCCTGGCCCTCGACGCCAGATAGCGGTCTCATTTGCTTTGCAAAACTGACAACGGCTCCTCGGCTCAGCTGAGGCAACTAATTCTGCAACTGTTAAGATTTGAGTTTGTATGATTGGCTTGCTTTCACGCTGCTTGTCTGCTGATTTATCTTGATCTTTTGATGCAGCAGGTTTCTTGGTTTGTTGGATGCTTGTTTTGGAATCGATGTCGTTGCCTGAGATGGCGCTCTGTTAGATGACACAAAAATCCAGAACTCATCGACTACTGTAACAGACGATGCAAAAAAAAGTATCGATGCCAAAACTATATTAATAACTTACGAGATTTTTCGGCTTGCGTTTCTATGGATGTTGTCTTGGTGGATGAGATCGGCTGTGCAGACGACTGAATAACTGGGTTTGTGGAGACGGATGTATTTCTTGAGCTACGACGTAAGAAGGCTTCAGATGGAGCCGTTGGTGGTTGCCTGTTGTCAGATTGCGTTCTTGTCGCTGATGGATCGATTTCTGCCGGATCGTGTACACTGCAAGTAATGGTAAAAAAAAGAAGAAGAAACCATCAGCGTTGATCTAGGACACAAATATCCATGACTAACGTTTTGGTATGCCACGATTGCACGCGATTTTGATCCATATGGGTCGCTTGACGAAGGTGGGAACGAGGTGATGCCGTTTCATCTATGAGTTCTGAAACATTGCTTTCTGTTGACGTACAAGACAGAGCTTCACCGGTATCCGCCACTGATGTATTGCTGCGAAGCTTATACTTCTTACTTGGAGGAGAGCTCTCGCGAGGCAAAGTTTCTGATGGCACGATCTCGTCAGGAATACGTTTGAGTGGTATCATGGTCGGTTTATCTGTGGGTTTTTCGACAACGGGAGAAGTGGGTGAGTGTGGTTCCAGAGAATCGGGTGGGGAAGGAAGAGCATTGTTAAAGTCGTCTTCAGTGGAGGGCTTTTCCGCAAAGGCAGCAGTAATGAATTCACTATCTTCCATAGCCAACGTTTTTGGAGGAGTAGCACAGCTGAACATTGTTTCTGAAATCACCACACTATTCTTCTCCACATTGTCATGGGAATCAGGACCCATCGCCTCGCATGTCTGGGCCTCCGGCCGTTGGCAGGCGTGAGCCGTTGCCTCAGTTTCGCTTCGGTTCAAATTGGTCAAATCGTTCAAAGCGATGGCATCTACTACGACTTGGTCCATGATGGCTTTTTATTTCAAGGAGTGTGCTGAAATCTCCTTCGGGAAAGCAAGGAATGAGAGTTAGTAATTGAATGAGCAAAGGTTGGCTGGAGTGTACCTGAAATAAGTGGGAGTTTAAGAAGAGCGAGAGAAGATCTCGGGTATCAAGTAGGAATAAGATAAAGAAAAGAGAGAAAGAGTAGCACCGAAAAAAAAAATTGTCAACAAGGAGGGACAGACAATAATACGCGTATTCAAACCGTAACGGGAAACTGAAAAAAAAGAGCGCCGCGTAAAGCGTACGGATCACCAAGCTTGGACGAGAATTGCACGACGTTAGTCACAGCTCTGACATACTGACATACGTCTAATAAGCAAGTTTTACCTGCTATACATCGGATTACAATTCTGACAATCATTTATTAGCATACGAGCTATATATTCACTATCTCTACGGTCTCTCAAAGAAAGGCGCTTCCCTTTCGGCCTTGATTGAAAGCATCGCTGTCATTGGCGCGTGGAAACGGCTGGTCTGACACCATGCATCTCAAACACATCATATAAGCAGACAATCTTTTCTAATATTGTCATATCTTCAGAGCATCATTGTACTCTAAGCTTTCTAGCATAGCAGACCCATAACAGTACCGAGTCAAGGAAGCTTACCAGAACAGAAAAGGAACGTCTTCCGATGGATTGTTCCAACTGCCATCAGAGATGCCAAAACGGAATCCAGCGTTTCGGTAAGCAGCTTCATGTGATACGTATTATGAGAAGGATGCATACTGAATGTGAAGCTTTTTTATCTGGCTGCATTACAGTATATTCCGTGTTTCTCATACCTTGATCTACTGTCCGTGTCCATTATCCTAGTCGACGGATCGTAAACACAGAACGAAAGACAGTATATGATCAGTTTTAGCTACGCGAATGGCTTTTAGACACAGCATCAACTACCTAATCGCAAACAACGTCACTGTTGGAGAAGCTAAAATAAAATAAAATGAAAAAGATAATGTAAGGTCAGGATACACTTACAGTCTTACAGTGGAGCGCTTTTTTTTTTTTTTACGGAGACCTTGAAAAACGCGAACCGCTGAGTATAGATGATTTTGATATTGGTTATGAAATCGTTTGTAGACGTAGACATATCTTCAATTGCAAAATAAAGTGTATAAAATCTATTTAGTAATCCTGGCTCAATTGTTCCATATCTTTTTCCGAGTATCCAAGTAGAGTGAGAACGTATTTCAAACTCTTTTGATTGATTCTTGATGGTGCCTGTTGCTGCACTCGAGGCTTGGCGTTGAAAGCAATTCCCAGCCCGGCCTTATTAAGCATCCACAAATCATTGGCTCCGTCACCCACAGCAATGACTTGATTCAACGTAAGACCTTCCGCTTGTGCAATGACATCCAACAGTTCCTTCTTTCGAATGCCGTCAACAATCGGGCCCGCTGTTTCACCTGTCAAGGTCAATCCATCCGATGAAACCCTCAGCTGAAAAAAACATCGAGGATGGTGTTAGAAATGGTGGTGGTGGTGGTGCAACCAGAACCGAAATTTTGAGAAAGGAGTGATAATCAAAGTTTACCTGATTGGCAAATGCGTAATCTAATCCGAGCTCGGCTTTGACGTACAAAGCCAACGGCATGAACCCACCACTGATCACCGCCAATTTGAAACCCAGCCTTTTCAGGGCGCGACACAGGAACCGTGCACCTTCGGTGAATGTCAGGTTCTTCTTCACATCTTCCAGCACATTCACGCTGGTGCCCTTAAGTAGAGCTACACGACGTCGTAATGACTCGGTAAAATCAATCTCGCCATTCATAGCTGCTTCGGTAATAGCCTATGGGAAAAAAAAGTTCAGTGATGAATAGAAAAAAAGCCATCATCCTCAAGGTTCCAGTCGTGCACCGTCCAGGCTTTCCTTCAAATGCACTAAAGGTAGAATACATACCGCCACTTGATCCACAACGCCAGCATATTTGGCAATTTCATCAATAACCTCTTGTCGGATGAGTGTAGAATCCATATCGAAAACGACCAATCGTTTGTTCTTGCGGAACACATCGTCGGGCTGCAAAGCCACATCTGAGCCGTGAGCAGCCGATAGTTCAATCAATTCCGTTCGCAAGGCTTCCATATCCACAGTGTTCGGGACACTTAGTCGTACATCGGCACATGACAGCTTGTTGTCGTCCATGTTCAACCGCGATAACTTTTCAACGGAAATGCGATGTTTCAACAAAAGCTGGGTCCAGTGACTCAGAAAATCGGCCTGTAATCCATTTTGATTCAAAATAGTGGCGGCATATTTGATACGATCCGAATAGGGAGCTTCTTCAAGTGAAGCAGGTAGACAGACATGAGCTTGTTCTTCCCGTTTCTCTTGATGGCGAACAGATGGTTCCCGTGCCTGGGTATCGGGAATATCAAACGTGAGAGTAGCGTCCCATTTTTGTGCGGCTTCTGCTAGATCACGGAAAATAGTGACATTGTCCGAGGGCAGTGTCAAAAGTACACCAAAGGTCACGTTATGATACAAGCGAGACAGCATGAAATCCTCAATGTGGCACGGATGTTGTGCAAGGCACCCAAGAACAGCACCAATGATATCGGTACCATGAGGCCCTGAAAGTGATACAAGCACTTTTTGGTTGGGTCCGACAAATGCAGGTGGAAGCAAGTTGGAAGGCGTGAGTTTGTACTGAGAGCGACTGCGACTTAGGACGGGTGACACGCTCGATACGGTCGACTTTTGCTGTTCATCACTGAGCTTGGTCATAACCGATTGCTTCAACGCGGTAAGATCCTCAGCCTTCACAATCGATAATTGAGCCACGCGGTGAAGATACGGTTCCGACAACGCAAGACCTGAATGACGATCGTTCTTCTTGAGAATTTTCGTGATACCGGTATAGTTCAAAAACACGAAGCGTTCGAGCATCAATATCTGTTGCAGAAAAGCGAGCAATGCTTCATCGTCATCTTGCAGTGATGCCTGCACTAAACGAGCCGACTCCGAGTCGAAAAAGGCGCATACTTTGTCGACTTCCTTGTCCAACCGATCCAGAAAGACGACTTCGGACTGTTGCAACTTTTCCAGTCGTTTAGACACCACTTCGGAGAATCGTTGTTGTGATGCCGGGTGCTCAGGCTCAATCTTTATCGAATGAGCGTACACAGAAGACTTTAGTAATAACTTTAGCCCATTGTAGTCGATGCAATTGGCTGCATAGTCGCTCGGTAAATGCGCCCTGCGGTCCTCGAGGAATCGACCAAACTTCATCCCACGTTTCTATACGTTGCGCTGATAAGAAAGATGCAAAATTGGAAATTAGTCATTTTGACTTTTTTTTTTTATAGATTTTTGTGACTTCAAGTTGCATAAATTGGATCGATGGTTCCATTATACATCACTCAAAGCATGTGATATTTTTTCAGGTCGTGCGTGTCAAGACATGAGGAAAAGCTCTCTGATAAGTACACTTCAACACAGTACCGAGCAGCAAAGAGCAAGTGTTTAATTGACTCATCCTACGCATAAAAACACTATAGACAACATGATCATAATGTGCCTATTTTTCACTGTGAGCAATAATGGATTAAAATATATCGTCACCAAAGCAATTACCGCTTTTGAGCTTGATTAGACGCTTGATGCACTCCGTACAATGCGAATAATAATATGGAGCATGTTGTCGATGGGTTTACTATTTTTTGTTTGTTTGCATAATCGATTCCTTTCTTTTTTGATGTTCGTGTTCTGCCGAAAACTCCAATGAGAGTGTTTAACTTTGATATATGTCGAATAAATGAAACAACTCATCCAAGCCTATTGTCATAGGCACTGATTCGGTCATGGTCAATATTATGTTGTCATGGTTTATGTAGCACTCGTTGTTTTGCTGTTCATGGTATGGTAGAGTTTTATCTGTTTACCGGTCTGCTGAGAGTGAGGCACAAGTAAAAAGGAAATTGCACGATCTTTTTATCCATGCTGAACAGACAGTGGATATCGCAATGGTTCTCTTCTTCGGAAAAGGATTCAATTGTTTTGGGCGGATCGGTTTGACGGAACTTGAAAGTTTTTGTTACAATTTTTTTTTTTGCTAACCGGATCGTGAGGGGGATGAATGGTAACACTTGTCTTGACACATGTCATGGCGAGCATTTTGAATTATGAACGGTTTGACCCCGATTCTGTGACAAGGCGAAATCAGTCGAATGAATTTACTGCCGTTGTTTCCACCGGGCGGAAGCGCTTGCTCTTATATCTACTTCAGAATCAACAGTATAGAGAGGCTTTAACGCTCCTCAATGCCCTCATGAAGACGTACCGTTTCAAAGTGGCCGAATACTGGCTGGTACGAATCCATGCTCAAAATAACTTTTGGTATAGTCTTCACTCACCGCTTTTTGATCACCATAGATCGGCGCCGAAATTGTGTCACAGATCGCGCCTGAGGAATTGAACGCCTACATGGAAGTGGCCGCCCTCAGTGCCAAAAATTCAGAAGTGAGTCCACTTGGATTATAGAACACAGTGTTTATCGTTGATGACTCATGGCTTGTAAAAAGAAACCTCATATTGCCTATGTGTGGGTTGAAAATCTGCTGAGACAGGGCGACGTCCGTCGAGCCAAAGAGGAACTGATAGTGTAAGTATAGGGTCATTGAGCTCGGAGAACCCTGATTATTCGAGAAAATGACCGCTCATCCATTTTGGGTAGTCAATTATCTCAGGATTCGTGCAAAAACGATCCCCAGTTACTCAAACTTCAAGTCATCTTTGCTTACGAAGAATGGAAAGAAGCCGTATCGAAACTCAAATGTAGTCAAGAGGCCGATTCAGCTGAAGATGACTCTGACATGGACTTGGATGAAGAAGATAGTGCCGTTGAAAAGCTCCGAGCCACCGCCTTGAAATTGGTTCGCGAGATTTATCCGACCTTCATGAGAGACCCCGAGATTCTCAACATATACCTCGAAGTAAGCTTGCCTTTCATGCTAAGCGATGGTTCAGATGCTCACCGGATCCTTTTTTTTCTTTTAGCTGTTAACCGCCAATCCAGAAATGAGATCCGATGTATTGGAGTTGCTTGATGAAGCAGGGCACGAATGTCTAACTTGTCCGGACCTGGATCGCATAAGGTATAGTTTTCTTTTACAATCAAAAGTGAATTGCAAAGGTGCTAATCATAAAGTTTAGCTTATTGCTAAGCTACTGGCAGATGACGAAACAGAACAAGAGTTTATGGATACAATTAGCTGAGCGATACTGTCGTATGACGATAACTGACCATCCGAAGAAATGTCTTAAAAAGCTCATGAAACGTCTCTTTAGACGCCTGGGTAGGACGACTTAAACATCCGTGTTGATGATCTACCGGTTGTCTAATGTCTCTTTCTGTTTTTAAGATCGGTATATCAAGAAACAGAAAACCGAGAAAGTTCTCACGACACTGGTAATGATATGGGGACTGTTGCTGGATCGTTTGGAGGCTAGATTGTTCGATCACTTCTTTTTAAAGAATATTCGACGGGCACTCAATTACGTGTAAGTGAAATCAGGAAGCAAACCCCTTTGCGGCGATCTCCTCACATCACTTTGTATTTTTGTCTCTGTAGGTTCCGCCGGAGCGTGCAAACTCCGCCCTGGAAGCTCGATGCTTTTACATCCTTGAGCTCGGCTATAGATGATCATCGAAGTATAGAAACACTAGTTCAATCGCAGAAACTACAACTTCCCCGTGATATTACAAAGGAAATGGTTCGTCGCGTTCGCATCTCCTTTGATCTTTTGCAAACAAAAGCCCGTGAACTCCAACAAGGCACCGTACCACCGCCTTTAGGTATTAAGGATTTTACTGCTGGTGATCCTTGGAGCCAGTTCCTCGACCACATTCCGGAGGCAATACCCGATCAACCCTCGAAAGCAGATCCCAGTCAACCCACCAATATACAGCCATCCACTATTCCACCCTATCCCTACCCCTATGCTTATCCCTACCCACAACCCCAACCCCACCCCTACCCATACCCATCATACTCTTATCCTGGTCAGTTCCCGTACTATTGATATTTGGTCGACTCCTATATTAGTAACCCAGCCTCGTATAGTATGGACCCATTGCATGTAAAAAGATAGCATCACAAATCACGGATACAAACAATCATCCTCGTCACACACTCGCACGAATTTCATTGGAAAAAGAAAAATCAAAGGATTCAAATGACGATGGCGTGTAACAATGCCAACCAAGTGGTTCGCTGCGTGTGGAAATGCGTTGTATTTTGAGTTGAAATCGATGTATTCAAAAATCACATGTGACGGCTGCATGGTGGCCGGGACGGAACACTTTTTGAAGGCTGTAAAAAGTACTGACAAACATGATGATGATTCCGAATATCATGCAAGTCCAGTGCGGTATTTTGCTTCGTTGCCATAGGGAGCCAGCCGATAGTTTTAAATAACAAAGCGGAGGTAAAATGTAAGCAAGAGCGGTGGCGGAGAATCCACCCGTCAGTTCCAGGACGATGCCAAGGTTGCACGTCAGTAACGAAATCACTAGGGCAATAAGAACCAAAACCGTTGTCAAGATGAAATGGCGCTTGAGATTGAATGTCGCTGCTGGCCAGAAAAAGGTCTCCAGGACCTGGATAAAAGACGTTGATCAATGTTTGGCAAAGGATATTCTGTGCAGTTACGACTTACCTCTCGACACACAAAAGCTTCTAGCGGGATAGTAGTGAACATATTTAAACCAAACGCCAATCGTGCAATATTGATCAGAACATTGTCCGGAGGAAAATTGTTCAAGATATTGCCTACAAAGCCTGTGAGCATGGTTCTACATTTGATCAAATCATCACATTATCAGCAAAATGATACCTGCGGTCTTGTCGGTAAAGACAAGGTAGCCGGACACGGCCAAGACAAAGCATGTGACAAAGGCAATGGTCATACTCCAATGCGTTACGACGGCGAATCGATTCATCGACGGTTGTTTCAAAGAAGTAAAAATCAAAAAGCTATTGTGATGGCACACAAAGGCTACAAAGAAAAGAAAGAACGCGTCAGTCAACAATATGTTTGTCTGCTACTTCTTGACTTGCACGTACCAAAACTGATGACGGCGATGGCTTGAAAGATTTCGTCGTTGACCACGTTGAACATCAGGTCAGGGGAGCCTCGTATTTCAGGCGACATTCGTGGTCCTTCAATGAGGACGCTGACGATGATAACAAAGATGGCGACGAGAGCCAATGCGCTTGTTTTGGCCAATTTGCCGATATCGCGGTAGAGCGAAAGTGGGTAAGACACAAACAAGGTGAAGAACATAATACACAGTCGACGATTCCCAAATATCCACAGAATTGGAATGCTTTCGATGGATGGAATCATGGATCGAAAAACGTGCGGTACCGTGTCACCTAAACCAGTTTAGAAAATAAAATAAAGGAACCCTTGCAAGGATTGCCGCTTGTCTATACCTAAAATCACGCAGTACGCACACATCCCTTTATAGCAATTTCTGTCAATAAAGAAAACACAAACAGCATGTTGGATTCTGCATTTGCGCAGTAACACTTGCCTCCAAATGCAAAAGCAAACTGGAAAATCGAGATGGCGACGAGTCCCGCACGCCCGAAACAAAACTCAAGCAGATCCTGATAAGTGTTTCGCCCCGCCAACTTTCCATTGTAGATCAGCAACCGCAACGTCCAATCTATAACCATTTGGTTACTATACCGTAAAAAAAGAAAAAAACAGGCGGCTGTTTTATCGGCGCTGGGTCCAGGAAGAAAGCTAAAACAGAAAGGGCAACATCATTCCTTTAAAGGCTTACCGACGACAACCGTTAATACTATCAGTAAAAGAATGCCTGTCCAAAATCCCTTTTTGCACGTCAACGAAATCACTCAAAATTACTGGAAAAAAAAAGAATGCATGAAACACATACTGCTTCTTTGAACGAAAATGGTAAGCCGATGATACCGGCACCAATGATGCTGTTGGCCATATTAAGCTGTTTTGCATGATAGAACGAGTCAATACCCACGACAAGGAACAAAAACCGATTTCTTACAAAGCTCGCAAAAATGGTGCCGCCATCGGAAGGAAGTCGGTATGTTTTTAAATCGTCTTGGTCGTTATCTTCGTCACGGTGATCCTGCCGCTGTCGGTGTTGTAGGCTTAAAGGCGTGATTTCGGAGTCGTCGATATCGAGTTGGGCATACTCTATTGGGGCAGTAGGGGCATAATCCCAGTCGTCGTCATCTGGTTCGTTACTGTCACTGTGGCCGTTGTTATGGTGATGGTGAGAGTGATGAAGCAAACGCACAGTGGCATCGTCAGCATGAGCCGCGACGTGCTCTTGACGCTGGGTCTTTTCAACGCTCGAGTCGGATACGGTGGCTACGGTCATGTACAGGGGAATAAAAGGCGTAGTCCAAAGTTATGAGCAACTATTATCCATAAGGGAAAAGATCTCATATAACTTGTAGATGCGAAAAGGGATGCCCACATTTTTTCCAATAGCCAACGAAATTTTCGAAGCGTCCAAGTCACGTGGGGATTCACCCTTTGGACTTCCATAAACGAAAAGAAGGAAAGAAGCAAGTGAAAAGAAAACCACTACAGGTGAACAGTCCATCGGTAAGCCTTCATCCACATCCATGGCTTTGAGCTGGTAAACCCATATATCATTTCAGAGCACAGTGAACGACTTTCATGCATTACCAGGCGCTGGATGCTGAGTATCTGAAGAAAAAAGGGGAATCACGTTGCACAGAGAAAAAAAAGCGGTCTTCCCAAATCTGGTAAAAGTCTAACATCCCAAACTCACCTAGTCATATTGCAGGTTACTCAAACCATATGCGAGAACGAGCTAGCCTTAGCAAAGCCTCTGTTCTCGATCTATGCTCACCTGCCGTTTACCGGGCTGCAATTCATTGCATAGTTTTGGTTTCATAGTTCGACTAAGCATCCCTACAGCTTCGATTGAATACATTGGCCTTAAATCGGATTTTTCGCAGCCAAAACTCTGGCGTACCTTATTTATTTGAGTTTCGCTTGACATTCTGGATCCAAAATATAGCAACTTTAGTAAAGTAGACTTAGTTTTATCGACCCACTGGAAGATTTTTTTTTCTTTTTCAAAAATACTGCGGCTGGCACCTTTTCAATTTGCGATGCAGTTTAGACTCGCATGACGGAGAAGCAATATTTTGATGGCCCGCCATGAATGGGGTGGCTTATTTCATGGATTTCCAGTGGCAGGCAAATTGCCCCATTTGTGAAAGGCTGTATTCTTCCAACCATGTCGACTTCATTGGCGAGCTTGATCAGCAACGTAAAGAGTAATACGGCTAAAAATAGCTTACTACAAAAGAATTTAGCCATCAATAAAAAGCGATCGGCAAGGTAATATTTCCAGATCTTGTTCCCAATAATCCCTCCTTTCTGACATTCTTCAAACAGTCATGAAGACAAGACGGCGATCAGGAAAAAGCTAAAGCAAGAAAAACCAGCCATCGAGTCCTGTAAGTAACTTGCTGAAAGCATGGTTTATAACCGCATGCTCATTGACCATGTAGCGGAACCCAAGGTGGTGGTGTTTGATGGCTCATCCTTGAAGAAACGGCCCGAGTTCGAAAGTAGAAAGGAAAAGAAGGCTTTTCTGGTACGCTTTTGATCGTCATGGCACACAACTGATTGAATAACGGACTAAATCGAGGGTCTTCCATTTAATAGTCTGGAAAAATATTACAAACGGACTCGAGCTCGACGGAGGATCAGTCAAAGATGAGTGCCAAAGAAGTGGCAGAAGAAGAGTAAGTCGTTTGATCTATTTGAAAGAAGGCATCAAGTGCTTATTTTTCTTTGTAGGGAAAACAAGCGAAATGATCAAGAATTAAAAGATTTACTAGCCACCTCGAAATTACTAGAAGAATATCGTAAGTCATCCCGTCCGATCCATGTTGTACCGTGACGAAAGGTTATACTAAAGCGTCTCACAGAAATTGAGGAAATGAGCGGCAAAGAACGTCGAAAGCATATGATGAATAAGTTGGAGACATTAGGTGCAAAGGTAAGCGTGGGGTTTTGCTCATGTACAAGCGAGATGCAGGGTCCTAAAAAATGGAGTATTAGCCTGCTGCAAATATCCGCATACCATTGGCGATCCATTTGGGCATGGAAGCGAAGAAGAAGGAACGATTACAGCAAAAGATGCAGGAAGCTAAAGATACCGGTCTATACGACAAATCATTGAAGCATTTGTATGTCAAGACAAAAGCGAAAAAGCGTGACCGTAATCCCGGTATCACGAACGGTATTGGCCGCATGAAAGGCGCAACGTTGCAATTGAGCAAAGAGGAAATCACTCGCGTAGCGCGTCAAGGGACAAAGAGTAAAAGTGGAGGAAAGAAGGGCAAGGGCAAGAGACGATAAAAGAAAAGATTCATACCATATCAATTTCACGACAATAAACTCATCTATTTTTGCATTCATGTATCATACATTATTCGCCTTGTCCATGAAGAGAGCACTCTTGTGTGCGCCCTTTGGAAAGTAGGTGTTCAACTCGTTTACTGATATCGCAGAAAAAAACCTGCCACACCGGTATATGATGAACAGCTGGTTTTTTTTCTTTTTAAGTTGATCTTTTACCAGTGTGACCCAATATTTTGAAACGCATTTTTCACACTGTACTGAATTTGATATGTTTTCATGTGAAAAATTCATGACCGAATTCCCGCGATCACCTCACCAAAATGGAAATTTTAACCCAGAATCCAAAAGATCAATCACATCTACAAGTTGTAAAAACATTGGCTCTCTTTATAATAGGGAATGGCAAAAAGTATCAAGCTGCAACTCTACAGTGAGTTAAAAACGTTCGGGGAAAATGGCGTGTCTCTTTTGTTGCGGATAAATTACGTTACATTCGCGTAAATTGGGAGGCGGAGACAGCCCGATTGGGTGGAACCATTCGCTCTTTTTTTTTTTTCATCAGCTCACTTGTCAAAAGCATATACCACATGTTGGCAACAGTTGAATCAATGTTAATTAACTTTTTGTTTTATATGGAGAAAATAACAAATTTTTATACTGTTCTTTTTGATGATAAGATATTTACAAATCCAGAAGATATCATCATATTCGCTGGAAAAAGAAGATCAATAGGTGGACATGGTTTCTTGGGGGAGCATATTTGATGGAGAGTTTTTTTTTTTTTTTTTCAGTCTTGCGATGTGAATTGAAAACCCGGTAGATGAGATCGGTAACGCGAGAGGCTTCAATTCCGGTAAAATGATGAATGAGGAGAATGATTTCAAAAAGACGTTTAGGATTGGTAGGCAGGAGCGAGGAAGGGAACACGACCGCCCATTTGCTTCTCTCGAATGGTTTGTAAGATATGATGCATGCCTTTTCGAGCCTAAATATGACGCAGTCGGTTTAGTACCCACCATGACTTTTCACACGATCCGGGGATCCCTTCCCAAATCCAGTTTGTTTTTTTTTCTTACCTTGGCTGCATTGGAAGCAAAGCTACCTTGACCAAACGCTTCAATGCGATTGGTCATTCCCCATCCAAATCGTGAAATGATACGGGCTTCTGTTTTACATGAAGTGAAGGCTGGATTTTGTTCGTTGGGTCGGAAAGTCTGCGTTTCCTCGACTTGCATAATACGAACATGGTTTAAATTTTTCGTACGAGTTGTCATGGTCATGGATTTGGGATCCACTTCTGATTCCTCAATGATAAAAGCTTCCGAATTCTTCAAAAACTGGAAAAAAAATAACCATTGGTATGTTAAACTATGTGCATTCAATTGAACGCTTATTCATCATATTTTCATGATCACTTACGCTTTCGGGGAACCACTTTGGTACTTTTCCTTTCTTCAAGACTAACCGGGTAGTCTTTAATACGCCTTTTTCGTCGACATAACGATCCAACACGTCGACTGCCAACACTAGAGAAAACGTAACATATCAGCATTATTCGCACAAGCTACATCGAGATCAAATGAACCAAATGTATTTACCATGAGAAGCAAAAGGATTAGGATAACGTAACCAAAAGGCATAGCTCACGGTTTGCCACGGATATCTATTGATTTGTGATGCGTTAGCGTTATGCATGACCTCGAAAAAAAAGCCTTCAATAAAGAAAAAAAAACTTACTCATAGTTGAACGTATGTTGGTAAAACTTGACCATTGTCGATTGCTTTCGGTGCGAGTATGATTGTAAAAGAGGATTTGGTACTGCAGAGCAAGACGAAAGAGAAAATGGAGAATCCGGTATTGACAGGAAATAATGGAACAACAAAGAAGCTCAACCCAAAAAACCTGTCGACGAGATTTTTTTTTTATCATACCACCCCCAAGGGTTGGTTTGGCCGAACCGAGTCGATGACGCACATCCGCATATTTAATCTCCGCTTGTCTTAAACAGTACAACAAGGATCTTCATTGGTTCGATCCTTCATCCTTGTTCTTTCGAATTTCCATATAGTTCTGATTTTTTACGATTCAATACAGCGGTCCTAACTGTATCCTTCTCTTTTATCTCCATATGGAAAGCTCGGAATGTGGCGGGGTCAATGCTTTCTTTTTTTATATCATGCTTAAAACCGCATATGGCTAGAAATATGATAACAAGTTACGTCTCCAGTAATTGAAAAAAGGGAATATGAGTAACATTGGATCAATCAAAGAACGCTCTCATTTTTAGATGGAGATCATAAAATGAATATCCTCTCCGGTTCATATGTAATGTGGTTTTTTTTATTCCAAGGAAAAGCTTGATCAAAATTGGAGAAATTGTGCAACGTGCTCGCAGAAAGTTTATTAAGTCTTCTCTTCGGTCTTTTGCTGCCAAACCGTGGCAAAGTTATAACCTTTTAAAAATGATCCCTTTTTCCTTATATATCCAGTCCCATATATATTCTCGCATCACATCATATCTGCAACTGGTCAGTTGAATTTGCTCTGATGAAGATTTGTCTGTCGAAAGCGCACGATTTTGAGAGCACGCACAAATAGCAAGTCACAGGCCAGTTCGTTGCTCATCAGACTTTGCCGGAAATCGCATGAGGTCTGTCTGCACTCTTTTTTCTTATATAATTTTTTACTTTTTTTTTACTTGCCCTTTCAGTTATCCGATTCCCCCCAAAAGTATGCATGATCTTCCAGACGAAATCCTTTTACGTACATTCAAATTGCTAGCCACCAATTACTGGCAACTGCTTCAGTTAGGAAGCGTATGCAGAAAGTTTAAAAGGTCGGTTATCCTTCTCACGGAGGTTCCACTGGGTCTTGACAATTCCGTTCATGACTAAAATGGTGTGTCCAATGGTCTTTGTGCCATGTCTTTGTTTATCTATAGAATTAGCGACGATGCCAGGTTGTGGTACAACGTATTCCAGTCCAATTTCCCCGTCTGGGGTCGACATGTCCAATTTGCAGCCAACCCACATTCACTGATTGACTGGAAACGTTTTGTTCTGCATGTGGAAGCGCAAAGAAAACGAGCTCGTTCGATTAATTTCAGCTTTGTACCCGACGAACGAAGTATTGAGAATATGAAAAGATTAGATACCGGACGGAAACGCAAATTAAGAGAGAGATCCCCTCCTTCGCTTTCGAGGAATATCTGCCGACAGAGAACCTCTTCCACCACGGCTTTGGACAGCGAATGGCCGTTTCCCTCCAACGGGTTATCATCTTTAACGTCAGCATCGAGTATCACGATTCCAAACGAGAATGGCGATCCTTTTTCCCCTCCCTCTACTCTCGACCGATGGATGCAGTCCGAAAGAGTCTGGCTCCCCACTGTGCGTCCCGAACCTGTGTTTGATCGAACGTCCATATTGATGAACTCCTCTGAACTCCCTTTCCGAATCCAGGATCCGTTAGTCGTCGATATTGACCGAAAAACCAATGTGGGGATTGTAGCGACCGGGAAACATCGCAAGGAAACAACGCACTATATGCACACGCATTTTCGGTCGGAGCACAAAATCCTGTTTTGGGAATATCCTTCCTGGCGACTGGTGCGTGAATTCGATTTGAGCTTAGCACCGCCTGAAATGACCTGTCAGATTGTTGGCATTCAGTCAATTCGCGTGCTATGCGGTGATGGACAGACGACTCAGAAAATTCGCCTCTTTGCATTAGCCATCGGTCAGCCTCTGGGCCATGTACACTTGGACGTCGAAGGAGCCGAAGATCGAGTCGATCACTGGCAGGCCGTGCTTATTTATCGACTCTTTGATGACGGGACCACCCAGTGTCTCGCTCATCTGCGCGTGGAAGGCCATTTCATCGGCCGAGAAGTCTTTTTCTTTTCCGATATCTCGTGGGGTCAGTCCAATGACGGGCAATGGGATCCCGACGACAACGTGGACGCGGTGCGGGATTGGATGGAAATTTTGACGCCTTCTTATGCCAACTACGATCGACGACATACCATCTTTATGCTTGCCATTGGATCCACCACACCAAGATTTTCCGGCTGTGCCCAACTGGCCCAATTTGATATCCGCGGCGATCCCCACGTTCTCGACCCCTCCATGGCTCCTTTAACGTGGAATCGAGCCACGCATCGGTTCATGACCCACAAAGACAATCTCGATCAGCATCTCCGAGAACCTTTATCGTTGTTCAACAAGGTGATTGCGGTGATTCCCTTGGGTGATAAAGTGAGCTGCATGGTCCATTTCCGATACCCACCCCATTTGAATCATTTGATCTGCACCGGCAGCTTTCAAGATGAGGAACTATCCGTGTTTGACTGGCGTTTTGGTGTCAAAGTGGGGACATTACCCTGGACGGCTCCGCCCGAATTACGATCCCTGAACAACATTCAGGGTCCCATGGTAGTGGGATCATCCGATGCAAACGAAAATCCGACCTTGACGCCTGCTGCTCCGACAGCTGCATCTGCACCCGCACCTGCACGAGAGGCAGTACCCGCTGTCACCGACAATCCAACGCAAGCTTCAGATGAGGAACAGGCTCCGGTTGACCTGGAAATGGAGATGGATGATGCCGAGTTTGGCATAGACGACGAGGATGATGACTTTGAGCCTATCAGGGATGTCCGTCCCTGGGGTTTCGAGACGACCATGGTGTTACCGCCGACGTGGTCCAACAGCAAACTTGGGCCGAAAGAGCTTGCCAAGCACGGATTTCGATTGATTGCCGTGGGTGATAATCGAAGAAACAAGCTGGAAATCAAAGTGTGGGATATCTCGTATTTGTTGGAGATGGAGTGGGATCCGTTGAAAAGGGAGGACAACGAAGATTCGGTGGATGAAGAAGAAACGGATTATACAAGTCAGTTTGGTTGGTGGAAGCGAGGTACCAAGCGCCTGAAACGCGTCGCACTGCGAATGATTGAAGAGCACATGGAAGAACTCAGCCTTGTCGGGTGGGTCCCGGTGTCTCACTTGCGAAGACGAAATAGTCGAGCCGTGGAAACTGAAACCGAGTTACCGCTATCTCCTCCCAAGGGAACTCGGCCCATGATCTTTGCCCATTCTTTCAACAGTAGTCTCGCCAGCGATCCTTTAATGATGCCCGTGAAATATGCTGCTTACAACGTGCTGTATACATCGCTGTTCCTATTGACGGACGAAGGTGAAGTAACAGTGCTTGACATTGAGACCGGCAAAGTGATAGGCACCGTGGATAATGTGGCGGCATCACCGGATCCCATCGGACCACAACAGCAAGTTCGCGGTATCGATGTCAACGTCATTGCCGGCCGTGAAATTGTGGTGACAAGCAGAGAAGGCTTATTACGCAGTGTCATGACCTAGAATCCGAACAATTACACCCACTACCAAGAATCTCCATCTGGAAGCATCATAGATCAACCATTCCCCTCATCTTCCTCTTTCCTGCAAAAGGAGATAGACTACTCTCCTTCTTTTGCGACACCTTTTACCACATATTTCATACTTCTCCGATTTTTTTTTCACATGCATTAATCTGTCGCAACAGCAATGTAGATCATTGTATGAATGCATTTATCGATACCCTTTTTTCTGATTTTCTTCAGAGAAAGATTATCACCTTTTCAAAAATCCATTGATGATTTTTCCATGAATTTCAAACGCAGTAAAAACGAGTTTCATCTTACTCTTACTATGCATATTGTGGTAGATATTCTGAATTCGCGGATAGTTTTTATCTAAAACGTATCTTGCACCGAAGATGGGTCCTATGATGTTAAAAAGTGGGAATGGGGTGAGATACACCTCCTACGTGGCTTTCGTGTCACCCATGATGAAGCTTACTATTTGCTGGCTGAATACGTGATGGGAGTACAGAGCATCAGTCATGACGCTATCAGTTTTGATAAAATCTTTGCCCTGAGAATAGTGTAACGGCGTCCACGCAGGACGCTCTTTTTGTTTACACAAAAGCATAATCTTGACGAAATCTTATGCCATACTTCGAACGCAAGGCCCCACGCATTCGACCTTCTCGTTCCTCCGATACGCAACGGACATCGACTGCAACAGCCTCGTCGTATGATGGCGGTTCTAATGCTAATGCAGTTCCATCTATGCAACCTTCTGTATCCGAAAATGTAAAAGTAAGCTAATTTGGTACGGTTGGCGTGGTGTGAAAGGGACTCGCTCCCAATTCTCATTAACCAGCTTGATATGCCAGAAATGCACGCAGTTGAGTGCCACTCCTTCTACGAGAAGTGCTCCAGAAAGTTCGCGTCTGATCGGTTCCTCTGAAGTTATCAAGTGGGATCTGCCAATTCAGGCTTCTGAACTGAGCCAGACACGGTCATCGAGCTTGATTATGCAGAAACTGCCAAACGACACCTCAATCCACAGAAAACCTTGTGTCTCCATGTGTATCATGACGGAAAAGAGGCCTTACTGGGCTGAATCCATCTCATCGAACAAGGTACGCCATAGAAAAGCCTATTTTTTTTGGGTTGTTGGATCAAAAATCTTATTTGACTGTACGATGAGTTGCACCAGGTATCGAAGCCGGCGTCCATCTCGGTTCCCGAAAGACCAGGGACTCCATCGGAGTTAAGCCGTTACGCTCGCCACTCCTCTGATGGGTTCCATGTAAAATTACATTATCGATCGAGCTCAACGAGTGAGACTGAAGCCTGCCTCTTGAATAGATCCGCTCAGCAGAGCCACCCTTGTACTTGAAGACAAAGTTTGGTGTCTATGACTTGGTAAGATATGCAATGACAAAAAAGAGGGCCAAAGGATACTGATGCATCTCGGTTCCAATAGAACCTTATACATAAGAACTGGTACCAAAAGGTGCCAAAGGATTTGTACCGCAGCCTTGATAAAAAGGAGCAACAACGGCAAGAAGCAATCAATGAATTTATTATGCTTGAAGCCAATTTTGCTCGAGATCTGGCCACGTTGCATGAGGTTGGTATCCAGTAACACTTGCAACGAGACAAAAAAAAAAACTCAAGTGTTGAAGCATGTAATTGATATTTTTCTACTGCTTGTGCGTTAGAGTGTGATTGTGCCGCTGCGGCATTCCACTGTGATTGACGATCCCGTGAGACGAGACGCATTCATTAAAGAGGTGTTTTACAATTATGAAGAACTGCGCGAATTGAACGGTGCGCTTTTGCATGACCTTGTCACCCGCCAGCAGGAATATAAAGGAGGATGTGTTCCAGGCATAGGCGACATCTTGTTGAAACATTTTCTGAATTTCAAACCCTTTGAACTCTACTGTGCTCACATGGCCATGAGTGTCTTTTTTATTGATCGAGAAATAAAAGTCAACAAAATCTTAGAAGAGTTTCTCGACACGCAAGCGGACGATCTGCGACGACACACCATCAAGCATTACCTCTACAGTCCATCGCAACGTCTAACACGCTACCCATTGACTTTGGAGACGATTATTGAAACGACAGATGTAAATGATCCCGACTATGTACGACTGAAAGAATGCAACGAGCTTTCCAAATGCATGGCATCCAAAGCCAACGCGCTGGCCAACCAACTGAAAAGGCGTGTGGAGATTTGGGAAATCCATCAATGTCTTGAAGAAGAAAAAGGCGGCTATTACAATGATTTACTATGCCTGACAGATAGTGATCGACGATTGTACCACCAAGGCATTGTCAAACGCGCCGACAATGAACAATCGCATATCCGCCTGCTCCTGTTCGACCATGTGTTGCTCATGCTCAAACTGAAAAAGGGATTGCCCACAGGCGAGTGTCAAGTGTGGAAAAAACCGATTCCGCTAAAGATGTTGTTTGTTGAGGAAAGCCGCGACTTTCCCCTGAGAGGCAGTTCCGAATCACTCGCTTCGCTCAACAGCCTTGGCCTACGAAAACGATCATCCAAAACCAATGGCGAGTCGCTCACATCTCTTACACTTCACTATATGGGACGCAACGGCGGCGTGTACCGTGTCACATGCGCTCAACCCTCCGAACAGGAACAATGGATTACCGAAATCGAAAATGCCAAAAATCTCTTGCAAGCCAAAGCACACAAGCACAATCTGTTGACGATACGTTCAAAAGACGACGAATGCTTTCCCCTGGTGGCTACGCCCGATACACGAGGATGTGCGCATGGAAAAGTACAATGCTCGATATCGTTTGGTATGGAAACGTTTTGACAAATTACATAAACGATACTGCGATAAATGCCAACATGCTATGCTTTTAGACGACAAGAAAGGTCAACAGAAAATCATTGTTGGAACAACCACAGGAGTCTATTTCAAGGCAATCGGACATAAAAATGTACGAAGAGTACTTGCATGTGAAGACACCACACAACTGGGCATCATCGGGTTCCATGAAAATAGAATCTTATTAGTACTAGCAAGTAAGTCTGAGTCTATGGGATCAATGAAATAGTTTCGTTTAACGAGCCATTCAACTTTTTTTTTCTGGTAAATAACACAGACAAGCAATTGACAGCATACCCTCTTGAAACATTGGATTCGCCTTTCAACATGAAGCCTCCGGAACGACTGGTGCAAGTGATTGATCGAAATATTCATTTTTTCAAAATCGGCAATTGCTACGGCAAAGACATTCTCATTTATAAAACGCGAAAAAGTAATGGTTCCCGGTTAACGGCTTTGAAACCTCAACGTCTGGTGGAACTCACAAAACACAGTTTAACCGCGGCCCTCTCTTCTCGAAAAAACTCGTACTTTAAAGATTACAAGGTTTGCTTTTTTTTTCTTCCACTATATTATCAGTGATATGAGCAAAAAAAAAAAAAAAAATGGTATTGAATATTCGTGTAGGAATTCTCCATCTCTGCAGACGTCAAGGATATTGTTTTTGCAGAGCATCGGCTTATTGTTTGCTTTGATCATGGTTATCGAGTCATTGACATTAATAACGTAAAGAATCCCAGCGATGGACTGATGCCAAGTGAAGCTGATTTGCAAAGCTACGGTCTTCGGGACCTTGGCTCATTGCGATTATTGCGCGTGTACAATTTTAGAGGCAAGCGGCTGTTATGCTTTAACCGGTTCGCAATGTACATTGGTGCGGTGGATGAAGTGTCTCGACTTCACCATCATTTTGTGTAAGTAAAATCAACAATTCATGTTTTTAGTGAAACGTCTGGTCGTATTCATCAGAAGACTTGGTTTGTTAGAAATGTATCCCATTCACTTTTGTGGGAATGGGAAGGAACTCCCGAGGACATTCTGTTTCAGGAACCCTACATTATCGGGGTCAGTCAGCAATTCTTGGAGATTTGGAATATATATACGGTAAATCATCCAAACGGCAGGTGCGAGAAAATTGCAAAATTTTTAACGCAAGATCATAGAGAGAATTAATGGATATTCTTGTTGGCGATCAGTTGCGTGTGACTAATTATGGTGATGCTAGTGGTTTGGACCCGTCAATCCATCTCTGCATGAATTACCCAGAAAAACCAGAATTGCAGAATATTTTTAGCTTACGGTGCCATTAACCCGATTTTGGGATGCACGTCAAAAATAGTAAACCGCAAAAAGGAACAGTTGTCATTCATCGCGAAAAAACCAGGTTGTGTACCTTTCGTATGTTGGCCCCTATTTTTTTTTTTTTTTTTTTTTTTTTTTTTTTTTTTTTTGTAGTAGTAGTAGATCGCCTTGGACGAGGCATCGGTCGGAGCGCGTACGATTGACTTTTTTTTTCTTGTGCCACGAAAAAATGTCAATTGCAAATTTGCTTAATCGGTGCAAAACGAACCCTTCTTGTCCCACCTGTTGAGTTTCAATGCAAACATCAAGACCACGCTAGACTACTAAAAGAAACCACACTTTGACCAACTGCATTTGAGAAGTGAGCAAGAAAAAAAACCAACCAAGCAAGGTGATAGCCCCAAAACGCTTAACGAAGTGAGATAAATTGGATACAAGGAACGATAACAAGAAAGAAGACGAATATAAGAGAAAGAGCGAAAATAGAAAATGGAGCAGCAGGCAGCAGCAAGGAGTTCTGTTCAGGGTAATTCAAAGAGTGGCCTCTTTCTCTCTCTGTGCAATTTTATTCTCTCTTTCTGACACCTCTCCTTGCCTTTTTCCTCTTTCCCTTTTCTTCCCTTGAATTATTTCTTCTTTTGCTTGCTCGGTTTTCCTTTCTTTCCTTTTTCCTTTCCTTTTCTTTTCCTTCTTTTTTCTTTTTGGCTGGCTTTTTTGATCGTCACTCCTTTTCTGTAACTCCATCTATACCATGTCCATGTCACCATCGTACGATTGGGTAGAAATCGTCGATCTTCATACCAACGTTGCATTTTTTGCCAATCCTGTATTTATCACTTGTTTTAATATTATCTATTCAAAACGGCAGACATCAATTAATTACTGTTTTTCTTTTTATGGATCGGTAGAATACTGGTGAATGTTTGTTAGAGAAACCAGCCATGGGCTTGGTGTAAGCGATCATTTGTAAAGTGTCAAAATTTTTTTATTACAACCGCTCATAATGCTGATGATGATAGACGTCCAAGAGATCCGGAAGGTGATTGGTGGGAACTTTGGGATGACAAACATCAACTTCCCTATTATTATAATACGGGGACCTGTGCTACGGAGTGGACACAACCGAGCGAAGAACACATCATTTCTCTCATTAAGATTCAGGTACAGTGTTGAATTTCAGTGTGGATGTTTCAGATGAACTAAAGTTGACATTCGAAAATGTCAGACGTCGCCTCATTTTACTAACCGCATCAACAACCTTGATAACGGAACGATCCTACCGACCCCAATGGAAATCAAACGTAACAGTCGTTCCCTTGACTTGACAGCCACCAATGCCTCTTTCAAACGTACACATACCCATGAACGATCCACATCCGACGGCGCTAAAGAACTCGCCCACAATTACGATTTGTTACCTCCAAGTCCAGAGACCCTGACACCATCCAATACCTCGCCTGTCAGTTGCGTGTTTCTCCATGTAGATACCAAATCAAGCCTGCCTGTGCGTAAAACTAGTCTACGAGAGCACCGTGACCCTAAACAGGTCTGTATAATTGTTTTTTCTTTCTCCCGATACCAATTAAAAAAAAAAAAACAAGGCAAAAGTACTTTTTGATTGTTTCTTGTATCGTCTGACACAGTCGCAGGAATCCATAGAACCACATCGCTCTCGGCGTCTATCTTACTTTTCGCCATTGGCCAGTTTGGCCAGATCCGCACCGCTGAAAAGTCTGGTTCCTATTCGTACCCATGCTTTTCATCTCTCAGCGCATCCTTTGGGTTCGTAAAAAAACGAGAATCATATCCAACATGTACAAATCCCGAAAAATAGTCGAAATACTAAAGTCAGAGTTTTTTTTTTTATTTTATTTTATACCACACGTTTGTTTAGAGACGCTGAAGCCGACCAAATCGCCTACTAGTATGTATGAGACCTCGATTTTAAATACGTAAGACCACGCAATGCACGACAGACATTTCAGAGCCATGCCAAGAAAAGAACTGAACCTATCCACATCTGTAGGCCTATACTTCCTGCTGGACTACGTCAGGATATTAATCAGTTTGCCATTGACGGTTTCGCCAAGAAGTATTTTGCAACACATAAACGCGGGCTTTTCAGACGTCGTGTGCCAATGAATGAAATGCTTCAATGGACCAAGGATTCGCTGAAGCAACCGCTGATCATGCTTAACAAGGGACTTTGCAAGGAAGTCTTGAAATGTTTCAAGCTCATCCAGATTATTATGGGCGATCGGTCTCGCCCTCGGCATTCAAGCGAAGTCGACGAGATCCAGACCATCCTCAATTATGGTATCAGCAAGGGGCAAATGAGAGACGAAATTTATGTGCAAGTCTGCAAACAGCTACATCACAATCCCTCTAGGTACGTTAGCATTGTCGTCACTTATCTTTGCCATGGTCACCGGTCTTGGAGAAAAAAATAATAATCTGATCCTTATCTGAACACAGTAAAAGCATTCGAAAAGGATGGGAAATTTTGTGCATCATTAGCATCACTTTCCCGCCTTCGAAAAATCTGGAGGCTTATTTAACGGATTTCGTACAACAGCATCATCAAATCCAAGAGAACGATGTGCACATTATGAGCCAATACGTTTCCTCGCGCTTAAAACGGATTTGCACTCGTGGAGCCAAAGGCAAAGTGCTAACGCCTGCGGAAATTCAGCGAGCCAAGGTACAGCATATCTACAATTATATAGGCAGATTCGTTTAAAAAAGCAGGGCTTAACCGATTTACCTATAGGAAGCACCCTTTAAGCCCTCTGTCTTTGGCGAATCGCTCGATTTCATCATGAATCTGCAAACGGATGACGAACTCAAAATCCCGCGTATTGTTCCCTTTTTGGCCGACACCGTACGACAACTTAATGGCCCTTGTTCCGAAGGCATCTTTCGTGTTCCTGGCGATGCTGACGATGTTACCGAATTGGTAAGAAATTGCAGTCTTTTTTCTTATATATGGTTGATAATCTCATTGTTTTTATCACCCTGCAGCGAGTTCGTATTGAAAACGGCAACTATGATGCTTCGGGAATCACCGATCCCAATGTGCCTGCATCCTTGCTAAAATACTGGTTAAGAGATCTGGCCGAGCCCCTCATCACACCCAAATTTTATGATCAATGTATTGCTGCCTTCAACGAGCCTCAAAAGGCTGTCGAGATTATCAATTTGCTGCCAGATATCAACCGCCGAATTGCCATGTATATGATTACGTTTTTGCAGGTACAACGAGAATAACTCGACTACTCTTTCTTGTTTTTGCGGCATGATAAGGAATATGAGTTTTATTGACGTATTTCTGCAGGAATTCACCGATCCCGAGGTGATCAAACGCACTTTGATGAATATCAACAACTTGGCCATGGTGTTTGCCCCCAACTTTTTACGATGTCCATCCGAGAGTTTGACCACCGTATTTGAAAATTCCAAATACGAGCAAGCCTTTCTAAAACTACTCATCACCAATTTGTCGGCTGACCAGCAAGAGTGTGCTTATGATGCCAAAAGCATCTATGGATCCTGTCAGTCGGCAGAATAAACATCCATCTACTCCAACTCCTTTTCCACTTTAATATATCCACCATTTACACACATCAGTTGCATTACATGTTTTCGTTCAGTAGTGAATTTCCATCGTTTCGGTTAAATAGGCTTATTACATCTGCTGATGCCGTAAGAGAACGTAAAAAGGTAAAGAAGGTTTCTGTGACGATGCCAACAAAGGCAACATGAAATGAAACAGAAAGAAGAATAAAATGATATGAATACAAAACTGGTACACACGACTACGGAACTAATAATAAGAATAAGAAATACGAACAGACAGAAAAGAAAAAAGTTACAACAGGAAAACAACGACACAAAAGGAAAAATTTGAAGAAAACTAAGGTGGGGCAAAGGACAGGAGAGGGGGGAAAAGATGTAATAAATAGATATAAGCAGAAAAAGGAACTACAAAGGGAAACAAGAACGTTATAAAGTAGTAATAATCTGATATAGCCACTCAATGTTTTTTTATGCATTTTTCTCAGAGGTGGGTGAAGAGGTGGATGCATGTTGATTTTCTCCTGCAGACGATGAGGACGACGATTTTGAGAGATACACATGATCGTTTTTATCGGGCGGCTGGGAAGACATGGGGTGGTCTTGATGATTGACTTCAGCTTCGGTCATTGTTTCATCACCATCTTCATCCTGTTTATCTGTCACCGTATAATCCATCGGTGTGCCTACAGGTTCGTCTTCCTCGTCTTCCTCTGGCGCATCGTGGGTGGACTTTTCAGAGGCTGGATGGTCTTCTTTTTCGTTCAATGTCAAAGATGGCTGCTGTGAGTGACTTTCTGAAATCGAATGGTTATCCTCGGTAGCCTGCTGAATATTTCCTCGCAATAACTCTTTTTCTTGCTGCAAACGTTGAGGATCCACTAGATCTATCACATGTTCTCTGACATCGTCATCGTCATCCAAAGCCAACATGTACAATGCTTGATCCAGGACGAAACCGGCCGGTATTTCCTCATCCGTAGCCAGATCTGCTACCGATAATTCGTACAATTCTCGTAAATAGACATCTAACCAACCCATTTGGTGAGAACTGCGACCATGTTTTTTGTTGTTGTAATGAGTAAATGATTACCATTTAAATAGATCGCCCGCATCGTTCTTGAAGTCGCAATGCGTACGTTCACTACAGGATCTGTGGCAAGATGCACCAATCGTGTCAGGAAAAACGATGCAAAATCGCCCACACTGATCCCTGCTTCCAAAAGTGTCCGACATAATTGAGCAAAACTAATTGAATATTGATTAAGTGAACAAGAGAATTCACTGACAATACCTCGGTCCTTGAGACCAAAAAACAAGCTTACATGAGACGACCGCGGTACATATCGGCATGGACAAATTGATCCAGTTTCTCCATCACATGACTTAGTAATGCCAGAGCAAAGTTACGCTTGCTTTCCATGATATCTTCTCCATCTTCTTCGACTTGTGACAAGGTTTCACCATCTTCATCGACGGCGCGTTTCACAATATCCAAGATGACGGGGAACTGAGGGGCAAGTACATCAGTTTGAATTGTTTTTGCGTTCGTATTCTTATGAGCCGAGATCCGATACTTACTGTTTCCATGCCCGTTTCACGAACAGCCGCAAATTCGTCATGACAAGCACGAATAGTCAGAGGCAGAATATGCTCCACGACACGCGCCGCATCAAACAGCATGGCAATGTCTCGAAGCTGGCCTGCCAGGATCTCACGCAACCGCCAATTGGTCATCACGCCATCCCACACTTCGGCAAGAATGGGAATATATTCGTTACGCGAACTTACGGCCAGTTTACTGAGGAACTCGGCCAGATGCTCCAGGACACCTTGCTTGACGTCGTCCAAATCCATGAGATAAAGAGCAAATATTTGTACAAGATCCCGTTCAGTGCGTTCCGGACCAATCACATCGGCGATTTCGTGAAGAGAGTAGGCAAACGTCCGTCGCACTTTGATCTGATAATCCTTGGTCAAACTGAGATAAGTGTCCTTCAAATGGGAATCCCAGTAATCGGCTCCCGCCGTCAGCACGACAGCCGGGAAATTGTAAGCGCAGATGATGGCTTTATCCGTATCCAATTTAAACATTTGATTGGTGCCCACATTGGTGCCCAAAGAGAGAAAGAATTCGAGCAACGGATCAGGAACCTATGTACCAACAGTCACATCAATCATTGACCTCCAAATCACCTAATAATCCAAGTGAACTGGAATACTTACTTTCCCGCAATGGCGTGTCGTCTCCCAATCCGGGGGCAAAAAGGTGGCGATGAGTTTACCGATAATTTCGGTCAATGCGTTACGCACATTTCTGGACACATCGTTCTTAAAAATGTCTACGCCTTCCACCGCCACTTGACTCCGCAGATCTTCGGGAAGGACAGAACACAGTGACGGCAAGGCGGAAACGCACGATTTACGTACGTGCCATATGGTATCTCGGATAAAGTTGAGGTACAAAGGAAGCTACCATTTCTCCAGTATTAAAATTTTCGTACACCGCATACACGAACAGGACATTCACTTACCAATTGATCAGTCACCACCTCGGGACTCACTACGGTGGCCAGGCTACCTATCGCAGAGGCGGCTTCCTTTCGTACGTAAAACACGGGATCCTCCGCTGTCCGTTGAACAATCGGAAGACATAATTTGGTGCATCGCTCACGACCCAAGAGACGTGCCAGCGACGATATCAACTACCACAGGTGTTACTTGAGGTCCTTGATTTTCAGACACGCTTCCATGTTATCGCAGCCACTTACCAATAAGCACATCATTTTTGCAAAATTAATTTCGCCTTGATCGATTTCATCTGTCGAGGAAGATTGGTTGATGTAACCTTCAAATCCAGGCGTGGATGACCGACGACGATTAGCATTGGAAGGTTCTTCTAGATGGGGAGACAAAGCCGATGTATTCGCGGCATTGTTGGCGTCATCGTCTCCGTCTTCGGGAGATCCTGGGTGCTTGCCATCCACGATCGATACTAGACCCATGATGATGCCTTCGTAAATCTCTATATCGATCAGTTTTTGATACAATGGATTTTCAGGTCCTGCATCCGCCAACTGGGAGGTGACAAGTATGATACACTGCTGTCCCAATGTAGCTAATTCCGAATTCTGATCTAATAACAGTCCGATCAAGAGCGGTGCAAACACATGTGTGGGTATATGCCAGCCATTTTCATCCTGCCACGGCGATGATTTGTCGGTCTGTGAATCGTTTCTGCTGCTTGGATCGTTGGATTCACTTGCATTATTCGGGGGTTTCGACGAGGACGGTGCCTCTACTACTGAATGGTCTTGGGATGGAGAAGACATGGATCGATCGTTATTGGGAGGAGACTGGGAGGTCGCATGGGTGACTGCATTATGATCTTTTTCGGTGGTCAAAGAACCGGTTGTCGTAGTCGTAGAGTTAGAGGGTGTATCGACAGTAGGTGCAGGAACAGAAATAGTTTCCAGATCGCCATGTTCTTGCAATGCTGTGAGTCCATTGGTTAACTTTTCATTTTTTGGGATCGTCGTCGCAGTACTGGGTTTCATCTGATCAACCACTGGAGGAGCATTCTATAGACAGATCATAATTCAACAATGAATGCATGTCTTACAAACCCTTTTTCGCATCACGCCTCCTTTACCTCGTAGTAATACATGATGATTTTGTCCAATTCACTGATAAAAGTTTCTCTCACAGTATCATCGCGATCGGTGGCTATTTTGAGTACCATGGGTAATACATATTTTACAGCTTCTTCCACGTCAATATCACGAATGATGGTGGGTAATTCTTTGGCGACCAAAAGTCTGTGTGACAATAAAAAAAAACAATGCGGTTAATGGATGAGCTTTGGTCCAAGTGGTTCTTTTTTCTTCTCTGCAGTGACATTACCTGTGGATCAGAATGTCAGTCTTATTAAGCATATACAGCCGTTCAAGGGGATTTAATGATTCATCCAAGATCAACTCATCCTCCAGGTCATCGGAAGCAATTTCTGTAACAAATCATAATCAGTCTCACGCCTTGGCATAACCCACTTCTCAGCCAACCATGGCTCCTCCTCTGACGGTTACAGAGGTGCATTTATTTTTTTTACCTTCTGACATGGCTTGCAACAACGAGTCTGTGTCAAATCCTTCGTGCAACGGTGACGGTTCAGGCAACCCTTCTGTGTCTTCGACAAAGGTCTCCATCACAGCTTGTGCCACGGCATCCGGTTGTTCATCAAGAGGCAAGTCAGGATTCTGGCGTTCGTTATCGTCGATCGAGGCTTGAGAGAGTGAACTATTGTCCTTTGGATGGGTGTCAGTGTTGGAAGGATCCTGTACATGGTCTTTATCAGCGATCGTTACGTTATTGGGTGTAGGTTCGTCTCCAAACGCTGATGAGGGTGTGTGCATATCAAAAGCGGCTTCATGCTCGTTCTCAAGGTAATCGTCCTGGTCATCGGAAAAATCGAAACCGAGATCTAATATAAATAGGTCAGTATTTCATTGCTGTGATGACGACTTGGAAACCCTTTTCTCCGCCTGTGCCATGGCGTTATTCCCTCTTTCACCTGTGCTTTCCCCCCAAATCCCAACCCCAAAACCTCCCATCCACAGGTGTGGGTCCCAATAGGACTTACCAGCCATGGTGCTTATTCAGAATAACAAACGGTATCTAAGCGTTTCCAAAGAATAAAGGTTGCCTAACTTGAAGATAAGAGTTGCGAACGGTCAACATTCACTGAATGTAACAGAAATGAAGTTGTGACGACGTGCGACGATTTTCAAGTTACGCAAAAAAAAAAGGTGATGGCCAAACGCAAAACCCAAATAAAAAAAACACCGAACAACAGCGCTGGATTTTCATCTTCCGTCCAATCAAGTCGTTCCTTCTTTCACGAAAACCAAAACGGTCACGTTGGCTTTTCTAAATACGGCAATTTTCTCGCTCCTGTGTATTGCTCCCTTCAACCCACCATGGCTTCACTGTTGGTATAGTTTTAAAACTTTTTCACTCATTCCAGGCTCAATAATAAGCATGGTTTAGCTCAAAACTATGATTATTGTGGGTTGTTTTTATGAAAGGTCATCGAATGACTCGGGTTCTTGAAACTTTCAACCGTGCAACAAGGCGTAATAACCAACGATCTGCTCCAGCTGAAGTAATACGAGTCATTTGTAGATGTGATGGGACACAACGTAAAAACGTCAGAAGACCTGTCACTCGGTAAATGGCATTGTCTCATACCAAAGATCAGATATCAGTTACTGCTCATAGAAAAAAAAATCCTCCATCAAATTAATCATGCACAGACAAAGATGGAGCGCCGACAATATCTTAATTCTCATGCCTACATTTAATAATGTTGTGGACATGCATGTTCTGGGCCCTTTTTTCGTTCCGAATCACAAGCCTCACTACATCGAGAGAGCGCACCTGGTGCTGCCACACTTTGTATCACACTCTTTGATAAGATGCAAAAAAAGTTATGTGCGACCATGATCCGCCGCTGGAAAACAACGACATTCTTTCAACAAATCCCCATCTTTCCTTTTTTTTGGGGCATAAATGAAAACAATGAACTGTTAAAGGCAGTCCCTTTTGTTCGATTTATTTGTCATTGTGTATTTCCATGCTGTTTTCGATGACTGATGGAAATTATCAGGGCTTTTGTCTATGGAGATCGAATCCGTATTGTCATTTTCCCTCCATCTGATGAGTGATTTTGCAGAATAAATCAACACTCACGTAAAGCGAGGGTTATACAGCGCACTGCTTCCCCGTGGATCCCTTCCATGACCACATACAATAAAAATAAAACAGAGCAGCAATGTCAGTTATCAAAATGCATCTTCAGATGCGATTGGAGGTGAAAAAAAAGAGGGACATGAAATTTTGAACGAATATGTTACAGAAGATCTATTAAGAAATTTTAAAAGCAGGAGATATTGACATCAATCAATAAAAAAAAAAAGAAAAGGATAGAAAGAGAAACAAGGAAGTGGTTGAGCGTTGAAAAAAGTAGGATAATTTCTTTTTTTTTCTTTACTCAATGACCTTGGTAACAACACCAGTACCAACGGTCTTACCACCTTCACGGATAGTGAAACGTTGTCCGTCTTCAAGGGCAATATCGTGAATCAATTCACAGGCCATTTCAACGTTGTCACCGGGCATGATAAGCTTGTCATCGGGGTCTTCAGTACCTTCGGGGTGAGTAAGGCTGACAGTCACATCGGTGGTACCAACGAACATCTGAGGACGGTAGTTATTGACGAAAGGAGTGTGACGACCACCTTCATCCTTGGTCAAGATATACAATTGAGCCATGAACTTCTTGTGGGACTTGACAGTACCAGGGGCGCAGATAACCTGACCACGACGGATTTGTTCACGCTTAATACCACGCAACAAAGCACCCATGTTGTCACCGGCTTCACCACGGTCCAATTCCTTGCGGAACATTTCAATACCGGTCAATGTGGTCTTGATGGTAGGGCCCATACCGACAATTTCGACTTCGGAACCCTTGGTGATGGAACCACGAGTCACACGGCCAGTGGCCACGGTACCACGACCAGAGATGGAGAAAACATCTTCAACAGGCATCAAGAAAGGCTTGTCCAAATCTCTGACGGGAGTAGGAATGTGTTCATCAACCGACTGCATCAGTTCAAAGATGGCCTTTTCACCAATTTCGGGATCGCGGCCTTCAAGAGCAGCAAGAGCCGAACCCTTGACAATGGGAGTGTTTTCACCATCGAAACCGTATTCAGACAAAAGGTCGCGCATTTCCATTTCGACCAATTCAAGCATCTCTGGATCATCAACGGCATCGACCTTGTTGATAAACACAACCAAGTTCTGGACACCGACTTGACGGGCCAACAACAAGTGCTCACGAGTCTGAGGCATTTGACCATCGGTAGCCGACACGACAATGATAGCACCGTCCATCTAAAAACAACAAAAAAAAATCCCCAAAATATATATTTAGTTGGCATATTCATCATCCCAAGGCAAGCAAATCAAAAGTACCTGAGCAGCACCAGTAATCATGTTCTTGATGTAATCAGCGTGACCAGGACAATCGACGTGAGCGTAATGGCGGTTGGCAGTTTCATATTCAACGTGGGCAGTGGAAATGGTGATACCACGGGCCTTCTCCTCAGGAGCCTTATCGATCTGGTTGTAATCCATGAATTGAGCATTGCCCTGAGTGGCAAGGGTTTTGGTAATAGCAGCAGTCAAAGTGGTCTTGCCGTGATCGACGTGACCAATGGTACCAATGTTGACGTGGGGCTTGCCACGGCTGAATTTGCCTCCAGATTCAGTGGCCATGGTACGACGACCTACAGATATTGAACGTTGAATAATCATGCTCTCTCACTCAATCCTTGCCCTTGAACCCGCAAGTCACAAAATAAGATACTTTACCAAAGAACATCAAACGGGAGGGAGCCGAAGACACATAAGCTTCCTTGAGAAAGCTGGCAGCCTAATTGAAATAACGCTGTGAGCATGCTTTCATTACCCTCTATATTCCGAGATATACTAACCATCTTGTTGCCAGAAGAAACAGCTGTGCGTGCGGAAATCCAAGCTGCGCAAAAAAAATAGTGTCAAAAAACTAGGTGCCTTGTCAAAAAAAAAATGGAGATTCCAAATCTATCAACTTACCACTTCTGGAGGCGACAGAGGAAACACAGCGGCGAGAAGCCACACGGCTAGCAGGCAAAGCAGCTTTATTGACAGCAGTCTTCAAGGCGAACATTGTAACTGGAGACAAATGAAAGTTTGTGGATGTAGGTCAACAAAAAAAAAAAAAAAAAACTGGCGGCTTTTTTTTTTTTTCTTTCTGAGAACCCCGGACCTTCCACCCTTGTTGCGATAAAAGCACGTCACAATAACTTGCCGCATGTTGTCGGATTGTGACTGTATGTTTATGGGGAGTTCGGGTGCGATGACGGTGCAGCTTCTTCGACATTGTAAGTCTCCCAAATTCCAACGATTGAAATTTTCTGGCTCAGCATTCATAAGCTTACAACTTTTTTTTAATGAGTTTATTTATCATCATAACATTTATCAGAAGAAACAAACGAGTGCTTTCTCTGCGGCTCCCCGCCTTATTTTTTTATTACTCCGATCGGTTTTGTCTTTGCTCTCTAACCGTTGGAATTCCAGCTCAGATTTGACGCACCACAACCATTCGCTCCCCTTTTTACTCCATGATGTTTTCCAGAAACTCTTGGTGGTGTTGTGATAAATATAGTCTCTTTGGAAACCATTCCAATCATCGTATCCTGTGTTTATCCGAACGACCCCTATGTCCTATGAGTAGCGTTACTCTCCCTGCAAGATCCTCGTAGCCTGTACCCTCTACGCTAAATGGGCCGTCTACTGACGCCTAACATTCTGTCTCTTCCAGCGTCACCCCTCGGACCTTGCTGCTTATCGATACACTAACCCCAAAGACACTTTTTTTCTTTGCAGTTGGCTCTGATTTTCTTCCTCCGTATGTCATCATTTGTTAAATATATCAATACGCCTAAAATGAGGCAGAGTGAGCCTAGAGAGAGGTCAGAAAAGCTTACTCCGTCTCTTAAGCCTCTCTTTTGCCCCTCGTTCTTGATAGATGCCTCGTAACGATGACAAAATGGGTTATGGGTGCATAACCACAATATCATACATGTCGGAATGTTGAAGATGTTTATGCACAGACAATGGAAAACCAGCGCAGCTGGATAAGAGAGAAGTGCAGAAACAGTCGCCATTGACGGCGGTATCCGACAAGGTTGATGATATATTCCTGTAAGACATGTGGATACCAGAGGATAAAGCAATGTGGGTTTGTGTACTTGAAGTCTATGATATGGAGTGTGACGCTTTATTTCTTCTTTTTGGGGCTGGGAAGAGAAATGGGATATGTGTCCCGACCCTGGCGATATTGCTCTAACCATGCAAGGAGATATCTGAAGAGAAAAAAGTCAGGACAAGGTTTTCTTGGCAATCGCATGACCGGGCCACTTACTTTCGCTGTTTGGTGCTGATACCCATATCATTCTTCATGGTACGGCTGTCAGTGGTAAATAATTGCTCCCAGCTCTTAACGTCCGACAAGAAAAACGACAAATATCAGTATGAAGATTCTGCGATCCAAAGCTCGTTTACTGGTTCTACCTCGAATTTGCTGGCGTATTCATCACAACCTCGGCCAATGCTCTTCAAAAAGCTTTCAGCATCTTGGATTTTGCCTACCGAATACCTGACATGTTAACGGACACAGTATCAAAATTTAGGACGAATCTAATCAGTGGCTCCATTTACCTCGGGGTTCTGGAACAACAGCGGTACGACCTGTTGCAGTGTGTAGGCGTCGCGCTTGACCAAGAACTGAAGATCTGAGAGAAGCGAGCATCTTTAAGTAGAAGAATCGACAAGTTGACTATTTTTTTTGATCGAACCTGTAATTTCATGAACCGGCGCACAATTGGTGTGACGGCCGACAAGCGCAAAGCAGAGTCACGGTGTTCCCAATTTGGTATACCGCGAATTACCTTGCCTCTTGTCCCTTTTTTCCTTCTCAACCCTTTTAAAACAATCTTCGCCATACCTTGATAACATTGTATTAGTATGTCTTTTTCTTATTGAAATATATCTTCAGACACATGTCAGTGATGATCTATGGCCATTTTCATTATAGGCTTCAACTGGAAGAAGTTTTTCGAAGTGAAAAAGCTGGGTACGTATTTACGGCGCAGCAACAAGTAAGAAACAGATCATTGATTGTTACCACATTTTCATTTGTCCAAACGGCGAGAAGCGTCATATAATGAGATGCATCAAATGCGTAGATGTTAATGACTGCGTACCACTCTTTGTACTAGGTTTGCTTTATTAAATGTTGCTCCTCTTTTTTTTTTGCAAGTGTTGAAAACAGCATGTCTTTTATATTGTGATGCGCACATCACTCGACGGCGTCCATTTGAATGCCCAAGTGCGCAAGTAAACTAGAATAGCAATTCATGCATATTTTAAGGCGTACACATAATCGCATATTATAAAACGCATGCACTCGCTGAATAGCGAAGCAATTTATGGAAATGCAGCATGATTTATAGTTATAATGTGGGCGATGACTCTGGGTCTCGCCCTTCTCGAGAACAATGTGGCAAACGCGGCACCTTTTGCTCTTCATTTGAACGTGAAACGATGAATACGTCACCTGAAAAATTATAATCAGCTATTTGCTTGTTAGAATGGACCCATGGTTTCCTTTTTCTTTTTGCTATTAGAACTTTATCAAGGCCGAGCTTTATGTCTATGCGTAGGTAAATGGCACGATCTCCTTAGCCATCCGGACTAATCCTGCTTACAGAGTCACCGGCCCTTAAAAATGCTATATTCCTCATTGAATCGCTCTCTCTCGGCAAGCTTTCTCCCAGCAAGCGAAAAGCTCCACTTGTTTCGCTGGACCATTTCCATCGTTGTTTGAAGAAGGCCAAATTTTCGCCGCTGGCCTTTATTATCGAAAATATATGGAGTGACATCCAAAGACCGGCTGCCAACAAGAGAAGTATCTCGGCACTCCAAACCCCATTAGACAAATCGGACGTCAAGAAGATGAAAGGATGGTTGGCAATTGAAGGTCAGTATTCAAAATGTCAATACAATATATTTAAAGCGATAGCTAACACGAGACATTATAGAAGAAATCCGAGAACAGGAAATCCCAGGTAGGACGGACATCAATCATGTCAACGAGTCCCATTCCTCATCTCTACATACGCATAGACGTGTATATGACCGAACCCATGGAAATTGGATCCTCTGCTGAAGAGTTCGAGGATGAGCTTCAAGTATTCGCGGAAGATGATTACGAAGACGACGACGAATTATTCTTTGACGCCATGTCGTTGGATTTCTGGGAGAATGAAGACGAAGATGGATATGAGGATGAATACGAATACGACGATGAAGACGATGAAGATGAACTATTCTCTGATGTCATGTCGTCCGAAACTGAGGATTGGGGAGAGTATTACTCGGATGCGGAATCTTTCAGTGACGAAAGTGAGAATGACACAGACGAAGAAATTTTCGTGGATGCCATGACTTTTGACGAAACAGCTGCTCATCGTTTCTATGCCGCCATTGAATCAGTGCAGATTAGACATGTGGAGACGATGTATATAATGAACCATATAAATTTTACATCCATTGTTTAACTGATGATAATGAACTTTAGTGCATGCTGCAAATTTTGGAAGCGATGATCAGTGCCTAAAAAGCGACTCATCCGTGATACTTTTGTAACTGTTGATAGCAAGCCAGATTTCCGTGGTTCATGCGGATTGCTTCACCTTCAGCAAGAGACACAGAGAAATCATTCCGTGTACAAATCCAGCATATGCATCCAAGACCGGGGCACGCTGATACCGTTCCACATTTCGCGTTGCAGATGAGAAACTTCAAATTGGTACGGTGATTGGTGCGGGCGGTTGGAGAACAACACAGAATGTTTCGACGGCAGGTGTTGCTTCACATTCGTACGAGCCGGCGGAGTGGTTTGACTGAAAAAAATCTAGCATCAGATAGACGTTGAGCCTACTCTTGAATAAATGATACACATCAAATCTGTTACAAGATACAGAGGGACCAAACGTCAATGATGGATAATGATCAGTTGATGAGGATAGCTGTCATTGGTTCTGTTAGCAGTGTTAGGAAGAAATACGTTGAGGCGACCTTAAAAAAAACCGACAGAGGTCAATACTGTATGCAAGTACAATGAACCGAGATCTATGGCAGTCATAATACTTCCGGGAAATTGTAAATAGGCGGGAAACCGCGAGGCCGGGAAGAGTAGCAGAAGAGAAGCTATGAATACATGATGGGTCATTCTCTATTTGGCATCATGCATCATCACTTCAGCCCTCTTTATCACAAAGCGATCCAAGCGGACAGTATCCAGCTGTGAGCCTAGTTCATATGTAAATCGATGGCTTGAATCTGTCACATTTTCTGATTACTCATCTGAAAAGCGGTTTCTACTGCATACAAGAAACTCAAAGACGATAAATAAAGATCAAATAAGGACTTGCAAAAGAACGAGAAATGGAATATGACATGTGGCTAGCTTGCTGCGGCGACATGAATTCACACATTATACATTTTATGGAGGGTGGCGAACAAGGCTTTGCAATTCATATAACAGTGAAAAATTGCCCTCATGATTCCTCATGAAAACAATACGGCCTGTACGACAAGCGGCTTGTTATTTCGCTCCGAGAATTGATCTCGTGAAAGTGTATCGATACTTGAAATCGTATGTCACCTCCACACGCGGATGTTGTTAGTACTTTGCATTCTTGGTTCTTGTCATGTTCTTCGTTTGTAAAGATTTATGGAGTAAATCTACTTTGATAATGAGATGCAAGAAAAAGAGTAATTACATTATATAGTAATACACTAGCGCACTACGTTTTCTTCCCCAGCATTCGGTGATACTGCAACCCAAGTCTCTAATTCAGCAGAAAACTTAGAAAAAATCTAGATTCATGCGAACGATCATCTAAAATCTATATAATAAAGGCTCAGATTGCTAAAGGTCTTGATAATGACTGAACTGTTTTTTATTTCTTCATTATCTGCGTGGAGACCAATGTTTGTTGATTATTCAAGTTCAGCATGAAATAAATTTCACACCAACGAAAGGCCAAGCCGGGAGCCGGGGAAATTGAAAAGTAAGAATCACATGCATGCATGCACTCATGCATGAATGTGAATAATATGGCAAGGGATCTTTTTTTTTTTCCCTTGAAGAAAGCTGCCTTCACGGCTCATTCTTACTTTTCATGGCGGTGTCGTTTGATAAATCAGCTTCCGCTTCGTCAAGCAGCTCATTTCGCTTTGACAAGACACTGTCAGCGACAGCACGTTTTGGTCCAATCGAACGTAGTGATGGTGGCGGTTTCCGCCATTCCAACGCGCATTCGGATCCTGAACCAGATCCGGATCCTGAACAACTGGAATGCCATACGCACTCCATTAAGAATCGTGTTGCAATGTTTCAGCCAATGACTGATGCTAGTAGACTGGATCTGGATGGGATCGAAGTGCAGTCATTTCTGGAAAATGGTGACTACTATGACGAAATATATGGTGATGATTTGAATCCCTGCTCCAGCACCTATGCAACCTGGAGCCACCAGCTGGATCATCGACACAGTTTGGCGGAGAATCATAAACTGGGCCATTTGGTAGCAGATGACACTGTGGAATACTTGCATTTTGCCTCGTACATCGATGATATCTATGGTTTACCGTCACCATTATCGAGTCCGATGAAAGAAGCGCGACAAGAAGAGGACGAAAATGTACCCCGACAGTTTGCTGTGGAACGGTTGACGATGGTGAGAAAACATTTGCTGGAACGTGCGCATACTGGTCCTGAAAAGGAAGATTACAAATCGGACAGAGAATTACTGCAGCGAGAGAAATACCCGCAGTTTATTTGATAATCAGACTCAAAAAGTAACACCGAATAACCAATAAGATAATGAAAAAAAAAGTTTTTAATTTTTTTTTCTCAGATCTGTAGTATATTTGCTGGCTTCTCCTCATTTCTTTTTTTTTCTCCCACCTTTTCCTCTTTTTTTCTTTTATTTTATTTTTACGGTCTCTCTCACTTTTTCGGTTTTTCGAATAAACTATATTGTACTGCAAGTAAATGACAAGAGAGCATCGTGCCGGATCGATCGATTCGTCGTTATCGCAAACACCTACAGAACGTAGCCCTCTGCTGCCGTCCTCCAAAGTCGATGAAAATGGATGGTCCACCGAATTCAAATGGTTACTGAAGAATTCTCTGCCCGTCATTGGAACTTACCTTTTGCAAAACTCGTTGCAAATGGCATCCATTTTCACTCTGGGACATTTGGTAAGATTTTTTCTTTTGCCCAATTCAACTGGCGCCTAAATTGGACTTCGCATGACTCATTCGCTATATAGGGTCCCACTGAGTTGGCAGCGTCGGCTCTTGCAAGTATGTTTGCCAGTGTATCCGCTTGGAGTTTAGCTTTTGGCACCACGACGGCTCTAGATACCCTGTGTTCACAAGCATGGACCGGTGCTCACGATAAAACCCTCGTTGGTGTGCATTTGCAACGGGCCTTGCTTATCCTTGCTGTCATGTTTCTGCCCATTGCCGTGGTATGGTGGAACGCTACTCGTATCCTTTTAGCCCTTGATCAAGAACCGGGTCTGGCATTGCATGCAGGTAAGATGAGGGAGAAAAATAGCGAAAAAAGAGGAAATGGAGGACAAAATTTCAGGGTCTCTTTATATTTTCTGTCCAAAAAAAAAATCGCTCATTGCCTAAACGGGAAAAATTTAAACAGGACTTTTCTTGCGTTACCTGCTTCTTGGTGCACCCGCTTTTATCGCATTTGAAGCGATCAAGAAATTCCTGCAGGCTCAGGGTATCATGCAAGCCTCCACCTACGTCCTCATGTTCACTTCCCCACTCAATCTCGCCATCAATTATATGTTTGTCTATGTCGAACCGTTCAAAATGGGTTTTATTGGCGCTCCGCTTGCGACGAGTATCAGTTACTGGGTGATGTTATTGAGTTTGTTGGCATACATCAAATTCGTGGATGGCCGTCAAGCATGGGGTGGTTGGACGCGCGAGGCATTGACTGGTTGGTGGCCTTTCTTGCGTTTGGCGATTCCGGGTATCTTGATGGTGTGTACCGAATGGTGGGCGTTCGAATTAGCTGCTTTAGCTGCCTCCTATTTGGGTACCATTGATTTGGCGGCGCAATCCATCTTGTTGACCTCCAACTCGGCAACGTATACTATTCCCTACGGTATTTCTGTGGCGGCATCCAACCGTGTCGGTAATGCGCTTGGTGAAGGTTTGGCACAGAAAGCACGTCGTGCTTCCTTCATGGCTTTGATGTTTGCAATTGGTTTCGGTGCTCTCAATTCCACCTTTTTCCTCGTCACAAGATCCCATTTTGGCTATTTATTCACCTCTGATCTCGAAGTGGTGCAGCGCGTGTCGTATATCCTTCCGTTGTGTGCTTTGTTCCAAATTGCCGATGGTTTGGCCGGTGTGTGCGGTGGTGTGATTCGTGGTCTGGGACGTCAGAAAGTCGCTGCGTGGATCAACTTGTTTGCTTATTACGTTGTGGCTATTCCCCTCGGTTTTTACCTCACTTTCAAGGCGAACTGGTCCCTTATCGGACTTTGGACGGGTTTGTCGGTCGCTCTTTTCATTGGTGCGTCGGGCGAATGTCTTTTCTTGTTCATGGTGGATTGGTATGCCGAAGTGAAACGCACACAGGACCGTGTCCACAAGGAAGAAGACAAACATCACCATATCCTCGAAGAAGCTTAAGCTGGATCAGTCACTTGAATCTTTATCTTTTTCTCCTTATTCCCATACTTTAGACGATTCTTTCGCCAATTAGATCACTCAGTATGACTCATTTCTTCTCATCCCCTTCCTATTCATTCATTTTTTATACATATTCTAGAATATCGAATGTCCCTGTGTATACAATTGTATGTTTAAATCATTTTCCTCTTTTCCCGCTCTCATCATTTTTTTTTTCGCTACCTTGATTTTCAATGATTAAAACGGGCACCCATTTCCACCAATCATTTTGTTGAACCCTGAGTACAAGGATCATACTTTATCCGCACCATCACCAAGTGCTGCGCTGTTTTGCAAACTCCTACGTGTGTAATAGGGAACGTGTTCTCGTTATCTGTCAATTTGGCTGATCTAATGATGATGAGTTGTTTCATAAGGGAAAATTGATCCTGCTGTCGTCAAGCGTAATAGAGTGGCCCAGTTAAAAGTACATTTGGTCTTTAGCAAAAGAACGATTGATGGATATGGAGAGTTAAAGTCGCTGACATTTTAGCTGAGCAGATCGAATATTCCAATGATAAATACTGTTTACGCTCCAGCGCTTTGTAACAAGTACATGTGTTAATATCCATCTATGGCAATATTCTTTAGATGCTCAGCTTTTTAACCGGTCATTGTGCGATTTCCCGAGGCATCGATGTAGCAAAACTCACCATGTGAGGGCTTGAGGAACTCGAATATTAATTCCTCACTTTCAAATCTGTGCTCCGCCGATTCTGCGTTTCAGAAACTCAAAGTCTACGCGATCCAAGGCTACATCACAGATTCTTTGGATCATGCTCCTTCCATCTTCGCGAACTGTAGAATTTATGGACTAGTTCATGCTTAAAGGCACGTTACAGGTCAGAATCATCTACCGTAACTTTGCTACGCATCTTTATGACCATATGGTTTCCGGTTACACCGTGTTGCCATCTTTCTTTGCATTGAGACGCAAAAACTTCCTGTTCTACGTAGTCTTCGTAAATCGCCCCAACGCTGACCAAAAGCAATTGCCGATGTACAACCTCAGCAAACCATCAAATTTTTATATATAAAGTGCGGAAAACTGGACCTTCTAATTTCATGCTTAAAGATCTTCTTACCACTATTTTTAATGAGCAGTACGGACGGACCGCCCGGGTATGATGGATATGATCCTCATATCACCTTCAATGCTAACGACCCTCTGAATTACGTGCTGCATTGCGACAAGTGCTGCCTAGAAAGCTGAGAAAAGGCTTCTGATTTCGTGCTCTGGGAAAAGTTCAAGATGGACTGCCAGGCATTTGGAAAATACGGTTATTTTTGCACACATCCAGGAGACACCTTAGTGTATGTTACCTACCTTTGCGGTGTAAACACAACATCACCTCAAGATACGAATGTTGCGGTAGTCCCTCGAGATCTGGATTTGGAAGGCGCCGTTCTCCCTCAACAAGTTGCCCGGGAATTACATTGGAAGACGAAAGCGCGGTCTGCTTCACCAACACTTGTTCCATTCAATTACATGTCCCTTTTGTTTATCGTATCTCTTCTTCTCGTCTTCTCCACATCGTTTGATCGGTATTTGCGTAGATAAAATGAACAATAAAAAGGTCGTCGCCTGTTTGATACCCTATCACTAAATTAATAATGGATCGGATCCATATAACGTCGAATTGTGGAAACTATGAACAATGGACTGATTCAATCATAGGAAAACTACTGAAAAATATACTTGAAGCTGCAACATTAAAAGCGGCCTGATGGCTATAATTACTGCCGAGTTCAACTCAGTGATCTTTGACCTGAGCAGATCAAATAGATATTCCAAAAGATAGATGAAATTTACATGTCCACCATGTGTCTACATCCTTCTATGGTAATATTTTTAAATACGCCACTTTAATACCCGCTCACTGTCTGCGAAATTCCCGAGGAACCGCATTGGTTCATGTAGGAGTAATGTACCCTCTAAAGATTGTGAAGAACTTGAACGTTGATCCGCACGCTTTGGCAAAGTTCAAATCCGTTGCTCCTTCAGAAACTTTGACTTTTAATGCGAACAAAAATTTCTGCAATGATCTTGCTTCCATTGTCGCGAATTCCAGGCCTATCCGCACACTTATGCTCCAAAATATGTATCAGGCCCGGACATTCTGTCGTGACTTGAACCACCCTGGCTCCTGTTACACTGTGTTCCCCATCCTCGTCGCATTGAGACGCAGAATCTACTTGTTCTACATTTGGCTTCCTAAAATGTCGCATGGCTATTGCCATTCAGAAGTGAAATCACTTACTCTGGCTGAAATATCCAATACAATGCCCCTTTTTGCAAACATCCAAGTGGCGCGAAAATTTTAGCGTTCTCTTCCAATGTAGAAAAGATGGCTTCTATGAATAAATAATTGTCAGAATACCTGAGACCCAAATTTGGCGTCAAGCAATCCCAACAGAAACTGTTAATGATCCTTCGCCCATTTCACAGGTTATCTACACTGAGAATGCTTCGCCAACACTTGCTGCATCCAATTACAACCTTTTTCTTTAATTGTAGCCCTTGTTCAGTTTTCTCCAGTTCGGTTAATCTTTTTTTTTGGCGTAATTGGATAAAGAAAAAGCAGTTTTTATTACCTCGCCTATGCTTGTTTCGATAGTAAGCTGTGATACTAGCCACAGACATCAAATAAACTTTACGTGTCCGACGTAATGGCAAGAAATTACATGTGTTGATGACCCATCTTTGGCAACGCCTCTCACGAGCCGCTTTTATACCAGTCATTCTGCGATATTCCCGTAGGAGTCATGGTCCTTGTAGGGCAAAATTTGCCATGTAGGGAATGAGGAACTTGCAACTATTACTCCCACCCACGTTCGCCACATTCAACTCTGTATTCCGCCAATCCGAGCGTATGGAACATTGCGATCTGACGCAAGTCATGTCGCAAGTCATGCCGCGTCCAGTCTCGCATAGTGAAGAATTTTTAGAGACATTCATGCTTAAATACAGTTTCCCAAGTTCTGGGAGCCTATGTTACTTTGGAACGTCCCTTCATTGACCACATCGGTCTCCTTGTTACACGGTGCTGTTGTCCCTATTTTGTATTGAGGCGCAGAAACTTCTTGTTCGACATTGTCTTCCTAATGTGTCGAACGGCTGGTGACATGGGTGGGTCGAATTCAAAAAGCGATGACTGACGCCCCCAAGTCGCACGATCCTGTATAAAAATGAGCAAAAATGAGCAAACTGTATTTGCTGTATTCACGCTGGAAGTCAAGCACCTCTATTAAGTTTGTTTTAACATGAGTATCAAGTGGCGCGAAGACCGTAATGCTACAAGCTACAGCTTTGATATTTACTACAAGGACGATGATCTCGCCTATTGGGTCCATTGTAACGAATGCTGCCTAGGCAGCTCGGCATTGACCTCTGACCACGTACTCTGGCAGGAGTATCTGATGCAGTGCAAGCAATATATGCTGTTGTCCTATTGCAAGCATCCAAGCGGCGTGGAAATTTTAACGTTCCCTTGCAGTGCACCTGAAGAGTTTTCCGCCCACAAGAACTTGGTCAGGATCCCTCGGAATCTCGCTCTGGCGTCAAGCCATCCCCCCGAAGAGGCGGCCTCCCCTGCATCTAGCACCTCATCTTCAGTTATTGCTCAGCAACCAGGGCAACAAACGGGTCAGCCAACGGGTCCGTCATCTACCTCTTCCTCATCGTCGGAAGCTGTCAATGCCCCTTCACCTATTTCTCAAAATCCCCGCCCCGACAACGCTTCATCCACTCTTGCTCCATTCAATTATATGTCTACTTTATTCATTGTAGCCCTTCTTCTTGTTTTTTTCCGATCCATCGACCATTCTTTGCGTCGTTAAAAAATAAAGTGATATCATGCGATTTAACTGCTCGTCATATTCCAATAGTAGATCAGAATCCATATCGTCAACATTCGAAAACTCAATCAAAGTTGGTCAATCAATAAGGAAGCCTGTCCGATGTATCAATGTGATCGTGCTTTATTTTTAATGAAGGGAGCAATCATGCCGCATGAATCAAAAGTCAACAGTCAGTAATAACTGTGGTTATTTTAATAGCGATTATCAAATGGGTCGATAATTTTTATGTAATATGATCAAACTAGATCTGATAGACTGATATGAAAACAAATAATAGGTAATGAACGAAAACGAACAAAGAACGGAATATGGTTTTATGCGTCCTTGACAATTCTAGCTACCAAGTCACCCGAAGACAAGGAATCGCCTTCTTGGATGGGAACTAATTCCACTTTGCCAGAGACCGTCGCATTGACCATGGTCTCCATCTTCATGGCACTGAGTACACAAACAGGGTCACCAGCCTTGATATGCGCACCTTCCTTGGCACGGACTTCAATTACCACGCCGGACATGGGAGCAGGAACATCACCCGGCTTGGAAAGGTTGGCCTTTTCACGTGTCACCATTTCCACGGCGGCGTTCTTGTCCGTGATACCCACCACACGGGCTTCACCGTTCAGTTCAAAGTACACATCGCGTTTGCCGGTGTTATTGATAGGACCAACCGCGAGCAGCTTGATAATCAAGGTCTTTCCTTCTTCAATTTCCACATGGAATTCTTCACCAATTTCGGGCTTGGCAACAAAGTAGCGCGTAGGCACCACCGACAGATCACCGTACTGGCTCACCATATCGCGGTATTCGGCAAATACTTTAGGATACAGAGCAGCGCTAATGACATCATAGTCACGGATATCCTTGCCGTACTTCTCAATGAGTTCTTCCTTCAACTGGGTCATGTCCAGAGGAGGCAAAGTAGCACCGGGACGGCCGTCAATACGGGGCAAATCACGAATGATTTGGCTACGCAAAGGTTCCGGGAATCCGCCATAGGGTTGACCGAGATAACCCTGGAAAAATTCGACAACAGAGGTAGGGAACGAGAGATTGGAAGCTCGTTCAATCACATCCTGACCTGTCAGGTTGTTGGAGACCATGAACTGGGCCATATCACCCACGACCTTGCTGGAAGGTGTGACCTTGACAAGATCACCACACAATGCGTTGGCTTCTTGGTAAGCCTTCTTGATCTGCTTCCACTGGGTACCCAAACCAAGTTGCTGGGCTTGGAACATCAAGTTGGTGTACTGACCGCCGGGCATTTCGTGATCGTACACACCAGAATCGGCCGATTTCACGTTCGCTTCAAAGCAAGAGTACAGAAGACGGCATTGTTCCCAGTACGAGTTGATGGCTTGAATATCTTCCATGCGAATACCGGTACCCAAATTGGTCTGTTCCAGACCCGCCACCAGAGCACCCATCGCAGGCTGCGAGGTCATACCGGACATGGAATCAATGGCAACGTCCACCACATCGGCACCTGCCTCGGCCGCGGCCATCATCGACGCTACACCGGTACCGGCTGTGTCGTGGGTATGGACATGGATGGGTAAATCGGGGAATTTCTGGCGGATGGCACCAATGAGTTTCTTGGCAGCGTTAGGCTTGAGCAGACCGGCCATATCCTTGATACCAAGGATGTGAATGCCTTCGTCCACGAGTTCCTGAGTAAGTTTCATATAGTAATCGAGATCGTACTTCTTCTTCTCAGGGTTGGAGACGTCACCGGTGTAACAAATGGTCGCTTCAACCACACCCCCGGCCTTCTTCACAGCGTCAATACCCAATTTCATGTTTTCCACATAGTTGAGAGAATCAAAGATACGGAAGATATCCATGCCAGCCTTAACCGCCTTGTCACAGAATTCATAGACCACGTTGTCAGGGTACGAAGTGTATCCCACGGCGTTGGCACCACGCAGCAACATCTGGAACGGAATGTTGGGAACAGCCTGGCGCAACTTCATCAAACGATCCCACGGATCCTCGTACAAGAATCGCATTGCCACGTCAAAGGTAGCACCACCCCAGCATTCCAAAGAGAACGCGTTCGCCAAAGCATGTGATGTTGCAGGAGCAATACGGAGCAAATCCACGGTTCGCACACGAGTAGCCAACAAGCTCTGATGAGCATCACGCCAGGTAGTATCCATGATCAAGACACCAGGGTAAGCACGCACCGCCTTTGCAAATGCTTCCGGACCTTGTTCCACAATAATCTTGCGCCAACCTTCGGTGGATGGGGCGGACACATCCATGCTCTTTCCATGATTACGTAATACGGGGATTTCAATTTCGCTCTTGTAGGAAGGCTCGCCCACTTGACCTTTGATTTGCGAACCATTGACGACCACGTCACCGAGATAACCAAGTAAGCGCTGAGCACGGTTCTGATATTGGACCAAGCGGAAGAGATCAGGTGTATCATCGATAAAGGTCGTCCAGCAGTTTCCGGTCATGAAGGTATCATGGGTCAGTAAGCGTTGCAAGAAGGGAATATTGGTCTTGACACCACGGATACGGAATTCCACGAGCGCACGCACCAGTTTACGACGGGCGACTTCGTAAGTGCTTCCGGAACATGTGCACTTGACAAGCAATGAGTCATAATGAGGCGTGATGATAGCACCGGCATAACCTGCACCACCGTCCAGACGGACACCGTTACCACCCGACGAACGGTACACTTCAATTTTACCGGTATCAGGCTGGAAGTTCTTTTCAGGATCTTCGGTGGTGATACGGCACTGAATCGCGTAACCACGTTGACGAATACGTTGTTGCGTAAGACCCAACTGTGGTAATAAAGCACCGGCGGCGATTTGAATCTGCGCGGCTACGATATCAATACCAGTAATTTCTTCAGTGATGGTGTGTTCGACTTGAATACGGGGATTGATTTCAATAAAGTAATGGCGGTTCTGAGCATCGACCAAGAACTCGGCTGTACCGGCATTCTTGTACTTGACTTGCTTGGCAATCTTGATAGCATCGTTGAGGATGGCCTCACGTACACGCTGGTCGAGGTTCTTGGCAGGAGCGATCTCGACCACCTTTTGATGTCGACGTTGGACGGAACAGTCACGTTCAAACAAATGGACCACATTGCCCGCTCGATCAGCCAGGATCTGAACTTCAATGTGACGGGGTCTGTCCAGGAAACGTTCAATAAACACGGTACCGTCACCGAACGCACTCAGAGCCTCGGATTTGGCTCGGTTAAACGAGTCTTCAAGCGATGCAGCGTCACGGACAACACGCATACCACGACCACCACCACCCATCGCTGCCTTGATAATGATAGGGAACCCATGTTCTTCAATGAAGGCCTTGCACTGTTGGAAATCGCTGACGGGACCGGGCGTACCAGGTACGACAGGGACTTCACACTCCATGGCTACACATGACCCCAAGCGAATTGTTTGTATTTAGTAATGCTAGTCCGTAAATGGGAAAACCTCGTAACACAACAATGTTTGGGTTTTCCCTCAATTACTCGGGGGGTCTTTTTTTTTTCATTTACCAATTTGGCGCGCTTTTGTTTTGTCACCCAAGCTATCAATGACGTCGGCGGAGGGACCAATAAACGTGATACCGGCTGCTTCGACCTTGCGAGCAAACTCGGCGTTCTCGCTCATGAAACCGTAACCAGGATGAATCATGGAAACACCTCGTTCCTTGGCAATTCTCACAATTTCATCTTGTGCCAAATACGCAGCGACAGGTGTGAACTGACCGACTTGACCAATTTGATATGATTCATCGGCCTGACAGAATAAAAAATGACAAAAGTTCAGAAAAAAAAAAAGGAAGATCACTCGAGAAAAAACCCACACCAGTCATGACAAAAAGAAATCATACGAAAAAATAACATTTTTTTTTATCCCTCATTACCTTGTATCGATGCATCGATAACCGATCTTCGTACGAGAAGATGGCCACGGTTCTCATGGAAAGTTCATGCGCTGTACGGAATACACGGATGGCAATTTCCTGGATAACCCGAGAAACAAATGAAAATCAGCCTTTACCAAACCAGTCAAAACGATGTAACGCGAGGCAGCCAGACTTACACCACGATTGACAACCATGAGTTTTCGAAGGTTGCCCATCACCTCGCTGTTTCTGCGAATAGTTTCCACCGAATGTTCTCGTTGTTGGGGCATAGTTGAAATAATATATGACAATGACGAGGTGTTAAAGAGAGAAAGGTAAAAGAAAAAGTTGAATATTTAAAAAAAAAGAGAACTCTGACAGAAAGAGAGAGAAAAGAAAAAGAGATCAGTGAAATAGATAGAGAAAAAAAGTCAGAAAAGAGAAGAAAAAAAAAAGAGACTCGGTTGATGTGATTGATATTCTAACAAAGTTAAATAAACAAAAAAAAGAGGGTGAGAAAACTTTCAATCCAACGATGATGATGCCACGCACACACACTAAAAATTTCTTCCGCCCGAACCTTTCAAAACGGGTTCAGAGATGGAACGGCTCGGATGGACAGGAAAATCGTTTTCATGTGTCATCATGTGTTCCACATGAATTGATCAATAGCCCAAACATGGACTTATCCCTTCCCATCTTCCCGCCTCTCCCATATCTTGATGCGTGATTTCCAGCTTCCATCAGGTCTTTTCCCATTCTTCTCATCTAATTACCTTTAAGCTTTTTTTTTCTTCGGTCTTCTTTTGTTCCTCTTCCTCTGTTTCCAAACGAGTAAAAAAGTGGGTTTGAAACAAATAAGATGAGACGATAGCTCGAAAGAAGATTGGAAGATTTCCTCCATGGCTTTTTTTATTTATACAACGCCAATTTTTGAAACCGTTCATCTTCTGTCGGAGACTGAAATCCCGTTTAAACCTTCATGATCCATGCAGGAGCCCAACCCGATAAGGGTCGCTCTTTGAAAAAAAAAGATGAAAGGACCAAAAAGAAAAAAAAGAAAGAAGGTTCAAAAGGCTCCTCCATCGCCCAATCAAAAATGAGGACTCGTGCAGTCCCCTTGAAAAATAAATGGCATCATTTAGTTTATGAACTGCCATTGCGTGGCCAGTAAGCTTCATATCCGAAGTTTAGACCTTTGGACTTTTGAACCCGAGACGACAAGAGAAGGAAGGTGCTATCCTTTCTTATCCATCGGCAGTCTCCACCATCTCAATGTAATGAACTGTTTCGTAAAATATGAAATCAAAATATAAAACAGAAAAGGAGTAATTTTATAAGATACTTTTTATTTTTATTTTTACAGCATTGACTGCTCGCCCTGGCAATGATGACAATGCAGTAACTATCCTCGTCGGTTGTATTTGTTTCATGCGATTATTCCGTGCGATTATCTGCATGCCGAATCCTCTTGCCTATGGATGATATGGCATAATGTGATGACAGAAGAGACATGCCGTCTTTTTTCCTGCTTTATTTTGGATAATAAAGAATATATCTTTATCTCCCAGGGGAAGCTTCAGGCATATCGCTTCTTTTTCGTATCTGTAAACTACGAACGCTCCTTTCATCCATTCGCTTCTTCATCGCATATCCATTTTCCCCCTTTGCTTCTACATTTCGCGATTGCGATTCATTTTCTTATTGCCTATATTCTTACATTGCTTTAATAATCTATGCGTATATTCATATCACAATTGCCGACGACAAATTTTCAGAGCTTGCACGCCAAAAGAAAATAAATTCTGACGACGACCCTTCATTAACTGTTTTGCTTTCGAATTATTCCCAGCCACTTATTCAAGGTGTGCTGTCAAATGGTGGACATATGCAAAACCCATAGTCTTTTCTTGGGAGTAATTTTATTTATCTAATGAAACGCATCTTTTTTCATCTTTTTCTCTTAGGTTCTCTCTGCCATTTGAATAACTTACTTGAAAAATACCCTCAACTTGAAAAGAAAAAAAAAGTTGATCTTTTAAATTTTTTATTTATCCACATAAATTCAATTTAAACTGTACAGAAAGATCGCACCACCACATCGCTGGCCATGAGGTTCGCATGCTCCAATAAAAAGATTTCAAGCTCCTGCCAACCGCCGCCGACTCGAATCAACACCTTATTCTGGGCCTTGCCCCGTCGTGTACCGGAATAGGTCATCAATTTACATGTGTAGATTTTGTTGCCACTTGGACTGAGTTCGTTCCCAAAGTAATATTGACCGCTGTGTGGACCTCGTTGACATTTTATCGTGATAGGACTCGCGTTCACAATTCGACCCACTTCAACGTCCAGAGGATCTTTAGCGTTGGCAACATACGTATGGGTCTCTCTAAAAGCGATCCGCATCCGTTCCTCCTCTTCCGCTTCCTCCATCTCCAGTTCCTCGTCCTCCTCGTCGTGGGAATAGTACATGCTGTGAAATTGTCGGCTGGACGGTGGCGGAGGGGGAGGCGGGGTTTGCACGGCTCGATACTGAGTGCTGATGGGAGAGTAAGCCCGTTGATGCTGACTCAAAACCGGGGTCGAATATTTCTTGCGTAGCCCAGGCCGTCCTAGAGGTGGATTGTGTGGCGCTAATGGTGGGGAGCTATCAGGCACGGTCAAAAATAAGCGGTTGGAAGGAGGGGGATCATCTGAATTGTTCGATACTACTTGTAAACCATGCATGCGTGATTTCGTGGGCGGAGGAGATCGGAGCATTGACGATCTTGGTCGGGGAATCAGACTTGGAGAAGCCGACCGATACATTTCACTGTTGGATGGGGTCTTTGGCCGCGGAATAAGTGAAGGTGTGCCTGTGCGTCTGACCGGTGTTTCAGCACGCATCCGGGGATGATTGGTAGTCAGCCGCATGGATGAACCTCCCTGAAGCCCCATACTGCTTTTGGGTCGATTCGGCATGGTCTCCCTTGATCGATGATATTGTGGATTAGGCGTCTTGGATCGTGGCAATGGTTTCTCTTCGGCTTGTTTCCGCGATAGTGTGCTTTTGGTAGGTTTCATAAACGAAGCTTCCTTCTTTCCTGGGCCCATCTCGTCTCCGCGGCTGTGACTCTTCCTCCGTGTCGGTTCCATCATCATCATATCATCACTGTCATCTGCTTCTTGACCGTAACCGGAATAAGGCGGTCTTGACGTCTTGCTGCTGGCATGCCGCCGAGGGTTGGTAGGTGTTTTCGTTCGTCGTCCGGGGCCACCGTTGCTACCAGGAACAGAAGGACTTGAACCTACGGAAGACGAATCGGAAGAACTCGGCCTTAACATGCTGCCTACATGAGCATGCAAGTCCCGCATGCCGGATAATGGACTAGCGGTACGCTGTGTCCGACCATAGACGGGACTAGGAGACTTGTTGTGATGCATGGTTCGCCACATACTGCTATCTCTGCCACTGCTGGGGGTCACACTGCGACCCCGACGGACTTCGTCATACGGATTATAGACATCGCTCGTGGGTGATGAGGTTAATGTTTTGGAGTACGGACTTAAAGCGTGTGTATTTCGCCAATGATCAAGCGGGTCATGTGCGTTTGGTTCTGGACTGCGGTATCGCCCGTCGTTCCAGCTGCTATGACTTTTATCGCTGCGGTCACTGAGCCTGGACCACGCAGGACTGATGGGACGTTCCATCATCAGCAGCTTTTCAGTGTCGGGTAAATCGCGAATACGGAGTTCATCCATGGAAATGCGTAGCTGATTCCAACGCTGTACCATAGCTTCGTGTCGTTGTATAGTGGCATTGTTCCGAGTGACTCTGGTGGCGATACCATGACCTAATTTCGCCAACATATTGGCAATGGACGGTGCGCAGTATTTGTATTTAGCTTCAAAATTCTTTTCTACCGAACGAAATTTCCCAGGATCGACCGGAGTCGGGGCAGTCGGCGTGCCCGGCATGGCTCCATTGGTGGTGCCATTGGCGGCAGCCATGGATCCTGTGGATGAGCTGGAAGATACGGATGCATTGGAAGGATACGACTTGGGAGCTGACTTTAGGATACTTTTGGAAGGTGATTGGTAGTAAGTAGGTGTACCAGCTGAAGTTTGAGCCGCGTGCCATTCTCGTGCTTGATGAATCATGGCGTAGCATTGCCCGACCGTCTTGTCCAAACCATCAATCATCACGTCTACTTGATCGGCGACTTGGCGGAAAACAACAAGCCATCGATCTTCTTTCAGTTCTTCCTTGAGCTCATCGATCTCGATACGCAAACATTCCCAACGCTCTTGCACAACACGATGCTTGCGACCTAGTACACCCGTCGTGTCTGGGAGCGGGGAATCGGTGGTCATACGCGCATATACTTTCTGGACATGATTAAACAATGGCTCAACACGTGCATCGATTTCTTCCAGTATTTCATTGTCTCTGTCCTTGACGGGTGTTGTTGTCGTTGCTTTTTCTTGTGGATCGGCTGAAGATATGTTGGATAAGCTGTTGTTTAGAATACCGTCGTCATTCTCCTTTGGGGTTTCTTTAGGTATGGAGGGAGTGGGTGGAGAAGAAGGGGCGATCGCAGCTGCATGCCTTCGCTCTTGAAACTGGAAAATCATGATAGACAAATCATCGATTTGCAGCAAAATGTCATCCATGAGTGTGCGCAACTCCTTTTCTTCATTGACTGTTTCGATACTCTTTTTGACTGAAGTCAAAAAATGCTGAAGCCCAGACCATTCCGACTGAATTTTGGTAATAGCCAATTTGACACCTGGTCTCAATTCTTCTTGCTCTTCTTTTTCTTCGATGGCTTCACCCATTTCAACCAGTAAACCCATTAACGGATCCATACGATTGACCACGTCTTCTACTGGCTGTGTATCTTCGTCTATTCCTTTCTTGATATTTTGCTCTAGAGTAAACACACACAGATGCGCGGTCTCTAACCATTTGGTCATGGCGCTCGTCACGACATCGAAACCGTCAAGCATTTCTTGAAGCGTCAGCGATTCTTGCAAGTTCAGAATATCGCTCATTTCTTTATCTGGAATCTGCATCGCGTTGAGTCGTTCTACAAGACTTTCTTCCTGCGTCGACACGGAAGCTTGAAGCACAGGCGGAGCGGGCAGCAAAGTCATGATGAATCTGAAGCATTACGCGCATTTAACACACAGAATATTTGGCAATGGACGGTTTCTTGTCCTTTTGGTGTTTAGGCTGGACTTACTTTTAATAACTGCAAAATAATGCTGGAAGAAAATCAATACAATCTTAACAGTTACTCTAGGGACGGTTACTGTTGGCAGGGTAAATAAAAACAAAAATATATGAAACGTATATTTGTATTGGATAGATATTAGAAGGGTATATCGGGTTGCCTGGGCAACAAGGTAATGATGGAATGAAGGATTAGAATGGCATGAAGTGAAAGAAAGGAAAAAAAAAGGACGCTCAACTGAGAATATAATAATAAAAAAAGCTAGTGCGCGTGGCTCTTTCCATTCCTAAAAGCGTTGCACAGGGATTGGATGGTTAATTTTTGAAGTTTACACACACATGTCGTTGTTGGTGGTTTTTTTTTTATTATTATTTTACAGGTACAATTTGATTAATTCATCACTGACTCCGCTCGGTGTCAGCACGCCCAGATCAGTCAACAACAATGTCAAATACTGGGGTGGAGTATAATCGACGGATGGGTTCGTAAATGTTAGTTCGTCCACACCCTCGGGTGGAGTATTACTAAAGGACTTTCGCCGGGATGTGAAGCGGACGATCTCTGGAGTTTCTGCAGGAAGATCATACTGATTCAAAGGATATACACGCACAAATTTGTAACTGGGAACAAGGGTTTTTTGACGTTAATAAAAAAAAAATCCATCCATGAAGTGAAATGCAAGCCTAAAAATAATACCTTTCTGCAACCGTGTAAACCGGTTTGCCCAGAGCATTCGCAACCAAAGCAATTTGATATGTACCAATCTGTCGGATAAACATATTTTTGAGCTCCTGATGACCCACCTCTGAACTGTCTAGAATAATGCCTGTAATTACCTGATTGATAATGCCTCCGTTCTCCACTACACCTTCTGCGCCAACAAACACCATGTCAACCTTATCCATGATATAGCCTACTGCTGAATCCAAAACCGCTCTGCAAGGAATACCGGCTTCTCGCAAAGCGTCCACTGCTTGCAAACTGACCAAAAAAAAAAAAAAAAAAAAATCATCTATCAGTATGCGACCCCAAGATCAGATTTTAAAGGAAACAAAAAAAAAAGTGCATACCCTTCGCTATTTGGACGACCCTCTGCCACATATACCTTGAATCTCTTATGTTGCACATTGGCAGCATAATATAAGACACTCATCACTACGCGTGAGTACGCTTGAACCAGGATGACAGCATTATCATGCACGAATTGAGCTCCAATTTCGGCAGCCTTGATACGCGCCACGGAAGCCTTATCCAAGATCAATGCTGCGCGTGACAATAAATTCTCCTTGAAATCTTCGAAGCTTCGCGCTTCAGCAGACAACTAGTGCAGTAATTATATAAGCATGTACCTCCTTATTTTCCGTTTCTTGGTTTTTTTTTTTTTTTGTTGTGAACTCTTACCGAGAAATCGTGCGAGTTTCTGGTGACAAAACGCATGAATAAATCCACACCTGCCAAGGTGGCGATAGTGGCCTTGTGTCGATTCGGTGGTTTACCGTGAATTCTGCGATTGGTCTGAACGTCTTGACGAATGGATTGGGCAGCGCGTTCTAATGTTTGCATGAATTCTGACATGGTGGGTGCTAGAAAAAAAAAGATATAAGGTCATGAGCGAATCATGGTTGTGTTGATCGTGCAAAGTATTGCCCTGTGGTATTTTACCTTCGCTTTGTCGAACAAAATCGGTTAATGCTTTGAACACGGCGACAGGTGTCGACACTTCCTATCCGTTCGAGAAGAATTCGTATTAGGTGACATGGCACGAGCAGAACAATCATAATCACGTTGTGAGTATTTTCACGTACAGGATCCTGAAGGTAACTCTCATACGATGCAATAACATCGAATTTATGGCCACTTTCCAAACTCATTGTGTCTTGTTGTCAACTTTGGACTGAGTTTTCGATGTAAAAAGAAGGCAATTTTTTTTTTATTCAAATATTTGGGAGATGTGTGTGTGTGTGTGACTCGTTATGGTTTACGTCCGTAAATTTGTCTAAAACGTGTCGAAACGCGATGGGTATCGGCTTCTTTAAAAGCTTGCTCAACCGTTTCATCATATTCGACCGAGGTGATCGACGTCAGTTCAGTCACCATCACTTTGACAGCTGGGAGGGCCATTTTTTGAATCGCTAAAAACATTTCTCCCGCTTCGCCGCCCCACGCACCTAAGGAATGAAACACTATATTAACACCATTGAAATAATGATCTGTAACACTGTCTTTTTCTTACCGATGGGTACATCATAATTGATATCTTGGATATCAACAAAGCCGGCTTTGTTCAAGAATCCGGAAATTTTATCAGCAATAAAGGAATCCATACCTCTGGCTTCCATAGCTTCATCAACTACGAAAAACACCAGTATAAGATGAGATTGCCTTTTTTTTTTAAAAAAAAAAAGTGTCGCGCGAAGAAAATGGTCAAGTACTTACTGCCGCGGCCAATCTTTGTAAAAGCGGGTCCTGCATTCTTATAATCATTCACCAGTTCGATAATTTCAATGGCACCACCAGGTTTAAGCACCCGTTTCATTTCGTCAACTGACTGCAGATACTGATCCACGGGGAATCCCATCACCAGGAACCGCTGGAACACAAAGCTAAACGACTCATTTTCGAATTTCAGACCCGTACTGGCATTGCATATTTGAAACGTGACATTGGATGGTACATCACTTGTTTGGAAAACATCCGCCATATCGATACCCACAAACTGCGAGTTGGGATACAATCGCGCCATGTCCTAAAAAAATTGAATGACTTTAGTTTGCATACGGGCAAGCATTTGCATATGGTTTAGTGGCAATTTACCAGAGTCCACCATCCAGGACCACAACCGATATCAAGCACACGAATGCCTTTCTCCAGCTGTTCATGGATTTTTGACTTGTACAATCTAATAGACAAGGGGAGTTAGTAGAGCCCTTCAATCACCCTTGCTTCAATGGAAGTTACCCTCCAACTAAAATTCTATCAATAGTAAACCAATCAATCAGTCTGTGTATCTTGGGCATCAAAATATCGCTATACTTACTTCCACATCTCATGATTTAGTTTCAGTCGGTCGACTTCCAATTCATCACTGGGTAATATGTAAGCGATATTCTTGTCGTTTGCTAAACGGCGACCATCTTTGGCCTGAAAAGCGATATCAACGGCGTCGTGTTGGATGGAACTCGAGGTAGACATAGAATTGGGTTTTTCTCAGCAATGAGTTTGTCACAGATGAAAAGCTAAATCCATATAAAATATTGAGCTTTTTATTGATTTGGCCATCATACATAAGATCACTCTTTATTGGACACATCAGTGAATAGAGGCTTCAACCAGGCTATCCTGCATCCATTTCATTGTTTTAAGCAACTGTTCAAGCGTTTACCATAGGGAGTAAACATCATGCACCCCTTATCAAAACTTATGCCTGGCTTTGTACCTATTTTGCCACCATTAGGTGTCTGCCTTCTTTATCCAAAAAAGGTCCATTCCCTAAATTTTTTTTCTTGGTTATTTGAAGCAAAAAAAAAAAAAAAAAAAAAAATCCCGCGGCCAAGATGGGCGTGACGTCACAGTAAAGGCGGCGGGCGGCGGCCCAGCTTTCCAAAACATTGTCCGTTTATTTAATTTCGATAGCTCGTATCTTTTCTTACATTGATAGTCGATTCACATGTTCGCTAGAGCCATTGCCCGTTCTTCGAGATTATCTCGCCCCGTCTTCATGCGTCGCGGAGGCCATGGCGCCCCTATGAACGAGCCCTCCGGTTATCTTTTCAGTGAAAAGGTAATATTTTACAAATCATTTCATCGCGACAATCGGCTTGTCCATTTGTGAGCCCATTGACAACGGCATTCAGACACTTTTTCACCAAAATTGGATCTACTGTCATGTCGTTGTGTTACTGAGTACGAGGAGCATCTAATAATTCTGGTTTGCTTTAGAAACGTATCAAGGAGGATTGGGAAGACATCTACTATTGGGGTATGGGTGGCGGTTTCGTTCTGATGGCTGCCGCTTTGTACTACAAGCCTGACACCACGTAAGATCGTCGTGATCAACAGTATCGAATCGAAAAAAAGCTAATGGCGACAATTTGTTATAGCGTCATGACTTGGGCCAGAAAGGAAGCCGAAAAGTCCCTGAAGGAAAAAGGTGTTGAACTCGAATATCCTAGAACTTCGTCCGCATAGATTGGTTAGATCGACCTCACCGAAACCTCTTCACCCTCTTTCAGCTGGTGTAAACTTCTTTTTTGTTTTTCGTCCTGAAGATATAAAAAAAACTATATGTATATTCCATCATCGAACGTTTGAGCGAAAATTCTTTTAAAAATGTATCGGCATCGCGTAAACACGAAAGCAACACCGTGATATGGGGACCAGTTATTTTAGTGATCTGTGTTGGGCGTTGTACGGACTTGAGGACTGAAAAGGAGACAGTATGGAGTGCTTTAATGAATATCTACAGTGCCAAGCACTGTGATAAACTGCATTGCTTCCAATGCGATAACTGGAATTGGAGGGTAACACTATTTGCAGCTCTTATGAAATGTCGAGTTCAACTGGCTGATTTACGTCATAAAATTTCGGCGTTGCTGATGAATGGGCAATTCCGGTTTCTGTCAGTGTCCTGCAAACGCATTTTTCTTCAGATATCAACTCACCCTTCATCATGGCAGACTCTACTAATTCTCCAGAATACGTTACCCTTGTAAGCAGTGACGGGTTCGAATTTATCATCCACAGAGAGGCTGCCATGCGGTCAGGCACCATCAAGAACATGTTAACCGGACCAGGTAATACATATACAGACGGTATTCACGGTTTCAATCTATGCATTGAGAACTTACCACATGGTTAGTACAATTTAGGGAATCCATCGAAAATCGAATTCCCTTTCGTGATATAAAGTAGGGTGTCAGCACCAGTGATTGAATGCACAAGCAGATACCAACATTGACCATTCTTTATTAGAGGCGTGATTTTGGAAATCGTGTGTCGATACCTATACTACAAGTGGCAATATGAAGGCTCTACGACGGAGATTCCTGAATTCAAGATTGACCCAGAAGTGGTTCTCGAAACGTTGATGACGGCCGATTTCCTCGAATGCTAACTCTTACATATGCATACACACCATATCCAACTATTTTTTATCAGAACACAAATACAAATGGGATATTTTTATTTCTTTAAATGGCGAAGGATCTCAATGGATGATTGAAAATTGTGTGCGTGGCAAGCCATGTAAGTTCCTCTGGTAATCGTTCATGGATAGTATTTGGGTTCATAACGAGTAATTGATAATCGGAAATCACTGGATTTGTATCCAAACCAAGTAATGCAGGTATCTGGAAAAAGTTGTATAGTCAGTTACTGGAAGCCGTGGAAAAGGAAAAATACATGTTCATTATTACCTGAGTCATTGTGTGTTGTAAAGTTTCGGTGTGCTGCCAGTATGTAATAAGAAAAGGAACTTGAAATGCAGAGCTATACGATCGTAATTTCTGCGCCAACCTATCGAGACGCTCCTTTTCTTTGGCCCAGTATTTGAAACTATACAAAAACCCATTAGAGAGCTTCTCTTTTTGCCAACGAATCAACGACTTATTTGACTTACTTTACAGAATCGTCCAGTTGAGAGTGTCGCAAATCAGATAAAGAAAATACAATTGCTCCTGTTTCATCGACAGCCTGATATAGGAAATGAAACGAAGAGGGGGCGAGGTGGGGACTGTTAGCTTGACGGGTTTCTCTTTGATAATGCGGGGATTCCAAACTGTACCTTGCCATATATACAGTCTTGGGAGGATATAGATCGGGTAACAATATTCATGTCATCAAAGTGCTTTATACATCGTGAAAATTCGTCGTCTAAACCGAATTTGTGCTTGAACCATATCGCTGATTCTTGGTTCTTGTCTTCGACTGCAATGCACAATTGCCATGTTGGTTTCGCTGAGTTATCTTCTCGGTGAGGGGCCAGCTTGGCCATGGATGCTTGAATATTTGGATATATACAGGATGAGAAGTCTTCACGAACCCACAGCGAGGTTGCAGGAGACAGATTGCCCTGGAACAGTCCAATGAGATCCACATACACACCATAGCATCATCTTCTCATTTTACTTGACACTTACATTATTCATGTTATTTATCAGAGTTCGTCGTTCGGCTCGTAAGCTTTTGCCTACTTTTTCTTCCGTCGATTCTTTCATGTGGATACTTTTTCCATGGATCAAGGCATTGGTGGAGGGAATGGCCACGGCACCTGTACGTTGGGCCAACTTGGACATAAAGTTGAATATACTTGATCGTTTCAATGCTTGGCTGTGACGCTTCTGAATCTGGTTCCTTGCACGTTCGATATGCGGCATCATTTTTCGTTTGAGACTTCGCATGCGTCGCAGAGTCTGCATAGTGATAACCTCGCTTTGCTCCCGAAGCACCTCCTCCATGAGTTCCCTTGTCCACTTGTTCGCCAACTTGGAGATCAATGCATGACGTCGCAATTTTTTCTCCAGCGCTTGGCGGCGTTCTTGCTCAGCCCGTGCGGCAGCTTCGGCTGATTCGCGTTGTTTTTGCTTTTGATAAGCGATCTGCGCGGCTAATCGTGCTTTTTCTTCCTGAATTTGTTGTTCTCGGAGTCGCGCGGCTTCCATTTGACGTTGTTGTTGCAGTTGCAATATTCGTCGTTCTTCTGCGGCCGCAGCCTGAGCCGCCGCTTCTGCTGCCATTTTCTCTTCTGCTAAACGTCGTTGTTCCTCCAATCGTGCTTGTTCTTCTTCTGCTGCCAATTCCGCGGCTGATTTATGCAAAGGCATGGATCCAGCAATGCCCATATGTGAAGACGGAGGGAAAGCAGAAGCAAACGCCGTGGCTTGCCCCTTGATGATAGAAGACGGAGGCTGTATCACTGTCTTCTCGATAAGTGGTTGCTGCGCATACACTGTTGTAGCACTCGGTAAGATACCCGCCGATTCTCCATTGACGATATCGCGATAAGATCGGCCTGCTTTTTTCGGTTCGACAAGAAGCATCGATTTTCGTGCTTTGGGGTTGGAATAGGGTTCTACATTTCACAGAGAAAGAGCTTTAGTCGAACACTGACCAAACAATTGCATGATTCACTGATAAATGAAACGTACCTCGGAATACTCTTGCTTTCGTTTTAAAATGTTTCTGACCAAACTTGATCATGGCTTGACCCGCCGACATATCCAGCACGAGACCATATAAAGTCGCTTCTTGAAGCAACTGTTTGGTGGTGTCATACGCCAAAGTCTGACGCAGATACTCGGCATCAACCCCCGAGGTTTGGTAAAGATACGCGTGATTCATCGCTTTCAAAGCGCCTTTTCGGACATCAGGGAAATGCCCTTCCAATAAACAGGCCATGAGAAATGACGTGGAAGAGTCGGCCACCAGCTTGAAAAATTTTGAGTAAAAATTTTGACAGGCTTCAACGTTGACGGGTTTGTTACGTCGAGACGAGGTTTCCTCGATTTCGTTGTTACGTTGCGCCAATCCATAAAATGCGAGTGCTTGTTGTATGTAGGGATGCATAAATAAGTGTGGGGGCAACGCCATTGCTTGGCGAGCAACATCTTGGTCCCGCATGTGTGTAATAATATGATACGCTCGGAACTCGGCTTCATTTTCCGTCTCAATCCCTTCTTCGCGTAAATCATCGTAAAACTCGATCAAACTTAAAAGAACTACAAAGTAGATTCCTCAGTATGCGGGCGTGATACTCGATACAATTGCATTGCGACTCGTACCTTTACGTAGTTGTTCCGTTTCCTGTTGTTCACTAAACTTTTCCTCTTCGCAATCGCTCATTTCATGCAAGCATAGGATATGGAAGCGGGCAATTCTTTCGTGCACTTTCACAGCCGTGACATCTCTGATGTTCTGAAGCGTAAAGTCTTGTCGAATAGATCGTGTGCGGTCACGAATAAAAGCGTGGCATTTCTGCAATGGATAATGGGACAGAACGGAATCTACAAGATAGTCCAACGTACGCTGCAAGCAGACACAAGAGGACGACAGGTAAAAGATATTGAGCCAACTCGTCGGGGGATCACCCACAAATGAACGAGGTAAAAAAAAATATTCACCGATAAAACTTCAGGAGGTCGCACATCGGAAGGCAAGGGTTGTTCGTTGCCTGCTGCTGAACGACGATACGCTTTTACTGTCTTTTCAGGATCGGCATTGCCCTCTTCATCCTAGTGGGGGGGGGGTGTTAATTCTCATTAGCAAAAACAAAAGAGTGTGAAGTAGATAAGAATATCGTACCATTTCCAACAAGTCCAAGCCATTCTGAATTTCTCTCTCAAGTCTTTCGAATGCGGCGCACATGCTTTGACATGTACCTCGAAAGTCGATGGCATCTTCCAATCGAGTCGGTGCGTCCGGATCGGGAATGAGTTTGTTCTGAATGGCGTGACGTCGTTCTTTTTTTCGGTTTTCTTTGAACTAGAGGTGCAAGAAAAGACAGAAGGGTAGAGAAGAATAGGAGGTAAGGACATCAAGGGCCGAGAGACGGAAAGGATGCAGTTGTGCAAGACATGATGGGCAAACGCGCTATATCATATCACAGACAGATACACGGCGTGGGAGCTGTTCAGACTTGCGGAGAGAGAAAAAACGTATAAGCCTACCTGAGCATAAAGGGCACTTTTACTGGTGGAACCGAAACGGGCAGCTCGATCCTGTGCAGTAACTTCATGACTGACGGGTAAACCGGGTCTGGACCAAGTCTTGTTCTTATTGTTACTGTTATTAACGCCATGGTTATTGGCATTATGAGCGTGTGAGTTTTGCTGCGTGTGCGGTGAATAAGGCTGAGCATTGCCTCGACCTCGTCCTCGACCTCTTCCGCCACCGCCTCGTTTATTATACATGGCCGTTCAAAAAGAGAGTGAGAGTGAGAGTGAGATGGATGGACGAAAAAAGACAACGTAAATTGGAAGGAATGCGGAGTCGTAAAAAAAAAAGGCTGCTCACAATTGAACTGAATCGTTGGGCCCTCCCAACAGAAATGGCAAGCAGGAAAATCCCGCTCAGCCACTGAGAGTTCAGGCAAAAACCGCACCCGCAAAAAAAGGAAATTAGGGCGCACGACGCGCTCTACAAATCCGACGCGTCTTTTTTCCTGTTCCTTTTTTTTTCAACTCCTCTTTTCCTCTTCCTTGTACTTCCTTCTCTCGCTTATTATTCACTTATTCACTATGGATATAATAGAATCGATGGATATATCCGAGAGTCCTGGAAGTCCTGAAATTCCTGAAGTCTTTGTCAGCTCTATCTATGCAGCTACTTATTCTTCCGTCACCGTCCTGGAGATGTTAATTCAAGATGTCGCTGTCATGCGAAGGATAAATGATTCTTATCTCAATGCTACCCAGATCCTGAAAATCGCCGGTCTCGACAAGACGAAACGATCAAAGATATTGGAAAGAGAGGTTCATATTGGCGAACACAAGAAAGTACAAGGCGGTTATGGGAAATATCAAGGCACCTGGTAAGTAACAAAAAAGCAAAGAAAAGCACAGACCTTGGATATATCTTATTGATTAAATTTTCATAACACATTCTTTACAAAAAAAATGGTGGTAACAATAATAACTTACAGGATCCCACGTGACAGAGCAAGGGAACTAGCAGAGAAGTACCACGTGTTAGACTTGGTTCAACCGCTTGTGGATTTTGATATGGCTTTGATCGCGGAGGGCGGCACCGATTGTTTGCCGACGAAAGAACAAGCGCTCGGGTGCCGAAGACGATACATAGAGGAGACAGAATCAATGACGGATTCGCGTTCCCCAGGACCTCTTTCACCAGACTACGACTTTCCATCGCCCACGTCCACCTCACCTCCTAAAACTGCACTCAAAACACCGGCCGCTGGCGCCCCTTCACCGGTTAACAATGCGCTGGTTCGCGCATCACCATCGTCATCTTTAACAGCACCGACCCCCAGTCATAAAAAAGTGAAACTATCCCCACCGGCCAAGGACGATCCGAATATCAACGAATATCATCGAAACGTTTTGATGGCGATATTTCTCTCCAACGATCCCAACCATATTCCTGATCTGTTGAAAAAATCAAAAGGGTCTTTGGATTTGAATCTCAATCTGTTGATCGATGAACAAGGCCATACAGCGCTTCACTGGGCTGTTGCCTTGGCACGCATCAAGACAGCCAAATTGCTGGTCAAGAAAGGAGCCGACGTATGTCACGGCAATTACATGGGCGAAACTCCGTTGATGCGCGGAGTCATTGTCACCAACAGTTTCGATAACGAATGTTTTCCGCAAATGTTAAAAGTGCTGACGGCTTCCATTCCGGTGGTGGATCATAAATCACGAACGGTGTTTCATCACACAGCTTTAACGGCCGGCATCGCAGGACGTGCTACAGCGGCCATTTTCTATATGCGTCAATTGATTGATACCGTGAAAAACGACAAACAGTTTGATTTATCCATTCTCCTTCAAGTGAAAGATAATCAAGGCAAAACCGCTCTGGATATCGCCAAGAGTTTGAATTGTACGGAAATGGTGGAAATGCTGGAAGCATGTCAACCTGTAGAAGAGGAGAAAATGCTGGAAGATCAAGATCCTGTCATCGCCATACCGCTGCCAGAGGTAATGTAGACCAATCAGGCGATTGTTGTAGCTCATCATCAGTATGCGTCCTAACACGTCCTTCATTTCTAGTCACAGCAAACAGAGACTGTAGCTCGCGAAAACAAGGCAGTATCCCATTTCATCCAGCGAACATACGGATCAAGTCAACGCGGGCGTGAGATTGTATCAAGTGAGTCACTGGCAGGTTCACATATGATCAAACATAGAATACTGAATCGCCCCAATTTTATCTTTAGCTGTTCAAAAAATTGTGGATGAATTGGATGCGGAGCATAACAATGAGCTGTATTCTCTGGACACTCAATTAAATCAAGTGCATGAAGAACTTCGTCAGGTGACGGCTCAATTGGAATTGACAAGAAAAAAGCTCAAAGAACGACAATCGGAAACGCAACAGCTTGCCGAAGCCCATGCACGGATCCAGAAGCTGGAAGCGACAATACGAGCAGGATGGCATAATTTGGACGTACTGAAATTGGATGACGGTACAGAAAGCGAGGATATTGACGCGTTATTTACTCTGACGACCGATGTGAGCGAGGAAGATAAAACACCTCGAGAAAGACACCTGGAAAGACAAATCCGAAGATTGTTGGCACGAATCCAAGCGTACACAAAGAATGGACAAGATCTACAAGCCGAAGTTGAAAATCTGCGAGCGCAATCATCTGAAAGGGAGATGCAATGCAAACGATTAATTGCTATCTGCTGTGATCTTCCCATTGAACAAGTCGACGAACTTATTGAACCGTTAACTTTGGCTATCGAGAACGACCCACCAGATCTTGATGTGAATCGTGTGATTGGTTTCATGGAACGTATGAAGCGTCAAAGTATGTCATCCTCAATACCTGCCGAATCAACCTCCGTCAAAGATCCAATGAGCACCCAACAACACATCTAAAAGCCTCAAAAACCAACCCATCAAACGATTCCTCGTTTCCCTTTGTCTGTAAAATAATCACTCTTGTTCATCTGTATATATCCTTCTTCCCAAAAAGTCACCGCATGAATTTGAAAATCAAATAGATTTCACCTTATGCAAATTAACTACCAAAATGTCGGAAATCAATATCACAAAAAAACGTAACACGCATAGAAGGAGGTTGTAAACCGACCAGATTTCTTTGTTGAATCCAGTACCTCCTTGTATACAAGCACGCTCTCAGAAGGCGACCATTCTCAAAAAATAGACCGATATGATTACTCACGTCTCTTTTTCTCTTTATGATCCACCAATACCCTACACCGTAATGATTTATAAAAAGAGGATGTTCCCATGCTTTACTTTGATTGTTGTAAAGTATTGTTTCACAGCTAAAATGTTCAGATTCGCACTTGTGATAGTGTATTAGGCTTTGATTTTATTATTATTTGCAAGCATTCGAACAATAAATAGGAGGTTGAGCATGATTTACTTTTTCTGATTGAAATCTGCCCCGAAATCTTGTTCTGCGGTATCTGCAAGGATTTCTGCGATGGCTAGAGCAGCTGTAGCCGCAGGACTAGGTGCGTTTCTCAAGTTGAGTACTAATCCATCCATCACATTACGCTCGACGATATATTCACTGGCGGCAATACCTCCAGGCTGTAAAAGAAAAAAGAAAAGCAAATGAACACAAACGCACAGCAGAGTATCTGACATGGTCATACCTCAAACACCTGAGCCATGACGCCGGCGAAACTGGGTTCTACCATATCGCCTCGAAGGCTAGGAATGATCTTTTGGCCGCTCTTCAGGAAAGCGCGCTTATTCAGATCACGATAAAGTTCGCCAAGTGATAATCCGATATTTTTGAAGGCAAACGACCAGAAAGCGCCATTAGTAAAGATATCCAAGACATCTTGCAACTTGAAATCAAAGAATTTGTAGCCTTCACGGGAAAAGGTAATGCTATTCAATTTGAAAAAAGTCCATGAGCGATAGGCCGTTTTTACAGATGGTCCATTCACTTACCAAGCACCGGGACCGACAATCAATTGGTGGCCACGACGAACGTCCACCTACATTTGAAAAAAGAAAAAAAATTCATATGGTGACTTTGAAATACAAGCAATAAGTACAGGACAAACTTACGGTAGGTGTAAAATGAACGCCGACGGGAATACCGCCACCGCTGGGAACAGGATAGATATTACGCGATACGATATTTCTGAATTCGGGCTTCAACTGGTAGTACTGGCCTCGGAATGTAAGAACACGATGTTTCTTGCCATCACCGCCAGTGGCGGTCGCTAAACGATCCGCGTAAAAGCCACCGCACGTAATCACTTTTCCAGCAGTGACCTGAAGAAGGGGTCCTTTTTGAGTGGGTTCCACACCAGTGATCTAAAAGAAAAAAGGGAGAACGAAACATCAGCTACCTTGGCTTGCCCTATTAAATAAATTTTGCACATTTCTTCTTACTCTAACGCGATTATCCTCTGTCTTTTCAAATTTTCGAGCATCAAAAGATGTTTTTACATCACCACGACTAAAAGGAGATCATTGAGCTATTTCTATTTTCACTGGCAACGATAAGTTGATAGAAAACTCACCCTGTATCTCGAATATCTTGCATAAGGCTTTGACTGACGAGCCAGTAGTTAGTGATACCGGTATTGGGAGAATAGAGGGCACTATAGGCTTCTACATTGGGTTCCAGTTCTTTGATCTACGCCTGAATCAGAGCTGATGTTTCTCACCCCCCCCCACTTGATTTTTTAATCTCGAAAATGTACCTTGTCATGATAGATAATCTCAAGACCCTGCACACCGTTTGCTGTGCCTTGGTTATACAATTTCTCTACTTCTTTGTGCTCGTCCTTGTTGCTCGCAACAATCAATTTGCCGCACCGCTCCACGGGCAATTTACGTTCTTCACAATATTTGTACATAAGATCGGCTCCACGAACGCACGTTTTAGCCATCAATGTGCCGGGAATATAATATAAACCGGCGTGAATCTAGACAATCCCATTGATGAGCGATAAAGCTGTCACATACGTACTATGCCAATTGCTGCTTACCACACCCGAGTTATGCCCGGTTTGATGATGGGCCACTTCCGCTTCTCGTTCCAGTACAGCGACCGTCATTTTGGGATATCTCTTCAATAGTTCGCGTGCGGTAGCAAGACCGATGATGCCAGCGCCCACTACCGAATTTGGATTAGCTTACGCGTTTATTATGCAATGAGTATGCATCCACCCATTACCAACAACCACGTCGTAGTCATTCTTGGTCAATCCTGTTTTTGGATCCTTCTTGCTGAAATAATCAGCACGAGCTTCTCCTAATAATCGTTTTACGCCCTCGCTTTCTTTTGTTTCTTCTCCAGGTAATGAATCCCACAAGTGGATTTTGGGTGATACGCTGCTGTGAAACGGATGAACACGCACACAGGTGGTGGCAACCGCTGCAGCGCGATATCGACCATAAGCGACGGCTCGACTACGTGCAAACGTGATAGTCGTTCGTGAAAACATGGAGGTCGGGAAAATTGGCGAAAAAAAAGAAACAAAGGGTGAAATCGATAAATAGAAAAACAGAATAAGTAACAATCAATCCAGCAATCGGCAAATGATATCATTGGTTTCACAGGGCCCCCGCGCATGGCAGCGGTCATCCGATAAATCAAAATTGCCGTCCCAAGAAACTTTTTTTTTCCTTGACAAGCCCTGCTTTTACCGTTTCCCTTTTCATTTTATCGCATGATTCGCTTATCTTGTGCATAGGCTTTTTTTGACTGCAATGCCAATAACTACCCAGAATAAAAAAGAAAACGGGAATCACCTCTTACTTATCAGTGTCACCGATTGCTTTCCATATTTTTTACGCTGTGACGGAACATCCCGATACACGAACCGGAATAACAAATAACACGAAGCCCGACAGGATTATTTATTATCCTTTGCGGCATTGTTTCCCTGATTTCAAATGAGCTCAGTGCATCGTCGTCTTGCCCAAAGAATACGTCCAAATGGATTTCCGGTAGATTGATTACTACCGGACAATTTTTTTGCTTTCTTCCACCGACTTTTGAACGATTTTTTTCGATTTTTTTGGCCGCTCTCTCCTTGAACTTTTAATACCATCTCAGCCTATGACGCGATTGTCAGTATGAGGTCAAAGGACTCGTCCTTGCATCCGTCAGGAACTTCGGCAGGATATCCTTATACCCGACAATAGTCGTACGATGTTGATCATCAAAGATAATCACAACATGGCTAAATTGGGTAATAGCGACAAGTCGTTGTCATTCTTGCACTTGCCTCCCAACAGGCTTACTGTATATTTTGAAATCAAAAAGCCAAAATGCACCGAAACAGGTCGTTTTCGTCATTATATCTGTATTGCGCCGCCGTTCCTTTGAGCGATTCCTCAGAATGATCTTTTTCTCTCGGACTTGAAAATTAGAGCTCGGTTGCCGCAATACGACAGCTTCCATGGCGAAATTTATAATCATGAGTCATTTTCTTCCTCTGTAAACCCTCTCCACTGTCTAACATTTATGATTCTGCGACGAACAAAATTGCAGAGAACACAGTAGGGTTAATTCCGCTTGCAAAAGCTATTACTTTCAGAATTCTGCTATCCGAAATATTTGGATATTAGAACAATCCACAAAATTTCTTAAACTGACGGCATCAAACAAAAAAACTTTCATCACCTCCGAGAAAGAAAAAATCAACTTTTAGGCCGCCCCGGATCGCCGTCACAAACATTGACGTGTCCGGCACTTGAGAGTTTCCACCCAATCAAATAGGGGCTTTTCTTTACGCGAATTTCTTCTGTCCCCCCCCCCCCTCTAAGACGGATTTTCAATGCTGAGGCTGATAGGTTGATATGGCTTTTTCGCATGGTAATCTTTATTTTACTGCTTCACTTTCATTCTCGACGTTGAGTATGCAGGTTTGAGTTCGGGGAATACGTGCGCCATATCTTGTTGTTATTTGTGATTTGTTGCAAGACTCTACCAAATGCAAATAAAAACTGAAAAAAATCAGTCTTCAAAGGTTTTCCAAGTCCGTCTTGGAGGGGGGTGACATCAGGCCGTGCACGGACACGACACTCCGGCACTAAATTTTGTAGAGCTCATGTGATGTGCACGCCACTCAATGACGGGCACGACATCTTTGTGTAGTTGGGCTAAGTGGATGTCACGATATTACGAACCAGTTGATAGAATCCTCTTTCAAGCATTATTGGAAGCACTGAAATTGCTAATAGAAATTTATAAAATAAATAATTACATTGGGATAGACTGAAAAAAAAGAAAAAGAAAACAACACTGAGATAACGAAAAACCACAATGCCTACATTAGTTATCACCTTCTATTGATGACCTCATTTGTAGGAAACCATGTATTACTTCTCTTCAAAAAAAAAAAAAATCGATGAGCTGCAACACTTTGTTGTTGATGTATGTAGGGAATAATTCAACTTAAAAGTTGCGCAGGTCTATTTCGGTAATCTTTGTGGATCCTTCTTTCAACCGGACAGCTACCATCCCATCTAGGTTTTACAGCAGCTTTCAATCAGACTTTCATAGTATCTTGCGTTTCGTGAGACAACGAACGGGGCTGGTAGCACACACAAGCAACAGAAGCAACAGAAGCAACAGGATGGTTATGCTCGTTATGTACCTTGGTGATCGTCCAATATTGCTCTCTGCAGTTCCAGGGACAATCCGTTCAAAAACTAGTGCGAACGTTTGTCTAATTCTTGGTAACGAAATGATTATTACGAAAGACAGCGCCCGCGACACATTGCAATGCCAATGGCCGTGCGTCGCTGTTCTTTGTCGAAGATGCAAAAGGATACTGACGAGCAACATCGCTTACAGCCGCTTTAAAATCTTTGTAGTTTGATAATGTTTCCAATCAGCGAGTAGATCTTCGAGCTGTAGAGGTATTTACCTCCGACCTCTTCGAGCCAACAAGATCAGGACGATTGGTTCACACAGTGGGGAACTGCCAGTGTTAAACTGGACAAAGCAGCACCAACCCGTAAAGGTAAGTTCTGAATGATTCCGCCATTCATGCTTCAAAGATTCTGTAATACCGATGTTTTTTATTTTTTTAGCGCTGCAAGCAAACGATTAGCTCAAAAAGTATATCGCTGCCTGTTTCGCTGAGACGTCAAGCAACCACCCAAATCGAGCACGCTCAGTGGATCGAGCAGACAGAGTAGCTAATCTGAATCGTCGAATATTTCCTTTCGAGGCCTACGGCTCCCTAATGCTAAATAAATTTAGAATAACCAAATCAGCCGTGCGACATACCCATTACGCCGACGAAAGAGAAAAACGAGTACTCTAAGCTTGCTAATCCAATTTGACGCACTGCCCATATTGCATTTGATCCCAAAAAAAGAAAGCGAAAGCTGCGATGAACAGGGCGGTGAAAAAGTACGGCTGCATTCTCCATAATGGATATCCATTTGCAGCTTAACGTCTATTCATTTACAGTTACATAGAATACGCAAAACCATGAACAAAATGCATATAAAGCTGCCGTATCAAGAACTGAAGTCAAATCCCGAGGAAACATTAATAACAAGCAAGAAAATAGCCCTTATTTCAACACCCGCCGCCTAGATATGGAAGGTGATTATATCAACAGCCAATCAGACCGCTGAAATGTGACCAGAATCGTCACAAAAGCGCAGTCACATACTTTCGTGTCATATAGCAAGTTCTGATTTTTCCTAAAAAAGCTCGCTTAGCTCAGTCGAAAATGTATATGTTTATTGAGGGGTATGGCCTTAATGATTATGAAATCGATATCGGCTACCCTATGGGACAATTAAGAAATAAAACGAAAAAAACATCTATAGATCACAAAAAGATGGAAGAAAAAAAGTAGGGTGAGAGAGTAGAGGAACACAGGCTACTAAGCTACCTTTCACTACATGGTCCCCTCCGCAACGTGCTTAGATGGTGTCGCAGTGGGAGGAAGATGCCAGAGGCAGTTCCAGGCGCGATTCGCGAGAGGCAGTAGGAGGCGAGAGGTCTATCCAGACTTGGCCGGGGGTAGGATCACTTGTGTAATCTCCGTCAGGGTTACAGAGCTGGTCAAAGTGCCAGAGGATGGTGCAAAGGTCTGACCAATAAGTTGGTGCCGAGGCGGAACGTGAGAGAGGCAGTTGATTCAAAACGTAATCAATGCGAACGCCAGGAAAATTTGGAACACAGGATGGAAGGGAGAACCAAAGTTGGGAAGGGACAACAGGGCACTCCATGAGATGGGAACGGGTGGTAGTACTGAAGCCACAGCGACAAGGACGAGGTTTCCCCGGTAGCCAGCCCATACGCCATCGCACTAAGCGGCTACGATCAGCTCGCGAAGCAGGGACGTAGAGTATTGGATCCACTATCAGGGTAGGGCGGCAGGCTCGAATTAGAACTCTTTGGGTACTGGCCAGGAAAGCAGTGAAGTGACGTTGCCGATAATTGCGTAGCCATGTGGTAAGGCGTGAGGAAGACATCTGTTCAGCAGGATGATCGACCACAATTGGACGTTCTTGGAGGCGTGACAGCAGTGACAAACGCACAGACGAAGAAACAAGAGGCATGAGGCAATCATCGGGCAGGTAGCTCATCCGCAGGCAGAATTTCAGGACCAAGGTATCAGCGCGGAATGACATGCTCGGGAGGTTGCAGATGTGAACCAGCACTTGAGTAGAAGCACTCTTATGGCCGCCCACTATCATTCGAAGGCATCGGTCTTGGACACGTGCAAGCTCTTTATAATCTTTTTGGAGTAAGTGGGCGATAGCAAGCCCATATTCCAGTTTGGGCCGGATGAAAGTTGCGTAGATTCGTGCTGAAAACAAAAGTGGGAAGCCATTGCGATTGAGACCCATAGCGTTAAGCTGGGACATGGCCAAAAAAGTGCTGCGTGCTCGATGTCGGATCAAAGCAGAAGTGGCGAGACCTTTGGAGTTGAACGGAATCCCAAGATATATAAATTCATCCACTGCAGGGAGCATATCACCATACAGGGAGAGATGGACAAAGCTACGAGAAGTGGGTACAGGTGCATTCAGGATGGCACATTTTGGCGGACTCCATTTATAGCCCAGGACATGAGCATGAGTTTCAGCAAGAGTGAGCATGTGTTGTACCTCGCGAGCCGAGCCAACCAAGGCGATGTCGTCCGCATACAACAGGCAGTTGATGGGAGTCGGTGAGGCAATGGGGTCACTGTCAGATGGGATGGGTCCAAACGGCAAGCCGTTGGGCGCAGAAGCATCATAGAGAGGTGGTCGCGATGGTGAAATGGAGGGCACTGTGGTGGTCGAAAGAGAGGCGGCAGAGCGCAAAAGAGCAGGCAGAGTGTTAATATATAAAGAATAGAGAAATGGACTGAGGACGGAGCCTTGTAGCACACCAGTAGATGGGGTGAAAGGCGTGGAGGCATGGTTTTGCAAAAGAACTGTGACGGAGACATCATCAAACATGTGCGCTAGAAGCGAGACGAGTACAAGAGGCGTGGAAGAGGCAAGGAGGGTCTGCCAGACAATTCGACGGTCAACAGTATCGTAAGCGGCCTTGATGTCCAAGAAAGCAACAACAGGGTAGTGGTTGTGACGATCTCGGTAGGCGCGCATCAAGTCGTGCAAGCAGAGGGCTTGATCCAGGGCACTACGTTGATGTCGAAAACCGCCTTGTGCGACGTCCAGGGATGGGGCTGTGATTTCCAATGCTGGTAAGAGAATCATCTCGAAAAGTTTGCGTACAATCGAGGTCAGAGAAATTGGACGAAAGTGGGCAGGGTCGTTGGGGGCACCTTGTTTGTGGATAGGAACTACCTGAGCATGACGCCACACTGTGGGAGTATAGGACCATTGGGTACAAATGGTAAACAGGTGGGCAAGCAAGGGGGCAAGAGAGTCTGCGATCGGGAGTAACATTTCGGCACGTAAGTCATCGGGACCTGGGGCTTTTCGTTGTGATAGGCGTTTCAAGGTGGCAATAATGTTCTCTTTGGTAAACGTGTGCGAGAGAGAGGTAGAGGCGATGTCGAAGGGAAGCGATTGGCTGGTGGCAGACAGTGGAGGAGGTCGGGCAATTGGCAGATGCTGGCCAGAGTAGACGTTCGCCATATGGTTGCGGAGGACTTGGGCACCAACCGCAGGGCCATCGGGATGTGTAAATCGCACCTGTTGGTTACGGCGGTTTCGGATACTTTTGACGGTCGCAGTTGCACGAGAGAAATCGCCGCGGGCCAATTTATCACAGAATGCACGCCAAGCCTGACGCTTAGCATAACGCACAGCACATCGGAAACGGGCAGCAGCATGTTGGAGGCGATCCCACCAGGGGACTTTGTCAAGCCCAATGGCTCGATGCCATCGACGGTAGCAACGTTCACGTTCGTCAGCAAGAGCCTGTAGCTCTGCATTCCAAAACGATTTCCAGGAAGGAGGCCGAGGGGCACGCCGGCACACCGATTTGTCCAATGCAGTATAGATAAGATCGTTAAGATCGTGGTTCAGCTGGTCAATCGGGGGTCGGGTAGGAGGCGGATCATGGGAAAGGTCCCGGAGTTGGGTAGAGAGAGGTGCCGACAGGCAGCGAAAAGTATCAATGTACAGCTTGTGTACGTCCGTTTCGTTCAAGCGCGAGAGGTTCCAGAGACGGCGACTTGATGAAGAAGGAGGGATCGTGTTGACCGAGGCATTGGGGTCACGGTACGGGAAGGATAAGGCCATCAGCTTGTGATCGGAGCCAAGATGCAAAGCAGAATAGATGTGGAGCGATGAAGACGAAAGGTGAGGCATATTTGTAATGAAATAATCAACGATGCTGCTATGGAGCTGGTCGTTCCGGTAGTTGAGGAAGGTAGGAATGCCGTATGCCAAAGAGATGTTGAGGATTTGAAGGTTGCGTTCTTCCACCCAGTCTTGGAGGAGGGGTCCGCGGGTATTTGAACGATGGTCACCAGTGAGGGGGCCCAGGCGAGCATTTAAATCGCCACAAATAATAGTGTCTTGGGTCAGTGGGATAGCGTTCAAGGTAGCAAGGACTTCATCAGAGGACAGAGAGGGCGGCAGATACAGGCAAATAATGCGTAACGAGGTACCGATCTGTAGCCCGAGGGCATGTGGAGACGGTATGGGAAATTGCAGAATGTGGAAAGGAAAGCTGGGGGAAACAAGAGCAGAAATACCATGGGAACCACGGAAATTACCCGCAACAGGGCTACCATATAAATGGTACTGGGACCAAGAAGTACGGAGTCGAGCTGGAGAGATTAACCAAGTTTCGGTGATAAAAAGTAGAGAAAAGGACTGGCAGTGTTGGAGGATGTCATCGACTAAGGAGGCTTGGAGACCATTGGCATTCCATAAGCCGATGCGAAAGGGGGTGGTGGAAACAGGTGGGGTTGGAGATGGGAGCGTTAGGAGATGAGTGGCAAGCGAGGTTGACGAAGAAGGAGTGAATGTGTTGTGTTGATTAATCATTTTTTTTTAAAGCTTGCCATTGCTGGCAGGTGCGCGTTCATGTTTGGCGTCGGCCATATCAGTATCAGGATCAGTGTCGTCTTTCTCGGTAGTATCAGTGTTGGTAGGGGGCACAGGAGCACCACGACAGCGACTCAGAAGACGAGAGACATCATCAGTATCGAAAATGTTGGCTTCCAGGAAAGAGCGGGCAATGGGGGAGGCAAGGTGATATGGAAGACGGAGCACTGCTTTTTCGCATCGTGCAGAATGGAGAGACTCAGCAAACGCTTGTTGATCTGCGAGGGACATCTGCTTGACTTCAGGATCAGCCATGTGGATGGGGTCACAGGGATCAAAGTCGTGGATCACCAGGATATTATGCTGACCGAGGGTCTCCTCTACGAGCGCACGGTATTGCACATGGATCAGGAGGCCGACAACAGAACGAACGGGGAAAGTGATGTCAAGCACACGGTATGGATCAACGCCCAGACGGCGAAGACGGGTACGGGTTTCGTGGCGGGTAAGGCGGCGAGATCGAGGAATATACAAGTACTGGAAGCCACTTGGGCCGTCGGTAATCTGAAAGGTGCGAGCATCTGAAGCCCGAGTTTTGGGCTTAGGTTTAGGTCGGACAGGACGGTACTTTTTGGTGACTGTAGCCCACTGCGAGGCGTCAGAACCCATGGGTGCAGAAGGGGTTGAAGTTGGGCGGGTTGCAGTCTCAGTATTAGGGGCAGAAGTGGATACAGTAGGCTTGGAGTAGAAAGTGGAAACGCTAGCGGTAGCGGCAGCAAGTTGGGCTTTCAACTGGGCATTTTCATTACGGAGTTGCTGATTTTCTTCGAGTAGGTGGCGGATCTGGTCGAGTTCAGTACGGTGCGTAGTGACTTGCGCAGTCAGGTAATTAATTTGGGCCTGCATGGCCGCAAATTGGTCAGGGGAAGTTGTGGACATCGGATGGAGATGCGTCGTCGGCGAGCGAAATTCAAAATTTGAGTCCGGTCCGGACACAGAAGGCGATGCGAGTTTCGAAGCGGTTGCCGGAAAACGAGATTCGGCGATGGAACTGGCTGAAATTAACGTTGTGTTTCTTTGATACACTTTTCTTGAATTGGAGATATCTCAGAGAAGAACGATGGTAACGATTTCAAACTTCAGAAATAGGTCGGTAGGGGGTGGATGCACGATATGGCAAAGGATGTATGATGGATGGAAGGGATTTAAGTGTGGGTGGAACAGGTGTAATTCCGGCTAAAAGTTTCCCCGCTATAAAAACGAGAAAAAAGTGATGAAGAGCGGAAAAAGGGTGCTCGCTTAGCTCAGTTGGTTAGAGCGTGGTGCTAATAACGCCAAGGTCACAGGTTCGACCCCTGTAGTGAGCAATTTTTTTGCTCCTTTTTTTCTTCTGACTTTTTTTTGTATTTCGAAATTCTATTTTTTATTCATTGGCTTCATAGCTTGGAGCTTGCCGTAAGAGAAATAAAGTAAAAGTTTTTTTTTTATTTAAAGGGTGTGTGAACACACGTCCGTTGCGGGGCTATTGCTCGCCTGGGAATCGATGGGAAATAGTGCTACTGTAACAAAACACTTGGGAAAAACAAGGGGAAAATGCTCATGAAGCGTAGGGCAGCAGTTTTTTTATTAAAAGGGTGAATGAACACATGCTGTTGCGGACTATTGCTCGCCTGAGATCTATGTGAAAAGAGCTCAATTAAATAAAATATAATATAATAAAAAAGCGTGGGGTGGAAGATACACATGCAAAAAGAATTGATTTTATTGTTTTCTTTTGTTACGAGATTTATGTTTTGTCTGCGTCCAGGCTTACTTCACCCTTTCCGAGTCTCTGCTTATTATTATTTCCTTGCTTGGAGTCGGTGGGGAGAGTCTAATTGGTTGGCATCGAAACCAACAGCGATACCGGCGCACCTTGTATCCAAGTAAGATTTGTGGCATATATACTTCATGCAACGAGGAAGATCGGAGAATACTCAAAACACGAATGCGTCTGAAGATACACCTGGGAAGAGGATAAGGGACAATGAGGTAAAGTAAAAGCATGCATCACAAATAAAATGAAACACACAGAATACAGAAAATTAGGGAAGTGCCATCTGTCATGAACCTATTGAAACAGGTTTCTTTCAGCCAGGCGCAACCGACCATAATATACGTCTGCTGCGCGAGATTAGTCTACATGATTATACAGCAGTCGAATACATATTCAAATAGTAACCGTCGCTCTATAAGCCATGATAGAGTAATAAGATGTGGAGGAGATGGCAGTCGGCTTAGAGGTCGCGAATATCCGGTGTATTGTTCTCTTTTGGGGCAGAATATTTAGAATTCCTGGTAATAGCGCAGGGTTCCCTGGCGTATTTATGAATTTCGATGTAAGATAATAGCGCATTATGAGCGTTATTGAGAACTTGGTAATACTGATGCGATATTTCAACTCTAAAAGTGCTTGCTGTCACAAGCTTATGTAGAAAGCGTCCAGGAAGCTCTTTCAGGTCATAACATTTTTAAACAACCTGTAGGGCGCGTGATCAGGTGATATTGTTGGCAATAAATGATTTTCAATGTTTATTACAGAACAGTAAGATTGCTTATTTAGATACGTCTGGCGATCAAAACGGAGTTGACGATATCATTATGCGGATGCAACTCGATCAGAGGCTCGAGACCACAGATACTGAGCTGGGAAGCTTCGATACTTGGGTACAATATTTTTCGAAGCGAGTGCGCACTGCGAACCAGCACTACAGCACCTGACTTCATTTGAGAGACAACATGACATAGGAAACTCGTCTTTTCGGTACCGTCATTACCCACCAGCGCTCCCAATACAATCACATCCGCTTCGCTGTACCCCAGATAGCTGTCGGCCTCTTGCTCAAAGTACCTGAGCTTGTCCTGCAGACCCAGTGCATCGGACAGTTGCGACGATATCACGATGGCTTCCTTACTTTTATCAATATTGTCGATCCGTTTAATGTCATCCGACTGAAGCGCCATCAGGAAACTCGACATTGGCAATGGTCCGCTCCCCACAAAAGTAATATGACTCAGCCTTGCACCCACGCCCTTCAGCGCATTTAGCTCCAGCCGTGTCAATCCCTGGTAATTGTCATAATACACGAAACTCGACAAAATGTCTTGTACGACGCTGCCGTGGTCAGTTTCGGTGCCTTGCTTTATATTGCATAGCTGGCGGTCATGACGCGCAAGGTATACTAGTTCTTCAGCCCAGTGTCGTTCGAGCAGGTATTCGCCCTCGGAACACAGTCGTCGCAATGAGGGCATGATCCCCTGGATCGTAGGATGACGAAGTACGGCAGTGACGGTACTGTGATCATGCACTGTGATACACATCTGGACAAGCTTGGTGAAAATAAGATTCACATGAGGACCAGGTTCAAGAGACGCAGCAGCCACTAGGTGCTGGTGAATGTGCTCGATTTCGGCCACCAATGTCTGGGTACGGGAGAGTTCCTTGGGAAGGACGTGGTGGCAGGGACGGATTCCGTTTTCTTCAGGTAGCAAATGATGGATCATGGTTGATATCAGTCAATAATGTATGGAATATCAAACGGAAATTTACGAATACAGAAAAAAAAAAAAAACACCACAAAAACAAAAGAAACCAATGAGAGGGGGAGAAGAGGACAGAGTAATGTAAGAAACTGAGATGGCATAAGAAGTTGAAGGCAATACTTTTTATATCCGAATTTTTTTCTTTTGTAATATAAAAAACCAGGGCAGGGACGGTTTCTAAAATGGAATATCCGTCAATGGTGGCCTGGGCGTCTGTATCCGAAAGGTCTAGGATCCGTGAGTGCACCCTGTATAACTCACCTGAGCTTGTTCATTTTAAGCGCCTTATCAATCTCATGATCGCAGACCATGTCTGTGATAATTGTACCACATGAGACATAAGAGTAAGCTCGATTTGATCAGAAGATGATCTCTCTTTATATAAAATAACTTAGGGAGTACTTTATTCTATCCACGACCCGTGCGCACAGGTACGACATCACATGATTAAAGGAGATCTTTGAGTTTTCCTCTTTATTTTATCTAGAAGGAAATAGATTTGATCAAATGCAAATAGTCCAAAAGTCTAGAGGACGAATCATCAAACACAGGAAGGGTATCACAATACAGAATTTCGACCGCGCAGGGAGAGGACGAGGTAGTTATCAGCGATCATCAGTCTGTTCCTCAATCCTTTTTTTTTTCTCTCTCTCTTTTTTTTTAAGCGTTTTTGCTGTTTCTTTTTTGGGGGAGGTGGGAATCTTTGGGCTTGGTAGTTTTTCCTTGGTGCTTTGCGGGGTTGGCCGTCATCGATTCCGGTCACTGGATATCACATTATGAAACGGGCTTGTTATGGGGGTCATTATAATTTGGATTGAAAGGTACTATACTCTTTCGGTCTCGTTCGCGTCGTTCACGGAAACTACGGGTACTTTGTTTCTTTCGAATTCCTTGCAACGACATTGCATATTCTTCACTAAGACTTGTAGATTCCGATTGTTTGCGCAACGTTCCGAGACTCCGCCGTCGCCACTCATGATCCGGTTCCAGCCCGGCCGATTGTGCTGCTAAGTTACTCGTCGACGCTGAACGATTGATGCCTCGCCATACAGTAGATTCATCCCCGCATACAACGTCGTCGTCAATGGTGACATGTTTGATAGGTAGTAAATCGCCCTGATCCGCTCCTTCAAATGCAGGCTTCACCCAATCGGGGGGTTCACCCACCGTCATATTGATAGGATCCTTGAAACCTTCGTATTTTTCAAAGATGGTAAAATCAAAAGGCTTAAAGTTGTCTGCCATGTAGTTCATTTCACGCTCTATTTTTTCGTTTTGCCCTGGTTTATCTTTGTTCCACATCGTGCCCGGTTGTTTCGAGTGGGTGCATCGGTTATCGAGTAACAGGTCCTCGATATCATACGTAAGATCGAAGTTGTTTTGATCGGATGGAGGTTGAAAACCAGGTACCAGCGCTTTTAGTTCCAAGAGTTGCCAATCAATCGATCTGAAAAAAGGATGCCGAATCAAAGCGGTCCAGCCTGCATGACCCTGACCTAGTCGCTTGGCAGGATTCATCTCTAGAAACTATACCAAAAAAAATAAGGAAATCAATCTTGCGAGACCGAAAACACTGCTGTGTCAGTGGGTGGTGCCATCCTTTTGCTTACTCCTTGAATAGCTGCTAAACATTCTCCGGAAACATGACGCCCAGGGATTGTGGGGTATTGGATGTGCCCTCTTCGAATGGCCGATCGTAATTCCTCGGTCGTTTCATGATCAAAGGGGCGCTATATAGCACCGATTAACATACACATACTAGTCTAGCCTTGACAAACGAACATACCTTTCCATAAATGCATTCATACAATGTCACACCTAAAGCCCACCAGTCCACTGCTTCATTGTACCCTCCGCCCTTGAACATTTCCGGGGCTAATACATTATAGATAATTAATACATCACCAGCTTCAAGTTCTATCTGACGGTGGAATTTCTTTTTCTTACCCATATAGTAAGCCGTGCCAGAGTTAGAAGTTAATAAGCGGTGTGAATGTAGATGGGTTGCAATATTAAAATCAGCGAGATGAACGTGACCCTTGTCATCCATCAGAATGTTATGAGGTTTGATATCTCTATAACAACCAGTAAGCTCCTTATTTCACATTTTCACATCTGGAAATGTTTTTCTTTCTCAGAGAAAAAGGTAATCAAATCGCATTACCTGTGAACGACTCGGTTGAAGTGCAGATATTTGATAGCGGAAGCTAGTTCGGCAAACCATAACCTGAGGACATCCTCGGAGAAACTTGTGCGTGATATGTGATAATGCAGGTCTCCTCCTAACCTAAGAAAGGAAAATGAATGCCATCCTCTTGTCATTTCTGGTATTGCATTTTTTTTTTTTACAAACATTAAATCGGAGACCATGTATAAGGACTCGCTATCTTGAAAAGCAAACCGCAATCGGCATAGAAAAGGATGATCAAGCTGCTCGAGAATAGTACGTTCTTTGATGACATTTCGTACCGCATCCATGTGAATACATTCTAGCTTGCTGATATATTTTAATGCGTATAATTTGCGCGTTTCACGGTGCTCGACGATCCGCACCTATTGTCCTGTCCCTGATTAAAGTTAAGCATTCACCAGTCGAATTATATTCATAATGTTACCTTGCCAAAGGTGCCGCGACCAACAATGCGCATCAACTTGAAATGCTGAAGTTGCACATCTACGCTTTCTTGGTTATCATCTGGACGTGCAGAAGTACGTCGAAAAGAGATGATCTACCTTGTTGTTGTTGGTCATCAGTGCCTGCTGCAGCGCCACCAAGCACCGTTGCCAATAAACCAGATATGAACCGAATCTTGGAGAACAGAGAGAAGCTTGCAGACTCGCTCGAGGATTCAAGAAAAGATAAGTTTGCGTTTGCTCGCCTTTTTAACCCCCTTTAAAAAAAGAGCTGTAATCCGGTAAAGCACCCAAGCGGCCTTGATCAGGAAATTCATTCTCCGCATCAGCGCTTTTCTTTCGGAAACCTTACCCTGCTCTTCCTTGTGTCAGCCACCAAATTGAAGTAAAAAAAAAAGGCACGAAGCCCAGAACTCATTGTCTACATTTTTTGTTCACTGCCATGAATTCTTTGACTCGTTTCGGCCGTACCTTTGGTGCTTTCCAACTTACTAGTTACCGCACGCTTGCTCGCGCGACTATTCCCACAGCAAGAAGATGCCTCGCCACCAAAGCAAATGATGACTCGACCAACAAGAAAGAACAACAAGTCGATGAATGGAAACCACTGCGTGATCCTCCCACCGTTTTGGGTCTTCGCGATCCACCTGTAGCTGACAGAAGCAGTTGGCTCCAACGAAAAACACAGAAAATTAAAAACTTTACGGATTACGAGAAAGCATTTGCAGCTCACGCTGCAGAACGTCGTCATTTGTAAGCTTTATTCACAATCTGCATAATGGTTTGATTGGTCATGCTCACTTTTGGATTTTACCAGGGTTGAAGAAGCGACCAAATCCTACTTTGCTGATGTACACGGTAAGTGGAAAAAAAAATTCTAGCTTGCTACGAGTATTAACCATTCATACTCGTTGATAGAGATGCGAAAAACTCAGGGCAAAATGTATTATGCATCCAATAAGCTCACCAGTGCTGAAGTAAGTGTATATTATTGCCATGATAAACAAATACAGTCCATTGAATGATGATTATCCCTGTAGAAAGCAGGCTATATGCCTGATTATGAAGGATTCAATGTCTCAAAGGACACCGTCCACACAACCGATCTTTTGCTGGGCAAAGTATCGCTGATGACATTTGTTTATGCCAAATTTGGCGAGGTAGGTCTTTGGCACTGTGAAAGATCATCCTTCTTTTTTTTTTAATACTCATATTGTTATTTTCTAGGCTCATGTGAATTCCTTTATTAATCCTTTCTTGCAAAAATTTGGAAATACCGAGGGTGTACAGGTGGTCGAGGTAGGATACCAAAAGAAGAGACAATGACTGAAAGCGGATTCTTATTCTCGGTGCTTTTTGATAGTTGAATGTGCAAGAGAATTTCTTGAAACAGCTGTTACTGCGAGCGTTTGTACCCAGTATTCGTCGTAATCTTCCCGACGCCCGCAAACCAAATTACGTGTTTCTGATGAAAGACATCAGCCGATCACGTAAAATGCTGGATATGACCAACCAATACATCGGCTACGTGTTTCTAGTGGATGAAAATTGCAAAATTCGATGGACGGCTCACGGCAATGCGTCGGCTGAAGAAGTAGCCAATATGCTTGCCATGACAGAGTATTTGAACAATAAGCGGATAAAGGCGGAAAAAGAGACTCAGTAATGAGAGATATTCTATAGGATTCGCTGAGACGTATTTACAAATATAGACCATTAGCATATATAAAAAACTCATCAAGCCCGTTGCTTCTTTTGCAATTCATCGATTTTTGACACCAGTTCAACAATCTGATTGCGGTACATGTCTTTCACGTCCGCAATGTCCGCTTGCAGCTCCTCGACCTGTTCTGTACGCTCACCCAGCAATTCTAATGCTGCTTGATAGCTAGAAAAAAAAAACTGGCATCAGAAAAACCGCCATCCAGTATTTTCAATTCTTGCAGCCCTACCGTTCGTTCAGCACATGATGTTCTTTGACAGCATCCTCCGCTTTCTTCCATTCTTTCCGCCTAAAGCATTATTTTTTCAATGTTGGCTTGTCATGGGATACCAATGGTGTATAAGTATTGCTTACAGTTTCTCCATTTCCAAGGTCATCTGCAACACTTCTTCCGCCAACTCATCTAAAATCATCGTCAACAACACTACTCGTTACTGCATCGGTTGGATTATCACAGCATTACCTCGCGATTGTGTCAAGCTATCAAATTGGGTATTACGGAATTCCAATTGATTCTCCAACTGTCGAATGGAGGCTTCGTATCGGTCAATCACAACTCTGGGATGACGAGAACTGGTATAGGCGCCTGATCGACTACTGGTATCATCAATACTTGATCGAGGACTTGAGTTGACATAGGAGACCTGAATGAAACGGTATTTTGGTGAGTGTGATATGTACGCCATACCATAAATCAACTACGTACGTCTTGTCCATTCACGTAAGGAAGATGGGCCAGCCAGTTCCGTTTTTCATAGTCGGTGAGCGATTTTTCATCGGATGGTGCTGGAGAAGGCGATGAGGACTCTGAATTTGCTCGTTCTTCATTCAGTTTCTGCTGCCATTTCTTTGCTTCCGCTTCGACTGCTTCCTGCATCTGCGCCTCGTAATAGTTCTTCCAGTATTCAGCATCTTTACCAACGTCTGTGGAACGTGATTCGGCATGCTCTTCCATATCTGCCAAGCGAGATTCAAGCATCGATTTGGCGAGCTGCTGTTCTTCCAACTGTGCTGCTATTGTTGCTTTTACCTGCCTTTCTGCCATGAGCTCCGTCTCACATTTGCCGAGGCGTTCACTCTAACATGGTATCATCAGCGGTTTGCACGCAGGCAAAATTTATTAAAGCAAAATATCATACCATGGATGCATGTTCAGCACGCAGCGTTTCCAGCGTCTTGTTGACTTTATCACGTTCCTGTTCTGCTTCTTGCAATCGAAGGATCAAACTATTGTACAGAGAATAGTCAGAAAGAGAATATATTATAGGGCTAACGCCGACGATACCTTTGTTCTGTCTGATCTCGACTCTTTACAGTCAATGAATGCTGAGTTTGTAATTGCTCGATCTGTCGCAATAAAGGTGCTGTGGCTTCTTCAACATCTGTACTAATATCATTGACGTGGTTCTCAGCAAGCTGAAGCCGTTGTTGCAATTCCTAAAAGAGAGACGCTTTCAATTAGGACCATTAATCTCGTCAGAAATGGGCGCTCGCATAAGCGTTTGGGACATGTACTGCTATCTCGGAGCGCAAATTATCCTCTCGACTACCAGATTGCTCTTCGGCTCTCTGGAGCGCGATTTGCAATTCGCGAACCTAGGTCAAATAATTTTCGTATGAGTATGACAATTAAGATAACAATAGAGAAAATTGAGTGGCAGACCTCTTTTCGTAGGCGAGATTCCATGGCTTCCGCGTCGCTTTTCACCTTGGACATTTCTTTATGCAGCCTATCGTTGGCTTTGATTTCTTTTTCCAACGCCGCTGCGTGAGCTTCTTCTGATTCACGCTTCGCTTTGCTCTTGTCTTCTTCCAGGCCTTCCAATGTCGAATCAAGCTTAGCCTATCGACAAATACATTCATTTAAAGGTGCGCATTTCAGAAACTTTTCAGACTGTTGCAAACGAAGATGACCAATAATACCTGTAACTGTGTATACCGATCTTTGGCGGCCAAAGCTTCTGTTTCCAGTTTATTGATATGCCTTGTCTGCTCCTCTGTCAGTGTGGAAAGCGTAGATACAGATTCTATTGACAGAAACTTGTGTAAAGCCGCTGCATCCTCGTACACAGGGATTACGCGCATTTGTTGGGAAAGAAAACTAATACATACCTTGAAGCCGCTTTTCTCCTTCACTTAATTTCATGTACTTTGCATTGGCATCTACCAGATCTGCGCTTGTCTTGTCAATCTTTTTCTGCATCTCGGTTATGGTCTTTTCTTGATCATTTTTTTCGGCTCGAAGTTTCTTGATGGTATTAGAATGCTTTAGTTCATTCTTCGACAGCTTTTCACCTGTGATACAACGTGAATAACACATTCCTTGCCAAGTATGTATGAAACGTTACCCTCATTCATTAAACCCTGAATTTGCTCGTCCTTGGTAGAAATTTGGCGCTTCAGATCGTTGATAGTATTTTCGAGCTTTTTCATCTGATAATTGGATGGTCCAGAAGATTTACCGCTGGACTCTTGTGCTTTCAGTAAAAGCTTTTCGATTTCCTTGATTTCGCTTTCATGCTCCTTCTGTGTTTGATGCATCTGATCATGAAGCTTGGCAATTGTTTCCATAGCTTGCAGTAATTGCTTTTCTCTTTGCTCCAAGATGCGATCAAGATCTCGAGACGTTTCGGTACCTGCTTCTACTTGTAAATTTGGGCCACCTTCCGTTGTTTCTTTATCAACGCCGTCTTCTGTTGCTTCTGTATTAAGGTCGTCTTTGCTCGTTTCTGCATCAGGATCCTCTTTTGTCATTTCTTTTTTAAGATCGCCCTTCTTCGTTTCGTTATTATGGTCGCTTTCTTTTGCATCTGTATTAAGACTGGCTTTTGCTGTTTCTGTTGTAACACCACCTTCTGCCGTTTCTGAAAATGGCAGTGCGTTGTTTAATGCTGCAGTAACTTGTTCCTCCGATACGTTATTGGGTGCATTATCCGCGAAATTTTCAATGGGTATCGCTTCATCGTTCAGCGGCTTTTCATGTGGCTGCTCAGCGTTACTAGGTGCAGGCGATGCCGATGGTTGTTTGGGACTTTCAGCAACATGGTCGTCCTGAGAAACACTGGTCAAAGGTACGGCGGGTGAATCATTTTTGGTGTCTGAACTGGTGGAAATAATGGACGAAGGTCGTGATGATGTCGATCGTCGGGCACCGGCTTTGTCAGCCATTACTGCCGCAAGACGTGCAGATAAATCGCTACTTTGACGTGGTATATGGGTGGGTGATGCAGGCGATGGTGTGCTTGTCGAAGCAGGGGTTATATTTTTAGGAACTTTCTTCTGTCGTTGAACAATAGTGACATCGCCCGTAATAGGGTCGACGTACGTTTCCACTTCGGCATTGGCATCTAATATATTGATGTAAGCGGAGCAAAGAACGCTGGCAATAGTGACAAGTGCATATAGGTACCATTGGCAGCTCCACGATTTTGCGAGCTTTGTGCGTTTTGAGAATTCTGTTCCAGCAGAGTGTCAAATGTCGTTTCAACATTCGATATAGCCTGTTTTAACAGACCGCCCCAACGTGTAGTTTCGTTGGACGCGAAGAATCCGCTCATGAAAGTTATTAAGGCTGGGAGAGTTACAGCCAAAAGTTTGGTTTTGCAAAACGGAGATTGCCGTCTGAGCCAAAAATAAAAAAAATTCCCAAATTTCACACTTTTTTTTTTTTTTTTTTTTTTTTTTTGCCTTTTAACAGCAACACTTGTTAGATCTATTGTTTCCAGTCACTGAATGTATAACTCCATTATACTTCGGACATGTCACAGAATAACAGTTACGTCTTGTCGACATCCGACGAAACTTGGCTTCTTTAAACCGAGATCAGCTTGGTTTAAGCCTTGTCGTTGGGTGCATGACATGCCCACAGCGTCTCGACGACCAGTATCTCTACCAGCCAAAGTCACCTCTCTTAAACTACGATGTAATTCAGTAATTAAGCACTTGCTAGTGCTGATTAGCACAGCCAGTGACATGACACTAACGTTACTGCATGGAATAGGTACCGAATTCGACGAAGGCGGTGCTATCAATACGACTGCGGGCGAATTTCTAAAATCGGATTTCTGTCAGACCCACTCTATATTACCTCGGGATTTACGAACGCTTGATACCTATTCTTACTATCAGAAGCCTTCCATTCTTGTACGTTCGAACGCTATCCTAGTTAATATGGCGCATATAAGAGCACTCTTGAAAAGCGACAAGGTGATTCTTTTCGACGCCTATGGATCGTCCGACAGTTACAACCAAAATCTGTTCATCTGCGATTTGCAAGAGCGACTCGCTTCGGCAAAAGAAGGACTGCCGTTTGAATTTCGGTAAAACCTCTTTTCCTCAAAATTTGTTATCCAGCAACCGGTCACTGAACCGATGCCATTTTTCACTTAGGGCTCTGGAAGCGATTCTGATCAGCGTATCGTCGTCCTTACAATCCGAATTTGAAGTGTTGGAAGGACCTGTCAACAAACTGCTCAGCGATTTGGAAGATCTGGCTGATATCGAGGAATCGGTGAATGGCGATCGTTTGCGAGATTTATTACAGTATTCCAAAAAACTGTCAAAGTTCGAGCAAGATGCGCTTTCCATCCGCGATGCGATTGATGAAATACTGGAGCATGGTAAGCAATTCATCTGTTTATCGGATAATAATACATGGTAGTACAAGGTGTCTAAAGATCATGCTTGAATGACAGACGAGGATCTGGCGGCCATGTATTTGACTGCAAAAAAGGCAGGCAAATCCCGGGCACCATCCGATCATGAGGAAGTCGAGTTGTTGTTGGAGGCCTACTTTAAACAAACGGAAGAAATTGCCGCAAAAGCGTCCGCTTTAAGGTCACACATGCGTGCCACCGAGGATATCGTACAGATTATTCTTGATGTTTCCCGAAATTCTTTAATGTGGTTCGATATCCGTCTCACGATTGTCACCTTATCCGCCACCATCGTCAGCGGTTACGGTGCCCTCTTCGGCATGAATCTCAAAAACTATTTCGAAACCGATCCGTTTGCGTTTGGCCTTGTGTCTGGGATTGCCGTAGTCTCTGGATTTGGTGCCTTTGCCGTTTCCTTGAGAAAGCTAAGGAAATTATCAAAATTCACAGGCTAAATGGCCTTCATGTAATCAACGATCTCATCTCTTTACATTATCATAAGTTGCATCCTTCACCAATAAGCCCCTTCCCCCGTTTCTCCATTTTTACACACAGCGCCTTTGTTTTTCTCTAAACCTCCAAATGATATCCCTCTCGCTTCGTTTTTCGATAGACATATACAGTCAAGAAGTTGTTTTTGTATTAGCAATTATATGAACATAGAGTAAAGCAGTAGCTTTTCTAAATAAATTGAACCTAGAGCAATAATTTTTGGATCTATGCACAAGTTATTTTAAATTAAATGGTAGCATTACGCACAACGAGCACGGGGCATGGGCATTCATGGATACATCGGTCAGACACGGAACCCAAAAAGACACTCTTGACAGCACCGAGACCGCGTGAGCCAACAATCAATAAATCAACCTTTGTGTTCTGAGTATAGCGAGGAATCAAGGTCTTTGGATCGCCCCACAAGATGTGCTCTTCGCTGGAAATATGCATTGTTCGCAAATGCGCCGACATCTCTTCCAAACGTTCGCGGGCTGTCTTGCTCGTGGGATGGTTATCGCTGATCTCTTCTATAGCTTCACCGACGTGAGTGGGAGTGGTGGACAACATAGGGAGGTCTTTCCTGTCGTGGGAATGTTCCTTTTTTAAACTGTGGCGGTCTTCTCGACTAACGGCAGACAAGAGGATAAGATGATCCCTTTCGGGATTGATGATATTCTTGATAGACCATTCAAACAGTTTACGAGCATCTTCACCGCCATCGTATGCAAGAGCAATACGACGCTTCTCAGTAATGGACACAGACATGGTCAAGGGTAATTTATAAAGGGAGAATTGGAAAGAATTTGGTAATGAAAAAAACCAGGTATAAATTGATGGCGCTTTTTTATATATTTTCATGTTTTCTTCATGCAATAGGATCCTTGATGTTTCACAGGTGAAACTTGGAACACCATTTCATTTGTGGGATGATCGAATCTTTCCACCCGGAGCGGGAAAAAAAGGACAAGGGAAGGAAAAAAAAGAAAAACGCTCACGATACTTTTTTTTTTTTTTTTTTTTTTTTGGTCAGAACTGACAAATTGTATTTACCTGACCGCATCATCGTCATGGTCCTTTTTGCAATGAAATCCATTCCTCTCAAAATGCTGCCGAGAATTTTCTGTAGACATCTCCGATCCATTTCTTCTTTTCCCTCATGGCACAAATACCCTTCAAATTTCAGTTATTTAAATTCGATGGCATCTGTCAAACCGTGGCCTTAACACTGTGTCCACTCATCGGGAAGATGGATGGCATTGAGCCAATTTGTTATTCTCGTAACGTGGAGTTCGCTGGGATGATTATCTTTCAACCTGGTAAAGCTTCAACCACTCGATCAACAAGATGATCATCATTTGACACAGAAACCATAGCAACTTTAATCATGAATCTGATTGCATTGTTTATGACGGGAGTCATGATATATCATGTAAAGACCAAATATACAGCCGTAGGTAAAAGTTTGATCCATCATCAATTCTCATCAACAATTCGGACGCCATCTCACCCAAAGGGAAGGCCGAAAAGAAATCACTCTTTTCTTTCAACTATATTTAGCCACTGTCGTCCTAGAGATGCTGTTGGTCTCGAGCATTATTCCGAGCGCATCCATTCTTTATCCCGTAAGTTTCGTCAGCATATATGAAGTTCAGGATAAAACCTTTTTCTAATTAACGGAAATTAAAAATAAGTTTTTTACAGCGATGCATTTAGGTCTGATCAGTACCACTTGGTGGTGCCTTGTTTTTAATGGGTTTGTGGGTTTTCAGTTCGCCGAAGATGGTACGCCTCTCAGCATATGGGTAAGCTAAATCACACCACCCAACGTCAACGTAAAATGAGCTCATATTGCAATGTTGTTGTTACACAGTCTATTCGCATAGCGTCGCTGATCGTGTTTCTGGTTGTAACCATCCTTGCTATGGCGACATTTCACAACGTGAGCCCCTTCAACTATACCAACCCAACCGCACTCTGGTCTATCTATTTTTTTGTCAACGGAAGCGGATTTATTATCTACACCTTATCGCAAATATTTCTGGTCGCTTTTACGTTGGATGATCGCTGGCCATTGGGTGACATTGCTTTCGGAACCTTATTTTTCGCGGTGGGTCAGGTGTTTATGTACATCTTTTCTGTCGGTCTGTGCGAACAAAGCAACCATTTAGTGGATGGGCTGTTCTTTGGAAGTATGTCGAATCTGCTCGCTGTCATGATGGTCTACAAATACTGGGACTCTATTACCAAGGAGGATCTTGAATTTTCTATTGATGCTAAGCAACAATATTGGCAGTTTCAAGCCCTACTGAAGGATGTCGGGGAAGACAAGCGAGGAACAGCTTACGATTCATTGTAAAAAAAAAAGACCCAAAACAAAGAAATAATGAAGACTACTCATTTATCTCTCTATTCATATGTCATACTAACATCAATCATCACTGTCATTGATCTTTAAATACACTAGAAATCTCGATATTTGTGTTGTTGGTTTTTTTAACGTGACATATTCGTCACAAGATTTGACTGAAACAGGACACGCGGGAGGGGGGTTCAGCTCCGACGTAGTGTTGATTGGAACCAATCAGCACGGCTACCATCCTTGGGAGTTGACGAGGTGACCGTGAAATCCTGGAACTGAGATTTTTTTTTATAGTCAGGGAACAGAGGCATGGCATGGCTCCTGTCATTTTCAGTTAGTAGCTCTCAAAAGGCGATCACTCCGTTATCTACAGGGCTGACTGATATTCTTAATCATTTATTCAAATAACAAACAGCTAAAAGCAAGCCTATCTCAAATAACTCTAACCAAATTTAAGTTTGTGTCAAGAAAAACATCTGCAAAAAAGCTTGGATTCGGAAAAAGTAATTTATGCTAGCATGATAGAGCACGAGCGCTGAGTTTGACCCCCTGATGCTAATGCAGAATATCTATCTCACATTACGATCCAAGAGAATGGCAATGTTTCCTTATGGCGGCCGTGAAAAGTTGATAATCTCTGTAGTGGCCAGATAAATAACCTTGGTACACTCATGGAGTATTCAGATAGTATCGATGTTCAGGGAGTATACAATTCTCAGGAAAGTGATACACCCGCCTGATGCAAAAAAAATGAATCTTGATACGCATGCCAAAAGCGCACAATGTACCCACCCATCTGTTACTTGTGTAACCTTTGTTGTGCCTTTTCGGCTTCAGACTCAAAAAAGTTTTTATTTTTTATTGTATCCTTAGTATACGAGTTCTGTGATTTTCTCCTTGAATCGACGCTTTTTAACAATTTCGTGGATGCCAGTTATTTTGCAGCGAATAGTCTCACAAAGCTGTGTTTTTCCAAATAGAAAAAAAAAAAACCCACGATGAAAGAAAAAGAAAGATTTATGCAGCTTGTTTCATCAGCTCATATTACATGCGTCTTCGAACAGCAGGACCTGGCACTTGAATAGTTGGATATTTTTCCCCTTTTCTTGGCTCCATTCTTTTCTGATCTTTTTCTCTCAGGTGCATATATCATTTGTTTTCTTATGCAGACAGTTTTGTGATACGTTCCAAGGAGATCTAACCTTCGCTCGATGGTAACTGTATCACCCCTAAAAGAGCGCATGAAGATGAAACATACGAGCTTCTCCGAAGAAGTGTAGATCCTGGTTACAGTAAAGAAAAACATTATGCAGCCAACGTTTCCCCTTTCGCGGTGACCGCCTAAACGATGGTTGACTTAATTTGTGGTAAAATGAGAAACATCCGATGTGAGATCGCTGACAGCTGAGTGCATCATAATGGTGCATTTTTAATCGCGATATTAACTGTTTTTGGAATATCCGACTCATGAGTGTTGGGTGGGAAGCTTTTTCTCTTATTATATTTTCCATAAACGACTTAGTTCGAAAATCCATGATTTTGATTGGCAGTGTCGAAGGCCACCTGTGTCATACGACTTCTCCAACGCCCTCGGCGGAGTTTGGGTTACCTGGTTTTCTTTCCTTTTTCGAGTGGCGCCACTCCCACCCTGGATCGATTGTTCATATAAAAGGAACCGCGAAGAACTATACACCTTTTCTGTTATTTACTTCATTTACACGCTTCGCAATACTTCCTCTATATCAACACTCATGGTTCGACAACTACGAATATTAAATCGAGAGAGTTCTCATCGATGGCGAAGAGCTTCCTCAAATAATAAGAACCATCGACGCCAGTCCCTGCAAGTCACCATCAGCAAAGAGCCTCCCACTATCCAGTACTTTGAACGTGATAATCTTGAAGACAGCTTTGAATGCATATTTGATCCCATGGTCTGCCACGATGACGAGAAAGATCATCCCGACTTGTTCGTGCCGAGTCGAAAGCAACTGAAGCCTTGGCAGAAACCGCCATACACAGATTGTTACATCGATAACCAAATTCAAACGTCGTTTTTGAAGCGACTAGTTCACTGTGTACGTCACAGGCAAATCCATGTATAGCTTATTTATTCCCTATTACATGTTAGTATGTTATATACCCTTTTGTAAATAGTCTGCATCGTTTCTTCAAAAAAAAAAAAAGACTTTGATCTGTGTTGCACAGATGGTGTTCCAAAACAACAGTCAGGGCAATTTTTAGATTCAGAAATGGGGAATTTTTTTTATTTTGGACAACCTTGTGGTGTTCGATATTATGTGCGGGAATTTTTATGTGTTCAACAATGGGAACCAATTGATTCCACAGCAGAAGTCGTGTTCATGAGTCACGGGTTTGCCTTTTCGGCCAGTGATTAATTACAAGGGAGCGGTTGCATTCCAGCTTTTGGCTTCTTGTTCCTGTTTGCAATTTCGTTCGATAGACACGAACATATCATTACGGATCCCACTGAACGAGACGCAGTAGCCCAAGCACTTAGCTTTTATTATCTTATCTGAAGCAGATCATCTGATTTGTAACTGCAAAATATCGCCGTAGAATATATCATTCGTTCAAGAGAACCTCTTGTAAAAAGAGTCAAAGATGGCTTTCGAGGATCAGTTGCCATGCACCCCACCTTTGCCAATGGAGGCTTCAGCAGAGACAGCACGAGTTGATATCCAATGCTCATGTTTCCAGGCGACATTGATTTGCTGAAGCGTTGGGATTCAATACAGTTTGCTAATAGGAACAAGCTCAAGGAAAAAATTAAGTACGCGTTGTGGAATTTAGATCATTTGTGCCGTAGTTCTTTGGTGGAAACAATCCGTATGGTCAGATTGTTGAAGCCTCATTGTATATTAGTTGTGGGTTAACCTGTATGAAAGCATAAGACGAGTGATGATTCGGTCGCTGTTGATGGTCTTGTGGGTTGTGCATGAATTCTGACCTCCACTCCAATCACAGTGTTACTGAATCTATACAGCCATGAATAATTTTATTCAAATGGCTTCTTGCAATGCAACGTTTTGATAGTTCGATAATGCACTTGCTCATTAGAGTTTTGAGATTTCAGGGGGTGCCAATTTGTGAGGTACTCTGTATTGTATTTCCATGAACACATCATCCACAGAAAATATTGTATATTTATCACCTAGATATTATACGGAACCGTTGTAATCAGGTTGAACTGAATCTTTCTGGAAAGATAAAAGTACTGGTGCAAGGTATACCAGAGCGTATTGCATAGGACTTGTGTTAGCAGGGCAGCAGTTACCTGGTAATGAAAGATAGATTCTTAAACGGAAATGCCCTTGGGTGGGAATTGCTAAGCCATGCTTTCGTCACTGAATAGGCAAGAAAGCGACAAATTGTGTGTAGATGTTCATTGCCAGAAAGGTTGGATTAACCGCATATCAATCAAAAACGTGCAAAATCTGGGTATGTGACTCAAGTGATGCATCAGCGCCAAATTTCTGAACATGTACCTTCAGAATTCACTATTACAGTGTTTCCAACAGTAATGACACAGCCAATCAAAATCAATGTCACTGGTCAATTAGGAATCATGTCACTGGTTAATTAAAATAATGTCATTGGTTGACCAAAATTGATGTCACCAACCAATCAAAATCAATGTCATACTTTTAGAAATGAAGTCACTTCGTAATTTTTGGAAGCAGGCAAGCTCCGACGATGTTGAAAAAAAAAGGAGAGCAATTTTTTTTTGTTCTCTCACATCACCTTGTTATACTTTCCATGATACCAGAAGACTTGTTGCTGTTTCGCTTGGATCTCAAGCATAGACCGGGTTCAGATATATTCACCAAGTACATTGCTCAAGACCAGCGAGTGGTCGACTTAGTTACGAACGCCATCTTCCATGTTCCCGCTGGCACCTACGTCAGTACAAGCACGCTCTTTAAGGACGGCACCAATTGTGACGCCTTGTATGTTCCTGTGTCATCCAATTTGTCAGGCCTACCACCGATTATTCTCGAGTTTCAACGAACTGTGAATATGGAATTTTTACGTAGAAGTACCAGATACTGCTTGAATACCTACGACCGTCTGCTCCTCGCCTATATTAGTGGTTTTTTGTACTAACTGCATCGCTTCAACTTCAATCTCAAACAATTTCACTAGTCACCATCGCTTGCCGTATTGTCAAGCAGTCCCCTGGTTCACCTTTGCTGATGACTTCATTATGATTACGAAAGACACCATTCAGCCTTTGATTGACAAAGATGACAAACTGCCACCTTTAGCAGCACTTGCCCACTTCATTATTGCAGGCAAGCTCAGTATCATCGAAACAGAGCACAATGACGACGAGACAATTCAATCTTTGTACCGCTTGGCAATGGACATCTTCCCCTGTGACGTCCGAGATGACGGTGGCTTTGAGCCAGCAATTACTGCATTAAACGAGATGGGGCAGCAGTTCAAGAAAATCACCAAGGAGATTCCATCGAATCTATCGTGCCGTGACATATTCTGAGGATGGTGAAGCCTTCTGCATCAAAATGAAGAGGAAATTCGACGAGGCAATGGACGGCAACCGTGCAGTAACACCCATGTACGAACCTGTGAAGTGCCTAAGTGCAATTTAACCAACGACACAACTCACAACGAGATCAACTCTCAAAAACGCAAAGATCAGCTCATCAAATTCGTAGATGAGTTTAAGGTAGCCTTGAACGGACGCCGTATGAACTGGCATGATTGCTGGAAGGAAGCACGAAGCCATGGTATCATTATGCATTACACCAACTATGAGGTCATGAAGAACGCGTATCATCGAGCTAAGCAGCAACACTCTTTACCTCCCTTTGATCTTATATCCTTTTATCTTCTCCACATATATCCCATCATTTTTTTCATTAGTCAATAAACGAAGTACTTTGGTTGTTTCCTCACGGTTGTATATACAGTTAAATAAAATAGTTCAATCTTCAAAGACTTATTTTTACTTTAAATTGTTTTATAACTTACTTCAATTTCGTATAACACAATGATGCCAGAGAATCTACAACGAATCAAAATACAACAAACATGCTCACGGAACATGCTCACGGAACATGCTCACGATACTCACGGAACATGCTTACGATGCTCACGGAACATGCTTACGATGCTCACGGAACATGCTTACGATGCTCACGGAACATGCTTACGATGCTCACGATGCTCACGATGCTCACGATGCTCACGGAACATGCTCACGATACTCACGGAACATGCGTACGATGCTCACGGAACATGCTCACGATACTCATGGTTGATTTCTAGAAAGAAGTTTTACGAGTGTTTTTTTTTTTTTGTTTGATTTGTTTGGGTTATTACAAAGGTTGTCTGTTTCGACATTTATCCCAACACTGGTAAGAATGCGAGACGAACCCTTTGAAATGACTTTGCTTCACATTGTTGCAGGCTTCGGTGATCCTATTGGACAAAGTGTCTTCCTGCAAAAATCTATGACGCTTAACCTTACTCTTTGCTACTGCCCAGAATTGTTCAATTGGATTAAGCTCAGGGGAGTAAGTAGGAAGATACACACATTTATATCCTCTATACTCAATATACTTCTTTATGCTTTCATGCGTGTGAATGGGTGCATTATCCATGACTATGTAGTGGCCTTTCATATGTGGGTGCTTGTCCATTTCATCGAGAGTCGTTTTTAAGAAACTGATGTAATGGTCTGTTACAGTTCCTGAGCTTATGTATCCTTCAGCCTTTCTCTTCTTTGCAGGTCTTGGTTTCTTCACACCGACTTCAATCAAACCTGCAACAGAGATAGCGCCCAATATAGACGTTGTATTTGCTCTCGTTGTAGGTCTGGTAACAATAGCTTGAGTACCTTTTTTAGATCAGGCTCTTGAGCGCTTCATGTTGATGTCGAAAGCAGACTCATCAAGAAATATGCAATTCGTCAAGGAGTTCATGTCTGTTCGTTCCCATTTAGAAACCCAATTGCATCGCTCCTCAATCTTTGCTGGATTGTTTCTCTCAATAGAATGAAAATCTGCTTTTTTCAACGAAAGGTTGCACTCACGTCTCATAAAGTTATTAACTGTGCTGCGTGATACTTTAAGATCATGAAATCGCTTTAATAAATGCTCAGTCACTTCAACAACAGTAGCAGAGGGGTTAGCATCAATGAAGTCGATGACAGTTGTTTTATGCTCTTCACTTAAGATACACTTACGACCTACTTTTTTACAACTATCAAAAATATTGTCAGGGCACACATTATACTGGCTGATCCATCTATAAGCTGTTCGAGGGTGAATGCCCAACTGTTTTACTGCAGCTGATGCAGTCATACATTTTTCAATCTTCAGTTCGAAAAACCTAACTTTATCCTGAACTGTATAACGCACATAGTCTCGTTTTGGTTTTGCGTTCTTCATACGAACATCATCAATTTTGGCTTTCTGACAACATTGGGCAATTAGGGATTACATTTCCCAAGTACTCTGTATGAGTAGCAATAGTCTCAACAATAAATTCATTCTGATCAACAATGTAGTCCATGGGCTCAGGACCACCATTCTCATCAATAACATTCCCATGTCCATCTTCATATAAAATTTTGTACTCATCTTGAATTGAAGAGATTTGAAAAAGAAAAAACCAAGAGAAAAAAAAATACTCGCTTTCTTTTTATATTCTTTCAGGCACCAAGAATCACGACGTGATTTCTAAGCAAGTGACCATTTCTAAAAATATGACATTGATTTTGATTGGCTGGTGACATCAATTTTGGTCAACCAATGACATTGTTCTAATTAACCAGTGACATGATTCCTAATTGACCAGTGACATTGATTTTGATTGGCTGTGTCATTACTTGTTGGAAACACTGTATGTGTGACGAAATTGACCAGTGCACACGGCTGCTTATGTGCTTTAGAGGAAATATATTTTATTCTGCATAAATAACATTTACGGAAGTCCTCAACGGCTCGAGGGAAGTCCGAATATAACAAAACATGAGATTAGATTACCATTGCGGGATAAAGTATGTGATCACCATAGTCACGGATCGATCTCTTTCTACTCAACGATCGTCGATTATCATTGTGTCCTCTGTAACATCAAATCAGATAAAAGGGCATACTGCTGAAGCTTGGTCTGTATTACGAATGATGTAAAAAGTATTCACCGTTTTTTGTTCCTAGTTCTAGCTCGGTGATGGTGTCTTCTTTCACAATAGAGCATGACATAGATATCATACCCAACGTGAGCTAATATGATTGTTAATAATTGATTTCGCTAGTTTTTCGGTCGGTTTCTGTGAGCGTCTAAAGCAGGATAACGATCGTAAGCGCCTGCGCTATTTTGCAACAAGCCTTGAAGAATCATGCTTTTTCATTGCACGAGTCCGGGCCGCACACATGTACCGTATTAAGAAAATGGTCACAAATAAACTCAGCCGAAGTGACGTATGATTCGTAAGCGGCCCTCACATGAAGTGATTTTTCAATGGGCTTGCAGAGCGCAGTATCTTTTCCCGATCTCATCCATGGCTGCAGCTTCTGATCAGTACGACGATAAAGACTTCTTGCAACTGAATCTAAGCGGTTCAGCTTATGAGCTCCTGAATGCGGCCATTGCGAGCCATAATCGACCTCAGGTGGATTCTCGCATGAGCTCGAGTCCTTCCACAGTATTGTCATCTTTATCACCGATTGAGAATACAAAAATGCAGACCGTCGACCCTGTGCAAGGTAAAATATAGTTGCTTGCAACTATTGGTGGATTAATTTTATACTGAACTACTTGATTTAGTATCTGTGAAAAGAAATCATGATAAAACGGATGATAACGGTAGGACGTTTTATCGTTAGTGAAGCGTCGGGTGCAAAAATGACTCATTTTTCTGTTCCTATTTTTAAATCAAAGAAGGAGGAGCAGGAGATGAACGCTCGAAAAGCTCAGCACCAAAAAGAGCAGGAAGAAAGCCGCTGGAGACTACGCCATCACCCGTAAGTTTGCTGTTCCCCATTTTTCTTCTCGAGTTTCACTGATCTGAACGAATGTTGCACTTGATATGCTGAATTTTTTTGGTTCCCCTTCTTTTTGTGTATCCTACAGTCCCTGCAATTGGATCCAAAACAGAAACGGAAAGCCCAGAATCGGGCCGCGCAGCGTGCATTTCGAGAACGAAAAGAAAAACACATGGCCGAGTTGCAGGAGCGTATACGTGAGCTTGAAGAACTAGCGTCCAAAAAAGACGAAAACCTGTTGCGTGAAAACGAAAGTCTAAAGGATCAACTTCGGCAACTGGAGCAAGAAAATTACGCACTCAAGCATTCCAAGTTTACATTCGAATTCCCTTTAAAGGACACACGTGGCTCGTTTGCTGCGGATGGGGCGCCGTCCACGTCGACAGACACCGATTCAACTCCCGCTTCGTCCTCCCTTTCTTATCAACGCAGTGGTAGCCATTCCAGCACCGGTTATCAGAGTTACCAGTCCATCGAAGACAGCAGTAGCTGCAGTGAGCATTCACCTCAGTCGAATGGGGACGACGATTCGAACAGTGTCAACACTCCGTCCAACTCAGCCCAGGTGAATGATCACTTGACATCGTTTGATTATCTTGCGCCATCCAGTGATTTCGATTTCCTGGCTGTGTCTGGGTCCGGCGACACAACCGCCTTACCATTAACGGATCTTTTCCACACCAAGGACGATTTGTTTTCCAGCTATCGTGTGCCAAATCAAAACGACGATTTTATTTCCCAAGAAGCTTTCTCTGAGATCTTTGGCGCCGAAGCCGATCTATTTGGTCTCAGCGCTCCCGCCCCGTTCAGTGCCGACTTGGAACCTTTGCAAATGCCGCTGCCTGACTACACAACGAGCAAAACAGAGAATGCACAGCAGTCATCTCACTGTCCTCTTGAGAGGATGGGCAATGTCATAAACGACGAGTCCAGTGCCACCACGGCCGCCGACAAGTTTGACTTTAACCTTGACGCTCTTTGTGAGGACATGAAAAAGAAGGCAACTTGTCAGATTTTTTATGAAAAGTACATCAAGGATAAGCCAGAGGTGGAAGAGTTTCTCTCATCAAAGCAGAATATGGAAGCCTTGCTGTCACGCAAGCAGGAGGTGCAAGCGTTGCTCTCATCCAAGCAAAATATTGAAGCCTTGCTGTCCTCTAAGCAGGATATGGAAGCCCTATTAACATCCTTTAACGCATAAACACCATCCCAAAGCTCCATTCATTCGCAAAACCCTAAACAAATTTCTCCAGAACATTCCCTTTCTCCGCTTTGACGACAATTTTCATTTTCTGCTTTTTCTTTATCATTTTTATCCGTTGTATCTGTTTCTGTCTTGTTTGTAAAATCCTTTCTTTTTGTTTCACCATGTTTTCATTTCTATTTGTCCCATCAGCATATGTTTAGGATATACATTTTTTTATATGATTATCTTTAGAAAAAATATGTATAAAAAAACATATGTCAATCAATTACACATACAGCCATTCGCGGCCAAGAAATCAAAAACAGAGGAAAGAACAAAAGAAGGAAGAGTCGAATGTTTTGGTGAAATGTGCATGCACATACAAAGGCCGACAAGCAGGCATTGACTATCTCTTTTTTTTTGTTGCTAACGCTTAAACACATAAAAAAGAAGGGAATAAGAAAAAAGCACTATATAATCGCTAAAATAATGGAGTAACTGTAGTCCGTTTAATAAATAACACGATTTTCCACCTGGAATAGAGACAAATTGTCAGACAACTTCATAGAAACAAAATGCATGTCTGTGTGTTGGAAAGTGAGACCTACCTTGATGACGATGGGCGGTTCTTGGGTATTAGGTCTCGATATTTCGGCAAGCTCGCGGCCAGCCTAGTCAAAGTGTGGCAAGGTAAGCGACATGTTCGGAAAGAAATGGTAGGTTAAATAGTGACTTACGTTCCAAGTGCCGCCTTCGATAAGTTGAGTCAAGGCCAGCTGTTTGCGACTTAATTTCAGTGTCTCACGCACGCGTTCGGCCACGAGATCAAGGTAAGCAGTGGTGAGAGCTCGCCACTCGACCACGACGGGATCGCTCATTTCAAACATGGGAGCCACTTCCACTTTGGGTTGACCCGGAAGCAAGGAATTCTGACGGTAGTTTTGCAACCCACGCTCCATATCGGCCTTCTTTAGTGTAATAAATCCCGTATCCATGAGTAATCCGCCTACAAAAATCACAGTCAGTGGATTGGAAATTAAGGTTGACAGTTTTGATTTAGCATTTACCGTTGCGATAGTCAGGCAGGGGAGTCAGTTGATCGGTACCTTCAATGGTGGCGCCCAAGAGTTTCTCCATGGGTTCAATTACCGAATAGACCAGCCATTGCGATAATTTATGGAAAGAAACAAAGTGTTCAGATGATTGGGGGTTGTTCTGAATAGCTTGACATGGCCAGACGTCACCAAGACCGCGAGACCCGCCCTTGCCTTCTGCTGCCCAGAATTCGCCCATCTCTTGCATCACAGGCCAAAGCGTTTCCAGATGAATCAATGGGCCCTTTTTCGTCTTGATGGTGGTAGGATGTTCCAAAAGATATTCTGCAAAGCAGTCAAATTAGACAGGTCCGCCTGTGAAAAAGTGATTTATTATAAGAGCTTACCGAGAAGGTTGCCTGGACGTGCGACGAGTTGACTGCCAAAGTAATCTTGACGATCTTGCAAGACTTCACCGAGATGATGCAATAATTCTAATCGATCCTCAAGACCAACAAGGATATTGCGGCTATCGACCTGGAAGCCTTGGCGAAGTGTATCCATATTGAGAGCCATCAGAGCCGCAGCTATTTCAGAATAAAACATGGTGAGATGACACTAGACAACTGAGAAAAGTCGAGCTTCAAAACAGGACACCTACAGTCAACTCGATGCGGTTCGGAAGGATCGCTGGAAAAGACGCCAGCGGTGAACATGTCGAGCACAGCGACGGCAATGCCTTCTGTGCGCTTATAGATACGACCAGAGGCGTTTTCGGTGTAAGACCAGAGGTGACCGGCTTCTACATCTAACAGCACGGCAACGACGAATAGGTCGAGCACCCGTCGGGTTTGGGTCATGGTGTCTTGTCCGAGGCTTGCCCAGGCATTGATGAGGTTTTGTACTCTCGGCCGTCCACCAACATCGAAATGGCGCCACCGTCCGTGAACAGGGATATTGGAAGGATGATCGTAATCCCGCTTTATTAGGGAGACGACAATCTGGACTACGTCTTCCAATTTGCTTTGATCCACGTCAAAATGCTGCAGTCGCTTCTTCACCGCGGCTTCCTGGACTTTGAAACATCGCTCCCGAACTGATCGGAGCGTCAAAAGATATTCTTCATCGGGAGTCAATGTCGGCACCATTGTGTCGCTTTGTAATTAAGGAAAGGAAAGAGGGTAGAGAAATGTAAAAATGAATGAACAAGAAGGGAAAAAAGTATAAAAGAAATATAGAAAGACTGAATTAAATTAGAAGAAAAACGTTGAAAAGAAGGAAAGGAAAAACATTCAAGGGTGCCAAAACACGCCCATTTTTATGCTACTTTCTCCCATGCTTCGAAATTTTGCTGATCAGTGAACGGGAAATAATTTACAACAACCAGGCAGGTTGGACAAACGGTTGACCGGTGCTCCTTTCATTACTCCCAGTATCATGGTTGATCAAGAAAACATCCCCATTGGGGAGTTGCTTTTTTTTTTTGTAAACCTTTTTCTCGGTGTGCTCCTTAATTTTAAACTGGAAACTTTTATTTTTTATTTTTTAAAAAACTCTCTATCGTGACAACGTGACAAGTATTCTACAGTTCATTCTGGGATTTCTTTGTGCTTCTATATTATTAAGTAAAACGGGATCGGATGACCCGGGCAAGGTAAGCGGTGGATGAGAATCTGTAACGTTGTGCAAAGAGGTTGAAAACGGAAAGAAAACAAAAACAAGAAAGTAGAGATGAGGTAACTATGGAACTTGACAGCCGATGCGCGCCCGACATTGCACCATTCACCACTCATGGTCAGTTTAGGCATGATCCACAAACTGATTGTTTTCGACTTTTGACAGTGTTACTCTTTTTTTTTTTTTTAGGAACCTGGTAAATGATGTTGGCAATGGATGGAGATCTTCATGAAAACATCGCTCGACTCCTATGTCAATCAAAAAGGTGGGTCATAGAAAAAGGCAGGGCACGATTCATTAATCAGCAATAGGAAAAACTGCGAAGATTGCATTGCGACCGCCAACTGTATCGGCTGTAGCATGCTTATCTTCCATCCTTTGCCCCTTATTTTTATTTGGGGTCCCCCGACAAGGATGAAGGTTTTTTTAACCTTGAAAAATAAAAACAAAAAGGCGTTCTTCTGAATGCTTCGTCGGACTCTGTATGACAACGTACGGTTAATCTAGGAAAGCCGTGCACCAACTTTAAAAAATTATAGTCGACTCCTCTCCTGGAGAAACAGCCCCTGATAAGCATGGTGGGTAGGCTTGGACGGGTGGATTCCAAAAAGCTGATTTTTGGTTTGACATTTGTTCTTTTGACCTTGTTTTGTCGATTTGTTCTTATTTTAGCAATAATTATTCTTGACGGTCTCAACGCAATGGCGAACATATCAAGATAAAGTGCGCTCCTCTTGAAGATTCACTCCGTGAACGTTAACCGGAACAAACGACTCTTTCCATCTCCGAGTACCCTTTTGCTCCCCCTTTTTTGTGTCCCCATTTCCTTTTCCACATCCCCCATACCCTTTTCTTCAGGGGCTCACTTACACAGACAGAGAACCAAATACGAACGAAGTAATGCGTTTTGACCGCTTCCAAAAAGTCAGGCTTCTTTCTATTGTCCTTGGCAACTCATGTGCTAAGAAAAAGCATAAAATGAATTGTGATACATGATGCTGCCCATTTAATGGAAAGCTTGGCTTCCCCCACAATCATGAAATAGCGGAGTTTGCTAATGCACAAAAAGATTGTTACACTTGTTGCTGGAACGAGTGCAAAAGTCAATATTGAAGAACACCAGTCTCTATTCGTCTCACAAGTTGCGGCGTTCTGCAATGTCTCAAACAGTCCATAGATGTCCTTGCTCCCGAACAGTGTTACATGGGAACATAGTTTGGGTTTTCACAGCTAGTCTAGCATTTCTGATTTAACTTGAGCCCATGTGTGCTGCGTCCCTTTGATGATCGGTGCAATTGCTCTTGAACAGTTTCCATTCTTCTGCTAATTAATATCAGCGCGATTGGTTTGTGGTCGATAAACGAATACACGACACTAAATTGATCTCTCGTAACTATTTCATCCTTTTTCGGGAGTTTGCTTCGCTTTCCTTATCTGTAATGGTAACGAGGCAATGAAAATACGACAAGGTGATAATATATTACCCTATCACCGATACTTACTTTGCGTTGGACATATTTTGAGATTCGCGATTGACGAACACCAGCAGGACGGCCGGTCCTCCTGCTGTGCTTCTGCGGAAAAAGAGATTCGCGCTCAAAGCGCGCGCGTGCAAGTTTGGAACCGTTTCTGGCTGTCCTTATCTTACGATTCGATCAGATGGTCTTCGTACGTAAATATATATATATATATATATATACAAAAGAGCATCAAGTTACAGTAATACTCTCATGTATGGGTCGTCTTGGATGCTTAACCATATGCTATCTCATAATTTTGCTCAATTTTGTACATTTGTATTCAAATAGTCGAAAGAAGTTCTTGCATACTATTATGTGTGATGTTCTAGCCCTAATTTTCTACTACAGTCTCTTCGGATCAGAGCCAGTAGGCTTGTGTGATCTTTTTGTTTGCAGAAAGATCAATCAAAGTGCATCATGACTGCTTCTCCACATCTTCGCAGTCGGCGTTTCAAAATTTGAAATACTTGGAAAAAAAAAGTAAAGTCCAAATTGGTGTTCACGTTGTGTGTGAGTGACAAGACAACCGTTTTGCCATGGAAAGAGACATTACGAATTATATGATTGCCACTGGCACCAGCTCACCAGAAGCTGTGGAAGCTGCCAAAGACGTCGTACGAGGTAATTTTTTCTTACCCCAGCCAAACCCGTCTTGACCAACCGGGATCGCCTTTGTATTGTTACAAAGCTTGACTCACATTTTACATAACTAGCGGTGCACAATGGTCGAGTGCAAGATAATTTACTCCTACTTATTCAACAATTGGGAGAATATTTGACAAGTGACGACGATTTTGTACGCGCCAAAGGTTGGATTATAAACTTGTTGTTGGAGAGTGATGTCGTCTTATGCATGTTGTTTCACAGCCACGGGTCTTTTATCAACGACATTGCGAGAATGCGAGCATACGTCGATTAACGGATCAGCAGGTAGAAATACAGTCAATAGCGAAGGTTGTATGTTTGGGATTAAGTGACTGATCCATCCGCACACACAGTATCTGTCTTGGTGGACTTTTATTGCAACCGTCTGACGGAGAAAACTTGCGTCCCCTATTTGTTGGATGGCTTACTGGCATTGACGGACTTTGACAACTTCAGCGATGTGAATGCAGTGACAGTCGCTAAAAGGTAGAGTCTGGTCTTTTCCGAGAAATGGACAGGGATTGATGATGGTAATTATGGGAAATTTCAGACTATTCGAGCGAGTGGAGGTACAGAGATTCCCCCAAGGAACAAGAAATTCCGCTTTTCAGCTGTTTGAAAATTTGTTGTCCAAGAAACTGGCAGGTAATTCGTCGTCTCACATCACAGTTCGACAATATATTATGTATCTTGACAGATGAATTGCTTAGCTTTGAGATCGATCAATGATGAGTTCATTTACGGGTTCACACAAGCCATGGACGGTGAAAAGGATCCACGCAATTTGTTATGCGCCTTCAAGCTCGTCGAGACCATCAACCGTGAATTCGATATCTCGATCCATGTGGAAGACCTTTTTGAAGTCACATTTTGCTATTTCCCCATCACCTTTAAACCCCCACCCGATGATCCTTACGGCATCACCGCTGAAGACCTCAAAGTTAGCCTAAGGTATTTATGGCCTCATCTTCGAATGTACCTTGTTACTCTGACTGACACACGATCACCGCTCAATCAACAGAAAATGCTTGGCTTCCACCCCCTTGTTCGCCAAATTTGCCGTGCCGCTCATGTTAGAAAAATTATCTTCTACTTCCGGAAGTGCAAAGGTATGTGATCTGTTGTGTAGGATATTTACCCATATGTGAGTTTTAAACTGGAGGTCTTTACAGAAAGACTCGATGGAAACATTGGCTGCATGTGCTCCCGTCTATGGCGCGGCGGCGTTATTACCCAACACTGATGAAATTATGGATTCACTCAAAGTCGAGGTAAATACATCTGCATGCATACCTCATGCTCAGAGAAATAACAGATATATCATGAAAATCTTGTATCGCGTAATGTAGGTCCTCCATGCTACCGATGCTTCGCTTGAAGAGGCGGCGTTGGATGCTATTCATTGTGTGGTGGCAGCCCTCAGTAGTGGCGTGAATGATTCGACGGAGGAGCCGACCGACAAAGCCTTGAAGCCTATTGTCGATGAAAGTCTCACCAATTTGAAAGACCCCGATCTCAGAAATGCAAAAGAAACTGGTCGCATCTTGCGCGCCGCTGCATCCGCTTCTGGTAGGTGCATCATTTTCTAAAGCAAAACAAGAACCCTTAAAGCTAACCGCTGGCGGGTCCAGATTATGCTTGCAATTTCATCGTATCACAGGTCCTTCCTCGCTTACTGAGCAGCTATCGCGAAACAGAGGTCACGACCCACCGAAAACTCGTAATGGATATCATGCTCGAATTGCTGGAAGCCGGCATCGCTGTCTATGGATCCTCGAGTACGGATAAGAATAAGATGCAAGGTAAGCGTTACGTAATCGATGGATTATTGATACATGAAATATCGAGACACTGACTTGGTCGGTTGTAGTGGATGAGGATATGGTGTCTCCTCTGTTGCCATTCAAGGATCGCTTATTCTACGTGTTTGAAAATGCCCTGATGGCTTCCAATGAGTACAATGGTGTCCGTCTTGCGGGTATCCGAGGCTTCAAGTTGATGACCCTCACACAATCCTATTTGTCCAGCAACGAAGTAAGTGATTTTCATCCTTTTTTTTTCCATCGAACCTACCAGAACTAAGAACGAAATGTTAGGTTGGTATTGTGGTTCAGTCTTACAATAAGATCCTATTGCACGAACCCGATGATGAACTTCGGTAAGTTACTGGGACCTCATTTCAATGGAAATCCGCAACCCCCCCAAAAAAACTGATTGATTATGCTTTAGTATGGCTGTACTGGATGCTTTGACAGTGTTGGCTCAATTCGATAGCAGCCACATCATTCGAGAAACTGTCCCCGCCCTGATCCAATGCCTCCCAGAGACCGCCAAAGATAAGCCTGCTAGCAGTTATCAGCGAATCCTCGTAGCGCTGAAAAAGTTGGCCCCAATTCCTGCCATTTTTGATGTCACAGCACCCATGATGATGACCAAGATGGAAGAGTTATGTCGTACAGGTACGCGAAAGGATTTATTAGCGAGTGTTTGCGGCTCAGACGCATTAAAGGCTGACTTACAATTTTTCGTATAAATGTAGAATCGGAAGCCGCCTATCCTTGTGCGATTGCCACCTGTTTATTGGATATCCTCAAGATCAAAGTCGCGGAGAACCACACAGATATCGAGACTTGCGTCAATACGATTCTTCCTCGCTTAATAGCCGATGTCATCCAATCTGCTTTGGATGCAAAGAGTTCCCGACTTCTCCTTGAAGCGAATCTCTTGCGACAGATTGCATTTATTGTCAGTCTTGTTTTCCAAAAATTAAATACAAGGTATGTAAAGGAAATCAGATAAGTTAAGATAGCCAATATTAATTGAAATGATTAGCCTACAAGAAGCATTCGTCACTCGCATGTTCAAACTTTTCCTGGACGGCGATTTGTCTGTGGTTGACATTGAATCTTCGGCCAGTTTTGCCCCGTTATCGGTACACTATCGCTTTCTCACCCGTTACTATAGCCCCTGATAGATTGACTAACTGACGGAATTATTAGCCTTCAGCAAGTGACCATCAAAAGCCGACCCTTCTATTATTTTCGGCCATCGTGTGTGCGTGCAGAAAGGATGTGAGTCTTTTATATATCCATGCATTTTTCGATAAATCAAAGCTGATGAATTCGGTATAGACGACTTTACCATTAGAGTCTGTCGATGCATTTTGCAATCAATTGATGCAAGTCGCCTTGGTATCATCCAATACCATTGAACGTGAAGCATTAGTAACCATGATGGGTGCCATGGTGAACAAATATCGTGATAGTAAGCGGCGGTGGCTAAAGCGTGGGCAAACATTGGATTTTGACCTGACAACTCTCATTTTAACAGCTAGCGCGTTATCATCGTTTGTGGAAACGTCGGCGACCCGATTGGAGGAAGCAATGAACGAAAACTCCAGTACAAGCACCAATGCATTGGAAATTTATCTTTGGGTAAATTTGAGCGAGAAATGTTGAAAAGGCTGGGATACTAACATGGGGCGTTTGTCAAAGTTGACCAAAGCGTTGGTGGTTCGTGCTTATGCGGCAGGTTATGAGCTGACGCAGAAGATCATCCACTTGTGCTCGAATCCAGTTCTCGGGCTACAAGCTGCGAAAGGATTCGATATCCTTATTGGCGAAGACCCATTGACGCTGAATAAAGCCACCTTTGCTACCATCAATGTAAGTTACTCAAAGCGGCCATACTCATCTGGTAGACTTGAGGCTTATTTGTTCGCAGATTTTGTACAAACAGCGCTTCTTCAATTTCTGTCTTCCAGAACTCATGGGAGGGTTCCGCACAGCAGATGAAGGTAATTGTCATTTACCATGGGAAAAATGATTCTTGTGACGATGGTGAATAACCGAGTATTTGTGCAGCTGTCAAGCCTAATTATCTAATTGCTTTATCGTACATGTTGAAACATGTACCCAAGCAAATCTTGTTCAACGAATTGCCACCAGTAAGCATCGACCACTCTTTTCGTTTCTCCTTTGACTTTTTTCTAATGACTTCCTTTTTCAAGCTGGTTCCTTTGCTTATCCAAGCCTTGACTTTACAAGACGCTACACTCAAAGTGTCGACATTGGATACGTTCCGGTTAGCGGTGACGGAGGCGTCGGATGTGGTGGCACCTCACGTGCGTTCGATTTTGCCGGCGTTGCTTGGCCTACTGGAGCCGGAACAGAGGTCACCTCTGGAAGTCCGTATAGCTGCGCTCAAATGCTTGGCGGTATTCCCGGTCGGACTCACCAATGATGTTTTGTTGCCGCACGTTCATTTCGTAACCAAGCAACTGACCAAATCTTTGGATGATAAAAAGCGTCTCGTCAGAAAAGAAGCAGTCGATTGCAGAGCTCGTTGGTAAGTTTGGATTTGTCGCGGTGATTCAACCATGCCGAGTTATTGACAAGGCTTCTTTTTTACAGGTACTCCATTTCCGTTCCATTATAATTAATTTGAAGGGGATCTTGGTGGTTTTTTCCCGGTGGCATGATGAGCTTTCCCTTGGATTAGATATTCCTCGAGAGCTGCTCCACAGGTTGTATTATAGACAATAGCAATTTTTACGAATATATAAACACATGATCCCGTGGCTTTGAAAAAGCTTCATTTGTTCTATTTCTTCCATATGTTCGAGTTGAATGAATGATCCGGCTCCCAATATGGAAAGCTTCACGAAAAATTACTTTTATGGTAATACAAACGTTAATTTTGTACCACATAAAAAACTTTATAGGGGAAGCCTTGCATAGCCTACAGATTTTTTTGACAGCTACTTGATCTTGCCACAAACAGGCGTATTTTATCGTATCTTGCTCAATTGAATCAATTATTTCATTTATTCTTATGGTCTGAGTAAAAAAAAAAGTGAGACTCGATTTGGATTCAATAAAAAGGACCCACCGTGATGAGTGCCCGTGCTGCATTTTAAACAAGAAGTCAAAGTGTGCTCAAGTTCCAAGCTAAGTCATACCTGGTCATATATTTGCGCCGTCTCTGTATTCGTCAAGGTTATTCTATTTCAAGCGTGTTGGGTCACAAATCACTGATCGTTGTTTCGGTGCCGTACACTGGACCCTTGTCTAGCTTACCGGACGCAAGGTGATCCATGCTTCACTGCACCAAGCCTTGATCTTACCGCCAACGAGTGACACGACCTACATTTAAACAAGAAGTTAAAATATGCTCGAGTTTAAACTTATTCATAGCTGGTCATCTTTGTTCGTTGCCGTTTTCGCCAAAGCTCCTATAGTTCAAGCGTGTGAGTCACTACCGTCCATCGCTACTTTGGCCCCCAAACAATGAAGTCCCATCCTGACTTACCGTTCGCTAGATGGTCCATGCTTTCATCGCGCCAAGCCTTGATCGTGCACCAAAGAGTATCCCGGCCTACGTCAAGCAAGAAGTCAAAGTATGCTCGATTTGAAAAATATGTCATACCTCGCCTTTTTTTCGTTTCTCCTCCATTTCGCCATGACTTTTATTATCAAACCATGTGAGTTACCGTGCACCCGTCGTTGCTGTGGTCCCCTACATTGAACCTTGTGTCTCCTCACCAGTTGTATGCACGGTAATCCACGTTTCGTCCCACCAAGCCTTGATCGCCATATTTACGGTGTCCCGGCCTGCATTTAGACAAGAAGTCAATGTTCAAAACTATCTCATACCTGGCCATCTTGTTTGAGTCTCCCGTTTTCGCCGTAGCTGCTGTATACCAAGTGTGTGAGCCACAACTCACCTGCTCCTGCTTTGGGTCCAGCTTACCCTTTGAAAGTTGACGCTCCCTGTATCGCGCCAAGCCTTGATCATACGGCCAACGAGTATCCCGACCTAATCTATAAACATGGAGTCAAAGTATGTTCGAGTCCAAATATATGACATACCTGGCCAACTTCGCTTCGCCTCCGTTTTCGCCATGGTTGCTGTATCTCAAGCATGCGAGTTGCTATTTGCTCTAATCCCCGCATGCGAGTTGCTATCTGCTCTAATCCCTCACACTGGACCGGCGTCTGGCTTACCACTTTACAAGATGATTCACCCTTCATCGCACCGAGCCTGATCGGTAATACGAAGGAGGTCACAGTTGCATCAACCCAAAACCAATGCGGAGCCATATCTTACAGCCCTAATTCTCAACACTCGCTATCCACCCCCACCCCACTCCATATTCCCTATCCACCCCAACCCTCCGCCACTAATTCCACACCATCCCAAACCAAAGCGTGGAACATACGTATGTTCCACAAGAACGCCGATGTCGATGATTATCGTATGCGCACAGGTAGCAAGCGGAGAAACCATCCAAACAGCGTGGAACGAGGAGCGGGCAACCAAGAGCGGAGGAACCACGGGCGAAAATCAACAAAAGTGGACGAGTGTGGATAATCATATCGCCTGCTGGTGATCAAGCAGCAAGCGTAGAGGATCTTCTTGAGCCCCATCGCAACCGAGGGACTGTAACACCAGGGAGGACAGCGATGGTAAAAAATCATACCACTTACTGGTGGCCAGCCAGCAAGGGCAGAGGAACATCCAGTCAAATTGGAACCAAAGACGTGGCACCAACGGAAACGGAACGAGGACGGGAGAGTCGTTCTTGAAGCGATTCTGCTGTTTGTCTACACAATGATGGAAATAACCGGTTAGGCTCGTTATGAATACAGTGCAAGGCATAGAATAACTAACCTTGTATCGATGTCAGCAAGCGATGAGACAACTGATAATCCGCCGTGTATAATCCGTAGTCAGGCAGAGGAAAAGATCTGGAACTATTCATCGTGGCAGAATAGAGGTCATTATTGAAGGCGTTGAGCGATTGTATGAAGCTTCTACCTCTTCTCTTGGAACAGCGGCCACAGAAAAATCACCCATGCTGTCAGTAAAGCGTCTCCAAGCTTTATCGATCCATGCTTTGATCGTAAATCGCCGATTGTGCCATCCTGGTTTTGGTAGGAAGTCAGAGTATGTCGGAATCTCAAGAAATATCATACCTGGGCCAAATTAGTTGCGAACGCCAGCGGGAAGGACAGTGTGGCTTTTGAGCAAGACGTTAAGGTAGGTGCAGAGTCGACGATCGCCATACTTGGAGTCCTTTCCTTGGTTTTCGTTGCCCAACATTCATAAGTCATATTGTCAAATACAATGTGTCTTGATCGTTGTGTTGGTCTTAGCTTGCTCCCAATATCTGTTTTTTTAACAAATTGGTGGTTAATTGGAAGTGTAGAATGAACCTGTGACAATGCTGAAATACTTACCCGCCAACTTTCCATATACCCGACAAATGCATGAGTGGCATTAATGGTGGACTTGAAGCACAACCGAATGTCACACAAAACACTGATTACTGTTCTGTAAATAAGCTCCACAATAACTTACCCCATGCCATCAAAGTGTGGTTTCCAATGACTGGAACGTCAGGGGAGCTTAATAAAATTCCTCTCAAAGAAAAGATACGACGACCATGAAATGTTGCATAGAGTACGCTTAACAAAATACCTGGTACTGGGTCATTACAGCTCATGGATCAGTCTTGAAGGTTATTTAAAGTCATGCTAACAGTATAGACAAAAGGCATATTCATTATCCTGAAGGACTGTAAGAGGCCTCACATACCGATAATACCACTTTAGGCTGGGGACGCATAGAGCTAGTAGAAATATATTCAACTGGAATATTAATCTATGAAAAAGGAAAAAATGTTGTCCGTATACAGATGTCTGTTCCTTTTTCCTGACATAGCAAAATACCGTGCGTTCGGCCTGATGTGGTTCCAATCCGTTCTAAAGCAGGTAATAGGTAACATATTCGAAAAGGTCATTTGGGTTTTGATACTCTTACCGCAATAACTGAAATGCGTATCACCGATGTGTTTACACAGAATGTGGATAGTAATGGGATGATGCTTACGTGTTTTTGTAACGGATGCACCAACAGAAAGGCGAAGAATGGGCGATCGGCTGTGAACAACCTTTTCGACGGCGCAGCTGCGTAGGGATGCCTTGAAGCTTGGTCTTGATGGAAGCAGCAGGAACTTGACGAAAGCACATTAAAAATATAATGGATTGAAATTAATATTCAAGGGTAGAGAGGATTGGCGAGTTTGTACGGTAGGGTGGCGTACCTGGAGTGATGTTTTAGTGCTTTTGGGTATGTTTAGGATAGGCCGCTCTCCGTTCCAAATATGGTAAGAGAAAACTACACCTCATCGCCATTGGTGAGTTGTTTTGTCACTTTGAACGTGTTTGATATATAAAAATAAGCCTTAATAATATTTGAGAAAGCAGATGCGCGGTTTTTTACGTTGCTGACAACTTACAGCGTGGTGGTTATATCGTAGCGCGTTCAGGGTCGTTTGAGTAACTTTTAGAAACTCCGTCGCCGCATAAAACATCGCTCCGCATTTGAATGCAAAGTTTAGCAACGTGGGTATGATCGCTAAAGCGGCCCATGGACCCAAAAAAACACGTACTGTTTTTGTTGTATGGACTTGACGCAGCTTCGCATCAGAAGAAAAAAAATTGGAGAAAAAAAAGAATTGATGCTCATGGTGGGCCCTTTTATTGAATCCAAACCGAGCCACACTTCTTGTAGCTCAGACTATAAGAATAATGAAATATCTATTCAGTTACGAGATACGATAAAGTACGATTGTCTGACGGCAAGGTCAAGTAGCTGTCAAAAAAATCTGTAGGCTATGCAAGGCTTTCCCGATAAAGTTTTTAAGGTAGTACAAAATTAAGGTTTGTATTACCATAAAAGTAATTTTTCGTGGAGCTTTTTTTCATTTCCATATTGGGAATCGAGAAGATCCAAGGGATATCCGATTGTTGGGCTTCATCAAAAAAAAAAAAAAATATTGGAAACAATGTTCGATCGGGTTCTTTTTGTTGTATTTAGCCTACCGTTCATTGATGTCAATACCATCTCAGTCACTCCTGAATATATTCATCCAAGTTTCCATTGTCGTTCCTTTTCCGTACAATCTCGGACACTGTACTCACATCACACAGTTTTGTTGCAATCGCCAATCTCATGCTTTATCGACCATACCACCATATGATACCTTCCCATCATATTTTGTTCATCCATTACTGTATAAGACGATTATAGCTTGCCGGATACCGATGTTTATGAATCATATGACTACTCATCATGAAAATAAGAACAAAGAATTCATCTACAGGTTCTATTCCTTCTCTTTGTATTTCGTGTGTATTTGGATATTACACGAATATTGTGGTCTCCACCAGGTGATGACAAACAGAAAGAATGTCAAGACTTACGGAAAGACGGATATCTTATGTCAAAGGAAAGATCGAATGATTGATCTTTGCCGGGTATATAATTGATCATGATGAATACGACACCGGATCCAAGGATTTTAAACTTTATTGAAGGCAATAATCATGTGAATGTTGGTAGAAAAAATGGCTCCCAGAAAAATATGCATAATTTTTTTCGCATGGTTTATGATTCCATGTTTCAAATTGGTGCTCATTACTGATGCAAAGTGCACTGGAGTTGACAGTTTTTCTCTTTCCATTCTTGCTTTCTTATTCTTTTTTACTATTTCTAACTGCTCCTTATTTATGCCTTATGTCTCATCACGATCGTAATGGAAAAAAGCGCGCGACTCCGCCTTCACCGTCTGGTATGGAAAAGGAATTACTCGGGTGGAATGAAAAGCTGTCTGAGCATTCGTTATAGTTGTAGACCCAAATCCAACCTCCTCTGATGACGATTTTCAGCCACCGCTGATCCCAACTTTTAAAATCAAGGGCAAGTCAAAATCGCTTCATCCAAAGAAGAAAACGAAGAAAAGCGATAACGACGGTACGATGAAAAAAATAAAGCCTTTGTGCTCGACTTTCTAGCTTGATCATTACAATACTGAATCGAAATCATTGACTTTGACTGAAACTATACCTGTGCGCCACGGTAAATAACAATGATGACAATGATGTTATCAATACAGACGACTCATTTAGTTTAATTCAGCTGCAGGTTCTTCATCGTCTGTAAAGTCCACTGCGAACGACTCAATTCTAACATCCGAGCATGCGGATGCAGAAAGAACAGCAAAGCACGAAGCTCAAAGGTCTGTAAAAAAACAAGCGAAAAGCGAAGCATCGAATGCGAAAAACCCCATTTGTCCAACATGTGGCCAACCAGGCCATAGTCGATCGTCGAACAAAGCCTGCCTTAAATATAAACCGAGACGGAACACAACTAAGTATTAAAACGAACGTTTACTGTATCATCCAGGCATCTCATAAAATTGCGTGCAAGAACCAATGATTTCTCGATAACTTACAGAACGATGTGGCGCGGTCGCGACGTTAATATACGCCGGTTCACTTTTCGCAAATACCCTATTTTACGATGCCTCAAATGAAGATCGAACGAATCAGCTTTACACCATCGTACTATCTGCGTATTTTACAACCTTGATAACAGGCATCATGTAAACTCTTAAAATGTTACCTGTCAGTCATTAAGATACACACTGCAGCTTCAATGCTCAAATGAAAATTTGCATCTGTAGAGAGAAAGGAACTACTGAAAGTTGCAAAATGTCTTCTTGCAGGAAATAGAAAAGACAATGTTTCAAGAACAAGTCGAATGCGGAGTAAACAGGCAATCTTACAATGACTTGACATGAGCACGACTATTCATGTTTAGTGTTGGAATGTAGTCTCTCTTAATTTATTTAAATTGTTTTTAAGCTTTCAGAGCCTTGGCATGGTGAGCGATGTGATCGGCAATGAAGCTGGCAACGAAGAAATAGCTGTGATCGTAACCCTCCTGATAGCGAATATTCCATTCGTTTTCGCGACCCAATTCCTTGATCACGTCCTTCAAGTTTTCAATATTCAATTCACGCTCCAAGAACTGGTCGCTGGTACCCTAGTAACAAAATCGATAAGAACATGCACATGCATCATTCCCTGACGGATCTCACAACATACCACATCAATAAGCACATCCAGATGCACATCGGGGTGACGTTTCAGCAGTTCGACTGTATCGTATTCCTTCCAGGTATCTTGATTGGAACCGAGATAGTTGGAGAAAGCCTTGACACCCCAAGGACAATGGATGGGGTTACACACTGGCGAGAAGGCAGAAACAGACTTTGACGGAAATCAATGAGGAATGCTCTTTTCTTTTTTCAATTGGAAAAGCTATTTCTTACCTTGAACATGGTGGGGTTCTTGATAAAGATCTGCAAAGCACCATGACCACCCTGTATCCCAGATAAGAATTCGTTAAATTTGCCTCATCACATGCGGTTTCATCAAAAAATTTACCATGGAATGACCCATCACGGAAATACGAGAAGGATCCTAAAAGGAAAAAAATAAAGCAATGCATCAGTATCCTTACTCTTGATATTGTCTTGACAGCTGACATACAATAGGGAACGCTTCGTGTATCAAGCCTGGTAATTCCTTGACGATGTAAGAGTACATGCGGTAATGCTTGGCCCACTTTTCCTCGGTAGCATCCACATAGAAGCCGGCACCTGTCAGCAAAAACGTGGAATGTGAGAGACACATTTTGCAAAGAAACGTTGGCTGTTCAGTGAAATGGGGCTTACCAGTGCCGAAATCCCAGTGATCGCTGTCACCCTCGATACTGACTCCACCTATTGATTACGACAAGTGTCAGTTGTTTCCCTGCTGCTCATGATTGTTATGTATTTTTCTTTACAAACGTACGAGGAGAAGTATCGGGGGCTATCAAGGCCAAACCGTGCTTGGCTGCTTCAGCGAGTGCACCTGCTTTCTGAATAAAGTTATCCTCGTTGCAGGATAAGCCTGACAGGTAATAAATGGCGGGCACTTTGGCTTGGTCGGCTTCCTTTGGAAGAAACACATTGACCTTCATGGTACAACTCAATTGCTCGGAAGCATGTTCATACTTGACGATGTAACCGCCAAATGCCTTGTTACGAGAGATTTCCTTAAACATGACGCACTGAAAGGAATAGGTTGGACTCGCTCTCTCACTGGCCACGGCGGGACAGAAAACTTGACGTGTTACTGCCCCGCGAGTTGGTGAAACCCCATGAAGCTGAGTTTTTATTTCGAAAATAATAAGAGATTCATGATATGAATTGGGAACTGCTTGATGAACGCTGGGCGAATTCTTTGGCTTTTTTCATCTTTGAGCGGTAGACCCCAGTGGTGGTACCGAGAAGAAGTGTCGCTCCAAGGAGCATGGTGAGCAGCGTGACACGTCTTGCCGAGGGGGGCATCGGTTGTGAAAGATCGGCCAATTGTGACCCTATCCAGACCTCCAAGCAGACCTTGAAACAACTGACAGCCGCAGTTATCGTATACTGATAGAAGCTGATACCAGGCATAGTCGACAAGAACAGGTTGGATAGCTGCCAAGGGATCGGCGAGATCCGAATACAAACAATCATCTTTTTGTGCGTCATATGGGAAAACCCCCAAAAAATAGATATGTTAGTGCCTTTCCGGTTTTCGATTCATTGAAAATAGCGTACATGAACTCCACCGTATTGAATGGCCTGTTGCATACTTTGGTATCGTTCTTTATTTTTTGCCGACATCCACCGTGACCAATCCACGCCGTGGCATAATCTAAGAACGTGAACCGTGAGATACACAAGAAGATACAACCGCTTTAATCTACGGTGCCCTACTTGAAACACATCAAGGCACCAACAAAAGCGCCTATAGCAAAAGCATGCAGGTTCAGTCATTGGATCCCTATTGATGTGCACAGTTAAATTATATGTTACCAGAAATGGCCGGCAATAAGCCTTTGGAGAATCCATAGATATAACCGCACATGGTAACGGACAAAGTAAAACCGAGAAAAGGCGGTATTGAAGTAAGTAAAACTGCACCACAAAGTAGTATTGGGCTGTATGGTGTTGAACGTAAGCGGATAGCTATGGATTGCACATCTAGAAGCGAAGCAAGTTAAAGCATTTTCCAATAGGGCAGAGCGCGCTACCTGCAGTGACAATTACATTGAAGCAACGCCGTTTTGGAGTCGAAGCCGTTGGTGCGGCAAAACATCAGATACAGCCAGCCGCAAGCGATTATGGCGAGGAGAATGTTTCTTTTCAGATGCATTATCTTCAGGTATTTGGGGGGAAAAGAAAGGGAAACAAGGTAGAGAAAAACTGTTGTCACGTTTGATATTTAACAGCGTTTCATATACGAAGTAATGTCTCTTATTGCTATCTTTGGTCAATCCGACCGTCGATACAAAATACATGTGAATTTTTGTCGTCAAGTCAGTATTTGCAACCAAAGTTTTATTCAATGACGGTTGTTGTAAAAAATAGCGTATGCTCATAAAGCCGCCCACTGCCCTTGTTAATTCAATATCCGACTTGACTTTGCTCTTTCACTTGAATCGCTCGATCCCATGCGAGCTGCTATGCGTTTCATAGGTGAGAGTGCAGTAGAGGGTGTCTGTGGAATGATGAGAGTATTGACTCAATATGGAGAGTAGACATTGGTGCCAACTTGACGGATCCCATGTTCAAGGGCATCTATCGCGGTAAACAAGTCCATGCCGGTAATGTGCGATTCGTTGTCTGCGCTCTTGTACATGTACTCAGATTTTCGCTTTATCAGACGACACGGACTTGTTACTGCAACGTGCTATTAAGGCGGGTGTTCAGAAACTGATTATTACCGGCACGAATTTGGCGGAATCCAAAGAGGCCATTGAGCAGATTGAGCAAAGTGAACACAAAGGTACAGCTTCGTCTTTCGCTAGGCAGAAAATTCCTTGAAGGAAGGTTTGTCTCAAACGACATATGGTAGACATGTTGTACTGCACAGTTGGGTGCCATCCCACCCGGTGCGACGAATTTGATGCATTTGAGCAAGGCCCACAAGGTTACTTTGATGCTTTACTGGCAATTGCTAAACAACACGCCAAAGTCGTCGCCATTGGCGAGTGCGGTCTCGGTAATACACTGATCCATTATGATTCATGGATGTCTCGGCAAAAACTGACGTCTCTTTCGTTGCCGTTGCAGATTATGATCGACTTCAGTTTTGTGCCAAGGAAACCCAATTGCATTATTTCCAAAAACAGTTTGATCTTGCCGAAATAACGGGATTGCCCATGTTTCTTCACAACCGCAATACAGGTGGCGACTTTTATGACATGATTAAAACAAATCGACACAAGTTCAAGCATGGTGTAGTGCATTCGTTTACCGGATCCATCGATGAGATGCGTGCATTGATTGATCTCGGACTGTATATCGGCGTCAATGGATGTTCGCTGAAAACCGAAGAGAACCTGCAAGTGGTCAAGGAAATCCCAGAAGATCGTTTGATGATTGAAACAGGTCAGTCCGCCGCAGACATTATCATGCAGTCGACAGTGATCTAACACCTGCATATTAAAAATCAAAAAAGACGCGCCGTGGTGCGATATTCGGCCGACGCATGCTTCGCATCAGTATCTCAGCAAGATCCCTGCCGAGGAACAGGCATGCTATTCGCCTCCCAGCAAAAAGAAGGAAAAGTTTGAGCCGGGCTGCATGGTTAAGAGCCGATGCGAACCGTGTACCATCGGGTAAGTAGCAACTCTTTCTTCATTTCTTCCCTGCATCTTTTTCATTAAAACCACCATCCCTACTCCTAGTTCCGTACTGCATGTCATTGCAGCCGTACGAGGCGTCGATCCGCACGTATTATCAGAAGTCGTGTGGAACAACACATGCCAAGTGTTTTTTCCCCCAAGAGATTAAACCACCCAAATAAAAATCCATCCTACCACCAGCGTGCCGATAAAAGAAAATCTAAACCACTCGTTCTCGCAAAGATGATATTAAAAAAAAGACAACATGGATTTGGGGTGACCGGGGTTCTTCTACGCTTAAAGATACAAGCCTTCAGGCGTTCCTTCACTCTTTCTATACAACACCTTCTCACGTGCTTTACGGAAATCTTCCGCTACGACCTTCATACGACGTTCTCGCAATGCCAACAAACCGGCCTCAGTACAGATAGCCTAAAGAAAAAAAAATGCGCATGGGTCAGTTTTTGCAACTTTTTCCTCATTCTCTTGTTTTTGCGCAATAAGTATACCTTGATATCAGCACCGGAAAGATCATCCTTTGACATGACGAATTCTTCCAAGTCGACATCGTCGGACAAGGTCATGCGTGATGTGTGGATGTTGAAGATGCGTCGTTTGGTTTTTACGTCGGGCAGGGGGAATTCAATCTTGCGATCGATACGGCCAGGACGAATCAGGGCAGGATCCAAACTGTCGATTTTGTTGGTGGCCATGATCACCTTGACGTCGCCTCGTGAGTCGAAACCGTCCAATTGATTTAGCAGCTCCAACATGGTACGCTGAATTTCGCGTTCACCGCCCGATGTGGAATCGTAACGTTTGGTACCAACAGCATCGATTTCATCAATAAAGACAATGGAGGGAGCGTTTTCCTCGGCGACTCGGAACAGTTCACGCACGAGCTTGGGACCATCACCCAAATATTTTTGAATCAGTTCCGAACCCACAATACGCAAGAATGTGGCACTTGTTTGATTCGCCACGGCCTTGGCCAACAAGGTTTTACCCGTACCGGGGACACCGTATAAAATGACACCTTTCGGCGGCTTGATACCCATTTCCTCGTACAATTCAGGATGCGTCAAAGGCAACTCCACCGCTTCCTATATGTTGTTTTCACACAAAAATTAGCCATCGGTAGCAACAAGTCAATTTGATAAAAGGAGGACTTGCCTTGATTTCTTGAATTTGTTGTTCCAACCCACCGATATCGGCGTAGGATTCGGTGGGGGCCTTTTCAAGTTTCATGACACTGACCATGGGATCGGTATCTTCACCCAAAACACCGACGACGGACATGGTTTTATGATGCAGCAAGACACTGCAACCCGGTTCTAGTAAATCTTTGTCGACAAAACTCATGACGGAGACGTAATATTCTGGCCCGGTGGACGAAGACACAATAACGTGGTCATCGTCAATGATTTCTTCCAACGATCCTACACTCATGGGAGATCCACGAAGATCATCGACACGTGTTCTTTCTTCTTGATCCTTCTCCTCTTGAGGCTTCAATCGTTCTTGATTCTGCACGAATTCCTCTTCAAGGAGTAAATAATCTTTGATACGTTCCATCTTGAGCATTTTCAATCGACAACGTGATGTGGGGAAAACTAGTGCAATTTAGATGAGCATGTCATTGTCGATGCGCCATTAAATAAATAGATAGCTAGCGCCCCGCATCCTTATGAAATGAACGGGCAAGCGAACGAGCGAGTGACAGCCTACCTTGTGGTAATTTGGTCGACGTGTCGGGTCCTCTCTTCTTCTTTTTGCCCACACGCGTGGGTACGGGAGGTTCCCACTTTTTCTTTTTCATGTCTTTATCCTTTTTTTTTTTTTTTTGGTCTAGTTAGTGTCTTCTGTCCATTGGTCTCTTGGTCCTTCCTCTTCTTACCTTGTCTTTTTTGTTATCGTTGCCTCGCGGCATTCCGGATTGTGAGTTACCCTGTAAATAGACATCAATTTAGCAGTCGTACATTGGTTTTTAGAGAGCGTATTGGGATGATAAAGTACCATTCTGCTATTCTTTGTTCTTTTTTAGATAAAGAGAAAAAGGAACAGTGAGGTGCCGAAGCGGTTATTAATTGAACGATTACGTTGCCCGCGTGCAATTTTTGGGAATGTCGTCAGCGCGACGCTTGTGACTGTCTTTTTCAAGCTGTTCCGTCCTAAATTAGGTCCGCAGGGTGCACGAACGAGGTCAGTGAAGAGATCGTTTTGTGCATTGAGTAGACCATGTAAGTCATTGGTTCCCATTCACGGATTTTTTTTGACTATATGACTGACGCTAATAATTTACATAAAGGGCTGCAAAGAAATCGTCATCAAAAAAGGCTAGCAACAATAAACAAAAGGTACTTGAGTTCTTGGTGCAGACAAAAAGTGTGACGAATAGCTGAAAAATGAACGATGCCCTTAGGCTACGCTCATGGAAGAGGATGTAGAAGAAAACACCAGTGGACCTTTGAATTTGTTAGTAGCGCGACGTTCATTTAAGAATAGCAACTACGTTGGCCCGAAAAAGTCGAAAAATCTTAAACAAATTCTGGCACTGGAAAAGACGATGGATTTGGCCATTGATATACCAACATGTAAATTAAAACAACTGCAAGCCGCCCGTGATAAGTCTTCACTGGTTTAATCATTCCCAACTTTTGTAGATCAAAACATCGAATGTCCCCCTTCAATTTTACCGCAAAAGAAGTATTGCGATATCACTGGTCTGGATGCGCGATACACTGATCCGAAAACTGGCTTACGATATCACAATGCCGAAATCTACCAATTCATCCGATCCTTGGGCGTACCAAACGTACAAGCATATCTGGCCAGCAGAAATGCAGCTGTCGTGTTGAAATAAGTTGCCTACCACCCTTTTTCCCTCTTTTCTATCCTACATTCTTTTAACCTTTCCATGACCATCTCCAAACACATCTTGATAAACGCAAATGCATACACTTTTTTTTCTTGTCTAATCGTCGGAATCCATCCGATGCGGTTCGTCTTCTGCGTCGGAATCGCCCTATATAATAGGAAAGTACGATTAGCAACGTCCGTCCCGGCAGGGTGGTCTGGCTGGCACGCTCTCGTACCATTTCATAGCCTGCAATGGCTTGATCAAAAAGTCCTTTCAGATCATCATTCTTTGGAGGGACCAGTTGCCATGGTGCGAGTTTATCGCGATTCTCGATTCTTTTAAGAAAAAAAAATACTAGGTTAGATGCGCTTGCAGTTAAGAACGACAGAATGGAGTGTTGTACCTGGGATCCGCGCCGGCGTCTATCAGAGCGTCCGATACCGCGAGAGCAATAAATGGGTCTTCGGTGTATTGAACAGCGTAATGCAAGGGCGTGTTGCCTTTTTTATCCTTTGCATTGAGAAGCGCCGGTGTAGCGAATGGGGTCAAAAATTCGATGCAACTCAAGGCACCATACTTGGCTCTAAACTACTGGATGAGATAAAATTGCTTTCCGTGTGATACCACCACACCGCTTACGCGTAATGGAATACGGAGCCTCCCGCCTCATCCTTGAACTGAATATCGCCGTCTTGCAGTAGCAGATCCGCCAGCAAATCGTCCTGATCGTTTTCGCAAGCAGCCAGCATGCGTTCATCTGTAGGCCAGGAGCATGTGTGAGAGTAGAAACGAGAGAGGCTGAACTGTGAATAAAGACTTACTGACTGTAATGGCGTCGTTCGTGTCTGTCATTGTCCAAAACTGAAGCTATGCGTCCGTTCATTTTTTTTCCCTTTTTCTCTTGTGCTCGCGCCCCGCAATGGCAAGTCACATTATGTCACCCACGGAAATTCGCATCTTGTGAAGCATGAATAGGTATTAGGAAAGCTGTTGCTATAAGTTCACAGCTCGTTTAGGATCTTTTGGCGTCGTCTACGAAATGAAAAGTCACTGTGTAAGTAGTGTCTCGTATTCAACTGATACCCACTGCGCTGTGACAGTATGCCAGTATCTTGGCAACCTACGGGACAAGCAAGGTTGGTCTTATTTTTTACGTTTACGATCACTGTGCAGATGAGTATGAGAAGTCGTAGACCGACCGATAATCGATGGGAATGCAAACTTAGAACCCTAATTTAATGATTTCTAATTTTCTAAACTGACAGCATCACAGTAAACACTCCAACGTCCCCGCTACAGTAGCTGTTGCGCTTCGAATTAAGACAGACGCGCTTGGTCAGGTTGATTGCAAAATGAATATTCGGCTTTTCTGATCACCCACTCTTTTTTGATTGTCTCCATTGCCTATTTCATTTGCACCGTTGAACAGTTGCTTGAGCTTGTTTATCAAAGCTGTGTCTCTAACATTTCTCTCACATTCAGTCAGCAAAAAGATACTACACAAATTTTATTTTTATTCACTGGTCGATGAACAGATGCGACACGGCAAAGGCTTTGTAAAGGATCCATGGTCACACTCAGAGACTGTTGTGGATGCATAGAACTGAGGGGTGAAATTCCGAAAGGCCAATAATAATGGACGAGCATGAGCAAGAAAGGGTGAAATAAAATTGACAGCTCCGCCACTTTTTGGCGTCCGACGGCTTGGCAACAAGAGACATAATGAATTCATCAACTGCAACTCAAAAAAACGAGTAGAAAATATCCGTCCAAAAAAAGAGAGTCTTCCTTCATTAAGCTCAGAAACATCATTTTAGCTGATGAAAACGGTCTCTATAAAATCACGCACTGGTGTGCGTTTAGGTCGTTGACAGCGGGCGGCATAGGGTCACTTTTTCTTTCTATGGCGTTGAATGAAATGGGGAGATATAAAATGTGCGTTTATGTGCAGTTGGATACTAACGAGGTATCTGTAAGAATGCGGAGTTCTCGAAAGTGATAATAACTTTGAGCATACCTCCAAGTTGCACAAAATTGAATCGTCCATCATCCAGGGGTACTCTCAGGCCGCAAACTTATTGGGCTGGGTTCAAGTATCATCAATGCCGGAAACGTTTTGGACAGAGAACTGATCAAGGACAAAGTGAATATGGGACTCCACTTCTCCCAGCGACCCTAAAATCCATGTGATTAATGTCAGGAATTCCTGATATATCTCTTCAGAGTCATACCGACCGTGAAACTTGTATAAAGAAAAGAAAAAATAGGGCCACTACAATTACAGTTGGCTAGTCAAGACAACGGAGAGGAGCTAAAAGAAAGAATACTGCTTATCGAAAGATAGATTGCATCGAAATAATACATACTGCATCTCAAGTAATATAAACTTCATATTGCTATTTATAAATCAGTGCCTGTAACTGAAGCTGGTCGAACACCAATGTAAACATGTTTGAGAGTTTGCCTTGGGCCGGGATTTTATTGCTGATATCCATCCGGGCACCTCATTTTTGGAGCCGGAAGTCACTGAGATGTGTCTGAATACTTGATTATATTTTACTTTACAAGTGGAAAAATATCACTGAGATTGTCACAGAGCCAGAAATTGGCAGAGATTTATCAACGTTTTTTGTCACTGTCATTGACCAATTTGTCACTGAAAAGAATGATACTAAACTTTATTGCGTTTTCACATTCCGGTGCCTAGGCTGTCTGGAAGCATGAATCACATTCGCCATTCACAGCCACCTTTTCCATGTTTAAAACTTGATAAATTATTGGCTTTTCACTCATTTTGTGTATCGTTACACGAAGATGGCCATGGTCCTCATGGACTTATTTTACACTCAACGGAGGTATATATAGACATCCACAGCAAAGAGACTGCTGAAAAAAAGAGGAATTGATGGAGAATAATCATTGATAAAAAAAAATGAAGGACAAGCTATGGATAAACTAGTCAGTTTCACGTGCAATCACTACAGCGACGGGTATACTTCAGGAGAATAGAGAGTGTGTTCATTCAAGTCATCCGTGCCATTTTCCAGACTCGCTTTTTGAACTGGACGAGGCGAGTTGGGCCGAAAATATCTTTCTCACCAAACTATCATCGGAATATCAATTCTGTCTTCCCTTCTTTTTTTATCCATTCATTCATTTTTCTGGGGCTCTCTTCCCTTTCCTTGTTCTTTTTTATCCTTTTTTTTTATCCTTTTCCTTGTCAACCGCTGCATTCTAGCCATGGACCGATATGGAAGACCCGATGCACGAATGTACCAGCCCAATGACCCGTATCGAGCCGTAAGGAAACCTCCCAGTCCAGGTAAAAAGCTTCATTCCCAACTGCATGCCTTAGCATGGCTCGATCTCATTCTTTTGCGGCTTTACTAATGCCCAGCTTTCTCAATAGATTCGTCCGAATCAACTGGCATTCCTATGGATTCCGACTTTATGCATTCCAGAACGGCATCGGATTCAAGCACAAGTCGGCTGGCCACGGGTGTTTCAGAATCAGCGAAAAATCAGGGTGATGTTTATAACAATTACGATTATTACGATCAAGATCCGTACGCTGTGCCTGCGCGTGGTCACCAAAAGCGGCAACATCGAAAACGAAAAGATGAAGGGCAGCGAGCCAATTCCTATCTTCCTTATTCCCACCATCGACGAAATCCCTACGGAGCCCACGAACCCGTCTACTTGGAAGAAGAACGATTGCCTAGTTTCATTTCGCCCGATCGAGACGGACCGGTAGGCTCGATCCTCCAAGACAACATCATCATGGACACCGTCGATCATTTGGATCCCATCGACGAAACCCAGAAATCACATCAATTGCTGGAACCGTTACCTTCAGGGAAAAAGAAACGACGGTGGTGCGGATTGCGGAGACGAACCATTGTGTACGTTGCGTTTGTGTTCATCGTTATTGTGGCGGTCATTTGGTATTTCGTGTGGCCGCGAGTACCGACGCTTCAGTTTCTGGATGCTGATCTGCGTGAGGAACCACCAGCCAAAGGCCCGCCTCCAAATTTTGAAGTACACCTCAAATGGAACATTAGTATGACCACCGACAATTCGGAAAATTGGGTGCCTACGCACATCAAAGCCCTCACCGTGGAAGTATTTGACGATAATACACAAGAGAAAATTGGCACGGGAAGTTCGGGGCCGTTGGTATTGGCAGCGAAGAAATCACAGACGATTCCCATGAACATCGACATTGATTATGGGCCCAAGCGGCAAGCCACCGACACGTACAACGACTTGTTGGGCGCCTGCTATATCTCCAAGCAGAGCACGGTGCCAGAAGACCAGGAAAACCTCAAGCAACAAAAACTCAACGTCATCTTCCGAGTCACCTATCACATCGCCGGCTTCGCTTGGACCACCACCGCTTCGGTTAAACCGGCCAACGGTTTTGCATGTCCCACAAAGTAACCAAAGATCTTTCCAGCCAAAAACCTGATACCCCAAGTCACCCATGTCTGCTTAATTACCAAGATTCATCTTTTCTGTACCTTTAATAAATCCATAAGCTGCCATTATTGCTTCTGTTTTCAGTTCTCTTATTTATTTATTTATTTCTTCCACAGACAACGTTGGAACTTTGGACAGAAGCAAGCAATATCTCTCGTGATGAATAAAAAATTTTGGCGTGATGAATTTAGATAAGTATAGTTTACAGTTGTATGCAATTGCATTGGTCATGACTATGTTATACAGTATACGGGACATGATGCGCCTGATGAACAAGTGTCACATTTCTGGAATGTATTCCGGCGAATATGTAAACTTGCAATTCACAGAAAATGACAGTCGCATATCAGGCGGTCAATTTGTCGAATATATGCAAATGCATTGCTTGCCGGTATCATCGATGTTGTTGGCAGAAAAAAGAAAAATAAAAGGTAGATTCTGCTTGTGATCATGCAATGAATGGCAGAAATTCAGAAGACGCCAATGGATTCCTGACGTCAATATTTCCATGTTGTCTCCCGTATTTCTGATCCTCAAAAACAAGGAGGCATAGCATCGTCATATGGGTCAAGGTACAGTTCTGTACGGTCCTGGCTTTAATTATTCCAGACAATTCATATACATTCGCGACGAAAAAAAAGGGGAGGGTCAAGTATAAATCAATCATTCCTATATGCAGATAACACGTTGACTCAATTTACTCGTCCTTTCGTTTGATATGACCCACTCCATTTATCGATCGTTCGTTAACTTGCCTGATGGCCGAATGCAAGACGAGCAAGTCGATTCTTTTGTCAACAAAAAGTACTCAACAATTATTCAGCTACCGCTCACGGCCTCAATATATTGAGTAGTTGGTCGTTGTCGATGGGATTCTTAAAATGACGATTTCTCATAATTACATAGCGGATTTCGAACGCTGCAACAAATTGAAAAACTTTTGATGTTATGAAAATTTGGAAATTCAGAGATTCTTAAGTAAGCTCCAACTGTTCCCGATATATCCCAAGGGTAACTACGTAATTCTGGCAGCTTTCGTAGGGTGGAGTACAAGAGGGTTTTTGCGTCATTCAATAGTTCAGGCTAGGAGATATATGACGATAGATGCATCATCGAGTCGATTGCAGTAGAGAAATACAAGAAGATTCCGCATGACGTTGGCTTTCATAAAGAGGGCAAGTCGCATGATATTAAGATTGGAACACAACTGTCGTTGATGAGTTTGGAAATTCCTGTTGCATCATCCAATCCACGCTTGTTTTCTTACCTGTGCGTCAGGTTATACCATTGTAATACAAGTTTTTCGGCCATATACCAAACGCGGTATGGACAGAATTTTTTTTTTATGACAACGGGTGCACAAAAAATGTGTATTCGTCAAAACATTGCAAAACCATGGCAATAGCCTCAAATCGTGTTTATTTTTATTTGGAGCCGATATCATATTCACCGAACCCAATGCCAGCATGCAATGCAGTCTTGGTACTGCAAGCCATATTCAAATTGGCTATAATGTTATTGAATAATTACTCATTTGTATGCAGTTTTTTGAAAAAAAGCCATCACAATATTCGCTTCGGAGTACAATATAACAAGGTAGCTTCTCTGGCAACTTGGAAATAGAGTTCCTATCGTTCCCTGTACGCAAGAATGATGAAGAAAAAGGATGCAATTTTGCAGTGGCATCGGGTCGGAAGCAATAGCAGAGAATAAAAAGGTCGTACAGAAAAATTTTTTCAATTTTTCGGAAACATTGCAGCAATGGTCTTGATTTATTGATCGTATATTGTCCATTTATTCAACGGCGAATCGATCCAGTGCAGTCCTAGTTGGGTTGATATTTTTCAGTCATGGAAGCGTGATCCCATTGGTGCAATGTGGTTCTGTGAAAAAGGCGGCAGCTTTCAGCAAAGAATATGAATCATTAAACAAAAAAAAAAGAATATGAAATCAGGTCGTAGAAACTCGTCGAATGATCCCGAATTCCAAAGTGTTCGTATAACCTGTATTGGTTCACCGCGAATGGCTCATGATGGAGACACTCCGACTGTATTAAACAGCAGCCCAACAGGTCCATAAGAGCTTGCCCATCCAAAGATCCCACTGAGGAGTAGTAACTTGGCAGCAATGATAAAAGTGGCAAGGGGATTGCGCAATGGGTCCGTGTAACAGGTATCAAACTCAGCAATGGCTTCTTTAGAATGCGGCACTTCTTTGAATTCTCCTTTTTCCCGGCTTTCGTATGTCATTGCCGTCAATGTCATTACTACACATACTTCCGCCCGCTCGCTTCTGGAATAAAGATTTGAAAAGTAGATTGTCCATCTCCGCGGTCGATGCGACCATTGGGGGACTCTTTCTCCGATGCCATCTTAAGAAGAACACTTTGTCGGTCTTGCTATATGAAACGTATAAACTACAATTCAGGGATTACAAAAAAAAAAAAAAATGAAGCGTTCAATGAACAAGGTTGAACTTTGTAATGCGCGTTTAATGAGTTACACAATAACACAATCTGAAAGCCAATATGCTAATCGATGTGACCCGGTGGCGATGCCTTCCGAAGAAAAAAATTTTTTTTTTAAGTTGCCCAAACGGCGAAATGCGGATCTGGCTGATCTGTTCAACATGGAACGTGGGTGATGGGTTTGTAGTTAAACGTCTGTACAGTGCTACACGTGCAAATTATTGACAGCATGTACATCAAATCAAAACCTCACTCACAAATACATGATCCACAAAAAGAAATACAAAAAATAAAACGGGAAAAGAAATATAGAACAAAACAGCTGGACTAAATTGTATAATTCCCGCTTTTTTTTGCTGAGATGGCTATATTTTTTACTTTTCATTGTGGAAGCTTTTTTTTCGGGTTGAGAAAGTCACATGGTCTCCTTATGGCTAGCTAGACACCCTTTTTTTTTTACACTTGTGAGCCGACCCAAAAATTATAGACACTCGGCTTCATTAGTTCCAATCTTGTTCAATCCCGGTTGCTTCGGCGATGCAATGAAAATAAAAAAATTATCAGGCCAGTCTAGCGCAACCGTAGCACAAAAGGTGGCTCTAGCTGCATGATCGTTTCACCATTCTTCCATTTTTTCCAATCAGGCAATAAGCCAAGGGAGAGTTCATCTTGTTGAATGCTCGAAATCTAGACCCGTCTTCTTGATCTCTATTTTTTTTCTGTGGACATCAATGACCGCTCTTGATCATCCAAAAGAGGTTCGAACAGCTCAGTCTATTCATAGATAACGCCACAGATCATTTAGTTTGAACTCATTAGCTTCCGAACCTTCCCAGCGGTCCAATCGCTGAATAAATGAGTCTGACATAATTTCACTCCGCTCAGTGAACCAATCAGAGATTAGGTTGAAATGAAAGCAGCTCAACGACTCAATAAAGAACGAAAAGAAAATATAGTTCAGTACACATGTTTGCCAGTGGACCGAATCGACGGATCCGAATGTACGGAAGGTATAATCTTACGTATTTGGTGTGAAAAAGAAATCAGAGAATGAATGACCCAAAAAGACAAATGTGTATAAACACATCGAACCCCGTTTGAAGGAATTCGTCTCCCGCTAACAGATTCCGTTCCCGCCCGTCTCCCCCACGTTTATAAAGTTGCACTTGTTTTTTTTCAGTCTTCTTTTTTGCTTCCTCGGCTGATTCTTTGGTTCTCTTTATCAGTATACGATTCTACTCTACTCTCCTCTACAACAACCAATATTTATAACAAAAAACCCATTGCTTGTGAAATAAGGAACCAGTTCTTGGCAAAATGATGGTGAACGCTTTTGGAAAGACCAACGAACTGAAAATCGAAGTTCTCAACGATGTCATCCAGCTTCGTGGCCAAGCCGACGAAGCGGCAGGCAAAGTGCTGCAGGGATCAGTCTTGCTCAACCTCGCCGAACCTTTGAAAGTTCGAACGATCCAACTCAAATTCACTGGCAAGATGAAGGTCCAATGGTCCGAAGGTATGGTATCCATAGTGAGATCACTGACTGTTTCGGTCAGATCGGCTTGGAGTTTATTTTATCTTGTTCTTGAATGGTTTGACTGATGGTTGGCTGGATTTTTTTTTTATATCTTTTTAGGAATGGGCCATCACCAGTACTCCCATAAACAAGAGCGTACGATTATTACCCATAGTTGGCAGTTTGTGCCACCTCACAACGGGCATTCCAAGAAATCTCAGCTTTTACCTGCGGGACGACACAAATGGGATTTTGAATTGATGTTGCCAGGCGATTTGCCCCAGTCGCTCAATTCTGATATCGGTCGCGTCACGTATCGTCTCAAAGCCGTCGTGGACCGACCGGCGTTCCATCAGAATCTTGTGAAGAAGAGACACATCCGTATCAACCGCTGTATGCTCAATGAATTCGAACTGTCTCAGTCGTTGGAAATTCACAATACGTGGGCCGACAAAATGGTGTACGATATTTCGCTTCCAACCAAAGTGTACGCTCGAGGCGAATCGATCCCCATCTCATTCAACATTCTTCCCATCGCTAATAAGCTCAAAGTGCGTTCGATCATGGCCACGCTCAAGGAATACTGTACCTACACCGCAAACGCACACAGCAAAACTGATATGCGCATCATTCGATTCCTTCGTCAAGAAGACCCGTTTTCGGAAGCCGTGCTCACTGGGGAGACGTCATGCTGGACTCGAGTGTTAGACATGGATGTGCCTCCGCAATGTCCTTTAATCTTTTGCGATACAGATAATGAGATGATCAAAATTCGACACAAGCTCAAGTTTATCATTTCACTGGAAAATGCGGACGGTCACTTGTCGGAATTGCGTTGTGCGGTGCCTGTGGTGATCATTGACTCGCTCATTCAGCAAAGTGATCTGCCGACCTACGACGAAGCGTGGCGTTCCGTGCCTTATGATCGTGCGGTCTGGGATGCACTTCGGTCGCAACCGACTCGTCCTCATCCCGTCTCCATGGCCAGTGCGGAACGTTTGGTCGAAAGCCGGCAGCCAGTCACAATTTCCAGTTGGACAAGGTCGCTCTCCGTCACTTCGGGCGCCGTGCAACCGGCCCAACATTCCATTTCAGAATCGGACGAAAGCAATGTGGACGCTGAGTCTGAAATGTGGTGGAATGGCGTCGATTTGTCCAAGGTGCCCTCTTACCAGTCTGTGAACCACATGGATTTATCCTTGTTGTCCTGCTCTTTACCTCCTGCCTATGATTCCTTGTGCACCTGGCCCTCGCGCGGCTGTCGCTAAGCACGACCACTTGGTCTCACTTCTTCCATGTCACAAAAATTCCTTCTTACATATATCCCATAGCTTAGTCATGTCTTCATCTCTGCAAGTTCTTTCACGCTATTTCTATTTCCATTTGCAACGTTTACATTCATTAGTTCATTTTGTTTTTCATCCTATTCATATTTTCTGCCTCTCTTACTGCACTTGGTGCTTTTACATTCCTCATTTCAATAAATAAGACATTCTCAACATACAACATATCCAATATGGTATTTCAACAATGACATAACAAGCCGTACCAAATAGGAAGCAAAAAGTCATAAAAGATATTTGAAAGCCCGGCAGCCTTTTTTTTTTTTTTTTAAAAAAAAAAAAAAGAAGTGCAAGGTGCCGAGTTTTATGACGGACAGGTCAGGTCAAGAAAAGAAAGGGAAAAAGGGATTTTTCCTGGAGTTTTCTACATTTGAACAGGTTGTGTTTTGAATGGATTGACAGTTGAGTGGAGTTACTAATGTCACAACAGAAAAACAATGGAAATTTTGGACGCGACGTTAGGCCAACTGTTTCGTTACTTTACAACATTTTTTCAGGTGCCATGGTTATTAAGCTTTATTGCTGTTTTTGTCAGCCAGGATCGTCAACTATAAATCTCGAACCATCTCACCACATCCCATCTAACGAAAAAAAAGCTGGAAAATGAAATGGAAAAAAAATTGGCAAACACAAGAGCTAAAACAAAAGCCAGCTTTCTTTCCGCACCGGAAGATGACAGGAAAAATGACGAAGGGAAAATACAAAAAAAGATTACGTGGAAGATTACGGTTTTCAGATTACCTATCTGTCTGGCGGAGAGGACGCAACGAAAATAAGTTCACACGTATCGTGAGACACGATTGGCAAAGACTTATCCAACCATTCAACGATTTCGGCGAAATTCGAAGATATTGCTTTTGTATCACCTCCTGGATTATCCCGTATATGGGCTTTCAACCGGCCTTGAGCAAGCCAATCTACTCCAAGGAACCATACGTAAAATGAACTATTCAATTCATTATATTACGCGGAGCTCGCTGGGAACCAATCGATCTGCAGATGAGATTCCGCGGACGGTGATCGCATGGCGGGTTGTGGGGAACAGAAAGAAAAAAAATTAAACTAGATTCCACAACTCACCAATAAGGAATAAACAATGGTATTTCTCGCTTTCGATTCATGGATAGCTTGGTTGCTTGCGTTTTGAACCACACTGAGGGCATTGTGCATCCTCTGGTCAAGGTCCGATCCATCGCTTGTGCATCAGCAAATATCTCTATTCTGCATCTGTTGTTGCCCATACAAGGAACATTTCACAGAAAAAAAAAGTCGGACTTTGGGGGTGGGCGAACCGTTTGCCCGGAATTGAAAACAAGGGGTCATCCACTGCTGCAGCTCCAAAAGAGGCAATCGTCATTCAGACCCCGACATCCGCGCCTCTCGGGCAGAGAGTTAAAGAAGTATCAAGAAGAAGTGTCTTGGACGGCATTTATTAGGCGCTTGGGAGGAACTGATATAGAAAGTAGCAATTTTTTACTGAATGTCAATCGAATAAACCTTGCAAACCTCGATTAAACGTTTGGAGCGCGGGGAAACATGGTTTTATACCTATTTTTTTTGGTCAAATACTGAGTCGCAAGGTCTGCTAACCTCAGACCAGCAACATACTATGAACAGACAAGGACCTTATGGAAACACATGACGGCACTTTTTCATAATATATAAGCGGTTTGTATTGAGGGCGGGATTGTGTTTTTTTTCTCTTTTCATTTCTTCAACGCTTTCTTCCTTAGCTTCTTAACTTTTTCTTTACTTTATTGCTCCTTCTTGCCTTACTTCCTGGCTTTACTACCACTTCTTTACCCTTTCAAATTTTCCCCCCTTCAAACTGGCCATTTTCAAACCAAAGATTACTGTCCAAGCCATGTCTGCTACCAACTACGCCTATGCCAACATTCCAATGTACTCTGGTTCTCTTGTTTCCGGGGCCGAGACCTCGACGGCCTCGACTGATGTGAGCTCTTGTGCATCTGTCACTGATCGGTCTTCGCCTTTGCGGGCAATGGCGTCTGCCTCGTCTCCTTTGGTCTCCCATTATCTTGTGGACGAAGCAACCGATGCTTCGGATTACAAACGCAAATGGGATGACTCGTTCACGGCTGCTGAACGTGAAGCAGCCAGTGCCAACATTGCCAAAGCTCTTCGTACGTAAAACCTTTCAAAATCAATAGCCAAAATTTCATTGAACAGTGTATTCATGACTCATTTTTCCATCCAAAAATTTTTCCTCCACCCTTTTCGTTGTTATTTTTTTTCGATAACGCAATAGATATCGAGAATTTTGAAGATAATTCATCCACTTCATCGCGTGATGACACCAGTCAAGGTAAGATATGCTACCTGCATCTCCAGCCAGCATTTGCAATACACGACTCACACATACTTGCCCTTTTTTTTTATTAGAAAGCGACGATGGTCATAGCAAGAAGCCAGGTAGAAAACCTATGGCCGAAGAAGAACTCGACGTAAGTTCTTTTGATCCAATCCTTGCGTGTTGCTGAATGTTATTTGTGATCTAACCATTTCATTTTTTATTACAGGATGAAGAAGATCCAAAGGTTAAGCGCAAAGCGCAGAACCGAGCAGCTCAAAGAGCGTTTCGAGAACGCAAAGAACGTTACGTGAAAGAATTAGAATCCAAGATCAAGCATGTTCAAGACACGCATTTGTTCGCTACGGCTCAGCTATTTCAAGAAAACCAACGGTTGCGCTCGGTCATTTATCGTCTTGAAACCGAAAATATGGCTCTCAAGGGTGTTTCCATGGCCGGTCCTGATGAAACCGATCCATTGTTCTTCAAGTCAACCTATCCTGGCTGGATGCCGCCCATGTATGGTTATCAACCCATGCTGGTCCCCGCAATGAGTTTAGACTCGATTTCATCTTTCCATCGACAAACTCAATCGGACCCAAAGTATTCTCCTGCCATGTCTCCGGTGCCTATTCTTCCTCAACACCCGCTCTCTCCTCAAGAGCCCCACCCAGCAGCACGTCATCATTCTTCTCATCCTTCACACCAACAATCAAGCCCTTCCATTCGACCTTCTCCTGTTCCTCATTCTCACGCCCAACGACGAATGGTGTCTCAAGACCCTCAGCAATTTACTTTTTCTATTACTACTCCCGATACTTTACGAGCTATTAATAATCAACAACAGTCGGCTTCATCCCACCGCAAGAACTCCACCGCCTCCACCGAACCTATTGAACTGGTTCAACTGTATCCTGACCACAGCCATCCTGCTACCCAACATCAAAAGAAACGCCATGCGTCGCCGGTGCCGCTGGCTAAAGAAGCCAATTCGCCCGTCCAAGGCAGCCAAAGTGTGGCTTCGATCGAGATCGAAGAAGAAGAAGATAACGACACGGTGCGCAGCATTTTAAGCGAGCCTGTTTTTGATTCCCATGGTGAGCTAATTTTGCCCGATGAGGAATTAAAAAAGGGCGCATCCTTGCATGCCGATACTATGCTGTCAACGACCACGGGCGATGCAGGTACCGACGATCGAGCACGGACGTCCAACCTGACCGCGGCTGCGAATGAAACACAAAAACATCACATCAGTTCGCCTTTATGGCAACGCTTAAATCAACATGCTGGCACGCCGAAATTTAGTGTGGACCAACTTTTAGAAGCCGTGAAGAAATCTGCCAAAGGCACTGCCAATGACCAACGCCTTTTACACGAATGGGAAATAGAGACCATGATGCAAGAAATCAATTAACTTTTTTTGACATCATATGGATATGTATTATACCGGGCATGCATGCCCATCACAAACATTTTTTTTTGTTATTTGTTATTTATTATGTAAATAAAATCATCGTTTTTTACATCGCCACCCAAAGGTTCCCTACCCACCCGAGTGGGCTGAATCCCCACTAAAAGCCAAGAAAGTGTTAGATAGCGTGGTAAGTCTCACACAAAACTTAACCCCGCGAATCTCCCCACTTGTGCAACAAGGGGGCAGGTTAGTAGACAAACCACGGCCATTGATTGGATCTTGGTGGTTACAGTGGGAACCAATCCAACCGCGAAACCGTGACTGCGACAATATAATTTCACACGACAGACTTGGGTTGCTCTAATATCCTAGAATGGTAAAGAGCGAATAGCTCATGGTTACGGTGTTTGGGTGCACACAACCAAGTGTGGTTCAGTGATCAAAGAAAATACACGTCGAAGAGAAATCTACTTTTTGTGTGCTGATGTTGTTACTTTTTTCGGCTGATTTTCATTTTACCAATGGAGGGTCATTGTGTGGTGCTTCACCAGTTCCGAGACACTCGGGATGCGGAGATACATGTTTCCATACTAAAGTGTGGAGGATCTGGGGGAGAGAGGACGGGGAAAATGCGGGGAAAGCGGGATATCAGGAACATCCGCTGATGTATCATGACGGGACAATGACTAGTGAAAACGGTATGACTTTTTTTTAAAAGGAAAAATACTGACTGGAAGGGTGAACCCTAATATGACATAATGAGACTCAAGGGTCTTTGAGGCCATTTTTTGTTTAATCAATCGGATGGTTTGTCTCGTTAGGTTGTCTTATCGATTACATAAACACACGATTTAGCCTTCCTCCACTCATTTCATCCGAACGGTCAATTGGATCACTCCATTTTTACCACAACGGGAAATCAAAACACCATGAAAGCCAGGGAAAAAAAGGTGGTGCGTTGTTTAGCACGGATTAATATTCGCCCCTTCAAGAGTTGACCCTTTTTTTACAATTCAGCTGTTTCGAATGAAGCTGGCTTCTGTCAGGTATAAATATTGCCCTTCTTTTTTTCGACCCTTTTTTGTTTTCTTTATTTCTACAATTAGTGTCACATTCATCTATTTTACTTCTTTCTTTCTTTTTTTGTTTCCATTTTTTTTATTTTTTTAATTGATGCCAAGCTCTTCCTTTGTTCGTCGGTATAATTCACCGCTGGTGCAAGTGATCCTCCTGGGTCTTGTGTGTCTGTGCTGCCCTGGCATGTTCAATGCATTGTCAGGTCTCGGTGCCGGTGGGTCCATGAGTTCCAATGTTGCCTTGACTGATGCAGCCAACGGTGCTCTTTATGGCTGCTTCGCTATTGTTGGTTTCTTTGCTGGTTCATTCACCAACACGGTGGGTGTCAAGACAACGTTGACGGTAAGGTTTCACATACAATTGAGACTCCGCGAGATAAAAAAAATCTTTTTTTACTTAATTTGTTATTTTGTCTTGGGTGTCTAGATCGGTTCCGTGGGTTATGCCATTTATTCCGCTGCTTTCTGGGTATATGATCGTAAGCAAGTATCTGGTTTCGTTATTGCGGCTGGTGCCATTCTTGGTTGCTGTGCTGGTGTGTTCTGGTCTGCTCAGGGTTCCATCATGATGTCGTATCCCGAAGAGAAGAACAAGGGCAAATACGTTGCCATCTTTTGGTCGTTGTTCAACATTGGTGGTATCTTGGGTTCTGTCATTGCTCTTGCTTTGAACTTGGAGAATGAAGCCGGTGGTGTTTCCACGGGTACTTACACTGCGTTTGTGGTGATCATGATTGTTGGTATCTTTTTCTCCTTGTCGCTCAGTCCTCCTTCGCGTGTGGTGCGTCCCAACGGTACCCAAGTGGCCGTGGCCAAATCAGCTCATTGGACCCATGAATTGAAGGGTGTTCTCCTTCTTTGGAAAGAATGGCGCATGGTCGCTCTGATTCCCGCATTTTTAGCTTCCAACTGGTTCTACGCTTACCAATTCCGTGTGAATGCAGTGTATTTCAGTGCTTCTGCTCGTGCTTTGAACGATACCATGTACTGGGCTTTGCAAATTATCGGTTCCTTATCGATTGGTTTCTTGCTCGATTACCAGGGTTTGGGTCGTCGCGCTCGCGGTCTCGTCGGTCTCGGTGTTCTCTTTGTCGTCTTGATGGCCGTGTGGGCCGGTGGCTTTGCTTTCCAATTGACATTTGACAACAGCTACAACAATCCTCTCGGCTGGAAAGATTCCGGATTCGGTGGTCCTTTTGTCTTGTACATGATGTACGGTCTTTCCGATGCCTTGTATCAGACCTACCTGTACTGGCTTATGGGTGCCATGTCCAACGACCCCTCTTTGCTTGCTCGCTATGCCGGTTTTTACAAGGCCATGCAATCTGCTGGTGCAGCTATCTCTTTCGGTCTCGATGCTGTGGATATTCCTCTTCGATGGGAATGCTTGGTTTGCTGGCTTCTCGTGTTTGTGTCGTTCCCCTTGATCTTTCTGGTTGCCAACAAGGTCACCGAAACCAATATGTCCGTCGACGAAATCGCTGCCGCGGAAGGTGTGGATGGCTCTGACATCTCCGATAAACACAGCAACTCGTTTGTCGAAGTCTCCGAAGGCAAACCACAATACAACCTTGCCTAATTTTGGTCTATTTTTTCCCTGATCATATTTTTTTCATTGGCCCTCTCTTCTTTTTTAATTTGCTCCCGCTACTCCGCTTTTTCCTTTTGTTCCCATCTATTTCCCGCCCACTCGACATTTTTATACATATTTTGTTTCGTACTTTTTTGTCTATTTTTTTCCCCAATTCACCCGTTTTTCCTTTATTGGATCTATTCTTACTTTTTTTCCTTCATATTATTCCGCGATTCTCTTCGTCCTTTCTCCTTCTTTGCGAGAGCCCCTCAAGGTTGTCTATAGATTATATCTCTTTTGATGATATCACATGTAAATTTTTGTAATAAAAAGAAAAAAAGAGAGTTATTATCCAAATTGGTGTCATTTTTCCTTGGTCAGGACGTTTTTTAATTATGTGTCACCACGGTTATTAAAAAAAAAGTGATCGTGACACCAAAAAAGCGTGCATCTGGAGGGAAAATCATTGCAATTCCGAAAATACTACAATTTACCCGCACGATCGGTCGGTCGGTCGCATTATGTCAGCCAGCTGAGTGCAACCAAAGGAAGGGAAAACCAAGTTTCAAAGAGATAAACAACCCATGTAGCGAATCGTTACTATGCCCAAATCGTTACGATGGCATATGATCGTCAACTCCGTCGATTGGATTGTTCACGTGGGTATAGGGTCGAGCAGATTTCGTCAGGGTATCATTTTTTTTTTTTTTTTTTTAAATGGAGGAACTTGTGCTGCGGTGATGCGACGTGGAGCTCCATGTGGCCACTGACAACGCCAACGAAGCAATATCGTCATCGGTAGGGCCGCCATCCATCAACGGTCGATGTCGGCGCAAATCCGTATGAACGGAGCTATTGGAACCGGTAAAACTTCCACGGCGCGATGATCCATATCCCGCGGATCCATGCATTATCGATCCTCCATTTCCGTCTTCGTCGTCCGAGGATGACAAGGGACCTCGATGGGTGTCCTGATCGTAAGAGTGGTGGTCTAATCGGTAGTCCATGTGATGCAATATGGCGGCCAAATGTTTCATAATGTCCATGTACTCTTCCTGAGTCAGAGGCATCGCACTAAACCGGGCCCGTTCGTAGCCTTGCAGATACACTCGGCCCAAATGACTATCGACCAGATCCTGCTGAATCAGAAACTCAATGTATTGATGGATGGAAACACAAGTGGGTCGCGCATATTCCCTGTCAATCTCCATCACCGCTTTCTCTACAGCCTCCAATCGTCAGGGATTTTTTCTTAAATGGATGACGGGATATATAGGACAGAAATCTTACCAATGATGGAAGGTGTTCTTGCAATTGCTCGTTTGAAGTCGACGCCCTCAAACATGGGCGTGCCTGGTTTGGCCCATCCAATCAGCGAGATATCCTCCGGTAACGGTTCAGCAGCTTTACGCACCCGCTGAGCCTCGTCAAAGCCTTGCTGAATTTTTTTGAATACTTTCTATTGCAACATATCAATAAAATGAATCTGAAGAGACTTCACAGGACGGGTCTTTACCTTGGGAAGATCGTCTTCTTTGATAGGAATGTACAGCTTGGGAATATCCTGCAACGATCCTCGCACCGTCAATACTCGACTACATGAAAACCACAAGGAAGCAATGGCCTATCGTCTCTGTTAATCATTGAAGAACCAAGAGTAGAAGTTCAAGCAAAACGTGTGCACTGACCAGCACTAGATAGCTACCGCCGACCACGACCAGATTGCGGTAATCAAAGAGACCCGAGTCGGTACGATCGGTAAGAGCTTGAATGATGACATCGGCGGCTGAAATGGCAATACACACTGTAGTTAGGAAGATTAAAAAGAATAAAGACGCCGTATAAAGGTAGTGAGCTTTGCGTGATGTCTTCATGATGGCGGTGAATGCATATGTCTGGCTGAAGCCCAGTCCATGAAGGCACCAAATTTTCTCTTATGCTCATTTTTGTCCCCATTACCCAAAAAGGAAAGTCGGATGACGCTTGTAAAAACAAAACTTTGGGTCGACCATCGGCCAAAACCCGCATACTCTTTTTTTTTTTTTTCGCAAGGTTTGAAAGCACTCACCATGGCCACGTCAGGCAAACCGGGGGGTGAGAAAGCTTCGGGATCGGCCCTTTCGTCTGTTGTAAACGACTTGATTCGAGCCGCTGCTGGCGGTGATGCTCGTGACGTAGCCGACGACGATCTTGACAAGTTTGTAGCCGATCTCATCCTGAAAGAAGCGGCGGAAAAAAAGAAGAAATACAACGACATTGGTGTACGCGCTTACTCTCCTAATCCGTCCATGTATGTATTTAATATGGATCGATGGGTCTACCGTGTCGCCGTGTCACTGACGCCTTGATTGTAATTTACACTTGTAGACGACCCAGCGATATGCCAAAACCAAACAAGCGTTTTTTGTTAAATATGGTCAAAGCAACCGACAGTCATAATCAAGCTGTCATTAGAGCCGCCGAAAGAAATGCTTCTAGAGCACATCAACGACTACACCACCGCGACACAAGCTCAAGTCGACACCGACGACGATCCCGATCACGCTCATCGTCGTCATCACCGTCCCGCAAGCGAACGCGAACTAGCACTCGATCCCGCTCCCCTTCCGATTCCCGTTCCCGATCAAGGTGTGATGATGGTGGGAGCCGAACCGATAGCGATGAGGAAGACAGTATGGATGAACGGCGAGAATACGATCGATACAGAGAAAATCGATCGTCGCAAAAGCGGCCACATAGTCGATCGCCCGATAGACGACCAAAACGATCCTTATCCGTGTCTCCAGCTCGCAAACTAGGTGGAAAAGTCAATCCGTCATCCAAGCCAGTGCAGATCCGTGGTCGCGGCAAGATCAGCATGAACCGCTCTGCCATGGACAAATATTTCCAGGACGAGTATGATCCAAGCAAAGATATCCCATCGGATGAAGACCAATACGTATTTGCAAAAGAGACAGACACAATCAAGGCCAAAAAGGACAAGAAAAAAAAGAAGAAGAAATCGAAAAAGAGCAAAAAGAGCAAAAAGCATAAGCACGACAAGAGATCTAGTGATGACTCACTCTCTGCCAGCGACTTCGATGCACCCACTGTCGTCATGCCTAAACCATCAATACGCGCTTGGGATATCGGAAAAACTTCATTCGACCATTAGCGTCCACTATCATAGAACCATCTTGCATCTATTCAGCATCCAATTTCGAAAAAAAAAATTGCCCTTTCAAATACACTATTTATGAACCCCTTTAACTTGATCGACATAAATATGCTTGGATATTGGTGGGGTGTTGCGAACGTAGGAACTGTGGTCTTGTTGCCTGAGAACATCACGTTGGCATACCTCCGATCGCTTTTGACGCTGGTCTTGGCTAGTAATCTCTTATATTTCCTGGGATCCATTGAATTCAAAATGTGTTTCGATGCTAAATGCAAAACGACAGTCCATTGCCGTGAATACAGTACAGCTGAATGTGACTTTCTTAACTAAGCACTTTTGTGGAACTCTTTCAACTGCGCCTCATTACTTTCATTCATCAAAAATTTGCAGGGCCCTATATTTTAGATGGGTGTCAAGAGCAGCATCGCATGTTCCTCGATTACAGGTTGCTGCGTCTTCGCTTTCACTTTGGTGAGCGAAAAAATCCGCATAAATTGGAGGAACTCCGCTGGGATGGCGCATTCCCTTTCCTGGCACCTGTGTACCTTTTTCGGTGTTTGTTAGGAAGAGTCGGTTTGGTAAAGAAGAGAATCCAGTCACTGTGAAAGTAGTATATGATATGCACATGTGAAAAAGCCTGAGCGATAGAAAAGGAGAAGAAGAAGCCAGCCATGAGTTCTGAAGAACTTGCTGCCATCCCGTGAATCTTTGCCAGTCTGAAGCCCTTAAGCACCAGAAGGGTGTCTTGATGGTGCACTTAAAGACGACTATACGTGTTCTTATTGTACATATAATGATGTACATTGGAGGCGAAGGATAGAACCGTGTCATTGAGAGTGTTCAATCATATATTTAGTAAAACAGGTGTGTATGAGTGATGTGTACGACATGGACAAAGGACGGAATAAATGTACAGCGGTGGCGTGAGGGTATGAAAAGGCTGAATCGTAGGGGCAGCTATCCGTGGAATTCTTGGAGAACTCGCTACAACAAAGTTAATATCTCACTCTTTTCGAGACATCGCCCGCTAGGAGCCTCTCCAAAATACTTACTTCAGCTACACGTTCAATGTCTCTTCCGGAAATTCGCCTAGTTTTAGGAGGAAGTACTTCCATAGTGGATTCAGCTAGTCTCTGTGTGAACAAGATGTAGTTCAGGTAGATCTATTCAAGGCGTTCCGTCAGTGGTAATGTACTCGCACTCGTGTTTGAGGTACTGCCATTACCAAAATGTCCACATTTTCGTCCAGCGATTTATGTGGCATACGGCGTTTCAGCGCATTCCGGAGTGCACCCCGTTTATAAAGTTTGGTCATAACAAAGCTGAAGGCTCGTGAAAGAGGAAGAGGAATAAAACGCGAAATGCAAAAAAGTAGAATAGCGTGACTCGGTTTTAATTTGATACGCACTGTTCTGTTGGAGTCTGAATGGTTTTCCAAATCCAGTCGTTTCCGATCTGTGGCACCTCATTTTCTTACAGAGAGCTCCCACACTTCATTTTGCATACAGCCCTTTTTGTATTTCTTGAAACAACGCGGTGTTTCTGCAGACAAGTTTATGATTAAGCGTTCTTTTGTTCAATAAACCATCAAAAAATGAACTGGGATGCGCGCCTCTTTTTTAGAACGTTGGGAAATTAAAAGAATAAGGATGATGCAATATGCTTGCGCGCATTTTTATTTAAATGTTGTTTTGCTATGACTAGATTTAAGAATTTTGTTTACAAGCCGACCCAGTAAGAGCGGCCGCCCACATTGTGAATAGGGGTCACGGTGAGGTCGCTGTTGTTCAGAGTGACTGAGACGGCCCATTCATACCATACTTTTTTACGGTCGGTTTGTCGCCAAAAGTCCAGTTGAATGGTGGATCCCTTGACGGCTTGAACGGGCGTTCTCAAGGGGAAAAAGATGGGGAACCAGCTGAACATGCCGGGCGAATGCGTGGTGGGATGGATAGAGATCAGCACATCTTTGTACAACACCGATTCGAAATATCCAGCCAGTCCGTGAAGCGTCATATCACTGCTTGCTTTGAATTCGACGCGTGAATACCGGACATTGTGCAAATTGTTCAATGGATCACTGTCAGCGGGAATGTCCTTATTGGGATGCTCAAACGTCCATAATGGTTGCGACGGCGCCAGTTCACAAGCTTGCTGGAACATGACCACATACGGTGTTTCAAAGTGAGCGAGATCCTTGTAAGCCGCCACTTCATTGTATAATTTGGAAGACGCAAGAGGTGCAGCAAAGGCTGTATACGACGCAGGAATAGAAATGCCGTCGGCTAACCGAATAAAAAAAAATTCAATCACAGGTCAGCTTTGTGTTTCTTCCTTGGCAAAAATCTCTAGACCTCGTCGACAAAGTGGTCGGCTGTGGTGATGTTTGACTTACGTTTCAAAAATTTCTGTGCACCATCCAGACATTCTGGCGAAAGTTCATTGTCACCAAACGAACCCAGCAATTCACTCACGAGAATATCGCACTAGATGCAAGACTCAGAAAAAAGTCATGTGGGATGTCAACTCGCCCAGCTTGGCATTTTCTTACCTTGGTTGACGGTCTCCATTCACGCATATCGGCAAAGATGAGTTCCACTTTATCATGCCACAATTCCGCTTTGCAGTTCTGTAATCTAATGAAAAAAAGAAAATGAGAGGCGGAACCACAAAGGGTTTTTCCAGAGTTTATCTGCTTACGTGACATAGGCATTTGGGTTCTTTTCGAGTGCATAAATGTGTACTTTTCGCTCGGATTTTTCGGCCGCCCGTAAACAGCAATTGACCAAGGGACCACGGCCAGCACCGACCACCATGATAGTGCTGTATTTTGTAACATGTGAGACACTGTGCGTCTTGCATGACCATGTTTAACAAGTCCACACTTACGATACGTAATCTGATCCGGGCTCGACACGGTCCAGCAGTGCATGATAGACTGCCTACATGAATTGGGGTCAGCCAGTCAGCTTTCAACATCCGAATCCCGGTCACGAATGATGGGGCACTTTACCTTTTCATATTGTTGGTACTTGATAGGGTCCTTCTCAAAAGTTTCATAGGTTCCATTTTCTAGATTATCCATCAGAGGCTGCAAAGGGGCCTGGAGGTAATCTTGATAACCGGCGGCGAATCTCTGGACTTGATCCAATTCCGGTAAATTCCTGTTCAAATAACGGATATATTCTTGATAGGAAGAATTGCTTGCGGCGGGATGAAGCGGTTTGGACGGTAAAGTGACAATCATATTGGGACGTGACTAGACAATGAAAAAGAAATAAGTGTGTGCGGTGGTAAATCAAGAAGTAAAAAAAAAAAAAAAAAAAAAAAAAAAAAAGGTAGGCAGGGCATGTACCTTGTCCATTAATTTCTTGATAAAGGCTTGATGCCGTTTGCTCAGGACAGGATACCCTTTGGCGTTACTGACAAAAATCTCGGCTGGAATAATCACGGCTTTGATCGGTTCGGCAAGCCACATGTCCAATTCCAGTTCTTGTAAAGGCAAATTCGCCGTAATTTCAAGCGCTATTTGATGCCATGCATTATTATCTTTCCATGCCCCAACACTTTGCTGTTACTGTCAAACAGACATACCGATATGAATTTTTGGATTATGTTCTGTCAGTATCTTGAACTGATTCCATCGGCGCCAAGAGGCGTTAGTGTCGAGATCGTCCTTGTCCACCAAGGGCACCTTGATCCACATCTACGCAATACAAATAAGTCCTCGGTCGTCCGATCTGTGGCATGGCTGAATGGTACCTGAGTATAGCTCATGGAAGTCACATGGTGATTGATGGTGCGTACAATGTTGGCCATATTCTTTTTCGGCAGGGACGGCAACATCACCGCCAAAAGACCCAAATGACATGCCCACGCTAATTCTTGTTTCAATACCTACATAACGAAAGATCAGATCCAGTGTATCAAATGGCCACTTGTGCACCGCGTCAAATTTACCAATTCTGAGCTTGTTCTTGTGTATGTATCGGCAGAATCAAGTTGCAACCAATCGGCCAGTTCTCCTACCACGACCTCGGACCATTCTATGGATGCCACTGGTGTTAAGAAGAAAATGCATAAGAAACGTGTCTTGGTCGTAGTGTGTATTACCGGCTGATTTGAGAATGAGATCGTCGCGTTCAAAGTAGGGATTATTTCTCCATGCTTCTATGGCTTTTCTGTTATTAGATTCAAACAGAACTCGCTGACATTGAGGGTGAGCGATGGGAGTGACGATGAAGTCGTGGCCTGCAGTGGTGGCCTCGTGGACAAACAGCGAAATATCCTGGTAGTATTCGTTGGTCAGCAAGCCAACAGGACAGGCACGCGAAATGTCGTCGTCGCTCATGCTGGTTAAGAAGCGAGAGTAAAAAGAAAGAACCAAGAAATTGTATGCTTATTTGATTTGCGAGCCCATTTTATTTTTTCGACAATTCCGCCATTAGCTGTTATTCTTTTTTTTTTTTTTTGGCATTTGAATCCCCATATTCCCAGTGCAAGCAAGTATACGACAAAGGCTCTTACTCCTTTGTGATGTCGGCAAAAAACACAATGCTTGGATTACTTTTTTTTTTCTTGTTTTATTGGAACAAAAGTGAGAAAGAGTGAGTAAATGAGTATTTTAAGAGGGACGACTTAGCGCGAGGTGGCAGCGGCCTTGGGAGCGAAACCCTTGGCCTGTTGCTTGCTGACCTTGGCACCCTGAGCAGGACCCTAAATTATCAATTCAAATTCACCCGTTAATATGAGAGTTCAAAGGCACCGATCTTTTTCTTATTGATATCTTACACTAGCCTTCTTGGCAGCAGCAGCAGCCTTCTTGGCTTCCTTGGACTTGGCAACGGCAGCCTGACGAGCAGCAGCACGGGCATCGGGCTTCTGGTTACGCTTGGCACGGATGGCATCCCAGGAAGCACCGACAATAGCACGTTCGTGCTTGACAGTGCGGCGAGTGCGCTTCTTAGCGATTTCCTCGGTAACACCCTTCTTGTTCAAACGACGGTAGATGACGGTCCATCTGATCTTGCGGGGGTTAAGACGCTGAAGGAAGTAGGACTCGGCCTTGCCATTGATGAATTTGAAAGTCTATATAAAGAAAAAATGGGTTGTCCATGCGTCAATGGCTGTTTCGTTCACTTGTATCCAATGTGCTAAATGATGTTAATGGCTCCTTTCAAAATGACTTACTCTACATGACAATAGAAGCTGTGAGTCATTTCATGTTTTCATGATTAACTTTCATTTTTCTTTAAATTGAATTTTACCTGCTGTCGAGACGGACATAAGTCTTACCCTTGGCGGGGTAGATCTTGTAGCCAGAGAAGGAGCAAATCTCGAGCCTATATTCATCAATCCGTCAGTCATCGTTCATCTATCGTTCTCGGATGGTCGAATTGCTCCAGATACGTTACTTCATCTTTATAAATGGATGATAGGATGGAAGAGGGGGATTCTCTGCCGCCCTTGACTGGAGTCTGAGCTTCACCCTTCCTCCCCCCCAACCCAACTCAACCCAATTCCTTGCACGAGAAATTGCTGAAAGAGGTCGTCTGTCCGACCCGAATTTTTTCGGACCGGACACCATTTTTCCTAACACCACACTTTTTTCTCTTTCGAGTGAAACAAAAAGGGAAAAAAAATGTGATTGTCCTGGATCACTTCATTGGCAATTGATGACTTTGTATGTTACGGACAAGTTGGGCGTAATAAATAGGTTACTTATAGTCACAAGTCATATATAAGTTGATCTAGAAAAGCTTCTTCTATATTTGGGGGGGGGGAGGGTGGATTATTTATTACAACTATTATTCTTTCGCTTTGGATATCGGGGGTGTTTTCGGTACTTCTGGAAACTGGAGGTTCTTGAGTTTATCGGAGGCTTCACGTTTCTGTTGTTTCTTCATGTGTTCTCGTTGGCGCAGGTAAAAGTAATCACGGTGAAGGACGAATTTGGGTGGTTCGGTAGGTTTGGAAGGGGTCAAAGCGCCGGATTCACTCGTTGGTGAACTCGCCCCGGTTTCCGGTGGGTCTTGGGACTTTTCTCGTTTGCTTTCACTCTTGTCAGTCTCTTTTCCTGAGTCGTCTTTGGCTTCTTTCTCTTTTTTGTCCTTGTCTTTGTCGTCATCTGGTTTTTTAGTTCGCCATGACTTCCAAGCCGAACCAATACTGGAGACCAGGTCCATGACACTGTCGCTTTCCGGCTCGCGGTCTTTGTACGGCTCCTTCTTGCCTTGCGCCGTACCCTTTGTCGACAAGCGGGGACTGGAGCCTACTTTGGTGCAAAAGTTGCTGTCGGCCAAATGCGTTCGGCATGTATAGAACCAGTCGGTGTTGCTGTTATCCGCCGACGTTAGCACTACCGCCGTGAATTTGCTGCATACAAAACACGGTCGATCCTGCGTCGTTAATCGTGCAATGTACAGATTCTTTAATGTACCACTTTGGGTCATGGCCGACACTGAGGGGTGAAAAAAAAAAGGAAAAATTTCCCAAGATCCACAGAGAAAATGGAATTACAGAAAAAATAAAATGAAACCGATTTTTTGGTTGCAAAAGCAAAACTCTGTAAGAGTCTCCTTTTGGGGTATCATTGTGGGGAAAATGAGGTGAACTGTACTCTTTAGTATGATACTTGCTCAACACATTGAACTTAATTTGAGAAAAAAAAAAGGGTTTGGAAGTGACATTTTTTGAGGTGTATTTCTATGAGACAAGTGTTGAATGCTAAGCAGGTCATGTTGCTGTCAAAGGGACGGTCGATCATATTTTGCATCAACAAAAATTTGATAGGGTTATTTAGCATAACTGGTATTATCTTTTCTGTTCATCAATATGGAGTTGGAAGCGAAAAATAAGGTCATGCGTCTAAAAAGAGTAATGACCCAATCTGATGATCTAAAAATGCCATAAACGACATGCTGGAAAAAAAACAATAATAACAAGAAAGGCTTGCATTTCTCCCCAATTTTTTTTTTTCGGATCTTGTGTTCTTTAGGATTCCCGATCTTTTACGACATCCGATACCCCTTTTTTCTGCTGTTCAAAAGTCCCACTCGCTTGCTCATATATATACTTACTTCATGGCAGTCGAGAACGATATCTCTGACGAGACCATTCAGCAAGATAGGCGGGCGCAGATGATCTCGGACGACGAACTCGGATATTCACGCCATCCAATAACGTACCCTTCCGCCGGCATCACTCTTGCACACACGGTTGCTGGGCCGACCAAATCGCCTCCTCCCGTACTCATGCCTCGACCGATCCCGGCCGTAGCGCCAACCCGAAAACTTATTATGCAAACGAGCGATCCATCTCCGTCACCCGACCCTCACCCTCCTGCAACTGATACGACAATGACGGTGCCTGTCATCGATTCCCCGACGCTGCCTTCCTCGGAAACGGCGGCGACAACGACGGCACGACAAAAAGAATCGAGCGTCATGAAGATGAAAGAAAAGATGCCATCGGAGAACCCCAAGGAGCGCAGTGGTCCAACATTAAATACAGACGACGACATGGGTGCACAAACCTCTATCGTCACGCCAACCAGTGAGAGTAAATCTCCTCACTACGTATCGGCGGACGACGAAACGTCTGTGCGACCGACCCCGAGCGTTTTGGTGAGAAAATCTACCGATGCTCTGACCGCCGAGCCCCTACCTCTTTCCTCTCGCTCGATCACGTCTTCTGTCCCCACTACGATACCGTTATCTGGCCACCCCAAATCCACCCGTCTCGCTGCCGATCTCGCTAAATCACCCAAATTCGTCACCTTTTCACAGTCTCCGCAGAATTTACCTTTACCTCCTTCCTCGGCACCCACGCTTCCTACGGTGACGGTTTCTTCTGCCGCTTCCGACATGTCTATACTGCAGAAGAACAAAACAGCTTCACCTTTACCAGCGTCATCGACCGGACAACCCCAAGTGTCGTCCCAACCGTCCCCACTGACAAATCCGAGCCAACACTCGGGTATGCCAAAAGACTACGAGTCACTCATGCAACACAATAAAATGTTGCAAAATCAAGTGGATAATTTGCTTCGAGAGCGCAACGAGTTGAGACACCGACAAGACGATATGCTGAGTAGATTGCAGAGTTTGGAGCAGTTATTAAAATTGGATGTACCCCAGCAAGGACGATCGGCCGCACCGTCTTTGGAACATCCTTCCACAAATGAAACCGTTCGTCAGAGGAATGAGGATCAGGAGAAGAATGAATTCAAATCACCCAAACCACGACCCAGAGCACACGATGGACCGGTCCAACCGACTCCTTCTTTGTCTGACCCCAACTCGCGACACGGGGCTCCGCCAATGTCGCCGTATGCCAATCATCCTGCCCAAAAACAGGCCAAGCGTTATCGAAGTCGAAGTTTACCGCGTTACGTCTCCGAAGAAGCGACATCGCGGTGTCCGATGGATCGAATGTACCCTATGCCACCATCAAGGTACATGGATGCTATGCGCCATCGACCGTATCGCTATATGGACGAGTTTTATGATGATGGTTACGACCGTGTCCATGGAGACAGTGAGCGTGATGCGTATGAAGATTATTACAACGAAGCGATGCTGGGTGCGATGCATGATGAACCGGAAGAAGAGGCATGGGATGAAGCCGAGTATATGATGCATCATCCTTCGGCACATCTTCAGTACCCTGTGCCTTTTCCAATGTTTCCTGTCTCCATGATGCCGCCGCTGCCTCCTCGTCTGACTCGACAAAGGTCCCGTGGCCAGTCTCGTTGGGCACCGCCCGCTCCACCGACCGACAAACCTTGCCGATCATCGATCCGACGACGTCCAATGTCTTCCGTTGCGTTTGCGCGAGAACCACCTCCACCTCCACCCCCCATCTCGGCTCCACCACCTTCCACTTCGGCGGCTGCTCCACCACCCCCACCTCCTCCTGCACCACCGATCCCCTACCCTGGTATGCACTGGTCTGATGCGTATGAATATGGTATGGATCCCAATTACGTAAGCATGATGGACGCTTTAGATTCTTACATGGCTCCACCCTATTATGCCATTCCAGGTCCACCCCCGCGGCGTTTCGATGATATGTACGATGATTATCGCCCACCCCGTCCCAAACTTTCCGGTAATCCATCAATGCGTAACCGAGGCCTCGAACGGCGTATGAGCCGTCATTCGCTTTACGGATCCTCCATGTAGACAAGCCCGCATTTGTTTGAGGCACTTGCTTCACGAAAAAAAGAAGAGAAGCGCTGACGAAGAGAAACAATGTTGAGCAATGAGAAACATTTTAGGTTTATTATATATACATATTTTTTTTTATCATCGATATGAATCATTATTATGGGAAAACGTGGTGTATCTTTTGTATATTTTGTCGTTTTAGATAGGTCAAATACGGATTGTTATAATAAAATTTAGAGTTGAATGCATACAGCAATTTTGTAGCTATTCGTTTTTCTTTTCATTTGGTTGGAATGCATATACGCTTGATCGAATCGGGTAATGCTTTCCTGATTGCCGAATCCATTCACGCTTATCTACATTGTCGTATGGTGCCAAATATTCTCACATTTATTAATGTTGCCTGAGCTTATAATCGTAAGATTTAACTCGAGCGGCTGACTATGATAAACTGTAGCCTATAAAATATATGCCAATGGAGCCTTCTGCTTTGCGATCACGATCGACGATCCATGACGTACACTCCACAATAAGCAGTGATCACTCTGAAACAAAGATCTTATTAGTTAGGGCAGACATTTAGTATTCAATTATGCGCGCATGCATAGCTTGAAGCAAAAAAAAAAAAAAAGAAAAAAAAAAAGAAAAAAATCAGTAAAGAGCCAAGCTGAACAAATTGTAAATCAGACGCTCATATTCAATTCCATGTCCTTCCTCTGGTTATCAGAGATTATCATTCGGCATCCATGCGGCTTCTTATCTTGACCATTCAACCGAAACGAATGCTTTGCCGATTGTATTTTCTGAGCAGGAAAAACGTTACTAGTGATAATTATAATCCATGATGGCTATTAGCATTCTCTTGCAAGTCAATGACTTATGAAAACAAAATAAAATGGCGAACTTGCTTATACCCGTACAGATAACGTTGCGTCCGTTTACATGCAATTAGTCTGGAATATAGCACAAAGTTGTTTAGCATTTTCGGAATCATCCGGATATTCCATTGCAGACTGAAGAATTAGCATTTGTTTTCTAGTTGCATGAATATTGGATTGACGGTCTTGATGACACAAAATGGCCGGCCGGCAACGGCAGCAAAGAGAATAATATTGCATTAAGTTTCGCCCAGGGAACGGACCGTTTCAACTATTTAAACAAGAGGAAACAAGTCATTGAAAAACACCAACATATCCAACCTATCCTTCGCATTATGGCAAAACACGCCTTGACACTTTTATTGGCTTTCCTTGGAACATTCAACATGATTACGGCCGAGTGGATCGGCAAAGCGCCCCTATGTCTGCATGTAGCACAGCCCTGCCCAATTACTTCGGGTATTACCCCGTTATGCTACGCAGGTACAGCAGAAGAGGCCAAGAGATGTCCACCAGCATGCGGTGACTTTGGCGATGATTGTGATCCCGTCATGGGTGGCTTTAAACAGTGCTGTATTCCACTTTAAAACATGTACACATTTTTTAGGGCTGTTTTTGTGCTTTCTTGGCGTTTACTTTACATGTCATTGATACATAAATAAAGCCTGCCCTCCTGTCCTGTTAACATAAAAGTTGTTGTAAACTGGAAGACACTCCGATTAATGTAATGAAGCCTTGTTCGTCTGTAGTTCGCTACAAAAGGTTACAATGTCGGTAGAGTTTTGGCAGATGGCGATACGTTCGAAAATCATGTTAATGAACTGAGTGCAAAAACGTAGTAACTTGTCCTGAGCTTAAGAAAAGACGCTCACAGGAAATGAAATCCTTTCTTCTTTTTTTTTTTTGGTTTTTTTTTTTTTGCGATCCACGATCCACGATCGACGGTCTGTCATAAACAATGTGATCATTCTGAGACCAAGTGTTTAAGTTAGAGACAATTTATCTAATCAAGTACGTGTTAATAGCAGTAGAAGTAACTTTGCATCCGTGTGAACATGCTAAATACATTTGTCTAGCATTTTTTGGAATCATCCGGATCTTTCACTGCAGACTGAAGAATTAGAGTCTGTTTCTAGCTGTCGGTCTTATATGACACAAAGCGGCCAGCCGACAGTGGCAGCAAAGAGAATGGCGTTGTATTAAATTTTGCCTAGGGAAGCTGACCATTCAAACTATTTAAACAAGAGGAAACATGCGTTGCTAAATACCAACATATATACATCACCTTATCCTTTCGCATTTATGGCGAAGCACACATTGACACTTTTATTGGCTTTCCTTAGAATTTCCGACATGATTACGGCCGACTGGATTGGTGATGCGCCCCAAATTGACGGGTCCAAAGCCCTGCCCATATAGTGCCAGCATTACCCCGATATGCTATGCACGTACAGCAGAAGAGGCCAAGAGATGTCCACCATTTTGCGGTGACTTTGGCGATGATTGTGATGCCGTTCTGGGTGGTTCTAAACAGTGCTGTCTTCCCCTAAATATGTAGGTTTTATTTAATAGCGTTTTTGTGCTTTGTTCGCGTTCACTTTCATGTCACTGATAAATAAAGCCCGTGTTACTATCATAAGAGCTATTGTATTTGGCAGACACTCCAATTAATTTAATAAAATGAATTCTTTTTATATATTGTTGTTGTTCTAGATAGGTCAATAGGTATTATATAAAAAGTAGAATTGAATGCATTCAGCAATTATGTAGCTATTCGTTTTTCAACAAGTTTGGAATGGATATGCGCTTGGTCAAATCGGGCAAGACATTCCCGATTGTCGGGTCCATTACACGCTTATCTGTGCGTGCTGCCAACCTTGTGTTTCACATGAACGGGAAGTTTTTTTTTTTTTTTTCACATTCATCAATGTTGTCTGAGCTTGTAACCGTGTATTTTATTTTATTTTTGAGCTAGTGCCGAAAATATACGGTAGGAAATCGAGATGAGGGCTCTAGTCCCGATGATCGGACCTTGAGCGGGGCTAGTAGCATGTACTATTAAGAATGCGACCGTGTTCGCCAAGGAGATCTTCGGGCGGCTGACCGTGGAACAATCAAGATATTGTAGCCGTAAAAGCATGTACCCAATGGAACCTGTTTTTTTCTAGCCCTCTTTTTCGATCCACGGTCCACGGCCCATGATAAAAGAAATGTGATCACTCTGAAACCGGTGTTTTAGTGAGGAAAACAGATTTATTCAATCATACCCTACGAAAAACATGAAAAAAAAATCAGGAAAGTACCAGGCTGAACAAGTTGTAAACCAGCCGCTCGTATATCCCTTCCTCTGGCTATCAGAGGTATTCACTCGGACATCCATGCGGCTCCTTATTCTGGACCATTCAACCAGCATGGATGCTTTCCCGAGATAGACATAATTGGAGGCGACCATCAACAAACCTTGCAAGTCACTGAATGATGAGACCAAAACACAATACAAAGTAACCTGCATCCGTCTAAACATGCAATCAGTGATGAAGATAGCACAGCATGGTTCAGCATTTTTTGCATTATCTAGGTCTTCAACCTGCAGATTGAAGTATGAGCATCTGTTTCTACAGGCAGAAATATCTAGTGTAGAGTACTGTATTGATGATATAAAGCTGCAGGCCGACCACGACAGCAAGGAGAATGACATTGCATTAAGTATTCGCCAAGGGAACAAATCGCTTAAACAAGAGAAAACAAGCATTGCGAACTACTAACATGTCATATCCAATCTTCCCTTTCGTATTATGGCAAAGTACGCGTTGACACTTTTACTGGCTCTCCTTGGAGTTTTCAACGTGATTACGGTCGAGTGGTTTGGCGATGCGCCCTATGTCTGACGGAACCGGAGCCCTGCCTAGATAATTTTCACCTTATCCCAGTATGTTTGGCAGGTACAGCAGAAGAAGCGAAGAAATGCCCACCAAAATGCGGTGATTTTGGCGATGAATGTGATGCCGGCTTTGGTGACATCAAGCAGTGCTGTATTCCGCTAAGACCGTGGCTTTATTTGGTATGCTTTCTTGGCGTTCACTTTTATGTCACTGATAAATAAAGCCTATGTTGCTGTGATAAAGCTATTGTAATCAAAAAAATTCTTGTCCACCTTTAGGTTCCCTATAAGACGTTAGAATTTCAGTAGTGCTTTGCCAGAGTGCAGGACGCAACTTGTTCTGAGCTTAGAAAAGCGCTCACAGGAAATAAAATTACAGTACCTACGGAATACGAGAAAAAATATCGACAAAATCTGCAACATGGAGGACATGCCCAGACAGGGCAGAGCTGGGAAATTTCACAATGGCACAAAGAGCCAAGACCCAAGCCCAGAAGCATGCCAAAAGAAAATATTTTTACGGTTTTGACGAAAAAGGCTAATTGCGATCGAAGATCGATGGAACACCAAGTCATAAGCACGCTTTAAGCCTAGCACTAGGCTCGATCATTGGTCACTTTTCGCGATCCCAAAAAAAAATTTCCCCATTTGCATCAACATCGAGAATTTGCACAAAAATGGCCTATTTATTCAGCGTACCTTTATTTTTCCCATTTCTTTTTGGGCTTTTTCTCGCCATTCGTTTATTCTTCTTTCCATTTGCCCATTGCCGTTGATTGAAACTACTGCTTATTTTTTCACTTACCACCCAGCAAAAACAGCAATGTATTCCTTTCAATCCATTGGCCCACACCATCACGCCATGAACCGTCAAAACACTCCCATCCATAGCGCCCAAGGCACCTGTGGCTCACCGTACACTTTGTCCCATTTCTGCCCCTCCTGCGGCGTTGACATCAACCGTTTTAGCCACGAATTCTGGTGCAGGTACTCGTAAAGGTTCGCAAGGCTCATCAGGAAATCGGATCCGTTGGTCTAGTCGTCTATTTGTAGTAGCATTATCATGGCATATTTCCACCCAATTGTACATGCTTTTTGTCTTTATCATTCTCTACTCCCTTCTGTCATTATCGTTATCACTGTCATCCGCAGTTGCTCTCCCATGCCTCATCGTCGAGAATATAAAAATAATTCTTTTCCTAATTTGTCTTGTTGTGAAATCCTCTACCGTTCATTATTAATGAAGAATGGATCTTTTAAAAATGCCATATCATGCTTATTCAGCATGATAGTTTCCATGATGACTCGCATAAAAAAATGAAGACAGCCATCGCCGAAAAAAAAAAGATCGGGGTTTCTCGGGAAACTGGACCCAATCAATGCCCAATTTTTTGTTTCTTCCTTTCTGTTTTGACGTGCACTAACGAATGTTTCCATCGAAAACGATGGAAAGAAAACAAAATCATGACCGGTCCCTACATGTGATTTAAACAAGCGTTTAAACGCAAATGGGAAAATAAAGGGATGCTTATGGACAACTATGATTTCAAATCGACGTCAATTGTTCAAGGAGTATTTTCTTCATCGTGCACCGGGATCGATAGACACACAGCATTTAGCGTAACTCAAAAAGAAAACAAAACATTCTAAGAATCTTTTTCTTCATAGTTTTGACTCGATCATCTTCAACGTTATGCTTTCTCGAGTCGCTCTCTACGATATGATTGGCCAATGATCATGTCAAGCCTCGGATTTCCATTCCGGCAACAACCGCATGTCAGTGCAACAACTGATAATGTGGATTCACATTCCGTACCTACCTTCGCTCGACAAACGACGCAATGTGTATCGTCTTTTCGGTTCGATCCAGTTCAGGCATGCAAAATAATCTCCAAGTATTGCGAATAATACAACGAGCTTCTACATTGCAATCTTTGAACAAAAAAAAAACATGTATAAAAAAATAACGTAGCAGGCTGGCTGTGTCTCTGTTTTTTTGTGTTATTTTTGTGTTCTTTAGCATGGCTTCGGTCGGTCCAAATATCAGGACAAGGTTGACTTGATAACAGATCACCAGTGGATCTTTTTCTTGTAACTTCGATGCCAGGACCCTCCACTTTGCATCTCCTCCAGTCACGCTTTTTATTCGCTCTTGGACCACTAAGTAGTCAACTTCCAGCAAAGACAAATTCAAGTACGATCAATGCAAGGTGACCTATTCAGGTTACTTGGTTTTGCCTTGTCAGTCCTCTTATCGCTCAAGGACATCAGATCTGCATCTTTCGGTTCAGGTTGATCAAAGTTTTGTTTTTGAAATTTTAGTGCATGATAGATGACTGGTTAGGTTTTGATCTTTACCTTTTATCGTTGGAATGTTTCCTAAATTGTCAAGATCAGCACAGCCATCGTACTAATAGACCAACACTATCAATTAAATCACGGTCTCCTCCCCCTGGATGAAGCCAAAGAAAAAAGAACAATGGTGGGTGCCAACATGGCTCACCTACTGCAAACAGCGAGCAATCGTTGGCTGGTATGCACACCACGGACGCCCACCAAGACTTTGTGGTATCAACAAAAAAAAAAAAAAAAAAAAAAAAAAAAAATGGTGCAGAATCAGATTTCTACGAAAGAAAAAGACAGGCGGGCTAAAGTTGGTCTATGGATGAGTGGATTTGATGTCATGCAAATATATGTATTTTTTTTATTTCTTCTACGGTGCAATAGATGGAAGTTGATGATAACAAAAAGAAGGAGGTAGGGATGGAGGAGTTTTTCTAGCGGATACTCAGGCGGGAGTTTGCTTTCTTCGTACCGAGTTCGGTTTGTTTCAAGATGGTTTGCCAAGATGCTCGCTCTTGCGACGATGCGCTCAGGGCCAACACTTGATAAATCCATGCCAATAAGCCGTTTTGTTTCACCAGTTCCACAGCAACATCCGGGATACCGGTTGCTTGCAACATGATCTGTTAAAACTCATGGTGTCAGATCGTGCATCATTTAAAAAAACTCTGCATGTTTCCCCAAACTCCAAAACGAATGGCTTACCTCGATGATCGCTTTTTTACTCGTGTCATCTGCCGCCACCGAGTTGTAAAAGGTGCCAAGGACATCCCAGACACGATGGCGATTAAAGACCTGGTAGTCATCAAAGGTTCGCATAGACGACGATAACACTCTGAGTAACCAAAGCCGTTCCCTCTTGTGGCCCGACGACGACGACGTAAACAGGGGAGCAAACATGGGGATATACTATACACACATTTTACCACGTTGTTGAGTCGCGTGACACATAAACAAAAACAAAAAAAAGATCGCCGAATTCTTTGTCAACTTACATCCAAATCGAAACTTGAACTCTGTGTTAACCATTTCAGAACGTGGGGCGCCATGTAGTGACCGGGGTGAAGGATCACGGATAAAGCATGCGCAACACAAATACACGTTGCTGCCGGGATTCTCGGTGGTACCAGTGCTTCCGATCGGCTAGTGATCGAATTTCGCAACCCATCCAACAAGAAAACAATTTGATCCTTTTCTCTAAACGCAGCGGTCTATATCCACCAGAAAATCCTGGTCAATTTTTACAACACCACAGGGCCATCACTTGCATCACACTTACATCGAGCATGACATAGAACTGGTCCATCATCTGATATCCGATTTTCCGGGTGTCTTCATTCGTGGTTGATAGCGCGACCAGTACCAGCCCGAGCCCGTTGCATTCAATGAACTTTCGGCAATCAATCACACCGCTCGCAATAAGGTTGGCAAACAACGGCAGAAAGAATCGGTAGTCGTATGTCACCACTTGGGTCTCGTCGGCTACCGTCTCGGCATCGTCATGTACGATCAAGCTGGCGTCCGCAGGGAAATGGGTAAAGGTATATTTCATCAAACCAGGATCGATCAAGCCAAACGTTTCCACCGAAATCGTCGACGCTTGGAGTAAAGTACCCGCTTGTGCCAGGGTTTGTCGCTGTTTATCGGATCCCGGACCCCATAGCAACATTTTTGCCATAATGGACGTTTGTCCGTGACGCTCGGTCGACATGAGAATCTCCAAAATACGACGGTCGGACAACGTCGTGGTCGCACTGTAGCTTGTCAGGATAGGATCCAACAGACCATAATGCTCGGCCAAGACGGTAGGCTGAATAAAGTGAAGAAGGTGGACTAATCGGATAATCGCCACGCGGTGCGCACTGTCGCACGGTACAACCACCTCCTTTGTCTCATCAAGACTTGAAGCAGTCAAGGTTTGGAACTGTTCATGTTCAAGCGTACGACGAAGATAGGTTTCAATCGGTTCCACTTTGGTGTACTAAAATGATCACGGGTGAATCCTTTTACTATTCCTGTACACATCGTTTAAGGGGTTTCTGGGCCAGACCCACTTACCTCTTGGTAGACTGCCTTCACCAGATCGCCGACAAACGTCATGGCTTTTGCATTGTTTATATTGTCCAACAGAGCCGTCAAGATGAAATCACGCACAGTTTCGGCATCCAAAGATCGCCAATGGAACTCGAGGTCCAAGAGATTCGAGACCGCGGTATACACGTCGTCGACCACCTCCATGTCGGACATCTTACTGCTGTCCATTTCCGTCGTCAACTGTTGCAATATATGCTCAAATGTCGATTGCAGGTACCGGTCACGTTCAGTCGGTTCGGATAAAAGATCGTAACCTAAACGCACGATACCGACAGCGGAAAGAGTCAAGGGCAACGGTTTCTTCTTTTCCACCATGGCCGCTACGTCCACATTGGCTTTTTGGCACGCCTCGGCAAGCGCTACGAGACTGATCGAGCTGGTGTGACCGTCCAGCATATACTGAACAATCGGTTTCGCACACGTCGTCAGCAAGGCGGAAAGAGAAGCGGCATGATCCGCCAAGTTGGCATTGTCTCTGGAGAAACCGTATTCCAACAACGGTAGCACATCGTTATTCAGTCGATTGGATGCTTGACGGTACTGCCAGATCTCTGCAATCACGCCGTACGTTTGCGGAGGCAGGGTCGCAGTGGCATCCGTATCCGATCGGCGACGAAGTTCAGACACAAGCGCAACAAGTAATTTGCTAACGTCGTCAAAGAGGCCAGCGTCTTTTCGAAGACCCTTGTAATCCAGTGTAAGCAGGCTTTCGATCAATACCGTGGTGTTGCCTGCGTCGGCCAGCAGGTCGACATACTGATGCGCAAGGTTCAAGAACTATTTCGCGACAAGGTTAACCCACCAGCCATCTCTCTCCATGATAAATCACATCGCCACTTACAAGTGCATCGAAAGGACGTTCCACGTGGGTTCCGTGCTCCAATTGTTGGACAGACGACGAAAGTATGGCGAATATCTCCTTGATACTTGGATGATCAAAAACAAGAGAGCGCAGTTTTCGCCAGGATGCATGCTCATCATTGGCTTGGCTGACGGTCAAACCGTGTCGTAACAGATCGAAGCAAGCCTTCAACAGAGATGCGGATATGGAGGTATCGGTAAGCAAGGCAACCGCCAGATGTTCCAACAAACAGGAAAGCGAATGCTTCAACTGGCGGGGCGACATGGTATCGATGGCGTGCGTTAACAGTGACACGACCACGGGCGTAAAACGGTCGTCGATCCAGGCATTATGGAACAGCGTGGCAAAAGGTATGGATTTCATCAAATGCACCATGCAACTAATGACAGAAATACAGTCGTGAGGCACAATGGGACTGGCTGCGCATGATTGCAACCACTTACCTATGATCATCGTCCAAAGACTCGATGGCCTGAATCTCCTTGTAATCAAACAGCGATCTTGCCAATGGATGACGTTCTGAAAGATACTCCACCAATGGTTCAAAGTTTGTCCAACCAAGTTTGGTCTGGCAATTTTCCGCCACCGACAAGAGGTGCTTGTCCAAAGCCGACACGGGCAACACAGACAGTATATCCACCATCTGTTGCTGTGCGGCTGCAACGTCTTCAACATTATTTTCTATACATATAAAAAAAAGAACGAGGAATATGGTCAGTCAGGTGATATGTCTCGTTTTTACCAGAGCGCTACAATCACTTACGACTCAAGAGAGCTTCCAAATTCGCCTCAGCATCCGTCTCGATACGCTTAGCAGACGACACGGGCGATAAACGACACTGCTTTAAGCACATTTCTGCTTGATGTATCAACTCTGCTGTTTTGTATTGAGGGATCGCATGCGGATCCAAGTTGCTAGTGGCCATCTCATCGTCCTCCATTGCTCGCAATCGGTCGCAGAGGGCCAATAGGTAATAGGGTGCTTTTTGTTTTGATTGCAACAGTACGATCAGCTTGGTAAGAAAAGCGATTACCGAACGTTTATGGTCTTTGACAAAACGCAGGTTCTCAAACAAGGTCAAGAGCAAAGGGCTGAAAGGGTGCGTGTACGCTCCCATGTCCGTCATGTCCTCCGTTTCACCGAGTAATGTCGCACTCAGCGACGTAGCCAGGGTCCGTTTGCGATCCTCCACGGCCAACAAATAAGTCTGATCCGCTGCCGTTACCAGTTGAACCAATTGATCTGTATACTTGTATTGCGCTTTGCCGAACCGACCGATACAATCATCCAAAAACTTTAGTACGGCTGTTTGCTGTTCGGTCATGGATAGGCTCTGTGCGTGGCGATGGTGGACGAAATTCTGTGGCAGTGCTGCCAACCATAGATCGATTTCTTCCGCATCGTGACGGAACAAGAACGAATCGGCCAATGTCTGATTGATTAATCGGCCCGTCAAATCGCGGATATGCTTATACGGCGTCTGTAAGTACAATGTGAGTAAGGTCGTAATATGCGTAAAAGATGTCTTGTCTGTCAAGAAGAAAAACAAAAAGTCAGTGATATAAATTTTTCAATGAGCCCAAAAATGATCGGATGGATTAAATACCGGCTTTGCTACTCCATTGAAAATCGGGCAAATCCAATAAGAATTCCAACAAATGAATGAGAGATCCCGGTCGAATGGAAAGGAGATCCACCGGAATGAAATGGGTCGGATCAATATTGGATTCCATGATGATCTCGGGGAGATGGGCTTGATAATAGCGAATCAGTCGGAAGGCTGCGTCCTCGAGCATTTGATACTGAGCGACGATTTCCGCGTCATCCTGCTGTTGTTGTTGTTGCTGAGTCGCCGAATCGCGTTTATTGGTGACTTGGTTGTAAATCGCATTGAGGATCTGGATTTCAGGTACACGACGACGTAAACCTTCACGCACATTCTCGAGACAGCGACGCCAGGCTGTGATGGATTGGCGTAGTTTGGCTTCGTTCGTGCCAGGGTATTCTTGGGATTTCTCCAACACACTGATCACATGGCGCATCGCTTCCGCTACTTTACCGTATTTTTGAAACGACACGGAAATGCCAATGAGCGTGGTATACCGTACGAGAGCACTGGCATGTTGCAACCCCTTGGTGCTCAACGAACGACCAAACACGTTAGGCAAGATGTTATCAAGAATCGTTTCTGCTTCCGGCGGCTCCGAAGGATATGTATTGTCGTTGCCATAATACAAGGGAGGGACCGGTAAATGAGTGATTTTCTGCAATAGCGTGACATTGGCAAGCCATTTCGTACTGAGACGAGGTTCGTATGTGAGGAACGTCTTTTGCCAATAGCTAAGGAAAAATGAATTGGTGAGTTTTTCAACATGCGCTAACGTCAACAACGTTTTTTTTTCTTTACCCTTGCACGAGTTCGGGACAAGCGGCGAGAATTTTGACGAGTAGTTCCTGTTGGCGCATATCATCGGTAGGTTTGAGCGAAGGAATGAATTTGGCGAGGACACGATTGTGGAGTTTATCGGATTTGGTTTCTTCTTCTGCCAAAGCGGTGGCCGGATACCAACCGGCGTCGGGGAAACAGACGCCAACACCAGGAACGCTGCATATAGAAATGAGAAAATGGTGCACCAAATCGGCGGGCACACCTGTTTCGTTCCCCCCAATGGATTCCGTTTCACCACGGGCATAGATCTTGGCCATCTTTTCCAAAATATATGGCGAAAAGAAGAAAGCTTTGGCACTGCGAGGCACCAGAGAATCCATGATCAAGTGTTCGTAAGTGACCGACAGAATTTCCTCAATCAACTAGAAAAACAGGAAACGATCAATTTCACATTCGTTCTCATTATGCTTCCAATTTCCCTTTTTCGTACCTGGTAAGCATCTTCGTGAATGTGCATGAATACGCCATGGGCAAACCCTTTGATGCTCAACACTTGTCGCTTGATCTCAGCATCCCCGTGAATGAAAAAAGCAAGCACAAACTTTACAAAGGATGTTCTCAAATCTACACAAACAACAAAAAAAAAAGTTGGCGTCTCTGAATTATCCCGTATTTGTCTCGACTGAGTACATACCATAGAGGAACCGATTAGGGTTCTTGCTATTTTTGCTTTGTCGATATCGCGATGCTCTCAGAAAACCCTACAAAATCCCGATGTTTTACATCAGACATCCATCATGCACCAATCTAGATGAAACACGTGTCGCGAGTACCTCGGTTTGAAAATTGAACATTTGGAATAATTCTCTGGTCGTGGTTTGCGAGAATGAGGCAATGGCGACAAGGATGCGGAACATGGACTGGCATTTGGCGATACTGGTCGCGGACAATCCACGGTAAATGTAATGAATACGACGCTGCATGATGTAAGAAAAAGGTCAAGGATAATATAAGCATTAGCAATTAATAAATTGAGGCGGTTCACTTTGACAAGGCAAGTGTGTTTGAGGAATAATAATAATCAAAAAGGATATAGTTTGACACAGTTCAAGACCGAATGGACGCAGAATGGGCGTATCGCAGAGTCGAATGAATAAGCTGATCACGTCTGGCACGAGACATTCCAGATTTTGGATGTTGGCCTACAATAGTAAAGTGCATGAGTGAGGGTGGATTTCGTCAATGAGAGTGATTTCCATGGCTCGTTCAACTGACCGAATTCTGATAATCCCAAAGTTCGACGAGTTCAGACGGATCGTTGCAACTTTGAACATATTCCACAAGAACGCGGGTCGTCGGTATAGTTGGATCCACACGCACTTTGACAGCCGCAATGAGTTGCGTACGAAGAATAGAAAGCGCTATAAAAGAAAAAGGGTTCCCCTGAAAGTCAGGTTCTTTGCGTTCTCGAGAATGCATCCAAAAAAGTTGGTGTGTACCTTTGACCAAGACGGACCAATCGCGCAATTGCATGACATGGTGGATCTGGTTCGGATCGACAAAGACATCGGCTGACTCTTTTGCTGCCGAGCCATCGTGCTCCTCTTTAGTAGCCATGACCTCTTTTTTGCAATCGATGAACGTCTTTCGGGCCACTCGAGGTTTTTTCCCTTTAATTTCCAAAATTAAGCTGGGTGGCTTGGAATCGCCCTGTGAGACTGTGCAATTGCATGAATTTTCTTCCTTTCTCAGCCCATAGACGTTGAAGCCTTGAAGCCTCGAATAGCCTTAAGTAAGATAATTTTTCATTCCTGAACTTGCCGATGTATACTTTTAAAGATACTAAAGAAGGCTATATACAAGCGCATTTTACATCAAAGTCGTCCCCATTAGCTAAAGAGAGATGGCGGACCTGAGAGCATGCTGGCACCAAATAGTCCACTTTATGACATGATATCGCATGGACAACCTTGAACTTTTTCCATTAGGTAGTTGGTAAATTGATGCCCTTATTAGTTGCACGCTTTCAACTTGCTTGTGGATCCTACTTGGGTGAAATAAGTTTTGGACAAGACCGTGGCGGGGTTTGAATTATGTGAGGAAGAGAGCGGATGGGATTCCCCACTGCGGTCAGCAAAAGTGAAGGAAGCCCTGCCCAACCATTGATCTTCCTCTTTTCGCATCACGTACGTATAGATTCCGTTATTATAGGGGATGACAGCAGAAATAGGATGATCGATGGATGAGAAGCTCGGTTGGATGGATGATGGATGAAACTAGATGGGAAAAAAAATTGAGCGTGGATACATTGTCGTAGCGACATGAACTCGATTGCTAGGATACATTTTTCCCAATGGACTGAGTTCCTCTACGCATTGGAATGAATTCTTCCCATTTCAAAAGGCACTGGCTGCATCATATGTGAAAAAGAACAGGATTGGGGGGAAGGGGCCCTTTTGGGGGTGATTGGAATGGCGTCAAAGAAAATCTGGAATTGTCACATCGATACTAACCCTGTGGTGTCTTTTTTTTTCTCTCTCTTTTCTCTGTATGATATGATATCCATTCTCAATTACTGTCTCGTCGACATTCCATCTATCCCCGATTTGACCGCTCACGCCGTTGTATCAATATTCGATGTCGCCTTTCAGTTTACAACATGGCTGCTCACAAGATCGTCAAGCCCGCTGGTGCGGCTCCTGCTGACGAATTCGAATTGTCCATTGCTCAGGCTCTTGTTGACTTGGAAAACAATGTTCCTGAATTGAAGAAGGATTTGCGTCCTCTTTACATTACCGCCGCAAAGGAAGCCGATATCGGTGCCGGTAAGAAGGCCATCATCGTCTTTGTTCCCGTCCCCTTGCAAAAGGCTTTCCAAAAGGTCCAGAGCAGGTAAAGAATTCATTCGCGCGATCCAAACGAAACAAAAAATCGGATATAAGGCTATGGCTCGAAAGCAACATGAACTTATTCAATTTGAATGGTTATTAGATTGACCCGTGAGCTCGAGAAGAAGTTCTCTGACCGCCACGTTGTGTTCATTGCTCAGCGTCGTATTTTGCCTGTTCCTGGTCGCCGCACCAACCCCAAGCAGCCCCGTCCCATTTCTCGCACCTTGAAGGCCGTTCACAGCGCCATCTTGGACGATCTCGTCTTCCCTACCGAAATCGTCGGCAAGCGTCTCCGTGTCAAGGTCGATGGTTCCAAGACCCAAAAGGTCTTCCTCGACACCAAGGATGCCACCTCTTTGGAATACAAGCTCGACACCTTCTCTGCCGTCTACAAGAAGTTGACCGGCAAGGACGTCGTTTTCGAATTCCCTGCTGTCGTTGATGTCATCTAAAAACCTTTTAATCAGCATTTTTCATGCATCCCAATAAAAACACCAAAACTGCAATCCATGCTACAGCTAGAAAATGAAAAGATATACAGCTTTTTTTTTATTTTATTTTATTTTAGTCACCATGGATTTGGTATACAATACAGGAGAGATCAAGTAAGTATTAGCGGAGTAAGAGAACAGAAAAAAAAGGCCTACACTGGGGGTTTATATTAAGGATGTGGTTGTTGTTGCTGGTTATGATGTTGACCGAGGTCCCGCATACGGTCCCAAATATCCGCAGGATGTTTGACCGACGATGGTTCGTCCTGACGGGATTGAGCATGGTCGGTAGCGGTGTAAGTTCGTGTGATGTCTGGCAAGGGCACCGCCGTCGCGGTTTCCTCGTCTCGTTTTTCGTTGGCGTTGTACACGAACAAGGGATAGTCATCGTCGGGTTTCACATAAGGTTGATCGGACGACAAAGCGCCAGGAAGCCAGCGTGGATTGGCGGTTCTGGCCTTTCTACGTTGACGACGTCGGTAGAAAAAGAAGGCCGCGCCCAGAATAAGAAAGAAGCCAAACAGTGAGAACGAGATACTAAATCCTTTCTTTTTCTTATCGTCAGCCGGATCGTTGGCCCACGGGTTCTCAATGACAGTGGTGTCGTATATCATTGGCTTGGTCCCCGCGCCTTGATTCGTTGATGGTAATGGAGGAAACTCGTATCGACATTCTGGTTTCGCTTGGACCTGATTTTGACCTGACATGGAATCGACCCATTCCCACGACTTCATATCCAAAATAGCCACATCGTTCACAAAGACCGGTGCTTTGTCAACCACGTCGCTGTAACCTAGATACACGTATCATCCCATCAGCCTACAGAAAGCGTGTCGCTTTTTCTCGCTTTGACAATTTTTTGTTTACCTAGCATGACCAGCATGTAGTTGCCATGGGTCACGGCCCGGTGACCGGCGCGCGCGGTAGGCGGCGTTCCTTTGACAGACGGCTTGGACCACCGTAATTTGCATGTATCCAATACGTAGACATCGTTATCTGCCGTAAAATTCGTCTGATCAAGATGGTGACCACCATAAATAACAATTGATCGACCATCAGGAGCTGCAAAACGAGTTGGTTAGTTTGCCTTATTACCTATCCGTTATTTTAACTTGTATCAATTTTACCAATGACACTAGAATAACTGCAACGCAAGGCATGAGATTAATTATTTCGGACTTGAATCCATTTCGTTTCTATGCTTACTCGAGTCGTGGATTCGGAATATCACCAATGGTTTCCATGCTCACCGCCTTTTTCTCAACGGTATCAAACACTAATAAGGTGTGAGTTGAAAGCTCAAAGTATACATTGGCACCAATTTACCAAGGACACTATGGAAATCGGCAAACGCCTCAGACCATGAATTGTCGCCTGTATTCTGAGCTGCTGTCCGTCCTCCCATAATAAATAACTGATCCATTCTGTATGCAGTTGAGTGTCACAGCTCGACAAGGAAAACGAGTTATGTGGCTGTCATGGTTAGCTTACATTAGATTGGCCGAATGGGCATAGCGTGGAGGACGAGGACCGTAAGGCTCCGGCACAGAATACTGACTCCAAGAAGACGATTGGGTATCAAAAGTATAAAAGTCGTTGTACTGCAAAAATAACTCATTAGCTTCTGTTATGATGACTGACTGTTTTGTTTTACTGGCGTACATAAGCTTTAGTAGAATCCTTCGCGGATCGACCGCCGTAGAACCAGGTCATGCCCGTATTGTTATTGGCATTGGCGGTCATTTGGGCGCGTGGCAATGGCATGATTCCTTTCACATTGACTACCGATCACGGTGGTTTGATAAAAAAAATATTCAGCGAATGCGCGCTTTGCTCAATAACCGTGACCAAGGGCATGGGACTTACCTGTACTCCATTGACCGGCGGTATCGTACATTGCTAAATATGCCATCTGCTCGCCGCCTCCGTCGCCCGCTTGCACGTAAATATTGTTATCATTGGCACCGCGGAATCCTACACCGTATAAAAATGGTTGAAATGATCCAGCCGGTGGCTGGTAGTTGGCAGGCACTTCCCAGTGGGGTTGAGCGGCCACTAGATCCTTGGATAGATCCAAATGCCACATATCCGGCGCTTCCTAAGCTTTTCCATTTAGTATACAGTTGAAAGATCCATGATGGATGAGCAAGGTAGTTTTACCAGGTTGCCGCCCGTAACGTAGAGATCGTTATTAATAGCGATGGCCTGAAAATCAAATCGATCCACAGGGCCATCAGCTCGAATCAATGGCACACAGGCCAGAACCGCGACCCCGAGGGTTATTAGCTTTCTTCGATAATGCAGCATGTTCTTGCGCAACAAAGAAAAGAAAAACCAGCGCTTTCAAAATAAAAGGAACCTTTTTTTTTGAAATATAAAAAAGTCTGCCAACAAGAAAACGAGGATCTTAAATCTTTGTATTACGGGTTGGGTCAACGTTGCACTGTCCCACACCTGTGAAATAACCACGATGGAACTATTTAAATACCACCATGCAGACCCTTTTTTCTCGCATGGAGAGAAGCCACGGCTGGCCTTGACAAATGCATGTAGAGAACATGCAGCAAAAAGATGCAGCCACTGTTAAACAGGCAAGTTATTGCGTAAGGGGGCATGTCAATCTATTGGTTTTTTCTGTATCAACCGCTAAAAAAATAATGAAAATACCGTGGCAACTGAATGTTCCTATTTTTTGCATATCCATCATGTCATGACAATAGACCACGACGATATCCATTTCACATGATTTTCCAGTTGGACGATGAACGATGAACGATGGCGGAGTGCGAATACCGGATATTGCATGCCAAAATGAGGAACTGTTATTCAAAGGCCGTCTAAAGAAAAAACGACCTCTTTTTGAATCCGCTGGGTTGCTGGGACATGAGGCTTTTTTTTTCTGTTCTATAAAAATCCGTTAGGCTATTATAGGCATGATTGGTAGGTTGTGACCGGCGCAGAAAATCGGTCCATAGTGTTTATAGTTCCTTTTTTTTTCTGCCAAAGAATTAAAAAAGCTAGTGATGATGATACATCGACTTTTGATAGTTAAGGATAGTCTAATCATGTTAAAATATGTCATTTGTAAATCAAGCATTTATTCCTATGGCAACTCTAGAACTCAATACCTAACCCTTTTGTATCCCTCCAAATAATTATGATCGTTTAACCCGTCAGATGACTTTTTCGTTAAAAGAATATTTTCTTCCAGTTCTGTGGAAAGTCTATATGGGAAAGTCGCCTATTGTGTGGGATGAGCAGAGTCGTCCTTTTCTGTTTTGGGCGAAGATCGTCCATTAGCGTGGAACCTGTGGAACGGGGACTGGGTGGGCGACCGATTTCACTGGTTCGGATGATCGGACACTCAAGTTTCCTTTTTTTTTTTTTTTTTTTCTCTCTTACCGTTTGCCAAGCCAGAAAAGTGATTGCTGAGGTTTCAATCCATTCTTATCAACGAAAAAAAAAAATGGTCTGGACAATCGCGATATCAAAAAGAAAGGCAATCTGATTGTTTTTTTATTATTGCTTCTTCTTTTTAAATATTTGTTTTTCGTTTTCCGTTCTTGTATTATTTCTGTATTCATAATATTTATCACACGATGAAGCTTATTTCGCGTCAACGATGGCTCTTATTAATATTGATCGGACTGCAACTGTTGGCCCTGAGTTGTTATGCACAAGACTCGGATGGTGCCAGCAAAGCGGTTAGCGATCCATCGCACAATGACGCTGCACCCGCTTCCAGCGATGCAGGGGGCGATCAGCAGCCTACGCCCAGTCCTTCGGACGATAAGTCTTCACCCACAGACAGTGACACATCGCAACCGACGCCGTCTTCCAGCGACGACACTCAACCCACGTCCAGCTCGGACAATGTGGCTACACCGACCTCGGATAACAATAATCAGCCTACGCCTTCCAGCGACACCAACAATCAACCTCAACCTACACCATCCAAAGACAGCAGTCCCAGTAGCGATGCCAGTCGTCCTACGCCTTCCCCATCCGATGACAATAACAACAACCATGCATCGACCTCGGACAACGCCGATAGCAGCAGCGACAATAACAAGCCTTCTGCCACCAGCGACGGAGGTTCGCAGCCATCGTCGTCGGATGATGCGCACTCCGAGAATCAGCCTTCGCCTTCTAATTCTGACAGCGCAGCAAAAGAATCGTCCTCTTCTGGATCCGATTCTGGTTCGGGTTCTGGCTCGTCTACCAACAAGACTGGTGTCATTGCCGGTTCAGTCGTGGGCGGTGTTGGTAAGTAGATATTTTCTGTCAATGCATGCACGATGGTGCATCAATGTATATCATGATACTAATTTGTTTACAGTGGGTCTTGCTTTAATTGGTGGTTTGTTGACATGGCTCAATCGACGTGGCGGTTGCACTAGTCCTCGTCGTCGTCGTGGCGACCAAGCGTTTGAGAACGATGATTACGCCGTGGATATGTCAGACAACCGAAATGATCCTTTCACTCCTGCCGCATCGCGTACACCTGAAATGGCACCTTTCCAACCGGGCGCACGCCGTTTTGTTCCTCCTGTAAATGATTACATGGATCACAATGGCAGCAAGTACAGCGAAGAATACTACATGCACGATGCACCTCATGAACATCAACAACCTTCCTACTACACTCCTACTTCTCCCATGGCGGCCGGTCATGACGGTTATGAGGGCTATGAAGGTTATGATTGGTCACAAGGTTACAGCAAACCCGATACGGTAGACAGTCACAAACCTAATGTTCTGTAAACGAGAACAGAAAACTCCCAATAAAAAAAAAAGAACAAAGTATAGAACAAAAAATTTCCCCGGTTATGATCCTGGGAACCCAAGGAAGATAGAGGTGTCAAATGTCTGTTTCTGAATCTGAGTCGGTGTTAAAACAGGCGGATAGAAAGAGATTATGATAATCAATCCATAGTGGGAAACTAAGATCTTTTCATCAGCAAATGAGATTGGGCATCGCATAAACGATACAGCGGAACAATAAAAGTATGAAGCAAGTTCACAGGCAAAACTTGATCTTCTTTTTTCCCTTTTTTATTATTTTCCCCACATTTTCTTTTTGAAAACAAAGTCAACGTACCAACCAGGTTGATCACGATGCATTTGTCTTCACCAAGCACTCCTTCTTACTGGCTTCATGAGGCTCCGTACCAGTTGAACAGCGAAAATCCGTTGCCAGCCAAAGCAGATATTGTCATTGTCGGAGGTGAGCCCTTGAACTTGTTTGCCCTCTTTCACTTGCCAACTGGCGCTATATATCTCATCGATTCCATGATATAGCTGGTCTTACTGGCATGTCTGCTGCATATTGGTTGACACAGATGCGTCCCGAGCTCTCGGTCGTGGTAGTGGATGCTCGTGGTGTGTCTAGCGGTGCGACAGGTCGCAATGGTATGGGTCAATTGTGCTGTGACGAGGCAATGCGATATTAACTCGAAAGCGTACATTCTTATAGGCGGCATTATTTGTCCTGGATTGAACGACGATTTCGAAGATACTGTGAACAGCTATGGAATGGCATCTGCTGAACGATTGGTCAATTTTGATTACCGAAACGTCGAATGGCTTGACAAGTTTTTGAGACAACACGCTGACAACGACAAGGGCACATTTGATCCGGAATTGACGTGGATGAAACACGGTACCATTGTCGCGTGGTCCAACCAACAAGAGGCTGACGAAAGTCGCGAAAGGGCTGAGCAGTTGGCGCGGTCGGTGTCGGATATGCGGGTGTTGTCGCCAGAAGAATTGCAAGCGATTACCGGTATCAAGACGTACAAGTACGGTGGACTTCAGATTAAAACAACTGCTATTGCATGGGCGGCCAAGATTGTGTTTTGTTTAGCGCGGGCGGTGGAGAAGAAGGTGATTATTGCCACCCATACGCGTGTGGACCGTGTGGAAAACGAGGGACCCGTGAACCGGGTGATCACGTCCCGTGGTGTGATTGAAACACCCAAAGTCGCTTTCTGCACCAATGCATGGACTCAACATCTTGTCAAATCGTTCCATAACTACTTGGTTCCCGTACGGAATCAAGTCGTCAGTGTGCGAGCTCCGGAAAATATGCCACCCATGGATTATGTCTTGAGTGCCAACCGAGGGTAAGTAAGCAAACGACAAAAAATGAGCCTGAGAAAAACACTCTCAAACATTCTCACGCTACGGAAACTCTTCTATTTTAGATATCAATACATGTCGCGTCGTCCCAACGGCGACCTTATTATGGGCGGTATGCGTGACATTGTGCCCAATAAGCAGGAACATGAAGATGACGATTCCGTGCTCAATCTCGCCGTCTCGAGCGGACTGCGCGATTTCATGAGAAATGTCATGCAGGTTCCCGTGGCCATGGAACGTGAATGGGTAGGCGTCATGGGTTTCTCCATGCGCGATGGTCTTCCTTTCGTCGGTTCCCTTGAAAAGCTCACGGGCAAATCAGGCCAATTTGTCGCAGCAGGATTCACCGGTCATGGTAAGCATCAACGTAGCCAGCAGACTGCCAAAAAGAGGAGGGGGCTAAAATAGTCAAATGTACTACGTTTAGGTATGCCGCGAACTTTCCTGTGTGGTCGTGCTATTGCTCAGATCTTGACAGATCAAGAATTGGAGTCGTGGTTTCCCACCGAATTCCTGGTAGATCATCCTTCGCGAGCCTATCTTTCCGATAGTACCGGATCTAAACTTTAATAACCTACTCTGCCCATCACTATTTATTATATTCCGCCTTGACCCTTTTTACAGAAAACAACTCATTCGCTTTACTACTGAATTTCTTTTTTTTTTTTAGACAAAAAAAAAAAAAAAAAAAGAAATGTAAAGAATAACTCATCACGTTTAAAGGATATGAATGGCGAATGCATGCGAGAGAGTATGTTACCATGACATAAATGGGGATAAAGAAACACTTTAGTTACCGAGATGTAGGAAAGTTTGTTTGAACAAGGCCCAAAACAAAGGCAACTGCAAAAGGGCCACTTCGCAACGTGTGCTAGATACAGTACTCGCGTTCTGGCAGACTATGTCATAAGTACGTGCGGGACCTGTTGCAAAGAGGAAACCTTTTGATTTTGGGGATCGACACAATGTATTGCCAATGGCGATAAAGCTTATCTCTTCGTCAGGGCAACTTTATCAGATTGGTCAAGAAATTAGATGATAATGCTAAGCAGGTGGTTGACTCAGGATATACCTGATTCCGCTATATCTGACATGCGAGTTGATGGCATGCACGTCCAAACTTTGCAGATGGATCTAGTCGCAAAGGGCCTGAAACGGCTCAACGAAAAGGATAGCTCTGAGGTCATCAAATCAATAGACGATTTGTCGAGGATAGGAACAATGATGCAGTTCAAAATCAAAGCACCGTTGCCAATGTCACCTCATTTTGTCGAAAAGCGAAAGGTTCATGAGACTGAATTATTGCCCCAAACGCGTGGCTAGATCCAGATCCCTTATCAAGGAAATAGGGTCAAGAAGGACAAGAAAATAGAAGTGATCGTTTTAGGTTTGTGATGAATACATATTTGGATGCACTGCCACAGTTTTGGCAACCGAAGAAAGCTATTTCATTCAGGTGGGAAAGTGGTGGAAAAACGGACGGTGGTCATATCTTTGGTCCTCAAGATTGTTCCATGCTTGTCCAGCTACACAGAAGAAAAAGGCTAAAAATAGTAAAATTTACTACTTTTAGAAATAGTCGCGGACTTGTGTGTCGTGCCGTTGCTCAGCTCTCTGACGGATCAGAAATTCGCGGTTTCGCCTCCACACTCGTCGTCAACCATCCTTCCCCGTTCGTATTTTGCCTACGAAAGCGAATCCACCTTACCAAATAATCATCATAATCTTTTTTGGTATACTGCATCACGTTCCCAGACCAGAAACTCAGTCATGTTCCATGAACCTGAAAAGGGAAAAAAACAAGTTAGGAAAAATATGAACACTCTAAAATAAAATAAAAATAGTCTTTTGATTTAAATGGATATGAACGGCGAATACATGCGTGTGTATGGTTGGAGAGAGAAGAATAGAGTTAAAATATGTAGCAATGTATAAAAAAAAAGTGAAAAGCTGTATGGCAAATGAAAAAAAAGGGGGGGTAAGAGAACTAGAAGGAACGGCGAGGCTATAAGCCGTAGAGATAGGTCGCGTAAATGACAAAGATGGCGCCGAGCACAAAGGAACCGGAGAGAACAAAGTTGAAAAGCCAGACACTGACAAGACTGGACAGAATGATACTGATGCTGGTGGCAAACCCTTTGAGGATATTATCGGCGTACTTGACAACAAGCGCCACGATCAATCCACCAAACGCCTGAATAAGAATCACGACCCAGGTCAAACACGTGTAGTTGACAAAGAAGCCCTTTTCGGCAATGGTCGCACCATCCTGCATCAAGACGACAAAGATCAGGCCGAGCAACACGGAGAAGAAGGACATTTGAATGTTTCGAATCCACAGCTGACTTTGAGCGGCGGTTGTATCTTCTTGCGGCGAGTGACCTTGCGGAGATCGTAATGAATCGTTGTCCTCGTCCTTCATCATCGCCTTGCTCTCCTCATCTCCGGCATTCGGCTGTTTAACCGGAGCTTTGAGGATCTTTTCAAAATAGACACCTGCCAAGCCCGAAAGAACACATGCCATCAACACGGCCATAAATCCTTCCATGTTGGACTGATTGCCGACACTGGTTGAAGGCACATCCGACACGATTTCTGGTTCGGTTTCGCCGGTAAAGTAAGCGATTGCGGCCAACGAAGCGTCCTTGGGCAGCACCACAAGTCCAATGCCAAAGGTCAACAGAGCCAATGAACACCACTTTAAGCGGTTCAAACTACGCTTCAGAATCACCACACTGAAAAACGCTGTGGTCAAGATCTTGAGTTGGTAAGTGACCTGAAACGTGGCAGCATCGAGATTGGTCGCCGCGACATATTGTAGGTTGTTCTAAAAACCGACATGAATAACATTGGTCAAGGCAACTCTCCATGGAATCTCCATGGAAATTCCATGGTGCATCCCAGAGTTTAACATCCAAACCTTACCTGAATCAAATAAAGAAAAGCAGGCAGCGCCAATTTACTACTTTCCCGCCAATTAACTACGACTTCACGCTGAAGAAGGGTGGCGAGTCGTGACAATGACCGCTGATGGGCTGCAGGCATCATGTAAAGAACAATCATACAGACAAGGGTTTTGATCAGTTCGCTCATAATAACGGCGGTCGATGCCAGGTAACGTTGATCCTCTGGAACACTCGCACGGGTATATCGCATCACCAAGATAAGGGCGCTGTTCTGCACTACCAAAATAAGTAGCGAGAGATACTTGAGTGGTATGCCACCGCATACAGTCTGAACCGCTATCGACATTTATGTTAAAAATAGATAGACAACATCGTATTCTGGCTTTTGGATAATTTACCCATGATATGAAAGGAAAAAAAAAAAAGAAATGGAAAAGGAAAAAAGAAAAGGAAGAGAGGCAGACAGATAAGGAGCAAGTAAGAACGAAGGAAGAAAAATGTGATCGAATCTCCCACAGCCTGAAATAGCCTCAAATCCCGTCCCACCCAAACCACCGCCCAAAAAAAAAAAAAAAAAAATCGTGACGGGGTTTTGGGTCAATCCTGCCAGCCTGGTCGAGAGCCAAAAACAACAACGAAAAAAAAATTGACCGAAGCCTAAAACGCCTACTCGACTATATCCCTTTTTCATAGCTGTTCCCTCTTTTTTTTTGGGGGGGGGTAATCTCTTGTGAAAGTATGTAAATCGAAATAGCATGGTTGGAATCACTGGTGGAGAAAGTACAAACGGTGTGTTTACTTTGTCATCTGAATTTGGCAATAGCCAAATATTACAGTAATCAGAACTACTCTTTATCTGCAGCATTAAAAACAATAGCCAACTACCACTAACGAGATATGTCCTGACGCCATGGATTGGTACCACTGTACGTTGCTTGTGATACTCTCAAACTATGGCTGAGCACCATGACGGTTGTTTTGATCGATATCAATACAAGAACTATAAAAAAAACTTAATTTCCTGCATTAGGAAACATTAACAAGGAGAGACGACAATATGTACTTTACTAGTGTAACCCGCTTAACAGTGGCCAGACAGCCTACACAACGTTTGCCTATTAAACGGTCATCGTATGATATGGACCACTGACATTGAAAACTTGAGAGGTAAAAGCCCCTAATATCGTCTCACAAATAAAAGCTTGTGCTGTGTTGGCCAGTCCAATTGTGTCACTTTCTGTTACCCGAGCACCAAGTAAATACAATGTGCTTCAATTCTCGTAGTCGTGAGGAGGCTTAATATCAATAATACAGTGTTATTTTCCTTTCATTGTAAGTTTAGGCAAAAGCCGATCAACGTCATCACTGCCATCAATATGTAGACGAAGATCCGTCACCCTATTTTGTCCAAAGAAAGCAAGGTGCTCATCAGCAATAAGGAGATGAAACAGAATGAACGATCTCAAGCTGACTAATGTTTTTTTGACACATGCAGTAACATATCTCGGAATATTGAAGCACATAATAAAAAAAGGCGATGGAACGCTTGACAAGTCTGCCCCGTATAACCAATGATCGTTTTCAAGTTCGATCGCAGTATCTTGTTTTTCAAACGACCTTGGGACAATAAAATGCAGGAACAGTTGATGAATTCAAATAAAGCATCATTCAACAACTCCATCAGTTCACAACATTGGCTTGATCCGATCAAGCACCTCTATTCCCACATACAATACAGTATCTCGATAAGGGCTGCCCTAAAATGTATCCAGCCGACATTGCATTGTCCTCCCCTCCCCACCAACAAAAAAAAAAAAAAAAAAAAAAAAAAAAAAAAAAAAAAAACCATCCATTTGAGCTGTGCACAGTACATATCAAGTATGTGTTGATAGGGTCATTAACTTGACAAACGGTCTCGTAGAACTTCTGCCTGTACAATTGAGACGGCCAGCATGAATGTTTATCGCTGTTCAATGGATGCATACAAGAGACTCTTCACTGTGAGGAGAGACATGTTAATTTACAATTCTTTTGCGATACTGTGTTCCTCTATTACATGAAAAATGATGGTGATTGAAAAAGAAAATAACATCGAATGATGGATAATAATTTGGAATCAATGACACCTATAAGAGATATTTTACAGGAGATCATGTTTTGTATCAAAAAGCATGGAAAGGGATTCACCAAAGTGGGTGCGTCGAATGGCTTCGGTGAAAATGGGGGCCACGTCAAACACTTTGATTTTGGGACTGTTGATGTGAGGATCGAGAGGAATGGAGTTGCTGACAATCAGTTCATCCAGTGCACTCTGATCAATGTTTTCAATCGCATTTGCCGACAGTAAAGCGTGGCTCACCAATGCAATCACTTTGGTCGCTCCGTTTTCTCGCAACATTTTGGCCGCTTTGGTGATTGTGTACGAGGTATCGGCGATATCATCAATCAAAATACATACTTTGCCGCGCACATCGCCCACCAACATGAGATCCGTTTTTTGCGTGACAATCTGTCGTCGCTCCTTATGAATAAGAGCAAAATCCATGCACAAACGATCGGCAACAGAGGTCGCACTAATCAATCCCCGCAAACAAAAAATAGAAAAAAGCTATAGTCAGCTTTTCTTTCCATTAAAGCTCGCACCATCCAATAATTTTACCGTTTAGCGCCACCTGCATCCGGAGAAACAATGACCGCGTCTTGATAATTGGGAATGTGAAGACGGATATATTTGATCATCAAAGGCTTGCTGATCAGATTGTCTACAGGACAGTCGAAAAATCCTTGGAACTGAAACCATGATTGTGTTACCTCATGATTTGAACCATGCGTTGGCCGAGAGGGTGGTCCCCATGCTTACCTGTGCATCATGAAGATCCATGGTAATAATATGATCGGCACCTAACAGTCGTTTCAAAGAAAAACAAGAGAGAAACAAAGTGAGCACCCTTTGTAATGATATGTCTTGGGTAATTTTTTTTTTTCATGACATACCGGCACAGGTCAAAAGATCGGCTACCAAGCGACCGCTTCGAGCAACCCATTCTCGGTAACGATTTTTGGGTTCTTCTGGTTTTTGATCCTGAAGCGAGGTTTGAGCGAGACGACGCAGCACTTGTTTGGCAATGTCTTCCTGTTGATGGGATGGTTCCGGAGGGTATTTGGGAGTAGCCGGGGGCAGTTTAGTGAGTGGAGCGCCAGACGGCTTGAAAGGAACATCGGCCTGCCGGGAGTAAGGGAAGTAAGGAACAACTACCGTAATACGTTTGGCGGAAGCGATTTTGCAAGCATTGATCATGACCAAAAGTTCAATGAGATTATCATTGACGTGACCACACCCGGATTGAACAATATAAACATCGCGTTCTCGTACGGATTCGTGCATCTCCACACTCGTTTCGTTGTTGCTGAATTTCGATAGTTTAGTTTTTCCGGGACATATACCCAGTCGTCGACAGATAGCCGCTGTCAATTCGGGATGTGAAGAACCGCCAAATACAATAAGATTACGCATGGATAAACAGAACAAAAAAAAGAAAGAAGAGGAAAAAAAAATGGGGTAGAAAGGAAAAGAGAAAGAGCCAAATAAGATCATTCATCATGGTTTGCTGGTGCTTTTTGTTTTTTTTTCTGACTCACGATTGCAACACGCTCTTTGAAAATCAATCATCTCCGAAAAAAAGTCCACCCAAATTTGATATAAAAAATGTGACGTTTTTCTTTTTCACCAAAGCGCTGCTTTTGGATAACTGGGGATCATCTTTTTTATTTGCTGAGAAGCAAGAAGAGGGAAAGACGAAAACAAAAGGTGGAAGAATCCAGGGAATGATGATTTCGGAATACAGGACGAAAGGAAGAAAAACATTTTAGAGTTTGGCGGTAGGGTTGAGGGACTTGAAGACACTGTCGAGCTTCATAGCGAGCATGATCTGACCCTTAATCTTGAGCTTGCCGCTCATGTAAGCCTTTTGACCTAAAGAAGAGGTTGAGTTTCTTCTGCATTGTCCACTTTCCTTTTTGCCCCATCCAAAATTTTGTACTTACCGTTCAATTTGCCAGTAGCCAAGTCAACAAAGTCTTGATCCTTCAAGGTCAAGATAGCATCGGCCTTCTGCTTGCCTTTACCACGGGTCACCTTGCCTTCCTTCTTGCAGTCGACAGTGAAGGTTTCTGTCTTGCCGTCAGCGTTCTTGATAACAAACTCGAACACGCCATTCACCTTTTGTGACAATGACAGAAAGAGGGGTGAGAACGAATGGTCATTTTATGAAGAACGCTCATGGCCCTTTGACATGAGCCATGGCGGAATGGAATAATAAAAAGAAACCCTTACCTTCTTGATCAAGGCGGCCTTTTCTTCAGGAGAGTAGGCATCAAAAACCTTGCTCAACTCGGCAATGAGTTCGGAGCTCTTGAATCCAGGAACGACGATATCAGACATGATGTGGAAAGAAGTGTGAGATGAAAGAAGAGGTGATAAGGTATCGGTATGAAAAAAAAAAAAGCCAAGTCTCCAGATGATGGTTGGGTTTTATATACGTGAAGATGAAAATTTCACGTGGAGGGGTTGGAAAAAACAAGTCCTATTAACAATCACATGCCAAAATTTTGCGTATGCAACGATTGATAGAAAAAAAAAAATTACCCCGCACCGTCTTGCCAGAAAACACGGTTTACGATGACCATTTTGTGCAACCTCGTCCATTTTAATCCATTTTCGGATTGCTAATTGTAACCCCAAGCTTCATTTCCCTCTTCACCCAATGTGAAACGGAGTTCATCACACCTAGAAAACAGAAACAAATCTGCAAGTTTTCCTGCACATCATGCGAATTGGTTGATGTTAACTAAGCGATCCCATCACAAGAAAAGTAAAAAAGCCATGAATAATTATTACAGTCCAAATCTGTTGACAGTGATATGATGATGTTACCCAGCGACCCATCACTTTGGTTCTTTCCGAATAACCCATGCTACAATTATCATATTTTTATTTCGCAATGATGGCGCGTTGTTGATCGTTATCGGGGCAAGTGATGGATTTGCTGTTGGGCATCTTTATATCCAACAGAGTATGATAATACGATCGCTTCCCACGACAGTTGATCCAGTGGTCTATGTTCATTATCGTTCTGTGTAGTTAACCCCAAAATTCGAAACCCCCCTAGAGAAGTTACCCACTGTAACTGCAGTGTGCATTTACCTCATATTTAAAAATATGGGTAGTGTTGTCATTAAGTGGATTCGCAACGTGGTTTACATTAAGAGCGGATGTTGGTAGGAGGTAACATGTCGGATTTTGGCGAATAAAATGCCACACCGATAAATTGGGGAAACCGGCATCTGCGTCGTTCGTCAATCTCTTGCATAGACTCCATAGTAACCTATGGCAAAAAATGAAATTCAATTGAAATTTCTTGGAACCGTTGAATGATGCATGAATGCCAACGAATTTTGGTCTCTGTAATATTACAATTCCTGATATTACAGCACCTGTTGCTCGTCGATCATTGCTGTTGGACTGAAAAAACTTGTTTAATTCATAATTATCCTCTGCAGCCCTTGACCGAGAGATCAAAGTCTGTCATTTCTTAACATCTACTGCTGCTTTTCTCTTGTTCTTGTACAAGAATTCTGGCTTTGAGCGATTTCATCGGATTTTGCCTGGACAGTCACGAGGAAGAATATGGTGAATGATCTTTGCAATGCATCATTTTTGTGAAAATTGAATCCCAGCAGGATCCTTCCTTTTTTCTTCACTTGCTCTTTTTACATTTTCCCCACTCTTTCTTTGAACTTTGTATGATATAGTGTAATATGCCTGATACCCCCGACTTTGTTCAACCTAATATATATCTCTGGGACCAGACAGACGAGCAAGTCATCATCACTTTGCCAGTGCCCGAACTTTGCAAGGCTCACGATCTCGACATTGCCATTCAATCGCAATACATACGAGCTGGTGTGAAAGGTCAACCAGCTATTCTCAAGGTATGATTTGGGGTCTATTTCTCAACCAAAGCCTTAGAGTCTTATGTCTAATTATGTGTTAACGACTTTTTCTTGTAAAATTATGCGTTTAGGGAAAGCTGTTCTTATCTATCAACTCTTCAAAGTCACATTGGCAAATCGAAAATGATGACACGGATGCTTCTTTTACTGCTTCGCCTTCATTGTCGATGGCTTCTTCGTATGCTTGCCTCTCTTCACCAGGGTCGCCTATGATGCTGCCAAACCCCATGTTGGGAGAATCGTTTGCAGAAGTCGATTCACCCACCGCCAATCTATTGCAACAAACCGTCGCACTCGGCCAATCGCTCAATCTCAATCACGATCATGACCACGACCACGACCATGACGCCGCAGACGATACCGATCTTTCAGCATCCAATGAATTCAAACCGTCGAAATACAAAATGATTAGTCTGTATCTTCACAAAGATATTCACGGAGTCCATTGGGAGATACCCATCGTGGGTGGGTATGCCGAAACCATGGACATGGATCCGACCAGCGCCCATTATCTCGGCCAGTGGTTCGAATCCCGGAAAAAGAATACAAAGGTAATAGCTATTTCAACAATGGTCCAATTTACCTTGCTTTTGCAGTGTATTCATTCGTGGGTTGACCAATGACAGAGAGCATTTGAACATTTCCTTTATGCGGCTGAACGAGGTCATTCGCGCGCCATGGTCAAAGTAGCTTCCTTGTACGATGTACGTTACGGTGTAACCAATGTGATGCCGCACAGGTTTACTCACGATTTTCTGCATTTAGGTTGATCAGAGAAACGACATGCAGGGATTGGCTACCGATTTGACATATGAATATCCTAAAAAGGATGCGCAAAAAGCTTTCCATTGGTATAAGCGTGCCGCCGATCGAGAGGGGTTCATGTCGGATGTCATGGCTTGCTACATTGTTGGCAATACTTTTACCTCCGGCTCACCTCAAGCCGGCGTGGAAAAAAACGATCGACTGGCTTTACGCTATTACGAGCGATGCATGTTACTAACGGGTCCGCAGATCGATCTTGATATGAATGTCGTCGATGGGGTGATTCCAGAATCCCAATTACGCAGTCGATCCCCACGGTCGGGCAACGAACATTATTTTTGCAGTGCAGCGTTCCAGAGTGGGCTCATTTTATTTTCTGGATCAAAAAATGGCAAGGAACAACCCTCCTCTGGTTCCGACAGTTTAGTGGAGGTCGATCTAGTAAGGGCGATGCGATACTGGAAACAAGCTTCCATGTTGGGCCATGCGCAGGCATCTTACAATATCGGCATCATGTACGCGAAAGGAATTGGCGTGGAACAGGATTCCTTTGAAGCTGGAAAATGGTTTGCACGTGCGTTGCATTTAGACGACACGCGAAAATTAGTGGTCCCTGCACACATCAAATTGAGAAATTGGAATGCGTCCAAGGAGGAATTAGGGGATTCCCTACCGGTACAACAAGAACAACAGCAGCCATCAAAACCATCATCATCACCCTTCTCCTCATCAGGATCATCTTCCAAGCCCATGTCCAACGCGGCAACTACTTCTACAGCAAAGTCCACCAGACGGCGAGAACGGAAAAAACCGATAGATTATCCTGATATGGACGATAGTAGAGGAAAAATCGTTGCCTTGAGTTCGGCTGCGGCGGTAGCAGGCACCATTGTTTGGTGGTACATGAAGGCGCACAAATAATTCCATGACAACAATAACAAAAATCGAACCATCAAAATCAATTCCAGAATCATCACCATCAACATCATTTCAACGAGCAAGATACCAAAGTGGGAAAAAAAAAGAAAAAAAAAAAAAGAAAACGCCATGACCTCAAAAGAACGAAAAAGTGTTTCTCCTTTTTAAGATAACAGGGTTCTGTGATACTGAGGTGTGCGTGGGTGAGAGTGAATGAGTGTAAATGCGATATGAATATGTGCGTGTGTGTGTGTGTGTGTGTGTGTGAGTGATCATCCTTTTTTCCTTGCTCTGGAATTTTCTCAAAAAGAATATGTTTGTACTCGCATATTTATAAATGCAATAAGGAAAATCGCTCGATCCTTTTTTCCCTTTTCTTCTCTTTCTCCTTTTTTTTTTATCTCTTGTGTCTTTTTTTTTCTTTTTTTTATCATATTGGTTTATTGTCATTTTACTCTCTAACACAACATTCCATTCCCATTTTAAACTCTACCTTATTACCCCTTCTTTTTTTTTGGCTTTTGACTCTGGCTTATTAAAGTTTTTTTTTATTATTATTTTCCCCGCCCAACGCAACCTTTTTTATTATTATTATCCTTATTATTGAATGACAAAGTGGTATCCGCCCGTTCAGCATACCTCATCTTGCGATGTCATTGTGGCCTTACGAACAGATCAGACATTACCTGTCAAGCGCATGGCCAAACGACAACGATCGCAACCACTAAAATCGGGTCTCACACCTATCCGACGGTCCGTTCGTCCACGGTCTTCCAGTGCTGGTCCAAGCACCATTGCTATTCCCAACGAATTCATTGCGCGCTGGATGTGTCACAAAGCTGTTCTCGCCCGTTCGTCGTACTACTTTCATGGGATGTTTCAGGATCAATTTCACGAATCCAAATCAGCCATCGTTTCACTTCCTCGCAGCGTCTTTGGTATCGCTTCACTGAATTGCATCTTTCATTTCATGTACACGCAAACCCTCGAATTACCGACCAACCAACAATTAGCGTTGGAACTGCTCCAAGAGGTGTATTCAGGCGCCGATTACCTCGGAATGACCGAATTATGCAAAATGATAGGCCAGCAATGGGATCAACTTGTCCATCAGTGGACATGCTACTGTGCAAGCTGCCAAACCTTGGTGCCCCAATTATTGGCCTTTAGCCAATACCGCCTTGAAGAAGAAGATAAAAGTGACAATATTATGGCTAAAATCAGCCAAGATGCTCAAGTGATTCTCACGTGCGATCCTGATAAATCACTGCAATCGTTTTGGACCAGTCGTGACATGGCTCAACTGCCTAATTTACAGACGTTGTCACCCCTCATTCTGAACAAAATTGGAAAATGCAACGCAATTGAATCCCTCTATGCATGCTACATTGCCTCGCAAAAGCTGGCCGAAAGTGATCCGTTGCTGTCGTGGAGCCATTCCCTCCATGCTACCTTGGCCTCGGCGCAGTCCCGTGCCACTCATATCATTGCCAAAAATTTTAATTTCTATTGTTCTCAATATCCTGCGCTAATGTCATGCATTGATGGTATCACGTACTCAGTTGACTTTCTCGAATATCTTTTGTTACAGGTCCTCGAGGATCAAATGGATTCCGATAATGCAGGACTGCTCTACCAAGGCATCGTTCGCGATCTCATGTGCCGTCACACCGTTCAAATCAATCCCGAAGTCAAATATGTTCTCATCATCGCTAGAGAAATGGCCATCCGATACATTGGTCGACAGCTAGACCAAATCAGGGAAAAAGGCAATCTGAATAAACTTGATGCAACCACCGTCAGAATGCTGGCTGAGGGTATAAACAAAATGCAAGACCAAAAAAAAGATTGCATAAAAGCTGCTTCGCACGTAACTTTGTTGTTGTTTACTGACTTGCTTTTTTTCTTTCTTTCCATTTTTGGAATGTCTTTCCAACATTCTTAGATCTTTTTATGAATCCTGCCGCTTTACTTGGACCTCGCAAATCCAGAAAACAAAGGATCCTCGCTTTTCTCAAACCTTCCGATCCACGCATCACCATGCGCGTATCCCGTCATCCCTCCCAGCAAACCACCACCACCACCGGCAGTCGCGCTCGTACCATCGAGAGTTTCCACAGTTGCAAAGATTCGCTCTGCGGATTTATGAAAAAAATATGGCGGTATCGAAAGAAACGGTATCCGGATACTCGACTATCAGGACGACGATCAGCTGTCATGGCTGATGGACGCAACAGTTCACGGCTCATGGCGACGCGTCATTACTCTCATATTTCCACCTATTCCAGTATCAACGAGCGGACCCTGATAGGTGAAGCAGATCTTCGTCTTGAACGTAAATTATCGTCATCAAGTTACTCACACATGCTGTGGCCCGGTCCCACACCCACCAAACGAACGCTGGCCGAGAAACTGCTACCATCGCTCCTGTTCCCGAAAATTTCGATGCGACACACTCACTCACTGAAGCTGTCCATGATGATCACGGTTGGAAAACGAGTGCAGTTAATTCGACGGCCCGTGCTGACCGTCGGCACCGTCGCCTACATTGGACACGTAGTATTTGCAGAAGGCATTTGGGTCGGGGTAGAATTGGATCGCAGAGGTAAGTTTTTTAACACTTTCAGACGAGTCACGGCATCACACTCACGCATACACACATGACCTTAGTGGGAAAAAATGACGGATCCATTGACGGTCATCGCTATTTCAAGACATCACCCAACCGAGGCATCTTTGTTCGAATGGAAGACGTTAGCGTCATTGTATGAATTTCAAAGCAACAAAAATCAAGTCCAAAAAGGCTTATCGCAAAAACGCATCGACCTTTCTTTTTTTTTTGAGACCGACCAGTCAGGGAATAAAGGGCATTTCAAGGCGGATCACAATAACCACGTGATGTGGCCTCGCATTTGGTTGTAACAGAAAATGGCCATTGATAATGCAAAGCATGTGTCCTCCCAATGGTGCATATTTTCTTGTTTTTATGGATGCAGCTTTGTCACTTGCTTTTAGACAGATGTGAGTCCACCAAAAAAACTGCTTGATGGTGTGATAAGCCCCATTTTAAAGTGCAGGAATATTTTCAATTTTCGGTCCTTTCCATTTCTGGAAATGGCGAACAAAAAAAAAAGAAGCCGGTGACAGTTACTACAATTCCATAAATGTCTTTTTGGATATTCAGGACATCCAGCTGTATAATAGTACTTTTATCAGATATTTTGTTCAGACATTTAGCTCACATTATATGGGCTTGCGTCATTCATTAACCGATAAAAGAAGAAGAGACAATAAGATACGTGTAGTGACGGAGCCCATCAGTTCTGAACATGCCAATGGCGTGGTAGCACTCGATAACGGCAAGTAGCATATTGAAACACCCCCTATTGAACAGCCATCAAAGACTCGTCACCTTTATGTCAATAGTGATCCTATGGTGGATCCGCACTACAAATAAACTCCATATCCGTTGCGAGTTGTATCTGGATCGATGGATCGAACAACTGTGTATCTGGACTCGGCCGATTGCAGCAGCACCGCCTACAAGCACAGGGTTCGCTGGACAGTCGCATCATGCAACAAATCAAGACAATAATCCCTGTGAATATCTGGCATGCATATGGATGTTGTATGGCAATCGCAAAACTATAAATCGCAGAAAAGGAAAAAGATATAAAAGACAGTCGAAGGCATCAAGCGGGAAAAGTTTTATCTCAAGTGTGTATGTACAATGGGAGGAACTGATCAAATGAGGAAAAAAAAGTAAATGATGAACATGATAAAAAATATGACAATGAGAGATGATAAAAATCAATAAGTATAAAGAATGACCAAAAAGAAAAAGGGAAAGGAGCATAAAAAAACATGAAATGACAAATTCGTTATGGTGGTTGGACATGGATGGGGCTTAGACTTTTAGAAATGGATGGTCTAAAAGCTGCGGAATCTTTTTGCGCTTGGACGGATCCCTTTGCAGGCATGACTGCATGACATCGATAATTTCTGCCGGCAGAGTGACGGGATCGTGGGTGAAGTCGCCAGGGGAATATACAGGTGCTTGTGACGGGAAGGGAATGACATGCGTGGGATCAGGAATGAATCGGAGTTTGTGGAATAGCTTCATATCGGAAAAGGGAGGACGACCGTACACCATCTGATAAAGGATACATCCTAGAGACCAAACGTCACTGGGGCGACCCATCTAGGAACGGAGGTTACCATGGGACTCTCATTCCATCCGTGTACTATCGTCAAACAAAACTCACCTTCATCAGTTCATTTTGACCGTGGCCAACATCGGTTAGCGCTTCTGGTGCCATATAGTTGATGGTGCCCACCTGGAAAAATATAAAGCACAACATCAAGCCAAACTGAAAATTGTTGAACCACCGGATTCCCAACTCTATCTTTACCTGTTTGTCCCGGTGAATATTCGTGGTGTTATTGGCAATTCGCTTCGCAATTCCGAAATCGATGATTTTCAGCATCCCACTCACAAGGACAAAATTCGCGGGTTTGAGATCGCTGTGCACAATTTTCTCCTTGTGGACAGCTTCCACGGCTTTTAGCATCTAACATTTTCCATAAGTCCATCGCAAGAACAAGTAAATAAAATGAACGAGATGAAATGAGTACCTGGCGCCAGTAGTATCGCACAAAGTTCAGATCAAGTGGCTCGTACTTTTGACGGCTCAGCAAATGCGCCATATCAATTTCGCCGAGTTCCATTATCTATTTCGTGCTGTGGTTACAAATTGGATGCCCAAACCAGTAATGGCAAAAAGTGTATACAAACCACAAATAACGCATTGTGACGTTCAGAAATTTCATAGTCGAAAATTTGCACAATTCGTGGATTGGCCCGTAGGGATATCAGTAGCTTGATTTCATTTGTATACATTCGCGTAGTGTTTTGGTCGATGCCTTCCAGTGGTACGGCTTTCAACGCGTAATTTTTGTGATCTCGATGGGACAGCACCTTGAATACAAAACTGCTACCGCCTTTGGCTATTTTCTCGATAATGCTGTACGCTTTGTTATTCACCTACCACGACGTGTTAATTTTCCCACCTTGGCTCTTTATGCAAAGCTGTAAAGTAAAAATCCACTTACAGATACTTTGGCCATACAATTGAGAGAATCTGGCTCGCTCATTGACGGACGCGGGAGCACGATATTCAGAATTTCAAATGCAGGAAGTAACTCATTTCGTGCCGTTTGATTCCCTTTTTTTTTTTTGGCAAGAATTTACAATCAGATAAGTTGGCACTAAAATTACCAGGCAAATCTGCATTGTTACCTTCTACTCTTCGGGCCCGTATATCTGTGGGTCAGTGATCCAGTTAGTTGTCGAAACCTTTTTCCAAAACATTCACAAATTTGGTTACCTGGGTTAGGCTGTCGGAATTCTTGTGGATGGGAAATCGGCTAAACGAACAGAATTGAGTATATAAACTCACACAAAATGGCTGATGATGGCCTACCGGATTAGATTCATTGAGAGGAACGTTCTTTTCAGCGCCATTGTGCTGTAGAGGATAAACAAGACACATGCGATGGGTATTATATTCATGGCTTTAGGACGTATGATAGCGGTTGATTACCTCTACTTTGATCTCGAGATCTTCGGGGCCGCGTGACCTTTTATTGTTGGTGGATGGCGGAGATGGGGACAGTGATAAATGTCTTTTGTGGGAGTTCAAGTGCTCGGCTGCAGGTTCCGGAGTAGGCTCCAATGCAGGTTCGGGTTTAACTGAAATGACCAATTTTTAGTGGGATCAGAAAAAGGAAGGAAAGCAATGTTTTTCCAGTACCTCGTTTTCGAGAAGACTCGGTCAGATGATAGCTTGCCGCCTCTCCGAGTATTTCTGCAGATGAAGTGGTTGAATGACTCGCGTGCATCACCAAGGATGGTTGAGCTACATCAATTGACGATCCGAGACGATGATTTTGTGCGTGATTTTCGGTTGACTGTGTAGGGTTTAGCGTCATTCGTTCCATGGATTTTGCAGGTTCCACAATGCGACCCCCTTGGTCAACGCGCCATCTTTGTGCGTCCCAAGATAGATTTTTCTTTATATCAGCAGATAAAGTTCTGTAATTATGGTGCTATTGATTAGTTTTTTTAAAACCGAAAAGATAGAAAAAATCCATTACGCTGTGTATCGACGACCGGAGCGGAGATGGGTAGAACTGTGAGCAGACGATCGGGTAGATGAGGTGATCTAAAAGGGTAAGTTGAGTCGATTGGTTCATGTTTTGCCATTGCAGGCATCGTTCTTTACATCGTAACGAGGTAATAGTCGGTCGTGGCTGGGAGATTGGGTTGAAGAAGTGATCTAGGCCAAAAAGGTCCTGGCGTGAGTGGGACATTCTATGGTTCGGAAAAGGTAGTTGCGCTTAATATGGTGATAGCCTACTTCGGTAGCGGTTTGATCGTTATTGAGACTAAAATATTCCACGTCGTCGTTGTCTTCTCTATCTAGACAGCTGGTTGGAAGAGGCGAAACGGTGCCTTCGCTGGAATCGTCGTCATGATGGTCAAAGTAGCTATTGGCCGTTGTTCCAATAAGTAGCGAGTCAGGCGGATCGCTCATTGGAGTATGAGAATGAGAAGACATGCGCTCTTTGGCGAGACGATGGACGATAACAAGAATATAGTATAAAAAAAATGACAGGAGAACCTAGTGGGTCGCGTGATGGCAGAAAAATGCCTCCCAAACAGGAACAAGTCACACTCATGCTGTAGCTGCTTTGCCCTCCAATCCGAGAAAATGACTTTGAACAACAAGCCATCTTTCTTGAAGATATATGTTTTTTTTTCTTAATTCGATATATAACCAATATAAAAGCATCTACATATAATCTATGACTTTATAGGGATTGCCGGTCTTTTGCAGCAGTTGGGTCCAGTAAGTGTCGATATCAAATTTGAACGGGTATCGCCCACCAAACTCAGATTCCAGTGTGTCGATATCGATGTAATCTTGGAGGAAGACCTTGTCGCTGGAGGCCTTGTCATCTTTGACTGTATTCTCGTCGTGAACAAAGCTAATTTTGCTCTTCGTCACAGGATCAATCAAAGGCGAGATCATTTTGAACATGGTAAAGAAGAACCAGGGAGCTGCCGAAAACAATGAGATCACACATATATGAAGATGGGGGACTTTCTAATTTTACTTACATTTAATGAGAAATGCTGTTCCGAGACGTTCAGGATAATGATTGCTGAGAATGTCCAGGAATTTTTTAGCGGTGCCCAAGCTAGGATTCTGCGATGAAGAAGAGTCCTTGAAATCGATCAAGATATCCAATGTTTCAACTCCTTGAGGCATTAACCGAATCCCCCGTTCGAGACAGAATACGATATGCTTGACTTGTCGCTCTCCATCCTTTGAATTCTGATGACGTGGACGCATGACCCACAGAGGTCGACCAGCTTTGGAAAATCCATTAAAGTACATTTTGCCCGTGGTGGCCTGTGATTGCATTTTGAGATCATCATTACTCGTCAGAAAAGCAGCAAAACACCGCATTTTTTTTTTATTTTTTTACCTCGGGACGGATATACTCGGGATCCAATTCTTCAGGACGATATTCTCGGCGCCATTGAATTGTGTTTTCTAGCATCTTTTTGGCGGCCTGTAGTGGGTGCATACAAAATTTGTAAGTCGAGGCATATTCATCTGAGCTTGGCTGGTGTAACGTCAAAAGCACATTTTTTATACCTCGAAATCCCATTTTCTTGCGCGCATGTAACGTTTCAAGGTGGCATCTGTCAAAAATCCTTTTTCGCTGGGATAATACTCGTGGTCAGAAGGAAGCATGATGGTCTGAACATAGTTTCGCAGTTGGTCAAGCTTTTCTTGCTGTGATGCGTCCAAAGCCGGGGACTGTGGAGCAACGAAATCGGCCGGCGGGTTCAGAATAGGATCGGATACCCAGTGCCCTTGATCTTTTTCTGAAGTAGTGGATTCTGTTGCAGCAGGCTTGGATTTAAACATAACGAGAATGGATACTGTTGGCTAACGATTGAAAAGAAGAAGAAGAAAGAGGCCCACGAAAAAAAGGCAAGTACGGGTAAGATAGGCAAAAGCAAAAGAGAAGGAAGAAAGGAAAAAGGAGTTACGAAAAAGGGAAAAAGAAGAAGAAGAAAAAAAAAATTGGGAAACGAGCAAGTCGGTTTACAAGAGGGTTGGTATGGAGACGGCGGCGTGGTTGTTCATTGGACAGGAAAGGCAATCAATAATAGGTCCATCCATATGTAGGTGAGACGATGCATCATTTCCCGTATTCGTCATTCTACAAGGTGGTGGATATCCCTTCTTTGAACCGAGCCATCATGGTGATTAAGACTTGTCATGCTGAACGAATGAGAAAAGTGTGGAGTTCCGAATTTTTTTTTTTTCCAGCCCAAATTTGAGGCAGGGGCCCTTTGGTAAGCTGGCTGAGACAAAAAAACCTCCCACCCCCCGGTGGCAACAGTCACTCCGTCACTCGCGCGTAAACAGACTATGAGCCAGGGCGACTAGCATTCAGTTTCTCTCTTTTTCCCAACCCATAATACCCTCCCCCTCATGTTGAGAAACGCCACTCGCCTTGCGCGCCCCGCTTTGGCCGCCTTTGCCAAGTCTACTCCTGCTGTAAGTCCTTCGTCATGTCAGCAATTCACCCCCTTGGTGGTTCAACCGATGCAGTGGACCCAATCCAACCATTGCAACCCCACTCAAGGGGGGGTGCCCATTTTTTTTCCATGGCATGTCCATGAATCCTGATCTAATCTGTTATCGTTTTGTATATTTTGCTTGTTACACTTGTAGGTCCGTGTCAACCTCGGCGCTGCTTCTGCTGCTTTGAGACAGTATGCTACTGCCAAGCCCTCGACTTCCGAGGTGTCTTCGATTCTCGAGCAACGCATTCTCGGTTCTTCCTCTGAAGTCGATCTTCAGGAAACCGGTCGTGTCTTGTCCATTGGTGACGGTATTGCCCGTGTTTACGGTTTGAAGAACTGTCAAGCCGAAGAGATGGTGGAATTCTCTAGCGGTCTCAAGGTAAACTTTTCCCTTTCGATTACGCTAGGCTGTTGGAATGAAATTTTTCTTGTCGATCAAAAAATCCGGTTCTCATCAATAATTTTATGGCATGTAGGGTATGGCTCTTAACTTGGAAGCTGACAATGTCGGTATTGTCGTTTTCGGTAACGATCGTTTGATCAAGGAGGGTGATACTGTTAAGCGTACCGGTGCTATTGTCGACGTTCCCATCGGTCCCGGTATCCTCGGCCGTGTCGTTGATGCTTTGGGTAACCCCATCGATGGTAAGGGTCCCCTCGAGACCGTTGGCCGTTCGCGTGTTCAGGTCAAGGCTCCCGGTATTTTGCCCCGTCACTCCGTCAACGAGCCCATGCAGACTGGTATCAAGTCTGTCGATTCCATGGTTCCCATCGGTCGTGGTCAGCGTGAATTGATTATTGGTGATCGTCAGACCGGTAAGACCGCCGTTGCCCTCGATACCATTCTTAACCAGAAGAACTGGAACAACGGTAACGACGAGTCCAAGAAGTTGTACTGTATCTACGTCGCTGTCGGTCAGAAGCGTTCCACTGTTGCTCAGCTCGTCCGTACCCTCGAAGAGAACGACGCCATGAAGTACACCATTGTCGTCGCTGCTACCGCTTCCGAAGCCGCTCCCCTTCAGTACCTCGCTCCTTTCTCCGGTGCCGCTTTGGGTGAATGGTTCCGTGACAACGGTCGTCACTCTTTGATCATCTATGACGATTTGTCCAAGCAGGCTGTTGCCTACCGTCAAATGTCCCTTTTGCTTCGTCGTCCCCCCGGTCGTGAAGCCTACCCTGGTGACGTTTTCTACCTTCACTCCCGTTTGTTGGAACGTGCTGCCAAGATGAACAAGGATTTCGGTTATGGTTCCATGACCGCTCTTCCCATCATTGAAACTCAGGGTGGTGATGTGTCTGCTTACATTCCTACCAACGTTATTTCCATTACCGATGGTCAGATTTTCTTGGAAGCCGAACTTTTCTTCAAGGGTATCCGTCCCTCCATTAACGTCGGTCTTTCCGTGTCCCGTGTCGGTTCCGCCGCTCAGACCAAGGCCATGAAGCAGGTCGCTGGTTCCTTGAAGCTTTTCTTGGCTCAGTACCGTGAAGTCGCTGCTTTCGCTCAGTTCGGTTCCGATTTGGATGCCTCCACTCAGTTCTTGTTGAACCGTGGTGCCCGTCTTACCGAATTGTTGAAGCAACCTCAGTACTCTCCCTTGCCCATCCAGGTCCAGGTTCCCATTGTGTTCGCTGGTGTCAACGGTTTCCTTGACAAGATCCCCGTTAACAAGGTTGTCGACTGGGAAAAGGACTTTATCAGCCACATCCAATCCGAACAGGGTTCCGTCCTCGATGAAATCCGTACCCAGGGTGTTCTTTCCAAGGATCTCGAGGGCAAGCTCCGTACCATCTGCGAGAACCACTGCAAGACCTTCTACTAAAGTAGTATTCAGCCAACCAAAAGCAATAATGTATAAATAAACCACGAGAATCATTTTTCTTTTTTAAATTCACCACAAAAACAAATAACCAATTGAACTTTTTTTATTTGCAAAATAGTAATACAAATGTTGAATCTTTCGACTGTTTTTTTATCTCCCTTTTTTCTTTTTTGCATTCTATAAAAAACATGACAAAATAATTTATGACTTCAATGAGAGAGTGGCGGTATCAAAAACTCGACATTTGCTCTTGAACACTTGCAGAGTACGATCGCGGACGATTTCTTCGACCATTCTCTCGTTGGCCACTTGACGACGCTACATAACGAACCGAGCGTTTTGGCGCATTAAGTTCCAGTGCACTAACCCATTAACCCCGCCTACTTGACTCCCAACTCTGTCTTTCTTCTTTCCAATAGGTTACCTTGGTTTCGTCGGCAAAAACACTGTTTTGAGTGTCAAAATCATCGGGATCCTCGCTCAATTTTTTATACTTGGCGTCAATTTGTTCATCCATAATCTAAACGAGTCCACAACGTCAATCCAATGTGCAATCTTGGTTTTGTCGGAATGGTGGTCATCCAGCGTTTTTTTTTGACACCCCGTTAATTTTTTTTACTATACCTTGAGACAGTAGTTGACAGCATGTTCACGCTTGGTGTAAGCATCAGCAAGATCTTTGAAGAACTGAGCACAGGCCTGTTCAGAAGTTGTATCGGTTGAATTGAGTCGCAGAGTGATTGTGTCGTCCACCTTGCGCAATTCTCTCATATAATCTACTCGGGTCGATCAGTCCCGGTTCGTCGAGTTCCCAAACCTATTGTCAGACTCACCTTTGAAGAAGGAGAAGTTGAAGCAAGTGGACGGGCTCAATTCCTTTTCAGACATTGTTTAAGGGACAAACAATAGAAAATAAAAAAATAATGATTTTTTTTTGAGTGTTTTTTCCTACATCTTTTGTCGACTATAGGGCATGGGTCGGCGATTTAATTTGGGTCAAGGTGATTCGAGGAAGAAGACGATGGAAGGTTGACTAGAAATCGCATGATAAATATGATAATGCACTATAAAGCAGAGAAAGAGTATGCAGTCAATACTTGCATACAGTGTCATAAAATATGTATTATCGACATCTTGTATGAAAATGATGAAGGTGAAGCTAAACGACGGGCGCAGTGATGAAAAACGCGTCACTTCGTGGGTTGCGGCATACAGAAAGGAGAAGTGCATCCGAAAAAAAAAGGCGGAACTTGTTTTTTCCACCCAGTATGCGATCATCATGAGCGCTATGGACACCAGTGATGAAGATCTTCGTATGCCACCTTCGGTTGTATCCACAGCACAAACAAACTCCAGTCTAAGCATTTCAGTGTAAGCTACTGCAAGCTTTTTCTGTCTCTCTCTCTCTCTGAATCACGATCGTTCACGCTGTTCCTTGTTTCAGCCATCCTTTGGTCTTGCTCAATATTTCCGATCATTATACACGTACCAAGCTTCAGAATCCAGATGCAGTACAAAAAGGTTACATCCTGAAAATCCTTGATGCTGATAATGTGCTGACGCTCCAAATATCGTTAGGCCATGTCCATGGAGCTCTTTTGGCGAAACAGTCCGGACGCGAGATTGACATTATCAATTCCTTCGAGTTACCACCAGTGATACAGGAAGGAATTGACGTGCTCACAGTGGACAAGGCTTACCTGGCCAACAAGCAGGAACAGAGTAAGCTTAGGGTCCGCAAAAGATATTTGAAAAGAGTAGCTGACATGATGATACGCAGTGAGACAAGTCTTCCCCAATCTAGACTTTATGGGATGGTATTCACTGGGAGCTTTCCCCACAGAAAAAGATTTAAAGGTCCATGAACAGGTAAATACACGGTCAATGACTTTGAAAAGAACTTTTTTGGATTGAAAGAGGCGCAGTTTTTGCAAGTGAACGAGTCAGCTCTATTCCTGCAAATGGATCCCGTTAGTTTAGCGGCCGGATCCAAAGAATTTCCAGTGGTTATTTACGAATCCATCATGGATTTGGACGATGAGACTCCCCGTCTCATGTTTGTTAAATCGGCATACAAAGTAGAAACCGAAGAAGCCGAACGAATTGCAGTCGATCACGTCGCGAAACCCAGTACATCCAGTGCCGAATCGGGCGTGGGGAATGCATGTAAGACGATGGCAAAAAATTTCCATAGTGATTCGTTCAATCTTACTCATTCTGGTGGGGCTTGTTCCGAACAGTAATTGCTCATCTGACCACCCAACGGAATGCCGTGGCCATGCTTCACAGCCGTCTTCAAGTACTCCAACAATACCTCCAAGATGTAAAAGCAGGCGTTATCCCTACCAATCATGATATCGTGCGTCAAATTGCAAGTTTATGCCGAAGATCGCCCGTTGTGGATACCAAAGCATTTGATGAACAATTTTCTACGGTAACAAGGCGACAGAAATATCAATCAGAGAGAGTAACAGTGATGCTTACACATTGCTGTGTTTGGTTTAGGAATTTAACGACGTATTACTGGTTGGATACCTGGGCACAATCACCAAAGGTCTGAATGCGATCAACGATCTCATTGATAAATTCAATCTTCTCTATGGTGCAACAGGCGCATCGGCCGGCCGCACCGTCACACCTATCAAAAAAGGAAGGGTAATAGATGGGCTCGCATCCCACAATTGATCCGTATCCAGACACAATGGCTCACTGATTACGATCTGTTAGCGCATGGCATTTGAAGAACCGACTCAGTAGATAATGACGATTTGAATCTATCTCGAAAAAGAAACCGGCAAACAATCACTAAAAAAGGGAAATCTGGGAAGGAAGGTGCTTTATAATATACTAGTTATATATTTGGTATGTGCAAAGGGGGGGGGGGAATAAAAAACGCAATGGTATGTTATCAAATGTCTACTGAATCACTGGGAAATTCAAGGGAGCAGGGAAAAAAATAGAAAAGGTGGAAATAGAGGCACACAGGGGAAGATAATAAAAGGTAATAAGAGGGGGGTAAGGGTAGAAAATAGCGAACAAGAGACTCGTCAGTTTATTTCATGGTCATGATTGAGTAAGGACACCGGAAGTGGAAAAGACCATGACCATGAAACCCCACACGATAAGCAGACCCGCTGCGATATCCAGCCAAAAGGATGGTTCTGGTAATTCATCGTCATCCAACATTTCATAGTTATCCACGGTTGATACGTCTTCTTCATCAAAGATCGGGGTACGGGATGATGAGGCAAACGAGGCGACATCAGAGAACACGAGGGGCGATTTGTCCTCATCCATGGGTGACACCGCCGTCGAGGCCGTCAGAGTGGGATACACGGATACATCAGTTGACGTTGCAGTACGTCGTCGGGTCACGAGGTAAGCACATGCAGGTAGAATGAATGCCAAGGTCGTCGCGGATACCCCACCGACCAGTGCATACACTTTGCCCAACGACTTGACAGTGACGCCTGTGATCAACAGGATAACAAATAGGACAATGGTCACGATATAGTGCTGAAAAGTCGTCGGTTGCTTGGTCGCGGTCTCGAAACCCAATGATTTCTGCACGGCTTCACGTGTCGGGAAAAAGGCCACACTGCAAAAGAAAAAAAAAATATACCAGCGTTTGCAGAAAAAAAATGCAATGCATTCATTAATAACCTGTGGTCGTTGATCCTTTTTTTTTCGGGATGTACTTACGGAATAGAAAGCACCATATTGAGACCGAGAGCGAGACGGCCAATATTGACCACTGGATCATCAGGAGCAAAGTTCATGAACAGGTTGGACTGAACATTTTCGCCGAAACATAAGAAACCAATGATGGCAAATGTCATGGAAGCCAACCAACTGATGCCACTGGAAATGGTGGTGGTCTGCCGCCAGCTGTGGGCGGTTTGATCTTCCAGAGTGAGATAGTTGTTGAAGGCGACCTGCGAGCACGTAAATGCAAAAGCCATGATGCCCAAGGCTCCGAAAATATCCGAGCCAAACCATGTCAGGGGAATATGGGTGTCAGGTGCGTAAGCCGGGGCGCGAATCAAAATGGACAAAAGAATGACAGGCAGTGTGAATACAGCCACCGTGGACCAGCGCGCCAATGACCCGATCGATCGAGAAGTGGTAAGGGGAAGGATCTATTCTGGGGCGTGAGTACATTCATTTCAATATGCCATTCCATCTTTTTTTTTTTTGTGATGTCGTACACAACAAAGACCAATAATGGGCACAATGATGGATCTGTCGCTTAGGATCGAGAATTGGGGTAGATAACGCTGGCACAGCACCGTGACGGTATCTCCTAACACTGCGGAAACATAAAGATAAAACAAGGGGAATGACAGAATAAGGGGATGAGCAATTTTAAATAAGAAAAAGAACAAGGCGAAAAACGACGGGTTAATTGATTGCAATCGATAATGGAGATGAAAGATAAACAATGAAATGCATTACATATGAAATAGCTCACAGCGGCACCACCGGCTTGAATGAAAATCATCAAATTGAGAAAATGGTAGCCTGGTCTGCCAAGGAGATATTCGACTAGAAGAGCAAATTTATAGATGCCAACTCGTTGACCGGCCACAATGAGCATGTAAAGGCCAGTTTGTGAAAGGATGGCGACAAAAATCGAAGCAGCTACACCGAGGAAAAATCCTGCGTGGGCGACGGCAAATGGTAATCCAATAATACCGGCACCGACGGTCGCATTGACCAGATTAAAGGCGACTTCCAATCGAGTTCGTGATCCATAGCCTGGACGATCGGCTTGAAGAAGATCGCGTTCGGCTTTGGTTAATAGGTGATGGTGTTTGTTAGGTACACTGCCGTAAAACGTCATTGGAAGGTAATAACGTTATAAGCTGTGATGTGGCAAGCAAGGGAGTGTGTTTGTGTGTGTAATAAGGTAAGAAGAAAAAAGAAAGGAAAAGTGGGAAAGATAAAGGAAAGGAGGAAAAAAAACACAATTGAATGGACGAAATAAAGATTTATATATTAACCACAAAAGAACACAAGAGAGGGAAAAAAAAAAGAGACAAAGATGCCGGTGGACAGAACAGAGAGAGATACAAAGGAATTAGACTAGGAGTGGAGCGATTTAATTCAGCCAGATAGATAAAAGGGGAAAAAGGAAAAAGGCAACTGAATCTATTAGATAAACTGTAAGCGCCATGTACCATTTAAAGAAACGACAAAAATGGATAACGCATGATCGCCCATCTAGACTTTTTGTCATGGTTCATGTGCGCAACCAGAAAAAAAAACGAGGAGCGCTGTCTTTCTGGCATCCCCTTCTGCATCCATGACAAAAGCAAATGATGAACACATGAATATACATAATGGTCCATGGTTGGTCCTATCAGACTGCAATCCCTGCATCCCATGGCACACGCTACGTAATATGAGGTAACACACAGTATCAAGTCAAAGATAATAAAAATAAAAAATAAAAAGATATAATACAAAGATGGTGCGAATCAATGGCACGAGCATTGAGAATGAAATTTGGCCCCCTTCTTATCCCTCAAGACCGTTTGATAGATAAAGAATAATAAAGTTCGAGACTTCCCAGAGCAAGACATAAAAAGAAAATCTCTAGGGACTTATCATGACAGCTTTTGCATATCACATCTGATGTGCGCATGGCAGCTCAAAGGGTATTGTGGATGCAGTGGATAGGGCAGGCAGTATCGAAGCACTGGCGGCGTCTTTTTTTTTCCAGTCCTCGGCGTTTGCTAACATTCTTTCCAGTTCGGCCTGAACACATGGATGGTCCAATCACATCCGTAAAATCTGACTCACCACGGTCCTAAAATGACCACATTGGTTCCCCAATCCAATGACAAGTTGTCACTGAAATTCGAAAACGACGATTGGGTTACCAACCAAAGGTCCCACCATTGCGCATTTTTCTAATGATCAACAGCAGAAGTCGCATCGTATCTATTTTCATCGCATTCACTGGCCTCATTATTGGATCGGGTTCTCCGTGCCATGTTCAACCGTAAAATCAAATCACATTTTCGACGCTCACACTGGCGAACATGACTCAATTCTACCTTTGTGCGTTTCTTCCACCCTTGATCTATTTTACTTGCAAAACTAAAGTTCCTCACTCTGTCATTCACAGGACGCTATTATTTTATGATGTAAATTATGTATTGGCAAAATAATCTGCACCCATAATTTAATAGCAGCACATACGACGGGATACGTTTATCTCGTTCAAAGAAGAAGAACATAAAAATCGAGAGCGAAGGTGAGTCCTGTACCGAGTTGCACAAAGGCCACAGTACGGCGCAGTACATTATGCTCCATGTCGTCACTTTCTTGATTTGCGGTGTGAAAAACAAAACAGAAAAGAAATAACCTTATCAGAGAAAAACAAAAGCTGGCTTATCTGCCCAGTTAAGTACTCTCTGGTTTTCGTTTCCCTATATGAGAGATTTATTGTTATTGTCTCCTACACAACAGTAACTATGGATTCATAAACAAATGGACACTGCATGTAAACTCTCTGCAAACGGAACCTAGGATAAAAAAGTTGTCGGAAACCATCGGCTCGTGCAAGCATCGAGGATGGACAGGTGCTTGTACGACAATAGTTGATCCTGTTTTTTCCATAAACATCAGTGGCACTATTTTTGGTTGGCTCAAAGTCATCTATCACGCATCAAACAAAGTTATCGGAGGCGTAATTCCGGTGATCCTTCCTTTTCGCCATTTGATGGCCCCATCGCATTTTTTATGACTAGGATTCTCTTGTAAAGCCAAAATGAAGAACGACAGTAGCGAGTGAGGCGAAACATGTGTTTAATATTGCAGTAATCATATGTATTGACACTTATGATGTAGCAGCAAGAGTTATTATCTACGTACATCTACAGTCTCTGGAAGATGTTAGACATCTTTTATTGGCGTATCATAGCAATTTAGTGGGAGCCGGGACATCCAGTGACAAGATTTTTGAGTCTATTCCTTTTCTTCATTGATCGAGGAGCCGAATGTTCCATGATCGTTCTCCTGCGGCCAACAAACAAATATGCGTGCTTCCGCGGAATTCGCTGTAGGCGATGGTGACTTCATGACGACAGAATCATATGTTACAGATAAACAGAGATCGCTGTAAGGATTTATTTAAACGTGGTATTTATAAATGAACATGGGGTGGTTATAAATCAATGAAACGCCGAGACGCTATTGGGCGAATAAAATAAGGTATACGTATATAGTGAACCCCCATGTGATGCAACAGAATTTTCGAGACGTGTATAGATGATATGACAGGGACGGTAAAAATCTCTCTCAAGTCATTAATTGATGAGTATAGACAGTAGACAAGGATGGATGTATGGGGTTGTGATGGCTGGTAAAAGAAGGGGGAGGACCCTCGTGTAAGGCGTCGTAGTAGCTGGGTAGCCTTTCCTCCCACGCTTCCACAATGGTATCATCCTCCCTCCAGTGGGGCGGAGATGGCATATGCCGAGAGCCCGGGACGGTACCCATTTCCAAAGGAAAGCTCAGTGACATACGACGCGCTTTCATATTGTCGATAAAAAACAGCAACAATCGCAAATGATGCTTGACATCCAATGTTCCAATGGCGAAATTCGGAGCTAATCGTGCTGTGTCCAGCGGCAACGACAAGGCTACACGAGTGAACAGTTAGTGCGGGCGTGAGTGTGAACCCAAACAGTATGACTACGACAAAAAATTTGGCGACGAGGACTTACGTAGATGAGCGAGGTTGTCCTCTTCTCGCACATCATACTCCTTGTCTATAAAAAAAATAGAAACAAATCAGTCACTATGTCCAGACACCAATACAACAGATTTTTTACATACAACACGATTTGGTGGTACGAGGAGCCAAAAGTTCTTTGGGAAGAACGCTGCCAAATTTGATCACACCGGGACGGATACTGAGTACAAGAACAATAAAATATACATCAAATCAGTGATTGGTTTTGTAGAAAACTCGAAAAAAAAGTGGACACAAAGAGAATGACTTACGGGTAAGTTTCTACCTGCTCGATGTACATGACAATTTTCGCTACTCGGCCTTCGTCTCGTAATGGCTGAAGATGACACATAATATCAAATTGGGATTCCTCCAGACACACGAAACTGGGCATACAGATTTCGTACTGAATATGACCTTGGCGTTTTCCCCGGTAACGGATTCGTGGTCGTGAACGACGAGCCACATCCAAACTGGCATAACTGTGATTTAATACTTGGATAGACCGACTGACGCGCATTAAAGCTCGTTTTTGTTTTCTGGGCGGGAGTGCCACGGATAACCAGTCAGAATTCACGTTGTTGTCCATACTGTGCGTGACAGGATCAGGATCAAGACTTGAACGTGACAAACCCAAAGAATTGATCCGCTCGTTCCAGTTGAGCTTTAAACGCTCGGTCAACGAACTCAGGCTCAACCGCGCAGACACTTCATAGAGAATGGTATGTCGCGAGAGATCCACCGACGGCGGTAACTGATGCGCCCCTCGAATACTTATTTCAAAAGGCCAACGTGTCAATCCGCCCGTCACAATAGTCCGCTCGTTCAACAAGAGTTGTTCCTCACGGACAATTGTTTGTGACGCCGTACTTAGACCTAACAATAGTAGGTGAGAACCATAAAAAAAGATGGAAGTCACGTTCTGATTGAAAATTTACCGGCAACGATCTGTGTATAATCGTTGGAAATCTCGCTACGGACCTGACCGCGAAAAATGACCGTGATTTGACGGACATGGATAGGCCGTGTGAGCTGTAACTGGACTTGTCCTTTGACAATAAGAGGCACCGCGGCCGGGGTGTCTTTGTACAGATCAATGATAGTATGTTCAGGAAGAATACTCAGTGATGATACCGCCATGCTTCATGGAAAGATGATAAAAGACACATGAAAAAAGAGGAAATGAAACGACTTTTTTTAAGAGGGTTGGTCTTGTTTGTAAAAATTTGGCCTTGGTTATAACAAAAAATAAAAAACCCAAAAAAATTTATAGAGTCATGGCAACGCACACAGGGTGTACAAGAATGGTGCAAAAAGAACAATAATTTTTTTCTTTTATATCCAACAGATGGGACCAAACGAGCATGTGACGATTCAAATTGTGCTTCCATTAATCACACACGTTACCAATGGACCGTCAATGATGTCGATAAAACATCAGAAAAAGCTCTCCAAAGCATCGTTTATTAAATCAACAATTTGCAAGGTTTTGAATGCCAGGATCAAAGCCCCTTTCAGAGTTGTCAGCGTAGGTTTTATTCATGCAATGGTCTCTCGACAAATAAGAGAACGCGAATCCCCAAAGAAGCAAGAAAAAAAATCAGTGGGGTTTTCACGTTGCAACATTTTGTCGAGTCTTCTTTTTCTTTCTCTCACCTGACGGCGTCCAACGGGGGTTTTCCATAGCTTCTATTTTACGAAAGGATAACAACATAAATGTTTGTATTTTATATCTAGAAGATGTTGGGCCCCAGCGTAAACGGGATGGTGTAACCATCCAAGTGTCTGCTTGGTGGAGTTTGGATTTTCCTTTGTTTCTGTACGAAACAACGTGACTTTGTCAAACCCATTGTCCATTTTTGGTAATGTGACGATGATCGCTTTTTTTTCCCTGCGGAGATTGAACCAGGGAATTGGACGACTCAGTTCAGCCACTCTCAGTTTGGGTCCGAAAGAACAGAAAAAAGAAAAAAAAAATCCCAACTTCCCATATTTACCTCGATCACTGCACGCTTGACCCGGATTCCCTTTTTGTTTTCTTTTGTTTGTTTTCCCTCTTTCCTTTTCCTTCCTTTTTTTTTTCTTAGCCGTTTTTTCTTTTCGCGTGGTGTTTGAAGCTCCACAGCCTGGTGCTTTCGTTTGTCAGGCAGATAACCATGGCAGAACCACGGCAACAACACGTAAGCTTCAGTCCTACCACGACGGTGAGCAATGGCTCGTTGTACGAGGAGGAAAATACTGGAAGCTTTGCGAACTACTATGCGCCGTTATCGCAATCATTTAATGAAGCACGCGGCGAAGGATTCGGTGTATCCTCCGAGATGGAGTTGGACAAGACACCTTTGACTTTTGACAGTTTTCCCACTCGCAGCTCGATATCCTTGACGACTCGTCCGCCAAATTCCTATGCCAACGAAATTATCGATCAGTCGCAGTCCCACGACAGCGAAAAGGTGATCGAAGTATCACCAAATGAACGTTATATCCGCTTAAACACCCTGCTCGGCAAAGGTGCCTACAAAGTCGTTTACAAGGCCATTGATCGAGATGAAGGTTACGAAGTTGCTTGGAATACCATGCAGGTAAAAAACAAAGAGTCCATCCGGTTTGCTGAGACTTTAGATGGTGGTTTGAACTTACCAACATTTTTCCGTTGTCATCTGCTGACCTAGGCCATGAATGCTAATGATGGCAAAGATTTGGAGCATGAGATTGAGATTCTCAAATCGGTGCGTCATCCCAACATCATTGCATTTCATGATGCTTGGTACGGTGAAAACGAGTTTGTGTTTATTACCGAGTTAATGACGTCAGGCACCCTCCGAGAATATATTCGCAAGTTATCGCCGTTGCCCAATTTCAAGATTGTCAAGCGCTGGTCACGCCAAATTCTCAAAGGTTTAGCTTACTTGCATGGTCACAGTCCACCCATCATCCATCGTGACATTAAATGCGACAACATCTTTATCAATGGCGCTCACGGTGAAGTGAAAATCGGCGACATGGGCACGGCTGAAATGAAGCTGGGCAAAAAGTACACACTTATTGGTACCCCGGAATTCATGGCCCCCGAAATGTATGAAGAGCAGGGTTACAACGAAAAGGTGGACATTTACGCTTTTGGCATGTGCTTGCTGGAGATGGCAACAGGCGAATATCCCTATGGGGAATGTAAAAATGCGGCTCAGATCTACAAAAAGGTGTCGGCCGGTATCAAGCCCGCGAGTCTGCAAAAAATTACCAATGAGGAAGTGCTCGGTGTCATTAACAACTGCCTGGGTCCCGAGGATCAACGAATGAGTGCGCAAGATATCTTGGAACATTCTTTCCTGGCCGTGGAACCGGATGTCGTTTTATTGACAACGGATCCGAACCATGTGCATTTGACGCTGCAAGTCGTGTTCAAGGGCATGGACAAACTGTCGGTCAAGTTCGACTTCAACGTGGAAACCGATACCGCCGAGGAAGTTGTGCGAGAAATGATTGAGGAACAAGTGCTGCCGGAGCGATATCAGCACCACATCACCAAGGAGATCAATCGTATTCTAAGGGATCTGGATAAACTCAGTGAATCCGAGCATGCCGAAGAAGTGCGTCGGTCGGTGTGGCGGCGCGAGAATGACGTGCAGTCAGAATTGGCCAAGACTCAGAAAGAACTGGAACGAGCAACCGAACGGGTGGCTCAGATTGAAGCTCGTTGTGAGGGGTACGAAGGGCTAGCAAGACAAGCAGAAGCACGGTATCTTGAGGCGATGCGAAGTCTTCGTGAAGCCGATCAACTGATGAAAATGAACGACATTCAATCCAACATCTCGCCTCCTCTGGCGGAATTGGAACGGTTACGTCTGGCCGATTCACCTTCAGCACCACATGAGCATGATGTTTTTACTCCCGTAGCAACTGACACCGTCACTGACATCAAAGACGTGAATGCTGACGCCTGCGCCAATTTATCGCATGATGCTTTGGTATCCCGTATTCTAGAAGGTCCGTTATATTTTTTTTTTTTTGTACCAGATCAAATGATGGGTCAGTGGGCTAACATTATTCATTTTTTGTGTTTTGTATAGAATATTCGGACGATACACCGATTGAAGTGTTTGTTCGGGATTGTGCAATGGCTTCCCATCGAAGTCTTGAAAAGGCACATGAATGGATTAAGAAGCTTGAAAATCAGGATATCATGACGGTCGGTGATCTTCGCGATCTCCACGATGAAGATTGGGCCGGGATTGGATTGACTGTATTTGCTCTTCGTGCGTTGAAAAACATGTTGAAAGGCAAGAAACTCGCTGGACAAACCATCACACCTGGCAACGGCACCGGATCGTTTCCTTCTCCCATGAGCACTCATCCTTCACCTCATATGACAAAACCCATAGACGATGGCAGGCCATTACCCTAGAATTTCCATTTTTATTTATTGCTTTTCTTTCTTTTTCTTCTTTCCTGTCCATGGTGGCAGCATTCGAGATTATACCTAAAAGGCATCCCTTCCAGGCCTTTTGTCTCTCACTCACTCACTCACTCATTCACACACACTCTCTCTTGGTGCTTTGAGCTCTTGTAGCAATCATGTTTTTCTTTATTGCTTTTTCTCTCTTTTTTTTATATTCAATTCCAACTTGTAAATATGATATAGCAACTTTGGATTTCATTCTTTTTTCTCACTTTTGAATGATTAAAAAACTAAAGAGTGTTTTGAGCTTGACAAAATCACTATGGTGAATTACCAATCAACTTTGGGTGTCCACGGATGCAGAAAATGATGCATAGCAACGGCCATCGATGTTATGCTAATCGATGTTTGATGATAGAATGACCTCGAAAAGAAAAAAGATACAAACAGTAAAGGTGGCAATGCCCAACTAAACCCATTCGGGACGGTGTCCGAGTTCATGCAACGGAGAGGGATTGGATGAGAAAAAAAAAAAAGAGAATTTTTTTTCATTGTCCGGAGGTGTGACTTACAATATCCAAAGCCGTCCAAGGTTGGTCTTTCTTTTTTTTATTATTTGACGTTCCGCAGCTTGTTTTCTCTTGCCATACAAAAAAAGAAAAAGGGCATCACACCATGGGAAAGGATACAAACAAGTCAAAGGGAGCTCGTCCCATGCGCCATGATCCGCTTCATGCCCAATTAGCTGATAACCCTGATCAGCGTGCCGTTCGCAAAGCCCCCCGACAAAAGTTTGTCGATCGCAACAACCGAAGTGATGATCCCGTGGATGTGAGTGGATCGATGGACACTGTAGTGCTTGATTCATGACACTAAACGAGAGTATGATCTCGCACAGGAATATTTGGACCCCAAACTGTCAAAGAAGATCTTGAAGATCGCCAGAGAACAGCAGGAACAAATCGAAGAAATTAAACGAGAAGACGAAGAAGAAGGGTGAGGCTTTGCTCTAGATAGAGATCTGTTCAGGGGGACCAATCAAAAACAGAAAAACTAACAATGTCTTGTTCGTTCACGGATCCAGCATTACCCCTACCAAACCATCCAAGTTCCCCTCCATCTTTGATCTCAGTGACGACGAGCCTGAAGGCGATGACAAATACGGCGAATATGAAGAATTGGATATCGACGAAGAAGATGCCGATGTTTTGAACAAATTCTTGCCCAGTGCACCCAAAGAACGTAAAACATTGGCTGATCTTATCATGGAAAAGATTGAAGAAAAGAATGCCGCCGAGGCTGCCAAGAACCGAGGTAATTACGCACAGATCAGTTAATCAAAAATATCAGCTCAATTAATAACCACCGTTTCAATGTGTATATACAGACGACGACCGAACATTGTCGCCTGCCGTCAATCCCAAAGTAGAACAAGTGTACACAAAGTAGGTTTCAAACATCCGGGGGATCATGGATTCTTAGATAACTGACCTAGTTGATCGGATAATAGAGTGGGCGAATTGCTTAGCCGTTACAAATCCGGCAAACTGCCAAAAGCTTTCAAGATTATTCCGTCATTGAACAACTGGGAACAAATCCTCGTTCTTACCAATCCACAAAACTGGACTCCTCACGCTACATATGAAGCCACCCGCGTCTTTGTGTCCAACTTGAAAGCCAATCAGGCACAAAAGTAAGTTATGAATCGACTGTAGAAATGGAGCGAAAAGGAAAAAAAAAATACTCATCGCAATGTTTCGACTTGCAGGTTTTTCTACCATGTGTTGTTGGAACGTGTGGAAGATGATATCCAAGAAAACGGCAAATTGCATTATCACCTGTACCTTGCGCTCAAGAAGGCACTTTACAAACCTGCAGCTTTCTTCAAGGGCATTCTGTTCCCCATGTGTGAGTCTGGCACGTGCACATTGAAACAAGCCGCGATTGTTGGCAGCGTGCTTCAGAAAGTGTCCATTCCTGTTTTGCATTCGTCGGCGGCATTGTTACGTTTAGCCGAGATGGATTATACCGGTCCCAACAGTTTATTCATCCGTATCCTCCTCGACAAGAAGTACGCATTACCTTACAAGGTGGTGGACGCCCTCGTAGAACACTTTATGCGATTCCAGAATGACAGTCGAGACATGCCGGTCTTATGGCATCAATCTATGCTCGTGTTTGCCCAAAGGTAAGAAAAAGGATATTTTGCAGTTGATGGCATGAAAAAGAATGGATGATTGAACCCCTTTTTTTTTACTTTCGTCTATGAATAGATATAAGCAAGATATGATTGCGGAGCAAAAGGAAATTCTTATGGAAGTGATCAAGCGTAAATACCATCCTGGTATTTCACCGGAAGTTCGTCGTGAATTGATTCATTCTTCTGCAAGAGATGAAATGATGGAGGACAACGACAATGATATCTTGATGATGGATTAACCACTTTTTTTTCTTTTCTCTCATCTTTTTTCTTTCATAACTCGATTTACGTTCCAAAAAAAATATGCATTCATAAGGTAGTAGTATGAAAAAAGAAAAAATTTCAAGATAGTTTACATAAGGAAATTTCATAAAGACCTCATATCCATAAGTCACTGACAAGTCTTGCTATAACCTCATCCGATTTCTATATGTTTGTATGACTTTACATGTAATTTTTTGACACATAGGGCTTTGAGTTAAAGGGATCCACAATTAGGCAAGCGACACATGCCAGGAATAACGGCATAACAGCCTATTTTTAGTGGCAGATTTATTCGTCCTTTTCTGATGGAGCGCCTCGCATCATGCACAGCGCTGTTCCTTGATGCGCGTTTGTGTTACTGTGCTCTCATCATCGCCATGGCCAAACAATGACTTTTTTAAGCAAAGGAGGTCTACAGTTGGTCTCCAGTCCATATGATACTTGCCGAAAATCTTGCGAATTCTGGAACCTTTTAAAATGTAAACTCTATCGGCTCTTCCAAATCGAGCGGCAACTGACATTAATTAAGGAGTTAGCGACTTCCATTTGAGATTTTACTGCAGTAAATTGTGTCCAGAATGTGTCTACACAGCAGTCGGTTTTTTCTTGCTTTTCATTATTAACATGACATTTCCCCCTTTTTTTGAATCTTTAGCAGAGCTCATTCTTGGCAGGCAGTACTGTACTACTGTGTCAGCCAAGACATTTGATGATTCCAGAATGTGAGTTTCCCTCTCACGGTGGATAAATATTGAGGTCGGAAGATAGGTATTCGAGAGTCATTAACTAAATTCACAACTCATAAAAAGTAACTTAGGAAGATACTTAGTTCCGAGTGGCCGAATTGTCCAGTTCACACCACGGCCGGCTATGCTGGGGAAATATCCATCTGTACTACCTTCTTTTCTGAGTGTGCCGAGTGACCCTTTTTTTTGGTGATGAAACACTAAATTTCCACCCAATTCATACAGCTTCGACCTGCCACTATAGTATACTTCGCAGAACAAGGCATGTCAGAACCACAGATGCATATAGTTGAGGGTGAACGCACACGCGTTAAGAGCGCTTGTTCTTGTTGTCTCGTCCGCTATGATGACGAAGATGTTGTGGCCAACGGCTTCTTGATGCACGAGGATTACCTGCCGCAGCAGCAACAACGCCAAAGCCAGTCTGGCCAAGTCATCGACCTTGAGAGCCTAACAAGTTCTGTCGTCTCAGCCGCTCTCAAACGAGAACTTGACGAAGCATCGCATGGCGACGTTGTTTTTTCCCTTCCGGAGAGCGACGATCTGCTCGTGAACGGTTTCGACGTCAGCCATTTCTTACACCAGTTGCAACTGTCGCGAGACACAGAATGGAAACACGCCCTCGAGGAACATATGCATCTAGCTTTGGCTTCCACTTCGGTTATTCTGTTGTCACCTACCACATATTCCAATGATATCTCGCCGTTCATTAGCTATGGTAACTGGAAAGCAACCGTCAATTTCATCGAAAAAAAATATGGCATCAAACGTCATCCAATGCCGATAAATGCGATCACCGGCTTGCTCTCTATCGTCGACGACTTACTAGCGGACAAGATCAATCGAAAAGTGGCGTACAGCAAAATCATTTCTATGACATTGGAAAAACACTTGGAAAAGTTTGCCATGGCCTTGGGGCAACTAGTCAGGAGACTCCCAAGTGAACCAATACGAGAAGATTTTGGCGAGGCTGAACTTTGTTCACGTTTTGTCGATCCATTTCTTTCCGGGCTCTTTGATAATCCGGACGATGATGTTTATCTTCGTTGGACAAACGTATTCAATGGAAAAACCAATGAGCAACCAGCCATCTGTATTACGAGATTCTGTGGTGCCAATTGGGAGATGAACGTGGGATACGGAGAGGTTCAATGTGCGGCACGAGACAAAGACGATCACGTCATTTGTCGTGATTTATTGAAATTAACCGTATCTTGTAAGGAAGCACTTGACGAACAACTGATGGAAGGAATGCTGGCCATCCAAGTGCTGGGGCGAACCATCAAATTTTATTTACTGGTCTTACCTGCCACAGGACTGTATGCATTGATCGATCTCGCCGTCATAGAAGTTCCAGACTCGCTTAAAAGCCTCCCCAGTTTGGTGACTGAAGCGGCAAACATCATTAAAGTACTGGATATTTTCGAGCGACTCTGCGTCCCTGCCAGTGATGTCGCGACCACCATGAGCCGTCGTACTCCAACCCTTTCACTGTCACAGCTTGGTCAACTTTTTGCAATCTCAGAACATCGAAAAAGACCGCGTCACCTGAGGCCTCAATCAAATTGAGTCCTTCCTCAGACATTTTGTGTTCAATACAAATGATAGTTCGTATGTCTCTTTTTCCTTTTTGGTAGCTTGTTTGGTCTCTGTTGACTAAATACAGGTTAAAGATGCATGCGAAATTCTATCCAAGAATTTACATATTTTAGGCCATATTCCACATGAATCTTTCGAGCGATAGCTCGCTACAAAGCTCACAGGGTGTTACTCGCTTACGATTACACACAATGCCATTGTATGCTGAAAGCCGAATATTATTCATATATGATCGGAAGATATTAAAATCGGCAAAACCGAGAATCTTTCATGTAATATTTACCCGAACCTTAATCTATGCACCATTTCTTCTCTCACTGCACGCTTAAACAAGTTAACAATCATGAATAACCATCACAGCCTGCCAAAGCAATGGAAAATAGCTGATAGTAGCCACTCAAGCATGTTAATAATCATATACGCTATTGTAATTTACGATACCCCAAGGCCCCAATGTATAGAAAACCGCCACTCGTTGCTGCAATAATTCCATGACTTCAACTCTTTGGATGATATCGCATCTGCACTGATGGTTTATCTGATTTCCTTTTTAGATACAGTATTTGTAGCTCGATCAGGATCCGGAACTTCGGAGTCTCGGTCTTTACAACAAAACGCAACAAATGTTGCCAAAGATCACGAATTGTTTCCGACTGGCAATCATTTGACCTTTGGAAACGAAGTTATCGACGGGGTCACCAACGGTTGTCCGATGATGAGAGTCGGCCTTGCTAGCTTCCGACTTCGCTGCATTTAATTTGGTTTTGACCGATGAGTAGAAGTAATAGCTACCCCATGATATGGCCATGATCTTCCATTCTTCTTTGTCCCCCACCAATTGGCCACCAAGGGTATAGTGTCCCCGATGAGGAGTATAAAAGTAAAGTTCGTCATCTTTTGAGAGCCCTCTACCAAGATCGTGCCACTCCCCCTACTGGCTTCAGGATCAGGATTATACTCATTGCCAACTAACTTCTGCGGAATGCTTCCGCGGCGAAGAAATGCCACTCGGCGGTGGCCAGAGGGATCTCGTTGCATGCTGCAACATACGCAGCGTCTTTCAGGAGGTTGGTTATAGTTTCTCGCTTGTTCATTGCTGGTTCGAAAGTTATGAATGATTTATCTGTTAAGGATTATTTAAAGAATTGTATATCTGAATAATCGCTGCATTTTACCTCAATTTTTGCTGATCCAACGACCAAATCACTGCGGTCTCCTCAACCACCGATGGGTTGTGGCCGTTCGGGCCCCATAGTTCCGCGTGTATCTGCGGAATTTTTCCGCCGCGAAAATATGCCACTCGGTGGTGGCAAAGCAAACTTTCGTACATGCTGCAACATAGGCAGCGTCTTGGATAAGGTTGAGGAGAGTTTCGCTTTTGTTCATTCTGCTGGGTTGTTTGAAAGTTAGAAAGATTAATCTGTTAACGAATTGTGCAATCTTCAGCATCAATATTTGATTACGGGAAATATATCTTACGTAGACCACGCACATCCCTTGTGTCTTGGAGAATACGGACATTGTGGAAAATACCTTTTTTGTAAATGAACATGGTGAGATGCCTTTTTTTAAAACTATTATTCGTAGGCAAAGAAATGGATTATCGTCAGTATCACGAACCTTTGTCCGTTCAAGTCGTTTGAGGAATAAAATAAATAGCCACACAGTCTTTCACGTACGGATATAATAAATACATGAGAAGAAGATGATGTTTATTCTTTTGGTTTACATGGATATTTATATTGCTGTCTGTTAGCAGAATATAGTATGAAGTTGGAAAACTATAGTTATGGCGCATTGTGCTGGGCCAGTCAGGACTTCTTCAAGATATTTCCGAGTTGGGATCTCAAAGCAGAAACAAGGTTACGACAACAACAACAAAAAAAACCATTGGCCTTCTTGTCTGCAGTACTTCCCTTGCATTTCAACTCGACAATCGCTAAAATTTATAGAATGCTTTAAGCAAGTATGATACCATTGGACTGTCCTTATTTCCATGAAACAAAACGCCGGTTTGAAACGCGCGGTCCATTATGTACCCCTTTGAAAAGAAATGGATTCTTGCATCTAGACTTCGGCGCAAAGCCATATATGGAACTGGATCATTCGAAGAACGTTTTATTTGCATCAGCAGTTCATTTTACCGTTACCGTATGTAGTACACTACCAGATGATAACTGACTACCAAGTGGAATAACATTGCCTTTAAATAGCAAGGCCTTATTTGACGCTGTGGTGAACCATGGTAAAAGATCCTTTTTCCATTCATTACACAAAGTATTTTGTGGAAGTGACAAACATGGAAACTCCCTATGTAATTCATACTCTTTGAGCCACGCTTTATTTTCCTTTGGATTGATTGTCGTAATCTCTTTTGCTCTTCAAGCTTCGAGATTCCCTTTTCTACTGATCTCATCTTCGTTTTATTTCGCCCCAGTTCGGCGACAGGCTGTAGCTTTCCATTTTTATAATTTTCTTTGGCAATAATGGAACATGCAACAGTATAAATATGTGCGTTGATAAAAATGAAAGATAATCTTCACTGTGTTCTATCTTATCATGACCATCGGAGTTTCAACCCCAAATTGACGACGGCAATGGTCATATCACAGTTCTTCCAGCAAAAAAGATCGAATGACTCTTTATTTTATTCCTCAAACAACTTTGAACAGACAAAGGTTCATGATACTGATGATGATCCATTTCTTTGCCTACGAGTTTATAAAATATGATAGAAGCTTGATGAAAAAAGACATATCCAAAACACCGTATTCTTTAACAAAGGCATCTTCCAAAATATCACGATCCGCGCAGGCGGGCGTCCTTCCGGCAAGGTATGTCATTTCCCGCACCAAAAATATTGATCCTGAAGGTTGAATGCTAAACGATAATTTCAGCAGTCCAACAGCTGCAGAAGCCACGGAACCGCCGAAGACGAGGGAATCCCAGGCAGCGTCAATGCCGGCGCCAGCGTCTGCGGCCGCCTCAAGTCGAGCAAGCAGCGCAAAAAGAAGACCCAGCGGAGCTACACGAGAAGCTTCATTCATTAAAATTATCAAACGATTTTTCATTTTCCATGTAGATCTTTTTCTTTTTACTCGTAAAATTCATCATATACTTGAGGATTACACTGGAGCTGCGGGTCAACTGAAATTCGGAGAGGTGGACCTTTCAGGCTTTCTGATGGTGGTTCGTGTGAAGATCTGAGCTGAATATATTCTTGAGGGTTTTTATAAACTGTTAAACCAATCGAGTTGGATTACAGGTGATAAGCCGGCGCGAATTTCTGCTTAATCTAGAGATGGCTGGTCAGAGGATGATGAGACCGCCACAATATGGTGGGCCGTTATCGCCGATTATGGCACGGAAGAGGCCCGTGTCCGCCGATGGCTTGGCGAGACATAGGAGCACATATTTGTCAGTGATTCCTGGCATAGCGAATAGGCAGATCCTATCGAGAGAATAGACATTGGACAACAATGATGAAGCTGTTGCCCGTGAGCATAAGAGAAAAGAGTCGAAGATGTCGGCAAAGGTAATTTCGACTACTGTAGGTGGACGGAAGGGTTAGAATGCAATAAATCAGTGTGACCAGCGACTAGTTGGTTCGTTTTGATGTGCTGTCAGCTTGTCAAGTCGTTAATCATTTGATGATCGATTCGCATTGATTGGGGCAATGCCATAAGCGGCTGAAATGTTGGATTAGGTGACCGACACCAATCGTTCATGAGGAGTAGACGGCAATATCAGGTATGATAAGGGTGCGCAGAGGAAGGTGCATGACCATAAGCTAAGCGGAACGGAGGGTGTGTGAATCGAGAGCATAACTTGAAGGAAATTCGTTAATAATCAATTTGAACGTGATCTTGAAGGGGAGTAGTGGGAGTGACCTAATCTTGAAGGAGGCCTCTCAGAAGACGACGAGTTTTGCCTTATATTTCTCATTGGGTACACCATACGCTTCGAGTCCAATTAGTGGCGGTTGAAGAAGAATGGAGGCCCATGGCTTATGATCGGGTAAGTATCGACTTATGTGGTTGAACTTCTGGTCATTGTCCGAGCCGAGGCAAGTGCGCTGAAGTTCGAAGCGAGTAATTCTAGCACCCCGATTGAGCTAGTATTTTGAAAACAAACAAACAACAGGCCTGTCGTATAGATAGGGCTTATATGCCACTGCATAAGAACTACCTCGGTTCAAGCAGATAAGGGACACTATAGTAGTACTGTAGAGACACATCAATTGTATATTTAAATCCCGATCCCGATTATTATACCAGATATGATCATCCTTTCGACAATAAAAACAAGTCTCACCGTACTCACGTCTCTATCTAACACATACAACAAGGCCAACATCCCTTACATCGTGGAAGAGCATAAGCAATTTATCTTGCGTTACATTGATGAGAGTCCCTCTGCCGTTGTAGCTGGAGCGGCAGGAATTTTTATGGACCTCAAGTTTCTCGCAGCACATTATAAATGTGCTGCCAACGCAGTGCAAACTATATCGATCAAGCAGGGTTAGTTCCATCTGTAAAAAGCAATGACGAAAAAATTTAACAAAGGTACGATGGGTCCAAATAGCGGTACCGGTAACAAACGGACTTGGACTTTACAACAAACTGTATTTTTCTGTGCTTTCCTGGATGAATTTACCTTCCATATTAGTCTAAAAAGAGGTATGGCTTGGTCAAGAAGAGGGCGAAGGGGTCGCAGTCACAATGGAGCGAAGAGTTCGCAGTCACAATAGAGCGAAGAGGGCGAAGAGGGCGAAGAGAGCGAAGAGGTCGCAGTCACAATAGAGCGAAGAGAGCGAAGAGGTCGCAGTCACAATAGAGCGAAGAGGGCGAAGAGGGCGAAGAGAGCGAAGAGGCCGCAGTCACAATGACACTATTGCCGATGACTTTATCTTCCATCTACGCGTCATGTCCATTTCCACCCACTCAGCGCCATCAGAACGTTGAGTCCCGTCCTGTTTAAAATATAGCATCGGAATGTCCTGCCGTATTCAAGCTTCCGCAATAACATCTTGCTCAAGTTATCGAGGAGCCAGAAGCCAGGTGCCGCTGTAAGTTTCTCCAGAAAGGCTCCATGGGCTCGATCCGTTCTTTCCTGGTTACTTTGAAGCCATAGAGGGAGATGGATTGACGGGTATTGACGGGCAGGTACAATGCAACTTTAACCTGGGCGCATGTCGTTCGGATGCTTCGTATGAACAGTAATACGTTCACGAAAGTATATCATTCCTTCGGGTTCACTATCATGCGTTAACACTTATCATGTAGATCTAGAATGTGAAAGCCCTTGTCCCAGAAAGCTTTTCCATCGGCTATATGCATCTATACAATTCCGCGGGAAGATGCTTTTTATGCACTTTGACAACGTTGATGGTGGACGGTCAAATAGTTGCTTTTGTGAGTCGATGGCAGTTGGACGTAAGTTATACAGGTGGGCCATTTTTTATAATAGCAGTCTTTGCTTTCCCAAATAAAACAACTCAACAGTTACCAATACGCCTCTTAAATTCAATTCGTTTATCGTATGTATGGATGCTACACAAAACACCCCTAAGCTCTCCAACGGCAAGAGGGCATCTTTGTAGACTATCGGTCAACATCCATGCCAATGGCACGTCTTTCCCAGACACTTGACATTTTGAGACAATTGTGTTCACTGCAACTCTTGCAAAGTGGCTATGCTGGCTGAAGCTCGATCATGGGGCTTATTTCCAAGTGATCATGAATGAATAGCGAGGTCAACGCAATTCATTCTATATTTGGCTCCTCCTTCTCTGTCGATATGCCATTGGCATGTCATGCGTGCTTAGCGTAAGCACGCGCACACAAAGATCAGCAAATCCAAGCGGTGAAAGCTTCCAAGAAGTACATTTGCGCCGAGAAGCTGACTTGGCGCACATGGTTGCTCTGATGAAGTCGGAGAATGTATTATCCTTTGGCTTACAATGGAAGTCCTTCGAAGAATGGTGCGATGGCAATGTCGCTGAAGATATAATGCAGTACATGGAGAGAAAGTATTAAGAGATTGAACTGGTCGAGAATGGGGCGGACAGTGAGTTATAGATGAACCATCTCGTACAAAATATTGATAATAATTTAGATGCACCGTTTTCTTATCCACACAAAACAGTTACGTGGAACATGGCATCAGCAGCTCAATACGATTGGAGAGCGTTCGTTATGTTCGTGCGGACAACCTGATATACATGCATCTCGCACGGATTTGAGCATCGCCACTCCGACAAGGCAGAGACGATGGCCAATCTCGACTCCACGGTGATCCAGGTAGAGATGTGCTGCAAGTGGCAATGACAACTTCGACTTTAACTCACGATGTGTGATAGTATACATATGCTCGTTTTTCACGATGGATTTTTCTGCACTGCACATCTCCTGGATTGTTTCAACTTTCAGAATATGATGATCTGGCATGCTTCGTAGCCAGTATCGCCTTTTGCACCAAGTGTATGATCGAGTACAGCCTACAATCGGGCAGTTTTCTGGTAGTTTGGCGATCCAAACCAGGAATTTTCGATGATTGCTCTCCAGGTATCGAACCATGGTTCTGTCAGACGTTTGAGCTGACGACGATCTTCGTATCGATATCATCGAATTTCTGGAGGTCAGGTCGCTGACAAAGTCGAAGGGCATTAGTATGCAAGTGACATTGTCAGCAATGCACTTGTATCCCTGCCGGATTAGACGACGTTTGCTGGGACCTTTCTCATATTAGACATCCCTTTCCGAACCACTGGTTCATGGATTCGGTGAAGCATTACTAACGGCCAGCTCCCATGGTTTTCGCCAAGTGAACGTTGAAGGCTGTCAAGAAAGGAAGTGACTGTTATTCTTGCTTCTACACAAATAACATTAATGATTTATCGCTCCGTAGCATTTGAAATTCTCTTACATTAGCATATTCTTTACTTTAACTTTGACTATTGGGAAACCACGAAAATATACATCTAACAAAACGCTCCCGGGAAATATATTCGGTGAAATCCATGTTGATATGGTTAGTGCGATCATATTTGCTCCTGCACTCCTTAAATCAGGCAATTTTACGTCCTTATCATCAGTAACAACGTGATCCATTCAAATATCGATGTATTCAACATCGACTCCAGCATCAATATGATAACGCGCATGCTCCTTGATGGCTGGAACAGCCACTTCTTGATCATGTGCTTCTGGCAAGGAATGCAGAAAGTAGGCAGCTAACTAGGTAGTATTCCGCCCAGGAAAGTACAGAGCTGGAGTTTGACCGGGCGACAGCTGGCAGTTGCTTGACTACACAGGAATCCAAGGGGATCTACAAGTCTCTCCCGCGAAGGTCCACCGTTTCTTCTTCACACTCAGATGAAGTGGAGTCTTCATCGTTTTCTTCCTCAATAGCAGTAAGCTCTCTGGAGTTGAGCTTCAGCCCCGACAGAAGCGTGGTTGAGTCGGCGTTCTCGGCTCTGTCTCGGCCCTCTAAACGAAGACAACTTGGCAAATTTCCTGGGTTGTATCGGATAACATGCCAAGGACTATCTCAGACACTTCTTTACCGTGATTGTTCCCAGATTCCACCACGTTGACACTATTGAAACGGAGACTACATGTGTTGAAGTCCGTCGTACTTCTGCGAAGTTGGTCAGGCCCAACCGTGCGCCTCACATAGTGCTTGGACACCGAGATGCGTACATTCAGGCAAAGATGAGGACTTGCTTTGAACATGTTGGAGTTTAAAATATTTGCGATTTACTTAAATGTGATGGCGATTTAAAGGATGATGAACTTAGAAAAGGTGATGCACAAGACGTGTCGGATATCTCTCAAGCTCTTAACAAGCGGGAACTGTAACTGGAAATGAAAAAAGTGAGTTTATTGGTCGAAAAACATCTAAATTGAGGAACGGAACCGTCCTCAAAGGACGAAACCGTCCGCGTCAGAATAGTGCTTGATAACAAACTACTCATATCGATATAGCTATTGCATTTGGGTTAGGTCATGAATGACTTAGTAGCATTTTTGTCTGGTTGCACAGTTTCGTGACTGTGCGCAGAGCGAAGAAAGCGCAGGGATCGAACAGGGCGAAGAGTGGTTTTTTTCTTGTAATCACGCACACACTTATGCTACCATGACTACAATTGTCCTAAAAAACGTTTGTTATCTTTGCACTGACCGTAACTTTACCGAAGCGTCAAAGTTGAATCAACACTTACTCAAATCTCATGATCTTTCATACCCCCAATGTGTGCGAAAGCAAACACGCCCCATGAATCTTGAATATGTCTACGTGCAATACGTAACATCGCACAACGATAAATCAATTCCGGTTCATTACGCCTGTCCCTCCTGTTGTTTCACCATGAGGCTCTTGATGAATTGCGCCGGCATATGGAAACCTCTCACTTGCAAAACTGTTTCACCAGTGAACAGGAGAACAGAAAACGAAAAATCACAAACGAAGATGATCAGGCAGCAGTAGAAAGTATCGCTATCGTGAATAACAACAACGTGATATTACGGTACGCCACTCCAACTTTCGCAAACAGTCTACCACCAAATTCGCTTCCATTCCAATGTCTATTATCCAAAAGCTCAGCTCTATCATTACGATTGCAACATCTTCTAATTCGCAACTGTCAGTATCGCAACAGGCAGAAATTGAAACCCTCAAAGGACGACGCGTTGAAATTGAATGTGATCAAATCAGAATTTCCGATGGCATTCGACTTTTTGCTGAAGGCTCTCAAACAGCCCTTTGATCTATTACCAAGATACCTGTGGAATTTCCAGTATCCGGAGCAACCCGATAAAGCCCACCAAACGAAATTCATCAAAGCGATGCAGTGCATGCTGACAAATTACTGGAATAATTGCGCAGTCGACAAGCAGCGTATGGATGATCATGAACGCACTTTCTGGATCAAACATATCGTACCGATATTCCAGGCATTTGGCAACCAATGTGGCTTTGTGGATTTTAGTTGGTGTGAAGTGCAGTTGCATCAACATAGGTTGCAAACGGCTGATCCATTCACAGGCGAACGTGGCATCATCCGTTATGTAGATGGATTAGGCAAGGATGACAAGCAGCATGAAAGAGTTGTCATGGAATGCTCCTCTGGTCTGAAACTGAGACAAGCACACGCGGAATACGATACCATAAAACAGATTCATAGTTTAATGTGTATCCACCAAGGAATCATTACAAGATACCCGAACGCAAGCTGCAAGACATTGGCCAGAGTGCAAGTGTATGGGATACAGTTGATCAAAGAAAAGGTGACGCTTAGCTGATTACCCTGCAGCACCAATGACGGAAACATCAAGTATACATACGATGAGCCCAGATCGGCGGACATTCCTTGTTCGTATGGTCAACGCAAACGATAGCTGCATATGATGGATTTACTCGCCTACTTGTACACGAACTTAAAATTGCAATTTGAAATCCAAGAACAACTGGAGGATGAGCATTATGGTTTGGTTACGGTTGACAGTTCAAGCACTCTGCGGCATCTTCTGAAAAACAGGACTTCGATAGCGAGGAAAATTAGCCAGTGGAGTCACTGTTGGCTTCAATCTCACAGTATATCAGAAACGCCTGAATGAATATGCACCAGCCTACTTCCCGTAGTAGTCATGGAAGAATGAGTGGAAAAAAAATCTCCCTCCGCCCTCTTCGCTCTTTTCACTTTTAGCCGTAGACTCATAGCATTGCTTTGTTGAACAATTGCCAAGCACTTTGCAGAATGAAAATGAAACCTTTGAAAGCGCTTAACCAGCGCATGTTTCATCAATCCTCGTCATTAACCTTTCCTTCCCCAGAAGTCTATTCGTTTGACTTTGCTCTTGACAACGGACCATGACTCTCATTGGGATTTAATCAGGCGAACGCGGAGGAAGATAAATGTAAATAATATGCACGAGAATTGATATATTTCGTATATCAGTCGAGCTATGGATAGGAGCATTATCCATCATGATTTTGATTTGTTTTTGGAACTCTCCAATTAGCATTAAATAAATCCAGAGGCAGCTACTGCGCCCATATTGATGTTCTGTTTGCTTTAGTCGTTACAATAACATAGGGAATTCTCACCAATGTCATCCAAGATAAATTGCTTATGTTCCTCAAATATACGATGTAGGCGTGTTTCTTTTATTCAAAAATACTAGTTGCAGCCTTAATCGGCTGCTACAATTGCTCGCTTCGAAACTTCAGTGCACTCGCCTCGGCTCAGACAATGACCAGGAGTTCAATCAAATAAGTCGATACTCACCCGATCATAAGCCATGGGCCTTCATTCTTCTTCAGCCGCCACTAATTGGACTCCAAGCGTATGGTGTACCCAATGAGAAGTATAAAGGCAAAGCTCGTCGTCTTCTGAGAGGCCTCCATCAAGATCATGTCACTCCCACCACTCTCCTTCAAGGTCACCTTCAAATCGATTATCCTGAGGTTCCTTCTAGTCCCGTCATGATACACACACACTCAGTTCCATCTACCTTCAGTCATGTCGGTCATCTGCATACCCTTATCACGCCTAATATTTGCCATGTACTCCACGTAGACGATTGGTGTCGGTCAAGCAATCCAGCGCTTCAACCAATTATGGTATTGCCCCAACCAACAAATGGAACACCAAAATGATTACGAATTTACAACCTTTCAACACGTCAAACGAACCCACTAGACCCTGGCATACTAATTTATCGCATATCAACCGTTTCGTGCACCCATTCAATACTACCCTTGCCTTATCGACACCTTCGGCTTTCTTTCTCTTTCGCTCACGGGTACCCGCTTCGTCATTGTTACATTGTTCGATGTTTATATTCTTGAGAGGTCTGCCTATTCGCTGTGTCACCAATCCACTGAAAAGTATGTGATCCAACATCTTCTCCAAGTCATCGGCGAACATGGCCAGTTCCGCGCCATACTCGGCGAAAAGGACCCTCCATTTTCTGGCGATTTCATCAAGTCCCTGGCCAGCCATCTCCGAATCAAATAGAAGTTTGCGTCGACTTACATCCCCAAATCTACCCGATCGGTTTAACCGTTTATAGAAACCCTCAAGAACATATTCAGCTCATTCCCACGGATCACCATCAGAACATTTGGAACGTCCACCTCTCCGAACTTCAGCCTTCAACTTTGGTGTCTAATCATCAACTATATGGACCTACCGAAAAAAAAATTTATTGGCGACAACTCTATCTCACCCAGCTGCTCGTGTTGCACCCGATCATTTTTGCGCCTCTTGTTTCACTTGTTTGACTTGATAGCGCTCAGAGTGTACTAACATGACATTGCTTGCCATTTTCCCCACCGTTTATGGTGACATCGCTTCTTGCTGGCCTTTTGCAATAAATTGTTTCTGATAGTATTTATGATATACTGTAATGTCGCATAGGTGCGCGCGGAAGGGTCGAAGTGCAATAAATCAATATGGCGTGTTGTTAGGTCGTTTGACGTGTTGGCAGGCTGTACCTTCGTTGATCATTCTGGTGATCCATCGCGTTGATTGTGGCAATACCATAAACGGTTGGAACGCTGGGTGCGACTGACACCAATATGAAAAAGGCTGGATATATTTGTGCAAGGTCGAAATCACATGTTGCGTGGACTCAGGAATACAGTCTGAGGGCTGAAGAAGAGCATACTAGCCTCTCGGTAGCAACTTGGGGGCGTTCTTCCGAAAGGATTCTCTTGCGGATCCTAGTAAGGAAGACGAGTTCAGTTACATACTGCGTGCTGTAATAACGACACCATGATCAGAGAGTCTTTCCAAGATTATCAACCATGGCGTGAAAATACCTCGCTGTTCCTGCCACTTCAGCTTCTTGCAGGGGGCTAATTTTCAAAATTTTGCCAGCCGAATCGGATGCTGCCCAAGATCTTAAGACAAGGCATTCTGCGACTTGCTTTTTTTTTTCCTTTCATATTTCCGCTTCCTTATTAACATTATTCGTTTCAGACAACAGCTGCGATGAGCTTCACGGTAACGCTCAGCTTGATTACAGCTTGTGCAAAACATACACAATTTTTCGATTGGATACCATAATAACTCTCAGAAGAATTACAAAAACGTATATGTTGAGGTGAAGTATAAATATCATGTTTTGAATGACTGCTATTATGCCTTTTTCCGTTGTGTTGGCATGCTGTGATGTTTATTTCCAATTAATGACTTGATTCAAGCGTGTGATGAAAAGGAGAGTGACAAATTTCGAATACATATGGTAGTAAATTAAAAAAAAACGATATTGGACGCGTCGCAATTCAAGTGTAGATACATCATTCAGTTGGTTCGAAGCTTAAGTGGACATGGCCTTTTTCGATTTTTTGACGGTGAGAATATTTGGCCTACTTGTGTCAGTGACAGGGTCGGAGTACGGCGGCTCATGGTACCTGCCGCATCACTGGCAGGAACGCAGATTCGCTCGAAAATGTCCAGCACTTTGATGATATCTCCCGCTTTAGTCACAAAGCCGGGAAGACTATTCAACGAGTCCGGAAGTTGTATCACAGCCAGTTCGAGGAACGCATATAGCCCTTTGGCGGGCAAGACCAGTATGTAGAACTTGACGGTGCGTCCTATCACTTGGACACCCAGCGTCCCCTCCATGACTTGGATATCGAGGGTCTGTTTGCAGAATACGGCCACTTTGATGAGATCCCAGCAGATGACGCGATTGTCATGGTCTTGGGCCGCAGACTTGGCTTCTCCAAATCCGAGGTTCATCTGCCATTCGAAGCTGCAGGTCTTGGTTATGCAGAAATCAGGTCGCTCTTTGCTTTCCTCCATGTGCTTGGCGTCTGTGGACTCATTTGTCCAACGAAAGTAAGTGTCATTGTCCGGATTATCAAACAATTCGAAAAGAAATGGATCGACAAAACGTGAACAAAGTTCTGCCTCGCCGAAATCTTCTCGGATTGGTTGACTGGGCAGTCTCCTGACTAGTTGCCCTAAAGCCGTAGCGAACCTTGCCATGTGTGTTCCGGATGACATCGAAGTCATCTTGTTGTATGCTTCGTTTCGGCTGATCTTTTCTGTCAGCAAGTCGTTGACGATAGAGAGCAAACCGGTGACCGCTTTTATTGGCATTGGATGATATTTGATGTCATATTTTTTTTCAATGAAATTGACGGTTGCTTTCCAGTTTTGCAGGCTAATGAGCGGCGAGATATCATGGGGATATACCGTAGGTGTCAAGAGAAGAACTGAAGTGGACGCCAACGCCAGATGCATATGATCCTCAAGGGAATGTTTCCATTTAGCATCTATTGACAGTTGCAGCTGATGAAAAAAGATGCTAACGTCGAAATTGTTAACGATGAGATGATCACTTTCTGGCAGGGAAAAAACTACACCGTCAAGCAACAATGCCTCACTGTGCCGCTTTTTGGACGTGACTGGCCTGGCAGAACTTGCCATGCTCCCATCGGCATCGGCTTGGCTCGCGCTCTGCTGTTGTTGCTGATGCGGCGGCGGCAGGTAGTCCGTATGCTCGTCGAAGAAATGGCTGGCCACACCATTTAAGCTGTCATAATGGCCCAGGCAACAAGGACAAGCATATAGAATGCGCGTGCGTTCACTGCTGTCTGCGTGACGGAGGTATAGAAATCCATTGGTATTGTAACGCCTTGTTGATTTCAATCCCACGGGGAATTGAAATCCGTGCAAATCCTTTAAGTGGTCGCGAAGTCGTCGCGGCTCGGCGTAATTTTTGATATGTGTTTCATCAAGGAAACACCGATGTACCAGAAACACCACCTGCCGTGGGTCTGGCATAATGAAGATAAACTTGTGAGAAACTTGTATGAAATCGAGACTTTTAAAAACTTGGGTGAAATCGGAACTTGTAATAAAAAAAAAGAACTTGCATGTAATAAAAACTTAGAAGAAACTTGTAAAGAAGGACGAAACCTGTATGAAATTTTGTGCGAACGTTCTGCGCTTATCAAAAAAAGGCCATTCATACTTTCTTTCCGAGTCACTTGGCATATTCATAGAAGAAGGTAACACAAAAGGATATTTCCCAGCTGGAAAGTCATAGCGTAAAGTTCGGGTTTTGCAAATCGGACAAGTCTATTCTCAAAGGTGTTTTGTGAACCCTGAGCAAAAATCGGCTCATGTGCCTTCTAGTTTTGACATGCTGCCTGTCATATTCTAATTTGCGCAATGACATTTCCGGTGATTCACCCAAATTGACAATTTACTCTCTTTGTATCAGCGGTTCCATCCACCTCAGTAATATAGTTTTCGCAGTTTTGCGCGTCCTTTTTTCATTGATATGGGGAATCAGTAGAAAATACCCAATTTTTTTTGTCAGTCGTGTACTTTTTCGGTTACAACAAAAGCCAGGTTTCAGATAAAAAAAATGCTGACACAAATCGGGGATATCCAGCTGAAAAAGCTTATCATGCATGAGATTGACAGAAAACCCTACTTTGAATATGATTATTAAATTAAATTAATGAAAAACTAGGAGGAAATGCGCTTCACAACCACTTGTAAATCAATTACTGGATGTTTGCCCATGGTAGACGGCTTAAAATATAGCTTTCTCGCTTAAAGATGACCTAATGTAGAGCATGAGTTAACAGGGGTGTTGCACAACAGGGACGTGTGTGACAAAAACTCACGAAGTTTACAGTGTACCCTTTTTCCATTGAATGAATAAGACGGAGGAAAGAGAACCAAAAAAAAAAAAAAAAAAAAAGAAAACTTTTGAGCCAAACTTCAAGTAGATAAGCGAGCATTCCACCTCATTCTTCTATGGCGGCCGCCGTACGATCTGTGGGGTATACATCAAAACTCGGATTTTTGTAACTATAAGAGTTGTTACTAGATTTGAATGCTCAGCTTTGGTTTGTTCGAAGTCTTTGGCACCATGCTAGTTAGCAAAACTAATTTGCCAAGGTTAGGATTAAACATTCTCGCGGTTTGTAACGGTTTTTCAAATATCAACATGTCGAGCTTTTCTTTTCTTTTGTTCTTTTTTTTTTCCTACCAACGTGCACATGTACAAAGAATACGTGCTTCGACCTCGGATGTGTAACCGATCTTTTTTATGGCGCGGTTTGTAACAATTTTCTTTTCGCATCATGCACATGTGCAAAAATACGTTCTCCGACTCCGATGCGTAACCAGTTTCTTTTATATTGACATAGTCATCGTCATCGTCATTGGAATTTTCGGATGAACACTCAGGTGCAATGAAATCTTCGCTGTGATCATATCGATATGTCTGGGAAACAAGGCAGCTGTCAAGTGAAAAGCCACAAAGAAAGGCAGGAACCGTTATGATTTTACGGTGTAATGCATGGATCTTTTACTTGAAAATGAGGTGCAGATGAGATCCCTTTGTTTATATCCCTAATTTTTTGGCGGACAATAATCAACTTCATTCTCCTGTCATGGCACTCGGACTCACTTTACTGAATGACGCTTATCTCATCCTTTCTACAAAGTGTTACAGTGCTCTAAAACAATGCAAATCAGCTATAGCGAACATAAAGTTGTAGCCTGCATTCATTCATTGATGAATAATATAATATATGTGGAAGACGATGGAAAGCCAGTTTTGGGTGGATATCCGCAGTATCATTTGGTCAATTGCATATAATTGTAATAGCTTCATTGCCGTTCGTTTCAATGAAATGATACGCGAAGTTAAGCCATTATCAATAGAGAAGTTGTGGTGATATCACAGGTCGCTTGAGGATAACGGAAGCAAACAGACCTCGTAAAAAACACAAGGCCGTGATAACGTAAAGCAGTCGAAACAGGGCTTTTGATGGCAGCGAGTTTTTACAACGACGATCTGTTAGTGGCTTAATAAGGATTAATCAACATGATTGTGCAACTTGAACCTTTGCTGCCCCAGTTTCTAACTTTCTCCATACTAAAACCGCTCCAATTTCTGTCATACATGAATTACCTAAGCAACCAAAGTCAATGGCCACCCAAGCATTGCCACAACCTGCTTTACTCTGTTCGTGATGTGACCATTCAGTAGGGCTTGTCAGTGCCGATCGCTTTCGCTTGCGCCGTATTACGCTTGATACTGACAAGAATTTGCCTACTTTCGCTCTTCTTGCGTCTCAAAAAATGCGTGAGCGATGTTCCGAGCTAATAATAAATGCCCATGATTAGATCGAATTTCTCTCGTAATCCTCAAAGTTGCCGACAGGGTATTTCAACCGTTGTCCTTGAATAAAAATACTCAGAAGCCATGATCGTGGGATAGCATCACCATCACCATTGCCGCCAGGTCGTCCTTTCCATTGACAAGGTATTCTTGCAACTAACTATAAATAGCGAATAAACCCGATTGGTTGGCTCATATAGAAGAGATAACTCGTGCCTATATTGATAGGAATATAATATGTCTGTTTATATTTTACCGCACCATCAGGACATTAAGTTCCAAGAACAAATTTTCGCAAAGCAATTGTGTATGAAATTGAGGAAGTCGCCCATAGTTTACTTTCTCGGCGCTCAAATAGGTTTATGAGCCATTCATCATGGATACGTAGTATGAACAAGCTGGAGGACTGTGAAGTCGAATTGGATTTGCAGCCTCGTTGGTGTCGTTGGCGGAATTCCGTTGTGACCAAGATTAGAATGGAAGTAATGGTAATGGGGTGGCAGCGTGGCAGTTGGCGAGAATATTCATGGGTAAAAGTGTCTCAAAATTGGGAAGTGCGACACCATAGAATAAATCCTTCACTTGACGGTGCCGTTCGGGCAATGATCCGGCGTCATTATTTGGACGGATTTTTTTTTATTTATTAATTCAACTAATGAAAAACTGATCAAAGAGATCGAAGGACAGTCCATTACCTTAGGTTGCGAGTATCAATACGATATTGATTGATAATGAATTAATAATGGGGACTCTTTTCTTTTTTTTTTTTTCTTTTTTTTTTTCTAGAGGAGCGTAGCTCCGATTTTATTTGCTTCACACGCCGTTTTGAGCGGTGTGAACTAAAATCATATATAAAATTAAGAAAAACTAGGACAACGAATGTAGGAGGAGAGAGGGGCCTAATGAAATATAGAAAGTTGGCTACAGTTTGTGCAGTAGAGTCTGATTTACGCGCACCAGAGCGTGATGGTTTTGATTGCCATATCGGCAACAGTGTCCGGTGTAAGGAGGTGTGCCTTTAAGATGTAGTTCCAAGTCCCTTGCCAAATGGCGGCCAGTTTGGTGGCAAGAGTTATAACACTAGATATGGCTGGAGGGGAAGGAAGGAATTGCAGCTGAAATAGCGCGTTGTGGACTGTGGCGGGGTTACGGGTTCAAGGAAACAGTCGAGCCAAACTTTCTGCCAAATCGCGCATTTTAAAAGACATGGTATCGGGAAGTGTCCCAAATCGTCGGTAGCAGTAAGGGATAGAGGACAGCTGGGTGACAAAAACTTGTTGAGGAGGCTACGGTGTAGGGCGGCGCGACAGAAAACATAGCGTGGAGAATATGGAGCCACAAGTTGCGACTTTGATATGGGAGGGAAACTGACCATAATTGACGCCACTGGATAGTTGAGACGGAGGGAAAGGTTGAACGGTATTGAGGAGTTGGGCCCGTACTAATACACGGTAGGACCAGGGACGAAGTTGGGTGAAGTCGATATTCGAAAGGAGTGGGAAAAGCTGAGAAGATCCTGGGCCGCCGAAATGGTCGGGAAGAAGGACTAATTATGGTAATAATTGTGATGGTCAGTCAAGTTTGGTCTATCGTCGCAGTGTTCAGTAAAAAAGGTTGGAGAGCCAACTCTTGTTGCGATAGAAGGGAGAGGAGTAACCGCGAGACTGAAGGGAATGATGAGGTTCGATGTCAGCTACGGGTCTGATGACGTCGAGGGATGGTTCAACTGTATCCAGGATGGAAAGCGAGAGACGTTTCTTGCGGAAGCGGTGGGGTTGGAGAATGATGAACACAACCTGTGTAGATAATAAGAGCGAAAAATTACTCCGACAACTTCTTGACCTTTATGTGATCGAGAACGATCAGCTAATGAAGACCATGAGTAAAGTATGATGAGCAACGGTTGCTAAAGTAAGAGCCTAACAGGAGTTACATTATTGCTTATAAATACAAGTGTCCCTATAATATTTTGTTTCGATTTAGGAATAATTGTGGTCCAGAATGATGACTGATTATATCGAATTGGGAATTCCAAAAGATTCTTGAATCAAAAATATTGTATTCTTAAATCGAGGATTTCTAAATCGAGCGATGACTGTAACTATCACGCTTTGTATTATGCCCTTTTTCCGTAACGTTTGCATGCTGGGATGATTTATTTGCAGATCGATAAATGTATTTAAGCGTGTGGTGAAAGAAGGATGACATGAATTAAATTTCTAGTGTACATGCAATATGGGAATAATAAAGAAGGCCTATATTGGATATGTCGGATGATTTAATCCGACCCAAGTCTCAGTTGATAGGGTTGGAGTACGTCGCTCATGGTAGTTGCAACATAGCTGGCAGGGATGCAGATTTGTTCGAACGTATCCAGCATTTTGACGACGTTCCTCGCTTCATTCACAGAGCCGGGCAGATTTTTTCACCGATTCAGGAAGCTGTAAGACCATCCTTTCGAGGAATGCATACGGTTCTTTGGCGGGTAAAACCAATGCGTAGAACTTGACGGTTCGTCCTATTACTTGGACGCATAGCACTCCATCCATGAATTGCTTGCCGGGTGCTTGCTTGCAGAATACTCCCACTTTCGAAGATACCTATGGGTGGTGCAGATTGCCTTGGTCTCTTGCCGCAGGCTTGGCCTCCCCGAATCCGACGTTCACCATCCGTTCGAAACTGGAGAACCTTGTGATACAGATATCCGGTCGTTCATTGATTTCTTCCGTGTATTTGGCCGCCGTAGCTTCATTCGTCCAACGAAAGTAATCTCGTTAAGCGCCTGCTTTCGGGTGATCTTCTCCGCCAGTAAATCGTTGACAATAGAGGTAAGGTGGTGATCGTATTCATCGGCATTGGTTGGCGCTTGATGCCGTATTGGTTTTCGGTGAAGGGGGACAGTTGCTTTCCAGTTATCAAAGCTAATGAGCGGCGAGTATGTGGTAGGTGTCAACAGAAGAATCGAAGTAGACGCCAACGCCGGATGCATGTGTTCTTCAAGGGAATGTTTCCATTTAGCATCAATCGACAGTTGCAGCTGGAGAAGGAAAAGACTGGGGTCGAAATTGTTCACGCGGAGACGATCACTTTCCGGAAGGGGAAAACTACACCGTCAAGCGACAATGCTTCGTTGTGCTGTATTTTGGACGTGAGTGACCTGACAGAACTCGTTCTGCTCCCATCGGCATCGACTTGGCTAGCGCTCTGCTGTCGTTGCTGCTGCTGCTGCGACAAGTAGTCCTTTATGCTCCTCAAAGAAATGGTCGGCCCCAGCGTTTGAGCTGTCATAATGGCTCAGGCAACAAGGACAAGCATACGGAAAGTTCGAGAGTTCTTATCTGCATGGCGCAGATACAGAATTTGTTATATTATAGCGCCTGGTTGATTTCAACCCCGTTGGCAATTGATGGGCGTGAAAATCGCGCAAGTGGTCGGGGAGTCTTCGCGGGTCGGCGTGATTTTTCAATGTGAGTGCGTATCGATGAAGCATACACCACCTCCCGTGAGGCTGACATACTTTTATATTTTTTTATTATTTGCGGTGTACGTGAAACTTGTAAGAAACTTGTTGGAAGGTGGAAACCGTATGAAAATCGTATGAGAGTTTTGCGTTTATCATATGATACACTCTTTCTTTCTCAGACCACTTGGCACCCTCAGAAAAGCAGAGCGCACAGACAATATGCCTCACGGCACGATATAGTGGTAAAGTTCGGGATTCGCATATCTGAACAACTCGATCCACTCGGGACTGGATGGGTATCTTCCCGAAGATGCTTTTTTCTTCTTCTTCTTCTAATGTATGTATTTTGGTTAATAAAACTCGTCCCCTTTCGACGGAAGACCATTTGTCTTCATTGATGGTGACTTCATATTGAAGGATGGCCTTCTTTGAAAATCACATATGTTTTAAACCAAGAACCTAGTAATTAAAAAAAATCGGGAGTTCAAGATGTGATCCACCCCAACAGCTATGGTTGTACTGCTTGAAAAGGCGCATTGATCTTTTGGTTTTTGACTTGGTGTATTGTGCACGACTATAGCTGAATACTGTCTTGGGCAACCACTCCATATGGCGGTAATGCTAGCCAGTAACTCACTCCGAGAAAAGATGCTTGAATCGGTTTTGCACTCGCTTTCTCTTTCACCATGACATAGGGTAATAATATTTGATGTGTAGCTGGAGATTTCTCGAGTTGAGTTTTTGTTACTTGAGATTCGTTGTTAAAGTATCCCAATGAGCAAAGTGCTGTCTTAATTTCTATTAAAATCAGATGCATCATTGTCGAAAATAAAAGGAAAGCCGAGCATAAAAACGCATGTAGTTTGCCACTCAAGAAAGAAACCTTCTCATAGGGTGACAAAATCACAAATCCAATAAATTGATCAAAAAGCGAGTGAAAATTGTGCCTTCAAGACGCATGAACAATTCTCTTAGGCTCCATATTGTTCAGTAGAGACACTCTCTCTAGATCGCCGACGTTGATTAAAATGAAAGAGTAGCATAGCGTGGAATATACTTTGTTGGTCAGTTGGATCCGGATACAGTCACCGCTCGATTTTAAGAATCACCACCGAAAGGACAAAAGTCATGCTGAAATCGAAATTATTCCAAAATACATGTAGAATTCCTTTTACCATACAATATATAAGAAAATCGATCTCTGGGAATTGCAGAAAGTCATTCCAAAACCGCTTGACTATATCTTTCACGAAAGAGAGGAAGAAGGAGTTGCCAAAAACTTTGTCGACCCAACAACTTGTAGAGTTGCTGAACAGTATACATAGTATATCTGGGAATACAAGGATGTTTTTATGCTATACTGTATGCAAATTCTGACTAATGACCGACCGATTAAAGGGCTACCGTATGTGATTTAGAGACTTTTATTCCGCGATTTTTTAATAAAATAATAAGAAGAAAAAAAAAACCGTATTGACGTATTTATATCCCGTCAATGTTCTCGCCAATTGTCATGCCGACACCGATGCTTCCAGTCCAATCTTGGCCACAACGGAATTCCGCCAACGACGCCAACGACACCAACGACGGCTGCAAATCCAATTTGAGTTCACTGTCCTCCAGCTTGTTCATACTACGTATCCAAGATGAAGGGCTCATCCTATTCGAGCGCCGTATATGCCAGAAACTAACTGTACAGTACAGTAATATCCAACGTATTGACACAGATGGGGCACAACAGTTGGATAGTTATGTTGAAAGCAGTAACGATATGCCTTGGCCAGACGGAAATGTCCCACTACGAAGTTTGCAGCTGCCGTGACCAATTCAGAAATATCGGACCAACGTGGTTTCCAGTTTTGGTTGAAGCTCGCTTTCAAGTATCGATGACCGCAGATCCACTTGCAAAATATCAATGGCTTCCGCTTGCCGCTCGTGACATTGCTTCTGTATCCGTTGTCTAATGACTGCATCGCTACCTCGCTTAGATACATTGACAATTCATTCGAGAGCTCCAATATCGTACGGATCGTGAAAGAAGCTGCGATAGGAAAGGCCGAACTTTGCTCGCTCAAAATAGCGCCAACAACCACCCAACTAGATTGACATTCAAATTAGAATAGATCCAGTTTCCAAGAAATCGAAGTGGTTACTTACCACAATATGTAGGAGTATTGGATGCAGCAAATGCTTGTTTCAATTTTCGTGTTCGTGATCATACAAACGAGGACGGCAATATGTCTTGATACAACCTCGATCTCGGCCCGAAAGATCATTTGCATGTCGTCGATATATGATAGCCGTAAAAATTGTCTTTAGATTCTAATTTAATTACCATTGCGCATGAGTAGTTGGCACTTAGCAAACCCGTTGTGAGTCTTACCATAACTGAAAACATGAAAGCTGAGTTGAGGATGGACGCGGTACTCAACATTGAAGTCGTCTTGTTATATGCTTCCTTTCGGGTGATCTTTTCTGTCACCAATTAGTTGACAACAGAGAGCAAGCCGGTGAACGCACTTATCGGCATCGGATGACGTTTAAAGCTCTATCTGATTTCGATGAAGTTGACAGTTGCTTTTCAATTATCAGGGCTACTGAGCGGCGAGATATCACTGGAATATATCGTAGTTGTCAAGAGAAGAACCGTGGTGGACGCCAACGCCGAGTGCATGATCTTTGAGGGAATGTTTCCATTTAGCATCTATTGACAGTAGCAGCTGGTGAAAGAAAGAAGTTGACGTCGAAAATTGTTCACGAAATGATCACTTTCTGGAAGGGGGAAAAAACTACACCGTCAAGCAACAATGCTTCATTGTGCCGCTTTTTGGATGTGACTGGCCTGGCAAAACTTGCTATGGTCCCATCGACGGTGACTTGGTTGGGTTGGCTTTACACTTGTTGCTGCTGCGGTATGTAATCCTTCGGCGTCGCCAATGATGTGATTGGCCACACCGTTTTCGTAATCGTATTGACCGACAAGCCTACTGAACGCGGGTGCGTTTACACTCATCTACAAATCGCCCCTATGCTGTTGGAGTGTATTTTGTGACTGCAAGCCTGTTCCATAGTTCCTACAAGTTGTGGCTGCACTCATGCAGTATGTATTCATCTTAAAAATTCAAAAGACCCTATTGCGATAAAAACAGTTCTCTTTCCGCCAGTGGCAAATAGCCACGGTTTTGACGCTATTCTACAAGAAGGACACCCTTGTATGTGAAGGACTGAGTTCTCAACGGCTGAGCATGACGGAGACACGGAAGACTGATATGTGAAATAATCATAGAGAATTATATCGCTATGAAGAGGGTGAGCCTCAGTCGAAAGCTTCGGGGGCAGAGACAGTGGTGATTAAATGTAAGAAAGGCAGTGCGAAAATTTCCCAACAATGCCCTTATGTGACTACCCGTATGCCTGAGATGTGACTACCCGTATGCCTGAGATGTGACTACCCGTATGCCTGAGATGTGACTACCCGTATGCCCTTATGTGACTACTCGTATGCCCTTATGTGACTACCCGTATGCCTGAGGTGTGACTACCCGTATGCCTGAGATGTGACTACCCGTATGCCTGAGATGTGACTACCCGTATGCCTGAGGTTTTTGACTACCCGTATGCCTGAGGTGTGACTACTCGTATGCCCTTATGTGACTACCCGTATGCCTGAGGTTTTTGACTACCCGTATGCCTGAGGTGTGACTACCCGTATGCCTGAGGTGTGACTACCCGTATGCCTGAGGTTTTTTGACTACTCGTATGCCCTTATGTGACTACCCGTATGCCTGAGGTTTTTGACTACTCGTATGCCCTTATGTGACTACCCGTATGCCTGAGATGTGACTACCCGTATGCCCTTATGTGACTACTCGTATGCCCTTATGTGACTACCCGTATGCCTGAGGTTTTTGACTACTCGTATGCCCTTATGTGACTACCCGTATGCCTGAGATGTGACTACCCGTATGCCCTTATGTGACTACCCGTATGCCTGAGATGTGACTACCCGTATGCCTGAGATGTGACTACCCGTATGCCTGAGGTGTGACGACCCGTATGCCTGAGGTGTGACTACCCGTATGCCTGAGGTTTTGACTACCCGTGGCCCGTATGTTTTATACGTCAGGCATACGGGTAGTCACATCTCAGGCATACGGGTAGTCACATAAGGGCATACGAGTAGTCACATAAGGGCATACGAGTAGTCAAAAACCTCAGGCATACGGGTAGTCACACCTCAGGCATACGGGTAGTCACATCTCAGGCATACGGGTAGTCAAAAACCTCAGGCATACGGGTAGTCACACCTCAGGCATACGGGTAGTCACACCTCAGGCATACGGGTAGTCAAAAACCTCAGGCATACGGGTAGTCACACCTCAGGCATACGGGTAGTCAAAAACCTCAGGCATACGGGTAGTCACACCTCAGGCATACGGGTAGTCAAAAACCTCAGGCATACGGGTAGTCACATCTCAGGCATACGGGTAGTCACATCTCAGGCATACGGGTAGTCACATCTCAGGCATACGGGTAGTCACACCTCAGGCATACGGGTAGTCACATAAGGGCATACGAGTAGTCACATAAGGGCATACGGGTAGTCAAAAACCTCAGGCATACGGGTAGTCACACCTCAGGCATACGGGTAGTCACATCTCAGGCATACGGGTAGTCAAAAACCTCAGGCATACGGGTAGTCACACCTCAGGCATACGGGTAGTCACACCTCAGGCATACGGGTAGTCAAAAACCTCAGGCATACGGGTAGTCACATCTCAGGCATACGGGTAGTCACATCTCAGGCATACGGGTAGTCACACCTCAGGCATACGGGTAGTCACACCTCAGGCATACGGGTAGTCAAAAACCTCAGGCATACGGGTAGTCACATAAGGGCATACGAGTAGTCAAAAACCTCAGGCATACGGGTAGTCACATCTCAGGCATACGGGTAGTCACATAAGGGCATACGAGTAGTCACATAAGGGCATACGAGTAGTCAAAAACCTCAGGCATACGGGTAGTCACACCTCAGGCATACGGGTAGTCACACCTCAGGCATACGGGTAGTCAAAAACCTCAGGCATACGGGTAGTCACATCTCAGGCATACGGGTAGTCACATCTCAGGCATACGGGTAGTCACATCTCAGGCATACGGGTAGTCACACCTCAGGCATACGGGTAGTCACATCTCAGGCATACGGGTAGTCACATAAGGGCATACGAGTAGTCAAAAACCTCAGGCATACGGGTAGTCACATCTCAGGCATACGGGTAGTCAAAAACCTCAGGCATACGGGTAGTCACACCTCAGGCATACGGGTAGTCACACCTCAGGCATACGGGTAGTCAAAAACCTCAGGCATACGGGTAGTCACATCTCAGGCATACGGGTAGTCACATCTCAGGCATACGGGTAGTCACACCTCAGGCATACGGGTAGTCACATAAGGGCATACGAGTAGTCACATAAGGGCATACGGGTAGTCAAAAACCTCAGGCATACGGGTAGTCACACCTCAGGCATACGGGTAGTCACATCTCAGGCATACGGGTAGTCAAAAACCTCAGGCATACGGGTAGTCACACCTCAGGCATACGGGTAGTCACACCTCAGGCATACGGGTAGTCAAAAACCTCAGGCATACGGGTAGTCACATCTCAGGCATACGGGTAGTCACATAAGGGCATTGTTGGGAAATTTTCGCACTGCCTTCCTTACATTTAATCACCACTGTCTCTGCCCCTGAAGCTTTCGACTGAGGCTCACCCCCTTCATAGCGATATAATTCTCTATGATTATTTCACATATCAGTCTTCCGTGTCTCCTTCATGTTCAGCCGTTGAGAACTCAGTTTTTCACCTTTAATCGGTCGGTCATTAGTCAGAATTTGCATACAGTATAGCATAAAAACATCCTTGTATTCCCAGATATACTATGTATACTGTTCAGCAACTCTACAAGTTGTTGGATCGACAAAGTTTTTGGCAACTCCTTCTTCCTCTCTTTCGCGAAAGATATAGTCAAGCGGTTTTGGAATGACTTTCTGCAATTCCCAGAGATCGATTTTCTTATATATTGTATGGTAAAAGGAATTCTACATGTATTTTGGAATAATTTCGATTTCAGCATGACTTTTGTCCTTTCGGTGGTGTTTCTTAAAATCGAGCGGTGACTGTATCCGGATCCAACTGACCAACAAAGTATAAATTCCACGCTATGCTACTCTTTCATTTTAATCAACGTCGGCGATCTAGAGAGAGTGTCTCTATTGAACAATATAGAGCCTAAGAGAATTGTTCATGCGCCTTGAAGGCATAATTTCACTCGTTTTTTGATCAATTTATTGGCTTTGTGATTTTGTCACCCTATGAGAAGGTTTCTTTCTTGAGTGGCAAACTACATGCGTTTTTATGCTCGGCTTTTTGATCGACTGTATCCCATATATTTTTACTCTGGCCAATGTCTTGCAGCTTGCGTTCGGGTATCTTGTCATGATTCCGTGGTGGATACACATTAAACTATGAATCTGTTTTATGGTATCGTCTTCCGCGTGTGCTTGTCTCAATTTCAGGCCAGAGGAGCATTCCATGACAATTCTTTCATGCTGCTTGTCATCCTTGCCTAATCCAGCTACATAACGGATGATGCCACGTTCGCCTGTGAATGGATCAGCCGTTTGCAACGTATGTTGATGCAACTGCACTTCACACAAACTAAAATCCACAAAGCCACACTGGTTGCCAAATGCCTGGAATATCGGTACGATATGTTTGATCCAGAAAGTGCGTTCATGGTCAATTCATACGCTGCTTGTCGACTGCGCAATTATTCCAGTAATTTGTCAGCATGCACTGCATCGCTTTGATAAATTTCGTTTGGTGGGCTTTATCGGGTTGCTCCGGATACTGGAAATTCCACAGGTATCTTGGTAATAGATCAAAGGGCTGTTTGAGAGCCTCGAACAAAAAGTCGAATGCCATCGGAATTCTGATTTGATCACTTTCCGTTTCAACGCATCGTCCTTTGACGCTTCAATTTGTGCTTGTTGCGATACTGATAGTTGCGGATTAGAAGACGTTGCAATTGTAATCACCGAGCTGAACTTTGGATAATAGGGAATAGAAGGCGAATTGGTGATAGACTATTTGCGAAGGTTGGAGTGGCGTACCTTAATACCACGTTGCTGTTATTCATGATAGCGATACTGTCTATTGTTGTCGGATCATCTTCGTTTGTGATTTTGTTTTTTTATCTCCTGTTGGCTGCGGAGGTTGTTTGCAAGTGAGAGTTTTCCATATGTCGGCGCAGTTCATCAATAGTGTCATGAGGAAACCAACAGGAAGGACAAGCGTAAGAATGGGGATTGACTTGGTGTTGTGAGCTGTTACGTATTGCACGTAGACATATTCGGGATTCAAAGGACGTCTTTGCTTTCGCAAACGTGAGGGGAATGAAAGATCATGACATTTGAAAAAGTGTTGAATTAACTATAACGCTTCGGCATAGTTACGGTCACTACAAACATAACACATATTCTTCAAGACAACCGTAGTCATGGAAGCACGAGTGTGTGTGTGTGTGATTGATAAAAAAAATTCACTCTTCGCCCTTTTCGCCCTCTTCGCCCGAGCGTCGCATTCCCAAACTCACATGAATTTGGTGTTTCAATCTGATGCTTGTACATAATAACTGCGTAGTTTATGGTGATAGAGTTTTATACAAAAAGAGTTGTTTTATTCACGCTGTCTGCATAGAGGTCTGCAATGATGTTCTTACTGTTGCGACAGACAGAGTCTGGAATATCTCTGCAGCAACATTCATTGCACTTCTGGTTCTTTCAGCATCATTCAAGTTTATATGATTTTCCAAGTAGGATAAATCCTGTCTGTTATGATATAAAGTAACCATGGCACTGACTGCTTGAGAAACTGTGTGATTCGCTCGATCGTAATCGTGTTCGGCGTGGTCGATTTGAGGGTTATTCGGAATAGTGACTGCATTCTGTTCGCTTGAGAGCACGTTGGAGAAGACGAAGCTGTTGTTTCGTAAATGCAACAAATGCATGTGCTTACACGGCTGTCGATTCCTCTGATAATAATAGAAGCTATGTGATTGTATGGTGCTGCTTTCAATAACATGGACTGAGTACGACAGGTGATCATTGCAGAACGACTACACAAGGTAAGCACCAGGTTCATCGGCGATAGATACAAGCGCCTCAGTTTCATCACCCTCGACAGCGATTGACACTGCAGTAATCATGGCGTCTCTGGTTCCTGCGGGAATTGCTGCAGCAGCAAGCTCCACACGTATCCTCTCTCTTTCGCCCCTCGTCATTGCACCACTATTCTGGGTTATCCTTCTGCGCTCCAAAACCAGATCACCTTCAACTTCGTGTGTCAAGACGTAAATCAGACTGGCCAGGCGCTGATTCCTATTTCGTAGTAGGTAGACAGATTTCAGCTGGTTGTGCCACGATTCGATGTAGTTGTTGGTTAACATGTGGCTAACTCAAGTGGGTGGTATGCCTTGCTCCAGAACTGACACTTCCTCTCGGAACGCCATTCCTTCCAAAGTAAGTCAGAAAATCGCTGTGCTCAGAGTACGTATGCAAGAATGTTTCGATCTTCCTATGGAACGCGTCTATGTTTTCTTCGTAAATGATCGATTTTAGAGCTGTCATGATCTCTCCTCTGGTGACGCGGTTGTCTCCCGCGGTAGATCCAGGTTTAATTTTTTGATTCAGTTGTCTACCCCATGCTTGGGATACATGAAATAAACGATATTGGATATTGCACCCAGGGAAACCATTTTGGGAAGTGCCGGTTTCAGCATCACCGCAATCGATGGTGAATTGTTGAGGACTCACGATAAGACCACAGTTGCGAAGAAATAAAAGCCATTGTGTACTCGAGCCACAACAACATCCGAGCTGAATGGCGTGGCTGTTTGCGGATACAAGCATGGCCAAATTAGAAGAGACGACGGCGTGATATGAACGACTGACGTACAATTTCATGGACGGAATATGCGGCGTATCTTGAAAGGCATTGTTATGCATCTGATCAGCCATTGCCTATTCAACGACTAAGGCTGCCTATCGAGATTCCAAATTAATGATACGGTATCTGTCTGTTCTCCCGTCGTGTACTTGCTCCAGGTGTTCAACGGAGGATCGGTCATGTGAGTAAGACTCACCGACGGGTTTGTCTGTGTCACCTTGTATACACTTCATCGCCGGTACGGTGGCCTGACGTTTTCACCGTACACTCACGAAAAGCGAGAAATACGGTTTTCAAGACCTTTACTAAAGAATGTAATCGGTTCAAGCAAAGACTTCACGTCAATTCTTTTGTCTCTGGTTTTCATTTAGGCATATTCAACGTAGTTTGGATGATAGTGCGTCACTGCCTCGTAATCTAAATCTGCTCAATGTGCTCAAGAACACGGTATCCATCTACGACCAATCCACCAGTTACTCACGAAATCGGATCGTCCAAAACGTCTATTAAATTGTCGTGGAAAACAAGGTGAATCAACTAGTGTCCATGATTCTACGCGATGCGGCCAAGTTCGGATTCCAGACATTGTACTAGGAAAACAAGCCCATCGTGTGCTTTGTATCGTCGGACGACTTGTCTTTTCAACGTAACGCCAGTTTCATCCGTCAATGGATTAGCATTTCCGGCATACCTTGGTGATAGCCCAGGCCGTTTCACAGTGGCAACCTTCCTGGTAAATGCAGCGACGAGGTAAAAATGGCGAGGAAATACTGCTGCCGGAACAATATACCATGCGAGATGTGGTTCGTCAAGCGGAGAATCAGATTGATACCATGATTGCACAGGTACCAAAACAACCGTAAGAACAATCAGTCGAAGAAGAAGTACAGCTGCATAATATGGAATTGAGCACACAGGATAATATGCCATGAAAAGGAAATAGGGATACACGAAGACTCGACTTCTCATCATCTGCATCACATCCATAAAATACAATTGCATACCGTGCCTAATATCATAACTGGAAATGGGATAGAATCTCTCCTTCTTTGATAAATGAAAATAAATGACCACATAGTTATTTTTTTAATTTTTTTTCGCGTCTGCTACTACAATTCTCCAGATTTTTTGAAGCAGTATTCATATAATCCACTTTTTGGGGAGGTTTGATTCGTATGCGTGGTGTTCATATCTTCGTGGGCGGGAAACTCTATCTAATGAAATAATCATCTGTACCATGGCCTTGTTGGGTGTACCCCATGTCGAGCCTTCGTTACGTCACATTCAATCTTAGTATTGTCATAGCAGCCCGGAAATCTGGGTAATCGCAAAAAGTACACTATGATACATCTAAAATAACTTTGTTCGAAACCAATATAGATTGCAAAACAATAAAAACTCTTGCATTGAAGCTTGATCGAGAAACTGCAGGAAACCCGTGATGATGGTATCTTTGTCGCACCGACATTTTAGACACAGACCTGAGGTGGACATCCAAAACATTTGAAGGAACGGGCATATTATCATTTTGTATTCATCTTTTTAAATGTTGTACTAGTTTTCTTTTTTTAATGGAAACATCCGGCGTTTACAAAAATGATGTTAATATGAGTAGCACAGTAATCATTCTTTCCCTGACAAATTTATATACGATCAAGTGCGGTATCTATCCTGTTTTATCTCTCAACACACCTGAGTAAAGTCAACCGAACAGTTATGTACATTTACTGTCATGGAGATAACTGGATATCACTCACGACAACAACATGCGAAACCTGATAGTCGATTTGGCTTGTAATGTCAATGCGCAGAGTTGACTGTAATAATGTCCTTGTGTTGAAATTAACAGAACAATCGTAAGAGCAACTTAAGAAAGTTATTGTCTTATGCAAGAGTATGATCGGGCACATACTATTATAAGATCAGTTACTATAACATTAAGCAAACATAATTGTTTGTGACAAAGGCTCATACGGAAACATGTGCTGATATTCCTGGGACAGCAGAAGCGGAGATCTGGCATAACCGGTTGATCACGCTACGTTGTCCAAGACGAAGCACATCGAGTCGCATCATCGGCGGCAGTCCTTTCAGAGGTATTTTCCGTTGGCTGTAAGGCAGCATGCTGCATAATATATTCAGTTGTGGTTAGTTCATTATATGAACAAATACTTATGCATAGATCATATGATACAGTTTTTTACTCGCTCATTGACAATAAAAAATATCTCTTGGACGATTGCGTTGCATAAGCCTCGTCTCAAAAAATGACAAAAAGCCATTTTGTAACAGGAGCAGCACTTTCTAGCTGCAAATGGTCATAAATACGTACTTTAGCGAGGATAAAAATGGAATAAACCAAAAAAAAAAAGTGCACAATTTGCTGTAATTTTGAGCCCTGCTCAAGGTGGCACAAACCAGCGTCGGCATTTGGGCAGCGGTCACAGTGGAAATGCTTTGTCCTTTTGTTCACTTTTGTACTTTCCCTTTTGGTTCTTTTTGAATCGCTCGACCTTGTCAATCCTGTCCTTCCTTGCAGGTTCTAAGCGCTCGATATTTTGCGTAGCAGAATCGAGCCTATCTCTTTACAGCATCTCCCTCATCCTAGAAACTGCAAATTCCTTTATTCGTTCTCTCTTTCGTCGCTCAGTGTAACGAAAAAGACACAGCGTGGAACCGTCTATCCTTTCGAAGCGTTATCGTTTGGCATTCGTCACTGCATCCAGCAACGCTTAGCGATTATTTTCATTAGACGTCGCCGTTAAACCTTGTATATACATAACAAAAGCAGCGCATGCAATGCAATTAGCGGACACCACCAATCCTCATGCCCTCTTCGCGGAAGCTTCACAACTGCTAGGAAAAGGACAGACCAAAGTACGTCAAGGGAAAAAGAAGGGGAAAAATTACTCCACTGTGTTAACATGTCTACGAGGATAATAACCGGATCCATTTTCTGTAGGATGCTTACAGCATGTTATTGTCTGTTGTGGAATTATCCAGTCAACAGTTGCAAGAAGTGAAATTCGTCCATCACAGTACGTTGCAAGAAACTAGTCAGTATCCACAACTTTTTGGGGATTTGTTTTGCTAACATGCTTTAATTCATCTTGTAGCGATTGTGTCCAAGCCAGGAGAGTCTGAGTTGTTGTTATCCTTGATGAAATCTAGTCTCCTTCACCTGGAGGACATTGTTGTAAAACAATCATCCAACATTTCCACCACTATCCCAAGTTGTACATTACCTTCCCGCATTGCATCTATACCTAAAACAGCAGTTAGACCTCCCACTCCCACCAACCCTGTCAAAGATACACCACATCCTTCATCCAGAAGCCAATCTCCGATTCTACCTTCAAAAAAACCACCGCCCATTCCTCCCAAACCGACCAATATTCGGAAACCTGCTATTCCTCCCAAACCATCACGCTTACCCTTGGTGGCCTCGCCACCATCCACCATTGATTTGCGCTCTGATCCATCCCCCAAATCCGTGCTTCTCACAACCACGCCTACCCTATCCACTTCTCTTCGGCGTCCCAATCGACACAGAGGAAACTCTGTCAGTTTTGCAGAGCAAACGAGCGATCACGAAATATCCGATGATTGGGATGAAGACTCAGATAACGAGGACGATCGTGATGCTGTGGATGATGAAGATGAAGAAGACGACGATGATGACGAAATTATTGACTTCGAGCAACAACAAAGTAGGATTGGAATGTGTGCTGCTACCCTTTGTCGAATCATCATCATCTAACGCATTTTTTTTTCTCTAGTCAACGTACGTATACCGCCACCTTTGCCTATCACGCAGCGCCGAAATCAGACTCAACCGAGCTTATCGCGTGCACGACCTCATACAATGTCCGAATCCCACTACCCGACCTCCGCTTCTTATGATACCCGTCATTGTTCCCTGATAGAGCCAAATGAAAACCCTGATACCATTCCCAACCTTGATATTTTTGCCGATGCCGTGATTGATCCATCCCGACTGGTGCCTGCTCAAACAAGTACAGGCGATACGCTTGCACTGCCAAGTTCGACTCAAATCACCGACTATGTCCCCAATATTCCTATCCCGCCATTATTGACCACCCATCGTCGTTTGCAACATCGTTTGGATGAGCTGGACACAACACTCAACGAACTCAAATCGACGAAGCGATCATTGGCACTCAGTAATGGACAAAAACGATCGGTTAACCGTCGGAAAGAAGAGGACGAGATCGATGTCAAGATGTTGCAAAAGACCGCGTGCATCGCTGATACTCGCGAAATTTTGAACAAGGTGCGAACGCTCTACATGAGTGCAGCCACTGTGCCGAGTGTCATGCAATTCCCACCGCACTTGGTAGCCTACCAGCTGACGCTGATTGAATCGGCCATTTTCCGCGATATCCCTGCCAACGCATTACTGTCACATTCGGCCAAAACACCGCACCCCAAGATCGTCGCTTCCACGGATTTCTTCAACTACATCACACGTGCAATCGAGCATTCCATTTTGTTACCGCAAGAAGCTTCCCGACGTGCCGAACTGATCAATCGTTGGATCAAGTTGGCATCCAAGTGTTTGGCCCTGAATAACTATCAGACCCTGAAAGCGATCGTTTCTGCTCTAGGAACTCCACCCGTGCAGCGTCTGCGACGAACGTGGGACTGTATTCCAAAGAAACGGATGGGTCGCTTGGAGTTTTTGAACGTGCTGATGTCGGAAACAGACAACTACGGTCGTTACCGAGAACACATGGAACTCGAGAGCAACAAACGGTGGCATAAGCCTGTGGTACCATTTTTGGGAATATTCATTCATGACATGACCTACCTGCTGGTTGCTGCCAAAGGATTGGGCGAAGGTGACGGCAGGGTTCAGGAGTTAATGCAAAAGATCCAAGCTTTTCAAGAGACCCCAGACTACCCTGCGCGACCTCCAACCTCTTACATCAAAGCGTCCACCAAACATTCGTTTCGTCCTACAGCAATTACAAATGCTCTTCATCGCAACTCTTCAGCGAAAAATCGAACCAGCAATCACGCGTTATTTGGTATTGACAGCGACTATCCAGAAAAGGGGATCGAGTTGGAGCAACAGTTGATCACTCAGTACATCCTGATGCGGCCATGGGTCAATGAAAAGATTATTGACGAACTCAGTGTACTTCGTGAACCGCCCAAACCGCGTTCGGGATCCTCGCCCGCATTTTCCAGAGTGAACAGTGTCAACCACAATAGCCCTTTGACTGGAGCCAATGGGAATGGGGGTGGTAGTAATGGAAGCTCGTATGCCAGCTCAATCCTCAGTAACGCAAGTTCAATCGTACGCCTAAGCACCAGTACTCAGAGCTCCTTGCACCTCAGCGCAGATGATCCATCCAACGGAAACGAGGAATCGAAACAGCGTAGCGGATTCTGGCCTTTTAGTCGCAAGAGCTCAGAAATGAATCGTCCGTCTGTTTCCTCTGACATTGATCTCGATCGCCATGCCAGTTCCATATGGAGTGACGACGGTGATGAAGAGGACGATGAACCTGGAGATCATACCAGCGCGGAATTATATCCCCATAGGGTTCCACCTCAGCCGCGTACGTCGCACTCGATTTCGAGCCGTCGTCCAAGCACAACAAAATCTTTATTGGGACATACGCGCAGTTTTTCATTACCATCCAACCGGCCAGCGGTATTGGCCGAAGCAAGTCATTCTTTGAGGGGGAGCAAGCGCGGCTGACAATAACTTCCCTTCCGTCATTCTAGCCAACCATTTTTGTCAAAGGATTAAAATTTTTTGGATATCCTATATTCTTGTTTTATTCTAGTCTTTTTCTTGTTCGTGGTGTTCATTGTTTCTTTTTCTATTGTGAGAGTGTATCTATTTCAAGGCATATGGAACAGGTTTGTTGTTCAAGGCAGCAAGAACATTGTCGACGCACATTTGTCCCATAGTTTCGCGGGTCTCGATAGTGGCACTGCCGATGTGAGGAAGGATGACACAGTTCTTTAACTTGAACAGCTTGTTGTCAAGCGGTAAGGGTTCGGGGGTCATCACGTCCAGACTATCATCAATAACGGTTAGAGCGCAATCCTACCTCTCTCCTAGATTCCCAAGTTATAGCTTACCCAGCACCAGCAATCAAATTATCTTCCAAGGCACGGACTGTTGAATGGAAGTAATGAGCAAAAGAAAAACGGAGGCATCGACTGAATCCATAAACAACCACTTACTGAGGTCATCCTGCTGCACCACAGCACCACGCGAAATATTGACAAAGATCTGCAAAAATATTCGCGCGAGGTTACGATTTTCAAGTCCAAAATATGTTTGATGTAACATTGTGAACAATACTTACCGCATTCTTCTTCATCTTGCTGAAAGCATTATAGTCAAAAAGATCCTTGGTATCGGGGGTCAAAGAACAGCATGTGACGACGTAGTCGGACTCTGCCAACAGATTGTCAAAGGTGGAAAATTCGGCGTTCAATGATTCTTTGAGAGCAGGCTTCTCTTTACGACCCCAATACAAAACGCGGTTGATGCCAAAAGCCTTGAGACGACGAGCTACAGCTTCACCAATGCGTCCCATGCCGACCACACCGAGAGTCTTGTTGGTAAATTGATAACCGCAAAGCCAGTCAGGGCGGAATTCGGTCCACTAATGATAACGCATATATCCTGTTAATCCAAGCATTTTCCCCAAGTTTCCTCCATTCTGATAAAACTCACTTCACCAGTTTCTGCAGCACGGATACCCTAATTTAGAGAAATTAAGGTTGGGATGCTTTAGTAAAATCTTCAAAAGACCAATTCTTCATTTCGATGTACCTGTTTCATATGACGAGCGGCGGCCAAGGTCAACAAGACCGTCAAATCGGCGGTGGCATCGGTCAATACACCGGGAGTGTAACCAATGGTGATATCATTCTTGCGAGCTGTTTCCAAGTCAATGTGATCGAAACCGACACTCATGGTGGTGACAAGCTTCAACTGTGGACCTATCGAGAGTAAAATGTTTAGAGATTTGCATGATTCGGGTACGAGCAAGGGCGATAAATATTACCTGCAGCTTCTAAAATTTCCTTATCAATCTTATCGGACAGCATACAGATCAAGGCTTCGGCACCTGTGGAAAAATCCAAAAAATCATATCAATATCGCTGATCCTTTCAAATTCAACCGTTCGAACTTATTATACCCTTGATTTCCTTCAAAAGAAGGTCACGGGGCATGGATCGTTCTTCGGGCCACTGAACCAAATCCAAGTCCTGAGCTTCAAGACGAGCTTGGCTTTCTGGCAGAAGCTTGCGAGTGGAGACCACCTTGGCTGCCAAAGAAGGAACGGATTGGTGAAATGCACGAACAGGAATCACCTTGCATTGTCTCGAAGTGCGCAAAGCACTACTGGCAGCTCTAATGTTCAGAAGTCTGAATGCATTCATTTTTCTTTTGGGAACAACGAATTGGGAAGCTCTTCAACAAATAGTTCCAATTGTCAATCTATCTCTTAAAATCTACCAATCGGGGCTCACATCACCCAGGAACATGACTGCTAGTCTCCGCGCCGACATTGAATATCTGTCACTTTCAATCCGTTGGGATCAGATATCCCGATTTATATTTGTACTTATTTGGCAGTTTCTCGATCTCGATCAGTTCGATGCAAAAAGCAGCATAGAAATTATGTGTCGTTCCCAAAAATTACCACTTGAACAAAAATACTCAGTCATATGTGCAAATGCATTGTTTGCTCTCTAAGCTAGTTCAGCCGCAGGGACCAAGTGTATCGGATAGCCGATTGGCGAGGGGGGTTAAAGGAAATAGGTCCACTAACCTACATGCCATACCTTTATAAACAGGCTTTCTGCTGCTGGTTTGTAATGGTTGCCAAAGTTGAAACGATCACCATCAACCATAAATTTTGTGGACCTATGCAGGGCGGATGTTTAAATTCGGGGCCCTGCCACTTTCTTTTGGAGATGCAAAGCGCTGTCCCAAAGCCACCTATTATCATTATCGGTTGACCATGGCCAAGCGACATGGAGCACCTTACACGCATTTGAAATACAAGCCTATCCATAAACCGGTGCCTGAAACTCCACCGAGACCTAAACCAAAACTAGGTCCACTCTTGATCGGTGGAGGTATTTTGTATGTGGCGGCCACTTATGTCACGATGGTCGTTTTCCGAAGTCGAGAAGCCGTCAAACACGATCACGATGATCAACCTATTACGCCGAGTTCATTTGACACGAGCGAAGTATGGGAGAGAAATGCGAAAGGCTACGACAAGGAAGTGGGCTGGGATGAAGTCATTATGGGTATCGGACTCATGAGACGATGGCTCGTTGGTCATGCCAAGGTAGCACCACTCAAGATTGTTGCAAAAAACTCGGCAAAGGGTCTCACTAAATATGGTTGATGTAGGGTGATGTGTTGGAGGTATCTGTGGGTACAGGTCGTAACTTTGATTACTATAAAGCCGATCAGATCGATACAGCGACTTTTACAGATCGTCATGAACCCATGTTGAATGAAGCCCGGAGCAAGTTTGAACAATACAAGGAAAAATTCCACAAGACGTTTGTACAGTTCAAGACAGCCAATGTGGATCAGCCGCAAACGATGGACAAAGGCAAATACGATACCGTGATCGATACGTTTGGGTTATGCAGTTGCGCCAACCCTGCCGAGGCACTGGTATCCCTGGCGGATGCTTGTAAATCAGAGGATTCCCGTATCCTTTTGCTGGAGCACGGACGTTCTCACTATGGTTGGCTTAACCGACTGCTGGATACAAACCTGGACAACCATGTGAAACGGTACGGTTGTTGGTGGAATCGCGATGTGATGGGTCTATTTGAAGAAGAGAAAGTCAAAGAAAAACTAGAAATTGAGACGGTTTCTAGATGGCATTTTGGTACCACATGTTATATTGTGGCCAAGCCAAAAAAGAATGCTCATTAAAGCACTGTAAAATATATCATATTTCACCAACATTTGCATGATCTTGTCTTATTTTGCACCATCAAGCCACTTTGGCTTTCAAGGACCGGTATTTCAAATTGGCTGTTCCCATTTTGCGTGTTCCTGCCAATTTTTCGGCCCGATTTTCTTTCATGGTATGACCGATTCTAACGCGAGCTATTCCGTAGCATCAGCCGATCCCCCGTTTCCAGAAAGCGACAATGTCGTTGCCAGCAACCGATCCTCCCAGGATGACTTTCAGGAACCCATTGCCATAGCAGACAACGAAGAACCAAGGAAACGCAAAAGAGAATCGGAAAATCGATCGTCGCCTGAGGACGACGACGAAGCTATTCAATGTTCCATTTGTTGCGAAAACTGGACCAATAACGGAGAACACCAAGTCGTTTCCCTCAAATGCGGCCACTTATTCGGCAAACAGTAAGTGCTTTGTTTACCAAACTATGGCGTAATTTGGCAATCTAAAAATCATGACACCATACAAGTTGTATCAAACGTTGGATCGCGTCAGCAACCAGGAAGTTTGGAAATAATGCAAAAGTAGGCTGTCCTATTTGTATGTACGTATCAAACAAACGCGGAATATATGGCATCTCGGTGAAGATAATGCATCTAATGAATAGGCAGCCAGCGAGGAAGAATGATTTACGTGTGATTTGGCCTACTCGGATAACTGCTTACGATGCGACAGAAATGGAAGCTATCAAGAAGGAATTGGAAGGAACACGATCGCGCGTGGTGGAACTCGAAGTAGAATACGATCGATTACATCTGGCATATCAGCAAGCCATCAGAGCGCTTTCCAAACAAGCAAGCGAACTTGAAGCAAGTCGACTAAAGTAAGCTCACATAGGAAACTGTCAGACGCGTCGTTTTAGAGAAATTAAAAACGATTTCGGATCGGCAGGATCCAATCATCCATCATACCAGACCAGCAACCAGTGGTAAAGATCTTCAAGGATATGCAGGCAGCACAATTATCTGAAGAGGTAAAGCAACAATAAAAAATGCCTGGTTTACGGATTTGTCATTCTGACAAGACCTTTGCATAGCGATCGGTGTCTCGCGTCATGGCGCTGAATATGGCGAGCGAAATTGCCATTGTATCATATATCGGATATGGTGCTCAAAAGATCAGTCTTCGTGATCTTTCCAATACGGAAAGATTATCTATCCATGAATTGCTCGTCCGCGATCTCAAGTGCCGAGGCGACACCGTTCTATCCACTGGCTTGGATAAAACCCTGAAAATGACATCCTTACAGAATAATTGCGTAGTTCAAACGTAAGTGAACAGCTCGGAGCCTCCATCTGAACAAGATATTAAATGATGTATCATCTGTTGTACAGATATCCATTAGAAGCAGCAGGCTGGTCTTGCGACTTTGATACCCAGGATGCGAATCTCGTTTACTGCGGTCTTCAAAACAATGCAGTGCTTGTTTTTGACATCCGCAACACTCGATCGCATTTAGACCGATTGCATAAACCATCCGCAACAGGGAGCGCTCCTTTGCATTCACTCATCAGCTCGTCTATTGACGGTCAACGGACGCTCCTATGCGCAAATCTCACACGGTCTTATTGTTGGCGTTGGAACAGCGATACCACCGAATGGGATTGTCATATGCTCGGTCTCGAACAAGATGGTAGGGTTGACCGGTGTACCAAATTCTTTCTTCCACTGTATTAAAATCGCACATGGTCAATGCAGGTTATAAACCATTCTCACTCTCAAAGAGTGACCAGAATTCGTCTATCCTTGTATCGCTGCGACGTTCTTCTTCAGTGAAACAAGTCGTCGGTCATCTCAACGATCTGTCCTTTGAGACACAGTGGATGTGGGAGGATTCGCAAGAACAAAAAGCACTAGCACGAAGTTTTTATTTTTCACCGTCTGCATGCAGCAGTGATGATTTCATTTGTTATGCTAACGAAAAGGATCAATCGGTAAGAGATAATGTTATCTTGGTTTCGCATAAAATACTCACATGAAGAATTTAGATATCGTTGCGCAATCAAAGCGGTTTGATACAGGCCCTTCCAAGCGGCGGATCAGCGCTGGATATCAAAGGAGCCGTTATAAACAACGAACAGATGTTGGCAACCTTGACAGAGCGCCGATTTCAACTGTTCAAGTACACATAACATTTATTCATCACCATTCCATCCTTGTCTCTCTGTAAATACGTTTCCACTTCCCTACCATTGTCGTTTTTCTTTCATGTAAAATACAACATGCCCACCATAAAAATGCTGTACGTACTTTATTTCAGTTATTAGCTTATTTTGATATGATTACGCTCACACAAGACAAGCTTGTCTCAGCTTGCAATATTGTCAATTGGCGTTGCTGACATTGAAACAGTGCAAAGGGTTGGCGGAGCCTGAAGAACGCCCAAGCTGCGTCTGTTAATTCAAACTGAAACGCTGATAACAGGTCTCCACTTGCTCTCTTTTCATTCATGGAATCGGATATTCGAGAATCCAATGTCGCCGCAGAGAAATCGTTACCCGACCTTCCTGGTAGCAATGAGGACTTGCCGTCATCTATGAAAGAGCAAGAGCAGGATAGCAAGATATCGCCCAGTAACACGAACTCGACCGCGCCTGCTCTCCAAGTACTCGATTGGTTGTTTCAAGGTTCACCTACTACCGAAGAGACGGGCATTGATGTATTTATTCTCTACGTTTATTCCATGATTGCCTATTGCGTAAAGCTGAGTTAATCATATACAGACACATGCCGGGATGTCCAGTCATTCGGAAGATGAGGACGACGATGACGATGATGATGATTTGGACTTTTACAAGATGACCTTGGACGAAGTCGATGGTATGTGACGATGCGAGACATGTTGGGAAAAAGTTGGCATCGAAGGGTTTACAGTAAGAAGACAGGATATCTGCGTTCAAGGAAGACGAATTTGTCAGTCAGGCTTTGGAAAATGGCATGGATTTGCGTGAATATGCCCTTCAGATTGAAAAGGAACGAGCATCGGTGCAAAAGCAACTGGAGAACGACTGTAAGTTTTATCGTTGGTAATATTGCCTTGCTTAAACATATTGACATGGATGGTAGACGTTGCAAGGACACAAACCTTTGTGGATCTGCATGCTGAGATTGAGGTAATTTGCCATTCATGGGTCGGATGCAGGTACGGTGTACTGATGTTGCAAATGGTCCTAGTCGTGCGATCAAGTATTAGAGCGCATGGAAGAACTTCTCAACGTTTTCCAAAGTGATCTGGGAAATATCAGTGGAGAAATTCAAAGTTTGCAAACGCGATCCTCCGAAATGAGTATACGCTTAAAGAATCGGAAGGTATTTTCAAAGAGCAGGGTAGCGATGATTTCACAACGGCGCAGTATTGGATACTGAAGGAAAAAGACAATAGGCTGTTGAGGCTCGGCTTGGGAAATCATTGCGGGCGATGGTAATCCCCCCTTTTGTCATCAAGTAAGCAAGCTATAAGCTATGAATGTCGTCCATCCAATTAACCAGCTGCTTTAGGAAAATTACAGAAAGCGACGTGGACGAAGTGTGGCTACAATATCTTTTGGGTATCAACAAACAGATGCGATTTGTGAAAGCCAACCAAAATCGCCCGATCAAAGCCTTACGCAACGTTGGCCCTGAACTGGAAAAATTACGCTTGAAGGCGGCCGCCACCATTCGAAATTTCTTTGTTCAACGTATCCATTCCCTGTGTGTTCCGAATGCCAATATACAAATCATGCAACAATCCCTTTTTTTAAAATACAAGGCGCTGCACCAGTTTGTGCTTGAACGACACCACGAGGCTGCCATGGAAATTCGACAGACGTACATCAATTCACTGAGGTGGTATTTCCATAATCATTTCGAACGATACAGTAGAGGCTTGTCCAAGCTCCAGGTGGGTGAATTTTTCAACCAGTGTATTCTGGAATCTCGCCCTATAGATTACTGATATCATTGTCTATCAGACTGTGGCAGCTGATAAAACTGATCTGATTGGCACGGATGCAAATATACGCAAAGGTAACGGCGGATGATCGCAAGTGTATCGGAAGCCGGACATGTCATGCTGATATTTATCTTGGGTTTTTAGGACTGTTCACCAGCAGCAAGGTTGCTTTAAAAGATAAAAACAATCTTTTCGCTCTGGAGTCTCGTATCGATGCTTTGCGCATGCAAGATTCGGGTGTCATCTTGGTTCATGTAGCTGAAGATAAGGAACAGGTAGGTGATTACAAATGCACAGATTGCTTTCGCAAATTATTGAGACATTTTTGATTGCAGCGCTATCAGTTTGAACAGTTATTCAGAAGCTTCAATTTAACATTGATTGACAACGCCAGTTCAGAGTATCTATTTATCTGTGAATTCTTTTCCAAAGACCCAAAGACATCGGCCGACGTAACCAAAACCATTTTCCAAGCCATCTTTGAGCCCACGGAAAAAGTAGGCATTGTAAGTATTGCACGCCATCTCGGAAAAGCTTCGTAGTATTCACCCATGGGTTTACGGCGGTTTTCTAGAACTTCACAAAAGCTTACGTTGAAAACTCGTTTGATGCAGTGGGAATCCTACTCTGTATTCGAATCAACACACAGCTTGCGCTTGAACTTCAACGAAGGCGGGTGCCAGCGTTGGAAGGTTATACCAATTCAACAAATATGCTTTTGTGGCCTCGCTTCCAGACGATCATGACATTACATATTGAAAGTATACGTAAGATGGCGAATAACAAATCGGCCATCAACAGCGTCAAAGACATACACCCTCATTATGTAAGCCGATCGATCCAGTCTCTCTGACTTGTAACCTAACTAAAAACAACCTCTTTTATTGCCAGGTTACAAGACGTTATGCAGAGTTTGCTGCGTCATTGCTTGTGCTCAATGAAGACTATGACGATCCTATTCTCACCAACAGGTAAGTCTGTCAGCTGTCAGCAAGGGATACGTCATACTGATCAAAAAGTTTGGTTTTAGTGTTCATAAATTGCGAAATGAGATTGAAGGCCTTCTTTTCCGTATATCCAACGAATTTAGTGAACCATCACGTCGGATAGCGTTCCTTATCAATAATTATGATTTAATTAGCTCAGTGTTTCAGGTAATTACCATCTTCAGTTAACGTGGGTTGGCAATCTTTCCTTCCTCCATACTGACCAATGATACAGGAAGCACACAGTCGTGCTCTGGAAAGCGAGATGGACCATGTAAAGCAGATGCTGAATTTGCAAATCAGTGCATTTGTGGATGAACAACTAAAGCCATACTTTGGCTCTCTTATCGACTGTGTGAAGCGCGCCGAGAAGAATCGTGCCTCCGTAGATCAAGGTAACTTTTATTGGTTTCTGCATAACTAGCAGGGTCTGACTATCGAGGTGTTTAGGGGAATTGGAGAGAGTATGTGCCAGTTTTGCACAGACATGGCGACAGTCATTGACAGGCATCAACGCATCGGTGATCCAATACTTTTCAAATTTCAAAAACGGGACGACGGTGCTGCATGCGGTGCTGGGTCAACTGATCGTCTATTATACGAAATTTCTAGACATGTTGGAGGATGCAAAAATCATTAACAAGGTGCAACCCGTAGGCGTGCAAACGGTGATGGTGGAAATCAAGAAATTCCGAAGCACATTCTAAAACAATAAGAATATCGTTCACCAAGTATCATATGCATCCATTGACAATTGATAGATGTGTGATCCATACACTTAGCATATAAATTTAATAAAGAATATCATAGTGACCTAACAGATTTTTAACGCCAATGTGAGAAATTGGTTTCTTTTTAGAGTTGTTGCAAACCAAAGTTTACCTGGTCTATAAATGAGTCGTAGTGGGTTCACCTTTTCTGTCTTTGTGTTGCTAGGCCAGAATTCATGAACAGCGGCGACATCGTCGTTGCTTCCATCAAGATAAATGACCTGGACTGGGATATTGAGAGCGTTGCTCAAGGCGGTGATCTGCAAGTGATCGGATTCTCGACCAAACGCTTCGACGTGCATGGCGCAGAATTCCTCAATAGAGATCATTTCCACGACCAGAAATGGTTCATATTCGTCTGCATGCATACGCAGATAAGCCGAGGTAACAAACCGAAGGTGCATCACAATGGCATTACTGATTTCTTCTGACTGGAAATTGGCAAGAAGAAGATCCGTATCCCCTTGCCACTGTGGTAATTGCTGAAACTGTTCGAGAGTCACGTCGTAAAAGTCCTCGTAGGCCAGTTTTTGAAATCCTGCCATTTCCAATAGATCGGTGGTCGATTTGAGTGTGGCCAGATTGGTGACATACTCGGATCGCTTTTGTAGCACACTTTCGAACCACGCAAATGCAAAAGCTATTTCCACGACACGTTTATGCAAGCGAACATTGGCCCAACTGTATGCGTACCATTACCTCGAAAGAAACAGTTGCCTGTATCATCATAAGAGAAACGCATTTAATTATTAAGCAGCCATTTTATGAAAAAGTCGCAAGTGCTAGAGGAAACACATACCATCGCCACGACACTTTCTTATCTTTTGGTGATCTCCGTTCAGGTTCTGTTGCAGCAATAGGGTGCACCGTCAGTCTAACATATTTTATTGCGGGAACCGGCAACCACAGCGCCGGGGTTTTTTTTTACCTTGACTTTTCGGAGAAAAGGTTCGTTATCCTTGTATTCTTCCTCTAAATGGGAGAGCGGCTCTGCTTGACATACAAGCGGAATCTAAACAGGATGCTTAACGCCAGACATTTTTTCGATTCAGTAAAAGATAGTCGGTGACTTACCCGTTGAGCTTCTTCATCTTTAATACGTTGTTCAAATTGCAGAATCTGTTCGTCTGTTAATTCAGGCTCTTGACGTTGTTCGGTGGACATGACGCAGGTAAAACGGGTGAGAAGGCAGCTTACGCCGCTTGCCACATGCTTATCTACGGACAGTCACAGGAACTCAAATTTCGGGCTGCATCACGCTTGAACCTTGCTGCCTCGCTACTCATGGTCGACGACAAGGAAACACTATCTACTGCGGATGACTTTGCCAACTATGTAAGCCGAATACGACCTTTTCAAACAGTGCATTGTCCTTCTTACAAATTTGTTGTTTAATTATTAGATTGACTCGGTCATTGGGCAACTGGTAACATTACTAACAACATTTTCTCGAACGGTTTGCTTACTCATTTCTTCCGTTCTTGTAACTAGCAATCAAAAATGGATGGCGTATCAAAGCAGATGAACGAAAAATGTAGGTATTTCACCATAACACCGTCCTTCTATCGTTGGTCAAGACAGGAAAGCGCTCTGGATTGGGTTACTGATAATCTCCCCTCCCCTTCCTTTTTTATTTTTATCTAGTTGATAGTATGAATACACGAATCGATGAATTGGAACGAACATTGAAGGATGTACTGAAACAGGCGGAAGAGTCACAATCAAATCACACTGCAGAGATACCAAACAAACAGGAATAAACCCTTCAGAAAAAAACAGCATGTGAAGACTTTCTTTTTCAAACAAAAAATCAAGATAGAAACCATCTTTCATGCTTTTATTGTGTATATCTATTCCTGAGGCAATGACCTCAAGGTACTTAGTTGTCGGAGAAGATCCATTGAGCGTTGGCAGCTTCCCATTCAATGAGTTCACCAGCCTTGCCGAACCACAAACCGATTTCCTTTTCAGCGGACTCGTAAGAGTCGGAACCGTGGATGATGTTGCGGCCAACAGAGATACAGTATTGACCACGAATGCTACCGGGACCAGCCTCAAGAGGGTTGGTGGCGCCGATCATGGAACGGCCCTGACGGATGACATCCTTGCCTTCCCAGACCATAGCAATAACGGGAGCCTTGCCGTTGGTCATGTAGTCAACGAGACCACCGAAGAAAGGACGGCCCTTAAGATCAGCATAGTGCTGTTCAGCCAAATCCTTGGAGGGAACGACGGCCTTCAAACCGACGAGCTTGTAGCCACGTTCTTCGAAACGGTTGATGATCTTACCGACCAAACCGCGCTGGACACCATCAGGCTATTCATAACAACAAGAGACCATTAGTTTCCATGTTCTGTTTTTCATAACCATGCTTTCACCGATTTTTACCTTGACAGCAATGAAAGTACGTTCGTTGGCACCACCCCTACAAGGTTCAAAAAGAGAACGAGACTGCTTAGTACAAATGCCTCACCAAAGAAACTCTGGTGTGTCAAAGAGTGCAAGTGCTTACTTGACACCGGCAATAGGCTTGGCATCAGCGTGGATGGGGCTTTGGACGTCTGTAAAATGAAGAAACCGATATCAATATATAATGACAAGAGAAAAACATGAGTGGATCATGATTACATACTCTGGAAGTAAGCATAAGAAGCAGCACCGGCAGCAACGGCACCAGCGGTGGCGAAAGCAGCCATGCGGCTACCAGCGGCAGCAGTAGCGCGGCTGGCGGTAGCAAAGCCACGGGCTATAAAATTTAAGGAGAAAATTAACACAAAAAAAATTTGGGATGAGAATCCGGCTATTCACCCTTGATGGAGGCAGCGGCGGGTCTAGCTGTGGACAAAAAGTTGACGCGTTAAAAAAGACATAAACACACAGGAAAAGCATTGATTTTCACTTACCAATACGGGCAACAGAACGAGCGAACATCTTTTTAGGTGGAGAAAGAAGAATAGGACCGCTGTCCGTGCCTTTGGCGGTTTATATATAAAAACACGTATTTGTACTCCGAGCGAGGTTGACATCACAACCGGATCGGCTGGGGAACGGGGCCAACGACTCGCCGCTTGAAAAAAAGTTGGCGTCTTTTACCTTAATGGTAAGTAAGTTGATCCTGAAGTGAATTGCCGGCACACCAAGCTAGAATCCGATTTTTATCAAGCGCGGAACAAACGGGGGACATCCATTAAACCTGTGGTAGGTAAAAAAAAAAGTGTCAAAAATCGCATCACAACATGCCTCGCATTCGGTGCACTTTTTAATCTCAGCAAAGGCTGTTGCGATATCAATAAGTGAAAAGACAAAAAAAGTCAACAGCCACACTTTGCAGCAAGAAGGCAAGTATTGGCAGGAAGTCAAATCAAGAGTTTTTCCGTCAATAACCAATCGCAAAGAGATCATATTAATCGGAAAAAAAGAAAAAAAAAAGCCAGAGTTATATTACTATGACAACTGTAGAACAAGTCCAATTTCATGAGGTTCAAAATATGATTGCTACTCATTACCAAACATCTGCTAGCAAACCTGCATGATGCAAATAGAGTTTCAAAAAATAGAGAACACAAGGAAAGCAGGAACTGTTCTGTTTTGCAGGCAGGAGCAGAAACGGAACAAATAATACACATTTTACTCGTTTCGCTGGGCTGGAAAAGCAAAAGATTTTGCACAAAAACCAACCAAAAGTTTTGCTGAACTTTAAAATGAGAGGCTTAGCTTTGTCGATGGACTACTTTTTTTTGTCTTTTTAAAGCAGCTTGTTCCTGCCACCAATTTCCCTTTCCTTAAACTTTTTTTTTCTTTCTTCACAAGATGTCTGTCGAATACGAAGGTGCTATTGGTATTGATTTGGGTACTACGTAAGTATACAACTTCATTGAAAGTCATGATGGCTTTTATTTTTGGTTTCGGTATAAGGTGGCATCAAACTGACGGTTTGAATGAATCATATGATAGCTACTCCTGTGTCGGTGTGTGGGAGTCTGAGCGTGTTGAAATCATTGCCAACGAACAGGGTAACCGCACTACTCCTTCCTACGTTGCTTTCTCCGATAGCGAACGTTTGGTCGGTGATGCTGCCAAGAATCAGGCTGCTATGAACCCCAAGAACACCGTATTCGATGCCAAGCGTCTTATCGGTCGTCGTTTCGATGATGCCGATGTCAAGGCTGATATGAAGAACTGGCCTTTCACTGTGGTCGAGCAGAATGAAAACCCTTTCATTCAGGTCGAATTCGAAGGTGAAACCAAGACCTACTCTCCTCAAGGTAAACTATTTGCTTCGAAAATTTTTTGATTGGATGGCTCCAGAGGAACTTCTTGACTAAATAGAGTAATGTGACTGTAGAAATCTCCTCCATGGTGTTGATCAAGATGAAGGAAATCGCTGAAGCCAAGCTCGGCAAGAAGGTCACCAAGGCTGTGGTCACCGTTCCCGCTTACTTCAACGACTCTCAGCGTCAGGCTACCAAGGACGCTGGTGTCATTGCTGGTCTCGATGTCCTCCGTATCATCAACGAGCCTACTGCTGCTGCTATTGCTTACGGTTTGGATGCCAACGACAAGAAGGAACGCAATGTCCTCATCTTCGATTTGGGTGGAGGTACCTTTGATGTGTCCCTCTTGACCATCTCTGGTGGTGTTTTTGCCGTCAAGGCCACCGCTGGTAACACTCACTTGGGTGGTGAAGATTTCGATAACACCTTGGTCAACCACTTTGTCCAGGAAATCAAGCGCAAGCACAAGAAAGATATCTCTGATGATGCCCGTGCTCTCCGTCGTCTTCGCTCGGCTTCCGAACGTGCCAAGCGTACCTTGTCTTCCTTGACTCAGACCACCGTTGAAGTTGATTCCCTCTTTGAAGGTGTTGACTTCCAGTCCAACATCACTCGTGCCAAGTTTGAAGAGATCAACTCAGTCGCTTTCCAGAACACCGTCGAACCCGTTGAACGTGTGTTGAAAGATGCCAAGATCGATAAGAAGGAAGTCGATGAAATTGTCCTTGTTGGTGGTTCCACCCGTATTCCCAAGATCCAGTCTCTTCTTCAGGATCTATTCAACGGCAAGGAATTGAACAAGTCCATCAACCCCGATGAGGCTGTCGCTTACGGTGCCGCTGTCCAAGCTGCTGTGCTCACTAACCAAGCCGGTAATGAAAAGACCCAAGATCTCTTGTTGTTGGATGTTGTCCCTCTTTCTCTCGGTGTTGAGATGCAAGGTGGTATCATGGCCGTGGTTGTTCCCCGTAACAGCCCCATTCCCTGCCAGAAGACCAAGGTGTTCACCACTGCTTCCGATAACCAGACCACCGTTACTTTCCCTGTCTACGAAGGTGAACGTTTGATGACTAAGGAAAACAACATGCTCGGTGAATTCTCTTTGAACGGTCTCATTCCCGCTCCCCGTGGTACTCCCGAACTCATGTGTACTTTCGATTTGGATGCCAACGGTATCTTGAAGGTCACTGCCCAAGATAAGACCACTGGTCGCAAGGCTGATGTCACCATCTCCAACTCGACTCGTCTTTCCGCTGCCGATATTGAACGCATGGTCCAGGATGCTGCCAAGAACGCCGAAAGCGACAAGCAGCGTGAAGCCGTTGTTCAGGCCAAGCAAGATCTTGAAGCTTACGTTTACCAGGTTGAGAACAACGTCTCCGATCCTAATGTTAACATGAAGATCCGTCGTGGTGACCGTGAAGCTATCGAGACCGCTCTCGCTGAAGCCATGGAATTGATGGATATCTCCGCTGAAGATACCACTGTCGATGACTTGAAGAGTGCTCAGACCAAGCTCAAGCGTGCTGCTACCCGTGCCTTTGCTCATGTCTACTCTCAGCGTCGTTAAGACAAAAAGACAGACTCGATGCAATTAATTCTCTCTTCATTATTTTTTGCATTCCCAAATATTACATTTTTCTCTGCATTTTGTATAGTCAGCTTATTGCTTTCCTCTTTTCAAACTCTTTCTTTATTCTATCCTGTAAGGAATTGTTGTTTTCATAAATCCATTTTACTCATTTGTGAAAAAATCAAAGCAAAAATATAAATCTTGTTTTCACAAAACAATAACACATGGATCGATTTTTTCATCATGTATCTTTGAAAAAGTCGATTTTAAAATTTTGTCGGAATGATTGACTTTTGAATAAAACACCTGCAGATCAGTTTTTTAGAAGAGAAAAGAAAAATGGAGAACAAAGAACGGATAGGATCAAAGAAAGGAGCAATGAATAAGAAAAAATAAAGATGGATTGTTGTTATACGATGAAAATTGGAATTGAAGTAGTACAAGATATGATACATTTCTAAAACTTTACACTGCGAGCCACATTGGTCTTGATACCTGTGGTTTCGCCACCATAATTGCCTTGCAAAGGTTTGACCACTTGTCGGACAGAAGACAGTTTCTTGAGTCTCGATTCGTATCGGTTGCGATGCTTGACACGCGCGTTGCGGTTCTCCTTCTTGCGATGCGGTGTAAGACCCTTGTTCTTGAGGATCTGATAGCTCGCAAGACGTTTCTCGCCATCTTCCACCTTGTAGTCGCTATCCATGACTGGCGTGCGCTCGGCTTCATACTGCTCCTTCTTGGCTGCTTTGCGCTCCGATTTCGTGGATGCTACCTGATTATAGTAATCGTCACCGTCGTCATCGTTGCTTCCTACTCGGTCAATATCGGCAGCCACCATTTCATCGGCTTCATCCCAGTCAGCTTCGTCCAAATCAGCCGATGTATCCTTTGGCTGAGGAACGCCCTTCTTCTCTCGTGGTTGACGCTCGCGATACGGCAGATCAGAATCGCCGTGGTATTTAGATTGCAATTTGGCTTGTTTCTACGATCAAGTAATTCGCATCAGTAAGGCCGTTTACACATAAAACCTCGACTCGAATCACTTACGGCATCAATTTTAGCGACATAGTCTCGAATGGATCGCTTCTTAGCAATCTTATCTTCCATATCCACCATATCCAGTGCATCCAGTTCGCCAAAGTCATCAGCAAAGGCCCGCTTTCTTTTCTTGCCTGCTTTGGCCGCCTTCTTCAGACTCTTGAACTCTTCTTCGATATCGAGAACAGCGCTTGAAGCGTCTTCAGCTGCTTCTTCCTCCAAATCGAGCAAATCGTCCTCGTCATCGCTGTAGGATACCGCTGCCGCTGCTGACGGCTGTGTCTTTTTAGATTTCTTGGTCCGTTGCTTTGATGGCTCAGGGATAACCTCGGTTTTATCGATAGCGGGCGCGTCAAGAGTAGCAATGAAATCATCTAGTCGTGATCCAAGCTTCTTTTCCACCTTTTCCAACTTATCCAGCGTCATGCGTAACTCCACTAATGCCTGAATCACAGGATGGCCACGCACATCTCGAACATCGGATGCTTTCAACACAAAGTAGAATGATACGTTTGTCAAATAGACCATCATGATATCTACCCAAAAATAAATCGATCAGTCAACTGCCATCAAGATGTAGGGGCAAAAAGAAGAAAAACGTACGATTTTTGAACAGGATGAATTGCGCTTCCAGTGAATCTTGTTGTTCATGAGCTTTAATCTTTGTAATGGTATCTTCCAATGACTTGCAGATTTCCGATTTCAACTTGAACTCGTTCAATAAATCCAGTAATTCAGGAGATTCATTCTGCAAGATTTTAATCTTTTCAGCGACCGGTAAGTTCTTTCGTCGCTTTTCCGTTTTGATGACGCTACAAAACAAACGGTGAATCAGACTTCCTGTGTCTTTTGATGATGGGGAATCTCATCACTTACTCAAAGTTAATATCGTCCAAATCCTTATTAACGTCTTCTACCAACTTTCGGTCGGCTTCGGCATCCTACAGGAGCAAATCATATCAGTGACTTTCACTTCATGTAGAGTCCACCAAGGACACTTACTTGATCAGCACCCGCACCCCATCCGGCCATGGTATCATCCATAAAATCAGCTTCGTCCATTGCATTCAAACGCTCCTTTTGAATTCGAAGTGCCTCTGCTTCCTCTTCTTGCATCTCATCCAGATCCGAGCCTTCATCGGCGTTGTAGTAAGCCTTCTTTGATCGACCCCATGTTTTGTCTAAACACAATCGAGTAAGCAACAATGTTAGTTATTGTTTTTAACAGCAATCAACTCAACATACCTTCTACTTCGGCCTCTTCTTCTTGATCGCCGCCGATAATCTCGTCATCTGACAATTCTTGTTCTTCTTCCTCTTCAGAGTCAAGACCTTCCAATCCGTACACTTCCTCTTCGCTCAAATCGTAATCATCTTGAGCATTGCGATCGTTCTCGAGAAGGATATTTCCACGTTCCTCGTGAACTATGTAAAAAGGAGTATCAGTACTCAAAATGTCAAAAGGCAGAGCAATAGTAGATCAGCTACATTCATCTTCGGAATCGTGCTCGATATCGTCCCAAGTACGAATGGCCTTGATCTTATCGCCTTGTCGAGGATCGGCGCTTTTGGCCTTTGCGTCACGAAACACTGCGGTTTTCTTCTTGCCCATCGATAGAAGAAGAGATGATATGCAAATAGGTGGATGAAAAAAAGCTACTGCCGGAAAGCTGCACAAAAGGGCGCTTGAATTTTTTGCGTGGCTTGTGCCCGGCTGCTGAGCGCAGCCCTGCCCGACAAATGAAGAAGCTTCCTATTTTGGATTAAGTTTTGAACTCAGCTTCATTCAGTTGTTTCACTCATTGCTTGGCTCTTCTGCAACCCACAGTTATCTCTTATTCCCTTTCAATGTTGTATATCCTTGGGTTTGTGCTTTTATTAGCCGTAGGTAGGGTCTGCTTTCAGTATTCGATTATGGAAATAGTATACCAACTTGGTTAATCTAGTGCTCTGGTTCGCTCGCCATCGCATTGCGCACGGTGCCTCACAGCTGGCCAATGCAACCAATCGTCTTTTGGGTTACCGTATCCTGCCAACCCATGAAGGATCGTTTGAAACTGACATTGAAGACGGCTTGACAAGTTCTCAGTTTGACCTCCATGCCAATCTAGCTGATAATGACCATCGTGCAGGACTAAAGGACAAGGAAGAAATTATGAGAATCATGAAAAGGGAAAGAGTCAGCTTTGATCAAGCCCGCCTTTTACGGCAACAGCGATTGCTGAAAAAGAATGCAAGTATAAATGCTGGCTTCACTTTGCGATATGGAAGTTTATTAAACTATAAATTTCTATAGAATATCGACCCTGCTACTGGTCTTCCACTGGATCCCAAATTCGTCTCTTTCGGTTCCTCTTCTTAGTTAAAAATAAGCCACTTTCTGCATTCATTCACTTTATATTTCACCACTTTTTTGTCCTCGTATCTTTCACCTCCCTATTCTCCGTGACCCAATTCCTGTTATTAGCTCAATTCAGTTCTCCATGCCATGGCAACCATAAAGCAAGCTGCTCCTCGTAGACACAGACTCGCTGTCGATGAATGGCAGTACTTGCGCTTGAAAATGCAAGTGTGTTCCTGTGACCCTTTTAGACTTGTTTCGTTGACTTGAAAGAAAAGCTTACGTGTATGTTTTCGATTACAGTTGGTCTGAAGAGCCCTTGAATGTAGACATTACAGAAATATCCTTTCGCATGACCATTTATCACGCATTACAACAAACCTTTGGTATCGCTGGCGTGTCGACTGTCATTGACATTTTAGATTGGGACGACAAAGCGCACGTTGGCATTATCAAGATCCCTTCGAGGTAAATAGTCTGGAGCACGTTTGTAATCTTCGTGTGACTAAAGTTTTACAGTGCCATGACGACTGTTTACGGAGCAATCGCTACTTATCAATTTTCCATGGCCAACCAACCGTGTATACTAGATATCCTTGGATCCTCGTCTCATTTAATTAGCTTGGCGGACGACAGCCGAGAGCTTTCGTTTTGATCATCGATTTATTATCATTTACTGTCTAAAGATGCATTTTCATTTATCATATCCAGCAATACTTTTCGCATTTGGCCTGTTCGGGGCGAATCGGGAACGTTGGGTGCTAGTCTGGTGGAAGAGAACATGACGGATGGGTTCAAAGACCCTCCAGGACTGATGTAACGGTTCGTTTCTTTGGAGCTTCTTGCAGTGGCTTGATCAGAAGAAACGATGGAAGGTGTCGTGTGAGATCGCATGGGAAGGGCTCGGATTGGCCGATGGGCAGTCGATACATCAGACAAGCGAAAGAGATGGCTTAGCCATACTTGCATATGTTCCGCGGATTGCGCTCGCAAGGTCAATCCTCGGTTAGGGCTGGCTTTGTTCATGATACTCGGTGCGGTTGAAATCCATTCATTGGCCAGAATCGGTATGCTTCCGTCCGTAGCGTGTGAGACTGTACCAGGCTGAAGCCGGAAAATGAGGTTATCTTGTAAATTGTTTGACAAGGTAGTCACTTTAAAGTGAGGCACGTAACGAGAGCAATCGGGTCGCGCGGGGTAATTCTTGGCATGCTTGTACTCGTGCAAAAACCCGGCTACGGAGGTAATATCGTACATGAGGCTCTGCAACAACTGCGAATCCTAGTGAAAGTACTTACCAGGAGTGAGTACATAAATATGTTCCTGCCATTGCTGGAGCACAGACGATTTGCGTTCCATACGTGCAGCAAAAAGAGGTTGCAGCAATGGGTGATTGTGATTCTGATAGCGCAATTTTTCGGGATGACGGAACCCTGCACGATCGGATACCAACTGGTCTTTGCACCGGTCCACGAAATGATACCAATCGTCATGCTTTTGAATACCATCAAATAACTGCATGATTGACCGGATACCAGAGTAGTTTCTTGGCCACTTGTCTTTGTACAGCTCATCCATCTCCAGGCACAGCTGACGCATCTCTTCTACTATATTTTCTTCCGATCGGCGTACTTGTCGCTGCAGTCGTAACACGGTGTCATGGATTTTGTTTTCGTGCTGATACACCTTGGTAAGCTGCTTCACCACCGCTAAATAATTGGATATCAACACAATGAATTATGCCTCGTGTGCGTGCATGCAAACGCGTTTCTATCAAAACAGTGGCCTTACATGAATTCATCAACCAGGGATCCTGCTGAGTGTGAGCCAGATGCGGATGATCATCGAACCATGTGAGCTGCTTATTGAGTCGAGCTACGCGACGGGCAGCTTCTTCCTTCAACTTGCAAAGGGTGGAGAGAGTTAAGCGATCATCACATCGGACAGACCCAATCATGCGTTTTAGTTCCTTTTTCATCATGGCAAGCTTGGGAAGCGCTCTCAGCCGTAGAAAATTCTCCAGCTCCGAATGCTGCCGTGCATTGGATCGGTGATGATGCTGCCATGCTTCGAGCACAGCACGAATACCGATCTTTGGCGAGAAATTTTCATGCAACAGAAAATCCTTGTCCGATCCATTTTGCGAAGATGATGACTCCTCGTTGGGCTGCTTGAAGAACAAGGCTTGATCCATTTTCTGGTAGGATTTCGTGACCTGACTTTCGACCGTGGCATACAGCACAAAATGATCATAGATTCGTTTCAGCAGCACTTGCCATGATTGTAACCGGTTCAAAAGCAACTGGATTGGTCGTATGCCTTCGGATTCCATCAGCCAATATCCCGGTGAACACTCTTTATCTTTGCTCTTCATTTCATAAGCAAATATGGGTGGGGGAGCATCCACCTCCAAGTTATCAGACGCAGAAAGAGCCGCTGTGGGTGTAAATGGTGGCACCGCCAGAGCTGACAGGGATGGAATCAAATGCTTCACCGAGGAAACTGGACTAGACACCATGGTCGAAGTCAAGCTTCTCGGACTGGTGGCGGAAGACTCTTTGTTCGCTGGAGAAGATGTCGAATTTCCTCCATTATCAGTTTCTGCTGCGACTTTGCTGCATGGTTTTGCCAACCATCGACCTTTGCTAGAACGAGCCATCATGTAATCAGTAAACAACAAAGAAAGAACGAGAAATGACGACGGAACGCAATTCCTTTCCTTTCTTTCTCGACAACCCAATATGAATTCGAAGTGATCTCTTAATATTCATGGTAGATTTTTAAACTATTAGTTCAGAACTTATTCACTAGAATTTAAGAAGCCCAGGGAGGCTAACCGAGGCCTTAAGTTGAACTCATCAATATCTTGGCTGAAATCAAAACTTGTTCGAGTTGTCCCACTCGATGCATCGACTCTAAATCGTCGCATCCGCCTATATGTTGTTCATCGATAAATATATTGGGAACCGTCCATTGGCCAGTTTTCTGAAATAGTGCTTTTTGAAGAGCATCGCCGTCGGATCGTTCATCCAGCTCCATCACTTCAAAGGGTACTTTGAGATCACTCAGCAGATCTTTAGCATCCTCGCAATAAGGACAATACGACTTGCTAAAGACCTATAATTATAAAAACCTATGTAAGTCATAGGTTTCCATATGGTTTCTACACTTTTGGCCACGCACCATCACTTTGTTGCGGCTGATGGCAGTGTCCACAATCTCGGCAGCTGTCATCTTGGTGGAAAAAGTTAAGACTTGACCGAATGAAGAATTCCCGGCACTCTGACTTTAAATCATTGCGGAAATAAATCAGCCAAGATCAAAAGCGGAAGCGAACGAGACGAGGAAGAAAATTTTTAAAAAAAAAATCAGATGTTGAATGCGATGAGTGATAGGGCATAATGTACAGAATCTTTTTTTTTGCCCTCTTTATATTAAGAGGTGATTATAGAATGATATACTATGTGACCACATAGTAGGAAAAAGGGACAAAAAAAGCGAAAGAGGGAAATGGAGGATATGCGATGAGGATGTGATAAATGTTGATTTTCCGTCCCTTGAAATTGGAGCTTTAGGATAATTCATTGAATAAATTGCTATTGCGATGAATCTCGGGATCGAACGATGAATTCGCCAGGGGAAAAGATAATGGTGTTGTTCCTGATGATGCATGAGAGTTTGTAGAAGGATGAGATAAGGATGAAGCGTGAGATGGTATCGGCCGGCCGGGCAAAAGAGGAGAGAGGTTGTCGTTCATCGCTAAACCAAGGCCACTATAAATTACGAGCCAACCTTGATGCGGATGATGAATACAGTGAAATCCATTTCCGGGAATGGCAAGAATTTCATACAATTCTCGGATATCGACAGGATGTTCGAAAAACATATCGTTCATCATACGGTGCAGCTGGACAAGGGTGTGATATTGAGCGGGCTCTGCAAATGATTGCCCAACCATAATCGCGCTGAGTTTGTGATATGCCATCTTGGCTCGATCGAGGATCATGGTTCGACGATCGCCCTGAAAAAAGTGGTAGATGAGATAATACTCTTATCATCATGCTGCGGCTGAAATCAACTTACCAGCACTTCGCCGAATAATTTCGCATGGACATCGTTGGACAACGTTGATTTGGCCGTCCACGCTGAAGAAACACACAATATATGAATTAAAAAATCTGCAACGCTCGTAAAAGGTGGTTACGCTTTTGCGATCACTTACCATTTGACCATCCTAAAGGTTCCGAAAAGAACCGTCTCTCAAACCGAGGATCCAGAGCTCCTTGATTGAACATCGTTTCCGCTTGAGAAGGCGCGACTGGAAGAGGTCGAATCGCTGTTGCTGTTGAGAAAATAAAACATGAATGAGCGACAAATATCGGATGAAAATTGGAGAAAGCTGGTAACTTACATTTCTGTGGTTCTCCGAATAAGAAGGTTGAGAAGAACGAAGTGTTCGTGCTACTATCGCCAACAGCTGAAGGGGGTCGAATAGGGACGATGGGCTGCGAATGACACATATTGGAGGAGGAAGCTTTGACGGTGCGATCATCAGCCGATAATCGAGTGCCAGTGTCGGTTTGCTGAAAATTATTCGGTGCTTGCCCAATGGCTGATACAGGTCGAGCGATAGATGTCGGCACCGTGGTGGCGGCGATGGGCGACGTACCCAATGACTTTATTTCAGAGTGGATGACAGACTGTACAGGAGGCGACAAGAGGATCGATCGGTCGACAAATGGCGTCTCTGAACTAGTTGACAACGGTATGAATGGATGTCGTTGACCTTGAAAAGCTTGCATAAAAAGTGGCGGTTCTTGAGGTACAGGAGCCGGTGACAGACTCATACCCGCTAAAGACGAAATGGTGTTATTCATCACTGTGCTTCCCGTCGACCCACGCATCAGTGCATCCATCAATAGCTTTTGTCTTGCTTCATCAGAAACAGGTTCAACCGCAGGTGGTGCCGGTGCAGAATTAGCTGATACTGCAGTCCTTGGTACCGCCTGCTTCTCTTCCTCGGAAGAAACTGCGGAAGTTTGAGTGATCTTGGAAGCCTGGTCTTCGGTAGATGAGGAGTGTGCATTTTCACCGGTTGCCTTTTGTGCTTCGGATTGCTCTTTCTGTTGTTGTTTTCGCTTTTCCTGTTCTCGAGTTTCGCGAAGTCGACGTTCTTTTTCTTCCTTCTCTTTTCGCTTTCGTTCTTTTTCAAGTATCCGTTCCCGTTCTTCCTTGATCCGTCGTCGTTTTTCTTCTTCCTTGCGTTGTCTCTCTTCCTCTCTTTTCTGCCGCTCGAGTTCGCGTTTCTGTCGTTCCAATTCCAGTTTGCGCTCTTTTTCCGCTTGTGCAGCCGCTTCTTCTGCTTTTCGTTTTGCTTCCTCCGCCAAACGCTGTTCTTCTTTGAGCTGTTTGAGTTGGCTAGATAATAACATGGACATGTAAGGATCAATGTTGAAAAGCGAAAATCAGCATATATTCAGTTACCGTTTCTTGTCCCTTCGACGTTCTTTTGTCTGCTGCTTCTTTAATTCCTTTTCTTTGCGTAGCCGTTCCTCCTCTTCCAATTCCTCGATCAAACGCTGCTGACGTTCATTGGCCACCTTTTCACGATATGCTGTTAGGATTCTTTGCTCAAACATTCGTGCCGCGAAAATCTGGAACATGCGTCGTCCATCTTCTATCCGCTCTTCATCTCCACGAGAATTCTGCCATAACAAAGCCAACATTATTAATGGGATGCTCATACCGTATCCATTCAAAAACTCGGTACCTCGTCGTCGTCGTCATCATCATCATCATCATCTTCGTTTGTCTCTTCCTCTTCATCTTCATAAATTTCGACTTCATCATCGTCGTGAGGAAGATAAGCTTCGTCTTCTGCAATACCAAATTGTTCCTCGTTTTGCATTCTTCGCTCCGCCAAGCGTTCCATCATGTCAAGGAATCTTTTGCCGTCATTTTTTAACAGGTCATCGGCAACAGTGATGATACCACCTAGTAATTTTTGGATGTAAGTCAACTATCACCCTACGGAAAGGAAAAGAACGAGTTCATCAGTCCCATGAAATAAAAAAACATACCTTTGACGGTCAAGCTGTTTCCAAGATCAAAATGTTGCTCCGTGGTGGTCCGTGAAATATGGACTTTTTTTCCGCCGGAATATGTCGTCAAACTAATCTTTCGCTGAACAATCTCCGATATTCCGTCCGAGTGATCCGAAGGATGTTCATAATCATGTTCTTGATCTTCTTCTCGTTCCGAATCATCCCAGTCTTTATCGTTGTCCTGAGTAACCTGCTGGTTTTCGTTCCGTGATGGTTGCTTTTCAGTGTTAGCATCATCCTTTGTAATAAGATTGGAGCCGTGTGATCCAAGTTTCCTGAATTCGGGAGGCATGAACGGTATTAATTTGCCCTGAAGACAGGTCTGTTGCTGGTGATTCGCATATTGTTCGAGCTCTTCGTAATAGGCGTCGTATAAACCCTCCAATTCGTCCTCAATCGCGTTGCTACCGTGCAAAAGATCAGTCACACTTTATCATGCTTCACGTACAACATGTCAATTTTTTTTCCCTGCTCACCGTTTTTTGCCGCAGACGGAGCAATTGCAACTGTGTTTCTGTTGTTCCTTCATTTTGCGAAGTACTGCTTCCTTTTCTTTCTTCACCAACGATCGTCGTTTGTCTTCGCCGAGCAACAACCAGAACTCTCTGATCTTTTGCCTTTCTTCGGCATTGCTGACACTGGACCAGATTCGGTCGTTATCGTGCTTATTCGGGGACATGTCAGGTGAATTTATGTTCTGGGTATTCACAAGCCAATGGGAACTGTGTTGACCGTAGGATTTGGAGGGATGACCGTTCGTAGCCCCTGATGCTTTGGCGATGTATTTGCCCTTCTTCTTGGGCTTTGTAGAGGCGTTTCCCGTAGGGCACTCGTGATAGTCTGTCGCATTCGAGGGTGGCGATGCCGCGATCTGGGGATTCGTGTCGGAAGGGTTATCATTATGAGGAGTGGAATGGACGTTTGTTTTTTCTGTCATGATGAATGGAAATGACAGCCGTCGGTTGAATCGGTGTTTATTAACAGTCGTAACCTTTCAGGTCAATGGCGGGAAATAAAAGGGACACAAGAATCGGCACAGATCAAGATCGGTTTGGGCAACGATCTAAGCATAAAAAAAGGTGGAAAACAGTGGTAAGTGACAGATGTACGGTAACCCAAAAGACAGTCGACGCACTTTATGCTTTATGCTACAATTTAACGGTCGTCTCGAGAAAGGAACTATCACAAAGAACCGACAGGAAATTCATGGGAATCAAATTAAAAAAAAATTATCCCATTTTTTTCTCTTGGAAATTGACCGCACCGTGCCGGATTGACATGTGACTTGGAAAGCCCAGCGTATATTTTTTTGATTGTCCGGCACAGGCACTGCGGAATTCGACCCTGAGTTGAAGATTTGCATTTTACCAAAAAGTCAAAATTCGCCATTGATAAAAAACGATGTCCCAATGTCTAAGCATGTTGTACAAAGAATAACTCATTAATGGCAAAGGTACAACTTATAGGGTACTATGAGTTCAATGTTTTTTTTTATTGATGTATTGGTGCCATAGATCAGGTTTCGTAAATCACGATATTTGATCATAGTGGTCATACTGTCCTTTAAACACACCACGTAAATGACTGGACTCAGTTCCTAATACTGTACAGGAAGAGAAACGATGCAATGCGTCAAAGCTGGCCACAGCACATCCTACGAAGCAGCCAAGTCAAATTTACTTTTGGAGGTCATGTATATTTTTTATTCTTTCTCTTGAATGCATCTAATTTCTACCAAAAACGGATTTCTTTTCTGGGGAAAAACGTATCATTTACATCATGATAGGAAGCGCAAACATGTTTTCAAACTAACGCATGACGTATGTCATTTTCATTTTATATGATGACAGGAAAAAGAAATAAAGGCACTAGACGGTTGAATCGTGAAGCTAACACGTTCATCTACCCTTTGTAAAAGCATAATGTCACGTTAGTTTCTGTAATGGTGAGGAAAAACAGACACGTATACAAAAAGGTGACAATTACGATGAAAATGCTTATTGTGGATAAATAACTCTGCCATCATGTAATACACATAACTGGCTAAGGATGATCCTTATTGCCACATTGATAAAATACAGACAATCGACATGAACGTATACAAACAAATACATTACAATGCGACGGTATGTAACAATGTATTAACCAGACAATCATCTCTTAAAGCCATTTTCGTAAGTATGTATGAGAGCGAAAAAGCAATCTGGAAAAATAAGACCGGACAGCAATCCAGCGAGTCAACACTGGCTTCGACGCGGATCACGTAGTGGTATTCTAAAATGACCGTGACAGAATGTCTTTTTTACATTACGTATTACGACATATCATAGTATGGAGAAAATAGAACATATTCGAAACGTTTCGGTCATCAAAATATAGTGCTGACTATGATCAAGATCATCCCAATTCACAAACCATTGCTTCACATATATTGTGGGCAAAGGAAATAATTTCCTAATGCCACAATGACAGAAAAAGGCAATCTTTTTAGCCACGTTTTTAGAGAGTTATTTTTATCTCGCATGCTAAAGAACCAGTGACTCGAATAGTTCGGTTCCGTATAACTTTAATATTATTAAATCATACCATTGGCTGAAAAACTTGTCAAAACCAATGAGCACGACTGAATTTCGTCTGCTTCGATTCCAAAAGGGTTACGGGGCCATCATTTTTGGTTCGTCACCAGGGAATGGCAAAGCTTAATACGATGTTAAGGCGGCCCTTTTTACTGGTTCCAATAAAAGAACTGGTCTATATCGAAATGGACTGGAATTCAAGGGGTTCAAAAAAAGGAAAAAAAGAAAAAAAAAAGGCAAGAGGATGACTTGGCGTAACAGGCCAAGCAAACCAACGCCGAGAGGTATGATCTCATCTATAAAAAGCATCGTTCATGCTTACTTCTCTTTTTCAGAAAAAAAAGAGCACCTATTTGGTGAAAACCAAAACAAGCAAATCATCAAACACGAAAAAAAAGAGACTCTCAGGTCACTCACCATCTTTCCATGTTGGCCACGTTATCTTCGATTGATCCCGCCGCAGTTTTGCCGCCGCTGACCCGCTCCAAGCATGGGAAGTGGATGGAAGCACTTCCTTCGTTTAGGTCTGTTTGTGGAGACGTGGATGCTGCCTCTGCGATTGTCAGTGCACCGTCAGGCGTCCGTCATCACGCGCGTACTGTGTCTCTACCTGCCCGATTGCCGAGCCAACATGCGTCCCGCCACCACCGATTATCCATGGACGTGCTTCTCGACGCTATCGATCTCGATCGACATATGAATCAGTTTTATACTCACGAAAGGGCTAAATGCGCTTTACGCCGAGTGACCCACCATCACCCCTTCAAGACCTCGCCTGTCGTGATACGCCGTCGATCCAAATCCGCTCCAGGTGCGTTGGAGTCTCGCCACAATCTCTCAACGCGCTGGTTCATCCCGATGACCGGGTCACATTTGAATGCTACGCCAAAAGAAATTGCGAAATCTATTGTTCAACAGCATATCGAATACGCTACCAGGAAATAAGGTGCCAATGCCTTCTCGACAACGTGACCTTTCTATGCAACTCTCCTTTAGTTTTATGAACTTGTCCTCCTTGTACAACACCCACTGTGTCAGTCGTTTTTTGTCATTGTACTCCTCATACATTCATTCACTGTAGTTTAATGTTTCTTTTTCAATACCTGCCACTCCTTGTCTGGTCCTCTCCTTCTTTGTGACAGTGCTCACATTATCACGACGAATTGTAGCTTCACCTGCTCGCTTTATGTATAGTATTTTGATGTAACAAGCCTCCTGCTTCGTTTATTGCGTCATGAGTCACGCGAGAATAACACAAACTACTACATTCCTTTGAAAAAAAATTTCTTCATATTTTGAATGAGCTTTATTTGTTGCGTGATGATTAGAGAAAATGTAAATTATCGATTCACGTTATTCCATCTGCCACGACAAACCGTTCACAGATATGCAACATTGGTCAATAACGAGATCATCGCTGAATTGCTTTGGTGAATATTTTTCTTCTTGCAAGAAAGTATCCAAGGCGGTACGCCAATCTCCTATTGCCTTTCACGATCATTGCTCCTTTGTCAAGTGATCTTTTGGGGACGGAGGAAGCTCAGTGGTTCGCGCTTGTTCCAGTATAGCATCCCTAGATGGTTCATCCTCATCTTCGGGGTTTTCTACTTTGGGGGATTGATCCTCTGTCGATGGGAACAATACGACGGCTGATGCTGTTGAAGGACCTGATGTGGACGGTGTTTTGTTATGATCCAGGGCTGGGGATGATGACAGTTCAAAATCTGGGGAACAAAAGATGGAACTGCTCATAGTACTGTGATCTTGAGGGGAGTTCTGGTTATGTTCACTTGAGGTCCTTCGTTTTTCTCTCGCTGGGATTCTGTGCAGTAACCCATATCCTACATCGCATCCAATGGATCCATGGCCACCCCAATCTCGATGAGGAACTAAAAGAACCTGAAGACCCAAGCGGCTGTTTGTTGGTTTCATATTGACAAACAAAGGTCTTCTTGTTCATCGCTCACCTCTCGACATTTGTCCCATTCCGAATTGTAAACGTAGAGCCTCAATGATTTACCCGTGAATTCTTCGATAAGTTGAAACAGATCGTCTTCGCTTTGAAGAGACAAATGCGGTGATCCGACAATGAAATCTTTATCAGGAATAAGCCCTACATACCCGATCAAAGTGAGTGGGACCGATATTTCTTCCATATAAGTCTTTCGTACCTGCCATCTCTGCCGGTGAGTTTGGTGCCACCTCCAGCACATGCCATATGTGTTCACTTGCATGCGCATACGAGCAGAAACGAATCGAACATCCTAAGTACTTTAGCCTCGCATCATTGATTTCCCCTCTGATCTGTCCAATATCAACCTATCAAACTTGTCTCATTGGAACCTTCCGTATGCCACTGCCTGCTAGGAATCAGCGTCAACTCTAAATTAAAGACCGCATAAGAAACCAATAGTGGCAGCTTAAATGGCGTGGGTTGCTAGCGGGTTTTACCTCGCGTCTCTTGGTCTTTGCTAGAGTATACGGTTAAAGGTACCGGTTTATCTTCAAATTCTCGCAGGTTTTTGAGCAATATTTGAGTGTTGCCTTGATTCTATTATGTATTGTTATTTTTTAGACGCAACTCGACTTTTCATGACCGGACAGTACCAGCGGCATGTGGTTGATGCTAATGATGTAATCGAAGAATTCTTCAATGCCGGCAACACTGGCCGGAGAATTTTCCTTGACCTGAAATACGAACATCAATGCTAGGGCACGCTCAAAGAAGTAGAAGCATATTATCGACTGACTTTAAGCACATGAAAGCCGTTTTGATCATCTTCTGCACTTTGTGAGTTTCCCATAATCACTGCCAAGTATGAATTCAACCAACACAATTTAAAGAGCGCTTGTCCCATTTTTCATGCGCACTGGAAAGAAAACCCAGCTCCTCTGCAACGACCCCAAAGCTCAATAATATATCGGATAATGTACACATCACGATCGATCCACCATGTCTTACAGAACATACATAATTGTTCTTGAGCTATAGATGCTTTCTGTAACCGTGCCATATTGCTTTGCATGGACGCGTCATCAAATTCTTCAATCTCGGTTTTGGACGGGAAATCATTCTGGCGATCTTTGTGACTCTTCATCTCCTTTGAAACGCCGCCGAAGCACACCGGATATTTGGCAGTGTCCCCAACTCAGACTTGACAGCGTGTGGTAAAAAAATAAAGGGAGTCCAAATGAAAACCTTTTTCTCTTGTATGAAATATAATCGGCATAGATGAATGTTGGGTGAGTTATGAGTTTATCGAGGAGAGTTGACAGTTCCACAGTGCTTGCATGTTCGCAAGTCTTGATTCGACGCAAATCGCTCAATGATTGGTTTCAGTTGGGTTCCCAAGTCGGTGCAATGGAATGACTCGTGGTAAATGATACGACGACAGTCGGTCTTGGCGCAGTACCATTGTAAGGTATCTGATAGATTTATGTATACACAAGTGACACAGTATCAGTTTTTCATTGTCAGTCATTGGTAAAAAAAAAAGATTCAGGCTGTTGGAATGATAGTTACCTATCTGATGAGGTAGCCGGATGCGTTCAATGACGATACCCACAGTGTTTGCAAATCGCACCGGGTTATGGGGAACTTTGGCTGTCATTCAACAAGCACACAAATTGATTAGTCACAAAAATAGTTTCAATCTTTGTGTTACCCCAGATTTACCGGGAAGAAGAAACATTTCGCCCTCGTTGATGTGGATATCCTTGAACTCTTCATTGTCGACTACTTTTATCAGCATGCTACCCTTGACTTGATAAAACCATTCCTATGTTTGTTTTTAATGTGATGATCAGCAGCAGCTTTTCCTGAAACGCAGGGAGTGTGTATCTTCACCTCGGTTTCATTGACGTGGTAGTCGGTGCGTGCGTTCGGGCCGCCCACCACCATGACAATGGTATCTTCACCCTTGGAAAGGATAAAGTTGTTCACGGGTGGTTGGAGCTTATGAGCGTTTTCGTCGACCCACTGCTTGAAGTTGATAGGCGGAAGAAGCATGTCTCAATAAAAGAATAAGAACCCCGAACCATTTAAACAATCACACAGGTGCCTGAAAGATCAACTGTGACCGTGAAAACATCCAAAGACCACCACAATCAGATAATACACAGCCAATGGTTCGCTCACAATGGCTCCCTCTCACAATCAATACCTTTCTGATTCTTTCCCAGGAGATTATCCGTGATTCCAAGGAAGGAAAACTACCTTTAATTTTACTTTGCGGGTACCATCTTGAGCGATTCAAGATAATCTTGTTTGACTGATTGATTATTGCCTATCCGTCTGCTCGGAGCCCTAGTGAAGCAAGAGTAGTGTCAACTGCTGGCACCATTTCGACATTGAAATCTCGCACATGTCTCAACCATGATCAATAACTGACCCTTCCGAGAGCTTGTCAAAATTGTAGCAATTATAATATTTGTTATGATAATGGAAGCGCCACGATTTTTTTTATTCTTTGTAAAACAATATCTATATGTGAGTTTAACCTTGAAGCACCCCAATTTGGGTCCACGTTGCGGCTTTTCGGCTTCGGACAAACCCCAGTTCCCTTTCCAGACTAGTTCTTTCTTTAAGAAACGATCAACCAGATGAGAGAAAAAAAAAGGAAAGATTATCCAAAGCTTGCGGTGAACACTTCGCAAGTTCAAGTGATGGCTTCTTAATAGTTGTTCTAGCAGCATGCCTGATAATTTTATTTTCACATCGTGGTTTCCTCAACACTAACTATGCAAGATTCCCAACTTTCGCATCTTTTTTTTTTTTTTTTTTATCAAGGTGAAAGCTCGTGAGAAAAGATTGTCTTTTCTAGACGTGCCCTTATTTGGTAATACGTACGGAAATCGAGAACCAAGTCAAAAATATGATAACCAAATTTGGGCCATCCCTGACAGTGGACAGGAAGGGACTCGGATCCACCGAAGTAAAAACTTAGATGGAACCCGCTTATGTGTCGTCATAGAAATGCTTTCTACGTATCATAGCAAATCTAGAATCAATTCATTCGTGTCCGATGGCTCCACGACACGACGGACAGGATATCGCCGAATCTCCCCCCTTTTTTTTGGAATGTCTGGCCACCGCTCCAAATTGATTTTTGGCACATGGACTCGATTGCTGTTATTTATTTCCATGGCTTCTTTAAGCCTAATACTTTGATTCATTTACATTGTCGTTTCTCTTGCCCGCAATAATGATGGATCCCCACTTTCCGCGTCTTTTTCCATTGAAGCGGTAATTCGTTAAAAACGATGCTGTCTGCTGGATGTACCTTTCTGTGATAATACTCATGGAATCGAGAACCAGACCAAAAAACTACGGTAGCCAAATTTGGGTCATCCCTTGGTAAACATAGTGCTGGCCGTTGTCGCATGATATCAACAAGGATTTGAATAGAAGTGCGATTTTTTTTTTCTTTTCAAACGATGAAAACAATGTGATAAAACGAAAAAGGACGCCGTTCTCTTTTTCGTTACTCTTTTTTCTCTTTACTTAATTTTTTACTCCTAGGCTCTCTCGTCGCTCGTTTGATAAGAAATGATATTAGTATTTCCATCCGATCTCAAGCCAGTCACAGCCAGCCAGCCAAACCGAGTCGTCGAAGTACATTTATCTGTCGTTACAGCCAGTCATCCAAGTCGAGTTCGCCCATTGTCCTTAGTTCATAATTCATAGTATGTTGTATATCGTTGATCGCCTATCTTTCGTGTATCGTATTGTGTATCGTCCGTATCCAATCGTCCAGTCCTCCAAACCCAACCGCCTATTTTCGTCCATAATCCATCGTCCATCGCCACAGTCAGTCAGCCACAAGGAGTCGTAGCGAGAACATGTCTTGAGCAGGTTCTTCGTATATTGCCTCAGCCAGTAAATTATGACTCCGTATCCCAAGAGCATGTCATCTTGGTTGTTTTTTTCCCGCAATCGTCCATTACTGAAATTGAGGAGCCAATAAATCAGCCAGTGTGAGCCATATCGAGATCGTGCCACAGAAGGGTCTTTTATTTTCCGTATCGTCTGTTGCCCAAGTCGATAAACCGACGTTTATAGCCAAACGCGTCGTACCGTAAGCCTTTTTGTCCGCCATTGTCTGCAGTGGGAAAATCAAAAGCCAAGCAAGCTGTGTCGCACCGAAGATAGGTCATGTAATCGAAAGGCCAGAATGTCACTGCCGTCCGTTATCGGGATTGAAGTGCTGCCGTCAGCTAACCAGCCAGTCAAGGTCAGCCTCACCAAAGTCTTACGCCTGCTGTCGTTCATCACGAAAATAACGTAATCCGCTAAAAAGCCAAGGCTTTATCATTCTATCAAAACTCCCAAGCAGAAATCCGGAAACCGTCATGAATTCAGAGACGAAGTCTGTAGCATTGTCTGCAACCAGTGGTCGAGGCCTCGTTCTTGAATGGGAGTCTGAAGAAGAGAATTTCCGCCAGATGATTGTCATCGAAGCTTGGGAGCGCCTTTAGTGCTATTGGCCCATGATAATATCAGCAACCTGAATAGCTTATGCGTGGGATGGATGACATCGGTTGTAATGGTTGGCTCTCCTGAACAGGGCGGATCCGACGAATTTCGTCGTAATGGCTCCGATTAGTCGTCTGCATAAAATTCCACCCTGTCAATGTTTTTCTTGTCCGTTTTTTGCGATGCACGATGATTGACAGAAGGCTGCTTCGATAACTGTTGGGACTGTGCAACTGTATGGGGCTGGAGCCAAATGCTGCTCTTCATGCTGTCAGCAAAGGGCGTCTTGCATCAATTTTGAACTTTTTTTGACAAGGTTCACGAAACTTGTCGAACGATAGCGACTCCACGTCGGCGGTCTGACCAGGTTGGGAAAGACGCGGTTCCGCTCATCAGCATGAGCGAGGGTGGGACTTGTTCGACGAATTAACCGTAAATTGACAGGACTCCAACGTCATGAACACTCGGACGATGCGGATCTTTGGGCATTCCTCTCGAACAAATGCTTTGGATTCTCAAGACACCAATCACAGCAGTGCGCTAATAAACAAAACGACCTTGGTGAGTATTTCTCGTAAGGATAAGCGAAGAAATGAGCGTGTTTTCTTACCTTTGTTGGCACTATTTGATAGCCTCGCCAATTATATCGCGTGTAGGCGCCCCTGAATTCGCCTCAGTCCGACGTAGTACCGATTAATCTTCCATTTTTCAGACATGGTGACAAGAGTATCATTCGTGTTTCCTTGCTTTCTCTCACAGTGGAATAAGACCCACGTATAAGAGAAAAGCAAAAGTGGATACTGCGCGTGATATCAACTGAACGATTGTTCAGCGTTAGTATAACTGGTTTTGTCGCTATGCCGCTTGTCTATGTATAGCATTTACCTTAATTTCAACATAGTTGAGCGCAGAGAAGGCACCGGATAAGCAGTAGGCGAACAACACTGAAAGCGAGGCCGAAGTACCGGAAAGGCGACGATCGGGAAACGACAACAACGCCACAGACCCATCACTCCACGCACAACACCATATCCTCCCCTGCCTCCTCCTCTTCCTCCAAAACCCCAGCCACTACCCGCCCACTACCGCCCACTACCCGCCCACTACCGCCCACTACCGCCCACTACCGCCCCATATATCCCTATCCAACCCACCTCCCGCACCATCGACTCCAAACCACCGCAACCCAAAGTGTGGAACATACGTATGTTCCACAAGGACACCGATCCGATAGTAAACGAGGAGCGAACAACCAAGGGCGGAGAAGACACGGACGGACACCAACGGTAGAGAATAGCGAGTGTGGACAATCATATCGCCTGCTGGTGATCAAGCAGCAAACGTAGAGGATCTTCTTAAGCCACAACGCAGCCGAGGGACGGAAACACCAGGGAGGACAGCGATGGTGGAAGATCATACCGCTTACTGGTGGGCCAGCCAGCAAGGGCAGGGGAATCATCCAGCCAAATCGGAACCAAGGCGGAGGATCAACGTAAAGAGACGACCAATGGAATGAACGAGGGCGGGGGAGTAGTACTTTAAGCTAATCGGTTTGTTTCGTGATCTACAATGATTGGAAATAACCAGTTAGGTTCATTATGAATACAATGCAAGCCACAGAGTAACTAACCTTGTTTCGATGTCACCAAGCGATGAGACAAATGGAACCCGCCATACTGTATATAGCTCGTATCAGGAACTATTCACCGTGGCAGAACATTGACGTCATTATTGAAGCCGTTGAGCGATTGTAAGAAGTTTTACCTCTTCCTTTGGAACAACGAACGCAGAACAACCACAATTACTTGCGTGCCTGTTATCAGCAAAGCGTCTCCGAGCTTCATCGATCCATGCTTCGGTCGTAAATTGCTTGTTGTGCCCTACTGGATTTGGATAGGAAATCACAATATGTCGGAATCCCAAGAAATATGATACCTGGGCCAAATCGGTTGCGGACACCGACGGAAAGGACAGTGTGGCTTTCGAGCAAGGTGTTAAGGTAAGTGCAGAGTTGACGATCGCCATGTTTGGAGTCATTTCCTTGGTTTTCGTTGCCCAACCATTCATAATTCACGTACTAGTCATATTGTCAAATAAAATGTGTGTCGATCGTCGGTGGGTTAGTCTTGCTGTAAATGTTGTATTGTTGAGCATATTTATTGTATTTAATGTTCAATGGGTTCTTTTTGTTGTATTTTGCATATCCGTCCATCGATGTCAATCTAATTTCTCTATCACGTCATTCATTTTTTTATTGAAACATTTTCACATTGAGGATACTGAAAGCCGTTCGTCCAAGTCCATCATTCCCGGTTACCATGATGTGCATCACCTTTGTGAGAAGCTTGATACCTTACCGCAGCGCGTTTCCTAGACAAATTCATTGTAGTCCCTTGTGAGCGAGCATTATTTCGTGATTGTAAAACAAATGCAGCGGGCATCTGTTTATAGCCTTCATTTAGTCGAAGTGGTGCACTCAAATCGTAGTAAATAAATGAAAAAATGTGAAAAGTTGGTATGCTCGAGATAGGAGAAATTCATGGTGCGGAAATGTAAAGTATCGGTAAAGCGATGGCAACGGATTCACTGCGCATTCCGGCTCCATGGTAAAAAAAAAAAAAAAAAAAAAAAAAAAAAAAAAAAAAAAAAAAAAAATATTATTTGACAAGCATGTTGCAGACAATTTGTACCAAACGCTCATTGCCGGTTAATGCACTCAAATGTTTGAAGAACACGGATCAATTGTTTTGCTATCGTAGTAATTTTATAACTGGCAATACTGTCATTAAAATTCGGTTGGCATACTCTCAATTGTTATGCCGGTTTAAACTAGCTGTAAATGTGACCACGATCGCGCGAATGGTGAAAGCGCAAGAAAAAAATCTGACGATATTTGAGGGTGAACAGACGAGGTTCAGTGATTGATGAATAAAAAGAAACTTGCCGTTGAAAAGGTCAGAATAGAATCCACCGAAGAAATGAAAGTCAAAGATAATGAAAAATGAAGCTCTTCTTTTTATACGACACTATTAAAAAACCCAATAATGCATTTTCTCTTTTTCATTTTTCCTATGTATATATCAGGTACGCCGGCTTACGGTTACAATTTTCAATTGATTCTCTAATGGGTGCTTGGTACCAAAGCACAAAATAATCCAAGCTAAACACTTCAGCCCCCCAAACAATCAACTTCCTATCAGCGCATTTTGCACAATGTCTGAATTTCGCGTTTTATTCGAACAGACAAGAGTGGATTAAATTGAGAGATATCTTTCGAATCTGTTCTCAACAACAAATTGAAAGGTGTCCAGAAAAAAAAACGACTAGCTATGCGTCTGCTCCCACATTTAATCGGCAGCCCTCTTACCTTTGCGCCAGAGAAAACGCAACTGCACTGGGCCCAAATCCGTCAACAATGTCCGCCATGGGCCCGGTAATCGCTTTCCACGATCAGTCACCGCTGACGTATTATAGGATTGCGCCGCGCACATGCCTTCACCATCCTGGACTTGACCTGTGACATGCATTCCAACGATTCAAAAGTCATCTTTGAAAATAACGCTCTTGCCTCCAGCAACGTCCAGTATAAAGTCACAGTATTCCCGTTCGGTTCAAGACGTACCTTTTCGAGGTCCCGTCGGGTCCTCTACTACACTTACCAGATTGATCTTTGCAGTACCGCTTCATGAATAATATGGCCGAGTTTCTGTCGCAACCGGTAATACCTTCTCCATGGGTCCAAGGAACAGACCGTTAGATAAGCCTTGACATCAACAAAGATCAGGCATCCCATATTATCTTGATTCTCCTTCGCAATCATACACCTATATTTTTTTTCTTGGGTAGTCTTTTGGATAGCGCTAATCCGATGACATTGAAACAGGTTCTTTGTGTACCCATTCTGTTGCACAGATGCTTCAAACGATGATATCAAACACTATTGGTGATTGTTAATCATAAGTGCTACATCAGTTGCTTAGATGGTGAACGCCTTACCAGCTAGCGGTGTCGATCGTCAACTTCCAAACGTACATTTTGAATCATTGTGAGCGCATCACTATGGCGCTTTCTTGCATCAAATACACATACCTAAGGTACATACAGACTGGCATCTTGGTGTTGCCTTGGATTTAGTTTTCTTTACGCGCTTACTGCCAAGACAAAGTTGCAACGTAACACACATTGAGCTTTATAAAAAGCTGTTAGACATGATGCTGCAAAATGTTCCCTCACGAGAAACGGGCATTACCAACTAGAACATAAAATAATAAAAAGAAAAGGATGTGAGGTGGGAGACTCTGACAAATTAATGACAGGATGAGCTTTGGGCAACCGTAGCAACCAAAAAAAAAAAAAGAAATCATTTGATTATGACGCGCCTGATGGCACGGTGGCTCCGTCCACGCGGAGATTCACTTTCTTTGTTTGACCATGCAAATGCGCAGAAGCAATCCAAACTGGCTAGAATGCAATGATCCGCTGAAAAGGTGGCAAAAATATGACAAATCCTGTTTCTAATGGTGGTCACTGACAGTTTATTTCCTGAATAAAGTTCATCCCAGGCTTCCTTCTCGGCCGACCCATCGGCTTTCTTCCGTTTCACCACAAATGCAAAATGTGTAAGCGCGATCGATTTGCAAATTTGATTGGCCACGGAGAGCCAATAAATTTCAAGTAATATGAAATGCGAGGAGAGGAGCGGCTAACCGTTCCATCCCTTTTCCATTCACTCTCAAGTACCTCTTCATGACCAAGACCTTACCGACGCAAGATTCAGTAGAAGCTAAACGATGGCTCATCATTGGTGCTTATCAAGCAGGTGCTTCTGAAAAGCATGTTGCACGCATCGCAGGAATTTCACGCACAGCCGTCCGTCACATTATCTTGAACTACCAACGTACAGGTTCACCGTCATTACCAAAGCAAGAACCTCTCAAAGGTAATAGTGAGAGGCATTTTTAAAGTTTATGGATGTTAATATTGATATTGGTGCTGTGGGGGTTGTATGTGCGTACTTGTTTATTTAGCCAAGTTAAAGCCGGTGGTGGAGTATGACGAAAACGGCAACTTGATTGAGAGTGACGATGAGGATAGCGAACAGGTACTATTTTTTATGAACCCACCGATGGTGGATAATGCCTCCGCCTTTTTGTTAGCTTAGCAAGCAATGATATTTTAGGACCATGGATCGTCTGCATGGATCGACCGTTCACCCAAGGAAATCCAAAAATCACCGATCCACAAAAGCCCCAAGCTCAACAAGACACTTACCACCAAGCAACTTCTGGCTTACGTATCCGAGCAAATGCAAACAACCAAACAACAGGTCAGCACCGACTTAACATCAACTTGATTGTTTTCCGTTTATTAATCATCCTGCAGTCCGCTGAGGCCTCCACTTCCGAGTCTTGGCGACCTCTCACCCCTCCCAGAGACAGTCGTGGATCCATCTCGTCAGATAAATCGCCGCCGCAACTACCGTCTTCTGCGATTTCCCTACCGCCTTCACCACCATTGAACAGCGTTGACAAATCCGTTCCCAAAGCGCCCCCTTCCATCAGTAAATTCGATCAGACCATCAAAGGGTACGAAATATGGACCCACGAAGATGATATGGTCCTGGTTGATCATGTGCTTACCCGGCTACAAGGCGGACGCTGGCGTGAACTCGAAGCCAAGTTAGGTGGTCGCCACAACGCTCGTTTGTGCCGTGAAAGATGGCAATTTCTGCGGAAATTGCTGCTGAAAGGTATCAACAACAAACCAGAAGTTCCATCCGCATGGACTGCGAAGAAGAATAACGCCTAGGATTCTCAATGTCTTGATGTATCCCAGCGTCTCTTCCATTCTACCCTATGCTCGTGGTTATTTTTTTTTCTCACCTCATCCCTTATCCAACCCTTCTTTCTTTTCTTCTTCTGGCTTAGCCATGCAGTTGCTAAAAGAATGCATGTCCGTTAAGTATGCTATCTCACCGACTACTCCGACCTATTCCTGTCTCGCTTTATAATAAAATAGCCAAGTCAAGTCTTCTAATTCTGCAGCGTGTATCAACGACATTTTGGTAAAGATAGAGTCCTGGTGTATCACCATGGTTAACCGGATAATAGGAAAGTGTGACAAAATTGCCTCAATAGGATCATTCTCTTCCGGTCCATGTTTATAAAAGAATAAGAGAGTATGGTATGACATAGATGATTCATTTTATTCAGCTAGATCGCTAGCTACGATGTGAATACATTGCAAGGATTGTGTTATCGCGGAGGGAATATATCTACTCGATGAAGAAACAATTGATCATATACCGGAGGCAGCCATGAGTTTGGTGACGTTTTGAACAAATGCAGGAACGATTCGTGGCAAGACTACCAGTTCCGGGGCTTGGAGCGTCATTTCATGAGCCGTGGGACTGTTTGTTTCGTCAATATCGTCTTCATCCGAGGACGAATCGCTGTCATAATTCAGTTCATCCATATCATCGATCATGGTCATCACCTCGGCATGATTGGGTAAGAAGTTGAAGGCTTCATTGGCTTGCTGTCGCGATTCCACAGTGGTATCCTGCACCATCAACTTTTCACGTCGTCGACGAAGATGTTGCTCCTTTCTGCGACGGTGGTAATCACACACGGCTTCCAGTTCCTGCAAAAGAGTTTCTTGCTGCTGATCATCGATCCCCGCGTCTTTGATTGTCTGGTCCAAATCCAGTTTCCCAGAAATACCGTTCGATAAGAAAGCAAACATATTGTCCACATAGCCCAACAATTCATCAAACAAATGGGACTTATCCTGAGCATGGACATTATGAACAAAGAAATAAAACCGTTGTTCATGGCGTTGCACCAGTTCAATAAACGGTTGAGCGGTGTTGGTGACATCGTCTGCATCCAGAGAATCGAGTAGCTTGATCAGATCTTCAATGAAAGCTGCCAAATGCTGAATAGAGTCGCCAATGTTGGCTGCTTTATACACTTGCGCCAGTGGTTGATAAAAGATGGCAAAGATTTCTTTCAACAACTCTCCTGTGACGCCCTGGAACACCAAGGTCATCATGATTTCTTGCTCACGCTTGCGGGCGTAAAGCAGCCATAGCTGATAGAGCTTCTTGACGAGAAGGCGGGATTCAGTCTGTCGCGCATCATTGGCAAAAGCGACCTTCATGATTTGATCGGCACTGAGAACAGGCGCAATATCTTCGTTGCGTAATACATCGAGGGTCTCGGTGATCGGACGTTTGTGGACTAGCATCAAAAAAGCACGTCAGTCCAAGCAAACCGATGAATTTATTCGTTGATGTACAAACCTGGTCCATTACGTTGGTTGTAAGGAGGTGCTTCGGTGTCCACGGCATTTCGCAGCTTTTGACATAATGGCTCGTCATTGATACTCTTTTCCAATTCCTCGATATTCTTCTGCAACTCCTTGGCTTCATCGTGCATATTGGCCAGTATAATTCTAAGTTGGCCATAATTAGCATGCAAGCGTTTTTTTTTCGTACTTTTCTTCTGCCTCGTACCTTTGAAATAAACTACGGCCGCCAAACGGTTGGGCCAAGAACAGATCCAGCACTCCTTTGACCATTGAAAAGGGGTTGGAAAATTTCAGGATTTGTGCAACCGCGCGATACGGCATCAAAGAATGGGTTCGTTTCAAACTGGCGATATTTTCTGCCGACCGATCCGACGTAACAAATTGAGTATGAAGCACAAAGGCGAAACTGTTGCAAAAGGCAAACACAAAGAGAAAAAAAACGTGATTGTAAATAAATAAAAGAGGGGTTCTTTCACGGACATCAGTGGTAATTGAACTTACTTGATTCTTCCCCATTCAAATGCCTTCAACAGCGGCGCCGGCAAGTCTTGGATTTGTTCCGTCTTTTTAATGATATCGAAAATCTCGATCAGCCCGCCTTTTTGCATCACACGCTTTTTCAGCATATCCAGCAGATCATTGAGTTCCATCACTTTACGATCCACTTCTTCGCGAAATCGTTTCTCCTCCGCCGCACGTTTCTGATCCATTTCCCAACGTTTCTCGCTGTCGGCCTTTTCTTCCGCCGACAGTTGAAAAGTGTCACGTGTCAAGAAGTCTTGAAACACGGTGCTTTTAGCCAGTTTACTGTCTGTCGCTATTTGCCGCAAAAACGAGCGCAAAAGGATCCGATCTTTCTCGCGGTATAAATGCTGATTCGATTTTCCGTTACCACTGGCTACATCACGCACTTTGCTTGGGACCGAGGGAATGTCCAAGGTTGGAAAGGCTTTTTTCAAGTCATCCTCAAGTTGGCGGAAATGACCATGACGACGAGCTACGTAAGCGGGTGATTTCTCGGTATCTGCGAAAAGTGTTTGAACCACAAATTCGGCATGTTGATGCTCTCGGATGGTGCGACGTTCGCTCACTTCGCGAACGGTGACCACATTGATAAACAGATCATTGGTGCCAATCCACTCGAGGTAAGTGTCGTCATTTTCTAGCAAGGACAAATCTTTGGATATTGCGTTGGCGAGTTCGGTATCATCATTGTGAATGTCCTGTGGAAGCACATGAATGCTTTCTTCCTGGCCTTGCACTGTCTTGATAGTAGCGGACAGAGCGATGGTGAGCATTTGTTCGAGCTTGTAGAGCAAGACGCGGCGCTGGGTGGCTCCTTTGTGCTTGGGCGCATAGGTGTCGAGCTTGAGAGCACAAAAATCATCGAGAAAAGTCTGCACCTTATCCCAGAATTGCTTCTCGTTGTTCTTCTCGAGCAGTGGAAACTCCAAGACGAAGTGCTGGAAGATATAGCGCAAAAACGGAAGATCGGTCGAGGGGTGGTCTTTATCCAGCAAGTCAGCAAGCTGGTGGTTCTTACGTAACCTGTTCAGTTCCTCATGTAACTGAATGGTAATGAGTTCACGTTTGAGATAATGGAGTTGGTTTGGAGTCAAGTTCATGACGAAAAAGACAATGGCATGGCGTCATGGAAGAAAAAAACGGGGCCTCTTTTTATTTCTCAAGCGCTATTTTCTATTTTGGGTCCGCTTGAATTTCCCTCTTTCGACGGACATAGTCGCACCGCCAAGCGCACACATGCCCTCTTTTTTTTTGACTATCCGTCGGAATCATCCGAATAGCCACTTTAATCGGCTGATGTTATGCAAACCAGGTTTCTCACCAGCACACTTCTTGGCAAAAGAAAAAGGCTGTGGCTGATAACGATGAATGTGACGCATGAATTAAAAAAAGGTGTCCTCTACTTGGTGTTCCGTGTCACGTAAAGTTTTAGCAGCCACAACAGGAAAAAAAAAGGGGAACACCGAGCCATATATAATATTGATCCATCAAAAACGACATCATCCGGCCCTCATCAATTTTCCAACTAGGGTACACCGCTCACGTCCATGTCACCTCACTTATCGATGGTTTTAAAAGCGTGGATATTGTTTGTGTAACAAAACAATTGTTGTTTAGTCTCAAGTTTGGGAAGACCGTTTCTAACCCTTGTTGTGGCCTTAAACGTAAAGAAAGATGATAACAACTTTGAACCGTTTTCTGAAGCAATAGAAAAGACCGCCCGAAACGTCTGTTTGGCGAGAAGGCATGAGCATTGCTGGGTAAGATTTTTCAAACTCCACTTTTTACTTTTCATCTTCCAATCAAACACTTTGACCGCAAAAAAAATCGCTTTTTTTTGCTCTCTCTTCGTTTTCCTCGTCATACTTTTGTCGTTCAAAAAAGTCGGTGCCCGCCATGTCCAACACAAACACACTGGAATCCACAACTAACAAACGCATTGCTCTTCCTGTACGCGTGGAGCCAAAGGTGTTTTTCGCTAATGAACGTACATTCCTATCGTGGTTGAATTTCACGGTGGTACTCGGTGGTTTGGCAATGGGTCTTTTGAACTTTGGCGACCGTATTGGCCGAATGTCGGCCGTATTATTTACCTTTATTGCCATGACTGTTATGTTGTATGCTCTGTATACCTTTCACTGGAGAGCTACCAAAATCCGAAATCGGGAAGCCGCTCCTTATGATGATAGAGTGGGACCCACCGTACTGTGTATCTTTATGCTGGCAGCGGTTACCGTGAACTTTTATTGTAAGTCTTTTTTTTTTCTATTGACCAAAAGATCGAAATCGGTTATACTGATGGGAATACGTGTTTTATAGTGCGTATCGGCGAGAAAGGCAAATTCTAAGGATGATGTATTGTCAGTTTGGTGTTTTCGTTTTGTATATCAGATTATTTTGTTTTTCGCATAATATACTTGTTCCTTTGGTTTTATCTGCTGTGATATGGGTATCAAATAGGGTAGTGGGATGCTGTCATTCATCCAATATCTATCACAAAGTATGCAGTCATCAAGATGGCCTAAACCCACAAGTTTACTGTCAGAAACATTGTCCTTAAATAGTTGGCTTAATTGGAAATCCGATGAAACTTTGCCTCAAATGAATGAGTAAGGATAATATAGGCAATTGGTTAACCCCTTTTGCAAAGAAAATATTACCAATTTTTTCCATCTACAGGCGTGGCTCAAACTAGACGACCTTGGCTTCAGTGTTCTTCGTGGTAGGTTCGGAAGATGTGGAACTGTTCAAGGCTCACCTACTTTTGTGAGCTACAGTGAAGCGGGTACCGGGCTGAGCGGGTTCACAGCTGGTTTTGACGGTTTGGATTGCTGGCCTTTACCCAACAAAAACAAGAATGTAAATGAAAAAAGAAAAAAAAGCATCGTGAGAAAGTGATGCAGTCGTAAGTGCATATGCATCTCTTGCCACCCCTCTTTCAGTCACCTCTTGCTTTTCCTCTCCCGTTTAGATTGACAAGTTCCTTTTTAGATTAAGGAAATAATGCTTTTTGTACTTGGTCCATTGTTTTTATAACAGTGATGCAACTCTTGTGGTTCACAATCATGTAGAGGTGTGCCAAAAAAGAAAGTCATTGCTCGTTTTACTCTAAATCCACCTAGTTGATCTTTTTCAGTTAAAGGCACGCGACATTCTCACTTTGTCTTGAACAATATTTTTTCATCGATATCTCACATGGCATTTTCAGCGGTTTCGATCAATTTTCACAAAAATGCTCTTCTGACCAATCGTCCGCAAAAAAGCTCTCAATCAAACAATGAGCGTTCCCAGTCAGCTCCATTACACTAGTTCTGATGCGCCACTCCATAGAGATTACATCCTCATTTGCAAGCTTCTTCAAATTGCTTCTGAATACAATTGAGCACTCGAATTTCTTTCATCTTGTAAACTGCGTTATGTGATTCTGTGAACTGCGCTATGCAAATTGTATATGCGTCACCACCCTCCACTACCTCAAGTTCGATTCCACAAATAGCGAGCCATCATACCTAGATGGTTTTATGTATCAAACCACCATATCACTGCATAGTTCAGACATTTCCAACTGACGGGCTATCATGTCAGCTGAATACTACTTGCAAAGCTTCTCACTTTGGTCGATAAGAGTCCTTACTCTCAACGTCTTCTAAGTGGTCAAGCTTCAAAATATTATTTTGGGCAGTCTTATACCCTTCAATAGTGTCTAGACACTTCACGTAATTGATTCGATCTGAAGAATAGGATAGCTGATGTTTTGTCAGTGTTACAACTTTTTGGGAATTGGGTTTTTTTTTTTTTTTTTTTTTTTTTTTTTTTTTTTTTTTTTTTTTTTTTTTTTTTTTTTTGCTTCTGCGTGGCGTTTTCTGGGGTGTACATCTCAAGAATCCTACATATGTGCTGAACTCATAGCGTCCCCATGGCTTTATTGGGGCATATGCCGAAGACTTTTGCTATGGTGTGCGAAGCACGTACGATCCCCGGGATTCAATAGATAAACTCCAAGTCGTTCCCCACTCGTCGACCATGCGCAGGGCTCCTGATTTTTCCTGCTTCCCTATTTAAATCTCATTTTAACTCCCGCCGATGTGTCATTTTTCGTATTCACCCTTCCTCTTCGCTTTTCAACTTTATAAATGAGTTCATCGTTTCCTGAACAATTGGATACAGACAGCGATGACTTGGACTATGATCATGAAATGAATGCACTGGAGGATGACGAAGAGGATTGGTGGGATGCTGAAGAAGAAACAGCACAGACATCGCAAGCATCCAACGTCGAGGATGTAAATACCAGTAATACAACAGAACAGCGCACGAATGGCACTTGCGAAGCCGAACTACGAAAAAAGATTCTGGAAATTCAAAAGGATAGCAGTTTAGCTCCACGAGAAAAGGCTCGACAGATGCAGGTGCGATAGAATTTAGCTTCCAATGTGAAGTTATTATTTGACATGGAGACTGACTTGCGCTACGTCCCGTCCATTCTCTAGTACTTGCTGTCCCATGGCACACTACCTCCTACTTCTGTCGACGGGTCGCCCAACAGTTCCACCCGACAGGCCTTTTCCGACGATAAGAGTCGATCAGTATCATTCAATGTAAGAATCTCGATTTGAGTTTTTGATACTCCTGTGAGGCAAAAAAAAAAAAAAAAAAAAAAAAAAAAGTAAAAAGACGGCTCACCCAGCGTTATTCTGAGAAAAGAACAAGGACGAAGGCATTCTTGGATGCAAACATTACCAGCGTAAAGTAAAACTTCAGGCCAATTGTTGTGGGAGGATATTCTCTTGTCGATTTTGTCATGATGACAATAGTGATCATGCCATCGTTCGGTAAGTTGGCCATTCATTTTTTATGGTTCGTGTAACTCCCCCACATACTGACCTGAACCCATTCTCGATTAGAACCGAGACAAAGAATATGTTTTGCATGCTGTGTATGACCTTGCAACCGGCCGGTCAGGTATGCCCCAATTGCAATGAACAGGTCGCGCGTTATTACTGTGATAAATGCAAACTTTGGGATGATGATCCCAAGAAATCGATTTATCATTGTGACGAATGCGGTATATGTCGTCAAGGCCGAGGATTGGGTGATGATTATTTTCACTGCAAGAAGTGCAATATCTGTATGACGATCACCATGAAGAATAAGCATCGATGCATTGAACGAAATCTTGAGAGCGATTGTCCAATCTGTGGCGAGTACATGTTTACTAGTACCACCACGGTCATATTCATGGTACGTCCCAAAAAATAATGGAGAAAAAAACAAGAAGAGATTATGTAATGCATGTTATTGTCTTGATTTTTAGCCGTGTGGTCATTGCATCCATCGACTTTGTTATACAGCTCACATTGAAAACTCGTACCAATGCCCGACGTGTCTAAAGTCATTGAGTGATATGTCGGCTTATTTTGCACGACTCGACCGAGAACTCGAACGACAACCGATGCCGCCCGGATTTGAAAAGATTGTATCTCACATTTTTTGCAATGATTGCGAGAAAAAGTCGGCAGCCAGATATCATTACGTGTATCATAAATGTGGTCACTGCGGAAGCTACAACACCACGGTATTACGTACAGAAAACACAGCAGAATCGGCAACAAACCGGACACAAGACGAAGATGACAATGAGAATAAACCCTCCACGGCTCCTGTTCCAGAATCCTCGACCGATCCATTGCGGTTACCATCGAGATCTGAGCAAGAACGGTTGCTTCCCTCCACTTCAGAGGAATCGAATCATACGAGAAGTATAGATCGGTTCTCGTCTCTGGAATTACCGCCTTCTCGATCATCTCAAGGTGCGCGTCGTGAAGATGCTGATTTCAACGACGGATGACGTTCTTCAGTCACTATAGAAAAAGAGGATGACCAAAAATGAAATGGGAACAAATTGCCAATTTGGTTATATCCGTGTAAGACACGATAAGGTTTTGGCAATGTAATGTTTATGTATTCCAAGATATCATACCTAAATTAAAGACGAGTTCTTGCAAACGAGAATGAATGTGTTTCAGTGTGAATTTATTCCTACAGCTTCTAAGAAAAAACACAATGCTCTTTTAATGTCTCATTGTTGTAAAAAAAAAAAAAATGGGCTTTGAAGAAAAAGTGCCACCCCATCCATTTGTGGAACATTTACCACCAACATCACTTTGCAATAAGCAGATCCATCACGTTCTCTATCATTTATTATTTTCTCGAGAGGGCAAAGAATCAAATCATGCAGCTGATTTAGATCATCAGGTACCTTTTTGGACCCATCCCTGCTAATGATATTATTTGATGTCAGCAAGGGTAGAAAAACTTCACACAGTAATCGGTCGGATAGGAATTACATAAGACGTAAGAAAAGGATTGAGCGGATATTTGCGCATTCACATCATCATTGATTTTTAGTGCATAATAGTGCGTCGCTGTAGGAACCGACGGAGATTGAAGCACATGCTTTTCAGGCGCATTCGAACATATGAATTCCTATTGACGGGCTTCATAACTGACCAAGGTCTTACATAACCCTCAATTGATTTCTGATGCACAAAAATTTATCACAAGCCAATGATCATTTGTCATACGAAAAGAGGTCACCGAGTTTTCCGAAGAAACCACGAATTGAGTTTGAAATCAAACATTGGGCTCATCCGACGCGCGTCGAAGAAAAAAGAAAAAAGTTAACTGAAGCAATAAACGACATATGCAATTTTTTCCACGCCCCTTTTCTGTTGCTGAACTCTAAGCGTTCCAAAGACCGCCTTTCATGAAAGACAAAAGAAAAAGAGGTACCACCCAAACATATCTCATTGACATAGTGCGGACATAACGTAGCGTTTGACAAAATGCAATGCTGCGTGACATCATTTGGAGTCCCCCGCCGTAGTTGGGCTTCGGCTTGATAGAGAAGTGAACACAAAAACCCGGATTTTGGGCTCGTCGGGGTATCGAAGGGCTTTTTGTTGCTTGCACGCAACAACATTTTAGCAAAAACCCGCTTTCTCTGCTATTCTTTTTCCTGCTTTCTTGTTTCTTTTTTGTTCCGATTTTTTTTATGCTTCCAAGTGTATCGATCCCTTTCGACGAGAATGCACGATATCCCAGTCACGATTTAATGCCGGAACTCGAAACCAAGTGGCCCGAAGGACGACATGGCCATCCTCGCCATTCCGTCATTTCGCAATTTTCAAGTACTACCACGAGTAACTCCAGCGGCAGTCAGCGCCACAGTACAGGCAGTACTTTGGATGGCGGTGAACGTTATCGCTGGTCAGCCGAGACGGACCCGGAACACGTGGCCTATTCACGTAAGCAACTATATTTTTTTTTCTCCCCTTTCCACTTGAAACCAGTGTGATTGGGCTTGTTCGTGGGCGGAATGTGAATAACACAAAACGGCCTTTTTTTTATCGATTAGCTTCCTCTCCCACCACCATTGGTAGTTCTTTTTCATCCTTATCACCTTCCTCTCGACGCTTGTTATCGGGAACACCCAATTCCGAAAGTTTTCGCCAACAGGAACTGAACCGGTTTTTGCCATCGTTCTCACTTCGTTCCCCGCTCTTTCGTCGCTCGCAGACGTTCTCGGATCCTTTGGTTATGCCTTCTATTGCCCTCGCACCTCAACCGTGTCCCGATCCACCTTCCGTAGACCGGGATCCCTGGTGTATGTCAGTCAAAATGGCGCTTGATCAAGCGGTTTACCAGGCATGGATGCACAAATACGATATTCCCTCATTTGCATTCGCTCGATCATGGAAACGCAGATATTTTATACTTGTCGACCGCACCGTTTACGTATTCAAATCGTCCAAATCCACCACACCCGTGCGCGAATTTTTCGAACTGACCGATGATACTTTGGTGTTTGTTTCGGAAGAGTTCAAGAAAGCGTACGTACTTGAGTTGCGAAAACCGCTCCAGCGGTGGTACCTACGATGCGATTCTGTGGAACAAATGAAAAACTGGTTGGAAGCGATGAAAAAAATCGTCGCTTGCATCAAACTTGGTTTTCAAGGATCCATTTCGAGCAGTATGCTTTCATCCATACGGTTAACGGACGATTTTCGACTCGTGGAAGATATTCCACCAAGACCCTCCATCGATACGACCTACTCTTATCGACATTCTACGACTCTCCCCATAAATCTCAATAGCAATTCACAGAACGTGCGGAATCGTCGGTGGCAACAACGAGAAATGAATGATCGTCGATGTAGCACACCTCCAGATTTTGCTTTAAACAACAGCAATCACAAGATACCAAAATCTGGGTTCAAACGTCAATCCTTGCTCCATATCCCGAACTGGGCGACTGTTCTGCCACCCCAACTTCCTCCACCTCGATCACTGCCACCGCCTATTCCATCCCCTACTACTGCTACTGCTACTGCCACTACCACTACCACTACCGCTTTACCCACGATCTCCGAAACTCGCCAAGATCACGGGTCCTGATGGTTGAGTAACTTTTTTTCATTGTCTGACCAATCACACCCTTCAGGGGAAGAGAGACGAAGGGAAGAAAAAACCGAAAACGAACTCTTTTTGCTTCGGGAAAATTAACTGAGCTGAGTATTATTTGTCAGCCTCCGATGAGAACTTAAAAGCTTTTTTTTCCCTGTTTGATTTCTTCAGCCCATCCCATCCCACTCCTTCCTATTGTGACGATCCTCGGATGGTCACATACACTCCCTTGTCATTTGTTTATTCCTTCTAACTTTAACTAGTATTGTATATTTTCTCATTGTGTTTCTATATTCTACCTTTATTGTCCATAACTTGTCCTTCCTTCTTTGTGCTCTCTTTTTTTTTCATTGTTATAATCTACTTTTTTTTTAATTTGCCTACTGCATTCCGCATGAACTTTTTGGCTGTATAAAAATTTTCAACAAACTAATCAAAACTGTTCTTTTCCGACTCCGTTGAATCCTTTTGTCCGACGACCTTTTTTTTTTTTTTTTGGTCCCCAGTCCATTCATTAGCTTGGCCGCAGTATTATTGACTTCTTTTGAAAGAAAAAAAGACCGCTTTTTTATAATGTGGTTTATCAATATCCATAAGCACAGAATACAAAAACATGAGCCAAGGCGAGAGAGAAATAGAATGACGAAAGGAGTGACTGATGAGATGAGAATAAGGTTTAAAAGTAGAGAAAAACAAAAATAGAGAGCATAAAAAGATAATAAAGAAATAAGAGTAGCCTGGAAATTCTGGGTCAAGAGAACATCGCCTCATCGAGAATTGCCTTTTTTTTTTTTTTTTTTTTTTCTTCTTTTCTAAACGATAGGTAAGGTTTGTTCATCCGATGGCGTGATAACGTGTTCCGTTGTGAGAGGTAGTTCGGCGTCGTTTTCATCCGATCGTGGCATCGCTTGTTGTGTCACCACATTATTCCGTTTCTCATACTCTTCCCGTAAGAATTCTCTGACATTTTTACCGGATCGCATGCGAAGAATACGCAAAATGGTTTCACTGTTGGGTAAATCGGGCGATACCGACTTGCGTTGAGATTTCCGTTTCTTAATGGTGTGACGAGAGTGATACACCGTCTTGCTACGATCCATCTTTCGTCCGCCTCTCAATTTCATCTCCACTTGATTCTTCAGCACGCTGTGGTAGCCTTGCATAAGCTGATCGGTATCCATGTAATAAGCCGATTTAATCGCCAGCAACGCGTAGTATTGCGAGGTTTCAAGTTTCTCCAGTGGCACACCGTCGCCCTCTTCACCGCCATTCAACAGAATTTTTAGTAGCTACAGTATATATCTTGTTAGTATAGTTGCCTAACACCTCCGCCATCTGATCTGATCGTTGAATCGGCCACTTCTCTTCTTGTCCACTTTTTCTCCTTTTTTGTATTCATACTTGCCTCGAGCCATTTGAAAATAATGTCAAACTCGTATTCATCCAGCGGTTTCATCTCTGACATTTGTTCCGAAAGAGGGGGAAGCAACACGTTTTCCAAGGCCAATAGCATTTCTTTCCAGATCTTGTCCAACACAAATTGCATGTTGACGTCCCAGAGATTATCATTGAGCACCTTCAAGTTACGTTCCAGATAATCTAAAAGAGGAGCAATCGCATCTTCACACTCTTGGATGCTCGGTGATACAGGCTTGGCCGCACGGGTGAAAGCGGCGAAAAAGCTGCGGTCACGACCCAGTAATTTATCCATGGTTTTTCGTGACATGCATTGACGCATGTATCGGCTCATCTGTTATGACCAACCCAAATGAGTGACCCATCGATATTTTTCGCACACGTACTCCATAGTCTTACTTTATCCACGATGAGACCAGCTGCATCGTTTTCAGCTCTTCGAAGTGTTCGGAAAGCTTTGCCAAACCAGAACTGAATATCGTTCTTCTCGCCTTCCAAACCGACGCGTAGCACCAATTGGCCTTGAGGATGAAGCTTCAAAGTGAATTCATGCGACTGGAAATCGCTGAAATACTCGGGAGCTAGTTTAAAATGGACGTAGCCGCACTCGTCGTCCGCGCCAATCATATCTTCATCGTACACAATGGCCAATACTTCGACGGCTTTCTCCGTAAGCCAGATATCAAACACTTGATCCCATCGAGGATTCAAAGTTTCGTAGACTGTGCGTGTCCTTGTGATGGGCTTTTCGTCGATTTCCAGTACCACATACGGATCACTCAATCCATTGTTATCCAACGCTTGCAATCCTTCAGCACGCACAATCTTGATGGAGTATAAAAAGTTCTTTTGCTCCTTCTCTACTTGCGGCACACCAAAATCGCGCATCTTCTCGGCAATTGCATCAGCATCCATCATTTCATATAATCGATCCAATCGGGAACGTGCGGCTTCAATATTGTTGATTTTGATACAAAACTGGTCCCAACCACAAAGAAAAAAAGAAAGAAAGAATGAGTAACGCGATTGCAGGATGGCTAATGGTCAATACGAGTTGCAAAGTTACCTCGGGTGTAAAATCAGTGGGAACGTCGCTTTCAGTGCTGGAACGACCTCCACCCAACTGATAACGCGCCATATCCAAAAATGTAGAAGGGGCGGCGGGGTTGCCATGCGAACCAGTCTTCGGCACAAGGTCTTCGGTAATCATATCTTCCATAATAACGGTGTATTGTTCCAAGGCAATACCGATGACCTAGAGAATCACCGGTTGAGCTGGGACTGTATCTATAGATAGATCGCTACTTTTTGCCCACGCCCAGAAGGTCATACTTACTTTTGACAATGCGGTGAGAAAGCCACATCGCTGAAGCTCGTTGGGCCACTGAAGATTGTGAAGGAAATCCACGGCTTGATGGAACATACTGAACAAATCAATCACAGATGAAGAGTGAGGCGCTGCCTCGCTTGTCTTTTCAAACTATTGTAGATGACATTTAATAAAACAAACCTTGTGAATCTGACATGGGCTTTTATATGCGCTTACCTTGTCTTCCTTGATGGCGTTTTCAACCCATTCAAGTGTAGCAGCCTTGGTCGTCATCAGCCATCGTCTTACATGCTGCAAGAACCACGACTCCACTTTGAACAATGCGGCTTTTTGTCTAGGGTAAACCCATTAACACACTTTTTACTGTCACGCATTCGTTGGCAACCGCTTACCTCGATCCGTGTTGATCATACAATGTTTTCAGTCGCAATACTTTGTGATACAGTTCAAACGTAACTTCGATGGATGCATCTTTTGCAGCAGGCGAAAATGCCCAATTGTCCATTTCTAATGCGAAATAGGGCATTTGCTTGGCCATGACTATACTTGGCACCGATATAATACTATAAAAAAAACACCCATTGAGGACTCTATCCTTTCATTCATGGATCCACAGATGCATATAAAGACTTGGCACTTACCCTTTGATGGATGTCTTAAACTTTCGTTTTGCAAGAGATACAAGTTCTTGAAGAAGTTTATCTGCCATGCTCACTAGTCTTTCGAGGTCATCCGAGTTCTCTGGATTGTTGAAGTTCTTTTCTAGACGACGCCATCGTTCTACTGCTGCTCCCTAATGGCCAAAAAAAAAAAAAAGATAACCATGAGATTAAGAGATCATGCCACATTTGGAATGGTTCGCATAGGCTAACAAGCGCACCTCTACAATTTCTTCCAGATTTCCGAATTCCACCAATGGGTCAGTGTGATCTTGCAGAAACACGGGATTCTCATAAATCTTATCGAGCATGGTGACAAGATCACTGATCCATTCCGGTCTAATTTGTGCACGTTAGACGGTGATGTGACAGATAAATAGCTCAGGATCCATTCCACTTGCCTTACTCGCCAATATTCAGATAAAGCATCGGCCAACTGATGCAATACGGTATTATTCAGACCTTCAAAAACGCGCACGAGACGCTCTCGCTTTCGCATCAACTTGTTAGCTATCCAAATTACCAACCCAAATGGTTTTCTTTACTCACGTCATTGATGGGCCACATCTCGATGTCGCTTTCTTTCGACACTTTATCCAATGTTCTGATAGCATCCTGAATATCGTCAAAATCGACTTCGTCCGCATCAAATCGGGTCTTGACCAGTTCCAGATAGAGTGTTGCACGGAACGACGAAGATAAGCGCCACGTTTTCCAACATTCTCGCAACAATTCATCGGATTGCTGAGATAAAACACTTCCTTTGGCTCGCTCGATGCCTTCGGACGTTTTAAGATCATGCTCAATACACAGATCCATGAGGTAACGGAAAAACGATTTGGGATCGCTCGGCACAAATGTAAACGTATTCTGAAGTGATTCACTGCGCTAGATGAACATACAATCAAAATAAGTGGATCTAAATGAATGCAATTGTGCGTGTTGTTTGTGTGATGGATAGTTTACCGCAGGTGATGGTACGCTGTCTTGACCGGTGCCTGAATGGTCGGTTCCTGAACTTTGACGGTTCGGGGCTCGGGGACCTCCGCCAGAGAGCAGGTTGGAAGATCCTACATCCATTTCACTGCCTGCTCCCAAGGAGAATTTCGGATTCATCAACATAATGGTATTCATAAGCTCGGTCAATTGCTTGACTTCCTTTTTCTGCCAACTGTCGTACGCCTGCTGGGTAGGAAAATCTTCTTTCCGTCCAGGATACGGTTGGTTGGTATGAACGTTATTGATGAGCTTTTTCAAATCCAGCAGAAATGCCTGGTGCATGCGTCAAAAGAAAAATACACAACTTTCAGCGTCTCCTTCAAAAAATATAACATCACCATAAGACGACAAAACTCTCTTACCGATTCAGTACACAGTGGTTGAAGCTCGCGTAATTTGGCGGTGTGTTCAGCGTTGGGGATATCGAATAATTTTTGAATGGTTTGGATCATTGGGAAATTTTCAAGAGATTCTATTGAATCTGAGGGTATCGGGGAGGCATTGCCTGGAGTGGAAGCTGCTTTTTTCTTATCCGAGGAACGTGGGATGGTTCTTGGAGAGATGAATCCATCCAAGAGTTCCATCACTTCGGGACTGGCAGATGACGGTGCATCTTCTTGAATGGTAATGACGAGTAATTCGGCAAACCGTGCAATGAAGCGGTTCAGATCTTCGTACCAGACCGCCGGATTCGGATCGTGGCGTTTAAGCTCGGTCTCACTCGTCTTGAGAAAGATGATGACCAGATCGTTGACGGTGCCTGTCGGTCGGTAACGGTGTTGCTGAAGCACTTTCTTCATTTGCTTAATGACCGCTTTGAATCGTTTGTCCTGGTATTCGGTTTTTGTCAAGTCTTTTCCATCGCTGATATCGTCCAGTCGTCGAGCCATTCCTCGCACGATTTCCCGGGTTAGTTTGTCCGGTTTGCTTTCTTCACCAAACTTGTCAGAGAGCCCGCCAAATACATCAATACCGAGATAGCCACTGGAACGTTCCTTTTTCAACTCCTTGGGACCGCTGGGAGTATTTCCATTCAACTCGTTGCAAACACGAACCGCACAACGAAGTACGGCATCGTACACGATCTGCGGATTGACGGTACGAGCGGTACGTCGACCACCGCCTCCACCGCGTCGAAGGGTTGACCCACTTTTCAATTCCATCTGTCAAGCCAAGGCTGAGCCGGTACCCAAAACTTTACATGGGCTGAATTTTTTTAACTCTTTTGGCTCACCACGTGAGACTCTCCATGTTCAAACTGAGATTCAATGAAGACGGCGCTGTGCCAGAACTCGGATCATTCATGCTGTTTGGTAACTTTACAAGATCAGCTCACGGCTTTTTATTCATTATTAACATTACATATTACATCAAGATAGTTCCATCCGCCGTTCTAAGGGTAGTCATGCGAGTGATTTTCCTTTGGATCAGACGCTCTGTCCGATAGCATTCGTAAAAGTGCACTGTATTGTCGCGAAGCATCTCTCGATGTGACACGAGCAACAGGTGTTGTAATTGCGCCAAATCATTGCGAGACCGAAACGCTTCCACTGTATGTACATTATCCTGTGCCAATAATAATCGATTTTGCCGTAGGTCACATATTCCATGGACGGCATTATTCTTACGACCAGCGATCGGTGTATCGGCAACGACAAACGGTATCAAATGAGAGTATTTTTCCACAGCCGATACAAGTGATGCGTGTTTCTCGTCTTCTTCATCGTCTTCTTCCTCAACTGTATACTCTTTATAAATATTGCTTGCTGCAATTCTCCTTTCGTCATGTTTGGTTTGCTGCAACTTGTGCATGGCGGTTGCAAGTGTTGTGATATCTGTTGGGTCCTCGCGTTCGGTGGAATCACCGAACCTCCTTAGTTCATCCAAACAAACACCAGAAAAAAGTGAAACGCCGGCTGCTGTGGAAAGATCTCTGGCCAATGTTTCCTTGATCTGTATCGATGATGCAGGAAAATGGCGACGATTCAGAATTGGAATAATGTTGACACGGGAACTCAAGAGCCTCAGCATGTAGTGATCCAATTCCCCAAGGTGGCCTGCAGTTGTCGGGTTGAGGAAATATAAGCATGCATGAATGTGCGTATCGCGTACGTTGGTGTCTCTTTTGACCTTGGTTTCCTGTGTCAATAAAACTCAGTGACACCTGAATACAATAGTACATAGGGAATTTGGAATAGAGAAAAGGTCATTACCTCTGATAAGGTGTGGTCAAACTGGTCATCGATAAACTTCATCAAATGAAGGATTTGATAATCCAACACCAGTCGTCCCTGATCCATCAAGAGACCTGGTGTATCGGTGACTGTCAGTTCCATTCTTACATCGTCGAGAGTAACCAACGTCGAGTGATCGCGAAAACGCACAGTCTCCTGAACCAGGGAAGTTCGTCCAGTATCGGGAAGATGGCTCTCTTTAGGTGTGTAAGGAAAAGTACAGGAATGCAATCGATCATAGAATGCCTGTACAAACGACGTTTTTCCAGTGCCTGTGGATCCGACAACAAGAATGTTCATCGTTATTGTTGCGTCTCGTTTCCGCCGTTTCATTGTGTAATTCATCATGTGGACCTCCTGAAAAGAAAAAAAAATAAAGAAGAAAAAGAAAGGAAAAAAAAAAAAGACAAAGAATGAATGGAAGGTGGATTTAACCAAGGCGGATTTATTTAAAGGTAATTGTTTAACATTTGAGAAAGCCGTGCATGACGAATCCGTTTTCCCAATCAACCTTTTGCTAAAATTCATTGTCATCATCATAATAAGCGAGTATCATGACAAATTAAAGTTTGGCCCAATCGGCTGCAAGAGCTGGAATAGGCGAGTGAAATGATTTGTGTTCTTTCTTTGTTATGTTTCGTTACTTAATGCATTGAATAAGTGGACCTGACGGGATCTGTCTGATTCGCATGAACATTTCGGGAATAGCTTGGTAAATATTGCTGTCCGACACTTAAATCATGCCGCATGGCGTGTTCCGATGATGCAGATGTCACGGAATCACAGGAAGTTGGAGGTTTCAATGGTGGAAGAGGATGCATGGAAGGAGATGAGGACGACAATGAGGCGGATAGGGTGAATGGGGTTTCAGTGGCATAGTTGGTGTGAGGATAGATCGATGGATGTGTAGGCATCGGCGAGGAGAAAGGGCGGGCCACATGAACTGGGTAGCGGTCAGCTTGATGCTGTATTCCGGATCGGTAAAGTGTACAGTACATCTGCACGTTGTCCATTTTTCGGGATCAGCAGTTGTGTTCATATGGCCATTTTCTCTATGCATGTTTCAGTTACCTGTTGTGTATTCTGTGGTAATTGTTTCCATAATTGCATCATTGCTTTATTCACATTTCCGTCGCATGCCTGGAGTTGATCAGACGTAACATTATGTTGTTCCAGTCTGCAAAACAGTGCAAATATTTCTGGATCGACTTGTTCCTCTGTACTCGCTTTGTTCTCAGAACTAACGTCCGCGGGTGTTGGCTCGATCGGGCTTGATTTTGCATGATTTTGATCGGGCAGCTTACGGTCGATCTTGATCTAGTTTGAATATTTTTTTGATTCCCTTGCTTTTTTAGATTGATAAATCCCATGGTTGTAAGCATTTTTATTGGCTTACCGATTCAGGCGAGGTTTCTCTGCTTTTCGAAAGGTTTGAATGGTTGAATTTTTCTTCACGATGTCGATGCAGTCGTTCCAAGAGGACTCTAATTTGAACGGATAAGTCGTTGGTCATTATCCATGTAGATCCTGCACAAACAAGGATCGAAGGACGACTTACGTTCGTTCTAAACGCAAACGCATCGTGCTTTTGCGGGCTTCGCGCAGTTTGATACTGATCGCTTTGTTTTCCTATGGTGGAGTGAGCAAGTCCGCTACAACTAGTGAAGAAGAAAAAAAAAATGGGCCAACGGACCTGTTCCACTTCTGCGATTTTACGCTTGAGCTCATTATAACGTGTTTTCAGCCGTTGCTCTAGACATGACGATTCCAAAATGAATTGAGTTGAATGGGCCAAAGACAGACGAACCAAAAAAAAGTAAAAAGGTGCGCTTAAGCGTACCTTCAGCTGACGAAGAACAGGTGGTTTGCGTGGAAGCACTGTCCAGCGGCATAACCAATAGTTCTTATAGAAATATAAAGAAGAACTGAAAGAAAGAAAAAAAAAAGGGAAATACGAAAAAAAAAAGCACACAATAGGAAAACCAAAAATGCAAAGCTGTGCCCTATCGTTCAATTCCAATAAACCAGGGGAAACCGCATTTCTGAAAAAAAAAAAAAAAAAAAAAGTGGCACTCTGATGTTGAAAAAGTCGATAAAAAATATTAATGGGCATCTTTGATAGCCATCCGCTTCTTTTTTCCATGGATTTCAATCAAATTCTAGCCATCATCAATGTAAACGTGTATCTGATTCTGCACTCCTTGATTCACCATAACTCATGGGTTTTTCTTTCCAGAATGCACGTTCTACCTCCGAAGCTGCTTCGTCAATGGTAAACACGAATACTAGCGTACCCGTCCCTACCGAGACGACCCCAACGTCCAGTACCACGGCTTCTGCCCCGTTTATTATCCCACCGACGCTTGACATTTCCAAAATCAATCCTCAATTGATCCAAGAAGTGCGTGCAGAATACCTGGCTAGTCAGCAAAAAACCACTGCCATCCCGGTAACAGACGAAAAGCAATCAGCCGAACCATCGCTCGATCAACTATTGGATTCGTTGCAGACCGTTAAGACAGTGACTCCAGAGCTACTAATGGCTTTGGGACGCATGACCCAGGAGACCAAGTTGATTCAAGTGTTACGCGATTGCAAACGCAGACAAGTAAGGCAAATGCAGTGTTTATTGTAAACCGTCACTCACCCGCTCCACAGGACGCAAAAGAACGCGATCTGTTCAATCGTCGCGAAGAAATCCTTAAAAAGCATCAGAAGCATCGGGACGCTATTTTTGCAAAGTAAGAACTACCATGAATCGATAGCAATTGGCTTCGAGGCTCACCGTGATCGTAGAGAATTGATTGGTGCGGTGACCCCAAATGAAATCCAGGTTAGCATAAATAAGTGTGATTCTGATCAAACTGCAACTGTGGATGGCTTAAATAAATTATTACACAGAGATTTGAAGACGGAGTCAACGAAGAACTCAAACACATGGACATTCACATCCTTCAGGAACTGGATAAAGAAGCTCGAAGGCAGCAGCAGGCATTGGAAATGGTACTTTGTTTTTGAAGCTTCTAATTTCAGGATGTTAATCTGTAGATTTTGGTTGCTGTAGTTAAAAGTTCCCTGCTTCAAGGTGACTTCGGATGCAAGTGATCTCAAAATGCAGTCCAAAGTGCTCTCTATTTTGCAAGACATGATCAACGAGTAAAGGCCAAGGTCCCTTTTCCTGATGTCATCCAAGCACCCATTCACAGTAATCAATCAGTGACGATTGATACGCATACCCCGCGTTTGAATGAAATACTCGTTGGCCCGATGTAATTAAAGGACAGAACGACAGCGCAATTTAGGACGAGTCACGATGAATATACAGTACAACGTTCATACCAAGCGCAATCTGCACAACAAAATGCGGATTCGAATATTTGCAAGGACGATAACATTTTTATTTAAAAAGGTGATATATTTTTTTCAGTCCTTGTTGGATGGCAAAAGTGTATAATGGGCAAAGATCAAGTCATAGCCTTCAAATTCATAAAGAATGCGATCTTTACGTTTGTAACCGTCAAAGGGAGCCATGGTACGCACCAGCTTGTGAATATTGTTGTCTTCTTTGGGGGTATGGGATGCAAAATAGGTCACCGTAAAAGAGCCAGGCTGGAATACATTGATCACTTGGCGAATCAGAGTACGAGCAGACGTGGCATCGCAGTGCTGAGGATTGGGATGAGAGGAAGAGACAGGGATGGTGGTTTCAAAGGACGCATACGAGCACTGAGGCTCGGGGGTGACGTGAATCGTGTAATAGCCATCCTTTTGCAGACCGTTGGCAGAGTAACCGCAAGGTTCAAATAAGAAGGAATCCACCTTGGCATCCGGATAGATGGCCTCAAGACCCGTGTCAGCATCCACACGTCGACCGCCTACCAAGCCCGAAGGTTCGTCCAGTTGGTGATAGAAGGGTTCCATGGCCGACCGATCGAGCTGAGTCATCAAGATTTCAATCGTCTCATCATGGCCCGAATATCCTCGTTGGAAATAACCGAGATCAGCATGCAACACCGAGCGTACTTGCTGCATCTTGGACCAATTTTTAGACGCCATCCAATTCAAACCATCCGTTTCAGCCATCAGTTGGTCCAAATGGCTACTACGAAGCGAGCCAGGGTTCACACCGGTCAAATAAAGATACCACTGATCAATGTTGGTGTCGCCAATCACGTAAGCAGCACCGTTATCTGCAAACAAAAACAGACAATAAAAAATGACGTGAGTTGACTAATCCTCCATCCGATCTTTTACGCACTTCCTCACCAACTTACCAAAGTGATCATCCAGATATTGAACTTCGGCATCCCAACTGTGGTGAGGACCCGGTTGCTTTTCGGGAAACATGAATGATTTGCGAGAATAGAACAAGCGATGGACCGTATCATAACCACAACGAAGACGAGCGATTTCCATGATGTAGGGCAAAGCCTTCAGAAGCGTAGTTGTGCCGCAAGTCTTGATCACCAGTTTGTGAGGGTACACAAACATTGAAGATTCACTGGGAACGGAAGAGAGGAGGTACGCAACGCGTCAATGGAAAATCTGCCTAATTTGCCCCCCGTCTCGGAAGACGTGGTTGATCTTTTCTTTTCTGGGAGTGCATCGTTCCGGCACAGCCCCAGAAAAAAAAGAGAGAAACTTACCTTAGCAAATAAGCATCCACAAAGTCATTACGCAACACGTTCAACACGGTGCATTTCACGGTAGCCAGCATGGCATCCCACACCGATTTTTCCACCGATCGAAGATCACTAGCGCCAAGACCATGGAGAGTAGAGGTGGTAGTAGTAGGAGTTGATGGAGTCGAGATATCCGACATATCCGAATCCGAAGCATCAGCCAACGAGTGGCTGTTGTGCGAGGTGGGAGCCGGAGCGAACCAAATTTCAAGTAGTTTTTCGGGGCCTTCAAAGCAGCCTTGTTCTGCAGAGTAGTTGGCTCCCGAGGGAGGAGGAGCGGTGGGAAGAGGCAATTCTTCAAGGACCATTGTTTTGTGAGTCAGTTTTCTTTGTATATATGTATTTTCCAGGGGGGGAACCAACGACGAGCAAGCGACGAGAGTACGGAGTAGGCGTTAACGCGGTGAGGTTTTTGTTTTGGGTGTGTGGGTTGGTTGTGGGGTAATTAAAAAAAAGTTGAGATAAAAGAGATCAAATAAAGAGCAAAAAAAAAGTGTAACAGATAGAGTGTGTTGTCTCGCGAAGAGGTTGCAATAAATAGTTAAAGGTTTAAGGATGTCAAGACCAAAAGTTGGAGAAGTGAAGCCGGAAGGGTAAGCTGATCAAAAAACGAACTAGATTATACTTGTGAGAGTCAGAGCGCATAGCAAGCTTGAGAGATAAAATATCAAAGAAGCGAGTTTTGCCGAAAAAGCGAGCGTTGATATGTCTTTTTTTTTAAATCGATACAAAAGTGCGGCTAGGTATAATAACCATTCCAAGCACTTTCAAACGGAATAAAAGGGATATAGAAGAAAAAAAAAGAAAAAGAAATAAAAAGAACAATCTTTGCCTTTGTGAGTTTTCCTTTCATTCATTTTTATGTATAAAAAAAAAAAAATTTAAAAGAACTGTGACTGCGGGTTGTTGTTAGGGCCAATTATTGTCGAATAAAGTTCGTCGGAGATACGAATTGGACCTTTGAAAATCACCATACAGGAACACAGTGCTTTCGTTTGTACCATGGTGCCGATGAGAACATTCATTTCCTCTCGCGGTTCTAGACGGTGACCCTTAAAAGATGAGACTTGTTATCTTATCAAGTCTGTGGAATCCGCATTCAACTGTACAAACGGTCAAAAAGTCATCATACAAATTTCAATTACCCGACACGTATCGGCTCTTGGTTTCTTGTTTCTTGTTTCTTGTTGTATCGTGATCTTTCGTTGCTGTGATCGTCATGAAATGGAATTTTCCATTTCGCTGTAAACAGACCTCCTTGACTAGACTCGTTCGCTTCCTCTGAAGAAACCATCGTACGTACTAATGAAATACCTAATGCATATGTACCGTGAAAATCCCATACTGACCTTTTTATCTTCTCCACACGGTTCAAGTTTTTTAGCGTGAATGAGACATGCAATGTTATCCAAACGTCATTTCATTCATGGGTCACTTGGTTAAGGTTTGACAAATTGAATCACCGACGCTTGTAACCCAGAATTTTTTTTTCAACCATGGCTGGAGAGAGAACTATTATATTTTTCGATATTGCCACATTTTTCTCCGACGATGGAAGGCTGCAACCTGCATTCACACTTATGCAGACTCCAAGCGTTCTTTTTATAAATACCATCATCAGCGTCATCCACTTGTCTCAGTGTACTGGATGTGAAAGCAGTTGGGTAACATGGAAAAGCCAGCTGTAAAACGCGTAAAAAACTTGACTGACAGGCCCAGACCAGCATCTTTTTTTCATTCATATCAACATATGGAACCAAAAATACAGCAGTTTCATGATCTTTTTTGCATTGTTTTACCGGGGAACACCAAGTATTCGTGATTATGAAATTGAGCGCCACATATGCATTGCACATCGTCATGATGCTGAAAATAGATAGATCCGTTATCATTTTGATATTCTAAAAAGCTCCATATGATTTAGAGTGCGAAGTTCAACCGTCATGAAATCATGCTACTACGCCTTAACCTGACTAACCGCCCCTCTCAACGCAATTAAAATCAACTACGCCCTACTGCAGGTTATGAGTGCATTGTGCGACACTTGATTCTCCAAATTCAATCGTATTCTATCATCGGTACACACAGGACACATTGTATCATCCTATGACATTTTTTTTTCCATTTTTCTCCTGAACTTGCAACAAGTAAAAATAAAATAAAAAAATGCTTAGCCGTTATTTCATGTCATTATTTTATTGGATCAAATGCTTATGCACATTAATATCAAACTTTTTTTTTCTCTTTTTTTTTTCCATCAAGCTGATGAAAAATATCTCTCGCAATTAGGAAAAAAAAAATCCTGCCATGCGATCCTCGTTGTCTATACGAATGGAGGAATTACTGTAAGAGATGCATTATTTGCCGTTTCAAGGTACCGAGGTAAGAAACGATTCCGAAGGTGGCAAACTGAGCGGCTCATTTTCTGCAATGGTTTGCAACTCAATTCGACGATCATCGTCGTCTTCGGCGGACGACCCAACCGAGAAAAAATCGCCACTGTGCAACGAACTGGTATCGTTGGGCAACTCGTTTTCGTCGACGGCCGACAAAAAGTCCATCTCTTCATCAGAAACGTCCGTTAAACCATCAGTTTCAGAGACAAGTAGTAGAGGAGCTGAGCTCTGCGACTGATGAGAGACCGTTACGTACGCAGGCGCTGGTTCGTCCGAAGCAACAGTAATTTGCGGAAAGTCCACTGACGATGACCCATTTTCCGTCTCCGTGGCATTTGGTACTTTGTCCATGTTGCCTGGTTTTGTCACTGGTATGGCTCCGTCGTCATTTATCTCTGTCACCGCGTCTTTGACTGCAACCGTTGCGCTGGATACCTTCGTGGGCTCAGTGGCTGATACCGTCACAGAAGCTTGCTCGTCCTTTTGTTGTGCAGGCACCACCAATGGGTCTTCATCGTCATTTGTCTCTGTCACTGACGCCGTCGCTGTAGCGCAAGGCTCATCCTTGGGGGCAGTGTCCGATGCGGTGACGGAAGCTTGATCGATAACTTGGTTGTCACCAGCTTCTTTCTGCTGTGCAGACAACACTGACGGATCTGCATCGTCATTTGTCTCTGTCACTGACGCCGCTGTAGAGCAAGGCTCATCCGTGGGGACAGTGTCCGATGCGGTGATGGAAGCTTGATCGATAACTTGGTTGTCATCGTCTTCTTTCTGCTGCGCAGACAGCACTGACGGATCTTGCCGCTTTTCGAGCACCTGCGGCTCAGCCACGGCAATGTCTCTTTTAGCCGGCTCATTGTTGGCTGGTTCTTCTATAGGCTCCTTGATTGGTTCCTGGGAAAGGTCGATCTCGGCTGATACCTCAAGTGAGTCTTGAGCGAGCTCATCGGATTCAGGAGACGGATTACTTTTGGGTTCCGCCACCTCCAGAATTTGGTCCTTTGCTTGAGTTGCAGAGGCCAGGTCATCTGCTGCATTCGTGCAAGAGTCTTCTTTTTTGTCAACGGATGCTGTGTCTTGCGTCGGCAAATCGGCATCAGGGATTCTCAAAGAATCTTGTTGATCTTTTTGGCTTGGGAGACTTTCAGGATCTGCTGCGAGTTCTGTTTCTCTCTCTTCCACGCTGCTGTCGGAAGCAACGGTCGCCGTTGTACCGACTAATCCAACCGCAGCACTCGGTAGGCTTTTAGCTAATCTCGTCTCCGAGTCGGCATCCTTATCGTTGTTTTGAGGTGAAGCCATAACGCTTGCAATGGAGGAACGATCATCCTCTACGCTCGCCAACGCATCTACTTCCTCATCGTTTTCTGCGATATCCTTTACGACAGCAGCGGTTACATCCTGCATCTCGTCCTTGGCCATGTTCATGCCGCTCATGTTGCTATCGGGCACCACGGTCGCGAAAGCTTGCGTGAACGTTTGCTTCTCTTTTTCAGAAATAGCTTCTTCGTTTCTCTCTGCTGCCAATGCTAAAAGACGCTGACGGGCTTCCTTCATGATGTCTTCGCTGAAAAAGGCAGCAAAGGTGTCTGTTTCCTTGGGTGTTTCTGTCGTAATATAAGGCTGGTCGACGGGAGGAGTCACTTCAGGCTGAGCATTCTTTACGCGTCGCTCGAACAACAGACTCTTTGACAAATCAAACTCAGTTTCCAAAATGGTGGCATGAGCGACTTGGGATGCGTTCAATGCGTAATTAGTGCGCTGGCGATAAAGTCGTTTTGTTTCCTCAATTTCTTGAGTCAAATTGGATTCCAGTTTCTCGGCAACAGGGGTTCGCGGGGAAATTGTTCCCGAAATGATCCCATCCATGGTCGAAGCTCGATTCATGGGCCATTCGATAGGCGACGCCGGTTCTCCCATATCCCATGCTGCAGGGCTGATATCCACCGGAACTTCATTCACCGATGGTGACGGTGACGATGGTGAGATCGCCGGCGGACTGACCGCATGATGACTGACCGCTTTCTCCTTTTCCTTTTCCTTTTCCTTGAGCGAATCCATCGTTTTATGGAACAATAATGTTTCGCTGTGATCGCGTAGACGGGCCAACGCTTGCTCCGTATCCCAATGATCATCGGCGGCCGTGAATTGGTCGCTGATCATGGCCTTGGGTGGACTAGATCCACTGGATCTGCGATGTCGCAATTTTTCCGTAGCCAGATCAATGTTGTAAGATTCAAAATCAAAGACAGTTTTTGGATTGGCTGCCTTTATACTGTCAGCTGGATCGGTCTCTGTCTCTTCGGACGACGGAAGAAAGAATTCGAGTTCTTTGGTTGGGGTGGCCGCCGCCGATGTGTAAGGGGTCTTGCTGTACGTGGAGTGTCCCGACGCAAACAAACGATGGGTTTGCTTTTCTTCCGTCTTGGTGGACTTGAAGGTTCGCGGACTCGTAGGCATGCTTCCCGAGGGGGATTTACTACTACTGCCGCCGGCATAGGCTTCGTGGAAGCTGTGACGTCGGCTATTGGAGGTATACCCGCCATATCGGGTCGGCATGGTAACGTGGTATGGATTCGGTGAACTGTAGCCGCTCAAGAGTAACTTGCTTGAAGGCTTCAACGGTAGTGGGATCAAATCACGGTCACTCCAATCGTTACCAGGTTCTCGGGTATCATCAAAGAAATTTGGCAACGTGGCAGCTCTTCGAGGAGAAGGAGTCGATGGTATCAAATCCATGGCGTAAACGTTTCCTTCCGTCACCGGTTCATTCACGGTCTCAGAAGGCTCAATGGTGGATGGCACCGGGGAGTCAATGATTGGATCTTGAGACTGCTCTTCCTGTGGTGGGACCGGGTCGGGATCGGCTGATGTCGTCAGCTCTTCTTGAGAGCTAATAAGTAAACACGAATATATGTTCATAAAAGGACTATATTAAGTATCTAAGCGAGTATTACCTTGAATGGGGTGACTCTTCTTCGTTCACCGATCCATTGCCGCCAGAGTAATCCGTGCGATCCACCGACACCCAATTGTCTTGACTTTCGGTTTCCGAAGCTGGTTTCTCAGGCGGTTCATTGAGCCATACGCGCGTCGGCGTGGTGTCATTGTACGATTCCCAGGGAAAAGCCGAGGTATCCTCTACTTTCGCAGTATACTCATCCATGCCTGTGAATTGATTGTAGTAATCGTGTACGTGGGCCGCTTCTTGCTGGCGTTCTACCGACAGTGATTCAAACGAAGGGGGCTCATTTTGAGGATCATCCCATACATTGACAAACACAGGAATCTCGGGCATTTCACGAACCACTGGTTCTTCTTCCTGTTTGTGTTCGTGCTCCTGCTGGAGCTCGTTCTCAACTTGGACCTGGGTGTCATCGTTGCGTGTCGTTTCTGCGTGACTGGGCTCATTGTGCGAGTCATCTGGACCCATGTTTACGTCGGAATTTTGCTCTTGATCCTTCTGGTCCTCGCCGTCATCCTTGAAATCTGCTGATGTATTCTGAGCTGACGGAACGTTGTTATCGGTAGGTACCTAAAAAAATACATGGTCAAATCCCAGAGTCCTTTTTTTTTCATTGGTGATCAACGTACCGGCTCCACTGCGTCCTGTTTCGGTTCATTGTGGATGGCGGGAGGGCCTGTAAATTGTTTGTGGAACCAATCATCACTGGCAATGGTAATATTGGATAATGGAGGCATGGGTCTGTACTGTCTACGTTCATTATTCTCTTTGAGGTCATGATAGATAACCGGTGTATCCCAAGCATTCATTTCCTTGTCTCCCAAGTGTTCAATGGTATACTGTTGTGGGTTTCCTTCCAAAAAGGATCTCAATGTAGCCGGCGAAGCAGTCGTCAGTTCTTTTGGCGATAACTAATCGATTCCATTGATTACAATCGGTACGACCAAGCATTGTGTTACCACCCTTTTTTTGTAGTCTTTTTTTCTGGTTTTTTACCTTGCCATAATGTTTATCCCAAGTACTCCACCAAGATTGAGCTAGATCGGTTAAACCGGGCCATGTATTGTTGCCAGGTGCAAACACCGATCCGTCAGCAAATCGTTGCCATGACCATGGCTTTTGCGTCCCGATAAAATGGGCAATGGCAATATCACGTCCATAATGGTAATGGGCGGGTAAATAGCTAAGGTAACCAAGTGTGTAAGATCACCAAGATGGAAATATATAAATACTTTGTGTCATTTGCACCCATTTTACCTGTATTGCGTTGTCGGTGTCGTATTGAAGATAAAAGGTAACCGATGAGCAGATGAACTAGGCCAGGAACTAAAGTATGTGTTTAAAAGTCCTTGATCACCGCCTGGCGGGAAGATAGAAGGATGATGAAAAAAAAATCAGCACGGTCCAATAGAAATCCCATCTGTGTAATCATGCTTCTTTTTTTTTACCGTCAAAGGATCCTTTTTCTTTGGCCAGTGTGAGCAAATCTTGATAAACGGAATCTGAAGGGGCAGTAACAAAGACACCTGAATTGAAACAATCTGGCCATCCTGCGTCGGGGGCGGCGGAAAAATCCGGTCTTTCAAACAGTTCGTCGACGTTGCGCATAGGCAAGGTGTCGGCGTCGAGAAAGACGATTTTGGTGTACTGATGGAGTTGCCACACATGGATTTTGGTAAAGGTGACATCGAGCTCGGGGCGACCGAGAATCTTTAGATTGGCTTCATCATATGACCGTATCATATCGACGGCAATGACGGTCACCACGGTTTCCAGATAGCGACGGATACGCTCAGACACTTGCGGTGTGACGAGACACGCAATGTCCTTTTTCGAACCGAGATCGCGCAAACGATGAGCAAGTACGAGAACGCCAGAAGCATAAGCGTCCGACGTTAGAAGCGTGACATAAGCCTCCATAGTAGGAATAGTTTGACAAGAAAAACAAGAAAAAGAAAGGAAGGGTTTTTTTTTTTTGATCAAGCCGATTTGTTTTTTTTTTTTTGGTGGCCTTTTTTTTTTTTTTTTTTTTGTTTGTGAAGCGTACAAAAGATGCCATTTGTGGATATTGGGGAGAAGGGTTTTCTTGCTCACGCACCCCAAAACGGGAACTGTTTTTTAAAACTGTAACAACCATTGTGAATCCCATCCAGCGAGAATGCTTCATCCGATATTCTTTATTTTTGGACTGCATGAAAAAGATGAAATAAATAGCGCGAATTGAAAAAATATGTGTTCTACAACAGCTTCAAATGACCCGTCACCTCGTTGATAAGCTCCACAGGCCCTAGTTATTCAATCGATGAATATCCTTGAAAAAAAGACTTATTTATATCTCTGCCATCTCCCATGTTGGTGTTACCTGGACCAATGCCGAGCACAGTGCGCGAGCCAGCGGCGATCTGAGTTCGACCCGCATCGCATATGCTTTGAGCAGGCAAATTGAGACTTTGAGCAATCGCTTGAAGTTCCAATCTATAGAGTAATAGCCAAGGAAAAAAAAACCGTTATCAATACATCTCTTTTTTTTTCGGTAGAACGGGGATAACCGCGGCATCATTTTTTCCTTACAATTGGTCTTCACTGCTGGCTTTCAAAGCGACCTTGGCCTGACCAGACTGTTCCCAGCGTTTGAGCATCTGAAACATGGATCAATATCCCTGTTGTAACAGGACCATTCTCTTCGCTTGCCGGTCCCCTCACATTACCTCTGGGTTATTCTTCTTGACCGCTTTGTAGCATGCCAAGGTAGCATGACCACACTAACGCAATCGAATGCTGTCAGTACAGGAGTAAGCGCATCGTTCGCGTCACCCAAATTACCTGAGCCGCAATCTTGCCCTTGGTCATGCCCAAATCTTGACGTACAACTAGCACCTGAAAACAAACCCCTCCTTTTTTATTATGTTGCCAAAACCAATATCCACAAGCTTCACAATTTACCATTTTGTAATCCTCATATTTGCTACAGTCGATCGCGCCTGTTGGCAATTCGTCCAGATCGTCATCGTTTTCGAGTGCAGGACTCTCACATTCGACATCAGAACCATGCAGCTGTTTTCCCAAAAAGTAACCGGTAATGAGAGCCACTGTGGCTGTCACAGCAAGTTCGGCGAACGGTAAGGCACAACCAAATTTGTTTGCCATCACTTAATTTTTGATCAAAAAATGAATGCAAAAAAGACACGCAATTTTTATTTGTGACTTTTGGCGGTGAAAATTCCCAAAGGAATTCAGCGTCACTTTAAGCTGCGTCAAGAAAGGCTGCATTTTTCAAAAGAAGGCAACCCAGAAAATAAAAGCATCGATATCTGAATAATCATGGTCGTATGTCCCCAAAACTCAATTATTAACGCTGTATTCGCCGGCTGGTGCAAGAGTTACAGGTGAAAATAAACAACAAACAAATGGCATCTGTATTTGAAAGTTTGATCGCCTGGACCTTCCCCGTCTTTTTTTCTTATTCATTTTCACACAGAGGTTCTTTTTTCTCAGTCACTGGGTTCCATTACACAGCAAACAAATAGAAAGACATAGAAATACGTGACATATTATTTTCGTAAAAACAAGTTTATTTACAAGCTGTACAAACTGGAAGAAGGGAAGACATTTAGTGGTTCTGGGATCTGGGCTGGATAGGCATGCTGTGGATGGTCTTGTTGACATTGTTGCCTGCGTTCTTGGAGATGTTGGCATCTCGGGAAGCCTTTTCAGCGGCCATTTCGCGTTCTTGACGTTCCAACAGAGCCTTCTGGCGCATCTTTTCAGCTTCTTCTTCACTGACCATATCCTTGGAGTCAGACTCTTGTTCGTGCTTGGTGTCGTGCTTCAAGGGGACGTGGTTTGCTTGCTTGACACGCATACCGCCAACCATCTGGGCGGGAGAATGTTCGTTGAGAGCATCGTTCTTTTGGTTCGGCATGATGGATATTGATTGGAGAATGTGAGTAAGGGAATAGAGACGCACTCCAGGCTCTCCAAAGCAAGGGAATTTTATAGATGTCGAGCTGCATGAAAATGTCGTCACAACATTCGGCGGCCCATCTTCCGGAAGCTCCGCACCACTAGATTCAGCAGAATAAAATCATCATGACATCGGTGACAAAAATGGAACCAACGAACTTTCCGTTGAATAGACCAGTTTCCCATGGTCCCGCCCTCCATTAACATCGTGTCACCCTCTTTGAGAATGTCCTTTATAAGTTATCGGAACTCAGACGCCAATCATAACCACATTACAAATGGCGCAGTAATTGAAAGCTACTGCGGTTCAGCTACGCGGTGAATGCGACGTTTTAAGCCGGCAAAGCAGAGAATAAAAGAACTATCAGTTGATTATTTCTTCTCCCACGACCCTTTCAATTTCCTATTGGCGACCACCTTTCGCCGTTGAATCCCCGTTCCCCCAAAAGCTTCACCGCCTTGGAAATTTCGGTTCACGACTTTGATGATTTTCACGCCATCATGACCGCAACCGGTAATTATAGTACTGAATGAAAGTTTTCTTCTTTCTTGAATTTAAAAAAGTTTTGCATTTGTGGAGACCTGTGAATGAAAAAAGGTGTTTTGTACATTATGATTTATAGCTCTGTTCTTTTAGACCAGCAAACCGAGTCCCTGACCATACGTCATTGTTGCTCAGAATAGAATTCCTGGAGTTTACAGCATACTAGTGTATGACGCTTATCATGTCATCGAAATCTTTGGATGCCATATAACAAAGGATGCTTGAAGAAGTTGAAAACAGCATTTTGAAAACAGTTACAGATGGTGGGAATAAAATTTCCCAACAATAACTTACACGGTGGATGCCAAGATGTGGTTTTCTCAATGACGTATTCCCAACGAAAACCTTAAAACCTAAAAAATGTGCTGAGATACAAATACAGAAACTTTTGAATGAGAAAAGCATTGACAATGTTATAATAGATACGTGTCAATAGTGTTGCTCCAATTACTGCTGGCCACTGAATAGAAACCATTAACCAAATTGATGAATTCCCTTGTGAGAAAATAATTTCGTCCAGCTATGGTATTAAAAAGATGCAGTCTCTTTCCTTGCGCATAGCCGAGAATGATGTGACCTCAGGGTGTCTTGCTGCGGCCCGATTGAATGCACAACCGTTGCAGATCGTAGCATAACGGGAAACTTCAGTCTATGTTACGGTCTTGTTTTCATAGACTCATCGCATTTATTGATGTCATTATGGCTTGTAGAGAGCTTGTGGCGATGTGAGGTTCCAATTGTCTTGATATCATGCCCCTGTTACTGTCTGTTTTCCTCGTGGTTGGTCATCATTTGTTTTTGCCACGTTGAGAGACAGACACATTGCAGTATGGAGTCGTTGTTATGGCGTAGTTTCTGAGTCATTTAACCCTGTTGTGTTGACATTTTCCTTTTTAGGTAATGATGGACAGTCGGAAAGGTTGCTGTGCCTTGCTTGCGCCAAACAATTACCCTATTATATATAAAGACAGGCACCCCCATCCTTTGTAGCTTCTTTCAATCCTTTATTCCATGTCCCAACACCATCTGCAAATTTATCCGCCCAGCCAGTACGCCTTTGATCAGCCGTCGAAAGATGGGTTTTCAGACAGACGACGATCACTCGTTGGAAATTCATGGCAAACCTTATCGAGTTCCAAATACCGCCAATTTCCAGAAACAGATAATCCATGGTTTTACGAAATTGAAGCTGCCAATACTGCTATAGCGCGCAAGGAAGTAAGTGCGATAAGCTTAAATTCGATAGTAGGACAAAGAGTCTACGTTTTGCGATCATTAGCTAACCACCAGTGATTTAGAGGGAAAACAAAGCCCTGCTTCAAGAAATCGAACGAATCCAGCTACAATCCAAGGAGGAGGTTGCCCAATTAACAGGTAAATAGTGATCCATCGCCACATTTTCATGAGGACAAGCATCTGATGTGGCACCAATAGAAACAATAATGCGTCTGAGGCAAGAAAATGCAGATATCCGTGATGCTTCCCAAAAGAAAATTACCTTACTGGAAGCGGAAATCAAGAAAATGGATGATCGACCAACTGCTGCCAGCACAACAGGTACCGTCTTCTTTTTTTTTTTAAAAAAAAAAACAAACAAACAAATCATTCGATTGAAAATTCCCGTGCGTGATCGTTCACACAAACTTTTGTTGTTGTTCAGTCGAATCATCTATTTCTTATGATCAGCCAGCATCACCCTTATCTGAGGAACCAGCGGCGCATCAGATCAAATCCAAAGCCTTGGTGCTTAGTATTCAGGTAAAGCTTCGATTGTCATTGTCACTAGGCTTCTGATGTTTGTCACAGGCGCTAACGTTTTATTTGGTGCAGGATACGATAGAGGCGATTGAAGCAGAACTGCGGTCCTACCAGCTCCATGGTCGCAGTGATGACAATTTTCAACCGTCCCTCCCATCCGATGATCAGCCCGCCGTCGCAAACAGCAGCCAAGTAGTGATGAAAGAAGCAGCTAAACTACCAACACCCGACAATGAGAAAACAGCATCATTCGCTGTTGATGTATCAAGGCCAGGTCGGAAATCGAAACAACCCATGGCCAAACCATTGCCGGTCCCTCAGATAAACCACACCGTCAAAGGCCTTCCGCGTATTTTTGGCAAGTTTGGCACTAAGCGTGCCCAAAACAAAGCGGCGGATGTAACTGTTCAAACCAAAGGCGCGAACATCGATGTGCCCTGGAATTCACCGAGAAAGCCAAGTTACGAACGGATACCTGCATCATGGGCCGACCACAGGGTCGGATCACCATTAAATGATACCAAAGATGTCCCTCCCCTATCCCCTTCCCCATCGAGTTCTTCTTCCTCATTTTCATCCTCCTCCACAACCCCGGATGAAGAAGCGCTAATGCAAGATATATCCCACATCCGATCTCTGCTGAATCGAGACTTGGCATAGAACGATCACTTCCGAAACAGCCGACCGAGTTTCAAAAATACAACATAACTCCCATACCCGCGCCGACTTGCATCCAGCGCACGAACGATACATAATTTAACACATATTCATTGATCACGTTTTGTACAGTAGAATCAATTTTCAGCCATTTCACGGCTGCATAGACATCACTACACAAGAACGCCGTGCTTATTTTATCCATCGCCTTATTTTAGAATTTATAAGCGGTCCATTTGTCACCGCCGGCCGGCTTTCTGAATCTAAATAATGGTATCATACTAAAGAAAATAAAGCACGATTTGTAAATACATCAGATGGAGATAAAACAGCATAAGTGTTTTAGTCAATCAACATCTATGGAAGTCATAGGACAAAAACCCGGCTTCCGATTACTTCATATTGCTTGCTTTTACGAGGGAAAAAAGAAATTCTTATCATAATTAAATTAATCAAACTTGCAACAGATTTTGGATACAAAAGACTTGCGCCCTTATTTTCCACTGTTACTTGATTATATGCACAAAGTATTCCTGTTACTGCATTGCTGTCATTTAATTATTGTCAATTACCGATGACTGATTCGCAAGTAAAATGTATGAAAGGCTTTATTTTTATGACGATTCGAGTATCATATTTTTATTTTTGTCATATTCACTTTATTTTTTATTTTATGCATGTTCACCGACTGTCTTTGCTGTCTGTGTACTGGTGCCAAAGACAACCTTCGTGGCATAACCAAATATTTTTATTTACTTCGTGTTTTTGATTCCCATCACTCCAGATCAGGAGATGAAGAAGGTTATAAGTAGATGACTTAAACATTGGGAAACAAAACATATTACTGTAAAAGCCTTTCTGTAGCTTAGAGATGGAACGTCTGGCAACAATGGATCTAGCGACAACCTTACAATTTTCAATGGCGTATAGTAATTGTATTAAGCCGAATGAAAGCATGGTTCAAGCTAGGCGCCGTTTCCTGTAGTATCGGAGAGGATTTTTTACAACCAAACGGTGACTATCCACCGTACATCAATTCATGAATCATCAACAAAGACTACTACGTTTTTCCTTTCTTCAATCTTTGTTTTTATCCACAGTTGAATAGTTTCAAGAAAAAAATATAGAATGGGCAGGACCCGTAGTCAGTAGTGAAAAAAAGAGAAATTTTGAACTGTCTTTATAGAGGCTCCAAGACTATACGCTCAAGTGTAGCCATCTGTTGTTGCGGATCTAAAAGATCACCAAAACGCGCAATATCCGCTTTGTATATATATAAAACTAGTGAGAGACACATAGGAGTATGGATTTGACTAAAAGCATTTTCGGCTTCGTCTCATGTCAAAGCAATAGCTATCTCTTCGTGAGAATAATACTGGCTTCCAGCGATAGATCAAAGTTGGTTATCGTACTTCTTTCAAACCCAGAAGCATATAAGAGGAATGGTCGTATCGATACCATGAGATTATCGCCAGCCGCCAGTTGTACCATGTCAACTGTAATCTTGGTATTGCGTGACTTTGCTGATGTTTTTGTTCATCGAGCAAATGTATGCTTACATAGGACTGGAAATGGTTGCAGAGAAAACACTGGCGTATGGGAGGGTCATCATTCATTTCTGCATATCCGCTTGGGTTTGTCCACAGCGATTGTAGTTCACAAACATATGCCGCTATATTTGAGGAAATTTTTTAGGTTGTGCCATTTTTAAGAAATACTACGTTCGTGAATACCATATCCAGACGACGTAGTGTCACTCTAGATGTTGAAGGGAACAGCCATAACAGGAAGACAGAAACTGTAGCATTCCGACGCAGTCTGAAGAGGAATTGAACCACAACGGTCACAGTAGGTTTTAGGACAATGGTATGGAGATGAGAAGAGCCGTAGTTACTGTCGCGTAGGAATAAAGATGATCATAAATTGAATTTGCCATGATATTGACAAAGATGGCATATGATTTTGAATGATTTAGGAAAGCATAAACTGATAAGATGAAGTGGTTTGGGGTGTAAAGATTCTTTCATTATGATGAACTTTATTTCATCTGACTTTGAACTCGCGAGTGGAGAAATCTAAAAAGTGCGAAATGCCGAGAAAAAACAGTGGTTATTTTTTATTGCCATGTGATGCCAATTGCCTGTGATTTCAAACCAGTATCCAATCGGCCGATATTTAACAAGCTAGACAATGAATCGACAACAAAAAGGAATGTCAGTGCAAAAGTTTTTATCTACAAAGTTTGCTTCAATGACGTACAAGCACAGAAATACACTTTTGCGAACAGCGTGTTGAAAAAAAAAAAGTTTTTTTTTTTTGTTGGGAAACTGTAAAATTTCTACTTTCACGTGTCATATTAGGGTTTAGTGTGACCAGAGATCAAGCGCATCCCCAACCAACGATAATTATTTCGCGCATTTTTTTTTTTCTTTGGTGGGCTTCTTTTTTTCGGTTCACGTTTCCCTTTTTCTTTTCTCTCCAGAAAACATAACACTCCAAAAACTTGGATCATGGGTGGCAAAAGACGGTCACCTTCACAGCAATACGGAAAAGAGGCAGTCCAAGACATTACCAACACTACGTCTAACATGCCAGCACCGACAGGAGAGAAGAGCGATGTCGTGCTTTTGGCCGCCGAGCCAACCAAGAAGAAGTGGCAAAATTGGTGGTTACGAACCATTACCACTTTTATGATGATTGGCACTTTTTTTGCCATTCTCGCCTCGGGCCACATTTGGGTCATTCTCATGGTCGTGGCCATTCAAACCATTGTATACAAAGAAGTCATTCAGATCGCACAGGTTCCTGCTAAAGAGAGAAGTATGCGATGGTTCAAAACTATGAGCTGGTAAGTCCCATGTCTCAACAAAAAAAAGAGTATTGTACCCAGCCTACTCAAATATGCACACGTGCTCCTCAGGTACTTCTTAGTTTCAACCACCTACTATCTCTATGGCGAATCCATCATCTACTATTTCCAGCAAATCATTCTCGTTGACGCTTCCCTTTTACCATTTGCTACCCATCATCGCTTTATCAGTTTCGTCCTCTATGTGATTGGTAAGCAGAGCTGTGGCGTGGCCGTGAAACCGAGAGTGAAGCGCAATACTGATACGACGTGCGTGTTTAGGCTTTGTCTTTTTCGTTATGAACCTGAAGAAAGGCTTCTATAAACGTCAATTCACTCAGTTTGGTTGGATGCACATGGCCTTGATTCTTATTGTTGTGCAGAGTCATTTTATTGTAAATAATATTCTGGAAGGTCTGATCTGGTGAGTGCTTCAACTCGAGTATGAGAAAAGCAAACACGGAAGCTGATAAGCGGTTGTTTTTTAGGTTTGTACTTCCAGCGTCTTTGGTGATCTGCAATGACATCTTTGCCTATGTGTGTGGTTTCTTTTGGGGACGTACTCAGTTGATTCAGTTGAGCCCCAAAAAGACTGTGGAAGGATTTGTGGGTGCCTGGATTTGTACCTTGATTTTCGGATTCCTCGTACGTATAAAGCGAAATGTGTAGTAGTAGACTGGACCATAACCACTAACGTACAACGGTGTTAGTGGTCATCCTTGTTGATGCGATTCAATTACATGATCTGCCCCGTCAAGGTGAGTGCGGGTAGCGAATTTTTGCTACAAGTCTTGTTTTAGCTAATATCGGGGACGGGGATTTCTAGGATTTATCCATGTCAGCATGGTCCTCCATCACTTGTGAACCCAAGAATCCCGTTTTCATTTCAGTGCCCTGGGAGCTTTCGGAAACATGGGTATCTTTGGGCAAATATCTGGTAAGAGTGTGGGTCTTGGGGGTGATTTCTCTTTGCTCGGTCTTCTAATATCGAAACAATTTTTTGGGGGATCGAATGGATAGTTGCATAAGGAGATTACCGAAGTATGGATTGCGCCTATTCAGCTTCATGCCCTTGTGATGGCATGCTTTGCTTCTTTGATTGCACCGTTTGGTGGCTTTTTCGCCAGCGGTGTTAAGCGTGCATTCAATATCAAGGATTTCGGTCAGAGCATTCCTGGCCACGGTGGTATGACGGATCGTATGGATTGTCAGTTCTTGATGGGTCTCTTTTCCTACATGTATTACCAAAGCTTTATCAAGGTGTGTATTCTTGGCAGAACGTAAATTACTTTTTATTGGTGATACATGGGGTGACTGATCACTGTGATTTTTTTCTTTACAGACGTTCAATTTATCGGTGGGCGCTATTCTAGCCACTGTCATTAACAGCTTGTCTGTGCAGGATCAGCTCGAACTTCTCGAACGATTCTTGACCTACTTTGTCAATCAGGGCATTCTGGATTCCAGTGTCCTTGAACGATGCGGTTCGGCCGCCTTGACAGAAACCGCACGTAACATTCTCCCATAAAAGGCATCTCAGCATAAGCACACAGACGTTCAGACACTGCCAAGCAGCCATTATGTCTAGTATTCACCGTACTCTGTAATCCTGTTAATTTTCTATCCTGTCATTTTCTCACTTATATAAAATCATTCATTTGCCAAGAAAAGGAATAAAGCTGTGTGCATGTCATTCAGACCCGATTTCATAGGGAATCATGTCGGTGAAAGTGCAAGTGCAAAATATACTTGCAGCTGGTCAATGCTATTATTTTTCCTGCTTGATTTTCAAAACCCGCCCATGGGGACAGTGGTCGCTTATTGACGAAGGATGCTCGCTACACCATCGCATCCTTTGTTCACATGTTGGATGAAGCCTTCAATAAGCTTTTTCTGGCAAGTCAATTTTCCATGTGATTATTCTATTTTGTACGTGGCTAGTATTTTGATGGATCCGTAACTGAAGATCCGGGTCTTGTCTTTTTGGTGAGCAAGGAGGGAATGCACGCCATGACGTGATGGGTTGGCCAAAGCTTTTTTCTTTCGTAGCGTGTTACGGAATTGAATATAAATATTATTTGGAATAGTTTAGATTATACATGTAAGTGGTCAACACAGATAAAATGGTTCGATCATTCATCTGAGAATGCAAAAAAGGAAAATGGAACAAAATTGACACAAATAGCAATTTGTAAAAAAATAATTCAGGAACGAGATGCTGGGATAGGTTGCAATTTGACGGGTTGCAATGTAGGTTGGGGTAAAAAAAGACGAGGGGACGTGGAAAACCAAAAAAGAAAAAAAAAAGATGGTATTACAAGACAGCTTGGTGTTGAATCAATGATATGTTAATGATAGCGATCGGATGGAGATTGTTTGGCTGTTTCCCAAAACACGGTGATTTCCCCATCCCCTACAGTGGAATGGGTACCGCCTGCACCGCTGTGAAACGATGTCCAACTGGCGGTCTTGTACTGTCTTGAATCACGTTCGTTTGACGCTGGACTGAGATATTCACGAGATGCATTCGTTGAAGTCGCAGCTTCATTCAGTGGCGGCGGGCCCGAAGAAGTCGGTTCGAGTTCTATTTCTGGTTGATCTTTGTCGTCGTGGTTATCCTTGTTGTCCTTGTTGTTGTTGTCAATAACGGTGCGGACGGATCGTTTTCGGGTGATACCTCCTTCTTTTTTCGTAATGGTATTAATACGGACCATGGTTGGCTTGGCACGTACAACGTGGATGGGCTGGGCATCTGCCGATTCTAGACTGACTACCGAGCTATCGGCATTGAGCGCGGTTTTGGAACCGGTTGTTCGTACGGAAGCCGTACGTTGAACACCCCCCGCCTCCGTTGCCGTATCTGCCTGCTGATTTTTGCGTACCGAAACGGCTCGTCGTATTTGCACTTTGTCTTCGTCATCGGAATCCTCGAGAATTAGTGGCTCACGAGACGTACCGGAAGGCGGTGCGTAGGTGTGCAGGTTATCGTATTTTGTCACTTTGACCGATGACGATCGATTCAGGAAAGCGTCCTGGGATGTGGGTCTTGCAGGCGGCGATGGAAGAATATTCAGTGAACGACGAATGACGGCGTTGGCCGGTTGGGTGGGTGAGGAAGCATCAAAGCGAGGAATGTGAAGTGAAGAGGCGCACAGAAACAGGGGCGTGGGTGCGAATGGGTCGCCGATTGAAGTAACGGTGGGATTGGACTCCTACGAAAACCCCATTTTAGTCAGTTAGTACACCCATCGTCTCTCATGGTTTCATTTCCGACGGTTACGGAACAAGTATATTTTTTTTTCTTCATGCATGACAGCAGTAGCTGATCAAACAAAAGGAACTTTGATACAATACCTTTAACCATGGATCGTGGCTGGTGGGAGTGACGGGTGCAGGGGAAGTTTTGGGTGAGAAGACGGCCGACACCGGTGGCATCAAGGACGCAGGGTCAAAACGTGGCGAAGCGTCGGCATGTTTAATTTTGTGATGTTTCGCTCGTTTCCGTCGCTTTATAAATACAAAGCCAACGATCGTCGCAGAAACCAATGCCATGCCAACCAGACCGGTGATCAAGCCGGCCATCAGGGCCGTTTTCGGTTTACTTTCAGAGGCAGAGGCACGTTGCTGCGAGACGGACATTCCCAGGGACTGAATATTGACACATTGGGATAGTGGGCATTCGCCGCACACTCTGATGATGTCCAACACACAACGTTCGGAAGGGCCGCAAGTCGGTTCGCAGCGTGCTCGACAATTCTTGGGTTGACACGAATTTTGCGCCGTGAGTATTTTATGATCTGCAAGCAAAATGAGTGCATTGTTACAATGACAACGTGCTCTTTCTTTTCGCTCACCATCAACAGTTGCCATGGAAGGAGACTATATTCAGTTCAAAAACGCCAAAAAGAGCAAGAGTAACAACAATAACAACGAACCCAAAAAAAAAGTAACAAGAAAAAAAAAGGAGGCGAAGCGTGGAGAGATCGACGGCTTAATCCCATTGTGACGAGTAGCATTTTTTTTTTTTTTCATCTCCAAACCAAACGTAACCAATCAACTAGTGTAATTTGGAGGATCCCGATCCCACATTCCAGGACCCAAATTATAACCAGCTTTCGGGCTCCCGCGGAGATTCTGGTGCCTGTCAACAAGTCATAACACCATCTGTAAGTTGTTCTTTACAGTTACGAATAAAGCAAACTGTTCAGTGAACTAATACTAGAAATGTATGCTCTCGTCGCTTAAAAGTTGGGTTCACGTAAAGCGAGACAAGGTCTCGGTACGAGTACAAACACCGACAAAAAAAGATGGTGTGTCTAGTAAGCGTAGTCGTAAAAAATGTCGCAGGGGGATCATATTCCTTTCAACCTATGTAGATAATACCTTGCGATGTGGCCAGTGTTATCATGACTGTCGTAAAAGCAATGCATGACGATGCCTTGAAATACATAATCGAGCATACAATACTATCGTATCATATGCCCTACCATGAATGCAAATATACATCATCAGTGTCATTATCGATTATGGAATCAATGTTTGCGTGTCATAATACAATTGACAGTTTGTAAGGGTCATAAACATGCTTTTTTTTTCACCGTTACAGTATCTTTATTTGAGATGGGATTTCTGTACCATAAAAGAAGCTGCAAAGACAGGTGTCGTTCGTTCGCAGAGTTGCATGGCGATAAATCGCTAGATAGAGCATGGCTATTTTTTTCATTTTACGCCATATGATAAACTACCGACAATATGCGGCCTTTCAAAGGCGAAGGCATAGGGTGACTTTGGTCGATTTCGACCTTTATCTTTTTCATTTAAATGAAGCATTCCCAACCTTACTGATCAACTTTTTGTGCTATTAAGCAATGGCCTTACAGCAAGGTGAGCAATGCTGAACACCATGTGTGAGTAACTGATGGCTTTTTTTTCCCTTCTCTGGTCGAGTATTGCACGATACATATGCAAGCTGTATCTCACAGTGACAAAAGCGCATAAGACATTTTATGGATAAATGGCATAATTATTCATGTTTTTGTGATTTGTCATTCACAATGGAAATAATCAACTTTTTCAATGACGGTATAACCCACCATTGCCCCAAAACCAGCACACCCACTATAGCCAATACAATTTTATATACCTGGTGAAATAGAAATCCCGCGTATAAATTCTCCAAAACTACAGACAAATAGCATTAGACAAGTGGTTACTTTTCTTTTTTTTTTCTTTTTCTTTTTTGACAAGAAATACTACGTACCAATGTCATACACCACTGGAGTGTATTCAACCAATGGGATATTGGACACACCGGTATAGTTTGCTTCCACTAGAACCCATTTGGTCAGTGTGCTTTGGGTAGCAGTTTTCACTGCTTTGGGATTCAGAGGAAAGTCGGGATGATTCAAGGCGTCACATGGATCGAGGAGCGAAACTGAGAAATCGGCAGGTGTCTACATCATGGACGTTAGAAAAAAAAAACACGCATAGGCCAGTTGCGGTTTTGCTGGTATCTTACAATAGCAGGATACGATATTCGGCATTCATAGCTAGCGTCACTTTGCAGATCTTTCAGTTGATACCAGTGTTTTGATGCCGTTACGGCCGGATTCGGAGGGTCATGGAAAGGGATAATGGCGTTTTGCAAACGTGTGTACGGTGGCGAGAGAATGGGGACTTTATCGGTTTGTATGCTTGCTATTTCCGTTAAAGAACATGTGGAACGGGTGGGATGAACGGTAAAGATAAGTTTTTCTGTATTTGCAAGTACGCCAAGTGCTGATAGAGCGAGCAGAAAGCATGCATAATACACTTGCATGGTTAAAGATGCGAAATAAAAAAACTCCCCCCCATTCTGGCACGGATGTGTGTGGCTTGTGACACACCCAAGATTCCGCGCGTGGAAAATGTGTATGCCCGCTCGTACCGCCCGACTCATTGGAACTTTATTATCGCCAAATGTCTTCGAGAGCATTACGCCGACTACAAAAGCAACAACTGCAAGAGTTAGACCATGCTAGTCATAGCGAAGACGACTCATCAGAAGAGGAAGCTCCACCACCCAAAGCCCAGAATTTGTTCGACTTGGTAATACAAGAAAGCCTCTCCACCGCAGCAAACATGCGTGAATGCTGATATCATGCCGTTAGTTGAATGAAGACCAAGACGATGACGATGCAAATGATACGGACAATGCAGACGAAACAGATGCAATGAACGATGAACCCGTAGCTGAAAAGAAACCAAAAGTGGTACCGCGAGAACACGACGAAGAGGAAGAGAAAGTGAGTGCGGATATGGTTTAGATTTACTTTGGAAATACCAGGCTGAGATACTTTCTTCAGTCTCCTAGTACTGCGCAGGTCGTTAAATCGAGTAAAAAAAACAAGAAGAAAAAAAAGAAGGGAAAAGCTCAGGCTCAAGCTCAAGCCGTCAAGAGCCATGCTTCCTCAAAGAAAGATATTGCGGACATGAGTTGGGAAGAATTCGATGATGTCTTGAAGGAGATCGGTGGCAGGTAAGTTCTTATAGCCAATCGGTTCGAAGTATCGAGCTTTTAACGTATAGCTTAGTTCACAGCCGGATAATGCGGGTTCGACAAAGGAGGAGGACACGGAGAATGCCGATGAACGCTGCCGTTTGCTGTCAGTTAATCAACGTTATTTGGATGCGGAAGCCGAAATGAAGCGCCTGTTTGGATCTCGCGTAGTGAATAGTGAGAATCGAACCGCCGGAAGGTATTGATTCACTGGGAATTCTCTGGATCCGTTTGCCGAAACTCACCTGGTTCATCATGTAGAGTTTTGAAACGTTCCAAATTAAGTACACCCAAAGTGGATTGGCCACCTTACAAAAAACAAGGATTGTCAATGTCGTTGATTGAAAACAAACCAGGCAAGCCAAAGCGTTCAAGCCATGAAGGGCGAAAAAAGGACAAAAGGAAAGATTAATTTTAATAATGAATAGGTTCATCCTATTATGCATTCACGCACTCCGAGGAGTATCAGGATGCGCAGCTCGAATTTTTGAATTGTGTGGCATCGCACGACCCAAATGCTCTGATGTTCCTGACTCACCATCATCCTTATCATGTGGATGGTTTACTTCAAGTCTCTGAGGTAGCCAAACACAGCGGTGATCATACAGTGGCTGGTGAATGCATTGGTATTTATCCTAAGGAAATTCCGGTAATGAAATGTTCATCGTTATTAACATTGCTGTAGAACGTGCCCTTTATGCTTGTGAGCGAGCTTTCCATCCTCACTTTTCGCTGTCCTCTGGCACGTCCAGACTTTCATACCAGCGATCTGAGAACCGGTACGATTTATATCCTTGTTATCGCTTATTTTGTCATGCTAACGCAGCTAGGCGATCGACGATTTTAGATCCTTCTTCCTTGCCATTTTCCGTCACATTCAATTTTTGACCCGCCGTGGGTGCTGGCGAACCGCCTTTGAATTCAATAAGCTGTTGTTCAGGTAAAAAGTCATGGATGGCCAGAGGGAATGTGGGCAGTGATTAACCCACGAGTGTTTGTCTGTTAGTCTGGATCCCACTGCCGACCCCACAGGCGCCTTGTTATCCATTGATTATTATGCATTGAATGCCAAAGATTACGGTTATTTGTTACGAATGATATCGCATTGGAAAACCGATGCGTCAATCTACCCTGGCGCCTTGGATGATTTACCCAACTTTGCCTTTTCCGGAGCTTATGCCAAGTTCAAGTTGGCGCAAACCAAAGACAATGTATCTGAGGAAGACAGCTCTGCCATGCTAAAGGAAGCGATTAAGAAATTCCCTCAGTTTACACCTCGTTTGTTGCAAAAGCTCGGCGAATCCGATCCATTAGTATCTCAGGTTCAAGAAACGTAAATATTTTTGCTCTCTTTAATGGCTGCCTTGGTATAGCTGACATTTTGGTCGTATTAGCATCAATGACCCTTACTTGGACCTACTCCTCTGGTTGGCCGTGGAAAGGAATCATGAACTTTGGAAAGAGCCAGAGGTAGGTGTTAAAGTGCCTTTAAAAAAAATAGGAGCCTTGGGATCTGACTGAACATTTTTTATGCTGCGCTGTTTTACAGGTATTGCAGTGGCTGAAGCAGACGGCTCACCAAGTAAAGGCTCAAGACGACCTGGCTTATCAACAAGTGCGATGCAGTGAAAACCGTGATATTCCGTTGAATGTGTGTCGTCATGTCATCATGTCCGAAATTCGCAAGTGTCTTTCTTACCTACCGACGTCCGTCACTGGCACCGATTACCATATGTATGACCCTCTTCCACCGCCGGATTCTGTATCAGGTTACGATATCAACGACAGAATTCGCAGGGGTCACGGAAGCGGGGCACAAGCTGCGCCTACAGGAATTCTGGCCAGAATCCAAAATTTCCTCGATGGTATGGGAGGCAATGTCTCTCCGGAAACGGCTGACCAAATCCGTGAAATGATGGCCGAGGTACGGCGTCGTATGGATACGCTCCCAGGCACTTTTCCCGATCTCCAAGACTACGAGGAAGATGAAAGGTATGATCCTCCATCAGGTTCTGATCTCTGTCAATATGGCTGCTGACATTGTTCACGTAGTGGCGAAACACCTGCAAACCCAGAGCAGCTTGATTTTGACTACCTTGACGAGGTAGCGGCCGAAGAACTGGCTATGCAAAGAGCTTTGGCAGAGGAATATGAGCGAAATGATAGTCATAACAACCATAATAATGACGACCGTAGATCAAACACTGAATAGATGCAAAAGAATAACAACACCGTCTTTTCGACCTGATGTTTTTCTATTGATAAAAGCAATGCGTTGCAAAGAGGCTATGTACAGAGAAATCACAAAGTGTAACGTTGGTTCTATTTCTTCATCTTGGTTTCGGTGAATAAGACGTGCTGCTTCACTGTGGTCGAAAGAGAAGTGAACAAAATATGAGTTAGAAAACAACGCGTTTATCAATTGCATTGGGCGCCTCACGTACCAACAGGATCGTATTTCATCATGGACAACTTGGGATTGATTCTGGGACGAGCCTTGATGTAGTTATAGCCAGTGCCGGCGGTGGACAACATCTTTACGAGAATGACTCTTGCTTTTGCCTTTTTTGCCATGATCTGTAGGAGAACAACCGTTGTTTGTTAATAGAGCACTCTCATCGGCATTCAACTGCGGATTCACTACCTAGAGTTTTGCTTCAATCACAGATTACAGAAAACAACCTGAAAGCGCACCCCTCGTCTTGTTTTTTGTTGCCGTCAAATGAATAGCAAGTCACACAGGGCCGCCGACTGCCAATCAATTTTTGCGGATTTGCTGTATTTGCTGTTTCCCCGCTGAATCCTCATTATCTCGGAATGGGTGACAACGAACGCAGATCCACCATTATTCATCATACAAAATGATACATAGATGTATACAATAACCATTTGGTCAATCAATATAGAGTAGCTTCTTGTTTTTCACCTTTATCTCGGCCCATGCATCGCTTTAACTTAACAGATCTCGTTGCTCTATTAAAAAAGGGTAAGCTTTCATCACTTCAATGGTCATGAGCCTTGCCATTTGTTCTTTTACCTTATTTCTGCCTTATGCTACCGCGCCTGCAGACCTAATACTCACCCATTTCAAGTAACAGCTTTTTTTTTTCTCGTTTGTTTTTTTTGCTGTCTGATCGGCAGTCGGGTTTGGACATTTTGCGCAAATTTCAAATAACAGTCCCACCGAAGCAACGCTAAGCTCCGCCATGAACAATGCCTGTGTGGGTAAACAGCGGGTTTCCTTCAGCATCATGAATCAAGCTGCCAGAGGTTCACGAGTCGTCTTTGGTAAGCATGCTGGAACGCAACAAACAACATTACGCTTATGTTAACCTTGCTGTTGACCATATTAGTGGGCAATATTCCTTTTGAGCTCACAGAGGAACAGCTCATTGACGTGTTCAAGGAAGTCGGACCTGTAGCGTCTTTTCGGTAAATGAAGCCGATCTACTTGTCTTTGCTGAATAAACTTGTTCATTTTGCATCTTTTTCCTTAGTTTATTATTTGATCGTGAAAGCGGACGACCGAAAGGTTATGGATTTTGCGAGTTTTATGGTAATGCTTGGAAAAACACGATCGATACATTTATCCAAATCATCTTACACCGATCTTTCCCACAGATGCCGAAACAGCTGCAAGTGCCGTACGCAATCTAAACGATTATGAAGTTGGCGGTAGACAGTTGAGAGTTGATTATGCCGCCATGGACGATCACCAGCGTTCGGCCGGTCCACACAATAAGCACGCACCACAACAGCCAACCCCATCACAGCATGCCCCACCTCCGATGCCACAGGTAAGACCATCACTATTTCATCGTACATGGGATAGGGAATTGTGATGACTCATTTCTGTAATAACATCTCAAAAGGCGAGAGGAAACGCCATGTCTCCAGGACCAGCGGCTGGTAAACCCGGGGCTGCGCCTGTATCCTCCGTGGTCGAAATTTCAAAAGTGCTTGCTTCCATGAGTCCCCAAGATTTGTTCACCTTGATGAGTCAGATGAAGGTAAGTTGATTACTTCTTTTAAATCATGTTACTGGTATATAGCAGAGTGCTTATATGGAAGAAACAGCAAATGTGTTTTGAAAAACCGGATGCTGCACGTGATTTCTTAACGGCCAACCCTCAAGTATCGTATGCGTTATTTCAGGCCATGGTGATGATGAATATTGTGGATCCAAATATTATTACTGTAAGTGACGAGACTGGTATGACAGAGAGGAGGAATAGACACTCAACATCTATTTGCATGGTCGCTTTTTTATAGAGAATCATGAGTAGTCCTGCTGTACCTGCTGCGCCTGCTCCCGCGGCTGCTGCTTCACCTGTCGTCAATGTTGCCACCCCTCCTCCTGCCGTCATGCAAACGCCCGTTCAGCCTTCCATGCCACCCATGCCAACCATGCCAGTTATTCCTCCGTCACAACCACCGCAACCCCCCGTGAATCATACTATGCCATTCCCTGCTGCCGGTTCTCCCGCACCGCAAGCTCCGCCTCTTGGTAAGTCATCATGGTCATCAGTAGAATTGAGACCATTTTCTAATACCAAAATTGTGTAGGTGATATCGCAGAACAACAAAAGGCGTTATTGATGCAAGTGTTGCAGCTAACCGAAGAACAAATCAACGCGCTTCCACCCGAGCATCGCGAACAAATTCGACTATTGGTAAATTTTTCTTTGCACAAAAAATGTCGGATCGATATCTGCGTGGGTTGCTAATCATTGATACTGGTTTTCTGCAATACAGAAAGCGCAATTGGGTGGACAGTCCTAAAAAACCCCTCTTATTTCACGTATTTCACTGATTGTCCTTTGTTGGCTCGTTTTTCCAATTTCGCTTGACGTTTGGATTTGGCTGCTTCCGGTGCGGCGCCTTCCGATCCCATTCCACCGCTGCCAAGATAGGACATGATCATTGGAACGCATTTATACAATGCATACGCCGGAATCTAGAAAAAAAAATAACATCAATTGATACATCATCCAATAAAAACTATTTCCCAATGTTCTTACCACAAGGTAAGCGAACCAGAACTTGTTGGAGATGAACGCGGTGGTCAAGTGGACAAACCAAGTCACATAAATGATATCGAACATGTAACTATGCAAAATCCCATCTTTTGAGCCAACTTGAAAAAAAAAATGCTATTCAGCACAAATTATTTTTCTTACGCTGTCAATCCTTCTGCGTTGAGATCATCACCACTGGATCGCAACGATCCACTCGCGTCATAGCTCGGTCGACCCGATGATTCCAGAACACTGTAAAAGAACATACTCAAACCGCCGGTACAGACATATAACACAAGCTGCGAAATGGTAAACGATGACCAGTGATAAATGGCCCGCCATAAGATGTAGATAGCCTAGAATGACTCGTCAATACCAAAACGCGATCATCCAAGAATTCCACCGAGGTTTTACTTACATTCACAATGAGGAAGCCTTTTTGCAGATTGGCCAACGTACGCTTATTGGCCGCGGCAATCTTTTTTGATGAAGCGTTTGCCTAGCGAGCGTTTTAGCCAATTCTGATGAACGGTTGAGGGTGAGCTTTTTTTTTTTTTTTTTACCATGAGGAAAAGATTGTAAAGTATAGACATTGCGGGTTTCAGTTCGCACAAGCTTTCCTCCAGTAATAATTCAAAGTCCGCAATAAAACGCGGTAGCACGGTGCGCTTTTGACCCTCTTTTAATTCAATAAACCGGATTTTGCTTGAGTTGTAGCCGAGCCATATAAGAACATCAGCTTATTTCATCAGCATTCGCGGGTGATGCACATCGAGCGATACCTTTCTGTATACAAGAAAAAAAAAAGTACGTTTGCTTGCGACATGAGTCCACAGAATCTTCATAAGACATACACAGAATCTGGTTTATAGCTTCATACTAATGCCCGCATCATATCTATTCAAGTATGTGAAACTGGCAATGTCTTGCCATTGTTGATGCTGCGCAAAAAGCCGACCCTCACGAGAATTTTATCTAAATTACACGGCTAAAAATTAAACAGAGTTCAACTGAATGCACTGCAGCACACTATAAATCATAGCAGCAAATTCCTCACCACGATGAATAATGTAATAGCTGAGACCTGTGTATCTACGGTAGGTATGGTTGTTGACAGTGAGTAAGTCCTTCTGTGTATAAAGCCGTTCCCACCAGAGTTCATGATAAGGTAGTTAACATGTCCACAAATAAAGAAATACTTGATTTTTCCGGTTTATAATAGTAAAAGCACTGTTCAACCATACGCGACATGGAAAGTATAGTAGGTAATAATGCTTTTGAAGGATATGTTTGTATGCAAGGCACATGTGCACGGTCAGGGCACAAGAAACTAAGTAGCTATTATGCACATTGTTGCTTTCCCGATCAACCGTTGCATCCATGGGCGGAGAATGAAGTTGGTCCATTGATTGAAAAAACAAAAAAAGGTTCCACTGAGCGTTACACATCCAGTTGATGGCTATTTTTGAGAAGCTTTCGGGATTGGCTCAACGAGCAAAAGAGCATGGTATATCGAAATCCGTCATTGCAAAGGACAAGCGCTTAGAACAATCACTGTCAACGAACATCACTCAGGACAATGTCGCGCTGGCCCACGTGAGTTGCATCAAGCTCCAATTCCCAGCCAGTGTCTCACTATCGTTCTCCCTAGATGTCAACGTACGGCATGCCCAATCTCGCATCGGCTATTGCTTTTGATCCTTGGACGGGTCTTTTAGCCGTTTGTAGGTTGCGTTTTGTTACAAAAGAATAATGCTCAGAGCTAATAATTGGGCTTTCACAACAGCCGGATCTTCTCCGTGTTTCATACAGGTGTTTGGTAAAGGCGTGTCGGCCAAGATCCCTTTACCAAGTAATACGCCCGTTAAATATATGCATTTCAAGATGGGCTGCCCTTTGCTTATCGTGATTGATCGCAAAAATACAATTATCACGATCGACCTGAAAACGAAACGTGTGCACCACGTCGTGCCTGTGGAAGCGATCGTCACCAGTTATGAATATTGTGTCGGTACTGACTGGCTTTGTCTTGGCTTAGTGGATGGCCGTGTCCAATTCTTTGACGTGGAGTTGGGGATCTTTGCCGATTATCAAACACCGAACTTGATGCTTCCCGAAAATCAACCAGCCGCAGCCGATCCAACGACCGAAAAGTTCAAATCGCAAAGTATCGTGGTGTGCCTTCAGATCCATCCTACCGATCTCCATCTTTTGCTGGTGGGATACGAGACTGCCGTTTTTTTGTGGGATCTGCGAGAGCGGGCGGTGAAACGCGTGTTTTCCTTTGAACCCGGTGAGATCGAAATCCGATTAACCTGTGTGATCTGGAGTCCATCCGGTCATCGCTTCATGGCAGGTTACGACGACGGGTCGCTGCGGCTGTGGGATATGCGATCGCCGCGTCAGCCCCTCACCTCTCGAAAATTGCTTCCAACGAGTGGATCAACCGACGACAATGTGCCTATTTATCGCCTTGCGTGGTACGTCGATACCTCACTTGATAGTTCCTATTTGCTGGTGGCAGGTGGCTCCCGGGACTTTCTCGGTCTCCATTCACTGGAATTTGATTTGGAACAAGATGGCCAGGAAGCACAAAAACAGTCGTTCATTTGCTCGTCCAACGAAGTCGACGACTTTATCATGTTGAGCCGGGATGCGTATTTTCTGGGAATGCGGGACCCCTACGGTGTCCTTATCCTTTCCTGCGACGGCTCCGTCCGAGGTTTTACATTCGATCACAGTTATTCTTCGCTCTTGTTACCAGCGCCTTTGGAAATGCTCATCCCGCCCGTGCTGTTTGCGCGTCATATTCCCATGCTACCTGAAGAGTCTTTCAGAACCCTTACCAGTGTTGTCGACCCTCACGTGAAATACTTACCACTCACTGGCGGCAGCGCAGGAAGAGACCATGTGTATCGGATTCCTTCCAACGATCTGTTGACGACGATCCACGTGGGTGAAATCATCAAATTCTGGGATGCTTCTTTTACTGCCTTAAAACCTCTGCCTTATTTAACCATCGATACCAAAGCGGCTTTAGCCAACACCAAGGCGCATATCCAGTGCATCAATCTCAACCAATGGACCAACGACTTTTCCGTTGGTTTCGATAATGGCACCATTTTTGTATACCAATTCCACTTGGTTGAGAACCAACAGCACGAACCCGCGCATAACGATGCTTTTCTAGCCAGTTGTGATGATACCCTCAAAGAATTAGGCGACTTGTTGCAGGAAATGGAAGCCCCCTTGGAGGACGATTCGCAGACGGATGAACTACAGCAGAACAATGTTGCGCCGTCTGCAGACAATCCACTGAACGAACCTGAGCAATCAGGGACGGCCAATACTCCCGAAGAAGCCTCCGACCTTCTCCATACCATTCACATATCCCACATTGATTCCCCGCATCGCGCACCGGGTTACTACCCTAAACTCAAGATACAAACAGACGGAGATTCCATTACTCACTTGACCAGCTATCGAGCTCACCTGTAAGGCTACCCACCGCATTGATGCATCATTTAATTCACGACAGGCTCCTCATTGCTTGATAGGTTGGCATTTGCAACTACGGGAGGAAAAGTGCATGTTATCGATTTACGTAGTTCGCAAACTTTGTTCACCATTGATATGAAAGGTAAAAATAGCGCTTTTAACTTGCCAAGGTATTTTGCTTACTTACAAAGGATGCAATTAGCATATATTATGGAAACGAAAGCAAAACAAAAAGATGAACTGGAAGAAGTGCCAATCGATGTAAAGATCCGTATTCTCAAACTGTACAACACATATTCTCCTAGTAGTTGTAAGAAGCGTGAACAATTTACCATGGTTGCCCTTTTAACTCATCAAGTGAATTAGTGGTCCGTACAGAAATCTCGCTTTATATTGCACTGGACAGCGGTTATGTATACCAGAAATCGCTTACTGCCGACGATGAGATTTGCCTTGTGACCAAGTCCCAGGATATGCCGCTGAATTTATTTATCATTGATGCGGAAGGAGGGGAGCAGAAATCAGAGTATGCCAATGCGGACGACAAAGACGATCATCAGCAAGGAACCAATCCTTTCGAAACCGACGCCAATTTACATAACGAGTCCGTTGACGCCCCCGATTGCATGTCGCTACACAGCAGATCGAGCCAGTCGACCAAAGAATCCAAAAAAAGCAAGGGCAAAGAACCACAAAAACAAGGTTCAGTAGATAGCATCAAAAAGAAGGCACAACCTCGGCTGCAACGCACACTGTCTCCTTTGGAATTCCATCCTCAACCCGTGCCGCATTACGTGGTCGTCATTTACCAGCATCTTATCCATGTTTTACTGAGCGGATACAATTTTCCACTCTACCGATTTGATATACGACGACTGGATGAAGAACCGTCCGACGAAACCATTCTGTGCAGTCAAATAACAACGGCAGAAGGTATGGCGGACGATTTGCGACAATTCTATCATGATAATTTTTCTTAACCGTAATAATAGGAAGCACCTGCCTCAGCTTACTGCTTGCTACTGGGCGCATCGTTTTGCTTTCTCTTCCCACTTTGAAAGTCATTGCTGAAACAACATTAACACATCCGTTGACGCGAGCTCACGAGTCATCCATCACTCCGGATGGTCGAATAATGACATGGACAGCGAAATACGAACTAGAACAAGATCTCTTTTTGTTAAACAATGGGTTGTAAGTATCATGAAAACAAGCAGGCGGCCTTTATCAGCTATACTAAAAATCCGGTTGCCACAGACCATTCGGCAACTCGGTGATTCTATATAACAAAAACATACAGATTCCTCCTCACCCAGCCTCTGCTGGCACTTCGAAACAAAAGAAATCATGGATCAGTACAGTGGCCGATGCATTCTCAAAGGATACCATGACAATGGCAGAATTTGACGCTATAAGTATGATAATTCAGGGAATCCAACCCATTTGTTTTTTTTCTTACTGATCGCGGTGTCTATTTTAGTGGGTAAACAAATACCAGCTGCATCCGATCCGCCGGCCCATGCATCTGGTCGTCAACCACCGCAATGTGATACCTCTGAAAGCGGTGAACCCAGTGGATCTACTAATGTATTCAAGGAACTAGCCAACAAAATGAATGAACGTGGAGACAAGCTCAATCAGCTGGAACACAAGTTCCAGGATATGAATCAAGCGTCGGGCGACTTTTTGAAAGCGGTGCGTGATTACAACGAAAGGCAAGCACGCAAAAAATGGTGGGAATTTTAGAAAAAAGCATGTATCATAAGAAAATATATCCTCTGAAAGCAATCTTTTTAATTGACATGGTCAACCACCACCGCAATGTTCGCATACAATCTTATACAGTCATTTGTTCGATTCAAATCCTTCCAGAGACTCTCTAGTTATATAAAACCGGGATTCTTTTACAAAAAGACTATGCCAAATTCAATACATGGTTCAATTTTACCGGATCCAAAGGCAAAAACAAGCAGTGCGATGTATACAACAGATGGTTGGTGCTTGAAATTATGTAATCCAAATATTGGATTATCTTGGTGCTAGGTATTCGTCGTCGTCTTCATCGGCAGTTTCACCAGCTTGACGGGTGAAAATAACCGGCCTGGCTTGTCCCATGAATCCCGTAAGTGCAACGGTTCGCATATTTCGATTTGCGTTCACGTCACGATTCCAGTTCTTGTTGCAAATCTGGCACTTGAGGACGCGGAACAGTGAAGCATCCACCTGCCGGCTCTTACGTTTTGTAGAGTTTTCTGGCCGCAGAAAGAGCACACCTGGGAGAAAAGAAAAAAAAAGGGAAAAGATGAGTAAATCCTGATGCCCCTTATCTCGCATTTTCAGTATTTACTTGAGACGTATTAAACTCGTTGATCTTAAGTAGTATGAGCCGTCCTTCGTGCTCCGCTTGCTTCAACAGTCTTGCCAACTTCTTCCCGCCCGTGACAAAAATAGTGACCATTTGGTGGTACTTATGCTGTTTGCGATATTTTCTTTTGGGAGTTTGTGATCGGAGAAGAGGTTTTTGTGTACGAAATTTTGTAACAGAGATTTGATAGAAGAAGTTTTGGGACGTAAGCGTCTCTGAGTATGATACGTGTGTTTCTGTACGTGTGTATGTATAAGTGTGTGTATGTGCGTACATTGCGGTATAGGAAGAAAAGAAATATTGAAAGCGCCGATAGCTGCTGTTATGGCCCTTCTTAATTTTCCAAGGTCCCAATGTGATCAGGTGGTCACAGTGAAACTTGATATTTGTGTCGGTAGATGCAGTTTGACTATCCTGTGATAAAATATCATGTCAAAGCAAAACCAGCAATCCTGTTACGGTCTGCTGGTTTTTGTTTTCGCATTCTGTATACTGTGCGCAGTTGACGGCAATTGTAAGACAAAGCAAGAATATTATTGAGCGATCGTTGTTCATAATAAGCAGAAGATGTTACGGCGAGCATGAAGATTATCAGAGAGGCAAATAGATGATTTCAATCATTGATTCGGAGTTAATTTTTGGTTTGATGGAAGGGAAAAATAAGACGCATCAATGTTATCATTGCATAAGAAACACGGGCTGGTTTGATTTGATTTCATGCCCTTTCGTCGGCACCGAACCGTATTGAACAGCGACATGTAAATAAATGCAGAAGGACCTGTACTTTACTGATTGATCAAAGATTGGCAAAGTCTACACTATTATTTTATAAATTCTGCAGTAGCTGTTGGAAGATACAGAAAGTTGTCATGAGTGGAAGCTCATAAAGCGAGACCCCAGACCGATTACGAAGTGAAACTCAATAGGAGTGAATTTGGTGAAACCAACCCGATTTGAAGAAACGGAAACCAGGGTTAAAATGTATATTGGATCGATACCAAGACTGATACTGAGGTTAATACAGCTTGTCTGTTTGACACTGACGAAGTATGGATATGTTATCGGCAGCGATACTCTCCATGGATCGTGAAACTACGGACAGTGACGATACAGAATAGGAGTGCATCAGTATGATAATAAAGATTTATGAGAGGGAAAGTGCAGTATGTCGTAACAATGGGTAAAATAATGCTTCAGCTACGATTCATACATTGCGGATTTTTGGAATTTCATCGATCAGTGAGAATCTCGTAGATAAACCTGGCTTCCAGACTGCGATGGTATGAGCTTTCGATTGAATCCGCGCAAGGAATATGTCTCATTTCTTGCCCGATTATTACCGCTTAAGAGAGTTTTTGCCTTGAGCTGAGAATCCAATGAAAAACCTAAGGTTCCGTATTGACAAGAAAACATTTCATATGCTAAATGATAATCCAAAAATACCGACGAAGATGTGGAGCAAGCTCCACGCACTAAAGTAGCATTACTGATAATGGACACGATTTTGTTCGACGAGCAGGCTTCATCTGCAAAATCAATCAGATACACTATTATACACTATTTTTTCTCAGTTGTTTGAATTCAATGGAAGTAATAAGGTTGATTGACTTACATTTCTTTTATACTTTCCTGCATCCTTCAATCTCCCGTCAATTAATGACAGATCTGTTTCTGTCTACGTACCTCTCGGTTTCTTTCCACCCACCATACGATCTGGTTGTCTTACTCACTTTTGACATCAAATGTGGTCATCTACTTATCTGATGAATCGCTCCTTTTGTGAGATATAAAAACTACTCCTTCTTTCAATAATAACCGCCCATAAACAATGAGTTATACTATTCAATACGCACTAATTTTTTACCCGGGTGCTCCTTCACCACCTCCATTCCCACCGCCGCAGCAGGATCCACAACAGCAACAACGGCCGGTCAATATCTTGTGCTGCATCAATTAAATTGACTACTGACTGTTGAGTATTTCTTTCTAGGTCAGTCGCAATCCTCGTCGTCGTCGTCGTCGGCGACGAGGACAAGGAAGGCAACAACAACGACGACTGCAACAGCCACCCCATTTTCGTCCACCTGTTGCCCGCGGTCCCCTTAATTCTGAGTCGACGCTCCCCCGTCCTTCTTCGGATCCTGCTTTTACTTCGGGTCCTGCTGTCATTCCTGCTCCTGCTGCCACTTCGGACCCTGCTCCCATTCCCGTTCCTGCCGTCACTTCGCTTCCTACCGCTCCTTCCGACTCTGCCCCCATCCCCGTTCCTGCCGCTACTTCGCTTCATACCGCTACTTCGGACCCTGCTGCTGCCGCTTCGGCAGTCCAAATCGTTTCCTCTGGTCCCAACACGGACCCACAGGTCGGGTCCATTCCGCAGGGAGAATGATTGTTTTCTTATCAAATAAAAAGTTACTTTGCAAGAAAAAAATTAATCCAGTTGGAAAGGGAAGAAATGGTTGACAGGCAATGAGTTTAGAGATCGAGAAGCAACTCAAGAGATTAGGCATTGCTTAGAAGGATAGGAGATTAGAGACAGCATACTACAAGCAGCTCATATAGGCGTTTCGCCATTTTCTATTCTGCTCAGTTTCAGCAGTTGGTAGTCTTCAAGGCATCCACTCAAAAAACGAATTGCTTGGGCTGATTTCAGGTTCAATATCTTTTTGATAGTCTGGATATAGAATAATTTTTATTTTTTGGACGAGAAAAAGAAAACGAGAGTGCAGAGCATTAGCCTATTTGATCCCTGATTGTATTACCAACAATGGAACCCCCTCCGGTTGTTGGTTATGGTAATGCAGCCTTCGATACTACTATATATGAAAGGCAGAATCAACGAACTGTTGAAGCAAGCGGACACAAAGGACGGCTCATACTATTCAAAAATCAACAAGTTTAATACGTCTCAAGTAAGTAGTGATCGATACGACATAAGTTTATTATCTTTGCTTTTTTTTTCTCCGATGTGTGCTCCTGCTGTGGAAGAAAAGCCGCTGCAAAGAGTAAATAGGGGGCAGAATGATGCTTCACTTTTCCATGTTCTCAAATACCAGACTTGAAACAAGATCTGGCATCGCGACGTGAATGCAAAAGTCAAAATATGCGAACCATTGCACTTGCAACAAGCCATGCCGGTTATCTTTACCCGTTAAGCTGGTGAATCTGCCGATGAAGAAGCCTTACGCAGGCCAAATTTTTTCACCCAGGTAAGACAAATTTCCCAAAAAATCCTTGGCAATTTCCTTTTTTGACACGAGGCTTTGGGGCTTTTTTTTGGTTTCCCAATGCGCCATTTTTTGTTGAATTTTCTCACTCCGTCTGCTATTGCAAAGGGCTATTTTTATTTATTTATTTATTGCTTTTGCCTTTGTGTAAAAAAGTTTCTCACATTGGCGTCTCTGGAGAATGGATCAACGACCCAACTCGGCTACGAACTCGGATGATTTCGTCTTACAGATGGAACCATCGGGAACTGCCGAAGCTTCGCGTGAATCGCCTAGTTCATCCGATACAGCCAACAATTCCACTCGAGAAAACTATGAATCCGACGTCTGTTACCCTTTCAGCATTCAACATCCTTTAGATACCACCAATGCCACAGTCCAATCCGACGTCATGCAGTCCTATATAGAAAACTACCGCGAACCTGAACCCGCGCGACCGGAACCTCAACTTCAACGCCAACTCACAGCTAAGCTCGACGATCTTTTGGACTTTGATGAAAAGCATTCCACCTCTCGAAGTTTTAGCCTTCACCCCGAGCATAAGCAGGTACTTGCTGTTCAAGACTTTTTAGAATATGGGAGGTTTCGCTGTGGCTGACAGTATGGCAGGATCCTACTAAACTGCCATTTACGGCTGAACGGTACACGTTCTATTCTGCCGAACTCGGTTCGCTCAAGAGTTCATCGCTCCATGATTTATTGACCCACACCGTGGTTTACAACGAAAAAGCATCTTCACGTACCGTGGCCGATGTGCTAATGAATACGCAGAGTTGGTGGATTGATATTTTGGGTCCTACCAACCAGGAAATGAAGACATTGAGCAAGGTAAGCCATGGATCATGGGTGTTTCAGGCGGAGCCACCTCTCACCAAACTGGATGTTGTACAAAAATTCAATAACAAATAGATCTTTCGAATTCATCCCCTTACTGCCGAAGATATTCAAGCTCAAGAATCGAGAGAAAAATGCGAGATTTTCCAAAACTACATGTTTATCAGCTTTCGCAGCTTCAATCATGACATGAACAGTCCCGATTATCTTGAAGCCGTCAATTTTTACATCATCGTCTTTAGCGATGGAGTACTTACCGTAAGCATACTTTTTTGGATGTTCCTATGCAAATTTAAGCAAGCGCGCTGATCATACTATCTGTTGTTGGTTTCTTTTTTCTTTGGTCAGTTTCGATTCCAACCTCTGCCACATCCGCACAATGTCCGACGACGTATCCATCAACTGAAAGATTTCATCCATGTCACACCGGAATGGATCAATTATGCGTTGATCGACAATATTACCGACAGTTTTGCCCCGTTGATTCAGCAGACCGAATTGGAAGTGGATTCTATCGATGATCTTGTGCTTGTATTGAACGGCTCGGAACAAACGGATATGCTACGACGTTTAGGCAGCTGTCGTAAAGTCGTGATGCAGCTGTTACGCTTACTGGGTCCTAAAGCCGATGTTGTTCGAAGCTTGATCAAACGATATGATGATAAAGCCAAAGAAATTAACCATCGCCTTCGAATAAAAGCAAATGCACCTCAGGAATTCGAAGACGGCAAAGTGCACCACGAAGTCATGCTGTATCTCGGTGATATTCAAGGTAAACTAACAATAACAAATAATACAACATTGCTGAAAAGAGATGGGGTAGGACTCATTTGGATTTTGTATAGATCATATTTTAACCATGCTTCAAAACGTGACGCATTATGATCTTATTCTCGGTCGAGCTCATCGTAATTATCTCGGTCAAATCTCTATCGAACTTTCCCAATCCGGTAATACGACGAACGAAGTGATTAACCGATTGACCTTTTTGGCAACGATCATTGTTCCGCTGAATCTGGTGGCAAGTATCTTTGGTATGAACGTGATGGTACCGGGTCAAAATGAGAACGATTTGATTTGGTTCTTTTGGATCCTTGCAGGCATGGCTATGTATGCCGTCGCCATGATAGCCTTTGGTAGAAGAGCTGGTTTCTTATAGACATTCCACCCCGCACTGCATTCATCTAGAATTTATTATTTTACCCCATTTCCTTTTTCATTTCATCCATTCCACCATCCACCTTGTAACCATATCCCTGCATTAAACATAGTTTTTTGATTTTAACTTGATCAAACTACATATCATGCATGACTCAAAATGTGTTTTGTAGACCCAAAGCCGTCTCCATAATCGGGCTCTCCACTTTATGATTCAATCATTTGCATGACCAGAGACAATGAATCAATCGGGTCGAGAAGACCGTTTGTTTATTCATTAACAGACACAATATTTTGGTAGATGTTGCAAGAACAGAACTTCATTCATTGTCGGACTTTCACACAGAATGGATTTTCCTGCAGGATAACAAAACCATAGTCACATGCACGTCACATTTTTATTAGATCTTTTTTTTTTTTTTTTTTTTTCTCGAGGTTCCTGTTGTGGTAATTGCAGTTGTTGTTCCAATGGTCATGTCACTGCAAGATCAGCTGAAGCGCCTCGGCACGGCCGATTTGCGCAACACTACTGAAGTGTCCAGAAGATACAAGGCGTCTTTTCTCTTTACTGCCAAGGAAGCCGCAGATAAGGATCTCGAGACGATCTATGCCATTGGTTACAATGGTATTTTGGAACTCTGTAATCTCGACGAGCGTTTTACCGCTTTCCAAGAGACTCTGTTTTCTGAAGGCATGAAATCCGTTGACCGTGTCCTTCAGGTATGTTCGCTAATCTGTCTCTCTGCGTCACTTGTATCACTCGATTCACCCCATTCTTTATGTAGACTAAAGAAGATAACGAAAAACTGGATGCCAGTGTCACGGCCTTTTTGCGACAACTATCACCTTATTTTCTCGTAAAGCCTGCCGGCAAAGCTTTGGAATGGTTGATCCGCCGTTTCCGTATTCACCAGTTCAATGTCGAAGCCATCGTTGGTGCCATTCTGCCTTATCACGAAACAAAAGCCTTTGTCAAGATGGTGTCCATTCTTCAGATTGAGTAAGCCGTGATCCTAGATTTCAATACCAAAATGTCAGCTCACTCATTCTTTCCTCTTAGTGATGCCTCCCCTTGGGGCTTCTTAAAATCTATAAAGGAAAGCGGCGTTCCTTTGCCTCGTTCCGTGCTGGTGACAAAGCTGCACAAAGATCGCTTTGTGTTGGACTTTGTATGCAAGACAGTGACGGAAAACCCGGTGCACTTTTCCACTTTGTATGCTTTCTTTGCCGCTACCATGACATCGTACATCACCGCAGGTGAACGAATTACCGAGGACAAGGCGGTTGCATTGATGCCCTACCTGATCAATGGCTTGAACGCCCGGAAGATCCCGGAATTGCAGATTGCTGCTTACATGATCGTTTCTCAGCTCTCTTCGGTGATCACCTTGAGCACCGCCGCTATTTCGTCTTTCACTCGTCCCATGCTGAAGCGCTGCGGAGAAAAGCACTTGGGTTTTGGCCTTCTTGCCGTGGTTCACCTTGCTCAAACACAAGCCAGTTTTGAAGGTCTGGGCAAGTCGACTACAGCCGCGTTGATGCGTTCGCCTTCGTTTGAACAACATTTATTGGATATTGCCGGCAAATACACCACCGAACGCTTCATGGCTTGTATGATTCCCAGCTTTTGCGCCGCCGGCAAGGTGGAGCTTCTCCAGAAATTGGTGCTCAACAGTTACCTTTCGAGTGAAAATGTCCGTTTGCTTTGCAATCGTCTCGTTGACAATTATTTGTCCGTTCCTGCTGACGGAAAGAAGGATTACGTTGCCACGCATCGTCCCTTGTTGATGGCCATTTCTCAGCTTTGTGTGGATGATCTCGATGCTGTACTGGAGAAAAGAGTTCAAAAGGTCTCTTCTACCGAATCTCCCGATCTTTACGAATTCATCTCTGCCGCTTTCAAGGGTACCCGACACGATGTGGTGCGTGAAGCCAACACGACCTTGTACCTGTGCCTCAACAGTCCCGCCGCTTCGGTCCGCTTGCTTGGTATCAAGAAACTTGTGACTATTTTGGATGATAAAGAAAGTGCTTTGACTCAGGTAAATCATCTACAGCGGTGTGTTTGTGGATGTTAGATCATTTTGGTGCTAACAGCTTTTTTTTTTCTTTTGGTTAGTCGCCTGATATGATTCGCTCCTTGTTCGTCGGCGCGCTTGAAAGCTTTGATGATCTTCTTTTGTACATGATCCGTGATGTGCCTCAGAAGCTATTGGAATTTGTGCCTGCTCAAGACGTTTTCAACGCTTTGAATCGTCTTATGCAAGAACGTGGTGCATATGCTAACAAGTCCGCCCATATCGTTGTTCAATTCCTTTACGATCAATTGGCTCTCAATCATCCAGAGATGGCCACCCGTGTGGCTCGTCTGTTAGCCGTTTTTGCTTTTGCTGCATCCGACGATAATATCAAAGCGTTCAAGCCAACCTCTGTGAAGAAACAGGGTCATCTTCTCAAGACAATGTACGAACATTATCAGACATCGGTCAAGTCCTCTGGTGCGATGTCTTTCATCAAGTTGGAGGCTGACGGTATCCAAACCGAGGTTTCAAAGGAACGACTTGATTTCTGGATCGACATGGTGAAGAGCGACAATCGCGTAGAAAAGGTGCTCGGACTTTTGGTGATCAGTCGTGCCATCTATATCACCAAGGATACAAAGCAATACGGTTTGGGATTGGCGGCTCTGGAAGGTGTATTCGCTTCTGTAGATGCCGAAGGAAAGAAGGCCATTTATACCACCAAGTATCTTGCTAGTATGGGTTCGACCGAAGAGGGATTGCCCTTATCGACTATGTTCAACAGATTGTTGAAGATTGACGATCTTGACGATCTTACCATCGCTCGCTTGATTCAGCTCGTTATCCGCAACATCGCCGTTGCCATGCAACCGTTGAATGAAGAAATTGTCTGGTCCGCCGCCGAAAGTCAATCGCAAAAGGTGCGCTTGTATGGTCAGACCATGGTGGCGTTGTTCAAAGCGCTTGTGGGTGGTCCCACTCTCGGTTGCTTTGAGTCCATGCTTCCGACGTTCATCCGTGACCATTTGCAGAATAAGCCTTGGGAGTTTTTGGTGCTTGTTTGGAGCAGTGAAGGTGAGCAAAAGGATAATATTACGGTTCTGGGTGACGGTTGCTGACTGTATGTATTCTTTGTTAGATGTTTCCTACGTGATTCAAGCTCGTGCTTTGCAAATCGCTGCTTCTTTGATGACCCACAATGGCTTGCAGTCCAATGCGGTCGATTTCCAACATTTGGTGCCTGCTCTGCTCCCCCTTTTGCAATCTGAGGAATCGTCTCTTCGCGTGCAAACGATTCACTGCTTGCAAGCTATCCAGAAAGCTTATGCTGCTGTCGGGCTTCCTACAGGTCGCAAATTCTACGAAAAAGACAACGACAAGAAATCGTCGGCCGGTAAACCTTCCGGTAATATCACCATCTTGAGCAGTTCCAGTCTTTATGGCCCTTCAGGTGCAGATATCGGACACATTCGTTCGGACGATGCCGCTCATTTCGTGGATTACCTTTGCTATCGCAGCACTGAATTGTCGGGTGATCGCATGTATATTGCGAGCTTGCTCAAGGAATATCTGCAGCTTTGCGAACAATCAAAGGACAAATCGGCCCGCGTACGAAAAGACACCATTCTTGGATTATTCTTGGACCACGTCAAGGCGTTGCCGTATCGATCGGTGCAAATTAATTTGTTGAATCTGTTGCAAGATATTGAAGCGCCTCTTAAGCTACAGAAACTGGCGCCTGTTCTTCAAGCTGAACTCAAGAAACCGCGTGACACTGTCCACGCGCGCTTTGTTGGTTTGCTCATTCGCTGCTACTTGCCTTGCAATGCTAGCCAACTCGGAGCCAAGAACGATACGACATTACCGCTTTTCTTGGAGTTGTTGTCCAACAAGACGGAAACGGAGCAGACTTTGGACGTGTGTCTCTATGCTCTTCAGCAAATCACGCCTGCCTTCTTTGCTGAAGCAAACGAGAATACCCAGCAGAAATTATTTGCTAACCTGATCCGTATTGCCACTGATGGTCAGCAAAAGGATATTCGTGCCGCCAAATCTGTTCTTTCTCGCATTTCTGTCCCGGTCAAGATGCTGGTGGAAAACTTGACCCTGGTGGCCAAGACTCTCATGGGATCCGTTACGGTGGATTCGTCTACTCAAAGCGCCAAGCGCGCTCGTGTTGCGTAAGTATCTGTTTCAGACTAAATATTGTATGCGAAACTTGTATTCTCATGATCCACATTCTTTTATTCATCTAGGACCACCGCTTCCAAGCCTGTGGATCTTTATCAGCTCGTTACGGTGCTGGAATACGTTGAAACGACCTCGATCATGGATGATGTGGCGCTGATCAAGCCCTTGTTCGAAGTGCTGACGGCGGTGATCAATGCCGATTTGCGCGACAGTCCTGTATCGCTCGATTATATTAACCAGATCACGATGGCCTCGCTTACGCGTATCATTCAATCCGCGGAGGAAAAGAAGATCAATGTGGAAGAATCTACGCTTCGTGTCGACGTGGTGGTGCAGTGCATTCGTGTCACTGGTAATCCTCAAACCCACAACCAGGCTCTGTTGCTGATGGCCACCATTGCTTCCATGTATCCTGAATGTGTCTTGCACAACATTATGCCCGTGTTTACTTTCATGGGTGCCAACGTGTTGCGACAGGACGACAATTACAGTTTCCAGGTGATTCAGCAAACGTTGGAAAAGGTGATTCCTCCCCTGGTGGCTTCACGACGATTGACAACCGATGGTCATGCTGCCCTGGCTCTCCAGGTGAAGCCTGTCATCAAGGTGTTTGTGGATGCTCTGTTCCATATTCCCAAGCATCGCCGTCTCCGTTTGTTCTCGGTGCTTATTCACACGCTTGGCGAAGACGAGTTCCTCTATGTGATTATCTCATTGCTTTTGGAGAAGTTCACCGAAAAGTTGGCCAGGGGCGCCAAGCAAGAAGCCGAATCCCTTACGGAGTTCAGTTTGGTTATCAGTCAACAGTTCACTTGCCAGACCCAGATGAAGGCCTTGATTGCTTTGCTCAATTCCATGTTGACATTGCCCAACGAGAAGCCGGACGATGTGGAAATGAGCCAAGATACTTTGTTCAATGTGAACGAACACAGCGCCAAGCAATTGCGCCAATATAAACTTGCGACGGTTAACTTTGTCGGTGAGTTGCTTGGATCCAGAGGTTTCCTCAGCAAGGCGAGAAGCGTCAATGCGGAAGACGCACGCGAAGCTTTGGAACCTTTCTATTTGGAATCGGTCGAGCTGTTGTTGAAGATTGTGACCTACTTCTCCGACTTTGCCGAGCAGTATGCCGCCTCGGCCGAGAAAAACCCAGCGGTGGTGAAGTTCTGGCGCGCGATTTTGAAGGTGGTGTATGACGTTCTTACCAAGGTGAATGCTTTGTTGTCTCTTCCTGCGTTTATCAATGTGGTGACGCACCTCTTGAAACACCGCGAAGTCAGCATTCGTCGCAAGGCCATGACGCTTTTCAACGAAAAGATTGAAGCACTTCGCGGCCAAGCTCCCGAGGAGGGTGAATTGCATTTGGTGAACATGGTCAAGGAACTGTGCGACTGTATTGCGATGGAATCCAAGACGACCAGTGAGGAAGATAGCTCCATCAATAAACAATCCGCCTTGTTGTGTATTGCCTCGTTGGCCAAGATCTCTGGCCAGAGATATCCTGGTGAATTTGCAGATGCTATTCCTGTCATCACTGGTGCTCACGGTTTGCAGGTGGACAACGATCAACTCAAGATTTCCAGCTTGGTGTGTCTTACGGTGATTTGGTACGTATAGTTTATAAGGCATTTTTAGCTTTGGATCGCTTTTTCACTAACCGAAGACATGATTTGAATAGCCAAGAAATTGGTCCTCGTGCCGTACCGCACTTGCCCAAATTCATGCCGATCATGATTGATCTTCTTAGCAAGACGGTGAGCCAAGAGTCTTCCAATGTGATGCTTGAAATTGCCGTGATTGCAGCTCTGGAGACGATTGTCAGTGTACTCCCTCATTTCGTCAGTCCTTATCTTGGAAAAATTCTCGGCGGTATCTTGCATTCTTCCATCTATGAAGTTGATGTGTCTTTGGACGCTCAGCGCCAGGCCGTCAAGGAAAAGGCGGATGCTGTTCTCTCTGCCGTGGCCACCAAGGTGCCACCGCGCGTGCTTTTGACGCCAGTGTTTGCTTTTTACGACTCTGCTTTGAAACGTGGCAAAAACGTGAGTAGTCATTGGGTGAGCATCGCATGAGACCTCCTTACTAACCATGTGCGTTTCACAGTGTGTTTTGTCATTGTATTCTGTTGTATCTCAGGCCATCCGTACCATGTCTCGTGACGTGATGACTTCGCACTACAAGCAGCTGTTCAAGTTCTTCCTCTTGGCTTTCGATATTCGACGTACCCACGGAAAGCAATTCGACGCAGATGCCATCAATGAACTCGAAGGATCGATCATTAACGCGTTCTTGGATTTGGTCATGAAGTTGAACGAAACATTGTTCAAGCCTTTGTTCCTCAAGATTTATGATTGGGCGACGTTGGAGCTGGGTGACGATCGCTTCTCCAAGGCTGCCTTGGAACGAGCCCTGTTCTTCTACAAGTTGTTGGATGGTTTGTTGGCGAAGCTCAAGTCTATCTTTACGCCTTACTTTGGCTACGTGATTGACGATGTAATTGCTCGTCTCGAGCAGTACAAGTCGACCGAAACCACCCCTGATACATTATGGTGCTATCTCATGCAGGCGTTGCAGAAATCGTTCTTGTATGATGCTGATAATTTGTGGAATGCCGAGAAGTTTGAAAAGATTTTGGATCCTGTCATCGAACAAATGTCGATCATTGGCACCAACGAATCGGAAGCTTATCTGACCCGTATGACGACTTACTTGGTACCCTGCATTGGCCAAATGGCTGTCACTATTTCGAACGATACTCTTTGGAAGCCGCTCAACCACAAGATTCTCATGAAGACACGCGAGGATATACCCGAAATTCGCTTGGCAGCCTTGAAGTGTATTGAGGAATTATACAGTCGTTTGGGCGAAGAATGGTTGCTGTTCTTGGCAGAGAGCATTTCATTCCTTGCAGAACTCATGGAAGGTAAGCATTATTGTAAATCATTTGGCGCAAGCCGCTCGTCGAGAATGCAGATAACTCATCCATGTAATTTCCAACAGATGATGATCCTCGTGTTGAGAAGCTTGTACAGCAAGTCAATGCTCAAATCGAAACGCACTTTGGCGAAAGTCTCGACAAGTTCTTCCAGTAAAACTTGCCCCTCTCATCTCATCAATCTGTCACATAGAAACAGTCACTGTATAGATTTTCATTGTAACGAACACATGCATACATTAAAAGATCTCTTTACCGTTCATTGTCGATGGCATCTGAAACCAATATTGGGGCAACTCAGTCAATTGATGGTTTTCTAAACAGAATAATTATCAAGTTCGTTCGAATAGACACGCATTGTCTTCCTGCTTTTGGGAGCTGAAATATGGTGTGATAAACCAGCATTCTTTCTTCATCGCCATTTTCAAACATCTCATGATATACTTCATTCTAATGTACGCAGACTACCTGCGGCTTTGTTCACTGATGATATCGATGTGATAAAGCCTTAATTAGATGCTAACCTTGGCTGGGGGATTCCTCCTCTGGATTCCCCAGCGTCCTTCATAACGCCAGTCCTGGTTTAGTTCAGGGCATTTCTCGTATATTAAGATTGCCTTTATTCGGTCGCTCGAGTGCTCCACATTTTTTACAGCAAAGGGGTGATACATTTTAAATTGCAGAATATTTATGAACGTCCTGCCCTCCTTCTATTGATGCGGAAACATCAGATTTTAGCCGGGCATGAACGGGGTTTTGTTGGAATGATGAAACTTCTTTTCGGGAAAACAGATGACATCGCCTTGCCAATGGCCGGCAGAAATAATCCGATTTATCCATGTGTTGGTTATTCACGCAATCGTTTACTCACGCATCGTTCACTCACATACCCATTTATCCATGCTGGTTTGTCGATGAACTCATTAAATTACATGTTGGGTGTGTTGCTACGAATGCGTAATGTAGGTTATTGGCCGGGGTTTGGGGGATGCGAGGCCTCAAAAGAAAGAAAAGCGTTGGCTCATTTGCTGGGGCAGAAAAATGAGCATAAAAATTAAGCGAGGGTGATTTATTTCCCGGGCAACTGCTTGATGTAACTCGAGTGCGTTCATTATGCAGTAATGAGAATAATAATATATAAAGAGCTCAAGCGGCATCGTCCAGTTGCTCTACACATTTGCTTTTCTACAATATGCGTGGCAAGATTACACTTGAAGACCATTGGGACCATCCAGATAACGGTGAACAGGCACACAAATGGGCAGGGCTGTTTGCGGTGGATCCTGAAAAGAACGTGAGGGAAATTATGGATCTGGACCACATCCGTACTTCGTATATGGACGAATACGGGGTTGGCTATACCATCCTCTCTTATACATCGCCCGGTGTGCAGAGCATTACCGACCCCGGGGAAGCGCTCAAGTTTGCCCAAAAAGTAAATGACTATGTGTACGAAAAGATCAAAGACAAATCTGACCGCTATGGAAGCTTTGCTGCCTTGCCTATGCACGACCCAAAGACGGCGGCGGAAGAATTGACTCGATGTGTGCGTGAATATGGATTCAAGGGAGCACTTGTCAACGACTACCAAGTGGGAGAAGACGGTGAAACGCTGATTTTCTACGACCAACCAGAGTGGGACGTCTTTTGGGAAACATGCAGCGAATTGGGCGTGCCATTCTACATGCATCCTCGTGAACCTTATGGCATTATCTACGATAAGCTCTGGAAGCAACGTAAATGGCTTGTCGGTCCTCCGTTGTCTTTTGCCCAAGGTGTATCGCTGCATGTTCTCGGCATGGTTACCAACGGAGTGTTTGATCGGTTTCCAAAATTGCAGGTCATCATGGGCCACTTGGGTGAGCATGTCCCCGTTGACATTTGGCGCATTAATCACTGGCTGGAAGATGTCAAGAAACCTTGCGGCTTGCACAAGACGATGAAGAAAACGATTCGTGAATACTTTCGTGACAATATCTGGGTGACGACGTCTGGCAATTTTTCAACGCCCACCATGAATCTGGTGATCAACGAGATTGGCGCCGACCGTATCATGTTCTCTACCGACTATCCTTTTGAAAGCTTCAAAGACGCATGCACCTGGTTCGATGCAGCAGAATTACCGGAACAAACCAGAGAAGCCATTGGTAGAGGAAATGCTAAAAAGTTGTTCAAACTGGACCAATATAAAGATTGCGATGCTTAATTCTTATAAATGTAAAATAAAATGTAATCCTGTTTCGTAAAACACTGTTAAAAAACTAGACGTCTACGTGGGCGTGATGGCTATGAAGTCGTATGCTTCTTTGGATTATTCTATGCTCATACCATTATCCATTGTATTCATATTGCTTTTCATATTTCCTTGTTACACTGATTATATGTTGCTTATAGCCCATTGCCATTGCCCAAATAATAAAGCGGAATCAGATTATCTTCTTTCCCATCCACTTTCTGTTATCCACTTCTTTTCTTGTCCAGTAACACCCGAACACCTTCTTGCTTGTGTGTGTCTGTGCCTACTTCTACGAATGCTTCTTGCCGATCATTGTTGATTATCTCAGCTCTGTCCCGATTTCCCTTGCTTCGTCCCGTTCTTGGTCCTATCAGCTAATTAGCGCTCTGTCCAGATCTGTTCCCAGCCTTGTCCTTTTACACTGGATGAGAGGTCCATCATTAGTTGAACTGTTATCTTCGGCCAGTACCAATAGGTAGTCTTCATGATCGGTAGTCGGCCCGAGGGTATCATTGACTGGCTTCAACGTTCAAATAATATTTGCGGTACTTATTCGTTTATGGTATATCTACACATCGAAAATATTTATATGAATAGCATGGGTGCAGTGAAATTTTGCTGTAGCATGAATTTTCTTGCTCGGGACGCCAAATTCGGGAACATCTTCGGTGGCTGAGCCAAGCTTATACTTGAACAAAGTTCAACAGCATCGCTAAACTTGTTGCCCGAGATTCTACCGCCATGCCCTCCTATTTGGTGCAATTTGCACAGGTAGCCAAAAAAAAAAAGTCTTTATTGAGTACGAAAATGATGAGCTGATCCCTAGTCCATGCCAGTTCCACGAGGAATTTCGTCTTCCTGAATTCCAGTCATTAGCTTGCCTCGAAAAAGTGCCTTACAGCTATGCCGACGGCAGCTATAAACTCGAGGTAATGGTTTTTTTCTTGTTTTTATTTTTCTTCATCAGATCTTCCTTTCGTACCACTGATGGCGGTTGTATATGCGTAGAGTCCCTTTTTCAAAGTCCAACTCGATTCGGATCAAGATGCCCAGAAATTGGTAAAGAGAGCCATTCTGATCAAGTACGTATTGACATAAAAACTGAGCGGTCAATGATAAGCAACTCACTATTGTGAAGGAATATCTATGAATTGTGGGGCGAAGGAAAAACATACGAGGAAGTGCACGCTGCAGTGAAGGAGCATCCTGAGCGTTGGACCGCTTTCAACGAGTGTTCCTTCAAGTTCACTGTGGGCGCTTTTGGATCCACTATATCCGCTGCTGCTCAGTTGGACATCATTAATTCGTTTTCTTTCTTGGGTTTCAATGGGCCTATTGATATGAAACGCCCTGATGTTCAATTCGGTGTACTGGAAGATTATGGCGCCACTTCGCCGGCACCCACTGCGCCAAATTACATTTATATGGGAAAGTTGGTAAGCTTAAGATCTCTGATTGCTGGATGATTTATGAAAAGCTGAATTCGCACGATTTCCGCTGAGTAGGTTGCATCAGGTAGTCGTGATCTTGTAAACACATACAATCTGAAGAAACGCAAATATCTTGGAACTACCTCCATGGATGCAGAACTCTCGCTCATCATGGCCAATCAAGCTCTCGCGAGTCCCGGAAAACTCGTTTATGATCCTTTTGTGGGAACCGGTAGCTTTTTATTCACATGTGCTCATTTTGGATCGTTTACTTTGGGTTCGGATATCGACGGACGACAAATCCGAGGCAAGAAAGAGGGCGGTGTAAAAACAAATATTAAGCAGTATAACCTGCAGGGTCGGGTGCTGGATTCCCTTGTATTTGATATCTGCCATCATCCCTGGCGCACACGGTCCTGGTTGGATGCCATTGTTACAGGTAAGAAAGTAGTCTTGATAAAACGGTAAACCTGAGTCACATATACTAAAGATACTTTTTCGTTGCAGATCGTAAGTAGTCGTAATGTCGAACCGGACCATCGCGAAAGTAGCTCATGTCCTTTTCTTCTCATAGCTCCTTATGGTGTTCGTGCCGGTGCCAAGAAACTCGGTCGAAAAGATGAATCCAAAAAACCTTTGAAGATGAGAACATATGAAGGGGAACCCATGCACACGTAAGGAGAATACACTATTGATATTTTCTAGTGATTCGATCCCCTAACGAACTTTATTCTAGTCGAGAGGATTACTACCCGCCTACAAAGCCGTACGAAATGTCGGAAGTACTTCGAGATCTGTTGAACTTTGCCGTGGAAAACCTTCGTATTGGCGGTCGTTTGGTATATTGGCTTCCCACGGTGGTTGATGAGTAAGTCGTAGCTTGCGTTGGAAGAAAGGATGGCAATCTTAAAAATGACGACGATAGATATTCAAATGATGATGTTCCACAACATCCTTGTATGGTATTAATATCCAACAGCGAGCAAAACTTTGGGCAGTGGTCGCGACGCTTGATCACTATGGAAAAGAGAAAGGAGTGGACCAAGGAATCACATGCTACCATTGCACACAACCTTGAAACCAACGACGATGGTACAGTTCCGGCTCAATCGCAAACCGTGTTAGAAGAGGGTACTACAGAGTCCCCTCGTCCCGGACACTTCTTGTTCCGTGAAAAGGTACATTTGCCGTTAAGCCGATCTGCCTTTTGCGTGTCTTTTCTGATGATGATCTATTTGTTTCGCTAGTACTTCAACTTTGGACGCGAAGACAATCAATCCAATTAACCATTATCGATATCAATCTTTTGCATAACTGCTCGTTTGCTCTGCAAATATAAATATAGAAGTTTGTTTCCCTTAGATGCGCTGAAAATACAAACTATGCGACAATTTGCAGAGGAAAAAATTACATTAAATGAACGTGGGCCGGTCTATGAAGACCCCAATTTAATTTAGTATAAATCACAAGAGACAAAAAAGGACTGCATCTGGAGTGGTTTATCATTCCGAATCATGCCCTGAAATTGATACAAAATTGTATTGTTAAAAGACTTTTGACGATTATCTATGAAGCCGTATGATGACCACACTATCTATCATACGCGTGATATATGTTTATCCCTTTCTTTCTAAAGAATTTTATACATATTGTAATGATGATCTGGTTCACTTTAATTATCGATTGAAATGGCTCTATTCTAACGACGTTGATACTTTTCTATGATGGCTTTTAGTAAAATATCGGCTACGAGCAAGAAGGGGAGTAAATTTGGCTACCGTCCAGCCGATCGAACTGCCGGAAAAGGTCATTGACAATTGGCTGCTTTTGATTGGCTAAAATTAAAAAATGGGCGAAGAAAGGGCGGAGAAAACAAGACAAACTGCAATTCCCAAAAAAGCCTTCCTCCTCTCCTTTTTACATACCACTTTTTTTCTTCTCTGACAAGATGAGCCACGTCCACGGACCAGGTTGTGATCACGGCGATGTAGCCACTATTCATGTCTCCGATGCCAACAAAGCACCTGCATTCCTGAAGACGACAGCAAACTATCTCAGAGATGCCAAAGCGTCAGGCGTCAAAGCACGACAGGGCGTTTTTAATGGCAAACGAGTAGAGTACTTCAAAGGTTCGCTTATCAGTTCGTCATTCATGGTATACAGGCTTCATCTAATTGTATTTATTCTGAAATAGGCAAAAGCGCTTTGAATGCTTTATTAAAAGAAGAATATGCCAAAATCACGCCTAAAAACCAAGAAGCCGTAACTACACGTGAAGCCGCCGCCAACACATTGCACGATTTGGGAAAACACGGATTCATCTTGTGCGTACAGCGTGGTGATGGCATCAGCGGCAAAGGATCGCCGCGTGTTTTGCAGCCAAAGGAGGTGCAGGAAGTCAGGGAAGATGGTTATTATATGTGGATCTGGGAAGGTTCTCAATGGAAGATATATGTTGGTGCCGTCGCTCTTGTGGCCACGATTCTGGCCGGTGTCTTGTTCCCCTTGTGGCCTGCACCGCTGCGACTTGGTGTGTGGTACTTGAGTGTCGGTATCCTGGGCTTATTGGGCGTATTCTTTGGTATTGCGATCGTACGACTGATCTTGTACATCATTTCCTTGGTCGTCTTACCGCGCGGTTTCTGGTTGTTCCCGAATTTGTTCGAAGACGTCGGTGTTGTAGAAAGCTTTATTCCGCTTTACGGCTGGGACGAAAAGAAATCCGATAAATCTTCGCCCTCATCGGCCGCCGCTCATAGCACAACCGACGAAAAGGAGAGCTAAGAGACCAGCCTCTTATTTATTTTACGCACGTATCCTTACCGATTCCATTCGTGCTGCTTGATGAAAAGAAAAGCTTTGTAAATAGCACATCATGAAATAAAAGAAGAAAAAAAAAGATTGTCCTCATCCTCTAATATTCCGTCTCTATCTCGTTTCATAATACGACGCCGAAGAGGATTTTATTATTTGGTAAGAACCGAGGAGAGTACTTTGTCAAACGACTAGTAACGGCCGTGAAATTTGAGTAGGATTTATCCAAAGTGCATATCATCTTTGCCCATTGAGCTTGGTGAATTAAAGAAACTTGAATAAGCTTGGTTGACAGGTGCCGCGCGTGGATCATACTAGTTCTCATCAAAATTGCTGGAGATATCTCTCAAACAGAAATTTGGTCGTAAGCACGCATACTACTCGTTACGGAATATTGCCCTCCTGAGTTGATCAGCGTTCATGGATTCGAAGAAAACATCAAGACCAAATTTCGGACTGTGGCATTGGATAGATTTTCTCATACATTGTGAGCGCTGCTTTGGTTTTACACACCTCGCTATTTAAAGTAAACCTATACTGACAGAATTGATGAATACAGTAATACGAGTCAATCAGCATTCCCAATTTAGATGGACTTCCTGTTTTGGAAAATACAATCTTCATGTCAAACCCGCGAAACCACTGTTGCCTGGTATTTCTTTGTAATAGGGCGTCCTGATCACTAGAAACGACAATGAGGTACGACAAGAATGTATCGCATGGTGATAGGTGGTACGATTTGCATACAAGTGGTTGATGATTGTAAACTCTGTGATGCGCATATGAGACTGTAAGTAAAATGATTGGCAATAAAAAATGTGTACAGTTAAAGTTTTAACTACGTAGACGAACAAATATATCAAACATCATACAACAGACGGAATCAATTGTGCGATAAAAGTAAAGTACCATGTTTGATGAGGCGATGGTAATGGATTCTTGGTATGTAAGAACGAAGCAGCATCCGACAATTTTCGAGATCAAAAGAAAAAAGAAAAGACCTTTATGATTCCCTGACTTTATAAGATTTGGATGGTATGACGAGTGATTATATACAATGCGACAGTTATGTACGATTATGGATGAGCAGGTGAAGCGGCAACAGAGAGAGAGGGAGTACTACGAGGTGTGCCAGCACGGCTTCGACCGCCTTGTGGAGGCATAAGAGGCCTAAACGCGAATTTGGTTCTACAACAAAAAAAAAAAAGTCGATCGATCAGTGTCTTGCAAAAATAATAGGCGTCAATAGCCACTTACTTGCACGTCGAGCAAACCGGAGACCATGAGCAAAAGACTATTGTGTCGCAAATAATCTTACTACTATGTAACAAATTGAAAGGAATAAAATCACTTACTGGATAAGCATACAGAGCATACATAGCCGATGTCAACCACCTTTTTGTGACAAAAGCATGCAGCACGGAAATCCACCTCATCCTCGTTGGGTAGATTAAGGAAATTGCGGGCATAACGTTCAGGAAGGAAGGCAAACTGTAATTTGATATTAATATGGAGAGGGGAATTCATCCAGCTTTTAAAACCCAAGGACAATGCTCGACTTACCATCAAATACTGCAGCAAAGCTTGAGTATTTTCCACCTTGAGATAAACTCCGCCTGAAATATTGGCCGCCTGCTGCAAGAAGGCGGTTTCTTCACCATAAATTTTACACACATCCACTGGAATGCCCTGATTTGCCCAATTTCTTTTAGCCTTTTATGCCATCAGATTTCGTTGCAATGGATACACTTACGGCTTTTTGTGCGGAAAATATACAATTCATTAATGGAATATATTGGTAAGCCGAATCGGGTGATACCGACAGGACAAGTATACGCGGTTTGATCTGGCCCAGTTCGTCCGATTTGATAATGCGATTAATGTCTAAGCAGATATCGGTGAGTGGCTGGTTTCAAACATCGCTGCAAAAGAAACATACAACAGAGTGCCATGGACAACGCGCCAGTGATCATGGATGAAGCGCCCATATCCTTGTGCAGCAACGAGGAATCCGCATTCGAGAACAACTCTCGCACACTGGAGACAATTTGATCGGCTACAAACTGGAAATTCGGATAGATATTGGCATTGCGTTTGATTTGCACGTCTCTGCTTTGCACATCGTGGGAGACGGGATATAAAAATTCGCTGCGGCAAACACGGCGTTACTGATAACGTACTCTTATAGATCTGTTGTGACTTTCCACTTACCTGTGACCAACATGACTGGCAATAACTACAACCTTGTTATTGTACTTTAATGCTAAATGGGCGTTGATGAAGATCAAGATTTGACGTAAAGCATCGTCTAGTGAAAGAGGCACGGGAGCTTTGCTGGACTCGGCCCACACCAAAGGATTCGTGTCGATAATCAACACCAGCAGATTGGAATCGTCTAAAATAAACCGACAATTAGCCCGCTATAAACTCACGCCGCCGAACTTGATATGGAAAATGTACCTTCGCTGGTTGATATATCTTTCATAGCCGACCGAGGAAGCCCGTATGACGAAAGAAGCAACAATTTCCTCGACGGATTTCCCGCAATGCACTTTAGTGACTGGTGATTTGTCGGTGCGCCAAGTTCGACCAATGACGAACAGCCAAGTTCAGGTCCTAGCGTATTCCATTAGATTTATAAAGTGAGCTCGCTTGGCCTCCCTATCAGTTTTCTTCAAGTTACTTGTGGAGAGCGTCTATTGCGTAATATTTCTGACTGTTTGATATATTTTGCAAACACAAAGAAAAATGTTATTCCGCTTCCTTTTCGGCCTCCTCGGGGTCGTCGTCTTACTAGGCTTACTGCCGAACAGTGACGTAGAAGCAGCCGTCATGTCCATCGATTACGGCACCGAATGGTTCAAAGTTGGTCTTATCAAACCTGGTATTCCACTCGACGTCGCCTTGAACAAGGACTCCAAGAGAAAAACACAAGCCGTTGTCACTCTCCGTGACAATGAACGTATTTATGGATCCGATGCTGTCAGTTTGGTAAGTTCAGAGCGCCACGTCTTTCCTCTGGCAGATGGTGCATGGCGTTTGTTGTTGAATACTGAACACTGGTGTTTTATTACAGGCTGGTCGATTCCCTCAGTTTACCTATTTCAACTTGAAGAGTATTGCTGGCAAACCTTACAACGACAAACACAGCGTAGAATATCGACATCGATTTGTGAACACTATGGATATTGATCCGGAACGCAATATGCCGATTTTCCGTCACAATGGCACCACCGAATTAACCGTCGAGGAACTTATTGCATACCAATTCCAAAATGCACGAGAGCAAGCGCGTCAAACTGCGGGCGAGGATGTGAGAGACGTGGTTATTACCGTAAGGCAGCCCAGCAACAGAATTTAGCTTGATGACACCAGACTGCTCACTCCCTAACTAGGTCACTCCCTTCGCGACTCAACATGAACGTCAAGCAATCTTGGATGCTGCGGAATTGGCGGGGCTGAAGGTCTTGTCATTGATTCATGATGAAACAGCAGGTAAGACATGGAAAAAGGAGTGCGTATTTGCAGCAACTTCTTACCGAACGCATATGTGTGTGTGTCTGTGTGTCTGTGTATTTAGTGGCTTTGAACTATGCTGTGAGCCGTCAGTTTACTACGACGCCGGAAAATCACGTATTCTACGATATGGGAGCCGGGTCGACGGTGGCTTCCGTAGTGTCGTTCTCCAATGTGGAAGTGAAAGAGGGCAAAAAGAAGCGCCAGTACCCTCAAATCGAAGTCAAGGCTATTGGATTTGATCGCACCTTGGGCGGACATGAGTTTGATGTTCGTTTGATGGACCATTTGGCCAATGGTTTTATGAAGTTACACAAGGACAAAGTCAAGACCGACATCCGAACCTCGGATGGTGCCATGGCCCGTCTGCTGAAAGAAGCAAACCGTGTCAAGCAAATCTTGAGCGCCAATACTGAGATGAGTGCTTCGGTATGTATATCTTCTTTTTTCCGCCGAAACAAAGTCCTACAGCCATTAATCTCTCTGACGCTCTATTTCACAGGTTGAAGGATTGCATGAGGACATTGATTTCAAAATGAAGGTGACCCGTGCCGAGTTGGAAAGCATGTGCAGTGATCTTTTGGGCCGCGTCCAAAATCCTATTCAACAAGCCTTGGCAGCAGCCAAGCTTCAAGTGGTAAGTAATTGTATCTGCAGCTGATACTGTTGAGTAAAGCGGTTACTCATGCCCATACTGTTCAGGACGATGTCAAATCCGTGGTATTGGTGGGTGGCAGTGTTCGTATTCCTGCTGTGCAACGTAAATTGAACGATGTGGTGGGATAGTAAGTTGGATCATTTAGCGAGAAATTGGACAATGATTGTTAACTACATGGTTTCATGTTGCACAGTCAACGCATTGCCAAGAACGTCAATGCCGATGAAGCTGCTGTTTTGGGTGCTGCTTTCCGTGGCGCGTCTCTAAGCAACCAATTCCGCTTAACGAAACAGATCAAGATCAAGGATGTCACTATTTTCCCTATTGAAGTGACTTATGAACCTGAGCAGTCCAGTGAAGAGGGCCATGCGATCCGCACCACCTTGTTCCATGAATTCGGTACCATGGGCGTGCGTAAAATCATGAGCTTCAAGCGTCAATCTGATTTTACCTTTGATATCAACTACGCCAAGACAGCTGAAGAACAGGACAAGTAAGCATTCAGATCTCTGAGGCCATACAAAAATTGAAGACGCTTATATATTGTTATAGGGATGTCGGTCTCGATAAGATTGGACATGTCAAGGTCACGGGACTCACCGCCGCTTTGGAGAAGCATCAAGATGATATCAAATCGTCTGAGAATCCTCCCAAAGTACGTGTAACCATTGAAATGTCGGATTCTGGTATTGTTTCGGTGCCTGAGGCTTCGGTGACGATTGAGGTGAATGACAACGGCAAAGCAACTTTTAAAGGTAAGTGTGTGGTGATGAAAATAAAGAACCATGTCGGCTGATTTGGCTATTGCTGTGTACCAGATAAAGTGAAATCGTTCTTTGGATCCAAGGAAGATAAACCTACGGCTTCAGAACAACAGGAGGGCGCCAGCGAAACTAGTCAGGCAACTCAGAACGAAACCGTCCCTGCGTCGGAAAATAACACGGCTGCGGAAAACGAGACCACCGTGCAAGCCAAGACAACCAAGGAACCGACCTTGTTAAAATTTCCTTTGGAAGTTGAGTATATCCCTACCGGACCTGCTCCGTTGTCAAAGAAAGCCAAGGATGCTGCTCGACAGAGGTAAGCATAGCACTATGCCAGATCGTGTGATGTCCAGAAATTTATTTTCTGTCTCTTACGTCTAGAATCAAGGAGCTTGATTATCTTGATCAGCAACGCCGTTACCGCGAGGAAGCTCGTAACTCGCTGGAATCGTTTGTCTATCGTACTCAGGACTTTTTGGAAGATGATGTGGTTGCCAAAGTAACTTCAGAGAAGGAGCAAGAACACTTGAGAGAAAAGTTGTCTGAGACTTCGGACTGGTTGTACGATGAAGGTGAAGATGCCGAAGCTGGTGCTTACAGTGAACGTCTCCGTGGACTCCAGTAAGTAGAAATTTGACACGGTCGAAGCTACAAGTGCACATGCTTATCACTTTTTGCTTTTAGATCCCTGGAAAGACGTATTCGCACCCGTCACTTTGAATATTTGAAGCGCGAAGAGAACGTGTCACGATTGACAACTAGCGTGCAGTTGGCACAAACCTTTGTCGAACAATCTCGACAAACGGAGGCCAAGGATCAGGAGCCAGTGTACACCGATGAAGAGCTGGACAATCTTTTGAAGCTGGCCGAGACCGTGGAACAGTGGAAGATTACCAAGGTAGCCGAACAAGAAAAATTGGGAGACCAGGTGGATCCAGTGTTGACGACGGCTGCCACGGATGAAAAATGCAAACAAGTCGACGAAGCATTAATGAAACTGATTCGCAAGAAGAAGGCTTCCTCAAGCAGCAAAAAATCGGAGAAACCAACTGCTGATGAAAACGCAGGCAAGAACGAGAGCAAGAGCGATCAGAATGACCAAGACACCACTGAAGAAGTAAAGGAAGAAGAAAATACTGAGCATGAGGAACAACATGAACACGACGAGCTGTAAATCGTTTTTGCGTGTCCACCATGCGTTGTTTCTAATTTTTGATCTATACCTCAATTTTTTTTTTCATTATTTGTAAAACGTGAATAGTATCACTTATATTGGGTATATGCTTTTTGAAAAAATAGACTATCCATCCATCAATCAATAAAAAATTTGCATTGAAGTACTTTTTATCTTTCATTTGTCATGGCGGACATTAATTTAACAGTCACCAAGACCAAGTTTAAAGCCTTAAATTTCGTAAAAGGCACCACTTGCTTTGTTGACAGTTATAAAAAATGGTGGTCGAAACAAAGTATTACGAGGTCCTCAGCGTTGAAACGGATGCCTCTGACCATGAAATTAGAAAGGTAGAAGAACGATGTACAAGTGGCTTCGGGTGACAAGAACTGATCTTTAAATGATTTGCGTTTAATTTAGGCCTACAGAAAATTGGTATGACCTCTGCAAGCCTGTTATTTGGTATTTTGTCACTTGATAATAACGATGATGGTTTGATCTTGTAGGCCATGAAATACCATCCTGATAAGAATCCTGAAGAGGGCGAAAGAGTATGTTTGATCTTTGGGTGGTCACCGGTTATTGTGTGTTGCTATCCATGCTAACGTTGTGATGATGTTCCGCAGTTCAAAGAAATCTCTCACGCCTACGAGATTCTGTCGGATCCTGAGAAAAGAGAACGATACGACCGATTTGGTGAAGAAGGACCGGGCGGTGGAGGCGGTTTTGGAGGAGCAGGAATGTCTGCAGACGATTTGTTCGCTAACCTCTTTGGTGGTGGATTCGATTTTGGTGGCGGAGGATTCGCCGGTGCCGGGTTCGGTGGAGGCATGCCTAACCGTCCTCGTCGTGGTGAAAGTATGAAATACCCTTTGTCTGTCAACCTGGAGGACCTTTACAATGGAAAGCGTACCAAGTTGGCATTGGAAAAGAACGTCATCTGCAGCAACTGTAGTGGGTAAGTTCCGTATTTCTTGTAAGAAGTTCTCATTATTTTAGTGGTGGCTGACCCAAGCGAACGCATTTTTTTTTATAGTAAGGGCGGAAAGACCGGTGCAGTCAAGAAATGTGCCACCTGTAAAGGACGTGGATTCCAAGTGGCCATGCGTCAAATTGGCATGGGTATGATCCAGCAAATGCAAGTTCCTTGCGGTGACTGCAACAGCACGGGCGAAATCGCCAAAGATCGGTGTAAGAAATGCAAAGGCAAGAAGGTCACTGTGGAGAAGAAATTCCTTGAAGTCTTTATCGAGAAGGGCATGAAGGATGGTCAAAAGATTGTGATGAAAGGCGAAGGCGATCAAGAGGTATGTGGCTATTGAAAGTTTGGAAGGGTTTTCATACATCACTAATACTATGAATACGGATAATAGCCGGGTGTTGAGCCGGGAGATGTTGTTCTTGTGTTGAACCAAAAGGATCATCCTGTCTTTAAACGCGAAGGTGCGGATTTATTATGCCACGTCACGATCAGTTTAACGGAAGCTCTTTGCGGTTTCGATAAAATTATTGTCACCCATTTGGATGGTCGCGGTATTCACGTGAAGCATCCTGCTGGTCAAGTTATCAAACCCGGAATGGTGAAGCGCATTCCCAACGAGGGTATGCCGATCTTTAAACGATCGGACGATAAAGGCGATCTGTTTGTACAGTTCGATGTGGAATTCCCCGACAATATGTTTGCATCCGTTGATAAGATCAAATCGCTGGAAGCCATTTTACCTGCGCGAAAGACTGACTCCAAACCTACACCCGAGATTGTGGACGAGTGCGCATTGATCGAGGGGGATATGGACAACTTTGGTGCCTCGGGACAATCTCGACAAGCCTATGAAGAAGACAACTACAGCGACGATGAAGGACAAGGCGGTATCAACTGTGCTCAGCAGTAATCATAGACGTTTCTTTTTTTTCTCTCCACAACCTGAATCCAAAAGAACCCAAAAAAAATAAAAAGCAATGCTCGCCCAAGGACAGTCAAAGTTGAACTGGAGTCGACCGGAAAAGGGAATCTTTCGCAAGGCATCATCACACAGTTGCACAACGAGTTAGCTACAAAAAAAAAAATCCATACAAGAAGCTCCCGGAGATTTGAACACTACATGACTATTTTTTTTCTGTAAATAAAACACTCACGGTTATTTTCATTGTACAACGTTGTTATAAGGTTTTCTTTAATGTGGTGTTGTCACAAAGTGTTTTCGAAACCGCAGCATTTTGTCGGTGAACCAAACTTGGGAGCATGGCATGACGTCTTCTTGCATTGGGAAATCTGGCGGGGACTTTTTTTTTTTTTTGCTCTCTCTCTTCTCTCTATTTTTTTTTTTTTTTCTCTAATCACTTTCTCGATTAATCTGCGAGTGCAACTGCCCTTGTCATTATGGGCTGTTGCGGGAGTAAAGAAGAACGTAATGAGGTATGTGTCACTCATTCTGCTTTTTCTTTTTTTGATTTTCGGTCTTTTGCAACGCTTCGTGGATCGTTTTCGGTGCTTGATTTGAGTAGTTGGGTTGTTAATCTTTCTGGTTAGGACGATGTCAACGCGCCATTACTGAGCGAACCTTCCAATGGCGAAAAGTAACTAAGAATCGAGCGTGACTAGTTGGGGGCGGAAAGCTTATCCGTTGTTTTTATAGTCGAATGAACTACCAGACCTATGAAATTATTGATGTCCAGAAAGAGCAAGAATTTTGGAACAATGTGATAGAACGCACAACACGGTAGGCTTCAAAAATAGGTACCCGAAATCGTGATTGGGATCATCCCCTACTGACTTGTGTCGTCCTTCAGAAACCTTATAGATATATCGAGTTCGCAAGCTGATCCGCTGCAGAGAGCAGATATTCAGGAACGTGTCGACAAGTATCGCGATTTGCTGGATCAAATTACCGAGCCCGTCAACACCAAACCATCCAAACAACAGCAACAACAGCAGCAACAACAGCTGATACGGCCTGTCGAGCACGCCTCACCCTTTGAATTACTATCCAACGCCAAGCCAAACGGTGGTTTATCCGAGGACGAACTAGACTCGCTTTATCAAACGATGAACGAAATCTACGATACCTTGCAATGTATCAAAGTTGAACCTGTCGGCAATATGGTCGTCAATCTCACACTTAACGATAACTCTGTCCGCGCTTCCTAATCTCTTCATCCATCCATTTCAAGCCTTGCTTTTATCTTTTTTTCTCGTTGGAAAAAGAAGGGAAAAAAGAAAAAGGAAAAAAAACAAGTACTCTCATGCTAAAATAAATATGAATATCCCACCACTCATCCTTCATTTCATTTCCTTGTCATTATCTATCTACAACTTTATTAGATCCACTCGAGCTCTTTTCAAGACGCCCGTGGTGGAAGATATTGTGCCTTCCATGGATGAAGACACGGGATGAATCACCAATTTCGCGTAGGTGCCACCTGATTGGCGCTTGGATAGGTAGCCGGGATTGATACACAAAACATTTTCTACTGCCTATTTGGGAAGTATAAGAAGAGTAACAACATCAGTGACTATCAATCATCATGATTAGACTTCCAGACTCACTTTGGCAAAATGCTTCAGTTGGGACGGTAAAATGAGAATGTCGGGCAGCAGGGGAATCTGAATGTCAGCCCATCTTTCAGCGTCAATGTTATCGCCTGAAGTAGCAGGGAACAAGGGATAGAAACTAATATACGAGGTCATTTTAAGTATGAATGATCATTCTTGATGCAAGTTCTGTACTTGGAACGATAAATTACCTCTGCTGTTGCAAAAGATGCTTTGATAAACGTCCCAAGCGATCGGTGGACGTGTCACTTCTAAACCAAGCATATCGGTTCAGTCTTTCCTGGTTTCGGGTGCTTAAATGTCGACGGTCCACTTACTTTGCAATTTCTTCTTTACCAAGGTGGAACAAGACATTAATGTTGCCGATAGCAAACAGAGTGTTATTGATATTGACAGTCGAAGGATTGCACAAATTTTGCACATGCTGTAATCCAAGTGTCTGCGGTGACAAGCAGGGTTGAGGGAACAGAGGATATTCGTGGATCAGGTCATCACTGTGAGGCATGAGGAGAATGCGTGTGGTAGGACTGTGTTTGGCCAACTCTCCCAATCGATTTGAAACTTGCTGCTTAAAGATTTGCTCGGGTGTTTCATCGATCGCGCCATTCATGATGATAGGATGCATGGATGATATGAAGGGGCCCATCTGGTGCAACGCGTTAAGTGGTGAATTCTGTGAGCGATCATGGAACTTGGACTATTTACCAGTAATACAACGTCAGGTTTGGTTGAAATGCACATTTTCATCAAGTCTTCCAGCGGCTGGAAGCAAAGATCGTCATCGAGAGTATAAGGGCCTGCGGCGATAATTACTTCTGTGGGCTGATCTGCCGCTTGACTAGAGAGAGCCTCTTGCGGTGGTGAAGGCACAGGTGGCTATCAGATCTGTCAGTCACGGGATTTACCAATAAATCATGATACTGTAACCCATTACCATCAATATTTTATGTACGGTAAATGTGTGTCCCGTATTATTGACTCCTTCGACAGCAACGATCTACAGGAACCAAGTATTGAGTTTATCTGTGCTTCTTTTCATGTTATAAAGAGAAATGAGAGATGACGGATAAGATACCTGACCAGGAAATAGCGCATATTGGTCGACATTGCTTAAATCCAATTTTACACGCTTTCCCATGCCGATTGCTCGTGACGTTTCTAACATGACAGATTTGTCGTTTAATTTTCCTTCGGAGGCATCGCAGCAGATACGGCCGACAGCGACAATCGTGCTCTACGCAAAAGAAAAATGGTGCCCCCTTGATCAGCTTTGCACTCCAGTTAGGTCATGCCTTTTTTCGTATCTACCTGATTCAGTCGTGCGGGATTGCCAAAGTTGCCCTCCAGGTTGTAATGTTGATCGATAACACTTGCAATATATTCTATCCGGTCATCCAGGCCTAGGCACATCCAAAAAAAATCGCTATCAGTACCTTCATGGTTGCATCCACCCATTGTACGTTTTTACCGTCGGCCTTGTCCCGAATCTTTTCAAACATGTAACGATATTCACTGATAGGTTTCTGTGCCAAGGTAATGGATGCCGGTGAATGGCCGCTCTGTAACTGTCCCCGTAATCCCATTTGTCCGTTGTACTGTTCATCAATAACATGCGTCGCTTTACGTTCGGCAAATTGGCTCGACACCTGTGACCTACACTTAAAAGGTGAGTCAACCCCATTTGTGGTAAATAGCGAATACAATCATTACGGTTGGCTGTAGAGTAAAGTAGGCGCATTGGTTCGGATCTGTTTGGTGGCAACACCACCACGTTCCCGAGCAATAGCGTCGCCCGTCAGTTTGGACATGCTGTATGCCTCGGTTAGTCTGGATACAAACCCTTCTATCTTTTTTTCTTTTTATCGCTTACAAGTTTTCTAGCACATCGGCATTGGTGTCCTGATCCATGTCAGTGGCATAGTCTGAGATATCCATCATTACGTCGCGTTTGGTCGTCACTCGGCCCCTCGCTTTGGCCGGTTCCAAGCTTTGTTCAAAGTCTCGTTGCAGTGTGTGTTTCAATTGTCGCACCAAATCGACGGTAGGTGAAGTCATGCCGCCATTATTGAGAGCAAAGGCTTCCCATTTGAACTTTAACTCTTGGGGCGTTAAATTGTAGATCTTGCAGAGCGATGCCACTGGAAGCAAATTAAAAAGACAGTGAATAAGTCAATCCCACAGTGCAACTATGAGTTTTCTAAACGCTTACATTCGCTGACAATTTCAGCATCGGTTGTCAAGTTTAATTGAAAAGTGGTGCCGACAATGTCTTGGACACTCATGTTGGACGAACAGAGACGAGACGAGACGCGTTCAAGAAAACCCGAAATTTTTGGGTGACCTAGAGCACCGCGTCCGAACCGCGTTAACGGGGACCAAAGATGGCTCAAATGTGTGACCGTTTTTCTTTTTCCTGCAACTCTCGAAACATTTTTCAGTCAGCTCATAATTTGACACAAAAAAAGAGGTGCTTGGTGTATTCAGCTTTAGACCCCCAATGGCTCACCGACTTGCTCCTACCGCTACACCAGCATGGGCTTCCAGCTCTCAGTACACGCCTTCCGAGGTAGACCCTCAAGGTACTTATTGCCCAGCGTTCGCTCAATAGGCGTCACTTTCCTTGATAATAACATGTTACTCTCTAGATGAAACGTGGGATGACTGGGACTATGACGATGCCGAATCCCAGTGTTTGTTCTGCACAAAGACATTTGCATTACCCGAAGAAGCATTTTCTCACTGTGCCGAGACGCACGGTTTTGACTTTTTGGGCGTAAAACGATCACTCGGTAAGAGAAGAAACGAGTCACTGGAACTTGAAGCACCTTTTCATACTCACTGTTAATTTGCAGGACTCGAGTTTTATGACTGCATTCGTATGATCAACTATATTCGAAAAGAGGTAAAGACGAACTTTGCTGGTTGGAGCGGTCGAAAAAAAAAGTTATGAACCAAAAAAATTGTAGGTGCAAATGCGCCCCGAATTGGCCTCCGTCACCGATTATACTCTGCACAACAAACAAGCTTTTGCTGACAAGGACGAGTTGCTGCAACCCGTATTAGAGAGTGATTCTTTACTTCATGGTAAGGATCAATAAATTAGATATGTGTGGGTATAAGGATCTAACTTGTTGAAAACGGTTCGTTGGTACAGCTTTTGAGGAATTGGAGATTGCCGATGAAGAATTTGAGAGCAACGTCGCCGCCCGCGTTCCTACGCCAGAACAACAACAACAACAACCTCACCAAGGTACTTTTTTAATATGTCCCATGGTAACGACATTGCTTTTGCTTATTCTGCTGTCGAAACAGTTGACGTATCCCATGTTGAACCGACGACCATGTTGGAGCAGCAATTGCTACAACTGTTGAAAGCCACAAAAGACGAAGTACAGAACTTGGAGGGGCAATTCACGGAGTACAAAGCCATGGTGAAAAAGACATTTTATGACAATGTAGCCGACGATGTGAGAAGGTAGATGCGCTGATCCACAGGAACAATGATATACACATGCTGATGTAAACAATAACTTAGTGAGGTCTCTGTGAATCCCACCACTCCTGCCGATGAGGGAAACTACTACTTCCATGGCTATGCGCAAAACGGTACGAACTGATTTACAACAAAGCCCAGCGTGGGGTTTACTCATTGTTATTTCTTATATACAGATATTCACGAGCAAATGTTGAAGGATAAGGCACGAACGGAGGCGTATCGCGATTTCATGTATGACAACAAGGATGTTTTCAAGGATAAAATAGTGTTGGATGTTGGCTGCGGTACCGGTATCCTGTCCATGTTTGCCGCGAAAGCAGGTGCCAAGCAAGGTAACATTGCGTATGTCAAAACTTGCACAGGGAAGAGATGGCTCATCCAATTGTCAATTTGCAGTCTTTTCGGTCGACAACTCCGCCATCATTGAAAAAGCCAAGCTGAATGTCAAAGAAAATGGCTTGGATCACATTATCACGTAAGTGGATTGAGGTGGCAGGCATAAAAGTGAATGGGGTGATTGACTGCCACTGATAGGCTTATCCGAGGCAAAGTGGAAGAAATTCAATTACCGGTGCCTCAAGTGGATATCATCATTTCAGAGTGGATGGGTTATTTTCTCTTATTCGAAGCCATGTTGGATTCCGTTCTCGTGGCCCGTGATCGTTGGTTGGCGCCAAATGGCATCAGTAAGTGGTCTTGTGTAATCGTGCGACGGTAAACACAGTATTGACCTTTTTTTTTTCCTTTTTCCTCCTTTTGTTGTTATTCATTGATGACAGTGGGACCCAGCCATACGCGTATTTTGATGGCGGCCTTGGATGATGAATCGCTCAAGGATGACCGGGTGAATTTCTGGGATGATGTGTATGGATTCAAAATGTCGGCTATGAAAGAACCGGTTTTGAATGAGTGTATTGTTGACTTTATCAAATCGTCGTCGGTGGCTTCCACTGTGGTAACACTCAAGGATTTATATCTTCAAACCATCACCATCAAGCAACTGGACTTTGTATCCCGCTTCGAAATTGAGGTCACACGCGATACCACGATCTACGCTCTCGGTGGTTGGTTTGATACCTGGTTCACGCGTGACGGCCATCCTATTCCTCTGGATCAAGAAGCCCAGACAAAGGACGGGGAAACCTTCCTGGGCACCGGTCCCTTTAGCGAAGATACACACTGGAAGCAAACTATCTTTATCCTTCAAGAGCCGATTCCGATGAAGCGTGGTGACAAGTTGAGCGGTGTATTCACATGCCACAAGGGACTTGAAAATCCTCGCGAACTGGAATGTGAAATTGAATACACCGTCGACGGCTCTGTAACGCGTGTCCAAAACTTCTTCTTGCATTCATAGACTCATCTTCACTGAAGTATTTCCTTCGTTTTCTTTCTTTTGTCTAAAAGTCTTTCTTTATTCTTCACTTGTAACAGCCATTTCTCATCAACCTTAAAGTGACAGCATACATAAACATTGCATCCATGTGTAACCTATTGATGTGCCTTTTATTTCTTTTTTCTTTTTCTCTTTTTTTTTCGGATCTTTTTTTAATTAAGTCTCGCATATCTTAAATGGTAAATTACGGAACTCTGCCTGTGCACGACCACATGTCCAGTGCAGCGTCCTCTGATGAGACTAGCTGGCGTCGAAAGCTAGGAGGATTCCTGGAGAATGATCGCACCCATTTGGCGGTACTGGGTCTGACCCTTTTGGATACCACATTCGTCATGGTACAGATTATCTATACTTTCTTTCATGAATGCAACAGCGGAAGTGAGCCGCTGCACTTTTCTATAGCCAAGCATTGGTTCTCGGATGTGCTTGAGTGGGCCGAAATTATCAGTACGGGCATTACTTGTTTGTTCATGCTGGAATGTCTTTTATGCTTGGTCGCCTTTGGGCCCAAGTATTATCTTCCCGGTTGGCCGCACTGGATGCTTCACATATTTGATATTACTGGTAACAATACGAACTGGTTTATCTCTTTTGCATTCATTTACATATGCGTTGTTAGTGGTTACTGCCACGTTTGTTATGGAAATCATTCTTCGCGGAAAAGAACGTGAAGTCGCAGGGTAAACCTTATCTGACAACGTGTGAAATCTCGCACCCTACTCATCTGTTAATTCGTAGACTTCTTATCATTCTTCGTTTATGGCGTGTTGTGAAAGTAACTGAAGCGGTCGCCATGGGAGTCAGCTTTTCGAATCATGAAAGGAACGAAGCTCTCAAAGATGAATTAGAAAAGAGTCGCCATGCTTGTGAAGCACTTGAGAAGGAGCTGGCGAAAGAACGGCGACAACGTCAGCTGCTGGAAGAGCAAATACAGCAGCAAGCGCAAGCGTCTTCTTAAAGATAGATGTACACCTACCGCGCGCCCCCCCCCCCGATTACCCATTTGTTATACCAAAGAATTTTCTTTCGTGGTTTCCACATCTTGTCTTTATTGTCTATGTATGGCTGGAAGAACAAGCATTGTATTATCGTCGTTTGGCACTGCTTGGGTTCCATGCACCGGGCACGAATGTCTCGCCTTGTCCTGTGGGCTGTTGACTCGGCATGTCTTTTTCTACAGCAATGCCCGCATTTTCAATACTCCAATTATTCACGTCCAACAAGCGCTTCAGCTTACCTTGTGCTTTCTCCTTCTTCTTTGCTGGCTCTTTTGTTGACTGTTGTGATGTCGCCTTGGCTTCTAATTTTGTTGCAGGTTGGTTTTCTGCTTCGGCTTCTGCTGCCAATTGCAGTTTACGCTGGGACACGATCAGGGACACTGTAAGCTGTTTTCATCCGGTGGCCAAATCGTCCGCTTCAGCTTACCTGTTCCCATTCCATATCCAGTTGTTTAGCACGTTGTTGTACAATGGCCTGTCGTTGTATTTCTTTGATGAGGTCTTGGGTTGTAGGGGCCTCATAGCGGGTATGTCGAAGCCAAGCTTGCCATTGAACTAACCGAAATTCAATTCAGATCGGGTGGCAGATCCCAACCTTGCAACTGTAGAAAAGCTTACCAGGTAATTGATCTTGGCGAAAAATAGTGTAATCGTCTTCTTGTCTCATCTGCACCCAACGTTTCGGTCTACCACCTGCGGCCAATTAACTTTCACAGCGGTCGATTGTGAACCATGCACGGCCGGATAACTTACCTAAGGGATTGGGCATCTCCCAATACTCGTTACCGTCCAGATCGCTACCAATGAGCGCATGCTTTTTCCACGGAAATCGTGTGCGCTTATAATTTGCACTAAACTGCTGCCAAAATGCTGACAAGGAACGTGACATGCTAAAAGGACCGAAAAAGAAAAAAAAAGGAACCTCCACTGCCATATCGCCCTTGGAAGAAATTTTTCATGTCACAAATGGAAATGGGCCCAAAATCGGAACAGTTCTTGGATAATTAAACTAGCCATTGCTTTGTCTTTATCCTGGGATACGCTGTGCATGTACAAATAGGGTTCACTCGTATCAAAAGTAAAGTTGGGTTGAATATGTCAAGAGATATTGATTTACATAAACTATCGAGGTAAAATGAAGGGACACGGATATCTACAATGGGACGTTCATACAGCGTATTCTTGATGCTTTGTCCTTGTATCTTTTGGTGGAGTTTTGATACTGGAAAGTACTTGATTTAAGCGTGCAAGTTCGGAATCCATAATGGGAGGGGATGTTGAGGGAGCGGGTGGAGAGATGGGGACAGACAGTGAAGGATGTTCGCCGGGAGCCATGGAAGCGGCTCTCGGTGGTGGTGTGGATTTTTCAGGCAACAACGATGTTTCGGATTCGGCATAAGAGTCGAGCTCTCTTTGTAGTTCATCCATGTCCAAACCTGGCAACTGACTATTCATTGTTTCTTCGCTGCCCATAGCAATCGCATCCTCCACCTCCTTCTGATCTTCAAACGCCGATTGCAGCTTGGTCATCACTTCGTCCACCGAGTCCACCGTCAAGTCACTATCACGCAGAATCGCTCTCAAAGCGCTTGCACCAGTGTTGAAGGCTTGCACAATCTATCAAATACCATGTCAACAAGACCATCTTTTTTTTTTTTTTTTTTTTTGCAAATAAACATGCAGCAGATCAGAACTCACCTGTAAATCATTTTGCGACGCTTCAATACTCATCAACATGTTATCCATGGTTTCAAGTGATTGTAGCCGTTTCTCCAAGATGCTTTCAAGATATTTCCGTCGTTTCAATGCATACAATGCTTGAGCTGTATGTTTTAATTTATGGTGGTATTTGGAAAGTTCGGATAATCTAAGCATAGGTGAGTTGCTTCTCACACTGTTAGCATGGTCGTGAAGTGTCCCACTTACTCCTCTATCTTGCGTTGCAGTTCATTCACCTGTGCATGGAGAGCTTGGCATGTGGTCCGGATCGTGATAATGGCTTTATCGTGCTGAGAGATAACCGCTCCACTCGATACATTGTTGTTATTTTCTGGAAATTTGATCATCTACGCATCCACTGTCAGTACTTGGTTTGAATTTTTTGGTATTTTACGACACTCACCGTGTATGTAGTACCATACCCTCGTACATTATCTGCAACGGCCACTCCCATCTGTGAGCTCATGTACGTTAAAACTAACTCCATATCTTCGTCCGTCAACGTCACATTGTTGTACTGTCCGTAAAGCGTTTTGAACTCTGACAGTGTCAGTATGTGGTCGCAAGCGCTTTTTACAGGCGTGTGGTAGTGGGATTGCTGAATATGTTTGGTTATCTGTCGGATCGTAGGAATAACCACCAGAAGGTTCGAAGGGCCCGTCCTTCCTATCCAGTACAAGGAACCCTTGACGAACGTCTCATAGGTCCACGAGAGCCACGTCTGGGACGCAAAGGTTCGCATAAAATCTTCCAAAGGTATCAGTTCACCCTTCTCCACCATCCCTTCCTGTATAAAAAAAGGTAAGCATAACTGAAGTATTACGGTCGACGATTGAACCTACAAGTACACAGTCCAGTGCCAAAGGCTTGCCGGTAATAGGCCGCAAGAACTGTTCCGCCATAATACTCCTGTCCACCACCAAATTGTAGTCTCCGGAACCCAGACAGCCGTGCGCATTGCAGTCAAGGATGACAGAACGCCAATATCGTTTGTTCGCATCGTACGCGTAGCGATTGAGGGTGCGTAACTTTGAAAAATCGGAATACAAAGAGTTGAGACGAGGTGCAGGATCGGTCAGACTAAAATCCGGATACTGCACTGACAAGTAAGAGAGCAATTTCGAGTTTCTCTTTATTGCCATGTGGAAAACTGGAATGAAAAAGTCACCCAGTGTGCAAGAACAAAGGCCCTACCATCATCATTGCGGAGTTGAAAATCGTTCCTGGAAAAATGCCACTTTACAAAAGCCAACTGAATATTTTGTGTCTTGCGTTGAATGCGAAGCAGTGTTTTGATAAATTCATTTTGCACAAATCAAAGCAAATTTTTATAGGAGAAAAAAAGGGAAGACTGATTTGATTCGGCAAATATACGTAGCTCGGATACAGTGGATGGAGTTTGGTGATAACAATGATCGAAGCTTATTCATCCCCGCCCGCTGTCCTGGTCCGCATCATTAACAGTCATCCTAAAAACGCTGACACTATGCTGTATTATTATTATCACCAAGTCAAAAGCGTACAATCGCTCTGTAAACATGTGATAGCTGACTGGGGACATTATTAATTCAACTTGATTACAACTCGGATAAGCATAGAGAACCAACGGCATTTTCAATCAGTCGAACGTCGCCATCTTCAAATCCGTGCAATATTCTGCGTTTGTTGGCACCCATTCTTAAGTGACATGGAGTCTGCAGTCCAAACATTGCCGCCATAGTGGCATGTTTGCGTTCTTCGGAACCATCCGTTGCCGGAGTTAAAAGTGACATAAGCACCTCGCATCGATCACGGAAAACAGTCGATTTACTGAATATGGAACGTAGTTTTTCCACCGAAGCGGGTACATCGGTGTCGATGAATTGCTGGACGTAGGGATTGGATGTTCCATTGCTATTTTGTGTCAAAGGATTGGTTCGATTGATGATCGTGATGATCACATCCACGGCTTTGAGACACACATTGGATGGTATATCGCTACATTTGAGGAGCGACGCCAGCGAATCGGGAATTGTTCGGTGATTAACCAACAGCTCGCTGGAACGAAATAATAAAACACCACAGATTAGGACCATCAATAATTACCACGTTTACAATCCGTCATACCATATACTATCATCATCACCCAAAGTCGCCAGGTTGCACATGATCCACAGTGCTTCGGTGGTAATTTTCCATTCTTCATCAAGGTTGTAGTACGCGTTCGAAACAACGGCAATCCATCGTCCACAGCTGCGGTCAAATACGTGGCCAGGTACGTGGATGTGAGAGGCCACACAGTGCATGACATCTTTGGCTTCCATAATTTGATGCACCAACTGAGCATCGCAAGCTGCCAGATTTGCTACCACCAGAAAAGCGTCTCTTCGAATTCGGATCGGGATATCTTTGCCCATCAATGTGGACATATTCTTTAGCAACGGGGTCTCCAGTAAGAGGGCAGAATGTTCATTGGGTCCTGAAGTAATATTAATAACGGTTCGTAGAGCAGGTGTTACCACCGAAACGGTTTGATTTCTATGAGAAGCAACATTTTAGCCATCATATCACAAGCCGTTGAAGCAAACCACTTACGTGAGCAGACGGGATAATCGAGAACATAAGTCAGGCGAAAGTTTGAGCGCGGAATAAAAAGGTGTGACTTCATGCATGTTGAAAAGAATACGAGATAAACCCCAGCTAAGAAAATTTTATCGCGTTACTTGCAAAGCAATTTGCTTGTTATTTTCGTCACTGGAAAAACTACCAAGCATCAATCCATATGTCTTGGTGATCAAAAACCGTACACCGTGTCAAGGCCTCGAAAGCTGGGATGTACTGCATCAAATCAAGTCAAGGAAGAAAAAAAATAATTACATCCAATGGCACTGAAGTTAATCCACGGGCGTTCCCATCTTTAAAATACCGGATCAACTTACACTTTCCCAGTGTTCGGCGGTCTGGAAACCTCCACGAGACATATTCGAGAGGGCCCAAGTCATAGCTTTTACATCAGTACACAAGTCTTCATCGTCAATAGTCACGTCGCCTGTCGTTCGCGCCCATTCCAAGCATTCGTCATATACTTCCTCACAAATTTCCAAGAGCGCTTCAGCTACAGCCATGGTTGCACCTTTGCTCATTAAAAGTTCGCGCAGTGTGGCGGATTCGCCAGCAAAGTTGGATAATGCCCACGCCGCCTGAATGAGTTGTCATCAGCTCATACACGTTTCCACTGCTCCCTTTCTCTCTCTTTATGTTGTCAATAAAGCAAATTACCTGTGCTTTGACACTGATCGACGTATGATGGGAATGGATACACACCAAAAGGGCGCTAATAAAATCGTCATTGACCAACGCATTGGTTTGCTCAGAAGTGCCCGCCTTGAACCAATATTTTTTAGACACATCGATGCAAACAAAAAAGGTTAAAACAAAAAAAAAAAAGATACCTACTGCAATATTGGTGATAATCCATGCGCATTCAAACTAGAGAAGAAATGGGAAATGCATATCAAATTAGCAAAAACGGTTATACAGAAGAGAAAAAAAAATTCTTCCTAATTAAAACTGTGCCGTACTAAAATCTCGTTGGAATCCGAAGTCGTCAATAGCTCCTTTAAAGTGGATAGGATATCCAAAGCCAGCAGATCATTGACGTTCTCAGGACAACTACACCCTTTTAAACTTGAGGTTAAATAACTGATCCAATAAATATGTATAAAAAAAAATGGAGAGTTGAACCAACCTTGCGTTAAATACTTGCGCAGCGCTCGAACACTTTGTAGACGCATATCATTGTCTTGGGAATTCAAATGATATTTGATTTGGGGCAGCTGAGAAAAACCAATAATTTTTTTTTAAATACTTCGTCTTCCGACTCCGATGTGTTGAACAGCAAAAAGACCACGCGACTTACGTTATCTTTCTCTACGTTTTCCCCTTCCATAGGAAGGTGAAGAGAAACGTTGGCTAGTTTGCGACTAATTTCTGATAAAAGGTCGTCAGGTTCAAACTCGTCGATCGTCATTTTGGGGCAAGTAACGCGCGCGGTTCAATGAGTGTCTAATGGAGCAAGATCAGTATGACGTGAATTTCACTTCACCAAGGCAGCCAAAGGTAGACAAGGTGATAAAGTCCGTACCAAACCGATACCTACTTTTTGTGATGAAGAACTGAAAGAAATAGGCAAGTTGAAAGACAGAGGTTGAAAAGAAACAGGTCTGCGGAATTTGTCTGAAGCATAAACAAGTCACACACAAATGAAAAATGTACCTGTGCGGCCTGACCACGAGGGTGCTGCTCATTCATCGCTTCTTGTAATAGATGCGGTTATTTTGACAGCCAAATGAAAGCGATTCGCCTCGTTATAATGCAATACTATATAATTTGTAAAGTCCGAAATGACGCTGTAACATCATTCAACTCACAGCACCCCAGATTCGTTCGCTTGTTGTTTGACTTTTCTAACACCCATTGTGGCTTTTTTATGCATAAAAATTGAAAAGGGGGTTTGATTTATTACACTGTTTTTGAACTTGAAATCATTTAAAATTTGAGCCACCAGATAATGCGCGTATTACAGCAGCTCTTCCATTATGTCCCATTACATACAACCAATAATTTAAACTTTATTAGGAAGTAGTATCTACATATCCGATGTATGATCGATGAATAATGATGTGTACTTGCTGGTATATGAAACAATGGTAATTCAAAAATAGATGGAAATTCCATAAGAGACAGGGTCGTTGAAAAAGCCTGGTTTCGATACGGTACGCTGCTTTAATTCCATGGCGGCGGAGGAATTTCTTTTTCCTCTCCGCTTCGTTCATCTTCAAAGTCGGTGGATGCATGAAAGGGTAGCATCTGTTAATAGAATTCTTCTTTGAGCACCCATTCGCCTTTGCCTTCACTGTCCTTCCCAAATTTGGCAATCGCTTGAAGCATTTTCCGGAAGACGACCACTTGTTCTTTGCTTATGTCCAACTGCATAGCATCCATAATATCGCTGCTTCGCGCTTTCCCGCCGTGAGCAGAAAGGTAATCACGAATTTTCACAATGAGCCCTTCTTGAGTTCCTTGATGAAGGATGTCAGGAGATACTAGACAAAAAATAAACATCGAGTATTTCAGAGGTTAGGTTATATTTGGTTGTACACTGCCTGCATTAAAATGTCACATACATGTAGAAGGCGTCACGGAAGAAGGGGCGGTGGGGGCTTGTTCCATGGCTTTTCGTTCTCTCATCTGAGCTAACAGTGAACTGGAAGCCACCACCCCATGTTTGGGTCCTGCAACACCTTTGAATCCGGAAACAGAACCCGACCCAAATCTGGCAGGTGGGTTGGAAGGAGAAGACGGTATCGAACGAGTCTCTGAAAAACTTCGCTGAACGCTGAGAACCGGCTTGATCTTGTTGCCGAAACGAGGTGGAGGCGTGGCAGAGCGGTCCATGAGAGGTCGTGGAGCTCCCGCCGATCCCGAACGACCTGTCCATGTCGGCGTCCCGATATCGGCCAAGCGTCGCTGTTTCCTCGACTCCTTCAAGGCCGCCGCGGCACGTTCCGCAATAATCGTAGCTACACGTTCTTTGAATACACACACGTACAGGAAGTAAAAGAAGAAGAAAAAGTGCTTACCTTCTCGTTCAACAAACAAGGTATCTTGCGAAGCCGATTCCATGATCTGATCATGCTGCAAAGCGCTTTGAATTCCCGTCATTTCAAACAGACTTTTTAAAACATTGTCATCCGCCCCTGATGATTCGCCTTCAGTTCCGGTTCGATGGGTCTCTTTGCCAGTTTGACTATACTTATCCATATTAATAACACGGGAAGCATTGAATATGAGGAATGCATGACATCGATACTTACAATGATTCAACGCCGCTCACTCCGCTGATGGATTTCAGTTGCCGTTCATCATCATCGTTCTTTCCTTTCCGTCGTCGTTTGCGTTTCGTTTGGTCACTTCCTGGTTCTTTCGCATTATATTTGATCTCTGAGCCTTCAAACAGTTGTCCTGTTTCTGTTCCGGACGCATCTTCCGCGCCCAAGGTAAAGAGCGATTTCAAGTTACTAGCCTACAATAAAGAGTTAAAACAAGGACCTTCTTTTTGATCATTCGCGTCGAAAGATACGCACATCGAAAAAGCGCTTTTGTTTCGGATCTTTGAGAATTTTGTTGGTCAAGAACTGCTTGTAGATTTGCCGATGGTATATTTTTTCTTCAATGGTGCCACTGGTCATCAAACGATAGATGGTGACATCCTTTTTCTGACCGAGACGCCATGCGCGTTCTCTTGCTTGCATATCGGTGGAAGGGTTCTATTGCAAAATTTTCGTGAGCAACTTGACTAGATCACGCTATGCCACATCCGAGGTACTCACCCAATCGGGATCAAATAATATAACACGATCGGCACCTGTTAAATTGAGACCGAGGCCGCCCACCTTGGTGGTCAAAAGAAACACATAAATGTTGGGCTGCATGTTGTATTCATGGACAAGCGCCATGCGATGGTGAACGGGCGTGGTACCATCCATTCGCAGATAGTTGTAGCGAAGACTTCTGACCATCATTTCAATGATATCCAACATCTGACGTGTCTGGCAGAAAAGAAGAACACGATGTTTTTGTTGCTTCCACATATTCAACAAGGCACGCACCACCACCATTTTGCCGCTCTTTTCAGGATCGCCATATTCAGGATCCTGTAACCTAGGCTAAGTCACTGCATAGCACAGCGGAAATCTAGCGAGACCTGAACTTACCGTGCGAGGGATGGATAGATCGGCAATATCCGGATGATTACATATCTTGCGAACAATGTCGATACCGTACAATACTTGTCGACGGCGCTCGAGGATCGCATCCATATCTTTGGAATGAATAAACCGAAGATAAGCTTGACGTTGTGGTTTGGTTAATTTACAGAATAAGACCTATCATCGACCAATTAATCTATGCAAAAAAGAGATGCCAGGGAACTCTTTTCTGTTTTACCTGCTCATTCTTTTTCGGCAAGTCGGAGGCTACGTCGACCTTCATGCGTCGCAGCAAATAAGGATTAATCAGATCACGAAGCATACACGCACATTTGTACGCTGTTTGCACTTGCACATTCGTAGCATTGGCGTAACCACCAATGTTGATGGGTACCGAGAATTGGGTTTGGAATACAGGCAGTGTCTATCATTGTTTGCCATTAAATACATTATTAACGTCGAGCATTTCACTGTGAGAACTTACGCCTAGTCGACCAGGAAAGATGAAATCAAACAACGACCATAGTTCTTTTAGATTGTTTTGAATAGGTGTGCCTGACAGGATGATGCGGTGAGGGGTCTAAAAAAGGTACAATAGGGTATTTAGTACGGTGGGAGACGATTATCTTATTCTTTGAAGATACCTTGAATTGCTTACACGCCAGCGTGGTTTCGGAATCTGGATTTCGTATTTTGTGGCCTTCATCCAGCACAACATAACCCCAACGATGTTTTAAAAGGATCTCTCGGTAGGTTTGCACACCACTGTAGGTGGTGATTAAGATGCCGCCGTTTTTCACAAACCGATCGACAAGAGCAGCGGCATTTTTGCCTGTGCGAGTGTGCAACAGATTGGATTTGGTGCGACTTTTTTGTCGTTTGCCGTAAGCCCCTCGTCGATCAGGTTCGTATTCTTCCTCTTCTTCTTCCATTTCCTGTAACAGATTCAGCTCATCCATGGCATCCCTATCGACGCTGGTATCGACATTCCGAACGCCGCTACCGCTTGAATGAAGAATAGCCACACGCAAGGGTGGCCACCAGTGGTGAAACTCTTGGATCCACTGCTTCATGACCGTAGCAGGACACACAATCATTGATGGCAGACCCGGACCGAGCACCTTGGAATAGTAAATTCCGGCGAGGAACGCAATGATTTGAATCGTCTTTCCCAACCCCTTGAAGACAGCAGCAGGTGATGGATTATTGAGTTTTTCGATCTGGAGCCTACATTGGATGCCCAAGCCAACTTACCATTTCATCACCAATGATGCCCCCGACCTTTTGAGAATGCAATTCCCACAACCATTGGACACCTATCTACATGTCAGCATTTCAACGCCCATCATTGTCATCATATTGCAAGCAACTTTACATGTTTTCTGATAATCAAACAAATTATTCCACAGTTCGCCAGGAACACGCATACCGCCTTCAAATTGAGCATCCTCAAACACAGCATGGGGTTCAAACATTTCCTTTTCGACGTCGAATTCGCCTTCTTCCTCTAGTTTAAGCTCCAAATCTTCGATTGGGATGTGGTCAGCTTCAGGCTAAAAAGCAATGTTGGTAAGTGGATGTTTTTATCGATGGTGGCTCCCAGAAATAAAACGTACCTCTGTCGATCGATAACGCATGATTCGTCGCTCGTGCACCCAATCATTTAAGCGTCTCTGGTATCCCATTTACGTTAAAAAAGGTTTTTATGTCTTTCTTGATTCTACAAGTTTCATACCTGATAATTGGCTTCGTTCCCATCATCCTCAAACAAAGTTTCGTTCAGTTTGGTCAAATTAGCTCGTTTGACCGTTCCAGCTTCCTTATTAATATCGTAATCATCATCCGTAATATTCAATGTTTCATGGTCTTCTTCCTCGTCTGTAGTCGATGTAGTATACTCCTCGTCCGAGTCTGCTTTTCGTTTCAATCGCTTAAACTGTTTTGGGGCGGGCCATGGCCAGGCTCTATTAAGATCTCTTTCTATTTCTTCGTCTACTTCCTGTTTGGGAGACGGTCTTGATAGGTCCTTGACTGTGCGCTGAATCGGCATCGTACTGTATCCACCCGACCCGGGCAAGATAACCGACGAGGAACCTGGATCATGGAAATGAATTTCCCACGGTAAAATTTTTGGGCTTCATGCAACTGTATTCTTTTACCTGAAGGACCGGCTGCTGATGGCTCGTCCACGTCGGATATATTAGCAAAAGGAGTGATTTTGCCTGTACGAATAAGGAACTCTCGACGGGTTTCATTTTCTCGTTTCCCGGTAACTGTTTTCTCAAGCGAGATTTTGAGTTGCATTGATAGCGACAATATTACATGTAAAAGTGACTACTGACCATCTGTTAAAGGTCCATCCCTCTTGGCCTTTTCCCGATCTTTCATGCGATTTATTATGTCTTCTTCATCTCGTTTGGCGTCCTTTAATCTGGCCACCTAAAGTTGAAAAAAGAAATAAAGTTGAATACTGCACTCTACCTGCAGGAATGGTTAATTTGTTGGTTTACCTGTTCATTGATTTTCGATAATAGCTGATCTTTATCTGTGGAGGCCGTTTTCTCTTTCAACTTTAATCGCAAAGTGCTTAGTTGCTTTTGGCAAGCACTATGATTGTTTGGTGTTATTAGACGGCATCGATCGAGGTGACCTTATGTCAATGGTTTTACCTAATTTCTTTCCGAGTTTTGTCGAGACGTTTCTGATCGAGAGCTTCGTCTCTTTCGGCGATAGCTTTATCGGCCTAATGGAGCAAAGTATTTAGTTAGGGAAGGAGACGTGGGTCGATTGTAACAACGATCGTACTTTGGCCATAATTTCTCGCTCCAGCACGGTTTGATCCACGAGGCCTACACCCAAATGCTGGAGTTCATTCTTCTCGTTGGCTGATGATCCCTCTCTCTCGGTGACATGCTGATCGTCGTCGGACAGCATTATCTCCTGCGACAAGGGCGAGGACGTTATACTGATTTCGCTGTCGCTCATTAGACTCAACAAGGAAGGTTTATCTGGAATTTCAAGTGGCCGCAGCAATGATGAGTGATGCGCATTGAATTCGTGACTTTTTCGGAACGTTCATTTCGGTTAGAATTCCGATTCCACCACGAAAGACTTGACGCACCTTCGTTTTACTTTGGAACATTGATAGTGGAAATACGATTTTAATGAGTATGCCCAAAACTCAGCATATGCATGTGGATAGCCAGTTAAGACGGCCTACAGTGCGCCTAGTCGTTGGAGCAACAGACTTGCCTTTGTGTTCTCACTATGTCAGGATGATTCAAACAGTGGTACTCTGTCTTTCAAATTCCTCCCCAGTGAAACTTTTTATTGTCGATGATTAAAAAACCTTCCGACCTGTGTTGTGAGCATCCAGCGCATACTCATCATTGGCAACGTACTCTGGTTTAGGCTGAAGAGTGCATCAAGTATAGACAGTAATTTTTCTACAAATCTTTTAATTCACAAGATTTATTGATTTCATAGTTGTCGACTGAAAAAATGTCGCCATGGGAGGGCATGAAAAAATTATAGCCTTCAAAGTATGGAAAAAGCCAAAACATACAAATGGGTTTTTTGATCTAGAGGGTCTTGTCGAAGATGGCGCTGAGAGAAGCCCAGACGGTCTTGGGAGACTGAGCAGCATCCACACCGTACCAGATACCCTTCTTCTTGTAGTAATCAACGACAGGAACAGTCTGCTTGTGGAAGGCATCCAATCGCTTCTTCAAGGATTCAGGGTTGTCATCGGAACGTTGGACAAGAGGTTCACCAGTAACATCGTCCTTCATGGGGGTCTTGGGAGGACTAGGGGAAAAAAAAATAGTCAGAAAATTTAGCGATGATTTCCACGTGTATCCATCGTGAATTTTTTAAAGCTTACTTGAATTCCTTGTGGTAGGTGCGGCCGGAAGAGGGATGGATCAAACGACCAGTGATACGGGAGACGAGCAAGTTATCATCAATGACCAACTCAACCACCGAGTTCAAGGGCTTCTTTCTCTTTTCCAACATTTGATCCAACTTCTCGGCTTGGACAACGGTACGAGGGAAACCATCAAGGATGAAACTATTGTAATTCCCCAAAAATTAAAAATATTAGCTAATCCGTTATTCCTGTCACCCTAGTTTGTACCACGCCAACGCGCGCTTAATTTTTTTTTTTTTTTTCATCGCTTTTTCTCTCGTTGACGTGCTAGCATAGCGTGACGTGACCAGATCTAGGGGAGCCATGATATATGTGTGTTTGTGTATCTCAAACCTACCCGTTCTTGCACTCTTGGTTGTTGTCAAGGTTCTCTTCAATCATACCAACGACGATTTCATCGGACACAAGACCACCTTCATCCATGACCTTCTTGGCTTCAAGACCAAGAGGGGTCTTGGCCGCCACAGCCGCTCGGAGCATATCACCGGTAGCCAAGTGACAAGCACAGAACTTCTCCTTGATAGCAGGAGCCTGAGTGCCCTTACCAGCGCCAGGAGGACCCATAAGAATCATACGGAGCTGCTCCTTGGGCATGCCCTGGTTGACCTTCTTCTCAAGAGCCTCAAACTTTTCTTGAAGAGACTGAATGTTCTTCTTGATTTCCTCAAGGACAGCAGATTGGTTGTCGGCCATGATATTTCTTGGTGTGTGCGAAGGTGGAAAAAGTACAGGGGCCGGAAACCGTCATTCAAAAAAAAAAAAAAAAAAAAAAAGTCGGTGCCCATCAATCAAGTCACACAGTGACGTCGAAGTTGGGAATTGCTCTTGTTTATGATGGAAAAGAGTCCGCCATTTTGGGGGGGCAGGTTGGATGCAAAGTTTTGTTGTTATGCATTATGCGGATCATTTGGCTTTTTCAGCCATGCAAATAGTTTCTTCTGTTGACTGTAAGGATCTGTGGATTGTTTTCAACGGTGAACGGAGCTTGGCGACTGAGCATGCTTGCTCACCCAAAAGCCACTCGATTATCATCATCGTCCCATTCAACTCCGAAACCTACTTCAGCTTCAAAAAGGCGCGCGTTTCCGGTCTGAATAATTAAGGCGGAGTCTGCATTTTACTTCATCCAATGAAAAGACCCAAATCTTATCAGATAAGTTCAAGATAACCATCGCATGTCCAAGAATCCCAAACACACCAAAAAGTCAAATGATGACTTGATAATGGAATTTTTAATGTATTTGGAGAAAGGGAGTTTGGTAATGGAACCGTTGGGATGGGGGTTTGTTTGATGAGAAACCGTGTGAAATTAACGTAGGAAAAAAAGAAAAGTCTTCAGTAGCTGTTGACTTGCAAGGCGGATGCACATTCATTTCCAAGGGTGGCATATTAGAAATATGGCTCGACATTTTGTTTTGAAAGCGCCGTCTGGGATTGACAGGCAACTGCATTTTGATGCATTCATGTGTCAATGTTGTGGACATTTTGCTGCAACGTGTATTTAAAATAATAAAGATACAGCTCTTTCTTGCAGTTAACCGTCGAAAAGAACCGGTAATTTCCATCGTGATCAATTCTATACCTTTGAGGTTGTGGTCTTCAAGGCGCTCTTTATTTTTCCGTAAATTTTGAGATTTTCCTGCGGTGTCTATCATATTGAGATATATGTCTCCACGATATTACTGGAAACGCATTTTCTCTATATGGGTTGGCCTCCTTATGATTCTATTGTACCATTTAAATAAGATCGCGGCTTCTTCTTGGCGCAACTTGAGACAAGCAAGAAGTAAACCCAACTAAAATATGGACAAAGCTTGAGCTAATAACAAAGACCTGTTCTATAAATCGACCTTTTGATCCATGGAAACAAATGAGACCACATTAATATGATAGAAATTTTGGTAAAATTACTTACTTCATGTGTGGCGTCAATAAAGGCAATGGTGTCATTTTGGTTAATAGATAGTTTCCAACCTGAGAACACAATATCTAAAACGACAACGTTATAATTGAATGCTATACAGTAGCCTATGTGATATATACCGGTATACAGTGTCGCCAAATCATGAGCCCCAGATTTCAGTTTGCAATAATTTTTTGATTTTCATGCAGAAACTTGTCAATAATAAAATAAGGAAGACGTATATGATGATTCGCCTCTTTCTATTTTGCCCTTTTTTATTTATTGGTCAAATGAAAAAAAAAGTAGTAGCATAAAAGGTACTCAGTATTTTCACAATAAGCTTTTAGTAAAGTGATCCACCGGTAGTTTACTTTTGCATCAGGCAAACAAAAATAAAAATAAAGCAAATTTTATTACGATCCCTTCACTATGTTCTTGTAAATGAAGTCTTCTGCCAAACTATTTGTTAAAAGGGCAGCCAGACATGAATGGTGGAAGAGACACATTCATAGATGGCAGTCGGCTCATGATTTCCTTCATGCGTTACGCTCGTTGGCAACATACTATTGGGTCCAACCACATCGATTAACCATCCATCAGGAAATTTATTGATTATTGAGTCGCCTGGAGTCTATGTGACGTCCTTGGGCTTCATGAAAAAATTCAGGCCAAGAAAACAGACAAATTACATATACATGGCAATCATGGATGTAGTATGAGCTCTTTCAGTAGTGATGTTATCTTTTGTAGTATCATTTCCAGCAGCGATGTATTGATGTGCTTTCCGCTTCGGGTGCGTTATACAGAAATTCTTATGGTTAAAATATGCCAAACTCAGCTAAAGCCACTGACTGCCAAGTTTATCGACACAGAGTCTCCCACTGTGCAGATAAACTATGGAAGCCGCTCGTATGCAAACTACAAACAAGCGTACCTAACTCCATCATTTTGACCGCTTATTTCACATTCAACCATTTTCACACATGATACATGCATTTCCCACCTTGCAAAAATAAAGACACGGTAGCACACATAGCCACGGTTTGAAACTCGATTTTTGAGTGTATCATATCAAGTGGACCTTTATTCCATTTTCACGTCAACTCTGCCATACAGTATCCAGTATCCAGTATCCAATATCCAATATCCAATATCCAATACACATAATACTACTACAGACGCTATATGTGGAGTATATGCGTCTCCCAATCGTGATTCTCTGCCCTTACTCACCGACTAGGTCTCGTGTCCACTTTGCGCCGTGCACCGTCCGCGCACCAGAAATCATTCAATACATCCACCCAAGCATTTCATTTGAGGTCCTGCCATTTCCTACAGCAAGATGATACGGCCTTTCTGATATTGCTGACAATGATGACCTTCCCCCATCCGATTTTATCGTCAGGTTTCACACTGGCGATCTTGTGCTTCCGATGACGGCGACGTTACATCCAACCTTTACCCCTCGTTACTGTTATCGTTGTTGACGCATGCTCTTCCCTTTGTTCGACTGATTCCTACTGAGGTTCTAAAGGTCACAGATAAGCACAGCGGGTCAGCTACCAGCAACGGCAGTTGGGTTCGCTGCTTCACTGAACCAGTGGACAGATCGATGGTCGCCAACAAAGTGGCGGTTACGAGTGACTAGAGTCGTTCGAATGCTGACACTACGTATGTTGCAATGCATTCAAAGCTGTTATTGAAGGAAGAAGGGTGGTCGTGTTTTGGACGAGTTGAAAATAGAGAATAAGGCCCCAACGAGATCTTTGCATACTTTAGGTTCCTGAATCGCAAAATAGCTCCTGTGCAGCGGGTGGGCACCGCCAAAAAATATACATCATCACGCAACTCCGCTCATACATTTAGTGTGGAGTGCAACACAAAAGAAAAAAAATTTTCGGTGGGTTTGTGTGTCATTATAAGCTTTTAGTGATGAATATGGAAGATCCGTTGCACAAAACGAACGTGCACCGACCATCCATGACTTAAACAGAAGGTGCATATTGGGGGGAGAATGGGCTGCGGTGAAAGTGGAAATAGGTCCAGTCGTTCAGTTCATTGTAAAAAAGAGTCGTGACAAAAGTATAAGAAAAAAAGTAAAGACCATGGTAGTTTCCTTTGGTTCAGTGAAGATGATTATCAATCTAGCAAATTCCTTCAATCTCGTCAAACCGTGGCATCGCCGCCACAAAATTTTAAGACCTCTCAATTTTGGGGCAAGCCGGTGACCTGGATACAAGGATACGTGTTTTAAGAAAAAAGCAAATGCAGCTATTTGTGTGTAACTCCGCTTTTTGTTTAGTGCGTCATTGTCATGGGCTTCTCTCCGATCGAACCGTTTCACCAATCGTTGTCATTGGTCCACAAGGACGTGACCAAAGAAGTGTATGCAAATAGTAATGGTCTCATCCAAACGTTTTTGTATCAACATTGGTTCAAAAGGGGAATAGTAGCCCAGGTGCTTCTCGATCGAGATACCCCGCATTTAGCGGATGAAGACCGATCAATATTTGTTTCTGATTTAAAACTCAAACTAAATGAAACTGTTTGGTTCATCCGAGAGGATGGGGAGCTTAAATGGAGTACTCTTCACAGTAAGCAGTGGTTCCTTGCCCTATTATCGAAAATGATTGTCCGAAACAGTGCCGAAAAGGCACTGCAACACGGTCCTAAAGTCTCAATTGCCCGATTCAAGTAGCGGGTAAGAACTTGATGAATTTTGCTTGGTCCAAAAAATAAAATAAAGGGACCTATTTCGTCAATGTAAGCATCCCCGAAAGACAATTCGAATACATTCAGTCAAAAAGTGGTTATGACGAGCTTGAGTTTGTTCGCACAAATAATAAACGTACAAATTTGCGATAAACTCTAATGATGAAGCTGATTGATAAATTTTGAGATACAGCAGTGCAAATGATGGGTCAAGAGTCGTTTGGGTCTTTTTGGAGGTAATGGAGTTTGGAATTTGGAAGAGGAATAGTGCGAAAAAAAAACATATAAGGAATCGGAGAAGAAAACGGGGATAAATTCCCAACCCAGGTTTTCATTAGCCGAAGGCTCGGACAGATGTCTACAAGGATGTATTCCAAGAATAAAGTAGTACTACTTTGAATAAGAACCCAAAGAATGAATTTGTGCAGGGTGTTAATGTGGCTCGTTGCAGAAAGCGAGCAACGAGGTCTCCGAAGATGCGGCCTTGGAGCATGTGACATCACTTCCCCCCATTAGGGTATATTTCTACTCTATTTTTGTGAGTCCGGGGTATTAACGTTACATTATTGGTTACCATGATGTGACTGCACTAGCACCTTCGCATTGGTTATAAATGAGGCCTCGTTAGTTCCCTCGTCCTGATTTTTTTCTTCATCACTCCTACCCAGAGCAACTTAGACAAAAATGGTTTACAAGAAGATCGCTTACGAAGAACTCGCCTCCTCCCCCCTCGGCCAGGCCATTGGTAAGCAGATGGGACACAACAAGACGAAAAATCCATGGATTTTTTTTTTTTACTTGTTCCGGAATCAGCATCGATTCTTTTGCATAGTGGGCTAACTGTGTCTGTTACCTTTGTGTCCTATAGATTTGGCTAGCTCTGCTCTCGGTACCACCATCGTTGCTGTCACCGATGAATTCTTCGCTCCCGCCACCAACATGATCAACCCCCTTCCCCCTGTGCACTGCCCCGGTCGCTTCGTCGACACCGGTGCCTGGATGGACGGCTGGGAGACCAAGCGTCACAACCAGACCTATGACTGGTACGTTGAAATTTTTAAGAGTCCATCTGAAAAGATGTGCGGAACAATAGTTGGTTTGCAGTTTGACTCATTACCTTATTTTTTTTTTTTTTTTGATTGTAGGGCCATCCTCAAGCTCGGTTTCTCTGGTAACATCATCGGTTTCGACATTGACACCCACTACTTCACTGGTAACCAGGCTCCTGCTGCCCGTGTTGAGGCTGCTTTCTGCCCTGAGGGTGATGTCCAGGCCAAGGATGTCAAGTGGGTTGAAATCTTGCCCAAGGTTGAACTTCCCCCCACCTGCCACAACGTCTTCGTCCTTGACCAACCCACTGAGGTCTACACCCACATCCGTCTTAACAACATCCCCGATGGTGGTATTGCCCGTTTCCGTGTCTACGGTAACGTGAACCCCATCTGGCCCGCTGACAAGAAGTAAGTTGAGTTTTTAATTTCGGAGTTCGGAGATGACAAAAAGGGAATCCGGAGGACCATAAAATGCTGATTGCTTGTGTTTCTTCTTTTAGCACCATCCTCGATCTTGCCTACTGCGGTCTCGGTGGTCGTGCCGTCGAAGTCAGCAATGCTCACTTCACCCCCGGTTCCAACCTCTTGTTGCCCGGTCGCGGTCAGAACATGGGTGACGGTTGGGAGACCAAGCGTTCCCGCACTCCCGGTCACTCTGACCACGTTATCATCAAGCTCGGTGATAAGGGTCACCTCTTGAAGGCTGAGATCGATACCTCCCACTTCAAGGGTAACTACCCCGCTGCCATCATGTTGACTGCCACCAACTCCGACAAGGAAGTCCCCTGCGAAAACGCTGAATGGACCACCTTGATTGACAAGACTGCCGTTGGTGCCCACGATCTCTTCTACTTCGACCTCCCCGCCACCGACAAGGTCTTCACCCACGCCAAGATCTACATCATTCCTGGTAAGTTGATAGATTTCAGCGCGAAAAAAGAGGAAGAAATTGGAGAGAAAGAGAACAGTCTTAGTAATGTGATTCCTTTTTCCTTTTTTAATTACAGATGGTGGTCTTAAGCGTGTCCGCCTCTACGGTGTCCGTGAGGGCGGTGAGCTCCCCAAGTTGCCCATTGCTGTTCCCACTGTCGTTGAAAACGGTGTTGTCAAGAACTAAATGAGTAGCAAAAGAGGGTAGACCCAATGTAATAATCGCTAGTCGACCGTTGCATTGGATCGGCTTGATCATACTATAGATTCAAGAAAAACCATACAACCATACCTCATAGCTGTAGATATCTGTACCACTACGTTTCATTTTTGAAAATAAAAATATAAAAAAAAAACCTTGTGTGTTGGATGTACTGCATATCTTAGTGAAGAAACCAAATCTAGATCCGCCGTGGTATCTAAAAGCTACGATTTTTCTCAAAAACAAAATATCGAGTCAGTTGTATCTCAGTTTTCGCTATTTTTGCGAATAGCGGGGCATCTTTTTGGCCGCGGGAACTGGGCGGGAAAAGATGGCGTGAGATGCTGTGCGGAGTCTTGCCGTTGGCGCAATAGTAAAGTGTGTGGTATGGAATTGTTTTTTTATCATAAAGGATGTTTGGTAGTATACTGTACATCATTGTGCGATAACCCAAAAAATGGTGAATGAAATGAACGCAAATTGAGCTCTATTTAGAACGGGTGGAGAGAAAGTCGCTTTTTTTATACAATGTTGTAATGGCGCATCACCAAGGTGGAAGCGGCACAGAACGCTAAGATGGAACATAGAATACAAGTGAACCAAGTCAAATCTTCCTATAATCGATGGGAACGTTTCGTCAGCATTCTATCGCGCATATCAAGGCACCTGGACGTCACCCTACCTGATACTGGCCTGGCACCTGGACGTTCATTCCCCACAAACCAGTGACAAGATTCATTGGAACAAGCACACTTCCTAGTGCGGTCAGTTTGGATAAGACGTCGTTGATCTCATTATTCGTTTGCGTCATCTCGATGGAAACTTGGGCGAGGTAATTGGAGTGCGATCGTGATGATATCTTTTCGTAATGATTGAGTGACTGGAGCATGGTGATGATGTGATCTGTGGTCATCAAAGAAAACGAGCAGTCAACGATCACGTTCTTCATTCGCTGGTTGTCCTTATAACAACCGGTAAAGAACACAAACCTTGGACGTCTCCCAGATAGAGTGAGACTTCATTACTTAGGGCCGGTCGTGTGCCTTCCACTGGTTTGACTTCTCCCCGTTTGATCAGCGTCTTGACCACGTCTGCTTTGGATACCAGTAATCTTAATAAGCCCATCATTCGTTTGCGGCAATAGCCAATCCGCCTCAGCATGTCGGATTGCTCAGACTCTTTCAAGATCAAGACGAGTTCATCAATAGAATCCACTTCAAATTCAATGGCTCGGATCAAAGGCGCAAACGAGTCGGTGATATCATCAAGGACGCCGTAACAAATCCAATCTATCTCCATTCGCTGGTCAGATGGAACCCATGCCTTTCAACGTCAGACTGAAAGACCATTGATTTACCTGGTGTAACGTTGATATAATCCTTCAGTTGCTTTATTCGTTTTCGGACATTGTTCGGATGGGGCATCGGTCGAAAATGGAACTGCCACGAGGATGAGATACTCTGAGGTCTTTTACCGTTATTCTCACCCATTTGAACTTACACTTAGCACGCCTTCTTTGAATACAATGATATAGATCGCTAATGGTTGAAGGTAGTTGGCACTGAGCTGATCTTGTTCAAAGCTGCGGAAACAGATGAAATAGTAATTGTAAAACACTTCGCATTTTTCCCGTTGTTCTTCCATGGTTATGTCTTCCGTCGTCAAAGGATGAATGCGAAATATCTGATGCATCACAGTTTTAGTTAAGCATGGGTATGAGTGCCTAGCATCAGACCAAAGTGAGATGAGGTTACCTGACTAAGTGCCTTCATTTCTGAATCGGTGGGGTTCAGCACATCGATCCAGAAACACCCCCTTTTCAGCATGTCGCTTAGTTTCTCGTCTTTGGTGGGGATCTCGCTGATTGTGCGAGCGTGAATCGTCGACGGTTCGGCAGGTGAGTAATAACTGAATCGAAAATGATCCGAGTCACTGGCCTCGGGATGCTAAAGAAAGTCATTGCCATGAGATTGTGTTTTTCATTGTTTTTTGATCACCATAACAGTAACAAAGGGATCGGACTTTGGTCTTTCGGGGGTCTGTTCATTTTAGTTTTCTCCTTTACCTTCATCCTGTCACCGTAAAGGCTGTATCGTCTTGTATCGAATGTCTGCATGGTCGATAACCGCCGCCGTCGTTGTCGGTGGCCATTGACCATATCACAGGTATCTTTGGCTGCTTGCAATTGTTCGCATTCGCATCTCACGTAATTATCTAACGCTTCGTAATCGATGCCACCTTCTTCCTTCTTACTCGGGGTAGGAAAACATACATCCCCTTCCACTGAACTGTGCGTTGACCCGGCCGTATCGACATCCGAATTATACATATTCGCAGGTTCCACTCTTTCAGTTTCACGCATATTTGGATGACTACTGTCCTTGTTGCGCATATCGATCAAAATATCGTCTGCGTCCATGCGACGAGGCGACGTGGTGAAATAACTAGGCCGAGAATCTTGGCCATTGCTTTGACGATGACTACTGTGATGGGAATCCTGTTTGTACGGGTTAGTTGTGTTTTTTTTTACGTCACTAACTAGTAGTTAATGGCGGCCACTTACGGAATCCGATGCGGTTTCGGGAATGGCGGCGTATTGGTGTTGGGGGTAAAACATGTTCAATGGCTGGAATGGCGTGGATTGTGGAGTGTCGCCAGACGACCCATTGCGTTGAGGCGGCTGATTGGGGCGTCCGCTTTTCTTTTGGCCGCTTTTTCTTGACTTTCCCATGATAAGAGGAGGTAGGCAATCCCTCTCGATGGGTCGGCGGGGATGAAATCAGAGTGCGGAGACAAAAAAAAGCGAATCACCACCTCCTTCCTCACTACTTTTTTGCACCACAGTCACACCTCCCCACTGCATGAAAAGTCTTGCCTGATGCAGGGATGAAGCAATCATGGTGCTCCAGTCAAGATTTGTATATGTTGACTTATTGTTCTCCCCTACTCTTTACATACAATATATGCAGGTCTTTATTTATATCAATTTTCATTGACATGCTTTTGCTATTGACAGCTCCATCAAAAAAGACTCAGTGCCTGTAGTTATCCATGTTGCGGGTGACCTCATATTGACGTCTGTGTCACCTCGCATCAGCTTTCTGTCACCCACCACCCAAAAAGATCGGCCTCCATTTTGTTGGCTCTAGGAGTGCTTCATAATCGATCAATGCAGATGTTTTTATTTACAGTAGATGCATGCATGCAGAATGAGTGAATGATAAAAGTGATTGAGACGCTGTGCTTGGCCGTTTTTTTTTCGTTTTTTTTTTTTTTTTTTTGATTTCATGGCCATGGTTCAAAAATCAGCTCGGGCATTAAGTCTGTGACACTCCATCTGCCCACATATAGTAATTTTTGGTTGCCCAATAATGCGTGCTTTTCGTCTTTTCCATTGTACAAATGCCTGCAGAAAATTCAAAAAGCGCGAATCCAATGAGCCGAGTATACACACAGGATGCCATGCTGACGAATTTACCGGTGTTGGAGAATCCGATACGCGAAAACAAGGATACTTTTCCATGCTGCACTATCGACTGTGATCGGATGGCTTTCATGCCCCGTAAATAGTCTAGGAGATCTCGCAACTCGATGGGTGCTAAGAAGCCGGTGAAATTCTCAAGCAATCTGGCCTACATGGGATCAAATCCCGTTAGTATAGCGGTCAAGCAGACCAAAACCAAAACCGGTCCACAACTTACGTGACTAATACCAGGATTCAAGACAATATGCCCAAGAATCGCTTCACAGCATCCACGCAGAACTTTGCTGATAACATGTCCCTGGATATCATACCACATGCGCGGCTGAACATACTTTGTCTCTCCACGAATTTTCACCATCCATTGGCTTGCATGATGCGACAACACCCATCTTTGATTCGTATACCCTATATCACACGCCACAGGACACGTTCCACTCGAAAGGTCGCGAAGCGCGTGATAAAGCTCCTCGTCATCCAAAGAAATGGCATGTTTCGCAAGCACATAATTCTGTTTGTTTTTATGGGCGGTTTTTGAGGCACACAATTAGCATTTCTTCTTTGATTCACACAATGCCAGCACCATACCTTGATCTCATGAAAATTGGCACCCTTGTCTCCAAAATGATCCAACGCTTCGTAAACGAATTTCACTTTTGACTTGTTGCCATAAACTTTTTTAGCTACATGGCTCGTCTGGCCAGGAGTAAGCAGCTCCAGCGACGGGTGATTTTCCGGTGCCGCGGGTATTTGCATCTCGTGATTGATCTGCATCCGAATATGGAATTCATCATTGATCCAAAGATAACGAGCAACAGCTGATGGACAATATATTGAGAATCAATGCCCGGTGCAAAAAAAGTATCATCGATGTAACTCGTGAACTTACTGTATGCTTTTTTTGGATAGTACAATTTCCGCCGTAGCGTCAAGTACCGTTCTCTGTCTGTAAAGTCGAGAGTAATCTATCGTGAATGTGTCAACATGGAGCGAATAAAATTGAAAAAAAAGATGCTCGTTCGGTAGGTGCATATGCTTACATTGCCATTGGATAGCATATTTAATGTGGAAGCTACAATACCGCTGTCCAATTTGTCGAGATCAATGACTTGGCCATCAACTGCATGCCGCTGAAACTGAGCAGCCGTCTGATACAATTGTGGTGGCAGCAAGCTATCGAAAGCCATCAAAAACCTAACCCAGTGTAAGTATTAGAAGATTATGAAAGCGCATATCGATTGGTTCCCAACGACTCACCGTTCCGACACAGTAAAAGTTCGGCCGGGAACACGTTTGTCCTTTCCCAATTTCCAATAGACGATGCTTCCATTATCACGTAGTAATTTCACTGCTTCGTCTACGATTTCCTTTGGAAAAAAGCGAAGAAGTAAGGCAGCGCGATCCGGATCGTACGACTCGGCCGGCGTGATCATCATCATCTAACGCACATATGGACATGACAATCAACAAGTTAACGCAACGAGGTGTCTATTGAACCACATATGCATGGGTTTACCTTGATCACTACCGTCGCAAGAAGCACTTGGTCGTTTACAGAGGAAATGTGCCAATCAAACAGATCGGTTTTATTAGCCAACAGGCACGGGGAGGGATGACCAGATTCTTCCGTCAATTTTTGAATGTGGAATGCATTGGTCACCGTTTGGACATCCGATGGTAAATGTAATATCTGTGTTCGATCTCTGTCAACGATTTGAAATTAATAATTCTGTTCTCCCTTCCTCCAAAGCAAGAGGCTTTGCATCTACTTACTCGGGTTGCTCCTTAAGTTTGGTTAAAAAGTATTCCAAATAGGCGGGTAAATCGTAATGGCGATTATCCCATGGCCTTTCATCTTCAATATCGCCTTTGGCTATGCCTTGGCGATAAATTTCGCCCCATTGCACGCTTAAACGGTTGACATCGTCTAGAAAATGAGGCACCTTTCGCATGATCGGTGCTATCGATCGTCGACAATACTCGGCGCTGCGACCAGGAATAGCTTCAGCCACGGGCGCCCAAAAGAATTTTACACCCTGACTTCGGTGTTTTTGAATGGCCATGGCATACAACAGCAAATCTTGCTCGATATCGTTGAACGGATTTTTCGGTCGCGTCACTGGTTTGGCCGCTAAAGAAGCAGGAACCATGCTGCGATTAGTATATACGACGAACAATTGGGCATCGACAATAATGATATTTGGGCCGTGGGCGGCGGTTACTTACTTGGGTCGAGGACGTCTCGGCGAGATCGGAGGTTGAGGGCATCTCGACTTGCCACAAAGGTGGATTTCTTGAATGGGAACAGTTTGCGACGAATTTTCGCTTTAGGTACGGTCCGTTGATTGGAGGACGCTTTCAACAAGGCTTTGATCGCGGGTGGTTGTTGATCGCTTCGGTTTCCTCGTTTCAGCACCACTGGCTGTTCTTGCGCCTGCTTTCGTCGCTCAAAGCCTTTCTCAATAGACAGATAATACCGTCGAATGCGGTTCGCAGAAATTCCGGTCTCTCGTGAAAGACGAGTAAGCAGTTGGAAATATCGGCTCGGTGTCTCCCCACGCACATTATCGACGTGAGCATCCAAAATTTGTTTCTGCGCTGGCGTGAATAGCGACCCCACATGCCAAGTGTGAGGTGTGCTAATACTGCTAAGAGCATCGGACGGACCTTTCCGATTCATCAACGTATGGGTGGTATGCACGCAAGTACATGTGTACTGCAACTCTTCCCAAAAAGACATCACTTGCTCTCTCGTGGTAATAGGCATTTCTTGAAGAACAGGCCTTGCAGGAGCGGCAAAGTTACGGATTTTTCCCGTGTCGCAGAGATGGTAAGTGACGCTAATGTTGTCTGGTGACGCCAATAACGCTGGCTCTTCCGCCACTGGTTCGATTAATTCGAGCGCCACCAACGAATCAACGAGCAGGAGTAGATTGCGTCGCAACTTATACTGCTTGAAGATAACGATTTGCCGAAGTTCGTCCGGCAAATCGCCAAGCCGGGTGTGGCGGTTGTTTTCATCCTGAAGAAACTTTTCCAGCACATTGCTAAAGGTAAAGATGCCAAATAGTTTGCAATAGAGACTGAGTGGTATATCGAAAAGTTTGTCGCGTACATTGATGGTTCGTTGCGTTTCTCCCCCGGCTGTCACAGTCTCTTCCGCTTCACTCGTCATGTAAAGATGCAACTCTTTGGCGCGCAACCATTTTGACTGAATCCATCCAAATTGCAGGGCCACCGATCGCCAAAATTTCTTTGGAGCGCAATAACCATTATGACTATAATGTTCCAGCTGTTTGACGGACGGTTGTCTGTCGATCAACCGTTCCACCTCGGCGGTTGGAAGTACCTTGAGCACGCGGTGTTTCTTGCCTTCCATGTGGACCGCTTTTCCCGATTGTTCTAGGTAGTCTTGAACTTCTTGATCGTCTTCGTTCAATTCGGGGTGCATCAATAATATTCTCATTTCTTCGTTGCCAGTTAATGAACTCGCCATCACTTTGATAAGCTTGATTGTTTTCGCTTCGTGCAATACCTCGCTGTCCCGCTGCAGCGTTTTGCGCGCCAACCTACATTTGGTATCGGCCTTTCCGTACATTAAATCGGTCATTTCATCATTAAGACTCTCATTCAGATCACGAATCCTGTCTCGAAGGACAATATCGGTCAAATGCTTTCGTCGCTTTTCTACCGTCACATTCACAGCTCTTGGACGTTCCTTTTTAGGTCTTGCCGATGATGATGCTGTGGCGGGTCCGACCGAACTAGGAGCCGATGAACTCGAAGCGATTTGTTGAGGCGACGGTGCAGATATTGTGACATGGGCAATTGGCCTGGCATTCTTTACGGTTAACTTTGGTTTCTTTTGGGAGGTGTAGGTAGCGAGTTCATTGGCTTCACTGTGTTCGGGGGATTCACGACGTTTGGCCGCTGGTGGTTGGTTATCGGCCGGGGATACGAAGTTGTGAAGTATTTCCTGAGCCTTTTTAAAGGCTGCACGTGTCGGTCTCTTCCTGGAAGATTCTGCTTGCGTGGTCGTAGTAGGAGTTATTGTTTCCTTGATAGGCTCTACCTTTTTTGCCCTAGCCCGTGTTGTGGCGGGCTTAGGAAGTTCTGTGTTCGTGGTCGTGGTCGTGGCAGGTGGGACTGTTTCGTTTGAGGTATCTTTTTGCGCGGTGGCAGACGATGCTGCAGGCAATATCGTCTTTCCTGGTTTGGACATGGCACGCGTGGAGACCCGCTTGGAAGTTTGCGTGTCCGTGGATGAGTCGGGCATAGTTTCGGTAGTCGTAGTAGACGCAAGCTTTTGCGACTTTTGTCGCGATGTCTTTGATTTTTTCTTGGGTGCAGAGGAGGATTCGGATGTGGCGGGCGTTTTTCGTTTTCCGTATCGAGTCTCTGGCGACTCTGATACGAGATAATATATATTTGAAGGTTCTTCGTACTGCAGGTCTTCTTCTGTTGATGTGGTGGTGGCACTGTTAATGTCAACCGATTCGCCTTTACTCTCGTGGTACGCTTTCCATCCCTTCTCGGAAAAATATCGATAACGCCTTTCTTTACCCAACGTTTCGCTGATGTGATACACTTGATATTGCTTTAGTTGTGGACTCACCGGTAGAACAAGTCGCTCCAAGCATCGGACCACAAACCGTTTTGGGATCGCCGGCAGCTGCTGATGGATATCCTAAATGGATGAGAACCAAAAATCCGAGATTAATTGGCGCTTTTATGTGATACTCGCTTTTTTTCCCCTTTGGATATTTACATTGCGAGTAGCGCCACATTCACGTGCATTGACAATGGCTTGGTAGATGAGATAAGCCATTGACTGGTCAACAACCAACGAACTTTGAATCGGAATGGTCGGAGTAACAGAGGCGACGGGCATGGTCGTTTCGGACATCTCAGAAGGAGTGCCCTCAGTTGCAGGTGTGCTGACCCCTTCCATGTCTTCCCTGTTCGCAACGAGCCTTACGGCGTGGACGCGTTTTTTTTCCGAATACACTTTGAGCTTTTCGACGTAATTTTTTGCATGCAATTTGGCGATGAAAGAACGGCACCATCGAATTTCTTTCTCGGTGTTAAATCCCTACAAGTACCGATAAGGAGGAAAATGCTTTAGGCAAAAACTGAAATAAAAAAAAGTAGATGAAATTGCCGGTTTACCATGAGTGAGACCAGATCTTGCAAATACATGATATTGTCTTTTGCTTCCGATAAAAGTTTGGTAAGCGATTTCAGAGCTTCATCGGGATTAATAGGGGTTCCGGAAGGGTGTGGAGCGGCCTCAGTCCTCAAAGAAGTGGGCATCTCTCCGGCCGCAGTTGACTCTGCGGCAAACATGGTATGACGTAGCAGGATGGTCAAGTTGCGTTTGAACACCTCGGATCGTCTGTCGCTAATGACTGGGTTCAATAACAATGCAATTGGTGCTGCATTTTTTTTTTCTTTACTGGGCTTACATTAATCCGGCAGCGTGCAAGCGTTTAGTATAGTGAGATACACTTCGAGGATCCATATTCAACTCTTCGGCCAGCTGCATTTGGTTGATACCTCGATGCCGCGCCCGAAGTACGGCTTCGAGGACTGGTTCTTGACCTGAAGTCAGGGTATGATCTGCCTAGGAAACAACTCTGATAAATATATTATGGATTGCAGCAGTGCTATGACTTTTTTTAGGCGATGCCGTACTTTTAAGCCTGTTAAAAGCAACTTTTTTCGGCTTTCAACTGTAGCAACAATTCGGAGCTTTGATCCGTATTGCTGGCATACGTCGTCGTAAGCTGCTGTGGATAAATTTAAATAGGTCGAAGGGTCGTCGGACTAGCATGTCAAGACCAATCCATGAGTTGACTGTTGGGACAACAAAAAAAAGGCGGGTTGTAGGTACCAGTATAAACTTAATGAGCTGGAATTGACGCAAGTACTGCCATAGGAAAGCTTTGTATTTATTATCGAGGATCGGTTTGCGATCGGTGTGGGGTTGCATGGTCTGAATCTGCCGCTCCAAGGCCGTGGCGACAAATTCCCATAAGAGATCAAGGTCACACCCTGAATGGCACAACTAAGTAGGCATTCCACTACAGCACACGGGAAATGCGTACCTTGGGGCCCTTCTATTGCTATCTCCTGCTCTACAGCGGATAGTATATCGTCAAACATAAAGGCATAAAAAAATGAAGAAAAGGCAATGAACAAGTCCAAAAAGAGAATGATTGTGACTGTCCGATTTGACCTTTCAGCATGATCTCTCCATTGTTGTCAAATGCCGCCGTTTACAATTTGTATTTTTGAAGGACGGCATCTTTGAAGAAAAATATAAAATCAATCTACGTACCGAGCTATATAAACTTTATAGTTGACGTTGGCATGAATCACGGAATCACGCTACTACCGATATTTTGCGTTGTCAATCGGTGCAAGCAAAGACTATTATCGTAATCAAAAGACAAACAAAACTTGATGGTATGCGATGCAAAAAATACCATTCCGCTCTAAAACACGCAAAATACAACGCAAAACGTTACATTTAATTCTGTGAGCCATTTTTTCGGACTGGGTACTCGAGGAACATCGCGAGCTACCAGTGGTCTCGAAAGAGAAGCATTAAATTTCTGCGGCAAGTTTGTAACCAGGACCGTTTTGTGTCCATTTGAAAAAAAGGGCACAATATGAACAAATGCGACCTTTTGCAGATTTGTGCATAGACTTGAGAATCGATCATCACCTTCTTGTTCTTACGAGAAATGTTTTGACGGAAATGTAACAAGAGTAAATAAGATTTGAATAACAACCATGGAATCGATGTCTCTTTTATTTTTTGTAAAAACGGTAAATGTTTTAGGGTCTAACAATAGGTATTTGTGTAGACGACATCCGACTTTTTGAATCCATTGAATTGAGAGGCGGCACAAATGGTATAGGCGCCCATGTTCTCCCAGTACATCCAATCGCCTTCTTCCAACAAAGGAAGACGCGAAGCATTGGTAAGACAATCGATCGAATCGCAGGTGGGGCCCCAGACACTGCAGGTAAATTCGGGCGATTCCACCTTTTCTCCATACATGTAAGTGTCACCCTTGCGCAACACTGAAAAATCAAATAAAAAATTCCAATGATGAGAGGCCGAAAAATTCCAATGAGCGATAAATAAATTCGAAAATAGCTCACCTTTGGGCTGTACGACCTGATGATCAAAAAGGATGCAGTTGAAAGAGCCGTACATACCATCGTTCACATAGTCTACAAAGTGCAGTCAGTTAATAACGCAATTCAAAGCAGACAAAAATAGTCAAGTGAAAATTTATGATGATCATAGTATTCGACTTACACATATAGCTAGCATTTTCGTCGACTTCAGTTTGAACGGTACGACGACCAATGACATGAGTGCAGATGGTAAAGGCCGAAGAGACGAAATAACGACCCGGTTCAGCAATAACACGGACTTCGGGAGGGAACAGTTGGTCGACAGCAGGACCAAGCACGGCCGCGACCTTTTCAAAGGTAATACCATCTTGGATATCGGCTCCGGGGAATCCGCCACCGACGTCGAGCAAGGTAAAATTGAAACCCATCGCTTGACCCTGGTCAAAGACACGACGTGCACGAAGCACAGCGTCAGAGAAAGCATGCTCGTCTAAACATCCGCTACCGACATGGAAGCTGCAGGAGAGCAGGAAGAGAGGGAGGAAGAGTCAGACGAAACAAGGCCTTGTTGAATTTTTGACCGCGATGGGATTCCAAGTTTTTCTTACCTGACGCCAATGACATTAAGTTCCAGATCTTTTGCGGTCTGCAACAAATGCTCGACCGTGTCCAAAGGAGCACCAAACTTGAGACCAAGTTGACAAAGAGATTTGGAGTCATCCGTCAGAATACGCAAGACCAATTCAGCGTTGGGGTACAACATCTTGATCTTATGAAGCTCTTCCGCGTTATCAAAGGTCATCTTGGCCACATTCTGTTGAGCCGCGTAACGGATAAACGATGCCTGCTTGCAAGGATTGGCGTAGATGATGCGTGTGGGATCACCACACACATCAAGCACTTGCTGAATTTCCGACTTGCTAGCGCAATCAAAGCCAAGACCCAGCGAAGCCAGCAACTTGACGACCATTGGATCAGGGTTCGATTTGACGGCTACACAAAACACAGAAAAAAAAAAAACAAATAAAAAAGTTTAGAACAAACGATGCATCAGCAAAGTGGCCCAAAAACGAGAAGAAAAAAAGAAACATACCAAAGAAGGGTTGAATGCGAGGCAGCAAGGCTTGCCAGCGCAGATGTTGGCGGTACACTTCGCCGAGGTCACCAACGAAGAAAGCGTTCTCCTGGTCGGTTTCCCATTTAGAAGCTGTGATGGCGTCCAGTTTCTGTTTAATGATGTCTCTGACTGGACGATTGTATACGCACAGTTCAGGGGACGGCGGATTCTTGAACACCTTGGCGTCACAAGGTTGGTTGAGAACCACGGTTTCGAGTTGCTCGGTGTGCATTGAAAAATGGGTAGGCAAAAAGATAAGAAAGAAGAATCAAATAATTAAGACAGGGAAAATTAGATGCAGCAGTTCACCAGAGAAAGCGGTCAGCAGATTCAGGCAAGCCAAGGAGGGAAGCCTCGCTTATTGAATAAGCTATTGAGGAGTCTTTTTTCTGAGTTCGTGATGGGCTAGTCCGGACTGGGAGATTACAGTCCGAGAAAGTACGAAGATGAAAAAAAAAAGTGGAGAAAAGTAACGCTTGTGTTGTCTAAGAAGTACGGTTTGTTTTTTTGTCTCGACAAAGAACAGAAAAAAAAGGCGTACTTGGAGGCAAAAAAGAAAAGAAGCTTTTCAAAGAAGGAAGCAAAAAGGCAAAGGGAAAAAAAAAGTAAACACATTTTGTTATTTTTTTTTCCCCACCCAGAAACCGAGTCACGTGTAATAATGACGACGGTTGAGGCCTTTTTTTTTTCCTTTATCTGATCGTAGGGTGTTGAACATTTTTTTTTAGTCCGCCACATGGGGCAAAAGGTTCTAGTATGGCGTTGTACTACTAATACTACATCTATGATCGTGAGGGTAAGTTGGAAGCCAGTTGGATGAGGGCTGATTGGGCTTTGGAACGAGGTAAAGTCTGGATGGCAGCTACGGCTTGATCGCAATGTTGAGTGACCAAGGCCAAGGTCTTTTTCAAACCGTTGCTTTGATAGACCAAGACTCTTGCCTAGGTTCAATTAATATTACACAAATCAGCTGATGATCTTATCTAACGCGATCGCCACCTGTTACCTTGTCTGCATCTCCGTTTTCCTTGAATTGGCGTTGAATGATTGGTTTCAATTCAGGATATTCCTCGCACGCGAATAACAAAGGCGCAGGTGCTAACCCTATCTGCAGATCGGTCCTCGCCGATTTTCCGAGATTGGCCGCCATTTCACCAAACACACGCACATCTTCCATTAACTAAAATGAAAAAAATTCAACACCCGGTTCTCATGTGGGGTAGGTGGGGATGGCAAAAAATTCGTTTCATGTGTTGAGCGAGCGTACCTGAAGCGCGATACCCAGATTGCGACCATAACGATATGCGGCGTTGGTGAAATCGGTGGGACATCCACTGAGAACGGCCGCTGACTTGCAACTTTGGGCTATTAAACTGCCTGTTTTGTTGTAAGTGGTTTCCATGTAGTAGTCCAGATCCGTCATGGATTCTTCGCGTGTGTTTTGCAACTGCATAAATTCGCCTTCCACAGAATTCGCGATACACGTCGCCATCAATTCAATGCACTCCGCATTCCGTAACTGCGCCAATGCCAATGACGCCCGTGCCAACAAAAAGTCACCGGCCAACACCGCCATTTTATTGCCAAATACGGTCGTGGCCGAAGATATCCGTCGTTTTTCCGCCGAATCAATAATATCATCGTGTAAAAGAGAAGCTGTGTGAATCATATCAGCAATCTCGGCTAATCGTCGTTGCTTGGATGAGATATCCATATCCATATCCGGATCGACCGTGGCCGCAGTGACGTTATGATTCGGATGTACGGAGGCTGGGGTCGTCGCGCAGTTGGTTGCCTGCGCAACCAGGAGAACCAACAAGGGTCGAAGATGATCGTTGTCGCTGCTCAGATAATTGGCAATGGTGTCCAAAAATGGATGTCCGGAACCTAGCAACTTGGTGATGTTCCCTTTGAGTTCCCATAAATCCTTGCCCACCAATTTGGCCGGATCCACAATGCGATCATTATCACTGTTCAATACTAAACTGCGGGCTTCGCGAATAGCGTCGTTCCAACTTTGCGCTGTACCCGTAAATGGCAACGTATCGATGGCGGGTTTGGTGACGTGACGCAGCGGGGTGGTCGTCAGGATCGTCGAGCGCAGCGTGTTGATGCCCTGAGCGATTTTGGCAAAAGGAGACGTGGTATCTTGGGCGGATTCCGAAGCTCGATAATGAGGACGGGTGGTATGGTAATGAGCAACGGTCACTCCTAACAATGAAGGCCGGAGTGCCGCTCTTGTGGCACTAGAACGCACTACACGGAGAGAATGCATAGTTTACGCGTTGATAGGTTTTTTTTTCCTTTGGTCCACGGGTCGCCCTTGTGCAGCAGCAGCAAAGGAAAGGGCAAGCGTGGCTGAGTTCATTCCCAGTCACACTCAACCCTCGATGGCCCCGACAAATGATGGACCCATGCCAATTATCGGCAATCTCCTTTTGTAACTGTATATCATAACAAAGGAAATGCGAACATGATTCTTCCATTCAGGACCAAGGCTTTTGTTTTGATTCTCTCCACAGTCCGGCAATTATTTATGTATGTCCATCATTATTCTATTACCAAATTTGTGAGCTCCTTGGGAGTCCTGTCAGAGATCTGCAATCACTTGTTCCAGCGGATTATGGTCGTTTGGATAATTCAAACTCCTCCCAAATCCGATCACACAGCAATAACCTTTCCTCTCCATGGCTGTTGCCATGGGATTGCTTGCTTCATCTTTAGTGCGCACGTACAACATGTTTTTTTAAAGATTCATATTCAATCACATGGAGGAGGAAATATTTCAGAATAGGGGCAAATCGAAGCAAGTGGAATGAAGCTGTCTGATATGCCTTGTTTCTTGACGAGCAAACTCACAAAAAAAAGTTTTCCATTTCAAATCAGGGTATCACTCAGACTCACAGTTTTGATACACCTCTCAGCAAGTGATGATGAACCGTGACAGGGAAGAAAAAGTGCCCCAATTGGCTCCATAGAGCCAGGAAAAAATATTTTAGATATCTGGAATGGTACTAACAAGGTAGCCAAGGAGGGGAAGATCTGAAGCAGCGTAAGACAAGCAATCGAGATTTCTGGATAGGTTGGCGGTCCTAGACATTTTGTATGAAAACGTACAATGGATATTCGGAAGCCGATATGCCCATGGCGCTGATTTTTTCACCCAAGGCTTGCATGTTTTGTGCGACCTGTCCTGACTTTAGCGGCCTCTTGTCTTTGTCTTCATCCTTTTACTTCGTTGTTTCAAAAAGAAAAAAAAATCTCGTCAAACCGATCTTGTACCATGGAAACGGTGTATTGGACGAAAGAGAAGCAATATAAAGTGCATTGTTGTAGTACCTGGGCAATATGGCTGTTCGTGTTCCCTGTATAATGAGTTTTCACCAATTTGGAACATTTCAGTTGCCTGTTTATGGTATTGGAATTTCCATCGCTCAACCAAATGCATTCAACAAGGGAACCATCTAATGATAAATCTTCATCGATATCATAAATTCGCTGGCATAATATAAAAACTACGGCCTGAGAACAAGGTTCCTTTGCCAAAGCTCAATAGAAGCTATTCGAAAAAAAAACACATCCGCCATGACGTTAAAGAGAGCTCGAAAAATCACGCTCCGCTGGCGGAAAAGGGTGGAATGGAAATTCCGAAAAACATTCTGCGTTGAACACCGATGAAAAGTCTTAGTTCGAACAATTCCGAATGGAAATCTCCCTGGGTTGTTGAAAAGGAGTAAAAAAAAAAAAAAAAAACGGTTAAATTTATATTCCCCTTTTAAACAGATTGCTCTTCTTCTTTCTTTTTTGTATTTTGTTCTTTTTTTTCTTCTTCTTCCTTGGTCTTGCACTAGAATTTGCCGCGGGTTTATCATTACAGTTACCAGTAATTGTCGCCATGTCCGAGCCTCTTGTCCAGTTTAGCATCGATAGACCATTTGGGGTCTATTTATTTGATCATTTTGACAAGGTATACACTGCCCTGATGGGTGAATCGGCGACCAAGTTCCGATTCATTGAAGGATACACGCCTCTATCCACTTTGCAAGAAGGTAAACCATCCACCCAAACGCGTGGAGAAAGAAATGAGAGTGCACAGATGGTGCATGAATGTTATGGATCCATGGGGCTGATACCCGGTTATTATAGTGGTAGTGGGTGTGATTACATACTTTGTGGTGATCTTTGGTGGCCAATACATGCTACGTCAATTCAAGCCGATCGCGTGTCAATCGTTGTTTCGACTCCATAATTTATTATTGACGATCGTCTCGGGGGCGTTGCTTGTATTGCTGTTGGAACAGCTGATCCCACAATTGGCTCGTCATGGATTATATTATACCATCTGCTCTGCGCATGCTTACACGCCTCAACTGGAATTGATCTATTATCTGAATTACTTGGTCAAATACTGGGAATTGCTGGATACGGTGTTTTTGGTCGTGAAGAAGAAGAAACTGGGTAAGAATGGGGGCTGTTGGGAAAAAACAAAGGAGTAAATCTGTGGGGACAAAAGAACGACTCTGACCATGGGAGGGGTACCATAGAATTCTTGCATTACTTCCATCACAGTATGACCATGGCTCTGTGTTATACCCAGCTTGCAGGCAGAACTACGGTGGTAAGTGGCTATTGTTGAATGCAATCTATGGTAACTTGGAAAGTGAGAATTGGTGGTGAACTCAATTCCTATTGGACCTTGTCAATTTTTTTTTCCAGTCTTGGGTGCCTATTGTCCTGAATCTGACGGTTCATGTTTTGATGTATTATTATTACTATCGCACGGCGTCAGGGGCCAAGATCTGGTGGAAGCGCTATCTGACGACGATGCAGATCATCCAATTTGTGATCGATCTCATTGTGATTTACACTGTCAGTTACTCCTATTACGCCTACACCTATGCCACCCATCTCCCCAATTTTGGCACATGTGCGGGCGAAGAAAGTGCGGCGGCCTTTGGTAGTGCCATCCTTACCTCTTACCTATTCCTCTTCATCAACTTTTACCGGGTCACTTACAGCAAGAAGCAGCCCGTCGCTGACAAGCCCAAGAAGATCTAGTACATGCATTGTTTTCTTTACTTTTTTCATTGTTTTTAATCCATCTGTCTCGAGTTTAATTTACAGTTACTTATTATTGAATTTAATTGCTTTACGTGCACGATTTTTTTTTTTTTTGAGCAAATGGGGAATGTTTTATCTCAGAGGAGGAAAAAAGTCGAAGATTACCGCTTTGATTATCATCCAGTGAAAATACGTCAAATCATTCAGGGGTTGGGGTGATAGGAAACAAATTGAACATAGAAAGCTTTAAATCTTAAAATGAAATTACGCTCGCATTATCACTGGATTGAACCTTGCATGTCCTGATGTTTAGGATTGTTATGTCAATACCATACCCGCTGGTTGTTTCAAATGACTCTTTTTAAAAAGTTGGCGAATCGTCGATGAATGGATATCCAGGCGCTGCAACAAAATGTTCATTCTTTTCTTAGATCAGCTTTGGAAGCTTTGGCTTTGAATATTAGCAGGAGAGGATGATGACAGCAATTTATTTGAAACGTATCATTTCTCAGGAGTTTTTTTACACCACGGGAACGGATCATTAAAAAGATACGGGATAAACCATTTCATTTCAGAACATGTTAATTTTCGCCATATTGACATGCGAGTTTTTGCCATCAAGAAATGGATTCCCCAGCATCGCATAGTGCTTCAATGGGATAAATGATTAACTCTCGGTGATCAATATTTAATTTGCAATAGTAGTGTGAAACATCTCCCCTGTACTCTTCTAGGCGCATGATATTGTATAACTTGTAACTCAATAAAATAAAGTCTCATGAGATGATTGTACGTCCTTTCATGGTGCGTCATTTATTTGGAATACGGTTATTCATGCGATATGGTGCAAACCGAGGACGGAACGAACAGTGTCGTGATGACCGGATGGGCTAGATTATGAAACGCATGTGAAGAAATTGAGTGGGCTATTTTTGATCTTTTTTGTTATTCAGCGAAACGATACTCGATTTGTCGTATCCAAGGTGACATTTTTAATTTTATTAAGTGCTGGATGGATGGACTAAATTTTTCACTTTGCGACTTTCACAAACAAGCGGGAATACCAATTATCCGCTACGCTGAGTAAAGATGTTCCTTGACAATGTAGTCCGCCACATTGTCGTCTACTATCTGTGTCAATAGATTTTGAGGGGCCTTTTCCTTCACCAGGGTTCGAAGGCGTGTGCTTGAAAGGGAGGCGGCGGCCGGATCGATACTCATTCGCAATATCCGGTCGAGGTACGGCTTCACTTTGTCGCCTGTCCAAAACGCGTTGACCAGTTGTTCATCAAATCCGGCTCGGTCGGCGCAAATCAAGCGACTCCGTGCGAAAAACGGCTCGAGTGCTTCCGCCACTGTCAGAGGGGCATAGTACTTGGGATCCAAGAATCGTGTCACAGTGTCATAGCCAAGAATAAAGTACATTTCCACTTCCTGCAATCCGTGGTGCTGGAAATAACGTTCAACCGCTACAGCTTTATCCACAAACTTGGCATGCTTTGTCAACCCCACCGCCAAACACTCGTAGCCTAATTTTTGCGCAAGCAACTCCATCATATGAGTTCGTTGCTCAACCGAGGCTCCGGTCAACTGTTTGTCAGCGTTGCTGGTGGAAAATAGCAGTATTTTTGCGTCAAAATAATCGGGAGCAAACTGCTGGACGGCTGTGGCTAAAAGAGCTTCATGAGCTCTTGTCGGTGGGTTGAATGAAGAATCCAGAATAAGCACACGACATTCGCGCTTTGTTATTGGTGGCCAGGGACCATTGGCAAAAGCAATGTCGAGATCGCCCATGTCGGTCGCCATGCAAGCAAGCAATGCAGTGGAGACTCAGTTGAAGTTCACCCCAGACTGTCTGCGCTTGCCCCTCAACATTTGATTGGTCGCTTCATAGTCCAGCATCTTCTTGGAGCGGCGTCTGAGATTTCAAGTTCCTCAAGAACGCTCGATCATCCTATCGATGATGAATATTTGAGTGATGACTCTCATAATATTGCAGCCTGGCTCTTTTTACTTTTCTAATGATAACTTGTGGGATTTATCTGATTAAAGATAGAAAGAATGTTAACCCGAAAAATCCACCCACGTTTGACAAGAAAAACCTTTATTCTTTGGCGTACCATTTGATGGAATTTCACGGATTTTGGTCCCTCAGATCAATGATACGATAGCTGGAAGTACAAGAATATGCATCGTCTAGAAAAGTTGGGTGAGTCTAGGGAGTCCCAATTGTCCCAATATTCCGAATATCCGTGCGCATGTTCGGCAACTTGGTGTTTTGGAGGCATCGTACTCGATAAAGAACTTGGGACTCCCATGTCAGTTACTCAAAAACACTGCAAGGAGAGATCTTGAGTCACAGTCGCATACAACCATCCAAGAAACCTATACTACCGCTGTGCAAGCGCCGCTACTGATCATGGAAATCACTGCCGTATTTTATGCGATTGGATGATAATCGACATCGAGACCGAATTTCATAATCTGTCATTTCATTCAGTATTATAAAATGATGTTACGGTATCTTAGACGGGTGTGTATAATTCTTCAGAGAAAACTCGAATCCCTTGTCGCGTATTTTAGTGAAAGCGAAGATGCTGTATGATCGCTACAAAACGAAAGCCTATTGTATGGTGTTCAACGCCGCGGAAAAGAAGTAACAAGCTACACTCCAGACCTTCTTCCACTGTCAACGCGTTATTAGATAAGAGAGGATCAAGCCTGTCTAGATTCAGTTTAAAAACAGACAAAAAACAGCTTGCTTTTGTAGACTAGAACAATTGGTGCAAGAATGAAACAGAGCATCATTTACGACAGGTTCTACCTACAGCAAACCGCGTGTGGTTCCATGATCTCGACTACTAAAGGATGTCGTACCGGGGTCGCCGGATGAAGTCTTATAACAGCGGACTTGTTGCTGTCTTGTACGTGGTGGTGACGATATTTTGGTTTCATGCCTTCAAATGGTAAAATCGTGGTCTTTTGTTTTCTGGCAAGGATAGCCTTTTTAGGTAACCGGTTGGTTGGGTCCTATGGTTATACGTGCAACGTTTCTTCAATCTTGAATGAATCGCTGTGGACAACTCTATTTCCGAATGTGGGTTTGTTACGCGTTACAAAGTTCCACGATGTGTTCAGTGGTGTGTGTAACCGCCAGGAAATGGTACAAAATTTGTATCGATTTATCTTCACATCGCAAATCTGAATGTTCATGACCAAGGAGGGAAACACGCCGTGTGATCATTTTTCTGCGAATAAAACAGAATGAATCAAATATAAATTGGATTTTAATACTAATAATTAACATTGAACACAAACAGTAAAACGAGCGGGAAACTTGTATTATGGTTACTAAAGTAACGTATGATCTTCTTTGGTTTCTAACCGTCACCAATTTTTGATATAGTGATCCAAGCGAAAGAAAAATCGTGTTGAAAAAAATGGATTTGCTCAACACCGGTGTTTCCGATACTTTTTAATTTTAGCTCCATACTATACATATCCACAATGGTTGATCGGAATGCCCAAGATCATGCGCGCTATTCTTTTTATAAATAGACTAGCTTCTAAAAGAAGGGCGTTGGGGGGGGGGGGGAGAAGGAAGGTTCATTTTGACTTATTAGAATTTCATATGATCAACTTACCATCTCAAACTGAATTGTAGCTAAACGTCATCTGTGGTGGTTGGTTGGGATTTTCAACTTAAAAAATTGTTCTAAGCGTTTCGCTTATACATAGTAAGGTCGGACTGAAGGAACGACAATACAATCATTGTTCTACAAGTAAAAAAACCACTACCGAAGCTCCGTTTGACAGATACATTTCTTGGCGGCCATGGACTTTTTTTTTTTGTTTTTCACTCATTTTATGGCACATAGAATTATTATATGATCGCCGCTTTTAAAAGAACCGTGTACATGCAATAAAATAATGTTTGGCAAAAAGATGGGTGCGTACAAGTCCAAGGACCTATTGCGTATCAGGGGCAAGTGACATACACTATTGGTAGCGAAGCATAGGTTGCCCCCCCCCCCTATCAAGTCTTCTTAGATCCTGTACATCTAGGAAATTACAAACTTGCTGTTACGTATGCCACGTCCATTGTGTGGTTAGGGAACGATGGGTTGATGACAGCTTGAAACACAGACACAAGAAGCACCATGACTGATTGCCATTTTGGGATAGCTGTTTTATCGACTTCAGATCTTGGCAATCAGCTTATTTCGAATGTTTAACCGTGCATTATACGGGATCAGATATAGTGGCAACACGGCATCCATGTAGGCTTATCAAGCAAAGAGACTTTAGAAAAAAAAACGATTTCAACGGTAGGTATTTTTTTAAATTAGGTGAGAAATCTTGTCTGAATAAACAGAAAGGGCGAAAAAAAATAAAATAAGGGAAAAACAAAAAGATGTGTATATGTTGGGTGATAAAGAAATGATGGCTGGGGAAAACAAAAAAACAAAAATCAGACTAATTCCTTCAGATAAGAGAGCCTAAAAATGAAGGAACGGGTTTACAAATCACGTAAGGGATATTTGTCTGCTTGACCACCATTGGCGTTCAGATGGCGCTGGGAGGTGGAATCACTGCTCATGCTGGCTAAGCTCGCTGGACGTTGTTGGAACATGTGTGCGAATCCATCATTATCCTTACCACGGGGGTAATCTTCGGTCACTTTTTCCGTCGAAGGGAATAACGGGTTACGGTTGCGTAATGGGGAATCGGGACTAGCGACCTTGTTGGCATTATCGAGCGATCGGAACACTTCATCATCGACGTAGTAAGCCTTGAATAACAGTTCGAGAACTTGCATTCGTTCTTCCACTCGCGCCACACGCTGAGCTTCCGATTCCATGCCAAGGTTGTTAAAGTCACTGACGCTGAAGCGTGAATGCACAGGATGCACGAGCGGAATACCGGAGTCGGTCGTTTTGAACTTGGACGATAAACCACGAAGCAAAGAACGCTTCATGTCACCGACGGACCAACGGTGCACCACACCCCAGGGAGATCGAGGACGGAAACCGAATAACCAAGCTTGAACGGCGATCAACAAACCGAACACACCACCGACGAAACCGAGAGCGTTGAGTAAAGTGTAAAGCTTGACTTCGCGATCGGTCACTTCAATGAAACCTTCGGGGAAAACAGAAAAGATACCGAGATCACCGAAACCGTGCGTGCTGATATAGTTGGGGTTGGGCGCTTCCATTCTGAACATGCTTTCAACCTCGGGAGTGTTGTTGTAGATGGGAAGGAAGCCGACGTAATTCCAGCCCTTATCTTGCAGGTACTTGTGGTCGATTAACTGATAGGACATGACACTGTAAGTGAAGGGCTCGATATCGTACACGTTGCCGACTTGCATATCGTTGCGCTCTCTGTTTTTCCAGTTGCCAAGCGCAACATCCGACATGAGGACTGGTTCGTCCGAAGGAAGGTTGTAAGCAAGAATGTTGGGATCCATCTGTTTGGGATACACGGACACGTGGATGCGACCGTTGGTGATATTTTGGTCACCCAAGAGCGTAAAGATCAAATTGGATCCGTCATTGCGACCCGACGTATCGGCCATGGTGAAGTTGGAAGGGGCTTGGAAATGGAAGCACGACACAGCTCCGAGATTGTCAGAGAAGGAAGGTGTGAACATGCTCATATTCAGAGGCGTAATAAAGTTGGAACAGGTGGAGCCCGTATTGGTGCTGCAGGCAATGGCAGGATTGCGCATCGCTTCAGCCAAACTCGTGGCGGCAATGGCTGGCCAGCCATCAAAGCAGAAGCGAATATCTAAGGAATAGAAGCAATGTAATGTCATAAGTATGAATATCAACATGAGTGAAACCATTTTTTTGCGAATCCTTACTGGGCAAATGCACGGTGGAAGCTGCTTCTTGAATGCGCTGTGTAACATTGGGACTCTGGACCGCTTGGCGGATCACGAAAGCAAGGAAACAAGCGAACAGGAAGAGGAAAAGCACTTGGAAAATGATGCGTGCAGTTTCGGCCCATAAAGGTTCACCGGTACTGTCAGCGAAAAAGATTAGTTTCTTTTACATCATAGCCTTGCGGATGTTTAAAAACTTACCGTGGCTTCCAGATATCGCGATGGATACGAACGACGACGAAGCTGATGAATGATTTGAAGCGCCAAAGCAAAAACAAGATGATGACAAGCAGAATCACACCGGCTACGGTCACACCCGCAATCAAACCGGGAGACACACCGGAAGATTTGTTGTCATCTTCGACGAATCCTCGAATCCAAGAATTGTCGCTCACTCGAAACACATTCAGGTCGTTATAAAACGCGTTAAGAGCTACACCAAATCCGACAGTGACGTGCTGACCATCTAACGAAGCGGCAGCAGCATAGGCACGCTTGGAAGGAAGAATGCCATCGACAGCAGGTACGGTCCATGTCCAGGTATCGGTATCGAGAATCGCCAGTCTATTGGTATATTGTCTTTTGGGGATGATGGCATCGTTGGTACCTATTGAAAAGAGTCAGCGGATACGACAGAGATCACGCTAATGTGAATGGCGAAATTACCTCCAAAAATAACAATCTTGTTGCCCACTAAAGATAGAATTTTTGTTGTTAGAATTAAAAAAACCAAAATTACCGGAAAAAGAAACTAGAAATATATTCACAACTTACTGGCGACGGCATTATGGCCCATTCTACCACCCACGACCACGTTACCCATGACTTTAGTAGTTTGGCTGGTCCATGTATTGCTGGCGATGTCATAAATCTGAACAATGTTGATATTGACCAAATCTCTCTCGACGGGACTCAGTGGGAGAGAACCACCAATGACAACGAGTTTACCACTGCTGCAAAAATAAATAAAAAATGTCGGGGAACACAAATAATAGATCAGCTAAGAATCTCGCATAACACGTGCCTCTAAAATTTTTTTGGGACCTTTTTCATTATTTGACGACTTACCTAAGATAAGTGGTGGTATGGCCGTAAAGAGGTAAAGGAGCATTCGCCAGCTGTTTGGCATTGAGGTTTTTATCAAACACCCACAGATCGCCTAGCGGCGTGCCCGGAGATCCATTTGAGCTGGCCATGGTTTGACCGCCAAATACGTAGATATTATCATTTTTATCCACTGTGGCCGTGAACTGTTTGCGAGCGATGGGCAGGCCGGTGGCGTTGGGGTTGTTGTTACTAGGGTTGGCAGCCCACTGTTGACTCTGAAAATCGTAGAAGTAAGTGGCAATAGTGGAGTTCGGGTTGGACTGAGACGTTGCTGTGGAACCCATGAACAAGATGAAGCTGTTGCCAGAGTTGGACACGACGGCTTGCGAGTAAACGTTGGGAGGTGGAGTGTTGTTCTGAGGCAAAGAACGCCAGGTGAAGCCCTTGGGCGTCTGCGTGAGTTCGTAAAAGTTGTTGGTGAGACCCATACGACCTTCGCCGCCGAAAAGGAGCAGTGAGTTATTTCGTTGCGCGAAGGCCATGCCATCCATGAAAGGAAGGTTGTCAAGCGAAGCTTGATAATAATATGCATGTGCTGATGAAACGAGGGCCATCAAGGCCATCAGCAGAACGTGAAAGCTTTTCATTGAGTGGTTGTTCTGTAGTGAACACTCAGAAAAGTGGATGTTTCAGATGATGGAGTGGAGAAAACAGAGAAATCCAAAGCCAACAAAGAGAAGTGAAAAAATTGTAAATTAAGTGAAAGGGAAAAAAAAGAGGACAAAGGAACGAAGAAAGAAAAGGAACGAAAAGAAAAAAAAGAAAAAAAGAATGAAAAAAAAAGGCTGTAATCACAAAAAAGCGAAAGGGAGACCCAATGCTGAGAATAACCTATGAACGGAATAAAAAAAATAAAAATAAGGAGGTAGGACATGGACATGTTCAACACCGAATCAGAATGCAAGACTTCCATGAAAAATATAGTCTTTTGTAACCATCGTTTCCATGACCATGTTCCCATGCCAATCCCACAGAAATAAAAAGTTATATACAGTTTCGTGTTTTCCCTTTTTTAAATTTTCATTTCAAAAGGATTTTTATTGTCACGGTTGTCCCATTCTCAATGATAATGAGGGAGGAAGGGAGGGGCGGGTTGGGGGAGTAGAACGATAGGGAAACCCACAGAGGGCAAGGCACGATAAAATGGCTTCGAGGTTAAAGTCTCGACTCGCGAATCGGTGCCATGAAATTAAAGTCCGCCAGACACTTCAATTAATGGACCACCCAATAAGATGGAAACGATGCTTACTTTGTTAGGCGCTGTACGACCGGTCAACTAAGTAGTCTATTTCCTTGAATGGAATCATTTTGGGGGGAGAGGACAAAAAAAATATCACCCATCCCATCTTATTGGCATATTTTTAGTATTCCTGTTTTCGGAAACCAACCAAAAGGGAGAGGTTGAAAAGCGACAAAATAAAAAGAACACGTCGTCGATCCAATTGAAGAAGTTACACAGATTTGTTGTCTTTTTTTCTTCTTTTTCACCTCTCTTTTTTCTTCTTGATTCCGGTAAAAGAGGCCGTTCAGCAGCGGACGATTTATCGGATGCGTGATCGCTCTTTTGTGTCCAACCCCCACGTCTAATCCATGTACATATCGCTTCTATTATCGGAGCCATACCCGGATAAAGCCAACAGGGTGATCATTCTATAAGAATGAGGGACCGACACATCAGCAAGCCCGACCTATTGGAAGCATGTTTATTTTTATACAAGAGAAAAAAAACCATGTTTAATTATGTTGCATGAGGTTTTGGTCATCAAAAATTGCCTGGAAAGCTTCCCTGCATGAGACAGAAAAATAACCAAAAAAAAAAGGTACTAGCTTTCTCTCTGGGTGACTGCGACACCCCATCGTTGTGGCGGAAAAAACCCACGCAAAACGATGTTAGCTTTTTTCATTTATTTGTCTTTTTCTGCCCATTTCCCGCCTCCGCATAAACTAGCCTTTCATCACCGCTTGTTCGGAGTCGAAGCACTTGGCACTGGATCATCTTTTTTTTTTTTGGACTTCCAGAACATCCGAAGCTATTAATTTAATGGGTTCAGAATGGGGGAACTCTGGTCCACACAGATGGTCAGGCGTTCTCCGCTAGATGACGAGATCAAATCCAATACAGGAACGTCTGAGTGGAAAAAGAGTCAGGGACGCGCGGATAAGTAAAGAAATTTGAGGTGCCCAGTATTGGTAGATCAAGTCATGGACAAGAATTTCAGATCATAAAGTAGAATATAGTTTGAAAAGCGCGGTATAAAGTTGTAAGGTGTGATGACTCTGGTGGGGTGCGCGTAGCTGAATTAGGGAACACGGATCAAAAAACATCCCAATTACTGTATCGTTCGGACGACGACATCTTCGGCTCTAAAACTACCTTTACCTTCCTGGACTTTGTGCGTAACGACGCTTCACAGATATTCCAAGTCCAGAAACCATTGCCTTTAAAAAGAAAACTCTATGTATAAAGTTTGCTTATACAACTGTGATATACAAGTTGGATCAAGTTTTCACATAGTCCCCAATTCGGGCCAAAAATGCAGTCTCCGTGTTACACGCGACCTAGGGCAACCTTTTTTTGCTTTGCGAAAATGCAAAAGCCAAATCTTTTTTTGATCGACGGCGTCCATCAAGTGTAATGAAATTTGGTACAAAGAAAAATCCAGCTGTAATCAGAGAAAGAGTCGAGTTTTCTCATCGTGGTGAATATTAGCATGTTGTCAGTTTAATCCAGCATGGGGCGAACGAGAACAGAATATGAGCACGGTTGATACCATGCTTGAAAAGTATGCATCGCAGTTACCATGGCATCAAGCGCTCACATGCACTAACACTGCACTCAACAGATACCAGCCAGGCGACATGGATGTCCTTGTTCTTCCAGAAATGGCATTTACAGGTAATACTTGCTCAAAGTGTACAACCACCTTATCGGTTGCTAAGCGTCTTGTGCAGGTTATGTGTTCAAAACTCTGGAAGAAATCGCGCCGTACCTTGAGGATCCTGAACATGGTCCTTCGGTCACTTGGGCCAAGCGCCAAGGTAACGTGAAAATCAGGGATCCAACGCTTCATACTGTGGCATAGGAGTACTAAATCCCTGGATTAGCTATACGATTAAAATGTTACGTAATTGTGGGTTATCCAGAAACCGTTACTGGTAAGAGTGTTTACGATGACTGGTTGGCGGGAAAAAGAGAAAGCTGATAGCATGGGTGTTAGATGCATCGGGCTCAAATGTCAATTACAACAGTCTATGCTGCGTCGATCCTACCGGCAACCTTGTGAAAACATATCGAAAAGCGTTCCTGTTTGAGACTGACGAAGGATGGGCCGAAGAAGGTCCAGGATTCTCAGTCATGGATATCGATGAGTTTGGCAAAGTAATCTCGGTCAAATTCCTCTTTGTATTTGAACAAGTGGGGCTCATTGAAGGATCTGTTCTTTCCTCTTCTTACGGAATTAGGTTGGTTTCGGCATATGCATGGATGTCAATCCGTATCAGTTCAAGAGCGATTTTCGTGCATTTGAGTTTGCCAATTACCACGTGGAGCAAAAGACCGATGTGATCTTTTGTTGCATGTCGTGGTTACAAAGTTCCACAGATAAAGATATACCAGTCAAGGAAACCGAGCGTACCAGCGTCCTGAAAATCATCAATTACTGGGCCATGCGATTATTACCAATCTATGAACACAATCAATCCAATCCTCGTCACACGTACTTTGTAGCCGCCAATCGTACAGGCTCTGAACGAGGTGTGTTGTCCGATGAATGCCTTTGCTCACACACACTCATTCCATTAATTTTTTTCTCATCATTTTAGGAAGCAACTTTGCCGGTGGAAGCTGCGTATTGGATATCTGCAGTTCGAGTATGCAGCTGTTGGGCTATTTGTCTAAAACTGAACAATCTATCTTGATAGTGGATACCGAAGAACCATAAAAGAAAGTATCATGAAATCAATTTGCTATGTCTTTTTCAAATCACAAAGGACTGCTGCGACGATGGTACACAGCATCTCTTCTTCTAGTCTCATTGGCTTTATACAGTGGTCCCGTTACATGAAGAAATTCTTTGATAAAATACCGCGAACATTGTCAACATGATATTGATCTAGGCCGCAGAATTGAAAAACAGTATCTTGGAGAATTGTATGCAAAAAAAGGGAGGCCCACAAGTGGGATGTATTGTTATTTTTTGAGGTTGATTATTGATAGAAGTCTTCGTCTTTGACGGCGTTTTCATCTTCTTTGTAAATCTTGATGGTCTTGTCTGCTTCACCGGTGATCAAACGTAAACCGGTGCGATCAAAGGTACTTGCAAAGATACCGGCTTCGGCATCCAGTGATCCAGGTTGTACGGTGGTTTCCATCGATTGGAAATTGTAACCCGACCGCCAGTCGTGGAAGCCCATCGAACCATCGTCGCCTAAATTCAATGAATCAGTCATCAGCAACAAAATGCAAGCAATAATAATAATAGAAAAGACTCTATAACGATTCATTTACCTCCAGAGAATACCACACCATCGGGATTGATGGACAATGTATTGATGATGGACTTGCGACCACCATAGTTCTGAATAAATGTACCTTCGGGACATTTCCATCCCTTGATATTATCTGCACTGCCACTGACAAAACCGAATTCCGTAGGGTGAATAGCCAGCGCTCGTACACTCTTCTTGTGATGTGTTAAAACACCCATGGTTTTGCCTGCGGCTAAATCCCACAATCGAATCGTGCTGTCCATGGAACCGGTAATAACTTGAGGATCAGCTTCCTGACATTTTACATCCGATACTGTGCTCGTGTGACCCGTCAATACGTGAATCGCCTGTTTTGTTCGCATATCCCAAACCTAATAGCGAAGAAAAAAGCAAATATCAGCCACTCTGCCTTTCACATCATCGAGGGAGCCAAACCATCCACCACTTACTCTTGCTGTTGCATCTCTACCACTGGTCACCAGCACGTCCAACGTAGGATGTAAGCTTAATGAATAGACACCGGATAAATGACCGTGATAGTGTCGAATGACTTTGTTTTGTTCCAAATCCCAACATTTCACCATTTTATCTTCACCACATGAGAACAAGTACGGATGTCGATCGGACACGGCCAATCCTCTGACTGTACTGATGTGACCCGTCAATGATAGTTTTAAAGTACCGGAAGCGAGATCCCAAATCTGTCATACGTACATTAAGCCTACCATGAGTTCTTTTGATTCTTCATCTTTATCTTATTCGTGAGTGCACTTACCTTGATGGTTCGATCACCTGCACCCGTGGCAAACCATTTGTTACCAGGTTCAACCGCCAGTGCGCGTACCCAACCCAGATGACCACTGATGACTCGCATCAGTTTCCATGGTGCATGCCACACAGGTCGAATGGTCTTTGCTCGCGCACGACGCACTAATGAGCCACCGCCCGCTAATGTGTCACCACCGAACAGATCCGAGAACTGCTCCTTTGAACGTAGAGCCACTACACCCTCTCCAGCATTTCTGTTGACAAAAAATGATCACACGCAGGTTATTCAACTTTGTCGCCATAAAAAAAAAACCAAGATCCCAACGAGACCAATCGTTTGTCCTCCACTTACAATCCAGATGTCTTCTCGGGTAATGTGTCGATCAATTGCTGAACGGAACTATTGCTGTCAGCTTCGTCAGTGGGGGCTTCTTCGATCGTCGTTTTTGTGGCGGGAGTGGGCTTTTGTTTTGCTTTCAAGGCTTCTTTCTGCTGTCGAATCAAGGCTTCCGGCAATGTACGTACGTCATTATATTCGTCATTCACTTTGCTCATCAACTTGGCGCGCTGACTAGATAGTACCCCAAGTAAAAACCAGTCATTGTTCAGTCATACAATATTTTTTTTCAAACAGTAGCCAGCTTATTCATCAATTATATTTACCTTGTTTGTTCGTCCATCGCAGCTTGGCTGTACGAAGTGGTGAATAACATTCGGGTTCGTTTGGCTGATCCTGCCAACAAGGCTTCCATGGTATCAATGGACGTTATATCTTTGGTGCTCGCATCGTTATTCTGTTCGTTGGACACGTCAGCCGCGCGACGTTTCGTTTTGGTGGATGCAACCATTTGGGAGACAAGAAAGATTATGAACGATCTTTGGCTCTTTTTTTTTTTGAGACGCCTTTGGTCTTTTGCTTCGGTTGCCAATCAGGAAATTCAAAGCAAAAATAAACGTCATCAAAAAATTACACCTTTGGCGGAGATTAAAAACATCGAGAGTGTGCCAACACCATGGAATTTTTCAGTGAAATGCTAATAGAAAGAGCAGGGAGTAGGATTTAATTGGATAAAAAAGATAATATTACGTACGTCGAGTGAAAAAAAAGAAAAGGAATCTACTGTGATAAAGAGCGGGAAAGAATTTGGGGAATTACAGAATGATACAGCAAGAGTCTTTATCAGGATGGTTGGATTTCTGTTGCTGAAGCTTCCGGTCTCTGATTTGACGCATCAATAACGTGTATATCTGTTCAACATTTTGTCTTGTTTTTGCCGAGGTTTCGATATACTGACAGTTCCATTCACTGGCCAATGCGGACGCTTCGCTGGCCGTCACTTTACGAAGATGGGCCAAATCAACCTTATTTCCTACCAGAATAAACGGTACCTAGAACAAAGAGCAAGGGATGTGGAGGTAAATAAATGTGGTTTCGAAAAATGGCAGCCCTCAAAATTCCACAACGTACTGTCTCATCATCCAGGACTCGCAAAATTTGGTCTCGGAATTCCTGGGTATGTTCCAGGGATTCTTGTTCGCACACCGAGAAAACACACAGGAACCCTTCCCCTGAACGATAATAATTGTCGCGAATCTATCAACTCGAACCCGTCAGCCATTTTGTCAATAAATACAAGGTGGTACAATGATAGTATTGCATACCGCGGCGTATTCTTCTTGACCCGCTGTATCCAGGATATCAATTTGGCACTCTTGTCCGTCTAAAACGAGTTTCTTTCGGTACGCTGTCACAATACGTTAGTTTTGAACCGGGGATGGGAATGGCATTTTTGTTTCTGATGAAAAAGGGCGCCCGAGTACTTACAATCAGCCTTGGTAGGATCGTATTCCTCGACGAAATCACCGTACATGTACTGCAACGTCAGAGCGGATTTGCCGACACCACCCGATCCCACCATGATGATCTTGTGAAGCGGGAGAGTCTGTTTGGTCTTGTTTTTGCCCATGATTCAATTCGTTAATGGAGGAGAAGAAAACGATAAAAAATTACAACAATTGCACGAGGTTCAACACGAAATTCAGCCAGTTTTCCCAATAGAAATTGCGATCATTGGGTGAAATTAGCCAATCATCGCCATGCTTCATTTTCCCGGTTTGGTTTTTTCAGGCGATCCATGCTGCTTGTGCCCCTGCCAGACGACCTCAATTTTTTTTTTTTTTTTTTTTTTTTTTTCATACAGTGATACTCTTGTATACCAGCATAGGCTACTTCTGCCATCAAGTAAAACTAAAAATGTCCAGTGCGTAAACTAACGATGGAAAGTTTAAATTGTCAACAGCCTACGGAACGGAGCCCTGAACGAGTGTCCTTTCTTGGCAATCCGTCATTCACCGTCACGTTTTTCATTGCTTGGAACCGTCGTCCCCGTAAAAAGAGGGTTCGCAACCAACAAGACTACCAAGTAGGGCAATCCCACCAGTACCTCCTTCACAACTTTTGAACCCTATTTCACTTCCAGAAGCAGGTCTATCACGACAGAATTCTCTACTGCCCCAAGCTAACGGTGCTCTACTACAGCTTCACTTTTCGTCCTCCTGAAAGAAAAAGGGATAAAAAAGGGTTCATCCGGGATGTCAAACCATTGCATCTATGATACTTGTCTAGTAATACACTGTAGGGATGGCTCGCCGTTGATCGAACTTGTTCATATTTGCTGTGGTAATTGCTTGGAAAAAAAAAGTACAGATTCAGTGTGCAGAGTATTCTCAATGATTGTCCCTCACTCTGATATTACAAAAGAAACACTCTTGGAAACACTAGCAGTAGCAAGATCATCGCGTTTTGTTTATTGTTTTTAGGTTTGCCATACTGCCATATTCAGCACAGACAGGAATGACAGCTATCTCAAAGTGATTGCGAACCCAAACTCTGTCAACTTTTTTTTGACATCACAATAAAAAGAAAAGTATAGGCTAATAAAAAATTATTTTTAATGCATAAAGATAGTATCGCTAATAATAGCGTTAGAGAATAAAAGAGTAGAAATTTATCACAAAATGAAGAGAGACCTCTCTCTTCATCTTCCGTTCGTTCGCTGATTTTTGCGAACTGTAATTGGTTTTTTTTTTTTTTTTTTTTTTTTTGTTACATGATGCTACATTGGTCTTCACTGTTCTTTCTTCCGTCTTTTCGTTTCTTGACAATTAGGTCTTGAATACTTTGTTCTTTCAAAGCCATGGTATGTTCCAGCAGGGCCGGGTTCTCACTTAACGCACGTTGTTCTTGCGGTGTCAAACCGAGCTCTTTCGAGTACATACGGATGCTCTCGGCTTGCGATAATGCCGGTAAAGACGGTCGTCGTGTTTGTCTCGGTTGCACCTTTTCGCGAAATGACGAACGTCTTCGATCATTATTGTTGCGATTGTATACTTTGGCAGAAAATACCCACTGCAATGAATTTAAAAATAAGCATTTTTTTTTACCACATCAATCCAATTTATATAGTAAGCTTACGTCGTATGAGGGTTGTTGATCGTTCACTTTGGGTGGACATGAAAAGGCCAACCGTTTACATTTGTCGTGACAAATTAGTGAGCAAACTAAGGATCGATGGTAAGATCTCCAGTGGGCCTGCAAATTCAAAATTGAGTCATACCTTCACAAAAGATGGCATCATCGCTCATTAAGCTGCAGCACACTTTGCATTCTACAACTGGTGACCATACAGCATCCCATTAGTACTTGATAAAAATCAGAATGTATTTGGCATCCTATGATCAACGTACCTTTACCAAAGGACGTTTGTATAAATCGATGTGTGGTATAATCCTCTTCCTCTTCCAAGAAGCTCTTGAGTGAAATTTCGTTCTTTGGACTGGGAGACGGTTCCGGAGTAGGTAAACGGTATCGCTGTAATTCGCGTACATCTGTACGATTATCCAGAGGATGGCAAGCGTCGCTTTCTGCCTTGGTGCTAACTGGAAACATAGTATAATCAGAATTTCGCCCCTCTTTTTCTAAATGGGCTCCATCTTACCACTGCACTGAAGGGTTGGCTTTTGAGAAGTGCGCTTGTATTTTTGGACCCAAATATGCTCCTTTAACTGGGTAGCTGTGGGACGGTCCTCAGGATTCTTTTGGAAACAACAAAGTAGAAAAGTATGCATATCCTTAATTCAATCCATCCCCCAGTTAGTAAATGTGTGATACAATAACATTTGCAAAGGTAAATCTACCTCGGAGATGCCTTCTGGGAGAGGAGGATAGTCATCTTCTACGATACGGAACATGGCCGACATAGCTATCAGATCTGCATAGGGTGGTTTTCCGGTGATCAGCTCAATCAGGGTGCATCCGAGAGACCTAGCATCCAAAGTTCCATGTATCATGTAAGCTGATGGCATTGACTCGGGCATAGCAATTCTAGACTCACCAAATGTCAGCTTTGGTAGAAGCTCCCTTTAGTTCAATCACTTCTGGTGCCACTATTGCAAATGAGCAGATCAGCTTCAACCGTTCCTGTGATGCCTCTTTTGATTTTACTTACTCCAATTCGGTGTACCGGATACCGCACCTGCATCGGCGCCTTTGATTTTTAGATTGAGCGACACGCCAAAATCGGTGAGCTTGACATCGCCCGTCTTGGTCGTGAGGATATTGGCCGCCTTTAGATCGCAATGCACAACCTAATACGAGAAATTCAGAGCTCCATTCATGTACACTCCCATCCAGAAAACTGGTCTGTTTAAAAAGGTACCTCGTTTGCGTGCAGATATTCGAGACCATCCAAAATTTTGATACAAAAAGAAGCGACTAGCTTTTCTGGAAAGGCGCCAAAGGCTTTGAGGGTAGACATTAACGAACCGTTTTCCGCGTATCTAATAGAATGGTTTTTACGTTAATCGATCATATCATCGGCATCCCTCTATTACAGCAACACTTACTCGAGAACAATGTTCATGTTATTCTTGCTGCGGATGAATCCCAGATAATGGATGATATTGGGGTGGGACAATGTCTTTAGCAGATTCACCTCTTTCTGTGACATTTTCATATAAGAATGGTTCGACCACTTGTGTTTTTCCACTTGAGACAATTAGCGTACCATCATTTCCTGATCCATTTCTCCATCTTCCAACTTGATTCTCTTGACAGCTACGATTTCACCGGTGGCAAGATCCAACGCCCTAGAGTTTTCCCTCAGCACACTGTATTTCCTTCATAAATACCTGATGCACGTACCTGTAGACGGCGCCAAATTGACCTCGACCGATACAATTGCCTAGTTGCTGGGATAGAATAATAGCAAGGTTAATAAACATACACTTGAATGAATTTGCATAACTGGTTCATGTGTCGTACAAACTGTGCGCTGGTGGATCCGTCTTTGGCTTTGAGAGATAATTTTTCGCGGATTTTTTCTTCTTCATGCACGGCCTGCACGGTCTTCATGGTCTGTCGATCCAGTTTGTGGCCAAGACTGGCCGCATTATGGCTGGAATTTTTATCTCTGGCTTGACTCGGAATCGATACACTTTGACGTCGTTTACTGAGCGGTTTGGATGGTGTCCTTGCGCCGGAATCCTCAATGGAGATGACGTCCGCATCGGCTGACATGACGGTGGAAGCTTCGGAAAAACATGTTGAAATGGACGACGATCGTTCCATGTCTTCCATTCGGGAGTGACGATTCATGGCCAATGCCGGGGCGGAGGGTCGCCGTTGGCGACGTGGGTCAAACTCTTGGCTGAGTTGTCTTAGTCGCAACGATCCCTGCTGCGGTTTGGTAGCTGGACGTAATGGGGACTTGGGAGGTCGGGCAAGCGAGCCTTGGACGGGAGAGGACGGCGACGACATGTAATCGAGCCAATCCAGTTCTTCGTCTTCGTAGATATTATCGACGACAGATTGACCAGCAACTCTGTAGCCTTCGGAATAATTGGAGCCAAGCTGACGTGCTTGCGACGATGCGAATTGTTGGTGCGTAACCACTCGCAGATTGGCGTCTTTGCCTTCTTTGTTATCGGGGGCCACCGCAGCATCCAGGCCGGCAAAGATGTCTCGAATGTGCCGATATTGCATGGAGTTCTGTTCCTCTTTTGTCAACTTTGTGGTGGTAGTAGTGGTGGTGGTCGTTGTTGTTGTTGGCGGATCACCATCCCGAGTTCCAGGTCCATTGGATCCGCACGAGCCGTGAGTGGAAAGCTTGGCACCTCTCCTCGCTTCGGCTAGATCATTGGTTGGTCCCACTTTTTGCTCCTGAACATCACCATCATTGGCTGGCTGCGCCGTCTCCTTGGTTGCAGTTTTCGTCTCCTTGGGATCGGATGCCTCCTTATCCTCATGGGAGACCGAGGATGATCCGTTTTCGGACATGGAAAATTGTGAAATGCTTAGAATGGTGTTGATGACCTAAACGCACATCTTGTCAGCTCATCAGCTCATCCGCGGCCCAATACAACTGTGAACCCAAACCGCCCTTGTTCCTTTTTTCCCTCCCCCACTTACCGCTGGCATATCTTTAGCCTCAAACAAGTCACTCGTCTGAAATAACTGTGATTCCTTCAATCCCAACTAGAAACAAGAAAAAAAAAAGAAAGGTACAAAGCCAGTGATGTATAATTGATTAGTTTTCTGTTGTATGGCTTTGTTTTCCCAATCGATACGACAGGGAATCACGCTCAAGTTATTCATTTCACTGTCAAGCTTACTTTACGAGCTCCTTGCAAAAATCGCGTAATGTTATCCATCTATGTCCAACCCTCGCAAGTCAGTGCTTCTTCCCCCGACATTTCGAACATCCGGCCAAAACGAGTTTTTCTCTGCCTCGGTACCTTTACAAATGATAAATCTTTTTGTCCAACATTCTTTATCGTTCCCGGTCGTAGTTTGTTGACCAGACTATCATTTATTATTCGCCGTTAGTCATGGTTCCCTTGGATCATCGTCATAGAGACGTGCATCGTCCTCCATCATCTACTGCTGCACAAGCTACTCCTCTGGTCTGTACTGCTTTCTTTTTCATATACTTCCGACTGTTTTCTTTTTCTTTTTTCGTCTTCTTCCTCCATCAATGTGTACAAAGTTTTATAGCTCGATCCAGCCCAATGACAGCCACACGACTTTGTCATCAAGAAAAGGTCAACTTACTTGCATAAAATAACCCCGTCTTTCAGTTCTTGATACAATTTGGTAGCGTCAACGGATTGATTCAGAGTGGTATTTAGGTAGAGCGCAGCGAGTTCTTCGTCGTGTCGTAACTGTTCTTCTCGCATACGGTCAAACAAAAGATTGGCGCCGCTTTTCGATCGGCCGAGAATAGGTGATGCATAAGTAGTAGCCATAGTGAGAAGGACAAGACTAACGAGTGTAATGAAGGCCAGCTTGATGGGGGTAGTTCAGTCTACAAAAACGAACGGCTAACAAGCGCGCCGAGTTATAAAGTAAGTTGATCGTTAAGAAACAGAAAGATAAAAGGAAATGAAAGCGAAAGAAGAAAAAGAAAGAAAAAAGCCGTGCTTCTAAAAAGGATCTCCGGCTTTTTTATGAGGATGGCTATTCTAAGAAGGAAAATAGAAATCGAGACAGAGTGAGGGAGAACCATGATATCGATCTCCTGAAAGAGGATGCTCCGTTTTTTTTTTATCCTTTGTTGGCGGTGATCTATCATTGGAGCATAGCGCACAGATGTATAACGACCTGTGGTACCCACGGACGCTACAAAAAATGGCTCGTTCTGTGCGAGACATACGAACATCCAACATTCTGATGATGAACATAGCATAAAAAACACGAAGAAAAAAGATAGATCAATGGGCGAAACAAAAACCTCTCAAAAGAGAGGTGAGAGTCATACATTTCACCTTTGTCACCTGGGTTATGCAGGTCAGTCCCAAAGATGATCCTTGCACTGTCCTTGCGCTCCACAACCCCAAAGAAAAATGGCATGATAGCCACTGTCAATGAAATGCATACTCATTGTTGTTTTTGTAACGCGCACTTTACATTTTTTCCCTTTCTTTCTCTCTTTTAGAGTGACTGGTCCTAAAGTCTTGTGGGATGGATTCGTTGTTTGGAACCTCCCTGACAAAGTGTCAAATTTCCTTTTCACTGTTTGAACGGGATCATCGGTGGAAATTATGGTCTTCATCAGGTTCTTTTCGCGACCATGAAATCATTAGCTATACTAGCATCACGATATTTTCTAAAAATGGTACATCACGGACTTGCCGGAAGCTCCTTTAGGGAGCATGAAACTGGTTCGCAATTTAGCTACAGGATATCTTTCTGATTTGACAACCTCCATCACCGCCGATCTAAAATCCAGGGATCCCCAAGGATACTTTGTCTCTGCCACCATGCTTTCACCCTATTTATAAGGCATTTGTGAAATTGGATTTTGGATCTATCGCTAGACAGTTGTATTTCAAGGCAATTACAAAGAGAAGGGTGAAGATAATGTTCTCAATGGCAATCCTTGGACATAGGAAGCCTCGACGTTTTCCCAAATCTGGGCCATAAGAGATGCAAGCTGAGCTTGTTCCTAGAGATACTGGTGGAGAAAGAATGCCAATAACCAATTGGGCCAACTTTTTGAGGAATAGATGATAAACTTGAGAAGATATAAGTATTGATGTTGCAACAACGATAACTGATCCCGAAAACCAAGTAATTTTTGAGCTTGAATGCTTGAATGCTTGACGGTTCCACTTGGATGAAATTTTCTTTTGAATTTTGTTAGTCTTTTGTTCAGAGTCTGACGAGAGCACCGCAGCCATGTCTCGACCAAAATCCCTAGTCATTATATTTTACGAATACATTCATCTCATTTAACGCCTTTGCCGCTGTAAATTTCTTCAATCACCGCAATATCAAAAACTTTTATGAATGTAACAAATAATGCTCGACAGGCTTTAACCAAATCACGTATAAAACTAGGCTTTATCATATTTGTAGTCATCAGGTTGTTCTTTTCAATGAACTTTTGGCCACCATCCAATGACAAGTAAGTATCACAGCTAACAATCAAAAACTTCAAAGCGAAAGAAAGAAAAAAGTACAATATCATAGGATACAAAATCATTGAGTTCAAACTTTTCTGGTGTCGTTGCAAGTAATCCACATATTGGAGGTGGCAAGCTAAACACACATCCAATGCTTTGAGTAAAGAGTGTAAATATAGGATATTTTTCCTGTAAAGGAGAAGTATCAGAGGATCAGCTAAGGCGACTCTGTTGACATGGAGAAAAAGCAAGATTCCCTGACCCAACTTTATAAATGAAGCTGTCAGGAACTGATCGATCAGAACAAACTAACAAAGAAAAATGGATATATTTTTAGTTGACAAGGGGTTTAATGCTAAAGTCCTTGGTCATCTTTTTGTATGCTTGAGCAAAAAAAAAGGGCAGATCAAGGACGTATTTTTTTTTTGCCAAGCAAGGGGAGGGAAGAAAAGAGGGTGAGAATTTGGGAAATCGGGGAGGTGTTTGCGCGGCAATTTGAATCTCCGCCCATGCCGGGTTACGCAAACCTTTGGGCAAGCGGGCATTGGAGGGTTATTCAACAAGTGGCCCAGGACATCCGTTTTCACCTCCACTCCTTGTCATGGCTCCCTATTACGCTGCCAAGCCGGATAACGCTCTTAAGAGAGCTGAGGGTACGTGATACGCACTATGGATGCATCGGATACGCGAACGGATGGATGCTTGGATACACATGGCACTCACACACACACTTCTTTTTTGAATCGATAGAACTTATCGCTGTCGGACAAGAATCCGCAGCATTGGATACCCTCCATGAATCCATCCTCTCTAAACGTTCGCGCAGCAATCCCATCACTGTGATGGAACCCATCATGCTCAAGTACGTCGAGCTTTGTGTTGAACAAAAGAAGGGCAAAATGGTCAAAGAAGGTCTTCATCAGTACCGTAACATTGCCCAAAACACGAGCGTGAACAGCATTGAGGTAAAACGATAAGAGAATAAATTCTCTGCAATTCTTTGAATGATGCTGATAAATGTATTATGAATCAAAACAATATAGGTTATTGTGAACCGTTTGTTGGAACTCGCTGAGCAAAAGGTGGCGGAAGCACGTACCAAGGCTGAGCAATTGGCCGTGGATGCCATTGACGATCTTGAAGCGTCCGAAACGCCTGAATCGGTCATGTTGAGCACCGTGAGCGGTGATCAGAACAAGGACCGTACCGATCGTGCTGTAGTGACTCCCTGGTTGAAGTTTTTGTGGGAAGCTTATCGCACTGTTCTTGATATCTTGCGTAATAACGCCCGTTTGGAAACTTTGTACCACGCCGTGACCAACAAGGCTTTCGCTTTCTGTTTGACCTATGCGCGCAAGACCGAATTCCGTCGCTTGTGTGAAATTCTTCGCAACCATTTCCAGAATGTGTCAAAGTACTCTCATCAAGCTCACGCCATCAACTTGAACGATCCAGAAACTTTGCAGCACTACTTGGAGTCGCGCTTCACTCAGTTGAACGCGGCAGCTGAACTCGAGCTCTGGCAAGAAGCGTTCAAGTCGGTCGAAGACATTCACACCTTGTTGACCACCTCCAAGCGTCCTCCCAAGGGCGTCATGATGGCCAACTACTACGAAAAGTTGACCAAGATCTTCATGGTCAGCGAAGACTATCTCTTCCATTCCGCCGCATGGAATCGATTCTCCACCATTGAACGTGCCATCAACAAGAACTTGACCGACGAAGACCAGTCACGTATGGCTTCCGTTGTCTTGTTATCGGCTTTGGCCATTCCTATCATTACCACCACCAGAACCCGTCCTGGTTACGTTGAAGCGGATGAATACCGTATTCAAAAGTTGAACCGTCTTTCCATGTTGATGGGTCTCACTCAACATCCCACCCGTACCGGTCTGTTGAAGGAAGCATTGAACAAGAACATCTTGTCGCGTGTGCGTCCCGAAATCCGCGATCTTTACAATATCCTTGAAGTCCAATTCCATCCCTTGTCCATCTGTAAAAAGATCAACCCCATCATGACCCAGTTGTCCAAAGATCCCGATATGGCCAAATACGTCCGTCCCTTGCACCAAGTCATCTTGACCCGTTTGTTGCAACAATTATCCCAAGTCTACACCACCGTCAAGTTGGACTTTGTCTTGAACCTCGCTTCTTTCCCCGAACCTTACAACTACGATGCCGCCACCATTGAAAAATTCATCATGAACGGATGCAAACGTGGCGAATTGAATATCCGCATCGATCACGCTTCGCAGAGTTTGATGTTCGATACCGATCTGTTTGCTCCTCCCAAAGACACCGTCACCGAAGGCATCCAATTGCAATCGTCGCCCGCCGATCTCATGCGCACTCAACTGTCGCGTCTCGGTGTCAGCTTGAACGCCGTGGTCCAGATGATCGATCCTTCTGTGAAGGAATCGGCTGCCAAGGCCAAACACGAAGCCCTTCAGCGTGCTCTGGCCGGTGCCGAAAAGGAACACAAGGCCGCTTTGGCAAGAAAGAGCATCATTGAACAGCGCAAGGAAATCATTGAGACCGAAATTGCCCGCAAGGAGAAATTGATTGCTCAAGAAAAGGCTCTGGCCGCTCAGAAGAAGGCCGAAGCCGAGAAGAAGCGTGTGGAAGAAGAACAGCGTCGTCGTGAGGAAGAACGCAAGAAGAAGATTCAGGAAGAAATTCAACGCGATCAAGCCAAGCGCATTGCTGAAGAAATCAGTGCCAAGACGGGTCTTCAACTCAAGCCTGAAGAAGTTGAAAACTCGGATGTCAAGACCTTGTTGGACTTGAAGGTGACCCGATTACAAACCGAGCAAAAGGAGATGAGCGATCGTCTCAAGCAGATCGGCAAGCGTTTGGATCACATGGAGCGTGCCTACCGCAAGGAAGAAATTCCTTTGCTTGCCAAGGATTACGAACGACAGCAAAAGGCTGATCGTGCCTTCTACGATGCGGCTCGCAAGTCCGAGTTGGCGACAGCCAAGGCTGAACACGAGCAGGGCATGAAGTTGAAGTCGCGTCTCACACGTATCATGGACGACTATGTCACTTACAGAAAGAAACTCGAAGATCAGCGCAGCCAAGCTACCGAGGCGAAACGCCGTGCCGCCGAAGAAGCGATTGAGAAGGAGAAGCAAGAACGTATTGCCTTGTGGCGTACCAAGCATGATGAGATGGTCAAGGCTCGCGAAGCCGAAGAGGCCGAACGTGCTCGTCGTGAAGAAGAGGAAAGACAGCGACAGGAAGAAGAAGAACGCAAGGCGGCCGAAAAGGCGGCTGAAGCGGCCAAGGAACAGGAACGTCTTGAACAAGAACAAGCCAAACGTGACGAGATTGCTCGCAAACAGCGCGAAAAGGAAGCCGAAATTGAACGTAAATTGGCGGCAAGATCCGCTTCGCCTGCTCGATCCCCGGCTCCCGCTGCTCGATCACCTGCTGCCGCATCGCCTTCGCCATCTCCTGGTGCCTACCGACCTCCAGGCGCTTACCGACCTCCAGCTGCTCGTGCTGCCGCCAGCAGCGAGCCCGAAAGAGGCGAGACCAGCTGGCGTACTGCCGGCCGTGGTGGATTGTCTTCTGGTTTTGGCGGTCGCCGTGATGGTCCTCCCGGTGGTCGTCCCAGTGAAGGTGGACGTGACCGTTTCTCCGATCGTGACCGTTTCCCCGAACGCGAACGCTTGCCTGAACGTGATCGCTTACCTGAACGTGATCGTTTACCTGAACGTGGTTCGGGTGTTTGGAAACGTGGCTCCGGCCGTGCTCCCGGTTCCTCCGGAGGTCGTTGGTAAACATGAAAATTGGGTTTTCTTGAACCCGCATACATTTTAATAAATTAGAAGCCCATTTTTGATTGGTTTGTTGGAAATTTTTGATCCTTAAAAAAAGAGAAATACACTGGTCTATCTCAAGTCTGAGTAAAAAAAAAAAAAAAGAGAGAGCTGCCCAATAATGTGGGTGCTGGTGATGCTTCAACTAAGAGTGAGTTACAATCAGAGAAGCATATCGATCACCATGGAAATGACAAAGGAAAAGAAAATATGAGGCATCTCGCATAAATGATTCACTTGAGGAAAAATATCACAGGTTTCATTTCTGTTGAATATGGACAAAGACGTATGCGGTAATGGTAACATGATGATGATGAAAGCATAACTTAAATGAAAGGACAAGTGCGGCAAAGTAATAACTTGAACGTATAGGGAATGCAGTCCTTGTATTGGCGATTACACAAGTGAATGCCAATATAAAAATAGATGGACTATTCTTCTTTGCTCAGTGCATTGTAATAATCATTGCCATTCATCACCTTTGTATGATTTGCAAACAATGATTGGTGCCAGAAAAAAAAAAGGTTATGGCATGCATGTGAGAACCTGGTAAATTGCATCAATATATAGAATAAGAATCCCAACCATCGGTTCATTCTGTGCGGTGCAAGTCTGACAACAGGAGGATCTGAACGTAGTTTTTGCTTCTTATCCTCTTTTGGTTTTTCATTGTTGGTGCATGTTATTATCAATATTGTTGTGGTTGTTTTTGGCCGTAAACAATGATCCACGTATTTAGAATTGGCTGTGGACTAAAGATAAGCATGAATGCGGATCGGTAATAATTATACCAAGCGCATCATTAAAAGTAGACCAAAAGGCATTCATTATCATCAAAAAGTCAACGTGGCAAAACCTCTTTTTTTTTCTGTCATGCATTGCATATCACCGTCCAGCCAAAACAACAAAAGCGAGAAATACAAGACAGAATTGTGGTGTGCTTGTTCTCCTTCGAATGTCAACGATTTTCCGGTCCCCCCATTTGCCCCTGACAAGACGAGCAGTTGCCCTTGAAAACTAATGCCTGCTTCTTGGTGTCACGTTGATTGGTTGTGGCTCAATAGCAGCCGTGATATCAAAAAAAAAGTCCCACTCCTCAAACTGATAACCATCCCCACATTCAATTTCATTCAACTGGTATGACAACAAAATCACCTTTCATCATCACCACCTTTCCACCACGGCGAATTGCTTTCATTACTGATCTTCTCTTTTTTTTCTGTCTCTTTCTAACTATATATTTCCTGCTTCTTTCTTCTTCTTTATAATTTTTTTTTTGTTTTTTTTTCTTGCATTTTTGAAATTTATATAAATTATTATTATTTGTACATCGCTTTTTTGCTCTATACATACACATTATCTACACGCACGCACACATCTCTGTATTTACATACAACGTAAACAACGAACGACCAATAGATCAGTCTATGCGCTCATTGATCGGCTTCCAATTATCGCACGATTAATCAATCCCTTTTTATTTTTCTGCCAACAAAAAACCATGCTGCCCAATTCCTGTTTCTATAATTACTGTGAACCACAGCATCCCAGTTGGACGTTTCTAAGCACTGCCAACCATATGAACTCCTCCGACAATACAGACGCAGACAATGATGCGTTTTCTGGTTTGACGTGTGGAACAATGAAGTGGGATGAACCGTCCGGAAATCCGCCGTCGTGTACCATGAATTCGGTGGTTAGTAAACCATTGTCGATCCAAATACAACCGCCAACCGTTCCTCAGCGCGGCATGGATGGTTCCGTCTGCATCGATCATCAACCCCGTCCGACAGTAGCCATTCATCCAGACTTTCGGCCCACTTTTTACAATCCCTTCGAAGTGAAGCATCGCCGACGCACATCACGAGCGCAATTCAAGATACTGGAGAAAGCGTTCCGGGAAAATCCTAAACCGAGTGCGCGCGTGCGACATCAGCTAGCGCAACAACTGGAAATGACCATGCGAGGTGTTCAGGTCTGGTTCCAAAACCGCCGGGCCAAAGCCAAGCAACAGCAGCAACAGCATCAACTACAACAATATCAACAACAGCAACAACAACGAGAGAGTCCAAGCAATTGTAACTCGATCGTTGATCCATCGATATCACTATCGCGTAGTTCGTCCGGGTTGTCATATGTTGGTAGTCAATCGACGATGTACCCAGCGGGTGATCCCGTGCCATTGTCCTCCTGTTATCAGGACATTTTGGAAGACGATGCTCCGAGCGAATATTCGACTCCTATTACTCCTCAGGATACCTGGAGTTACGCTCAGGAATTCCTTTCGAATAGCAACCACCACCACCACCACCACCAACAGAACAACAGCAGCGGTCATGGTCTCCATCTCAAGGAAATGACGTCGGTGATGGATCAGCTGATGGCGCCTAAACTTGGTACGCCTGATTTTTCGTACCTGTGCGGTGGTGGCAAAGCGACGGATACATGGGCCATGTTCAAGACACCCTTTCTCACCGAAGAAGCGTTGATTGGTGTGGTGAACCCGAGAACACATGGACAAGCGTATAATGTGGCGGACTGGATTCAAACTGTCCAAAATAGTGACGATGATATGCAGCATAACACCACGATGGGATCACGACGTTATTCGCTCCCTTTGCAACCACCACCAATCACTGATGGGTTGATTCATGATCAAGCTTATTGGGACGGGCAACCTATCATGCGACGTCTTTCCGAGCCATTGTACTATCCTTCTTTGCCTGAGCCGTCTTCCATGCCACATTTTCAGGATCCAATCTACGATTTGATTTAATGGTTCGTTCTTTATGCATAATTGAAATTCTTATGATGTGTCTTTCTTTTTTTTTGTGTGCTCGTTTTTTGGTGCTTTATGTTTATTTATTATTTTACTTTTTTCCCTTATTATTGTATTTTGTATGCATTGGTGTATGCTTCATTTTTTTCCTGAAACCTTTTTTTTTATGCTTCATGGCTGGTCGATATAATATTTCTTTCTAACTAGAATTTTGCCGTTTTATGATTGTTCCTATTTTGCCATTCTTGTAACTACCGCGAGTAAAAATAAAAAAATAAAAAAAGAACCCCAAAATGTGTTTTAAAAAAGATGGATTCATTGTGAGTTTTAGCCTTTTTGGGAATTTCCGCTTAAGCAACTCATTCTCATATAAAGTAAAAAAAAAAAAAAAAAAAAAAAAAAAGCAAGGAGAGAAACCACAACATGGCGCGGATGACAGAAGCACATGGACAATCCGTGTTCACCTCCTGTTTTGGCGCGCACATTTTGTACACCTCCTGTTATTCTCATCTCTAGTTAAAAACATGATTTTTTTTTTCATAGGATAGTGCAATACAAAAAGAAAAGGCTATAAAGTATTGGTCAAAGTGAAGAAAAAAGGGTACAAAAGGGGGAGAGGAAAGGGATTTATAAGTTCGATATCAAGGCGCCTCCGTCTACAGTAATAGTGGCTCCATTGGTATAGTGACCTGCACGAGAAGCCAGGTAGATGCAGGTACCGGCGATATCCTCAGGTGTGCCGATGCGGCCAACAGGGATTTTGCTGATAATAATGTCACCAAAATTATCCAGGGTGGCCTTCATCATCTTGGATGGGAAAGCTCCAGGTGCAATAGTATTCACCAGCACACCCTGATCACCCAGTTTACCCGCCAAATGACGCGACAAATGATGAAGTCCACCTTTGGAAGCCGCATAAGCATATGTCTCTTGTGGGGGAGGCTATAACAAAAAAAAAAAAAAGGAAAAAAAAAATTCACGGTCAAAATCATGCATCTTCCCAAATAACTCTGAGCCAATCGCGGATAAAAACTTACGCGAATACCATCAATAGAACCAATATTAATCACCGAGGATGGGTCGGACACACTCGCTTTGGCAGTTAACAAAGGTAAGCATCTAATTAATACTCGATTGTGAGTTCAAGACAATATCGACCATGGCCGTCCGAGTAGATAAAAAAAAAATCACTTACGCTTGTGTCAAAGAAAAGATGCGCTTCAAATTGAGATTGAGCACTTTCTCAAATGCAGCATCAGGATAATCATGAAAACTTTCATTCCAATTGGCACCGGCATTATTCACAAGCACATCCAGATCTAAGAAAAAGCCAATGGTACAATATCAGTGGTTGGTTGTCGTACAATACGCAAACCGTCACATCCTAGTTCATTTGCTTACGCTTTTCACGTTTGCTCAATTCGGCAACCAGACGGTGGACTTCGTCCAATTTCTGCAAGTCGGCAGGAAGAGCAACGCATCGACCAGGTCCCTTTTCGGTCAATTGCTTGGCAACCTATATGTTCATACTAAGCGTCAATATACTACAACTCTTCATGTCATCATTTGGTGGCGTTATTTCGGGTTTTACCTTTTCGCATACATCGGCCGAGCGACTGGTAATGTAAACATTGGCGCCTGCAGCGACAAAACCCTTTTTTTTTCCTTATTTTTAAAACAATGTGAACCTTATTCCAGCAATTATTGCAAACTTACAGTGGCGATCATCTCGCCAATCCCGCGCGATCCACCAGTAACCAAAACGACCTATTATCACAGTAAACTTAATTGAACCATTCCAGCTTTCTTCACTTTTGATCTTCCATTTTTCATACTTTGTCTTTAACGCTAAAGAGATTTTTAATATCCATTGGTAACAGAAAACAGGAAAAGAAAGAAATAAAAAAAAAGATAAAAGATTGCACAGAAGAAAAGGAAAAAAGGTGGAAGCGTGGGGATGGTTTTAATGAAATAAACCAGCTTCGATGACTAAAATGAAATAGATAATTCAATCACCGAGCAACACTCTCAAATTTCAGTCTCTGCTCATAAAAGCCAATCAGCTGTAAAATAAAATAAAAAGGGAACCATGTGAGTCTTTTTTGTTTGCTATACCCCAAGAGACTATGACGACCAATATTAAGCATTTTTACCTTTTGGGGACATTTATCGCGTATCACAGTGGTTGGACACATGGATAAGACACCATCATTCCTACAACCATCATTGAAAAATGTAAATAACCATGACCCTTACCAGTGATTGTTATTTTGCTCTTTTTTACCATCGTAACACAGCATATATGCTTCCGTTGGGATCATTTTCAGGTTCCTTGACAACCGTTTCAATCTCTTTGACGGCGGTTGGCCAATCCCAGGAGCTATCCATTCTAAAGTTGGTATCCTTTATCACGTCGTAATCGGTCGTTTCATCATAAATGATATTCTCAGTGGCAGTTTCGTTGGACAAAGATTCCTTGTCGCTGTCAACGTCCGTTTTTTTGGATAAAGTACGAGATCGCTTGGTATTCTGTGGATCGGGCGTAGATCTCTCTATTTAAAAGTCAAGCGCGTGGTCCTCAAATTAGAATGAATCAAAGACGATGTGAATCGCGTCTACTTACGAACTGAACTTGCGCGCTTTTTGGGCGCGTGACGGCCAGGTTTTTTTGATTTGCTCATGGCTGGACCGTCTTTTCCACCTTTGTCTTTCCAATACTGAGCGAGAATTTCATCGGCTGATCTATTGCTAATGAATAATCGCTCTCTCTAACCCCAATGGCCCATGCGGGCGGATTCACGGTTATTAAACACATACACTGCATCTTCCGGTTCCCACGTGTTTTCATCGCTGTCGTAACCTTTCCATTTGATTAGGTATTGCAAAACCTATAAATCCAAGCACAGCAAGTCAGTACGACCATCAAAACAAGACCGCAAAACAGGCATGGAGCTTTCATTTACTTTATTGCGAACACGGTGATTTCTTATGCTTTCCACTTCATATTCTTCTTCCTCTAATTCTTCAACGTCACTATCGCGCTTCCTTTTCGTAGTTGCTTTGTATGCTGGCATGGCAGTCGATTGGCGTGTCTGATCGCTCACAATCGTTTGCAGAGTAAAAAAAAAGGGAAAACACAGAAAGCAATAATTTTTTCCCTCCTTTTGCGCTGATGCACATGCCCGTTCGCTTTGACTGCCTTTTCGATCGGCGCCAGAGGGCCCATTTTTTCTCATATTATTGCCCCCCCCCAAAAAAAAATAGGGCATTTGCACACCCAGAAATTGCATTAACTTGGCCACTTATCTTATCCAAATAGAGCATCACTTACAATGAATAGTGTCTGTGAAAAGACGGCGTATCTCATGTATCTTGTGTACCTATACTGTAACATTCCTAGAGCATGACATTTTTCTACAGCGAACCATGCATTTCCACTTCGAGAGAGTGTTTCTATCTAATCCAGTTAACCATGATCTTTCTGTGCTTTGTATTCCCTTCGCTTCTTTTAATGAATATAACGTGCAAATGTCATTTTAAGCCCATGAAAACAATAGGCTCTCGTTCTTTTTATTTATTCAGCGATGACATTTAAATTTTCCGATCCATTAGTGGACACCAATGTCTTCTCTCATAAATGCATCCGATGACGGTTCACGACCAAGGAAGTCCTTCAACAGATCCATACCGTCCCTGTACAACGAAAAAAAAGGAAAACAGATGAGCAAATAGCTTTTGGAGACCTCTAATTCAATAACCAAGAACTTACTTGCTACTGCCTTTTTCTAAAATACACTTGCGGTACGAATAGCCTGTTTCGCTAGATAAGGTGTCCTTTTCAAACTTGCTGAAGAACATGTCACTGGAGAACACCTTGGACCACATATAACCGTAATAACCTACACCATGTAACATCACAGTTATTATCTATCCATTGCACATGCTATTTTCTTAAAAAAAAGCATCCATTTGCTTACCAGCATCGTATCCGCCCATCAAATGGCTACAAAAATACAAAGTTATCAGCAATGCTCCCAGACAAAAAACCATCAATTCAATCTTACCCGAATGCAGCTTGACCACAGCTTCCCTATGAGATACGGACATTCAGACTCTCATGTCGAAAATAATCATTCAGTGTTGAGCTTCAGCCTACCTCGGGTGCTTCAACCAGAGAAATCTTCTTACGGAGATCGTTATAAAGCTTGGTGGTATCGAGATTTTCATCTATTCACAAAAAAAAAGAAGCAAGTATTACTTTAGTCCATAGACAATACTCGATATCTTCAGATCAAAGGCGTACCTTCGGATGTGTGAATGGTCATATCGTAGATACCGAAGAACAGTTGACGCAGATTCATCATGGCGGCATCCACATTCTTGGCCTTGACAATGCGATCAATGATATCATCCGAAATAGGTTCACCGGTTTCAAAGTGCGAAGTCAGGTACTTCAGTGACTTGGGATCATAACACCAGTTTTCCAACATCTACAACAGTGTTGGTGATATTCTTGTATAGAAAAAAAAACACGCATTATGTGTCGCCTTACCTGAGAAGGAGCTTCAACAAAATCACCTTCAACGCTCGTACCGTGGAAACGAGCATACTTAGTACGGCTGCAAAGATGGTGCATCACATGGCCCTTTTTTACAACAATTTGAGCAAGATCGTTTACGACAATCAGGCCTTGACCGCGTTCCAACTTACCAATTCGTGGAACAAGGTGACAACTTCATCATGCTTGAGCAAGGAAGGCTTATCAGTCGTGCTGTGTATAACGCGCAAAAATAAATGGTTTGTTATTAGCCCACGTAACAAAAGTGGAGGTGGGGTGTAACACGTACGGTTTAGTGAAATTGGCCACCATCGCAGCAATAGGGGCAACACGTTCTCCATTCTCAGCAATGTAAGAAGGTTGAAGCGGGAAACAAGCAGCATGGGGATCTAAATTTTTGCTGTCAAAAGAGACCTTATCCATCCACGAGCTAGGTCGCACTTACATTTGCTGTCACGAGGGAACAGATCAAGGTACATGTAACCAGAGAAGCTCTTGTCCTCGACATTATCCCAACATTCAAACAATTGCACATCCGGGTGCCAAACCACGGCCTTGTCTGCGGGCACCTTGACAAATTTGAGACCAAGAACCTTTTCGTAGATGTCCAACATTTCTACAATCCCAACCCTGTCAGTAAACTCGTTCGTAATCGATCTTCACAGTCGAGGTTCAGCTCTGACGTTTAGTTTAATTTTGGCATGACTTACTTTGGATGGTCTTTTCCAAGCTAAAGTACTTTTTGATCTCTTCTTGGTCTACCGAATAACGGTTCTCGAGAAGAATACGCTGGTAATAGCTTGTGTCCCAAGAGTTCAACTTGTCGTCATACTCTTCGTTACGAGCAGCTATCGCCATCATCCATGGTTACAAAATCGCAACCGACGCTAAACACTGAGCCTACAAAATTACCTTTTTCCTCCTGCAAAGAAAAAAAAAAGACGTCCACTCCCGTCAACACATGCCGTAGTGATTGTCGATATTTTTTTCTTACCTTTTTGATTTTTTTCAATTCTTCAATTTCCTTCAAACCAGCATCATGCAATTTGGTGGCCAAATCATCCAAGAACTAAGAAAAAGAGTAATTTTAGTACCGTGGACAAAAATCACCATAGTTCTCAACATTACCTCACGAACGGCTTGAACGGTCTTTGCCATCTTGACTTCAAGGACATAGTCAGCGTGAGACTTGTATCCCAAAATCTAATATCGGCAAGCAAAAGTGGGCGATGTCAGTGAATCGTGTCTGGCAAAAAGTGGAAGCGGGGGGAATTAAATGATCATCTTACCTTGGCACATTGACGACGAAGTTTAAGAGCCTAATGGAGCGCGTCAAAAGAGATGTTTCAGGCGTGAAAAACCTTAAAATCACCATAGAGCTTACCTCTTCCAAAAGGGCAATGTTCTCACGGTTACGGGATTCGAAAGCAGTCATATGGGCCTTCCGCGTGTTCTCATTCTTGCAGAGCTTCAACACTGTACCATGTTTGTGTCAATTGGATAAGATAGCAGCGCAGCGCTTGGTTATTTTACTTACCAGGGCGGACATCTGCAAGTAAGGACAGGCATCGCATTTCTGTGAATAAAACATTGATCCTCCCCTAACAAATTTCATTCTACACCTACCAGGATACCTAAACCGCATCATTATTAGCCAAACATTCTCTGAACCCCACAACAAAAGCATCACCCACTTACTTCATGGTCAAGACGTATTTCTTGACACCGTCTTCTTCGACGGTGGTTAAACCGCCTAGAATGGGTGATTGCCTAGTTTAGTATCCGCATTTCCTATTTTTGGTATTTTCTTCCATGCAAGGCACCCGCTTGACCCGGGAATCCAAATCTCATCTATTCTTACCCAAGAAATCATCATCGAGTCCCTCCAATTCTTCCTAAGAACGTAAGAAATGGTGAATATAATACATTCTATTACTCCTTGAAAGCCTGCTTATACCTTGGTGAACTTGATAGCTGTAAAAAAGAAAATCAAAACGGTGGCAAAATTAGCGTGTCACGTCGACTGGTTTGTAACCGGGGGAACGCCCAAACTTACTGCTGTTCTCACGGCTCCAGTTTTTCATGTACTCGATGCACACTTCACTGAGGCGTTTACGAAGTTCCTTGAATTCGTTGCGTTTGTCTTCGGGAAGATGCAAACCATTGCGACGGAAGGTTTGTTCCATCTTGCGAAGCATACGCGCGTCTTCGGCAGGCAACGAGTTCAAGTCGGCCTTGGCAATGAAGTTTTGAATGACAAGGTACAAATCATGACGCATGCTTTGCTCAATGCTGAATTCCTCATACTCCTTCTCTGCTGCCACCGACGCCTCACGAACAGCCTCGTCGGGCGAAATCTGGCTCAGGGAGCTGGCCAACTGAATGGCGCCTGTTTGTTCCCAAGGTTAGTATGATTCTGATGCAGGAGCCGCCTAGTGTATATTTATAGAGACTTGCCTGACAAGGTGTTTTCAATACGGGCCAAAGGAGCGACGATATTTTCATAGGTTTGATCCTCCTGTTTCAAGGCGGCAATGTCATTATTGACAGCCAGTTCTTCGGCAATGACGCGTTTAACAATGTCGGCGACTTGTTCCGCATTGATGTTAAAGTCAAGAGCAGGTGCAGGAGCCACTTGAGCCATGATGGTTATATTCTTTTAAAAGAAAAAGTAGAAAAGAACACGGTACGACGTAATGTGCTTGTACCTTCTTTTTCTTTTTCCTGCTCAATTGGGGTTCTGAAGTTTAATTGGGACCGCCAAAAAACAAAAAGACCGCTGTCCATCACATGATGCATTTCCGGTGCAGTGACATCGCAGCATCGTTTAATCCACTAACATTACTTCCGATCTTTAATCCACATGCCCATAATACAGTGTCTAGTATATGCTAAAAGGTCGGCTTTCCTTATGCCAAGTGTTCCGGGCATCCCGCGAGTAGACTCGGCTACTGCGTACAGTCATGCTTATCGTGGCGTTTTTTCGAAAGAGGAAAAAGAAAAGAAGGTCCACTATAAAATGAGACGTGTGCAAGACTGATCATCGGCAACTGTGTCGCACAAGCAGTGAAAGGGACTATCATTGCCAGTATAACATCACTGTGAGCTATTATGTCAAATATTCAAGAGTGAGCAGTCAAAACTTTTTAATGAATTCGATGCTACTGTTCATTACTTCATTTTCCTGCTTCATCCAAAAGCTTCATCGAGTATATTTATGGTTGTGTGCGCAGACGCTCTCTCTCAACAAGGTATACTCTTCCCAATCTGAGAATTCCTGGCAAAAAATTTTATATCAAAAGACCAGAGACATCGTATCTGAAGAAATGAGTTATGCGAAAACTTACCAATTTTCAATCATATCCATAGCAATTGGATTTAAAGCATCGTACGATTATCTGATTTCCAAGAAACCGAGACATTACGGGCAGGGCGGGCCGGGTCAGCTCATGCAGTTTTCCAGTGAACACTCGTCTTTTTTTTTCTATTTTGTGGCGGAGTATATAATTGTTACTCCGCCACAGCGTCCTTGTATTTTTTAACAGTGCGAGCCAAAATAAAACTCGATCGTTATTCACCACCAACACCATGTCGCTGCGCACCTTTCTTCATCGCAATGCCACCGTAAGCATTCAGCTGACATTACTCTTTTTGCGAATTATCAAACTTATATTCGTACGGTTAGTTTATGGCCTCGGGGTTCGCTCGCCGCACATGTTCGCAAGCCATCAAGCCGTCTCGTTTTCGATATCCCTCCTCATCGATCATGGGACGACGATGCTTTGCCAGTTCATCAGAAGAATCCGCTCGTCAACAAGCAACCATAGGAGTAAGCTCATAAATGGATATATTTTGTAGCTATAAAAAAACAAAACGTTTAACTTGTTTACGCACGTCCACAGCCTTTCACATGGAAAGCGGCAGCCATGTTTCTCGGTACGGGTACCGGTTTATTGTGGTATTTCCAAAGTGAAAAAGCGCGTGTCCAGGAAGAACGTAAGTCCATGTCGTATAGCAACGAGGTGAAAAAAGTCAAGAGGGCTCAAATTTTTATTTGATTTCAGGTGAAAAAGAACAGAATAAACCTAAAGCGTATGGTAAACCCAAATTGGGCGGTCCATTTTCATTGACCAACGCCGAGACGGGAGGCAAACTTGGCACAGATGATTTGAACGGACGATTCTACATGATTTATTTTGGTTTCACGCATTGTCCGGATATCTGTCCTGAGGAGCTGGACAAGATGGCGGAAGTCGTGGATGCGGTCAAAGCCGACAAGGACATGGGCGAAGGTGTACTGATTCCTGTGTTTATTACTTGCGATCCTCGTCGCGATACTCCCGAAATTGTCAAGGAATACGTCAAAGATTTCCATGACGATCTGATCGGTTTAACCGGCAACGAAGAAGAAATCCGTCGTGTGGCCAAATTGTTCCGCGTCTACGTCTCATCGCCACCTAATCTGGAAGAAGGTCAAGAAGACTATCTGGTCGATCACTCCATTTTCTTCTATTTGATGAGCCCCGACGGCACTTTCCTCGATTGCTATTCACAAAATGCCACCTCCGAAGACGTTACCGAAAGCTTCAAAAATTACTACCAAGAATACAAAGCCAAAGGCGGGCAATTAGACAAGAAACCCGCCTCTTTATTACAAAAGAAGGCATAAATAAAAAATCCAAAAAAAAGCAACAGCACCCCTGCCAAAAAAAAAGGTCTTTTTTCTTTCTCCTGATCTCGGACCTGCGAGTGGTAAAATTATCAAAAGAAAACTTTTTTTTTTTTAGTGAGCTGTGAATGGTTGGACGGCTGTTGCATGTGTAGAGTTGGGAGAGGGAGGAAAGAAACCGACATGAGCTGTGGTGGATTGTGAATGCAGTGACTGGGCTGACGCTGGCGGGGTGGGTGGCACTATGGAGATGGCGGTGGTGGTGCTTGAGCGGTCGACTTCATTAATCGATTGCAGCTGATCTTCAGGATGCGAACCCAACTGAGAAATTCCCGCATGTTTACGTGATTCAATTTTGGACGCTGAGCGAGGTTTGGGTCTCGATTCGCTTTTATGGCAGAGTGGTCGTCTGTGATGATTCTGAGTGGTTCGCGCTACAATGGCATCGTAGTGAGCTTTATCTCGGACGATTTTCTCGGAAGCGTCGTCAAGCAAGGAATCCAGCTCCTGTACATTGGCGATAGGCATCATGGTGACTGATTTGCCGGCTTTGCGTCCCTCCAAGGCATCCATGGCCTGCTGTCGAGATACGTCCAAGGATGGCCATAAACTGTATTTTAACGACTGCTCGATCAGATGATGACGCCACATCGAATCGTTGGTCAGAGGTGTGGAAGGGGTACTGTTCCACGTTTTCGACGTACTGCTCGTGTACTGGTATGGGTCGGCCAAGGAAGCCTCGGACGGTGGACTTTTCAGTGCAAGCGTGAGACGTTGACTTTCAGGGATCAAGAGCGGACTGCGTCGTCGTCTGCGTTCTTTGAGCGGGATGGATCCTGATCCGGTCGGTTCGGAATCAAGTAAACCCGTTTCTTGGGCAAGGTCGCTCCAAAGTGACCAACGTGTGGGCGGTTCCTTGGCCAATAGACTGTCTGTGGCCTCATTTTTTTGCGACCAAATATCACGCGATGACCCTGTGAAATAAGGTGATGCCAATTTATCCGCAATTGGGTCACCGAACAATGGATCATCGTCGTCTTTGCTCGACAGTCTATCATTCCGCCGTGGCGTCCAAGTGATGCACGTGGTATCACTGCAAGCGCGCGTCCTTCGACTCCGTAAGTGGTGTGAAGACAAAAAGTATGTGGATGCATCATCCGCTAAATATTGATTGGATTAAATTTCCCATGGACCCTCAAAAATAAAATACGCTCAACGTAAAAAAAAAGAGGGATAGCCAATGCTTACATGAATAGATATGTGTAGATTGGTGGTGGTGGTGGTGGTGATTGGATGATTCTGATCGCAGAGGAGCGGTAGCACGGGATGGGATATTATTATTGGTAGTAGATGGATCTTCAAGGCTAGCGTCGCTTAACTTTGAGGACCGCTTTTTTAACCTTGTTAAAAAGGGAAAGCAAGATTTCCAGGTTAAAGGGTCTTTGGCTAAATGGGGTATTTTCTCAGGGCGACCAAACGACAATAGTTTTTTCAACCGACGTGGACGTCGCCCACAGGCACTTGACAATGCCACATCATCTGCCATTCGACGATCAAAAACCAATCAGCTAAACCACACAATCTTGACAAGTAAAAAAATAAAAAGCAAGACCGTGCAATCCAATAAATTTGACAAAATAAAAAGTGACAAGAAAAAAAGATCAAAAGAAATGAAAGGAAAATAGAAAAAACAAGCGACAAAAGGAAAAAAAAGAAAGATGAAAAGAAAAAGGAAACCAATGGTCGAAAAAAAAAAAGGCACACTCTCTTGGTTTAAACTTCGGTGAGCGGTTACCGAGAAGGTGGCCAAGGTCACACCAACGGCAAACGATAGATTCAAACTATTCTCTTTTCTTCAACTCTTCCGTCTCCATCCTTATCCTTCAAATCATTTATCTACAAATTCATAAAAAAAACCAGCTCCAGCACTGCGCCGCACGTGTTTGCATTGTTGCGCCGCCCTTAATTTTTTTCATTTATCGAAAACCTTGTTTTTTTCTCTAGTTGCAAAGCGTTCTCGTCGCGCGTGAATCCAGCAAGACGTTTGTTTTTTTTTTATGAACAGAAGACTCGACGTAACAGAATAATTAGACGTTATAGACCTTGTTTATCTGCTACTATGGAGATCTCATGCATCATTATTGAACAATATAACCTTGTTCCTTGGCTGCAGATTTATTCCTAGCTGTAGTTCATGCTTTTCTACGCGAAAGAAAAAAAGAACCATCTTCATCGCGTGGTGCAAAAAAAAAAAAAAATCTCAGGAGATCATCACCGATTCGGTGGCCATTGAAGCACTCCTGACATGATTTGCCGTCGCTCAAAACAAAGAAACCACTGATGCATCACAATAAAAATAGCATCGGTTGCCAAGAATCCGCCTCTATTTCGCAAGCGTGCGCCACTTTCAGCCGTCAACGCAGGGCGCAGGCTTGTCATTTTTTTGAGGTGGTTGAGAGTCGCCCCGAAACAAAGAATGAAAATTTTAAGCTTTCTTGTTGCTTTTTTATCGGGACAGCCTCGTGGCTCGCATTGATACTCAAATCTCTCCCGAAGAACCAAATTGGCCATTTCGTCATTTGACTGAATTTAGTTCAAGTTAAGAGCAGGTTAGTAAAAGTGAGGGTCGAGGAGCCTCCAAATGTGGACCTGTGAACCCGCCGCCAATTTCCCACCGCAATTTTCATTTTAAATTGTGTGTGTGTTCCAGTTCGTCCCTTCTCCCCGTGCAACCGTAGTTTTCCCATTTTAAGCAACTTGTCTAGATTTGGCACATGGCAACCTTTTCGTTAGCCTTGATGTCGAATCAGCATTCCCATCGTCTTTCCCGTTCATCATCAACACATAAAATAGTCGCTGTTTTCTTCAACGTTGAACGGTCATATAATACTACTTTGTAGACAATCATGACATTTTTTCAAATGTGCATACACAAGTCACCTTTGCCCTTTGGAGCTCGGTCAAATGGCTTTTATAATAAAGGAAATTGACAAGAGCGATGGTCCATCGTATGACGGTGATGGACACACAACTGACCTCCCAAAATTAGTGCTACGTGGTTGTAAGCGCGTCACATCTTTATTTTTGACACCCTCATTGGATTCTTGCAAAAAGCAGCATATGGGATGTTTGAGAAAATGGTGTCAACGTCATTCCAGCGTGCTCCTCAACTGTCCACGTTGGCGATGATTAGACTTTTTTCTTACGGCTATTGGCAGTGTATCTTGATTTCTTTTCTATCCCAAAATGTAGACAAATCTATTTTTGCACTGATTCTCAGGTGTGAATGACTGTTTTTAGGCACGAGGCCAGGTTGCACCATTACAAGGTACGAAAAAAAAAAAATGATGAGGGAAATTTTTTACGCAGGTCCAACGGTTTCAATCCCATCTCGGAACACGCTTCCGAATTTCAACTTCATTTTTTTTTTCTATAAACTGCCCTTTGAAAGCTGTATTGGTTTTTTTTTTTTTTGATTATTATTATGGTTGTAAATTATTGGAGTCCCCATGTTTTAAGCCGCAATCTTCCCTAAAGCATCCAACTGTTGCAAAAATTCACTGGGTGAAAGAATGTCCGTGGATCCATAGGTAATTTTCTTCTTTTGATTGTTGGCCTAAATATTTTCAATCCATTCGTTTAGTCTACCGTTTTAAAAAGCGATCCCAGCATGGAGTAACTTACATTGGCGACTTCCTGTAAATTCTGGTATTCAACATAGTTGCCGCCTCCCACGACAAACACAATGGCTTCTTGAAATGCCACGCGGTGTTGTCGTGGCGAACGCGCGTTCTTGCTAAGCTTGGGATCAAAGTACAAGTAATCGTCTGCTTTCGAAGCCTCGTTTGAAGGCGGAGTCATGATGTCTGACACAATTTTACTAATCACTAGCTCCTTTCGCGTCGGTAATAAATTCTTCACACCCGACAACAGGTTCTCGAATCCTCCACCAAGACCGCCTTCCTTTAATCGATCGCTCAACTAGTATTCCCCATCAAACAAAGTAAGTCCATGATCATTTTTGTCCACCGGCCCCCTCCTTTCAGGTTCCTCCTCGTCATTTGTGTCTTCTTGGTTTACCTTGTTGCCAATACTGCTAAAACCTCGGAAGAGATCATTTTGAGAAAACCCGCCCGATGGGGCGGTAGGTGAGCCCAACATGGACGTCATACGCATCAGTGCACGCACCCTACAAGAGTATTGGTTCTTCGTCAGCTCTGTTAAATTTGTTTTCGTACTTTTGCTTTTTTGCCTTACTTTTTGATGTAATGCAGCGGGGCCAAATCACAGCCTGCATCCTGTAACGCCTTTTCATAGTTTTCCATATCCTCTTTTGAGATCTCTTCCACGGTGGAGAGGTAGTAAATGAGGAACAAACGCATCTTGTCACTTGGGTTCTTCTTTTCCGGATCCCGAAGCGCTTCCAACAGCAGATTCTTGTTCTACGCAATCCCACGGTTCAGGCATCACCTTCTCATATGATGGTACAACATCATTATTACCTGTCGTGTAATGTTTTCTTCAATTTGAAAGAACGCATCCAGCTGTCGGTCCTTGATGGCATTCAGTAAAGCTGTAGCAATGTTCATATGCATGTCCAAGGTCTCCTTGCGCGCCGTCAATTCAGGCAAAGCTGTAATGGCTGACTTGAGAATCTTGGTGTTGCTTGACAAATCCCTGTGATGGCATATCAGTTACAAAGTACTTGATTCTCTTGGGCGGCCTTCCCAGACACTCACACTTGATTCACATCCTCCAACGAGTTGACACCGCTCATTCGTGTGATTTCAGCCGCATCCTCCTTGTACTTGTTTAATTCGATATCAATGTCCTCTAAGGGATCTTGTTAATCTACCGAAGCTGAAACGTACTATGTTTGACTCAATGTCGGATGCTACTTACCGGCGACTTGAGGGAATGGACTGGAAGCATTTTTGTTCCAGAAAAAGTCCTTTTGTTTGAGATCGTATGATTTCCGTGTGGGGTTGTGTTCATCTGCTTCCACCGTGATCCGGTTAAGTTTCATGGTGAGTACATCTTGTACCAGCGCTTGATATGTCCATGAATGGCTCAACATGGGAGTCAAGTCCATGCTGCGGTCCAGAATAATAAGCACTATCAACAGCACACGCTCAGTATATTCAGCTTGCACGGGTTTTTCGCTGCCATCCTATGTTTTACCAGGGCGTTGCAAATTCGACGAATTGTGTGCGCTTTCTGAAAATAGGTTGGTACGCGAATTCATCAAATGGTCGCGCAATCGACTATCGAGTTTGTTGGCAATGATTTCCGCCGCATTACCACGAGGACATCGTATAATAGGAATCACACCTTTTGCCCAACAACAATATCAGTTTTTCTGGAACACGGTCCCCTCTTTGGGTCAACTTACCCATGGTCACGATCACCGAAAAAAGCGAATTGACAGTACGATCGATAGTTTCGTCAATCATGGTTTCTGCAGCTGTAGGATCGTTCAAATTGACAAACACGTTGGCCTGGTTTAAAGAGAAGACGTCGGGATTCGTGCATACAAAGTTGAGGTACTGATCATACACTTGTGTGACCATATCTGCCGTATTGTTGGCAATAGTGGTGGTGGCAAACTCTTCCAGAACAGGACGAGGAACAGTAGAACAAAAGTTGATATAGTAAGAATCGTACAAGTTGCGGTTAAGATCCTTTTCAGGCGAAAAAGAGAAAGTAAAAATAAGTATTGACTGCTGGTACAAAGTAGAATGTATTGTCTTACGTCGGCTATTCTCTTCACATTGTCGATGGTGGGTTCTACAAAGTAAACGGCTGGTACGTCGGGTAAAGCTGATCGATCCTGCGAAAGCAACCTAAACAGACAACAGTGTACAATGAGTGCTGAGCTTTTCAACCAGTAAACCACGGTTCATTAACCCAACAGAGACCGGCCCTTACATGTGTACGGTGACGCCGTTATCTCGAAGGTCATTGACACGCATAATAGACGAAACGATGTCTTGTCCAAACTTGTCAAAGATGAGAACTTTCCAAATAACGTTTTCGCGTAGTGCCACGGTACTCGCAGGGTCATCCAAGGCATCATTTTGAGCCTGTGGATCCGTCTGGTTGAGATTCAGCATGGAAATAATAGCAGCTACCGTAAAAAAGATGAACATTTTCAGCTGAAAGAGCGAGGTCACCGTTGCTATTCTGATACATACCATACTGCGCCGCACGCAGCGAGTGATCATCAGCATCAGCCATGGTCACTTTAATAAAGAGAGGGTAACTGTAATAAAAAAGAGAGGACTTTGCCTTGATATGGCGTGTCAGTTCTTCAATGGGCGCTGGAACCGTCTGGTTTCGGAGTTCATTTTTAAGGACCGGATCGAAAGCTCTCTGTGCTCCCACCATGCACACTGGTCATCGAAAAATTGGGTCATCTCTCTCGGACTGATGTCTTTGGGCTTTTGCCCGTATTATTATACCACCTGAATTATGGCTTTAATCCGATACTATCCATAGGACATTACCACAAGGTCTTTTGCGCAGCGGAAAGGTGCTGAATTTTTGCAAACATGTGGATATCGCGGAAAACTCATCCACAAAAGATGTCCTTTTTGAGCCCTGAAAATATACACATTATAGGATCCAAAGTGCAAACAAGAACTCTTTCTCTCCGGCAGTTTTATTGGGCCTCATTCCTGGGGTCAGAGCATCAAGCATAATCAGACGATGGATGGGGTTGGAGACGATCGAATAGAAGGAAGTTATGATTTTTGATGGATTACTATGGCAGACACATAGTATCCACAACAACTAAACTTTGCTCGGATAAATACAATATATCATATGAGTGTAAATAAATTTTCATATTTTGCTTGGAGACAGCACCCATCCGAGACATAAGAGCAAGAGAGTATCAACAATCCATGATCCTACAGAATTGGCAAGTGTTCGATTGATCGTATTAATCATTTTTATTGACTCAACAGTAAAGAAGAACTTTCACCAATGCTTTGCGGAATAAAAAACCGAATTAGGTTTGTATGCTGTCAACGTTCATGCGACTAAAATGTCAAATTTATCACTCACATAACAAGCCGTACACCCGCTGTGCAATGGATGCCGCCTGCCACCGGAGGTCGCCCTCTTACATTGAGCGACTTTCGTCAGACAAAAAGCCTAACGCATACACGGCATAACCTGGGCGAGAACTCTTGACGGAACTTCGGTATATTAATGACAACCCTATGGCATACGTTGCAACGTGATTTGTTTCTGAACACGCGCAGGGCAGCACTGGTTCCCCCCCTCAGTTCCATCCCGCCCAGGCTATGATAGATCTAGAAAGATGTGTGGGTATGTTGGGTATTTAAAAAAAATGAGTTAGTAAGCTCTTTGATTGATTCAAATTTTCGTCAAGATATTTTACCTTTGTTATTTGAGTTTGCAATAGCCATTGATCGCTTGACATGACTTGGATTATATGACATTGCAAATTTTTTGAATTAGTATACGTTCATTATACATCATAGCAAAGGAAAAGAAATTGGACTTGCCTTTGAACCAAATGGTGAACCGGACAAAAAAAAAGATGATACGGACCGCCAGGTAAGCTTCTTCTTCGATGCGGAAAATAAAATTGCTTCCAGGGACAGTTAAGCGATGGATCGGTGGTGTCAGCTTGAGCAGGCAAAAAATATTGACGTGGCCAGAAGTGACGGTAACTTCGAGTTGGATTCCAGATATCGAGAGTCCCCCGAATGAAAAGAAAGAAAAACAAATAAAGTACATGATGATAAAAAAAACAATGGTCGCGTCAGTAAAAACCTCATAAAAAACCCCTGTGGGAAAAAAAGAGGAAAAGACTGCGAAAAGAATATGTACATGAAATATAAAATACAAAATACAAACTATAAACTAAAAATACAATAATCGGGAAGACAGCTCGAATACCATATGATGAGAAGCAATCCAAAGGAGAGGAACATGAAGAGGGCACGTAAGCGTTGCTGATTAAAAAGAGCACACCACCGACGGTGGCCTTTGACGTCATCCGATTTCGCCAGATGGATGGATGGATGGATGGATGGCGAGAGAAAGTCAACTGTAGTATCCAGAACTTGTCAGGCGAAAAGAAAACGGAAACCGGAAGCTGGAAGAAGGATGGAAGTAAAGGAGAGGTAAGTCTGTTTTGCCGGAGCAAAATCGATGGTAGACCACTCGACGCTTACCTTTTTGAGGATGGTGGTCGATTTAACCAAGTTAGATACACGGGATAAGAATCGTCTGGATTATGGATGCGAATGGGATCTTGATACAATGATAGTGAGGGTTTATCAAGCAAACAGAAAGAGAGAGAGAAAATCAAAAGAAGGAAGGTAAAACTGAAGACAAAAATATATGGTTTTCCATGGATGCAACAATAGTCACCCCACTGATGCATGAATTCATAGATCGAAGCACGTCTGCTTATGTATTATTCGATTCATTGAAAATTGAAAGAGAATGAAAGGACATATACAGTATAACTGACAAAAAAAAACCAAATTGAATGATGCTACAGAAGAACGCCAGTCGTATCATCAACCACTTTTCTTCAAAAAGAGCTCTACTCACATTTTTATTCGAAAGACGACGATACTCAACTGGCGCAAACGGCATCTTGCTGCTGATTGTTTCGCCTATTATCGTGAAAGTGGGCAGCGAGGCATGGTTGAAAGATGAAAAAAAGGTTTAACAGGTCCTTATAACTTAGTGTAGATCATGTAGATATTACTCACATAATTCACAACAAAAGAAAGTGGGAAAAACATCCATTGCCAAGTTTGTGCCATCAATTCATAAGCTCCAGACCGATAGGTTCAAGTGCCAATGACAGCGAACGAAATCACAATGGGATGTCGGAATTTTTTTTTGGCACACTACGTCATCCGTCGTAAAACGGCGCATTTTTTTGCAGAACGAGTGGATTCGACTTGCGATCTCATTGAGCCATTGTAACCAATCTATCGACCAGTGATCAATGGTAAGAGGACTCTGACGATAAGCTCTTGGTGGACGATGATCTAATGCTGACTTTAGGGGAAAAGAAAAGCCAAGAGAAAGCCTCAAAAGAAACTCAAGGCCAAGTTGGATACCCAGTTCAACTGCCTATTCTGTAACCATGAGAAAAGTGTCGAATGCAGATTGTGAGTTTTATAGTTGCTTCTACCGAGTTTGTGGATTCAAGTTGTGCTTATTGTGGTGCTTGTTGTAGGGATCAACAGAACAAAGTGGGCCATTTAGCTTGCAAAATCTGCGACGTTAGCTGGCAGTGCGGCATTACCTGTAAGTTGGCCCCAATGTCGCGGGTGAAAAAGAATACAAGGCGCTGATGACTTCCTCTTTTTTTCTTCCAGATCTTGATGAACCCGTGGATGTGTATTCTGCTTGGATTGATGCTTGTGAAGAAGTGAACAGAAGCAAACGACAAGCAGCGGCAAGGGCGCGTGATAGGGAACGCACAGACAGAGACGAAGCGGACGATGTCGGTGATGGGTATGACGATCAAGATCGCGGCTATGCATCCCATGGGGCAGCTCCGCCAGACGATGTCACGGATGACCATGCCGGCCTGTTTGGTGATGATGATGAAGACGAAGATGAAGACGGAGACTTTTGAGAGACGGGCCGTGGCACTGGAAATGCATAAGCAACCACTTTTTCTGTATATACACCCATGTTTATATTGCCAAACATAGTTTTTTTTCTAGAGTAATAAAAAAAAAGAAAACCAAAAGGAAAGAAGAGGCCCTCGTTTCAATCACGGGATAAAACTACCATAAAATAAAAAGACCCAATGATCGGCCGGAACGAAACTTCGTACCTCAGTGTTGTGTTCCCCCTGTTGATTGCTCATCCCCTCATTGGCGGCCTTCTCCTTGTTTTGGTCACACACATATCGCCCATTCATTACTGCAACCAATATTTCATTCGAATAATATCTTTGATATCACTGAAGAGCCTGGTATCGGTGATCCCTACCTCTCCCAGATCAGAAACTAAGAATAGCCATTTCTTTTTTTGTCATCGACTTACTCTGTTCACGAAACCCTAATACTGTACTAAAATGAAAAATTGGCTGGCCTAGATGTAGCCTGATATATTCATGGTCTGATATTTACAATGTGGTGTATCATGGAACAATATTGAAACAGAGAGAAAATGATGGTATGGAAAAATTACCATAACTGAAAAAATCGAACATTCGTGGCATAACCTGTTTTGTCTCATGATGGAGATCCACAATGCCGACGCCAGTAACCAATTTTCATGCCGCGAAAAGTTGAACTGATCCACTTGTATAGCTTCTTCATAAATATTTTGGAAAACCAATAATCAATCATTTATTCACTAGCTGATATATTTGTAGTATTATGTGGCAGAAGATTGCAACAATGAGGACCACAATGCGCCTGCAGTAAAAAGTCATTTGTCGCGGAGTTCTAGAAAAAGGTTGATTGGCTCATTGTTGAGAGTCCGACATTCGCAGACAGACAAGCAGTGGAAAAAAAAGGGCGAAATGACGCATGGCGCAATTTCACCGTTTCTTTTTTTTTTTTTTTATATTGCCCCTTTCTTCTGTTTTTTTTCATTATTATTGTTTCTTTTGTATTATACTTGAGTTCTCTGTTTTGGCATCGTTTTTGATACGATGGTGCTCACTCGATATCAAGCACAACGTAAAAGCAACAGTCAATTCACAAAATCGGCGCATGCCTCATCGTGTGAAGCCAAACTCGTCAGCGATCCGCCGTTACTCAATATCTCCCGAGGACAAACCACAGACGACGAAGCAACGATCAAAATCGATAATTTACTAGATCAACTGGATGAGTAAGTTGGATTCCGCTCCACTCACTGCGTTTGACTCTGTTTAATCTTCTCTCTCTAACTTTTTCAGTTTCGAATGCTCTACCCTCGATGCTCTCATGGCACGATGGCCTTCCATGTATGCACGTTTAAAAGGCATGCGACACCATTTACCGCCACAAAAAGACGATAATAGACCTACATTGGGTATGTTGGCTTTAAGATAATTTCAATGAAATAGACGATATTATCATACTTTTTTTTTTCTCTTTCAATCGTGATTCACTAACTCATGGATTGACCTTTATTTTTCCTTCTGCCACTTATGCTGATGATTTTCCTACTCTGTGTTTCAAACAGTACTCGATTTGGACGAAACGTTGCTCTATACGACTTATCGAGACACCGATACCACCCAGACGGATGCTGACTATGTGATGTTTGCTAAAGATGGAAGAAGTTGTCTCGCTGGAATTTTACGGCCTGGAGTCACTCAGTTCTTGACTTGGGCTTCCAGCATCTTCGAAGTCGTGGTATGGACAGCCGGTGCCGACGATTACGCACACATGGTTCGTGAATGTCTGGATCCAGAAAGAAAACTGATTACGTAAGTGGAGAGGGGATAGGCTTAACAGTCCGCGTTGTTTTTTAACATGACATCTTTCATTATTGTAGCCATATGCTCACTCGACGTTCCTGCATCAGAATGCGTTCGGCGGCATCCGAAGATGTCATTTATATTAAAGATCTGTGCGCCCTCGGACGTGATCTTAGCAAAACCTTTTTGGTCGATAATACCCCACATGGTATGTAATGCCAGATGAAATTGGAGATCGGCTGCCTACTAAACCGTTCATTCCTCTTTTCTCTCCATTTAGCTGCCACACTGAATCTTAGCAATCTTATACCCATTGAAGCCTACTTGGGCAGCAGTTCAGATAACGAATTGGAAGGACTTCGTCGATTTCTCGAATCCAAACTCGTTCGTTTAACCGATCGCAAAAAAGACATGCGGATCATTCTTCACCGCCAATTTAATTTGAAACGTCGATTGAGGGAGCGGGTGGATTGCTGGAAAAGCGCGCAACAACAACAACAGCAACAACGAGCTGCACAACGATCACGAACCAGTCCCACCTAAACGAAAAAAAGGCATCTTTTTTTGTCGCACACAAGGGCATGCCTTCCTCAATTTGTACATAGTCAAACCGCAATATTTTTCACTTGAACCACCCTTTCCAACCTCCCATGACACTTTCATGGGATGTCGGCAAAATTTTTGCTCCCCAACAACCCACCATCTTACACGTTTACGAATGGCATTTCATTCGCGGAAAAAAAAAGAAAAACTTTTTTAAATAAAACGTCTCTTTGTCAAAGCAACTCTGCATGGTAAATAAGGAAAAAAAATGGAATTGCTCATCAGATACCGTTGTAGTCTATAATTTATAACCACCATCATGGTTTTATATGGAGCTATTCGATAAAGTTATCATCAACTGAGTCTAAGCGCCATCCGGTCGTTCGAATACGCGACTTTCATCTATGGTGAGAGCGCGCACTTCGGAGGCAAAAAAGCTTCCATTTTAGGAAAAAATTTAAAAAATTAATTTTCTCGGTTTGGGTTTCCAAAAAAGGCAATCGGCTGGCTTCCTGATCTGGCTCTTTGAAGCTATCAACCAAGCTGCTTACAGATCATGGCATTCCGACGTAAGATTACCGCAAAGTCACCAATACCAAAATTTGTCATTACGTTTTACTTCGAACATGTTGGAGCGAGAACCATGGTTGATCTCATTCGGTGCACTTTTCTCAGTCTGGACTGCGTGTTTTTATACTGCCATCCTTGTGTTGTTATGTAATATAAGTGTGTAACTTTTTTTGTTCACTTGATGCAACATCAAAGCGAATTACTCGTTTGTATGAACGGCAATGAACAATGTGTTGATTCGCCTTCATTCAATGCAATGGCAGAAATGAAATGATCATAGGAAACTTTGTAATGAGAATGTCTATAGTTATGTGTATAGTTTGATTGTAATGTATGTATTTTATATTCTAGCTTTGGGAGTGGTTTTGGAGTTGCGACTCCATGGGACGACAAGACATTGGTGGCTAGAGTAAAATGACATGTGAGATACTTTGTCCTTTTTTGTACGAAACTTTGTTTGGCAGGACTTACCGAGTCAAGGCCAAGAGATTTCCTTCGGAATCGAATACTTCGCCGTCCAAGTCAAATCGACCATTGATGATATGCGGGGCTTTGTAATGACCCAAGATTTCCTTGCCTGACGGTACACGTTTGAACTGAACTTCGAGTTGCATGGTAGGACACCACACTGGCCCACCCAGGATGTTGGGGCCTAACAGAGCGGGAGGAGTGATAAACATGTCACACCAATACGGCATACTCTTGAAATCGATCGGTCGACCGTCTGAGAATTGCATCGAATGCGATACTTCAGGTTTTCCTGGAAGTATTTCTGCGCTCTTGGGTGTGGCCAGGCTGCCATCGGGCTGTCGAGGGGCTGTGCTCATATCCAGTTTGGAAGTCAAAAATTCGCCCATAAACACATATTTATATGGCACCATAGTATCTTTCGTAGGCGCTTTGGGCGCATCGTGAAAGTGGGTCACGCCTTGCTCGTTGTCCATGTTGCCCATCGTAAAGATCCCGTGCACCTTCTCGACATAAATGGTAGGATCGTATTGATCAATGCTGGAAGGTACAGTGCTTGATCTAGGATCCTGTTACGTATTGTTAGGTATATCGAATCAAACTAGGATGGTCTAATGTTGAGGGACAGTCTTCTAACCTTGGATTGCTTGAGGCTGACTTTGACAACACAGTAACCTTTGCTGCTCATTTTCAGGGGCTCGATTTCAATGATAAAGGGAGCCGCCAGTGTTTTCCGAAAGAAGAAACAGTTCAAGGCCACGGTATGCTTTTGATACCGCTGGGAAAAGTGTTGCAGGACACTGTCTGTCATTAATGCGACAACGTAACCTAAAGAATCGTAGCTTAGCTGAGTGTCATTTTATTTTCTGCTTCCTGTCACAAGACATGGTTGCATTTTCATGGTAACCGATACCGTACCTCCCTACAGTGGCATTTTGTCAGTAAACTTATCTTATGCATTTTGAATACTATGACGTGCACGACAGGTACTTACATTTGGCACTTCCCCAATAGCCCAGTCCTGAAAATTTTCATATAAAGGGTTCAACAGGGTGAGACCAAAAACCAAAAAGAGGATGACACTTTGAGCGTACCAAACTTGCAGTTCCTTTAAAGCATGTTATACCGTTGGGTGTTTCACCAAGATATGTAGTCTGCGTAGCACGATCAAAGGCAAAAGAAGTAGTCGCTACACTCGAGTCGGATAAAGAAATCATGACTGAAAAAAGCAGAAAAAATAAATCGGTTGAAGAAATGAACCAAAGATAAGTTCCCCTTACTGTCAGAAGCGGAGCAATGTGACTGTCCCTGAAGATTTCGCACTTGTCATCTTTTTTATGCTTTCCTTTCTTCCACCAATGACAGACTCCATTTGGCTGGCTAAAAGTTTCAGGCATTTGTCATGGAAGAAGCTTTATTTGCAGAAAGACCGACCATGATCCGCTTGCCGGAGGCGTTCCATATGCATCATCTAGTGCAAATTGAGGCCCACTGAAGAAGTTGTGCCATCCATCCGCCTCGTTTCATTGCAAATATGATCATGATCTTGATCATGCTGATGACAATGGCAGAAACATGGCGAGAAAATGATTTATGGAAGCAGTGCTGAAAGGAATAAACATGATGTAAAGCGAGAAATAGAATGATAATAATGGGTGTGTACATTAAACAAAAAAAAAAAAGGGTCGGGCAGCATGGCAATATCCCGAGAATGACTATTGTAAATGTGGGGATGCGCTAATGTTTTTGAATTTTTTTCTGGCTTTGCTTGTTTGTTTTGGCAGACATCATTCATGACAAATAACCGGAAGCGGCTGTACTTGCCATCCACCCGGACGGTGGGTTACTGGTAGAGAATGTGTGTCGCAAAGGTTGGGTGAACGTGGAACACATGGTAGATGGATGGGTGGATTCCGTCCCTTGACAACGATAATCCTTGCCGTGATGGTTGGCAAACCGTGATTTGTTGACTTGTTTTCCCTTGTTTTGCAACGACAATGAACCGCTGTGGCCGTTCATGCTGAGGATGTTGATGCCTGCTTGAGCCACGTTGGAATGCGTGCTGTTTTCGCAGCGTTGCCGCTTTTTGATCACGTCTGTTTTCATCGACAGTGGCCGCTTCTCATGATGCAGTTTCAGACTATAAAATAAAGCAACAAAAAAACAAATACTGTTGGTTATACAAACGCGGCACAAGAGTTTGTCTTACAGTAATAACTTACTACAAACCACAAGCATTACACAATGGTGATCCCTCGATATCGCGACGCCACAGTGGAGTGGTGGTCGTGGCACAGTTTGAACATACAGTTTGGACAGGCGTTTCATCCTCGGTTCCTGGTCGGCCGTCTTTGTTGCGCATAGTATGAGGCTTCAAATGTCTCGGTCTCGGCGCATTATGCAGTTTCAGGCTACAAGAAAAAAAGGGACACCCCCGTTGTGAGTTTGACTGTAATCCTTCTTCTCAATTTCTGTTTTCGTTCCATTTCTTCTTTTTTTTTCTGTTTTCAGCAAAAACCTCGGTCTAGACCGGTTGGACAGAGGTTGTGTCATGTTCTCTCTTTTCTTCCCCTTTCCCATACTTACTATAATCCACAAGCATTACACAGTAATTCATCCTCGGTGGATCGTCTCCATAATGGCGTGGTGGAGGTACCACAGTTGCTGCAAATGGGATTCTTGCCTTCGGATGGAGAGCTGTTGATGATTCGTGTACCAGGAACGGTGTCCGGCCCATCCGGGGAAGGACTGGTCGCTCGAGAAGTAGGCACCGATTGTGATACGGAGGTGTGAGAAGAGAAGGACGGTTTGGGGTGGGAAGAGGGCGATACGGATGGAGGGAGAAATGCGTACTGCATGTTGGGGTTGGGATTGTCCGATCCAGGCGATGTGCCGTGAGACATGTCTCTTGCTGTGGACAAAGTCATTTGGGCTGGTGATGCATCGGCATAGGCTTCGTTTGTCATGGCCAAGTGCGACAGATTACCGGAAGATAATAGTCGTTCAGCCGATTGCAGCATTTCCGGTGGGAACGTGGCCAAAAGCTTATTATACAAAGCACCATTCGGGATAGTAAAGAAGGAAGAATAGTTGGAATCCAGTACCATGGGATCGTCGGGTTTGGTTGCGTTGGATACCGACAAGGGCGTCGTATTCATGGATCCGTTGGGGTTGGTTGATAGGTAGACAGAAGACGATGGCAGAGTGGGAGAAGGGGACGGTCGGGTGGAGGATATCTCGTAAGATGACGGTTGCGACTGAACAGGTCCGGTTTGAGATCCCTGGGCCGATGTCTGGGGCAAAGATTGACCGAGATTGGTGAGAGACGCATTGAAGGGAGGATTTGGCTGATACACGTCAGAGTACGTGTTGAGATAGGGATGATGGATGGAGGTTGGCCCGGGGGTGGATTGAAGGATGGGACCATTTTGTGAAGGCAAGGAATGGTTGGGAACAGGGGAGGAAAAGTGATTCCAGTCGTCTGGCAGCATATCGTAAAGCTGCATGTCGACTGCCGGAACATCTCCGGGAACTGAATTCAGAAACTGTTGCATGTCGCCAAACGAGCCAAAGATGTCTTCCAGTTCCACAACTTGATCACATGCTTGATCAGACGTATATTGGTGAAGGACAAAATTTTCCGTCACCTGCCGACCAGGCATGTCTGAAGGGTACGAACGGTCAACAGTGATATCTGGATTCGATTGGTTCGTTGGATTCGATGTCGCAGAGGTCACGGCGGTGGGCGTCTTTGCAATAGAAGAAGAAGAACAAGAATTAGATTCGCTGCTGAGCCTGCAAGAAGGCTGACTGAAAGGTATAGAAGCCGATGCAGAGGATGATTCATTCGTATGTGGCATGGAAACAGATGACTTTGTTCGTGCCTGTAGTGGTGGTTCCTGTTGCTGACATGGTTGTTGCTGACGGACGAATCGGCGATAATGTAATTCGTCTCGGTCTTGAAGGTGGCTAGATTGAGATATCATCGGATCATTCTGTGGTATGGTCTGCGGGTGGTTGCTAGTGCCGTTGGTAGACGTTACTGAAGGGGGAGGAGGGGGAGAGGAAGAAGAAGAAGAAGAGGAAGGACATGATGGTGCAGGTGCAGGTGGTGAATGCGAGGAGGCATTCAAGGACGTGCAAGATCCGTGAGAAGTGCGCGAACCATGTTGTTGTTGTTGTTGATTGATTGGTTGTCCTTTTGCTCTGTAATTGGTTTTGGCTCCAAGCTGCAGTTGACCTTTCTCTTTATCGAGTTTACGGGTGGTTACTGACGAGAGCTTTTTAAATTGCGATTTTTTCTTTGCGCCATCCACGAGGATGTTGTGAACAAACCAAAGACGCCAAGACAAATTTTCCAAACGAGATCCATTCTCCAATGAATCTTTCACTTTGGTGCATACACGCCAAGTCTTGGAAAGTTCGTCTTCCGAGTCCAAGTTGCAAAATGGGGAAAATGACTTGTTGCCCTTGATCTTCAACAAAATGGGCGCCATGGCAAACACTCGAACTAGTGGGGGATTCGTAAAAAAAAACAGACAAGACAACAAAAGTGATGTATGGGAACCTGATCAACCTGAAAAGAGAAAAGAAACTTGAGCAAAAAAAGAAACAACTACTAATATGCAAAAGCGTTATTATTATTAGCATGGTTGGGTTTTCTTTTTTATCCATGCAAAGCAACGTTTGCCCGCTTTTTTTTTTCAACATACCCGTCAGCTGCTCCAAAAACTAGTGACAGTAAAACGCAGACGATGCGAAAAAGAAACAAAAAAACCAAAAAAGCTTGGGGTGGGGTTCTCCCTTTTAGAATCGACGATGCAAAAAAAATAAAAATAAAAAAAATGTGTAAAAATGGGTAACTTTGATATTTTTTTTTCTCTAATTCTGTTTCTCTTTTTGAGGACACGTCTCTTCAAGGTCATTATGAATCGCTGACTCTGGAATGAAGTTGCAGTTTTTATGGCGGAGACTACATGAAAATGAAGCTAACCATAATTGAAATACCAGCCATCGGTTTCGGCCAATCAGATTTAGTTCCATGCTCAGTCCATGACGCCAACTGATTTTTCTTCTGGTTCATCCGCTTTTGGTTTTTCCATCAGCTATGGCACATCTAATCAATTAACCCTTTTGAACATTAATCTACACACTGTGAGAAAAGCAAAACGCCAACATTCAGACAAAACTCTCTATCGTCAATGATGGTGATTTCATTCCGTAATTTCCCGCTCTCATAAATGCACAAGTGACACGAAATATCTGTACCCACAGTAAAAGAAATAAAAAAAAAAAAATACAAAAGAAGAGGCATTCAGAACGAAAAAAGGATGAAAAAATATATGCTTGGATATACATTTCTCGAGGGAGGTTATGAAATAAACAACTTTTTCAAATCATTTCTCTTGAATGTATCCCCTGTTCTTGGACAAGTGATGATGCCATTGTTGGTAGCCATCATGGCTTCCAGTGCCTATGATTGCCACAGTGAGACCTTTTTTTTTCTTGTCACCTTGAGATAGGGCACTTACCTCTAAGCTGTAGACTCTGCCATTGGGAAGCAGCATGGGTGGATTATCTTCATTCATGATCTTTCCACTGATACGACATACAATAGTAGAATTCACGTGATGACTCAGTGGGAGTTTTTCGGCCAATTGACCCAACGTATCGGCATCACACACTGGACAATTGGTATTCTTATTTTCGTGCTCATAACATTGGGGAGTTTTCAGCGCTGAAAGACCGGCTTGCAGGGTGATCGACAAAAGAGGATGCGAAGTCAGCGAGCATAATGCATAATTGTCGGCTCGAAATTGTTCGATTAACTCCGTCCATCGATTGGGGTCGTACATATCCTACAAAAAAAAAAAAAAAAAAAAAAAACGGTATTGGCCGATTTGGACGAAAATAGGGATGGTTCTTTTTTCTCGTCATGTCTTTTTTGTACCTTGTAAGGTTGGCATTCGGTATCTTTGCTAAACACAATTAGGGCCATGGCTTGCATGATTCTTTTGGATTCGGTATCTTGCCAAGCCGTAAGGTATTTTTTCGCATAATTGACGGCTTCGATTCGTTTACCGGTTTTGGCCAGTTCAATATGCTCCTGTAGCCTCAAATTGAATTCCAGCGTACTCTGCATCATCCACCATTTAGAATTGTTCTGCTTTGGCTCACTCACCAAAGATCTAGACTGTTTGGGTTCTTTTTTACACTTGCCTTTAATTTCTTCAATCCAGACTTGTTTTCCGCACACCATTTAAGACATTCTTTACAACTGTGCCTTCGTAAAGCTTCTTCCACTTTTTCCGACTGATCAAATAGCTGCACATCCACCAAATCCTGTGCATCAAAAAAGAAAAAAAAAGAGGGTTAATTCGATATTGATGGTATTGCATTAGGATCGGATGTACCTGGACATCGGTTTCAGTGGCCACTCGTTTGGCGGTCTCTGGTAGACCTTCTCGCAGTAAATAATCCACAATGACTCTATTGAGACGGGTTTTGCACCATGCTTGAAATTCAGGCGCTTGCGGCGATGTCGTATCGGCAATACTGTTGAGATGATCCAATCGCATTTTGATACGCTTTGCATGAAAAGTCTCTTCTTCCTTGATTTTTTGAAGCTAAACAAAGTTTCAGAAGTTGTCAATAATTATTACTCTCTCCTTCGCTTATCTGCACACGCGACGACTTTTTTTTTTGCGGTTGGGAATGCCTACTTTTTTCTGCATGGTTTCCACTTGTTTCATCAACTCGTCAATCAGCAATGTGGCCTGTTCCGGGGAAATGGCGCCTTCGGCTGCTGCGCTTAGACAGTGAGCAATCTTTTCATTGAGTCCCGCGAGCTCCTTTTCGGTATATTTATGGGAATGCTTAAACGACTTTCGTAGTTGCTCATAAGGCACCTGCGCATAATAATTTAGTCAACGCTTGAGTTTGTGGGTATTTCAGCCATTGACCGGTTGTGAAAGTCGTAGCGATAACACTCCAGGACAATGGGCAAAGACAAATTTACCTTGATAAGATGTTGTTCAAGGTCAATTATTTGTTCGGGTTTAATGACGTTCATGGAACGGTGTCAAGTCGCGGGCTGTCGGAATATATGAACGAAAAGAAGCGGCTCTTTTTTCCTTGCATCTGGTTGAAAGCGGACACCCGCCGTCGGATTTCATTTATGCGGCAGTCACGCTTCCCTCATTTGTATTTAAGGCTCCACCATCCTGCTGCGGTTCACAAAAAAAAAGACCTCCCACTTTATTGTTGTATGCCTCCGGCAAGTGACATGGCCACACCTGAAAATACATCTTCCAAACCGAGACCCAGACGACCTGTGGTTCGACCGCAAGCCAAGGTAATTTTTCACCGGGTTTTTTCTGTTAGTGAACGCACTATCATATGATGTTAACCCTTGATAAGCCTGTTCGAAATGTAGGTGATGTGCGTACATCGGAACTCACCCAGCTGAAGCGACGATATCAGTCCTCAGTTCGCATAGCCAGGTAAGGCGTTTGAGCAGAAAAAATGTCGATGAATGTTGGTTATTGATTGAACTTTGGACATCTTGTAGCGACAATGAAGACGAAACGGTTTTGCGATTAGCCATTCGTCCGTCCGATCCTGATTTTCCTTTCGAGCTGGAAGCGCTAAAAGTTCAGATTCATATTCCCAAAAGTTACCCGGACCAGCATTGTACTATTACTGTCATGAATACGGATATACCCAAAGGATTTGCTGTGTAAGTGTTGACGTCCTTCACGACACCGAACAAATGGAGCTCACGATTTTTTTGTTTGTAGAAATCTCGAAAAAGGTTACGCTAATCACGTCGCTACCATGAACCGAGAAACACATGCCACGCTTGTGAGGCAGATGGACTGGCTTGATCGACATATGGAACGTTTGCTCCAACAACCTCCCGCAGCCACTGTCCGCTTTGTTTCTCATGCGAAATCAATCACCGACACCCAAGCTGCGCCCCCTTTGCCTGCCGATTTTGTGGCCCATGTTGTCTCCTCTTCCAAACCCCAACATGCGCAGCCAAAGGATACAACTACGCCTCCTCCTCCTCCTCCTCCGACGGCGGCCGAAACTCCGTCTACTGCGGCATCCGCCGTCCCTGTTACACCGCCTGTCAAGGAATTACCCGTATTCACGGCAGAAGAACGTCAACACGCGGAAAAACAGCGAGAACGAGAATTGCGCCAGTTGCAAACTCGTTTCCAAGATTCATATCGAACCATCAAGTAAGGCCCCTCTTTATTCGTTATGGTTGATGATAATGTATAAAACTTAAGATTTCCGGTGATTTTCACAGAGATGATAAAGAGCGAACGGTCATTCAGCTATCGATATTGCTAAGCAAGGAATCCAATGAACAAACGGTCGAAGGTCATCTGCGATACACGGTGCCAAAATTATATCCTTTAATGCCATGTCAGATCGATATTGAAACGCGAGCATTAACTGATGCCCAAGCAAAGTAAGTGACAGACCCATTGACAATCAGCGCTTTCACAATTACTAAAATATTACAATTTACATAGTCTCGTTGCCAAGGCATTTGCGGAGCATGTGCAAAATAATAAGGCAACCTTGTTTGAGAAACTCAACTGGCTAAATCAACGTTGGGAAGCGCTTTCTATTCCGCCGTCCACGAAAGAGATTGTGAAAAAATCTGGTGCATCGTCAAGTCGTCCATTAAAGCCGACAACAAGTGAATCTGCCGAAACAGCGGCTCCATCAAAAAAGGCAACGACAACCTCTATTTTTGACGCCTTGTCCAACGATACCAAGAAAAATCGGGTGGTAATTGTCAATGATCCTAGTCTTTTATTACCACCGGGTGTACCCTCCAATGATGTGGCGACCGCTAGCTTGGATGAACAGAACGAGGCGAAAGGAAAAGAAAAGGAGACAGCACCAGCAACGGAATCCGGTGATGATGCAGCTCCATCCGAACAACCAAATACACTTGCGCTTTCGGCGCCGAATGTGCGAAAGGGTACGGAAATCCGATTGTTGCAGCCAAGATTTGAAAATGTATCTTTATTCCGATGCACGGTACTTCGGCTTATGGTGAAATGTGCTCGTTGTAAGAATGCCATGGAAATTGAGAATATCGTTCCTGAAACGACGGAACAAGTGGCAGGCAGCAGCAGCAGTCAAGCGAAAAAACCAGCCAAGAAAGAACGATGGACCACATGCAATACCTGCTCGTCGATTGTTGGCGTGAAATTCTGGGGTGGTAAGTAGCCCGTGTTTTATTTTTCCTTGCGGTTCTAGCAGCTTTTGTTTTTCTTTTTACGGAGATGATTGAGTAACCAATTTTTGCTGATAGAATTGGTGCATGAAAATTCGACGTGCTTGGGATTGTTGCAACTGGCGGGATGTACTGCTTTTGATCTACTTCCTTCATCGTATATCGGGACTTGCAGTGCTTGTATGGAAGATATGCAAAATGCGGTGAGATTAGGACCTGGCATGCAACCGTTTTCCATGCATTGTTTTGCTTGCCACGCAAAGATGACCATGGGCCTGGGCAACTTTGAGTTCTTCAACATCAATGCTGGAGGTGAACGACTGCGATTGGATGCTCAGCAAATGATGAAATTGAAGAACAGTGTCGGTGGAGATCTGACGCCGGACGAAGCTCAGCTCGCAAAATTACGGAACAAGAAGAATAAGCACAAGGAAGATTTCTTGACGGTGGGTGAACCGTTGCCTAATCAGGGGACCTGTCGTCATTTTGGCAAATCCAAACGATGGTTTCGATTTCCTTGCTGTGGTAAATTGTATGCATGCGGTCTATGCCACGACGAACAAGAGGATCATCCCCACGAACTGGCGAAAAGACACGTGTGTGGTCTGTGCTCCCGAGAACAAGCCATTACCTCGCAGCCGGCGGTATGTGCCTGTGGCCACGAGTTCGACAAGGTCAAAACCAGTGGCATGTTTTGGGAAGGCGGTCAGGGGACACGCAATCGAGTACTGATGAGCCGAAAGGTAAGACAACCAAGAAAAAAAAAAAAAGAACCCGAGTCTCCCAATTTTATTGGGGGATAACAAAGCCGAAAAATCTAATGCGTAAAATTGACAGGATCCTCATAAACGCAAGGGCGCTCACAAGACGGAATCCAAGAAACACGAACGAGTAGGATTGACAGGCAAAGAAAATCGGGAACGCAAACTAGAACAAAGGAAACAGTAGACGAATAGAAAACATGTCCTGTTACGGGAATTGTAATATTTATTGGTAAAAAGGCAAACGAAAAAAAAAAAAGAATAGACAATATGGATGGTAAGGGATCGTCAGGGTTCAAGGGGATGGCGTTACTTATTGAAAGTAGCAGCAAAAACCCTATTTTGAATGTCTGGCTGGGTTCCTATCGGTCATTTTTTATTTTTTGGCAGAAGCGAAATTGCTGACAAGTGATTGGTTGTATTTCGATGAATTGAGAAGGAAAAAAAAGGCGCGTGTAGGTCTTACAAGAAAAAAAAAATTTTATGGGATTATATGGGATTCTGCTCGGGTGCCAATAAGTTGCAAGCTGACTTTTTTTTTTTTAACCCTTTTGTTAGTTTGAACTGTGTGTTATATAGTGTATTGTGTTTGTGTGCGTGCGTTTCTTTATAGGTTCCACATTCCCCGCTGCACGACGCAAAAAAAAAAAAAAAAAAAAAAAAAAACCATTTCCTATTTCACAAAAAGAGTTAAAAAATTTGTAATTCTTTTATTTCTCTTATTTTTTTTATATTCCTCTTTTTTTTTTTCTTTTTACTTATATCATAATCAGTAATGACTAGCGAAGCGTCATCTCTCCTTGCTGGGTCATACAACGCAAACGATTTTCGAGTGCATCCATTATCGGCATCACCGGCTCCACCGTTATTCAGTTCATTACCGCCCAACAATGGGCTTAATAATGCCTTGTCGGAAGATGTTACGACCATCTTCGTCGTCGGGTTTCCGGATGATATGCAAGAACGGGAGTTTCAGAATATCTTCATGTTCTCGCCCGGCTTCGAAGCAGCATCCTTGAAATGGCATCAGAAAGATGACGATGACGGCACAAGCGGTTCTGCAGGGGGGAAAAAGCAAATGGTATGTGCGCTCTTTCTTTCTTTTTTGTTTGATACATATTTTTATATAGATACCCATTCATTTGGGTTCTCCACTCTTTTTTGCGTTTTTCTTTGGGTCTTCTGTTTTTTTGGGGGGAGGGACCGGGGGGAGACCACGGACAAAGCACCGAGGAATGATATGGCATGCGTAGAGTGGGAATGAAGCTCACAATGCTGTTTTCTTTGTCTCATTTTTAGATTGGCTTTGCTCGATTTCGCACTCGATTGGAAGCCTTGGAAGCGGTGGAAGTGTTGAGCGGCAAAAAGATTGACGTGGATAAGAATGCAGTCCTGAAAGCGGAAATGGCCAAGAAAAACTTGCACATCAAACGAGGATCCGTGGCACCCAATACTTTGGGCAGCAATGCTGTTCCATCCTCATCTTCGGCCGCGGCAGCCCTAGGTCCTGCGAGTGGTAGCACAGTGGCCGAGTCTACCTTGCCTGTCAGCATGTTGTCCCGAAAGATGAGTCAGTCCATGCACTACGACTTGTTCTCACCACTGCCCAGTGATTTATTATCGCCGGCCGATTACAAAAATGATGCGTTTTTGACTTCGGCGCCTTCAGCTTTCAACGATTCTTTGTTTGGTTTGCGGTCGCAGTCTTTTGATGCACAAAACGTACTTAATATGGTGTCGCCTCGAGCCGTGAGTTTCTTTCCGCCTCCTCGGTCATCGATATCCGGTCAAGAAGACCACGATCCCTACAGTTACCTTTCGAAATCGTCGCCGGCACCCAATGATCCTGGCTTTGGTAGCATTTCTTCGCTTTTTGATGACGCCGATCTTTTAAGTTCTCGCATGGGATCGATGTCCATGTATCCTGTCGATTATCGTGGCTCTTTCCGAACCCCGAATCCCGCCGACCAAAATCCCCCGTGCAACACGTTGTACGTCGGCAACCTCCCTCCCAACACCAGCGAGGACGAATTACGACAAATCTTTTCAAAGTGTCGAGGATACAAACGGTTCTGTTTCCGTAGCAAGCCCCAAGGTCCCATGTGTTTTGTCGAATTTGAAGATGTCGTGTATGCCACCCAGGCTCTGGCTGAATTGCAAGGTCACACTTTATCCAACTCGGTCAAGGGCGGTATCCGTCTCTCCTTCAGCAAGAATCCATTGTATATCAAACCCACCAAAGACACTACCAACGGCAACAGCAACGGCACCAGCAACAGCAAGCTATCGTTGGGACCGTCGGGTTTGGCGGATCGCAGAGACATGGTGTTTGATCCTCAATTGTAATAGCCGGTCTATGCGTGTTTTTTTTTCTCGAAAGATGGTGAATTCATTTGTTACTTTATACTTTTTTTTTCTAACTCTTTGTTTTATCATTTCAACTTGTTCCCCTGCTATTTCATACTCTCAGTATTACCTCGTCTCTTGTTCTATCATGTTAAACTATGCATTCAATTTTTTTTTTCATCTTTGCACATCTCTCCTCCTATTCATTATTTTTTTTTCTCTTACAAGCACATTTCTTAGCATAAATTGATTTCCTTGTATTCCTTCTTATGAATTGGTTTCTGCTCTCGTTTTTTTCTTTTGGCATCCCAAGCATTTTTCAAAATATAACAGACAGAGTTCTTTTCACCTCCTTTTTCATCATGATAAGATGGTTGGCGAACCATGACAGTAATTTGGGTGAACGGTGGAATCACTGTTTTATGGATTTCTTGTTTTGAACCAAACCCCGTGGTTGCGATGGTGTCCATGTGATGATATGTGTTCCCGCTTTTTATTTTTATTTTATTTATGTGGGTTATCGCGTCATACGCTAATGGCGTCTGTTTCTTTCCTCTTTCCTTCTCTTCTGCGAGGCTTGCTGTACGTTGGATTTTTCCTCGTCGATCTTTACATCATGCGCTTCCAAACCATCCACCGTCATATTGATCATTCATTGGAAGTAGGTGCCTTCTTTCGTCGTATGGCTTGTTTAGGCGGGTTTTGACTGAAATGGATTTCTTAGTGCATCGAGCGGGAACAACTTGATAAAATGGTGTTGGCTGATCTTATCGAGTTTTGCCAGGAAAGAGGTACGCCCACCCTTTCACATACAGTGGCAGGCGTCATCTAAAAAATATGGGGTTGGATGGTTAGGATTACCCACCGAAGGCACCAAAGCTGAACTGATCGATAACCTTTTGTTTTGGGTAAACTCTCGGACCTTGTTCTTTTTTAAATGTTTATAACGGTACAAAACTTTAACTTTTTTGGAAAAAAACGCACAAACATACTCGCCCTGACTTGCACAGAAACAATACACACGACCAACACCTGCTCCGAGTACACCGGAACTTCCTGCGCGATCTCTGGCACCCAACGACCAACAGCCAGGACAACGACTACAACTCAACTCGCGCGATTTCTCGGCCTTGTTTCTCGATGATACCCCTGGTTTGGATATTCCTTATAATGCCATGATCATAGGACCCAAATTAGGCAGCGGCGGATTCAAAGATTGCTATGCGGGTAAGCATAAAATTCAAAAAAAAAAGAGGCCACATCATCTTTCCATTTTTTTTTGTCTTGATTAACGGTTGTGACACGTCACAGGCGAATACAAGGGAGTAAGTCGGGATAATAAATCTATCATTGTAAACTGTTATGGATGACCATGGAAATACTCGTTTACAGGAAACAGTAGCGATTGGTGAACTGAGGTTAACCGATTTTACCCACGTCGATTTGGCGGAGATCAAGCATGAAATCAATGTCTTAAAGTAGGTATCCGATGTTGGAAGGCAGGAGGAAAAAGTGAAAAATGCTTTTTTTTTTCTAAAATAACGACTCTTGATTGTAGACAGCTGCGTCATGAAAACGTGATCAAATTTATTGGCGTGTGCACTCATCCAAAACATCTGTGCATCGTGACAGAACTGTGCTCCAAGGGGGATTTGTTTGACGTTATACGCAAATACAAAAAACCGAGTTTTGCTCAACAGGTGGGTTTGGCTCTCGTTAGACAATAATGGCATCCTATTGACACATGCTTTGATCGTGCAAAAAGGTGATGTATATGCATGATATTGCCATGGGGGTTTCCTATTTGCACACGCGAAGGTAATATCGCCCAGGGGTTTATTTCTGCCGATCAGTCATTCATTTCATGGTTGTTTTTGTAGGCCATCGATTATCCACCGAGTAAAGTATCATGATACAGTGCAGCGCCATGCAAGACAGACTATGTGAGACTAATTTATGCAATTTTTTTTTTATAAAAAAAAGGATCTCAAATCAATGAATATACTGGTGAGTGTGTACCAACGTGGTCACTGAAATTTGGATCTCTGACCGTCATGATGGCAGATTTCCGAGGATGAACGCGCCAAAGTCAACGATTTTGGCTTGGCACGTATTCGACCTAAAGCAAATGCATTGATGCACACTCAGTGTGGCACACCCAACTGGCAAGGTAAAGATGATATCTGATTCTGTTGGATTGTTTCTCTATCTGAGGTTTACGACTTATCACCGATTCCCTTGTTGCCAGCCCCGGAATTCTGGACATCCAATCCCAGTTACACCGAAAAGGTATTGCCAATACACTATATCCCATTGCTACTTTTTATTGACACTGGATAAATTACTGTTATAGGTCGATGTAAGTGATTGGCAAAAAAGTCTATTGACAAAATGACTGAAAATGGATTATTCAAGGTGTATGCATGTGGTTTAATATTTTGGGAAATTTTAAGCTGGGGTGTCTATGGTTATCCTTTTCAGGGCAAGTATTTGTTGATGTCTTGATTGTTTGAAGAATCGAGTTGATAATAAGACCAAAATAATGATGATATTGTAGAATTGTCCGAGCATGCTCTTTACGTCGAGGTCAAGGAACGCAACATGAGGCCACCAACTGCCGAATTATTCCACATGTATCCAAGGACCCTAATGAACCTTATCACGGATATGTGGACGGGCGATCCTGTTCGGGTATGTATGACTGTATGGTATATGTATTACATTTTAAGTTGTTACTGACCCCTTTTGGTTCATCAGCGCCCGAGTATGGCAAACGTTGTAGAAAGACTTTCCACTTATTTGAACTGAACCAAAACAAGCAAAACCCCTTTGCCCGTGAACCCAATTATTACCACCCATCATCATATCATTTCTTACCATTGATTGATTTATATATTGTAACAAAACATGTTTTTTTTTATTGATTGGAATCCAAAGAAGAAGAAGCAGTCAAGAGAGAGAAATAATTTGGCGAGAAAAAAAAGAAAAGAAGAATATAAGGGATGATGTATCCATGGAAATCAAATTTTTTCTAGAGTTTAGCGTCTTCCTCTGCTTGGACTTCTGCTTCGACTGATGGATCGACTGTAACTTCTTCTGCGAGAATAGCTTCGACGTCGAGGGGAGATGCTGCGACTGCGGCTACGACTGGGCGTACGGCTGCGACTGCGAGAAGAGTAACTGCGGCTACGCGAGTAGCTGCGACTACGTGAATAGCTGGGGCTTCTCGAATAGCTTCTACCTCTCGGCGATCGACTGCGAGAATAGGAAGCATATCTTCTACCACGACGTACAGGGGATCTTGAACGGGAGAAACGTCGACCACCACCGGGAACATATCGATCGCGTCTTCCACGACCGGGACCGCCACCACCACGGCCACCTCGACGGAACGGAGGAGGTGAATATCGAGCTACCGAATCCAAAAAAAAAGATGAATAAAACATCGCACGACAGTCGAGTGTACCATGATTTTACTTACATCGGCGACGGGGAGGAGGCGAGGGCGAAGGTGATCGACGGCGAGGAGGAGCAATCACACAAGTCAAGTATTTACCATCCAACTGACCCTATATACACACATACCACCCATGCCTTTGTCAGTTCCGTTGACTATGTAACACAACAATCTCCACTTTTCCGCTTCAACGTACCTTGTCCATCAAGGCAATGGCTTTATCTGCATCGTCGGCGGTTTCAAATTCAACGTAAGCTTTACCGGCGTTGGCATTCACTAATTCAATGCGGTGATTAGCGATTTAGGTACTTTTTTATTGTATATAGTCCATTGCTGTTGCTCTGAGCTGAATTTTTTTTTTTCTTTGTGTGGTTTGCTTACATCGTTTGTTGAATGGAAAGTCGACGTTGCGAACGGGCGCGGCGTGTTCGAATATTTCTTGAATATGTTCTTTGGTAACATTGCGAGTCAAGTTGGTAACCAAGACCACATTTTTCGCCACACTAGGTGAACTGCTTCTGTCGCGACGACGTGGTGGTGATCGTGATCTGCTGCGAGAAGAAGGTGAACGCGAACGACTGTACGACAAGGAACGACGACGACGCGGCGACGGAGATCTGGAAAGAGCTCGCGAAAAAGGCCTGCAATTTATCAACAATCAACCGTTACATGTCACAAAATCCTTCGATCGTTAAAAATGCCTCTTCAGTACTTACATGGTTTGAGTGTAAAGGGGGTTTTCCAAGACGGAGATGAGTCGGTGCCAAATGAGTGGCCTTACAAAAATTATTGACGCCAACGTCATGATCGGACTGCTTTCTGCTGCTGCTCATGCAACGAACCTTTTTTTTTTTTGATAATTTTTTCTTTTTATTGTTTCTTTTGAAGAGACAAGGAACAATAGGGAGAAGTAATGCAAAAGACCGATTCTTTTTTAGATCGGAATAGAAAAAGTGTATGAAAGGATTTGTATACAATGAGAATACCGTTCGCTTTAAACGTTATAAATAGTTTTACAAGTCATCATAAGATGTCAGTGTTCTTCCAGGTATGGACGGTGCAACCACAGTGGGAGAGTTGCTGATGGAGTCATCTACAAAAATTTCGTGAGTTGTATGATAAAGATGTAAAGTGAGTATCTCGCCTATTTTACCCAGTGTATAGGAGGGAGACAGTTCCTGATCTTCGTGAACTTGTCGCATTTCTTTTTTCGCAAGAATACCATCTTCATCTGTCCAAGGGACGTTTCCAAAGCCAACCCGATTACGTTCAGGTATCTTGGCCCGATTGACTATTCACTCCTGTTAGCCCAATCTTTTCTTTCTGGACATTCCAATTCAACCGTCGTCCCCTTACCTTTGATGTGTCGAGAGCCTAATACAGCGCCATTCATGCTTCGAATAGCGCTGAGAGCGTCGAGTTTATCATCATATGTAATGAAACCATAACTAAAAACAGCAACAAACATAAGATGAGAATGATTGGTTTAGTATTCAACATGCTATCAAGTCCTTACGCTTTGCCTTCCACCAATTTGATTTGACGAATCGGACCAAATCGTTCAAATGCTTCCTCCACTTCCTTTTCTGATACGTTTTCCAAGTCACCAATGTAAATCTTTTTGTGAAAGAATTCGGTGTCGAGATAACGCCCAGCAGAAGCATACGGCTGTTATAAAAGTAGCAAAAAGAAGAACGCGTCAGTGATCCGAGAATCAAGTGAAGGACCGGTCAGCATCCCTAGTGCTTACATCACGCTCACGCTCACGTTCTCGCTCTCGCTCTCTGTCGCGCTCGCGATCACGACCATCAATCGAATGATGGTCATGACTGGAACGTCGTCGACGATGACGGCTTTTGTACTCATCCTCACTGCCAGAATCCGAATATCGTGAAGATCGGTGGCGACGGCGATGGGACGATGATCCTCGTCTTTCCGATCGTCGATGGTACCGATCGCTCTCGTCGTCAGTATCCCCGGGTCGATAGGAAGAGCGTCGTGTATGCTCCACTGGGTCTTCTTCGACATCGGGTCGTTCTCTACTGAATTTTTGACGACGGCGTTTTACTCGTCCAAATTCATCCAACTCTTCCTCTTCTTCGTCTGAATGGTCTCGACGTGACGAATATCTGAATTCCGATCTTTTTTTTTTAGCTCTTAATAAATGGCTTTTATCCTCGGTTTAGCAAACACTAACCTTTCACGGTCGGCATCGGACGTTACAGACCTACAAAAACTGGAATTAGAGACATTACTGACGAAAATGTCAAGATCGACTGAAGGTTCTACCATTTGCGTTTGTTGCTCTGGCTTTCGTTGGCAGCCGAACCATTTTCAGACTCACGCTAAAAAGTGTGTATTAATAAACGCCAACTATACACGTTTCGATTTTGGTACGCTGAAACTACCTTGGTCTCTGCTTCCGAAAGTGCCATGGCAGTAGAGAATGACAGGCTGTAGTGTATAACTTTTTTTTTTTTTTTTTTTTTCAAAACACCTTCCCCCCAAAATGAACTGCACCTAGTGCGGTGATTAAAATATAACAAATCAGCAATTGGAACGGGATTTTCAAACCGAATTGGCAAAAACCCATTCTATCTTTCTTCCTCACACATCGAGTCCTTAAGAGGTGGTCAGAATGCAAAACGGAAAAAGGCAGATCTCTCATGGGTTTTACAGCCTCCAACTACCGCTGACAATCTTTTTTCATATGAAAGGATGAAAAACAGAGCCGACAAGAGCAACCTGTATCAGCAGACGCCGCAGCAAGAGAATCCACACCTGCGACGTTGCACAAGTTTCCACAAGTCGTTCTTGATATGCTTGAGCCGTCCTGCCGAGATGCGAAGGAGAAGCTTCAGAAATATCATTCTCTAACTGGTGACATCGGCATGTATGCCGTTGCAAACCGCATGGCGATCCGAAGTTTCAATGCTGATCCGACATGAACTGGGAATCTGGGTATATTCAAGACGCGCCCAAAGGAAGATGCGATCTGCTTGGGAGCAATTCCGGGGCCCCATTGCAACTGATGCTCAGCAGGAAGGGGATCTCAACGAGTCGTATCGATTATGTATTGTATAGCGCACAATGAACTGCTAGATAACAATGCGCCCAGGCCCCGTAAAGAGAACCTCACATACACACCGGATTTTTCGCGCTGCTTTCCGACCGAAAAGCCAACGAGTAGTGGAGCGAACGAGTAAATTGTGTGCTTGGGTATTGCCATAATTGCCAGACAGTCTTTCAGGGATGGTCAACGAGGGCGCGCGCAAGTACTTCGCTGTCCCTGTCGCCTCAACATCTTGCGACCGGTTATTTTCCAAGGCGAAATACGTCATTCCTGCCAGTCGGAACCGTATGCAGCCTGAGACCTTTTGACATCGGCAAGCATACGAATAGCAACAAGGAACAAAGGAATCATTACGTTCTCAGGAGCATCGTAATCGTTTGAAGCAAATTTACCAAAATTTTCACAAGCCGTCCTCGAAGCGCTTGCGCCCATCGTATCCATCGATACCTCTGTTTCTCAGCAGTCGACTTTGGAGGTGCTCAAAACCCTACACCCGTCCACAAACGCTTCCTTGGTCCTCTCGATCAAAATTGGACGATCTAGCCCGATGGCTGTGGACGCAGTCTACAGATGAGACTATGACTACTCAAGAGATGGAGCTTGGAATACGGCTAGAGTTGTCTTGACCAACTTTGCAAGTGTCTGTACGCCGCCCATCGAAACGCCACATTCGAAGGATTACGAATGCACTTGGTGGGTACGGCGCGTAGTCCCAATAGTTCTTTGGGAATCAAAACGAACCTTCTCGCGTTTAAGCGGTGTGAATGCGAAACCCGGCACAATGCACTATCAGAGATGGATCCAGCACTTTGGCGAAAAGGCCGGCCCCCTTATTGCTGGCGGATTGGGTTACGACTGGAGTGGCGAAGAGCGTCTGATTATGAAAGCGTCAAGTGGAGAACATAACGAACGCATCCCAAAGACTATGGATGACAGCATGAAACAAAGCAATAGCATGATCGCAATGCTCCGAGGAATTGCCAATGCGCATCCCAATGCCAGCTTTAACATCTTAGTGCAGACCAAATCTTCGGCATCCAGTCGATCCAAACCTGTCTCGTCCTTTCCGAATTCAATTGGACGCGCAAAAAAAGTTCTCCTGCAGACAAGCTCGTACCGCCCGCATTCCCACTAATTTCGCTCAAAGGAGCAATTGGCTGTGTATCTTTGAACTTTGACCTTCTTTCACAAGTCTTTGGAACAGCAAGTGGTCAATCTGAAGTCATTGAACGATGAAGAGACCGGCAAAAGTAGAAGTGCTTGGACCCGACATGATTCGCAATTGCCTCTGAGAGTGTCAAGTCTACTTACGGGCATAATATGCCAGGATTGAATTGTAAAGATTGCTGTTAATGGTGACACGAAGCTATAACCGTCAACTTGCATTCTTTCTTCCGATGGTGCTTTCATTGATTTGGTGCGATAAGAGGTGCGATCGTTAAGGTTGTCTTCGGGTCAATTTTCTTCGCAAGACATAACTATTAAACTTCAAAAGTCAAGTTGGGGCTCTGTCTGATATAGACAGCTTTACTTTGGGTTGTCGTCCTGTATCCTTTCATGAAACAGAGGTGGTAAAACTCTTCACAGAATGCTTTTGGCCTTTTTGCGGTCCAACTGCTGGGTAGTTATAGTTACGTTTCCCTTTTTGGGATTTAAACTATACTACCTCTTATTACCCCTAACTACTTCTAACTATATAGCTTGATTACCTGACATGATTAGTGGTATGCTTAGTTTCCTGAGGCTAAACATCACTTACCAGCAACACTCAACCTTTGTTGACTAATAGTCTTTACACATTTTTATTCGAGACAAGTTTTTCAGAGAAGCATTTTGTTCAGACAACTTTCAAAATTTCACACACATGATTAAACCCAGCTGCCTTTACACTTGGCGCAAACGTTGTACGTCTTTATTAATTCATCGCTTGCAATTCACTGGTAGCGTATCTCCTCAGAGCTGCAATATCACCAATATGCTTAGTCCCAATGAAAATGTTGGGATACTGATGCTGGTGGGTAGAAGCCTCGAGGTAGTTCCTAATTTCAATGCTTTTGGCTTTTTTTTTTGAAAGTTGATATTAATTCACTCGCACTAAACATTCACCAATGGTCAGACTTACGATTTTGTTCCAGGTAAAAAATAAAAGGATTGATACCAAAAGTACCCTGCAACTTATTAGCGGCCTCGCCGACCGCGGCGTTCTCTTCCATCCGGCAGGCTATGAAATAAAAGAGTTACATTCGAACCTTCCTCCCCAAGTGGCTCTGTTCTGATGATACATACTGGAGCTCGGGTTGGCGAAAATAGTAACACGTTAAGAACTAATGATTCCTTGGACACTGTCAGCCATGACCGTTAATGTGGAGATAAAAGAATAGTTGACATAGAAAAAATGGTACTGAGCGAGTGCGTTTTTATATGTTTTGCGAGACATATCGCCTTCCGCTTTGGGGAATCAAATGTCAGCCACGGCAGGATGTCGTACACACAAAAGCCCCGATTCTTGTCTGCTCAAATTCGGAGTTTGGCGGCTCACTTGCAATGCACAGAACTGTCCATCCCAACGCCGTACACGTTATTCACTTCATAGCATTCAGACAGTCATTCTACTATGTGCAGTTCTTATTAGATGCATCCACAATCTATCTTGACATCGAACAAAGAAAAACCTACTCATTTGGATGCAATCATTGAAACGAAGACATAAAAATAAAGCTACAGAAAATATAAAAACAAAAATGAAAATAATGAAACGGGAACTCTAACGTCCGTACTTGGTATTCGGTATTTCCATACTAGCCTGTGGTCTCCGGCCGTAACCATGTCGATAGAGGCCATATTATGCAAGTTACTTTTCATTTTGCAGAGGCATTACTGGCTCAATCTCGTTACGAAGACCTATTGAAGTGAGTCTCTTGCTCCAACCATGGGTCTGATGATCGCCATAGGAACGACGTATAAGGCATGTCAGCCTTTGTCGTTCCTTTTTGGGTCCAGCTTGCATTACGAATCTTGGTCGGCGCTGGCAAGTATGGTTTGAGCCGCTAAATCTTATCTTGGGTGGCCAGAATGCTCAGCAAACGCCACTTGGTGTGATCAGCGAACAAGTTCGCTGGAAAGCCCACTTGTGTTTTTTCGCATGGAACAACCTGCATAGGTCACATCCCGTTCCGAAAAATGATAAACAAATGCAAATCTGTTGATCCAGTGCTAGCTGTTTTGGTGTTCCTCAGCCTACTTACTAAACAATCATCGTTAACATTCTCGATGCAACGGACCACTCAGATTGATAGCTACTATCGGTGTAGATCTTACGAACGAGGACTGGCTTTCTGGATACCTAACACGCATTTTCAGTTAGCTTAGCAAAAAAAAAAGTATCGGCTTGAACATAAAAAAAAGGAAGCTTTGTACAACGAACGAATTAAAAAAGAAAAGGAAAACTCTCAGTCGCCGGGACATCCACTAAAACATGGGGAAAACGACGGCAACCGATGATGACAAGCAAAAAAATTTCTCGGTCGTCGTAAGTCAGCGCTGAAAACCGGATATTCTGTGAGAATACTAGTCTTTCACGATCCTTCCGTCCTCTCTGTACTGCTGACATGGCAATAGAGTCAGATCAACCACGCAACTCGGAATAAACTCGAGAGGGATAACATGGGCCCGATGCCAGACACTCATACACCGTACCTGGGGCGGTTATTTTATGGGTGCTAACATTCGTGTCCTACTTTATGTCCAATCGCGACATCTGTCAGACGATACAAGTTAATTTCGCTTCGGCGCCCATCTATATGAGAAATCGTGTATATTACATTGAGCACTTGCTTGTAAGCCTTTTCGATACGCGACGGCAGAGTCTCCTCGCCGTGCTTAGGCTTGCGATTGCAATCCATTTAGAATAGTTCGACGGGTGATTTAACACGCAAGAATTTAATGGGAAGTATACACATAGAGCGGTCATGGATCGCAAGCGCTTTTCGAATATCCATTGTTGTATGATATGTTTAAGCCTTTGTCCATGATGATGTAGCAGCCTGCCTCGTAATAGTGTTTCCATGCCCGTGCTTATAAACAGACCGTATCAAGTATACGTAAAACAATAATTATTTAGAGTGCCCAACTTAGTTTTGAAACCCATCCGTACTTGACTAGCGAATTTGTTTTGTTATAAACATAGCGAGGGAACGGTTGCGTTGACAGAAATACATATTTCATGCATTATCGTTGGTGGGTTCCTTGGGACTGAAAATGACAGATTCGGTAATCAAGCCCCTACCTTGAAGGTTGTCATAGTGTTGCTGTTGTTTACCATTATTCTTCCATTTGGTTGCATATTTTAATTTCTTAGTTTCCCGTTTTTCGTCTATCTATCTTTTTCATATTCGGCTTACTGCTTTTGCATATTTTTGCCATCTGACTTTCAAAATTGTGATTTCTTCATGTTGAATAGGATGCAAATTAACAAAGACGCTTTGCCTATGATATTATTATTCGTGGTATAATGTTTTTCCATGGTTGACGTATAAGGCTATTTACATTTCTTCCAATTCGTCATCCGTCATTAACAGGTCTTCCTCGGGAAAATCACCAACGGTGACTTTTGTTGGTCGCACAAAACCTCCATATTTGGGTGGACAGGAAAAGTAACGTTCGCCCTGAACGCTGCCGTCGTTCTTACCCAATGGCTCGTCGTACTGAATACCGACCCAAATACCAGATTGAAAGTGCGTTGGACCCACGTACCGGACGCATCCACGGCGGCGGATCGCATCATCGTCGCCAACTTGCACCTCACAGCGGTCGTTGATGTTGATCTTCTTGGCCGCTTCCTCATACTCTTGTTCTGTTTTTTGCAACTGTACTGCTGCCTCGTCCGAGAAACGACCAAGCTTATTGCGTTCTTTGAACGCACGGACCGTATCTATTGTCCCCATATGAGCCACACTGCATGATATGATTTAGATTCGAGATGGCATCATACCAGATCGTTTTGCGTATTCTTCTTCGGTTAATTCGAATTTTTCGACCAATGATACATCGGTAAATTGATTTTTGATGCGATGCGGATTGGTGTCAATGACCTGCAAGAGACGCGTAATGTTAGTCATCTTGTCGCCGCAGAAAACACGGAAGAAAAAAAAGTCACTTACGTGAATACGCATAAAATCATCAATCGGATACGATCCGACCAAACGGTTTTCATCATCCAAGGGTCCGACACGGTTATCACCTTGGTACAGTTCGAGATTCTGGGTTTCGGCGGGAATACCCGTGATGGGCTCCAATTTTCCCTAATGGCAATGGTTCTCTCTCTAAGTGGCACGATCACGAAAAAGTTATAACCTTTAATAACTGGGTACCTTGAGCTCCAAAATGGTCCATCCTCGGTCCAATCTTCTTTCCGAACTAATGTTCTCTGAAGTCGTAATAAACACAGTAACAATAGACATGACAGACCAAAAACGAAATAGTGTTCGATATAGAGAGGAAGTCTCGGACTGTCAACTATCTAAATATCCAACTTGCCATTTAAGGAAATCCAGGTCGCCGTGCCACGTCACCCATTTTTGTTTTGTTTTTTTTCCCCGTCGATAGAAATCGCTTGACTTTGGTTTCCTTGAACTTATTACAACCACGCCAACCCCCAACTCTGAACATGCTGGGATCTTTGTATCGTTTCTCGCTTGAGCGTCCCGTTATCTTTTGGTCCTTTGTCCTTGGCTCTGCAGGTAATTTATCATAAATTTTGTCTCAACAATGCGATGCTTGGTATATTTTTCTTTGCTGTGACAGTATTCGGGACCTGACATCACTGTGCATTATTCATTCAATCCCACTACTTGACGATCGAGTTTCACCAGCATTCGCCTTTTATTCAATACGATAAAAATTAACGACCATTTTTCATTCTCACAGGTCCCGTCATGGTATGGACTGTGCCCAAGATTCGTCGCGAATATTTCGGTTACAAGGGAGTGGCTGCTCTTCCCATCACTTATCCTCGTGCGTATCTCTTTATTGTTTTTATTTTTATGATTTTCATATGTCCACACATATTGGTTTGGGTAACGAGGAAAAAAAAGGTGGAGGATAGATTGGGAGAGAGGATTTACAGTGCCAATGGTCACAAAACGAAGCAGAAGTCCTGAACCGCGGGTCAGAAACAGACCACAGGAAGAGATGGTTCGATTGGATAGGAAGAAATATGTGGCGGTTTTCTATGTTGTGGACCAGTGTGGGAAACATTAAAACTCATTTCATATTTCTCCAATAGTTCCTCAAGGCCCGCGCAATCCTCCCTCCGGTTACGAAGATACCGCATAAATAAAAACGAAACCAAAAAGCACGTCACTTGGAAACGAACAATAGGCATCTTTTTTTTTTTTTATTCCACAAATTCATGGGTTTAAAATGAGGGAAACAAAAAAAAGTGGATTCCATGTTTCATAATAGACAACGGTTGGCTGGCGTGAAATGGCGTGAACCCAACAATGAAAAAAAAAATTATAATAAAAAAATAATCGTTTCATTTTATTTTTTCATCAACCGGAAGTTCCCATTGCCGTGTTTTGGGTTCTTGTTATCATGACAAACCCGGGATTCAACCAGGTGAACGGGCGGCAAGGGTAGACATTGTTATGTAACCTAGTTATGTCGTTTGACAAGATCATCACATCCGCAAATCCCCTTTCTTTTTTTTTCTTTTCGGTTTTCTTTTTTCATTTCACTTTATTAAAAATAGGCGCCCAGGGTCCAATTTACTTTGATCACCGACCGAAACCGTTTCATTTAGGTAGCAACCCATAATGAACCCACACCAGGTGGGCGTCGGCTTTTGGAATAACCAATCATGACTGCGGCCCTTTTGGTAACCCTGCTCCTTTTTTCAAGTTGGCTTGATGGAATTTTTCTTCTTGATATGTATCAATTGCGATTGTAATGTTTCCATGCATAAATAAATGCAGTGAGAAGAACAAGCCAACAGGGCAGTTGACTGTGTGGTGTGGAATTAAAAAAGAATTCATCACGATAGAATTTTACACAGGGGCTTTTTTGCCACTTAAAAAAGAAAACGTTCCTTTTCAAGAAACCCGAATGGGGGAAATTTGAGTCTCCGCCGTGGATTTTTTTTCCACTCAATGTTTCGATTCTTTTTGAGCGGAAGGATTTCCGCTTGAATTAGCTGCATGTCCTGTTCTTTCTTTCGATTTTTCTAATATTCCCTTGCTTACGGATTTTCTGGATCCTATTTATTGGTGTTTCAATTATAAAATCGTCCCTCCTTTTTTCATTTCACTTTGTTTTATTCTGGTAAAATTACAATGGCGCACGAACCAACCCAACCATTATTGTCGCCTAGACGACCTTCCGTTCTCGATATCTCCAATCTTCTCTGTCCCACCGATGAACCGCCTATCAAAAGCCCTTCCCTCTCGCCCTCCTCATTTTCCAGCAGTTTCTCCCCTTGCAGCGTTCAATCCAACCAGAGTAGCAGTAACAATTACTTTTCATATACTCCCAGTCGTTCGTACCCTCCTCCCGTACGTTGGATGAAAGAGGACGACTATGCTTCGTCCACCTTGACCCATTCCGCTCCTTATCCTCACATCCGCCGCTCCTTTGAAGATGATCGACGTTGCGATAGGGTGTCACTGCCGTCTCCCTCTTATTCGTATATGCCAAGCACACCACAAGACGAATACAACGATAACACGTCGGTCAAGCCCAAACGCCGGAGAGCCAGTGCCAAGCAATTAGAGGTCCTCAATCGCGTTTTTGAACGCACCTTTTTCCCTTCGACTCAAATGCGTATCGAACTCGGCAAACAACTTGGTATGAGTCCACGTACTGTCCAGATTTGGTTCCAAAACCGTCGTCAAGCACTTCGCACTCGTCAACGCACCCAAAATGAAGGAAATCAATCCTAGCCCTTTTCTGCCTTGATGGCGCCTCTTAATCTGTGTCATGAATAACATTTCTCCCCTCCTCCCTTTATTGCATTGTGTTGTTCTTTTTTTTATTTTAATCCACCCTCCATGCATGTATGAACTGTCCATTTTTTGTCTTTATTCTTTTGTGTTTTTTCGGGTCTCCTCTTTGTCTATGCTCTCGGCCTGGTTGTCGATAAGAATTCTTTTTCAAAAAAAAAAATTAAAAAAGTTAAATAAATTACATCTATGCTCCCCCATTTTTTGAACGTTGTTGAACCGTTAAATCCAATACTCGAATGATTTGGTGTGTGCTTGGTTTTTTCATTTAAAAAATTTCGCCATTGCCTGATCCAGCGTTCGATTTCCTAAAACGAACAGGATTTTGTTCTTCCCGGGAAAATATCAGGTCATTTTTTCTTGGCTTGGTGTTACTTTGTGCCTCCGACGTCTTGCTTTTTGAGTTCAAGTTTTTCGATCGACTTTCATTGAGACCCTTAATGAGACCCTTAAGAGAAAAAAAAAAAGGCGGGCTCGTTTCCTGAAACGATATGGAAAATTGGGTGGAAAGTTTGGATTGTTCATTAAAATGAATACAAGGCGCCATGTACATAGTTTTTTTGAAAGAAAGAGAAGAAAAGGGAAAAAAGGAATATATACAAAAGTAGCAATCCAAAAAGACCATCCAATACAGATCTATCTGGAGTATATCGCAGCAGTAGCAATACTTAAAACAATACAATACACGCATACACATCCCATTATAGAAAATGCCAAATGTGCTTGAAAAGTATCTTAGCGTTTTTTCGGAGCGCTATTCTTGGGTTTTTGATAAACATGACACTGCAGAAGAAAAAAGATTCCCAAGATTAAAAGAAAGCGCCAAAAAGTGAACTCCCAAAAAGCAAACCATACCTTGTGTGCATGCCGGTACCAAAGTACACTATTCTTCCTCTTGACGTTACTCACCGCCACCCACTGATGACACTGGTGACACAGTCCTTCTACCAGATCCTGATCTACCCATCGAGTTTCCAGGGGCTGAACAAACTCTTTGCCAGAGACCGAAGAAATGCCATGGTAGAATTGTTTGTGATACCTGTCATCAAAAAGATGCATAAACCCAGAAAAAATTAGTTGCTGTAATCCCTATGATCCTGTTTTTTTTTCTTTTGATTTTACCAAAAGGCACTGTTTTTAAGCTGCAACCATTTGCCCGGTTGACATGTATCGCACAAGCCTTCTTTAGCTTGACCATTGTATCGCACCCATTGAGGTGTGTAGTGATCTCCGGGAAACCGCAACTTCTGCTTTCGTGGTCTTGCTTCGGGATCATTGCGAGCCGCTTCAATATCTCGAGGCGACATGTCGGGAAACTCATTTTCGTTCGCTGGAATCTCTTCTTCGTTATTGTCTTCCATGCGAGCACGTTTTCGTTTCGGTTTCAGGGCCGGATGATTCATGTCAGCGACCATACTGGAAGCCATGGCGGACCCAGACGTCGGAATAGGTAGTTTTCCAGGGTAAAAGTAATGCGGATGGACGGGCGGAGGCTGATGGGGTTGCGGAACTGCATAGTGGGGTGGTGGTGGAGGAGGAGACGAGGCGGTAGGAGGATAGTGAGGACGGACGTAATAGCCTTCATCCACAGGATGATCTCGCTTTTGTCCGATAATATCGCGAGGACTGGCAAGAGGATGGATACTGGAAGGTGCTAATGGGTGAAATCGATCGGGGCTCATGTGATGATGCATTGGACGAGGAGGAGGATAACCTCCCGCCGAATACATTGGTTGCGGGTACATATGAGATGGGAAAGGAGGTGGTCGATATCCGCCCACTGACGAAGCCGATGGCGGCGGCGGTAGGGATCGTGGTGAATTCGCGGCAGGGAGCTGTGAATAATCCATGGACGGAGGTTGCAAGACATCTTCATTTGACCAGGTCACCTTGGTAGCGTTACTAGGCATCGATACGGACGTGGTTGATGCATACAGATCCCCCGAAGCGTTGACCAGAGGTTGCGAAGACGACGCAGATGTTACCGGTGCGGTGGATAGTAAATCAGGTCGATTCAAGAACGATTCGGGCATCGATTTCCAATTCATATTCACATCGTACGAGTGCCGTCGTATCGCTTCGACGTCGTTCTCATTCACCCAAGCCGTTTTATCTTGCGTCTGCATAGGAAGTGACATATCATCTTGCCATTGCGTGTCGCCTTTGTCAAGGTAATAAAATAAAAAAAAAATAAACAAAAATTTTTTAGTATTCATGCATGTCATAAAAATTTTAAGCTTTTTTTTGCAAATAAAAAAAAAATGCCATCCAGGCAAGGATCGACATGATAGTAATATGCAAGCGATAAAATTTTTTTTTTTTTTTGTCCTTTGGGTACGATGGATGAAACGTTGAAAGTTGAAGGAAGAAAAAAATATTTACCTGGTTTGGCATCGAGAGTTGGTAATCGGTTAAAGTTGGCGAGCAACATGGCGGCTTCAATGGAGTTGCGTTGTTGTGATAAATGCAGACTCATCTGATCGTCATTGCTTAGATCAAAAGGCAAACCGAGAATAGCCGGACTACTTTTTCGTTTATCGTATTTGCGCAAGAGCAGGACGGGATCCATGGAAGCTTCGGTGGGGATAAAATCTTGCATTTCGTTTTTCATTGCGTTGGCTGCATAATCGACTTGTTCAAGAGGGTCAGCTGCATAGTTGGTTTCCTCTTTTACATCGGTGGTTGACAATGTCAAAGTTTCATCCTTGATGACGGGTGGGACCACTGAGGTCGAAGTGGGTTGGAGCGCAGCATCGACGGGGGGCGGTACATAATCAGGCAGTTTGGATAGAAGATTCGGCATGCTCGACGGGGTCAGTAGGGGTGTATTATTATCGTCAGGCTTTTTGAAATTGGGGGATGGCGATAAATCGAAGCGTTCCACGTTTGCATAAGTGAGTGTTTGGGATGCCTCCGATTGAGGAGTGTAACCTTGAATATCCATTACTAGCGTCAGTCAGTTATTGTACGTCCGAGCTATGCAAAAGACCGACGAAGAAGTAAAAAAAAAAGTGTATTAAGCTGCTTTAAAATTTTAGCTGGTTTTTTTTTTTTCTTTTTTTTTTTTTCGCTTGAAAAGATTGGCCCGCTTGGACCAGTGAATGCATTTGAGAGGCTGATGGGGAAAAACTCTGTGACTGTCTTGCGCATTTGCGAATGCATTTCCTGCAAGCTCATGGGTTCGGTTTCGAAAACCCTGTAGCCACAGCAAGCTTATTGGAAAGGAGATGCAAATATAAAAACCATAAATATCGTACATCTTACAGGCTTACCCAGTCAGCGTTCGTCTTTTCTGTCGCTGGTCTTGTGAGTCTTTAAAATCCCGTCTGTACGGTATTGAAAAGTTATTTCATGGTTTCCATATCCACAGGAACCGTTTTTTCTTTCAAAACAGTACGACAGTCACTCGAAAAAAAAATTGCTTGGGCAACTATGATTTGAAACCAGAAGAGTGAAAAATATCACTTGAAACCAGAACGTTCTGCACCAGTTACAGTGCCTATCAAAGTATGGTACTTTCAATGCAACCGAGAAATCAGGCAAGATTGGAGCAGTAACTATATACTACACAGGAACTCGCAACCGACCTACGGTATTGAAGAGGATCCAGAGATGAAAAAAAAAAAAATACCATTTTGTGGTGCCCAGACAGAATTCAAAAGTCCCTTTAAAAAGAAGTCCATCCAAGTGATGATGTACAATATGAGGACGGAAGAAGCTGATTTTGGGGCGGTAAAAAATATCAGCATGAAAAATCGAATAACAGAACAAAAATCATGCTTCCATTGACGGCTTCTCTCTTGCGGTGTCTTCTTTTCTGCAGAAATGCTCAATTCGTTTCGCGTGGTTGTGAATTACAATGCAGAGTTTCATAAATTCGACATGCATCAGACTTTTTTCAAGTGGTTCAATCCACCTGCGCAATCAAGGAATACAGTGGCTCTTTCTTTTCTTCACCAGTATACAATTACTGTTACAGCTACATTCTCTGCAACAATACGTATGGTAGACTAAAGAAACGTCGTGAGTAGTAGGGTATCTGTATTTTCGACGACAAGGTGGCCTTCATGAGAACTTGGGAATCGTGTAGCCTGCGCTGGTAGGAATACGACAATAACATTGACATTTGTTCAGTGGCTTAAAAAAGTTTAAACGCGTTGCGCGCAAATTCATTCTTTCGATCGCTTTTGCACTGATTATTCACGCCATCAATCAACAACTTTTGGCTAGGCCATGAACACTTCTTTGCCCCCCTCAGTTTCCAGCAACCAGACACGGCGGCATCGGAATAACAAGGTTTAACAGGGCCGACCTGCTGGCCATGTTGCCAGGGTAATCCAATATTTTGATACACGCAAGAGAAAACATGTGAAATCTTTTTTTAAATTTTTTCTTTTATTTTAAACGGATAAAAAACAATGGATGTAAAAACAACCGGATACTGACCTAAAAAAAGCACAAAATGTAAGTACTGTGATCAAAAGTGACCTGACATGTAAGACAATAAAGTGTGCTTTGATATGCTAGCTCATAGATCTTGGTGATAATAAAGGTAGTCATCAAATAGAATCAGGAGCGAATTTTTTAATCCTTGCCAGCATACACAAAACACACCGTTTTGCCGACTCCTTCGAGAGGAATCAAAAGTGTGCAAAAACTCACCTTAATCACCAACGAGGACCAATTTGTTGGATTCACGGCAATGAAATAAATCTATCGCATAACTGAACAAAAGGTTAGTTCAATGAAATTCCCAAACAATCTCAATGGATCAACAGGAAATAAGGGAAAAAAGAAAGATATCAGGAAAATATCTGTTCCATATCGACCACTTCGCTTAATGCACCGGCGAAAGTGCGCGTCAAGTGGACAGTCAAACGCAAATTACAAACATCATATAACAATCTTTCAAGGATAAAGGAATGAATGGACAAATGAAAACTCACCTTTTCAAAAAGTAAAAGAAGAGGGGAAAATGTTTAGCTTCGACTGGACACGGCCCGCTTTATATTTTTTTTGTGGGCAAAAAAAAATTTTTTTTTTGCAAGATGGAGCGGACTGTGAAGGATTTGGGTGGCTGAGTTATCGGTCTAGGAAATTCTGACCGTCACGACGATGTCGTGGAAAAACGACAAAAAAAATAAAATCCAATATGACGTCAGCAGCATACAAAAAAATCGAAAAATTTGTGGCCTTTATATACAAGTCATTTTTTTATTTTCAAGATCTCGCATTTTTATTTCTTTCGTTTCTCCCCGCCTTTAACTTTTTTCCGCCCGCTATTGCACAACCCTTTTTTTTTATATTTTTTTTTGACACCTTTTGTTTGGACTTAGGCAAGGACGTCCCTTTTTTATTCCACATCTTTTTTTTTTTTTTTTTTTTTTTCTACAAGACCGCATATTCTTGTCATCTAAAAGAATAAAAATTCTTTCCAGGTATGTGCAATCTCTTTTTTTTTTTTTTATATATTTGTCGGTTCCTTTTTTTTTTTTTCTTTTGGCTCCCTCTTGGCTTCCATTTTGGGGGAAAGAAAAAAAAAGGTATTTTTTTTTAGGGTTGGATTATCTTGTTTGGGCATCAGCAACAGTGCATTCGATGAAGATATTTCACTGCAGGTTCCTTTTTTCAAAAAAAAATACCCCTGTTTCTTTCAACGACTATGGCCGTGCGACGATCGTTTCTTCATCAGTCACAAACCTTGTCTTTTCTTCGATTGCACTGTTGGACATGATGGCCGGTTTTGGGGATGATTGGGCTTGGCAAATGGGAAGAGGAAAAATGATCTTTCAGAATGAGACGTATGGGTTCACTAAAAAAAACACCTATTTGGTTTCTTATTGTTCATCGTGTAGATCGTCCATCTCTTTTTCCCTTCTCTCACTTCTTTCTAATTCACCATTACGCTAATGGCAACCGGTTGGGCTTCTGATCAACAGCATTCTTCGACAGAACAAATGGACACTTCAGATAATAGGTAGGTTGTGGATTGCCAAATGGCATATACCTCTCTTTTTCTCTTCCCTCCTCTCTTTCTTCTTTGCTTTGGGGTCCCTGGGTGGAGAAAGATGCCATGGGCTTTTGAAGTTTTTTTATGCTCAAACGCGTGGGTTAGACCGCGTTCGGCTCGTTTATGGAATTCTTATACTTCTTTTGCATCCTTTTTGCCTGCAATGATTAAAAACATGTTTAGTCGTGGAAAAATCACTAGCGGCGAAAATGAAATAAACCTGGACGCAAAACGCCCAAAACTGGAACACGAAGAACCTTCAACTCATGATGTACATTCAGAGGAAAATACTACACCAGACGTTACTTCGACTCCTCCTCCACCACCACTTCCTCCCACTACTACTACAACTACTACTACCACCACTAGTATTCCAGAGTCCCATTCATCTCCTCAGACCATGTCGACTACGCTCAAGCAGGAATCCCTGGTCACAGACACACTGAAACCTACACCTGCACAGTCGCCAGAAACTTTGGAAGAAATCACACCCACCTCAGCATCGTCTCCCCCCAATGGCAGCGCCAAATCGATGCTCCAACGGACCAATAAGAATAGAGACCAGGTAACGTGGATGGGCTTTGGATGGGCTTGAATAGGCAAAAAAGCGTATGGGAAAAAGAGATAATTTGTCGCGTCAGCGCATCTTGTTCTTTTTCTTTTTTTTTTTGGTTCTTGGGCAAGGGAGAGGAAAAAAGCCTATGTGAGAAACGCTGACATTCCAAACCCTTTTTTTTTCTTTTGGTTTTTTTTTTCTATCGCTTGTACAGCTTTCAAGGACTGCATCCCCTTCACCTTCCGTGCTGGCGAGTCGCAAAACACATATGACGCGTGATCAAATTAGATACTGTGGAGCTATTATGAGGAACTTGAAGAAACACAGAGATGCTACGCCTTTTCTGCATCGTGTCGATTACGTGAAAATGAACATTCCTGATTATCCAAAGGTCATCAAACATCCCATGGATCTGAGCACGGTCGATCGCAAACTCAACAATTACGAATACGACAAGGTGGAAGATTTCGTCGCCGATATTCGATTGGTTTTCAGCAACTGTTACAAGTACAATGGACCCGAAGCCATGATTTCCATGCTTTGTCAAAATGTAGAATCGGCTTTTGAAAAGAGTTTGCGTCAAATGCCCCCATCAAAAGAGGTACATTTTCAATGGGTTTTTGGAGGGTTACACGGCATGGTGTAGGTGGATCGTTTTTGGGTTGCCGGCGAGCGGGCGAGCTGGGGAGGGGGAAAAGAGTTGGGAAAACAGGTTCAATGAACGATTGATACTAACGAGTGGTGCCAAAAAAAAATTGTTTTTAGCCATCTCCGCCACCCCGAAGCCATTCACCCGATCGAGCTAAACCAACTCGAAAGCGAAGCTCGAAAATGTTATCACCTCCTCCCATTCGTCGCACATCCGGTATTTCCGAAGATGGTCGACCTAAACGCGAAATTCATCCCCCTCCATCCAAGGATTATCCCGAACCGATGACCAAGCGTCGTAATCCGAGAAAAAACGATCAGCAGATGAAGTTCTGCATGCAAACCTTACGTGAATTGAAGAAATCAAAGTATAGAGACATTAATTATCCTTTCCTTGCCCCGGTCGATATCGTGGCTCTCAATATCCCTGATTATCCTTCAATTGTCAAGCATCCCATGGATTTATCCACCATTGAACGAAAATTGAACGAAGGCGATTACACCACTCCCGAGGAGTTCGAAGCCGATATGCGACTCATGTTCAACAACTGTTATCTGTACAATCCTCCCGCCATCCCTGTGCACAAAATGGGTAAAGAATTAGAAAAGGTCTTTGATGACAAGTGGGCACAGAAACCACAACCATCGCCACCGGAAACCGAACAGGATATCGTGGATGAATTGGAAGAACTGGAAGAATCAGACGAAGATGGTAAGTTCTTCTTCTTTGAGGCGTAGTCAAGGGAGTGAAAAGGCCAGTCAAGAAAGATGCAGAGGTACTCATTATACTGTTTTTTTAACAGATCGTGATCATCGTATTGCTGAACTGGAACGTCATATTGCTACTATTTCGCAACAAATTGCATCTATAAAAACTGCCAAGAGAAAGAAGCCGGAACGATCGACTAGCAAAGCGGTAGCAAAACGGCCTTCAGTATCCAAGGAGAAAAAACTCGCAAGACCTGTGGGTGAAAAACGTCGACGTCCTACCAAGCGAAAGGATGATGAATTGCCTGAATTCACATTCGAACAAAAGAAAGATCTCAGCGAACAAATTAATAATCTGGCGGGCGATCGACTCAATACAGTAGTCAGCATTATTCAATCTTCTATGCCCAACCTGGACGGTGTAAGTAGAGCCTTTCTCTTGGGTTTATGGCGATGGTGTGATTGTGTTTTTTTTTGTTTATGCATCGGTTTATTAACCTCCCCCCCCCCCTTTTTTTTGTATGTTTCGGTTTCTACAGCAAGGACAGGAAGAAATTGTATTGGATATTGACGCATTGGATCGAAAGACACTTCATCGACTGCACGAATTTGTGACGGGCGAAAGTCTGGTACCACAGCATCATCATAAAAAGACGGTCAAGAGACCAAGAACCCACTACTCAGAGGCCGATGCGGATCGCAAGATTCGTGAACTCGAAAAGACATTACAAAAGTTCAATTCCGGATCTGAACCGCGAGGTTACTATGGTAAGTGGTGGAACGATTGGCCATGACTTGCACGCGTGTTTTTTTGTCTGCAAATACTGACGCGAGATATTCATTTTCAATAGGTGGTCAAGACTCGTCTAGCGACAGCGACTCTGACAGTTCTTCTGGATCCGATTCAGATGACTCCGGAAGCAGTTCCGATTAGATGTAGATACCAACTTATTCGTTCTTCCCAAACTCTTCCATTTATTTACAGAACACCCGGACCTGATTGTGTGTGTGTGTGTTGCAAAACTCGTTTTTTTTTTCCCAAAGGTATTAAAAAGTTGTTTAGTGGTTCTCTTGCTTTCTGATTTACATAATGCATATACTTGTTTTTTTCTTTTAAAAAAAAGCCTTTCCTTTTCCCAATGTTAATTTTTTTTTTATGTTCATCCTTTTTTCTTTTTGAGGGTTAGTGGGAGATGAAATTTTCTATTGAAGGATATCAAAAATAGGTAATGTATGACATTGGTATGGTTTCTTAAAATAAAGAGTGTATCTTCTAGAAGGTCTCATCATCATATTCTTCTCCTTGTATCACCTCTTCGCCTTCAGGTGGCACTTCGAATCCATCCTATCAACGCCATTCACGTAAGCATCTTTTTTGCATGCTTATTCTGGAGACTGAATGTTGATACTTACCTCTGTGCTGTACAGAATAGTCTGAATATCCTTGAGCACGGCATATTCGGGATGTTCTTGTTCATTCTGAACCTCTTCTTCTTCAGCCGCGTCCAAATGCTCTTGAACAATGATCTCAATATCGCGCAGTTTGCCAAAGTAGAAGTCGCGTTCTTTTTCCAGTCCATCCACATTCACCTTGAGCTCGGCAATCTGTTTATTCAAATCAATGATCATGGCCGCAGAGTGGTTATCGAGTACATTGGCATTGGCGCTGCCGGCTGATACGCGTCCGGAAGTGCTGCGGCTGGTACTGCGACTAGAGCTACGTGCTGAAAATGGGAAAAAATATGGACAAGGGTGAGCGTCTTAATTTTTTTTTTTCAGAAAAAAAAACGCGAGAAATTATTCTTACCAGCCATTCCGCTGGAAGCCGCTACTGCGGGACGACGGGGGGTTGAGGTGCCTGAACGCGTCGTAGTTGCCTTGGAAGCACCACCCTTACGACGTTGCAATGCTTCATAAACGCCTCCTGGGTAGTTTTGATCCCAGAATCGTTTCAACCATTGCATAAACTCGAGATTATCTTGGAACTTGCACTTCATCAATCGATCGACGGGTATAAGCTAGTATTCACCCGAGACAACTGATTCAATGATTTTGTTGATGACAATTAGGTCGTTCTATCGAAAACCATTTTTACCTTGTCCACTCTATAAAAATGTCCAATTGTTTAATACTCGTTGTATTTCTGCGAGATATACAAGAGAAAAGAAGGATTCTTACTCACTTGTGCTTGTCAAAAGAGTGTTGCAGTACTTTGTAGTTGGCAACGTATTCGTATTCATGTTTGGTATCAAACTTGACTTTGCTCATCGACACATCGCCTAAAGATTCAAGTCCATCATCAACAAGAATAGGTCAAGCAAAGGTTTTCCGGCAGCTTTTCATTTCTTACCGAAAATTGAGTCCAGAATTTGACAATATGCGGCACCTGCATTCAAGTGAAACTGGGTGAATAAATATTTTTTCTTCTCTGGTCAAGACCATCCCGACGTGAGTTTCTTTCGTTGGTTTCGTACCTGTGCCGGCCTGTTCGACCCTTGTATAGTTTAGCTGTAACAAGTCGTTCAACCACGCCAAAAGTTCGGTTCTTGATTCACCCATGATTCAATTGCTTTTTTCTTGTACAAAGAAAAGCCCGTCCCTACGACCGTGTCGTTCTTTGTTCCTCAAACTTCCCGTTAGTTGGTTGGCTGGCTGGTTGGATGATGACATCAAAACAGTTAAATCTCCGCGACTCGAGACCCGAAACAGGATACTTATGTTGAACACGGTCCTCACCAGTGACCAATATACCGTTGCATGTGATATCTTTTATTCAATTGAAGCATTGCGGTTCCTGTGCAAGAGAAAGAAAAAAAAAGCTCGGGTCAGAGAAGTATGAAACCTACCACCTGCTTGCCAAGGAAGACAGCTTGGAGTACCAATCCGGCGTTTTTTTTTTATTTATTTATTTTGCTCTGCGCAAAGATAGGTTAAACTTCCCTCATTCTGCAGATAATGGCTATCTTTTTACAAATGGCTCGATTTATTTTTTTGCTGACTAGACTGTCTTTGTAAGACAAACTATTACGCATATGAGGCCTGGACGAGAATGGTTGATGGAACTTTGGTGACCTCTTTTTTTCAACAGCGGTCACACCAAGGGATGGTATCCTGTTGATGATTACGGACTTGAGACCAGATCAGTTAACCTCCTTTTTGCGAAAAAGCTCTTTCGTCATTGAACTTTTTTTCATGTCCTCCGTGCAACCATCCTATAATTTGGGTGTTTTTAAGTAAAAAAGTATCATCGCTGGCCTCAAATAGTACGGTTGGTACATCATGTTTCTGGCTATTATCGTTGACCCTAGCCGAGTTGCGCAATAGCAAAAATGTAGACGGTAACGTTGCACCACCATGACCGTAGTAGGCAGCAAGCCAAGTTTACACCAGATGTATCCAGCATCTTTTGTTCAAAATACCATCGTATACTCTTTGATAGAACACAACCCACGGAAAGCTGGTTTGTCGCAGGCAGAATGTTAAAATAATTTCTGTTTTCTGTAAAAAACTGCCAGAAGCATTGACTTTTTTCATTATATTTGATGGTGTTCAAAAAGTGCAGCATGTAATGGTTTCTGCGCTCACGTATCAATAAAAGCGAACCCATGGAAAAGACTAAGCTCTGACATGGTGTCAAACTACGGATTCGGCGCTAAGGTAGAAACATAGCTTGTCGAACGGAAGGAGAGTTTCAAGTAGTAAACAAGTGACCAAGTCGTGCCCATGTTGAACTCACTCAATGCTGACAAGCGTGTTTCAGTAGGCTTCACGCGGTCCATTGCCACCATGACAATTTTGCCATAAAGACGTGGTTGTTTCCCCCCCCCCGACGAACAATGAGACAGTTGCTTTACAATCAGCCACATATTTACACAATTACTTGAAATTCTGTTATTTATTTGAGCAAAGGATTTAAGTAAAATGATGAGAAAATGCGCTTTCCGTGTCGTTTCGAACAAGTCAATAGGTTCCATAACTTGAGGCATGCAGTGAATGGGCCAACCGCATGAGACGATACAGTATTAGACGGTGACAGCCTGGTGTAAAACGCTTATTTGGATCTGGCTCTCATCTTTCTTCTCTTGGCCTTAAGACGTCTCTGTCTCTTCTTCTTCCATTTATCTCTCACTATGATTGAAAAAAAAAAAATACATGAGCAAACGGTGATTCAAGACTCAAGACAATCCATCACAAGAACCGCATTCATCCGCCCATACAATGGATGTGTACACGTTCACAGAGTCGTTTGAACGATGGATGGGTCAGAGGACGGATGGGTCAAAGGATGGATGGATGGAATGAATGGATGGGTAGGTGTGAACACTTACTCTTGAGTTTAGATGTATGAGGTAGGAGGAATGATGGGTTCCGCGCTGAAATCGCCACTTTATACCCTCACTTGACAGTCAAATTTTTTCCGGCTCAGAAAAATCCCACCTTGCTTGTTTCGGAACCGACGTGGTTTTTTTTTTTTTTTTTTTGGTCTGAATGCCAAAAAAAAAAAGTTTGATGTCAATACAGCGGCCGACCCCCTCTGAATCATAAAAAGGAGATACCGTGATATTTCCATGATAGAGATATATCCTAAATGCAATTTGATCGGATGCTCCAAAGTCAACATATCACCATAAACCAAAAGTAATAATCTATGGAAAAACTGGCTACAATAAAAATGTTCACATGATTTGATCTGTAACAAGTCCACACTCTGTCGCTCTCTTAAGCTCAGTCGGCTTGCGAAAGCTAGTTTTATTTATTTATTGGCAAACAGGTCAACCACTGACGCCGGTGCTCGGCGGCCCAGCCTAATGTCAGAAGGGGGCCTTGTTCGGGTCGGACTTCTCTCAATTGCCGTGCTTCAGGCCGTTTTGAGCGCGTTCTGTGCTCACGTATTCAACAAGCTTCATTTCAAAAAGCGTGTTTTTATTGTGGTATGCTAAAAAAGAAGCGATCTGCAACCTTGCGGCAAGTAAGCCATTGATTACTGTCAAGTGAGTTGCCTTCATTTCACGAATGCAGTGATCGTCATGACAGTTGGCGCAATATAAAAAAATTTTCAGCCTAGCAACCTTTCTCCGGTTATCTAGTCCGCATGGACAATACCTATCTCCATATCTGCTAGTCCATTCTCCCTACACTTGGTAGATTATGCATAGAGACCTTGTTCTACACTTATTTGCAAAGGTGGCATGTTTGTTTGACATTTAGGCGCAAATTCCAAGCTTACTTGCTGTGGAAAGCGGTATGGTTCTTGCTACTAGGATCGATCATCAAGATCCTCACACGTAGGCACGCATGCCAACTGAATGATGACTTTTATTGCTTTTGCTTTCTTTACATTACTACAGTAAACAATTATGTGTTGTGAATGAATTATAATGACATGTTTACTGATATGTGTGGCGGCATGATGGAGTCGAGCGAGTTACAAAGGGCTTCTTATTTTTTCAGCGTGATATGATGAATTGTCGAGGTTCCAAGTCAACTTTGTGTCTAATATCTTTGAGTTGGGTTTTCAGGGATTCGACTGTAGCCGCGTGCCGTTGAAGATGCGCTATGACTTTTTCCATGGTATCTTTTCGTTTTTGAAGCATCGACGTTAATTCGACGACCGGTATTGTCTTTTCATAAATCATATTGTTGCATACAGCGATCTGACATTTGAACGCCTTGATTTTCTTGTGATCTTGCTTGCTTTGGAGTTGGAGCCCCTCGAGCTGTTCGTCTTTGGCTTGGATCCTATCGACCAGCTCCGCAGCGTATTGTTCAAGATGCGCCATCTGTTTCTTCATCGTCACATGTTGATCTCGAAGCTGCACCGTCAATTCGGCAATCATGGCTTCCTTTTCACCAATAGTATCATTGCATTTACGGAGTCCATGTTGGAGGTCAGTGAGGCGCTGAGTGTCATGTTTCTTTCGTTTCATGAGGCCGTCTAGTTGCTCGTCTTTAGCGCGAACGATATTGATATGCTCCGAGACTCGTCGTTGGAGGTGTGATATTTGCTTCTGCATGACAGCGACTTTTTCCTGATTTTCTTTGAAAAGGTCATCGTATTGGCGTAGTTCACGTTGGAGGTATGCCATTTGCTGATCGTCTTCTTTCTTTTGCGCCTTCAAATGGTTCAGCTGCTCATCTTTTTCTTGAACCCTGTCGGTTAGGTCCGCGAATTTTTCTTCGAGGTGTGAGTGCCGTTCTTGCATTTCTCTTTCTTGCTGTTGATAGTACTCGGCTAGTTGAAGTGCGCGGCTTTCTCTGGCTCGCATGTCGTCCACTGATTTTCCCAGGCCGGCTGCATGGCTGCATTGCGCTTGTAGTGAGGCCAGCTCGGTTCGCATGGCGGCGATTTTAGCGTCGGCTCTTTCTTTGGTAACCTGCATTGCCTCTTCGGTGTTGCTGATGAACCGGTTGAGCTGATCGGTATCTCGTTGCCAGGCGTTGTAGATCTGCTTTATCTTCTCCTCAGATCGGTCTTTGATATATCGCACTTCGCTTTCTGCCTTCCGCAGTCGGTCCTTGAGCTGTGCGGTTTCTTTCTTGCAAGCGGTCTGGGCTTTTTCGACCATGTCACACGCCTGTTGCTTGGTAATGTGCGCTTCATAATCGGTCTTTCGCATCTTCTCCTTGAGTTCCTCCATTTCTTGCTTCCAAGCATCATAGAATGCCCGAGTCATGTGCACACCCTCCTTTCCTTGCTTGCACTAAAAACGATTTAAAAAATTATCAATAAAACATCTTAGCTACTAATCAGTTGCGTACCTTTAATTTTTCTTTCAACTGGGCTATGGTAGCGTGCAAGTCGCCAATGTAGTTATCGCGGTTGATGGGTGTATTGCGCCGCGGAAAATTGAGGATTTCTTTGGCCAAAGTGGCACATTTCAAGGCGAGTCGAGTGTCATGGGAATGCGTTTCGGCCGTCGACGCCGTAACCACAATGCAGGTCTGGGTCTGACCACCCAACGCATCTTTGAGCAACCAGGTAAGGTTATCATGTCTACAAACAATGAAAAATAAAGATGATGTCAGTATTGGAGAGTGGTCAATGCATGAAAGGGAAAACTTTCTCATCAAGTACCTGTACAAATCGGTGGAACCATGGTGAGCGAGGTCACGGATGACATGTAGGAGCGTGAATAAGCCTTTGTTGGCAGAGACTGTTTCAGGAGCAGGCACATTTTCGCCGTAATCTTTGTGAAAGTGCTCAAAGCCGGCTAGATCAACAAATGTCAATTTTCCGGCACGCACGGTCGCCTTGTCACTGGCCAAGAAATCTTGAACAAAGACTTTGACAGTCAACAAACAATGACCGCGGCTAAGAAAAAAAAACAGTTAATGGAACTTGTGCAGGGAAAAAGAGTTTTTGTTTGGGATGGCTTACTTTGAGTTTTCATGCCATTGAGTGGCACCGATGGTTCGACAGGCCAGGCCTTGACGAAGGATTTTCATGGCTTCAACGGCGGAGGGAGCGAAAGATTCGTGGCATCCTTCGATGGTCACATCCGAGGTGGATTCATCTTGACAAATCTTCAGAGTTGATTCGTCGTCGTGAACATTGAGCAAGTCGTAAATACGACCGTTGCAAAGTTCCACGAGGGAAAGCGAGACAGAAAAGTCGTAATTGTGAATATTCAAATATTCAAACAGTCGGTGGACCGTGCGAGGAATCAGGCCGGCTTCGGCGGGGCAGTCCTGGGAAAAATCTTGCATGTTTCCTTGCAGGGTGTAACTGTTATTCCAAAACCAGACGAAGTCAATGAATTAATGCAACATTATTTTATCTGATGTCATCTAATTAAACAAGTCAATTTATCACTCACGTTTTTCCGGTGCCAGTTTGGCCGCACGCGATAACGGCACAGTTGTAGCTAAAATGGAGAAACGGATTAATTTTCAGGTGAACTTTTTTAATTTGGTTCTGCTTCATTACCCCTTGGCAACCCGTTCCACCATGGGTTGGGCCACTTGGCGGAAAATGGACTCCTGCGAGTAGGTTTGATCGAAAACACGGTCAAACACATAACCTCGCTGATGACGGCCAAACAGCACTTCCTCTTCAGGGAAGTGCGGGTGGGGAACCAACGCACGGGGGCCTTGAGGTACGCCATTGGCGTCCTCGAAATCACTAAATTCACAGAAAAAAAATCGTCAGTCAGTCAAAGGGCATGCAAGGCAATTTTGGAAGCGTGATTTTTACCGGTGACGAAGAACAACTTGAATGTTCTTGGGTTGTTCCTCAACGACAGGAGCAGGAGGGGCTCCAGTGTCGGCATCACTGTCACTGGCAAAGTCATTGGCGGGTTCAGTGTCAGTTTCGGTTTCAGTGTCGGTATCATGGTGCTCAGGGAAGCCACTGGTATTTTAAAAGCCAAGAAAATCAGATCAATCAGGAACTGGGGAGTCATTTCCATTAATACAATGAACTTACCGATACCAGAGAGCCATTTTAAAGTTATCGGCCTGATCGAGGACTTGAAACGGAACAGGCACGGAGGAAAAGATAAAGGAGAGCAGGGAGACGGTCTGAAAAAGGTTGAAAAAAAGGGCGGTAAAAATGTCGCTGGGAGAGCTTGAAGAGTGCTTAAAGAACAACATAATAATGAGCAAAGAGAAGAATACGAAAAGTATAAAGAAGTAGGCCGTTGACATCGCGTTGTGCTTATTATATGTCAATAAAGACCGTGACGGCGAGAGAAAAAAAGTTTTTTTCTCATTTCGTCTGCTGATCCCTTTTGCGTTTCCATTACATCAAGAAAAGATTGTTATGGATACCGGACCACACAAAATGACAGCTGGCATGGATGGCGGCGTTGGAATAGAATTTGATTTTTGCGTATGATCGCGAGGGAACAAATACATGTCAAGTTCTAGAATCGGGCTTGTGTTGTTATCTTCACATGGGCGTCTTCGTTATTTCCAATTGACAATCAAAATTTTGCTTTCAAAAAATTGTTATCTGATGTGGTCAAACATCATTTGGAAGAAAATACTACAAGCTACGCCGCATGGATACTCTGTGCTAAAATAAAAAGATAAAGTGGTGGATGGAAGAGAGATCAAAAATCACCGCCTACAAGCAACGTATGTTCGCATTATTGGCAGCTCGTCATATTTATGGTGCTCAAAACCAGCTCATCTCATAGCCTCTTTATCTATAGCTAGGATTGTCAACAGCCACACAGCACTTCTAATAGCCTTTATTGAGATGTGGACAACTTTACTTTTTCAATTTTGCATGCGCCTTTTCTGTCAATCTCCAAAAGGGGCCCAAATTTGGCTAGCGTGTTTTACAATCTAGATTCAGCCATCCGGGTGCCCAAAAGCTGCATCTTGCAAAAAACCTGATTATTTCTAATGGGCTGCCATCTCAATGAAAAAAGATGTGGGAAGGCAAGGGAATCAACGGTGCAAAGAAATGAACGGATCAGGTTTGATAAAGTCATGGAAATGAATCGGTCCAGTGCATGTGTAAAATAAAAGTTTGACCGATCAATTATGCCAGAAAAAATGTAGTCATGGGGACCACTGTCACACTGCTGATGCCATCCTATATGCCAGAAAATCCGATCCCATCCATTTGGCGAAGAGAAAATAGTTATAGTAATTGGAGAAAAAGCTTTATCGCGCCCATTCACGAGAAAGTGAACTGCAAAACCGACCACATAAAAAAAAAAAAGAACATACTGTAAAGCGGACAATCATTCAGACGTCATTCATGCAACGTGACTGAATAATGTGCGCAAAGTGGTGCCACTCAGGGACCCCTCTTCCCCCCACCCCCCCCCCCTTTATTTTTTTTTCTTTTCTACGAACGATCGAAAAGCTTATTTTATGCATGGACTTGGCCAATTCATTTCCATGGATTCACCAAAACTTGATCCTTTACTTTCTTTGCACTATCAATTCCCTCGACATCGATTATTTTTGGTTTCGAACTTTCCGCGTCTTTTTTTTCAACGAGATTTGAGCTAGTTAGAAAAGATTCTATCTGAGGATGTGCGCTTTTTTGGTTACACACAGGGAGCCAGGTTTCAGATAAAATAAATGAAAAAAAGGACGTAACCAAATCGGGACCTCGCCGTCGATTGACAGAAAAAAGCGCATGCGAAATATTAAAAATTAAGCCATTTTGATAAGTGAAAAGCTTATCGGAAAATGCACATTGAAGCTGAATAGAGCCCTTGAAGGATGGAGCGCTTATAACGGACTACATCGAAGCTTACTGCTTGGGCGACAAATTGTGGACAGATAAGAAGATGCTGCGGTAAAGAATGATGATTTCATAGCGACCCATTCCACGGCAGGAAAGGGTGTGATTGCATACTGAGAACGATGGTTTTGTTCTAATAGAAATGAACGGCAGACGGAAAAGTTTTCTTTAATGAACGAAAAAGGATGAAGGATCCTTTCATTCACTTTTCTTCACCTTCTATTATCTTAATTTTCATTTTCTTCATTCTCATTTTCTTCAGTTTTTTTCTTTTTCTATACGAAATATATATATTGAATTTCATTGCCATCGTTGCAATCTTGTCACCTTTAGCCGCCGACAGTGGCAACGCCACCATCTAAGGACTCAGCATGGCATTGTAATTGTAGATAGCCCTAGCGGCCGAAGAAAAAAGAAGCATAGCAACGATACGTTTGTGCAGACGAAGGACAATGGGGCAGAAACACGTTACGGTTGCCCAGGCTGCCACGACTATTTTATCACTATTGCAGAGTTGGAAGAGCACGTGAACGTTCATATTGAACAAAGTGGGTGAGTGAAAAAAAATAGAAATAACAAAAGAAAGATAAGGGTTTTTGACCTTGACTTATTCTTGTATTTCAAAGCGCTTCATCCAATGTCGTGGTCCCCATTGACAACACAAACAGTTCTAGAATCTCGTCAGTACCAATATCTCCAGCACCTCTTTCAACTCATCAAAAATCAATCGCCATTCATTTGACATACGTGCCCCAAACGACAATGATCGTTTCTTGGTTGACTGCCACGATATTTCCCAAAGATTTTATGATTTTCAGACACATGTCATTGACCGTATCACATCTGAAAAGCTGGCAATGGAATCTCACGTCCATCATTTGTTGTAAGTGGAATCCTTTTACGTTGACCTGATGGACAGTATTTACGATGATATTCCGTATTCGGTAGATCGCTATCCTCCATTTTGTTATTGAAGAAGAATAGAAGCCACCCAGATATGAACGAGACCTTACCAAGTGATGTGTTGAACAAAGCTATACAAGAACGACACCAGAAGTGGCACATTGATCAAAAATTTCCAAATGGTCTCATGGTTGACCTTATGGACGTGGCGTAGGTAATTTGCACGGGTCAGTGGAATACTGTACATATCTTTTTCATACATTAACTTTTTATCTCTTTTGTTAGGCTTCATTATAACTTTTTACTTGCTTGAATTGCTTGCAGATGGCCTATATCTGATGACCGAGATCTGTCATTTCCCGTCTCCATCAGCGATTGAAGATGTGCCAGCATTTCTGACCAACGCATCAAGCTGAAGAATATGTGTTATGTGCGTTTGAATCACGCTGCGTCCCTGCGTCAGACCCATTAAGCCTAGATTCTCGGAAACGGAAAACAGCCTCCATGTCCAGAGGGGATATGATCCTGGAGAGTTCAACAAGCCGTAAAAGACGGAACATTGTGAGTCATATTCCGAATTGATGCGCCTGAAAGATTTTATGACAGCAACCCTCGAACCACCACCGATATGTTGATGGCCCCCGATACCAGCATGCCAAGAGAAGCGACAGCGGAAAGCAGCATGTACTCATCCACAGCAGCATGCGCAGCAGCGGTGGCGGCGACCGCCCTTGTTTACAACAATGTCACTCCCACCTCGTTCAATCCCACAGAGAATGTCAAAGACGAAAATCATCAAGAATCACAATGAATTCCATTGTAAAAGTCCACATCGTTCTATTTGTCCCAATCATGATTCATTTCTTCTTCTTCTTACGCATCTTTTCTTTCAAGTCTCTCATTTGTTTTGGCCCTTTTTCAGCCCAATGGACTTGGTTCCACTCTTTCTTTGCACCCTTTAGTTGCGTCTCGTCTATTCAGTCCCTTGCCGTCACTTCGTTTCTTATCTCCCCGTTTGTTTAAATAATTGAGTCATCAAATAATAAATACAGATCTCTCGGCTGCGCTGCACCCTGGATGCTTTTATTCAGAACTGCTGATTTTACGAGAAACGCAGAGTGTACGTAATTGCAATATGTTGTGATTGTGCATAGAATATAGGTAAAAACAGAGAAAACCTGAAGTCTTTTCGAATCTCGATTTATTTGAGACACAAGACAAGGGAAATTAAAAGTGATGCGGAATCAATTCTTCATTCTATGTCCGCTTATATAGCTTATGACGGATCGTCATTTGATGAATTGATCGTATCATAAGAAAACGTTTATCTTGTGAATATTTCCATTGAATGTCCTATGGACGAATGACTGAAGGAGATGGTAATCTTTGAGACTTCCGAAGATGAAGACGATGAATTCGCGAATGCAAATCAAGTGATTATTTCATGCCAAGGATCGGTTCCTGAATAAAGGTGATCATGACGCTCATCCTCATGTATTCGGATTTGAGTAATTAAACTCAGTGTAACTGAGCTGCGATCATTCTGAGTACGTAGATCAGGTTTGAGATCTGTATTCGTTTATCTGTGAACATGAACGTGACGTGATGAAAGAGAAACGCATGCATAGTAATGTCTTATTTTTTTTTTTTATCATACCGAACTACGACAGTGATCCATTTTTCTACCTAGCATGGTGTAAAGTTGCTGTAGCAATCAACGGACAGTAAAATAATAGGAAGAAGTTAAAGGCGAAGTCGAAGAAGTTGAAGGCGAAGTTAAAGAAAGCGGAAAGTTGAGAAAGCGAGAAGACGGAAGGTGAAGAAAGTGAAGATTTTGAAAGTCACGTTTTTGGGACTGCCCATTCTTTTTTTTCCAATTCGATTCAAGCCTCTGCGCTGCATTCTGCATCCGTTATCCATTCACTGATCATGTCCAAGCGCCAGGCCGATCAAGACGATTTGCGTGATCAATCAAAGTCCACTGCTTTGAACGACGGTCACAACCGTCAGTATGCTGGTGAAGTCAGCCAAATGGGGGAATTCGAAGATGCTTGGGAAGACGAATTCGAGGAAGAAGAACAAGTCGAAGAAGATGAAGAACAAGCTATGGACGAAAGTGGCGAAGACGCCGAAATGAAAGACGGTAGGCACTGATTGACTTCAGTCGACATTTAAAAAGAATGGCTCGATTAATCGCTTTTTTTTTTTCAATAACCGTAGGCATGGATGTCGATGAGAAGGAAGAGGAACTGAAGTTGTATCTTCCCGGCCAACCTTTGGAAGAAGGCGAAGTGCTTGAAGCTGATCAGTCGGTCTACGTTATGCTTCATTCTTTGGATGTGCGTCTTCCTTTCCTCAGTTTCGATATCTTGGAGGATAAATTGGGCGACGAACGTAAAAATGTAAGTTGGGTTTGCATGACTGTGTGGGGGATTAGAAAGAAAATTGACATAAAAGTAAATTCTTTCCAGTTCCCTGCCACTTCATACATCGCCGCAGGTACTTCGATGCCCGGTGTTCGCGATAACGAGGTCTTGGTGATGAAGATGTCCAACCTTCACAAAACCCAACAAGATGGTACGTTGTGTAGTCTGCTTTATCTCTCAATGGATGGCCATGGTGACTAAAAAAAATTCTTTCCGGCGAAACAGATTCCGATGATGAGGATGATCCTGATGCTTTGGATGAGGATCCCGTGCTGGAATACAAATCGATTCCTCACAATGGTTGTGTGAACCGATTACGAGTGATGCCTCAGCAAAATGAAAAGCAAATTGCTGCCACATGGTCAGAAACCGGTAAAGTACATGTGTGGGACCTGTCACCTTATGTGACCAGTCTTGATACACCGGGCTACATGCTTCCCAAGTCGCAAAAACCCTACACTACCATTCACAACCACGGCCGAAACGAAGGTTATGCGCTAGATTGGTCGATTATGGATACCGGACGGTAAGTAGAATCGGGGTGATTGACAGGTGGCGGTAAAAATCAAAGATCTAATGAATTATTTTTAAAAAGTCTTTTGTCTGGCGATAACGCGGGTCACATTTATCACACGACATTAACGCCTACAGGAAGCAACACGGACAGTGTCGCTTTCCGGGATCACAAGTCATCTGTGGAAGATTTGCAATGGTCACCTACCGAAAGAAACGTATTTGCTTCCTGTTCGTCCGATCAAACCGTCAAAATTTGGGATACACGCAACAAAAAGAAATCCGCCATCAGCGTGCACGCCAGTCGCTCCGATGTGAATGTCATTACCTGGAATAAGAAAGCTAGCTATTTATTAGCAAGTGGTCATGACGACGGTATTTTCAGTGTCTGGGATCTTCGTACGTTCCAAAGGTAAAAGAAAAAGATGTGGAAAAGTGTACATGGGGTGATGCTGATCTTTGGGTGTATTTTGTATAGTGGTCCTAGTGCTTCGCCGACACCTGTTGCGACATTTAAGTGGCATAATGGTCCAATTACATCCATTGAATGGCATCCTACGGAAGAATCCGTTCTGGCGGTATCGGGAGCCGATAATCAGATCACTTTGTGGGATTTATCTGTGGAACCCGATGCAGAAGAAGAAGGCAGAATCACCAGCGGGGGTATTGAAGTGCCTCCTCAGTTACTATTTGTGCATCAAGGTCAAGAAGATCCTAAAGAATGTCACTGGCACAAGCAAATTCCAGGCTGCGTTATCAGCACGGCAAGTAATGGTTTGAACATCTGGAAAACCATCAGTATATAGAGTTATTCCCATCCCGTATTTAGATCAATCAGGATGATATTTTGTTTGTTTGTTTTCTAATGTTTCCAAAGAAAAAATAAATCAAAAAAGAACAAAGGAGAAGGGAAAGGCTAACGACCGACCGAGCTGTGTTTGATTGCAATCGCTGCACATAAATATATCGGTTGATCGACTTGTCAGTCGGCCCGGGACCGTTCGGTGACGTGATTTTGGACCACAGTAAAGCTTTGGCTGGTCCCTGAATTTTTTGATCATTTACACCTTTTTCAACCTTGTGTTTAAACTGACCATGTCTTTGAACCTTTTGCGTGCTTCGTCGCACTTGGCTCGTTCTGGTGTGAGTTTATCGGCTCGCCAGTTACGCCGTCCTGCCATGCGTACTTATGCTACTCAGCCGTCGAAAGGCGGTAGCAATTCTCCCTGGTTTCTCGGCTCATTGCTGGTGTTTGGACCTCTCTTGTTCCATTTGACTTCCCCTCCCGAGACACCAAAACCCAAACCTGCCGTCATTCAGACAGAATCCGTGTCTGCACCTGCGGCAGCCCCTGTGACGGCACCAGTGCCAACAGCGGAACCTACACCTGTCGTCACTGAAGCGCCGAAACCCATTGCCAAACCTTACGTTCTCGTCGGTGGCGGCACGGCTTCCTTTGCCGCAGCTCAAGCTATCAAGGAGAAGGATCCCAACGCCAATGTATGAGTCAACGGCATACTGAGGGTCGACACAAAAAAAAAAGCCATGCTAACGAGAATTCCTTAGGTCATTATCATTAGCGAGGAAGGCGTACCTCCGTACATGAGGTAACTTATTTTTTGACAGCAACGACGTTCAAATAGAGCTGCATGTTAAGTCAATCAATAATATAGACCTCCGCTTTCCAAGGAACTCTGGTTCTCTGAAGATCCCAACGTCGCCAAAACGCTTGTCTTCAAGGATGTAAGTGAAACCGAGTAAAATCCGACATTTGTATATCACTTATTCATTTTTTTTCTTCAAGTGGCAAGGAACCGAACGCAAGCAAGTATTTGTAACAATAGCGTGTCTCTCGTGTCAACTGTATTAACCTACCCTTGCTCAATATGCAAAACAGTGCCATCTATCAGGATATCTCAGAATATGAGGTTATTCAGGATGCTTCTGGTTCTGATATCCAGACCAACAAGGTCAAGTTGCTCCTGAACAAGTCTGTGAGAAAGCTGAATGTCGAAGAGCATACGGTTACCTTGAACGACGGTAGCAAGATTTATTATAACAAGGTGAGCTATATAGCTGTGTCCATGATGTGACGAATGGGTCTACTGATGCGCTGTTTCCCTGATCGGCTAGGTCTTACTGGCTACTGGCGGTGCTCCCAAGCGTCTTCCTAACCAAGGCGACCATCCTAATGTGACCACCTTCCGTACAGCCAATGATTTCAAGCAATTGGACAGTATCGTGAAGAAGGGTGCCCATGTGGCCGTTGTGGGTGGCGGTTTCTTGGGCTCGGAACTTGCTGTGGCTTTAGCTCATCGCGGTAGGTGATCAACAAGAATTCACTTTTGCCGATTGACTTGGTGACTAAAAACTTTTGATTGTCAATGGTTTAGCTGAACGTGATCAAGTCAAGGTGACTCAAATCTTTCCCGAAGGTAAAATTATGAAATGCTTCTGATGATTTAAAAGGAGTACTCACAGCTCGTATCAGAGGGCAACATGGCCAACGTATTCCCCGGCTATTTGACCAAGTGGACGACCAGCCGTGTGCGCAAATGTAAGACTGATACGAAAACAAAAAACAACAAAAAGCCAAGCTGGCTACAGCTATGGATAATTTGGTGACTGACAATGGTTCAATTGGGATTGATAGTGGGTGTTGACGTAAAGACCGGCAATGCCATCAAGTCGTTCAAGTCTGGTGACGATGGCAAAGTGATTTTGGAACTCGCTAACGGTGACTCTGTTACGGCGGATCACGTTGTAGTGGCGGTTGGTATTGAACCTCGTGTGGATGTGGCCAGAGAGGCCGGTTTGGAAATTGATGAGAAGAGAGCCGGTGTTGTGGTCAATGCCGAGTTGGAAGCACGAAAGGATGTTTTCGCTGCAGGTGATATGGTTTCTTTCCATGATATCCAACTTGGTCGTCGTCGCATTGAACATCATGACCAGTAAGTTGAGCGGAAAAAGAGGGCGAAACTAATGGACAAAAACTGATGGAGTATCCATGTCATGGTTTTCTCTAGTGCTGTGCTCAGTGGTCGACATGCCGGTGAAAATATGGTGGGCGGTTCCAAGGCTTACCGACATCAATCGATGTTCTGGTCGGATCTTGGTCCCGAAATCGGCTATGAAGCGGTGGGCTTGATTGATTCCCAATTATCGACAGTCAGTGTGTGGGCCAAGGCGACTGAAAAGGATACACCGGCAGCGGCGGCAGGCTCCGAGGCTGAAAGCCCGCGTGCGGCTATGGAGTCTGAGAAGCCAGCTTCCACCGAATCTTCCGTGACCAAGGCTGTGCAAGCCAAGAATCCTCTCCAGGACGAAAAGGTGGGGCTTTTTTTCTGTGCGAATGCTATAATATGATATGACAGAGTGGCTAATTGGATTGGTGGATCAGTTTGGTAAAGGACTTGTGTTCTATGTTCGTGATCGCAAGGTCGTCGGTTTGGTTCTTTTCAACGTGTTTGGAAAGGTCCAGGAGGCAAGAGACATCATCAATGCTGGCTACACCTCGGACAAGATTGATGGCTTATTGAAAAAGTAAGTAGCACGGATGAAACTCTGTGGATTCACCATCCTGACCCTGACTTGTTTTTACACTAGATTCGACCTTCACAAGGACGAGCATTAAAAGAAATCCCATAGAGTAATACAACAACATTGGAAAGACAGAGAAATAAAACAAACAGAAAATCTTGCTGCTGTTGATGGAGATGTGTTTGCATATGATGGAGACCGTTATGGATGAGGCATATGAGGTGATATCACTGTCGCAAGGGACAGATGGTTCATGATATTGAAAGTGGATCGCACAGTCTGGTTGACGATGATATCAGGTAAAGAAAACGTGATGAAAATTTCAATGGTCAATAATCAGTAATAATTTTTTATAATAAGAACAATATACAAACGAGTCTTCATAAAAAAATGTACAAACAAAAGAATAAGAACAATTATAAAATCCTACAGTAATGTGGTTGTTTTTGGGGGTTTTTTCATCTTGCCTTTCCTTGTCTTCGTTTTTGGAATTACGTTTACTTTTGATACAATGTATATGGAGAAAACAAAAAAGAAAAAAGGTGTTGGGAACGATGGTCTATAAGTTGAAGTATGATAAAGATTATTGGAGCGAACAATGGCAAGGCAAGCGTCGTCTTTTGGCGTTTTTTGGATGCGACGAAGGATCATGATCACTTGTACTGTATGTGGTGAGTTCGGTTTTAGAGTTGATTGGTTTTTGCTGGCTTCCACTCATGTCTGGGCTAACGGCATTGGGGGAATCGCGTATAGGACTGCTGCGACGGGGAAAAGGCTTGGGTTCCTTGGACATAGAATGATCACCTATCCTAAAACGTCAATTTCTTGTCAAATGACATGGTGCTTGGTGAAGTATTGGCGAAGTAGCAAGAGAACAAGCTTTACCTTGAGAGGAGGTTTTACTGGTCGGTGATTCGCCATGACTACATTCAGATTGTATGTCGTTCCCTACCCCCGAGTCATGATGATGTTGCTTGATATCTTCCCAGTAATCTATATTTTCATTGATATATTCGAGGCAAAAACCCATTTCTATTATCCCATGCGATATTAGCAAAGATAGCAACACTATTTGTCTCTTACTCACTCACTCACCTGGACATAAATCTCGTATCACTTTGAAAAGCTTCAAAGCGACATTTCGCATAAAGGATAACTGGAAGTCTTCCAAACTGACTTTTCCTCGTTCGTTCATGGGCATGACTGGCAGTCCTAATTCTTTCTCCAGATCGCCTTGTTCAAAAAATTCACTAGCCAGTACTTGCGCCCATCGTTTGGCGGACGGAAACGGACGCGCCTATTGATGCGGAAAGATATTGACCATCAGCTTCCGTGATTGCGGTGAAAGAGAGTGACTTATTCCAACTTACGCAATTACTAATGTCTGCACATTTGATGAGAGCACCACAAAGTAGAATTTTTTCTTGTTCGCATGCGCTTGGGTCGGCATCGTTGATACCGTGGTCGGAATTACGTTTGGCTTGATCTTCTATTTTTCGCACGTAATCATCGTGCATGCTCATATCGGTGGCTAAAATACTATTTACAACAATTTTTCGAAAGGCTAGTTCCAAGGGGGAAACGGTAAGATGATCCGACTGTGGGCAATTCATGTACAATGATGCAATTTGACTTACATGCATATTCATTGTTGGCTCGAATATCCGTCAGCTGCTTGAAGCATTGATTCTGTAATAGGTGGAAAAACGTCATGGAGTGGAAACTTTCTAATACGGATCGGTCATTGTAGAGAATGGCTAATTGGGTTGAGGTGTTGACCTATACAACAATGGCGTTAATTGTCTAGCATTATCCACTCGCCCGAAATCTCCCTTTATGTGTGTGCGCGTGCGTGAGGGAGAGAGAGAGAGAGAGAGAAAGCATACCATGAACATATTGTTGACGCCTGGATGGCCTACATCATGTCCAATACTAGCCATAACGAGGGCGAGAATATCCAGGGGTTTCATGAGGCGTTTGATACTCTTGCTATTGCTGCTTGCAGATTTGCGCCATTTGTTGAACCCGACGCTGCCTCGAACGGTGGAGAAGGCGGCGTTGGAGTTGGGGTCCATGGGTTCCAGCAATCCAATTTTGCACATAAAATAGTAGATGGCTTGCAGCACATCCACGGCATGACGAAAATTATGATACGGATTCTCGGTATGGTAATATCCGGCGATGTCAAACACAAAATCGTACAGTTGCTCTGTTTCCCATTCCAGAATGGAAAATAAACGGTTACTACCATGCAAAAACAAAACAATTGTGAATGAACTTACCTGATGGGACTCTCAGGTGATGCAGTTCTGGAAAATCGAGTACTTGATCAAAAATCATATAAACGCACTGAATCAGATCCGCCTCTTCCAAATTGAGGGCCAAAAAATCCCAGCTGCAAATTTGTGCTTTGAGATAGAGTTTTCTATCACTATGCATAGTAACCCCAGAAGTAGATAAGTCCTCCATCCTGATCCCGTGATGCCGAGTTAAATTAATTCAATTTACCTCGTCATGGAAAAGACAGAAGAACGTCGTCCACTGCACTCCGGCATATAGTAAGTCACAAGGTTTTGTGCCACCCTACCAAATTTAATTTTTCGCATTAATGATCTCTTGATGCTTTCAAAGAACAGTGACAATAGACAGGGATTTTTTTCCCTTCAACACACGTACCAATTATCGGTGACAAACACTTCTTTTATGCGCTTGCTAAAGTGGGCCCACATTTTACCTCCTGATTCCTTTATAGCGTTACTGGCCTTTTTGATCGGACTGTCGGCATCACGATCTGACTGATCCTTCCGTAGATTATAACGATGCACGTTCTAGAACCCTAGATTAGCCGTTTTCATTTCTACTGAACGTGACGCATGAGTTACGCACCAGAAACATGGTCTTGACAATGTCTTCGCGAAGAGGTTTGATTAAGAAATCAGCCGCACCATAGTCGAGGCATTTCAACATAAATTCCGGCTTGTCAGTCGAAGAAGAAACTGTAATACCACTACAAGATGAGTATTTGATTCGCTGATGCCCCCTCCCAAAAAAAAAGGAAATGAAAAAAAAGGATGACGATATCGTTACCAATGGGGACTACGTCAGCCATGTCACTGGATTCCAGTTGGCGAACAAGCGATGAGAGGAATTCGAATCGTTCGTCGGCGGTATCGTCTTCGATATCGAGTAGACATATTGTGGAAGAAAACTGTTGGCGAGGTTGTGACTGGAGCGCTTCAAACGCTTCATTGGTAGTATTGACGGCGACAACTAGAATGAACGGGAATCAAGTGAATGGAGGTAAGGATGTGATCAAGGCAATGAATAGGGTGTTTTCTTTTACTTCGTCGTTGTGCATACCATTTCCGTAGAATGTGTCAAGCAAGTCGATGGTCGACTTTGGGTATTCGCCAACCACCACGACGGAACACTGATGTGAATTCATCGATAAAGGTCGGACAATAAAACGAAAGAGGTTGGAACGCTTTTTTTCCCAGCTGATAATTCTTCTATCGGTTGCGCACTGATACCGTCAAGAGGGAAAATATATATAAGGGCTTAAAAAAAAGCGTAAAAAAGTCGAGTGAAGGGCAACAGGAGTAGGTCAATTGTACGTGCAAAAATCCTTCTAGCGAAAATGCTCAATTAATGGAATCCAAAATGTCTACATTTTCCATGAAAAGAAAAACGTTAATTAAGATTCTTTGATCCAACTCAATTGTCAAAGTTGTTCTCTCTTTTTAGACACTTTTTTTTTGGTTTCCGAACTTGTTACGTATTCTGTTAATGAAAAAAAAAGTAAGAATTCTTACAAAAGCCGCAATAGTCAAAAAATAGGTATCCGTGCTTAAAGGAATAAGAATTTGAAGGGGAAAAAAAGAAGAAAAAGGAAACTTTGGGTTTCGTATAAATAGTATGTTTGTGGAATTTTTTTTACAATAGGCCACGCGACAAAAATATACAATGGTGAGCAGCTGATTCACACCCGCGTGGGCTGGCTGTCCGTCGAACGAAAAAGTCGATCTTGCCAAATATGGGTTTCTAGTTTTTCATTGGCGGGGGTGTTTCAGCCTTGGTTTTATTATTTAGACCGTCCATTGCCATGTCGGTTTCGGTGGCCGATTGTCTTTGACCCTTGAGACCAGTAACTGGTTAAAATTATGAAAAGAGTTGGGATCCCAAGTAGTAGATTCTTCCAACGAGATTCTTCCGTCACAATGCAAGATTATGCAACCGACTTTTATCGTGTAACCCGATCCTGAGGACCCCGCTTGGACGATTACCTTTTTCTCGTTTTTCCGGTTTGATTGGAAGTGCCTCAGTTTTTTGAAAATTCGATTAGACTCATGGTTTCACCCTGGCTATCTGTATAAGCTATACAATTAAACGCATCAAAAAAGTTTTAATCGTGGATGAACATTCAGTGACTACCCCACTATTGGAAGTATCCGACCCTACGTAGCCGCCACCCCACCATTGAACCAATAATATGTCAACGTCATTGTGACTAGCCCGTCAGGAATCATCCTGGAAGCTGCTGAAAAAAAAAAGCTTGTGCTATCGTGGTTGCGTAGATATTGCGTTAAAAATTTCGAATACAGTCAAAGAGAAAAAAAATCAGCCAACCGATTGATCTCCCTCCGAAAAAAAATGAAATCATGCCAGATGTCATCGAATATCCCCAAGTTTGTCGTCACGTTTTTAGCTTTTTTTTTTTGCTGCTTTCTTTACCTTATTGGCTCAAGCATGTTGTCTAATATTTCATTGTAAACGCTTGTGAATAATCGTTGAAAAGCACAGCATAGTTGAGTTACCTAATGCACAAATATGGTAAAGACTTGATGCGCAATTTTTAAATGCATGGAACTTTCCTTTACGTTGAGAGAGGATCTTGTATGAAGAACTGGGAATATGCCTGAAAGATTCCCATAGAATTTCTGTCGGATTCCGTTCATCCGTTCCGAAGATCTGGTTCAAAAAATCCCTTTTATTCTCCTTGGCACTGATATGCGTCCAATTTGATCCGCCTCATAAAACCAACAGACTCACTCTTGGACAAGATTTATCGGACTTCTGAAATGCTCATATCACGAAAGTGAAGCTATCTTGCGCAGTTTCAAAATCTTCGTCACCTTCATCCATGTGTAGATCGCTTGTTCAGAATCGCAGGCTTATTTACACCTGGAGAAATTAGCCATCCTCTGTATGAACAGGTAAAAAAAAAAAAAAAAAAAAATTTCTGCCACAATAACGAATTTTTTGGCTGTCACAGCTCATGAGAAATTTACCCTAAAACTTTTGCTTTCATAGGATGATCCGGTCGTGGGCGTCGCAGAACTATACGCTCTTTCACCGGTTTAAATAAAGTGAAATAAAAACTTAGTCTGTCACTGTATGTTTGTTTTCAATATTTGATTGACCATTCGTCAGGGCTAAGCAGTGTTTAGTAATGGAATTGAGAATGAGTCGTGTATACTTGAATGTTACTGATGGGAATAAATATTCCATAAAGACATCAGCTTTACTGAAATACCGTTGTAGAGCCATGGCCTTGTTTATGAAAAAAGTCGAAAAAAGGGAATAGCTTTTTTACAAGAACACTCATGAAAAAGATATAGCTTGCAACGATAGTGCGAATCACGCCAATGCTTGTGCAGAAACTGAAGTGACTGATTAGCAAATCGATGAGTTTACTGGAAACTGTATCGACGGTGACGATGCGCGATATGTGGTGAGCAAAAAAACGCAGCTTTTGTTTAGGCTTTTTTTTCGCAACGTGTAAGGTTCTTTGTAGTACGCAATTGAAAAAGATAATAAAAAGAGACTTGTAGACCCACAGTAAATTTTTCTTTTTTTTTATATGCATAGGGGGAGTGGGGCTCCCAGAAGTTTCATCTATACACGTCACAATGAGCGGTGGAGCCAAACTATATAAGGTAAAATAAACAACAAAAATCAATAATGAAAAGAACAAAGAACGGAAGAATCAGTCATCCAACATGTAAGGCGATATGCCTAAATGAAAGGACAAAGGCTCGAATATGGATTGGTAGGATGGAGACAAACGAACAGTAAAGATTCGGTAAGCTTGATTTTCGCCAAGAGTATGCGAAAAATTACCCGAGTTTTGCCAGAGAACTGCACGTTCATCGTGACAGGTAAGGACTGGTCAACGTCATGGTGCCTCGATTCTGTCCACTGTAATGCAGCACTGATAACTGCGGCGGGCGGACCTCCTAAGGGTCAGGGACAACACTGAAAATAAAGAAAACTTAAATAGGCTGACTCATATCAAGCTGGTTTAATATACCATACATACAATCCATCGCTCACTATTTTCTAGGTAGGTTACGCTTTTCGTCTGGTTGTTGGGTGAATCTCATGGCATCTACCTCTTTAAAGGGTTTGTCCTATGTTGTTCGATCACGGTGCAGTGTATCTCCGCCACTAACCATTATAGTTTCTTGCCTTTTGTGATATGCACGATGCCTAAATAAAGCCCAAGGTTCAATGGGTTTCCGGGTGGGGACGGCAAAATCATGGCCCTATTTCCGGAGCAAAATGATTGGTGAAATTTCAAAGCAATAAAAGAGGATGTGGAAATCTTTTTTTTTTTACCAGGCTTTGGAGATGCAAGCCACTGGGGCTTTCTGTCTCATCATTTTCTAAAGGCGGTTATTCTCTATTGCATATAAATACGTGCATTTAACCGTAGATAGAGTTTAGCAAAAGCTCCAAGGTTGAAAAGGTGAGTAATTCACGCATGACAAATGTAAGCTTTTCAGATTTTCTGTCTTGTTTTCCAGACCCGCTGGTGATAATCCCGAGCATTCGACTACCGATTGTGGAGATTGACAAGGGATCGTCACAAAAGACTAACCTCCGTCCTATCTTCTGTTAGTGTATTGGTCAATCTCACTAACCAACGAAAAAGATACTTTCTTTTTACCCGCCACATGAAGTGTCGGAATTGGAAATGGATAAAATCGAGGAATTTAGTCTCCTTGTTGGCTCACCAATAAGGCGAATCATCTGATAGATGCGGACAGCAAGGTCTTCCGATTGCGGAAGAAAGCAAGTTGATATTTCCCATGGGTATAGAAAAGATATACAGAAAAATGGAGCCCAACCAACCCAGAGGCCAAAACCGTGTAGCCGACTGCGGATCAGAAAAAGGTTTGAAAGGGGTAAAGGTGGTTTTTCTTCTTAGATGTTTTTATTGGTAAAAGACCAAGCAAAATAACTACAATTATAAGCAAGTTCAATGGCTGCGCATTGTTTTTCTGTCATCATTTGATAATGATAAGCTTGGACATTATTTCTTCCACGTCTGTAACAATTTTCATTTTCTCTTTCCATTTTAGCTTTTTTGTCTCACCTAACGTGCAATACTTGCTATTCTCTCTTTCCACCCACCCCCCCCCCTTTTTTTTTTCTCTCTCTCTCTTTTCGTCTGCTATAAATTCTAGTGCTCCCTTTGGTGGTTTAAACCCCCAACTTTTTTTTTGTCTACATGGTAGAGAAAAAATGTAGCTGAAATGATGAAATTTTTTTATAAACTTTACTGTTGCACGACACAAAAAGAGATGGAATAAATAATTATCCGTGCCATTTGAAAAAAAAAAAAAAGGCATGGCACCAACGGACCGAAAAAAAAAAAATCAGAGATTTTTGGGAAAACCATAGTTTTTTGCCATTAGGTTGTTCTTTTTTTAGTCTTTTTTTACTCTACTCTTTTTTTCTACTTTTTTATTGCTTTTTTGCTTTGGTGTTTTGTGTGTGGTTTTTAGACTGACCGATCCAAACTACATATAAACTCTCATCGCCTAAATGAGTAAACGACTACGATTGAAAGCTCTGTTCAATCGGGAGGCGAAACAGAGGCTCAACGATGAGGAGCAATCGAGAGAATTACGACGGACAGAGTCGACGTCCTCTTATATGCAGCAACGTCGAAAAATATACGTCAATATGCCTCTGCCTCATTACGAGTACGATGACAAGGGCAACCGAATCAAAGAACATTATGTTCCCAACCGCATTCGTACCGCCAAATACACCCCGCTGTCCTTTATACCAAAAAATCTATTTGAACAATTTCGCAACGTCGCCAATCTTTATTTCTTATTTCTTGTCATTCTTCAATGCATACCTTTATTCGGCGTCACCGAACCCGCCGTTTCAGCATTACCTCTTATTGCCATCCTGATCATCACAGGTCTTAAAGACGGTATCGAAGATTGGAAACGAAATCAAAGCGATCAACGAGTCAATCACGCCAAGACATTGACCCTCAGTCATTGGCGTAACGTCAATGTTCCTCAAGGTCCACAAGGGTCTTGGCAGTTCCTTTACGTGGTTCTGGGCTTCTTTTGTTCATTGGCCGGCGTCGACAATCGTTACTCTCACGCTTACCGCTTGGCCTCCGTCAAAGATAAACCCATCAAACGAGCCGACGTCGATTTCGATGAAAAAGCACCATTGACCGAACGCACGCAACAAGCGCCTCGTTCCGAACCTTACCGTCCGTCACCGACTACTGTCCCCGACAATACGTATCTCAAAGTCAATGATGAGCGAATACCGCAGCCTCCTCCCTCGAAAAAGATGTTTTCCACCGTTCGCCAGCGATCCGATACACTGCGGTCCGAACTGAGCAACATCTTCAAACCGAATCCCAATCGTCGTGAAAAGTTTTATCGTCCCGGAAGCATTCCCCATTCCGTTCTGTATCGAGCGCCATCCCAGAACCGTCGGCCCTCGACCATCAACCCGGGTGGCAGCGGATGCGGTGATTTGGCTCCCGGCGACCCTCCTTCGCCAAACTGTAAAGTTTGGTGGCAAGAGATCTCGTGGCAGGATGTCAGTGTAGGCGATTATATCATGGTGCGCAACGACGAAGACGTTCCGGCCGATATTGTAATTCTATCCACTTCTGAAACTGATAATTTATGTTATATTGAAACTCAAAATCTCGATGGCGAAACCAACCTCAAAGTACGGCAAGGTTTGAATGCCACAGGCGATCTTCGCACCGTCCACGATTGTGAACGCGGTCGATTCTATATCGAAACCGAACCACCGCATGCCAACATTTACCAATTCAATGGCGTTCTTCGATGGGAAATTGATCAGCCCGATGAAAACGAGACTACCGTTTCCCACCAAAAGACCGAAGCCGTTACTTACAGCAATTTACTGCTTCGTGGTTGCGTATTGCGAAACACTCGATGGATGATCGGCATCGTAGTGTATACAGGCGATGATACCAAGATTATGATGAATTCCGGAAGAACGCCTTCCAAACGCAGTAAGATTGCTAAAGCCACGAATCCACATGTAAGTTTTGGGCTTTTTGTTTTCTTTTTCTTCTTCTGAACCTTGGTCTTGGTCTTGTCTAAATGCAATCATGTGGTTTGGGTTCTTTTCGTTTAGGTCATTGCAAACTTTGGTATTCTTGCCGTCATTTGTATCATTTCATCCATCATGTCCAGTGTCCAGTTTGATGCAAGTGGGTCGTCCCGGTATTTTGATTACGGCATTGAAGGCACCAGTCGTCATTTTCTCGGTTTCATCACTTTTTGGTAAGTCTTAGCTTCACGGACTTGCTTTTTGTTATTTGTTGTTGTTGTTTTTGGCTACTGCGGGCTTGAATTGTTGCTGATTAATTCAATGTTGTTTGCTTGTCACAGGGTGACCTTGATTTTGTATCAGAACATTGTCCCCATTTCCTTGTATATATCCGTCGAAATTGTAAAAACACTGGCTGTAAGTTCAATGCGTGGAGATGATAAATATATCGAATGCTCATTTAACGCCCATGATTGTTCTTGATGCTGTAGGCGTATTTTATCTATGCCGATATTGATATGTATCACGAAGAGACGGACACGCCGTGTATTGCGAAAACCTGGAATATTTCAGACGATTTGGGTCAGATCGAGTATATCTTTTCCGACAAAACGGGCACCTTGACGCAAAACGTGATGGAGTATCGCAAATGTACCATTAATGGCGTCGCCTATGGTCTTGGCAAAACTGAAGCCATGATGGGAGCTGAGATTCGTGAAAAAGGCAAGGTCAGTGAATCTTCGGACACGGTGCCGAATGTGGACGACGACACCGATCAGCTGGAAATCGCGAAAAAGGAAATGTATCAGAAGCAAGCCGATTTGTTCGACAATCCTCACTTGGGTCCCAATCCCACCTTTATCGACCCTAAACTTTTCGATGATCTTGCCAAAAAGGACAGCCACGCCACCTCTCTGACCCACTTCTTTTTAACCCTTGCCTTGTGTCATACTGTGATCGCTGAGCGACCAGATGAAGAAAACAAGGATGCCATTGAATTCAAAGCGCAGTCCCCCGATGAAGCAGCCCTGGTGGCCACAGCGCGAGATCTGGGATTTGTCTTTCTAGGCCGCGAATCCAATGTGCTTTCCGTCAATGTCATGGGTGAATTGAAGACGTTCGATTTACTGAATGTCCTTGAATTCAACTCAGCCCGCAAACGTATGAGTGTTATTGTAAAACCTCGTGACAGCGATCGCATCGTCCTTCTCTGTAAAGGTGCCGACTCGGTCATTTACGAACGTCTCTGCAACGACTTTGGTGATCAACTGGAACTGGAAAAAGCACAACGACAACTCCAGGAACACACCAGCTCTGATCTCGAAGAATTCGCCAATGAAGGTAGGGAACCCGTCCCGTTTATCGCAACCCCTCTTGGCACACTTTTTTGTACCACCGTGGCGGTGATCATAAAATGGTTTCCAGAGATGATCTGACTTTTTTGTCAATAGGTCTTCGTACATTGTGTCTTGCGTATCGTTTCATCGCCCCGGAAGAGTACAAATCATGGAATCGACGATTCCAGGAGGCCAGTGCGAGTATCCACGGTCGCGAGGAAAAGTTGGATGAAGTATGTGAAGAGATTGAGCGAGACATGCTGTTAATGGGTGGTACCGCTATTGAAGATCGTCTGCAAGAAGGTGTTCCTGAAACCATTGCCGAGTTGTCTCAGTCCGGTATCAAATTGTGGGTTTTGACGGGCGATAAATCGGAAACGGCCATCAATATTGGTTACTCCTGCAATTTGATTACCCCGGATATGGACCTGTTGATTGTCAAAGGACAGACACGCGAGGAAACAAACAAACAGCTGGACGATGCGTTGAGCTCCACAGACGATGATGATCTATCAAAAAAACGAGCTCTGGTCATTGACGGCATGACGTTGAAATACGCGCTTGAACCGAAAACGAGACACAAGGTGCTGGAACTCGGTATGCGATGTGCCAGTGTGATCTGTTGTCGTGTCAGTCCAAAGCAGAAAGCACAGGTCGTGACCCTTGTCAAGAAAGGATTGAAAGTGATGACCCTGGCTATCGGTGACGGTGCCAACGACGTATCAATGATTCAAGAAGCGAACGTGGGTATTGGTATTTCGGGTGTCGAAGGTCGACAAGCCGTCATGGCGTCCGACTATGCCATTGCTCAGTTCAGATATCTACGTAAATTGTTGCTCATTCACGGACGTTGGTCTTACCTCCGAACTGCCGAAATGATCATGGGTTTCTTTTTCAAGAACATTGTATGGACTTTTGTCCTTTTCTGGTACCAAATTTTCTGTCAGTAAGTATTTTTCTGATAATCACATTGAAAGGGGGACGTGGAAAAAAAAAAGAGGAGCGAATGTATGAGTTAAGGAAAAGCCAAGAAAAATGGATGCTTATCAATTTATTTTTCTTTATTTTAGGTTTAATGGTACTATGATGTTTGATTATGCACTGGTCACATTATATAATCTTGTTTTCACGTCGTTGCCGATTATCTTTTTGGGTAAATTTGAATTACGCTGTTTATGGGGGGATGACCGATATCGAACTAACCTTGATTGGATTTTAGGTATCTGGGATCAAGATCTCAGCGCGCGCATCTCGTTATGCTATCCGGAATTGTATCGCATGGGTATCCGTAACGACAAGTTTAAAGTGTGGCGATTCTGGATGACCATTGTCGATTCCATTTTCCAGTCCACCGTGTGTTTCTTCTTCCCGTACATGTTACTGCTCGGAGGTTCGCCGGATCCGAACGGATATAGTCAAAATGGCGTTTACGAGATCGGCACCATCGTTTCAAGTATTACCGTAATCGTGGCCAACTTGTTTGTCGCTTTCTCCTTGTACAGTTACACATGGATCCAGGTGTTGATCATCTCGCTTTCCATCCTTGTTTACTATGCCTTTGTCGGTGTCTATTCTTGCTTCAACACCTTCATCTTCGCAGGGCAAGCACGGCTATTTGGCACGGGTCTTTATTGGCTTACACTCATGCTCACCGTCGTTGCCTGCTTTATCCCACGCGTATCGGCAAAACATTACATTCATCAATATATTCCTTACGACAACGATATCGTCCGTGAAATAGAACTCGTTCAACACGATGGACGAGTAGAAAAGAAATCCACGGATGATCAGACGAGTGACAGATAGATAATATTCCCTCCTGTCAAGATTGTCTTTCACTCTCCCAGAATATCTTTTCCTCCTGTCATCCTCCCCTTTCCTCTAATGTCATGTATTTGTAGTATCTTTTTTTATTTGGTTTATTTGTTGTTTTTTCTTTTATCTTCGTATCTCATTCTACATCTTCCCAACTTTTTTTTTCTTAGAGCAATCTGCAATGTATGAATAACAACAAGGATATTTAAACATAAAAATATTTTAATTGTAATAGAACAGTGAAAAGCTTTTTGGTTTATAAAGTTTGAATGATGCGATGCAATGCGATGAATAATATACACAGGATTGGAGATATATAAAAAAAAAATAGTAGTTGGAGGTGGTGCGAAAGCCAATCCAAAAATTAGGTGGGATTGACATGAATTCCCTGTCTTCGAATGATGCTGTATTGACTAGACGCAAAAGAAAGGAATATTAGAATGGCTGACTCCACAAACCGATGTGTAGTCCAGTACTTACTTTGCGTCCTTGGATACGCGATAATAAAAGTCGGTGACATCGGAGCGTGCCAAGTATTCGACAAATAACTCATCGTGAGTGATTACAATCAGCTGAAAATTAGACTGAGCTCTTCGCGTTTGAATAATCCTATCCTCATTGAATCAGCATCACAAAATTATCTAAAACCATTGCAAAACGGTAAATCATACGCACCTTCCAAGACTAGCCGCTAGACTTTCGATATTCTCGCGGTCCAAATTGGTGGTAGGTTCATCGAGCGTTAGAATACCGCAATGAATACAGAATGTTTCCGCTAGTGCTAACCGGACAATCGTCGAGGTCAACACTTTTTGTCCTGCGCTACATCGACCACGCATATTTAATTCTTTGCCATTCTTTATCATGACAACCTAACACACCACCAAAAAAAAAAGTCATTGTGTCAGGTTCATATGAATAGATCTCACGGAAACAACCTCTGCGTGGGACAAGCACTTACACGATAGTTGTAAGATCGATTGCTCGCTGATCCCTCATTATCGGATCGTACTTCGATGTAATCGATATCTAAGGCATCATTTTAAGTATACAAAACCCGATATGCCATCAACAACGCTCATAAACAATGATCCATACCACCGCCTTGATATGTATTGACCCACAGATCACGGATAATCTTGTTTAAATCTTGCATTTTCAGTGAATGATAACGCATAATGGCGCTAAGGAAGAAAAGATAATTGAATGAGTGTGAAAGCCATGACTGTATATCTGTTCCACCTTACCCTTCCAAAGCTTTACTGTAGATCTCAAGATCCGAAATCGCCATTTCGTTGGTTTTCACTTGAATAAATTGTCGCCGATAATTGTCTTCCACGTTGCTGTAATCGGTGGTCAAATCACCCTTGTAGCGGTCAATCTGATCCTTCATCTGTCGAACTTCGCCGTGAAGTCGGCCACGCTGTGGAAAGCTGTCAGTCAATAACACAGAAAAAGTATACGTTAAAGGCACACGTTTCTTTAATTTACCGAGTCTATTAATTTGGCTTGGGTATCTTGCAGTTTTTGTAATTGCCGTTCGTAGCTCGATTTCTCAAACTGCTGTTGTTCGACCCGCAATTCCGAGAGTTGACGATCACAATCCTTCCACTGCTGCTTCATGGAACGGTATCGCAAGTGGTCGTTCAGTTCTCTTTCAATTCCTTTGCGGTCCAACAGTTCTTTTTCAAGAGCCCGGATTTTTTGTTCGGTGACATCCTGTTTTCCCAGTAGATCGGTCACTTTGGTTTCCAAATTTCGTCTTTCGTTCAACAATTTTTCCAGATGCTCCCTTCCCATGTTTTCTTCAAACCTACAATACAGGACGACGAGGTTTTAGATAACGAAAAGGAGTTCTGCCAACACCGACTTACCGGTTAATCTGCTCGTTGAGGGTCTGTAACCGAGACAGATTTTGTCGCGCTTGATTCACCAATGTTGCCCCTTCGTCTTGCTTTGTCTGCCACGAATTCTGAGCTTGCGTAAGCTTGGTGGAAGCCCGTTCAATTTGTTCGTTGAACGGTTCGATTTTCTGATCAAATTCCTAACGTGACAATGGGCATGGTCAGTCTCTACCCTTTGAGGAACCAGATTTACAAGAACATACCTTGATTTTCTTTGAGGCCTCGTTGGATTCATCATGCGCTTGTTTCAATTGCTGCTGCAATTGATGGCGCTTATCAATTTCGTGCTGTAATTGGGTCACTTTATCTTTGGCATCACGAACAGCATTCTCGGCGCTCTGTAACTCCCGCATCGAAAGCTCACGGTCATCGTGTAGTCGCTTGATCTCCCGACGGACCAATTTGCTAAAACAAACCATCCCTAAGCCCTCTTACTTGATGATAACATTGCTCTGTAGTTCCGAACCAACCTTTTATCGGAAAGCGCTTCAATTTCATTCTGACATTCCGTCACGGTCCGTGTGGACCCCGTTTTTCGTAATTCAGCTTCCAAGCGACCAATCTCTTCTTCCAGCTGCTTGCACTCGCGCTGATACCGACTCACTTCTTCAGACCGCTTCAGTAACGACTCCAATTGCTGTTTCTCAGACTGTAGCGCCATTAACTCATCGCTTAACTATATGGTTGGTCAGCAATGGATGAAATGATGAGTAAAAAATCGTTCTGGGCAAAGCCATGTTCCCAATCCTAATTATTTTACCCCATCTGCTTCCCGCGCAGCTTCGTTCTTTTCTTTCTCGTAAGCTTTCACCGATCCTCGAAGATCGTCAATCTCCTGACGAACGGTTTGCAGCTTTTCCCAGGGCCCTGAAAGCGCTTTAACACGCGTCTGTCGCTGAACGCACTCGGCCAAGGCTTTCTTGAGTTCCCGCTGTTGATCAGGAATCTTGGCCATGGTGGTTTCAAGCTAGACATCAATGGAGTATATCAGTACGAAAGAACACAGCTTCAGGTCAGAAAGACCTCAAGTCACCTTTTTCATGAAAGCGGTCAGTTCATCATCTGCACTGAACCGTCGGACGCAGAGAGGGCAGTGACTGTCTTGCTGCGTACGCTTCAAGAATCGCTTATACATGAGTTCGGCTCCGCCAAATGCCGCAATTTTTCTAAGATACGATGAGCGATCTACGTCAAATCAACATACACCACGTCGCATTGCGACACTTACTCTCGATAATCCTGCAAAGTGTGATCAAGTTGGTCCAATTCTTCTGGGACGGACGTGCTTCCGCACACAGTCTGTATATTTTGCTCCAACTCTGTGATCGATAGAATTAGAGTGCTGGTATGATGCCTGATATTTCTTAAGTACCTTGACTGTCTTTTCGCTTTTCATCCAAATTTTTCTGTGCCAGTGAAAGTCGTGCCTGGACTGCCGACAGTTCTCTGCTCTTATGTTCCTGTGATGTTTGTTTCTGCATCACTTTATCGGCTTTGGACCTGAAAAAAAGGGAGACGGTTAGTATGAGACTAAACCAAACAAGTCTCTGAGACCTACTGAAGCAAAGACTTCACGTCGTTTTCCAGAGACTCCAAGGTAGGCTGGCGCTGCATCTGATGCTGAATCTCACGTTTGCAATCCTCAAAGCTGATAAACATTTGATCAATTTATGACGCCCGTTTCTCATTTTCATTCTGAACAGTGACAGTGGAGACGCTTACATGCACCGGGCTGCATCGACCTTGGTTTCATGATCGGTTCGTTTCATGGACAGTTTAGCACGTGTGTCGCCCTGTCGTGTCAACAGCGACATTTCGTCACTCAAGTTGCTCACTTGATCATCCAAATCACGCAGAACACGCTCCTTTTGATTTAACAAGTCATTCATATTGCGCGAAGAGGATTGCGCCTGCAATTGTCGTAATTCTTCTTCCTATAGATTATCAAACCTTTTGAGTAACGATGATAGTGACACAACGCATATAGGGTATTTTCCTTTTTACCTGCTTGCTTAACTTTTTCTTAGCCAAATCAAGATCGGTCTCTGTAATGCTGAGATCGGCCAATTGAAGATCCAGCTTTCTGATAAGGGCTTTGGTTTGCTCCTACAAATCATGGATGAATTCCCCCGTTTGCTATTATCATCATTTCCTTGTCGTTACCATTTGCTGCTTTGTAAATTTATTGCCTTGTTCCATGCCCGCTCTTTCGCTGCGCAAATTTTGAAGTGCATTGGACAATTCGGTTTGATGGCGACGAGCTTCCAGCTACACAGCGTTGTTATTAAATAATGATGACACTTGTTGTAACGTTATTAAATTGCGCTCTTACTTTCAATTTGGACAGGTTTTCTTCTCGGGACCGCACCAAATTTCTCAGAATTTCCATGGATCCTTCTATATCTTGAAACGACGAAATCCCCAGATCCAATTCAATGTTGGCCTGTTCCAGCAACCGACGTCGTTCCTGAAGCCGCTGCTCGTTGCTCTATTCAAAGTATTAAATAAGGTCATCAAAGCATAAAGACAAAAAGAAATGGTGTCTTACCTCGGCCGCCGCTTCCAATCTTCCAACTGCGGTTAATTTTTCGGAGATGGCGGACCGTGCAGTTTGAAGTTGTCTCTCAATTCTTGACTTTTCGAACATGAGGTCTTCCTTGGCCTCTTCATCTGTGTTACTGCGGGATTGATATTGAGTCAGCAGTTCTCGTATCTCTTCATCAGATTCGTGACGCTCGGTAAGATTTTTGGCAATATCTTGCATTGTATCTTGGAGCATTTTTTTCTGATGTTGTGTTTGTGCCAACCGACTCTCGATCGCTTCGGCCCGCTGGAAAACTTGCAGTAATGAATCGATCTCATGAGCTGTCTCGTTCAATTGCTGATCCACCGTGGCAATTTGCTCCTGTTTGTTTGCCATTCTTTTTTGCAAGTCGTCAATGTTGTAACGCAGTCTCTGTGCCTTTTCAATATCGGTTTTCAACTGTTCCAATTTCACTTGATCTACGCGAATTTCCTGAGCCTTCTTTTTACGAATATCTTTAATACTGTCCAGCGCTTTGGTATATCTGCGAAAAAGGAAAACGGGTATTGACGTCAGTGATGGCTGATAAAATCGCAACAAGCGGCCGATTACAGCGCTTACTTGGTGGAAGCCAAAATCTCGTCAAACTTTTTCTTCAGTGTGCCAGGTTCGGCTAATGGCCTAGAAAAAAAGAAGTGAGAAGCGAGATCCATAAATCTCTCTGAAGAGCAGTTTCCCTTACCAATTACTGTCTTCTTGATGGCAGAAAATCACATTATCAAGGATGGCTTTTGGTACCCCTAAATGAACCGGTAGTTCGGCATCCATATCAGCACAACGCGAACTGACACTGACCACCTATACTCAAATTTTCCACATGAGTCATCCATTCTTATCCGTGGTCGCTCTTTCTTCGGTACCTCGCCTGTTTGCGGATCTTTGCGTTGTAACGTGTTGTCCAATGTCTTCTGCGACACGGTATTCTTTCTTTGGGTGAGGGAAAGCGATCGGCTGCAGATCATATGCTGACGATTGACATTGACGAATTTGAGGCGAATCTGGGCTTTGACTTCGGTCATACCCGCCACCTGGTGAAAAATGGGTCATCAGCTCATTCTTTATGCATCTTTTTTGTTTGAGCCGCAGCCCACGCATACAACATACTTTGGTATCGTGAATAAAGGCACCACCTTTACTATTAGGCGGTAGATCGCCTGTACATGCATACTTTAAACATTCAATTATGGTCTGTGAATGCAGAGGAATTGATTAGTGAAAGTGAGGTCGGGCGCGGTAGGTCGACTACAATGGAAAGGGACACACACTGTTTTCCCGGAACCATTAGGTCCAACAATCAGGGTAAAAGGCGAGTAAAACTTGATATATTGCGGCTCTTCAGGGCTAAAAGAACGTACGCCCAGAATGGCGAGCTTATCAATGTGGGACATGGCACATCAAAATGGGGTGATCTCCAATGATAATGCTGTCACTCTGAACGTGAGGCCCTTTTTTTTTCATTCTCAAAAAAGTCATGATTTTGGCAGTCCCCAATATGAAAAATTGGCCCTTTTTAATAGAATCAACGGATGAATAACAAGCTCCAAACGTCGACAGTCAATAATAAACAACAAAAATAATGGATACATAATAATGATAATGATGGTGGAGCTTTTTTTTTGGATAGAATTATCACTTGACTCGTATAAATTATGAAAATGTTTTCCGTAGGTTTGATGTAGTTTTCCTATGGTGTGCAAAACGGACTGTGGGTCGTGGCTGTGTTTGCTACGCATCCTACTTTGGCTGGGTCCGGTTCAGGAGCCGGTGCGGCAAGTACACCGTAGACGATCATGACAGTGACGAGCAGAAAGAGGGTGCCCAAGGATTGCAAGTGGGTCATGGTAGATAATGTGGAAAGGCGCAAAAAATAAAATGTTGATGTCGCTGATTCAGGAATACAATAAACGGAAGGAGAAATTGGATTGGGAAAAAGGGGGAACCCAAGGTATTTAAATATCATATACGGGCTGCATACGATTCCATCATCTGCGTATCTCCTATTTTCATTCGTCCGTATACATCAAAATCTCACCAACGTTGTCAAATCAAGGAGAAATGAATCCAAGCTGAAAAGAATCAATCATCGATTCTAGACTGTGAGGTTCTGACGGTCATACGAAATACTTTTTTTTTTTTTTTTTTTTCGCCACATGAAGTGTAGACAGTATCTCTATTTTTTCCCTTTTTCCTTTTGTATTCGTTGACAATATGTATGCACGAATGATACATCGGCTGATGCTTGTTTGGTTTACCACACTGTTTTCATCTCAGGCTGATCAGCGGGGCCAGGATCCATACAAAAGCGGCCGTTTTTTTTTTTCTTCTTGTTTCATCAACACACCTTTGAACAAGGAGTAAAGCTTACGTCGCTATTTCAACGGAAGAAACCATTGCCGAGCCGTGCACGCAACCCTGCATAACCAAAGGGAATTGCTGTTCAATATATCAATGGTGCTATTGTCGTATGGAGGAATAGAAATCGGACCACCTCACCACATCGGGCCTTTGCATGTTTAATATAAATTCGGTTCTAATTTTCTTCATTGCTGCAGTCATAGAAAGGCATATTTTACTGCAAAAGCATGCCACAGACGACATTTGAGAAGCGCCATATGTTAAATTGGGACTCACCTCGGCGCGCGGCCACGGAAAATGGTGAAGCATGATTTCAATCCATTTGGCCCGCAGGTTCCTTTGAGTTATAAAACGCAGGACTTCCGTTAGTGCGAGGATCTCACGTATGGAAGTAGTTTACTAATACGTAGAGTAGTGTTACGTGCGCACACATAGTGTATTCGCTTTACTTATTTATTGGTCTTTCCTGTGTTGAGCGCAAACCATTCAGGCCGTCATGTGATGCGGTGCCATTTTATTTACCCACTGATGCGTATGCCTTTACACCACGCATATAAGCCAACCCATGCATACAAGTCATGACCAGCTTACGGATATGCTTCATTCGAGTTGTGAACCACTATCAGATTGCCGGAAAATGAAAAAAAAAAAAAAACTTTTTTCATCCCCATGTGACAGGAAGATTTCCCTCACGTTTGATAATATCCGTTCAAAGGTTCGCACCTGCCGCAAACGGATCATCGACACAAAACACATATTGGTCCTCTAGTAACTTGATCAAATTCGGTGGTAAAAACCTAACCCTAAAAAAAAAAATCGCCATCTTGGTTATAGGGTTTCATGCCTCTCTAACTAACAGTGCATAACTTCACTAAAAAAAAAGAGATGATATTTGCATCGATGACATTTGGCGAAACTTTTTTTCCAGAAAAAAATGAGATTATGTATGTAATGAAAGAGAATATTGCAGGCGGATCTCTAGTGCAAAATGATGTGGTGATGTAGTAAGGCGACAAGGACAAAACAAAATGGAAAGAGTTATATAAGAGCCGGATGATTGTGACAGACTATGCTTTTCTTCGCGGTATAGCAGGGATAAGAGTATTATCAAATTTCGATGGCTTGGAGATATAATAACCGTAGGACGTACTTTGGCTTAATGCTAAAGCATTCTTAGCCGCTTGCCGCATTCGGTATTCTTCGTTATTTTTTCGGAGCATCTAACAATACAAATTAGTAAAAACCATCCGCCCCTCAGCGGCCTAGTCATACTTCGTGCGATTTTCGTTCCATCACTGGAGTTGTCATGGGAACACTATCAATAATGTTTATCGTTAAGCAAAAAGAGGCTTTCCATTTCCAAGGCGTAGAAATGGTGCCATGACTTACGCTGGCTTGACTTTGGGTGTACCGGTCCCCAGTGGTGGTGTATTGCTACCAACACATTGGTGTGAATCATCAAGATGGGTGGGCCACCGTCCAACCGTTATTACTTACACTGACCGTACAGGTTGTATCCCATTTCGATTGATAAGGCCTTGCGGCTGCAAAGAAGTGCCTTTGCCTCTATTTCTTGGATCGCGTGCATTCATTTATGCTGAAAGCTCAGAAAGCAGGTGCTTTGGGAGCTTTCAATGTCCGGGAAGCATCCAGGCGGAGAATCAAACCCCACTAGTTCGTGACAGGCAAAGTTGACTGAGAAGCGAAGGGTAGACGACCAGAAAAAAAAAGGACCTTTTGTAAAAGGCAAGAAATTAACCACATATTGCAATACAAAGTCAACAGAGTTTCAAGACAGCCTTTTTCTTTGACTGCCAAACGTGTTTTAATAGAAGTCATTCATCCAGGGTGAGGAGGCTTGCACGGTTCGACAGCCACCGGTTCGCAAAGAAGCGGCCTCCTAAAAAAATCCGCAAGTGTGACGATTTTTTACCAGACTCCGCGAAGGCCCGCGGCCTTTACAAAGGCAGGTTCGGCTTGCATTCAGTTATTCCTCCTCTAATCCATCATGGTGAGTATCGATCCTATAAGTTAACATGGTGTGAAGAGAATACGGAAGCAATCTGTTGTAGCGTGTGTGGAAGTGATGGATGGCATTCCCCTCAGATACTTGGCTTCTGCTCTCGCTCGCATCGTCTCGTCACAACATTCATCCATCCGTCATTGAACCCGCATCCATCCAACATCAACTTCGTCCATCCATCCATCCGAGCCTTGATTCTGGATACATCGATGGAATGCGTTTTATCATCCAACTTTCGATTTCCAGCACCGTTTGACGATGGTTCAGTAGCAGTGGTACAGCCATCATCAGCGACACAAGGCCGAATTTTTCACTAGTGAAACGGACGATGACATGAGAGAGCAGAAATTCAAATTGCCAATGCAGTACGGAAGAGGGAAATGACCATTCTTGGAAGAAGGATAATGGGCACCTGGGATCCTGTCGTATAGTTACAAGAGAGACTAAATGATGTATTGCGATACCTTTTTCTAGGCTAAAAAGGACGTTGCTGCCAAGCCTAGCTCCTCTTCCGGAGGTAAGAAGGCCAAGAAGAAGTGGTCTGCCAAGAAGGTCAAGGACAAGTCCAACAACATGGTTGTCCTCGACAAGCCTACCTATGAACGTCTCTTCAAGGAGGTCCCCACCTACAAGCTCATCTCGCAGTCTGTGTTGGTTGATCGTCTTCGTTTGAACGGTTCTCTTGCCCGTATCGCTATCCGCGAACTCGAGGCTCAGGGTCTTATCAAGCCCATCTCCCGCCACCACGCTCAAATCATCTACAGTACGTATTCAGACTAAATTTTTATTGGAAGTGGATCACTAATTGATTGATTATTTTTTGTTCTTTTCTTGCAGCCCGTGCTACTGGTGATGAGAAGAAGGCCAAGGCTGCCGAATCCGACGAGGAGTAAATTTTTCTTGTTCATTGAAATAAAAAGCGTTAAATCTTTGACAGCTGCGTGTATTTAAACCATATCCACTATGTCTCTATTTCGAAAATGACGAATCTTTATCCATGGTTTGCAATAATAAGATACTTGATCAGATATGAAACGGTATAGTTTCGTTGCTCCAGACTAGTGGTGCTTTGGTTAGTCATAAACACTATTTTTTTCTGTAGACTCCATGTTTGAATGTTGGGGTTTGTCTTCTTGTCTGTTGCAACACAAAAAGGTCATGCCCATCGCATACAAAATAATGAGTAGATTACTCAGTTCATGATGTATTTTTTTTTGTAGGATTTTTTCATTTATGTTTTTGTTTACAGTAGATAGAAGATGATGTTTGTGCAGATTGGATTAGCGTCTAGCGGATGAAGCCATGAAAAGGCATGGCTTTCCAAAAGATAACTAGGATATCCAAAGCACCGGCTGCCAAAAAATGACAGTCGCGTGGTTCCTTCGCGGGAATGAATAGCGCAGTTTGGCCACCGTGAAGATTCTCGCTCAAACTACGACTCTGTTCATGCCCTTGGTTTTTAAAGAGCTGAAAAAAAAAATTTGTCACCAACTTAAATATTTTTTTTTTTGGCTCTGCGGAGTAGGAGTGCGAAAATGGACTGCTTGTTAATATTGTCTCCGCTGTCCAGAACCCTCATTTGGCGAATTTTTTATACACATTCCAAGCACAACACGATGAGACTCAATAAACAGAAAAAGAAAAAAAAAAAAAAAAAGCTTAAATGTCAATAAACAGCCAAGCTATGATTGAAATACACGATTGAGGCATTTTTCATTGAGCTTTGATGGGAGTGCAAAGGTCTATCGCAATAGATTTTGACACATCTGGATGAAAAAAAAGGGGTGCCACAGAAGTGGAAGGCTTTGCTGGTAATCTGTACAGTTCCGCGACAACGACACAAGAAAATTTTGGCGCCTAAAATAAAGCGTTTTTTGTATAGTTCATTGGAATGACCCACGTGCAGATGGTAAATCTTTCGATAGGAGGGAAAGAGAGAGATCGGTGCAAGGAAAAACAAAAGGGATAATTGCCTCAAAATGCCTCAGGATCAGTCCACTGTATGTGTTGGAGAATATTGACCAAAGGACGAAATAGTTTGGTGTGACTTGACCCTTTTCGGTCAAAGTAAGGCTTTGAACCTTGTTTCTGTGAGATTGACTTTTTTTTTTTCTTTTTCCTTTCCTCTTCTTTGTTCCAATGCAATGCCCAGCGGAACCACTTGTACTGCTATGCCTTCCGACGAAGAAAGTGCTCTGTGTGCCGACTCGACTGATTATGGTGCCTTTCGCCATTCCAATACTCTAGTTCACCGTGACCATTCCGTTTCCAGTGACGATACGTCTTCCAGAGCCAGCAGTGACGCTGACGAGATTATCAGCAAAATCAGCAAACGCAGGAAACAACGAATGCAACGGCGCCATTGCTCGCGACCCATTCTGCCAAGCTTCTCCGATATTCTCCCCAACAAAAAGAACCTATCAGAAAGCGAAGACGAACCACCTACTGACCTCGTATTACCCGCATTAAACCCGACGTAAGATTTTTTTTTTTTTTTTTTTTGGAGGGTCTTGGCCCCTGAATTTATGATTTGTTTAAAATGAAAAAAAAATGAAAAAAAGGGGAATACCATGGATAGGCTAATCAGCAAAAAACTTGAAACAGTGCTCAAGAAGTGATTGCTTCGATCCCTTCTTCTTCTTCTCTAGATCAACTGTTGATGCGTCGAACCCACGTCAATTTAAGTACGGTCAGAGCCAAATACAGAAACAGTCGGAAGAATGCCCGGTAAGATTTCCATAATAGACACGTTTTATCTGCAGCTCCACTGCGCTGATGATTCCGTTTTCTAACTTTTTTTTTCTTTAGCGACGAAAAGTACGAAGTGTATAGCATCATTCGAAGTTTTCAATATTATCTAAATTACAACGCTTATGTGTCGGCCATCAAATGCGTGCTGTTCGCCAATCGAACGATTGTTTTATTTGTATGTAAAATGCAATCTCTTTTTTCCTCTGTTATCTACATATGTCGTTCTCCACATCAAGTCATGAGACTAATAACTATTGCGTTTCCGACATTAACAGGTGAAACTCGACTTATTGGTCGATTTGCTTTTCTGTTTGGCTTACCTATTTGAGATGAAGCAAGAATTCGCCGTAGACCTTGAACCTTTCTGGCTCTACAAGCACCGCACCTACGATTTGTGGTAACCTTCAAAATTCATATAGCATGGTCGATCATGGGGTAAGAAATACCTAATTTATTATTATGAACTGAACAGGTTCATCTGCCAACTATTGAGTATATGGGACTTTGGTTCTTTCACCATCCGTAAGAGATTTTAGGTTACGCTTGGTATGGTAATTGATGGTTCCCATTATCTCATATTGCTTGATTAGGTTTTTTCATGACCCAATATCCCATGTCTGTCCTCTTGAGTTTCCGTTGCTTCATTGAATTGCTTACCACTATTCCATTTTTGGTATCTAATTTCATTGAGCATGGCCAGTACCTTTATGGTATGTGCGCAGACATAGTGTCTATTTCTGTGAATATTGATTATGGGATTCTAGTGCCTTATTTTCTGCGAAGCTGGATTTTGCTTCTACGGATCAAGAGTGTCATGAAAATCAAAATCAATCTCCAGATGACAGGTAGATTTGACTATACAAATGAGAACCCGACAGGAAAAGAGCAGGATAATTCAATCGAGTTTTAGACAAGGCCCTCGATCCTCTAAAGTACAAATTCGCTCACTTGATTGGGACCATTGTTGCTCTCATGTATAACGGCTCGGCCGCCTTTCAGTATTGTGAAGCCACCTTTGGTTCCGACAGTTACACCATACTGGATTCGCTGTAAGTGATCGACAACCTTAAAAACCTTGGATCGTCATGGTTTAAAGAGACAATGCATAATAACGAATGATCAGCTATGTCGTGATGGTGACGCTCTCTACGGTCGGATATGGCGGTAAGATGCCAAGTTTCTCGGGAATCAAAATATGCAAATCAAGAAAGGGGCTGTTTGACATGGTTCATTCTCTCTTTTTTGGTTGCAATGAATTGAACCGTGTGTGACAAATAGACATCACGCCTACCACGGAAGCGAGCCGTATCGTTATGATGCTCCTCATTGTGATCTCTTTGGCTGTTCTTCCAACATTGATCGCTGGCGTATCAGAGACCCTCAGTCAAGAGAATGGTAAGTGATGATGCGGTAAGGTCTGATTTTTCATCAAGATAATAATGTCTTTTTCTGAAATAGATGGGGGAGGGCATATTGGTAAGGGATCCATGCCTTTTATTCTTATCGTTGGTACATTTACGCCCGATCAGGTGAATGAAATCGTGGACGGGTTTGTGAACACCGTAAGTGATTTTGCTGCAACACATAAACGATATCGCCATTGTAAAAGTCTATCTACAGGAAAACGCCGAGTCGCATTTGAATATGGTGTTTCTGGATATCAATAAACCGTCGGAGGAATTGAAGCTTATGGAAAGAAACTCAATGTGGGGCCACCGTATTCGGTTTCTCCACGGGTCGGTTTTGGTAAGACATACTGGGGAAACGTCATAAATTTTTTGGAATACTCATGATATTTTCTAGAGCGAGAAAACCTTACAACGTGTGGTAACAATCATTTTTGCCTAACATTGTTGATTGAACGCATTCACCAGGACTGAGTTTAATTTTTTTATATCGAAATGTTAAAAGCAAGCACGATACGCCAAGGCCATTTTCACGATATCTGGTAACATTAACAAGAGCGAGCATCATTCCCAGTACGGTATCGCTCACATCTCTTGCTGTTCTAGATCAGAATGCTACGGAGCCTAATAAGGAAGATGAACGTAATACGGTGCGGTTATGGTCGCTTTACTGCTACACGGTGAGCCACAACGTGCCGATCTACACGTACAATCTGTCTCCCAGCACGGCGATCTACCAAAAAGTTGCGCAAGAAATCATTTGTCTGCGGGAATTCAAGCAGTATCTGCTTGCCATGAACTGCCGATGTCGTGGCGTATCTACTGTATTGACGAATCTGTTGCATCAGAGACAACCGCTCAACCAATACGATGAATCATGGCAAGCACAATATGGTGAGTAACATGTCGATTAAATGTAATGATTCGTAACGGACGAGCCAAGTAAAAACATCATCGATGCAGATGACGGTTCATGCAATGAAATCTACATGGCGCCCGCCACTCAGTGTATCATTGGGCTCAGATTCGCCTATGCTGCCTGGGTACGTATAGCATGCATTGTTTTGCATGTGTTGTTCTAACGTCTCGCATGGCTTAGATCATTTACAAGGAATGTCAAGCTATTCTATTTGCCATCAAAACATTTGTTCCCGAACGCAACGATTATGAAATCTTGCTTAATCCATGCCATGATTACACGATCAAAAGCGCCGATTTGTGTGTGTTTATAGCGGAAAGTCCAAAGGAGATTCGAGATATCGAGCATATGAATTCCATCTATGTGTGGCAAACTATTCGGACCATGGAAAATCAGCGACGCGTTCAGCAACAAACAACAGATATGCATGTTCCCTGCCCAGCAGCATCCGAGAGTGTTGGAATGGAAGCCATGTCCAGCAGTGACAACAACACCCGAGGAGAACCTTCGCTTAAGTCAACGATTCATCAGAAATTACATGAACAGATCTACCGCATCAGTAAACTACCGTCCCCGCGTCATGCTCTCCTTACAGGCAGTCGTACCTTAATCAAAAGACTTGGAAAAGATCCTTTGCCAGACGCCAATCAAGATACAGCCGTGCCCTTATGCTATTTACTGGACAAGCCGGCCGTCTTGGACGATATTGTGATTCAATCCACAGAGGGTGTGGAGAACCATATCCTTGTTTGTCTCCATCGAGAAGTGATTAATATTTTCAAATTCATCTATAATCTCAGGTACCGTACCTCGTAGTGTTTTTCGTATGGTTCATCGAATTGGGCTAACGACGTTATTGTATAGATCGCCTCACATGAAACCCCATGAATTGCAAGATATCGTGCTTCTCTGCAGTAAACTCCCCAAACCCAAAATCTTTGAAATGATCAACATGTTTCCCCGAGTTTACTTTATGGAAGGCAACTGTCGTTATCCGGACGATCTGCTTCGAGCAGGTATACGGCGGGCGAAACAAGTCGTCGTGATGAGGTAAGTATGTGGATCATCCCAAGACACTGAAATTGAACGGTCGGTTAAATCATCGATGGTAATTTACAGCGAAAAAGAGTACCTTTATCAGTATGAGCGTAATTCAGACAGTCCTGCCATGTAAGAATGATCCAAGCGTCAATGTTATGTAAAACTGATCCCCCCCTTCTTTTTATTTGCAACTAGCATGGCGAGTCATATCATGGACTTATTACTTCAAGAGCGTCCTAATCATTCTTATACTATTGTGAACCTCGGTAAGTGAAGAAAAGCGCATGGATAAACTACTCTGAAAAAAATCAGGAACCAATCGCTCATACAAACTATGCTAGTGGACAAGTACAATATCAAATTCATGCATTTGTTGCAAGGAAAAGATGTAGCGGAGGAGATTGATGTATTTTATACCCCGGCGTACGCTGCCGGCGACGTCGTAGCCGACAGTCTTCTCAGCAACGTACTACTAAGTCAGACGTACTATAAGCCTGATATCGTTTCCATCATCAAGACATTGTGTGGTATGCCGGGTCCTTTATGCGACGGTTCGGCGGCTTACTTACTAGCCACCTCGGATCGGGTCACCACCATGACCACCGCCACCATCCAAGCCCCTCACCTTACCAGCATCCCTATACCACCCGAATTTGTCAATCAAACGTTTGCCTTTATGTTTGAATCCTTACTATTGGACCAAGGCATCTTGCCCATTGGCTTATTACGTGCACCCAGCGAAGCTTTTGGTAATGAATTGCCGTTTGTGTATACCAATCCTGTCCCGTCTCTTTTGCTCAAAGAAGATGACGTTGTTTATATTCTCTCTCGACCAGGGTATGCTTAGTCAGGAACAAAAAAAGAAAAGATGTAATCTATCACTATGCTTTGTCTACTTTAGTTTTTGAAACCCCCCAGCTTACAATGAATCGATATTCATTCCATGGAATTTGTTTGGACAATTTTTTTTTTCTCGCTGAGAAAATCAAATGCTGCAAATAAAGTAAAAAAAAAGTTCAAGTGCTCTTGGATTATTGTCTAAAAAAAGGGAGGTGATAATTGAACAACACGTGTGCGAATATGGACAGTAAGTGATAATGCAGGTATGCAGGGAATAGGCACGATAGTCGGCTGGCAGATCAATGAGAGCCGAAAAGACCATTTTTTTTCTACTCATGAAGTGAGTTTTCGTCAAGCATGGCAATGGCCGCTCCAAGGCACCATCCGGTTTCAACGCCATTGATTTTCTTAGCAATACTGATCATGCGATCATCGGGAATCTCGTAACCGTGAGCTAAAAGACCGTAAATGTATGATAAATCCAGACACCACTCTGGACGATCGAGCATTTCGGCTTTCAGGGCAGGATCTTTCACACCGGCGAGGAATTCGCCCGAGCAGACTTTGTCGGTGAGCTTGGCAAGCTCCGGCAAGCGGAAATTGGCGGGCAGACCGAGCGGCTGAGTGCGATCGTAAAAGTACGAAAAGATGTAAATGGGGCCTTCACGGAAAGCTTCCGAGATGGGAGGTTGATGGATGCCGTCAAAGGAACAGGGAGGGGCAAGACACATGGCTTCCTTGTTCAGCAAATCGTCCACAATGGATGTACAATCACTGTAAGATCCCCCCGCCGTAAATGAGACCGAAGGGTCTTCTGGTTGTTGATACTTTTCAAAGGGCCAACTGAATTCCGGGGGCAGGCATGGGTTGATCATCACGGAAGCGTTTTGACCAACTTGAATAATTTTTTTGTGCATTCGTTTTCGGGCTTCCATCAGACCATAGCCGAGATAGGAATGCTGATACAGCAGGTAATCTCTTTTTCCGTAGGTTAATACGTATTTGTGATCTCCCTCTGGCATGTCCAATAATTCTCCACTTTCCAGGGTATCGGGTTCAAACACGATTTGAGTCGATCCACCACCAAGATCGAACACGGCGGCCGTGGAGGGACGAGTCTCGGAAGTGGCACGTAATTTGCCGAGCAAAAAGTTGACCGTCACCCATGCGTAAACACCTAAATTACACCAACCTTGGTCAGTCCTGCAGGAGACGTTCACACAATGATATGAAGAATACCTTCATCACGACCATCCATGATAGAGACGCCATCATCGGCGATGGGAAAAGGGTATCGTTTTTTCAAGTGGGCATTGACGGCTTGCAGGATATTATCGCTTTTTTCGTCACCGAGCAATCTTAAGCCTGCTGTCGCCTTGACAGCGATGGGGGTCTTGCGTTGCAACACCTGTGGCACCACCTTGACGGCGGCTTGAAGAAGCACATCGAGTGATTCCGCCGCCTTTTGTGGACTATCTGCATAGGCAGATAACCCCGGAATGGTCTGCTCAAATAATTCTTCATCTTCCAGTTCGATATGATCACCCGCCGCACACTGATGGAATCGATAGACATGAATACGCGAACCAGTGGACCCGGCATCGATCATCAATGCATATTTACTGCAGGACACTGCTTTCCCAAGCCATGCATATCATTAATTATCATGTTTTTGTCGTCTTTTTATTTATCTACCTATCCAGGCATCACACGTACCGCTGTTGGAAGAAGGGGAATGGAACAGTGAAAAGAGCTTGGAGTCAGGAATGATATAGACAATGATGGCGAGCAACAGCCCCAAGGCTGCCAATGACAATCGTACGCCTGTTGTCGATTGTTTCGTCTTGGCTGATTGCTTGGCCGTATTACGCAGAGCAGTGTAGGGCGTCTGTGGACCGCGCTTTTTCAATGGGGGTGATGTGGCCATGAGTTGAAAAAGAAAAAAAGAACAAAGCTCGGAAAAACCAAGTCCGAACCTTTGCACTGTTCAACACCCTGAGAACGCTCCCAAACTCCGAGCGAGAATTATGTAGGACCAATCAACATGGCAAAGAGAAAGCAAAAAGACAATGACAGATCAAGACAAGAAAATAGAATGCAAGACAATCAACGCGTAAAGACTTGAAAGATGGACGAATGAAATAAATAACTATTAAAAAAATGACCTTGCATTTTATTTATTTAAGAGGAAAAAACTATTTATACATTTATTTCTTTTCGCAGTGCTGAGACCATTGTTCTCTGGCATAGATCTGCCACATGCTGCTGGAGTTGACTTCCTTGGAACCGTAGAGCTGAGCGGTGAAGTTCTTGTTGGTCAAGGAGTAAGCGACAAGTTCCATCTGCTTGTTCATGAATTCGACAAAGACGACATCAATGAGAGTATCATCGGTGGCGTTCTCGGGCAAGCGGGAACCAGCAAAGACAGGAGCCTTGAAGTAAGGGTTGGGGATGTGCTTGGTATCATCACCATCGGTGCCATAGTCATCCTTGGTGACGTAGCCGTAGGTCTGTTCAGCACGACGGTTGTAGTGCGACATTTCGTAGGCTTCTTCAATGTCGTAGTTGTAACGAGGAGCGTGGGGCCACACAGTGTTATCACGCTTCTTCAATTCACCTTGCTCGTTGATGATATCCAACATCTGCTTAGCAGCGCTGTGTGGAACATCGGCCAAGTAGTAGAAGTTGTCACCGAAGGGAGAAACCTGGTACATGTTGTCAAGAGTGAAAGGACCTGCAAAAATAAAATAAAAAAAGGTTGAGTAAGTCTGGACTACTTGGACGACAAATTGTCATACATACCCTTGTAGACATCGTAACGGATACCACCAGTGTTGATAAGATAGAAAGCAGGGTTCTTGCGAGAAGAATCAACGACGGTGTGAGCCATGATACCGTTGGTGACCAAATCGTAGATGCTGTCGGTGCTGTTGACGGGAGCGGCGGTGACGTAGTAATCCTGAGGAGCGCAGCCATAGGGTTCAGCGAGGTCCAACTTGTGGCGCAACTTGGTGACACGCTTGCTGATGGACTTGCCCTCCTTGGTATCGAACTTCTTGGCAGTCTTGGTGGTGTGGAAAATGTAGGTCTTGCGGTTCTGGTCGAGGTAACGGCGGTGGAAGGTGATGTTGGAAGAAGGAGTAGGGCCGTTGTAACCGTGCTTCTTCACATACTTGGTGGATTCTTTGACACCCTGGGAAAAAAAAAAAGCGAAAAAGAGAGGCATGTCAATATAAATAGTCAGGGCAAGTAATAAATGAATAGAAGCTTACATCAAGGGACATCCAAGCAACGGATTCCAAGTAGCGACCACCCTGGACACCAGCGGCCCAGCGATCGTAGACAGCAAAGTCACGAATATGGGTATGGCCACCCATGATAGCGACGGGAAGGTAGGGGTAATATTGACGGACAGCGGCAAGAGCATCTTGCATTTCCTGGAAGCGGAGACCGACGTGACCAAAGAGGACAATGATATCAGGCTTGTGAGAAGTCATGGCCTTCTTGAACCAGGGTTCCTTGACTTCCTCAACAATAGGCTTAACGACAGACAAGTCATCGTTACCGTGGAAGTTGAAGAGGAAACCGAGAGCGAGAACGCGAGTGCCGTACTTGCCCTTGAAGTAGGTGTACTTGTCACTAAATGGTTTTTTTGAAGAGGAGTTTAAATTAGTTTTTCTCGAAAGGGTGGAAAATTTGAAAGTTTCCGTAAACACTTACGCAATGGGAACAGTCTTGTTGGTGTGGAGATCCTTGAAGTAAACATTAGCAGCGAGGTAACGACCCTTCCAGTGGTCGATGTAGTTGTTGACGACATCAATGGTAACGTTGTTCACTAAACAGAGGAAAAAAAAAAAGATGGTGGGTGAGCGGACTGTGTTGTTGCCTGGGTTCCATCCGGATGGTTTAATATTTTACCATAAAGTTCGTGGTTGCCTAAAATGGAAAATAAGTATTTTTCTTGCTAAAATGAACAAAAAAAGGCGGACGGGGAAATTAAACTTACCAATAGAAAGGATGTCATACGGGATTTTCTTCAACAAAGGTTGGGTTTCTTTTCCCTTGGGTTGAGTTGTGTCACTAAGACCATTGCCTATGTGAAATGGGTTAGACTGGTGTACCACGGTATTTCTCTGAAATTCCGTGCTTACCATCGTGAGTGTCACCACAGTCAACGACAAACAAATCCTTCTTCATCTTGCGAGCCTTCTCCTTCATGCGAACCTAGATACCAAAATGAGAAACATACATTAAGAAAAAAAAAGTGATAAAATGGGACAACATGGGTATATGTAAAAGAGTGACTACGTACCACGAAAGAGTAGAAATCACCCAAGTCACCGTTGTATTGCGGTTGCAACACGTGTCCCTGAATAGATCTGTCAGTTTAATTCATTCTTTCAAAAAACGAAAAAGAGACAACTGTGATATCGCACCTGCAGCCAACCTAGATAAACAAAAAAAAAAGGAATGAGTCATTTCCGTTATCAAGTGTTTCAAATAGTCTTGTTTCGATCTTGTTCTTTAAAGATCAAAGGGAAGGTAACAAATGGACTTACCGTGGGTGTCAGTAGTTTGGATGAAGTTCACATCACCCCAGTGCAAAGGTTGGAGATCCAAATCAGGAGTCTCAACAGCATCGGGTTGTTGTCTCTTCTCGAGAGGATGAGCGGCAACAGCTCCAAGAGTGGCGGCCAGCACCAAGAGTGATTTTACGAGCATTTTTCCTTTGAGCTTGAAAGGAAGACAAACGTAAGATCCGAAACGAAGAAATTACCTTTCATTTATATACATTAGAAAAAAAAAAAATCGAAAGCGCGGTATGCGTCCCGGAAACGGTAATCATTCCCCTTTAGGAGGCTATTTTGGATATAGATGCCCTGTATGTGACACCTACAACAGGAACCGGTTTCAACAAAGTTCCGTCCAGCCAAAGAGACACAAAAATCCCAATTTCCATTAAGTTTCCATTGCAATTCCATCGGTTTCACTCCAAAACATACCGTTTACACTGGACTATTGCATACAATGCATGTAATTCCAATGCATTACCGATACTGACGACCAGCCATGGAGGAGTAAAGCCACAACATGACCCGATCCATCCTGGCGGGCACACAACGAATAGTGCAGAACGCAAAGGGCATCCCATTGGCACAGGAACGGATTTCAAACTCAGCTTACCGGGATATGATTTTATGATCAGATTTTCCCCATCCTTTTGCGCAACGGTATGGGACCAATGGGAAACCGTAGGATGTCGGGTTTGTGGGGTTTAACAGTGACAAAAAGATGTTTTATTATGCCATTTCAATTCCGCCATTGTCTCTAAAGGATAACACGGTTCATCCATGGGTCCATGATCAGAATGACTCGATTGCCCTTGATACTACAACGATAATTCATGCCCCCAAACCGGGGTGGCTGGAAAATTGACACTGTTGTACCTTTCTTTGTTTTTGGATAGAGATAAGGAAAATCCGTTGTTCCAGAGTTTCCTGGATAACATCATTGGATGTGGTATAAACGATCCTGGGTTATTCCACTCATTCTGTGGGAAAACTTGTGAAAAAGATGAAGGACAATGGAGAAGGTGAAAAAAAAAGCATCCAAGACGTAAAAAAATATACCTTGGAAATGGTATTTTTTTTTAATCATCTTTACGATTTTACAACTGTCATGATCCGAGTAAGGAAAATCGGGACACTCAAGAGGATGCTGTAAATATCGGTAGTGACGGGAATAAAAAAAAGTCTCACCTTTTGTGACATGTCTTCCGAGGAAAGAGATGAAAATCATGTCGATTTTTTTAATATCCATTGTGGGGAAAATCATGGAAAATTTTCACACTTTGTTATGAAACCTAATGGTCCATTGGATTGCTAGTATGATGAAATATCGTAAAGCTACACATTGTTTTGCCGTTCAAAGAAGGAAAAAAAAAAGAAATTGTCTTGAAAGCAGGTTAGTATTGGAAGAAAATGGCAGTCCTTGGGAAAACACCATCTCTCCTCAAATTCCCACTGCTTTACGACTTGCTGGCACAAATTACCGCCGTTCACAAGAAAAAACTGCGTTCCGAACCGTGTACCACCCCACACAATCAGCTCCGCATCTCTTTTTCCATGTCACCAAGTGAGAAAAAAAAACCGTTACCGAATAGCCATTTGCCGGTAGACGGTAAAAAGCGCTTTATCCAATCGCACAACAAGATGTTTAACCGCTCCTAAGCGAGCGTCCCCGCTATCAAAAAATACAGCACTATTTTTTTGTCAGATGACTTTTTTTCTTTTTCCTTTACCATCACTGGAAAAAGACAAAGAGACAAAACTTAATTACAGTCATGAACAAGAAGAAAAGGAGATGGTATTTTTAATAGCTGGAAAATGACTGTCGTTGGTAATGGGTAACGGGTATTGACTCTGTAGAATAATACAAGACTACGAAGGGTTTTGTTTTGAATGACTCTTTCGAGCCTCGTAAAAGGATGATCTGTGCTACGGAGTTGGTATCAGTGCAACCGTTTTGAGAGATACATAGATAAGACCGCGTAGATCGGAAAATGTCAACCCATAAAAGGCATCTTTTGAGTGTACAACCTCAGTTCTGGGCGATTCATTGCGAACAAGTTTGCTTTTCACTGGAATTGCCTCGAGAAAACTAAGTTATCTGGCCAAAGCCCATGACCTTTATCAGATGCTGGGGCTGGGACTCGACATCCGCGTGCACCTATTCCATGTAAAGCTAGTCGGGCCATCTCATGCCGCCAAAAAGTGTCTCCCAGGTATTCGGTCCATATCAGGGAGCGTTTTACGTTGTGAAACTTGGGACATGGCGTTCGCGATCTCCCCAGTTTGTTATATGTTTTTTTTTTTTTTTTTTTTTTTTTTGGAGTGATTCGGCTTTACTGTGACAAAAAAGTGCCCTTTCCCGGTGTAACGCCAAAGATGCCATCTAACGAAACCAACCGGGAAAAAATATGGCTATTGCAAAAAAAATAAAAAAGTTGTTGAAGCACATCTCGCTATTTTCAGTATCTTAGGCGTGACATGATGTAATAATGGTTAACCAAAAAGTGCTTCGCTTCAACACACGATTCTGCAAGGTCCAAATGATGGTTTTGGAACTGGCTCGCCATGGATAGAAATATGAACAAAAGGAGAACACATTGTAAATGTATCATCATACAGATGCTTCATACCGTAACAGCCAATCCGTGACGATAAAATGGATAGTAAAAGCGAAAAAGCTCTCCTTAAACGTGCAATTCAAAGCAAGCCCAGAAATCCTTATGCGGTGATGTAATCAGGAAGAAGAAGGGTACCATGTATGGTAATTTTTACCGATCGATGGTCTAAGCATGTTCATTTACAAGTCTTCATCTACAACAAGTAAACAGTATTAGTGCAGGTTTTCCAAGGTGTTCTATTCGTAGGGGCTGAAGGGGGAGGCGCAATATATAACGACTATGATAGAAGTAACAATTACTTCATTGTACAGCTTTTTTCATACGGAGTAAAAAGTTTCTTTATTTGACAATATTGCTCTATCGAATCTATACAATGTGGCAAACTCTATTCCGTGGCCCAAGGAAGAAGAGAATATCTTTTTCGATTCTATTGATTCCATGATGAAAACAATGCATTAAAGCTCATCCTACAGGAAAATTGTATTGCAATGCAATCGGATGTTTGCTGTCAATGAAAAAAGACTGCAGCAATACGAAGGAATTGCATAATTTTTGAGAAACAGATTTTTTAATCATTGAATAAGAACGATGAATGTATGATGTAAATATCGCTTATTCATATGAAAAATCCCTGTAATCGAACTCTGTATAAATAGCGTGCAATATGATTCTTATTTCTGTAATTTATCGCCATTCATTGAATGATAGACGAATAACCAGCTAAAAAGAAAAAAGAAAACGCATGGTGAACATGCTGGTTAACGCAGAATAACGTGATTTGGGCTGCTTGCAATAACAAGAATATTTTTTTTCCAGTTGCATTGCATTGGTGATCATTGGACAAAACCAAAAAAAAAAAAAAGCAAAGCAAGGATTTTTCACGACCAGGAACTAGAATAATATCATAGCGCAACAATAACTTGACGTGATTAGCTTGCAGCATTGGGGTGCTTTATTAAGTTGTATCCGCATTAGGTAAAGGCAAGGAAAGCGAAAAAAAATAGGGTGATCAATTTTAACAAACCAGAAAATAGAGAGGCAGCTCATCAAAATCCATGTCGCATGCACAAGTGTCAATCAATGCCGAAGTATGCTCATCACATAGGACAGAGGCACCGTATCATCCCATTTTCTCGGAGCAACAGGCGACCGTCGATCAGCGATCTTTCTTTTTTTTTTTTTTTACTACCAAATGCATATCCAGTTTCTTCACGTTGTATATATTTTCAGTTTTTTTTTTAGCAGGGCTCGATCAATGGACTGATTACCAGGACACTAAGACAGACATTGACTCAAGTCAATTTTTCCGCTCGGATACGATCGTGGCCTATATCACATCTTTGGGCTGCCAATACTTGAACGTAATGGTAGCCTGGATGCTGTTTCCAAGCCTGGATGAAACAAATGACACCACGCTACAATGAAAGCCACTAGCCTCATCACTTTATTCTTTTCTTTTCTGGCTTGCCCTACTGCTTGTTTGCAAGTCTAGAATATAAGGCAGGCACATGTTCCAGGTCGTTGTCAAGTATCTGAAACCTCGGGAATCGGAAAGTGGAACTCTTCATTTTAATTTTTTTTTTCGTTTGGCCTTACTCAAATGACGTTGAATGGGAAGATCGTTATAAACTCCACTTGATAGATTGTATTGTACCGTTAAACCTGCTAAAATTCATCCAGATCCCCATTTTACGATAGCTATCTGCCCACGACTAGTATGTGCCACATTACTCCGCCAATCCGCCAAACACCAAAAAAGGAATGTCAACTTTAGAAATTTCGATCGAGGGTGTTTGCAGCGACGAAAGTAACGACATAGAAGCCAGATGAATTCTTTTGTATGTATAGAGAACTCCAATGGGTTAGTGTTGCTGCTGAATTACTTTTGATACAAGGAGTCATAGCACAAAGGTGCATAATTTGCATAGAAAAAGCGATACTGACGCACTGTGAGCGCATTGAAACGATGGAAAGCTGTTGTATCAGCTTTAACGAAAAATGAACCATTTACCATGCATAGTTTCGTTTTATTTCTATTAAAAAATTATGCATGGTTTTTTTTTCGATTTAGAAATGTCTATCACTTTGTCGACACAAGAATGTTCACGCGTAGATAAGGTGTCAAGTGACCTGTACCATGCGGTTTTTTTGTATGGTATTGCCGGATTGAAAGATAACCGACGGAAAAAGTGAGCGAACCAACACTTTGGGATGATTGCCTTTCTGTGCTGAAGTAAAAAAAAAAAAAAAAACCAAACTACTTCTTAAGCAAGTTAGACCGGAAATGAGACCCAGAATAATTTTCCGGTCGTTTGAGCGTTCATGATTATGCTCGTATGGGAAATCGAGATTAGATTGGTTGCACAAGGTAAACCTTTTTTTTCTTTATTGATCTGAACAATGCAATTTTTATTCACAGTGTCAAAAAGAACAAATCCTTTTACTAAGCTTTGGACCTTTTTAAACAATCTATTTGGCATTTCACTGTTCTTTTCATACTTTTGACGGAGAATGAACCAAAGCCAAAATGGAACCAAAAATCTCGTACGATGTTCCACATTTTTTCGATGATGGCACACCATATGTAGGCGAAACTGATGAACCGTGCGATCCCATCTGGCCTAATCTAGTAGGCTGCAAATATTCGTCAGGGATGGATAAAATTGATTGACCACGACTTGCTGCTGCTGGAAGTCTCTGTCTTCATAGTCGTGCAATGAGGTGCCATGGTCACAGTTCACATGGAATGACGGCAATGGTTCCGGAGACCGGTGTGGAGGATCTATGGGATGCATGGTTTCCACTGTCTGCATGGTTTTTGTCGTGGAATGGCGTGCTGGCCACGGATGCATGGAGCTGTCTGTAGTGGTGGAGGAGTCGGCGCCATAAATCGGTGAAACATGATCGAAATACTCGAAACCACCTGGAGTACCAGTGTCCAGGATATGCCTTCCAAAAGCTGTGTTGGAAAGTTGATCGATATCAATCCCCCAATACCCGCCCTTCCCTTTAGGTTTGCCGTTTTGGGTTGGTGATCGGGGAAACTTCAAGAAACATCGATTCAACGAAAGATTATGGCGAATTGTATTCTGTCGAACCCAAAAGAAAAAAACAAAAATTCAAACATCTGGGTGAGATTTTCTTCGGAATTCCGCTTTTAGAATAGCTTACCTGCCAACCGGCTTCGTTGACCTTGTACAGATTCGGATACATGGTCTGAACCCATGTGTAGATATCTCGCAAGGTCATTTTCTGATCTTTGCTGCTGAGGATGGCATGTGCAATAATGGACGCGTACGAGTGTGGGGGTCGTCGACGCTTTCGTTGCATTCGTGAAGCTCCGACAAAGAGGTCCGTGCTAGATCGACGGGAAAACTGTTGTGGTTGTGGTTGTGGCTGGGATGGAGGTTCTTCTTGAAAGGGTGATAAAGGCGGTGACGAGTTGGGACGAAGGAAATTGTGTTTCCAAGTAGATTGAAGAAACGGTCCATAGGTCAATTTATCCTTGGAAGAGAGGTGATGATGATACTCATTGTTCAGCTTATCTTGTGTGCTTGGCGAGGTGTCCTCTATAGCCAATGGGCAGTCCGACACAAAGTGGTGGATATTCATTTCCCCCTTAGGCTCGGTAGACTGGCCAATGGAGCGGGCAAAGGTTTAACAATGACTACTTTTTGTTTTTTGGAAATGCTGTTGAACGGCGTCAGCGTTGTGGGGGGGGGGGGTTCAGTGATAAGTAATGACTGTGGGGGACTACAATAGGGGGACTCAACCGTTTACAAGCAATTCCAAAAACCAACCGAAAAAAAAAGCTTCTTCACTGTTCTGTAGGGTTAAAATTATATGAACTCAAGCAAAATTTCCGTATTATTTGTTTGCTTTCAGAGTTTTCCTCGTAAAATTTTAGGGGAATGAGTATCACTGCAGTGATTTCCAAATGATCGTTTATCCATCTGACAATGATATCAATACTCTTGCATAGTACATTTTTTTTTCTTTTTTTTTGGGCTGTCATAAAGATAGTGGAAAAAAAGTGATCACGATGAAAAGTCGATCCAAGTGATGTCATGGAACTCCGAAACATCGTTTCTTAACATGTCACCCGTGCTGATCTCCTATTTGAAGCGCCGTTAGGTTTCGACGCGTGCTTTCACTGACCGCCCGTCTTTCCCCATTGTTATATAAGTACTCCCCGACGTGCAGAAAAAAAAAGAAAAGAAAGAAAGCCCTGTTCCAATTGATCATTTCCTTCACATAATATAACACTGTTTATACACAAAAACTATCTTCTCTTTCCAATTGATATCTTATTAACCATGCAGACTGCTCACGAAGGTAACCTATCCATCTTTTCAGACACATATACCTATGACGAACAGCAAAGAATCCAAATGTTTGACGGATAAATTTTCATTATAGATTCTTCGTATGACTTGCCTACTCCCACTCGTTTTTTGATGGAATGCGATGAATGGAACATCTCCACCCTTGGCATCATGGGAGAAGTTGATCCTTTTGAAGCCCAATTCAATAATTCTTCCAACAACAAACAATCCCAACCACAAGCCGACACATGGGCAGCACCACACAGTCCTGAATGTCAGCCCAACGAAACCCCGGTGAACGAAGCGTCACCAACTGAAAGCATCCCTCCCACTCCTCCGGTGACAGCGAGCCGAACTCCTTCAATTGAGTCCTCGGTGAGTCCCAAGGAACTGGAACCATTGCAAAATTCTCCTCCTTCACAATATGCCATGGGAAAACCGCACACCATGTCATCTGAAAAACCGGCGACCAAAATCGAAGAAACCCCTCTTCCCGATGCTTACGTATTCCGACAGGAAGATGGTCAGTCGCTTCCTCGAGCGCGTGCTGCCAAGAGAAACGCCGCCAAAGCACTCAAGGAGCAAGATCTCGACGACGACCTCGAGAGCGAATCGTCCAGTTCCAGCGGTAATGCCGCTTCCAGCGGACGCAAACGTCGCATCGTATTTGAAGGCGACGACGCCGAAGAACAACGCAAACGATTTTTGGAACGTAATCGTGTTGCAGGTAAACAATTTTGACCAGATCATAACAAGTTTTAAACGGCCAAAAAAGAAAATTAAATTTCTTATTTATTATTGTTTTTAGCCTTCAAATGTCGCCAAAAGAAGAAGAAATGGATGCAAGAACTTGAATATCGATCGGATCAAGTCATTAATCAACACAAAGAATTGCAAGCCATCGTGATGCAACTGCGCGAAGAAAGCATGTTTTTACGCAATCAACTGTTGGCTCACAGCAACTGCAATTGCACGGCTGTGGTAAGTTTTCCTTTTGGGCAATTGACATAATTGACCTAGTTACCATACTTGGAAAACTGACTTGTATTTTTCTTCTTCTTTTTCCATTTTAGCAAACTTATCTCAAACGTACTTCTGAGCAACTGACGTCAGACCCATCCATTATGGGTTCCCCTTCCCTTCGCACCCCTGCTGCTGCAGCAACAGCCGCGGCAGCCGCGGCGGCTGTATCTCGCAGCAATGACCTTCACTATGATATGCAGTATATGCAAGATTCCGCCCCAGGCATGCCTGACCGTTCCCATTTATCGGCCTACATGTCGATGGGTAAACCCGATTATTTCATGACACCTTCTTATCCATTAACCTCCACATCCGGTTAAGATTGGTTCCCACCCCACATCGGTCTTAAGACCTCATTTATCCCATCTCATTTTTCTCTTGTTCTTTTTATGCCATCTTTCGCTTTTCTTTGTTTTTATTTCTCATTTCTCTATATTTCATTGAACTCTTGGACAGGTTTCTCTTGCTTTTTATTTTTACGCCTACCCTCTTTTTTTATCCATCATTGTCCCTGTTCCTTTCTTTCATCATTCAATTTTTGCTGCTATTCATTTTCCAGTTTCTTGCTCTGTTCACCGTCTTTTTTCTTTATTTTATTCACGATGTATATATATGTAAAGCTTCCCGGAAATAATTTGCAAATCATACTTTTTTTTGATATAAAATCTCATTGGAACCAAACTCTATATAAAATTTGTTTGTTGAAGATCGATCGATCGAATAACAGTGACCATTTGTGGCATTGATGGTCATTCTTTATGGAAAATAGGGCAACTGATGGGTCAAAATATGCCATTGTCCGTAATTGTCATGTTTTCGGATATGTGTTGTGGTCGAGAATACGATGGAATGCTAAATGGAGATTTTTGTGTACACCCTTGGAAGCTTATGGAAATGAACATGCTCCAGAAAGATCTCTATAACGTCATTGTTCCGGCCGCTTGTTGACGTTGGTCATTTAGCACTGCACTGGGCATGGCAAACTCAAACAATCGGGGGTTCTTCCCAAACTGTTGGTTTTAAGTTTTGAAAGTATACTTTGTTTTTTAATTTGGAAGATTCCAAACAGAATCCAAACTTGTGTATAAACGCATGGACTGTAATAAAATGAGGGCGGATAAACCTTGCCAAGCGGACTTGCACTATCAGTTTCAGTCACCGGTCTTTTGTTTTTTGGCATTCAGCCGCTCTAAAAACGCGTCGCTTGTTTCATGCACAACATGCAACGAAAGAAAAGAAGCGGATGATCAATGCGTTGAAAGGTTGCTGCAGAAACCAATGATTGCCCCGCGAATCTTTTTCCACATTTTCTGTGCCACCAACCATACTACTGGCATGTGCTTGGGCATATGTTTTGTTTCTTTGTAGAAATGACCCTTGACAGAATGACAGCATAACAAGAACGGCAAATGATTCCACTCTATCACATACGCACGATGGAACTTCTAAATTTTGTATATAAAAAGTTTGATTGTAAGGCATCATGCCGGAAGCTGACTAATTCAAGCCAACAGAAAATCGAATGTTTCGAAAAAGGACAGCTTGAAAAATTTGGAATATCGGTTTGGTTGTCAGGTTACATGAAAAACCACGATCGATCTGCAAAACAGAATTTCCAAGTCTTAAACTATAGCGCTAGTGAAAAAAGATCAGCAAAACCATGGTAACCATCATTGACAATTTGAGAAAACAGTTGTCTCCGAAAATCGGCTTTTCAAACGGAAAGGGGATTCAGAAACATCGGCTCAAAGGTATCACGCACGGCGCGCTGAAATATTTTCACTCATCCCATCATGACCACTGTGGCAGCTGCTTTGAAAACGCGACTAGAGGGACCATTACCTGCGGTGGCCTATCCCTTCCGAGGCGTGCTTCACTTTATCCACCATCCGCGTCGCATTGCAGGGCCCATCTTGTCGTCTGCTGTGAAAGCCAGCGTACTGAGTTTAGTGGCCATTGTGCCTATTGTTCGGTATGGGTTTGGTCCGCAAGCTCAGTTGGCTTCCCGGATCTACCTGGAATGGCGACCGCAAGACGCATGGTTTGCAGGCATTGGAGCCTCGATTACCGGTGGTTTGCTTTGTCTGATGGAATCGTTCGCGGTGGTGGCCCAACTGCACCAGTTTCTCGTTGGCTCGGTTCAAGATCGCTTTTTTGACACGGTACTTCAAGAACGCGGGCGGTTGCCTCCTCGGGCCGAAGCATCCAGAAAATCTCATGAGGGGACAGTGGACGACAAGTCAGGATCGGCCCGTATGAAAAAGCACGCCTTCCTGTCTCCTGTAAATATCATGATTTTAACAGCGAGAGAATCGGACAGTTGGCGTCTCGCGTTATTACGGCCACTCGTATTCCTTGCCACCTTGCCTTTAAATTTTGTTCCTGTGGTTGGCCCTGCATCGTTTGTGGCCATCCAAGCCATTTTCCGAGGTGGCGAGACCCACAAACGTTATTTTAATCTCCATCACTGGTCAGACGAGAAACGACAACAACGTGTGGAGGAGGCCTTTGGACAGTACCTTCGCTTCGGTATGCTAGCCACCGCCTTGGAGATGATTCCCTTTGCTGGTTTTGTCTTTTCTTATACCAATCAAATCGGGTAAGCAGATCTTAAACCAGCAAAAAACTGACCAAACATCTAACCTGGAAACACTTGAATAGGGCGGCAATGTGGATTACCGATATCAACCAAGACGAGCTGGTGGAAACCCCGACGAAAACAGAATAATAATACCTTTTTCTTTAGATACCCTGTAGAGCTTTAGATTACAGAAAACATTCATTATATATCGAGAATGTATATCTGTTTTAAGGAGCATGCATACAAGTAGCGTGCCTCTCCCTTTGACCCAATTACTGTAATGAAGCAACTCGAAAGTCATTCAACATGAATCTGGTTCAACCAATTTACAACTGATAAATATCTCAGCTGTGTATGCCTTTGCCTGTGTACTGCGTGTCTGTGCTCTCTTTTTGTTCCCTTCCAAGTTTTCATGCAACCATCCAATCTCAACCTTATTAAAATGTTTGGGAGTTATGCGCGCTTATTTTCAGTCACAAGGCAGCCACATTGGGTTTTTTGCTACATTTGTCGGCTTTGATTGGGTAATTTTTGAAAAAAAATATATATGATTGGTTGAAACGAAACCAGACAGCTGTTGATCGGCCCGACCTTTGCGCTCGAATTTATAACATGAAGCGTAAAGCTCTGATGGAAGATCTAAAGAAGAACCATGTTTGGGAAGAGTCGTTACCCATGTACACACGGCGGAGTTTTAGAAGCGAGGCTTACTGCATCTTCATTTGCTTTTGGTGTTACTCCGGAGGATAAGCCGAGAACACTTGATGACTATGATCGTATCGTGTGTGCCGAACTTCCGGACAGAGAGAGATTTCCTGTACGACACCGTCAGCAGATGTATGATGCACGGTCCTTGTGGAACAGCGCATCCGAGGTCTCCCTGCATGGAAAACGGCTCATGTAAAAAGCGTTACCCGCGCTCCTTCAATGAAGCTACTATCGAAGATCACAGTGGTTACCCGTTATACCGTCGTCGCAACAATGGTGATTTTGTGGTCAAGAACCATGTCCAGTTGGACATAGATGGGTTGTTCCCCACAATCGATACCTCTGTGCAAGATATAACGCTCACATTAACGTCGAAACCTGTACTTCTCTGGAAAGCGTCAAATACCTGTACAAGTATGTTTACAAGGACCACGATCGTGCTGCAGCAGCAATGTATCATGCCGGCAATGACAGAAAATGTCAGACTCCTGACCCGTTTGCGCTTTGGATGCAGTTCCGCTAGCATTTGGCAGAAGACTATTTCCATTTTTGGAGCAATCAAAATCAAGACAATGATCATCAAAATTGAGCCGCCCCAAATCGTGTACGATCGCGCTTTGCTGGACATTGAAGAGCATCTGAACCGCCAATCGAGTTCACTGCTGAGTTACGATCGCTTTGTTCTTCCTGATCGCCAAGAAATTGGCAGAAGCACACTTCGCCGTCAGCCCAGACTGGTAAGAGAACAATTCGATCTCATCGCCGACGCTGTCAATGTTCCCCAAACACACGAGTACCTAAACCGTTATCAACATGCCGTATACCACGCAATTCTCCAGAGTGTCACGCATGGAAGCAACGAATCAGCCCGATTGTTCTTTGTTGATGGTCCTGGTGGCGTCTTTACCCTTATGTTGTTGTTTTTATTATTCTTTTATATTTTACTGTATGTATTTTGTCTTATGCTCCTTTGATTTCATCCTTTGCTATGATTTTTCAAGTTATTCTTCACCTTTATGTTTTACTGTATGCTTTTTTGTCCTTATGTTTTTTTTGATTTTATCCTTATGCTATGTTTCCCCAAGTACGATTTTTTCTGTTATCTATTTTTGTATCTCCATTTAATATTATACGATGTCTGACTATTTCTGTTCCTAACTTTGTGTACATATTGTTGTTCCTCTGTCGTGGATGAAGAAAATGATCGCTATGTGGCGGTAGGTCAGGGGGGGGCAAGACCCCCGGGAAAAAAGAAAAAGAGACTGTACTACTCTGTTGTCCATTGAATACGCAAAGATTTATGCGCACATCAACTAAATCTTACCGAAAAATCAACCGCTTATTGACAAAAGATTAGAGTACCATCAAGCGAGACCTTTGGATACCCAAATTCGAGTGCGGAGTTCTGAATATTGCAAGTGGAGCATCCCATTCCAAACGCATCTTTAATCAGCTACTATTCCCACTAGCCTCAGATTAACAACAAACTTAAGACCGAAAGAACATAACTTTGTGATCTTTAAGATCAACAGGCGCTACTAGTCTCTATATAATTAAAATCTTTGGAAAATTAGCAATTTGTAAATCACATGATCTACACTAAGTTATCAGGACCTGTTAAACGTTTTTTTTTTATCTTTCAACCATGCCTCGCTGCCCACTTTCACGATAATAGGCGAAACAATCAGCAGCAAGATGCCGTTTGCGCCAGTTGAGTATCGTCGTCTTTCGAATAAAAATGTGAGTAGAGCTCTTTTTGAAGAAAAGTGGTTGATGATACGACTGGCGTTCTTCTGTAGCATCATTCAATTTGGTTTCTTTTTGTCAGTTATACTGTATATGTCCTTTCATTCTATTTCAATTTTCAATGAATCGAATAATACATAAGCAGACGTGCTTCGATCTATGAATTCATGCATCAGTGGGGTGACTATTGTTGCATCCATGGAAAACCATATATTTTTGTCTTCAGTTTTCTCTTTTGATTTTCTCTCTCTCTTTCTGTTTGCTTGATAAACCCTCACTATCATTGTATCAAGATCCCATTCGCATCCATCATCCAGACCATTCTTATCCCGTGTATCTAACTTGGTTAAATCGACCACCATCCTCAAAAAGGTAAGCGTCGAGTGGTCTACCATCGATTTTGCTCCGGCAAAACAGACTTACCTCTCCTTTACTTCCATCCTTCTTCCAGCTTCCGGTTTCCGTTTTCTTTTCGCCTGACAAGTTCTGGATACTACAAGTTGATTTTCTCTCACCATCCATTCATCCATCTGGCGAAACCGGATGACGTCAAAGGCCATCGTTGGTGGTGTGGCTCTCTTTTTAATCAGAAAAACGCTTACGTGTCCTCTTCATGTTCCTCTCCTTTGGATTGCTTCTCATCATATGGTATTCAAGAGGTCTTCCCGATTATTTTATTTGTAGTTCATAGTTTGTATTTTGTATTTTGTATTTCATGTACATATTCTTCTCGCAGTCTTTTCCTCTTTTTTTCCCACAGGGTTTTTTATGAGGTTTTTACTGACGCAACCATTGTTTTTTTTATCATCATGTACTTTATTTGTTTCTTTCTTTTTATTCGGGGACTCTCGATATCTGGAATCCAACTCGAAGTTACCGTCACTTCTGGCCACGTCAATATTTTTTGCCTGCTCAAGCTGACACCACCGATCCATCGCTTAACTGTCCCTGGAAGCAATTTTATTTTCCGCATCGAAGAAGAAGCTTACCTGGCGGTCCGTATCATCTTTTTTTTTTTCCGGTACACCATTTGGTTCAAAGGCAAGTCCAATTTCTTTTCCTTTGCTATGATGTAATGAACGTATACTAATTCAAATTTTTTCAATGTCATATAATCCAAGTCATGTCAAGCGATCAATGGCTATTGCAAACTCAAATAACAAAGGTAAAATATCTTGACGAAAATTTGAATCAATCAAAGAGCTTACTAACTCATTTTTTTAAATACCCAATATTCCCACACATTATTCTAGATCTATCATAACCTTGGGCGGGACGGAACTGAGGGGGTCAATAAGTGCTGCTGCACACATGTTTGGAAATCATGACTGTACGGTATGCCAGAGTATTGACATTAATATACCAAAGTCCCATCAAGAGTTCCGCCCAGGTTATGCCGTATCGCGTTAGGCTTTTGTCTGACGAATGTCGCTCAATGTAAGGGGGCGACGTCCAGTAGCAGGTGGCATCCATGGCACAGCGGGTGTACGGCTTGTTATATACCAAAGTAGGACAGAACACATGGTCCAATGAAATGAAAGGAACGAGAAAAATAAAATTCCGACGACATGATGACGTTTCAATTTTTAGGACCACTCTTTTTCATTTTTTTCGATCGTACGGCCGAGGCAGTTCCATTGCTTGAATTGCCATGACCACCCGACAGCGACATCTTCGAAGAGGCGGTCCAGAGATCGAAGATGCTACCACTCTAAAGCTAGGAGAAGGTGTGTAGTTGCAAAAAAGACAAGTTGCCAACGACGGCGATCATTGACAAATGTGTTGCCTTTGAAGAATTCATCAACTCGCAGTGCTTGTATATATCAGAAGTGCGAATTCTGTTGGAAGCACAAGAGGACACCAATCGTGCCGGTCTCAATCGACAAACTACCGGGTAGATACAGATTATTTCAAGAAGAGGAACTTGTACAGAGCCCATGATCTTAATCGCTCCAAAATGTTTAGTGTCATGGCGAAAACGTTGGAATATGTTCGTACTTTTAGCCGATTCAGCAATCGCGATTCTGTGCGTGAAGTACGACAGTAAGTGTTTTGAATTCTGTTGCAGTCATCATTCTGCAACGAATGAGGGTTCATTTGAAGGGGAGAAAAAAGGTGATTTCTCTTCAATACTTGGTTGTTTTACTAAGTGATGATGGGGAAAAACACATTAAAGGGTGCTTGGCAAGGATGATTTGGCCCAGTTTGAAGTGGCTCAAATAGCCAACCTCTGCTGTGAAGATGCCGAAGAAGCCAAGGCGCTGATTCCAAGGTAGGGTCTTTTTCTAGGTGGTTCGTGTTGAATGTGATAATTGACACATACAAAAATGTTAGCTTGGCGAACAAAATTGAAGACGAGCCGTTACAGGAAATGCTGAACCAGATGCTTACCATCAAAAAATTCCAAGGCTAAGACCAATCCCAAGCCGAACCTCCTTGACAATCAATCTCATTTTGTATCATATCAACCACTGGTAAAAGCCTGATCCAAGTCAAGAAAAACCAGAAAAAAAAAATTCACTACATAATCTTTGCTTGACATGCCCTCTGATCGAAACACACACCATCGTCACCATTGTTCAATAAAAAATACACGTGGAACGGACAACCTTTGCAGTAATTTAGTATAAGTTTGGGAAGTTACGATGGATTGCATCAGGAAATGATGCTTTTTGTCGCTTGGAGGGTTTTTTTTCAGTCACGCTGGAGATGCATTGTTTGTGATTGGGTGAAGTCATTGTATGATAATAAATGCAGAAAAAAGCAAAACAAGCAGGAAGCTCGATGAAAGGGTTATCTGTTGATTTGGTGTAATGGATTAGGAAAAATCACTGAAGAGCCCATATGAACTGCCAACCTCATTTCTTTTTTGCTACGGATAAACCATCGTCATATCATGTGGTGAGGGAATTCTCTTGTTCACCCTTTGACTTTATCACAGGGCAATGATCAGACCTTGTGCAACCCGAACGACAAATCCAAGATGGGGAGATTGGGGGAGGGAGGCACTTTTTTTTTGAACATAAAAAAAAAGAAGGAACGAGGTTGTCCCTTTTATCGTGGCACTGAAGCTGCATCTAATTTCTTTGGGTTTTATAAAACCAAATCCACCAATCTTTTTTCTTCCCTTTTCTCTTGTCCTTCCTTTTTTAAATTTCATTTTTTGCAGTAAATCCTTGCGTTAATCCGACTCTCTTTTTTTTTCTCCCCCTTTTTATTTACCGAAATCCGTTCTTGTGGTTGTTATTGCCATGTCGCTCAAGCTGATCACTTCTCTAGTTTCTTCATTACTCAGACGGACACCTCATGAACGTTCAGAAAAAGAACCACCCGACCTGAGTACGGACAATTCCACGCTTCACACTTCCCCTTCGCAACCCTCGTCTATACCTTCGATATCTTTCAGTTCCACCGTCACTATCCAAGGCATGTTCTCCAAGAAAACCGACGATCGTCAGGACACTCTATCTCTATCCACTGCTGCCAATGGACCCGAATCTCTTCACCATTGGCACAATCAACCTTCAGCCTTTGATGCCAAATCTTCTTCCACCGTTCACGATTATGAACTGCTGGAAACTTTGGGTAAGTAGTGGTACTGTGGTGTCGGCACATCGATGGATCCTGATTTCATGCTCATAAATAGGCACTGGCACGTTTGGTCGAGTGTATCTGGCCCGAGAAAAAAAGGATAAATCGTATTATGCTATCAAGATTTTGAAGAAAGCCGACATTGTGAAATTGAAACAGGTCGAACACATCAATTCCGAGCGTCAAGTATTATCACAACTGAATTTCCCGTTCATTGTCAAGCTGTAAGTGGGACCTGGCGACGAGTATGGCCATGGAACGGGTTGGGGTGGGAAAGCTTTTGGGTGGTGCGGGTGTCTCAATCCTATCGTAACGGGGAATTAAATTAATCTGTGCTCATCGAAACCACTCAATCTCCGCCAAACAGGTATTGCACTTTTCAGAACGAACAGAATCTGTATATGGTACAGGAATATGTACTCGGTGGAGAGCTTTTCCGGCACTTGAGAAATGCAGGCCGGTTTACCAGTGAGATGACTCGATTCTATACGGCCGAAATTGTGCTGGCCCTGGACTATTTGCACTCCAAGAACATGGTTTATCGCGATTTGAAACCGGAGAATCTATTACTAGACCGGACAGGGCATATCAAGATCACCGATTTTGGCTTTGCAAAACGGTTGCAGGATCGAACCTGGACCCTCTGCGGCACCCCCGAGTACTTGGCCCCGGAAATTATTCAGAGTAAAGGGCACGGAAAGGCCGTTGATTGGTGGTCCTTGGGAATCCTGATTTTTGAGATGTTGGCCGGATACCCACCGTTTTACGACGACAATCATTTTGGGATCTACGAACGGATCCTGAGCGGCAAAGTCCAGTATCCCAATTACATGGACAGCACCGCCAAAGACCTGATCAAGAAACTGCTTGTCATCGATCGCACACGACGTTTGGGTAACCTGAAATGTGGAGCAGAAGACGTCAAACGTCACAAATGGCTACGTAACACGGATTGGCTAGGATTACTGAATAAGACAGTGCGGGTAAATGCCGATGACGATTGTATTTTTTCTTCTTTTATCTTTTGTTTGGGATTATCCCTTTTTTTGGTTGTATGTTGATTGCCATGTGAGCGAATATCACTAACAAGATGATCCTTCTTTTTTTTTTAGGCACCCTTGATTCCGGCGCATTCCAGTGATTATGATACAAGCAACTTTGAAAAATATCCGGAAGAACCGCCTGCAGAAGCATCACATGGCGATCCTTATCGCTCACTCTTTGCTGACTTTTAAACCGTGTCACTCATTTTCATCTCCCAACGTTTCTCTTCTGTCATTCCGCTTGGTCTCTTTTCTTACTTAATTATTGCATTTTTTTGATTTCTGCCATTTTTTTTTGGCCATCTTCTTCCTTTGATTTCTTGTACTATACTTATTTTATTTGGAATTTTCATTCATGCCCTCTTTTTCTACTTATATTTCCATCATCGATACCAAAGAATGGGCGGTCAACGTATTGGAGGACGTTTTATCGGATAATCCACCCATTGCATTCGAACCACTGTCACCACCATGTTACCCTGACGAGAAGCATGAATCATCCTCCTGGATCAATCATCCCCTTGGTAATGATGATGGGTTACACCGGTCATTGTCTCTTCCCGATGACGAGTCCTACTGCAGTGAAGATTTACGATCCCCGTCCTTTTCGATCCCCAGCGCCACTCACTCGGACCCCGGAACTTTGCCGTCAATCGTCAATGGATTTCACGTCGCCAAATTGTCATCGTTCAAACGTCGTCTTAGTTTTAAACGTTTGTTATTCTCTTCGGAGGCCTTGCTTTATCGATCAACGTGTTGGAAAGTGCAAAAAGGCCTGGAAATCTGGAGAAGCACATTAGAATCATCGATGGAACAAAAGGAGCCTATAGAAAAGGTACTTTATCATCCAATTTTTGCCATGGTAGACGCGCAAAATCAGGGAAAAAAAATAATGACGAAAAAATTATAAATTCTGCCAAAATTCGATCGGTCAATGCTCACTGATTACCCGTTTTAGGGGGTCACGGCCTCGCATTTATCGCATTTCATCATGACCGAATTGTTGTCTACCGAAGCTACTTATTTAGATCATTTAATGATCATCAAAAAGGTATAGTCTGTTCTTGACATTTTTTTTTGGTGCTCCTTCAGATGAGAAAATAACCGCTTTTGGTAGGAGTTCATGAATCCGCTGCATTCAGCGGCCAAACAACGACCGCGACCATTAGTCAGGATGGAGGATGTGGAAGTCATTTTTGCGTTTATACCCCAATTAATTATTTTATCCACGGCCTTGTTTTGTCGATTGCATGACACCATTCACTACGCCACCGAACATAGTGGTCAAGGCATTGGGCGCGTATTTTGTGATCTGGAAGATCAGTTCGCGGTTTATATTTTTTACGCTGTCAATTTCTCAAAGTTGCAAAAGTGCCTTGCCAAAACCGCCGATAATATTGTGTACCGTCAACTTGTGCAGGTGAGTGCAACAATTTCTCACCTTTATTTTTCTCAGGCTACCTGTACTGACATCATTCGAACTAATAGAATTCCTTGCGGAAAAAGGAAACCAACCGAATGGGGTTATCAGACTACATGATTGCCCCCATTCAACGGATCACCCGTTACTGTCTCCTGTTGAAAGGTAAACAAAAAAAAAACTCACTGACCATCACATCATTTGGCGCATGGCTCGTGCTTTTTTTTGGATTCGCTGGTGACTCACTTTTTTCATGGATTCATCTAGATCTGAAGAAACGTACCTCTCCCTCCCACTTGGACTATCCCTACCTCGACCGAGCTCTCAAATCACTCAGCGCATTGGCCTGGGCCATGAATGATATCCAGTGAATTTTTCCCGGTCTTTCACTCTTGTATATTCCATCCAACTCAATTTTTCTCTCAACTAAAAAAGTTATACCCCCACATTTAAAAAAACCAACTGCAATCCTCCGTACTTGTCAATCGTAAAAAAAGAAAATGTACAATTTTTGTTAATCCTCCATTTCTGATTTTTCGTGATTGACCTAAAGAATGCGACAAGGCTTACTTGCTGTGACAGAGCCATGTTCGTGCAAGACCCAGAGGTACAAGTTTGAGGGACATCACGAAAGAGCGTCGACAACTCGACATGGAATCATTTCATGCGACTAGGCTGCCTTTTCTTATCTAAACGCATGATTGGGTTCCTGTCTCTACTTGGGCATCTGCCGGGTAACTTTCAACTACTTTCATTTGATGAAATTTTACTTCAATATTATCATTTCTTGAACTCTTGAATTCTTCTATGAAATTATCCGTTCCATCTATGATATTCATCTCAGTAACCACCAAAAGTGACCATAGAAAAACAATGCATGTATGAGATACCCATCTGCACATCTAACATAAGAGGACTAATAGGACTTTGTAAACGCCAAGATCAAAAATGCACCACTGATCCTCTCCATGTTGTTGAAGCAGTAGTAGAAATCTTTTTTTGGGGAACGATGGCATCTGCATAATGCGTTAAAAAAATCAGTCACATGAACACAAATTTCTGAGAAAAGGGGACCTCCAGGGATATAATACATCATGTAATTATGTTTCGTCTGCGCCAACTTGGAATCCGTTGTCAAACTCAGATCCTTGGACGATCGTATACTTCGATTCGTCCATTGAAGGTTCTCGGAATCGAAACTTCCTGCGATGATACGTCTGCTGCCATTGTAACGTCGGATCGTCAGATTCTCGCCGAGGTGGTCAAAGGTCAGCAAGAGATGCACGAACCCATGGGCGGGATCGTACCGACACTGGCAAGCAGAGGTCATTCCAGAAATCTACCCGCTGTTATTTGCGAAACCCTGGATCGAGCAGGATTGACCGTAGCTGATTTGGACGCCATTGCTGTCACTAGAGGCCCCGGCCTGCCTCCCTGTTTACCAGTGGGTCTGAATGCTGCCAAGACACTGGCCGCAGTATCCAAGAAACCATTGATTGGCGTCCACCACATGGTATGTATTCTGTTGCGGTTTTTCTTTTGGGTGCCATTGCCTGATCCGCTCACTATACACTGTAGGAAGCCCATGCTCTCACTGCTCGTTTAACCACACCTCATCCTTCCAACCTTCCCTCGCCCATGTTCCCGTTCATGACCTTGCTCATTTCCGGAGGTCATACATTGCTTTTGACTGCGAACGATCTTGGTGATTATACTCAGCTTGGCACCACACTGGATAATGCGGTTGGTGAAGCGATCGACAAAACGGCTCGATTACTCAATTTGGAATGGATCAAAGGCCGTCGAGGAGGGCCTGGTGCCGCGCTAGAACAAGCTGCGCTTCAAGGTAATCCCGATCGATACATGGATCGATTACCGATGCCTATGCTGCAACGCAACAAAAGTGTCTGTGGGTTCAGTTTCTCGGGATTAAAGACGGCGGTGGCCAGGCTTATTGAGGTAGAAAAAGTGGTGGATTTGTCCGTATCTCAGGATGTGAGTGACATGGCGGCGGCATTCCAGCTGGTGTGTATCCGTCACATTGAACAAAAGCTTCGTCTTGCCCTGGATTTGGAAGTCGTGCAAAACAAAAAGCCCCTCACCGCGCTAGTGGTGAGCGGCGGGGTGGCTAGCAACAAGTTATTTCGATCGAGGTAAGTCCGCCAGCGATCAAGGCTGCGTGGATTAGCTAAGCTTCTTCTTTTTCATGAATATTTAGATTAGAAGCAGTTGCCGCGAGTTACAATTTACCGTTGGTTTGTCCTCCTCCCCAGCTCTGTACCGATAATGGTGTCATGATTGCGTGGACAGGTGTGGAACGTTTGCAAGCTAACCTTATCGATGATTATACCATTACCACTTTACCAAAATGGCCCCTAGAATCGCTTAAATATCGCGATAGTTCCTAGTTTCATTTGACAGCAACGAATCCATTTTGTATAGATTACATAGACAATGCGAATAGCCTCATGCAATTGAAAAATATCAATAGATGTAAATACTGTAATATCGCAGGCACTCTGAAGTAGTTGTTCTTGAACATGTGACAGCTTGTGGATGATGGCCAATGCCGGAACTGATGATCCATCATGGCGACTTTCAACGATAAAAGTTTGGTTCTCTGGGGAATAAAAAAATCAAAAATGGGAAAATGGAAGACAAGCTAGGAACAAGATAACATGGGGAGTAAAATAAACACGAGGACCATATGATGTATCATACACGCTCGATCCTTGATTCAAATTTATTCTATGATATATAGCGGAAGAAACTATTTATGCTGCAAGGCGAGACATGCTATAACTCATTTAAAATACATAACATAACATAACAACCCTGAGACATCGCAAGGAGATGAGGCATCGACAGTGAGAAACATAAATATAGTAGGTTGCAATGGATTGACCTTCCACGGGAAAATTACTGCTTGAAGAAGTGAAATGAACTAAAATTTAGAGTTTGCTTTTCTCATTTTACCCCAAACTGGAGTTGCCTTTTTCTTTCAGTCGGAAATCACTGCCAGATGGGTCTGCTTTTGTCACCCGTAGTCTTTTGATGCTGGCGTGCTGAGATATCAAGTCGGCTTTGAAGTAAAACTGGGAACGCTGTACCTCAAGAATCATACCGAATATTTTTTTAGTACAGAAAACATAGGAATTAGCAATGCATAGACAAAAGCTAACAGCTTATATAGTCCTGCGTCTGTCCTTGCAATAGTTGTGTTTGGTCTAACAAGAAATAGTAATACAAATATGAAAAAACTTTATGCCACGTATTTTGTCACCTGGTCGTTTTGTAGTTTTTTATTTCAGTTTTTTGGATATTACTCAAAAGGGACGCTTTTTCTTTGTTGATTATTCAGTTTTATCTTGGTTCTTGAATCGCTGCTTCAACTGAGCAACTTCGCGGTTGAGAACCCGTCGTTGAGCTTCGGCACGCTTGGAAATCTCTTGAACGCGTTCCTTATTTTCGGCCGTCAAACGAGAACGGTCAATGGAAGCGGCAACCTCGTTGAGCAAGCCAAGCACGGCATCCAGCTGGTTAGGTAGCCTGTTCAACATCATGGGAAATAATGATGAATTTTTCGGTTGCTTTTGAAATACAATGATCGTTACCACTTACCAGGTCACGATGGGCGAACCTCCAGTTGCCACAGGATGTTCGGTATGCTTGATAATATACTCCTTGGTAAAGTTCCAGTGTCGGTGGCGGAATGCTCGAATTTGGTCGACGTTTGCAAGGTAAATGGCTATCAAATTGTAATTTTTTTTAGCGCTTGGATCTCATTCAAACTTGGAAGCAAAAACAAGAACGAACCTGCAGAATTAGGGTCTTGCATGGCAAAAGCTTTGAGCTGAACTTGCTTTGCGCGTTCCTGAACATGTTCCAAGAACTCCATGTGGTTGGTGGGACGGTAAGATCGGAAATCCTTGAGAACCAATGTCAAGGGGTTCTCGGGCATAAGCTCTGTAATTTGCAAAAGGTTGTCTCCGAGGGGCACCATGGAATCGTTGGCACCACTTTCACCACGGTGAGTCATGGGCTGATCACTCACCCCTTCGTAAATAACACCATTGGGGAACATGGGCTTTAAGATACAAACAAGGATCGGTCAGTACAGTTTTGCGGTTAATTTTTCACTAAGAAAAGTGCCTACCTGGTTCTTGGTGCCCATGATGAAGGTTCTAAATTTGATATAGTCCTCAGGAAGACTGCGGGACCACATCATTTCCATTTCTTCATTCACATCATTGTAAGTATCGTTCAACGATGCCATTTCTTGATCAAACTTCTTGCGGTTCTTGGCAGCAGCCGCATTCAAAGCACCCATGGCATGCTTCACAAGGTGTGGAGAGTGTGCGACCATGGTGACATGATTCAGAACAAAACCTTTTCTATTGTAGTAATAAACAAAGTTAGTCATTGTTCTAATGGTTTCACCATCAAAATACATACTCAGACGCAGAGCCTGCAAACGTACGAACCAGAGCCAAGTTATCATAGGTAAGGCCGCCCAAAGGGTTAATGCGCTTGTAGTTGCAAAGGCTATGTAGTTGGGAAGAGAACGGTTAGTTGCGCAACTCTTAAAGGCTTTTTAAGCCAAAGCATGCCAGACTTACGCATAGCTTAGGGCACTACATAATAATAATAAACTCGTGAGAATTGAGTGATGAATGAGTGTCATACGTCTCCCACTTACTACTCCATAAAGGGCTTGCTGTGGATCTTTTGAGCAATTTTGGTCAAAGGCACGGCAATATTGGCGGGAAGCACACTTCGACCTAGACCGTAATCTTTGAATTCTCTGTACAGGATATCGCATGGTTCCAATAAATAGGCCGAGGCAGCAAAAGTGTAGTCGCGGAAGAGGGCTGTGAAATAGTCCACAAAAAAAAAATAAGCTATTAGTATGTCGCAACGCAAAAAGTCGGTCAGGGGGCGAAACTTACCAGACAACAACTGTTGATCCTCGATATGATCCACATTATAAAGAGGAAGCTCTTCGCGAACAGCATCACCAAACTGACCGCTGGCCAGCAAACCGGGAGTACCATCAGGGCGGCGAATAGGCATACGCTGAAGCAGGGATTCAAGGCGACTGAACTCCTTGGGAAGTTCAGCCAGAGGGTCTTGCCGAGGTAAGAAACCATTGGTGGTGCCGACCATGAACTGGGGCAGCTTGGTATCGTTGACCGTCTCCGTGAGCACGGAAAACGCACGCCGAGTAATGTGAGGGGAGTGGTAGCGAGCCAGCAAGGAGGGCAAACGCTTCAAGGTCAAAAAAGAAGACATACTTGTTTCGAAGGGGGTTTTGTGGGTAGTAGTGTAAGTGAAAAAAAAAGAGAATAGAAGAGGTTGGAATTACAGTCGTTGAAAGCAGCTTTTGCGACCTCTTATTTATAATTCTCATCCGTCTCATCTTCCCGTCGCTGGTGGACTTTTTTTTTCCATCTTTACGTTCTGCTGACTCATGTGTCTTTGATGACTTTTTGAAGAAGCAAGCAAACGAAGTATGAAAGGCTTCTTTACACTTTTTGGCGGGCTTTGAAGCGAACCACGACCTGGAGCATCTATACGACCTCTTTGGTATGCATATTTCGTATTATTGACCCTCTCTTTTTCTCGTTTCGTAGACTTCAAAAATTTGGAAACCATCATTCAATTCAAGAAATCTTCAAAATACAGAATACCGCCATACAGAATACCGCCATTCAGAATACCGCCGTGCAGAATACCGCCAAATTGCTGGTCACGATGCAGATGTGAGAGCGAACCAAAACCGAAATCCGGCGCGGTCTTGTCCGACCCCCTTTTTTTTTCTCGTTTCTCACAAAGAAAATTGACGATTAAAAAAGCCAACTCAACAACAGCAAAACCACGTTGAAATTGACGTGATCTATCAGCTCGGCCTGGTTTTTTTTTCCTCACAATAGCCTCGTTATGCAGATAAAATTTCATCTTTCAGATTCGTTTTTCGTGGGAAAAAAAACTCCAATGAAATGCATCAACGTTTATGGTAATGTGCAGTTTTCGGTCCGGTCCAATAAGCATACATTTTTTATTTGGAAGCATGGGGTAAAATGATGAAAAGAGAAAGTATGTTCAACCATCCTGTGTTTGTTTTGCTCCGTTTCGCTCCGAATGTGGAGCTTTTAGTTCACATTGCGATAGGTTTTTTTTAATGAAGTGCATCCGATAGCTCCACTTATACCTTCAGGACGGTAGCTTGTTCAACACGGCGTCTATATTTTGCATATTGCCCCAGTTTAGTAACCCGTGAAGTCGATGGCATTCCTCGGTATTCATGACACGCCAATGAGGCGAAGCTTGCTTCTTCAACCAATTGAAATCCTCCATCTGATCATAATAGTTGATTTGCGTCTAGAACCCGAGGGAACGGATGAATTAACTTTAAACTGTTGGATTCCCACATTCGTGTGCCGACAAAAACACTAGTGTGACTTACCCCGGGATTCTGCAACTCGTAAGGACCTACACGAATATCTGACGAGTCTTCAATGATTGGTCGACTGGACACATTCAAAAATAGATCGACGTTGTGTGCATCATGCACGCGACACTAGATATAACACAATTGGGGAGGGAAAAATAAAGTAGTCAGTCTCGATGTGAATGTTGGTTTGTTTTTGGTAGCATGGTTCTGTCTCCACGAATGGTTCCCCTCTTTCTTTTTTCACTCGATATTACCTGGTGACATCCAAATGTGATAATACTGCGTTTTAACCCATAGATCAATACGGAGCCATCAATCGCCCCACCAACGATGACGCAATCTTGCACATTTTTGATGTGGAGTGCAGATACTTTGGTCGACTCTTCCATTAACCAGACAACGCATTGTTTCAGATCCGTCAACACCACATCCACGCTCTTGCCTTGTGAAATGCAGGTACGCTCCAACACAATTAATTCACGTGATTTTCCACTGATGGTGATCGTGTTGTCGCTGGCTTGTTCCGTTGTCACGTTGCTCGTGTCTTTTTTTTCTTTTTTCGATCAGTGAAACGATCAAACATCTTTAGTATTGTCATGCTTGATATGGAGTTGGCGGTATTTACACACGTACCAAGATCAGGGTCCACGGCAAAAGTTGGCTTGGAGGTATCCGTCTTCTTTCTTCGAGATTTGAATGAGAATTTAGCTTTTGGAGTGAGTGTGGTTTTCGCACCATCGAGGGCTTCATTCAGCATTTTGAGTTGCTATTGTTTTCGGTCGTTACGATACTGTATATGGGTTGGAGCAAGTGCGTGCTTACTATCTGAAACTGTCGTTCATCATAGGAGGGTATAAACTCGGTTGCTTTGGTGAGCCGTTTCTCTAGTGTATTGATTCTTTCCAAAATGGCGGTGAAGTGAGATGTCAAATCGTCCCTCCGTACAGTGTTGGATGCTTGAATCTGCTCATCGATGGCTAGTGCTGAGTTTTAGAACCCCGAGACGATGACAGTTACAAAATGCCGTGTTTGTACCTTGACGCTCTGATTTGAATTCTACCCAGAAGGCATTGGCAGCTTCTGTGGTAGTGACTTCGCCCATGATCGAAACCCACGGTCGTCGAGATCAAAGTCAGGGTCAAAGTTAAGGATCCACATGTGACTCACAAAATTCAGTCCGACACCGCCGGCGCCGTTGACAAAGAACCCTTTGAGAAAGTAATACCAAAAATCATCGAATTACAGTTCGCAAATCACACAAATCACTCATAAGCAAACTGCTTGACGAAGTAAAACGCCAAGATTTATATCAAAGATATCTTTCCAAGGTAGCCAACTAATAAAGCGTGCAGACCAATGTTGACTGGGCTTCCAAGTCAATCATTATCATCTATTAGCTGGATAGCTTGGATTACGGCGCCTATTTTGATATTGTCACTTGGACAGTCTATTCTGAATCCAAGCAATTGGTCATGGATCAAACTGTTTGACTATTTGTTGTTTACTAGTAGGATGATTATCACTTGGTCAGTCTTGGCGACACTTTATCCTTTTTATGGGTTGATACAGTGGGTTAGCGTCGTGGCATTATCATGGCGCCGTTGCCAAGGTTAAAGTCAAAAAAAAGAGATGGCACTAAGGGAGGGTGTTTACGTATGCTGTACAATAACTACTCAACCTACCGATTGGTAGCCCAGGAATGCTGTATTGCAGAGTGGTTGGAACATTGCTTTTTTTTTCACTGATCAAGCCATCGCTGCATGGTTACCAAGGTAACCATTGCCTAACCTTGAAATCGATCGCGATCAGTTGATCTTATGCGCATAAGTTCAAAAATTGCATATGAATGCGATTGATAGAAAATGCACACAAAAAAAAAGCAGGGACTAATCTGAGTAAGACCATGTACCGATGACATTTTACAGTAGCGGATGGACGGGAAGATCGGAAGAAATAAGATTGGCCGATAATCTCTTTATCGTCTCTATCATTGTTGATATCATATACACGATAACACACCATTGCATAGTGTTTTGGCCTGAATCCCTTTTTTTTTCGCCCCCTTTCTCGGTATCCCTCTTCACATGAGAGACAGCCATGTCGCCTCCAATAGAAATTCGCATCAATGGTAGAATTATCCAATGATCTCATTGGCGCCATTCTTTCACCATCCTTTTCGGACATGTGAGATGGCTTTTTTTGGTACTAATCGCCCGATTTATCTATTGGATGATCATCAACAAAAAATAAGGAACCTAAAAAAATAAAACCAAGCCCAGCCTGCCGCAGGAAAAGAAAAAAAATACGCTGCACTGTTTATTTTCCACCAAATCAACCATGCATTATCTAACCACCTGCATATCGTCGTCGTCATGGTGATCGTCATGTGTACTGAAAGATAATTTCCTTCACAACTTAAACAACCACTGTCCTTTTTAATTCCCTATTTTCTCCGCAATCTTGTCTTTTTTAATTCTTTGCCCCACTTTCTAATTGCCTATTTTTCTTCCTCTCTTTTGTTATATACTGGTCAGTTTTTCATCTTCATCTTAACTCATCTCATCCCTTTCAAATTACTATGAAATATTCTATCGCGACAGCGGTGGCACTGTTATGTTGCGCAAGTGCAACCATGGGTGCGGCGGTGCCTCCTCGACATACAAAAGACATGATGCAGCGTAAAATAGGACGCAGTTTTGGTCCTGAATTAGCCCATCGTCATTATGTCAGCCCTTACGAAGATACATTCTCTGTTCGAGGTTTTGGTTCCTATGAACCTGTGGATATTGCCAAAGCTTTTGCGAAAACCCTCACTTCCAGCGATTTCGTGGTTAAAAATGCCTATCGGAGCGATCTGAGCGGGGTGACACATGTGTACTTGCGACAGAAAGTGGATGGACTGGAAGTCATGAATGGTGATATCAATATCAATGTCGACAAGTACGGCAATATCATTTCATATGGCGACTCTTTTGCCAGGGGCAAATATCATACTCAGAGATCCGATCGATCCTTGCTTTGGGTAAGTCTTCTTTTCTTTTTTGCATTGTCTTGCTGCGTGATGGTGTGAACCTTGTTATCGATTGGTTGACCTGATGTGAACTTTCTTTTTTTTTTTGGGTGTGTGTGTGTGTGTATTATACAGCGGGTACAAAGTGGGCTCGATGTGATCTCCAGCACGGTGTCGCAATTGATCTTCAACAGCCCAATGCGGGAACGACAGCAACAACAGACCAGCTTTTCGGCTTCTTCCAATGGCTATTCATTCGCTTCTGGTCAAGGCTCACCCATGGACCCGGCGGAAGCGGTCTTGTCGCTCTTGGCATTCGTTAAACACAAATTACCTAATCCCCGGGCGGTGGACCAATTATCCCCATCGTCATTGACTCCCGTGACCTCCTTCCAAGTCGGTGAGCCGGTGATTGAATTTTTGGATGTACCTTATGCGCTCTCACCTGTTCAAGCGAAACCGGCCTATATTCAGCTCGAAAATGGTGACCTCCAGTTAGTGTGGGACGTGCAGCTTGAACTCCAAGATAATTGGTACAATGGTTTCGTCCACGCTCACGATGGTACGATCGTCAGTCTCGTTGATTGGGTCTCCGACGCCGCGTACTACAATGTGATCCCCTTTGGATCCAATGATCCTACCGATACGGACCAGCAGCTGGTCAAGGATCCGCATGATCTCTGGGCAAGTCCCGAAGGATGGCACGCTCAGGGCACGTTGTCCAGTGGTCACGCTCAAGTGTTCAACGTCACCATTGGCAACAATGTGTATGCGCACACCAACCCGGATGGAGGATACAATTGGGAAGAGAACTACCGTCCCGCTGGTCGTGCCGGCAAACAAGCAGACGATATCGTCTTCGACTATGAAGCCAATTTTGAAAGACAAGAACCCAAAGAATACGAAGACGCTGCCGTGACCAATTTATTCTACTGGTGTAATATGGCCCACGATTTACTGTACCGCTACGGATTCGATGAGAAAGCCGGTAATTTCCAACAAGATAACCTCGGCCGTGGTCGGCCCGATGACAATGGCGCCAACGATGCGGTCATTGCCAATGCCCAGGATGGCTCCGGCCGCAACAATGCCAATTTTGCCACCCCTCCCGACGGTCGTCACGGCAAGATGCGCATGTACGTGTGGGATCAGACCTCGCCCATGCGTGACGGCGACTTTGAGAGCGGTATTATCATTCACGAATACAGCCACGGATTGTCCATTCGATTGACGGGTGGTCCCCATAACAGCAACTGTCTTGGATGGGGTGAAGCCGGCGGCATGGGTGAAGGCTGGGGCGACTTTATTGCGACCATTATCCGTATGAAGAGCAGTTACACTCGCGACATCGATTTTGGTATGGGCGGATGGGCCAATGGCGACGAAGGTATTCGAAAATACAAATACTCTACAAGCAATATCACAAACCCAAGCACGTACAAGATCATGGATCGATTCGACTACTGGGGTGTTCACGCCAAGGGCGAAGTATGGGCCGAAATGCTGTATGAAGTCTACTGGAATCTGGTCGATAAACACGGTTTCACCTCGGAATGGTTTCCTCCTGTTCCTCGGTCTGAAGATGATTACGATAATGTGCGCAAGCATATTCTGTCGCACGGAAACACATTGGCACTACAACTGGTGATTGACGGCATGAAGCTGCAACCTTGTAATCCAAGCTTTGTGGACGCTCGTGATGCTATCCTGGCCGCCGACGAAGCATTGACCCAAGGCGACAACTTTTGTGACATTTATCAAGCGTTTGCAAAGCGTGGTCTAGGCTACGGCGCCAAACTGGGCAAAGATCGATGGATCGAAAAGAGAGTAGAAAGTTTTGACTCGCATCCAAAGTGCCAATCCTAAACTAGTTATACTCTCCCCCGCCCCCACTCAATCCTAACCTTTCCCTTTCGATCACTATCTATCCATACGAACTCGCCTCTTACCGTTCTTTCTTTTTTTATTTTTTTTAGTTTTTATTTTTGTTTTACCGTAGTATTTTCTTTTTGATATCCAAATACATATCCAATTCTGTGTCATAAGCCCCCTATGTAAGAAAAGCTGATAACGAGATTCAGGTTGCAACAAGGCAACAAGTTACAAAACATGGTTGCAAATAATCGTTACTCTTGCTGTGCTTATTCTCTTCCATGCTAAATTTCCATTTGTGTTATCAATCAAGATATATGGGACCCCAGAGCTTTTTTTTTTATCTAAAAGAGCGTAGCATCAACAATTCACGATGCTTGATTGACGATTCTTACAATGTCGAGATTTTATTACAACCAATTATAAAAACCAAACTGCCTCATGACGGGATTTCGCTTGTCGAGAGAGAGACAACCCAATATCGACCGGGCAAGACCGGACTACTTTTTCACAAACGCAATATTCACCCGATCATCGCCAATGATTTGCCTATACATTGATGGTGAGATCAGTCTGTCCTACGACCCATTGTAACGGCACACTATCGGCCGACGTGACTTACTTGTTGTAAGAGCGACGGAATATTGCTGCATCTTCAATACTTTGAAATATAAGGTTGGCCTTTTTCTCTGCGGAATGGACTTGGATATCCTTGATTTTCTGTAGCAAAAAATACAGTTAAGTCCACAACGCTCTTTTTTTCGCAATAAAAAAATGCCAAGCCAATGGTCGTCGTTTTTCCTTTTATACTTACTGAAGCCAATCTCAGTTTGTCGCCCAAAGACTTGATGTCTTCTACTTTTGCGTTGATTAAATTCGTTATCACCAGTTCTGCGGATTTTCCAGCCGTAGACACGGGGATGGGCGATGAAACCGGTTTGATATCGGGTTGCGTAGGCATCGCCGCTTCTTGTCGAACTCCATTTCTGACTTGGTTCGATGGAGGAGGGCGCGCATAAGGCGACATGCGCCGGTCGCCTCGCGTAGCCGTATGTCCCATGGTTAATCGTCGAACATTCTGAGCCGCGGCCGCACTGGCGGAATCATTGTTTGCAAACCGGTCTGATACATGAGGAGGCGAATGGCTTTGTGCTGCTGCGGCGGCGGCTGCCGCCGCGGCGCCTTTGATCGAGAACCCTCCCGGTGACCGAGATGCTGCCGAATCCTCGTTCACCAAAGATTGTGTATTATTAAGACGATCGTTAATCGTTGATCGCTTCAGTGGCCGATCATGCTCCATATTCGACCCCTGTTTCCGCTTGGCGTTTAGCAACACATGACTACCCACGTCTACACGTAGAATAGAATGAGAAAATTGATGTTCAAAACGCGAATAAAAGAAGTCGACAGTCCGTACCATGTGTCTGCCGGGAGACAGTTGTGTTTGAAACAGAGACATCTTGTTTCTATAGACGCGCAGTTTTAGTAGCTATTCGGCCTAATTTATTGGCCTAGAAATTCCATACCTGATGAGACGCCGGCATTCGACGATCGTCGGTTGGTTGTCTACTCTGTTGTCGTCTTTGTTGCTGCATTTGTAATAAATGCTGGCGCTGTTTCTCCAACATTTCATTTCGGGCCGCCTGATCGGCCGGGTTCATTGCATGCATTGGTAATTTCGGTAGAGAACCTGCAAACTTGGGATTGACATGGATCCGGCCACCACCACCACCAGGGACGGCAGGAAATCCCATCATGGGCGGCATTCCGTACGGGTTCATAGGCATCGACATTGGCATACTGTGAAATTGAAGAAAAAGAAAAGGATAAAGAAAAAGAACAATGTTAAACCAACAAATCACAGTGAAAAAGCGAGCAAGATACCTCTCTTGTCTCCTCCATCTCCTCGACCCCTCCTCCCCACCCAATATCTCTTTCAAAAATATGATCCTACTGCTACACAGTAAGATTCCGCGCTTCTATACATCTTGGCTTCATCTTCTTTTTGACCCTCCATATTTTGCTCATTTTGACCTTCTTTTTTCCCCTTTTTTTTTCCTCTTTTTCTTTTTCATCCCTTTTTTCTTCTTCGCTCTTGGTGTCAGATTGAACGAACATGGCAGCTTTCGAGTGCGAAACCGCGTTGTGTGAGGAAGAAAATAAAAGAATCCAAGGAAATATGATGACTAGCAAGAGGCGAAAAGGAGGAGACCAAGGATAACGCAGAAAACAAAAAAATCATGATAGACCGGAAACGTACTTCATCCCCATCATATAACCTTGTTGTCCCATGGCGTACATGTCTTGCGACATGTAGTTTCGTTGAGAGTAATTTCCATGTCCACTCTGCATTCGTGGGTAAGGCGAACGTCGTGCTTGCGGCGTTGTCGGTCGAGTTTCTTTGGGCTTCAACTTTTCGGTATCTTCCTCGACTGCACCCTTCACGTTCGATGGACTCTGCTTGTCATCGGCTTTGGCAGCCACCGTAGGTTTCGCGGCAGCCACCGTGGGTTTTGCGGGCTCAACAGTGGATGTCGGTTTCGTGGTAGGTTCAGTGGCTTTAGGAGGGGTTGTTGAAGGTTTGGCTCCTACGTTAGCACTAGAAGAGGTCTCCTTTGCTGCCTCCCGCGTATCCGTTTTCGTCGGTTCGGCTTTCGCTTCGCTTGGTTTAGAAATAGCTACAAGATTCCATAAGTCAGTCACACTGTGCCATTGACTGTAGAATAGTTTTTCCCTAATGATCCAATCGTCTTACCTTTTGGCTCTGATGACGCTTGACTAACTGCCGGTTTAGCTGCCACTTCTTTCTTATTTACCGACTCGGTAATGAGTCCCAATTCTCTTTCCAATGCTTCTTCATCAAAGTCATCAGGATTGAAATCGCCAAGATCACCGTAATCGAGGTTTTCAAAATCGAGCTCGTCGTCCATTATAGTTGTAATATGAGAAAATAAAAGGGCTTGCAAAAAAAAAGTTAAAGGACACCACATGGACGTATCCGGCAACAGGACAAAATAGAGCGTCGGGCTTCCAATGCATGTCATGTGACCTGGCTCTTCCTCGAATGAACCTTCCTAGCAGATTTGGAACGACACACAGAAACAGATAACATGTCTAAAGTGATGATAATATTTATATCGTTTTCACCATCGTAGGGCCTATTAGGTTATTCTTATAAGTGGACATTAATGATAATGGTGATATGGAGAACAGATTAACTGGGGAAAATCATGGTATTTTTTTCTACTGGGTTTATGCTTCGGTGGGAGCGGGAGTGGCGTAAGGCAAGCTAAAGTAGGTATTCACATCCGCAATCATGGTGAGCTCATGGAACATGTTGATAATATCCGGAGCAACATAGACACTTTCAGGTAAAGCAGGAAAAGACGTCGGAAATGACTAGATTGCAGTATTTGAGTATCATGCAAGGCATCTTGTTTGGGATGGACCGAGTATATCTTTTTTCCATTTACCTTTTCCTCTTTAAATGAAAAGTGGCACCTCAGAATGATACCACATAATACAAAACGTACAATAAAATACCATAAAAAGTCGTCTGACATGAATCGCTTGACGTGAATATCTAGTATGGGTAAATGAACATGCTGCGTTGATCATGAGACCTCGATATTTCCCGGTTACTTACCGACATTCGGATCTGCAAGCAACATATCACCGACGGCTTTTTCCATCGTACTAATAAGTGCGACGCATTCGTCCCATTTAGCTTGGTCCAAATTACCGATATCCGAAACGGAACAGAAACCAAGCAAAGGGGTGTGTAGGAACAAGGTGAACAGACTGCCGATTTCGCTTTTATCCTGGACAGACGATGGGTATTCTAGCGGTGACAGCAGGCACATCACGGGCTGGTCAAAGACGGCCGGAATCGTTTTGAATACGGTACTATTGCTGCTGTCGACGATTAGGAATAAAGGTTTGCGCGTGAAAGGGGTCAAATCAGCCGGATGTAAGCAATGGCTCAGTGGCACCATCGGTTCATCGGACCGTTCGGGAATGGTCGGTTTTCGCTGACTGGTGGCAACGCCACCTCCATAGCCCGGTACCGTCGGTTCAGGATAAGCAATGCCATCAGCCGATAGATAAAGCAACATGGCTGCATTGTCCCCGATATCTTTATACGCAGTTGAAATGTAAACCAGGAGTTGGCTCAACGAAGGCCGATACAAAAGGTATTTGTGAGGATTAGATCGCTTCAACGATTTGTCGACGTACTGTGCTTGAGAACCTGTGGCGCCATACGTTTGTTGTGATGCGGCTGTGGCACCTGCTGCTGCTGTTGACGGCGCGTCCTTCTTGGCATCGTCCTTGACGGCGGCTCCTGGTTCCCGTTTCTCATTGGCGGATGACCGTTCGGTCGATTTAAGATTTTGTGGAGGCAAAGGTTTACTGACATCTGGCTTTCGTTCAAGAGATTGAAGCATACGATACATGTCCAGCGTCAGTTCAGAGAACTTGATTTGGTTGTGGTAGTTGCCAACTAGGATGGCTTCTTGGAGTTTTAATCGTGCGCTCTCTTTCTCTTTCGAGACGCTATAGGACGGTAAACGATGCATGATTGTCATTGGAGTCCTGTCAGTGCTGATGGGCACCAGCTTCTTCTCCGCTTCCATGAAGGTACTGATCTCATCAAGGACCATTTGCCACTCTTTCGCATCCGACATTTTGAAACTCTTGGTATACTCGTCAATCAGTCCTTCAAGTTCACTGATCAGCAAACGAATATTATCATCCTTGTTCAGTAAGAGGCACACGACGATAAATCGCGCATAATATCGCATCTTCTTGATCATCAGGGCCGGACTAATTGAAACAGGTCAGATTATCATCAATCACCACTAATGAAAGTTGGTCCAGTTTCCATACTTTTTCACTTCCAGAATGTCTTTAAAGTACTGCCGTTCATGAATAGCTTCGTAAAAGATGTAAGCTTCGTACAGGTAATTGGTTTCACTTGTTCTTAGACTACATGGAAAAGTGTGAATAATGGCCTATCTCTCTCTCTCTCTCTCTCAGTGTGTCAGCTTCAACTTACTAATAGTGATAGTACAGCTGGCCAATTTTACTCGCAATTTCACCCACTTCCCAGCGCTTCAAGCCATAATTATTTTTGTTCTCCAGCACTGGTCTGTCATGCCATGGTAAAAATTCAGTCATGAGAAGGTTTTTTTATGCGCATAAAAATATTCCACTTACCGATGTGATTGCTGAAACTTCCACAACTAATACGAACACGAATAAACATCACAATTCAATCAAACAAAAAGCAGACAGCAATTGTATGACTCTAGTTCGCATACCTTTGTGTAAACCTCGAATGTTTTTTCAAAATACTATAGTACCCATTCAATACCAGTAAGCATACCAGGTCTCTTTATAGATACTTACCGGTCTCCATTGTCGATGACTTCCTGTCGGCGGCAAGTCTCTAGTGGGGCTACGGTGTCAACTTTTTGTCTCAACATGAACGGTGTCAATTTAGAGGGCTATGCTCCAGGTACCTTAATCCACTAAACAGGCTTTGGCTTTTTTCCAGCAAGTATTGAAATTCTTCTACCAGTTTTTGGGTGCGGATCGCTTCCTCATCGGCGGCGACAGCAGCGGCTGCAGCGGCCATGGCGGCCGCCGCTGTACCTGTACTCGTTGAATTGGAGGGAACGTTGGGATTGGGAGGATCAGTATTGCCTATTTGACAGTAGACGGTTAACATGTTTGGTCGTCTGTCTGTCATTGAACACTACCCGTACCTGCGTTGGAGGTCGTTGTGGAGCTGCTAGGTGCAGCCGTGGGAATAGCTGTGGTGACGGACCCTTACAATTTGTTTCAAAGACGATTTAGCCAACAGGTGATTGCGGTGATCGTATCTTTTCTCTACCTTGAGCATCCATGGGATAATGAAGTCGTTAATCAGGAGAAACAGACAAAGGAACACGGCTTTTTTGCATTTGCGCGAGATTTGAAACACCGGCTTTTGCGGGACGAAACGACCGTTTTCCATCGTTCCCGCTTTCACCAAGATCGCTCTTTTTCAACAACCTTTGATTCATATACAATACGCATCGTCTACTCTCAACTAACTCGCGTTGACGGCAAGCAAGCATTTATTATGAAATTGTATGTTTGTATTGTTCTGTAGAACACCTTGTGAGCATATGACAAATTTTGTGATTGTATGCACGGTAATTTGCCCAAATACCTGACGCGTGATGTCTCCCTAAGCGTGCGTTCTGATAGGTGATCATCGCTGATGTTCAGGCACGCGATCCGTGAATTGATGAAAAAGAAAAAAAATTCTTAGAGCTAACTAACGCGGAATGGGTGCGATACACGTACAATTCCACATCATCTGCTTAAATTAAGTGAAAAAAATTCACCACCAAGAAAGAAAAAACTAAGAAGACGAGATGATGGTTCCTGTCTTGTGTTATATACATATGTATTTTTTGGTCTTTTTTTTATGTGCAACAGTTTCATAATGCAATCTGGAAGATCATTATAATCTGAACCAATGTCACATACAGAACATACGTGAATTTTGGCTGCTGAACATGGCGGAAACATGATCTATGGAGAATAATCTGGACGCGCATTAGTGGGAACTATCTGCTGTGTTTATATTACCGTTTTACTTTTTTTTTTCTTTTTTTTGGGGGGGGGGACATCGTCGTGGTACAATACATGAACAACAAAATTCGCTCGTTTTCGGCCCGACAAAAAATCTATACCAAAGTTCCATCAAGAGTCTCGCCCAGGTTATGCCGTATTGCGTTAGGCTTTTTGTCTGACGAATGTCGCTCAAGGCAAGAGTGCGGCATCCAGTAGCAGGTGGCATCCATTGCACAGCGGGTGTACGGCTTGTTAGATGTAGGAAAAAGAAGAAACCATAACAAGATTTAAACATAGATATCAATGAAAATAACAACAGGAAATATGAAAGAGCTTAAAAAAACAGCATAGGACAAGAAAAGCAATAAATGAATATGATGACAAGAGAAAAAAAAAAGAAATCAAGTGCAAAAAACATAAAGCAAAAGAAAACACAAAAAGCAAATAAGAATAGATTGTGGGTGTGGGTATGTGAGAATGTCTGAGAAGTATACATGTTTACAAACGGGCAATGGAAACACAAGCACTGGAGAAAAATTAGCCAAAAAGGAAGGAATGGGAAGAAATTGTGGGGTATCAAGAGTAAATTGTATGTGCGATGTCCAAATCGTTCACTGAGCGCAGAGCCGCCCCGTCAGTTACACGAAAAGAGGTATTGACTTCCTGCTCGTCGTACGATGCCGTTGAGAATTCTGATAAGTCGGACATTGATGAAGACGATGAAGACGACATGGATGGTAGGAGAAACACTGGCCGAGTTTTGCCTGCGCAAGACATCCTTCGTTGTGCATTTTTCGGCCGTGGCTCAGGCGATGGATACGAAAACGATTGACGACGATGATAGGAAAGGGTATAGCTGGATGGATGGAATATATTATGTTCGTGCGAGTCAGACACATAAATATTGGACGCTTCTTTTGCCTGGCAAACGCCTGAACAGAAATTCATGCTCTGCAAAATGATCAAAAATTCATTTCTGGGTGAGACGCCTCCTCATCTTTTGATATAGAAAGAATAGTAATGGCACGAATAACACTTACATCGTTGGCAAGTCGTTTTTCGCAGTACAAGCAAATACTTAATTCCATGTTCGACGATTTTTTCAAAGGAAATAAGAGATAGAGAAAGAGGAATAGAGTGTGAACCGTCTTTTTCGGATTGAGGCATTATTTATAACCATCCGAGATGGAGTGAGAAATCAGAATCACAGCGTGACCCAACAAAAGCGTATGTGGGATTTTTCCGATTCGAAACGCTGGCTCCGGAAGATCCCTGCTATCACTCCGGACCGGTTTTTACCAGATAACGTATGACGAACTCTTCATCTTTTTTCCTCGCTCACCAATCATGTGGAGCCATGCTTTCATGCCTTATGCATCTGCATAGCTGGCTTCCTACTGAACCTTTATCTCTCTTTGATAACCTCCTTTCCTATCACTATTCTAATTATGATAACCAATCACAGAATACCGCCTTACAAGGAAATGAATTCTCGCTTTGGCGGAAAACCGACTGCAATCACAAAAAAAAAAATTGACCGCTTCTTCATTATCTCCGGCGCTAGCATTTCTTTGTCTTTTGGCGGCGTTAGTCTGATGGCATGATGGTGGCTAAAAAGTGACGAAATTCATTTGCCACTCACTTGCCGCTTGTCATAGGGCAGCTTGGGTTATCATCGGGCCCCGGATGGTTGCATCGTCACGAATTTTTATCTATTGAGGTCACGGTCATTATAATTTTTTAACTTTTGGCCTCTCATTTCGTGAAATGATAGGGCTTGAATGAATTCGCGGCTCAGGTTTGTAGTTTATCAGTCTCGTATCTCTACATCAGCTTGATTTGAATTCTACGACCACTTCTGATAAGCGCCACCGGATAGATGGTAGCAGCATATCAAATTGTAAAAGGGATATTGCATCAATGGACTAGAAACCTTTGACACGGATCTGGCGCATAGGACTTGTCATAAAAACAAAACCAATTGTAAAGAAAGAATGATGATATATTTATTAGCCGATACCGACTACAGTACCTTATCTAATCAGATGATACAGTCGAAAATGAAATGCTACGACATTCATCCTTGTCTGTGGCAATAGGCAACACCACAAACACGTCCGAACATGATGCTTACAACGTGATGGAATTTTAGTCCGTGAGATCATCATCGGCAGAAGCCGCTTTTTATTATGACGCGAATACATTAATTCTAAAGGACAAATCGTACTGATTGTTTTATTCTCTATCCGTGACATTCAATAGAAAAACAGGCTTTCTTAAAACTTTTTATTTGTAAAACATTTTAAAACGGTCCTAAATTTCCGTCAACGGCCCGGTACTGTATATCATACTAAAGAAACATGTCGAACTGTGAGCCGAATGTATATTTTCGGCCTAATGAATAGTGCGAGAGCGTTTACCTGTTTAACCGCGGCAGGCGCCCTTGCCAGCATTATGGCAGCATGTTTCGAACTTGGACCACTTGGTGGAGGTCAAGGAACCGACTAACCAGTACTTTTGGTTGGTACCAGATTGGTAACCAGAGAGACCCGCCGACTTGCCACAGTCATAGGTGGGACCGACACCGGGAAGGATGCAGTCGTCACTGTTGCCCTTCTTGTAATTGCACCACACAGAGATGGCGCTGGCAGTGTAAGCGAGGCACAAGACAAGGAAGAAGAGAGCAGCTTTCATGATGAGAAATGGGAGACAGAGAAGGATCTGAAGTTTCGACAATTTGCTCGCCTGTCGCCTGGGCTTTATATACACGTTGACCGGGACCCGGATTGAATTCAACGTTGTTTTTGAACGTCATACTGATAAGTCTTCAGTCCTTTTACCGCATGAATTTGTGTAAGGGTATCTGTGGGTCTACTCATCACAGCCACAAGTAGATTTCCGAAACAGGGGATTTGAAGCATATCAATTTCTGGGCCTCGTTACAGCGACCCGCTTCTGTGATCTGAACGCTACATCACCAAAGGCATCTAGCCTAGTTTTGTCATCGTGTGAATCAAAGCACAAGGACACAACAGCGTGCACGCCTTGACAAACGTTTGTGTCCGATAATTTGACAGTCATTCCTGGCCAACCAGAAATGAATCTTTTGCACCGGTGCAACTATGCATCGGTTGATGGCATGATCCCACCATGCCACAACCTTCCATATTGTCTGCAGATCAAAAATTGCAATACCCTGATCTCGGTGCAAACACATAGCGAAAATTTTTCGACTAGTATCTATTTGGTTCCATCGCCATTAATATTTTCCTGCCAATCTGGTATTCTCACCGTACCAGTTGCAACCCAAGTCGCCATTCGTCTGACTTATGAATTTTTCTTATACATATCCTGGAAGCCCGATCCGGAGGCCTTAACAACCGACGCCTCAAGTTTTCTGTGGTGCCAATTTTCCACTTTGGCTTTTCTATAGATCATAAGAGAAAAGACTAGACACGCAACATCATATGCAATCATCGAACACGCAAGCGTCGTCATTTCAAAACAGAGGGTTTGATGGTGGAAAAAAGGCAGAAAATACATAAAGTTGGTGCTGTGCAACAACATGAATTAATTTTGTCAAACATCCTGGATGGAGGTCCCCTGCCTGATCTGTGCAAGTATATTCCCAGGTAGAAAAAATCTCCAATCACAGGCCAAGAGAAAGACAAACTTATCCAAGCTTCGTTAGGACTATTACATAAAAGAGGTCAAGGCCTGTAATAACCAGAGCGAGTTTTTTCACAAAGAGCAAGTTAAATGCCCAGTTGCGCAGCAAACGAAAGGGCAACTTGGGCGGCCAGTTTCCGCCTTTCCTCATCAGGTAAATTTTGGCTTTGTTCTACTCAGCTAAATCAGTTATGGTATGTCGGATCAATTCATGCGTGCAAAACTTACCACGCATAGCTTTCATCAGTTCAAACGTCTTATCTAGCCCGTCCTCCTCTTCAATACCACCAAACAACTGTTGCTGCATTCTCTCAATATCCGCTGCACTGGGCAATTCTGTAACGGAAAAAAAATCAAGTTCAATATCGCTTCCAATACCCTCAGCAGTAGTCACTGTTGGCGCGATAATTACCCAGGTCGTCATCATCATCGATGTCGTCTTTGGCTGGATCATCTAATTCAGACGAAAATTTTTCATTGCCTTCTTGGTCTTTTTCGTGTTGCAACTTCAGCGATTGCAATTCTGTACGTGAGATAAGGTTAGCCAACTTGAATTCGCGATGCTCAGATAGTCTTGTGTGACTTTTCTTCTTCTTCCAATACGCTACCTTTCAGTAATTCGATGGTTTCCTCGTCCTGGAGACTCCCGATATTTCCCTGTGGACCAGCCGGTTTTGCTTCGTTGTGTTTCCTTATCAGTCCATCCCACATATTCGTTTGTAACACATCCACGGCCAAGTCCAGCCCTGCCTTATCCAGATCGATTTCCGTCGTATCATGCATATTGATGTATTCAAATTGGTGCTCTAGGCACCAGTCTTCGAAATTGGTATCTGGGGTTGCACTCGGTGAGCTTGTATCGATGCATAAACGAATGGCGGGATCACACGCTTCAAGAAAAGGAAGCCAGTGCCGAATATCATGAAAACTTTCTGACTAATTTTTTTCTATCAACCACCATTCGCGATGATCATTTTGAATTATTATTGGTTGGCTTACCTTGCTGCTTTGAAAAACAAAAACAAAGGCATCCACGACTCGTGCCACCTCGTTGCTTTCTTCGGCATAGGCCTGCGCGGTCTCTTTTATGTTTTCAACAGGAATCTCATCCAACCAAAAAGCCACGTCTGCAACGTAATACTTTGTGTTAATCGTCCAAGGAATGCTGATGCCTGTAATGGTGTTGTCGGCATCTTGGATTGCCTTTTGTACGTCGGCATCGCGGAACTCGCTTTGGGTGGTGGTGAGAATGCCTTGCGCAACGGACAATGAGGAGAACGCGTTACACATACAGTTTGACTATCCATACCTTTGACAAATTCAAGCGTTCCCGCATTGGGATGGCCGGTGACTAAAATTTTGTTACGAAGCATAATCTATTGAAAACGAGTAAAGATATTCCAAAGAACTCGATTTAATATGTGAGGCCCCTCTCTTGTGAAACACGTCACATGATCCGCCGTACGGTAATGCCAAAAAATTCGATTTGGCACTCCTCGAAGTTCGTTTTGTTTTGACCTAAATTAGTTATCATGGATGAGAGAGCGCTCGAAGTGAAGAGACTGAGAGAAGAGAGAAAAGCGGCTAAAAGAGAAAGAAGAAAGCAGAAAGGGCTTCCGGAAGAGCCTGCTCCGCCAACCCCACTTCCACCTCCTAAACCGTTGTCTCGTTCGTTCCAGCGCGTCCCTTACAAGCGCAAGTTGGCCAATCTCGCTGGCCATTTTACCGTCATGACCTACAATGTTAGTTTCACAGTGACTTGGGTAAAAAAGTAGCTTCTCAATATCGTGTAACACCGAATCGATAGATTCTGGCGCAAGCATTGATCAAACGTGAATTGTTTCCTCACTCGGGCGATCTCTTGAAATGGGTAAGTCAACAGGAAGAGCACTGGTTATTGAGGCATATCAGTGAACCGTTCAACATAGAAAACAAGAAGGAAGATGGTGATGGATGAAATTACCATGTATAAACCGGATATTTTGTGTTTACAAGGTAAGCTCGATACGTAAAAGTAATCCGAAATTGCGTTGTATTAATGTTGACTCGGTAGAGGTCGATATGTACGAAGAATTCTATGAGTCACAGTTTTCAAAGTTGGGGTGAGTAGCTTGTTATTTCGACACGCGTATCATAAAGTCAGGTGGAAATTCATGCATCAACTAGATACAAGACTTTATTTTATAAACACAGCACCAAGAAACATGGTAAGATGAAAACACGCGCGTAATGAACATTCAAATTTACATCACACTTTTAGGTTGCATGATTGGTTATCAGGCTGGCCAGTTTACTTTGGCGGAAAATCGAAATTTTGACTATGACACCGACGATCTTTGTCCCGTCACACAAAACACTGGAAATATCATGCAACTGGCAGCTCTCAAGCATGTCCACCAGCAACATCTTGGCGTCGTGGTTGGCAACACTCATTTATACTGGCGGCCCCAGTCCTCTTACGAAAGATTACGGCAAGGCGCCATCTACAATAGGAAATTGAGCCAATTTAGAAAAGAGCTGGCAGAAACTCACGGCCAAACACAATGGCATGCTTTGATGCTTGGAGGTAACACCATCTTTCTTCACGCACAGTCGCTTGTCTTGAGCTTTTTGGTGACTGAACATGCTGTAGACTTTAATTCGACGCCCACCGATCCACTGTATGCAAAGATGGTAGGATTAGAACTCACGGATTTCCATATGCAGGACTTGCAAATGTCAAGACGCGCCTTTTCGCAAGATGAGGATGAGACCTCGGTCTCGGCTTTTGCAGACCGATCAGAAGAGGAAGAACAAGAGCCTCGAGACGATCTGATCCCCGTGGACGAATTATTGTCCTACTTTAAAGACATACCAAAATGGAAAAGTGTATATCAATGCTATGCACAGCTGGATAATTCCATGAGCGATGGTTTGGGAGAACCGAGATTCACGAATTACGCTGAAGTGTTTCAAGGCACACTAGATTATATATTTGTGGAAGACACCTCAGTGACCCTGGCAGCGTCGGAGATTCTTATGCTACCGAAAGAAGACGATCTCAAACCTGCGCTGCCTAATAAAAATTATGGTAGCGATCATTTGTGTCTTTTAGCTAAACTAGACTTTGGTGAATAAAAAGGCTGAATGTAGACATCTCTACCGCACTATAGATTTGAATGCGGGCTTTTTTCATGTCTCTGCGGCTGCGTTAGTAGATAATTGGATTGGTTCCCACCAGTTTTATGATAAACTAATTAAGAAGCGTTCTATTGCTGGAGAGACTGTTCGGTCACCGGCTGAACATTGACCTTTTTTTTTTCTGATATTTCCGTATTTGGTATTTTCCCCTTTTTCGTGATTCAGAAATTGCCTGTGCAATTTTTCTGCTGCTGGGGCGTGCGCGCGAGAAAACTCCGCACGATAATTGAAAGGAAAGAAAAATGAGCAGGAACGCGATCTCAATAAAGTAAACTCTCTTTTTTTTTTTTTTGGTGCTTCTTTCCAACAGTATGCACGTCAAACTTCTTGGTCCAGGGCTGTCCTTGAAGGACGCTACACTACAAGTCGAACCGCAAATGACGGTCCGCAAGTTCCGTCAGCTTGTCGCCACCATGCTGGAACTACCCACCAACGGTTTTCGAATGATCGCTCTAGGCAAGATTGTAAGAACTGTACCATTTGCGTGCCTGTTTCTCACAAAGAGGTGCTAACGGAATGTCACTTCAGCTAGAAGATTTTTGCGCTGATAAATCACCTGCCACTTTGTTTGTCACCTATCGCATAAAGAACAACACTTCCGTATTGATTCACAAGATCAGACGCGAGGATGCGCCATCAACCCCATCAGAAGAAGCCGCTAACACGAAAGCAAATGCAGACCAACTGCAAGATGTCGAAACGAATGATGTATCTACACAAACCCCCATGGGTCCTAACGACGATTACCAATGTCGTACCTGTCACAACAACCCGCGCACAACCAAATGCCGTGAATGTGGTTGTCAAAAGTGTCTCAAAAAGTCAGGAAATCCATTGGTATGTATGGGAGAAAGTAAAGCAAAAGACTTGCATCAGACTGAGGTGATGTTTGCATGTATAGATTTGCGATGAATGCGATATGTACTGGCATATAGAATGCGCAGGTCTCGATGCTGAGCCTACAGACGATTATTGGTAAGTAACGTTTTGAATTGCCCTCACGATCTCGTTGTAAAGGTTGATGCGAATACCTTGGCGACTAGGTATTGTCCCAACTGCAAAAATCAGGATGTCGACGTGATCGTTGGGTCCGGTAAAGGGGTCAATATGAGAAATTCCAAGTCGGCTAAAAAACCTGCTGCTATTCAAACCAAAGCTTGGGGCGGTGGCATATCGTGCTCGGGCAGGGACAGGGAATGTGTTATAGGCAAGTGGATGGAACACCCCAAGAGATCGGTTTGACAATGGATAATAACCACCGCCAATGCAGTTCCTAGCACACACGTAGGCGCCATTCCTGGCATTTATTGTGGTCAACAATGGGAGTATAGATTAAAGTGCAGTGAATGGGGTGTACACAGGTGAGAATGATATCAGCCTCCACAAAAAAAAGTGACCAAACCATGTTTAACCTAGAGACTGTGCCATGCACGAAACCTCTTCGTAGACCACCTGTAGGCGGGATTTCCGGTTCCACGGCTACCGGTGCTGTATCTGTTGTCCTATCCCAAGGCTACGCTGACGATAAGGATTATGGCGACGAGTTTTTATATACTGGCAGTGGCGGCCGAAATCTGGAAGGCAACAAGAGAATGGGAAAGCATGCTTCGGATCAGGAATTAACACGGTTTAATCTCAGTCTCGCCATGACCTGTGCTGCCCCGGTCGATGCAAAGAATGGTGCGGAAGCAGCCAATTGGAAAGAAAGTCGTGCTATTCGTGTATGCCGCACCAAAAAACTGGCCGTCTATCATCCCGAATACGCTCCGTCCGATGGCGTACGCTACGATGGAGTATACAAAATCGTGAAATACTGGCCCGAAAAAGGTAGGGATTTGCGGGTGCTTGTCATCATTCACTGGTGTCGTTTCAAGGGACGCTGAATCTTAGTATTGTAGGTGAAAGTGGTTATCGTGTATGGCGATTTCTGTTCCGGCGAGATGATCCATCGCCTGCCCCCTGGACGGAAGAAGGCAAACGGTCCATTGAACAGGCCGGTTTGCGTACCATTATGGCCGACCCTCAAAAAACCGAAAATAAAAAACGCTATCGAATTCCATCGCACATCTCCAAGCTGATGGATCAAGATGCGGATGATAAACGTATCTGGGACGAAGTCAAAAACATGGTATTCTGGTCGGAATACGAGTTTATTCATCATGTCTTTGCCAATGCTATTGTTTGTCCGAGTGGCACATGCGCTATACCCATCGTTGTATGTATTCTTAGGAGGCACCATCGTATATACCGAAATTTTATCGTTATTGAATGTAAAAACTGACCTGTGTTTTTTTTTCTCTAGGATCCGGTGACTACACCTTGCGGTCATATATGCTGCAAACATTGTCTCAAACACAACGAATCCTTTACTTGCAGCACGTGCCGCAGTGATATTTCCGAATTGAGAGGCAAGAAAAAGCTGGTGAACGACGATCTTGTGGCTGTATTGAAAGCATGCAACTGGGCGTATGGCGTCAATACATCGTCCCCTCTACCCAAGGTATCCAAGACAACCTCGGCCAAAAAGAAGGTAGTAGACGATAGTCATGACAATCTGTTGTTGCCACCGGACTCTCCGATACCAACCGCCGAAAAACGGGCTCGTTCGACAAAATCGTGGTCATTGAGAAAAAGAACGCGTTCTTGAATAATGTGTCCCAACTATTCACTCTGTCAGAATCTATCAGTTTGCGATATTCAGTTTTTTTCCCCCGCTTCCTTCCTCCGTTTTATCTGCAATGTATATAACTCGAAAGAGTGCCTCCATCTAAAATTAACTAACACTTGGCACGGTTTAACAGCATCGGGTCAAGATGCGTTTTTATAACATTATAAAGATACACAAAAATAGAAATTAAAAAGAAAGTAGGTGATTCACCTAAGCACATCATAGAAGTACAGTTTAATTAAAAAAATCTGGATAAAAAAATTTTACAAATCAAAAAAGAGACCAGGTAATGTTGTTAAAGTTAATCAAATAAGAGAGGAAACCAAAGGACAAAGACATAAAATAAATGGATATGCATTAGACAAGCCACGCTTACTCTTCTTTTGTTTTCACTTACAAAAAAACTGTTTTCACCGCTTCGCGGGAGCCGCCACCGCACACCACCAAGGCATGGGCTTTGTTCATAATTTTGAACTATGGAAGCACACACAACAAGTGAGTGATTCGGGATAACATTCGAAGAGGAAGGCCACTTGAGCACAAATACATTACCTTTAATAAAAGTTTCTTTGTTGCCGTCAAAAAAAAAAAAAAGGATTTTCGGCGCGCAAGCTAATATGATATGTAGAGGTTCAGTCGTTTTGATATCACAGTTGTGGTCATCATGAGTATACGTACAGTGCAACTGGGTTTAAGCAAAAGTTATAAAATAAGCAATAAAAAATGTATGGCGCGATGGATGGTTTTGCGAAAAAAAGAAATAGATGTGCGATGAAGAGAAAAAAAGAAATGAATGGAAGATGCATCACGTTATAGACATGGAAAAAGAGGCGATCTCTCGTACTGTAGCTAAAAAAACCTTTATTGTCCAATAATGAAGCAGGAAAAAGACGCCATGTGTCTTTTCTCATCGCTTCATGTCATATTTATTCATTGATAAAGAGAGTGTGACCTCATCGCATGAAATAGCTTCATGAAATAGGTCTCAGATAATGTTAGAGAGAGAGATCATTATTCAAGTGTTCATATATCGGCTGGTAGGATACACAAGTGCACATAACTTTGGCAGAGATGGAATGAATGTCTCGTTAAATTATCGTTCAGCTCGTATTTACACTTTATTGAAAATAGAAGTCATCCTCGAGAAGCTGGCCTCTCTTTGATGAACAAAGTCGTCAGTTTCAGCGCAGGTATTATGCAGAGCCAAAGAAATATGAGGAAATCCAACCCCACTCCCGCCAATGAAGGACCAAGTCATGATTTTTTGCTTCTTTGCAATTTATTTTATTATCATTTCTTCATTTCGCGACAAATATGAACTGAAAGATGAAAAAGACATTAGGAAAGTCAATAAATTTATTGGGATTACCCAGAGTTTTGGCAGGGCACTGTACATGTGTTGGTCAATCCATTAGGATTATTTCTTATTACTCTTTTTTCCAACGGCTTTACGAAGCGACAAAATCGGCTCAAGAAGACATCGAAGGAAACCAGGCATTCTGCGCTCTCGGAGGGCCGGTGGTTTTTTCTCGGTAAAAGTCGAGCCGATGGTTGGTTCAGTAGAAACATGGCTATCAATACAAAAAGATAAGAATTGGAGAAAACCCAAGTGCATGAAACAGGCTTACCTTTGTTGGTATAACATGGCCACTAGAGCAGCACCGATACTGCTACCATCGGTCGCTGGTTCGATGCGGATCCGTTGAGCCACGGACGCGTCGAACCAGCGCGTTAATGCATGCATGATCCGGTCCGACATGGGGGCGTACATTTCGAAAGTGGATCCCGTGACGCCAATCACGATATCGTTTGAAGAGTTGATCATCTGTGGCTGTTGTTCGATGATAGCGCACATGGCCGCCGCAGCGAGATGAGCGCCACGTGTGGCAACGATCTTGCAGAGATCGGCTATCGTTGTCAGATCAGTCGCTGTCATGGTATAATCATCAAAGGTGAATAGAAGGCCAATACGATCCAAAGCATCCGGTTCATGTCTGTCTTTTTCAATGGCACTGAGATGCGCGGTTTCAAATCCCCATGATTTGGTGAATTGGAGGGGCATGTGTCCTTGAAACAAGCGTCGTTGATCAATCAACTCTATTCCCGCCAGTCGTACGAGCTCTCCCAAATAGGCACCAGACATCATTTTTTCATACAGCTGAAACTTGGGTTGGGTGTGCTGGGCGTCCAAGGCAAGGTCGAAGCGATTTAGGGGGAGATAATCATCGCTGCCAAAAATATCAATTTCTGTATTGACAAGCATTTCTTGAGTTGCGTCTTGGGCGGGCCATGTGTCTTGCAGTTTGGTAATGCACTGTACTTTTTCAGGATAGGCTGCATTGACCCCTGTGCCGTAGATGAACCCCACACGGACTTTAGGGTTAGCATACGCATGAGCAACCAATGTACCCACGGTATCATTGAGCAATGCCGTCACCGTAATGTCGAGTCCCTAGTGCCCTTGTTAGCTTTCGTATTTTCTCTGCCGTCGTCATGAGTACCGTACTTTGCGTTGAAAAGCTTCTTTGAATAGGGATTGGAGGTCTTTGTTGTCGATCCCTTTCAGATCAAAACCTTTGCCCATGCGTAACACTAAACCTGTGGCAATACCTTTTTGGCTGAGATGGCGTCAAAATGTTACATAAGGAGATAAGGAGAGGATAATTGTTAGCGCGAAACCGCCAAAATTACCCCTTGAAATTAAGGTTTCTCTTTTTCTTTGGTTTCTTTTGGTTGGCTGATTTCTGTTTTGTCTTACAATGACTTACTCGAGAGGAAAGCTCCAGCAGACGCCCATGACAAGTGGCGTTTGAACGTTAATTTTTTGCACAAGCTCATGGACAGTGTCTACAATCCAATCGAAAAAGGCTTCTGCTGTCCCTGTGCGAAGTGGATCTTTGACTGCAATGGACCGTTTGACCTCGGTCACCGTGACTTGACCATGGCCTAATAACTCGACAGCACAGACTCTTAGCGTACTACCGCCGAGATCCAAGGCAAGATAGGTGCCCGTTTCACGCCCAGTGGGCAATTTGGTGACATAGGAGGGAATCATGGTCGCCAGACCTGAAGCAGACATGGTCGCCAGCCCGCTGTTCAATTCAGATTTGAATCCCTGAACAATGGCTTGGAATTGATGCGGTTCCAAAGCAAATGCATTTTGAATGTCTTGCAATGCGTCTGCCATACCAATACAAATAAAAACAAAGGAATGAATGAATGAAATGAATAGACGGAAGAACAAGAGAAAGCTAGGTGGAACACGATTTTTTGCCTTGAAATACGAGCACACGGGGGAAAAAATAAGGGGACTCAAAAAAAAAAAATTAAACGTATGGTGGAGAAGAAGAAGCCATTTTTAGAAAGTCATCAACGGATAAACAGCAGTGTTTTGTTAAACAAGTGGTACAAAGGAGTTCATATTGTACGTCTCATGATACCCAGATGCCCACATTTTCTTTTTTTCTTGCTTTCCCTGAGGACCCTGGATTATCCAGGGCCATGATGCCAACCATGAGTTACCAAAAGCAGGTGGATTGTGTGTCAGTCATGAATCGATTCAATAGTTTCAAAGAACTTTGTGCATGAGAAAAAGCAGATGAAGAGTGATGTAAAATTTCCTTTTTTTGCAGTAGTTATGAACTTATATAATAGTTTACATGTATGAACAATAAAAAATAAAACGGGACGGATTATGTAACAAAAGTTTTTAAAAGTCCCCTATTTCCTGAGGTGGTGCTTTTTCGTTGTTTGTCTTACTCCAAAGGACCATTCATCGGAGTCTTGGGGTGGCTTGCGGGACCTTTCAATTGTTTCACACCACCTAGAGAATTTACATAATGTGTTTTAGAACACTTTGGCTTCCAACGACAAACATTTGATCGGGTGACTTTTTTTTTCTTACCTTGCAGAGACAAATTCTCAGCACCAATAAGGTTCTGATGTACGTGTTCAATCGACTTGAAGTATTTAACAGTCTACCGAAACGGACATATCAGCATCTTCGTAAAAATCCAAAAACAACAATCACATTCTTGGATCCGAGCCAGACAAAAGGGAAACGCAGAAAAAAAACAATCCCAAGCTTATTTCCCTTTCCAGACTCAGATCCCTTTTTTTTTTCTGTCCTACCTTGACGTGCAATTCAAGGGTCGCGTCCTCATCACACACAATAAGACCCTTGGGGTGCATTTGGATAGCAGACACAGTCCACATGTGGTTGACACCCTCTTCAATACACTTGGCCAAAGCAATAGCCTATAAAGGAATGACCCAAATGTTAAGTTTTTGCCCTTCTCTTCTCATTCGTGTATACGGAAAAAAGAGAAATTCTCACCTTGTGTGCGCCGGTGATGATAACGACGACTTCACGAGCATCCATGACAGTGCTAAACGAGTCATAAGAGATGTTACAGTGAGTATTCAATCTCCGACTATCCAAAAAGATTTTCCAGAGGGTCGATGAACTTACGCAACACCAACAGTCAATGCAAGCTTGGGGACCTTGGTCACATCACCATCGAAGAAACGAGCGTTGGCAATGATGGTTTCGTAAGCCAAAGTCTTGACACGAGTGCGGGAGGTCAAAGAGGAACCGGGTTCGTTGAAAGCAATGTGACCATCAGGACCGATACCGCCCAAGAACAGTTCAATACCGCCAACACGGGCGATCTCCACTTCGAATTTCTTGCACTCTTCATCCAAATCAGGAGCGTTACCGTCCAAGATGTGAACATTTTCAGGCTTGATGTCCACATGCATGAACAAGTTCTTCCACATGAAAGAGTGGTAGGATTCGGGATGGTCGCGGGGCAAACCAACATATTCATCCATGTTGAAAGTGACGACATGCTCAAAGCTCAACTCGCCGGCCTTGTGCAATTCAACCATCTTCTTGTAGACACCGACAGGAGAGCTACCAGTAGGCAAGCCAAGAACGAAGGGACGTTCAGCGGAAGGCTTGAACTGAGCGATACGCTCCTTGATGTAGTTGGCTACAAAACGCGATGGTGGGTTAAGTCCGAGGGTTCGTTACAGCCAACACATACCAACATCCAAGGCTTACCAATATACGAAGAAACGTGGTCGGCGTCTTCACGGATGATCAATCTCATGGTTGTTGTGTAGTGATAGTTGAAGAAAAAAGAAGAAAGGCTAAATTAGCACAAACCCCTACCCATTTATTACGAAAAAAAAAAAGAGGCGTCTGGCCACGTTTGCCCGGACCAATCATGACACACGTGGATTTCTAGGACCGACGATGTGAAATGACCCATGTTTGGGTATGATTTTCCACTGAATGGTACATCTTCCTCATGGAACGTTATGCAGTTTTCCCTCATGCGTCACCCATCTATACTTTAACAGAACGTCTGATAGCTTAATTTTATTTGTTACAACATTTACTTTTGCTTAAAAAATTGAATCGAAAGGGAAAAGGAAGTATTGACTGAGAGCAAAAAAAAAGAGGACTTGAATCTCTGTGTTCATCTTGACAGTCAAATGATTGGCTGGTAAACTGATTACATAACCAACCTTTACTTCCGTTGTCTCCGACAGGACCCTTGGCTATCCCTTGTGGGCACTTTTTTTCTGTTTTTCCTTTCCCCAATCAGTTTTTTTAAACATCCGGTCCGCATAGAAAAAAATACGAATGCTTTGTCTTTTCATTGGATGTTGTTGGATACTCTGTGTTCAAGATGACCTATGAGCCTCTTGTTGTAACAAGGCAGAAAAAAATTCTCTCATCGGCTAATCAGCAGATACGGATTAGTTCGTCACATTTTTGTACTTCGAATGACGTTGACGACGTGTGACCAGCCGACTCCGTACCGCAGTTTTTCTCTCTCATTCCATTCCGATGTATCGAAATTTTTTTTTTCGAAAGCTAATAAAGATAGAAATGGTTCAAGAAAAAAAAAACAAGCTTTCAACACAGTTACAAATGCGGATACGGATAAATGTATCTAGAAAGAATCAAATTTAAAGAAAGCCAAAAGGAGAAACAAATGTAAAACTGAATGATCATTACTGAATACTGAAGAATATTGCACGATAAAATTCCCAGATCATAGAAATTCGATTCGAAAGCTCGTCGATCTTGGTAGAGCGCAAAAATATGCGTTTGGGAAAATCACACCACACCCGTCTGCCCAATTTAAAATTAATGTCGCTGTTTTGAAATCAATGACGTACCAGCAGGACCGGCCTCTTTTTCCTTTATATCCAGCGCACCTAACAAAACGTCCAACAACCAACAATTTCGGAATCTGAGAATTTGCAGAACTCATGGTAGATTAATTATCTTACCGTAAACCTTGGGCATAAGTGATCTAATATCTTTGAAGAACTACCAGGTTGTAGGGTTTGAAAGAATTACCCTTCTTTAACAAAAATTTGATACGGATCTTGGGAAAACTTCCTCAGTTACGATGTATCTATTATTTGATCCATTCTCATACTTGTGTGCTTGATTGCAATTCTTAACAAACCAGTGCTTTATAAGAAGAGCTGTGGCGAGAAGCAGGCATTATACAGTAAAATTAAATCCAGATGTGTCGCTTGATGTAACACCTTATTATAAAAGACACTTGGTCGTAAAATAAAATTAATCGCTTTTGGTGGTCGATCGTAAATAATGGAAATGTATACGAACTTCTAAAAGTCTCCTATAAATCGGTGATCTACAGTATGAATGACTCCAAACTACAAGGATTAAATTATTTCTCGTTTCCATGCTTTTCTGATTTCAAGAAATGGCATACAACAGTAGTTCTTTTTTTTTTTTTTTTTTTTTTTTGGCAACGAAATAAAGGTGAGCTCAAGATGTTGTTGGTGAAAATAAAAAACTTGTAGATGACTTTCATCTAATTTATTAACCAACGACCATCGACTGTTTCGGCGCCTCGTTTGCACGTTGACCTGCGTTGCATGGCAACGTGTAGTCCGATCCTGTCCATTTGGTTGGTTCCCAGGCAACAACGGTTACCGATAACTTGATGACACCCACATTTTGCTTTAATCTCATTATGCCTGCTATTTTACCATTTTTTCTTCATAAAATTTGACTTGTTATTACAGTATTTCTCTGGATTTTGCCTATCTGACTTTTTTTTTTTATCTCGCCCGTTGCTTTTTCTTTCCCTATCATTTGTCTTGGAAATTTTGTGGCTTCGAGTCGAATACCGGTAAACTGCAAAGGATTACATCGGCATTAAGAAAATGCGGTTTTGCGTTACTTCAAATAGTGATACTGTTATTTAAAGTGGATCGACAAGATACTGAAAAATAACACACACATTGGCAGGTAAGCAGATTTTCAAAGCCTTTCAAAACCTTTATATAAAATTTACGTTGAAAAAAGAAGGTCATTGTGGATGGGTTATGCTTACTCGGTTGTTGCTTTGAGAACAATGGGAGAAACCACGGTCTTGATCCGTTGACACTAGACTGTAAGCGTAAAGTCCACTTCAAATTCCGAAGCTCATTTTATACATCATTTTCTCTCCTTGTATTCTGAACTCTTCGTTTTCGACCCGATGACATTTGCTAATCTCTTATCTCGTCACGCTCATCCAAACTCCCATGATGATCAGTCCAAAACTGAGCGTGTACCATCCTCTGATGCTAAATCACACTCTTCTCCAAATGATATCATCTCCACCACAGAACGTGAAAACGCAGTCGGCAATCTGCAAAGCGCTTTTCCAACGATAGAAGCCGAGGTGATTGAAGCCGTACTGGACAGTCAGAATAACAAGGTAGAAGCGTGCTTTGAGGTTCTGCTCAGTATGACCGATCCAAGTTATGAATCGGAAACCGCTGAAATGACTCCAGAAGCTCGTCATTCGCAGACTTCCGCATTAGATCAGCAGACGCAGCAAGACGAATTACTGGCGAGAAAACTAGCATTGGAAGAGCAAGAGCAACAACAAGACCAGTCCCAAGGTATGTCAAGTTTGAAGCATATGATTTCAATCACAGCGGAGTTGATTTCAACGCATTATGGGCAGCGCGATCTGGTTTCCATATCCAAGGTAAAGTGATATTATTTCTGTTTCCGTCGCTTGCTTTTCTTTCAGAGACTCAACACCTATTGTGACAGAGGAAATTCCTGTTATAAAAGAACGCGTGATGGAAGCAAGTCATTGTAAGCTACATTATCATCAGGTTTATCATGGGTGAGGGTTTAACGTGTGGATTGACACAGTGGCGAAAAAGAAGGTTTTGGATTTTTATTCAAGTTTGAAGTCCAAACGATCTTCTGGTTCAGCTACCAGCGAGTCTACCGAAGGGCCAAATGCGTCACCTGCATTACACACAGATAACAAGCAAGTGTCGCTGTCAGTGAATGTAGCAGAGTTTTTACTAACCATCTTCTTGTCTTATAGTGAGGTGAATGAAGCTAGCTTATCCACGTGGAAAGTCGCCAGCGAAAAACCTGCAATTTACTGCCGCGTACCAACAGTAACCTCTGTCGATCTGTACGAATGGGATGGTATGATAAGGTTTTCTTCTCTGCGCCTTTTTTTTTCGTGTATGCTGATCAAGAAACGATGTATGATGCAGGCAAGGATTGTTCAGAGACGACATCGAACACTGACAAGGAACGTAAAACTTCAACATCTGCAGCGCAGCTGAAAGAGGATGAAGACCTTGCCTATGCCTTGGAACGATGCTTCAATAGCCAATATACCAGAAGTAAAATGAACGGAAAACCAGGGCGATAGGACATAGAGACTCACATGAGCCCTTTTTTTTTATGAATTTTCATTTCAGCCAATAGCACATCCAGCCAATCGTTTGCAAGCCAGGGCCATACTTCGTCTCAACCAGGCATCAAGCATCACGATAACACACTGTCTGATAATCATTCCGAGAAAAATCATTCCATAGATGGTAAGTCGATCCATCATCCGTTACTGTTTGATCAAGTCACTGAATTTGCGCATGCCAATAGATGACCCTATTTATCTTCACACCTTGCAAAAGCAGACATATAATATTAATGACCATGATGAGTTTGAAGATTTACTCAAACTAAAATCATAATTCAAATAGAAGAACATTGACAACTATGGCGGGTCACGATGATGTAGCCACTGTGTTACGCGTAGTGAAATGGAACAAGGCGAAATTAAGCTTTGTGGGTGTGACGGGCTTTATGAGGGTCCGCGAAGCGGGCATCTGGGTGATAGTTTTGCAACTGCACAGTTTATTGCAGGAAAACACAATATGTACAACGGAGAAACTTTTCTCAAGTTGCGTTATGCAACGGATCCCGAAGCAGAAACATTTTTTCAATGGGAAGGAACTGTATTGTAAGATCGCAAGGTTTTCAGGGAAGGGTCGATGAGTCAGGTGTTTATCGTTGTCTGTTGTAGTGCTTTCATTCCAGGCCAACCGCCAAAGCGAGTATTCGAATGCGTTGGCATGAATGTCGCTAGAGCCACCGTAGAGGACGGTAAACTTTACGTGACAAGCCGCGAGTTAACGTATTTCCTCGACCCGACCACTCATGAAAAGTTGGACGAATGGGTCAATCCCTGGACAAACGAGACATTACCCGGTATGACATAACGGCCATTTTTCAAAAGGATGGGAATAGAAGCAAAGGTTGACTTATTATTATTTCGATATTTCTAGTTATTCATATTGCGAATGACCCGGTGCAGATGGCTTTGCCTATCGGAATCCCACTTAACGCACGGAGTAATGCCGCTAGCAATACCACTGCCGTGGCAGTTGAGGTACACGAGCATGAATTAAATCCATGGATACCATTCCATACTCACCATGAGATAGATTCCGCTATTCTACCCGAATCCCTTGGCAACAGAGGAGGGAAAATTTGACGCATATGATGGCAACAAAATGTATCAAGGTACGATGCATATCCATCGACATTTTCGAGCTAACCATTGATACTGATGGCTTCCTTTTCTTTTTTTTATCTGTCTTCAGCGGGTGAATTCTTTACTTTCAGATGCGCAACGTCTGATTTGGAGAAACCGGACACCATTGATAAGGTGGACCTCGACTGGACACGCATCTGTGGATTTGCTCCGTTTATGAAAATGGGCAAAACCAATGGATATTTGATTTTCCATTGCACTGGGTACAAACTGCCTCAAAACTCCACATATGAGCAACTCCATCCGGTGTTGCGCAAGGAGATTCAAGACCGACTCAGCGAATATGCGCATGCGCCATGCAAATACGATGCGGCCGTCAAAAGTGTGTCGAGCTGGAGCTATTTCCGACAACATTATGATCGCTACGTCAATGATCCAAAGACGGTTTGGCCAGTAAGCCAGGCAGAATAAAAAAAGAAACTATTGTAATGATTTCATCATGGGCGTGAAACACCATGCAAAATAAAAAGCGTTGAATGTGAATGTCTTCCATGCTCGTGTAACTTTGGCCAGGCAAAAGGGAATAGGACAAACGCTGCGTTTCACGGCCTAGGAAAAAGATGGAAGCACGAGAAATCCATCGAGTGGTACAATATGATATCATTCAGTCCAATTGGCTGTTAATTAAAAGAGCTCGTTCCCTCTAAACCATAACAATGTATTGCAAAACGACCAACGAGCCTATCAATGTACATTCCATGCACTATAAAAAGCGATTTTGCCATATTCATGCGTGCATCAGCCTCATGATATGCTGGTTCATATGAAATTTTTTACACCCCACGTCGGTTGTTGGTTGATGTGTTACTCGCCAGCGCACGCTTGGCTTATCAAACGAAGATCTCTTTTTTGTGTGTTATGTCCTCGTCGTGGTTCACATGACGAGAATAATAATTGTTAAATACCTCAAGACGATATCTAAAAGAGGCATAAACGGCCAAAATGAGATGTTTCAGAGACATGGCTCAACTATGTATATGGCTGGCATTTTCAGAGAGCTGTCGTCTATCCATCGGAACCTTCGCTTGATCGGAATAAGCTATTGGCAAGCCGACAGCAAAACATGACTAAACTTTTTTACTTGATATTTTTTTTTTTTACACAGCGTGCTGCATGTCTGATACATTTGTTCGGCGAGGAATTACAGTAGTGATATCCATTTATTTTATCTGCTACCCCTGGAGGCATCAAAGCCCCAAAACAGCTTCTTATGGATCAGCAAAAGAACGCACAGCAGGTGAGACGAGAAAAAATAGACTTTTGACTCGCGTCTGAGATCGTTTGATTGCAGAATAAGATAAGCCGACCATTTGATTCACGGAAGAATATTAAATTATTCTTTTTGCATCTTGAAGTAGAGTATGATATTTCAAAGGTTACAGCCATCGTTACTCATATGCAAGCATGACACCATTATGAATAAACGTTTGTTCTTTTTTTTTTTTATTTAGACGAGCTGTTTAGGGCGGGATTCTTTTTTGGGGAGTGGTCAGTTATATTGTTTTAGGAATATTGTACGCTCAATGTCATACGATGAATTTCTTTTGGAAGTTTCGTGTTTTGAAGCAATTCAAACACTGTAGAGAAGTAAAAATACCATGGTTCCTTGCCGGGTTCAGGTTCCACATCTTGGTTGTTCTGAACAAACGCGAATAAACACCACGATGTTAATCAGATTCTTGGAAAAGAGAAACATGATTGCTATTTTGGGCGATCTCTAGATTGTTTTTTAATCACCGAACACCTAAATTTGATTGGGTGGTGATGGTCGGGAAGAGGAACTTTAGTGTGACTATTTATTTTTACAATGAACTTCTACAGGACGGGCCTGGAACATTTAGCCACAGATCACTCAAAATTCTTCCAATTGGGAATGGATGCATTGAGGACTGTGGACGTTGATTGGACATGCAATCACTGCCTTCAGTTGCCATTGGAGTATCAAAATGGAGTGTGAAAGATAGAGCGGTCGAAGAAAATGTATTCTGGCTTTCAACCCCATTACAGCCTAAAAATTTCTTTCCTGTTGTTCTTTACATTTTCCCCATCGAGAACTGTCAAAGCAATAGCAGACAAGCCATTCCATCTCACATTTTATCTTGAATCACCCGAAAAAAACGAAAATCGCAACAGTTGTAGCTTTTTCTATCTTGTTTATATTTCATTTCCCGATACGCTGCTTAAGTGATTTAGGAAACTGCTTTTTTTTATCAACATTTTTTTTTTTATATTCCCAGATCTTGCTCCATTCCTATTCGCTTGTGATTTGCTACGTTTGAACAAGTTCACCAGCTATATTTTTTTTTTTTTTTTTCATTTCCTTTCTCGAGGCATCACATATTCTGATATTGTTCTTCTTACACAAAGACTATTTGGATTTTCATATTTTCAATTCTATACTCTTTGTACTTTTTCCCCTAGTCTTTCAAAAACTACTTCAGAAGCCTGCATTCTCCTTGTGAGAATTCCATTTAACCTTTTTTTTTATACTTTTCTTAATTGACCCATTCAACATTACGTTGTTATGGAGGCACACCAGCTGGACTTGTCGTCAACTATATCACACATCTCGGAAACGCATGCATCTCTTCAGAATATCGTTGCCTGCGCCCCTAATCAAGAATCACAACCTATAGCCCCCGCACCGACATCGACGGACGGTCCCTTTCCGTTCGGAAACTCAGTTACCACAGGGACTCACGATATAACGACCCACTTTAGCATAAGCCCACATATTACCACACCAGAAGATGGTCAACCGCCGCTCATGCACCAAGCCATGTACACGAATCTCGCCGCATCTTCGTCGTCTTCGTCTGAAGCGCCCAGTCATCTGAGTCCAACCGACGAAGCAGCTCACCAGCATCATCATCAACAACAGTCACAACAACCAATGGGAAACCTGCAGCATCCTGCATCCGAAAGACCAGCAGCACCACAACAAACGTCCTCGGGAGACCAGTTGATAGACCATTACGGACAACAGTTGTCTTTGGCCATTGCCGCAGCGCAGGAGCAGGCGCAGTTGCAACAACTCTATAACCCGAACTCAGTAGATAATTCACCGCTGACAACGCCTGGTTTGACTCAGGATCCGATGGCTGTACACACCCCCGCTGACGTCAATCCCATGGTATCACTGGCAACAAACGATCATTTAGCCATGCATACACCGGCTTTGACGATGCCTCACGACATATCGCCTTCTTCTCAGTCTATGAATGTAAGTGAGAATGATTTTCAAAATCAGAAAAATCAAAGAATGTTCTTAGAACATATGCTAAACATTGGGTTTCTTATTTTCGTTCCATTAGCAACCCATCCTATCAATGAATTCAGGATCCCATCCTCACCACGATTTACCCATGCAGCCCGCTTCCCAGCCAGAGGCGTTTCACAACGTGGCCGACGGATTTGCTCATCAATCCGATCTCATGCTTGTCCAGAACAACAACTCGTTGAATCTAGGACATCAGTCGCCGCAGGACCATCAGCAGCAACAGCAGCAGCAGCATCAACCACAGCAACAAGAGCAATCCCATCGGCCGCAAGACCAGCTGCCTTCTCATCAACCTTTGCAAGAAGCACAGCAGCAACAACAACAAGCACAGCAACATCTCCATCAGCAACATCACCACCAACAGCAGCAATATCAGCAGCAATTGCACGAACAACAAAAACAACAGTTGCAGAATCAAGAGCATGAACAACGTCTGCGTGAATCGCTGCATCATCACTTACAGGCTCATGGAGGGTCGCAGTTGCATGAGCAGCAACAGCAACAATTGCATGAACAAAGCGTACATGAACAACACCAGCATCTTCATGAACAACAGTTACATGAGCAGCATCAACAACAACAACAGCAGCAGCAGCAGCAGCAACAACAACAGCAGATGCAAGAACATTTGCATGAACAACAACAACAACAGCAGCAGCAGCAGCAACAACAACAACAGCAACAACAACAGCAACAACAACAGTTCCAGTTGGAACAGCAGCGACAGCAACAAATGATTCAGGATATTATCTTTGGTCAGTCAAGTCATCCTATTGTGCCGTCGCAGCAAACCGTAGGATCGTCGCATTCACTGTCACCCTCGGTCACACAACAGCAAGCACTGGAAGCACAACAACAACAAGTCGCTGCTGCTGCTCAACAAGCAATGGCACAACACATGGCGGCGATGCAGCATCATGCTCAAGTGACTGCTACTTCACCCCAACAGGCGTCACCTCATGCTCAGGCACTCGAACAGCAACAACAACAACAACAACAGCAGCAGCAGCAGCAACAACAACAAGCAGTGGCCGCCGCTGCAGCTGCAGTTCAACACCAAAATGCCATGCAACAGGTCGTGTCTGCTCCTATTGTTGCAAGTCACCATCAACAGCCACAAACACAACCACAACCACAACCACAACCCCAGCCTCAGCCTCAGCCCAATCCATCGCAATATCCGTCATCGTCACAGTTACCCTCCTCTGATCCGTTGTCCTCCGAACACAATTACAGTGCGGCGGCGGTAACCATACCTATGCATGATGCTTCTCATGATCCATCTTGCATTGTTCCTTCTCAGGTTACCACCAATGATGTATTGCCCCAACATGCACCTCAGCCACAGCATTTAGCCCACGCGTTCCAGCCTGCCATGACCAAGGATTGCGCCGTTGCCAATGGTTTGGTGCCACATCAAGAACTGGTTTTCCTGAATAGTACCGATTCTTCGCTTCGTCCTCCCAAAAGGTCTTCGTCTGACTCTACGCTCCAAGGCTCCAGAAAATCACGAAGACACACGGTATCCAGTCCATGTCCGCCGTATCTCAGTATCGACACTAGAAACCTCTCTTCGCAGCCTCAGAGCGCCTTTGTCACACCATGTGCAAGCAATGTGACAACACCTATCGACAATCGAACTATTCCCATCATGGAATCATCGACGCCCACTGCATCTACCGCTGCGACTTCGACGCAACCGCCCCCTCACCAGATCATGCTACCTCCGCGTCTGTCAGCTGAAGAGCTCAACTTGCAAGACCGGTCGACGCCTGCTCTGTCGCAGACCATCGCAGATAACACCAATGTGTCGGTGAAGGAGTTTGAGAACATGTCGCGTCAGCAGCTAATTGCAAGACTGATGGAATTGGAGCAAGAAAAACGGGCCGCTTCGTCTTCCCAAAGCAGTCCCAATATGAGCAAATCTGACGTGCCTGCAGATGATGCGCTCGTCAAGTCGGAAGAAAAGCCGAGTGAAGCCAAGTCAGAATCTAGTAGTAACGGTGACGAGGACGAAGAAGAAGAAGAGGATGGTCCATCTACTCCCGTGGATAATACCAGCTCAAATACTTCGGTACCAAGCGAGGACAAGAACGACGATGGTGATGAATTGGAAGACGAAGACGAAGGTCAAACTGGATCCAATGAGCAGCCAGATCAAAATGCGACGTCCGGTGCTATCGTGTGTCAATGGAAGGCTTGTGGAGAACAGTTTGACGAGCTGCAAAAACTGATTTCGCACATTGCGGAGAAACACGTTGGTAGTGGCAAGGTAAGCCGAATGAGCATAACAGTATTAGAGAGAATTTCGTAGATTTTCTCATATTTATATTGAATAGGCTACCTACAGCTGCGAATGGGAAGGTTGTCCTCGAAATCAGAAACCTTTTACCAAACGTCACAAGATGTATAACCATTTACGAACGCATACAGGAGAGCGGCCTTTTGTATGCCCCAAACCAGGTAGGTGTCGTTTATTGACATTGCACAGTCAGCGATGGAACGTGTACACCATAGAGTTTATGAGACTCATGGTTGGCCTATAATTTGATCTTCTAGATTGTGAGAAACGGTTTTCTAGACCTGATTCTCTTACTACGCATATCAAGACACATTCCAATGTGCGACCTTACATTTGTTCCTCAAGAGGGTGCAATAAGGCTTATTATCATTCTCGGTCGTTGAAGAAACACGAGAAAATACACGAAATGCAGTGCAGTCCAAGATCAACCCATTCAGCATCGTATGGGTATACGGGACAGGCTCCCGTTGATTATATGAATAGCAATGTATCCATGCCCTTACCTCATCATGCATTACCCCACCAGTATCACCATCCGGTCTCTTCCGTTCAACACCCTTCTCTCCCGTCTCCGCATGTATCTCATCATTCCTTTTCGCCGCCACTTCATCTCCCTCTTCCTCCGCCGTCATCTCATTTCAAAGGGTACTCGCTCAACAATGGTTCGTCTCGTCAACCGACTCCGTTCACAGCCCCGGCTTTAATGGAGAATGGAGCGCAGAACCTTAATTCTTTCCTTCTTCATTCCCCAGGTTCCAGTCAACCAAAGTACAACTATTACAGAAATGTATGATGATTTGTTCCTTCTATGTAGCAATATTTATAAATAGCCCCTTGAATTTTTGTTTGTTTCCCCGGTGGAAATCATGCTGAAAATATAAGTTTGTTTTTTTCTCTCTCGATCTTCAATGTGGACTACGTTAACTGGTTTAAGAAGCTGGAAAATGTGAACCCTGTGAAGTAGATCACCAGCGGTGGCTGAGAGTTTATTATAAACCACCCAAGAAGAACACTCTCATCCTTGTCAAGCCTCACGTGATTCATTTCGAAAAAGGCATGCTTTATGTATTTTCATGTTTTTACGAGTTAGGTGCAGATCGAGCAGCGATCGTGTGCGACAGTTGGCAACTGATAAAATAAAGTTATACCATCAGCAAATCGCAGATTACTTTACGTGGTTGGTCCAATTTCAGCCACCGCAACACATTAAAAACAAAAACGAAAATGACTCACAACTGCCTCTTATACTCATTTATACATTATGGTTAACATTGGCATTGTTGGTGTGGGTCTTGTCGGCTCCGAATTGCTTGCACAGCTGAAAGCCAATGGCTCCAAGCGTTTGAGCGTTGTCGGTTTGACAAGCTCCAAGAAGATGACCGTGAGCAATACCGATTACGCTCCTTTGGACTTGACCAACTGGAAGTCGGACCTTGCTAATGGCGTCGATGCCGATTTGGCGGTTTTCGCAAAGTACTTGTCTGAATCTCCTGATCATGCCGTTATTGTTGACTGCAGTGCTTCCGATGCTGTGGCCGCTCTCTATCCTTCGTGGCTCAAGGCCGGCGTCAGTGTCGTGACTCCTAACAAGAAGGGTTTCTCCGGCTCTCTCTCCTTGTATAACGAGATCAAGTCCTTGGCTGCTAACATGGGTGGTAGCGGCAAGACCCCTCTTGCTTATCACGAATCCACTGTCGGTGCTGGTTTGCCTGTTCTCGCCACCCTTGCTGACCTCGTCAAGACCGGCGATAAGATTGTCAAGATCGAAGGTATCTTCTCAGGCACCTTGAGCTACCTGTTCAACAACTTTTCTTCCTTGGCTGGCGAAACCAAGGGTTCCTTCTCCGAGATTGTCAAGGTTGCCAAGGAACTCGGTTACACCGAGCCTGACCCCAGAGACGATTTGAACGGTATGGACGTTGCTCGCAAGGTAAATAAAATGGTGATAAGAAAAATTGGGAGCAATGGATGATTGATGAGATCCCGATGCGTAGGTCACTATTTGTGGTCGTTTGGCTGGTGTCGATCTCGATTTGTCCACTTTGCCCGTGGAAAACATCGTTCCTGGTCCTCTTCAGTCGGTTGCCACTGCTGATGAATTCATGGCCAAGCTTCCCGAATTCGATGATCATTTCGCGAAGATGAACGAGGAGGCCAAGAAGGAAGGCCAAGTCCTGCGTTACGTTGGTTTGGTGGACGTCCAAGGTGGTAACAGCGGTGTCAAATTGATGAAGTAAGTAAACAGCTTGGGAGGTGTGCCAAAAAGGTCGAAAACTTATCGTTGCTTGTGTACCCTTTCTAGATACCCTGCTTCCCATCCCTTCGCTTCTCTCCAAGGCAGTGATAACATCATCAAATTCACCACTGAATACTTCCCCAACGGTTTGATCATCCAAGGTGCTGGCGCTGGCGCTGCTGTTACTTCGTACGGTATCTACTCTGATCTTCTCAAGATTCAGGAACGTGTTGAAGGTTTCTAGATTTTATCTACAAAAGCCCTCAGATAATTATCATCATCTTAAACAAAAATAGAACCATAAACTGTAAAATATTCATTATCTCCTGAATGCCGTGACTTGCAAGTTCGTTCTTTTTATTTTATTTCTTCGGTGATCCTGTAAAGGAAAAATATGAATGCCTATGGTGTTGATCTCGATCGGAATACCATTCCCTGGTCAGAACATCATCACATATATGATTGTGCCTCTCACATACCGTCTAAATGTTGTTGTAAGTTTTTTGTTTTTTTTTTTAAAAAAAAATTTTTTTTATGCAGACTTTAGCTATTTCCTTGTTCTTGTCGCTCGTCATCCAACCACCAAACTACACTATAAAGAATTTTGGGTACATTTTTGGTTTTGTGATTTTAGATACCGTAGTATGCTTTTCTTTGTTGCCCCATTGTTTATTGTTTCTTTTTTTCAGTGGACTAGTTGAACTAAACGCTATTGGATTGTTTTTTGAGTGAAATGTTGAATTGACTAATTTTTTTAAATTATTTTCGTGATTTGGAGTTGGATTGATAATTGGGGGACGTCGGGCTGTAGCTAGGCGACGTGGGGCTGTAGCTGGGCGACGTGGGACTATAGCTTGGACTGGTAGGACTGTAGCTCGGCGAAGTCGGGCTGTAGCTCGGACTGGTAGGACTATAGCTTGGAGAGGTTGGACTGTAGCTTGGGCTAGTAGGACTGTAGCTTGGCGATGTAGGACTGTAACTCGGCGAAGTTGGGCTATAGCTAGGTGAGGTGGGACTGTAGCTTGGCGACGTCGGACTGTAACTTGGGCTCGTGGGACTGTAACTGGGGCTCGTCGGACTATAGCTTGGGCTTGTGGGACTGTAGCTAGGCGAAGTAGGACTGTAACTGGGCGAAGTCGGGCTGTAGCTTGGCGACGTGGGACTGTAGCTAGGACTGGTAGGACTGTAGCTTGGTGACGTCGGGCTGTAACTTGGCGAAGTGGGACTGTAGCTGGGTGAAGTCGGGCTGTAGCTCGGACTGGTAGGACTGTAACTGGGGCTTGTCGGACTGTAGCTTGGCGACGTCGGGCTGTAGCTAGGACTGGTGGGACTGTAGCTAGGCGACGTCGGGCTGTAGTTCGGCGAGCTTGGAGAATAGGATGGGCTCGTAGGCGAATAACTTGGCGAAGCCGGGGAGTAACCAGGCGAGGTTGCGTAAGACGGGCTCGAAGGGGAATAACCCGGGGAAGTGGGCGAGTAGCCGGGACTTTGAGCGTAAGGGCTCATATCACCGCGCCATGGACTAGCGCCTACAGAAGCACCACCAGCACCCGAATTACCCATTGGCGAGAACATGGGTTCCGAAGGCGATGAAGGATGTGAGAAGTCCACCCAATCAGGCGATCGAGTATCGTAGGGAGTTGCCAAATTCGGTGTCATGTAACCGGGACCGGGGGTAGCAAAACCAGGAATATCACCCGGAACGCCGTTGGGCATGGTCGCTCGGTTATCTTGGGGCACCAGTTTCAACATCTCCTCGTCGAGCATCACATCGAATTCACCTGTGCCAAGAGGCGCCATTTGACCCAACATAATGTTCTCCGCTACACCCTTGCAGTCATCCATTTCACCAATGGCTGCGGCTTCCATCAGGATTTCCACCGTCTCTTCAAAGGAACAACGCATCAACGCACCGGTTTCGGCTCGATTGATACCGTGACGTGTGATAGCCATCAAATGGCCTCGATTGGTCATAACATCACAAAGCAATGCCAAATGACGGTAGTTAACATACGAACCATCGAATTCAATGACGTTACGTAATTCTCGGAGCAAGGCCTTGCGCGTCGCTTCCACACCCAGCACTTCCATGATTTCCACGGTATTGTTGGAATACGTCTTGGTTTCGTCCACACCATGCTGACACATGACTTCCTGCAAATTGATACCGTCCGTATCGAGACCCCACTCCTTGACTTGCTCAAATTTGCCGGAACTGCTAAGCACCGTCGGTGTTCTTTCAACAATATACACCTTCTTGATACCAGGAATACCACGCAAATTGATCGAGCTGAGCATGCTTCCCTCCAGCTTGCGAAGGAAAGTGTCTTCTTCAGCACGGGTATCTTCTTCGTCCATATCTTTGTCCTCGTTTTCGTCGCTCATCACTCGACAACGGATAATGAGTTTCTCCGAGTTCTCATCACTGCCAATAACGTGAAGATCGTTGCGGAATTCTTCGGATATCTTTTGCACCACTTCCGTGATATTGAGACGCTTATCAATCATCATACCACGATTCAGTTCGATACGGAGCAACCACGGCGACACACGTGTCACCACCGGCGAGTTATCATCTTCCAGCTGATAGTAGGTATCAACGAAATCCGCATCTTCTTCAATGATAGTGCTGCGTGGATCGGGATCGTAGTAGATTTCAGCCGCCGAAGTAACCTTTTGCAAGGTCGTGTGTTCAAGGTTCACTTGGACTTCCTTGGCCAGTTCAATATTGCGCGAACGTTCAGCATCAAGCCAAACTTCCAAGCGAGGCGTCTTGATGTTCTTGGCAACGTTGATAATTTCCTTCAAACGAGGCACACCAAGCGTAACGTTCTTACTGGACACACCAGCATAATGGAAAGTGTTCAACGTCATCTGAGTGGCGGGTTCACCAATCGACTGCGCAGCAATCGTTCCCACCATTTCACCGGGAGCCACAATGGATGTAAGGAAACGCGATTCGATTTCACCCAGAACCCTAGTACAAGTTGATTTATCCCGTCCCAAAAAGAGAGAGAAAGAGAAAAAAAAAGTCAAGCTTACCATTCAAATGCCTGGGACGTCAAATGGAATTCTTCCACCACACGCTTGGTCGCCAAAGTCGATCGCAGTAAAATACCAAACAAGGTTGTGGCATTCTTTTGACATTCCGCCGAAATCTTATCGTTACCACGGACCACCAACAATCGCTTCGCTAATGCAGTGATACCATCGACGATCTGGACAGGATGAACATCCGAAGGTTTTCTTGGATCGATGTGGAAGATCTGTTGAGAATTTGTAATAAGACGCAATAAATTGACTGGCAAAGGCCATTTGTCTTCGCCCTCCTTGAATAATTCGTGGCGCAAGAACTCGCGATCTTCTTTGAGCTGTCCGTATTCCCGATCAAGGTAGTTCTGGACCATTTCGCTGTTCTCAATGGTTTTGAGAACATTAAAGTTGAGCGTGCCCTTTCGGAAGCCATCTCTGGTCAGATCGACCTTGTAAGCGGTGTCAAATTGCGACTCTGTGCCCTTCAAAGAATTGATCTTTTGCTTCTCAACAGAACAACCGTCCATGCCGTCTTCACCGTAACAGAACTGGATAATATCACCCAGCGAATTACGAACAGTACCGTCGTATTTCACCATGACATCTTCCAAAGCCTTGACAAGACGACGTTGGATGTAACCGGTTTCGGCAGTCTTGACAGCGGTATCGATCAAACCTATATCACAAGTTTAATTACAAGATGAACCAAAAAAGATCTTTCACTGCTCAATCCAACAATTTACCTTCACGACCACCCATAGCGTGGAAGAAAAATTCGGTAGGGGTCAGACCTCTCAAGTACGAGTTTTCGACAAAGCCTCGACTTTCGGGACTGTGATCATCCTTGGAAAAGTGGGGCAAGGTACGGAACTTGAAGCCGTATGGAATTCGTTTACCTTCGACGTTCTGTTGACCGACACAGGCCGACATCTGTGAAATATTGATAAACGAACCCTTGGAACCAGCAATGACCATCTGCTTGACGTTGTTGTCGTCCTTCAAACTGTTCTGGGCCATTTTACCGGCGTCATCACGAGCCTTGTTCAAGGTCTGATTGACCTTGGCTTCGAACGATTCACGCAGGGTCATACCAGGTTGGACTTCCAATTTGTCTTGCTGAGCAGTGATAATAATCTCTTGCACGCGTTGCTTGGCTTGCGCAATGATATTTGTAATAGTAGCCATGGTACTCTTATCGGCAATGGTATCACCAATACCGATACTGAAGCCATTTTGCAATAGCCAGTAGTTGACCACTTGCTGCGTACCGGTCAAGAAATTCTTGGCCGCTTCAGGTCCGAGTTCATTGACGATAGTATGGATCACACCACCACTGGCGGTACCGACAGTCTTTTTACACACAATACCGCAAATCAGCTCGCCGTTTTCGATAATCACGCGCGTATCACCAGGCGAAATGTAGGTAGATTCGCCATCGGGGTGTGTCGAGTGGAACGTCTGACAATTGATACCCTTGGGAATCACCATGGAAAGAATTTGTTTACCCGTCCACAGCGGCATAGGTTTCAGGATCGCGGGAGGGGGAATGTAACCATCCCAATCAGGGACCCACATGACGATATTCATCACCATGTCCATCGACAAGAAGGAATCGCGCAACGTGAATTTTCGAATACCACACAACGTATCTTGCACAATACCCATGACAGGTTTGTTGGACTGCGGCGATACGATCTGCTTTGGCACCATACAGATTTCGGTGATTTCTGCTCGTGTTTCCAGCGACTGCGGTACGTGCAAATTCATTTCGTCACCATCGAAATCGGCGTTGTAGGGTGAAGTAACGGAAAGATTTAGTCGGAAAGTCGAATAAGGCATGACCCGGATTCGATGACCCATCATGGACATTTTATGCAAAGACGGTTGTCGGTTGAAAATTACCACATCATCGTCATTGATGTGTCGCTCGACGCGGTAGCCATATTGCAAAGGAATTTCACCGGCACGTTTTCGGTAACGCAAATCGATACGTTCGCCATTGTCACGGACAACATATTTCGCACCAGGGTGTTCCAGTGGTCCATTGCGTACCAAGGCTTGCAATTTGTCAATATTATATGGGGTGACGATTTCGGGATACGTCAAGTTGCGCGCAATACTTCGTGGCACACCGACTTGATCCAAGGCAAGGTTGGGATCACCAGTAATGACGGTACGTGCAGAGAAATCCACACGTTTACCCATCAAATTACCACGGAGACGTCCTTCTTTACCCTTCAAACGAGCACGGATGGACTTCAAAGGTCTGCCGGACTTTTGCAGCGCCTGAGGCTGACCTGCAATGTCGTTATCCATGTATGTAGCAATGTGGAACTATCAAAAGATGCAGCCAACGTGAGTCACTTTTTGAAACAACTACTTGTGGGCAACAAACAAATCATACCTGTAGTAACTGTTCAAACTCTTGCACGACATGGACAGGAGCACCTTCGGATTCGCATCGTCGTACGTTGGCGTTGGCTTTGAGAATATCCGACAATTTATGAGTTAAATCGTCTTCTCCTCGGCTTGTACCATCCATCTGAATGCTGGGACGCACTTGAGGCGGAGGAACCGCCAAGACCGTCATAATCATCCATTCCGGACGAGCATATTCTTCAGAAAGACCCAAATCGGTCATATCTTGCTGTGAAATGTTTTTTAAGATTTGGAGTACTTTGGCGGCCGTAAGCTGTGTTCGCCCTTCGGAATTGCCATCCTGTAACAAGTAATAAGCAAAATGAGTAAAAGAAAACCAATGCATTCTCATAAAAGCAATCAGAAGAGGGGGTTACTTACATCACCTCCACCGGAACGGAATTGAGCATAAAGCTTCAAGCCATCTTTACGAATGGTAGGCTGTTTGTATCCACATCCACCGTGAGCGTGCTTTCGTTTGCCATCAAGGTCTTCCTTGTCGTCAAAACCACCATCAGCGTCATCACCTCCTTCGCAGGTCATCTTGGCCTTGGCAAGTTCCCATACGGCTTTTAATCGAGCTTTGGGATCCTTCATTCTTCGTGCTCGATGAAATCGAGGATTCGACTGCGGTACAAAAAAAAAAGGACAGATGATTAGTAAGACGGTTGCGATACCAACGCAACCCTACTTACATCATCCACTTTCAATTTTGAACAGTGAAAGCAAACACATTCAAGAATCTTTTTGACTTTGATGAGGAAACCTAGAATGCCCATGATGGAGAGAGATCGGTTAATGAGACCATCGAAACGTGTGAGATTAACAAGCAAAATGCGTTACCAATATGATAAACAGGCTTAGCAAGTTCAATGTGACCAAAATGACCAGGACATTCCGCCATGCCTTCACCACAGGTTTGGCATTTGTAGTTACGGTCAATGGTACCCAGACGAGGATCTAGCAAGCCGCCCATTCGTGGAGTCTGCGTCCCTTCCTCATAGATTTCCGGATATTCGATCTTGGCCACAGACATGGCTTTCTGTAAACAAAGATACAGTCATGTTTAGAACGATGAAAAACGTTCCAAGAAAAAAAACAAAAATGAACAAGTTGTATAAAAAAGAAAAAAACATACAATCTCATCGGGCGACAAGATGCCGAATTGCACTGCTTCAACGCGGCGTAAGGGTGCAGATGAATATGCAAATGGGTGTCCGCTCATATTGTACGATGGAGAATACGTTCAATGGAAGCCTGAGAGTTGCTTGTGGTTGCTGACGTACACCAATGAGTGTATGTAGAGGGGTTGCTGAACAATGATATGTGTATGTATATTTTTTGACAAAGTTTTTTTTCTATGTTTTTGTTTTTACAAGGGAATGGATCGTCAATGGACTGTATTGAAGAAGATAAGTTATTCTGAGATCAGCAAAGATCAAACAGAATTGGTCAAAGAAGATCTCGTCTCGTCGAACGTCTCGCAGTAAAAATATACAGGATTTTTTTGTTGTAGTAGAATTTTGGGCGGACGTTCAATTTTTGTTTGCGTCACCATTATTGACGTCATGACTTTTTTTTTTTTTGGAAAGGTGAATGTTTTTTGCTCAATGCACACATTGGCAAACTCGTTCAAAGCCGACCGAACAAAGAAAATAAAAATTAGATGTGCAAAAAAAGGAAACTGTCTCACGATGATGAGTTTTCCCATGTTCTTTTTCCTTGCAGCTAGAAAAGATGGGGGAACATCGCAGGGATAATGAGGCAACAATAAAATACTTAGAAGGAAACAAACTCGAATTGAAGGTGGATAGGATGGCTTTATTTGGATAGGATTGTTTTCTACAATCGAAACGTTGACAAATACTCGAGTCCGCCAACAGCTCAGCTCGGTCGAAAATGTGTATTTCCCTTCTTGATCATGAAGTTATCGACACACAATTTCCGGATACATGGGTTTTCCCTACTAAATAGTAAATAATGTGAACAGAACATCAAGTCAATAAAGTTTCTCTTACACAATCCATCTCTGGACTTCCGCTCGAGACGTTGATATCCCGCGAAATCAAGCGACACCAGGCAAATGTCCTTTTCGGCTGATTTAGCATATTCAAGAAGATCTAAATTGAACTTTATTAGCTGTTTTGTGCTTGTTTTATCTTCCATCCTTCTACTAAGTCACGCACTTTTTGAGCAGCGTATTCTTTCCAGAATACGCAGATTCTGAGACGATCATGCTTAATAACGGTAAAAAAAGGGCCAACACTACATGCACGCAAAAATCCCATCAGTGAGACGTCATGTTTAATTTTTTTTTTTTTTTAATTTTCGCAGTGTTACCCATAATATACCTTGGTGAAAGTGCCGCCATCTAACCGAAGCATGTCTTTGATCTTGACCCAAGTGAGCTTGCGCTGCACCTGCTCATCAATCCATTGGAGAGATACATAGAGGTGTCCTGGGTCGATTCTTCTGCGTTCTGCAAGTCTTGACTTGCCAACAGTGTGGAGGCATCGCTGCAGACCGACACATAGAACTTTGTCGGCCAGAGATCGGATGAAGAGAGCATTTGTCATGGTCTGTACAAGTTACGCTACTTGCATCACCGACAGATTTTTCGGGCATAACCGATGACTTCAGTGCCTTCCATTCAGTTGTCTGATCACCACCTGAAATCTCGTCAGGTTGTTCACGATGGCATCACAAAGATCAGCTAGGAAGAATGTTTTAGTATTTATTTCATTCTATAGGTGATAATCGACTTACCATGATACTTTATTAAAGATATCGATAGCGGGCGCACGATTTATTGTCCAACTTGATTCTCTTTGACCGATCTTCAGCTTGCAGGAAGTGCACTTTTTGACTGGAACACCATTTTGAAAATGCCGTTGGTCACTTTTCATCCAAACATTTAGTGTATGATAACGCTTCATGGAATATTTGCGTGGTGGTCATCTTTCTAGCCTCATAAAGTGGTGCGTTCAGTGGATCGTGGGGACGGTATACCTCGTTCAGGAAACGCACCATTTGCGTTTGTGAGGCTAGTAATAAAGTGTTATATGAAGATCAATTTTTCGTTGGCACCCAATTTTGACTTACCCAATTGATAAGTGGTGTCGTCTACCTCGTCACTGTCATACTCGGAAGCGTTGTCTGCTTCAACATACTTGTGGTATGATAATTGCTCCGCGAAAAATTTCTATTCATATCCTTAATACACGATATGCTTCTTTATGTTTCCATGCGTGAATAGGTGTATTATCCATGCCGATATTTCTCGTTGAGTCGTTAAGAAACTAACGTATTGGCCTGTTACAGTTCCTTATTTTTCAGGTAACAGTGTGAGTAGCAATTGTCTCAACAACAAATCTTCTGATCGACAATGTATTCTATGGGCTAAGAGCCGCCGTTCTCATCAACCATCTTTCAAATAAAATACGGTACTCATCTTGATGTTTGATTGGCTAACAACTTCAAATTTAATTGGCCTACGATAATCGATTCTGATTGGGCTTTGACATTGATTGCCTAAAAGCACTCAATTTTTTTCGCAAACACCGTGCCGCTGCTGAATGAATATTTCTTCCCTCTCCTTTAACTCTTCAACTTAAGATGTAATTGTGTGTATTTCTATACAGCTGATACCATTGCTGCTGCCTGTCTCGTTTCTATAAATACTATGTCCATTTCCCACGCGGTCAATGCCATTACCAGCTAAGTCGTCCGCCCTGTTGACGACTTTGCATCCGGATGTCCTGCCGTCTTCAAGCTTCCGCAAAATTGTCGGGTTTCTTTTATTCGAGAACCAAGAAGCCTGCTGCCATTGTAAGTTTCTCCAGAAAGGTTTCCTCAAGCCCGGTCCACTGTTTCGTGATTACTATAAAAGCCATGAAGAGGCACACCTCTACCGCAGGCGATGAAGTTATTACGGCATCCCATATTGTGGACGGCGTCCAACTTCCCGACGAGATGCGCGTTTCGCTATTCCAGGGAACATGTCTCATTATTATGGTGGGCGCTTCCAATTTCCGGGTTCGAGGTGTCCGTTTTAATGCCCCATCATTACGGATGACGTCCGCTTTATAATGGACCACCGCGTCGATCGGTCTTTTGTTATCGTGCGCCTTTTCTCCATTTCTCCAGACCCAATGAAGACGCTGGATCAAGCTCTTTGCACCTTGTTCGTGGCGGATTACGCTGAAGAAAATGTGCTTTTACCCTCCTTTTCCGGCAACATGAAAGGGAAGCTAAGTGCACCAATGAAAAGCGTCATTTAAAAAACTGCGCTTATTATGAAAGCGAATCGAGGAATTGAAAGATTTCGAAGTCCTGTTACGAGAACGATAGAACGAGACCTGTCTTGTCTTGCTGCCACACAGAAAACTTTTTGCGGAACAATGAACTATCACAAGTATATCGAAGCTGACAACGCTTCCGAGTATGATAGCGATGGAATAGAGACACCACTTACCAATTGGGTAAGTCAAAATTGGGTACCAACGAAAATTGATCTTCCTTAATACTGATTGTAGCATCTTATTATTAGCTTCACAAGCGCAAGTAGTGCGTTTCCTGAACCAGGTGTACCTTCCCCACGATCCATTGAATGCATCACTTTATGAGGCTAGAAAAATGACTACCAAGCAAATCTTCCACGAAGTGTTATCACACACCAAATGTTCGAATGACAAGTCACCTACCGCTTTTCAAAATGGTGTTCTAGTCGAAAAAGTACACTTCCTCCAAGGAAAAGTCCAGCCAAAGAAAATCAAGTTGGACAAGATGATTCGTTCGTCCGTTACCGAAATCTGCATTCATGGAAAAAGAGTATCATGGTAAGTCGATTTATCATTTATATAATGAAAGATATAGTAAAACTATTCTTTCTAGTTGATCTATGTGATTTACTTTGCAAGATTTCGAAGTAGCCATCAAACAAGTGAAAATGGAAGATATTGAAGTCATTGGTTATGCGAGAAAATATGTCGCTGATGGAAACATCGAAGAGGCTGCAACTTGTACCAGGCCATGATCAACAATCTCATCACCCGCGCGCTGGCGGCGAAGTCTATCATATTGTATCGGTCTGCAGCCCTGATTTGTACCATTCGTAAGCCGTTTTTTTTTTTTTTTTTTGTGTATTTGACTTCGGGAACAACTGACGGTAAATACCAATAGGTTCTTGATAAAGAAACACATACGGGGGACGCGCTGTGCAGCTAGTTTCGTTCGAGAAGGTGGCGAAAAGCGAGGGTTATTGGAGTGTACATTGGGGATACGACGATCTTGATTGGATACCGTATTTCACGCAGCATTAACAAACGGTATCGTGAAAATGAAATAGGCAGAAGGAAATAAGTACCCTCATCTTCTCAATCCCCGATCATGACACTTACAAGTTCCCAGTAAAGCGTCGATAGACGTACATTATCAAGCGATATCAGGCGAATATCTCTTTTTGGCTGGTTGACATATTCGAGATTAGATTCCCCTTGTTGTGTTGTTCTTGTTTTAGCCTTTCATCCTTGTAAATTTACCTTGTCAATCCACTTGTGTTTCGCAAAGCTTCTAAAATCTCTTATCTACTCACATGTTTTCTCGCCCTTTCCCACCCCAGACCAACCCCATTGTGTGAAGCCCATCGAGGGTAGATCCTTTCCTCTTTTTAGGAACACCAATAATTAACAATAGCTAAACACACTTTCTACAGCCACCACTCGATTCAAGGAATACTCGATTATGAATTGCCTTTTGGGATTCCTGATAATGTACTGTATGGTGCAAAACACTCCAAAATTTGATTACGGCATCAGCTATCATCCTGTAGCAGGAGCAGTCATTCCTATCGAAGGTGAATATTGATATGTAGCTGATATGTGGCTTATTACAAGGAATAACACATAATACGAGCTCGCTTTGATACTTACCAGTCTTCATGCTTTATATAACCGTATGCTTCGGTTATTGTCGTATTTGCACAGATCATTATACCATCCTTACTTCTCATCCGTATGATACCACTCCGTCACGCCACTTAGTCATCCGTGATTAATCCAAATCTCCGAATCCAGAGGAGAAAACAATTACCAACGATCTCGTAATCACCATACCAATCGGATCAAACTATTATGTCACGTCAAACACATCGGATCTATATATCCGATCATTTCTCATTTTCTCTTAGTGTGTCAACCTCATATCCAAACCTACTGTATAAGGATGTTGTTTTTCATGTATCCTTTTGGCAGTCTGGGCAAAGAAAGGGTTTTTATACGGCACGGACAGCCTATTATTGTTTATTCGTCATCTATCTTTCCATTCACTCTTTACATGAAAATAATCATTAACTAAGCAGTATGGAAAATATGATCATTGACTAAGCATCATGGAAAACACACTTTATTCTGTCACAGATCATACCACATCTACAAATCCTCAGCCACTATAAAAGGCATACCTTGTATCAATATATCCACTCTTTGAGCTTATCCTTTTCCCTACTTTTGGTACCAACTGACTCGAGAATAAAAGGCGTCTCACGGATTTGTTTCACTTTGTACCACTACAGTAATCACCTGCTTCATAGACTACCAAGCACCACAGTCACTAAGTTCACAAGCTACACTAGAAGTTTAATTCGTTCAACCATGACTGATGAAGGCAATGTCGAAATAAAACAACTCCTTTCTACCATATCAGATTGGAACAAGAAGCACTGTCACATTCACGTTTCTGTTTGTACCAGGATCCGAACCTGACTTTCCACCAAAGCAACGTGGTTGATCTGCTGCGCTTACATATAATATGATGATAGTTTCCTACATACAATGGCGTGGTTATGATTTAGCTCAGTAAGTGAGATTTGAGTTACCAAACTGTTCAACGCGGTCTACGCGGTCATCACGGTCATCGTGGTCATTGATTTTGCTCAGTAAGTGAGGTTTGAGTTACCAACCCGGTCAACCCGGCTCAACTTGGTCTCCATGGTCACAGATTTTACTAGGTAAATGGGATTTTGAGTTACCAACGCGGTCAACGCGGTCAACCCGGCCAACCCGGTCAACGTGGTCATCGTGGTCATCGTGGTCAACGTGGTCATTGATTTTGCGCAGAAAGTGGGATTTGAGTTACCGACGTGGTCAACGTGGTCATCGTGGTCATTGATTTTGCGCAGAAAGTGGGATTTGAGTTACCGACGTGGTCAACGTGGTCATTGATTTTGCGCAGAAAGTGGGATTTGAGTTACCGACGTGGTCAACGTGGTCATCGTGGTTATTGATTTTGCGCAGAAAGTGGGATTTGAGTTACCGACGTGGTCAACGTGGTCATCGTGGTCATTGATTTTGCGCAGAAAGTGGGATTTGAGTTAGCAACGCGGTCAATGTGGTCATCGTGGTCATCGTGGTCATTAATTTCGCTCAGTAAATGGACTTTGAGTCACCAATCTGGTCAACGTGGTCATCTGATCATTGATTTTGCTGAGAAAAATTAATGACCACGTTGACCGCGTTGATAACTCGAATCCCACTTTCTGAGCAAAATCAATGACCATGATAACCACGTTGACCACGATGACCAAGTTGACCGCGTAGGTAACTCAAAATCCCACTTACTCAGAGGAACAGCCACTACCCCCAAAACGTATCATGAATGTTGACGACCTCACAACATCATGATACCCCACCCATAGACAAGTAGCAACACTGCATTTATGCTACCCACATCAGATGACTCTACTAACTTCTTTTTTAATTCGTGATACAATTAACAATTTAATAATACAGTAATATATTATTTTAAATTTTTATATTTTATTTTAAAAACTATTAAAATTTTGTGTTTTTAGATATAATATTTAATTCTTTTGACATTTTACAATATTATGATGATAGTGATAATTCCTCTCGGTAAATGAGTTACGACCCCTGTCAACGCGGTCAATGCAGTTGTGATATAGCACTGTTATGCACAAACTACGAGACTCTCAGTACGACTAGACAACAGGGTGTGATGTTGAGAGCTTAACAAGAATAAGATAAGAAACTAGAGAAGAAGCAAACAAGGACAAGAAAAGGTGGATAACAAGATAGTATGGGCGAATGCAAATATCGTATTTGTGTGTACATATCATTATATCATTCTTATCTGTTGACCGCAATTTATCACTCCATGTCACTCAGTTATCCATGGTTAATCACAAACTCCAGACCTAAAAGGAAAAACGATTACCAACGGTCTCGTAAGCACCTCACCAGTTGGATCATATCCATACTGTATGTCACACCAAAGTGATGTACACTTTTTCCGGAAATGTTTTGCGCATATGCGGGAGTAATATTTGGCGCAAAGTCCAAAAAATCAATTTGTGTGTTGCTAGAGATTGACTCTGCGCGATGACTGTAATAAGTTCTGCGTATCTTCAATTTTATATTTTGCGCATGTCAAGGAAGCAGACTCATTCCTTGAAGACGAAACATTGGTCACAAGAATACAAGTAGTTCGCAATCAAGTTCTTAGTGGCGATATTCAGGGCTTCTGCAAGTATTCTGTTGCTACGTTCGATGATTTGCTTGAATAGAAAACCCATTAATGAAGTCTGCGCATCCTCCTATGCCCAAGATTCTCTTCTGCGCAAACCAAAAATTGGAAACTGGCAAAATATTTTTTCTTGCTTGCGCCAGAGATTTATCAGGAAATGCGCAATATGTTCTCCGATGGGTGCTCGGAAAAAGTGTACATGTCCGATTTGTCTGATGTGAATCAACTCATATCCATATTGCACACGTAGCCTATAATTGCTAATATGCCTCACTTATTCTTTCCATTCATTCTTTTTATGAAAAAATTAGTTATTCTCGATTATTGGCCGAATACTATGGAAAACACACTTTATTCTATCCCGGGTCATACCACCAAAAATCAATTTAGTATAGAAGACAAGCTTTGCATCGATACCTAGACCTTAGATTTACAGTGTCCTTTTTTTTCTACTTCGACATTCAACTCTGTCGAGAATAAAAAGGATGTCTCTCACATGATTTGCTTACTGTGATTTGTTGCTTTAACCGCCTGCTCCATAGATTGCTAAACACGACACAATGCTCAGGCACCCTTGACCCAAAGTTCATGGTCAGATACGTACGCTGAAGCAATGGATAATGCTGCTTACCCGGGCGTCTCTCTCCACATTCAGAGCTGTATCCAATGATGTTCTTGTTTTCGTCAAGACATCTCTATCTCAGTCTCTTGTCAACTTCTCGCACTCGTTATTCCTTTTTCTACAGTAGATACAATTGTGAAAACGTGAATGCAGATATTATCCACGCTCTTGAAAACTTACTTGCGCTTGCAGAACAACAGGCTCTTGTCGCGCACTTCGGTCGCCGTGGTGTCGCAAGCGCTGCAGAACTTGCTGGTATGGTATTCATCCACGTATAGCACAAGCGATTTTTGGACCAAGATTTGCCGGAATTTCCATCCGTTCATCACAAGGTATGCCCTCGTATGGTTTATGTTGCCTCTCTTCTGTCACACCTTGATGGGAGTTGTGGATTGCCTCTCAATGAATGCAGATCGGTGTCGCCAAAATGCAACTGCGGTCGCCTCGGTCCTCTTCTGCTCGCGACGGGTTCCCCGGCCTCTTTGTTTGCGAGATCGTTTACGCTGCTTGTAAACCCGCAGTGATTTTCATACATAAAATGAGCCGCTATCACGTCTATGTACGATATACGAAACTCACTTGCAAATTCCTTTCTGCTGAATCCTAACAAGCTGTCAGCTATTTTGTGCATGGTTATCTGCCGTTGTCTTTCGAGCAAAGCACGTTTATCCCGGTGACAATAGGACTGATTGAATACTTATGCTCGAAGTTAAGTTGTGAATCCTGAGAATCGATCTGATAGTATGCGACTTACCTGTTGTGGACACTTTGCTAAAGTTTGCAAAATGATTTCGGAATTCAGCACCCGTACCACATTTAGCGCCGTTTCGCCCAGTCGGTCATAGACATCCTGAATGCTGACAGAACTTCTACTGATGAGCTCGATCTGTTGACCATAATGGAACATGTACTTCGTTTGTATTTCGAAGGATGCGAATTTAAATGAAGACACTTACTTTCTTTGCCCAATTTAAGATTTACTTCCTGAAATGTTCCATTCGGTACTGAGAACCGCGTCTAATCTTGTTGCTCAGGCATATGTGGAGACTCATTCAAATCCACCACCGTTACTACAGATCGTAACCCTATCGATGCGGATACTCATAAAGTCAAACATCTTGATGTATGCCAACGGATAGATAGGTACCGGAGCTATGCAATGATCCTTGCATTGGCGCCAATTCCGGTCGGTTCTTTCTTCAAAGTGCTATTAACTTTTTGAAAATCTCGTAATCCAATGAACCGTTATCTCGCCTCGATCTCACAGCGGCCCCTTCTCATTCTCTATATCGGAGTTAAATACATTGTCAAAAATAAAAAATAAAAAAAAGTCGGCGATCTGTTGCTCACCTTCATTTCGCTGGGCACGACCTGTCTTTCAGCGTACGCATGCTGAAAGAAGCAATAAAAGCAGTTCTCACTCAATGGGAATTCAATGTCAATAACATTATAGATGGCTTATAATTTTTGATGCATACTGGTGAGATGCGACAGGCAGCTTTGACCATGACCGTCCGTTATAAAACTTAACTGAAGTAACCACGCAAAGATTCGAACCAGTGCGGCAGTCTCAGATGTCCCTGCAAGGGCTTCAACCGTGTCGCTTTCAAAGTCATCAATTTGTTCATTATCCTTTAGCAGCAATTCGCTATAACAAAGGAAGGTTATATTATTTTACATCCGTGCTATGCATTATCATACTTAGGAAATGATTGTCTTTCTTGCCAGTTGCCCGGTAAGGTATTTCAATATTATCTTCGCTGAACGGTTCATGTTTCTGGATGGCTTCAACAGCTTTTTTTCTGCTGAAACAAAAAATTTTGGTCTTGTTAACACATCATATTCTCGGTCGAAAGATATTACCAAGGGTTTTCGCTGACGGTGGCAAAGTGACATTATGGTGTTCACTATATGTCTCGAAGCATGCCTCAACGCGAAGCATAAACTTGTGTGATTTGATGACAAGTGTACAGTAACATCTGAAACGTTTATCGCTTAAAAGATGACGGTGACGTTAATCAGACAAAGACCAACTTATTGAACAGAGATTTGACGCATGTGGTTCTGTCATACAGTACTATGGTGCAGCTGACGTAATCGCGGATATGCATATTCTATATATACAATGAACAACTGTGTCACTAAAGAAGAGCGAGACAAGAAGCTAACCTTGAGTATTGAGATAAACAAATTTTTTAAAGGTATTCTACGAAATTGGTCTAAGGAAGCGGGAAATATCAGTTTAAAATTATCGTTCGGATTGCAGGTATGGTTGTGTATGTACCAAATACCTAGCTTCGGGGCATAAGCTGCTCAAAAGAGACGAGGCAGTTCATCCAGAATCGATCCGTATGCACGGGTGGAAAAGAAAATAATATGGTATGTTCCATCCAACGCAGCAGATGCATTGAAGCTAAGTTACTACGTCGCGTTTCAGCAAGGCGTATTATGCACACGGTCGAAAGTGTTGCTATTCCATTGAAATAAATCAATACTGTTTATGTATCATGTCAGCTTTTATGGTTACTCTGTGAATCTTATATTCTTGTTTTCATTAAAATATTCGACAACTTTATTTTTCGGGTCACAAGGTTTTAAGATCGGCAACATTGAAGGTTCTGAACTGTCGTTCTCGCGCAGCGTTCGCCATGGCACTGATGAGCAGGGCTTAACCCGTGACCGAGATTGAACGAAAATGCAAGCTAGGAAATTGAGATAACCAGAGAATGATAGGTAAAAAAAGTAGTTGCGTGTTGACAATAGAAAGAGAGAGCTAAGTAATCAGTAGATGTGAGGAATAAAGAAAGTGATGGACTAGCAAGCGTTTAACTTTCGAGCGCATGTCATAAAACTATACTCATTGGGTGCATAAAAATCTGCCCTTTTTTACTTACCCTGCCAACGATGTCCTCTCACTTTCATCATTACGTAGTCACGGCGTCGATCGGGCTGGACACCTTTTTGTCACCCTTGTCCGCAGTCGCCCCTTTCTTTCTTTTCTCCAAATCCAATGAAGACACGCGATCAAGCACTTTGTGCGCTCTTCGTCGAAGAGTATAATGAAGAAAATGTGCGTCGATTGAGAAAGCGAATGGAAAATTTGGAAGATTTCGAAATATGTGTATGTGTGTGTGTGTGTATGTGTTTGTGTTGTCTGGTCAAAAATTTCCAAGCAGCCTCGGGGATTCCATTCTGGTGCTGGATTCGCCGGATAATAACCATGCGGCGGTCGTCAACGACTCTGATGCATAGTAGCAGCGGATACAATACTGGGTCGTCTAAGACGGTGTAACGGGGAACAGGCGTTTTACCTGATGGCATTTCATCATTCGAGGTATACGCGGTAGTATTCACAAATAGTGCGGTTCAGGCCACTGTTGTTGGAATGCATCCATTGTGGACGTCTCCTCGTCCGGGCTAGGCTCCAGAATACTGGTAGTTGTGTATTTGCTCTTTATGCAAAAGCGTGTATAGCCAAAGGTCCCCAGATCTTCTAGATCTGACGAAAAGTTGCTGATGATGCTGCCGTTTCGTATAGGGGTGTGTGATAATTTCTGCAATTTGTGTTCGAACTTCGTCGTTCAAATTCCAGGCGGGGTCTATGGTCATTGGAGCATCTCCATTGATTCTTTTCAAAACATTGCGATGAACGCGAGAACGACGTCGTTTCCCCAACACCTTATAAGCGTCTAATTGCTTGAGTAATGAAATGATGTACCCAGTGGTGGCTTCTGTTTGCACTTCGTTCGCTAGGCGCATTTGTTCGTCATTGTAACGTTGAAGGTACTGATTCGTATTGTGCAGGATTGAAAGGAAATGATGTGGCTCTTTTACAACGCTTGCCATCGTCAGATTATTCTTGTACGCAGGTAGCAGTTCTTTCATTTCCGAGGATAGCTGCGAGATCAAAGACGTAATATTCTCTTCCAGGTCGGTTGGTATGTTTAGCGACTTGCTGAGATGGACGCTGGATGAACTTGCAAATCTGTTGTACGTGAAGGTAGCTAAAGCTTTGTATTGCTTTTTCGTCAAGGGTCTATTGTTAAGAAAATATGAGCACTTGTTTCTTATCATCCTGCTTTTAATGCTTACCGGAAATGCTTCATGAAATCGAAATGACAAAAATGCAGTGTAGCGTTGTTCAAATTTTTAACAATGTTGTTTCGAACCGTGATGGCGAGCATGCTCACTGCCATTGAGCCACCGGGAAATGTGACCTACTTCCCGGTGGGGAGGAGCGTGATGTATTCTTCGTATGTTCTTTCAACTCTTCCTTAGGAAGGTGTTCATTCTTGGACGAAATGTCTCCGGTCAGTAGCAACTGAAAAACTGAGTAGAAAAAAACTTGCTGGAAAATGACAGGTGACAAAACTTGATGCGACGCGAGCTTTCTTTGCAAATAGTATATGACAAAAAGCGACGCCTTGATGACCACAGTGCGGTTGAAGTCGACGACTTGGTGAATGACATTCAAGACTTGCCTATGTTCACTCTTCAAGATCATTGTGAGCTTCGTTTTGCGGATAAACGTTTCTGCCTTTCCACCGTATTGTGCTTCTATGATTTGTTTTTTTGAAGGCTTGTGGTCCGGACAGAGGTTTGAACTATTTGAGCCATGCGGGTTTTGCGCAAGGAATTCTGGTCGGAACTTTGCGCATGATCTGCATTTTCGGGTTCCTGACCACTTGGTTTTACTAAGTCGCTGGCGCTTTGCCTCTTGTTTTTTACTTTTTTCTTCGGCCGTTTGTTTGCCCTTTCTCTTTTTGCTCTCTATAGGATGGATTTCTAACGTTTAGCGGTCTAGGAATGCAGCTAATGAGTTGTTCATCTTACCATTCCCCTTTTTGTTTCTGGCGTTCTCCGGGCACAGTTTGGATCTACCGTCTTTATGGCCCTGGAGACCACATTTGGTACAAATGACAGCTATAGATATGATAATTAGCTCAGGTTCTTTTACTATTGCGTATTATCATACATTTGAGCCGTTCTTCTTCTTGTTTCTGCTTTGACAACTTCCATCTCTTTTTGAGTAAGATCAACTCTTTGTAGGATCGAGTTTGATATAAAGACAAAAGCCTCTGTTCGTGTTCCTCTTCTCCACTGGCAGATGCTATGGACTCTCCTTCACTTCCACTTACAGATGTACTATCACTTTCGTCAATGTCAGGCAATGGATTTCTGGACGAGGAAACCATACGGAAAAAATTAAGAGACGAAAAGAAGAATAATGTCGATTCTTGTGAAAAAACTATTGGATTATTAAAGCGTATGGACATACACAATGAAAACGCATATTACGCTTTTTTACTTGTATTGTATACATTACCCCCGCTTTTTCCATCCGAATTTTTCCAAACCCCGATTTCTTTGTTCCCTCCGGATCAAGGACGATCTGCTCCTAAGCACTGAAGAATTTCCAAATCTCGCTTTTTTTTTTCACTTGTCAAAATATACTGTCTATTAAAAAATCCGGGGTTAGCATATTTTATTGTATCTAAAAACATGTCTAATGTTGCCTGCTTTCTTCGCATTGTCTTGTAGGTGTGTATCCTTTAGTATTCAATTAATGAAAAGCTTTCCAAAACTTTTGTTTTTCGACAATCTCAGCACATCCACTTTGGAAAAAAAAAAGGCAAGGCTAATTTGTATGAAGTCAGACATGAGAAGAAAAATAAGAATCACAAGTGGTGAGCGGGTATATGGCAGCAGCGTTAGATCGATAGGATCCCCATGAAAACCTTCAAGACGCCCGCTGCAATGCAAGCAACAAACCAAAAAAAAAAAAGGAGTGAATACGCGACAAAAATGTAAGCTTCTGTTATGTCTACGTTTAAATAAGGAAGCCCGAAATACGTGTGGCAACGCACAATCGAAAGAAGGATTAGTGTTCAACAAAACACGTGAAGCAAACAAAGAATTGTATCCGAATACAAGGAGCAATCAAGGGCTTTTTGCAACCCCGCCCCTACATTGCAATGGTGTTTTTATGGTTGCATTGAGCAATCGTAAAACAGATGTTACGTTATACGGTACGCACATGAACCAATAGGAAAATGGATATTCGCCTAAGCCACGGTTTCGGAAAGGTCAACGAGCACGGAGCTGCAACACTGAAGGAGTCTATGTCTATTATTGGGGATGTTTTGTTTTAGGTCGTCTTTCCAGTAGGAAAATGCTAGACGTGAATATGAGTACATCAGCGATATGATACTTCAATTTCCAGCAACCAGCAGGAAAAGGAGCTGTGGATATGAGTTATATCACCGATATGATACATTGATCACTTGTGGTTATGCGTATACCATTTCAATTTCCAGCAACCAACAGGAAAAGGAGTTGTTAATACGAGTTCTATCACCTATGATTCATTGGTCACTTGTGATCATGCGTACAATACATCAATGAAACAAGTTATTCAAACTGCCCTGTGAAGCATATAAATTTACTTGCTCCGCTCCTCTCTTTTCCTTTTCTTTGGGGCCCAAGATCATATAATATCTCTGGCGCCCCAGCCCGAATTCGGGTTTTACACACCAAGGTGAGCCACAAATAACCACAATTCAAACTGCGTAATTCAGTCACTAAATTTGGACTTCAAAATCTTTAGTTACGTAAGCAGCTCACCCATTTGTTACCCACATCCGTAATTTTCCACGTCGTACGGTCCGAGTCGCTCTTATTACAACGTTCTTATTTATACATTCCTTCTCTTCTGTAAAAAAAAATGAAAATAACAAGAGATCACGCTCTTTGTGCATTGTTCTGCGAAGAGTTTAATGAGCAAAACGTGATTCTGCTAAGAAAGCGGTTGGAGAAAATGAACGATTTTGAAATCTGCTACGAAAGCGATCCAGCAAAACCGGTCTTACTGCCACTAAGAAGATTGTATGGCAACCCTACTAATTATCATAAATACGACATAGTGGAAGGTATCAATGATAAGCAAGTTGTTGAAAAGTTTTATTCGACATAGAAAGAAGGTAAAAACTTTTTGTCTCGGTGAAGAAGTTACATTGTACTTAAGCATTGTTTTTTTCCAGACGATGTTCAAACCGCTCTCGTCAATTTTGTCAACTTTCGATGAGTCTATTGTGCTCCAGGACATGGGTCTAGTGTGCTGTGATCATCTTTATCACCAATCGAAATTTTTGTGATAGGAAATAAAAATTAACTCTAATTAATCATCATATTCTTGATCCAGAGAAGAATGTGTGGGAACCTTCAAGTTCATGTTCTTTTATCCTCTGGACGAATCTCAAATATTTTGTCACTTCCAGGTTTATATGTGGGAGAAATCTTTGAACTATAGGCATATTATTTGATAATAGATGATAAAAAACATGACAATAACGAATGACAGTATAAAAGAACAATAAAAAATAAACAATGAAGAATGAAGAATGCACAATAAAGAATGAACAATAAAAAAAGATGAAAAACTAAACGGAAATGAAATCAGATGGAACGTGGATATGATCGCTTTCTGCAATTGAATCGTTGAAATATACTGGAGTCCGCCAACAGCTCTGCTCGGTCGAAAATGTGTATATTATTTTAGAAAAAAGTTTATTATTAATTATATTCAATAAATATATAATACAGTTACAACCAGCACTCCAACCTATCACTATAGGCTTTTTAGATATATATAATGATATATATTCAGTTAAAATAAGTAAATCTTGTGATTGAGCATAATTATAATTATATTTATTTAATGGATTTGTTGATGGAAAATACCCACTTCTATTAAATGTAATTATTCTTATATTATTTTCATGAAATAAAAAAGGTATTATCTTATTCCATATATTTTGATTAAATGATCTCCCATGTACCATAATTACCGTTTCATAATCTTTTTTTTTTGGTTCTAATGTATTTTTATAACATATTTTATTATTATTAATAGTATTGATAAAATGTATCTTTTCCATAATTATAGTTATTTATTATAATGTTTAAGATTCAATTTTTTATATAAAAATATGTACATACGGCTTAAATTAATATTTTTTAAATTTATCATATTAATTGTATTTTTAAATTTATGATTCGTTTTTAAAGAATTTTTATTTTATTAAATCTATTATTATACTTGCAAATTGTTCCGGATAATCTACCATAGCAAAATGATTCCAATTATCAATTTTTTTAATAATAATATTTTTTTTTAATATTTTTTTTAATCTATATGTCATGTTTTTAACAAATAATGGTGATGAATTACCCATTATAATAAAAGAATCATTTTTTAACAAAAATATTTCAATTTCTTCATTTGTAAAAAATTTTACTTTATTTTTCATTTCTATTTCTGTACCTTTTAAATCAAATGTTTCATCTATAAAATCTTTATTATCATCAAATGAACTTTTAATATATTTATTATTTTTATCATAATATTCAGAAATTTTTTCTTTAAATATATCGGGATTCTTATATATAGTTATATCATCTTCTTCATTAATTCTTAAAGCAGGTTCATATCTTAATCATGAAGTTATCAACACACAATTCGCAGATACGTGGGTTTTCCCTACTAAAAAGTAAATAATGTGAACAGAACATGAAGCCAATAAAGTCTCTCTTACACAGTCAATTTCTGGATTTCCACTGGAGACGTCGATAATCCCGCGAAGTCAAGCGACACCAGGCAAATGTCCTTTTCAGCAGATTTAATATATTCGAGAAGATCTAAATTGAACTTCCTTAGTTGTCTTGTACTTGTTTTTGCCTTTCATCTCAATGAATTTTACCCTGGGTCGATCCTTCTACATGCTGCAAATCTTTGAAGATGGGTTGCTCAGCCAAATCTCTGCTTGCCAATGGTGCGGAAGCATGGCTGCTGATGGACACATATACTTTGTCGGCCAGTGATCGGCTGATGAGATTATTAACCATGGCCTGTACAAGTTGTAGTCTCTTCTCGCCACTTTCATCACCGACAGACTTTCGGGCATAACCGATGACTTCAATGCCCTCCGTTTTCAATTGTTTAATCGCTACTTGGAATCTCGTCAAGTAGTTCACAATGGCCTCGCGAAGACCAGCTAGAAAGAATGGTTTTACTATATATTTCATTATATAGATGATAATCGACTTACCATGATATTCTTTTTTCATGACGTAGAGGTCTCGATATCGGACGTACGATCCATTGTCCAACTTGATTCTCTTAGATCGATCCTCAGCTTGCAGGAAGTGTAATTTTTGACTGGAACACCATCTTGAAAAAGCCGCTGGTGACTTGTCATCCAAACATTTGGTGTGTGATAAGACTTCATGGAATATTTGCTTGGTAGTCATTTTTCTAGCCTCATAGAGTGATACATTCAATGGATCGTGCGGAAGGTACACCTCGTTCAGGAAACGCACGACTTGCGCTTGTGAAGCTAGTAACAAGGTGTTATAATCAGTATCAAGGAACGTCAATTTTTCGATGCTACCCAATTTCTGACTTACCTAACTGATAACTGGTCTCCTCTACTCCGTCACTGTCACACTCGGAAGCGTTGTCAGCTTCGACATACTGTACTTGTGATATGTTAATTGTTCCGCAAGGAATTTTCTGCGTGGCAGCAAGACAGGTTTTGTTTCATCGTTTTCGTAGCAGATTTCGAAATCTTCCAAATCTTCCATTCGCTTTCTCAATCGACGCACATTTTCTTCATTATACTCTTCGACGAAGAGCGTGCAAAGTGCTTGATCGTGTGTCTTCATTGGGTTTGGAGAAAAGAAAGAAAGGGGCGACTGCAGACAAGGGTGACAAAAAGGTGTCCAGCCTGATCGACGCCGTGACTATGTAATGATGAAAGTGAGAGGACATCGTTGGCAGAGTAAGTAAAAAAGGGCAAAGAAAATAAAAATTAGATAATGAGGCAACAATAAAATACTTAGAAGGAAACAAACTCGAATTGAAGGTGGATAGGATGGCTTTATTTGGATAGGATTGTTTTCTACAATCGAAACGTTGACAAATACTCGAGTCCGCCAACAGCTCAGCTTGGTCGAAAATGTGTATTTCCCTTCTTGATCATGAAGTTATCGACACACAATTTCCGGATACATGGGTTTTCCCTACTAAATAGTAAATAATGTGAACAGAACATCAAGTCAATAAAGTTTCTCTTACACAATCCATCTCTGGACTTCCGCTCGAGACGTTGATATCCCGCGAAATCAAGCGACACCAGGCAAATGTCCTTTTCGGCTGATTTAGCATATTCAAGAAGATCTAAATTGAACTTTATTAGCTGTTTTGTGCTTGTTTTATCTTCCATCCTTCTACTAAGTCACGCACTTTTTGAGCAGCGTATTCTTTCCAGAATACGCAGATTCTGAGACGATCATGCTTAATAACGGTAAAAAAAGGGCCAACACTACATGCACGCAAAAATCCCATCAGTGAGACGTCATGTTTAATTTTTTTTTTTTTTTAATTTTCGCAGTGTTACCCATAATATACCTTGGTGAAAGTGCCGCCATCTAACCGAAGCATGTCTTTGATCTTGACCCAAGTGAGCTTGCGCTGCACCTGCTCATCAATCCATTGGAGAGATACATAGAGGTGTCCTGGGTCGATTCTTCTGCGTTCTGCAAGTCTTGACTTGCCAACAGTGTGGAGGCATCGCTGCAGACCGACACATAGAACTTTGTCGGCCAGAGATCGGATGAAGAGAGCATTTGTCATGGTCTGTACAAGTTACGCTACTTGCATCACCGACAGATTTTTCGGGCATAACCGATGACTTCAGTGCCTTCCATTCAGTTGTCTGATCACCACCTGAAATCTCGTCAGGTTGTTCACGATGGCATCACAAAGATCAGCTAGGAAGAATGTTTTAGTATTTATTTCATTCTATAGGTGATAATCGACTTACCATGATACTTTATTAAAGATATCGATAGCGGGCGCACGATTTATTGTCCAACTTGATTCTCTTTGACCGATCTTCAGCTTGCAGGAAGTGCACTTTTTGACTGGAACACCATTTTGAAAATGCCGTTGGTCACTTTTCATCCAAACATTTAGTGTATGATAACGCTTCATGGAATATTTGCGTGGTGGTCATCTTTCTAGCCTCATAAAGTGGTGCGTTCAGTGGATCGTGGGGACGGTATACCTCGTTCAGGAAACGCACCATTTGCGTTTGTGAGGCTAGTAATAAAGTGTTATATGAAGATCAATTTTTCGTTGGCACCCAATTTTGACTTACCCAATTGATAAGTGGTGTCGTCTACCTCGTCACTGTCATACTCGGAAGCGTTGTCTGCTTCAACATACTTGTGGTATGATAATTGCTCCGCGAAAAATTTCTGTGTGGCAGCAAGACAGGTCTTGTTGCCACACACGTGCATCTTCCTATAGCTTTCTCATAGAACGATTCTGGGCAGTAGTAAACTGAAAACCCATCGGTCTTTGCAAGCAGATTCTCTATCTGAGAGGACCATGGAAGCCTGCAACAGCGTGGAAAAAGTTTACTTCAAATGTTTGTTGCGCATTGTCACAATTGCTGGGATAAATATCTAACAAAGAGTCCATGAATGCAACGATAATAAGCGAGCGATAAGAGTTCAATAAGCGATATTTTTTATTTTATTGTATTTTGATATCAAGAAGAAGAAAAAGATTAGGAATCTGCGGGTACAAAATAGTAGTGCGCAAAAGCTTGTGATTTAATAGCCACTTCGCGCCTGCGGTCAACCACTGCGACAGCTTTAGGATGGAGTCTAAACCGATCATCCTTACATGACACTGGTCTGGGAACCAATGGTTTTTGACCACTGAACATTTGGATAACGCTGTCGTTGTGTAAAATATCGTGTCTGCTGTAAACGTTCACGGCGTGTCCAATATCGACCACGAGTTGGACGATGTTTTCGTGAACTCGGAAAATGGTGCTGATCATCAATGTTGGTCGTCAGATCACGGTAAACGATCGTCACAAGCCTGGCCTTGCGTTCTGACTTCGTTATTTTTTGGATCATAGTTTGCGTGTTGCCGCTGCAATCTTTGAGATTCCAGTCTGGAGCACCATGATCACGCGAGCCCAGCGGGTCGAACGCTGAAGTCCCGATCGATGCGAATACATCTTCGCAAAGAAGCTTCGTCTTCAGCTTGCAAATCTGAAGGCCGACAGTATTTTCTCTTGCAGACTGCGTTTCTTTTTGCGACGGGCTTTTCCTTCCGTATCCGCTCGTGCGAATGCTTGAAAGGGACGCTTTCACCATAGCTCGGAATTGCTGAATATTGCATATGTCGTCCCAAGTAAAGTCGCGATACTTGGGCTTGACAATGTTGTCTAATCGACCGCGTTTGCGGGTTTTTCCCACTTGTTTTCGTTTGGCAGGGCCCCAAAAACCGTCCTTACTCATCCATTCTGCCAAATCGTTTTGTTTCAAAGTCTCGCTTGGCATGTATTGTTGGATGACGTCGTAGACTTCGTTCTCGGAAAGAAACATGCCATCCGTGACGCCAGATATGGGTTTCTTGGGCATAATTTGCTTTGCTAATTGCAGAATTGCTGAGCGAGAGGGAGCGATGGATGGGCCCCATGAGTCGCTGCTGATGGCTTCAATTTGGTCTTCTTTTTCGACGGTTTGTTAGTTGTCACGGCAGCAGGCAAACGTTGAAACCTCCAGGGTTCCTTATTTATCTTCGTCGTTGAGATGGCGACAGCGACCAGAGGATCGCCATTGGTTCTAAGCCGGTCTTTCGCAATTTTGTCAGAGCAAGTTCTTTGTTTTCGTCCGTGACATCGAGATCGAAGATGCTGCAAGCAGCATCGCCTGCAGTCAGATACATTTATCGGAAAACAAAGAAAGAAAGCGTGTAAAATAATAATAAAAAGATTCCACTGGCTACGGTGAAGTAATTTGGAATATTGTGGAGTTGTCGTTTTTTCATGTGAGTCGTTCCATGAAGTTGAGAACTCATCGACAATACCGGTATCGGGAATGACGGCTTTTTGGTGTTTTCCCATTTGGGTTTTTGCCATGCATTGTGGTGATATCCCAATTACACGATAAACGCTCAATGATTGTTTAAAATGGGTACCAATTCGATCCTGAAAATAAGAGGTGATTTTACCGTAATCAAAAAATAGGCAAAAGGAGATAAGAAGTGACGACGATGAGATTCTTCCAAAATACCATTTTACAGTATCCAACCTGCAAAACATCTGATCATTTGGACGTCATTCATTTGAGGTTCCACCCAAGCTCACCGTGTATCAACAATGCAGCCAACTCTCAGCATTAACACCTGTGGTTAAACCACTATACCTGCTGCGACAATGCTTGCAACGACGTTGCAGCGAAATATCGACTAATACTAATAGCCCCTGTGGTATATGAGAGGATTTAGAACAAAAGAGACAATGAGAATCCTTTGAGATCGTTGGATACCTATTTCGATTAATGTGATCTGCCGATTTTATACTTTAGTCTTGAGTCGGAATTAATGATTATCAGTGAGCAGTCCTCGGTTATAAGGTGTATTTGAAAGGATCCACATGCGGTGCTGTGACAGCGGTACCCGTATGAATTGATCTCGGTGATAGATCCAAGCTATGGATGAAGAGGTTCAATCGGCGTTGTAATGGAGAAGCTCACTGTCATGACCATTCCTGTGCATACGTTGTCTTGGCAATGATACACGACCATGTGCATCATTGGCTCAAGCGCGCTCCTCACTTTTGCCATGCTGATCCATGCGCTTGTGCTCATGTTCTTTCTATCGTTGTTCTCCCTTTTCGTTGATCCATGCTGTGCCTCATGTTGCGCTCTGCATTTAATTGAATTATTTATTCCAGTTGTCTGTTCCGCTCCATTATATCTCGTATAATCCGATCTCTTTTCATGAAATAAGCCTCAGTCGACATCCTATACTATCTTGTTCTCCTAGTCCATATTCTTGTTCTGTTCTTACTTCTGTCCTTTCTTGTCTTGTTCTTGTCTTGCGCACCACTTAACACCACCCTCTTGCCTAGTTGTGCAGACCATCCATAATCTGCGCATAACCCTCACTCAGAATGGAAACACGTTTAAATCGCAACTTTCCTGCTTTGGAACATCAGTCCAGAATGGATAATACGACGAGTAGTGGATATGCCCCCCAAATTTGGAACATGGATATAAATGTCGGACTAAACATGCGAGGATCCTACAGCTCTATCCAATAAGGTTGCCAAATTAATTGCCGATTTCTCTCCAAAGACCAGCAGGCAGCATAAATGTGCTGGGCGATGAAAGCGTCTTCGACTGGGTCAATTTTTGCACGATAAGTAAAAAAGAAAAAGGGGTATGATATCTCATTTGCGCCATCTGACTGAACATCGTCATAATTGCTCCAGTACAAAAGGATGAGCTTTGAATTCTCAGATTACTTTAATTTAGTCAAGATATTGGTAGCTGTTATTATCTGTTCGTTCCAAGTATTCTCTGTTAGAAAAGTAAGAAAAAGATCTGCAATTAGTAAACAATGACGCAATGGCGAATGGGTACTGCAAGCTGCATACTTCTCTATCAGTAATTCGATGCGTTTTTTCACGTCCTGCGCCTTAAAAAGGTGCGTCCATTAGTTGTATGCTTTTAAATCATCGTTGCTATAGATTCGAACTTACTGTCACTGGAAAGCGTACTTCTCGTACCACTTCACTGAGAAGCTGGCCGTGAATCAGATTTTGTTTGGCTTTCATGATTCGTACAATGGCTGCATCCACCTATTTTAGGAAAATGCCGACTTTGGTTAAGGTTGCCCATTTGATCGATTTCTCTGGGGACTTACCTGATGTTCTCGGGCAATAAGCACTGTTTTGTTCATGGACGCTGTGTTTTCAATGACTTCAGTCAATTTGTCAGTGTTCAAACTGAGGGAGGGTGATTCGGTCAGGAAATCATGATTGAAAGCGAATTCATCGCTTTGTTGCACATCTTCTCCTTCGGGGATCTTTTTTAGTAGCTGATACTGTCCACAAGATAGCGTTTTCAGTGTTCGTCGTAGTTCCAGTTCATCTATCCACCACGTATGAGTAACTCTGGATTCCTTTTTTACCGATTGTCCGCCAATTTCATTCCTACCGATTTTGGTGGCTTCCAATATCTGTGAAAACGAAATGACATCCGTCAAGGGATCGTTGAATAGCAATAATACAGCGACTTGCGAAAATGTTAATGTCAAATCCATGTTACACTAGATTCTCAGCGTGAGATGGCGCATCCATTAACTTTTTTATGAGCAATGGTTACTTGCCTGGGGATAATTGGCTGCCACTTGGCATACGCCCAATGAATTTTGCCACGTCAACCGCCGACCAGTATACTTGACAGAATAAAATGCCTTGTACAAGTCTTCGGCTTCGCGGAACTAGCATGGATCCATTATTTATCATGCTTGCACTATCATATGCGCCAAACCATCACTTACTGTTGTAGGTAATTCAATTTCAATAGGTGTATAAGAAGGCCAGAACCCGTTTGTTAGGACATTGACATTCATGTTCGGGACCGGAGTAGGTCCTTGCAAGAAATCCTGGATTTGGGTTACTATTACAAGGAGCGGTTGAAAATAAAAGGTAATAATAGCGTATACCTTGAACTCATTCATAAGATCGCGAGAATGTTTGATGTCGCGCAGCATGCCTTCCAATTTGCTTGTGTAAGCCGGACCGCACTCTACATATTTCATAAGTGGCTGCATCTCCGGGTGTGTGGATATTTATAATACCTTTTTTCATTTTGGCGATCATTAACTTTTCTGTTCGAGGATTCGCAACATCGAGTAGTAATCGTTTGGCAAGATCTCGTTTATACAGCACACCGTACGCATCCTTGCCTGCCGCAACTTAGTCACTGCCGTTCCTGACGATAATAGCTGAAAACTAATGTTACCTTGCAAAAACCTAGAGAATAACGAGATAAGTACGATCATTGAGAAGATCGCTGATGCTACCTGAAACGTACCTGAAAACAAGCATGCCTTGCTCCAATAGACTGTAATCCAGCTTTTTTTTTGTTTCCTTCGTTAGACTAATATCCATTTTTGTATCCAAATACAACAACAGCTTACTTTATCAATGCGCAAAATGCGATCGGTGTGTTCAGCCAGTAATTCGCTGGCATTGTTTTCTCGCAGATTGATGAAATACTCAAAACCGTGTTTCAGGGCAAGCGTAAATCGTTCGTCTTCCTCGAAACTATGCATCACCAAGACATCGGTTTTGCGTTTAAAGGTGGCTAAAGCTGTAATGACATCGTTTTCTTTTGCAGTCTCTCGCATAATTTGCGATCCTCTTGTCTACATAGCATGTATGGTCTGTTGAAAACAAAGAAAGCTTGAACACAGCGGGAAAGCCACTTACCTTGACATAATTTAGGAAATATTTGGCACAAATGTCAAGCTTTCCCACCTTCTTGAGTAAGCGATATAACAACGACAAGTCATCCATACGATGATTTTCCATAAAGTAATTAAAACCTAGCAAAAGAAAACGTTAGACTGTCGATCATCAAAGGTCATTCACCTCTTTATCATACTTTTATCCAAGATATACTCCACACGCTTGGATAACAACTCCTCTTCGACGATGGTTGTCAGAGCCACTTTGGATGATTTATCAAAGTAGCGTTTAACTCGAATCGTCGATTCTTGATGCACTCGCATGGATACATGATCCAGATATCCCGACATGTGCATTTCTTTCACCAGCTTATCCCCTTCGGCGCAATAAAATTTTCTCGTTTGTTCCAAAAAGGGTTCTTCAAATTCCAAGTGATACACTGAAAGATCGATGAACATACGCAAGATCGACTGCAGCAGTGATGTGTCCACGGTCTCTCCGTTTCTATGAAGCCGTTATTCACGCTGCGGCTCGTGAAAATAGACTTATCTTACCTTTCAGACAATATCAGGTCCAAGACATACTGAAGTAATCGCTGTCGAATATTTTCATGTTGTAGATAACTCTCCCGGAAGAGATCCATGGCCATATTCCTGAAAAGATGAATGAGCGTTGATGCGCATAAAGTTGCTTCAGGTCATTGGCTACCATAATGAACCGGCTGATGTGGCTGATGCTACAAAGGTGCGATCCAGATATAGAAAGATGCCTCTTATTTGTGACTACGGGATATTTGGTTAAACGGAAAGTCTACTACCATTTTTTTTTTACAACAGCCTTACCATTTGTGCGCAGTAAGTCGTCCATTGTGTGTTGATGATTTCTAAGTAAGCAATGTTTTCCGCATTGACTCTGTCATTGAATTCCATCGTTAATATTCCGTGTTACGGCTGATTTGATGATGATGGTGATTTACTCTGAGAGTTTCTCGAAATTCGCTTTTACATGGACCTTAATTTCATGATGCAGCCGTTGATACAAGTTTTCGGCCAGGTCATACTGGCATAAATTCTCGCAGAGCTATGCAATAAATCAGTTCTGTCGTTCAAGAAAGCTTCTTGAGTATTGACTTCGATTATACCTGATACAGTGCTTCCAAACTGTCATCCACAGGTTCTTGTTGGAGCATAGCGTGGACAGCATGCTGAAGGCGGATCCACGTTTTTTCTTCGTAATCAGCGGGTAATGCTGGTCGCTCAACTGCAGACTTTCTGTAAGTAAAAAGCGGGAAATTGTGTTATGGTGTGCATAAATCCACCTTTTAGGTCATATACAATGAGCTTTTTATCGGAAAGAATGGGATGGCGCTTGGTATGTCGTGAAGAATTCGAGAGACGTTCGCTGAATGGTCGGCTACCGGCAGCGGCTGTGGTCATGACGGTATCGTGATTGAAAGGAGAGGAGGAAGAGGACTGAATCGTCGGATCGAGTCGTACTCTTTTCGCATCGCCGTGATCCCAACTCATTGTGGCCATGGCTTATATCGCTTAATGATCGCAAACGGGGAGCAGGAACGCGAATTTTTTGGAGACAGTAGTGGTTGGGTTACACGGCGCTCAATAGGCGATCCATAAATTTTTCGCGAGAATCATAATTTTCGAATGCACGTCACCAACAAGAAAACCAACTCTCCATATTTGAGGCATGTATCATGGCCATTCTCTATATAGGCAACATCATTACAATGTTTCAATCTTGAAGATAATATGTCCGTTTCCTACGTAATCAACAGCAACAGTAACACTGACATCGATCCTGCTGAGAATTAAATATACTGCCATCATATTTCCACAAGATCGGCTTGCCTATTTCATCGAGAAACAAGAGGCATGATGCCGTTGTAAGGTCCTCCAGAAAGACTCCATTGAGCCCGGTCCATTTTTTATAGTCACTACAAGTGCAATCGTTTTGCTATGAACTTGGCCTTGGCAACAGAAGATCGAGATGGTTTCTTCAATCAATTTGACAGCGTTAATGGTGAATGATCGGTAATTGCATTTATGAGTCCATTGTAGGTTGAGATAAGTACGCGGTTGGGTTATATTTCTTTATAGTAGCAGTAGCAGTGTTTTTGCTTTCATGAATAAAATCAACGTTCGTATAAGTATCCGACGCATCTTACAGCGGTGTATCCGGTCAGGATATCGACTGGTCTCGCAACCGGTTGCCTTGCAACGACCACAGCGCGCATCCACTACGTTCGGAGATGACCGTCCCGCCAACGAATCTCGTTGTTAGGACCGCGTTAGTAAGTCGAAATGTAGGGCATGCGCGCTCAGACTTTGCTACACATGGGCGACTGATTCTCCCAACATACAGCCGCGGCTATGCATCTGTTATTTTATTACAATGTTTATTCATTGTCAATACTCTAGTGATGAAGCAGGAAAAGGACAAAACTCTGTTATTTTACAGCATCATTGGATCGAGAAAAGACTTCCATTTCCGGAAACAAAGTGTGGCAAGCCCGAAGGCAAACCATACCCAGGAAAGCACAAAGCGACTCCGATGTCAAATTTTGATCCAAACTGTTTATTTCGTCAATTGCTGTCACCACAGCAGGAAAAGAAGCCATTTCCGAATGTTTATTACTGCGGACAAAAAAGATTCTGGCAAATCTTCCGAAGTGTATATAATCATTTGCATGAGATCATCTTTCTGTGTGTTCAGTTGGCCTATAACCTTTTAATTGATCTTTTCGAACAAGGCAGACATGGATCCTTGGCAGGAATTTTGTTTGCAAGATAATCTCAGCACTTTTCTAAAGGTGCCCACGCCCCATTTGACGCCGGATCATTCGCCCGCACTTCACGTCGGCTCAGACTTGGACATGTCGAGTCCGGTAGCTACCGTCGACCCATCCCAGATCAACGATGCACAGCTGTTCAATTTATTCCAAGACGTTGTGTGGCACGATGATATCGCGTCGGATCTCAACGGCCTCGCAAAGAATAACGTGATAAAAAATACATCCAATCTTGCTGTATCCCGTGTTGACAACCAATTAAGCTTATTTGACTTTCAACCGTCGATGATCGAAGGACTCAACGCGAGCAGCTATAATGAAAACGATGCCATTTCTGCCCAGAATTTGATAGAATCCATTGACCGTGCTTTATTGCAAATGCCCACTCATCGAAATTCAGCAGCAACAACGCAGCCACCCAATTTCACATCGGCTTTAGCTAGTATTCAACTGCATCCCGATATGATCAACGCATTTATCAATGATCCATCGATTGATCTGTGGAATATTCCTGCGGACTCCACCACTACAAACACACCCTCTGATCGCTTGCATGAAACCACGACGATAAAACGTAAGCGAGCAAAGAGTCAGTCCCGACACATGAAACGCTCTCGCTTTTCTTCAGACATGTACACGGGCATGAATCCTCCTGCGACGCCGTCGACTTGCTTCAGAAACAGTCCTACTTATTCACCATCCACGATGCATCCAAATTTATATCATAATAATTCGCAAACGCAGCGCAGCCGCGATTCACGCTTTCAGCTCGTTGACTTGCAAACAATAGCCCATGCTCAAGAAGAATACATTCAACGAAAGGAGCTGCTGGAAGCCAGACAACAAAAATATGAGCAACATACAGGATGGTTTTAAGCCCAAAACAGAATGAAGCTATTTATTTGATTTTAGCTATTTCTTTTATTTACTTGACATTAACCAAGATATCATATAAATCCTTGTAAATTCTGTCTTTTTTTTTCAAATAACGATGCGTGCATGCATTTTTCTCGTCACACGCGGAAGCAAAATTTTTGCCTTGTCTTCTCTGGATTTGATCTCATGCTCGATCCCATATTTCTTGGATTAGACCCATTATTCTCAATCGATGTCAAGTTGCTGATAAAAGATATCCATTCATGTGCGCCGGTGCCAGGTTATCAAGGTAAAAGATCTTAATTTTTTTTTTTTTACTGCGGATAATCATGTATAACCACATTACATGCTTCTGCAGATCTTTACCTATTTCAGGGCCATACAATAAAGTCGGTGGAAATCTATGGCATAATTGTCGCTGTCGAACAGAATCATGCGATGCTGATATATCAAGGTAAAGGTCACTGGGCGTGGATATATCAGCAACATATGTCTCCTTACAGACCCGTTTTACAGTGGATGATGGGACAGGAACAGTGCCTTGCTGCCTGTGGAAGAATAGCACCGGTTCGATAACCAAGACGTTACCATTGGGAACCTGCGTTCATGTTTTGGGTCGCATTACTGATTACAAAGACATGAGACAGGTGACGACGTTCTCATTAAGTGCGTATTGACTCATTCGTCGCCATTACGGTGCACACTACCGGAAACTAATTGAATTTTAGGTCAAGTCCATGATCCCAATCGAGAAGTACTCCATGCACTGGAGGCAATGGTATTGCGCAAAACCGTTTACGCTGAACCTTACAAGGTACCTGTTCAGATTCAGCAGAATGCGGACAAGCTGAAAGAGCAGATGCAAGCAGACAAAGATGGTGAACACCTACTATCCAAGGAAGCAGTAAGCCTTACCACTGTGTTATTCAACAATAGTCGTTACTAATATTGGTCATTTCTGCTAGACTGAGACCAGCACGATAAAAACCGAGAACGCGTTTCAACAACGACTGCTCCTGTATTTACGAGAACACGCACCGACCAGCGGTTTTCCTTATACGTTTGCTCGTGCAGACGAAACATTACGAGAGTCCGCGCGGCAATTATTGCATCACAAGGTAATGGCCAAAAGAGTGAAATCATGCGTCCGTTTTGAACTTATTGAAATATATCCAAGTATGGGGAGTCGCCGACGGAACGACAGATATCCGAACTGTTTGCACACAGCACCACCGCGCTAGTCAAATCCGGAGATTTACTGGAAGTAGAAAGCAATTCTGGCGTGTATCAGGTCCTGACAAGTGAACGACTTCAAAATACCATTGAAACAATTGTACGGGAAGCTGAATCCAAATTATCACCTGCTTATGGTAACGGATCACCACAAGAATGCTGCGCTCAAGAAAAAGAGAATTAAAACACACTATTTTCGATAGGTGGCATATTCCAAGAATTCATCGTTCATGCTGTGCAGGCCACTCCACTCTACACACGGCTTCCACGAAAACGCGTTCTTTCTTGTTTGAATGAGATGGTAGCTGAAAGCATACTGTATACCTCGGGCTATCGTGAATTCAACACATTGAATTAAACCAATAAAAAAAACCAGCCAGCATATGAATCACACAGACATCTTGTTATCCATGCAGGAGTTTATTGATAAACAACTTAGACAGATGCTTAGAAAACGAGAGCAGCACCCTTAGTCTTCTTTTCACCACCCAATTCGAAGTGCTTGCAACGCTTGAGGGGTTGTTGCATCTTGTACTTGCAGACGGTGCATTCAAGACGGAGGACAACCTTCTTGGTGGTCTTGGCCTTCTTGTGGAAAACGGGCTTGGTCTGACCACCATAACCGGACTGCTTACGATCGTAACGTCTCTTACCCTGGGCGTACAAAGAAGCCTTGCCAGCCTTGTACTGGGTAACCTTGTGGGGAGTGTGCTTTCTGCACTTGATGCCCTTGCAGTAAGTGTTCCTGGTCTTGGGAATGTTAACCTACAACCCATGAAAGGAAAAAAAGGGAAGTGAAACTCGATTAGAATCTTTGTCTCGTTCATCGATCGTTATGCCACCCAAATGGTATTTCGCCCGAGCACTCTTTCTTTCAAAACGATATCGATGACCCTCCATGTACATGGGTTGCATTCTGTCAATACTACATCTCATGTTTCCCCCGAGCCACATATTCTCTACAAAAATGTATCCATCCTTTTGCTGATCATCCATTCCAACGTCACCCATGAACTATCTCAATCTAAATGCCCCATCCCATCCGCTAGCCGGTGTTTCCGCGCTGATGCTGATGTACATACCATGGCAGTCAATCAGGTGAACGAGAGAGAGGGAGATCCTTTCGTACAGCTGCATCCAGCACTTGAGCGGAACGGGCGGTGGTGCCGTCGCCCGGTCTCCGGACTTTCACCGGAGCTGCATTCCTCCCGAAAACGCAATAAAATCGTCACAATTTTCTACGTCACCTTTCACCAGTTCAACATTCCCGCGTTTGAATTTGGTGCTCAGGTGCTTCATTTTTTTTCCAATTGTTCTTTTCCTAGTCTGTTGTTTGCTTTTGGTGGGACCTCATGATCGGGCATTCTTCACCAAAAATTCAAAAGTACGTGTCTATTTTGTTGCTCAGTAGGATTATATTGTTTAGATTGGCAATGGGAAACGACATTGTTTGCTTTTTCATCAGCTATTCACGTCTTTTTCAAAAAAAAAAAAAGTGAAGCTGCCTTATTTAAACTGTGCCTTGTAGGAGACCATCTGTTCTTTCATCGCTCGATAACAGAAGCGACGTGCTTGAACAACGAAAACAGCTATTGACCAAGTCCAATGGCGTTCGTTCTTCAGAAGCTGAGAAGCGACATGGGTTGCCGGTCGCCAAGTTGGAGGCTAGAACCACGACGGTTCCGGACCCTTTTGGCGTCAGCGAAAATACTTCTCCGACAAGGACTGAATCCCCCCTAAGAAACTCGTTAAAAAATGAACCGGTCACGGTGTCTCAGAATGACATAAACAAGTTATCATTTATCCAGCAATCGTTCAAGGCCTCACCACAACATGATCGCTTGGAGCCGGTGAGCCAACGTCCTACCGTCGGTGGAAAATGCCCTAGCAGCGTGAAAACGAGCCCCGGCAAGGCTGCACGGAAACGAATGTCATCTGAGCAACTGAGAATGCTCAGCCGCCGAATTGATCCAGCTCAGCCGTTGGCATCTCCGCATCAATCACCTACGAAACCTGCGTTACCCCCGCGTCTCAAACCATCCCACAAACGTTCCAAACACCGTATGGGCGGTGAGAAATTCATGGAAAAATGTCTCAATCAACACGACCGTTCGAAGCGATCCCCATCGACTACGCAAAATTCAGTCTCTCTTTACAGAACATGCATCAACGTATGGCCTGGTATACCAACCCTTGGCGACTTTAGTCACGAGAATATCCGCAACCTCAGCGAACTCCTGAAAGTACGCCTGTCGCAAGCCAAATTTAAAGCCCTCGCGTCACTCGAGAACAAGGGTCTTTCACCCAGCAACGAATTATGTTCTTATTTGGATGCCGATGACTGGTACTGGCCAACGAAGCAAGTCCATTCCACTATCAAGCTTTCCACGAAACGCCACCAAGGAGTGAGCACCATGACCACTGTCGGCAACGGCAAGAATCTTTTCGTTGATACCCGTAGCCGACCCGATCACTTTGCTTGCCATGGCAAGAAAAAGTTTTTGCCCAAATTATCTATGAGCAATCACCGTCTTTCGCAACTCGACCGTCATGATCGTCATGTGACATCCAACATCGACCATTTCCACAAACACACTGTTTCAGGCAAAACGGTCTCAACCTCATCCCCATCGCCTCTCGATACTGGTAAAGAATCAAAACGAAAAACGAAAACAAAACGATCATTGTCCACAGCACATACGCCGTTATCAAAGAAACAAAAAGCTGAAATTGGTGCTCTTTCTCCCATCTTATTTGATAATGGTAAATATCTTGATTGCCCAAACTAGGTTTCTTGGAAACGAAAAATTGACGTCGATTTATTGATAGGTAACAAATATTTCGTCTGCGCACCCTGCGAAAAACGGTATAAAACTCGAAATGGTCTGGCATATCATTTGGAGCGATGCAAACATCGACTTCCAGAAACCGAAGTTGATGAAAACGCTATCGACTGTATATGTTCTGAATCCACACGCAATACAGGGATGATGATACAATGCGATGCATGTCGAACATGGTTACATCTCAAGTGTGTCGGCTTGACGGAAGATTCTCTGGAAGATACTTACCAATGTCCCCGATGCGAGGATGCCCCCTACGTGTATCGCAACGGCAAGAAGATTAAAAAATCCGACGTGGATCATGTTAAACAAAAGAGCAAAGAGCTCATGCGCACCTTGATGGAAGCACGTGAATCTACCTCCAGTACAACCACAGAATCTCCGGTCGATATATTCAACCAAGATAACGATATGACTCCCATTGAACAAGCGGAAAACGGAGAACAAAACGATCAAGATGATGACGATCACGACGACGAAAATGACGATGAGAATGACGACGAAAACGATGAAAACGACGAAACCGACGAAGTCCAGACGTTGGGTTCCATTGCCGTCGCCAGCCCATCTGAAACTCCTGTGAAGAATGACGACGCCCAGTTTTCCGCAAATGATCTTCCGCAGCAACAAGTGTGGGACGATTTCTCGTTTGCACTTGCACTGGCTGATGAACATCAGTCGACTCAATCATGGAGTAAGCCCAGCACTCAGGAAGAAACCGCGTACGAAAATCCAATGTCCAACATATCGTGGAGTGTGGGAGATGTGAATCTTTTACCTCCATCTCTTTTGTTTTCCGAATCGACGTTCAGCAGCGCAATAGACGATGACATGTCGGCTCTGCCTTCAGACATCGCACCCCTTCCAATGGAAGGTGATTCAATCCTGTCCGATATCACCCCTTTCACCTCTTTTGCCGCCGACTCGAACGCTGATCCATTATGGTTTGAATTCGCCAACTTTGAGGACGATTATATGTGCGAAACTCAATAACCACGCTTAATTACTGTGTAACATCAGCATAACATCTTTCTCTACCATATTTTTATGTAAGCGAACAAAAACCAAATTTGCTTTCTAAGAGATAAAACATGAGATCACATTCAGGATGATCTTCCTGAATATGCCGTATTCTCATTAATAAAGAGAATAAGAATCTATGTAAACATGCCAGTTATTGGAAGATGGTCTCTTCGTGCTTCTTCTTGGACTTGACAGCACCGGGCTTGGCTTGGGCCGCTTCGTGATGAGCCAACTCGTTTGGTACTTTGGATAGCGGTGATTTCATCAGCATTTGCTTCAGATCGTACATCACATCGGTATCGTTATTGCTCAAGAAGGTGATAGCCACACCGGATTGGCCAGCACGACCGGTACGACCGATACGATGGGTATAATCTACAAAAGGAAAATAAAATCAATGTTAGACGGCTGATTTAATTGAGCATCGTGGTGATAGTTTTTTTTTAGAAGTACCTTCAATGTTCTTTGCCATGTCGTAATTGATGACCAGAGAAACGTTCTTCACATCAATACCACGACCGGCCACATCGGTAGCCACAAGTACTTCGGCTGTGCCACTCTTAAGTTGGGCAAGGGCCGACTCTCTATTGAATGACAAAGAAAGAAAAGATCGGATAAATAAATAAGGCGATTACCTTGGTGAAGCATGCAAAATGTATAACATACCTTTGTTCCTGCGATTTGCCACCATGGAGTGTAACTGCATGCTGACCCATTTTGTTGAGGGACTTGGCAAGAATATCCACTCCTTTCTTTTGATTGACAAAAATGATAACAGGAGGAGCATATTGACCGGAGTTGAGGATTTCAAGGAGACGGTTCCTATGATAAAAAAGTAAAAAAGAAAGAAAAGGTAATCAGTAAAGTGTTGATTTTAAGGAGCCAATCGCATGAGTCCGCTTACTTCTTTCGTCCTTCGTCACTGATCATTTCGACACGTTGTTCAACGGTTTCAACCGCTTGACCAGCTGTACCAATGGTGACCACGGCAGGACGACGAAGATACTTCTTGGCAAGGCGTTCGACAGCTGGCGGCATGGTAGCAGAAAACATGGTGGTTTGACGATACTTCTTGCCATTGGAAGAGGTCTCGGTCATGGCTTTGCTATTTTCCGCTTCCTCGCCCTCGGGTTTCTTATTGGATACCGGAAGCGCGTCCAGGATGGTATTGACATCGGCTTCGAAACCCATATCGATCATACGATCTGCTTCATCCATGACAACGTAAGTACACTGATTCAATACAAGGATACGACGATCTAAACAATCCGTGAGACGACCAGGTGTAGCAATGATGATTTCTGCACCATTTCGAAGATTAAACGATTGCTCCTCAATGGCATGCTATAAAAAACAGAGAGAGATATTTAAGTTAGCCACCTTTCCATATGGATCATACTTAGTGAGAAAATCACTTACACCACCGACAATAGACACACAGTTGTAGCCCATCGGGGCCGCAAATTTGATAGTTTCGGCTTCGATCTGCTGCGCCAGTTCACGGGTTGGCGCCAAAATGAGGGCATACGGACCATCTGTCATGTTTTCCTCCGTCATTTTGGGAAGTTCTGAAATGAAGGCCAACATGGGAATGACAAACGACGCCGTTTTACCGGAACCTAAGAAAAAAAAAAGGATGAACGCGTCAGTTTCTGGCGTTTCCATGTCTGACTTCTCATGTCTTACCTGTTTCTGCGATACCAATGATATCGCGATTTTGAATACCAATAGGAATGGCTTGTCGTTGAATAGGCGTGGGTTCCTTGTAACCGACCTTTGCGATGATCTCCAGCAGCCTGGTCGGAAGACCGGACTCGTCCCAGCCACGAATAGGATGAGGGATATTGCCACCTAAACAAGAAAATACATCGAATCAGTATCTTGGTTTTTTTTCCCGTCATTGATGGGAGAGTTTCATCTCGTTACCTTTTGTCGAAATATTGAAATCTTCCTTGAAGATACGCCAGTCTCTTTCGGTCATGTGAGTCAATGGCTTTTCGGTCCAGTGACGATCGTCCCAACGAATACGAGCTTCTCGCTTTTTGTCGAGCTCGATTAGTTCTCTGATATTAAAGATAAGTTAGTTAGTCATACTGCGCTTTATATTTCCGGTGGGGGCAAACTCCACTTACGCCGCTCTTCTCATTTCTTCATCGGTTCTTCGTTCCTTCAATAGGGAGTTATAGAATTCTGACTGCTGCTTCTTTTGTTCCTTGATATCGATACCGCCAATATGACCACGACCAAACATTTGCGCATTGTGGCGATTGGCGTACAAAGGGTTGAAATCGTACGATGTATCTTCTCCTGCATCCCAATCAAACACGAATTTACGCTCATTCATGCGGCGAATCTTTCGTTTTTTGCGTTCACCGCCAAAGTAACGTTCCTATACACAGCAACCATCAGTTTCTCATGTCCTCCAAGATCACTATATTTCGCCAACGTACTCTAATGGCTTGCTTCTCTTTCTCGGTCAATTCAGTTTCGGGGTTCTCTGTATCGGCGGTGCTTTCTCTTTCTCTGTCTTTTCTCTTTTCCGATCGTGAATCGTATCGTCCTGAGCGTCGATCTCTTTCGCGATCGCGTTCATAGCGTAAAGATTGACGCTGCTCTTGCAATTTTCGATACTCATCTTCTGCCTTTAAATCAAAGTTTTCTCTGGCTCGTCGTTCTTCTTCCTGGCGTCGTCGCTGTTCTTCCACTTCCTTTTGTCGTTTTTCGATCGCTAGTTTCGCACGCTCTTCTTTGGTCAAAAATTTCGGCTAACATATGATAATATGAGTTTGACACATGTCGAGCGAAAATGACGAATCAAGTGAACCTACCCTGACGGCTTCTCTCTCTTTTTGTTCTTTCTGAGCTATTAACTCTTCAATGGAGATGGGTATTTTCTTCTTTGGCGGCGATTCCGGCTCACCCATTTTCTCATCTTTGGGTTCCTCTACAGCCAAGGAACGTCTGCGTTCTCTGTCGGAGCGATCCCTTTCATCACGGCGATCGTCGTCTCGACGTCGATCATACCGATGTTCGCCTCGATTCGACCGGTCATAATCGTCCCGTCGACTGTATCGATCATTTTGATAGCGATCTCGCGAATCCGAGCGATCATTGTATCGGCTTGAACTGTAGTCGTTGGAAGTATGGCGTCTCACTGGCGAACGAGAATAAGACATGCTAAAACGTACAGTGGAAAGGGTCTAAAAGAGCGCAGTTCAGCCAAATTCGCTTCCCAAAGAGAAAAACTAAGAAAGCGCTGGCGGAATACCAAATTCCGTCCAATTACGTCACGGAACCTGCAAATCACGTGATGCCCTCAAGTAGAGGATATGGCACTCTTCTGTTACGCTGTGCAACTTGCCGCTTCATGGCGACTGTCACATCATTATGAGCTTTATGTCTGTGGAGAATACTTATATGATCCTGCAGAAAATGCGTTGCGGCGTTTTTTTAGACATTGATGATTCTGGTTCATCGCATATGATAAGGGGTCCCTGCCGCATATTTTGGCTGCAATAAGCGCTGCAAGGAATCTTGCCTAATCCCAAAGTTTGTCGAAAACAAAAAAAGTTCACGACTATTTATATCATATGATTTTCACGGTCAGATGATAAGGAAGCTCATGAAGGAAGTGAAAGCTATTGTTGTATAATCATTATAAGCGCGCGTGTTTTTCTGACACTTGATTTTGTCTATCCCTCATGCTGAAACGGTAAAAAAGCGGTTGTGGCACACGCCATGTCGTGCCATTTTCCATTGCAGGGATTGCACTGTGTCACAAACTTTTTTTGGTACGTGGACGACCCTTTTTCTTTCCCTTGGCAGGAACGTGCTTCTCCTTGTGTCGCAGCGATCCTCATCACTGTTGCTGGCGAATCTCGCCTTCACCGTTCTATGCACCGTCGCCTGACATCGTCATTAAATCTTCTGATTCTTCCTTGATGATGCCTAATTTCGCCGGGGCTTCCGTTGCCACGCGATCGGCGACCGATGAAGGCTCGTCTCAGCCCTCGATCATACAGTCGACTGGTCCCACCCTAGGACAACGTACGACGATAAATAGTGGGGTACCCATTCACAGCAATATCGCGTTGAATCCATTCCATGGCCGACTCCGACTATTTCACAAGCATGTACTGACTCGATGGGTTAACGGTCAATTAAGCTCAATAAATGAATCGATCCACGATATCCAAAAAGACTTTGGAAATGGAGGATATCTTGTAAAGCTGTTGTGCATAGTCTCGAAACAAACGACTGCGGGACTGAAGATTGACAACTCGTCTCTGTCAGCAACCCAAAATGTCGCCAGTGTTTTGGAATCACTTCATTCGCAAATCGATCCCACCATGCTTCCTGACATTCAAGGAGATGCGGTACTTGATGACGATGCGCTTGTTTCCTTACTATCGGCTATTGTCCACGTATATCAACTACAACCAATACTTGAAGAAAATAAAGAAAAGTCTATGTCTGTAAGTGTCACAGGAACATTATAAGCTCGCCATGGTCGCTCAATTATTTCATGGCATTAGACAATGGTACATCCTCTTACACACCTGACCTCTCACGAACACTCTACGCTGACAATGGAGGAACCGGTGTCTCCTCTCCCCGACGCAGCTGTAAAACAAAATTCACAGGCAGTCTTTTTCAGCAGGCACGCTCACTATCCAACCAATGATATTCGATCGGCCTTATTATGCTGGATCCATGCACAGCTTGATGAATACAGCGAAACCGATCTTCTGGATACCATTGACAATTTCGCAGAAGCGTCCATTTTGGGACTAATGCTTTGTCTGCTTATTCATCGACAAGACCCTGATTTTATGCCGGATTTACTGTCGGACATTCGTCAGCTCGATTTAAATTCCAAGGCATCACAGTCAAAGCTTCTTTCTACGGCGTTCGATAACGCGATGAAACATATGGGAATTCCACAACTGCTCGACGTGAACGACGTACTTGATACAGACATCGCGATGGAAACAGATATCATACTTTATGTGAGCGAATACTACAAAACAATGTCTCAGCTGCAACGAAATGAAACAACCGAGGTAAAGACCGCCAAAGCCGCTAAGCGACGAGCTGAGATCGCCCGCATCGCTTCCAAGCACAGATCAGGAAACAGCCATCCAGCAAAGGCGGAGTCTCATCAAGCGTTATTGTACGACAAGCCAGTCCCAGTTTCGAATGGCTCGATCGGCCAAGGCGAGCCTGGATTCAACCTGTCACATATACTAAAGGCGATGCATGACGAACTCGACATTGTGGAACGGCTCCTGAGTGACACAAGTGAACCGATGACCGACGAACTTATTCAAAGCCTGCAAAAACGAATAAACGTTGTTGCAGGGACTATCGAAGGGATGAAAGACGAATCCAAAGGGTTGCTTGAAATTAGTACTATGACAGAGGAAACGCTTGCATTATCGACGGCTCAGCTGGTCAAGGTGGAAGAACGGTGTCACATTGTTGAACAGTGGGTACAACAGGTGCGAGCTTATTTTTCCACGAATGAGCGCGCCAGAAGCGAGATACAGGAACATCTAGCGGTATTGGCTCAGAGGGAGATTGCCCAGCCTGTGGATCCATTTATACCCGATGTGGTCATGCCTGATAAGGAGATACAAACGATGAGCGAAGAACATGACCGCTTGAAGCAAGTCATTGAAGCATTCGATACGAAAACAAGACCTTCCCTAGAATCATATGTACTTAGCTTCGCCAACATCGAAAAGGAACGCAACCTAAATCCGCACGATCTAGCGACTGTCCAAATCACGCTAACGACACTGGGATTGTTGGAGAAATTGACACAACAGTTGCAACGACGAACTTTGGTGATGGACTTGCTAATGCTACGTGTTCGCTGGGAAAGCAAATTCAACCGAAGTGTGAGATGGATTGCAGTCACCGATAGGGAAATTGATGACTTTATTGCCAGTAAAGCGCGCTGGTCGGAAAACAACGAGGATTACCATGGAAGCATAGTAAACACGAATCGTGAATACCGCGGGGCCATTGAAGAAGTGCTCAACATCCTTGTGGCTATCGAAAAGAAGGTGTGGGATTTCGATTCTGGTGGATACTCGGAAGTGTTGGATCGCTACCATGAGATCGAACAAAAAAGTCAGTCAAGCTTGCCCAACCATCTCGAAGTACGGCAAAAGGGATTTGAAAAAGCTTTCGAGGACCTGATCAAAAGAAGTATTCTCAGCCGAAAAGTCGTGGAGCAACATCTTTCCATGATTGATGCAGTGCTGCAATTTCGAAAATTGAGAGACGAAGGCGAAGCATTACGTCAGTTGATGCTTGAAGACCCCGAAAGTTATTCTTGGTTAAAAGGTGAAGACGAATTTGCCGAACTCATCCAGCTGTTCAAAAACAATTCCGCGTACCTTGTCACGAACATTACTTCCAAGATCCCTTATCCTGACCCACCGTCCATGTCCACGGCAATGGGAAGTGATGATGCTCAAGCAGTACAAACCACCAATGAATCGATCCGTAGTACTATTAGCGGCTACAGCATGACCCTTGCTCTAATTGCTGATGGATTAGACCAGCTGCTCCTTTCACGTAAAAGCGTTCAAATGCTGCAAAACCGCGCTATGCATGCCCATGACGCATTAAATCGAGTCATTGGTTGGATGACGGGTCGTTTGCAACTGCTGGAACAGTGCGAGTTGCCGTTGTTTCGGTTGGATATGCACGATATTACCGAGGAAGATATTTCGCGTATGGAAAAAGAACGTGATAACATTAGTGATCGGTTACAACAGTTGGAACAGGAAGACTTGACAAAGTTATTGCAGGATGTCCGTGCCTTGGAATTGGATGTGGATGCTTTGAACGCAGTCAGTATCGACCGAAGCACCTTGATTAATCAAGTGGAAACGCTTGAGAAAACGCATTCCACATTGCATGAAAGGTTAGCCCAACGAGGCCTCGAGCTGGAAGCATTACGAAATCGGTTATCGTGGGAATCGCAATGGCTGAAAGCGCACCAATGGATCCTCTTGAACGCTCGCAAACTATGGGACTTTAACGCGAAGAAAGCACGTTTCAGTCCTTCTCGGGATGATACAGAGAGTCCTTCCTATGATGGCGATCATGAGATTCGCCAAATTGCGCAAACCTTGCAAGATCGCGTCAATGAAATTCAGGCCAAGTATATCGAACCGTTGTCCATAGCATACGACAGCCTAACGAAGAGCTACCAAGCATTTGCTGATAATCCTGAAGCCAAAGCGTCGTGCGAACAGATCCAAGCCAAGGAATCGCTTTTGCTTCAAAAGTACAGTGAACTACAGCAACTGTCAGGGCATACCTCGGAATTATTGACGCATCGGTTCATGGTCATTGAGTTTCTGCTCAGAGTACACGATGCTCAACATGAAGGGGAGAAAATCAAGGATACTATTCTCAAGATGATGAGACGCATTATGGAACATAACCAACAACGTTGTACGGAGCGTGTGAAGCAGTTTAAGGACACCATTACGAAGATCTGGGATGATTGCGGCAAAGAACTGGTTTATCCAACCTTCCATAGCCAAGTATTACAATCATCGGTCGTGTCTATCCGAGATACCAACGACGGTCTTGCATTAGTGCAGCAACAGATGGCGGAATTAATGGACCGTAAAATGGGCACTTTGCGGAAGCTGGAACAATCCATGGAAGAGCTTATAGAAGCATATGATGAAGCCGACAAGATGAAATCGCTGGCGCACCAATACGACGTTGAAGTCTCCAAATTACGCCGCTGGATTGACGAGCAGATTACCGTCTTGAAAAGCCAGCACGTTGACGTTGCGGAAGAAGCATTTCAGCACATCTCTGAACAGTACGTTCGAGAGCTTCAGCAGGAACGGTCGCAATTGGTATCCAAGGTGCAAGACTTTGAAAATTCGGAGCTGCAGCTGCTGCACGACCAAGTTGCCCAGTTCTTGGAATCGTCGATGCAAAAACAGCCCACGTTAATTGTGGATACCACGACAGCCACCAGAAGCTTGAAAGATCTGTTGGAACAGTTCCAGCACTTGAAAACAGGCCTGAACTATCAAGCCATCACCCTTGAAGCTGCACTCAAACGACTAGCTTGGCAAGAAAAGTTGCGACGTGGAACTGAAAGGCTGGAATCGATGAGCCAGCAATTGCGGGATTTCACAGCGAAAAAGAACAAATGGAGCTTGCCAGAAGATTTATCGACGGAACATATGCTCCAGCTGGAAAAAGAACTGAACAACCTTATTGCGCAAAAAACTGACTTCATCTTGGTTATGATGCCGGAAATTCAAAAATGTTACGAGGATTTTATTGAATACTTTCCTCGTCTTGCTCGTCCAATAGCCACGCCAGATCACATTGAGGCCAATATGGAAGCGCTAGAACGTATGTCCAACCGTTTCCAAGAGAATATCAGTTCAAAAATTACCGAGCTGAATCTGTTCAAGCAATGCATACGTTGGATTGAAGCCGTGGGTCGAACGGTCGAGTTTCTTACCAAGCAAGAAAGCCTTCTTGAAGCGTTTGTGAATCACAAGGCACGCTGGTGTCCAAAAACCGTTTTGCAGGACAATGATGAAGAAGAACTTCGCATTGAGTGGGCCAAGTTCAAGCAAGCATTTGACGAACAGGGTGCGGTCGCTGGCCAGCTCAAGCAGCAATTTGAGGAATTGCGAGCTACGGCAAATGAATGCAACAGCAACATTGTTGGGGACATGCTTTCCAAGAAATGGCAAGATATGGCGGGCGCTGAAAATAAAGTTGATCACTATTTGATCTTCTCCAACGAGATCGTCACCCAACGCTGTCTCATTGCTGCATTCATATTCCGAAGCACTCAGTTGGAACAGTCGGCTGAGGTAATCCACGAAGAATTTCTCGCAAGTCAACAAGATACAGACAGCCATGTGGACCGCTTGGATCGCTTTAAACGCGGGGTGGATGATGTTCGCGACCACCTGGCTAGCAGTATTCCGTATCCTGTACGATCGTTGGAATATGCATCAGCAGAACATCAACTCAAAGACGAAACTGCCAACGCCATTATCAAAGACACTATTGAGATACGTAATACACGTTTGCAAGACCGCTTGTCCTCGTTACAACTGATCTTGGCATCCAAGCAGCATATATCCCGTCAACGCATGATGCTCCGCAGTTATGTAACGCAATTGGAAGCATGCCAAACCTGGATTACTGTCCGTCGAAGCATGGTGGAAGACAATAAGCACATTCAAGCGACGGAATCTATGGAAGTAGGAGAGCTCAGAGAAGCTTTGAGTGTCATTATCAGTATTCAGCAAGCCATGTCCGCGACCGACAACGTATTTACATCGCTCATGTCAGCTTACCGAAAGTGCGAACTTGCCTTCCAAGAACCTGTGAATAATGAATTTGTCTCAACCGACGATGAAGTATCCAAGGAGAACTTCGATACGCTGTTACCTGAACAGAATCGTTTGGAAAAAGCGTGGTATCAACTGTCCGATGATGTTACTTACATCAGCGAAGGAATGGCCAATTTGCTATTGACCAAGGAAATGGAGCATGATGTTCGTATGATGCTCGACCGACTTCAGCAACTTCGGGGCGAGATGGAAGCGCAGCAAGTCTCATCCGTTTCCGATACCATCATCACGATGTGGCAGAACCAAGTTGATGCGATTGACACGAACGAGTATCAGGTTATTTATCAACAATGGTCCAGCAAAAAAAATACTCTGAAAGACGAACTTGCGCAAACCACGGAAAAGAAACTTCATGAAGCTGAGAAGCTTATCGGCGAAATTCGAAGCAAAATGTCTCTGCTCCTCAATGGAATGACTCTCCATCGGTTGCAAACCGATTATTCTCACACGATGGGGGCTCTTATGGATAGTATGACAGAGATGACCACGCGTATCCGAGATTCCAAGCAAACATACAAAGCAGTTCCCAGCTCTTCGAAAGACGACCGTACCCTGCAGTATCAAGCCCTTTCTTCACTTCTCAAGGAATCGAAAAAAACGATGAACGAAGGAAGTGACAGATACCATGACTTGTGTGCTTTATACACTTCGATCCAAGAGCTTGCAAAGAACGAAAGCACTCATTTGTTGCACGAGAAAACGAAAAAAGCATGGAAAGATTTCCAAGACGAAGCAACCGAGTTTGTGATGTTTGTCAGTCGCACTTCAAAATGGATGGATTCTTACGATCAATTGGATACGGTATACACGGATATTTCCTCGTGCTGTGACCGCCTTGACCATATGGAGATTGATGACTTGGATGCTGCAACGAGTATCTTGGCCGAATGCAAGAAAAGTATCAAAGATAATGAGCTTCTGTTGGAAGAGTTGGATGAGCAAGTCGATGCATCCGACATGGATAATATTCCGCAGTTTCACGAAAGGCGCGTGGTTGTTGCTGGGCAATTGGATAGTCTCCGTGCTTTGTTTGCGAAGAACAATGATACACTGGAGTCGGCACAAAAGAAGCAATCTGTTTTGAAAGCTATTGACCGCTTACATCAGAAATGTCAAGATCAACTACGTAACAGCGAACATTTGCCGGTGGCGGAAAAGGAAGCTTTGAATGGAGATACTCAGACGATCTTTTCGGCTATTCAGTTGTATAAAGACACGTTGAGAACCATTCAAAACGGCTACCATGAATGCAAAATCGAATTTGAAACGTTCATCAATAAGGAAATGGAATACATTACGCAGAAGGGAGCGATGTCGGTCGAAGAAGCTTCCGAAATCCAACGTCCACTTGAAGTCGGTCTTACTATGCTCAGCGGCGCACTCATCGTGGAAGAAGGTTGTTTGAAGCATTTGAAATCGGTTCATATGCTGGTACAAAAGGCAGATGCGGTTACAGACATCAGCGTGAGATTCAAGCGAGTTGCAAGCCATGTGCAAGACATCGAAGCAGACTATTCGGAAATTGACTTTGGCTCGGCCGACATCGACCGCCACTGTGAAGCCATTGAAGAACTCGTGGCTGACTATAATACGTTTAGTCATGAATTCAAACAACAATTAGCAACCAATGCTTTCTCCAAGAGCCGGACTGCCGCTGTACGCAATACGGTGACGAAGAAGGACGAAGAGGTTCATCACCAGTGGTCGGAAATCGAGGGTTTTGCAGCATCTGTTCGAGCTTCCCTCAAAGAACATGAACGACATCGCGACTTTGTGAGCAAACTCAACGAAACGAAGCGCTATGTGGACAACCTAAGACAACGAGTTCGTTCGTTACATCTCACTAGCAAAGAAGCTCCGATGGAAGATCAAGACCTGCAAGAGATTCTATATGAAATGGACACTACTCTGAAAACGAAGATAGAAGCCATTGATCAATTGCATGGTGTCTCTATAGACAAAACCGGACGCTTCAGAGACACGAAAATTCAGTTGATCGCAGCTGTGGAACAGGTCCAAGAGATGCTACGTTCCAAGCAAAATCAAGCTTCTGAACAAGAAAATATTACCGAGTTGACGACCATGATGGACCGATTGGAAGAAGAAATAGCCCACGTCGTTGTGGCTATTGAAAATGCCGCACCTCAGCACGCCCGTATCGTCAACAACAAGTTCAATAAGGCCGACTTGCAGAGCATCCTCAAGACACTGGTTACTACGTACAAAACGCACGCGGCAAAAATTGGAGAGACGATCAAGGAGATCAAAAACTATGTTCAAGCGCAAGAGCTCCACGACCATCCGAATATAACGGAACCGCTCAATAAATTGATTGCCAAATGGACCAAGACCCAGTCATCAGCCTCTATGCGAGAAAAAGAATTGCAGACATGTATCAATCAGCTTGATCACGAATTTTTTACGAAGCTCGCTGTAGCCAAGTCTACCGTTCGGGATCGTCAAGAAGCCAATGTACAGCAAGGCTCTTCCTATTTGCGGTTGGATCATTCAACCAATGATAAAAAGTGGCCAGCTGTGTCTCATGCCAGGGTGAGCCAAGCTACTTTTCCAAAAGAGCCATTACATACAACAGCCTACCCTCGCGTTCCTGTTCTTGCCGAGTCCAAAAGCGAGCTTGATAGAGAAGTGGGTCGCATTGTCAATGACAGTCCTTACCGCGTCAAAGTGAAAAATGTTCCAGGCGAAGTTGGTAAATACTGGTTTGGCGACGAAAATCCGCGTTTGGTCTATTGCCGTATTTTGTCCAGTCAATTGGTCATGGTCCGTGTAGGAGGGGGTTGGGTAGAATTGTCAAAGTAAGTTAAAAGTTCATCGCGAACGCTCGAGAATTCCATGCTGACGTTTTCCTGTTTCCAAAACGAACTTTGATTCATTTTCAGGTTTTTGAGAGGTGAGTAAAACGGACATGAAATTCAAAATGCCCGCAAAACGAGATATTGATTAGTTGGTTATCGATAGATCACGGCTTGAACGAAGGGATAGTCTCTCCACGAACGAACGAAGAAGCATCTACAGGGTCACTGAATGAAACACCACGTTTTAAAGAAGCCTACATGTCTGTTGTACGAAGCGTATCTCCATCTGGAAGAGTGGTTCTCCGCGGCGGTGGAGCGAGCTCGGACAATGGAAGCAACGGCAGCACGGGGTTGACTCCTACACGCTCATCAAGTAAATCGTCCGGTTCCAGATCAAGATCGCCTATTCCATGTGGTTATGTGGATGGCGATAAATATATCCGTATCGACGAAGCCGGTAACCAAGTTGTTATCAAAATGACAAAGGCAGCCGACGACGCCAAAACTCCTACTATATCAAGAAAGCGAACAAGAGAAAAACTGAACAAAGCAAGCTAGCGTTCTTTGACTACACTACGCTATGATACACATGAAATAGGCACTTAACTCCTGCTCAATTGCCCCATGTTCACTCTTCACTCACTCTTTTCATTCATGCATCCACCTTCTGTATCAATATCTTTCCTTACACATTATCCTATCGTCTACAAGTACAGCATTCTAAAGACAAAGCATCAAATAATGTACTGCATCATCAAACTACCAATAGCTTCAATGGCAGCAGGAAAATAAATACTCTCATTAAACTGTTTGCATAGCATCACGACCAGTTCATCAATGCAAATAGCGTCACATCTTGAATAACCAACAGTGCGAAATTATGAAAATTTCTAAATTGAAGTGATACTATACAGATTGTATTCGCTATAGGTCCAGTTCATCGAATAGATCGGCCGTACTCAATCCCTTCAACTTTTCATTGCTTGCACTCGGTGACTCATCGTCTGAATCTGAAGAAAAGTTATTGTCCAAACGCTCGATATTTGTGGTATCATGAACAGCCGTCGGTCCGGCATTCTTGTTGTCTTGTTTCTTTGGCTCTTCTGGACTTTCCCTGGTGGGTGTCGGGATTATATACTCAGTAAAACTGTCGCCCAACCCATCATCTGTTTCGGCATCACTGTCTGGCGCTAGGATGACTGACGACGGCTCATCCTCCACAGTCTGTGTCGCATCATTAGCAAACCACCACAAAACTTTAAAAAATCACGGGGACAATGCGCCCTTTGCTTACATTCGTCGCGGGCTTCGCCTCTTTCTCTGTTATCGATTCTTTGGATGAGATAGTCGGCAAATCTTCAGTCACCTTCGATCGCTTCGGGCGTTTCTTAGCAACAGGAATGTCCTCATCGTCATCGGAGCGATCGCATCGTTCTGTATCGGTTGCCTTCTGGGATCTTCCGGTCTTTCGTGCTCTTTTGGGTCTTTTTTCCTCGGGCTCAGATTGCTCTGCGTTGATTGTCTTTGGGGATTTTTCGGTCTTCCGTGATTTTTTGGGTTTTTTCTCCTCGGCTTCTCCTTGTGATGCCCATGGTAGCGCCCGTCGAGCACTTCGACTGGATGGGCTCGCCGTCGCTTCCTCTGAAAGGCTAGCTTCCTGAGGTGTAGTCTTTGTAGCTGCTGTGGATGGACTGCTGAGCATATAACTTTGTGAGACCGAACTCGAAGCTTCCGAGGTATCAGGAACAAAAGCTGTAGGATCCTGCATCAATTGTAGCAACAACGCAACGCAGTGTTTGCAACGACCATTCCGTCCGACAGGGCAAGAGCAGTGCCCCTGATCAATTTGTGTCTCGTCCACACTGGAAGACTTGCGGAGCGTCATGTTGATGATGTACGGTGCGGTAGCGGTGCCCTTTGCGTGAGCCGCTAATTTGATACTATTACGAACGCTGTCTGTGAAGCGCAATTGCATCAACGTATCCAAGATCTTTTCACCACGTGTATAAGCTCCTGCATTGTTGATGTACCGCTTAATCATTTCATTGTTCAGATTCTCGGCATATTGTTTGATGGAGTCATCTTCTTCAGTCACTGCTTTTGAAACGACAGATTTTGCAGGGTTATTAATCTCCTCCTGGTCTTCTATTTTCATTCGCTGTATCCATTGGCTAAAAATAGATGGTTTCTAAACACGACAATTAATTATCATAAATCATGGTAACATGAAAATAACTTACCGACGCGATCACGCTATGCTCCCCCACATCCTGCAGAGTTTCTCTTCTCACCAAGCTGTCACCGTCGGGCATCAGCAGAGGCACTGCAAAAGTTGTTTCCGGAACGGCTACACCGTCACTTTCAATTACGGTTAGCATGTGATAGGTGAACGCTATAGTTGAGTTACTTACTATAAGCGTTGCGGAGAAATGCATTGAGTCGCATCTAATGATCGTTGTCCTTGATCGGATAGAATTTTTAAACTGTGAATAAAAGATTCAGCGGAAAAGCCAGATATGATCCAGGTAAGTGTATATGGCTTACAAATTCTTCTTCCATTTGGTGCGGTCATGATTTGCTTCGCGATCTAAGCATATGATATGCATTGAAGATACAAGCTGCTTGGTGTCATTGTTCTTAAGACACTCCGCATCCTCTGTCCAGCCAGCAAAAACGGAGCGCGAAAGACACAAGTGATGCCGTTGCTGTAACCTACGATCTGGCGATGAGTTATGAGGAGCTGTGTATAACTAAACCATAATTACCAGGCCAACATTTCTTCTAAAGGCGCCATCGTCTCATGGCTATAATCAAGGCAATACAAGTAGATCGGAACTTCGGAGGCCAGGATTTGTATGTAAGCATGCAATTCCGAGCGATATTGTTCCAAGGTTTCTTTTTGCCTATCCTTTGTTGAGAAAATAATGCTTCACTCGACTATTATTAGATCACAGAACGTACTGTTGCTTTGATAGTCGCTGAAATTTCGGAATATGACCAAATAACGTACGTTCATCGATCATGAAGATAAGGGTACTATCGTAAATGAAGCGTCAGTGTCTATGTTGCCTGCGAAATCAGGTGCCTCATCAGCATTACTTGGCATTATCCAGCTGTATGGCAGCGTCGATCCATCCCTGAATAACATGCAAAAAAGCGGGTTGGAACAATAAGCCGTCTGCTAGTGAAAATGACGACACCATGCCATCATGAAGCTTGACAAACAGTGCCTATGCAACAGTCGATATAAGCAGGCTTCTCTCATATCCGTTTTGATTTTTCCGGACCTTTTTTGTGAATGCATGGTGAGATAAGATGAAGTTATCTGAGTAAGTGGAGCATTCCATCGGCCGCTGTAATTTTCCATGGATATCATTCACAGGTAACGGGGTCACGTAGGACGAGTCATAAGGTATGGCACATCGTCTGTGCCATAAAGCAACCGTGTCGTTGTTTGGACAAGCGGTTAAGAGACCCGTGGCCCAACCGTGCGTAACACTAGCTTGGATAGCCGTGGAAGGTATTATCAAGTTGCGCACTTTTAAGGTAGGACGACTCCTGTAGAGGAATCGTAGTAGATCCTGAGATTTGGTTTCTGGACATGGCTGCATAAAATGAAGTGCTACATGTCTATCGTTCTTGGCACTGAACGTGTTAGTGTAGGATACAAGGACACTAATATTGGGATCGCTTACAGAATCTAGCACTTTCAGAATATTACGTGCTAATGCTCGAGTGTGAATGGGCTCGTGGGACGAAGTGAGATCGTCGGGGCAATACAACGCGTGTGTTTTTACCAAATGCGTATGGTAGTAAAGAGCAGCTATGGCAGGTGTTGCTTGTAACCAAACAATGTGATAAGACGATAACTCTAACAGCATAATAGAGGAGTGAACTCTGCGTTACTGGAAAAAAAAAAAAAAGAATTTCTATTTTGGGAATTTGCCTCACCTGGTGTCCGCTGCTGTCCGGTGACGCTTGGCTTTCAAAAGAAAGAAAGAGAGTTCATTGTATGGACACTAATACGTGTTTTTTAACAGCGTTAATCAAGCTAACAATAGCTCATTACACTCAACACAGCTTAATTGCGCACAAGTAATTAGGAAAGCAACCTTTGGATCTCCAGGTTTTAGTATAGCCGTAAAAGCGTAGTATTGTGTAACATAGATAAATAAATCAATGATAATAGGAACATAGTGTACAATAGGACTATTCACATAGGAGAGTGCGCTGTTGAAAGCGCAAGAGGAAAGCAAGGACGCCTTTTCCGGACAGCGGGAGAGAAGACATTATTTACGATGTAATTGACTAAAAATAAGTATAGGGTTTTTCCGCGGAGGAGAGGGCGGGTGCGTGCCTTGTATTTCTGGATATTGATGCCATTTCCGAATTGCCAGACAGTGGTGATCGATGGAGATCGTAAATACCGTTCTCTGGGTTCAAAATGTCCTCGCACTCGTTATTATCATTTAGCAGGGTGATACGAGGTGGCATGGGGTGAGAGGAGGCCGGATTGGTTGCTCTTGCTGTAGATTCGACTCGGTGATTATTGATCATACTGCTGAAAGGGAGTTCGCGAGAGGATGCATGTTGCTTATGGGATGAAGGCGAGGATAGCGCCGCCTGAAAATCCAGCTCTCGGTGGTTGGGCGAACGCTGATGGGTCATGTCGGGGACCACCAATTGTTGGTTTCCATCCACTGCATACGAAGAGGCACGCATCTGCGATAGTGCTTGAGCAAGATAGTTGTATTTCGAAAGCCGTGCCCCGTTCAGGGTTGCTTCACTTTCGCGGGTGGTATTGTATCGCTTAATATTGTACATTCTATCCAATGCTGCGGTCGTGTTTCGAGATGGATTCGTGGGGGTATAGTTGTGCGATCCAAAGGCCGCTTCGGGAGTGGTAAACGAGTAAGTACTGTGGCGTTGGCTCACGGAAAGAGATGAACTGTTGCCTTTGCTGCCTGTGTCGCTGAATACCATCGAGGGGGTGATGCCTCGTCCACGCTCAAATTTTGGTTTGCGCCGCCGCAAGTAGATGAGCAATACAATCACTGATATAAGAAGGACTCCACCCACCGATCCTCCGACAATAGCACCCAGCTGCCTTTTGCTCAATCCACTCGGAAGTTTATCATTCGAAACATGGGTGGACGTGGAGACGGGTGCCCCAGTTTCCATCACAGTGGGACTTGTGCATGCTATTCAAACAGGGTATATTGTCAGCTTATTCTTATGTCTTGTATGTAAATCCATAGCTCATCTTTTTCATACTTTGACAATCAGAGGTTGAAGTTGCGAAAGAACGGCTATCAGTTGTTGTAGGCGTTGTTGAGCCAAACAGGTCCGAAAAGTTGAGATCATCAAGATCAGTGCTTTTGCCAGTAGCCGTGAGATGATATACAGAGCCGGAAACAATGTGCATTGATGCCGAAGAAGAAGAAGAAGAAGAAGAAGGAGAAGGAGAAGGGGACGGAGAAGTAGATAAGGAAGTGGAAGATGAAGCGATGGATGCGACTGAGGAACTGGATATGGGTGCTTTTTTCCATGCTAAAGCAAAATACCAAAATAGTGAATCAGAACATTATCGTTGACTATGCTGCAAATTAATGAACATACCGAAAAAACAATAAAGGAAAAAGCAGAAAGTTTGGACGGTAAAGCCATGTCTCCAAAAATGAGTAAATAATTTTTTTATGATCAATTGTAGTTTTCCCAGCGCTCTTACCTGCTACTACCGGAGCCGCATAGACCGTGGCCAGCAAAGTGCCTAAGAAAGTGGACACATAGTGCATACTCGCCATTCGTTATACAGCAATGAGGGATTCACAGCGAAAAACCAAGAAAAAGAAAAGTAAAGGTGAAAAAGGTGGATCGATTACAATGGGAAAATGCCCAATAATATGTGATGATTGTTGTGCAACATTAGTCGAGACAAGGTTTTGACACAATCCAGGGAGCACACAAAACTATCCTGGACATTTAAAGCTCAGCGTAATGAATGCAATTTGCCCATCACAGAGCCAAGAACTTCCTTTTGTTTAATGCTTTTGCGAACTCCAGACTTCAACAAAAGGCATTTCAGACAATAGATCGGACATTGTCCCGCGTGAAGATAATTAAATTCATGAGATGCTACTCAAGTATACATAGAGTATTATATTTCATGATTGACATTACGGTTTGCGACGTAATATTTACCAATTCTGCTGACGCACGCTAAATCTCAGTGTTTTAAGCGAAGGAGCGTCAACCTCGTTGAGAAAATAAGCAAAATAATCGATTAATGCAAAAAAAAAAAAAAAAAAAAAGGTTTTCAAATGATGCTTTCATGCCGAAGTAAAAATGCTTTCTTTAGTAAATTGATAAGTCGAAGCATATCAATAAAAAAATGAGTTGCAAGTAATGGTAGTGTCTTTGAAGCGATGAGGTAATGTGCAATATTTCTATTGGCAAGAATTGGTTTGCATACTCTTAAAACTCCCTTCGAAAGACTTGCTGATGTTTCTTTTGCGATAGGCCAGATTATTACATCGGTTTTTGAAGTCGAGAAGGGGATTGACAAGGCCTCGCAAAATGCTGCCCAAAATGACATTTAACATTGTTGATGTAAGCTGTATGGATCTGCTTTGCTTGATATAATGCGATTTGCTGAGCGTTACTTAGACTTGGTGGCATGAACAACATAAAAATGACAACGATCCAAAGTATGAATTCGAAGCACTCGCGATATATTTTAGTTGCTTCTTGTGTTTTTGTCATTTTATAAAAGGAACGACCATAAAAAAAAGCTTTCTTGGACGTAAGCATAAACTTCAAGCGCATCGTCTTCTGTCTGACAAATAAAATGTATCTCGCGGATAAAAGAAAAAGTGGCTTTTCCTGTGGACAAGAGCTACGAGTTCCTGCACCGGTTGCAAGAACTCTTCGCGCCAGCCAACGCTTTGATGGATGTTGTACAAGGAAACCTTTTTCAAAGAACTGTAGGTACAGATATCAAAATAAAAAGAAATGAACAAAGGTTGGATTATTAATTAAAGATATTTTTCCTTAACAAGCCGCACACCCGCTGCGCAATGGATGCCACCTGCTACTGGACGTCACCCCCTTACATGAGTGACATTCGTCAGACAAAAAGCCTAACGCAATACGGCATAACCTGGGCGAGACTCTTGATGGAACTTCGGTATATTAATGTCAATACTCTGGCATACCATGAAACACTTGTAATGAACAAAGCAGCACTTATTGACCCCCTCCGTTCTGTCCCGCCCAAGGTTATGATAGATCTACAAAAATGTGTGGGAATGTTGGGTATTAAAAAATGAGTTAGTAAGCTCTTTGACTGATTCAAATGTCGTCAAGATATTTTACCTTTGTTATTCGATGCAGCAGATATCGAGAGCTTCCCGACCGAAAAAAAAGAAACGTTACAAATATAAAAAAAAAGTAAAACAATGGGTTCGTCTGTAAAAACCCCCTAAAAACCCTGTGGGAAGGAAAAGACTGCAAGAAGACTATAATTAAAATACAAATATACATTCTACAAACTACAAACTACAAACTACAAAATAAAATGGTCGGGAAGAAATATCGAAGGCGATAGCACGGGCAGCAATCCAAAGAAGGGGAACCTGAGGAGGACGCGTAAGCGTTACCGATGAAAAGAGAGTCACACCAACGACGATGCCCTTTGACGACAAAACCTGGATTGGCCACATTTGGTGCGCGAACGAAGTAGAAAGATTTAGAGGGATAGATGGCTTGACAGGCGAAAAGAAAACGGGAGAGAAAACCAAAAAGTAAAGAAGAATAGAGAAAAATGACAGGTAAAAGTGTTTCTTGTAAGAACGGTTAGTCACATCACACAAAAGGTACCTTTTTGATATTTACAGAAATCGACTTGACCGGTTACAGATACACGCGGGATAAACCATAGTCTGGATGATGGATGCGGGTGAAGATGCAATAATAGTGAGGGCTTTTCAGGCAAACGGAAAAAGAAAGAAAACCAAAAAAAATTGGGGACAAAATATAATGATTTCCCATGGATGAAACAATAGTCACCTTATGAGCTACACAGATCGAAGCATATTATGTAAGACGGCTCACATATTACTGACAAAAGTCAAATTAAATAATGCTACAGAAGAATGCCAGATTGACATTGACAATAGCCCTCTACAGAAAGCTCTCCCCTTCCATTGAACTTTTCCATAACCTCACATCCAACATCTTTGAATGAATAAATAACACCAAGCGAAAGTAGCTGCCAAATCCATATGATGAAAAGGAACACCATGTGGCTGTTTTTTAGCTCGCGGCGACTGGTTTTTAGTTTGCCGCCTCCATTGGGTTATCCTTTGGTAAAAAGGAAATTCTCCTGACACGATTCGTACAATATTACAGTAGCATGCATGATACATACTTTACTCTGAAGAAATATCCTCTACCTATGTACGACTAACAACAAGGTCGACTTTATTGATGCATATAGAACATGAGCTAGCACCGATAAAAACAGATTTTGACGACGATTAAAGTCTCATACTCGTGCTGTGCCCTTTTGTTTTAAATTATCGAGCTGATTGGATGATCAAACTGTCATACAGCCCTGAATTATGTGGAATAATTCGGTATTATATACAACGCCATCTCCTCGTACTAAAAGGATCGGCAATTTTCTGCAGCCGCTAATGGGATCAAAGAGTGTGATAGGGCTTGACATTAATGTTTCTGTATCTGGTACAATGCAACGGATGGATTGGGTGGACTTGTGCTCGGTGCGGGGTGCCCTCACATCGCCAAACCATACCGACAGATCCCGTGTCAAATGTTCGCCTGTCAGTAATAAAGAATTGTCGCCGCCAGCAGTCGACTCCACCACAGGGAAAGGGAAAATAGGGTAGGAAGGAGACGCATCGTCTCCGGAGAATGACATAAGACCATGCGCAGAATCATGAGGTGTTGGTGTCCAAAATGTGTACTGTGCCGAATCGGTTCCAACAATAGTCCACGTAGCCGCATCCGATACGTCTTCTGTCCAGCATGCACCGTCATGGCCACTTGGAGGACATCCACTAGCTATGCTTCCGCGACGGCCTTCCATTAAACTTCCTCGGCGCTTCGAAGGCTTAATGTCTGATTGTGAACTGGTTCTACGACGCTGTAACGATCCTTTGTTAGGGCCGGATAAAGTGTCCGGAGCGTTGCTGGCCAAGTCGTCACTGGTCCGCTGAAGGTCGGCAACGCGTCCGTTCATTGTACGACCTCCTAGCACTTTATGCATGCCCACTACGTCATTCAAGCACGCAAGGTACGCACTCGGTTTGGATGTCTTTGGTAAATGCGGTTCGGCTGTGCCTGCCGATGTTGCGTTTTCGTACTGCGCATGCTGATGATTGGCGCCCACCGACGCATCCTGTACTATTTGGAAGGCCACTTTGTGCAATTGTGATACAGGGTCTCCTATCGCTTCGTCGCCGTATTCGCCACCTGTCACACACGATAAATCGTTGACCTGGTTCCCTCCCAGGACAAGGCTGCCACGATCGACTTTTCGGATAATCATCACCGGGCTCACCAAACCCGTAGTAACACATTGCAGGACAACCGGCTGGTTATAGTGAACGGGGAGCGGCTGTTGCTGCGGGTTGGTTTGAAGAGCAATGGCAGGAGGAGGGAATGGCGCGTTTGAAAACTGTGGAGGTGGAGGGGAAGAGGTTTCTGGATTACGTGTCGGATCGACAACCCAAATGATAAACGGATCCCAGGATCCTGTACGAGCCACGAAACAGGTATTGTTTCCCGCTTTGATGGCCGACGGGTGCTGCTGTCCATTACTGGAAACACCCAGATATTTTGTCGAAACGGTTTGTGACCGAATGCGATTGAACAAGGAAATCGTCGTGCCGTGATGTATGCATACTAGAGAAAAAACAAGTGATGGGGGTGAGCTGACATTGATTCATTTACTGACATGGAAGACCCAAGAAAAAAGAGCCAAGAGGATGACGTACATTCCATATTTTTCACGCTTTGCCTTTTTTTACTTGGTTTGCTGATCACCTTGATGCCTCTGCTTGGCAAAATCCCGAGATACGACCCATCCCCCAGCTGCACGTTGACCAAGACCTCGACGCGCTTCCGCTTCTCATCGGCATCATTGATGTGCAAATGCTTGGAGACACATTTACCCGAGATCCCATCGCCTTCGCCAGATGAAATAAGCGGAGATGAATTGTCCACAATGGCACCTGAGGCTGTGTACCATTCAATATTACCACCATGGTGAATCGATTCGCCGGAAATCTGGATCGTCAGTTTAGGACCGCTCACCATTCGAGATGATGAATAATAATTTTTATGCGATGATGCGCCACCGGCTTCCGCAGATGAGGTCCACCAATGCGCCCCTTTGAGTATCGTTGTTGGTGGTGGGCAAAGGAATCTATTTCCCAAAAAGAAGAAAAAAAAATCAAGGAACGCCAAATTTTCAGAGATCAAATAAAATTCGGTTGGTCAGGTTTCGGTGCGTTGCCCACGATGTTACCTTTTCTCGGTTCCGTAACTTTTCTGTGCAACCTTGCTGGTAAGGATCGTGACCGATTTTTCACCAGCTCCTGTCATCAAGTACTGCTGTACTAATTGTTTTAGCGGGCCATCCATGTGGGTAGCATGTAAAGTGCGTGCAGTAGCCATGCTATTTGGGGTCACGCGCATGTTATCAGACAAATCGGCAATGATGGTGGAATGGTCGGTATCAGCGGATTTATTGAATGATTCATAGCCAACAGGCGTAACGGGAGGAGATGGTGAGGATGAGGAGTGGGAGGAAATACTGGTATGTGCTGGTGAGGTAGGCGTAGATGAGCGCTGTTTCGGAGAAGGTATGACCTTGCTTGTGCGTCGCATTTTTTTCGGCTTGGGCTGCATATTTTCAGGCATTTCCTGCTGCTGCTGCTGCTGCTGCTGCTGCTGCTGCTGCTGTTGTTGTTGTTGTGGTTGCTGATACTGATGTGCGTCGTGTTGTGTTTGTTGCTGCTGTTGATCGGGCATGAACCAATTAGTCATGGTTAACATATTGTCCGGTCCGTTTGAAATTGCTGACGGCGTCACGGTTTCCATATCCAGCATAAATTCTCTGTTTGCCAGCTGCAGAAACTCATTGGAGATGTTCTGAGAAAAGAGATTGATATTCATGCTGTTGCTGCTGCATGAGGAGGATGAGGCTGACGAAGGGGTCCCCAACATGTGGCAAGGATCCTGAGTGGAAGTGGTCTCATCCGATTGAAGTGTCTCTAGGAAACTGTTGGACTCGAACGAGGTGGTGATGGTTGATAAAGGGTAGGCTAATAATATATCAGGACGCAGTGACATGGCACGCCGGTGCAGGGGTCGCGACGATGTTTGCAGGGTATTTTCGCCACTGGCAGGAAAAGTAGGCATCCAATCCGAGCGAAAGGAGTGGTCGAGAAACTGTTGCATATTAGAATCCCACAACGGTGTCAGATCCATTTCTTGCTTGGATGTGTCAAAGGAATGGTAATTTAGTTCGCCTACGGCCACTGAATGACGTCTCGATGCAGATCCTCCTTCCGTTTCTTCGGACAATGAGGTCGACCCAGGATGCAGATCAAGGTTGGTCGGAAACAGCGAATCCAGATTAAAACCATCCATTGGAAAGATGTAATCGGAAGCCGTAGCCGTGGTAGCGGACGGAGAGCTCGGTAAAGAATTGACGAAATCCGACCAACTGCTAAACTCTTGCTGTTTTCTTTTCCGTGACATGGAAGGGTCGAGATGAAGTGAAGAAGTAACGGTCATGCAGAAATATATCGCCAGCGATTTTTTTGGAAAAGAATAAAAAAGAAAAACCGTATATCAAGAAAGGAGATGAAAGGGTAAATAGGATGAGCGAAGGAAAGGGATGAAGGATGACGCGGGTTGGGACATGTTGCACTTTTTTATCAAATACCAAAGCGTAACGCAAACCTGTTGTTTAGTGCGGATCTGGGTCAAACTAAAAAAAGCAAGCTTTGATTTCCCCCACATTTGTAGAACCAATCAACAACCAAATCACATACAGTTTAAACATCGTCGTTCATTTCGGCATTATCTCTCATTTACCTTATCTGCCAGCGGATGATGATAAAAGCGCAAATGAATCGAACCTCTCATGTTGTTCTCTTGACAAAACCAAAAATAATCTTGTCTATTTCTTGTATTGGGATGTCTTGATGTGGCAAAAACGCCAAAATCTTTCTTCCGATCACCTGAGCAGATTTTCCCGCCTTTCCGCGTTTAGTAAAACAGGACCGAAAAGACGGGGGTAACACAAACCGCCCGGTTGCTCTTTTCCCCTTTTCCCTCCAGATTCTTTTCTTTCCTTATATCTCATGTTTCATCAATGGAATTTTTCCCTGAGTGACGGGCCATGTTGTTGCACGCAGCCAATGAAACAAAATATCATCACCACCAAAAATAAAGAAAAGAACACATGAGGAAACCCAAAGCCAATCAATGAGGATGTGTTCATAGAAGCTTATTTATTACAACATTAGGTTTTGGCAAACTATCAATAAATAGACGCAAAGAAACAAAAAAAAACCATATTGTCAGGACGATACTATTCATGCATTAAATCATACGTAACATACCTGTGCCAAGTAGCTTTCAGCTACGGTTCTAGCGCGTGTATTTACACTTAATTTCATCTCAGAGATTTCCTTGTCGACTTCCTCCATGAAATGCACAATAAAGTCCACCAACTTGTGCTTGTACATTTGTTCGGTATGGGTGTTGGTGATCAGGAAGGAGATGTCATATCCCTATTAGAAAAAAACCAACAAATTATAGAAATTTAAAACTCTGATGGCCTCGATTTCCTTTTGGGCTGAGCATCAATTTACCTCCACTGGCACACGACGAAGAACGACGAAGCTATCAGCTCTCAGCATTAAGAAACGAGAGAATTTGTGACACAAAATGCGTTCAAGGTCATCTGCTTGTTTGATTTTGATGCTCACGCGAACCGAGTTCACTGAAGGTTCAATTAAAACTTTTTCGTTTTCGTTACGACTGATAACCAGCGGATTCATTAACACTTCTTTGGATTTTCTGCAAAATAATACAACGTTAGATGCACGCCATGGAGTTCTCATCCTTTCACTATTCTGCTTTGTTACCCTGATTCCACTTCCGGTGTGTTGTGACGCTCCGCTACTTGTGATGAAAAGTTATCCAAGCACAATGCAGCAGTCAAAGTCGAACGGACCGCCGTCAGGTATGGACGTAGAGTATTTGACTACAACAACAACGACTGGGTATAAGCATTCCTTGCGCTCACAAGCATCTAAGCATTTGCGTCGATAGTTCTCGGTCATGCAGGCGCAACAGCCAAATTATCACCAGTATTTCCTCCATAAAAGTGATAAATGACAAGGATTCCATCTGCTCGCCGGATCATCTCGTGCAAACTTTACTCACCATTATTCCAAAGAAACGTTGAAGCTTCCGTAACGAAAGCGTCGCCAGCGATTAACTATCCGCTGTTTGCCTTGGCGGAGTTTGTATCCTCGGCGCAAACGTCATACCAGTGTCGGCATTTAAATGTTCTGATAGAAATCGATGATCTTCTGCTCACACATCGAACGGTGCATGGAAAATCCAGTGGTGCCAAGAAAAAAGTTCTCAATAAAAATTTTCCTTTATTCAGCGCTTTAAGTATAATAGAGGCAGTTATGGTTGTATTACTGTTAGTTGTCTCCTTGTACCTGGACAAGGATCCGTTCAAAGAGAGCTGAGCAGCAGCCTAATACAGCACACAGCGTGTATGCGGTATAATAAGGCGTGTAATTCACAGTAAGTTAATCAAGGCTGACATTCTTTAAGAAAAAAGTAAAAGCTCAAACTACATCATTTACGATACTGGTTGCTTTCAAATTGTCGCTGACGACGTTAACTTGCACAGCCTCAGACTTGTAATTAAACGAGCCTGTGTTTAACTGTCTATTCTTAAAAGAATACATAAGGGCTGATCTAAAGCTACACTACCGCGTAATAATTGAAAAGAAGACGATATGATTCAATCTGGGGATGTCATGGACAAAAGCAGGATCTTATAACAAAATCGTAAAAACGAATTTTAAGAGTCCAGTTTTACGGAGAATATTGGAGATGATCGTAAAATTCGGCGGGATTTTTCTAATAACTTTTAGACATCAGTCAGTATCGAAACCAAAATCCCTAAATTTGACAATCTAAGAATGATCAGCGGTAGAAAATCGCTTGTTGTCAAGGCCAAGAATGTAGATGACACGTTCCTTTCAGTATCTGGAATTCTCGAAATATCCCGGAACGCGCAGTAACTATTGAAATCATAATCCAACTGTGGTAAAATTCCAACCAAAAGCACACGTTTAAATAGTATCGTGTGTCCTCTATTCACCTCTTCCAAAGTCGAGGCCTATTTCATTTTTTTGTAATATGCGCTTTACTCTTGCTTTTGTTGCAGCCGCTCTTCTGGCTGAAGCTATTTCTGCCGCCCCCAATGACCCTGTTCATCGTGCCGTATCGTCGTCGGCTTCGATGTCGGCTTCATCCTCGCTCCAACCTTCGAGCCGAGCCATCCTCCCCAAATCTTCCAGCTCGGCTCGTCTCAGTAGCGCTAGCGCTTCTGCTTCTGCTGTGAATGGAGTTTATCAAAAGAGAAATATCATCGATTTCTTCAAGGGCTTGGTTCATCCTGAGATCGAAGCTATTTCATCCTCCTCAGCTGTTCCCTCAGCATCTCAAATCTACGACCAAATGGCCAGTGAAATTTTGTCGCAATATGACGCCGATATGAGCATGATCGCCAAACCGACGATGATGGCATCTGCTTCAGCTTCATCCTCCGCTTCCCGTTCCATTCAAAGCTCTGCCTCTATGTCGTCAGCCAGCGCCAGTGCCAGCGCCAGCGCCAGTATCCTTCCCAGAGCTGACAATTTGCATGAAAGCTACGTCAGCGCTATTCTTGCTGAATACAACTCTCATCTCCAGGTCGCTCAAGCATCTGTCAAGGCCGCTGTTTCCAGCCAATCGGCTGCTCCATCAAGCAAATTGGCCATGTCCCTCCAAGCAAGAGCCGTTATTCCCACCCACAGAGCAGCTGCGGCTTCCTCAGTCAAATCGAAAGCGGCTCCTGCTGCTTCTTCTGCTCGTGCGACCGGAGCTATTAACCGTCCTGGCAAGCCTATCAATCGCCTTGCCTCGGCTTCTCTTAAGCCTTCCGCTTCGGTTCGCGCTAGTGTTCCCCATAAGCAGAAGTATGAACCTGAGGTTGTGACTGTGCACGTGTACGCTCCCCAGGCTGCTGCTGCTACCCCTTCGGCTGTTCCCGCCCGTGGCCGCCGCTACCGTCAAGCCATTTGGAACAAGCGTGCCTCGTTGGCTTCCAGTGCATCTAGCCTTTCCGCTCGTTCTTCGCTTCGTGCCTCGGCTCTTTCTGCTTCTGCTTCCGCTTCTGCTAGACCCATTTTCCAGAAGCGTGCCAGCATGTCTTTAAGTCAATCTCTTCGTCCCTCTGCTAGCATGTACAAATTGGCCTCCTCTTCCAAGTTAGCTTCCGCTTCTGCTTCTGCTAGACCCATCTTCCAGAAGCGTGCCAGCATTTCTTCTAGCCAGTCTCTTCGTGCCTCTGCAAGCATGTCTCGATCGGCTTCCGCTTCCGCTTCTGCTTCTGCTTCTGCTTCTCTGCGACCCATTTTCCAGAAGCGCGCTAGCATTTCTTCTAGCCAGTCTCTTCGTCCCTCGGCAAGCATGTCTCGATCGGCTTCCGCTTCCGCTTCTGCTTCTGCTTCTGCTTCTGCTTCTGCTTCTGCTTCTGCTTCTGCTTCTCTGCGACCCATTTTCCAGAAGCGTGCCAGCATTTCTTCTAGCCAGTCTCTTCGTGCCTCTGCAAGCATGTCTCGATCGGCTTCCGCTTCCGCTTCTGCTTCCGCTTCTGCTTCTGCTAGACCCATCTTCCAGAAGCGTGCCAGCATCTCTTCAAGCCAATCCGTTCGTCCCTCGGCAAGCTTGTCTCGATCGGCTTCCGCTTCCGCTTCTGCTTCTGCTTCTGCTTCTGCTTCTCTGCGACCCATTTTCCAGAAGCGTGCTAGCATTTCTTCTAGCCAATCTGTTCGTCCCTCTGCAAGCATGTCCCCATCGGCTTCCGCTTCGTTGAAACCCTCAGCTTCCGTTTCCATGTTATCCATGTCGGGTTCTAGCTCTGCTTCTGCTTCCGCTTCTGCTACTAGCTCTGCTCGTCCTCTTGCCACCAGCATGCCCACTGTTCACTCTTCCTCCAAGGCTATAATTGAAGAGTACGAGGAAATCTTCCCCGAAGATGTCAGCCTTTTTAGCAACGTCGATGCCTATTGGATTGGCGATGCTTTTGCTGAGGAAGAATGGAGAGGTTATGACTGGACCGAATAGAGGGTCAATCTAGCATCCAATGATTTCATGAGTGGATCTTCTACGTATCCACTTTTTCTTTAATTCAATTAGTCATTCAAGTTTTCTTTTTTTTTCTTTTTCTTTGACTCTCAATATGATTATAGCCATAAAAGCAATAAACAATATCTTAATTGAAATGAACATCAACTTCCGTGCCAAAATAATAATGGGGTTTTCCAAAGAATCTGCGACCCTAGATCTAGTGTCAATTCTAACAAGCCGTACACCCGCTGTGCAATGGATGCCACCTGCTACTGGACGTCACCCCCTTACATTGAGTGACATTCGTCAGACAAAAAGCCTAACGCAAACGGTCGGGAAGAAATATCGAAGGCGATAGCACGGGCAGCAATCCAAAGAAGAGGAACCTGAGGAGGACGCGTAAGCGTTACCGATGAAAAGAGAGTCACACCAACGACGATGCCCTTTGACGACAAAACCTGGATTGGCCACATTTGGTGCGCGAACGAAGTAGAAAGATTTAGAGGGATAGATGGCTTGACAGGCGAAAAGAAAACGGGAGAGAAAACCAAAAAGTAAAGAAGAATAGAGAAAAATGACAGGTAAAAGTGTTTCTTGTAAGAACAGTTAGTCACATCACACAAAAGGTACCTTTTGATATTTAAAGAAATCGACTTGACCGGTTACAGATACACGCGGGATAAACCATAGTCTGGATGATGGAGTTCCCATGGATGAAACAATAGTCACTTTATTGATGCATGAATGATGAGCTACACAGATCGAAGCATATTATGTAAAACGGCACACATATTACTGACAAAAGTCGATGCTACAGAAGAACGCCAGATTGACATTGACAATAGCCCTTTACAGAAAGCTCTCCCTTTAGCTCGTAAATTTTGGCGTGCGGCGACTGGTTTTTAGTTTGGCAACACATCATCGTCCATCATAAATCCCCATCATTGTAAGAAATAAGAGACGGAAAATATACAGTAGTAATTACTTTATATCCACATGAATCCTATTTCCTTACAGCCTAGGATGTATCAACTCTATTATTGACCTCAATCCAGCAGAATAACGCCATTTTCTTCCTGATCGTTCACTTCAACCACTTCGTCCGTATCATAGCGTGCTTTCTTTGGTGGTGGCGCAGTGTCGGGCGAAGCTTCGCGTTTAAGACTTGTTGCACGGTTATCTGCCAATTTCGGAATGGGACTGCTTAGAATCACCACTTCGTCACGGTGTGTCTCGGTTTTATCCCTAAACTTCCTGTTTTAGCAATCGGTAACTTGCTTTCCAACATAGGTCCCAGACTTACATCGCTTGTATAGCCAAATCAACATCCCCTCCTTCATCAGGCGATACACGTAATATCGTTCCATCTTTCACCCCAAGCTCAGCCAACTTCATCTCCAAGTTATCTTCCAGATCGATATCATAGATCATCCTATACGAATTGATCAGATATACTTGTCATCTTCAGAGTATTACTTGATGAGCAGCAATTTACCTATTTCCATCCATAATAGCGACATCTTCGGTTAATCCCGCTCCTCCTTTCTCTGCCGAGGCCATGATAACTTTCTCCATTAAATCACTGAGCTTGGCAAGTGCAAGATCAACTTGAACCGTGGCTGAAGCAGCTCGACAGACGCCACATGAAGGATTAGGTTTGGATGGTTCTTCCAGGATGAGTAATTGTGGTCGCCGAGATACAGTCGTAAGATATGTCTATGGGGCAATTACACGTCGAGTTTAGACCCAATTTTTTTTCCAGCCTCTATTTGTTTTTCACTCACCCGTTTCATCGTCGCAATTTCACCGCGAAGAACAGCAAAGGCCTTCATCACCACAACACCAGAAATGATTGCATTTGTTGTAGCGATAGCAGGAATGATGTTTCCTGCCATAGCTATGTAATTATCAGTTAATAACCAGCCAAACATACGTCACTTTCGCTTAATTGATCCAACTTACATTTGACTTCAAAGCGACTTTTTTGTGGAATACTGAAGATCATGGCTCGCAAGTTGGCTGTGGCGGTCACGAAATCCATCGCGTCTTCATCGTCCTTGTCGAAACTTAAAATAGCTTCAGGGTTGCCTGCTTGTTCTGCCTGAAGACGCTTTGATAACCGCACCACGCTATAGATGCCATATTTAGAGATACTTATTGGTTCTTTTTTTGTTTTTTTGAATCGCTTTACCTTTGTTTGAATATTTCGAAACATTCCATAAGAGACCAGACTTTCTGATCAACCAGGGCAATGTTGTTTTCCTCTTTTGAATTTTGAGCGGCTGCCGCTTGCTGCCTAAGTGTATCGTAGTTCAAAGGTTGTGGGGCAGTCCTATATTTCCACATGTCCTCCATGGTGAGCAGTCTTTCAATGTCCGAAGTGAAGACCTAATTTTGTTTTGAGATGGTGAGATTTCCGAAACGGGATGGATTGCTAAAAGAGGGAATCAACCTTGGCAAACACTTTTCGCGGGTAATCTTCGGTCCCCATGGAAGCCTTGATATCATTCAACTCTTTTGTTTCCCGTGCCAGCGCAGCAAGCTCGTGTGCTAAAAAAAACACATACTCAGCATAACATGTTGATACAAGCAAAAAGGAAAAGTAAATTACCATTTTCTTCCGATGCGTCCTCTTGCATAGTCTCGTCTTCTTCGGCGTTACCAAACAGTTGGCTAGTTCATGGATGGAGTTCAGTCCCCACGAAACTTATACACCTTCATAACCTCCATTATTTTAACTGACCTGAACAGATAACTCTTTGCCCAAACGATGCAGTGAATCGGAGAACTAGGCGTACTGCGAATTGTGCAGACAGGATACGTGGTTGGTGTAGGCTTGGGATAACAGTCAAAACACTCGGTAATATCCTATGCATTGACTTGACCTATCAGTCCCTAGTCTTATCATTGGTACTTTTGTTTTACCGCGCTACCTTCTTGATCGCGTATGCCTGAGCTAAATAGCCTGTCGTTCCGGATTCAATCAATGGCACATCGGCAGCCAAGCACATGGCATTCACATGTCGTCGCGCGTCTGTATATGCATATTACATCCACGTTAGCTCCACTGGCATGACATTTAATTAAAGCATCCGCGCAAGTACCTAGATTGTCGAGAGCGTTGAGCACCATTGTAAATCTGCGGAACCACTCCACATTGAATTGTGGCTCTTTGATATTCGCTTGGTGAGATTTGATAGTAACTGAGGGATTGAATTTCAAAGCCGATTCTCTTGCGATCTACACAACATTTAGGTCCTGGTCAATGCGCCGGCAAAATGGTCTTGCATAAAGACTTACATGAGCTTTGGACTTTTTCACATGTTTCTTTTGAAATAAGAACTGGCGATTGAGATTAGATATATCAATGGTATCTAGATCAACCTTTTGGAATTGCTGTGTTGAGTATACATGAAGTGCTGTCAAGTCATAAGTGCTCACCACTTCAATCGATTGAAATCCCGATAACACAAGATCCTTCAACAGTTCACAGCCAATGCCTCCTGCACCGACGAGTAAAATGTGGCTCGAAGCTACCTTGGCATAAAGCGCTTCACCCAAAATGCGTTTATTATATGTTTCTCTCGACATGACTTATCGTGTTGCGATTATGTGCAGTCGTTGTGTCCTGTCTCCAAATCAAAGCGCGGACGCCAGAGAACAATTTCGGATCGGAATATGGGAACAAAGTCACAGACAATTTTGTAAAACTCTGTCCCTGACAGCGAGACATATCAGCCCAGAATCCCATATTGATATGGTCATGCCACAAGCGTTTATAATCGAAGTAGACGTTTATCGTTTCTTTCCGTGATAGTAAATAAAGAACCAGTAAAATAAGGCCTACGTGAAGTGCTGTCAAATCGGAAGTGGCGACCTGTTACTGGTTACCTCTTCGGGAGCTTTAGAATCCCGTGATAAGCGGAATGGAATTCGTTACGAAAAGTGTTCTATCATCATCACATTGAACCAGAAAGCCTTCTTAAACATATCACACATATATACTCACATACTCGCCGACTCGAGTGATATCGGGTGAATCATCTCACAGTTTCATTATTGGTTTTAACGATCGTGTAAGATGTTACCGGTGTGAGAATTCTTAAATGGAAATAAAACATAAGGTGCACACACCGTGTAAGGATCGAATTTTAAGAATTCCCAATGATTATGGCTTCATTTTTTTATGACCAATTGTATTTCTACATGTTTTCTGAATTGCAGAGTCAATCATCGAAAAAGCAGTCATTTAACAAATTTCCATGTTTGGTGTGTTCAAGATGGCACAATCGCCTATCCATAAAAACCATTTATAATTTATAAAAAAAGGGGTCAAAAGCCCACGAAAATAGGACGGTTCGAACTATATACATATAATACAAGGGAGATATTGGGTATTTTTTTGGTGGTATACTTCGTAAAACGAATAGGAAAGTAGTGGGTGTAGTAGAAAGTGGAGATAGGTAGGTGGCGACAGATATTGCGGAGGTTAAGGAGGATATTTAGGCACCAGTATTCATGACATCGTAGGAAGGTTGGGAATAAACATTGCTATGTACACTGAGAGGATCGTAGTAGTAACCGACAACGTCAGGATAGCTTGTGGTTCGCATAGGATCATTCATATATTTTTCGGTACTGAAGGCTTCCTTAAACTTGTTGGCAGCAGCGCGAACCGACGATTTTCTTTTGAGAGGTTGCTTGGCGTCTTCAGGAGCGGGCTCGACAGTGCGATTAGATTTCTTGAAGGAAGAGAGAGAGAAAGCCATTTTGGATCTTGGATAAAAATTGAGATTCTTTGATTGTTGTTGTTGATAACCTAAAAACCTGTCGATGCCTGGAGTATTTATACTTATCTGACGTTGAAAAAGGTATCCGATCCTTTGTTCCCCCAAGCGCGACGCGGAAACTCCGTCAAAAGGGGGGACCTGCTAAATTAGGCCGTTATCAGCTGATAAATGATTGGCTGATCATCATTACCTGCCTTTATCAATGGCTAATTGAATATTCTGTTTTGGATTAGCTTGTAATGGTTTAATAACCGTACTTTAGTTTCCCTTTTTCGAATCAAAGGGCGATTACCGTAATGGAGCACATTGTTTCACTGTCCGTAGGACATTCTTATTGTTATATGCTCCAGGAATTTTGAGTGGGTCCTCAGGCTTTTTTGGCCCTCCCATTAGTGATGATGCTTTATGCGGAGTTTCCAAAAAGGGCCCCCAGGCCATGTTTCGACCCCGCGCTGACCTGTCCGGCGGGGCTTGACTGGTTCCCATAAGCCAAGCACCCTTTTTTTTTCACCAACCCTCATTCGATCCCAACTAGCACATTTGGATTGAACCCACTTTGTCCAATCAAGTAAGTGGGGTCGCACATGGCTTATCAGCTCACAAATGATCACGGCATCATCTGAGCAGCTGAGAAACTTTGTCACCACACTTTAACTCTCAGCCTTTTCTCTTCCAATGAAAATTTTTCATTCCCACTCTTCGACAATCCCTTTTTCCAACAGCCGCGTCATACAGTTTACGTTACCAAATCCAGCTGAGCCGGCCCGGTCAAACCCTTTAGATAAGATAATATAATCTGCTTACTGGTACTTGTATTAAAAAACATGACCTATAACTATACTACAAGTATCGATCCATAAATAAAAAAAGGCGCATTAGTAACATAATAAGAATGCTTCAATGGTAGATCATTGACATCATCGAACAGAAATCAACATTTGGTGCATAAGCTAAAAAAATCGGTCCAACTTCTTTTTGTCGGTTCTTCCTCCAAACACTGTAATCTCCATTGGTCATCCCGAGATATACAAATACCGCCAAGATGAATAAGATTATGAGGTGCATAACCGATCCTGGAGTTTTGAATTTTCTATTTCCACTAAATGTGCCGATATCATGGACAGGTCCAGTGTAAACATTTCAGGCTCTGCTTAAAGTGTGGCGTCAAACTGGGTTAGAACTTACAAAATAGGCTAGTGGCTCACATGGTTGAACCGGTGTGGTCCTGTTTGTATTTGTTACATAACATTATACCATACTAAAGCAAAAAATATACTGGTGATATACATAGCAATAGTCATTGGTGTTGTTATCCATTTGTGCTGACGAATGTGAAGAAATTTTCATGATGAAGGGGGGAAAACCATAAGGTGTCAAAACACTGATCGAATCATGCAGTCGCATGAGAGTTGGATCCCAGGTAGCCAATGACGTGCGTGAATCCAAGTTACCGCGCCATGGACAGCCTCCATCCCTGTTGTCCACGTAACAAGGAGGATTCGATTTTCCTTCGAAACCATCTGAGGATGACCTGATATTTTTGTTTGTCTCCACTATCTTTGGTTGTGCATTCATCTTGTCCCACACAACATTCTGACTGGGAAGGATCGTTTGCTCCAAACTAGCTTTTGGTGTCACCTCCTTGGACTTGGCTTCTCTGCCGACGCAGACATGGATGCAACCTCTAATGTTACTGAGAAAGGCAACTGCAGTTGACGGAAAAAGGTAAACAGCTTATTCCAAGATGTATCTACGCATTATAAATAGCCTATTATGGATACGTCGTTGTATGAGTTGATCATGAATACATGTGAAGCCCGTGGGGTGAGGCGTGTCTGATTGATGATCCACCACCTCTAGCAGCAGAATTCTACAGTGTGGCAGATGTCCTTTGTCCATGCGCGGAAATCATTTCTTTTGCAAGCCCACTTAGCCTTCCAAAAGCGCCAAAACCGTTCATCACGTTGTCAACCTCTGTTAGTTTCGTGACATGATCTTTATTGCCTATCCAGTGCAACCATCGTTACTGGATGAGGGCGTCTGCGAAGATACGGTGAATTCAAAGACCGCTCGAGGTACACTTCTCGTTTTGTCTCAAGGATGACAAACGACCTGAACACCATGAACCATATCATGCAAATCGGACATCATATTACATTGGTTGGGGAAATTCCGCCTACTTCTAAGATTCCATTCACTTGATTCGGAACAAGCTAAATCGCGTAATCCTACTTCCTTTCGGGCAATTTGCAAACGCTCTATACATGTCAACCGGTTCCTCTCCTGGCAAAGTATGACGTATCAATGAAAAAAGAACATGATAAATGCCAATTCACACATCATCATGATCGTAGATGTAAGCGTGAACGTTCATGATATAAGCTTATTCTGGCTCCCACTCTTGCAATTAGTTTAGTAAGGTAAAACCTTAAATGAAGCCAATTTTTTTTTTATAATATCGGCTAATCTATCAATATGTATTAAATCAATTTTTACTTTGATTTACTCTAGAAGGGAAAGACCGATCTAAAATAATGGTAAGAAGTGTTACCGACACATTTCTAGATAGGGATCATAACTTTCTTGGTCAGCTGTGTGAGCAATAACGCGCGTCAGTTGAGGCTGACGTACAATAAGAGGGATGCTGAATGGCGTGCGCACTGACAGGCGACATGACTCATGAGCTGCTAAAGCATCCCCAGTGCGGTAATAGCAACTCTCTTCATCCGGTCCTTTAACGAAGCCCCACAGCAAAGGTATTTCGGTGCTTTTTGGTCCCACTAAACCATTGCACAATTTGTTAGCTCCTATGCAGATATTTTTAGTCTATATGCTTACCTTGGTAGAATATACGACTAGCTCGTGTGTGTAAATTGCGAAACATCCAATAATGACCATTATGGTTCTGTTCTAAGCAGACCTTGCAAGGAACATTGACATGATATCCAATCACGTTGCCACTACGCATTATATGAGTACGATACCCTGATCTCTCTCCTGCTGATTATTTACCATTCAAGGCATGCAGTATCGCGTACTCTACATCCGCAGGATGAAGCAGAATAATCACCATGAACAAAACCGACTCTACAAGTGAGATATCAATACCTCGTTGGGTAATTGAGAACAGATGTTCACATGTCTTACGTATCTGGAAAGAGATCTGTCGAAAACAGCTGAATAGAGTGATCTGATAATAGTATGGCCTAAAAAAAAGATGCTTCATCAGATATGCACTTATGACATATTATCGTTTCAAAACCTACGCTCATGCCTCGATCTGTAATTACGGCTTTGCAATCACGACACTGTATTCGATACACGTGTTTCCGTTCGAATTCATTTCCTTGTCTCATTCGTTGGTATTCAACGACCAGGTGGCGGTAGTTCACATACCTCCGCGTGTCTCTCATTTGCACTATTCAAGAGTCGTCAAAGATATTATTATGTGGAGCCAAAGTAAATCATCCTCGGCTAGTGATGACACGTTTATTGCATGAAAAAAAAAATCATGGCAAACAAACATGAGAATTCGTTTGCTGTGTCCTTGGCATCAAATAAACTAAAACATTTGCAGTTACAGTGATTGCAATTTCGACCAAGACATCGAGTTCCAATAACATGGAGATGAAACAAATACATGATCAAATCATGCAAAAATGAGTTATGGTCTAACTACGTTTTTTTCGATAGGTACTCCGAATCAGCAGATACCACTATATTATGAAGCAAAGCATTTGACAGATAAACGTTTTGTGAGTAATTCATTGCACATACTACTAAAGCGGCGTGCTACTGGCATCAATCATTTGCGGAACCCGGCAAATCCGCGCTGGATGATGACCCGTCTCTGTACCCTTATCAGTTGGATAGATAATTTGCATGTCCGCAAACCATGGCACTTGTCTTCATGGCCATGTGATGTTACATCAATCGGACATGTTTGTCTCTTGAAACCAGGGCAACCCTCAATTACAAAGTAAAGGGCTGTGAATGCCGCCACAGTCTATAAATAAATTCATAAATCTACGAGTTCTATTGCTGATTTTATAAGGTGCCTCATGCTGCTGCACGCTTTTTGTGTCGCTTGGGTCCTTTAACGTGGTTGTCGCTCCGATTTCCTTATTCGTGTAGGAAACACAGGCGTCTCCACAGTTTATTCAATTCATTCTCCGAGGGACGCGACCTGCAGTGGTTGAGAACTCTCTCCCTTTTTCTGGTCGTCGTACCAGTGTTCTTGAAAAGAATAGAAAGACAGTTCCCCATCAAGTCATTTACAAAAGCTACTGAAATGATTCAAGTAAAGCCTTTATACCCAACGATAGGAAACCCCGAGTTTCTGATATGCATGAGTCCTGTCAAATCTCGCAAAGCATATGCTAATCTCGTTTTCAATATGATTGTGTAACTAGGCGTAGTCCGCCGCTCAGCTCCAAAGTCGGTCCCTTCTCTATCCGAGAAGTCATTGATCAGGAGCAAAGAAAGAAGAAGATATTTCAAGCAACGATCTTTAGTGAAACCATCAACAGCGTACGTCCAGCTGAAGACTTTTGTCCCCTCATGTTCTTTACAGTAAAGAGGATACCAGTTTCCTTGAATGGTAAGATCATCTGACCGGGGGCGTCCAAAGTTGTATCGTCATTTCCAAAAATTTCCCAACCGGCAAAATCATTGACAATTTTTAGCCACCAATGATGAAGGATCTGAGATCAAATTGTAAGCTTTTTCGGCATCATCCATCCTTCATTCCACCGACATTGTTCGTTGCGCTTCTCTTTTTGTCATTCAGCTTCTCAAAACATCATTACACAAAAAGTTGCGAATTTTTCAATCCATTATGATACGATAATTACGCTGTCATACTGAAAAAAATCATATGATGATTTCATTATATTCTAAAATCATTGTATCTTCATTGTTACTGATCAACATCGCTCCAAAATAAAGCACAGTATGTCATTACCGGTGCAATAGAAACAATCGAGTTTCCACGACCCTCAGGAATGTGGTTGCACAAAGGAAAAGTGAGTGAGGGATCTCGGCAACAGCAAATCATAACATTCCAACAAATCAATCACGTGAGCCCTGCACATCCTTTGATTGCTCTATGAATAGGTTGATCCAATTGACAAACCACGGTCAGAATATGTTGTAAGAGCTCCGAAATCCATGCTTTTTTTTGTGTGTGTTGAAGCGCGCTTGAAACCGCTAACTACGACGAGAAATACGAAGTGTCTTTCCTGGCTTTTACGACATCTGGCACCAAGATCATATGATGCGTCCCTGATTTATTTCTTGCTCAGATAGCAGTTCCTATTCCGTAACTGAAGCAAAAAAATTCAAAGGGTGTAAATATTATTTCACGTATCCACACATATGCTTCATAATTATGGTGGGATCTGATCAAGCTAAATCTCTTTCCATTTTCTGGGGTCTTTTTTTTCGTACGTAGCTAGTGTATGGTATTAGATTGCTGCGTTGCAGCATTATTATATCTACGTGCAATTTTGAGATCCAAAAGACAGAAAACGCCGCTCAAGAATCGATAAAAAGCACAGAAAATCTAAAAAGACATGCTGTCCAGACGGTTATATTTTTGACATAAATCTTTTGAGTTTTATATTCTTCAAAACTTCTCTAGGTTAGTTCGCTATCTTACAACGGAAAAATTTCTTTACAGATAAAGCAATAAAGGGTAGTGTACATTTAACGTGCATACTTCAAATGCGTCAAAGGAAGTATTGAAGGGTTCACCTCGACTTCTTTGCGTCAGTGCATGGTGATGTTTCTATTTTACAAGATTCGGCAATCCAAGGGAAGGTCTTTCACGACGGAAAATCCAATGGACATGCAAATCCACCGGTTGCAGGGGTGGCTACCACGGTAGGCTTATACCCTATCCAGTCCAGTCCAAACATATAGAGCGTGATCCAGAATTGAAGTTGCAACGCTTCATGTCGTTGATGTTGTAACGTGCACGCCTGAACGAGGTCGACAAAAGTGGTGTCAGTTGAGGTGCGCGCTTGATAATTAATATAAATCGGAAGCTCGATCGTGGTGATTTTCATGGGAGGAACAACAATCGCAGTATTATCAGTATCAGGACGATTGGCATCCCTGCCGATGATAAGTCCTGTCAAGGAGTCCTTCACCGCCACCTGAACTGCATTTAGACGGATAGGGACGTAGTTTCTTCGATTATCGACCGTGACGTTGACCAACCATCCCGTTTCAAAAGCGACATTGCCAATTTCACCCTGATGCGTTTGTGTTATCTTTGCCCGATTAGTCAACGATGCTCCTTCCACTCGCATTAACGGGGTCCGAGGCCATAACAGATACGCTACTAATACACAAACGACAACACTAAGAAATATACAGATTGTCCATCCTCGTCGGCCGCAAGATCTCGGTTTCCTATTCCGTTTTCGTCGAGACGTTCTTGACCGACCTTGTTTATACGTTAAAAAGCAGCAACCCACCGAACATCCTGGAGATGGCTCGTTATTTGACAGACCCTCAGATTTGCTGCGTTGCTGGGTACTCGTTTTATAAGTATTGACACTGACACGTTTTTCAGACGTTTCCATGCATTTTTCGGGATCTTCGCCGTGGTAGTTCGGCAGTTGGTCTTGAATTGTTATCAACTTCTCATTAGCAGGCCAAGGGCGTGGAAGACGGGTTTCATTGTATACTTGTAAAGGCATGTCCACTACCATATTTGGCACGGATGATCGAGTCGTTGCATGAGGGTGATGATCTATAAACGTATAGATAAATGAGTGAGTTGTCATGGTCAACTAATGGAACCAAATAATTGCAGGATTTTTGTTTGGCTTGTCATCGCAACAAAAATAATAGAACAAACAATGTGCTTTTGATACCAGATTTTTGAATTGTACGATGATAACTTACGTGATATACCATGGGGCAAGGCACCATCGAGCGAGATGGAATGATGGCTAGAAAGGATACTCGATGGTTTTGCCGTCATAAAAGTATCAGCAATGGTCAGTCTCCTGGAGGTGGCTGGGCTGCTCGTAAATGATACATCGACTGGCGCATGGTCACTCAAAGGAGGCATGACGAAGCCGGAGTTTGAAAGGGTGGTGGAATTGACATGACTGGACACTTGTTCGGTATTGCTCGTACAGCTGGAGCAACAAGAGGCGTAATCTTTTGAATAATTCGGGGACATAAATCGTTCAGCTATATTCAGACGGGAGGGTGTGGGTGAAGCCTCGAGTGAATGGGCGGTTTTCCGAATACTGTGTTTGTTTCCGAGGACAGGAGAAGGTGGCGCAACGGAGAGCGCTCTTCGTTGTTGCGTGGCGGTACGTGGAGGCTGCAACAGCGATTGAGCACTGGGGATTTCATACGAAAAGTGCCGTTGAGGAGAGGTAGGGCTTTCCATGTTGACAAAACTAGCGTCGGATCGATGGGAATAATACGGTAGACTCATAATACGCGGAAGCGACGGTCAAATTACCAAACACAACTGTAACACACTAAAAATATACAAGTTGGCAACCACTGCAGTTGAGATTGCGTTAAAAAAAAAAAGGCAAGCAAAAAAAGTTGAGGAAGAAAAAGAATGTCATTTGAAGCAAAAAGTTAAATAACTGTTTCTTTTCGCGTAGGGGTCGACTCCGTCTTTTTCTTTTGCTTGCCTTCTTTTTCTCTGACTGTCACAGCCCTTTTGTTTTTGCTCATCGAACGATTTGTTATAGGCGTTATTTTCGTTTTCATAAAATGATTGACGGATCACCATCGACAGAAGCATCGTTCTGGAGCACCCCATGGGATGCAAGTTGTGGTACATTATGGAGTAATCACCGATACATCTGATCCGCAATATAAACTGCAGTCATTAGGGATGGAAGGAGTATCTGCAGAGAAAGACATTCACGTAAATCGACGTACGAGACACAATTAGGTAGTAGAACCGATGCAACCAATTTATAAGCATAACATTACCAAGCAACACGCGAGATAATGGCGTTGCCATGGTATTGCATCATTCGCAAAATGGAATCTATTGTACTGTAGGGGAGAAGCCATCTGGCAAAATCGGCTCGGAAGAGATCGGTTGCCGAAAATCTAAAGCAACTGCGGCTGTCTCTTTCTTTTTAACCATTATTTCTGTACAATCATGACATCAAAAAAGTTTCCATATGTTTAGGTACCTTTTTTGATGGCAGCTTGCAAGTTGGTGCAAGACAAATGTGTATCGGACTGTGATGGTGCTTTCGGGGTGTTGAGCAACTGTCGCTGTCGGAGAATCAAAGGACGGATAACTTTGGACGTCCGTTTGGAAATTTTCAAACATCAAGGGCGGCAAGGGAGGCAATGGAAACAAGTGCAAGTTGCACGCTATGGATCACCTACCTGCATCTTCATTATGAGTGTCAGACAGCCATCGAGTAATCAGCAACAAAAAAATTCAGCCTCCAAGTATGATTTCGTAAAAGTGCGCGTTCACTTATCGGAGCAACATTACTACGTACTGTCGCGGTTTCTCTTGTGTCGAATGCTTACAGCGGCCCGAATCGAATACGGCCATGCCTTACGAATCGCCCTTGATCTGAAGAAAAGGCTCGTCGATAAAGCTCAGCTCGATATTTCGCAGCAGGATCTGCAGAAGGAGCTGTTCGATCTGTTCAAGGACCACGGTTATGGCGCAGCTCATGTTCAGTGGTATAAAACCATGGCAAGGTGGGTCTTTGTTCAATATTACATGGAAAGAATTATATGGATGCACTAAACAGTTTAACCAACAGCTTCCATCATCAACGCATTCCACTTGTTGTTCTCTTGGCTGGTACAGGAGCAACAGGAAAATCCACGATTGCTACTCGTCTTTCTGAGCGCTTAAATTTATCATCCGTGTTAAAGACCGACGTGATCTATGATTTGATGCATACGATTATCGAGTAAGTAATCTCCCAGGATAAGCATAAAACAAAACAACGCAGGTTTGCTGACTGTCGGTCATCAAGTGGTGTGATACCCCCACGGATATGGGATTTGCCGGAGCAAGGTCGATGGGAACAGATTATTGATAACGAATGCTCATTGGTGTGTCGAGGTAATTTTAAGAGAAGCAGATAAGCTTGGTATCTATAGATTTTAACGTACAGCTATAACCATTAAAACAGGGTTGGACGCCGATTTGTGCAAATCGGTGACCGATGGGAAATCCATCATTATCGAAGGCGAGCTCGTGAATCATGAATTACTCGATCATATGCAAAGTTATATCCAACAGAAAGCTGTGGGCCAACCGGTTATCGTCACAGCTTTTCTGTTAACAATATCCGATTCAGTTTCTCATCGGCAACTCATCAGCGAGACGCGAAATCCGTCCAACGATGACCACCTCGATGCCATATTCCAGCGAATCCAGAGCTGGCAAACAAGGCTACAAACCATCAACACTGGACGTGAAAAAGAGGGTGCGCCTTCATTTACGACCATCTGCATCGAGATGGACAAATTCTCCGCTTCCATAGATCTGATCCAGTCGATCATTTTACAACGCATCGCTATGGAGATGGGCAATACACACTGAAAGTAGTTTCTTTTTCTTTTGTATTTATTAGAATTATTCCAGTTCAAATGGGTGAAATTATGTCAAGGCACAGAGTTTCTAATTTTAAATCAAAACGTTAAAAGGGGTAGACACATAAAGGTTTAGCAAGTTTTCTATTTCTCGTAGCCAATCACGGAGTGGCATGAGCGAAGGGTGGCCATCCAAGGGCCCATTAACAGCCGCATCAAAATCAATAGCATTGATGCGCTCGAGGAAGTCTTGACCCAATGGCATTTGCAAGATCTTTTGTTGGATTTGCTCGCGATGTTTCTGAGCGATCTGGTCATTGGCAAAAGCAGAAGAACGAACCTTGCGAATGCTGGCATCCCACGCGACATCGTCTCTGATAGCGTCGACCAATACTTGCATTCGCTCTATCAGTTTATTCGGTTGAAACAGTGCTTGATGGATGTCTTTCAAAATGCCGTGAAACTGGGCTTGGAAACCAGGAATTCTCATGATATGTCGCATCAAGGGCCGTTTTCGTTGTGAGTTCATCAGATCGAATCGGTCCAACGATGTCAACGGCTCGTTGTGACTGGTAGTATTTCGGAAAGGGATCATGGTATTACCCATGGTTTGATCCAGATCGGCAGACAGCCATAAAAATCGACGATCGGCGGGATTCTGATAAAGGAAAAAGTTATGGGCAGCTCCAAGATACCCATCCACATGGCCCATAATGATTTCCAGTGCAATACTAAGCAACAAAAAAATTATGAGCAGGGATGATTTCAATGAGGAAAAAGATTCATTTGTTTGCTTTATACTCACTTTTTTAAAAACAATCGAACATCAAATCGGGCATTCCATGCTTCCTGCAGGTCATCAAATTGCGAAGAAGCGAGAGTATCCATCTTGATGGCCGTGCCATTGATAAACTCCATAAACTCAATGAGTTCCTTCAGTCCATTCGAGCCAGCGGCACCTTCCTGTTGTACTTTGTACAATGACTTGCCGTTCTCCGCGTAATCTGTGTCGGTCAGGCCGTAGAAAGCCAGGGTAGCCCCAGCCCCAAGACGACCAGGAGCCATGGGATTTTCGGGCATACTTCCTTGATAAAGGACTCCTTGCTTGTATTTCTGGCCTTGCCCAAATACGTTCTTCAGGAAAGGATTTTTATAATTATCGATTAAAACGTATAAACCCAACGGTTCTTCATTGATAAATAATCTAACAGCACATACGGTAGATAAGTATCCCCTAAAAGCTGCAGACTATCTGATATTTATCGACTCACCTCACATAGGAAGCATGGGAAGCAGGTAAACCAGCAGCGTCAAGAACATCGTAGTAGAGCTTCTCACGGATAAAGGTTGGATCAGTAGCAGCAGCGCGCAGCTTGAACTTGCGATATCCTCCCAGCGACATGCCTTGTTGTTTTGCCAGATGAATATTGAATGAGAATTTTTCGAAAAGTCTGGATGTTTGTCCACCGAGCTGAAATTTGGCTTGTTCGAAAAATCGTATGTTACCCGAGCTAGTAATACGATGTCAATCACTGGCTGTAATATCAGTTTATTTACAGTGTTTACCTTATATGTGTCAAATTGGCAACGATGGCGAAATCTTCCAAATAGTTTTCGTACAATTCTTGAAGATCGATATCGGTGGTTCTGACGTGCAATGTAGGAATTTCGTCTTTTGGATGCACGATGCTACTGTCCAGTCTTTTGAACTTTGGTTCGTCGGCAAATACGCTTGGCAAAGAATGATCCGTCAATTGTTTGATCGTGGTTTGCTGGCGGCCATAGAATTCATGCAAAGCAGCTGACGAAGCTGGGCGATCAAATTTTTCTTCGTCAACAAGAGTTTCATTCACATACATCCGCAAATAATGGTAAGGTTTCGATGCCGGTGCACTGCCCACGTGAAGTAAAGGATCCAAATCCGACTGCTGAAGCACATACACTTGCGGATCGTCCACGAGACGTACACCGAGTTTTATAAGCGGATTCTTGCTCGTATCGCTGATAACTTTGAACACAGCGAGACGGCTGGCTTCAATTTCTTCCAAGGCAACGGAAACGCGCCATAAAGCTTGCCATATTACTTTCAACAACCATATAAGTTATCTGTCATCACAGTGAATAAATCGGGGGACTTACCAATAAATAGCAAGAAATGCATTGGATAAAGTAGAGATAAAAAACGCACACTAAAATGGGGACAATAATTTTATCTCTTGGATGTTTATTTTGCAGCTGTTTATTCCTGGCAACGAAATTCGTTTGTACGAATATTTGCATTCAATCGAAAAAAAAAAAGATTTTCGGCGGATATTGTATATGCTTTCGGTCCACTTCAAAATAGCTTCTTGTCATGATGATGCTAGATTGCAAAAATGCTCAATATATTTTACTAAAATAAATAAGAAAAGATAAAATGTACACATTAAACGCGAGACCGAATATATTGGGTTATCTATTAGAGGAAAATGGGTAATGTCTACTGCTTCAACCAATGGGTGTGGTGCTGCTTAAAACATGCGATAATCATTATTGCTCCATTCAGGTCGATCTGTAAGTCGGCGTGATTGATCTAATGACGCAAAAGAACTGGTTGGGTCAATCGATCGAAGCGCGCTGTCACTGGCCAAGGATGGCTTAGGCGTTGTTGGCGAACCCCCATGTTTGGTGCCAAGAGCAGGTGCAGAGACGGTCTCTTCCATGGCCGTGGCATGATCGAACATATGGACTGAATTCCGAGAGAAGGTAGCGCGTTTTATGGGTGAGTTGATGAGTGAAGCCGTTTGGTGTTCGGCACTTGTGGGTGTATAGGGCGCTCCCATCATTGACTGAGATGAAGGGCCTCGTACTGCGAGACCAATGTAATCAGGTTCGCTCTTTTGCTTTCGATCACTTCCGCTACGCGTATATCTGACAGCCATGCCGCAGTTTTCGCAAAACGCTTGATTGGGAAGACCGGTATAATCGACACGTAGAGCTTCGACAAGAAGAGTAGATTCGATGATTTCAAAATATACGGTGAACGCCTACATTCAAAAAAAAAAAAAAAAAAAAAAATTAGCGTCAATTTGGTATCCCTTTTCTCCGCCAAAACACCCTCAATTACATCCGAGTGATCGCCGATGAATCGCGTGATCTTCAATAAATTCATGGCAAGGTTGGCAACGAACGTGAAAATTAGACAAAGAAGCGACTTTCGTGCAATCTGTTCAATGACCCGGTTGTGTCGACTGATGATATCTCGAGATTTCCTGATATGCATATACAATCTAGAAAGAGCATTGATATAATTTTTTAGTTCGGCGACTGCTTACATAAGAATATCAGATGAGACTTACCTGCGAACGAACATGCCACTTAGAAATAGATTGGCCATGATGTCTGCCACGAAATTAAGGATAATCACACCATTGCTCCTATAACTAGATGAACAACATGCCTTATTCGCAGCAGTTTAAATCTTTGGCTTACCAAGCAGCCCAACACTGAGCTCCTCCAAGGATATGCAGTGCTCCAGTGTGTTGCTCTAACCGATTCATTACCAATTCATATGGCCAATCAGCAAAACGAATGGTGATCAGTGCAATGCTGACGATCTTTATCCACAGGGAATGGCGATCGGATTCCAAGATGATCAATCGCATAAACATGACGGTATAGAACAAGATATAATCTATCCAGGCAATGATGTGAGACGGCCAACCAATGAGACGGGATGGAAATTGATATGCGTACCCAGATGCCATAATCTATCAAAACAATGTAATCGAGCGCAAGAGTCAGGCACAAAAATTAATGTTGATATCCTTGCCCTGTTTCTAGATGGGAAACTTACGAGACCAGTAGAGGATAATAAGCGCACGTTGTGATCTCGAATAAGGGAATTAAACCGTAAAGAAAACGGTGTACGAAAAAAACCACCACTTGAGCAATGTTAGCAAGGTGACTACGTAAATCGTCGTTACGTATATCAGAAAGCTTATTCTCATCCGAGATTGTCAAGTAGCAGCTTACATTTTGCCTCGCGTACGTTGATATTGACGATAGCAGACGACAAAATTACGAACACAGATAAAGACAGCCAACCACATCCCAATCATGTTGAGACGATCCACTATCCGTTCTCCATAGTCTGTCAATTGTATCATATTTAAGAATTATGGAGGAACAACGATCAAATCTGACATCGACTCAGTCTGATGGCGCGCAAAACAGGTTGAACAGTATACAATGTATATGATCTTGATAATGGAGGGCGAAAAAAAAAGGGTCAACAAAGAAAAAAGAAGGTCTTTTAATTAATTTTTTCCCGGCTGGATAAAACCTATTGAGCTGTTAATCGGGGTTCGATCAAATCAGTCTACGTAGAAGGTTCATGGGTGGACATCAGCGCCTTTTAATTTTTTTGTATGTATCCAGACTGGTTGTATGTTGGGTTTAGCGATTGGAATCTGAATACATTTGATAGAAGAGCAACCATTTCATAATGCAGGTTTCCATGTCTACCAGGAACGCCGTACCACCAAAGAAACATTCTCCGAGTTTGGGAACTGGGAATGAAAAAGCAAAAACACAATAAAACTCTTTGGTAGCAGCCCGACAGAATACCTGCTTGCGCATCAGCGGATGGCTACAGCTAAGTACCTCAGCAAATGATATTCAATATAACTGTCGATATTTTTTCAACGAGGATCAGTTGAAAGTGTTTCCACCATCACTTTGGGTCAAAAGCGCTAATTTTCTAATCTCCGCTAATTTATTGTAATGAGGCAGCACGAATGGGAATGAGAATCAAATGGGGAGCCCTTCTCTGTAGAATAAATGGAATCCAAATATTTGTTTGACATGGGGAAAACGGTCAAATCCGCATGACTCACTGTTCTGTTGGGAAAATTCTGCTTGATACGACCCTTTAATAATCATGGAAGATCTTTCGCACAAGTTCTTTTAAAATAGGACTTTATAGACGGAGAAAAAAAATGTTCAAATATGGTGAAATTTTACAGTGCCAAGTCAACTGACCAATAGTTTATTCCCACATGGTTACAATAGTATCGACTGCACCGAGCTGTAGTTGTCGGGAAAAGGGAATCAGACTTTTTTTTCTTCATTGGTGTCTTAAAGAATACCCTACATAGAACCAAAATGATATCAGCAGCTAAAAAAGGCAGTCTCATGTTATGTCGAGAGACGATGAACTTCTTTTCGGGTGTAAACCTGCTTCTTGAAGAGAAATATATCGATCCAAGAAGTTCACTCCGGATGTTCCCATTCAAGTCCCTGACCTGAAACACATTCATACTCAGACTTGGATTTTGTTTTCCCACATGGTTCATTTTTGTTATGATCGTGGGGAAGCGTATGTGTGCTTGGGCGGGACATTCTATTTCGAGCTAACTGCATCTGGTTTTCCCTTTTTTTTCTTTTGTTTTGTCTGTGATTTCAGCGGTGTAGTCCTGAGCATTCCATATCTGTGTGATGCCAGGTAACATCACGTAATTATCACAGACCATGCGCTGTATTTCGCTTACATTTCGTCATGGCACTTTTTGATCGATAAGAAACGTGGAGCGTCACCTGGAAATATGAACCTAATGGAATGAAAATAAACATGCAAGCACTGCAGTACCAAGACTTCCTGCGTATGCAATGAGCACGTTATTTATAATGGCATGTATCATAACCTTCTGATTGTTTGATTCGATGCGTGTAGACATTACAATATGAACGACAACGTTGCCGTTTTTTAAAGTATGGTCACAGACATTAAACCAGTAATGGCTATTTAGAACGGCCAAGAGCCCTGGTGAGGGCATATGTTGTATCTGAAGCTTGATGTTGTTGCTTGGCTACGGTTGAAATCAGACATCTGTTATAGTAAATAAACTGCTTTTCAACCACTTCACTTTTCCACTTCTCTTGCATTTCGTGCTCTGACCATCACATAATACAGCTTTTTCATGTCTGCCATGTGTGCGAATTGCTAAGATGAATGAGAAGAAAAAAAGTGCTACGACATCTCGATTGAGTACCTGGTATTTATCTCCCTTTGGTATCAAAGGGCTCAAGAACGGCGCAACCATATATTTGTTGACAAAGGAAAAACATCCAGCCTCATCGTGTATTTCTCTCATTCTTGTGCATCGAAGATCTTTGCGGACAAGAGTCAACCCGTGGAACTTCTTACAGGCAGCAGAGAAGGTACAATAAACGGAAAAATTGCAGCAGTACTATTCCCAAACCGACGACACAGACATTTGTGCACTTGCCATCGTCTGTGATTCATTTGTTGAAGTTTCGAGTTGCACTGGGTATCTGGCTACATTCGGTTTGCATCGATCGCTCACCAAATCATTGAGGTTGGCATAGAAGATTGCACACATTTACCTTTGCAAGCTAGAAATAAGGTAGCCGATTGTAGTTTCTCATATTACAATAATTACTATTTTTATTCTTTTTCTGCAGCTGACGACTAACTATCAGCTTCAACCATCTGCAGCATATCGCGTCCCAGGCTACACAACTACAAACAGTTCTGCGTAACAACAAAAGTTTCGTGCACTTCATTGACAGTAATTGAGGGGTCAGCGTTAATCACGTTGAAAGGGTTCAGTTTATGCCTTCAGTCATGATACCCTTACGACCCAACATTTTAGCTTTTTATATCTCTCGAAAATTGCTGTCAATGAAGAAATATCATATCATATCGCTTAACCACGCACCCCTGCTGTGCAGTTTGAATGCGAATGTCCAACTGTTTCGCCCGCAGCTGCAGCACTCATACATTTCTCAATCTTCAGATCGAAAATCTAGCCTTATCCAGGTAATGAAGCGGACACACAATACGGTTATATATTTGCCTCTTTCTTACGGTCGTCGTCATTTTTTTTTTTTTTTTCACACGGCCCCGGGCAAGCTAGAAATGAGTTCTTTAGACGCCGCATTTTAGGTATTGCTGATGAGTTGCAATTGTCTAGATAAAACCTTGCGTTGATTCAGCCACGGAAGTCGACGATGTTGGCATGCCAATCCTGTATCATATCAAGCAGCTGAAAAAAACATTGTGCTTTGTTCCAAATTGGTTAGCATGCATTGTATCATGTTGGACAAAATTTTCCGGAACACGCTTAGAAAAGGCAGAACCTTCGTTTCAGGATAACAGTTTTATACAGTTGTAGAAAGGATCCTATACCAGATCGGGATGGGCAAGTTCCTCTCCCCTTTTTTACACATTTGACTTTTTTTTAAAGAGCGGTGGTGGTTGTTGATGCTTCACAAAAAAATAATAAACAAGACGTTTAACTCTGCAAAGGCTTTTATAGCCTAGGTCTGCAAAGTGAAAAATGTTGATACAGACGTACTGAGCAAAAGGTTCTTGGTCAGTAATGACATACAAAACCATTTGCAGCGGGATAAAGGTGGGCGTGGGCACCCTAGTGTCAGATGACCATTTGCTTACTGTAAATTACCTTTTGAGGTATGCGCACATTTTAAATCCGGGGCAACTATCTTCCTTACTCCACTAAGTTCCTCGGAATATCGAGTATCAAGCTTTTGCCATTGTTCCATGCATAGATGCATACATGATTCAAAGAGAAAACCTGCCGTCAATAGAAATTTTCCCATTTTTCTATCAGACGCACCTTTTCTGGTGGAGAGCTGCAGTCCACCAAATTTGGAGACGGAAATACCACCAGGAATGGAACTCCCTGGTAAACCAGCAATCAATAGACAGATCGACAACTAGTGTGCTGGTATGTGCTTTGTGTCTGATTATTCCATTATTCTATTCGGCAATCATTGAGTTTCTTTTTTTCACCGCGGGTCTACGTTAATAATGACGATATTTGTGGAGAAAGGGAAGGATTGGGATCAACGTTACGCTAGTGATCATATGGAAATCGGTGCAGATCGGATGATTCAAAAAGTTCCTGAAACAGTCGTTTCCCGGAAGTGCAACCTTGACGAACCCAAAAAATCCCCAAAAAAGCTTGTTGCCGTTCGATACGTCAATGCAACTCATAGTAATACAATGACGTTTGATAAAATTGACATTATTCAAAGCAGTGAACAAGCATGCATCGTTTTCCAAAACTGACTTGCATAGCGTTGGATAAGAATAGCTTCGTTATCTTCCTCGGGCAAACAGCATAAAATGTTCAAGCTCCTCTTCATGGCTTGAACGATAAATACCAAAAAAGGCAATAGCCACTTCCCTATCAACGTGGCGGGATTTTTCGTCCGATGATTTTGATTTGCAAGAACTGAGACTTCCGGCTTAACGTGTAACCAATCGATTGAAAGCCAGCGTGTGAATATCCTATCTCAAGCGGTCCATAAAGGCTGAGATAATTAAGGTGGGAAGTTAGTGAGAAGGTGCCGGGTGGAATTCATTTTCGTACCACAAGGTCGCAGTAACCCATCGTTAAATCTCGGTACAAAAGAAGTCAATCTTATTCTTTCGTTTCTTTTCCTTTGTATGACTGTATCGAAAACCTTTTTCCAAGGGCCCGTGTGAAAAAAAGGAAAGTTTTGACCAATCCCTTAATAATCGAAGATGATTGGCTAGATTATGGAACCAGGTTTTATCTGTCCATCGTTTTTACCAGGTTGTTTCAAACCTGTTACCATTTGAAGTGACGAAGTGGATGTAAAAGGAAATTCTACAGATTGCTGGTCATAGGCTCACCATTGTTGGAGTTGCGTCGGTATTTAGTAAAGCAGAACCAATCTTTTTACCGTGGACCATTGACGTGCGTTCATTTGATCGGACCTTACGACGGAGATTTGTACTACCGCATCGAAGAACCTTATCACGACCTCTTTTTTTTTTTCTGCTTTGCCGCAATTTCCATTTATCTATATAAAGAACAATTTTTCTTTTACGAATTTCGCCACACTTTTTGTTTATTTATCAGACCTCTTCCCTTCTCTTTTGAAACCATTTTTTCTTTTTAACTTTTTACTCTTTACTGTTTACTGCTATATTTTTTTCTTTTGTTTGCTTGTTTCTGTTGATCTATCATCATTAATATGTCTAGAGAAGATATTTCGACGTCAAAATCCGAAAAGTTCGCAGTGGAAGAGGCTTCGATCAATAACTATGTCGAAGATGACCGCGCTTCCAGCGTTGTCAATGAATTCGGTCACGGCAACGGTAGCTTTTTCACGGCTTACTTCAACGTTGTATGTGTCGTTGCCGGTACCGGTACTCTCGGTCTTCCCAAGGCTTTCGCCGATGGTGGTTGGCTTGGTATCCTTATTTTAATCCTCGCTTACGCCATGGCTGTATACAGTGGTATCGTGTTGATCCGCTGTCTTTACTGCAAACCCGGTGAACGTCTCCATGACTACAAAGCCATCGGTACCGCGGCATTTGGCTGGGTGGGCTACATTATCGCTTCTGCTCTCCATTTCCTCAATCTTTTTGGTTGTCCCGCTTTGTATCTCGTGCTTGCCGCAGGCAATATGCATGCGCTTTTGCAGAACACTGTAAGTCTCACAAAAAGAAAAAAAATTCGTACCCCCCGACATAACATATATGGAAAATTTCGGTCAAACCTAACCTATTATTTTCGATGAAATTTTTAGGCCGGCGCGCTCGATCCCACCAAATGGACCATTATCTGGGCTGCATTTTTGTTGATTCCTTCGTTGACGATGAAGACGTTGAAGGAAGTTACCAGCATTGCTGCGGTTGGTGCCATCTGTACCATGATGGCCGTGTTTGTCGTTCTCATTCAGGCACCCATGGACCACAACAGTAACCCCAAGCCTGAATATGCCACCACTGGTGTCATCTGGACTGGTTTCCCTTCTTCTTTAGCTACAATTGCCTTCTCCTTCGGTGGTAACAATACCTATCCTCACGTCGAACACGCCTTAAAGAAGCCTCACCAGTGGAAATGGGCCATCGTTGCCGGTCTTAGCACGTGTACATGTCTCTATTTCCTTACCGCCATTCCTGGCTACTGGTCTTATGGTGGTGCCACCAAGTCTCCCATCTACAACTCGCTTCCCGACGGTGCCGGCAAGACTTTGTCCATGATCGTCATGACGATTCACGTTATCTTTGCCATTCCCATTTACTCGACTTCGTTCTCCCTTGAATTCGAAAAATTCATTCGTGCCGACGAAGAACGTATCGGTCGTTTCGGAGCTTGGCTCGCACGTGCCATCATCCGTACGTGCACCATGGTTATTTTGGCCATCTTGGCTATTTTCATTCCTTACTTCGACGATTTCATGGGTCTCATTGGTGCCCTTGCCAACTGTGGTCTCGTTTTCTTGCTTCCCATCATCTGTTACCTCAAGCTTACCGGTGTTCGCAACAAGCCCTTCTATGAATTGGGCTTCTGTGCTCTTACCATCTTCCTGGGTATCATTGGTTGCGTCTTTGGTACCAAGGATGCCGTCCAAAACCTTATCAGAGACTTCCAGGGTGGTCATGAATAAGTTGGGATGCCTCTTCTCTCATTCTCACCAAACCATTTTTATACCTACACTTGCTTCCAACCATTTTAATCAAATGTTTTGTTTCATTTTCTTCCCCTTTACCATGTTCTTTTTTCTTCCTCCTTCTTTCCTTCTGGCATTCATAATTTTGATTTCTGATATCCCAAGTTAAAATTTTGTGAGCTGGCATTCACATATTCTGAAATTTGTAAAAGATGTATATAAATAAACTGTATATTAAAATCTTTGGGAGTTATGCACGTTAAATCATGTGCACGGTTTCTGATTAGCTAAAAAGCAAAAACAATACATTTGATTGGGCACAACTGTGTAAAAATAAACCTTATTTGTAAATCGTATGCTCTCCAGATGATCTACACTAACCTATCAGAACCTTTTATTCTTTTTGTGTCTTTTTTTATATCTTTCAATCATGCCTCTGGGTAAAAAGAGAAGGAGACTGTGGACTACGATCAAGTGGAATTTACACATCTTTGCACCAGTTGTGGAACACAAGATAATCCGAATCCAAATGAAAACGGAAGAACCGTGTTATTTGCCGGGTGACATTTCTATTATCAAAACTCGATGTAATATGGACGACGATGGTCTTTTAGACAAATGTACAAGGTTTGACTGTGTCTATTGTCGCTCCTCATTATCAGAGCACGCAGATCAATTCAATTTGGAGATCCACTTTTTACATGTTAAAAACCTGTTTGCAAGTCCATGGTGCCTGAAGCATAGCTGGAATATGATCTGACATAAGATCGAACGTAATCCTACAGACACAAGCTTGGGCACCGAGTTTGAGCATGTGTATCACAAGCACGAATATGGCACTTTATTTATCATCAAAATAAAATTTATCAGCACTAGCTGGCTCACATGTTTTGTATGCATTGATAAAGTGGACTTTGTTATCAGTCTTGGGTGGAGGATTTACCATGCATTATGGCAATTTCGAAGTCAGCAACGCCAACCGTCATAACAGCCCAAAAGCACCTTTGAAAGAAAAAATCAACGTCTGGAACCAAACGAGTGTCCTTTCCAGATACTAGGATACCCCATTAACTCATTAAATCCAGCATGTTGGTTTGCTTCAACGTCTAGAGGCTTATCGCTTGAAGCTCCATTGGCGTGAGCAGCCTAGGCTGCCGCAGCACAGACCGTCCAAAAACTGCGAGTCACAGAATAGATATAAAGCATGAGAACGCTGTTTTTTTTTCTGGTAAATCTTCCTCTTTCTCTTTATCTCCTCATTTCCTAAAAACTGTACTCATCATTTCTTCCAAACAAGTTTCTGTTATCAAAACCTCCATCAAGGCCATTGGGTGGCGCGAAGAGTTCATCCAACCGTTGCGTGAGCTCGTAGCTCCCGTCCATAACCTCACCAAACACACTTTTTTATTCGCGAAATACATTTTCCTGTCAGAGTTGTCAAAAAACGATGGGTTCGAGCTTCATGCTTATGTCCAAGAAGGCTTTTTTGTTGAAGCCTTCCTCTCGCTCATAAACAGACGCACGAGAAGCAGCACGGTCAGAGCGGCAACTCGAACATACCGCGAACTGATCGAACCGTACGTCGAATCTTTTTGTCGACACACGTCGTTTACGCCACCAACTCTCGCAAACGCCCAGCAAATTGCGCTATATCAAGCAAAGCAGATATATACCGCATATATGAACAATGTCAAGTATCGCTTTGGACAACATTTGCGGCGCCTGGTTAATCTGCTTCTTGACATCAAAAACCGGCGAAACAACCTTAAAACACAATTGCAAAACGAGGGCTTATCTCAACGTGAAATATCAGCAAGACTCACAACAGAAATCTACGAGCCCGCTAAGTAGTTCAAGCTTGATATCGCAAGCAAAAATTCGCACATTGTTTCTCCATTTCTACCACACAATGATTTTTTGCAACCATTTTTCAATTCCTACGCATCGACATATCAATTCGCGAAAGATAGTATTTATTATGATGTCAAAGCTTCCCCTGAAAGCCATTTTCTTGCATTCTATCGGTTATCTTGCTTATTTTCTCGACGAGGTTGGCGCTCCTTCACCTGCTTCCCGATTCGTACTGCCTGGTCGCCGCGGTACATGCTGATTGACACCCAGATCCTATATACGCAAATTCTCAACCTGAACCAAAGAAGCGTTAAAGGGCTAAGCAACCTTGATCTGTGGAGCGGGGTCGTGGATCTCGACAGCAGACCTTTCAAGCAAACGAAGGGCGAAGGATTGTCATTTTATGGAACACTGCAGACTGATGGCGTAGCGGTGAGTGTTATCAAGCAAAATGTGCCAAGTCGCAAAGGAGGCCGGCAACGAAAGGCGAAGGTTCAGGATGAAGATGTACCGTACGTTGACTCGCTTGCTCCAATTGAGCAAAAATGCCTGGAGGGCCGCTGTGTGTTGGTCGACCCAGGACGAAGAGATTTGCTTTTCTGCATGCACGAGTACTCTTGGTAGGATTCGCTATCGTTACACCTCCTGTCAGAAGGCGAATGAATTGAAGACGAAACAAGTACAGAAGGATCAGAGAAACATTACTCAGCCAATTCCCAAATGTCAAGACTGCTCAGGAAAAACTATCACAGCATCCCATTTCAGTCAATGACCTCGAGACGTATTGCCACAATCTACGGGAAACCGCAAGCGTATCTCGGGTATTATCGAATTTCTATGCGAACACGACGTCAAACTTATCAGAATACCCTCTTTTCCGAAAACTGCGCCTCTCAGCCTATTTCAATCAATGCCAAGCAGATTCTCGATTGGCGAGAACCATAAATTTGTGCTTTGGATGGGACCAGGCTTTAATCATGGAAAATTGGTCGGCATCAAATGTCAAGTTCCATGAGCCGATCAGAGGTGTAGGCATGCGACGGATGCTCAAAAAACAAGGTTTCGAGGTGTACTTGCTCGATGAATTCAAAACGTCCTCGTGCTGTCCTGACTGCGGTGATCCGTTGGAAAAATTCAAGAAGGTGCCCAATCCCCGGCCATACCGACGAACGAAGCAGCCAGAAGTATTATGCCATGGTCTGTTAAGGTAACCGATGGATGAAAATGGATTTGATATTGAATGTGCTTGCTCACGTTTATTCTTAGATGCACAAATCAAAAATGTAAACATGATCATGGCTATAAATTATGGAATCGAGACTTGGCTGCGGTCCTTAATTTCCGCAAGATCCTGTTCGGTCATCGAGAGAATAACGAAAGGCCGACACTTTTCAAGAGGAAGCGAGCCGAAGCGGAAGCCTCGAGTAGCAAGATTCCATAACATTCATGATATCATCCGGATCAGTTATCGCTGTTCCCACACCTAGATGCCCTAGGGGTAAGTTGATTATTTATTTCCAAAAGTTTGCCTCACATGATGACTCATGCCTTGGTTTCTATTCATAATCTACTAGTAAATCCATATAAACAATATTGAATAAATATATCTATCAAAACTGGCAACTCAGTTACAAATGAACATTGAAGCAAACACGCGCCAAGCGCTTGGCATCCCAAGACCCTGACAGACCGATGTCTCAGGGTGTGGCGAACAGCAGAGGATCCCGCCAGCAGAAGGCCAAGGTCCTGAGACAGGAAATTCCATCCATTGACTCTCTTAGCTCCAGTTGAGCAAAAGCTTCTCGAGGGTCGTTGCGTCTTGTTTCACCCGGGTCAAAGATGCGTAGAAATAACCGTAGCTGGGGTGTTTGAGAAATTTGACGAGAATTGTGTCGAACAGATCTGGGTGATCCTATCGGGGATAAGGTAATTATGGATCGCTCACCAACTTGGCCCAACGTGGTTATTTACAATTTACCCCGACCTGCATAAACGTATAAATATACCAGGATAGCGCAATGAATGCCAAAGCGCGGATCCGTGAATGGACTTTACCATGTTAGGAAATCACCAAAAACGACTAGAGCATCTGAGCGCACTAATGCATCACACAGACAGTGAATCCTCCACCGCAAGCCATACCTGCAGTGTGAGTGCTACGACATGAGTATCCATGCATCCAAGACGACGGGCAAACCTAGACCGTTATTTCACCAGGATTCGCCATGTTCACCTCTGCCAATTGGGTGTGCAACATGAGAAAACTATGCAAAACGGCGAAGTGCATTTTGGCGGAGATGGCGTTTTTGTAAGTCACAAATGGGATAGTGTCAATTGTCGCAAAGGATCGAGTATAGGAAAAACGAAGCTAACAACTCAACCAATTTTGAGCAATCATGGCCAAGAAGAAAAGTAAAAAAGTGGCATCAGCTCGCGGTTACGCAACTGTATCTATGCCTTCGAAAAAGGAACCCACGACATCCAAGCCTGAATCGGAAGAGCCTTCGCCACCTCCTCAGACTGTCGTGCCGCCGCCCGTCATTGAAGATCCGATCGTTAACAATGCCACCGACCGAGTCAGCATGTTAGCTGAACGTCTTGGAAATGCCAATGAACATAAAGTAGAAATGCTTTTGAACAATTTGCAGCGAGTCGGGAGTCAAAAAACGTTGAGCGAGTTGAAAAAGTTTGATCTCTCACCAGAACTACAGTACGAGTTATGGACTGTCCTCCAACAGCAAGGCGTGCGATCACAGGGTATTCTCCGTCTGAGGCCCAAAATTATCTAAAGTAGTATACTTACGTTCTCTTGTAGAATCCCAGACGAAAGAAAACGCACTTCAAGATATCGATCCAGTGATTGCTCAGATTCATGTCATTTATCGCGGACTTGCCAAACTTGGATTTGCTGTCCAGGACATCGAACAATCGCTTGAAGCGACAAAAGCGCTCACCATTGAGGCTAACCTTGATTGGGTAAATATCATCAAACTATTTGGTAACGATCTTCACTTTAACGCGTGTTATAGCTCTGCGTCCATGTGCCTTATGAACGGCTACCGATCGGCTATTTCGATAAATATTACAGTGATCAGAGTAAGAGAACAACTGGTTAGTTCTTAATGGGAAAAACTAACGCGTCCCTCGCAGAATTAAGCGTCAATATGGTGGTCCACGATGACACGGCAGTACGTGGATTGAATGAATCGAGTGAAGCTATAATAACTGTAACCAATTATCTGCTTAGAAAATCGAATCCGGGGAACCCACTACAGAAACTGAATCAAAAGTAACGTCAATGGAGGACCTTCCGATTCAATCGCGAAAGGAGAAACAGGAAACGAAAGAGGATGTGGATAGTATGAAACAACGGACTCTACAAGCGGCGCAGCAATACCTGGTAAAATAATGCAGCCGATAACCTCATTATTTCATCAGCTAGATATTCATTCTCTGATCTTAGTATGACGATGACGAAGAAGAAGAAAACATTAACGAGCAGCATGCGAAACTTGCAATGGAGTTGACGGTATTGGAAGACCAGTTACCGTCAAAAAAGAAAGGGAAGAAAGCAAAGCAACAGACCGCTCACGATCTGACGCCTGAAGAAATGCAAATAATTCAAGCAAAAATGAAAAAGCTGAGAGAACGAATGTCGAGTTTGGAGAACGATTTCGAGTATGACAAAAGTGAAGCGCACAATATTTTTCTGGATATGAAGCGAAAGGCTGTCGAGAAAGCCAAAGAAGAAAAAGAACGACGGGCGTCACGCTCAGAGTCAGAACCGCAGCCACGGGAAATTGCAAGTAAGCAAGCCGTTGATCCGCTCACCGAGAATTCAGACGACGATGATCTTGGAGATATTTTTGGCGGATTATCGATGCTGGAGCAAACAGAGTCCCCTAAATCGACGACGGTATCCTACACAGTGATTGACCTTACTGTGCGAAATTGGATGGGGAAGTATCCCAAAGATTTATTGGAAGACTATTGTCGAAAGAAACAGTACAGGAGACTGTCGTTTTCTGCGGATTCTCCTAGCACTGCCATTTTCCGCGCTTCGCTTCGTTTGACTGATCAGCATGATACCAAGAAAACCATCGAGTTGCCCGCCGATATCGCCTTGGCCTCGGCGAACGAGGCAAAGCAATACGTTTCCATGCAAGCTCTGTACGACGCCGATCCACAGTCTCTGGTGTACCAAGTATTACCTGAACCATACAAAGACATTTGGCGACAGTGGAAAGTCAGAGACGAAGAACGTGAGAAATCTGCCCGTATAGAGTCCAACAAGGCGATCGTCAAATTTGCCATTCAGCTTGCTAAACAAAGTGCCAATCAGTCGGCACATATCCGTTCCGAACGAAAGGCAGAAGAAGACGATCCAGCCTCTACCATTGTCAAATCCACCCGTATGTCAAGATCACAATTGGAAAGAAAGAAGCGTATCTTTAGCCAAGTCAAGGAAAAGTTCAAGCAACGATTACCTACGGAAGCTTACAAGAACATGTACAACCAACGTAAAGACTTACCGATCACGCATTATCGCGACAATATACTGCAGTTATTGGAAACCCACCAAGTAGTTGTCATTTCCGGTGAAACAGGTTGCGGCAAAAGTACACAAGTTCCTCAATTTTTGGCCGAGGATCTGTTGCAAGGATCCAAGGCATTGGGCTCCGTCATCTGTACACAACCTCGTCGAATTTCTGCCATGTCCATTGCCCAACGCGTATCTACCGAAATGGGAGATCCGCCTCGCATGGCCGGTAGTCGAGAAGCCATGGTGGGCTATCAGATTCGGTTGGACAGCCGAGTGTCGGAAGAGAACGTACTTCTCTTTTGTACCACCGGTATCTTGTTACGACGACTTGAAAGCGACCGGTATTTGGAAGGTGTCACCCACGTGGTGGTTGATGAAGTGCATGAACGTACAGTGGAAAGCGACTTTTTGCTGCTGGTATTACGTCGACTTTGTGAAAAGCGAAGCGATCTTCGTATCATTCTTATGAGTGCCACAGTGCAGGCTGAACGATTTACATCCTATTTCGGCGACTGCCCTGTGGTATCAGTCCCTGGACGAACGTTCCCGGTCCATGTACAATATCTTGAAGATGTAATCGAACGTACGGGATATGTTTTCGAACGCGATTCATACTACGCCAATCGAAGCGCCCTTCAGTATAAAGCCAAAGGCACGGTCAATGTGAGCGGCATGCACGGATCATCACAACAGTTGCACTATGAAATGCTTGAAGATGATTCAGACGGAGACGACCCGTACGATGTAGACACCGCACAGTCGAAACTGATCACGGCGGATGATAAGGAGGAAGAGAGTGCAGAGCCAATGTATAGCAAACAGACGCGCAAGATGGTCCATCGAATGGATGAGAACAAGATCAATTATGATCTTATTTTGCAGCTTTTGGAATATGTATGCTCTACGCGTTCTGATGCGGCGGGAAAAGAAATTGAAAAGCCCAAAGATATCCCAGAAGAAGGCGCTATCCTGGTGTTTCTGCCCGGTATGCCAGAGATCCGACGACTGTACGATGCACTGGCGAACCATTCTGCATTTGGCGACGAGAAGAAATTCATTGTCATTGCGCTGCATTCAACACTTTCGTCTGAACACCAAGAAAAAGCGTTTGACGTTCCTCCCAAAGGCATGCGCAAAATTGTGTTATCAACAAACATCGCAGAAACGGGTATTACCATCAGCGATGTCACGGTGGTCATTGACACCGGTATGGCCAAAGTGGTAAGGTAAGCTATCTTTGAGATCTTGAATCCATGACGATGCAATAATAATGCTTCTGTTGCCATTGTGTTTAGCTATGATGAAAAGAAGAAAATCACTCGCCTTCGACAAATGCACATTGCCAAGGCCAATGCTCGCCAACGGCGTGGTCGTGCAGGACGTGTGCAGGAAGGTGTATGCTTCCATATGTTTACGAAGCAAAAATACGAAGAGGTAAACCCCTAAAACGCCAAGTTGGAATGCATCCCATGCTGAAAAAAAAATCGTTTGTTTAGATGGCGGATCATGAAACACCCGAAATCCTTAGATTACCGTTGGAGGAATTATGTCTTCGCATCAAGATCTGCAAACTTGGCTCGATTCATGGCGTTCTTGCAGAAGCTTTGGATCCGCCTTCCAAAAAAATGATCGACAGCGCCATCCAAACATTATGCGAAGTTCAAGCTCTAACCTCGGATGGTCTAGAATCATTGACTCCACTCGGTATCCATCTGGCCGATTTGCCTGTAGATGTCCATATTGGAAAGATGATCCTGTTTGGTGCCATTTTCCGATGCCTGGATCCTATTCTGACAATTGCAGCAGCCCTGAGTTTCAAGAGCCCTTTTGTGCGACCTTTTGGTCAAGAGCGAGAAGCCGACGAAGCCCGGGCTAAATTCTCTTACGGTAAGCCCCAGTTTTTTGTATTTTTTTGTTTTTACAAGATACCCAAGTTCATACGCTAAATTGTATTTCATCCCTTTGCGTGGTTAGCCAACTCGGACTTTTGGACAATCTACAAAGCATACGATAGCTGGAGAAAGGAGTACGAAAAAGTCAAGGATAGTAGCAACTGGAAGAAAAAGATTCGAGATTTCTGCCGAAAGCACTATCTAAGCGAGCGAAATCTGGAAATGGTTGAGGATATGAAACGACAATATCTGGGACTACTGGCCAGTATCGGTTTTGTTAGAAGCGAAGACAGGAGCATGATGAGGAGTTATGACGTGAAGCGTAGTATCAACCTATGCAAAGTCCCCGATATCTACAACAGCAATTCCTTGTCAGTTCCAGTGGTCAATGCAGCGATCACGGCGGGTCTTTATCCTAAACTGGCTGTCTATTCGGAAACGAATCATCACTTCATGAACGGCAAACTTATGCTGGATATTCATCCCACTTCCATTTTGTTTGGAAAAGAGGATTTGCTTAAAAAGGATTTCCTCGTGTACAATACGGTGGTCATGAGTAAAAACATTTATCTTTGGGAAGCAGCCTCTGTTCACGCGATAGCGATCATCCTGTTGGCATCCAATTTGGATATCAAGGTGAGGTCTTATGAAGGAAGGCATCCTTGCATGTGAAATGGAAAAAAGCTGACCATCTTCGAAACACAGCATGTCCAACGACGATTCATTGTCAATGACTGGATATACCTTGATTGCTTTGCACGCACAGCAGCCTTGTTGAAATATCTACAGCAAGAACTGGTAGGTAATCTATCATGTATTTGTCCTCATCACTGCTAATGTTTTATTTTTCTTCTCTATCTGCAGAGTCATTGGTTAGCTCTCAAAATCAGCGATCCGCGACTGGACCTGACAACCCATGCTCCCGAAACTTTCAACGTCCTTGTCAAGTTGCTCGAAAGCTCATAAATACCGCGTATCCTCTTATCGAATAGGCTTTTGATCTTCCTTTTCCCATTGCTGTATATCCACGTTGGTGTTTCCTATGGTCCGCCATGAAGATTTTGTCAGCTCGTTCAATCGAAGGCCTATGGCATGTATGAATATCTTTTAGGATTCTCATCCGCATTTGCTAAAACTCGAGATCGATCGTCTGATATCACATAAATAAAAGCATTCCATCTTGACTAGTTGCAAAATTGATGTTATTTATTACTTGATTTTATGATTGTTTGGAGTCGTAATGATGAATTTTTAGTCCTGAACATGAGGTTTAGAGTGGTAGGCAGCTTCATCGGGTTTTCCGGTGGTAAACTGTTGGTCTGGCTTCTGAGTGTATACTGGGGATTCTCCCATTTGGGTACTGTAGTTTGCAGGATATAGAATTACATTTTGCTGAGACGGTTGCGTGGGAGACATGGCGGCTGGGGATGTCGGTCCGTTGGAGGATTGCATGGCATAGGTGATGCCCATGGGAGCATTAGACATTCTGTACGGTTGAGGCATCGTCATTCCAGAATTGCCATAGCTGAATTGGTCGGCAGGAGACTGTGTCATATTGACTTGCACAGGTGGATACATTTCAGGCGGTTGTTGGGACATGTTCACTTGGCTAGGCGGATATACTTCCGTAGGTGACTGCATCATGTTGACTTCAACAGGAGGATAAGGTTCTGCAGGATAGTACGAGGGCAGTTGCGGTTGCTGAGGTTGCTGATATTGCTGCTGCATGTTGTATTGATAATTCGCAGTGTAATTGTACGGATATGAATCGGTCTGGGCGGTATGAGCAGTATGTCCGGGAATCTCTGTTGTAGGGCTGAATGGTATGGTCACGGAAGGTACGGCAGGTGAAGTTGCAGGAGAAGCCGCGGCAGGTGCGGTCGTCGATGAATAGGTGGGCAATGGCTTGACAGGGTTGACTTGGATCGTTTCCTGAATTGGGCTTCCATTCGTGGCTTGAGGTGATGGATAGTTGGGAGCGTTCTGCTGTCTAGGGCCTGATTCTGGTGCTATCAGAGGCTTGATGGCGGATCGCCAGATATGACGTGCAACGCAGTAATACTGAAAAAAAAATCTATCGTCAGTTAACCGAATACCAAAGCAACACTTGCAGAACTTACAATCAAGCCAACAATAGCTACGAAAGCTGCTCCTCCTACGGCAATTCCAATAATGGCGCCGGTGCCTATCCCGCCGGGTCCAGAGGAGGTTCTGTATCCATGCTCATCATCGTTCACAGAAGACGTAGGTACAGGGGCAGCGGAGGGCATACGAGATGAGGGTTCATCGTCGGAGCTTGAGTTTGGATTGGCGTTGGTAGCCGAGGCTTTCGAAGACGGAGCGGCAGTTGCGCTGGTGGTGGTTGCCGCTGGAGCAATGCTGATAGCAGATCCTTTTTTGTCGGTTCCTTTATCAAACACATTGGTTCCTTCTTGGGCCGAGAAAGGACCGATAGCGGTACGTGAGGGAGGCGAATCATCGCCTTCAAGGACGAAATAGTAATTGTTGGACGCCGATGGAATGGAAGGCACTTCGACCATTGCTCTACCAGCAGAGGGTTGGAAATGGCCGTTGAAAGCGTTAACTACTGTTAGTTCATCGGTGCTCTTTCCCTCGGCAAGAAAGATTGTCAAGGTATGTACGCTAGAGGGACATCCTGTCCATGAAATACTTCCAGGAGTGAAAGATTCGATCCCAAAGGGAAATGACATGGACGCTTCAAACGCTGCCTGGCCACCGATAACGGCGAAACACAGCAGTAACACTGCTATGTAATTATAGCATGAACAGGAAAATAGATTGGGCATGGAGCAGACAAAGAGTGGAAAAAATCAAATGGGCGTACGATGTTTATTATGAAAATCCCTGGAGTTCTGATTCGTAACGCTGTAATGTGCTGAATGGTTGTTCAACGTATCACAAGTTCCAGTCAATAAAAACCATGGTAACTTTCATGCTCAGGTTCCAATGCTTCATGGTCCCAGCTGCTGCTCACACTGATATGTGTAAGTTCCCATAATGAATCTTACCGTAAACTGCGGTTAAACAGAAAATACAGCAATAAAGCATAGCATTGAGTTGCAAGTCATGGTTAAACATATTCTTCCGCGTTTGGCTATTTTGTTCTTATATCCACATGCTTATGCCCAAATGGAAGGTATTGTGCAATAAATGGACAGTTCCTTGACGATAATAAGCAATTGATCTGTCAAGCGCTTTGGAAGTTATGTCTCTCAAGCACAACATTCTGAGGCATTTTTTTTTTTTTTTACAGCAGCGGTAAATTCCATTATCAGCGCGGTCAAGAGAAGCAAGGATGTAGTTTATCCGTCCCAACGATTTGGATGTGGCTTCATTGGTTACCACGAGCATGGTCTCTATCTTTTGTGGCGTTGCTTACCATGACAGCGTACGAGATTTTTACAATTTGCCGAAAATAGACAATGCGCATCCAACAAATTACTGAATATGGAAATTTGGAACTGAAACGGGTCTTGGGGAATTCAGAATCTTTCATTTCAGTGCACCAATGAATTCCGAAAATCACAAAAAAGGTGTACAATCCCATCATCAGCACTTTATTTCGTCGTCCATATTATTTGACCTTGGGAGATTTATCTTCATTAGGCCTTCGAATGGTTACATATATGACAGTTTGGCTCAATGTGACAGTGATTTCACAGAGGATAGCGATGCAGATGGCGTTATTGATCTGCGAATGGTCTTTTTTTTTTTTTTGGAGGGTGATGAATAGAAAAGATTCTGCGTTACAATTGAGAGCCCGGTAAAAGTAGATAAAAAAGTTCTGATCTGTTTAGGGCTATCTAATCTCCGTTACTTGGAACGACGTCAAAAGGGCTTTTTCAATCTCACTGCTGCGTGGCGTTGATTCAGTCATATACGAGACGCGTTCGTGATCTACGGTTGATCAATTCTTTTTTTTTTTCCTATTTCCAAAAGAGGAACGATTTTTGATTACATTGCAGCTGGACTCGGATGCTATAAATTGACAATCATGAGATTGTACATATCGGCAATCTTCTATGCACAAACAATGGGAGGCATTATCTGGGATACGGTAACAAAACGGCCCAAGAAAACATTAGTTAATAGTTTAAATGGTGGTACGTTGACAGGAAAAGCAGATGAATGTGATTCTATGTCCGGATTTGCACAAATCAAAAAGGATCTTTTTCATCGTGAAATTTGATAGTTTGGAGCATTGTATTTACAGTTGGATTTATTTTTCTACATAGTGTGGCTCATTAATCAATGGGGGAATGAGGTTTATCGTATAGATGAGGCTTCGTCGTCAGATAATGCACTTCGTCGGGTTTGTGGGTTGCCATCATTGCTTGCTGAGTTATTCCATTAGGGGGCATGGATATCTCAACCTTGCTATTATGAACGGTCTGAGCATTATCACTATGCATAGGAAAGATACCCGGAATACTTGAGGTTGGAGGGGCGGAAGCCTCAGGGGATGAAGGTACCGCGAAGGTCATCCCCATAGGTGCATTCTGTCCTGGGTAAGATGAAGGCATTCCCTTGACTGGTAGGCCTGAGGGTGACTGCGCCGTATCTGCTTCTGAGGGTGCAGACGGCTCCGTGGAACGATATGAAGAAGAAGGCGATAGCATATTGTTTCCATATTGTGTAGGAGCGCCGTCATTATGGTAGTTAGTAAGTGCAGTATGTTCGGGCATTCGAGTAATGGTTGATAGAGATGGCGAGGTGAGGGCTGGTGAGGAAGCGTCGGGTGTATGAGGGACCATTAAGGAAGAATATTTGGGTGGCGGGCCCATGAAATTCACCTCGACCGTCTCTGGAACGGTATGGGCTCCACCGCCTTGTACATTGCCTTGACCCTGAAGATTATTGTAGTCTCGGCCGTTTGATTTCGAGGCAAACATTGGTACAATCAGCGTCTGCCATAATTTTCGCGCAACGCAAAAATACTATGCATTTATCATCAGCAATGAACTCCAAAAAAAAGGCGATCTCGTCTCCAATTCTAGACTTACAAGAAGTACAGCACATGATACCAGCACAAATCCTCCGACGGCAATACCAGCAATGCCACCACCGGATAACCCACTGGATGTACCTCGGGGAGGACGGTAGTCATCATCATCATCGTCATCATCGTCGTCGTCGTAGGAGGTAGGCTTTGGCGCCATACTGATGGTCGATGTAGGATGCGGTGACTCACCTGAGAAGGGCTGATCCTCTACTTTCACTGTCACTGGACCAATGGCGGCTCGAGAAGGGGGCGTATCATCACCTTCGAGAACGATATAATAATCGGTGCCATCTTCCTTGACCGTAGGTATGTGGATTTTGGCGTGACCAACCTTTGGCGAAATGTCAACATCGATTGCATTTACAACGCTTAAAGCGCCGGTACTCTTGCCGCGTGCAAGATACAGTTTCAATTCATGTACAGTGCTAGGGCATCCTGACCATTGTATTAAAGTGCTATCTCCACCTTCCACAATGCTACTGTGGGAAACGATGGACGCTTGGAACACCGCATCGATATGGTATAGCTGGAGACACAATAGGAAGATCGCAAAGCAATATCCCGCGTTCAGTGTCCTGCGCATTGACAAGCAAGAAAAATGCAAAGCAAGATAAAAATACACAGAGAATAGGAAAAGGGCGATCCATCTTAATATCACCACTTCCGAACCCTTATCCGAGGTGTCACAGATCCCATACACTTTTAAGATAAAAATACGCACACAGAAAAGGGAAGCTTCTAAAGAACACGGCTTCCCAAAAATCTTACTCATCCAAGGTATCACAGATTCTGCACTTCTCGCCTGAATACCGTACTCTATGCAGTATCATCCACCCATTCATTATCAATGATCGGGGGAAGAAATACACCCTCCAGCCACCATGCATTTTTGTTCTTGTTCTCATCTCCTACTAATCGCGTAGAGAAATCAGTGATCGCAAGGGTTTGATCGACCTACAGGTTCCGATTTCCATATTTGGTGTATCAAATGTTTTTTGACTTTCTGGAATGCCGATTTACAAAAAGATTTCCGGCTTTAGGCAAGTCTTGGCAACTTTATATAAACTTATGTTTTATTAACCAGCTTAAATATTTTAACAAATAATAGTGTAGACTACACGGACGGTTTCGCAAAATCTTGGGTGATTTACTCAAATATTCGAAAATCACACATGGGTCCGCCTCTAAGCTTACTTTGAATACTAACGGAGTTCTAAATGTATCTGGTGAATCGCGGTGGTGTGAAATGCTTGATATGAAAAAAAGAAAAAAAGGTGGCGAGGGGAACCCGGGAACCGGGCAATCAAAAAAGACAAGTCTGTACAACATTGAGGTCAGACCTCTACGTCTTACTTTTTCTGAGAAGCGTTCCTAAGAGACATCATTTCAGGTGAGTACGAACAAATTTTGGGTTAGATGGAAAAAAAAAAGTTGCAGAAACGTACATGGCGTCCAATTCGGATTTGTATTTTTTGTTGATGTCTTGACGCTTAATTTTTTGCGCGGCGGTCAATAAGCCCTGTGGAACCGAATCAGGCAAGGAGGTTGGATTGGTTAACTACTTTTTTCTTTCTTGTTTTTTGAAACCACACACTTACAGACTCCGTTGTCCATTCTTCGTGACACAAATGAATGGCAAACAACAATTCAGCCGATTTGAGGCCCGCTTCTTTTCCCTGAGTCGTGAGCTCTTGTAATAAGACTTTCTTTACGGCCGGATGGTTGCACAATCGTTCCCAATCATTTTCCTCCACTTGATGATTCGCTGCCAGTTGCCGTAAATTATTTTCTGCGGGGACGACCAAGGCCACTGCACGATCAAACAGGGGATCTGCGTACAAGCAAATGTTCGTGACATAGAAACAGCTCTTGTAAACCGATTCAAGCTTTTCCAAAGCAATGTATTCACCGTTGCTTAGCTTCACCAAGTTTTTCTTGCGATCAATGATCGTCAATGTGCCATTCTCGTTCCACTCGGCAATATCGCCAGTCTTGAGCCAACCATCTTCCGTTAGCGTTTCCTTGGTGACGTCGTCACGTTTCCAGTAACCTTTGGTAATAGCTGGGCCGCGCACCCAGACTTCGCCCTGTGGTTTGGGAGTATTGGTCGATCGGTAATCTGTATCGGCCACGTCCACGAGTTTAATTTCGCAGCAAGGCACAGGAGCTCCTACAGGTCCATAGGCGAATTGTTCGGGAGTCATGATGGAGCACATTCTAAAAGAGAAACGTCGGAAGCCAGTATCGTTAGAGACGCAACACTTTATCGGAACGCGTACGCGATAACGAAAAACTTACCCACAGCCTGAAAAAATCAGCACGTTGAAGAAAAATTTCATTTCTGTCAGTAATCCATGCTTTTGTCAAATTGGGTACATGCACATAGTGATACTTACTTTCCGTCATTCTATGTCACATCAATTGGAAGAAAAGCAATTAGCTTTGGACTTTTATCATTTTTCTACAGCTAACAACTCACCCGAATCCACTTAGAATTGGACACAGGGCGACCGAGAGGAACCTTTGAGTTTCCACCGAAAGGGGAGCTCCACCACACAGAGCGAATCGCAGTCGTCCGCCCACTTGATCTTTTATCTTGCTAAAGACAACCCTGTCGAGGACCACCGAAGGCAAATGTCGTTCTTGAAGCCAGGCCTTGGTAGCAAATGCTTTCTGAAACACTTTCTGAGCTTTGGGTGATGCGGATCTCAATTTCGAAACGATGCCCTTATAGATGGACTCCCACACAGCTGGGACACCAGTCATCAATGTTGGTCGAAATTCTTTGATATCGCCCTTGCAGTTGCGAACCGAGGCATCGGTTAATGTACGCACCGAAGCATAGCCCAAGGTCACTCCCCAGAAAACACAGAGATTTTCCACCACAAATTCCAACACGTGAGCTAGCGGTAAATAGGCCATCATACTGTCATGATCCGTAATAAGGTGACCAAGAAGCTGGTTACAGGCCGCAACTGAAATAATACAGTGGATTGTCAGCCAATGGTTCACACTGATACTGCCTTTTCCTCCCACGCGGTATCACGCTGTCTACCCCATGGTATAGCATCCATGTCTCCACTTACTAGCAGCAACGATATTCTTATGCGACAGCATCACGCCTTTGGGATTGCCAGTACTGCCTGAGGTATACATGATACAGCACAGATCTTCGGGTTCAGGTAAACGAGGTTCCTTGGGATGAGCTTGGCCAAGTTTCAACAATTGGCCTAAACTTAACACGTGATCGATGGACGACAGACTCTTGATTTTTTCAATCACGGACAGGTCGGCTTTGCCATTGTAAACGATAATTCGGAGACTAGGGCACTGACCACCGATGGCGGCCAAGGTAGGAAGTAGATCGGCGGTGGTATAAATGGCTTCCGCTTCGGTTTCATTGATTGAATGCAATAAACCTTCTTCGCCGAGCGTTTCATAAGCCGTTACAATGGTCATATTTTGAGTAAAAAGACCATGCGCAGTGAGAAGCCATTCCATGCTATGGGTCAAAAAGTATTCATTTGGCACCCTTGCGATTTTGAAAGACAATAGGTGAGGCTTACCTGGTGGAGGAGAAAATTTCGACTTTGGCTTTTTCTTTCAAGCCCAAGTAAGCAAAACCGGCGCCAATGTTGTGTGCCTGAGTCGATGCTTCTTTATAGGTGAGATATCGGTAAGGCGAGAGCTGAAAGTATTTCCAGGTCTTCTTCTGCTTGGTTTCCACCCCGTCCACAAATTTTGTGATCTCCTTCTCTTCTTCAACCACCTGTTCAATGGTGCGATAGCCAAAGGCTCGACGGTCGCCATACTTTTTGGCACTATGCTGCAACACATCATACACCGTGTGAACGTTCTTGTGAGGAATACGGATTAAATGTTCGGGAGCCAAAATGGATCGACGAACACGACCGCCGTTGGGTTGTTCAGGACCGATTTCGACCGTGAAAGTCTTCATTGTTTCAGACGCGCAAGGAAAAAAAAAGAAAAACGAAAGGAAAAGGAGGAAAAACGAATAAGAAAAATAAAGAGTAGCTTGTTTCAAAAATAAGCTATGGAGGCATCAGACAACAAAATATAAACATTTTCGATTTGGATGAGGTTGTACCAGAATGATAGATCTGCAACCCCGAAGCAAACTAACACTATTTAGCATGTGAAAATCTCAAATTCCACGCAAAAAACATGGTTGTTGTTCGTCTTTGTGCATGGCTTGTGCACTAGGTATACAATGCAACAAACAAGGCAATGGTCTTCATGGTCTGCATCCAAAGTACCATTGTCTGGATCCCAATTGAAGGATAAATCTCACCGCCGTCGCCTCCCAAACGCACGTCCGATCGGTTTTATCGGCCATTCAGCGGCGCTATAAAAACAATTTGCAGAATTGCTTCATTTTTTATTTTTTATTACGAAGCATTCTCGCATTCTGATCATAGTGATGGTGCTTGCTAGTCAGTTAAACATTGAACATTGGACTTTCATCATGTCCAAAGAAAAATCATGTGGTGTTTGTCTCTAATTCACACGAACCGGTTTCTATAAAGTTCAGCTGTTGCTTCTCATTTTTCTTTCTGTCGTGGAAAAAGAAACATGGATCTGGTCATAAAACTGATTCCTCCTCGAGTTTGCACAAAGCATGACAAAAAAGTCACAACCACGTTAGTGTGCCTTATCACATGATCACAATAACCCGTACTTGAGGAGGAAAAAAACCGAAAAATGGGATGTCAATCATATCACCCAATCGCATAGGATACGATAAAATCTCGTTGCTCAAATGACAAGTGGCATAAGCGAAGTGATCGAAGATTGAGATGAAAATGTGTATTTGTTGCTTGGCAAGAAGTTGTAAATATTTGTTTCGCTCAACAACTGGTTGTGATTGGTGGAACACGTTACATGAAAAATGAGCAAACGTCACGAACAGACGCCATGAGCTATTTTTCCAGCGCTCCTTACTTGTCATTGCAAAGACTCTGTTGTAAATACCAAGGCTCTTACAGGCAGGTTAAGATGAACATGACTTTGTTGAAATACCTTCAATGATACCATTTGTAACAACAAACCGTGGTTCGGTCGCGGATAACGTTCGGGATATTTGACGAGAAAAACAATACATATTTCACCTGATATGATAAGCAGCACATGTTTTATATCTCGACAATGAACAAGTTTATGCATACTGGAGTGGTGGTTTTTTGCAAGTCGAGCATAACATATTGCCGGTCACAATCACTGATACTAATCATTTCTGGTCACGAATCGGCGTCCAATACGTTTTCGGTGATGTGCGACACAACGATGATCGGATATGGCCTCGGAAGCATCGCCAAAGGTCAATAGCTTTGCCGTTTGTATTGACAAGGAAAAGTCATTTCTCACTATTGAACAGACTTTTTATATAATAAACCAGCGAGACACAAGATACGCCACGGCCTTGCGGTGCCCATGTTCTCTCCATCTGCACTTTCAGCTTGATGTCTTTTTATGCTGAAAGGTGCCATCGGGCAGGTATAAATGCACTTTTATTTGACATCGATAAACAACGTACGAGATTGCCTGTTATTTCTCTCTGTACGACCACGTTACACAAATGTGAAAAAATTTCAACGCAAAGCCCGGCTTAAAAACCATTCATCTTACTCTTCAACAACATGTTCTATGAAATGAAGCGATCTACAGAACCGCAAGACAGAATTAGCGATGTGGTGTTGAGCTACCAATGGAAAAACAACACTGTATTTATTTTTAAACAACCATGTGGCTGAATACACAATAGTGTAACACAAAGGATGATACAAAAGAAGACTTTGAATCCCTACATCGATGCAAAAGGAAAATATTCCATGAAAAGCCATCCTTCGTTTCAGGAGGGATGAACGCTTGTTTCTGCAATAACCGCGTTTTATAGCTACGATTTGGTGGACTATATAAAGAATATCTTGCGTAGGATAGAAAAGAAAAAGTATTAGCGAAGGTAAAAAGCATGCTTGATCAAAAAGGAAGGAAAAAAAAAATAAGAATGCGCAAAACGGAAAAAGGGTGAGCATTTCCGGGTGTCTCACATAAGCCCCAACTCATTTATAGATGCGTATAAATACCGGGTTCCGTTGGATTGTGTCCCTCTCTTTACAATTATAGATTATTTTTCCACCGAGGTTTTTCTCGAGAAATGAGACGACTACCTTACATCTTGCTCCTGTGCTGTTTGCTGGTATTCGTTGTATCTGCTCAAGAATCCGGCCAAGGTGCCGGCGAAGGCGGAGAAGCACCACCGTCGACTCCTCAAGCGGGACCAGCCCCACCTCCAGAAGTTGCCGTACCATCTTCTGAGCCTTCCGCAACAGCTGCACCCAGTGAATCTGCTGCCGCACCTCCTTCCAGTGAATCGCCTGCCGTGACTCCGAGCAACCCACCATCACCCACCGCTAGTGTAGATACCCCTTCCCCGTCGCCGTCAACCACTCCATCCCAACCTGAGGGTTGTTTCTCGGCCGATGCTTTCTCTAGCACGGATTATTTTGCTGATACCAAGCTTTCCGACCCATTGCGTAAGTGTGAGACCGTTGACAGCGTACGGAAGATCATAAAACTAAAGATTTTATTTTTGCGTACAGAAAAAACCACCCGTTTCAACGTGACTTACTCCAACACATACAAAGCTGTGTATAATGCGGCCTTGAATGAACATTATGTATTGCACTGTACTCAACACCCACCGAATTTGACGGATTATCAGTCAAAGACCTATATTCAAATCCCTGTTACCAACTTTGCCGCTGTGGACACTCGAATTCTCGGATTTTTGGACGTAAGTATCACAAAAAAAAACAGGGGAGGGTGCCTTGAAAGGTGGTTGTTGGCTGCGAAAAAAAAAAGCGGACCGATGCTGACTTCCTTTTTTTTTATCTTGCACAAAAAAAGTTACTTGGTCACAGCCACAATATCGTGTATGTGGGCAATGTGAGCAATGTTACATCACCTTGTGTGTCGCCTCAACCTACGTATTTCAACATGAGCGACTCCATTGATCGTAGCAGATATGATTTGGCGGTGTATCCGAATAGTGCATTGAATGATCCCAAAGGCGTGGGTCTTGGCATGAATTACGATGCAAGCCCTTTAGCAGTAAGTGTGGAAAATAGATTGAACCGGTCAGCAGCCGTTGGGGTCATTGACTAAAAAACAAAAAAAAATACTCTTTTTGGGAATTGACAGCTTGCCGAATGGATCAAGTATATTGCATTGTTCACCAATCAAGAGAAGGAGGCCGAAAGAATATTTAATAACATCAAGAGCGATTATGAAACCATGAGGGATAGCATCAACGGGGCATCCATTAGCTATAAACGCAACGTGACTGTGATGTCGTATGATCCAATGTCCACCAAGTTTGCGGTTTTGACTGATCTCTATTTTGTGAATCTGACGGCGGACGCAGGTGGCAATCTTACGACACCTTTGCTAGCTCAACCGGGCGATCCATCCACGATGCGTACTCAGCTTCAGAACAGCTCACTGGTGATCGATTTGACAGCTGATTATGTGTTTGACAACTCATTCGCATCATGGCAAAATTTCATCGGCTACTCATCAGAAAATATTACCAAAGGAGCTGATCGAGCACTTCAACGCTTCCAAACCCAACGACCTTACGTCAATGACCCTGATGCGCCTCCTTTCGAGCGGTATGGACAATTATGGCGATTGGACAAAATTGCGCATGACGGTGCAACAGGTACATGGCGGGAAAATCAAAAATGGGATATTGAGCAGTAAAAGAAAAAGAAAAAGAGAATCAGCATCCACACCAAAAAAAAAGAAAAAAAATCATGTCGGCTAACCTGGCCATTTCAATTTCTTTTAGATTACTGGACACGTGGCATGGCGAGACCCGATTTGCTCATACAAGATTTGATTCAAGCACAGTATCCGGACTTTTTCAATGGAAGAGAACGCGTGTTTCTGCGAAACTTGGCGGCCAACGAACCTAGTCAACCGGCCGATAGTGGATCGTACCAATGCAAGCTTGATTCGTGGAAACCATTGTCGCATGTTAATTACGCCAACGCAACCGCTGATGAACCTGGTCTTCAACGACCGTCCGGCATATCACTGGGTGTGATCATTGGTGCCAGTGTTGCCGGTGGGGTGGTTGCTCTTGCCTGTGCCGCGGCTGCCGTGGTGGTGTTACGACAGAAAGTGAAAGATCGTAGCAGCAAGCGGTTCACGTTACTGCGTGAGGATCCTCTGATGGCTGATCCTGCATTTGACAGAGAGCCAATGATGCTAGAGGAAAGAGATACTGGACGTTTAGGAGGATCGGGCCGAGTGATGGCGTGACATAATCCATGATGTACATAGACACACAAAAGACAAAAAAAAAAAGGTGACAATAAAAACATGCCATGTTCCCAAGAGAACCAAAAAAAAAAAAAAAAAAAAACCAAGTTGTAATGTGGTGGCATAAACGAGCAATCTAAAAAGGTAACCACAAAATAAAAAAGCACATGAGAGGCCACCATGATTCGAGCGGAAGTTGGATGGATGGTTCCATGGCAAAATAAATGACACCCCCAAACTCTTTTTTTTTTTCAAACACCCCCCACCTCCGCATGCTTCCTTTAGCGTAATCCCCCAGTTTTTTCCCTGTAACTCGCGCTGCGCGCCTGCCTCCAATTCACCTCCTCACGTCCCCCCTTTTCCCCTCAGTTTTGACTACTGTCCTGGGAAAATTGACATCTTTATATAAAGCCTAAATTTCTGAACCTTTCTTCTCCACACCGCTCTTCTCGCTTTCCACCAATCTTATTCCAACTTTTTTTTTCTTTATTTCCATCAATAACTACCGACACCACACTTTTCAATATGACTCCCTTTACTGTCTTACCAGCTACTTGCGAACTTTGTGGAAACTGGCTTCCTCAGCATCAGGTAGGAATCATTGCATCTGTCAAACAAAATCGTCACCCACCCAAACCACAGCCAAAGGCTAATCTTTTGTTCCCGTTTTATCTGTGTGTACAGTCTTCCTGTCCAAGAAATGGCGTTCATCCATCGCAGTGGACAGCCTCTCGATTTAACGACGATCCAGTAACGGAAACTATGCGATACCCATCAAGCTTACACGATGTCCATGACGACGATAGCTGCCATACCTACTATTCCGATGATTTCTCATTTTTGACACCTGATTCTGAATCTGAAAATCATCGTATTTCCCTTTCAGCACCTTACCTATCATGAAAGCCGGTCTCTCCTCTCTATACAAGATGCCCCTCCTCTATCTTTTGATACCCCTCCGTTTTGGTTCTCATGGGATTTAGCTATTCATTATTTTCTTTATGGTGAAATGTATCCAGTATGATGCTCTTTTTTTTTGGTCCCTTCTTCCACCAGTCCCCGCATTTCCCTTGTCATCCCACACGAGCCAATACGGAATCGTTTTTTGTGTTTTGTTTCTTATGCCGATTTGCTGGCCATCGGTCTTTTTGCTTTTTTCCATAAGCCATATCTTGTCGTCTCTTTTTTTTTTTCATAATATATAAACGGCATACATACAAGTTTATATACGAGTGATAAAGGGGGAACCCCATCTTTTTTTCTTTTTGGTGTGATGGAATGATTTGCAGTGACTGAATGATCTGAATTTTTATTTCCATGGCAACGAGAATCCTTGAAATTGATGGAGTTGTGTTTCCGTGAGTCAATTGCCAAAACGGGATTTCAATGTTTGATGTCATGAATATGACTCAACGGCATTGTCACACAAACCAAAAAAAGGTTCTGCTTTCACTCCCAAAAATTTGACAATCAAGAAATGGGAAGTGTAACCATCATCGACTTGAAGTCCGAGATGCACACGATGAAGTAAAAAAGGATCGCATCGTAGGACATCGGCTACTGGTCACCGTAACAACGCATCTATTCAAGGACCGGTTTTCATGTCATTCCGACCACACGCAGGGTCATGTAAATAAAAAAAACAAATTCAAATAACTTTTTTATCTTATCTCTGATGACACCAGCAGCAAGCTTTATGATAAAGAAAAACTTGCTTACAGCCATATCCTAGTCCAAAAGGCGCAAGTAGTCAAGGTATGCAGTCCTTGTGAAACATTTTGAATGGACAAAACGCACCAAAATAACAGGAATACAGGATGGCAAGAACTGGTTGTTGATTGGCAGTTGGTCAACTTTTACAGAGATGGAAAAGACTTGAATATCTGATACACAGAATGAGCAATCGATCCAACTTGCACCATGTGCATTTGAACTGGTTCTATTTTGGTCAGTCACTGTTAGGCGTTGAAAGTATAATTGGTTTAGTGATGGCCGTTTAACTTATCAAATTAGTTGCGATACTTCTTGTGCTCCACTTTTTTGTATTTCTTTTTTGGTATAACCTGTAACCGTGAATTGACAATTTCTTAAGCGGGGAATCCCCACCAGAAAAATGACGCCGTAGACATGACGCTGCCAAGTCAAGCATGTAGCCACTGTTTGAAGCTAACTGTAGTTGATCTATACCGATGCATACAAGCACTCCATACCAAAGAGCTCCCCAACCTGCTTTTCATTGGCTTGCTTAAATTACCAAAACGCCAAGTTTTTAGCTTTGTTGCAGCATAGATATTGGTAGAAATTATGCTGCCTGATACGGTTTGACAGTAAGAATTAAATTTCCTGGAGAGCGATTGTGCCAATGCATCGACTGCAAATGAGATTTCTGGCAAGGAATTCAGCATGATGGTAACAAAAAAATTTCTGCACATTCTGCGCTTTTCCCAGTTAAGAAATAGTGTGATGACAAAAAAATAAAAACTGGCAAGGTGGAGTGCCCCTTAAAACCGTAGACTGCAGCACAGTTTCCTTTTCTCAAAAGAGAGTTAACCATGCATAATTGTTGTTGTTCGGTTCTGATTTCCTAAAGCGGTAAAGAGCATGGGCTCTGCGCCTCATCCGACAGCCAATCAAAGCCAACTTTTGGCAAGGTGCAAGAACTTGCACCATTTCAGCAGTGTGTGACATTGAAATAAATAAAACCAATAACAGAAATGGGTAAGATAAATTTGAATTAGTGAATGCTAATTACTTGTTTTGGCACGGCAAAAGCACGATGATGACAACTTGTCAACGGATGGGTTTATAGCAAATGCGTCGCCACGGTCTACATTTTAGATAGGGGTTCCAGACTACGTCTATAAAATTTACAGATGAAATCTAAACAAGATGGTATACAGCATATGTTTTGGCGTATGTTCTCAACAAGCGGCATGCCGACTGATGGACAGTCGATGAAGCGGGGTTTCCATGCCAAAGCCTACCAAATCCTCGCCCAAACAGCCCTTTTCGCGTTCAATACCAATCGTTGACCATTCCGAACCATAATCGTGTCCGGGAAACACCACAATGCGGTCATCCAATTTGCCTAATACTTCTCGCAATGTATGTTCCATGATTTTTCGATCTCCTCCAGGGAGATCGGTTCGTCCACAAAGTCCACACAATAATGTATCACCCGCAATCAGTCGCGCGTCATTGATCAGTAATGATTGGGATCCCGGCGTATGTCCAGGTGTATGCAAAAACCGAATCCGCGTTCGCTTGCCTATGGTTAAAGTGTCGGTCACGTTGGTGCAAGTGGCAACGAGTCGGTTCGCGGAAATGGAGGGGTTGGCTTGCCGAATAAAGGGAATGTCGCCCAGGTGAACATAGGCTTTGATATGGGGTAATTTTTTTAACAAGGTGGCCAGGCCTGCAATCCTGATAGGTATATTGTCATATGGAGGCGGAGGCGTTCCGCCCACATGGTCGAAATGGTAATGTGTCACTACAGCTGCAACAATGGTGTATCCTCGCTTTTCAATCATTTGAAATATACCATCCATATCCCAGCACTAAATGAATCGATTTACCTCAGTATGATGCACAAGAAGTCATTTTGTTTCTTTTCACTTCTTTTCTCTCTCTCTCCGTGCTTCACCCAGTCTTGTCAGGTAATACTTACTGCATCCACCACCACGCATTGTTTGGTATCTTCGTCCGCTACGACATAGATGATGTTTCGCATAAAGTGGGCAAATTCGTAGATCCGGTTCTGAATAGGATTGCGAAAATGGCGCTCAATAGCAATGTCGCGACCAGGAATCAGCTGCAGTATTGACAATCCCATTGAATGATTATCTTTTTCTATAACCGCTTTGGCGATATGCGCGCTGATTTCAGCGTGGTTATCTGACTGCCAACCGTGAGCTTGATGAGTTGGAAAAACCTCAAATTTTCTCGATCGTCACTCCCACTCGCCTACCTTTTCCAAGGCAAGTTGATAGTATTCCAGAGCCTTATCGTACTCGTGCAGTCTCAACAGAGCTTCCGCATACCGGAAGTATCCCTGTAATCAATAAATCGTTATTAACCCATGCAAATGATGGGTCCATGGGAGATTATTTACCTTGCCCCAGGTCGGCGCCAATTCCATTGCGCGTTCAGCATCATCACGCGCTTTCTCGTACTGATGCGATCGCCAGTAACTTGCGCTTCTATTGGAATACAGCAGTGCTAGAAATGGTTTGTTGCTGTTATGCCCTGAATGGTCAATGGCTTTCGTGTATTCGTGAGTGGCATCCAAGTAGAGATGACGTTCAAACAAATCGTTGCCGCGTTGAGCTAGTTTGAAACTTTTATCGTTTGGAGCGCATGGATGAAACTCAAGCATTTGGAATAGCAGTAACAGGAAGGAAAAAAAAAGACCTGGAAACCGTTTGTATCAAGCAATATAGACGGCTCAGCAGGCTGATCTTGCTCAGTGCACTTGCCCCCTACTTTTTAACGATGTGCCGCTCTCTCCTTTTTCATTTCATCAGTTGCATTTTGATATTTATAGAAGGATAAAAACAACATTTGTGCATTTTTCTCGAGGATTTTGAGGTTCTTTTTATATAATTTCAAGCTTTATTTTGAGAATAAAAATATATAAAAAGCCAAGCAGATGTTGTAAATAGTCTTTTGCTACGGGTTGATCACACAAGGACCTATAATAACCAAGAGGAGGATTAATACAATGAGCTTTTCAACATCGTGCCATGCTTTTCCCAATGTCATTCCCCTCCTTGCACTCTTTTTGTTTAACTGTATCATGATTCAGGAATGCCCTGCGTATTAATGGACATCCGAGGTTGGTTGTCCTTCATTCATTACTTCGGACTGGTGCCAGCTTATGTTTCATCATGTCATGATCTCCCAACAAAAAAAAAAAAAAACCAAAAACCCAAACAAAATAAGGAAGATACTGTACCTTGCGAAAGATAGATAACAAACCATCGTTCAAACTTCGACATGAATTTATATAAGCTTACACCTGAAAATTTTTTTTCTTCCCATCCATTTATCCCGGTCACTGCAGTCACGCGAATCTCCGGTTCAAGGGGTCCTTTTGTCTCACGTCGCCGTTGCAAATGTTTGACTTTCCGGCACTCTTTTTACGTTGACAACATTGACAAAAAAACCTAATGACGAGGCTTTTCCATGCGTGATATATCCTTGGCAACAATATGATCTGTGATAATAGATTTTAAAGCATCCTTTTACGCTTTTACGCTTTTTCTTATTTTTTGGTTTTTATACTTTTTGTTTTTCTTTTTTCTTTTTTTTTCCGCACGGTGATCAGCAGGAACCCCATTCAATGTATGAAGGCTGGTCTCAGCGTGTTGAGCATGCATGCACTTTGTATTGGTATCGTGTGCGTGACGTTCTCAGTTATCTTCACGAATTACGGCTCTATATTCTTGACTCTCCAGGCAAATTGTCTTCCACGTACATTCCTCGACTCGTACCTATCCCTTGTCCAGCAACAAGAACAACACGGTTCCCGGATCAAGGCGCTTACATCTGTGAGGGATTTGGACACTGGAACGAAAATATCGATCATTTAACCCTGTTCGTTTCGGTGATGGTATATCCTCATAAATTGGAACGTGTGTATGGAGACCTGCGATCGCAAGGGGATTTGGAAATCATGGTGTTCCAGTACATGAACGATATTTTACGTAGTCTTGAGATGTTTCATGACGTTTTCACTCGAGAGTCTTTTGAACGACACTACGATTTAACTTGGACCGAACCACCCGCCTCCCCTGAAGAATCCAAATCCACGGGAAGTAGAGCATCGTAATCTTCATCAACATTTTTATGGAAAACTCATTTTTTTCCTATTCCCAGTTATCAATCGAAATATAATTTTGTATGCTTAAAACAAAATATTCAAAAAAAATAAAATGCTACATGAGCATTAGGCATTTTTGGGTGATGGGGGTTTTTTTTTCTTTCCGAAATGGTTTGTTTCTAATGGCCGTGACCGTCATCTCCAGGATTACCTTGAGGTGTAGGAGTGACTAGAACAAGTGAGAAAAAAAAAAGAAGTTAATTATATGTACTAGAGTATGCGATCCATTTTTTTTTCGTTACCTTTAATCAAATCATCAATTCTCAGGATAGCAATAGCGGCTTCGGTTGCACTCTTCAAAGACTTGATCTTGGACATGGCCGGTTCCAAAACACCGGCATGCAAGTTATCTCGGACAACACCATTGACCAGTTCCAAACCATAATATTTCAATGCACGCTTACGTTCGTCGGCTTGATCGTTCAGAGCAGCGTTGTGGTAGGCCCGTAATTTAGCTACGAGTTCGGTTGAATCTTTAGCAGCATTGACAGCCAATGTCTTGGGAATCACCAAAAGAGCATTTGCATATTCGGCAATCGCCAACTGTTCACGTGAAGCAACACTGGTGGCAAAGTTTTCAAGGTATATGCTCAATGCGGATTCAACAGCACCACCACCGGGAACCACGCTGTTGCTTTCCAAAGTTCGCTTGACCACGCACAGAGAATCGTGAAGGGCTCTCTCCATCTCGTCCAACATGTAATCGTTAGCACCACGCAAGATAATAGAAGCGGCTGTCTGGCTCTTGGTGCCTTTGACCAAAATACATTCATCATCGGAGATGCGCTCTTGAACGACTTCCTCCGCTTGACCGAGATAAGACGCTTCATAAGTTTCTTCACCGTCAAGGTTAGCAAGAGTGGAAATGAGAGTAGCTATAAAAAAGACAACAAAAAAAAAGAAACCAATGAATGTCAGTTTTTGCATTGATCAAGGTGGATATTTTGTACTCCATGGTTTTTCAAGCCTTGGCAAGAAAGAAACATACCTCCTGTGGCTTTAGCAATACGCTTCAAATCCTCCTTCTTACAACGACGAACGGCCATTGCACCGGCTTCTACGAACAACTTAAGACACAAGTCATCAATACCCTTCGTAGTGAGAATAACATTGGCTCCGGTAGCCAAGATCTTCTTGATACGTTCAGTGGTGATTTCGATTTCTCTGAATGATAAAAAGTCCAAGCCCAACATTATGAGTTTATGCATCACGATACACCTACTTTCCAAAATGTTGCCCACTGTACCTCTTTCTGATATCTTCCAACTTGTCGGGATCATCGACAACGATGTTGACACCGAGATGCATTCTAGCCTTTTGAAGGTTCATATCAAGACATGCAATCTTTGCATTCTGAACGCGAGTCTTCATGGCTTGCGATGCCACAGTACAGTTGAGTGCATAACCACGGACAAAGATGGATTCACGACCGGACTTGCCGTGGGCCTTCAAGATATTGACAGCTTTGACAGGGTATTTGGTCTCACCACGAACATTGGTGGTCTTGACAGCAAGCATAGCTTCCACAGCCAAGTTGGAGAAGAAATCGGAATCACTAGAAAAAAAGTGAGGAGTGGGTTAGACAAGGCCGCGCATTCAACCAAGGTAAGCCTATCAACTGTTACTCACGATCCGATGATTTTGCTGCTCATGGAAGTTTTGGCAGCGTTGATGAGACATTCCTTTCCAAGAGCGTCGACTTTGACGGCCATCTGATCGGCAATGAACTTGCAAGCCACTTTGGATGCTAATCGGTAACCGGTGATGATGGTGGTGGGATGAATCTTGTTCTTAACAAGCTCATTGGCGCGTTTTAACAGTTCGGCAGCAATAATAACGACCGACGTGGTACCGTCACCGACTTCACGGTCCTGTTGCTGAGCCAACTCGACAAGAACTTTACCCGCAGGATGCTCCACTTCGAGCAATTGCAAAATGGTTGCGCCATCGTTACTGATGGTGACATCCTAGCAGCCCCCGAGAAAAGAAAAAAAAAAGACAAACAGTTAAGATGGGTACGTCATCATCTCTCATCATCGCTTTTGTTGTTTTTGATAGGAATACATACACCGATTTCGTCGACCATCATCTTGTCGAGACCGACGGGACCCAAGGAGCTTTTGACGATATTGGCGATAGATGCCGCGGCAAGCACTAAATCATCCTGTCAAAAAAAGAAACTTGCCACCCGTGACACAGTGCATACACCAAGTCATCTACACATACCGTTGCCTGCACGAACATCCTGGCCGGTGGTACGCTCTCCACCGAGGAATAGCGACGAATTTTGCTCACGTTGGTACATGTCAAGTGTCAAAGGAACTGATCGAGAAAATGAGCGGTGCCCCTCGTGTTTTCTGAAAATTTCCAACGCAAAAAGCTCAACAGCCCAACGTCACATGATCACAGAAAAAACTTTTTTTTTATTGGAGTGTCAAAATTTTTGGAATCAGTAATAGAATCGATATTGCAGATGCTTTTAGGATATAGCACAAAGATAATGTTAATTATGTTTCATATACAATGGCTAAAATCGATTACCTACCTCTTGTTGTTCTTCTATAGAGTTATCTTCGCTACCTGGTTTTGGCTGGCCCAGTTGATCCCGTTGCGTGTTTTCTCGCCAAAGGAGAAACGCCGTAGCAAGAGAGACGATACCACCAAATATGGCACAAACCGCATTGAAAACATTACCAAAGACTATAAGCATATCTCTGGTCAGATAAAATATAAAATGTCTTGGAAAAAAAAGCTTACTGTAACGAGGAGCGTCGCCCTGCGGATAAAGAAAAGAACCAATCACACCGCCCGAGTTGCCAATCATGACCACCATGGCTACCGCGACCGCTCGTACGGTCATGTCGGGAAAGTTGACCGTGGACCATCCAACATTAGCCGGCACTGCAAGTGTGACAGATTAAGTTGAGGATCTTCATACCCCAAAAAAACACTGTACCCCTTACTTTGCAACCCTATTCCAGCATTGATAACAAACACGGCTCCATACAGGGCTGCGAGTGATGGGTTAGTTTACATTGATTGTTTTTCTTTTTTCTTACACACATTCATGAGGTCACTTACACCATGGTGTGTCCAGTACCAGAAGCAGGCCGTATCCAATGGCTAGCAAGGCGAAGCCGACCAACATGAAAGGGAAGCGATAATACTTGTCAACAAAATATCCACTTAAAATAACTAAAGCGGATGACACCAGGCTTGGCGGTGCAGTCAATAGCTGCGACTGAAGAACCGTGAATCCAAACCCTGTATGTTAAATGTCATTGAAAGATTAGATGAATCAAATAATTGTCTTCTTTTTGGCCCACTGGATGGATGAATTACCGTCAATGATTCTGGGAGCAAATATAGAAGCACTGGTCATATTTGTTGCGTTGCATAAATAAGTGATGGCAAACAACCAAAGTTTCCAATCTACCAATGCTTCCTTAAAAGTCGACAGTGTGACATGGGTGTGCTTGGATCGCAGTGGGCGGTTTTCCGTCATTCGGTACTGCTGTAAAGCTTTTTGTTCATCGGTAAGCCAGCTGACGGTGTTGACGTCGTCGAATAAAAGGCAATACGAGGCAATACTAAGCACAACCGTAGGGACTCCTTCAAGAATGAATAGATATTGCCATCCATGCATATGCATGCGACCTTCCAAGAAAGAAGTGCCGTATGCGATAGGGCCCGACACAATGCCAGACAGCTGGGACATACACAGCATCACAGCAATCCGGATACCAAGTTCTCTGGGTTTATAAACACTGGATAGCTGATAGAGGATGCCAGGGATATAGCCACTTTCGGCCACACTAATGGGGAACATTTCTCAATTGGGGATGCATCTTGTCTGTCCTTTTGTTTTGTCACTTACCCCAGTATAAGCCGGCACGATAACAATCCTGCAAAATTGCGCACAAACGCCGTAACGATTGTAATGGTACCCCAAGCAAACATAATGGATGAAAGCCAAATACTGGCATTGGTTCGTTTCATGATCACATTAGAGGGGACGTGGAAAATAATCTTTTTTTTTTTTTTTTTTGTGAGAAAAAAAAAAGTACACCATTCGGTGAGATGCGTATCATGCATATATTATATACAATCAATTAAAAAAATCGCTTACATAAGTGATATAGAAAGCGGAAATCGCAAAGCTTAGCTGACCGTCTGTCATCTGTAAAGTAGTTTTTTGGTATGTTAGTGTGCCTGATCTACTGAGGAGGAAGCGATTTTTCTTCCTTCTTTTTTGCATCTATAAAAAAACAATGTGTGATCCAAAACTGACGTACTTTCAAGTCATCTTGAATGCCCATCAAACTATATGAATCAATTTTTGTTTTCTCAGGTGAGATGCACCTTGAACAAATTGTCATGTTATTTTTCTTACGCTGCATTGCCTATATTGGCGCGGTCAAGATAGTCGGCAAAGTAAAAAATGCAAAAGAGGGGCAGGAGATGGTTATCCAAAGACTTGACTAGTTGTTTTTCTTTGATGTCTCTATCTTGAATGCGAGACACCAACTCTTCCAATTCCTGCATAGTATTATTCTCTGAAGTTTTATCATTGTCGCTATCGTCAAAAAAAGTTGCCACCCCGCTTTCAGCAGGCGATAACATTGATGATTCTTTTGCCGCTGACATTTTTCAAATGATTTTGAAAGATAGAAAGGAAAAGAATAAAAAAAGAAAGAGAAAAAAAATGACGGTATGTAACTCTTTCAACATTTAAAGAAAGGGATATCGGCTCAATGAAAAAGTTCCACTTTTAGATGCATCCAAGGTGGTAAAAAAAAAAAAAAAAAAAAGAAAAAGTTAAGATCATGATGTGCATGAGCTGGGCAGGCATGAACATGCCGACCCTGCCCATCATCGATCCAAGTTTCCAAACTCCGCCCCAATAAAATGTGACTGGATTAAATGGAAGAAGGACGGTGAAAAAACGAATTTCCCCCAAAAAATTTTTATTACTCAGCTGGAAAAAAAAAGCATATAAGACGACAACGAGCGACGTGAATTTTACTCATCGGTTGATCTCATTCTCTGAATGTGCTCTTTTGGCTTGATATTGTAAAGGTACTCGTACCATTACCACTCGAAAGCATCTGTTCACATTGAGTGTGGCTTATGTGAAAGAGTTGATGAGGTCTTTTTCTTAAAGTCTCGTCATATTTTCTTGCCTCTGGAAGAAGTAAAAAAGGATATCACATGTGCATATCTTTTTTCGCTTTCATGATGGATGATCAGCCAAAATCGAAAGCCTAGGTACTGGTCTAGAAGGTAAGCATCTTATTCTCTTTTTTATTATTATTATTATTGTTGGTATCATTGCTGCTGGGGAATGATGGGATGAGAATGATGAACAAAAAGTAAAATGTCAGTTCTGCTACTGAAGAGTTTTGACGACAACAACTTATCGCCACTGAGTCATCTTATTCATTCCCTTTTCGCGGTTTTTGTGCCAAGCCACGAATACTGTGAAGTTTGAAGATACTAATTGTTTTGATTTCGATTAGGTGGGTTTTCAATGGTCTTTTTTTCCAGCTATCGGTCTTTATGAAAAAAAAAATATAAATAAAAAATCTTTTTTCAACCTTAAAACTCAAATCTTTTTGAACCATTTATAAAGATGGCGTATGTCTTTTTGTCGTGTGATATTGAACCTATCGTAACCTAATCCTTCCAACGGGAAAGCAATATCAAAGAAAAATAAGTTTTGAATGGATCCGGAAAAATAAAAGTCTTGCTCAAGAAAAAAAAACTTTTCTCTTTGGAATAACTAAGCCCCTGAAAAATGAGCGATTTGAACAAGATCCGATCTCCATTGTTGCTTATTGCTTATTGAATACAGCACAGCTATCAAACAATACAAAATCAGGGTAACGGAAAAGGCAAGCCAAAAAAAAAAAAAAAACAAAGAGATAGAAATTGAGGAAGTTGGATAATTGAAAATAAATTGGAATCACATCAAACTGTTCGACAGCGATGACAAAAAAAGGGATATTATACTTGATTCAAAAAGCCTTGGATCTCGGGGACGTGGGGAATAGGAGCTTATTACTCTTCTTGCAGTGTGGCTAATTCATTGCTGCGACGAAGCGAAGGGGTGGAACTGCCGGAACGAGAGGACGAAGGAGCGACAAGGCCTGCTTCTTTTGATCGCACCGACTCTGATGAGCTTTTTTCCGTGTCTTCACTTTCCGTAGAGGACTCGTCCGTTTTCGCTGACCATCCAATCACACTCATACGGCGTAACGCTTTAGCCCATCCTCCGTTGGTGGCTGGGGTCCTTTCAGGCTCCTTCGTGCCGGCAATTGAACTGTGACGACGAATGTTACGATCATCCGCAGTGGACGAACCGTCGTTGGCCGTCGGAGCCACTTTGCTGGGAATGCTCACAGGCGATGGTTTGGCCCCCCAATATGAAATCGTACGTCGACGTTGTGTACGTCCGTTGGTCGATCTTCCCATCAGCGTACTCGATAAGGTTCTCGTCGGTGTAGGACCGGGAGCGGCCTGTTTCCGTGGCGAATTATCTTCGGGAGAAGTAGTGACAGGTTGCACGGGTTTAGGTTTAGGTTGATCGATGCTCAACACGTCCTCCAGCTGCTTGTTATTAATGATTTTCATCAAAATCTTGTTCATATACAGTTGTAAAGCGCGGTTGGTATCTTGTAATGTCTTGATTTCTTCATTTAATTCTAGGAAAAAACCCCAACAATCAGACACTCTGAGCAATCGGTGAGAAACATAAAAGAGAATAGGTTCTTACTGTTGATGACATTGGCAGCTTCGCTGAATTTTTGTTCTTGGTCCCACGTCGGTGCACCTACCGATGCCAGTTCAGCAGCAAGATTCATGCCACTGGTGCCACTGCTATTGGAAGGCTTCATCACGCCTTGTTTGGATTCATCCTCCTCCACCTATCCGTCACCATCGCAACCCAGATGCATCTTTATCAATTACCGTGCGTTGGGAAGAAAATAATGGGGGAAAAAAAAGTCAGACATGAAATTTACCTGCATGATGGGATTGGTCATGAATTCGCCGCTGATGGTTTTTTCGTGAAGCAGGATTTGATAACTTTCATTATCCTCCATCAAAGAACGATTAACCTGCTTTACGTTGGCAATCTCCATTTCCAAATGTTCCAAACGCAAGGATTGTCGTTGTGCTTCCGTAACGTGTTCATGCATAGCATTTTTTTGTTTTTCAATCTCGTTCTTCAGATCCAAAATAAGTTTGTCCTGCGCCCTGATAGTTCGTTGCGCGATCTTGGCTTCTTTGGCAAACGAAGAATCGATGGGTGCCAATTTGGGAGTAGGGTTGTTGAGGATCACCGATACAGCCTCATCCTTGCCAGATTCATTTTCGCCTGATCATGACATCAGTTTGTTTTCCTTTTTCTCCACCGATCAGGCTGACAATGCAGCATTTAATTTTGTCTATTTAAGATGGAATTTACCGATATCACCCAGTGGAGAGCTTGTAAACGGGCTCATGGTGGTGGAGCCCAAAGTGGTGGCGGTAACACTTCGTCGTCTTGGCGTGCGTGGGGTGCGCGGTTCACCGCTACTTAAGGAACGTAGTTGGTTATATAAATCAGCTTCGCGTTGTTGCCATCGTACACGATCGTTTTCGAAAGTTTCAAGCTAAAAAAAAAAAAAAAATGAAAAAAAGGAACTGAGTTAACATCTTAACGCGATCTCCGGTCTCGGTTTTTTCTGGCTGAATACCTCATGGGATAGCTTTTTCTCGGTATCTTTTTTCGATTTGGTTAATTGCTGTATTTCTTTGCGTAATGCTGCCATATCTTGCTCTTGAGCGTAAAGTTGCGTTTCTAGTCGTGCCTGTGTTTTGGAATAATTGGCATTATCTTGTTGAATGGCCGCTATTTTCTATAAATTTCATCCATCCGCGATTAGCACAGCGGGATCAAACATTGGATCGAAGTCTGTTGGATGTTGAAATACTTGCTTGCCGTAAATAATCGTTATCTTTGCCTAATTCTCGTTGTTGTTCCATGTTTTCCTCCAACTGGCTTCGAAGCTAGCCAAAAAAAAAAAAAGAAGAAATTAGCTTGGTCAGCACCAAGGTAAAGAAACACGTGCAACATCAGTACGAGTGGGCGACTTTTACCAAGAGATTATCATTTTGCGTCTCTTCGGCCTGCTGTTGCAGGGCATGGATCACGGCGTGAATGTCAGTAGTGGTAGACATGGAATGTCAAGATGACGGGAATGATGAGAGATTCCGCCTAAAAAAGAAAAGAGTGTTTGATAAGGAAGGAGTGGAAGATTGGTCTGAGCCGAAAGCACTATAAAGGCAGGGGGTGGGAGAACAAAGGAAAAAGGAAAGAGACTTGATGAAAATTTAAGATAGCTTGTTCCCTTGTGGAAAAGAAGAAAAAAAAAATGTGCCATGTCTTCTGTGCCACCCTCTTTCCTGGTCATAAAAAAAAAAAAAAAGCTCTCAACACAACGCACCGATTGTGTTACGCGAATCATATGCAAAAGAGCCTTCTGCGGTCAAAGAGCAGCAATTTGAAAAAAATGTCAAGTCTTGATATCATTTTCCCATGATGAAGAAGATGAGTTTCCTATTCTGATGGTGATTTGGTTGCATTCTTTCGTTCTCATGGTAATCTCCATTTTATTCGCCATGGAATATAAGCATGAACAAAGAATATCAAAAATGATAACCACACGATGATAAAGTTTTTCATTACTGCATCAGTTCCGTGGTTGCCCCTTGAAAATCTAAATGACTTCTGGTCCTGTCTGAATGTGAAAGATGACAAAAAAGGATAAGCTGTCACAGGTCTGATGCAACCACGGCCAGGTGGGTTCCTTGGCACGTCTTTAAGCAATCCTCCCATCTCTTTTGGTTCGGAATATGAATCTGTCCCCGCAATGTGTCACCGAAACTGACAAATGAAAACCGAGCAATTTCACTGATGTATAGATGATTGTTCATCCAACCCGAAAGAGAGAGAACAAGGGCCTTCATTATCCCCACGGCCTGTAAATTTCGCTACCTTAAAAAAACTCGTACCTCTTTTATTGCGATTTTTTTTTTTTTTTTTTTGTTTTCTTGACATTTCTCTCTCTGCATCATGGCCCATTTCTCTCATCTCCTGGCAACCAACTATAAGAGTATCATTGCCGAGTACCTCAAGGAAGACGTTCCTTCGTTTGACTATGGCGGTTACGTTGTCGGTGAAGACGACCAAGTCGCCATTCTCTATTGCAAGGCCGAAGGTGTGTTGGCTGGCGTTCCCTTTTTCGACGAAGTTTTTAAACAACTCGACTGTCGGTGAGTTCTATGTAAATCCTTCTCGTTTCAATCCACCTGATAAACCCAAAAATCAGTGTCGAATGGAAGGCGGCTGAAGGTGACCTCTTGAAGCCCAACGGTAAGATGGAAATCGGACGTGTCTACGGCAAAGCTCGTCACATTTTACTCGGCGAACGTACCGCGTTGAACATTATCTCTCGCTGCAGCGGTATCGCCTCCAGGTAGATCAAAACAAGCCACATTGAATATGTTGAGCCATTGACTCATATCGCGAGATCAGAGCACGCAAAGTGCATGATTTGCAGCAAGCTCACGGATTCAAAGGCATTATTGCCGCCACCCGCAAAACCACCCCAGGTAAACTCATACAAATATTTTTTTTTTTTTAAAAAAAGGGGGGGGGGTGAGAGAACCCATGAACCATGTTGGAGGACTCAATGCTAACATATGATATGACCAAGGTTTCCGTTTGGTTGAAAAATATGGTGTGCTTGTGGGTGGATTAGATACGCATCGTATGGATTTGTCTTCCATGGTGATGTTGAAGGATAACCATATCTGGAGTTCAGGTACTTTTTGAACTATTACCGCCCTCATCTGGTTTTTTCTCAATTGGTACGTTAGGATCTATTACGGAAGCTGTCAAAGCGGCTCGCAAGGTGTGCGGATTTGCGCTTAAAATCGAGGTCGAATGTCAGTCCGAGGAAGAAGCAGACGAAGCGATTGCTGCTGGCGCCGATATTGTCATGTTGGATAACTTTTCCGCTCAAGGTTTAAAAGACGCCGCCAAAAGCATCAAACAACGTTGGGCCGCCAAGGGCGTGAATCATTTCTACCTCGAAAGCAGTGGTGGTATTACCCCCGATACTTGCGCCACCTACTTTTGTGATGGTAAAAATTATCATGATCATTTTCATTTTGCATGTTTTTGAGTTAACGTCATTGCATCTAGATCTCGATATCCTGAGCATGAGCACCATCACCCAAGGTGTGCCCCACATTGATTTCTCCCTGAAAATCAACAAGAAACAATAGAAGCCTCGGTTTTGATAAATATGTACAGAGTAGATTTATTGGATTGTGCTAATAGAAGACACAGGTACTGTCAATTATGTTTACTGGGTACGGGGATCCTTTTCAGTGAGAGCATTGCTGCCAAAAGTTTCATCGAGCTTGGCACCAGCGGTTTCAAAGCCTTCGGCATTGTGGGTCTTCATTGATGAGATATCACGACGAACAGAGTTCATGGCGCTTTGGTTGAGATCATGGCCAATCTCCTGGTTATTGGTGGTGGTGGTGTTCATTCCTCCCATGGGGTTAGTGTTCATCATTCCCATAGTGGTGCTGGGCTGCTGTTGCTGTTGGGCAAGACCTTCAGAAGCTTGGTTGAACTTTTCAGTCACAGTTTGCTTCATCTATCAAGGACATCAGTATCAAGCACTCTCAGGTGTCGTGTCACTTATTACTTACTGCATCCCAGGATTGGCGCAAGTTTGCGTTTCTGGATTCGAATTGGGATTGCATAGCTTTTACAGAGAAATGAATGAGATTTTGAGGCTACAGACTACTTGTTGGACATGTATTGTTTTCTTACCAGCGTCGGATTGTTGGTTAGACATTTTTGAAATATGATACGAGGATAAAAAATTAATGATGTGAGTTTCTCTCACGATGTCAGTCTTTTATATGTTTCTGCACGATTTTATTTTTAGTCATCATTGTGAGGTCATCTTTTGCGCAGATCCCTTGTGGTTTTCCCTTTGTCTTCAGCTACGGCAAAAAGAGAAATATGGCGGCGACTTATCGTAATTACGTCAATCATTGGATTTTCTTCTTTTTATAATCCACTCGTATCTTATTAGACAGCATGTTGTGCGGTTGATGCCTTGATGCCTCCATGAATTAAAATGATATAAAATGACTGAGGAAAATTTACCATTGAAGTATACCCTGAATATCACCAAGCAGAAACTGTCATTTAGGACCGACAATCCAAATAGGGATAGGCTCCCCCCGCACGGCCAATTGCATGAAAAAGCCGAGTTTCCAGAATAGGCATATGACCGCATAGCTATGTCATCTACTACTATTTGCTACTGTCGAGGTAAAGGGAGGATCGCATCGAGGCAAGAGAGAACCAACATTATAGATAATACGTATTTTTGAAAGGTAGGATAAACTATATCATTTCTGATAGTAATCTAAAGATTTGGGTTTGGATAGTTGTCTCCATGACTCCGACATCCATCATCAGAATTTCAACATTGACAGAAATCCGATCTGAACCCAGCCTCTGTTGTTTGATTCACATACAACATTCAAAAAAAGGGACATTACTGCCGGAGGATTCTACGCTCAAGTGACTAGGACGACAGATAAAATTGTATCTATGCGACTGTATAAGAGGAAGGGACCTACTATTACTTGTATTCCATATTAGATCTTTTTGTAAACAATATGTCAACGTGGACCTCTATTGCGGTATCTGCATTTTCTTTTCTTCTTCTGAACTGTTGACAGTTTCAGCGATTTAAATATCATTGTCAGCAACAGACGATCATTTCCTTCATGTCAACTGCGGCAAGCCATGCTCAAACGAAATGAAAATTTCTTGCAGGATCTGCAAAACTCACATTTGAGCCAGACTAAAAACTCAGACTTGCTTATCACTCGCTTACAAGACGACTTTTTGAAGCTTATCATCTAGTTAAATATCGTCAAAAAAGTTTCAAACGTCTTACAGATCATATTGCGATTTTGTCAATTGTTTTGTGACAAGTCACGGTTCATTCCTTCTTTTTTCCCCCTTCGCCACTGTGTCATTTTTTTGATTTTTGCAAAAGGAGAGCAAAAATGGAAGAAGAACATCACACCAAACTGTTGCCAGTAGCTTGGATGACTATTGCGGGAAATTCTACGTATTATGTAAAGAGTCAGTTTGAAACGAATCAGTACCGTTTACTCGCCACCGACTTGAAACAAGTATGGTTTGAATATGGAAGTGTTCAGCGAATTCGCGAACGGGCAGTCCAACAGCGATTAGAAATTGATTCCGAACATCGAATCGAATTCTTGTTGAAATTCTTACGAAAAGCATTCGAGAAATCAGACCAATGTCGTTTTCGCATTCATGATAAGGAGGTAAAAATGGCTGCAAGAAGTGAGGACACCACAAGCGGAAATGTAATGTGTGTGTATGTGGCAGCTGGAAATTCACTGCAATCAGCAAACGGGATTCACAGCCATGTCCTGGATATTCATTTGCGAGTTGGTTCCCAGCATAGCACCGTCTCAAAAGAAGGTTGGCGGTGCTGCTATCCTTTATGATCATTTTATCATGCCCATGATAACAGTAATGAGATCAATACCCAATACCAGCTTGTCAACGCTCTATGAGTCAGGTAACATCGCTTATACAATGCTTTACATTATATAATCCGAATATCATACTGATTACAAGCAGATATTTTGGAGCATGCATCAAGAAAAGTGAGTAACTGTCAACAACCCGCCATCAACATTTAATTGACGATTCCCCCTTTTTATTTCCTCTCTCAGATGACAACAGAGACCGGAAATACACAGGAAAGTTCTGAGCAACATCTGTGGCTTGACTGTTTGAACAAAGCGAATCAATCATTGGCTTCGCATGACCAAGGTAAACAATCAAACGGATCCCCGATCTCACCATAACACGACTTTTTAAGATGCAATTATTTTTAGCAACCGATACAAGCGAAATAGAGCGATCTAGGCTGCCATCGGCATCGGAGTCTCCAGAACCCAGGAAAAAGCCAAAAGTATCGGAGAGTTCGCCGCCAGTCCAGGTACGCGACTTCATTCAATGCGGCATGGAAAAAGGACAGAGGTTCACATCGATTGTGTATTCAGGACATTGAGGATGAAGAATTACGACGCCGCCGAATGCTAGAGGAGACGTTGGAGAAAAAGCGATCGCAAGGGAAGAAACGGAAGCGTTTGTTTTGAGAGTTAGGACTAGATCATTTAGTCGCTTTGTGGCACCAAAGAGCACATGGGACCATGGTTCTGATCAATGAAAACCAGTCTGCAAAATAGATGTTGAAAGTATGTTAAAAAAGCTAAAACGACATCCGGCCAGATAAACCAATGTTGGCAATGCCAATATTGTAGCAAGCCTCAAAATGTGAACTTTATTTTCAACTTTTATAGTAACCCGCATCTTTCACATTGTTACTCATGAGGAGTATGGAAAGAGATTTGCCGTGTTTACAGTATGAAAGATTTGTAGGCGCTTTTTTTTTATCATAATCTTAAATAGTTGCACAGAGACATTCATTTCTACTGCAACTATCTGCCAGAGTGGATTCTTATACAGAAAATAATGGCACACATTTCTTCGTTGCCAAGAACTTGTTGTGATCTTGCTGGTAATCCTTGGCACGTAAAACAGCGAATTCATCCATTTTGCATTCTTTATGCCGTGTCACACCGCCTTTTTTTTTCGTTCCCGGTTATAGATCGATCCGGTTGGTCCAAAAGATGAGCTGTTTGCAGTTGAGATCTTAAAAATATACACGCACTGAGCTGTGACTTTCGGGGCCCGAACGGTGTTGAGGGAGAGTGATATTTGATATTGTCAAGTTAAGCACCTATGGCTCAAACAAAATTGGACGGATCATTCTTAAAACGTATGGTCGTTATATTTGTAGGCATCAATCTACCGATGAAAATTCGAACAAAGCGAAGATCATGTTGTTGTTATGAATCACATGGATTTTCGGCTTTTAACTTTATCCAGTTCCTGTAATGAACCAACGACAGGGCGTAATTTCGAGAGTCACCCAATAGGAAATTGTGTAATTTATGAAAGCAACCAATATAGTTATAGAATAGTGCGCGGTATTAATGAAAAAAAAAAAGATCGGGGAAAATAAAGACGAGATGACTAGAGAAATGACTAGGAAGAATGAGGCATGCGGAAAAGGGTGTGTGTTCTTTTTTCTGTTACAAAGGTTCATGGAGAATGATATGATCCGAGCTTGCTTTTGTGCTACATGGTGTGCGGGAAACTAAATCTTCATGATGATCAACAATGACGGAAGGTGTATAGAAACTGTGCTTTTCTCCAGAATTTGTTGTCAGGCGATCAAAATCGGGCAGAGGGAAAACCATTGCCTCCTGATCGATGTTTAACCAGTGATCACGCTTGCTGTCTTCGGTGGGAGACGGAGGAAGATAGACGCCTGAATCACTGACGGTGGAAAGTTTGTAAATCTCGCCTTTGGCGGTTTCTCGCAGAGCGACCTCATCGTCCGTTTTCTTTTTGAAAAGGGTTGTGGGCTGCGGCATGGTCAATTTGAGCTTGGGCTTTTCCTTGGTAGGAATGGTTTCATCGATCACGGTCTTTTCCAAAGGCTTGTTTTCATCATTCTCATAACCGGCTGGAGCCGTCTTGTTGGACTTTTGCCAGAATTTAGCTGGTTTAAGGAATGATTTATATCGAGATTCGGATACTACGGCGGCCGACATGATCAATTATAAACAAGCCAAATGGCAAACTATGAATACAATGAAAAAAGAAAGAACCAAAAAAAAAAAAAGTGAAAGAAAATAGTTGGTTTCTTAAAAAGAGAAAAAGATGATGTGCGTAAAAAGGTCCAAGAAGGAAAGATTCGTATGCCTGAATACAATAGACCGATCAATTTAAAGCACCATGATGGGTTCACAGAAAGCTGCTCATTGGATAAAGCTGTCCCAAAAAAATTTTTTTACTAGCGTCAGGCGAACTAAGACCACACGAGTAAAGCAGCTCCAAACCCAGCCACGGTCGGTGCCCAGGACCAACCCAATATTAGTTTTTTTTTATCGATTCGTCACACTGCACATTTTTTTTTTTTTTGTATTTTTCATTGAATTAACAATCAACCTCCCACATATGCATAATTACACGCATAAAGACAACAGTTGACAAGTCCATAGTACTATTTTCCTTTTAAATTAAACTTCATTGTATTTTCATGGTTGTTATTGGAGCTGGCAGGTGATACGAGAACTGCGTGCGAAAGCCTAGAGAATCATCATTCATCCTCGTGTTTTTACACCCCCCCCTTCACTCTTGGCATATGACCCCAAATAGTATATGCTGATACATCTTTTTGCTGTTTTGCCAGCTTTTTAGCGATAATGATTCTTTATTTTGTCGCGGAATATGCATTAGTTTATTGCATGGTACATCATCGTTCTTTTAATCATAGGCAAATCAAAAAATTGGAATGATTGGGCATGACGTTGTTTTACTGGAACATGAATTTGGCACCGTGTTTTGAGAACTTTTTTTTCAGAAAGTCAAGCCATAACGGAAAAGGTACTGATCTCTGTAACATATTGCTTATTATTGGGCGCTCTCATCATGTATACTATTTTTGAATAGACCTTTGAGATAAGGTGCGCCGTTATTACATGTACAGTATTTCAGTGCGATCGATCAAACAGCACCCCTGAAGTAATTCAGGCTGGGAGGTTGATTACTCAGTTCTCTATAGGGTTTCCCGCCATTTTGTTCCTTGATGCAGTAATATGATACATTACGTCTTATCCGGACATTAGTTTAAGCATGCCTGAAAAGACCTGGAGAGAACGATCTGCAATAAAATCACCTGGTCACGGCTGAAAATGGTACATTTATAATAGCTGACGCACTGTAAAAGAGCTGACTTTCCATTGGATTTTGGTAAAGCATTTCGGGGTTTTTTAGAGCGAAGCGGCTTCGCTGATACGATCCTCTCGGATTGGAGAAGGCCAGAGGGATATGACCGTCACATCATGCTTCATAGTCTGGAGTTCCAACAGCGACATTTTTTGGCGATTTTCTTTTTCTTTATAATCTCACCATGATTGACGTACACGCTCATCTTAACCACCTTAACTTTTCTCCTGAAGTGTGTGACAGAATCATTGATAACGCGAAGAAGGCTGGAGTAAAAAGGATCATCAGTGTCTCAGAATCAATTCAGGATGCGGATAATGTGCTTGCTTTAGCAAATCAGTACAGTGGATACATCTATCCAGCCCTAGGCTTACATCCCGTCCAAACCATGATGGACAAGACGGAACGTTCAGTCAACCTTGACGATTATGATCAGTGGGAGCCTACGCTCAAAAAGGCGATTACAGACAAAACTATTTGTTGTGTAGGAGAAGGTATGGTAATACACGCAATCCTCGGCGTTCTGCAATGATAAAATGACCCATACGCATACGCGTTTTCTTAGTGGGCTTAGATTTTTCTCCTCACATCATTCGCAATAACGAACGCAACAACCCCAGCTTGTCAGAAGATGAATTAAAAGATATTCAACGGGAAGTTTTTCGAAGACAAATCAATTTGGCAGTCGCCGCTGACTTGCCCGTGAATGTTCATTCAAGGTATGTTGCTCGACTGCAAAATCGTCACTTCACAGCAACACTTAAACGCGTTCTATAGATCAGCTGGGCATCATGCGCTCACAGTGTTGCGCGAATGCAATGCAAAACGGGTCATCATGCACGCATTCGACGGAAAGTAGGTAGAGTAGAATGATGAGTGGAAAAACAAAAAAAGCTGACCGCACCGTAATTATCAGACCGTCGTATGCGAAACAGGCTGTAACTGCTGGGTTTGTAATCTTTTGGTTCAGTAGATTCTTATTTTTCTTTTTGCTGATCTGCTTCGCAGGTATCATTTTTCTGTGCCGCCTTCCGTTGTACGATCACCACAAAAACAAGCTCTTGTTGCTGCAGTGCCTCTGAGTCATCTGTTATTGGAATCTGACAGTCCAGCTTTGGGGCCAGAAAAAGGTGTAGACAACGAACCCGCGAATATTATATTGGCTGCCGAAGAAATCGCTCGTATCAAGCAGATCTCTGTCGATGAAGTAGTAGGTTTTCCGGGTATTTTTGTACCATGATGCTACCTTATGGCTTATGACGTTAATCCACTGACAAAAAAAACCAAATGCACAGATGATACAGACGAATGCCAATGCGAGACAATTATTTGGCTGGAACAACGAAGCAAACTGATTGTTTCTTGTGCTCAGTGCAAAAGAAACACTTTTTTTTTGCATGATTTCGTGACGTTTTCTTCGTTCGTCGGAATTTTTGGTTCCGCGTTCTCACTCGTCTTTTTCTTCAACTCATTTTTTTGCAACTTTAAAAACTTATAATGACTACCTCTAAATATGAAGAATCGCTTAAAGAATTGTCTTCTACTGATGACGCACGTCGGCTCAAGGCGTTGCGCTTCATAAAGAACTCTGTCATCGGCAATAAAACAAAGAAGGATCTCTACATCAAATTGGGGGTAGTGGACAGGTTAGCCCCAACGTTACACATACTCTCTCTATGTTCGTGATATCTCACCCACTACCATTCCATCTGTCGACTGCAGATTAGTAGAGTACTTGCTACTGCCAGGCGAAATGGCCTATCCACTTAAAGTACAGGCAGCCACGATTCTCGGTAGCATTGCTTACGGTAAGTGGGTAAAAACGTCGGAACGCTCATGCACGGGCTAACGAGCGGCGGGTCTCTCCATGGGTTAGGCAAAGACGAGAATGTAACGGCAGTAGTGGCAGCCGGTGCAGTAACGCCTCTACTGGATTGTCTCAAAGTGCCGTCGACTCCTCAAAGTTTACCCACCTTGGCAGCTGTGGAAGAGAATCGCAAGCTGATAGAAGCCGCCACCCGAGCTCTCAAGGCCATCTTCTCTTGTTCACGAGTCGCCATTCCCGATGCGTTTGCTGTAAGAAATGAATGGTAGTACTTGCACATTCGTCGCGCTTAGCTTCATTTGCCCATAGGATCAACATGTCACTGACCTTGTTCGCTTGCTGGATACCACGACCACCTTTTTGAATCGCGAACCTCAAGCTAGCGTTTCGTCGGAATATCTCTCGTTTGGCATGATTGCCGAATTCATAGCCTCCATTATCGCCAAATCTTGCTATACTCATGAACAACAAATGCAATTCGCAGCCGCAGGGGCTATCCAACCTCTCGTCAACCTTTTGCATTCAGGCTGTATTAAGGTGAGGCAACGAGATCATTATTGATGTGGAACGGCAGCATAGACGGTGCGACAACGCGAAAAAGAGGAGCGATGTGCTGATCGGTCATGAAATGTCTGTAGGCACAAGAAGCAGCACTGGATGCCATGGCCACTCTGTGCAGAGATAACAGCGAACTGGCTTATACTATTATTAGCTCTAAATGTAAGTGAAAGGGGGACCATCGGGCAACAGTACACTCTCCGCTCACATTCTCATTCATGTGTAGCGATCGATTCCAATCAGTTAACCACGGCAACCATGCTCGATTTTGTAAAAGACAAGAGCGTCAACGTAAGACTGATTGCAGCAACATGGTAAGGCGGATAAAGGGAAAAAGCGGACAAGATACGGTGGAGTTGCTTACTGAACGAGCGTACTGAATGATTTAGCTTGACCAACCTTTATCGAACGGGAGTGTTTTGGGAACCTTTCAATGAAATTACACTTGTGGTATTACCGGCGCTTGTGAAATTGTTGGAAGATACCACAGGCGATCTCCAAGAAAGGGCTCCTCTGGTGCTGGCAGATTTAATCAAGGACAGTGAAGATATGCAGAAAGCAGCGTATGACGCAGACGCCATTCCACGATTGGTCGAATTGCTTGCCAGCGTATCATGCAAAGACGCGGATGGGGATGCTGATTTGAAACTTGGTGTGCCTGGAATGGGAAGTATGGCTAGGCGTAAAGAAAAGATCAAAGAGGTATATTTTTGTCCACCGATCCAAAACGGGCAAAGCAGGCAAAACATGCTTACATCTGTCTTGAAAATAGAATTCGCTCATTGCACTGGCTGCGGCAACGCTCCTGAAAGAAGAGTGTCGGTCACAGGTAAAATAAAACAGAATGGCGAGGTATGAGATTCACAGCATCACAGATCCTAATGAAACCCACGGGGCATACATAGGCAATTGAATCCAAAGTGCTGCCACACATGGTTTCGGCATTGCAAGCAAAACAGCCCAACGTCCGCTTAGCCGCTTGTCAATGTGCGAAATCGCTTTCACGGAGTGTGAGCAACCTGCGCACCAGTCTTGTCGACGCAGGTGCGGCTTCTCCTCTTATCAAAGTAAGCGACCGTATTATGTTTTTTTTTGGGGGGGGAGGGGGGACAGTCAAAGCCGTTTTATTGACGATTTTTTTTGGCGATCTAGCTATTGCAAGATGAATCGCTTGTAGTACAAGCTGCTGCTTGTGGCGCTCTATGTAACTTGGCACTCGATTTTTCGCCCATGAAAAAGGTAAGTATAGTGTGCGGGACACCAATGTAGGCTGTAATAACTAAGTTCTATTGGGATGATCAGAGTGTCATTGATGCGGGAGCGGTGGAACGATTTGTCGAATATTCTCGATCGACGGACCCTGAACTCCAATTGAATGGTGTCTGGGCATTGAATAGTTTACTCTACAAGGCCGATTTGCAGGCAAAGCAGGCTGTCATGAGAGTATTAACGTACGATGCTCTGGTTCAGTTATTGCATGATCCCAATCCGGCGATCCAGGAACAATGTCTTGAAATTGTACGGAACTTGGCATGCGGGCAACAAGAGGTAACGTCGAAACAAAAAAAAAAGAAATCAGACCTACAGTGCAGGGAAACTCTAACAGTAAAGGCAAACAGGATATCAAAGAAGTGATCGACGGCATTGGCAAAGAAACTCTTTTAGATGTGATTGAAAACAAACTTCAAGTGACGTCCAACATGGGCATAGAGGATGATGAAAGCGTAACTGAGGCAGCAGTAACGTATCATGACTGATTGAGGTTAAAATCCAGCCAACTGACTTTTTTTTTGGAATCATTTAGACATTGGAGCCGGCTCTCTATATTGTAGTGAACATGTCAAGTAATGGCGAAGAACCGAGAACGGCACTAATGAGTCGGCCAAATATAGTTAACAGCGTAATTCATCATCTGGTAAATTTTTGACAAATGAAAAAGCAGTATCCAAGGTGGAAAATGAATCTAACATTTCTCTTTCTAGTCGCATGAAAGCGCTTCTATTCGAGTCGCTGCTGCATGGTGCATTATCAATTGGTCATGGATGAATTCCGAAGAAGATAAAGATGGTAGGGGTCCGAATTTGTTGGTCATTCATTGCTTCTGACTCTTTTGTTTCTTTAGGTATGGTGGATCGTGTTCACAGGTTGAAAGAGCTGGGGATCATGGAGAAGTTGAAAGCAATGGAAAAAGATATAAGTCGTGATGTTCGCGACCGTGTCCGTACAGCCTTGGATCAAATCGAGGCTGTTTCTATTTAAAAGAAAATGTTATGAATAATATACAAATTACAATAATATTTGTGTATCTTAATAACGCCCATGTGTCATCCTGTCCTGACCGAGATGAACGTGCGTGAAAAGGAGGATGAATCTGACTTTTTCGTCAGTGGCCAGACTGGAGAGTCGCCGAAATCGAGGTGACTGCCAGAACAAATACCGTTTCTACAGTTACCACCTTGGAGCACGAATTAGCAAATCATATCAAAACGATGGTTGCTGGTAACATTGTGCTCAAAAGGTGAAGGCCCCTTTATCCGCTAGAGAAAATGTATCTCTCAAACTAAGGTGAATCTTCCGCCTATTGCATGACAGAGTATCCATCTTTCGGCTTCGGAATACTGTTTCACAGCCAGCTGCGAGTTTTTAAGGGCCTCCTTTTCAAATCTAAAGAGCAAACAACCCATACCGCAGCCGCGTTTGCCACCGTGTTGGTTCTGTTAAATCTCATTGCTGACCATGAGAGTGCCATCATCGCGAATGACGACGTGAAGTGTCGCATTTCGTCTCCATGCTGAGAAGCATCGCCGCCATGTTGGAAAGCTTGGCCGGCTGTTCCTTCCTCAACAAAAACTCCCCTCCTGTCTACCTACTTTTTTCACGGTTTAGCAAAACACACGTATGAAAATAAACACCTAAACAAAGTAGTTTCTGTTGATCTGATGCTGCCAACATAGTTCCTCATTACTCGTCGCATTTGCGGGTCTACGATTCTGACGATTTTAACGCCAAGAGCAGCCTCCCTCAGTGGAACGATCAAACATTAACCCACTCTGACGTTAACTGCGTGGATGTGGAATACCAGGTTAACAAGTGAGCTGCGGCAGACAGAATACATGAATAAAGAAGCCGGCTTTTGGACAAGAGGAGTTACTGGACGTCTTTATTGAATAGAGGAATCGTGTACAAATAAAGCAAAGAGGTCTATCCTGTTGTATCTCTCCTAAGCAAAGTGTTTTTCTTTTTAAATGAAGTGGCGTAGTTCGTCCATAGGACATTAGGCCCACTTTTTAGTTTTATTATTCAACCCACAAAGGGTTGAGAAAAAGAATAATAAAGGCAAAAAGCCTTTTTTATTTTTCATTTACCTTTGTTGCGATTAAAAAGCAAACCCACCGACATACCTTCCACAATGACCGCGCTGATGACTAGTCAGGCGCCCAAAGGGAAGAGCCGACGGGAACGAAAACAATCTTCTTCAGAGGATGGCCAATCCTATCATTAGAGGATGGTTTTCGGATTTTTCGCCATACCCCGAATGCTTTACCAAAAACCGGAGCGTTCATCATTACCAGTGACCACCAGCCTAGCAGCCCCTGATTCCGAACTGGCGCACAAAAGAAAAAAAGAAAGAGAAAAACGTCCTCTTTTTATATCTTTTTCAAAAATTGTTCGAGGATCTTCGATTGTGACCCTGTTTTGACTGCGAATGCACCTCATTGGCTCGATTCGCGCAACAAAACTCGCGAAATTCAGTGCCTCGCACTTCTTTCGCGTAAGCCATGCAAAGAGGGACCGCGCCATGTCATTCGTGCTGCCATCAGCACCAATTGTACGCTACAGTCATACTATAACGTGAACTATAGCCTATGGTTGAACGCTGGTGCGACATGCTTCATACTTTACGCAGTCTATTTTATCTTGTTGTATGCCGGGAAGTTTCCCTTACCTTTGCCCTGCCCCTTTGTGTCAGTTTTGTTTTTGAACCGTAAAATATTGCTATGACAATAACGTTCACGTATTACTCCACGAAACCAAGAGTGTCAGTCTCAGTGTGCCATGTTGTAATGGCGACAGAACACAGAGACCGCAATCACCAAAGGCATGTGAGCATGTCCGCAAAAAAAAATATGCTAGGCAAGATCAACGACAGTCTTATATAGTGGATATGTAAACAATTTCAAACACGCATCAGTGCAGTAACAGCACCTGTAAATTGGTGTCTCCGTTTGTGATCTGCTGAATTTTCGCATAAACTGGCTGGCCTGCAGGACTGGTGTTATCTCCACTTGAAAATTGAGTCCCTCTTCTCCGCTTCCCTGCACGGTAACAGGTTGGGCCGTTTGTGATCGATAAAAAAATGCTGCCATTTGTGTGTTTAATTTTAAATAGATTGAAGCAAAGCAATAAAGTTACCGTTCGTGTTTGGTATTACTTTTGGAAATATTTTATCACATCATCCGTTGTATGCTAAATAATTTCGATTTTAGGCATCACACTTTTTGTGCTTCTTGGGATGATCCCAAGATCGAGCGGTGATTGTATGATCTCATCCAGCAAGGAGATGGGCAATCCAACCGGCCTTTGTTTGCAAGGAGCATTCGAACAGACGGATGTCGTAGATCGCATCTTCGAACGTCGGAAGTTTGAAGGCTTGCCGCAACTGGCTATAAAAAGATTTCAGGACAGCTGAGCTTGGCAGCAATTCTTCATCTTGTGGGAGTCGTGGGCATGAGCAAGAACCACCCCAAATGCGGCGATTGCTCGACCACGGAAATCTATCACAATTCAGGCCCCAAAATAACAGCAGCGACAATGCTTGAGCTGAAACAGGAGACATTGATCTACAGGCGAACAATCGCAGACCTTGTGTGGAATTTTGCCGTCACAATAGTCATCTCATAAGGCCGGGTTCTGGATTCCATTGCTCACCTTTTTACGATGATCGATCTTCTCGCTGTGTTTCTTAAACCAGATAGACAAGCAGAGAAGGCATAAGCGAACTTCTTCAATGGTAGTATAACGTACGCCACTCAACAGGCAAGATTTCGATACAAAAGATACAAGGACACATCCACTGAACAACCCATTCTTTTCCATGATTTGTGCACAGTCCAAACCCATCAAGGCGAAGGCTTTTTTTTTTTTTTCCAAATCGAACAAAATGGCTCATAAACCCCGCTCACAAGATTTCCCTTTGATTACCATGGGCGATGCAGTTGCCAGGGAGTGTATTCGAGGCAAAATCAACTGGCCTTGTCAACGGATATCGGGCCTTGTTGCGGCGGCCTGAACATAAAGGATTGCTGGTTACTGTCAATATAAACGTATATAACATTTCGAAAGTAAGCTTTCTCTGCTGGAGAAAAGATGTACAGCCAACAAAATATGGTAAGTTTGCCCGCGACGAGTTCATAGGAAAATGGAACAATTGGGGCTTCCCGACGACGGATCGATGCAGAGTGTAAGAGCATTGTACAACCTGTGACACACGATGGCAGCGACATGTCAACTGCCAGCCGCAACATTCATTTCATTCTTTGGCGTCCAGCGACTTATATTCGCTCATCGCCCACCAAGAGTCTTATCAAATGCAGAATGTCAAAAAATTAATGCCACATTTTTCAAAAACAGTCCAATTTTTTTTATTGGTTGGGCCATTTTCCGAAAAAAAAAGTGAATGGCCTCACCTTTTGCTCCATGGTGTCGACGACAGTAGCCGATTCCGCTGGTGCTCCTGGTGGTCCGAACATGTCCTCCACCTCTTATAAACCGGAGTCGAGTCCCCCCCTGCGTTCGCCGCATCCCTTTTATTTTGGCGGTGTAGCTTCCTGTGTGGCTACATTTGTCTCGCATCCTTTTGATCTCACTAAAGTACGCCTTCAAACCATTCGCAAAGTAGACGCTTCCGGCAAAGCATGGAGCACAACCATGCCGGGATTGCAAGCCATTAAACCCACCACCATGTTCAGAACCATGATCTCCATTGCCCGCCGAGAAGGCGTACGGGCCTTATATAGTGGTCTGTCAGCGAGTCTGTTACGGCAAGGCACCTATTCTACCATTAGATTCGGATTGTATGAAAAGTTCAAGTGGATGGTCGCTGGTGATCAAAGTAAGTAGTCCATGGATTCCGCAAAAAAAAAAAAAAAAAAAAAAAAAATTCCCCACTTGACGGAAAGGAAAAACTCAATTGTATTTGTTTTGGCCTGATTGGTAGAGCCGACATTTCGACAGTTAGTATTTTGCTCGACAGCGGCAGGTATCTTGGGTGGAGCGTCCGGGAATCCGAGCGACGTCGTTAATGTGCGGATGCAAAACGATGGACAATTACCACCGCAAGAACGGCGGAATTATAAAAATGCCATTGATGGATTAGTGCGCATTTGGCGTGAGGAAGGTCCGCGAGTACTATTGCGAGGATTGGGATCCAGTACGAATCGGGCGGTGATCATGACGGTGTCGCAGATGACCAGTTATGATGTATTCAAAGAAATGTTTGTCGGTCCCTTGCGGTGGCACGATAATCTACAAACTCACTTTGCTGCCAGTCTCTGTTCGGTAGGGATCATTGTTGCTCAGCGGCATCTTGCAGACATTTTTTCGAAATTAATATCTTGGTGTAGGGTGTGATTGCAACGACAGCGTGTTCGCCTCTCGATGTGGTGAAAACCCGGATTATGAGTGCGCATAACCATGACGGCAAACATCCAATTAGAATCATGATCCACATGATAGAAACGGAAGGTGTACGATCCCTTTTTAGAGGATGGACTCCGGCTTTTGTAAGGTTGGGCCCGCATACCATTGTCACCTTTATTGTACTGGAAGAAATGAAAAAATGGCATACACGATTCGTGCAAGCATGAATCGCCTGATCCAAACTTGTAATTTGTGGGATATTTGTAAATAATCTAGATCACTCGTTGTAGAACATAAACTACTTTTTCCATCGTATATTCGCGGTTCACTGATCATTGGCATCCACACCTCCAGCACCCAGTTTGAATCGCTTGGTGACTGCACGGGGGATTTCCTCTTCATGATGCGTCACCATGATCAACGTCTGATGGGATTCCATATGCTTCTCTAACCATTCATTGATATTCTTGATCATTGTCGCATCCAATCCTTGGAACGGTTCATCCCAGATGATCAGGTCGGGTGTTTTCACCTAATGAACAAATCCAATTTCAGTCAATGCAACCAGTCAACAGCGACGCCAACATACCAGAGATCGCACCAACAACACCATGCGTTGTTCTCCGGTTGACATGGTATTGAGTTTCCGTGATAGTAAACCATTGATGCCAAATTCATTGAATAACTTTTGCACGACCCCCGTCTGTTCCGAGGTTAATGTTCGTGGTACGACCACGTCGTAGAATCCAGTTCCTGCTGCTTCCAGAGCAGTCATGGACTGGTTAAAGTACAGATGAATCTCGGGACTAACGAGACCCACCCGCTCCTTGATTTCCCAGATCGATTCGCCCGTACCACGACGACGTCCAAACAGATACAATTCATTCGCATACGCTTGCGGATGATCGCCCGTCAGAAATGATAGCAAGGTAGTCTTGCCGGAACCTAACAAAAAAGAACAATGGTAAGATCTCATCGCTTCATTAGGCGCACTCTCCTCCCGGTTTCTCGATTTTACCGTTCGGCCCGAGAAGAGCCCATTTCTCGCCTTGTCGGACATCCCAAGAAATATTATCGAGGATCTTATTGCCGCTGTAGATGACGTTCACGTTCTTTAGTTGGACCACGGGATCGCGATGGGAGGTATCTTGTTCTCGTGCTTGGGCCAGATAGGCTTTTCTTTCTGCTAGTTCCTTTTCCATGATCGTTTGCCGCCGTGCCAAATACTCGTCGACTTTGCCTTGCCATGCGATCGCCATGTTATCGAGTTCCAGCACATCTGTAGCCCACGAAGGAAATTCATCCTGAGGACGCAACACAAGTACGACAGGCACACCCGATTTGGTCGTCAATTCCCCGAGAATACTCAACAAACGCTTACGATGGTCAACATCCAAGCCCACTTTGGATTATTCAACGTTAGAAATGAAAGATAACAGTAATAATTTTTTCTCTCACACATACTCAATGGTTCGTCGAGAATAAGCATGGATGGATCTCGAAGTAAAGCACGTGCAATGCGCGCACGACGGGTTTGGCCGTTGGATAATTTGACAAAGGACAACTTGAGTAAAGGCGCAATATCCAATAATTCAGCCACTTGTTGAATCTTTTGTTGGTCACGCGACTGACTCTGCAAATAGTCTTGCAGTGTTACATCGTTATCCGGATCACTGATTCCAACCGTCAATTCGATTCGACCTATCCTCATGGAACCTATCATAGATAATTTTACCTGAAATTGAACCGTTCTTGATAGTAATGATTGCTGTAGGAAAATGCATTGGAGTCTTCCTTGAAAGAAACAAGGTGCACATGATCTGAAGGATAAGGTGACTTTGACACGTCGATCATGGGCCACTTGGCCGAAGCTAAAGGTTGTGCAAGATGTTTTCCAGCTAATGCCTGTCATTGTGTGCTCTGTTATTCAATAGCCATGTACTCGAAAATAAAGAATCTCGGTGTTTACCTCGGCCAGAGTGGATTTGCCTGCACTCACAGGACCAACAATAACCAGTCGCTCATGATCAGCAATGGTCAAGGACAAATTCCTGAATGCCGGTTCCTTGACACCAAATCGATGAATGTTGGCCTGCTTGAATTCAATCAAATTACTCCATCTGCAAGTGGCAGAAGAGAACTGTCGAGTAAGAACAGCGTAACGTCGAGCGAAAACTGAATGCATAACGGTTGAGACCCACTGGCATTCCGGCTTTAAATTTATTCATTTGACGCATCGTCGTCCTTGAATACCATTGGCTCATCACCGTTTTATTCACATTGCATACATGATTTCTGTGCCTGCTTTCATTTGCCGCGCCGTTACTCCATTTGGTTAGTTTTGATCGAACAGAAAACCAAGTAAAGATCCCTTCCACATCAACTTTTTCTCTTTCTCGCAAATTAAAAAGACATTCAGAGCATCATAAACAAAAAGGAATTACTGGCAAAACTATATCTGCACAAACAATGCAAAGCTGTTGGTTTTGCGAAATGATGGCGATTTTTAGCTGGTCTTTGTAAGAAAAATAAGGTGATTGCTTTCTTTGATGGGTTTGTGCAAGGTTATTTATACAAGCTAGTATTTTCGACAGTATGGGCGCAATGATATCTACTATGATATCGACATGGGCAATGACGGTGATAGTGATTGAAAGCTGCATTCCTTTGCCCGCTTGAAAACGTTACACAAACCTAATCCAGAGTATTCCTAAAACCAGTCACTGGCTAACCGGCCATTGAAATTTTCTTTTTCCTGCAACGCGAAACGCAAGATCCTCTTTCTCCTTTCTGACTCTTTCTCATAATTGTAAACTGATGTTGACGGTATCAGCTCGAGAAAATACATCTACTTTACCTTGTGGATACAAAGTGGATGGCACACCCGGCCAGATAGAAGCGATACGTCAAGTGATAGATCTATTCTCCTTGAATAAGGACCAGTTAACGAAAATAATTGCTCAATTTGTGGATGAAATGGGCAAAGGTTTGGATCACGACGGTGCCACAGGTATGGTATTCGGCACCATTATACGAAGGAAGATTATCTCACGCTGCTAAACGGTTTTGTTTATGATTCTTTGGACGACAGTGGCCATGATTCCCAGTTTTGTACCTGGCAAGCCAACGGGAAAGGAAACGGGGACCTACCTCGCGTTGGATTTGGGAGGTACCAACCTTCGCGTATGTAAGGTGGTCTTGTTGGGCGACGGAAAGTACGATATTCATCAGCGAAAATACGTTGTTTCAGAAACGCTCAAGAGGGGAAAGATGCATGACCTTTGTGACTTTATCGCCGAATGCGTGGGTGCATTTCTTTCCGAGCAACATACGTCCACGGATTCCGAGCGTCTGAAACTCGGATTTACTTTTTCATTCCCTATATTCCAAACAAGCATGAACCGAGGGGTGCTGAAACAATGGACAAAAGGGTTTGCCTGCTCAGGGGCAGTAGGCAAAGATGCTGCTCTCATGTTACAGGAAGCCCTTCATAAGAAACACATCAATGTAGACATTGTGGCTGTAAGTGAAAAATTTATTATCCATCAATACGTTTGTGTAAGTAAGGCAGCTGAAAACTGAAAATCCATGATAGATTGTCAATGACACGGTGGGTACGTTAATGGCTCATGCTTATCAAGAACCCGATACGATGATGGGAGTCATCATGGGCACGGGCGCCAACATCAGTAAGTATTTTGTCACTCACTAAAGCCGAAGAGACCCTAATTAGCAAGCGTAGGTTACTGCGAAAAGATAGCAAATATTACCAAATGGAAACAGCAGGATCACGGATCTGCTGAGGAAATGGCGATCAATATGGAATGTGGTGCGTTTGACTGCGAGCGCCGGGTATTGCCTGTGACCGTCTATGACCAACGTATCGATCGTCAATCGCTCAATGTTCACGAACAGCAACACGAAAAAATGATTGCGGGCATGTATCTCGGTGAAATCACGCGACAAATCATGCTTGATATGATTGATCGTCGATTGTTGTTCGGCGGTCGGTCATCCTCGGAACTGAACAGACAATGGAGCTTTGATACCGCCTACATGTCGACGATTGAAAAAGACACATCCGCCAAATTATTGGACACGGGCCACATCCTGGAAAGCATCATGAATATTCCGTCCACTGCGCTTGCCGATCGACAAATGGTGAAAATCATTACGACATGTGTGGGACGACGAGCAGCTCGCCTTCATGCTTGTGGTTTGGCTGGAGTCATGACCCAAACCAGAAAACTTGATACTGCATGTACCATTGCCGTTGACGGGTCATTATTTGAATTCTATCCCAACTTTGAGAAGAATATTATGGATGCGCTCGTAGAAATTTATGGCCCCAAAATGAAGGACAATGTCAAATTTGCCTTGTCAAGAGATGGTTCTGGACTTGGTGCAGCCGTTGTGGCCATGATGGCTCATAAACATACCCAGAAATAAAAGTATGCTCAATAAACACACTGTATCCCCATATAAGATAGCTGTGTGGAGGTGTGGCCATTCGTGAAAGCTTTGTGAGGATTATGCGTGCAACCATGAACAAATTTAGATGAATAAAAACCACTTGAATAACAATACTGGGGTTCAATTGGTTGAAAAAAAAAAGAGTCCTGTAGAAAGAGATAAAGTTGTAGGTGAGCAAAGAGGACGAAATGAGAAACGAGAAAATAAGGAGACTGAGTTTTCATATAAGCGGAGTTTACGACGAACAAGGAAAATTCGTCAAGTAATAAAAATAAATGTCGTCACATGCTGACGAATCAGATGTCGCATTTTCGAGTTCTTTTTTCACCTCCCCAAGGTTGAGATCGGTTAATTCAATAAACATGAGCATCCAGTTCCTGTACGAAGATGGAAAAGGCACTGTGGTTGACGAGGAAGGCCAGCCACAGCCAATGGAGGCAGTGATTGACGATGAGCAGCAAGAACTGAGTCCCTCCCCAGAAGCATCGTCACCATCGTATGCCCAAGCAGGAAAAGTAACCGATGCGGCACAAGCAGACAATGATAAATACAATAATACGAATGCGGATGCGGATGATACTGATGCCAAAGTCCATGCCGATGCTGGCACCAGTGTCACGACCAGTGGCAGTGGACAAGCCAATGGCGATGATGCGGACGACGACGATGATACCAATACGGATGGGAACAAAGGGTCAAGAACCAAGCGTCGCTATACACTTTACGAGAACCAGGATAAAGTCAAATTCTTCAAGTTGATCTTTGAAAAGTCGCTGAGTGCTTCTGCGGCGGCCAAACAATTGGGCGTGCACGTTCGAACCGCTCAACGGTGGGCGAATCAATACGAAAAGGACCGTGACAAGGTGTTTAAAAAACGAAGAAAGACCGGCCGTCCTCGTTTACTCAATGACGAACATCGAAAGGCGATTGTGGAATTCGTTGAAAACCATCCGTCCGTCTCTTTAGACCAAGTATTGGATCAATTAAAACAATCGTTTCCGGATCTCAAAGTGTCGAAAAGTACGGTGTATGATTTCATTCGAAATCGGTGCAATTTGTCGCTCAAAAGGGCCCGCATTCAGCCCGCGGATAAGGATAATGAAGAAAAGCTTCGAGAACGACTGGAATGGCTTCGCAAATGGGAACAAACAAGCATGGAATTCGCGACGAATTGCAACTTTCTCAATGAAACTTGACATGACCCAGGAAACATACACACTGTTGCAAATCGCCGGTAATACCCTCAACAAAGAAAGCCATGTAACGAATAATCCTAGGCATCCCTCCCATACGAAAGCTGGAGCTTTTTCTTTTGTTTTTCTCGTTTTTTTCTAACGTTTGACAGCCAATAAAAAAAGAGGAAAGGAAAATTAACGTTGAAGCGCGAGTCAAAGAGAGAACAAAAGTTTCATGGACTGCATCAATGGAACAGTATTCGTCTTATAAAGCCATCCCATCGGAATTATGATGGCAATACAAATAGCAAGACATAGAAGATAGGCTTTCTCAATTCGCCGTTGAAAAGAGCAGCAAATTAATCAGTACGCGAACCAACAAAACGGCCCTTTTTCACTGCTACTGCCAGCAGCCACTATAATCACGAGAGAAAAGGTGCCTGAACATTTCCTGATTTTACGTACGCTTTTCCCTTTTGATTGGTGCACGATAAGCTTCCGCTCAATGCTAAGTATTTGCAGAATTTTTTTTCGGGCAAACGTTTGATTGGGTCCCTTCGTTGAAGCACTTGTTTTATTACTGTATCTGCTATTGTAATGAGTCGTCTAATGCAGGCCACGCAACTCGTCTGGCACGATCTGAAAGTATCACCCAAAGAATTACGACTCGATACCCTACGTTGTGGACAAAGTTTTCGGTGGCGACGAATCGAGGATCAATGGTCAGTAATACCGAGGAACTCGTTCTTTCATGATTCAAGATCTGATTCCGATCTGTGAATGTAGGGCCTGCGTTCTCAAGGGTCGGTTATACGTCCTAAAAGAAACTCGTAAGATCTATCGAAATTGCATATATGGTAGCATTCCGATCGCTAATGATCATTTTTTGGAATGTAGCTTCTACGATCCTGTACGGGACTGCAGACGCAGTCAACAATGCCGAAATAAAAGTCATGAAGGATACTTTGACTGATTACTTTCAACTCAATACGGTCTCTCTTCAATCGTGCTACGAACGTTGGGCAAAGGTGGATCCTCACTTTAAAGACAAAGCACACCGAGTTGAAGGCATTCGCATTTTACGACAATGTCCTTGGGAGTGTCTCGTTGCTTTCATCTGCTCGAGCAATAATAATATTGCTAGAATCTCTCAAATGGTAAGTGGGGATCAAAAGGAAAAAAGAAAATATTGTTGAGGTCATTTGAATTCAACGAATCAAAGGTCCATAAATTGTGTGTGCATTACGGACCCAAAGTGGTGACTTTTGAAGGCATCGATTTCCACGACTTTCCAACCCCAGGTGCGCTGGCAACCGAGGATGTGGAACGACGACTCCGAGAATTAGGGTTTGGTTATCGTGCGAAATATATTGCACAGACGGCCCAAAAATTGCGTAACGAACATCCAGGGGAAGAAGAAGCCTGGCTGGCCAGTCTTCGTACTGTACCGTATGACACCGCCAAACAATCACTCATCGCAATGCCTGGCGTAGGCCCCAAGGTGGCCGATTGTGTGGTATGATAAAAAAAAAAGAACAGCTGATTTATTGACCAACGAAAAAAAAAAAAAAATAACATGAAACGTGCTGTATAGTGTTTGATGTCAATGGATCACGCCGAGGCGATTCCTGTGGATACCCATGTATGGCAAATTGCATCCAAGCACTATGGTTTCAATCGAAAAGGGAAAACCTTGACGACCAAATTGTATGATGAAGTGGGCGACCATTTTCGATTACTTTTCGGGACTTACAGTGGGTGGGCTCATTCGGTATGACATTACACAAGATCAAATAACATCTCTTGACAATTGGGTTTCATTTTATCTCACTTTCTTTTCTCTTCTCGGGACATTTTTTTTTCTACGAATTCTCTTGTAGGTTCTTTTCACGGCTGACCTTAAATCATTTGAAGATCGATTCATCCAATCCAAGGTAGAAATGAGCACGAAAAAGATAACGACGATATCCACCAATAACGGCAAGCGAACGAGCCATGAAGAAGTGGTAACGATTAAAAAAGAAGAACAGGTGGTCTCGGGAACGACATTACGTCGTACAAAGCGCACTCGTCTCTCTGCAAGATCGAACGCATAACAACTCTATTCACTTTCCGACATTCCACATCGACACCGCACCATCCATAAAAAGAAAATTTGGAAGAACCGTCACACCCATCAGGGCCACCTTCCGAAACTTCGAAAAAGGGTCAATGCGAAACATGGTGAAAATCACGCAATAGAAAAGAGCATGATATTTTTTTTATGCAACTCTTTTTATTTGTTATAGAGAGTGTGGTATTAAAAGTGCAATTAGGCTGTAATAAATAGTATAAGTGGTAATGTTGAAATATGAGGAATTACGTGGATAAAATTAGTAACACGGTGGCAGTGACCGAAAAGGGGTTGGATGGGAATGGTGTTGTGTAACACAAGTATTGGGTTGTAAAGTTGTTGAAAGTCAAAATTGCAAGGGAACTGGAGCGCACCAAAAAGTCAGAAAAAAAAAACCAGGCGAGGGAAAACAAGGTTGCATAACGGGTCTGTATCCGGCAAACTTAAATCCAATCATGATCAGACGGCAGCGGACGGACGTCTTGAGAATCTTCCAATATATCGTTTCCAGATTTTTCTTACTAGAGGAAAAAAGAAATCAGGTATTGAGTTTCAATGAATTATTCACGTTTGACAAGATCGAATCAGAAAAAAATCAGATTGCCTGGCTAGCTTACCATCGTGAGATTCTTTATCGGTATAATCGCAATCGCCTTCGAGATAGCACACGGACGGTGGATCGCAAGAAAAGGACACATTTTGGCCACATTTCGTTCGTTTGGGCATGGATTTTCTGCTAGTAGCGCAAGACCTGGAAGGTGTCGGTATCGGTTCTTTATCGTACCATGAATCCAACGTAGGAAGCGAATCGAATATGCACGAGGAACGTTTTGGAGTCATTTTTTTCTTTTCGGATTCAGAAAATAAAGGAGTCAAGGGATAACCAGCAAGTGGTTTTTGATAAAAGTGTGAGTTAGTGGTACGGAAAGGAAGAAGACTTTGAAGTGATGGGATTAAGAAAAAAAAGGTGAATGAAATATAAGGCGAGGCATATTTATATCAAGTTTTTTTTTTTTTTTTATTTGATTCAAATCAAGCCAAGCAGCATTGACGAAATTGCATCTCGGTGATTCGTCGGAAAAAGTGATTTGGGGATTTCAGTGGGTGGAAAATTCTTTCCAAAAAGAGAAAATCATGATGGAATCCCAATTTTTCACTTGTTCATGGAAAAAATTGGAGACCAGCCTTGAATATTTCCCGTTTCCTTATCACATTTCCTATCAATGTTATTCTCATTGGTTTATTATCACAATGAAGAAAAGGCTTGGCGTGTTTAAATCTACTTATTTTTTTCTATAGTTTTCTTTTTCCAAACTGACATGCATGCAAAACTATGAAAAACGTAACGTCGTACATGATATAGTGTGGTGGTGACTGGTTTTTTTCGTTTTTCTTTCTTTTGATTTCTAGCCAACGCGAGTTCCCCCTTCCCCTTTTTTTTTCACGCTTCTTTATATCTCTCCTGCAGAGATTTGTTGTTTTCTCTCTTTCTTTATTCTGTTTAACAGGAAAATACAATTGTTTTGATTGTGGGCAAGATGAATTGGTAAAAAGAAAAACTTTTTCACAACCAAAAAGCGAAACAGGAGACTCACAGCGGCGGATCAAATAATTTAAAGCCGTTGAACAAATGAACAGCGCGCCTGCAGCTGTTGGTTCCTAAAAATTAAATCTCCACTATGAAAAGAAAAAAAAAACGAATGGTCATGCTTTAACGATCCAAAGGATTCCTGTGGTACGCAAGTCATTACTAGCGTATGTAGCCCTTGACCAATCTGCCCAACCAAGTCTACTTTAAATTGGTAAATACAAAGGGTTTCAGTTTGACTGCCATGGTTGCGAATTAAGTCATTTTAAATACAAGGCACGGCACAATAGCGGGAAATAGACAACGCAAAATAAGCCAAAAAGGTTGAATAAACTGTAGACTGCTTGGTCATTAGAAAATCAGATGTCAGGGTTCAGGGAGATCTCGTGCGCAAAAAGAAAAGGAGGCATGCATGCCAAGAAAGCATAAAAGAAAGAATCGACGTTGGTGAAAGCCGCCCCAAAGTTACAGATTCAATCGATTACTTTCGACATTTAGGAAATTGAGGTCAAGCTACGTCTGATCGTCGTTTGATACTCGAGCATTCGGCGACTGTTTTATCAACAATGAAAGCGCTAAAAACAAGGGAACCACAAGTTCCAAGCCGTTTAGTTCACGGCAATCATACCAATATTCCAGTCTACGGGGATACTTTTTGTTTTTGATTTGCCTCTTGTTGCGATCACGTACCCCCCAACCTTTCTCTATATCTCTGTGTTTCTGAATGAAATGGAAATAAATACTGGATATTTTTATTATAGTCGTCCCGGTTCATTGCTGCTGATATTGGCGAACCATGTGTGTGTGTGTGTGTGTGTGTGTGCGAGTGTAAATGCGTATAATACGTCTTGGTGTATGGAAACCGGATCGTTATGCTAACTTGAGTCGGAAACCGGCTGTATCGGTTGCTTGAGCGCCACCAAAAAGGGTGCCTGCCAATCCAGGATCTTCGTCATCGTCGGGTTCCATGGCGGCGTGAGCGGCTTGAGGCGCCGAAGGACTAAATGCCTTCTTTTTCCTATACATACAATGTTAGTCATCAGAAACAAGCTACTCTGCAGTGTTGCTTTTTCTGTGTCTTACTTTTCACCCTTGGAAGGCCAGGTAGGAAACAAGGAGGGATCTTTGGGCAATGGTCGTTCACTAATTTTTGTCATTCAGACGTTGTGGTTAGCATAGTCCTCTATCGATAGCAAACGCTGTCTCATTTCAATGGATACCTGAAATAGGGATGCTTGAGAGCTTGCTCTGCTGTTATTCGTTTGTCGGGATCGTAGGCCAGAAGTTGTGAAAGCAGGTCCAGACCTGCACTTGTGAGATACGGAAACCGGCTACGGAGGGTGCTGTGACGATACTGGTTAAATGAGATATTCTTGGCATGTGGCAGTTCCATTAGTCCCGGCCAAATGTCTTCGTTGGGTGTGCCTAATAACTTGAATATCTGAAGAAAAATTAGTGGTTACAGTGAGTTCTCTGTGCTACCCCTTTGCATTAGTCGACGTACCTTGTCAATTTGATCAATTTCACTTCGACCTTCCAGCAGAGGTTCGTTGTTGATGAGTTCACCAAAGATACAGCCAATGGACCACATGTCAATGGCGGTTGTATATTCCTTTGCGCCCAACAACAACTCGGGAGCTCTTTTATCATGACGCCATAATTTAGTTTCCTTGTTATTGCGGTGACGATTCCTGTGAACGTACCTGTACCAAAGGGTGACGACGAGCTGTGTCATATGGCCCATGGGACTTCCGTATTTCCTTGCAAGACCAAAATCAGCGACTTTGATTTCGCCTCGATTGTTCAGTAACAAATTGCTGGTTTTCAAATCACGGTGGATGATCCAGTTGTCGTGCATCAAGGCCACAGCCGACAGTAATTGAATCATTAGTGTTTTGACTTCGGACTGCAGAAACGGAGCGCGCATATCGGTCATGAGGGTTTTCAGATCGTGATCAATGAAATCCATGACAATAAAGACTCTGTCGATAACGCAGGGCAAAACATTCCATGAGCCCATCTGGTCTTTCTCTCTTTTTGTTGCGCACTTACTGATCGAGCCGGTTGCCCATGACAATTTCACGGACATTGACAATGTTGGGATGCTTGGCAATCATCAATGTATGGATTTCACGTAAACTGGTGACAGGAAAACCGTTTTTTTCCTTTTCCAACTTTAGCTTTTTCAAAGCGACAATATCGCCAGTTTCGCGATCTCGAGCGCGAAAAACGATGCCGTACGATCCTTCTTCAATATGATTAAGTCGCTCGTAACAATCGACGCTACGACAGCTGGCGAGAATGGGTTGGACGGCTGAAGTAGGTGGTCGTCGTAATACGTGACGGACAGGTGATGCCGGTCGTGAGTCGGGGGTGGCCGATGCCGGCTTGACGACAGCTGGTTTGACCGGCTTCTTTTGCTTCTTCTTTTCATGGGACTGATGCTTTTCGTCAACGTCACTTTCATCGGATTCCCATTTGGACTTTTTCCCAACAGAAGACATGACGGATTGAATTTCTATTTTCTTTTCTCTTTTTTTTATTCTATGGGAAGTTGGACGGGACCACAAGGTTGGAAAAAAAAAATTAACCAACAATTTCACCCAACCGCTGAGTTTGAAATATACAGGATAACCGCTTTTTGGGAATGCGCACGACTGCATGGAAGGGAAAGCACAAAAGCTTGTGGGAAGTGGTAAAGGATAATAGAGAAAAATCCATAAAAAAAAGAAGCCATCTATCAACAAACAAGAAAAGGTTCATCGTTCGCTTTCGTATTCTTTGTGACCAATATGACTGGCGTCATAAGGATGTTTTTGGTGGTAGGCAATGTAAACGGGATTATTGGGATCAAATTCGCAGTTCATATCTTGGTACAGTCGAAGTTGATTCATGAAGCCCGGATTTGGGTTGACAAAGGGTCGCATTTGTTTGATCACCGCCAAGGCTGCTTTGGGATGCAACTGTCGCTTTTTCATTAAATACGCCGTGACCACGGTAGGACTTCGTGAAACACCTGCAAGGCAGTGAACGAGGATATTCTGACCTTGAGCGATCCAAGTGTCAATCAACTCAAATGTCTTTGGAAAATGCTGAATAATGTTGGATTCGGGATTATCCGCAATGGGAATAATCTATGAGTCGACGCGCCATGCTATTAGTACTCTCTGATTCTCTTTGTCCGTGTCTCTCTGCCCCGTCGTCGCGTCTCCTAGCGAGTGGCATGCGCTCATGTTGCTTACCTCGTGGACAAATTCGGTCGGTGCATACAGTGGTTTAAAGTGACCGAGACTGAGAATGCGAGTGATACGGTTTTTGTTCAAAAAGCTTCTGGATTCATATGCTTTGTAGCCGCCAATCCACACTTGAGGAAGCACTTGTTGACCAACACTAGTGATTAGAATGCCGCCCGGTTTTCCATCCGCACCACATTCCAAGGTATGGTACAGATGAGAGTGGTCATTCAACGAAGCTTCCTCTTCATTTTCCATGACCGACATTGGACAACGGCGTACTGTAAGAAAAATGGAAAAATCGGTAGGGCAGCAAACCAGTGGCAAAAGATCCTGCTTGCTTAGTTTGGGGGAATTTCCCGACTGCCAAAAGAACTCCCACCATAAAAAAAAAAAAGAATGGCTTATTCCTTTTTTTTTTGAAAAAATTGAAAACATATTTACCAACACTACTCTTGCATCGATAGCTTCACGGTGAAGGCAACACCGTTTGTTGCTTTAATATATTTGAGCCTCTCAGTACTGAGTTGTGTTTTGCGGCAGAAGGAGACCCCATGGACTGACTGTGTGACCACCTATCCACTTTACAGGTAGTATAGCTGTATTTTTCACTGTGAACTAGGCACATTATTTAATATCGAAGATTGACGGATCGAGCAGCAAACCAAACCCTCAGCGCAATTTCGAGGTTTGGAAGTCAAGCGCAAAAGAAGTCCATGTGGGCTAAGAGCGTCGGTGTTTTTTTGGCAAGGAAACACAGGTGTCACCCTACTTCATGCACGTCCATTTTTACAGTCTAAAAACAACAACAATGAAAAAACCCATTTTCGAGTCAAGGAAAAACAAGCAAAATAGACAACATGATAAACAATGAATAAAAATCCGAGAAAATGAATGCTAATATGAATAAATGAATTTTTATGGACAAAACTTGTAAAAAGGAGAAGCACAACGTGGAGAAAATCCAAAAAAAACAATCCAACTTGGGGATGGAGAGAAAATAGGTTGGATGCGGGAGGTGGAAAAGAGAAAAAAAGAGGGAAAAAAGCATTGTTTGTCTAGTAAGGATGTTCATATTGTTGATATTGCTGACCGTATTGTGGCTGATGAGGCATGGTCTGTCCACTGTACGGTGCACTGTAGTTCTGACCAAGTTCATCTTCGCCCAACAGTTCCTTGACTTCCCACACGTTCTGTTTCGAACCGACCGAGAATTCAAGATCTTCCTTGGTAATCGAATCCCAGTACTTGTACACCATCATCACCGCCAATAACGTACAGATGGTGCCAAAGAACATGCCGTCTACGTAGTGTTTAACTTGATCGCAAATCACCACCGAGAAAACGTACATCAACACCTGTCCAATAATGAAAAAGGCGGTACCGAAAAGAATATCACCCAAAGGCCAACGGTCGTCGAGCGTATTCACCACGAGGATGATTTGCGAAATAACGTAAATAATGAAAGCAATGCCGTTGATGATGAAATAAAACACCCATAATGCTCCCGGGCTGCTGTACGAGAAAGGCCCGATCTGTTGAAATGTGGCAATCGCAATAAAGCCCACGAGAATAAATAATACAAAAGAACTGATACGAATAGACTGTCAAGAAAAAAAAAAAAGATAACATATCAGACGTTTTGTTTTTCTTTTTGTTGTATGCATCTCGGCGGAGAAACTCATTGCAACAACTTACCCAAAGAGACAACGGGGTACCGTCTTCCGCAAACTGGAAACCAACAAAGCCGTTCAGGAGAAGACACCAAAACGTGGCACTAATCAAACCAATGTGCACCGCCGTAAACCACTGTAAAAGATGAAAAAAAAAGGTGCGGTCAGCCATGGGGTTCGTTTAGTCGCAACTAGGTAAATGATCCACTTACTGGATATACAGGAGATGAGGTGGGAATGATACCGGTAATCAACAGCATTTCGAGAAAGACAGTGACCATGTATAAATAAAAAAACATGACAATTTCCTTTCGACCTGTATGATGCAGTTAGTTTTAATATGATGCTATTGATCCCTATTTTTTTTTTTGGCATTGCTTTTTTTTTTCCTGGGCAAAAGGAGAGTTCAACGTACCAACTGCTGTGTATTTAGATCGAATATGGTAAATCATGATAGCCGTCATAATGATAGCAACGATATCAATGATCAATGTGGCTATACGAAATAGGTATCAGTATGACGTGAAAACCATGATGACTCGTTGCATGAACGCCATGCACTGCCAATGGGACCGTCCAAGAGACAATCGACAATAAACTATATACGAAAATTTACCAGGTTGGAAGATGAGATTGCCGGCCAAATCGACGTTGCGGGAGTAACAGACGGGCTCAATGCCGTCATATTTTCCAATAAGAGGACATAAGCTCAGTGCCACCGTCTGACAAATGCCGTCAAAACTAAACGCATCAAACTTGTACGTAATGGCAACCATATATATAAAAAAAAAGGAAAAGGAAAGAGGGAAACCAACGAGAAAAGGGGTTCTGGCCCTCTGTATTTTTTTTTCTTTATTTTACACATTTTGAATAGCGCCATTAGTCCCGCCAATCATTGATCGTTGTTACAAAAATAGAACCGCCCCCGAAAACACTCCCCCAAAATCGAGGCTTGTCCATCATCTCGTAACACGATTCATCGCGGTTAATCGAATTCATTATTCTTGTCAATTTACGCATATTCAATAGCAGCCACCGTTGCCTCTTTCCGCAAAGTGTACGTGGTACTTCATCAAACATGCTTCACAAAAAAAAATTCATTTTTTAATAAACTGTCATTGTTCTATCGCGCTTTTCTCTTCTCTTCTTCTCTTACGCTTTCCCTTTTCTTTTACATTTCTCTAAAACGATCTTCATGGCACGATCGTTGTTTCTGATAACCCTGGTGGTTGTCTTGTTCGTTGCCCTGACCCAAGCTCAAGGGGTCAGTAAAACCGGCAAAAAAGATGGCAATGCTTTGTACAAGGCGGCCAGAACCTTGAAGCCCGGAAATTACGTCTTCACCTCCAGCTCTGGTCAGCATTTAGCGTTTATCAGCAAAAACAATATCGTGGAGCCGCAAAAATCGGGCCAAATTAAATGGCAAATCAAGAAGCACAAGAAAACAAAATATTTCTCGGCCCACGGTCGAAACAATGCCAATCTCGAAAAATGTATCTCGACACGCTGGGTAAGTTGGCCCTCTTTTTCCTTTTTTCGCCCTTGTCGTGTCGTGACGTTAGTGACTCAATTCAATCTGTTATCTACAGACCGTAGGCAACGGTAAGGGCGGTTATCCTGATGCTGCAGTGGTAAGTAACTGACATACACATTTATAACTTTATGCATTGCGGCTCTTGTTTAAGGCATTTCTTTAATTGATCTACGCGTTTTTGGGTAGTTGTGGCAATGTGAAGTAGACACGAAAAAGTCTAGCAATCACGGAGGTTACGACCCCATTTATCCACCTAAACAACTGTGGTTGGCTGTGCCTCACAAGAAATATTTCAAGATCGTATCCGCTTCGCATTTGTACGACATGATTCCTCGATGCATCTCGCATGATAAGATTTCCGGCGGCACCAAATTAAAGGAATGCAAGCTTGATTCTGACGATGACGATCTCTTGTGGAAGATTCAAAGAAAGTAAAAAAATCAGACAATAAAAAAATTATCTCTTTTTTCTTATTGTTTCACAATGTTTCAACCATCATTGTCTTGGTATTGGAATGAAAATGTATATAAAATCGAAAAAAATCGCTGTGCTATGTTCTTTTTTTTGTGTATAGAAGTTTAAAAAGTGTGCCACAGGTTTGGCGGTTTGGAAAGTGCCATCGCTTTTTTCGGGTCTAGCTTTTAAACTTTGGGTGTATCTTCAATATACCACAGATTGGCGGCTTGAAGCGCCTTTCTTTTATCATCACCTCGGCGCCAGTTTGCATGAACCATCATTGGCTCGAGACCGTACTTTGTAGGTACGTGTTGTTCAAAGAACAATCGTCCGTGAGGGAAGAGAGCCAAATCCAGCAACGCAATTGCACTAGTTCGGAATCCCAAATCAAGATCATCCAGTAACCGATTCATCGCTTGTTGCTGAGTGACGTTGGGTTCATTGTCCGAAATAGTGATGGAATCGGCCAACAGCCGTTTGTTGGTATCGGTCGGTCGCATGATGTAAAATCCACTGTTGATCAACTTTTCTTCCACTTCTTGCGTAAACAAAGCCTCGGTGATATATCGTCGCTGACTCTTCTTACCCACACTGCGAGCATCCAATTTGGTAATGAGGTAGTCATAGATAGCCGGCGAAGTCAGAACAATATCCACATCCGAAAACCAGACCGTCACATCCCAGTACAAAAGACGTTCCACCACTAACGATTTTGAATGCGTGATCGGTGTATAAGTGCCTTCGAGCCATCCCTGGAACTCTTCCGAGACTTCTTTATGGAACCAATCGGGAGGGATAGCAACGACGTGATCTTTGTAACCATGTTTCGTCATAATATCCACCAGCCCGTCATCAATAGCAAACACCAAAAATTTATCATCGAGTTTGGTCCGTTTTAACGATTCGATCCAGTTGAGTGTATAATCCGCCATACCCGAGTTGACCACTGCCGTTAACAGAACGCGATCCCGTTTGCTGACTTTCACATTACGATTGATGGCGTCCAACATTTCCTTGGATGGCGGATCAAAATTTTTGGGAATCCATTCATCTGCCTTGGTAGGCTCGGTATTGATATCGACTTTTTCTGCCTCTTCCACTGCTTCATCACTAGCCGGTGCTGGTTCATTGCTGGCTGGCGCGACTTCAGGTACCCGAACGTTTTCGTTTTCGGTGAGCGAGTGACCCGATAATAAGTCGTCATACTTGCTCGTCGATGGATACACCGTGCTTAAAAGGGAGGCGATCGTCAAAAAGAAGACCACGCAAAGAACAACTATCAAAAGCCGCCTTTTCGGCAGTTTGTCGACGAGCGCCATGATAAAAAGAAAACAATAAGCAAAAGAAAAGAAGAAAAAAGAAAAGTAAACAGATCGTCGCGCCAAACTAGCTTCTATCTATTCCAACCAAAAAAAAAGTAGCTCCCCCCATAATTTTTTTTTTCATTCATTATGGCATTTTTGCATTTGGAAGTCCCTCACTAATCCATGTGTCACCACTGCCTATTTTGTCGTCATGGTTTGAATCTGAGTTCCTTTTTTTCTTTTCGGCTCTCTTTTCTTTTTTTATTTGGGCAAAGCGGAATGTCAAATTGGAACTATCACCGCTTCTTTTTCCTCCTTCCATCGTTTCCTGCTCAAACATGACATCCTTTACGGTTATTTCACCCGCGACTCAGCAACCTCTTTTTGATATTCCATGTCTATCGCATTCAGAAATCGATAAAGTCGTTGATAAAGCGACCGATGCCTTTCGTAGCTGGCAAAAAGTGCCCGTCACAGACCGTGTGCAAATGTTGCAACAGTTCTGTCAACTGTTTAAACAAAAGCAAGAACAAGTCGCTGAATCCTTAGCTTCGCAAATGGGACGACCCAAACGTTATGGCGTAGGTGAAATCAACGGGGTCCTTGAACGAGCTGGTTACGTGCTTTCCGTCGCCGAAGAATGCTTAAAGGACGAAGTGATTGAAGATCAACCACATGTCAAACGTTATTTACGAAAGGAACCCCTCGGTCCCATCTTTATCATTGCCGCTTGGAACTATCCTTATCTAACAGCAGGTACGCCGTAACATCTCTTTGCCTCTTTTATTTTTGCGTGTCTTATACATACCTTGTTGTTGCATGTCTACCAGTCAATAACGTGATTCCTGCACTTTTGGCTGGAAACCCCGTTCTGCTGAAACAATCTCCGCAAACGCCTAAATGTGCCGACATCTTTGTGCAAACATTGCATGAAGCGGGCGTTCCGCGTGAAGTGGTGCAGGTCGTTCACGTCGATGATGACGGAGCAGCTTACTTGGCTCAACACCCTAAAGTCAAGTATGTCAGTTTTACCGGAAGCGTGGCCGTGGGAAAGAAGATTCGACAAGCCATCGGTGATTCCCATCGCTTGATAGGTAAAACTATCTAAAAAAAAAGTCTTCATGTGATGCTGAGAAAATTTTTATTTTTAATATGTTTCTATTTGACTAGGTTTGGGTATGGAACTCGGCGGCAAAGATCCGGCCTACGTGCTTCCGGACGCCGATATTGATTACGCCGCCGAAAATATTGTCGACGGTGCCTTTTTCAATTCCGGTCAATGTTGTTGTTCCATTGAACGATGTTACGTGCACGAAAGTGTCTACGATGCCTTTGTAAAGAAAGCAGTGGCTGTCACGGAGGTACGGTTTGGTTTCTAATCTGACGGGTGATAGTCTACTCTAACGATATTACGTTTGACAGAACTATGTGCTCGGTGACCCCAACGACGAAAAAACGACCCTCGGACCCATGGCTAACCTGCGTTTCGCCAACAATGTCCGTGCCCATGTCAAGGATGCTGGTAAATGTTAAAAGTTATAGACATATCAAAAATGGCCATGGGCTCAAACATCATCTTTGCACTAGTCGAAAAGGGAGCCAAGTGTCTGATTGACACCCAGAAATACTTTCCCAAAGACAAGGTATACAACTAACCATCTTCTTACTTGCAAGCCGAGAACTTACCGGGAAATCATTGTTTTACCTCGAATATCTAGGAAAACACGACCTATGTCGCCCCTCAAATACTTGTCAATGTGACTCACGACATGACGGTGATGCAGGAAGAGGTAAAAAAAATTGAGTAGCGGATGGCCGGAATACAATGGATATTCATTCATTGTCTACAGACGTTTGGACCTGTGCTTGGTATTATGAAAGTATCGTCGGATGAAGAAGCTATCCGGTTAATGAACGATTCCTCGTATGGCCTGACGGCCAGTATTTGGACGTCCAGCCCTGAAAAGGCAGTGGCGATTGGCGATCAGATTGACTGCGGTACATGGTTTATGAACCGATGTGATTATGTGGATCCGGCTTTGGCTTGGGTCGGCGCCAAAGACAGCGGTTTGGGATTCTCCTTGAGTAAGCAATGCTTTAGCCAATTCACAAGGTAAGTTCGTTCAGTAACCCTCACTGAAACGCCATTGGTAACACAGTACGTTTTCACTCTTTTTAGACCTAAATCTTATCATCTGAAGCTGGTGCAAAAATAAAAAGAACACTTTCCACTGTTTTATAACACAACTTGGTTAGTGTTTTCTGTTCCTGCAAAAAAAAACCAAAAAGGTCAATCTATTGCATTCATACGCGAGAGCAGCGTCACAGCAGGGTATTTGATTATACAATGCGTTGGTCAATAACAACACATCTTATACAGTCGTAAAGATGACCGTACCTGCTTTTGCCTGTGCCAATCTTATGTTCTTGTAGTGTTGCAGACGTCTTGTTTTCAGTTCACCTTTGCCGGTCTTGTTAATCGCTTCCTGGTTCTCATAAATCGTCAGGCAACCGTGCCTGTGCACATGCGCTTCAAAAGTGTAGATGGACTTGTTTTTTATAAATGCATATACAGAGATAGTGCATGATGCTTGTTTTGAAAGTTTATCATGACGCTGCGGTTGGTATGAAGGATGGTATGGCTGTGTTATGCGACCGCAGCAAAAAAAAAAAAGGAGATCTCTGAGGGAATCCCAAAAAAAGCGACGCAGCAACGCCCATAAAAAGCCCGTCACGTAAAAGCGAAATTTCCAATCCCGCCATTGCCGTAGTTGGTCGACTCACTTTTTTCCTTACATTTTTTTTTCTTTTGCAACAGGAGACAACCAATACGTTTTTGAGTGTACACTATGGGAATTCCGAAATTCTTTCGCTGGATGAGGTAAATGGAACAGTCAGCTCCCGTTTATTAAAGCACAGCAACACTTATTTTTCGTATATTCGCACGGTCCTTTATAGCGAGCGCTATCCAATGTGCTCGCAGCTTATTACGGAAAACAGCATACCTGAATTCGGTAAGACGGTCTTGGTCTTTTCTACAGAGGACAACGCCTTGGCTAAATGACCATTAGACAATCTATACTTGGACATGAATGGTATCATTCATAACTGCTCGCACAACAACAGCGACGATGCCCATTTTCGTATTACGGAAGAGCAGATTTGGTTGGCCATTTTCAACTATGTGGATCACTTGTTCACGAAAATCAAGCCAAAGAAACTTTTCTTTCTTGCCATTGATGGTGTGGCACCACGAGCCAAGATGAACCAACAGCGGTCGAGACGTTTCCGTACCGCGAAAGATGCAGAAGACGCTCGACAGAGAGCGATACAAAAGGGCGAAGAATTACCAGACGAGGATCCCTTTGACAGTAATTGTATTACGCCAGGTAACCACGGGATACAGCCGAAAAATAAAAAAAGGCCGTGTGAGTGTAACCTATTGCTGTTACTTAGGAACGGAATTTATGAGAAAGTTGACGTTGCAGCTCCGTTACTTTATCAGCAAAAAAGTGTCGGAGGACTCCAACTGGCGAAATGTGGAAATTGTACTGTCCGGTCCCGAAGTGCCTGGTGAAGGAGAACATAAAATTATGGAATACATTCGTCTGGCCAAAGCGCAACCGGATTACAACAACAACATCCGTCACTGTCTTTACGGTCTGGATGCCGATTTGGTCATGCTAGGCTTGTTAAGTCACGATCCTCATTTTGCCTTGTTACGAGAGGAAGTCAACTTTGGTCGACAACGATCCAAGAGAAAAACTGGGTAAGAAACATGAAGCGATCCCTGGAAAAATAACTCAATTGACTCACGCTGCCCGTTTTATGATCTTTAGCGTCGATAATCAAAATTTCTATCTGATGCATCTGTCTCTATTGAGAGAATACTTGGATCTCGAGTTCCACTCGCTTGAACAGTCACTATCGTTCAAGTACGATCTTGAACGTGTGTTGGACGATTTTATTCTTCTCGCGTTATTCGTTGGCAACGATTTCTTGCCTCATCTTCCCAATGTTCACATTCACGAAGGCGCCCTGGGTCTCATGTTTGGTATCTACAAACAAGTGTTGCCGACCTGCAGCGGTTACATCCAGGACGGAGGTCGCGTCGATATGGAAAGGCTGCAAAAGATTTTGGACGCCTTGGCTGACAGTGTGGAACACGATGCGTACGAAGCTGAACATGCCAACCTGTTGTACCTGGCCGGTAAACGTGAAGAAGGTCAAACGGAACGCGAATTGTTGCATGAATTGGAAAAGAAGAAACGATCCAGACAAGGTAAACAAGAGACGCTTGATTATTGAATCAACTGTGTTCATCCTTGCTGAATTCTTTGCTCGCAATAGTCATGACGACTTCCCAACAACAACTTTTCTTTCAAGTACGAGAATTTGTATTGGAACATCAACCTGGCAAAGCCGAATCGTATCATTTCCCACCCAATATCAAGGCTCGCGATCGTAAATTTATTGAAGAGCTTGCACGTAAGCTGGGGCTGATGTATGCCACGGAATACTCCAACGAAGACGGTACCAAGCATGTCTACATCGAATTCTATGAAAACGAAACCGAAGATGATGATGAAGAAGTATCGGAAGATGAAGAAGCCATTGCCGCCCGCGATCGTGTACTCAAAAAATACGAAAGTGCCGAAATCATTTCTGACACCCAGACCGAAGAGGAACTGGATCGTATTGAAAAGGAAAAGTACGAAAAGGGACTCAAAGAATGGAAAGCCTACTATTACAAGGTAAAAAAAAAAAAAAAAAAAAAAAAAAAAAAAAAAAAAAAAAAAAAAAAAAAAAAGATAAAAAACCTTGTCTTTTCTTGTGAAGGTACTGATCATGTTCTTTTTCTTTTTTTTTAGGAAAAAATGGACATTGACATTGATAATCCTCAACAAATGGAAGAACTTATCGGATCTTACATGATTGGTATTCAGTGGGTACTTCGCTACTATTACAACGGTGTGGCGTCTTGGGGATGGTTCTATCCTTATTACTATGCTCCCAAAATTTCGGACCTGAAGAATATTGTACGCTTCCAAGATCATCCATTCCAATTGGGTCAGCCCTTTAAGCCATTCGAGCAATTGATGGGCGTGTTGCCCAGTCTCAGCAAGAAGCTACTTCCTCCAGCTTATCAGGTAAAAAAAGCGAAACCAAACAAACGACTTGGAGTGAATCGATTCCGAGAAAAGCTGATGTGAATTATCCTGCTGTATAGGAATTGATGGTGGATCCTTCATCGCCTATTATTGACTTTTATCCTCGAGATTTTGACATTGATATGAATGGCAAGAAACAAGAGTGGGAGGCGGTGGTCAAGATCCCATTTATTGACGAAACTCGTTTACTGCAAGCGATGAAAGAACGTGAACATCGTCTGACCGATGCCCAGCGCGCCATGACCCGATTCGGAGAAAGTTACAAGTTCGTCTATGACGCGAAAATGGGCAGTGAAACCCCCGAGAAAGCAACGATCTATCCCAGTCCTCTTCCTGGCGTTTTCCCGGATATTCATCACTGCATGGCCCGCGAAGAACTATTCCATTTACCCACGCTTGAAGGCGGCTTATCATTTAAGAAAGGGTTGCTTGACGGTGCCAAAATTGGCAAGGATGCTTTAGCCGGTTTCCCTTCGTTGCAAACCATTCCACACCACGGCGAACTCAAATTCCATGGCGTCAATGTTTTCCAGCAAGACAGTCGAAACGAAACCATGGTCGTCACTCTGGAAAATGCTTTTGCTTCCAGTGACATTCAAAACATTGCGAAATTACTTTTATACAAGCGTGTCTTTGTCCGTAAGTCTAAAACCCCCCTTTTTTGTTGAGAGGGTGAGATCGACTTACTTTTGGATGGCGTTGATAGATTATCCTTACCTTCAGGAAGCGGTGGTGATTGGTGTCTCTTCGGTGGATGCCAAGTACTACATGAAATTCATGGGCAAGAAGCGCCAGATTCGCGAGTCACTGCACAGTGAAGAGGATGCCACCTCGTGGCGTAATCGTATCGGTCGTGTGGAATACTTGGCCAGCAAACGGTTTGGTCTGGATATTGGAAAAACCGAAGTGGGTTTGCATGTCTGTGTGTTGCGAGGCATGAAACGAACGGAGAACGGAGCTTTGGTGAAAGAGTATGTCAATCCTGCGGAAGATGAACTGATTCCCGTTCAAATGTGTGTGCTCCGAGTGAACAATGAGGATCCTCGTTACAAAGAACAACCACCACCTCCGATTGAGGAAGAGTATCCCATCGGCAGCCAAGTGTTTTTCCTTGACAACATGTACTACGGTGCCCTGGCAACCGTCGTGGGCCACAGTAGCAAACAGACCGTGGATATTCAAATGGTGGTGCCAAGAAACGATAAAGACGCTGTGGAACCCACTTTTGGCCATCAAGTGGCCATGCAGCAGAACGAGGTGGTGACTTATTTGCCATCCTTTGCAGTGAGCCAACAACTCAAACTGAGTCCGCTCGTTCTGTCCAAGATAACGTCGTCCCTCTTGATTCTCGACAAGAACACACAACGTGTCAATGTGGGCTTGAGCTTGAAATTCGAAGGCAAGCAGCAAAAGGTGCTTGGTTACACACGCAAATCCTCGGCCGGTCACTGGGAATACTCTGCCAAGGCCATTCAGCTGATTACGGAATACATGCAAGCGTTCCCCAAGTTTATTGACATGGTCAGCGGTCAAAAGGGTGGAGGTAAGTTTTGTTCGCAGTGGGAAAGCGTATTTCAATCCATCACTCATCCACCACACAGCTATGCTTCACGTCCAAGACCTTGTCTGGTCAGAAAACGGTCCAAAGGAACTGCAAAAAATGAAAGCATGGCTCAAAGAAAAGAAGGTCGACGACTTGCCGCGTGCTGGATTGGAAGTTGAAGAAATGGAAGCAGTAAGTTGTACACACCAAGAGCTGCTGGGGGGCGGCTTTTTTTTTTAGTATTGATGAAGAAACGCAGCCTGACTGACTGTTGTTTTAGCCATTTGTGAAGTTGTTGGAAGATTTGAGTTCCCAATATATTGAAAAGTATGATCAAGTGGAATTCAAAAAGGTGGTGATTCGACGTATTCCTCGCAATGTGCTCATGCGGCCTGCCGAAGCCGAGACCCGTTTGGGTGGCCAAGAATTCCGTCTGGGTGATCGCATTGTCTACGCCTTGGATTCCGGTGCGGTGCCTTTTGCTGCCAAGGGAACCGTGGTCGGTGTTCAGGAAAAGGTCGTGGATGTCGTTATGGATACTCCTTTTATGGCCGGTAAAGATTTGGATGGAAGGTAAGAGAAAAAACTTGCAGCGCGAAGATTGGGAGAAGCATGTATTCACGCATTATTTTTCTGTAGATGCTCTGGATACCGCGGTATTTCCCTGCCCTATGCCAATGTCATCAACTTGTCTGCCGCCATGGTGGGTCCCAAGCAAGCGCCTCCGGCCAACAAACCGTCCAATCACGGTGCACGTAACGGCCACGATCATGGATCAAGAGGCGGGCCAAAGACAAGAGGTTACACCAAGCAATATCATGGTGATAGAGATAGACAAAAACCATCAGCAGCATCATCATCACAATGATCCGCATCGCTATCGATCTCTTTGTAATTTGTCTTAAAGTTACACAGTAATCCTTGTATGCATTGTAATTATCTTACAAAAGTTTTGAATCAAAAAAAGGGAAAATTCTTTGTTGGCACGGAATTTTTTTTTTAATACTCTTCTGCCATGATTAATAACACAAGGCTGGTCCAGCCCGTGAAAGGATGACTACGCAGGCCCTGACCGGTGCGATCATCGTACTGTTCCCAGACATAGCCAGTTTTCACATAATCCTACAAAGAAATTCAAAATGAGACCCCTCGTATTTTTCGCACTAGAGTGTGCCTATTTCTTTTTTTTTTTTTACCTTGAATACGTTGGAAATGATGTTCTTTCGAAGATCGGTATATATATCTTGGGCACGTTGCTGATACGGACCGGGGACATGGATATAATTCTACGCACGCCATAAATGTTACAAAAAGAGAGGGACACTTGCGTGAAATTGCGGCTCGGTGAACTTACGTTGTAAAGACTTTGCAAAGCCATAAAGTTTATATTGATCCAAATAGGGCCTCGCCAGTAAATCTCGCCAGTACGATAGAATGGATCAGAGGCAGACAGTGAGCGAAGACCGTATGGAGACCATAATTCGTTTTCGTTGCGCATCATGTCCAGAATCGCCCCCAATTTGGGCGAATCGGCAGGCAAGAGACCGAGAGTCATGGGGAACAACGATACGTAACCCTTGTGGCAAACATGCACAGGTTCACGTTTGCCTGCATCGTCTTCGATGGTTTGATCACAGTACGCTTGATGCTCGTCACTCCAGTGCAACACATCCAAATTGACAAGCATTTGCTTGTGCGCTTTGGTATATTCCTGTACATCGGCCGCATAATCATCTCCCAAATGCATCGCAATGTCTTTAAGAAGCTCAGTAGCGTACGCCATCCATGCTAACAAATCCACATGAAGTTCACCAACATTCGGAGGCTCTCCGCGTGGATAATCGTCCAATCCTAGAAAAAAAAAAAGACCAAGACCGCAGCCGCATTTAAGTATCCGCTGCGCCTATCTACTTCCTTGATTCATTTCGCTTTTTACCTGAGGTCAATGTGTGATTCGGTGTGCGACCGCGCCAGCGGTAAGCTTCGTCGTTGGGGGCGTCACGACCAAAGTGGGAGAGATCGCCGCGTTGGGTTTGACGGAACCATTGCCAATTCAGTCTGAGTTTCGGGTACACGGATTCCAGCCAAGTACGAGCCAAGACAGGATCATGCAAATGAAGGGAGCGTACGGTCTCGGGATCCTGGAACGACGTGAGTTGAGGTTCATCGTTCATGGCGTCGGCGTGACGGGTGACACGATCGACGTAACGCTTGATTGCAAGGTACAGAGTAGGCGGGTTAGCATAATGAGGAAACTGGGTCTGGAATTCAGCGGGGACTTTGCTTCGCGCTTCATCACCGAGGATCTGTTCTCTGGCGACCCAACCATTTTCGTCAATCAGGGCAACCCAGTCCTTGATAATCGCCAAGCTAAGGTCATTGTCCCATTTGCCAATGAGCAGCTGGTGGAATCCTTCATCCCAGTAAAATCCTCTCGGGAAGAAAGGGCGACTGGGTGTCGCCGTAAACAAATGATGGGGTCCATCCAGCTGAGGTTTGGATTCACCCGGATTTGTCATTTCATCCTCCAACGGCCCGCGCGACCGATCGACAATCGAAGATCCATAAAAGTAACCAATTCCACCGACAAGGTTGCTTAGCAGGTATTGCGCAAATCCGACCTCGCGTTGGGAAAAGCCTTTTTCCTCCAAATGAAACGTTTTTTCAAAACGGGCATCAAACTCGCGTTCCTGACGAATCAATTCAGCTCCCAATTTCTCACCTACAACGGCAACATATTAAAAGCGAGGTTAAAAGAAGAAAAACATCGGATCACAGCATTTACTGGAGAATTGGCGGCCGGCTTCATTCAGTGAACGGAATAACACATCAAACTATTTGCATAGCATAAGAAAAAAATGAGCGGATGCCTTTTTTTTTCTTACATGTCGGCTGGTCCAGTACCTGGAATTCGCCTGCAAACACTTTTTGGAAAATGTAAAAGTTGGCGACTTCGTCTTCGGATTCGACCAACTCGTTGCTCAGGGTAAAGTAAGACGATGGATTTTGGAGAGCGTCCTCTTGGCTACCCTGCATTACTCTTTTACGTGCTGACAATAACAGGTTCTCCATGATCATTTCTAAACCCGCCAAAACCAGATGAATTAACATATGCTGTCGCATCACGATTCCACCGGACATGCGTACCTTTTGCTTTCCACAAGAATCCATCGGGAGCTTCGCGTCCGAACCATTGAGTGCGAGATAAATCCTGGCCCGTGGTAGAAGTCGGATGCTCATTCAGAGGTCCTTCTACAATCTGGATTTCGAAATCACCCAAGTCGGGCGTATCCCCTTCGAGTCGGACGGGCGATTCGAGGCCCTAAGACAAAAACGCCACACTTCATCAGATGGGATATCCAATCAACAGCGCTGGCGTACACTTACTTTATCCGACAACTTGCTCACAATATCCATACTACCCGATCCTTCGAGTCCAATGTAAAACAGAATATTTGTAATACTAGGAGCTGATCGAGAAAAAAAAATTGGCCATGAACAAAGATTATCAGTATGGGTCTTTTTTTTTATGCTTAATCCATCCTATTTACCATCTTTGCGCATAGGCTTGCCTCGAATCCGCACGCCCCAATTACCACCTACAGTCCATTACGTAAGTTCTTTCAGCCTGTTGCTTATTTTCGGTTTTCTCTCGATATTTTACCAGGATTGGCACCAGGTACTTTGATGAATTCAGTGGTGATGGCAATGTTGCTTGGCCCGTCATTGATGGTCTGAGATGCATATTGTCTTCCGTCGTGTCTCTGATATCCATAACCATTGATATCATCGCCTTGATCGCAAGCGTGTCGCATTTCTGTAATACATTGTGTGTGAGAGAGAGAGAGCGACACCGTTGACGCCTGCGTTTGTGCTTACTTTGAATACTTTGGAAACGACTACCGTCAAACCATAAGAGTCCGGTGGACAGGGATTCAGGAAGACGTGGACGTGTGCCAAAATACAGGTTGGGACGATACGTCCCCCATAGCAGCGAGTCATTGGCGGCTTGGCCTGCCGCGACACGCAGGGTGGTCTGCCCAGCGTCAAGCCCGGACACAGCGACGATGGCCAAGCATAATACTGTAAAAAGCAGCGCACACGGCCGCAAGAACGTTTCTGCAGACAGCGACCTCATAACATAGAAAAACAAGAAAAGCCAACAGCAGAACGAAGCGTGCTGAATCGGACTCACGACGTTGCTTTAGACTCTCCCGTATTTCAAAGACCGATCATCAGGTCCACACCATGTAGGACACTCAGGGCAGAGACACAACTGCATAACGTCTTGCGATAGTGAAACGAGATCCAGATAAATCCAATGTATCATACAGAGTAAATGGTCTTTCTTTTTTCTTAACATATGGCGACAAGGCAATGATCTGATGAAAAGAAACCGATCTCCAACCCCCTAACCATGGTCACTCCTGTTGGGTATCTCTGTCTCCATGGGCACATGAAACAACTTCCAACATTCAGCAATCATCGGGATAACGACAACAGAAATAAGCAGGATGCGTATCCGAAAATGAACTATACATTATTTAAACTCTAGAAAACGATGGATGAAACGTGTGAAAATGGGTTTTTGGAACAAATCTAGTTTTTCTCTACAGCAGTTTTTAAAGTGCTTTCGTATTCTCGTTGTCTTTCGTATAAAACACACTTGATGCGAGCCATCGATTTCTGGCACTATAAGAAAAAAAGTTGAACACTCCAAATAAGTAATTCCGCCATGGACAATTGCACAGCATAATGGTTTTAAAAACTAGTCATTGGGTTTTCCTACCTTTTTCAAGCGGCCCTGGTTGGACCACACTTGTTTGTGGATCTTTAATCGTTTTGCTTCCTCACGCTGGGTTGCCAATACATTACGTTCTTTCAACAGAACGTACCACAGCTTGTGAAGATCATCAAACGACTTTTGACGCAATTCGCTGGCTTTCCATGCGCGACCTGAGAAACATCAGGAAAGAAAGATAATAGTTATAGGTAAGCGAATGGGGTTCGTCGACATTGTGGTTTTGTGAATAAACATACCGGTCCAAATCTTTTGCGGTAAGGCTTGGCCATTTTCAAAAAATTGGTATAAACCGTTGGTGGTGGGTGTAGTGTTGGTGGCGGCGGTGGTGGTGGATTCGTTGAACATGGGACGAGCGGTACTGAAGGATCGCATGGTCGTGGAACCCGACACTGCACGGACAAGTCGCTGTAGCATAGACATGACGGAAAAATGAAAACGAAAGGTTGCGATGGAAAAGAAAAAAAAAAAAGCCAGCTAGGATTCGTTAACAAGGACCTTGAGCGAGGGGGGGTTGCTGAGGACTGGGAAGCCTAAGCCACCCGAAGGTAGGAATCGGTTCGGTCACCGAAATTCCGCAGTTTCCATCCCAAGCTGACCCAAAGGCAAAAAATCTTGAAAATCCTCGCGCATATGAGTGATTCATACCATCCCTGACTGACTATTAAATGATAATGAAAAAGGCAACCTTAAAAAACGCATGATTTTGCTGAACCGAAAGGGACTCATTTTGTGCTGGCTGCAAGAGTGATCCTACTTGTTGTGACAAGATCAAGGTTGAACAACCGACCACTACCACTGAAAAACGAAGCACATGTATCATTTGAAAGATTATTTCTTAAAAAAAGAATAAGGTTTATGTATATGATCAAAAAATGGGTGTAGAGAAGGGAAAAAGAAGGAAAAAGACTACAATAAGATGCGAAGAACTTGTTTTGAAAAAAAATGGAACCCTTTGACATTGGGATAATTCTAAGCTTTCTAGGACAAGAAGCACCCACCAAAAGGAGAAGCCAGGAAGAAAGGGTAAAAAAAAAAAGAATAAATAAGGGGTGTTTTACAGCAGACCTACATCGCGCAGGTTGTTCTGAATAATAATATCGTTGACAGCTGCCATGACAAACTTAATTTGTTGCGTATCGGTTGCACAGGTAAAGTGGGTATAGATTTGTTTCGAATCCGATTGGTTTAATGAAACGAATCGGTTCAGTATATAATCGCTCGCCGCATCGTAGTTCTCAGGTCCTATTAATATCATGCAATCCAGTTCATCCATCAGTATATGCAATGTAGGCAAAGGGAAAACATTATATAAAATGAAAATCAAGAGAAAAAAAAAAAGCAGGAGCACTCAAAAGCACATTGCGAACTTGAGGAGACACTCTATCCCCCAAACACACACAAGCGGCACCGCAGCTTCGTACTGTTCCAAACCGAAAAAGAAGAAAAAAGGGATCCATCGATCTTACCATTGAAATCGGAAAAACTGTCTTTAAGTGGATGTTTGAGCAATTTTTCTTTAAAGATGTCAATTTTGTTCAAGAACAAAATGATTGACGTCTTGACAAACCATCGAGAATTGCAGATGGAATCAAATAGCGTCAGTGCTTCTTGCATTCGGTTCTAATTCGAATCGTAATGTTAGTCGTTTTGGAACGCGCCAAACATCCATCCATGCGGGATAGAACCGTAGAATAAAAAAAAGCCTCCTTTTTCCCTTTTTTATCCTAGCCGCTGACAGCCTTTGACACCCCCCCGAAAGGACACAAGAGATAAGAAAAACCACATGATAATTGCATGGGATACGTACCACAGTCTCGTCTTCGATGAGAACCTGATCGTATTCTGAGATAGCGACCAAAAAGATGATGGCCGTCACATTCTCGAAACAGTGAATCCACTTTTTACGTTCGGACCGTTGACCACCGACATCAAACATGCGGTAGGTTAGGTCACCAATGACAAATGTGGTTTCTGTTATACCCGTTGTCTTGACACGTGAGCGCAAAACATCTTGGTCGGTAGGTACGTAAGCGGTATCGCCGATACGATCCATAGAATCGAAATAACTAAAGTGTGGTGGCGGCGCCAAAAAAAAAAAAAAAAAAAAAAAAGAGACAACAGTTATGCATTGGATCATGCAGCCACAAAATAAAGATTTTATCCACTTACTATTTAGCTGAATCGTTTAATTGGTACTCGCGGCTTCGGTCAAAGACGGTTAACAAATTGGGATCTTTCCATAAGGCTTTGATGGCTTGAGTGACTTCATTTGGAAGGTAATCTCGTTCAATTTGAGTAGGAAGATCAAGAATCACTGTAGCATGCTGAGCCAAATGCGACTGACTGAGCGCTATGCCCATGACATCCATGGCTTCCAAAATCACACGCATGGATTGAATGGTGTTGGAAAAGATGATTTCTTTGAACGCTTCTCTTTCGTCCCGTGAATAACCGCCGTCATGAATCAATTTCATTTGCTTCAAAATCGTGGATTTGCCTGATTCTCCCGCACCTAGATCATAGAGAGACAATCCCCAACGAAGGAAACGAATTAATATATAGTAATCGATATACAACAAATAAGGTTGTTGTCACATCAAGTCGTTGCCGCTCTTGGAAATTTTTGTAAAAAATAGTTTACCTAGCAGCAACATCTTGACTTCGTTGCGCATATTGAGTTTATCACGTTTAAGCTGATTTTCAATCTCCTCATTGCGAGCTTTTCCATCGTGGACTTCATTCGATTGACAGCAACCCATGGTCGATTTATCGCTTTTACCGAATATGGAAAATGAATGGATTGGAAGAGTGGCGAGAACAAGGCGGAAAACGTAAGAAAGAAAAGAAAAAGCAAAGAAAAGAGGAGAGGAATCAAAAGAGTTCAAAGTCGCTTTATGTCCCTTTAATTTTTTTTTTTCCAAGGACCAGCTTCTATTTGATTATTGGCAGTTTCGTTGTATTTTTTTTTTCCTCCCCAATTACGCTTTACAGAAGGGATGTTCAGCGAAATTTGTGTCACAAAAGAAAGATGATAAAAAACTTGTTTTTTTTTTCTTTTACTGTTATCCACAGGATGAAGGAAAGGATACGTTGGGTTGTTTATTTGTCATGGGTTGATGTTTGAAATTGTTTCCGGCGATCCGTGATGTCTATACGCGTATCTATTTACAATGGATCAATCTGGATGAGTAAACGGACGAGGCGATAAGGACGGGTCAGCGACCCAACGATCGCCAAAATGAAGAAATACGCCGAGCTTACATTTGGGCTGTGTGGCCAAATGTAGGGATATTTTCAGGAGACCAAAGGGCGGAATCGTTTGATAGGGTCAGGGAGCTTGCGGAGAAGGAAAAAAGAAGCAAGAAAAAGAGAAGCCAAAAAAAAAAACCGAGGGAGGACCCAAGCCAGGAATAAGGAGAAACGAACGATGGGTGAGGACCCAGATCACGCGGGTATCTTCCCACTGACTAGATATCCAACACCAGATTCACAGGAACTCACAGTAGAAAACGATCACAGCAACAGTAACGGGGAAGACATGTCAACATCGATTTGCAGTGAGAGGTAATGAATAACGACAGCTCAACTTTTTCGCTTTTGGACATGATGCGTATTGGTACGGTCGATCAAGTGGTACATGATCATGATTGTGTTAAAAGCCTTGTTTATGATGAAGCCATTCATTATCCCAGCAAGCTCTACTATAAGATAGAACGAACACACACGTCACGTCCATTCGACGTGGAAAGGACGAGGGACAACGAATATCCGTTGCATTGTGATGTTGGAGCATGGTGTATTTTTAGTCCGCTGATGCAACAGATGCGTCTTTTTTGTGTTATAGATAAAGAGCTCACAATCACGGCGAAGAAGGATGAAAAGCTGGCCAAAACAGGTTACACATGTCAAATGTGTCGCATTTTGAGAGCAACACATCCATCGGATCATATGATGACGATAAAATAATTGAAACTCAAAAAGAGCTCTAGGAATATTGATCCTTTATTGACTCTTATGATGCTGCATCCAATAATCAAATTAAAGTAATGAATCGTAGAATTGCACATCGATCGGCCTTTTTCATCATGTCTTTTCTAATGACTTGTTGATGTTCTTTGTAATGGACCTTTGTGATTCGTGTCTTTGACATGTGTAGTACGTACCTTTGGAGACTGAGTTTTGAATAGGTGCCATTTCCAAGGGCGCGGTCCGTTTTGGGGTTGTGTCATTGCATGTCGATTTGTCGTATTTTCAGGAGACACGAAACCCTTTTTTTTTTATATTCCTGATCTTGTCTTTTACTGATCATGGATCAAGTTTGGGCGTACGATATTTTCATGATAGAAAACAATGGTGCATACTAATCAATCTCATTGATTCAAATCCTAGTGCAATATTGAAGTTGATTCCAACAATGTACACTTTGAGGGGGCCCAAACCGATCCGAATGGGTTTCAGGGTCACGGTATGAGACATGAGTTAATTTCCATGAAACGAGGCGAACAATGATACGATATAGGAATTGGGTTGGTTAGGAGGTATATTCGATCGGTTGAGGACGGGTTGATTCAAAACTGTGTCATGGAATAACAATGTGTTTGAGCAGACGTGAAAGGTTACACCCGTTCTCGTCTACGGCAAAATGGAAGAATCGAACGAGCCTTTGGGCAAATGAGATCAATGGGTTCAAGAATTTTTGACCATTTAAAGATATAAGAAAGTGGCCAAGAGGTGCATGAGTTTGAAATTGTGAAACCTTTTTGCAACGTCTTGACGCTATCCGTGTTGCGGCAGAAGGGATAGATCGACAAAAAAATTTAATCATCGTTTTGCTTGGCAAGAAATATGAGTTTTCCCTGGATCCAGTCACCAACATCAGCATCCGTAGTTTTCTCCCCTTCGTTATCTGCGTCAATTGTTTCTCATTTGAATGTAACAGTCATTGATCCCCTTTCTCTGTAAGGACGCGTTTCGGAAATGACCAAAAGCAGCCTTTTAGAACAAAATTCGAGGCGGAGTTTGCGTCGTCCAAGGCGATTGGGAAAGGAATAATCCTTGAGACTTTTTTGGTCCCGGTAAAATGAAAAAAAAGCCTATACTATACTCGGCGCAGAAGAGAAAATCATGCAATGCACTCAAGCACTGTCGCTTCTTTCTTTTTTAGAATGGCGCAATGACATTGCAGTGTAGTATATAAAATACAAAAAAAAATAAAAGTGGCCATATATTCCCAACATGATAACATGCATAAGGTTGCCTGAATCGACTTGTCAAATCCATGTGGAACATGACATGAACCAATAAGCGGTTAATGTTACGGCAACAAAAAGTCAGAAAAAGGACAAAAGGGGATGCCCTTTGTAGTGTGGAGAATGGGTCATCCAAGAAAATCGAAGCCAATTACGTCATGGAAGGTTCCTTTGTGAAGGTCGATCGTATTCCTGTAATCTGATTGGTGGGTATTTAGGCTATGGAGGCTTTTTTTGAATTTAGACTGTGTATCACAAAATCACTCCATTTTTGCCATTTTATTCAATGATTTTTCTTGTCATTGGAACACCGAGTTCAGCAACTTAAAAAAATTACTGCATTCATCTAGTGCGAATTGCCTTGTGAAAAAAGCTTGTATTACCCTAACCTGAAGTTTAAACTGATTGGGATAAAATAAAGATCCATGGTAAAACGGTAGTCTTGGAAACATCGGGCGGATGAGCTATGAATAAAAAAAACCCAACAACCTGGAAATACCCTATAGATTAGTTTTATGAGACGATAATTTTCATTAGAAACCGATGGAGGTTTTAGAGATGGATTTATTTTATTATTATTTTTGCAACACCGCTTGTGGAATGGAAGCCGATGAGTAGAAAGAGGGGTCGGCGAAGTTAAATAATTCGACCGAAACCCAATCAGTCGGGCGGAGCCACAATATGATCTCATGCGTTCATCCATATAAATAGGGCGCCCACTGGCCATGTCTACTTTTTTTTTTCATCATTCTTTTGTGCTGTGCTTTTCGTTTCCTCGTTTTTCTCGTGTGGTGTTGACTCTCTGCGATCGTCCATTTTTACTGGCTGTCAATCTTATATCTGTATATTCACATTTATCCATCATGCCTATGCTTCAAACTACCACCCGTACTGCTTCCCATGGATCAGCAAAGACCACCACCCAATTGCCAATGTCAAGAGACGCTCTGTTAAGACTGGCCCGACGCGAATACGCCCGGCAACTGCGCAATCATACCAAAGCTCAACTGGATCGACAACATCAATCATCATGTTATAGCGAACATCTTACTCCAAAGGTCACACCTGAACAAGTGACTCTCAAGCATTAGACATCCCATTTGTACCATATCTTTTCTGTATTCTGTCTATACATTCCATTGCATCTCGTCTACACTACATACTTGTAAATAAAAATTTCTTTGTGTTTCCCGTTGATTTCATTAATTCTTTTGTTTTCTTCCCTTACGCCATCCTGCTTCCGATCTTTTGTCTAAATATATGAAAAGGAAAAAAATGCCGGTTGAAGTTGGTATGACTCTCAATGATGGCGGAAACCCAATTATTGGCTGGGATAGATTTTTCCTGGATCTGTAATTGGAAAATGTTCCGCAGTGGGTTTTTGGTTGTTGAAAAGTTTTGCGGACGATCCATCCAAAATGGCGAACCCCTATCCTGGTGTGAACAAACCGATGATTTGGGGAACAATAATGAGGGTTTATCTATTTTTGCCACTTGTTGAACCGTCGGAGTGCAAGGAAAACAATTGCAATATTTCACTTGCCGCTTTAAAGGCACTAACCGGCATTAGTTCACTGCATTGAGACCGGGCTTGGGAGAAAAAGAAGGGTTGGTTTTCGGGCCATAGACCTTGTTAACATTGAACAAAAATATTCCAACCTAGGCTGTCAAAATCAGTAATGAAATGAGATGACAAATCCTTGCAAGGGTTTCAATCAATGTTTGTACTAAATGATTTGTCAACCAAAAAAAAAAAAAAAAAAAAAATAGCTGGGACCGCATTCACGCCTCTTTACTAAAAAATGAGCAATGCCAAAAAGGGAAAGTTATTTTTAGCCGTTGGGCAAGAGCCAATGGGAGTAGGAAGAAGTCCATGCGGAGTGCCATCTACTGGTGGGGCTCTCGAAGTCGAGAATCTCTTGATTTATTTGATCGTTTTTATTTCTTTTTTCGTACCCGATTAACAATAATTTTTTCCAATTATCAATCAATTGGTGTTGATTTGTTTTTTGGACTCTTTTCTTTTTTTTTTTTTTTTATCCCTTTCAACACTTGCCTATCCATGTCGTCATTTGAGATATCGGGTGTATTGAACACCACACAGAAAGACTTGATTCGTGCTTGGTGGAAAAAAGTCACCGTCGCTAATCCCAAAGCACACAACTTTAAAGATATGCGGGTGCCTATTGTTGGTAAGCCAAAAGCACTTTTTTCAAACCATCGCCATTTGGACGTTTTTCTTTCCAAAAAGTCCCACTCTTTTGGTTTGACTTGGTATCATTTTTGGCATGGTGATTTCTTATACACAAAATCTAGAAAAAGGCGTGTTTGGTCTTCCATTATCCGAATCGATCCGATACGCCCATTCCAGCATTTCATATATTGATGACATTACCGGCATTCAGTGCTTCGGCGTGATCCCTACGGTGGTCGCTAAATGTGGCAGTTTTTTGAAAGAAGAAGGTAAATCGGTCAAGCAACCACCTTGACTACAAACCCGCATGACATATGCTTAACATGGCAAATACTTAGGTTTGACGGTGGAAGGCATCTTTCGTTTGTCCGGCAGCGCGAAACGAATTGGCATGCTACAGACGATATTTGATACCCCGGATCATTACGGCATGCAGTTGGATTGGCGAGGATATACGGTTCACGATGCGGCTAATGTGATGCGCCGATTTCTTAATCATCTTCCCGAACCTGTCATTACACTGGAATATTACCGAGCTTTCAAAAACACCATGGGTATGTGCCTGCACCTCGTCGGTTCCGTAGTGATAGTAACGTGTAAGCTTCCATGGTTCTGGTACTTACCATATGTTTTTTTTTTCTCCGTCCCTATTAGATCAAGAATTCGAAACATTAGAGGATAAAATTGCAGCGTTCCAGTCCCTCATTGAACGTTTACCACTGGCACATCAGTACCTGTTGTTGTATCTTTTGGACATGCTAGGTTTATTTGCGCGCACTTGGGAATCTACACGGATGGATATTGCTTGTCTCGCTTCGGTGTTTGCACCTGTAAGTCACGAAACATTGAAATCATGGGTTGGTGGTGGATGTATAGACTCACCGAGTGCTTTTGTTCCATTGACTATGCAATTAGGGCATGTTGTCGCATCCCGATGATATACTGAATCCTGCGGGATACAAAGAGTCGCAGCGGGTGCTCACCTTTTTAATCGAAAATCAAGCTCGATTTTCCATGCCACGCGTGCACCTCCAAACACTTCAGTCATCGACTACCTCCCTTCCCGTCTCCGAATCGGGTACGTAGTAACCGCTTTGTCTTGTCAATGTGGCCGTGGTACCGGTGACTAATGGATTGCATCTCTTTAGGCCCGAATCCCGATAGCAACAACCATTCAAGTTCTTCCTTGTCGGATATCAAAACTTTTGTCGACATCAACCGGTTCCCCTCTCCTCCACCACGACAGACCATGTACGCGACCGGACCTGAATGCTACTCTGTCACGGGTTTCCCATCGTTTTTCAATGAACCCAACACATCAGTCGACACCCTTGCCACCGTGCCTTCTTCTAGTTTAAGACGTTCCAAAACGACCCCTACCAAGCGTCATAAATACGGCGAACATGAACCACCTCAAGTCATCTATGTCAACCGTACTTCAAGTACCGGTGGTAAGTGAAATTAGGTTTCCCCAATGGATGCTGCCTCTATTATCAGGAGCTGCGCGAGCTGCACGAACGGAATCTCATTATATGCATGTGTGTATGTCTTTAGGTACAAAAGCGCCGGGACGATGGCGATCTATTCGACGTGTACCTACTTCAAAGAAACAAGACAGTGCTACCCCACCGTTACCGACCATGACTCCGCCGATCTCCACATAAACACTTATTTTTCTCTTCCTTGTTATTTCTCGCTTATTAGGTTATTCCATCTTATCCCCCATTGATATATCTATCCCGCTCTCTCTCTTTTTTTCCAGTTTCTTTTGTACTTATTCATTGATATTTTTACGCATTAACAGCATATGAATTTTTTTTAAAAAGCTTATTTCTTAGTAACTTTTGTTAGACTTACGGTGACATTCTTTTCAGACACTTGCATGGAAGAGGCTGATGCATTCAAGAGTCCCGGGGGGGGGGTTTCGCTCGTCGTTTTGAGGAGGTTTCCACTGAATTTGACTGAGCACCCACTGACGGATTTCCCCACCCGCATCATCAGTGTCATCAGCGGGGCGATAACGCATACATATCGAGATCGAAAACAGAAAATGCGATCATGGTGATATTCCAGGAGAATCTCATGCATTAAGCGGCAAAACAATGCATTGACCACCTTGGCTCTTCTGTTGTCTGCAGCACGAGTGGTTACACAGCATGATCCATGCGATCAATGCGTGCCCTCGGACCCTCTTGGAATTGCTTCTGAAAGAAGAGTAATAAAACAAAGGATGTGTGCAAGGCATAGAAAACAGCCTCCTTAACAGGGAAAATCAAAAAAGTTACCAATGAGATGTGGTTACTATGGACATACCTTTCCATCACTCAATGTATTTTTAGGTCAAAAAAGTTGTGGAATTCACAAAAGCTACTGATAGTATAACGATCATGTCTCCTTTTTTTTTTCTGCCCATCGAACATGCTACTCGATGTGAGCGTAGGGTGATCCATCTGTATGAGAACAGTTTATGAATGGAACCATATGAGTCAGAGTGTCGACGAACCTTCGTATTGATACCATTTTATTGAATTCCTGCGTTCAATCGGGTCAAGGGAAGACCGGCAGGCACCGGGATTCGCATATTCTGTAAAAAGTTGGGAGTTGTGCAACCTTAACGATGACGATAGGCTCGGTGTCGAACGATCCAATGGAAATACACCAAAGATGCATTAAATAATTGTGGTTTCATAGGCGTTAGTTACACGGTAGAAATCCTAGACTTGTCACCGTCTACTGTTTATTCCCATTTGGTTGAAAATGAGACTTCTTTCATCCCTTGCGTTGCCGTCCGCCTTTTCTTTTCTTTTTTTTATGCATAACTGAACCTTAAAAATACCGCCCTTGGGCCACGGGTTCTAACGGCGCATGCGATTTTTGTATTTTGGCCGTCGTCATATCGACCAAGATCATCTGGTCTCGGAAGAAAACAGATGAACGGAAATTGGTGAACTGATGCGGTTGAAAACGGCGGTGAAGAGAGGAAGAGAGACACGGAGAGAAGATAATCGCGTTATCTTGCATAAAAAAGGCAAATTAAAGAGTTGGCAAGCTGCCTTTTGCAATCTCGGCCGTCACTCAAAGGTCTCACAACGGTCAACTCAGATCAGGCCACGGTCACCGTCCCTGGACGGAACTCGAAACTGTTATGTAAAAGATGGCTCATTATTATCCAATCCAGCATGGTGAGAAGAACCATGGATATTCTATCATGTCATGCAAATCCACTCTAATGTTTTTTCCTTCAAACTTTTTTGCTGCTTATTCATTGCTTGAGTTTACCAGCCACGGTTGTATCATTTTCAAACCGGTTCTGCAATTGCTCAAATGGGAGCCAAACTGGCTTTTTCAAACAATGGCGTAACACATTGAACGACCTTGGCCTCTTTTTTTTTTAATTCATTACAATCTATTTTTTTGCTTAAAAGAAAAAAGCTGGAAAAACTTTTTTTTTTCTTCTTCGTTTTCCCATTCCTTTTCTTTTCACAGACTTTATTGTTCGTCGTTGACTTGTACGATCGAATCTTTGTCCTTCTTTCTTTTTTGGAGTGTGCCATTGCAATCGAGAGACCCGGTCGCTTTTGAAAGCTCTCTTTACCGATTGGTGAATTGACGTATTGCTCACACGCATTATTACTGCCATCGTGATTGTACTTGACGTCACTCGCCACATTGTAAACCGATTATTCCACGTTTCCACCGTCTTTCTTCGCTGTCGTGCGCTCCTTCCATTCCTTGCCACTATTAACTGTTCAGCATGGGGAACCATAAAAGTGTGCCAGTAGGCAGCAAATCATCCCAGACCAGTCGTGCCGCCAACAGCATGATTGAGAAGCAAATCAAAAACGATAAGAAACGGTTAAAGAAGGAAATTAAGCTCCTATTGCTAGGTAACCGTGACAAAAAAAAGTCGAGGGATGACCATGTGACCAAATGACAACGATCACAGGGTCTGTCCCACCCTCGCCGGCTTCTTGATAAAAATTCATTCCATTGACATGTTGTTGACGCCTCGCGTCCATGTTCTGTCTTGATAGGTGCAGGAGAATCGGGCAAGTCCACAGTATTGAAGCAAATGCGGCTGATTCACGCCGCCGGTTTCAAAGCTATGGAACGCGAAGGGTTTCGTAACATTGTGTTTATGAACATTTTCTCGGCCATGCAGACCCTTTTTGAAGTCATGGAGCAATTGGAAATATCGTTGACCAACCAAGACCTCAGAGTAGGTATTATAAAACCTTGAAGTCAGGTCATGTTCTGATTATCGATAAAAGAGTAACTTCCCATGCTAATCTATGCTTTGCCTTTCAAAGCAATACGTTGACTTGTTTCAAGAGATGCCCATCATTGAACAAGGACAGGCGTTCCCTGTAATGTACCTTGATCCTCTGCGCCAGCTTTGGGCCGATGGCGGGATTCAGACAGCGTGTAAGCGAGGAAATACGTTCTCACTGCAAGACAACGTCACCTAGTATGTCCGACATGAAAACCATGGCATCACGATCACGGGCCAAAGCCGTATTAAATCCAATTGATTTCTAGTTTTTTCGATCGACTGGACGTCGTCTTTCAGCCCAATTATTTACCTACAGATCAAGACATCATCCGATGTCGAGCCAAGACGACCGGCATCACCGAAACCACTTTTCAAATAGGGTCTTACACCTATCGCATGTTTGATGTGGGCGGACAACGAAGCGAAAGAAAAAAATGGTATGAATCGGTTTAAAGAACATGGTTCCTGCTGCGATGGAATTGCATGTATTGATTGCGGTTTGCCACTAGGATTCATTGCTTTGAAGGTGTAACTGCGGTTCTGTTTGTGGTTGCTGTCAGTGGCTACGATCAATGTCTGATCGAAGACCGAGATTCAGTAAGTCAACAAAATTTGAAAACGGAGAAAAAACCTACCTTCGCCCATGCTTATTTTTGGTATTGTATCTATAGAATCAGGTAAATTCAATGGCTTCACCTCCTCTGTTGAAAACCCGTATCATGTATTTAATGCTGTTGTTAGATGTATGAAGCACTGCTTTTGTTTGATTCCATATGCAATTCCAGCTGGTTCCATCGAACATCAATGATTCTGTTACTCAACAAAATTGACATTTTCAAACGTAAAATCACCTACTCGCCTGTATCGCATTATTTTGCAGACTTTGAAGGTAAATATATATATATATATATATATATAATTGGGATGATGCACACAGCAAAGAAAGAAAAAGCACTGAAAAAAGGAATAGGGGATGATACCGATTACAATCAAACACGAACGTATTTCAAAAATCGATTCGTGGGCTTGTGCCGAAATCCTCAGAAACGGGTGTATGCCCATTATACCGATGCAACCGATACCACGCTTCTCCGCCACGTCATGATGGCGGTTTCTGATATCATTATTAACGAGAACCTGGCCGCCATCATGCTCTAATTCACAAAAAAAAGGACCAGCCCATCGTTCGCACAGCGTAATTCATGTACCTCTCGCTCCACTGCTGCCTCTCTGGCTTTTTGTTTCCTCAAGGCCAAAGACAAAGCAGTCTAATTTTATTTAAAGATTACTACACGTTTTTTTCCCTTCTTTATGTCATCGTACACCCCTACAGCCCCACTCTCAAATTTGATAAGCTTATGCCATCGACGTATAGCGTTAATAATATAGATCCACTTTCCATCATCCGGCATCTCATCTACAAGCACTGTCTTTTGGTAATTCATGGCAAGTCTGTTCGCAACATACGATCACGAGATTTATTCTTCAAATATCATTGCGAAAAAAAGAAAGGAGTGGATTCTTGGGAATTTCTTGCGATTTTAAAACTTTCTCAAGCAAGACGAAATTCATCGAAATCGAGGCGTTGACGGAAGGCGCCGGCGATGATGATTTCTGTGTCGTAGACGGGAACATTGTGCAATGAGTATTCGGTCCACTTGTCTTTATCTTGGGCGGTCGATACCACCAGTAACCGGGTTTGCGTGCTGCCTGATAAAAGATCACGTAATCGTCTGGCCGATGGTTTCGGCACCACTTTTCCTCCGGCGGTCTCAATCACATCCTTTACGGCGTTTTTGTTGGTTTGCAATATACAGATCTCGTAACCTTCCAGCCAGGTCCCGCGGGTCCCTGATTTGTATTCCACTTGATGCTTTCGTGCGATATCGAGACTTTTCGCCAAATTGAATCCGAGACGCTTCTCCACATCACTATCATGAACCTCGTATTCTGATTCATTCTGCCATTGCTCCTGACTGATGGAATCTTTTAACCATTCGAGACGCACTATGGAAAGTCCCAAGTTGACAGCACAAAGGAATTTCGGTGTTCGCAGTATCCGTTTCTCCACCACCAGATGGGTCGCTTGCAGTATGTTTTCAGTTGTACCGCCGCCTAAACGACGAATGGCCTACAAAAGCGAGCGCACACCCACACACACATAGATGAATAGGCCTGTCTCTGTGACCTCGATTCAGTAGCAACTTACCGATTTGTCATCGCTGCTTAATGTCACATTGGATGTGGCAATCTTGATTGTATTGCCGTGTTTGGATTTGGCCGTGCTTGCCTGTGAGGAAGGGGCCGTGGATGGCGGATGGTCGGTTTCTCTGGAGGTGGGGGTGCGTGAACGTGATTTGGTGGCCGGCGGTGACGGCGGGGATGATTGAGTTTCTTCTTTTTGTTCAGATTCTGCATCTGTCATGTCCTCGTCGGATTTCTCGGCCGAGGCAGGCTGCTCCATAATTTCCTCCATAGGGGAAGCAGGCGACGTTTCGTCGGCTTCCTCCATGGCTGGTGGTTCGGATGCTTCTTCAGGCACCGCTTCGGCTTCCTTTTCTTGAATCTCCTCTTGGGAGGCAATTCGTTGTCGTTTGGCGACTTCGGCTTCCGGATTTTCATCGCCCAAGTTGCGTTTGGGATGGCGCTTTTCATCCATTGGTGTGGGGGACACTGAACTGCCTTCTTTGGTGGATCCAGGCACCAAGGCGGTCGGAGACGGGGATCGGCTGGTCTCTTCTCCTGTCTCTACTGGACTGCCCAGTTCTTTGTGGGACTTGGCCGGTGACAGTGCGACGGGTTTCGGAGCAAATGGAATGGTAGCCGGTGCATTTTCGGGATCGCGCCACCATCGTTCCATGTCTTCCGGCAACAGAGGCGTTTTACCTACCAAATCATCCAGAATGTGGCCTCCCGGGAACATCACGTATCGCTCATCCACCGGTGTTTTGACACACCATTTCTGGAAACACTCTTCCAACCATAAATGGTTGACAATGGGCAAATTCTTTTCAAAGGCTTTTTGATACTTCATGCTCGCTTTGCTGTAGTTAAAGAAAAAACAAAACAATATCACATGAATACATAAGATCCCATTGCAAAAAAAAAAAAAAGTTTTCAATCGAATTGTTCCCTATTACCTTCCTGCGATGACATGTGTATTTCTTTCGCTCAAGGAGGGTGTAAAAGTAGCTCCGACGGCCTGGATCAGGGTGCGTAAAATTACACGTGCGATACCGGTATAAGTGGAGACGGTAATAACCTATATGGAGCGACATGATTGAGAACTAAGCAAAATAATGTGTTCAGAAAGGGATGATTCGTACCATATTCTCCATGCCTGGGATCCCTCCTTTCGGCTGTGGATAGTCGAGCAAGGTCCGTGTGGGCAATTCGAATCGTTGGCGTGCAAGGGTATTGAAGATCCACCATAAACTGGCCACCAGCTTGTGTTCTTGACAAGCTTTTATACATTCGGGAGACGAGCGGTACTTTGCAATGACGATATTGACCTTGTCGGAAAAGGTTGACTCGACGGTAGCGCCTGCTTTGATGAGGCACGATTCGATTTTGGGAAGGAGCTCATCTTTAAGTTTCAAGTCGGCGGCAAAGAAGAAGCAACGATCGGCCAAATATTTTTCTTTAGGTTCGGTGGTGGGCAAAGCGTCCGCTGTAGGATGAACATAAATCAATTTGTCCTCTTTGGTTCGCTCGGGTACTTTATCGCCCGTTGGTTCTTCTACATCGTCTGTTCTGGAAGCTTTGATGGTGCGCATTAAAGGCGGATCCGGAAATAGATAGACATCCTAAAAAGTTTTGTGTGCAATTTTTAGTAATGTCTCTTTGGTGATGAACACAGTGAAAATACTATGCCCTACTTCGCGAACCAGACGCTTGAATTTGAAGCAATCATCAAACCAATGAGGAAGAACAGTTTTGATGATATTTCGTCGTTTGATGGCTTCTTCGTATTTTTTCTACATGGAATAAATAGGGCATCCATCCTTCAGTGTCCACTGCTTCCAACGAGAATAGGTGATATTACCCCTTGTGGTGCCAAACAGGCCAAATGTGTAACATCCTGCGTCAAATCTTCGCGAAACTGACCACCCAAAGCCATGACACCACCGTAGATCGCTTCTCGGTCGGCCGTAGGTAACTAGTGTTTGTTATAAGCAACTCCTTCCTCTTCCTTGCGGTCTAACTCATAGAGTCAAAAACGAATACTTACACCTGACGTCGTCACGACGATACCGGAAAAGAACTTGAGAGGGTCGGTGGAATAGAATTCAGGACTAAAAACACACGTTTGAGCATCAGGGACATGGGCTGAACGTTCGACCACTTACCGATGTTTGAATCCATTTTTGACCGCAGCTTCTACCCATTGTGGCTAACCGAACAAAGAATTGGTACATAATGACCTGACGTGAGCCATTGCATTGCGTGGTTTTTGGCGTCGCTTTGACTGCCCTACCGATACTACGACGGCGCGTTTCTGAAGTTCGGTGGTTCGCACCACGGAAGGTGCACGCATTGAGACAATATGAGTAGGTGCAATAGGCGATTCAGTGGATGAGTCGTCATCGGTGGGTTCCGAGTCAATGCATGTGGCTCCATTGTCTCGCAATAGCTGAGCCAACTAGAAGAAGAAAAAAAGAGCGACGCATAGGTATTAAAGAAGAGGAATGGTATGACGTCAAGAAGAGATGAGAAAAAAGAACCATGGTTTATTTACATATTCCCGTCTCGGACGGCTTAAAGCACTGTCAAGCTGAGAGATCACATCGACAAATATTGCTTGGGACATTTTTTTGGCATCAATGCTTAACAAAAGCGGAAGACAAAAGTGGAAAAAAAAAAAAAAGACGGAGAACCCGTTGAATTCCATTGACAATCCCATCCCAAGATTGGCAGGAATCAATCCGCAGTCATGCCAGGAAAAAAAAAGGGTAAAAAAAAGGGCGCGTCAATTTGTTGAAAAACGCGTGGATTTGAAATGCCGGCAGAAAAAAAAACGCGTGAACTTCTTCGAATGCTCATTGTCCCTTCTTTGATAACAGCTTGAGGATATCATTGATGGCGGCTTTTCTATTTTTGGTTTTCGCTTCATCATCCAAAAGAGCATCGCGTTGACTAGGCGGCGGTATACATTGGTTCGCTTCGTAAAGGGATTGAGCGAGGGCCGAGGATAACTTTTTGGTAAATTGATGGGATTCATGCTGAAATTGCAACGCCGTATTCATCGTTTGCCGTAATTCAGAGACGGAAGGATGAATCGCCTCCACTGATTTGTTCAACATATCCATTTGTTCATCCATTTCATCGTCGCTGAGTTGAGACGCAAATGCTTGAAATTCCGGATCCGCATCACGTAAAAGTTCTTTGAGCGATTTCCCCTCAATCGATTTACGGTACGCTTCTTTGGTCGAAGCTGATGCATCCACGGCTTTGGCATGTTCATCAAACCTTTCATTTGAATACCGTCGCCAGGCTTCCAATTCTTGTTTCAATCTAAAAATGAACAGGGTCGTGGTTAAAAGAAGGAAATGATCCCACCGCCAGGGGAGAAAGGAGTCCGTTCTTACATGGCCATTTTCGCCTCCGCTTTCCGTATGCGCTCTTTATTATGCTCGTTGAGTGGATTGGGATTTTTGGATTCGAGAGGGGTGGAGTTTGGTTCCAACTGTGGGCCCCATCAATAATGTTATTCAGCTGTCCTTCTGTTAGGACTCGAATTGCCTACTTACCGGTTGATGCAATGATATAGGAATCTCTCCGGTCTTTAGCTTCTCTATAAATTTCCTTTGCAATCGGTCCACTAATTATGAAGTTGGTCAACTTTTTTCTGTTTTGTTTTGTCAAGAAGCATTGCACTGTGAACTAGAGTCCGTCGTTACCTATTTTATTCACGACTTGTTCTGATTTTTTGGTCGCATTTGTGGTGCCATTTGTGGTGGTAGGTGGATTCTGGTTTCGCAAGTTCTGTGCGCTCCATATCAGCAATTGCCTCAGACGATCCGACTCGGACATGTGTGGATTCAACCGTGTGTAATACTGATCCGGTGGTACTTGGTCAGGTAGATCTATTCGTCGCAGCAATTTTCAGTTATCATCCATTTTTTTTTCTCCTGCAATGTGTCGATTCTTCTTTTACCTTGGAAATAAAAGCTTTCTATACTGGATCGTCGGCTACCTGTGTCGTTGAATGGTATCGAACTTGGGCGGTTTTTCCTTGTCTGAGGTTCGAAAGAACCCGCCATGGACCGTGCTTGCGATGATCGGATTGGTGGTGGTGGTAGTGTATTAGGTGATTCAGGTGATAATGGAAATGATGAAGGTATCGATGACTGCAGACACAAAAAAAATTGCGTCAGTTAAAAAGATATAAAGAGAGGGTCTGCGAACGTACTGTATCGTTATATGGTGCAATGCTTGATGCTCGACTTTTCGTGTGTTCTTGTGTGGGGTCCACTTTGAGGGATGGCGGTTTATAGGCCGTTGACTGGACACCGGGAAATGACGGCGCAGAGGTTAGCGAACGAGACATGCGTCTTCGTTTGAACACGAAGCCTTCGTCGTTCTCTTCCTTTGGCGTATTCATTGAAAGGGAATCCCAATGCAATCAGCAGAGCCACCGATGCCAGTATACGATGAAAAAAAGGCGAAAAAAGGCACAAAAAATTTCATGGCATTCAAATCACGTGACATCATCGCCTCATTGTTCACGCGAGCACAGCGGGCAAAAAAACGAAAATCTGCGACTACCCAAATACCACATCCATGGGATATCATCAACTGCTTCAATGTAATCATTTATCCATATGTGTTGCTGTGGCAGTAGAGGACTTGTTTCGAGCTACAGTTGGTGCGAACATTTGTTTCTTTTCTATCTTTGCAAGCATATTCAATCTATTTGTTGAATCCTCGATATTAATCCGTTCAGATAAATAAAAATTGTCAAATGTTATTTATTGGCATGAGAATGGTATAGAAATTAATTTCAGTGAGCTCACCTTGGAGATCTTTATTACTTTAACCACTGTCATACAACTAAGTCTTATCTTCATCGGACGAAGTTTCTGGAAATCATGACCATAGTTCCTGATGAAGCTTAATACTCTAGAATCAATGTTTTGTCGGTAACAGTCAAGTAAATAAGGGAAACTAAATGGTTCATGCTACTCGACTGGGGGTTTTCCTTTCTTCCATGGTGATGATGCTACAGTGTTACTGTGGCAATGCTCGGATACCATTCATTTTTTATTTTATTTTCCTGCCAACAGATTTCTCTATTATTTAAAACTTTCCATCGGTCTCGAACCAAAAATGCACTATTTCCTGCTCTTCTGTTTTGTTAAAAAGCAATTCTTTTGGGTCGGAGAGTGGGCGTGGTGCCGACAAAACCAGATTGCATGAAACAAATAAAAGAAAAAAGGGAAATTAGAGTAGATCGGAGGCTAAAAAGTGATTGGTCGTATATGCGTTTGTTTACAGTCTTGACTTAAAAAAAATCATGCAATGAGGCAAAGTTTGGGGATGCGACAGCAGCGGCTGTGCCAAGTTGCAGGGATGCGGCCAAAGGTAGGGTGAGTTGAAATTAAACAGACTAAAAGATACATGGTCCATCTCGTTTAAAATCGTTCGGTGATGGTGATTGCCTATTTTTTTTTCATCTTTCTCCTTGATAATAAGAACCATGAACGGCAATCCATTAAAAAAAAAAAAAAAAAATCTAATACAACTCAATGAATAAATTCATGCGTCATTAGGCTTTCTAACTGTAGAGGATGATTTTATGTGAATTTTTTTATTTCAGACTTGTTGAACCGGATTGTGTCCATTCGAAAGCGCAGTGGGATAAAAACACCGCATATTTCCCCAATTGTCTCTCGCTTTTAACTACTTTCCTTCTTTTGTATTCTTTTCTTTTTCCTTTTTATTTCAAGTTCTTCATAAATATAACATTTCTTTCTCATTTCTTCCACATTTTCCCTTTTTTTTTCCTTCTTGTGTTTTTACGTATCATCTCCTTTTCTTTATATTGTTTGTATTACTGCAGCTTTTTTTTTCTTTTTAAGTCCCAATTCGTTTTTATCCCGATATGAAACTGTCCACACACTCACACCACCCAGCGTACCAACACTTTGCATATCCCAATAAATTGACCCTCACCAAAAAACGGCGCGCTTTGCCACCTCACTCCAAAGTAACTACTATATAAGAAAACACTCAATGATTAAAAAAAGTTGCAATGTCAAAACTCACTGCGCCATGTGGTCATTTTGTGTGAAATGTAGACACCGGTACATCTCAAGTCTCGAAGGTCGTCAGAAACGGGCTTGTTCTCAGACAGCCACTGGAAGGAGGATGAATACACCGGGTTTTTAGCCGAGTTACGGAAAGAGGCTTATACCGAGTTGCATCAACAGATGCAGTCTTACAATGATACTTTTGTGGCCCAAATGCGGCATTTGGAAGAAAAAAGCCCCAACAGCCTTTTAGTTCCAGCCGACGACAGTTACAACGGGAAACCTTGTCTTGAAGAGACAGATGGACAAGAACGAGCCATTCAAGAACTTAGTGACATGCTTGAAGCTGGAACTATCAAGGATTACAGTCGACTGGTGGAATGGCAACTGTGTCAGGTAAATAACACACTCACACACACACATCATGACATCCAAATTGCAAAAGGGGGAATTTATGTTGGGGGATCAGACGATACGATATGCAGGGATCGTGAGGAGGACCAACGGGGAGGGGGGGGGGGGACGCGGAGGATGAGAATAAGATATTGATGAGAGGAACAGCGATCGCCATACGGGCGATCTCTGTTTTTGTTTTTTCCCTCTTTTTTTTTATCTTTTCATCTCATTGTGGGCTGGTCAAGAGAATTATTTTTTTCCATATTCCTTCCTCCTCTTTGACTCCGTTTTGTCGTTTTTTTCTTCCACATTTTTTTCCTATCCGCTTTTGGGTTTTTTTTATTGAACGCATTGGATTCGGTTGTACTCATGTTGTATTCATGGTATAGAATCCTCATCTTGTGACGGAAGACCAAGGTGGACATGGCGACTTGTGGTGATACCATTTTAATTGCATCGCAACTTGCCCTCCAACATGGTCTCTTTAAGTCTCTCTATTATGTCACTCTGCTATTTTTTCCCCTCCTTTTCTTCTTATGTTGACTTTATGTGACCTTTCCAAATCAATTGTATACATTAAGCATATCCATCTATCATCTGACTGAAAAAAAAAGAGAAAGAGCCTCCATTTCCCATTCGTCACTAAAACAGGTAATCTCACTATCCACCTCCAATAATAAAACCGCAGCAGGCCTATCAATTGCCCCCGTCAACCTTTTACCATGGCGATACCGACTTTTTTCGAATTTTTGCTTCTCACCATAATGTTGTGCGGCATAAACCTTGTTAGGCGCATAATCAACAAAAAAGAAAAAGGTACGTCATTTGATACCTTTGTATCGGCATGTAGTGGGCCCCTCATGATACCAGTATCGGTATTTCCGGTCTCTCTCTCTCTTGCGGCTGAAAAAGGCATATCCAAACCATAGTATATTCGCGAGAAGTTGACATGCCCTTTTTCCGGATATGCCAATGTCCTTTGTCATGCCGTTATTGTGCCTTTTACCCATCCCCATATCCGTGGAACATGTTAAACAAACTACATGATACCAAACCAAAGAGCGACTTGATCCAGGTGACCTTTTTGATATTTACAATGGAGTTTTTCATACATACATGAAGCAGCGCAAAGATACGATGGGTAAAAACGAAAAGAACAGCAATAAGGGAGAGAAATAATTAAAGAGGGCATAGAACATGAATGATATAAGACGATACATAAGAAGCTGCTAGAGATTATCATGTCATATCCGTGGATAGAGAAGTCATAAGGTCCATCATTACGTCTATGGTCCCAACCCCCATCAATAGCAGTCAGTATCTTTTTTCATGCTTCCGCATATATGGTAAATGAAAATACGTACCAATATTCGGTGATTGCGTTGAATGACGATCATGCGATGATGGACCCATAAATTGTTCATACAATAAATGCGTTGGTTCCGTTCCAAGATCCATCATCACATCGCCCGGCGGAGAGAAATCAAATCCTTGCTGGTGACTTAATGGTTGCAGCGTAGGCATTCCGCAACCCATCGAACTAAGTATATCATTCGCCCATGCGGAAGATTGGAATGGATTCGAACCCTGGCCCATATACGAGGCCGGATAGTGCGTCTGCTGAGATGCTGGATCCTGCATAGGTGGTTGCTGAGGCATAGATTGTTGCTGATGTGGTTGATGCTGTTGCTGTTGCTGTTGTTCCTCTTGTTTCGGTCCCACTGAGATTTCGGGAAGACCCTTTAGGCGGCGCCACTTGTTGGTTCTGTTGACATCGTAATTGGTAGCAAGATACCAGAATTCACTAAAGAATTCCGCTGGCAATTCCCAACTGGCACTCATTGTAGGATCGCCACCGTGGTAAACGGCACCATTCAAAAGCATGGCAAAGCAACGGTCATAGTCCATTTGATCGCGAAAGATAATCATTCGATCGCGCATGTGAGGGGTGGGAATCAAATCAATGCGAGGATCGTGAGGAATCGCCAACTGTAAAATTGTAGGTTGAAGTCGTACTGCCGAATTACCGACATTCGTCAACGTCGACTGAACTCGCAGCTGCAATCGGATACGCTGAATGGCACTTAGACTGGAAGCCATCGGTTTGCTGTCATCCACTGGCTGGCCCTCTTTGTGTAACAACTGGGCCATCGTTTGATGCTCTTCCATTGGTTCCTGCTTGATGGTTGCTTCACCCGACCACGGATCTCCAGACTCCGCCGAAGGCGATCGACTCGGTAGCTTGAGGTCCACATCCTTGTACGACCGAGACAGCAAATCCTCCTCTCCAAATGCCATGGATGATGGTTCACTGGACGAACCCATTCGATCGCGCTGGAAGGCCGATGACGCCGGGGATGAAAAGTGAAGTGCATTCGGGTCAATGGTTTCTTCTCCCCCATAAAGTCCAGACTCTGGCTGACTTTCTAGACTGGTGTTACTCCTTTCTCGCTCTCTGCGTTGATACTCCTCTTCCTCGTAATCGACCTCGGGTGATCGTACATTGGCAAAATGAGCGGCCATGGTCGGTTTTAAATTGATATTGTTCCGAGTATATGCATTTACGTACGCTTCAATGGCATGTGGCGCCGTTTGTGCCATTTCACTGAGGGCTTCCTCGCTTAAATACGGCGAGTGGGTCGGAATATGGATATGGTGATGCATGCACACAAATTGAAGTGTCAGAACAACGCCTTTCAGGTACCAATTCTCAGCACGTAGGGCATCCAATTTTCCCTTGGCAACGTTGGCATCTCGGACCGCGCTTGTTCGCTGTTCTCGAAGGACTTTGATCGTGCTCTCCAGGTCTTTCAAATGACGTTCCTTGCGTTCTCGAAAAGCCCGTTGAGCAGCTCGGTTCTGTGCTTTACGTAACGCTGGGGACGCTGGATTCGGTTTACGGCCTGGCTTTTTTCGAATTTTGATAGGTTGACCATTCTCGCCCACGGTCGGTGCGGCAGCCCCTGGTGGGGCGCCCGCCGCAGGAGGAGGGGGAGGAGCCAAAGTTTGTTTTCGAGAATCGTTGTTGTTGTTCAACACCATGACCGGCGACGTTTGTGGGTTGGACGGAGATAATGATGAAAATGGAGACGGAGACGGAGACGGGGACACAAGATGAGGCGAATGATTAGGGTGATTACTAACGTAGATGGCTTGATTGGGTTGCATGGTGGTCGACGGATTTGAGGGTATATACGGAGACGGCATGGTCCAGCGATGTGATTGGGCAGTTGAGGAAGTCGAGAAAGTATAGGAAGAATCGGAAGAGGAAGTCCGTAGGTGTACTGATGAGGAGGGTTGTTGTTGTTGTGAATGGGTTGGTAAGACGGAGTTGCCAGAAGGATAAACCATTAGAAAAAAAAATAAGGAATCCGCGGGGCAATGAATAAAAAGAGATGAAGAGTCAGCAAAAACTGTAGGAAAATTGAGCGGGGAACCGACGGGAATTGCACGTGATAGATTAACCGACAAAACCCTTTCGGTTGAAATGATGCAAAACTTTAATTTTACTCCACGGAAGAAAGTTCTCTCCAGATCCTTTTCTCATTACTGGCAATTTTCATATGATGTGAAACCAAAAATCTTCCTTTTTGCGTATATGGCAACCATGGCTGCGTTTTCTCTTTTACTCCATACTTTATACCACTCCATTTCCCTGGTTGCTTTTACTTTATTTCTTGTTTTTGTGGTGAAGGTGAGTGGTTGGATGTAACATAGTATTTTCCCAGGGTCAGAAACACAAAAAGGAAATCGACGTTGGAGCGGTAAAAATTTTTATACGAATATCGTGGACACTCTCACTGCAATAGGGCGGAGATTGAATGACCAACGATGACACCTTTTTTATCTATTAGACTCCATGTCTTTGTGCGCCTCTAATTGCAAAAGAACAATTATCATATCAGTCCACACGTTGTGGAAACCCTGAAGGTGGATTTAAGTACGAAATTGGTGTACGTCCTGTAGTTGCCTAGTCTAGCTGCCGGGTGAAACAGCATCTCTCCACCGATGTTGCTGTACTCAAAGCAATTTCCTGTGTAAAACGTGCATCCAATGAGTTAAAATACAAAAGTTAACCTTTCTCTGTATACGCTGCCTTAAATTGCATCATGTCATTGAAGACGACAGGGAACAGACCAAACTCCCGCAATGATGTGCACAAAGTAGCCTTGGCCAACCGCATCATCCGATAGATGTCTTTGTATGCCAGGTCCATCGCAAAGGTTTCGTAGCGATCACCTACGCAAAAAATAAATATTCGAAAACATTAGATTATTCTTCTCTCCCTTCACTTACCTTCTATCAAAATGCCGCACACTAAGGGTGCTTGTACACCGAGATAGATCAGTTCAAGTAAAATGCGCTTCATTTCCTTTGCCAGCTTCACGAAATTAGTCATGTGGTTGGAACTTCGCTTGTAATCCACTTTCAACTCCATGATCCCGACCGCATACAATGCGGACCCCGAGTTGGCATAAAGAATCCAACTCGCTTTCAACTTCGTGACGGACTCTTGTTCTTGTTCTTCACCATCCTCGTTGCAAGGATCAAGATTGTGTTCTTCTCTGTACTGCACCTTGCTTGGAAATGATATCCCATTTACCCTTCAGAAGTAACCAGTGAGAAAATTAAGCCGCGATCTCATTGTTAAAGGTCTAATGGGAATTTTTACCAGGCACATCTGAATCGGGGCTCCCAACCAAAGATTGTTTCCAAAATGACATCCAAGTAGCGGTGCACAAATGTATCCTCCAGCATATGTACGCTCTCCGGTTGCAACAATCGTGGAGCCCTGTAGTGAAATAAAAGTCGAAGATACATCAGTGATGGCAGCTAACTAAAAACACCGGGCCTCTCATATTACAGTCTATGAATAATCTCAGCTGCGATAACTTGGTTATGCTCTTCACTTTGATTGGCTTCGTTTAGAAATGACAAGGTAATTCTTTTCATCGACAGCCAGGATGGAAGCTGCACCTGTTTTGGGGATGTTAGTAAATGCTGAAAGCAAAGTGACCATATTTATACCTCGGCAATTTTGGAGCACCAGCGCACCAACGATTCCATTTTCATTTTCTCTTGGTTCATGAGGGGAATATCCTGGATTATTCGGCGGTGTGCATTCAACTCGAAACCTGGTACACTGTCTTTATATTCACTGGCAAAGAAATAGATATGATCGAGAACACTAGACACAAAAAAATGTGTTAACAAAAAAATATCAATATATTTATTTCTCATTTATTTGAGTCCTTTCATACAGTAATTCCACATCGGTGAGCTGTTCCAGTTCCTCATTGCGGCGTTTGATTTCCTTGCGCAGCAGGGATAAGTTGTCCGTGATATTCAGATCGTCGATGATCCACTGTAGGAAACAAAACGTCATGAATCGTGAGAATGTCGCTCATCTGTATTTCCTTTTTGTGCTTCTTACCATTGCATTTCGTTCGATCGCTGCTTCATCGTGTTGCACATCAATGACTTCATATCTGCCGTTTCGGAGGTTTGCTCGTCTCGACTGATGAAAAAAAAAAGGGTCTCAGTCAAATCAGACACCATCTATCATAGGAATATAATTTACTACGGAATCCGCAATATGCTGCTCGATGTGCATGCGTAAAGTGTCAATTTGATTGAAATATTTGCTGCAAAAGCAACAGCCGAACACATCTTCGGTGCTTGCTGTTCTCTTTTTCGAAAAATGGACGCCACCTCCGTCTTTCCGCCGCTGATTCTCATCTATAGCAGTAATGGTGTGATATTTACGCAGATGCTCGCGTAAGTTTCTTCCCGAGCTCAGCGAAGGTTTACTGCAGTATGGACACTTGTTCGAAACAAATAATGATTTAACGGTGATTGACATCAAAAATAGAAGAACGGTTAAAAAAGAGGAGGCTGCGAAAGAGGGCCGTTTCCTGCAGTTATGAAAAAATGGACTGTCTAGGTTTTTTTGACGTAACACAAAAAGCGCCTCCGAGGAGACCGCTTTTCCCATGGCACGGAAACCGGCAATTGAGACAAGAGTGCGTTATTCTTTCACGTGCCTGACCAAGTCTGGATTCGTCATAAAAAATGAACAGACGTCGGCAATGGAAATTTATGAAATAGATTTAGTGGACGACTTCAATGCAAATCTTATTATGCCCGTTTCGAACGCGAGCTTTTACAACAATACACAGGCAGCAACAGAGGTAACGACATATGATACAACGCATAAAGAATCTGGCGGGCGCTAATATTTTTTTTTTTTGAAACGTACTCAAACAGACCTGTCCACTCAATGGAAGAAAGTTCTCTGGAGATTGCGGCCACTGCCACTGCAATAGGACGGAAATTGAATGGCCCACGATGACATCTTCGTTAGACTACACGTATTTATGCGATCCGTTTTGCAAAAGAACAATTACCGTCTTAATCGACACGTTGAATGAGCCCTGCGCTTGGGCGTAACCACGAGATTGGCGTCCGCCCAGTTGTTGCCTGGCCTAATTGGCGGGCGCAATGACATTTCTCGACCGAGGTCGCTGTTTTCAATGCAATGTCCTGTGTAAAACATCATGCGTCAATGAGTTAAAACAGTCCCAAATTAAACGTATTCTGTATACACTGCCTTGACTGTCATGATATCCATGAAAACCGCAGGGAACAGACTGAACTCCCGCAGCGTCGTGCACAAACGGACTTTCCCTAGCCGCAGGAGCCTGTAGATGCCATCATAGGTAAGATCCATGGCAAAAGTTTCGAAGCGATTTCCTATGCAAAAATTAATATTATGATAAAACAGAAGGCTATTCATTCCCATCTTCAATTACCTTCAATTAAAATTCCGCACACGATGGGCTCTTGCACTCCGGCATGGATCAGCTGATGTAATATGAGCTTCATTTCCTTTGCCAGCTTTACGAAATCAGTCATATAGTTGGGATTTCGTTTGTAATCCACTTTTAACTCGAGAATCCCAACCGCTGACAATGCGGGCCCCGCTGCAGCATATACAACCCAATCAGGTTTAAAAACTGTACTGTTAATGACTGGCTTTTCTTGGGTTTCTTCTGCATCATCCTCATTAGAAGAATCATTGGATTCCTGCTGTTTCTGCTGCACCTTATATCGCAGCAACGATCCATTCGCCCTGGAAAAGTGAACCAAAGAGGAGAATTAGGCCGCGATCTCATTTGGTTAAAGGTAATGTGATTTTTACCAGTCACAGGACAGCTGCGGTGCAGAGCCAAAGATGGCCTCTAAGATGGCATCCAAATAGCGATGTGCGAATGTATCCTCCAACATGTTTGCCCTCTGCGGTTGCATCAGTCGTGGAGCCCTGTAGTGAAATAAAGTCAAAGATATATCAGTGATGGTAGCTAATTAGATCACATCCCCTTCATATTACAGTGAATAAATTATATCAGCCGCAATGACTTGGTTGAGGTCACGGCTTTCGTTAGCTTCATTGAGGAACGCGGATGTGATTTTTTTGATATTTTCCCAGCTTGGAAATTCAACCTTTTTGAAGTATTAGTAGCATGCTGAAAATAAAGTGAGCATATATACCTCGGCAATTGTGTTGGACCATCGCACCAAGAATTGCATGGGATTTTTCTTCCTGCTCATCAAGGGAATGTGTTCAATTATTTGGCGGTGCACAGCTCTTTCGAAGCCTGGCACACTATCTTGATGTTCCCTGGCAAAGAAATAGATGTGATCTAGCACACTAGACAAAAGAAAAATGTGTCAACGAGAAAATCTACATTTGTTTCCAGCCCCTTTCTCACAGTAATTCCACATCTGTCAGCTGTTCAAGCTTCTCATTCCGGCGTGCTATTTCTTTGCGCAGCAGGTGAAGCGTGTCCGTCACATTTCTATCCTCTACCATCCACTGTGTAAAACAAACGTAATAAATTGAGAATGCCACTCATCTGTGTATTTTTTTTCTGGTTTTTTACCATTCCATCTTGCTCAATCACTGCTTCATCTTCCTGCACATCGACCACTTTGTATTTGCGCTTTCGGAGGTTTGGTCGTAATGACTAACGAAAAAAAAAAGGTCAAAGCTAAACCAAACAAAACATACGATAAGAATTTTACCACCGAATCCGCAACGTGCTGCTCGATATGGGAGCGGAAAATGTCAATTTGATAAAAAATACTGGTTGCAATAGCAACATCCGAACACATCTTCGGTGCTTGCTGTTCTTGTTCTCGAGAAATGGATCCCATCTCCGTCATTCCGCCGGTGACACTGATCCACAACAGTGACTGTATGCAGCCTTCGGAGGTGATCGCGCAGGTTTCGTCCCGAGTTCAAAGTTTTACTGCAATAAGGACATTTGTTCGTAACAAATAAAGATTTAACGGTAGATGACATGAGAAATAGAAGAACTGTAAAAAAAAAAAAAAAAAAAAAAAAAAAAAAAAAAAAAAAAGCAGGTGCAAAAGAGTGCCGTTTCTGAAGTTGCGAGAGAATGTATTTACAGGAGCGTCTGCATTTTATTTTGGCGTAACACAAAATGCACCCAGCAAGAGGTCGCATTTCCTGTGGTACGGAAATGACAGCATAGATAAGAGCGCAATTTTTTTTTTCACATGCTGTTGAAGTGTACTGGCACGGATCTTCAGAAAAGCTGGAACAGGCGTCGGCAACCAGGCATGTGCCAACAGATTAAGCGTCGAACCCGTTGCAACTATTTATTAAGGCCCGTTTTGAACGAGCACAGGCAGCAACCAAGTAGATCGACAATGGATATAACACACGAGGATTCAGAGGACGGTGAAGATACTTTTTTTTTTGATTGGGATCAATAATAAACATCATCAACACAAGCAAGGAGAACGCTAACCCTTTTTTGGACGGGGTTCGAGTAAGACCTCAGCTGACCCGTTACACAAACAGCCAACAGTGTCACAGAGACCCAGTTAAGCTTAGACTTGTCTTTTTCCCTCAAATACAATGAATCGCACCTTACAGCCTGTTTTTTTCCCTAAGATGCGATTTTTCGCTCCTTACAGCTGTTTAATACCTAAGGTGCGATTTTTCGCACCTTACAGCCTGTTTTTTTCCCTAAGATGCGATTTTTCGCTCCTTACAGCTGTTTAATACCTAAGATGCGATTCTTCGCACCTTACAGCCTGTTTTTTTTCCCCCTAAGATACGATTTTTCGCTCCCTACAGTCTTGGTTTTTCGACTTTCATCTGAATTGCAATTTAACTGCAATTCTATATGGCAACCAGCATCTGCTCTTTACTCTCCACTAACCATCTCTATCCTCTTGACGCTTTCTTTTATTTTATTCCTGCTGTGGCATGTAATATGGTGTAATGTTTGCTAGGGTCAGCGGCCCAAAAGAACTTCAACGTTGAAGCGGCAGATTTTTTGTTATTCGATATCGCGGACAACTTCCGCTGCAATAGCGCCAAGATTGAATGGCAAACGATTGGGCCTTTTTATCCCTTAGACTACATGTATTTGTGCGGTCTATTTTTCAAAAGAACAACTGCCATCTTGGTCTACACATTGTATGAACACTGAATGTGAGCGCAATCACGAAATTGACGTCCATCCACTTGTTGCCTGGCCTAGTTTCTGGGCGCAATGAGAATTTTCCACCACGATTGCTGCTTTCAATGTAATTTCCTGTGTAAAAACATAATGCATCAGTTAGACAGTATACAATTAATGTTTTCTGTATACGCTACCTTAAATTCAATCATATTATTGAAAATGTCGGGAGTAAACTGAAATGCTACAGCGACGTACACAAATTGACCTTTCTCGGTCATAATCAGTCGGTAAATGACGTTATACGCAAGGTTCATGGCAACTATTTCGCATCGATTGTCTATGCAAAAAATGGAATAGTCTCAAGCTCCGGTTCAAATCAGTAATCAACGTACGCAACGAAGCTGGATATTTACGAATAGCTTGGCTCTACGTGAAAGGCGAGAAGGCGTTCCATATGCTGTGTGCAAGGTATGTCTTTAATTTTTTTTCTATCGAATCGGTTATTCATATGCATATCCACATATTTAGGAGGGCCTGTGCCGCAGCGCTTACATCAACAAAGATTCTTCAACCCGTAACATCCGCCGACATTTGAAGATTCAGCACGGAATTACGGAAGTCAACGCCGGATCACATTCTCGTTCCACTATTGGCGGCCCATTAGACAATTTCGTTTCCAATGGTCAACTGATTTCCGGTCAACCTCGCCAAGAGATGACTCGGGATCTTTGGCGTCAACTGTTGTGTGGCTTTGTTGTCAAGACCCAGTCGGCCTTCTCAATTGTTGAGAATCCCGAGTTCCGGCATTTGATCGAGGCTGCAACCATGGTATCCGACGAGGAACTCACTAGGCCTATCAGTGCGGACTCGACCAAACGTGATATTGCAGCAATGCACCATTCCAAGAAGCTGGAGATCATGGAATTATTGCACCAGCAAGTGGCACTTTCCTTCACGTTGGACCTTTGGACCTCTTAGTGGGGTATGGACTTCTTTGGCATTACGGCGCATTTTATCGACAGGGAGTGGAAGCAGCAAGAAGCGCTCATCGGTTTTGAGCATTCAGAAAACCGACATACTGGTGAAGAACTGGCGGATATTTTTCTGCGCGTTTTAGATGATTTTGAGATTACGAATCTTTTGTTCACGGTCACCCGCGATAACGGAAGCAACGTCCTCAGGATGATGAAGATTCTGGAGGAGCGTTCTATTAATGGCGGCCGCTTTATCTTCAATAAGGCCCAACACCACATCCCATGTCTCGGCTATATCCTCAATCTTGCTGTTCAAGCGGCATTAAAGGATGGTCTATGTGCAGGTCCTGATGACAGTGAGGACGATCGTATCACCAGTGTTGTCGGTCTGAACCCGATCTCAAAATTGCGCTGTGGTATTAAGAGGGATCAGGTAAATTTCATATTGATTTTGAATTGTTGTGCGTTTGGTAAATTCGGATGGCATAATTAGACGCTCACCCTCGAAGTATGACAAGGAGTATGAGGACATAAGCAAAGCTGTTTTTGGGAATGTGGAAGTTCTCATGTTGGATGTCAAGACGCGTTGGAATTAGACAATGCTGATGGTGAAGCGCGCTCTTGAGGTGAAAGATGCCTACAATCACATCTGTCAGCATTTCCTGGAGCTCGTGCAGTTTGTTCTATCCGATGCCGACGTCAACTTCCTACAGCGAATGCTGGTTCTCTTTCAGGAGTTCCATGGAATGACGGAATCGGTGTCGTCGTCAAGGTATAGATCATATTTCAGTGATTCAGATTATCAGCTTATTAATGAGCTTTTGAAAGAATAGATATCCCTCAATCAACACTGTCATCTTTGCATACAATGCATTGCTGGATGGAATTGAGGATTTATGCGATGACGATACCAATCCCGTGGAACTTTGCCAGGCTGCTGAGAAAGCGAAGGAGAAGCTCCAGCAATATTACTGCCGAACCGATGATACTGATGTGTATGCTGTTGCGACTGCTTGAAGTTCCAATACTGGTCTGACATGAACTGGGAATCCGACTACATTCAAGATGCTCAAAGGAAGGTGCGATCTGTTTGGGAGGAATTCCGGCCCCCCACTGCAAGTGGTACTCTGCAGGAAGGAAACGTCGACGGCCGTATCAACCGTTTCCGACCGAAGCGCCAACGAGTGGTAGACGAGCTGGAGGCTACCTTCAAGGCCTTTCTCTGACGGATGCCGGTGAGGACAATGAGGCGAATTGCGTGCTTGAGTATTGGCATCATTGCCAAACAGTCTTTCCAAGACTGTCGACAATGGCGCGCAAGTACCTCGCTGTCCCTGCCACCTCAACATCTTGCGAGCGGTTATTTTCCAAGGCCAAATACTTCATTCCTGCCAGTCGGAATCGTATGCATGCGGAGACCTTGAAGCAAAGTGTTCTCCTTGATTCCTGGTTACAGTATTGTTTTTTTAACTGCTTGTCGTTTTTTCTTTCCTTCTCTTCGTTTTTTTTCTCTCCATTTTTTTCTGTCTTCTCTCCTTTTTTGTTCTCCCTTTTTTTCCTGCTCTTCATTGTATTCGTTCTCTTCCTTTTTTTTTCTCGCCGGTTGTTTTCCTTCTCTTCATTTTTTTTCATTATTATAGCAATTTCAGGTTTCTTTCTCTCCCTACTTTTTTTTCTGCTCGTTTGATAATAAATATTTTTTCGCTTCTTTCTATGACGGTTGTCACTTCATCTTAGCGCATTCTGCTTCGCTTTATTTCATTTCTCATTACCATTTTCGCATCTCGTTTTCTCATCCGCATGACACATCGCACTTTCGCTCATTACAAGCTGAATCAGATGTCGGGTCAGCCTCTGACCCGAACTGTCTACCAGTTCAGAAATTGTCGACCCGCGGTTCGGGTCACTGACCCGCGACCCGTTAAGGAACCCTGTGCCTGGTAAAAATTCCCATTAGACCTTTAACAATGAGGTCGCGGCTTAATTTTCTCACTGGTTACTTCTGAAGGGTAAATGGGATATCATTTCCAAGCAAGGTGCAGTACAAAGAAGAACACAATCTTGATCCTTGCAACGAGGATGGTGAAGAACAAGAACAAGAGTCTGTCACGAAGTTGAAAGCGAGTTGGATCCTTTATGCCAACTCGGGGTCCGCATTGTATGCGGTCGGGATCATGGAGTTGAAAGTGGATTACAAGCGAAGTTCCAACCACATGACTAATTTCGTGAAGCTGGCAAAGGAAATGAAGCGCATTTTACTTGAACTGATCTGTCTCGGTGTACAAGCACCCTTAGTGTGCGGCATTTTGATAGAAGGTAAGTGAAGGAAGAGAAGAATAATCTAATGTTTTCGAATATTTATTTTTTGCGTAGGTGATCGCTACGAAACCTTTGCGATGGACCTGGCATACAAAGATATCTATCGGATGATGCAGTTGGCCAAGGCTACTTTGTGCACATCATTGCGGGTGTTTGGTCTGTTCCCTGTCGTCTTGTTATGCACTGATTACGAGAGAATCAGTGCAAGCTGGACAAGAAGATGATGTTTGTCGTATAGATAGGGTTCATATACCACTACATAAGAATTACCTCGGTTTAAGCAGATAAGAGACACTAGAGTAGTTACATACTATTTGTACATTCAAATCCCAATACCAGTTATTATCTTTGAATACCAGATACTAAAGAGATCATCTCTTTGGAGAATAAACAACAGTCTCACCGTACTCAACGTCTCTATCCATCTATATCACAGCTGCAATGGTTGTCATGTAGTGCAGTTAATTGCATCCAAGATGAAAGTTGAAAATCCCAGGACTGAAAGGTGTGAAAAATCGCTCCTTATAAAAATCAAATCGCTTCTTATAAAAATCAAATCGCTTCTTATAAAAATCAAATCGCTCCTTATAAAAATCAAAATCGCTCCTTATAAAAATCAAATCGCTTCTTATAAAAATCAAATCGCTCCTTATAAAAATCAAAATCGCTGCTTATAAAAATCAATCAAATCGCTGGTTGGAAAAACAAATCGCTGCTTATAAAAATCAGAATCGCTTCTTATAAAAATCAAATCGCTGCTTATAAAAATCAAATCGCTGCTTATAAAAATCAAATCGCTGCTTATAAAAATCAAATCGCTCCTTATAAAAATCAAAATCGCTGCTTATAAAAATCAATCAAATCGCTGGTTGGAAAAACAAATCGCTGCTTATAAAAATCAGAATCGCTTCTTATAAAAATCAAATCGCTCTTTATAAAAATCAAAATCGCTCCTTATAAAAATCAAAATCGCTCCTTATAAAAATCAAATCGCTTCTTATAAAAATCAAATCGCTCCTTATAAAAATCAAAATCGCTCCTTATAAAAATCAAATCGCTTCTTATAAAAATCAAATCGCTCCTTATAAAAATCAAAATCGCTCCTTATAAAAATCAATCAAATCGCTGGTTGGAAAAACAAATCGCTGCTTATAAAAATCAGAATCGCTTCTTATAAAAATCAAATCGCTCCTTATAAAAATCAAAATCGCTCCTTATAAAAATCAATCAAATCGCTTCTTATAAAAATCAAAATCGCTCCTTATAAAAATCAAATCGCTTCTTATAAAAATCAAATCGCTCCTTATAAAAATCAAAATCGCTCCTTATAAAAATCAATCAAATCGCTGGTTGGAAAAACAAATCGCTGCTTATAAAAATCAGAATCGCTCCTTATAAAAATCAATCAAATCGCTGGTTGGAAAAACAAATCGCTGCTTATAAAAATCAGAATCGCTCCTTATAAAAATCAAAATCGCTCCTTATAAAAATCAAAATCGCTCCTTATAAAAATCAAATCGCTTCTTATAAAAATCAAATCGCTCCTTATAAAAATCAAAATCGCTCCTTATAAAAATCAATCAAATCGCTGGTTGGAAAAACAAATCGCTGCTTATAAAAATCAGAATCGCTTCTTATAAAAATCAAATCGCTCCTTATAAAAATCAAAATCGCTCCTTATAAAAATCAATCGCTCCTTATAAAAATCAAAATCGCTGCTTATAAAAATCAATCAAATCGCTGGTTGGAAAAACAAATCGCTGCTTATAAAAATCAGAATCGCTCCTTATAAAAATCAAAATCGCTTCTTATAAAAATCAAATCGCTCCTTATAAAAATCAAAATCGCTCCTTATAAAAATCAAAATCGCTCCTTATAAAAATCAAATCGCTCCTTATAAAAATCAAAATCGCTCCTTATAAAAATCAAATCGCTTCTTATAAAAATCAAAATCGCTGCTTATAAAAATCAATCAAATCGCTGGTTGGAAAAACAAATCGCTGCTTATAAAAATCAGAATCGCTTCTTATAAAAATCAAATCGCTCCTTATAAAAATCAAAATCGCTCCTTATAAAAATCAAAATCGCTCCTTATAAAAATCAAATCGCTTCTTATAAAAATCAAAATCGCTCCTTATAAAAATCAAATCGCTTCTTATAAAAATCAAAATCGCTCCTTATAAAAATCAAATCGCTTCTTATAAAAATCAAATCGCTCCTTATAAAAATCAAAATCGCTCCTTATAAAAATCAATCAAATCGCTGGTTGGAAAAACAAATCGCTGCTTATAAAAATCAGAATCGCTTCTTATAAAAATCAAATCGCTCCTTATAAAAATCAAAATCGCTCCTTATAAAAATCAAAATCGCTCCTTATAAAAATCAAAATCGCTCCTTATAAAAATCAATCAAATCGCTGGTTGGAAAAACAAATCGCTGCTTATAAAAATCAGAATCGCTTCTTATAAAAATCAAATCGCTCCTTATAAAAATCAAAATCGCTCCTTATAAAAATCAAAATCGCTCCTTATAAAAATCAATCAAATCGCTCCTTATAAAAATCAATCAAATCGCTGCTTGAAAAAACAAATCGCTGCTTATAAAAAACACACAAAAACGGCTCCAAGGTGCGATTCATTGCATCTGTGATATATGAGAGAATTTAGAACAAAAGAGACAATAAGAATCCTTTGAGACTGTTGGATGATCTTTATTTCGATTAATGTGATCTGCCTATTTATACTTTAGTCTTGAGTCGGAATTAATAATTATCAGTGAGCAGTCCTCGGTTATAAGGTGTATTAGGAAGGATCCACATGCTGTGATGTGACAGCTTTACCTGTATGAATTAATCTCGGCGATAGATCCAAGTTATGGATGAAGAGGCTCAATCGGTGTTATGGAGAAGCTCACTCAGAATGGAAACACGTCTAGATCCCGATCTTTCCTGTTTGGGAACACCAATCTAGGATGGATAATACGACAAGTAGTGGATATACCACAGCATCTGAGAGAAAAAAGACAGATCTGAGCTCAACTCGGTATTTGTGTCACTGTTGGCTGTTGTGTAACGGTCAGCTAGAGTCTTATTTGAACCCCGTCCAAAAAAGAGTTAGCATTTCCCTTGCTTGTGTTGATTAATGTTTATTGTTGAGTTTGAGTGCTTACGTTGTAACGTTGGTTGTCGTGGAACCAGCCTCTCGTTCGATTCCAATTAAAAAGCATCTTTACTGTCCTCTGAATCCTTGTGTGTTACATCTATTAGCTCTACTTGGTTGCTGCCTGTGCTCGTTCGAAATGGGCATTGATAAATAGTCACAATCGACACTGCTGAAGATAAGTATCAACAGCCCGTGAGGTCAAAGATGGCGTCCATTTTTAGAACAAGAACAGCAAGGGTCAAAGTTGTCTTCAGATGCTGCTTTTGCAATGGTACAGTGACTCAGGAAATTGATCTAATGTTCGCCGATTTTTTACTTTATTGCAATTATCTCCACAACCATTATACATATTGTCTCCGTTAAAAAATATGTTGTAGCCCTAATTCATAGCTTTGAAACAAAAAAAGATGAAGTCTCTTGCATAAGTAGGTGATGAGTAATCGTTTTTTCCGCACAAGTACTTATTGGATTAATTTCCTGAGTTGCCTACTTTTCTTGCGGACAGTCACAATAAGTAAATAGACTCCTTCTCACTTCTTTCAGTTATTTATTCCGATTCAAGGTGAAATCCGCATCCATTTCACTCAATTCCTTCATCCGATTCCTAATTGACCTAATTAACATGATTATCTGTAGATGCATCCGATTTCACAAGATAAATTCAACAACATCGAACAACAACTTCGCGAGAACGTTTCTCACAGAGTTATTGCTTCATGTTTCAACGCAGTGTTTCCACAGTCAGACGAACTCGCAAGCAATTAGGCATTCCCGCCACTAATTCCGCTGGACGATCATCGCTGATTACCACACAATTGGGACGTCTGATCTTTCGACGCTTCAACACTGGGGAGTATAAAACGGCTGTGGACGCCAGCAGACAACTCTCCTCCACCACGCCTATTGCTCCCCAGACGATTCGGGACTTCTTGCAGGCCAACAATTATAAGTCCATGCATAAACCTGACGCCTTGCCTTTGCAAAAAGATACCATTCTTGGACCGTCGAAGACTGGAACAGAGTGGTATTTTCTGATGAAACAAAAACAGTCGCTTGGGATCAGATGGTAAGCAGTGGACATGGACACAGTAGGGGCAACCACTTAGAGATTACAACGTCAATCATGTTACCAAGCATGGAGGTGGCAGTCTTTTTCTTTGGAGTTGCATTACTGCCAATGGCCCTGGTTTGATTACCAAAATTGAAGGAGGATTGGACGCAGCTTTATACTGTGATATTTTGGAGGATGATATGCTTGGTAGTCTTCGAGAATATGGTATGCAGATTGACAATATCATTTTTCAACAAGACAATGACCCTAAGCACACATCCAAAAAAGCAAAAGCATGGTTTGAATCCAAGGGTATTGCAGCACTCCAGTGGCCCCCTTACTCTCCTGATCTGAATCCCATCGAAAATATGTGGTATTATCTGAAGTATCAGCTTGCTGATTATGATGAAGCACCCACATCAATGGAAAGAGCTATGGAGGCGGGTCCATTATATCTGGTACAACAAGGTGACAAAGGAGGCATGCCAGAAGTATATTGCCACCATGCCTCGACGTTTGGAGGCGGTCATCAAGGCCAAAGGTGGACAGATTGATTATTGATTCAATAGTAAGTGTAACTCAGAAAATTGATCCAATGAGCGGTCGTGTGGAAATCTTGATTACTCATCATCTACTTATGCTAGAATCTTCATCTTTTTTTATTTTAAAGCTAGGAGTCATAGCTACAACATATTTTTTATTTGGGGTAGATAGATATGGTGGTTGTGGAGATAAATGCAATAAAGTAAAAAATCGGTGAACATTGGATCAATTTCCTGAGTCACTGTATTTAATGAAATTAACCCGTTGCGCAGCCACATCGAAATTTCGGGTTCCGTGGTAACCCTTCCTGTAGAGCTGTTGTCTTGTCTGTTTTCGATCACCTTACTACTGTAGCTCTGTTTATCAGACAAAATGAAATCATCGATGTGTGAACAAGTTAAGATGTAATTCATCATATTAGGGGGAAAGTCGGGTCTCAAATAAATGCGAAGAAAAAAAAAGTTACGCTCACTAAGATATCCAATGTTATGCCCATAATATTATATTTTCTGGTGAGGATACTTCTTTGAGCGGAGGCGTCATATCCGTTCAAATACGACCGCTGTGTCCGACAAACCGGCTCAAACACCTTATCAACATTTCCTTGGGTCGGGCTCAAGCTCTCACTGGTGAACTCATCGATAGGTAGGTAAGTCCTGTTGAAGTTACCAAATAACAAACTATGGGCGACACACCAGCATAAATCATTCGCGCAGAGTCAGTTCAATACGGTTGACCAGCTTCACAAAGGTCGGTCATTTGTTGTCCAGTTATTTCACATTCCCAACAGCTGAAACGCGCAATTCGGACTTGACGCAAGACTCAATCAAGCTTGAAAAATAAAGTCCTGTTTTAGCTAATTGAACCTCTTTATCTTCCACACCATCGTCTGAAACCCCACAATTGCCACTGTCTTCTGCTTATGTTGGATTTTGGTGCAAAATAATGAACCGTTTACCTTACAGAAATGAACGCTCAGAAAGCTTAAACCCCGACACTAGCCATGCGTAAATCGAGAATCCGAACCAAAGCCTGTGTGCAGAACCTCACTTCATCTTTCGGGTAAATGAAACATGGAGCACTATAATGTAACCAAAAATTGAGTAATATCAGTAACGGCAGTTAACCACATCTTAAGGCCGCTCATGTTACGATGAATGAACGACTGACTGCTGCGGCAGTTGTTGTAGATGTGAGCACGTTTATTCCATGTTACCTGACAATAATTGAAATGTAATCGAGAGCATGATACAAATACGTCAGTAAAAAACCTTTATTTGCTTATAGATCCTCTTTTGCAGAAATTTCGACAGTGAGTTGTTTCTGGTTCTCGTGGCGAAGTATGACCATTTTTCGCAGCAGTAACAAAGTGTGCCACGATAATTATCCGGTCGACGATCAAATGTATCAAATAAAATAGAATAGCAAAAAGTGATAATGCCGCCCATATACTGATGTGACTTTTCTCTTTACATGAATAAGGTGACTAATACTTACAAGCTGGAGAAAACGAAGCGTGCACAAGGAGTTACTTGTTAATTTGACATTTTTGATGTGCCATTTTAGACGAATGTCGTCCATAGATTTGGTTGTAAAATGCAATGTGGTATAAGAAAACAGCTTTAATCAACCGCTGCTTCATGGGTATGGATTTTTGGACTCATTACATTCGAATGTCAACCTATACTGTACAAAGCAAGCGACGTGGTTTTCCAAGGATACGACTCCAAAAGGCCGAAAATCGGCAACTGACTTCTAATTGGCTTATCGCTGAATAGTTGATTAACTTTGTGACACCCATTCCAATGGACTAGCGAGTTTAATAAAGTGGCGACAAGGCCAGCAGGGCCACCTGGTTTGTTCTTAAAATGGATGGGGCACCTTCCCCACACATGTTTCTGTGGACTTTTATTTCTGTTTTCACATGCGCATATATTTCGCTTGAACGTTGACCTTTTTTTGTTGCCGATCTTAACCTCAACCGACACGCGGATCGGTTTTTCTTTGTGCCAGTGTGCACAGTGCCGTTAATGTAACTCCATTCACATCAATGTTTTTCTCCGCTTCTCACCCCAAAACGCTAATTGTATAAAATCCTTCCTTTTCCTTTTTCTTCGCCCTTTCATTTGCACCTGATTTTCGTCGCTTTAATTCTCTTCTACTCTTTCTTCCTTCATTTTCTTTTTCCTTGGGCTTTTTTTTTGTTCACTCTCTTTCTTTAGATTTGTTTTTTAAGCCTTTGCTTACTGTTATTCGTTTATTTTTTATTGTTTTTGTTGCAAAATGACGGATATTTCGTTTGAACATTTTGACCCTGAACTCGAATTGGGTAACCTGGATGAAAATGGACGACCTATTCGTCCACGCAAAAAGCCCGGAAGGAAACCGAATCCGCCTTCGCCGGCACAACGCAAAGCGCAAAATCGAGCCGCTCAACGGGCCTTTCGTGAACGAAAACGTCGTGAGATGCGTGAAGCCGAAAATACTGTTAAACGTTGCATGTATATCCGGGATCAAGCATTAAAAGAAGTCAATATGCTCCGCAAACGATTAGACATTTACCGATACGAGAACAATTACCTGAAAGGATGCCTGTTAACCTTCAAATTGGCTTGCATTGCCAACCGAGTGGATGTTCCCAAGTTTTGGGATACCGGAATGACTGATGAACTCGGCGCAGAACGATTAACGTTTTCGAAAACCAAAGGAATTCCTCAGTCGTTGGAATTCTTTCTCAACAAGCACATGAATATTGTGGGTATGAATCAAAATGATCATCCCACTTCGCCCGTCTCGGCCGACAGCCCATGCTCCTCTTCCTTTGAACCCACATCACCATTTTCCTCTACCACGACCGGTACTTCCACCCAAGAATCCCAATTATCCTCCAGTCCTCAATCCTCATATTCCGCGAACAGCGCAGATTCTTTTCTCAGCATGGCGGATCCTCCTCTAGCTCCTAAGCAGGATACTCTCCATGATCATCCGGATCCGTTGCTGGACTTGCCTTCTTCACTTGACATGAGCCAAGCTTTGTCTGCTTTGGCCCCCCAGCTGGCCAGCCACCTTGAATCACCCTTCTTCCAACATTTGCTCACGACAGACCTCGTCTCTGACCTTCTCTCCCACATGAACCGCATCGATACACCCATGAATCTCTCATCCTCCTCCTCCCCATCTTCCGCATTTGATCTCTCCTCTTTTCTCTCTTCTGATGTGCGCTCCATGCTATCGCTGGGCATAACCAATGACAAAATTCCCACTTTAAATGATCCTTCTTATGACAACGTATCCCTTCGAGAGGCCAGTAACGAGTTCGGCGACCCACCTTCTCACGAAAGCTACTTGTCCGCTCTTGAATCAGCGCAGGACGATGGAAAGGAAGAGTTTCGCGATGCCAAGACAGGCTTGGCAAGGACCACGACCGAAGCTCAGGACGAACCGATCAGCGATCCCACCCACCCCAAGCCATCCTCATGTGACAAAAAGGTGTTTCCGCCCATGCCTTCCTTGGATGCAGTACAACATTTACGAGCCATGAAAAATCTCGATGCTACCACTCGCGCTTTATTCACTCCCAGTAAGTCAGAAATAGTTTTGGCCAAGAAAAAAGCCGAGAGTTTTTTAGAGAGAGATTGGAGAGGACATTGGCTAACGTTTTGGGGGTTTCGGTTCACTTTAGCCGAACTGCAACGAACGATTCCTCACGATACTCGAATTGACGTTGTACCGGGACCGGCAATGCGCGATCATATGATTTTATTCCAAGACTTTTACGACGCCAATGAATTATTTGACTTTTTGATTGATTCGGCCATTTTCTTGGGAGGCGAATTAGGCAATCCAGATTGTTGGTTTGTGCCTCCCAGTTTTCTCAGTAAATACTGGTTCCTGTGTCCCAACCATAAACCGGAAAGGATGGATAATGCAGTGGAAATCATGGTGGAGCTTGGACAACAAATGATCAAACACATGTTTCAGCGAAAGCAAATGTACATCCAGCGTGAGCAGTACCCTGATTACTTTCCCAACCCGGCCACCGACGCATCGCAAAGTTTATGTAACAACGTCAGATCTCTGACATTTGAAGACTCTTTGATGACGGACGAGATACCACTGGGTAAAATGCGGACTCCATAATGGCATGGAACGATTTTGCACGATCCAATCAATCTCACGCTTTTTCTGCTTCTAGATGTTGTGATGGATCTCATGGAAGGCATACCAACAGGAACACCGAACACCGCCTTTGCCATGTAAAGTCCATGCATTCCCACCTTTCTGGACAACCCAATTCATCTATTTCATACTGTAATTTCATTCGTTTTTGTTTCACCTTGTATTTATCGGTTGTATACACACAAATTATACCATCTTCACCTTTGTTCTAGTTTTATTGTCCTTCCAAGGTTTCTCTGGTAACCCTTTTCTTATTATTATTATTCTTTTTGTTTGCAGATTGATAGTGATCTGATTAAAAGTTATGCTGCGCATTTCCCATAAGACAGTAAAGAAATTTCATGTGATAAAATTCATTTTCACATGAGTAACGATAAACAGTTGGGGCAAACGTTAGTGGCATTTTTGTACAACGATGGTTCGTTTCACCAAAAAAGAAGCTAAAAAAACCTTTGGCAGCAAGTGCCTGAGCAAGGCAACAGTGATACAGTATCATTTTCCAACTTGTCTTACGCTTGCATTCTTTTGTGGAATCGTCACTCACCGTATTATATGAATGATCGAAAGGTATTTTGCTGGTCTTATTTGGAGCCACAGAGCCTTTCATTTGTAGACATACTTGTCAAGCCGGCATGGACAAGTCTACATGGATAATGGAAATGGACCATTGCTTGTGCAAGGATGTTCGCCATATCATAGATGGGGAATTCATGCAATGTATCTGCATTTTGTGTTACTTTAGTAAGGATAGCTCGCGGTTGAAAGCGGTGATCGACAACGGTACGTTGTGCCGCACCCATGGACTTTCCATCATGAATGGATTCTCCGAGACATTGACTGCGTACCGTGTGTGAGTGCATCAATGTTTGCCGACTCCTTAGCGCTCGTGCAAATACAAACGCCGTGACCGAATCAGCATAGATGATGAACCATGAGGTGGCATCCCTCGGCTGTAACCAAACTTTATCACCGTTCACCACCATAAGCAAACAATAGTCAAATCAAATAAACTATGTGCTATATCATTGAAGTCTAACAGAGCATACGGTGCAGTTAGTCACGTTCATTGTTTGAAATGAAGCGAAAAGAAGAAAAAAAGCTTTTATGATGATACAATGACGCTCAAGGAGAGAATGCCCATTTGAAGTAACAAAGATTCTTCAGGAAAATTCTTTGCATTAAAAAGCTTAAATTTTGGAAACCGGTTGGGCCTGTTGTAGATCGCTGCTATATGTGTGAGTGTGTTTGTATGTGTGCGTATTTACCCTTGAAACCGGATACTGCATAGAGCATCATGAGGGCCAAAAGTTTGTTTTTTGACAATTGAAGCTTTTAGAAGGGTCGCCAGGAGAACGAAGTTTGTAAGGAGATCCAAACCTTGAAGATAACAAGAAGAATAACAACGGGATAAAAAAAAAGTTAAAAATTTAGAACCAAGATCATTGAAAAAAGATCATCATCCATCATGAGTAAGAAAAAAAAGAGGAGTGTCCCGTTTAACCTTTTGCGTTGGTTCCACCGAAAACGCAATGGAGATGACATGTGCCGGGCTTTGATTTTTGGCATATGGTTAAAGAAGATGGGCGTCCCAGTCAAAAAAGAGGCGTGGGAGCTCCCACATAATGCTTGCACATTTTAGCCTACTTAATCTTTTGAGAGCTGTTTTCGGATGGGTGAACGTTCTTTCACCCCACACCTTTTGCCATCACTGCATTGCGTAAGCATGTTGCCATGTGTTATTGCAAAAAGACTAACGGTATTAAACACCATCCCACGGGGGCTCGGCTGAGTATCATACGATCATGATCGCGATCCTTTTTTTTTCTTTCATTTGCTAACGTTTACGGTTGATCGATCATCAACTACTAGTGATACTCCTCAAATTTTTTTCTTGCGTCCTGAAGTTTAAGGTCACGTCAACTATACCCTTGGGTTATCGTCACTGGTCACCCCTGGCTAACCAAGAATTTGGAACATTGCAAGAGAAGCCCAAAAAGCTAAAATCATAGCCTTTTTTTCCCGATTTAGATACCGTCAGGTGCAGCGTCCTTGCTAAAAAAAAAAAAAAAAAAAATTAAAGTTCGGACATTTGCCAAATATGCGCACGCTTGACAACTTATAAAATTTGCAAGCACACGTTCCCAAAGAAAAAAAAAATATCTGATAAGCTTTGCCTAGGCTATATCGTATTATCGTATTTGGTACGCTCATCGTGATATTGTAGCTTTTATGCACCTCGACTGGTATCCATTTCTTTTTTTGTCATTCAACTTGGACAGCCTGAGAAATGTTATTAATAAGTTTTTCTGCATATCATATCATATTCTCTCTGTATTTCTCCAATGAGTGTCCTCTGGTATACAGCTACATAGAATTACAAGTACAATATGAAGAAAATTCAGCCGTCGTCTAGGTAATTAGAGAACCAAGTTACAAGTGATCCAAAAATAAAGTTTATTGGTATCTCGATTTCATCTGGCAAGGCCATGATTATTAACAAGGAGAATAAGGTCCACAACATGATAACACACACGGGCATAAACAAAATTAACCAAATGATCTCACACTGACGAATTTATCGCAGTGGTATAGACATGCAGGCCCTTATCAAAACCTTTGCCTCTGAATTTGCCTGCCAATCTCATGATTTACAATGAATAGACCGGGATACATTGATGCAGCAGACCTTCTTGTTGCCCTACCAAAACCTACTCCTTTTTTGGCAACAGGCGCATCGGTTTCATTGGAGGAGAGTTTCACAGCGCTGTATTGTCAAATCAACCCGGGGATCCTCTCTTCCAAAAACTATGTCTTCGAGGCGGATTCACCGTTGGCAAGAACCTCGGGAATTGTAAACAAACCTTGGTTATGGGAAATTCGCCAGCAGCAAAGGCCAAATCAGAGCCAATCAGAGACGTAAACATGCATCGCATACAGACGGCCAACTAAGGTTCCTTTGATCTTGAATTGGCTTGATGACACTTACATGAAATCGAGCCTTGGCTGCGAGGCTCGATGTTCTGTCAAATTCTTTTTGGTCAGCAAGAGGATAACGAAAGACTAGCAAAATTCACAAAGAAATTCAACCCAAGGATCATGCGCATAAGCGGCAAGGATCGAAGAATAGCTTCATTTTCCGAATCAGTTATCGCTGTTCACATATCATGCATGGACCAGTTAAAATTATGTATCCCTCAAAACTTTGGCCCAATATGATACAGGGCTCGGGTTTACTTTCATAATCCACTAGTAGAATGTTTAATAAACTTCACTACCCATGAAAAAAAAGTGCTTAATACAATAATGATATAAGATATTGGTGTGTTAAAAATGCAGACATAGCAGAAAATATTAATGTGTGTATATGAAAAAAACAAGTGGTGAAAAAAGGGCTGATGAATAAATCATAATCGAGCAAGCATAAGAATGGGGAAAATGGGAAAGGTAATAATGCATAAAACAAGACTGTACAACAGGATATATAAAAAAAAAAACAAATATGCTCTAGCTGCTGTGGTTTGCATGAGTAGTGGAAGTGTATAATGAACATGTAAGTAGGAAATGAAATGCGTTGGGTTGGCGCGAAAAAGAAACCAAAAGGACGAGGAGATGTGTTCCAAGGATGTGAACAAAGGAAAAAGAGGCTGTGGCGGTAGCAAGAGGGTGGTGGAGGTATAAAAATGATCGATAAAAATGGTGGTGGATTTAGTTGGCAAAGGCTCATTCAGGGGACCAAAGAGAAAAAGCGGCCATCAAAGGATCGTAGTGACATGCAAGGTCGTTGGTTGGTAAATACTCTGGCATGAGCCGGAGATTCGATTTGGTGGTGCCAGGGGAGGAGGTGTGGTAAAGAGAGGAAGGCGGAGAATGAGGTGAAGATAACACACTGCTTGGGCTACTGCTGCCACTGGTACTCGTACTTATGACACTGCCCGTACCAGTAGAAGGACGCTGATGCGGCATGGTTGTCCAAGGTAGGTTAAAGGACGCCGACGAACAAGTCGACAAGGACGACGCGGTCGAGGTCGACGTGATAGACGAAGCCGACGAACGACGGGATTCCGCCGTCGTTTGACGCGAACTGGCAGAAATGGTAGGGCTACTGACAGGCGAAGCTTCATCCCAGGACCACGCCGACCAGTTGACAAGCGTGCGAATATCGACTTTCCGTTTGGCCGCTTTGACAAACAATTCCGGAGGTCGAACCTTGGTGTGGCGGAGATAGTAGCTTTTGCAGGTTTCGCACCAATGACCTGAACCACACAAATTTCGATACCATTGATGGGTTTCCTGGACCCCGCAGTTGGCGCAAAATTTCTGAGCACGAGACGGGGCCGACATCTTGGGTGAGTAAAAGACAACGGGCAGTTGACTGGAAGTCGAGCGCGGTGAATGGTTGGACTCCATGACGGATGAGAATGAAGCCGATGACGCCTGCACACGCGTGGGTCCCGGTCGATTGGCCACAATCAATCGCAAAGGTCGCGCTTCACCGTGCTTCAGCTGGTATCGGTAGCAGGCGACACAAAGTTTGCGCCTAGAAGCCGGTTTGGTGTTGCAGTTGTGACACATGGGCTTGAGTTTGGAAGGACGTGGAGCATGCAGTAAAAGGCACAACGTGGAGTACAAAGCTGGCTGTTGCTGCTGCTGTTGCTGTTGCTGCATATCGCTCGCATTGGTGTTGATCAGTAGAGGTCGAGGTAAATTAAGATGATCCAGGCCCGCGGTGTCAAACAAATAATTGGCCAAGGCGACGGCAGAGTGAAGTTTGTCTTGGTCAAATTGATGCAAGTTGAAACGGAACAGCGTGTTGAGCACATGGTTCAAGCGATAGATATGATCTTCTTTTGCCAATGCGGCATTTTCCAAGAAACGAACATCGGTACGACCGGGGGTGGCGCCATACTGGGTATAGCGGAAAAGATGAAGCAACCATGTAGGGAAGAAGATAAAGTCAGGCGATACTAATTGACTTTTACTGCTTTCGGCTCTGAAAAAGACCGCCAGCAATCGCATTTGTCGGCAAAGTTCCGTGGACCGAATTGGGTGGGAGGCTTTGCCGGTACCAATGTGACAACGGAACGATCCATTCATATGGCGTCCAATGATCTTGACGTGGATCGGTGTATCCTTGATGTAACAGGTAGGCTTGACAGGCGATAAAATGGTATCGGTCAATGTGTTCCGTTCCGGTTGAGCGCGCAACAAAAACCCGCTTTGTTCCAATGCCTTTTCCCAGAGCATCATCAGATCATCATCGTGAACCGGCTGTTTATGGAGCGGAACGGAGTCTACTTGACGGCATTCGGTCATTGGCTGACTTAGTAACTCGGTAATATTCATGTCAACTTTTCAAATACGAATTGGTTGTCTTAGAAAAATAGGAAAAAGAAAAAAAAAAGAGAAAGGTAAGAAAAGGTGAATCAAAAGAGGGAAGAAAAAAGAAACTCAGGCTGAATTATATATAAAATTGAAGTTAACAATTTAGAAAATAGGCGATAAAAGCATGGTAAGGACAACCATCGGAACGGCTGAATCAGGGGTCCTTTTTATAACTTTTTTTTTTTGGTTTTTTCAAACAAGAAAGAAGGTTTCCGTTTTGAGATGTGGTGTGGACAATGATCCCTTTCTTTGTGTAAACCGAAGCCTGTCAGGAACTGGAACTCTAAATCCTCCCAGGCTGAGACGACCACACATTAAGCTTTTTTTTTTTTCATGTCTCCCATACCGATTTTTTTTCTCGAAAAACATCGGACCTCCTCCATGAATGCTATTCAACACGATCCAATTCTTTTGGGGAAAGAAAAGAAGATCGGAAGAAAAAAAAACCAGTACCGCATGAACTCCTAATGAGATCTTTTTTTTTTATTTTCTTCGCTTAGCAAACAATCAAGAAGCATTGATGGTACATATTTTTCCTTTCTGGGGCACTGATTTCATTCATTGTCTCCACTGTTTGCCAACTGAACATGTATGCAGTCCAAAGCTCGTGCTGACCATGAGACAATAAGACTCACTGATGGTAAATGGATAACTTTCATCTTTTTTTCCCTCCATCCTGTCGTTTTGGTGTTTTTCCTGTGTTGATGGGCTGCTGCATTTGGTGTTTTGGGTCGTACTAAGATCCTCCTGAGGTCTGTTCTGCTCTTTCTCTCTTACCAAACATAAAGTTGTCCCCTCAACACGCTGTCACCCTTTCGTGGATTTCGCCTCAATCGAACGCACCTTTTTTTTTTTTATACATCTCCTGCTTCCCCCGCCCCGCGAGAAAAAGAGAAAAAAAAGATGTCTTTTTCTTTTTTTCTTTCTGATCCCTTGTGTTGCACCTCCTCTCTATGCAATGCTTATTTTTCGAACCACATGTGCTTCAAGAGATCAAGCCCATATGGTCGCCACGGAAAAACTTTTTTTTTGTAACATGGATAGACCCAGAAAAAAGGAAGAACTCTCTGCAATGCTATCCCACCCATATGCAACTAGGTGCATGGAACCATCCATCCACGCTACCGTGTGTTTATGGTCTGTTCTCGAGGTGAGATCATGATAGTAACCATGACTTCTAAACCTGCTTTCACTATTGTAACGTTTTTCCCAAATCACCATGCTTTATCGTAGCTCGGATACCATATGCTTTGATGGATCCATACAAAAAAGTTATCGCTTTTTCTGGTAATGGATGGCCCCCCGCCCCTGTTCTTTCTTATTTTCTTTTCAATTGCCGGTTATCATGATTCGGAATTGAGATGGGTCGGTAGCTAATTCAGAAAAAAGGAATAAATCACGATGCGCTACCTCCATTTCGGCTTTGTACTTACAGTGATACTTGGAAAGGGAAAATTAGAAGCCGTTACCAACAAAGTAGCAAAGCACAACGTGAAATTCCATCTTTCTGCTTGGCTAAACAGGAGTATCGGGAGCTTTCTTTTTTTTTTAGGAAACTCCGGAGAAGAAAAAAGACATGACCGAGAAAAGACCAATGACAATCCAGTCGGTCACTGAAGGATACATAGTTCGAATAGATAATGGGTAAACCGACAGAACAACAATGAAAAAAAAAGGACCAACCGTCAAACCTGTTTTATAAACCTTGATGGAACCGAGATAATGATTTCATCAAAGGCTAATGATTATTCTCATCGATGTTTATCTTGTGACATGGATTGATGCAGGAGTAATTCAATTTCATATATTGACCACTGTTATGCATCGGATGCGGTTCATCACACAGTTTGTTTATGTTTTCATCATGATGGAACCAATGCATCATCAGACGGCTCGCACGTACACTGTTCATCCCGTCAAAGAGGATTGCAATTTTTCCTCTCAGGTCGTAAGGAATGAATTTATGGCATGATGCCCACTGGACGCAGGATGAGCTCAACGGCAAGAAAACGAGGTCTTCTAATCTCGGTACATTCACCCTTCGTGGCAATGACACGGCCTTTTCCCTTTTGTTGCTGTGACACACCGAGACGTGCAACAGCCCTTGCTCCCCTGGCCATCCCCTTGAAAAAAAAAGAGATTTCCCATTTCTTCTATTTATAGCAGTTTGTTCTATCGACAACTAAGCTCACTTGGTCATCGTGGTGCCTATGTGGATCTGTGCACTGTTTTTCTTCTTTGCCGCCGTTATTTCCTGCTGTTTGTCGTCATTACAAGCATAGGCAAAAGCTCTGAACACAATCACAAAAAAAAAGACCCGAGACCATCCCATTGATCCACATGGCTGACAGCAATTGTTGTCACCAGGATTTGACAGAAGTTATTATTGCAAATATCAATTTCTCGCGTGCAGGCATAGGAAATAGCACCTTCAGATGGGGTATCTTTCTCGTTCTCGTCTCAATCTCCTTCATTACCTATATGAATAGTAATCGATAATCTAATGTGTGATCCAAAACAAGGGCTTATAAAATGTGCTATATGAACTCGATCATGAGCTATGACCATGAAAATGCGGTTATAATCCATGATATCGTTGCGGGACAGGTATCCTTCGGGATTGCCAGGAAAACAGAGGTCTTTCGCGATCAATGAATCAATTCGTTTTCCAGATAAATACAGAAATTCATGCTTTCTGTCAAGTGAAGCTCCTAGTTTTTATCTTTCATATAAATAGAATTCCTGATGCTCATGGTGGCCAACTTGGTTGAATAAGCGAGTGAACCAACTTGTTTGTGGGTAGCGCTGGCGGGAACGTAAAAGTGAAACTGGAGGAAAGAAGACGAGTAGAAGGAAAATGGGGAATCACCCTCTTACCCAACCACCTTTCACTGTCATCTCCACTGATCTATTTATTCAAGAAGGAGTAGATTATAATCCAAGCCTATCGTGCTTTGGACATTTATGGGAATGAGACGACCAAAAGTCAAGCAAAAGAGAGAGAAAAGTGACGCGGCGAAAAAAAAAGCGCGACGTGCCAAAATTTCCGCGTCGGGACAACTCCGACTGGACCTGAAAAAAACCCCACCTGTTTTCGACCCTTGGATGCTGCAGCTTTCCTGTAGCTGTGATTCTTTTTACCTTTTTTTCTTCATCCACATCCTCTCATTTTCCTTTTTCTTCCATTGCAAGTTACAGTTACACACAATAGATACTGACAGAATCCGCCTATTGAAAGTATAAAGCATTTCAATGGACGCATCAGGAGAGGATTTCCAATCTCTTCCTTTGCTGGACAGACTTCAGCACAAGGTATGCCCAAACCCGTCCTGCTGCAACCCATGCCACACCCAATTCCCAGTGGAACCATGAATCCTTGAATAAAATCAGTTTTTTCTGACCGTCTTATCTTTTTACTGCAGTTGTGGAAAGCGCGCGTATCGGCCTACGACGAGTTGACTAACCTATTTCACAAAACTGACAACGATGCCGATTTTTATACATATGAAGAGTACCTCAAGAAAATGGCCACGGATGCCAACGCCGTGGCCCAAGAAGCCGGTCTAAAAGCTGTATACGAATATGTGGAAAACGCGCCGAATGCTGCAGCGTATGTACAAACAAAATACCATCCTTCGCACTCGTCTTCCCTTCCTTTTGGGCCGTCTGCAGGAACAAAAGCGACGACGAATTACCATCAAAAGAAAAAGGATCCGTCACCAACAATAGCAATACTCACCTATGTTTATTTTGTATTTCTTCTTATCGTACTCTAGATCCCGTGAAACCCTCATTCCCGCCCTCGTGGAGAAATGTTTGGGCGCAGCTAAAGCCGGAACAAAGCAAAAAGCAACTGATATCATCTTACTTTATGTCGAAATCGATGTGGCGGATCCAGTGGTTGTACGTATTACTCGGGCGGCATCTTTATACGTTTTATCAGCCGATTCCAAACTGTATATCACTTTTTTTTTCTCACTCTTTCTTTCTAGGAATTGGTGCTTCCTGGATTATCGGCTAAACAACCGAAACTGGTGACCCAGTGTGTGGTGGTCCTCAGAGAATTAGTCAGGTAAAAAAAAAAAGGAAGAAATGGGATAATGAAATTTTTCCTACCCCTTCCAAGCGACGCCGTAACACAAATCATCTGACATTTGCAATCATGCTACAGACAGTTTGGCATCAAGGTCGTCAGCCCCAAGCCTATCTTGAAAGTATTACCAAAACTGTTTGGACACGTCGATAAGAATGTTCGAGCCGAGGTACGCACAACATGATGATAAAAGGAGGATGCCAACATGGCTACAGTGATCTAACGAACTGATTCCTCATCAGACCTTTGCATTAACCGTAGAATTGTATCGTTGGTTGCGGACTGCCATCAATTCTTATCTGAGCGATTTGAAACCGGTTCAAACAAAAGAGCTTGAAGAAGCATTTGCCAAAATTGGCGACGACAAACCGAAACCCGAACGGCTCTTGCGATCGGAACAAGCCCTCGCTGCCGCAGAGCCGGATCCACAAGAAGTTCAAATGGGTAAACAGCTAGATTTTTATTTTGTTTGCGTGCGCAAGAAAAACTGAGTGGGGTGATCTTCCTTTACAGGAGAAGCAGGCGAAGAGGAAGATGGTCATGGCGAACCTATGGAAGAAGAGCCTCTCGATCCATATGACCTGGCGGATCCCGTCGACATTACTAGCAAATTGCCCGCCAACTTTTACGATTTACTGGTAACAAATATTTCACTACAGCAACACGATGGATACACCGGATTTCATATGTCTAATCGTCATCCGCATCCACGTATCAGGCATCGAAAAAATGGCAGGAACGAAGAGAAGCGCTGGATGCATTACTGGAAAGTACAAAAACTCCCCGAATCATGGATAAAGATTACTCGGAGCTCATGGGCGCGCTTGCCAAGGTACAAAAGAAGAGTCCAAAAAGATCTCTTTCTCCGGCAGAATAACGAGGATGTAGCTACGGTATTGACCAATATCGTTTTAGCGTATTAATGATGCCAACATCTTGCTTGTGGGTACCGCAGCCAACTGTGTAGAAGCCATCGCCACTGGATTACGTCAAGATTTTGGCAAATTTAAAGGAGTGGTAAGTGATTGACAACCTGTTTTCTTTCATGCCCCTGGTAACGAAGACCTGACAATTTTCTTTTGGGGGATATTTCATTGTTGGATAAAGATAACGCCGCCCATTGTTGAAAAACTAAAAGAACGCAAACCGGCGATTCTCGAACAATTGGCAAAAGCGTTGAATGCGGTGTTTGCGTCGGTTCCATTGGGCGATATCGTTGAAGATATTGCGACGGCAACAAAACACAAGAATCCCCAAGTGCGATCGGAATCTATTAAAGTGCTTTCCCAGCGATTGAAAGAGATCCGTACGCCTCCGAGCAAGCCCGAAATCAAAGCGTTTGCGGAAATGATGGTAAAGACGTTGGATGATGCAGATGCAAATGCGAGAGAAGCCAGTGCCGAAGGTTTGGGGACGCTCATGAAAGTGGTGGGTGAGAAACCCATGCTACCGTACACCGATGGATTGGACGATATCAAGATGGGTAAGATCAAGGAAGCTTTTGAAAAGGCCCAAGTCAAAGTCAAAGCGACTCCCGTGAAAAAGCCCGCTCCTCCTCCTCCGGCGACCAAACGCGCCGCACCCACATCAAAGGTAAGTTTCTTTTCCGTGGGATGTCTTGGATGAAAGTTTTTAAATTCTCGGTCTTTTTTAGCCTGTCCGAAAACCCAAACCGTCAGCTCCAGCACCGGCCGCATCATCGTCTTTGAGCACGGCTTCCGTTGACGATCCCATGGCGGTCGATAATGCCGCGGCATTGTCGCCTCCCAAACGAAAACCTCCGGCTCGTTTAGGTGGTGGTAGTAGTGTGAAAAAGCCCACATTGACTTCGGCTAAACCTAAACCGGCCGCCGCTGCCTCTGCTGCAGCACCTAAAAAAATGGCCGCCGCCAAATTGCCTCCTTCCAGCGGTCCCGAAGAAGTCAAATACCGATTTTCACCGGAAGAAGCAGAGAGTCGAGTGGAGGAGTTTATTCCACCACAAATCTGGGAAGACCTGGGTCAAAGTCAGTGGAAGGTTCGATTAGCGGCCATGGAGTCGCTGCATACCCATTTCGATACTGTGGATGCTCCCACCATCGAACCGGAAATTGTCATTCGTTGCTTGTCGAAAAAACCCGGTGGGAAGGAAATGAATTTCCAGGTCATGGGCAAAATGTTTGGTATTATGCAATTGTTGGCCACTAAGTGCCCCAATTTTACCAAATCCGCCGCCGCCATTGCTATTCCAGGTAGGTCGTGGTGAATTCTGGAGCATGTATGACATTGACGTACGTGGATTTTAATATTTTTGGCATCCAGTGCTCGTGGAGAAATTAGGTGACATTAAACTGAAAAAGCCGGCGGGAGAATGTTTGATTATGTTTGCCGAAAAAACGTCGCTTCAATTTGTGTTTTCACTGTCGTATCCTGTATGGAAAAAAGCCAAGTCACCGAAAATCCTCGCCGATTCTTTAATATGGATCCATTCCGCTATTATGGATTTCGGTATTGCGGGACTTCAAGTGAGAGACTTGATTGATTTCTTAAAGACATCGTTGGCCAATACCAATGCTTCTGTGCGAACCAGCGCGGTTACTGTCTTGGGTGCTTTGCGATTATATATTGGACCAGGTAAACGCTGCACGGAAACCCCCGCAAGGAGAGGGGAGGAATGACAATGAAGGAATGAATCAAAGGACTGACTGTATATTGCTTTTTATCGTAGAGGTCAAGTCTTTTGTTCAGGATGTGACACCAGCCCTGATGGCTATCATTGAAGCCGAATTCGATAAAGTGGCACAAATGGAACCACCGCAGCCAACAAAGACGACGGTAAGTGATGAGAAACCAAACTTGTTGACGTGGTCTACTCTCATATTGATATACGTATGACGATGCCGATTTGATCAGGCCGATACCGACGCTGGGGCAGCTGGAGGGGATAGCGATGCGTTGGATTCATTGTTTCCTCGAGTGGATATTTCGGGTCAGCTGGCTAAAGCGTCGGCGGAATGCAATGACAGCAACTGGAAGATTCGAAAAGAAGGATTGGAAAAGGTTCTGGCCATCATTGAGGGCGCCAACAAGCGAATCAAACCAAACTTGGGTAAGTGTGGGAATGAAAATGAAAAAGAGACAAGGACCAGACCGATACCTGGGAAATGATGCTGAAACAATGGTGTGTAGGTGACTTTGCGAGTGTGCTCAAGCAACGATTGAACGACAGCAACAAGAATCTACAAATCATGGCGGTGGATATTACAGGCTTGTTGGCGGTGTCCATGGGCAAGCCTTTCGAGAAATATCTGAAGCCATTGGGTGGGCCGTTGACCGCTGTGTTATCCGACAACAAGGCGAATGTGAGAGCGGCTGGTGTGGCTGCTTTGGACACGGTTCAGAAACAATGCGGTGTGGAACCATTGATCTCCACCTTTGCTACAAGTTTGGCGACCGATTCACCGACATTGCGCAAAGAACTGCTCACTCTGTTGACGGGCGTATTCAAAGATGACGCCGTCATTACCGGTGATTTATCGCCGCTCATTTTGCCTCTTTTCTCATGTTTGCAGGATCGCAATGCCGAGGTTCGAAAAGCAGCGCAAGCATGCCTTCCTGCACTTGTGGCCAATGTAGGCTATGATGCCGTCCTTCACAAAGCGGCCGATCTCAAGGTGACGGAACGACAAACTGTCTTGCCATTCGTGGAAGCCGTTCGAGGTACGGCTACAACAAGTAGTCGACCGGCGACAGCCGCATCCGCTACCAGCGCTACTCCCCCCACCGAAGCGAAACGATCGACGATTTCCGCGTCCAATACGAACGAAAAACCAGCCAGCCGCATTAAATCCATTGCTCGCAAACGGCCGGGGTTACCGACGCCACGTACGGGAACGACCGGGACCGGCTCTGCTGCCGCCAACGCCGCCTCGTCTTCGGCGAATACGCCTGCTCAGGGCCAGTGTCCTGTTACCACTAGTGATCCACGCGCGAAACTGGTGCGAGCGAAAAAAGAGAACCGATGGCAGTTTGATACGCCACGAAGCGACATTATCGATACGTTACGAACGCTTTGCGAAGCCAACATGAGCGCTGAAGTATGCAGTCTGATGTTCAGTACAAGCCAGTATGCGGAGAAAGATCGACTCAGTGGTTTAGCCCTGTTGGACGATTGTATTGCTACGCCGGAATATGCCATGCAAAAATACGGTTTGGATTACGCCGATGTGAAACAGCGCTACTTGGCGAATGCCGATTTGATCTTCAAATACTTGACGATCCGATTCTTTGATACCAATACCAGTATGCTCATCAAGAGTCTTGATCTAACTCAGCATCTGGTCACCGTCTTGGATGAGGAAGGATACCATCTCACGGAATACGAAGCTGTATCATTCTTACCGTTCCTTATCAACAAGGTAAGAACAATGTGCCGAATCTTTTTACTGGGTTAGACAAGAGGATAACTCACTGTTTTGATCTATCCTTCCACAGGTGGGCGATCCAAAGGAAGTGATGCGTGCGCGGGTGCGCGCGATTTTCAAATCCATTTGTCGCATTTATCCTGCCAGCAAGCTCTTCAATTATTTGTTGGACGCGGCGGCCAATTCCAAGAATGCCAAGACAAGAGCGGAATGTCTGGAAGAGGTAGGCGCGATTGTTCAACGCAATGGCATGTCGGTCATGCTTGCGAACAAATCGTTGCCCTTGATTGCGACCCATATTGGAGATCGCGATGCAGGTGTCAGAAACGCGGCATTGAATGCTATTGCTCAGGCATATATTCTGATTGGCGATTCCGTCATGAAATACGTCAGTCGACTGGGTGAAAAGGAAAAGGGAATGCTTGAAGAACGATTAAAGGTAAGTGGTTAATCCACGTCATGGAGATATTGAAAGAGAGACGTGGACTGAACGAGAGTGTATTTTTGTTTTCTCTTTTTAGCGCACGAAACCTTCACCTAGCGTGATTGCTGCGGCGGAAAAGGAAGCGCGTTTGCGTCAGGAAGCGGAAGAAATGGAAGTGGACGAGTTACCATTTGTGAACCAGTTGCCGGGTCGTTCCCATATTGGCAAACCGCGTTCGGCCATGCAAGCACCAGCTCCAGTTCAGCGGAGCCCTGCAGCACCAGCGTACGAACCTGAAGCCATGGAAGATGTCACGGACGACTACGGTCAAAATTTGGATCCGCCTCAACGGGGCGATCAGCGTACAATGACTGGGACTGGATCGGTGCGGTCTCAACGATCAGCTGCACATCAAGCTTTCCAACAAGCGCTCCAAGAAGATCGTCGCGAATATATCGTGGATTATTTAATTGCTCAAATCACTAGTGGCGACGTTCAATCGAGCATTGAAGCGCTGAAACAGCTCGACAAGTTACTGTCTTCGAAACCAGAGTTGATCTTGCCGGATGTGAACAATTTAGTGAATGCCATCACATTGCAAGTCCGACTAGCATATTCGGCGGTGGATCCGCGAAGTCCTACGACAACGCGATTGTGCAAATACCTGGTGAATGCGCTCGTGGTGTTATTCGCTAATCGCGATCTTGCCTCGGTGGTATCACAGGATGCTCTTTCCCATCTTCTGCAGGAACTCGCGCATCGATTGCTGGATCATAAGATGTTGGCCTTGGAATCCGGAATGCAATTCTCCAAAGCACTGAATGTCACTCTGGTCAAAGTCCTCGAGAACAGTCAGCGCAATGTCATGTTTAGGTAAGCTCATCACCAACACTTTATTTCTATTTATTTCAGTCTTTTTTCAGTTTTTTTTTAACCATCTCTATCTTAGTGCTCTCTTGTCTATTCTGAGTTCATCGTCGGCTAGTTTACGACCAGGCGATTCACCGACGGGCAAGGAAACGAAATATTGCGAGTTGATTATGAAATGTTTGTGGAAATTGGCCAAACCTATCCAGGAGAATCTACGTAACGGCATGTTGGATCCTGATCAACTGATTTACGATATCAACAAATTCTTTGTCATGACGCCACCATATGAATGGAAACGGCGTGCGGCAGATAAAGTGCCTCTGGGTGAACTGCCTTTACGAACCGTGCGAACCATGTTGCTTGAACTGGTCAATTGTTTAGGCGAATCGATCTATCATCATTTGACCTTGATTGAGGATCCGTCGAAGAGCGCCGTATACCCATATTTGCATCATATGTTGGATGCGGGACGAAAGAATGAACGATCCGAACAACAACAAGCTTCACAAGCATCGCCTCGATCCCAACTTCAACATGCTTCTGCCGGCGACAATCGATTTTACGCTCACTCTCGCAACTCCTCGCTTAGTCGACCGGGGTCAATGGCTTCGGTGAAATCCAACGGCTTTGGTATGATGCGAACAAGCTCCGGGTCCTCGATGCAATCGGGAGAAAGTCAAGGTGAAGGATTGGTGCAAGTGGCAGGAACACCGGAAGCGGGAACGAGTCAGAGCCCTCGCATGCATTCCCCGGTGATCAGCCATCAAGTGCAACCGATGCAAATTGACGAACCCAACGACGGACCTCGAATGATTTCCGATTATGAAGCCAACAATTTGCTGACACCGATCTTTGCGAAAATTGGGACACGAGATCAAACAAAACAGGTACGACCATCGAGGTTTTATGGAAGAAAAAACAACAACAACAAAAGCAAGAAAAAAAAAAGATAGAAAGAAGGAGAGAGAGAGAGAAAAAAAAATCAAGCTCAATGGGGAACATGCAGCTCACATGATTCTTTTGTTGTTTTAGGGTATCATTGAACTCTACGAGTTTCAGAAAAAGTACCCTTGTGCTGAAGCCAAAGTGAATGCATATCTGAGTGAGACTGGTACTTATTTCCAGAGTTACATTCGACGTGGTTTAAGCAATTTGGCTGCCGAAGACAATCAGTTACGCGCAAACGTTCATACCGCGGCAGCCCAGGACTACAGCCAACAATCGTCTCCAAATACGTCCATGGCCTCGGCCATGGCAATTTCCCCTATGGCCACACACAACGCGCATCAGGACCCTCGACAATCCCTTGACAGCTTGCGGTCACCTGCGAGCGACCGATCGAGCATTTACGGAGGAGGTAAAAGCAGCGCTTGAACCCATACAAGAAAATGCAAGAACATCCAATATAACAGCTGTTTATTCCTTTGATGATTTTGACATAGACGATGCGGCGGAAATCAAGCAACGATTGTTAAAACTACAGCAAAAATTTGGATATAAAACAGAGACGAGTGCACCGAACGAGGAGAATGGGTCCAGCGTGGGTGGCTCAAGCATGCATGGGGAATCCGGTGTTCAGCGACAAGATATCTCGCCTACGTATGGTTCGTTACCTTCGCGACGGATGTCGCCGTTAAATCAGGTAAAGTGCTAGGAATACTATTCTAGAAAAACGGGATAGCATAAAAGCTTACAGAAAATGGTGGTACAGGATTCCTATTCGTCATTGCGAAGCTCCCTTCATGGTGAATCGGACCGAGCTCAATCAGTGTCTGCTTTGAAAGAAAGATTAGCGAAAATGAAACAGGTCATTCATTCGGCTGCATCTTCAGCTTCCGATACATGACAATAATACCGAATAAAGTGAAATCAACTGAACAAGAAAAAAAGAAAAAAGAAATCCAATCCCCATCACTACTCCACTCTTCACCTACATCATCTTTGTGCAACTAAATAAATAAAGAAAGAAAGAAAAGAAAAAAATGTATAAACATTCGATTCTGTGCTGATACGGTGCAAGGCGGAATAAAAAAGAAGGATGTATACATCATCTTTTTCGGCAGAAGTTCCGAGTTTGGAATGTGGAAGCAGAACATGCGGTGAAATCGAAATCTTCCAAATCGGGGTCACAATGATCTAAACGTTGAATTATTATGATGGCTGGGTCCCACTGTATCATGTTACAGTGGTTGCAGTTTACGGTTGATCCCATACCAACATAAACTCATCTGTTCCATGCCACGTTGACTTTAAGGTAAGGTAAAAGGACCGTCATGGAATGCTTCCTGGGAATTGGATGCTACTGCACCTTGAGTGTTTATTTTTGGCATGAGCCAAAACTGGGCCATTGATTGGTGTGTTCATGGGGATAACCCAATGTGGACATCATGTCAGATGGAGGTGAACCGTGCAACCAAAAGAACTATGACGCAAAGTACCCTACGCAGACGCGCATACCAAATTTCCCCGAAAAAGTGAAAAAGGTAAAAAAGCAATCTAAAATGAAAATATGGAATAACATATAAATACCACTTTCTCTGATAAGTGAAGAACTCGCATCCTACAATCTTTCCATTTCTTTCTTGCACTTGTATTTGTTGATATGAAGCTGTTTTCTTCGAGTGTTATCTTGGCGACTCTTGCTGTCTTGAACAGCGTTGGATGGGTTCAAGCGATTTGCGATTGCAAGCCTTCCGACAATGGCTGCTTAACAACTTGTGGTAAGTGCCTGCTGAGATCATGTTATAGACTTGAAGGCTTACCCACAAGGGATGGATTGTAGTGCTGACTACGAACGATTGTATTCTGGCATGTGGACGTGATACCAAATGCTATACAAATTGTATCGATGACCATTGGCCTGGTGTTCCTGCGCGTCCGTCCGAGGATTCATCGAAGGACAAGGACTCCTCTAAGGATAAAGATTCCTCCAACGGCAAGGATTCTTCCAACGATTCAGATGAAACGCACTCGGATCCTTCAGCAACGTCTCCTCCTGAATCTCCATCCCATGCTTCGTCGAGCGCCGCTTCCAATGATCCAACAGGTTCCAGCTCGCCTGTAGCTACTGCGTCGCCGTTAGATCCAGGGGCTGTCGTGCCTACGCCCACACCTTCATCCGCCACGTCTCTGTCCGGCTCTGTACCGTCATTATCGTCTACAGCCCTTTCGGTTGTTTCCCCTGTTACGCAACCTACGCCGGGTGTCACACCGGCCCAACCAGCCGAAGGCCAAGCACCAGGAACGGATCCCAACGAGAGCACGGCCAGCCAAGGTTTTGCACCTGCGATGGGATTCACCCTGCTCATGGTGGTTGGGGCAGTCCTCTTTCACTGATATTCTATGATACGTCAGTCCTACTTGTAATACCATAGAATCCTTTTTTATAAGTTCCTTTATAATCATTTATTGAAGTCTAAATTCCTATATCAAATAAAGTATACCTTGTTTCACAATATTATCGAAGAAGAATAGTCATGGCGACGTGTCTTTAGATCAATTAATGCTTCATAGGAATGAACAAGGATCTATGCAGAAGCAAAAAGAGAGTCAATTTTGCTTGCTTTGGTTTAGGCCGGAAACTGCTGAACCAATGCGGGCAATGAAAAAGTAGGTTAAAATGTTGTTGTGCATTTCAAGGTGGCAAGAAGTACAACGGTGAAATCCATAGTAATACAATATGTCGCCTACATTATTCAGTGAACATGAAAGGTTGAATGTTTATGCCGTTACAAAAATGTAAAATTCGATAAGACTTTAGCATGGTCCAGATGATGATTCTTGCAGTGACAGATAAAGTTTAAATTTATAATTATTTCGAGTAGTTGATATTGATAGGGAAATTTGTGTATCGCAATTATATTGCCTCAGCCAGACTATTTACCAGCTTTACTTGTATCTGCAAGTGACAGAGTGGGTTGTTTAGCAATATGAGCTCATGATATAAATCAGTGTCTTGGCCAATAGTGACGAGACCCATGCGGAACAGGTCAGTGATAGATTGCAGTATTCTAATCTTGTGTCCAGGGGCGAATTCCGCCATGACCCATTTCCATAATTACTGTGCAAATTACCGTTTGCTAGATATCTACGGAAGCCAGATGTTGCCTGGAAGGAAGAAAATAATGTGGAAGAAGACGATGACCTTGCCTATCCGTCGCATGTTATGGATAATATCGCCTTTTTATTGGCGGCCGGTGTTTTAATCCGGAGAAGCGGTGAGATGGGAATTGAAAAAAAAAAATAAAAAAAAGAGGACTTGCTTTTTCCTTTCACAGCAGAAAAAGGGTGACACCGAAAGACAAAAAGACCAGCAAAGAAAAAACAAAAAAAAAACCTGAAAAAAAAGCTTAAGACGTTGTCTATCGCTTTGCTTCCTTATCCTTTATCCTACTTTTTCTATTCTTTAAAACTTCTCCCCTATTTAACTTTATATTTCTTTTTACCTCGCTTGTGTTCCTCCCAATGAACTACTTGTTGGACAGAGGCTCCGAAGCTGCAGCCCACGATCTGGCTGAGGTTCGAAAACTGATCGAAGGCATGAACGCATTGGTCAACAGTCAAGCCTTGCAGCAGCAGCAGCAGCAGCAGCAACAGCAGCAACAACAACAACACCACCACCAACAACAACAACAACAGCAGCAGCAACAGCAACGACACCAACAGCAGCAACAACAACCACAACAACACCAAACGCAACAACAACATGCCATTAACAATCCTTCAACATACCCCTCGCCCTCGCTGCCGACCTCACCGTCCACTTCCTTACAACAAGCTTCCAACTCGACTCCATTCGCACCCGCTTCAGGTAATTCGTCGGCAGACCACCAACAACACCATTCCCCTTCAGCAGCAACCAATACATCCACGACGTCGGCTTCGCCTACCACGGCCTCCGTAGCCTCGCCCAACGATAACTTGTCTTCTTCTAACCCGGCCGATTCGAACGCACTGAACTATAGGTAAACCCATCACTCGCTATTGAAATAGAGAAAATGGTAAAAAGAGGATAAAGGGACCGACAGAATGAGAAAGAAAAAGGACCAGGGAACTGGGACTTGGCGTTTTGAGATGGGCAATGGGCGAAAAAAGAAAAGGGCCTTCATGGTATTTTCTTCACCGGGAGGGTGTTTTTATTCCAGTGCATGGAAAAGCTGACTTGCAATCATCTTACAGCAATGCAACGACGCCTGCGACACCGGCACCCGCCACGGCCGGGATTATTATCGAAGTGAATCATTTACTGCTGAATCGTACCTTGTATTTCCAATTGGCACGTAAGTGAGCAATACTGATAAATGGCACCGTTTCCCCTTCTATTCGGAGATTGACATGATCATGGGATGTTAGCGGATGCCACTATTGAACCTCTTATTGCTTGGTTGCGTGCGTCGTTTAACGATGGTTCGATCTCGGGAATGGTACTTCAGTATAAAGGATTCGATGGATTGTGGAAATGTCTTTTGAACCGTGAGTATCTGGAGTCTTAGCCATCAGAACTCAAAAGAATAACCAACCTTATCCATCCCGATCGACCTGTAGGCGACGATTCCTTGAAGCGTATCTTGAAACAGAGTTTGAAAGGCAACAGCATGCTTCAAATGAGAGTACCGCGCGAGCAAGACCTGCTGAGTGTACGTTGAACGCTTCGTTACCCTCCTTTTTTTTTCGTCAGTGCGGAATAACTAATTATATTACTTTCTTTCCTTTTCATTTTCTCAGTCAGGCTATACCGATCGTCGACTTCTTGCTCTTACTAAACCATAGGCGTAATTCAGGTCCACAACAACCCAACTGCCAGCACCAGACACGGAATGAAAATTCCGGCACGTCAAAAGACAAGAAAACTAATAGTCAAACCTTGTATTCGCGTCTTTTCTTTTTTTATCTTTCTTTTACTTGCCCTTCTTTTTTTCTTTTTGATTGACATTAACACATATTGCATAAATTACGTATTCAAAAATATCAACATGACTTTTTCATTTTTTAAAAAAGTAAGGTCGACGAATGAACACTCTATTTTGCATTTTTCGCTAGTTGGACTTCCTGTCCTCTGACAAACACGCGTTTCACATGAAGGTCGTCATCCAAAAAGACGATATCGGCATCCGCACCAGGATTCAGAGTGCCTTTGCGGTCTTTGATGCCGAGCATCTGGGCCGGATGCAATGTCGCAGCTTCCAAGGCTTCCACCACCGAACATCGAGTAAATCGACGGAAATTGCGTACACAAGCATCAATGGTCACGGTACTAACGTCACAACGACAAAATTAGCTCCTCTTTTTTTTTGGTTTACTGTGACGTCCTCGGTAGGATGCTTACCTTCCAGCCAAGGTATCGGTGCCTTTAATGTAGGCGCCTCCGTGACGGACTTCGACGTCCCGACCGCCTAATTGGTACGATCCTGGAGGTAATCCTGCTGCCGAAAGAGCATCGGTCACAAGGACACAACCTTTGGGATGCGAGTAATACGCGATACGGACCGAATTGGGATGCACGTGAATACCGTCACAGATGATACCGTAAAAGGGACGTGGATCGGGCTTGGTGCGATCAGGCGCTGTAAGCGACGGAAGAGGATGTCGCTCCGGTTGCGCCGGCGGAGGCAGGTCGGTGGCACCGAGAATACCAATCATGGCCGGATCGCGATGATGAAACTAGACCGCGAATTGGATTAATATTGAGCCCGCGTCTTCTCTATTGCCTTCTTTTTTTTTTTCCTATTCCCGTTTTTTTCTTACCGGCATCATGGCGTTGAAGAGATGAGTCATAAAGGTGGCTCCTTTTCGGACACCAGCTTCGGCTTGCTCGACTGACGCAGCCGAGTGACCAATGGAAACGGTGATACCTCGCTTGACGAGATCCGGAATCACGTCCAACACGCCTTCGAGTTCCGGAGCCAGTGTCATGATGCAGACTGTCTTGCCGCCGTGTTTAAGCTCCGGACCGTACGCTTTATCGAACGCGGCAATACCGCCTTTAGCTGATTGGATAATGGCGGGATCGTGCGCCCCTTTCTTTTCCTCTGAAATGAAGGGTCCTTCCACATGTGCACCAAGAATTTCGGAGCCTAGTTCGGCATCTCCGGGGCGCGCTTTCAACAAGGGAAGCACCTATGAGAAGAAAAATTCACCCAACATCAATCACCTGTTGATGAACAAATCAACCAACCAACCAACCACAGACAGAGGAATGCATCGGTTGATGGGATGGAATGGTATTTTACCTTGGAATAAGTTTCTGGCGTTGAAGTGACGACAGTGGGACAAAACGCTGTGCAACCGTCTTGCAGTAATCCTTTGGCCACGGTGTCAATGTCAGCTTGCAGTTGGTCTGACGGTTTGTCATGATCCGCAAAATCAATTCCATACGATCCATTAATCTGGACGTCAAGAAATCCTGGGGCGAGAATCATGTTGTGAGCGTCAATAATCTCGTCCGGTTCTCGACCTTGTGCGAAAAACGCAGAGAACCCATCCACAATTTTCCCGTCTTGAAACCACACATAGGAGTCTTCCACAATGGCATGGTTGATGAGCACACGCGCATTCACAATCTTGTAAAGCTTGCCATTGGTCACCATCGTGAACTTGCGAAATGGAGATGAGTAAAAAAGGTAGTGGCAGAAAGAAGAATAAAGTTTGAGTTTTGCGTCTGCTGCCAAACTTGGAATACGGAGTTCAGATGTTGGCTGCTCTATATTTTTTCCTAGCCAATCAATTTCCCGCGCATAAGTTACCATAGGCCCGACAAGTCGGAAAGTCGCCATGCAAAAAAGTTCGTTGGTCAAAACCAGTCCCAAAAATGGAAAACTGTCATTGAGCCACGTCCAACCTATAGTACATGGGTTTAAAAAAATGCACGCGATTGTGTTCAAATCACTTGTGAAACAAAATAGCAAGGCCCCAGTGGTAAAGCCCTCTAATCAGCAAAGCCAGCAAAGCTTGAGGTACGGAGAACCGAGTCAAGAAAAAAAAAAATAGTAGGAGTGCATACGCCCTAGGCACGCGTGTCGTGAATGCGCACGGACTACCACTGGTTCCCTGCAAAGAAAATCTTATCATACCGATGGGCTTGCCATGCAGCGAACGGAAGATATCCACTGTCCAAAGTTTGGGCCATCTACTTTTGCCAATTCGCTGGTTTTCAGTATATCTCACCATAAAGATGATTTTCACGATAAGAATAGCCAAGAAGTGATTAGATTGAACTGACTACGTCCAATGAACCGATAATGTGAAGCAATAAAAGCGAATGGTGGTGATTTTTAATGCAATGTCTATTGTATAAAGTCTAAAAAAGCGTGTGCGCACAATATGCTACAATTCACAATTTACAATGTAAGAGAGAGGAGGAATTTCCTGTTGTTCTATTTTTATCTCGGGTTCGGTTCCGACAACAGGCTACGTTGCCGGCTCCAATGGTTTCTTTCCAGACGCCCAATGGATGTTAAAGAACGTTTGATATTCCACACACTCGTTAAAGGCCTTGTCAATAAATGCGTCATAGTGAGCCTGCCTAAAATCGCCTTCCATATCGAGATAATTGTATACTAGAGGGCCAATATGTTGAGAAAGTACCAGCAAGTCCTAATTCACGGAGGCATTCCATTTTAGCCAAGATTGAAAAAAAAATTATGACTAACGGGTTTTCGTTTTCCTACCTCGTAAACCATTTTGCCAAGGTAACCACCCCAACATACGGGTATCGATGCATAGTCGCATTGGACATCGATGTAGCCTGCATCATTCAAGCTGCGTCGGAGACGAGGACCGTGATAGATGCGTTTATGACGTTTGCGGAGTATCTGATAAACTAGCGAGATGCATGTGTTTAGAAAAACGTATGGATCCCACTTGACGGATAGTTCAGAGACTTACAGCCGTCACAAAGTTGAGCGAAAAGAGGACCAGCTCTTTTAGGAACAATATCGACCTAATGAGAAAACCAGATCCATATATCAGCCTCATATTGTTTTCTGTGCATTCATTTCCCACACGTACTTCGACGAGATCTACCCAGCCGCCCGGTTTCAGCACCCGCATGATTTCTTGCATCACCCAGCCAATATCGTCGTCGTGATATGCGTTGTACATCATTCTTTGGTGCACATAATCGACGGTCTCATTGCCGTGTCCGATTCCTTCCAAGATGTCTCCCGTTTCAAATCGACAGTTGGAAGGAACATGGATATTCTTTTGCGATTCGGAGACATCGATTATATCAAGTCCATAGAAAGTCGCCCGAGGGAAATCCGACGCCATATCTATCGCAAACCATTTTCGGATCAATAACCTACGTTTCCCAAATCCGGTCACCCGGAAGAAAGCCACCCCACAACACCGCAGTACCTATTGTCCAAACAGCGCTAGAACCACAGCCTAGATCGAGGACGTGGGCATCGGGTTGAGCGAGCATGGTATCGACGGGAGCAAAGTAACTCTGTTGAAACACGTGTTTAAGCATATAGTGCTGATTGTGTTGCCGATTGGTTTCGATGGGTGTATTTGGATAACAATACTCGAGGCGGAATTTGGGCTGACTGTAGGTGGATGAGGTGGCCAACCCATCATCGGCTAAAGTAGACCGACCGGTGGCGACGCTGCCGTTGCTGCTTTTGCCGTCATGTCGTTTTCTGGAAATCTGATTCCCCATGCCAAGCTAATGATTGGGAAAAACGAGGCACTAAAACCTGTGACCATGGAGAAAAGCAAGAATAATAATAAAAAAAAGCGACAACTTTAGACGCTGTTACACAGAGCCAAACCAAAGGTGGCCGGTGACTGGTCGGCACGACTGCGCATCGGATCCATTTCTGCGAGGCAAAAAATGGATCTTGTGCAGGAACCCTTTTTCTTTTCCTTGAGACCCAAATTCGTAGCGTAAATCTCTGTTTGCTGTGAAAGACTGTAACCTATTTTTCAGCACGTCAAAATATGATCGTTGCACCACCGTTGCATGTAGAGCGGCTGATGCAGACCGGATGACACGGCTGTTGCACAATCGCGTTGAACGCAATTTTTCTTGCATATGGACTTGGAATTTTTTCAACACGGCTATTCCTCCATCCCCACGAGCTTATTGCCATAAACGCCATACTAAAAAAAACTCTAATTCGTTCCACATTGAAATTTTTGGTACGTAATTTCTTTGATCAAAAACCGTTTCTCCTTTTCTCTCTTTTTTCTCTCATCTCCCTACATTTGCAGAAAACAAAGAAAAAGTGCGGTAGATCGAGCAGACCCCTTGATTCCAATATCTGAACGGAGATTATAATACGCCGAGATAGTGTCCTGCTAAATAATAATAAAAAAAAGCATAGTCACTTTTGATTCAGCGTGTATTGTATGTTTCTTGGCATCCTTTGACACTGTGGATGTACAAGAGGTGTTTTCTTTTTATATCAATAAAAATGAGTAGCATGGGAGCAGCTTGCAGCTGTGAATGCGGTGTTGTCCGTCATACTATACGTTTTCATCAAGCAAGCAATCTCTAGCTTGCCACGCAAAAGCTCAGTAATATATGACAACCTGGACAAAGTAGAGAATTACCAGCGACCTATCACTGTACTCTTCTCTGCACTCCAAACTGACCGATCTGCAGTGATCAGTCATGGTCACACAGCGAGGTTCGCGTGCATTCTGGAATTCTTCTCTTTGTTGCTGCGATAATAAAATACCAGGGTATACTTTGCTTGAGGGACATTCAACAATTATACATTGTAAATCAGCGCGCTTTTGTAAAATTCCTTCGAAACCGAAAGAAATTTCATCCTTGAATAATGTGGGATGCCTGAAGAACATCGTTTTCTGCATTTGAAATGCTTTGTACTGGACATTATTTTTTTACCCAACAACTGCTGTAAATGATTGATCACGCGAACAAGTTACCTTACCTTATCAGCGCATGCAATTTTTATCAAAGCGCGAGTTTCCGGACAAAACAAGAGAAGCTGGATGTGGATTAATCCTTATACATATTATTGTTACCCAACGCAATTGCAATCGCAATACAAGCTTTTGCGTGCAACCATTGCCCGCATGTGTTCATCTACACGATGATACTAAATACCAATCGATGGTCCTGTATCGGGAAAACCCATCCGATGGCATGGAAGCTTTTGATGGGCTCTTATTGGCCATTTTTGCTTCTGCCATGATAATTTACCCTACGGCTTTTTAAAAATTTCATGTTGAACACGTCATTCCCACATCGTTAAAGCTGTTGAGTATTGGAGCGGATGTGTAATCAAAGGTTAATCCAGGTGGGACATGGAGACATTTGGGAGCACGGATCTCGATATCCGATGGGACTGGCAAGTTCAATGTTTGGCAAACTCAAAAAAAACAAAAAGAGTATCATGTGATTGTGTGGGGCGTTTGTTGGCTTGAGGTAGGACAAAAAATAAGCAAACAAGAAAAAAAGGAAGATCCAGAAACAAAAAATTTTGATAACAAAAAGAACATGGTCAACTTGAACCATTATTGAAAGCCTATTACTTCACAACCATAACTAGGGCGATAATTCCGGTTTTGAAAAAGAGAAGAAGATCTGGGACATCACTTAGGAACGCGTGCTCAGCTGTTTTTGCTCAACTTTGAGATTAGGATGACCATGACCCAATGTCAACGGCATTTGAACATCTTTACTGAGCTTGCCCATCTTTTTCAAGCCGCCAGGTTTCACTCGACCTAAGCTATTGGCATATGATTATTACAGCGACTGTTGTTCACAGAGTGAGAGTCTCAAAGTTTCAGCTGCATAGCGATTTGGACCCTGAGAACCGAACATTTACAGTATTTATTATGAATTCTTTTTGATTCATTTTTCGTTGTTTCCTAGACGTCACCCAGTCTACGGGAAACACGACAGTTGATAAATTGAACAAGTCTTGGCAAAAAAGTGGCAAGTATTATCCAGTAAATGACGTAAATCATGCGATGCATCGTCTGGATTGGTGCCAATCATCCCAAAGAATCAACCGGCGCCTGGCTCCGTTTATAAAAACCGAGCGAAGCCAAACCCTTTTTTTTTACACTCTTTATCTCCTACTGAATCTTTCTTTTTATTTTTCTTCCTTTTTTTTTCTTATCTTTTTTCGCACGTATTTCGTCATTTTCATTCAAACACACCATGGCTTCTGCAGCATCCGAAGACGAAGTCAACAACGTTGAACAGATCCCTGTCGAACAGAAAGGCGCTTTCCATTCATTTCTGAAATCGCTGGCCTCTTTCTCTGGCGATTTATCCTCGCTGACGTGTCCTGCTTTTCTTCTAGCGCCCGTGTCGTTGATTGAATACTCGTACGTAGGAAGGATGAGTTGGGATTTATGAGTTGTGCCGTGGTTTCCAATGGAAAGCGACCGGGTTTTCTATATCAAAGAGAAGGGCAAAAAAAAGTAATAGGAGATATTCTTTTTTTTTTGTGTCGCAGTGAATATTGGACTCAGCAACCGGAGCTGTTCGCAGCTATACCTGAATCGGATGATGAACTGGAACGCATGATTCGATTTGTCAAATGGTATATCTCTTCATTGAATGCTTCGTATTCCAGTCGTGTTCCTAAAGGCGAGTGGGAGAAGAAACCATACAATCCTGTGCTTGGTGAACAATACTTTATGACTTGGGGGGATGTGGACGGATGCGGCGAAACCAAGGTCATCTGCGAACAAGTGTCGCATCATCCCCCGGTCACCGGATTCTACATCGAGAATGAAAAAGCAGGCATTTCCCTAAATGGTCACACGGGACAAAAGACTCGCTTCTCCGGTACTTCCCTGATTTGTGATCAAGTCGGTCACAGCGTCGTCAAACTCCACTCGCGCGATGAAACCTACATGTTCACCAGTCCCTCCTTGACCGTCAACGGTATCTGGTACGCAGGTAAGGCCCCATATTTTCATTTTTTTTTTGATTCCTTGTGGATGCGATGGGGATGGGGATGTTCTATTGATTTGGGGTACGGATGACGGATTGCCGGTTGTCGAATCCAGCTGGCGGTGGCCCGACTCCTTTTTTTTTTTTTTGTTTTTGTTTCATGCTCACTTCCGTTTGTGTATAGCTCCGTATGTCGAATTGACTGGCCATTCGTATATCCAGTCGACGAGCGGTTTCTATGCGACAATTGAGTACAGCTCGCGCGGATGGATTTCCGGTGAACGCAATCACTTCAAGTGCTACATTCGGAAAAACGCGGGTAATTCCAAGGAGTACATGCACAAGATTGAAGGTCAATGGAGTGCCAAATCGACCATCACTGCTTACGGCACCAAGGCTTCCAAACCGTTTTTGGATGTCACTCAACTCAAGCCGGCTGAAATGCACGTCAAGAGCTTGGAAGAACAAGGAGAAATGGAAAGTCGTCGTATATGGCAAAAGGTTTCGGAGGCGATCCGGGCCAACGATACCCAAACCGCGGGCGTCGAGAAGAGCAAGATCGAGAACCAAAAGCGAGCTGAAAAGGCTGAGCGTGATCAAAATGGCACCCAATGGGAGCCCACGTATTTCCACTGGGTCGAATCGGAGCCCACCATCGCTGCGCTTCAACGTATGTTATCCTCCACCAAGTCGAAATTCGAAGCTTCTTCATCAGGCAACTGGGTTTACAAGAAATAAGAGGTGCATTGCGAAAACTAGGGAGAATGAACCTCCTTCCTCTCTCCCCCCTCGAACTTCCTTTACTATTCCTTTACTATAAAAAAAATTCACCACTCATAATTCCGCTCATTAGCGAACAGACAATTCCTTTTCATGGATCCAAATAAACACCTCTTGTTAAAAAGCAATAGGCGTATGTACTCCACCTTCCCTTCCTTGATGGTTTTACTTCATCCCAATGGAAATCGCTATTCCTTAATAGCATTGTAATAACAAAGAGAAACTGACGATATTTGGGAGAAACAAGGTAATACACAAGATCATCCGAGGCCCTTCATTGTGGCCTCGCATCGACTCCTCGTCTTTTATTGCAAAAAAGCAGTCCGCTATAATCCAGTATAGGTATCATTGGCAGTTTCGCGGCGCAAAGCCGAAGATGAATTTAAAGTTTTAAAGGTTTCTGATTGCACATGTTTGACTAAGTCTGATACACTTTATTCAAATTCGAATCAGCAATTTTATGTAGTCAACCAGATGAAAAATGGAAACATAGCAAAGGTAGTATGGCAGCATAGCAAAAAAAAAATGAAGGGTGAATTTGACGTGCCTGTCAACCTCAACAGGCCTTTAATTGCCAGGATGAACCAAGCAAGTGGGCAAGACAGACTACAAAGGCAAACGTGCAAAGCACCCGCCGAAACCGTCGGTGGTTGATGGTTTTTGCATTCGAATGAGATAGCCTTAAAGCATTAGCCGCAAATGTCCAGTAGAAAATAGGGCGATAACTCAAAGAAGTCACCTTGCTTATCTTTTCTTGATGTTGTGAGTGTTGTTAACAGGACATCCGCCAAAATTTTCGTATGTTTATTTTTTCTTTGATCATCAAAAGTTACAAAAATAAAAATGATATCGAAAATGATGCTTTGTGATTGGCGGAACTTGACCGCGGAGATTTTTATGCAAGGTTTGTAATGCAGCCAAACCCTGGGTGAAGTTGACTCTGCTTACTCATATTATACAGGCGAAAAGAGTTTTTTACTTGGGTTTTCCGGGTTCTTCTTTCCGTATTGCTATTTTTCTTGTATCTTGGAAAAAATGAATCAGAATTCAGCACTAGCTCAGAATCCCATTATGGGATCTGAAGAGCAACTTCAGGCTGTGCAGGAGTTGAAGGATCAATTTCGATTGCGCAGCGACCGACTCAAGCAGCTGTCGCAACATCTTCGAGGCGAGCTAGAAGAAGGTCTTCATAAAAACAACGCCAATGTGGCTATGCTTCCTTCATGGATTTCCAAGCACCCTACCGGTCAAGAAACAGGCGAATATCTCGGACTCGATCTCAGCGGTAAGTCTCTTGATACATGAAAACCTTTCGTTGCTCCCGGCCCAAAAAGCAAGAAACTAACACCCACGTGTATCACTGAACGTCGGCAGGTTCGTTTATCCGTATCTATTTTGTTACTTTGCACGGTCAAGGTCGTATCAGTACACGTCAACAAAAGTATCTCATCAACGACACATTGAAAAAGGGGCCTGTCACCCACATGATCGATTTTCTCGCCCAGAGTGTGGATCAGTTTCTCACCTTTTTGGGCAAATCCTCGGTCAGTGAACCTCTGGCTTTAGGCTTTGTGCTTTCCTTCCCGTTGGCACAGACCGCCATCAATAAAGCTTCCGTCCTCCAATGGACAAAGGATTTTGAAATCACCGGCGCCGATAACAAGAACATTGCTGAATTGTTACAGATCGCTTTCCAAAAACACAAAACCCCGGTGGTCGTGGAAGCCGTGATCAACGGTGCAGGTAAAGAAAAGCTCATTCTGAACATATTGCGCAGTAACAAGCAAACTCATTTTTTTTTACGTGTTTGTTCTTTCTGTAAACAAGTCGGTTGTCTTTTGGCCCACAGTTATCGTAGTCTCGATACATTGGTGGCGTGCACCGTCAGCACAGGTACCAATGCTGCGTATTGGGAAAAGGTGTCCAAAGTGGAAAAGTTGAAGGGTCACGTCCAGGATAAAGACAAGGACGGCGATATGATTATCAATACAGAATGGGGTTCTTTCAGCGACAAGCATCCGCAAGATCTGCCACGTACCGTTTACGATAACTGCGTCAACCGTTGTTCAGTGAACCCGGAAATCCATCTTTTTGAAAAGATGGTGTCTGGCCTTTATCTGGGTGAATTATCACGCAGTATCATTGTTGACTTTATGGATCGTCGTCTCTTGTTCGACGGCCAATATTCAAAGGAGATTAGCACTCAGAATGCTTTTGAAACATCGTACATGAGCGCCATCAGTTCCGACGAAACTCCCGAATTGGAGTCAACCAAACATATCTTGGAAGCCATCATGAATATTCCTAGTACCACCATTGCCGATCGACAAATAGTTCACGCTATCTGTGAAGCCGTTGGACGTCGAGCCGCGCGTTTGGTCGCTGCAGCTATTAGTGCTATCATTGACAAGCGCAACGCGTTGGAAGAAGGTCTAACCATCAGTAAGCCATTTTCGCTTTTGTGTTTTTTTTAGCCACGCATTAAGCAGATTCTTTTTAGGTGTTGAGGGAGCCATTTATGAACATTACCCGAATTTCCCTCGTCATGTGAATGAATCTTTACGGTCTATTTATGGCGATTCCGTCGATCGAATTAATATTGGCGTAAGTGCTTGAGGAACAGATGAACCTATGAATGGATGAGATGTTGACGTTTTTTGTAGGTGACCCGCGACGGTAATGGTATTGGTGGTGCTGTGGCGGCCATGATTGCGCGAAAGTGCAAGAACGAGTAAAAATTTCAAATTAACTGTTCCAAAGAGATGATCTGGTTCCTTTTTTTATTTTTTCAATTAAAAATGACCATATCAAGCACGAGTGTAAAAACTCTACAATGTTCATGACGGATGATGAGAGAAATCCATGATTCAAGTATTGACTGATCCATTCCATGATAAAAACAAACAAACAAACAAACAACTGTTTCTGATTTGCTCCTTTTTTTTGTTGGTCTTTCAAAGCAAATAAAGATTGCACAAAAAGAATAAGCAAAATATAGAGTTAAATTCAAGTACCCGATGGCGTAAAAAGGAGACAGATCATGTATATGAAGGCTTGAGTCTTACAGAGGGAAGAATGGAAGTAATTATAATGGGAATTTTAGGGATGAAATCTATTTGTGATATCTGGCTTCAACAAAAGGCATCTTGGTGATGACGGCCTTCTGGAGCTTGTTTCGGACCTTGACATCCAACTCGGTGCCCTTCTTGTGGAAACCGTTCTTGACGTAACCCATGGCAATGTTCTTCTTCAAGTTGGGAGAGGGGCAACCCGAGGTGATCTTACCAATCACTTCACCTTCCTTGCTCAAGATCTCGCAACCATCACGAGCAGGAGCGCCCTGAACGAAAAGACCAATACGACGACGACTCACACCACCCTTGATCTGAGGCAAGATGTGTTCGGCACCCAAGAAACCACCAGTCTCACGACGCGACTTGGCTATCGAAAAAAAAAAATAAGATGAGATCTTTTAGTTCACGGACATTCTCGGAGGACCAAAGGCCAAATAAAGGACAAAAAAAATAATAATAAAAAACGACTTACGAATGGTCCAGGTAAGACCGGCTTCAACGGGAGTGGTGGTCTCATCGAGATCGTTACCGTACAAGCACAAACCGGCTTCCAAACGAAGCGAGTCACGAGCACCAAGACCGGCCAATTCAACACCGGGTTGAGCCAACAACTTTTCGGTAATGGTGACAATTTCAGGTGTGGGGATGGACAATTCGAAACCGTCTTCACCAGTGTAACCGGAACGAGCAATGTGGCAAGGAACACCGGCAACGTCCATGAAACGGCCGTTCATGAAACCAAAGTCGTTCAACGACTTGCCAACCAAAGCTTCCAAAGCCGCGGCGGCCGAAGGACCCTGAATAGCGATAAGAGAGTGATCGGTGATAATCTCCCAGTCGACGTCACCGCCCTTCTTCTGGAATTCAGCCAAGTGCTTGCGGATGTGAGCGGTGTCCTTATCGGCACAGCCGGCGTTGGACACAACGTAGAGGCTGTCCTCGTGTTGCATGACAATGGTATCGTCAATGATACCACCCTGTTCGTTGGTGAACACCGAAAGGGAACCCTGACCCACAGGCATGTTGTGGAGATCGGCCGTCACCAAGGTCTCAAAGAACTTCTTGCGATCCTTACCCACCACTCTAAATAAAGACAAATATAATGATTAGATTTTAAGAAATTACCCCGGACTACCAAAAATAACCATCAATCTCCGCTCTCCCCCACTACCATCTTTTTCCTTTTTCTTTTCTGATGAGCGCTCTCTGACGTTGGATGAGTCCTCGGTCCCTCTCACTCACAATAAGAAGATGAAGAGAAAAAAAAACCATTGATCATTCCGCTCTCTATTTTTCTTTACCTGCTCTGAAGCATGTGAGAGACATCAAAGATCGAAGCCTTTTCACGAGTGTGCAAGTGGGAAGCAAGCATACCCATGTTGCCGTACTGGATAGGCATGGCATAACCAGCAAAAGGCACCATCTTACCACCGTGCTTGACGTGGAAATCGTACAAGGCAGTCTTCTTGACCTAATAACCATATCATTGACACACACCGCGATCACACAGTTAATAACGGGAACATCAATGGATATACGTCGAGCCTCCGAGACGACGGGTGTAAGTTTATGCATAATGTACCTCTTCAGAAGTGGCAGCATAGAAACGCTTGCTCAAGGTGCGGGTGCTCAAAGAACCCAACAAGGCGGTGGAACGAGATTGCAATCTTGAAGCGAGCATGACTTTTAGGTGAAAACGAGAGAAGGATAGAAAGTAAGAAAAAGGGAAAAAAGATTGGTATATTTTTGTTATTTAAGTGATAACCGAAAAAAAATAAAACAAAAAAAAAACTTTTGCTATAGGTGCTTTGGGTTGACTCGGTGGCAAGACCATGGTTCACCAAAGAAGCCGTATTTAGGAGGGTGAGACTCGGTCCAAAGGCGCTTGTGGAGAACCAATTTGACATTCAGTAGCTCCGATGACGGAGCCTCAAAAAAAGAACCGACGCCTGCGTTCATCGTTCATCGTTCAAACATGACCCATTAATTTTTTGAGATCATTCAGTCGTTGACGAAGTCCTTCACGCTCGTTTTCACTATCGGCATATTTCACCTTCATTTCAATCACCATATTCTCCATATATGCCAATTGATCTTCCAAAGCTGCGTTGCGTTGGACCAGTGCCCCGTTCTTTGTACACAAGATCTCCATCTCTTCCTTTACTCGTGCTTCCACTTCCCCTGGCAACGTCTCCAGTGCCCGTTTCAGATCGTTGGCTTGCTGTCTCAACGCATCGTTCTCGTCGTTGGTACGGGCGATATCCATTTTCGACGCAATCAATTGGCTAGCGACCAGCGCGTGCTCTTTATTCAGATTCTCCATGGTTTGCTCCAAATGCCGTACCGTTTCCGACAGCGCCTTGTTCTGTCGACGTAATGTTTCAATTGCCTCCGCTTCCGTATTGGCTCTCGCCGCTTCCACTTGGTATTCTTTCGCAAGACGATCCAGCCGTTTGCGCACAATTTGAATCTGGTATGCATCGTGAATGAGTCCCGACGGATTGCCATCGTATGCGTCGATCATGTGCGATTTCAGGAAATTCACCAGATCGTCGAATTCAAGACTCAGAATCATGGATTGATTCTTTTCTATGAGAGCCAGCGCGATACGATGAATGGCTTCGATACCTTCCGCGAGCAAAATGTCGTAGATGCGGAAAACAAAATCCAGTGGAAACTTGTAAGCAAACAATGTCATGAACCACTGTGAAGCGTACATGTTGGATCGAACCCCTTGCGCTTCAAAATGCCGGTAAACGTGGGGCAGATGATCCGAAAGCAATCCAGCAAACTGATGCAATCGCTGATGCAGCGTATCCATTTGTGGGGTAAAATGACCACGTAATCCATACCGTTGCATCATCTGTACAAGAACACAGAACGCTTCTTCTTCCGGCATCTAATCCTCATACCGTCAGTTATCCTATCCACACGCACAGAGAAAAAGTCTCTTGTGTCACTTACATTCAAAAGTAATGGACCTGCAATGAAGGAAATCCCCTGACAATAGCCGACATTGGTATCGTAGAGAGAAAATGCCTTGACCACGTTGAACAGGGCATCTTGGCCTTCTTTACTTTGAAAGTAGGGATGATGTGGAAAGGTGCGACTCAAATCTCGTACGATGGCTTTTTCGTACACGGATTCCTCCTTAAGAAGCTGCATATATTTGTCTTCCAGTTTGGGATCCTTGGATCCTGCAAAAAGTTGCCAAACCATCCCTCGCACAGAAGGAGGAATTCCACGTTGCACATTCATTGACAGGACTTTTCGTTCCGACTTGGCAACACTGCTGAAATCTGAAATCACCTTGGACCAGAACTCTAAAATAATAACAAAAGCCCCGTAAGCCTCCATCAAAACTCGAGTTCCTCACCCTCTATTTTTTTTTCTATTCCCTCGGATCGCCTTTTTCTTAATCCCCTTGTTCCTTATCCCTCGCCAATCCTCTCCATTTTATTTAGTATTGTGCTTACCCCAATCAATTTCGTTTTCATCGTGTTGCTGATTTTCGTTCTCGTTTTGTACATTTTCCTCGGAAGGTGGATCGGTGCTGTTGGTGTCTTCTTGATCTGACGAAGAAGCATGGGTATCATCGGTGGCCGCTAATCGTTCCAGCAGCATATCGTAGTTGGACGCACTGGACATGTACGAGGTCATGGAGATCATGGTGGAACGATGATTTTTGCGTGCACGCTGTAAGTCGGACTGAATATCGATTTCCTCGGTTTCTTCTGGCTCCTCATGCTCTGAGATTGAATTGGCTCCTTGGAGATCATGGATCTCGGACAATGTATCCCTGTAACCACTCCCTTGGTTCTCATTCACATCTCCTGATTTCGTCAACTCACTCTCCTCCTGAATGCGGTGGCCTTGGCTTTGAAAACTGAGAACATTGCCTGGTGGGGGTTGGGTCACTGTCGATCCTCTTCTTCGTCGACCGGTGACGGGCGCAGGAGATGCGACTTGCTTTTCAACCGTGTTTTCCATTGTCGATACGGTTTCGGTGGATGTGGTGGATTTGATATCGTCAGAGTAGTCGGATTTATCGGCTAAAGAGGAACTTTGTGATCGTAAAGAAGCTGGTGTAGCGGAAGAAGTGGTATAATGGAGGTCGGTAGGATCGTAGGCGTCCAGCGCTTTAATGTCCTGAGGATCTTGAGAGTAAGTGTGAATCTCGTCGTTTGATGCAATGTCACAAGTAGCCATGTTATAAGAAGAAGGAAAAGAAAAGGGAAAAAAAGAAAAAAAAAGGACAGACAGAGAGATAGAAAAGAAGAAGAAAAAAAAAAGATGAACAGGAAACGATCTGTTGAAAAAATGCGCCATTTTTAGCTCTATTATCGGAGTACAATTTATTTTTATCTCACCCAACTCCACCCGTTCAAGGGGCTCACAGGGAGCCAAAAAGCAAACAAGGCGAGACCGACCCAGGTCTCGGATCCAAAAACGCTAATGGAATCCAAAAAAAAAGGGAACAAAAACATGGCCTGTCATGTTTGTGATCCGACTAAGCTAATGATACTATACCGGCATTTTCTATTTTTTTTTTACTGCCACGAGCTTATGCAAGTACCAGGTGCTTACCAAAGACCTGATCTGACCTGAATTGCCAAATGACCACATGATGAATGGCCACCCACCATCACTCATGGTGGTCCTTTTAGCAATTCATGGCTCGAGAAGCAGAGGGAAAGCATGAATAGGGGAAAGTGCAACCAAACATCGCCTTCCAAACATTCATTAATTGGTGGTTGCACTTGATAATATCAAATGATACCACTGGCTTGATTATCATAATTGCCATGATGGTTGTGTTCAACTATTTTATAACATGTTACGAAGCACGAGCGCCATTTAATTTTTTGTCCTCTCGCTGTTATACGATACACGTCTTGATCTAGCACAAAGAAAAATAGAAGCAGCGTGAAATAAACCACAGGAATACCCCACATAAATATATTCATTCGTTGATCCTTTTTTTTTTTTAATTTCCTCTCTCTGTATTCTATAACATGTGAAACCCGTAACAACCAATTACGAGTTGACGCACAAACAATTTTCGGAAATTCAGCTTCAGTTCACGGATTCTGCAAATATGTCTTGAATGTGATCTGTATAACGCTGACAATCTCTTTACAGACAAACATCCACTAGGAAAAGTCGAATCCCCCAACAGTGATCGTCTGACAGGCAACTTTGGCCGCATGCAGGAGAAACCTCACATAAATGACGATACAGGTTTTGTTATTTCAGGAAATAAAAAATTACACTCTGCTTTTTTCTTGACGCTGTCTGCTGAGGAAGCTCACAAGTTCACCAATCACCTCATTTTATGTTTCGTTCGCAGCTGTCCATTCCCCAGTCAGACATTCTCATTATTGACTGTGATTGGATGATTTGGTCATTCGAACAAACCATGCGAGTTATGTAGTGCACAAGTGAATATTAATTATCGTATCTTTTGAGGACACCAAGTGAAGAGTTCGTACAACGTAAATGCGAGTTGCAACTGTGTTTACGTAGGAGCGATATTAGGTGAAGTGAACAGGCAGGGGGACGTCGTATCCCTTGCGTATGCCATGAACTTATTGATATGTTTTCTTTATCTACCTTTTTACCCTCATCTGTATTTCAACTATCACAGAACACCGTCTGTCAATGTTCAGCGGTATGAATGCAGTACGAAAAAGAGCAAGCCTTTAATCCGGCCGACATAGAGTCATGAAATAGAGTGGCATGAAGAATCATGCAAATCCAGGGAAACCAGTTAAAATTCAGCATTCGAAGAAAAAAAAAAGATATTTTTAGATTTGTCACGACAATGAAACGTGGATTCTTGACTTGTACTTTTGTCGCCATGGACGAGCAAGTGGGAAAGGCTTTGAGGATTTTGCTATTAAAAGACGCGTAAAAAGGTTACGGGGAGACGTTTTTTTCGCGGTGGTGAGAAAACATCATACTAAGTCTCATGAAAGGAAAATGACGTAAGTTTATTGAACCAAACCACATTTGATACATGGTTCCCACTTGTGTCAAAAAAAGCCAACATCATGAAGAAAAAAGTCAACTGCATCTCAACCCCCATCCCGTCTTGACAAGGGTAGTCAACCTAGTCCTGAATAAGCATCAGTCATAAAAGCAGCCAAAACAGAAAAAAAAAGTTTTTTATCGCAGGTAAAATCAATCAATCAGCCAATCAACCATTGAGGGAAGATCAACTGATAAGATATACAGTAGGCTGTGAGCCCAACCGCGGACCTGCAAGAACAAACACCAACTGTCAAGAACATGCATCGAAGGACGCTTATCGAGTTGAACGTAGTTCCTCATTCTCCTGTGGGGCTGAAAAGGAGGAATGTTCAATTTACAGTCGTTTTCTTGCGTATCTTTTGTGGAAAGTGTGTCTGAGTAATTCTTTATTTTATTCGGAAAACCTATTGGGCGGGTAAAAAATTTCGACGCGTCGGGAAAGTATTGCCCCTGTCGCTTGCTCCTTTCCTGGTTGTTTGTCGTCCGTTGGGGATGGATGGGTTGTCGGAGCCTAAAATTTAGAGTTGGGTGGGCCTCCAAATAATGGAACGAACCGTCCAAGCACCAGCAGGATGAATGCAGCCAAGGTAGACAGACGACAACGGAAATGAGAGAACATGGGTAGAAAAGGAAAACGTCTTACATTTCTACTCATGTAAAATGCACTGTATCTGATGACTGACAAATGCATGACTAATTTACGACGCCAACATAGAACAAGGGTATCCGCAATAGCAGTCCGAGCCCAACCGGGAATTGGATTTAATTTTTCTGCGATTGCGATTTGCCAGTCTCCCATACGCATAGCTTACATCATCTTCGGAGCAACGCGCGTGTTCCCCTTTTCTTTTCTCTTTTTTAAATTGATCATCGACGTTTTTCGTTTCACTTTCTTTCTTCTCTACTAATTTTTTTTTTCAATTTTTCTCACCGTAAAAAAACAATGACTCAAGCAGTGTGAGTGATGACTCTTTTATCATTGTGTTTGAATAGTTTCTTACTCGTTGGTTTCTCACGTCATACGTTGTTAATGCAGTGCTGATATTGGTCTCATTGGTTTGGCCGTCATGGTAAGCGTGATGACATGCATCATTTTTTCTCGGTACGCGATACAGTCCAGTCCCAGACTCACCACCTTGTACTATTTATCTAGGGTCAAAACTTGATCCTCAACATGAACGACAACGATTTCGTCGTGTGCGCCTACAACCGCACTACCTCCAAGGTCGATCATTTCTTGGAAAACGAAGCTAAAGGTATGAAAAAGGAAAAGAAATCGAATGCAACCACGGAGAGCAACCGTGCGCGATACTGTGAAACGGGTGACCGTGATACTCACGTTGAAACGTAGGCACCAAAATTGTGGGAGCTCACTCTGTTGAAGAATTGTGCGCCAAGTTGAAGCGCCCGAGAAAGGTCATGTTGCTTGTTAAGGCTGGTTCGGCCGTCGACAACTTTATCGAACAGTTGCTTCCCCATTTGGAAAAGGGCGACATCATCATTGACGGTGGTAACTCTCACTTCCCCGATTCCATTCGTCGTTGCAAGGATTTGCAAGAAAAGGGCATTCTCTTTGTCGGTTCCGGTGTGTCTGGTGGTGAAGAAGGTGCTCGCTACGGTCCTTCTCTCATGCCTGGTGGCAACCAAGAAGCTTGGGAACACATCAAGCCCATCTTCCAGGCTATTTCTGCCAAGGCTCCCGATGGTGCCCCTTGCTGTGACTGGGTCGGTGAAACTGGTGCCGGTCACTACGTCAAGATGGTCCACAACGGTATCGGTAAGTAACATTAGCTCCCCCACATTTTGAGCCTGTCGACATAAAAATTGGCAACACCTATCCCGTGCCATGCCAACGCGCCAAAAATTCAGAGAAAGAACAGACGTAATAATTATTCTCTCTTTCTTTTATTACTAGAATACGGTGACATGCAGTTGATTTGTGAAGTCTACCAGATCATGAAGGAGGGTCTTGGTTTGAGCCACGATGAAATGGCAGATGTTTTTGAAGAATGGAACAAGGGAGAATTGGATTCCTTCTTGATTGAAATTACCCGTGACATTCTCCGATACAAGGATACCGATGGCAAGCCTTTGGTTGAAAAGATCCGCGACACAGCCGGTCAAAAGGGTACTGGTAAGTGGACCGGTATCGACTCGCTCGACCGTGGTATTCCCGTCACCCTTATTGGTGAGGCTGTGTATGCTCGTTGTTTGTCGAGTCTCAAGGATGAACGTACCCGTGCTTCCAAGATCTTGTCTGGCCCCAAGGATGCCAAGTACAACGGTGACAAGAAAGAGTTCCTCGACCAACTTGGACAAGCCTTGTATGCTGCCAAGATTGTTTCGTATGCTCAAGGTTTCATGTTGATGCGTCAAGCCGCCAAGGATTACGGATGGAAGTTGAACAATGCCGGTATTGCATTGATGTGGCGTGGCGGATGTATCATTCGTTCCGCTTTCTTGGGCAAGATCCGTGACGCTTACAACACCAACCCTGAATTGGAGAACTTGCTCTTTGATCCCTTCTTCCAGGAAGCCACTGGTAAGGCTCAGTCGGCCTGGAGAAGCGTGGTGGCCAACGCCGTGTCGATGGGTATTCCCACCCCCGCTCTTTCTACTGCCTTGAACTTCTACGACGGTCTTCGTCACGAAATGCTCCCTGCCAACTTGTTGCAAGCTCAACGTGATTACTTTGGTGCCCACACTTACGAACTCCTTTCCAACCCTGTAAGTTTATGTGCTAAACCGATGTCATCTTGCATACCTTACTCACCGTGTTTTTTTTCAACTCTAGGGCCACGCTGTCCACACCAACTGGACCGGCCGTGGTGGCAACGTGTCTGCTTCCACCTACGATGCTTAATCATTTTAATTGTATCTTTTTTTCATTTTATTTGTCACCTGTCGCTTTCTTACTATTACAAAAATCTCTCAAGGATAAACTATATACGCAAATAGTAAAAAAAAAAAATCTCACTGGATTATGATTCCAACTTTCGTTTTTCTCTCAAGATACATGATCAAAAGTTTGATGGTAACGCTTAGTTTTAGTCCACGATCGTCGGCAAACAGTGTGTGTGCTGACTGACAGTTTTGTCATACGCGGCTTCTGGATTACCAATCTTTGTTTCGACTTTCAAGCAGCGCTGGGGTGTCACCCGACATCTCGTGAGTCTTTCCGTTTCTTTATGCAAGCCCCAACCCGTTATTTCCATGCCACGGAAAGACTCGGGAAAATGCAGATTGGAAAGAATGATCTCTTTTTTGATTTCTTTGTCCACCCGCAGCGAACCACGGAAATATCCTAGTCGAATCTAGATCTTGTTGCATAAATGTTGATGTTGATGGCGCTGACAACTGGCGTGCATCCCCCAAGTTCGCGACATTGGTTCTCAGCCATCCATCCAGAATTTCTCGGATAAAAGAAGACGCGGCCAAAGCAGGGCTCGTGAGATGTGGCGAGATGTGACTTTGGCTACTGCTTGGGATCCTCTTTCTCTCACCATGTTCGTCCGACTGAATGTGCTGTGGATTCTAGGCCTTACTTTCCAGCTGCTGATTGCTTGGTATAATATAAGCGAGATGTAGTTACAAATACTTGTGTGCAGTCGTTCATTTGTCTTTTTTTTCTTTACTTTGTTTTCTCTCAGTTATGCAACGGTGTCAGCTCGTTCGGTGCCTATCAGTGAAAACGACTTGACCCACATTGAAGCGCATCCCGAAGAATTTTGGTTTGTTAAGTTTTATGCGCCATGGTGTGGTCATTGTAAGAAACTGGAGCCTATTTGGAACGACTTGTCCGAAAAGATGGAAGGCACTATTCGTTTGGCGGAAGTCAACTGTGAAGACCATCGTGCGATGTGTAGCACCCACAAAATCACCGGTTTGCCTACACTGAGACTGTATGTGTTTTTTCTTAAGTTTGAGGATTGAGTGTGAACAACTTGCTTATCATTTCATGCTGCACAGGTACGCTCACGGATCAAATTATGATTATCGTGGCCCACGTTCCCTTGATGATCTTGAGAATTATGCGCACAAAATGACCGAGTAAGTGAATCATTTAAAACTGGTTATCAGCTTTGCATTTGACTCTTTTTTATTTGGCAGGCCTCCCGTGAAAGCCGTGTCGCATGATGAATTGATGAATCGATTCGAAAAGGAGAATATTGTGTTTGCTTTGGTTCACCGAGAAAACCAAGACGAAAAGGTTCAAGAGGTAGGACGGTTCCCGCGAGTATTTGGCTGGGCATAATGCAGGACTCACCGCTTGTGAATATAGCTTGTCTCCCAAATCGCTCCTCGATTCCTCGATCATATTACATTCTATACAACCACCGACGCAAAGACCAGAACCTCCTTAGGGTTATCGTCCGTGGATCTTCCAGTGGCAGTGATCGTCAACCAAAAGGATCAGCTGCAAATCGTATACCCGCATGACTTGTCCGACAAAGACGCTTTATCTTTGTGGATCGATCAACACAAGTATGGCCTGGTCACGGAACTGACGGCTGCGAATTCCAATGAGATTCTGCAAAGTGATCGTTTGGTGGCGGTGGGTGTGATGCATCCCGAAGATACGTCGTCTCAAGCAAAATTCCATGACATGGCTTATCAGGCCCACAAAGCCTCTTTACCGGTATCCATGTTTGCCCAATTGGACAGCGTGCGTTGGTCGACTTATGCTCAGAAAGCTTACGGATTGTCCGGATCCAAAATCCCCGGCATTGTGATTGTGGATCACGCGGTAGGCTCCACTTTTCTAAACTTGTCCCCGAAAGGAATTGTCTTAGCTTACACCTCCATTGCCTTTTTTTTTTCCCTTCCACCCACAGCATAAACAGTACTTTAATGGCGATGCCCAGGGAAATCCATTTTCCCTTGATCATCCGGAAGCCGTGGTAAAGAGTTTGGAGAACATCTCTGCCTTGCAAGGGGTGCCTATGGCGACGCCTTCTTCTCCAAGTATGGTGCATAAAATCCTGACATTTATTGGTGATCATTGGCTTCTTTGTAGCGGAGTGGTATTGGCCATGTTTGGCGTGTTGTTCATGCTCGTGACAATGGACTCGCCCTCGCCCGAGGCTACATCTAAGAAAACAGAGTAAAAAAAAAACAAGAGAAAAAAAACAATTGGGGAGAACAGGGGATGGATGAGCTGAATAAATAAATAAATAAATAACAAAATGCATGTATAGATAGAAATACACTAGAATGAAAGGAAAAAATTGGAAGCATGCCAAAACTGCTTTTTTCTTCTACGCTTCTGCTGTGGTTGTGGCCGAGGGAGTGGCTGTGTCGGGTTCTTCCTTGAAATGAATGACGGCCGAAGGTGGGGAGTGTGTGTGACGTTCATTGGGTATCCTTGAGCCGTTCGGGGTTGGGGAAGTAATGGCAGTGAGGGATTGTGTAGGTTGACTGGAGGAGGAAATGCAAGAGCCTTGCTGACTGGCCGGGGTGATCATCGATGATACGCTATCAAGTCGACCCACTGTGGTGTCAATAGGAGGCAAGACCGGTTTCGCAGACCGTGGCGATGAGGTGGAAGACGAAGGGGGATACCAGTGGTGGTGGTGGTCACCTGAGTACGACACCGATGGTGGTGAAGGAGGTTTAGGTAGACTTGGCAACCGTTTGCTCTGAATGGATGCTCCACGTTGGATTTTGGCTTTGAGCGCTTCCATGACCTTGTCATGTGACAAACGGTCTTCCTCACCATTGGATATAGAAGCTCGACTTCGTTTTTGAGAAACGTCGTCGTTCGTGTTAGAAGTGGTAGGATGGATCGGTTGCATGCGATACTGAGGTGGGTGGGACGACGCCCATGAGGTAGGCTTGGCGTTGGCTGAAGCCGCCGAAGGCGCAGTGGGCGGACACAGAGGATGCGCGGAATGAGGATAAACCACCGGCGAAGGCGGAGCGTGATGAGTATGCTGAGTGACGATGGGAGGTGGAGGCGCGTTGATTTTGGGCATTAAGGAAGGATCGCCTGCACCATTGGTTGGCATGACACGTGATGGGTATGGTTGCTGCTGCGGTGGGTAACCGGATTGTGTCCAACGCAGTATTTCCATATCCAACTGCTTAAGATGGATACGCGCATGTTCTGTTTTTAAAACGTCTTTGGCTGTTTGTTTCTAAAACTTATTTTTAGCATCATCAAAAAAAAAAGGAAAAAAAAATTCAGGACAGATAAGAACTCCTGAGTAAAGATACTACAGCGTATACTGGAAAGAAAAAAGGAGAGAAAAGGCTTTTTTTTTTACCTTGTCTTCTTCGACTTTGGCCATGAGAATGTGTTTAAGAATGTCGGGATCTTCGCTGTAACGGTCGAGGATCTCCTTGACAGTCATACTGGAAGAAGGGCTGGATCGCGTGGGCGAAGACGGTAATGGCCACTGAAATGTGGACGACTGCATTCGTGGCGAATGAGTATCAGATGGTGAGCGATGAGCCATTAAAGAGGGCACGGCAGGTCCAAAGAAAAAAAGTTAAGAAAACGAAAAGAGTGCAAAAGAGGAAAAAGAAAACGGAAATAAGGTATGGTAAGTTGAATCATATTCATCATCCCCTTTCCAGGATATTTTCTCAATCAGTTTTGAAGCTCCGAAGCATTTCATGACGTATTGTGTGTATAAAAAAACAACAGAAGTTCGCCATAACCCAAGATTCGCAGCTATTTCTGTGAGAATGATCCGATATCAAAGAAACCCGACAATTGCACCTGTTAAGAATGTCTTGCACAATAATCAACGGGTCCATTTGTCGGCCTCAAAAGCACGCTTCATATAATATGGTTGGGGATCAGAAAAAAAATTTAATTAATTCTTTTACGTGACCAATTTCTTTATTTCTATACCAACAGTAAAGTAATCATTCAGTTGATCAGTCCAAGACGCGTATTCTACGCTGTTTCTAAAGTTTACCCATTTTTCACTTGTACTATTTCCGATGAAACAGGAAAAAAAAGGCTTTTTGACAAAAATAGCGAGACCCGATCTCATACCTCGATGCTTAAATTACATTCTTGTAAAAAAAAAGGGACATCCAATGCGCGAATGACCTATGAAACATGAAAAATCCCATTGACGTCACGTGCATCCTGGTATAGGGGAGCTGCAAAGAAATCCACCGAAGAGGTCCAAGTTGCCAAAACCCGGTAACAGTCAAGGGAGACCCAACATTGACCAGGTAATTTTACCCGCGATTGGGATATCGTCTTGGAGACCTATGCAGTGAAAAAAGTCATATCCACCTCACGCTCGCTTCAATTACTCAAGGCTAAAAGAATTGATCAAGTGCGCGCAATAAGACCATGTAAAAAATGCACTGGCTGTCCGCTTGATCTCTATCTTCCAAATGCGGGGTTTCACCTTCGTTTCGCGTCGAAAATATCATACACACAAAAAAAAACCATTGACTATTTTTGGTAACTGGATACTCATTTCCCCGTTGCCAGGTTTCAAAACAATGAGAGTCAAATTCGCCAGGCGACCGGCTACGAACTCTTTCCCTCCCGTCCACCTCTTCCCCCATTTCGGTAAAGGCGATTCTTTTTTTCCATGTATCTCTTCATTTATTCACTTTATTGTACGATGGTGTAATAAACATGATACAAGATGAGAGAAAAAAATTGGAACCATTTACATCAACAGAAAAGAATCACAGTATAGAAAAAAAAAACCAAAAGGAAAATATTGCGAAACGCCCCCCGTTTACTGGCGAGCGTTGATGATCTGGTCAAATTCAGGCTTCAACGAAGCACCACCGACCAAGAAACCGTCGACATCCTGCTTCTTGGCTACAAAAAAGAAAGAGAAAGAGAAGAAACAAGTCAGCATAAACTTTGTACAAAGGAGAAATATGTGCTACGTTGAACGGTTGGTTGACTTACCCAATTCGGCAGCATTGGCGGCACTGACGGAACCACCGTAGATGATGCGGGTCTTTTCGGCGACGTCCTTGGAGACGTTTTCGGCGAGCCACTTGCGGAGGGTTTCGTGGACTTCCTGAGCCTGCTCAGGAGTGGCGACCTTGCCGGTACCAATAGCCCAGACGGGTTCGTAAGCAACGACAACGTTGGTCCAGTCATCGATCTTGTCGGCAATAGCCTTCAATTGGGCGGTGACGACTTGGGTGGTGGTGTTGTTTTCACGTTCCTCGAGCTTCTCACCGATGCAAGCAATGACCTTGATACCGGCCTTCAAAGCGTGAGCAGTCTTTTCACCGACAAACTAAAAAAGCACCAAAATCCGTTAGTTCCGCTTCCTCCGGGTCTGCTTGTCCCTATTTCACGTGAAAGACGACTTTTCTTCCCTCGTCGTCCTCCTCACGATGGAGTCTGGCCCTTTATCTTACCTCGCTGGATTCCTTGAAGATTTCACGGCGTTCAGAGTGACCGAGAATGGTCCAGTCAATACCGAGATCCTTGAGCATCTCGGGACTGATTTCACCAGTGAAAGCACCGCTGCACTTGGCATAGGTGTTCTGAGCAGCGACGCCAATCTCCTTGTTCAAGGTTTGACGGACGCGATCAATGTAAAGAGCGGGAGGAGCAATGACGACCTCTATTTTTACCACATCATTCACATCTTTAGATCACTTATCCTCTTTGTTGTGTGTATTTGTCCACATCCGGGTATCCAAATATGAAGCCCAGCCTAGGACAGCTTGTTTTTTACTTACCAGTTCCGGAAGGAATGGAGACCTTGTTAAGGTTGTCCACAAGGGTCTTGACTTGGGACACAGAGCCGTTCATCTTCCAGTTGCCACCAACGAAGAAAGTGCGAGTCATCTATGCGAAGAGTCATCGAAGGTAAGTAAATATTGGTCTATATTAGATGGTCCACACTCATCCAACTAGATCTTGCATTGGTAGAAAAATTTACCTTGAATATGTTTTTATGAATTATGGAGAAAGGGAGAGTGAAGAATGAAAAAGAGAAAAGAAAAAAAGAGTTTGCAAAAAGAAGTGTGAGTTCATATGCAGAAACGGGTCGCTTTCCAAAAAGACCCGTCACGGCTTAGCTGGGATGTTCTGAACCGTTTCCGTTAGCCAATCATATTCACTTTTACATCGATCGTTCCAAACTCACCCCTGCTAATCTGTGGCGGCCATTGAAAATCGATGAAGTGATGGATTGGAAAAGGCGGGCCATGGGCCGCACGCCTTGTGATTGGCTAAATTGTCAATGATGGATTATCGATGATTTTCTGATTTTCCCTCACGCGCTCATTTAAAAAAAAAAATGAAAACCGGCTGATGATTAAAACCATGATAAGAGACAAGAAAAAAAAATTGAGGAATAGATGTGTTTTTTGATGATCCTTTGTTTTAAGGACACCCAGTGGTCCTAAGATTTTTTGTTTGGTTTTGATGAACCACGGTATTTTTTATTTTACCAATCGAGCTTTGATGCATCATCAAGTCAGTTGGGTCCAATTTTTACGTTTTACTTCAGAAAATAAAGTCGCTTATTTTGCATTATAAGTCGTTCCTTCGTCTTTGTCCAACAATGATGTCGGTTAATTTAGCAATCAAGTCGGGTCCGCAAATGACGAATCCCATTTATTTTTACATTGTCGCTTATCATTACCAACAATTCTGAAATTGACGTCTGGGGAAGACAGGGCCAATGTTGTGTTTTAGTGTCAGGGCAACGTAGTTGGCATGTGGAATTTCCAGGCACCATCGACGCTAAAAAAGAAGCTTTGGCGCTATCTTGCTTCCAAAAAAGGGCAAAATCGTAAGCTGCAAATGCAAGCTTTTTTTTTTGAAGCTATGATGCTCCCAACCGTCTACGGGTGCGGAATTTTAAAGTCGTGAAATCATGACGCATTTATTTGACATTTAGGAAGGATACAAAAAGATAACCCAAAGAAAAAAAAGAAACCGAAAGGGTGCATTATTCTGAAAAGTTTGCCCATTCACAACGGTTAACTGCGTATCTTTAGTTTTTTTTGGGCAAGCCGAATCATCTGATCATTATGTGGATTTTCCAAATCGATCATTTCCAAAAGCAACAACAACAACAACGAAAGAAAGGAGATCGCCGGTGATTTCCGTTTGTAATTTCCCTGTTTTTGTAGTGTTGTTCAAGTGGTACCAATCAGATTGTAACGCACTTTTTTTTTCCTTTTCCTTTATTAGTTTCCTCACACAAACGCATGATATTAGATCATGTCGCTCCTAAAAAAAAGGAACCATTTTCTGTAAGCCGGCCATTTCAATAGGCGCTCGAAAAAAAACCCAACCATGACCGAGATATGAAGCAACACTTGTAAACTAGCAATGAATGGAGAATTTATACAACAGACAGTATGTATTTCATAAAAAAATAGCTACAAGTGATATAAAGATAAAGCCAGGGGAAAAAAAGAAAAAAAGAAAATGGCCTCTTCTTTTTTCTTTTTTTTGAAGGGGTAGAAGAGACCCAAATATTCGGTGGATATGTACAGAACGTCCGAAAAAAAAAAAAAAAAGTCAACGGAAGCTCGGAGAATAAGTCGACAAAAGCAAATGTAAAAAAGATGGATAAGAAAAAAAACACATGAATAAGGGAAAAAAAGGAACAATGAGGAATAAAAAAGAAAACAATAACTCAATGACAATAAACAAAAGAGAGGGACATACAGCAACATTAGAACATGTCAGCGCCAAAATAAGATAAAAAAGGTGCGAAGAAAAAAAGATGTGATGACAAAGTGAGAGCTATGATTTTGAAGGGGATATGTGAGTGGTTTGGTTTTTTCTGTTTTGTTTGGGCCTCCTTTTTAAGAGCTTTTTCAAGGGACGAGGCTTTGGAGTGAGTCGAGATAAAAGGTGGAAGGTTGACCAAAACGGCTGAATCCTTGGAGAGCTTCAAATTCATCCTTTGTCAAGTGTATAAGTCGTTCCTTTTCATCGACTGGATTACACAAATCCGCCACCGATAAGCGACGTGATTTGGGTTCGGTGGTGGTGGTGGACGGATGAGGGTGGAGATCTTCTTCGGGTTCAGAATCGACGGAACTGAACGATTCGGGCGAAGCCAGTGACACCGGAGAGATAAGATCCATATCGTTGTGCACGGAGGATCTACGGGATTGAAGATCATGCTTATCGTTCACCGTGTCTACATGAAGATCTGTAGAACGTCGTCGTTGCTGTTCAGCTTCCCGGTGTTGTTGGCGCATTCTCGTGGAGGACCGTGTGCCCGGGCCGGCATGGTCAGTGCCCAACGATGAATGCGAAGGACGATGGCTGCGGTGAGTTTGTGTGTGTTGCATCATGTTATCGAACCGACTGAACATCTTGTCGCATTCAGGTACGATACATTTGAACGGTTTTTCCCCGGTGTGTTTGCTGCAGAAGTAAAAAAAAAAAAAAAAAAAAAAAAAAAAAAAAAAAGGATGCGTCAATGACCATGCCACGGAAAATATCCAATAGTCTAGATCTTCTTACCGAGCATGACGTGCCAAATGTTCACTGCGGGTAAATACCATACGACAATCACCATAGCCGGTACATTGGAATAACTTTGGCTTGGCGCTATTGCGAGATCGTTTGGTCTGTGCTGGCATGATAACAAGAGATGAAAAAATGAAACGCGGGTCCAATGAGAAAGATAAAAAAGAAATTCAAGGATAAAGAGAGGAAAAGAAAAAGTAGAAAACAATCGAAAAAATAAAAAGCAGGCGACGGTATATATAAAAGGAGAAGCAAGGAACAAATCGGGAAAGCGTTTTGTCGTGTGCGTGGGTGATTTAAAGGAGGCCCAGAACCCAACTCAGGCACGAACATTTTTCGTCATAATCGCGCAAATTCATCGTTATTGTGTTCCTTTGCTAAACTTGCCTCATATGCCCATAATCCCAAAATTTTTCCACATGTTTCGTCGCTCTTCTTTTTTTTCGCCAACAAGTGTTTTTACATCCTTGTCCTGAATTCAAAAAATCATCTCTTTATTCAAAACATCCAGTGTTCCTATTTTTCCCCTTATTTTACATGGAAACCATTTGGTATTTATCGTTGGATGACACGATTGAACAAGCATGACTGAACGAAAAAAAAATAAAGAAAAAACTTTTTTTTTTCCTCTTACATGCAATAGCTAAAAAAAGAAAGAAAGAAAAACAGAACGTCGGATAGTCTAAAGCTAGTTCGATCAGATGATAACCGTACTTTTTCGCTCGCACGCCCCTCTTTTTTTTTTTTTGCTTTCCTGCAGATGCCACGTTTAAACAAACAATGATTATTTTATCCGACACCCACCTAAATAAAGTTATTTGTACTTGCGTGGTATAATCGCACTATTCTAACTAGTGATTTTCTATCCTCCTCCTTGGGTTTTTCTCTGGCTTTTTGGGGCTCATTTCCATGCCAACTTTGAATGTCTTTGATCCCGCCTTGCATGAAACAGTTATGCCCTCTTGGATGCGTGGGAGTCAATAATGCATATCTACAAAGTACTGCTTTTTTTTCTGCTATTCAAATTAGGGGTTATGGTTCAACGCATTGAGCGGCGGAGCACGTTTGTTAAAAAAAAGTGGGGTTCCAACGTCGATTAAGGTATCGTATAGCGTGGTTGATCATGACAAATTCATGATCTTCTACTGATTGACATATAATGATATCATGTTACGAAAACGTCAATTTCGGAAGCACAAAAATTGCAGCCCGGACCAGCCAATAATGTAGGACCGCCAATTTTAAACCCAAGGATAACCATGCAACTCAAAATTGTTTTTATTCCTTCCTTGTCATTCACTGTTTGACTCACATTACGATGAAAAGTGCCAATGAGGTGAGACGCTTCATCATGGTTTGTTTATCTTCTTCATTCAAATGGTTGCATCATAACATATGCAGTGTTGAGTTTTTTTTATTTTTATATTTTTATTTCACAAGCTTTATGACGTCTAGCGACAAGACCACAAACATGGACGCTAAGCCCAAAATAGCCAGTGTCGGTTTGTCAAAAAAAAAAAAAAATGATGGGCTTTGCAGAAGAAAGAAAAAAATCTCGTTGCGGTGTCGACCAGTCGGGTTCAACCGATGACAAGAACAAGTAACAGTACAAAAAAATAGTTAATACCATGATCACATTTTTACGGTTAGGCTTGACCATCGTGCACAAGCTAAATTTTTTTTAATTCTTCTCATTATCCAATCGTGCATAAACTCCATTTTTATGCAGCAATTGCTCCCGCGTACCGCTTTCGATGATTTCGCCCTGGTCCAATACGTGGATCATCGAAGCATGCCGAATAGTCGTCATACGGTGCGAGGTAATCACAATCGTTTGCCCTGATCTCAACAATACTTGCAAGGCTTCATCCAGGACATGTTCACTTTGACCTGTGTGAATGCACCCACGTCGGTTACTTTTTATGTTCACTGGTCTCTCTGTCTCTCCCTTTCTGTGTTGCCATACTTACTGTCCAGTGCGTTTGCGGGATCATCCAAAACAAGTAATTTTGGTTGACGTATGAGCGCTTGTGCTGCCACGTTGAAAAAAAGAAACCCCCAAAAAAAGAAAGATGCAAGGGGAACTGTTAACACAACGATGGCTCAGAAATGCATTTGATACTTTTTTTCTTTTACCAAGGGCAAGAAGCTTTCGTTGACCACCAGATAGTGATTTTTCACCTTGTTCAAGCACTGTATCGTAGCCGTGAGACAATCCAACGATAAAGTCGTGAACTTTTGCCATCATGCAGGCACGCACTATCTCCTCTCGTGTCACCTGGTTTCCAACTAGATGCCATCATCATGAGAGGAAAAAATAATAATCAGCATCTATTTTGTCCATCCCAAACAACCCTCGCCCCCCTTCCCGTACCTAGCCCGTATTGGAGATTATCGGCAATACTCATTTGGAAGAATCGTGGTTCTTGAGCCACCCACCCAATTTGAGATCGCCATTGATTTGTGTCGGCCACACGGCTATCCGTACCCTCAAATACAACTAAACCTTCCGTCGGCCGGTAAAGGTTCATCATCAATTCTAAAAGACTCGTTTTTCCACAGCCACTAGAGAAAAAGAAGAATTAGAAGTACTGGGAAGATAGTGTCTCCCTCCGAAGAAACTGTTGTGAATTCAGGCCTATTTTACCTGCGACCTACGATGGCCGTCATTTTGCCTTTTTGAATATCCATGTTAATCTTTCTTAGCACCATTTTTTCTGGATGATTTGGAAAGAACAAGGAAACATTTCGCAATTCAATGACATGCCACGGCTGCGTGTGTCTGGCTGTCACGCTCTTGGATTGATGGGTCGGCCCTGCGGTGGAATACACCAGATCTTTCATTTCTTGCAACGGTACCTGCAGTTGATGCCATCGGGATACTGCCGTCGGACAATGAATTAGGGTTTGGGCCATTCTTTTCACTTTTCCATGTGTTTGGGTCGTACCTGTCGTCTGAAATTGGCTACCGTAGGACGCACAAAACCCTAAAGCGAGCCATACCAATAGAACCTGTTCCAGACTGTATTGCTGCCATACCAGCAATTGGGCGCCATACCACAGGACCAGGGCTAAGTTTATCCATTTTTTTTTCAGTATCACATTCAATCGTGCACAGCCGTTCCATTCAATTTTACATCAAGTCGTACCTTTGGACAGGTAAGAAAGCATTTCTGTCACACCAGCAGAAACACCATCACTCACAGCACTGAGCATGGCTACACCGCAGCTCGGCACCAGTAGTGCTTCGAATTTTCTTTCAAACACATTTTCCAACCCCAGGTTTTTGATCGTCTGCCGTGTCTGCACAATCTGTCACTTGCGTCCGTCAGTCCAAACCCCCTTTTTTTCCATAATCGTCATATTCGTACCTCGTTCACCGATGTAATCGATTCTTCTTGTACCGATTTATGTTGCTGCGCGTACCTTTTTTGTAGACGAGATCCCAACCATTGCCAGAGAAAACACAGCGGCATAGGTAAGCATCCCACGGCTGTCAACTGCCAGCCGGTGATCATCGCCATACAAAATCCAGCTGTCAGCGTGAGTACCATAAATAGGAGTTTTGCCAGATGCTGCGTCAAGAACCGTTGCAGCGCTAAAGGATGTTGGCGAATATTTAACAGGGACGCACTGTGCAAACGAGCGGCGAGGTGGAGCGTCTCGCTAGTCAGATGGTTGAGCAGCATGCGCGTGCGTAAATTGATGACAAGTTGAGATCCACTGGTACTTTGAAGCCATTGTTCCATGCTCGTAAACACACTACTGACCGCGGCAAAACTGAGCATGAGCATCACGGCTTCAGTCACCATATTAGACGCGGATGAAGCCAGATTAGCGTATTGGCCCAAGAACCTCGACAACAGAAAAGGAAAACAAGGGACCAAGATACTCTGCAACAGGGAAACAATATACAGTAGACGCAACCGCCATGGGGACTTTAAATGGTCTGAAATCAGTTGATAAAACGAGACAGACCGTCGTCGCTCGTGCTCGGACGACTTGCCGTCGGCAGTATGCACCATGATTTCGATGTGTGTATCTTCCCATCGTGAAGGCAACGAATCAAACCGTGTAGGTACGAGCAAAGGGCTTGGTTGATCCGTTGTACTTGGCAACGCACTCAAAGCGTGCACCATTGATTGCCTGAAAGACGGTCGTGCAACGCCACTTGACGGCAACGAATCACTGCGGCAAGGCAACGGCAGCTGAGTTGGATGCATTGATCGTGGAACGATCGTCGGCGCTTGGTAGCTAGCCATATCGATAATATGATCTGCTAAATCACGAATATGGTCCAACCTGAAAAAATGCCATGATGAGAAATTCTCAATTAACGATTTTTTTTTTCGATGCTCGTGCAACTTTACCGATGACTGACGATAATGGTCGTTTGGCCTTTTCTCAGATAAGCAATCGCTTGGAACAAATCACGGTCAAGTTCATTATCCACAGATGACGTGGGTTCATCTATTATTGGTTCTCGTCAGTATTTTGGTTGTGATGCAAAAAGAAATATCGTCAATACGTCGTAATAAGAATGCGTATTTTACCTAGAATCAATATCGGTGGATTTTGAATCAAAGCCCTTGCAATCGCCAATCTATTTTCCCATGTGGGCCCAAATATCGATCTAAATTAGCGTGGGTTCAGGCGGTACAGTGCAACCATCCTACCTTTGTTTTTGCCCACAAGACAAGTTGGCACTGTTCGAATTCAGCCGCGTCAAATGCCGTTCGGGCAGTTGTTGGATAAGCTCCGTCAAGCCCACTTTGTCGCATACATCCAGGACTTCTTGTATGGTCACATTCCAAAAGTCTTTGCGACCAAACGTCACATTGCGATACAGGGTGTCGTCAAATAAATCTGGCCGCTGCTCGACGATACTGATCGATTGCACTAGATGGTCATCGTTCCATTGGTCCATGCGAAAACCGTCCAGAAACAGTTCGCCCTGCTGGGGAGCCCACAGCTTCTGCAGTAACCCAAGGAGGGTGCTCTTGCCACAACCGGTGGGGCCGACAATGAGAGTAATTTTGTGGGCTGGGATATCAAACGACATGTCACGCAAAACGGCGTTTCCTTTTCCTGTATCATCACCCACGTATGAGAAGTGAAGGTGGTGGCCGTAATAGTGACCTTGAATGTGAAGCTGGGGTGAGGTGATTTTGTCTTTGACCGAGGATTCGGCTGCGTCGTGATATCGCCGGATTCTTTGATAGATTTCCTCGATCTTGCCCGATTGAAATTGGAACCATGAAAGGATCGGTTGCAGACCACGAATCGTTGTAAATGCCATCAGTGTCGCATACAACACGGCTACAATGGTTCCTGCTGAATACGCTTCCGGTTCACTGGCCAGCATCCTTGTCCCGAACCAGAATCCCAAAACAAATATGCCATACGAAGTGAATTCACAGATCCCCGCCCTGGCCGCCGCATAGTAAGCGCATCGTGCATCCAATCGCCGTTGCTCGTTCAAAAGTTGTTCATAGTCATCCACGTATCGCGTGTGGCATCCCAAAGTTCGGATCGTTTTCATCATGTTTAAAGACTGTTCCAGCATGCTGTCGGCTTGATAGTTGACGGTCAGTCGTCGCCGATGCACCTTGGCCGACAGTCGATCGAATAACCACGTAATACAGGTTAAAAACGGGAATAAAGTCATCATTACCAAGCTTAGTTTGTAAAAATGCGTGAACGCCACGATCAAATGCGCAATGCACGATGTCGTCAGTGTCACCAATGTCAATAAGCAGCCCATCGCCGACGATTGCAGACTGTCCACCGATCTATCGAAATAATCTTTGATTTTAGTCAACAAAGTCAGTGGCCACCAGAGAACACTTACGAAATAGCCGCTGTATCCGTCATTGTTTTCTGATGCCGTTCTGGTTTCGTCGTCGCTGCGTCGTCAGGTACAGAGGGATATGTCTTGAGGATATCTTTGACGAGGGTTATTTTCATTCGGTGCCCCCAATGAGCCGCCACACTGAACCAGCTGATACGTGCTGTCATGGTCGCTGTCATGGCAATAATTGCCAAACCAATGTAAGAGAGCATCAACTGATTAATCGATGTTCTAAACTGATCCGAGTTTTCTTGATCGAGACGATGAACAAGCATATCAATAAGTCGACCCGTGAGCACCACCATCCATGGACCGAGGACCCCCGACACCATACAAGCGATAAAACCGATGATTAATAGCATTCGTTCGCGATAGCCGCGGCATAGCAACAGTACAAGTCGGATAAAAGTCGACTCCAACATGGCAATGCTAATAAGAACAAAAAAAAAGTGATAAAGACTCGTCTTATACTTTAAATTGTAAATGAAGGATACTATTAAGCTTTTTTTCTTTTTTCCATGCATGCAGTTCCAAAATGACAATGAAATATTCTCAAAAAAAAAAACACAAGTGGGAGACCGTTCACAATGAAAAGCAGATGCATTGTTGAATTTTTTTTTATTCCAAATGTACATACAAGACCATGCGGGGAGGTCGGTGAGATCGTGACTTATTGCTTAAGGCCGATATCCTTTTCGATAAGCTGGGCAGCAATAGGATGGTAAAATTGCTTGTGCTTCAAATAAGTTTGCTGGGCCAAATCAGCCCCATTCTTGGCACGGTACAACAGACGATAAAGAGGACGGACAAACTTCATACGGCCCTGTTCAGTGACAAAGGCGACAATTTCGGGGTAGATGGCTTCATAGCTTGCCATCACACACAATTGTTGCCAGCGGAAACGAACGTCAGCGTTGCGAATAGGTGTCATCTTGTAAAGTTCATCCATCTTGGCTAACAAGTGATGAGGAAGAGGAGCACAATCCGTCAATCGTTCCAAAAAGACAACTGCAACAAAAAGTGGGCGATCATGTCAGTCATGCTTTCTTTTTCTTTTCTATTTTATTTCTTTTCTATTTTATAAAAACTTACTCTTCTGTGTGGCGCTGAATTGTTCAATATCCTTGGCCGAGAAGCTGGATAAATCGTTGCTTTCACGAGCTTCATCCCATCGCTTAGCGAGGTGGTAGCAGGCATCGGCCAACGTGGTGTCAAAGTGGGGATCGACCGGGGGCATACCAGTGCCATTGATCCAGCGGTCGAAATCGATTGTGTTCAACTTGTCCACCATTTCCTTGCCATGGGCTTCTTCAAAGTATTGATACAAGTGCTTCATCCAATCATCGGTAGTAATCGATTGACCAGCAAAGCGAATCACATGAGCTTTCATGTAAGGCTCAAAGATGGCAGGACCGCCCACCACCTTTTCAATATGATACAAGAGATTGAATCCCTTTTCTAAATATTTCAGCAATTGGTTTAGCCTTCCTCGTATCACCAACAGATCATTTAAAAAAAATTACCATAAGGGACCGAGCTAAAGTAATCATCAGGATCAATGCCACCGCTTAAATCGGGCTTCAGAACCGTAGCGGGCGAATCTTGGCCGAAATGTTCAACACTTTCTTTCAAAGCCTTCCAGCCTAAATGAGATCAACCACAATAAAAAAATAAAATAAAGGCACTGCATGTCAGGTCCCGCTTTTGACAGTATCGAAATCCATTTGTCTTTTTACCAATAATAGCACTGAATTGTCTTTCGGCTTCACCATGCAAGCGGCCTGGAAGGAAATGCATCAGTAAGACTCTTATTGTATCCTAATTCGCCGAATCGAACTTACCAGCAATCTTGCGTTCGGTAAACACGGTCCAGCCTTCATTGAGCCAGAAATGTTGCTACATACGCACTGGATTAGATCAACGTCCTTGGTCCCAGTCAGTTCTCCCCGTTTGACTTACCCAGTTCAAGGTGGTGACCAAGTTGCCCATCCAGCTGTGTGAGATCTCATGAGCCACGACATCCACGGCACTCTTATCACCTATTCACCCATTTAAAGAGGAGTTTAACTTTAAATCACCCAAATATGGTGGTTATTTCCTTAATCCTACCAGCCAACAATGTTGGTGTAACAAAGGTCAAGCAGGGATTCTGAAAAAAAAACAGGCACCGTTAAACCAACGGAATATGAAAAAATTCATTATTGTTTGTTTTTGTTTTCTCTTACCTCCATGCCACCGTATGGGAACGAAGGCGGAAGCACCAACAAATCGTAACGTCCCCATTCATAGGGTGTCAACAACTCTTCACCAATGGCAATGAATTTCTCAGTGTCCTATTACCGCATGACGAATGAGTTGAGTTCAAGAATTCTTTTTTTCTGTTGTGTTTGAAACTGTGGCTCGGATTGGGTTGCATTCACCTACCTCAAATTCCCACGCGGCTTGATCCACCATCTCAGGTTCGCACCAGACGGTGCTACGAGGGCCGATTTCACGTCCCGTCAAGTTACCGGCAGCAATGGCAATCAAGTAACTGGGAATGGTCGTACGTTGTTCAAATCGATACGTGGTCATGCCATCTGCACCGGCATCAGAAGAAGTCTGCAAGGCCGACATGATGACACGAAGAGGCGACGTGACGGCGGCAGAGTAGGTCAATTTCACCGAAGGCGAATCTTGGCAAGGCGTAAAAGCACGAGCGTGAATCTATACCCAACCGTGAGTCTCCTCGCATCCCATTATATTTTCCTTTGGCTACAATTAACTTACACTCTGACATTGAGAGAACAAATAAGGATGCTTCTTGCCGACGGTTTGTCTGCGGGGGTCCGACTTGTTAGCCTTTTGTCATTGAAACCGATTGCACGTTACCCTATCCCCTACTTACTCTGGCTCCAAGAATTGCACAGCTGTGCACTTTTCAGTGGTGGAATAATCAATCTTGAGCTGGAACTTGGTATCAGCAGCAGCGATGGGAGCCGGGAGTTCAATGATTAAAGCGGAACCCAGGTTGGGGTGGCGTTCTTCCACGGTATGCTATTATTGACGTGTGTCAGGATACTCCTCTTCCAAATGCTTTGTTCTTCAAGGAATGAACATAAAAAGTTTTTTTTTTTTTTCACGTACCTTCAAAGCCTGACCGTCCAAACACACGGACTGGATATCCAAGTAGCTAGTATCCAAAACCACCTTTTCAACGTTGGGAATCAACGTGACAAAGTCCATCAACACATGACCGGCGATCTTCTTGGCATCGAATGAAATAGTCCAGTCAAAATGGAGGTGAGTCGTCTTGACCTCGGTCAAATTGGCCAAACTGCTGGGATCTCTAGTGGAGCAACGACACATGGTGGGAAATGAAGTGATAAAGGGAAGAAAAAGAAGAAAAAACGATTTCCAAAGAATTTTTAGCGGGGGGAATAATCCGCGAGCTTCTTTGTGACTTGAAAGATCTGAACCTTGTTTTTCTGTCTTTTATTTTTTTCCCTTATCTTTTCAATTGATTATCTTCCAAACCTTTTGCCGGACTCCGATATCATGATAAAAGTATATTTGACCATGATATTTTAAGCCATTGCAATTGCTGTTGACAGCTTGTATGAGGATGCTACGCACACTTTAGCATGGTTGAATATGGTTTGCTCTGTTATAATACGTTTATGCATGAATAGTTGGCCATATTATTATCGTGCATGCGACTTCAAGCCTATCATCAGTACGTTTTTTCTTATTCGTATATACCGAATGACCCGTGTTGTGAATAACCTGGACCCTATTCTGGGTTCATCCAACAACGGAACAAACCATCACCCCAGTTTGGAACATTTTTCGCACGCCTATTGAAGTTTTCATCAGCTCTATAACTTTTCACAATGCTATTCTCTGCCTATTTAGTCGACGTGGCCACTTGATCAGTGGCAGCCCGATTCTGTAGAGAGATATCATTGTTGAGACCTCGGGATCCCTTTTTCAAGGTCCTACAGCAAAAGCAATTTCCCGGAATTTCATGTGTGTGACGCGGCGAGACAGTTTCAAGTGTTTTTTCTCGGAATCCATAAAGCTATAACCACAATGACACTTGCAAAGGTGCGAATGGCTCCTACTGTCCATACATATCCACGCAGCATACTGATAGCGACTGAACTAGTCTGTAGACCAGAACGAATATAAACCATTCGAACTTTCTTTTGGAGCAGGTGCTTTATCCGGTGCTTACAACAGCATCGAAGACCACTGGCCCGTCGAAGCATGCAGAGAAGCCTTACGCTTAGGTACAACTTGGAACTGTTACGGATTGGATCCCCCAGTCTCTAATTCGTGAGACTTGCATAAATAGGCATCAATAGTTTTGATACCTCGCCTTACTACGGTAAAAGTGAATTCATTCTTGGCGATGCATTGCAGGCTATCAAGGACGAATTCCCGCGGTCCTCCTATTACATTTCAACCAAAGTTGGCCGTTATGGATATAGCGTCAAGGATTTTGATTACAGCGCGGAACGAGTGACCGCCAGTGTAGAGGAAAGCATGAAACGACTCCATACCGATTATCTGGATATCGTATTCTGCCACGACGTGGAATTTGTGCCGTTTGAACACGTCGTTGGCCCCAACTGTGCCCTCGAAGCTCTTTTCCGACTTAAAGTAGGTCGCTTTTTGTATTTTTATTTCAATGCCGACAAATATCTTGACAATACCAATCTATAACAGGATCAAGGCAAAATCAAATATGTGGGCGTTTCTGGGTATCCACTGGAAGTGCTGTTAAGGATTGCCGAGCATCAATCTGCCCAAGGACGACCGTTGGATATCGTGTTGTCCTATTGTCATTACACACTTCAGAATACCATGCTGGCTAAATACACGCCTCAATTCCGTGCGGCCGGTGTACGCTACGTATTGAACGCTTCGCCCTTGGGTATGGCGTTGTTCCGCGAAGCCGGTCCTCCTGACTGGCATCCGGCTCATCCGCCCCTGCGAGAAGCGGCTCACAAGTGCGCTTCATTAGCCAAAGAAAATGGCTTGAACATCTCTGAACTCGCTTCCATGTTTGCCTTTGCAGGCCGAGATGCCTTCAATCTCACTTCCACCGTGATTGGCCTTCAGAAAAAAGAAGAAGTGCGCACCGCCATTGATGCTTGGCAACTCGTCAAGCAACGAGAACAAGGCACTCAAACCGTTCCTCAAGTGGAAGCCAACGTTATGGCTCAGATCACAGACCTTCTTCGTCCTTTTAAAGATTTCTCATGGCAAAGTCCATCCGCCAAAGAAATGGCAGATCCATCACAATAAAAAAGAAGAACCCCATCCAAGTTCACTTGGTTTTCACTTATCGCCGAATATTTATTTCTTTTTTTTTCTTGGTTTCTGTGCAAAAAAAAAGTCGTTGCTCATCTCTTTAGGCGCCATAGCCTCGAATAGACTCTGCAAAGGACCAGTTTGTATCGACACTGTAAGGTTCGGTCACTTCCACTCCTGCTTCTGTAATTTTTGCTCGTTGGAACTATCACGTTTCGGTATTAGGGCCACTTCCTGCAAAACAAAATCTATCCCGGTTTTATGCCTACCTTATTCATGGATCGTGCATCTCGGTAGAATAATACGCGCATACAATCGTTCATAATGGTGATGGCTTCTTCCTCGGTAATATCGTCTTCTCTGCCTTCGACACGCTTTCGCAGAATAGGTTGTGCAAGATGCGCGCCAAAACCAGTGGCAATCGTCGTCGACTGATACGTTGTGCCTCGTAAATCTACATAACCAAGGAATCTATGCGTTTCCGTGAAAAATAACCACTATCAGCATCTCCATCTTTTCCGACAGTTTTACTGTGCCTTTTTTGATATGACGTACTTTTCGCCTTTGTTGACACCGCCAACCACCAGCGAATTCCACAACGGATTGAACTTGGATCGTCGGTTGTACATGACTCTCCAAAGATATTCGTAAATGTGAGGTGTACCCATGACGTGACCATCGTCATTGCAATGTTCTTTGATCCTGGATAACGTAGCCATGAGTGTTAAGCATTGTCAGTGAATGAATAGTGGTCGAGTCCGTCTTACATTAGGGAATCCAGAAGATGCTGGATATATTGGTAGTCTGAAAGATCGCCCGAAGCGCCAACCACGGTATGCTGACCCACAGGATATAATCGTTCAATGTCGCGGAAACGTGCCAACGATCCATAAGAACCTATACGACGTTGAATTAAGACCCTGAACAAGGGAAGAAAAAGATCCACCAGTAAAAAAGTAAAAAACACATACCCAACATATCGGCGGCCATCATGATACCGTCTCTATATTTGAATGCCAAGACCGAAGTACCCGTAACGAGAGGTTGTCTACAACGGAGATTAGCGTCAAATAGAAAGGTGGCACTCGTATAAACTTGGGATGTATGGGTGGGACGAGTATCTTACTGAGTCACTGTGGTGGGTCCGTAAGCTGCCTGTGTCAAGTGATCGGGATACGATTTATGCATGGGAACAGTGTTATAAAGGTCAACATCCTCATTGCGAGGCTTGCCCCAGTTGGAAGGAAAATGGTCCATGGTATTTCGCTGTAAAGGTGGCAAAAAAAGAGAATAAAATATGCTTGTCCACAAAAAGGGCGAAGCCGTTTTGGTTACGCGTTAACCTGTGACGTAGGGCCATGACCGCTCTTGCGGTCGGACTTCCAACTGATCACAATTTGACGCTCCAAAATGGTCTTTGAGCTGGCGGTGGGCTGAATATGACATGTCGACTGATGCTTTTCAAACGATAAGGCGCAGTGGCTGATATGCAGCATGTTCTCTAACAACCATAAGACCTGTAAAGCATGATAAAAATTGTATTAGTAATAACAAATTGTTGGGTGAGAGCATCGATTTCTTGATAAGCGTTTCTTTTCACCTGGAAGCGAGAAGAAACACTGCATAATTATACTCAATTCGATTTGGTTTCCTATTCAGTCGGTAAAGCCATTAATTTGTAAACAAATTTATCCCTTCAACTCGAGTGAAGCAGTCCAAAACGCTGCATCTGTAACTAGTGGCATCACCTAGCAACTCTTTATAACTTACCTGCCGGGCTGTCTGATATTCTACAATCTCGGAAGGAAGCACAAGGCATCTCAGAGTATTTCCATCAGTCGAAAATTAGTTTACCGTTGATATACCAGCCGATGATAGTAGACTGCCGCGAGTTGGGATACCCGGCAATATACAAAAATGCATTGGGAAGCACCATGCTTATTTCTTCAATCCGATGCATCATAACCTAACGGCACGATACGTCTTGCTTCTGGCTTCGATCACTTGGTCTTGAGAGAGCGTTATCCTCGTTGGTTAATAAGGTACTGTGAAATGAAATTAAGGGAGTTCTACACACATAACAAGGGATTGGAGGTGTGTTCAAAGTCAAAGGTTTTCGCTCTATTTTGTCCCTCGAACGATCTTGGAAAATAATTTTACTCAAGATAATAGCAATTGAGTCGACATATTGCAAGGCTTCTTTACGGATACACGTACAATGAAATGGAAAAGTTGGATCTCTTGAGGGGGCCGATTGTGTGAAACATTGCGTGCTGGAAATGTAGGAGATCGACAGAGCATGAATTGGTATAACTCCGCCGTCATATTCTCATGTTTCTTTGAACTGGGTGATATACATGAAGGTTTTCTCTGTTATTTTGTCGAGGATACTGGCCTTTGCTTATAAGTGGGCGGTGGCTAATCGAACTGTAGGTTATATTGCATTGCGACCGGTAGAGTGACCAAATTTAGAAATTTTAGGAACGTGTGTGTTTTGAAATAGCCTGCTCAACAGAGACCACTCGAGGAGCTCGGCAGATTAGTGGATGCTGTACTCCAACCAGTCTTTGGCTTTTTCAAGAAGGTAACAAATAAAGAAAAGTAAATGCAATGGACCTCGCAGATCCCGAGATCACCAAAGAGCTTATCAACTGTTATGATTGGTTCTTTGGTAAACCAGCCTTTTCCATTGTCACACGAAGATAAAAAAATTCATGGGCACAATAAGAAAGCCCAGACAGCTCAGAGGCGCTTGCTGAATTCCTTTTTTTTTCGATTGTATGCACGTTGTGTTGTCTGGTCATGGACCTGACGCTGCAACCATCATGAAGACGATTCAACCTTCCGTTTTACCTCTAACCGCAAAGAAGCCGTGTGTTGCTGAACGTCCTCTTCCTGTCCCTCGGCCATCCTTTCCATACGCCATGTCTCGTTCTTCTTCCCTGGATCGCATTTCCAGCTCCAACGAGTCGGACCCCACCGATACTCTCATCGATACGCAAGCAACATTCTCTACACCTAACACCCCTAGCATCCCATCGTCGTCTATGGAATTATCGCTGTTGTCAACGGAAAACCCCGCGCTCATGTCGCTGGCCGTCAGCAGCTTGATGTCTCATCTCGGCCAAGCCTTTGTCACTCATATCGAGATACTCAATCAGAATCGAAAAACGTTTTGTTCAGAAGAATATCCGCTCAGTTTCACCGGTGAAGAGGCTATTGTAATTATTTGGCTAGAAAGAAAAAAAGATCAACTCCATGAAAATGAATTTCTCATCATCGGCATTATGCACGTAAATAGAAATTATTGAAACTCTTGTTACCTCAGCAACTCACGAGCAAAGAATACCGCAACGTTGCCTGCGCTTTTTTCCACGCGACGCCACCTCTTATTGCCCCGGTGCCTTATTCGGAAAAGTCAATCAAGAAGAACACGCTGTATGACTCGTCCAAAGAGATATATACTTTGGTCGAAGATACCATAGAAAAGGGAATACCAGAAGCTGTTTATCTTCCATTGACCACATGCTACACACCATTGTGCTCGTTTCAACAATCCGGTTGCTACGCACCATGCTGCCCCAATAGAAAGGTAACGTATCCATACATGTCTGATCTACTCTTGATGAGACGAACGTGTTTTTTTTCTGAATCAAGGCAATTACTCATTCTCCTCCTGTAACAGAAACATGAATCGGTGAAGCGTGCAGAATCCATGTCATCCTCGGTCGCTTCTTCTTACGATACGGTAAGTCTCATTATCATTGGTAGCGCGCCATATTTTCTGATGAGCTATCTGATCGTAGACCCTTTCGCGTGCTTGGTCGGCCACAGTACCTCGAGAGGTGCTTACCAGCATCCCTGCAAAGGAAGTGAAGCGCCAGGAAGCCATTCATGAATTGCTCTATACAGAAGAAGACTATCTTCGAGACTTGAATTTGCTGGATGAGGTTTGGACAGATATTTATTTTGGGGCGAATGATCCTGTTTTGTATTCACTCTGCGCCGTTAGTTGTTTGCCAAACCTCTCTTGTCAGCTCAGTGTCTGGATCCGGATACACGTGAAGAGTTTTGCCGCTATGTGTTCAATAATTACGAAGTTATTCTCAATCTTCATCGTGCCATGTACCGAGAAATGCGGGATTATCAATCGCTGTGTCAGGCACGTAACAGAGTCGGGTTTGTCGATCGCATCGGCGATATCTTTCTTCGTCACGTCGCCAATTTCAAGGACGCTTATCTAACCTATGGCCCGCATGTCGTCTTGGCAGAATATGCTGTTAACCAAGAAATGACGAAAAATATGCTGTTCCAGAATTTCATGCGCGAAAAACAGAGACAAGCCGAGACCAGAAGACTCGCCTTCCGTCACTTTCTTATTTTGCCTGTCCCGCGAATTCAGCGTTACAAACTGTTGCTCGATGCTATTCTCAAACAGACGCCCGCGGATCATCCCGATCAGTATGATCTCACGCGATGCATTGAGCAGATCGTCGCCATCGTCAGCCAAATGGATCGAGCCACCGAGAATAGCAAGAAAACTTTGCGACTGTATCAGATCAACGATGCCATTGAATACAAAGCCGGCCGTTTCGTAGATCTGCAACTGTTGGCTCCTGGACGACAGCTTTTGCACGAAGGACCACTGAAGCGGCGCAAACATATGGGCGTGGAGACCGTGGATATCCACGTGTTCTTGTTCGACCATTTGCTCTTGATGACCAAGCGCAAGAAACGAGCCAGTCACGCGGGAGCCGACATGTATCGTGTGTATAAGCAGCCTATTCCGGTTGAGCTCTTGATGATGCCCGATCTTGTGGACTCATTTTCTTTGAACCTGCGACCTATGGGCAGCAGTTACGGTTTTAGCCGATCCGACACTGTTCAATCCGATCGACCGATGACTCCCTTGCCAACGGGTCAAGCTTCATTGGTTGTGCGTCACTTGGGACGTCACGGAGCGGATTACATGCTCATTGCCGAAAGCGAAGCAATACGATCTACGTGGAAAACCAAGATTCTCGAAGCCAAGACATCATTGGATATTCGACGCGCCGATCAATATGTGTGTCAACGCGTACCGCTGGCTTATGCCAGTTTTGGGGCACCCATGGGTGAGGTTCGCGGTGATGTAACCTGTTCTATCTCGTATGGTAAGTTTTGTTCCACACAAAAAAGTCGCTCGACATTGTTATGCATTGACGTTCTTATTTGCCTTTTTTTTCGTAAGTCGGAGCCAATGGTCGGCCAATGGTCGCTGTTAGCACGGCTCAAGGTGTATGGATGGGCATTCCAAACGAACGAAGAAGTTTCCAACGTGTCTTGTCCGTTTCCAACGTTACGCAAATCGGCGTGCTTCAAGATCATCACATCTTTCTTGTACTGGCAGGTATGGAATGGAATGGCAATTGCTATGGCTATTTCTCGTTTCACAGGATGACTCACCGTTGGATTTAATTTTTGTAGACAAGATCCTTTCCGCGTATCCTTTGTATGTTTTGGACCCGACGGCCATGGCTAGAAAACCGACTAGCGAACGTGTCGCTAGTCAAAAGCTGTCATCCCACAGTAGCTTTTTCAATACCGGTGTTTATGGCGCACGTACGCTAGTGATATCCATGAAAAAGAAGGGCATGGACAGTCACTTCAAGACGTTTGAACCCGTGTGTGGGGATTTGAGCGATCCTAAAAATGCCAAATTCCTGACATCCAAATCCAGCTTTCTAAGCAAACCGCCTGCGTGGTTCCGAATATACAAGGTAGATAGACTGGATGACATAGGGCTTTGAAATTCAACTTGTATTGTATTGACCAATGATTGAAAAATTGATAGGAATTCTATATTGGTGCGGAATCGTCGGCTGTATACTTTTTAAAGGCACGATTGGTTGTGTTGTGTGTGCGTGGATTTGAGATTGTCGATCTGGATCATCTGGACATGAATCGCAACCTTCCTGATTTGCAAAAGCCAGCGTTCCAGTTTGTGACACAGATCAACGAGGAAGCGAAGCCGCTGGGCATGTTTAAATGCAAGGACTATTACCTCTTATGCTACACTTCATTTGCATTTCTGGTCGATAGTCGCGGCGATTTCGTCAAGCACCCAGCCTACACAAGGTAAGAGCTCATCTATCATTATGATGGAAAATTCCTCTATAGTGGGAACTTGTACTCATTAATTTCGTTTTTCCCTCAGGATCGAATGGGAAGGCGTTCCTCAAGCTGTGACATTCTCATACCCTTATATTATGGCGTTTGATCCTCGATTCATCGAGGTCCGACACGTAGAAACTGTGAGTACATCTAAGAAAATGGTTCTATTGACCATGATTTGATACTGAGTTGTGTGGTTTGCTCTTTTCCTTCTTTCAGGGCCAGTTGATTCAAATTTTAACAGGTGAGAACATTCGCTGTCTGCACTATCGATATAATAGCCATGATCACACGCCACCGATCATCCACGGTTGCATGACTCTAACATCCAAATCCAACGAGCAAACCATATTCCATCTGACAGTCCATCCACCCTTATCCAATCATATTTCCCCTCCATCCTAAGATGCTGTAATGTTGCCTGTTCTCATAATACTCCTCAATTCATCAACAGTCATAATGATTTATTAAATCCGCATCAATTCTTCCATTCTACAAATTATCTATTGTATATGCAGCATACAAAGTTTTTGTATGTGATAAGTTAGCGTTGATTTTTTATACGTGTTGTCACCAATGATCAGTCTTTTCAAATGGTATATCCTGCCGAGCCGTTCGACACTTTACAGACCAATGAATTCGGACAGCAAATCAATGCTGAAGTAGGACTCGAGCTTTTAGTCTATTTCGCACATAGTCAGTGGTTTCCTCATGTCTTTTCGGGTAGGCAACTTTTGGTATCCACCCCTTTTTTCCGGTGGAAACCACTTTTTTCCTTTTAAAGTAATAAACCTTAGTCGTTTGCTTAAACGCGCAATGCTGTAAAATCTGGTTTCGAGAACATTTCCGACGCTGAAATGGGCGATGATGAAGGCAAAAGTGTTGTCATCTTAGATGATGTCATATCAACACTACGGAAGACGACGCGTTTGGCAAATTGCGACGGCTGATGTCGGTAACTTTCTGGACAGAAGACATCGTCGATACTTCGGCTGAGGCGACTTCGTGGGAGGGATTCGGCGACGTCGACAACTGCTTCAAAACGGAGAGAATATGTCGGACCATCGTGCTGAAGCTTTGCACAATGCAGGTAAGGAATTCTCTCATCCATGTTATTCACAAATTCTCCATACTGAGATTCTATCTTCAAAGCCATCCGTCCCTCCTCGAGCTTGCAACATCTGGGAAAGAAAGCCGATTTGGGAGGAAAGAAAGAAGCTTTTGACCAAGAATTCATGCAACAACAAAATGAAGCCCGCTTCCAACAATCCATCTTGCGCTCAGCAACCTCTTCCTCCAGTTTTCCCAGAGGCAGAGGACATCAACATGCTTGGACACGCAGCAGCTCCCGAGGAAGTTATGGAGCAACGAATTTTGACCACCGGGGCCAAGGTGGGGTGCATCAACTTGTGGAAGACCGTATGTAGTTCCAATGGCTTTCTTGTTCTGGGAGATAGAGAGCTTCAAGAATGAGCACTCAGATGATCGAAACTCTGCTTCCAACTGGCTATGATTTACCTGGCGGAAAAATCAGGTCTGGTTGCAGTACGCTGACTTTGGACGAGTTGCGGACGTGGGTTATCATTTCGCCAATTTTATTGAACGAGAAGCTTAGTTGAAGAGGATATGTCCATTTGGATGAAGTTCGTTGCCGCCAATCGACTGCTTTGCAATCCTTCAATCACCCTATCACAGCTGAATATTGCTTACGAATCACCGTCGTCAATTTTGCGAGTTGAATGAAGGCCGTTATGGATGCGATGAAGTGTCAGCGAATATGCATCTCCGCGAGACGGTTCTGGATTTATCCCAGTCCATCCGTGGCGGAGCGACCATTTTGAGCTCCTTGATCTTATTACACACTTGGCATGTTCTTCGACTGGTTGCACAGTATTGGTTTATACGTCGTCGGACACCCGCTGATGACATCTTCCGTCGCATCCTGACCACTCGATTCTTCAAAGACTTAACGTCAGACCACCTAGACTCTCTCCTTGGTTCGCACGTCTTTGCTTGTCTTCTACCTTCCCTGGTGGAGGCCACTCAGGTCAGCTCGGCATCCTTGATGCCTCACCCATGACGTCGCTTCTTGTAGCCCACCCGCCCCAATGGAACAACAACCTTTATCGCCGCCTTTGTTGGCCGCCCATGCCTGCTTTGCTGATATCTCCATTAGCCAATGGAATTCACTTTGGCCCTGGCCTATGAACTCTACTGCTCGCAACGTCTGGTTTCGTGTCATTCATCTTAAGCTCCCCACCGCTTCTCGTCTCTTTGAACTTCAACTGGGTACCTTCATTATAGACTATCGGGCTACACCCTCCATATCTTATTTCCCACTATGTTCCTCGCATTGCTATTAGCTCCCGGTACAACCAAGCCTTTGTTGCACCAGCAGCTCGCCTCTTCCCTCAGTGATCCGCCTGACTGTTGAACTTCCAAATAAATTCTCTTGGGGACTTATGATGGGTTCTTCCGCTAAAGATCAAAAACCACCCGATGGGGTCTCGATTTATGACTCTAAACATGCTCCTGGCCCTGGCGACGTTCAGATGTCCTGGGCGCAAATTGTTCAAAAAAAGCGTGTCTCATACATGCACGATACATGCACGATACATGCATACCCGCAGATTCTTCCCAAGCCACCGACAATTGGACCATTCGTCGGTCCCATGTTTATCGCGTCGGTAACAGTCCACGTAGTGTTTTCGTAGACGTAAGTACTCGCCCCAAACCTCTTGTCAGCGTTCTGGCCATTGCAGCCCGTCAATATCCGGAAAACACCGGGGTCATTTCCTCATCGCGAAGGCAACCGACGAGTCATCATCGAAATTGATTTCGATCTGAAGCAGGACGCATCTGACAGAGCGGATACTGCCGGCATCGAATTCGAAAAGTCCCTTTTAAATTCTTGCAACTGGAGCCATGCCATCAAATGGCATCATTAAGAAAACTCTTGGGGTCTCTTATGATGTATCCTGCTGCCGTTACCGTACTCACAACATTGATTCCATCTTTGGACGCGCTGACAACTTAACTCCACCCAGTAGTTGATTTCGTGGGAGCTTCCAACTTACATGAAGTTTGCCAAACAATGTATGCAGACGACGGTATCTTTGGCTACGAGCCCATCCCCTCCACTGTTTCTTTATCCGATTTGAGTCACACTGTCGCCATGGATCCAAGTCATTACATGTGTCTCTACCATCATTACCAACAATTTTATGAGGGCATTTGGCCCCATGGCGACACTCTTACTATGCGGTTGACGATGGTGTTAAACAGAATCAAGAAGTTTAGCAGTGTGACAATTTTTGGGCAACTGTGCAAGAGCAAAGAGTCTGGCAAAACCAAAAGGGGACGCCATATCCAGGCCTACTTTCGATCGTCTGGTGGTAACTTTGAATTGTGCCCAGGCGAAGTGCAATATTACTTTTGTCACATCATCCGACAACCGGTCGACGGCGAGGTTCAAAATGACGATTTTGAGCACGTATTTGCCTTTGTACGATGGTTTGAGCCGGCTCATTTCCCTCGAAATTCGTTCAAAGTGCTAGGATTCTCGGTGTGGAAGAAGCAGTTTCAGCCGTTGGATCATCATATCTATCCTGCCGATCCATCGCATTTACTCGCCGGTGGGGATCCACAACTGGTTGGATGATAAAATCATCATCATCCCATTCTCACGTAAATCGATTTATAGAAAGGTAAAACACTGGCTCTTGTGCTTATAATGTGTATCCCCACTAACAAATAAACATTGGTAGTTCTTGTGAGGTTCCTCACTTTCTCTTTCATGCTCCTTTTTCTTTTTTCTTTTTTCTTTTTTCAAACAAGATGATAAACAACCCAGCATTCTGTACAGGCTGTAGAATAAAGAAAGCTCAAGTCAAGATACATGACTCTCGTCTATCTGTTGTCTATATGGAAAAAAAACAGCCTCTCAATTGAGGGAAGAAGATATTGAAAAGGAAGAGCGTCTGTGTACAAACTTTAGAGAGTGACATTGACAGACTGGAGCGTCAGAAGGCAAGCGTTCTTGCTGATATCAGGAGGATGCAAGAAAAATTAGAACTAGCCTATAAAATCATGCAATAAACAATTTTTACTCGTTCTCGCACCCAAAAGAGTGAACATAAGAATGAACACAAGTAGATTTTCGCGCCTCAAGGTAATAATAATTACCAAAAAAAAAAAAAAAAACTCTCATACGCTTGCATTCATAAACAACGCAAATAAAAATCTTTTATGATATCCTATCCACTATCTTGTCTAATTAAATTAGCATAAAAACCTGAAAGAGATGAAATGTAAAAAAGAAATAATGGCCCGGTTGTGTCAAATCAATGGCCACAGAAATTGGTGAAAATTCGTCATATTGGAGGCATTCCAGCAATAGGACAATGGCCATCGAAATTCATCCCAGCAACATCAAATTCCACCTCATTTTCCATTTTCACTTGGTATAGCGCATGTATTGGTGGCCATATGGATTTGTTGTCGGCCCCAAACACGATGGCACTTCGTTGGCGTCCATCCTATTGGAGACGACCATGGTTGATATTGTTGGCATTTTCAAAAAAAAAAAAAAAAAATCAAGCTCTTCTGTTCATTCCTTTGGTTGCGGAAGTGAGCGAAGGAGGTTTATTCCATTAATCTACGGGCGAGTTCTAATTTTTCTTCCATTGTCCTGATATCACCAAGAACGTTTGCCTTCTGACGCTCGAGTCTGTCAATGTCTTCTTCCATCCTACCATCAAGGTAAGAAGCTTTTGTAAAAGCCTATAAATCATCAAATGAACAACTTATGATCTAACACCAGGGAAATCTTCCCTTCCCTATCATCAACTCTTTACCTTTTTCCAAGGATATGGCGGTGTGGCAGTGGCAGCAGTAGTTGGACTGGTGACGGCAGCCGAGGGAAGCGTCGACGACGACTGGTCCGTTCGTACTGCGAAGTTCTCAATCGCTTGCTGACTGTAAGTCACTTCGACGCCATCGGTTTGAGTGGGTTGCACGTTAACATGCTCATGGAAGAGCTCAAAGCCAGGCTCCTTGTATCTGGTAAAAACGCCGAGGCGTCGTCGTGACTCTTAAAGTGTGCAAAAGCAAAACTGGGTAAAAAGGTAAGCTCACCCATGTATACTACAGAGCTATCTCTTTTCAATTGTACTTACTTTTGGTGGTCGAGCTTTGGCCACATGGATTACAACGATGTTCTTATCCTTCATGGCTGCGTACACCTCACTTGCTGTTTCTCCAGATAGACGAGAGCCATGTATCTTGACTTGAGTTTTCTTTATTCTACAGCCTGTACAGAATGCTGGGTTGTTATCATCTTGTTTGAAAAAAGAAAAAAGAAAAAGGAGCATGAAAGAGAAAGTGAGGGGTCTCACAAGCATCTCTTTATATCAAACAAAGAAAAAAAAATCAATGCAAAAGAGGGAGCGCAAGCAAAAGACGTCATGCATCAAACCTGATCATTGACAGGAAACATTTTCCCATGTTCAAACTGTAATTGCTGACAACTTTCTTTACGACCAAATCCAAGTATAGGTGCATCCTAAAAAGGATTTTTTCATTTTTTTAGGAACCCAGTGAAGGGTGAGAAACTTTAGAATAGAAATACCACTACACCTCGGCGAAACGACGCCGTCTCTTTGATTGCACAAGTAAGAACGTGACCAGTTGTGTTAGTTCTGGACCTACTTTGAAAATAAAAAATTAAAAGAAAAACGGCATATTGGTTTCATTGATCTCGTCAGTGGCCATTACATCAACTCCTATTTCGACACTTAGCCCAGCATTTGTAAGAATCGTGACTCTTCTCCACACTTTTGCAAGCTTCTAATAGAGTGTCTTCCCGCAAAAACCTATGGCGCTTTACCTTACTCTTTGCCACTGCTCAGAATGGTTCTGTTGGATTAAGCTCAGGAGAGTAAATAGGAACATACACACATTTATACCCTAGTACTCGATATACTTCTTTATCTTCTGCTGCGTGTGAATGGGTGCATTATCCATGTCTATATAATGAACTTTCATATACGGATGCTTGTCCATTTCATCGAGAGTCGTTTTTAAGAAACTAATATAGTGACCTGTTACAGCACAAGATTCATATTACTGCTCTACACTGTTTGACGGTTTTCATATACAGTAGTAGCTAAAAGCGTGCCCAGCAAGAGTAAGCAGTCTGCATTTTGATGTCGCGATAGACACTTGCAACCGATCGTATGGTCACCTGGAAATTAAAGTGGCCCCCATGAAAAATTAGGCACACTAAAAAAAGTCTTGCTTTTCTGGAAAACCACTTCACTCTGGTATTGACCACGTCCTTAGTTTTTGCTACGTTTTTAAGTCGATCGCTTATTAATATACTGGATTGCTTAAACCCGATTTTGGATCTGCGACTCAATTAAGAGCGATGCTTATTGATATCTGAGCATCTTTGGAATTTGGGATCACCGCCTTGACTGCCATCAGAATTCGCTAATTGTCACTCGCAATGGCGTGTCATAGTTTTTAATGAACGATAACTAGGTTTTTGTAAACACGCCTGCACAATGTCTGAGTTCCGCATTTATTAAACACAACCGCCAAAATTGGATTAACTTGACAAGTACCCTTTATCCATGACGTTGCAATCGATTGAACAGCTGATAATCGCTGGCTATGCCTCACTCAAACAATGCGAACCAGCTCTCTACCTATTGCCAAAGAAAGCGTCATCGCATCGGACCTAAAACTCGTTCTGATCTTCGCCATGTCTGTTCCAGATTATTTCCCATTACCGCTCCTCAGTGTGTGGAAGCCAGGCAAGACACAAGGCTAAACTGTCGCCAGCTAAATTTCGATTTGAAACTGGATGAATAATTCCTCCAGCATACCGTCAGCAGGCCACTCGTCGACGTCTCCATGAAGCTCGCCAAATGAATCCATCAGGTCACTCGGATGCGCTTCACACTTCCCCCTTCTGTTTCACGGTTGAAGCCATTGATCGATTCGATTTGGGTTAGGTGAACAGCTCTGACCAATGTTGTTTGACAAACTCAGCCAACTGCACTAACGCTATCATGCGCCTTGCTCTCCCATTTGGCAAATGGGGTACGATGCCTTCATTCACCGATCTTCGTGCAAGATCTGCCAATTTCTGATCCCATACTCTCACAGACGTTCACTGTTATTATTGCCGCCATCATTGGTCGAATAACGCTTAAAGCACAGATTTTCAGTTGTCCGGCCTTCCTTGTCAGATAACTGATTCCCAGACGTAATATACAGGCGTCATTGAAAGTAACGTGCGCACACCGTCCACAAATTGAAACGTAGCCACAGAGCCAAACTTTCCCAGACTGATAGTTTTTGATGAGTAATATAAACAAACCATATCTTCAATATCCCCACTTACCTGTCAAGATACGCCTTTGCCTTAGTTCTTAATATATATTCGATTCATGTATCTCGAGTGCTTGAGATAATCAATCTCTGATATTCCCACCTTCAAATCCCTTTTCACTAACCATGTCAACAGGTGTCACCCCAGCAATTTGTACATGCCTATATCTCAGTCGCTGTCAATCATGATCCTGTTACCTTGACGGAAGTCGGAAATTGTGATGCTCACATCAAACACTTGGCTTTTTTTTTCATGCAATGATGTCCTTCGATGACAAAGGCGAATGGCAAATGGCAAAGAGCACCAATGCTTGCAGCGGTAGAACGTGTTCGGTGGCATAACCTCTTAAGACTAGAACCATTGCCAGCAATATCCGAGATTCCAATAACCCAATAGCCGGCAGCAAATCACCATAGTAAAAGATCGGTTGTTATCGACACGGATGTATTTCATGTTGAAATGCTAACTTTAGCACATTTGAGGCCCTCCGTCTTGCTAACGCCTTGCAGCCGAAAAATATCCTCAGGTATCCGGTTTCTGCTGGTTCAATTGCTAAATAATGATACAGAGCAGCAGGGTACTATCATGCGGCCTCAATATGTTGCATAAGCAAATCCGCACATTCCAACCGTCCTGGTTGCCTCGGGCGTCCCAATTGATCATACACCAGCGTTCGAATTCATCGTGAAGCTTGTTTTCTCTAACCACATTTCTGTTAACCATATCCTCATTCCAGCCTATGATCCCCGCCATTGAGAAGAGTAAGTGATAATGTCCTTTCCTTCTTTTGCCATAATTGCCTTACTTACACTATGTCGAACACCTTCACCAAACATATTCCAAGAAACGCCGATTTTCCGTTCTCGGGAATTCAAATTCCTCTAACCACTTCGAGAATTGTTCATGCTCTTTTGAACCAAGTGATGTATGGTTGCCGTATCCAAGGACTTAGAAGCTTTTGATTAATAACCCGTAGCACATCAATTTACGGCTCCCTGCTATTTCTACTTACCACTGATATTAATAACCGATCCTAAATGGCAGACATTCTTATGAGACATGAAGCACGAACCGTTCCTGCACCTTTCAACCTATCATAATCCGATACATTCAAACAATCACAATTCGATATGGTTCGGTGTAAAAAGGATCCTTGGCAGCCCATTTCGCTCCACTGGTATTCTGAATGGAGTCGAGTCTGTTCCAGTCGCTACGTCCATTAATTCAAAGCTTCAACATCGTTCGCCTCTAATTCTTCACTTTCTGCTGGCCGCTGCTTCATGGCTTTTTGAAATGTGTCATCCCTTGGTCGTCCATAAACGTTGTCATTGTGCTTGCTCTTTGATTGTTCATCGAAATCCAAACAGGCGACTTTTCGTTTGGGTGTCATTACTACTTCCGTGCGTTGGATTACAAACAGACCTTCTTTTCGCCTTCCCTACTATCATGCACCTGACGCGTTGATACATCGTAGAAGATCGATGTGCACACGAATGCCCCCATCTGACATATTAACTTCAGATCGCTCGTAAATAAGCTGCATAGATAGTATATATTGTGCATCTTTTGATTACATGGATTAGATCGGCAATTCAGTATTCAGGAAGTGAATTGTGTTGAGTCGTTTTGACATGATGTGGGTGGCGGACTTTGAAATTGTCAAGGTCGCGATTTCTGACAGCTTGTCGCGCCAAAGAGTTATTGGCATAAGTATTGGCACAGAAGTTTTAACCAATTCCGTACTCCAAATTAAATCAAAAAAATTACACTAATAATCAGCCAGTTAACTCTTGGATATAGAGCCAATAAGCTCTAAACCAAAAACAAAAAGAAGGATGCCCTTGCAGCGCCAAAGTATGACTGATATATCCATCCAAGACTAGTGTTCCAAATCAGGAAAGATTGGAATTTAAGATGTGTTTCGTTCTGGGTGAGATTCTCCATTAGAACATCAGCTGAGACTCTTCATCCATACTGTAATCAGAAATGGCTGAGATAGTATTGAATAGGCGAATGAATGTGGGTCAAATACAACATCCGATTCTCTAACGCATAAATCACTTGACGGATCTCTAGAGATTTCATTTCAGAATCGAGCTCATCACCATAAGTGCCGACATCTGACAGAGCGGCATACTTAGACTTCTGCAACTGTGCATATAATTTACAAGAGTCGCGGCAAGCGTCCGGAAAGACCAAATTTTCTTTGTAATATGGCTTGAAAGGCTACGTATTTGAGAGTGTCTTAGGTAGTAAGCAAAAAAAAAAGTCTCTATTTATTGATGCCAGAAAATATATATATAAAAGAGATGATGCAAAAAGCGGTCTATGACTAATTACTTCGATGCGCCCAGCGGATGAAACAGACCTTAATCAAGCGTCGGTGTGGAGACCAGGGAAATCAAAGGCAGCAAGCAGAGGACGATGACGTTGATGACGAGCAATGACAGAAAGAGAATGAGGAGAAAAAAGCAGCAAAAGAAAAAAAAAGTTACGCACCAATCGAAAGCCAAAAAAGTTAGCGGCTTATCTAAGTAAGCCGGCATGGTCTTGGCGCCTTCCTGCTGAAAGGTTCCCTGGTGTGAATCTTGGTCGTCGTCATTCGCCGCAGCAAGTGGACCTGTGATAGAGTTAAGGAAGCATAGCCGTTTGCATGTGATATTGTACAGTATGTTGAAAGTCTGCGATCGGCGTTATGAGGACAATCGGAATATGTTCGATGGCTGTGCCCTGGTTCGTTGTAGTTGGAACAGTAGGCTGTCGGCTGCACTGGCTTCGGTCATTTCCACGTCTTCACTCATAAGATTTTTGCGATTTAACGAGCAGCTACGATGGGTCCTACGCAGCTGGCCAACTTAATTACAGCTTGAGCAATATACAGTCATGTTACGTTACGTTGAAAAAGCTAATCAAAGAAAGCACCCCTTACAGGAAGCAACATGTGTGGCACATGAAAAGTTTAATTAAAAGTGGGATAGTTTGACTTTTTAGGGTATTCTATGTGGCGAGGGAAACTACTTATAAGAGAGTTAAAACGAAAGGGGACGAAAAGTGGGTATAGACGAAATTCGGTTTTAAGTTGCGTCAGAGTATTTCGATTATAATGTGCGTTCGGTTCTTGAGGGATGAAGTTGCTTTTTTATTTGCGAAGGGTAAAATTCTGAGTGATTTATCACGGAAGGTGTCCGATTATCACAAGAACGAGGGAAACTTTTTAATTCCTTAAGGTAAGCACCTGTGACTGTTTCTCAGCTCGGCAAAACTACAAAAACTCGTTTTATTTTATTTTTTCTTCTTTCTTTTCTAAAGTTCTCACGTTTCTCTGGGTTTTCTTCTTTCTTTCTTTTCTCGAGTTCTCACCCTTCTCTGGGTTTTCTTTGTCACCCTTCACTGGGTTTTTCGTCACCCTTCACTGGGTTCTTTGTCACCCTTCTCTGGGTTTTCTTCGTCACCCTTCTCTGGGTTTTCTTCGTCACCCTTCTCTGGGTTTTCTTCGTCACCCTTCACTGGGTTTTCTTCGTCACCCTTCACTGGGTTTTCTTCGTCACCCTTCACTGGGTTTTCTTTGTCACCCTTCACTGGGTTTTTTTCGTCACCCTTCACTGGGTTTTTCGTCACCCTTCACTGGGTTCTTTGTCACCCTTCAATGGGTTTTTCGTCACCCTTCACTGGGTTTTCTTCGTCACCCTTCACTGGGTTCTTTGTCACCCTTCACTGGGTTTTCTTCGTCACCCTTCACTGGGTTCTTTGTCACCCTTCACTGGGTTCTTTGTCACCCTTCACTGGGTTTTCTTCGTCACCCTTCACTGGGTTCTTTGTCACCCTTCACTGGGTTCTTTGTCATCCTTCACTGGGTTTTCTTTGTCACACTTCACTGGGTTTTTCGTCACCCTTCACTGGGTTTTCTTCGTCACCCTTCACTGGGTTCTTTGTCACCCTTCACTGGGTTCTTCGTCACCCTTCACTGGGTTCTTTGTCACCCTTCACTGGGTTCTTCGTCACCCTTCACTGGGTTTTTCGTCACCCTTCACTGGGTTTTCTTCGTCACCCTTCACTGGGTTCTTCGTCACCCTTCACTGGGTTTTTCGTCACCCTTCACTGGGTTTTTCGTCACCCTTCACTGGGTTTTCTTCGTCACCCTTCACTGGGTTCTTTGTCACCCTTCACTGGGTTTTCTTCGTCACCCTTCACTGGGTTCTTTTTTGTCACCCTTCACTGGGTTTTCTTCGTCACCCTTCACTGGGTTCTTCGTCACCCTTCACTGGGTTCTTTGTCACCCTTCACTGGGTTCTTCGTCACCCTTCACTGGGTTCTTTGTCACCCTTCACTGGGTTCTTCGTCACCCTTCACTGGGTTTTTCGTCACCCTTCACTGGGTTCTTTGTCACCCTTCACTGGGTTTTCTTCGTCACCCTTCACTGGGTTCTTTGTCACCCTTCACTGGGTTTTCTTCGTCACCCTTCACTGGGTTCTTTTTTGTCACCCTTCACTGGGTTTTCTTCGTCACCCTTCACTGGGTTTTTCGTCACCCTTCACTGGGTTTTCTTCGTCACCCTTCACTGGGTTTATCGTCACCCTTCACTGGGTTTTCTTTGTCACCCTTCACTGGGTTTTTTTCGTCACCCTTCACTGGGTTTTTCGTCACCCTTCACTGGGTTCTTTGTCACCCTTCACTGGGTTTTCTTCGTCACCCTTCACTGGGTTCTTTGTCACCCTTCACTGGGTTTTTCGTCATCCTTCACTGGGTTTTCTTTGTCACACTTCACTGGGTTTTTCGTCACCCTTCACTGGGTTTTCTTCGTCACCCTTCACTGGGTTCTTTGTCACCCTTCACTGGGTTTTCTTCGTCACCCTTCACTGGGTTCTTTGTCACCCTTCACTGGGTTTTTCGTCATCCTTCACTGGGTTTTCTTTGTCACACTTCACTGGGTTTTTCGTCACCCTTCACTGGGTTTTCTTCGTCACCCTTCACTGGGTTCTTTGTCACCCTTCACTGGGTTTTCTTCGTCACCCTTCACTGGGTTCTTTGTCACCCTTCACTGGGTTCTTTGTCACCCTTCACTGGGTTCTTCGTCACCCTTCACTGGGTTTTCTTCGTCACCCTTCACTGGGTTCTTTGTCACCCTTCACTGGGTTTTCTTCGTCACCCTTCACTGGGTTCTTTGTCACCCTTCACTGGGTTCTTTGTCACCCTTCACTGGGTTTTCTTCGTCACCCTTCACTGGGTTCTTTGTCACCCTTCACTGGGTTTTCTTCGTCACCCTTCACTGGGTTTTCTTCGTCACCCTTCACTGGGTTCTTCGTCACCCTTCACTGGGTTTTTCGTCACCCTTCACTGGGTTTTCTTCGTCACCCTTCACTGGGTTCTTTGTCACCCTTCACTGGGTTTTCTTCGTCACCCTTCACTGGGTTTTCTTCGTCACCCTTCACTGGGTTCTTTGTCACCCTTCACTGGGTTCTTTGTCACCCTTCACTGGGTTCTTCGTCACCCTTCACTGGGTTTTCTTCGTCACCCTTCACTGGGTTTTTCGTCACCCTTCACTGGGTTTTCTTCGTCACCCTTCACTGGGTTCATCAAAAAAAAAAAAGAATGAAAAAATCTTTAGGGTGCAGCTGCACTTGGACTACTTTGTGTCGGGACTATGGTTCTTTGCACTTCTCAAACTGAGAGGTCTACTCGATCCACTCCGCCCCTCCCCCCCCCCAACCACGGCCATAAAACCTAACGAGACGACTTTTGCTGCTCCATCCACATACCCCTATGCCTATCCTCATGCTCCTCTCTATCGTTGCCTCCTCCCTTTTGCTGCTCTATGCTTTACTTCATGTTATGCTCTGCATTTCATTTAATTATCTTAAATGGAGAAATTGCTTTAGCCGTCGCATCCAGTGGAACAGCTGCTCTCCTTTTGGATGGTGGTCGTACCGCCCATTCACGGTTAAGATACCATTGACTACGCACGAACATTCCTTTTGTAACGTGTCTCACAGAACGGAGCTTGCCCATTTACTGAAACTTACTAAGCTAATCATGTGGGATGAAGCATCGATGATAAACCGGTTTGCATTTGATGCAGTAGATCGAACATTTAGAGATCTGTTCAAAGCTGAAAACCCACGTCTGGATCCGTACCGTTTGGAGGAAAGTTGGTAGTGTTTGGAGGTGATTTTCGACAAGTTCTGCCTGTGGTTCCCCGAAGGTCGCGTCCCGATATCGTCAATATGTGTATCAACCGCTCTGCTTCTTGATCGCATGTGCAAACATTACGCCTGACGATCAATATGCGAGTTCAGAGACCACAACAAAACGAAAGTCCACAGGAACTTCAACAGTTCAGTGAATACTTGCTACGTATTGGTAATGGGACAGAGCCTACACGCTTGAATACAAGCTATATCAGCATCCCCCAAAGCATGGTAATTCCTGGCGAAAACTTGCAAAATTTGACTTCAGCTATATTTCATGACTTTCGGGAAGAGAATCTTTCTTCGCAGTACCTTACATCCCGCGCTATCCTTACACCGAAAAACTCTGACGTTGACACAATCAATGATCTCCTTTTGGAACAGTTTCCAGGAGAGGCAACAGAGTATCTAAGCGCAGATAGCGTCTGTGATGAAAGTCAACAAATGCTGCATACCGTGGAGGTTCTCAATTCGATCAATCCTGGGATGCTTTCCACCACACCGACTCCTACTAAAAATAGGTTGTCCTGTCATACTGCTACGCATCTCAATCCATCCAACGGTCTTTGCAACGGAACGAGGCTTATATGCCGCTCATTCCAACAGTTTGTGATCGAGGCAGAAATTGCAACCGGGAAACATGCAGGAAAATTGGTGTTTATACCTAGAATCAAGCTCAAGCCCACAGAAATGCAATCTCCTGTTGAATTTCAACGACGCCAATTTCAAGTGCGATTAGCGTTTGCAATGACAATTAACAAAGCACAAGGTCAGACCTTGGATGCTGTTGGGCTATATTTGCCGGCGTCAGTATTTTCCCATGGACAGTTGTACGTTGCTTTCTCCAGAGTCAAAAAACCATCTGCACTGAAGGTAATGCTTAAAAAAGAAAGTTCATTTTTACAAACTTCAAATGAACATTTCACCAAAAATATAGTATACCCTGAAGTCTACCAATAAATATCCCCAATTGTGATCTTGAAGATCACGGGCTCCACCTAGTCTACATAATTATGCAGCAGCAATGTATCATGCCGGCAATGACAGAAAATGTCAGGTTCCTGACCCGTTTGCGCTTTGGATGCAGTTCCGCCAGCATTTGGCAGAAGACTATTTCCATTTTTGGAGCAATCAAAATCAAGACAATGATCATCAAAATTGAGCCGCCCCAAATCGTGTACGATCGCGCTTTGCTGGACATTGACGAGCATCTGAACCGCCAATCGAGATCACTGCTGAGTTACGATCGCTTTGTTCTTCCTGATCGCCAAGAAATTGGCAGAAGCACACTTCGCCGTCAGCCCAGACTGGTAAGAGAACAATTCGATCTCATCGCAGACGCTGCCAATGTTCCCCAAACACACGAGTACCTAAACCGTTATCAACATGCCGTATACCACGCAATTCTCTAGAGTGTCACGCATGGAAGCAACGAATCAGCCCGATTGTTCTTTGTTGATGGTCCTGGTGGCGTCTTTACCCTTATGTTGTTGTTTTTATTATTCCTTTATATTTTACTGTATGTATTTTGTCTTATGCTCCTTTGATTTCATCCTTTGCTATGATTTTTCAAGTTATTCTTCACCTTTATGTTTTACTGTATGCTTTTTGTCCTTATGTTCCTTTTGATTTTATCCTTATGCTATGTTTCCCCAACTACGATTTTTTCTGTTATCTATTTTTGTCTCTCCATTTAATATTATACGATGTCTGACTATTTCTGTTCTTAACTTTGTGTACATATTGTTGTTCCTCTGTCGTGGATGAAGAAAATGATCGCTATGTGGCGGTAGGTCAGGGGGGGCAAGATCCCCGGGAAAAAAGAAAAAGAGACTGTGCAACTCTGTTGTCCATTGAATACGCAAAGATTTATGCGCACATCAACTAAATCTTACCGAAAAATCAACCGCTTATTGACAAAAGATTAGAGTACCATCAAGCGCGACATTTGGATACACAAATTCGAGTGCGGAGTTCTGAATATTGCAAATGGAGCATCCCATTCCAAACGCATCTTTAATCAGCTACTATTCCCACTAGCCTCAGATTAACAACAAACTACAGACCGAAAGAGCATAACTTTGTGATCTTTAAGATCAACAGGCGCTACTAGTCTACATAATTAAAATCTTTGGGAAATTAGCGATCTGTATATCACATGATCTACACTAAGTTATCAGGGCCTGTTAAACCTCTTTTTTTTATCTTTCAAACATGCCTCGCTGCCTACTTCCACAATAATAGGCGAAACAATCAGCAGCAAGATGCCGTTTGCGCCATTTATGGTCAAACAGAGCATCGTCGTCTTTCGAATAAAAATGTGAGTAGAGCTCTTTTGAAGAAAAGTGGTTGATGATACGACCGGCGTTCTTCTGTAGCATCATTCAATTTGTTTTTTTTGTCAGTTATACGTATATGTCCTTTCATTCT